TTAGGTTATCTAGTGGATATATTATCTAGATCTAGAGTGTTATTAATAGTTTACTATAAAATCCTTAGAGCTAACGTAATTCCCGGCCGACCAAGTAACCCTATCTAAAATCATGCTTCTTTACCCACCTACCTAATTCAACTACCTACTATACCACTATAACGCGTTAAAAACGCGTTAAAATTAGTTAACTAAGAGGGTAAGTTCTTATTAGCTATTAATGATATTAAAAATAGCCACATTAAGTCTATTAACGTAGCAGCGAAGCTATATAGAATACCGTATTTAACACTATAATACCGCGTCGACGGCCGACCCCTATATATTAATAAACGCCTATCTAGCTATAAATTAACCTAATTAGAAGAGGATTCGCTTACTAAATAGGTACTCTCTATAGATTCGCGTAGAGTAGTACCTAGGCCCTCTACTATATAAGAAATAGCTAATATTCTATTAGCTACGTATAGTAAGAACCCTTCGGCTATAGTAAATAAGAATTAGCTATTAAGCTTCGTTAACCGACGAAACGAGCTTTATTTAGCCTTCTTATAACACTACGATTACTAATACGCCTAAAACGAAGACCTAAACTTACTACGAGCCTAGTTTACGACTGTCTAATATATTATTAATAAGAAAGGTATCTAACCGGGGGATATCTATAACTTTAATAAGACGGGCTTCGCTATAGGTCTTATAGCTATATAAAAAGTAGTTACGAGGGCTAAATATTACGGTCGGTAATTATTTTTATAACTAGGTAATCGTGAATAGACTGCGCCAAAAACCGCAATTGGGGGCAAACCTTGCCCCCAAAAAACCAAACCGCAATGGTTGCGGTTTTTAAAACCAAAAACCAAACCAAACCATAAACCATTGCGGTTCCCTATTGGGGAACCATCAAAAACCATTCTTACATAAAATTACATAAAATTGCATAATAACTAGTTATAAACTAACGTAATTCCCGGCCGACCGAGCAACCCGGCCGACCGAGCAACCCTATCCAAAATTATGCTTCTTTACCTACCTACCTAATTTAACCACCTACTATGCTACCACAATGCGTCAAAAACGCGTCAAAATTGGTTGACCAAGAGGGTAAGTTCTTATTGGCTATTGATAATATCAAAAATGGCCGCATTAAGTCTGTTAACGTAGCAGCGAAGCTATATAGAATACCGTATTCAACACTATAATACCGTGTCGACGGCCGACCCCTATGCGTTGATAAACGCCTATCTAGCTATAAATTAACCTAATTAGAAGAGGATTCGCTTACTAAGTAGGTTATCTCTATAGATACGCGTAGAGTAGCGCCTAGGCCGTCTACTATACGAGAAATAGCTAATATTCTATTAGCTACGTATAGTAAGAACCCTCCGGCTATAGTAGGTAAGAATTAGCTATTAAGCTTCGTTAACCGACAAGACGAGCTTCGTTTAGCCTTCTTATGACGCTACGATTACTAATACGCCTAAAACGAAGACCTAAACTTACTACGAGCCTAGTTTACGACCGTCCGACGTATTATTGATAAGAAAGGTATCTAACCGGGGGATATCTATAACTTTAATAAGACGGGCTTCGCTATAGGTCTTATAGCTACATAAAAAGTAGTTACGAGAGCTAAATATTACGGTCGGCGATTGCTTTTATAACTAGGTAATTATGAATAGGTTACTGCGGTCGAAGTAGTAAGCGCTAACGGCTATTCGCTGCCGCCCTGCGTAATATTTAAAGGTAAAAACTTTATCGCTTCTTAGTTCGACGAATAGCTTTATCTTCTAAAAGACTAGCGTATCGAGGTATCGCTAAACGGCTAGATAACCGATGAAATTAGCCTTCGTTAGCTATAAAAGCTTTTCATCCTAGCGACGACGATACGTACGAAAGGGAAATATCGGCTGTTAATTCTTAATAGCTATAGTAGCTATCTTATACCTTAATTCGACCGAATCTACGCTAAAAATAATATAATACTACTTTATATACCTCTATATAGTTCGTATCTCTTATAACCGCTTAACGTTAGCTATTTTACTATATTAAAACGCGTATACGGCCGTTTCGTAAGCGATCTGGCTCGTATATTATATAACCACATCGACAAATTTGATTTCCTCGCTGATTACCCTCGGGCGTACGCAGAGGCCTTTTAACTAAATATTATTCAAAGCGCCTTCGTAGGCACTGGTCTTGTTCTAATTAACCTAGAACGGGTACTTTCGAAGCTTAATATCTTACTTAAAACACCGTTACTACCGAATAGCCGGCTAGCTACCAGCGATAGCCATTTTAGCCCAAAAACACCTAGAACTGTCGTTTAACTTAAAAAATCAGCTTCGTTACTCAAAGATCTATTAAAATAACGGTTAAATAGCCCCCCGAGCCTATCAAAAACCGTTCTAGATCAAATCATCAAAGGCCACTATATATCGCTTTATAACCTTACGATATATACGCAAGAAAACGCTGATCTACGTATAGGGAATGAGAAAATACGCTAAAAACGCACACGATCAAATCGGCAGATAGCTCACAAAGGAGGCCTATCGGTCGAAGAGGGTCAACAGCTAGTTACGTAGCTAAATCAGCCAGTTAAAGCTAATCGGGTCGTTTCGCATAAGCAGGCCGATGAGGCTATTCAACTAGCCTAGCCAGCAACTAGGGCACCACCAAGGTGTAGTGGGTGTAGGGGAATTGGCTATAAGATCAATCAATGTAAAAATCGTCAGATATAGCTAAATTGATACGTTTTGGTTGATATATTTTGGTTCAAAATTTCTATAGGGGGTGGGGTTGCTCGGTCGGCCGGGAATTACGTTAGTTAAAATAGCTTAGTAATTAAGATGTAGCCAATAAATATCGATAGAATATTATCCACGTGATATTTTAGCCCCGCTTTAAAAACCATTGGGGCCCCAAGAACCATTGCGGTTTCTAACCTAGAAACCAAAAACCATTGCGGTTTCTAGAATTAGCCCCAAAAACCCCCCCAATTGCGGTTTGGTTTTTTGCGGTTTTGCGGTTTTGCGGTTTTTGGCGCAGTCTAATACTGGAATCTTAAACAGATTTAGTATTAGTAATCTTTTTTTATTAAGATTAGTTTTAGGATTTCTAGCTAGATTCTTCATAAACTAATTATAAAGTTTACTAGAGATAATACTCTAATAATAATAAATTAATTAAAACTATACTATAATATTAGTTTATTTTAGTAAAAGAAAGAAGATTTTTAGGTTAGTTAGAATTATTTAGGATTTATTAGTTTTAGTTTAGGATAGGTTATAGTAAGTAAGATAGTAATAGTATACTACTTATATCTAGATAGCCTTAATAGTAATCAGAAAAAATAAAAGTGATTTCTATTATATATTATAATTTAAGAAAAGAGCTAACTAGAAAGGAACTAGGTATATTTAATAAAATAATATAAAGAGAGAAGAAACTATAGAGGTAGTATCTACTATTCTATAGAGGGCTTTTTATATAAATAGGCCCCATCTAGTTAGTCTAGTTAGCTACTCTATCATATATCTATTAGGTAATCTCTAGGTCTATTATTATATTATATGTTATAACTTTATATAATAAACATAGATTTAATATCCTTAATTAGGTGATAGAGTATAATAATCTCCTAATAGTATAGCTACTCTATAAAAGTAAAGCTAAAATAGATACTACTAATAAAAAAGTATAATAGTACTTTATTAAGCTTCTAGATAGGGCTTTGTAGAGGCTATATAGTTTCTTATAGGAAGATAGGTAAAGATAGATCTAGTAGATAATAATAGATAGACACTTTTATACTATACTATAATAGAGGGCTACGAGAGTATTATCAAGCTATTTATATTAATAGGAGCTGAGGTAGATTGGCACCATGGGGTTTAGTCTTTTCAGGCACTGTAGTGCGTTCAGTTGCTGCTTCCGACTCCCATGTATAGGGGCGTTCAGGAACTGGCAACGCCTTATCCTTGACAGCTTGCTGGGGGGGGTTTTGTTTAGGTGGTCGCCTGTTATAGGCTGACCGGGTGTTGGTCCCAGCCGAAGGGTTCATGCTGGGCCACAGAACGGAGGTGGTTTGGTGTTGTTCAGCCACCCTTCATGGGCTGGCTCGGGTAGATGGCCTGGACACACAGAACGGAGGAAGGTGGCTTGGTGTCAAACAGCTGCCCTGCATGGGCTGGCTGAAGAGTCGAGTGGGATGTTTGGTCACAAGAGGAAGAAGATGAAATGAATGACAGAAGGTGATGGTAGGGGAGGCTTTAACGTTGGTCACATGCGGCAAGAACTAACAAGCAGAACATTCACTTCCTACCTTGACTGCCTACTAACCTGGGTTGCATCTTCATATCAAATCTAGCAAGAAACATTGTATGTACAAGCCATCTATCACGAATTCACCTCTTCATTGTTTGCCCTCCACTCATGTATTCTACACCTCTTGCAATTGACTCGTCTCACACTTTCACTCGACGTCTCCCCTGGGCCCTGAAGTTTTCCTTTCACCATTTTCTCTCTCATTTCTCTATCCTGACCCCAATACTTTTGACCTAGTTCTGACTCATCCCATTCAGATCTCCACTTTGTCCTCCATTTTTTGCTTGTAGTCCGACTTACTTCCATTTTCCAGCTTCGCCCTTTTCCTGTGCGATGTGTATTGAACTGCATAGTCCTGATATTACGGTTATTATCACGGGCTGTTCAACCCAGAGTAGTTTGTCCATTATTCATTTATTAGCATTACTTCTTCTCGCTTCCTTGCTCCCCTACGCGATGTTCAGGCGCTTAGATTCGTTTCTCGTGCTAACTGATGGACTTTGGTTGATGGGTGGGTGCTAGGGGGAGCATTCGAATTAGTTTCCATCATAACGGACAACGTAATATATAAGCAACCTAGTATTTCAATGAAGGCGAATAGGTTCAGAATTATTGAGCAACATTCATTTGACCACAGCATATTCAGATTAGCAAGACAGGATATCAACTTAGTGAGACATGCATATATCCGACAAATCCTGTGGAACCTTAGCAACAGGGTTTCCTTGCGGAATAGGCCATGCCCATTTTAGAAGCAGGTTCAACTTTTCCAAATAGTCTTTTCTATCAATCATATCAAAATACCTTATTCCCCAATCAGGGACGGCAATCACATATCCTAGATCCAAGACCTGTGTGAATTGAATATGAAGCTTGCCATCAAAAGAGAATTGAAAGATACGGCATCCACCATATTCATCCATCAAAATTGTCAGTTGCTAAAAATATGTTAATAGAAAACTCTAGATATTGAAGTATAGGGGACAAACCGGGAAAGTAAAATAGCACTTATCCGGCTCCTTCTGATCAACTTGCCGCATTTCTCGTTGGGTCAATGCGGCAATGGCAAAGAGCTCCATAGAGGAAGGTCGTTCATCAGAACCACATTTCGTGTGGCTATGTAAGCCGAATAATGAGCTCCGGTGACCTTTATGGTCATGGCAGGGCACTGAATCTGGAGGAGATTCTATCTTGATGGCCAGTTCAGATTCAAAGTCGAGGTAAGACCGTGTGAAATAAGAAGAGAGTATATCTTATATAGGTATACTAACTCTCCATAGAAGTGATCCCTGATATGGCGGTTCTGGTCCTTCCCAAGTGCGAAATATCTGTATTCATCGGTCATAACATCTGGAAACATACACATCTGCAATGATTCAAGAATCAAGGGATGCGAGCGATCACCTGGCCGTTCAGAATGACTTCCAATTTGCATAAGTGGCGAACGTGCCAGGTGTGGAGAATCCACGACATCCGGGAAATTAGCTCGCGGTAGGAAGTAGCTTGTCACGGATGGTGAGGTTGTACCAGTGCGGATATCAATGTGCTGAAGATCGACCCCGAGATCGGAGAGTTGCTTGTCTGTCAAAGGAAGCTTCCTATTCTCACGAAGGGTGGTAAATATCTTCTCCATCGTTCAAAAGTGGGTTTCAATTCCTGGCTCAGCGTAATGGGGTTATAAGGGTTGGGTAATCTTTGGCAAGCTGCGAGATTGCAGAACAGTGGTTTAAGTAGTAACACACAAATGGCTTTTCTGCCTAGTCTAATTCAAACTAAGCTAATATAGGTCGTGAAAGTCTATATAATAATTCATATTTTCCCAATCTATTTCGGTTGAAAGGCCAACTGGTATTGATGACGATTTGGGCAAGATGTACTGATTAAATTTTGTACTAAGCTGAAATAGGCCGTGAAAGTCCAGGTACCAATTCACAATTTCCCAATCTATATTCGGTTGAAAGGTCAACTGGTCTTGATGACGTTTTGGCCAAGAGTTAGTGAATGTAAAACTTTGTCGTAGAATGGATATTTAAATTAGTGATGGGAAATGAAGGAGAGAAATATGGATCTATAGCCGGGACGGCCAATTACTAGAAGGGAGGGAATTCCCCCTTCCTGCTTTAATCCACCACCGCTGTTTAAAATTAATTCATAGAAAGTCGGGCCCCGAAAAAGTCAGCTCCCAAAAAGTCAGCTCCCAAAAAGACGGCCCCAAAGTCGGGAAGGGGAGCATCTATCTTCATAGTTTACTTCACTAGGGACTCCTCGCCTTGGGACTCCGACAACGACCCTCAGAGGCTCGCGCTCTAGTGACTTCGAATCATCTACCGCAGAGGCCGAGTTGAATGCGGAGACTGACAGATCAGCAACCAACGCTGATTCGTTGTGGTTGAACGTTGTTCAACTACGGCTTGGGCACTAGGTGGCCCCGGGCATTTTTCAGACTCCCAAATATCGATACCTGCATTTCTCTTCCAGCCTTTTGCTTCGTACCGACATCTTGAACTTGATCTAACAATTTCGCGTTGGATTTCTGGTAAATGAAGGGTTGATCACACAATGAGCCACCGGTTTTTGCTTAGTAAATTGCACTGTGATTGCCATATCGAGATTAAACAAGTCAGCCTTCAAAGGCTTCATTATCAAAGACTGAGATGATCATGATTTTACGTTCAACTTAGCGAAGGTATGCAGTTAAGGTCTCTTATCTATAAACATATCTATGATTTATAGGACTGCTAGAGAAAAGCCTGAAAAGACGAGTGCTGCCGAAATGTTCATGAGTCCAGTAACCAAGTGTGAAGATTTCCAAACCCGGTCTGTCGCTTCACCTGTCTTCGTCCCAAGGCCTCGAACATGCTTTCTAAGAGATGTGAAGCAGATGCTTTCCTAATTGACTATCCCATTATAAGCATATCAATATCCAAAAATAGGATTTCAATAGGGATTCTTGATGATACTTTTCATAGAGCACCTTTCCAGGTCGTCAGCCACCCTTTAATCAACAGGCTGTCTAAATATCCGGCCCTAGACATATATCAGGGTGATAATGCCATTTTAGCGCTCATATATAGTTATACGGATATATGAGTAGCGCTTGTTTTTTGAAGGTAGTCGTTAGCCTGTCCCAAGCCACCTTTTCAACCCAAAAGGGTGGGTAGATGCCATTTCATATTGGAACAAGGCTCAGCCCTTTGTGATCAGAGAGTAACAACTCGCGGAGATATCTTCCTTTACGCTACAACAATTGGCTAGCAGAATGCACAAGATAATAGCAACAGTTACCTATCAATCTATAGTGTACTGTTCAAGAACCATGAAGATACCAAGTAAGTCCCAACACTCCCAACTCAAAACAGGAATGGTCTGTATCGACGTATATTACTCCCCTAACCCTAGTAAACACCCCACACAAAAGCACCGTAACCTGAAAAGTGCCTAGCGCGCCTAACCACACCAAGCGAAGGTCCCAAAACCCAATTCCGGCACCCTCATTACGATCCAAGACCGTAGACCTCGAAACACCACCCCGGTCCATGCCTCGGAGCCATCCAAAGCGGAATCAAAATGCTACCATTGCAAGCATGCATACCCACTCTGGTAACAATGTACAATACATAGTACGGAGTATGGACTCTATGGCACCCCCCTGTCGATCACCAACGCCAAGCCACAACCGCGGTCCAGACTATAATATGCACCAGCCCGGGCCAAGAACCTAGGCTCGAAGCGAGCTGAGACGATGACGACAGACCCGGTTGCCGCGTGCTCTGATCCTCTCCCCGACCGACATGCGGCATAACATCGCAGAGCTACGTGCAGGCCGACCGGGCCAGCATGTGATGCCGAAGCTAGCGGGCATCGGCATCGGCGGCGATTCACACATGGATAACTACGTACTCTGTGGAGAAAATAGACAAAAATCGGGTTCGGAACATTATTCACATTCACATTGCGTCGTCCTTTGGTCGGCAATGCCTCTATATCCATCGTCAAGTCAAGATCAAGTCGAGTCCATCCAGGTACAAGAACAAGAGCCATCGTCATCGTCGTCACGAGAAATATCAAAGACGCCCTCGATGAACCAGAGAAAAGGTAGAGAAAAGAAAAACAAAAGGAAAAGAAGACAAAATGGAAAGAGAAGGAAGAGTGCCCCGGCGCGCCCCCCTTTTTCGCCTCCAATCTTTGTCCGTAATAAAACAGATAAACTTAAAATCCCGCTAAAAGACGATCAGAAAGCACAGAAAGGGCAGAGAGAACCAAAAAAATCCCCGGTCGGAAGACCAGATGCCAAGCCAATAATGACATACACAAACACATGCTTATGCACAGGTTCCTTCATCCAACCCCCCGAGATCGGCGTCCACATCGGCCGTCCGACCGGGCCGCTGAGCCTCGGCTGAATACCCCGTGGGTCCTCCACACTCACCCACATGCGGCTCCGCTAGCGCGAAATCAAATGCCTTGGGCTCCGTGTCAAAGCCCAGGGCTTTCATATCAAATTCGTAGGCCTTTTCCTCGGCGCCCACACCGACGCTGGGAATACTCGACTGCGGCTGGTCATCCGCGAATAAGTCATTCCCGGCATCGTCGAAGTTGATCAGCGCGTCGAAGTCGTTCTGGGTCACTTCAGCATCATTGGCCAGATCCATCAGCTCAGTGAGGCTCATGTGAGAGTTCAAGTCTGGGATGGCGAAGGCGTCATGGGAGGCGTGGGGGTTGAGGTTATTCGTACTCCCGTTTTCGCTGCCGTCGGAGTGCGGGGGCGTCGTCGCGAAGAGATTGGCGCCGGCTTGGGTGCGGCTAGGCGCGGGGCCAGGCTTGGGGTATGTGAGGTCGGGGATCTTTTGGGCGAGGGAGTCGGGTGGGGGGGTGAGCGCGGTGGGGCGGGAGAGGAAGTCGAAAGTGTCTGGGGTGGTGGCGGTAGAGTTGGGGGTGGTCGTGGTGCGGCTGGAGCGGGCCCGCGACGACTGCACGTCTTGCGGGGCGACGGTGAGCTGAATGCCTGCTTTGCGGATGGCAGCTTCAAGGAAGGAGGTGGCGAAGTCGGCGGAGGCATAAATCTCGCGAAGACGCTGGAGAATGCGCATGCATTGGTAGAAGCGCTGGAGGCTGGTCATGCGCACGCTTGGGTCGCTGGATTTGATGTCCAGCAGGTGGATGATGACGGCAGGGAGAAGCACGGTCACACCGGTGGTAGGGTAGTACCGGGTCAAGTCCAGGAGGTGAAGGTCCTGGGCAATGTTGGTGATTTCCACCGCGGCGAAGCGCACCTTGTTGCGGGACAGATCTTGCAGCTCAGCGTCCACGGACGGATAGGGCACGGCGGGGAGGACCTGTGGGCGGTGCAGGGCGCTGGACGTAGTGAGATAGACCATCTTCAGCAGGGCACGGTGAGAGTGTAGCACTTCGCTAGCTTCGGATAGCTTTGAGCCCCCCGAAGGCGAATACTGGGTTTCCACGGGGAGGTTGGCCAGCCAGTCCTCCAGCTCCTGGTCACAGCGTCGCACCTCGAAAGTCTCCGCGGTCGATTTCTTGGGTACCAGCATCATGGTGGTTTCCATGGTACCGCCGAATTTGTGGCTCAGCACCGAGTACTGGGCCGAAAGGACATGGCTGACGCAGAGGCACAGCTTGGCCTTCTCGATGAACATCAGCGCCAGCTCCCGCTGGTGGCTGACATTCTGCAAGATCTCCGAGTCGCCGATCATTTTCACGATCTCCGGGGAGAAGGTCCGGAATTCGAAGTCGTCCAGGGCGAGCATGGGCACATCGCAGTCGTCGTCCATCACCCGCATCGGCCGTCGCATGCCCAACGCAATCAATCGGTCGCGCGTGTACGTACTCCACCAGATGCGCTTCCACATCCGTTGGCGGCGAAGGTCCATCCGCGAGTTACCGGGGTCCCGGTGTAGACCGATGGTGTGGGCCAAAGAGAGACTGACACCCATCCAGTGCCAGGTGTCCTTCTGGTCGTCGGGGGTCTCGTACCAGTACGTCATCAGCAGGAGTGACTGGACGAGGGAGATGCGGTCCACCTCGTAGTCGAAGTCGTACAGCAGACGGGCCCGATGGAAGAAAATCTTGCGGGCCGCTTTCCGGGTCTGGTAGCCGGCGGCCTGGAGATGTTTCATGTCCACAAAGGCCATGCCAGCGAACATGACGGCCTGGAATAGCAGGAGACTGATGCGGTGGATGCCATCATTCTGGACAATGGTCTGCAGGAATTCCTCCAAGTCCAGCAATGGCATATATGTGTGAACGTAGTGGATGTAGGCCTTGAGCAATTCATTGCGGAGGCTCACATCGGGGATTGTCAAGGCACCCTTGGCGGCTAAATAGTCGATGTCCTCCTTCTGGAGTCGTGCCGGCAGTCCACGGATATAGTCGGGAAGGAAGACATTGGCAGAGTGGGAGTGACCAAGATTCGGGTCCAGCAGTTGCTGAATTTGCAGGGTGGCATCGGCCAAAGGTATCGATGAAGGAACGGCCGGGCTAGGGGCCATTCGGTGACGATAACGATCATCAGAGCCAATGCGATGGGCCTGCGATTGATCTGCCGAGGGGAGGGGGGGGGGTATTAGTGGCCATACACCAAGTCATGTCTCGGAGAAAAGGCTACGAACAGAGCAGATGCGGCATATGTTGCCCATAGTCGATATCGACCGAGTTCTGCGAGGGCGACGTAGCCTCCATATCGGCCAGGCCGTGCAGAGAGCCCAGGCCCAGTGGATTCTCCTCGGAGGCTTCGCCAGGCGAGTCGGCGGGCTGACTGGTTTCCGCTTCCACACGCGACTTCCTGCAAGGTACCGAAAAGCCGACGTTAGCCTTTACAAGGATACTTTTTGCGGCAAGACGGTTTTGTATCAACCGAGATGGGAACGAACTTTCTCCGCTTGCTTTCTGTAACAATACACTCAACTTGGTCGAGGCGGCAATTCGTGCAGGGCGAGCCATTTTCTACCACATCGCAACGAACCTTGCGGGCCCGGCAGCAGCAGCAGGCTTTGGACGCCCGACGTTTCACCGGGCGATTATGGGCGGAGAGGCTGGCGACCGAGGCCTTGCGTTTTCCAGAGTCGGATTCGGCCATGGTCGTGGTGACACTACTCATGATGGAGGCGATGTGATGATTGGGGGGCGAAGGGAGCACATTCGACAGAGGCCTCCGGAAGAGTCGTTAGAAAGAGGATTGCCACACAGGCAAGAGAGGAGGGAGAGGGAGGAGAGGAGGGGAGAGGTGCCGTTTGAAGAGTGGAGAGGGTCCGGGGGGGGGGGCGCCTGGGGCCGGGGACATGGATGGTTTAAGTATAGGATGGTATAAACCTCCCCCGGTCCCGAACCCAGGACAAGGTTCGACTCAGGTTGGGGCAGATCCCACAGAATACCCCAATCAACGTGGTGATAATTCGCTAGGCTAAGACCGGCAGGAATTCCCCACACGAGAGGTATTTCCACATTGGAAGTGTGGAGGACTGCGTCACAGTGACCCAAACTGGTTTAGCGCAGTATTTTTCTGATTATTTTTCCTCAGCGGTCGCTGCGGTTTGGCTGGTTTGAGAATTTTCCAGTCTTCTCACTGGCTTTGCACGGGGCTCCGAAGGCATGACCAGCCCGTCTGGCCAAAATTGCTCGGCCCGCTCACTTTCCCCCGTGCGGCACCGAGGTGGTGCCGGCTATCCGATCCCTGTTCCGGGACTGCATACTTCTACAACTTATCCCATGATCATAGTATGAAAGGGAAGAGTCAAATCAATTCGCTAGTGGCTTCAGGATATCCATTTAGACATAATCTCTCACCACAAAAAAGAGAAGAAGGATCATTTGTGGGCCCCTTTTGTGGTGGAGCGCGTGTGTGTCATGGGAGGCGACCCCAGAGCTACTGAATGTGGTAATTTACCACGCCGTACTCGTAAGTTTCCCTTGTGTTCAAAAAAAAAAAAAAAAAAAAAAAAAAAAAAAAAAGGAAAAGAAAAAAAAAGTAACGGGGTAGACTCGGCTGTAGTACCCACGTCCACACCAAGCGGTAGATCCGGAAGACTGCCTCACAATAATAATCATATTATACTGTTTGTTGGGAATTGAAGATGCCATGGTGGCCCTAATCGCTTCATCCTCCCTCTCCTCAGTTTGTGCCGGACCGATGCACTGATAGGTTTAAGTAAGGGGGGTCCTCTTCCTGGTAGTAAAGCTCCCACGCCGACCAGGTACAGCACGCACCGCGGGGGTTCCGCAACCCGCAACTTCTGCGCCTCCCCAACAGATCTGAGAAGATCAGAGACCACGACAGAATACAGTAGTGTGGCTAGACTGGGGGACCTGGGGCTGGGGAGCCACTGGACCGGACTTCTAGGACCCATGACTAACTGCGGATGGAGTACGGAGGAGAGTGGTCCAACCAGGCGGAAGACTTGGAAGAACTGGAGAAGCGTCCGATGGCGGAGGGCCGGCCGGCCCCGGAGTGGAGGTCTATCACACGCTTACCCCCTCCGGTCCCTGGATGAATAATCAAGAAGAATGAAGAAAAATTCATCATAATGGGATCCACGTCGCTTCTCATGCCGTAGATCCGTGCCGACTGCAATGCGACAGGGGTTCGTGATCAGAAGACAAGAAATACCAGTCCATTGAAGGCCCCGGCTTGTCTCGATCGCTCGACGCCAACAATCACACACAACCTCTTTGGCGTACGGTAATCAATGTGTGGCTCATGACCCGGGTACTTCGATCGGAGCCTAGGAGAGATGCTTCGGTATACTCTATCACTGATGATACTACGATCCTTTCTGCATGACCGTTCAGACGGGGCTCGACCTGCAACGGGAGAAAAACGCAATGCAACGAGCAGTGGACCGTTACCCCTGTCTTCCCCCCCCCCCCAACCGGCACGAACGCCCACAGCTGAAGGAATTATATTGAATGGGATGAATATTAATTGGGATGATGGAAAAATGAAGGAACGAACTCCCCCCACCAAACCAGCGTCCCACTGAATAGTTTCGAGAAAATTCCCACCAGATAAATCAATAAATCATTCTATGATCATAGCTACGCCGCGGCTCCCAAAACCGCCGACAATCGGCGTGAGCATCGCCTCCATCTATCGACAGGAGAGTGAAAAGGGAACAAAACCGGCCGGACCGACGGTTCAATTCCCAGTTCCCAGCATGATGCCCGGGGCCCTACATAGGGTGTCCCAGATTCCGTACTAGACGAGTCCAAGTGCCGATTCTCGGAGGTGTCCAGTCCAGTCAACGGGGACGCGCAGGCTTTCCGCAGATTCCGCATGCTTAGTTACTCAACTCCCAGGGGGGCAGAAGAAATGATACTGTCCATGACGATGTGAAGCCTGGAAAGAAACCCTCCCCTTCATTCCTCGCGAGAAAATAGAAGGGCCCCGGTTTAGACGCAGAAAGCGGCCGTGAAACCAGAAAGTCTAATCTCCCAAAATCGGTGAAAAGGGTCGAAATCCCTCCAAAGCATGTGGGGAAATCACGAGGGCATTCGGGGATTTGCGGGGCGCCAGTGGGGACTCTCCTGGCGGAACGACCAGGAACAAGCAGCCAATGACCAGCGACGTTCTAGCCTGGGCGAAAGAAAGGGAAAACTCTGGCTTCGCACGCGCCCAGTGGACAGTGGGCAGTGCCGACAAAGTGGACGTCGAAATAGTGGGATGCCAATCATGGGCCTGGCATCTGTCAAGGTGCCGAGGCGCTGACTCGCGTGGTCCACGATACTCCGTACACAAAGGCGGCACCGAATACTGCCTGGGCCTTTGCGCGGCCTAGGCGTTGCCTCGTCCGTCTGACATGATGTTTCGATCCTGTCGGCGAAAAAAAAAAACATATTCAACACGCGAAACCCGGGGGGGTTGGCTGAAGACCTGGTGTCTAGGCGTGCGGGCTTCAACATCAGGCGTGTAAACGGATGGAGATCCGCATGATGCATCGTCCAGGTACTTCATCACGAATGGGCAAGCTACAGCTCGCAGTGTGTACGGAGTACTGGGAGCTGGTCGTGCCCTGCCTGTCGCAGGAGCCGACCCGAGAACTCAAGCCAGCAGGCTTGCCGACAGAGGCTCCCGAAACAGCCTAGGCGACCTCGAGTGCCGCAGGTCGTACCATCATTTCCGTCATGCCCGGTGCGATTCGCATCAGATCAACACCAACCACGGCTGCGGAACGGCGGGAGACCATTTCCGGAAATTCTGGTGCGTCTACCGTACGGTACGGAGCAGGTACGGCCGCAAAGTCAGCGATTGGATGTTATACAGCTTGCAGTGCGCGGCTGCTCTCTAGTGTTACCATCGGCCATCGCGCCGGTCGCAACCCCCAAACTGTACCCGCCAGTAGCCAGTAGCGCCGCAAGTGCTGAGCGCTGAATGGTGAATGCCGAGTCCTTTGAGAGGCCCAGATAGTCCGAGCACAGGATCCATGGAGGCCGAATCAGTGGGCACTGCAGCCACCGGAAAAGAGTCCTGGGCACTTTGACAGGAGCGGACCCCATATACACACCTAATAGAGAGTACGCCGTGCACCTACGGCACTCTGTAATATGCGCAATCGAAAAGCCACCCCACGTTGTGTCGGAGCAAAGCCGACACTGCACGGCCAAAGAGCTCCTCCATCCCACAAGGCCAACTGGGTCCAAGGGCGGGCGGTTGCACCCCCCGCTAAGAGTACACTACTCCTGGCTAGCATCGAGCCTGGCCATGAAGTGGGGGGGGGGTTTGGGTGGGGGCCGATCAACAACCTGGGCAGTTGGCAGCTGGCAGCTAGCAGTAAGAGGAGCGGGGCGGTTGCCCTGGTGGCGTCATTGCGCATTTGCCCTTCCAGCTAGGGAGCCCAAGCGGAACAGGGCAAGCTATTGGCCTTACCCCGTAATATCGCGCATTCACGGACAGGCGGGTTGTGGCGTGAAGAGAGATGTGGGCCGGACGAAAGGGATTCGGGCCCGATTAGGCAAGGAACCAGTGTGCAACTCGGCTCCCCGCGATGAGCAATGGCTCTTTGGTGGGGAAAGGCTGGGGGGGGGGGGCGAACTCTTGCTGGTGGGCGAGTCGGAGAGATGGTCGATTTGCCTCCCTGGGTCGAGGTGGCGCGGAGTTAGTTCGTATTCCAAGCGGATGGTACAGAAGATGGGAATTGGGGGGAAAGAGAATTGTCCGGGGATGGATAGGGCTGAAGAAAAGGTGAGGGTGAAAGTGGAGGTTCCCCGAACTGTATTGATAACCAGGGCCAGGTGTGTAACAAGGAGTGGTTTGGAATAGCATTCATTACTCGAGGGGGTACGAATCGGGTTCTCTTTGTAATCCCAGGTCTTGAATCGAGTCGGGGCTTGTACATAGTGGAATTTTGCGTACGACGTACCTCCCATGGGGGTCATGGACAATGTGTCAGTCTCATTATATATTGCATAGTATAACACATACCAACCACTTCTCGCTCAGTCGATACTGGAGATCACCAAAACCCCAGGGACACAATACCAAAGACAGAAAAAAATCCGTTACCTCCCTAAGCCTACAGTACAGCTTTACAAAGGGATGCCGAATCAACACAAATCGAAACTCGACTAACTTCATAGCACATAGTAGCATAAACATCGTAACCCAACCCTACCAAATCCCAAACGGGGTTATTTCAAGCCCCAAAAAGGATAGAAACCATTCAATGAAGAAAACGATAATCACTGCGGAAGGGGAATCAATCGCGAGAACAGCCAACAACGAGAAACAGAACATAACCAAGCACGCATCTCCCCGTCTCCCAATCTCTTCAAGTCCCCCAAACCCAGGCCGAAGCCGAAGCCGAAGCCGAAGCCGAAGCCCCTGTCTAAGCAGCACCACCACGACCCATCCGCTCAATCGAGCTCATGATGCCACCACGACCAGGCGTAGACACCGCAATGCCCGACTTTCCACCACTATTTCCCTGCGAGTGGCCACCGGGAGCACCGAAACGGGGAATGCGTTTCTCCGCCGTCGCAGGGGCGCGGATCCCACTCGAGCCCGAGCCCGAGCCCGAGCGCCCGATACTGCGGTTGAAGGTCTTCACGGGTTCACCAGCAGACTGATACTCCTCATCAGGATTGTTGGCCGAGAAAACCGAAGATTTGCGTTCCTGCTGTTGCGGCTGCGGCTGGGCAGGCTGGCCTTGCTGCATGGCGAGCCACTCGTCCACGGCCGCGACGAGCTCACCCTTCTCCGCGCGCTCGGACTTAAGCTCAGAGCGGAGGCGCTCACTATTTTCCTTCAGGGCAGCCATTTCGTGCTGCAGGCCTTGGATCTGGGCTTCAAAGACACGCTTCTCAGCCTCGTGCTCGTCGTTTTCGCGCGCGATCATGCTAGCGTTGACGGCGGCCATAGAATCCGACTGCGCGGCGTCGCGCTCGACTCGGAGCCGCTCATTGTCTTGGGTTGCGGCTGCGAGTCTCTTCTCCGCCTCGCGCAGGCGCTTCTCCCAGCGGGACTCGTAGCTTTTCTTCAGGGCGGCGACCTTGGTCTCGTGCTTGCTCTTGTACAGGGTATGCAGCTCGCGGGCGACCCTTTCGACGGCGTCCTGCACTTCGCGCGCGGTGTCCGCGGCGGATTGGGAGGAAGGCTGGCGCGATCCAGGGACGGAGCTAGATTCGGACGACGCCGACGAGCGAGCGGAAGAGAGCTGAGTCTCCAGCTCCACGATTCGGCCTTCCAGCTGCTCCTTGGCTTTCTCGGCCTCCTCAACCTTTTGCGAGAGACGCTCGCGCTCACGCTCACCATCTTCCAACTCATCCCGAACGGAGCGCAGAACGGTTTCCATTTCTTTGCCCCGGCGGTCCCATTCAGCCTGCTCCATCTCAAGCTCATCCTTGCGGGCAGCCTCGTTGCGTACTTCCTCCAAGGCTTCTCCCACCCGTCGCTCTGCATCAGCAACAGCCTTCTTCAAACTCGCAACCTCTGCTTCCTTGCCGCTGAGGGTAGCCTTGAGTGAGGAAATTTCTGACATGAAGCCTGACTTTAGCGATTCCAGTTCTCGCGGCGTGATGGAAGGAAGGGACCGAGGAGTCGGGGCGGGAGGGATATCGAAATCTAACAGAGACGACATCTTCGACGGGGACCGAATGGATTGTCGCATGGCCCGCATGGGAGACCGCCGTGATGAAGAGTAGCGAGCGCTTTGCATCGACTGGCGCGCGAAGAAGCTCATCTGATCGGTGAAATCAAGGAGGTTCGGCGTCTCGCCGGGCTGACCAACGCCCCGGGATGCCCTGCGCCTGGGCGTAGGCGACCCAATCGGCGAGCCTAGATCCAGCAACGGGTTATCTCTGTATGACCTGCGCGCGGTGCCGGGGGTCGATGGGGCAACACTGCGTCGGTACATATCAGCTGGAGGGGTCGGGCGGGGCCCAACACTGCCGCACATCGATTTCAGCGGCGACTCAGCGCGCAGTTGCGCGAAGGAGGTCATGTCCGGCAGGATGGAGAAATTGCTTAGGCCCGTGTCATCCATGGGGTCGTGGTAGTCTTCGCCCAACATGGAATGTTCATCGGCACGCTCGTGGCGTAGGTTCTCTTTGCCGGCATCCTCCTCGTCATGGAGAACGGTGCTCATGCCCTCGTTGTGCCTGTCTTCCATCATGCTGTTGGCAATCGCGGATCGGTCGTGTGTGGCACTCGCAGCCGATCCGAAGCTTTGGTTGTGAATGACACTGGACTCTTCGTCGAGATCGGCATGGATCTCCGGTCCCCCAGCCCGGCTCATCATGCCCTTCTTGCATCGCTCATTGCTTTGCGCATCTACATCGTGATCTTGTGGTGTCTGATCAAACGAACGCTTCCTAGGAGTCGCGGTTGAACGGGGGTCATCAAGGCCGAGAGATGTCCGAGGTACCGAGCGCAGCTTCTGAGAGCTGATCATGCTGTCCTTCTCACTTTGATGGGATAACGAGCTGTGCGCGGATTGCACGGAATTTTTATACGGCTCCCGCTGGGTTCCACGCGACGTCGGAGAACTGATCGTATCATCCTTCTCATAACGGAACGGCGAGTTACGCGCTCTAACGGGAGACTGTCCGGGCTTCCCAAACGACCGCCGCTGGATTCCACGCGAAACCTGAGAACTGATCGTATCATCCTTAGCATCCCCACGGAACAGCGAATTGTCCATTTCAACAAGAGCAGCAGCCTGCGTCATCTTTCTAACCGAGTCTCTTTCCGCAACTGACTCGCGCCGCATCTCGTGCAGATTCTCAAAACCAATTGTCTCCGCCTTAGCCTCAGGGCGGAAGGGCGAGCTCTCAGGCATAGTCTCGAACGTAGGCGTCACAGAGCGTTGCATCTCGCGCAATCTCTCGAAATCCACCGTTGCGTCTCGGGCGTCCGCGCGGAACGGCGAGCTAGCCGGGTCCTCGAGCGCAAGCCGCTTGTCCAGGCCTGGCGACATTGGCTGAACATCGCGCAGCCTCTGGAAGTCAATCGGCTCGTTTTCATTTTCATTCTCATACTCGTGCTCATGTTCATGCTCATGCTCGTCTTCGTACTCGTCGCGGGCGTTGGGACGGAATGGAGAGCTTAGCGGTTCATCTTGTTCTTCGATTGCGAACTGGTGAAGTGTACCAGCACTGGCCGAGGACCGTTGATGTTGCTTTTGCTGTTGGTATTCCCGCATCTTCTGGAAATCGACGGTTTCCTCGCGGGCATCGTAACAAAAGGGTGAGCTGGTGGGGTCTTGGTCTTGGTCTTGGTCTTGGTCTTGGTCTTGGTCTTGGTCTTCGTCGTCGTCATGATCATTGATATCGTGATGGTCGTGAGGGAAGTAATTTTGGTTCTGGATCTCGTTCGCGTTCTCGTCCGCGCCGTAGGTACTGAGGCTGCGCGCATCCGTATCTCTGTCCGTCCACGCCTGCTTCAGCGGACTTGACGGCACACTGAAGTCTGCGGGCGCGGGAGCATCGCGTGTTTTGGTGAGGAAGGGCGACGAGCCGCTCATGGTCATTGGCGAACGGGCTCGCACATTCTGGTAGGATGAGGAGAGAGGGGAGAGAGGATTTGACATGTCGAATGCCGAGAAGAGGACGTCGTGTTACCTCTTTGGTGTGTGAGGGAGGGAATAATGGTGATTGAGCAGGATCCGCTCATGTTTGGATTCAACGGGATGCGGGTGCGGTTGCGTTGCTATGTAAACAGAGCTAAGCCGTTTTCGGAAGGCGGCTTCAGCGAAGTATAAACCGTATGATGGGATCAACGGAGCGATTGTATTGTCAATGACAGAGGCAGAGAAATTATGAGACATTGGAAGGAGAGCTGTAGTAGTCTAGAAATAATAAATTGATTCTTTTTATCTCGCCAGCAAATGCTAAAACGCCATGCAGGGTAGTCGCTAAAACCGGAACACTCTTCGCCAAAGAACAGAACAGAACAGAACAGAAAGGGCAACCATATAACATCATTTGAACCCAACCACCCCAATCAAGATAAATATGAGCGAGAATGTACAACGGGATCGGGGTGGGCGGGTTAGGTATCATACTAAAACCTGGACCCCAGATCTTCACAGCAATACTGTGGCCGCCGAGCTTTCAGCATCAGCATCAGCATCAGTCACGATGATATGTACCGTTTGTTTCGGGGGCTGACTCGGAAGGGGAACATAGCGGCAGGGGGCCGCAGAGGTCACCGTCACAGACGAATACTTCTTGCGCTGGATGAACCAGATCTGGACAGCGCCCAGCAAGGCGACGAAGGAGCTTGCCCACCAAGAGAAGGCGGTGCAGCCAATTTCGGCACCGGCGCTGTACAGAAATCCCGCAACAGGAGGCGCGACAGTACGCGAGGCGGCGCCAGCAGATGCAGCCAGGCCGTTGATTTTGCCCATGACCGCATCCGAGGGACTGGCTTGCTTGATAAGGATGAGCAGCACGGGGTAGGCGATAATGGACAGGGTGTTGCGGATGATCAGGCAGGCATAGATGCCGACGAAGACGAGGTGTTGCGGCAGCAGGGCCAGAAAAGGGACCATGAAGTATGCGATCGGATGAAGGACCGTCACGACGACGAAAAGCCGCCACACACCGAGCCATTGGGCGAGGGCGGGGAAAATAAGGCTTTGAATCACAAGGGCGATGATTCCATCCGTGGACATAATCACACCCACGTTTCGGGTCGAGAGGCCAACTCCGCCCGGAATATCGAGCAGAGCGTGATGACCTGCGGAGACGCCGCGGGTATTTTCGTCTTGCAGGAAGATAGGTAGGAGGTGGTCGTATGTCATCGAATGATACGTGAAGATGGCGAGCGCGACCACCAGCATCGTGACCCGCCAAGTGAAGGCTTGAGGTTTCAGCGACTTCTTCCACACGGGAGACGTACCGTCTGCCTGGACACCCCAGTGCTCCTCCTCATGCATGCTGATCTGATTGAATGTTCCGTAGGACTCGGCCCGAAGGTCGACGCCTGCATTGGCCGTGGCGCCCGAGGTCGCGAGGAGAGGCTGTTCGGCAGAGGTGTGCTCAAAGAAACGATGGGCACAGCCGGGTTGCATGTCCGGGTGGGTCTCTTGCAGAAACAGGCAGCTGCCGATGATGCTCAAGAGCAGAAGAACAGAGCAGACAAGGTTGGGCAACAGATAAGGAAAACGGCCAAAAAGACCATCCGTAGGAAACAGGGATGGGAAGCCTTCTGCGGGCCTTGCCAGCAGACCTCCAATGGCTGCATGGATTTACGACTTAGCACTGGGTCTGTGATCGATGTGGCGTAGAGTGAAGGAGATGAAATAATGGATGGCGCTTACCTGGCCCGATAATAGTCCCAATGGACCAGACAAAAGGCATGACCGCATATGCCCGTGCTACGAACCATACAACGTCAGTGCACAAAGTCCACGCACCCAAAGGCCTCATGACTTACGCTCATGCTCAGGTCGTTTCACCAGCTCGCCAACCATGGTCTGGATGACACCGATGTTTCCATTCAGAGCACCGCCCAGCACTCGACCGACGAGGGCCACCCAAAAGTTCGGAGCCACGCCGACAAGGAGCAGGGAGAGCATGGTACCCACGCAGCCGGAGATGAGGACCGGCTTGCGGCCCACTCGATCAGAGAGACTGCCCCAGAACATGCCGGTCAGGGCCTCGGCGAGGGAGAAGGCGGAGATCAAAATGCCGGCGTAGAAGGAGGCATCATGGCCGCTAGCCATATGGAAATCCTTGACCATCACCCATGAGTAGGGGAAGATGGACGTCAAGGCGATCGGCTCGGCCACGCGACATATTGCTGCGGCGGGAGAGGTCAGCGAAAGATGTTCCAGGTGCGCATCAGGGGAAAGGCGACGCAGAGGACGTCCGTTGGACCACCATACCCAGGAGGAACAGCTGGACAGTGGGGAAGCTGTCGTCGGTCGACGCGAGAGATCTTGGCTGTTGTGTTAATACCATCGTCCTATAGAAGTATCTAAGACCTTACGGCAAGCCCTCCCCGCGAAGTCAAGTCTTCTTCACCTAGAGTGCCGCTGTGGTATTTCCGTTGGTTGGAGCGCAACTTTGGGTTTCGGGGTTTGGCCTCCAGCCTTTGGCAGAGTGTGCAGTTTGAGATTCAGAGGACATGAAGGGAAAGAGGGAGGTGGCGGGGACGAAAGGTGGAGGGGAAAAAGAGCCTGCGGTCTGCGGTTTCCATTACCCAACCGAGAGCGGACTGCGCTGGGGCCACAACCCGGCCTGCCCTGCTTGCGACAAGCGCCGCCTCCTCAAGGAATGCACGGTCTCATCACGGCACAGTGTTCTCTGATTGATTCTACGATTGATCATCGACCATGACAATGACCATGCTAATGACCATGCTATGAATCATGTTGATGTCCGTTCCTCTGTTTCGATTCTACAGGACTAGAACAGAGTTTGAATCGAGTGGCGAAGACCCAAACTTTACCCGCTCGGACAGCCACTCCCACCCTATCGAGGTTGCATCGGGGCAGGGACCATCCAAACAAAGAGCCCGATAGTTAGCCACATGGACCACAGGGGAATAGTTCAATGGTAAATCGTGCAGCTGGCCACGAACAATACATCAATGAACAATTCAAGCCACGTTCGACGCCCCTCCACTGGAACCCGTCGGTCGTCTGATCGCTCCACCCATTTCTTAGCGGCCGTTTCGTCGCGTTCTTAATCGCCACCGGACCAATGACAACGCACCATGCACCGCCCGGGCCCCGTCAGAGCCGTACATGAGGTGTGGGACTGCGCGTGTGAGTTGCAGGGTAACGAGCGGAGAGCGGCGGCGATAGATGTTTGGATTTGGATTTGGATTTGGAGTGGCCGAAATATTTCCCAGGATCTGACCTGCTCGGGTGTACTTGATTTCACATTGGAGTGTATACGGAGCGAAGAGAATGTCCCCTGAACGGGGCTACCTTCCCCTCCCAAGAGACCAGACGTGACATATCGACAATAAATGAAACATGACATCTATGTTTGAAAGCACTTAGGTGTCTACATCATCGAATCCGGAAGACCAGCTCAGCCATAAAGAAGAGCTATTTGCTAATAGTGGGAGAGTCATACATAGTAAAGATGGCGAAGGACATGCAGGGCAGGAGCAGGCCAACTCAACGAGATGTACCTCTGAGAGAGAGAGAGAGAGAGAGAGAGAGAGAGAGAGAGAGAGAGAGAGAGAGAGAGAGAGAGAAAAGGGGGATGAGAGGGGGTAGGTCGAGGAAACTGCAAAAAAAGGAGAGGAAGGGGGCCGGTTAAGGGGTGGTCAAAGTAGGGTGAATCTCCTCTATCGTGGGTTGAGTGGGTGGGAGAGAAACAGATGATACGGAAAGGGACCAGAAACGAGCGATATGCTAGAACAAAGAAGCAAACATCCTTCAATCCGATGAATCCGTCCTGCTGCGCCGGCTAATTCATAATCCCATTCCATGCGGCCCGACAGAACCCAATCGAAAAAAGGAAAGAACATGGGACCATGAATGGAGATCACGAGGTTGATCACGAGGTCGCTTCGGGGTTCGCGGCGCTCGTAATTTCAACCGAGCGAGTCTCCAGTTCTTTGGGGGAGATGCCGCCCGGGCCCTGCACGTCCACCGGAGGTGTCCCGAGCGGGGTCTTCTCAGCCGTGGCGGGCTCACCATCGGTCCGGGCCACATCGGCCGAGGGCTGGTGGACGGAGGGAGTCGCACTCGAGGAACCCGCCACGTGCTGGGCACTGTCCTCGACATGCTCGGACTCGCTCCCCTTTTCCTCATCGCCGATCACGGCAGCCAGGCTGCGGAAGTTGAACATCGGTTCGAGAGAGGTGTTGCTCCCGTCTGCCGCGACGTTGCCCACCCGTTCGTCCGGATTAGCTTCCATGATCGACGAGAACGACGAAGAGGCGCTCGAGACGTGTCGTAGATGAGATGGTTTGGATGGTTCGGCATTCCCCGACAGATCAGGCGGGGCGAGGGATTGATCTGTTGCACTGGACGCGGTCGAGGAGGCAGGCAGGGGAGTGCCTACCGTTAGTGATGGGGGGGCCCGATCAACGGCTTTGCCCTTCCCTGCAGTCGAGGCTTCTTCAGCAATGGAGGATGAGCTGCTGGCTTTGCCTAAAGGGCCTTCCAGGGGAACAGACAATGCGGAAGTGCTGGCATTGTTGCTGTACAGGCCAGTCTTGCGAGCCGCCTTATCGGCCTTCCGGGCCTCCTTTTCCCTCTCCTTTTCGCGTTTCTTCGCTTCCTTCTTGATTTCCTTCTCTTCTCTCCGCCGCCGATCCTCCTCACTGGCTAAACTCAACCGAATCGCCTCCATCATCATCATTTCTTCCAGGTCATCAAAGCGGGTGCGCCTGGAGCTCTCTCGTGCCGGTGCGATATTCCCTTGCCCGTCCTCTGCTGAATCCGTGTCGGGCGCGGCCGCAGGCACCCGAGGCGGGGTTCGGTCAGGCCGTTCGGTCAAGAATGCGAGCGCATTGAGGGCAGGGGATCCGGACCGGCCGGCATCCCCGTACGTCGCTCGTCGCAACCCTCGGCGCCCCAGACCGAGGCCCCGCGACTCGCTCCCGGAGTTGTTGGAATTCATCAAATACGCCGCGGTGTGAAGGGCAGTCGCTGCGGCCGACCGACGAGCTGCATGAGCTCGGGCATTAGCCAACTTCTGCGCCCAGTCCGGACGGACCTTGTCCGTCGTAACCACAGTAGGGTCGCTCGCAGACAAGGAGGTCGCACGGCGGCGACCGGTTGCGGGAAGAAGATGTGCGGACGACAGAGATGAAGTGGAAGAGACGGGAGAGATGATGTTGGGCGAGGGGCGGGCGCTGGGGTCGGCGGCGTAGGTTAGGCCACGGCGGAAGGATGGCGGGGTATAGGTGACCCCAAACTCAGGCTGGACGCAGAAAGGACACGCGGAGGGCTCTGATACAAGCTGGCCGTCCGTCGATTCAGCTGCCTGCTGCTCCTGTTCGCCCTCGGCCGGAGCCCGAGCCGGGGCATTAGTACCGGGCTGGTCGTGCTCTGGGGGATGCGGATCCGGGCGCTTGATCTGAACAAAACATTCCGAGCAGATGGGCTGATCACAGCATCGAGTTCGGTTCAGATGCGGGGGATAGTACAGGAAGCAAATGGGGCATTCAGTCGCATCTTTGTAGAGATAGACCTCGATGGGTTGACCGTTCACGAACGGATCCTTGGGAAGCTGGAGTTCTCGGGGGGTCAGATCAGTCTGGGAGCCATGCCTTGAGGAGGTCGTCAGGGCTGCGAGGGTCTTTGCTCGGGCGCGGAATAGCGGCGAGGTGGAGGTGCCTGATGCGATCGCCGACGGCAACGACTGCGCGGGCATGGAGGATTGCGAGAGGTCGGAGTTCAGGGACTGCGACCGAGACGTGATGGGCACTGTGAGATGCTGGATATTCGCCTCGGCAGACCCCTTCGTATCACTGGCCTTGGGAGGCATGTACTCCAACTCCGGTGGGATCTCGTCCGGCGGGGGAATGATCATTCCGCGCGCGGCGGCCATAATCTGGTGCTCCGCCCATGATTCCGAGAAGTCATTCAACCCTCTCCAGAAGGGGGCCAAGCGACGTTCAATCTAAGGGACCCAAGCTGTCAGTCATTGCATTTCTGCAAGCCTGCCGGGGTTGGGGGGAGGGAGGGAGGGAGGAGTTGTTTCTCCGCGCGGGCCTACCATGAGTTGCCGGACTACCGCCTTGTTGAAGTCCTCTGTGCCCACATACACGCCCTGAGTGACAAGATAGCCTCCATCCACATGTTCCTCTTTCATACTGCGTTCCCTCTCCTTCACACGAGCCGCCCGTTCCTTCTCCAAGCGGCGGGCCTCCCGCTCCTGCTTTGTTTCGCGCCGGTGTTCCAGGGAGGCCACGTCACGGTCCTGATGATGGCTGCTGCCGATGCCGAGGATAGACAAGTCTGGCCGACTACTTCTGCCCGACCGAGGGCCCTGGTATAGCGCCCGTCCACTGCCGGGGCCATCGGAAGAGGACCATTGCTGACTGCGGTGCGGCGGGGCGGTGCGGGACTCCTTGGTCTGCGAGTTACCCATCGCGATGGGGTAAGAATGGTTGGAGGGAGAGGCTGGCCGTGAGGTTGAACCAGGTCTGGCCGGTTGGCACGGCGTTCCTCCGAAGGGGAGAAAGGGCCCCCAAGAAGGGGGGAGGTACGGGAAATGGATCAGGAATCAGGCTAAAGCCGAGAAGACGAATACAGCAGCATAAGGCCCTTAGCTAGGAAATCCGAGAAATGACATGTGGAGGTCAAGTAGTCGAAGCGGGGAGCAGAGCCAGGGGGGGATCTGTTCGGAGGAACTGGGGAAGTGAGATCGGTGAGAGAAGGTGGGAAAGCTAAGAATGGCGCTGGAATGGGATAAACGGGCTACGTAAGAAGAAGGCAAGACCCCAGGGTCGGATGTGGCGGATGCCCTATCGACCAGGTCTGTGAGTTAGTTAATCGATTACGCCGTTGAGTTTCCTACTCCGCAATGAGTTGGGGACGGGCATTCCAGTCCACCGGGTCCATCTTGTCGTGTGCCACGAGACTCGTCATCACCCGTACTTATCGGGAGCCCGAGGAGCTTGTCGGAGCCCTGAGGGCCCTGAGAGCCCTGCGCGAAGGGATGGTCGCGATTACATCAGCCCTTGGGAATCCGAGGCCCGGCAATCTGTTGATCCCTGATCATTCCCGCGAGACGATGTACGGAGTACCCTGGTCCCGTCTCGCATCCAGTCTCTCCACCGGCCTCCACTTAGCTTTGCAGGAAATTGGCCCGGCCAGGGGCCATGAGGAATCGTCCCCAGACGAGTACGGCGGGCGCGAGCGGCCATTGGGGAAGTAGCTGGAAGTAGACCGTCCCCTTCTGGCAGGCGGTGGCCGACTGCGGAGCCAGGAAAAAAAGTGCGGCGATCCGATGCGAGCTGGTCGACCTGCCTCTTAACAGGTCCAGACGGGCCACGCCAGATGCAATGACCGAAGCCACCACCAGACTCCATATCACCCCTCTCACTCCCGATATTCTTCCCGCTGTGCTACCGCCCTCACTCCGCCAGTCCGCCGCCGATATCTCCTACCACGCCATTCCCACATTCCCCGAAAACAGCTACGGCTACGTTACCCTGCCGACCATGGACGCCGAAAAGATCAAGAAGAAGCTCAATGGCTCCATCCTCAAGGGCAAGAAATTCAAGGTGGAGGTGGCCCGCCCGTCCAAGCGGGAACGAGACGCCGAGGATGCCAATGCCGTGGTCGAAGTTCCTGCGGAGAAGACGAAGAAGTCCAAGAAGCGCAAATCGGATGATCAAGAAGACAGCGTGCTAGATGGCTATGAGCTGCCTTCGAATCGCAAGGTCAAGCGAGGATGGACGGAGCCGTCCGGTGCGCAGAAGGACCGCCGACGGAACGAGAAGAGCAAGAGCAAGGGTGACAAGAAAGAAAAACCCCGGACCAAGTCCAAGTATACGGAGAAGGAGGAGTGCTTGTTCCAAACCAAAGTCCCACCCAATCGTGCGGGAAATGCTGCCGATGACAAAAAGGCCAAGAAAAATAAAAAATTATCAGAGAATATTGTTCACGAGTTCGCCAAGACGACCACCTATCCCAGCTTCCTCCGCACCTCAGGAGAGGGGGCGGCGCCGACGGTTGAATTCGAGGAAGGGAAGGGCTGGGTGGACGCTTCGGGCAACGTGAAGGAGGCTGCCAGCGACAAGGCCCGAAAGGATGACTACCACCCGGGGCAAGTTGCGGGAGCCAAGCTCAAGAAACCAGCTGTCAAGAATTCAGCTGTCAAGGAGACGGTGCCAGAATCGTCGAATGAGCCGGAAGACTGGACATCATCCAGTGGCTCATCGTCCGAGGAGAGCTCCGACTCTGAGAGCGAAGCCAGTAGTTCGTCCGACGATGCATCTGATTCTTCCATGGAAGAAGAGGACGCAAGCCGGAAGGCGCCGAAAGAGACCGCAAAGTCGACCCCTCCCCCTAAGCCTTCTTCTGACGATTCAAAGTCGGAGTCAGGCTCAGACTCGGATTCAGAAGTGGCTGATCAGCCCGCTGAAGATGCCGAAGAGCCCTCTGCCCAAGAGGTCCATCCTTTGGAAGCACTTTTTAAACGGCCTCTCCCCATAGAAGCCGAGGAAAAGCCTGCACCCGCCGCCACCGCTGGATTCAGTTTCTTCGGAAACGACGATCTCGAGTCTGAGGATGAGCCGCACTCCGCCGAGCCTCAGACCCCCTTCACACCTTTCGCCAAGCAGGACCTCCAGATCCGCGGTTTGCGGAGCGCCGCACCCACACCCGATACCGCCATGATAAACCGCCGCATGAACTGGACCGAGGCAGACGAGATGGAAGAGGACGAGCTTTCTATTGATACCCCGGTGTCGAAATCGCACGAGAAGGCTGTGCCGGCAGAGGAGACGGATTTCGCAAAATGGTTTTGGGAGCACCGTGGTGAAAACAACCGTGCTTGGAAAAAGCGGCGGCGCGATGCGGCTAAGGAGCAGAGGCAGAGAGAGAACCGGAAGAAAGGCATGAAGGGCAAGTCTTAGAGTGGATATCCATGTTGGGTATCAGAAGGGGCAGTATGGGATTATGCTGCTCTGTAATTATAACTTTTGGACCATAATTACATAATTCCACCGGGTTCAACATCCCACTTACCTACTCAAGTATAACTAGGTCTCACAGAATGGTTTGCGATCTACGGAGTATTCTTTGGGTGGACGTCTTCCAGCCTGTGGGAGAGCTACAGTCACGTGAGTTATCCCGATAAGTGGCTGCGATAACCTCGTCATCCAAGATGTTGGCTTCGTGTCGACCGACCCAGGCAAGATGCATCTCGGCAGTTGCTTCAAGAGCAGCAGGGCACATCTCCTCCTGCTACTCCTTGCCCTTCTCTCCCTCATTTCTTTAACTCAGGCTTCCAGTAAGTGGGAACCACGCGACACCGCTCAGCTTCTCGCCGCGTGCTATATGGGCGAATTCGGACCAAAACGCTGATACTAACTGCCTACCCGTGCAGCACCCACCTCCTTCTGCAAATGTACCTGCTTCTCCAACAGCACGATCATCCCCCTGGACCCCGGCAAGTCTAGCTCCAGCTCCGCCCTCGATCATGTCTACAACCTATACGAACGCGCCTTCGCAAGCCCCGACCTGGACCTCGCCAGCACGCCAGAATCCAAATCCGAAACAGACAGTGAAGCACCAGCGGCTCTCACCGAGCGCGCATCCAAATACCGTGCGCTGAGCTGCAACGACTGCAACCGCAAGTTCTGTCTGGACTACGAGCTGCCGATTTGCAAAGACGCGAAGGAGGAGGACGTCTTCACTACATGCTTCCGTAAGTGTGTGTGCGCTGGTGCGCTGGGTCGCAATTGCCTTATCCTACAAGTCCAAGCCTAGAGCTACTCTCGAGGTGGTTGACTAGACGAGACTATCACTCTAATAGTCTCGTAGACTCCTGGACTAGACTGCCATTGAAGGCATCCCCATTCCTCCTCCCGGCCCTCCCAAACCAAAAGCGTGGTACATGAGCTGACTGTTCTACGCGGCGCATAGAGCGCGACTCCCGGAAAGACGAGGCGGTCGTCTTCATTTTCATTTTTGCCACGGGCGGCTTGCTGACGTGGGCGCTGCTCAAGCCCTGGATCGAGCGGTATATCGAGGTAAGAAAACAAATCATAGGACTCCGAACAGAGCTCCGTTTTGGCTGCCCTCTTGCTTTGAAAAAGTCAACGGCTGACGCGTGGTGAACCTCAATCTGCAGGCTGCGCGGGAGCGCCGATCGTACATGCCTGTTGCGGAACCCGATAGCTAGCTAATGAGCTAGATTGATGATGGCTGAGCCAGTCTCCCAAAAATCCAACCAAAAATCCACCAAAACTGGGAGTCTTCCTCCCGTCTGAGCTGTGTCTCCCTTGTAAAGATAAGAAGAGAACAAGGAAAGAAAAGCAAAGAAAAGAAAAAGAAAAAAAGGAAACCCGCTTCCCAAATAAGTAGAATGACGTCCTGAACATTCGGGCGATAGCAGAACAATAACGGCCAAACCCGTGCCACACCGGGAAGCGGGTTGTTGCGCTTCCAATGATATCACTGCGAGAGCGCACCTGTGGCATGCTGGAAGATAAACCAGCCTGCACGAGCCGGGACAAGAGGCCTGTGCAAGAATTAGCTGGCGTTGAGCTAGCCCAAGTTAGCGATGCATTAGGTGTAGGAGCCGGGTCTGTCCATTGGTATTCGTGCGTTCGACCATGGAAGAGCCGGTGGCTACCAGCCCCAAGCCCGATCTATTGCCTCTAGCGCCGCCAGGTTGTGACGGATCCAATGGCCCAATGGCCCCCACTTGGTTGGTGGGAGATGAAACAATCAGGCACAGGTGGGACGATCTCCACTGCGTATCAAGCCCGCTAAATGGAGACCCTTCCAGGTTTCCATGTGGACGCGCGCCAATGGCGGCGCTGCTCGGGGATCATGATGAGTTGGCGGATGCCAGCTTGGATTCCCTGGTCGGATCGGCCGATGGAGGGCGATGGTGATTGAAGCGAGCATCACTGAGCATGGGAAAAAGGTGATCGCTGGCCCTCAGTGTGGTCGGGGGCCAGCGGAAGCGAATGAGGCGGCCCTGAAGGGGAGGTTGAGAGAGTTTGGGATTGGAGAGTGGATTCGGATCCCTCAGGCACAGCTTGCTGCCCTCCCCCCAATTAAGATTACAGGTTCATTTCGCTTCCTTTCCTTGGTTTGACATCCTTCTCATAGTCCTCTCTGCACTCCTTCTCTCTTCCCTTTTTCCGCCATCATCACCTCCAACGTCCACCGTCCGCCCCCGACTCTGGGGCCTGCGCGGAAGAGACCCATCGAGATCGAGATCGTCGCCAACTAAAAAAAAACGGTGGCGCACATTGTCGGGATAGCCACGAGCTTACCCACCACGTTGCGTCCTCCACACCTATCCCGTGCACACAGTGTATACTTCGTCCTTCTAAATGGCGATTTTCGACTCGGAGAAGCGCCCACGCGGCCTGCGCGTACCGTCCCTGACGGCTATGAAAAACAGCAGCGCCGCCGCCAAGTCGCAGTTCTCTTTCCACAGTAAGAAATCCAACGACTCGCACGAAGATTGCACGGCGCCCGCCTCGGGCCTCGCTGCTGCACCTGCACCGGCGCCCAAGTCTGCACCGCCTCGAGATAAGCAACTCCCGCCTCCCCCGATGGAGAAGCGGCCGCAGCCGGGCCCTGCCCCGCCGCGGTCATCCTCGATGGTGCCCCCGCGTCGAGAGGTAGCTCGCAACCACAGACCCGGCGAGACTTCACCTGTCATGGGAACACCGACGACGGGGTTGCGACAAGCTTCGCAGGTGTCCCCTGCAGTTGCAGCCACGCCACAATCACCGCCGCAATCGCAGTCACCTCAAGTACGAGCGTACGCTCCATCGCCTCAATCGCCGCCCGCTTCTCATGAAGGCCTGGTTTATCAGTTGTCCCAGGCTGCCCCAACTCCTCCAAACCCCCAGTCCCCTCCGACCCGGCACGCAGCATCCCAAGAGTTCCAAGCCCCAGCTGCAGTCATGTCCGCGCCTCAAGCATCCGAATCAGCTCCACATCCACAGGCATCCTCGGCAGCACGAACACATACTATATCTCCCCCACCACAAGCCGAGACCGACGCCTTGACCCCACTGGAAGACTTCATCCCAACTCCTGATGGCGCAGGCACGCCTTTGGAACCAGTGTCCAGTGACGAACAGGCTCCACCCGACACCTATACACCACCCGAGCTCGAGCCTGTCGCAGCACCACTGGGCAAGGTCCACTTTGCCTGCTTCCAGGAGCACAGCAACATGGTGGTTGTGCAAAATGTGTGGTGTCCGGTGCCGTGCATGACGTGCAACAAGTTCGACCGCGAGATTCGGCATCGCTGTGTATTCTGCTGCCTACGTGTCTGTGAGAGCTGCAATCTGGTGCTGCAGAAGTGTCAGAGGCGGTCGTTGGCGGAGCTCTTGGGCCAGCTGGGCTGATTTTGGTGGGCTGAGTTTCCTGTCTCCCCTTCTTCTATAATTTTCCCCTTCTTCTTCCACCACTACAACTACTACAGCTACTACTCCATTTCTTCCCTTTTGCTAGTATATCTCTCATGTCCTTCTTTCTCTTCTTAGTTTCATTGCATGACTGGCGCTGTGCCCTTGGGCTAGGAAGGATGCTGCGAAATTTGATTAGATCGGATCACATTCTCATCTGGGCTCGGCGATACGGAGTAGCGGCCGGGCTGTGCTTCTGTATGGGTCCTTTTTTATGATACCAAGGAGCTTCGTGTATAGTATGATTACCCGGAGAGTGGGATCACCAGCGTCGACATATTGATGATGAGTTTGTGTCTGGCTCTGAATTAGAAAGCAACGGGGCCATGAAACCAGAAATCAGGAAGTGCGCATCAAACAAGTCGCGGCGCATTTTTTGGGGTCGTAATCTATTAATAATTCGTCATGTAAGACATAGTGTACAGTCTACTCCGCTCTGCAGCTCCGGTTTAATCGTGCTCCTCCTCCGTCAATCCAGGGCAACCCTCCAGCTCATCGTCTGTCTCATAGCGATGCTTGCACCAGAAGCAATACCGGTATGTCTCCCGCAGGTAGGTGACCAGCTGCTGCAGTCGCTCAGCCGGATCGAGCGCGTTGAAGGCATCCAGTTCCGGGTCCTCCTCTTCCAGCTCCTGCTCGACGACCGCAGTATATGGCTCGCGGGTGCCGAGCGCCTGCCGATCGTCGCGATCCATGGTCACGTCATCGTAGCCCGGCAGCCTCGAGCTGGGGAAGAACGAGGACGGCAGCGAGGACTGGAGGGCATGGCGGGCCTGAATGGAGCGTTCGCGCTCCTCGCGCTCGCGGACCAGGCCCCGGTAGAGCACGTTGAGCTGCGCTGTTGGCTTAACATGCTTATGTTTCGGGTTGCCCAGGGTCTCGCTGGCGGGTGTCTCGTCCTGCGAACAGGCGTGGTCGGGGGTGCCGTCTTCATCGGACCCAAGCACGCCACCGGCCGCAGGTTGTTTGGATTCACCCGCTTTCCCCTCCCTGCTGGGCGCCTCATCGGCCGTTTCCGCCTCCGCTTCTGCATCCAACCTCTCCGCGACCTTCTGCGCAGCGCGTACATGCGCCTCGGTGCGCCTCGTCTCGCGCTCCTCCCGCACGCGATCGCGGTAGTCGCCTTCGTCCCGCTTGATTTTCTTCGTGGCCTCTTCGGCCTCCTCGCGGATCTTGCGCTTCTTCTCGCTGTCTAGACCGATTCCGCCTCGGCCCTCCTTAAAAATGAGGTTCAATGGCTCCGAGCGCGCTGGGGCCGGACGATGGGTCGAGGCTGAGTCGGCGGATGTGGTCGAGGTCGAGATAGAGGCCGAGGCCAAGGGGGCGGAAACATCGCGTTTTCCGAGCGACTCGCCCGGCTTGAAGCCTAGCTTGGCCATCATCTGGAAACCCTTGTTGGTGGGATCCAGGGTGCTCTTAGCCAGGGCTTCATCGCGACGGGCAGCTTCTTGAGCGGCACGTTCGGCTTTGGGGGGACTCGTCCGCGGGCTTCAGCCTGAGAGAAAAGCGTTGTCAGCGGTCGGGGAGGATTCTGTGCACAGCCCCAAGGAGTGTTGAGACGGCTAACGGTGGGGGCGGGGCGGAACCTTACCTCTCGTTGCTCACGGCGTTTGCGTTGAGTGAATGTCTCCTTCTGCGAGGGCTCCTCGATCACCATGGACATATAGTCCTCCTCGTCGGCAGACATGGCGGTGATGCAAGACGAGGATTTGCACAGGCGCAGATATGCTTTTTGCGGGGAAAGCCCGAGTGGAGCCGCCAGCAGCCAAGCAGCCAATGACAAGCCCGTGCGGCCATGCTTGTAGAACGTTTGTTGTGCTCCTCGGACTTGATGCGCGCAAGGGAGGGTCTAGCCCCCCCCCCCCTTGGGACCCTGACTGGGTCTCGCCCTTTATTCGGTTTGTTGTCCGCGATCGACGGCATTCAGACCACTCAGGCGGCCCAGTCTGGCCCCGCCAACTTTCGGACCTTTTCAGTGCGTGGCTGTGAAGGGTCTAGGGCGCCTGGATTCACTTGACTGGGCCCTTTTTGTTTTCTTTTACGACCTCGGGGCCAATGCCATTTATAAGAGCGCGATGAGTCTTGAGACCCTTTCCTCCAGTCAAGCATGGTCCGACATGGTGATTTTACGCCTCTTCTTCCTGCTATCCCTCGCGTTCGCGAAGTCTCCGGTCGTTGACCTGGGCTACACCAGCTATGAGGGCCGCTCACTCGGCGGTGGCATCTCACAATGGCTCGGCGTACGCTACGCTGCTCCACCGGTGGGCGACTTGCGCTTTGCAGCGCCCCAGGATCCCCTCGTAGAGAAAGGGATCCAGCAGGCAAACAAAGTACGTGTGGTGTGCTTGCATCTGAACCTCCTCGGACCGTGTCGGCTGACTCGCTTTCTAGCATGGCGATGTCTGCATCCCAGTTTCCGACAAGCTGAACCAGGCTGTACCATCGGGCACCTCGGAAGACTGCCTTTTTATGGATATTTACACCCCCACGCACGCGCTCAAATCGGACAAGAAACTGCCAGTATACTTTTTCATCCAGGGAGGAGGCTTCGCCCACCTTTCTAATCAGAACTACAATGGGTCAGGCTTGGTTGAGGCCTCGGACTTTAACATCGTTGTCGTCACTTTCAACTACCGAGTGGGGCCCTACGGCTTTCTCGCCGGCGCAGAAGTTGACGAAGGGGCGAGTCTCAACAATGGTCTGAAGGATCAGATCAAGGCCCTCGAGTGGGTGCAAAAGTATATTACCAAGGTAAATCAAGCCACGCGTTTCATCATGTGTTGGACACAACTAATTGGTACATGTAGTTCGGCGGTGATCCGGATCAGGTTGTTATCGGCGGCGACAGTGCAGGAGGTGCCTCCGTGACTCTCCTGCTTTCTGCAAATGGCGGGCGCGACGACAAGCTGTTCGTCGGAGCTGCCGCGGAATCTCAAAGCTTTGCAAACATGCTCAATGTCACCGAGAGCCAATTTGCCTATGACAGACTGGCCCAGCGGACGGGCTGTGACGAGAGTACGGACTCGCTCGAATGTCTACGAAACCTCGATATCAGTGATCTGCAGGCACAAAACATCAAGACACCCTACCCAGGTGCACCCGGCAATCCGTTGTACCTATATGGCCCAACCGTCGACCAAGGACTCGTCGAAGACCACACATACAAACTCTTCCATGCGGGCAAATTCATCAAGGTCCCCGTGATCTTCGGCGACGATACGGATGAAGGCACCATCTTCGTCCCCAAGGATACCGCCAGCGTCTCCGATGCTGACAAGTTCATCACCAACCAATTCCCAACCATCACCAAGGCCCAACTGTCCAAGATCAACGGCATGTACCTCACCAAGAACCAGACGCGCTCGTTCCCCCACGCAAAGCCCTATTGGCGCCCGGCCAGCAACGCCTACGGTGAGATACGCTACATCTGCCCCGGCATAGACATGTCCTCCGTGTACGCAGAAGCCGGCTTACCCAGCTGGAACTACCACTATGCGGTACTCGATCCATGGGCCGAAGGGAACGGCACCGGCACCTCGCACACAGTCGAGGTAAATGCCATCTGGGGACCCAGCCACGTTAGCGGCGTGCCGCCCGAGTCGTACTGGACCACAAATGCCAACATCGTTCCTGTGATGCAGGGCTACTGGACGAGTTTCGTCCGGTCTTTGGACCCGAATAAATACCGGCATCCTGGGAGTCCGGAGTGGAAGACTTGGGGAAAGGGCAAGGATGCGTTCCAGCGGATCTTTATCCGCACGAATGCGACGCGGATGGAGAGAGTTCCGAAGGTGCAGCAGGAGCGGTGTAAATATTTGGTCAGTATTGGGGAGGCTTTGAGGCAGTAGGGTTGTGGCTTCTGTGAATATTGAAGGCCCATATAGTTGATGTCTTGGCCCGCATGTGGCATGTCAGCATACAATAATTCCGTTTTCAATTGTTATTTCCCGTCTTCTATCTCAGACTACCTGCTTTCTTAACAGAGACGGCCGCCAAGTGAAAATAAATGGCAGCTGTCGTCCGATAAGCAAGGATGACTACCCCCGAGGCAATTCAACCACCACCCATCGAGCTGGATCCCAATCCAGGCCCTTTCTCTATTGGTGGCTCTTCATCCGCTTGAATCGACCGCTGCCCAGGTTGACGCTCGTGTGCATGTTCAGAGAGGGCAGGCTTCGGGATGGCCACATCCTCCTCTCCGGTTCGAGACTACATACAATATCTATGCAAACAGAGACATTGTCAACTCAGAGCAGTCACCACAACTCATGGGCCTGCCCCTGGAAGGCTTCTTCAACCCTCACGATCATCTGGGCCGCGATACTCATCTGCTCATCCTCATCCTCGAGGATTTTGTCGCCAAAAATGCTGTGTATCGTCGTTGATATCTTTGCCCCAGACTCGAAATACCAATTCGAACGTCAAGAAAGTAAGGGGCGGATGAGCAGCGTGAATGGCAGTCCTGTAGTTCAGTTCCCTACTTTTCACAGACTCGCGTACGTACATTCATGTGGATTAGAAGCTTTCGCTTAGGCCCAATTAAGCAAGGCGCACGCTAGTTGGCTATGGGCTGCTAGTCAGCGCGGGCACAAAGTGCGCGGGGCTGACACCCACCCACCCCTCATCCCTCTTCTTCGGCATCATATCGCCGTACAGAGCCTCTCGGTTAGTTGCGAAGATCTTGAGCTGGAAAGCCCACTCTCATCGATGCGATGGTGCCCGATACCCCAGTAGGAAAAGCAGAGGCCCGAGACCTACCGTCGATCGGCACCCTTCACGCCCGAGCCTTTCACTCAACAAGGGAATGGCACCGCAGGGTCTTCCCTCGCTCCATCGCTCCATGGTGGGAAGAAAAATACGCGCGGGACATTAACGACCCTGATTGCTACGTTTTGAAGGTCTCATGCCCGGACTCGTCAACGTCGGTCTTAGGGCTGCTCTGCCTACGCAAGTACAAAGCCGATGAGAAAGGAGCTGGACAATGGTCCTCTTTGCACCCCCCACCACAGGTTGACAAGGAGGCTTACGACGCCTTATTGACGTCCATGGTTGAGAATCGTGAGAGGTTCATGCTCGGACGATCGCATCTTTGTGTGGATCATTTTGGGGTCGACGCCGAATATCAAGGGCGTGGCCTGGGGAAGTTACTTCTGGCAAGCGCCTGCGAGATTGCAGACAGAGAGGAACTGGATATGTTTGTCCAAGCCAACGAGTTTGCAGAAAGCTTCTACCAGCGATTTGGATTCAAGACCGAGCAGAAACTCGAGATGCCCGGTGGGCTGACAGAATGCTTTCTTACCCGACCATGTAGATGACAAGATGACAAGAGAGAACGATGTCCCGTCAAACCGATTTCAATCTCGGTATCATTGTGTTTACTTGGGTTTCAAGGGCTCTGAAAGTCCCTCAGGTGTAGCACGAGCCATTTCATGGACAGGTTGGCCCAACAGGGCTGTGGTCAAATGGTGGCACCGACAAGACACTTTCTTCGGCTATTCATAAGCGTGTGAGATATGTTGCGGCATGGAAGAGAAGGAATAATATTGTGATGAACATCGACTTTTGAATCCGCAGCCATGCACCAGCCCTGGAACGGGGGCAAAAGGAAAACTATGTACCAATTCAACGAAATCTGTGCAAACGAGAAAACGGGATGAAGGGATGCGGTGATAGGTATAACATAAGAGCACGGGGAAACAGAGGCCCGAAATGCAACGTGCAACGAGATTACCGCTTGCCTTGACGTCCCCGCTTCTGCCGTTCGTACTCGTTGGCCGCCTGACCCTCCTCGCTCTGAATCTCCGCAATAAGCTTCTTGTACTTCTTCTCGTACTCGGCATCGCGCTCCTTCTTCTCCCGCAGCTTCTCCCGCGCGACGAAACTGGCATCCTTGCGCAGCTCGCGCATAGCACCCTTCTTCTCACGCTTGTACTCAGCCTTGAGGCGGTTGGACTCGGCACGCTCGCGGTCCGGATCGTAGTGCTTGTCCGGGTTGAAGTTCTCCTCGAACTTGGGAATGGCGGACTTGATCGCGAGCGGACGGTGGCTGTGGAGGAGCAGCGGGCGGCGGGCAAGACGGGCATGGGCGAGATGGGCATCAATCTTGTCCAGGGTGGACTGGATGGGGTCTCGAGCTGCTGCGAAGACCTTGCTCTTGAAGGATTGGCGGAGGTGGTTGAGAACATCCCGGACGGGACTGAAGATTTCAGCGAAGGCAGATTTCTCAGCCCACAGATCCGAAGCAGTGTCCAGGAGAGACACAAACGTAGTGACGAGGGAGATTTTAAGATCTTCTTCGGCCTGAGAGTCGGAAGGTGTAGCAGCCAAATCCCGGAACTGCAATTTTCGTGGGGTGACCTTTTTGGATGGCGCGAGTTTGACGGATTCCTGTGACTTTCGGAATGGGAAAGACCCAAGCTTCGCGATCGGCTCGGTGGGAGATAGGTTGCAAAGAGCATTCAGTATATAATTGATGAACTCGGGCATGTACCGCTTCGCAACCGCCTGGTACTGAAGGCAGAGACTCGTGGCGAAGGCACCAGTCACAAAATCGGAGGTGCTGCTGAGTGAACACTGGCCCAAGAACCGAGCAAGGCAGAGATGGGCGGGCGTGGTGACAGCATGGAAGTGATCCGACGTAGGGAAGACAGTAGCCACTCCAGTCAGGGCGACGAGATCACCGGGAAGGAGGTTGAGCGGGCGATCATCCGAGATCTCGCGAAGACGAGCACGGAATGCCATGGCGACGTTGATGGGATGCGTTTTGGCCAGCGAATGAATGTGACGCAGAATGTTCTCAATGATGGCGAACGGAGGTTCATCGCTTCCATTGGCCAAGTAAGAAACATGTTCGACGAGGACCTCAGCAAATCTGCCGAGCTTGGCCTTGTTGTCGGCATGAAGACGGGGGTGATGCAAGGCACGAATGCGCTGGATGACCGTCGGCAGATCCTGGGTAGGCACGCCGTGGATGATCTTGAGAAATTCATCATGGCTGCTCGGGCAAGGGTATGTAAATGCCAATTTCCCATCAGCGGTTTGGTTGACTTGGACAGCTGTTGATGCGGCAGCACCGCCAGTGTTCGCCGTTGGTAACGTCATCCCATTGATGAGTTCGTCTTCCTCCTCAGATTCATCATCATCTGAAAGCTCCTCCTCTTCGATGTCGCTCCCATCCACAGACAAACTGACGTTTGACCTCGTCTCGACTAGGTCATCGTCGATAATGAAATCATCTTCGTCCTCGACCGCAAGTTCCGGGCGCGGCTCATATGAAGTAGCAGTGTGAAGTCCGAAAGCAGCCGCATCGTCAATTTCAGACTCCTCGTCCTCTTCGTCGCCCTGGAAGAAAGAATCCTTGTCGCTTTCCTCTTCCTCCTCGTCGCTTAACTGTTCGCCGCGCATTCTGCGGAGTCGGTCTTCCTCCAATTTCTTCAGCCGTTCAGCCTCCTCTTCCACCTTCTCCTCCTCGGTCTTGGTGCGATCCGTGGGTTTCGACCGCTTGTCAAACGTCAGTTGTTTGAGACGCTGGTCGTATTCCTTCTCGGTGTTTTTGCCTTCTGGCTCTTGGAGCATGGCCGCGCGCTCCGGGTTCATGGTATCAAGATCCTGTCTAGGCGGCTCCGGTTTAGCCGGGGCCTTTATGCCACGCAAAGCCTCAAAGAGGTCTGGGAGCTCTTGATCCAGTTCGTCTCGGAGATCGTCATCGTCCTCCTTGGCCTTTTGCCGCTCGGCCTTGTAGAACTTAGACTTGGCAATGACTTCCTTCATAACTTCGGCCTTGGACTTCTTGCGGTCCGGTTCATCCCCGCCTTCCTCTCCGTAATCGATAAAATCTTCCACATCTTCCTCATCCTCCCCAAGGCGCTTTCGTTTCCGTGACTCCTCTTCTTCAGACTCAGCCCCGTCCAAATCGCCGCCATCGAAATCGTCCATATTAGCGCCATCAAGCGTCAGTGACTGGCCCATATGCGTAAGCTGGAACTCTTCATCGTCTTCTTCGAGATTGAACATGGATTCCTTGCGCATCTTCTTCTGGCTTTCTCTCGCGAATCGTTCGGCGGCTCGTTCCTCCGGAGTCATGGTCGGATCGTTTTCACCAAAACGGCGATCAACAAGCCCACCAACTTTGTTTCGGCTGTTCATTTCCTGCAGAAGGGTGGCGCGGCGCTAGAAGATAATGTCAGCTAGGAAGTTCATGAAACGATTTAATAAAGGAGGAACTCACCCTCTCTTCTCCCAAGGACTTGGTGACACCTGGACGGCGCCCAGTAGCTTTTGTGGAATTGCCATCACGAGTGGTCGTCTCGAATTTGCTCCTCGGTGCAGTTGTCCGGATCTCAAATGGGTTGAACCGATCTCGAATTGCCTGCAAAGCGGCATTGCGCTGGTTCCGATTCTGCGATGCGACACCAGACTTCGCATTCTGGCGCTTCTGCTTCTTGGACTGCTGGGGACCGACAACCCCGCTATCCCGAAGCGAAGCCTTCAACTGCTTCAGCTGCGAAGGTGGCATTGTTGTCTAGAGGAGCTGCGTGTGGAGTGGAGTTTTTTTCGTTGCTGCGAAGCCGATCAGAAAAAAAATAAGTCCACCGCCTCCGGCGATTACGATTCTGCCGACTGCCTCTTCTCCGCATCTCCAACATCCACCATATCCGCCCACCATGGCTCCATTCTCGGGGGACGGGGTACTATGGCTTTGCCTGGGTAGGGGAATTCGAATAATTTTCGTGGTCAAAAGCTAACTGTTTTAGGTGTGTCTCTTTTCTTCGCCGTACGCGGCATTGCTACGGACCTACGCCAAGTGGTGGATCTAACCCAGATCAAGCAAGTTGAGAGGGAAGACAAGATCATCAGTGAAGGAACGGAAGAAGGTGAGTGTTATATCTGACTCAAACAAATCTCTTATATTAAATACTTCTAGCTTTGAAACTAAATACTCTGCTCAAGCTCTCTGAGAGCACGAGTCACGACCTCCGATCTGCGTAGGACGAATCTCTCACGAACGTTGCATAAATGTTATCACTAACGAATACACAGAGCCTTGCGCATAATCTCGGAACGATCAACTAAGGGTGAAACACGCGACTTACTGTTAGAAGACCTGGCATGCAAGGACAATAAAGTACGGCAAAGTAGGGCGCTAACAGCCCTCCACTTTCTTGTCACAAACCGAGCATGTATGCAAACTTACCTATCAACATACCAAACCCCATGCTGATGACTTCCAGTATCCCGAACCTCGGTCTGCACCCGACTCCGAGATGTTGAGACTTACATGGCTTTGGTAAATTGTCTATGCAATTTCCTGGAAGAACATAACGAGCAAACATCCGCGACGAACTCGCCCATCCTACCCAAGACTAGGCCTATGGGGGAGAAGAAAGCCCTCCAAGTCTTGAACATACTTCTACCAGAGAACCTTCCTAGCGCGTTGGACGCGGGACTTATCAGCCGGTGGCTGAGCAAATATCCATTTCCATGTGCATTGGGCGAGTCATCACGTCGACAGGATGTAGTGCTTCTGATGAAAACCTGGTGGGCCGATGACGTGGTCATGAGCTCCATTTTTGGCACATTGGCCACACACCCGGATGGGATCAAACAGCTCCGAAAATATGGGCTAATGGGCAGCATGATCGAAGAGAATGACCAGGATGATGACGATGATGCGGACAGCGATGTCTGGATGGTAGACGGGGATGACACAGCTGGTTCATTTCGCCCAACTTCCGCGAGAAGGCTTCGGGAGGATAGCGCAGAAGAGCAAGCACTGCGCCGACGGCGAAGAGAAGCCATGGTTCTCAGTGAAGGGGGTCGGCCCTTGGGGAATGACGATATTATACAGCGGCCGATTTCAGAATGATTGATCTCGGCTTAGGAATTTTTTTCCCTACTGATACTTGACTGCATGAGTATGATACCCCTGCCTAGTAATGGACTTATTATTGATCGAAATGCGATGGATGCAATGCTATTGAATAAATACTTCATAATTAATCTCAACTACAACCCCATCCATGAAGATTTGGCCAGATGGTCTGTCTTCTTTCGGCTATTCTTGACCATGCCAAATGACTTCAAATCGGACAGTGCGCCATAGAACAAGGACATGATCATGCGGTCGTCGCACTGATTGCCCTGGTCACTCTCAAATACTGCGTGGAAGGCCTGCCATAGGTCATGGACATTGACCATAGCTCCGGACTCAAGGTAGAGTTGATATAAAATGGCGGTAGGAGGCTGCCTAGCGGAAATTCTTGCGCCGCTTGCATCAGTTGAGGAAATAAGATAGTCGAAAGGATTTGCAAGGGCGCGTTCCAGAGCGAAACGGGGCCGAGGTGTGAAATTCTCTTTCAAAGGATTTCGCAGATCAAACAAGAACGCTTCATGCATGAATAGATCCTGCGGCTCGATCAACGACTCCGTGAAATATTCATGTAATGCCCCAAATAGCCGGTCGATGATCCTGGTGTACTCGATGTCTTGCTCAGACAGGTTTGCCTTGCCTTTGCTGAGTAGAACCCGTTGCTGGACGACAGTGGTTTTCACCACAGAGCTGTTAATATTATATTCACTGCGAAGTGGTGCGTAGCCTGCGTTTGTGCCGACAAGTGTTTTGAGATCTGTTTGGATTTCTCCAATACCTAGGTCGGCAGGGAGGGTCTTGGGCAAAGACTCCAACAGAAGGCCCAGCTTTTCTGAGTCGAGAGCTCTCACGGTGGCTAACATATCCTCCACCATCTGCGAATCGTTCAGCTCACCAGAGAGGGCACGAACGGACAGGTCAGAAACGCTAGTTTTCTTCGCAGTTTGAGTGTGCTGGAGACAGGCATGGATGACAAGAACAGCTTGGAAAATTTGCTGCATTCTCTGCTGGCCAGCGCTAACATTGCTGAGCGCTTCCTGGACCAGATACTCATCGCTTTCTAGCAAGTTCCGTACATCATCGGGGGAACCAGCCTCGACTAGATCCTCACAGAACCTGTCTCATGATTTAGATGGAAGTTCCAACGTGGGAATATAGACCACTTACATTCTGAATGAAGGCAGGTTTCTAATGGCTTCGCAGAGCCGGCCTCGAGATATCGTGGCTGGTGCTGGGCTTCCTAACAGCACTGCTAGAGGATTGGCAAAGAAATGTGACATGTACCCATACTAACCATAGTTAGAAACTGGACTTGGCCACCCACAGGGCTTTTCCTTACCTTCACCATGCGACTAAAAGCTTCCGGGGTTTGAAAGTAGTCACTTGTCTTTTCAAGAAGAGTGCTAGTGATATTGCGACCAAGCCACAATTTTCCATGTGGGCTGGTTTGAAGTGTCTCGTAAATGCGGTCGACACAATTGCCCGCTTCTTGAACTTCGAAATGCTTCCCTTGAAGCAAAGAGACGCATGCCCGTGGGAGTCGACCCTCAAACAGCTCGACAGAGGTTGAGATTCCGAGCAGCACTGTGAATGGGATACGATCAAGCCAGGACCTAACAATGCATTAGCGCAAAGCTCAGCCCAATGGGCGAAGCTGATCTTACTTGAGGAGTGATAGTAGATCCATCAGCAGACCTGGATCAAAAGCCTCGCTATCTTTCAACGCAAGAACTAGCTTTTTGGTGCCTTTTCTTTGGACGTAGTCATTGAGAAGGTCCAGATCGTACCCAAGAAGTCGGGGTCCCTTGTTATCAGTTAGTGTGGACGGGGTTGAAACCTCCAAGATAAAAACGTACAGCACGATCCGTAAGGAACTTTTGATATCCATCATTGCCCTCAGTATTGGTGATCGCCGCTCGAATGATGTTCTTCAGAGATGTCTTCAGATTAGGGGCATCGCCCGACTCGAGCACCACCACGCCACCTTGGCCGCACGTTGTTAATTGATCATTGAGGCGCGAAAGCAATCTGCTGAGTGAAGATACATTGGATCCAACAGTCACCAGGCCCGTAGGAATACATCCATTGCATCTAGCTCCTAGTTAGGTCACGGCTTTATGATTCTCCATCGGGGAAGGGCGTACGTTTCAGGCGAATTCTCTCTCACGAAAGAGAGTACGTCGTTCAAGACTCCGGCGTCAACATCTTCAAGGATTGCCTAATCATGTCCTGTCAGCCACAATTCCTATATCTGAGCCAATGCTTCCCACCTGAATCTTGTACTCCTGCTCAACCCAAAGCTTTTTGTAGGTATCGTGTCGCAGTTGCACACATTCGGCGCTTTCTCCGCCATTGAGCAAGGGAACAAAGCATTGAGCAATGGACTGCTTTCCTCGATTGTCGGTAGAGGAGACCTTGCGCCGTTTCGAGGGTCGTTCGCCGGGGGTTTTCCCAGGTTTTGCCGGTTGGTAGATGTACACGCCCTTGTTTGAGTCAGCATTACCCAGTACATACGAGTAAGAGCAGGAAAATCGCATACCTGATTCTGTGACCTGTCTCTGGACAGATCCAGCGCATCGTCAAGGCCGTCAGGATCCATTGCTGGGTGCAACTGACAAAGTCGCGTCGAGGGCGGATGACTTCACGCTCGGGGCGGGAACGCGCTAAACCCGAACAGGAGGATTAATGGTTTTCCGATCTTCGACTCTCAACCACCACCCAACTTCTCTAGGACCCTGATGAACAACTCCATATGCTCCGCCAGGCTGTTCGAGGAGGGGCTCAATGGTACCACGCGGCCCGCAGCCCGTCGATTGCCCGGCGCACCTTTAGCGCTGTGAGTGCGCGTCGTCTCGATTTTGGCGGGCCGAACGATAAGGTCACTTTCTACGAACAAGAGAATCCCTCGAGCAAGAAGCGACGGAAGGTCGATCCGGAAGCCGAAGATAATGAGGAGCGCAAGGAAGTTGAGAGTGAACTGTCGAAGCTCCAGGAGGAGCTCAAGACACTAGAGAAAGGCCCCTTCACCCCCGATGGTGAATTTATCCAGAGTCTACCGGAGGAGGACCGGAAGATTGCGCTAGAGGCCCTACGGAAATACGAAGCAAATCGAGGTCCATTGGAGCCACAGCCCTCGCTGGACGATGTCTTTGACGAAGAGCTGGATAATATGCTGAAGGAGGAGTTCGAGGGTCTTGCGCTGGAACAAGAGAACTGGCAGGACAGCGCCAGAGTGCGACGAAAAGTGGCTCCGCGGAAGACTTCGCAGGGTCTGCTTGCAGATGCAGAAGCAGCATCCCATCCCTACGTCATCCGATTTAAGGAGAATTTGCGCCGCTTTACGCCAAAGGCATCGGATGATCGGGCGAGGCAGGAGCTGTGGAAATCATACCGCCGGTGCAAGCAGAACATCCCGGACTTTTTGAAATCGCTTACCCCAGAGATGCTGAATTCAATTTGGGAGTCACAAGCCACAGCACAGTCAGCCAAGTCCACACGAGCAAGACACCTCCAGACCCTCGCCGAAGACATGAAGTCAATTGAAAGGCCTCTCGCCATCCCCCAAATCCTTTCCTACATCGAAGCCCTACATGAAGGCGGTGCGATCAGCCAGGCATTAGAACAATGGGAGGCTTATCAAGCGGATCTGTCGCAGAAAAAGGAAGACCTCGAGGAGTACTGGATGCTGGGCGTCCGACTGTTTGCGGCTGAGAACAACCCCCAACGCGCCCAAGACATCGCATTGGCATTCCTCGTCAATGACAGGTCCCGCCAACCGCGTGTCCTCATTCCAGTGATTACGGCATGGGGTAGAATGCCCGGGAAAGATGCAGAGGTGAAGGCGTGGGCGCTGTATCTACAGCTCAAGACATTCCTGGGGCCAAACATGACCATGGAGGACTATGACCAAGTCAGCATCGGTCTCCTCACGGCTGGCCGGTCAGACATGGCTGTTGCTGTCTTCAAAGATATGATGGTGACAGGCCAAGACCCAGCCAACGATTCAACGGCCCTGTATCAAGCAGCCCTCGGTCTCGCAGGGAGCCTGCAAGCTTCTAGCATCGACGAGCAAGCTGTGAATAGAGTGTCATTGTCTGTGCTCACGATGCTACCCCGCCGATTCCATAATCGGTTCTTCTACGCCAGCTGGATGAAGAAGCTCATCGGAATGGGCGAGGTCGACTCAGCCGCAATGGTGATCGAGCTGATGTATGAGAGAGGGGTGAAGCCAGACGCCAAGCATCTCAATGGTGTCATGGCAGGCTGGCTCCGCGAGGGCAATGCAAGCGCCAGAGACAAAGCAGAGCGACTAGGCTGGGCCATGATCCAGCACCGAATCGATGTCGCGTGGAAACGGTTCCAGCCAGTTGAGACATCTCCTCAGATTCAGGTCAAGCATCAAGCGATCGAGTCAACCCGCATGCCCAAATTTTTGCAACGAGAAGTACCCCCGGCAAGCATCGAGACTTTCTCTATTCTTCTCCTTCACTACACCCGCCGTGGAGACGATGACATGGTCAAGTACCTCGCCAAGTGCCTCAGCGACGCACATATTCAGCCAAACTCCTATTTTATGAACCACCTCCTCTACGCCGAGCTACGAAAGCAAGATATCCGCTCGCTATGGGCCAAATTCGAGAAGATGTCTACCAACATCCGGCCTGACCTTGAAACCTTTGCGTGTCTTTGGGACTGTGCGAAGCTACAATACGACCGTGGCCGCACTGCATTCGACCCCGGATTCCCAACTGCGCGACAGCTGTACACGCATATGGCGCAATGGTACTCTCAGCTCTCTTCGCGGGCACAAAAGAGTACCAGAGAGCAGTTCACCAAGGATTTGTATGACCAGATTGTTCGGTGTTTCTGTCTGTCGAAGGATCTTTCCGGTACACTAGTTGCACTGCACTCAATGCACGCGACGTTCGGCTATGCCCCTGACGACATCACTGCTCGCTTAATCGTTCTGCAAGTCGCACGTCTCGCGGGAGTGCCGGCTGACACCCCAAAGCGCCGGCTCCGCCGTCTGTCCTCCACTCCGCGGAGCAAGGAAAACATCAGCCAGGTCAGCCGGCTACTGGAGATGCTCGGAGAACGCAAATCACTAGCTCTGAAAGCGCATGGCCTGGGTATCGAGCAGCTTGATCCACACGAGAAACAGCAGTACCAGCTCGAGGTTATGGCTAGTTTACTGCGTATTGTGCTGAGCCGGACTGGGGGTTTGGATCCCGTCCAAGTTGAAGCGAATCTTGCGCAGGCTGCAGCTGAGATGCAAATGGAAGGCATCGATTTGGGATCTCCTCTGGGAGTGGATGATAGCAAGTTGCTATAGTCTGGCTCGGGTTGATCATGTTCTTGTGTTGCATCGCATGGTATGGCGTTTAAGGGCTTTCTTTCTTGTAGCCCCTGGTAAAAGGACCTGTATATTACTACCCACCTCTTGGTAATCTAGATCGGAAATGTATCTCGTTTTCCTCTTCAAAAGCAACTCACAACTCATTGTATTGGACATGATATCTATAGTGGTGCTTCAGTGCTAAATCTAGAATCGAATCCAGTCGAAGCATGCTCATAGGTATGACATACCTACCAATCGTTCTTACACCTTGTAAGCTTGTACCCACATACACATTCCGGCTGCGGGGCTCACACAGTTAGGTGGTCGGCCACCGCCGCCCTGCCCCAAATCCCGTCGTAGTGTATGGGACTATACCAACGAGATGGAGAATCTGAATCAAGCGGAAGTATTGAAAATGCCAAGTTTTTGCATGAGGGAGGAAACAAAGCCAGTTACGAATAACTGTTTAATAGCCTTGCCACAAGCTTCTCCTTCTAAGAAAACGCCTTCCCGAATGAGCCCATTGAATTGAAACGGTGATAACCCAATTGAAAAAGAAACATAACGTTACAAGCCCATATCTATTTCTTGCCCTTCCCCTTCTTCTTCTTCCCACCCCCAGCGCCGCCTCCAGTGGATGGGCTAGCAGGACTATTTACGGATGGAACCGCCTCGACCAAGACCGCATCATCATCGCTGCCCTGCACCGAAGGTGCAGGCGCCGCAGCGGGTGCTGACTCTGTAGGCTTGGAGGGCGTGGTAGGCCGCGCAGCAGTAGAGCCGGAAGCCTCCTCCTCATTCAATTCCTTCATGAATCCCTCGCGGACACTAGTCTTCTTCTTGTCCCACCATTCGCGCTCCTCGGCGAGTTTCTCCTGGTGCTCGGCGATACGGGTGCGGTAGATATCATTGTTCAGCATCTCGTTGGCGGACTGGAAAATGGTCTGGCCCCAGTTCGGCACGTAGGCATTGGCCTCGGAAACAACATCGCGCACCTCGTCCTCCATCTCCCTCTCCGCGCGCAGGAAGCGCTGCCACAAGTCGTCACCCACGCTTCCGCGCTGTAGGAGCGTAGAAAGAGCCTGTTTCTGAGCGCGTAGCGCCATGACACGGCGGATATCCTCGGTTGCGCGGCGGAGCAGCGAAGCCTTCAGGACGGACTCGGGGACCGCGACGGTCTTTTTCTCGTTTTGCGAAGAGGGGTCTAGGTGCATGAGGGAGAAGTAAATGTCACGCTGGAGGTGAGCAGGGAACCATGCTTCCAAGGAGGCTGCCTTTTCTATATTGCAGAAGAGGAACATATTAGTTCACTAGTCCTCGGAGCTATCCCGGAGGTGTTCTGCGGAGTGGGATGTGATGTGAAAGTTTCAAGGGCAGAACACATACGGGCCTTGCGCTTGCGGTACAGCGAGGAAAATGTAGCGAGAGAGCCGATTAGTATGCCTAGGTAGGCGAGGGGCACGGCGAGACTGAGCCAGTTTACCATTGTTGCGGTGCGGGCGTCGTAGATGCGCGGTAGGAAGAGGCGCTTTTTAGAAAAATGGAGATACCAAGAGAAAGGAAAAGAGCGTAGTAGTTCAGGCTCCGGTCATGATCCAGGAGTTAAGACCAGGGAGCAGGGTCGAGGGAGGGATGGGAGGTGGAGAGTGAAGTGTCTATCAAAGGCAGGCACACCAGGCGTATGGCCACAAAGGCCAGGTGTTTAGTGGGTCGACGTCACATGTTCCGCCTTCAGCGAAGTATAGCAACTCAGGGTCTTCAACAAGCTTTTTTGAAACAGATTTACACAGCACAGGATTTTTAAATCACATATTTCATTTCTCTAAATGTACGGGACTGTTCCTGTCCCTCCTGATTCGCTCGAAATACTCTCACATCCATCCATACTCAATACAGAAAAAAGGGAAAGAAAAATGAGAAAATGAGAAAGAGAAAGACTTCTGCAAGACAGGGCGAACGCCCTGTGAACACCGTTTAACTGCACCTTGAAATGACCTAAAATCATATCAGGAGAATGATCTCAGCTGAGACGAACGTATACACATGAAAATAAGAAGGGAATGAAAGAAAATGTCGTCCCATGCAGCCATTACGCAGAAAAGCTGGGGTTGGCCAGCTGGTCCTTGGTGTTCTGGCTGATGGGTCCGATCTCCTGTATGGACTGCATATCCTCCAACACAGCGTTGAAGGTCTCCGTGATACCCATAGCGACAGTGGTGCGGTTCCACTCACTACGTCTTCGCCAGACGAAGTCCATTAGACAGGTGTGAACCTGCTCAAGCTGCTCGACAGAGCACCCGCTGGTCTGCAGCGTTAGCTGGTTGTGGAGATGCTCGATATACTCCAGGTCAAGAACTATCTCGGGTACGGGCTTGGCGGCAGCCGCATCGAACAACGGCGGCTGGGGCTTTGGCTGGGACTGGCTTCCGTTCAGAGTGCCAGTCTCCTCGGCCTGGCCCTGGGACTCGCGAGGGCGGGGAGACGGCTGGCTGCTTCCGCCTTGCTGGGTATCGGGCAGGTGCTCCTCCTGCTGCGGGTCACGGTCGGGATACTGCCGGAGATCGGGAAACTCATCCCGCGACGCGTGCAGACTCTGGGTGTGGTCATGACCAGAAGACTTCTTGTCGGAGGATGTCTGTGTCGTAGACGCCTCGTTGGTGTAGTCTCCGGGTTGAGATCCGGCAACCATGGGCGTTACAACCCCAGTTTGCGAGAAGCTCGACATGCCAGACTCCCGGCGCATCTGCTGAGATGGCGCAGTGTGCGAATATGGCGGCTTGGGCTGCGCCGAGGGCCCGAAGGAGCTGACCTGGGTGTCTTTGCTCCCGGAGTGATCCTCCGAGTTGGTCATAAACACATCCCCGTCGACATCCCCGTGAGAACCATTGCTCTGACCATGAGGAGCAAGCTCGTTCAGATCCGAGCCACCGCCGTGGTGATACCCGTTTCCGTTGGCGAAGCTGGCATTTGTTTGCCGACTAGGAGTCACAGGGCGCTCGTCAGTATTGCTGTTGAACAAGCCGTCCCGATTAGCAGCGTTGTCATTGGGTCCATTTGCAGAGCCGGGCCGAGACATTGCTGCCTCCGCCTCCTCTTGACGCCGTTGCGCACGCGCATGGGCCTCCTTCTCGCGGGCCAGTTCCCGCAAGTAGACATTCTCGCACTCCGCCATCAAAGCCGGCTCCGCTTGCTCGATAGTGGAGACATCGACTTCGACATTAGACAGCAGTTCATTGGCCCTCAGAAGACGCTCCTGTTCGCCAAGCGTTCGAGCATCCTTGGCAATCCGCTTGATATCCGCCAGGAAATCTGATGGGCGCTTGTAGAAACCATTCGACAAACGCTTCTCCATGGTGACGATTTCCATGTTGTAGTAGAACTTCCCGGACACAACCTCGTGGAGACCAGGTACGCCATGCTTATCATATGCTTTCTCGTACGGCCGGTAGGAGGTCAGGGGGTCGGGGGGAAGATCGCTCGTGATAATATTCGGATCTTCCTCCTCCCACAGATATCGAATATGGGCTTCATCAATCACACCCTGGCGGAATCGCTTGTACTTTTTGATCTGATCCATGATGGGCTGGATGCGAATCTTCAGAAGATTGAGAGTGTGATGATCCTTCTTCTTCTGGGCCTTGCGCTCCTTCTTGGATATAGGTATTTCCGCATTTGGAGGCGGAGGCGGTGCAACCTCCAGCTCTTCCAACTGACGCTTTTTGCGGTTTTCCGGATCGGGAAAATCGGACGGGGGCGTTTTGATGTACTCAATGAGCCTACCGAAAAACTCGTATCGAGCAGTGTGACCAGGGGCTCCGAGTTCATAGAGATTCTTCTTGGAGAATCCGAAGAGCTTCTGGAGCAGACCAGCATCCACGTCATCCCCTGTTGACTCAAGCACGCCGAGCAACAAGACAGGATCAGTAGGTGGCACAGATCGAAGCAGGCCCATGAAGGTAGAAATGACGGCTGGTCCGACTGTCTCGAACCACGTTTGAATATTAGGGATGTAGATGACACTGGGCTTGTGGCGCTTGACCTCAGAGAAGAGCTGGATAACAGTGGCCTCCGGTGATCGGGTCGAGTCGCTGAGGAGGGTTGGTAAATCGAATGCCTGGACATGTAGACCCTCGAAATGGTGCAGAAGCGCGGCTGCAAGATACTGCTGGCCCATACCCGGCGCACCCCGAAGAAGCATCCGCGGGCGGAAGACACGCGACCGATCGAATTCCTGCATGATCTGCTCTCGCCTGAAACTGCCCCCATCCTCGGGTTCCTCAAACTGGGCTTCCTCAAGAGCAGTCAGTCTCTTGCGCTGAGGAAGGATTTCAGACAGTGAAGCCTCGATCTCGAGCAATTGCTGACGAAGAAGAGGCTCAACGTTCTGAGGGAGAGCAGTTGCACCCGAAGAAGTAGATCGCTCTGATGAAGGAACCATCTTTTTGATTGCAATCATGAAGTCCTTGGGGGTCACATCAATGTTCTTTGGATCAATCACCAGCTTCTTGTCGGACTTGTAGATTTGAGGGTATCTTCTCTGCACAGCATTGAGGGCGGCCTCAGTGCAAAGGGCTCGCAAATCGGCACCACCATAGCCCTTGGTAATCTTGGCAAGTTCATCTTTAATATCGCCCGGGAGAGGAGGATCCCAGCCCTTGGTGTGGATATCAAGAATAGCACGTCGACCCTCATTGTTTGGGAGAGGGAAGTAGAACTCGCGGTCGAAACGACCAGGGCGACGAAGAGCAGGATCAACCGAGTCAGGTCTGTTGGTAGCACCAATGACAATGACTTGTCCACGGCCGTCCATACCATCCATTAGGGCTAGGAGAGTCGAGACGATCGAGGCATGGATCTGTTCTTGTTTGCTTGATCGCACAGGGGCGAGACCTATTTGGAACCGTTAGCCAAGTGAGTTCAAGGTACGACAGGGACGCCTCTTTCTTACCATCGATCTCGTCAAAGAAGATAATACTCGGCTGTGTCTTGCGGGCCTCTTCGAAAAGCAGGCGGAGCTGACGCTCAGCTTCACCAACCCATTTACTCAATGCATCTGCACCTTTTCGCATGTAGAACGTCACCTTGCGGCCCTCGGCACTGACACTGTTTGCGAGAGCACGGGCCAAAAGCGTCTTTCCGGTACCAGGAGGACCATGAAACAGAACACCGCGTGGAGGTACGATATGGAATCGCTGGAAAATTTCCGGGTACAGCAGCGGAAGCGAAACCATCTCCTTCAACTGGTCGATGTGACCCTGCAACCCTCCCACGCTGTCGAAATTGACATTGACATCAACACCCAGAGGGTCCGCATCTGCCAGCGCTTGTTTGTCCTTGATTTTACCAAAGTTGGCAGGCGTACCGGAAAGGTTCTGAGCAGGATCGCCGGAATGTGTTTGGGGAACAAGACCACCACCGGATGCAAGTCCAGCGGGCTTGGATTGCTGTATAGCTTCATCGTCACTGCTGTCGCTGTCGACACCACCAGTGGCAACAGGGGCACCCGGAGGAGCCAGGATAGCCGATGGGCCACCACCACCGAAGGGTCCAAATGTCGGGAACAGGGTTCGCTGCCAGGCGCCACCACCTCCGCCGCGTCCACGGCGGGATGGAGACTCAGTAACGAAATCATTTTCGGCATCTTCCATGGGGAGGAGATGCTCGGGTCGAATAAGGCGATAATCAACTTCCTTGCGGCTACGGCGTGGCTTCTCGGAGATGACTTCGTGAATAACACGGCGTTTCGACCGGCCACCTCGCAGATCGTGCAGCTCCTCGGCGAGTTCCTCTGCAACTTCTGACTGGCCGCGGGATTGGGTAGGGCGTTTGCGCAGGCCAGGTCGACGACCAACAGTGCTACTATCTTCCTCTTCCTCGCGAGCTTGGCTGGCTTTGCGAGGTGAACGGCCGGACTGTTCAGACTCAGAGCCATCGCCATCATTGGATTCCTCTTCCTCGGGTTCAAAATCGCTTTCTTCATCCTGTGTCTTGCGCTGCGATGAGGGCTTCTTGCGGCTGGAACGACGGGGCTGAGGGTCCTCAGATGCTTCGGCTTCGGCCTCATTTTCATCTTCCTCGTTTTGGTCGGGGTTTTGAGTAGGCCGGCTTCGTCGTCGAGTAATAGGACCCTCGTCATCCTCATCTTCATCATCCTCGTTCTTTGGGTTTGGATCGCCGTGCTCAGACTCGGGGACGACACCGTCATTGGTCATTTCAACATCTTGTTCACCATCGTTTGCAATCGCAGTGTCACCTTCAACCCCGTCAGGGGGCGCGTCACTCTCCAGGATTTCCAGGGATGCCTGGATCTCGGTTGTTTCGACGATCTCTTCGTGAATCACAGGCTGCTTGGATGCTCGACTGCCTTGACGATGGCGCATTCCAGTCTCAGGACTCACAGTGCCTCGCTCAACAGTCTCCATGTGGTGTCCTGAGTTGGTCAACGCGTACATATCCTCTGAAGCGCCGCGAGTACGGCGGGTGGTACGGCGAGTCATGAGATCAGGCTGCGACAGGATCTCGGGGCGAATCTTCAATTTGACCAATGAAGCTTTCTTTGGCGGAGGGGTGGAAACCTCTGGCTCCTCATCATCATCCTCGTCGCCCCCATAAGACTCTTCTTCGTCGGAGGGCTCTTCGTAGGTGGTTTTAGCCTGGGTGGTTCGTCGGCGCGCCGTTCCTCGAGCGTTGCGTGGTATATTAGGATCGTCCAGATCTTCTTCAGACTCGTCGATAGAAAGCTCATCACTCAAACTAGCATCGTCTGACACCACATCGTCTGAACCACGGCGGCGCTTCTTTGAGGGCCGGGACTTCTTCTTGGGGCTCGACTGGGACTTGCGGCTGGGGCGTCGCGTCGCGTGGTCGGATCCCTCGCTCCAATCTTCATCGTTAGAATCAGACATATTCGCGATCTCCTCAAGAGAGCGCTTAGCGCCGCCGCGAGCCATGATGGCGGGGGGATGGAGTAAGGGAGGTCACTTGAAGCGGCAAGCATGTTAGCGAGGAGGCCTAGATAAGGGTGTAGCGAATGAGCAAGGCTGGGAGATGTCTCCAAGCGAGTACAAGATCTGATAACCTGACGAGGACACCGAAGTCGCGGGAGGAGGGACGCAAACTGGGGAGCTTACAAACGCCAAACAAAGTCTTCGTCCAGCGATGACAGCAGACAGATGGAAGTGCCGGTGCGCGACTCAGCTCAGGGTTAACGGAGAGTGGCCACGAGCGTCTCCCACGAGCAATTGCGGATCAACAGACAGGTTGTCCGCGACGGGAACGATGGTGGAGCGCAAGATGAGTTGAGAAGGGTCTCACGGACTCGGAGTGGACGCGTGAGAACAACAGAGAAGAATGGAAAAGATTACACAACTTGACAGGTGCGCAACATAGAGAAGGAAAGGTGCAGCACAGCTAGAGAATGGTGGACTATGTGCTCTTCGAATAACACAAGTGGATGGCCCAGGGCGGAAGGGACTCGCGCTGCCTGAGAGAGCGTTCCAACACCAGCCACAGGGGGCCTTCCAGCCCTGTGGCGCACCATGCTGAGTCATCCCGCACGTGCCACCATCGTCGAGGTGAGTGCAGGCAGTCCACCCTCGTGGCCCACGCTATTCGAAGCCCCTAAAATCGCATTCGGAGATGGTTCTGGGAGGCATCAATCATGTCAAAACGGCATTCTGGGTCCATTCACGCCCCGAATCAGGCAGTTTGGGGCCTGGAGGGACATGGGAGCCTGGGAAAGACAGGTGGTGAAAGGAGGTGTCAGAGGGCAGTCAGGGACAACGAGAAGCGCTGCCGGGAGCCCTTCTACCATTTGGGTTGTGGCTCCCTTCTTTGGCTGCCCGCCAGAATTCAACCAGACCTGATATCATGTGATGGATGACTCAGCGGGTTGATCGGCAACTGGTAGTTAGCTTATACAAAGTAGTCAATTAGCTCACCGCAACGAAACAGGTATATACGATGGAAAGAGGCACAGTTGAGCGGCTTGATGCTTACAATAATGGCCAATTGCAATCTCTCTCGATGTATCCTCTCATTGGCGTTGTTTTCGATCGTCATCAACACAATCAGCCAGTGCCACAGATGCACAGTATACACATTACGGCAGACCAACAACCCTCTTTACTTCACAATTCCCTCAAAAGCCAACATAAACCAATAAATCCACCCCATACGGAACCACTGATCAAGCACCCCGGCAGCTCGTTTCTTCTGCCCAAACGCCAGAATCGCAAGCTGTACTCCCACCTGCCAAGCCTCCGCTATCCCCAAACAAGTGCCGGCGCTAACCCGCATTCAGCCACCCCAGACCTTTGCCTGACCCGCGAAGCCGCAAGGAAATTCCCCAGTGCCACCAAATATACAATATACAAGCAGCAGCACTTCACACACACAAGATGCTACTCCGACGATCAGCCCGGCAGCTGAGCCTCGCAGCTCACCTCACATTGCCCGCCCGATCTACTGTAACCAGGCGATCATTGGCATCAACGGCGGCACAGCTTGATTCGGCGCCGCAGCCAAGTTCGTACCGGCAGGGGGTATGTGTCTTGCTCTGTTGATTCTTCATCTACCCTACTCCTACGTCGTAGAAATGAGTGCTAGTTCCGTGCTGACGGACCCCTAGATGTCCAACTACAAGACCTTTGCCCGCCCCTTCGGCAAGGTCTTCCTGGGCGCCGTGCTCACGTACCAGATCATCTACTGGACGTGGCTGAAGCTGGAGACGGACGAGTCTAAGCTCGAGAAGAACGGTATGATATCTCTAGGCTACATTTGCAGCTTCCCTTTGCTAACCGGATACGTAGAAGAAATGACTATCCTCGAGAAGAAGGCGCGGGAGTTGGCGGCCGCGCAAAAATGATATATCTCCAAGGATGGGGGCGGATTAAATGCACTGTACCATATTTTACCATTTAGCACGGGCTTACCTCGATAGTTACTCGTGTTCTGCTTTGTTGCCCTTTCATCTGATATAATCCACCTTTCCAAGTCCGATAACGCTAAATGTCAATAGACTGGCAAAATCCTTCGACCACCCAAGGCCAGCTGTAATATATCATTGTACAAAATATTCATTATGCATGCGACAAGCACGATTTAGGTATCTGGCGAAACATAACAAGCCATTCATCACCCTGAGAACTTGCGCTTTCGATAACTCCTCTCCGAGCCATGCCCCGTCTCACTCCTACAGCCCACATTCGCCGGCGCCGCCGCAGCACTTCCGCTCGGGAACGCATTGTCACCCGCATCCTCACCACCCGGCAAACACCAGTCCCTCCCCCCTCTCCCCCTTCTTGAAATGTTCCACGTCAATATGATTAAAGCGCTCATCCAGCGCGGCAGCCCCGCAATTCCCCAACGACACATTGCGCGTGCAAAAGCCACACCAGAAATGCGGCTGATCCGCCAAATCGAGGCGGCTGTTATGCACGGCGGTCTTCACCCGAGCCTTCGAGACGCGGTGGTCCTGACCCAGGTGTTGGGCAAAGGTTTCCTCGCGGTAGAAGATGCGCGCGCAAGAGGTGCCCTTGGTACCGTCGTGCAGGGTGCAGAGCCAGCTGGGGATGTGGAGGTGTTGGGAGCTCTCGTGGCGCTTCCAGTCGGCTTTGCTGCCGAAAGATTTGGCGCAGTGCGGAAACGTGCAGCCGTAGGGACGCTCGTGGCGCTTTTGGTGTTTTCTGGTGGTAGTTGTTAGATGAGTAGGACAGACGGAGAAGGGGGGGGGGGGGAACGCACTTCATTTCGCAGCGGAGACGGGTGCGTTTTGAGCAGATGTCGCACTGGAACCAGTCCTGCTTATCGTCGATGGGCTCAGGCTCTGTGGATGTATTCTTGTCCGAAAGACGCTCCAGGGCTACCGAGAGGACCTTCTGCAGCATCTGGCGCTGCGGCGGGGATAGTTGGGTGACATCTGACTCAATCTCGATCCCCTCATCGCTGTGATTGCTGGACCTGTGTCCGCGGCTGTTCATCACCTTCGTCATGGCGTTGATCAGGTTGTCCGCTGCGTCGGCGACGCACGTCTCCGGCTTGATGCTGCCGCGTTCTGTCGCTACGTCGCGGCCATCACGGGCAAGTGATACCAGACCCCCTAGTGCAGGGATCTCGGGCTGTGTATGATCATATTGAGTAGGCTTGGGAGTGGTAGCACCAGAGGGGAGAAAGTCCCCGGTGTCCTCTGGATGGCCCAACGAGTCAGTCGAATCCAGGTCCATCTCGTGGGGGGAGACCAGATCCTGCTGTGTCTCGTTCGAGGGATCGGGATCGTCTTGCGATGCACTGTCCTCGGCAATCTGACCAGGCTGGCCTGTGAGGTTCTCATACCAGTCCATAGACCTAAGAATTGATTAGCTTGGGAACACATAGCCGGCCCCAGGCGATAAGCCAGACGCTCTCTTACTTCTTGAGGAGTGCGTCTGCATCTTCTTCATGATGCATCCGGCTCAAATGCTGCTTAAAGTTGTCCAGCCGGGGCCACTTCTTGTTGGGCCGTGGGCAGTTCTTTCCAAAGCAGAGGTACATCATCTTCGGTCCACGCTCGGGCTCTTTGTTGTGGACGCATTTCTTGTGCCGGGCCAAGTCGTTGATGGTACCGAAGCCTTCCTTGCGGGGGCAGTTCATCTCATCACATTTGAACAGCTTGCGATGTCGTGCCTCGTGTTTTCTAGCTTTAGGTTAGTGGATGATCCGACACGACGAATAAGCGGTGCGGATAGACATACCTCTTATCGGAAGGACATTTGCCCACCCAATTGCAGGCGGGGTGATCACATTTGACCGATTCGAGGGCCGAATCCAGATCCCTCGTAAACATCGGGGGTCCCACATACGCTTGATCGAACATGGCAAGCGGCTCTCCCAAGCCTTGTTCTTTACCATCGACCTGCGGACTCGACATGGAGTCGACGCTATACGAAGAGGGAACCACCGAGTGCGTCGCACAGCTCGTACTCCCATACCCCGAGTCGGCGGAGTGGAAACTGCCCATATACTGGCTGCCACTCTCCGAAGGCGTCCGATAATGATGCTTCGCGAAGCCATCGCGATCCCCGACCGCCATGTTCATATGGGACATGGACGATGGGTGCGGAACGCCGGTGACCTGCAGCGGGTTCCAGGCATCCTGATCGGCCGTGAGACGGGAGGCCGGGTAGTACGACGGATAAAAGTCGTGGGGCTCGGACGAGGATGGCGGCCACGGCCCCAGAAAAGCGGGTTGGTGGTGGGGTTCGAGCGATCCCAAGTCCAGCTCGAGCAGCGGGTTCGGGGCCTCCAGCGCCAGCCCGGACGATTTGAAGTCCGCCAGTTCGGGATGGGGGTATGAACCGTCAACCATGATGCCCTGTAGCACGTCGGCAGGGTCACTCCAGTTCAGCTGAGAGTCCTGAGGGAGAGGAAGGGGGGGTTAGAGTGAGCCGGGTGATACAAGGAGCCGCAGCGAGCACGAACCTCCATGATGTGGCTGCGACTGGGGCGGGAGACAAGGTGATAAGCGTCCAGACCGGCTGAGGCTTATGGGGCGGGGACGGTGTGGGGGGGGGGGAGTGGCTAGATCCGCGGGTGTACCGTGGGAGGGTAGGGCGAAGTTGTGAAGACGAAAGTATAACAGTCCAGCACAAACTGAACCCTCAGGAATCAGGTCAGGATAAAACCGCTCACCGTGTGAAAACAGGACAGGCTCCGGGTTAAATGCAAGCCGTGGCGCCCCTAGGAAAACGAGGTGCATGCACGCTGGGCCGACGCACGCGAGCGTGAACAACACGCACCCGATGCCACACTTTCCTTTGCCTCCACTCTCGCCCCGAGCCGGTTCACCACGCGGACCATCAAGGGCGGAAAATGTCGTGTAATGCGTCAAAAGAGTCGAAAGGGCCGCTGAGTGCTCATTTCCTTTCTGAGACATCCGTGGAATGCAGTCATCCCTTGATTGCACAGCCCCGCTGCACGGGTGGTTTAGTGTGGTTGGCTTCATAGTGGGGGAAGATCATGGTGATGGGCTCTCATCCGACTGAGGGGGATCGTTGAGATCATCATGACGGGACCAGAGTGCTCACGATCCGGGTATATCTCCTACACTATACGACCTGTTGTTCGATAGTCTGCGATAGTCGACAGGGAGTCTCCAGCCAGGCCAGGCCTCGATCGGGGTGTGACAGGGCGATCGGCCTCGTTCCGTGCCATGCCGTAGGGCAAGGGATACAAACTGACACATAGGGGGACACGGTATGAAACACGACATTTGGACCACGCATTGCTAGGAGGGTCCTCCGATCATTGCCAGCCGACCTTATGCTTAACGCCCAACCCCGTCGAAATACCAGCGGAAACATCTACCCGACCCTATCACTCTCCCAACCTTGCAGACGCCCTCTAATCCACACAGCCCTGCAAATCGGGGCTCCCAACCGAAAGAACCGCCCCAAATCGAGAACCAAAGTACGCCAAGCCCAACAAGAAAAATGATCTCTCATATGCTACTGTATGCACACGGGGGTGGGTGACGCCACCAGTCCGAGACAGGACGCCCCAGCAGCCCCCGAAAATATGTACACAAGCCCGATCATCAGGACCGTCATCATTCCACATATGCAAATAATATGTCGCTAACTCTTGCTTTCGCTCTTCGCATTGCGTGCAGGCCCCATCTTTCAGCCAATGAGACGCTAGGAACCAGAGGAGAAAAGGAAAAAGACAGAAAGAAAAAAAAAAAAAAAAAAAAAAGGAAAGGGGGGGCCCAAAACGGTAAACAAGGAAAAGGAAAAGGAAAAGAAGCATAGAGGAAGAGAGAAAAATAAGCGATCAATAGAAAGAAACAATGGGAAAAAGAAAAAGAAAAAAAACCAGAAAAGAAGGGGGGTTTGCGTGTAGAAGGTTCACACTCGTCTCAACCCTAAACATAACAGAAAACCGCTCATCCCTTTCTAATGCACCTCGGCTGCCGGGACGGCGACCCCATTACAGCAACGACGAACGAATTAAATAGCGGCAAGAAAGGGGTATACACGTAGACATACACCCTGAAATGCAAAACCAGAACAGGAGGAGCGGGGAGCACACAGAGGTCGGGAAAATGAACCCCCCCACAAGGAAAGTCATCAAGGGTGCGAAAGTGTAGCCTAGCGAGATAGGAGAGAGGATATAAGATGGAGTCGAACCGAACCAGACCAAGACCACCGTCCACGATAAGTGCTGATGCGTATGTCGAGGGTTATGCTCACCCCATCTGCGAGGAATAACTCGAAGGATACAGACCTGATGGGTACGAACGATTCGGCGCCACGGGTTGGTACGCCGAGTAACCCGGCTGTGGTGTGGGGTAGAGCGAGCCCGGAGCCTGACACTGAGTCGGCACCGGCTCTTGAGCCTGCGGTGGCAGGTGGGAAGTGACAGAGAACGAGTGCGCATTCGCAGCGGCTGGGTCGGGGGAGCGCGTGTAGAGCGGTGGGTATGAGACCGAGCCCTGATGCAGGGGGTGGGGCGGGTGGGCGTGGCCTTGCGGGTGGAGCGTGGCCGTGGCTTGGGCTTGGGCTTGGGCATGGGGGTCGAAAGGGCCGATACTGCCCAGAGCGTACCCCGGGAACTGCGGATCGCCCGGCGGCTGGGATTCGAGCATCGAGTCGGGCTCCATGGAGAGTGCGCCGTCAGTCATGGTGGTGAAATTGAAGCTTGGGAGATCGAGGTAGGTTTGGGGTTGGGCTTGGCTGGGCGCCGGACCAGTCGCGGGCGCGTTCTGCTGGCCGTGAAATGGTCCTGCGGCGAGGGAGGCGGCGGAGGAGGAGGAGACGGAGGAGGTGGAGGGGTGCGGGTGCTGGTGCTGGTGCGGGTGCTGCGACTCCGCGGCGGATCCGCTGCCCTCGATCCCCACCGGCTGGCCCTGGGCAGGGAAGGCGCAGCTCTGCCTCGCAAGTGCCAGAACGGGCATGGCCAACTGCTCCATGTGCTTCCCCAGGTGGACTGTTAACTTCTTCCAGGTGCCACAATTATTTCCGCAGAAGCGGCAGGGCTCCTCGGCCGGGGTGTCCGTGGTGAGATGTTTGCAATCCTCGACCAGCCGATCCACCTCCTTCGAGGGAGTTGACTTGGGCTCAGGCAGTTTATGCTCGCGCACCAGGTGCTGGAGGAAGTTATTCTTGCGGTAGCACTTGTGCGAGCAGTCGGCTAATGAGCAGTGCCACCACTCCAGCTGGCGGTGTCGTTCGCTTTCATGGCGGACCCAGTCCGCCTTGCGCTTGAAGGATTTCGGGTCCGGGCACCCGGGGAACGTACACGTGAAGGGCTGCACATCCTCGAAAATGTGCTTGGACCAGTCGGACGGTTTCTGAATCGTTTTGACTTGGAAACAGACGGGGCACTCGAACTGGGCCGGAAGACAGGGCACGGGGGGAAGGGGGGACGCCAGGGGGAAACTGGGCCGCGGCCACGGCCCCTTCGCCGTGGGTATATGACGGATCGCGGCTGTCCGTGACGCGGAACTGGGTCTGGCCACTCTCCATGTCGGCGGCTGTCTTGCGCTGCGGCAGCAAAACGGCCTGCCCACCCAGTGCGAAGCAGAACTTGCCTGATTTGCACGAGCCCTTAGCGACGGCCGCGGCGTGCTTCTGTTGGTACTCGATGAGCTTGCGATAGCGCCGCACTTGCTCGCCCGCGAAGCGGTTGACCAGCGCGGGGTTGAGTCGCGGATTCAGCTCCATGATTTGTGACTTGAAGCCTTCCACGGTGGGCACAGGCAGCCGGGAGATCGCTGGGAACTCCATCACGAGTCCCTTCTCATCACCAGCCATCTCCACGTCATCCTCATCCTCGGCAACATGCACCTCCAACGACGGCGCAATGCTTGTGCGCGGCTCGTCCTCATCCGGCTCTGCTTTAGTGTAGCGAGAGAGACTGGCGACTGGCGGACCGCCATGGGTGGTCATGAGATCCACCAAGCCTGGTGTGGTCGGTCGTGGCACCTCACTCCTCGCTCGATCGCGGCCCCATTTCGCTGGAAAGGCCTTGGGGCTAGCTTCTGCGTGGGGAGAAACCACTTGAACGGAGTGACTGCCGCCAACGGCGGCCATCTGGCCCGTCATGGACATGAGCGCGTTGGTCAAGCTCGGAGACCGGATGTGCGGCCTCGGTACATGCTTATTCGACGACAAGCTCAGCCTATGTCGGTAGCTCGAGCCGGTGCTCTCCTTCCGCTGGGGTTGGGGCGGGGGCACCTCCGGGCCACCCACCTGTTGGGCGTTGGAGGGTACACTCGACAGGGATAGATCGGAAGCTTGCCGTTTGATTCTCTGCTGCGCCTGCTGGACCCCTCGTTTGAAAAAGCTACTGCTCCAGCTCGCGTGTTTCTTCGGCGCGTCAATCCTCAACGAACGCTCAAAGGTTGCGCTGAAGTTGATGATGCTGTTATTGTCGATGGTCGCCGTGATCGAGGCAGCATCCTGTTCCTTCGCGCGCTTCTCGTATGCTGACATTGCAGCCGCGGAGCTCCCGGGCTGCCTCATCTCTGCCCTGCGCACTGGATCGCGCGGCGCATCCTGCCACGGATAGAGAGGAAAGCTTTCCCCCGGCGAGGCGACCTCCTGTGAAGTATACTCTCCAGGGGTGGAGTAATCATACAACCTACGATCATCAGCGAGGGCGGGGAGCGAGTCTGGCGCCGTGCTGCCATCCGAGTCATCCTCGCTCACAATGCCATCGTCGCTGCTCTCATGCAACATGAGGCCGGGCCCCAGAACCGAGCGATCGCTCGCATTCAAATTAAAATAATCCACTTGCTGGAGGGGCCGGTCTCCCGTGCTGAGCGCTCGGATCCGTTTGGGCGCTTGATTGCGTCCGCGGGACAGGGCAGGAGGACTATCGCCGGCCTCACTGTTCGCCGCCGACACCGTCTTGGTCCAGCGGCTAATTTCAACGTTCTTCTGTCCTTGTTCCCGCTGGCCCTGGAGTTCATTCGGGCTGGGCACGTATTCATTTCCTCGCGCGAATGGATCCAGGCCCCGACGGGCCGCGGTGGGGGTCCGGACCCAGGTCCCGTTGTGCGAGGGCACGACGGAGAGAGAAGAGACCGAGTGGTGCTCATCATCGTCTTCTTCGTCGTACCCATTAGCCATTTCCTCCGGCCCGATGGGTGACAGCAGCGATCGGCTGGGTTGTTGTTCGTGGGCATGCTCATTGGGAGAGTCCCCTCGTGATGTCCTTGATATGGTGATAATGGGGCTTCGGCCTCTTGGGGACGAAGAGGACAATTCATTCTGCGCGATCTGAGTGGTCGAGACGGTCAGTCTGGACGGTCCATGGGCTGGCTTGGAGCTCAGCCCGGACAGTTGCGGTGCCGCAAATGAACCGTGTGTGAGGGGCGCGCCTTGGGCCGTTGCGGTCTCCGGCACAGATGATGGGCTGGGCATAGTGTGCTCAGGGTCCAGGAACTGGGCCGTATCCAGTGGAATGGATGATAGCCACTGCGCGTGGCTAGTCGCTGCTGCGTTTGGCTGCCCCGCTCCTGCGCCGAAGGACAAGGTCCCTGCGTTCTGCAGACTATCATAGTTCACCATAACGTCCGCTGGGGCGAGGAAGTGTGTCTCGTCCGTCGAGGAGGTGCTCGCACTGGGGTCCGGATAATCATTCCCTCCTGGGGCCAAATAAACCTGCGACTGGACGGAGGGGCGGCGGGCCTCGTCCCGCGGCGGGGAGTTGTGATTAGGACTGCCATTGACGGGAGTGAGTCGAATAGCGCTGGCATGGAAGTCACTTTCTTCGGGATCGGATTGCGCCGACAGGTAAGGGTCGGTGTCCAGCTCCAGCGGCGAGTGATGGCCCACCGCCAGGGACTGACGGGTGTAGGGACTGGAGGACATGTTCAGACTGAGGTTGAAATGTTGGCGGGATGGTTTGGCCCATGTAGCGAACGGTTGGGTTGGCGAGCCGCCTTCGGACGGAGGCGAGAGAGGACCCGACGAGGAGAAATCATTGAGGGGGTGCAGTCCGCTCCGAGCCAGTTCACGGGAGTTATTATATAGATTCCCGGGCATGAGGGGGGGTAAAGAGAGGTTGAGAGGTGGGGAGGTTTTGGAAGGGTTCCTTTCTTTGGGAGAAGAATTTACAGCACAACGTAGCCCGGCTTATAGAGCGGTTGGGCTGGTCTTGGTACTCCGCTTAGCCAGCTGCGAGGGCTGATGGAGGGATAGTCTTGCAGGGACGAAAGAGGGTCAGAAATGGGGGCCGACAGTGGGTTGAAGAGGGAGGGGGAAGATGAGAAGAGCAAGAACAACAGAAGTCCGATAGTTTACCGCCCTGGAGCGATGCGATATGGGCGTGAGGGAAGTCGGGGATCTGAGCGTCAGAGATATGCCGCCGGGACTTGTCTAAGCGTCGCGCATGAGAGAGAGGAGGGGGGTCAGCCTTGAGAGGGTTTGGACTCCGCTTCCGAGAAATGAGCCTCATTTAGCGCTGTTTGCGCCCCGAACCTGCGACGGCGCGAACCACCAGCGCCATCATCACCACGACGATACCAGCACTCCTAGACTCGAAGATCCTGCTCGAACCCGCATTGCTCCTGGTATCTGATCCTCCTGCCTTCTGTCCCAGTGCATCATTGCATCATTGCATCATTGCATTATGGTATCGTTTCCCCCGAGGCAGACCTGCGACCCCACAGGACAGCTGAAACAGGGCTGTGCCGGCGATTTTGCAGTGTTTGCAGCCTGCCTGAAAGCCTGCAGCGAACCGCCAGCCTTTTTACCTTTCCCCTTCCCTCCAAGGCGTTTCTATTCTTGTCCCTCCCTCGTGGGGCCGCTGGCAAAGCCACATAGGGCTGAAGCCAAAGGTCCACGAGCTTGTTTATGCCGCCCCATACCGGAAACTCGTCGGGTGGCGCTGCCGGGGCCACTCCGTGGTCCATGGATCGGATACCGCGGGGATCTTGGATCTTCGAGCTTGGTTGCGGGGGCCCGGATCCACGATTCAAATCACTCGTAGACAGTGAATAGAGTACTGGGTGATAAGAATAGATCGGTAACTAGTAGGTTGGAGGGTACATAACCAAATTCATCGATCCGTTGCTATTTGCTATACATCTGAACTGCGAACTGCGGAATACATTTGCGAACCGTACAGGAGCCCTCGAAACACAGCGCGCTGAACGCAAAGACCAAAACAAACTGACATCCAATATCGCAAACAAAAGAAAACAGACAGAGCCGAAACACAGGCAGAACAAGAGCTAGTTCCATAAGAACAGCCTCCCAAACTCCTCGCACATTGCCTCAGGCCGGCACAACCTGCCCCTCGGCCCTCGGGCTCGCGGCCACCGACAACCCCCCCATCTTAACAGGCGTCGCACTCCTCGCAGCCGGCGGACTCCGCACAAAAGTCGCGCTCGGCTCACGCACCATGGAAACCTGCTCGACAGGCGCGCCCGCCAAATCCACGTCCCCGATCTCACCCTTCGGCGTCTTGGGCGGCGACCACAGGCCCTCCTCTTCGGCCACCAGCGTCTCCGTCGACTTCTTCGCCAGCTCCCGCAGGCGGGCCATCACGACAGGGGAATCGGAGAAGAGCACCTCGCCCGCCGAGTAGATGCAGGAGGTCGCACGGTCCGGCCCGCTGGCGAAGTCTTCGTGTGCCGGCTCGCGGAATACGCGCGGGAACGTGCGCAGCACGACGTGCCGGGCAGGCCCGGAGGTGGGGGCGGGATGGTCCTCGTGGGCAAGGGAGGCAGCGGCGCCGTACTCGGCCCAGCCGTGGTTGGCGACGGTCTCTGCGTCGGGCGCGGGGAAGAGGGCTAGCACAAGCTCGCGCTCGACGCGGGCATGGCGCCACGTCTCGGCGGCGAGCTTGACGATCTTGCGGACGGCCGTGAGCAGCGGGTCCAGCTGGCGGGGGTCGGCGAAGTGGCGGATATGATCGATGATCTCGTCGACGATGACGGCGGCGGCAACGTTAATGGACTGCTTCGCGTCGGAGGTGGTGTAGGCCGCCTTGAGCGTCTGTTGGCGCCAGAAGGCCTCGCGGCGGACGGACTTGCGACGGATGTCGAGGGATAACATCTGGAAGAAGGTGTCGGCCTTGTCGTAGCGGCGGCCGAGGGTGAAGAGGAAAGGCTGGAAGACGCGGTAGGTTAGGGTCTTGGAGACGACGTGCTGGATGTAGGCGGCGCGTAGGGCGCGGGAGGCCGGGGTGTTGTCCAGGAAGGAGGGAAGCTCCGAGGGGATCTTGGAGAGGATGTCTTTGGGCGGATCGATGGGGAGGTAGGCGAAGTGCTCATTTGAGAGCTCGGAGATCAGTTGCGAGAGCTGGGTGAAACAGTCCACACTAGAGAGGGGTTTGCTTATTAGAACTTGTACATTTATAGCGTTATCGACATGGTGGCATGGGAGGTGACATTCTATAGAACATAGGAGATAGATGCGAGGCCTTTGGTGAGGCAAAGGAGAGTATATGTCGGACGGCGACAAACGAGAAGACGAGAACAGAAACGCATAAAAGGAGAGAGGCATGGTCATAGACCGTAGCAATTTCAAGTTCAAAAAACCGGAAAGAACCGAAAAGTGTGGGTAATTGGCTCACTTACAAGAATTGATCGCCCTTGGTTGTCTTCAGGTCAGTCGCTTCGCCGAGGCTCAGCAGCGTCTTGCGCAGTCGATCGCAATCCTGATCCAAGTGGTCAATCGTCGACCGCATCTCCTGCACCGCTCGCTGGAGCTGCTGCTCCTTGATCAGCCCATCCCCTTCTAACTTGTCCTTCTCCCGCTCCGCGCTCGTCAGCTCCTCGTCTTTCTCGGCCAGCAGCTTCCGCAGCGCAGCGCGCTCCGCCTCCCAGTGCTGCTGCTGCTCGAGGAAGTGTGCCTCCACAGAGGCAATCTTTTCGTTAAGCTCTGTGGCTGCGGCCGCGAGCTGTTCGTTGTGGCTTTGCTGGAGTGAGTCGAGCTCACTGGCATGGCCCAGTTGAAGGGTGTCGAGTTCACTGGCATGGCCTTGTCGGAGGCCATCCAGCTCGCCGGTATGACCCTGCTGGAGGGCATCCAGTTCTTGCACGCTCTTTTCACGGGTCTCCTCCAATTCCTTTTCTTTCGCTTCCAGCTCCGCCACTTTGGAGGCAACCTCCTCGCGGGTGGTGTTGAGCTCAGCCAGATGCATCTCCCGCTCGGTCTCCTGAGTCTCCAGCGTAGCAATCTTAGAGGCGAGCTCTGACTTCGTGGCCTCAAGCTCACCGCGTTGCGTCTCCAAGGTCTCCTCCATCAACTTCTTCTCCTTCTCCCATTCCTCCTTGGCAGAGTCATGCTCCTCACGCAGATCCTTCTCCCGCGCCTCCAGAGTCTCCGAAGCGGCCTTCTCATCCTCGTTCTTGATCTCCTCAAAGAGTTCCGTCAGTTCCTGCTTCTGAGTCGTAAGAGCCTTGGCATGTTCGTTCTTCTGCGCCTCCCGCTCCTTCTCATGTGCATCCTGCGCGTCTTTGAGACTGCTATGCAACTTCTCAATCTCCGCCTCAAGCTCCGATTTGGACTGCGAGAGCTCCTCGTTGGACTTCTGATGGCCCGCTAGGCCGTCTTCAAGGTCCTTCTGCTTCTCCTGCAGATCTCCCAGTTCCAGGCGCAGTTCGTTGATCGTGTTCTTCAGCTTAGCACACTCCTCAGCACTTTCGTTGGCGGTCTTCTTCATTTGAGCCTGCAGTGCCTCGATATAGAAGTCCTTGTGCATGAGCGCTTGCTCATGTTGGTTGCCGATCTGCTTCATCTCTGCTTCGCGGCTGTTGAGTCTGGTGTGGGTGTGGCGGAAGCCATGTAGAAGGCGGTTGATGTCGGGAATGGCGGATTGAATTCGCTGGAGCAGCTCGATATGTTCCTGGTCGTTCTCTGGGGGAGAAATGGTACCATTCTCGTTCACTTGGCCATTGTTTAGGTTCAGGTCCCGAATGGCTTGAAACGATGGGGTATAGGATTGGTCGGAGGCACTGTAGCTGCGGTGCATGAAGTGGCTGTCAGGCGGTTGAGGAGGGGTATAAGGAGCATATGGTGGAACCATCCCGGCAGAGCTCAAGACGGGAGAGTGAATAGCCGTTGTATAGCTCTGGGCTGTTGAGGATGGCGCTGACAGGGCCATTGGGACAGCCGGCGCCGGGGGTGGTGGTGGTGGAGTGGCAGTGGGCGACATGATGGGTGACATATAAGGATAACGAGATCGGGCAAGCGGACTGCTGACCTTGGGTATAGGCGAATAGTAAGTGGGAGGGGAGTATACAGGCGCGGCGTAAGGGGCGAATGGAAGTGGAGGAGGGGGATAGTATGGGTAGTAGTGGGCCTCTGGTGAAGCACTGGACATAAACCGTGCCTCGGTCAGAGACGGGGATGGCAACGGCACTAGAGCCGGTGCAGGCGAAAAGGGAGCAAACGGGGATGCAACAAGTGCCCTCTCGGGATGCTCTGTCGGATAGCTTTGATCTGTCGGATAAGGTTCTTCGTCCGATTCGATATGCGGCTCGCGTGTGTCTTTGGTGGTTGACACAGAGACTTGGTCGTCAAGATAGTCGTTCTTCTCAGCTAGTTGTTCGTTCGAGGGACCAGAGGGCTGTTCTTCATGACCTTCCTCATTATCGACAATTGCGGGAGAAGTCTGAGTCCGAGTCCCGGTGAAATCAGCAGCGGCCGTGGCCTGTTGGAGTGCTGGATCCAGTGATTGGCCGAGCTCTGGTTCTTGAAGCACAAGCTCGGGGCTGCCAGGCGCAGACGATTCGGTTATTGTCTGGTCTTCTGTAGCTTCGGGACTCTTCGACTTCTTAATCTTCTGCTTTGCTCCGGCCTTGCCAGTTTTATCCTTGGCTTTGGCCTTCTTGCCACTCACACCCATCTCGGTTGAGTGATGCGTGCCCAAGGTAGTCGGATGGTTAGAAAAGAGGAAGACGTGTTTCCAATAGGATCACGGTATCAACAGAGGCAATAATGCGATGAGTAAATTCCGGGTGGGCTGATTGATGGGACTTCTGTTTTCTGCATACATTTGCAAGTGGTCCTGGCAGTGCCTCCAGATATAGCCCAAAGAGGCCTCAACAAGCTAGGGTCGAAAGAGACCCAGAATGCGAGAAATAGTGAGTCAAGGTGCGCTGGACGAGGAATAATCGGGCAGAGAGTCAATTGTTCTGTTCTTAGGGTCTAGTCGGACGAGTGGGCACAAATGAGTGCGATACACGAAAGCAAGGCTGCCTGTTCCAGCACGCAGATAATTTGGGCAAGGCCAAATCTCAATTTTCGAGCGTTGGTGGATCAGACAATCGAGGTGGTTGGTGTGTACAACCAGAGAGAAATAGAAGGAAAGAGAAAAAGCAAAGGCATTGGATTTAAAGTACCTAACTAAAAGAGGGAATGTGGATGGGCAGACAAGTCGGGAGGAAAAAACGGACAGTGCGTTCGTTTCCAACCCTTCCACACTTCCACACTTCGGGCTCCTTGGGAAGGCCGCAGCGGACCGAACCTTAGGGCGGATGTTGGTACCCATCCCAAGGCCGACCGGGTCGACAATGCAAGCGCAACGCTGATCGGCGGCCCCCAGAGAACAGCAAAGATTCCATTCTGAACCGAAGCGAGGCCAATTGCCGTGCGCCATGGAGCCATTGGGCATCAATGGGTTCGGGCGGCATAGTTAACAATAGGGCAATGCCGGTGGGGACTGGCTCCCAAAGTCTGACATGTTCAATCCACAGGCAGACACTATACGCACTTGCACTGCTCAGGGTGAGAAATGATGGGCCCAATATTGATGGATTCGCCTGATGTACGGAGTAGGAGTAGTAGGGGAGGAGGTGGGGTGGGGGTTCCAAAAATGAGGCGTCATCTCTGGAGATCGCCCTAACAATGCAGTCTGGGAACATATCGCCTCGGTTTTGGGGGAAGTCGTGCATATGCAGCGTGATCCATGATCCGTTCGGTTCGAGCGGATTGAATGTTTTGGAAACATAGTGGAAGACGAAGAAGTGATGTCGCTGTTAAGTTGTGTTGCCGTTGTAGGTCAGAAGCTCAGTAGGAGGGCGCCAGTCGTCCCGAGCCAACTGGTACGCGCTAGTCCCAATACATACAAGATCATGTGACCTTGTCGGCACGCAACTTCACCCTATCATCACCGCCCGAAGGGTCATCACCATTCGTCTCTCGCCAAATTCCCCTCCATTCAGTCATGTTCGCCGCCAGACGCTCTGCTGCCTCGACGCGGCAGCTGCTGCGCCAGCCGCCTCGTCGGTTTGGCTCCCACTCCGCCCACTCCGAGCCCGTGAACGAGGGCTTAGGCGTAAGCTCCTCCCCTCCGGGACCTTCAGGCTTGACGAGGAGCTCGGAAAGCCCCGAACGCCCTTCAATGCGTTAAAATGGCTTGCTAACATGATGTTTCCCCTTAACAGCGCAGTCTCTACGTCACCGCTGGTTCTTTCGCCTCCGCGTACATCCTCTACCGCATCAGCAAGGCCAACCAGGAATCCGGCTCCGAGTCCTTCATCTCCGGGCTGATCAGCAAGTTCACCACCTCGCAGGAGGTGTTTGAGCAGCGCAATGCCATCCATACTGCTCTGCTCGAGAAGGCCGCCGAGGACCGCCACCTACTCCAGTCCCAAGGACCCCGCGAGGCCTTCGAGCTGAAGCAGCCGGAGTATGTCGATGAGGATTCGTTCTGCAGTAGTGTCAATGACTAATTTTGGTACAGTTTGTTCAACGCTCGCCCCCCATACAACGTTTCTCCCGGCTCCCAGGCCGATCTTAGCGCCGTCGTGGCCCACTACGAGCGCCAGAACAAGGACATCGAGGAGGCTCGGGTTGCGCGGATGAAGGACGGCAAGGTGCAGTCCATCTACGAGTAAGGGCATAGAGTTCTTTTTTCTTATTTGGTTGGCCGTCTCCGATAGACGTGCGCAATTGGGGGCAAAACATGTACATATACGTTGGGACTGGAAAGTGCAATCCGGCAACCCCATCATTTGAATTTCATTTGTTTGAAGCCGTGTTTCCGGAATATCTAGGGTGGACGATTGCCCTCGAGGTGATTATTATACATAGCGTGTCCATCTCATACGCCATGCGCAGACAGTGTGGCCTCCAACACTACCCGACCGACTCCTTCCGACTGCACGTCCACCTTCTCCTGGACCTCCAATTCTTCTGCACAGACACTCTTAAGAACAGCGAGAAACTCGTCGACTCCACCCCCAACTCCGAAATAGACCTTCTTCGCGGCAATCAATGCGCGAGTCTTCGCTGCGGGTGTGCTGGAGCGACGCAGCAACCCCAGGAGGGTCTCGGAGAATGCCGTCAGTGTTGCCGGCGAGTAGATGGTCTCACTTGCAAGCACAAGAGTCCTGCATTCGCCCGCGCGGGTAGTCGAAGCAGAAAAGACCAAGTCGACGAACTCCGGAGACCACCCGCCAGAGATGAAATCAACCAATATCCCCCTTCGTGCCAGGTCATTCTTGAACTCATCTACCAATTCAGGGGTGATGTCTAGCTCCTCATCCTGCTGAGCTTGAGAGGCTTCCTGGCCCGCTGGAGGTTCCACCGCAGTCTGTGACCGGCTATTGTGCCAGGTCAGGAGGAGGTTGGGAAGAGTTACGAGGCGCAGCACCGCATCGTTATAGTCTGCGAACGTAAAATGCGCTCTGCGCTGGGGAGCTGCACCATCTACCGACTCTGTCTGGCTGAGAATATGGGCGAACAGAGTCATCGATGGTACCGCAGTGCCTGCACCGAGCTATTGTCCCCGCATCGTTAGCAATATGCTTCACCATCCCCCCAAAGACAATACACACCTCGATCACATGGACATCAGTCTGCGAGTTGTTCAACGACTCGATGATGGCCGTATCACCAGCAGCCAGTTTGGCGAGATCCAGGGCACACTCCCAAGTCTTGAAGCCACCTTCGTAGAAATTAGGCTTGAGATCGCCTTCTTCAAGGCCAGCGATCAATTCGGCATTGTCGTAATTCTCGTTGTCCTCTGCCATCAACTGGGTGCGGATATCGAATATTTCTCGACGTGCAATCACAATAGGTGTGCCACTGATTGCAAGCCGGTTGTAGAATATTTGTGATGGGAGAATCGAAAGCTATGAATGTGTGAGTCGTTGTGACTAGCTCAAAGCAGACAGATAGCAATTGGGTGTGTTTGTGCGGCTCGACATGAGCTCTCGGACTATAAGAAGTCGCGTTCTCACAGCCCGTGGGCGGGAATCAAGTGCTTAGAGGGAAATGTACACAGAACAATGCGAAATCATGAGAGATGTCTGATGCTACTCACCCACTCGTTCATATCATGTTTGCCAGCTTTCACCAGTTCGGGGAGAGAATTGGGGGCACTCTGCGGGGGCAGCACATCTGGGACTCCATTGCTAGTCTCGGAGTCGTCCATGTCAATATCGTCCCCTGAAAAGCCGAAGCTGAACGCCATGTTCGAGCAAGCTCCTCTATCCCCGTGTGGCAGGCAAAAATATATCGCGGGGTGGAAAGCTGGGAACGAGGTGATCGTTGTAGCGTCCGAGGAGATCTTCAAGTAACTATTTGGGTGGGCACTCTAAATCAATGACTCTGAAAGGCTCCAGATTGATCTATTGGGCCGGCATTGGCCAGTAACTTGCGAATTGATCTCAAAAAGGTCATCAAATATGCATACCAAAAATTGCCGGAGTGGGTCAGTAACCATGACTAAGCAGTATATCGCCGGCCGTGGACCGAGCAGGGAGGCTGCGCCAAGATCAATCTGGAGATCTCTGTAATTCTAATTGTGAACATCCAGATTTTCCCTTCCTGGTAGATGCTACCTAGTAACCTCTGGTCAATTGTGGCTATACACCTAGCATGGTGTCTAGCTTGAACTGTCGCAAAGCGCCTGGTTCGCAGTTTGCTGTCGACCAGAGTTCGGAATTCACTTCCATTTCGTTGTCGGTATCGACAGTTGCCTGGAGTAATTTTAATGCGGAGGTGATCATCGGCCATGTTGGAAAGTATATGACAGAAGGGAAGGGTAATGGTCTGCATAGAAAAGAGGGATTGTTTGGAGAACCTCAAGGATGTCAGCCACCCACTCATCCAGATAGGCCACGGTAATGAAGTACCGGTTTCAACTTCACGTTTAGGTCAGACCCCCCGCCCGAACAGCTGCTCACGTCTGCCTGGCTTGAAATAAGGAGTAAGTGGATTATGGCTCAAATGGGTGACAAAGAGGTGAGGATTGTTCTTGAGCATCGGACATGAGGTCCCGGAGGTAATTCTTCAGTACCTTCTCCTCAGGGCCATGTTCCTCCCCTCATCTGTCTTCTTCTGGAATGTCTTCTGGAATGTATTTCCCACCATCTTTGTTGATGGATTCATGATATAAGTGTCGGAGTGGAAGGGCCATATGTCCTGCCGAGGGTTCTCTAGCTTGATGAGGATAATATGCTTGATCTTTACATTTCCATTGTGGAGCGCTTCCTGAAGAGGCTCCAAAATGCTATTCTGGAGGCTGAGCGTGGGTGTGTAAGGGGCCTTTCATCGGAGTGCAGTGCTCGTACAGCTTCTCCCCGTCTGCATTTTCATTAACCCTATTTCGTTAACCCTATGTGCCTGAAAGGGCGACCAATCTGGAAAGCCCTTAGGCGAATGATGTCCGAGTTTACCAGAAGTTTTGATTCTAGATAGTCGTACTAAATACAGTATCTGCAATAGGGACAGACCCATCTGGAGGTAATTATCATCTACCATAAGCCAACTGGCACAGCACCTGAGAGCTAAGCAGTTCCTATTGCCTGTTGTCGACTCTCGTTATCAAAATGTTCAAGTCGAAGGCTCTCGGTGCAACGATATAGACTTCAGCACTTACAGGAGCTGCAGAGTAAGATCCCCTCTAATTTTTGCTTTCAGTTCAATCTCAACATCCAGATTCAAATCCAGCCTCAGTCGCAGTTGATCACCTCCTTTCTTTGATACGGCTTCGGTGGTTTCTACCACTTCGCCGGTATTCGCGTTAGCTGGATTGGAAATGGTGCGCCCTGACAGCGCATCTTCCTGATTCCGAGCGGTAACAGCCTGTTGAGTTGTAGCCTCCGGGCTGAGTATCTGTCGGACGCGGGTGGTTTGTAGCTGCGTTCCTGGACTTTCCGAGGATTGTTGTTCACGCTCCAGCACTTGATCTTGGCCTGGCTCCATGGATTGGCTCGACTTCCGGCGTACTCGTTGACGGTGGTGCTGGAGCATAGGCTGGGGGGACATCTGCGTTTCTCCAGGCGTTGAATTGTCGCTGGGGTTGTTCAGACTTGACTCCGAGGCGACGCCATTCGGAAAGCTGTCAGAGGGACCGGACGACCTTTCTGGAACTCCATTTTCTCTCTGCTCGCGTGCCTCGTTTGGTCTGTCCTCGGGGGTAGACTTCTTTGCGGGCTTTGGTGGTCTGAGTTTTGGCGGCCGTCGTTTTGGCGAGGGAGCGAGATCACTCGCGCTGGAGGTGAGTTGGTCCTTGCGAGGCTCCGTCGGCGGTTTCATTGAGGGCAGCGTTGGCGATGTGACCACGATCAATCAGAAGTGGGAAGTCAACAGCTTTCCCGCAAATGGGAACCAAGCATTATTTTAGCCCCAACTACCATTACACGCAATCTTTGTTTGGGCCAGTTCGCCTCGTGACGTCAGGTGAAGAGGTTCATCAAAAGGACAGAGCCGCATCGGGACAATCACTCGAGCCACAACGATATTCCGATCGAGTGTTCTGCCACTAACGGGATGATGCATGATGAGGTAGGCGAACACTCGATGCCATGATGGTCATCGTGGACATGAAACAAGATTGGAGAAAACAATGATGCCACCCTTTAGTGGGGATCCGGGGTACACGGCAGCCCGAGTACCAAACTTCCCAGGAGAAAGTGGGGACCACCAGACTGGCCGATGTGGCTGTTCATATATGATCCGGTCACGCTAGCCGATAACTCCTACGGAGGACATATGATAGCTGGAAGGTGAATCGATTTCTTTGCATTACTTCACAGCCTCCAGGAGGATCACCACAAATGGCACCGAATCAAAATGCAGGCAGGAACAACATCCCGGTGCCAGATTCGAAGCACTTGAGTGATGGAATGGAGCAGGAGCGCAGAATCTCTGCGGTTTCTGAGATCCAATCGCAAGAGGATGACGATTCTATTAGCTTGATCTCCGGTTACTATGAGACCAACTCGGATGTCGACAAGACAGACACAATCATCCAACGGAGTTCACCTACCAAAGTGACCACATTGAGACAAACCAGACCCGAGGCTCCTATCCAGGCAAGGTATGGCGAAGTGCAACGACGAGGACTCGACGCAATCCAACCAGTCCAGAGGACGGAAGCACCAGCAAAGAGTGCGGTTAGCCTAAGACTGGACCTGAATCTGGATGTGGAAGTCAATCTGAAGGCGAAAATTCGCGGTGATTTGACTCTGACCCTGTTGTGAGTCTTCTAGACGGCCTTCAATAACAGTTGAGCCGCGAGCTGACCCCTTACAGGGCGTAAATGGCGACGGGAGCAATGACATGAAACCCTCCGCCAATTCGACTGGTGGGTTCACCTTCCTGAGAGGAATCGATGCGATGCAGCCCTGCACCTTTGCAACGCTGGCACAGCGGCCACAGTCAAGCCACCCATGCGGGACACGTTATCTACTTTATTTCAGACAGACAAATGTACACCAGTGATCAGTGATCAGAATACATCTTAAGCTGCGACACAGGAAGGCCGTGTGGCGAAGAGTATAGTGCCAAGCCCTTCCAGCCACTGTTTCGCCCTGCCGCTCCGTGGTTATTGTCCAGCAGCCGACGCTGGGAATGACGACAAGACACCGAGCGCTCTTATAGCCACACCCCAACAAATGTCCTGAACCAGTATTTGTTCCTCGCAATTGTTCGGGCACAGCCTGTGGGCCATCTCTAGCAAGTTTTCATTCGCTTCGACTGGACAGTGATTGGGCCGATTATCCTGTTATGATGCTTCGCTTATTGTAATCATATCCATCTGTGGAGACGTCTGTGGCTTGGTTTACAGGAGGACCACTGGTATAAAACCACCAGTGTTGGCAATCTATCTGTGGCGCATCATCAATCATAGCATCTGGATAAATTACTCTTTGATCAGACTTAAAACGCAGCACCCCAAACAGAATGGCATCTTCGGTGTCCAGATCCATGCCTGGGAAGAATGCGGCTGAAGGTCCCTTGAAGCAGGCGCAAGCTTCCCCCAAGCCCCTGGCTGCTCGCAAAAAGCCGGATTTGGAGTCGCCTAAATCTTCAAGCTCTACGGGAAATAAATCTGCCGCCTCGAAACCAAAGATAGGTACAAAGCCGTCAGATCTCTCGAGCAACAAGAGAATGTCAGCACATGCTTCGAAAGATGCGAGCAAACTCATTGCCGATGGTCCTCGCCCATCAGTGCCTACCGGCAAAAAGCCAGTGTCACAGGAGACGAAGATAGGTACGAAGCCGTCAGATCTCTCGAGCAACAAGAGAATGTCATCACATGCTTCGAAAGATGCGAGCAAACTCATTGCCGATGGTCCTCGTCCATCAGTGCCTACCGGCAAAAAGCCAGTGTCACAGGAGACGAAAACCGTCGAGGGAACAAGTGATGACGCGGATGATCCCAAAGATGAAGAGGACAGTGGCATGGTTGACCTCGTCGACAATGAAGAAGGCCCGATTGAGGCAGAAGACGAAGGTGCTGGACCTGAAGAGCAGAGAGGAGGCGCAGCAAAGAATGATGCGCAAGCCTCTGGGTCCGGGGGAAGATCGGTATTTCAACGAGGCAAAGATGCGGCCACAGGTCTTGCCAGTTTCGCCACGAGGGCCAACAAACTCCATTCTCAGATGCCTGATCCCGTTAAACAACAAGTAACCAGCCGCGTGCAGACGGGTGCTCGAAATATCATGGGCACAGTCGGGCTAGACTCCGCGGAAGCAGAACGCAAAGCGCAAGAGCTCAAAAAGAAAGATTTTGAACTTCCAACCGACCTCTCTGCCCTGTCCCAGCTTGAGGTTGGTGGGGATGGAAAGGTCGTCGATGATGACGGCAATGAAATTGCCCGGTTAGTGGAGGGAGAGCCCGAAGATCTTGCTGGTCGGGTAATTGGCGCGAACGGAGAGATCCTGGATGAAGACGGTGATATGATTGGGCGTGTGGAGCTTCTCAGTCAGGATGTGGCCAAGAAAGCGCAGGATGACCTAGGCTTAAAAAGACTCGCGCAACTGCCCGTCACAGAAGAAGGCTTGCTCAAAGATGAATCGGGCCAAGTGGTGGGGAAAGTCGTTGAAGGCGACCCTGAAGATTTGGCCGGGTTCACTCCAAATGAGGCTGGTGAGATACTCGACGAAGATGGTGACTTGGTTGGTCGTGTTGAGCTTGTTTCTCTCGACAACACCGAGGAACAACTTGATAAGGCTAAAAGCGGACTAGAGGTCCCATCGCCCGAGCTTTCTATTCTTAAAGGGATGTCGATCAACGAAGAGGGCGAGATCCGCGACAACGAGGGGGGCCTTCTTGGTCGAATAAAGGAGGGCCAAGCCGCCGATTTACTTGCTGGTAAAGTACCGAACGAGCAGGGCCAAATTTTGGCAGAGGACGGGGAAATCATAGGCCAGGTTGAGCTGGTAGGTGGGGAGGCGGCTGAAAAGGCAATGCAAAAGCAGCAAGAGGCACAAGACATGCTACCGTCTCTGTCCACCCTCCAAGGCCTCCAGTGTAACGAATCTGGAGAAATCGTCGATGAAAATGGGCGGGCCGTTGGTGAGCTGGTCGAGGGTGACCCCAGCAAGCTCTCCAAGGCCAATGCACAGCTTGACGATCAAGGCCAATTTTGGGACAGCAAAGGCAATATCATCGGTAAGGCTCAGACGCTTCCCGCGGAAGATCAAGACAAGGGACCATTTGCCGATGTCGAGGAGCCGTTTGTCACAGACGAAGGCGAAGTCCATGATGCAAATGGCAACAAGGTGGGGACCTTGATCGAAGGTGAAATACGCAAAGTTCGTGGACGAGCTGTCGATGAGGATGGCGATATTCTGGACAAACGAGGCAATCTGTTGGGGCGGGCAGAGCCCTGGAAAGAGCCTGAGCCGGGCCCTGACAGCGCCGATCTCTCTGTGTTGGAGGGTCTTCTTCCGAACAAGCTGGGCATTGTTATGGGGCCCGATGGAGTGCCCATCGCACGTCTTAGCGAGGGTGACCCAAAGACAGTGACCGGCAGAAAAATCGACGCTGAAGGTCAGATCTGGGGTGACGATGGCGAGGTTATTGGGCGGGTGACTCTGATCCCCGAAGACGAACGAGAATCCATCCCGCCCTTTGGCAACCTGGGAGATTTGGTGGTTCGGAAAACCGGGTTTGTTGAGGATGAAACCGGCGATGTTGTGGGCAAGATCGTCCAAGGTGACCCCCAGAAATTACAGGGTCTGGCTGTGGATGAAGATGGAGATATCATCGACAAGCGCGGCAATGTCAAAGGACACGCCGAGCCATATACTCCACCGCAAGAAGAGGAGCAAGAGGAGGAGGAAGAGGAGGAGGAGGACATATCCATCCTTGAAGGAAAGACGGTCAACAAGCTGGGAAACGTTGTGGATGACAACGGTTCTGTCTGGGGACGCATTACCTCGGGAAATCCCAAGAAGCTCGCGGGCAGACAGGTGGATGCAGAAGGTCAAATCTGGAATGACAGTGGGCAAGTGATCGGCACCGCCGAACTTGTGCCGGCTCGTGAACGTGAACAGGCCGAAGGCATCTTCTATGGCCTCGATGGCCTCTTAGTCGCCAAGGATGGGACCATCACTGACTCCCACGACCAAGTTGTCGGCAAGCTGGTGGAGGGAGACTTAGCTCGCCTGAAAGGTCGAGCCGTCGACGAAGACGGCGAAGTGATCGACAAAGTCGGAAATGTCATTGGTCGTGCAGAACGATGGACACCGGAGGAGAAACCGCGCGAGATCAACCCGATGAGCGGCCGAAAAGTGAATCGCGAAGGGGAAGTCCGCGATGAGGATGGCAATCTAATCGGTCGACTTACCGAGGGGAATTTGAAAGCACTGGTGGGTAAGTCGATTGACGACAATGGCAACATCGTGGACAACGACGGGAACAAGATTGGTGAATGCACCCTGCTGGAGCAGATGCCGGACGAAGCCGAACAAGAACCGGCACTGTCTGCCGAGGAACTTGAACAACAAGAGAAAGAGAACCGGGATCGAGACTTGGCGAAGAAGATGTCGGCGATTGTGCAGCAGACGCTGGAATCGGTGGGACCGCTATGCAAACAGATCACGGAGGTAAGGACGTCTCATTCCTACAGCGACACCCAAATACTAAAGGCTGGACTAGCACATTGAACGGGCCGATCGCACTCCTCGGGAAGAGCTTGACGAAGAACAGTTGGTGAAGACGGTGAAGCCTCTCATCGAAGACGCGGGAAACATGCTACAGGAATGCAAAGGGGCCCTTCGCGCCCTTGATCCCGACGGCCAAATTGCAGCTTCAGCCAAATTGCGAAGTGTGTCCCACGAGGCAACACCAGAAGAATACCAGCTGGCAGATCTCCTCAAGGAATTGTCCCAGACGATCTCAACCACCATTGAGAATGGTCGGAAGCGCATCGCAGATATGCCCCATGCAAAGAAAAAGATCAACCCCCTGTGGGCTCTCCTCTCCGAACCGCTCTTCCAAATCATTGCTGCGGTAGGTTTGCTCTTGAGTGGAGTGGTGGGCCTTCTTGGTAACCTTCTTGATGGACTCGGTCTCGGAGGTCTCGTTCGTGGACTGCTTGGGGGATTAGGAATCGATAATCTCCTCAGTGGTTTAGGTTTGGGCAACGTAAGCGAGAAACTAGGAATGTCTGGTTGAGGGCGTGCAAAAAGGGGGCGCGGAGGCGTCCGACGACTCGAGCATATGTTGCTAAGCTTTCTGTCGCGTTCGGCTATGTTCAGTTTGAATGAATTAACTCAGGTGCTACATGAATATGAATAATGTAATTCACAAGCCGAGCTGTGCACCCTAAAATATATGGAGTACATGCGATAAATCAAAGAACTGCATAGTTCATCTAAATTCACTATACTACACGATATATAAAGACTAGGCACTATCTATGAATAGGGGATCATTACTGAGGATAATCTAGTTATCCTTCTCAAGACTGAGCTATTATTCTGTTGGCATATCCCTATCTAAGATGGATAAAGTAATGCTTTTTTTGTAAAGGTTTCCGAGTCAATTAGTGAAACTCCCGTGAAGGAAACAATTCCATAGTTACGAGCATTCTGAAGCGTTATTATTCGTTTCACAATCTCATTATTATAACTGAGAAGAAGAGAGTGATGTGACACCAATTACTAGCGAAAGGTGTGAGCCGGAAGGAGACAAAGCCTGTCACGAGCTGGCCTTAATGGTTTGCTTCTGAGCAAGGAATACGAGATACTGAAGGTCGACGTCCTATTAGAATCGCTTCAAGATAATATCATAGCTCAATTGAATAGATAAAAGATTCTGTAGGGTGACGTAGTACTCATAATGGCCTAAGCTCCCTAGGTGATCATTTCGGGCGGAGATACGTAGCTATAAAGACTAACGCATGCAGGAGGACAGCACAAATTTGCAACCCGTTGTTTATCTGGAACCTTTGGGCTTATATATCATGGACAGGCAGAAGAAAAGATAAGGCACCGCAACAACCCAGCTACCTAGGCCAGCCCGAATCCCCGGAAGAAATATGGTCATTTTTTCATTTCTCCTGTCCACCGGCTGCTCGATGTCGTAGAGGAAGTCGATGCTTCCGGGAAACTAGTCGGTTCCAGTTTGAAGCCTCGCCCATACCGTTGTTTATATTCAGCCGTCATTCCACTCTCCACTGCATCTCGCTGATCCGGTATGCTGCCATCCGTCGAAGAAGGCTCGGCCTTTTTCAGATAGTTCATGTTGATAGTTGCAATATCTCTCGATAGCTGCTGGACGGATGCATCGCTCACATAGCCTCCCACTTGTCTCGTTCTCCAGCCATAGGCTCGGTTTTTTCCATGTAGGATCTTACCATTGGTGGATACCATGAATTGCAAGGCATCGCCGGTTCCATAATTTTCAATCACACTAACATTCTCTTTCAGATTATCATCCGCCTTGGAGCAGATATCCAAGCACTGTCGGGCGGTATTCCATTCATCCTGTAGCCTTGCCAAATCCTGTGCATCCTTTTCAGATGTGATTGTTGTCTTGGTTTCCAAGAGTATTCGATTCATGACATCTTGCATATGTTTCTCTAGCTTGGCAGCCGTCAGAGACAAGCTATTTTTGCATTCTTGCAAGCCGTCATTGGTGACCCTTTCAGGCGAGACATGTGCACTATCTGAGCCATGTGGGGCACCACTTCGGTCCGATGTCAATTGGATTTGGTCAATATGATCGGATAGCTGGGCACAAATCTGGAGGCATTTTTCTGTACTCAAACGCTCCTCTTTCATCGATTGCAGTTCCGCAGCGTCTGGTCCGGATTGAGCCACGCTTTTGTTAACAATGCACTCCAATTTGTCATCTATACTTTCCAGACGAGCTTCAAGGTCATCCTTGGCGTCTTGGATAAGGTGCTTGTAATCTTCTAGGGCTTCGGTATTGGCAGATGTTTGACGTCTGATCGGCGTAAGCCACACGCACTCGAGCAAAAGGAAGACGGGACTGATATCCATATCGAAGTCCAGTGAAGACATGATCACTTACATATTTGCATCAGTGAGCGCGATATTGATGGTTGCCTTGTACCCCGCCAGCAGTCTTCGGAAGCCATCTATGTCGTCACCCATGTACTTTAGTCTGGCCCACTCCCGGAAATTCGTCCGATTACTGCCTGGCTGCGACGAGCATTTGAGAATCTCCTGCCGAAACTCGTTGCAGGCACCGCCACAGCGTAGAAGAGGAAGCTCCAGCGCCGAAAAGTCTATGTCACTAGTGGCCTTGACAAACTCGCCGAGTGGCCCAAGCACAGCACTCAGGGCTTCAAGTTCTTCAAGAAGATCACGCACGCGCTTCGGATGGTGGCGAAAACTATTAACCGTTTCGTGGAGCGAGATGCTGCACTCGAAGGCGAAAGTTGCCAGGGCTAGCAATCCGGCTGCTAAACCTATTGGTTCGGCCATGACTTCAATAACTTGTATATGGGTGAAAACTCGACGGGTGAATAGCCCACTCCGAGAATGTCATGGGTCTTTATAACCGAACCAAAGTCACTTCTCAGCCGCACACGAAGACAATAGGAATCGCCGATAAGGGTCAGGCCAAGAGATGCGCTGGTTCGCTTGCCGCTATCCCGGCGATCGATCAAGGTGCAAGATTGGTGGGGGCCGGCGGCTAGCTGTTAATTACATAGTTTTGCTCATACGAAATTACTAAGCCTCACTTATTCCCCCTAAAATTCCAGACCACCTCCTTGCGAGAGTGGCTATCATTGGGCCCCTTGTACGCGCCCATGCTGGGACCCAGTTTCAGAGGGGCATCAAAGCTGTTCGCGCGCGCGTCCGAGGCGCTTTCCTATGGTAGAATTCATATCTTGCATATTGGTTGCGCGGCAATCTCCGAAAAGACCTTCGCCGCGTACAATATTAGGTCTCTACTTTGTTGATCTTCTCCCTTCTCTGCCTGATTGCATGCGAGATATGCGGTGGGGGGTGCTGCAAGCCAGTCACGTTCCGACAAAATTAGTGTAATTGTAAGACAATACGCGCCCGCCTTGACGAGGCTAGAAAAACAAGGTGGGGGCGATCGCAAATTGTTCCCCGAGCTGAGCACATAAAGCATCCCCGCACATAGTCTTCTGTTTCTCTTCTCACCCTTTCTGTTGATTCAAATAACATTAATCACTTCTGCTCTCGATATCGAACAATACAAAGCTCCTTCTCTTTCCTAATGGCCGAGGTTATTGGCATTAGCTCGGGCGTTGCTGCCTTGTTGTCCTTGGCCCTCGAATCAAGTAGCATCTTGTTCCGCACTCTTAAGAGCCTCAATAACCGGGAAAAGACCATTCGGGACCTTCGAGAAGCGCTCCAGGATCTCGAGGATGTGCTGAAAATACTCCAAGATTCGATCAGCACCTCGCCCTTTTTGAATAGCGGGGTCATTGAACGACCTCTTGATCGATGCTGCAAAGCATGCAACGATTTTAATGCGCTGATCATGAAGTGTTCTGAACACTCCACAGACAATCGCTTCAGTATCCGTGATTGGGCCAAATTGCGCTACATGGGTGAAGACGTCGCTGGCTTTCAAAGCATGCTTTCTGGCTATAAATCCACAATTACCATCGCCCTCGCGTATTCTAATGTGTACGTTCATAGGATTGCCCTGAGAGAACTTTCTGACTTCTCCTAGTAACCTTACCGTCACGACAAAGAGTGTCATACACGAGTACAAGGAACTCATTGAAGATACGAAATGCGACCTTCAGCTTCATTTGCAGTCGATTGAAGACAGATTGAAATCATTGTCCTCCACCAGACAAGCCGAAATGGGATTCGATTTTATCGACGTCAAGCAAATGAACGAAGAATTAGAATGCACACAGCACGGCCTGGATATTTGCACGAAGTTTTCTTCATACATAGAGGAGACAAGGACCACCTCTTTGCAAAAAATGACTCAGGCTCCAGGAATATCCAACAGAGGGCTATTATCTCCGGAAAACAACATGCCTTGGTTGATACTTGCTGAAGCCTTGAGTTCTGCTGAAAGGGAAATCGTCAGTTCAAGACTGCGACTGCTTCAATATCGTCACGCGCGCGGAAGTCAGCCTTGGTTCTTACAACACCAAGGGTTGCTACCTGAGAGCGAACACAAAAACGAGCGAAGTGACATCAAGGAAGAGGCAGAGAACATTAAAGAGTCGTTGAAATTCTTCGATCAGGTATCCCAAGAAACCGGTGAGGGTCGAACAAACTATTTTGAGGATGTGTCGACGGGTGATAAAAGCAAGCAAATCATTGTGACGACTTTCAAAGATTTGATCTCTGCGCGACGGATTACCTCGGGATCTGGCTCATTGCAAGTCCTAGGACATTATACCGAAGACTCCCTGAACAACGTGCTGCGAAACCAGGATGACTTCAATCCGGAGTGACCCCGGTCTTAGGGACTGTCAGTTTCTATGCAACGTACGCGTGAAGGACATTGGGCATTGGCCATTTCGGACTGGTTTCCTATCTAATCTTAACTTTCTGTTTGGGGGCGGCCTTCTACCGCCACACCTTAGTTGAAGAAGTAGATAGAGCTATATTAGTGGCGAGGCGTTTGGAGATATCAAGTCACGATAGTGTACCTTCCTCGATATCATAGAACGCAATTACCGGGTGAATCACTACAATCCGACGTCGATGTTATTCTTCCATCATCTTACTAGATATAGTAAGGACAGTATCAACTAATATGATATATTATAGTATTATATATCCGGTACGCTATAGAGCGCCTAACACTTCTTATCGATCATTTCCCTAGAAAGTTATCGTTCGCTATCGATCACTAGCCACGAATTCTTGTATTGTTCTAGATTCTCACAGACTAAGCGCGTGCGCTACCTCCCCCTTTAATCCCGTAACTTACGGAGGGCTCTAGTATGCATTTCGAACATTTCCAGAGTTTTCTTCAGACTCTCGAGCGCTCTAGCGGATATTACCAATAAATCAATGAACAACGGGCTACTCTCACTCTTTGTCCGGCCTACTTCACTGGTGATCTTAGAAGCTCTCTCGATTGTCTCTCTTATCTATTCTTGTTAATCTACCGCTCTTTTTAAAGTTTATTCCAGAGGAGGAACAGTAGTAACCGAAGGTAGATCATTTAGCTTATATAGTCTCCGAGGGTCGATAGAGTGGCTTAAAAAGAACGCGAAGCGTATAAGTAAGACCTCAAATAATGCCTTAAGCATTAATGTAGATTCCGACGCTATAGAATCGAACGAAGATATTAATCCTAGGATGCTGTGATATCATGTTCTGGAACTCGTTCGAAATATCCGCTATACCTGTACTTACAAAGCTTAGCTATAAGATTCAAACGTGGAGACAAGGGAACTACTGGCTACCATTATACGCTTTAGCTACTCTATATAGTTACCTGTATGGCTTTTTTGGTGGTTTAAATATAAAGGATTACCCCGTTCAACCTACATTGGATATGCCAAGAGAAACAGTCTCATGTCAAGAAGGGCCATTAGTTATATTATCTTTAGTAATCACACCCTATTGAAAGATGGTAGCTTCTGTTCTTCTACCTGAATCTATCAAAATTTAGTCTGTATGGATACGGTATATTAAAGTGGATCAATCCCAGTCCCCAGCCCGGCGTTTCTGCAATGTAATTAGCCAGAACAGCTCGTTGGTCTACGAGGCGATTTGCATAAGATGTGGAAGAATATGAGAATGAGAATCGCCATGGATTTCAGATACTGTCCACTTTATCTTTCACCGATCGAAATGACGCTAAAGGCGGTGGTCCGAACCCAGGGCGGGGATCGTTCGCAGTATAGATCCCGGTGGACGGAACGGAGCCAGATGTTGCTTACTCCCTTTCTACTATGGGGGATGCTTCTTTTTTATCGCTTATTGCTCCTTCGAAGAGCCCCCTGGATAATATCTTATGATTGATGTAGCAGAAGCAACAATGCAATGTATTTTTGCAGCCCCGGAATCGGAGTATGCACAAAAGATGCAAGTAGATTGTGCAAATATCTTTTCGCTGGGCGACAGATAACAAGGATCATGTCGAGAGCCAGCGGAGCAACACAAGGGAAATCGTCTATTATCTAGTTTCGTTAAAATGCAAAGAGCCCATCAGAATGACAGAACCACAACCCTCTATGCGCTGCCGTTGGACGCAGCCACAGTCTTCTCCAGCGCCTGGAGAACATCCTCCGTCAGATCCTCAGCATCCTCCACGCCACAGCTCATGCGCACAAGGTCATCAAACACACCAGCAGCCTCACGCTGATCCTTGGGGATACCGGCATGGGTCATGCTGGAGGGGACTTCGCAGAGCGACTCGACGCCACCTAGACTCTCCGCGAGGGTGAAGACCTTCGTGTACTTGCAGAAATCGTGGGCAGCCGCCTGGCCACCCTTGATGCGGAAGCTCAGCATGCCACCGCCCATGCCATTGCGGTGCTGCTTGATGGCAATCTTGCGGTGCGGGTGCGAGTCGATACCGGGGTAGTTAACGGAGATGACGTGCGGGGAGGCCTCGAGAGCGAGCGCGACGGCGGTAGCGTTGGTGGTGGCCTCGCGAGCGCGCAGGTGCAGGGTCTTGAGACCGCGGTGAGCGAGCCAGCAGTCGAAGGGGGAGGGAATGGCGCCGATGGCGTTCTGGAGGAAGGAGAGGCGCTCCTTCAGGGACTCGGAGTTGAAGGCGGCGACGCCCATGCAGACGTCGGAGTGGCCGTTGATGTACTTGGTGACGGAGTGCACGACGATGTCCGCGCCGTGGTCCAGCGGGTTCTGCACATAGGGGCTCATGAAGGTGTTGTCGACGACGACCAGAATGCCGTGGCGGTGGGCAATGTCGACGACGGCGCGAATGTCGACCAGGCCGAGGGTCGGGTTGGACGGGGTCTCGATCCAAATGAGCTTGGTCTCGGGGCGGATCAGCTCCTCGATGTGCACCTCAATCGTAGGCGTGAAGGTCACATGCACGCCGTGCGCGGCGGCAACCTTGGTGAAGTAGCGGTGGGTGCCACCGTACACGTCGGAGACCGAGACGACGTGCGACCCGGCCGCAAGGGACTGGAGGATGTTCGCGGTGGCGGCGGAGCCAGAGGCGAAGGCGAGGGCATACTTGGCGTGCTCGAGGGCAGCGACGGCTTGCTCAAAGTTATCCCTGTGAAAAGGTCTGGTCAGAACGCGGACTGGTGGTGTTGGCGAGCCAGGGAGGTTTTGGGGGGGGGGGTGTCCCCGAGAGAGGGGGGTCGCACTTACCGGTTGGGGTTTGCGCTGCGAGTGTACTCGTACAGGCCGACGGGGTTGCCGACACTGGTTTGGGCAAAGGTGGTGGAAAGGGAGATCTAGACAGCGTCAATTGACCATTATTTTGTGCTTCTCAGAGTCGCAATCGTACCGGAGCAATGACGGCACCGGTGCTGGGGTCGTGAGGGGAACCAGCATGGACCGCAAGGGTGCCAAACCGGCGCCCAGTCGTGTGGCCGTTCTCAGTAGAGCCCATTGTGCAGGAGATGTTCGGATGCAAGAGTACAAAGAGCAGAAACGACGTAGATAAAGGAAATGAAGCTTGATGAGGTGATTGCTCCCCACTAAGATGAGATCACCGCCTTTGGAAGATGGACGTATGCGGCGTTGATTAGCAAGCAGAACCAGCGAGAATGACTGAATGGCAGGGGTAACGAGGTGGAAGAATCGCTTTGTGATCCCTTGCAGCGAAAATTCTAATTTTTTTCGTATCGCCCAAAAAAACCCGCCCCGTGAACTATGGATCGGAACCTGGATTTCTTTTACGTTGCCTGCAGCTGTTCTGGAGCTTTGGGCGATCGATCGTCAAGACGTGACTGGCCCACAGGCCCTGACAGCTCCACTATGGGGACTTGTCCCGGACGGAGCCGCGCCCATGTATTCGGAGAAAACTCTGAAGACGCCGCCTAATCGGAGTGATCGGAGTAATGTCCAGTTGGATTATCAAGCACGCCGGGTATCACGATAGTCGGAACCGGACACCGTCGGACGTGATTGAGAGGGAGAGATTGTAGATCCTAGATTGCTCAGCCTGCAGATGCAGACAATGACGGAGTGCCTTCGAGACGGGCTAAGAATCGGTCTCTCCGGGGTCAGGTACAATGCGTCTCGTCGTCTGCTGTTACGTAGTTCTACCCATTACAAGAATGGCACATTACTCTATAAAATGATGTATTCCATAAATCTGTGCGCCCCGGTCTCCTGTGTACCTGGTCTGCCTGGGTATCTGATCTGACGAAGAAAAACATAAACTACCCCCACCCTTGCAAAGCGCCCTCCAATGATCTAGCGTGATGCACAGAAACCGAACAATTCCGCGGCGAAGAACCCCCTCACCACCAAGTAATGGGTCCGAGACCATGGATTTGCATAGAGCCCTGCGGCAGAGTAAAGTCAGTTGCGGGTTCATCGTGCGGGCAGGAAGAACGTACAAAGATCGAGTATGCAGGCTTTCGTTCTACGACAGTCTCCTCCCCAAGATCCGGCGCATTGGGGATCTGGTCATGCCACTCTTCTGTCTCCACGCGGAAGCGGACAATCTCACCCACGTCGAGATAGAACATGGTGCCGTCATTATCCCAGGTCCAGACCTGGTCCGCATAATCGCTGCACCCACCGAGTCAGTCCATGCCCAGGTTGAGCGTATATCAGACAGGAAGCAGAACTCACAATTTGGCACCGTCCATCAGCATGGGCGGCGGAATGAGGATATCGTTGAAAAACTCGACACTGACTGGGAGCAAGTCAGTATAATGGACATGACGGAAGATTTTCTCAAGATACATACTCTTGATGCCATTCTCAGTGCCACTAGAGATTTTTCCAAGCATAATCTCGCCCTTGAAGGGCCGGAAGACGATCATGCGGAATTTCACTGGTATAGAATTAGCCACGACCGGAGAGCGGAGGGTACGGTAATCGGTGCGGCTTACCATTGACGTTGACAAGACCTGTCCCATGGCCAATCAGGCCATCCGAGGATTCCAGGAGGTCATAGAAGCTGATGCAAAGGCCGATCTTTTGGATCACCTACAACAGGGTGAGCGGATGTGGAATCACCAAAGGCGCATGGGCCAATACATGGGCGAAAGACCTACCTTGTTGGCATACTTCTCATTAATATTATCTTCAATGGCCACCGCACTGAACTTGGAAAAGTCCTCGGGCGAGATCTGAATCAGATCGGAGATGGTAGTCTGCGCCCCAGTTAGCAAAAGAAAAAGACGTCCCGCCTGTTTGTCACAACCAACATACCAAGATGAACATGATAGCCGACGGTGGTTTGTATGTATGTCAAAATTACACAATCCCAGACATGAAGCCTTTTTTTGGTCCCTGCTCAGGGCCAGGCAACAATGGCGATCTCTCGGTGAATCCAAAAGCCTGCACCCATTCTCCAACGGCGTGCGGATCCTGCATGCACGTGACCTGCGGAGCTGTCAGAAGTTGAGCTCCGCCGAAAATTCGCGCCGCAGCTTTGCTCCGCGATGGTGTAAGCTTGTCCCTGCCGCTGGGACCTCGGAGAGGGACAGCAATCATGAGTTCACAGGGTTTTTCATTTCCTCCCCCTCCACCTCCCCCGCCGCCTTCCACGGCCCAGCAACCGCCCGCCTACCCCTCGGCGCACCCCGGCCAACACTGGAATGCACGCGGGTCTGGCGGACGAGGTCGTGGCCGAGGGCACGGGAATCGAGGTCGAGGAGGACACTACTCCTCAGACGGCGGAAGACCGCCATATTCAAATCCCCCGGGCTACAACTACGCTCCCGGAAACTATGGGTATCCAGCCCAACCGCAACCCGTGTCGACGCCGTCGTACATGCCTCCTACTCCCCCGCCATATCCTCATTCGCAGTCGAATTTCCACCACCCTCAAAATCCGCCTACCTATCAACCGCCTCAGACATACTCGCAGCCCGCCGGCTCGGCTGCCTACCAACCGCTCCCGGGATATAATAACGGGCCGGCCGCCAACCTGGCGCACGCGGCGCCCTACCCTACACAAGCTACGCCAACATACCCTCCTAATGTGCCACCTCCACAACATGCACCACCATCAAATAATCCGATGATTATGGGCTCGCACTGGGGTGCTCCCCCGGCCCATGGACGAGGCACCTGGCCCTCCCATCCTCCTGGCAACCTCGCATCCAAACCGCGACACAACACGAAGCGCGACCATACGTCTGCTTTCAGCCGGCCGCAGTCAACGGTGCCCCGATCTCCCGCACCGCCCCCAGTGCCCAGCTTCGGCAACCCACTACCGTCGAAGCCCCCGCCCGCCGTGGATGCAACGCGAAAGCCCAAGAAACGCAAGAGGAAGCACAACCAACTCGGACTGACCCCGAAAACCGAGGACCACGAGTCGAGCGAGGAAGAGGAGGAGGTGGATGAGGAATCCAAGCTCGCGCAAGCCGGCTCCGACGCTACGGCGCCGCTCCAGTTCTCCTATAGAGGGCAGACCGCGACCCTGCAGTCGCAGTCGGACGTAGCGGCGTGGATAGCGGAGCGCAAGAAGAAGTTCCCGACGCAGGCGCGGATCGATGAGAAGAAGAAGGCGGCTGAGGAGGCCAAGGCCGCCCGTGACGCCGCCCGAATAGAGAAACAGAAGGAACGAGAGAAGGAACGGGAGAAGGAAAAGCAAACGCAAACGCAAACGCAACACGAGTCGCCCCAGAAGCCCGGTCATGAGGGTGCAGCAGACCCGGCGCTCGACGCCGCACTGAAGGCACAGCGCAAGGCTGAGAAGATCCGACGCAATCTCAACCGCGAGCAGAAGCGGTTCGCCAAAGCGGAGGCCGAGGCCGAAGCTGCCCGCCTCAAGGTAGAGGCGCTGCAGAAGCAAGTTCAGGGCCTGACGGATAAGGACCCAGCTCCTGTGCCGAATGGACCACCTATTACTGAGCCATTACTAGCCGTGCCATCTGAGTCTATGGGAGGAGAGAACGCAGCGACCCTTAACAACACGGAAGTGCCCAGAGCACCTGAAACATTCTCGGGCGAGACTACTACCTCGTTGCCTGTTTCAGTGGAAGCTATCAACGCTGCAGCTCTGGATCATTGGTCCGATGGCTTGGACATCAGCGACTGGACCTCATCCAGCGGCTCGGGTTCGGGTTCGGGTTCAGACTCAGAGCCTATCTCAGATAGCGAAGACGACGATGGTGCTCCCGAGGAACTGAGCTCGAGACGGCAGGGCCCCGAACGGGTGCTGCCACCGCCACGCGAAGGCAAGAAGCCCGCCTGCCGGCACTTTGCGCGCACAGGGAAATGCAACCGGGGCGAGAAATGCAAGTTCTCGCACGAGGGGCCGGGGCGAGGACCGAAGGTCAAGCCGGCAGAGAAGAAGGGGCGCAAGGGACTGCTTCAAGCTGTAAGTGCTCTTTCCCCCATGATTCTGTTGAATCTCTACATCCACATCCACATCCGTAACCAAGCATTGGAGGACCCAAATCAGGAGCTACGCTCGGTGCTAATTTGAATCATAAACTACACAGCTGCTGGACCGGCAAAAGGATGATGAGGACCGCCGAGCGATGGAAGTGATTTGCTGGCTAGGGCAGAATGGCCATTTGGCGGCGCTGGCGACGAATGACGCTGCCAGCGCCAGTGCCAGTACTAGTGTTAGTACTGGGTCGAGTTTGCGTGCGAACGGCGCCCCGCAGCCGGATACCCCTGCTTAGTGGCTGTAAGCCAGCGAATACACACGAACGCCTATTTGTTTTTTTGCTTCTGAGTGGTGTCACCGTAGGGGATGTAGTACGGAGGCCTGTGCATGCAATCTGCATTTAGTCACCACGGTGGACTAGTTAAGTGACGCGCACGCCTCAGTCACCAAACCATTCGAAGGATAGTCTCAATGTGGAGCCTATCTTTTGAACGGGGTTATCTCGGAGTAGAATTCCGCTTTGATGTACATATCTGGTTTACGGTTGTTCTAACCGTTTACAGCTTAGCCAAAAGATTTATGCTAAAAATCTGATGGAAAAGAAACTTCGAAGCATGAACATTACAATTGAAGCGTGTTAGAAGGTATTTGCCATATCAATTTAGGTATCAAGTTTCAAGAGTGAAATGGCGATCGCGCCAGACTATTGTGGTACCAGTGTACCACAGTTTGATTCTAACATATCTTCGATTCATGTGCTCAACGCGTTCTATGCTGCGCCAAGCCTGAACCTACCGCCCAAGCAGGTGTCGATCACTTGCCAGATCTATAAGCGCTATGTCATTTCCCTAACAACAGCCATCAATTTGGGCAAAGGGGTTAGCAGCCAGAGAATATAAAGGCATGCGAAGGCCAGGTAGATACTAGATCAAGAGAACCATCTATGATTATCCAGGGTCCATCAGCTAACATCCGGCTGTCTAGCTATCCTTCATCTAACTGGGATCGGATCTATGTTGCTCTATCCGCGCGTTAAGGAAGCTCGATGCAGACGATAAAGTCACGTGAGATCGGTCTCCTGAGGGCACTGGGGCCAAGTCCGCCGCAGGAAGGAGCGTCTCAGAAGCGATAGCCGTTGGCGGTGGACCTGGGTTCATGAGGGACCGCGTACGTATAATGAAGGGTCTCGGGAGCTAAGCGGGAACGCGCTGCACAGTGCACAGGTCAAGCGGTTCCTGCAGCCTCGTCGATAGTTCGTCAGAGGAAAAAGACCTGCCCGGCCAATTTCCAATCGAGCACCCTGACTCGCGTGGCGCACAAACAAAGCAAACACGGTCCCCATGGGTTCCGATCAACAAAACCCGAACGAAGCAGGACGGAAGCGTGGGAGATAACGTGATAAACAGGAACAAACACCGAAGTAAGCTCGGGTCCCGCTCATCCTCTTCGCGCCCGTCTAGTCAGGTATGACCTCAACCAGCCCTCCTCACTTCGCTACAAACCTGTCTGCCTACCGCCCAAAGACGAAGGGAAAAAAGATGAAGATCAAAACTTGACCCATCCGAACGGTAATTTCCTCACAGCCCCCAGCCAAATATAGATATCAAAGGCCGAAAAAATCCACAGCGTCAGGCCCAAGGAGGACAAGCCCAATCGCTGCGCCTCCCCACACGATTATCACCGAAGTTACGGCCTTCGGGGCGAGGAAACTCTGCTAAACGAAGAGCCTGCCGACCGTCAGGGCGGCCGGACTGGTGGGAGGAGCCTGTGGAGAAAAGTCATTTAAGGTCCTCCCGAAGCGAGCACGCTGACTGGCGGAGGTGGCCCCTCGTGGATCGACGCCACGAGAAGGTCCAATTTCCTAGGCTCTTCCGACGGGGGCCCAGCCCAATTTCAAGCCAGTGATGGCGCCCCGATAGTATTTCTGGCCAATGGCATGGCGGAGAGAATGAGGACAAATATGCGCTATTTGCTGGACGCCTGTTTAGTGCAGCCGGTGCCTTCCTAGTCCAGCGTGGTGACCATGGCACATGGCCGTGGAGCTGGGCCCTTTCAGTTGGCCCTCCGAACGTCGTGGACGAGTCAATCTACTCCGTCGCTAGTTTATAGGGTCCCCAATCCCGGGGGTCACGCCCTGGCTCCCTCGCTCTGCTCGGCTTTTCTATCCGCTCCTTAGCTTTCGCTGTTGCGCCTCTCGCTTTTCGCCGATCGTCTCTCAGCTCTGACAGTCCTGCGTTGTCACTCTTTTACATACACCGCAGTCTGCTCTTCTGGATAGTCCAATTCCTATACCTATCACTTAATTTCCCTCCCACGGCTCCTTGATATCAAGCAGCCCCCCTTGGGACCCCCTATAAACTCCCGAACCCCCTGGTCTATCCACAAAAAGAAAAACAACTCCCATCACGATGCGCACTTTCATCACCTTGGCTACCGCCCTCTTCGCCACGGCTGTCTCCGCGAACAGCAAGGCCAATGCCTTCAGCAACCCCGCCGGTGGCTATGTCTTCACCGTTGGCGAGGCCACTACCCTGGTGTGGAATGCCGACAGCGGCTCGACCGTGACTCTGCGCCTGCAGTACGGCGACGTCACCACCGCGAACTCCGGCGCCGTGATCGCCTGTAAGTATCCCCCAGATTTTGTCGCATATGGCCCCCTTTGCTTCGAACCCACGCGATAAAACGGTATCCGGACGCCCTGGTCCAACCGGTATACCTGCACATGGCATTGACTAACTCAACCCAGCCGGTATCGCCAATGACGGCAGCTACACCTGGCAGGTGCCGTCCGACCTAGCCTACGAGTCGGACTACACCATTGAGATCATCGACGACCAGGACACCAGCAACTACAACTTCCTGCCGCGCTTCACTGTCGCTGGCGCCACTGCCTCGGCCACGGCCACCACCGCCTCGTCGACCAGTATGTCCACGGCCACCACCGTCTCGTCCACCAGCACTAGCACCACCAGCGCGTCCACCTCGAGCACCCCGACCACCATGACCACCACGAGCAGCTCATCCAGCGCCAGCAGCTCCAGCACTGCCTCGACCACCAAGTCCACCTCTACCAGCGCCAGCACCAGCGCCTCCAGCACCGCGTCCGCGACCTCCGTGCCGAGCTCCAACTCCGGCATGGTCAACCGCGTGTCGGGCGGTATGCTGGCCGTTGTGGCCGGTGCCGCCATCCTGCTGTAAATTTATGTGTGATTTGGATATAATTGGGAAATACGAACCCATCAACGCCACCCCCACCCCCTCACCTGCTAAGCTGTTAGACACGCAGATGAGATGAGCGGGTTGATGGATGGAATGGAATATGTGGAGATGTTTGTTTGTCATGATTTGGAAATCCACTGTATCTATAGCCCGCCTGTCCCAGGTTAGTTCCGTTTTCTAATCTCATCGGTTCCTACCCGACTCAGCCGCACCCAACCCAACCTCTCCATGGCAGTGTACGACCATAGGCGACATTTATTTTGAGATGCAACGTATCTGGATAGCACTAGGCGTCAACTTGAAATGCGTATGAAACAACATCAAGCCCAACGCGAATCTCTTCCCAGGCATACTCATCACTGTCGAGAAAAGACGGCTGTCCCGATTCATCGTTCCATTCGCAAATACGGTCGACATCGCAGGGTCTCATAACTTCAGGGCAGGAGCCAAAATCGATGGTGTTTGCCCTTGTCCTCTCGTCCGCGAGCATGATGTTGCTTGTGCTGCCCAAGGCAAAGACCCGTGATCGGGGCGGAAACCTAGCAGGATAAGTCATTACCCTGGGTGCTTTCTATGGTTGAAGTTGAATCAGTAGTGCAACCAAGATAGGTGACACCGTTGGGATTGGGTGCCACATTAGGGGGACCGTAAATCCTAGCTACCTAGAGCATCCCCTCAGCAAACAAATTCTGTCGAGGCCTCCGGCTGGTTCGATCGCAACTACTCAACAGCGGCTATTTACTAAAGCAACTATTGGGCAGCGACGGGTATTTGGGATTACGCGGCGAGACTGGAGGGTTGGTCACATCTTCCTTTCAGTCTTCGTAGATCCTGTTCCTCCCTAGTACTTCCAGTTATTGGTCAAGAGTTGGCGGAGTCAGCATAGCTTCGATGCACTTGGCCGCGTTGGTCACTGATATACCAATTTTAATGGGAAAAATGACCTTTTTGTCAAGGCTGCTGTAACTTGCCGGGCTTCATGTTCCCGGAGCTTTCATGGGTCTCTAATTACTTCTTCACCATGAAAGATAAAAGATAGCCCCTTTGTAGTCACGCGAGTCTGATCTGTCCATCTTGAATTCAAGGCCCATTCGTAACTGGATGTAACTGTTTGGTTTGGGCCATGAATTTTGTGTTCACTCGCTTGTCTTGGTCATACCTCATAGAGGCGGTGGCGAGCATCTGAACATCGGAGCAATCTCTACGGCATGCAAGTCGACTAACTCCTACGGTGTACTCCGTTGATGACCACAGTGGGTCCTCGGAGATAAGGCATTCCTTCATACTTGCAGCACAATTTCCCTTGAGTCAAGAATTTCCATGGCAATTTGCCCGCCCCAAATGACCGCATCTTGCGTCTCGGGCCAATAGTATGTATGGATCCAGTAAGGGGCGTAAAAGAGCGTCACCATCTCTCCAAAGGGGTCATAGGGATGATGCTGCCCGATGATGGATGCTATGTCACCATACGTCAGACCTGGAGGTACAGTGTAAATGAGGATCAGCACCGATGTGGTGCTGGTGGAGACGCAACGGTCTGGCGTCGATAGTGTGCGGAGTATCCTGGTAGCGTACACTCAGAACACTAAGAATAGCGAACGGGGTTAGCGTGTGCGGCCTTGGTTGTCCGTGTGTTTTCCTTTTCTTTTCTTTTTCTTTTCTTTTCTCGGGCGAGTGTATCTTTAGTACGCCGTACTCCGCAAGGCTCCACTCGCGAAGGGCCGATGCTATCAGATCGCCGCATGAGTAGATGCTTCGAAGTCGTGAATGAGCGTACTCCGTCAGATGACGGAGTATTGACTTTGAGCTCGATGCGAACCATTAATAATGACTGGAGGCACGAGTCGGTAGGGGAGAGATGCCGGGCTCTGGTGTGATCTCTCAACCGCAGCTCCTCCCTTCGGGCCGTCCCAGCCAATTCAACTCTGCGTCTGTGACCTCGCCAGGAACTTCGGGGACATTCAGGAACGCGGAAAGTTCCTTGCTGCATTGCGTCTCTGGTGCGGATGCCTGACCTGCACGGAAGACTGCCGGACTCTGCCAGCGTGGAGTGTCAATGTCGATGCCCATGCCTGCCATTCGCTGTTTTGAAGTCATCATTGCCATCTTGACTGACCTCAGCCCCATGGGCAGTTACCATGGCGAGAACCCTTCGGGTACAAATGGCCTTTGGCCTTGGAGTCGATAGCGATGAGGAGCGGAACGTTGTTTCAAGATACTCGCTCTTCAATGGGAGTCAGACTGGCTCGGTCCCGATTCATCCACACCGCATCACCCCAGCCCTAAATCCAAGACTCCAGAGTCCTGGCCAGGGACCCTTACACATTCGCATCCATCCACATTCATCCAGTGCATCCAGCTTACCGTCATCAAGGGCATCACAGACTCGCCTCAAACCCCACATGCAAGGTTCGCTGAGAGTCGTTGACTGCACTGCCCTCGTGTCGGCACCGATCAGCAAGGGTCGCCCCGTACCATGCAACGGACCACCAAAATAGCCCACTGCCGCATAGGCCTTGACGAGTCCAGCGCCTGACAAGTTCGCAAAAGGGAAAAAGTAGCTGCCTGCGTGATGTGAGTTATCCACGCAGGGGGATTGATCGATGAAGTCGAAGTTCGGCCACTAAACAGCCTGCTCCGTTGTTCTGACTGGCTGCTGTCGGCCATGCCAATGGTTTCTGGGCCATCGGGGATCTTCCTGTGTGAGGGTGATCCTGCAGGCCTCGGATTGACGTGCTGCCCACTCCAGACCCAGAGCTTGCGATGACAGTTTGGTTCCAATCGCAATGAACCAATGCACCAATGCACCGATCGACCCGTCGGCGATGCAGAAAGATGAATGGATAAGACCATGTACAAGCCGAGGATCCGGGGATTTTCTATTTCCAATTGTATTGATTCTCGGTGGTCTATATAATAGCTCATCGGGACCCCAGGATCATCGCCCTTCTCTCGGCCAGCAGTGAGGGTTTCATTGTGTGCAGCATCCAACACAGCCAGCCTGCCCCAGTCTTGCTACTTTACAGTCACTGGCCAGCCACACACAGCCCATTATGCCCTCCAGCATCTACTTCGCCGTCTCGGCCGCCGCCCTCGCCGGCTTCGCACAGCTGGCGTCCGCGCAGACCAATATCACGGCGAGTGCCTGCGCCGCTGAATCCGCCTACTCAGACTGCAACGGCAACGTGGCCGACAAGTGGCGCTCATGCATCAATAATTGCAACGGCGATGGCAACTGCATCATCGACTGCGGGTGCACCGCACACCAGGAGTATATCAACTGCATGGCGCAATCGTGCTGGAACCAGGTTCGCTCCGCCTCCCTTTTCTTCAATTGCCGGCATTGGCATTAACCCTGCAATGTACTAAACGCGAGCTGTGTCATCTAGGTCTACTCCTGCCAATACCAGCTCTTCGTCCAGCAGTACTTCGCCGTGTGCCCGAACGCCGCCGAGCCAATCCCCTTCTGGCCGGCACCAGACAACGCCCCGAACCGCTGCTCATGCAGCCTGGGCAAAGTGCTATCGAGCACGCTAAGCGCGCGCAACGATCAGATCTCCTGTGTGCAGAACGTGACAGACCAGACGATGAATAATCTTCCCGACCTGTCGAATCTGGGCAATATCCCGGATATCGCGCGGACGGCGACGGACTGTGCGTGCTGCGGTGCCAGCGCGAGTATGTCTGCGTGCGTATCCCCTGCATCTCCCCTGCATCCCCCATTCAATTCAACCCAATTCCCACCCCAGGACGGACTACAAACCACCGTACCTGTCAATGTGAAAAGAAAGAAGGAATCGAACATCCAAAGTACAAGACTGACATGACAACCCTTGCAGTGCATGGGACGTGTGCCCTCACACAGTTCCCACCCTTGCAGGTGCCGATCTCTGGCCCATCTTCTTCCCCTCCAACCTCCCGAACCTGTACACCTCAATCCCAAATTGGGACTGGGACACCTGCGACGGCACCCTCGGCTCAACCGACTGTGCAAACATCGGCTTCTCCGACCCATCCAACAAGTTCTACAAGCCCGGCGACTTCCCGTCGAACGGGACGTCGACGCTGTACAATGTCGGAGGCACCGTGACGGCGCCGCCGAGCGGGACGGTGATTACTTGGTCGCAGGCTTCGGCGACGTACACGGTGACGGCGACGGGGTATGATAAGAAGGCGGTTGCGAGTCAGAGTGAGCATGAAGAGACGGCGACGGGGACGGGCGATGCGATTGTGACGCAGACTGCCAATGCGGCTGTTCAGGGTGGGGTTGGGCTTGGTGGAGTTGTTGGGTTGATGGTGGGTGGGCTGATGGCGTTGTGAGGGCATGAGATTGCTGTGGGAGTAGGTACAAAAGTGGTGTGGGGGTTAGAGATGCATGATTTATGATGAATGGGATGATGGGAGTCTTCTTTGCGGCTGACGAGTTATGTTTTTTGATGATCGAATTGGAACTCAAAAAGTCATCTATGAATGTACTTGTGGAATCATATAATATTGAAGATGTCACCCAGTATGGGTGAATTGGGACGTTGAGTCCTCAATTCAAACGATCATGATATAGAACAGGTAGAAAGGGAAGAAATAGCATAGCAAAGCTACCGCCCACTCCAAAGACAAAGCCCAAACTCCAGTGCGCCGGGTACCGCATCGAGATGCAATCATGACACCCACGAAGCATTCATTCAACTGAGACGAATTCCCTCGGGTATCCTCATGGGCTGGCCTGGCCAGACCAGACCAGACCAGACCAGACCAGGACAGGACAGGCAGGCCGAACCAGCCTGCCTCAAGCGGCCGTCCACGACGGAACAACCCTCTTCAAAAACTTCATGAACTTGAAGAAGCCCACCGCATACTCCACATTCCCACGAGGATCAACCACCTGCTCAGGGAACGCAATGCCCGCTCCAAACAGACCGGGAATAACGGGGCCACCCCCGCGCTCATGGAAGCAACCAGACGAATGATCAAACTCCATCGTCAACGGGGCCCCGCCCCTCGTCAGTTGCGGGAGCGGATCACGCGTGAAGCCAACTGCCTGGACGATATGCGAGCAGCTAGGCAAGTGAGCACGATACTGCGCCGCCTCGCGGGCCTCGCCGCCGCCGCAGTTGATTTTGGTGATAATCTCGCCAGCATCCGAGGTTGCCAGCTGATCGTCTTCCAGCTGGGTGCGCGCAAAGTCCGCCGCCGACCCCTTCAGCCCTGTGTTATCGCGCAGGATCCAGCCGTCCATGTACTCGGCGTAGCGGAGCGGGTGGCGCGTGAACCACTTCACGCGCAGATGCGGGTGCGAGGTGCGGGCGAGCGTGACCAGGTTGAGGAGGGCCAGGATGGCGCTGTGCGAGGCGCCGACGACGGCGACGGTCGAGGGGGTGGTCGGCGGGAGGATGGTTGCGAGCTCGGAGGGCTTGAGGACCGTGTCTAGGTCCAGACTAGTGATTGTCAAGCCAGGTACTGGGACGGGGATGTTGGTGGGGTGGGAGCCTGTGCAGAGGATGAGGCGTGCTGTTTGGATCTCGAGCTCGTCGGGCGAGCCGTGCTGCTTGATGCGGACGGTCCATTGGGATTCGCCGTTGGATGCCTGAGTACGGGCGATGGTGTCATTATTAGCCTTCCTGCGTGCGACACGCAGATGTATGGACCCAGTGGCCCTAGGGAGGGAGGCCTTCGGATCGGATCTGCGTGGGGTGCGTTGGGTGGGGTGTGTATTTACCTTCTCGCTGAGGGAGGCTGCTGTGACGAAGCCACGGCAGGCGTGGACCTGGTCCATCTTCATCAGCCCGTCCGTGAGCCCGCGGATCATGTCTGCGGCGTAGTGCAGGTGGCATGTCTTTTCCTGGTCCAGCTTGGCCATGGTGGAGAAGGCGTTGGGCGTGGGGGTGTTGTCGATCACCGTCTTGAAGGGCTGCACGGCCGTGGCATACGCCTGGAAGAGGGCCACTTTGGTATTGCTGGAGGTCGTCGGTCAGTTTCATGACGTCCGGGCCACCTCGCATGCTGCCTGTGGTCTGGCAGGTGGATGACAAACCTAGGAACCTCGCGGTATTTGCGATTCACGCGGCCAGCCTCGAAGCTGGGATCCACCCAGGTTATTGTGCCCAGCTGGCGCTCCAGGAGGTTGCCCACGACGGCCACACCGCCAGGGCCAGCGCCCACGACGACCGCAGCGCATTTCCTAGAGGCCATTTCTGCGAGAGAGGAGAGAGAGAGAGAGAGAGAGAGGAAGAGAGGAAGAGAGTAAACGAGGGGGAAAGGTGGCGAAGGTGGGAAAGCAGGTATGGGGTTATGAGAGAGGACTGGATTTAAGAAATGGAGAGCGAGGAAGTGCGAGTCAGAATGGATTCATTCGGGTATCTAAATAAGAACTGAAAGTCACTCTGGCGCAGACCGCAAGTCGTGCAACGCGGCCATGAGAGGGGTTTTCGAAAAAGGGGCGGGGCAATCAAAGACAAAAAAGCCAAGAACCGGCGGGACGAAGGAATGAACGGAATTGGAATGCGTCAGTCTCCGATCACCAATGGCACGTCCAGATAACGCAACCACCGTCCAGTCGGGACATCACCAGCGCGGGAGAGCCGAACTGGCCCAACCTTGGGAGGCGTGTTCCCCTCGGGTCCCCAATTTCTCAGTTGCCCGGTGTTCAGGTGCCCTCAGCACATTGTAGTAATCGTGACACATCGCGCAGGACTCTCGGTCGAAACAATGCGATAGACCGAACGATCGTGACTCAACCCGACGGCTGGGTATCACCCCTCAGCTGATCATGGGGCACGGAACCTGGCTGGCGGTGTGGTTTCGCCCGTGAGCGCCCTTAGCCGGCCGAGAGAGAGGGCGACGGGGCGACTGACGCGGTGAGCCCCACTGGCTGCTGCGCTTTGCTTCGGCTGGTCGGCTGCGTCGGTTCTGCCAGGCGGAAGGGAAAGGGTGTGTTCTGGTGTGGCCATCCATGGGGATGGCCAGTCCACGGCTCTTCAAGGAGGCATATTGGGGGAGTGCTGGACGAGCTGAGAGCTGCGTCAATGTGCCTGACAGGCTATTTTGGGGGGAAGAAAGAAGCAGAAAGCTGGTCGAGGAGGACGTTTGGTCTTATACTCGCTTTGGCGTCGATCCACAGGGCTTGGCGAAATTGCGTGATCGAGTGCGGCCTGGATGCCTCAGGACTCAACATGGCCTGAGGCGTCGCTCTTTTGATAGTTAACTACCTTCCAAGGCGAGGAGTTCTCGGTCCTTTGGAAAAGATACAGTTTGAAAGAGGCGACGGCCTGCTGGAAGTGACTTGCGGAATGCTGACGCCGAATGTACAACTTGCACCGAGCCATGGCTTCTGAGTGTATCATCATTACTATTCTCCTGTGGTTCATAAAAACATAGGACATATAAGAGAGGCATGTGCGGCGCTTGGGAACCAAACCGTGGGTAGGTGGCTATAAGAGTAAATTAAAAGCTGCAGTTTCTTCCATCTCTATGAACTCCCTCCTCAGATAGCCCAGAATACCGTCACAGAAGCACCGTAGACATGGTTCGACCACCCGGGGAATCGTGCACGAGCCCAGACAGCAATAGAGTCCCCCACTTCCATCTCGCGCACCACACGTCCATCCAAAGTGGCACGGCCACGACCCTTGCGGCTCTCAATGAGGGAGGCCTCGGGTGAGTCAGCTTCGATGTCGTCTTGGTAGTGCCAGATGATTTCGACATCTTGCCTCTCGTAGCAGCGACCGCCGTTGGACTGCAGCTTGTTGGCGTGTGGGAGTAGAAGGCGATCATCAGGACCAAAGTGCTTGGTGTATTCGCCCTTCTCGTCCTCCAGCAGTTCTTGCTCCTCACCATTCGCAAACATGTTTTTGGCGTGCGCGCCGCGGATCACTTCCGCGTCGAACCAGGTCCAGGACTCATGATACATATTTGGGCGCACTTGGCCGGGCCCTTGGTCATGAGATGAGAGACGGAAGACGATCTTGCGGCATACTTGGTGGCGAGAACGGTGAGGAAGTGAGCGTGGGTTGTCGGGCGACTGTTCGAGTTCCTAGAAGATATGTGGTGTCAAGACGTACGTCATTAAGTAAATCACATCACGATCACTAGGCATACCGTGCGATCATAGCAGAGAGGTACAGTCTTCACCAGGACCTGATCCCGGTCTTTCCTGATAATTCTGTGAGATTCATCGTCCGCGCTGGCCATGGTCGTCGTGGTGGACGGCCAGTACTCTGCCGCGTCGATGATTTCATCCACGATCTCGGTGGGCAGGGCGCCTATCCGCTGCAGCAGAAATCGAACTTTCAGAACGTCCCATACACTAGGGTGGTAGTCATAGCTCTGCCGAGATATGCTTGCAGGGTGGACAGCAGGCTCTGACACGTCTTCCAAATTGGCATCTTCGTTTATCTCGGGATTTGGGGCGGTGATTTCATGGCCGTTGTCATCCGTCAACCTTACATTCCATCGGCGCAAAACTCCCTGTACCATAGGGAGCATGATCACGATTGTAGAATTTTCATATACCCGCTTATTAGCAAAGAAGTGAGGGCTCGTCGAGAACCGAAAGGTACGGGGTAAGGGGAAGAATGGAAGCTTGGACACTCATGGCATGAGGTGGGCCAGTCAGCGGGTCCCCCACCAAGACTAGATCGACAGCGAGGGAGATCGAAGATTCACGAGAACTTCCACTTCAGTGATCGACCGCAACTCCAATTGACAAGTATTATTGGTATACTATGCATTCATCTCAAGACAACCTTTGAAAATCTAGTTCTCTGGGTCTACTAGTCATTCCTCAAAGAAAGGTGATGGTCTCAATTCTTATCGGTTATCTTATCTCCCCGCATTCCGGTGGAACGACTGTAAATCAGTCTCTCATACATGAGATATCAGCTGACCACACCTGGAGAATACAATTTGCCTTGGGCACTTTGGCGTCCAATACGAAACGTGGCACGACCTTAAAGCAGCTGAAGAGTTTGTGCTTCAGGTGTTCGAGAAATCAGCCGACACGGGGTATCCAAGGCGACCATATCTGGACAAATTTAAAAACGGCATAGATGGTTCGAATTGCATGAATGCTGACTTCTGCTACACACAAACATGTATTCGTCCTTTTCTTGATAAATTTCTCACCAATATACGAATTACATCTCTCACAATAATCAAGGTTGTTTGTTGAGGCATTTTCACACAAGGCCTTAGGCACAGTGGCGGGTCGAGGAGCTTTCATTGAATGTTCGTGCCACTCTGAAGCTTTGCTTTCAAGAATCGAGACGCGATTACATGCTCATCTCGAGTATATAGGAAGATTATAAGCATTGAGCTCATGCGTGAAGCTAAGCGCGGGATCCTCATCGAAGACGCACTGGAATTGCTTCCCGCTCAGAGGCCACAGCGACCTCAAGGGGCCATTTACAGATCGTTTCGATGTCTCCCGACTCCGGAAGCGTGCCCGGCGCCGTTTCCTTCCCAATCCAGTCAATGACAGTCCGAGAGTGGTTGGAGAGCATGGCGCGTTAGATTGGTAACGATTCGATTCACAGTGCTCTGTGCTCCGGGATCAGAAAGAGCCGGTAGAAGTCATCGACAGCGCGTGTGCCATCTTCCTGAGTCCCAGGAGCGGGCTGAAGAAGCAGCCGGGATCAAAGAGTCTTGTTCCACCAGCAGCTTGGAAGTCACTCAGGTCAGGGTATGTTGTTTGCAAGACGTCTCCCGAGTTCTTTTTGCGTGTAAAGAATCCATTCCTTGAGGGTGTCGTAAGTGACGGTCGGAAGGCTGGACAGTTTCTCTGCATCCGCGATCATGTCGATGAACCGGGCAACCCAGACGCTTCCCGAGCCAGACATTCATAAAGCGCTCCAATCATGCCATCCCAGTCCAGGTGGTTTGAGGTTGTGCTGGGCCCCTAGCAGTATGCCTTCCCGTGCATGCATGGGTGGAGACGGGGCCTTGGTAGTGGAACTTGGTAATAAACTTTGGTTTGCCCTTGCCATGGGGCGGAGACGCACTCTAAGTGCTTGGAGAACTGCTTGAGGGTTCTGGAATCGGCTGATTGATCGAGGTGGCCGGCCAACCAACCTCCGCCGGGGCCTCATTTCCCCGCAAATTGCTCCACTGGGCTTCGCCTTGAGGTTCAAACAACGATATCCATGCCTTGTAGTCATCCCACGCTGGCATAGGTAGAAAATGGAAGAAGATGTGAAAATCGTAGGAGGGGGTTGGTCTTGGACCTGTGGGGTTGAATGGAAACTTGTTCATGAGTCTGCCGCTGGCTCAGGTATTATGAAGATATAATCTCCCCCGACGTGTGTATGGGAAATCTGAAGAAAGGGGGCATGGGGAACGCATGAATACGGAATAATGTTGCACGTACGGTAGCTTCGAGTTGCGGGTAGAGATAAATCGTAGATTGATGATATCCGCATGATAATTTAGATGCCCTTCCCAACGCCCATAAGATACAAAATAAAGCACTTCTTTTGTTTTCAAACTATGGCTTCTGTCCACCAGCAGCCCGGTAGGCGGCAGCACGCTTGCTGCTCCGGTTCTTGGGCTTGCCCTTCGAGCCGCGGCTCTTCACCTTAACCTTCATCCTCGGGCCGCTGCCCTCGCTGGCGCGGTGGCCCTCGAACACAAACGAGTTGCCAGCAATGCCGCCCTTGCCTTCTGTCCTCACCTTAGCCGCACCGGCTCGGCCAAGCAGCTTGGTTGCACGGCCCTGAAGAGTCTTATGAGCCAAGTTGCCCGATCGTGCGTCCTTGCCGCCCGAGTCATCGCGCTTCTTCATGACCTTGCGGGCACGGGTCACGCGGATTTTGCGGGGAAGCAAAGGAGGGAACTTCTTCTCGTTGAGCAGAAGCGCCTGCTCGACACCGGTGCCCTCATAGAATTGGACGTAGGCAAAGCCCTTGCCGACGCGCGTAGAGCGGTCACGGATCACACGGACGAATTCAACGTTCTTCTTAGGAGTCTTCTTATCCTTGGTATCTCCGGTGTGGGCGTTGAAGGTCCGCCAAAGACCCTCCTCGATATCGGAGGGAGCGCGGACCTTCTTCTTCTTGCCATCATCGCCGTCTTCGGTTATCTCCTGGTCCACGAAGTCCAAATTACCCACGAAAACGCAGCGCTTGTTGTCGATCTCGGCAGGGTGAGCAACGCTGTCCACACGCAAGTGCCGGTCCAGGACCACAGTTCCATTCAGCGCAGCTGGAGCCTTACGAGCGGCCTGGATGGTGGTGTAGACGGCATAGGCATTGGTGCTAGTGGTGGTCTCGTCCAGAATCTCTCGGCGGGCAAAAGACGCACGCTTAGGGACGCCGCCACCGCTAGCGAATGGCACAGAGCGGAAGCGGATCGACTCAACCTTGTGCGGACCAGAAGATTCGGGCAAAGTCGAGCAGAAGGAAGCCAGGTGTCGGAGAAGAGTCTTCTTGCCCGACTTGGACTTGATAGCTTCGGTCGAGACGTTGCCCAAGAAGACTGTGCGGTTGGACTTCTCAACTTCGCTGGCCTTAGCACCGCCGGACATACTCTCGTGCACGGGCACCGGGTCCTTCTTGTCCTCCTCCTCGTCGCTGTCCTCGGATCCGGCGTCCTCCTTTTCCTCCTCCTCCTCCTCCTCCTCCTCCTCCTCCTCCTCAGATGCATCATTCTGGTCATCTTCCCCAGCGGGCTTCTGGCGCTTGGCGTGCTCGGCGTTGCGCTTTTCCTCGGCTCTCTTCTCTTCCTTGTCGATGCGGCGCATATATGAAGCCTCAAGGTCATCCTCCACGCCTCCTCTTTTCCGCTTACGGCTCTTGGAGTCGAGAGCCTGTTCTCCCTCAGCCTCTGGTTCATCTGAATCAGCGGAGCCCTCAGGGGCATCCTCCATAGCTTCATCCTCCGACTCGGCGTCGTCTTCCTCAGATGCGGCAACATCTTCGGTCTCTTTCGCTTGTTTCCTCGGTTTCAACGCGACATATTTCACAGCGGGGGTTGCCACAGGGCCAGCCTATTAAACATGCGGTCAGTTTTAATTCTTGATTCTGCAAGAAATATGGAAACATACACTCTTCTCGAACAGCGAAGACAAACCCGCGTCGAGCGATGCGGCACCGCTCAGGAAGGCAAGGCCGCCGGTCGTAGGCGCCTTGGTGTCCGACTTGGACTGCGATTTGGATTTCTTGCCCATGTTGAAGAATCTTGAGTCCTTGGAGAAATCTATTCCTTCAAGGCTTGTCCAATGAGTGGAGTCGAGTTGCTCTGGGGGAGACTACGCATACCTCTGAACTTTTTTTTCTTTGGGCTTATCGGTCTTGGCGCGGGAGCTGTTGCGCATCACATGATTTGTATTTCAGATCACTCAGTCGACAATATTGATACGGAAATTGGACTGGACAGAGGTACGCTAATAAAACCAGGTCAAAGATCAAATTAAGTAGAATACGTTAACTGACTTGTTCTTGTGAAGTCCCATCAGTGTCCGTCGGAGAGTTGCCAACTTCCCTATAAGCCGATGTTGTATATGGACGATGCCTTCGCTCCTACCGATCAATATTGGATCCTCCGAGTATATCTATTTACCCCTCCCGACAAGCCCCAATCAACTCCAGTCCAGGATATATTACTACTGTTCAATTTGCGCAGGAGGCCGTCTCCGGCGACGTCAGCCCCACGTGATCAGGGAGTTTTTGCAGGCGGTGAGCCTCGCCCTCGCCGGGACGCGGCAGAACCCCGTCACTCGCTTCTGTTGCTGCACCCCATCATAGCAGTCTTGTCGCTTTCTCTCCCCTTTCTGTGAGCCGTCGACTCGATTTGCCTGCCCATACTCCTCTCCGACCATTGCGACGACGTTACCCATCCTCATCTCGTGCGTCTTCATGCCGACCGCCCTCCCGCGACCCTCTACTGTGGTGTTGCCCACGTCCTAGCCGACCTCCCCTCTCCCTCCAGCACCGGCGCATCGGCAGTCCAACAGCTTCTGGCGATATCCCACACTGGTGAGACGCGTGGATATACACCTGGTCGATCGTCTGTGTGCCAGGAACGCGGTGGCAGCGAGAATCGTGCTCGGTCGCGAGCAGCTGTGCTCTTCACCAGCGTCGCTCCCGGCGCATTGTTGAAACGGTACGTCGCTCGCACGTCTACATTCATCTACAAGTGGCTTTTGGTCCTATTCTGGACTATACTAGTCATATGCTGTCTGGGAGGTTGTCTATCCATTTCTTGGGCCTGCGCAAGGTGCCGGTCTCCTCTGGCCGTGCCGTCGGCCGCCGACTCTGGGGCCGTTCCGGCGATGATCAATCTCCGCACCGCCTTCTGGAGGCGCTGACCTACCCTTTGCACCCACCCACCTACTTTTCCTCCACCACTCTTTTCTGAGCCATTTTGGCACATATACAATGGCAATTGAGCTAATCCATCCTATGTTTGGTCCAGACTCTCAAATAAACCCTTTTCAGGTGGCTCGGTGACCTTGCCGCCATACTACCTTCTCCCCACCGACAGCCACCACTCTGCCGAGAGCTACCTTCCGCACGCCACAACCTCCCTCCTACCATACCTCCTCTTCTCTCTATTATATCACACTCGCTGTAAACTCAGGCCTTCCATAGCTGCAGATGGAGGTGGCCGAGAGCAGAGAGCAGGCCTCCGTTGGTCCGATAACGGGGGCAGAGTCCACCATCACCAATGGCGAGCGGAATCCCTTCTTGGATGACCCTCTCATGGATGATGGCCGATCGAGCAGCTTGAGCGAGATCGATGATGTGTCCGACGACGAACCATCTGACTTCGAGGATTCGCCCAAGCCTGAGAAGCAGCTGGAAAACGACTCGGAGGCGGAAACAGAGCGCATCGAGGACTCCCCGCACAATATTCGGAAACATGATATTGTACTCAGTGCTGGTAGCGCTGGTCCAAGCCCGAGCAAACTGCACCAGTCCACGACCCTAGATGATGTCGACGATGACGACCAGGTGGTGGACGACTCGCCGAGCAAACCGCGACGGGCCTCCAACCAAGATGCAATTGATGATGAGAATGCCGATCTCGACGATGTGGAACTTCCCGATAGTATTGGGAAGAAGCGCAAGCGTGTTGAGACCGGCGACGAGACCGGAACCGAATTTGATGAAGATGAGCCGCTTAAGAAACGCCGGAGCTCCATCAAGAGCGACCTGAGTGACCCGATTGATGACGATACCCCTCTTTCACCGGAGCCAATGATGGATGAAGAGTCGGCCCCCATCATCGACGACGAGCTGCCTGCCGATGACCTTCCCGGGTCAGAACTCCCTGCTGTGCTATCCAAGGGTAAAAGGGGCAAAAAGGGTAAGCGGAGCAGAAGAAGAGCCCAATATGGAGACAAGGAGATCGAGACTGGCGGCGTGGAGGCTAGTATAGAGGACCTTGCTGATGACAATTTTGGCGAAGACGAGGAGCCCACGGAACGGGTCGATGAACCTGACGATGCCGAGACTGCTGCTAGAGTTGAAGAAGAGTGTAAGCGTTCTCTTGAATCGCCCTGCCAAACATAAGACTAACCCTATATCATAGCCGCGAAGAAGATGTCCGCCTTGGAATCACTGGCAACGCTGGAGAAAGAGTTCGCAACATTGCGTGACAAGTGAGAAACGTCGGACCCTTCCACATGCATTTCCAATTGCTCACAACCATGGCAGAATTTATGATGAACGGATCACGAAGCTCAATCGCGAGTTGGAAATGCTGACCGGACCAAATCCGACACATCCCGAGTACCTGCGTCAGATTGAATGTGTGCAACGTTACCGGGATGCCAAGATCAAATACGAGCATACCTTGTACCGTTACCGCATGAAGGCCTTGTTGAACAAGAGCTTGGCCGAGCGATCGCAGGGACATAGCACCTATTTCCAGCGTGTCCGAGACGTGCGCGAGCGTCATTCGAGTGCGATCAGCAAGCAATTTTATGCTATTCAGCATGACCGGTTCAAGACAGATGAGCTGAGCCCGCATCATATCGTCCCATTCCCAACCCGCCGCTCGCAACAGATCGCACATCAAACCGCCTACAATCATGAGGTCTCGATTATGGCTGGTGTTGCCAAGTACGTTGGCTTCCCAGCTGCGCCCACTTTGTTGGGGGCGCGCCCGTCCGAATTAGAAGAGGATCTGGAGAAGATGGGGGTAAGTCGATCAATTTTGTGAGCTCTGGACATTACTGACAGGTTCCTCTAGATCTCGATTGAAACACGGGTGTCGGCTCCAAGACATTCATCAGCAATGCCGCCTCGAGCTGCTGTGTCAGCTATGTCGTCGAACGTTTTCCGCACAGCCGCCGAGGAAGCGTTCCTGGAGCAAACGCCTTGGGCCAATCCACAGCATCCTATCCATCAACAACAGCCACAACACCAATTCTCTCAACAGCATCGGCCCCAGGCGTCCTCCTTCGCTACTCCAGCCGCACAGAAGCGGGTAGTCGACGTCAACGCACCTAATGGATCTGCGTCCACCATTCCCGAGAACATGTCGGCTGCCAATTCATCTACCAACAACACCCCCTACGGTACTGAGCAGGAGCCGCGACACCCCGCACAAGGACCTTTCCGCAATCCAGACTACGACCCCGAGCATAAATCTGGGTTTCGATCCCCCAGTTCTTCTCCATTAAATGTGCGAAAATCTCAACCACGCCCGAGCCATCCTATTGAGCGCCACTCTCCTGGTCCGGATGTTTCCGCCTCTCGCAACCCTCTCTTCTCTCCACCTCCTGCCCGGGCTGGCTTGTTCCAGCCATCCACCTCGAAGCCGGAATCTTCGCCCCCCTTGCCATCCAAACCGGTTGACGCGGTACATTACCGCCCCCATCAACCCGAGATCTCCACGGGATCTGGCCCAAGCCACATGCCTGCTCGGTAGACAAAGGGATTTTATCTCAAGTACCGATGTCATGACTGACTGGGCTGGCCTGTCGCTCATGGTGAAGGTCTGGAACCTAGACCTGGTATACATGATTGCTTGATATGATGTTGTGGTTTTCGCATCATCTTCTTTCCCCTTCCTCTAATGAAGATTCCCCTATTTCCGTTCTGCTATTGATGCGAAGGCAGATGTATTTTGATCAGCGTTCTGAGCTAGAAAGAGAGAGGAAGCATGGTGTGTTGATGTGCATGGAGGTGTCCGTTGGAATAATTGCTTCGGTCTCGAAGCCCACACTATATACGGGGAGGAGCTCGGTGTTTATCACTTACGAGGCCTGGATCCGGGCGATGACTGCATGGAATGGAAATGGGCCTTTATCTTTCTATCATATGAGGTGTTTGTACGGGCTACGGAATTCAACTTTGCCTTCATCTTTCAGTCTCTTTCTTCAGTTTCGACTTAGCCAGGGGCGGAACGTGTTGCATCGCAGTCGAGTATTTCCTCTAATATGCCCGCATCGACCACATTAGATCGAGGAACATATGAGGAAAGTCCCCCACGAACGTCCTCGTCGGTTTTCTCTTTGGCTCCCTACTTTCGCTTCGGTTTGGTAATCTTTTTTGCCTCCGGCATAAGCGGCACTCTTTTTGACGGCGCATACGTTTTTCTTAGCAGGCGTTGTAGAAATCATGTTGGAGGCAATGAAATTGATGAGTGATTCAAGATAGAGATGAGAGATGTAAGATAAGCTTTGAACTAAGCATAGTCTTCTGAGAAGAGAAAATGTACATGACTAGTTGTACTTGTAGATTCCCTCTAAGAGTCAACATACAAATCAAGGAACTTGACCTAGCACATATGAGCTGAGATCGAAACAGCCTAGGCGAAACCCAGGAGGAAAAGGTAGATCGACAATTGGACCATACCAAACTCCAAAAGAATCTTGTTTAAAGTCCCCTAAGAACCGAGTGTTCAGCCTCGACGGAAAGTGGCGGGAAGGGCGAGTACAAAGAAGATTTCTAGCCTGATACCATCACAGTGGTTAGAAACGCGGGGGAAGCCATGAGCGTTGTCAACATGAACGATAAACTTAGGTCATGGGACATCTGACCAAACATCGATTTCCCCCATATGTTAGCGTAAAAGTCAACTGAAGTGCGCTGACCTGAAGGAGGTGAACGGTCTATGCACGAAGGCCAAACGATTCGATCCGTTGAAGTCTATATGAGGTCAGAATAGAGAGATGTAGTCGACAATGAAAGCAAAGGAAAGGAAACGACAGAAACTGTATCCAATGTCGATTCTGATTGATCCAATTATTCAGTGGATGATATACGAGAGGGTGTATGGAATATGGTATTTAGAAGGAAAACAGGACAAGACACGAAAGGAAGCAAATCCTAGCAAGTCAATAGGTATCCATCCCCCATGCTGCTTTCCTCGACAGTAATAGAAAACCTGGATGATTCACATTGATATGACAGGGGCTTGCACCTCTGCCTGGGGAGCAGCTGGTGCAGGCTCTGCGGCACCATTAGTGACCGTCTCAACCGGCGTGGGAAGCGCTTGCGGACGCCATTTGGCTAGAATTTTGCCTGCTGCGGGGCGAGATTCCTCGTCTGGGAAGGGCTTGTCAGTAACCGGTGCCGCGCAGGTAAAGCAAGTGGTGGATCAACTTACAAGTTTGGTAAACGTCCTCGAGTGTGTTAAGGCACATTTCCCGAGCTGGGGGCCGGAACATGATCAAGTACCTGAAAGGTCGTATTAGACATAGGTAAATCCAAAAGGAGGAACGAAAGGAGATACTCACATCAAAGCTTGCACGCAGAGATTCACACGTTCCGGATCTTTGGCCAGGCTGGCCACCCGCCGAGTGATGGGGATGGTGACTTCTGGGATCTCGCTGAGGAACCGCACAAGTACCTTAATATCACGGGAGTCAAGGTACGGCAGGAAGCCATCTAGGAGTCGAAGAGCCCAGGTATCATAATAAAGCGCGACAGTGGGTTCCTCGTCCCCTTGATCGTCACGCTCCGAAGCAGCCTCTTTCATCCGAACCCGGTCATTGTACCACTCCTCATTAAGCCAGATGATACCGATGTTGAGCCGGGCTCGGAAATCCTCCAAAATATATCGATACAGTGTCTCGCGGATGGAGTCTGAAATGGTTGTTTGCCTTCGAGAGAGAGTCGACTCCCCCTTGCCCTTATCACCAGACTCCAGGCCAGCTGGCGAGCGAGTGGCCAACCGAGTGAGGAGAACAACCCATGCATCTCGATCGAAAGTGCTTCCAGCTAGCCGGGAGAAGCCAAGTTGTTGCTGGCTCTTGCTCTGAGCTGGCGATGGGGTTGAGTCTGCGGCATCAATCATGCCGAACACCCGCGCAACAGCACTACGACCGACATCACCCGCTTCCTCCTCAGTAAGTGGGGGTGGCTGTGGCAGAACGAAGGGGCCCAGGGACACTAAATCGTGTTGCAGGTCCGCTACTTCCGCTGCGACAGTAGTGGCCTCCTCCGATATATTCTCCCCCACGTCCATGGGGTCGTAGTCCGGCTCGTAATCATCATCCTCATCAGCCGCAGCCGCCGCCGCAGCCAGTTGTTGTTGTCGCTTTAAGTTTTGTTCCTTGGTTATAGTTTGATATCGGTTTCGAATGGCCTAAGGGCAAGTTAACTATTGTCCGTTCGGCCTCTTGGAGGAGCGTACTTACATCAACGGCTTGTGTGAGCATTGACTGGTTTACTTGGGATAGGAGTGGAACTGTAATCTTCACTACTAAGTCGGGAGGAAGCTGTTTGACGTCGAAGGAGGAAAGGCCGACATCTTGGGTCAGGGTGAAAAGCTGGTTGAAGCTGGTCGGGCCTGGGGGTAGATGAGGGATATTGAGCAGCGGAGGAGTCAGAGCATCGAGACGAGCCCGCTTGGCGTTATCCAGGCCATCTGTCGGCTCGAGGGGCAATCCACGTTTGCGCGATGCATCATCCGTGACCTCAAGCCGGGACTGCATCAAGCGCTCGATATACATTTGCATCTTCCCAACCAGCGGGTGGCTCGGGTTCCTGAGACAGGTTTATTAGCCTTGATTTTGGGGGCTATAGATAGAGGAGCTGGGATATCGCCGTACTTCTTCATCACGTTGACCAACAAGGCCCGCGCTGTACGTTCCATGGACTTAACGCTGACAAGAACGGCAGGTGTGAACGGTGGGAGGACATGTTTGGCGGGATAGAATTCCAGAACTGTAAGGATTATTTTATTCGCAATCGACTGGCGCGTACGGATCAAAGGCGCAAGGCAGTTCAGAGTCGCATTGACAATGAGGGGATCACTAGTAGGGCATCAGCTGAGAAGTATTAAAAATCTCTCTCCGTTTTCAAACCTTGTCTCTTCTTGAAATACACCGAGCAGCCGGTCAAGCAGACCCGATGACTCGGCCTCCAGGTGTGGAATGGCAAGCAGGGCGTGGGTTCGGGGCACAACGGCCAATGATGTCTCGTTCTGGTCCGGTCGCTGATGAAGTTGAGTATCTAGATCCTGAGGAGGGATTGGGCTTGCAAAACATACTCTAGGGTCCGCAATCAAACCAGGCGTCTGGACCTGGACCACGCGTTGTAGAAACTTGATGCAGCAGATCTTGACCGGACACGGGAAAGAATCCATTTTCCGAAGGATATCTTGTTTGATGGCGTTCATTGTCTCCCATGTCTTGTTGTCCTCCGGGTGATTCACACTAGCCCCAGCCGCGTGTTAGTCCGTGTAGTCCACCCGCTCTTCAAACGGGATTCTATTTGGAAAACTATTGCAAAACATACATGTGACGAAAGATGAGAGGGTACAGACTGGCTGATGTCTGCACCAAGCTCGACAGGACTGCCGTGTCCGTCTCAGGTAGCCCCAGGATTTCTTGAATTGTCTGCAACACGCCCGGCGCGAGCTGCTGCTTTTGTGCTGTAGGTAGCATTGGGCTGGCAAATGTCTCTGCTAAGAAGTCTGCACCCCATCTTCGCAACTCGAGCCTCGCGTTGGCTCCGACGATGGGGAGGATGCCGCTTACGATCCGCGGGTAGAGTGCGGCATCGCCGAGGACAAGGTTGCGAGCAGCGTTCAGCTGGGCGACCTGGTCGACGACCTGGTCGGTCGATTGAGCCATCGCGGCTCAAAAGAAGGGAAGGGAAGGGTATGCGATGGGCGCTAGTCGGGGGTAGTCGAGGCGAGTCTGCGGGCGCGATGAGATGGAGCGTGAGGTGTTCCCTACCCGGACCGAAGCGCGAATGAAGCTGCGTACCAGGTGAACAGGACGCGCATGTGCTACGAGGCACGACGATAACAAGGATATACCACGACCGGATAAAATGGGTGTGTCGGAGGGGTTGGGTTGCGGTCCGGGAGTAGAGGGAGAATATGGAGAAAGCAGCGAGGTCCGCGGCCAAGAAAAGTTGGGGAAAGTTGGCGATGCCACTCGGCGCGTAGGTTAACCCCAGCACGGCAATTAAGAACAGGGATAATCAACTAGTCCCAAAGGACCAACCTATCGAGAAGGTGCTACGGGCGTTTCTAGCTGGTCTAATGAACGGAGTAACGTGGGCATTCGGCGAACGGCTGTATCTACTGCAGCCTGCGCAGGCACATGAGCCCAAGTTTGAGACAGCAGGAGAGCGCACAATCTTTGATGGGCACCAGGTTGACTATGTCCTAGATGTATCAGCATACCCAGAATCAATTGCCCCGTTTCCTGGCTAAATAGAGGAGTTGAAGCGGAGTGGCCTGACTATACATCGCATCTGGTCGCATTTCCAGGCGACAAGTACCAAAGTAAGCAGCGCCAAGACTTTGCCTTCGGCGGCGCATCGAATCGTCGCCGGCCGTCTTCTCTTCTTCACCGACCATCAACACTCGCCATGGCTACCGGAATGTACGTTGCATGACCAATACCACCCTACGGTGAAGTTCATGTCTTGGCTAACATTTCTACCCTCCACAGCTTCAACTCGACGTACTATGGCAAGGACTACCGCGCTGGCGCCGCCCTCCTGCGTGCCCGCCGGCCGTACCTTTTCAAAAATGCTCTGACCGGGTTTGGTCTATTTGCCTTCTCCATTGGCGTTTGTAAGTTTGCCTCGATCTGGAATTCCCTCCGTGCATTGTCCCTAGATCTGCGTCGCCGAGAATCATGCCAGAGAGTCAATCGATGGAACCATATCCAGAGACACATCGAGTCCCGCAGGAGACTCTACAGAGGGCCTATTACCAGACCAGCTTGCTGACCCCGACCTCTCTCCTGTCTACAGATGCCTATACCATCCGCGCTGTCGGTCAAGAAGAATTCTCCGACGTGAAGGTCCCCGATGCCACCACGCAGAAATAGTGCGGAAATAGAGTCAGCACACATCACAGCCCACCGGGATTCAGCCTCCCAGCTGACCGACTTGGGGTTGTGCGTGTACCATATAGTCGCATCATTTGGAAGGGCGAAACAAGTGGCCGAGATGACCACCCCTCGGCAGGGAAACAGCAACGGAGCACATCGGGGTTATGGAGTCTTCTGAGCAGACCATCTTTTTATCTGGGAGCTCAGCGGTTTTGCTTTACCGGCATTTATGTTGTATTGTACAGAGCATATTGGCCAGAATATATTTTTACTTGTGCATAGGCTCCGGCTGATTGCCATTCTCTTCTCTTTTCTCATTTGGCCTTGGAAGATCGCGTTATATTTGTGCGGATAATGTATATGTGTATACTACAAGGGTAGTTCTGGCAGATAATGGGCTTTTTGGGATTGACTGGCCACACTTCCGCTTGTAATGCTAAGTCACGGCCAACATGGCTTACAACTACACAGCATATTGACGGATATCTTTCCAGAAGGATTCATTGTATACTGATTCCGCTGAGCCATTGGCTCTGTACGGATCAACGATGAAAAACATGCAGAGCGAGACAAGCCTGCTATGCTAGGCTAGGTATGGAAATAACCAGGATGACAGGATAAAAATCAAAAGAGACAAGCAAAACACATATTTAGTTCACAGACAAGTCTACTCGGTTCTCAGAACGCGAGGACCCTTCTTCTTGGAAGCACGCTTCCGCTTAAGACCTTTGTCAAAGGCGACCGCATTGTTGTGATCACGGCCGAAGTTGTCCAGATCCTTGACCTTGTAGATGCGGATGATCCAGTTCTCACTGGTGAAAGCCTCCTCGAGGGTGTTGAGCTGCGGGCTGTCAGCCGGCACGCTGGTACCGCGAACCCGGTCGACGGCTTGGCCGGTCGGGAAGAGGGACTGGTAGTTAAAGTAAGACATCTTGTACCTGTTGGAGAGTTAGTGCGATGCGTCATATGATGAGCGGAGAAAGAGAGGGAAACATACATCAAGCTGTTACGCATGGCGGGAGTGGCCTCCTCGTCGACACGGTACTCGCCACGAGCAGTGAAGAAATCGCGCTCCTTCACCTCATCAGGCCAGATACCCTCGGCGATACGGACCATCCACAGGAACTTGTTCAGGTCATCACCGGAATAGCCCAGCAACCCGCCGAAGACGACTAGAACGTAGTCGACATCGTGTTGACGGAGGATAGGGTAGCTGACCTCCTCGCGCGAGCTCATGGCCTTGCCAACGGTGGCAATGTGCGTGTTGTTCCAAGTGTTGTTGTCAACCAGAGTGGGGCGATCGGCCATGCCACCGATCTGGTAGCCATAGTCCCACCAAGACATGATCTTAGCGTTGTCGGGGGTGTTCTGGCGAAGCCAGTAGTAGGCCTCGCGGTAGTCGTCGATGATGAACTGGCTCCCATCGGGCATGCGGCTCGCCAACACAACGGAGGGGGACGAATAGGCGTTCGAGGTGACCCATGTGCAGTGCGCAACAAAGAGGAGCAGATAAAGAGAGATCGAACACGTAACAACGGTCTTAGAGAAGTACGAGTAGATGCCGACAACCGGGTCCCGAGTCGGGCGGAGCGACTTGGAGTCTTCCACGGTGGCCTTGGCCCGAGACTCAGGGTTCGGCTTCGTCATGACCAAGAAGTTGTCGAGAATGCCCGACAGGGCAAGGGCGGCAGCGACGCAAACAATCGGAGTGAGAGTGAGCATCAGGCGGACCATGACACCAGCGAAGTAGCTAGAGAGCACAGCGTAGATAATCACGAAGACATGCTCGTCCTTCAAATTCTGGAAGCACATGAACACACCGGCTGGGAAAAGCCAGATGAGGAAGTTGAGGTCGAAGAAGAAGGCAGGCCAGGCAGTAGGCTGGTGCTCAGAGACCGACGCAATAATCGGAATATGAATCTTTGCGTAGCCAGTATCCCAAAGCGAGTAGAAACGGCCACTCCACGGGGCAATGACACCAGAAATAGAGAGCAGGATCAAACCGCCAAATCCAAGACCGACGGTAAGCAGAATCATGGAAGTAAGCAGCTTCTGGAACTGTTTGCCAGGCAAGAAGCCGCGAACGAAGTCAGCAAAGGCCACAAGCTGGATCAGTCCGAAGACACCCAGAGCAGACATGTGGTCGCTGTTACGAATGGGCAAGAAACCGACGAAAGGGATCTGCATGCTGCCCAAGGTTCCCAGAGCATACCACGTGGTGTAACTGATATACACACGAGAGCTGTAGCGACCCATGCAAAGAAGAACGAAAACATGGAGAGGAATGAGGTTGGTAATGAAGACATATCCACCCCAGGCGGAGACCATGTATCCGTAGAACAAGGCAGTCAATGCTCCCCACATGATAGAACCGTTCTTGACGGCCTTGATCCACAGGAAGAAGGTGAAGACCAGCAGGAAAATGGCAATTGCCTCGTTATCGTAGCTGCCAGCCACGGACCGCGAGATATAGCCAGGGGCAATTCCCATGAAGGCGGCGGCAAGAAGACCAGCCGAGGGCGAGGTCGACATCTCGCATGTCAAGAGGTACATCGCCAGGGCCGTGAGCCCCGAGAAGCCCGGCGCAAGCAGAACGCAAACATTTCGAATATCGACGGGGATGGTGAGGAAACGAAGGATGTGGTAGATCACGCCGCTGGTCACCATGAGACCGGGGTACAGCGTGCCACCAGTGACACGACCGAGGGGGTGCCAGGTTCCTGAACAGAGAAGCAGTTTGCATTAGCACCGCCTGGTAATACCATTGGGGCTTGCGACTTAGGGAGCCACGCAAGCATAGATAGAGGGGGATAACATACGGTCGTCGAACCAATCCCAGAAGCTATAGAAACCATTTTGAACCAAATATTTTGTTGCGCGGAAGTTAAACCAGGGATCGACTGTAATTCGAAAGGGTCAACAATCCAAAATTCGTCATCTGGCCGATGCCAAGTTGTATAGTGTGCATGCAATAGGGATGTGGGATCATACATTCGTGAATAATACTTTCAAATCCTAGAATCGAGGTCAGCAAAGAATTAAGAGCAGGAACTGAGCCATGTCATACGGATAACACTGAACAGACGACTGGCCACAGCAGCCGCAGCGATCGTAACGAGGATGATGATCCGCAGTAGACCGCGCGTGCTCTGGCCGGAGCTGCCTTTCAGCAGAACATCAAGAGGGGAGGACTGGGCCATAATGGCCAAAAAGAGGAGCAAAGTCCAAAAATCAAAAGAAGTGACACATGAAAACAAGAAATGAATTGGGCAGAGCTGCCAATGGTTGATCGTCTGGTTGATGGTTGGAGGAGGGAGAGCTGCGCAAGGTGGTCACTTCTGAAGTCTTGGCGTCGCGTCGGGGAAAGGCGCCACCTCCGACTGCTCCCCGCAGTCGATTCAATAACTGCTCTCTTTGGATTGTTTCTTTCTCCCCCACGCCCAGAAATTCTATCAGAAAAGTCCTGTAGTGATTCGAAAAGTCTGTTGCGTCATCCGGTCCGACTATCTGGCTTTCTGTACAGACGGTTCCACGATGGAACTACCTCCCCTCTCGGTCGAGCAGCTCTCGAAGCTGGCTGCGTCAAACGTTCCTCCATTACAGCTCTATGAGATTTTGTCGCAATACGAAACAGATGCATGCCTCATATCTGCTGGTACAGGTAGCCTTGAGACAGGCGATGGTGACCCTCAAGTATTGAGCTTGTTCTACTCGAGCTTTTTCTTCGCCCATCTTCTCGCCAAACAATTGTCAGTGTCTTCGATTGCACCTTGGGAAGCAGAGGTAACTCACAAGAGAATTCATCCAACAGACCAGAAGCTCGAGCCTTGACACAGCGGATGCCTGAGACTCTGCGACGCCAGGATCCTTCCTTACAGAACTGCCTGACTTTACTCCGAGCACTTTGGCAAACCCAGCATGCCCAGGTTTACCAGATCCTCCGAAGATTGCCGTGGCCAGAGAACCTGCAGCCACTAGTTCAGAGATATGAGAGTACGGTCCTGATTCATGCCCGTTATCATCCCAGAACGCTAACGCTAGCCGTCACCTAGGCTTTTTCCAAGACGATACCTTGATCGCAATCAGCACCTCCTACGAAGCGATCAGACCCGCCACCGCAGCGAATTACCTTGGCCTTGACCCGCAAGCGGCAGAACAAGGAGACCCGGCTATTATAGAGAAATTTACAAGTTGTGGGTGGACCTGGGATGCGGCGACTCAACTACTACACCCCTCCCCGATCACCATACCGCCTACCGATAAACCCTCCTCAAACGGCATTCGCGAGACCATGGCTATGCTGGGAAACCGTGGGAGTTGAAAAGTACGATTTGCCCCAAGTTTCCGATATGTCGATGGATGACGTGTCTAATACTCCCATTAGAGAGTTAGGTAGAGAGTCAAGTACACAGGCAGGACGCCAAACCCAACACTAGGCCGGTCCATACAAGGGCTAGTGGTAACGCCGGAATGCATAACACGATCTTTTTGCTCTTTCTTGTGGTTCAACTGTAGTGTACAGTCGCACGACAGCCCAGGGTATGTACAGAACCCAAATGATAACGTCTAGAACGAAGAGTAAAAGGAAACGAATCAAAAAGAAATCATTGCATCTTTCGCTCGCAATGTCGCAACTCGGGGGTAAATTAGACCCAAACAATCGTACAGTAAATGGACCCGAGTAATCAATTCTAATACCCTGGGGGAGGTGCGATTTCCGCAAAGAGATGCGTATCCATTCCTCCTCTATGCCATCTTTCATCCCATTCAAGGGTTCTCCTTAGCCTTGGCCAGCAAGAATGCCTCCAGATCGAAGTTCGGGTCCTCGAAATTGGTGATAACTGTAGGAGAGAGACCGGTTAGCGGTGCGAATTCAGGTGGGCTAATCTCGGCCACTTCGGAAGCCTAGTTGCAGAATTGATTCTGTAGAGCAGTGTTCACATACGTCCGCTAGATTGTGTAGAGGTCTCCTGCTTGGGCTGGGTCTTCTTCTTCCATTCGGCCTTGGCCTGCTCGATCAGACGCTCCTTGCGGGCATACTCGTGCTCGATCTCTGTGCGCTTCGCCGACGAGTTAAGGGACGACTGGTGGTAGACTCCGTAGACCAGACCAGCAACAAGAGCCGAGTAGCGGAGGACCTGTACAGAACAATGGGTGGTTAGACATCCGATTTCGCATCCATGCATAGGGCGATTGTTTCCGGCCGGGCCACACTCACGTTAACACCCTGAGTGCTAGCCATTTCTGCGAGGTCTCCGGAAGACGGGAAGAAGACGATAAAGCAAGGTGGGGGATATCCGAAGGACCGTTCAACAGAAGTCGACCGTCAATGGCAGTGAATCCTCGGGTTGGGCAAGGCGAGGTTCAGTCCCTGTTCTGCGCGAGTTTTTCCGGTGCCGTTCGAACCTGGCGCTTATGTCATCCCGGTAAATAAAGCGCAACAACACTACTACAGCAACTACAGCTACGCATCTGGTCAACTGCCCATGATTTCAAGATGTCGTCTATGCAGCAGCGCAAAAACGAGATCTTGGCCAAGCGGGCAAAGCTTGCTGAGCTGAAAAAGCAGCGCGAACTGCGCCAGAAGGAGTTCTCCAACAACCGGAACAGCATCGGGGATACTTCAGAGGTAACCCAGCCTGAGGATGGAAACTACCAAGCTCGATCGCAGCCTAACGTTCTCATAATTTAGATTGCTTCCCCGGTACCAAGTCGCTCTGACAGTAGAGCTGAACTCGATGACCTGATCGCTCGCCTTGTGGACCGTCCTGGATCAGCTTCCATCAGCCATGGCGCGGAAGGCCCGTCGCGCAAAGGAAGTCGCCCAAATTCAGTGCTGAGCGCCAGCCAACTGAGTGGAGAGAACGCCGAGGCCTTTAGCCCTTCGTCCCGACCGCAGTCGCAGTCCATTGCCGTGCAGACGGTTGGAGAAGAGCAGCCTTACAGCTACTCCGCGCCGGAAGTCCACGCCCCGCTTCCCCCTGAAGCCAAACCGGAGGTCGTCACATATAGCAAGGCCGTGCAAACAGACGGTTTGGAACAACAAACTCAGTCTGAGGATGGATCTGTTGCTTCAGATAACGAGGAGGTAGCTGGTACAGCACGATCAAGCAAGCGTCTTAGTCGACGAGACCGAGAGCGCGATGAGGAAATTCGGCAGAAGCTTCGCAAGGAGATCGAGGAAGAGTTGCAAGCGACCCACCAAGACGGAGCTGATGCGGCGACCACACAATCTACACAACTACGCTATCCTTTGCGCACACTCGATGACGACGAGCTGAAGGCTGTCACCTCGTCTGATGACTTCTTGGACTTCGTGGAGCGCTCCTCAAAAGTGATTGAGCGCGCTTTAGATGAAGACTACGACGTTCTTGCAGACTATGAACTTGGACTAAATGGAGATGTAGAGGAGGACGAGGAGACTGGCAAGAAGAGGAGGGGCATCCGGGAGGTTTGCCAATTCTGGGACGAGCGATGGAGCAAAAAGCGTATGATCACGGACTTGAGCTTCTCTCCTAAGGTAAGCGTCTGCTCATTGGCTCTGGCGCATGTTCTGTATGCTAACTGGTCTCAAGTTTCCTGAGCTTGTTCTTGCGTCATACACCAAGAACCCTTCTGCCCCTCATGAGCCAGATGGGCTCGTCCAAGTCTGGAACCAACACCTGCAATCTCGCCCGGAATACGTGTTCCACTCTACGTCCGACATCCTTGCAGCCAGGTTTTCTCCTTTTCATCCTAACCTCATCGTTGGCGGTTCATACTCGGGTCAAGTCCTTCTATGGGACACGCGTTCCTCGCGCGCAGGCGGTGGTGCACCCGTACAGAAGACACCTCTGACTGGATCTGGACACACTCACCCCGTTTACAGCATTTCAATCATCGGTACCCAAAATGCGCACAACATCCTGACTGTCTCCACAGATGGAGTGGTCTGTGGCTGGACTGTCGACATGCTTTCCCAGCCGCAGGAATACCTCGAGCTGACTACGCCTCCTCCATCCAAGACGGAAGACCTTGCACCAACTACCATGTCGTTCCCTCAGTCCGATCCGACCTTCTTCATTGTTGGTACAGAGGAGGGAGGCATCTACCCTTGTCACCGCTACGACCGAGCCGGCGCTAAAGCCGGCACCGACCACCGCCTCGCTTACCGCGGACACACTGCGCCGATCATGTCCACGGCATTCCATCCTGCACGTGGTCCAGTTGATTTGGGAGACCTGATGTTAAGTTCCAGTCTGGACTGGAGCGTGAAGCTCTGGCGCGTGCGGCCGCCAGCGACAACTGCCGCTCTCACATCCGGCATGTCCTCCGCCCAGGTTGTTTCGCCCATTCTGGACATTGCTCGCGAAGATGTTGTGTACGATGCACGATGGTCCCCACACAGACCGGGTGTTTTCTCCCTTGTCGACGGTGCTGGCAACGTCGAGGTATGGGATCTTTACGCCGACACCGAGGTCCCCGTTGTGCGGACCACTCCCTCGCGCGGCCCTGGCAGCGTGCCATCCCGCAGTCTCAACAAGGTTGCTTGGGAGGAGCGCGAAGGGCGGCGCCTGGCAACTGGTGGTCTCAATGGGGTCGTCACTGTCTTTGAAGTTGGCAAGGGTCTTGGTGGACCGTCGGAGGAGGTGCCTGCGGAGGAATGGGCAGGCATGAAGCGCTTAGTGGGGAAACTGGAGCAGAAGGATCGGATGGCTTGATTTTGAATGTTCTTTGTGCAGGGCACTCGGCTGTCCTCTCTTTCCGTTTTCTGGTCTCCTGCATGTCTCTGTAAACTCCCCTTGTCACGACTAAACCTTGCTTGCCATATACCCCTTTTCTCTTCAATGACATAGTTTAGGGATATCATTCTCTTGTGTCTACTGTTCGTACCGGAATTTAACCGTATCATACCTATCCATATATCACCTAGCTGGATTCAACAATCTGCATAGTAATAAGAGCGACAACTTCTTCCAATTCGGTTCCTATACTTCCAGGGCATATTGAATAGCATCCAGATCATATTATGGCCCACAACTTCCCGCTCTAGCACAATGCTATACTTGCCCTTTGGAAGGGTCACGGTGATGCAGTGGGGAACACGTCGTAGCTAGATGCGGCCGCCAACACTAGTCAAACCGCCTCAATTATCCACCGTATGGCCGGTCAAGTCTTGCGGAGACAATGGCGGGTGCGCTAGTCCGAGATACTCCTCCAGGTATTAAGCAGCGGCAGCAGTTGACAAACCCGTATGCACGACAATCTCTGTCTCGTATGAGATCGCATCAGTAAGAGGAATGACCAGAACCTCATTCCACCGCCTCTAAATCTGGAAACCGTGTCTCATCACCCTTTGTGGTGGAGGTAAAGGAACCCCGCTAGCTAAACCGCACCTGGTCAGGCTTCAACGACTTCGCCGACTACATTGGACCCACAGATGTGAGGAAAATCCAAGCCATGGTACTATGTTAGTGCCGAATTTCTGCATATTGCGGTTGACTGGGTTTATAGCAAACAGCTTCGGTCTTAATGACAGGCTCATTCTTGCTTGAAATATATTCGATGGATTGGACTTAGAGGAGTTGGCTCTATAAGCGAGTATTTATCAAATTAAAAAAGCTTTTTATTAATATACCTATCAATCAATCAATATTCTTATTCCCGATCTAGCTTCCTATGTTTATAGGTGTTATGCGGGGACTTGCACCTTCTGGTTTCCAGCCTAGTGCGCACGCGAAGCTGCCCGTAGCGAGATTAGATGGCTTACTACCATCAGACCAAAGAAAATAGTGCAAACACGATAGGCAGAAAAGAGAGCTAGGGAGTCAGCACCCTAGTGGAATTATTGTGCCGTAAAATCTGAGTCTACTCATATAGTATCTAGTATATACACCAGGGTACCTATCTAATTACCTACTATTCCGATCTACCTAGAAAACGGCCCTTTGTGATAATCTATACAAGGTAAAAAAATGATTTCTGATGCCATGCTACTAGTTAATAAGACCCAGCTTCCATAAGCTTTTGATACACTGCCTTTGGCCCATTTGGAATCTCCATCGGAGCCGTAAGACGATTAAGGTCATATTCTCCCACCTGCCCAGTAGCCTCGAGCCCCAAATAACCAGGTGCATATAATTCGACATCCTCTTCCCACTGCTTGCGGTAGTCCACATCTAGAGGAGCTGAGCCGCCCACTGATTCTAGAATATCGAGTATAGGTAGATCCATATCCAATCTATTCATATAATCGCCGGAGTTAGTATATACCACGAGCAAGATAGAAATAAGACTAGGACTCACGGTGTATTCTGATAGGGGCGACCACCTGAACGCTCTTTTGCTTCTAGTACACAAGTCCTCCCGTGTATAAAAAGATCCAAGGAAAGGGAGAACATATTAAAAGGGCGTATCAAAGTTGAGTGCTTAATATCTCCGTTCAAAGCAAATTTAACTAGCGTCAAACGAGCTGTTTTTAAACCTTCCTCATCCACTATCATAAAGTGCTCTGTATTTTGCTCATATAGAACACTTCCTGTCTTAGTGAGATAGATATCGCCAAAACATGCACTCTCAAGATAATACCAGGGAAGAAAATCTTGCACCAAGTGGGTATTAGGAGTGGCAGGGTTGAAAATAGCTATATTCGGAACGGGGTTCGCGATAGGAAGACAGTGCCCTGCTTCATAATCGTAACGATAGAGTAGAATCGCGAACTTTACCCATCGAGCCCTATTTATAGGATGTGCCTTATCAACGGGCGCCACACAGATAGCATGGTTCGGCTGGCAAGGTAAGAATGCATAAACTCGCTCTAATGCCTCAAGAGGATAAAGAGGAAACTGATTTCCCTCGCTTAGAGCACGATTATGGTATGACTAACGTATAGTTAGCTAGGGAATACTAAAGATATTCAAATAGAAAGTCTTACATCACGGAATTCCTGAGAGGCAGACGCCCATTGTTGCACCAACGCGCGGCGTTGGTGTAATTCGTATTCTTTATCAGCATCAAGGTTGCTTGGTCGTGACACCCAGCTTTCCCGGACAAAAAGTAGCCAGCCTTTCACCTGTTCTTCAATTTCATCACGAGACACGTCGGTTTCGTGACGTTTGATTTCACGAGGAATGCCCCCCGGCCAGTGAGATAGTGTAGCCATGATAGATTTCTGTACGTTGTAGGGGAAAAGGGGGTAGGGGAAAAGGGGGGAATCTCAAACAAGTACTTGAGATTGGAAAGAAAAAGCCGAAAATCTCGGTTAGGACGCACGTGTATGCGCTTCAGGAACAGTGGTGAAATGGAGTGGTAACTTACCACTAATAATGGGCTTATTCATCAAGTGCTCACTTTTCTTATATTTTTGTATGTAATTCTGGTTTACAGTGGCTGTTAGTATATGGAACACAGTACGGAGGGTTACCGCCCACACGTTTATCTTGATATCATTATATCAACATCGATGGCAGCTCCGATTGGTGTACCCGACCTAAGTAGGCTCCAAAGACGAAGTGTCTAAGCAAGGCTGTCTCAGTGCGGATCTCCGATGTACCTGAAAAGGAAGTCCCACTTGGCAGATCGGGTGGGACAACGCCGGTTACTTGTGATCGCCTCCTCGGGTTCTATTATAATCTCGTGCTCTCCGATCGGCGCCTTTATACTTCGGAGCTTCTCCATTTTCTTTATCCGGTGACGTAGTTGTCAAGCTCAGATATACAAAAACAGTTAGACTCGAGTACGTCAAGCCACGAATGAAAAGCGTAGGACGTCAAAGAGAGATTCTTTCTCCTGCACTTGCGTACGTGGAAAGTCTTTTCCAGGAGGGTCCTGGGGCTGTTGCTGGTTACGAGTTTGGATGATATTGATTCTACACTGAATAACCTGTTTGGGCTTGACGGGATAGAACGTATGTCCTGAAGCTCTGCCAACGATCATGTCGTACCGAGTTGCACCTAGGGTCAGATGACTGAAGGCTTTTGCGCCGAAATTCTCGTCATATTGGGGCAATCACTGCAATACTCTCACCCCCTTTTCTAAACCAATTTTGGCGGATTACAATCGTTACCTCCCGGCTATAGGTCTACAACAAAAGTGATGATTTACTGACTGTACGCCAACCTCAGTACTAAAATGCCGGATCCTTGTGAAAAGCTTCAAAGCAGGAAGTAAGTTGAGGGACTGGGCCGACGTCATGCTAGTGATCGACCAAGAAATCGACATCATATTCATTCTGAGATGCAGGTTGAAATAATTTCAGCTATGCAGTCACAAAGCTTCGAAAATCTTACAAAAAGCCACACTAGGACCCCTACATGACGAATACCGAACCCCACTACGCTTATGTCGGCAGTCTCGGACGACAGCAAATGATCGACATGTCAAGAAGTCGATCCTTTCAACGGTTTGGCTCCCTATATCCACTTTCGTAAGGAGTGTAGACCAAATTTTATACATCCCGAAAGCTTGTGATATTATGAAACCCGAACCGGTTCCGGTACATGACGAATGCCGAGACCAACGGCCCATCGATGCCGGCTGAGATGTCAATTAAAGCTTAACACAGCACAAGGTAAAGCTTAAAGTTGGATCTTCAACCGGCGTCTTGGGTAGAAAGTACGCCATATGGGCACGAGTGCAAAGCAAAAGCATTTAAGCAAGACATCTAGGCACGCACCATCTGCTCCGGATCCGCCCTGGCGACGCGATCCTTCTATGTCAGTCGATTATCCCCCATCGGCGTGGGCATGAACTTTCATCTGATAGGTGAACCGTAACAAAATGTGGGGTATTGCGACATCCTGCGACCTCTTGCGACGCATTATATCGCATTGCATCGTGTTGCATCGTATTGCATCGTATTGCCTGCGGGGAAAGCATGAGCGGGCTGCTGGTCCCCGCCGGACCGGGGAAGCGCGGACCCAGGGCGAAATAGCATGATCCCACTATTTCGCCGAAGAGAGGAGCAGTTTCCGGGGATATCGGTTCAGCTGGGGAAACCTCGGTGCTTTGGAAGCCGGTGGTTGGTACGGAGTCTGGCGGTAAGGACAGGCGAAGACAATAGAGAACCCCGAGGTGGAGGGATTCCTTCCAGAAGGTCGCCGTGGCCACTTCCGGTCAGTGATGAGGTCAGCGGGAATTCTAGCGAGCTCCAGAACATGTTCCCCGATGCTCGGCTAGTTGCTGTATTAGGCAACGTGACCAATGGACCAAGCCTTTCTGGCAGTCCGTGGCTTAAGTTTCCAAATTCTCAGAGCGAGCAACGGGATCGTCCATGCATTTCATCAGTCGATCCGGGAACTGGGTCAACCTTATCCTGGTGCCCAATCACATCCCGCAGGAAGTGCGATGCTCTCCACTCCGCTGGGCGGGAATCGTATCCAGGACTGCATGGGCGCGATATCCCTCTCAATGGGCATCCACCGCCATGCGATGTAAAGCCTAATTCACCCGGTGCCGTGGTGTGAGATCCCCCAACATGTGTTTAGAACGGACCTGACAGTCCACACTCTCCGGGAATGACATTTGCCCCATTCGCCGAGTAGGAGGGGCCACAGGACGTGGAGACAGGCCGTTTGTTCCATTCTTCGATATGGGAACGTAGTCGGCTAGCGACTTAGTCCCCGATAGACACCGATCGGGTAGTGGAGGCGATGATCTGCAGTTGAAATAGAGCATGATGTCTTGCTCTGCGCCTCCGATGGTGGTAGCAGACATTTTGTTCAACCCGCGTTATCACTCTTCTCCAAAGTAAAACCCCTCCGTGTCTACCGATGCACGCCCACTCTTTCAATCCACGATGGGTGAGGCCCGCTGGGTAGATAGCAAGACACCGTTTTCGGATGGAGGTGTTGCCTTGATTACTGTTAGCGTGGTACTTTCGGTGGTGCAGATGGTGTTTGTGGCTGCGCGGTTCTACACTCGTTATATGCAGCGGATGAGATGTGGGCTGGATGACTATGTCATGCTCATCGCTTTGGTATGCGCGGTCCCTTGAGCTGCATATTAGTGATCCTTGGGTGCTAATTTGAGACTATCAGGCTGGAAGTCTGGCAAAAGCTATCATCTACATTGTCTGTAAGTGTAACGATCTCGCGAGACGTTGGAGAATACATAAAGCTGACAGACTGCAGTGGTTCATATAGCAGGACTTGGATATCACCTCGATGAAGTTACCCATCCAGAACAGAAAGTAGCCCTCATCAGAAAGGTACCAATCACGTCATTCCTTTCCCCAATCCTAGCTCCCTTCGGAATTATTGACTCTATTTAGTTCTTCTTTGTCCTCGAGATCCTTGATCTCCCTCTCTGCATAACACCCGCCAAAATCTCTCTACTGCTCTTTTACATGCGCATCTTCCATGTTCGCAAATTCCGGATCTTCACCTATCTAGTAGGATCCCTCGTGCTGGCAATTGGCATCACTGTATTCTTCCAAACGATCTTCCAGTGCTCACCCATATCTTATGGCTGGGATTTGAGCGCTGGCCATGGGAAGTGTATTGACCAGACCACATTTTACCGGTATATCTCGCCGTTCAATGTTCTAACGGGCATTTTGATTCTTGCTATGCCCTTGCCATTGGTGTGGAAATTGCAAGCACCCAAGGAGGAGAAGTTTGCTCTAACGATCGTTTTTCTGCTGGGTGGGCTGTGAGTGTTTCCGTTGTCTGTCGGATAGCCTTGGGTGTCAAGTGCTGACCGTACGGGTAGGGGATCCGTGGTGAGCATACTACGGATGGTGAAATACATGCAGAATTCGCCGACGCAACTCAGTGATGTCACCTGTATGTTCTGCAGAGCCCAGTTATCGCAAACTCGACGCTGACATGACAACCTGCAACTTAGGGTTCTCCATTAATTTAGGCATTCCCACCGTTGTGGAAGGCGCAGTCATAATCATCGCCTCCTGTTTAGTGACTATTTGGCCACTCGTCATCCGCCTCACCCCCCGCCGCCTCAGAGCTGCGCTGTCAAGCTCTTTCTCCCGAACCCCAGAGCATCATACAGTCTGGTATAATACGGCACAATTTGACACCCAAAGAAGTGCTGTTCTCACACCCTCCGAAGCAAATAGTAATAGAACAGACTCGAAAAGTAGCTGGTACGGCTCACATTGTTCCTTTGAAGATCTAGAAGACCAGCGGTGGTGGGATTTTGAAGAAAGGGATACAGTCCGTCCTTGTGGGGGGGGGATAGTCCGGTCAAATAGCACAAAAGTCTAACTTAATAGATAATAGATCTGCGATTCATCAATCAGCGCTATCTGATAGAATAATACATAATACACAGGGTTTATCGTGATGAAATGAACATTCCTGCACGGGCGACAGTAGCATGCAGTTCTGTTTCTCATGGCATTCGTTGGAGGGTATCATAAAGAATACTTTTCAGAGGCAGTATCGGTTCATCTCGTTAATAGGTATATCGGAATCCAGCCTACAACGATGGAAATCAGCATGTCAACCTCAAGAGTCGCCCCGTAGGGTGAGAGCACACATACCACGCGCTCAATGACTTTCTCGCCGTGCCTCTGCTTTTTGTTGGCGGTATAGAAATAAAGCGTGAACACGCCGACAATAACGATCAGCAGGGCGTGAGACCTAAACCGAGTCAGTAACTGGAAGGCACGGTCAGAATCAGATGAATACAAAGGTGCTCACCCAACCGACACCCAGACCGCCGTCTGGTACAGCGGGGCCTCTTGCCGGCGGACAATATAGCTGCCCGCCACGCCCCCCAGGCCGTTGCACGCAGTCACAGCTGCGGACGTAACGGCGCGCTTCCACTGGCCAACGACATTGTTCGCCTGGAAAGCGTTGAGCGCAGCCCAGTTCGAGATGTACGCTCCGGTTGCCAGGAACGTGCCGACGTATCGCACCGTCACCTGTGTCGACGCAGGAAGTCCGAACATGAGGAATCCGGCGATGATGCAGAGCGCGTTGAAGATGATCAATGGGCCCCGGGTGCCGTAGTGGTCACCGATCAGCGAGGTGAGCAGCACTGGAATGACGGCGTAGTAGTATGGCTAAAGAATGGTTAGATCAGCGCCGAGAAAACCCGTGGATCAGCAACGAGGACATAAGCAGCGACAACACATAACAGCCAAGAGGGGGAAACTTGAACTCTAACACTCACGGGAGTTGACAGCAGAATCGATTCGTTTGCATCAAATCCCATCCCACCCTGCAGGATGATCGGCAAGAAATACGACAGCGCCGTCGACACGAGGTTCAGCAGAAAGAACATGCATGCAAACCCGTAGATTTTCAGATCCTTGAAGTTGCTGAGCACTCTGACCCATGAGAACGGCTCCGGCACCAGATCAGCCCGATCATCCTGGATTCTCTGTGCCGCGACACGAGCCTCCCGATTCGACAGAAACCAAAAGCTTTTGTGTGCATTCTCCGGGAAGTCCACCATCCACCAGTACGTGGCGATACCTAGAATGCACGTAATGAGGCCCTGGACGAGGTACATCCAGCGCCAGCCTGCCAACCCCGCCTTCCCGCTCAGATGGTTGAGACCGAAATTGACCAGGTTCCCCGTGGCCAGGACAGTCACCTCGCCAGACTGCAGAAAGGCGAATCGGAGCTGCTGCTCACGCCGCGGGTACCAGGCGCTAATGAGATAGGTCAGGCCCGGGTAGATGCCGGACATGGCCATGCCGAGCAGCACGCGCAGGGCAATCATCTGGCGCCATGTGTGAATGAAGGCGGTGCAGAGAGTCAGCAGACCGAAGAGGAAGGTGATGGATGCGAACCAGAGCCGCGGGCCGACGAAACGCACCGCGAGGGTGGAGGGCAGCTGGAAGACGACGCTGGCGATGGTGAAGATGAAGATCGACACGGAATACCGCGAGCCCTGGTCCAGGCCCAGATCGGTCAGCATGCTGGTTACTGCGGCGGAAGACAGGATGCCCGAGTCTAGCAGGTTGAGGCTGCATAGCAGGCCGGCGATAGAGCAGAGGCGCAGATCGACTTTCCAGCGGACTCGTCGCTCTAGCGCGGCCCATTCATCGCCAAGTTCGGCATGCGGGTCATCGAGTGGGAGCCGGTCGGAGGCAGCGCTGCTCGTGAAGATTTCGGATTTGCCCGCCATGAGGGCTTCACTCAGAACGCTGGTTCGGGCCTGACTGCCGTGGGCGTGAGTGGGTTCTTGTCCAGACTGTCGAAAGCGTCGAATATGACGAATGGTCTTGTGATCGAACCACTGTTGTGTGATATGGTATCACAGAGAGAGATGCGGTGAATCTGAAACACTGCAAGAACGTCGGTGTTCGCAGTCGGGAAGCGATGGGCGTGCGGGCTGGCTGACTATCGTGGGGTTTTCTTAGTTTCCCTGCATGTGGGTGGCCGGCCGAAGCCATCAGAATCTAGCGGAACGCCGTCCAATTTTCGTTCTGTCGGCTCCTGCAGGTCGGCTTTAGCGGCCGATAGAGCATTCGCCTATGGCCATTCAGCTATGCTATCGATTCGGGGATGGATCCAATGTATACAAGCGGTTCCACAAGCTAGGTGGCAATGCATGCACCCGGAGCAGCTCAGCAATGAGAGCGGATGAGATGACATCTGACAAATAGTTGCCGTTGAGAGGGCTAGCCCAGTTTACTTGTGAAGCAGAAACATATATTTTTTAAAGACTAGCTGTAATTAACTAGTTCTTCGAATAAACTTTGGTACGCACCGCATGGGTCGGGCCAAGGTCGCATTGACCCGCAACATGACCGGAGGCGTCAAAGAACAAACAGAATACTCAAAACGGAGAAGAGTAAACTCACCAGCTTAATGGCAGTCTAATATTGTCATGGTTCTGATTGGTACCGGGACCTGCTTACAAGAGAGCATAGCCAAGCCTCTAAGCTTCGGCCTGCTCATCCCCAACTGCCCCACGCCTTCGGGCGAATGGAGCCCGCATCCACTTTTGTCCACTGCAGAGCTCCGGTCCACGGCTCCGAGGGGTTCGGCCTGGGGAAATCATGGCACGATTCTGCTTGTCCTTTTCTCTTCTATGCCAACAACCCTCCCGCCTCCCTCTCACCACCCCCCTCCCCTCAGCATCTCAACCTCTCACCACCTCCACTCCGCACCTCCACCGACATGGTCGAACTCATTAGCCCTCCAGACCCGCGTGCTCTGCTTCCTGCCCTCCTCGCTTGCCTCCCCACAGCCTTCGTATCTCCTCGCCCGCCGCCAGTCCTCCTCCCACTGCTCTCTCCAATCCTCCGCCAGCGCATCCAAATCCTCACCTCCGTGTCCACATCATCCTCCGAGTCCTGGCTCCGCCTTCTCTGCTGGGACACCATCAAAGCCGAGCGCCTACAGGCTATCGTCGATGAGGCGACCTTCGAGCCACACCCGGTCTCTGGCGAGATCGAGCTGCCCACCGAGATCCCGGTGACATACAAGCGTATCGATGATGAGACTCTGCGAGCCCAGGTGCTCCTGCCCGAGTACCGCCTCACCGTGATCTACCTTTGGTGTCCAGACGATGAGCAGGGCGGTGGGCGCGGCTGGCGTGTGGCGGAACTACTTCCGCGCGAGCTCCCCGCAGATGACGAGAGCTCATGGGCACCCTCGATTGGCGAGGCGAATGACCAAGCTAAGGAGAAACTCCTCGCCGACGCTCTGGACGATCGTATAGACGGCCCGGCCGTGGACGATGGTCCGGCCGCGGAGGACGATCACGAGGACGAGGACGATGACTACTGGGCTCAATACGATGCTACACCGGGCAACAAAACCCCCGCGGTGCGGGCAGGCTCATCAACCTTCCAACCCTCGGGCCTATCTGAGGCCTCCTACTTCTCGCAGTACAGCGACGTCCAGCCCGCCATGGACAACCATGACCCCGAAGAAGAGCAGCCCGAAGTCGGACCATCTTCGCTGAACGGCGACATGCTCGCCAACCTGCTGCGGCGCCAGGTGAATGGGCTAAACGGTGACTCCGCACGCACAAACGGCTACTCCGCCGGCGAAGTCCCCAGCGACGCCGCGGCCCAGGCTCTCAGCCACCCCCGTCCAGCCTCTACCTCATCCAGTAACTCTGACGCAGTGGCCAGGTTGGAGCAAGAAGCTGCAAGCCAGAGCACGTACGAGGTGGGCGTGAAGCAGCATATTGGCACGAGCATCAAGAGCCTGTTCCGGCTGGCTAAGGCGACGGGGATGTCGCGGGGTGAGTTCCAGGGCCTGGTGCAGACGGAGCTGGAGCTGCTGGATGTGATGGATATGGATGATTGAGCGCCCCTGTGTTTTTGATCTGCTTACATCTTTTTGCGTGATACCCGTGAGTTCATGAGATTGAGCTTGAGACGAAATGATGTTGTATATTGATATGAAAATGATATAAGCCATAGAGGATGCATGTTGCATGATGCATTTGGGGGTTTGAGGAGCATTGCCTTTTTTTCATTTCTCTCTTTCTCATTTGCTTGTTTCATGCTACTTTTGCTTTGTTCTTATTTGTGTGACTAGTCCTCTATAAATCGAAACTTGAGATGGGCTGGAGCACTTGATTATTGAACTTAATTAAAGAAAATGCTGTCTATTGACTATACAAACTAAACCCTACCGGAATATCCCCTCCCACCCAACTTCACACCCTCCGATTCATACATCACTCGTACCATCCAGCCTCTCATACCGTGTCCTGGTCGCCACTTTACTAACAGCAACCGGCCCTTCACCACCATCAACCGCAAAAGACAAACAAATCCGTTCCATACCCCCCATAATGCGTCGCATCAGCCGCCAACCAATCCTGATTCAACCATACTGCCCCCGTAAACGGCCTGATAACCCCGATATCCGCGCGCCCCCGGCGGGCCAAATACGTTGGTAGTTGCCTGAGCAGCATCGCCTGGAACGCGACGCGACCTTTTTGGTCGGCAGGATTTTACTTCACGATGATGGGTAGCAGGCGCGAAGCCCTGCCACCGAAGATATTGGAGTTTAACACATTGGTGCCGTTCGAGATAAAGCGCGTGATGTTGAGGCCGGACTTAGAGGTTGATGCGGTGGAGCGGTTGAATTCGATGGTGAGGCTGGAGTTGAGGCGGGTGTCTGTGGAAGCATAGCGCTGCATACCTTGGAGACGCTCCAGAATTTCCCTAGCTCGAAGATATCCACGGGCGGCATGCCCCAGTGTGTGACCGGGGTCTCGCCGGTAGGCCATAGGCTTCAGATGTGGTGTAGTTGTACAGCAAGTCAAGAGCAGGCCATTCCTCGTGCAGGATACCAGGGCTCTGGGATGCCAGGGCCCACAGGGTAATCCGCTCCCACTTAATATGCCCGGTAGGATCCTCTTTACGCTAGGACGCTAGCTTGGCCAAGCCAGGGTTGATCTGCGTGACAGGACGGTTCCATTCATCTTCAGTGAGCGAAAGCATGCCCAAATAAGTGGTGAAGAGCTTACTGGCACTGGCAATTTGGTAAATGCTGTGGCCGTCAACTTTGTGCATCCCATTTGTGCCATTAGCAACCTTGAGGCTGGTAAAGTGGTATTGGAAGTCTGTGGCCGTGGAATCATGGATGGAGAAGAGGCCGGCGGAGAAGAGGGTGCTCACGATACCGACCCGATTTGCAGTTTGGCTGCTTTTGGTATGCTTACTGAGATACGCATCGAGGGAGGAGGTGAGGGTGTTCCAGGCAGCTCGGATAAGACTATCTTTGCTGCTGACATCGACAACTTGTCATCTAATCCCATGCCCAGGCAACTTAGCGGAACACGACCATCTCGCCAACCATAGTGCCTCTTCATCTCTCCCGCTAGTACTCAAGCTACTTGGGCGATGAGGAGCATAACATTTGGATTGCCCAAAGGATTAGCCTCAGCACCCCTCGGGAAGAGGTTATATGTCAACTAGATAATATCAATTTAGAATTAGTCTTATCTCATGTCTATCTAATTAACCTCCCACTGGAGTTAGTGGGCTTCTTCTGCCACCTGTGATAGGTTCAACTGGGTCATGTGCTTCGTCGTTTCACAATCTACCGTAGGAACCGCTGCGGCAATCCTGCCTGGGCAATTTAACAAACCTCTTACAGCTACCCACGAGCATTTCCACCTTTGACTAATATGTCCTTCCAGACTTACGGTTGTCACCCCTTGTGAGAGAACTACCGCGTCATCGCTCCTCCTGTTGTCGCAAGTTCGTTTCCAAATGACAGCCTGTTGGCGATGTGATTGGTAGGGCTGGGGGGTATACACCGCGCCACGCGGGCCACCGCCTTGCCAGAAACAAGAAGACACGCAGCCAGTCCAATCCGCCCCTTCAAAACTCCTTTCTCGACACCCAGTTTTCCTGGCCCCAATCTCGGAGTGCCATGCCCTTTGGTGATTCTGGTGAGTATTGCCATTGACCTGCTTCTCCCTTCACTCTTACCCTTCGCGTCCTCCGGGATGCTTTGATGAATCCCGCTGACAGCTTCGCCGTTTCGGAAGTCTATTTACTTTAGGTGGTTTCGCGGTCGTTCTCTATCGTTTTCCTTTTTCTCTTTCTTCACCATGTCTTCGCCTTCTTCCTCTCTCCGCAAGAGAGGCGGGAAAAAGGACGCTTACACGGCTGTACCTTCCGATGAAGTCTCGCTGCATCCTGCGGTCGCGGCTGCGCGCCAGCAGTCGGAGTGGGATTATTGGCTGGCCATGATCGTGCTCACCGTGTTGGCATTTGCGACCCGTTTCTACCGTATTGACTACCCCAACGAGGTTGTCTTTGACGAGGTTCACTTTGGCAAGGTACGGATCTGCTTTTGAGGAGAACTGCGCAATGGTGTGGTTGTGAGCAGAAAGGGGTCTCGCCCAAATGAACTGAACTGACATGTGTTTGCCCTCCGACTAGTTTGCCTCGTATTACCTTCAGCGCATGTACTTCTTCGATGTACACCCTCCCTTCGGAAAGCTCCTGTTTGCTTTTATGGGCTGGTTGGTGGGATATGATGGCCACTTTTTCTTTGAGAACATTGGGGACTCGTATATTGACAACAACGTGCCCTATCTATCTCTCCGTGCGATGCCGGCTGCCCTCGGTGCTCTGACAATTCCCGTCGTGTTCTTGACTATGTGGGAGTCAGGCTACTCGCTGCCAGCCTGTGTGTTGGCTGCCGGTCTGATGGTGTTCGACAACGCTCACGTTGGCGAGGACCGCCTGATCCTCCTGGACTCCACGCTGGTGTTGACCATGGCTCTCAGTATTCTCTGCTATGTCCGGTTCTACAAGCTGCGCCACCAGCCTTTTGGACGTAAGTGGTGGAAGTGGCTGCTACTGACTGGATTCTGCATGAGCTGCGTCATCTCGACCAAGTATGTAGGCTTCTTCACTTTCGTGACCATTGGTGCGGCCGTCCTGATCGACCTGTGGAACCTGCTGGATATCAACCGCCAACAGGGGACTCTTGATATGTACACCTGGATTAAGCACTTTGCAGCTCGTCTGGTCGGGCTCATCATCATCCCTTTCTTCTTCTACCTCTTCTGGTTCCAGGTCCACTTTGCAATCCTCACCCGGTCCGGCCCTGGTGATGAGTTCATGTCCCCCGAGTTCCAGGAGACCCTGAATGACAATGCCATGACCGCCCAGTCTGTTGGAGTCCAGTACTTCGATAGCATCACTCTTCGCCACAAAGACACCAAGACTCTTCTACACAGCCACTGGGAGAAGTACCCGCTACGCTACGATGATGGCCGAATTTCCAGTCAGGGCCAGCAGGTTACCGGCTACCCGCACAATGATACCAACAACCTGTGGCAGGTCCTGCCGACGAAGCCCTTGGCCGAGGATGGCCAGCCACAGAGCGTGTTGAATGGGGATATCATTCAGCTCCTCCATGTGGGCACCAACAGCTTCCTCCTCACCCACGACGTAGCTTCCCCCTTCTACCCCACCAATCAGGAGTTTACCACTGTTTCTCAAGAGCTGGCTGACGGCGAGCGCCACAACGATACGCTGTTTGAGCTGAAGATTGAGAATGGCAAGCCTTCTCAGGAATTCCGCACCTTTGCCAGCCTGTTCAAGCTTATCCATGTCCCCACTCGGGTCGCCATGTGGACACACACCACCCCTCTCCCGGAGTGGGGCTTCAAGCAGGCCGAGATCAACGGTAATAAGAACATCCTTCAGTCCAGCAACCTTTGGTTCGCCGAGACTATCGATGGTCTCGCGGAGGATAGCCCCCGCCTGGTGCGGGAGGAGCGCAAGCCCAAGTCCATGTCCTTCCTGCGCAAGTACCTTGAGCTGCAAGGTGCCATGTTCCACCATAACAATGCGCTAACCAGCAGCCACCCTTATGCCACCGAGCCCTTCCAGTGGCCGTTCTTGCTGCGCGGTGTGAGCTTCTGGACCAAGAACGAGACCCGGGGCCAGATCTACTTCCTGGGTAACCCCATTGGATGGTGGATTGCTAGCAGTCTTCTGGCCGTTTTTGCCGGCATCGTCGGTGCCGACCAGCTGTCCCTCCGCCGTGGGGTGGATGCACTGGAAGAAAGTAAGTTGCACATCCCTTTTTTATCTCTCAGTTCGCCCGCCTGTCTTCATCGCCGATGACTAACCTCGAGTGCGTTCTCTAGTCTGGGGTCCCGGAGCCCGCTCCCGCCTGTACAACAGCACCGGATTCCTGTTCCTGTGCTGGGCGGCCCACTACTTCCCCTTCTGGCTGATGGGCCGCCAGCGCTTCCTGCACCACTACCTGCCGTCCCACTTGGCGTCGACCATGGTGACGGGCGCACTGATTGAGTTTATCTTCAACCTGGAGCCCCTGGACCCTGCCACCGCGGCGCCGCCCGAGGATGACCCCTCCGGCAAGGCTAAGGCGAGCCGCAGCGTGCGCCGCTTCGTCACCGCCAAGGAGCGTATGGGCCGCAAGTCGCTCCTTGCGGGATGGATCGCGACTCTGGTCATCCTGGCGGTTACCATCTACGGGTTCGTCTTCTATGCGCCGTTGACCTACGGCACACCCGGCCTGGATGTGGCGGGCGTCAACGCCCGCAAGTGGCTGAACTATGACCTCCACTTTGCCAAATAAGGGACCGCTTGAATGAGGTCTTCTTCCCTGGACTCTTGACTCTGGACTCCATTTACCTCGGGTTGGATGCGAACATGATCTGGCCGCACTCGGGAGGACACGCCATCCCAACTTACGAGGATCTTGTTTGGTAGGAGTATGTATCAATCTTTTTGCAATAGAGGGGCGATGGATGGTGTTTAATTTTGCCCGGACTGCCGCGTGGACAGGTAAAACTCCGGTGTGTAGTGTACTGCCTATTTCCCGTTGTCCGTTCCAATCCTTTATGTTTCATGTGCATTTTCATTTTTTTTAAGTTCATTGTACCCTAGTTCCGCTGCGTGCCACGGCCAATATTGAGGGCCTGTCGAGCCCTTGTGTGACGGCTGGATTTCCCGAGTCATCTTGTATGTCGAGCTGCACAAGGCCCATCACCCGACCGTAAGAATAGATGCATGGGAAGAACGACTCAGACGAAGAGTGAAAACAGGGCTAGATTCCACGTAATCGGCAGAACGAGTGGGTGGCACGATATGAGTGAAAAGTTCACGCCGGATAGTGATTAGTCGCTATTAATCGTGGCCGGGCGGGCCTCGCCATTGGACCATGCTCAAGGATTAATTAAGTGGATTCACTGCTAGCGGGGGAGAAGTCAAAGCCGGCGGACCTCGATGTCCGTTTCGATTCCACCTTGAGTGCTCTGTCCGGCATAGGGTGAGTCTCAGCTGCGACTCATCCCTGGGCCAAGAAAAGCATCCTTACTCTGCCCTCTGACGAATGCTTCCGGCAGAATGGCAGCATTCAGGGCCAGAGTCTTTCTTGTGCACGAGGGGGGTTTAGCGAACTAGTCAACGCCAGCATTCTTCCCCTCTCGGACCATCCGAGCACTAAGTACGACTAACCACAAAGTACATAGCACTTTGTACTTTGTACTACCTGATTGGGTAAGTCCTAAGGTACCTAGTGGGTTACATAAGCAGGGCCTCGTTGTTTATTTATAGGCTCCCACTTTGTCCGTCCAGCGCGTATAATAATAGTAAAGAGGTTTCACATCGGTCTTGACAGTCGTTCCTGTATTTCCTGTCATTGTCACCACCTCCAAGTCGACGGATCGACCGTCGACATCATCCTACAGCGGATACCCAGCCATTCCCCTCATCCCTGCCCTTCCGGTCCCGGTCCAGCCACGACAAAAGGCAAAAACTACTGCAACTAACATACGGCAGAGGCAGAGCACTAGACTGCGGCGAGGCGTGCTCGTTCCACTGGCCTCACTGGTTCTATTTTTCCGCTTAGTCTCTTTGCTTTTTATTTTCCTCTTAGTGTCAGCGGCTGTCTGCGCTTGGTAGCTCCTCTCAGTCTTCGTCTAGTCGTCTTAGTTTTTCTTAGTCTGTTGGGCTGATCTGTTTCCGATCTTTTTCTGCCCTTTGCTTCCTGTTTCGCTTTCGCTCATTCTTTGCATGTCCGGCCTGGACATTCCGTAATTTTCGCCTGCTTCATTCTTTACTGTTGTATTTTCAGCCGGCCTTCTTTTGGCTTCGTTCCATTCTTAGGCTTCGTCTTTGCCTCCCCTCGCAGCCGTCGGTCGCTCTGGATCTCATCCCACGGAACTGATCCCACAGGATCCTCCCCGAAAGGCACTTTGCTTGCTCGACTCCCCAGCTCCACTCCCCGCCCTCCAGTCGGATCTGACTCGCTCCGACGTGCTCGACGGGCTCAATCAACGGCAATTACAAGTCCAGCTAGGGTCTCACCTGATCGGTGGGTGCAATTCTTTCTTTCTTCGTCCTGCTCCTCCTCCTCCTCCGCCCTCCCCTGTCCCCCAAACATCTCTGCACATCCTTCCCTGGCTCCCGGTCGCGTATTTTCTCGGTTCAGGGGAAGAAGCGACCCAGAAACAAACCCACGGGAGCTTGTGAGTTTGCATTCAGATCGCAGCACCCGAACCCACCGGGTGGATTCCTACTGGGGGGCCTTGATCAGCCGCTAGAGAAGTGTGATTGCTGTTCGGCCTTCGGTTGTTGTCTCCTTCCAGACGCTTCTTTGTAACTGAACTAACTGCTCCGTCTTGTCTTCAGTTTTATCCTGATCAACCTTCACTCTCGTTGCCCCGTTCTCTCGCTGTACAAATATCTATTCCCCTTGCGACCGCTTGGCCGATCCTCCGCTCCCCTGGACTGATCGCTTTTTTTTTCACCCACTCAGCCCGTCCACCTGCATTTGACACGTCAAGCGAATTGCCGAGCAGGAGAGATCGAACGCTATCCCCCAAAAACCCCCTCCACAAAGGATTGACAGAACTTTAATGGGAGCGACTCGCGAGTAAAGGGAGACAGGCTACACTTAACCCATCTGTTCACTCAAGTGCTCTGAGCTGCGTCAGCCACACCGCACCGATGCCCATCAAGCTACCCAAAAGCTTCGCTCGGAGGAAGTCTTCGGGCAATGTCCTGGAGGACGTGGATGGCAACCCCCAGCCCTCCTTCCGCGTCTTCGAGCGACCGGGCCCCCAGAGATCGATGACAGACGGCGCCCCACTCACAAAGCGTATGAGCGAGGACCATGCGGTCCCCTCGCTGGAGGATTCCGACAACATCTTCGCCGGGTCAGAGCACCCCTTGGGCAAGACTCGGTATGGCCGACCCCGGACCATGGAATCCCTCAGAAAGCGGCTGACCCGCCACCATGACAGTGGTCCAACCTACGAAAGCTCGACCTCGACTCGGCTCAGTTCTTCGTCCACCCTCCCATCCTCGACAGAAGTCCCGCCGCCCGACGAGGCGTCCTCCCCACATTCGCGAATCCACGATATCCCCGTCCCTCCTCCACTTTCGGGGGCCCTACGCGCTGCGGGCAGGACATTCTCATTCGGTGGGCGCTTTAATAGGAATTCAGGGCCTCCTGCTCCGCCTCGACATGCTACTCCAGAGGTCCCCAAGCAACGTGCCTATAGCGGTAGCACTGACGACACCGCGACCCCGCCAAAGCTACCTGATTCGCAATTAAATTTCGATCTCGGAGCAGGGGGCGACGACTTCGGGAAGATGTTTGACCACTTAGGTAAAAGGGAAAGCGCCCTGTTGCGGGAGTCGTCTCCACAACGGGCATATCAGGTACGGAAGTCAACGAGTCATGGTACGCAAGGGGGGAGCGCAGGCTAATGGTGTCATAGTACTCTTCGTCCCCGCCCACGAACGCCCTACCGGGATTTCAAGCAACGGAGAATAGGGCTGGACGACCCGCTCCTATTAGTACAGACCGATCTGTAGCCGTCGAACCCTCTCCTTATTCATGGGGTAGCCGTCACTCTGGCGATAACCTACTTAATAGCCCAGGCGACGAAATGGCCACTGCGCCTGCTCATTCGACCCTCGACACAACCAAGGGTGTCCGCAGACCGTCGCCGTCGCCGGCCCAAATGCTCGGCGCTACTACTTCCCACCGGGCCTTGGACAAGCCGAGGCGGCCATCAGACGGACTGCGAAGAAGTGGGATCTATTCGGTGGACCGAGACTCGAATCCCGTTGATGACGAAGACGCCAAAATGGTCCGACAATCTCTTTTGTGGAGTAAAGGCTCTTCGCCCCGATGGGAAGAAGGCACCTCTCCGTCGAATGGATCGCCGGTTCTCGATAAGGGCAAGGGAGTCAGTCATTCGCATTTGAGCCCTGATGCGGATGAGGGACTGTTCGCGCCTCGCCGGTCACCCGCACCCAGCGATTCTGGAATGGACGATGCACGACTGGCTGTTCAATTCGCCGAGAGCCTGCCCAAATCCACTTCCCCGGCAAATGGCAACAAGGTGATGACTCCATCCCAATTCGAGCATTACCGCCAGCAGCAAGAACTTCGGCGATCCAACAGCAATGCCTCGAAGACTGATGAGGAATCTGACCACGAGGAGTTTGATGAGGAAGATGAGGTTGAGAAGCAGCGTGAGGCGGAGCGCCAGCGACGGAAGCAGGAGGCTCATCTCTCCGTGTATCGACAGCAGATGATGAAGGTGACCGGCCAGCAAGCGCCATCCCCTCTGCTTCATCCGAACATGACGGGAGCGAGCAACAGCACTCCGAACCTGTCCAACCGCCTTTCCAACCTGGCTGACAAGTCTTCCAGCGGGAAGAGCAGCAATGAGGACGATGACGAGGAGGTTCCGCTGGGTATTCTTGCAGCCCATGGCTTTCCCAGTCGCAACCGTCCGCCTACTCGCCTGGCCAATGCCAGCTCCAACCCAAATCTTCGCGCTTCACTCCACCCATACGCATCGTCGGCTACTTCACTCGCCGGCGGCGAGGCTGGCAATCGTGGCAGCTTGCCCGTCTTTGCCAGGAACCTACCGCAGGACCCCTACTTTGGAGCTCGTATAGTTAACTCTTCCAATCGGGAATCATTGGCCTTGGGTGGTGGTTCCGGGTCCGTGTATGGCGGTGCTTCCTCCCCGGTACCTCCTCCTGGCGGTCTGGTTGGCGTGATTGCCAATGAAGAGCGACAACGTGCAGCTCGGCGGGGAAGTCCCAACCACCAGGCAATGTACGAGCAGATGCAGATGGGGATGGGTGGTGCAGGCGGCGTGCCTCGACCTTACTCCATGATGGGCCCGCAGCCGTTGTCTCCAAGCGAGCAGGCTCAAGTCAACCTCTCCAATCAGATGCAGAGTATGATGCAGATGCAGATGCAATGGATGGGTCAGATGATGCAAATGCAGGGCACCCCTCCGCCGATGATGGCAGGTGGCATGCAACCTCCCATGATGGGAGGCATGCCTATGCCAGGCGGTCCCATGGGCCCTCCTTCAGTCATGGCGGGCAATTTCAACATGAGACCGGTCTCCATGCAGGGTCCTCCAGGTGCCGTTACACCGAACATCGACCAGCGCACCCTCAGCTTGCTGGACCCCAATATTGCTGCGCGCCGCGGCTCGCCGATGCCGAATCTGCCTGGCGGCCCGCCCTTCCGACCTCACAATGCAGGCTATGCCGCATCCATCGCACCTTCTGAGCGCAGCAATGCAGGCCTCGCATCCCGGTATCGGCCTATCTCGGTTATGGGAGGTGAGCCCGGTCACGCCCCGCCACTCAACAAGCCCTGGAACGACGAAAACCAGCACCCCTCGTCCTTGTCTGTCTCCCAGTCTCATAAGAACCTGCCCAAGTCCTCATCGCTGGCGACCGTCACTGTGCGACCGGTCTCACGAACCAGTCAGTCCCCGGCGGGACGCAAGCCTCGCAATGCTTCGGACGAAGAAGACGAGGATGAGGGCTGGGCAGAGCTGATGAAGAAACGAGACAAGAAGAAGAGCAACTGGAAGCTGAAGCGGGGCACGTCCTCGTTCGGCGACCTCCTGAGTGCCGTGCACTAGATTTGCTGCTCTTCATTCATTTTGGAAAACAAAACCGTTCATTCACATATGCACCCGTGTCGTCGCTGTATAGAACTTATTTTCTTAATCCCGCCGCGCCTCGCCTCTCCTCTCATGACATGATTACCACGCACATACACCTCCACGATCCAGAGTGCCGAGCTTCGCACCCATTCTTCATCGTCAACACCGTCATTATTTTTTCTTTTTGGATACGTCTCGGGAAAAATTACACCCCACCCCACCTCGCTCGGTAGAAGGAGTCTTTTGAGTACCTTCCCAGCTAGCGTTTTGTTCGGGCTTTTTGTATCAATGTCATGTCATATCCGGGGCGATGCGGCATAATAGTATGAGAACATATGTCTCCGTTTTTCACCTTCTACGTTTACATTTTCATTCTAGTTGGCATTGGCGCAACCAGGCATGGCGTTTCTTTGTTTTCTGATTGTTTCTTTTGACCGTGTTTGTTAGCATTCCTGCATCTTGACCTCGATGTCTGTCTCGCTTTCCCACGCATCCTTTTTCTCTACCTTTACCTCGACCTCTCTTCGGGCTGACTTCGGGATTTGAGAGAAAGATAAACATAATTCATCCGGGTTGTGCGGCCGTTCACTCAGTCCGTCTTTCATCATCTATCACGTATTCGTTCCCAGCAAATTAATTTACAAGTTATAATATGCTAGCAATACAGCACTAGCTACTCTAGCACTAGCCCTTGTATATATAACCTAGAGCTGACTGCCTTGTACTCCCCCTCATACCCCCTCCAAAATCTCCTCGCTCCAGGCACCTTCTTCACAAGTCCCACTCCTACCCCCGCATACAGTGCCATCTGCCCTAGGCTAAATATTGCCTACAGGGCCCTAATAATACCCGTCTTCACAGCCCGGCGCATTGGATTTCTCCCCGGCGGCTACGACCCCCGATGCTTGGCGTCCGAGAACACCCCTACGACACGTAGTAGAAAGGAATGAAGGGCGAGGGCCTTCAAGGTGTTAGCGAAGAGTGGGCTTTGTTTGCAACCCAAGGGTCAATGTTTTGGAGGGTTCTTTTGGGTTAGGCAAGTGTCAGGGAGGCTCAAGCTTATGATGAGCGAGAGAGCAGTGGAGAGATATATTTTGAACCTTGATGGATTTAAAACCCTTTGATGACGGAATGGATTAGTTGTTTTTTTGGAAAAGGAATTGGCGATGCAGCTCGATAAAATAGAGCAGTATTGTATTGGGGAGTCTGCTTGTTATCGTGCATATTGTCGGGAGTGTTAGCTCGTGAGGTTATTGTTCCACATGTCGCGGTAGCTAGTAAAGGACCGACGTGGATTTTTTTGAGCTATATATATAGTCTATACCTATTTTATAAACATCCTCTGTCCCATTTTGTATCATCAGAGCTGTTGAAAAAGCGAAAGACCATGCGATAAACACCAAACCTACTCCATCCATGGATGCAGCGCTTGCCGTTCCAGAGATGTGGTACCTATGTAGGTTAAGCAGCATCACGTGAAGGATGCGGAAAGTCACGGGACCTGGCATCAAGGGACATCACATCACGTGGCCGATATCACGATCTGCCCGCGACACGGCACTTTTCTTCATCTATATCGACTCGGCTCTCACGACACAGACAAGCCGGGCATTTCCGATAAAACCAAGATCGACTGTGTCTGCCTGCCCAAGCTATATATAGGCTTTTATCGGGTTTACACCCCCCCACCCTGGCGCCAGTATTTGGAGACTTGGGGCCTTTGACCACAGGGTATTCCGTCGACAAGGCGACGACTCAGCGTGAACTACGGCAGTGCCTTTTGCTTGGACGGGCACTTGGAATTCCTCAATTGGAATTTGAAATTCTCGCGCATTCTATCCGCTTGATCTGACATCTTTGACTATACGGTATACCGTGATCGGCTCTTCCGGCCTCCAAGTGTCAGACCTGCAAGAGAAGTAATATTTGCCCAACATGAACGCACCAGATCGGTAAGCGCAAATTTCTGTTTTTTATCATTATATCGATTTGTCTTCATGCGTTTCTTTGCTGGTTATTCGCTTTCATGCATCTACTATTTTACTGGCTTTATCGATCTTCCATCATCTTTCCCGGATGTCCGGTTGGAAGGAACGGCCGTGGCTGGCATGGGTAGCCTCCAGAGTACTGCCTGGATAAGATTGAAGATGCTGGCTTGGATGAAATTATTCGTTGTATTGGTTTCATGGACGAGTTGAACCCTCGATCTTTCTCTTCCCTCCCCTCTTTACGCTGCCCTGCACTCTCCATCCTGCTGTATGGCCTCGGCCATATTGGTTGGATTGTATCTTTTCGACCAGTTCCCTCTCACCTGTTTTCCTTCTTCTTTCCCCATGTCATCTCCTGTTCTTTCTCCAGCCTCTTCCAAGCGTCCTCCCAAGCTCCCGCCCAAAGATCTCCTCGAAGCCGAAATCTACATCCCGGGGATCATGATGCCTTTCTCTTCCAACTTTAACTTCACCACCGCCGCAGAAGCCATCGCCAAAGACCGTGCTGGTCGGCGTGGTGTCCTCCCCACTTCTCACCGCGAGGGCCCTCGTCAGGTTGATGATCGCCCGGACGTGTTAGTTCATTTCAAAGATCATGGAAGAAGCCTGTTGTACTCCTGTTTTATCTGAATCATGTCTCCTGTTTCTTGAATAACTTTGCGCACCCATTGCTGCTTGCATCTAGAGACTGACTCAGGTTTCAGGTATGAGGCCATCTTGCTCGCCCCCGGTGAGAACAAGATCGACGTTGAGGTTGATACCCGTGAGTACTCTCTTCAGCCTCGAGACACGGCGAGAGAAGCCCTTCTGACTGCTGCGGTCTAGGCCTTCCCTCCGCTGCCATCTTCACTTTCCACAAGGAGGACCACACGCTCGCCAACATGCTCCGCACCCGCCTCCTGAAGACTGCACACGTCATCTTCGCTGCGTACCGAGTGAGTGAAAGCAGGGTTATCTCGCAATTCTCATTTCAACAGACCACTGACTTTGCAGGTCCCTCACCCCCTGACCCCCAACTTCCAGCTGCGCGTTCAGACTGATGGTGAGGTCACTCCCCGTGACGCCGTTGTCAACGCTTGCCAGGCCCTGATTAAGGACCTGGGCATTCTATCGCGCGAGTTCACCAAGGAGTACGAGCTGCGCAAGATGGCCAACGCTGCCAACCAGCAGCAGAACATCGGCGAGTAAAGAAAGGGTCGGTGTGTTAATGCCTTCCTCTTTCGTAGCCACCATCTCTAGTCCTATTCGCACCTCTTTTAACTGGCGCATGGAGCAATTCTGATACTTGTCTTTTTATGGTTTACGTGCTCCCTTTCACAATCCGGGTCGGCTGCCCTGATGGATTTGTTCTCTTCCTTTTTCCCTCTGGCTCCATAGTCCCGGCGAGGACTTATGATGGTTATGATCTTCATTCGCCTTATGCCATGTATCTAGCGTGATACCACTGCAATGCATCATTAATTGCGTTGCTTATCTTGGTTTTCGTAGGACTGTAGTGCCAAGCGATCGGAACCTGCCAATAGTCTTGATCTATGGCCATCAATAAGACTGGCTTTGTATATTCCCCCGTTTCCCCTATCTCCGCTGAAAGTGTTGTTGAGAGAATATCATCGAAGGCTCGGGATAGCGCAAGCTTGCATATACACTTTCTATACCTCTGCAAGTCACACAGCAACTGTGGCAAGTCGTTTTCAATATCGTATTCTATATTTACTCACCTCGCCCTTCCCTTGGGCCACAATGGGCCCGCTAACCCATGACTAAGCACCCGCTCCGGCTAGCGTACTTCCGCGTCCCTGCAACGGCGTCATTTGCGTTGCTCCTGAGATTCACCTAACTGCCCCCTCAGCATTCTTTTTCTTCTTTCCCTTTCCATCAATCCCTCCTCTCTGGGATCTTTTGGATCTGTTTTGTCCATGCAAGCGCCGTGTTCATAATGTTCTCATCGTCGAATTCCTTCGTCGGTGGTGGTGGTCCTGGCCGTCCAGGCCAGGCACCATTCATGCCGCAACAGCAGCAGCCCTCATACTCGCAATTCCCTCAGGGTCAACAGCAGCCCCCAATGCAGCAGCCACAGCCCACGGGATTTGCGCCCCAGCCTACTGGCTTCGCCGGACAGCCTTCGCCGTTCGGTAACGCGCAGCTCCAACCCCAGGGCACCGGATTCCCCGCGGGACAGCTCCAGCCGCAGTTCACCGGTTTCCCTGGTCAACAACCACAGCATCAGCAGGCCCAGATGCAACAGCAACAGCAACCGAGCTTCCAGCAGCCTCAATATACCGGATACCCTCCCCAGAACCAGTCGCAGCCGCAAGCCCCACAACTGCAGGTGTCGCAACCCACTGGCCTCCCTTCTCGATTCAAGACCTCGTCTGAGATTGCGAACTCCTTCCAGACTGATGGTGCCTCGGGGCCTCCTCCGCAGGTGCCTCCTAAGACCGGCTCTAAGATCCCGAGTATCCGACTCTCGTTCATTACTGCTCAGGACCAGGCCAAGTTCGAGCAGCTTTTCAAGTCCGCGGTCGGCGATAGCAAGACAATGGAAGGTGGGTTTCAATGCAGCCAAGACGCAATTCGCTGCAGTTAGCGCCTATTTACTTACTTGGATACTACAGGCGACAAAGCACGGGACATTCTAATGCGCTCGAAACTCCCCGGAAGCGATCTTTCTAAGATTTGGGTGCTGTCAGATTCCACCAAATCGGGACAGCTGTTCTTCCCTGAATTCGCGTTGGCCATGTACCTTTGTAATCTGCGCATGACCGGACGTGAGATGCCCGCCGCTTTGCCGGAGAAAATTAAGAATGAGGTTTCTAGCATGGTCGATATTATTTCCTTTGATGTCCCCGACACTCAGCCCGCGCCAGCCCCGCGCACAAATGTGCCCAGTTTTGATCAGCCGCTCTTGGAGAACAAGTCCGCCCCTCCGGTAGTCCAACAGCCTCAGCCTCAGCAGGCTAGCAACCAGCAGCTCCTGTCGCAACTGACTGCTCAGCCCACCGGATTCTTCCCTCAGCAGACCGGCATGCCGCAACAGCCCCAGCAGACCGGTTTCTCCGGACAGAACCAGCCGCAATTCCTTCAGGCTCAGCAAACCGGATTCTTGACCAACCCGCAGGCTACGGGGTACAGCGGTCCTCGACCACCGATGCCACCTATGCCAACTGGCTTTGGCTCGAACCTCAGCCCTGCGCAGAATGGTGGATTGGTAGCGCAGCCTACGGGCTTGACTGCTCAACCTACCGGCATTCCCGGCCAGTGGGGCTTCATCAATACACCCGCGCAGGGATTGCCAAACATTGAAGCCATGAAACAGCAGCTCATGCCTCAGCCTGGTCGCGAGGGTGGTTTCACCACTGCCAACCTGTCTGGTAATGCCACCGTTGCTTGGGCTATCACAAAGGAGGAGAAGAAGATTTATGATGATCTCTTCCGTGCGTGGGACGGACTTCGCAAGGGCTTCGTTGGTGGTGAGACGGCCATTGAGATCATGGGTCAGAGTGGGTTGAACCGCAAGGATCTGGAGCGGATCTGGACCCTGGCAGACCCGCACAACCGTGGTCGTCTCGACATGGACGAGTTCGCCGTAGCTATGCACTTGATCTACCGTGCCTTGAACGGGTACCCTGTTCCTAGCCGGCTCCCTCCTGAGCTCATCCCTCCCTCCACAAGGCACTTGAACGACTCCATCGGTACTGTCAAATCCCTTTTGTCCCAAGACGCCGAGACTCGCAAGGCTACTGGTGCCTTCTTACAGCCCCAGAAGACCGGTGTCAGCTACCTCAAGGATCACTCCTTCCGGGGCGGCGGTGGCGCCTCTCCTGGCTTCGGCCGTAAGGATGCGACAGTGTTTAAGAACAATGATAACGCTGGTGGCTATCGTTCTAGTGCGCGTCGTCGTGTTGGCCAAGATGGTCGCACTCCTTCTCCTGCTCCCTCCTCCCAAACATCCGAGGGCGAGGAGCTGACTGTGGAACAATTGCAGAAGAAGATCCGGGAGACCAAGATTATGCTCGATGCTGTTGACTTCCAGGATGAGAACCGTGCAGAGGACGATGATGCCCTCGATCGCCAGGACCGCCGTGAGGCAGAGAGCCTCATGGACCGGATCCGCCGCGTTCAGGATGACATTGACACTCACCCCAACTCTGGATTCCGAGGGCTGGATAATGGAGCGGAACGTCGATCTCTTCGTCGCCAGCTGCAGTCTTATGAAGATCAGGTTCCCCAGGTTGCGTCTGATGTTCGACGTGTCGAGCGGGATATTGCCGACGCGAAGCTTGAACTTTTCCGTCTCAAGGACGCCAAGGCGAACCCTGGCAGTGCTGCCAACATTGTCGGCACCGGCCCTGGTGGTGCGATCACCGAGGCAGACCGCATTAAGGCTCGTGCTCGTGCGCGTATGGAGGCTCGTGCTGCTGAACTTGCCGGCCGCCCTCCCCCTGCAAGCGCGGGTGATGATGGCCAGGCTGCTCGCCGGCTGGAGGCCGAGAGTAGCAACGTGAAGGCCGAAAGGGAGCGCAACGAATCCATGACTCGTGATGTCGAGGATAGTGTTCGTGACTTCGCCAAGAGTCTGGAAGACAGCCTCCGTGATCAAGGCGAGAACTCTACCCGCGAGCATGAGAAGCGTCGGTGGGAGGATGCCCTGGGCGTTGAAGACATCATCCGTGACTTCATTTATGATCTCAGCCGCAACAATCGGACCGCGCACATTCGCAAGGAAGAGTATGATTCACCTTTTCATTCACATTTTCGAACTGGACTAATGAAAGATAGGCGTGAACGGTCTGCCGTGGACCAGCGTTCTCAGTATAGCTCTCCCGCCGCCGAGTCTCCTGCGGCCCGTCCAGCTATGCCCTCTTCCACTGGTTCTTCGGGCTCTATGCCTGGGAACACGCACGAGGACCGCGTGGCCGCTGCAAGAGAGCGTGCTCAGAAGCGTATTGCTGAACGGATGGCAGCTGCTGGTCTGAAGCCCAGTGATTCTTCCGAGTCCTTGTCGCAGCGCCAAGAGCGGGAGAGGCGAGAGCGGGAGGAGCGCGTCAAGCGCGCTGAGGAGGAAGATGCTAAGCGCGAGGCGGAGCGACAGCGCCGTCTGGCCGAAGAGCGTGGTGGCCCTGCTCCCGCCCCCGCCGCCCCCAAAGCTGCTGGCAAGAAGCCGCCTCCTGCGCCTCCGACTCGCAGGGCCCGGACCGATAGTGCTGACCAGGCCGATGCGAAGAAGGCGGACGAGGCTGCCAGGGAGCAAGCTGTCCGCGAGCAGGCTATCAAGGAAGAGCAGGAGGTACAGGAGGCTGAGACCAAGCGTCTTGAGTAAGTTTATACCGAGGATATCATTCGTGAAGATTGCGTTCGTTAATCGATAACAGGGATGAGGCCAAGCAACGTGAAGAGGAGTATCAGAAGCAGAAGGAGGCTCAAGATGCCAAACTTCGTGCCCTCGAGGAACAGGTCCGACAAGGGAAGGTTAAGAAGCAGGAGGAAAAGCGCCGCCGAGAGGAAGCTTCTCGCCAGGCCAAGGAGCAGGAAGCCAGACTGGAGGCCCAGCGTGCTGAACTCGAGGCCGCCAAAGAGCGTGAACGTCAGCTGCAGCGCGAGCTGGAAGGTATGGATGAAGAGTCTTCGGATGACGAGGGCCCCGTCAGCATCACTCCTCAGGATAGCACTCCTACTCAGAGCCAGGTTCTATCTGCTCCCCCTGTTCCTACTATTGCTGTTCCCAAGCCTCCTGTGCCCGTTTCCGCCCCGGAGCCCTCGCAGGTTGCCAGCCCCGAGTCCTTCCCAGCGACTACACCTGACGCTGAGTCAAAAAACCCCTACTTCAAGTCTCTGGGCCAGCAGGCTTCGGAGTCCTCGCAGGCGACCTCGCCGTTAGCTGCGCCGTCCACCAACCCCTTCCACCGCCTCGCTCAGCAGGAAAAGCAAGAGCCCGTCAAGCCCACCTTCACCGGAGCCGGCCCCTTGGAGCGCAAGACCCGTGCCCGGCCTGAAGATGATGATGACTGGTCTGTCGCTGGTTCTGAATTTGACTCATCCGATGACGAAGATGACCATCCCGGCGGTGGCAGCGCCAAGCAGCTTGCCAGCATCTTGTTCGGCACCATGGCTCCTCCACGGCCCCTGAGCGCCATGGACGAGGACAAGTCCGCCACCCCGGTGCAAGACAGCCCCGTCGCTCCTCCTCCGCCCCCTCCACCTGTGGCTGTTTCTCCTCCCGCTGCCGAAGAAACCTTTTCTCCCGCCCCTCCCGCTGGAATCCCTCCCCCCCCCACCACCACCTCCTCCTCCTCCAGGAGCTCCAGCTGCCGCCGCGCCTCCTCCTCCCCCTCCTCCTGCAGGCGGAGCCCCTATGGCACCACCTCCACCTCCTCCCCTCGGAGCGCCCGCTGCTCCTCCTCCGCCCCCTCCCGCAGCTGCGGGCGGCGCTGGAGGTGAACACTCCGCCCTCCTCGCATCCATCCAGGCGGGCAAAGGTCTCCGGAAGGTGCAGACCAACGACCGTAGCACGAGCTCCTCAGCCGGTCGTGTGCTGTGAGGCGATCATCGGCTGGTGATAGAACATATTGTACAGAAGTTGGGGAGATAGGTATTTTATTCATGGGCTGGAAGCAACTCTTTCTCATATTTCTTTTTTTTGAAGCATTGCTTTTTGGCGAGGTGGTTTCGGAGGCCTCGCAAGGTATATGAGATGTGATGGATGACGATGATGGCGATGGCGATGGCGATGAAACCGAGATGGCGAGGTAGCAAGTAGCTTCTTATGTATGTCATTCACATCAATCATTGGTTTTTAATTGCTTGACAGGTTCTAGAGAGGTTCACGTAAGAGCTACCAGTACCACAGGAAGGCAAAGCACCCATGCCATAGGCAAGTTGAATACCCATCCCAAGCTTGGCGCGCGTCTAGAGTGCTTCATGTCATTTGTTGCACTCTCCAATCTGCCACTTTGTCACCCATGGGCGTTATGGGGCCAGGTGAGCAGGCCAGAGAGAACGGAGCTGCACACTGCCCACCCACCGTCCCGTAGTATAGCCGGCCGTGTCGCGATATTTATTAGACGATATCTAGGACGCTGTAGCTTTCTGTTTGACTGCTCGCCCAGGATTTGTGCTCATGTAGTAGAACCCAGGCACGCCCATGCGCGCGACACATAATCCGTGCTCGGTGGCTCGTTCTTCTTCCGCACAGTCCCATTCCACTTGTCTTTGCCCAAGCAGATGGCTTCGGCGCCCGCTACGAACGGAAACGAGAACATCTGCACCATCAGGGGCCATATTTAGTTTACACGCTATATGCTGTAAGTGTAAGTTTACCTCGATGTCTGGAAATGGGGCAGTAGAAGCCAACTGTGATATTTTATTCTCATTCTGCTTTCTTGATGCACCCAGGGCCCTGCTTGGTACACGCTAGCTAGGAAACCAGAAATTACCCGTCGTTATCTGCACTTCAGAATCAGAATCCACTGTTTCGACCAGAGCAGATGCATGATGTTTTAAAAACATTTCCAGGATCGTGAGTGTTGATCCGAATGCCGTGGAGTTCAGCCCTAAGCCTTGACACCTTCCTCCACATATACGCTATTCTCTCCACCACTTTCTGTATCGGGCTGGCCGGCTGAGCTGGGCTGACGGGCCTTGAGGGTCTGCTGCATGCGGCGTGCCACGCGCGGCGGGTCAAAGATGCTCTTCGACTGGGCAAAGATCTCGTCGATCTCTTCCAGCGACCGTCCCTTGGTCTCCGGGAAGAAGAAGTACACGGATGGCACAATGAGCGCATTTAGCACCGCGAAGATCAGGTAGTAGTAGTTGTTGATGGAGGCAAAGCCGACGGGGGTTACTTCCGCGAGTAAGAAGTTGAACGCCCACACCGTGGCCGTGGAGACGGCACTGACGGCAGCCCGGACCTGCAGGGGCGCCATCTCGGCCGCGTAGAGGAAGGTCAGGCCCGAGTAGCCGACGGTGAAGATGAACTGGAAGCAATAGAGCGCAATCACGGCGACGACTAGGGCCGCCGTATTGTCTGCCGCCCCGGGGGATGTGGTCCCGGCCAGAAGAGCCATACAGACGGACATGGCTGCTGCACTCCACAGCATGAGTGGTCGACGACCGAGTCGGTCGATGGTATAATAGGCGAGGAAGCCACCGAAAGGCTGCATCAGACCCATGGCTGCGGCGAGGATGCGGGACTTGACGGCGTCGAGCCCGAGATATTGCTGGAGTGCGATTAGTCAAGAGGACGTGGACAGGCCCTAGTCAAATTGCTCCCCATTGAATTGCATATTCTTACCTGGAAGATGTTTGTGGCGTAGTAGGTGATGAGATTCACACCGCACATCTGCTGGAACATCTGACCCGTCGCGGCGAGATACGCACGATGGAAAAGACGCTGCTCTCCGTTGGTGAACATGGCCGTCCAGGAGGTATTTCCGCAGACCGCCAGGGTCGCTTGGATTTGGTGAATGCTTTCAGTGATCGTCTCTGAGTCTGGCTCGAGTTCAAGGAGGGCTGATAGCACCTGCCGGGCCTCTTCGAGCCGGCCGGTCTTGATTAACCAGCGGGGGGATTCCGGCAGCACCGTGATAAAGATCATGGCTACCAGTGACAAGATCACCTGGAAGGCGAGAGGGAATCGCCATGCCACCGAGTTATCCTTCACGAAGTAGAAGCCGAGATCAATCCAGAGAGCGATGGTCACGCCGGCACCCACGAAAATGCCATCGGTCACTACGTTCGAGCCTCGCTTATGAGCGGGTGATAGTTCGGACTGCCAGACGGGCACCGTGGCGACGTATCCGCCAATTCCGAGACCAAGAACTAGTCTTGCGACGATGAACTGGGCAAAATCGAAGGAGGTGGCCATCAAGATCGCGCCGATAATCGTGATCAAATTTGTCCAGAAGATCACCTTCTTGCGTCCGAGGAGATCACCCAGAGAGACGCAGGAGAGCGCTCCGAAGATCCCGCCCACAGTGTAGAGAGCAATCACGGTGCCTGGGCATCCCCGCCAATATTAGCGGATGGGGATCCGATGATTGACATGAGGGACCCACCTTGAATCGTCGAGTTTTCATGTTGCACGGCACCGGTCGTGTGGATAGTATCCATTCGAGGAAATTGATTGTTGAACGCGTCCAGCGTCAAGAGACCGCCCGCCACGCTCATGTTATATCCATAGCAGGTGAATGTGGGACATACGACCAGCATGACAGCTGCTCGAAGGAGTGCATTGCCGCGAAGGCCCAGATACGGCTTCAGGCCCATGATGAAGTCGGTATCAGATGCGAACCACACGATTAAGAGAGTGGCTCGGGGGGAAGTGAAAACCGAATGAATAGGGCAACAGGCGACCCATGGAAGACTGATATAACCGGGTGGTGTCAATATATCCGGGATCAATGGTGTCGCCGCTAAGTATGGGGTGGAATTGTCGGTAGTCGGCGGTCGCCGCTGAGCCACGAGCCCGCCAGAAGAGCCACGCCTGCACTGCATCATCTCTGGGGTAAAGTCCCGAGATGTCTGGGGAAGTTCCCCACGATCTGGGGAAGTGCTCCACACTCTTGGCTCTTTAATCCAGACTGCATCACGAAGCTCACTTCGGGTAAGCGGCGGAGAATACGCAGTAGCAACATCTCAGAACCACTGCCGCCATAAAATCTGATTGGCACTCGGCCACAACTGTTCCGGGGAGCTGAAGTTCGATCGCTAGGACTTTCCCGTGGAGCTTCGCTGCGGCCGCGGGGAGTCCCTGGGAATCGTGCCAAGCATGGAAGGGACCGATCGTGGGGAGCATGAGGATGAACTCGCCCTAGGGTGGCTTGCATCTGTTGTATCTCGAGCGCATGGGGTACCTTCGAGACGGACAGTTGACTTCCCATGGCCTCCATCTCGATCGGTTGCACTCCCAGAACCCTAACAAGCTCGGTTTCAAACACACCTCGGCTCGCGGCGCCACCCGCGAATAGCCTTCCGATGGCACGGCCTTTGGCTTTGTCCCCTCTGCCCCGTCCGCGAATGCTGAAAGCAAGAAAAAATTACCAAGAGAATCTCGACTGCTGTGACATTTCAGGCTCAGCAAATGCTTTGATTCGCCACGAGGAAGTTGGATGTACTTCGCGCACATCAATTGTCCCCATTCGTCCAACTGGCCGACGACTCATGGTTGTCTCCCGCCGTCCTCATCCGCTGGAACCAGTCGCCGGAAATTGGCAGTTTCTCGGAACCTATCTAATGTCCGTTGGACGTCTCGACGGGACTTGAGGCCATTCACGCCGGGCTCAACTCGCCTCCACATGAACCTCGTGTAAAGATGCAAAGCCGACCATTTCTCGCTACAATTGGGGTTCGGGGGCCAACTGGTCTTTCAAGGAAGAGAACAGCGTGATGTTGACTATGGTATCTTCGTATGTTCTACCAGGCGGGGTGAGGCATACTTCGGCTGCGATCACGTAAGTCGGGGCACTTCACCCGCATTTCATTGGCAGTCCGACAGATGAAGCTCCACCTCATGAGAATCCTCATCTTCCAGCCAAGATCTCGTATGGTACCGAGAGGCCTGTGAGTCAATGCTTCGGCCGATCCCTATGCACCTTGATTGATGAACTTAATCATCAGGTTTCTGGTTCTTTGGTTCTCACTCAGGACGTGGTCTTGATACACAACGCATTGCAGGTTATATCAGGTTGGGTCTAATTGTCTGTCTCAGCCCAGGAACTCCAGATGCGTACCTCGTCCATGCGATGCGCGCTTACGGGCTGCATATTATCCTCTTCAATTTGATTATACTCCGATCAATGCGCTTGATTGATAACCCCAGGGCGAATCAGTGCCCCTCTTATTATGCTTGACCGTACAGTTGCCCGCACTCGCCTCTCTGACCCGCTGGTACTGTATATATCTGCTTGAGATGCATCATCGGAAGCAGCCGAACACCGAGCCCAGAACCATGGCGATTGCTCGGTGCGGCTGATCCTGCCATACTCGACCCCCTACCTGAACTTAGAGGTCGTTTGACGATACAGCAGCGAAAATCGTCTTCTCATTCAGAAGGTCCAGCCTTCACACTCCGCGGTCCATTCCGAAGTCTGCCTCTCCTGGTAGCCTCTGGTAACCTTCTTCTTCACGCTTGATTTCCATCCATCCGGGCCCTTCGTTTCGTGAGCATCTATCATGGATATATCAGTGGCGCCGTCCCCAGAAAAGAAGTAGTCCAGACCGTGAGCATTCAGTCACACTCGTTTTCATCATGTTTCTGACCATTTCCAGATTCAGTGTGGGGGTCTGGCTGTGTCTCGTATTGCTTCATGCGTGCGGCACTGCAGCATTGGCATATCCATACACCGTCTATCGGGGCACATTCATTCATCTCCCCCGCCTGAATCTGAGCGCGGAGGCTCCGGAGCTCGCTCGCCACCAAGGTGTTCTGTGGGTCTCGTCTGAAGATGGCCGGATCAAGGGATTCGATTGGACCGTCAATGATGATGCGAGCTTCAAGTCGTTCCTGTCTAGCCACGGCTGGACGGATGCCACTGCCACTGGTGGCAATGGCGATTCAACCACCCCCGTCATGGTGGTGCAGTCCAACGATGAGAATAACGAGTTCTTCTTCCCCGGATTCATCGGTCTGTCTTATCTCCCTTGCTGATATTCCAACCCTTCTGACGATGTAGACACCCACATCCACGCGCCGCAGTTCCCCAACATTGGCCTGTTCGGATCATCAGGCCTCCTGGACTGGCTGAACGAGTACACTTTCCCAGTAGAAGCTAGCTTTGGCTCCAAGTCAGACCCAAAGAACCAACAGACAGATCCCAAGCAGATTCCACCCGAGGGTCTGCGCGTCTATGATGAAGTCGTCGCCCGCACCCTGGCCCACGGCACAACCTGCGCATCCTACTTCGCCACAATCCACGTCCCAGCAACCAACGCCCTCGCAGCCCTGTGCCACTCCCACGGCCAGCGTGCATTTATCGGCCGTGTCTGCATGGATAACCCCGATCAATGCCCCTCCTATTACATCGACCCATCCGCCGAGGAGGGCATCAACGCAACCCAGTCGACCATAGACTACATCCAGACGCTCGACCCCAACGGGACATTGATCCACCCAATCGTCACCCCCCGATTTGCCCCGAGCTGCACCAATGCCTCGCTCGATGGCCTCGGCAAACTGGCCGCATCGTACCACCCGCCCCTGCACATCCAAACACATATCTCCGAGACGCTCGACGAGATCGCCCTCGTCCACCAACTGTTTCCGGAGGCATCCAGCTACGCCGATGTCTATGATCAGGCTCACTTGCTGACCAACCGAACCATTCTTGCACATGGCGTACATCTCACCAAGGACGAGCGCACTCTCATCCGCGCGCGCGGCTCCAAGGTCGCACACTGCCCCGCGTCCAACTCAGCCCTGGGTTCGGGCCTTGCTCCCGTGCGGCTAATGCTCAACGAGGGCGTCACCGTCGGCCTAGGTACAGATGTGAGCGGCGGGTACAGCCCCAGTATCCTCGAAACGGCGCGACAAGCCTGTCTGGTCTCCCGATTGCTGCAGTATAGCGCCGAGTATCAAGAGATGAACGGCAATGCAACCTCGGATGGAACCGAGAAACTCTCGGTGGAGGACAGCCTTTACCTCGCCACTCGCGGCGGCGCAGCAGTCGTCGATATGGCCGATGACATTGGCGGCTTCGATATGGGGATGATCTGGGATGCGCAGCTGATTGAGCTGGGCGCAGTGCTGAAGGACACCGTGAGCCCGCTTGATGCCGCGCCGGTGAATGGTCTCGCTGCTCGGAGTCTGGCCCCGTCGGGTCCGGTGGGTAATGTTGATTTATTCGGGAATGAGACTTGGCAGGAGCGGATTCAGAAGTGGATGTGGAGTGGTGATGATCGGAATGTGAAGAATGTGTGGGTTCAGGGAGCGCTGGTGCATACCAGGGAGTAGAGTTCTCAATTCGCCTTGATTTTGATATCAGAGACCTGTATACAGTGTGATGTCGTAACGTAGCATGGTCTCCGTTGCAACTTGAATCGGTCAAGCGTGGAAATGAGTGGCATGGATTGCTGTGACATCAAGATTACGGAGCTGTTCCGATCCTACCAGTGTGTTACGAAATAAGCATCGAAGAGGTAAAAGTGATCCTATTGCTATGTAGTAGCTACGTATGTTAACTTGCAAGCTTAGTCAAGCTTAGGGAAGAGCTTAGGTATTCCTCTGTACCAACTCGCCCACAACAGAAAGACGCTGCCGCCCTCCGTAGCGAAGGGGTGTGAGGCTTCACCATAACATGCAGTCCTTCAGAAGCTGCCATTAATTGCTGGATCGTAGAGGTCGGCTGAGGGCGTCTCTGGCGGAGCGCGGAGTTCGTCACGGATCTGTTGAACCAGGGGCTTAAGTTCGGCATCCGTCATTGTTTGCAGACTTCTGTCGATAAGTAGCAGGCCCTCAGTTAAGGCGATGGCGTCTCTGATTCTGTCGTGGTCAACGAGGGATCCGTGAAGAGCGCGGAGCACGCGCGGATCGCCCTCTGTCAGACGAGCGCGGAAGTCGATGAGACCGGCATGGCCGAGACGCGTGATGTGGAATAAGGAGGGGTCTCTGGATACAACCTGATGCAGGTTCTCCACTGAGAACAACAGAGCGATGATCGGGCCGACGGCCTGGGGCTCACGTCCGCCTGCCAGGGAGGCGATACGGATAAGTAAGGGTGTGGACTCCGTAGAACCGGAGCGTGGGCGGTCGAGCTTGACATAGGCCCAGGATGGCAATGTCTTGTCTGCCATGAGGTTCTTCTTGGCGTTCCAATGGGGGCTCTATTCGTTGAGGAGAACTGGTATTTAGAGGAAATAGATGATTCTGTGGACAATTTGATGCGCTGCTGAACCGATGATTGGCTAGCCTTACGCCCTACCGTAGGGTGGAAGGCTCCATAGTGGGCCTGTCTTATTGTGAGACCTGACAGGTTCCTTTATGTGAAATAATATTTGCCAATGCGAGTGGGGGAACTTTGGGGGAAACGCTCTTTAGGCGGCAGCATGTCCGTAACTTCGCATGCTTGACCTGAGGTTTGTCACTGGTTCTGTACGAAGACTTTTGGTTCCCCACACTCGATTAGGAACATGCAGGGTTCATGTTTTGGGTGCTGGGTGTTGTGCATCCGCTTGTCTGGGTCCATATTGTACCTCTCGTGACGTTGTCCGCGGTCGTCGGGAAATTGGACCCGAGCCAGTGCAATTACACAATTCCTCCATACATTTATAAATGACGAGAGCGAGCCCCAGTGAACATGTCAACGCTAAGTATATCCGTGCAATCAATTATGTCTACCCACAAAAGATCTCTCCTCAAGGCCGAGCCCTACTACAACTCGGAGCTCGGTTCCCTCCGCGCAGTGACAGCAGACCAGCTGCCGGTACTCAAGAACCTGTCCATCAACCGATTGACTCTCACGTCCTCCGCCATTCGCGAGCCGCATTGGCTCACCAATGCCAACGAATTAGCCTACTGCCTTCGCGGGAGCGTCCTAGTCAACATTCTCGACACCGGAGATGTGTTTGCGACCTTTGTCGTGGAAGCCGGCCAAATGTTCCACATCGAGTCCGGCTCCCTACACCATATCGAGAATATCAGCAACGATGAAGCTGAGATCATCATATGCTTTCGACATGAGCAGCCCACGGACTTCGCCTTGTCCGCATCGATGGGCGCCATGACGGACGCCGTGCTGGGCAACATATATGACCACCACGCCGCCAATTGGGCCCAAATCAGCCGGACCACGCAGCCGAAGTATATCATTCCACTCAAGGGACCGCCCGCGATTCCATCGACCGCGTTCTACCCCGATCCCCACAAATTCGACATCGAAGGGACGATTCCCCCCGTGGTATCGGATGTCGGATCAAACCGTACCGCTCGCAACCAGTTCTGGTCCGCCCTAACCAATATGTCGATGTACTCCCTCCGCGTCGAAGACACGGGGATGCGCGAAGCACACTGGCACCCGCAAACCTCGGAATTGGGCTACGTGGCCGCGGGCTCGGCGCGAATGACGATCATGGACCCGGACGGATCGACGGACACGTACCTGTTGCAGCAAGGCGATATGTACTACGTACCAACCGCATCTCCGCATCAGATTGAGGTGCTGGGGTCTGACCGGATACACTTTTTGATCTTTTTCGATCAGCCGAATCCGAAGGATGTCGGGTACCGAACGTCGGCTATGGCGATGTCGCGAGGGACCATGGCGTCGACGTTACGAGTTGAGGAGAAGGATTTGCCCTGGTTTCCGTTTACTGTTAAGGATCCGATGATTGTGATGAAGAGAAATCCGGTTGATGAGGTGAAATCGAAGCTGTAGAGCACTATTTGGGCTTGTATACAGATTTGGACGGTTCGGAATGTGATGCATTGTCGAATCTACCCTACCATCCAGACGTATCTTGACCACTATATCAGCCCGAAAACCCAGCAATACTACTCGCATTACACAAACTTCACTGGGCGTGGATTTCCCGATGTGGCTGCCCATAGCTTTTACCCCTAGTAAGTCCCTTTTGCTGTTGAGATTTCCTAAATATTTCCCCTTTTTTCTTACCTATCGACAGCATCGAAGTCGTCAAGGGCGGCGAAAAGGCCCTTTCGGGAGGCACCTCCGCCGCGGCGCCTATCTTCGCCGGTATCATCTCTCTGCTGAATGATGCCCGCCTACGCGCCGGCAAGCCAGTTCTTGGATTCCTTAGCCCCTTTTTCTACTCGCAGGGATATAAGGCGCTGAATGATAAGGTCGCCGCCGGCTCCTATGGGTGCGATGGTTCTGTTGACGGCGGCCTGGTCATTCCGTATGCCCACTGGAACGCTACCCGTGGCTGGGACCCCGTTACTGGACTGGGTACGCCCGATTTCCAGAAATTGAAGGCTATGGTCATGTCGATCTAGATGTAGGACCATTGAATAGATAAGCTTAAATTAATGATAATTGTTAATTCTTGTTTGTGGATTTTCTGATACACTCTCTGTTTTGAAAATTTCTCGAGTAGAGCAGGTGAGTCGGTCATATGGAGGCACTCAATGTGGCCCATAAGGCGTATTCCTCTTTAAATTTGCTGCTACATTTTGCCAATATTTAGACTACATACTGTGGATAATTTTATCGAGGTTCAGTCGTTTACTCAACTATTCTGTTAGTTTTAAGACTACGGCGACATTCAGGTAGACGCCTTGTGATTTCAATTCAAGAGCCAACGACATCGACTGCCTTCTTTAAGTCAACCTACCGGCGACTCTGCTACCCCGCTCCGGAGAGGTGGTATACCTTGGTATATTATGTGTCGACTATACGGCGAAGCACCACCGATACACCTCTACTAGAGTATCTTTTCAGGTCTAGTAAGAACCTCGGATTCAATGGCCCTGGTGCGAAACATTACTGTCTCCACCCCCTTCTACGTCGTTTAGTTTGCGGCCAATCTCTCCATTACAGCGTCCAGAAGTCCGGTGGCATTCAAGGCAGTGCTTCTCGCCTGGTGTGACAGGGGTGTGGCTTATCCTGCCTTCAGTGTTTCAAACTTTTGCACTGCCACTGTACTCGATATCGATGCTTATCATAGCCCATGCTCAGCCCCGCTTTGGACATCAAAGCAGCTGTGCCCCTGCCCGATGAGGCTGAATACCAGCTCTGAAATAGAAGCTACATCAACGGCTGAATCGCCTGTATTCTCAGACTTAAAAATTATCGATCACGATGGCTGAGCCACTCTCAATCGCATCAGGGATTGCCGGGCTGCTTTCGCTTGGTATTCAGGTCACCCAATCTTTGGTCAGCTTTTACACTACATATAAGGACCAAGACAGCGATCTGGCAAAGGTTACGCAGAATCTCGATAACCTTCAGAGCATCTTTCGAGTCCTTCTTGTTGCAGTAGAGGAACGCCGATCGCAGGTCGACACGCAAGATCTACTCCGAGAAGTCGAGAAGGCGGTACAGAAATGCGAGGAAATCATCGCCGACCTGCAGAGCGAGTGTGATAAATTCCACAAAGACTCGGCCGCTAGTTTAAAGGATCGCGTTAAGACTGCTGGGCGTCGCGCGGCCTATCCATTTCGGAAAAGTACCCTGCAGAAACTTGAAGAGGATGTCAGCGACATACGTGAAAACCTATCATTCGCACTTGACGTCCTGCAGCTTAAAAGTCAGAGTCAAATCCAAGCTAGCATATCGGACGTCAAATCACTTGTTGAGCGAACAAATGCTAGTCAAGTCTCACTCACGATTCGTTACTGGCTCATGGCACCGGATGCATCTCTCAACCACAACACAATGTGCGCGAAATGCCATCCAAGCACAGGTTTATGGTTCGTCAACGGCCATCAATTCCGGACTTGGCTAGAGGAACACAATTCCTTCCTATGGCTGAATGGGTTCGCAGGGTGTGGCAAGTCGGTCCTCTGCTCAACCGCAATTCAGTATACGTTTCGTGAGATGCGGCATAAACATGGAGTAGGAATCGCGTTTTTCTACTTTTCCTTTAGCGACGAGACAAAACAAGATGATAACGGCATGCTACGCACATTGCTATTACAGCTATCGGTACAGCTACCTGACGGCGAGAGAGATCTAGAGCAACTACATGCATTGTACAAATCCGGTTCTCCCCCAGTCGATGTGCTGCTGGACTCACTACGACGCTTCCTTGGACGACTCCGCGATACTTATATTCTACTCGATGCGCTAGATGAGAGCCCCCGAGACAGCAAAAGGGAAGGTGTCTTAAGAGCGATACAACTGATACGCAGTTGGTCAATACCTGGTGTCCATCTTTTAGTGACGAGTCGCAATGAGCTCGATATACGGGAATCTTTAGATCCTTCTCGTGACCAAAGCCTTGGGCTTAGAAATTCGGAAGTCGATGGAGACATAGCAAACTTTGTCTCTTATCAGCTCAAGAACGACGCGAAACTCCGAAAGTGGACAGCTCGCCACGACGAGATCCAGGCAAAACTAACAACAGGTGCACAAGGAGTGTAGGTGTTCGACAACGAAAAGCTAGTATCCATTATATTGACTAAGATGATATACAGATTCAGATATGTTGAATGCCAGTTTAACGCCCTTCGGCGGGCGCGGAACCGGAACCAGCTCGATGAATGCCTGCGCACGTTACCCCGTGATCTAGACGAAACGTACGAGCGCATCTTGTGCAGTATTGCAGATGAATATGTTGAGGATGTGCGGCGAGTTTTGACTCTGCTGTGCTTCTCCACCCGACCGCTCACGGTCACTGAGCTGATCGACGCTCACGCTGTTGATCTAAATGAGCCACCGCAGCTTGATCGTGACGGTCGTTCGTACGAGCAAGATGATCTTGTCGACATTTGCCTCGGTCTTATCGAGATCGCGGCCACGGAAGACGAGAATGGGCAAACGACCTTGACTGCTCGCATAGCGCATTTCTCTGTCCAGGAGTATCTTCAGTCAGATCGCATTTTACAACAAAGCTCAAGAATATTCGCTTTACGAAGTGCGCCCGCGAATACGGAAATAGCCCAGATATGCCTGGTCTACCTCTTGGAGCAACCTCTCTCTACCGGAACGTTGGATGAGGCAAAGCTTACAGCTTTCCCATTTGCTCATTTCGCGGCCCTGCATTGGTTTCATCATTATGAAGATTCCAAGGAAGGGAAGGCCGCAATCGAACAACTAGTATCGAAGCTTTTCAAAGAGGAGACGGCTTTTGTGACATGGATAAAGCTCCATGACATAGACTGTCCGTGGGACTTAGATGTGAACTATATCCGTCCTATTCCAGATATGGCATTGCCTCTGTACTACGCAGCATTGTTGGGATTAGAATCCGTCATGCACAGTGTCTTACCAGTTAAAACAAGGGATGCTGACGCATCAGACGCAGTGAATGCTCAAGGCGGGCGGCTCGGCAATGCCCTGCAGGCCGCATCGTCCGGAGGCCACCAGAGGGTAGTGCAGAGGCTACTAGATCAAGGTGCCGACGTCAACGCCCAAGGTGGAATGTATAACAATGCACTCCAGGCCGCATCGTTCAAAGGCCACGAGAGGGTAGTGCAGAGGCTACTAGATCAAGGTGCCGACGTCAACGCCCAAGGTGGATGGTATGGCAATGCAATCCAGGCTGCATCATCCGAAGGCCACGAGAGAGTAGTGCAGATGCTGTTGGATCGAGGTGCCGATATCAACGCTAAAGGTGGAGCGTACAACAATGCACTCCAGGCCGCATCGTTCAAAGGCCACCAGGGGGTAGTGCAGAGGCTACTAGATCAAGGTGCCGACGTCAACGCCCAAGGTGGAGCGTATAGTAATGCACTCCAGGCCGCATCGTCCGGAGGCCACCAGAGGGTAGTGCAGAGGCTACTAGATCAAGGTGCCGACGTCAACGCCCAAGGTGGAGCGTATAGTAATGCACTCCAGGCCGCATCGTCCGGAGGCCACCAGAGGGTAGTGCAGAGGCTACTAGATCAAGGTGCCGACGTCAACGCCCAAGGTGGAATGTATAACAATGCACTCCAGGCCGCATCGTCCGAAGGCCACGAGAGGGTAGTGCAGATGCTGTTGGATCGAGGTGCCGACGTCAACGCTAAAGGTGGAAGGTATGGCAATGCACTCCAGGCCGCATCGTCCGGAGGCCACCAGGGGGTAGTGCAGATACTATTGGATCGAGGTGCCGATATCAACGCTAAAGGTGGAAGGTATGGCAATGTACTCCAGGCCGCATCGTCCGAAGGCCACGAGAGGGTAGTGCAGATACTATTGGATCGAGGTGCCGATATTAACGCCCAAGGTGGAAGGTATGGCAATGCACTCCAGGCCGCATCGTCCGGAGGCCACCAGGGGGTAGTGCAGAGGCTACTAGATCAAGGTGCCGACGTCAACGCCCTAGGTGGAGTGTATAGTAATGCACTCCAGGCCGCATCGTTCGGAGGCCACGAGAGGGTAGTGCAGATACTATTAGATCGAGGTGCCGACATCAACGCCCTAGGTGGAATGCATGGTAATGCACTCCAGGCCGCATCATCCGGAGGCCACGAGAGAGTAGTGCAGATGCTATTGGATCGAGGTGCCGACATCAACGCCCAAGGTGGAAGGTATGGCAATGCACTCCAGGCCGCATCTTCGAGAGGCCATGAAAAGGTAGTGCAGATGCTAGTGGACAGAGGAGCCGGCCCAGATGTCAGAGATTCTACACATGGGTACACACCACTGTCACTGGCAGCTATGAACGGGCACCATGGTATCGCAAAGCTCTTGCTCAGTATCGAGAAAGTTAGGGCAGATGTGAAAGATAATTGTGGTCGGGCGCCATTGTTCTTTGCAGCCTTATACGGACATGACACTGTTGTCAACGCAATTCTGATCGATGATGCTGTTGATCCGGACCAGAAAGATCATTATGGCTCAACGCCACTATCGATAGCTGTACGACACGGTCATATGGAGGTCGTAAAGGTATTACTGGCTACGGGTAATGTTACTTGTGACTCTTACGATTGTTTTGGGCGCTCTGTGTTCTGGTGGGCTAAAAGGAGTGGGAACACGGACATTGAGAAAATATTGGATGACTATTCCAGCAAGCGAGGGGTACCAATGTATGGTGATGAATATGTTGATGTGCGGTCAATACCCAGTGGAGATACATCAAGATGGTGTGATGCCTGTACCCTGGATATTCCTGAGGGCAACATCTACTATCTATGTGGAATTTGCAACGGAGGGGATCTGGATATTTGTATGGAGTGCTATGAACTTGAGGGACGTTGTTTGCAAGACGGTCATGACATGACTCAGATGAAGGGTGATTAGGGTTTAAATCAGACATGTGTCTCCTTTCAGAAAGTATTTGTCAGAGCAATAAATGACGGTATAGACTGAGAACGTTGCCTATAGTGCATTTTTGGTCTAGTTGTTGTTTTACCTAGGATTTGGCCCTCCTTTATCTTGACAGGATTCTTGGCACTATGCTGGAAGCTTCATATATTGGGTTTCAATGTGGCACTGAAGGAATACTTCCGTCCCAGTTCGATGTTGCAAGGGCCCCAAGAATTATTCGGCGCAGCCCGGATTGAGAATGCCAGGGTTCGAATGTTGGTGGTAACCGATTGAAGTATTTCTTAAAAATTGATTTATGAATGGAGGAGACAAAGACCATGTACAATGCAATCCCATCATATATCATGAAACTAGAAGGCCGGAGACGAGACCTCTGCAAATGCTGCATGCGAGATGAAAAAAGAATATCAGAGACAATGTTCAAGACCACAGAGTCGAGAACTTTCAAACAACACAATGTCAAGAACCCCAATCCGAACAAAACAACGCCGTGGCTTCACCAAAATCCAACCAATTATCATCAGATGTCATATCAACGTAAAATAAATTATAAAACCTCGGCAATGACATTCCCCAAGGTACTCACACACCACACCACAATCAAACCCCACCCAATCCTGCGATCCATGCGCCAGTTGTTCAATGGAACCACGATCAGAAGACCCACAAGAACAACTAGGAGAGTGGCGCCGCTGATGACTAGCACCTTGGAAATGGCGACCTCGTAGGGGACCCGAGCTATCTCGTCATGCTTCCGGGATGACTTGCCTCCTTTCATAGTCATGTACAGACCACCGAGACCGATGCCGAGGAGGATGTTGAGCATGGGGCCACCGAAACATGCACTGAGAGCCATCACAGGGTATCCGAGTCGGGCGACCGTAATGTCGGCGACGAGGTCGCCCAGCGAGTTGCCGACAGCGAAGATAGTCAGTCCCAACAGTGAGTCGGAGATATTGAGGATTACGCCGATGGTCTTCAGCACGGAGACAACTTCGGTTGCGATTGTTGCAATCCAAGAGATTGAGACCAAAAAGCCAAGGAGGGAAAGGAAGGGCCGCCATGCAGACGAAAGACCCTTGGGAGAAAGTATTTCTGATGCCTCGTGGGGGTGGAAGTAAGACTGATCAGTAGGGCCCTCTCGGTGCCATGGCCATCGGCGAGTAGTCGTGATAAGCGCACTAAGGCACAGGAATGAGAAGAGGAGAGACACTAGAGAGGGCAGAAACAGGTTTCTAGGATTCAGGTTTGCGTCTGCAGCACTCCAGGCGATGAGAGTGACAAAGAATGGCCCCGTGAAAAGCTGGATCGCAATGAGCCAACGATTGCAATCCTTGACTGGCATAGGAACCGCTGCGGGAGCTGGGAGTGGCACGGCTGGCAGCTCGGAATCCCAGCGTGGACGAGTAACACGTTCCTGGTGTGTGGACTTGCGGCGGGAGTGTGAATACGCGGAAGGTACACGAGGCATAGACTCATTGTGATCATGCCCATCAGGGTGAAGGGTTGGACTGTCTGCTGGTAATCTTATCCTCGAGGCTGGGTAATCGTTGTCGCCCACTTGCTCAATGATGACGGGCACTGGATCTGGCTCCGCAAATTCGGGCGCCTGGGGTTCGATGACGGGAATGGTGATTGTGAGCAGGAACACGCTGGGCGCCGCGATTATCCCCAGTAGGCGCGCTGTTATACCCTTGGACTTCCAGCCAGCCAAGGTGGGGAAAAGTGTACAACCAATCTGAGAGGCAGCAGGGAGTGAATCTGGCCACCACTTCACCAAAGAGCTTTGGAAAGAGGAGTTTTCATTTGCCATGCCGTTATGGCCGTCCTGGATCAGGAGCTGCTCTGACGGGCTCGCCACTGGGTTGGGCAGACGGATACTGGGTGCCCCAGAGGATTGAGCGGAAGGTATATGGATAAAGGTGGGGAACGGCGCAGCTGGGCTTTCCGGACTAGGTCCAGAATGGTAGCTATCAGTGGCCCCTCGGGGGGAAACGAGGAGCGGCGATCGATCATGTGTTGCCGATGTTTGATAGTTTGGCGAGCGGAAAGCTCCAGGGGGAGCTAACAAGTCTGGTGTTTGGGGAACGCTCGGGCCAATAGTTGGGCTTGCATTCGGCGATGGATACTCCGATGATGATGGAGAGGCAGTCAGCAGCGCATTGGTATCGATTCGAGGGAGTTGGGGAGTCTGCATCCCTCCCGGACTTCCTGCACGCTCATTGGAGGGCCGTCTGACAGTAAGGCGAGGAGCTTGATCGTGCTCTGATCGAAGATCAAAAACACTGGTGTCAATTTTCAATCCATCAGCATAATTTGCCGACACAGCTCGTGCTCGAGAGCCTTCTCCACCGAGGGGTGACAGGCGATCGTTGACAGTAGTGGGTCTGCTAGCACGAGGGTGGGATGCAATGGAACGGGTATCGAATGGCTGAGACGAATCGTCACCATCGTCAGAGTAACTACTAAAGCTGATCGTCGGTTTATGCCGGGTAGTCCTCGACCTCTGAAGTGACTGCAGCACTGACTGGAATTCCAGTGCACCGACCAGACTCGGACGAATCGGATTCATGGTGTTTCGCCTTGACCGGTTTGGAGGCCGGAAGACATGCATATTGTCACGAATCTCGGCCAAATACCGATTGCGCGCCTCGTCGTCTTCGTCATCTTCTTCCTTCCAAATGGGGATCCCTTCCGCCCGTTCCAGAAGGTCAAAATCGTCTGTCGATGCTCCACGGAGAAGGCTTCGGGATTCCGAGGCCACACCGGGATCATCATCCTCGATTGGCTGCTCGACCTCCAGCTCCTGGTTGTCTGGGATGTGAAAGTGGGTTCGGGCAACTAGGTCTCTTTCGTACTCCCGGCGGCGTCGAACCAGATACCAGTGCCAGCTAACTACCATCACAACGTAAAAAGCATACAAGCCAACCATGGCAGCTGATTCCCAAACGTGAAGGCGGCCATCAGCCAACAAGAACATGCTGAAGCTGACGGCGATCACAAAATACCCAACATCACGGACAAAGCTCCGCCGCGCGACTTTGAACGGCCGGACCAAAGCCATAGAGCCAGCCACCACAGTGGTGATGAAGCTGGCCGCTCCGATCAACTCTCCAATCGCCAAGCTACCACTGTTCGACCGCATAGCGGCGAATGTCGAGAAGACATCAGGACTCCCGTTGCCGAAGGCGAGGAACGTGACGCCTGTTAGACTTTCGCTCAACCCGAGAATACTCGCCAGTGTACTCAAATCGATGCATAGAAAGTCGCTGGCCGCGATACCGATAGTGCTGAAAAGTAGCGACAGCCAGACAAGTATGATAATGAACGCTAATGGTTTGGCATTGGCAAGGGCGCAGTAGTAGAGCTGTAGGTAAGAGAGGAGGCCATCCTGGTGATCAGGGCAATTCTCGCGGACATAGGCGCACTGATCCTTCACATCACGAACCAGGCGGCACTATAGTAGGGTCACACAATCCACCGTTTAGCTTTGTATACCACGTCATGAGGGTCGAGGGGGCATACCTCTGGTTCGTCGGCCCGTCGCAGGAGAGACACACCCGCTGCTGTACGCTCATGTACCTGTCCATTTCCAGACCTCGTCAGGGTCCAACTAACGGCTGCAAGGGTCGTGAACACAAGAAGTGTTGCGCAGAACGGCCGGACGGAGTATCGAGGGCCATTGCGGATGGCGGGCTGCAGGAGGGGTGGTAACCGGTTCATGGTAGAATACAAGCCAGCGGCATATTGGAACCAGGACGTGTCAAGGGGACCTACGCACGACTGAGTATTTCAAGCGAGTCAAGAAGAATAAGTCAAGAAACAGATTGCCTCTCCATTGAGCTGCTGTTGGCTTGGCCCTACCAATGCGGTGAGTTCGGTGATGTCAGCCTAGCAGGAGCGGCAAGAAGTGGGCAGTGCACTATTCTCCGACGCGCATGCTCGGTGGATCCCCCGTACACTGAAAAGGAAGATAGGAGAGGAATGTACAAAATAGAAGACTCAAAATGTGGACAAGAATACAGGATGAAGGAAACTGGGATTTATTTGACGCTGCCTAGACGAGCCAAACGCCGAAACCTGGAGGGATGGGTGCCTGATAAACCAGGCCGAAGATTGGTAATGCACGTGACACTCTGCTTTATCGGTCGCTGCGCCCCACCGTATGTTTGTTGACTTCCTCATTTGTTTGGGCCGCCCCTCCTGCGCCTGCAACCACCATATCGAACACACGTCTCGACTACAGCGCATCCTGCTCTCCCCTATCGGGGGCAACCGCAACCATGCCTCGTGTAGCGAACAAAGCCCACCGCCGCTCGGGCGGAGCGTCCACTCCGCAGAAGCACGCGCCCATCAAGTACGTTAGCCACCAATTTTACCAGGCAACGGGGGTCCCGGAAAGCTAACCGGTCATCAGAATTCCCCTGAACGATGATATGGGGGAGAAAGCAGCGCGCATGGAGGCCCGGCAAGCGCTCCATGACCACCAGATGAACCAGATCAAAGCCGCAGTCAAGACACCAATGCCCGCCCGTCGATATCGCGAAGGAAGCGACAGCCCCTCAACCCCCCGAGGATCCACCCATCGCGGTCGCGAAAGCGATGTCAGTGGCCGTGGCGTGACGCCAATGAAGCGCGTACCTATCCTGGCAAACTTTGAGGAATGGATGAAGATGGCTACCGATAACAAGATCAACGCAAACAACTCCTGGAACTTTGCCCTGATCGATTACTTCCACGACATGTCGCTCTTGAAGGAAGGAGACGGCGTCAACTTCCAGAAGGCTAGTTGCACACTCGATGGATGTGTGAAGATCTATACCAGCCGTGTGGACAGTGTCGCAACCGAGACAGGAAAGCTCCTGAGTGGTTTGGCTGACAGTCGCGACAAGCGCGCGCGCGATGCTGACGTCGAGGGAGAGGATGGCGATGAGGATGAGGATGGAGAAGAGGGCGGTGCGCGCAAATCGCGCAAAAAGGTATGGCATGCTCCAGGACAGAACGCCAAACCTTCGATTAACTCGAGATTTTTTTTTAATTAGACACGCTCTCATGAGGCTACCCTCGCCCCGTCCTTTAACTCATTACAACTGAAGAAGTTCGAGCTGGAATTCGCGGTTGACCCGCTGTTTAAGAAGGCCTCCGCCGACTTTGACGAGGGTGGAGCCAAGGGTCTGCTCCTCAATCACCTCGCTATCGATGGACATGGAAGAATCGTGTTTGATAGCAGTGATGACGCTGTTGATGATAGCTCAAAGACAGCTGATGGTGATGGTGAGCATCAGGAGTCTGCGGGGCCTGAATCTCAGGCCGAGGAACAGTTGAAACCCACCCAGCAGGCTAGTGATGCCTTTGATGACGATTCTGACATTGATCTCACGACCCTCGCGAGTCAGTTCTTCCCTGACCTTGATCGTCTTGGCGAACAAGACATCTGCCCATCACTGAAGAATTTCGATCTCGGCGACCCCAGTGGAAACCTGGATATTCCTCTCCTCAAAGCCCCCGAGGACTGGAGGCACGACAAGGTCAACGAGGGCGGAGAAGAAGATCCGTCGGGTATCATGCTTGATGATGATAATGCTGTCGGCTTCGACGACGACGATGCTACCTTGGGCGGCTTTGACCTGAGCGGCGATACCGGCTTTGGTGATGGTGGAGAAGCCTGGGCAAGAGAAGCTGCCCTGGAGCCGATGCTCAAGGTTCACCGACTTAGCCACGATGGCCAAGACGCCGATGGCGATGAAGCGATGGATGACGAGGATGCATACGGTATCTCTATGTCTCATCAGCCAAGCAAGCAAGACCACGAAAACATTCTGAGCTACTTCGACAATGCGCTCCAGAAGAACTGGGCCGGTCCAGAACACTGGAAGATCCGGAGGATCAAAGATACCACCGCCGCAAAGGACCCGAGCTCAGCACCGAAGCAGCGCAAAGAGAAAGAGCCTTTCGAGATCGATTTCTCCGCGCCACTCGACCCTGCCATTGCCGATTTGATCTACACCCCTGCCAGTTCCAATTCTGCAATCTCCATTCCCAAGACGCAATGGAAGACCAAGGGGCGCAATCTGTTGCCCGATGACAAGCATTTCAACTCGAAGAACTTACTTCGTCTGTTCCTCAAGCCCAAGGCCCGCATGGGATCCAGGAAAATCATGGGCAGACGAACGCAAAATGGCCGGCCTGATCAGATCTCTGGCCATGGCGATATGGACGAGGCATTTTGGGCAAATCACAAGACGGAAGATACCACCGGTGATGAAGAGGGCGTTGGAGGTGCCTATGACGCTAATTTCTTTGCCGACGATGATGGGCTTGCTTTCCCGAATGGCATGGACCTTGATGATGACGACGACAACCTGCCATTCGCTGACGCCCGAGAGATGCTGTCCCCGCCCACGGATGGTCGTCCAGGAACAGCTGCTGGAAATGCTACCGGCATAACCGCGTTGCTCAATATGGTTGGCGCCACACCAGGCCGTCCCGGTGCTGGCGGATACGGATCACAGCTTGTGACGCAAGGCGGACGCCGTGCACGACCGGACTATGTCAATTACGCTCGAGTGGCAAAGAAGGTAGATGTGCGAAGACTCAAGGTCGAGATGTGGAAAGGCATGGGCGAGCGGCTGGTCCCTGCCACTGACTTCAGCTCTGCTTCACAACCTGGAGCAGTCTCAGGCGAGGCCCCTACTGAGCCTGAGAGTGAATCCGATGAGCCAGTCCCACCCACTCCCCAGCAGAGTAGCCCAGAACGGCCCTCAGATCCCAAGCAGGATGGCCGGTTGCGCTTCACGCAGATCATGAACAGCCTCAAGACCGTCTACCCAGCGGAGATGCTGCGTGATATCAGCACATCATTCGGCTTCATTTGTCTACTCCACCTAGCGAACGAGCAGGGTCTCGTTCTGGAGAGCGACATGGACCAGATCAACAACGGTGCTATTAGCCTGGAGGAGATCTTTGTCAGTCGCGATTCCCACGCCGTCCTGGAAGATGGTGGGATGTGAGCTGTGGGATACTAGTTAGTACTCTATTTGCATGTACAGTCTTCTGTCTGGATTAGATCTTTCTGCGACGCCATGTTGGACACGAATGATGGGACAGAACGGGGAAATTTGGTTGATCCTCGTGGAGTTTGGTGGTACTCGGTTTTTCTTTGCAGAGTGGCGTCTAGGGCTTTTTCTAAACGGTCGTCTTTGATCATAAATGCCGACTATTTTGCATTTGTTCTAGTCTCTTCTTCGTGTAAACACCCCCTGCCAGTGGCCCTACGGGTGTCTTGAGTATGTTGCCGTACTAGCTACTCCCAGACACCCACTGTAAGTATAGTTGAAATGCAGTTATTTCCATGCTACATGGGCTGACTGACTCCAGAAGGCTCAAGCGACTGAGTATTTAGGTGGGTCGTCCAGTGGATTCAGTACATTCATGTCGAATTCCTCCCAATGGGGGCGGCGATTACGTGGCCAACAGTTGAAACGCCGCGACGGGCGTAAACTACAGTAGCATATAATCATATTATGCATTCATTTCCATTAAGCTTGTAGAAAGACTCTAGCGAACCCTTTAAGAATACCAGTGCTAGCATAGCAGCCTTACCGGCGGAAATACTGCTTCAGGTCCTCCGCCATCTCACGGCCGCCGAAGACCGACTCAGCCTAACCAGATGCTACTCGCGCCTGCATGCTATCATTGTGTCTCTTGAAGCCTGCCACGGCTTCTCCCCGCAAATCTAGGTCATTGGTTATGTGTCCTTCGAAAGCATAAGCATATTTAAACTATTTACAGCTTACCCTAAAGACCTTGTAATAAATCTTTGATTCGTAGGGAATCATGGTTCAAACCCTCTGAAAAAAGATAGTACCGTGTAAGTCTCGGTGCGTCCCCCAGGTTCGACATATCGAGTTTCAGTGGGATAATGGCGTTCCGGTCAGACTTACCTGTATACAAAATATTGCGAAGTCCACCAGTGAGAAAAATAGTGATCTCCAGTGTGGATCCTGGCATGAACTTTTATCCACCAAGATGAATCGTTGCTATAGTATATCGCAGTTTGTGATGGATGGTCGCCGTTCCAGACATGAAATGACTTGAATTCGACACATGAAATTAATGCCGGGAGCTGTGGAACATGGCGTTGTTTTGCAAGTCTATAACTATACTATTGGTAACGAAAAGTGGGAGTCGGTCAAACCCATGTCGACGAGAGGAAACGAGAAGCGAGGTTTGCTATATATGAATCAGGCGATAACGTAGTTAAGAAATTATGTACGGAGTATATCGAGCGAAGAAGCCGGATGAGCGGAGAGAAAAGGAGCGTATGAGGCCACAAGAAGCCATCCCATTCATTGCGGGGAGGAAAAGAAACCAGCAATGGTTACGATCACCCAGTGCTCTTAGGCGCAATATACGGCACAACAAATGACATCTGGACGGTGAAAATCACTCGCAAAAGCGAAAAAAAAAGAATGTAGATTCACAATTCCTCCAATAGGTATAAGGTATCTGTACTATGCCAAAACTCCAACACGCCCGCTGTACACATCAAGCACCCCGTCCGGGTCTCATCTGAGTCCAACGGGGAGATTATTAGTTCAGAATCAAACATCCCCGGCAGACTGTATGTCCACGTTTTCATCTGACAGTCGTCACGTAACGTCACATATTTTCAGGGTTTTCAAATTTTTTTAAATGTTTTTTGGCATGGGTTTTCGGGGCATCAGATGGAAATCTGAAGCTCGGCATGCCCAAACACCAGTCCCATCTGTTCGCGCGGTAGGCCGGCTACTTGTGCACTGCAGCCGGGAACGCTGGCATCGCGGGGCTCGTGTATGCGCCCGGGATAGGCACAGCACCGTAGTTCTCCTCGCCCGGTGCTGCGGCCATATGCTGCGGCTCGTTTCGTGGCGGTGAGGGAGACCTGGGCGCCGGGGGCGCGGCGAATCCCTCCTGCGGCGCACGCGGCGTAGCCTGCTGGACGCGGATGGGCGGAGGCTGGAGCTGGAACGAGGACGTGGGGCGGGTTGGGGAACGCGGCGAGGCATACTGCGTCGTCGTTGGCTCGGCCTGGCCCTTCTCTGCGGCGGAGTACGGGTCGACGTGGACGCCGTACGGCGACTTGGGCGGGTAGCTGGAAAAGCCTGGGAAGCCGGGGGTGTTCGGGGCAGACTGCAGGCGCAGCTGGGCGAGATACAGGTCTGAGCGGGCCTTGTCGCGAGTGTCCATGGATTTCATAAGGCGGCGTTTCGTCCAGATGCGGTAGGCGACGACGGCGTAGATGAGGAGGACAAGGAGTTCGATGACGACTTCGATGATGGCGCAGACGAGGCCCCAGTCCTGGATGGTGTTAGATCTTTGTATATGCGGAGAGGGAGAACTTTGGAGGAGGCAATACGAACCTGAAGACGGCATAGAAGGGCGTAATCAACCGTATTGGAATAGATCTCCTCGCGCGTGTTCTGCGCGCAGGACCATCCCCACATGTCCTTGCTGTTGCCAGAAGACTTCGAGTGCTGGTAAATGGCCGCACCGACAATCCACATTACCAAGCTGAAGATAAAGAAACAGATCGAGAACGTGGAATAGTAGACCGCGGTCTTTTCTGCTCGACGGTGCCCGCCTTTCCAGTAGCCCCAAAACACAATCACACATGCGAATAGCGAGAGACAAGCCATTCCCAGCAACATATACTGTGCCCATGGATTGGTGCCCTCTGCCCAGGCGGGCAGACTATTGCGTTGTGCGATGGTCCTGGTTGCGTTGAAGACGGTCAGAGTCACCGCTAGCAGGGACAGCACGATCAGACTGCATGAGAAGTTGACACCGCGGAGGAAGATCTTCGCAATACGGACACGGAGTTTGATTCGCTATATCAATATGAGCACGGTGTATGCAATCAATGGTGATTAGAACCGGGGGCTTCCTTACCAAGTCACGAGCATTCTCCTTCTCCGCATGCTTCTCCTGCTTCTCCAGCATATACTCCTCGCGGAAAGTTGGACTGAGGGGGTTCAACGACTTCGCTGTATTGGGCACCTTTAATCCGCTCCTCAGCGGCGAGGCGAGAGCCGGCGTTATCGGCGGCCGCGAGTCGTCGGCATGCTGCGCAGGATCGCTGGCAGCAACATAGCCGAATCCAAGATCACCAACACCGCCTGACTGGTCCCGCAGGGGATCAGCGAAGGGAGAGCGGCTCGACGGTTCGACTGGCGAGTGCACTGTTGTGGCCTCGGCGAATCGAGCTGTGCGAGGGCTCTTCAGCGAGGCGCCGCTGCTCTCGGAGGAGCTGCGAGGCTGCTGTGTTGGATGCGGCGGCTGCTGCGGGAGATCACCCATTCCGCTGTGGTAGGAGGCTCTGGTTAGATCGAGAGGAATGACGGGCTGGTCTGTTCGAGGGGAGTCGCTGGCGTTCGACATTGAAACGACGAGCGTGCGCGAAATAAGACGGTGCGGTCAAGAGAACCAGCTCTTGATAGAAAGAAATCCGGAAGCAGAAAGCAAGCTTCTCGGGGAAGTAAATACGACTCGCTTCCAGGTGCAGAGCTGAGTCAACTTGGCTGCTGCGGAGACACCAACGTGGTGGGACAACGGCTGAAGCGATATCAACACGTTGATCAGATCGCCTGGAGGTATACCGTGTGCGAAACCTGCGTCCACGAGTATAGTATATGACAAGCACAAAGACAAAAAGCCAGGCGACGTGACGGAGATGCTCAGGAAGAGAAAGACATTTGCAGACGGGGATCCGGCCACTGGGCGCTTTGAATATCAATCCCGCCGGGCATTTCGGCTGCTCGACCTGGACCGCCGCGAGGGGCAGAGCTGCAGCCCATGGCTGCTCATCACTTGAGCCATTCCCAGGTAAGCGCCGAGGGCACGATAACCCAGGGTCGACCGGGGAAATGATTGGAGGCGAGGTGCTCGGCGAGCTCGCAGGATGCATGTTCGCACCTGTGCGGGCCGTCCGTTGGCGTGTGTGACTGGCCGGAGGGGGTGATCCGACAAGCTTGTCACAGTGGAGCCTCTGGCCAGTGAGCGGTCCCAGGCGGGCCTGTTGCTCCCTCGCGATGCACGCCCATCACCTCAACCGGCGCTAACCCGCCGATCGGCTGGCCAACCACAACGCCTGCAGAACCGCCTCGCTTTTGAGGGGTGCATTTCTGGACGAAGGTAAGTCGGTGGAAGAGGAGAGGGGATGCACAGGCGGGTGGACAAAAATACCCGCCAACCCGGACGTGCCAGTGCGAGTCACCCCGGGTCAATACAGCACCGGGCCTTGCTTCTTACCCCGTGGTGGCTTGGCTGTGGCCTGCGGGCTTTTCGACTTGGCCGGATGTAGCGGGGTCTGTGCATTTGGCTGGCCGTCTACAGGATTCTCGCCGACGAGTCTCCCCGGCGATTTGGCATGTTTGCCAACATGGTGATAGTGATGGTGATGGTGGAGGCTATATTCAAATGGTGGCGTGCTAAGTCCGTCAGGAGCATGCGACAGCTAATTTTACTCTTGACTAGCCTGGCAGAAAACCTAACTGACCACAGGCCAACCTCGTCTCTCTACATCAGATAATCAGGCTATCAGGCTATCAGGGTAAGCGCGTTACAGTCCCACAAGAGTGACAACAGACCGACTCGAGATAACTGGACTTGGCTGTCTGGAAATAGACATCCTCAGGCCTTAATTCTGCAGAGTGTGCTTTGATCTAACGTTTAACTGCGTCTCTCTTTTTCCTCTCGGCGTTCTGGCAGCGAGTCCGGGCAGCGATTCGAGTGTCAACCTGGATATCTCGAAATCGGGCCATCGCATAGGTTTCTTCTGTGGCTGGTCGACCTTCAGCCACGTTGGCTCGAGCAGGGTGCGGTCGCAACAAACCATGTTTCAATAATTACTGAGACCTATGGAGCACGTACACTCCGTCGAAGACGGGTCTGCCATTATGCCATTGTGCCATCGCGCGAAAATTAGGGATCATAGCCAAGTCACCGTCTACCGACCTCCGCTCGGCACATATCGGAAGAATGAGAGACTGGACACAAAAGGCTGAAACATGCTGTGGACAGCTGTTTCGCAGTTGTCACATCTCGTTCTCTGTTATAGTGCTTATGATGGAGAGGGTAACGGGAGTGCCTGAGATGCTCAAACGACGTGGCTGAGGAAAAGCAAAGTCAGCAGTCATGTGCTCACGTTGTGTCTACCCCCATCTTCAAAGGTGGCGGGCTGGTTGTCCGCACTATCGAGAGTGGATGACGGGGTACACATGTGTGATCGATCAAAAATCCATGGCCTTCGGAAGGCTGTCGAGCAGCTGAAAGGCATTTCTGGCTGATGGTCTTTCCCATCAGCGCAATGCATTGTGCCGTAGTGTGGCTGAGGGCCATCAATGCATAGAGCGAAGCGGTGAGCTTTGCATCTCGGCCGGCAACTTTCCTTATTCAGCAGTTGAGGCCGCCGGTGTGATGAAGGGGGTTCATAGGCATCGTCATCTGTGAACTAGCCTACTTCTGAGTTGTCCCACAACCGGGTAGATACGGGGCATCAGGACGGAGCGGATCGATCTGGTGGGGGAACCCCAAAATAGACCAGTCCCAGGAAGGCTGGAGCAGTAACACGCTCATTAGTCAGGCACCCCTGAATCACACACTAGCGAGTAATTCGAACTTGTCAGCCCCAGTTAACCCCAGATCGAGGCTGAGCTGCCAAAGAATAAAGCAGAGCCTCCGAGGAATGCTGTGGAAGCTCCTCTCTTCTCTCCGTGCTCATTCTCCAGCTCTACAGTGCGTAAATCCACCCGGGTAATATACCCAGCCTCAACGCATAGATGTGACTCGTCTAGGTTTCCATAAGGCGGGACAGCTCCACCAGCCTCCAAAATGACTAGTCCAATCAGGTCACTCCAGAGTAGTCTGAGCGAGCGGCTCATGTCTCCTTCAGGCCCTTCTTGACAGCCTTTTCCCGTCAGCCCCTGCACAGCTAGAGGAATGGGGACGCTGTTGTTCATATCAAATGTAGAGCGCCAGTCTGGGACAAGACCTCGTCAAATTCGGGGCGCTTCGTGAAACCAGGCGGACGCCGCGGTGAGTCTGACAAACTTTCGCCCAGCCTATGCCTCGCTGCGCATTCCCCCACCCGTCATTGGGGCATCCCATGTCCTGCATAGTCAGGGTTGAAGACATATTGTTATGCAGTGGAGCGAACAACGGAAGGGTGTCCATGGCGAACGAACCATGGGCGCCAGTCGATCTGCCGGGTCGCCCCATCTGGGGGCGAGCGGCGTGGGAGTGTTGTTTTTGCTGGCTGGGTGACATCACCGCTGCCTTGCCACCAGCTTGCCGTGGCAGGGGGAGGCGGATGACTTCATCGTGATTCACGGGACTTGGAGCTTGGAGCTTGGTACGGAGTACTGTGTGGTGGGGGGAACGCGACCCTGTTGGAGGTTCTCCTATTGCCGACCGGCCGCATCGCAACCTCGCTAGAAGTGTACGAAGAGAATATGTTTCGGTATTAGTGGCCGGTGAGAAGAGGAGAAGCGCCTCGTGCTGGACCCACGGCCAGCCACACGCGTTAGCGGGCTACACAGCCTCAATCTTATCCACAGGTAGAGAGTACGGCCGGAACTATGGTTTATCCTAGATAGTACATACGTTATACGAGGTGCCGACAAGTACCATATACTTGACACCCGGCCCAGAGTTCAATTTCCAAGAGCCTCGACCGTGACCGGCAGAAACCCAGCGTTACCCACCGTGGCCAACGATACGGTACCTTCACAATACGCCCATACGGCAGTACCCTCCGGTACGAACCAGACTGACAGACTGCCAGACTGACAGACTGACAGAACTTCCAGGCAGTCAACCAGTCAACCAGTCTGCCTGTCAACCAGTCAACAACCAGTCAACCATCCACCTGGCACCTCCCCCCGTGCCCGGTTTCTTGTTTTCGTTCCTGCTGGCCATCTGTCGCTCTTCCTTCCAGACTTCTCTGGCCGTAATTCCCTGACCCTCTCGCACCATTCCCTCGTGCCCATCCTCTCCAACCGTGAAACGGTTCCAAGACAACCGGTCAATCAGTCAATTCATACCTGGCCCATCAGGCATCCCTCGCGTTCCTGCGCCTGCAACACCCGCCACGGTTCCAAACTTCCACGCCTCATGGCCCGGCTCCATTGATCCTCAACCAATCTCGTCGATTCCACCTCCGAAGTGCTATTTTAACGCCCCAAAGGCCCAAGCCCCCCCTGGGACATTCCGGGTGGATCATCGCTGGGCCTGACAAGTGCAAAGCTGAAACCAACCTCGTCAGCTTGCGCCACACTCGGTTTCCAGGTGAGAGAGAAACGCCCCACACGCCCTGGACTTCGCCTTCAAGCCGACTCCTGCCTGGTTCCTCCTCTGTGGCCGCCTCACCCCCTCCTCCTCACCTCTGTGGACCTCTGGACGTGCGTGTCGCTTCTTTCAGCCTTGTTCAAGATAGCCTCTGGGTGAAGTCGGTCCTGGCTTCTTGTCTTCCCCAGCACCATCGATTTCGCAACGCGTTGATTCTAACATGACCTCGGAAATAGCCGTTGCGTTGGCTCTACCACCTCTCCAGGCTGGTGCGAGATCTTCTTCCTCCATGGCGGCATTGATGCACTCCAACAACGAGCCCGTCGCCGTCTCCAACCCCATCACCGGTGCCGCCACTTCCATCGCGAGCCCGGAGCCCATCGCTTTCCTTAAACCTCCATCCAAACCGGAATCCAACCTAAGCTCCATCGCCAGCGCCAGCTTGCACGTCTCGCGATCCCACCCGTCTCCGATGGCGAGTCCCACCGCGGCGTCAGCGGATCGGCCGGTTGACCACGAGAGAGATGCCGGACAAAACAGCTCTCAAGTCGCCCGAGAGGCACTGGGCGCCAGCGAGAAATCGCCCGGTCCCTCAATCCATGCGCCCGCAGTCCATGCGTCCCCAGAACAGATGCAAGTCGATTCACACCCCAACGACTCATCATCAGACCCATACGGATCTGGTGATCACAGCCATAGCTCACTGATGCACACCACGGTCGCCAGCCCAGGTCCCATCGAAGAGTCCGCGTCCCAGGATGGGGACCGGACTCGCCCACGAGAGGACTCGGACATCCACCAAGATAGTAACAAGGCCTTTTCGTATCCCATGCCCACCGGTAGCCTCAGCGACCCGCGTCGGGGCCTCAGCCTGCCCACTTCCGGCTATAACAGAGGCAGCCCCCGCTCTCCCTCCGCGAAGAAGCATCGCTGCCCCTATTGCGCAACCGAATTCACCAGGCAACACAACCTCAAGAGCCATCTCCTCACCCACAGCCAAGAGAAACCGTTCGTGTGCCAAACCTGCCAGTCCCGCTTTCGCCGACTGCATGACTTGAAACGCCACACCAAACTCCACACCGGAGAACGCCCGCACATTTGCCCCAAATGTGGACGACGATTTGCTCGCGGCGATGCGCTCGCACGACACAACAAAGGACAAGGTGGATGCGCCGGTCGACGTGCAAGCATGGGGAGCTTCCACCCGGATGACGATTACGGAGACGGTCAGCACCCGGACGACGAAATGCATGGGGTAGTCTACATGGAGCCGGAGCGCATGGACGAGGAGGACGAACGACGGCTCAATATTCCAAACATCCGTCGGCATGATACCGATCACCTCTCTCGTTCTGATTCTCTCCACGCCGCTCGTCAACCCAGCACGTATCCGCCGATCGCCGCTAATCGTGGGGGGCTTCACCCCCTCCGGGCACACATGGTGGCTCGGGCGCATCGACAACGGCGACCTCGCAACCCGGCAACCTCACCTTCCCACCAGCAGGACACGCTTCCGGTTCAACAATCTTCCCTCCCGCCTCCACAGTCGGCGACAGCCCAAAGCCGCTGTCTCCCAATGCTTTGTCACACCACGATCCGAGCGTACAGCCTCCCCACACACACTCACCAGGACCGGGCCAGTCCTTACCGCACCCGCAACCCTTCGCCCGAACAAGCCAGTCTTCTGCACCAAGTCATAACCCGCCCGGAATCGGTCTGCCGCCGCCACCGGGGGTCCCACAGCTCCCTCCTCCTGTCATCAGCTCCGCAGATGCACGATTTGGCCTGCAAGCCACCGCCAAGCACACCCCCTCGCACAGCCACTCCAGCAGCCTCGGCTTACCGGCGCCTAAGGTCGGCCTTGAGGGATCAGACCCCACGGGCGCTGGCGTCGAAAAGCTCTGGGCGTACGTGCACGACATGCACAAGGAGTTGTCCAATTTGCGCACCGAAGTCGCAGCTCTGCACGCGCACATTGCATCAACAAATTCATTGGCTGCGCCCGCGCCGGTTGAGATCAATCAGACGAACCCTGGTCCGCGACAATGAGCCTGCCGCACTGGTTCGGTTGAATGTTTTGGTGTGTACGATATGGCTGTTCATTCATTCGCGTAAATGAGTGGCGCCCTCGCCCTTCTCCCATTTTGTTGATACTGTTTTGATTAAATTGTTTGACGTCTCTACCCCCGCAGACGTTGAACACTTGATGCCTCCTCATGATCACCCTCCCGACACTCGCCGGTGTTGGTGGTATTCGCTTTTTTCCCCTTCCACTAATTCTCTGTGTTACGCCCGCATGGCTCTATTTGACATCTTACTGGTCTTGGTATAGCCCTATCTTGTTCCTTTCGTCTCTTCGATCACCCATTGGACTTTAGCATACTCTATCTCTATCCCTCGGGAGCCAAGCTGAAGCGCCAGGTGTTCTTGTCATCTTCCTGTTCTTGTTCTTTTTCTTTCTTCCTGGGTCAGCTGACGGAGTTCGGCGTACCAAAACTGGATGCATTGCGACAGTTATCTGCCCGTTTACCAGGGTATCAATTGGGCTGTCGATTTATCTATTTCCATGGGGAAATATGGATGAGATCCAGTCCCACCCTCGTGTTAACCTTTATGGTGGTTGTTTGATAACTCTATGGATGACATGACTTGGCAGCTTGCCAATTGGGGTTTCGTTTCCTTTTTTTCGCCATCTTTTCTTTTCTATTTCCTTTGTTTTGGTGCCCCGGGCTGCATTCTCGAATGATGCATGGAACGACTGGATTGAGGTTTATTTTTCGTTTTCCCCCTATTCCGCCACTTTACATTGTCTTTACGATTCTTGTTAAGGTTGAGTCCGTCCGACTTGGGTAGTGATAATATCCCCTCTGCTAGAATGATCACCGTTCCCCATTTTTTTACCCTACCATTACCAGGAGTACCTATTACCATATTACCTCTGCCTATGCTAGTGTCCCATCTGTGCGGAGTACGGAGTACTGTCAAGCAAATCTCCAGCCCCATGTGGCGCTTCCCCCCCTCTTTCTCCCCCAAACTCCTCGGCGTCCCCACCCGGCCCAACGGCTGAACCGAGGCTCCTGTCACACGACCCCATTTCTATGTACCGACCTCCGCACCCTGGACCCCGTGAACACTCGAATCGTCGGACAGCTTCTGTAGAATTGAATGATCAACCTGCACACGTCCCTAGTCGCACATAACCAACTATTTCACTCGCAATGTCCTCCGTCGCCCCGTCCAGGTCTCTGCAGGCTTCGGCCCTGACCTTTGTCATTCTATCCATTGGGCACACAGTACGTCATGTCCCGTCGCGTTCCCGCATTTGGATGGAGATAGTGCTTTGCCGGTTCTGGCGTGATGATGCTAATGTCTTGTTTGTGATGTAGGTCCAAGGAAGACAGTGGACTGCAGAGAAGGTATTTAGGAATATCAAGGGGTCTAGGCCATGGGCTTGTGGGACTGTGGGATGGTTCCAGGCAAGTCCTTCCTCTTGCTGGGGTCTAGTTTGAAGGCCTACACTCTACACTCCTGAGGACCCGGCGTTGGCGTCCAATAGGCTATCGAACACGGTCCTATCCCGTGATATTACCGCGGCGGTGCTAATCGTATCTTGCACGTTCTAGGGAAGCGCCTTTCTTTTCATGACCGGTATGTACCGCGCTACACCTTCAAGATCTCTGCGAGCTTCCGGCTATGCGATCGTAGTCGCGTCTCTCTGCTCTCTGCTTTCTGCTTCTTTCTCGCACGTTCTCTTTTCCCTCTAACACTTGTTTTCTGCACTAGGCATCCTTCACTACCAGTGGTCCAAGAACCCTGCCGCCCTGCAGGACCCGCTCAACAAGGCGCTCGCGACTATCGCCAATGCCATTCTCTGGGCGAGCTCGGCCTGGTATGCCAAGACGGGGGTGAATGATAACGCTGTGTTGGTTGGACTGTCGGCAGCGCTGCAGGCTTATTCTGTTTTCTCGAACTAAAACTCAGGAAAAAGGGGGGGGGGGGGAAGGGACTGACTGTAGCATCCTTGTCCTGGTGCTGGGCTTGTTGGATGCTGAGCTCTGACTGATTGATATTGTGCCATTGTGTTATCGTGTTGATAGGAAGGAATTGGCTTGTTATGTCCATGATTTTATACGTGATAGGTATTATATTAAGTATCTTATGTGTTATCATGTTCTAGAGGACAAGCAGTAGTAGGAGAGTTCATTCACCTCGTCAAGCCTGTCTGAAAAAGGGGCTCACTGGCTGAGGGACCCGGGAATGAAACTACTCCCACCCGTCCTCGAGAACTAGGTACCCCACTTCATCCTATCGTCGTCCGAATGTCCTCAAGTTGAACCTCTCCGCCGCATTGTCCACCCAATAAAGAACCCCACATCTGCAACGACAGCACGCGGCATCCCGCCCAGCGTGAAATTCCGCTGGACCCACTTCGGAATAGAGCCCCCAGGATCAGCAGTGGTTGCCATCGTCCATTCGACACGCGACTTGGGCTTCCCGGAGAAGTCCTGAGCCTGGGCTGAAGATGAAGATGAATATGACGATGGCGGCAGCAGCGTGACGTGCTCTACGCTGACGTAATTGGCAAAGATCGTGCGCTTCGGCACGGAGGAGCTGATTTTCTGCTGCAGGGCTTGTGGCGTAGATGATGATGTTTGGTGCAGGGGTATTTGGACGATTAGAAAGCCCTTGCGCGGGGGTGGGTGCTCTCCTTGGGTTTGGGGTGGCTGGGGAGGAAGGTCATCGTGCGCGGCGGAGATGGTGAGAGAGATAAAGCTGCGCGGAGCTATCAGGGCCGAGGGTTGGAAGGTGTGTGTTATCAGGTTGACTAAACCAAGGGGGATCAGCACCTTGCAGACAATATCTACACTGTGGACGTAGAGAAGAATAGTGATAGTAATAACCGCTTACCTTCCATATTCACATCTCGAAACCTGATCCCGTCCACCTCGACTTCCCCGACATCTTGCGGCGCCCATTCCAGCAATCGCTCCACGGCGGAGACGCTGCGTGTATACTCCATTTCATGCTCAGCATGTTCTGATTTCAGTCCGTCCTCGAACTCCCGCCATGACGCGGTGCCCTCGGCGCTCGCGTCGACATGTTCGGTTTGGCGACATGCCCAGAATTCAGACTTGGTTTTGTCTTTCGGATTCGTTGGTTTCGTGCTTGGCTCCGAAGGATTGCGCCATCCTCGCAGAAGCTTGACTTTAGCTTGTGATGGCGGGGAGGAGCGAAGTTTGGGGTCTGCGACGAATGTGGATGGGATGGAGTGGAGAAGCTCCAAGGCTTCGTGGAGAGCGGTGTGGATGAATTGGTGTAATTCGGGGCGGGAGAGATCGGTGGGGAAGGACGGGTGGGCAGGAATGGAGGTGAAGGGATGGGGCTGGAGTTGGATGAGGGGCATTGTGAGGGTTGAGATGGGTTGAGATGTGCAAGGAGGTGGTGAGAATGCTATTTTGATTGTTGGAGCAGAGGACGGCCCGAGCGATCGGCAGAGCTTATTTGTCGACCGGCTGTCCTTCCAAGGTTCGGGGCTTGTTGGCTGTTATCAGCGGGGCACGTCGAGCTGGTCTCAACTTTGTGCCTTATCATTTCTCTTATCACGGCACCTGTCTCTATATTGTCAAGCCTAACTCCAACCCCACCCCCGAAGAGGTTTATATATACATCATTACAGGCATCGGACGCCTGGTCCTACACTGCCGGTTTCAAACATTTCTACCTGGCCCGCCCCCAATGCTTCCTCCAGCACCCAACGAAACTGCATGCCATACAGCTCCTTCCACTTCTTCGTTCGACCCGGCAAGATTCCTGCAAACTCGCCCCGTGCTCGTTTCGCAAGGTGGAAACTCTTCTCAGTCTCCACGGCTCCATTCCAGCGATCCTTGAGCAGATGCATAGGTGCTTCATTGCAGGTGGATCGCCGGAGAAGAGCGAGCAAATGAGCACGGCCGGTGCCGAGCAACCTAAGATACGTCCCGGTATTTGGCAGCGACAAAAATAGAGTCGCAGCACGAGCCTGGGCGTCGGTCTGAACAGCTCGGTCGATGTCGGAAGGATGAACCGGCCCACTCCGACTGGCTGAGGAGATTGCGGCCCTGGGTAGGTTGGGAAGAGATGCAACATTCAATGATCCTTGTGTGTAGGATGAGGACGACACAAGGAAGCCAGCGCGGATCAACGCTCTGTATTCATCGGGTGTAAAGATGCTCTGCGAGAGGGCAGAAGAGGTTCCGATGCGTGAGAGGATATCGAGGAATTTCTCTGCAGCTCGTCAGCATATGGCCCCTCACAAGACAGAATCATGTTCAAATGCTCACCCTTGAGCTCGGTGTCTAGACCGGTGCTCCCACGCACCAATCCCTCCCAGTCTTCAGCAAGGACTAAGCAGTCACCCAGCCCCGCCGCGTCGTTACCGCGTCCTGGGACAATCAGTCGTCGGACGCGACCCGTCTGCACCAGCTCCACAATCTCCCGTTCCACCTGTGTCGGCGCATTCAACAGGGTGTGTATGTGTGCAACAGAGGCGAGCGGCGGTAGCGACCGGCGCAAATTCAAGACCTCCGCAATACGAGTACTGTTCATTCCCGCGCGCTGTGGGAGCTCGTCGAACATTCTCGTCCGAATAGACTGAATCGCCTGTACCACATTTTGGACCTGAGCAGTCTCAGAGATAAAATGCGATCCACCTATATCGGGGAGAGGGTCATCGTCAACCAAATCCTCAGCGGCCGCCTTCGCAGCGCCGGCTGCGGCAGGACTAGGCTTACGGCGCGCATGAGCGGCAAAGGGCGAGTTGCGGGGCTTGGGCGTGGACTTGCGCTTCTTGACACCGGATACTGGAGCTGAAGTGAGACGCAAGGTCATGCCGGTACAATCAATAGAACCAGCGTTTCATGAACAGGGGAGCCTCGACCGCCGCAGGGGAAAGGCTCCTCGCCGATTACCTCATCGTCAGGTGATTTTGACGGCAGAATTCGAAGCTCCGCCAATCACAGAGAAGACCGCATACTTCGGTATTGGCATTACAGTATGGAAACATTTACGGCCGCGCGGAGCGGGTGGGATCCAGTACGGCGGATTAGACTCAATACGTGTTGTCATTGAAGGCTCTAGAACCTTGGGAAATCTGGGCCTCGCCCTGTGTCTTTCAGTTCCTGCTCGGCGCAAGAAAAGACCAGGCTCTTCTTCGTCCTTCTTCCATTTCGTCAGGAAAGTCATACCACTGACACGGTCTCTGCCCGGGTATTCTTCTAGCAAACTTGCTGCGGCCCACCGCGACGCCTGATCTGCTTTCACATGACGTAGCCATGAGAAAAGAGCTCTTCATCTGATCCTCTTTTCAGCCCAGCTTGAATGCGAACCTGACAGCTTGATGCCTGACGACAGCTTCACCATTCGCTTGCTTCTATTTAGTCGCCTCTCAGACCTGTCACTGTGCCCCGGAGGTCGCTGTCGCCCCAAACCCCTCAATTCCTGCCCCGCCTTTCCGGCCGATCCTTCACGATGACGGTCTTCATCGCGTCGCTGTGAGTGATGACAAAAGCTCCAGCACCTGACTGATATTGGAATCTAACCATGCCTTAGCTTTCTCCCGTACACGGTCAATTTTCACGTCGAGAGTCCGCGCAATCGACTCTCGCAAGCCGCTCCTCAGCCTGCCAACGGGGCGACAGACTCGGCCTCTTCTCTCCCCAACGTCGCGGCCAGTCTGTTTGAAAAGAGCAGCCCCACCCCCCAACAAGGCCTCACACCGGGTGCGACCACCGACCACGAGCGCATTTTCACGACCAATCTCGGGAAAGTCGACGAGGAGCAGTCTGAATATCCATTTCCCGCCACGCCGTCATCCGAGCACCAGCCCTTCACCGAGAGCGAAGCCCACTCTCCAGCATGGGGCGCCACGACTTCCCTCAACCAGCCGAAGCCACGGCCCATCCTCTCTCCATCTCCGTCCATTTTGAAGCACCAGGATCCCATCGTGCCGATCGAGAAGCCAGTGCCACAAAAACCTCTACCGCCCAGCCTACCCCTCCCCTCCCAGACGTCCAAAGGCCCGAGAGCTCGGGCCGCAAAGCCTCATTTTCTCGGGCCGAGTGGACAATTGAGACTGCGGAGCAAGGAAATGGCGGCTTGCGCAACGCGGTCCGGTCTGCTAAGGAGTCGGGGTACTTGGGTGACATGATGTGGGTCGGTACATTGGGAATGCCTACGGATGTGCTGGCGAAGTGGACGCGTGATGACATCGCAGAGAAATTAGAGGACGAGTACAATTCGCTGACGGTGTTTGTCAACGACGGAGATTTCGATGGTCACTATACTCATTTCTGCAAAACCATCCTCTGGCCCGTCTTCCACTACCAGATTCCGGACAACCCGAAGAGCAAGGCCTATGAGGATCATTCGTGGATCTACTATGTCAAACTCAACGAGGAATTTGCAAAGCGCATCGCCAAGAACTGGAAGCGGGGTGATTCGATCTGGGTTCAGGACTATCATTTGTTGCTAGTCCCGGCCATGCTCCGCAAGCTGCTACCAGATGCCGAGATTGGCTTTTTCTTGCACATTGCATTCCCCTCCTCCGAGGTCTTCAAATGCCTGGCACCGCGCAAGGAACTTTTGGAGGGTATGCTGGGTGCCAATCTGATCGGTTTCCAGACTGCTGAGTATTGCCGGCACTTCTTGCAAACCTGCAGCCGTATCCTGTGCGTCGAGGCTACGAATGAAGGCATCCAGATGGAGGACCGCTTTATTAATGTGGGCACGTTCCCAATTGGTATCGATCCGACCTCGTGGGATAAGCGCCGTAAAGCGGCGGATGTCGAGCGATGGGTTGACACGATATCTGCGAGGTATCATGACAAGCGACTGATCGTCGCACGCGACAAGATTGACTCGGTCCGGGGTATTCGTCAGAAGCTCCTCAGCTATGAGCTGTTCCTCAACACCTATCCGGACTGGGCAGACAAGGTGGTGCTGATTCAGGTTGCGACCAGCACCATCGAGCAGCCTGAGTTAGAGGCCACCATCTCTGACATTGCCATGCGTATCAACTCAACTCACTCGACTCTGGCCCACCAGCCTTTGGTCTTTTTGAAGCAAGACTTGGCGTTCCCGCAGTACCTGGCTCTGATCACAGTTGCCGATGCTTTGATGATTACAAGTCTGCGCGAAGGTATGAACTTGACTAGTCACGAGTTTGTGTACTGTCAGGATGGTAGCTACGGTGACAAAAAATATGGATCACTCATCCTGAGTGAGTTCACTGGTAGTGCATCGGTTTTTGGAAACCATGCACTCCTGGTAAACCCCTGGGACTATAGGCAATGCTCCGAGGCAATTCACACGGCACTGACGCGGGGCGAGAAGGAGCGAAAAGAAGTGTGGCAAGAACTGCACCGTGCTGTTTTGCAAAACTCGACCGGCAACTGGGTGAAGTCTTTCAACGAGACGCTGACGAAAGTATGGAATGAACAATCGTCGCGGGAGATCATGGCCGTGCCACGACTATCAGTGCCCCGGCTCGTCGAGAAGTACCGACAAACAAAGCATCGACTGATGATAATCGATTATGAGGGCACCCTTGCCTCATGGGGATCCCCACGCAGCATCATCCTAACGACACCACAGCGCGCCATCACGACGCTCACTGAATTAACCGATGACCCGGCCAACGTCGTTTATGTAATGAGCTCGCGCATGCCCGAAGAGATGGAGCGGCTCTTCCGCCGAGTCAACAACCTGGGCCTGATCGCTGAGAATGGCTGTTTCGTGCGCGAGCCCCGCTCTGACGAATGGACACACCTCGCCGACAAAGACCATGTCGAAAACTGGAAGACATCGGTGTCCCACATCCTGGCCTACTTTAAAGACCGCACCGAGGGCAGCTGGATTGAAGAGCGCCACTGCTCGCTCGTCTTCCACTACGGCTCCGCCGATGACAGCAGTGTCGCTGCGCGCCTTGCGGCCGAGTGTGCAGATCACATCAACGACGCGTGCAAGAACCAGGGTGTGCACGCTGTCCCCATCGAAGGAGCCCTGATCGTTGAAACGGCCATGACGAATAAGTCCTCGGCAGCGGAGTTGGTCTGGCGATGGTGCTTGGAGGACCCAGAGAAAAAGGCCGTCGGCAAGCCGGGCTTTTTGCTGGTCATTGGCGATAACCGCGAAGACGAGCCTGTCTTCCGGTGGGCGAATAAGTTGCACAAAGCCAAGGCTGTCGACTATGCGATGACCGTCACTTTGGGATCACGTAGTACCGAGGCCAAGGCTACCTTGACGCAGGGAGTAACAGGTGAGAGTTTTCCTGGATTTTACCCCGTTATTTTATGGTCAGCTAACAGATCTTAGGTGTTCTCTCTTGCTTGCAGCACTTGGCCGCCCCCTCAGGAACAGCACCCGCGCCAGCGCGGCAATCCGTGATGTCTGCTGGCGATTGGGGAGAATGATGTGCCGGGTGCTCAACTAAAATTGCCAAGGATATTTTGATATGCGAAGCCCACTAAAACACTAATATGAAGACTAAGAGGAATGGGCGTTTCGACTGTAGCAGTGTATTTTGGTTGGGCCCTTTTTTCCGGGTTCAGCAGATCTCTAGTTTTGGATACATACATTATCTCCAAAGCAATGTGATTCATTACATAATTTCCAAGTATGCGAATTAATCTTAGGTAGTTTATAGCTATCGCGACCGACTCCCCGAACACGGCCTGCGCGTCTTGATGAAAACTAATAGACTCCTCCGCAACTTCCGCTCGGGAAATAGACAGGGTCCGAGACAGCTATTAATCCTAAATCCTCAGTTCGTCGTCTCAGTCGCCTCAGTCCTCGCCTCAGTCTCGGCCTTGGCCTCCGTATCGAAATTAATGTGCTTGTGGTGTGCACGTGCATCGTCGACCATAGCATCAAGCTTGGAGTTTCCAGGCTTGGTCTTCCACGGCTTAGGGCCACTGGGGGCAAACAACTTCTCAATTTCCTCGAGAGTCTTACCGCACGTTCCAGGATACGTGAAAAAGAATTGTACCGCCGCAAGAAAGCACATCACTCCGAACACAATGAACATCTCCCAGGTAATATTCTGGAACCCGGGAGGGATGTACAGACCCAGGGCAAAGTTGAAGAGCCAATTGCCAATGTTGCCAATGGCAGCTATGCCCATGCCGGTGGCACGGGTTTCGAGGGACCAGACCTCGGCGGCGTAGACCCAGCACACGGGGGCGAGAGTCAGGGCGTAGATAATGATCAGTAAATAGGAGAATGTAATGACGGTGAGAGACCGGGATCCGGTCACTCGGATCAACACGTTAGGGTTGCCTCCGACGCCCCCAGGGACGTATTCGCCAGACGATAGCACGCATGGTTTTTTTGACAATGGAAGCTAGGAAGGATTGTAGTCATGATTAAGACTCCCTGTCCCTTGCGCGGTCGCGTCGACAAACCGTGAAACCCTAAAGCCCGATAACGCCGACAACGCCTTACTCAGCGTTCGGCTGTTCTCTGGGGTAATCACCAGGAGCCGAGGTTCGCTGAGGGTCTATTGGAATGCGGGGAGAGAGGCAAGTATATCATTTCCCTTGAACTGAAATCTTCATCCCCCTTCTCCTCCACCATTCTTCTCCTCCCCTCGTCCTCTATTCAAAATGCCACCCCTTAACGCGTTCTTTGAGGACGCTATCCGCATCACCCCACAAGGCAATAACAAATACAGCGCCCATCTCCGCTCAGAATGGTGCATTGGGACCGGTACCTAGCTCTCCCGTTATTGATGGATATTCCCGAAATGCTAAATACTACTTGCAGTTCCCCATGGCGGCTACACAGCAGCCGTGTTCTACAATTTAGCCCAGATACATTTCGCGCATGCCCATACTAAACAATACGACGCTCCCGCATCCCCAATCTCCATTCAACTCTCCTTCCTTCGCCGTACAGCCACCGGCCCCGCGACACTGGAGGTCGAGGATGTAAAGATCGGCGCTCGAACGAGTACAATCCACGTCAAGCTGCTCCAACCATCAGAGAAGCAACCAGATCAGCTCCAAGTCAATGTCGCCGGGTACATCACCGTTAGCCCGCCCACGGCAGAGGTAGGCATTAGCGCGGCGACGGGGTGGACACTACACCCCACCCCAGCACCCGGCTCGCTCGCAGGTGGGAAGGTAGACTTGCCCGCTCTCGGGCGCACAGGAAATGACGGCGCATGGACAAAGCTCAACCCGCCGTTCCCCGAGTTCCGTCGCGCTGCTGCACAGCTAGAGCTCTACGGTCCCGGGACCGGCAAGTCACAGCGGCAGCACACAGGGACCATGGCAGTCGATCAGTGGGCGCGGTTCCGGCCAGGCGGCGACCAGAGTGGTCGCTGGACTGACGCGGCTGTTGCCTACCTGGTCGACATGTTTCCTATGGCCCTGGATGGCCTCGATACTATGTCTGCGACTGCCGTGGCCAAAGCTAAGGGCGAGCCCGTGTCGGAGCAAATGGCTAAATTCTGGTATCCGACTGTCACACTGAACATCGATATGAAAAAGCGTTTGCCGGCCGGGGGTGTCGAGTGGCTGTATAGTCGGATCGTGACTAAGGTTGTGCGCGATGGTCGCACAGATTTGGATGTTACGGTGTTGGATGAGAATGGGGAGGTTATTGCGCTGAGTACACAAGTTGGACTCGTGGTGAGTGCAAGTCGGAATGTTGGATCGAGGAAGCTGGATAAGTTGTAGATATTTGTCTCGGTTACCTAGATCATTTTGTTGGGGTAGATGGACTGGACGGATGTACATTTGCATGAATATAGATCCGGATATATATCTTCAGCCTCGGTAGACCCCTCGCCTGGTACTGAGCGCCTAGGTGGAACAATCTTGGCAGACGAAAAAATCTTCAATAGTCTCTGCGATGATGATCCTGCCATAAGAGATTTCTCATGATGCTGACTTGTCTAAGTAGGTATAATACTCACACTCGCACCTATATGTACATTGCGAGCCCATCACCACTATACAATCATAGCTATATCCAGAGGTTTCCTTTGAAGTTCCCCACACGTAGGTCTATAACTTCTGCTGCCCCTCCGGCGTGACAATCCAGAAAGCCATCGCATCAGCCTTGACCACTTTCCGTTTCGCCCACTCAAGATGGCCCCCAGCGCCTGCCTCATCCTCCTGGACAGCCTGCGCCCTAACCCAGAACTTCCGCCCGATGCGCGCAACAACCCGGGACCGGACAACCAGTAACTGCGGCGTCGTCACGGGCTTCTTATACCGCACATCCAATTGCACCGTAAAAATCTTCGGGCGGGGGTTTTTGTCCACGGGCCCCGACGACGGGGACACAGGCGCAGTGTGATGCGCCGCCACGGCGAGCGACATGGCTTCGTCAATCATGGTCGCAACGACTCCGCCGTGCACGGTCGATGGATGTCCCGCTATTCCTGAGCCTCCAAGGTCATATATCATTACGATGTCGGCGGGGTTTGCTCCGGGCGTTGGAGTTCCCGCGGCAGCGGCATCTTGCTTTGTTGCGGGGAGCCATGTCGGGGGTTGCGACTGCGGTGCAGCAAGTTGGCGGCGTTGGAGGGTGAGCACATGTGGAATGGTAGACGGTGTGGCGATGGTGCCGCCGAAGAATCCGTCTTCACCGCTGGGCTTCGGACGCCGTGAGTCTGTGGGGATGGCTATGTAGTCCTCCGAGGAGATGAGAGAGTTGGCCCATTGGGAATTGCGGAAGTGGGCGACGGTGGAGTCTATGTCGGCCATCGTAGTCCTCAGGGTCTATACAGGTCGAAACCACAGGAGGGTGACTTGAAGAAAATTAGGGAGTTATCAGGTTTTCATTATTCTATCATTGATCGTCGCCTGCGCCGGCGATCTCTCGGATGGACCTCGGCCGCCCCAATCGGGTAATATGGTTATTTATCACGTGAGGATGAGCCATGAAGCGCGATCCGTGAATTGGCGTGACTGCGGATCTATCTGGCCATTTATATTGAATGGAGATCGTTGAGCGATTTATACCATGTGTTTCCGATCCCGCGGTGATCTGTTCCAGGTCACAAGCATGGTCTTACTTGGGTATGTATTCGGGATGACAGCTGCAAGGAGGTGCGCTCCTGGTTGGTGAGGAATTTGGTCCTGGAATGCAGGAGGTGCAAAAGCAGCCCCGTCCAGACAGGCCAGGAATACGACTCTCAGTGAGAAGCGCGTAAACGAGGAAGGGTCAGAAATTATTTGGGGGGACACAGAAAAAGATTGTATAACTCGAGGATATTGGCCGTCGATGATATAGTTCCACAAGTCAATGATCAGGAAGATTGACAAATCCAAAGGAATCAAAGGACATCTCGCGCGTCAGTCCCCAAAATTCAATCGATCGGCTTCGCGGCCCTAGGCCATGGACTTCGAAAGGGCCCGAACGTAGCATTCGCGAAGCCTCGGGCAACAGTCATAGGGACATAGACAGGAAAAGTGTCCCTGGGAAGCTTCTGGGGCCACTGGTATGTGCTTTCCCCGGCGGTTACCCTGGCACCTTCCTTTTTCCCTGCAGAAGCTTCATTAATGTAGGGTGCTGCACGGGCAGCGCCTACCGTTCCTGGCTTTGTTTTCCTCAACTTCTTCACTTCGTCGTCGCGTATTGCTTCTTCCTCTCTTCCCCCATCTACCTCCCCCTTGTATCTCTCTCACTTGAGCTCCAATAACCACTTCCAACATGCTCTTCTCCATCGTGCTCCTCTCTACCCTCGCTGTAACTGTCCTGGGCAGTAACTCTACTTACACCCTCCCCGCGGGTTTCAACATCGGACTGGTGAAGCCAGATGAGCTGAGTATGTGGACCACCCACTGTTTCTGAGGGACAGTGCTGACTCGATATCAACAACGACAGACTCTTGGTGCCAGGGACAACGCAATGAGTGTCCCTCGATTTGCAAGGGCGCGACCAGGCAAAACACCTGTGAACCCGTACGTGCTACTGTCCCTCCGTTCGGGCGATCGGATCATACTGACAATACTCACAGAGTACCCTGAATTTCAACTGCATCTGCGCGGACGGAAGTACGCCCGATGTTTCCCCGTACATCCAGACTGTGCCCTTCTATGTGTGTGAGGAATCTTATGGCCAGTGCATCGCCTCCCACCCCAACGACATCCAGGGCCAGCGAGCCTGCAAGAAGGCCGCCACCTGCGGAAGCAAGAATGCCAGCGCTGAGGATACCACAATGAGCTCATCCACCACCGCGGCATCCACCACTCTGGCTATGGCTACTTCCACCGACTCCAGCAAGACTTCCTCGTCCTCGGTGGCAGCTGCGAGCACCACCACCAACGCCGCTGTGACCCTGGGAAGCCTGGAGGGCTACTCGACTGGTTTCATGGCCACCGTCATGTTCCTCGCTGCGCGCCTGTTCCTCTGAGGGCTCTCTCGACGTATTTCACATCGCCTTCGGAGTTAGTTCCGTTTGGTGTCATTCCGCGTGCAGATTTTCGTATCCTCTTATTTCAGCGCGATGACGAATGGTCGATGGTCAATGCCCTTTGAATTCTTGATTCCCCGTTCCTGAACGCTTCCAGCTGCGTTAATGTTATCCCTTTATCTATGAGAATTCGCGCATGTCCTTCCTTGTCTCTTGGGGGTGTTCGGAGTGTCTATCTGCGCTGGCGAAAATAGAGCAGACTGTGGCTTGAATAAACCCCCATTCAGTGAATGGTGCATGTTCTAAACTTGTCGTAGAGTAATTTCACGAGCATTCGTGGTGGAAAGGGTAGAAAATGGCGAGTAGTTGGGGATGGTCGACGCCGTCCCTTGCTGTCCGGGCAGGTCGGTGTTCCTTTCGCCAAGACTTTTTGGCACACACTGAAATTTCTCAACTTATCGATACGACTCCACCATCAAAGAACCTCTCTCCTTCCCTCCCCTTCTCCTCCCACCACCACCCCCCCACCCTCAATCATGCCCGCTCCGACCAACACCCTCCTCATTGAGGGTTCCTTCTCCGAGCTCGCTGAGGAGTTCGCCCAGTACATCGACACCCTGCGCAAAGAGGGCAGCCTCCAGTCCGAGATCGCCCCGCTCCTTGAGCCGATCCGCCAGCAGGAACAATCCGAGGGCGAGCCCGACCTCAAGCAGCACGATGAGGTCCTGAAGAAACTTGTGGGGGCTGCGGCCGTCCTGAACGGTGCCCCCGAGAAGGGTGAGTTGGGATACTGTGCGGATTGAATATTGAATATTGCGGCGGCGGACAAGGGAAAAAAAAGATATCGCGCCAAATATTCGACAAGCCGCCCAGCAATTTCTTCAAATGGATACAAGAAAACTGACTCGGAGTGCAAATTTGACAGAGATCATCCCCTCCTACAACCTGCTCATCCACCTCATCCACCAGTCGTCCGACACCGACGTGTTCCTCCCTCGCATCTGCGCCTATCTCGCTAAGCCCATCACCACCTCTCCTCAATTTGGCCCGACCCTGGCTATCTCCATCCTCACCACCATCTTCAACACCCTGTCCAACGATGATTCCAGCCGGTACCACGTTCTGTTGGCCATCGTGGCCGTGATCCGTCAGTCTGGGTCTGGGTACGCCTTCGAGGCCCTGAAGCCCAAGCTTACCACACAGCTGCCCACATGGCTGTCTGCATGGGAGCTGGATGATGAGGAGGCACAGAAGCTGCACCTGGCAATCGCTGATGCCTCCACAGCTGCCGGTGATGACGGCCTTGCCCAGTCGCACGTCATGCAGGCTCTGCAGCTCATCCCCGCAGCCGAGGCCAGCAAGCCCGCCGCTCGCGATCTGGCCGTCCGCGCTCTCGCCTCTGCCCTGCGCCGCCCCGCTGTCTTCGACTTCACCCCTCTGACTGCCTCCGATGCCGTCCAGTCGCTGCGCTCCAGCGACAGCACTCTCTTCGAGCTGCTCGAGATCTTCACCTCGGACACCCTCGATGCCTACGAGGCCTTCGTCTCCGCCAACCCCCTCGCCTCCATTTCCGGCGGCGTGCTCGCCGAGGCCGCCGATGCCCTGCAGACAAAGATGCGTCTCTTGACCCTCACCTCGCTGGCCTCCGGCACCCCCTCCCGCTCTCTCCCCTACGCCACCATCGCGTCTGCTCTGCGCGTACCCGCTGAGGACATCGAGGTGTGGGTGATTGACACGATCCGTGCTGGCCTGGTCGAGGGCAAGCTCTCTCAGCTCAAGCAGGAGTTCCTTGTTCATCGCGCCACTTACCGAGTCTTCGGTGAGAAGCAGTGGGCTGAGATTCAGGGTCGCCTGATGGTCTGGCGCCGCTCGCTCGAGGGCGTTCTGGATGTCATCCGTTCTGAGCGTGAGCGCTTCGCCCGCGAGGGCATGCAGGCCGCCGTGGACCAGGAGGCCGCTGCGGCTCAAGGTAAGAACGGCGACAAGGCCCGCTTCGGCGACCGGAGGCGCATCCAGCAGCCCCAGCAGGCTGCGCAACCCCGCGAGGTTGAGGCTGTTGCCGAGTAAGCCTACATTAGCCTCTTCGATGAAGCTGGGTTGATTTGCGGAACTACAGCATTGGAGTAGGTGTTTTCTGCGGTGGAGTGGAACAAAAAAGCTCTCAGAACACAAAAAATCTTTCTTCTTTGCGCTAATAGAGGGGAGACTCATGGTTTTCTTCTTACTCTTCTTGATTTCCTTTCCCCACCCCCTTTTATCCCTCATGCATTTATATTTTCTTTTGTCTTGGTCAGTTTGTAGGGATGGATATACTGGCCCTCTCCTCCGTTGATATTGGGATCCCCACGAGTCATGTCATGCCTGTGTTTTGCTCTGTTTTTTTGTTGTCCCGGCGGGATGACGTTTTGTTCTTATTCCCTGGTCTCTGATCAGAATCACAATACTTCTAGATGATTTTTCTTTTCGAGTAGAGCTCGTTCGTACTCTCCTCACATCCGCCTGTCATCGTACGACGGTCGCGAAACTATCCTAACCGTGTTGTTGCGACTTCCCAGGCCCAGCATCAGATACGCTATACAGCACGCCAACGAAGTATGCCAGCATTCTATTGATCTAATTACTTTAAGCTCCAACCAAATCCAAAAAGAGTGGCTCTGTATGTCCCAACCAGTAACATCCACGCACACCATATCTACACGAACGCAATCCAATTTAACGAGGGTGCACACCGCGTGCCTCAATACCCTTCTTCACCTCCGCATAGACCTCCTCCACAGAGCCCGTGGCCTTAACCTTGACCACCTTGCCCTTCTTCTCAAAGTCATCCACAACAGGCATGGAGGTCTCGACAAACGTGCGGAAACGCTTGCGAATAGACTCCGCATTGTCGTCATCCCGACCACTCGTCTCCCCGCGCTTCAGGAGACGAGCCTCCATCACGTCCTCCGGGCAGTCGAGGAAGAGGACGACCTCCGAGGTGCACACGGTCTCCTCGAAGAACACGGCCTGGTCCAGCTTGCGCGGGAAGCCGTCGATCAGGAACCGCGCCTTGGTGCCCGCGGGCGGGGGGTTGTTGTCCAGGGAGTCGCGCATGGCGTTGGAGAGCAGGTTGACCGTTACCTCCATGGGCACGATCTTGCCCTCCGTGATGTATGTCTTGATCATGGCGCCGTACTGGCTGCCCTCACGCAATTGCTCGGCGCGGAGCAGGTCGCCTGCGGAAAGGTGGACGAAGCCGTAGTCCCTGACGAGGTTCGCGGACTGGGTGCCTTTGCCGCTGCCGGGGCCGCCCAGGAAGAAGACGACCGTCACCTCCTGAGTGGAGAAACGGGGGCCGGTGGTGGTTGTAGAGGTGGCCATTGTGGAGTGGGAGGATGGGGGATTGAATTGCAATCTGTCCGGAGGAATTGAGAAGAGCAGCGTTGTTGTGTTTGGTGGGCGGCGGTGAAATAAGAGAGTTTGAGGGGGGAGGGGCAGAAGCGGTAGCTGCGGGACCTGGACGCTGAGTGCAGTAGTGCTAGTGCGAGGCTGCTAGGCGGTTCGTACCCTGCAGATCTAGTTTGAGCGTTGCGGTGCCTGGCCGGTACGAGACTTCACCAGGAAAATATATGAGCCTGAGCCGATGGCAATGATGGTGAGAATCGGCAGGATCTTGAACTGCGAGCGGTCGTTCTGCGGCGCGGACGACGGGCGCTGGGGCGGCGACGACTTTGGGGCGGTGCTGGACAAGCGCTGGGGACCGGATAGTCGTGCAAGGGAGGTAGGCGTGAAAGAGGGCTTGGAGAAGACTCCGGATGCGAAGCGGCGGGCGACAGCTAGCGACATTGAGGTGGGTGGTGAGGGTTGCGAGATGCGATGAAGAAAAGGAGTGGCCGGAACCGGACTAGTTGCGGATCTGTATAGCAGCCGCCGTGGAGAGAGACCCGACGCAGCCAAGTAACACCTTTGCGGCGTCTCCCTCCGATATTGGAGATAGTCCACCAATGGCTTTGCTTGACCTCATTATTCCAGCCTATCGCATCCTCGGTGCGTTGTCTGGAGTTTTCTGGTCCATTGGACCTCACCTGTTTCGTCAAGTGCGTGGGGACGGTCTTGGTCAACCTTGCTCTAGTAGTGTACCCCCTCAGACATCAGTTACACGCTGCCAAGCGCTGGATTGACCCAATTATCATGACTCATGGGATCTCTGGTAAATTTCATGAAGTTTTCTGGTCGATCAAAGCTCGCTAACATCATTAACGTGCATAGGGAACGTCCCCGTCGCAAGCAAGTCAATAAGATTTAGCGTAATTCCATCTAAGCTTGAACATCTCTCTCCAGTCGCTTTATCCAATTAGACAGCCTCCAGTATCCTTGTGAGTTGACTTCTGTTCGATTGTACCGGGCTAACCCCTCCAACCTGCATAGGGTTTACAAATAATGCTCATGTGGCTGAATTTACGAAGACAACAATTCCCAGAACTTCATATCAAGCCCCCGTGTTCTTGACCTATTAAAGATTTATCCGCTACTTTCTTCAACCTTTAGATTTCCGAAACCCTTCCTTTGGTTAGTGGGCCTCCAGCCCGACATCTCTAAGGCTAACAACTAGTGGAGTAGCATCGGGACTCCTCATCGTCCGCAAAAAAGCCTCCTTACCTGGCATTGACAGCTCCTCCATTCTTCGATTGATCCAATCAAAGATTACTTTATTTTCAAATGCCACGAGGAACTGAGGGCAAGTTCGATAGACAGTCATCTATTTTTAACAGGCTCGCGATTCACATCCACTCCTCGAATACCTGCTACGAATCAGAAGACAACCGTACAACACTTTCAGCTTATTTATATTGACTACAATTCACTCTCTGAGCATAACAATACTTAATTGGTCATTAATACAGTGTCAGGGCGTGAAAAGCAGACTCGATTGCCTGCTATACTTCCGATATCAAGCATGTGGTTGGGTCCTTCCCTTTGGGTCCAATCCCACCGCTGACTTTAGCCCTTCAGTGACGGCTCAGTATAGCACTGCGGCCATAGCAGCAAGAAGTCACCTACCTTCCAATATTTCATCTCTTATAAAGCCCAGAGTCATTCCCCTGGCTTCACATCTTCCCCTCCGTCTCTTTCAAACTATCCCTGCACCATCACCAGCATCCTGAGTCAAGTCGAATGCGACTGGCTCTCATCGTCTGAATTACACCGCACTTCGGCAGCCGAGAAAGCTCGGTTCGCAAAGTTCATCCTCCCTGTTCGCCCGCGTCTGTCTCACAGCAGTCGAAAACATGTCTCTGCCGCTGTACGAGCAAGCCAGTGACCTCACGGCCATTCCCACTACCGAGTGGGAATGGTCTGCAAAGGCCTCTGCTGGGCTGTCAAATGGCTCTGGAAGGAGCGAGGAGGTCGGTGAAAAGGATACCGCTCCCTCCCAGTGGGGCATTCAGTTCCTCCCTGGTGAAATTCGCCAGATGATATACAACTATGTCTGCCTTCACTACCGCGTGCAGATCCAGCGTGCTCCCCGGAAGCAGGTCCCACCTGTCCCAAAGGTGGATGAGGAGACCGGCGAAATTCTCATCATGGTGAATTGGAAGAACTCAGAAGTCTTCAAGCTTACTCACCGTAAGCTGCCCGCTCGCGTCAAGAGTACCCAGGAAATTGACGCTGGAGCCCCATCCGCCTTCGCTCCCCCGCTGAACCTCATGCTATCATGCAGGAGTATCCACGATGAGGTCAAGCCTTTCTTGTACAAGCATACCCAGTTTGTCTTCCATTCAACCCGGGTTCTCAACCGCTTCCTGAATTTCACTAGCTCGGAGATCAAATCGGTGGTTCACCACATCGAGGTGACGCACACCATGTATAACGACCCCTTTGACCAGGCAAATAAGAAATGGAAGACCAAGAGCGACAACGCCTGGATGAAGACCTGCCTCCGCTTGTGCCTCGAGCTTCCTGCACTGCAGGTTTTCCACCTGGAGCTCGGCGTCTTTGATAGCGCTGCTGAACTGCGAGTCTGTAATCCCTGGTTCAACCCCTACCTGGGTCTCTGCTTATTCCACAATATGCATCACACTCGCTGGCTGGACCTAAACGTGCGCGTCCTCCAGATCCCCACCGAGGGAAGCCAGTTCAATGAATACGTCCACAGCCTCGTGGCAGACAGGTATGCAGAGGGCGATCTCGACAGCGAAACCGAGGAAATCATGGACGACCTAGGGCTATACCGGCAACGGCCCGCAGTGTACAAGACAGAGGATGGTGTGCTCACAAAGCGAGACCTCAGCATTTCATGGTTCAACTGAATGTTTGTGCTGGCGTTTGCACTTCTATGTGCGTTCAATGATGACGTGAGAGTGAGTGCGAAAGAGAGAGATACCCTTTCGCCTAGTGTTTGTATGGAGCGAGGAGGGAGATCTGAGACGAAATGGGGATAGAAGACGAAACACAATTTACGAAAGTGGATGTACAACAGCGGCTTAAAGAAATGCTTAGCTGAGCAACCTAGGAACATTTCGAAGGTTTACCTACCCTTTCATTAACATCTAGAGATTCCCAGATTAGACGTAACCAATGCCTCCCGGGGAAGAGGTCGACCCAGGTATTCGGTCTGTTCTCCACGCCACTTTCGAGATGGCTTTATCACCCCACCTAATTCATACTTCCTTCGGGGGCCTTTGAGGCAATGGAAGATAAATCTACTTACTAGATATGTAGATACTGCAAGCAAGACGATATTTGCTGTCACACCATTCTAACTCTAAGTATACAGTGGAGCGGACTTGTTAACACATTACGACTACCAAGTATTGAAATGGACAGCCCACAAGCAAGCCAAGAAACCAGTGTAACTAATCATATATCAAACACATTAAGATAACATCATTTCTCTTATAAGTGTCCAGTTAGCAGTCTCAACGGAAAGAAAAGCCAAATAAAAGGCCGCGCCTACGAAAAAAGAGGTAGGCGCCAAAGTAGAGGCGGTACAAACGAGTCACATTTACAGCTCATACAGTTATAGTTGTGAATCCATCTTCCACGAAGATACTCATTCTCAGTGCCCTTGCCCTGCCCATGACAGGTGTTTCCTTCTTGCCAAGTCGCCCATGCAGTCCGCACATAGATCCAGGAATACAGCCCCTGGCCTCGGTTTCAAGTGGAGTCTGCTATATGAAGTGCGATAATAGTTAGAATTGTGGCCACATCCTCATCTGGGGTTAGTTGCCTCTGAAGAAGTGCATTTTTCCAGAACATAGTGTCCTCTATACTACCAGTGCGCTGACAGTGATGGCGATTCTCATTTGCATCCATGGGATTCAGACTAAGCATCTGAATAGTAACCTATGAGGTTCTATACCTCTTACCGAATCATTCGGTCCTACCTCTATCTCCATATAGTGCTAGCTTCGTGGACTCTATGCTCGAGCGCATGGGCTCACCTCAAGAGATTATCACAGAGGTTGTTTCAGTCTTTTACGGACGTAACTGAATCCATTGTTCCGGGCAAAATCTAGCGGAGCTCTGTGGTTGCTGGTAGGGAGAGTAGCTTGATTAGATCCAACGCAGACAATAAGGTGAGTAAGATGAGTGGTGATGTGATGGAATGAAGAAGAGGTGGCTTTTGAAGCCCTGGCTAACGGTGTCTCAATATGACAAGGCCGTGATCACCTTTGTCCGAAAAATTTTATTCATTCTGTAATAGAACAAAGGAATAATGTCAAAATATATATCGAGTCAATGCCCTGTGTATGCTTCGCCCGGGCGCGCTCGTGTAGGTAAATGCTCAGATGTAAGGGATAATTCTACGCAAATAAGCGCCTGCCATACGAGGATTATGTCCGCTTGAAACAGGTTAATAATAAGTCGATACTTTTCGGGCAACAGTTCAAGGAAATTCTACGTTGGCACTCCAGTGCGACCTTAGTTGGATGTGGATATGATTGACTGGCTACCCTTTGTCGTATTGTGCTCCTACAGAATTGCAGAGGTACACTAAGACCTGCATCCGCAGCTAAGAATATTTATCCTGCCAGACCGGGAGTCTCCGATCGCTAGGTATGTCCGCTAAATGATCATGCCACTGCCCTCGGTATAACCCGCTTTACTTCATGACAGGCTCATTCCTACAGTTCTACAGGCCGTATCTGCAACACCCGCATCCAAAATGGAACTTGAAACAAACGCCCACGGTGATTTTACTGGGTTGGGGGGATAACCGTTATTTCTCAATTTTGAAGCTGCATGCCGAGAAATGTCAGATGTGATGTGCTGCATGCAAGTTCTATCCGCAATAGGCTAATCGGTCCGACAGTACCCGCGCCGTTCACGCCTGCTTCGGCATTCCAGCACCGAGCTTTCCCTCCACCGCCGCCCGCTCAAAATCGCGACAGCAGCAAAAACAGGGCGCTGTCCAAATCTACGCGCGACCGGTTCATGGAGCGTCTAATATTGCGGCATCTGAACATTCTAGGTTCACATTCGGTCTTGGTTCGGACATCTGAATATCCAAATACTGAGATCATTTACAGTAGAACGTGTCGAAGTGTAACTCTCTTGGCAAACTGCTGTTGAGCCGAAACTTAGATAGAGCTCTCTACGTGGCTGGTATCTGTTTTGCTCTATTTTTGCGTGTCCAGGCGGCCAATCTCCAATATGGAAGGCGTATCTACAACTACAATCAGGGGGCACAAGGACGGCGCGCCTCTAGTTAGCGTGTTGCATCCGGCCGAGTCGGTAGGGCAGAACATCATGATCCGCTGCAAGCGTAGGGCCTCCGCCCAGAAGATTCACTAGTTCAGTTTAGTTTACGAGGTGCATACGACTTCGGCCGAAGCCCGGTCAATCGAACGCACCATGTGCGGAGGGTAATCAGGCCTTAAGGGGGGGGGAGAGGCTACAGCGTATGGAGCGGGCGTCATTCATGGCTTGCCGGAAAACTGCCGGGCCAAGAGCGTAGCCAGAGTCGCCGATCATCCCAAAACTGGGGAATTAGGTTAGGGCCAGGAGCAAAGATCAAACGGCAATGAAGCATCTTAAATTTAGGGTTCCGAGCCGTCCACGGGACCAGTGAATCGGGAAATAGATGAACGTAGTCGGAGCGGTGGGACCGAACCGTATGAGCCGTCGAGAATGACTTAAGTTTGGGACCAGGCCAACTGGGAAGGACGCCGAAGACGCTGGCCACTAACGGGCTGCTCGCTGGTTCGTGGGAGGCTCCGTGCGGTCCCTGAAGGGTCCACTTGGCGCCGCACGCCGAGTGCCAAACTTTATAATCGCTTTTCCTAATGACGGGATTGTCTAAAAAGGAGATTGCCTGACTGTCGGCCAGGTGGATGCGGGACGCTGCTTTAGCTATGCATTTGATATCACCACTTTTCTTTTTTTCCTTCCATTTTTTGTTTTTTTTTTTTTTTTTTCGTGGCTTCTCTTGGTCTTCTCTTTTGGTAGTATCGCCGAGATTGTCATTGCCCATTAGTCATGTACCACGCGTACTTCGCATGACCCTAGCTTATTGTGACCGAGTCGCGTTCAGGCGCTGCTGCACAAAGTGAAGCACGTCCATGTTGTATCGGAAAATATAGAGAAAGTGAGCAAGGTTGTCCGGCGGCGGGATTCGGAAACAGCAGGTCGCGTCATCCTCGTCGCAGTAGCTTCTCAGCGAGGCTGCGTATGCGTCGCACCATTCAGGATGGATGCGTGGATAGATCTACATTGTGGGCGGATCATTAGATTGCGGTTTTTGGTTCTGCCCGGACAAACCCCAGACACCAGCCGGAAGTACCAGCCGGAAGTCTCGGGCGTGGTCAAATTCAAGAGAACGTTGTGACCGGGATTTGACTGCTTGACTTACCCCAGTTCCGTCAGTGCACGTCCCGACGCTGTACGGAACCCCGGGGACAAACGTCTCTTCGCCATAGGATACAGCCGCGATCACTAACGTCAAATTTGGCTTGGTGTGGCCGCGATCAATGAGTTTGCGGCGTGGACTTACCAGTCCTGTTGTACCGGGGCTCCAGTGCGGAGACAGGGAAGAGCCACTGCGAACTCGTCCCGCAAAGTCCGTCCATCATGACCACTCCGCCCTATGGTGGGAGCAATAAGGTTTTCTCAGCATGGTGGATTTGAAATAGGGATATCCGTACATACGAGGGGTTTGTAAGGGGAAAAGAAAAACAATACTAGCCACAAACTAGGAGGCAAAATGGATAGACACTGAAAACCCCCCGAAGTAGTCCTGTTGGGGGTCTAGATCCATACAGATCGGTGAATGAACGAGATGGAAGAGGCAGGCATATAGTCTTCCGAATCCAATAGACCAATGAAAAGCCCACGTACCAACGAGTACCCATGGACGAAAATTTTGGAGTTCGGACAACTCGCTGCATAGTACCGGATATACTCCTGCATGAGAGAAGCGCCATCGGCGGCGGCGATTCGATGGTCGTCCACGCCGTGCTTGTACGGCAGGTCGACGCTACTCGAGCCCGGAATCAGCTGCAGGATCAGGTTCTGGACAGACACCATCACATTCAGATGATCGCCAGGCCCTTGTCCCCGAATGAGAATGGCGTGGACACCTGTGGCGCAACGCTCTGGCGGGACTATTTGAGCCAAGCACGGCTGGAGTCCGTGGAGAAAGAAACCCAGCAGGAGGGGATTCTGGAAGGACTTGACGTGCATGGCGAATGGAATGCTATCCGCTAATGGTGGGAAGTGGGGGTGGGATTGATTATTCGGGACAATGGGCCTGGAACGATCTACGGAGCTGTCGCGACGTATTTAATGTGGTGGAGGACTGGGAGGAGAAGATAGGGGGCTGTGGCAGGGATAATATCACGCTATCGGGTTGCAGCTACGCCTATTGATGATAGTTTAACAATTGGCGAAGGAATGGTGTGTAGGAGAGTACAGTCTTATATTATCCGGGTGTGCGACAAGGGGAAATTGCGAACTTGACATGGCGGAGAGTAGAAAATGACGGGATACGCACGAGCACGAAGGATAAGCACATAGATCCGGAGATTGGGATCGGCACTACTTCTCGGCATTGGCCAGGCGGAGGGTTATCGATAGATGCGTCGGCTTCCCTGACCGATTGGAATGTAGCGCATTGGCCTCAGTGATAAACAGATGAGAAAAAAGAGAGATTTTGACGAGGAGAAAGCGAGGCAATGGACGGCATCTCCCGTTCCGAGGTGATTCAAGAGGAGGCCAACCCAACTATCGAAATGGACTAGAGAGGGATAGGTATAGTTGCTATTGTGAGGACTACATGAAAATTGAGCGGATATGCTGAATATTCAGCGGAAGCATCCCTGGTTCAGCGCAAACCTAGTCGGCGACCCACAGCATAGGTTGGGTGGTCTACAAGGTTAGTATATACAATATCGAAATATTTTCTTGCGATGATGATAGACAATCATGATGGAAAATGGCCTCAAGGTTACACCGACGAGCGGTTCTCGACCGCACAACCGGCGTGCGAGTTACCCTCCTGCAAGGCTACGTTGATAAGCGGAAAAGTCATCCTCGTGGCGTATGACAACCCCCCGGCCAGGCACATTCTGTACGATCGGCACGGTAGGCTAGTATAGTGCGAATAACTGCTGAAATATTATTCTTCTGGTTATTTCCCTTTATCGACACTTCCAGCCCCCCAAGGTAGCTTCCATACATCCAGACCAACTTGCATGAATCCGTGCTCCCCTCTCTTTACATATTGGTTTCGTCCTGGGTAGACCCGCCGAGACACATCCACTTACTCCTCTCCCTGCAAGTGCTACGACTTGGACATCATTTCGCGGACCGCATCGCCTAGCTCACCGATCACCAGCCCAGACCGCGGAATGGTGTGACCCTTGCCCGTGTCGAAGAAAATAGCCGTGTCAGGGTCACAGACGTTGTAGAGAGCGTATGCGCCGTGTCGGAAAGGATCTGCTCATATAAAATAAGAAGGAAGGCGGTTAGTTGGGAATTTCGACAATGCCAATCACAGAAGATGAAAGAAATAGCTCCGCATGCAAGTATCATACCATTCGCGCCCACGACGTGCAAGGAAGGCACGTCGATCATATCGTCAACTTCGTCCGCGAGGATAATCCCCTTCTCCGGGTGGATTGGAGGCCAGCCTGTGATGAACATCGCGCACTTGATCCGTCGTTCGCGTCCGCTTTCTTGGAGTCTGATTTGCTCGTCTATGATAAGTGTGGCTGCCATGGATGCGCCTTCACTATACCCGATGATGCCTTCAATATCCGGGTTTGCCTCCAACGTTTCGTAGAGATAATTCATTACCTCCCGGCGGTTCTTCCACTCAGCATCACGGTCCCCTATGAGGTCGCGCATCACATCCTCCGGGTTCTGCCCAACTGGAATCTTTCGTACCCGGCTGATCATCGAATCCTCGGCGACACCAGCATCGTCGGCCCAGCGGTAGTGCGGTCCGACGCCAAAATATTCCTCGAACCCTGCGAGTTGGTGAGACATGAATTCCGGACTCCCTTTCTTTTCCACGGCTATCAAGATGGGGTGCATCATACCTGGCGGAGGCTTAATTCGCACCGGACCCTGGATATAGTGGAAGGAAGCAGAATTGTCGCATTCGAGCTCTTTCTGCAGTGGGGCTGGAGCGATCACCCGTTAAAATGCGTGCTACTTCAGACTGTACCCTTCCTCCTCCTGGTGGCTTCTACCTAGCTGGATACTGATATTCTGCGCGAATTAGCATGGTTTCTTCACGCCGGACAGTGCCTCATATCTGGCACCTGCTTCCCACTCACTTCAATGTTGCCAATGGCACCATGGAGACAGAGGAACCGCATTCTGGGCCCTGTGTAGTCTGGTCGGCGTAAATTGCGTATACTTGATATTTGTCCAATGACGGGGATTGCACAACCACTCTTCCTGCGAGAGACAATGGGGAGCGCGCTTTAATAGCCAACACAAGCAGTTAAGCTGAAGAAAAGGTGATACGAAAAAGAAATCCCTTCAGGGGAGCTTGTCAGAACACCGAGTGGTTTCTCCACCGGTCCGGGACTTGTCTCGAGCTCATAAATCAGTAATTCCCTCTGAGCACAGGTGATCGACAGGGGGATCCACCCTGCCGGCCAACAAGGTGAATAAGGCTGGTTAGGGTTGCATGGTCTAAGTCCCAAGTTGCATGGACCCAGAGTTCCTGTCCCTGAATTTTGTGTCTAACCCAAGTGGGCTGCACGGCAGGATAGCCAAAGTTACGCCACCGGCGGCCCAATGTTAATCTCCCATTCTTATCGCCGGGCAAATGAATATTTGGGAAAACAATGAATATTGAGAAAAATGGCGTGAACTTGGTTTGAAAGTAAGATTTGATGGATGAGGGAAGAGGGACTGTTGATCCTCTGCCTCTCTTACAATGCACTGTTTTTTTAGTTTTCTTTTATTTTCTCTGACACTTAAAGTAGAAGGCTCCAGCCTTGTCTATATAATCCCAATGGCTCGTCGGTTCTAGTTGTGGATTCAAGAGACACGAAAAGAAGTCACGGACATTCTTCTATACATTCGTTCTATATCTTTCTCTTCTGGTTCCTTCTTTACTCATATACCCCCTCCTCCATCCATCAGGCCCTCCAAGGTGCCCCTCCTCCTATTCTACTCCCCCTCCACCGTTATACTTCCCCACCTCACCCTGACACAAAACACACGATGAACGGTGCTGTCGCCCCCAATGGGACGCAGTGCGACGGGGAATCCCAGCCTCCGCAACCCATTGCCATCATCGGATACGCCTGTCGTCTCGCCGGTCAGGTTTCCTCGCCCAGCGACTTATGGGAGCTATGCACACGAGCCCGAAGCGGCTGGTCACCCATTCCCAAAGACCGCTTCTCTCACGGCGCCTACCACCACCCCAATCCCTCCAAGCCCGGCACTTTCAACCCAGCCGGTGGCTACTTTCTCGACGAAGACATTTCCCGATTCGACGCCCCCTTCTTCAATGTCACCGTCCAGGAAGCCATTTCCATGGACCCACAGCAGCGCCTACTGCTTGAGTGCTCCTACGAAGCTTTGGAGAGTGCTGGTATACCCAAAGAGTCGCTTGCCGGCCGCAATGTCGGTGTCTTTGTCGGCGGCAACTTTTCGGATTATGAGCTCAATAATTTGCGCGATATCGAGACTCTCCCTTCGTTTCAGGCCACAGGCAATGCACCCGCCCTCCAATCCAATCGGATTTCATATTACTTTGACTTGGAGGGACCGAGTATGACGATCGACACAGCCTGCTCATCTTCTCTGGTGGCCTTGCATTATGCTGTTCAGAGCATTCGAAGTGGGGAATCGAAGGAGGCGTTGGTCGGTGGGTGCAGATTGAATCTTCTTCCTGACTATTTTGTTTCTATGTCTATGTCACAGTGAGTAAGCCTGGTACGTTCCCCCTGAAGCTCAAATAGTTAACGGATTCATCCTTAGATTGTTCAACGATGACGGGAAAACATACTCTTTTGACGAAAGAGCAAAATCTGGATTTGCGCGCGGCGAGGGTGCAGGCGTTGTCCTCCTCAAACCTCTTGACGCAGCCCTGCGCGACAAAGACCCCATCCGGGCGGTAATTGCGAATTCTGGAGTCAACCAAGACGGGAGAACCAAGGGTATCACATTGCCGAACGAACACGCACAAGAAAAATTGATCCGCCGCGTATATCGCGAGGCCAACCTAAACCCAGATGAGTGCGGGTTTGCGGAGATGCACGGTACAGGAACGAAAGCCGGAGACCCCATCGAGGCGCGGGCAGTGCAGGCGGCCCTGGGGGGAGGCCGAACAGCTCGGAATCCGCTTTATATTGGATCGGTGAAGTCGAACGTCGGCCACTTGGAGGGTGCCAGTGGCATTGCTTCCATTATCAAGACGGCCATGATCCTCGACAAGGGGCTGTTGCTACCCAATGCCGACTTCAAAAAGCCGAACCCGAATATCCCACTGGCGGAGTGGAATATGAAGGTCGTCACCTCCACACGGCCATTCCCACGGGGCATGAAATATGCCAGTGTGTCCAACTATGGCTTCGGCGGAACCAACGCTCATGTGGTCCTCCAAAGGCCGCCGATGCCAGAACAGTCGGAGGACGATGCAGGAGTCGAGGGGGATCCTAAGAGCAGGCTGTTTTTGATCTCAGCCAATGACAAGGAAGCCCTGCGCGCGAGAATCCAGGACTTTGGCATCTACTTTGAGCAGCGGCCAGAGGTGTTCGAGAACTCTCTCTTTGGCAACTTTGCGCACACCCTTGGAACTAAGTTGTCCCATCTTTCATACCGGGTGGCACTGTCTGCTGTCTCTTTGGACGATCTGGGCATCAAGATGGCCCAGCTAAAAGTCAACCCGATTCGAGTGCTAGGCGCCCCGACGGTAGCTTTCGTCTTCACCGGCCAGGGTGCTCAATGGGCCCAGATGGGTATTCCTTTGATGGGCGAATACCCAATTTTTGCTGCGGCCATTGAACGCGCAGACCGATGTCTGCTCGATCTGGGAGCGGACTTCTCTCTCCTCGAAGAGTTACAGAAGGATGCAGCAGTCTCCGAGATCAACGCCCCCCACCTGAGCCAGCCGGCCTGCACCGCCCTCCAAATCGCTCTCACGGACCTCCTCCGTTCCTGGGGAATTCGTCCTTCTTCAGTCGTTGGTCACAGCTCTGGCGAAATTGGCGCCGCCTATGCCGCCGGTATCTATGACCTGGAGGGAGCCATGGCACTTGCCTACCGCCGCGGTCAAATGACCTCATTGCTGAAGAGCTCTTATCCGCAGCTGAAGGGCACTATGATCGCCGTCGGAGCTAGCCCCGAAGCTATCAAGCCAATGCTGAAGACCCTAGGCTCTTACGCGACGGTAGCATGTGTGAACAGCCCGTCCAGCGTGACTGTTTCTGGAGATGCAGATGCCATTGATGAACTCGAGGCTGTACTGCAGGAGAAGCAGCTCTTCAATCGGAAACTGAAGATTGGCGTCGCCTACCACTCGGACCATATGAAAAAGGTAGCAGAAGCGTACCTCGCTGCCATTGACTCGATCTTGCCCTCGTCATCCACGACGGCAACCTTCTTCTCGTCCGTTACTGGTGAAATCGCGGAGCCGTCCGATCTAGGCCCAGCATACTGGGTTGCCAACCTGACCTCTCCCGTGCTCTTTGCCGATGCGCTCGCTAAAATGTGCACCCTCGAGGAAAATCGACCAAACCTCCTACTTGAGCTTGGCCCCCACTCCGCCCTGAAGGGTCCCATCCTAGATACTATGAAGAGTCTAGGTTCAACCGCATCAAAGATCGGCTACGCTGCGACAGTACTCCGCAACGCCGACCCCGCGCAGTCCATGCTGAATGCCGCAGGCGCTGTGTACGTGCGCGGTGGAACGCTCAACATCACAGCGATCAACTTCCCTGTGAGCGGTGGCCGCAACCGTTCTTTCCTGCGAGACCTGCCCAAGTACCCGTGGCAGCACGGCACCCGGTATTGGCACGAGGCGCGCATTGCGGAGAACCATAAGTTCCGCGATGGAAAGCGGAATGATATGCTGGGAACGCTGGCTATTTATTCGAACGATCTGGAGCCGACCTGGCGCAACATTGTTCGTCTAGATGATATACCCTGGCTGCGGGAGCACAAGATGCAGGGTATGAACGTATATCCGATGGCTGGATATGTATGTTCCAACGATGACTTCATTCAGTTCTCGAGAGATACTAACTTGGCTTTGATAGTTGGCAATGGCCATTGAGGCTGCACGTCGACGCGCTGAGCAGCACGAGATCTCTTTCTCACAATTCGAGTTCCGCGAGGTGACCGTCGGCGCTGCCCTCGTTCTGACCGACGACGTGGACGCTGAGACTACCATCTCCCTCAAGCCATATGCAGAAGGTACCCGCGGCAACTCGGATATCTGGGATGAATTCCGTATCTCGTCGTGGACCTCTAAGCGGGGTTGGACAGTGCACTGCTCGGGTTTGGTCCGCACCCGCGCCAACAATAAGCAGCAGACATTGGTCGTCAACGTCGCCGAGGCCGAGGAGAAGCACTTCCATTCTCAAATCAACCGGGTCAAGGAACAAGCTACCTACAAGATCGACACGCAGAACATGTATCAGGTTCTCACCGATGTTGGTGCCGGTTATGGGCCCCTCTTCCAAGGTCTCGAGAATGTATTCTCAAGTCCCGTTCACTCATGTGCGGATCTGTACGTTCGGGACACGAAGACCGTGATGCCCAAGAACTTTGAGGCCCCATTGACCATTCACCCCACCTTCTTGGACGCCCTGCTTCACCTGGTCTGGCCAATTCTTGGTCAGGGTCGAATGGCTCTTGAGACGCTGTACATGCCTACGATGATCAAGAACTTGGTCATCAGCGACAAGATCCCATCTGTCCCTGGCGAATTTGTCAAGGCGTGGTGCAACGGTGGACCCAGCCAGGCCAGCCCCGAGCCGACCAAGTTCGACCTTTGGGTGACGCCCCAGCAGTCGACTGAAGTCCTGATCAACATGGAGGGTCTGGTAATGACTCCGCTCAAGGACACTGGTGCAATCCGTCGCGAAAATACCCGAAACCTGTGCTACAAGTTCGAGTGGAAGTCTCTAGCCGACGTTGAGAAGGGGCTGACCCCGGAGATCCAGGAATCCAGTGATCATGTTAATGGCATCAATGGGCACGCTGAGGAGCCTACCAGCGCCTTGGCAAATGGCCATGCTACAAGTGAACTGCCCAATGGCCATACCGATAGCCATCTGACTCTGGATAAGATGCCGCATATCAATGGCAATGGCATCATGAACGGCCATCACCTGACAGATGTCCTTATCACGCAGTTCGGTGAGTCTGACGGTATCGCCGACAAGCTGAACGATGCTATCCGCAAGGAAAACATTGACTGGAAGCCTTCTGTCTCTGATTTCGGGGAGATGGATGCTACTGGTAAGCGCGTCGTTGTCCTTCACACTGGAGCTCACTCTCTTCGCGACCTCACCGCACAGTCCTTTGAGGACATGAAACGGACTTTGCTCAATGCCTCCCATGTCCTTTGGGTTTATCGTCTTGACAACCCCGATGCCCAGATGATCGTCGGTCTTACCCGTAGTCTGCGCTCCGAAACTCTGGCCAAGGTCGCGACTCTTGGTCTTGAGACCGAAGATCTCGAGAAGCCTGCTATTCCGATTACGGCTGCCATGAATGCTATTTGGCCCGCTGACAGCGTGAAGCCCTGCAATGAGTTCGAGTTTCGGGCTAAGGGTGCTGAGTTGTACGTCCCGCGTGCCTTCCCCGACGACGCGGCGGACACTTTCGTCAACAATGAAACTCATGAGATGACAATTTCGTCTCAACCATTCCATCAGCCTGGCCGTCGCTTCAAGCTGCAAATCGGCAACCTTGGTGCCCTGGATACGCTGTACTTTGCCGACGATGTCGTCGATCCCTTGGCTGACGATGAGATCGAGTTTGAGGTCAAGGCCACCGGTCTGAACTTCAAAGATATCGTCGTGACCATGGGCCAGCTCGCACAGCCGTATATTGGTATCGAGTGCAGTGGCATCGTCTCGTCGGTCGGCAAGAACGTCAAGCACCTCACGGTCGGCCAGCGAGTCATGGCCCTGCCGCTGGGTGGTTACTCAACCTACGCTCGCTGCAAAGCCACCAGCGCAGCCCTGATCCCAGAGAACATGTCCTTCGAGGTCGCCGCCACAGTACCTGTCGTGTTCTGTACAGCTTACTATGCACTCTTTGACCTCGGCCATCTGCAAGAAGGCGAGCGAATTCTGATCCACGCCGGTGCAGGTGGTGTTGGACAAGCAGCCATTATGCTAGCGCAGATGATCGGTGCAGAGATCTTTGTGACTGTCGGCAGCGTGGAGAAGAGGCAGTTCCTCATGGCAGAGTACGGCATTGCCGAAGACCACATCCTGTACAGCCGTGACTCATCGTTCGGTCGCGGTATCCGCCGCGCTACCAACAACGAGGGCGTGGATGTTGTCGTCAACTCGCTCGCAGGTGATCTCCTTCGCGAGACATGGGAGTGCCTGGCGCCGTTCGGCCGATTCATTGAAATCGGTAAGGCGGATATCACCAAGAACACCCGTCTCGATATGCTGCCATTCGAATACAATATCACCTTTGCATCCGTCGATTTGACCAAGGTTGCGGCGCGCCGACCGAAGCTGATGAAGCGTCTCTTGGATGATGTTACGGCGCTGATGACCAAGGGCTCTGTGCATCCTGCCCTGCCGCTTACCACATATCGCATCTCCGACCTGGAGATTGCGTTCCGGACGCTTCAGACTGGTAAGGCTATGGGTAAGATTGTGGTTGTGCCTCACCAGGATGATCATGTCAAGGTAAGAAATTATTAGTCAAATATTGGATGGAGCAATGCTAACTTCTCATACAGGCTGTTACGCCCAAGACTGGCTCTTCCCTCCTGAAGGCTGATGCTTCTTATATCTTGATCGGTGGGACTGGTGGTCTAGGTCAAAGTATGGCCAGGTGGATGTCGTCAAAGGGTGCCGGACACATTGTTCTTGTTTCCCGTAGCGCATCAGTCAATGACCAGGTGCGAGCTCTGATTGATGAGCTGGCCGTCAATGGCACACATGTCACCGTCAAGCCCTGCGACGTGAGCAGCCGACAGTCCGTCGAGAATCTCGTCAAGGGGGATATGAAGGATCTTCCTCCAGTCCGTGGTGTTGTCCATGGTGCCATGGTTCTCCGAGTACGTATTGCCCTCAAAAGTTCTACCCCAATCCTCAATCATGCAACTAACAATTTCCGTAGGACATGCTGTTCGAGAACATGACCTTAGACGACTTCCAAGCCGTCATAACCAGCAAAGTTGACGGCGCCTGGAACTTGCATGAAGTCCTCGCTGACTCCCCGCTCGACTTCTTCGTGGCCCTCTCCTCCGTGGCCGGTGTCATCGGCAACCGCGGCCAAGCCGCCTACGCCGCAGCCAATGTCTTCCTTGACGGCTTCATGGAGTACCGACGGTCACAAGGCTTGCCCGGTACATCGATTGACCTGACAGCCGTCCGCGATGTCGGCTACCTAGCAGAAGTCGACAGCAAGCGGCGACAGGAAGTGCTGAACAATATCGGCACAGATGGTATGGACGAAGCCGAGGTGCTCGCCCTGCTCGCCGCCGCAATCACAGGCGATCTGGTTGAGTCGTGCTCAGGCCAGTTCATTGTTGGCCTCGAGCTCAGCACACTTGATCACTTCTGGGCGCAAGACGCCAAGTTCAGCGTTCTGTATGAGGCCGCGAAGGCAGCGCACGGTTCAGGTGCTGGCGGCAGTGGACCCTCTGCCCCGCTGAACGTACTCCTTGCCAATGCAGCCTCCAAGGAGGAGGCACTTCGTATCTGCTATGAAGCCCTCGCCGCCAAACTAGCGCAAATCCTGGTGATTTCGCTGGAGGACATGGATCCGTCGATTACCGTGGCCTCTTTGGGTTTGGATTCGCTTGTGGCGATTGAGATCCGCAACTGGATTGCGCGCGAGGCAAATGCCAATGTGCAGGTCTTGGAGTTGCTGTCGAGCGGGTCTCTGATGGCACTTGCGGAGATTATTTTGAACAAGTCGCAGGTTTGAGTGGGTGATGTAATGCCCGTTGAAGGGGAGATTGAGTATATGTTCTTTTATCCTTGGTTTTATATTTATGTTGATCCTTTGTTATGATAGAAGTATACCTAAGTAACTGCATTGATTTGAATGAATTTCTTCAGCTAGGTCTGGCTCAATTTCTTAGATATATATTTTACTCTTGATGCCAAACATATACCCGGTGGGGATGCAAATCGTATATTGCGCCAAGCTAGCCTCAAGTGGGACTCACAGTTAAACTCTTTGATGATCCACCAGACTGTCTGCAGATTGGAACACCATGAAAGACAGCTATCACAGGGCGCATGCGGATGGTAATCTGATTAGAGTAGATAGGTTCGTGTGGCGCTGCGAGTGGCGCTGCCCAGCCATGTAGACCCTGAAGCTTGGCACAGCAACCAGCTAAATCCACTGGTGAGAGTTTAGTGGCGCCCGGATGGCGGATTTGCCCAAACTTTCACGAACCTTCATTCGTTTTAGTGCTTACCTCGTGCTGTTTACTGTAGTCGCCGCGACTAAAGCATGCTTTTTGCGCAGGCAGATGAGGCCGCTGACTACTCTGAGTTTGAGACCTCATTTCTTCCCTAGGTGCTCGCCTCGGCCACTCGATCCCTCCGAGTAGCGTATAAATGTGCAAGTCTCCTATCAATTCACTCCATGAAGCTACACTTGTACGCTCACAAGACCCACAAATTCGAAATGCGATCATCGTCGCAGATTGAATGGCTATTTAACTTGAGTTCGAACGAGATTGAAATAATCCTTATTGACACTAAATTTTATGGCCGGCTCCCTAACTGGCTGTTTGTTCTCGATTTTGAGATAGGTGATAGATGCCACCGAACGAATGTGATTTGATTCCAGTGTTTCCTCGGAATCTATCGATTCTGGCTCTCACATGGCAGGATGTGCCCTCGAGCCACCGTGATCAAGACCATAAAGATGCTATATTTACATATAAGGTATTCTCAAAGAAACCCTCATCCACATTCATAGCATGTAATAGAGATTAGGTATATCGCATCAGTCGTTGATGACTATACGTAGCAGCCCGAGGCACCCTTCTTGCAGGACATTGCCAGTACTTCAACCTTCCACGTTATGTGTGCTGGCAATTCAGATGAATGGCAGTTCAACCGTCGGATGATACAATAGCGCCTCGAAATTTTGAAACCAGTGACAATGAAAAAGAAGGTATACGTCAGCTTCGTATCTTTAGGAACATCTTGCCAGTTATATTTCTGCCCATGATGCTCGGTAAATTCAGACTGAACCCTTGCTGCATTCTAAGGGAATTTCCCGACGTCCAATTGAAATTTTGTTTGGTTCCAACACTGTTGCGGGGCCACTTTGAACCAGTATAACCACACCGATGCCGATGCCGATCTCTAAAAATTTTCGAAAACGGCGTGAACATTCGGCCATTTCCCCCTTTTAGCCACTTAGACCATTTTTATTATCTCCTAACTTGAAGCCTGACGCAGATGAAAAGTAAATGAGAGAAATGTTCCAGCAGGCAGTACAACCGTTCCCGCCCGGGGGCTTGGCTTCGGTCATCAAACCAAGAAATTTCAAACCGGCCACTTGGCGATTGGCGATAATTGCACGCCAAGGTCTTTTGAGCCTTAAGAATTTGCCATTCCGTTTACAACGCTGATGTCATTAGATCCATCATTGAAAGGTGGCTGATCCTTGGCGCTAAGAAACCTTCCTATTATTCTCCATAGCACGGAGGACAATGCAGCGTGCTTCGTGGGTCCCCAGTGGACATTAGCCCGAGTCGGGTTGCGCGCATGAGAAATAATCGAGAGGAGAATTGAATCTGTCAAGAATTGCGACTAGCAACCGAGCATTTTTTTCTTATCGTGCAACCTACGCTCGGCCGCTTGGTCGATGCTTTGGTTCCAACACGACTACCAACTGCCCGGGTTAGCCTCGGATAACCATTGACCCGGGAAGCCGATGTACGAGCCAATGCCGAATTATTCTCGTCCGTGGTCAATAGATATACGGAATAAATTAATCTACCCAACGGCAGCCAACCACAAAAAGAGTGGAGTTCACATCCGTGTGCCCCACTGGTGTAAAATAGACGTCCATAGCTGGCCCCGTCATGCCAGGCGGAGTACGGAGTCCGGAGTATGTTGGATAAGACAGTTGTCGATGACATAGCCCAACCTCGAGGGTTGCAGCAGTCAACGGACTTTCAGACTCCACGCCCCAGGAACGGAACGGAGACCGAATCCGCTCAGACATGGGAAGTGATGTCTTTGAATCTATGATCGACCACGTGTAATTCTTCCATCTGGCATGGCCGTTTTGGATGCGATCTATGAAGGGACCCACAATGTTCAGATCTTTGGGCTGGAGCGATAAGCAAGAGTGAGCAACAACACCATCCTCATTCACCGCCGTTTTCTTCCGAGTAGCGTGTGCTAAACTTTGACGCGCGCTCAACACCCGAGGCAATGTCCCGAACGGCCTAACGGACTAGGCGATAGCACACCGTACCGTTGAGAGACTAACTAACAAATGGGGGACGAAACATTTGGAAATTAGACAATTAGTTGTGTCTACTGGTCCACCCACTTTTGGACCAGTGAGCGTCGTATCGTGCCCGAGAGTGGAGAGAAGTATGCCGACAAGTAATAGGGATCATCCCCGGCGGCAGAGGAGGTCAAAGCTGAGAAGCCGACTGCGGTTCAGTGCTGCCCGCGCGGGGCCGACCACTGACTGAGCCAGTACGTAAGCAGCGGCCCTAAAGCAGTTGGCTGCGACCGGGCATATGCTATTCCGGTCGGTAACGGGAAATAGCTGATTACATAAGGGATATGTCAGGCCCACCCGGGATTTGAGCCTAGCGGGTGGCCACCAATCACAGCGAGCACTCGGGCCTTGGTCGAGTCGCAGGACGGATGCACAGCACGTGACTTGGCTGCTGGGAACGGCCATACTATCCTCCGAAACGGCCCTTCCCCGTGCAAAATGAGGAGAGTCGCGGAGTATCCGAAATCCTATTGTCCGCTCACAACGGCATTATCACATGCCATCCTGCCACATCCTGCGACATCCCACCCGCAGTACCTTTTGGAAAACTACCACCCTAGCAAGGATCAGGAAGCCAGCGCCGTCTGGACGATCCGCAACAGAATTGACTTCGGTACCAACAGCAGTAACTGTCTGGCGAGGCAACCCACTTGAAGGCCGCTTTCTCACTGTGTCCCCACGGGGTGTCGCATTGGATCTCGTCGGTGGCTTGGTTGGCCCCTCTTTGGCCCGTACTGTGGGGCTCTGCCTCATTCACGGTAACCTGCCGGCCGTCGGCATCGGGCACAGAACGGACAGACCCTGAGGGCCAGGAGGGGCACATGGTAACTAAGGCGAGTTTGCTGGGCAAAAGTGGCACTCGGTTGCGCTTCTTGGCCCCAGCGCCCACTCGCTTCAATAGCGATGCTTCTCAAATGGAAAAAGGGACAAGCGACGACTGGAGGAGACTGAGAAAATACCCAAAAATTCTGATCCTTCGACCCACCGCATTCCCCGTTATTCCCCGTGAATGGAGGAAGTGGGAGGGATGGAGGGTCGGATGAGATTCCATATCCGGCGAGGAGCATGGTGATCCGACGTCCGCAGGAGGAAGCGATCCACCCCCACGAGGCTACAGTGGGAAGGCTGCGATCGGACGGTGATAAGGGGGCGTCCGGAAGGCCCCCGGGTGGCTTGAGGGGCAAGAACGGGTGGCGCCTCCCAAGCGATCCCAAGGCGCACAGGTCCCAGGCACTCGCAAACAATTCGGCCTCCCGCACCCTCACTGGCCCGCCAACTTCGGACTCCCGAATGCAGCATCACTGGTAGCGGTGGCCAACCCCGAAGAAGCAGCCGCTACGCGCTAGGCCCCCTCTCGGCGGCTCGCGAGACTTGCCTGCAGCAAAACCCGCCTAGGACTAACCCCCACCTATGGCGACCCCGTAAAACTCTGCTGCGGGGCCCCTTTGGCCCCCTGGCCCCCATAGTGGCCCATGGAGTACCACGATGGTCCGCGCGACCTGCCTCTAGCGTTAACTCCGCCGACGTCATCTCCAAAGTTTGTCGTCTTGGCGGGACTACGACGTGGGACGGGGCAGTCGCCCCGGAAGAAGTATAGATACATAAGGCCACCTCCCCCAGACCCCCAGACGGACTTCTCTTCCTTCCTTGTCCTGGTCTCCTCCTCTCTTCGCGCACATACCAAGCGAAGCACCACAGTCAAGATGTGGACAACCACCTCAGGCTTGCGGGGCAAGCGCCTCCACATCGCCATCACCTTCACGTCCGTTGTGGGCTTCTCGCTCTTCGGTTATGATCAGGGTCTTATGTCTGGTATTATCTCCGGTAATGAGTTCACCAAGGAGTTCCCCCCCTCGCCATTCCCGAAGGCAGTTCCGCCTCGTACTCTCAGCATGTCTCCGTCCTCCGTGGTGCCGTGACTGCCTGTTATGAGCTTGGTTGTTTCTTTGGTGCCGTCTTCACTCTCATGTTCGGTGAGCGCATTGGTCGCACTCCGCTCCTCGTGACTGGTGGTATTCTCATGATTATTGGTACTGTCATTTCTACCGCCGCTTTCGGCCCCCAGTGGGGTCTTGGCCAATTCGTTGTCGGTCGGGTTATCTCTGGTCTTGGAAACGGCATGGATACTGCGACCATCCCTGTTTGGCAGTCCGAGTGCTCTCGCGCGCACAACCGTGGTTTCCTCGTCTGCTTTGAGGGTGCCATTATCGCCGTTGGTACTTTTATTGCCTACTGGATCGATTTCGGCCTCTCCTACGTGGACAGCTCCGTCCAGTGGCGATTCCCTGTTGCATTCCAGATTCTTTTCGCCGTCATGGTCAGCGCTGGCGCTCTAATGCTACCTGAGTCCCCTCGTTGGTTCGTCATGCAGGGCAAGGACCAGGAAGCTCTGGAGGTTCTAGCCGCTCTCAACGACAGCACCGTCGACGCCGAGGATGTTCTTACCGACTTCAACCTCATGAAGGCTGATCTGAAGGCCACCGAGGGTGCCAAGGCGGACTGGAAGACCCTCTTCACCTTCGGCAAGACACAGGAATTCCAGCGTATGATGATTGGTTGCTCTGGCCAATTCTTCCAGCAGTTCACTGGTTGCAACGCTGCGATCTACTACTCCACCCTGCTGTTCGAGCAAAACCTGCACATGGAGCACCGTCTTTCCCTAATTCTGGGTGGTGTCTTTGCTACCGTCTACGCTATCGCGACCATCCCCTCCTTCTTCATGATTGAGAAGGTTGGCCGCCGCAAGCTGTTCCTGATCGGTTTCGCTGGTCAGGGTCTGTCGTTCATCATCACCATGGCTTGCCTGATCAATGACAACGAGCAGAATGCCAAGGGCGCCGTCGTCGGTATCTTCCTGTTCATCTGCTTCTTCGCATTCACCACGCTGCCTCTGCCCTGGATCTACCCTCCCGAGATCAACCCTCTGCGCACTCGTACCATGGCTGCCGCCGCGTCCACGTGCACCAACTGGATCACCAACTTCGCTGTGGTCATGTTTACTCCCGTCTTCTCCGATGCTTCTGGCTGGGGTATCTACCTTTTCTTCGCGCTGGTTAACTTCATTGCCATTCCCTTCGCCTGGTTCTACTACCCGGAGACCGCCGGTCGTGATCTGGAGGAGGTTGATCTGATCTTCGCCAAGGCCCACATCGAGAAGAAGTGGCCCTACCAGATCGCCAACACCTTGCCCAAGCTCACCGTTCAGCAGATCGCTGAGATGCAGCGTGAGGTTGGTCTGGATGTCTCTGCCCACCAGCACGCTTCCGAGAGCGAGAAGGTCGAGATGGCCATGTCCAGTGGCAACTCGAGCGATGAGAAGCACGAGTAATTTCTCCGATGGGTGTCGGAGAGTAATGTACATTTGCTTTGGCGTTCCATCCTGGTGACGGAAAGCAAGAGGTCGCTACTACTCTTATAGATTATAGAGTTTTGTGGCTCTCGCATTATGTTTACCCCTTTTTCGTTTGCTTTGTTTCCCTTTATGATGCCGGCACGTGATGGTGGTTAATCGCTCCCATCTCCAGTGTCAGATGATGATTTCTTTGTTTTATACCATGAGGGGGAGATGACTGGAAAATAGAGGTTGATCGAGTCGAATAATAGAATGCACCGTCATTTTATACGTTTTCCAACGTAATTTCATCAATAGCCAGAAGCCATTGTCTATGCCATCGCTATGCAGCCCTTCGATATTCGCATCATTCATGTGTGCTATGCGTGCTCTAGGAAATGATTTAAGTCTAGAGGAGATGTTCTATGAGTCGAAGGACGTAAATATTCATGACCAGACGGTGAAGAATAGTTGATAGACTTTAACGGTGAAAGGCAAATGAACAGGGGGTTGGAATAATGCACGAGGGAGAATAGCCCTCCATTCAGTTTGGTCACAGAGCACTTTCAAGAACGAGATCTAGGAATGAACAATGCATTAGAAATCACAAATTTGACGTCTTGGATCAAGCTTGGAAGAGGTAAACAAGTACCCGCATGCTCACCTAGCGATTGATCTTACCGTTGGCGGACCTGAAGGAAGACCATCTGCAAGATGATGCATGATATATATTCCGGCCATAGGAAATGCGATAGCCACGGGCACGCTGACGCCCACCCGCAGGAAATACAATCACACTTCCGAAACCCACGGATCCCATCCAAAACCGCTATCCACTTATCGGATAATAGGCACCTCTTCGGGGAATTGCCAGCGGGTATATCATGCATGTTCAGGGATGATCTGACGATCAGAAGCACCGCAATCCAGCCAACGCAACGGCCAAGCCACATGGTCATGGTCCAGATGCCTGCACCCCCCACAGCCCAGGGTATACTCCACATGGGGAAGCGTATCCGCCTTCGGCATGCCTTCTATGTTGGCGGGCTTGCCCGGTTACCATGTGCACAGTTAGCGCTGCCGATCACCATGCAGGGTGCCATGCTCCAGGATGGCAGGTGTTGCGAAGTTTGTCCTTTGCTCCGAATCGGATATGATGGACGGATAAGTGGATTGGATATTTGCGGAGATACGAGGCTCGTGTAAATGTCTCTCCAGATAACTTTAACTTTTCCTCCGCCTCCTTTTCTAGAGTACTTGCACTTTTCAGCCCCCTTTGGCTGTTTCTGATTCAACTTAAGCTCCTGGCAGTTCTCCGTAATACTCTACTAGGAAGCAGAAGCTCTTTTCGCTTCTTATTGCCCAAGCCGTACCGGCTTTTCTGTGCTGATATTTCGGCGGGGCTTCTTTTCTTGAACATTGCATCGAATTGGCTGTACATATTGTGGCGATGGAGATCAAATGTTAGAGACAACTAATTAGAAGACACTCATGACGATTATTTCTCACTGTCGTCCAGAAGTGTCAATGATCCGACAAAGAAACCAGCCTGCGAGACTAGCTATCATCAGCCATTTGCGACCAACATAGTCAAGTAGGATAGCATTGAAAATGCTGCGAAACGAGGCCATCGGCGATAACAAGAACGGTGAAGCGAGGTGGCCAAGAGGAAAGAAGATCCGACTTGGCGCTTACTCCGAGCTGATCTGTTGCGACTGGCAACTTCGTCGTTGGATCACTTGACTCACGGTAGATTCGTTCGAGTGTAGCCTTGGCCTTCGGCAGAGTACCTTGATCCATATACAGCCGAGGAGACTCTGGGATATAGAAATGCCAGCACTGAGAACAAGGGGAGGAAAGTATTGAATGGCAAGAGATGGTCGCTAGTGGACCTACGAAGTAGACGCCGTACCCCAACGAAGAGGACAATGAGTTGCCAAGCAATATATATACCCTATGAGGACCAACATGAAGGCCCGAGAAGATGGAGGGGCAACCTCACTCTGCCATAAAGGTACCAGCACCACTAGCCCACCAATACCAAAGCCAGTAATAGACCAAGCAATAAGGAGGACGGCTCTGTGCACAGACCCGGCTTGCAAAGCACCTCCGACTACGGAGCATAGCGATGACTGTCGCTTTGAATCGGCCAAATGGTTGGCTAGGTGGTATCAAGCAAAAGAATCGGAGGAACAGGAGGTAATCGAATCCTTAATGCGCAGAAAGGCGTAGTCTTCAAAGAAAACAATTCTCAAATTCTGGAGCTTTGAAGGAACAGGCAAATTCATCAGCAATCTAGTATGGTGGGTAAGTTAAATTGATAACAAATCGATAATGAATCATTGTAGCGGTGGAATCTACTTACTGGTGGCCCATACTTTGAGTTCACACGATAGCGTTAATCAAGCCATAGTCTGGGGAAAGTGGAGCCCCTAGAACTAGTCGTGAGGGCGGGCTATGAACGTTGCGCGGGTAATGCTTAACTGGACTCGCGGGGTAACGCGGATGCCCTAACCTTGTGATGCAGATATACCTCCTAATCTTTTTTTCTTATCATGTTATCGGACGTTTTCGATTCTTGCTCCAATCGACGGTCTCGGTTCTTTCCTTTCCATGGATAGATACTGCTGTCCCCAGTGGAACGAAGCCCGTGCAGCTACTGAGATTCATCGAAGGAATCCGCCAGTTAAACGCAGAACTAGTACCCTACTTTAATAAATTCCCTATTCCTGTGGTGTCTCCAATGGCAAGAGGATTTTGCTTGATTCCTAGAGGTCTTTCGCCCCGCCCATCAGACGGCCTGGCATTTTCCGAGCGGCTGGTAAAAGTTCCGAGATGCGTGTGACATGTATCAATAGTTCGAAGGTCCCACGGGTAGAAGAGGCTAATTTGAACTGTGTATTTAGCCTCCTGCGGAAGTAGCACATTGACGATGGCCAAATCTCGTCGCTCTTTGTATAACTTGGCTGACATTGGCCTTACGTGTAGCATTAGGGCCAGAAACCACGTTATACTGAACTGAACTTCCTGGCATATAGTGCCATTCATGTGCGACCAAGCACGAAGTCTTGACTTTCTAGGGTAGCCTCGAGTGTTTTTCTACATAGGCCTGCTGTGTCCAAGTCAGCGATGGATTTCATACTTGGGAATGACACGTTTATAACCACAGATGCCATTCCCTTCGCTATACCCTCCTGTAGAGGTCCCCGAAATCATTCGAGAACTTGCAGCCCCAGTGAAAGATTTGGAACTCGGTACCAACTCAGGTGCAGCACTTGGAAACCCAACTAAACGCGAACACCGGCAGCACAGCAAAACGCCCCCCATACGAGAAAATGTACCTTTTACGCACAGTAGCTACTGTACGAAGAACACTTGACTGCAAATACAGAAGCCCATTTTCCCCACAATAAGCGTTAATCCTAAATAGTTATAAGATCTTCAGCCCCAACACCACCATCCCCGATCGAAGACCTGGTCTGGTCCCGCTGACGCGGCCGTATTGCGTAATCGTCAGCGCAACCCCACCACTGTCATTTGCGAAGAAGTTGTTGACGCGGCCGCTGGACTGACTTGGTTTTGGTCTAGAAAGGCGATTATCACTGGACCGGTAGACGATGTGTTTATCATACGCACGTCAGAAGTGCATGAAATCTGTATTGTACAGTCTGTACAGAGATCCTACTCATTTGCCACCAATCCCGACACAGACATAACACAACATGACACAATCTATTAATCATTATATATTGGCTCAATTCACAGCGTGACTGACTGCACAAATCCACCAGGAAGCCCCAGTTACATCTATATTCGTCCATGCGTCCTAGACTCATCAACAAAATCCTATCCCCTACATCCCTAGCCCCTTGGCTCAAAAGCACGTCTAGCTAAGCTGGGCTGGACCCAGTGGCTGCAGATAAACACAGACCAAATCCATTCCGCGAAGGGGGCATGGGATTCTTGATTAATGCAGCGAGCGGGTTGGGTCTCACCGCGAGTCAAGACAGTCGGCAATCTGCACGGTTCCATTTCCAAATTACTGTAGCCTAGGATCGTCATTACAGGAGAAGATGCTTCCAAGATATTATGCAGTATATACAGTGTCTGTCGCTCGGCGATAAGCCGAACGGATAAAATAGGTACCGCGACACATGGCAGAGGTAAAGAGGTAAAGTAGTATTACACAAGAAGACTCAGAGGCCAAGCCAAAGAGATGGAGGAAATCAACAAGAAAAAGAAATGGAGGGAATCAAGTCCCAACAGTCAGAAATCGGTCAAAAATGAACCCAAAACGCAATATCAAGACAAAAACCAAAACGCCTGATGGGGTATGATATGCGTGGAACGATCATAACCTGACCTGTTTGTATATACCCATAGCCTCAAATCGTCCCCAGATCTTCCATTCAGTCCGTCTTTTCGTTCACGAAGTGTTGCAGTAAGAACTCACCCTTCCCCGCAGAACTTCACCGGGAAGAACGAGGCGGGGGGAAAGGCAAGTAAAAGTAAAAAGTACAGGAGGAAGGCTTGGGTGTAAATGCAGATGCGACGCTGCTAACCATGCGAGACAAAAAGAAAAGCCAAGCAAAAAAGGAGTGCTGTGCAAGGGGAATCATGGAAGAATTCGGTCACTCCGGTCTCTGCGAGCGCAGATGAATTTCTTCCACGGGCATGCCCTCCTCGGAGGGGACGTGCTGGTACGAGCGCATCTTGCGGCTTTGGATCATGCGCCACAGGCCTGCGATCACACCGCCCAAGGTGCAGGCGACGAGGATGAAAATGAGTAGGCCGCCCACGCCGCGAATTACATCGTATGCCCTGTAGACGGCCTTGGCAACCTCCTTGGCATCGGCGTAGGAGGAGGATATGTGTTCGGAGCCCGAGTTGGAGCCCGAGTCGGAGCCACTGGAGGTGTGATCATTGACCATGTCGGCCATACCATCGACGCTGTCAGTACTTCCAACGCTATCGGAGCTGGCGTTGGATGTAGACGAAGAGCCCTCGGTGACAGCCGCGATGAGGGAGGGGTCATCCGGCGTAGGACCCTTCGCGGAGCCCAGGAAGCCAACACCTTTCCAATTCGTCGGGATCTCGCTGCGCGTCACCCGCGAGGTACTCAAGACCTTGCCGTCCTTATCGATGGCATCAGCAGTGATCCAGTCCATGTAGCCGTCGACGATATACATAGTCTCGAAGTTGGTCTTGTTCGCGTGGCCAATGAACACGGACGAGCCGCGGTCGTAGGCCTTCGCATAGAAGTTCCACCCGGCGACGTCGGTCGCCCCGTTCCAGCTGACGTGGATCAGCGTGGTGACATCCTCATCGCTGGTGCCGTACACCGAGGCGACGAGATCGGGCGGCGCGGACGGGCGGCCGACGAATTCGCCCTTGTAGGAGCGGTAGGTCGAATAGCGCTCCGACACGAAGCGGGCGGTCATCAGCAGGTCGCCATTGGGCGCGTGCTCGCTCTGGTAGCCGCGCTCGCTCCAGCCAACGAAGACGTTGTCGTTGGGGAGGAGCTGGACGCTGCCGCGGAGGCGAGTCAAGCCGCTGTCTGGGCGGTTGATGCGATTGATGACGCGAGCAGTCATGGCGATGGTGTCCATCTCGACGAACAGAGCGGCCGAGACGCTCTCGTCGGCGCCGCGCTCGTCGGAGGCGTTGTTCAGGAACGAAATCACGTGGTGGGTGCCATTGGACGTGACGAACTTCACATCGTGCTGCTTGGAGAAAGCAAAGTCCATATCGAAGTCATTCTGAGGACCGCCCAGGCGCCACATGATACTACCGTCCTCGCCTGAGATGCCGTAGATCGTGTTGGTGAACCGCAGAGAAATGATAAAGTCGCCGGCAATGTTCTTGTCGACCGCGTTGATGTGCACGTAGTCCCAGCCGGGAGCGTCCTGGGGCGAGTCCCAGGCATGGAACATGTTGGACTCGTGCAGCGCGATCTTACCGAAAGAATCCCATTGCACTAGCACCTCGCTCGTTTCCACGTCTAGCTCCACAAAGCCTCCTGTCACGATCCAGCTCTCCTCCGTCGGGCGACCGAAATCCGCTAGGTTGATCACCTGGTTGCGGTACGTGCAGGCCAGGGCAGACTTGCCGCCCGGCAGGACGTTAAATTCGTGCATGTTGAAGTCGTGCAGGTCATTCAAGACGCCGACTTCTTTTTCCACCTTATAGTTCTTGTCCACGATCACCCCACTACCCTTGTCGGAGCTGTCAATTTCCCAGGACACGATAAATGACAAATGCGTCTCTTCGTCGATGTTGGTAACAGGCTTGAAGTCGAAAACATTGCGGTTGTCGTACAAGGGCGCTCCCGCCCAGATAAGCATCTGTTCCCCCCCAAAGATCCGTGTCAGAAATTGGGTCCCCAAATAGGCATGATAGGCAAGAAATAGGACAATTCATAAAACATACACCATCATTATCGTAGATATACGGTCCAACCTGGTACTGCTGGTATTTTTGCGTGGGATGTTCCGGCGAGATCTGCCCGTACGGTGCCACGAACCAGTAGCCCGGGGCAGCGCGCGTGCGGTCGTGGTGGGTGACTTCCCATTTCAAGGCTCGCACCTCGGGGAGCTAGAAGGGTAAAGACAGAGATCAGCATCCACAGAGGCCTTGCCAATGGCTCCTGGCTCCTCCCAAGGGTCCAACTCACGGTGACGAAGGACATAAGATCGGCATCATGGCGCTGTGCGGCGGCGTTATGCAGGAACAACAGTGATAATGCGCCGGCAAACAGCATGGTGGGCTGAAGGAGTGGCTAGGAAGACCGACTTCCCCGAGCAGAACGAAGGAGGAACGAGACTGCCGATCGCAGGATGGAGGAAGAACACAAGAGAAGAAAAGAGGCCGAGGGGGAGAATAAGATCGGATCAGATCAGATCAGGATAGTGCCGCTAATTCGTTAGCCGCAAGAGAGAGAGGGCGCCGACGCCAGGCAGGCTGAGGGCGTCGTCAGTCCAGGAAGTCGGGTCAAACGAGTGGAGGCCCGCCGCTAGAGTGAGATAGGCAGGGGGAAAATTGCTCCGCTCTCCAGGAGAGGACTTGGGAGTCGGACGTCGGGGGAGGAAGAAAGCAGAACAAGGGCCAGACGATCCGAGCGAGCTGGCTTGGCATTGTTTCGGACGGTGGAGCCCGCACACATCACTGGAGAAGGAGCTGCAAGAGGCCTCGCGTCTAGGCGGGAGTGTTCCTCTCCTCCGTCTCTCGTATTGTGCCTGGCGCCGTATTGTTAGCCCAGTCGGGGTTCCACAGCGTCCGGCGTGGTTTGGTTGCTGCCGGCCAGGAGGTAATGCTGCATGGCGCATGGGGGCGTACACGCATAGTCCGAGTGGTCGCCGGAGCGGCTTCAAGTGGCTTGAGTGGTTCGGAGCCACGATGCCCGCGGCTGGAATGATTTCGGACTCGGGTTTGCTTCCCCTAAGCAGCCACACGACACTACGCGGAAGGCGCCCCGTCAGCATGCTTGCGCAGAATCGCCCCCAGTACGTAAGCACTGCCGTACTCGTTGCGGAGTCGCGTCCACGAAACCTGCCAAGCAGCAGGAACTGCCGGTCGTCCCGAGCTTCGGGGCGACGACACGCAGTGATTTGGCCAACGGCGGACGACTGGAGACCGTCCAGGGGTTGGCTGGCTTGGCACTTTGCCCCAGTCGAGTTAGTGATTCCACTGCGAATAACATTCCTGGCGCGTGGACCAGGTCGCTTCCCCTGACCTCCACTGCGGCCGGCGCAAATGACGATGGTCGGGGAGAAAAACCTTTTCCCGGGATCCGCCTGGTTCTGCCTGACACTCGATTCGTATACTTCATGCCTCGTGCTGCGAATGGGACGGAAAATCATCGACTACACTACTCTCGACGGAGCAGCGATTGACACCGCCGTCGATCTGCCTGGCCCGACTCCACTTATCAAGCCTGTCGTGTCGGCATTTGCACCATGCTATACTAAACGGCGGTAGGGCCGAAGAGGCCCCGATTTTCTGGATTGAGTCTTTACCTGGCGTTCCTCGAAGTCGTTGAAGTCTTAGCTGGCTGAGATGGAGCTGGTCAACAGTCAAGCATATCCTGATGAGACGCACAACTGTAATCAACCAGTTTCCAACCTGCTTAGGCAGCTCAACTGGTCGTTCTTGCACTCCGCTTGATACTCCCGGACCCCGCTGTACACGACTTTCCGTCCGGGGGTGACGTGATCGAGCTTATTCAAGAGTAAGTCTGGCTGGGCGTGGCCCTGTCGCGTACGGAGCACACCCTCGATACACCTACATCTATGATCTATGGGCTGTGGTAGTCTTTGCGAAATTCCATGTCAATTCCAACGTGTATATGTACCTTCCATTGGCGACTCATAATCAATTCCCCTTGCCATTCCCCGACTACTGTACCTACCGCCCTGCCCGCGAGCCATTGGCCGCGTAGCCCTCAATCGCCGGCTCGCCTGTGTTCCTCGGTTGATACGCCAACAACTCGGCAACCGCAACCAAAAGCAAACCTTCTGTCCCCAGCACATCACCCAGGCCTAACTGCGGTGCCAGTACCTGCGCACACACGCGCTTGAGGTCGACCCGGGACACGCTGCCAGGCCCATCATGCGCGATGGCGTCAAGGGCCAGCGCCCACGCAAGGGGATTGTACAGCACGCCTTCGTGGGTATAAAAGCCAGCAGCGGGCTGGCCTGCGCAGACATCCTGGACGAGGGCATTGGTGACGCCGACACCGCGAATGTCGCCCAGGTGCGCCGAGGCATCGGGTCCCACCTGGGGCTGGACGATCTCATCAAAGGCCGAGAATATGGTGGTCGTGGGGACGTAGGCCGAGTCGCCGCCATCGGAGCGCAGCGTCGCGATGAAGGTTGCGTTCCAGGCTTGCTGGAAGAGGGACGGCGTGCAGATGAGGTATGTTAGGGCGGGGCAGGCCAGGGTGCCGACGACCGTGCCGTGGAAATCGGGGCTTATGGCGATGAAGTCTTGCACGGCGGGCCGGGTCGAGGGCCAGTATTTCAGCGCCCATTGTGTATCGAGGGCGCCCTGGGACCAGGTGAGGACTGCGAGGGAGTGGTTGGTTTGGGCGGCGATGTAGTTGATTGCATAGGCGACGTATTCCGCATTGACCTGAGCATCGGACAGGGAGGCGTGTGGGATGTTGAGCCAGACGACGTCGACGGGGGCGCCGTCGCCCAGCTTGCTGAAGCTATAATGGTAGGTGGTCCCCGCGGGGATGGCGGTCCCTGGCACCAGAAGGACCGGGGTTTTGCCATTGCGCCCGTATCCAAATGTCTCGGGGATATAGATGGCCGCCCGGAGGCTCTGTTCGGGAACGGAATATGGGGCGTCGTCGGGGCCTTTGGATGGGTATATGGTCTGGGTCGGAGCTGGGTTCGTGTTCTGCACGGAATTGAGTTCGCTATCCATGTACCCGTTCAAGAAGGAAAGGATGTCGGCGGGCACGAGACCAGCCTCGGCGATTGCTTCAGCCACATCTGTAGTGCTGGCCGGCCCATCGGGCACCGCCTGTTGGAGCGTGGCCAGCGCCTCCTCTACGGAGTCTGGCGCGGTGATCGAGCCAGCCTGCTGGAGCTGCGCGACAATGGCCGACAGGGCATTCGATGCGTTCCCCCCAATGTCCTCGTGATCACCTGCCGCATTCGCAAGAGTGTTGATGAGGCTCGTATTCGCGACCGCGGAGGTGCGACGATTGAGCACGGCCAGAGATGCCACAGCTGCACCGTAGGCGAGCCCTACCTGGACAAGATAACTGCCTTTCATACCAACGCCAGCAGTAGAAGATCCCCTCTCACAGAACTTTGAGAGAAAGGCTACGCGGGACGGTACTTCCCCCCAGATATAAGATATAATACTATCATCCTACGACCACGGACCCTCTGATGGGAGTGTGAATTTGTTCCGTGTGTCCCTGATAGTGTGCATAGTGTGGCAGATCGCTCGCACCATTTCGTCTAGTCAAGCCCGAAGCCAATGGCACTGGGCCAGCAAATTACAGATCCACGGCGCAAGCCTATCAAAACCGCATCGTGCCTCTTGTCAGAGGCCAATGCTCAAAGACTCATGTTTTGGCACTCTGCTGAACCTGCACTTCCCCGCAGATCCCCAGCATCGGCCCCGTGGGGCCAGATAATGCCGAACACGGGGGGTTCTTTCCTTGAACGGAAGTAGAAGAATGAGCAGGGCTGAGTAAGAGGCGCGATCATGGGGTAAGGTGCGACGTGCCCGCCCACTATCTATGCCCCATGTCTTACTGCTTCTCGAGACCCGTGGGGTTGTGCGCGACTCGATAACCATGCTGATCGATGTAGATGAGCTACATCTGATAGACCGATGTTTTTGCCGAGGCACGAAGATGCCGATGTCGATCCGGGGCGACTTGCCTTGGGTAGGGTGGACGACCCTTGCTCCCCGCTCTCTTCGTCCGTGACGATCTGCTGGACTAAGGGATGCTGAGCTCATCGGGCCACGATGGTGGCAGAGCCCAAGGACGGGTGTGGCATACTTCCCCCTGATGGGCTCCACCACAGTATTTGGTCTAGACGCGGTCTCCCACGGCAATTGGGTCTACCTTTCGTTGTCGTGGACTCGATCGATCGGCATCATGACAGCGACCCGACGCCTGCACTGGACGATGCATCGCAGGGTTTCAATGGCCCTCGCATCCCAAATCCTAACTCCCGCAGCTACAAGCCAACCCTCCAGGCAAGAACAGGTGATGGCACGCAAGTGATGTCATGTCAAGCGGCCATCAAACTCAACCAGAAGTTAAATTGGCTTCAGGTTGATACCGTCGGGAGTTCTCCCCATCTACGATAACTGCATCCCGGATCACTATTCGGAGTCCTGGGGCCGATGTAATACATTGCCATTGCAGGCGTTCATCGCGGGCTTGGCGATGGTGAGATCCGCTGCAGAACAAGCGTGTGCTGTGTGCGAGTCTGCTAGTATGCGACAGGCTCCAACGTCTGGCCGAATTGTCCGAAACACGGGCGTGGTCCGTGGTTGCGTCCAATGCAACCGCCATCACATACACCCCCCGTCAGGGAAGGGGCCGCGTGGGCAGCAGAGGAAGAGTACGGAGTAGTGTCCATTGTGCGCAAGTGCCCGGTCTACGTCCAAGGGGTCTCTGAGCGAGTGGGCACGATTTCAGACTAGCTGTTCCGCCGTGCGTCAAGATAATGTTCTAGGTATGAAGCGTGGCCAGACAGAACACCAAATCAGAACACCAAAACACAGACCGCATCACTGACGACCACATCACTGACCACATCACTGACTACGGTGAATCCTGGGCGGATGGCGGATGGCGGATGCTGCTCTCCACGAGGTTATGTAGTCGGGCGGTTCCACACCAGTGTAACCGTCCCGGCCAGTTGGGCCGGCTACCACCGTTGCACCCAAGGGGGGCATCGAGCATGTACCGGCATACCACGGACTGGAATGTCGCAAATTGGTTCAGAGGGCCGTACACACACTACCGGTCGAGGACGAGCAGACCATCACCAGCTCCGATGGAACTAGCGATCAGAAGAAGCTATACAGTAAATGCAGACCCGAGACAACTGTTTCCCCCCTCTCAGCCGCAATGCTCCCCTGCGGCAATACGACGATACTCCTCACCGCGAAGTAATCCGATAACGCCATAATACCACCATCCCCCACCAGCCCAGTGGCTAGCGCCCGCCAGGGGCCTGCCCGCCATACAGTACCATACCAATACCGCCCTTACCCAGTGCATTGCGACACCGCAAGGGCTTCAAGTTGCACTCACCGTGACACTGTGGTGACCAGGAATGGGCCAATGTTGATCCATGCTTCGTTGACCCTTCGACCTCCTCTCCGTCACTCTTTTGTTGCTCCGGTGGGGACTCTGCACTCTCTTGACCTGACGGGGCTCCCAAAACCCAAACCCTTCCCTCTGTTACCTCTACTACACTCCCTCCGATCCACCTCCAACACTACCTCCGTGGGAGGGTCACCTCGAAAACTCCGCCTATCTGCCTTATAACTCGCCCAGCGAAACACTCTTCCCCTTTCAGTCGATTCGCGAATGCTTTCCCCCGCGCCGAGAGTCTCTGGCCTGCCCATGTTGCCGCTCTAGATACCCCCCAGCTATCCCTCGATCCGTCCTCTCTGATCGTTCATCCCTCGCCTCTTCAGCCCTCCCTCGGGGCCTCTCGCGCTCTCTCACACCCACTCTCATCACCTCGCCAACCTCCCTCACACACGTCCTCCCAGTCGACCATGTCGGCCCCGCTCGTCAAACTCCTGCATCGCCTGCAGGAGCTTTTCCACAACGTGGTCTCCGCTCTCGAAACCATGATCCTCTTCCCATCGCTGTTCCGCGGGTTCTCGCACCGGCGGCGCAAGCCATTCTTAGGCGCCCACTGGCGGCGTCGAACGCTGGACGATTTCTCCGACGAGGTCGACTCGCTCTTTACCACCCCGCTCTCCACGCCCAAGATGCTCGAGATGTCGGAGAAGATCCGCGCGCAGTTCCGCCATTGTCTGCAGAACAGCCCCGTCTGCATGCTGCCCTCGTACAACCACGCACTGCCAACGGGATCCGAGACGGGCACATTCCTGGCGCTGGATGTGGGAGGCTCGACCTTCCGGGTTGCGCTGATTGAGCTGCATGGGCGGGAGGAGGATATGCGTATTGTGAAGGAGGCGTCCTCGTACATTGATAACAGCGTCAAGTTACTGGCGGGCACGCAATTCTTTGACTGGATGGCTGGGCACATCGAGACGATGCTGAAGGAAGTGGGCACGGATTATGGACGTGGTGAGGCGGCCCTGCCTATGGGGTTGTCGTGGTCGTTCCCGATCGACCAGACCTCCATGAGCAGCGGGTTGATGATTCACATGGGCAAGGGCTTCCACTGCTCGAATGGCACGGTTGGACAAGAGCTGGGCGGTCTGCTAATTCAGTCTTGTCGTAAGCGCGATCTGAATGTGGCCATGGCAGCCATTGTGAACGATAGCTCTGCGGCTCTGCTGTCGCGTGCCTATGTGGATCCGAAGACCCGTATGTCGCTTATCCTAGGAACCGGCACCAACATGGCCATTCATTTCCCCGTGCATGAGATCGGGCGCAGCAAGTTCGGCGTGCGTCCCGACGGTTGGTTCGACTACGCCAAGCACGTTATTATCAACAGCGAGATGAGTATGTTTGGAGGCGGTGTGCTTCCCATCACTCGGTGGGATGATGTGCTGAACCGCACACACTTGCGCCCGGACTATCAGCCTCTCGAGTATATGATTACGGGTCGGTACCTCGGAGAGATTGTGCGCTTGATCATCGTGGAAGCGGTCGAGACGGCCGGTCTCTTCGGGGGCGAGCTGCCGCATTCCATGCGCGAGCCCTACTCGTTTGACACCAGCATCGTCGCCTTCCTCGAGGAAGACTCCTCCGTCTCTTTGTCGGCATCGGCCGCCCTTCTGCAAAAACAACACACCTTCCCCAGCTACCCCTCGGTCGAGGACCTGCGCTTCCTCCGACGCGTTTGCCAGGTTGTCTCCCGCCGTGCCGCAGCCTACCTCGCGACCGCTATCCACAGCATGTGGTGTCTGCGCAATGACGTGGAGTTCCCGATCACGACCTCCGTCTCTGACTCGCTCGTCAAGGAATCCCCCGAGATCACTGTTGTTGAAAGCGGCGAGTCTGCCAAGACCATATCCATCGCCTGCGACGGCACCGTCATCAACAAGTACCCCGGCTTCCGCGATACCTGCCAGGGCTTCTTGGACCAGCTGTCCGCGCAATCGCACCAGACCATCGGCTCCACGATCCGCCTGGATCCCGCGCCGGAGAGCGCAATCCTCGGCGCCGCGGTGGCCGTCGCCGTCGCTGTGGCAGAGAAGTCCGAGCAGCGGTAGCAAGCGCCTGACGGCCTGTTTTCTAAAACGACTGATTGATGCATGACCACCCCCGCCACGCATAGAAATCGACTCTTCCTCTTCCTCCTCTTCCTCTATTGACTCATCTGCCTGTTCTCCCCCCCCGTTTCATTGTGATTCTCCTTTCTACGTTCTTTCCATCGGTCATCGGCGCATGATCTACGAGTCAGGTCTTCGCGCGGACACGCTCTGTTTCCGCCTTGCCTCACTTTGATTCAAAGCATTTCCCAGGTGTTTGTTTTTGCATGGGTCCACAGACTATGGCTTTCCTTCTTGTGCGGGTTTATCTGTTATCCACTTTCCTATTCCGTTTTCCATTTGAGATTTCTGGCTTGGGCGGAGTCCGGTTCCCTTTCCTGTGTGGTCGGTGCAGTTCTGCAGCTCCAAGGGTCTTAGTTCATTTTTTCACTTTCCATTTTCCATTTTTTTTTTTTTTCGTTAAGGGCATTCGGGGTTTTCTCGGGAGCTGGTTTTGACGCTGTTTTGCATGTTCCCAGATCGGGTTGGAGAATGGGGATGGAACCCCGGAACTTATTTTACTTCTTCTGCCTGACTCCTGACCTGGGGCTTTCTCATGGCTTCTAAGTATTCTTCTTTCTATCGGCCCTTCTCGTCCTTGTTAGATCGGGACATGGTAGCAAGAGGCAGGGTATGGTTCATCTTACTTCATATAGCGACTGCATACGCATACGTTATCTCTGGCGCGGTTGGCATATGCGGAAGCAATAATGGGGCTACGGAAGGCGAACAAAACTCTTATGGTATCGATACTGCGGCAACATTCGTGTTTGCACAATGAAGGCTTGCCACTTTCTTAGCTTCGATGAAGTTGCTTTTTGGTCATTTCATTTCCATGACAGTTCGTGTCCAAACTCACTAGCCATTGCATATCTCCGAGGATCGAATAATTTCTACATCGAAATCCCTATGGGATGTCGCGAGCCTCAGGTGCACGGAAGTGCTAGGGTCTAGTTTCGTTAAGCCAAACTCTAGCCTTCAGAAAATTGCTGCAGCCACACTCTCGAGCTTTGGTGTGTGAACGATGTAAAACCCTTCCCGCCTATATTGTTCGGATCGATGGCGCTTTTATCGTTGGGACCTCGTGGTCCGCTATCTGCCAACTAAATATCCCGTTTTGGCTCCCGGCCTGCCCGGCCACGGCCAAATATATTATACCAACAAGGATTCCCTATTCAGCCTGCCCCGAATTTGGTAGCTTAAATCATTCATGACAAGGTGATCTACTCCCAGCATGTTATAGGGCACTGCCTAGGCGCTCGAGTGTGCCTTTCAGCTCGCATGTGCCTATCCTGGCGTGGTACACCCGGTATTTGTATCAGGGTTCGAATCAACTATTCGCTCTGTCCTCGCCCCTTGAATTCCACCTACCTTTATGGGAACTAATAGGTCCTAAAACGCTTTTGCAGCGCGTCCTTCCGAGAATATTCATCTTGATTTGCTATAGGGTGTGTAGTAGTAACCTCTAAGATTACTAGATATTCATGGCTATTAGCGTGTTTCCATATAAAGAATTTAGTTTAGACTTGATAGCGGGTATAGCATTAAATTTTACTCGCTTCCGCAAGGCGTTCGGTATCTAGAACTTATAAAGCTATAGTTATAGCGGTAGTAACCGGATACGGTCTTCGATTAACTCTATTTTATTAATAGTATTGATATCTCTATTCTTGAACTTAAGATCCGCAAGCTCCTTTCTTTCTAGGTATATATACGATATGTCCGGTTCGGTAGGATTCCTCTAATAGTTCTAATCGATAATATAGTTAGCAATATTCTTAAAAAATTCGTTGCGGACTTTTTCTTTTGCCTCGTCGTGAATTTTCTTCCGGCGTATCTTAACTTTTCTTTCAAGGATACGAAGTTCACTATGTGAACATAAACCTTCTTTTTCTACAGGAGGCCCGATAGAAGTAACTTTAAACCTTGGTTATCTCTAACTGTTATAGATAAGATTTTATTGCTATATTTTAATCCTTAGACGAATTTATAGACTTTGTAATCTAGATAAGTTGAAATTATCTCATATATTACCTTTATGATTGGGGCTTAGCTAAGTATAATTAGTTTATACTTAGTTGATAATCCCTAATATTTCATCGCTATATAGCTACTTCTTGGCGGTTAGGTATTAATCGCTAGCTAGAAAATGGTAGAAAGTAGTTATAAGTAACTATCTCCCTCGAACCTATATTCTAATTCTTAAAATATAATAAATAGATAAGCCATGCTTCTTGCTAGATATTATATTAATGATATTCCTTATATAGGCTATACTTAGTAGGTTTCTTCGGGTCTACTATCTCTCCATCTCTAGGCTCGAAGACTACCGCGTGAGTTAGCTTCGATCTATAGAAAATACAGCCACTTACGATCTATTAGAGCGACTGTACCTTAGGGTTGCAACACGACACGATCTACAGGCTACCACAAGTTTATGTATCTTTTGTGACCTCAGGATGAGGGTCTTGGCCCGGGAGTAAGTAAATTCGCTGGTAGTCTTTCTTCACGTTCCACTTAAAGATCATAAAAGTTGGGGTAACACACCGAGGCCAATTTGGCCTGCATGTCTGCGTGGCTCCGGGGAACCAGTCTTTTAAGGACTGGACTCGTGCACGGGACACTCAATACTGTCACCTGAATGCACAGATCTCATATGAGACTGATAATTATCTTTCCGGTTGAAGCTTTTTCCACACTTAGAGGAGGGACATTTGAATTGGCATGGAGAGACATGCTTCGCCTTAATGTGCCGCCACAAGCTTGTCTCTCTCGAAAATGTGCCAACGTATCTACAGCCTTTCCAGCCACATTGGAAGCGACCTAATTCGCAAAAAAATGAATCAGTTCAAAGTTCCGTCACAAGATGCCGGGGGTGGAGCTTACTTGGAACATTATCAGAGTCGGTAGAAGAAAAAGTCTGCGGTTGGCTAGGCGTATGACAAGCAAGTATGCTTCCTACTGGATGTGCACGCTCACTGGTCCGCATCCTAGTCCAATCCTGTTGTTGATCGTGCTCGACCGTAAACCAAGATGGAAGAACTGTGTCCAGTACCCTGTCAGATGCAACGGCCCGAGAGGAGACGGGAACAAGGTGGTCCTGGGAATTTGAGTCTTCCAAATCACGGCGTGGAGGATCCTTCGCTGGCGATTCAATCGATGGAGTCAAATCCAACAACCCTCTCGTGTAGGTCTTAATATCTTCAAGCACGTCATCAAAGTCTTCCACTCTACCTTCATCGAGCCCTTCATCCGTTTCATCCCTTTCATCCCTTTCATCATCCCTTTCATCATCGCTTTCATCATCGCTTTCATCATCTCTTTCATCGTTATCTTTATCATTGTTTGCAGTGCTGTGACAGTGAACCAATTTGCTTGCTTTCAATGCATCCTCCGCCTGGGTCAATTTCACTATCACACTTTTCACTGATAACTCGGGATTTTTGAATATTTTCTTATGTCTGCGGCCTAAAACTATTAGCAGTCTTTGCTGTTTAACTAGCCTTTGTCAACAACTCACATCGAAAAATGCTCTTTGCCAAGGAAACGAGCGTTGATAATGTTAAAAACTTGAGGTTCCCCGAGCGCTCTAACCGTGTGTCGAGACCACCCCTCTCGACATCAAAGTCATTCCCCCACAGACAAAGCAGCTGGTACTCATTTTGAAAGATATTAAACCAAGTTCTGGTTTTCTTGTCGTTCCTACAGGCAGCTTTCACCAACGACTTGTACGACGTAACACAGCAGATGTAAAGATCCCCAATAACCCCAGGATGCATTGGCTGTTGGGTCAAGTCAACGGACTTCAATATTTGGACTTCTGACCGGCGATGGAACCCAGGTGCTGAAGTAGAGGCCTCCTTCCTTTTTTGTGGACTGTCCAGACCTGATAGTCGGGTCTCAGGGTCCATCCCTTTCGTGATCTATCAGTCAAAGCAGCGTAAAATGCCTTTGATTTGGATAATATCACTAGATGTGCAAACTTTTCTAACACTTGGTGTCGTATATTACCTGAACAGAATAGACACATGGATCTGAGAATTCAAGGTTGATAATAAATAACGAGGAGGCGGTGTAATTGATCTCATCGCATAGCCACAATGAGACAAGACTCGTTGGCTGCCCTGGGAAGGCGGGAGGCGAAGTATGTCTGTGCGCAAGGCACCTTGGTGAAGCACTGCCCCGCCTTGCCTCACCGATCTCGATGTGGTGATCATTTTATTGTTGATTGAACTAAACGACATTAAGAGGTCACGAACCCATTTTTCTCTCGTATAATCTTCCATATGCTGAAAATTCACGTTCACTATGAGTGGTTTGGAAGTGCCTGGTTTGATCTTTGGTGTTTTGCCTGTTTTTGTTCAAGTCTTACAAAGCTACCGCAAGATCCACGAGACTTTGAATACTTTTCGCCATTACTCCCGTGAAGTCAAAAGAATCAAGGACCGTTTCAAGATACAGCAACACAACTTTCAGAATGAATATAGCCTGTTGCAATATTTGGTATCTAGAGAGGACGATTCACAGGCAATCTGGAGCTACAGGGATTGCTCGACCCGGAAAAACGCTCTTCTGGAAGAACATTTAAATAAACGCCTCGATGACAGCTATGAGACATGTGGAGTCATTGTCAGTGACATAAAAAAGGAACTTGACGAGATGGAGGAAGACCTGAAGTCTTTCAGTGTCTTGAAAAACGAGAAGAGACAGGTTGGTCCCTGCATACTTCCTGGATTACCACCCCCTCCACTCACCTTCGGTCAGCATGAAAAGCTAAAGTCTACCATATACCGAGTTCGTAATTCAATTACAGTGGCCTTCGATAAAGAACGCTACGAGCGGCGTCTGAGGAAGCTGCGCGAGAGCAACATGGATTTGCATACCTTCCGAATGCAACTTGAGGAACTTTTGAAGAAGCGGTCAGATACTGTCAGACCTTCACAAGTTCGCAAAAGGTTACCACATCATTATTCCTCTGTTCAAAATGTATCGCAAACACTACACCAAGCTCTGTCCAGTGCTTGGAATTGTCCACACTCAGGTCACGAAACCCATTACGGGAAGCTCTGTGTCGAAGCTCAGGTGCAAGATATGGTTCGACTTGATCTAGCACTATCTTATAAACTCTGCCAGAGCGATGGCGGCTCAAGTTCAAGGTACATTTTACTCTAACTCAATCATGAACTTTTAGCTGATCTAGCAATCAGTAAGGATGAAGGAGATGATTATCATGTCTGGATTTATGTCCAATCGACCAGAATTGGAACCAAGTCAGCGGGACTGATGCAACAAAACTCAATCGACATATTCTCTTCTTGCCACGTCCTCTCAGCAGCGCTTTTTCCGAGTCAGATAGATGCACATTTATCTTTTGCTCACCAGTCTGTGACCCAGCCCCAATCATCTAAGGGACGAAAGGTGCAACTCGCCGATGATTGCATCTTAACGCAACCCTCCCCTCATGCTGCCACTGGGGTTTTCAACCCAAAAGACGTCACCAAAATGCATGATCTTTGTCAGCATATTGAGAAGATAGTTCATTCTTCAGAAACATGTGGAGCTGGAGAATGCATTGGCTACCTGGAAACCCCTCGGCTATTCAAGCATATGTTCTATTCAAATGAACGAGGAACATCCACAGACCCCACAGGTAAAGGAAGAAGCCTTACCCAGAAGGTTATCAATCTTGAATACTTGCTTCAAACCACCAAACGAGAACCGGCATTAGTGGACACAGGCTTCAAATTCAAGATTGCTCACAGGATAGCAACTGCCGTCCTCCAGTATCACTCTACCCCGTGGTTACGAGAAGACTGGCGACTCAAAGATCTCGCCTACTTTGGCAATCCCCAAGAGCTATCTGACGAATCACTACGTACCCTCCATCTCACATTCTGTTTCAACCAAAGCGAGCAAGACCAAGAATCAAAGTATGCACGATGGGAATCCAAAACGTCACCAGATCCCACATATTCCAGTATGGAGAGTATTTATTGTCATCACGGGATCAATAATACAGTCCTATTCAGTCTTGGGATTGCTCTCCTCGAGCTGGCTTATCATCAGCCTTTGGAAAAAATGTCTGATTCGCACGATCTTATTACAGCAGCCCGGAAGAAGGCAATGTCGGGTTATCCCTTGGGTCGTAAATACCAGAGGATTGTCCAGCAGTGTTTGCAGTGTGACTTTGGTATGGGGTCTGACTTGACAAAAACGGACCTGCAAACTGCTGTATACGGGGAGGTCATATGTTCTCTGGAGGAAATGATGAACTCTCTCTCCCTAGGTTAAGTCATGGTCTAGACAAGTACAGTATGCGTTTCATATAATTTGGAGCTCGTGTTCGTAAGCTTTTTTGCCACGCCATAAATTATTTCCACGTTTGATTGCCCCATATTTCACATCGTTAAAACTGAAATGGCCCGAAACAAACGAAGAATCCCTATTATCAAAAACTTACTTACGATGTTCCTGTTAGCCAAATTCTGCCTTCTAATTCACCAATCCTATCTACAACTTTCGTCTTATTGGCTACATCTTATACGCACCCCCCTCTTCTGATTACTCCTTTGTAGCTTTCAATCTTAGGCTTAATGCTAGAGATTTCGATCTTGCTCACTAACTCGTTGCTCTTTAACCCTAATAGTGGTATTCTATCCCTAATTTAAATAATCTTTTCGCCCCCGTCCCTATTCGCTAATCATCTCACTAGGCCCTTTTAACTCCATCTCTCGAGAACCCATAAAGTCCCTCCACAGAACTCATTACTGAGAGAATGTCCCCTCAAAAGACATCACCGTGAACCGAACGGAAGTGCATCACCATATTATCCTTTCGATTGAAGACTCTTTCGCAGCTTTCATCACGGCATGGAACTGAGCCGGGAGCCACGTGCTGTGTTTTCCCGTGGCGAATGAGAGTTACTTTGCTGGTGAATGGGCCAGGTCTTTTGCATTTTACCCACTCGCAGATCAATGTACTCGACTGGCTTCTTGTATCAATGAACTGAGGCTAGAATTGTCCTTAAATCAACCGAGTTTCATATCGAAAGAGAGCTCACTTTACTTCTTTCACGCGTCGACGACAAGTGAAACCCTTCGAGCCTCGAGCGTGTCCGGTGTCACAACTGGTAAAGCAGTGCTTGACGGTTGGCAAGGAAGTTATATGATCCGATAAGTCTTCCTTGAAACGAGGTCCCGTCCAACTTCTGGAATCAAATTGTGTTTCTAGGATCATTAGGTGCATATTGTTCGTACTGAACGGTGATCGGTGCTGAAGTCGTGGATATTTGATCTAGCCGTGGAGGTCCTGAATCGAATCAGACGTAGTTGGACAATTCAGCTCGTGGGGTCATATCGGGAATATGGAGTGGATGTTGTATATGACCAAACAAGTTATTTTGAAGCTTCAAAGATATATTCAGATTGGGGGCCATCTTCAAGGCAGAACTTTGATTGTTATCGCTGGAAAAAGAGTCTGATTTGAAACTCATTGATTTAGTACACACGCTGAGCAGCGAGGTTGGAAGAGGGAGGAGCCAGAGTAGAAGGAAAAATGGCGTTATAAACGCGAATCAGGGGGAAGTAGGTCAGGGAACATAAGTTTCTGCGTCATTCTTAAGCGATTGAGAAAGAGGGGAAGCTAAAGATCGGGTTTAGGGCTGAGAGAAAAGATGTTGTCGCAGTTGATACATGACAGAGCTTTGGTCAGCAGCCTGTTGCTTGTCCGGGGATCAAGCTGCTGAATGAAACCGATTTCTCACGTTGATTCCAAGGAATCCTGAGGAATAGGTGGGCGTGTCTTCTACCTCATTCGCTGGTGTTTCTACACACCAAGATCCTCCCCCCATCTCCAGGTTCTCCATACGCATCATGCCGCAAGATCATGCCGCTGCTTCCTGGGGCTCTGTGTGTTGCCTCTGATTTCCCAAAAGTCGATCCTGTTTGCCACGTTGGATTTTGTGAATTTCTCTCCTAAGGAGACGTGAGTAATGACGCACAACCCAGGGGAATCTATCTACTCACCACAACCGTTGGGACCAAGGAGCATCTACTGGTCGGCAACTGCGCTCCCAATTTCTATCATGCCATTCTCCCGTCCCCAAGTTTCTGGTAACAGTCACTTCAAAGCTCTCACCATCCGACTGTCTCTTTTGGAAGACTGAACAAATGGGGTCGCCTTGCGTATCAGTGTGAAGTCCTGCGAATTCACCTTGGACGTTCTTGAAGAAACGTTGCAGCCACTTGACAGTATTTCCATGCGGACATATCGACATACCTTCCACACCGGCATGTCGACCGGGTGGCTTGAAACTGTGAAATTGATATCCGTTCTCTATCATGAGACAGCCCTCGTGATCCTCGTAGAGAACTGTTTTGATGCGAGCTTTTGCTTCGGGATGGTCTGTAATCTCGCACTCATGGTAGAGCTTTGTGGGCGCTGGACCATTGGAGAGCACGCATTTGTAGTATGCCTCCTCAATAACTGGACCTGGTTTGGAAAGCGACTTGATTGAATCAATCAGGTGAAGCTGGTCCCAAAATGTGATGCTAAGACAGGGGCATATGTCCACAATTCCCACATCTGGCACACAGCGCTGGCCGTAAAGTAAGTGGCATTCATGGCATCGATGCTTCCACGGTAGCTGCTGTTTAGGTCGCGGATGAAGCTTCCAGCACTGTGGACAGTATTTCCACCGGGTGTTTTCAAGACGACGAAGAAAGAGGGATGGCAGTTGTCTCTCTGCGTTTCGGCATAGGACTCGCTTTTCATTCTTGATAGGGCGAGGGACGCGAAGTTCGGGGGCTTTTTGAATCGAATGATACCGGAAAAAAAGATTCTTGCAAGTTAGTGCAAAGCAGGCATGATCTGCTAGCGGAAGCAATGAGACAATCCTGTCTAGAATTTGCGGCGGTAGACTGAGGAAGAAACGCGGGCGGAGCGTGGAAGGTCGAATTTTGCGCAATATGGACTGCATTCTCACGGACAAGCTCCGTCGGCGCGGCGAAACAGGGAGTGATTTCATTTTTTGATTCATTACAGAAGTTGTAAGTGAGTAAATTCCCATGTGTACCTATATTTTTCGTCATTGATTCTTGAGACGACCACCATGAAGCTGCTGCCGACGCCGAATATAGACAGACTTCTCCTTAACTGGCGCGGAGTGATTAGAGGCTAAACCTAACACAAATAAACTGGCATCAGGCCTTCGATCATAATCCATGTTATGAATTACTGGGCTCTCCGATATAAATCCAGCGATGCCCAAAGCCTTGTCTTTCTGATTCGAAGAACATCACGTCTTAATATCTACGTATGGTTGGGGAGAACTAGCACTCCGACACCAGCGACAAGATAGACAAGATGAGCTTGGTAAAATGATGAACGCGATTGAATCAGCTATGAAAACGAAAAGTTCAGACCGGGGTAAGGCGGTGGTGAGCAAAGAGTCGACAAGTTCAAACCGCTTTGGATGTACTTGAACATAACCAAGAGGCTCACCACAAGAAATGGCGAAAACGCAACATAATTCAGATAATGTAAAGGCTCAAACCCCAGCAACTGTCTCGGAAATTACTACCTTTTTCGAATTCATAGAAAATAGACCCCAAATCCCCTAGATCAGACTTCCCCAGGGTAGCACACTCTATACGATGATCGACGGCGCTAATCACGCTTGTTTGTCCTGCAGGTCTATTTTTAGGGACCACTCGTACCGACCCGTCCCTGAATGCTTTTCGCGTCCAGGAACACGAACAGTACGAGCCTATCCCAGCACAAGCACATTTAAAGTGCTCGACAGCAGAGAAGACCGCTGCGCATGTGGATGGGGTCCGTTATGTGTTGCTATAATTGAGCCACAATACGAACTTTGGCCCCACGGGATAATTACTCCGGACATACGAGAAATTGACGATGGGGTTCAGGTTGCCCCATTTAGGGGTTTGGGGATACGAGTTGAGGTGGTATTCTGCGAGAAGCTGGAATGCGATACGGACTTTCCGCAAGGCAAGGGGAATGGAATCAAAAATGGGAACTAGGATCGAGGTATTAAACCGACCTGCTTTCCGCCGAAGTTCAGATCATCAGCTCAACTACTTCAACTACAGTCACAACCATCAAGACAATCTCAAGTCAATACAACTTCCAAGCTTTCCTTATTCCATCCCCATCAATCCAGCTCGATACCCATTCAACCGTCAAAATGATCTTCTCCCCTCTCGTCGCCATCTCCCTCGCCATTCTCCCCGCTGCTGTCAGCGCATATCCTATCAGCGGAGACACGGTGAACTGCCGTTCGGGACCTGGCACTGGCTACGACGTTGTCAAGACCTACAAAAAGGGTCAGGACGTCTCGATTACCTGCCAAGCTACCGGCACGGACGTCAAGGGCGACACCCTGTGGGACAAGACCTCAGACGGCTGCTACGTGACCGACTTCTACGTGAAGACCGGGTCAAGCAGCTACGTAACAAAGAAGTGCGACAGTGGCAGTGGGAGCGGTGGCGGCAGCTCCGGCTCTGGCTCATCCATCGTCGCCGCCGCCGAGAAGGAGAAGGGCCTTCCCTATGTCTGGGGTGGCGGTGGCTGCGATGGGCCTTCTGGTGGTGGCTTCGATTGCTCCGGTCTGACTCAATACTCCCTCTGCCACGCCCTGAAGAAGAAGATCCCCCGTACTGCGCAGACGCAGTATGATGCTACTAGCCAGGGCAAGCGCATTCCCCGCGCCGAGGCCAAGGAGGGCGATCTGATTTTCTGGGGTGAGAACGGAAACTGCAAGACCGGCGTTGCTCATGTCGGTATCTTCATTCGGGAAGGGTGGATGATTAATGCTGCGCACACTGGGACTCCCGTCCGTGAGCAGGCTATCTGGACTTCGTCTGGCGGCGAGAGTATTTGCCCTTATGCTATGAGGTATGATGTTCATGGCCCTTTAGACAAGGGATAAAGGCTAACTGAGGCTTGCAGATTCTGGTAGATTCAATCCTGAGCAGGGGTGGAAGACAGAGAGATATGGTTTCTCCAGCTGGGTTGGTTCGGTATCGATCGATCTGATACTGTTAAATTCTGAAATATTTGTGATATTGAGCACTGGAATAAAGGGTGATTGGTCTTTTCTTTGTCGTTTCTAGGTATGCAAATCATCTTCGGTCACCTACGGTTGGGTATTAAATAGACATTTAAATTGGTGACATGTTTCACTCCTTGCAAAGATCTTCCAGTAGTCCCAGCATCCGGCGCTGTAGATCGGCTAGTTCAGGATTGGTCAATTTGGATAGACCAGGGTCCACCAAACCATTTGTGTTCTGCTTCGATGGGGCATTCTCAGACGTGTCTGGCTCCTGGATCAAGTTTTTATTGAGCACAAAAAAGGGTATTTTCATCCCACGCAGCTCTGCCATCAGGGCGTCGGCCATTTGCGCGGAGGCCTTGTATACCTTCGCGTCGTAGTTTGAAAGTTCTGCTTGCTCTTCTTTTGCATCCTGAGATGATGTTAGCACTTTACGATACTGCCGTGGGAGGGTGGGTCGATCATACCGATACCGTTTTCGAGTCAATAGGTGCGCCAATGGAGAGTCTAAACGAAGCCGCTGTCAGTCTCTACCAGGGTGTCGCTCAAAAACATCTCATGAAACATTGTAAATTATCATAGAAAGAACCAGGACTCACAATACTGCGTCTAGTTCCTTTTTCTTGTCTCCACGTGCTAGTTGTCTCTCTAATAGGGCCTGGCGGCCCTTCCACCACTGTCGCTCATGGCTATGCTGGCTGCGGATCAGGCCGCGGATACGAAGCTGAGTTTCTTCATTCTGGCCGACCGTGCGCATTACATAGCGAAGCGCTGCAGGCCACGTCGTGATAGTTGATGGGTCGACAGCCGGGGTGCTGGATGTTTGATTTGACGTGCTGGTATGCGACTGTCGCGGCACATGAGCCTGCTCCCGACGTGACTGTCGAGGATCTGGGGTTCCTGACTGGCTAGTAGATGCGCTTCGAGATGTGCTGCCCGGCGCAGTTAAGCTAGACAGCGTGTGGAGGACCGAATTGAGGTCCGAGGCGTTGTAAGGAGACTCCGCCATCCTGAAAGGGCCGATGTGCAATATTTGAATATCAAGTGAAGTCGGTGAAGTCACAAGTTCAGATGATCTTATACGAGAAACGCCAGACCGCCGGCCGTAGTTGCGGCAGGAAAGCGCCAGCGCCACAAGCACGTCCCGACAAGTGAAGCTGTTGAATGTCTTGGCGCCATCTCCGGCCGTTGAAAATTTACCTAACCTTCCCACCTCCAAGTCCCGGTCGTCGCACGCCGCCCACAACAACGCCCCCTACACACTCAATCGCTGGGCCCTCACGCTAGTCGCATCTTCTCCGATCATTGCCCACCTTATCCCTTCGCCGTCGACACACCCGCTCCCGCGCACCATGTCCCGATCCGCGGCGGACGCAACGCGGTTCACGGCCACCGGGCCGTACGCCAGCTCCAAGCCCAACGCCGCGCCCTATGAGCTTCCGGGTTTCATGCAGTCGAAGGAATCTGCGAAGCCGGCTAAGCCGGCCGCACCACAGGCCGGTCCTGATGGCCAGCCCGAGACGCCGAAGCAGAAGGTCGAGCGCCTGCGGGCGCAGGCACGGGCTGCCCGGATGGCTCAGCAGAGCTCGGGCATGGACCGGTGGATTGAGAGTGGGCGGAGGTTTGCAAATCGCGCGCATAAGGGCATGGTTTATTCATTGATCGTTGCGTCCGGTATGTACTGTGCCTTTGTCTTGCCTTGGTGCCGGGGAAGGGGGCCATGGCAAACACGGTCCCCGATCTTCTTCAGGAGATGCTACAATCCCTTAGACGTGAGTTGATAGCTAACATGGCACCTTTCCACCAGGTGTTTGCGGTGTTCTCACAGTCTACTCCATGGTCTCGCTGACCCTCTACAACCGCCGCCAACGCACACTCTGGATCGAGAAGGAGCTTGAAACCCTAAAGCAAGCACGCATCGCCCAAGCCAGCGGCACTGCCACCGCCGAGCAGATGGAACTCATCGAGAAGGAGGAGATCGGGGAGATTTACAAGCGCAAGCGCGAGGAGGAGAAGGCACAGCGGCCATGGGCTAAGGCCAAGCGGTTCCTGTTCGAAAAGATGAACCCGGAGGACGCTGGTGCTTCCACTGCGGCTGCCCCGACTGTGGCGCTAGGTGCTGAGACTTCGCAGCCTAGTGTTGTCGAGGCCGTTCAGGCCAAGCAGGCTTTTGACGCAGCGAAGGCAGCGACCGGCGCGCCCGTGCCCGGCCAGTTGGACGTGATGGCGGAGAAAGCAGAGCAGGCGGTCAAGCAGACGACACGCAGCTGGACTAGTTGGTTGACTGGTCGGTAGAGGTGGGATCATCCTTTGAGGGGATAGAAACAAACCATCACGGACCTGGGATGAGGTCAAACCCGTCCTCCCGTCCTCCCGTCCTCCCGCCCTTCTCGAACATCTTCACCCTTCACCACGTCGGTATCCCCGCCACCGGGGTGCCGCCAGTCCCAGTCCCAGTCCCAGTTCAGCCAGTGCCGTATGAAGTATTTTATCTTGCATGGCGTGTTGCGATGAGCCTCTTCTCGCAGCATGCCTCCATCGTGGCAGGGGGTTTCCGGCGTTGCATTGTGTCTTTCTCTGTTCTCTGTTCTCTTTCCTTCCAGGTCCGTGTTTCTGAACTGCTTGGGGGTGTCTTTGGGTCGAAATCGGTTCGTCTTTTCCTCTGCCCGTGAGGTAAGACGGCCGTGTATATTGTGTACAGTACATAGAAAATCTGCTCCTTTCTCCACCCACCCACACCATCGTTTTGCAAGTGTTTGTAGGCGGCCAAAAGATTGCAGCCTAATCGAACCTGACAATCGACATGGTGACTGGGATTTCTCATCCAATCGGATACTCATTTCAGAAAATACGAAGCTAATAGGCTTGTCAAGCTGAATTTCACCCCTTGGCCCCCTCTAGGCATTCTTTGTTTTATATTGTAGAGAGGGTCTGGCGACGTACAGAAGGGTCGAGGCCACAGAAGGGCTAGATGCCAGCGCCAAAAGATAAAGAACGCGACCGGCAGACACGCCTTGACGGGAAAGAAACCTATAGCGGCTATAAAGGAAGACGACAGGCAAGCCAAAATCAATCGTATTTGAATACTGTGGGACGGTGATGAGAAAAATCAATGAATATCTGAGTCTGTTTCTCCTTGGAACTATGAGTACTAGGATTACTGTCAGCACATAGAGCGGTAACCTACCCCTAGCAACACATTGCAAATTGATTGCATAAATACTTCGCCAATTCCAACCTACCACCGATCAATTTGGACGCCAGCTCCGAAACACCCAACCCCCTTCCACAGCCTTTGCAAGCCCAATCCGCGGTCCTCGTTCACCATGCCTCTCCTCAAACATATCCTCTACCTCTTTCACAGGCCTTGCCATGCCTACTTCAAACAGCGCCGCTACTAATGCAGGAATACTCAGGCGCGCTTGTACCTCTCCTGTATTGCCCCGAACCGCTATCAGAGCTACAAAGGCGAGTATAATGCCCAGCAAGACAAGCAGCAGATTTGCCGCAACCAGGGCGAACAGTGGCGCTTTGGGAACGCGCGCAACAAGAATCTCTTCTCGCACTTGGGACGCCAACGCGGCGCGTGGCTCGAATGCGCCTGACGCAACTGCCAAGGCGGTTTGACCATATGCTAGTGCAAACTGATCTGCGATGTCTTGTGCGGAGTTGCCCAGTCCTGCGATGCTAGCAGCTTGAATGAGGTTCGGCTTCCCGACGTCTGTGTGGCGCTGTGTGCCTTGCACGATAAGCGTCGTAGAACGGTTAGAGTTGCTAGACGTCCAGTTCTTGATGGTGCCGTTCACGGAAGAGTATTCGACGTCGTAGACGGTGGATGTGCAGCTCACTGCTACGATAGTCGCACCGCCGTGTCCACCGGCCAGAACCTCTGGGTCGTTCTGCAGGGCTGCCGGGCGTGCATTGCGCATATTCGCTAGGATGATGGCGGAGTAGTAATAGGGGTTGCCGATCGGGGTTTGATCCGTGTTATTGTTCGATCCAGTTGAGTCTGTGAAGTAGGCCATGGTGACGGAGTTGGACGCGCCCACGGCTGTGTTGACGGTCCCTTGGAACGCAAATGGGCAGTGGTAGGTTGTGCCCACTCCGAAGACATCATTGGCGTTCGCGCACTGGGAGGTAACGGGAGAACATTGCGAGTGTATCGCATATGTTGAGACGGTGTAGTCGAGAGGCGCTAGGCGAGATATTTCCGGAGTCGCGACGTATGCGTACTGATCTTGACCCACAGAGTGAATTGGGATTGTCATTGTATCTGAAATGTTGGAGAGAACTCTCATCGGGTCGGGGTGAAGTAGGACATCGCCTGAGGCCGGGTTGTTGAGGTTACAGCTCAGGAGAGTGCTGTCTGCGTTCGTGCAATTCTGGTACACGCCGAATCCAAGACCTGAGGCGTCGGAGTTTGCGTGCACTTGGATGAAGTTGACAGTTTTGGTAGTGAAGTGAAGCCAGGTGTCGGTGACTAGGACAAGAGTGCTATTTCCTTGTTAAACTAGCAACTCGGTAGTATTTCTAGAGACTGAAAAACACGCACCTTAAGACAATGCCGAGGGTCAATACGGTCGTCACACTCTTTATCGCTCTCCCCTGGCGCTCGCGCCTTCCTCGCCAGCCAAAGGAATACATCAACCAGCTCCAAAGGGCAGAGAAGGAGCCGCTCGAAATCATGCGGACAATCAATGAGAGCTGAAAAGGTGTTGGTAGCTGCGCCACCTCATGATTTTCCGAGGCCGTCAACAGACCCTTCGCGACCGGGTAGGACACTAGAGCGACACCAAAGCCAACTAATATTGGAGCGACAGTGCTAGACCACGAGGCAACGGTGGTAAGTGTGGTTGCACTTATTCGGACAAAATAGACGCTTGGATCATTCTGGTCGGCGTCAAATGCTAGATCACTGGAGATAAAGTCGTTTTGTTTGATGCGATAATGAAAGACCAGGCCGAGCAGAAGCCCGGAGAAGATTAACATTGGCAATGTCATAACAGCGAACGCGATGAGAATCTCCTGGATGCGCCCCTGCATCTTCTTCGCCCCTCTATCGGGAGCCAGAGGTGCAGTTGAGTATACACCTCCTCTCTTGTCCATATCTTCAGAGGTGACCATTTTGGCGTGAGTAGGAAGTATGAAGTCTAACTTCCGCGGTTCACGACACCATTTGATGGCAATTACGGGTATTTGTGTAAAGTGATGGGCAAGAGTGCGGCTGAGGAAAACGAGGTGCTCGCCAAATTTTGTCGTGATAGTAAACGCCACCTAGACGCCACCAGAGCCTAGCGAATAGAGACCCCACGTCTAAACACTCTACAAATGATGCGTTTATTGTAATCCCAGAAAAGAGGCTGCAGGACCCTGCAGATCATGAGATGGCTTGACCGCGTGACCATGACTGGCGGCGAATTATTCAGGAAAGCCTGCCATCCTGAATCCGTCGCATAGGTCGACATCGGAAGGTATTCGCCGGTAGGATGCAAGCCATAGCACTCGATTATCCGTCGAGTCAATTCTCACGCTAATAATAGAATAGGAATAGTGAATACCGTAGAGGGTCAAAAATACTGTATTGTGCATCCTGGCAGTCTGGAAAAAATTCGCGGAGCTTCCTTACACTATAAGGTTTCTTTTGGTTTGAGGTATTGGTAGACTGCTCGGGGAGGTGCGGATACGCGATTGGCTCTGACACTCTGGCAGGTCGTATCGGCAAAGCTACTAGGTAATGGGCAGGCTTAGGTACGACACACCAAGTCAACAGTTCGGAGGACCGTTCACTCTCGAGTCGTCGTGCACGGAAGAACGAGTCTGGTAGTGCTAGTCCAATAGCAGATATTGCGAAAGCTGGTGGGATCGACAGCTCCTCTCAAGGTCAGAGGTGCAAGGTGTTCCTGCCGAGGCGATGTGGGGCACGGGAGGGCACGAAGGCAAGACCCTATCACGACCGCCATAAGCCCGCCCCCCCATGAGGTCCACTGCGCTAAGACCCCTTCCCGAACGTCCCGCAGCCGCATTTCTACGTCCAATAGCGCAAGAGTATATAGCAGGCCCCGCGGACCCCTCAAGACAATCCAACCCACCCACCTAAGCAAGTGAGGTCCTGGAGGGGGATTCCAACCTTCTTCCACTGTGGCCAACTCCAGCCTGTTGTTTCCGCCTGTGGTTTCATCCCCGCCATGGGGGTCGCCATCTTATCTGGGCAGGCTGTGACGCTCGTCTGCGGTCTCCTGAGCCTCTATATGCTCAGGACGATCGCGACGTATGCTAAGTTAAGGCAGTTCCGGGGACCCTCGTGGACCGGCATCTCGAACTGGCCTCACAGCATGGCGATGCTTCGGGGCAATTGCCACGAGTGGTATGCCGAAGTCAGCAAGAAACATGGTGCGAGGCATCTTCCAGGCATTCCATATGCCTTGCATCCTCTACCAGGGTGCCGTACCTCCTACGGCTAACCGTCTCGACTCGAGCCAGGTCCAATCGCCCGTGTCGCGCCTCGAGTGCTGATCACCTCCTCGCCCGAAGTCTGGATGCACGTGAACAACAAGCCTGGCTACAAGCGCTCCGATTGGTACTACACAGCCGTGCGAATCGAGCACCGGCGGGATAATGTCTTCAGTCAGACGGATAACGCGAAACACGAGCGACGAAGGAAGCAGATGGCTCCCGGGGTATGATGGCTGCCTCTTCTTCCTCTGCGACTCCCTGCCCACCCGTTCATCCGGCGTAGACGGCTGACCGGTGATTATATAAAGTACTCGGGAAGGGAGAATCCCCACCTCGAGGAGTCTGTAGATGAGCGACTCCACGATTTCCTAAACCTCATCCGGTCCAAATATGTCTCATCTGACCACCGAGTTGTGCCCATGGACCTAGCGAAGAAGGTTCAGTATTTTACACTCGATGTCATTAGCAGCGTCGGTCTCGGCACGGCGTTCGGGATGCTGCAGAGGGACGAAGATGTGGACGACTACCTCCAATCGAGCGAGGAGGGCCTTGCTATCGCCAATACTGCCCTCGCGATGGGCTTCAGCTGGATCGCCCAAGCGCCCTTCATCGGCAGGTTCATTGCGCCCTCACCCAAGGACAACAACGGTTTCGGTAAGATGATGGCCGCATGCTTCCGCCTTGTTGACGAGCGCGCTGCGAGCTCCGCCGACGAACAGTCCGACATGCTGGCCTCCTTCATGCGCCACGGCTTAGCAGGCGACGAGCTGCGCTCCGAGGCGCTAGAGCAGATCATTGCGGGCTCCGACACCACCGCTGGCGCCATTCGTGGTATCCTTCTGCACCTCATGACAAACCCCCGCGTCTACCTCAGACTGCAGCGCGAGATTGACGACGCCGTGCGCCGCGACCGCGCCCCAAGCACAGGCGGAGGCCTCATTTCGGCCGCCCAGGCTAGACAGCTTCCGTACCTCCAGGCGGTGATCCGCGAGGCTCTGCGAGTCTGGCCGCCTGTGGTGAACATCTTCCCGCGCGATGTTCCGACAGGTGGCGACACTCTTGTCGTCGACGGCGAGAGCGTATTCCTACCCGGTGGCGTCTGCATCGGCTACTCGGCCTATGCGATGCACCAGAGCGAACAGATCTATGGCAAGGACGCAAAGGCCTTCCGGCCCGAGCGGTGGCTCAAGTCGGACCCAGCCCTGTTGGATGTCATGGTGCGGACCAACGACCTAATATTCGGCCACGGTAAATTCCAGTGTTTAGGGAAGGCAGTGGCCCAGATTGAGATCGGAAAGACGGTATTCGAGGTGAGTCGAAACAGCGCCGCATACCTGCTATTGTCTTCTTTCTGCTCGACGATATGCTAACGGACCGCCGGCTGGACACAGCTCTTGCGCAACTTCGACCTGGCGCTGATCACTCCGACGCGTCCCTGGGATGCGCGGAACTACCTTGGGCTTTTCGCAATCTCGGATATGTGGGTGCAAGTGATGGAGCGAACGCCCTGTTCTCCGTGACCGAGTAGAGAACCGATCTAACGTCATATGCGGATGTCCTCTGTCATGGAGGGTTTAACAGGCTTTTTCAGTGGTAGAATACGGCTGATTTTCAACATCTTGTACATCCACTCATCCTTAACGCCCAGTCCTGCGGAGGCGCTAGTGGTAGATAGAAGGGAGACCCTAGAGTCTACGCAGGCTAGGCACCTCTGAAGTCTACTTGGTTTGTGTATACGCAACATGGCTTATTGTATGTACTCTCATGCTGCTTTCGCAACTCCCACACGAACAAATAGACACAACACCGAGGTGCGTTGGCTCAGTCTCGGAGGAACTCGCTCTCAACTTGGGCAGAAGCAACAATGCCAGTCATGACGTTGACAACGTGTTGACCTGTAGTGTCTCCTCCCACTTTTCAGGGGACTACGCGAACTCGCGATTCCACAATCCAGCAGCAAGCAGCGCGATATCAAGCCGCTTGAGCTGAGTATTGGCGCGGTTAGCGAAGCTTTTCACGCTTTGGAAGCTATTCATCTCGAGCTCCTGGATTTGAATCATGTCGGGGCGATTGGTGTATTTCTCGAGCTTGAGTTTTACCTTGTTGCCACGTTCCAAGTTGCGACTCCCGATGATCAGAGAGTCGAGTGGCAGTAGCGAATTGACCACATGGTTACAAAGAAGCATGAACATAAACGCCTGTAATTGCTGTATTTGAACCGGTGGGACACCGTAGTGCAGAAGAGCGCAAGCTCAATGGGGATCCCTTGGCCGGAGTCGGCCACGCCAGCAGGAGACTAAGGCGCGCGCTACGGAGCCTCAACCCAATGGAGCCTCACAGAGGAAGCCCTTGCGACTTGGCAGCCCCAACTCAGAGACTCAACCCCCTTTTCAATCCACAATCGCCGTCCTCTGAAGTTTTGTTTACCTCTTTCATATGATAATATTTTCCAAACTTGATTCAAGTCACTACAATGTCTGAGTTGACCAATTTCCCAGCCCTTGTGCTCGAAAGCATTATATCGACACTGGGTGAGGACAGTCTTAAAGCTCTGCGACTTACGTGCAACAGGCTGAGCGGCTTTTCTAATCAATTCTTATTCCGATCAATCTCGTTATACGACACACCTAGCAGCTGTCGACTGCTGCAGTCTATTCTCGTCCAGCGTCATCTTCGAGACGAGATTCGCAATCTGGATTTGAATACAGTAAAAGAGGATTACATGAGTCTCTCGTACAGATGATACCATTCACGAATAACCCAATGCGTAAGCGGCAGCTTTCCCGACTACACTTATTCCTATCCTTGATTCGAATATATAAGCCACAGGCAAGTATTGATTGAGAGTGGCCATTGTACATGGACTTTAAGCACTTGTAGACGAGACCACGCAACAGAAAGAGAGTGTAGTGGATAGTGGATAAGGAATCGTAGTATTGTAATTAACTTAGTATTTAAAATTAGTATTCTTTTGTCATATCATACATGCTTCTTACACAGCCACAGATATCCGGCACAGCCACAGCCACTGGTATTTGTATTGAGAGATTACCACTCCGGGATCACTATAACGAGTATGTTTCTAAACCAATTTCGCCCCACATGTCGTGTTCCAGCAACCAGCAAACCAGGGACCAGCGACTAGGAACCTCCACCATTCTGCAGGAACGGGCGGTGGCTTTCCTCTTCCTCGTTTGATCGACATGCCCCCGACCCGACAGGTGCTCACCATTATCACACCGTGGTCAACCTTTTGCGTTCTTGGACTCTTGACTCTTGCCATCTGACTGGCTCGGCGCTTTACGCTCTTCCTGAGATCAAGATCAAAATGCCTTGGAACAGCCCCACGAGCGATGTGGAGCCGCACACTCGCGCTATCGATGATTTCTCGCCTCAACAATCCCCAGTCCACAGTTCGTCGGCAAGACTAACCACGATGCACGGACTCCAATCCGCCACCGCAAAACAAGGTAAACGAGGGTATCTCAGAGCGAGCAGCAGCATAAATATCAACGGCATCATAATCACCCCCGGAATTTATCCGTTCCTTTGTGTCTCCCCTTGTGGTCCTACATTCGTTTAGCTGCGGCAAGTTCAACATGTCCTCTAGGGGTCGCACTTCGTTGGTCAACGTGCTGTTGAGCACAAGTACCTTTACGACCGTCTTTCCGACTACCTCCACCGTCACCTCCTCGTCCGCCATCGCCGGCTGCACGATTGCGCAGTCCGCACAGATTACCTGCAGTGATGGGTACTACAATACATATGGCAGCCGGTGGCAAGAGTTCTGCGCCGCTTCGGTCAGCGGTGGTACCGTCTATAGCTCGGGCTCAGGCCTTTCGCTGCGGGCTTGTATGTCAGGCTGTTCGGTCAATTCGCAGTGTACCGGGGTCTTTTGGAATTCCGGTGCTAAGATCTGTTATCTGATGACTGGGGATCTCACCATCACTTCGGGCGGCCCGTACCAAGCAGCATCCCGTTTGTCAGCCGATGCCAGCCCTTGCGTCTCGACCTGGTTGGTTACGGAAACGGGCGCCGTGACTTCGACGGAGGAGGTCGTTTATACTATCACTACCACCTCAACCCTATCTGCCTCGACTCTGCCGATTCCGTCTTCTACTCCTGTGTCGCCGTCTTCTATTCCCGTGCTGCCATCATCTATTCCCGTGCTGCCATCTTCTATTCCCGTGCTGCCATCTTCTACTCCTGTGTCACCGTCTTCTATTCCCGTGCTGCCATCTTCTATTCCCGTGCTGCCATCTTCTATCCCTGTGTCGCCGTATTCTATTCCCTTCTCGTCGTCCTCTATCCCCGTGTCGCTGCCGTCGACGCCACCGGGTAGCTCTTCGTCGACGCCCCTGATTCTGTCCACTTCTTCTAGTATACCAAGCCCGGTGTCTTCCCCGGTACGCTTGTCCTCGACTCCGTTGATTCGCACTTCGACTAGCTGTTCCCTTGCTACCGGCTCTCCTTCGATCATTCCTTCCGGTTTATCTTCCGTTCCCTCTTCCGGTGCTTCCTCCTTGCCCACTGGCTCGAACCCTTCCGAAACACAACCTAAATCCAGCGCCACCTCGCTCGACTCTTCAACCGTAACCCCGGGTGGGTCTTCCACTTCGACTCAATTCGCGGATGGATCAAGCGGGGGTGTGCCAGTCACTTCAACCTATACTACAACGTATACTGTCACGGAAACTCGGCCTGCACACCACGAGACGACATATTTAACCACTGAGACAATCACCCGTGTAACGACAATTTGTCCCGAGGGTTCTGAAGCCACGGCTCCCGCACATGAAGGCTCGGGGACAGCCATTACTCACACGAGCGTGACTCAAAACGCCAACCCCCAGCACACCACTACACAGACTGCTGGTGCTCCAACTCAGAAAACTCAGACCGATGCATACGCTTCCTCCATGACTACCTCCACCATCTATGTTACAGAGATCGACGTAACCACCGCCTGTCCGCCTTCTATTCACAATTGTCCCGTCGGACAGAGCAGCACTTACACCACGACCAGAACCGTCGCTACTCAGACGACAACGTATTTGGTCGCAGTGACGGACTCTGCACAGGCCTCCGCGTTGATGAACACCTCCGGCCAGCCCATGATTTCTCAGTCTACAGATGTCTCTGTACAGCCGGCCGCAGTCCCCACTCTCTTACTTGCTCAGCCCATTGCCCCCAGCCATGACCAAACTGGCGACCACGCTCTTTCCGCCAAGCCCCAAGGTTCAGCTCCATCATCCAGCGCCCAGAAATCCGGGTTCGCATCCTCTGGCTCCAGCCAAGCCACTTCGCACGTTACCATGATGAACTCGGTCTCGGGAGAATCGACCTCTGCGACGACGAGTGCCTCTGGAGCCGTCTATACTGGAGAGGCTCCCAAGATGGGACCTTTCTCTATCCTGTTCACGGTCCTGAACGTGCTGCTCGCACTCCTTTTCCTTTAGTGATTAGGAACACACTTCGTCATATTTGCGGAGGTTCCGGAGGTTCGGTGTATTTTGATATGATATTCTATGAGAGACTACTCTGTATATAATACTAACATTAATCTTGTGATGAAAGTCCACGAAAAGAACTTTAAACCTCATTTCTACCAGCGACTTGGAACCCTTGCTGTTGGATTTCGGTTGGATTTCGATCTCCCGTGCAGATGTGATCCATGCTCGCATCTCGTTGATTGAGCATGTGTCCTGAACACCCTCCGGTCGCATCAGACCCGGAACGCGTACGAAACGCGTACTGTAACTTCTTGCGTCCCACTCACAGGGTTGAAGAAGTCTCGGTGCATCTTGCTCGGGGGAGGTCAGGGCTACGAGGCCGCTCTGAAGGTAACAATCTGGTGATGGCCTGCGTCCATAATTTGAGGGTAGTGTGTTGTTGTAGTACTCTAACGTGGACAATCCCTGAGTAACCAATGAGTGCTCAGGGAAGCGCTGCCTGAGCACTCAGTGAGCACACCGTAAAAGTGGGCCGAAGCAGATTACGTAACGCTTCAATGACTAATATTCTGGTAAATAGGACGCTGACGGCGTCAAAAGTAGCCTTTTTCGGCACCCAATTTACCGTCACTTAGCGTTGGGATGTAGTCTAAGTATAATATCTTCTTTCCGAACTATAATAAGAAACTAGAGCAGATCTTCTCCTAAATAATTATAGAACCTAATTGATTAGTTTTATTTCAATCTTGGTTTATTTTTCACAAGAGTGTGGAGGTATAACTGATTTCGAACGCTACTGTAATGCTGTTTCTCCTCTTTTTCATATCTGAATCGAACCTCCTGCACATACAGCATCAAATATTCTACCCATCCATCATGCCAGCCAATACAATTGCACTAACAAGGCCCCAGAACACACACTGTTGTATCCAACCTCGATCGCAATTGGCCGCATCCCAATCCTACCACCCACCATAATCACCACCAGCTAACCACCCAGCAATCACCAAACACCACACACCAAGCACCAAGCAGTCCACAATCCGCCCAAACAACCCCCACAACCACCCCAATCCCACCAACAAGAAAGTCCGCTCACAAAAGGCCACAAGGCCATGGAAAAGCGGTCCCCCGCCCGTTCCACCGCCATTCCCAAAACAGGCCGGCCCCATCCCGATTCGGTCAGCGTGGCCGGCAGAGCGCTTTGCCCGGTCATCCCATCTGACTGTCACTTGCACCACCGCATCTGGCCCCTGCGCGACTGTGGGGCAGATGGAAGTCTCGTAGATCCTGTGGACCGAGCTGCGAGCTGGGAGCTGTCAGATTGTTTCTGGAGGTTGTGGTGGGTCCGGGGTAGGCTGTTGTGTAGAAGCTAGCTTACCCCGGACTGGAGGAAGGGGGGAGGGGGGTTGGTAGGAATTGTCTGCAGACGAATGGAGCTACCCGTTCCACGACGGCGAGTGATATCTGCGGGCGACTGGGAAATCAGTGGGGTTACGGGGGAGATTGAAAAGAGTGAAAAGTGAAAACCGGAAAAGAATATCGTATTTACGGCATTGCCGAACATCACTGGATACGATCTACCCAAAAAGAGAAAGAGCAAAAGAACACGCTCGTCCGCCGGGCGGCATGGAAAACTAGGTATCTATGTCAAAACCCACACTTTTTTTCTCCCCCATCGGCGCTGCGTCGACTTCAACAGCGCAATCCACCGAAATACTCAATGACAAGAAAGACGGCCCATCTCACCACCTCCAGTCTCGACCTGACGGCTTGGGATGCAAGTTGAACCCACAAGCGCCCCGGCTCAGTTCGAGCCATTCGCACCGTTCGGCTTGGCAGCCAGCAGGGCGCGGCGCGCGCGCACACCATCGGCCAGATCATTCAGCACATCAACCGTCATCTCCCAGTTGATGCAGGCGTCGGTGATACTGACGCCCTTGAGCAGAGCCGCGGGACCCTCGGGGGGCACCTTCTGGTTACCCTCGTAGATATTAGACTCGATCATGACGCCGACAATAGCCGTCTCGCCTTCACGCAGCTGGTCAGCGACTGACTTCGCGACGACCGGCTGGTTGAGATGGTTCTTCTGCGAGTTGCCGTGCGAGCAGTCGACCATCATGACCTCGCGCTGCTTCTTCGCGCGGAGCGCCTCGCGCGCACCGCGGATGCTCTCGCGATCATAGTTGGTGCCCCTGTTACCGCCGCGCAGAATCACGAAGCCATGCTCGTTACCGGCGGTCTTGGTGATCGCCGCGAGACCCTGCTTCGTCACACCCAGGAAGCGGTGCGGGTGGGCGGCAGCGCCGATCGCGTCAATGGCCACGGTGAGGTTACCGTCTGTGCCGTTCTTGTAGCCGATCGGGAACGACAGGCCCGAGGCCAGCTCACGGTGCAGCTGGGACTCGGTGGTGCGGGCACCGATGGCGCCCAGCGAGATCAGGTCCGCCAGGAACTGGGGGAGATGGTGTCGAGCATCTCGGAGGCGATGGGGAGGCCAGTGCTGGTCAGGTCGACGTAGAGCTTGCGCGAGACGCGCAGGCCCTTGTTGATGTTGTAGGACTCGTCAATGTCGGGGTCGTTGATCAGGCCCTTCCAGCCGACGGTGGTGCGGGGCTTCTCCAGGTAGGCGCGCATGATGATGCACAGGTCCTTGGACAGTTTGCCGGACAGCTCCTTCAGGCGGCGGGCGTACTCGAGTGCGGTGTCGGGGTCGTGGATTGAGCAGGGGCCAACCATGACGAGGAGGCGGTCGTCGCGCTGCTCGATGATCTCGATGGCCTCATTGCGGCCGGCGCGGACGGCCTGGATGGCACGCTCGGGCTGGACGGAATTGGACGTTAGTTAGAGGACTTTGGCTGGCCGATTCGGAGGATTGGGGGTGTTTGGGCGGGCGACAGTGCCATTGTTCTGGCTTCGAAGGCGGGGGGAGGCAAAAAAAAATTAACTCACCGCGGGGATCTCGGTCTGCAGGAACTGCGGCGAGAGCAGAGGGTCGTAGCCGAGGACTGGAGGGAAACCGGGCGATGAGCAGATTGCCATGGAGAAATTGGGTGTGGACGGAGAGTCTCGAGGCGTTATACGTACCACGAGTGTCCTCGCTGACTTCGGTGGTGTTGACGAGAGGCATGGTGCACGGAGACCACAGCCAATTCTAATGCAAAATGAGTACAAAGCCAGACAGAGGAGATGGGACAGATGTAGAGTGGCGCCAAGACCGTAAGACGGACGAACAGAGAAGCAAAGATCAAAATCGCAAGAGAACTCACATTTGTAAAGCTTGCAGAGAATCTTGCAAAAGCAAAAGATCAGTGTGGCTTTGAGGTCCAAAAAGGCTGATGGCAAAAAGTGGGCCGCGATGACTCCGCGGTGGGCTCGGCGAGTGGCTCTAGTTCAGGACGGACTGGGCCTCGGCAGGGATGGCACTAGAGGTTGTTATACAGGAAGCAGGGGTTCTTCGTGTGCGGAGGATGATTGATGATCGTTCTGGAGACGAGCGCATACTCTCGAGACGGATGATCTGTCATATCGAGTCCGTCGGCGACAATAATTCCTGCCCATCGCGGGCCCTTTGGTCGGTCCCCTCCACTCGCCGCAGGATCCACTGGGCCAATCAGACGGCCCCGAATGCCCTCGCGGCACTAGACGACCAGCCTATGGTGCAACCATCAGATCAGATTTCTGCGCTCGAAGGTCCCCGTCGGGTAGATCAGATCGACGCCTGGTCGGCCCCCCTGCCACGCCCTTCGGCCTCGTCCGGATGCAAGTGTGCAATTGTGCGACTGTGCAATTGTGCAACTGGGCGGAGGGAGAGACGTTCTTCGCACGCAATGGACCAACCAGAGACCCCGGTGGTATGTTCTGGGTGCTTGGGGCCCAACGGGGCCGGGGAGCGGCCTTTTTGCTCGTCGGGACATGTCAAGTGTCAAGCAGAGGGCGTCGGATCAATCGGATGCAGGAAGATCGGCAGGAGGTGATGCACATATCGCTTCGCTGACGAGGACTGGCAGGTGGTGATGGCATGGCAGGATAGCCTGGGTGATGGGGTCGCTACAGTCCTCCCCACAGATTCGCCATTCACGGCGGGTTTGGTGTGTCATGTGAGAACGACGATCAAGGAGAACTGCTGATCGCGGTGTTGCTGCAATGGATGCCATAGATGCCATAGATGCCATTGATGCCATTGATGCTATACAATTGGACGACTGTGCAGACTCGCGACAGACTCATGGGACCGGCTGAGGGGGCTCTATAGATTGGTCATATTCGTCTTCCGCAGTCTACGTCGCAGACGGCAGTTCTCTCAAGGGAGCTCCAGACAAGGAGAGATAGAATTGACCAGGCCGGCATGATCGACGTTTCCCCAGCCACTCCGCATGGCCAGGGGCGATCCGCGATCCGCCATGCCGGCAACTGCCGAGTTCAGCTCTCCACCTTTCGGATTCTCCCCTTGCCTCTCCAGATACTTCCAATGCTTCCTCCTGCTGCCGGGGCTCTTCTCCCGGCGCTCATCCTCCCATCATGTTCGGCCAGTCCTCAAAGCGCCCACGCGACGACGACCGTGAGTCGGCGCACTTCGCCCATGGCCCCAAGGTATGTTCTACGCGATCCCTCAGCAGCACGTCACGTCCGGCATTGCCCGCCCTTCCCTCACCCTGCTAACGAGAATAAATATCCAGAGGCTCTGTCCGCCATGGTACCCTGTTCCTGACGCGCAACCGGAGTCTGCCGCCGACCTTGGCCAGTCGCTGCGCTTTCGCGCGCCCACGCTGACCCCGGCCGACTCCTCGGAGGAAGAGGAAGAGGGAACCACAAACGGAGGCGCGGCGGCCGTCTACGGGGGCAGCCCGACCACGGCCAGGCTAGCGTATGGCCCTCGCCCGCCGATGCTGCATCTGAGCGTGGATGCCAATACAGCGAAGCAGCAGCTCGCAGTCTTGGCCGGCGGCGACAACCTTTCGCCTTGGCACGTTGACTCACAGCCCGGCAGCCTTCAGCCCTCGCCAATCCCGCACCAGCTGGTCAACCAGTCCCTGACCATCAACGGCGTCCCGACGGCCACGCCGCCGCTGGGATACTTCCCGGCCGTGGCGACGCCGCCCGCGAATGCGCCCCTGCAGGATCAGATCATGATGGAGGGCGCGGCATGCAACAGAGAAGCCCAGGCACCCATGGACCGGCTCCCCAGCCCGGTCAGTGACAATGACGACGCGATTATGGGTGATCCCGGGAATACGGGTGACGCAGACACGGAGATGGGAGACTGCCCGGCACCAAGCTTCTCCCAACTCGCCCCGCCGGCACTTGCGGCAGAACTCGCGAACCTATACCAGCAGGCTCCTCCCCCTATCACGGATCATTACCATTCTTCCACGTGCAATGCAGTTCCACGCCGGCGGTCTCCCCTCGTCATGGGCTACCGCGCAGGCTGCAACAAGTGTCAGTGTAAGGCCCCCGGGCACTATAGCCACATCCGCCGCGCTTGATCGTAGCACTTGGTCTGCGCTCCCACCGCCATCAGGAGCTTCTTCTGGGGTCCTGCTTTTCTTATCCTTCGACTGTGTACGATACCCTCTCGCGGCCATTGTCATGTCCATCAGGCAGCTCGACACATTATTCTCCCAGATGGCGTTTTATGTTTCGGAATGAGTGAGATGGAGGAATGGCGTTTGATGGAGTTTGCAACTTGACGTTTCATTCGCTGGTCGGCATCCAGAGATGCGAGATCGACCAATTTGTTCTTGTGTACAATTAGTATAGTCGAATGCGAACCCGCCAAATATAGAGGCCGGTATTCAGCTTCCTTAAGCCACGCCTTGGAGCAATAGATTGTGACTCATTTTCCTTGTACAACTGGCCCAAGATTGTTGCATTAAAAGAAAAACTTCTTTCTGGCCAAGGCAGTTCATTACCTGAGAAGCAACCGCGAACCGATACCCATCCATTCCATTACCTTGGACTGGATAGGTTCACTGTATGCTGACCTAGGAACTGGGGGAGGAGGCTACAGAGAGGTTCCAGGAGGCATAGAGATGCGAGCTGGAGGAGACATGAATGATCAATACGCACTACTGCAAGATATGCCCTACCAACTATGTTGCGTTGTTCCTGGAATGTCCAAAAAGACGCGGAAGGACAAAGCGGCTTGGAAGTGAGGCTAGATTGCTCGTAGGCGAAGCCTTTGTCCTGTGCCTTCAACAATCAACCTCCAACTTCCAACCTGCATCTGACTCTCCACTTTCTCTGTCGTACTCTTCCTCTCTCTCTAGCTGTCCCCTTCCAGAAATCTGTCATTTGATACCTTCGTTCTCATATCATCCACCACCTACCAACGACCAACATGCAGCACGCTGTGCCGAGGCGCTGGAAACGACCAAGGAAGCGGATTGACATGCAAGCCCAGGTAAGACTAGCTACAATATGTTTCGCAGAGAATCCAAGTCGTCATGATGCCCTCGTCGGCTTCTATCAACTGAGATGCTCAACCCCATCCTCTTTAACTCATCAACGAGAGGTCCTATTGCACAATATATATGGCTAACAACAGAGACCAGGACTTCTCACAGGCACACAGAGAATACTGCCATCTCCCCGAGCATCATCCCAGCCATGAAGACGACCCATCTTCCTCAGAACATCCCAGCCGCACATTCCCCATTGACAGATACAACCCGGCCTTCATCAAGCCGCAAGAAATCGAAGCCTTCGACGGCAGCTGGGTTTTCATGGCTTGCCCCGGCTCAACCACCAACTGCCCACACTGCAAGAACCACGTCTACCACATCGGCTGCCTGGTAGTCTCCATCAGTGGGGCTCTCTCAACAACCAGCGACCCGCCTCGTTCCTCGATCGGCGTGTTCTTCGGTCCAGACAATAAGAAGAACCTAGCCAGTGTGCTAGACGGCGACAAACACACTACCCAAACCGCCGAGCTGAAGGCCTGCCTAGAAGCGCTGACCCGACTTTTCGTCCTCCACACGACCTGGCAGATCGAGCCGCCCAAGAAATCCACCTGCTACCCGCTACACACGGTCATCATCAAGTCCGACTCGGAGTACGTCGTCATGGGCGCGACTGAGTGGCTGTCAAAGTGGAAGGAGAATGGCTGGAAGAAGGGCAGTGGTCAGCCTGTTGCTAACCCGGAGCTGTGGCGCCTCGTCGACTCCATGCTGAAGCAGCTGGAGTATGATATCAAGGTCGAGTTCTGGCTCGTGCGGCGAGAGATGAATGGTATTGCTATTAGGTTTGCCAAGGAGGCTCTCGGCGAGGCTTAGCCTCAATGGAAGGCTGTGCTGCAGTTTTGCGGGGTATCTAGCCGCTTATGGAGTTTCTCTGCGCTCCCTGAGGATCCCTAGGTTTCGGACGCGGCGTTGTTTCAGCATCTTCTCGGGATCGGGGGCTGTGCATCTTTATCCATTTCTTGTATTTCCAGGAGGCTGAGCTTTAGTACTCTAATGACTTTCTACCGCTTACCATATGCCTATTCCGGAAACTCGGCAAGAGATATTTTGCCCCCTTTCCCGCCCGGGCGACGTATAGCCTGCTTGGGCGATAGCAAAGAACCAATGGAATCTCGGGAGCGCCATGTCGACGTCAATAATAAGGAATACCTTAGTAATCCCGACCACAAAATAAAGTATCCGGTGACCGTCCATTTAAAGAGCGGTATCTGGAACCTTGTCTTCAAGACATCCTGGTGCCTCATATATGCGACTTCCAGCGCGATCTCAATATGCAGAGATCAACAATTAAGCGCGGCCCGCTCAGCGCAAAAGACGTCGAGGTCGCCGCTATGCCGTGCTACATCGGATGCGAATATCTAGCAACCGGTAATCACATCCTCTCTGATTTCCTTCCTGCCTACAGTGAACGCTTGCACTAACTTCTGGTTGCCGGTCCAGGCCAATCCCTCCCCGATGCCTGCGAGCTATGCTTCGAAGACCTGCAACCTGCCTCTACATTTCGCCAGCTACCATGCGGCCATGTTTTCCACAAGCCATGTATTGATATTTGGATAGTCTCGCGCGATGCGAGCTGTCCACTGTGCCGGACAACTTTCTATGAGCTGCACGATTCTAAGGTGCTTCGGACTCCATCAAGTGACTGTAGCGCGAGAAGTCCTCACCATGCGAACAGCACTTGGCACATTCCTCGTTGGATTAAGAGGGGGTTTCATGTAGGATAACATTTGCTTCGTAGTTTATAAATTCAACTGTCGCTTGTGGATCAAATGCTACGGAGTGGAGTTGGTCAATAGTCAAATAGTAGTAACTTTCAAGCCCGCCCAACTCATCACAACGTGATAGGTTCAAAGCTTAAGTCAGGACCTCGGCTCCTTAGCGCCCTTCCGAGGTTCTTTTTTTGGGTTTAATGTGGCCATCCGCAAACGCCAAGTAGACAGATGCCCGTTTACCCGCATGATTTACATTGTGGGCCTCCATATTCAGGAACCTAGAGTTGGCCGGTGGTTGCTCCTGTTGCTTCTTTCTATTGATAAGAATGATCTGCTTTTCCCCTGTTGGACTTTCTGAATGTGCACTTCCCTGCATTGGAGAATATGAGCAATATTGGAGTTCTGTTGTGGGGTGTTCCATTCCATATACTAGCGTCGGCTTGGCGATACATATTCTTCAGTTGGGTCGGCAGTCTAGAGATTTGACAGGACTGGTAGGTTTCACCTGCATAGAAATATTTGGGGGACGCCTGAACGATTTCAAATTCACAAAGACGGCCTTCGGCAGGTGGGCAGGCTAAAGGAGACTATAAAGCGTGTGACTCGAATTGGAAGCTACAAGTAGCCCCCTTGTCGCTGAGCAACAGACAGGAAAGGTTTTATGGTCCTGACTAATATCCTCCTTGCTCTAGGATACGTCAACTTCGGAGTTACCCTGTTCAACCGTTAGAGGAGTTTGAAGATTGGGTCTATCATCCACTTGGCCTGTCCTATCTACCTCATCCTGCTCGAAACCATTTCCTGGTTCTCAGAGACCCTCACAGCTTCCAAATTCTGGGAAAGGCCATACAAAACTTGCGTCGTCATTGGTTTAGAAGACAATTACCCGAAAAGAGCTCTATACCACACCCAGTACTGAGCTGTTTCCGTATTGCCCAGCCTCCTTTTGATCTGTGTCGCTCTTCCATAATAACGAGAGGAATTCTCCAAGATCATATCAAAGATAAAGATACTGTTTCACGCTCCCTGTATGTTTTCCTTCTTGACTCGCGCTACATTTGGGTTGATTCTGAAAATAACCTCTTTCGTCTCGCTTGGGACGATTTTGCCAACAGGAAAAAAAACTACCATTTTAACCAGTGCGTCAGTCAAATAATGGGGTCCCTGGGCTGATTTAGTCACCGACCGCTGTGGGGACTTGAGCCATCTTTATTGAGTGGATTGACAAAGTGAGAATATCAAATCTTTTCGTCGCCTTGTAGTTGTATAGCGGGATCAGGTCACGACTACAGTTCAAACGTGAACGATAATAAACCGCCCGGGTCATCTATGGTGCTGTTGTGACCCACGGACAGGCACAGGATAGTAGTAGCTCAGGGAGTATGAGGATGTTCCCGCTTGACCACTTCGGCTTCGTTCCGATCCGAAGTTGACGTAAGCAGCCGAATCGGCTCGTACTTCGGTAGTGGGGGAAGACTCACAGATTCAGGCTGGTCGGATGCTGGTTATGAGGAAGAAACAGTAGAGAAAGGGATACTCGCGGTGCATCTATAGTCTCTAGGTGTCTTGAGGATGATACCTGACTCAGATCACGATCTATAAAGTTGCTTCGTCCCTCCGACGGCATTCCCCACACTTTGCGGGAGAGCCCTTAGCCGATCTCCAGTGCCGGGGGCCACTGGCGCCGCAGCAGCGGGAGTGGCCAACACGCCTACATCCGACCCCGGAATTTCTCCCGGCATTTCCCTTAAGAACTGCTTGCCGCGGAGGAAACGTTGGGGGATTTTGGTTGCTTGGATTGCTCTTCCTGCTTCTTCTCTTCTTCATACTCGCAGATATTTATACAGTGTACAAAAGAGTCCAATCCAGCTTCGGTCCTCGACAGCATCGCAATCGCGACCAGCCCCGAGAAACCTCCCGAGCCGACACAGCTAGTTCGGCGATATCTTCAAATTTCACCGAGCCTCGAATCACTTACAATCATGGCCTCGCCAATCCCCCGTGGCCTCAAGCAGGTGCTCCAGAAGTCGCCCAACGACATTGTCATCCTCTCGTCCCTGCGTACCCCCGTCACCCGCGCTAAGAAGGGCGGCTTCAAGGATGCTTACCCCGAGGAGCTGCTCTCCCACGTCCTCCGCGCCACATTGAAGGCCAACCCCAACCTTGACCCAACCCTGATCGACGATGTCACTATCGGCTCCGTGCTGCAAGAGCTCGGTGGCGCGAAGGCTGGCCGCATGGCCCAGATCCACGCCGGTTTCCCCTACTCGGTTCCCTTCAACACCATCAACCGCCAGTGCTCGTCCGGTCTGGCCGCTATCACGGCCGTATCACACGGCATCCGCGCCGGCGCCATCAACGTTGGTGTTGGCGGTGGTATGGAGTCCATGACCCGCAACTACGGCTCACGCGCTATCCCCACTGTCCTCTGGCCCGAGCTGAAGGACTCTTACTCCAAGGACGCCCGCGACTGCATCATGCCCATGGGTATCACCTCTGAGAATGTTGCTTCGCGCTACGGCATCTCTCGTGCTGACCAGGATGCCTTCGCCGCCGAGTCGCACCACAAGGCGTCCGCCGCCCAGAAGGCCGGACGCTTCGAGAGCGAGATCGTCCCCGTCACCACCAGGTCTATCCCGGCTGAGCACCCCGATGCGGCACCCGAGGAGATCACCGTCACTCAGGATGACGGTATCCGCCACAACATCTCCGTCGAGAAGATGGCCTCCCTCAAGCCCGCCTTCTCGGCCGACGGCGCCAGCACTGCCGGTAACTCCTCGCAGGTCAGTGACGGTGCTGCTGCGGCTCTGCTGATGCGCCGCTCCACCGCCGAGGAGCTCGGTCTTTCCGGCTCCATCAAGGCCCGCTGGGTCGCTACCGCCGTGGCTGGCTGCGCACCCGACGAGATGGGCGTCGGCCCTGCCGTTGCCATCCCCAAGCTGCTCGAAACCGTCGGCCTCAAGGTCCCTGATGTCGGCGTCTGGGAGATCAACGAGGCCTTCGCCTCGCAGGCTCTGTACAGCATCCGCAAGCTGGGCATTGACCAGGCCAAGGTCAACCCTAACGGTGGTGCTATCGCCCTCGGTCACCCTCTCGGTGCTACCGGCGCCCGCCAGCTGGCTGATCTTCTGCCGGAGCTGGAGCGCAGCGGCCAGGACATTGGTGTTGTCAGCATGTGCATTGGCACCGGCATGGGCATGGCCGGTATGTTCGTTCGCGAGTAAAAAGCCTTTTCCGGTGCTAGGGGTGGTTGTCTTTACGTTTCTTTCCTGTTATAGTATGATATGAGCGATGCATGTGTATATACATTTCGCGTACAATAGATATTTTTTTCGATTGTTCAACCGTATTTGGGTTCCCTGTAGAACTACTGGTTATGTGTCCATATCACTAGTAAGAGAATTCTTGGCCAACTAGCTTCTCGCTGAGCACCCAAAGTTTGTCAGCTTCAATGTTGTTGGTGGCCCATGGCTTAACAATATCCACCAGAGGATCTGCGACATGCGAGTCGATGAGGTACGCCCCGTTATTTGCTGAGATCGCAAGTCAACACTTTGAGCCTTAGTTCGCGTCAGCAGTTCAACATACCTTTAAGAGAACGATCGAATGAAGCGTAAATATGAGTCGCAGTGCCGCGATCAATTGTCTTAAGAGTAAAGGCTTGATCTTCCCAGCCCTCCTTTTCGCCTAGCTGTCGATAGACGGAAACTGCATAGACTTAGGAGCCACACTTCCAGCTTGACCAGCATGTCACTACTTACGAAGTCCCTGTATGTCAACATTCATGTCCAGGTGTGCGCTCAGATTCGTCGAGATCGCGCCGGGGTGTAGCGAGAATGCCTGCAAGCTATGCTTGACGCCAAGTTTGTTCGCCAGCGACAGCGCCATCAGCATATTCGCAGTCTTGGATTGCCCGTATCCAACCCATTTGTTGTAAGTTTTGCCTCCCTGTCGGCAGTATCAGTATGTCTTCACTAAGCAAGTAGTAGAGCAATATACGTCAAAGTTGTAATCACCAAATCTAATCGGACTCATTCTGTGCCCGTCGCTAGTAACGATGACTATGCGCGGGCTTGCCGACTTCAAAATCTTATTCATGATCAAGTTCGTGAAAAGGAACGGTCCCAGATGGTTTGTAGCAAAGTGCGACTCGAATCCATCCACTGAGAGCTTGTACTCCACCGCCATTATGCCGGCATTATTGACTAGTACATCAATGGCAGGGATGCCATCCCAACTGTTGACCTGGTCTGCAGCACGGCGAACATTGTCGAAGGAGCTCAGGTCAATTTCCAAAGTGCTGACTTCGATATTTGGGTTGTCGGCGGTGATCTCTTTGGCGCATTGCTCTAGTTTGCTGGTGCTTCGGCCCGCGAGTATCAGGCATGCGGGGTTGGCTTTGGCAATGGATTGGACATAAAAGTTGCCTAACGATCCTGATGATACACCTGTAACAAGGATTGTTTTGCCTTCAATGATAGACGCATAGTCGATGACTAGCTCGGTGGCAGTTGTGTTAGTGTCGTAAGGGGCCGGCATAGCGGGAAATATATTCGCGGGCAAGGGAGCGGTCTGCAGAATTTAAGAGTAGGTAATAGGGCTGAAGAACGAAAGTTCTCTCCTTCGTATGTCTTCTTATGCACTTGATGGACGTGTCTGCTGTATATAAGGACGACTGCTTAGGTGGTGTTTGGTTTATTCTGTTTGCTTTCAATCCTTCAAGCCGTATGTTCAAAGTTTGGGATGCGAGGTTATTCGGGAGCGTCGAAGACATTCGGCTAGGCTGCAACCTGAATATGTACGGGGATAGGATTTGATAGTCATTAAGTCCGGTGTAGGATTATATTTGCAGGTCATCCCTGCTCATTCTAATGCGTTTTCTCTTTTTAAACTCGGTATTAGTTTGTCTGTTTTCATCAGGGATACGGATTCAGGCACAGCTTTTATGATATTGATAGGTATTCACGAAGTCGAGATCGGGTAAAAAGATTAGATCAATCTTACAAAAATATTCAGCGAGAAAATTGTGAATAATTAGGGTAAAAATTGACCTGAGCCTATATTCAAAGGCTTAAGGAAAGCGACGGCCTGCGGACAATTCGCAGAAGCGCCAAGCCTCCACTCACGTGACGGCGATCCTCAGATTTGTTTCGCCGCGCAAAAGTTGCCGTGCAATCGAGGCCTCAGAAGCACGCACACCGCAACAATGCGTCCCGCCATGCGTCTGCCCCTCCGGGAGGCATTGTATGTTTGCTCAAACTGCAGACAAGAAGTCACACCACGAGTCATCTCGCCGCTTACCCGCCAATTCCGCCGCTCTGCCTCCTCCGATTCCCCGACCTTCCTCGAGCGCACTCGCCGCAAGCTCTGGAACACAGAGAAGCCGCCCGGTGCAGCGGACCCATATACCGGCGAGTCGCAGCTTGCGCGGGGGGCTGAGCCGGAGGAGGGATTGGCTAATGGTGAGGTGAAGGAATCGGAGACTCTGGCAACGGGTGATGGCTATCAGCAAGCGCAGACTTGGGATGGGTTGGATGTCATTGGTTATCTCCAGAAGGATAAGTGGCTTGAGGAAGGTCCTCGCAAGGCGGACAAGTACACTCGGTACGTTTTCGATTCTGCGCTGAGTGGAAATCCGATTCTAGCTACCTAGGCACTCCCCGAGGCCGCTTCCTCCATCCTCCTGATCGAAATGATGAACTCAAGTCTAACGAATACCAATTTAGGTACGGAGCCAACCTGAAGCCTCGCGCTACCCTTCCCGCTCTCCGCCAAACCACCGTGGAGATCTGTTTGATGAGCATGCTGGGCAAGCCTCTGGCTAGCATTTGCGATGTTGCCAGCCACGACAATCAGATCCTGCAAATGCTTGACTCTTGCTATGTTGAGGGATCTAGCACCCAGCAGTGGAACACGGCCCTCCGCTTCTCGAGCCAAACGAACATGGAGGCGCTTCTGTTTGTGTTCAACCAGATCGGCGGAGAGTCAACAATCAAGGTCGAGCCGTCCGAGACCCTGATCACTGATAAATCCCACAAGCACGACACCCACCGCGATCTGTCGCTCGCCGACCCTGAAGTCAAATTTGCCGTACGTCCATCCTTGATACCAGCTCTACAGATAATTCGCTAACTCCCACTTGCACAGTTCGTCAAGCGATTCTCGCAGTTGATCGGTCGCCGCATCCCCGACAAGGCCATTACCACATCCCACACCGTTGGTGACATTCTCGCCGGCATTTCATCTCAGCTGAAGGAGAAGCCAATCCAGGTCACGAAGGAGCTGAACAAGCAAGCGGCTGCCGGGGCTCTCCCGGCTAACGTCAAATTCAGCAAGAAGCGTCTGACCAAGAGCCAGAATGATGAGGACCACGGCCGGAAGAAGGCTATTGTCTCCGAGATTTACCGTCGGGGATTGAACATCCGCCCTGCGAGCGATGGTGGGTTCCGATTTAACTGATTGATGCTGCGGAGGGAGATATATGACTACGCCATTAGGAGTGATTATTACTTCAGCCATGAACGTCTGTCTGTGTAAAGATGAGGAGTGAGAAATGGGGCTGTGAAGTGGCCCCCTTGTGATTCATGTCCCTATGGGCTTGAGGCATTTTTTGTTTTGATATCAAGACAATTGTCGTGTATACTAGAAGCACTTTTTCAATTGCATTTGTCGATTTATAACTGAGATCTTTAATGTCTCTAGGACTCAATAGACGCCTTCAATGTGTTATTGGCCATTCTCGAGGGGAGTCTTAAAGAAATTGGAAAGGATGATGGATAAAGTGAAGAGGAGAACCAGTTTTAGCCGAGGAGAACTCGAATCGGGGGTTTTGGAAACTAAACGCGAGATTGAGAAATATACAGTGCTGGATTCAAGCCCGCATCGTGGAATCATGTAATGGCACCAACCGCCCCAAAGAAACGAATAACCCCATGAACTCCAGGAAACCTTGAAAAGCCGTAAAACTCCCCAGAACCACCAATGCAAGAAGCGCACGAAAAATGGACTATCTCCGCGCCGAAGCAGGAATGGAGAACCCGCGCGTCATAAAGTCACCCTTCGAACCCTGCTTCTTATCCTTCGTGAACAAACTATCAAGATTGTCATTAAGACCCATCATCTTTCGCCGCTTCTTCTTTTCATTCTCCTCATTCAGCACACGTGCAGTGAGCGAGGCTGTCGCGGAGTTCTTGATACCGTTGCTAGAGGCAGTTGACTTGGCTGCGGTTGCAGAAGCTGTGGCCACGGTGGTCCCGTTAGTTGCGTCTGCTGAGCTCTCCATGGTTTGCTTCTTGCGCTTCTTAGAACCGGGGGCTTTCTTGAGCGAGTGGGTGAGGCCTTGTTCGGCGAGTTTGGCGGCACGGGCAATGAGACGCTCCTTATCGGCTTCTTTAGTTGTGAGGATGGGAATGATGTTGTCTTCGGAGTAGGACTCGTTGCACTGATGAGGATGTTAGATATTCTAGTGCATTCAGCTTGATAACCAGGTTCAGGCCACTAACCTGCAAGCATTTGTCTCCCTTGAGCTGTCGGATGGCCTCTTCGGCAAAGACATGGCCACACGGCACAAGATAGACGGCCTTCACGCCAGGACCCAGCGGCTTCGCAGTGATCGGGCAGATCCAGCCCTCACGGCGCTGGTGGCGGTGCGCATTGGCATGGTCGGACGGGTGCTCGCTGAGCTCGGTGTCAACCTCAAAGTGTAGCTCGACAACGTCACGGAGACCTTTCACTCGTCCGCACAGAACTTCTTCGCAGTCGGACTTGGAGCTGATGCCCTCGCCATCGTCACCAGGGAGCAAGAATTGGAGCACGGCGTCTTTATTGTATAGATTTCCAACGCTGTCCGAGACAATCGGCCGCGCGAGTGCCTTATGCGACAGCGGGCAGGTGGTCCAGCTATGCTCCTGCTGTTCGCGCTGGGTTTCTTTGATCTGCGCTGTAGTCGGGGCGCGGGCCGCTTCGCGAACCAGTTCGCGGCGGGTCGGGATACTGTGTGTGGAAGCCTGAGTTAGTATGGCGTGCTTACAGGGATACGCGTTCAGTAAAGAAGCTCACCTTCCACCGTCATTACCCATGCTGGCTGCTTGGTCGAAAGGTGTCGTAGCAGGCAATCGGTTCGCCACCACCTGTGATAACTAAACGGCCGGGGGGCAGAGATAGCGCGCTGACTCAGCGCCCGATTAGATCCCGCATATCAACAGCTGGCCGGAAGCTCTCTCCACACTCCCCAGCTCAATGCCTCAACCATGAGACTCCCTCAGTCGCTTTTCCTGCTGGCTGTGGCCGGGTCGTCAGCCCGAGCTAGCAGCGACAAGGCTGCTCGCCCTCGGGGCGTGGCTCCGGAATGTGAGTGATTATAGTATTCCCGGATCGTAATCCCCACCCCCCGGACAACAAGGTGTCCACAGCCGGTGGACTATCAGTGGGGTGATATGTCACGGTTTGGGGAATTATATTCGTCCAATGTGCTAACTACGAAGCTTGACAGTTGCCAAGTACTACCAGGACTCGAACACGTTTACCTGCATCTCCAATCCCGCCGTCCAGATCCCCTTCTCCGCCGTCAACGATGACTTCTGCGATTGCCCGGATGGCAGTGACGAGCCTGGCACTTCGGCGTGCTCGCATCTCTCACGCAATTCTCCTCTGACGGTCGCGGATCGCCCTGGGAACAACGACGAAGAAGTCACGGCTGCATTGCCTGGATTCTACTGCAAGAACAAGGGCCACCGCCCGTCATTCGTGCCGTTCCAGCGCGTCAACGATGGAATTTGTGATTATGAGCAATGCTGTGATGGAAGTGATGAATGGGCTCGTGTCGGAGGCACTAAGTGCGAGGACCGCTGCAAGGAGATTGGCAAGCAGTGGCGGAAACAGGAGGAGCAGCGCCAGAAGTCTATGAATGTTGCGCTGAAAAAGAAGAAAGCACTCCTCGTGGATGCTGGCCGTCAGCAGCAGGAGATTGTGGACCAAATCACTGGCTTGGAGGCCGAAATCAAGGGTGCCGAGGCTAAGGTGGAGGGTCTCGAGGCTGAACTGAAGGCTGTCGAGGAAGCGGAGCGCAAGGTTGTTCGGACAAGTGGCAAAGGCGCAGGCAAGGTCAATGCTCTTGCGGGCCTTGCGAAGGGCAGAGTCAATGAGCTGCGCGATGCGCTGCTGGAAGTCCGTCGGCAGCGAGACGAGACCCATTCACGGCTGAAGGAGCTCGAGGAGATCCTGTCCAAGTTTAAGGTTGAGTACAACCCTAACTTCAACGATGAGGGTGTCAAGCGTGCTGTGCGCAGCTGGGAGGACTATGCTGCCCGTGAAAAGGTTGAGGACACCAACAAGGCCCAGGACCGTGACTTGGATGAGATTGCCAAGGAGGATGGCGAGAGTTCCGGTATCAACTGGGAGCACTGGGAGAACGAAGAGGATGGCTGCAAGGACTCCGACCTAGGTAAATTCCGCCTTCTTATACTAGGGGCAGCCGTGCATATGCGCTAACAGTAATTACAGTCTACCAGCTTGCCGCTTATCTTCCCCCGAGTCTCGTCGCGTTCATTGAAGACAAGGTTCTTTCGTTGCGATCCTTCCTCGAGTCTAGCGGAATCCTCGCCAAGCCCGATGTGGATTCCTCGTCCGAGTCTAAGGCTGTGACTGATGCACGCAACGCTCTCAAGTCCGAGGAAGACTCATTGAAGGCTCTGAAGAACAAGCTTCGTGACCAACGGGCCGACCTCGAGAAAGACTATGGCCCGGCTGGCATTTTCCGTGCCTTGAAGGATCAGTGCATCTCCCGGGATGCGGGTGAGTACACATACGAGCACTGCTTCTTGGACGGCACGAAGCAGATCTCTAAGAAGGGTGGCTCTTCCATGTCCATGGGCAGGTTCACTCGGATCGGTTACACGGCCGTTGAAGAACTGAACGACGCTGGAGAGATCGTCTCTGTCGCGAAGATCGCGCTCGAGTATGAGCGGGGCCAGCACTGCTGGAACGGGCCTAACCGGTCGACCAAGGTCGTGTTGGAGTGTGGCGAGGAGAACGAAATCCTGAAGGTGGCCGAGGATGAGAAATGTGTCTATTCGATGCTTGTGACTACCCCGGCTGTCTGCGCTGGAGGCGAAGAGAACGGCCACCCTCCTCGCTCGAAGGATGAGCTGTGATATTCTGATTCTGGTATACGATTTGGCATTGTCTCTGTGCCTACTGCTTTTTTTTTCACTGTTAAGACTTCATATCCTCCAAGCATGGAGTCGATGCGCTTGTTAGCATTCATCTAGAGCTTTTTTTTTTTTTTTTTTTCCGAAGTATATTTCAGCGAGCTTTTTTTCTCTCCCGGTGGGCTTTTTGATGTAGACATAAACCGTAGCTTTTTCTTGACACTACCTGGTACAAAGGATTCATATCTCACCGTCTACACTTTTTTTTGGCTCCACGGAGGCCAAGCAGTTGACCGGATTATATCCAGATTTGTATTCATATATACTTGCATGGGTCAAAGACCTACAAACACAGACATACGCGCGGCCACAGCAAAAGTCAGACCGGAAAAATTCTCCATCCAAAGGACCCCAACATTCTCAGCCAGGCAGTGGGAACACACAAGCATCTCGATTATGATGCGTTGGCACGGTTTTGACCGAACGGACCTCCAGCCACGAAGCCAGGCTAGTGCGAGAGCAGCGGGATGCCGGGCCTGGTATGCGTTGTCGAGTTGGAGGAGGACGGCGGCGACGAAGGCGTATAGGAGGGCTTAGTGCTGATAGAATCATCAGAATGTCTAAATCTCAAATATACCGTGCAGGAATGGGAGTATAAGACGACGGGGAGAGACTTACACCGCAGGCGGTGCACGAGCAGCCGTTGCAGCCGTTGGCGCAAGAGCAGGTGGAGCACGAGCAGGGAGACATGGTGACTTGATTGTTTGGATGGGATAAAACCACGGGAAATGCGTGAGTTTCTGAAAGGTGTTTCTGGATGTAAAACTTGCGGGGGTAGGATACGATCTAGAAGACCGGGGTGGGGGATGGCTGTCTTTTTATACTTCGGACTTTCCTCTCGCGCCGCTCTCTCCCCCTCTTACCTTTCCCCTCTCGCCTTGTGTATACAGCGGCAAGGGAATATTGCTTTTCCTTCTTTGGATTATCTTGTTCGACTGGATACGCCTCCGTCCTATTGGGGCAGGCGCCCGGGCAGGAGGCAAACCCCATTCGCATCGCGTGGTCGAGTCAAATGGACCCGGGTTATGCAACTACACGCTCTGCCCCTCCCAGCTCCGACCATCTCCACTCTCTTCCTCACGCGCTACCCGCTCCAACCAACAGGGCATCTCTTACGCTTCTGCCCAGCGAAGGGATCCCTGTCCAGCACCGGCCAATGAACACGGTCTGTGCCGCCGTCTGGTGGGTGGGGAGGGTGGGAGTATCCCCCGATCTGGTTTCTTGCGGAGGTGCTTACTTCCGGCTGCAAGTGGTTGCGGGTGCAGATCTGCCTGCTGGCGATGCTCGGACTGGGCTAGGTCCATACGGATGCTGATGTGGGCTCGTGTGGCAGGCTGGCCGGCGTATACCGTGACGGTGCTGCTTCGCTATCTGGGTTTGCTCAGCGTGTATCGGGGGTGCAACACGCCCAATTTGGAGCTCGTCGTGGGGCGTGGGCCCGCTCCATGCGTTGGTTTCTCTGCCTGTCTCGACCTTACTGGGGCTCGAGGTTGGGCAGGCATGATAACCCTGGGGCCCATCATAATGCTATGATCTTACGATTCTCGACCTCCTCCTGCCTGGGATCGTTCTCATTTGTCTTGGGGCTCTTCCTTTGTGGACCTGGGGCGAGGGATGTACAAATCCTCTATACTGCACTACATGCGCCGACAACACCATGCCACTGCCACTACGGATGAGTCCATGAGTCCCATCGCTTCAAACCTCAGACCCACTCCAGGGCAGATCCCGGTCATGCCATGACGACGGCCACGTTTCAGAAGCCCTGTGTAGATCTGGCTTTTCCCGGCGCTGGAGGTTCGCCCAGATCCACTCATCGGGACAGCCCTGCATTACCTCATGGATACAGTCATCCATCCTGTAGCTCGTAGGTATGTAATGCGCGAAAAGGGCCTCTGCCCAGGTAGTGGGGGTAGTCCCCGAGGGAATTTCCGGCGCCAGGAGCGGCGCCAGGTCGGAGTCTGGCATGACAGCCTATGAGGCGGGCGTTTGGGCGGGTTGAGGACCTTGGAGGAGGGGCGCAACCAGGCCTTATTGGCAGGTCGCCAAGCCCTGAATTCGGAGGTGCATACTTTCTCATCCCACCGAGGGTGGAGTCGAAGGTTCTTTTCGTTTTGCTTGGAGCCCGGAGGATCATTTCAGCGCGCCAAGCGAACCCGGAGAGAGACCTGAAGTGCGAGGGTATCCAAAAATGCGATATATTAGGCGAACGGAATCGGCGGCCTACAATCTCGGACCAGATTTGGCATACAGACAAGCTACAAATATCCAGGAAATGCGTCTGGTGTCTAAGATCTGATAATCTGATACCGCAAGCTTGGGCGAGCTACCTGTGCTGCGTGCGGCACCTTCTGCATGTACCTATTACATGTATCTTCGCATGGGCACAGGATCGGGGCGGAGCGGTTTGCCCTACCAACCCAGTCCAGACAAATCTCTAGCTTTGCAGCCCATCGTACGAAGCCGGGAAGAACAGGGTGTCGAGGAATGGGGAATAGCGGACTCATCCTGCATGTAGTTTGAAGCTACCGGAGCATATCATACCCAACCTGTCCCACGGACCCTCCCAATATGCACGTCGTATGGTTATAATTGGTCCCAGGGCAATTCACCTCCAAGGCGCCGCAGCCAGTCCGGACCCACTGCAAGTATCGTCTCCATCGCCGATGCCCATGCAAGCCATATGGGAAAACTGTTTGGGGCCGGGCTTTCGCGATGCGGCATATCACAGCCGCGCAGGCCGAGGGGAATGCGGCCGGGCGGGAGGATCTTGCCTGATGAGGGCATTGTGACGAGGGTCAGGAAGAGGGCAGGAGTCCGCGAGGTTCGGTGGTTTGGAAAGCAAGAAATCTATTTGCTCGGCGCAGGAAGGTCCGATGACTACCAGGGCTGGAGCGGCGGACATCGGAGGGCAGAACGGGGGAGGGTTACGTCCACTATGCCTTGTGCCTTGTAGTTAGCTATAGGCGAGGATCCAGGGATACAGATGCAACAGCTGCAGTGTGGTCGTGGCAGTCGCTCTGTTGGTATTGAGGCCGATCGTGTGCTGCACGGCCGTTACGGTCATTCCCTCCGAGTCTCAGGAGCCGAATCTTGGGTCGATGCCCACAAGGTACTTGATCGAAAGGAATAAAAGTGACTCGGCAACCGCCAGTGGTCATGATTGTGACTACAGTTGATCAACTAAGTTATATTTCCTGGTGGGTAAAAAAAACATCGCAACCTCCGCATCCGCTTCCCGTTCTTGCATCCCCGTTTCCGACCCAGCTGATCGTCACATCCTCTCTTGCGTCGCACCTCACGGCCACATCTTGATCAAAAGAGCAAAAGTAGACTGAGATTGCAATGCCCGCCGGCGAGGGCCATTGGGGAGAAATGCGGTTGGTCTATTTCTGTACTCGAGGAAACGCGGAGGAGCCGCAGTTAGCCAACAGGGAGGCGCGGGCGATAAAGAGAGCAGGGAATGATATCACATACGGGGCACTGGCAGGCGCCGGCAGGGCACTGGCACGAAGCGCCGCAGCTGCAGGTGTGGTCGGGACCTGGGACTGTCGTCAGCATCGTCAAGGGTAGGACAGGAATACGAGGGGCGGTGAATGTGAAACCCCGCCATGACCCCGCCATAGGCCAGGCCGGGAGAGCGCTGCGCGCGAACAAACAAGGTGCTGGCCCCGAGAGGCAGATGCAGTCGGGTGGGAAGACTTACCCATTTTGATGGTGGTGGTTTGTTTGTGAAGGGAGAGAGTGCTGGGTTGGTAGAGGCTGGTGGTTGCAGAGGGAGGGAGTGATGATGGTGAAGAAGGGCGGGTTGGGGCCCAGCAGCTGCAGCTCTTATAGACGAGGCCCCCCTGTGACTTTCCCGGATGCGACTTTGCCAGAGCGCGGCTTAGTTCGTGGTGTACTTGCTAGGCCCCCATCCCAAGGGCCCATGTTGCAACTACGAGCACATTTCTGCACTCCCCGCCCCGCCTGAGCACATATTCGACGCATGCTTACTACTGGTGTTTGCGGTGGTGGGGGATAGAGCTGAGTTGCAGGACAACATCGCACTACCGCTACGGGCACTCAAAGGAAGCAGGATCACAGTTATTGGGAATCGTTGCAGACAGACCTAACAACCTTCCAGAAAAGAGCCATACTGGATTGCATGGCTATCTCGGTTACTTGTCTCTGCGGAGATGTAGCACTGTCCGTTCAGCTGGACCCTACGACAGACCACACGCAGCTCCAGCTATGCCATTGCAACAGCTGCCGCGCAGTGACAGGCCTGCTCTGCTCGTCGTACTACCTCATGCAGGATGAGCCGCCGGCCCTGAACCAACTGCAAGAGTACCAGGAGTCCCCTCATGTGAGCCGCTTCTTTTGTAAGAACTGTGGTGCTCATGTCTTCGCAATGTCCAAGCCTAGTGGGCGCTATCTAGTTGCATCCGGGGTGTTAGTAGAAGAAGATGCTCCGGCAGTTCGTTCCATTCAACACTGGAAGACGGGTGACACGGGAGATGGGGGACTGAGTGCATATCTTCCCGGGTGGCCATCGACAGACCTCAGCTGCAGATTGGAGGCGCTGTCCGGATCCCCTGAACAGTCACATAGCGCCAGGAGGCATACGCCACCAGAAATGCTGGACGGTTCGCAGAACCCGAACAAATTGCAGGCACGATGCCACTGTGGAGGGATTGAGTTCTACGTCACGCCTCCTGATGCATCGTCCACGCAGGCATGGTCCCAGTGGTGTGACCTCCTAGTCCCATACAATTCGGGACATGCCGATCTGGACAATGAGGCCGATGTCAAATGGTTCCTGCGAGCTGAAAACACCAAGTATCTGGCCGGCACTTGTGCCTGCACTTCGTGTCGACTGAATAGCGGATTTCCCATTCAGGTCTGGGCATTCATCCCCAAATCGAACCTCTTCCAGGTGGACGGATCCCCTCTCACCTTTGACCGTGGCACCATGCGGCAGTATCGCAGTTCACCAGGAGTGTATCGTGAATTCTGCAATCGTTGCGGGGCTATGGTCTTCTGGCACAATGATGGACGGCCGACATTGATCGATGTGAGCGCAGGGTTGATCCAAGGAGGAACCGCGCGATCGGAAGAGTTGCTAGACTGGGCCACAGGGCGTGTTAGCTTTGGAGAGATGGCCGTGCAAAAAGATCTGGTGAAATTGCTGGAGGATGGAATGCAGCAGTACGCACAGCAATGAAAACAATAGAAGTTTCGCTGACTGCACCAATCAGAACAGCGGTACATCTGACCGTCTTCGTGTAGCGCGAATTCTGCCGTAGACGCAGCTTTTTTTTTCCCTTGCGGACTACAACCCGGCTCGACTCGAAATCCAACGCGACTTCCTCTTTCTACTCGTGGCCCAGTTCTTGTCTCAGGCACTCCGCATTGGGTGGTCTCGTTTCCTTAGGGTAACTTGTATATCTACCTTTGCCCCCCTCCTTCAGAACCACCTCTCCGTCTTTCCCACTCGGCGCGTCCCCATCATCCCGACCTGCAGTGTGCGCGTTCGGTCATGCCTCCGTTTCAGTTTCGAGGGAACGGCCCTCCCAGAGGCCCTCGCGGCTACCATCCGAGACCTGAATTCACATTTCGTGCACCGCGACCGACAGCGGAGCGACCGTTGTTGAGATCAACCAAGGAGACAACGCCGGAGCTGCTGTTTCCCGAGACAGGCGATCAGCCCGCTCTAAAGTTTGCCTCGCTGGAAGACCTCAGTGATAGCGAAGAAGCAGAGATGGATTTCTCGGAAGACTCCGACTCCGACTCCGAGGCACGCCCGCGTAAGAAGCGCGCCGTTGCCTTGGACGGAAACGTCGACTCTACTGATCAACCCCTCCTCGCCTCTATCCCCACGCCGACACCTCCCCCGCCCAAGTGGTCCAATCCGGACCCCTACACTGCCCTTCCTCCTCCGGACGAGAGCCAGCACAAGCGTGTCGATGTGGTGAAGCTAATCCGCAAAGCGCGACTTGCCAACACTGCCACACTCGCGAAGGAGAACGACGCGGTTGTCGATAACGAGGACTTCATCTCTCTCGGCGCGCTCGGTGACCTTCCGGACGAGGAGAACCAAGCCCCAAAGAACGCACCAAAGGGGCCCAAGGGCTTGGAGCTCAAGGAGTCTGCGGCTGCATCTCGCAAACGCACTCGAGACGACCAGCCCAAGCCTTTGACTATCAAGACCGGCAAGCCTTTGCGGCGTTTCAATATGGACGGGTCTATCCTCGATGAATGGAAGGCTCTGAAGAACCAGAGCCCCACCCCTTGGATCGATGCAGTCCATGGGCTGAACATCTCGTCTAGGTAAGCTTCTTCTACTCGCACTCGGTCATCATCGCGCTCACCTCTGCCAGATTCCACAATGAGATTCTCGCTTTTTACAACTGGGCCAAGCCACATCACTTTGAGCAGATCGTCCGCCAGGATATTGTGGACCGCCTGGAACGCGCATTTCAGAAGCGATACTCGGGTGTTCAAATCCATGCATTTGGATCCTTTGCATCTGGGCTGTATCTCCCCACCGCCGATATCGATCTCGTCCTCCTCTCCACTTCCTTTATGAAGACAGGTGTGCGAGCATTTGGGGAACGTAAAGGACAGATTTACGCCTTTGCTGGCTTCGTCAAAACCTCGGGTCTTGCTGTGGATGGTTCTGTAGAGGCCATTGCTCACGCTCGAGTCCCCATCCTCAAGTGGGTTGATAGGCTGACGGGCCTCCGTGTTGACTTGTCTTTTGACAACGATAGCGGCCTGCTCGCCAATAAAACCTTCCAGGGATGGAAGGAGCAATACCCTGCGATGCCCGTCATCGTTTCCGTCATCAAGCAATTTCTTCTCCTCCGAGGTCTCAATGAGGTTCCGACTGGTGGCCTGGGAGGCTTTTCGATCACTTGTATCGTAACCAGCCTTCTTCAGCACATGCCCAGAGGCCAGGAGCGCAATATTGGTAGTCTCTTGCTGGACTTCTTCCACTTCTATGGCAAGGTCTTCAACTTTGAGCGGACCGGCATGCGCATGAACCCTCCTGGCTACTTCAACAAAGTAAGACTGATTCCCAATTCACTAGCCCCATGATTCACCAAGCTCATCCCATGGCAACAGGTTTTTGAGAGCAAGGATCGCCTATCAATTGAGGATCCGAACAATCCCGACAACGACATCTCCGGCGGCACCAAGGAGATTGGCCTGATCTTCAGGGCCTTCCGCCACGCGTATTGGAGCCTGAAAGACCGCATTGATTGGATGAATGCCACCAGCAACCGCAACGCGAGTATTCTGGGAGCCATTATTGCGGCCAATTACGACGAGTACACTGAACAGCGATTCCAGCTCCGTCATGTCTTCGATACCGCTGTCCAGTTTGCGAAGCACCGGGAGTCTCCACCACCACCGCCGCCTCTTCCCGTGAACGAGTCTCCGCCCCCGCCTCCTCCCAGTGGTCCTCGCAGCCACATGCGTTTCGCGCCGGAAGTGCGAGCCTAAGCACGCATCTTTCACTCACCTGCCGGAGTCCTAATGACCTCGATGAGTTCCTTTGAATCTGCGCTCTATTTACCTCGGTTATTCGTTCGATACCCCTTTTATCTGCTTTGTTTTTCGATGGAGCCAAGAGATGGAGATTGCATTGTTATCTGTGCCGGTGGGCGATCTGCTTTATGCGTGACCTTGACGGGTTAGCGCCAAAATCTGTTTCGGTTGCTGTCCCTTCCCTCAACGACGGGAGTTTGCGTGCCCGCGCAACCCAGGGACGCGTACTTACACTTAGGATCTGAATAGCGTCCCCATGCACTCGGCTTCAGTTTTGTTTACCATATCACCTCGGCGTTGCCCCGTGTCAATTTTCCCGGAGACGAAGATCTGACGACCGCCTTCCCCCGGACCTGCTATCACGAACTGAACCTGTCCATCCCTCGTGCAGCTCAACTGACGACCGATGAGACCTAGATCCTTCTTTGTACAAAGGTATTTTGTTTTAGTGACCCAATATAACTGCTCCGGCGCATACGGGACTGTCCTTGCGGCCCCGGCTGGCGTTAATGCTGCGTCTTGCTTTCCCCGTCCCCCCTTTCCTCCCTCCTTCTCATCAGGGAAATGCTATATGCATTTCCTTGGAGAGGATATGGGGACATCAGGGTTGGGACCTGGTGTTGGGAAGAGCTACCGGACGAGGAGGGCTGCTACTGTGGTTTGATTACTTGGACTGGCAGGTCGGTGGGTTGCGTTACTGACTTTATAAGAGGGCGGTTAGCTCATCATGATCATGACAAAACATTGCTTATGTACGATTCTCATACGGTAACATCTAGGAATGGATATAGCTATGTGCCGCCCAGCTTTGCAGTAAAAATAAGGCCTCCCGCCAAGGCAACATTTGATAATCAGACAAACAAACCCCCGTTATCCGGCCTACTCAAGCCGTTTCTCCGCATCCAGCGGCGGGGTCAACATCGCTTCGTTCTGAACAGCACCCACAGGAGAAGTCATCGTGTGACCGGCTGCCTCTTCGGCCTCGATTATCCTCATCGTGGCGATATGCTCGTCGGGCAGCGTATTCTGGAAGTCCGCCGGCGGACTCGCCCACACATAGTCAACCCACTCGGGCCCCAGCACCGCCTGCACCTCCTCAGCCAGCTGCAAAATGTGCGCCCGGCGAGTATGCGACCAGGCGCGGTCAGTGATGAGACCCTCCGAGGGCGTGAGGATGTTCGAGGTATGAGACGCAGACGACGGAACAGCGCCAGCAGATTGTTCCAGCGGCGTAGACGGCCCGGGCTGGACCTTGCCCTCCCAATCCGACCCATCGTCATCCTCGTCCCAGTTCTCCAGCCCGTCCAAGATACTGTGCCACACGCGCAGCGTCTCATCCAGCTCGGCGATGTTGCTCACGCCCATCACACTCACGCCGAGCCTCCTGCCCGTGCCGATATTGACCACAGACAAGAAGCCCGGGTGTGCGTCCGCGGAGCGCGCGAGCGGAGCGCCAAGGGCGCCTGCCTTTGCGCCGGCCCAGAGCCATGATTCCAGGGCAAACCGGATGGCGACGACCTCGAGCTTTTCGCCGCTCTGGGCGGTGCGCTGAGCCGCGGTGTGAATTGCGCTGCGCAGGGCGTTCGGCGCCGGATGGAAGTCGCCCATTGAGCCGATTGGCACGCCGTCCCGGCGCAGCAGGCCCATGCCCAGAGGCGAAGCATTGGGCACGACGTCCACGCCTGCAGCGAGAAGACGGGGCAGCGCGACTGAGCGCAGCCGCGTATTCTGCAGCGTGAAGTTGGCGTACGACATCACGATGTCCAGCGGCTCGCCCGTCTCCGCGAGTACCATCTCCGCCAGCCCGCTCAGCACATCCACCGGGTACCCCGAAATCCCGACGTACCGCAGGAGCCCCTCCTCATCGCGCAGCCGGCGCAGCTCCCGCACAGCAGTCAGAACTTCCGCAGGCCTGACGAATTCCACGTCGTGGCAGTACACCACGTCCAAGTATTCCGTGTGCAGGCGGCGCAAGCTGCGCCGCACGCTGTGTCTGATCCAGGCGGGCGAGTAGTCAAATGAAGCGCCCGATATGCGGCCCACCTTCGTTAGGAGCCGGTATGAGCCGCGCGGGAAGTTGGTCTGGACGAAGTCGGTGGCGAGCGCGCGGCCTAGCAATTCCTCCGCGGGCCCGTAGTAGGGCGATGTGTCGAAGGCGCGGACGCCACGCGAGAGCGCGCGGTGCACGAGCTCGGTAGTTGGCAGGGCATAGGGGTCTGCGTTGTACTGCGAGTTGAAGGTTGCTGTGCCCATTATCAACGGGGGTAGGTCCGCCGACAGCGGGGTGGAGGGCCGCATGGCTGGTCGGAGGGGTAGGGGAGGGGCCGTAATGAAGGGTTAGGGAGTGTACTGGAGGATGGAGGGGCACTTGATTCTAGGAGAATCGAGATCAATTCATTGTTCCAGCGTGGAGGTAGGTAGCAGGATGGCAGAGCAGGATTTCTTATCCCCGAGGTTCGACAATTTCCCCCGGCTCCGCTCCGGATGGCGCCATGGCGGGAGGCGTGAGACCCCGTGGCAGATGGGCCTCTCCCAGTCATCTCCCGGTGTGCGGGTGAAGATCGGATGCTTTAGATCTTGCAGGATGTATTTTGAGGTGTCTCTGTGTTCCCTAGACGTCTTTGGGACTTTTGAAAATGATGGCAGTTGGCGGTGGCAAAAAAAAAAAAGCAAGTCTATGCCGGGCGATACGAGGACGGTACTTTACTATCTTGGATGCTGGAACAGGAGTGTTAAAATCAACCGGTAGGACATCAAACATGTGCAAATATACAGCTATAGTACATCGGTTCCTTTCCGAGTGCAAGTCAGAGTGGAGAAGGAGGGTTTTCTAGGGGAATGGAACAGGGTTCGCAGATGGTATACACAGAAGACCCGGAGAGGTCTAGGGAAAGAGAAAGGTCGGGTCGAGAGGAAAATCCCCCTGTGCCGGAGAGATGCAAGAGCACAAAAGGAAAAGAGCCCGGGGACCAAGGAGGACCGCCGATTCTAATGAGACAAAACCTCTTTCCCTCAATAACCCAAAACGCCGTGCTATGCCAAATCAAAAAGACGAGCGGGAATCCAAGGGGTCGCGGTCGCGGTCGCGGCGAGACTCGGCTCGATTGCAAACGCAGATTTTGTCGCGGCGGTGCGTGCGAGCTTGAAAGAGAGCGCGAGAGGGAGGAAAGTGAGCGCGAAAGGAATCCGATCGGATCAGGTCAGATCAGAAGCTTTCCGCCACTTCACCGGTCCTTGTACACCTTGGGGTTCCAACCCTCGCGAATTTCCTTCTCACTAGCGACCTTGCGCTCTGCCTCGCGGACCTCCATCTCTATGCGCTCGCGTGCCCGCAGGATCTTGCTTTGCAGGTAGAAGCTGCCACCCTTCTGGGGATCGTTCAGGTCAAACAGCTTCTTGAACCGTTCCATAACATGCTCGAGGTTGGCTTCGCCGCCGGCTGGGGGCTTGACGTTGAGGATCTTGCAGGCCTCGTCGAGGGTCAGGCCGGAGGAAGTGAAAGTGCCGCCACCGTTCTTCTTCTGGGCGGCGTATTTTCCGGAAGCCTGGGCTTGCTTGTAGGCCTCGGCGAAGGCGCGGCCGAAGACCCGGGCTCCGGTGACGATGACTTGGGAGACGATGCGGTGAGCCTATTCGAGGATGGGCTATTAGAACTTGTGTTTCAGAGTAGAATGGCGCTCAGTAACAGAATTGAATTCCGGAGTATCTTACCATGTCGACGGGTGGTGAGAGGTCCAAGGGCGATGATCACAGGAGGTGGAAGAGGAAGGAAGGGAAAATTTCGGGTGCGTGTTTTAGCGTCGGCAGGTCGGCGAGTTGGAACTATGCAGTCATGCCGAACCCCAACACTGTGACTTTCTGGGGCTGGTGTTCCTGGTACTGTCTCATTTTCTCTTGCCAATTATAAGAAATACCTTTAAAGGTCTTCCTCGACCTCCTATCGAGCTTCTCCGAGTCTTTCTTGACAAAGTTAGAAGACCTATCCATGCGCCGGTATTGGCCCCGTTGCGACGGAGTAGTTCGCGACGACTTGAGACTATAATATGAGAGAGGCAGAATCTATGGCAACCTAAATAGTGCTGTAAATGCTAGAAAGAAAAGAGTCGATGATCGCCTTTCGTACTCCGCCTTCCTCTTTATTTCCAAGCACGAACAGGCGCCTGGGCAGTTACGCCGGAGAGTCACATGTCCGCGATCATCACCCCCCGCAGATCATCGTGGACCGAACGAACCTCAGACCTGCTCGCTTAGGCTATATAAGAAATGTCCGCCCACCAGCCCGATGAGCTGACAACACACCTTATGACGTCGCCGTAATTGGATGGCAGCTCTCGGTATGCGCTTCTCCCCTTTAACTACTGTCTGGCTCGTGCTCATGCCCGACAGAAGATCTTCCGTGGCTAGATTCCATGGCACCCTCATCACAGCCTCTGGATGGCCAGGCCGACTCCTCCCAACCACCGACGATCGCTGCCTTCTCCCCTTCCACCATCACGGGCTCGGCCTTAACCTCGCGACAGCGCTCCAGTGTCATCGTGCATCGCAAATCACCGCTGCTGGTGGCGACGCCGCCGGCCATCACCAGGGCCCTCGCATACTCGCACCCGTTCCTCCTCCCTTTAAATGAGTTGGCCGGTCTTTTAACATGGACAACGGGGGACCCATGGCAGAGCTTCTTGCTCGTGGCCACATTCTGGACAGTGGTGCTGTATAGCGATGCGATCATTCTCCGGGCAGGTCCGATCCTTGTCGTGGTTGGGTTAATCCTCGGCATGTACGGGCGTCGCTACTCGCCTCTGTCCTCGACGACATCTACAGGCGAGAAGCACCCGGGAAGGGCCTCGGTGGAGTCCACGACCCGTCACCAGAAGAGCTTGGATGATATAGTGGAAACGCTGCGCACCTTTACTACGCGATGCAACCTCCTTCTTGAACCCTTACTCGATTTTACCGATTTCCTTTCTACCCAGCGGACAGCCACATCGGCGACGACACGTCCGGCCCTGACAGCCCTCTTCATTCGCATCCTTTTGGTTACCCCCGTCTGGATCATCTTGACCCTCCCTCCATTCTACATAATCACTACTCGGCGCGTTGTCATGAGCGTCGGAACCGTCATCCTTACCTACCACTCGCGGCCAGCCCGCGTTTCGCGCGTCATTCTGTGGCGTTCGAATGCTGTGCGACGAATTGTTTCTATGATTACGGGCCTGTCAGTAGCAGACGGCCCGAACACTAGCCAGAGGGTTCAGGTTCAAGGCCTGGGCCTCAACATCGCAACTCGTCGGCGGGGGAACGCGTCTAGCGTGCGATTCACCTTTGTCGTGTACGAAAACCAGCGCCGGTGGCTTGGTATCGGGTGGACATATTCGCTGTTCCCAGCCGAGCGCGGCCCTTGGACAGATGAGCACCTCAACCCCGTGCCTGTCAAGGACAAGTTCGAGTTACCCGATGTCCCAACCGGAGACGCTAAGTGGCGCTGGGTCGAGGGCAGTGAGTGGCGTGTTGAGGGTGGAGATAATTCGGCGAATGGGAAATCCGATTCCAAGGCTTCAAGTGAGGGGTGGATCTACTATGACAACAAGGTATGTCTCATTCTCGGCTCATAGCTCACGCATCTTGCTCACCATTTGCAGTGGAATGACGGCCGCCGCGGTCAGGACGGCTGGGACCGGTATACGCGCCGACGCAAGTGGTACCGTGACGCCGAGCTAGTGGACCAGAAGCAGGGTGGCTCGGAAGAAACCATCTCCAATCTCACGCAAGCTCTGGAGAGAGAAAAAGAGCAAGAAAAGGAAAAAAAGAATCTGATGCCGAGACCAACAGTCTCTCCTCGAAAACGCGGCGTCGACGCTGGTTCGGCAATAACAAAGACAAAGACAAAGACCGCGCCGGTAGCGGTGGCTCGTCCATCGACGCCGGTCGCACAACAGGTGCAAATTTTGCGGAGGCTGCTGGTGCTGTATATGGCCAAGGGACACCCTCGCGCCCGGTGAGTTTGCGGAGCTCCCGCAAGCCATCGCAGTACAGCATTCATGAAGGAAGTCTGGCCACGAGTGACACTTCTAGTACGCGCGAGACGGACATAGCTAATTCGCACGACCTTCATGATCGGTGGGGCACTCGCGCTGCTGGAGGAACGGAGCGGGCAGAGCGGGAATTGGGACTGAGCGATGAGGTGAATATGGGGCTGAGTTGACAATGACTTTGAAGCGATGTCGCTGCTATGCCCGCACGAATGCGAACCATACCCCGTCAACGTTTTTCTTTATTTCTCGCTTCTCCCGTGCTCGGAGTCAGCTTTATTTGTTATTTTTTGTGACAAGTGATCGGTATTTCCGAGGTTCAAAAACCATCATGCAGTGCAAGTAGCTTGTTCTAAACGGTCTCATTGCTCGTTTTTGATCAGATATAATACAAAAAATATATAAGTACAGTCCATTAAGGTCGTAGAGTGGGGGGAGGTTATGCAAGATTCAGTTCCCATTGCAGTTCCTCCAGGATATCTATCCAATGTAGCTTGGTACCCGCAGCATCGGATCGATCTTGGGGACTAGCGTCCTGTCTCGCCCACAGGATCGCGAGCACGTCCTTCGCGCGTCGGACATTGCCGATGCCGAAATTAACTTGCAGTTTACCCAGTGACTGGAGCACAAGGTCTCTGTGGTCGAAGACGTCACTCTCACAGCCTGCAATGAAGAGCGGGAACGTGAGCGCTGAGTACTCGCAGTGATCATCCAGCGGGAAGGTTTGAATACGTGCGAGGAGGCGTTGGATGGCGGTGGATTTCGGGGTGGTGATTAGAGGTGACCAGTCAGTTAAATAGGGGGTATCTTTCGCGAGATGGGGGATTGGAGAGCCTTTCATGCTCATCCGTTTGAGGATTGAGTGCAAGTAGATGAATCCCGCGTCGCGGAAACATTCTGCAACGAGTTGGAGACGCCTTAGAGTTTCTTGTGTGAGATCTTGTGGGATGATGAAGCGGATAGAAGAGGGAGTCCACGTAAGGAGAGAGTCGTTTCTGAATCAAATTAGTTAGCAAGTGGGTTCCAGAGCCAGTATGGTGAAAAAGCGCACATACATGGATGCGATCGATAAGCGCAGTGAGATATCATCGCCTTCGAGTGATGGCAGCTCCGCGATACGTGCACACAGATTCAGGATTTCTTCCGTGTATCCAATATAAATGTCAAGTCTCGGAGTGCCGATATCGGTATCTGCTGGGGCATAGGTGATCCGCTTGCGGTTGCTGATCCGTCCCATGTTATAAGCGTAAACGTATCTGGATGTTCATCAGCACAAGTACTATAATTTTGATCAGTAAGCACATACAATCCTCGTAGGAAATGTGCTGCCTCTTGATCCATCGAGCCCAAGCCGCCACGGGACGCGATCAAGCGTTGCAGTGCGGAAAGATGAACGACCCACTGTTTCACACTGCCGCGGATAATTTCATACTTGCACATTAATCCCACTGCTAGCACAGCATCATCTGAAAGAATCTCATCCGCCAGTGCTGTTCGGAGTCCGCTGAGAGTCCGGCCGTAGAAGCTTGCTGCCGCAGTCTGTGCCTCAAGGCCATATGAACGATTTGCCAGATGTAGAGCGGATACAGCGCATAGGGCCTTCATCAAGAGAGGAGACGACATGGCTCGAGGAATCAAGAAAGATCGGAGAGGGTTGTGCTCGCTTTCGAGGTTGGCGAGGAGCCGAGAGCCAAATTCCATATGGTATTGAAGATAGTGTGACTCATGACCGGACAGATGGCTCACGAAGCCCTGTGGCCTTGGTACAACAGCGAGTGAATTTTGAACGTGCAGAGAAGTGTCCACTTTCTGTTCGGATAAGTTCTGTCCTTCACTAGACTCGTCCACGTCAAGATCGATGACTCGGCATGGCGGGGTGGACGGGAGCGACCAGCCGGGTGTGAGCGGCCTGGGCGATGGCATTGTGTCTTGCCACGAGTCGGAATTTAAAGATGGCGATGGCGATAGTGGTTGCGATGGAGATGAGCCACTGAGTCGCCGTCTCTTCGGCACCTCGATCTGCTTAAAAACCTGAGCCGATGGCCCCAACGGCGCGACCCAAAGATCGCCATATCCCTCACAGGCCCGGCCTTGCTTGAGGCAATTATTGCAGCTACTCCGTTGTCAATTGTCCACTCATAAGCCGAGCAAAGTTTGAGGAAGACATACCTTGGCTTTGCCTTGTCGCAGGCTTTGCGACGCTTTTTGCATGTAATGCAGCCCGAACGAGTCCATGGTGTGCCTGACTGCCGACTTCGGCCCTTTTTATTGGAGGGACTCGTACCGGAGACAACCGGCAACAACGGTCGCCAACCCGTATCGGATATCGCACTCATGGTCTTGGTGTGTGTAGCGTGAATCTGCAAGGTCCATTATGACTTCCCCGCGATTTGATAGCAAACCTGAGGGCGACTATCCCCGATTAGGATAATTTTGCGCCGCACGTGACCCTTATCAACATCCAACATTTGGGAGTATACGGAGTACTCGATGTCAGAGAAAGAAATAGTCGGATTTCTAGGGCTTAAACCATTGAATAATCAGGACTAAATTATCAAATACCCCTATTCTCGTCATATCTCGCCGAGTCCCCAAAATCGCTCCACTGACCCCCTTCCCCGGTCAAGCAACACGATCCACCTGCGTCTGTGGCCCTTTGCCCAAACAGGCAAGTCCATCCACGGGCTTCGCAGCCCGCTGATAAGATATGCCGTATATAAATTCGCCCATTACCCGATGGCTTTCCCCTCTCCGACGTTCAGCTGCCTGCCCTCTCACCCTCGTGAACCTGTTCTCCGCGTTCTTATCTACCCCGCGACCGAGATTACCTACTCTTTACCCTCCTCAAGTGCCCATCCCATGCAACAATGGTGACCGGACCGCCGCATCCTTTTGACCCTATCACCCCGGAGGAGATCAAGCTCGCCGTGCGCATCCTTGAGGCAACTTTCCCCGGGGTGGCTCTACGCTACAAGCGTATCGATGTCAACGAGCCCATCAAGAAGGATGTCCTGCCCTATATCGAGGCTGAGCGCTTACGGCGACCACTTCCTCCACCGCCGGCCCGTCTCCTCTACGTTCTCTTCCACCGCCTTGATAGTGGTGCCTTCTACAAGGCTATCCTGAACGCCGACAAACGCACAATTGTCTATGCGAAGGAGCTTCCTCGAGAAGTACAGGTATCGGGTGCCCTTCTGAAATACTGTACAAAGTGCCCCGTCTAACATGTCTGCTCTCACTTCAGGGACCCATTGACCCTGACGAGATCGCTGAGATCGAAGCAATGTGCATGAAACACCCCGCCGTGCTGGCTGAGATTGAGAAGATGCAGCTCCCCGCCGGTGTCACCGTTTGCAACGACCCTTGGATGTACGGCACGGACAAGGAAGATGAGACTCGCCGGCTCTTCCAGTGCTTCATGTATCTAGTTGAGGTTGACCACCCTCAGAACAACCACTATTCCTTGCCTTGCAAGTTCTCGCCAGTATTCGACGGGTTGACCCACGAGCTCATCCGCATGGATTATCTCCCTGGTGGTGCTGACCATACCTTCACCGACACGCAGCCCTGGAAGCCCGTCAAAGCAATTCAATATGCTCATGACCTTTTGGATGAACCCCTTCGGACGGACCTTAAGCCTTATATTGTACAACAGCCAGAGGGGCCTTCATATACAGCGGACGGTAACTCTGTTTACTGGCAGAAGTGGCGCTTCCATGTTGGCTTTAACATTCGTGAGGGTCTTGTCATCTACAACGTCACATATGATAATCGCAATGTGTTCTACCGTCTCTCAGTCTCGGAGATGACGGTTCCATATGGAGGTAAGTTATTTTTTCAACATCAATCTGTGCGCGCACTAATTATTTTCAAGATCCTCGCGCCCCATACCACCGCAAACAGGCATTTGACGTTGGCGACACGGGCTTCGGCATGAATGCTAACCAGCTGTCTCTTGGATGCGACTGTTTGGGACATATTAAATATTTTGACGGATACCAAAATGACTGCAAAGGAAACCCAGTGCCATTGAAGAACGTGATTTGCATGCACGAACAAGATAATGGCTTGCAACATAAGCACACTAACTACCGGACAGGCGCTGCCACTGTCGTGCGCAACCGCCAACTGGTTTTGCAGATGATCTGCACAGTCGCCAACTACGAGTATATTTTTGCCTATATCTTTGACCAGGCCGGCAACGTCGAATTGGAAGTCCGCGCTACTGGAATTCTGTCGACTGTTCCTTTTGATAATGAGAACGGCCAGACTGTCCCTTGGGGAACCAATGTGGGGCCTGGAGTCATGGCTCCCTTCCACCAGCACATGTTTTCATTCCGAATTGATCCAGCTATTGACGGATTCAAGAACACTGTATACTACGAGGACAGTGTGCCCATGCCAGAGGATGAGAATAACCCTTGGCTCGTGGGATACACTACCGACGCCACGGTGTTTAAGACCTCTGGTTCGGCCAACACCAGTGTCGAACGCCACCGAGTCTTCAAGATTCGCAACGATAATATCAATAACCCTATTACATATAAGCCTGTGGCATATAAGCTACAAGCTGCGCCCAGCCAGATGCTGTTGGTTGGCAAGAATTCCTTGGGGTATCGACGCGCAGAGTTCGCTACCAAGCCGATCTGGGTCACCAAATACCAGGATGACGAGCTCTATGCCGCTGGCGAGTTCACCAACCAGAGCCGCCGTGCTGAGGGCGTCGAGACATGGGTGCAGCGCAAGGACAACACTGAGAACGATGATGTTGTTCTATGGCACAGTAAGTACCCTGTCGTTAATTTTCATCAATTCGCGGTCTGATCACTGACGCCCGGCCTAGCTTTCGGTCTTACCCACAATCCCCGCATCGAGGATTTCCCCGTCATGCCGATAGAGCGTGTGAGTGTGATGTTGAAGCCCGACGGTTTCTTCACCAAGAACCCCGCTCTAGACGTTCCCCAGTCCTCTCAATCCTTCAACAAGTCCACTCTCCACCCCGAGGCAGCCTGCTGTGCTCGAACTTCTGTGTCCGCGGGCAATGGCAAGGCCAAGCTGTATAAGCGGCTGGATTAATCTGCTCCTCTACCGTTTCTGCTCTTTTCCATTGCATGTTCCAATACCCAGTTCTTTGTTTCGGGCTTCGCAGTGGGCATAAGCTTGTAGATATGATGTGATGACTATCGGCTTTTTCCTTTGAATATATAACAGCGAACATACCTATGACCGCTAGGGGTTTGCATTAAATATGGCTTAAATAAAACCCCTCGCTGACCTCATTTAATGGTGCACATGTAATGGCGGGGTCTCCAAGCTCCATGAAACGGCCCGGCGCCGGAATCGAGTCATTCACTTATGCCTTGAGTGCCGCCGGAGAAAAATGAAATGTGATCGAGGGGTATCTCGTTCTGAAGGGCCATGCCGCAACTTGTCTAACAGCACCACTAGTCCCCTTGCAGCAATTACTGCGCGCTGAGAGAAGACTGTCTTTACGTTAGCGCTGCAACTGGCGACGCCCAGTTTCGCCAGAGTTTGACCCAGATGAAAGAAGCTAAGGATGAGATTGATAGAACCTTTCGGGAAAGTATAGGCACCCGCAATCTCCAACCAGAAAAGAAAGAGACGCGTCGCAAACGTTCGAGACTGCCGGTGGAAGAACCGTCAAGCGAGGGCCCTGAAAATTCGGCCGATGAAGACCTTCTGGAAACCACACCCCTAGCAATCCATGATGCTGCATATGCTGATGACGCAGAGGATGATGTTGAGGATTTAGGCTTCAGAGTCGGACGAATGCGGCTTGGGGAGAGAATTGGAGGTCTTTATCGCCCAATGATTGCAGATGAGGTATCAATAAGGCCGCCATTGACGAAGGTATTGAGCATCGCTGATTCGAGCTATTCTAGCTTATGTCCTCCCTTTAACAGATCCCAAGACGAAGTTCTTCACCGGTCCCAACTGTTGCTACCGGCCTCACCAAGTGCCTCTCAGAGGCCGGGCCCTCGTTCATGGCTCCGTCGCTCAGCTTCGTCTTCACCCATTCTTTCTGATCCCGACACTTTGATGGGATTCATTCCTCCACGTAACATGTCGGACAGGCTACTCGAGCGATGCTGGAATGCTGTCCATCCTGTGGCGCGAATTCTCCACAGGCCCTCATTTGCACAGCGATATGAAACGTTGTGGGAGGCCATTGAGAACGGATCTCAAGTACCCCCGTCACTCGCAGCATTAGTATGCTCAGTCTTATTCTCAGCTCTGATCAGCATGTCTGAAACAGAGCTTACGAAGATATGTCAGGCTCCCCGATAAAAGACCAACTCAAGCTCGGAGTGGAGGCTTCCCTTGGCAGAGCTCAGTTGCTGAAGTCGACTAAACTTGAGACATTACAAGCTTTTGTCGCCTATTTGGTATGTGTACTACTGTTGCTACTAAGCGGTCATTGGCTTGCTCATCTTACATACCGACTCAACTTAAAATCCGTTTCTAGTTACCACTGCGTGTCGACGAGGTCTCTCGTGCTCACTCTGTATTGGCCAGCATGGCGGTCCGTCTAGCAGAGTGCATGGGGCTCCATCGGGACCCTTCTGAGTATGGCTTTTCACCCACCGAATGCCACGTGCGCCGCCTAGTTTGGTACCAAATTTGCTACATAGATCTCAAGACAAGTGAGATCCAAGGACCTCGACCATACATTCACCATGATGGATATACAACACAACTTCCAATAGACGTTTCGCCGTTCCGATTTCACAGTCTTCAAATTCTGCATTCACATGGAACGACTTGATTTTCTCTTCCATCCGATTTGAGTGTCAAGAGATGCAACGTCAATGCCTGGTCTTGCGCAACCGGGTAGAGCAAAACAAGACCAGTCTAACAAAAGTAATCTCCAAAATTGAAGCCTTTCGTGGGTCCATGGATGCCAAATATGGCCCATTCCTTAATGCAGCAACACCGAACCCCATGCAAAGGATGGCCCACCTGGTCATGAAGCTTTTCACGAGCCTTCTTTACCTGGCTTGCCTTCACCGATACATGAATAGTGTCAACTACAGGTTACCTGACAGGTTGCGTCAAATTGTTCTAACCAAAGGGACCGATGCACTGGAAGCTGCGGTTGAACTTGAATCGGCGGAAGACCTCAAGCAATGGTCCTGGTATTTTGGTGCCTACCATCGATATCACACAGCATTTATGTTGCTAGTTGAGGTCTTCACTTATCCAATGCGACGGGAAGCAAACCGCATCTGGCGGTGTTTTGATTTCATTTTTGCCGAGGCGTTGATGAATATACCCCCTTTGGACATGAAGACAACCACCCCAACACTACAAAATATTATTGCGCACCGAGATATCAAAGCAAGATAATTACTGACCCTAATTTGCGAGAGGATGCGAGAATACCAGCGAGCCAAAGGACTGAAGAATCCAGTGCAGTTCAATTCTTCGATGCTTGTCCTCACACCCCAGAAAGAAGGTGACAGCTCAGACCCCCGCATGCCACTCAATGAGGCAGAAGGAGAACCGCAATCTGGAGGTCACACTCACAACCACCCAGCCAATGTTAACGTTAATGTTCCACTGCCCTTTGTAGGGGAAATGGACACCGGAATCAGGCTTTTGCCATCCACTTTACCAGGTGGTGCTAGTGCAATCCCCACGGCACTCCATTCTGGATACTACAGTTAGTGCATGGGCATCATCCTCCGAAAGCTTCTCCCCTTGGGTTCAATATGGGGAATCGGATCTCAACGGCCATAGCAATGTGGGGGTTGAAACAAGTCACCCTCCCAATTATGCCGCAAGTACTACGAACAAAACCTTGTCGGCTACGCTGTGTGTTGAGATGCATGGTGAAAGTGGGAACATCGACCCGCAAATGCTCGAAATCGACTGGGTCAGTTGCATGAGCCCCTGCAGCTTTGTTTTAGGGTGACGTCTGCTGATATATCTACAATAATCTTTGGGATACCCTCTTCCCACCACAAACTAATGACGGTAATTTGGATATCTCGGATGATTACATGTGGACGTCTTAGATATGTGCATTCTTCCCCCCTTTTCATAACGTTACGCGAACCCGATATTATATATACATTTTAAACAAAACCAAATGTCCATGGTTAACCAAAAACCCCCATCGGTAGTCCCACACGAAAAATACCCCTTGCGTTTAATGCGATGCTGTTTCAACAGAGGTGGACACGTCAACCGTTCTGGTAATCCCTATGCCATCAAAAGGAGAACCGCGTGAGCCTTTCTGTGCCTCAGTGTCACCGCGCACCGTCGTTTCAATCGTCGGGTTTCTCTGAGCATGGTATACCAGCATGGCCTCGTCCGACTCGGCTTCTCGCACGCTCACTTGTTTTCTGCTTCGGTCGATTTTGGATTGGTTTCGCATTGAGCTCATTTTGTATTCGGATTCGTGGGTTGCTTTGTTGCTGGAATATTCGCGATAGATGCGTTTGAGAAGGGCAGACAAGGCAGGGAGGCATGTGCAAATTACTCCGATGGCGATTTCGGCATTGCTATAACGAATGGCTGTTGTTAGCATAATTGTTGCAGTAGTGCGAATTACTCTCGAAACAACTTGCCCAAGCATATTTATTCTCATGAATGCATGAGTTGCATCCTTGGACTGTCCAGTGAGGATAATAAGAATCAGACGGATGATACTGGCCGCAACGGCCAATCCTCCAGCACCCAGAATGGCTATAACCCTTATCTTCTTCCTCGGTGACATCTGCAAACTCATCGTCAACGGCATGGGGAGAATCAAGATGATGAGGTCGCTGACGCAACTGACGACTGCGTCGGCAAGGATAATCGATGTTTCGTCTAAGCATGTTCCGTCAACCTCCGAGTTCCAAAATCGAGGAATCGGATTGCAGATTCGGATCTTAACAATGACAGCTGGAATGTAGTAGGCCAGCATGAGTGCCATGAACCCGTATATGAGGATGATGACTTTGCGGAAGGGGCTGAAGACACGAGCCATGATCCACAGGAGGAGAACCTTTGTCAGATAGGCCGTTGGGCCATACATGACCATTGTGATGTAAACGGTCTAAAAGATTAGAGTAGAACTATATTAATTGAGGGGGTAATCACACACTCACCTTCTGGAAAGGAATCCGATCTTCGATGGGAACATCAGAGTAATGCAGACCTCCGCCATAGTGTCCCACTGGTCATAGAGTCAGTCAGGAGACCGCGCGTGACACTTCTGAATCACTCACTGATGATAGCAATGATAGAATACCAGACACCAAGAAACTATGCAAGGCGCGTTCATTAATTCCGATTTTTGTAGCATCCATCTGGTTTGCTTACCCATGCAACTACACATGCCCCTGTAAAGAAGAAGAAGATGGTTAGAACACCGCATCCCTGCTGGATCCAAGCCATTGCACTCACAATCCTCTTTCCCGAAGCCGTTGAGAAGGAAACATCGCGTGTAAACCCGGAGACCGAAGAACACTGTCATTCCAATGATGCATAATGACTGACACGCATAGTTCCAGCTCTGTACACTCCGGTCGATTGATCCACCTCCGGAGTCGCGTTGCACTAAACTTGATGGCAAATGCATCGTGACACAACTTCACGACCGAGATTGGGACTCATAGAAAGAGATACGGCCAAAATTAGTAGTAGTGGGAACCGGCCTTTTTAGGACCACCCGCTCTTATGAACCACTTTCAGAATACATACCTCGTTCTAGGCCACTTGCCAAGTCCTGTCACGACATTGGGCCACTGTCATCCTCGCATTGGCATTTGCCCGCTGACAAAATTACTAGTGTCTCGGTAGATGAGAAACCTCCGATCAGCTGGCCCGGAACGTGGGAAACGCTAATGAAACAGGTGGCGATGGCAGGGGCCCTAACTCCGCTAAGGGTGTAGATGAGTCCCATAGTTCGTAAGATTTTCCCCATAGAATCTGTTTTATGCGGTATCCATACCGTATTTTGCTCATACAATGCCCCAGCTTTCCCGTATTATTGGTTCTCACCGAGTTTTCACCGCTATTACAACTGGAGATGTCTCGAACTGTATATTCTTCAACATTTAAACCCATGGTTTTCCTCTAGCTGTCCCTATGGCCGGCGGCTTTGAACGTCATACTTTGATATAGCAGCCAATAACTGTTTGAGCCATCTTTGACGCTTTTTTTGATGGAGCCCCCCAAAAAGCATCATATCGGGGAGTTAGGAGAAGAATCGGGGAGATAGGAGATGAGGTGGGGTCGTGTGATAGGGTGGACTCTTCAACCGTACGCTGTCACATATGTATGATGTAATTACTCATTTTCATTCTGGTCACGATCCTTGTCTCAATTCGCCTTTTAGCCGGTCATTGGGGGCCAGGCCGGGATCCCGAAAGTGGACAAAAAGTGGACAAAACTACAGGCGGGAAGTAGCGGGTTGTGGGTCCTAACGTCCTTGTTAGCTAACACTCTGTGCGCTCGGGCAGCGATCCTATCCTTATCCACAGCGGGAAACATGCAAGCTAGTCGATTAAAGTTAGTCTCTCAAATAGAATTTTATGGGTTGAAAGGGTCTATTGTCAGCTGGTGGGGGAATGGCCAAATCAGGGAAATGATCGCTCGGAAGTCCGAATGCGACAAGCCCACACACTGGGGTGACTGGAGCTTGAAGGAATGACACCCGCAATCGTTATTGGACGCGAAGTGTGCAACGGGGAGAGAATTGTCTTAATCCACCGAATCAGTATCTGATGCCGCTCAAACGCGCTACTCACTTACCCTGTCTATCACATCCCGCCCTTCCAAAATTGCCCCTTATTCTGACACCCCGGTTTTGCCGAAACTCTTGATTCAACACTGTGGCTAGCGCATCCTTCGCTTCTAGGCAAGTGGGGTTTTCATCGCCTTGAAATATCTGAGGGGCCAGTTTACAGAGCCACGAAGTTGATTCATAGTTTGTGATGTTAATGAATTGTTGTTGAAATTCGGCAACCACTATAGCCTGTCCACACCTTTAAGTTGCGAAATTCGATGAAACCCATGAAGTGTTCCTAAAAGATTGCCATCACGTTGGGCGGCGACGATACTCCACCGGGCATGTTCAAAGGTACGGATGACACAAAGAAGGTCCACCGCTGAAGTTCCTGGCAGGTACGTGCCAAAGCTTCCAGATCGAAAAGTTCCCCTGCATTTCCATGTAAGCTAATGCACCCTCGGGATATGGACTTCCCGCTTCCGTAACTTACCGATCGGCATACCCCAACCTGCAAGAACGTACTCGTGCAAGAAAATGTCAGGGGATTGAGGTGGGTAGACCTGTTGGTGTTAACTAAATTTCCCGGTGAAAGTACTAAGGAGGGCCGGAGCTTTGGAGAACGCTCGGGGCTTACCTCCCAGCTGATGGCATCGCTGGCGATCACAGTAAAGCCGGTGTTCCACAACCATCGGAGAACGTCCGTGGTTGCCTCAACACCCGCATGCTCGGGGCTGGGGTTTTCCGAGTAGGCTTGTTTCTGAGCGTCCGTCATGACAGTGTCCCATTCCTTTGTCACGCCGATGCGCACAAAGAGAATATCGCCTTTTTGGAAAGTAATATTGCTTTCCTTGGCGATGTCCAGAATGTCCGCAAGGCGGACCTGATGGGTTGAGAACGTGCTATACTCGATCCCCTTTTTCTCCGCCCAGGTTACATAGTCGATCAAAACTCCACGACCTATCACAGTGCCTTGAGCATTTACTCAGGGGTAAGCGACGAAAAAGGAAACTCCTACCTGCAATTCCTTCCTTTGCCCAATGCTGAAGACCAATGCGGTCGTTTTGACGGTCATTGATCTCCTCAACGGTTGTTCCGCCGTAGAAGACCCGTTCAGACTGACCGGGCACAGTTTGGGAGAAGTGACGCAGTCCATCCCATTGACTGCTTTGCTCTATATACTAGTCAATAATGCATGGTATCGGATAAGAGGAGTGCCCAAATTCCCCAACTTACGAGGATTCATAGTATAGATATCATCAAAAGCCACTCCTCCTAGCAGAGGCACAATTTGGTGGTGACAGGGTTGCCGATTGAGGTTAGGATAGTCCAACTTCGTCATTTCCCATCCCATCGTCACGCGACGACCGCATTTGATCTCACTAGCAGCCGCCTGTGCAACGACTTCAGGGGTGAGCATGGCTAGTTTTCCGAGACCCTCTTCATAGCTGCCAGGCTTTCCCATCCAAACCTGTTTGGGGTTGGGAAGCTGATCGAATGGCGTGTCGTATGGAGACTGCTCCATGGTGGAAGAATTATTTTCACCTGATAGATGCAGAAAGAAGGGCGGAAGAGTCGAGGACGGAGTACCAAAAATTGATCTATTGACCCCTCGACCGAAGATACAGTCAGTCCCCCGCTAGAAATATTAGCACGCAGTTTCCACCGCCCGGGATACCGCCTAGTAAATCTTACCACTGCCTAGCCAACAATCAAAATGAACATTAAAATAAACGGAACGTATATCGTACAGGGAAATACATATTGCTAAAAGATAAGCTACTAAGGATGTTTCCTGAACTATATCTTATGCCTAATAATAATGCGACGCGGTGATTCTCAATACAGGCTGCGTAGACTCCGTGATCTTGTATAGACTAATATCCTATTAAGGGCTCTCAGAGAGTATGCCTAGGCGTGCGTGTAGGCTATTATTGAAGTAAAGGATGGTATACTCCATACTAAAGAATGCGCATTTATCAGTCTGACTATTTATTTTGCTAGCAGAATATTAGGTAATTAGTTGTGGTAGGTGGGGGCAGGGTGAATATTTGTTTAGTAAAGACTGTACCTTTGTACACCGGAAAACTTGGCATGAACGTGAGGGACTTGCAGCTGTCTATGTGGACCCTCATGTTGTCCACTCAGACCATGTCACATGGTCAGTGGCTATCTGCTTCGTGCGCGAGGGTGAATTCGCGTGCTAATAAATTGCTAGTCAATGACTGCAGATAATAATCTCGCCTTTGCAGCGAAACCCCCGTACGACCCACAGCCAAGTCTGGCATGATTATTGACTTTCTGCGGTACAGCTAGGGGTGCAGATCAGTAAAAGCAGATACAAGACAGAAAAAACGAAAAGGATTTCCGCTCGTCTCTAACTCGTACCACGTCGTACATCAATAATACAGTCTTGGCTGCAGCTATTCTCTACGATCAGCAAATGAGCTGCTTCCTCCTCACCACAAAAGTTTTGGTCCACACCACTTGGTGGAGCTACTCCACCCCACGTCAACAAGCTGTACTGTACTTCTTCCCCTAATTCTCTCAGCGCTAAGGGAGCTGGATTTTCTCTTCCACTCACTTTCACGTGCAGAGCGTGTCATAATTTGCTGACCTCTTTCTTTAGTCTATTGTGCCTGATTTTGCAGAGTGAAATTCGAACAGGTCATCATGAAGAGGTTCGGGTCGCAGACCAGTACCTATAACAGGCTGGTGACCGTCTTCGTGGCCATTGGGTCTATGGTGAGCACTTGAAATGCGTTTCTATGCCCGCAGCCCACGAAATCTAACCCCTGTTCGCCACTAGACTTATGGCTACTGTGCTTCGATTATCGGCAGCACTATCGGTCAGCCGGGATGGTATACTTACTTCAATCTTCCTGCGGAAGGTGAAGCTGGCTATGCTTCAATTACTACGCCTGCCATCTCGACGGCCAATGGTGTGTTCAGTGGTGGCGGGGCAGTTGGTACACTTTTTATGATGTGGTCGTGCGACTATTTTGGCAGAAAGGCAAACATTCAGTTGGGCGCCTTCTTCGCGATGTTTGGAGGAGCCCTTCAGGCGGGTTCAAACTCTCTAGAGTACGTGCTTTACCTTTCCTCCGGACGCTCTGAGCCCTAATTCTAACTCGCTATATGCAGAATGTTCCAAGCCGGCCGGTTCATCTGCGGTCTTGGAATCGGTATCCTTGTAACTGTCTGCCCAATGTACCTCTCCGAGATGTCGAGCGCATTGCGTCGAGGCTGGTTGGTTGGCCATCATGCCATCTTCCTCGTATTCGGATACATGCTTTCTGGGTGGGTGGGCTTTGCCTGCTACTATGCCGAGGCCACCATCCCGGCATTTGGCTGGCGATTTCCTCTGGCTCTTCAGTGTCTCCCACCGTTGGTTCTGCTTGCTGGCTCTCCATGGCTTCCCCGCTCCCCTCGTTGGTTGATCTCTAAAGGCAAACTTGATGAGGCTAAACTTGTTCTGGAGCGTCTCCGCCAGTCTCCCGATGACCCCAACAACCTTGCCGCCAAGGAAGAGTTTTTTCAGACCAAGGAACAGATTCAACTCGAGGCTCAAAAGATGGCGCAGTACGGCAATCCATGGATGGCAGTTATCAAGAAGAAGTCATATCGCAAGCGCATGGTCATTGGCTTCCTTACCCAGTGGGGTGCTGAGTTTGGCGGACCTCTTATCATTGTGGGTCTATAAGTCTCTATAACGGGTTCTGACTAACGATAAACTAGAATAACTATGCCGTTCTTCTGTACACAAACCTTGGCATGACAGGCGGCATGCCTTTGCTGTTGAGTGCTGTTTGGCTGACGACAGCTGGTATGCCTTGAAAATTGTCGATTTTACTTATCTTAATCACTAATTCAAAACAGGTCTGATATATAACCCTCTTGGTGCCTGGTTGCATGACCGAGTAAACTCTCGGCGTGGCATGTACATTACTGGCTTTATCGGCATCATTATAACAACCTCGTGCCTTGCTGCCATGACCGCTGAGTACGCCGGCACAACCAACAAAGTTGGGAACGGATTTGGTATTCTGTTTATATACCTTTACTTGGCTTTCCAAGGGTGAGTTTATCTGGCAATGGTCGACTGAAGATGGATGTAAACTCACCTCATTATAGTACTTGCTGTGACACAACTATGTACCTTTACGTGTCAGAAATCTTCCCGACTGAAATTCGTCCGATCGGCATGGGCTTCTCGCTGTTCGGCCAGTTTGCCGGTGAGTCTTTCCATTGGTCTTCTCACTCGGACTCGACTAACACGATATAGCCACACTGATTCTCCTCGAGACGGCACCTATGGGCTTCAACAACGCTGGCTGGAAATACTACCTTGTCATCATCTGCTGGTCAGCCTTCTTCATTCCGAGTAAGATAAGAGTACGAAATCCCCCTGTTAGAGATTCCGCTGATGATGAGTATAGTCATCTATTTCTTTTTCCCCGAGACTGCTCGCTTGACCTTGGAGGAAATCGCCCAGAAGTTTGGCGAAGAAGTCGCCGTTCATCTCACCGATGCTACCGATGAAGAGAAAGCGCAGCTTGACGAGAAGCTTGTTCATTCTGGTGGCGCCGTGCTTCAAGCATCGGAGACTCCAGGCTCTCTCACTGACGGGGAGAAGAATGCAGCTCCTCTCCCGCCATCCGATGCCGAAAGCAACGACCAGAAGGATAATTGAATCCTTGCATGATGGATGCACCCGCAGACATGCTAGGACGTTTTTAATTAGCCAAACTGGTGGTAAGCACTTAATGTTGACATGTCGAACACCGGTGAAAGGTCAACGCAGACGCAATATATAGAGCAAGTTTATTTCTAGTTAATACGAATTGATTGTTTTTCTACTATTCATAGTATGTATAGCGTATCTACATTTTCCTCTTCAACTCAATTGTTAAGATTTTGTATTATACCAGAGCTTTGAAGAGAAAAGTTCCTACACAGGATGTATAAATCGAAATACTCACCACAAGTAAAGCCACATGTCTGATTTGCATACAAATGGTTCAGTGGCGTATGTGGTCTTTTGGTATCGCTGTGATCCTCGGCGCTATGTCTGAGGTTATTGGTATGTCAAACCACGAGATACCCAGTAGAGATGAAAAATGAAGGTGTGATGAAACACTAACGGAAAAACTAGGCTATGTTGGCCGTATACATCTAGACAGTAATGCTTACTCTTCTGCTGGTTTTGAAACGCAGATCTGCACTCTGACCATGGCACCCGCGTTTTGGTCAGCTGCCATATAAATGACTCTAAAGCACGAGGTGAACGTACTTGGGCGTAAATTTTCTATCTTGAAAGCAGAATGATACCCTTATATTTTGTGACGTGCGATTTCATCTCGTTGTCTCTACAGGGTGCTGGTGGTGGCCTCGCAGCTACCGCAACGACAAATCATGGCAGTGCGGTTGGCAACAATATCATGATGGCGGGTATTGTACGGCAAGTTGTCACCCTGTCGGTATTTGGGACACTGTCTGTTCAATTTTTTGTTCGAATCAGAAATACACCAATGCATGCGCTTTCTGTGGAGGCGCAGAAAGTCTGGGAAAGCCGAAAATTCCGATGGTTCTGTTGGGGTATTGTCATTGCCTTTGTGACAACTTATGCCCGCTGTGTATATCGGTACGCAATCGCCCCAAATTATATCGACTGACGTACTGACCCTTCGACTCTACAACCACAGTATTGCAGAGATGTCAGGAGGTTGGAAGAATAAAATCATGCAAGATGAGGTTAGCTTCATCATTTTTGAGTCTGGGTGAGCCTAATACTTAGAGTTATCAATCTGACCTACGTTCTGCATGCTAACGAAATGATGAATTTATAGAATTTGTGCAGTGGCTCTGATGGCTCTTTGTGTCGCACACCCGGGATATTGTTTTGAGCAGAAGCGCGGAAACTACACCAGAGCATTTGCGGAAGATTCCGTTCTACCGGGTCAAAAAGCTGAAAATCACAGCAACTCCAGCATGGCATAGAGGATGCAGGCTTCCTTTCCTTGACCCTACAAGGAAATTGATCTCCGTTAAATTAACTGGCTTGGCAGCTATGAGTCTGTGGTTTTATAACTACTGCTTTAATATTATGTGTTTGACAGATTGTTTGTAAAACCTCATTTATGTGACTAGGATGTAGACTAAAAATAGACTCCTTTCCTTGGCGGTGTTTTGTACTACCTGGATCTTGCTTGAATTGAGCTCGTGAAGGATGTATTGAGAGTCCGAGAAGTCATCTTCGAGAGGTCAGCCGAAGGCCTCACATGTTGAATGCAGCCCTTCCCGAGGTGAAGGTCGATAGTCCCGATTTCCGTAAAGATGTAGAGTGAAAAGTCCTCAGCGCCGGATCTTGACCGGAATAAACGCTTGAGGGATCGGATCTTTCTGATACTAGCGGCACCATTTCTGCCAAAGACAGCCCTGTCTCACAGCATAGCAGTGAGGGCAGCCGTTGTTTCCACGGCAGTTTGCAATCGAGCCGCAGAACTGGTAGCACCGAGAAAGGCGTTGCTCAAGGCCATCAATATCCCCTTCAATAGCCGTGCCAGATGAGACGCATCCTCTTCCAGCATCACGGGACTGTATGCCCGCATCGTCCTTGGTGTCTTCCGAAGCAGAGCGTGTTTCCAGTTCGTTTGCCCGGGTTGACTCTTGAGCAAAGTACTGTGTCGCACTCGAGCTTGGAGTGAAGGATTCCGAACGGGCAATCTCATTTGAGGGGTGATGATAGACGTCAATCTTCACCTGGTTGTCCTCGAGATACATGTCCAGGAACTGAGAATCGGTCAAGCTGGACAGGAACGTGTCGTAGCGGTCGAGCTCATCGAGGTGGATCGCGTCGCGAGGTGAGAGAGCCATGATGAACGTGGCCAAGAAGGTGACCAGGAAGAGTGTGTAAAGTCGTGAGAGCATTTGGGAGGTGGGGCTGTCTTAAGTGAAGTTTTTCTTTGGTTCAGGTTGCAATCTCCTTGCACGTGCCTGGATGCCGCAGAATTTCTCAATCGAGGGCCGCCTGTCAACTTTATAGCCTCCCTCTCACTGCCTGTCAGCCCGTCGGATAATATCCTACACCATGAGTTGATTATGGCAGGTGATACCACCCTGTCTGACCAGACCCCTGCGCTCTTCATTGTATCTGCAGGAGTGGGATCTGTTTTCCCTGATACGCCAAGAACAACCATATGCGGTAGTACGCTTGGTCACACTATCACTGATGCCATGTTCTATGGGTATCTATACAATCATATTCTGATTTGAATGTTCACGTCTAGAGAGGCTATCCAGGAGAGTAGTACACTAGGCGAAAACGTACATCGGAGGCTAACTAAGTTCCGGGGTAATGCATAAATGCGGGTGCCTGGATATTGCTTGATTGGTGAAAGGTCGTCAACGTGGAACATGGCGGAACAGTTTATTTATTGCAGCAGGCTTCGGGGTAAAACCGTTGCTCCCTCTGTACATCAATTCCTAGGAATTCTCTGAAATAGTCAATAACGAAACCGTGACGGAATCTGAGGCGAACAGAATCAGCAAAGTTCCCCTGGGCTACTGGCATTGTTAATTTGCGGAACCAAAACCGTCATTCTAATTACTAACGTCAGGAAACGTACATGCTTCGCGACAATAATCACCCTCAGTGATCTCGATTCGGTACCATGTCTACATGGAACGGATGCACATAAGATCGTACCACAAGGATCAATACACCGTAAGGTTCTCACAGTGCATGCCGCCATTGTTAGTCAAAGAAACGCCCAAGAATCTTACTCATGGTCTTTGGTCCCTTCATGATCACAATATTCGATCTGGAAATCGAGCCGCGAAATTCTCACAATGAAGTTCTGCTGCAGCATCGTCCGGAATCTGCCCGACCTACGGTATTCTGGTGCCGTGATCTTCAACAAAGAACTGGCTCTTTCAACCGAACAGACATTCTTTCCTTTGTTAAAGAAACAAAGGTTGAACAATGGGAGGGCGTCTTCAACAAAGAGGGGGGGGTTCTTCAACAAAGGAGTAAGTGAACAAGTCCAACAGGCCAAAATATCGACATGAGAGGTATATAAGACACCAAATATCCTGGAATGAGATGCTCACCAACATTCTAACATCCAATCTTCCCCTTCGCCTCAATCGCATCCAAAAGGTATATTATCAGTATCTCCATCATGGTCTTGCAGCCGGCGCCTGGGGCGCGTTCTGTTATGCACCTTCCATACGTGACATGCGAGCAAATGGTTAATCTCGCTATTGCTGATGGGTCTCATGATGCACTTCACTCAATCATGAATGCTACCGTGTGGGGCTCCCTCGGTGCCATGAACCAGCGCAACTTCGTCGCCGCATGGACGAAAGCCAATATAGATGCAGCCCACGAAAGGTACGCTTCGAGTCACTCGGCCGATTACAACTCTTTCGAAGCAGCTAACAATGCGCAGATGGATCTCGGGTCCAGTCCGCCATCGTCAAATGCAATCGATACGATTTTAGAAGTTGGTTGCCACGAGTGTTTCCAGTTTTTCGTCCGGCAGGGCATCATCACTGGTCAAGGGTATGATCATACAGGGACAAGCTATCTTTACCAGGCTCTTGAGAACAACCACTCCGTGCTGGCTAATGTGATTCTCAACTTCTTTCCCGTCACCTCATTGCTTGCCCCAGACTGGGCTGTTAGGACAGGAACAACAATTCTCGAGACCTTGGCGGGTGAACCAATCCTGGCTCGTATTTGGATCAACAAGGTCCTCGAGAGTCCCGTCGATGCGCTGCCAAACAATGGTGATCTCCGCCATATGATCGACGCGGACATCCTTCTCAAATTCGCCTACTGGATTGACCCAGACACTGCCGACAAATTCAACGCCGTGAACATCAACATTGGTGCAGGCCTCGACAGCGATCTTGGATCAGTATGGACTGTTTTAATCACTGACAACGTTCCCGGTGACTGCAATCCGTTCCGATATCAGTTGATGATGTGGATGAACCAACACCCATTCCCCCCGAACCCGCATCATCCAGATGGTACACTGATCAACTATCCCTGTCTTCCTGGTCACGGTCAGTATCTTGCTCGCGGCCACTGGCCGCCATGGTTGGTTGCTCTCCATGTGGGTGATCGCGCGGCAGCATCCATCATCGCCAGCTCGCCCTTTGTCAACCCTTTGATCGAAGGCCGGTCAATCCCACCACGAGGGACGCCGCCAGGTATGGGGGTCTTTGGTCCATGGCGATCCATTGGTTATGGGTCGCTGGAGCACATCAACGAGAAAGGATTGCAGATGCTCTCCCAGTGGGTGCGCCGTGGAACTGACGCCTTTACCCAGAACCAGGATTGCCGGGCATACACCGATCTCCTAGAAGAGCTTCTCAGGTCAGTTTCACGCAAGATAAACTACATCGTTAACGTCGCCCCTCAGCCTGCAGGACTGAGTGCGAAACGATGGAAGAACCGCAAAACCCGGAGGCGACAAGAGTTCTTGCGAATCGGTGCTCAGATGATCCGGGTGATCCTCGATGAAGGCATTCGGGAAGTTCGGCCAGACAGCGTTCGGCAATCAGGCGATGACGAGTACTACCGGACTATGGCAGAGTCAGCCCATTACCAGCAATGGGTCAACGACATGAAGCAACGTCGCACTCCGGCTTTCAGGTATGTGTTGTCGTTAGTCCACCAGCTGACTCGCCGCGCTGGCATGTACGCCCGAGGAACGCGCCATGATCCGCCTAGCCTGATGGATACGGCACCGTAAAGGGGCTTGCTTTGAGACGCTTGGAAGCAATTTGGGAAGACAGGTAGGCTCAGCTGATTGGCAGACGAGACTAACAGACAGGATTGACCCACCAGCTTAAGAAGATTGAGGTACAATATTGGGACTGGCGTTCGAACTGACGGTGATTCCCCTCATAGTTAGCTTTAGTTCCCTGATCATTACAATCCACAAAGTTGCGTACGTGTACAAACTCTTATACTCACCATGTGTAGACTTTCCACTCGTAGGTCTGTAGAAGACTGGTATTTGAAACCGCCCGTTGCTCAATGACTCAACATTGATCTTTTAAAACCTAGACGGGACCTACCGTTATTACCCCCAGACAGTACATGAACAAAGAATTCTGGACAAAGCGCTCAAAACCGGCATTACCTCAAGTAGTATATGAACAAAGATTCGGACAAAGCGCTCAAAAAGTAATAGTAACTAGGATGAGGTTGGCCCGAGCGAAGTGTTCCGCAGCTAAGCAGTATGCACACCAATGTTAGTTTTGTTTGGCCGCAATCAACAATCGTAATATTGCTCGTTCTCGTTATCAGGGGCATCGCAACCTCAGGGCCACACCTGCTCCGGGATCAGACCAAAAGAAAAGGGCAATGGTTTTCGATGGCCTGGGTAGAAAGTAAGAAAAAAAGCATCCGTCCGTTCTGTTATTTGACATGCAAGGGTTCTCAAACGAATCCGAAAACCATCATATCCTATTCAAAACAAGGAAAGACACGAAACAGCGGCATTTGATCCAGACAGGGGCCGCCGCCAGGGCATAAGCGTGTACCACAGATCGGATAGACCCAGCTCAGACACCCTCATCAACAACCACCCACACCGCTTCACAAACATCTTTAACTATGTATTGTCGATCTATTCACTTCGATTCATACTCGTAGCGTGCGTATCCTAATAAGTCTATGTTCACAGGCCTCACGAAGGCTGTGTAATCCATGAAGTACACCACATCGTTTCCGATATCCTTCGGTCCTTTCGAGCTTCGGTGATCCTGGGAGATGGGGATGAAGCTTGGAGGGAAAGAAGTACAGACTGTATCGAACATTTACAGGTCCTTCTTGATGATGTGGGCCTTGGGGAGAGTGCCGTTGGCACGCTCGATAGCGGCCTCGCGGGCAGCAGTGAGACCGAACTGCGTCTTGATGCCATCGACACGGTGGGTTGAGTTGATGTTCTTGACGAGAGTGAGCTGCCAGCAGGTGGCACCACCCTGGCGAGAGGTGATGGTGGACGAGGCAAGGAAGTACTCCCAGATCTGAACAAGCCGTTAGTGCCTGTCAACGTTGACATAAAACAAGTATAGTATCTTATGTGCGGGACTTACGCGGAACCATCTCTTGCCGTACTTGGCCTCAACCTTGTCACGGTTGCCCATCCAGTTCCGGTACCAGCGCCACAGAGTGGCAGAGTAGTGGACACCAATGGTATCGACGGCCTTGACCTCGAAGCCGGCGCCCTCAAGGCGGTCCACAACGAAGCCGAGAGGAGTAGAGGCATCGGCACCGGGGAAGACGTACTTGTTCATGAACAGACCCCAGATGAGGTCCTCGTACTGCCAGGACTTGCGAAGACCGGCGATCTGCAGGAAGAAAACACCATCATCCTCAAGCATGTCGTAAACCTGAGAGAGGAAAGAGGAGAAGTGGCGGACACCAACGTGCTCGGCCATCTCGAGGCAGGTAATCTTCTGGTAGCCACCCTCAACGCGGGGAGCGTCACGGTAGTCGGTGCACACAATGCGGCTCTGAGACTCCTCAATGCCAGCCTTGCGGAGACCGTTGTTACCCCAGGCAGTCTGGTTGCGGCCAAGAGTGATACCAGTAACATGAGCACCGTAGTGGGCAGAGGCGTACTTGGCGAGAGTTCCCCAGCCGCAGCCAAGGTCGAGCATCTTGTCTCCGGGCTGGATGTTTATCTTCTCGCAGACGACGGCCAGCTTGTTGTCCTGCAGCTCCTCCAGGGTCTCCTCCTTGTTGATGTCACTAATGATACCGGAAGTGTAGATCATGCGGGGGCCGAGGAACCAAGCGTAGAAGTCGTCACCGCGGTCATAGTGGTCACGGACCTGCTCCTCGTCTAGGGACCCCAAGTTAGTAAATCAGCGATGCTAAGAAAACATTGACAGGATAAACGACATACCCTGGGAACGAGTGTGCATCAGCATCTCAGGGATGAAGCCGAACAGGAAGTGCTTGAATAGACCCATGGTGAACTTGAAGTTGGCCCAGTCGTGGCGGTACTCCAGAGCCTCCAGAGCGTCACCCTTGAAGTCAACCTCGCCGTTAAAGTACTTCTCGTAGAAGACCTCCATGGGGATCTTGCTCTTGCCACGGTAGGTGGCACGATCATGCTCGCTGTGGAATTGCAGGTAGTGCTCAACGGGACGGCCGCAGTACTTGGCCTTCTCGGTCTTGCGGGGGAGATGGTGGAGGAGACAGTCCAGAATGCCATAAGAACGGGGATGGTGGTGAAGATGGCAAAGAAGATGGTGGTGTAGAAGCCACCGCCGACCTGGCGGGCCAGGTACCAGGGCACCACGATCACCAGGAAGATCATCAAGCCATTGGAGAAGCTGTCGCTGCCAGGCGAGTCGGCGGGCACGGGGGCATTCTTAATAGCCGGGTACTAGAAACAATGAGTTAGGTACATTGGTCTGGAAGTGTTGTGGGAGCTTGACAGGAGCTCGGGCCTAGCTACTTACCAGCGTGGTCGGAACACCGCAATCGAAGGCGGGCTTGGACTGCTGGGGGGCCTCCGGGGTCTGGATGAACTCGAAGTCCTCAGTGGACTCCGGGTGGGGGGTCGACATGGCGGCGAGGTGTCAATTGAGAGGGATGGGAGGTAGAAAAGGAGCAGGGAGTAAATAATATGGTGGCACTTTGGGGAGGGGGCGGTGAGGTGGTTGGTGCCTGGTAGTGCCGTAATGCTTGCTCCGTGCGTGCTGGTGGGCTGCGGCCGAACCAAGGGAGCGGCTTCCATTGTTCCGTCTGGACTGCGGGAAGTAGGTACTCCATACCTACAGTAGTGTACGCGTTTAATACTACGAGAAACTCCCTAGCTACGCGCTACGTAGTGGGAAACATGTGGGAATTCTGCCGGGGGCTCAATTGGCGTGAGCACTCGCCTGGCCTTGGATGCGAGCGATCTTCACAGGGAGTGGGGATTCCTGAAACAGTACGATCCACGGTTGGGAATCCCTGCAGAAAGACATTCATTTCCATGATACGCCAATAATTCTCCCCACCGGCCGAATTCCCCAAGTGCCCCGATTGATATCATACCCCAAACGCAGAACAGAAGAAGATACATAACAATGTTAGACAGCACGAATCATCCCAGGACTCAAGAATAGTTGGTGTTTTCAGAATAATAATGTGACAGAGCGGTGAGTTGGTTACAGCGTAAGCTGGAAGCTCTCCGCTTCTTCGTCCTCCCCGAAGGTTGGGAGCTGCTCCTCGAGCTCCTGAGAAGCAGCATTCTCTTCTGGAGTATCAAAACAGCCCGCAGCCTTGCAGCGGGTCCACATCTCCGAGTCCAGCGGCGGCATGCCGTAGAGCTCCATGTAGGTTTTCGGGGAGAGCAAATCCTCCGACTTGGAGGCCTTCCGAGCGGAGGCAGTTTCGCGCAGGGTGGATGAGACACTTCGTCCCTTGGAGTACCCGACAGTGGTGTTGGAAGCGACGGCAGCGGCAGTACTGCGCATAGAGGAAGGATTGGTCGGGTTTCTGGTCTTCTTCTGAGGCATCAGAGCAGATGCAGCAGACGCGACTCGGGATTTGGGAACAGGAAGGGTTCTGACGGGAGTTGAGCTGGGCCTCGGCGCTGCAAGAGCAACGGCGGCCTCACGGGATCGAATCGTAGGAACACTCTGCATGAGACGAGCGCTGGTCGAGGGCGCCTTGCGGTGAATGGATTTCAGCCGTTGTTTGGGAGCTTTAGCAGCCGTATCGTCGCTGGGCCCGTTGAAGCCAATGTCGTCCAGCTGCTTCATGATGGTTTCATTGATCATTCTGTCGCACTTCACGGAATCCTCCTGGAACTTGCGCTGTTTCTTGGTCAGGCCATCACTGCCCACTTCCTGCTTCCCATACACGCTCTCCAAGCCTAAGGCGCGGTTCCTCGGTTGGAATTGCGGGAATGTGGTATCATATGTAATATCATCCGGCAGATCCGGGAGATCTAAGAGCTGTCAGCGACCTCACTCCCTCTGCGTTGACACGGCATGCTGCATCATACCTGTGGGCTTGGGGGGCATGTATTCAATGTCCCGCACATCATCTTGGGCAGCTTCGGTGTAGACCTTGGGTTGAGCTTGCTGAGCCACGGGAGGGGCCTTCTTGATTCTCTGTGCAGTCGAAGTCCTCCGATTGTTTGTCTTCTCGAACTTCGATGTTCCTCCGAATTGACCAGGAGTCTTGAACGCATTGGTCTTTAGATTGGTCGTTTTGTTGCCCAGGGGAGCACGGTGTCGCGCCTCTGCAGAAGCAATTCATCAGTCTGGTCTCTTCGCGTACCATCCGGCCCAGGAAGTTCACGTACCCCCAGGTGTAACAAACGCGTTCAACGCCGGTTTTCCATTCTCCAGGCGGTTCTTGTTGCCCTTGATCGTACCCTTTCCGAATGCGCGGGGGTTGTTCTCGTCGTTCAGTGGCACCGACTTGCCGGGAGTCTTGGGCGGTATTTTGTTGATACCCTGGTTCAAAGGCTTGGCCGCGGCGGCGTTCTGGTGGGTGTTTACCAGGTTTTCCTGGTCGCGGAGAGCCAGCATGGCGGCGAGTTGAGACGATAATTGCACATGCACCGACAGCAATGACCGTGAATCATAGACGAAGAACGGTGAAGGAAGTCTCGTCAGTCTCGCAAGTCCACTTCGTACGAGTCGAACGAGTCTAGAGTGTTGTCTGGGCGGTTGCCCGTGGAGACGCGGCGATCCAAATCATGTGATTGGACCGCTGTGAGGCGGGGCTGGTTGTGTACGGTACACGCCAGGTACAGTGGCGTTCCATAAGTCTGGTTCCATTCTAAGTATCATGATATGGAATCTGCCGGCAAAACGCCGAAGAGCCATTCAGAATCCACCTCTTGCGAGCGGGATGAGGTGTTTTGGATGGCACTTTAAAGGATTTCACTCGGGGGGGGATTCAGATTTATGGAGTATCACTGTACACTGAAAGGTGGGTAGGCCACAAGAGGTACTCGATACTTTGCGGTCGGCGTGCGTGGTCACCGCTTGACGGGTACTGAGTACACCGATAGTCAGCAATTATTCTCCCCTTACCCAACTCTTAACTCCACGGCCTAGTCATCCCCTCGATCCCACATCTCCGGCTCGCTGAGCGAAAGCCTTCTGCTTCACTTCACTCATACATATTACTCTCAAACACCTCTTCTTTCAATTCTCTCAATATGGACAAGATCAAGGAGGTGAGTCTCTCGGACCCCCTGTTGGGCTGTTTGGCGGGGTAGCTTGGACAAGCTGTCTCTTTTGCCTGCCCCTCGTTGTGCACATCACCCATGCACCGCCGCCCGCTTCTATCTGGCCGACATCATGCTAACAACCATCTTACTAGCGTATGAACGCCCTCCGCGTCGAGGCTGACGAGGCCCACGACCAGGTTGAGGAGCTGAAGGCCAAGGTCAAGACCCTGGAGCAGGAAAACCTGTCCAAGGAGCAGGAGATCACATCCCTCAACCACCGCAACCAGCTGCTCGAGGAGGAGGTCGAGAAGCTTGAGTCCTCCGTCAAGGATGCCAAGGATGCCGCCAACCAGAGTGCCCAGCACGACACCCAGAACGAGGCTCTTCAGCGACGGGTCCAGCTCCTCGAGGAGGAGGCTGAGGAGAACGACCGGACTCTGCGGGAGACGAACGAGAAGTACATCCATCCATCATACTCTTCTACCTTCATCTACATTTCCCACTAACATACCGGGATCTGCAGGCTCCGCCAAACCGACGTCAAGGCTGGCCACTACGAGCGCAAGGTGCAGGCACTCGAGACAGAGCGCGACCAGTGGGAGTCCAAGTACGAGGAGATGGCCAAGAAACACGCCGAGTTACAGAAGGATCTCCACGACCTCGAAGTCTCCATCAGCAACGTCTAAGTTGGATCACTCGGGGTGTCGGTGGAGGGTATCGGGAGACGTTGGGTTGGATGCAGGCTACTTCCCTTTCCAACTGTCTTCTTTATTCATATTGTGACCAGTCGTGTTACCCCCCCTCCTGCCATGCCGTTGGAGACCGCGTCCCCAATAGCACTTCTGCGATGTTGACTTAGGTGCCTTTTTTCCTCGCAAATTAATTGCCGTTCTTCTGTGGACAGTTTGGTCTCGTGAACCATCGATCCTGTGATTAAGCGATAGTATTTTCAGAACCCAAGTATTTGCTAGGTGGTATAAAACATATGGCTCAAAAGTAAACCCCCTCCACGGACGTGCATCACCGCTCCCTCCGTGCCTGAGCCTTCTTGGACTTTGTTAGCCGCTGCTTGGCCGCGGTGAGCTTGCGATCCTGCTTGCTTTCGTAGCGGAACTGCTTTTTCTTCTTCTTGGGCTTGTCGGTTGTCACCTTTCGCTTCTGGGTCGGCTTGGCCTCTTCCTCAGTCGGCTTGGCGGATTCGCGCTTTTTGTCCTCGTTCTCGTCCTCGGAGTCTTGTTCCTGTATCGACTTGCGCAGACCCTCTCGCGATGAGTCCATTTCCTCCACGGTCACGGTAGTGTACTTGTCTTCGTCGATGTATTCGGCCTCGTAGTCCACCGCCGGCGGTTCCTCAAAGCCCTCCCACTCCCCGTCGCTCTCCTCGTCAGAGTTAGAGACGCCAGCGTCGCTGTTGTCTTCCTCCCTAAGGCGCTTAAGCGCCAATTTGTGCTCCTCCATCGCTCGGTTGAACTCAGCAGCCCGATCTTCGCGCAGCTAGACATGCCACATTAATGGGCGTCGTTGAGGATGAGGGGTTTTCAGCCCTGGAATATCAATTCTTACCTTCTTGCGATCCATGCGCTTCTCCTCTTTGGCTTTCTGCGCCGCTATTTCTTGTGCATTCTTAATGCGCTGTTGCTTTCGCTTCCGAAACCCAGTCAGATATTCCTCGCGGGCACTGGCGTCGAAATTGACCTCTTCGACTTTAGAAGTCTTGCGACGTTTGGAGACGGGACCCATAGTGTGAAGTAATAAAGGAATTCAAGCACAATAAAATCGCAGAATAGACACTCTGTGACCTGTTGGGGGTGATCGTTCTGTCGAACCAGGAAAAAGAAAAGTTGAACTTTGAAGCTCAGACGCCGCGGCGGGCCCGGGCTGGTCGACCGCCTCCGAGGCCAAGTCGGACCTCCCGCTGGCAACATCATCCTCCACCCCAGCAACTCCTCGACAAGCATAATGCATCTGAGCACGTTTGGGCTGCTTGCCCTTGGGGCAGCTTCAGTCGATGCCTTCCGTGACACCTCTCCATTCTTTCTCGCATCAACCTCCGAGTACGTGGCACGCGTCCTCCTTGAAACTACGGCTAGCTAATCAGCTCCTGCGTGTAGGGTCCTAGCGAACTCGGCGAATATCAAGACCAGCGCCTCCCTGTTTGAAGAGCTTTCCTCTTCCCTCAGCGCCTGCCCTTCAGAGTACTATGTCGTTGTCAACCAGCCTGGTGTGCACAGCTCCGACTTCTCAAGCCGCAAATCGGCACCTCGCCTCGGCGCGAAGATGCTTGGAAAGGACAAGTCCATCCGATCGAAGATGAGCGTCAACGAGGTGACGGGCTTGTTGGAGGTCAAGCAAATCAAGGACCTTCTGGAGGTCAAATGCCAGGCGCAGACTACCGTCATCGACGGCTCCTGTGAGTTATCGTGGCGGCCCAGCTTCAGGGTGGAGGATATCGCTTGAGAGCTAGGACTGATGATGACATGCAGCTGGATCGTATCCATCCTACTTTGAGTCGGGTCCTCGAGTTATTGACATCGAGTTTCCCATGCTCTCGCTGGGCTCGGACCGCGCCAACCAGCTCTCTGACAATGGTACGTGGAACGATCTCCCCGTGAACCAGGGCTTGCCTAACAATTTTAGATGGCCTGATTTCCGATATCATTGATCGCATTCCTTCCTCCTCCAAGTATACTCTTCTTTATGTCACCACGCCGAGAGAATTCCCCGAAACCGACTCCATCGTCTACGAATCCGAGGACGCGTATCAAGACTCCGTCCGAATGGAACTCAAGCGCGACTACTCTTCCTACTCTTCCTATTCTAGTGCCTCCGATTCGTCGAATCGCAACACATCTCTGTTTGACGAATATCAATACTTTACTCCAGGTTCGTCGTGCTCACCACGTGGAATATTGCTACACCCCATTCTGACTCCTCGATAGGCATCTTCATGGGCTTGATGGCTTCATTCCTATGCCTGATCATCTTGTATATTGCAATCAGCGCCGTGAGCAGTCTCCAGGTTCCCTATGCTGCGTTTGAGAAGGACACGTCCTCTGCTGCGCAGAAGAAGCAGCAGTAATTGGGCCCGGCACCATTGGCTGGAGGCGCTGAATACCGGCCATGCCTTGCTCGATGCATGCTACAATTGACTTATTTTCTTTCTTCTCGGGATAAGGGGCACAGCAGTTATTTCGTATTCTTGTATGATACATCACACTGCTATTTCTGGTAGAATTCAAGCCATCATGTGACACCCCCTCAAGAGACAGGCCTCAGGCTTCAGGCCAAGCTTTTAGTTAGCGCAGCAAAGTTGGCGTCTGTTGTGTTCCCTCGAGTTCTCGCTTACCCAGAACGACCCTTTCTCCTCTCAAATCCCCTAGACGCTCGTTGCATCATATTGGGAGACTGTCACTCGTTTTACCTGGATATCTCAATGGTGTGTCCCTGAGACGGAAACCTATCGAGTATCTTGCCCAGATTCTCTCGGGAGAACAGCACTTCCAGCCATTCTGGGGGCTGAGAGGAACCACAATCTGTTTCTGGGGACTGATTGCTCGAGACTCAGCACCGGGACTGTTCAGGTCCTGGATTCACTGATTTCCTTTGTCTCAACACACTCGCTCCTGATCACCGACTACCCCGGCTGACCCGCTGTGGAGAACCGAGCGATTCGTTTATTTACTGTGCGAGCGAGGAAACGAGAAGACCATGCGACTCCTACAGTGCAGGCTTGGAAAAGCCCAACCTCCATTCATACTCGTCTTGTTGCTGGTGCTAGCAATTACTGCTCGTGTATCTGCAGTGCCAGCGGACGCTGCTGCTACGACCGATGCTACGACCGATGCCGCCCAGACCACCGACGATCCCTCCACCACTGACAGCACCCCTAGCGTGACCACGACTTCGACCTCCGACTCCTCCTCTTCTTCCTCGACGTCAACATCCGAGTCCACAACTAGTACGACGTCTTCGACATCCATAACCTCTACAACTATGGATTCCACAACGACGACCTCATCGTCGACGTCGTCGTCCTCTTCTTCTACCTCCAGTGACAGCACCCCAACAACGACATCAGCATCCTCATCCTCTACCTCGACAGCCGCCCCGATCGTCACCGTACCCCCTACCGCAAATGCGCCGTACATGCAGACGACGAATACACCCGAAGGCACGGTCTTCATCGCCGTCGGCGCGATACTAGGATTGATCGGGTTGGCTGTTTTGGCGTGGCGCGGCATGGTCGCATGGTCTGTGAACCGCTCAGTGCGGCGCGCAGCCCTAGCGCAAACCTCCGATAAAAAGCGACTGTCGCGCCGTGGCGGCGGCAGGAAGCGTTCGCACGGCGTTCGTTCGGCGCCCGCCAACGACGTATCGCTCGATAAACTCGGCGCCGCGACTCGCGCCAGCTACAAGCCTGCGAAGCGGGTTCCCAGCTCGAACAGTGGCTTGTTCTTTTCGCCAACTGCCGGTGGCGCTGGGTCGCATCACAGTCTAAACAACGCTGGCAACCGCGGCTCGAGTTACCTGCCCGCTGGGTACTATGCTACTGCAGGCACTTCGACGCCAGTGAGGGAAGCGAGCGGGTCGCAGCCCAACTTATTCTCCCCTACTGCCGGTCTCTCCTCGCCTACGGCATTCCCCTCAGGCTCCCCATCTCTGCCAGCTGTCGGTAGCTACCATGACGCGCCGCATCCACGCCATTCGCATGTGGGGGCTTCCACCAGCTCGCTGAATCTCAGCCAAGCGCCGCAGGGTCGTGCGCCGAGCGCTTATCTAGAGGATCTATTTGAGAGTCATACATCCCCCGGTCATTCTGACTCCGGTCGGCGATAATCGGTAATCACATGTTTAAACGACAGGGATGATCTAGACGGTTTATTTGCGACCGTGATCTATATCTGGTTTCCTTTTTTTCTTTGTGCCATATTTCCAAGTATTTTCTCATATTTCTGTCCATCTTCTAATGCGCTGGCGTTTTTTTTGGAGCCTCTGGACCTTTGTGCATTACTGAGCTTTGTATCTACTTTCATCTGGGCCTCCATTTCGTGTTCATAATAGCGGTGATCCAACAATAGCGTCTTGGCATCTCGTAAACTTTCAGAGGTTGATCTTTTAGGAGTATTCTGGAATTGTAGTCTCTTAATAGGAATCATCCACTATCAAGGCATAGGATCTAATACCTAGATGATTTTGATATTGTACTGGAAGGGTCGGATATTATGCCCCCGGATTCCCATATAGGCCACAACAGCCCACTGCACCGTCTTTCAGTCTGCGCAGACATTTGGCAGTTGGCAGTGATTAAACACATTGGTTAAAAATTTTTGAAATTCTCAGCTACCGAATCAGTAATGGCTGTGGCAAACCCACTTAGTATTGAGCCAAGGGTCCTGAAATAGTTTCTTCGCAGTCTTTTTGTCCTCTGGGTGCCACCGGCTGCAATTGGACTATAGCACTGCAGTATTCTCTTTGGATGCACATACACCAAGATTATACATAGCAAGATTTGGTTCATTCACTTCGTATAGGTATTCAATCTCCTATTCTTGGTTACTAACCTAACTGCATCAAAAGACTTGGTCGTTTATTTGCATGCTAGAACTTTGCTCATATGGAATCGATACAGAATGCGCCAAGGTATCAACGCCCAACGGCCATCCAGCAAGAACCATCTTCTCTAGAAGAGAAATCTGTTGACCCCTTCCTGCTCAAGCCTGCAGCTCAGAACTGCCTATAAGTCGGCAACATCCATCCAGCACTCTCACCTACTGGCGCAAAATGGAAACCTTTACATAGAATAATATGAGCGAGCACAGCATCAACGCAAAAGGCTGCTCTAATCCAGAACTGCATTTTCGAGAGGAGAGATCTGTTAGGGAGATATGCTTTACTGTTTCTGTGGATTAAGCTATTGCTCTCCCGCGTCTCAGCTTGCACCTGAGAATGACATCCTGGCAGAGCAAATATATCTTTCCAAGAACCGTGACTACTTTTGAGATTATCATATAGAGTGGGGCTATTTTGGCACATATTGCCTTTTGGCAGCTTTTATTGGCAAGAAGCTAGAGAAGGCTTTACATTACCTGTCAAAGCTGGACGGGTGCTCCCCCGGTACCTCATCTTTCCCAATACTCTCCGGGGCATCTTGGTTAACGACTAATCATAGTGGAACGTGCGGGTTGTATCTCAATGACCCCTCCTTAGTGGAATTTGCCGCCGTGGGCTCGCAAGGCTCCCCTGGTTCACCAGATGTCCACAGGGAGCTTTGTGGAGAAATAAAGTAGTCGGTGACTCGGTGCGAAGGTTCAGGGACCAATGGTCACCTGATCGTGCGGCTGAGGATGTGAGATATCGCAAGCCGCTAATCTTTCCGTGGCGATTCTCATGGATTGAAAAGGCCCAAGGACAACCTTACTTGGTGGCAAGATTGTCATGATAACAGGTCTTGGAACGATAGATGGCCTTGCGTTTTCTGGGGGTCGGAACCTTCTCTCTGCCTACGCCAGCATCATCGTACCCACTGCCTATTGAGCATGAATCCAATATCGTTTGGTAACGCAAATGCGGGGTTTCAGTTCGGGAGCAATCACGGACCGATCCATATCTCATCCGGTACGTGTCATGAAGCCTTTTCCAAGCCGGGTCAAATTGACTGACAGTCGCTTCGGCCCAGACCGACCAGAAACCCCACCGCAGACGATAGACAACGGTTCGCTACGCCCCGCACCAGTCAAGAAGACCCTCACTAACTAAAGTGACAGAGGTGCTGAGGTCACTGGCATTTCCGCAGATGCTAGATCGGAGAGACAATATCGAGCCATGTCATCCCAATACATGCCAATGGATTTTGGAGATGGAAGAGTACAAGTCCTGGAGAAGCCAGTCCCGCGGTCTACTGTGGATCAAGGGCAAGCCAGGTGCGGGCAAGTCGACCTTGATGGTATTCCTGCACGACAAACTCAAGAGTTTACGCGACCAGGGTCTTTGGCTCGACTTTTTCTTTACCGCTCGGGGCACGGAGATGCAACGTACACCGCTAGGGATGCTGAGATCGTTGCTGAACCAGATTTTCGATCGCGACGAGACAGTGCGCCCTCAAGTACGGGAGGCCTATGAACAGCGTTGTAGGCAGTTTGGGTACGGTGAACGCAAGTGGGAATGGCCACGAGTGGTGCTCGAAGAGTTACTGGCAAGTGCCATCCTGACATCGGCCACTCAGCAGCACATAACTATTTTTGTCGATGCTCTAGATGAGGCTGGGACGGAGTCCGCTCAGCGGCTGGTAGCATACTTTCACAGGGTTATTGATCGCGCGGACAAACAGAAGGTCACCGTTCAAATTTGTCTCTCATGTCGACACTATCCTATCATAGGAAATGCCCGGGCTACAGAGATACACATCGAAGATTATAATCATGAAGACATCGCCACATATATCAAGGACATCCTTGCGGACACGGAGGTCAGGGACGGTCCTAGTCAGGAGACGCGAGAGGTGCTGGTCGAGCAATTGACCCAGCAAGCTAATGGGGTGTTCCAATGGGCCCATCTCGTGATGCCTCTTATCAGGCAGAAGATTCTTGAAGGCGAATCGTTTAATGACATCCGTTGCTGGTTACACGAGGTCCCGGCCGGCCTAGAAGACGCCTATACGTACATTCTGAACAACGTGATCGATGACAGGAATCGGGAGCACTCCTTCCTGTTGTTTCAATGGGTGTGCCTGGCTGAGCGGCCCCTGACTGTGACAGAGATGCGGTATGCCATGGCAGCTCGGCATGCCGGAATAATGACTTCCCCTCTAAAGACATGGGAGAAGATCGACGGATTCGTCGAAAGCAACGAACGCATGAAGCGAAGAATCAAGACACTTTCTGGTGGATTAGCAGAAGTAGTCTCAAGCGAGGGTTCTAACGAGACTGTACAGGCAGTCCACCAGTCAGTGAATGATTTCTTGCACGGAAAAGGACTAGGGCTTTTGTATCAAAGTATCGGTACCAGTACATCATCCATGGACGAGGGAAATATTCATTTTCTTTGCCACGCAACTCTCTACGGATCGTGTCTGGCTTATCTTGCTACAGTACATATACCTGAAGAGTTGTGTGGTGTTCGGAGGGTGAAAAGGGACAACTTTGAGAGGGCGCAAAAAGACCTTGTCCGGGATCACCCATTGCTTACTTACGCCACCATCTACCTCTTCGTTCATGCCGAAAAAGCCGCCGGCTCGAGAGCGGACGTGCTATCGAATGAACAAGCTATCCTACAGCAAGTTTTTGGACATTGGGTCCAGATTTACCAGATTATATATCCCTTTAAAAGCGCATGCCCACCGACAGGCACGACACTCTTACACATGGCTGCAGCTGCCAATCTGGTTGATGTCATAGAATCTGTGTTACCGAACAGTGAGGATATAGCGAAAAAAGACGGAAATGGAAATACGGCATTCCATATAGCAGCACAAGAAGGTCATCTAACAGTAGGCAAATTACTGCGGAAGAAGGGGGCAAACTGGGGCGCACACAGCCCATATGAAACAACAGCATTAATCGAGGCGGCCAGCTGTGGCCGTGTGAGATTTGTCGAATGGCTTCTGCATGAGGGAGCGAAGATTGAAGCAACAGAGCATGAAAGTGGAGAGGCGCTACAATTGGCTCCGCTCGGGGGGAACCAGAGTGTGGTGGAAATATTACTTGGAGCCGGAACCGAGATCAATTCGCGGAGTGGTAAATTCGGCAATGCCCTACAGGCTGCTGCCTGGAAAGGACACACGAAGATAGTGCGAATGCTACTCGACGCTCACGCCGATGTCAATGCCCAAGGTGGTGAATTCGGCAATGCCCTACAGGCCGCTGCCTTGGGAGGCAGTATCGAGATAGTGCAGATGCTACTAGATGCTCACGCCGATGTCAATGCCCAAGGTGGTGAATTCGGCAATGCCCTACAGGCTGCTGCCTGGAAAGGACACACGAAGATAGTGCGAATGCTACTCGACGCTCACGCCGATGTCAATGCCCAAGGTGGTGAATTCGGCAATGCCCTACAGGCCGCTGCCTTGGGAGGCAGTATCGAGATAGTGCAGATGCTACTAGATGCTCACGCCGATGTCAATACCCAAGGTGATAAATATGCTAATGCCTTACAGACTGCTGCCGGGAACGGACGTATCGAGATAGTGCGAATGCTACTCGGGGCTCACGCCGATGTCAATGCCCAAGGTGGTGAATTCGGCAATGCCCTACAGGCTGCTGCCTGGAAAGAACACACGAAGATAGTGCGAATGCTACTCGACGCTCACGCCGATGTCAATGCCCAAGGGGGTGAATTCGGCAATGCCCTACAGGCCGCTGCCTCCGAGGGAAATACCGAGATGGTGCAGATGCTGCTCGATGCTCACGCCGATGTCAACGCCCAGGGGGTAAATTCGGCAATGCCCTACAGGCCGCTACCAGGAAAGGATACACCGATATTGTGCAGATGCTGATCGATGCTCAAGCCGATGTGAATGCCCCAGGTGGTCCATATGGATCCCCTCTCTTGGCGGCTGTTCATGAGGGCGATTCTGATCAGGTTCAGATTCTTCTTAACGCAGGCGCTGATCCGTTGCTCTCGGATGAGCTGGACCACACTCCTCTTCATATTGCAGCTTCGAGAGGCATGCTCCACATTCTCTGTCGATTTTCGCAACTCGCCTCGGCTATCAACAAGCGGGACAAACTCCTACAATCCCCTCTCCATCTGGCTGTTTGCTTCGGTCACATTGAATTTGCTATCATGCTCCTCGATCTTGGTGCGGATCCTTCGCTTCCAGATAGTTATGGCAGAAATATCATGGACTGGGCGCTAGAACATCAAACCCTGATGCTTCACATCCGTAACCACTGTCCTCAGATCGTCCTGACCCCTGATGAGACTCAAAAACTGACTGTTCGTCAATCAATACTCCAAATCTCAGATACGCTTCTACGTTCTAAACTGGACTCTCCATGGCGTCTCTTGCAACAATTAGGTCGCTATTTCTTGTTTCTCGACGACGTAGACAATGCGCGCCGTCTACTTCAGTTTCGCCTGTCTCAGGATACATTCTTCGGCATTGATCCACGCAATATTTCCTGCGATATCTGTGAAGAACCCATCACCGAGTCTCACTTTGTGTGCGGACTCTGCGTTCATATGGATCTATGCTCCTCCTGCGTACAAGATTACCCCTACCATAGCCGATTGCACCCAAAGCAAGAGCACAAAATCTTTCAAGTGCCCGATGTGCCTGATAACGAGTCTCGACTCACTAGACCGGCATCAGAGGAATTGAGCATTTTCTTGAGCAATCTCGTACACGAATTTCTCTCCCAAAAAACTGAGACGGAGCCATCAAATGATTCCGTGTTTTCCCCGGCACCGAATAAGACAGCTCTAGTTTCAAGGACTCTTTTAGGCCCAGGGACAATGGCGCTTGCCATTTTATTCGGGCTTACTGCAGTCTTGCTAGGATGTTGGTACTTTTAGGTCTCCTCACATATATATCGCACACTCACCGTGTCTTCTTTGTTGATATGATCAAAAGCCACCAAGGTTGCTTTCGCATACTGGCACTGTACATTGAGCTACCCCCTTTTGTTATCCTAGCAAATTTATTTTCCCTGGAGTTCCTACTGTCTTGAGGATGTTAGTATCTTCAGCATTCTAGCTGCTGTCCTTACGTTGCCTACCTACATAGTAACGAAACATGATGTCGTATATTATATTGGGTATCTGCCGCAATAGTGGAGGGGCTAGGCTATAAATTTTTCAATAACAGCGGCATCCGTAGTAATTGGCCCCAAGAGTCTCGTTTTGATCTCGTGAGGCTCACTGGCAAGGTTAGCAATCCTTCGATGCATAAAAGACAGCAATGCAAACTTGCCGTAGAGGCAACGCGACGGGATAGGAGTGTCTGGAACCTCCGTTAAGCGAGGCCGGAAAGATGGCCCGGCCTGTCGGGACAGTCGTCTAGTATTACCGTCGACGCGTCACCCACAGCGGGGCGGCGTGGTGAACCCGACGGACGGGCCCTGCTCTTCATGCGTAGCCCTAGGTCCGTATACGGGGCAGAACAGATGCAACCACCGGCGACTCTGCGACATAGAAGCCTGCTAAACGTCAGTGAAACCTTGATCATTTTCACTTGAAAAGCACTCCTCGTAGCTCATTTACACTGAATTCAAGGATTCTGCATAGTACTAGCTAACCCGCGGAGAATAGAGATCCGCGGTTCCGATCAACAGCTCATTGCCATGGCACAGCAAGCATTCTGTCAGGGGCGGCGAATCACTAGCCCAAGTGTCAACCGGCCCAACCAGTCTCACAGCTGCGCGCAAAACGTGGTTCACCCAGTCCCATGGCAATGCATGAGTCAAGTCTGATTTTGGTTGATAGCGCGCTGTGGGAGCTTCGCCCGTCTGCGAAGCTAGCAAATCAGGGACACCAATCTCGGGGATAACCCCGGAGAGACAGAGCACTGGAATACTCTCAGAGGAGAAGGTCACGGGATCTTTCGTCAGATCAAGATATGCTGTCCAAACATAGCCGTCAATGGGAGGAAAAATGAACGCGTAGTTGCTTTTGGGGGTGTAGGTCCCGTCTTCGCCAGAAACAAGCCAAGTAAGTCGATCCTCTAGTGGAAATGCTTGGATAGTCGGAATTTTGACAACGGAGCTCGCGCTTAGGGTGTATCGACCTAAATAGTATTGAGGAGGTGAGAAATGTGCTGACTTGGTTGAAGAAGTGGAGCATTGTGTTCATGTCCATTTGGTAAACTGTATGAATTAGACCACTAGCGCGAACATGAGGAAAGATGTTGATTACCTGAGATCCCTGATTTCCTGCAAAATCAGAGTCAATTTTATTCCTACGTCAAGCATGAATCTCCGAGGCCGGACTCGAAACAAAAAGCGGACAGCAGCTGGAAACCCGCGGAGATACCAAGTGCGAGGGACAAGTGGCCTACGATGGTGATGGAAGTCAACTGGACGGAGCCACGGCGGCATTTAGAGGATGATATGCTCTTTTGGCTGGAGGAGTCGAATGGCGATGTTAACGTCGCGCTGACCCTGATAATGATAATGATACCCTATTAACCTGATATAGCCTCACTACTATTGTATAGCTATATAGGCGCTTCTTCTAGCGGAAACACTGGCCCACGCGCATGAAATAGTAGATCTATAAGAAAATAGCATTTTGCCATGTTAAATGCCCCAAAGCCTTTATAAAATAGTAACCAAACATTTATTGATAGATCCTATAGCCCTTAGATCTCTTTTATGTCTCCTTAGATCTCTTTTAGATCTCCCTCAGCTCTCTCTTAGATCTCCCTCAGATCTCCCTTAGTCAGCCACCTATCTTTGCTGTCTCTCCTGTTTCTCCCCTACTAATTACTGGCAATATAATCCTTCTACTTCGTTCTCGCTGATCGAGGTTTGGGGTTAGATCGTCTGCCTATGGATCATAACTTGGGGATGTATTCCTCCGCGACCTCTTGGTAGGCTGTGGTTTTGTCGTTCCTTATACGCATTGTTTCCACCACCTATATCCTTGCCAGTTTCGTCGCGCTGGCCCTCACCGTCCATCCTCGAGGCAAAATCACGATCGACAGATGGGCCTTACATTAACTAGGGCGATCAAAAGGCCCTATTCCGCACCCTACCAAAAGGATCGAGATTGGGCTCAGTTCTCTCTCTAACTACAAAATACGCCAAAATCATCATGTCCATGTTCGTCGCCGCTAATCTGGGCTTCTCTGAGTGTTGTGAGCCTCCTGGAAGGGACCGTCGGTTCCACCCAGAGTTGGGTATTGGCATCCTGTTTTCTTCAAGTACTCCGGGAACCCATTGAACGAAGGTCGGGCCGCATCACAACGTCCAGTGGAGAAAAGATATTCTTCGTCGATTGTCACAACAATGGCTACTCGAATGAGCTGAAGGGGTATATTGAGAAATTCGATTCTCTCGAAAGAAAACCCACCCACACTTCCTACCAAAGGTTTCTCTTTAGCTGGCTTTCGCTGTAAACATGTTTTCCGCAGAGAGCAACCTCCAATAATTGTGATGAAAAGCACCTCAAAACTACTCTTAGTCATTCACATGGACGCTTTCCCTTGGTAAGACGCACATGTAGAGTGTATGTATCTCAAACAGGATGATTTTCTCCAGGCTCATGCCCGCCTACTACTAGCGGTAGCGAAGAAAATCACCACACAAACAACCGAAGCAAGCCCCCAAATCCCCACTATATCAAATACAGCAAGAAGGCGCGCCCAGATTCCTTGAGTACCAAGCCACATCTAGCTACAGGCCTATATGGACAAGTTCGGCCACCTAACACACCAGGGAAAGAAGGGCTTCAGCAAATGTGACTAGGCCAACAATAGCTGTAAGCGTGAGATCTTATAGATATGAACCAAGACACACCCCTGGATGTGGACGATTCTAAAGTCCAACGAACGAGGGCCGGACATAGTGAATGCGAGAAGAGGTCATTTTGTCGTCGTTCCGACTGCTTTTCCAGCTACCGTTGCCACCATACGCCTTGTGGGTGTGGGAATTGCTTGTTCAGGGTCCATTGGGAGGAGGGAAAGCTTCGTGCCCGACTAAGTTTACTCACCTCTGAAGCTGGAAACCTTCTTGCAAAAAGGAGGCTAATGAGGGATTAGTGTACAACCAGAAAGGGCAGTCCTAGAGCACTTGCTCCCTTGAAAAGAGAGCGCGCCGATATAAATATCTGCATTTGACGAGACATGGAAAGTCTGCTTGTATAGTCGACCAACACCTACGGATCTGAAGCCCGGCCACCTTTAACCAGCACAGGATGGCCATTGCTGTGCTATTCTTTCTACAGCCTAGTGGACGGCATGCAGATAAGGTCTGTATTTCTACCATTCTAATTTGGTTTCGTTGACTTGTAGAATTTTTCGGCCATACATTGCTTTCTAAAATAAAAGTGAAAGCCAACGCACATTCAGTTCCCATTAGCAAACTACCTGTTGCCTGAATCGTATTGTACATGGCATTGAGCCCCCTAGCAAAGCGCCGGATCCAAGAATGAAGGCTGGGAATCAGCAGCCAAAGGAAAACGAAGAAATAGAGATATGTACAGAAAGGGCTAAAGAAATACATCAATAGCTTCACCATAATGACAAATGAAGAAACCCGGAGCAAGCGCTAAATGAGCAACCCAGGCCAGTCAAGCCATCCCGAGAAAATAAGAAAACGGAAAGGAAGAATCGATGCCTGGCAAGAGGCAAGAGGCGTGTAGAGATCAAGTATCAATCCAAGGAAGTGTAAACAAAGATTAGCATACAGGTGAGTAAGTTGCGCTTTCCTCACAGCAAGCAAGACTAGATATCTGGGTCTCGTATCTACAACTGTTCTAATTGTATTGGGTGGGTTGGGCGTAGGTAGGTATCCGAAAGACGGTGTGAGAAGCATGCGTTGCTTCCAGAGAGAAGGTGAGGGTCGGTAAGTGAGGTAAGGCATTTATGATTCTGTGTCTCATGCTCATTCCAAGGTGTGGTGTTTGGACTGAATTGCTTTTCAAAAAGGAGGGCAAAAAAACCGTCGCACGGTATGGCGTGGTGAGTCGGTTCAATCCGCAACGAATTTGTGGTTGTACTCGCCAAGTAGAACGTCGTCGGGACCGGCACCGTGGGTGTTCCGGACTGTTGCACGAAACAAGCGGGTCAGCTAATGGGATGCAGAAACCAGGGCCGTGGTGCTCGGGACAGTTTTGGCGGGCACGAGGGTGGATGCAGGGAGGGACAAGTGGAACTTACTCCATTCGGCCTCGACGCGGAAGAACACCCACATCCAGCGGCGCGCTACCTCGAGGAACATGAGCAAGAACAGGCCACATTCGGTTTCAGACAGCCATGCGAGTCCCGGGAACACGCGCCACAGCCATGAGAAACGGAGAGCAAGGTCCGCCACGATGACGTAGTGGTACAACCGATCGGAAGAAAAGTAGCGGTGCCGTCGTAAACCGTACGGATGGTCTCGGTGCCGGCGTTCGGAGGAGAAAAGCGTCAGGTCCCAATCCTTCACCACGTCCCACCAGAACGAGTAGCCAGAATTGATACATGAGAAGATGAACCTAGGAAAGTCTTATTAGCAGAGGGTATATAAATGCCAGGGAGGGGCGGGATGGGATGGCTTACAGAAGACGCATAATAGTCATCTCGCTGAATCCATGAAGGTCCAGTGGACTATAGTTGCGGAGCTTGGCGGCCAGGAAGATCACCGGGAACGCAGTGGCATACTTCAAAGCGTTGGCCAAGTGTTGGTTTTCCCGGCTCACATCCCGTCGTGAGCTTGTCCGGCGTGCCCGCGCATACTCCGTCAAGCACTGGCGAAGGCGGATCGCGCTCGGAACGGCAATGATAATCGGAACAACAAAATCCTTGCCGCAGGCGCGGTTGGGCTTTGAAGTGGCCGACAGACCGTCGGTGAAGAACATGCAGAAAGTGATGTAGAGGTCGCCCAGAACCCGAGCATAGCTCGTCAGTGCATCTGCCAGCAGAACATCGCCAAACTTCCCTTCCTGAGACTCCGCGAGACCTCCGATGGCGACCCGCTTCAGGGACAGAAGCAGGCGGATGCGGCCTGCCCGGGAGGCCCGGTTCAATGGCCAGATCAGAATCAGGAGGAGAATGATGAAGACCGACTGCGGGATCCAATCGAAGCGGCCGACCAGCTCAAACTTGCAGTGTGTGACGATCCAGAAAACCAGCAACCAGAGGGTCAGCGGGATTGTGAAAAAGGTGGCTAGTCGGTAGGCAGAGGCATGGTGTGTCCGTTGAGCGGGGGAGGAGCGGGAAGGGTATCGGATAAGTGCAGGGACGTCCTGAAGAGAAGAGCCGGTCAGTCTGTGAACGTGATATGGCGGAGCTGGCCCGCGGGGTTCCGCCTCGTACAATGTTGGCCTTTGCCAGGAAGTGTAGGTTGATCGCCCATGCCCAAAAACCTGTAGATCGATCAGCCACTGCTATCCACCGTCCACGGTGCACTGTCCCGTGGTGCTGTATAGAGAGGAAAGTACCCACGTACCTGCAACTAAGAGGGTAGCTACCCGGATAGGGAACGGGAAGGTTAGCCCAAAGCCATCTATTTGCGGCTGTTGATCCGGCCCCATTATTCCATGGATTGATCAAGGCGAGGGCGGAGGGGGAGGAGAGGGGAGAAGGGCGGAATGGAGGGGGGGGGAGGACGCGAAGCTGGACGAAGGAAAACCCCGTGGGGGGGGAAAGAGAAGGAAAAAAGAATGACTAGGGGTGAGGTCCTGGATTTTCGGGCTGGAGATGGAGGGCAAGATGGAGTATGTCGTTGGCTGCCCCCGTTTGACCGGCCGCTTTCAGGGCCCTGTTAATAAGCAGCCAGCAAATCCTAAGTCTACGACTCTCAGGAGTTACGCGCCCACAATTTGACCTGCCTGCACGTCGTGTGGACTCGGTGGAGTAGGTGGACTCCCAGGGGTGTCGAGTTCTTCAGTGGTCTTCCGAGGCCTGGAACTCCACCCACGGGGACCTCTTGAATTACAAGGGCGCAGAACCGAAGCCCCCGGATGTTCTCGTAGATGCTGGGCTCTCATAGGCTTAGAGGGCGACAAGGAGTTTATAATTAGCAAAGCTAGCATGATTCAATGCGCCTGAACCTATGAGGGACCCGAAGATCCCCTCCGCGATCGTCAGTCAGGGGCTTTGCGCTGTTCAATTCTACCACGGAGTACTCGGCTGGTGGAATCCACTTGTGGCATCATGGTGATCCCTGCATCCACTCACTTACGCAGCTCCCATGGGGCACCGGTACCCTCCATTGAACCTTCGTCCACCTTGCCTCGCTCTCTACAGGCACCCAGGACCAAGCCACCCTAATGATCGGAGCCGTTGTAGCCGATATTTGTGGCGCGGAAGAGGTCTTGTTCAGTTTCCGGCGCCATCACTACAAGTATGAAATTCTGTGATCGCGCGTGATTATATAATCACCGGATTCGCTACTCAGTCATGTGATCCTTTCTCCGGTGATGGTCACGTCACCTGACCTGAGCCGAGGCAGTCCGGGGAACCGACCGATGCAGTCGCTCGCCGTGGGGAAGCCGTCTTGGGCCCATCCACCACGGGGAAACATGCCCCCACGGCCCTCATAGAATACTCGGTCTCGGCCTCAATTCACTTACCTCCTTCACTCACACCACATTCATCATGGCCGATGACGACCCGCATCTGTCGCTGCCCACCCCCGACGCAGCTCAGAGCTCGTCCGCCTCCTACTTCTACCCCTTCGCGACATCCCCAGACATCATCCGCTCGCACGAGAAAGATGTCTTCCTCACCAGCGGGCTAGTCCAACAAGCCCAAACCATCATCCGCTCCCTCCGCGGCGCCCGCTACGCCCACACCCACTCCGACGCCATCAAGCACTTCACCGAGCTGCTCTACTTCTCCCTAACCACCGCCATCGGCAACCGCACCCTTGGCGAGGAATACTGCGACCTCGTCCAGCTGGAAGACGACACCCTCCGCCTACCTGCCATCGGCCGGCGCGTCGGGTACATCCTCAGCAGCATCCTAGTGCCGTGGTCGCTGCAGCGGCGGCTTCCCCGCGCTGCGCCAGCGCGTGCGCAGCAAGCTTGAGCGCAGCATCGCCAAGCAGCAGCTCCACGCCGTGCAGCAGGCTGGCCTGCTCACCAAGACCCCGTCCAGCGCAGCGAGTAAGCAGCGAAAACCGTTCTCCACCAAACTGCGCATCCAGCAGTATATCCTCGAGCACCTCGACTCGATCACCTCCCTCTCGCCCATCTATGTGCTCAGCATCGCCACATTCTATTTCACGGGCTCATATTATCACTTGTCCAAGCGTATTTGGCGCCTACGATATGTGTTCACCAAGAAGATCGAGGAGAACGAGCAGCGCATCGGATACGAGGTGCTCGGCGTGCTGATGGTGCTACAGATCGCCGTGCAAGGGTTCCTGCATGTGCGGAACATCGGAAAGAGCATGAGCGAAGATCAAGATGAGCCTGCGGAATCCGGTGAGAACCGCTCAGAAGGCGGATCGCTTATTTCCTCGATTCAGCATCCCGCTGCTGTGCCGTTGCTTCCTGCGTCTACGGCCCGGTTTGATCTTGAGAGAGATCCTGGGGCGGTGGCATGGATTCCCGACGGCCAGCAGCGCAAGTGTACTTTGTGCTTGGAGGCTTTCAAGGACCCCAGTGTGACGACTTGTGGACATGTGTTCTGCTGGGTTTGTGTGAGGGATTGGGTGAGGGAGAAGCCGGAATGTCCGCTGTGTCGGCAGGAGGTGCTGCTGTCCAAGGTACTTCCTCTGAGAGGGTAAGATCAGAGTGGTTTGGTTTTTGGAAATTACTCGACTCTGCATACTGCATTGTATATACTTGACTTGGATGAAAATATACCCCCCACTTTTTCTTGTGACAATAGGTACCGCGTGCTCTAAGTTGCAAAATTCGTGATATATATATTTGGTCGCCTCCCCTATTTCCACAGCGCATCCATCTACAAATCGTAAAATTGCCACCAGAACCAATATCCGCACTTTAGATTATGAATGCAACTACCTAATAGTTTAAGGAGATATGAAGTTGAAAAATGTTTTCCTTGAAATCAAATAAAAATGCTGACATGGATATCGAATTAAAAAAAGGTCCGGGCTCTACCAATTAACGCGCAAGATGCAATACCACCAAAAACAACAGATCATGCTGTGAATAGGCACGCTCTCTATGTATAGTTGGCTGTAAATGCTATGCAAAAACCACAGAGAGAAAGAGAGGGGGGGTAGATTATGCTAAGAACGATCAACCACATCGCCGTCAACTATTCCAGTGACAACTTCCTGGTCCTCAATAATCACCGTCTCGTCAGCGGGGCAGATAATAGGCAAGTTGAGTTCCGCGTACGCCGGGCGAGGCGGGACAGGGCTCATGGCCTGCCTCTTTTGCTCCATGACATTGTACAGACAAATACAAGCATAAGGATCGGTGGCGGCATCTGTAGATAGCTATCATCAGTTTCATGACTCTGCAGACAACTTGGTAGGTCTTCCCATGACTCAGACTCACATTGGACCTGGCGGTAATTCAACGAACGCGTCCAATCGCCACACCGCACATCCTCGCTCTTCTCAAGCGGCAACCCAAAATGCTCCTCGATCTGCTCGCTCAGGTTCACGCCCCTCTTATTGACAAGTCTAGGCTGCCTCTGCCCATATTTAATCAATTTGTACAGATGGCTCAGCTCAAAGATAGACCGGGCGTCGATGCCAAGATACTTGCGCAACCTGGTCGAGTCCGCTTTGATGGAGACGCCCACCTTGGTGATATCAGGCGATTCGATGATCTGCTTCAGCGACGGCGCGACTAAGTCCTCCAGCGAGCGCGCGGGCTTAAACAAGGCGATCTGGAAGAGTGCGATACGCTCTTCGTTCGCGATTTGGATTAGCGACAGATTATTTTGGATGCTGTCCGTGGCAAAGGCCTGCGCTTTCCACTCCATGTCGAAGCCAATGACCTTGCTCCCGAGAAAGTGCTTTGCGACGGCCTCGGTGCTCTCCAGGGATTTACAGTAGTGCACAATGAGCCTCTGGCCGCTGGGACCTCGCTGGTCATTGTGGCTCCAGAACAGTGGGGCCTCCTCATTCGAGGTAGGCTCAATCTCATGGTGGGATGCGCCTTCTGCAGAGAGTGGGAACTTCCCGGTTTGATCTGCTCCTGGCCGGACAGAAAGGCACGGCGACTCTTGAGGCAAAGCAATACGATTGGAGTCCTGGATGTCGTTGTGGGACACAGTGGAATCGGTACTGTACGGTCTTCCCTTTGGCTTTGGGAAAGGCCCATGGGACTTGGGAATGGGATTGGGTTCCCAGAAGTTGCGCTTGTTGTTCTTGAGCGGGGTTTCCGCTGAAAAAGGAGTTTTCTTCGCAGAAACATCATGCATGGGGGTTTCCGACTCGCGAGACTGCCACTTTGCCCCGAAGGAACTCGATTGCCAACTTGATGATCGACTAGGTCTTGGAGATGACGATGGGATTGTGGTGCTCTTCGCTGTCTTGGGCTTGTCAGAAGTCTCGTCAGGCCGCGGTTTAGACTGCATAGACATCGCCTGGAGAAACCGTGTCTTCACATCCACTGGTGCTGGCGGAGCTGGAGTGTCCTTTGCCTTGCCTAAATAATCCCAAGCGGCAGTGGGCCCGAGCCTGCTTCGAGCCAGCCTTCGCTTCCAGCTGAGAGTTCGAGTATATGGGCCATTTGCGGTCACTGAAGCTTGACGCTTTCCCGCCTCCTTCATAGGCACCTTTTGGGGTTTGGAGGGGAGTCCTGTTGAAGGCTCCTGGGAAAGGCTACTGGTAGGGTCCGTAGGCGGTTTTGTAGAAGAATTCATGGTAGTGGTCGAGTGTACGGCCTGGCCGTATTTCGTTTCCTTGAGCTTCGCTTTCGTGAGACGCGAAGATCTTCCTTTCCGGCGTTTGGCCCTCCTCGGACTGGCTTCCACCCAACCTAGATCCTGAACCTGAGATTTTCTTTGTGCATCCAGTTCAAGAAATCTCTTCGTCAAATCCAGCCAGGTCTTCGGGCCCCCGGTCTCTTTCAAAATTCGAATGGTTGTATTTGTTGTCCAAATTCGGTAATTGAGAAAACTCATCATATGAATCCATCGGCGAAAGCGTGCATGATCCTGACTGAGTGGCCTGGAGGGAACGAACAATCCTCTTGCTTGAATCTCATTCGGCATACCCAGCTTGGACAGTTTCTCTTCCACTTCGAGTCGAACCCAGTTGATGTATCTGTAGGACACCAACTCCGACAAAAACTCCTTTTGCTGATTTCGATACGTCCTTGACCAGTCCATGAGCCGGTCTATATGCATTTCACGGGAGTGTGCATCAAGATGGTCCCACATAGGCCCGAAATTGCCCACAAGCGTTGGGACCAGGTACCAGATTTCCTTTTGCATTCGCGCGAGGTGAAGCCGGTAAAGTTCAAACGGGGCCATGACATCGAGCTGCCGCCAATACTTGTCTAATTCCGTGGACCAGCTCGGCTTTTGCCCTCTCCATTTCTTCAAGTATGGCCACCGGAGACGATCGGCGATCAAAACGTAACGTTTTTCCATGATGGCCTTGTTTACTCGATCACGTTTGTCATTGAACATGATAGTAGATATGACTTTAGACGGTATATTCGTATCCCAGGGCATTTTGAAATCGTCGGAAATGTCTGTAATATCAAGCAATGTTGCTTTGTGGAGCGGGTTTTCAAATTTCTTGCGCGCGCGCCATCTCCAACGGTAGTGGTGCGCCGCGAGAGTGAATTGCTCTGCAAGGGACCCATTGGCTTCAATGAAATCCTTGAAACGAGGCTCTTTCTTTAATAAAGGAAACATGAGCGTCTTGATCGTGTCAAGTCCAGCTTTCACCGCGGCACTTTGGGCCTGTAATTTTGTGTACTGTTGATTGACCACATCTCCGTAGTCGAGTAGACGGTCGATATTGGCCCTAGCAGAATCCCGAGCTTCCAGGTGCTCCTGATTGAGTTCACGATGAAGCTGGTCAATGGACCCCTGGGAATATTCTAGTAGCTGGGCACAAACCGCGTATTGCATTTTCGCAATTCTCCGAGCTGACAGTGAAAGTTCCTTGTTCAGATATCCAATGGAATGGAATGCAACTTTGCAGTACTCGTCCTCCAGATAACGACCGTTCCTGTGTATTTGTGCGAACCGATCCTCCAACTGCCTAACATTTGCTGACATGAGACCGTGGTACTGGTCCCTGAATCCTCTGATGATATTGGCGCATCGCGTAAGATGATCCTCAACATGAGCGTACTTTAGCTCTAGAAATTCATCACCCAGCTTGTCGACCTCATCCAATACCTGGACCTTTCTGGCAATCTGGCGGAGCGTTTTCCGGTCGAGGGGCTTGTGTGATCTCTCTTTCGCTCTGGTTACCCGAGCTCGGATCAAGTCATTCATATCTCGATGGGAGGCGGACTCGGGTGTAGCGGGCACTTTCGCCCCCTCTTCATCGTCCACCAGTATGATCTGCGAACACGGAGTACCAGAGAAAGATCGCCTGGTTTTCCATTCGGCTATTTGCGGAAGGTGAACATGGCGGTATTGATTCTGGGTAGCTGTCGAGCGAACAAGCGAGCGGGAACCGGGAGAACTGGCGTAACTTTGGCTTGTCAACAATCGGGCATTGAGGCCAGATGGTGCAAGAAATGTGTACTTACACTAGACACGAGAACCTTCGAACGCTGCTTTTATCAACGTGATACCAGAGCAGCTCGCCATGAGCACTGGAGACCAAGGGCGGGTACCTCAGACCGGCTGGAAGGTTCGCCCATCTCCGCATGTTGTGTAGTACGCATAGTGCGCTGCCCACAAGATGGCCGGATTGGCATGTGGAAACACACGATGCTCCAAAATCTAATCAGTGAGCTCAATCCGCAAAACAGACAAGGCAATAGAGAACAGCAAGCTAAGTCATCAACTCGAAGGTTGGCAGATTGGACAAAGAGGCCCGCCGTCCGGGGTCGCCACGCTATACCTAATTGGGACTAGCACATCGGTCCGGAGAAAACCAGGTTCCTGAAGGCCAGAGATCGCAGCTCTGTCTTCTATATCCCGCCCTGCTCGCCCTACATCTCGATCCTGGAGTACAAATTGCGACTAGTTGATTTTCCCAGAACTTCTAGGTTCCTGACATACCAAATACTATGGCCTCCCAGCTTCTTCCCCTTGGTGTGTCCGCGAAGACCCCGCGCACCATGCGACCCCGCTAACCCTTCAATAGAGCTTATCGACAAGTGTGTCGGTTCCCGGATATGGGTTGTCATGAAGGGCGACAAGGGTAAGCTCCGTTCCTGAATACATGAAAGCTACCTGTTGTGCTAACGTGGGCTGGCAGAGTTCTCCGGAACCCTGCTCGGGTTTGACGACTATGTCAGTGAGTATCCCTTTTTTTTGCCCGGCGATCTCCGTGTTACAAGATGCTAATTGTGGCTTTAGACATGGTCCTGGAGGATGTGACTGAATTGTGAGTCTTGTCTCTATGCCCCATCTCCCTCGGAGTGGTATGATTGTCGGAGACCCCTGTGTCCGGGCCGCCACAAGCAGCTATGTTTATCACTCCGTCCTTGATATTCGCCCCATCCCCTCAGTTTTGCGTTAGACTAAACCATTTTCAGCGACTACACCGGTGCTCAGATCAAGCTACCCAAGCTTCTGCTGAATGGCAACAACGTCTGCATGGTAAGTTCCGCTATCTGCTCCGTTTCTTTCTCGTCTCTAACCCTTTCGCGCAGTTGATCCCTGGTGGAGAGGGCCCTGGTAGCGCATGAGCTGGCCCGGACTAATTGCAGTATAACGAAAGAAAAGAAACTGTTTGTGTGTTAATGATACCGGATGCAATGACATGAGAAACCGCCCAATAGAATGAATCAACCCCACTGACATTGGGGACATCATCTACCTCTTTTCTCTCCATTGGTCCCACGACTCCCGCACACCCTCTATCATACTCAATTGAAAGTGAAGATTGTGGAGGATAGAAAGAAGCGCACTGAATTTTAAGAAGTGCGTTCATTGGTTCAATTCTGTCTGGAGAGACGGTTTTCGCCCAGTCCGACGAGGAGACCGGGTACCCAGATCAAGTCGCCAAGTGCGCCCTTTAGCCCTCAACCAGCCTGCCCTCTCTAGCCAACCTCGTCGGCAGAAAGGTGTCCGACGTCCTAGAGTTCGCCAATGCTTCTAGACTGAACTTCCAACCTGCAGGCACATAGCTCCTTCCAATCAATGCCTATCCCCAAGCTACGCCCGGTACGCGCTAGCTTTATCGCAAATGCAAAGCAGGCGCCACCTCACAAGGTGAGCCGCGCACTGCCAGCCCGCGTAATCCCGGCTACAGTCGGTCATTTACAATCTATGACCGGGTGTTTCGCGGTGTTGCAGGCTAGAGCGTAGAGTTCTCACAAATGATCCAACGAGATAGACAGAGTGGGTACGAAGCCAAGCACCAAGTTGGGGAGAGGGACTACCGTGGATTTTGGCGTAGATTATTTTCCCGGCCCACGGTGCTGATTCCCAGAGAATGTGAGTCTAGGTCTGGCCCTAGATCCTGGAGGCTGTACTCCGTCCGCAACGTCTGAAAGTGAGCCGCTCCCCATGCGCCTATCCGGTATGAAGTCATGCCGGATCACGTATGCAGATGTGCTCCAGCGCAAGGGCCGCGATCGTCTCGGTGCTTGGCAACATGACCGATGGGCTCGGAAAATTGAACTTTGCGAGATTTGTGTCTGGAGATGTACATAAAGATCGGCTGTGGAAATCCAGTCTCCTCAACCTTCGGGCTGCGTTTCTGCGGCAGAACTCGGGGTAGACTTTCCGTCAATCGCGCTTTCAGACCCTATCCCGTTGGAAGCAGACTGCGTCGGGGAATTGAATGGCCCGTCAGTCGTGCGGGCATCCACCATATCCCCGAAGCCACGACCACCCAGGCAAATGCACATGAACCAATGATCAAGCCGCGGTTAGATGGTAGGTCTGCGTCATGATTCAATATAATTTGCTACATAGCCCGCGTCGCGGTGCTAGCTCTTACCCCGGACTGACCCCCGTGGTGCGTTGTGGAACCTGTTACCTAACAGCTTCGCATTCCCCCGCATTGAACATGGGGAACCCAAATCACCTGGTCAGCTGGTGGGACAACTCTAAAGCAACCGAGCTAGGAAGCTTCGACGGGGGTGCCGGCTGGGATGTCGCCTGGAGAGGGGCCCAGACAGACTGCCTTGCGTGATTCGGTGGTTTGTGTGTTAGGGAGAGGTCGGGGTTGAAAGAGCGCTTGTGGTTGCGGTCGGCCTGCGTGGCCTGGAGGCTGTCACGGGAAAGAGGGAATATCGGCACTAACACCGAGTACACCTAGGCTACTGTATACGACTAGACTATGGAGTACTTTTAGCTAGCAGTCAAGAATAATGAATACGGACAGAACGAAAGTGTCCATGCGGAAGACTATACATCTTGTAAAGTAGGACCGTTCCAAATCGTCTCACCTCCTGACAGCGTGCATCCAGGGGCCTCTGAAACTTACGGCCATGTGCTGCCATGCTACGATTTTTCCACCCTGCTGCAAATCCGGCCACGAGCCGAAACCCCGCCAAGCTTCATGCAGCACCGGCGTTCCCATTCAGAAAGGCGATGCGCAGGCTCGGAATCACGAACACGCCAACCCTAGCCCGATGCTACCGTGGCTATCGGGGGAGCCGAGCACAGCCATTCACAAGCCGTGCTGAACGCCATCAGCATCCGTGACGGCCGTAGTGACCGGGATCAAAGCCAAGCCTTGCGGTCTGGAGCAGCGAGAGAATCCTCATGTGCACTCTTCGGGGGCTGGTAGTGCGTGGTTCTTGTGCAGCATATTCCTTCGGGGAATAGGTCTTGGATTGCGGCTTCTAGAAGGTCCAACGCCGGATTGAAGGATTCTCAAAGGATTTGGGCTTCCATCCTGCAGACTGTTAAAAAAGTCTGGAATCCACTCATGGCCAGCACCGGCGACGGTCGGCCCGTTGAATAGCGCCAGAGCCTCTCCCGCAAGCGTTCGAGAAAGTTTGGAAAAATCGTACGATCGGGGCCCTGCTGTTTTGGGATCTCGGCGCCAGGCCTCCCATCACAATATTACCAATCTATCTTACGCACCAAGGCTGGGCATAAACCCAGGCGGGAGAGGCCCTTGGCGGCGAGATGCGAGGGGCTGGTCCCCGGCCTGCCACCACCAACAGCGTCAATGGGTCCAATGGGTCAACCCGCCCTCGTCCCATGGTGGATGGCCAGGAGAGGCCGACGAAATGAACTATCCATTACGGGTTGCGTCTTCGAGTAGGGCCCCTTGCCCAACCGCGCAATCGAACGATCACGGACTCTGCACGCCGCACTGCGTCATGCATTTGCCTTTGCTCCTCGCATGGAGGACGAGTGCCATGCCGCCTCCCCCTGGTCGAGCAGTGGAGTTTCTCCCGTGCTTCCATGCATATCGTGGCAGACCGCCACGAGCCACACGAGCGCCCAGGCAAATCAGGGTCAGCAGCCGGGGCCAAAGAGGGGGTTTTCATGGTTCCATTAGCGTAGAATTGCCTCGGGCTGAGAAAGCCTTGTCCAGTCTGCGCGCAGCTGAGCACGGCGAACCAGGGCGAGGGAACCACCTGGAAGCCTAAGCCCAGGCCCAAGCCCAAGTCCAAGCCCAAGCCATCCCTCCGTTCCCATCATCGCGTTGTGCACAGGACCAGGACTCGTGTGTCTTGAGCCTGCCTGAGTGGGTCTCCGTCTAGTCGGGTGCCCCAGGTTCGCCGCAAAGCCATCCCGGGTGCTCCCAGGGTAATATGGTCGAAGTTGGCCGTAGGCCACAGACCCCGTCGGGAAGCCTTCCCATAGGCAAGGGGCACCCGGAGGGCTGAGGTGGCGTCCCGTCCCTCAAAGGCCCGGCAAGCCACGAATCCGTGTCTTGCAGGTGCAAGCCCTGGTCGGGAGGCGTTCTGGGGTTTGGGGTAGGGGTTGAATAGTATCGGTGGCGGCAGGCGTTCAGCAGATCGCCATCTCCTACAAACGGATCGGGGGGATTCCAGTGTCAGAAGGGTTTCGGCCCCCTTTCGCGGATGGCTTCCTATCGTGAGCGAAGCTCTTGGGGGATGCTGATTGGGCCACGGCTATCGCGTGGAAATGCGGAGAGCGGACGGATGGGGGTTAGTGGGGCTCGATCCTGCCGTGGTTGTCGGCTTGTTGAATGGCTAGTGGTTGGTGGTGGGCGTGGCCCAGAAGCTTGGCTCTCCCTCCTTTTTGTCCGGCGTAGAGTCACACCATACCAGACAACGCCAGTTTGTGCCACGGAACGGAGGATAAGCAAAACAGGAACAAGAAACACGCAACAAGCAACAAGCACGAAGCGAGCGACGACAAAAGAGTCCGCAGAGGAGGGAGCCAGGAAGCCGAGTGGGGTGGAGCGGAGGATGTGATCGTCCCCATTCTGACAGGCTAAATCCCGCAAGTGATCACTTGCGTGGCTTTGCGCGTGAAAAGGGTCCCCACCGAGCCCGTGAAACACGTTAGCAAGTCCAGCTCCGTGTACTCCGTAGGACGGAGGACCATGGGGAGTGGAAGCTGCCTGGGGAAGAATGTTTTAGTCAGCGCTTCCTCATCAGCTTATCTCCCAAGGGGGCCCATAAGTTCTCATTAGCATTATCATTACGGAGTTAGCATTATCATAATCGTTATCGATGACGACCTACATATGGCATGCGGGACTAGCCAAGATACTACATACTCCGCAGGATCTGGAAGGAGAACGCATGTACTTGGCAGTCGGACCGTTTGCGGCCAAGTCGGCCAACCCCGAGGTTGCAAAGGCTGAGAACGTACGGACTTGGTCCTCGGTACCTCTGGCGCTGCAAGACAAAGGCAAAAACATAAAAGAGGCGCTAATTTGCCTCCCCCTCTGCTGCGGTAGCAGCTCTCGGGGCAACATGCTACTCCAGCCTGCCAAGGTGATCGGGCGCTGGGGAACTAACAGAACTAAGTTAGAGCCAACCAGGAACCTACCTACCCCTCCACTAACCTGCCGGCCTAACCAAATCTGCCATTGTGAAAGAATCCAAAGAGATAAATGTAATTAAATAAAATAATGAAATTCTCGCAGCCAAAGTACACTAAACCGCCTGCATCCTCCACGGCGACCCGAACTGCTAGCGGTCTAAGCGCACCTTGCCCAGGCCGTATCAGCGGTCTCTTTAATTGGTTACTGGCGCCATTTTACCTTGGCCATGAAGCCAGGATAGACCGCGATTAGTCCTCTTCCGACCGCTTGGCCCTGAAGAGATGATGAATATGACAATCACCTAATGGTTATTCACGGCTGTCTGCTTCTGGTCCATATTTAAACAATCCGCCTACCCCCAATTGCCCTACCCTCTTCTATTCTAGTCCCGCTAGACTCGGCCGTTTCCTTTTTCCCTCCCTTTTGTCTCGAGTAGAGTCCCCGGTGGAACTCATCTCTGCTCCACTTGAGCTGGAAGTTTCCTGTGCTGTGAAACGTCTTGATTCTCCTCTACTTTCTCTCACTCCCTGTCTCCACCCCCTCACACTTCCTCTCCTCCATCCGCCCTCCACCTGCTCCCACGCCACGATCCTACTGAACCTACGACACCGTGAAAGAAGACCTGGTCGCAATCATGGATGAGAAGAAATACGGGTCTGAGCCCAAGCTGGCTCAGGCGACGGGCGAGCAGCTGCCGGCCTACGGCGTCTCAGAGCCCACCAAGGGCAGTCTGGGCCAACGGATCATAGATAGCTTCAAGCGGGATCCAAATGCGCATGTCACCGCTGGCCGTACAGCAGGCGCTGACGGTTCTGGATTTGATGCCGAGCAGGCTGCACATAACACCGCGCACTCGCCGCTCCAGCGCCGCCTGAAGGGTCGTCACCTGCAGATGATCGCCATTGGCGGTTCGATCGGTACGGAAACCTCACCTGAGATCTCAAGCTCGAATATGAAACGTCTCTCGCGTAGGCTATAGCTTGCTAATGCACGCGCTCTCTAGGTACTGGTCTGTTCGTGGGATCTGGCAGTGTCCTTGCTACCGGTGGCCCGGCCTCCGTCATTATTGCCTACGTCCTTATTGGTATCATGCTGTACTGCACCGTCCACGCGCTGGGCGAGATGGCTGTTTTGTTCCCCGTCGCTGGTTCTTTCTCGCATTACTCAACCCGTTTCGTGGATCCGGCTTGGGGTTTTGCTATGGGTTGGAATTATGCTCTGCAGTGGCTCATTGTCTTGCCTTTGGAAATCGTCGCCGCATCCATCACGATAGACTATTGGAGTCCGGGTATTTCGAACGCAGCCTGGGTAGCCATATTCTGGGTGCTGATCGTCTCCATCAACATGTTTGGTGTCCGAGGCTACGGTGAGGCCGAATTCGTGTTCTCAGCCATCAAGGTTGTTGCCGTCATTGGATTCATGTATGCTCCATTCCCTTTGCCATTGGCTGTGTGATTGTGATCACCGGCTTCGTTCGTCTCGGGGACCCATTGCTAACTTGTGACTAGTATTCTCGGTATTGTCCTTAACTGCGGTGGTGGTCCTAATGGAGGCTATATCGGCGGCAAGTACTGGCACGATCCTGGTGCCTTCCACAATGGTTTCAAGGGTCTCTGCAGTGTGTTCGTCAATGCTGCCTTCGCCTTCGCTGGTACCGAGCTGGTTGGTCTGGCAGCTGCTGAAACTGCCAACCCCCGCAAGTCGCTTCCCACTGCAATCAAGCAGGTCTTCTGGCGTATTGCTCTCTTCTACGTCGTCTGCCTCACGCTGGTTGGACTCCTTGTCCCCTACAACACCGAGCGCCTTGTAAACGGAAGCTCGTCGGCCGACGCCCACGCCTCTCCTTTCGTCATCGCCATCGAAAACGCCGGTATCACGGGCCTTCCCTCCGTCATGAACGTCGTTATCATGATTGCTGTGCTGTCCGTCGGTAACTCCTCCGTCTACGGTTCCTCTCGCACCCTGGCTGCCCTCGCCGAGCAGGGCCAGGCCCCCCGATTCCTGGCCTACATCGATCGTAAGGGTCGCCCTCTCTGGTCGATCTGCGTCGCCTCCGCCCTCGGCCTTCTCTGCTTCCTGGCTGCCTCGGATAAGCAGACTACCGCCTTCAGCTGGATGATGGCTATCTCCGGTCTGTCATCTATCTTCACCTGGGGATCCGTCTGCTTTGCGCACATCCGTTTCCGCCGTGCCTGGAAGATCCAGGGCCACAGCCTGGACGAGCTGGCCTTCCGATCCCAGCCCGGCGTCATTGGCTCGTGGATCGGGTTCATCTTCAACGGTCTGGTGCTGATCGCCCAGTTCTGGGTTGGCTTCGCTCCTGTGGGCTACGAGGAGAAGACTACCTCGGAGCTGGTGTATTCTTTCTTCTCGAGCTACCTCGCCGCTCCTGTCGTGCTTGCGTTCTATCTCCCTTACAAGTTCTACTACCGTACTAAGTTTGTCCGGTCTCATGAAGTGGACCTCGACACTGGTCGCCGGGACCTGGATATCACAGATCTGATTCTACAGGAGAGAGCGGAGCAGGCTGAGTGGCCTAAGTGGAAGAAGTTCTATAAGCTCTTCTGCTAGGAAGCTAAAGCCGAGCTTTCCGTCTTTTGCGCTGGGAATAATTCTGTGAAATTATTCCGGCGGCTATGTATACCTTTACTTTCTATCTCTTACTTCGGATGTCTTAATGACTCTCACCTATGCTGATGATCATGAAAACCATAATCAAGAAACCTTTTGTTCTCTCTCCGCCCCGTTTTCTACCAGATTCTGTAGATCCTGCCCTGCTCGGGATTGTAAAAGACAATGTCTCACTTTGTATTGTCCTGGTATATTGTGACTCAACCCACTCCGTTTCCCACATGTATTTTAGACAAGTCTTCTTCAGTTTGATCTCTGAGGGTACGATGCATTCAAATTTGTGGCTTACTGCATATATCCTTCGACCTGGCTAGTTCGTCTGAAGAGAGAGCCGAGGTGACGGAGACAAAGAAGAAGCTTACTTGGATTGATTCTTGAGGAGTGCACTTGTTGACATCATTGTTCATGGGCTGAATTCTTGACATCAGACCCTGGAGGAATCTATTTCTCAAACAAAGAAGATATACTTCTGGAATGTGCTCTTACGTAGCCTTACGTCGCTAAAACTGTCGAATCTCCAGACTTGGCATGTTTGCACTTGGGACTCGTAACGGGATTACACAAATTACACAACCTTCGTCCCGAGGAAGGCAAGTGTTCGACCTGAGACAGCGTATCACATGTATGACTTGGACCTAGACAGCTGTATATCCAATTGTCCTGAGCCCGACGCATCGAACATCCTCTTAAACGGTTTATTTTTGCTTCATTTTTAGCTCAGGGCGGCGTAATCTTATTCTCCAACCGGCTCAACGGCTCCCAAAGATTTTCACATGTGGTTAAAAATAGTAACACATAATGTGGTGGACCCAAGGTACTGGAAGGCGTAGCCGGACTGTACTCAGTTGTACTGTACCTGCCGCCCTGTAAAATTACCAAGCCACCTGACGAACGCTGCGGCGATGGAAATCCATCAACATCATTAGGCATCTCCTTCACCCACCCCTTTTCCTGCGCTCCCTCTCTATCTGCACGGCTCGGCGTGACTTTTTTCGGCATCTGCATTGCTCAATCGCCGCCCGACCGGCTTGCTTCCGCTCATTTTCTCCGTCCTTGTCTCGCCGTAGCCTGCAGCTTGGCGCTTACCTGCCGCGCACCTCTCGCATTCCCCGGGGCGCACCCTCCACACGCTCCAGGCACGCTCGCTCTGACGATCTGACCCTCCGCTTCATGCGCCACGCCACTCAGTGTTGAGATTGAGCCTCAGACCGAGTTTGTTGTCTTTACATAGCCGGCTGATTGTTCGGTGCTGGTTTTCCCCGTTCGGTCAAGGCTCAGCTCTGGACTTGACAGAGACTCATCGGTTCGGTGAGAGCTGCGCCATCTCAATCAGTTTCCCAATTTGCATCGGTTCCTGCATCGAGATTTAGCGATCGTCCACCTTTCACTTCTCGCCTGAAACCGAGCTCTAGGCCCTGGTACCTGCATTTCTCTGATTGACGCCCAATCGCTTGCCCGTCGGTTGCCGTCACAATGCCTGGTTTCTCGGATTCATTCTGGACTCCTGACTATGCCACGGGCCTCGGGGTGCTGTACGGGAAGTTGCAGCAGGGAGTCGTGGAGAACAGGCAGATCCTGACCATCGCTTCTATGCGGGCAGATGCGGAGGAGCAGTATGGATTCCGCATGGGCGATATTGCGCCGAGTGTCGACCGGATGTCTGCCGCGGGTTTCGGCAAGGATGACGGTGCGAGTGTTAGGAAGGTAGGTTTGCCGCTGAGCAGTCAGCTAGATCCAGGACCACGCTGACGTTGCATTTCGCCTATTTCTACAGGCATACGAAGGTGTTCGCACAGAGATGATCGAGGCCGCCCGCAACCACCAGAAAATCGCCAGCAACATCCGAGAACTCGTTGTGGCTCCCTTCCGACGCTGGAGCGACCAACACGAATACCGTGTCCAGACCTCCCACGATAACCTCCAGTCGCGGATTAAGGAGCACACCAAGCAGGTCGACCTGGTCAAAAAGCTGCGCAGCCAATACTTCAACAAGTGTCGTGTGGTCGAAGATTTGGAAGAGGAGAACAAACTCGCCTTCCAAGATCCTGATAACAGCCCGAAACTCAAACCCACGCCCAAAATTGTTCTTCCAACTCCCGAGGAAGAGCCCGAGGAGGATCCGTATGAGATCGGAGATCGAATCTACCCTCCAGAGGAGATCAAGAGGCTCCTGCTTCACATGCTAGACAATATTAGGCTCGGTGATGCGAAGGTTGCTATCATCGGTACCTATCAGAACACCTCCTCTGGTGCAGAGATTGTGGAGTATATCCAGAATAACATGAATGCGACCACCCTCGCCCAGGCGGAGAGGATTGGCCAAGATCTAGCGGACAATGGATTCCTCCGCTTGATTGGAAACATGGGCAACACCTTCGCCAACAGCTCGAAGATGCATTATCAGTGGCGCCCCAAGGTGTTCCAAATCACCGGAATCCCGGAGAAAAAGAAGCCTCTGATGCGCGTTACTTCGGTGGCCTCCAGCGAAGACGGCAGTGTTGCTGAGTCCCCCATCTCGTCAGTCCAGGAAATGCTAGCTGGCTGGAATCCTCTCAACAATCCTCATCCGAATGAGAGCCCCGCCGAGAAGCTGCGGAGAGAGGCTTACGAGGCCGATGAGCGATACAAGGCCGCCATCCGCAAACTGGACCAGATCCGCTGCCGTCTCCAGGAGGAGGTTATCGACAACTTGCGCTTCATGGAGCAATGCGAGCTTGATCGCCTCAAGGCCATCAAGGCTGTGGTGCTCGACTTCTCTGGTGCCATCAGCAATGTCATTCCCAACCTGCAAAGTACTGTCGATAATATGATGCTGTACCAGGAGACGATCCAGCCTCTAGGAGACCTGCGATATCTCCTCGAAAACTACCGCACTGGTGGCTTTGTTCCTCGCGTGCAGGCATACGAGAACTACTATGGCTCCGTTGAAGAGCAAAACTTCGGTGTCGATCTCGAAGCCAGGGCTCGCGTTGACCGTAAGCGTGTGCCGATCTTGGTCACAACCATTTTGACTTATTTGGACAACACATACCCCGATCTCGAGGGTGACGAAGCCCGGCGTGCCATCTGGCTTCACAATCCCCCGCTTACTCAGGCGCACCAATTGCGTAACGCCTTGAATAACAGCAAGGTGGATTATCGCGAAGTCCTCCCGAAGTTTGAGATACCCATTGTTGCCAGCGTTTTAAAATTGTACCTTCTTGAATTGCCAGGTTTGTTTTCACTTCTGATGTCCATCTCTCGATTTTCATGCTTACTGACTGTCATAGACTCCCTCGTTTCTTCGCAAGTCTACGAAATCGTCAAAACGATTTACTCGACCACCGCTCACGAGACCACGGAAGAGGGACGGATCAAGGTCCTGCAGAGCACGCTTGGACAGCTCCGTCTCGTCAACATTGCTACGCTTGACGCCGTCATGACCCATTTCACACGCCTGGTTGACTTGACTTCAGCCGACGAGCAATACATTGCTACCCTGGCGCAGATTCTGTCTCCCTGTGTTCTTCGACCTCGCACCGAGAGCAGTCTCACGATGGATGAGCGTCACAGCTACCGGTTGATCCGTGATTTGTTCGCCCACAAGGATGCTATCTTTGGTGAGCTGAAGCGCCAGTCGAGCGCCCTAGGTATTTCTTCTACCTCTAGCCGTCCCCGTGCCATCAGCACAGACGAGAGCAACCGCCGGGCAGCCATGGAGGCTCGTCAACGCGCGATTGTCAACCGTAGCCGGGCTACCAGCCCTGCACCTGGCGCGCGGCACCGTCGTGATCGCTCCAGTGGTGCGTCGGCGTCGACCCGGTTCCCCATCAATGTGACCAGCCCGCGGACCACCGTCCGGGCTCATGCCAGCCTGGATGTCCCCCCCAAGAGTGATTCCCCCGCTCCTGCTGAACATTCTTCAATGGTGAACACTCAAGCTGTGGAGGCTACCACCAATGGCACCTCCACCGACTCCCCGGTCTCTGCAGCTGCCAGCGTTTCCTCGGGCACCTCAAGCCCTCCTCTGCCTGAGTCTGGCTCGGACGGCTCGCCGACTCCGACACCGACTCCTGCTCCCACATCCAGTGAGTTCGACAGGCGCAGCTCTATCCCTCGCTCCGCCGGTGCCCGGTATTCCCGCAAACCCGGTCTCGGCAGCATCTCCAGCTTCCCCACCGGCGCTGCAGTGGGTGCCTCCGAGTCGGATAGCAAGCGGAGCAGCATCGCCGAGAGCGAGCCTAAGGGCGTGACGCTGGAGGACAAGCCTATGGATGACTAAAAATTGGCTACGTCGTGACGTTTTCTCATGGATATCCCGAAAGTCCTTGTATAGACCGAAAACACGCCACAGCATGACCTTTTGGGTATATCCTCTCTAACTATTGTGTTTTTCTCATATTCCTTTTTCTCGAGCGTCATGTCCGCATGGCATGCATGAATTCATACCCCTTCGTCGCCTTGCGTCATCTGCATGTGCACAAGTCGTCAATTCCCCCTTATTGCCTGGGTTCTTTGCCCGTTCATGTTTCTATGCCTCTTTTGCCACCGCGTGTTTATTTTTTCTTCTTGGTTATGTAGCCATGTATGTATACTCGATTCTTTCTCCTGTCTATGTACAAATTTTAAGAGCACTCAGTTTACCATGTGATCCTTAAAGGCAGTATGCCATGTCCACTTCAGGCACCCGTTTCCTAAAGAGGTAGTCTGTATGCTCACTTTGTTGAAGTAGCCTTGCCAGTTGGTAAGAGTCGGTTTACGCGTCCTCTCACTTTTGCCCCAGCGTATCTCTTTCAACCCCAGATATCCTTGAATATCTGGACGCGTTTGTTCACTCTTTCATCCCTTCAAATCGATACCAACAAAGCACATTCTAGGTTCCTCGATATCAGCATGGCATTCACTGCATCCATTACGGGCATCGACAACCAAAGGATCCTCGAAGTGGCCGCTACCTGCCGCGCAGATGGATCCATACCGTCATTCACTGCTGAAGCGGGCCCTCTCCCCTACATCGGAAATCACTACACCATCTACCCAGTGCAGTATCCCGACGGGACCAGGGTTGCAGTCCGGGTGCCGATCGACATCTACTCGCGAGACACATTGCAAACTATGCTCGCCCTGATGAAAGCGGAAGCCAACACTCTGAACCTTCTTGCCAGATGCAAATTTGCCTGGTCGCCGCGCGTGCTTTACTACACGACCACGTTTGACAACCCCTTGGGCCGGCCGTATATGGTTTGCACCTGGATCGATGGAAAGCAACTGGAATGGAGCGAGACCTTCCCTGCCGAGAGTGAAAATCGTCAAAAGATCCTGGCGCAAGTTGCGAGGATCATGTTCGATCTGGTGGTCTGCACGCAGAAAAGTGGTATGTGTGAGAAGTCTGATTTGTTGTAAGGTGCTGTTTGCTAATGTGGCACTCAGGTCAACGAACGACGGCCGAATCCTTCATGATGTTCTTTATTGATTACAAGATGATCGGCGCGATCAGAGGGCAACTAGATGGGATTGACCCGCTGTCATGCCTGGTGCTGCGTTTGCTTGCGCGCAGAGTGACAGAGGGGAAGTGCAGCAGTTCGACCTTCGCTCATTCGCACGAATATCTGACCAGTCAGAATATTATCGTTGACAACAACTACAACGTCAAAGGGTGTGTTCTGCATGATTATCTTCCTGCTACTCCTTTGGCAGCTTACGAGTTCATAGTTTTGTCGACTGGGGCTTCGCCCGCACTCTCCCCATCCGCTTTACCTTACGCTTCCCTCGCTTTCTCTCCATCCGAGCCAAAAGCTTCCCTCCAGACATGCCTCGAGATCTCTGCGGGTACAGCAAAGCCTTCCTGCAAGTGTCACCGGCCCACAAAGCCGACAGAGAGTTCTTCATCTCCCGTATTCAATACGAATTCGCCACTCGAGCGACCAAGGCTTCCATCGGTCAGCTCTCACCACTGGGATGGGAAATGATGTGCTGGGACCTGCAGGATGTGGATTGGAAGCACTTGGTATACGATGCGGCCACCGGCATGGCGACTCACCTATGGATGTCGAAGAGACAGTTTCTGGTCGCTGGTATGTCGGCATGCAAGACTGGTTCTGTGTCAGAGATTGTTACGGCAGATGCTCTGTATCAAGAAATCTGGGCTTTCTTCACGCGAAATCAGAGTAAGACGACGCATTCGGATACTCAACAGAGGACTGTCTTCTTGCTGCAATCCGCTATTGCAGAGCGTTTGCCCTGGACTCTCATCAAGATGATGTTGGAGAACGCATTTAGTGTGGATCAGAGATTAACCGGTGGTGAGAGCTCTTCGGTACCTTAGCTGTTTCCCTTCAAGTCGCCGTTTTTTTTCGAAATGGGCATGAATATGTACTTATGTGGGGCCCATGTGTTCTTTCGAAGTTCCTTGCGGCCAGTCAATATCTGTAGGATAGCCCTACGCAAACAACTACAGTAATCTAAAAAAGCATGCTCCACTCTATCCCTTTTATTTGTTCGATCTATTCTCCATGAGCACTTCATGCGTGCCGATTTAGATCAAAATAAGGGAGGACAAGGATCAGGAGTTGGTCGCACAAGACCGGAATCAGAAGGATCGTCCCGCTCGTAAGTCATTTCTTACAGACGATTTGAACATCTGTCATGGAAAAGAGGGCATCAGATTGTTCAGACCACTTTCTCCAACCCAAAGGAAGCGTATCTCTTTGGTCTTGAGATATGAGTCCTTCTTTGATTCCTTTGTCAAGCGAAGAACCTTGTTCCAGACGTTGAGCCATGGTCTCACCCCACCATCTGGCCTCCTCGGGACTTGTATAGTAAACCGCCGCCGCAGAAGCTTCGATATCTGCTGCTTTGAACCCGGCAGACTCAGCCCACGACCGAGCCATTCCGCCGTACGGCGACGTTCGCTTCAAAGCAGTCAGACCCTCCACCAATTTCATGGCTTCCAGTACCTCGGGAACCGGGGGATGAATGACAGCGCTCCTCCAATCGCATTCTCTGGCACAGACTAAGCCTCCCGGCTTGCAAACGCGTCTCATTTCCTTCAAGCCTTCCACAGCGCCAACCCGAGGGGTTTCGTTCGGCAGATGAATTAAAACTTGGTGCGCACAGACAATGTCGAACGTCTCGTCTTCGAAGGGAAGATTCAGAACATCGGCCACTTTGAAGGACGCGTTTTTAACTTGTCGTTTCTGAGTGAGATTTTGGGCGGAGTCGATCGCAGTAATGCTGCAGTCTATGCCGGTAATAGTCCCTTGGGGAACCAGTGCGGCCAAGTCAAGTGTGATAGAGCCTGGTCCGCAACCAATGTCGAGAATGTTCATATCGGGTTTGATTCTCGGGACGAAATAGGCGGATGTGTTCGCTGCCGTCCGGACAGAATATGTTTGCAGCATAGAGGAGGAGTAGGTGTCGCTTGGCATTTTGTGGATGTCCAGGTGTGCGAGTAGGGGAGAGGACGAATTCGAGAATAGAGCAAATCTGCTTAGATGTCCGATCACCGTTTATTTATTGGGGACTAAACCGAGGTGGAAACGAAAGCGGGCCGGAACCGGGCCGTTAATGGCTATCAAGCCTTCGAGCGCACGACGCATTCCGAGTACGAACAGAGAAACTATATACAGGATTCATTAGGGGCCTCGTTTTCAAAATCATCTATACCAAATTCAATCTTACTCGTGAAAAGCAACCTAATGAATACCAAACATCTCTTCAGTCAAATTACGCCTCGCCATTGGTGTCGGGATGCATCACAACCCTTCCATCCGGCTGCAGATCCCCAACATGATCCATCGGTGCTCTCGCCCTAATATACGGGTCTAACTTCCAGTAATTCTGCCGGAATTCTTCAACAACACCATTGCGCCGTGACTTCAGCTCCCCTGCCTTTGCTTTATCTTGTTTGCCTTCTGAGAAACTGGTGGCAGAAATCCAGGCAGCGGTGGCAGCGAGCATTCGCAGGCCGATGATCATACGATCGTACATGAGAGAGTCGCGTGATTCCGTATCCGTCATCTCATTTTCAGAGGTGGGTTGCAGGTTACTAGCACGAGAAACAAATGCACAATGCAAAATTCTCCGATTTTTTGGCTGCAGCGCGGCACCATGTTCATTTGCAGTCAATCGGTCCAGTTCTGGGAACATCTAAAGAATATAAGGCCCTACATCTGCATTTCTTGTCTCCCAAAAAGCCTGGCCCTTCAAAGTTTCAATGGCTAAGTGCGTTTTCAAGCACTTTCACAACTTCGACTTTGTCGAGCAACTTGGCACACTCCAATGCAGTGCGACCATTTGCGTCTTTTATGCTCAGGTCTATCCCTTCACGAACCAAAAAGCTAACAACTTCAACATTTCCAAGCTCCGCCGCCTTGCGTAAAATAGTACCAAGTCCCATAAAGAAGTAAAGCCTCCAAGAAGGATAATGATTCTGATACATCGTAGTATTGAGCGAAGCACCTTCACTGAGAAGGAGCTGCAAAACTTCGATGATTTCCGATTTCCGTTCGAGCGCGTGAAAAAGAAGCTGGCCTTGATGGACATGGCCTCCGCGGCCCAGCAAGAGTTTAATGTTTGAGATAGGGGCATAATTGACAGCGTAAGAAAGTGGAGTCAAATCGATCTCACATCTCTGATTCGGATTCGCTCCACGATCTAGTAGCCAGATCATCATGTCCTGGTCCTGGGTCACGAAACTAGACATGATTTAGCTGTATTCAATCGCAATTTGTAGGAGTTCTTATATTTACCTAAGTAACGGCGGTTGAGCTTCACTTATTGGATTGTTGATATCCCAGCCTTTTTCGAAAAACATTTCAAGAACCTTCTTCGCCTTCGACTTTGTTGCTTCGAAGGCGTAATCAGGGGCTAGGGGTAGTCCATGGGAAAGAAGCTCTATGGTGAATTGTGTATCATCCTGCCTGATCGCATCAATCATAATTGTATCTAAGTCATGTATGTCGAAGCGGACGTCCGAGCGAAGCGAGTCTAGCACATCTTGGAACTTTTCGATGTGCTTCTCAGCGTAGACGGAACGTAGATTCTCGATGATCTCAATGGGCGAGCGAATTGGAACTTGAGGTAATTGCGCGAAAGCAGGAGGAGATCCATTCGACGGAGAATGGACTTCTATAGCGAATGGAGATGGTAGAAGGGTAAAATAGAACCGATGCAGCTCACTGGTTGTTGTTGCAAAAGATAAAGTTGAGACCGTGGATGGGCGGGGGCTGGTCTTTAAATCCGTATCCTTGGTATCACGGGAGCTTGCGACCCTTCGGATCATCACTGCCTGTATGGATATCCGGGGTTTCAATGCATTGATGATAGGTCTGGCCTGGTTCCTTCAGCTGAAAGCGAAACATCCCAAACAGCCCGCAACAGCACATCGGAACTCGGCTTTCGCAAAATCCTTTCCAATGCACGCGCGTGGCCCATGAAGGAACTTAATCTGCGCAAAGTTAGTAGACGCACCGCCATGCTTGTTTAGAATCTGTCTTTCAATCTTCTCGTCGATATCAATCCATCGCTCGGGGAGGAATTGATCCGCGGTCTCACCCCAGAATTCTGGGTTACGGTTAATGGCCTGCGGGCATAGTGCGATGGTTGTACCCTTGGGGCTTGTTTTCCCTGCGATGGTAGTTTCGCGGATAGCCTCGCGGCCAGTCATAGGGACCGTCGGGTACAAGCGCAGAACCTCTTGGCAGACACCATTCAGGTATGGCATTCCCTCCAGGTCCTGCCACGATACAGACGCATCCAGGGAGGGTATAGTTGCACGGATCTCGGCGTGCAGCTGTTCTTGAATATCCGGCTCAATACACAGGTGGTAGCAGCACCAGGTGAGGGCACCAGCAGTCTTTCATGCGCTATCTTCCATTAGCCTTGTTTCCCGTATAGCGACCGGGGATGGGCGAGATTTGAAAAAACAGGGGATGAATCAAATCGGGAAGAAGCATACCCCAGCCGCAAGGAAGGTGAGCATTTGATCCACCAACTCGCTATCGCTGAACTCTCCGCCTCGCATCATGGTGCCCAAATATCGCCTTCAACAACTTCCTGCTGGGTATTCTCTCATGTGATCCGCTCTCGTTTCTCACGAAGTATGTCGTGAAAGAGATTTCGGAGATACTCGACCTTTTGCGGTAGCACAATATTTGCATTGCACGGAATGCGCTTCACAAACCATTGCGGCAGGATTATGGAGACAGCAAACAGTAGCAACCAATCCGCAGACGGCTGAGAATGGCGTTGAAGTTTTGGGAGACAGGGTCGTTCTCGTTTTCCAGCCACTGGAAGTCGCGGCCAATCGCGGCAGGTCCAATAATACAAAATGCCAGCCGACTAGATAACAATCCCATTAGGTTTCTGTTAGAACTAGAGGAAGCTTTGTATGTACTTGGCCCATCCCTGGATTTCCACGAAGCCGGAAGGCTGGCCCTGCTTTCTGCCAGGCTCAGGATGAAGATGGATTTCCCGTTGCAGCTGCCGAAGGAGGTGCTGTGTTTTCGACCACATCAGCGGATACGTAGCGCGAATATTCTTAATTGTGAAAGCTGGCGTAACAGCTTTGCGGGCCGCGCGATGAGCATCGCCCTCAGACAGGATAAGCCCATATCCGAGACCACGCGCCAGGAACTCGCGCCCGCCTGGGGGCTTGACAAAGTCATAACTGTTCGTGTGCAAGACATCCATAAGCGCTTTGTGGTTGGTAGCGACCACAAAGCTATAATTCAAGGCTTCGCGGAAGTGAATCAATCCTTCGTTTGGAATTCGTCGTAGCCAGTCCACCATTATGCTTCCACGGGGTTGGCGTAGGAAGACTTTTGCTCCGACCAGGGGTCCCTAACGGACAATTTATCAGCATAGTCCTTCTATTAACTCTGAGAGGGAGAATACATGAACTGTTGGTAAGTGCCGAAGAGGATTGACGAACAAGGGCCATATGAAACCGTTCCATATTGCCATAACAAAACAAAGTTAACTGCAAGGGCATAGAGAAATATAGTGGCAGGCCGTTCTGTGGTCATACGGGAGACAACAACTAAGCCCGTTTCAACAACAGTAGACGGAATAAGAAGAATGAGACGCTCTCGGGCAGTAGACATGTTACATTCCTGTACCGGGTCAGGTCTTGGTGCTAGATAGAGGGCCTAGGCCATTCTCCGACTCACGATATATATACATGATGGAAGTTCTATTTACTAGTCTGACTCACATGTTATTGTAACAATCATGTTACTCATAGATGCTAGACGGAACACATTTTGTTCCGTCTCCTCAAACTTTTATTACTCATATTTCGATGCCACTGGTCGTAATCCGTCTGGGGTTCACATGAAGGACGCTAGCGTGGTCGATCGACAAAAATGCGGGGAACGTCGTTAGCGCATCCTAGCAGTTTCTGTCTCTGTAAATATACGAATATGCTTTCGAAGATGTCATAGACTAGAAAATCCAAAGAATTACGAGGCGAAAATCACATGCCGAGGTCGGCTATCGCCAGTACTTGGAGCTTACCATCTTGGGCATGCAGGGCGAGCAAACCAGGCATTCACCATTTGGCGAATGGACTTCCCAATGCAGGAAAACCGGAGCATCTAGGACTCAACGCTAAACAACGGCATAAAGAATTCCAGTGCTTTGTTATACGGGAACTAGGCGGATTTCCTCGTGATAATTCTAACAGCGTATAATTAGGTATGTTGCATGGCTCACCATTAGGCTAGACCTATTACGATCTGACTAACAGGGCAGTGAGCATCATTTGACGGCGTAGCATTATGTTTCTGGTATCAGCCTGAACACAGTACCTACTTTAATGCAATACTTGAGATACAGATTGCCCTGAGTCATTGTAGACAAATCTTGACTAAAGTAACGTAATTGGATTTGACTAGGCCTCTACATTGACAAAGAAGAAGCCTCCACATAAGAAATCCGCAGATTGAAATCCGGTAGCCAGACCGGAATTCCCGACGCAGGAAACAGCCAAGACTTTCAATGAATAATGACCATGTACGTGATGAAAGACAAGGGTAAATGCAAATTCCAGCACAACTGCCACGGCGCCTGAAAAGAAACACGTAAAGCGACATCAAGTCATAAGTCAGAGAAACAGGACAAGGAAATGGTTCAGCCCAGGAGGAGCTGGATGATCATAAAGGATTAGGTTGAAGCCGCACCAGGACTTCTTCTAGAAAAGCGTCAAGCACTGCATCGACGCCTCCCTCCATTTGCACTGGGGCTTCCGAATCCCAGCGATGAAGGTTGGCGAAGGACTTTGCTATATCATCTGCCAGCTGCTCCATACCGCGATGAATGTGGACACTGCGTTCCCAGTTTTTCTCCTCCTCGGCTGTGGGCTGGCTATCGCTCGGGTTTTGGTTTCGCCCGGGCTCAAGGCGGGCTAGGTGGCGACCGCGTCGGTTCATGGCTGCCCGAAGAGCGGGGACGATGATGGAGCCATAAGCAGTCGCTCGTTCGTTCTCAGCTGGAGCCTTCGGGGGGTTAGGAGGCTGCTTCGGATGATCATTTACGCGAGGAAGTTGGGTCGCAGTATGCTTCCTTGCATACCGCTCATCCTGCCTGCCTGGTGCGAGCTTGGATTTTAGCCCAGACACAGGTTTCACACCTGGGGATGCCTCGGGCTGTTGCTGCAGGCTCGCTTGAGACGACGGTCTGTAGAGTGCTGGGCTAGCTGGGGCATTGGGAAGGGGGCGTTGAAGAGGAGCGGGCTTTCTAGCAACCTGGATGGTAGGAGACCGAGGTTGCTCTGGTGCGATATTATTGGGGGACTGTACAGGTCTCGCAGACCGTGACCCAGCTGCAAAGGGAGATTGCTTATGTGGTACAGGATCAGGGCCCAGGTTACTTGCGTAATCCAGCATTGCCTTTGTGTATCGCTCATTGTAGCTCCTGCCAGGAGAATCTTCTCTGGGTGTGTTGGACGTCGGAACAGGACGATGATTGCGTGGAGAAGCCGCTGGCTGTGCAGAACACTTGCTCTTCAAAGGAGAAGATGGTGCAGAGGGCGGAAGGGGAGTTTCCGATGGAGAGAGTTCAACAGCGGGGTTGGCTGGCTTAGCCTGCTGCATTACTGGACGAGATCCAGGCATATTTTTGGCAGTCTCATCACCCAAATCCCACTCATCTGTCTCTGTAGTGCGCGAATTGATGTTCGAGTCATTCAGTGGTCGTAAAGGTGGACCAGGATCTCGTCCAGCGGGACGTACGGTGCCAAAGTCCCAAAGATCTTCGTGCGCTTCGGTTTTCTCGTAAACCGGTTCACCAATCTCATCGTAGTCGTCTTGGTCATCTTCCTGGCCGCGATGAGTCGCTTGCCAGCGCTCTGCGCGTTCGATAAGCTCTGTCAGGTATGTAGTTCTTTTAGCACGTTTGACGAATGGATGCTCGAGCAACTCCTTGGCGGAAGGACGCTCCTTTGGATCCCGACGCAGGCACAGCTCCACAAACTGCTTGAAAGGCTTGGTGAAATTGCCATTGAGAGTGGGAGGAGGGTTCTTAGGGATCAAGAATAACACCTTCATTGGATGGATGTCTGCATATGGAGGGTCTCCACATGCCAATTCGATGGCAGTAATTCCCAAAGACCAGACATCTGCCTTATAATCGTAGCCCGACTGTTTGATGACCTCAGGGGCCATCCAGAAAGGCGTTCCGACGAATGTGTTCTTCTTGGTCATGGTCGCAGAGAGTTGTCCCGAAACACCAAAGTCAGCTAGTTTGACCTGCCCGCTTGCGCTAAGAAGAATGTTTGCAGCTGTCAAATTGTCAGTTTCTACTGTATTTGCATAGTTCAAGAAGGCGACTACCCTTGATATCCCGGTGCAGCTTATGGTCACTGTGCAGGTAGTCCAATCCTCGCAAAAGCTCCCGTAAGATGATTGCAATGTATTCTTCGGCAATCACTCCAGCACGTAGAAGGCCATGGCAACTGCCGCCAGAGCAGAATTCCATGATGATCCATAGATGAGAGCCTTTCAAATATGATCCGTGGTACTTGGTCACGTATGGAGATTTCAGTTCGGACAGGATCGCGATCTCCTGAATGATGTCGTCCACCTCGTCTTCGGCATTTTCGACATCAATAATCTTGATCGCGACTGATTCTCCAGTCCTTCTATCAACTCTAATTCATGCACTATCGGTTAGCGACTCCCTTAAGACGCAGAGTTGGGACTTCTATTACTTACCCTTTGTAGACCTTGCCGAAGCTTCCACCACCTAGGAGGACAGTATAGTCAGCAATTGCTGCGGATGCTCATTTCACAATAAATAACAATTCGATCCTCACCAATACATGATTGCTTGGTGTAAATGCTCTCGGGGTCGATAGGGGCCGGCATCTTGGCAGCTTATCGGGTTTGAGATGGAGACCCAAACTGACGGAACACTAGAGGAACTGAACTAGATGTCGGTAACTGGACTTGAGTAAATAATGTATTTCATTCGATCACTCTTCCGCGATGGATAAATCTGTTGCAGATGAGGGGCTTAAGCTTGTAGGCGGGAATGGGATCGCACGTACTGCGGAACAAGACCGAAATGAGGGACGCGCGACGGGGGGCGAATGCCGGGGCAAATATAGATAAAGTGCGGACACGAGGATGGTTTTCATCCGTCAAATTATCTTCTGGACTTATTCAACAGATCAGCAAGCCTGCAAGGCGATGTGCGTCAAATTGGTTGTTATGTGCAACTCACGGACAGATTGGCGAGACGTCAACAAAGAGAGAAAGAGACGTGAGGAGAGGCCACAACGGGGAAGCGCCTTGATATCCAACAGCATCCAAGGATCAGTCAAACAACATCATGAAGGCACTGTTATTAGGCAAAAAAGAATTCTACCAAATCCACGGGGAGGATTTAAGAAGGCGAAACACCCTTGCTTCTGTTTATCGACGCGGGGCCGATTCTGCCGGGCGGTGGGCCTTATCTGGGGCAGTGGGGTCGCCCTGGAAATACACCCCATCTACTATCAGGGACGAAGCGGATCATTGGCTTCATGCTTTACAGCTATACATTCTGGCTTCTAGATTCTTGGCTCGTAATAGTTGGATTCTAAGACCGGGAGATTATGACAAGATCAAGAGGTTCTAATAATTCGCTTCATATGCTTGGGCGTCGCCGTAAACGGGAGATCCAGTCCTTGCGGGTCCTTGCATGAAGCAAAGGGACTTGCGAGCACGCTCGGCTCCAGTGCATGGAAATGGAAGCTCACCGTTTGGTTGTCAATGCCTTGCAAAATCTGTGGTTTAATTTTCAGCAATGAGAACACCGAAGCAAGGAGCCCAATTAATCTTCCAGATAGCCGATCATGACCGTTCCGTTCTTCAGCCCTGCATCTTGAATGCTCGTAGCAAGGCTGTCTATTAGGTTTTGTCCCATGGCATTCAGCTCAAACTCCACACCAGCCTTGCCTTCCAAAGGGGGGTCGGCCTTGAGCCATTCGTAGATCCGTTGAACTGGATCAGACAGTGCAAAGCGCCGAATCACACGGCCAGATGGGTGACGGAACTGAATGCGGGTGGTAGTGGCGGGATTTGCCTCAGGCTCAGTGTGCGGTTGGTTGCTGGGGATGGAGGAGAATGGAGAGGCTTCCGCGGGTTGTTCTTCGGGCGGCTCTGTTCCACCCATGGGCTCATCTTCGACATCGTTTGCCCGGCCCTTGCCCTTGACATCCTCCATACTGCGGGTCAGGTCGTCAGGATCTTCAAGCTTCTGTCCAGGCACCAGCCCTCCTCCGAGGCTATTGTTGATGGCCATCTCCATCATCTCCTCCTCCGTCATGGCTTCCACGTGCTTATCCTTCTTCTCGGACTTGCGCTTCGCGACAGGGTTGCGCACATTATGGTTCAGACTATAACGATCCAGGAACTCGTGAAGCTGCATCAGGAATTCTGCGGGTTTGATCACAGGCGGACCAGACCAGACCTTCATTTGTTCACCGGTGCGAGGGTCGACAATGGCAATATGGGGGTAATTGTCGGAGACGTCGCTAGCTTGGAAGTAATATTGGAGGTATGGCGCAGCCTTCGGATCATCCTTCGAGAATTGCAGGAATACGAAGTGTTCCCGGATTGTTTCCTGGACAGTCTTGTCTTTCCAGAGATCACGGTTCAATACTTGACAATCGAAGACCGAAGAGTCTTGGACGTTGACCAGTAGCCACTTCTCATTGTCACGCCCCTCTTCACGGGCCACATCCCACGGCACTCTGGTCATGATTTCAAACGGAGGGCGATACATCTCGGCGAGCATATTGGACTTGGAAGATGCCTCCGACGCGCCTCCAGTTGCCCTCGATAGTCGTTCCTGGTGTGTCTCTTCCGAGTCGCCAGCCCATATTGATGGCGCAGATCTCTGGTTGAAGATGCCAGCACGGCCTAGTAAAAGTCATGTCAGTCTTAGATCAGTGCTCCACAATTTTTGTCTCCAACTAACCATGACCACCTCGTTGGCGAGCACGCAACTGGCTCAGAATATTGGTGTGCATATCGTCGTCGTCGTCGTCGCCGAAATCGAGATCCGGCCCCACTAGCGTCTCGGTCGTACGCGCCATGGGTGCCCGCACGCCCTCGTCATCGTTGCCGCCACCACCAACACCAGCACCACCAGTGTCACCAGCACCACCCCCGTACATCTCCTCCTGCAGGCGACGGGCCAGAGCGGCGTCATCTTCAAATGTTGATGCTCCAGCGGCTTGTGTGGACGGCTGGGCACGGGCGGAAGAATTGTCGTCATCAGAATCTGAGTCGATATGGACTACACCCGACTCGTCCTCGAAGCGAGTGCGGTGCGGTGGTTGGGGGGTTCCTCGGTCAATGGAGCGCCTCCATTTTCGAAATATAGCTGCATCGACTGCTCGATGTCGAAATCGGCAAGCTGCAGGTACTGTGTCGCCAGCTCGGGCGTCGCACCGGTGATTTCGGAGAACTGAGCCACCAAATCACCCTCCATGGTGGGCAGAGAGCGTAACAGAGGTTGAAGGCTGAAGTGGTGTAGATCAAAGGCGAAAATAAGGGTAAAGGAAGAGGTGGGTATCTCGCAAGGTTCTAAAATGCAATTCACCTGGTTGAAGTAGAAGTGTGGGGAGCAGCCTGAGGTGCAAACAGCTGCAAACCGAGGATCAACACGGCGAGTACCCCGCGCAGCCGATGTCAGAATAAGATAACATCAAGAAGAGGAGTAGAGGATAATTCAGAGTCCGGAGTCTTGGCTCGCTGTCGCTCGTATAGACAACCGAACGACGATCAGCTGCCAGCAGTGACGCAAATGCCACTGCGGTGAGCGACAAAGCCCCGAGACGCAACTCTGCACTTTTGGCTCTAGCAGGTCGCCGTAGCTGATCTTACTGCTTGGGGCATGCGACGCGTCGCGCTACGCGCCCAAAGGCTCCCGCGCGGATGTGGACCAGCGGGCCTCTCCAGGAAAGCGCTTTCTCCTCAGCTCCTGCAACTTTTCGTGTTTGAGACAACATTTACCATGGCAGCCACGGTCCTGGGAAAGCGCACTCGCAGTGCAGCAGAGCCAGAAGGTAGGCGTCCCTTCGTGTTCCTGCCTCCTGTGGTTTCCGATCAATGATCAATTCTAACCGGGCTCGTGTCCAGCACTCCCAGTACGCACTGCAAGCAAGCGCCGCACCGTTGCACCCCGTGCCCGCCGTGAGGATGCTGCTCCCAAGTCGATTCCTCGTACTCGCTCGCGCGCGAAGATCGCGGAGCCTTTGCCCGACCAGGAGAATGGCGATGTCAAACAGATCTCGGAAAAAACGCTTTCCAAGCACGCCGTCCATGAGAAGCAGGGTGGGTCACCGTCCAAGATTAACTTGCATTTCCGCACCTCGAAGCTAGTGGAGGGTAAGCTGAGAGAACCGGAAGGACTGTGTGGCCAGAAATGTGGGCTAACAGACTGTCTACCAGAGGAAACCCCCGTCCCAGTTGAATTCAAGACCCCGCAGAAATCCCGATTCCGAGATGCATTGCAACATTCACCCGTTACGCCTCGGCATCGTGTACAAGTAGGGGCGAAGGCAGCAACTCCCCGCACTCCTCGACACGCCGATCTTCTGCCTACTCCCCGTCAAAGCGCCACCCCGACCACCGCACATTCTGTCTACTCACATGCGCGACAGCTCTTTGCTCGTGGAGCCAACTCTGGACGACTTGTGGGCCGCGACTCGGAACGACAGAAGGTAGCCACTTTCATTGAAGATTGTGTGAGGTCCCAAAAAGGCGGTTGTCTATACATCAGCGGACCGCCGGGCACTGGCAAGAGTGCAATGGTCAATGAAGTGTGTCAAGATATGGACTTGTCCAATGCTAAGGTCTCCCATGTGAATTGTGTGAGCATGCGAAATGCACGCGACGTCTACAGCAAGCTCATCCAAGATTTTGATGATGACTCAGATGTTTTCAAGAAGAGCGAGGCAGACAGACTGAAAGCGATGTTTATTCCTCCCAAGCCAAACGGCCTCTTCTTGGTTTCCCTGGATGAAATGGATCACTTACTTATGGGCGATTCGGGTGTACTCCAATCATTGTTCGAGTGGTCGCTGTCTAACCAGTCAACTCTCATCCTTATTGGCATCGCCAACGCTTTGGACTTGACCGACCGTTCCCTACCCCAACTAAAGGCAAAGAATCTGAGGCCGATTTTACTGCCGTTCTTGCCGTACAATGCGGCATCCATTGCCAACGTTATTACCAACCGTCTTCGGTCGCTGATTCCTGAGGGCATGGATAACGATCCCAAGTTTGTTCCTTTCTTGCAACCCGCTGCTATTCAGCTTTGTGCAAAAAAGGTTGCGTCGCAGACCGGTGATCTCCGAAAAGCCTTTGAACTGATCAAGCGCGCAATTGATGTTATTGAGCAAGAAACTCAGCAAAAGCTAGAGAAACAAGCGGCAGAATCGGACAATCACTCGATACTCGCCGAGAACAAGAATCTCTCCTCGCAAGTAAAGGGAGCTCCCACTCCTCGGCCAACTACAATGTCAAGCTATACAGTGATGACAGCACCTCGTGCCAGCATTGCGCATATCGCTCGCATCACGACTTCGGCCTTCGGACAAGGCACCGTTCAAAGATTGAAGGGCTTGAATTTGCAGCAGAAAGCTGCCATATGTGCTTTGATTGCACTTGAGCGCAAGCGTCGGGAATTCGACGTCCCCAGCACACCCTCGAAGTCTCGGGGCTCCGCCCCCACAGTGAAGCAAGCATTCGACACATATTGTACACTTTGCCGCAATGACAACATTCTCCACCCCTTGACTTCCACCGAGTTCAAAGATGTCTTGAGTAATCTGGAAACTATGGGCCTTGTGGGCGAATATCAAGGCCGCGGTCGTGGTGGAACCGTTGCTGGTGGCTCTGATATTCGTCGCACGCCCTCCAAGTCGGGCAATGTCATCTCGACTCCCCAAAAGGGCATGGATGAGCAGGGCCTTCTTTGCTTTGTCTCCCAGTCAGAAATCGAAGGGCAGATTGCCGGTCCTGGCGAAGGTATCCTCAGACGACTTCTCCGAGGGGAAGGCCTATGATCTTGCAGTCCATGTCCATCACCCCCCCCCCCCAAATCCTGCATTATTGGAGTTCTTTTCAAACGCATTTTTAGCATGTACAACACCACCGTTCGCATATTCGGGGTCCAATTTACCCCATCATGTTTAGCGTCATTTTTATGACTTTCATTTGTTCATCCTGAACACTCTTTGTGCAATACCGTATCGTCGCTGAGCCAAAATCGCTCGTGTCTAAAGTGAAATCCAGCATTCATTAAAGCTTTAAAGATAATAAAACACGGGGATTCTAAAGATTGAAAACGTATCCAAGGCTTACTTTTTGAACTCCGTATTCCAGTTGCCTATTACTGATACCAATCAGAATGGGTTCATTTTGACACTCATTTTATTTGATCCCCATCTTCACTATTTCTTCGCATTCCTGTCCCATGACAGGACGGATCCCCAAGTACCACTTAGAAAAATTCGTAGAATATCCAGTTCTCTCACTCATCAATGCTCTTCGGCTTAATAGGCCGCACCAAATCAACATAATCAAACCTGGCCACTGCATTCTTAAAAGCAATATTTCCTGGATGCGCCTCCTTGTTTTCCCCACGGAACAAAAATGTCGCCGGGAACCCATAATCAAATTCATAAGCGCTTTCGATCTCCTTAATATCTTCCTGAGTCAACTCCAGCTGCAGGGCCTCGATATTGCTCAGCAAGTGCTCGACCTTGCGGCCGCCCACAAGTGGCGCAACATGTGGCGCCTTGCTCATCACGTATGCTAGTGCTATGCTCGTGATCGCCGTGTTGTGGCGTGCTGCGACGCTCTCCAGCACCTTGGACACCGCGATATCAATTTCACTCGGCTCGACTTGTCGGCCGGGATTACCAGTCTTGGCCAGCTCTTCGCGGTGGGCAGTTGTTTTGAATGCACCGCCACCGATGGCGCCCCACGGGCAGAGGCCCATGCCTTCGGCGGCGCACATGGGGATGATCTCGCGCTCAAAGTCGCGCTTGGCGGCGTTCCACTGACCTTGATAGACGGAAAAGGGGCGCATACCATGATCACGGGCGTCTGCGGGATACCATTAGTCGGATTTCTTTTCTTATAGAGGCAGTGATAGGGATGCCATGACTTCTTACATTGATTCGCTCGACTGACAATCCATGCAGGCGTATCACTGACGCCGAGGTACAGCACCTTGCCTGCAATGACTAGCTGGTTGAGCGACGTCATCACTTCTTCGATGGAGGTCGCGAAGTCCCACCAGTGGACATACAACTAAGGCTCATGTTAATTTCCTGCCTGTATTGAACAGAGAAGAGTCAGCATCTTACCAGGTCGATATAATCCGTCCGCAGCTTCTTCAAGCTCGCGTTCACAGAGACCCTCATGCTCTTCGTATTGTTTCCCACAAAGTTTGCCTGGATCTCCAATTTGTTATGCATCCGGTAGCCGGAGGTATACTTAGTGGCCAAGACGATCTGGTCGCGCACACCGCGCTTTTCCATCCATTCGCCCAGCCAGGACTCGGAGTCTCCGTTTTGGTAGTTGTTGGCACTGCTTTGGTTATTAAGAGCTCTGTGCCACATTCGATCAATCTGCTCTTACGTGTCGATGAAATTGCCCCCGTTTTCATAGAATGTATCCAAGATCTTGAATGAGGTCTCCTTGTCACATTCGCCTAGTCTCTCCTTCCTGTTGATGTGGGGTTCGATTAGATATACAACGCGGTTATGAAAGGTATGGAGTAACTCCTTTGAGACACAATAGTGACATACCATCCTTCTCCAAAGCTCATTGCACCCAGACACAGTGGGCTCACTTTTACGCCCGCGGTGGGGGCAAGCACACGGTACTGGCCGAGGCGGGATTGCGGGGGCGCGGCGGGAGGAGGTCCAGACATCGTGACATATATCTGTTCTTCCGAATGAGTTTGAACGATAAAATGCAGTATCTTATTAGGATTATTTTCAGCTTCACTGGCTTAATCCTTGGACAATTAGAATCAAGATGTTTGCAAGTAGGAGTTGCGGTGTGATGGGCGCAGCTTTAAATACCTTCCGAAGCATGTACCCTGCAGGTAAATGATGTAAACAGGGCATGTGGCAGATAGGCCCATTATTAATCCTTGAGCTACTCCAATCCGTCATAAGTCCGGATTCCGGCCCTCGAGGCGCTATCTAACCAGTCACCGCGAGCGGCAGTGGATACTGACGAGGGGTCGTCGCTCTTCTTTCCGAAGCGTGGGCGTTTATCTCCGTGTCCAGGTCAGCTAGACGCTGCTTGAGCGTATTCGTCAGAACTGACTTGTCTACTCAAGCTGTACTATGTCACGTCGACTGTGTTATGCACGCGCCAAGTTGAAATGCTAATCAATTAATTGGGGTAATACCATAGGACTGGAGAGTTAATAAACGGCGAAAATCGCAGAATTCCAAACACAGAACGGCTCTAGTTCAAGGCCCTCTGTCTCTACCTCTTGGTCTTCCTCACGCCATTATTTACCACTGCCTTCTTGTTTACATCCTCTTCTCTCCTCCTCTTCATCACTTTCCTCGCATTCTGGCTGTATTCTCGAATCCACTTACTCTGCCCTTTCTCATCCGAGGGAAGATCTGGAATCTCGTTCTCCTCTGGGTCTAGTCTTTTCTCATGTTTCCTGCGCTCTCTGCTGAACTTTCTTTCAAGCATTCTTGGCTGCAGCGGCATTTTGCCTGGCAGGTCTTAATTGATTACTGCTTTGACATTTTCGTCAAACATCACAAGGAAGCTGGGCACGGTAGGCCTCTCCAATTGCCAGGTCAAAGAATCCTAGCTGGTTACATCAGTAGGCACGACTGACCGAGTACGCTGCATTATAGGGGCTCGATTAAATTGTGAGGGGTGTACATTTCGAGTGCTGTTGCCCGTTATTTACCCCAGAAGTGCAGAGTATACTTTTGAGGACGCTGAATGCCCCGGTGAGAAAGTTAGCTCTTAATCATTCAGGCCCACCTATACATGATGATGTCCTTCACGATACGGGGATGTAGTTCGGCTTCATCACAATTTGGATCCAGCCCTGTCTTATGGCAGTCTTGTTGGATCTTGAGCAATTTCTAAGTTATAGTACAGTAACGGCCGCTATCGCCTTCCATGTCGAACAACATAGAGATGGCATTTCAACCCCTAATTTCATGAAACGTCAATCCATATATGGTTAGCTCCGTATTTTAGGATCCGTTTCAGGATGATTGCGAACTGCCAAATGAGGAGAGATTAGTGCAAGTACTTTTATACGTATCATTACGCTTTCGAAAATACATCATCGCACGGCCACCATGACGTTGTCCCAATACAAACGTCCCAACTTCAGCATCACCACCATCCTAACGGAACCTCAATCCCTGGCAGCGTATAGCCATTGTTCATATGTACAATCGCCGTCGATTATGCATCAAGATGGATCTGAATTTGCAAGTTGACGGCGGCCACATACTTTTCCAATACTTCAGCTGTCCGACAGGGCGGAAGCAGAGTCTACGACGGAGATCCGCCAAGCTGCATCCACTACCTCATAGAATGGCGCGTAACACCCGCACCCTGATCATATAGCATTCATCCTGATCAGGTAACAGAGGTTTCCAAGTTGTTTGGACTCTGGTTAGACCGGCGTATTCTGCAGGAGGAGCATCTACGTGCACATCTAGTCTCCAATAGACTACGGACTGCTTGGAAGATACGGCATTTCTGCCTAAGAAGTATTACTGGGAACTGTCAAGCCGACAAAAACAACCAGAACGGCCGAGTATGCAGCCGTGCTAGACAGAACATCTTTTGACCCATCAAGAAACAGGGCCATCAGCAGACCAAATATTGTCACACATACTGTTGTTGAAACCAGCGCCGTGTAAAGCGTTCTGTGAAGGACTATAAGCCACATAGGTGCGATGAGGAAGATACCACCTACGGCGGCTACTCCCAGCCGTTGTTGAAAGCCCCTGAGCCAGGTTTGTCGAAGGTTTCCGTCTCTCGTACCACCAACAGGCTTTGGGCGTATGTCGGACGTCTCCCATTTGACGATGCACTTTGCCCAATGCAGTGGGTCTGCTTCGTTCTCCTTATCTCTCATAGCAGCCTGGAGCATAAGGCGATCGATAAGTCGCTCCCCAGTTACGATGAACGGGTCTTGGGGCTGCAAGATGTATTTTCCCATATAGTCGTAATCTTGCAGGGCTTGGACTATCATGGAACCGCATCAGTAGAGTACAAGGAGCATGTAGCTGCTTCTGGCTAATTTTAGACTTACCATACTCTCTCAGGTCTTCAGCCCAGCCTAAAGGTTCCATTGCGTCGTATCTCAGGTCTATTGCATGCTGGACTAACTTGTGTTGGAGTTGTCGTAAGCGCAAGCGCTGTAGCTCAGAGATGTTGATCCTGTAACTCTGCTCACTTCCCTCTAGTTGTTCATGAGCTGTGCCGGTTCCCACCTTGGGCTGTTGGCTGTTAAGACCCAGCGGATGTTCATCTGCGACCACTTGGGGACTATGACTGTTATTGGGCCTTTCCCGATTGTTTCCTGGGTCCTTATTGGTTCCAGAGCGATGCCCAAAGAGTACATCTAGCCAACAGTCACCTGGTTTAGAGATCTTGGTGATGATACTGTGACGATGATGGTCAATAATCCAAGAAGAGTTGTTGAAGTCCAGAATTTCGCGCGTCACATGTCCTCCGTGGTAGCCTTCGAGATCAGGTTGACGCTGAACCCGACGAAACATAATATGATTTGACGGTTGAGAGTGTGCTGGTAAGTGTCTACAATACTCGGGGTGATCACGTAGACGAGATAAGACACAAGCACCTGCTTTCGTAATAGATGCGCTCAAATATGATTAATATTCCCTCCTGCGCTGGCCCTATCGGTCTCACGCTGTGGAGCTGAACGCTTTTCTTTTAAGCCACGTCACCAATACAGGAACTTTTGCCGGAGCAGCGACATGAATGGGTGTGAGTGCGCCACGTCAGGATGTGTTCTGCAAGGCGCCACATGAGGATGAGTGTAGATGAAGTTACCCGAGGTAGACATGACGACAAATCAAAATCAACTAAGTATCCAATAATCACATTCTGATTGGCCAAGTGCGAACCAATGGATTGACTCTGACTTGATCAAGTAACAGCCGCGTGGAAGCTGCAAGGGTACATCAAGTCGGATAGGCCCAGTTACAGGTAGTTCTCTTTTTCAACTCCATTGCCCTCGGGCCGTCGGATTTCTCAGTAAAGTCGGTCTCAAGAGCAACGGATTCAATGGAGCATAAAATACTTCGGTTGAATGCTACGGCCTCTGGCGGCCGCATTATTATCGCTTTTTCATACCCTCCATCGGCTGAAAGCTATAAAGAATATCTGGAGAAACCCGAGAACACCTACGACGACAAGCACGAATGGAGTGTTGCTGTACTGGAAGGGAAGGTGTCCATGACCCTTCCCTCTGACATAACCTTCGAGTTCCCTAGTGGCTCTAAGGATGCCGTTCTGGCTTTCCAAGACGAGGCGAAAGCGATAAAATGGGAAGAAAAAATGTTAATATGGGAACGGGGAACAAACCATGAGGGGACAAGGCGAAGCATTTCACGGTCATTGACTGTTGGACGCCTCAACGAAAAGCTGGGCTTGCCAGGACACATTCCATTACTTGGCCTCAATTCCACTTTGGCGGTCACGTCAAACTATGCCGCTTTTTCGTACGATTTCGACAACCTTTTGGCGCATTTCAAGGGGCCACAAGGTTAGACGGTTTACCTCCCAGAGTTTCGACTACGGTTAATTGGACATTCGCAGGCCTCAGGGGGCGTCGGGCAGAGGCGAATTGTCGGCGGATTGCTTGCTCAAAGACTGCCATGTTTAAGTTTGCACCAAACATTCCAGTCGTTCAGGCTTCTAGTTCTACAGTGGCCGTTCATTAGTATTTGGCACACAGTACTCCCACTAGCAGAAATATAAGTGGGTCATGTAGCATGTCCTAAATACTAATGAACGCTGACTGTAGACCTCGTGTCTTTTATACTGGTGTTTTGAACTTCTGGTATTTATTACCTGGTAAGCTACAAGACGAATTATCTACGCTCTATCCCTGTCTCAACTAGTATATCATGTGGTTAGTGTTTGAAAGAGCGTCTCTATGTTTCCGACATGGAAGGCGATAGCGGTCGCTACTGTATAATTGGAGATGTTGCTACTGTTGTTATTTCGAAGGACCTTCAGGTACAAAGAAAGCCAGCGGTGTTACGATGGAGGAATACATGACGGACTCTGATCGTTATGATGCATCGCTCGCGACAAGAGTATCATACTGACAAGAATGTTAGCACCAAAGAAATCCTCCGTCACCTGGAAGAGACGAAACAATATCGTATCTGACGCTCGCGCTCGGCTGAGCGATAGCGATGCACTATTACCACACTTCCGTTTGCGCCCACTTTGAACAGGTGTTGATGGCTTGGTAACACAAGACACGCTATCGAGCCGTAGCCACTTTCTGCTTTCCTCGAAACAAGGGTCCATTGGAACTCTTTTCCAAAGAACAGAGCAGCACACGTCATCTACACAGAAATATGGCATGACACACGGTCGTAACAGATAAAGTGTACACTGCAAAGTCCCCACCCACGCAAGTCTCTAGGACGTAACAAAGTGTCGATATCACATCCTCGACAGAGATGCTGTCAAGCTGAAGGGAGCATATATCACGAGATCGACCGGCGACGCGAGCGGTTCATAAGACCATCGCAAGTGTATCCACTCGCTGATATACGTCTGTCGCCAGACAGACAAAAGTGAGGTCACCGACATAGCTCCGCAAGCCTCGAAAGACATGTTGGAGCATGCCGCTCACCAAGAAGAGGTAGTAGCACGGTGCCGTGCTACTTATACGCTTGTTGCGAGTGCAACATTACCATGACGGAATTGGATCAACACGCCAGCATCTCTGCTACATGTATTCTCACGTATCTATGCACTACGTGCCAAGAATCTCCAGCTCGGGCCGCCGCCCGAGCCTGTCCCTAATAACAGACTCACTTATGCCATGTATTTAACATACACGTCGCGCGGCCGAACGGGCTTCCCGCCGTTAGTTCGGCGGAACCCGGCTGCTATACACCGCGAGCGTCCTCAACAAGAATATTTCCTCATAAGGGCAAGGCACAAACTTAATCTCCGGCAGCTGAGCAGTAACCAGCAGAGGATATCGATGTGAGGATTAGGTCATTCCAGTCAACAAAGAATCTACTTTGGGCTTTGTGTCGGTGCACAGCAACCACGGCTCACTAAACTTCAAAGAAACGGAACAAAGATAAGAAGATTCGCTCGTAAGAGCTAAATCAGAAGTAAAACAAAGCCTTCGAAGTGATGCTGGAAATATGCGAACTGAGGAGGTGGCTTAGCTCTCGCTGGACAGGACCGAGAGCTCTATTGAGGGCCAACCGGCCACCCTATGATAGATGGTATTTGCTGAATGGCTCCGAGGAAGGACAGGGGCCCCCCTAGTCCCACTCCTCTTTTTCTTCTCCTATTTATGAGGTAAACTGTGCATCAGCAGCCGATTTTCGATTTTGAAGGATGTCGGCATAGAAGGCGCCGGATAGTCGTATTGGTGCAAGGTCTATACATACGAGCGCATGTAAGGCCCATGGAAACCAGCATCGGACCATGCCGTGAAACAGTTGAATCAGTAGGGACAGTGCATAGTAATATGGTGTTTATTTTAGTAGAAGTATTCGCTATCTCGTTCTCCACACTGATCCTCCACGGGGTAGTATTAATAGTAGGCGTCCCTGGAGGATTCGGTGGGGCGGAGGGTCCGCGTGTGATGCGGGCTAGCATGTCCCGCTCCTCAACCCAAAGACAGCACAGCCAGGCTGCCTTGGCCGAACGCGCGACCTTCTTAAAACATTGCTGGGCAAGGGCAACTCGAGGCTGATCACTGCTTCACCTCCTTCTCTCCCGTCTCCCTTTCTCAGTCACTGCGATGCCCGGCCGTTCATAATGTACGGACGACCTCAACCAGATCCCCCATCGCAGCCTGAATGGCGAGTGCCGCCGCGTCGCCCGGTAGGCCAACAGGCTGAACCACCACTACCGCCCCCGCCACCCCGTCCACAGACGACGGGTGCCTACAGCCCAGCAACCTATGGCCCGATCTCACACCACTCGGCAACTGCAGACGCGTCGCCGGTATCAGGGCGCGGTGCGGATCCCAGAACTTGGGGGGTGCGGTACAACCAGCTACCACACCCGATTTATGCCCCGCCGCCCTTGCCGGTAAGTGCATGAGACTGTGTGGAAGCCATATAGCTTCCAGAAGCTGAGTATCCCGATATGAATAGCCTCGGCCATCGAGCACCAACGAGCAACCTTACGCCTATGCGCAACCGCAACCGCCGCCTCCGCCCGTCAACAACAGCATCTCCCCGGTACCCCCAACCCATGGTATCGAATCGCTCTCCGATGCACAGGCGGCCCCATCGGCCTCGCTGACCATCCCACCGCCATATACAGCGCATGCAGCTCCAGCTCCAGCTACCATTCCGCCCCCGCCCCCAAAGAAGCCGGAAGGATATCAGCGAACTCCGCCGCCCGTTCAACCTGGTACGCTGGAACGGCCTCCGCTGCTCGCGCAAGGCGTAGGGCCAGCGGCAACACAAGGCTCTTATGGGTTTCCCGGAGATGCTTCCACCGGTACCAGGATAGCTCCAGCGGGTCCGTCGGCGCTGGGCCCCGGGACACCGTCGGATTGGGAGCATTTGGCACCGACGCCGGGTGAATTTGATGACGGCCCTTGGTTTCCACCGAGGAGGCCTCCACCTCCGCCTGACACCCAAACTCCACCTCCGCTTAATACCCAAACTCCAACTTACCCTCCAATGCAATCGCCAATGTCTATTTACACTCCACCAGGTCATTCGACTGGAATGCCCCATCCTGCAACAACCGCTCCAGAAGATGCACCTGTCCCACTGCGGGTAGATGCAGCTCAGCCGTATCCGAGAAATGTGTATCAAGCTGATCCGCCGCGACGAAATGATTCAATTTCGCCAATCAGTCCTGCTAATACACACGGAACGCCCCAGGCCGGTCTTCCGAACCGGGTGGACAGTGTTGGCTCTGGTGTCTCTTCCGTCGGAGATCGTGCCGATAGTATAGATAATGTCATCGATGCTTGGGTTCAACCATTGTCACCTGCGGCCAAGCCAACTCAGCCAGATCATCAGAGTCGCCGAGCCACCCCAGACGCGGTTCCTACGCCTACGCAGAGTAGCCCTCCTCCTGCTCAGGATACGAGAGCAGTTTCCAGCCCCGCACCACCGCCAGCACAAACTAAAGTGGGACCAAGCATAGCGGCTCCTAAAGAGGCAGACCCATATGAGGATCTTGATCCGTGGTTCAAATCATCTCTGACGCGCTATGTTGCGATGCTGCGCAAAGAGGCAGTCGCGGACTCGGACGAGGAGCGCTTCAAGATCTTCACTGCATTTACTGTCAAGGAGACCAAGCTTCGTGAGATTCTCTATAATGTTGAACACGAGCCGCAAGATGTCCACTCAGCCCTTCGTGCCTCTGTGACAACGCCGAGGCGGTCGTCTCCCGGTTTAGAGGGTCGCAAGCCAACAATCGAATCGGGATTGATTCCCGTAGAGTCAGAAGAAATAATGTCTCCGACTACAACAGTCACAGATGATGGAAACGATGTGGATGATGTAGCTAGCGAATATAGCGCGGGAGGCCGCCCTATCCAGGCCATGCGAGCTCGTCGAGCCTCACAATGGCTGCCAAAGCTTTCAACCCTTTCATCGGGCGGAGACTCTACGAAACGTCTCTCCAGAACTCCTTCAATGCAGGTCTCAGCGGATGCGACCATCCAAAAGCAGACAATGGAACCGCTCACAACGAATCCCCCGCGGCCTATTTATACACCCTTTCAATATACCGAGGGCCCCCAACGTGGCTCGGACAACCTCACCTTCGACCGTCCTGCATATCAGGCCTACTCTGATCTGCGACAAGCATCTGCCGTGAGCGGACGATTCATGTCTAACGCCCCTCCGCCTATCCTTCGATCACGATCTAACACCCTACCAACTTCTCCGGCCCAGGATGAGCACAATGAAACTTTCCTTGGCCTCATCCGCCATAAGAGCAGCGCCTATCAACCCATCAATCACCGGGAAACAATGACACCACCACGGCTTCCAGGGACCCTTCGACAGCATCGTCAGAGTAATGACCCTTTGGAGGATATGCGTGCCATGGTCTGGACTCCTCTGGACAAACAAGCTGAAAGCTCATGGCATATTACGACTCGGGAAGGTTTTGAGAAATTCCCAGACGATTTTTCATATATCCAACAAGCCATCAATAAATGGGAGGGTTCCGCGCAAGCACGTCGACAGAGATTGGATCAAGAACGCACAGTTCGACAGGAACAGTCAGAGGCTGAGATCGACGATCTCTTCAATAACAAGGAGATTGGTTATGCGGATATCAATACACTGGAAGAGGGTTTCCGTCAAACGGAGGCTCGTGTTCAACTGGATGAGGAGCGAGAAGAAGTGGATGATTTTATCGCACGGGTGTTCAATCCTTTGGATGAGCGTCTGAAGGATGAAATTTCGCATCTTCGTAACTCGTATGACTCGGCGCTCAACCAACTGGACCGAGACCAGAAAGGAAAGAGTTCGCCAGTTGAGCAATGCAGCCCATCTGTGACCATGAAAATGGTCAATGATATCCATAGCAAGCTTGAGATCCGTTTCCAGAAACGGCTCGAGATTGCCCTGGACTGCGAGCGTCGTCGCAAAAAGGCTGAACGCCGGCCCCTCGTGTTCATGGGCGACATGGTCAGCCTCCGCAAGGTGGATGGGGACTTTGACAGGATGGAAAAGCGGAACATTCTGGAGGCAGCCAAGGATCGCGACGACCGAGCCAACCGACATATGGATTCGTTCGATGATGCGATCCTCCACGGGCTAGGTATGAATCAGAGCCTCCTGGACGAGTTGGCGACAAAAGCCGCCCGGCTAGATGCCACGAGCCTCCGCGCTTCCGGTCTACCGGATTCTGAAGTCGAACAGATCCTCAAGTCCGCGGCAACGTTCGCGGCGTCGCTTCGCACCGATTCGGAGGCGATCTTGCGCAGCTCGGGAGTTGCGGAAGTAGCCCTCAACGACGCCGACTACAATGTCTCCGTCGCCGAAGCGCGATATGCCAACTCGGAGCCGGATATTTTCCACCGGCTTGAGGCTGAGAAGAAGAAAGAGGATGCTCTTCTCCAAACGGAGCTGGGTTCCAAGCTGCAAAGCATCCAGAAGGGCCCGCGAGACATCGAGGCCACAATTGAATGCCTGCTTGAGGATTTGAAGAAGACCCCTAAGCCTGCGACCCCGGCTCTGTCTGCGCCTCCGCCTCCAACCCTCGTTCCAGCCCACACTCCGACTCCTCCAGCCGCATCTGTGCCCGAAGAGGCAATCCCTGCGAAACAGCCAGCTGACATGTCGCCGCCTCTGGAACTTCGCCCGGCGGTCATTGCGCCCGGTCAGAAAACTCCGACTCCACCTCCGGTGAGTCGACCTGCGGATCCAGAGGCGGAGCACAAAGAAAGGCTGCGCAAAGCGCTGGAGGATGCAAAGAAGCGCAACGCTGCCAAGGCCAACCAATAAGTTTTATTTATTTTTTCCGCTTGTGGGTTTCGATCGAAGTCACGGGCTTGATGCATGATGCGACGGAATTCTTTGCATCTGATATACCCCTCATTTAGGCCGTGTCTACTCCATTACGTATCATCGCATTCCTATACACACTAGTAGTATCTGCTTAGTTCGGCGACTGTCTCCACTTATTTCTCTTTAGATACCCTCTCGCGATCGTTATTTGTGTAGAATTAGATACCGTCGATAGGAGGTTCTTTTGCATATTATCATGATTATTAGCGCTGGACTACATCTCGTTGTCTCTAGGGTGCTAAAGTTGCCGATCAAGACATATGGAGTGGCCGATGCACAGGCCACCAAGCAGCACAAGCACCCAGTCGGAGTCTTTTCCCCTATGTTACACAGAGAATTTGAGATGTCGCTTGGTAATGATTCGCCTTCTTCTTTCACAAGAGCAAAGCACATCCAGCCGCCTACCTCTTCTTGTGCCGAAATTTCGCAGGGCGAACCCTCAAGTCTTTCGACCTTCTCGCGAGCACATGAGCGGTTTTGGTTTCCAACTCGCAGCTGCCAATCACGCCAGGTACTGTGGCTGCACCATGAGCAGGGGCCGAGCTAGTCAAGCGAATTGATTTCGGAAAGAGAACAGCGCACAGACGACCTCATCGAAGCACCTTATCCCGGAGGATGAGTCAACAACGGTGGGAATCGCCGTTTTCACATTGCGATGTGTGGAATTTGGCTCCATAATATGCAGACGAGGCACTTTTTTAGGCGCCCACCCTCAGTGATTGGCGGCCACGGGGGCCAACTCGGGCCATCCGGCCATTAGACGCCAGATGCCTGCCGATCAGCCCTGCTGCGCAGCAAGCCTGCTCTGACCACCGCTCAGCAGCTGCCATTGGGATTTGTGCTCCTCGCTCCCTCGAGGCGAGCGGGGGCTTAGACTCCAGCGGTGGACAGGGATGGAAGCGTCTTTACAGACTAATCAGACCCAATACCCAACCCGGCGGGTCCTGCTGTGCGGCAATGTTCTTGCCAGGCGTGTTCGGATTCGTTGTGCCCCCTGCACTAAGCAGCCAGACCGATCAGAAAAAGCTAACGGTACATCGACCGAGCCAGATAGTACGATAGTGCACAGTTCGCGCGCAGGAGCTTTGCCCCCGTCGCCCCCTCCACCCCCCTCCTTTACCCTGTGCCGCGCTGCCCTGGATCGGTGATCCTCTGCCAATGGATCTGGGGCGATATGCAAGGTGCTGCTATACATCACCAACTCTTTGTTTACGGTCACACTGGAGAACTAATCCTGCGGCGTCTATGACTAGGTTGCTGCTTTTCGGGATTCTCCACCTTTTCCCCATCTTCTTGAGATCCAGACTGCTGCCATTCTGCACGTCTTGGCTCGATTCGGATCGAGTTTTACCAAGCTGTCCGGTTTGAGGATCGATCAAGTCCAGGGTCCCTGGCCTCACCTGTCCCGAAGTAGTTGCGGGGCCCTACCGCAGGATTTTGAGTTATGGATTTCTGGCCTACAGTTTGCCTCACGAACCATCCCAGTAGGGGAGGCGATTTCCACTTATGCCCTAGCAATTCTTTGTGTGGCCCGTGGAGAATATGAACGAAGCGAAGAGCGGGCCAGTCGCGACGCCGTGCAAGTGCTCGGGAGAGAAAAAGTTCGAGACGCCTTCCCCCTGGACCCGGTCGACGGCGATCGCAAGCTACGCGTGCGCCTAAGCGGAGCAGTGAGAATCGTCACCAAGCCAAGGTTGTTTGGTGTGCGCCCATGTCAGAAGGCTTTCCATCCTCGTCCTTTCCACCTATACGGTGGCTGTATTCGCGCCTTTCCTCTCCCCGTCCTGCGCCTGGATTAGGGCAATGATCCGTTTGCCAGGTTCGCCCAACGGCGTCTCCTACGCTCTCCGGTCTGCAGCTCGCCCTTGCCCTCAGCCTGGACGAACTGTAGAACCAGTCATTCCACCGCACGGATGAGGGTGCGTTTTTCGTGAAATGTCGATGGTATCCGATTGCTGGCTTTGCTCGATAGCACCTCGCTATGGGGACCCGACCCAGCTTCTTCGAGACTAGCGACATAGTGAGCCTCTTGCCCTCCATTCCTCCAGTCCAGTCCGCACTTGTCGGAGGGATCCAGCCACTGAGACCCCAGATCGGCCCATTCAACTCGATCCCATTAGCGGGCGTCTGTGCGCTGGCGTGATGATGCTGATCTGTGTCATGGTACGAGGGAGGCATAGTCAAACGGTTCGGCCTTGTTAAGACAACATCCCTTCGACTCCTGCGGCTGTCAATCGTTCCCCCCTTTTCCCCTGGTTCCCCTAGACTCTCGGTCCCTAAGCGCCGTTGGAAAATTCCCCAGTTTTTCTACGCCTGCCTAACGACCCTGGAGATTGTTCTCTGGATTTTATTTTTCGTCCTTTTTCCCCTCCCCCTCCTTCAGCTCTTGCGGGGAATGCCGTCGCGCTCTTTGTTCGAAATTCAGTTCGGCCTCGCCGTCATGCGGCGGCGGGAGCACAGCGAGCACAGGTGCAAATGCAGCCTCGGATGACGAAAATCATCGTGGGTAATCGACACCCATTCACGGGTATTGTTGCCCAAAACCCTCCACTGTCTCCAGTCTCCATTCGCCATGCGACTTATTTAAAGCGGGAGGACCGTTCCATGGTTCAGCGTACCCGCTCCCGTCCATGGGTCGGAAGAACTCTCTCCAGTGAGTTTGAGTGTACCCATCTGAGCTTTGGTCGAGTCCACTCCCTTTTCAAGGCAATTACACATCCATTGCACTATTTCCTCGCCCCCTTCCTTGTAATTTGCCTTGATCCTCGATCCTCTGTCGGCTTCATCCTCGCCTCCCACCACCAAATCCCCCTTTCCCTTTTTCGCCCCGGTCATGTCTCCCCCGACGAGACAATTCCACAGGCTCTCTATCGGTCAGAACATGCCAGAAACTCGGGCCCAGTCTTCACGGACGGCCCGCGCAGCGGGGCGGCCGGACCCTTCCGACAACGACGAGGATACTGATCATGGGAACCAAGGGAATGACAGTTCTCCTGCGGAGAGCTCCAGTCAGGAAGATGGGGATGAGGATGAGAGCAGCGAGGAAGAGTCTACTCGCCGCGTTCGGATGCGATCTGGAATCACGTATGATTTGAGCCACCTGAATGCCGAGTCGGAAGCCAAAGCTTTGCTGGGTTTGATGGGCCAGTTTGAAGTCGTCAATTGCAGTGCCTCGTCGTCCGGTTACGACTTTCAGCTCCTAGATCGACCACGAGTGCATGTTGGCCCGGGTTCGCCTACTTGTACCTGCTCGACCTTCCAAGGCCAGCCGGGCGTGGCGTGCCACCACATCTTCGTAAGTGCTCACTGTCATTTTCGAGGGCGAATTGACTACTTCTCGAGAACCCAGTTCCTAACTCACCCCTTCCTCCAGTGGCTCCTCGATCAGCTCCATGGCTGCTTCCTCTCCAACCCCCCTCCACGGAGGTGGCTCTGTCCCACGATGGCCGCCCCCGTGTGCATCCAAGCATCGAGGACCTCCTGAAGGGCAAGCTAGAAGCGGTGGCAGACCGACTCAACTGGCCGTGCCTGCGCAATGAGGGCGACGGAAGAAGCACGGGCATGACGCGGGCCCAAAAGGTACGAGATGTCCTCTCTGCATTCAGCCCGAAAATCTTGCCGGAGGATTTCCGCCAGGATTTGGCGGAGACGACCGCGCAGACGCGCACACCAGAACAATGCGTGGTTCAGGGCGACTTTGAGGCGACGATCTTCCGGCTTGCCGTTCACGACGACAGCGTCTTCACGAGCATGTGCAAGGCCATGCCTTCGGGTGCGTGCGCGGCGATCTACTTTGACAAGGTCCAGGAGCAGTCCCGCCGACTTCTCGCCGACTTTGACCGCTACTGTGCGACGGGAGAGCGGCCTGCGGATCCAAGCAGTCCTGGCGGAGGACTCGTCGAGGTAGACGAGGTTGTTCAGCATCTACGCCGCTCGGTCTCTCGCATCCGCGCAAACGTTGCCCTCCGTGCTCCTTACGGCTCCGAAGGTGCTGCGAAAGCTCTTGTCTCGATTCTCGAAGCGATCGCCGCGCGCAACAAAGATGCTTTGGAAGGGAATACCTGGGGCCGAGCTTCGTTCCATGGCGAGGACGAGGACCAGCGCAATTTGTACCACTTGCTCATTGGGTCTGAGGATATGGATTTGGACCCTGACGCGGAGCTTTTCGTCCTCGATGCGCTACATGCCCTTCCTCCGGCCGATCTTACCCAGTACCTTCCCAAGTTGCTTGATATTCGAGGAAAGATTGAGGTGAATCGCGCGCCAAAGCTGTTCCTTCTCCGGCTTGGGGCTTTGATTCGGGTAGCTGAGTCGGCCAGTGCTGGTGCTGCTTCAGCATCGGGTCAAATGGGCTCTGGGCAGAAGCGACCAGCAGCTGGGAACTCGGGCGGTAATTCGAAGCGGAGTCGCTAGACTTCACATAGTTTTGGTTTCGGTTTTGTTGATTCTTCTGCTTCTATAATGGTGGATCTTGTATCCACTGCTATTTCGTTCTTGTCATGTTTGGGCGGCCATCGTGTTCATTCATTCTATACCCCCTGCATTGTTGTCACCAGCGAACCCAAATACTCATCTTGCTACTTGTCCCGGCATTCATGAGTGATGGCGCTTCATCTTGTTCTCTTCGGTCGGTTCTGCTGCTACTGAACATTGAACGGCGACCTGATACCACTCTCACATAGAACTTCGACGCTGCGACTCCATTCATGATCTCATCATCTTTGGGCAAAGCTTAACTCTTCTTCACGCGATCTGATCTACTTTCCTTGGGTAGATCTATATCATGACCCCTCTTTCCGCAATGAGTAAGAGTCATCTGTAGCATGCCGTCATACCAACCCAGCACTGCGGCCGTGGGACCCCGCGTCCACGGCTGGGTACGCAGACGGAATGTGTCACTCGCCTGCCAAACTGTGGAAGTAGCCCGATCTGACCATGCGAACCGTGGCTGAGAACGGGGGCTTTCGGTGGTCAGACCCACTCGCACATGGTCGGGCCTCACTTTGTCGAGAAGGAAGCGGTGCGTGAAGGGGTCGCCGGATAGAGTGCTTATTCTCAGGCTTCTCTTATGACTATAGCTATCGAGGAAATCATTAAGTGCGCAGAGTATATGCGTAGAGTAGTTGCCGCGTGGCGACCGCGTTTAGAGCTGTGGAGTCGCGGTGGAGTAAACTCGGCAGTACACGGAGAGCGTGGCCAGAAAAGTCAAACCATAGTCCCTGTGGCGCTCCTGGGTTGCCAAAAAGCCCCCGTCGCAGAGGACATGCATAGGCAAGCTCCACGAAAATACATTCAATTTCAGTCCGTAGCAGAAAACAGGATCCCCGATACCCAAGATCTCCGTTTTGCTGAAGTCGACACGTGTTTCCTGAATTGTCCTGAAGAAACCAGGCACGGTCCCATGGGGGGCCACGGGGCTACTTGTCTGCCCGACGTCGGGTGTTTATACTTCACCGGGTCGGTTTGGCGGCATGGCTAATATTCGAGTGGGCGTCGGCGTCGGGTCGGTGCCGGGTTTTCGGTGCTGTGCAAGTTAGATGGAGGTTTTTGACCACCGGTGGACCCGTGCTTCTTCCGAGATGAGTTAATGCGTGTGGATTTGCGCTGGTGGGTTCCTGGAATTGGTTTCATTAGGGTGGGGGTTTCTTCTGGGGCTTTTTTTTCGGTGGTTCCCCTTAGCTGTAGGCTGATCGGGGAGATGATTGCTGTTTTGCTTTGTGCTTAGGTGGAATTGGTTTTGTGAAGTGAATGGCAATTGTGCTTGTTGCTGAGATAGATGGTATGTGAATGTTACGGCTTTGAAGAGTGTTATTTATCTCATCTACTCCGTACATGGTCGTCTTTCTCGAAATAGAAATAGCTAATTTTGTTGCCAACGAAGATATCTCAGTCATGTGCATGTTGCTAGTCCTAGGAGGACAAGGAGACTGGTTAATTAATCAATCAAAGTTCGATGGGCCTGATGAAAGCGTTGATCAGGAAACTGAACCTGTTGTTGCTTACAGCGTAGTAGTGGGACACCTGGCCTAGAGAATGGGTATGGTGCTAAATGCATGGGCAACGGCTGGCCCGGAGTGAATTCAAATTGAGTGACAAATGCGTACGCATCTTGGTTTGAAGATCTAGCTTGGGATCAGTCATATCGGTCTGTGCGGCTCTATGCAAAGACATGGTGCAGGGTGAAGCAAATTGAGTGCAATCGTCCCCCTCCATGAATGATCTGGTTGTTCACTGGGTAATTTAAGAGAATACATTTGCTATTTCGCAAATACCGCAGAAATGTCCAAGTGGGTCCCGAGGCCTATGTATTCTAGTTGCGCCAATCACAATGGTCGAATCCGTAATTAGGATGGTCACCGCTCATGATGGCAAATTTGGGACCCTCTAAACAACAAGGCCGGCTGGCCCAATGGCAAGGCGCTTGACTACGAATCAAGAGATTGCAGGTTCGACCCCTGCGTCGGTCAATTTTTTTGCATTTAATCGCTGCCTACTGATTCCAGACATTGAATCATTTATGCAGAGGGGATAGTTTTTGGAGGGATTGTTATGGTATTGTGGTCCAAACTTGATTCTATGGTTATAGGTAGGTAACTACGGGCGTCAAACATGTTCCGAATCCATCGATTTCCATTGCAGGACTCTTGCGGAATAGCAAGATTTCGGTCGACTTAAGGATGCCTCCAAACATATATAGTGACAGAATCCGCCTCGAGATCGCATCTAATATTATCTAATCGGACAGATCCAGCACCACACGGCCCTGTAACTTCCCTTCAGCCATCTCCTGGAACACTGACGTCAGACCATCCATCTTCTCGACGCGATAATGAGCCTTGAGGATGCCACGAGCAGCAAACTGCAACGTCTCAATCGCTTCAGTGCGATTTCCTACCGCCGAGCCGGTCACTGTGTAGTGCTTAGTAATGAATGATCCTGGGAACGCGGTCGCAATCGCCTGAGGTTCATGCTCCGGGATTCCGACGCAGACCAGGGTACCATTGAAGCGTAGCAGCGGCAGAGCCTGTGCATACGCGGCGTTCGCAGCCGTACAGACAACGACTGCATGAGCACCCAGTCCATCAGTCAACGACTGGACGTGCTTCTGCAAGGCTGCACCGTTGTCGTCCTTGGGGAACTGGGTAATGTCGACGAAGTGCTCAGCCCCAGACTGCTTGACGAGGTCTGCCTTGCTACCGTGGTCGATCCCAATCACGCGAAGACCCATGCCCTTGCTGGCTAGCTGCACTGCAATGTGGCCTAGACCGCCTCCTGCACCAGAGATCACCACCCACTGGCCGGGACGTGCGTTACTGCGCTTCAGAGCCGAGTAGACCGTCACACCAGCACAGAGCATGGGGGCTGCCTCGGCGTCGTCCACCCCGTCGGGAATCGGAGTCACATAGTTGGCGGGTCCCAGCGCGTACTGCTGGAATGTTCCTGGTGTATAATAGCCAGAGACTTTCTGGTTAAAGCACAGCCCATCCGATCCCGCCTGGCAGGGCTCTAATTGGAATCAGCGACGCTAGAAAAGCAAAAGCGAGAGTAATCTTTACGCACGGCAGTTCCCGCAAGCACTGGAGACCCATTTGATACCGACTCGATCGCCCACCTTCAGACCAGAGGTCTCGGTGCCCGCACCGAGTTTGACAATCTTGCCAACACCCTCGTGTCCTCCAACCTGACCCGGCTGAGTTGGGAAGGGGAGCGTTTTCCACTGAGTGAAATCAGTTATGTTAGGAGCTCACAGTCTTCACGGGAGTGTATCATACTGTATTTGTCATTATGCCATAGTCAGAGTGGCACACGCCAGAGTGCGTCCTGCTCAACGTGTTAGGTATCCAATTCATCCTCGATCCTCCCAGAGAATCCACATACAGATTTATAAGAACCTCCCCGGCACCGGGTTCCGGCACATCGATCTCTACCACCTTGGTGGAGACTGTGCCCGGCTGGTCATAGATGACGGCCTTTTGCTTTTTAGGGATCTCGGGAGTCGCCATTGTGATCGATAGTCCTAGATCAAATGACGTGTTGGATAGTAATAGATTTGGGTATGAGTGGCCCTGACAAGAAGAGAGCTGCTCACGCGCGGGCAACGGAAATCCTATTTATAATCCGCCTGCAAGTCAAAGAGGAGAAGGGGTCGAGGGGGTGTGGCCGATGGGGCCAGGCGGGACCGCGGGGCGCGGGTGATTGGCATGACTACACTTAACATGTAAATGCCTCGGAAACTGTCAACACATTCCGTGAAACAGGCTACCGTGCTGGGCCCCAGCCGCGGGCGAAGGTGACGGTGAGGGGCGCGAGGTGGAGTCGTGATGGACCTCGGGTGCACCCAGGTATTCGTGACTGCGTCGTGCAGTGCAGGACCATAGCTTCTCACTGAGCCAAGTGAAGCAAGAAAGGAGAGCTCCAATCCACCAGGAATATAATTCTCTCAAGTGCTATACTTAAGCAAACCGGACCCGCAAGGTCCTTAGCTCTACTGTGCAGTTCTTCGCCGCGATATCGCCATCTACTTCGGCTAACCCCGCATCCCCGCATCCCCGCAAGAAACTGGAACCACAAGCCAACACAAAAACAGAAGCCGCTTAGACTGGGGAACACAAGGACACAAGGCTTGTGGGGGGCCCAGAACAGGAGTTCATTGCAAACAGATTGATGATTATGCTAGCCATTTTTGCCGTGTACATGGTTGTCCCCGCAAGTCTCTCCTTCTACATAGTAAACTCCAAGAGATTGCCGGCGTAATCTCGAGCAAAGAACCGCTGAGGGTACTCCTTCCCTTTTGCACCTGTCAAGATCCCGAGTAGTTAGCAGTGCGATTAGCGAAGCCGCGGAGATGAGTCCGCTTACCAGAACCTTCTTCACCAGGCTTATCGGCGGCCATCGGCGCGGCCGGACCCCCACGGACATGGTGGTCGTAGATGGAAGTCTTAGTTGCCTCTAGCTCATCACGAGAAGGTAGCTTGAAGCATGGATGTCGCGTAGACTTGGGATCAGTCGAACCGCAGGTGACATGAATTTGTTGCCCGCTAGAGCCGATATCGAACCTGCATGTCACAAATGGTCAATATCCATCACGAATGACGCCCTCGACACACGCTTGGTCGCACGCAGCTCCCTACCCACCATAGGATAGTTCCGATCTGTAGCTCGGGCACAGGCGCAGGGCTTAGCCCGAGGGTCTGGCCGTAGAATTCCCGTGCTTGCTCGAGAGTTCCTGGAGTGACCGTGAGGTTGATGTGGGCGATACCGGTGATCATGATGGATTATGCGACAAGCGGCGAGACCCTGCAGTTCAATGTTCCTGTTAAATTTCAAGGCTAGCAGTATGCTAGCATATAGACTGTGGTTAGTGTAGGACGCTCGCCACTTTTTATTTCTTTCCATCTGGCGTCACCCCCACGTCGGGGAATCGGAAAGCAGATCCCGCTGATTGGTGATCCGCCCGCCCTCGTCGCGCGGAGCTGACCAGACTTCATCGGGGACCCCGCACAGAGAACTCGTGCTACGTGACTCACACTTCGATTTCCCGTTAAGCAGCCTACATCTCTAGAGGATTTTGAGAACTGCTGGTTACCGTGCGGGAACATTTCGCGAATACTGAATCGCTCAAACCATGACGATGGAGCCGATGGCTGTGCAACAGAAATTAATTGCAGAACATATTATCGTTTCATCTCAACAGCTAACAAAATACATAAGCACCCGCCCCGACTTCGATGACGACTCTGGTCAGCAGTCTAGAAAATCGAGCGAATGATTCTCATGGGCGCCGCCTTGATCCACTCTCCCCAGGTATGATACACGACCTTGGGCGGCAGGTCAACGTCCAGCGCAGTATCACGCATGTCGCTGAAGACATCCATGTCCTCAACCTTCACAAACCAGTTACCCCGGTCCAGCTTAGGATCTTTGTTGAACTTTGTGTAGATGATCCAGCCGAAGAAGAGGGCAATGATCAACGGGGCAGCCAGATAGTTCTCAAAGAAGATCTCTGCGTCCATCGGAGCGATAGAGACATAGAACTCAGCCACCAGGCACATCACATTGAGGCCAAGGCCAATCCAGCTGCCCACCACACCGAACGGAGCGGTGAAGGCCAGTTCACTGGTGTCGCGTCCGTGATGCTTCCAGCCCGCGCGGAAGCGAATATGGGCGAGGCAGATACTGCCCCAGACGAAGAAGGAGATAGTGCCGGAAAGAGCCAGAAGCCAGTTGAAGATAATACCGCCGGTGCTTGATGCCTCATTGATGAACGCCAGGAAACCGAAGGCGATCTGGAGCAGAATGCAGTACAGGGGGCGGCCCTTCCCGTCAACGTATGCCAGGAACTTGGGTGCCATGCCTCGCGCAGCCAGGGCTTGGATAGTACGGCTAGATCCGTACGTAGCAGAGTTGGCGACACTGACGACAGAAATAGTGATGACAGCATTCATGACCGAGGGCAGACCAGTGATACCGGCATTTTGGATCGAGACGACGAAAGGCGAAGCCTTGGTGTTGGCACCGGAGGAGTTGAGCAGATAGTCGGCATCATGGGGGACAATCAGGCCCACAATGAAAGTGCCCAGCACATAGAAGATCATAATACGCCAGAAGACCTGCTTGGTGGCCTTGGGCACAGACTTGGCAGGGTTGGCGGCCTCCGCAGCAGCAAGGCCACTCATCTCGGTACCGGAGAAGGCAAAGGCAGCAGTCACGAACACCGAGCAGAAGCCTCGGAAGTCGGTGAAAGCGCCGGGGTTATGCCAGTAGCGCGCTCCAATATATCCGCCCTTGGGGGCACCGCCGCAATCGATCACGATACCGAGGATGATGAAGCCGATGACCGCAATGACCTTGATCATACCCAGCGCAAATTCGACTAAGTTGACGAGATGTTAGCAATCAGGTTCGGGCATGATGTGGAAGGAAGGAAGGTGCATACCTTCACCATAGCCCCGCACGCCAAAGACTTGGATGACTGAGAGAACCACCAAGAATACTGCAATCCAGATTCCAACATTCAGATCGTCCCGCCAATACTCAATGGTGAGACTAGCAGCGGTAATCTCGAAGGGAAGAATGATGAGCCAACTGATCGCATAGTCCCAGCCGACTGCAAAGCCCCTATTGACCAGTTTCTGTTAGCATGGAGGGTGCTGTTGGGGCAACGTCGAGACAACTTACCAAGCAGGGTTGATGAATCGGACACAGTAGGTGAAGAAGGCACCATTTTGGGGGTACAGAACAGCTAACTCTCCCAGCGCCTGGATGGTGAGAAGAAGCATGAAGCCAACAATCAAGTAGCCAAGAAGCTTGGTCGTGTTAGCCTCCTATCGTGAATGGACCGATCGAAAGACTTACCAGAGCTCCGGGACCTCCCGAGCTCAATGCACTTCCAGTACCAACGAACAGACCAGCACCAATGGAACCACCTGGACCGGAGATACATTAGTTCGCGGTCTACCCAACCAACTGGAGGAGTGCATACCAATGGCAATCATCTGCATATGACGGCCCTTCAAGCTTCGCTTCAGAGCGGCGACCTCCGGGGCCGCGCTCACCACATCGTCGTATGCCGGAGCCGGCATGTCACCCGCCGACTCGACAGCGGGCGAGAGCTTCTTCTCGATATCCTCGTCTGCGGCAGTCATCTTGAACCAGTGAATCAAATTCTTGGGAGGGTTCAAGGAAAACTGAGTGAGCGGCTCAACTCAAAAGCTCGGGGTAGCGGTGGCGTTATATACGTGCCGTGCCAGCCCAAGCCATCGCGGCGACCAAGCGACAATTCGGGTATTATTCTCGAAAAGCTTGCTGCAGGCCATCCCGCCTGTCGACGCCCGGCCAGGCCCATCGCAATTGGAAGATAAGGTGATGCATGAGCGTCCCATTGGATGGGGCACAACTAAGGCTCGAGTCCATCGGCCAGCTCGCACTTATCGCAAAAGCGCAGCGGCCCCCGGCCCTAACCCGAAGTGACTAGCGTCCCATTTTCACCTTTGCGTTTGCCCCTATAATTCAGTGGCTGTATGGCGTATTCCGTACTCTGGAGAGGTCCGGGTTTGGAAACCACTCTTTCTGAGACAATCATGTGGTGTTATGGTTAACAGGTCAAAGCAGGCAGCCCAGCTATCGTGTGACTATGATAGATCGCATCAGTGCAGAGGGTCACGGACATTCGTATTGTTGAGCTGGAAGGATGTCTCGAGGCCTGATAGGGTGTTTGCGAGATGGACCAGGCAGATAACGACCCTAGGAATGTCAGACATATTGGCTGAGATCATCCCTCGGCGATCCCATAGATAACAAGGTTGCCTCCGCCCACCTTCGGGCAGGCGAGCTGTGGATGCCAAGCTTGCGGTTGCCCCGCCCATCGAAGATATGGTTGGCGGACCACCCGTCGTGCCCCGGTGGCGGTTGCCATGCACACAAGCTGGCCAGGGGTCTTTATTACGCGGCGCGGTCCCTTATCAGTAACCAATGACAACATCGCAAAATCATCGCTCGAATGCCTTTAGACCACGAAGGGAATTTGCTTCATTCTGGAAGGAAATAATTGCCGACCAGATCTACATTAGAGACATGCCCGTCACGTTGCCAAGATTAAGCTTTAAGCACCTTTAAATCCCTTGGCTGATTGTGATAATGGTGACAGAATTAAATAGGACACCACAACCCCCACATTTAGGACACGGGAGATGGACAAGCCAGCGGACATTCAACGGGGTAGACGGGAATTAATATTTTCGTTAAGGAATCGACATCAGGGACGCCATGCCAGAAGATGAGAGCCATTGAACTCCGCAACGACAAGTCACCCGCAGTGTTTCGGTTTCCTCATCATCGATTAACTGGGCCTCGGTGAAACGTGGTTGATCTTTCCTTATTCACGTTGCGGGTTAACTTATGAGGTTCAAAGATAACGAAGGATCCGCAGGAACATCTTCCTTCCCTCGCCCCGGTGGAGATGCTCGACATATCCTTCATGTTGGGAGTGTACCCGCTCCTAATCAAAAACCGACATACTGCGACCAAGGGACTCTACACTGTTAATTCGGACGTACCGGCCTTCCAGTCTCGCCAAGGAGCATCAGACCACTCGAGACCATTCCTATCAGAATATCTCTTCTCCGTGACGAGATATCCAGTGAACATCATGCGCGACACCTTCACGGAAAATATAACTGAGACCCTCAATCTGATAGTGGTGATTCACCGCGAGCACGAATCGGACCAGTGTGGGCCGACCGCCATAGCCGTAGCTCAAGTGAGACACTAGCACCGGGCGCACTTGAATGATATAGTCGCTCTAAACGGTGTCTGCTCTTGGTGCTTGTCATCTTGCGGAGCGACACGGTCTTGTAAAACTTCTCTATTGAAAGACCGAGGTTGTCGGCGACTGATACAACAGAGTCAGGCACAGCTGTCAAAGGGGCGTTCTTGGCACCTTGGCCATTTCTCCGATCAGCTGGTGGCTCGTCTATCCACCTGCACGCTTGATTGTCCATCCATTCTCCACAAAATCCTGGGCAGTCCACTTGAAACTGAAACCTTAACAAGCTCAGCTACTGAGCACCTTTTGTCTCCAAATTGTCGTATAGGACCACCGGATGGCGAAAATTCGTGAGAAGCCATTGCGTCGCACTGGACGCGGATTACGAGAATATTGAAATCACAACAGTCAATACAGTGTATGAAGGCCTGTGATTTTGACTAATGCCAGAATGGCGAGCAGTAGGGGCGTTCTATACTCCGTGGTACCTGAAGGCAGAGCCACGGAACCTTGAAAAGTTAATAACGGCAATTTCTTTCTCAAAGGCGATGAAAAGGGACACGGAAAAACTGCGGCCCCGGTGGGGAAGAAGAAGACACTGAGACTTACCGAAAGCGGAAGAACAAAGTAGGCCATTTTGATCTTGCTGCTCTTGAGACGGAGACATCTGCCGACATTTTTTACGCCATCTGTGCCCACGGTGGTTTTTAACAGCCAACAGCCCACTGCTGCCGCACTGATAAAGCCTTTGAGTATGGCTACGCTACTAAATACAAATACGCGCGACACCAGCCCGTTTTTCACGATTTGACTATATTAGATATTTATTGGATGGAAAATTAGGCCTCCGCTGATACCAAATAAGATCTTATATTGCGCAAACTTGAGGAAAATACCCGTAGACCGAAAGTGTTCTCTCTAGGGGCTATATTCTTAGGCTATACAGCCAATCTCCAGTTCAACATTTCTGCTCTCGTTGTATATGAGATGGTTCAGATGTGCCCATGAGCCTTTGCTTAGATGTACGAGCTTAAGAGTTTCTTGGATAAGACGATGACTTGTAAATCCATCTTGCGATGAGTTGCTCCCTGGAAACATCCGAAAGAACTTTGAGGTAGGTGAATGATGATCAACTGGAATCTACCGAGCTGAACTAAAGAAAGGTCGCTGGTCGTCTGACCAAGCGCCTGGCTAAGGCTACACAGCTATCGGTGTGGAACGCGAAGTCACCCTTTCCAGGTACTTGCAAGCATGATATCAACTGCGCTGAAACTTGGCTTAGCTCATTATCATTACCACCATTACTATTGCATTCAGATCATCCACGGATATAGGTAAACATTTGGAATCTTATCGATAGAACTGGTGCGCAGACACTACAAGGGCATCGGATCGAGTGCTACGCGTTGTCTTAGTTATGTTACTTTTGTAGTTCACCGTACTATATCTTGTGCTCCTCGGAATCGCGACAATAGAGCTCATTTTACGCCTGTAGCTAGTTCTCTACCTCGGCGATTTACTGCGAAAACTAGTAAGCGTTCGCGGTATAGCTAGCTTCGAGTCTCTCGAGCTTCTCAGTATGATTGCGCAGATTTTCTATCTCACTATACCCTAGAGTGAATTTTGCTCCATCCACTAGTATGGTCTGGGTGGATATGTCAATGCTGGTTATCTGAACTATGGATTTGGCATTTGCCCATCAGGCAGCGGGTGCTTTCCTTGGAGGTCTGCACCGTCAGATTTGAGACTAGAGGACACTAGGGATTGAATCCACAGCTAGCTACCAAGGATTTGTACATGTCCTGGGCTTTCTGTTTTCTTTGTCTTGATATATGGACAGTTCGTATTTTTGATAGAGTATTAGAGGTATCATGGTTAAGTCCGCCTAGAATGAACTTCTCATGGTACGTCCAGAGGGCTTTGTAGCTGGCTTTCCCTCGCTTGACCCTGATGACGCTTAATACTATGCGAATAATAGCAAGGCAGAACTTGATACACTGGAGTCTGCATGGACTTAGGTGCTATCATGGGAATAATATCTTTCCACTCTCCATCTGTTCGTGCCAACAATACTTAGTTGTCTCACTGCTACTCAGATGGTTCGCTAAGGTCATTAAAATGAACAACTTGTGTGGTAGGCTATCCAAAGACCAAAGAGTGTAGCTAGGGACGACGGCCACTGCTGGCCCCAAAGCGACCATTTCGGGAGTGGCTGTCACGGACCCTCACATCCTAGTTGTAAAATTTGGAAAACAATGCTCGCACTGTAGAACAGGCCATGTAGCCCGCCGGCCCAAAAGAGGACCAACCTACTGATATCGTTGATCTCCAAGATATAGAGCAGACTGTGGAGTTCAGGTGGTAAGTATTGCCGAGACTAGCGAACGATACTCTATTGTCTTTTGGGATCATTGGCCCCCAGTGGACCATCTATGCGGCTCTTGACGGGACAGCCAACCACAGTTGGCGTCTCTCTACTAAGAAATGACGAGCATCACATGATCAAATAAACTGCAGATGAGGGGGATTGTTGCCTAATAGTTCAACTTGCCTCAAATCTGTAAATCCAACTTCATAGACTTTGCGAGGAATATGGAACTGCTACGCGTCCAAATTTCGCCACAGGAAAAGGTTGTCTCAACCGCTGAACTCCTGGAACTTATTCTCCTGCAACTGGACCTGCGGACCCTCCTTACCGCCGCGCAACGAACTTGTCGGTCCTGGAATATTCTCATACGAGACTCACCGTCGCTCCAAAAAGCACTGTATTTTGTACCCAATGAGAATGTCCCAAAGTCCTGGAATCCTCTCTTGGCCGAGGTTTTTCCCTCCTTCTTCTCCGAGCATGGCACCGCAGCGACCAATTTTGGCAAGTTTACGTTTTCTACTCTCGATATGATCAAGTACCCCGATAAGATCATCGCATACAATCGAAAAGAGGCGAGTTGGCGCCGCATGCTAGTCCAGCAGCCCCCGATCCTGGAACTTGCCTTTTTCGATGTCATTTTGTCACGTTCAGTGCAGTATTCACAGAGCATCATCCGGGTGAGTCTTCAGGATCTTCCCTGTTCAGCATTGAATGCAGTGACTGAAACGACATACGGACAGCCTAGAGCAAATCGGTATCCACATCTGCATGATGGACTCCGCATGGAAGCTCTATTCGAGTTCGTAGTGACGCGAGGACCTCTTCGGTTTGTTCAACAAAAGTTCCACCGAGTCTTCTGGACAGCCTCGCCGCCTGATAATCAACCAACGTGGCGGGGAAATGATGAGCTGGTCGAAGCGTTCAAGAAGGCCACCGCCCAATTGGATCTCGTTGTTTATCAGATTACTACACGGGGCTGTATCCGACGACCGCCAGTAGTAACGGAAGAGGAAAAGCTGAGGCGGCTGATTTTTTCGTCTTATGCTGAGTTGAACCAAGATGCAGAACCGGAAACGTATGATGAAGTCGATGCTGAGGAGAAGGAAGCGGTGGCACCGAAGAGTTATGGAAGTACCCTTGATCCTGTGCGTTAGCTCAGTACCACAATGATAACTATGCACCTGAACCGATCAAGCGACCGTCCTGCTCAGATTTCAGGCAGATTATCAAATAAAAGACCATGGCTATCAGCATCCTGCAAGGTTATCTTGCTGGAGAAATATGTGCTTGAGGCTTTTCCCTTCCAGGGCAACTTATCCTGTCAGCTTGTCCGATGGCTTGGCAGGGGTCAGGGTTTAGTCAGAGTTTAGTCATCCAAACGGCCCCTTCAAAGAGCAACGCCCACGCGTCATAGGGGCACGCCTTATTCTAGTGAGTCTAGGCTTCGGAATTGGGGCTCTAGTGGTATGCCTAGCAGACACTTTGGCTTCGGGGCGGCTGGAATCCACACCCCATTGCGGACATCGTCGCTGGAGAAAGGCCGTTGTGGCTGGTCGGAGAATGTCGCGCGTGTTTACAGCCTCTAGCAAGCCTCTAATTGGTCCTAGCCGGCTGCTCCAACGTCCAACAGGCTTTGCAGTGGCAGCCCGAATCTTGGCTGCATTGGGAATACAGTTCCCGGCTTCCTTTGCGTCTGTGATATTCTATGCTTCCTCGGCCATACTGTACAACTGTGCTTTTGTGCTGAACGGGACAAACTTACCTCTAAGGGCGCGAATTGAATCCGGGAGCTCCTTACGAAGCAATTTCCCCCATCTTCTCCGCACAATTGTGTGAGTCGTTATGTATGGGTCTGGGGGCGCTCGCCGCATTGGCGGAGCCCAAGCGACCAAGTGGGGTAAAAGCTCGCGGGCTGTTGCTTAGCGAAAGGCGATGGCCTCGGCACCTGTTCGGGACATTTAAAAACTGCCGGCTCGTCGTCCTTCCTCCCTTGCTTCCCCGAACCCCGATGAGAAAACACTGGAACTTGCGCGTATCATACCCGAGTTCTGTTGGCCATATAATGTACAGGATAGCCTAAACGCGACGACCCTCAATCTGCACGTCCTGTTTGGTTCTCAGTCCAGCTGCGCCCAGTCTCTTCCTGCATTCTCGCGCGTGTCTGAAATCTTCCACCATGCAGATCGAACATGGTCGCGAGCCGACCGACGACCAGGCGCTGGCCCGGCTGGGCAAGAAGCAGGTGCTGAAACGTCGATTCAACCTCGTGTCGATCGTTGGCTTTGCGATGGCCGAGCTGATCACCTGGGAGACGGTGCTTACTCTCTTCTCCCAGTCAATGGACAATGGCGGCCCCGCGGGTGCCTTCTATGGCTATATCATCGCCTGTCTGTCGACCTTGTCAACATATACGGTCATCGCTGAGTTGGCTTCCATGGCGCCCATTGCCGGCGGGCAGTATTACTGGGTCTACATGCTTGCGCCAATGCGCTGGAAGAAGGTGTGTAGCTATCTGATTGGCTGGCTGACCTCTCTTGCCTGGATCGCCACGATCGCAACGGAGACCATCTTCCTCGGCACGATGATTGAGGGTCTCATCACCTTGAACAACCCGGATTTCGCTCAGCAGCGCTGGCAGAATACCCTGTTGGCCTGGGCGAGTGTGGCGGGCACCTTCTTCATTAACGTCGTGGTGCCGAACATTCTTCCCCGTTTCGAAATCGGCATGTTGGTTTTGCATCTAGCTGGCTTCATCGCCATCACGGCCGTTCTTCTGGCCATGTCACCCAAGAAATCGGCGGATTTTGTGTTCCACACAACGCTGAATGAAGGAGGCTGGCCCACACAAGGAATGTCATACTGCGTTGGCTTCATTGGAAACGTTGCTACTTTTGTTGGGGCCGACGCCAGCGTCCACATGGCCGAAGAGGTCTCCAATGCCGCAATTGTGATCCCTCAGGCGATCATCGCGGCCATGTCCATCAACAGCGCTCTCGGACTCTCCATGATGCTCACGGTCTTGTTCTGCCTAGGCGACGTCACGTCTGTGCTGAACACCGCCACAGGCTTCCCTTTCATTCAAATCTTCTACGACGTCACGCACTCGTACGCCGGTGCATCGGTCATGACCGCCCTCATCATGGTGCTGACCATGGCCTGCTCGACCGGTATCACGACGACCGCATCTCGTATGACCTGGTCCTTTGCGCGAGACCAGGGCCTGCCCTTCTCCCATTTTTTGAAGAGTGTGAATCATCGCACTAAAGTCCCCATCGTATCTGTCTCCGTAGTCTGTGGTCTTGCGTGTGCCCTGACGCTCATTTACATCGGCTCCACCACCGCCTTCAACGACGTTATCTCCCTCACCGTGACCGGATTCTACAGCACCTACTTCCTCCCTAGCGCGTTCCTTCTCTACCATCGGATCAAAGGCAACATGCTGCCCCACGGCACCATAATGGATGGCCTCCCGGACGCAGCCGCAGTCGCAGCCGCGGCTACCAGCACCACTGCTAATACCGAGGAGAAGCATGCCACCCCTGTGCGTCCTAAGCGCCCCGTGAACAAGGACCTCCCCAGTCCAGGCCCTGCCCACAGCCCCGAACGCGACATGCCCTCCAAGCGGGGTGTCCAGCCCACCGAGTTCGACATCGCCCAGGCACCTTTGATCTGGGGCCCGTGGAAGGTCCCCGGCATCTTCGGCACTATCAACAATGCGTACGCTTGCGTGTATATGTTATTTGTCATCTTCTGGAGTGTGTGGCCTCCTGAGACCCCCGTGGATTATACGACCATGAACTACAGTATCGTCGTCACTGCCGGTGTGTTGATTCTGAGCGGGATCTGGTATTTTGTCCGCGCCAGGAAAGAATACTCAGGTCCCCTCATCGACGAAGAGGTTGCAGAGATAATGCACCTTAGTCCCGCAGCGATCGCCGCCGCCGTCCCGAAAACCGACTAGATCCTGGCATGTCAGGCAGGCGGTCGGGGCGAGAAGGGGCCTAGAGGAGAGACGAAGTATAGCATGGACGGACGCGCGATGAGGGCGGTGGGATGAGAAATATATCGATACCCCTTGAACATGCTACATCATGTATCTATTTGACGAACAGATTTGGAAAGGAAAAGTAAACAGCCTAAAACATTCCCACACTTTGAACTCCCAAGTAACCTCATCGACAAGCGCAACATGCCCAAAGGGGACTTCCTGGCCCATGCGCTAAGGACAGTTAACTCCTCGCCCCGAGCAAATAAGAAACCCACCAGACGAACATGTTCACAGACCAAACCATCCGAGCAGCACGAAGCCCCCCTTAAGACCGCAAGATTGTTCTCGATTGACTTCCGCAGCTTGCAAGAAAAGGGCAAAGCGCACAGACACTGCAGAAGGGACCCACCACCCGCCGCTAACCACCACGTCTCAATGGAGCCCTCATAGCGGTAAGCTGACGGCGCCCGGGCGATCTGCCGGCCAAGGACTATGACGGACAGCGCAGCGTGTGCAGTTATCCGCATGTGGTTGGATCGTAGCTTGCAGCTCCGAATCACCGTCAGCCCTGGGATCTCAACTCCCTCCCTGTAAGGTCTGGGGATTGATCTTTATAAATACGGACCGTGGGTCGCGCGCCCTATCATTCTGCCTGGACGGGGTCTGTCGCGACCTACTGCAACCACACATGGAAAGCCACGAGAGGGCGGAGGCCTTTGGGCCCTTTTTGCAGCAGAAACAGTTCGTGCTGTGCTTCGATGGGACGGGCAATAAGTTTGCGGGTGACGCGTCGGATACCAATCTTGTGAAAATCTATCGCGTAGGTAACCAGGTTTCCTCTATGATCCCCTTCTACCAGCCTGACTCAACCACTTATTCGCTCGCTCGCTCGTTACTAGATGCTTGATCGCAGCCAGAGCCACCAGTACCATTATTACCAGCCGGGCATAGGAACATACGTGACGTCGCATTCGCTCGGTAGCAAAGGGCGATTGGAGCGGATCAAGTCCTCATATAAGAAAAGCATAGATGCCGCGCTAGGATCATCCTTCGATGAGCATGTGCTCGGGGGATACAAGTTTCTGATGCGATACTATGCGCCCGGCGACGACATCTACTTCTTCGGCTTTAGTCGGGGCTCCTATACGGCCCGCTTCCTTGCCGAGATGCTCGACTATATCGGTCTGCTTCAGCCTGGGAACGAGGAGCTGGTGCGATTTGCGTGGAAGACTTTTGCGAAATGGCAGCAGCGAAAGAGCGGGACAGAGCAGGACGATGAGGAGAGGCATAAACTGTTCCGCTTTATGAAAGCGTTCCGGGAGACGTTTAGTCGGCCTGTTAATCGTATCAGATTCTTGGGGCTTTTTGATACTGTGAATAGTGTCCCTATGTTTGAGAATGCCTGGATGGAGAGGAGCAAGTTTCCATACACGGCACAGACGACGGCCCGGGTGATTCGGCATGCAGTCTCTATTGATGAGCGTCGTGCGAAGTTCCGGCAGGACTTGATCTCTGGGGCCAGGCCAGCTACTCATGGCCATTCACATTCGCATTCGCATTCGCACCGCTTGAGGCAGCTGTTGGCGCGTGATGATCATGAGAAGGTGACCGTTCCTGAGATCGTTCTACCGGAAAACGGGGATGAAGCAGGCAGACAGCCGAATCGCAGGTCACAATCTGGCAATGACCCAGATGAATTCCGCTACCGGGCACCTTCACCTTCGCTGATGCGTCCAGGCAGCTCGGAGTTGGCTCGAACCAATGCCTTTCTATCCGATCACCGTTCAGTGAAGAGCGTCATTTCCAAAATGTCTCTGCGAGTTCCGAGCTTGAACATCCCAGGCAACGAAGCAGAAGGCGAAGGCGAGCAGGATATTTCCGAAGTGTGGTTCCCAGGACAGCATGGCGATGTTGGTGGAGGTTGGAAGCTCAACCCGGAGGATCCCTGGCCCTTGAGTCACCTTCCTCTTGTGTGGATGGTGAAAGAGGCACAGGCTGTGGGGCTCGAATTTGACCCCGAGAAGCTAAAGCGCTTCAACTGCTACGAGGAGAGCCCCGAGGTCAGCGAGGGATTCAAAGAAACCGCCATGACACACAGCCACGCGGCACACAATCCTGACAATCCTCACCGAGGCATCAACAAATTTGACGAAGCCCTTGCTTGCACAATGGATCAGGGCATCGCCCACGACTGTCTCACATACGGCGGGGGCCTCTCATTCTTCTCAACCCTGTCATGGCGGTTAATGGAGTACTTGCCTTTCCGACGAATGGACCTTCAGTCCGACGGAACCTGGAAGCCGATACGCTGGCCTCTTCCCTGCGGAGAGGTGCGCGATATTCCCGACAACGCGCAGATCCATATATCCGCTATTCATAAACTGCGTATTGATCCGACATACCGACCGGGCAATTTAATCATTGGTGGTGGTGGACGGGGAGTTAAACGAGCGCCAGAGAGGTATGGGATTGGGGACTGGGAGATCTGCAAACATGAGGGTGATCTGGTGCGGCAGACTTATATCCGGAAACAGGCTGAGAAGCCTGAGAGTGCTTGTCGCGATAATCATACCGCAACCCGTCCGTCGTAGAATGCATCCCAATTGCCGGATGCAAGAAAGCTAATGGCGGTCAATAATAGTATCTGCCTGATATCACAACATGAGAATGCAAATAAGCCCAAAGCTTAAGATGTCTTGAACCTGGCTGCATGGTGGGATTTAGGAAAGCCGAGCAGCATCCACATACCTGGGGTTTAATTATTCGAGATCACTTTTAATGTGCCAAGCGGGGCTAGAATTGTTCGACGCTGCTAGCTGGTCGAGGCTTCCTGCCTACAGCTAGCGATATCGGGCAGCTACAGGTGGAGCAAGATGTTAGTCTCGCGAAAGGCAGTTAACTCACCCGAGCCCTTCCAATGCCCAGGACATGACCGCTGCCGAAGTTGATACTGCATCCTACGATTACTACAAACAGGTCCGATCAGGAATTTCCAGCTTCCGTGAATTTGGAAGTCATAATCCGAAACAAGATGATTTTGAAATGCTATATGATTAAATAATCGTCCTGGTGCATCGAATCGGAATTGTGTGTCTTTGTAGAGTTAGTGCAAGCGGGATACATCGGATTGCATGGATCTTAACTCACAAAGTCCATCCAAGGAATATTCCTTTTGTCAAACCTCGGTTGCTGAGCTCTTGCTTGCCACACCCTTTTAAGCAATGTCTGAGGTGCTGAAATTCCCATTTCGGACCTTGCCTTGATTTCCCCTAGCCGCAAGAGAACATAGTGACGGGAATGGGGTGAGAGACTGTCAGCGCCAGCCATGAAAAGAGGCATTACAGTAAGCTCTATCAAGGGGCTGTTACCAGGAACAGTCGCAAGGGAATCCAAAATCGCTGTGACAGATTCCTGTATGTGCGGCTCCGTTGCAGATTCGGTTGGATCAAGCAGCCGCCAAGCGCGCAAAATGCAGGTATGACGAAATGCTTCTGCAATGCAGTGCCAAAGGGGATCTTCATCAGGGTAGAAACAGCGTGAGGCATCCCAAATGTAGAGCTTCTGAATCAGTGTTCGAATGTGTTTATTGTAGTTTCCCGTAGCCAAACTGCTGCTTGAATGTGCTTTCGCATGCTCAAGAATTTCCCCTATAATGAGAACTAACTCTCGTGGGCAGCCATTCACTGCTTCAAATCTCAAGTCACACAGGGAGAGCAGCTTCTTGCGAAGCTCTTGTGTAAAGCATAATCGGTCCGGCACAGAAAATGCACGAATGATGTCCAACCTAATTAATATATCAGAATCAGGACGAGACAGAGATAGAAGTATGCTAACTTACCAAGCAAGGTTGCCCAAGAAGAAAACGGTTCTCTCATCTTTGATTGTCAAATTTTGATCTAGTTGCAGTTGGAAACAGATAGACATGGCGCCTGAGATATGGGCACCATGCGTCGATATACCAGATTCACAGATCTGTCGTACAATGCCTCTCATTCAGCCATTCAGCCAGAATATTCAATCCATGCCAAGGAACTTACATCATGAAGTAAAAGGATTTGAATTGTCGCAAAAACACCATCTCGCTCATTTTCGCTGAAGCTTCCAGAGCAAACTTTCCTGATTGCGCTGCCTAGGGCCGTTATTGCCTTGACGCGATAATCTACGGCAACTGTTTCGTATAAATTTTTATCGGATCTCAGGTACCCCAGGTGGCACGCAGAAAGTCCAAGCACTGCATATAGAAGGCCAATCTGCTCGTATGCCAGAGGAAGCACATAGAGCCGATAGGGATTTTCCCTGTTATCGACACTCTGTGCTATCTGATGAGGGCATATTACGCGGTCATCTGAACGGTAAAGTGAGTTGGATTATAGCAATCAAATAATTAGAGAGAAAATGCGTACAGTGTATCACAAGAGTTTCGGTCTCAGCCAAGGCGAGAATTCTATGAATTTCGGACTCGTCATGCGGGGTCGAGCGTTGAGATGTCAGGGGCTCGCCTAGCCCATCATTTGGCAAAGGACATCCTTGATCAGTCTCAATGCGCTTTTCTGGAGTTGATGTTGATGAAATTGAAGCAGCACCTTGATCAGTGGGAGCATCTCGGTTCTTCCACTTGCCACGGCTGGCAATTCCGCAGAAACGAAACTTGTCTGGATATCCACCACATTGCAGTCCCCTGCTAATGCAGCGTTTGCACATTGGCCGTGCGCGATCACATCGGCGCGACTTCTGCCGACATGTCAAACAGGCAGCCTCTAGTCAGATGAAATATAGTAAGGAAGACTGACACAGGTATGAGGCGAGTCTGACGAACCGGTGGAGCGCATGTTTAGCCCCTAATCAAAACATTCCCGGAAGAGCTTCATTTTGTGGACGGAAGATCACTCAAAATATTTCCTACACAGGGCTCAGGACTAAGGTGTTGTTTTCGTGCCGGACGGCAGAGGAGGAGAATCAGGCAAGGCCAAATAGATGTTTCCAAAGCAAGTGGGCCACACCGCCCGAAGCGCGTTCACCACGCACATCTACCTTCTTGAACCATGCCACCGAGAAGGATTCGAAAGCGTCAAAAACCACCAGGGAGGGAGGACAGTGTCGTGTTTGCCACGGAATTTCTCGCAAATAAGTTGGCAACCTCTCAATGCGACCTCGTAAAGGTATATATGTCAACGCTGGTGCCTGCTTCGAAAGAATACAAACTCGCGGCGATACAGGCGCTGATAACTATCTATTAACATGGTTCCTCATGAATTCCCGTGGTGTGGCAGCTAGCCTTTTCAATAAAAGTAAATAAAAATAACACATACTAGACATCGGCTTAGCTCACCTCCGTGCTAGGTATGACTGGCGGTAGGTCACTGCCCGTCGGGGCAAAGCCGGGTCGTCCCAAGGCTCAGCTGCTAGTCGTATGTACATGAGACTTTTGACCAACCGCATATCGGATTCGACCTGCAGAAAGGATGGCCATGCCACTGGCCATTCACAGTCCTTCCTAGCCCTCCCTCAGCTAATTACTTCTGTGACCCCTGATTCACTTTCCCCTTATACCGTCGACCCCGTCACAAATAACAACGAACCACTTTTTTTTCTTGAGACCAATCTTTACCCAGCGTGCTATGTCCCCCAGGACCGACGAGCCCCAAACGGGGGAGGTGTGAAAGGACGAGACATTAGGAACTCCAGATATGTATCATCTGAAAGGGTGATGTCAGCTTCTGATCTCTCATAACACACGACTGATACATCTCTTGCAGCAAGTGCACACAGCCGATAGTTGAACCTCTTATCCCTTGCGCTTCTCGTGACTTGCGCTCAGCTTACCTGAGTATCTATAAATCAAATCCTGGTCGCTCCTGCACACTCTCCATATCTCCTCAACATCCCACCCCCACGCATTTTGGGTCCCACAAAATACCCAGTACATGAAGACAAGCTTTCGGCGGGCCCATCTTGTGTTCTCGTCGTCTGCAATTTCGCTTTCCGCAATGTCGCCGAGATCATGGCATAGAGCCACCTCTTCGGCTGTGGCCTCCCCTGCATCTGGGTTTCCCTCCAAACACGCGACAACCAAATGAAATTCTCGGATGCGAGCATCATCTGTTATTGCAGAAGGCTGGTCAGTTGGTATCACGAACGGGAAAGGCGACTTTCAGTACCCCATATCCCTTGCGACCTTCTGGAAGGATGAGTATCCCGTCTAGCCACGGTGGCTGCCTGTGCTTCGGCCATACTGCTAAGCCCCTTGTCGGTACTAACGGACTTTCCCTCGTGGCTTCCAGGCGCTGATTTCGCTTGAGCCGATGAAGTTGGGAAGTCGGTGTTTACCTCCGATTGATTGAATTTATACCGCTTGAAAACGCTAGAAGCGAATCGATTTTGGCTAGTGTTAGTCTCAGCCTCCAAAGGATATTTCGGACTGAAGCATCTAGACCATGATAAACACGGTACTTTTGCGGTCCCCGTGATGGTCCTGGTGATCTCCTAACCTCTGCTACGCTGCCCTAGCAGCCGAGCTAACAGCTTCCTCGATACAAATTAAGCATCGAGCTCTTCAGATGCCAACGGATGCAGGCGACCGCAATTGCGGTCTTGTCATTATCCACGTTGCTTTGATGTCAACGAGAATGGCTTTCTTCGTTCCCCTTTCACAACTTCAGAGCATTGTTGCTTTTTTTTTTTATTATGACTATTGCGCCGCACTGACCAGGTTCTCGATCTATCATCTTTTCGATCGGAGAGATCAAATATACCTGCAACTGGAAAGGTCTTTCGGGTCTCGATTGCCGATCGTAATAAAACTTTGGAGTTTTATCGCGTCACCGAGTGCTCTTTCTGGGCATGGAGTTGGACCGATTCCCCTTGTGACATGCCTTATTCCACTCTGGGCGATTCTCTTGTCAGTGCAACCGAAAAGGGAATAGCCTCGCCAGGGGTCACAGTGCAAGTGTATCGCCCAGATTATCTACGGCGTACGGAAGCATGATCAGCTAGCGAGCAGGCAAGTGATTCGAATTCTCTAATTCGAGCTAGACTGTATCCATTTGGGCACCAAAACGTGTCAAGGAAAAAAAAACAAAGAAACAAAATCGAGAACTGAACTTTTTGGATCGTTGGCCGATTAAATCTACGCCTTTATCCCCAGGGGCAGCGGTATTCCAACCAATCCATTCAAATCATCAATGATGAGGCACAGCTGGCCATTCTCTTTCAACACATCTCTCACCATCCCGTGGCTGGCCATAGCAAATGCCAACTGAATTGGTTCCTGGTCATGCGTTTCGAGCCATCTCCAAAGTTTATTGACAATATCCTTGTCCTGGTCGCTCATTTCGTGCCCCGTCGATGAGCCGTGCTGACGGGACTTCCCGAGCCAGCGGAGATCTCTGATGGAGACGCTTTGAAAGCTCATGAAGCTCAATTTCCACCCAATGCCTGTGTTCGAGGGAAACAGACTGTCCATCCAGAGGATTGTGCTCATGATTATCTTGAGATTTTCGGATGCCTTGGGGGTATCCGGACTGGTATAAATCCTTTCTTTGTTCGCCAGAAATTCCTCGTCGATAAGAAAGAGCATCTGATTAACTTCTATGGGCTTATATCGTCGCTTGAAATCTGCGTACAGGGACTCGGGGTCCGTGATTAAGCTAGACCTTTCCAGGAGTCGTCTAAAAGAAGCTCGATCGTCTTGTTTGGTCGATTCCAGAAAACTTTTCAATGCTTCAGAAGACGCACTCGTCCGGTTCTCCAAATTTTGCCCGGCATCCAACAGGAACTTTTCAAAATAGCACTCCACGTGACTGGCGGTCAAAAACTTCTGATTATCCTGCGCCTCCTCGCGAGATGATCCTAGTCGATGGGTCGTCGATACGTCCATGGTGTTCTTGAGGGCTGAAAGAGCTCCACAGTGAGATGAAAAAAAAACCGACAGAACTGTTCGAGCAAGGCAGTTTCTCTGGAGGAAACGAAGAACTTGGTTTATCCCGCGCTTGAAAGATATAGTCAAGGAATCTTCGACATATTTAAAGACCTCATAAAGACCTCATGCGCCACTGGAAACAGAGCCCAACCTCGAGGAAGTAACACAATACTACCCATCTTCATCACAACGAAAAGTCGGTATGCTATTGAGGTTGTCAAGAGCAGGGGTATGTGCTAGAGGAAGCAACACAATACTACCCATCTTCATCACAACGAAAAGTCGGTATGATATTGAGGTTGTCAAGAGCAGGGGTTTGTGCTAGAATTATAACTGATGGTGTGAAGCCAGCAAGGGATATCAGATGAATCGGTGAATGATATGTGAGGCTATTCGCTACGATGCGCTTTCATACATTTGCCCGGGTTACAGAGCTGTAGGTCAGCCGCAAACAATGGCATGCTTTGGCGCCCGAGATTTCCTGGCTTGGTTTTCCAATAGGTTCATGCATATGTTTGTGGGAGGGGGGTGACTTGCATACTTAGCGCTTATTATTGAGACGTTGGTTTCCCTGATTTGTCCGCTGGTGGTGCACAACACAGGTCCGCGCCCAAGACCGGGATTCTCTGGTTTCTACCTGAGATCATGGTGCGTACTGTCAAACATTTTGAGATATCCCGTGCTTTTATGTGATAGATCTTTGATATCCGATACCTTAATTTTACGCTTTAACGCAAAGTTAACGACTTGCCATCAGATGAGACTGAAAGACATTCTGAGGTCCTAAGAGGCACGACCCGGGGTGGGAGTAATATTCAACGCTTGAGAAGCGAGGAATGGGTTCATGCAAGTTGGCCAAAGGCAAATATGATCTGCAGTACGATGCTACTCATGCTTGAAATGGCTCGGGCCCACTGCACCGCGCCGCGCGACACCGATTTCAACTCGACATGATATCCAATGAATTCTTTATTGCATAAACTAAAGCGTTCGTCGGGCCCAGAAGGAGCCCTGATAGATGTTTTAGGCGGCTCTTTATAATTCTCAAGGACTCCGATCATGCCTTACTTGGGCCTGAGTTTCATAGATGGGACTAACTTGCCGAGCGAGGCACATATCCAATCGACGCAAATACACTGGGTATCCAGCTGGTAACAGACATTAAATGATACCAATCAGGATATGCCTGTTGATGAGACGAGGTTTTCTCATTGTACCTTGGGACTAGCCTATCTCTGACGCCAGTCTATCAAGGAGAACTCGACGTGAACCTATTGACCACTTGATAGCGTTGTTGTTTCAAACGGTTTACCATCATGACCTAGAGAGCCGCGTACACCGCTAGCAACCTCTGAAAAAACCAAGGGCTTTGCTTTAGTACCCAGGACATGTGGCTCCAATAAGCATGGTCTTATGTGACGTATTCATGTAGTGGATGAGCTACATACGAGCGTAGCGCCTGTCTCCCGGCCCTCCCTAACTGATTGAATAGGCACTTGACATGACTCGCTAATAAAATTCCTAGGTCATGCGAAGCCCTTCATATAAAAGGAGTAAAGCCCTTTTAACACTACTTTGGCTGTGCAGGGTAGTACAACCAGCTACTTCTTGCCTAAATTGACTGGGGGTAATGTATACGAGACTTAGAAGACACCTCGGCTTCGACTTTCTAGTGGAGGTAGAGGATGAGAAAGAATGACTCCTTAGGATAGTGTGCCGGGAAAAGAAGGGTGGCACCCTTTAGGAGTGCAGCCCGTGCCAGAATAATTGTACTCTCTTGAGCGAGCGCACGAGCGGCAGGCGAGGAATGTGGCGGGTCCTTGGGCCGGAGAAGATTCGGGGAATTTGGGAACCCATCTTTACTTTGCGGGGAGCCTCAAGAGAATATGTCATCGTAGTCACAGAACATCTCGGAGAGCCCCACCGAATCGTTCTCGACTTACATATTCCTTGGTAATAACGGCAAAAAGCCGAACCTGAATCGAATTGATTCATGTCGGGAAGAGCGGCTCATCCAAGTTCTGGATTGGCTGACAACGTGATGCAGCTGCAACAGTATGCACGGATTCGGTGTTCTGCAGCTGCGGAGCTAGCTTATCGTGGTTTGAGCTGATTGGATTTGTACATTTGGACTTGATGGCATGCCAAGATTGGGCGCGCACACAGAGCCTCATTGTCCGAACAGTGCGGATACATAAGATCAACAGAATGCTTTATCGAGTTTAAGCATACCTAGGAAGAAGTATGGAGGCTATAGGTGGGGTGGCTTCAGCGACTGCTATTTACAATCTGCTAGAAGGATGCATTCGAGGACTTCGTCGACTATACAGAAATTTCAAATTCGCCAAGCAGGATGTGAGACAGCTGATAGACGAGGCATCAACTTGTCAATTTCTCTCTAAGATATTCAACGATATTACTCGACCGCTGGAAAGCCGAGTTATCAAGATGGCTCGCCAAAACAAGCTCGATGAAACGCTACTGTCTCAGGCCACTTCGGCTAGTGAGCAAATTGAAAATATAACGAAAAGGCTAAAGCCTCTCATGAAGGGGAGCAATCCTAGTCGATTCGAACAACTTATAGCGAAGATATGGTGGCATTACACGAGAGATGAGGCACAGGCTTTGCAGGCTACATTAAGTAGTGTAAAGATCAGTCTCACCTTACTCTCCTGTCTTTTAGCACTTGATTGCTCTCTCGCGGAAGCACAATCATCAACAAATCGGGACCACCTGATTCTTGATCAGATGCGAGTACTTACTGCTGGCCAAACATACTATTATTATTGCTAACTTTTGCCTATGAGTTACAGAAAGCAGTTAAAGAAAACAGTACAACGTCAGACCAACTCTTTACGAGAAGTGACAAATAGAATGAACTACTTAGAGAACGACACACATGGATCGAATTGGATTTCCAACGCAGAGTTGTTGGTAAACATTGTTCAACAAATTCAAAAAGAACCCGTCGCCGAGGCACGAAAAATTATCAGACGGGACTTGTTCGATTCTTCGCGCGTAGCAACTCGAGCACCAAGGATGATTGATCCCATGAGTCGGAGCACGAACATTTCACAAAGCGAAGGGGGTGTGAGACTAGACGATTCGCAATCCCATTCGGCGAGTGGTTTGCCCGGCGTAGTGGCATTATACCAGACGGATACGACTGCTTCCGGAGAGTATCAAGGACACCGGCGGACGGTGATCCGTGATTATGGAGATGCTAGTAGGGAGATATATGACCTAGGATCTTCCGTATCTTCTATTCAAGGAGGCGGCAACCACGATCACAAATTATTTGTACCTGTACCACCTTTCAATGTATCTGATTGGGGAGAGGGACATCGAGCGAGACGTGGCTCTGGACAAGACCATTGAAACTATTGCAGGTTAATTGAAGTTGAAATTCAAAGATTGGTCTGAAAAAAGAAGTGTAATAGATATGGACAGGCATACATGAGGTTGAGCGGACCTCGAACGCGGATCTTCCTGCCTCGGTCCACTATGGGCTCGGGACAAAACATACCGACGGCGAATTCTGACGACAGAATCCAGCGCCTGGGAATCGGTTCTTATATCTTTCTACTTATGTACGGAACTTAACAATCTGAGGTTTGCGCACGCATAAAACGTGATATTCTCGATACTCACCACTTTCCTCTCGTTCTATCAGAAGGTATTATCGGACTTTTCCACTCTTGACCCCGCATCCCCGCAATGTCACCGCGCGTCAATTGACCACGGAAATGCAGGTCGGCACGACGAGCTGACGGTCCGCCAACATGCCTACTCCCATTGTGGATTCCCACATCCACCTCTTTCCAGCATCCCACCTACCAACGTTGGCCTGGTACGAGCCGGGTAGTCTTCTCGGCTCGCAGCATAGCGTCGACGAATACCGACAGGCCTCCTCTGCCGTTTCCACCAAGAAAGACGGTACTGAGCCGAAATACATACGCGGATTCATTTTCGTGGAGACAGACCGCATTTCATCGGTGGTGGATGGTCAGCCGGATGGCCCAGGATGGTCCCATGCCCTCGACGAAGTATCTCTCTTGACACGCATTGCGCAGGGGGACCCTGTGCCCGGAGAGGGACACAACGCCATTGATAGTGATCTCTGTCTAGGAATCATTCCGTGGGCACCAGTCCCGGGTGGTCCAGAAGCATTGATTCCGTATATGGCCAGAGTCAAGGAACGGACAAAAACGGAACAGGTCTGGCATAAGGTGCGCGGGGTGAGATATTTGGTCCAAGACAAACCAGCTGGAGTTATGCTCCAACCGCACTTTATTGAAGGCTTGAGCTGGCTAGGACAACAAGGCTTTACCTTTGATCTCGGGGTGGATGCCAGACAAGGTGGATTGCATCAATTGCGTGAAGCTGTGGAGATGATTCACAAACTGGAAGGTTCCAGTGCAGTGACAATCATTATTAGTGAGTTGGTGTTCCCTGTCTTTCTAGCTAAATGCTAATTCTATTTGATTTAGATCACCTTTGCAAGCCTAATCTCCGGATTCCCCCAGACTCTGTCACTACCCATGCGGAATACCTCGAGTGGAAAGAACTGATTACACGGATGGCCCAGGCGAGCCCAAGGACCTACATGAAGCTCTCAGGCGCATTTTCGGAGCTTCCACCATCCACCGCTGGCTCCGACCCCGATATCTCTGACCTAGTGGACCGTCTCCAGCCTTGGACAGACGTGGTGTTTGATGTGTTTGGAGCGGAGCGTGTTATGTTTGGCTCGGATTGGCCCGTGTGCAATGTTGGCGGCGGAGGCAATGATGCCTCGTGGAATCGGTGGAGGCATGTAGTTGAAGGAGTTCTCAAAAGAAGGGATCTGACAGAGGAACAGAAGCAGGGTGTTTGGGGGCAAGTGGCCGTGAAGGCTTATGGCATTGGGATTTGAGAGTCTCGCGTCCCTCTCGGGACATTACTGGCCCGAAAGGCCGGGGGCCAACCGCGGCAGATCGAACTGCCGTTGCTCCAGAACTGTCGCCTCACAACATTAGCTTTGGTGAAAAATTAAGTAGTAATAAGGATATATGGTTCTGTTGAGATAGGAGGAGAACCCTCATATCATGGGACTCTAAGTTCTCTCGTCTCAATTCCAGGGGTTGAGCTCTCGGACTCATGTATATGCAAGCGCAAGCAAAGCGACGAGTGGAGAAACGCGGGGTGATGCCCCGGTTTATGCCTGAGGCCGCCTCGGTCTAGTGACTCCGCAACCCCGAAGTCTTCATTCCTCCTCTTTTGCACCTCGGCCCTAACTTGCCTCTTCATCGGACAAACGCCGTGTGCTTCACTCGGCCCAGCTGGTCCCAAAGTCATTCCGCGTATTATTCTGCCAAGCGTGCGCCATGGTCGATCCCCGATAGGACGCTGGTGTATCTCGCTATAGCAAAATGCCGAACACTGCAGCACCTCCCGCTCTCCTGCCCCCCTCCTCCAATCAGCGATCCGGCGATCCCGATAAAGAACAGAGTCCGGGTGAGTACTCGTCCGATATCGACTCCGACAATGACCTTGTCGACCCCAATGGCTCCAGCAGCGGCCGAGCGTTGAAACGGAAACGGCCTCTCACTGTCTCGTAAGTACCCATGTCGATCATGCCACACATGTGGCGGCGACTACGCTATATACACAGGGGCTTTAACACTAATGTGCTTCAAGGTGCGAGCTATGCAAGCAACGAAAAGTCAAGTGCGGTATGTGACAACGGCCCTTTTGAGAATATACTGCGGCTAACCTCAAATCGGTAAACAGATCGAGTGCAACCGAGTTGCGGCTGGTGTACGCGCAATGGCCAGCTATGTGAGTATAAGGAACGGAAGAAGCCTGGCCTGCGGGCTGGTTATGGCAAGGAGTTAGAGCAACGGCTCGGTAAGTCAAAACTTGCTCCGTTTTCCTCGATTCTGAATCTCATTCTGCTTCAGACAGGTTGGAGCAGATCATTCAAGCGCAGGCCCGTCTCCTTGAAATGCATGTCCTGCAGGGCCAGCCTTCAATGCGTCGTGAAATGCCTCACGCCGGCTCACTCTCCTACAGCTCTCCATCAGAACCCTCGGCGGTCCTCGGCCCCAGTCCCCGCGCAGCACTTTATTTCAACGATCCTGCTCCTTCGGTGACCATGCCTTCCCGTCAAGCAGATATCTCTATCACAAGCACTTCAGATACCTCGGTCAATAACCTAGCTCATAACAGCCTTCAGAATGGAGGAACAGCACCTTCATTGAGCTCGTTGCCGCCTGCTCCAGATGCACACACAAATAACGACTACACGGGAAACGAATCCTCGTTGAAAGTTCCAGTCAATCTATTTGGCAATCAAGAGCAGTCACTAGCAGATCCTGACCTAGACCTTCCGCCATATGATCTGCTTTATGCACTGGTGGACTTGTACTTTGAGCACATCAACTCCTGGTGCCCAATTATGCATCGCCGGTCAACACTGGACACTTTCTTCGGTCCGTCCCCGCTGGAGGAGGCAGACCGCATGGTCTTGTACGCTATAGTCGCAACAACGTTGCGCTTTTCTTCCGATCCCCGACTCAGCGACCAAAGCCGGAAGCGTTACCACGACTCTTCCAAGCAGAAAGTGCTCTTGTATGGTCTAGAGAATTCATCTGTGAAGGCTCTCCAAGCCCTGGTGATATTGGCGCTAGACTTGGTTGGGTCATCAAACGGTCCGCCGGGTTGGAAGCTACTTGCTCTGATCACAAGATCTGTGGTCCAGTTAGGATTGGCTGTGGAGTCCAAGTCCTCTCTGATCGCCCCCGTCTATCCCTCGATTTATACTCTGAGAGCAGTCACTTTATCTGAGCCTGATTCCTGGATCGAGGACGAAAGCAGACGACGCTTGTTCTGGATGGTCTACTTGCTGGACCGGTACTCCACGATCGCTACTGCTTTCAACTTCGCATTAGACGATAAGGATATCGACCGCAAGCTTCCCTGCAGAGACGAATACTTCATGAAAAACCAGCCAGTGGAGACGCGACGATTTCACTGCTCCAGTGATCGTGCCGATTATCTGAGCCATGCGGACAATGTGGGATCCTTCGGCCTATATGTCGAGATTCTCGGTATTTTTTCCCGCATCCATGTGTTTCTAAAGCGACCTGTGGATATTGGCTCGCTCTCTGATGTCGAGGAATGGCAGGCTACCTATCGCAAACTGGATAGTGAGCTTACATCGTGGGAATTTAATCTGCCTGCTGAGTATGCGTACGAGAACTCATCGCGCCTCTTTGGGACAAAGCAGAGCCGGAATCTCCATAGTGACTGGGTGCAACTCCATGCAACCTATCAAACGTGAGTTTTGTGCTGTGTTTACTTTTCATATACCGAACACCCTGCTGAAATCCTCTCCATAGGGCCGTGATCCGCTTGCATTCATCTGCAGCCTACCCAACCACCCGGTCGCCGATTTTCACCCCCTCGTACAGTGCCAGTCAACGGTGCCTGCTAGCTGTCGACAACATTCTGTCAGTGACACGTTTTGTCGTCGAACATGATATGCTCGACAAACTCGGGCCGCCTTTCGCATTCACCCTTTGGGTCTCGGCCCGACTTCTACTTGTTCATGGATCAACCATCGCCCACACCGTTAGTCCTGACATCCTGTTCTTCGTCGACACACTCGCCCACATGGGGCAGTACTGGAAGGTTGCCGAGCGCTACAGCAACATTCTCCAACGTGTGCTCGACGAGTACCGCGAATACCAGCAATCCGCAGCTACAGACGCCGAACGCTCTACTCCCTCCACGGTCAAAATCCTGGCCGACATGCGACGCTGCGCATTTGACCTCGACTTCCTCATCTCTCGCCAACCCCGCGAATCACCGTCGACCATAAGCAGCGGCGGAAACGATCCAATGCGCCCTTCCAATTCCGCCGTCACCCCGCGCAACCTTGCGCCAAATGAACTGGAGTACCTCGATGTCTTCGGGTTCTTCAATGTACCACGCGTGCCACCCGCCCGCGCCCCAGGTCCAAATACAGCTGCCACTGCGCACCTGGAAATGTCTGAGTCTGTTCCAAATCCCATGTCGATCCATGGACTTACAGGCTCTGGCCCTGGGGTTAATGGAAATGCCTCTGCCAACACGAATGAGTTCAATATTACCAACTACCTGATTCCCACTCCGGAGACAGATTGGCTGTTCCGACCGGGTGGATGAAATCTTTTGATCTCAAGCACATGATTGAGATTTTTTTTAGCCACTGTCGCGCCATGCCCGTTGGGTCTGTTGATCTGTCTTGAGCAATATGTCACGATGGAAGATTGGCGAAGTATACAAGTAGCTTTGCCTTATTCGAGGGCTCCCTCACCTTACTCCCCTCCATAACGGAAGGAATCATCTCCGTCGTCGACTGGAAATTCCACCCACCATTCACAATCGAGGAAGCGTCACCAGCCCTTTCGGTGGATTGGATGATTCGTCGCCTTTACCCACCGATGGTTATAACACTCTACAATCCATTATGCACATAGTTATAAAATATCGCATGCTTTGATGCAAGCGAAGGGCCCGGGTAGTGGAAATTGGAATGTACATAGTGTCGATCATGTTTCCATTGCAGTTTGTATGATAGGTTATCGTAGTTCGCGGTCTCGTCTGTGCGCTAATTTGTTGAAACAATTCTTTTCAACATCATCCACATATGATCACCTCACTACGTCCTCCTATCCATCTTGAAGATCCAACATATCCATTATATGCATACAAAACAGAAAAAAGACAGGAGACTCAGATTGTAAAATACATCGCAGGAAGATAAAGTAAGCCGCAGGCATCCCATTTACAGTACAGCACTCAGGCCCCAAATGACAAAGGTGCGCCGGCGGGGAACAACAGGTATAGTATGTCACTTAATTTGCGGCAGGGACAGTCTTCGCGGTCGACCGGACATGGCGGCCCAACTTCTCCAGCTCGCCAATGATACCGCCACCAGCCAGACTCCACTTCTCACCGACCCAGGTCTCATTCACCTCCTCGCGCAGCAAGCCGCTGCGGGCAAAGTACTCCAGGTAGCCGCGGGTCTCATCGCGAGTCAGGCCGCCGAGAGTCTGCAGCTCAAGCTGGGGCTCCTTGCCGGTAGTAGGCTTGAACAGGTCGAGGACGCGGGCGTCGGCACCGCTGTAAGCCTCGGGTGAGGGATAGTCGGGGGATGAAGGGCTGGTGCCGGCCTGGCGGGCGGCCAGCTGGTCCAGGGCGACCTCCAGGCTGTAGATGCTGGGGTTGTTGGAAGTGGAGGTGGCGTACAGAAGCATACCGCCGTTCTTCAACGAGGCCTGACCGTTCTGCAGGAGGGAGAGGAAGTGTTTGACGAAGACGAGGTCGTGTGCATGGACAGGGGTGAAGTCAGAGGCGCGGTAGGCGCTCTCCTTCATCCAGTGCGCGAGACCGTCGACGGCCACGAGCATCGGGGGACGAGGCTGGAAGTCCTTCTCCATGCCGGGGGCAGCGGCGGTGGCAGTCAACTCAGTCCACAGGGCTTGGAAGACTGGCCAGGCAACAGCAGCGTCCTGGAAGCCGAGCTTGGCCAGGTCCTCCAAGGTAGAGGAGGGCTTGAGGCCCTTCAGGGCCGGGTGTTGCTGCGAGACCTTAAGGCTGGAAAGGACCTCACGATTGGCCTCGACGGTGCGCATCAAGAGGGCGGACGTGGCATTGGGCTGAACGTATTGGGGCGGATTGGTGCCTTCGATCAGGGAGTACCCGGTGTCACCGGACACGAGCTCTCGAGCTGCAAGACGAAAATTTAGCAGATGCAAGGAATATCAATAAACATCGAAGACATAATTGCGGAACTTACCATCAGGAACTGTGACCACAACCCACTTCTTAAGGAAGCCCATGGCCATAGCCTGCAGCAGATGGACAGTCTTGCCAGAGCCCTTCAACCCCGTGATAATCTTCTTAACGACCTTGCCCTTCTCAGCAGCATCGCCCTCCCCAGAAATTTTCTCAAACAAACGACCCATCTCCAGCGTATCCCGTCGCAGGACGGTACCCGGCCGGCGGAATATCGACCAGCCCTGCTTGGGCTTGAACGCTTGCACGGCTCTCAATTGATCGAGCATGGGCACAGGCAGACCGAGCACAGCACCGCGCAGACGAGCATCAACCATAGTCTCCAAAGACAGGTCCTTCATGCCCTCAACCTCCAGGGCATTGGGGTTGCTCAGCACGATGCGCTTCCGCAAAGCCTTGCGCTCTCCGACGGCCGGGGGACGCGCGCGTTCGGTAGTCTTCTTCTTCTTTCGCCGCAGGGTCTGGCCTTGGCGGTACTTCACCGCCACGAGGGAGCCCTTCTTCTTGGTCGGGTTGGCATACTGGACGGCGGAGGAGTGGAAGGAGGCGGTCGAGATCCGGGGCGTAATGGACTGCGCAGGGAGAATTGCTCGCGGTGTTGGTGTTGTGCGAAGCCGCGAGAGGCAGCTCCAGCACCACGAGGAGGCCATTGGGTCACTCAAACACTGGCACGGCGGCCAGTGTGGTCAATTCGGGCGGAATTGGGAGTGAGTTGGGGTAGACGGCGATTGGGAGTCTACAGTAGAAGAACCCATAATAATTTGATGAATTCCTTCCGCCCGTTTGGGATGGCGGTGTATGGGTGCCTTAGTCACGGGCGGCAGAAAAGTAGAGGCTGTGATAGCCAACTTTTTTTTCCTTGCCGAGCAGCTTTATCTCCGCCGGTTTTTTTTTTGCTCTGAACAGGCACCTGCCAGTTATTTTGAGCTTGAATTTCTTTCACTATGGCAGACGTCGAAATGAGCAACTCTGCCGCTGATGCGGCTTCCAACAAGACTGAGAGACTGTACGAGATCTTCCTGCTGATATCAAGCCAAACATTTCAGAATGCAACTAACATAGACCACCCAATTTAGCCCCATCACTGTCTCCAAGCCCACTCCCTACACCTTCGACCTGGGCAATCTGATGGTCAACGATCCAAACCCGCTGGAGCTCCCGGAAGGCGAGCCCCTCAACGATTCCCTCAAGGCCATCGCCCGTGACGGCGCGCAATGCCTGCTGAACCAGCTCCTGACGACATGCAACATCACTTCATCTGCCCAGAACGGCGTGCTCCTCAACCTGCCCGCCCCCGCCACCGCCGTCCCGCGGCACAAGCCGCTGCCAACCCCCAAGGCTCCCACCAAGTGGGAGCTGTTCGCGCGCAAGAAGGGCATCGGCAAGTACAGCCAGAGGCCTGGCGTCGCCCTGGCCGACAAGGAGCGCCGCAAGAAGCTGGCGTACGATGAGGCTTCCGGCGAATGGGTGCCCCGGTGGGGCTACAAGGGCAAGAACAAGCCCGAGGACAACCAGTGGGCTGTTGAGGTTAAAGAGGAGGACTGGAAGAAGGAGGAGGAAGCTGCTGCGAAGGGTGGCTCGATCCGTGGAATCTCGAGGGCTGATCGCAAGGAGCGTATCAAGAGGAATGAGCGCAAGGAGCGGGCTAATGAGCGGCGGTCGAGGAAGCCTGGCAGTGGCTAGGTTTTTCTTCATGACCGACCAATTTTGCTGGGGCCTGTATAGTTCTAGATCCGTTTCTATTCTTCATTCTCGGGCGTTGGGGTTTGGAGTCGGGACTCATATCTTCGTTTACGACTGTCAGTTGCGAGACCATATCAAAAGCATTGTTTATACGACCTTCATCTTTCTTCATCTACATTTCCTGGATGACACCTTCGTATGTCAATCAGTATGGTGCGGAACCTAGTTAGACGAATCGATATCGCAAGAACCAAAAATGGTCTGTATTGAGCCGAAAATGCCATCCCACTGCCGCTAATATACAAATCCCCAAGAACGCCAGACACAAACCAATCGACACAAATCAAAAGAGACCAGTCAACGTCTTTTCAATAAAAACAGAGCACGAGAGACAAGGAGAGTGAGAGCCGTAGCAGGGAATCTGGAAGGAGCAGCAGCATGAGAAGCAGATGAATCAAATGGAGGGATGTTTGGGATGCTGCCACACAAGGCAGAGCACGCATGATGCGATGTAATAGGCAATAGGGGGATGAAATGGAAGCCACATTTTGCCGGAGTCAGAGTGTACGGTGCAAGGTCAAGATATACAACATATGGGAAAAGCGTAAAAGGAGGTAGGTAGTAATACGATGATGAAGAAAAACCGATTCCGGAGACGCCAGGATATGCACTGACGGATTCTTGGTCGGGGTCAAGCGGCGGGCGGTTCGTAGAGATAAAACAATGTCCAGTGGAGGGATCAGATGAGTAGGAGTGGGAATAAATGAGGGATATAGCGAGACGCCTGGATTTCATGATCGCCATCAATCAAAGGCTTCAATGCAAAGTCAAAGGCTGGTCAAATTCTCTCCCGGCCCTGCGAATCCTCACAGACAGATACAAAATCGGTCCAGCCGTGTAGAAAGGAGCCCAATATGGATGTGCTCCAAGCAATTCCAAAAGGGCGATGCAAGTAGTCCGTGAGTTTCTCTAAGGAGAAAACTTCCAAGCAAGCCTGTAGCTATTTTTGGGGACACCGAATTCTAGATCTTGATAGGCGATAAAGGGGGACCAAGTTCCGGAAGCTGTGATATGCTTCGATTGTGTGCGGTCTCGATGTTCTTCGGCTTAGCCTTCCGGCCACGAGATGTCTCTGGGCGAGGCTTTTCTTCCTCAGATCGAGAGCTGGAGCTGGATGAGACAGCCCGTTCGTGGCTGGAGGAAGGCTTGTATACTTCAGCCGTAGGCCTGGATTCCTTCTCTTCGGCAAGCTTCTTCTCCAGCTCATCCATCTCCTTCTCCTTCTGGACATACTCCTTCTCGGTCCAGCAACCCTGCCAGCAGTTTTTCCAGTCGCAAACCAAGAACTGGAAGCAGAACGCATCGATTTTCATGCAAGGCTGGAAGCAGATACAAAGATTGCGGTAATCCATCTTGTTCTGGTCCACGTACGAGTGAAGAAGGTTGAGGTGGCAGGTGATGGCAAAGAGCAGGTAGTAATTGTACGGCGGAAGCTTGGACAGCTCATCCTTGAGCAGCTGCGGGGCAGTGGTGGCGCCCTCGCATTTCTCGGCGATCATATCTTGTGTCGCCTTTGGGAAGAGTTCATCCGGCAACTCACGAAGCCAAGCCTTGAACAAAGACCCAATTGTGTTGATGTCGTAAAGATCCGGTACATCGAAGAGACTGACGTCTAGTTGTGAGTCGAACCGCCTCTGCCAATGTTTGACCTCGCGGCCGCTACCTGGTACTCGGTAGAGACCTTCCTCCTCACAGCCCTTAAAGTTGAGGTAGTCAATGCAACGGTACGGAAGAGCGGGCATCCAAAACTCGGTCTTGTCTCTACAAGCATCCAGCTTCTTCGCAATGCGGGTCTTCCTAGCCTGCTCGATGAGCGGGAGGTTGATCACTGAGCACACATAGTTATCATCGTTGATCAGCTCTCGCTCATTCGTGCTGCCACTCCTAGTGATCTTGCCGAAGAAGCCCTTTCCTGCCTTGCCAAGACGGTCTGCCGCGCCGCTCGAGGACTGCTTAAGATTATTGAAGATTGCAGCCGATGCGCCGGAGACCTGGCTCAAGGAGCCAGATGTCACCATAGAGCCACCTTGGCTCCTTTCTTTTCTGAGAGAAGCGGTATCCGCGTGCCGTGGGGGGGATGCAGTCCTCTCTGAACAGGGCGTTCGGGACGTTCGGGACGTTCAGGGCGAGTGGTAGCAGAGCGCGGTGCGCTCGGCACCTCTGCTGCGTTGAACTCTTCCAGCTTCGCCAGACCGGTAGACGGCCGTCGACCCGCTGCTCGGTTCCCTGACGACTCATCCACCCGAATGGATCGCGATCGGGTCAAAAGATTTGCAAATCTTGGCTTGCTCTTCTTCAAAGGGGCGTAATCCAATTCGGTGTTGGTTTTTCTGGGTCCAGTTTGTTGCGTCCTGTCACCAGCAGTATCTCCGTCTAAGGTGATATGGTGTTAATCCAAAATTTCTTGAATAAAAATAAACAACTCAATGGAGACGAATACTCACTCTTTTCGCTCTCGCCTGCCCTAGCGAGGGCGCCAGGCAAGTCTGGAGTCGACTCATGAAACTTGGGTGCCATCTTCCGATCTCTCGAGCTGCCTCGGCTTTTGGGCGGTTCGGTCGAGTTCCCCGAGCTGTCTGATCGTTGTGTTCGATGGGACGGCTTGGGTGCCTTCAGAGTGCCAAAAAATGACTTGGACGCATCGCGCGCGTGCGAGGTCTTCCCTGAGTCCTTGGAGGAGGGGAAATATTGAGGGATAGCCGTCAGACCGGGTGTGGAGGGCTCCGCAGTGGGTTCGACGGTCGAAAGGCCAGGAGACTTTGGTGGAATCGTGGGGCTATTGGCCTTGCTGCTGGAGTCCTGGGTGACGGGACGAATAGTCGCGCCCTTGAGGAATGGAGAGCTCGAGGTGGACTTGGGCGAGCGCGGCGTCAAGGGGCTAGGTCCATCGGAACTCTGGCCACCTGGGGAGAGAGGGGATGAGATCTTGCCATCGCTGGAGTCCACTTTGAGCGATTTGAGGTCGAGATTGGGCACGTTAGATTTGCGGGACGGCATGTTGGGCGACAATCGAGGGAACCGGGTCTCAATGGTGGTTGTACGATGTGCCGAGGAGAGGAAGAATAGCGCAAGCCCGTTGTGTCCCACAGGTGCGATATGGTCCAGCTATTTTTGTCTGCTGCGAGAGAGTCGATATTAACATGGGCGACCAGGCGACCAGGCGACCAGGCGACCAGGATTGCGGCTGAGGCGTACCTGGTGATCTCAGTGTCGACCACCTGTGATCTGACAGTTTGATCTTCAGTGTGAACGGGTCACTATCGCCGGATATCGGTAAATGGTTTGGCTATGTTCAAATGGAGACGATCGTTTCGTCGAATAATGGTCGGGGGGAGGAGAGACTATCGGTAGGGAGGAATCTGGAGGAAACAAAGATATACAATCAGTCCAAGCATTCACCAATAAGTCAGGACCGCCCGCTAGGTCTAAAAAAGAACCAGTGACACCGTATGACCCGATGGCTGATGCAGGGGACGACGGCGCTCAAAGCAGTGCCGTGATGTCTTTATGGACAAAGCCAGGCACTGATTCACCGACATAATGGGAGGGTTTGCGCCCGACAGGCAAAAACTCACCGAAAAGCCCTCATGATATGTCCTCACGGCACTTTCCTCTTTCTCTCTCTCTCTTTCTCTCTCTCTCGGCAAAAAATCAATCCGGGCGAGGCTGGGGAGAGGCAGAGGGTGAAGGTGTGAGTGTTGTGATTGCGAGGACCCAGTCGCTTTCCCCCTCTTTTCGGCGTCTCGAGGATTAGAGGATCGGCAGGGCAGGAGGCGACGTTTCAAGCGACCCACAAACTGGACTCGGACTCGACCGACCAGATAGTGTGTAGGATCCCAACGATCGAAATCGGTCCCGAAAAAGACCGTGGTGAACAAAGGGAGAGGAAGAATGGAGGGCCTTCCGTACAGAGAGTCCCCTAATGGCCTAATTGACTTAGCGCTGGCGTAGCGGCTGCGTTAGCCCGAGCACTGACTATGACCCGTCAGGACGAGCAGACAGTCAGCCACGCTAGCCTCTCCGGGGGATCGTAGCGGAGAAAGGAAAAGGCGGAAAAATGAGGTGAGAGTCGAGGCGGAGCAAGATGAAAGATGCACGCGAGCTGCGAAGTGTGGGATGCGATTTTGGGAAGTGCGAGGGTAACTGGCGAAACGAACATTCCTGGCGGGACGATTATGCAAGGTCCAAGTCACGACACTATATCAGTCGTTGAATGCTTCTTGGCCGGACGGAGGAGTCGGGTCATGCGATCGAAAAGGGGAAAAGACAGGTCGGTGGGGAAAGAGTGGAATTTCCACTTGGCGTGAATTATCTACTCCATACTCCGTAATCTCTCGACTACTGACTGTGTGTACTCCGTAATGTGTACTACTATCTGATAGCATGTCGTCCCAAGGATTAACATCTCATGGGTGACCGAATGGGCCGTGACGGTGGGTTCGCATCATATCTCTCGTTCTCTCTCACGCGATGAGCCATGATCTCATGTGTCAATCACTGCCGCCGTTCCATGGACACGCCTGCGGAGGCGAGCCATGGGGTTGATCCGGATCATCCTTTTTTTAGGTCCAGGTACACTCGACGCTAGAGCTATCCCGTCGGATTTCTCGGGAACTCGATGGGATTGGCAATAGGCTGACTAGACCACCCTCCAGCTACCCAGCTGGTTCCTGACTAGACCTATGTCAAACTCAGCCGAGGGGTGATTTAGGTGGATGTATACCAACCTCTCCGTACTCGACCCAGTCGCGCCGCACGATCGGGAGCCTCCCCACCAGCAACAGTTGGAGCCATTGGGTCGGGCAGGAAGAGCCACGGGCGGGATGATGTGCGTGCCTGACGTTGCAACGGTCAGCAGCACTGATTGGGTCGATCCGCCCGGCAGAAGTGGAGCCGTGCTGGCCGCTGGCAAATCCCACCAGTCTGTGCCTGTCGCACATTCCACGGTTGCGCTTGTCGCAGATGCTGCAGTGGTCGACCCAGACAGTTGCAAATCATGGGAGCCTCAATGGCACCGATGATAGCAATTATAGCAATTGCTGAGGGGACCCGGGTCGCTTCTTGTCACGGTCTGCATAAAAACATGCTCTATGCATACTGGGAAGTATAGCTCAGGGGCAGACAGTCACGCTACTCCGTACACTTCCACCGCTCAACTAAAATACTGTAGCTCGCAATACAAAGAGGTACAAGGATACAAATACCGGAGCAGTCGTCAGACAAAACGTGTCCGCGGCGCTTGCACCGGCCCCATCGCCTCCACTTTTATTCTTGCTTCTTGGGCTGCTAAAATACCCCTAGCTAGCCCGAGTTTCAGATTCTGTCCACTGGCAATGACGGCCTCCGTGGAGAAGCGCTTCCCACGCCCCCTCTCTTTCCATGGCTCGGATCCAGCCCTGATCCGGAGTGGGGTCGATTCTTTTAGAAACATTCAGTAACATCCAGAAATAATGCCCTCCATTAGCCGGCCTGGGTATCACCGTGTGTTCCGGCTAGCCCCCGGAGGTTTACTGAAGAGGTCTTCGGCTTGTCCGACGGATCTACTTACCAGTAGTTGAACATGGAAGACATGCGGTGTGCGCATCCCTGCGCCTCCATACGGTTTATATTTTATGGGGTTTTCTACAGTAAAGTAAATACGCGGCAGTCTACACCTAGTATTTACAATCCCTTATCAGGCACCTGCAGGACCGCCTTACCCATTTCCTTCCATGTGCTCAACCGAAATAAGCAAGGTGCAGCAGGATGATGGCGCAAAGACCCTTGTGGTGACAAAGCCATCTTTTGACTTCCGCACGTCAAATTTGAATGTACATACTGTACCAGAATAATGCAGCCGATCCGAGCCTTACTCTAGCCCGACCCGTGACCCGTCATGGTTTTCTACTCTTTTCTTGTTTCTAAAAAAAAATCATCGATGCTGCCTGGGTGGATAGAGCACCACAACCATGATTTTCTGTTTGGTTCTACCAATTCCTTCGACCACATTGGTGGCGGTCTGGCACCCACACGTCCTGGAGATCCCCGTTTTGTCTGAAACATGGCAGCAAATCCAAGAGTAGCGCCCGGGGGCACACGTGCACGGAGCAATCTGCAGTGCGACCGGGTGGGTGAATCCACCCACAGAACCATTGGAGTGGACAGAAAGCTAGACTACATTTGGCCATGTTTGAAACAACCGTCGCGTGCGTTGTTGCGGTACGTAGTCAAGCTGTACGAGGTATATAGATCTTATCGCTCTTTTTTATGGTCTTAATTGCTGGTTTGGAGGATGAGATTTGATGAGCCTGCAGCTTGTGTACCATTTTGAATATATGGACGTTGCATGGATGTGTTCGTCATACGCACTTGTCTAGATATTGGTCAATGGTGTTGCTCTACTTATATTTGGAACCTCGGCGTATAAATAAATATATCTCCAGTGGAAGGCTTCCGGAAATAGGCATAGGTAGTAGAAGATGGATTCTGAAAAAAGTTGTCCACCTTAAAGCAAGCAAATCAAAAATAACAGGCACTCCATATTTGTCAGACATTATATCCGGAATCCCAGGTACATGACTACATAACTATCATCAGTGGTAGTTTGACAATTTGAAACTATTGCCTACTCACCGCCACCACTGTATCTACTGCTCTGCCAGCGGGTACCTAACTCTGTACCCGCACATGCAGCACACCGCCCAAGCCACGTGACCACACATAACTACAAAAAACGCGATCGCTGAATCTTCCCAGGAAAAATCAGCCACAATTCGCTTCGCGGGAACCCCCGTTTAGTCCCGCGGCTTTGCACAGCCCAGTTTGGTGGCGCCCGCTGGTTCATCTAAGCTCAATGACAGCTATGATCTGAGCAACGTCTTGTCATTAATCCGCTAGCCTCATTTCCGGGCACATCCCGAACAAGCTTTTCCTGCCTTGAATTACTAACCCGCCCTATCACCCCTCGCGGTATCCAAAGGCCCAATCAAAGCCACCGCGTCATCACACAGACAATGGCTCTGGTATCAGGCCCAGGCAGGGCCGGAGGCACCTCGTCAGACCAGGAACTGCACATCTTAAAGCATGTTACTTACATCAAAAACCTGGACACTGTGCGTGCTCTTTTCTCACATTGATGAAGCTAGGTTATACGGTAGGGACCATGATTGACCGGTGATAATAGCGGAAAGAGGAGCTGGAGTACTGGCTCACCGAGCACTTACGGCTCAACGGTGTGTACTGGGGATTGACTGCGCTCCATCTGCTCGGTCATCCCGATGCTTTACCCCGTGAGGAAACCATTGATTTTGTGCTCTCCTGTCAGAAGGAAAATGGCGGGTTCGGAGCTGCCCCCGGCCACGACGCACACATGCTCTACACCGTCTCGGCGGTTCAGATCCTGGTCACCATTGATGCAGTGGATGAGCTGGAGAAGCGTGGCAGAGGGGGCAAGCAGAGAGTTGGCTCTTGTATGTTGCTTCCCGAGGTGTGGTCTATTGTTAGCAAACCTAACGGAATCTAGTCATCGCAAGCATGCAGAATAACGAAGACGGCTCCTTCATGGGAGATCAGTGGGGTGAAACCGATACCCGTTTCCTCTATGGTGCACTAAATGCACTGTCGCTCCTGGGCCTCCTAGACATGGTCGACCTCCCCAAAGCCGTCTCCTATGTCCAAAGTTGTGAAAACTTTGACGGGGCATACGGAGTAACTCCTGGCGCGGAGTCCCACTCAGGCCAAGTTTTCACCTGTGTTGGGGCTTTAGCCATCGCCGGGCGTTTGGATCTAGTGAACAGGGACCGACTGGGGGCCTGGCTCAGTGAGCGCCAGATCGACAAGGGTGGCTTCAACGGGCGTCCAGAGAAACTACCAGATGCATGTTATGCTTGGTGGGTTGGGTCTAGTCTGGCCATGATTGACCGCCTCCACTGGATAGATGGCAAGAAGCTTGCTTCCTTCGTGCTGCAATGCCAGGTTCGTGTTGACTCCAGCCGCCATCAATTTTAGTCTACTAACTTGATTCAGGATCCCGAAGCGGGCGGATTTGCTGATCGCCCTGGGAATATGGTTGATGTTTACCATACCCACTTTGGCATCGCAGGTCTGAGTCTGCTGGGGGTGGAAGGACTGCAAGAAGTAGATCCTATATAGTGAGTGATGCTTCTCGACCTCTGCTTGGCAACATTGCTTACCGATCCTCCAGCTGTATGCCCAAAGCTGTCATTGCACGATGCTTCGCAAGGTGAAGAAGAGTCCTTAACTGAAGTGTGCATTGTAATACTATCTACTCTTCTGTTCCTCCTGCAATCTAATAACCCATCGTTCTTTTCCTCCGTGGACTATGGGATACAAGGCAGGAGGAGAGCAATGTCCACTTTGACTTATTCCGCTTCATACCATCCCACAATGGCCTAAAGGCCGTTAAGACATCGTGGCACATACCAGATCAGCTCTTTTTCATTAAGCTGTTGAGATACTGAGATACCTAATGACATACAATTCAAACATGACTTGTTCGCTCCGTGCTGTTCGCTCCTTCTTCTGCGTAGTGTTCTTGCTTTCCCGTTGGGGGAGGAACGCGGTCGTTGTTGTCAAAGCGAAATGTTGATGACCACCGCACTCCTTTCCCCCTCCCCATCACCATCACTCCTCCGTCCCGTCTCTATCGCTCCTTCAGCAGTTTCCTCGGCTTTGAAATTTGCCCACGGCGTTTGGTTCTACATTTGATCTCTGCATGCTGCTTCCTTCTCGATTTGTCCCGCCAGTTCCCTCGCAATTGGAGAAATGAATGCTACGGGACTACAATGCATCATCTGCCCTGGGCAGCCTGCCTTCAGCGATGTGTCCCATCTCTTGACCCACGTTGCATCCAAGGCCCATCTGTCTCATTACTTCAAGCTCCAAGTCCGCAGCCACCAGGAAGCTGATGCTGCTGGACTTCTCCAGACGTACAACGATTGGTTCAATGCCAACAACCTCGCCCAGTTACTTTCCGACCGAATCTCGTCCAAAGATGACCGGAAGAAAAAGAGGAACTCGTCCCGAAAGGCTACAGTCGATTTCACTGTCCAACGCATCCCGCGAGCATCTGTCTCAGAAGATCTCGTGGACCCTGCCGCTGACTTGAATGCCGTCCTTCACGGCTTTCTAGATCCTCGCCTGGAAGATTCCTACCAAGATGTGAAGTATGAATCGGAGACGGAAGATGCGACATTCATCTCATGCTATGACACTCCGGCCACATCCACGGCTATTGATGCTCTTCCCATCCCGAAATCAGACTTCGACGTTCGCTCAGCTCATTCGACTGGTAAGACTGAGATGACTAGTTGGCGTGACCAGACCGTGGTTGGCTCTGGCCAGAATGCCAATGCCAATGTCGCCTTGCCTATAACCCCGAAGCCCACACGAACTCGCCAGAGACCAAGTGGCACTTGTCTGCATTTGGGTACCAATACATTGAACGCTTTTGTTGATGGTGAAGTGGACAAAGATCGGGCTGAGGAGATGGCGAGACTGAAGGGAGTTCTGTGGCCCGGAATGGACATTTTCGATTCGGCGACACAGCAGATGCGACGCAAGCGTAACCAAAAAAAGGACGGGAACGTTTTGAAGCAGATGGAAATGACTTCTCAGCTGGTGGAGCCCACGGAACTGATCTTCTCCCCCACAGGGATCCTCCGGAAGGAACGTGTGATTTCCGGCAACGTTGAAGATGATAGCCCGCTGAAAGGAGAGACTCCGATTCCGAAAAAGCGTCCTCCTCGCCCTAAGCGGGGAGTTCTACGACAGAATGATCCAAACGTTTTACGTGCCAAAGACAGAAAGCGTGTCAAAAAATGTGTCGCTCCAAGCCGCCATAAGAGTGAGGAAGCACCGGCTAGCCCTGGTTCGGCACTTATCTTGAATCGCAAGATCAACCTCGGAGTGGGAGATGACGGGGAAGACGACGAGCTGAGCTTGTCAATGCAAGCCTTTGGAAAGCGTCCCCGCAGCGGCTTCAGTATCTTTAACGACGAAGATAACCAAGACCAGCAGGCATTGATGCAGCATGGTGCAAACCCGCCGGCCTCTCCGGACACGCTGACCCCGACTCGACTCGTTCTAAACAACCAAGCAAACATTTCGCACAACCATGGACATAAATTTGACTCTTCACTGGACAAGGAAAACATCGAGCCCATTTTGAACTCTCGGGGCCGAATTGACCCTCCCATATGGGACTCAACATCCCCATTTCTGAAGAGAAGCGACTCTGACAATAGCGGGTTTGCGCCTCGCTACTTCTTCGATGAACATTCGCACGTTGGCCTTGGCATGAGCAATGACCAGGAGAAGTCTGGATATAGATCCAACCCCCTGCTTGCTCCTACCTCGAAGATGGCCATGTATGAGCATAACTCGTACGACAAAGACGTCACCTTGACCAACAGTGGCTGGACCGCGATGTCGCGAGCTATGTCGTCTGACGCGACCATCTCCGAGGAGGATCACAATGAACTCACTCGACTTTACCTGAGCGCCACTGCAGCGGACTAGATAGCTTTCAGATCACAGAGCTTTCTGCGTTTGATATCATTTGTCGGTCTCCAAGCTATCTTGGCCGCTGAGTATCGTGCATATTGACTAGAGCAGGATTTGACAGGAGGTTTACGCTGGATGGGCCGGTATTCGTTTTCTTTGCAGCATCTTGATGGACTGTCTTTATTGGTTGATCTGGATTGTTATGGTGTTAAGGGGTCAAGGGGTGGCTTTGCATGGGCCTGGACCGCGGAATGGATATGGATTCTCACTCGCACGGACAGTCAACCGTGTTGTATGTAACATGATTAGTCCTTTATGAATACTCTTTCTATGAACCGACCTTCATTCTTCAATCATAAAGCTACCAGACAGAAGCTACACTCCTCATACATAGGAAGCCTGGTTATCGAGCAGGGCGGCCGATAAGAGGCTGAGTCAGCAACCAATTAACGCCCATCGCGTCTCCTACGCGTCAAACCCCGGCCATTGCGGAGTTCGGTGTCAACCAACAGACAGAACTGGCGCATCAGGGCCCCTGTGGTCTTTTTCTACTTTGATTTGAGTGGTGCTCTTGTATACCTACTGGCTGCCTCCCATCGCTGGGACCGCCGAGCATAATGGCGCCCCATTCTTCGCCATCGTCCTCCGCAGCTTCTCCGCCCTTGAAGCGAAAGCAAGCGACTATTTCCAGCTTCTTTACCCAAAAGCCGTCTTCGACACCAAAGCCTGCATTGAATGGCACCGAGACCGCTACTGATAAGCTATCGAAGAAGAGACCTGCCTCACCCAGAGAACCGAGTCAAGAGCGGAAACGAGCAGATCCCATACTGGAAGACGAGGAGGATGATGATGATGAGATTGTGGTGCCACCTCCTAAGCGTGCTAGAACCAACGGCTCCGCCACAGAAGAAGCGAGATCAGTGCCGACAGAGATCCCCCTAAACTCACCCTCGCAACTCAGCAACAGCCAGCGCACCGGCATCTTCAAGTTCCAGAGCTCGCCCGCCGTTGCTCCACCAAGCAAGGAACCCGAGGACACAGAGGATGCAGAGCGAAGGAAAGAAAAAGAAAAACTGCACCAGAAGTTTGTGCGGAAGCTCGGTGGCCCTGATTGTCTGATTGGAATTGGAAGGAATGTGGCGAGTGACCTCGCCGGCGCCGCGGCCGAGGCGGAGGAAGGCGAGGAAGACGATGAACCTGCGCCCCCGCCACCGACGAAGGGCAAGGGCGCCGCGAAGAAGGGTGGCAGCAAGCTCACGCCCATGGAGAAACAGGTCATCGAGATTAAGCGCAAACATATGGATACCGTGCTGGTGATTGAGGTCGGATACAAGTTTCGGTTCTTTGGCGAGGATGCTCGTGTTGCAGCGAAGGAGCTGGGGATTGTCTGTATTCCGGGAAAGTTTCGATTCGATGAGCGTATGTTGTGTCTTCTGCTGCAGATATCGATAAAACACAGACTGATCATCTACAGATCCATCGGAGGCGCACATCGATCGCTTTGCGTCTGCTAGCATCCCTGTGCACCGGCTACATGTACATGTGAAACGCCTCATTACAGCGGGCCATAAGGTTGGCGTGGTGCGGCAGATAGAGACGGCGGCGCTCAAGGCGGCTGGCGACAACCGCAATGCGCCTTTTGTTCGCAAGTTGACCAACTTGTACACGAAGGGAACTTACATCGATGATGTCGAGGGCCTTGAGGGTCCGGCTCCTGCGGCTGGGGGTGCTTCGCCGGCGACTGGGTATATGCTCTGCATCATGGAGACTAATGCGAAGGGCTGGGGCAATGACGAGCGAGTGCATGTCGGTATTGTCGCCGTTCAGCCTACTACGGGTGATGTGATCTACGATGACTTCGAAGATGGGTTTATGCGCAGCGAGATTGAGACGCGGCTGCTGCATATTGCCCCCTGCGAGATTCTGATTGTTGGGGGAGATGTCCAAGGCGAGTGAAAAGCTCGTGCAGCACCTGTCTGGAAGTAAGATGAATGTCTTCGGTGATGCGGTGCGTCTCGAACGGGTTCCGAAGAAGAAAACTGCAGCCGCCGAGGCGCATAGCCATGTCTCGGGCTTTTATGCTGGTAAAATGAAAGCTACTGGCACAGAAGAGGATGTTCAGGCGGCTAAGTTGCTTCAGAATGTGCTTGAATTACCCGAGCATGTTACCGTCTGTCTTTCTGCGATGATCGCGCATATGACTGACTACGGATTGGAACATGTCTTTGATCTGACTAAGTACTTCCAGCCGTTCTCAGCTCGGTCACACATGCATTTGAATGGAAATACGCTGGTCAGTCTGGAGATCTACCAGAACCAGACCGATCATTCAGCCAAGGGTAGTCTATTATGGACTTTGGATCGGACACAGACGCGCTTTGGGCAACGGCTGCTGCGGCGCTGGGTTGGACGGCCGTTGCTTGACAGAGTACGGCTTGAAGAGCGTACTGACGCTATTGAAGAGCTTACAAGTTCTGCTCACACCGTGCCCGTGGAGCGAGTGAGAAGGTTGCTGGGTAAAATCAAGAGTGACCTGGAAAAAAGCTTGATTCGTATCTACTACGGCAAGGTATGTACAACTCATGCCAGGAGTTTATTTAATATGCTAATTCAAATGAAAGTGCACTCGACCAGAGCTTCTCACTGTTCTGCAGACCATGCAGACAATTGCAATGGAATTCGCAGAGGTCAAATCTCCTGCCGACACGGGATTTGAATCCACTCTGGTCAGCGAAGCAATTGCCTCTCTTCCAACCATTCAGGAAGACGTCAACCGTTTCTTGGACAAGATCAACCTCCATGCTGCACGGAATGACGACAAATACGCCTTCTTCCGCGAAGAGGAGGAGACGGAGGAGATTAGCGACGAGAAACTCGGAATCGCTAGTATTGAACACGAGCTAAAAGAGCATCTTCCCGTGGCCGGAGAGCGCTTGCAGAGGAAGCAAGTGGAGTATACGACGGTGTCCGGTATCGAGTACCTGATCGAGATTGAGAACAATTCCTTGGCCATCAGGCGTGTTCCAGCGTCCTGGGTCAAGGTGAGTGGAACGAAGAGAGTTTCGCGGTTCCACACACCTGAAGTGATCCAACTCATCCGGCAACGGGATCAGCACAAGGAAGCTTTGGCCGCGGCCTGCGACAAAGCCTTCAAGGCTCTTCTCGCCGATATTGCAACCCAATACCAATCTTTCCGGGATTGCGTCCAGTCCCTCGCAACGCTGGATTGTCTACTTTCCCTCGCAGCCATTGCCCAGCAACCTGGCTACGTCAAGCCGGAGTACAGCGATCGAACATGCCTCTACGTCGAACAAGGTCGGCACCCGATGGTTGAGCGCCTTTTGACAGATACCTACGTACCCAACGATACCAATCTCGACCCAGAAGCCACACGGGCGCTCCTTGTGACCGGACCAAACATGGGCGGCAAGTCTAGCTACGTGCGCCAAGTCGCCCTCATCGCCATCATGGGCCAAATCGGCTCCTACGTGCCCGCCGCCTCCGCCAAGCTCGGCCTTCTCGACGCCGTTTTCACGCGCATGGGCGCCTTCGACAACATGCTCGCCGGCGAATCAACCTTCATGGTCGAGCTCTCCGAAACAGCAGATATCCTCAAGCAAGCCACACCCCGCTCTCTCGTCATTCTCGACGAGCTCGGCCGTGGCACGTCCACCCACGACGGGGTCGCTATTGCCCAGGCTGTGCTGGACTATATGGTCCGGAGCATTCGCTCTCTGACGCTCTTCATCACGCACTACCAGCACCTTTCGCGCATGGTGCGCTCGTTCCCGGACAAGGCGCTGCGTAACGTACATATGCGTTTCACCGAGTCTGAGGAGAAAGATGGGGAGAAGGAAATTACGTTCTTGTATGAGGTTGCGGAGGGCGTGGCCCATCGCAGTTATGGGTTGAATGTGGCGCGGTTGGCGAAGCTACCACCGTCTGTGCTGGATTTGGCACGGACGAAGAGTGCGGAGCTGGAGGAGTCGATCAAGCGGAAAAGGCTGGCGGCGATTGTTGGCGCTGTTGGAAGGGTAGTCGAAGGGAAGGATGATGTCGCGGAAGAGGAGAAGCTGCTTGATCGGTTGCTTGCGAGTACAGAGCAGTTGTAGGTTGCAAGGGCCGGTGTAGTTCGTGGTTATCGTCGTACATTTCTTTCGGCATGGATATAGGGTTGTGAAGTTTATACGGGGTATCAACATGCATGATCATCTTGTAAATGGAGTCTCCGGCGTATTCATAAATTGCAGGCACTATAGATACTATCCTCATTCTGGCTATAGATGTTGGTGACACTTTCGTGTAGATAGCAGATCTGATCACATTGTCGGACCCTGGGCGAGAGGAGAATTACCCTTCACTCGCGCCACGACGAGGGCCGTTTGTCCATGGATACCGCCACCCCGGGCAGATCCTTCGCGAACCCGTTGAATGTCGCTTGGCCGATCACCACTTCGTCTGAGAATATGACACGTCGGACGGTTGGGAAGCGAGTCTAATCGACAACCCAGATAGGTCAGGACCTGCTCGACCCAGATCGACCCTGAAGACAAACCTTGAGAATGGTAGCAAGACGCCAGATTGACTCGCGTTTGAAGGGACTTCGGGCCGGCTTCCATGCCACAAAGTGGTGCGAGAGACCCAGCCGGAATTTGTACGCGTGGACATGCACATACGTAATGCTGGGGGCATCGAGGTGCGGCAAGTAAATGCAATTGTCGTGCTGATTCAGGTATAGGCACATCATGCCAAGTTTGGGGAAAGTGATACCCTGAAGGACTCTGTTTGCCATCCTCAAGCCCTCCTGGCGAACAGCCATCATATTGGTTCCAATAACGAAGTCAGCATAGAACTGGCGGCGATCAGGATTGACCTCGCTGAATCGCTGGAGAAGCGACGTCTTGAAGGTACATCCGAATGCCACGTAGCCATGGAGGCTTATTGGGAGTGCCTGTTGAATAGTCGGAGCTTGCCAGAAGAAGCGCATGACTTGGGCGAACCAGAGCGTGTTGACCCGGCTACATCGAAGAAGCGACTTGCAGTCTTCAAATTCCATGGGAAGGCCAAAAAGTATGGTTCTCCGGATACCCACGAAATAGTGAACGATTTCGGCGATGAGCTCTGCGGTGGAGAGCACCCGCTGAGCTGCGGTCATGGAGCTTGGGTCGGTCATGGCTTAGCTGTAGGCTGATGGTGTGGGTGTGAGCTTCAGAGAAGAACACTTAGCCTGGAGAAGGTCAGAAAGCCACAGGAGTAAAAGAGGTAGGTTGGAAGACCTGTGATATTGGACTTGATGATTCGAGCGACAGGCCTTTGCCTGGAGAGGTATGAAGTCGTAATATATCAAAGAAAGAGAGCGGCAGAGGCAGGAGGTAAGGAAGGTGGAGGTAGCAGGCGAGGTTGTTGAAGAAGAGAGACATGAGTGGAGAGTTAGAAATACCCAGTCAAAAACTATGTGAGAGGAAGGTTCGTTTGCTGTCCTCAAGCACGGCACTTGCTCAGTTTCGAGTATTCACAGTGCATTTTGTATTCACCATTCTGACCTGAGAGTTAAGATAAATAGATAAACCCGCAAGAAGAGCCCATAGCCCAGCCCAAATGGCTATCAATACTCATAATGACGACGGAAATCATTCATGCCATTGCCCACCTCCTGCCGGCCCATCGGAGTCATATCCAGCAGATGATACGTAGATAGTATGATCTCCAACCCACGGTCGGTAGTATCATATGTATGGAACACTTGATCACCGTCCTTCAAGAAGGAACACAGCCCGAAGTACCCATTCCCCGGCTTCCAGGTGATCGTCTCACCTGCTTTCTCCGCCTCAGCCCACGCCTGATGTGTCTTAGCAGAGCTGTAAAATGGGAACTTCCACTCCATGCGATCTGCATAGGCGGTGACTTCATCCAAAGGCGCCGTTGCAACAGCAGCAAAGGATGTGTTTCTGCTCTGCAGATGGCGTAGATCAGGAATATGGTCCATGCAGAACGAGCACCCCACACAGCCTTGGGTCTCGTGGGGAGCTAGCATGAAGTGGTAAAGGATGAGCTGCTTGCGGCCGTCGAAGAGGTCGACTAGCGTCTTTTCTCCCGCTGGAGTGTCGAATTTGAAGCGAGTGGGGTTGGGCACTTGGACCATGGGAAGCTCGCGGCGAGATGCGGCCAGCTGCTGGAGGAGCTGCGTGGCTGCTTTCTCCTGCTTGAGAAGATCTACCCGTGCCTTCTGGTACTCGTCCGCACCGACAACCTTTCTCTGAGGGTATTGTCAGTATGATGAATGCCTTGTGTGATAGCAATAGAATCGAGGGAGGTTGTAGTCGAGTATGTGGGGTAGGAACTGTGAACTGGACGGTTCGGCATACCTCTTTCTGAGAAGACTCCATCTTGATAAACTAAAATGGTTTGGTGGATTGCTCAACACTGCGAATCAACTATGAGGGCTTCAAGGAATGCATCAAGTGGCTTCGAGTTGACCCCTCCAGAGTTGTGAGGTGGGCTATACGAAGACTGCCCGCCGGATTAAGCTTCCTTAGTAACCTTACCCAGGAAAAGTCCATGACAGGTTCCCTGTACCAACGAGCCATGCCTTTTATAGCTGCCCACTATATCTGATATATCGCCTTGAAATGGTCCATAGACACAGATATTACGACACCGTAGTCTACAGATACGGGCAATGCCACTACGCCTCGCCCGCGGCCGCTCTCGACATGCTAGAACCGGAAGTTTCAAATTTTTTTTTGGATTCCCCTTGTGTTCTTTTTGTCGGTCAGACCCTGAGCCCAAGTCTCGGCGTCCTTTCTTTTCTAGTACCGCTTTGCAACTAGCAAAAGGGAAGACGGGAGAAGGAAAAGCACATCACAACCTCGTTGTCGCATTGAGCCCATGCAAACACGCCAAAAGGACGTGTGTATGTAGTAAAACACCAGACCAAGCCAGACCAGACCTTCCCCACAAAACCACAAACCAGCCATCGCGCAACCTCATTCATTTTCTCATATAAACAGGGGTTTTTTGATATCTGCTCATTTCTCTCCATCTCTCTCTCCCGTTCGGAGCCCATGATCGACTTCCAGGACCTTTGGGGCTGGTCAAAAAACCAGAAACACCGTAAAGTCCATTCCACCCAGCATTCACCACCTTCATTCGATCATCAGAAAGCGTAGACACGGCATCGAGAGCTCGAGAAGGCGAATGAAACGGGCGGCGCGGCGGTTGAGGTTGAGGGAGTCGGGGGAGTCAGAGGTACGTCAAGAAAGAAAAGCGGGGACACAGTTTTGGCCGAAGAACGATCAAAGAAAACCGGACGTGAGGGATATGCGAGAGACGAAGAGAGACGAAAGACATAGCGCGAGTAATTTGTCGTTTTGAGGGATTTTAACGGAGACGGCGAGCCTCACGCTCGGACTCGAGCAGGCAGAGAATGTCATCAACCCGGACTGTTGGGTGCGAAAGCAAACGAGTTAGCGATTGTGGTTCGTACACATGGCCCCTCCCGAAAATTCGACATGGTTGTTAGATCTTCCATATTTCGCCTGGTGTTTCCCTCTCTTGCATGATCCTCCCATACGTAATTTTCGACGGAGACGAAGAAGAAATCGGATTCGCATACCTGGGCCCTTGACGTTACGGATGATGGAACGGGAGGTGTCGTCCATGAACTCGACGCGGACCTGGGTGACACCACCACGGGAGCCTGGAGACCAAAAAAACCACCTGTTAGCATTCGTTCGACTCCCAGAAATTCCGCAGTTTCAATGGTGTATCTTGTTTCCGGGCGATCGGGGGGCGCAATGGGAGACCCCCCGCGGATCTCGAATTTGTGCGGATTGGACCGGGATAGGTTTTGCAGGGAAGGCACGTACCGGTGCGGCCGAGAACACGGGTCACCTTGACGAGCTTGACGGGCTGCTTGCTGGAATCCATCTTGGAGGTGGGTGGAGGGCGTTAAGCTCGGACGACGAGGTTGGAGGGAGTTTGGGTGGACTGGAGGAAGAGGCGGATGTGAAGATGATTTTGCCTTGTGTGGGTTCCAAATTACGCGAGGGCTCAGGGCTGTCGACACCTGAGCCGTCCGGCAGCAAGTCATAAGCTGAGTCAGCGAGATCTACACTGACACCTGATAAAACAGGCATACACTATTCTTCAGACCGGGGCAGAATTTTGGGTACCAATTCGGAGTAGTCATGACCGTCGTTTTGACGGAGAATACTGCGTAGTCGATTGCAATAGGAATAATAGGGAAAGAGATGCCAAAGCCTTGGCTCATCTCGGTCTACCTCGTGCGCGGGTGTGCCGTCCTGCTTTGCTACCAGTCGCAGCGTTACCAAGTGTAGTACGTCCACGCCGGAGGTGCCGCTGCCCCGCCAGTTTCTGCCGCAAAGAGCTCCGGTCTGCGTCTGCCATCTCTGTCACCCACTCCACCCCCCCTCGGTCCCTGTTGCACTTGCAGCTTCAATTGCTTCGAGACACATCGCAGGTTTTCGAATTGCAATTGATTTACTCTTTTGGCCCGAACTGTCCCCGTTGGTGTCGACATAACCTCTCCTAAACCGCTATCCGATTCCGGAGTGCCCCGCGACGCAACACTCTTATCATAATGGATCTCGTCAACCAGTGAGTCACCCCGAACCAATGTGCCCTTGAAGATCACCTTCTAACATCCAATTTAACCACAGCTTGGAAGGAAGAGTTCTCTTCGCCGTGCCCAAGAGCAAGTTCCCCCCCGTCTACATTCATACCATGACTCATAGCCGTGGTCGCGAAAGCGACACGTTGGCTGAGAACAATGATTGCAACAAGAACCTCTTCGCAACTAACACCGCGTTCTACCTACAGAGGGCCGCCTGCAGCAAGCAACCCTCGACCTGCTTGCTGGCTGCGACATCCAATTCCGCCGCGAGACCCGTCTCGACATCGCGCTGGTCAAGAACCTGCCGATCGCGCTCATCTTCCTGCCTGCCGCCGATATCCCGACCTTTGTGGGCGAGGGCCGTGTCGACCTCGGTATTACCGGCCGTGACCAGGTCGCCGAGCATGACTCGACCCTTCCGAACGGCGAGACCTCTGGCGTCGAGGAGATCCTCGACCTCGGCTTCGGCGGCTGCAAGCTGCAGGTGCAGGTGCCCCAAAAGGGCAACATCACTGAGGCGAAGCAGCTGATCGGCCGAAATGTTGTGACTAGCTTCACCGCGTTGTCTGAGGCTTTCTTCACTAAGCTCGAGGGCGCCGAGCCTGGCTCCAAGCTCCAGACTAAGATCAAGTATGTGGGCGGCAGTGTCGAAGCAGCCTGCGCTCTGGGCGTAGCAGATGGCATTGTGGACCTCGTCGGTACGTTTACATACTCCCACATCCCTCCGGTCATCTTCGTCCATGTCGATGCCTCTGTATCTGTCAAACATACTAACCTTTGATTTCTCAGAATCCGGCGAGACCATGAAGGCTGCCGGCCTCAAGGCCATCGACACAGTCGTCGAGAGCACAGCCGTGCTCGTCAAGTCCCGAGACTCGAACAACGACCTCCTGAACCTGATTACCTCGCGCATCCGCGGTGTGATCACCGCCCAGAAGTTTGTGCTGTGCCAGTACAACATCCCTCGCTCCGAGCTTGCCATCGCCTCCAAGATCACCCCCGGCAAACGCGCGCCCACCGTCACCGCCCTGGAGGAGGAGAACTGGGTGGCTGTCAGCTCGATGGTCGAGAAGAAGCGCATTGCGACGGTCATGGACGAGCTGATCAAGGTCGGCGCGACGGATATCCTGGTCTTGAACATTGCCAACTCGCGTACGGACTAAGATGTGCTACTGCTAGCCTGTCTGGGATTTCCGTCGTTTCTTCGTCTTTGCTCTGGCTTGTAGCCGGATCTTTTTCTCCCTTTCCTTTTCATGATTGGTTGCGACTTTTCGTATCTTCATATATTTACTTGATGATTCTATTGCTTGGGTTACTTTTTCCCTTTCCTTTTCCTTTGCTTTGTTCTTGCTTCTTCCTCTATTGGGCAAAAAGACCGCAGGTTGAGAATTTCCTTTCCAGATACGTATATAGAGCACTGGGTTATATAGCGAGGTGGAAAAAAGGATGTGAATGTGAATGTGAATGTGAATGTCTGTATGTGTAATTTATCTCTTTCCTGTATACCTCTAGGTACTCTTTCTCTCCCCCATGAGTATCGTACAGAACACTACAGTTAATAAACTGTATCCAACAAGACAGCATCCCACCCAATCGGTACGTAAATCATGGCGCATAGCCGTGGTATCATTAAAAACCCAAAAAGAAGAAATGCAGATGGGCAAAGCGCTGGATGACTGGTATGAAAAAAGAGACCCTTAAGCCTGGCTGCCCAAGCCAACGCCCTCTTTTCGACCCCGGATCACAGCCCGTAGGCACTGCCCCACGCCCTCAAGATCGCCAAGCAATCCCACATGCCCACGGTCACTCTTCACCAGTCCATCCTTAATGATCCGGTATCCCGGCGGCAGCATCGCCGCAGTCGCAAGACACACGCCATCCCCAGCCGCAAAGGCCAGGTCGTCGTATGCATCCTGGTACTTGATGGCCTCGCGGGACGTGACCCGGGCACCGTACAACGTGGGCACGCTCTTGCCATACAGCACCGCGGCAGGCGGATAGCGGTTCTCGGACTGGTGGGTCGGCTGGAAGTTCAGCTCGGACTTGAAGCGCTTGACCTCGGCAAGTGTACGCTGCAGGTATTCCATTGCGGCGGCCCGCGGGATCGTGCTGGTGGTGGATGTCTGGGTTGGTGTGGCACTGCCACGGGGGTTCGAAACGGGGCCGACGATACCGTCGACTCCGGGGGCTATCGCGTCGTTGACTTTGTCGGAGGCTGAAGCGGCGATGTGTGTGGGGGTAGGCAAAGAAAGAGTGTGGGCACTGGGACGCGGGCTGCGCGTCGAGATGCCCTCGTTGGCGGGAGAGCCCTGCGGGTCGTTGAGATCGGGTATATCTTGGAAGTTGACTTCACTGGAGTCTTCTCGTGGGCCCAGCGAGAACCGCTTGCCCATGAGGGCTAAGTCCTTGAAGCGGATATTCATCGCCGTCGCCGGCAGAGCCGGGCGGATGCAGGGGGAGAGATGGTACTTGTCCCAGTTATCAGCGTTGAAAAAATCAACGCGGTATTCCTCTTGGGTCTGCTTGTTAATGAAGCAGTGGCCGTTCTCGGGGAGGAGTGCAAAGCTGGTGCGGAAGGTGAAGTTGACCTGCGCGGTCAGCACCCGGGAACTGAGCAGGACGTCGTCGCCGTTGCGAAGCGGACCAAGGATGTTGACACAGTGCTGCGGTACCCCCGCATAGACAACGCCAGCGAAGAGATCCGGTCGCTCGTTCACAGCATGCCGAGTGATGAGGCCGCCTAAACTGTGGGCGATGACAATAGCCCCTCGCCGGGGTCTCTGAGGCTGACCCTCGGGTGCTGGTCGGTTGCATGGCAAGCCCTCGAGGAAGGCGATGAGCCGCTGTGAGAGCAACTCGGGGCTCAAGCGCCAATCGTAGCCATAGTCCCAGACACGGAGGTCACCACGCACCGCGTTGTCGCATTTGCGCAGGCGCTTCATCAATCGACGACAGACATCGACAGGTCCAATGTGAGACAGCACGCCGGATGGGATGATAGTCTCCTCCATGCGCTCCTCGTCTTCCCGAGTCAAGCCGACTTCCAGGTCAACTTTACGCAGATTCAATCCCACCTTCATCGGCACCCATAGCTGTCGGTGAGGTGGTTTCGCAGAGCGCAGGATCGAGCCGCGGTAACCGCCGAGAATCACCACATCACCGGTCAATTCAGACATTGCTTCCTCCAAGATTGGATGAATGGACTGTGAGTTATTCCGCGGGGGCGGCGGAGGAGTCGCCGTCCGGCGAGCGGATCCATTCATCCCCCTATCAGCGTTCACGCTCGTTGACGAATTACCAGACTCATTGAAGAAGGGACGAGAAGTCCAATCCGTGCGGATATCCTGCAAATGAAGGGTCGGCATACTGAGCAGTCGACTGCTCGAGTCTTGCAAACTGTCCTTGATGGCCTTGAACCGGCTGTTGACCTGCGAATGCACGTTCTGATACAGCGGCCGCTGCTCTAACGATGACGCGGTAGATGATGCCCGCAAGTACAGCGACTGATCTGAAGATGACCTCCGCAAGCTTGGCGGGCGCCCCGGCATTGCCGTGCTGGGCCGCCTGGTGAATGAATGCTTCACAGCCGAGCTGCCATCCAGCGTCCGCAGCTCTGAAATCGGCTGAGCATCGTCGCCCACATCTTCATCGTGTGGCAGGCCATTCGTTGCCAGCGGTGACTGCGGAGGTCGTCGCTCTAATGACGAGGTCCTGGAGCCAGGCACGGGGCTACGTTTCCTTGAAACGTCGACCGTCTGGCTGCGGGCGCGGATATGCGCATTTGTGGATCGAAATGACAGCGAGGGCCGTCTCGCCAAAGATCCCAAATCCGGCAAGAATCTCTTCAATTCACCCGACCAAGCGCGCGGCCGGCGCGGCAGCGAGGTTTTCAGTAGCGACCGGGTAAAGCTGGACCGATAGCTTGACGTATTGGACTCTTTGGCGTCGGGCACCGTGGCCGATGAGACAGAGTGATTTTTGTGGGGACCTCGGGGCGCGTGGCGCTCCACGGGGACGCATGGTGCGACGGGATGCGTCGCCGGCGCTCTGCGAGTCGTCCGTGCGACCCGCGCCTGCTCAATGCCAGCCTCCAGTTCTTTCGGCTCCACCGACTCCGGCTCAGCCGTAAGCTGCGATACAAACAGGCCATCCTCGGCGCCTGCGTCTGGGATGTCGGTGAAATATTCGCCTTGCTGCTCCAGCACCCTGGTTTTCTCCTCGGCGGGCGTGGCGCGGGCCTTCATGCGACTTTGCTCGCGACCGATACTCACCCCCACCACATCGATGGCGTCATCCTCGTCCACTTCATTGGCGGAGTCGGGGATGTGCTCGTCGCTATCGTCGCTCGAAAAGGACGAGTAGTGCGAGGGCGATTCGGACGCAACCGCATTGGCGGACGAATCGGATGACCATGATTCTTGCAGCTTCTGCTGTGGTCGACTTGCACGGGGTTTGTCGTCTGTGCCCACCCCCGCGCCTTGAGGTGCCGGGGCTGGCGGTTTGGGAGGGACGGCGGAGAGAGTTGATACCATCGTGAGGAGCTCATGGGAAAGTCGCTCGCTAGCGCGGGCGCAGGGCTGTACGAGCAGCTGTCACAAGGAGGCCCGATAAACCGGACTCGGCGCTTGCAGCTCCTGATGCAATATGCGCAATATATGCAATGTGTACAATGTGTACAACGGGAGGGTTATCGAGCCATGCAAATTGGAAGATGTGATCAATTGGCCTGAATAAGCTGGGATCCGGCGGGTTATAAGCCGCACGAACGCCGGCCGGGTTCCACCAGTTCCATCGTTCCGCCCGCACCTCCGGGCGAGCCGGAGGCAAATCTCTGCAACACGTGAAAAAGCATTCATCACATTGGCTGCCAGCCTTGTTTTTGTGAGTTGGGCCGACGAGTTGGCAGGCGAAGCACTGGACTACTTTAGCTAGGATATCAAGCCCCGCCGCATTCTTGTTTTCTAATCAGTCTTAGCAACACCGAGGTATGATCGACAAGCATCGTGGTTTGGCCCCCGGGAGATCGGTGCCCTAATTGCCACGAGGTCCCCGATCGACGCAATGACATCGGTCACCTTGTGTAATCGTAGGCATCTACTCTGTACTTCAGGTAAAGATACACCGATGATGGCACGATGATGGCAATAGAGACTACACAGTCTGCGATACCCCATTCGGTATAAGGCGCGAACTAGATTTCCGACCCACCCAAACGCCGTCTCAGCCCGCCGCGTCTCATCATACATTTGCGAGTACTGCTATACACGACATCACGCCGCGCAGCGAAATAGATTCAGCGACGGATATTCCCGTTCGATGGGAGTCCACCTGTCTGAACCTCTCTCTCCCCGCGGCGCGCAATTTCCTCGTTGCGCTCAGCGCCCTCACTCGACCCAAATGCCCGGTCGACTGTGGCAGTCAGCGTTCCACGAAGTGATTCTCCGGCCCCCTACGGAGTCCACCTTAGCATAAATCCATAGATCGAGACGAGCAGACCTCGTGAACCATAGAAACAACATCACTTACATGAACGCTCGCTCCAATCTCCTGGGCTTTCCGTCCAAGATCATGGCTCACTCGATTCGCAGGCGAGTCCGTCTTCATATCAGTCTTAGAAGTCGCCGCCGCCTCGCCCATCTGCGCACGCTGCACCGTGCTCGGCGCATGTTGGATTCGCTCATCTTGGCCGGCCATTCGGTCGTAGCTGTTTGTCGGCACGGTCGGTTGATTCTCATTTAGTCCGCCCGCAGACGGTTTCGAGTATCCGGCGCCTGTGGCAGGATTATATCCGGTCGTGGTGGGGTTGTACTGTGATCGTGGATCTTGTGTGTGCAATGGGGCACCGGGGGCGCCGGTGGAGGAGCCTTCAGGGCCGCCGAGTTTGGTGTTGTTCATAGTGTTGTTCATCTTGTTGGTGGTTTGAAGTAGCTGGATGGTTAGATATGTGCCAGAGACGCGGTCGGCGCAAACTATATAGTTTACGAGCAGCTTAAATGAAGGTTATGACGTCAGGATGAACACAACGGTGTCAAAGTAGCTTAGCGGCCATGTTAAACTATAGGGACCTCTGACGGCATCGAAATCGTTTTGGTTCAAATGCACAAAGTTTTGTCACAATGCATAGCATACGTATACGGGTTGTTGAATAATCATGAACTACTGTACTTACTCTTTCGAACGATTCACCCCGATCCCCGCGCCCGTGCCGAGGTCCATCTCTTCACCAGTGGAGCAGTTTTCCTAATCTGGGGTTGCTCCGATCTCCTTAACCAAAGTCCTTTATTTCTTCTCCTCATTAGTAGTCTACACCCGCCGCCCTCCCCCCCTCTCGTTTAATTTCTTACACGTTCTCCTTCTTCCTCTTTCCAGTCATACTTACCTCCAATCCACCCACCATGTCCTACAAACAAATCATCTACTCTACCGCGCCGGACCCGGCCATCGACCCGTCCCTCACCAACGGCACCTTTAGCCTCAAGACCGTCCCTAAGCCCACCGATGTCCCCGCTGACAAGCTGCTCGTGCGCGCGCACTACCTCTCGCTCGACCCGGCCATGCGCCAGTGGCTAACCGCGAAGCGCTCCTACATTGCGCCCGTCGAGATCGGCGCCGTCATGCGCGGCCAGAGCATCGCCCAGGTCGTCAGCGTCGGCACCAGCCTGGCCTCCACCTTCCAACCCGGCGACTGGGTCGTCGCCTACTCCGGCTGGCAGGAGTACGCCGTGCTGGGCGCCAAGGAAGTCGAAAAGGTAGTTCTGCCACCAGGCGGGCGTCCCACGGACGCCATGTCCGTGCTCGGCATTACCGGGCTGACGGCGTACTTCGGTATGCTGGAGGTGGGACACCCCCGCGAGGGTGATACGGTGGTTGTTTCGGGCGCGGCGGGCGCGACGGGTATGGTGGCGGGGCAGATTGCGAAGATCAAGGGCGCCAAGCGCGTGGTTGGGTTGGCGGGTAGCAAGGACAAGTGTGATTTCTTGGTGCGCGAGCTGGGCTTCGATGCCGCGATTAACTACAAGGATGCCGATTGGCGGAATCAGCTGAAGGAGGCTACACCGGAGTATATCGATGTCTTTTTCGATAATACTGGCGGTGAGATTCTGGATGCGTGCTTGGCGAGGGCGGCGCGCGACTCGCGCTTTGTGATTTGCGGCGCTATTAGTCAGTATAATGTGGCCAAGCCGCAGGGTCCTACCAGCTTTATGACTGTGATTGTGAGTTTCCTTTTGCGAATGGAATGGGAGAAGGGTAAAGTGTCAAATGCTAATGATTTATTCTCAGTCGCAACGCGTCACCATGAAGGGCTTTATCGTTTTCGACTATGCCGATAAGTACCCGATTGCACAGAAGGAGCTGGCTTCGTGGCTGTCGGAGGGCAAGCTGAAACGCAAGGAGCACATCGTGCCTGGTGGCATTGAAGGAGCACCCCAGGCCCTAGTTGATCTGTACAAGGGTGTGAACACGGGCAAGATGATGGTTGAGGTTGCTCCCGTTAGCGAAGCTTTGACGGCTAAACTGTAAAGTAAGCGAGCTGCGGGGGTTTGGGTTCATGTATACTTCCAATTTTTACATACCTGCATTACACTTTAGTGGCTGCGAGGTGCTGGCCATCTTCAGTTAGCGGCCGTGTCAAAACCAACAATCCATGCCAGATACTTTTTGGATCACGACAATTTACCAATGATTAATTGTCCCGACGAGGCCATCAAAAAGGCGTTCAAGCCATCCAAAATACAATTAGAGTTGGTCGGATCGGGCCCTGTAGGCGGTGTGGATCCCGACATGCGAGTGGTCATCGACGTCATTCTGATATAGCATCTAAAACCGGCGATCGTTGATCAAGCAATTGTTGATGTTCTGGATTCTAGTTGCTGCAAAATTGTTTCCCTGTTTTATCATGCTTTATCATGCCGAGGTTTGTGTGGGGCAGGCTCCTTAACCGGTAATGACCTAAGGATGAAGGAATTGCTCCCGGACTAGGTAAACGCGCTGCTGAGAACAGGTTCACGGATGTTCTTGAAGGAAATAACCTGCTTTCTGGTAATCTAATAGGTCAGCTATAATTTAGTCGATTCCCCTCAGCACGCCTGTCAATTTCGACCTCCGACCATGCTCAAGTGTCGACGTCTTCCACAACTGCAATCCTTCTCAAGATATCGCATACAGTGTTTTGCACCCAGACCGTTCTTACCTACCACACCTGCAAAGCCGCTCTCCTCCAAACCACTATCTTCAGGGTTTTCTACCAGCAGTAAACTATCTACAATGTCGGACAAAATCATGGCGGACGCTCAGCGAAGCAATCAGAACTTCACGCTGGAGCACCTCTTCAACGTCAAGGGCCAAGGTCTGTACACCGCATCTCCTGCAACCTTTTACCGCCGACGAGAACGCTAACCCTCTCCACAGTGGCTCTTATCACCGGTGGCGGTTCCGGCATCGGCCTAATGGCTGCGCAAGCCCTCGCAGTCAACGGCGCAAAAGTTTACATAACAGGCCGAACCGAAGAAAAGCTCAACCGCGTAGTTGAGCTCTACAACAACAATATCTCGGGAGAAATTATTCCCCTCACTGCCGACATCACCGACAAGGAATCAATCGCCAAGCTCGTGAAAGAATTCTCCAAGCGAGAGAACCATCTCTCCATCCTCATCAACAACGCCGGCATCTCAAGTTCCTCCCACACAACCGAGCACACCGACCCACACGAGCTCCGGGAAGCCCTCTTCGATTCCCCAGCCGCCGACCCTCAAGAATGGGAGAGCGTCTTCCGCACGAACGTGTCGCAGCTCTTCCTCACGAGCACCGCATTCTTGCCACTCCTGCAACGCGGCTCGACTGAGCAGCCCGGTTGGTCCAGCACCATCCTCAACATCAGCTCTATCTCGGGCATCGTGAAGGTCTCGCAGCACCACTTCGCGTACAATGCGTCCAAGGCGGCGGCCATCCACTTGACCAAGATGCTGGCGCACGAGGTGATGACGTCGGACATGCGCATCCGGGTGAATAATATTGCGCCGGGTGTGTTCCCGAGCGAAATGACGACGGAAGGTAGCGATGAGATGCAGAAGAGCTTTATTCCTAAGGAGAAGTATGAAGAAAAGGTGCCGGCGTCGAGACCGGGGAAGGAAGAAGACATGGGTAATGCGGTGCTGTTTGCTGTGTCGAACCAGTATCTGAATGGGCAGACTGTTGTGGTCGATGGCGGGTATGTGCTTGCTGCGGGCACTGTGTAGACACTGGACTTGCAAGGACCGGGAGAAGGAAGGGGCCATGACTTAACAACACTGATCCAAGAAGTGCAGTAATTTCCAAAAAATTCCTGATTTGCTACATGCACGCTTATTTCGTGATTTGTGAGTCGCTAGTTTAAACAGTGATAGTCAAGTTAAGATCCCTTCTCCCCGGCTTCGCAGACGGATACACTGTGCATCCATTCCGACCGCAGTATGTCCTTCGTATTGATACGCTTGCGCGGATTGGGGTGTAGCATGGCGTAGATGGCATTGCGGCGTCTCTATAAGATACACTAGTCAGTTATCAATTCCATCAGAGCAAGATGTTGAATGCAAAACACGAGAAAAAAAAAAAGCAAACAAAGCAGGGCAATGACCAACCTCCCCCAGCGCCTCGATGGGCGGATACCCATCTTCCCCATGGCGACAATGCAGGTAGTCCAGGTACCTTGCGTCCTCGCGATGGGGCTGCGCACTCCGCCACGGCAGACGGCCACTAATCAGCGCCAGATAGATAATAGCTGTGGCCCAGACATCCGCCGGCCGAGGATCCCCGTCATCCGCATCCTCATCGGAGTCCGGATCGCGCCGCGCTGTACGGTGCGGCCGATAGGTGAATCCCTCCGGCGGGCTATAGGGGCGACTGATACCGGGAAACGAGGCGGTGGAATTTGCCGCGTCGCCCGTGTTCCCCTTGGCCGGACGGGGGTGACTGAGACTGAATGACGGCAGCCAGGGCAGGGAGAAGGACCAGGAACGCGTGGAATGGAGATCGGCCGGCGGGGAATGCGCGTCATCGGGCTCTGGAGGCACCGCGCACTTGCTCCAGATGCGCCGGATGTGGCCGTCCCCGAAGCCGGCGAGCTTCACGGCGCCCTTGTGCGTGAGGAGCACGGTCTCGAGGCGGATGTCGCGGTGGGCGGTCTCGTGCGAGTGCAGGAAGGAGAGGGCCCGTAGGATCTGGGCTGTGATGCAGTCTGCTTCGGCGGTGGGGAGGGGCCCTGAGCGGGACAGGAGCTCGTGCAGGTCGCCGCCGGCGCAGAAGGGCATGACCAGGCAGAGCTCGGAGCGTTCGTTGTACAGGAGATCGGTGATGGGGAGGATGTTGGGGTGGTGTGGATGTAGATCGGCGATAGAAGCTGGTGAGCAGGTCGATGCTCGAGCAAGTGTGTTGGGGCAGTCGACGATGTTGTTGTGGTAGCGGTAGACTTTGATGGCAAAGACTTGTTTGGATTTGGCGTTGTAGGCGGACATCTTGATTTGATGCAGGCGGACGGTGCTGTTGGCACCGTAGTGCAGGATCTCGAGGCACCGGCCATACTTGTCGGCGAAGGGGCGCGGGGGATCTGATGAAGGCCCTGGCGACGATGAGGAGGTGGAAGTGACGGTTGATGAACGCATCAAGGGCTGTTCTGCTGTCGAGACCGATGCGAAGCTGGCCCGGTGCTCGTTCCCCAAGACGGGGAAGCCATGCTTTGCGTGCATGGCGTTATGCCATTCCTCCTGGCACCCACCGGCCGACCATTTCGGCCTCGTCAGGTAGTGGTGGTGGGCAGCAGAAGGAGCCCGGTTGGGTCGGTGCACCGCGAGGGCACTCCAGGCCTGGGGACGGACACGTCCGTCCTTCATGAACCGCTACGATCGGGGAGATCTGAGACCTGCGAGGAGGGAAGAAGCAAAGAGTCGTAAGACGTCCGATTGCAAATTAAGTACAGGGAGAACGCAAGAGGCGGGGATCCATGAGGGAGAAAGTCCGAAGTCAAGCAGGCGCGACGTCGAGCGTTGAGCCCGTGCCTTTTATACTCCCAGCCATGTTTGGCTCATTCCAAAGCCCGCGGAATGAACTATGGGATGGGACTATGGGATGGACAATGAGAGGGACACTATGAGAGGTATTCGGCCAGACCAATCCCTGGGCACGAGACACATTCCTGTCAACTAGTGGGAGGCACGGAGGAATAAAGTAGCAGAGCGCCTTGTGTTCGCAGGACAAAACAGTCATTTCTGGGACCTATGGGCGTGCCTCTAAAGCTCCCGCTCATCAGCCGCCGATGGGAGGTTTTATCTGGGAATGCCGCCATTGGACAGGGCAAACCGCTCACGAAGATCGCAACCTGTCCCCCACGCTGACCAGGTGGCTGAGCGATTTATTTGCTTAGATCGATGATGAAAAGGTGCAGCTAGCGTCGTGTGCGTGAAAATTTTTAAAATAAAACGGGGGGATTACGGGGGCCTAGGGGGGAAAAAAGCACAGTCGCACATCTGCTGGTCTGCTTTGAGTAGTTAGTTCGTCAGAGCAGCCACAGCAAATCGGTGGCGAGGAAAAATCGCGCACCCTCGACTCCGTCCCAGACTCTGCTAACAGCCACAACCGGGGGCTATGGCAGTCCAAGATTACATGCGCCATTTGATTTTTGCTGCTCTCGGTTAGGATGGATCGAATTTTCTTGCTCTTCGCCGCATCCCAAGCAGGCAGCAAGCCCAGGGGACACATTAAGCTCAACCCGAAAATTAAGTTAGGGCTGGATCGGCGTCACGTATGGTCCCATGGTTACGGTCAATGTGCGTGCAGCGTTATCATTGGCCGAAGAAGCTAGCTGACGGGTAGATTACGGTACCACCGTTTGATCGTCATGAGCGATTTCCTGCGGCGCATGGTTCACTGGTTGACTGGTTCACTTCGCGGGCATGCTTTGGTCAACCTTGATTCGGCGGTACCTGAAGCGCTATGGAGAGCTCCCCTATTCACCAGGTACCGAGCTCGAGGAAGTCGGTATCAAAACAATGTCCCTCGCTCCACTCTGCTCAGTAGTGACTAGTGGCTCGTATGTACGGAGTATAGCAGGAGGTAGACCTCGTGGCTTCCTGTCGCGTGGCTCCGCTTGCATGGCACACAATTGACACTTTTGTATTCTTTTTGTTTTTTCCTTCTCATAAGCGATCTTGCCTGTGCGAGTCCCACTCCCATTTTGCCTTCCTAATCCATCCATCCATCTGGTGGTCGAGCCACCAGCTTGGGCCTACTGTTTCGAGCTTAGCAGTGTCCCGCCTATCCTACATAAGGCGCAGGGGCACGCTCCTACTGCGCTCTCTTGATTTTTGACATCCTTTCAACCTTCTTCTCTGCCCTCCCCTCCATTGCTGTGCCCGTCCTGGGTGTTTAGCTGTCAGCTACTTCCTCCTCTCCTCTCCTTTTCTTTCCTCACCCTCCGCCCCGCCCTCCAATCCTCCCCCCGACAGCTATCGCCATGGAGCACAATCCCACCCACAGCAAGGCCGATATCGACGTCGATGTCGAGGCCGAGGGTGATTGGACGAGGGAAGATAGTGATCCTACCGAGCGTACCGCGCGCATCAAGTTTGAAGACTCTTCGGCCACCGATATCGAGGGAAATGCCATCGACAACATGCGGTCCATCTATCAGCCCGCCGGTTTCAATCGCGTCCAGTCGACCGGCCGGGATACCATCCGCAGCACTCGCAGCACCCAAACTGTGGCCGCGGGCAATGCAGGTATCCCGATCGAGTTCCGCACTCTGTCGATCCAGATCTCAGAGACGCAGAATGCTCCCAAAGAGGTGGTGGCCGAACCCCCTAAGGAGAAGCTGCCAAATCAGGACTACTTCGAGAGCCTGGACTTCCACACCCTGACCCCGGACAGGCTGTGCCAGGAGTTCAATGTCGACCCAAGCACGGGTCTCAGCAGCTCGTCGGCCGCGACGCGGCTGGCCCGCGATGGCAAGAATATGATTGCCCACCACCGTGAGAACTACTTGAAAAAGATCTTCTTCTACGTCTTTGGTGGCTTCTGCTCCATTCTCTGGGTCGGCGTGGTCATCTTTTTTATCTGCTGGAAGCCTCTCAGCAACCCTCCCTCCTCAACCAACCTGGCAATGGCTGTTCTGGTCATGATTGTCATCGCCCTGCAAGCCGGTTTCTCTGCTTTCCAAGATTGGTCGACCAAACGTGTGATGAACTCCATCTTGAATCTCCTTCCATCCGAAGCGCTGGTCATGCGTGACGAGAAGCTGATCCGTCTTCCTGCGACCGACTTGGTGACAGGTGACATCGTCCAGATCAACGTGGGCAACAAGGTCCCGGCAGATATGCGTCTCCTGAAGACCTCCGGTGACATTCGTTTTGACCGTGCTATTCTGACGGGAGAGTCGGACGAGATTGACGGTGCTACCGAGGCTACAGAGGCCAACTTCCTGGAAACTCGCAACATCGCACTCATGGGAACCTGCGTGACCAATGGCAATGCAATGGGGGTGGTCGTCCTAACCGGTGCCCAATCGGTTATGGGCCGCATCGCGAACATGACTGCCGGTGTCAAGCAGAAGTCGACGTTGATTCAGAAGGAAATCTCCCGCTTTGTGATCATTATTGTGATTATGACCATCACTCTCGCCTTGCTCATCTTCTTTACTTGGTTGGGATGGCTCCACAAGGACCACCGGAGCTACATGAGCGTGGTGGCAATGCTGAACAATGTCATGGGCTGCGTGGTGGCTTTCATTCCGGAGGGTGTCCCCGTTGGTGTTGCCCTGACTTTGATGATGGTTGCCCGCCGCATGAAGCAGACTAGCATTCTGCCCAAGGGCCTGGCCACGGTAGAGACCCTCGGCTGTGTGAATGTGATCTGCTCCGACAAGACGGGTACCTTGACCCAGAACCGCATGTTCGTCAAGTCGCTCGGTATGGTGGATTGGGAATTTAGCATCGATGACCTGGCGACCGGAGTCGAGGTTTCCAATGGGCTGGCGAATGTGCTCCGTGCATCGGTCCTGTGCAATGATGCAACATTTGACCCGGAAACGATGGGCCTGCCCTCGTACGAGCGCAGTGTCAATGGAAACGCCACTGATGCCGCAGTCCTCCGGCTGGTGGACAATGTTGGCGCCGCCACGGCCCGGAACCTGGAGCCCTATGAGCGCATCCACCAGATCCCCTTCAACTCGAAGAACAAGTGGATGTTGACCATGCACCGTGACCCGGTTGCCACGAACCAGGGCTTTCTGATTTACGTCAAAGGTGCTCCTGACGTGCTCTTGGATCGTTGCTCGACCTACTGGTCTGCGGTTCATAATGCTGTACGCCCCCTAGATTCAGATGCTCGCGAGAAATTCTCTGGTTTCCAGGCCAAGTTGTCTCGCCGTGCGGAGCGGGTGATCGTGATTTGCCAGCGTCGCTATACCCCCACTCACGAGCCTGGATCCAATGGCTTCAACGACGAGATCATGGCGTACGGTGTGCAGGACCTGACCGTGCTTGGCATCTTTGGCATCATCGATCCCCCGCGCCCGGAAACCGCTGCTACGGTGGCTTCTTGCCGACGTGCAGGCATTCGGTTTTTCATGGTCACTGGTGACTTTGGCCTCACTGCGGCGGCCATTGCGCGGGACATTGGGATTTTCGATGGTACCGCGGAGCCGGACACTATTGACGATTTGCGGGCCTTCCAGGATGAGAGCAAAGCCCCGCTCTCGCGCCACAGTCTGATCCTCGAGGGTGGCAGTCTTTCCTCCCTGACCCAGGACGAGTGGTCTACGGTATGCGGATATGACGAGATTGTCTTCGCTCGTACCAGCCCCGAGCAAAAGCTGCGGATCGTGTCGGAACTCCAGGCCAAGGGCAACTATGTTGCCGTGACTGGTGACGGAGTGAATGATGCCCCTGCTCTGCGGGCCGCCGACGTTGGGGTCGCGATCGGTTCCGGCAGCGATGTTGCCATTGAAGCGGCCGACCTGGTTTTACTCGACCGTTTCGACTCCATCGTCGAGGCTATTCGCCTTGGTCGCTTGGTATTCCAGAACCTCCAGAAGGTCATCGCTTATCTGCTGCCGGCCGGTAGTTGGTCTGAAATTTGGCCCGTTCTGATGAACGTCTTCTTCGGCGTGCCGTCCCCGCTGAGCTCGTTCCTGATGATCGTCATTTGTGTCTTCACCGATCTCTTCCTCTCATTGTCTCTCATTATGGAGAAGGAGGAGTTCGACCTCCTCAGCATCCCCCCCGCCGCCCGAAAAAGGACCACCTGATCAACATGCGCATCTACGGCCAAGCTTATCTGTTCGTCGGTGTCATGGAAGCCTTCAGCGCCCACTCCATGTTCTTCCTATACATGTGGAAAGCCGCCGGCATCCCCTTCTCCGACTTGGTCTTCGCCTTCGAGAAATACACCGACGGCTTCCACGGCTACTCGCAGGACCAGCTCGACCACTTCAACAACGTTGGCCAGTGTGTCTACTTCGTCACCCTCGTCATCATGCAGTGGGGCAACATCCTGTCGGTCCGCAGCAAGCGCATGTCCATCCTGCAGGCCGACCCCATCCGCCCTGCCCGCCGCAACCCCTGGCTTCCCCTGGCCATGCTCATCTCCCTCGTTATCGCGATCTTCGTCACCGAAGTCCCCGGCATCCAGTCCCTCTTCAACACGGCCTCCGTCCCGATCGAGTACTGGTGCATCCCGATCGGTCTGGCCCTTGGCATTCTCGTTATGGATGAGCTGCGCAAGGTGTTGGTGCGAGAGTTCCCTAACGGGCCCATTGCGCGGATTGCGTGGTAGATGGGGGTGATGATCCTACTTACAGCCCTGTAACCCACCGGGCCCTCTGACTTTTACGACAACGAAAATGATTCTGTAATAGATGGGAGACATGTCCAATCCCTTATTTTTCATGTGGCTATTTTGTGTTCATATCTACTGGGTGGTTCATTGCTTTCATGGGCTATGACAGTATTCGTGATATGGGCTTTCTTCTCTTGTCTTATCTTCTAATATCTTTAAGCGTGAGGCATGGGATGCTTCCGTGAATGCCAAGTTATGACTGAACCTGAAATTGAGATCTAGAGTTAGCGGACTGAGTTCTATAAAACCATTAATCGACATATATGGACTGGGTTCCCTCGCGTAGGGGTTTGAGTCCAGTTGTGCCTCCCCGAGTCTACGACTTGGTTCCCGGGAACTACACCCACAGTCCGTGAGGCCCGATAGGAGAGTCGACTGTTGAGCCACTTCCCACACCGCTGCCCAGAATCGTCTCCGTACGGAGCACTCTATATCACTACTGCGAGCAATAACCAAGGGACTTGACACCACCAGACTTCCGCACTCACCCATCTCTCTTCCAAGGTTACCGTATCCTATAGTAGTCCCCACGACCTGGCCCCCTGCCTGGGAGCTCCATCTCATTCAATATGATCAAGAGCCTGCCCTTTATCACGTCGCAGATGCCCAGTGCGGCAAGATAACAGTTCGCTGAATCTTACGGTAATCATGGATCCCGTCGAACGACGCCCTGCTGGAACCATCGCGCGCATCGTCCTGTTTATCCCGGATTTCGGCCGGTTTATAAGGTCTGCTTGTGGTTTCAGTGCGAGTCCTGCCATCTCCCAACATGACCCTTGCGTGGTTGGTTCTCTTAGAGTAGCTGCTCGTGTCGAGCTTTATCATGACGATGCCTGGCATCCACAAGATATTCGAGTTATTCCATCTGCTACGGTAGTGACGAAGATACGATTCATTCATGAGCAGGGAAGAGCTAGTACAAAGGATTCAACTCAGCGCAAATGCAACGTCAGGCATGCGCCTGCTTGTTTACGATGCTGCGGAACTTTCGCGCGGTTGAAACCTATTTGGCTGGCTCGGTTGGTTAGCCAGGACTTTGCAACTCCCCTTTGAATCCAGGAGTATCGGATGTACTGGGCTATGTGGCACCTGCGACTCTACTCCGATCTTCAGGACTCGCGCAAGAACACCCTACCTTCGTCGAAGCGGGGGGTGTCGGCCCAAACGATGTTTGGGACCTGTAATCGAGATGGTTCACAGAGTGGGTAAAAAGAGGTGACGAAGGGTAAACTGATATGCGTTTGCCAGTTGACTGTGAAGGTATTGAGAGCGAGTCGCATCATGTCATGATCCACACACTATATATCTACACGATCCGCGGCCTTCCACGTCAATGTTCAGACCACCAACACACAACCAGCGCACATGGAAGAAAGAGGACCATCAAAACATCGCCAACGAGACCAACAGTGACCCGCACGGCCAGCACAACCGTCCCAGCAAGAAGAGCCAAGACCCCAACCACTGCACCGCCAACTAGAACCAAGGACCCCAGCGCAGCAGTCCCAACAAGGCCGACCTTGTCCTTCCACCAGTCCCGATCCGCCAAGCGGCCCATCTTGTGCTTCCACCACGTTCGGTGCATAAGGCGACTCTTCGAGCGATGCCGCCGGATGTGGTCCACGACCGACCCGATGCTGTCCTCCCGGCACAAAGATTCCACGCTGGACGCGCTCCTGCGCGTCACCCGCAGAGGCATAGAGTTAGAGCCCACCTCGTAATAGGAACCTGTCTAGATCAGTTAGCTCGCAACCACGGTCTACCCGATGAATCTAGGTCGAGGCACTACTAACGGCGACCGATAGATCTACCAAATCCAGTTCACGGCGTGGCGAAAAACACAAACTAGTCACAGAACAACCACGTACCGAGTGCAAATGTGGCATGCTCTGCGTTGAAGGATGGTAAGACTCGACGGGGCTCTCGTAGTGGTTGAGGATCTGCTTCGAAGGACCCAGGAAGTTCACAGCAGGCCAACGTCGGTTTATAAACCCATACCCGGTCCGCAGAACGTGCGACGGGAAGAGCAGCGCAGTCAATTCTTTCATGATCATGGCGTTTTCGCTGTCTTTGATGTTATGTGCCGGCTCGGGAGGGTACTGCTGTCAGACGGTCTGACTTGCCAGGGCGGCTCCTTTGATAGCGAGGAACCCAATGAATCGAATCGCCCCAGGTAATAAAGAGTTTCATCAGACAGATTTAGCATGAAAGGTAGTAATTTCTAAACGATATGTATGGAATGTGCAAATAGAAGGCTTCTCAGCCGGAAGGCGCAGCACCTAGCCCCAACACGCACCCTGGACAAAGAACGTCGAGACAGGCCAAAACACGATGGCCGGGCGGCGCGCAAGCCCCGATATTCTCCAAGCCCTACTTGCGGCAGAAAAAAGACCTAGACGCCTGCATCTGGAGGGAACCAGATGGCTAAAGGAAACAGAGCAGAGCCTCGATTGCTACGTATGCCAGTACCGAGTACTCTCGAAAGACAAGATGCATCCAGGGCCATGAGATAGTGTAAGAAGGATACAGATGGAGAAGGAAAGGAAAAGAGAATAAAAAAGTGGTCAAACAAGAAAATCACATGGTGACAAGCCAAGCAGGAACGAGGGAAAACCCGGCGAGTGATGGGATGGTGTACGGTGTATAGAGGAGTGGGCCGAGAGACAAGACACAGCAGGCCAGGCATAACGGGCGGAACGGAGGGCGTGCTTCGCGTCACCACCATCATGAGTGGAAGCGCTAGAGATGGCTGTGGTGGCCCATCGTGGCGGGCGGGCGCGTCAGGAAGCCAGTGGTAGAGAAGAGCTGGCGTAAGAGATCGAGATGAAGATAGCCTGGAAAGAAAGGCCATGCCGCGGCTACTGTCTATGAGGCGCTATTGCTGCCGCACTTTACCCGCCTCCCGCACAGCAGCCATGAACCCGTCTTCGTTGCCAGCAGCGGTCAGGATCCAATAATCGGCCACGCCGGGGTTTGCGACCTGGCCACCGAACCCGGCTGCCGTAGGCACACTGTGGCGGTCCTTGGGCTTTTGGGTGTTCGCGCCAGTATGGTGAGGGCCCCAGCCCAGAATGTTGCGCACAGCAAGTCGGGACTGGTCATCAGACTGGTTGAAGGACATTAGTTGTGCCTGGAGACAGCCGAGGATTGCGACTGCGGAGCGAATTATGATGCGGTCGCCTTCGAAGACCCAGCAATCCCACACGCGGGAGATGCGCTCGAGATCGAGGCCGTTCGTGAGGAGTGAGCGGAAGATGGGCTCCCATATTTCCTCCTCGGAAAGCTTGAGGTTCTCGCGGAGATGGGTTGAAAGGCTCGAGAATTTGTAGCCGAGCGTTTCGGAGGCCAGTGAATATGTACGGGCCATGGCACCACGGTCCCAGGTGAGGAAAGCAACGGGGAGAGGGCGATTAAGAGCGTTGGCCATAGCGAGGAACGCGGAGCTGGGAGTGGGGAACTGAAGAAGGAGGAGCGCAGCGATGGAATGCAGGCCATGGATATAGCCCACGTCGCTGCGGTACATGCAGTATGCTTGCAACAAATCGATAAGTGTATCCCGTAATGGCCCGCCCTCCTGGAACAGGTTCAAGTCAGGGAACGCCTTCGACACGTCTGCTTCGATGGCGTCGAAGCACTCCAGCATGCGCTTGTGGTTATCTCCGGGCTCCGCGTTGTTTTTGGACCGCAGATCCTTGGCTCTTTGCAATGCTTTGGTAAACGTCTCCTCGCTGAGCGAAAGCTCGTTGCCAATGGCACGCTTCCACATAGTTCCACGGCTGCGAGGTGGGATTCCGCGCCACCAGAGTTCGCGGATTCGAGGCTCCTGCAGCGCACAGTCCCAGTTGGGGTGCACATAATCATCCCAGATGTTCTGGAGCGCTTCGCGGGTATTGTCTTTCTCGCACTGGTCGGAAGCTGCTCGAGCAGCCTTCCGCCTCTCCGCTTCTTTCGACTGCGCCATCATTTGTTTATACTCCCTCAAATGCTTCTTCTCTTCCTTCTGATCCTTGGGCGGCAGCCAGCTGGGGCGCGTCCGCGTCAGAACCTTCTCCTTCTCTTTGCTAATAGGTAGCGGGTCGATCATGATGTTGGACTTCTGCAAGGGCGGCAGCTCAATTGCATCCGATGCTCGTGGAGAATCAGAGCTCGACCTGCGCGAGGATCGTCCATTTTGTACGGCATCTTCGTGCTTGCGGTCGCTCTCATCCGCGTGGTGTTCCAGCGCCTCGGTGATAATCCTTGCTTCTTCCGAGAGATCGGACAGATAGCTGTTGTACGAATAGGCGCGGGGGTTGCGGGGGGAAATTTGGCCTCGTTCAGGACCTGCAGAACTGGACCGCTGTGTTCGTTTCATGCGCGCCGCTCGAGAGGCCGATTGTGACGAGTGTGGGTGCGCCACCGAGGTTTCGGACGTGGTGTGCGAGATCGGCAATGGTCGAGGGCCTGGACTGCGACCATTCGGGCTTGCGGCACGCGACTGAGGGCGATCTTGGACGGGGCGTGGGGAAATCGGGATGTTCCACAGACTGGCATCGTCGGGTAGCTCATCATCTGAGTCATGGTACTCTTCCTCCAGATCTTTCAGGGACTTGCGATGCGGTTGCCAAGTTTGCTTCTGTACGGGGACCCGCGCAGAGAGCGGGGATAGGGCCAGACTGGTGCTCGAGGCGGACCGGCTGGAAGTTGGCCGCAGCGGCGAAATTGACCGTGACCGGCGAGGCTGTGAAGGTGTCAGACCACCCGAATTCAGCGTACTCCCCGAATCTCTCCTATTGCCGGACCGTGCCGACAGAGATCCCATGGACTGCGGGGTTCGGGTCGAACCATTGAGCCGGCTGGTGATCGGAGGCAAGGGACTTCGTTTCCGTGGTTTCTGGGTCGCAGTCAAGTCTCGCGTCGTAGCGGCAGGGCTCTTGCTAGGCAGGCTGTTTGGCAATCTGGCGGCGGGCGACCGGGCTGTCAGGCCACGGCTATAAGGGGTTGCCTGGTCGACAATCGAGAGTTCCGCGTCATCTTCAAGACCAATGTCTTCGAAGTTCCCGACATCCGTGAAAATGCTATCGGGCCCATCGATCTGCGAGGAGGAATGGAAGGAGGACGACTTGGAGGACTTGGACCCGGATAACTCGGGTGGGGAATCCGGACTTGGGCAGACGGTGGTCATGGTCTCGTGTAATGTGGGCATTCAAGCACGCTGGTCCTCCACATATATCATCGGCGATCCGAAACAGCACAGGGTGAGTAAAAGTCGTCGGGAGTGTGGGCAGAAGGGGTGGGTATTGGAGATTACACGCAAGGCTCGAAGTCTCGTGTCTTGGGGAGCGGACGGCAGGTCGAGAGACGCAGGATGCAGGATGCAGGCGACTCCGGAAAGCGAATGTAAACAGAGGAAAAAAAATCGATCGATCAACGTGAGAGAAGCGAAGTGCAGGCTCAGCCGTGCGGCCTGATAGAAACCAGATCAGGATTTGAGTTGGAAAAAGGGTCAGGAGGCCGCGATTATGGGGTGAGCATTGGGGGCCGCCGAGGGGGTCAAGGTGGGGGGGGTGAATGAAGAAACGAGGGTAGTGGGAAGGAAGGTCTGGAAGGAAAAGCAGCGAGAGAAAAACAACAGAACAAGAAACGAGTGTGAGGTTTGGCGTGAGGATGATGAAAGCGAAAGTTGGAGAGGGAGGGTTTCGATGGTCGGATTGCAACCGGAGCCTCAGGCCGGTGCCGTGCACGGTCTGGCCGAGAACAGGACGGTGGTGCTATAGCGATACCTCTAGTATACTTGTAGTTGTATAGTAATTACTGGGTGTGTAAAAGTACCCTCCAGGTACCAAAACCCACTCGGCCTAGATGATCAGGGTTCTCTGCAGAGGGCAACGATCGCTGCCGATCTTGCTCTGGCGAAATTCTTTGTTTAGAGCAGCCAAGTGTAACCCGAGCGGAATTCCCCAAATCTCCCCTGACGACCCAGCGATGGCCGCCTGCGTCGTCCACTCGGGTGCCCGTCCATGAGTGAGACGCCGGCAGTTCCGTGGGCTGTCCGATGTCCGGCGCTTCTAATTGGACGATAACCCAGTATGCACGGAGCGAATGGGTATCGTGGACCACTGATGAAGAGATTGTGGATATCATTGATTGATTATTGGTGAATGAATTCCGCACTAACGAATATCCCTCAACTCCTGCGCTGCGTATTGCACAGATACTCCCGCCAACCCCAGACGTTATTCTTAGAAGCGCCATGCTTCGAACAGCGCATTGCCCTTCCTCACTACCTGCAGCAGGCGGCCCGCTTCGGCGTTCGTCGCCGGGCGCGACGATCGACCAAGCAAGTCCAGCCAGTAGAGCACAGGCGCATACCGCGTTTGCTTGCGTCCCAGCACAAAGCGGAATGCGGCGCTCGCGAGGTACTGCAGATGAGACAGCTGCACGAAGCATTTCAGCGGCGCTGAACAGGATGCTCGTCGCGCCTGTATCATGCTGGCTGTCTGCTGAACCAGATCGTTGATGGTCTGGATGATAATGGGGTGGCGAGGCTGTGCGCGCCCCCGGAGAGATTTCATGTATCGGTACATCCTCATTGCGGTGGTAATGAGGCCCGTGTACAGGTTGGCAAGCACGATGTTGCGGGAGTTGTGGTCGCTATCAAGGTACATCGAGTGCAATTGAGGCCGCAATAATGCCAGCATCTTGCGGTGGAAGGAGCGACCGGGGAGACGGCTCGTCTCGACTGTCAAGGTGTTGGAGAGAGTGGCCGCGGCAGAGGCACCGCCCTCCAACATACGATCTTGGTCCTTGTGGATTTCCAGCGTATGCGTGTCAATCAAAGTGCCGCAGTACGGGAAAAGGGGTGTCCCCTCCAGTCGCGGGATGTAGATGCCATCTACGGCAGCGGAGAAATTAACCATGCTCTTGGCTGGGTTGACGGAGACACCGTAAGCAGGTTGCCCACGGAGCATGACTTGCAGGAACTGAATGGCTTGATCCACATCCGTGGTGATGAGGAGGAAATCATCCACTAGTCGCAGGAGGAGCGAGTCTGCAGGCTGCAAGAAGCTCAAAACTTGCCGCTCCAGCTCGGCGTAGAAAAAATTACACAGCAGACTAGACAGCACCGAGCCTTGGGGGATACCGTTGCGTTGGCGAAAGTAATTTTTCCCAATTTTGACCAAGTTGTTTCGCACATGCTCATCCAGAAGGCACAGCAGCTCATCGGCATCTTGCTCTTTTTGCTTTATAGTATCGACATAAACTGTGTTGTTGAGAGCGCCACCAATGCCATCGGCGGCGAGGTCTAAAAGATGCTGCTGTTTCGTCAAAGGAGCGGCACGCCCGAGAAACTTTCGTTTGGCCTTGCCATGAACAGCTGGATTGATTGCCACATATTTAGTAATGTGGTAAGCATTCTCGGAGACTAGCTCCTCGATAAGATGCAGCAACCGTTTTTGTGGAATCGTATCAAAACAAGCTTGGATATCAAGCTTGACGAAGAAGAGCGGAGGCTGTTGCCCAGGATTCTGCCCTCTCAACAATGGCGCACGCTGGCTTAGTTGTGTCTTGAAGACTTTCAGCCTCGGGTGCATGTCGCCCATAGACATCAGCGCCGAGCCCATTCTGCTAGGGCATCGTTCACGCTCATAGGTTAATACGTTGTGGATAGGAGCAAGATTGCTGTTGACACTGGCCCCCAAGTAAGACTTGTTTCCGCCCCACTGAGATTTCATGAGAACGCGTTTCTTTAAGTTCAGAATTGGCCGCAGCCCGGCTGACTTTGGAAGTAAACGGAGTGCGCCAAGCCCGAGAGACCGCTTTGCCAGCATGACCTGGGCCTTACGGGGCTGGAGTTGCTCGAAGGTTCCTGCTTTTAGATCTGTCATCGGCTGTTCAGTCAAGTTTCGCCACACATCATGTCGAAAGTAGAAAAGACGATTGCGATGAGTTTGAGACTCAGTGACGTAAAAGTTGGTGCGGACGAGGGGGATGAGCATCGAGTCAAAGACATAATATATGAGTTCATGCAACAGTTCGGTGCGTTTTTGGAAATCCGACAGACCGATGTGGTCCTTTGTAGATTCGGATGCAATCTGGACTTTTGCAGGTACCAGCCAAAGAATTCCAGTGACCTGGAGATACACTGGGTCAGCGTTCATGACATCGCATCGTCTTGTCGCCACGAATCTTACCTTCAAGCCATTACACACTTCGTGCAAACTCGGACTCTCAAAGCGACGCATTTTGATGAAGGAATCGACATTCTTCATGATGATCTTGCGATTTGCCAATCCATCCACACCGTCGCCGAAAAATGGAGGTGGAATGAGTTTCAGCAGCACAGCACGACAAAACGCTGAAACGGCCGATGCAGGAGTCGCATAGTCAGTCAGGTTGATTTTACCTTTTTGTATCCGTTTGTTCTCCCTGTCGCTTTTTCCGTACTCGCCAGCAGGTCCAGCGGTATTGTACTTGGGGTTTGACGAACGCGTAGAGGATGGCGTGGTCGCTTGAAGCTGTGTGATCAGTTTCTCCTCAATTGACGATTCGGGTTCACGGTTCTCCGTTCGCTTCTTTACGGGAGAACAAGCCGCACCAAGTTTCCAGGGCTCGCCAAGCTGTCAAAATTAGATGGCAGGTCGAAACAACGAATCAACAACACTCACTCTAGTTGGGCAATAATAGTCCAGCAAATTTTGATATGAACATTTTGCATGACGAACTCGCAGTCTTCGAACAAGCTCGATTGCTTGTCCACGAAGTCGCCGGGGCAGTTTCATACAAGCCGACCCTTTGTCCACGTATGTTTGATCGCCTTTCGGCGCAGGGCGACGCTGCTGCTGCTCGTCGATGAGTCGAGAGATCTCCGCTTCACGGAAGACACAGCTTTTGAAGCAATGTGAGCTGTCGGTGCGATTCGCGGTCGATGCAAAGGCATTCAGGAGGCCGAATTGCCGCGGGAATATGTAATTCATCACGTGGATCGATTGCGCTTCTGAGTCGAGTGAACGGTATCGATTAAGCACGTCTAACAACTCTGTCAGTATGTGGGTTATGGAGAGAGAGACAATCTCTCCGCAAAATAACCTACGCGTGGCTCCTAGCCCAGAGTGCAGTTCTCCTTTGCTTTCGCTCCCTGATCTGCTGTAAAGCATACTGCGGCGAGAGAAGACAATACTATTAGGGCTATGAATCGTAACATGGCTCTCATCCCCCTTGCGCTTGTCTTGTTTGTCTTTGGATGACTTTTGGTTTGCGAGAGGCCCTTTTCCGTTCAGACAAGAACGATCGATTTGATCGAGCTCTGACAGCGGTAGTCCTGCACGTCGAATTAAAAGAAGCTTCGAGCGTGTAGAAGTCGTATTGAGCAAGACGTACCGCTTAATTGGTAGTATATCCCCCTTCGAGCATTGACCGGTGCAAAGATGCCGCAATCAAACAACAGCCGCATCATGATCTCATCCCCATTCTGGCCCAAAAGACCCAAGATATCCGCCCAGGGCGATTGCTTCAAGGTTTGAACATTCCGGTTTGGAAACTGCGCCACCAAACCGAGGATGCTGGTCTCCAGCAGACTGGGGTTAGTCGGCCGATGGGGAGCATAGCCATGTGTGAGCAAGTGCTGGGGCTTCTGATATCCCGCGGAGCGCGCAAAGAGGGACTCGATCACAAAATTGACCACCTGCAAAGGACAACCTTAGCCATCTGAAACCTCCAAACCATGCGTACGCCCATTTTCGCCCTTGGGAGGGTGCCATCACTCTCATACCTCAGATTGGGGTGAGGTTGGCCCCGTGTCCGTGCTGACGAGGATTGAGCGCGACTGGGACTGCGTGAAGGCCCGATAGTCGCGCTCGCGTTCGCAATTAATTTTCGGCGAGGGCTCCTTTAGCTCGCCGACCAGCGTAGAATCCAGCAGATCGGCCAATGGCTGGACATGGTCGTGGCCGCGCTCGGGTATACTTGACGAGCGGTCAGGCGGGCGCAACGAAGCGATGCGCCGCCGTCGCAATTTGGAGGACGCGGGGAGTTGGCGCAGAAGGTATTGTCGCAGGGTCAAGACTTGACGGTAGTACAGTGAAATCACAGGGTGGGTAGTGTTGTGATTGTTGCGCGGCGGGGCATCGCCGGCTTTGAAACGGCCGGGAGATGCGGTGCTACTCGTCTGAGACGAGGCCGTGGGACCGCGATTCTTGCCGGGTCTTTTTCGCTTCTTGCCCATCTCTTCACAGACTTGAGGAGGGGCCGGGTCTGGAAATTGGGAAATGGAGCGACCAACTGGGTTTCACCGGGCGAATTGCGTCTCAGAGCTCGGTTGTTGATGGGGCGAATGTTTGACGCGTCGCGGAGAGAGTTCAGTACCTGCGCCGGGCCAGGCACGCCGAGAGCTTAGCGATATACTGCCTATACACCGGACCGAACAATGCAACGAGCATGTCTCTCGCACAATTCTATTCTGCTGCTGAATTGTACCTAGTATCCGGGAAAACCGGGATGACGATCATCTGGCTGAAACACCTCCGGTCGCACCCACGGACGAACTACGAACTATGATCTCCTCCCTATCGAGTTCTAAATATCTGAATTTCTCGCGAGAGCTCTTGTGCAACCGGCAGGGGTCGTGTTTGAGTGTTAGGCAGGGTGTGCTGAAGGAGGTGTACGCTGGTCTCTTCCCCCGAAATAGAAAGCCATGAAATGGAAAACCTCCAGTCAGAGCCTGCGGGCGTAGAAAGTAGACACTGCGTAGGGCGCGACCCACGGAACGGTGCGGCGGTCTAGAAAGGCCTGCGCAATTGCATTGCGTCCCCACTGCGTCAGCCCGTTCCATGTTTCGGGGCAGGGGAAATTCTTGTCCCTGAACTTATTTTAGGGCCCTGTGGCTGATGGACCTGATGACCAGGGGAAATGGGGAGTATATCGAGATATTACCCCGTAACGTACTGAGGTGCACGACTCGTTAGCTCGACTCCGTCTTTGCCACAAAGGAGCGTGAGCATGCCCGGACGGAAGTATGAAAGAAATCGACTGTCAGTCTCAGTCTCCCGAGGCCCGCAGTCCCCCCAGTTCCCCCAAATGAACAGACAAATGAACAAAGGAGCGAACCCACCATTGCATCCATGGTTTCACCCTGCGACGGGAAGAAATTCTTCCCATGATTCATATCCAGCGCGGGCTTTCCGGACTGCATGGTGGACTGGTGAACTCGCCTCACTGTGTTGACTCGCTTCCTTTTTCCGAATCGCCTGCTGGTTTCATGTGAGCGGTCGATTTTCCACCCCCGTTCTTCTCCCAGTCCAATTCCCCCGATCCAACCGATCCCACGTATCCAACGTATCCAACCTCGCTGTCCTCGCTGTCCACGCTGTCCACGCTGTCCTCGCCTATCACCTTCGATTCTTCATTTCAAAGTACCAAACGTACCTATCTCGCCTCTTCTGTCTTCCCTGTCTCCGGTCCTCTTACTCTCCGCTATCCGCTCTCCACTCTATCACATATTTCGCTCTGCAGACCTTCAGCGCGATCGACACTGCAGTGCCGCAGCCAGTGGCTTCCCAACAAGCCCCCAAGCTAACGATCTGGCCCGCCGTCGGCGCTATCGTCTGTGCCCAGCTGACCCCTCCTCTTCGCCCTGCCCGCCTATCAGCGGAGCCTTCTGGGAGACGAACAAACGTCAGTGCCGCTAATTCCCTCGGTCTCTCATTCGCCTGTCTTGTCCGGACTCTTCCCGGCCCCAGAGTGCTAGCCTCTCAACGGTGTGTGCTCCGTACACTCATCTCACGCAGCTCATCGGCCGATCCTCTTGCGCTCCATCCATCTTGCAACGCTCCCACCGCTCCCGCGATCGTCGCTCCGCCTCGGGCTAATAGAGACGACCAACCTCCAACTCCCCTCACCTTTGCGTCCTCCCCCCTCATCCTGGGCCTTCCTCGACATTTCGAATTTCTGTCTTTCTCTGTCTTGGTGTGTGTGTCGATTGTTTTGACCATGCTGCCGAATGGGGGTGCGCCACCCAGGGATTGCTTTGTAGCCTGAGCCGATTCCATCTGCGACACTTCCCGTTGGGCGTCCATCCCACCCATCCCGGGCCAACGCATCAGTCCACGTCGGCCTGGAATATGCAAAATGTCTGGCAGCGGTGTCGAACAGGCATCGGGTGTCCGGAATTTCGCGCCGCCTCCGTTTGGGCGTCAATCATCGGCACCCGCATTTAGCCAATCTGTGGGCCACAGCTCCTCTTCCATGGAGGTCCCGCCGATCGCATCCTCCCTCTCGAACACCACGTATACCTCGCTCCGATCAGGCCTCGACCCCACGAACCCTCATCTCGCTGGCCTTCAGTCAGATCTGGACGCCCAAGAGTGCGAGTCCCCCGACCCGGATGATTACTATCGACGAGAAAGGTTTGATGGGAAGGGCAGGTTCGACAATGTAACAAATGCGAGCATGGCACCTGGCTGTCGCGACCTGACGGACAGAGTGTCTCCGCTGCCAACAGACCTCCTGGATCGGTCGCGCGCTAGACGACCTACATGGCGGTCGGCATCTGATTCGCCTGCCTTGAGGGGCCCGTCAGCAACTCTACCCTCTTCCTCCACGAGAGCCCGACAAGCTTCCTTCAAAGACCTTGTGAACAAATTCAACAAAACTCCCGACCAACCACTTCTTCCCTTACCTTCCGTGTCTCGATCCACCTCACGGACTGCAAGCCCCGCCGGCAGCTTTGACGGCGAACACCCCTCACGGACCTTGCCGCGACGGCGTCATCTGCGCGGCGAATCCCCACCGCCAGTCTCTGTCACGAGCAACCGTAACCCTCGGCTGCAGGTTGATCTAACACCGTCGCCGGAGGTCGAGCGCCCGGGACCCAATCCATTAAGTACGGACGCTGCAGTCCCTCCGCCGCTCTTCCAGCGCATACCGAAGTCGCATCCTCGACGACCACTGTTTGGGGAACTTTTATCGGTCGACACTCAGCTGAACAACCTAGGATTCGGGATACCTTCGCACGTTAGACGCCGAGGCTCTGAAGGGAGCATCCCGAGTCCGAACCCAGCCTTCCTCGATCAGTCCCAGCCGGCATCAGCCCGGTCTCCATTGACTCCAACCGCGTGGTATCTGGGGCAGACAAGCTCACTGGAAGCGGTACATGCTGGGTCGAACGGCACGAGCAGCCATCACCGCAGAGTTCGGAGTGACTTGGCTGGCAATCCTTTAAGGGAGCCCCTTGCTGATCCTTGGGCTCCCGACATGGCGGTTTCAGGGCCCTTGCAGCAGGCCAAGCCTGGTGATGGGTCTCCAGGCAGTCCGAATTCTAGATCCCGCATTCCTGTCTCATTGCACCGTCTCCCCACTGCTTCCGGTGCCGAGAGCGAGTTACCGACCTCCAATTCGACCTTCAGCTGTCGGGCCTCCGCCATTCCTTTGGCGCCGAAGGGCAGCAGCCGCCTTCCCAAACCGTCTGGAAAGGACAGCCCGCCCCGCATGACGGAAAATGGACCCGCTTCGTTTGCGATGACCGCGCGTGGTAGACGGGATATGACGGTTGGCCGAACCCGTACACAGGCACCCGAAGGAAGTCGGCTCCTCCAAGCGTACATTGCTGCGCCTCTTCCGAAGAAATCACCACCCTTGCGCAGCTCACGACCTCGACAGCCGGTTTCGCATGGTGCTCCGACTTCACCACATCTGCGACTTGGTGATAGAATATCGACATTGCAAAAGAACGTTGATAGAAATATTGAGCCACCTCGCAGTCCCCGCGCGCGACAACGACGATTGCCCGAACTGGGCGATGTTGATTTCGAAACTCGTCGACAGCGAATCCAACAAGCTTTCAATCGCACCGTCCAGGAGAATGAGCGAAAGGAGGAGGCCGCTGCCGAGCTTCGCCGTCGTGCCCGAGAACAAAAAGAAGAAACAGCTCACGGAGACATTGAAACTATTGAAACTCCAACGGATGACCAGGAAACGACTCCCAGCGCGACAACAGCTAACAAACCTCTGCCATCGGTAGAGATGGCCACTGTGATGACCCAGTCGGTCAGTGTTCCTGGCGACGGGAACCGAGAGCCACACACCGTTCCTCAACTCCACCTAAATACAGCAATCAGTGTGATGGAAAGCAATGCGCCGCATACGACCATGGATTCCCCAACGCTGGGAGTTCCTGATGGCATTGATCGCGAGCCACGTGATATGGCGCCTGATCTAAATCACGCCAACGACGTTACACCCAGGTCGGCCATCACCACTGACTCGAACGATACTCATGTCACTCACTTTGATCCCGAGCCTCAATCCGGGTTGCTTGAGCGGAAGCCCAGCGCATCTCACCGGACACTGTTGAATCATATCATGCAGATCCGCGAATCAAGTTCAAGCAGCGATTCTTGCGACGAGCCGGACTGTAGTCTATCCGAAAATGACGACAAGGCATCGATCAAGATCATGCTCCGCGATTCCACCTACTTGAGCTCTGAGAGTAGCACGGATACCGAAGCTCCTCAGCCGGCGCCTGTGCAGGAATTTCAGGCTGTTGATCCATCCTACACCAGATGGAGCATGAGCTCATGGGATTCATCTCTGCACAATCAAGCCTCCACTTGCGATGAGCAATGTGACGAGAGTGGGGATGATCTAGCTCTCCACCGTGGACAGGAGGCAGAACCAGCGACCCAATCTTGCTCTGCAGCTTCCACTGGCCCGCCGTCAGTGGAAGGCGACGAAACCACATCCCCGTTACAGGACATTGGCTTTATGGGCCCTGACACCATTGAGTATTCGCAACAGCAGCAACCCAGCCATGTTTTTTCGACTCCTCCTAGTTTGGCCAAACAAGGCCGATGGGACTCGCGCCGTGTTACTCAGCTCTATCTGAAAGAATTGACTCGGGGTAGGGCCAACAACAGCAACAACAGTAACCTCAACAACCTTCCTCTCCCGGCAGTTCGCACTGCTCCCAGTGCTCCACCTCGAACACATGACCAGACCGATAGCCTGACGGATGACCCCGTCTTTGTTCCGGGTTTCGAGGACATACCAAACTCGGATCAGCTCGTCCATTCGGCAAGTCTGGTTGGCCCGAGTGACTGGGAACACGCGTCCCCATCCATCATGGATTGGATGCAGATTGCCGCCGAAGACGAAGATATCGAAGATATCACTCCTGGCAACGAACGAGCAGGCGATAATCCGGACGGCTTTCCTACTCCGCGCCTTAGAACAGCAGCGGTTGAACTAGATGCTTCTACAAGTCATAATTCCGGTCTTGGGCTATCTATTAATGTTCAGTCGCCGGTTCCTCGACCTGTCGAACTTCCCGCTGAAACGGTTAGGGTCGCTGATGATTTGCCTGCGAACCACCCAGTTCTTCCAAGCGTCCCCCAGCTACGCGCTGCGCACAGTACCGAAAGCAGTGAAGACTCTTCATTCCGAAAACTGGAGCCCACACAATCCCCTCATGCCGCAGACTCGTCTGCAACGTCTCTGGCTCCATCTGCCGAGCAATCAATGCGTGCTGAACCTCGCAAGTCCCCTTCCCCTGAGCAGCGACGCCTTAAGAAACGGCGTCATGTCATCAAGGAGCTTGTTGACACCGAGTATACATTTGGTAGGGATATGAAGGTTGTCGATGATATCTACAAAGGGACTTCTTCATCTTGTTTGGATCTCTCTGCGGATGATGTCAAGATTCTGTTCGCCAACTCCGATCAGGTTGCGCAATTCTCCTTCAATTTCCAGGATGCACTTAAGATGGCTGCTCGCAGTGTCTATATCATGCCTAAGTCTCAGCGCTGGAGCAGCAAGCGCAGCGCCCGTCATAATCGCCCTGCTGATGCAGGGGCTGATGACCAGACTGGTGCCGACGCAGGAACGTCCGAGCTTGAAAAGGACCGCGCCACCGCCATTGGAGAGGCCTTCATTATTCACATGGCGCAGATGGAGAAGGTGTACTCTGAGTACCTGAAAAACCACGAGGCTGCCAACAAGAAACTTCAAGCTCTTCAGCGCAATGCAAAGGTGTCCATCTGGCTGAACGAGTGTCGGGAGTGGGCATCTGACCTTACATCCGCTTGGGACCTGGACTCACTGCTCGTCAAACCTGTACAACGAATTCTGAAGTATCCGCTCCTCCTGACCGAGCTCCTGGAATCAACTCCGAATGACCATCCGGATCGCATGCATCTCCAGAACGCATTACAAGAAGTCACTGACATTTCTGTTCGAATCAATGAGATGAAAAAGCGTGCGGATTTGGTTGTCCAGGTCGTGGGTCGCAAGCGCAACCAGTCTGATGTACGAACAGGCTTGTCAAAGGCCTTTGGTCGACGCACCGAGAAACTCCGACAACAAGTGGGCCTCTCGGAGATGTTCCAAGACAAGGAGTACGACTACCTGTTCCAGAAGTTCAGCGAGCACTTCGCAGAACTGCATGTCATCAAAAATGATGTGGTAATATATAAAGAGAAGACCCACGAGGCAATGAGACAACTCGGTGAATACGTTGCCGCCATTGAAGGGGTCATGGATGTGGCGCAGTCCAATTACTCTGAATTGGAGAATAAATGGCGCGGCTTCAATATGGCGTTCCAGGATATTATCAATGTTGAGTTACCTGAGCATGTAAGACTTACCTCCACCATCCTCCGGCAAATAATGATTTTAACGGATTTTCCAGCTTGAAACGGTCACCAAACGCGTCCAGGAACCCTTTGATTCGGTCATCAGACTCTACCAAGGTCCCGAACGAGTCATGAGGAAACGCAATAAGCGCCTTCCTGATTATGCTCGCTACAAAGCCGTCAAGGACCGCGGCGACAAACCCGACAAAAAAACTACCGAGCAAGGCGAGCAGTTCATTGCTTTGAATGAGACGTTGAAGGACGAGCTGCCCAAACTCTTCGCGTTGACGGGTAAACTCACGGAAGTCTGCATGACGAATCTGCTGCAACTCCAAACCATGTGGTGGAGCATGTTCCAGACGAAAATGGAAGCTCATGTCGACGACTTCCCTGAAGACTTTGGGAAACTGATCAGTGAGTGGAGCAACGACTACAGCTTCGCCGAAGCTCAGGTCCTCTCACTCGGTGTCTGCAATGGATCCTTGCTGGCTGAGACTGTCAACTTGGTCAACTTCAATACCCCCTCGACCGGCAATGTGAACTCGCCCCGACGTCCTTCCACGGTCAGCAGCTCTACCCACCGACCTGGCTCAATTGTCGAGGACTCGCCGAAGGTCTCTAATGACTTTGGTGTGAGCCAACTTTTCCATTCTCCCAATATGAGCCAGTCCGGTACCAGTCGCCATCGGACAGATTCCTCTTTCTCCGGTCGTGCTCATCCAGAAACCCCAGATGTGGGGCGCAGTCAGCTTCTGCAGCAAGTGACCAGCACTTCTGGATCCTCCTCGGACATGAGGTCCAACACGGAGCCCTTCCCCAGCCTCCCAAGTCTGAGCCTGGATACGCCTTTCCTCGCCGACGTTATCAGTGCCTCGGCGGGTGAGAATAATCCTCCGACTTCTCCTACTGACCGATACTCCGGTTTTTTCTCTTCCGCCATGCCGATGTCAGACAGTCCTCATGAGGTCGAGGTCCATCGGGGCCCTAAGTTCCTCCCCGAAGGTGCTAAAGTCCTCTTTGTCGCAGCCAGTCTGTACAAGTTCGACATTGATCGTCCTCGGAGCGAAGCAGGCTTCCCATACCTGACCTACGAGTCCGGGGCTGTCTTCGATGTCTACGGCGAAAAGGGTGAACTATGGCTCGCCTGCAACCAGGATGAAAACGCAGAGAATCTAGACGTCACTGCGGAAGAGCTTGCCGCCATGGACCCCGGAGCCCGAGCGATCACACTCGGCGAGATTCAAAGGCGGAAGACAGAGAAAGAGAAGACTCTCGGGTGGATCTGGAATAAGCATTTCGTGAAGCTGGCCTAAGCCGCTGCACCCAGCTCCATCTTCCCTGTCGCACCGCGAGAACAACCTTGTGATTTTCTGCTCTTTAAGCGGATGGGCACATAGAGATGCCCTCACCCATATCTCGTTTGCCTATCACCATCCTCTTACATGGTCTCGGGCGTATGTGCCGGGTATAAGGAAGGCTAGAAGCTCGCGAGCTTGCTTCCGCCTTTCGTTTGTTATGCGCTGCAGCTCCGGGAGAGCCAGAGCTGCATTGATGCACGTTGCCTATCAGTTATGTTTTTTCTTCTTCAGATCCGGTCCCTGATTCTCCTGGAGACCGGAAGTGTACGCTTAGATACCCCTCTATCGATTATGACCCTTCTTGAGTGTTTCATGTTGTAGTGTATGCTATATTTCCGCACTATTATGTTTCAACGGTATCTTGATAATATCGTTGGCCCCTTAATAATGTGGACTAGGGATGGTAACGTTGATCGGAAAGTATCACAAGTTAGTCAACTTCACTCCCTGACAAGCTGTGAACATATTCTCCCACTAATCCCCAACATGGCGCTCAGCTTCCCGATCGGGAAACTTTCTTTCCTCATCATGTGACCCGCCACATGTGACGCAGGAGCCCGACATCGTGACTTCTGCAGGGATCGCTCCGTCCGTGCCTGAGCCAGCTCTCTTTTGAATTCCTCCAGGCGTACAAGATCCTCAGTGATGCCCCCTCCTTGATAGCACCCGCATCCATCCTAAGTCGCAGCTACCAGCCTCGGTCCGCCAGGCCGTGGGTCGAGCCCTTCCCCCTTGCGACAAGCACGAGCATACTAGGCCCCGAGCCCATAGCGGGACCGCCACCATCCGAATCATTACGCGTGCCCCATCGCAGGATTGTGATCCCTCAAAGGCGCCCCCAAGTCGACCATCTTTCTTGCCCTCTCTCTTCCGTAGGGCTGACGACCGGCCTCTCCGAAGTGCCGTCCAATCCGGAGTGCTATCTGACCGGTCCCCACTCGGAACTCGGCCAGTGCAGCATTGAGGAGCGCGTCACGAACCGACTCGGCAGATTGCCGCCCCGTCGCCGTCCGCTCGCCACCGTGTTCGCTATATATACTTTTGTGCGGTCCCCAAGCTCGAGGCTTGTGCGTATAGTGGACCGTGACTGTGTGGCGATCACTCAAAGCCGACGTCACCTGGCTGTAGCGCAACAGGAGATCCCAAGGAACGTCGAACTTTTCTTCTCCTCCATACGTTTCAATCGTCTACTCGAAGCTTCTCGGATCACATCAATATGTTGGACGGCGGCTTAGGCAAGTTGCAGAAGAGAATGCGGGGTCGGTTTGGTGACATGGTGAGTTGGATCCGGCCTTAGTCTTCTTGCGCCCAATGCTGACTAGCGCAGTTAAGTCCAGATGATGCCTTCTTGAGCTGTGAGTCTTTGGATCCGAATCCGGCGGGTTTACTAACGCTGAGATGGTATACTGACATGATGCTTTGGGACTAATAGATTATGACATACGCTGTACGAACACTGCCTCTGCGATGGTTTTAGATCAAGTTGCTAACCAGGTTCAAGTGACGCGAGAGGACATGCAAAGCCTCAAGAACGACTGGCTCACAGATAATGTGGGTTTTAGAGCTAGTAGAACCTTGATTGATACCTGGTGCTAACTTGTCATAGATCATCTCTTTCTGGGAAGAGTAAGTTACCTCGACCCGATTCAGTAGCCGACACACCGCAGAACCCAACGTTGATTTCTGGTTGTTTTAGATACCTAGAACACGAGTTTCTAACCAAATACAAAACATCGAACATTGTCCTCCTCCGACCCAGCATGTCATTCATGCTCCTGCAGACACCCGATCCCCGCACCCTCCGCCAAGCACTTCCTGATTTTTCCCGAACCACCCACGTCTTCCTCCCTATCAACGATTGTCATAATGTCACACAAGCAGAAGGCGGCACGCATTGGTCATTACTCCTGATCTCCATAGTCGATGGGATTGCATTTCATTATGACTCCCTAGTCTATGGCAACCACGACGAAGCCCGATATGTTACTACACAGTTTAGCAAGCTTTTGGGACGCCCGCTTGCTTGGCAACATTTGAGAGACTCGCCCCAGCAGGATGGTGGAAGTGATTGCGGGGTCTTCGTTTGCATGAATATGAGGCATCTTCTACTGAAGCGCTTGCTTATGGCCAGTGCACATGAGAAGGTCAGCATGAGTCTTGGAGGACGGAAGGTCGATCCCAGCGCGGCGCGCAAAGAGATGGCCAAGATCATTGAAGGTTTCCGAAAAGAAGGGGAGCGCCGACGATCGTGAGTGGTCTAAATGCTGCCCCCGGGGAGCTGTTGTTCTTTTCCAATCTCAACATACTAACGATCGAACCTATAGGGCCAGTGCTAGTCCTATGGGAAAGAAATCACGGAGTCCCCCCGCATTGAATAATTTCCCTACCCTTGTTATGAGTCTATGCCTGTTATGCTTTTCCTTTCGTTCAATGCATATGCCATCCTATCAGAAAACACACAACCACGGTATATAAAGACATTGGTGTGTACTTGCAGCGTTGCATAAGTTCCGACTTTCGGTGATGTGATTATGTTTCTGGTTGATACAATAATACCTATGTTTGGCAGAAGCTTTAATCCTTTTAAATATTCCGTTCTTGAGAACTCAAAACTTTCGAGTGAAGTTCACATTATTTGTGTTGATATCCCGACCAGCTCGCTGGGTTCCTTGAAATACAGCGCCCCCACCCGAGTCTATCAGGTACTGCGGTCTGTTGTGATGTGTAGCCACTGGTGCTGGAGGAAACTGGTTCTCCAGTTCATATACCCATAGCCATAATTGCCCGCTCACTGCAACATATCCAGGGTCTTTAGGACCACTGAATCGAGTCATCTCCATATGATTACCATGAATAGAGCGGCTTTGATAGCCGGGGAGTGTAGCGGATTGATCAGACACAATCTGGACGTTGTAAGCCGGTCGCATTTAACCAGTTATAGCCGCCACAGTTGTAGAACAGCGGGGGTTTCAATGTCGAAATCCAGAGACATACCTTTCCAATCCCACCGACATCTAATTCTTCATAGAAGCAAAATATCTCTACAATCTTCTGGTTATTCCGGCGAGAATCTTCAAGCATCGTATGGAACTCTTGCTGGAGATTCGCAAGCATCTCCGATCCAGGCTCGAGCACCTGTACAATCTCCCTGTTTGTTTTGCGAAGGACATTGCCCAGTTTTGTTAGCGGTGCCGCCCATGAAGCCTTGTTTGATCCCAGGTGTGGAGTTCCCATGAAGACTATTCCAGCGGTACATTCGAACAAGTCTTTCAGGTGTTGTTGCGCTGCATTTCGGGATATGAGAAGGGCTTGCTCGGTAACGAGGCCTCCTAAGCTGTGCGCGACGAAGATAAGAGGGCGTCGGTTCTAGCATGCACGAAGAGATTAGCTCGTCTATATTAGCAAAGTACTGTGTAGAAACTGACCGTTCTCGACCTCATGCGCCACAACGCGAGGTCATGCGCAAGACCTTTGCCATGATCTCGTAGGGTATTCGATCCGGCTACCCGAAGTGCATGGATGATATCCGCATCGTACCCAAAGGTCAGAATGCGTGCAGTTGGAAGGTCTGTTGGTAAAAGCTGCTCTGGCCAGAAGATTTTCGTCGGCGTGTCAGTCCAGGTTGTCTCTCGATTACCCGTTAGGCCATGGACAAAGACAATGCTGTCGGCATCATCACGGTTAGCTTCAGGTCCAACTTGAAGCGGGCGGGCGGTTCGTACTCGACGTTTGCACCTGGAGGCTCAGAGAGCCCCCGAAGGCCGTACTTTCCTTCGGTTGAATATGATTCTTCCATGTCATTTCAAGGTCGGTCTAGGGAATATAGCCGCCGATATAGGAGGATGAGGTTGAGAGGCATGATGGCACCCCCAGCATATTTCTAGCTGGCGCTCAGCTGCTCGTGATTATGGGGACCATCAGCGAGGCAATCCGAACCGTGACCGGTGATAGGCCAATAATGTGATGAACTAAGTAATTATAGCCGCCCTGCTGTTCTTCGTTAACAGAGTTGATGTGATTGGTTCGCCAGCTCGGTCCTAACCTCCTGCGCGTGGAAGAGCTGAGCCTCCCCAATCGCAAATGCTGGCAAGCCGTCTGTGCGCGTCCTTTCCATCGCAACTTCGTCGCTCCATATTACACTGGACACTAGACTAGGGTGGTATTTTTCTTGTCTTACATGAATACCTTTCTTCCTTATGAGTATTGTGAGTGACCCAGCTGAGGGTTAAGCGGTTGATCAATCCGCGAGATAAACCAGTTGCGGCATGCGCCAGCCCAAGATGGCCGCACCGGAACCCTCGACCTCCATCACGTATACACAGGGTGGAGCAGTCTTCAAAGATATCTCAGCGAATCGCGACATCATCATAAGTAAGAATAACAGCGCGTCAAACTAGGCTCCCCAGTCGCTGATCGCATAGCAAATCAGACCATATCAGCGAGATCCGACCGTTGGCCGATGAGTTAAATGCATCTTTCTTCGGTTCATCAGATGTGTTTAAAAGCGTCCAAGAGGAGCTGTCTCTGCTCATCTCTCTCCTTGTTGTCACGACAAGAAGATATCATGAATTTAACTTGGATGATGAAAATCTCATAGAGCTTGGGAACGAGCTGCAAAAATGCAACCAGACCTTGAAAGAGCTCCACGACTTGAAACAATACTATGATGATTTACCCTCGCGATCTAAAATTCCTTGGGAACGCATGAAGCTGGGGGCGAGCCCCCTGGTTGAGATACGAGCGAGAATTGCAGCATCCCGGCAAATCATCACTGTGCTCAACACCGACATGATTGCGTGAGTCTATCCGGTGTATTCCAGAAATTCCTACATACTAATTCCCATCTGGACAGATCTTCGCAGGCAAATGTGGAGCGGTTGCTGAAGAAATTCATCCAGGAACAACAGAATGAATTAACAGAAGGTTCTGTCATCTCCAGTCTCTCTTCAGGGTCTCTTTCCCTGGATGACAAGGAAACTTGGAGGCGGATCCGCAAAGAGCTTCAAGGGGTGGGTATGACCCCGGAAGCTTTTGACAAAAATCGCGCTTTTATTCTCGACACCCTCGCGGAGACGTTCATTGAAAGGCACACCGTGGAGGATATCGATGGTGATGGGCGACAGTCGACAAGGGGCTCTATATTTTCAGAGGCTTCTGTTATTCCACTCCACACGGGCGCATACAATCCCGTAGAAGGCACCTTGCTGCAAGACAGAAAGGGTGAAATATCAAAAGCAAGACCGAAAGCGAAACCCAACCGAGCCAGTCAATTTTCCAGGCTAGTCTATCGACTTACAAGCAGCCGGGATGAGTTCTTGGAAGCTGTGCAGACTGGAGACTTATCTTTGGTAATACGCTGCTTAGAGAGGGGCGTCGACATTGACTCTCAAATCTCACGAGGGAAGACAGCATTGGTCATCGCGGCAGAAAATGGATTTGAGGAGATAGTGGAAACGCTTCTCGCGCAGGGCATCAGCATTCTTCGAAGAGAAAATGGGTACCGGGCTCTCGCGGCTGCCGCGTCAAATGGGAATGAGAGAGTGGTACAGATGCTACTTCGTGCGGGTGTACCCACCCACCAGACAACCCACGAGGACCCTCCAGGGCTCCCGATTGTCCAGGCAGTACGGTCGAACCACAGCCAGGTGCTTCGGCTGTTACTGAACCATGGTGCGGGGATAAACCATGCGAGTTTTAGTGGCTTAACAGCCTTGATGTGGGCTTCAATGCTCGGATATGAGGACCCGAGTCGAATCTTACTCGAAACAGGTGCCAAAGTTGACCTCCACGCGACCAGAGACGGTTTTGCTGTCGTACCGGGAACTGGAACTACATTTAATTATCAAGAGGGTCAAACGGCCCTCCTACTGGCCACTCAAAGACGCCACGAAGCTATAGTGGCTTTACTGTTGAGCTATGGTGCCGATGTACTTTGGACAACCTCTCTCTCGCGCACCGCCTTACACGAGGCATTGATCAGGCCAGTTGGAGGAGAGAATGATTGTGCAAAGCAGCTAGAAGTGGTCAAGATTCTGTTTCAATATGGCGCGAATACCGCAGTGAATTGGACCGACAAATCTGAAAGGACACCCTTGCTCTATGCAGTCCGAGAAAGCACACCGGACATGGTGAAACTACTTCTCGACAATGGTGCCGATGTCAACCATGAGACTACAACTAGCATGCGGCCTCTCCTGCGAGCGGCTAGTTTCGGTAGCACGGCTATCGTCGACATCTTGCTCCATGCTGGAGCTGAGGTCAATGCCAAAAATGCCCACGGAGAGACAGCGCTCTGGGACGCCGTACGCTGTGACAATATTTCGGTGGCGAAGTTGCTGTTGCAGCACGGAGCCGAGGCAAATGTCCATAATAACTACGGAGAGACGGTGCTTCTAGAAGCAGTCAAGGAAGAGCTCGAGGAGATGGCCTTGATGCTGATCCAACACGGGACAGATCCCAACCTGCGCGACAAGGACGGGGTGGTCCCACTTTTGCATGCGGTCGGGCAAGACAATTGTCCTATGACCAAGATACTTGTGCAAAACGGCGCCGATATCAATATCCAAGGCCACCATGGGGAGTCGGCGCTCTTTTTCGCAGTGCGCACAAACTCCATTGCTATGGCAGAGCTGCTTCTCGAAATGGGAGCCGATCCCAATTTGAGGAATAGCAAGGGAGAGACACCTCTGTTGGATGGTCTGGATCAATTAGATCATGCCGCCATGGTCGAGTTGCTTCTGCGCAAAGGGGCTGACCCCAACTCCAAGAGCAGTCATGGAGAGCCGGCCATCTTTGTGGCTCTCCGATGCTTCTCCGAGCTTCATCCTGTTCCCTCTCAATCCAAAATCGATCTACTCTTAAAATATGGTGCTGGACCGAACTCCCTGAGCCCTACTGGGGAGACAATACTCAATGAAGCAATCAAGAAGAAAAAGGCCGACGTTGTACGTACACTCTTGGACTCGGGGGCCTCGGTCCATTGGCCAAACAAAAGAGAGCAGACGCCGCTCTCGATGGTGGAACAGATGCTGCAAGGCCAACATCGGAAGGAAGAAGATCTTTATCTACCCGGAGGTCGCCGAAGTGACAAAGATCTGGATCAGATCAACATTTTCCTTGAAGCATACCGCACACCGATACGAACCGTCAAAGTGGAGGAATGATTTCATTTGTCGGATGTTCTCGTGCTGAACCGAAGCATGTTTGGTTTATTTTGATCGTCTGCATGATAATGAGCTAACACCAAGGCATGACCTTATGTTCTGTGTTAACTGTGTTAACCGGAGGACCAGGTGAATTGCATCTTGTGGTTACTTTTGCCGCTTCCGTATTAGCGCCCTAATACGCCGTCATGTAACCCCAAACACTGTCGCGCCGAGCTTAAAAAGGTATATCTATACCTAACCTTAGCTATCATTGGCTACTCCATTAGGTAGATATAGTATCAGGTATAGTGGATTCTATCATGTAAATAGGGCTCCGAGGATGATCTCTCGTAGTGGGTTCTCTTAGTATAGGGTAAGAACCCCGGAAAGAACATAGATCAGAGGGATTTATAAGGTCAGTGTTGACCTGAAAATAGGGACATATATCCGAGATCACTCAGAATGACCGGTAGAGATAATATGCCACATTCGCTGCCTCAATGAATCATGAAGACGTCGCAGTCAATTCAAGTTGCCCGTTACGGAGGGAATGCCGGGGACACGATGAAATAAGGTGGTGGTCTGTGCACCGAACCGTAATTGTGATTGTTCAGTGCGACAGGACAGGGAGACAACAACTTAACTGTAGGAAATGGTACAAGCATCTGAGGATAAGGTTGGTGAAGATGGAAGTTGAGCCTCTTGAAGGAAAGGTTTTTGTATTGTGTCTTCGCTCACAAGGTTGCGCGTCGTGTATCCTCGGTTATGACTTCCTGGTGTGTAGCGCTCACTGTCTCGGCCTCGGTGGCGCCGGCTTCTGTGACGGTAGGACCACGTGTGGCGGTGTCAGCGGGGGTTGGGCCGTGGACCACTATGCTGGTCAATCCGAGGCTGTGGCGATGCACGCCGTGATGCTTGACATGAGTGTGTCGATCACCGTCACTGTCACTGTATCGGTACCGGGACGATCATCATTGCCTGTTGTGACTGTTGCGGTGCACGCGCTCTCGATCTCGGTGATGGTAGCGATGCCAGAGCCGCTGTCAATGGTGAGAGTAACAGTCGTTGTAGGCCGTAGCAGGACTGTAGAAGCCCAATATTAGTATCATATTAGGATCTATTCAATCACGTCGCCAGGCCCACGCGCTCAAAAATGAAAATGACACCTGGTCCACAAGAGCTCCTTGCAAGGGAACCCGAAGCTCGGACCGGACTAGCAGTGGATTCTTTCTTCTAGCTGAGCGTACTGGGCTGAAGCTTACGCCAAGCTTCAGCCTTGAACGCCGTAAATGCTAAGGAGTTCGTATTCTCGCGGGCCGTTTCCCAGCGCAGGTTAGTTTAACCTCTCCATAATATTTGAGCGGAGCGATGGTTTAAACAGATTGTGGAAATTCTGAGCGGAGTTGGTATCGAAGTTGTGACCAAGGCCAGAGCAACTTGGCACTTCGACATCTATCAGCCTACGTGAGATCCATATTCAGTGGCGGCTTCTCGCGCAAATACTTCCCCCGCGGGAATAAATATCTGGTGCATGCGCGAGGAGCAACGAAAGAGCATCACAAGAAATACAGGGGAGGGCAAAGAGTTTGATATCTGGCGGGCCGCGACGGGGCACCTTCCATCCCGCGACGGAACCAGACACGAGAAATGCTAAACTCTTCATGCCTCCTACTCTACCGCTTTTTTGGTATCAGACATAGAGATCAACCGTGCGAATACCGTTCCCTCCTTTCTACTCTACAGGAACCGACGACGCAGGGCGGCACATCCAGAGGGCAAGAGTAATATGGATCAAACTACAAGTCGTACCTCGAATACCAATCCCACCAGCACCGCTATAAGAATCAGGAAAATGCAGACATAGTGCTAACGTAAGAAACCAAGACCCAAAAAAAGCGCCATCAACACCGAACCATGTCGATCACAACACAGAAAGCAGTAACAGGAACAGCAGCAGAAGAAGAGAACCAATACACATTTGAGAAATCCGCATAACCAAAGAGCCCATAGATGTGTAAATGTGTGAGAGGTTGCAGATGGGGGAATAGCGATAGAGGTAAGACAGTCAGCGGAAGAGAGGAATGTAGAAGGAACAGCCATGGACGAAAACCCGGTCAGCGGTAACACGCCAACCAAACCAAATCTATACAGGTCATGACGTATAAATGTGCGACGCAAATCGCAAATCGGAATGAGAGAAGATAGGGCGTGTGAGTGAGTCAGAAAAATTCCCAGTGGTGGAGGGGGAAACGCTCAGCGTTGACGAGGTCGGGAGGGTAACGGATACGGTAGCAGGCGGAGAGATAGAGATGGATAGGCTAGAGAGGGCTGGAGAACGGATCAACAGCACACTAGCCAGCTGCCGCAAGCCCACACCGGGCCGTTATGCAGCAGGGATCAGGGTGGAGTCGGAGTCTGGCCAAAGTCCGGCTGATCCCGGCGCTTGTCGTGGGACCGCATGTACATCGCGTCCGAGGCAGCATCGGGCGCGGGGTTGATGGCTCGGGGCACAGACTGTGGTTGCCGTTGCTGCTGCTGCTGCTGCTGCTGCTGGGCGACAATCTCGCGGGCGTAGAACTCAACCAGCATGGTCCCGTAGGACTCTAGTTCCTCGACGGGAATGGCGAGTCGAAAGTCGTTCAGCATCAGGAACTGGAGCTCGAGGTGATTCAGCTCCACGAGAGGGAGACCCCCAACCTGCGTACATGCCATCATGATTAATCTTGTGTGTCGCTCTGCGATGGCGTTGTGGGGGTTCCAGTTAGAGGCGTACCTTTGCATATCGAGAATTGGTATAAAAGACATCGGAGAAGAATTTACTCGCACAGGTCACGCCCGCGATGACCAGCCGGTGGATATTGAAACTATCGACCACAAAGAAATGGGAGAGACTCTCGTCTTCGGCCTGCGGGTACAGGGCGGGTGAGATGCTCGAGTTGGGGCTGGGGTCCTGGCCGGTCATGCGCGCTGACGAGGGCGGTGTTACCATGGACGGATCCTGTGTTTGGTGTCGTGATGGGGTCTCCAGTGATTCTGTAGAGGCCGGGCCGGAAAGGTGGCGAGGGCTGGAATCATAACGGTGTTGCACCTGGCCGAGCTGGCCACGGTTGACCAACTCGGTCATACGGTCGAAGTAGACGAGCAAGCTGAGAAACACCTCGTAGGTGGTCGGGCAATATTTATGAATGCGGGTGAGATAGCTCAGAACGGTGATGCTCGGCACGTTCTTACCGTGGAAAGCAAGCACACTCGTGGCCTGTGGGCTGAGGTTGCCTGTGCCGTCCGGAGGTGGGATGTGGCGATGCACGTTCTCGTGGTGCATGTCGTTGGTCGTGGTGATCTTGGTGAGGAGACCAGCGACCATCTCAATGATGTCGGTGACAGGCATAGAGCTGATCTCAAACTGCCGTTGTGATCCATGCCCGGAGATGTGGGATCGAGGTGGCTGATTCAGGAATTCTTCACTGGCCAGGCTCTGGATGTGAGACAAGCTGCGGACGCGGATGCGGCTGGGCGAATTTGCCTCTGAACCTCCGAGTGATTGCATGGAGCGGAAGGTCGGTTGCAAGCGCGGAGAGTCGGGGGCCGCCTGAGGTGAGGGGTCTGGTGCGGACGTTATCGGTTCGGCCGCGGCATGGTGGCCTGCCTGGGGGTACTGGGGAGTGTGGGAGTTGGAGTAGGATGGGTGGTCGGGCGGAATGCCATAGTGGGAGTGTGAGGTCATCGATGGCGCGGGGTGGTGGGAGGGGGTGTCGAAGGGAGATCTCGAGGCGGGTTGCGAAGGATTATATGAGCTAAGGTAGGCGGGGACGTCGATTGCATGCGCGGGAAGCCGAGCAGAGCCAGAGCCCGAGACGGTTGGCGGGGCGGTGGAAGTGGGGGTGCTGTTGGAGGACGAGCTGGAGCGGGCATCCAGCGGTGGCTGCGGCTGCGACTGCGACTGCGACTGGGCCGACTGTTGGGGGCGCGAGTAGACCGAGTCCGATTTGAGCGGGCCCCCCAGCATCGTGTAATGGCTGTCGATCTGATCCGACGGCACGTGGTTGAGGATCACCGAGCCCATGTCAAGTCGCGCGCTCGACGGGGTTGCTAGTTGCGCCCGTGGGTCAGCAAGGGAGGCATTGGATGCGGCTCGACGCAAGCAAGAGCGGGTCTGGGAGAGGAGCAGGGAAGATCAGACCCGATGAGTAGGATCCGCCGGGACAGCAGGATGAGATAGCAGCGCAAGAGGGAGGGAGGAGGAGGGGAAGAGGTTTACATTCGATGACGACGGGCCTGGGTCTGGGCCGTGTCGAGGACCAGAAGGACAGGTTCGCTTCAAGACCCGCAGAGTCGGAGGCGCGGAGGGGAAGGGCACAATCACCAGCAGCCTATCAGTGTCATTGTACAAGGACCGAAGGAAAAGATATGCGAAAAAAAGAAACCGATAGGGAGGGTTGTTGAGAGGAAGAGGAGAGAGGCCGGCAGGGAGGACTCGGTTCCACGGTGAGGTCAGTGACCAGCGGAGATGTCGAGCCTGCTCGTCCTGCTCCCTTCAGGAGATCCTGATTTCAACCGGTCCCCGGCAGCTTATGGAGAGATAGCAATTAGACTCAAACTAGTGAAACAGGACGCCAAACACGGATTGGCTGGTGCTGGGCCGCAGAACAGGGCAGGGATATACGGAGGCGGACAGTCTGATACTCCGGATACACGTTCTATGATCTCCTAGGATGACAGGGACGGGTCGGAAGGAGGATGGGCTACGAACCGGGGACGAGAGGACGAGAGGACGAGAGGACGAGAAAAGGACGTATCGAGTCTGATCGGGCCCGCCATGAAGAGACGGTGTGGCACGGTCTTGCATTGTTGGGTTAGTGTTCACGGCTACTGATCTCGGGCGAATGACAGCCCGGCGTGCACCCGCGTGGCGACTGCGCCGCCAGTGATTCCAGCCGGGGACGAGTGGAGTCAGGGCCATGTCGAACGAGTCCTCAATATACGGTTCAATAGCTAACCTTCTTCTTGACTTCCGGTCAGATCCAGCGACGGGCATGAACCCTTGCCGACCTCCGGGGACAGTCGGAGAGATCGAGATATCCATCTGGTTCTTGGCCTGCGTAGACTCGTCAAGATGCACGATGCCCCGAAGATCGCAAGCAGGATGCGCGACTAGAATAAGGACCAACCGTCTACAGCCAAGCGACTGACTGTGGACACTTCTCCATCTACATCTTCCCTTTCTACAATTCCCTGCCGCAGACTCGGGCCACCTACTTCGCCAGGATGCAATTGACCAGGATGCAGCCCCATGCCATGCCACCGGGCCCTCTGCCCGTTCCTCGGCGATGGACCTTGCTGGAATGCCATTCCCTCTTGGGGCTCACATCCATGCATGCATCCATTCACCCGGTCAGTCGACCCCTGGGGACTTCACCCGCACCAGAGGACAGGATCACTGCTACCCAATCCCACCGGAGCCCAATGTCGAGCACTAGCGCCCGCACATCTGTCAGATGCAAGACTCCCCCACGCGCGTGGGGTGCATATAGCCAGCAGAGAGCAAGGAGCAAGGAGCAAAGAGCAAAGAGCAAGGAGAAAGAGCAAAGCGCACAAAACGCAGTTGATCCGAAGACCGAGTCCCGCGTCCACATTTTGATCAAAACGGGCCATTTCATTTCATTCCATTCCATTCGGAAGAACTACCCCAAGAACACATGCTATTCGTACATGGGGTTTCAATTCGTCACGCCAGGCCCGGTGTAGTTGGTGTCGGGCAGGTACAAGTGCCGCACCGCACCCTTCTTGGTCAGCACGACCATGCGGATGACACCGCCCGAGCTGCCGTCCCACTTGATGGCCTCCTGCAGGGAACCGCGCACGAAGTCGATACCCTCTTGCTCCGTCATGTTCTCTTTCCAATGCGCATCGGTATAACCGTAGATGTAGGTCGACCCGGAGCCGCCGATGGCGAACGACTGTTTGTGAAGCGATCCGCCCAGCGGTATCGAGTAGACCTGGCCGCCGTGTCGAGGGTCGTATCCGGCAATAATGATGCCCGCGCTGGAAGATCACGGTCAGAATGAATTCGGGTAAGAAGGACAGGGGGACGGACCTGAGAGCGTCCTTGTTCTCATAGCACAGCTCCTGGAAGAGCGACGCGGCCACCTGTGTGCTGGGGGCCTCGTTGTTGACCACACCGTACATGTTGAGGTGGTAGGAAACAATATCGGCCACGGCCTGGGTGTCGGCCGCAGACCCGGATCGGCAGCACCAGATAGTGTCGTGCACCTGTGTCAATTTGTCGGTGACTCGGTTGGCAATGTAGGCTCCAGTGGTTGTCCGGCTGTCTGCGCCCAGAATGACTCCGTCCTGGAAGTTGATCGCCATGCTAGAGTCCGGTCAGAGGGTATTGTCGCGATGGGCAGGACGGTCGAGCTTCGGGTGTACTCACATCGAGGTTCCCAAGCTAGTGAAGGAGCAAGTTAGTTTGGCGACCAAAGAGACCAAGGGAACGAGTGAGCAATCCAGAACTTACTTCACTTCTCCACTCTTCAGGTGCTGCATGTCGACGTGGATGCCATCTGGTCGATGGACGTTAGCTCCAGCAGCGACGGATGACGATAGCTCGGCTCACCTTCACCTAGCACCCCCTGCACGCCGTGTGGGCTAACCATTCTGTCGTCAGGAATCAATGGAAGAGAAGAGGAAAGTCAAACAAAGCTCGGGAGTAAGGGCAGGTAGGGGAGGGGGAAGGAAAAGTAGATGAGTAGAGATGGGGGGAATATGCTCATGAAGCTGTAAGGAAGGCAGAAGCTCCAACGCGTCCGGCTCGGGCGGTGAGCGCCAACCGTCCGGCTGATAGGGCGCTTCGGTTTATCGCCAGCCCCCGCGAGCCTCCTGAAACATCTCCTCTGGGGAACCTGGCTTTGCGCCTGGCACTTGATCAATCCGAGTCGTCCAGTCTGAGGGAACCATCTCGACGCTGAGAACATTACTCTGCTTGCCCATTACGACCTCTGCTGTCCGCATCGACTCCTCCGCCAACAACACATCACCATGTCCGAATCCCCTCCGCCGCCCTCGCCGTGGAGCATCGGCAACATGACCAACAGCGCCGTGCAGTTCCTTCGACTGCCGGTCCTGGCCTCATCGGGCCTGGCAGTGGTCGCCAGTGGCCTCCTATACTTTAAGCAGAAGTAAGCATGTCGGCGATAAGCCCTCCCACCCTCGCTCGAGACTAATGCGATAGCCTAGCGAATTGATATACCCGCGCAACGTCCCCGTCGATGCACGAACGAATGTTCCGAGCCCGCGGCAATTCGGCATCAGTGACTTTGAAGACCTGCAGATCCCCACACCGGACGGGGAAACCCTCCATGCGTTCTTCCTGCGCCCGCCCAAGAGCCGTTATCGGCGCAACTTGACGGTGATAATGTTCCACGGGAACGCTGGTAATATCGGCCACCGTGTGCCGATCGCCAAGGCGATCCAGGATACGCTGCATTGCAACGTGTTCATGCTTGAATATCGCGGGTATGGACTGTCGACGGGCATGCCTGATGAGGCTGGCTTGAAGATTGATGCTCAAACCGGGCTGGACTATCTGCGACAGCGCGCCGAGACGAGGGACTCAAAGCTTGTCGTCTACGGGCAGAGTCTGGGTGGTGCCGTATCTATCAATCTGGTTGCGACCAATCAAGAACAGGGTGATATTGCGGGTTTGATTCTGGAGAATACGTTCTTGAGTATTCGCAAATTAATCCCCAAGTGAGTTCCCTCGTGCTCTGCAACCCATGGCCCTTCATTGCTTATGCGTTACTAGTGTGTTCCCACCGGCACGATACCTGGCTCGTTTCTGCCACCAATATTGGACAAGCGAGGATATAATCCCCAAGATCTCCAAAATCCCGATTCTTTTCCTCAGTGGACTGAAGGATGAGCTTGTGCCGTGTGTAACTCCCTTTATTTCCCTTTGCCAATACCTGCCATGCTAATTTGCTCCAGGCCATCCAATATGACTCAATTATTCTCTGTGTGCCAGTCGGAAACCAAGATCTGGCGCTCACTGCCAAACGGAGGTCACAATGACTCCGTGGCTGAACCGGGCTACTTCGAGCACATTCACTCTTTCATTACCGAAGAGGTTATGAGCGAGTAGACAACGACCAGACCGTTTGATACGATCCAGTGCGATCTAGACCATTGTTCTCGGCTCTTGTCGAGCCTTGACTTTTTCAACAATGCTAATGATACCCACACTTGCAACTGAACGGCAGAAGCATCCTCTCTTCGCTTACTTGACGGGTTACGTGAATCTTCGTTGCTAGACTCCCTTCGAGGCGCCCTCAACTCAACCCAGCCACCAAACATTCTCGAGCGAATACCATCTACCCTTTTTATCCATCTCCTCTGTAAGAGGATCTCTACTGGCGTCAATTTTCCCCCTGGAATACAAGCGACTTTTTTTGGCTACGTTCGGAGTTTATTTCCTTTCCCTAATGCACTTGCTTCTCCCCTACGACTGTTCTGATTCCTGTTTTGTATGGGCGGCACACGCGCTTCTTTCGGGCTTGCTATTCTCTGTACCTAAGATAAGAGGGGAACAATGTGCTCCTCGGATTATTCATGTACCATCTTGACACTTCTCGTCCATTTAATGACATAATCCAACCATATTCATCCCCGTCATGGTGCCGCCGTACACATTTGTCAGCAGACGATCCTCAGGAGTGAACCCTTCAATATAGACCGGACAAGGCTAGGTAGTAAGGTTATAGTTCTCCTCTGCATACATCTGGAACAAATCTTTTCAATATATATACTCCTTTCTCCTCTACTTGCTGCTCCATCCCAACATCAGCCCTGCGTCAAGATCGCTCACCATGCCCTTCGAACAAAAGGAGTTCTCACCCGCTCCACCCCTCCCACACCCAGGAACCCCGATAGACTCCCCCGCCGCGAAGCCGTGGTACTCCGTCGGCACGGGGATCTGGGAGTTGCTCCTAAACGGAGATGCAGAGCACAAGGCTGTTCTCCAATGGTGGGAACCGAACGTTACAACTGCGCCTGGGCCGATCACACACTCCTTCACCGAAGAGGTGTGTTTCTTGCAGGGAGGCCTGGAAGATCTTACCCTGCAACGGGCATGGACTGTGGGTGCGTATGCGTATCGCAAGCCTGGGATGAAACATGGGCCGTATCGGGCGTTGGGGGAGGGCTGTTTAATGTTTGTTAAGGTCGTGCCTGGTTTCCCCTAACGAGGTATAGATCGGTTGGGAGTACTGCTATGGAAGACTGGCAGCAGCTACTTTGATGTTACCTGGGCTAGTTGGAGGGCCTGGGACGTTACTTGCGTTCTTGAACTTTGTTTTTGTTTTTTAGGTTTTTGTCTTATCTTCCATGTAAGGTTCCATACAGGAATAATAGAAACGCAGTCCCACATGCAGATGGGTACCCCAGGGTGCAGCCCCTGAGGTCCTTGTGGCTACCGGGGTATCATATGCAATTGAATAAGCAGAATCAACTCATTTTGTCTCATAGCCATGACTCGTGATGAGTGTACAGCTCAAACACATTCAGTTTCACTGCCTGCAACTTCAAGGGCAGGAGCATCGCCAATCTCAGCGTCCGCTGGCTGATCAGCTGCTTCAGGAGCACTCTCCCGGGTCTCTGCCTCTGCCCCTGCTTGTCCATCGACCGTGGTCTTCTCCTGCTCTTGCTCCGCCTGCTCCTCTTTCTCCTCTGCTTCCTCCCAGCTGTCAACAACCTCCGCTGCTGGTTGTGTCCGCGGAGCCTTGCCCGCACCAACACCCGAGCGAAGGACGAGCCGTTCCTTTTTAGATGTCTGGCTCGACGAATCGGGCATTTTCCCTCCAGCGAGCGCAGAGTAGATGGACCGGCTTTGGAACGGATTCTGCACCGGTGTTGTGCTCCGGGTGCTAGTGGTGCTGCTCTCTGCGCCGGACTTCTTTCCCCGAGAGGCAACCTGCGCCCAACCGTCTGAGCCTGTTTGAGTCTTGGCGGCCTCCCGGGCGGCCTTAGCCTCGAGCACGGCAGTCCGCTGAGCGTCGCGTTCCTTGGTACGTTCTCGCTCGCGGAGCTTCACGCACTCTCGTACACTCATGCCGCCGATACCAATGGAAGACCCGCTACCCATACCGAAAACGGGCGGAGTCCAGGTCAAAGGCTTGAGAACGAAGACATGGCGATGAGGTTCAGGGTCATGACTCTCCGTGACGAAGCCCCAGTCTTCCGCGAGCGAGTGTGCGAATGCCCGTAGGGTCGTCTTGGCAGGCTGAAAGCGGAATGACCGCTCCGCAGTATCGGTTGCCAGAGATTGCATACTCGACTCATACGTTTGGAGGGTCGAGAGGGGGGCCGTGGAGGCAAGTTTAATATACTGGTCGAGTGTCTCGGCAGAATAAGGGAGATTGGTCAATGTAAAGGCCTGAACTGTGGTGGTTGGGTTGATGTCGATGCCGAGTGCAGACGCCAGAGAACGATTCCGCTCCAAGCGAGAGCATTCGTCGTCGCAAGTCAATGGGGTCAGCGATGGTAGGCGCTCTGGCTGCTGCAGCTGACCCTTGGAGGTGACAGCCTTAGCAGCGCCACAACGTGTGTGTTGACGCAGACGTCCACAGCTACATGTTACTGTAAGTGTGGACGGGCAGGGCGCCTTTTCCGGGCACGGATATGGTGCATGGCACTGCTCGGAGCAAGGATGGCCACAAAGCGTCTTGGTCTTCCCACACGCCTGCTGGCAAGGCTCGTTCGCGTCGTCGCATTCACCCGGCTTATGGCAGTCCTTCTTGCAGAAATGGGAGCCGCACTTCAATGGCGCCCCACAAACCTGGCCACAGCGCGCATCCGTGAGCCAGCAAGGCACATTCTTCAATACTCTCTTACCACATAGGCATTCCTTCTCGGTGAGGAACGGACACTTGGGGCAGCTTTCCTCGTCTGTATGGCAGTTGTGCGCAGTCTGAGGGTGTCCACACGGCTTGGGGCGTCCACAAGGGAACGAGCACGCAGGCGGCTTCGTGCCACATGGCTGCGGTGGATACAAGATGGATCTTCCGCAATTACACGAAATCTCCTCAAAGATCGCCTCACGACAGGTGTTGCAAGCGCCCTTGTGACAGAGTTCCGGGCATGTGTGTCTTCCGCATTTCAGCAATCGACCACAGACCCTGGTACAAATATGCTCTGCCTCAATGTCTTCGTCCGTAGGGCGCAGATGAGCCTTCAGCTTTCGGCGGAGAGCTTGTCGCTCAAGAGCCTTCTGTTCTCCTGGGCAGCATCTTTCAGTGCAAGAGTGACGACCGCAGTGCAAAGTTGCCTTGCATTGGCGGAAACACTGGGGCGGGTGCATATCGCCTTGATGGCACATACTCATGGCAGTGTTGCGTCCACACTGGCACGAAATAGGGACGCGGCGAAGACAGGTCCCGCAAGGGCCTGTATGGCAAACCTGGTCACAAGAATGGCCACAACGGAGCATCTTGCCACACGGCTCCAGGCAGTTCGGGATGGGATCTTCGCAAGATGTGCGGGAAGCGAAGCCGGGAATGTCGGTCAATTTTGTTTTACCGCACGGGCAACGGGTGACACTGTCTGGCGATTTTGGGCAGTGCGCAGGAACAGAGTCCTGCGGGTGGCAACCCTTCTGACATGAGTGCAGACCACAATCGAACGGGCGGTTACAAGCACCATGGCAGTCAAAGCAGCCTGTCCACTCTTCTTCCGATCCATCCGCACGGACTAATTGGCTATCCATCTCTTCATCCTTAGAGCTGCAGAGCATTTCGGTTTGTACCTTGCCACAGTAGCAACGGGCCTCGATCTTCACTTCACAGGCCCCGCACAAGCCCTCATGACAGGGAAGAGGGCAAGTATGTTCACCGCAAGGCAGAAGATCTCCGCAGATCTCTCCACAGCTCCATCCACGCTTATAGTCGGTATCTTGGCATCGTTTGGTTGATGAGTTTCGGCCGCAGAAGCAGTCCTGGGTGGGTCCCATCGCAGCACATGGCGCACATGGTCCAGCATGGCAGGTGGCGTCGCATGGGTGGGGGCAAGCCTTGCGAGGCCGCGAGCATGTTTGGCCACAAGAGTGCGGAGGCAGTCCAGGGAACGGTCTGGGATCAACCTCCTTCTCACACCAACAGTTGTAGGTGGAAGGGAATGTTTCATGGGATAGGTTGCAACCGGGACAACGCCAGGCTTTGGAAGCAAGAGAGGTTTCACTATCCTGCACCTGTCGATTCTGGGCTGCAGCAGCCCCCTCATTCGTGGACCACTTCTTGATACAGCTCAAGTGAAACACAGTCCAGCACAGCTCACAAGACCAGACCTTTGATCGCCGGCCTAACTCACTGGTGCAGATGGGGCATTCGTATAGGTTATGAGCAATATCTTCGTGGATGCGAGTGGCAATATCATCCGCGATCGATTTTGTTGTGACCTTGGGCGGTTTTTGCGGGGCCTTCGGCTTTGCTTTCCCTTTGCCTTTCACAGACGAGGTGGACGAAGGATGTTGGCTAGTGGGTGATGTCGATGTTCCAGGTACGAAATCTGGCGCATCAGCTCGCAGGCTAGCGTCACCATCTGCTGCAGCTTCCTGGCCCTGGTCACCCGATGCTTGCTCTGTCCTTGTCAAACGAGCTGCAAAACCTCGAGCTCTCATACCCCGAGACTGGGGTTGTGATATTTGATCGGCTTGCTCTCCATTTTGACTCTGCCCGCCTCGCCTCGCTGCATTGCCACGTGCTCTGCGTCCTCCAGATCCTTGCCCCTCTTTGTTCCCTCTCCGTGACCGAGGTTGGTCATTCTGCTGCCCGGGGTGAGCAGGATCGGGTTGCTGTTGCTGCACTTGTGCCGAGGGCGGGTTGTCCCCTGGCTGTGTCGATGCGATCTGTTGGCCATCGCGGTTTCCGGGGCCCCTCCCACGGCGTCTGTGTCTCGAGCGTGGGGCAGTCGGAGCTGCAGGAGCTATATCGGGGCCTTGCATGGCCGGGAATATGGTATCGTTATGACCTGCTGCTTCTGATATGCTCATGCAAGTGCTGATCTCTCGAAACGAATTGGAGTCGTAGATTGGCGAAATCTTGTTTTGGGGATGGTTTCGGGAAGTGGCGCGGCTAAACGTGCAGGATACACACTGGTAAGGCCAAAGCCAAGCAGCAAGAAACACGCAGCTTTGGCTAGTGATGCAAGGAGAGGATAAACCAGAAAAGAAAAGAGCCCTGCGGGCGAGGTTGTATTTGAGGCTTTTGCGATGTCTGGAATACGCCGACAAAAAACCTCACTGATCGGCAGTATCGGGCGGAGATTCAGGCGGTGGAATGTGGCGTCCGTAAGTGAGTCAAGTCACCTACCCAATGACTCATGGCCGTGGGTCGACAGGGTCCACTTGCCCCAGGGGTCCGCTCAAACTGCACCGGCCGCTGTGGAGAGGGTTCCTCCGGTTTACAATAGTATGATTTGAAGAAGGACCGTTAGACTCCGATAGCATTGACCGCAACCATGAATTTGCGAGCTCGGGGCCCAATTGGCAGAATATTGGAGATATACATCCATAGGTAAAGCTCGGTAGTGATAGGTTGGCACGGTGATTTCAGCCGCAAGAAAGTACCTAAATCGTGCCGAAATCGCAGTTGTTCTCAAATAGTTCATGATGTCTACGATGAGTTCTAGATTGCTAGATACTTCGCAGCACAGTCTATTCAGACGAGCGGTTACCTGTTGCTGTACGCACCATAGTACATGCTGTCATCACCGAATATATATTAATTTCTTCACAACTCTGACCATTTTACACACGAGGATGAAGAATACGACACTTGGGATGACGATAGTAACCAGGAATATGTTAAGCTGCGCAACGCCGTAGACCTAACAAGCATGTTTGCTAGCATTGGCCAGTAGACTGGGTCGGAATTGACTTTTCTTGCGGAAACAGAATTTTGTATCGATCTTTTGATCCTTCGCAATGGCGGCTGTATGACATTCGCATAACATGTTATGTCTTTGCATGATAAGCCTTTGCTTGCTCCCAACAAATACGTGAACCCAAGACAAGTGAATCTAATCCTGCCTCACAGAACAACTCGATAGTCAGCAAGACCTTGCCAAGGAGAGGAGATCAGCCACAGCAGACCTAAGCCTGCTGAGCCTCAATGTAAAGCACGACAACCAGGAGCACTCAGTATCAGCTCAGGGACAGATATCAACCAGGAGGGCATCACCTAGCGAAAGGGCCACTGCTCCCACAGGAGGTCCCGGGATTGGAGTGGATGAAGCGCTGGGGGACGGTAACCCTGGAAGAAAGCCAGCCTTACTTGTTTCAAAGTCTTCACAAGCAAGGCGAGACAGGCCCGTCAGGCCTACCACGAATGGACCTTGGTAATCATGTGCGTCATACCAAATGCTGACGAGATCGACCGAGGGAATACTTTATAATCTCAAGCTCAATCAACCAATCGACCCACAGATTGACCTAAATGAGTCTACCTCGATATATCCGGAGCAGATACATATTGCAAATCAAGGACATCGTACACATTAATCAATCTGTATCCAAATAGGTCATATAAACAAAATGCAAAAAGATCCGCCGAAAAGCAGAACAATCGCGCTATGCAAAACACCAAATGCCCATTCACTCATATCTTGTCATTTCAAACAAAAACAACAATCTCACCCCTCTCATTCCTCCTCAACCGCAATGCCCGCCAAAGTTCCTTCTCGTCCTCCGCCCTCCGCTCCCGATCCGCCCGACTCCGCCCCTGGTCTCTTCCCCGATCCGCATCATACTCATCCGAGAAATCACGATGGAACCGCTTCAGCGCCTTATGCACCGAGCACCCGCGCTCGCTATCCCGCGACACCAGTCCCAGGAAATGCGTTGCCATCTCGCGCTGCAGCGCGTCCTCGGTGCGCGCTGGCGGCTTCGACGCCCGGTACACGGTGACCTGGCGCTCGCGGTGCGGGGACCGCGAGTCTGGGCGGCGCCGCTCATCGCTTTGTTTCTGGCGGCGGCTGGGCCGGTCGCCGTCTGTTGGGTTGCTGCTCTTGCGCTTGGACTTGCGCTCCAGGTGGGTGTCTGATGCGCGGTTGCGGTGGGACTTCTTCTTGCGGAGTTCGAGGGCGCCGTCGGCGCTGGAGGAGGAGCCACGGCGGGTGCGGACGAGGGCGCGCGAGGTCGAGTCTGCGCCGTTGCTGCTGGTTGAGACGACGGAGCCGCCGAACATGGAGGAGACGAGGCGCTCAGCACGGTTCTTGATCGAGATGCCCAGACCCGGGTCGCCATTGCTGGCACTTTCCCTATCCTTAGTGTCTTTGCCGTTGCGCCGTGTGCGCTTGATCGGGGACGAGGCGTCGTGGTACGGTTGGCGGTCGAGGTTGGGGGAGTCGTCGATGTCATTTGAGGGGGAGCGCATCATGCGGTTCAGACCGCCGGTGAGGCCGGAGTGGGCGAGGACGGGGGTGCCGGCGTTGTTGATCACGCTGGACGGGGCGTCCAACATGGGCGTGTCCACGTCCTGCTGCGGGCTGCTGAAGGGCTCCTCCTGGCCGCGCTTGCGCTTTTTCTCGCTGACGCTGCCGCTGGCGCGCTTTTCGTCCTTGCGGCGTTCCTTCTTCGTCTTCTTGGGCGCGGGTGTCACGAACTCCGTCGAGACATTGGGCACGGCGTTGGGGTACATGGAGGGCGGGATTGGGTCCGCGCCGTAGGAAAAGCCGTTCTCCTCATATGCGACATCGTAGTTTCCTTCGTCATCGGTCTTGGTATCCAGTTTGGCAAGCGCATTGCTGGGCTCAAAGACGGATCGGGCGTGGGCAACCATGCTCATCTGCTCCTTGCTGCCATCCTTGGGGGCCAGCGTCACCTTGGACGCATTGGGGGTCTCATCGGTGACCAGGTAGTCAAACACATTGATGGGCTGGCCGCTGTTGGCCAGCGCCTTGGATGTAGGCTTGGCTTCACCCACGGGAGGGGGTGTCGGGGCCGGGGGCGGGGCCACGTTGGCATTGACATTGTCGCCATCGGAGGCATCCTCGACTCGGGGTTGCTTGTTGGCGTTGGGATTGCCCTTATGGTTGGGGGTGTTGTGACCGTTCTGGCCCTTCTTTTGCTGTTTACCAGGCTTTTCTCTATACAGCGCGCCCTGGTATTTTTGTGCCTCACTCATGCATGACTAAAACAAACACACCAGTTGTTAGCCGCCGCGTGCGGAAGTTAAAAAAGAATTGAGCGAAGGTCGGGCCAATTGTCTCGGTCGGCAGCCCACTCCCTCTCGTCCCTCAGGATGTCGGAGAGCTGGCAGACCAACCGCTGGCCAATCGTCCAAGAGCGCTCTCACAGGACGCGCACACCATGCCAACAACAGCCGCAACGTACCGTGTGTGCCCTATATTGGGTTCCTTGGAAATGGACCATACAATCGATGCAGGTGAACGATGCACCGCGGCATTGGCTGCGGTGGGGGTCGAGCTTTTTCTTGGTGAAGATATCACCGCACGCCTGTCCAAGATGCAGGTTAGCCGTCATCCATGTTCTGAACGCTTTCCGCCGCGCCCTTCACCCCCGCGGCAGCGAGGGGCTTTCTACGTACCTCGCACTGAAAGGATACCATATTGGAGTCGAGTAATCACCCCACTTGGAGCGTATCACAGGTGATGGGAGAGTCAATAGTTCGAAAGGGCGGGAAAGTTAGGGCAACCGCAAGTTAAAGTGTCGTGAATGCGACAATTGCGACAGTGTACGGCGGCGGATATTGCGTCAATGCGGCCAGAAAGCGTGGAGTAGCGTGGAGAGAGAATGTCCGGGTCAATGGAGGAGAAAGGATGTGCTCCGGGCCACAACAAAGGTATCCCTTGGTGAAAATCTGTCTGCACGAGATGCACCGAGTTGACTGCAGTGCCGAGTCGCTTTTTCTTTTTTTCTTTTTTTCTTTTTTTGCGCGTCGAAAATCGGGAAGGCGCGTAAGAGTACGCTAGTCCGAAAAAAGGAAGCGCTAGCCTCGATGTGGGCAGGTTATTGTGGTTCGGCCTTCGCGGTGGGGAGCAGCTGGCCAGTGGGCATGCAATGGAAGTGTAGAGAGGGAATAGAGTCAGAGAGATGGAATGGGGAGGGTTGCAAAGTCGACTGGGGATCGAAGAAGGGAAGAATACGAAACGCAGCGCAAGTGGCCCCTGACTGGTTTATGTTTTATCTTCTGGGGCTGAAATGCTGGCTACCTTCGTCATGGCCTGTTTCATCAACGCGCTGGAACGCGCGCAGCTGCGCGACATGAGCAAATGTACGAAATACACAGTGAGGTGCTCCCCCATTCATCCACCGGCAACGTAGTGACAATAACTAACCCCTCTCCGATAGGACGACCCCCCGCGATCGCGATCGGCCCCACCGCTGGTTGGCTGGACGCGCAGGGGAACCTGTCAGGAGACTCGTCTCATTCTATCATTTGTTATCAGCTGAAGTGAAATGGCCCCCCCCTCCTGGCCCTATTTTTGGCCAAAGTCAAATCCATGCCGGAGGACGAAGCCAGACCCAGGGAAATAGGCCGCGCCTGTTCGATACTCGCCCCATCCTACAGTCGAATATACGGTGTATGCTAGTCAAGGGGGTCGTTTTGCAGGTGTGGTCATGGCCCTCCCGACAGCGCCCACCATCGCATTAGTGGGTTTCTCCTGTATCACGAGGATGCGACATGGCGACATGGCAACATTGCGCCGCCGCTAGCCCTGGGCTATCAGGGCATATCTCCCGTGCTGCGCTAGTGTACGACGGGCCGCTGGTACGGTCGTGTGTCGATGTGCCTCCCGCGAAAGCAACACAAGGAAAGGGGGAGAAAAGCGCGCTACAAGAGACCGGGTCATGCGCATGATTGGGGATCACCGGATGGGGTGATCCTGGGTCGCGAGGTAGTTCGGGTCATGCTGTCGTGCGGGACTCAGGGATCGACGGTGGTAATCCCTGTCCTTGCAGGAAAGTCCGCCGTCTATAAGAGAAGGAGTCTGGATAGCCGATGCGCAGGGCTCCCGCCACTCGGGCTCGGGATTGCGGAGGACGTGCGCGGCGCGCGTTGGGTATATATGGATATTATCGAGACAAGTACTGTACAAAGAGACCAGCTCCAGCGCATATTTTAAGAAAACCACGAAGGTAACGCCATGCAAAGTGCGCCGAGAACGAGGGTGGAATGGCGGGGTGCGGATAAGAATGAAAGAATGAGGAGGAACGGAGCCAATATGTCAACCCTGTCAACCGCGCGTGGTCCTGAATCGCAACGCAGGCTCATGTCAGTCAGACCTTCAAAGAAACTAGCGCAGCGCCGGGGTGGGCCGACTCACGCTTCCTTCGAGATCTCCACGGCCAGGTGATCGTGAAGATCGGACGGATCCTGCTTGCTGTCGCCATGGCTCGCGGTCGGGTGTGCCTCGTTGCTCTTGCTGTCCGCGCCACCCTCCCCGGCGTCCTCATCGTCGGTGCAGCCGCAGTCGTAGAACGACCCCAGGTCGTTGCAGTCGAATTCCGGTTTGTTGAGCATCGCATTGACCTCGTTGTGGATGAAGCATGCCCACCCGGCGGCCGCACTGCGCGACGACACCTGGGGCGGATATTTGTTCAGATGTTTCTGGAAGTGCTCAGCGCATTCGCCACTGTCTCACAGTCAGCTCTTGCGATACGTCGCATGAATAGGGAGGGTCGCGAGGATGGAGTGGTGGTGGTTTTGGGGAAGGGGATATGTGATGGCCGTACCAAGGATAGAGTCGCGCGAAGAGGTGGATGTAGGAGCGCAGCGCATCCTGCTGGTCCTCGGTGGGTTTCTCGGGGAATCGCGCCATGACGGTATGGAAGTACTTCCATGTTGCACGGCCCAGCTCAGCTCTGCAGAACGTAGGCCCCAGGCCATGGTTAGTGACATGATACCGCCAATTAAGCTCCGAGATGTGTGCGTGGTGTCAATGCTTCCTTACTTGGCCGTCTCGTTGCCCAATTTCGGCATCACCACCGCCCCTTTCAATGTATCCTCCTGGATGGTGATCCCGGACGAGGGTGCTGCGCCATGAGAGAGGTGCCCGGGGGCTCGGACGGCCGGGCTTGGTGGGCCCTGTGGACGGATGAAGAGGAAGAAGACTAGGCATATCGAGATTGCGGCGCTGATGGCAATGCGCCGTGTCATTTGTCGGTTGGCCATGGTGGTGGAGGGGCTAGGGGAGATGTCGGCAAGCGTCCGCCGGTAGGTCGAGGAGCACCAGGCTCAGAAGTGCAGGGTCTTCCCTGGTGAGAATATGGAAACAAAATTCACCCAGGAACGTAAGAATGCAGCGGAGAATCAGTGCATAGGAGGTGAAGATGCTCTGAAGGGGAGGGAACCTACGTGTCGTATACGGTGCTGGCCGGATCGAAAAGGGAGCTTAGTCATGGCTGCGCGGTTCGCTGACGTTTGGGGGGCGTTTTTGCTTTACTACTCTTTGTCCTTACTCGGATCTAATCTGCTAAAAATGACAATTGTTACTGCCACAAGGCTGGCATAGCATTGGAGATTTGAGTGCGTGCCTTTCCCTGATCCACAATGGCTAGCTTCATGGATGTGATGGATGCCACTATAGCTCAAGACCCACAACCGCCGTATCCTCCGTGGCGGGCATAAAATAAAAGCCCGAGTGACATGTATGTTCGAATCCTTCGACAGTTCGAATCCTTCGACAGATCGCTAAAAATAGGCGGCCGTCATTGAGCGCTACGAATCTCAAAGAGTGAACCGAAAAAGGTTCTCTCGACGCCGCATTCATGCCTATTGTACCTCATCCTGGGCAAGTACATCACTCAGGCTCGGAGGCAAATCCTCCTTGCTTGTACCCCAGTTGCTTTCCTTGTCCCCGAGCATCAACTCGAGCGTCATACCTTCGGTGAAAAACTCGTGGTCGATCCAGTTCTTGGTGTAGGGCTTCCCATTCAGTTTGGCACTCTGGATGTAGATGTTCTGATAGGTGGAATCGAAGTTTGTGTTTCGAATCGTGGCAGTCTTATTAGTCTCTGGATGGGTGATTTCCACTGCCTCGAAGAATGGTGGGCTGATGAGGTAGACATTTTGACCGGGATTGGGGAACAGTCCCATCATGCTCCAGGCGAGGAATGAGCCCATTGCGCCAGAGTCGTCATTGCCAGGCAGGCCGTTGTTGGATTCGTTGAAAGTTCTAGGAATATAGCTGTGGGCTCGCTGGGCAGACAGAGCTGGCCGACCGGCATAGTGGTACTCGTATACGGTCAGGAAAACAGGCTCGTTGCTTATGTCGGCCAGGCCAGATGTATGGAAGTAGTCTAGTCTCTTCACAAAAGAGTCAGAGCCCCCAAGCAACTTGATCAGACTAGCCATATCATGAGGAACGAAGCTGTAGTTATTAGCCACCAGTGACCTGCCTAGTATTGTTGGGTGATGAACATACAAAAGATACTCCCAGATACTCGATTCAAAGGTCTCTGACGGATTCGAAGTCAACGAGCACCACGAGGCTAACGCACTACAGGCAATCGGGTCTTGGAAACCCCACGTACCATTGAGATGCCTAGGCTGTAAAAATCCCGTGAAGCCGGTGTCAGTTCCATTTTCCAGAAAAGACTTTTGGTCCGCTTTGAAGAGGTTCTTCCAATTGCTCGCCCGAGACAGATAAGTCATATAGTCCGTCGTGCCGAGTCCCTTGCCCACAAGGGCAATACCATGGTCATTGTAAGCATACTCCACAGTTCGAGAGACGCTGCGTGAGTTGGTGCCGAATCCCAAATAGTCGAAGTCCAGGTAGGGAATGTAATGCAGCTTTTTCCAGCTCTGAAGGCCCCCGCGCCCTTCATAGGACCACTCCAACGGTTCATTTTCGGCATCGTTCACCATTGCCTTGTATGCTAGCTCCCAGTCGATTCCAGTCAGGTTCTTGACATATGCATCTGCGAGGACCACGTCCGCATTGGAACCACCTTGTGTCCAGCCTTTGCACAACGACATGCGGCAATCAGGTAGCCAGCCTTCGTGCTTGAACGTGTCAAGCAGACTGCGGACCATCTTGGACTGCGCCTGGGGATCGATGACAGTGAGTAATGGGAGCTGAGCCCGGAACTCGTCCCAGAGACAGTAGAACGAGTCGAAGTACGGCTCATCACTCTCCCATAATGGATTTTCTCCCGTCATCTCCTGGGGCGAAAGCATTGTCCGGTATATGCCGCTCCAGAAAGCGCTTAGCGAACCATGGCTCACACCGCCAGGTGTGATCTTGATGGGACTGAGCTTCTCGCGCCAAGCAGTCCTCGCAGCCTCTTCAAGTGTTTCGAAATCATTTAGAGGGTCAGAGACCTCTGACTCCGCATTGGAGCAAGCTTGGTCGGTGCTAATGTAGCTCACACCCACTCGGACAGTCACCATTCCATTGTTGGGTCGATCAAAACTGATGTATCCGCCAGCCTGGAGATAGAAATTGTTGAAGCCACGCGTAACAAACAGCTCCTTCGGCTCCGACCCTGCACGATCATTCACCCAAATTCCACTGTCACACACCTTCGCCCCAGCGAAATCCGCACAGAAGTAGGCTTGATAGGACCCCGCGCCGAAACTGGGCAAGAATGTGCCATTGCCCTGAATACGCCCCGAGTCAGCGTCAATAGTAATGCTGGCGTTCTGTCGACTATCCCAGAGATCCGTCAAATCCAATAAAATCAGCGGATCTAACCGTTCTCCGTTCTCCGCACTGGCGTCGGGAAACGTAAAGCGATACAAGGCTGTGCGCCTGGCAGCCGTCATCTCGGCCTTGATGCCATTCACCAGCTCGAGCGCAAAATAACCCGGCCGCGCCGTGACCGAGTCATTCACATAATGCGTCGCACGCGCACCCTTCGGAAACTTGCAGTTGTCAATGACATTGTCAGGGCAGTACTGCGGAAACAAGGGGAATTGGCCCATCGATGGGTTCCCGCCTGTGCCACTGTCATGCATGTGCGAGAAGCCAGTGACATTGCTGCCATCAGTCGCGAAGCCGCCCGTGTTTTGGCCGTCAACGTCGGCGACGGGCTTGGCTAAGCCGTAGGGTAAGCTTGCGCCGGCAAAGACGTTGCCGCCGGCTGTGGACCCAATGAGCGGATTGACATAGTGCAGGTCATCTTGTGTCGAGGTGGTGAGATGCAGTAGCAGGGGTATCAGAGCTACAAGGCTTGCTCGCAGGGCTGGCATCGTGGAATGTGGCGATCAAACCATATGAAGGACGGTGGTTCGACTGGGCCAGGGAGTAGAGTAAGCGCGGGGAATAACAATGCATCGGCAGTGGCACTGGTAGGACCACGACGGTCAGGAAGAAGGTAAACGGTTGGCAAAAACAAAGAATGCCACGGCATGCGGATGGCAGCGTCGCATTGTTGATATGATCGACAGCGGGGTGCCCCGTGAAGCGTTAGTGTGCGATGCAAGGGCGCCGAGTAGGAGCTACTCGGAGGGGCTGTCCACGTTTAATAAGGGCAGAATTGAGATCATCGATGGCTGTCTAGGGCTCAATCTGTGTGAAAGTGTTGAGATAGGTTTGTTATGCTATTTTTCCTTTGCGTGAATCAAAGGCTACACATGCGTCCGAAGCCCTACCCAGTATAAGAACTCGGTATATCAGTAGGCAGGGGAGGTGATGCAATGGATAGTGGAGTGGTAACGCTTTCTGGAACTGATGGGCACAGAAGCCAGGAAGCCACACATTATGTTCGTGCGAGGGATAAACTAATATACAGGAGAGTCTCCAAGAATTTTGCGCCTGTCTCTGCACCTGTCAGAGTTCAGGGCGCACCTAACCCTATCCCAAGTAAAACATCAAGGGAAAAGAGATCCATCAATTCGATTCGTGCATTCGTAATACCTTCAAGTTTAAGGCTTACTCGAAAAGCATGGTACCCTTGTTCTGCTTCTTGCCGACGTCGTAGTTCTTCCACACGGCGATCGAAGGGATAAGCAGAACCAGGATGCAGGTTGAGGCAATGCAATTCATACGCTGGGCGTGGCCCCAAGCGTAGATGCAGGCATCACGAAGGGGAGAGCCCACCGCATAGGTGTCCTGCACGCCGATGCCGTCCATGTAGATTGTGGTCGCGTTCGCCTTGAGGTTGTCAGGTAAGTGACTGGCCAGCGCCTCCACAAACACGTTGTTGTAAATGGCAGCAGAAACGGCATAGCCGATTGCACCGCCGATGCTAGAGAACAGACCGATCAAGGCCAGCATCATAGGGGTACCCTCACGACCACCGGCGGCCATGACGGCCATATCCTCACCGATGACAATGGTGCCACCAGCGAAAGCGATGAAGATCTGGCACATGATAATGTAGCCAATCCCGTGGTCCCCGCCACGGAAATAGATCATCAAGCCGGAGCCAAGGAGCATCAGTGGGACACCAAAGCACAACACAATGTACTTGAACCGCCTGACCCACCAGATGATAAGACCGAGGATCGGGGACCAGAAGCACGAGCCCACGTTGTAAATTTGAATCATGTAGCCGGCATTGCTGATATTCAGGTCATAGGTAATCAGCACAAAGTTGTAGAAGTACTGGTCCCACAGGTAGAAGCTGAAGAAGCAGACCCCAGCGCAAATACATGCGCCCAGAATGGTGGGTCTCTTGAGCAATTCGTAGCGAATGAAGTGGTGGCGCGCACCCCATCTTTCCCACGCAGCGAAGACCAAAAGCATGCAGGGGCCGATGATAACCATCGAGATGAAGGTAGCCGATCTGTACTGGGAGCGGCCGTACTGGGCTAAACTGAAGGGCAGGAGGAAGAGGACCCAGGCGGCCATGAGCAAGAAAGCACCAATGACTGGATTTTCGAGTCAGTATACAAATTCTAGATGTCGCGGGGAAGATGGATTAGATCCCTTTGCTTACCATCAAATTCGTGGAAGTAGTGAATAATAGACTGCATCTTTGTGCGTCCACTGTTCCTGGGCTTCCAAACACCCTTCGAGATGGCCTTTCGCTCGTAGAACTTGAAAATCAGCGCGAGGGGGCAGAAGACGACAGGCTGGATAATGCAAAACATTCCATAGCCCCAACGCCAGCCGCAAAGGTTGTAGATCGACTGTGCCGCTAGAGAGCCGGTGAACGCGGTACAGATGAATGGAGTCGAGGCAAAGGCGAAAGCAAAGGCTCGCGAGCGCAGGCCCGTAGTATCTGCGACGAAAATATCCAAGATCAAATACATGCAATAGTAGCCGATCCAGTATAGCACGTATCCGGCCGCAAAGCCATTGGGGCCATTGCATGATGCCAAAATGATCATGCCAAGGATATAAATCGCGGTTGAAAACAGCAGAGCCTCAGCGCGGCCCCACAGCTGGAGGGTCTTGGCCAGGGGCAGCTTCAGCACACCACCGATGATACTGGCTAGAATGTATGAGGTTGAAATTTGCGGAGCCGACTGGAAATCGCTGTACACCCAGTTCATCAGGGTGGAGCTAATCGCCGAGTGGAACGCAAGCATGAAGAAGCCAACCCAAATCCTATTGAGTGATTCCGCTCGTTAGTATAAACTGCAAATTCACCACTATCACTCGCAATTTTCATCGCCCATCGGGTGAACATAAAATGCATTACTCGAAACTCACCAAGCATAGATACCAAAGACAGCTGGGCGGCTCCAGACCAGGGCAGCGGCTTCGGCCTTCTGCTGACCCAGGCCAGCCTTGTCGGTAACACGGTCCGGGTTGTGCTGGGCTTCCTTCTCATCGTCTGAGATGCCATTGACACCGTAAGACGAATCGGAGTCTCGAAGCGTCTGGGAGTCACTGGTCGGGCGGGCCTCAGGGTCATCGGTGCCAGCAGCATCTGACTGCGCATGCTTCGAGTCCTCAAAAGTCGTTGTATCGACAACCGACCGGGTCAGGCGGCCATTGTCGTCCCGCCCACGCACAATGTCGAGAGCACCCATAGCGAGCAAGGTCGCCTATGAATTCTTGTAAAGGGTTGCACAGTGGGGCAGTGGATGGTTACTGCAAAGGCCCCAGGTGTCCCGGGGGAGCAGTCGATGGGGTAAACAGGCGGGTTGAGGGGGTTCTGAGAAGGAGAGTCGAGACGATCAACGGAGATGAGGAGTATTTCTATGCTGAAGGGACGAGGGCCCGAGAGCGAGAATTTCCCGCCAGACACGCTTGCCCGGTGGTCCCGAGGATTCGCTGGTTCGATTTTATTTGCGGCTTTTTCAGGTGCGACGGGGGAGAATTCAATCAGATAATCACGGACCAATCTGATAAGGTCTCCACCCTGGCCAATCACAGCGTAGTGACTGGGCCGACTCTCCACTATGATTGGATTTTTACTTGGTGTCCTTCCCGAAACGAGACTAGTGGTGTTTGCATCTCCCGCAAGCGGGTTTCCGGATTGGGAAGCAACTGAAGGTGGTAACGGTAACTTGCTCGACTAACCAGAGTATCATCGCCTCCCTCTTGACTACCAGTTGGTTTATGACGGTCCTCTCCCGAGGGCTGCAGGATATATGATGTTGCATGATGTGATGTTACGCTCAGTGAGACCATTGAATTGCTCACTGCTCTTCGGTCAACAAACATAACAGCCACCTCGGAAGGCAAGTCAACAGCAATATCCCAAACTAGCTGAAGGATTCCTATTCTAAACGTTTTGTGGGCCCCAATCCAATAAAGCGGCTACTATTTCTCGCAAAGGTCGCAAAGCTTGCACTGAAGACGCGCAGCCTTGCTGTCAACGATCGAAGTCTCTGGCCATCAGGCCCGGCCGGGAGTTGCCTGTACCAGTTGTTGTCGAAAAAACTACCGAACCACAAGCCCCCAACCTACCCTCGCCGACGCCACAAACCGCTTATCTGATGGCGACCAGAAGGCAAAGCCTCCCTCCTTTTAGACCCCACGCTCGCGTATCAGCCCATGGTTGTGGCCGAAGCTAGCAGTGGCTCGACCGCGTATACCTCAACACACTGAAAGGGATAGGGACATCGAGTCCCCGCACAGACAGGCCAGACCCTTTAATATTTTTGGTGAGCCGATCGCTCATAACTGGCATGATCATTGCGGCTCGCCCACGCACTTCTCTTTCTAGTCCAGGCGAAAATTTTCCGGTTTGACCGCACATAGCGTTTCCCTTGGGCCCACTCCAACCGTAGCCCCAACCACCCGACCAATAGCCAGCCCCGTTGGGGCGAATGGAAACCACTTGCTTCCGCGGTCTTCCCATCACGCATCAAGTCATGCTTCCTGGTAACGTGAAAAACCTTTGCAACCAAGGTTGTTCTTCGGACTGTCCGGTTAATCAATCATATCCATCTAATCTAATCAGATTTTTCATCCCTTTTTCTCGGAACTGTTACTGATGGATCCCGGTCCTGACGGGCTTTTCGATCCATGGGACCGCTGAGTCCCCCGGCACACTAGCCGGAATTCTCGACTGTCGGCCTCCATATACTGTGCCCTACCTCGGTCTCGCAGATTTCGGCTTTCTTCTGTGCGCGCTCTCCACTCCTATATGCTCGGCGTGCCGCTCACTCGGAATCCACGGCCGATGCAGCCATCAGATACTTGCCAATACGGATAAAAACAGACTTCACTCCCAAGTCCCACGCCGCACTTTGCGCAGCTGCGGGGTTCAATCGCAGCAATAAAACCATGGGTATAACCTTGGAAGATGGAAGTCCCGTGTCCACGTGGCGCTCTGTCGGGGCAAAAGGCTGTCTTGGGAGTCCTCAATGGCTTGGTTCCGGTGAGCCCTTAGCACTCCGAAATTTCCGACCGGTGGATTTATTCGGCGTGTGCCTGATCTCTCAGCGACTAGTCGGTTACACTCAACCCATTGTCTTCCGCTACCACCTATGTAGCTACAAGTGTTCTGTGAAGACTGCCTAAACCTACCCACTCGCCATGGTTCCGCCTCGTTGGCAGACCAACCCAAATGCTCGTTGATCCTAAAGTGGGAGGATCAAGATGATTAGGCTCACCACAAGTAGTGTCTTAGATCATGTGGTCCATCGTAGTCTCGGCGGCGCTCCTGATACTTTGCTTTCGGTGTCATCCCTGGAGTTAGGTCGTCCTGGCCCGTAGATCTGGGGTGGCAATCAACTAGTATGTTACGCTCCTCCATCTTCCATTCATCATTTAGTGCCACAAAAGCAAAATCACACCAACACGGCCTTGACGAGGAGCCTTTGCATTACAAGCCATTAAATCCGTTTCAGTAGAGCCTGATCTCAACGCCCGAATAGCTCATATGGAGTCAAGACAAGCTATCCCGAAGATTCCCATTCTCGGAGCCGAAGCAGGAAAATTTGGGTGAGCTACGGCCAGACGAATGGGCGTTCATGGTGGCTGGGATTGTGGTTAGCGGATACTTATATGTTTCTGATCATGCAAGCCGTTGCCCAATTTACTGTTTCGTGAGATTCTGTTGCGCGGCGGCCTAATGCACAGGGTAAGTCCACGTTGCCGGTAAGTAATCGACTCTTTCTCTTTTTCCACGATCCCGGCGCTATTGTGACTATATGGCGGCAGCCTAAGATTTTGTCATCATCAGCACGAATGTAGGTTTGAATGTTTACTCTGCGATACAACCAACAGACTTCCGATTGGAAATCATAAGAATAGTGCAATAATGACGCATTGGGGGTCACGCTTCGTCGGTAAATCATAGAAAATGGGTTCGAAGCAAGAAGGCCGACATTACCACGTGGCAGTCATCAAAAACGCCGGATATACATGGCGTCAAGATGAGAGCAGATGCCCAAAGCCTGAACTGATCTCTAGTTTTGATTGAACACCAACAGTGGAAGCTACGCTCTCAATCAATAAACAGTCAGTCGCGACGAAGATAACATAGCAACATTTGTCGAAGCTTACCGATCTCTCCATCTTGAGGATGATAGGAGGGCTCATTAGTCGTTCATTGTCCCGAGCGGGTTATGCCTACCACGACGGAGGTTTCGAGTTCATTCATCCACAGTGTATAGGCATGGACCATTTTGATTCCAACCAGTAGATTCTTGGTTTGAGTAGTGTTCGCCTCCAGAGCGTGTTTCTTCGGAAGCCATCGTCATATTAGAAGAACAACTCCCATTTTCGACCTCTGATTCAGATTGTGGTCTACCCTTTTGATCGGAAGCGTTATCTAGAGTCTCCGGTGGCATGGTGATGGGAGTCGACAAGGCACCGTTTGTTTCATCGCCAGCGGTGGTGGAAGACGGAATTTCACAAAAATCTTCCGGGCCATCATTGGGATTCCTGGTCTGCGTATACTGGATGTGTTCACTCAATGTATTCGCGGTCTCTTGAACCCGCGGATATGGCCGAGGGCCATCTACTTCGTGAAGTGAAGCATCTAGCAACAGAATTTGAATGGGGCAATCCGCACCACTGAGGTCGCTGGTTTCACGTGGTTGTTCAGGTTGTTCACTGGAAGTTGCCCCGGGGGGGTTCCTGGTATTGAGGCTATGGTGTCCCGCAGTGTAAGAGTGTGCGAGGAGGTTGACTAGAGGGAGCACGAGTGGAAGAGGAGGACGACCTGCTTAAGTCTCGCTAGGTGATGGGAGGTTTCGCGACCCCCGCTCGTCCGCGACTTGCAATTGTCTGTATTGACTAATGAGGAGTTTCAGCCATCGATGCGGGCAAATTGTAGTTCAAATAAGCAAGTGAGGATAATTCAGCAGGTAGGTCCATTTTAACAAGTATATGACCGAGCCATGGAGGAGAGGGGCTTAAAAGAAAAAAGCTGGTAACAAACAGTCGTCACGAGGAGAGACGCACTGGGGGGTTTAGAGGGACGAGTAGCTAGTTATCATAATAATTTAACTGATTCTAAACTGTTTAACAGTGTGCCAGGGTATAAAGAGCAAATAGGGTCCGCCCGGTATACCCCCGCTACTTTGCCAGTGTTCAACAATATTTTCGTGTGGCTCCAGCACCAAGGATTCATTGTACCACACGGTGCACTTACATGCTGCCTTGTTGCGGCAACCATTCAAAGGAGACCATGTTTTGCTCCCCCTTAAAACTGTGCCAGTATAGTTAAGTTGTCGAGGCCATATCAATGCGCCGCGAGATGATTACCCGACAAGGTTAGCGTCTCCGCCCCACGATAAGCTCCGCTCGTCATCGATATAATACGAGGCTTGCAGAATTGCAGCGGTCAGGTCTCTCCGAGTTCATTCACATTAGCCTTGATTATTCAAGCAAATATAGGTTCGACAGACTGAAACAATTGCAGTTCAGCCATCTGGTTCGTTCCGGAAAGCAGGGTGGAAGCAACCCAGCCAGAGCTACCCATCAGTAAGGGATAAGGTTGGAGCAGAGGCGCACTCGTGACGTTTTGAACATCTTGACGTCCTTTCTCAAAAGATAGCAACATGGCCGGTGAAAATAAATCAAAAACACCCTTTGAAGACTTGGCCCGCCAGTCCTCCAACGTGGAGACATCTCCCTCTGTGAATCCCTCTGATCCCAGCCCAGATGAGCCCCCGCCATACTCGGCGCATGAGCGTTCGGCATACCCTACTCTACCGGAGATTCCTCCATCTACGGCCCCAGAGGTAACTCCAAATCATCCATCTGTCGGTCTTGAAGCTGTGACTCAGGAAACCACATCACCAGGTTTAGAGGCTGTGCCGCAGGGGAGCTCATCCGCTGCCGGCCCATCAAGGGCACCGCAGACACCGGGTTATGACCAGCGTAAGGCTATTGCTATACCAGCCATCGATTCCAGTGCAGGGTCCCCTTTTATTCGGGCCTATGCACCTATCCTCCACAACTACAAGATCTCCAAGAAGACATTTCTCAATTTCTTAGACCAACTTAATGATGTGATGACCACCAGCCCGCCAATGCAGGTGTTGGACGCCACCGGCGGCATCCTGAAATCGGTGCCAATCCTATTTCCACTCCACTGGATCGGCTCCGCAGTGAGCGGCATTGCAAGTCTCGGCGGACAAGGGATCTCCAAAGGCCGCTCGGACTCCGCGATCAAGCAAGCCAATAAGGAAATCTTTGGCCCTCGTGGGCTGCAGGTCGAGATTGGCAAGCTGGATGCACTCGCTCATCTCGCCAAAATGCCGATCTTGGATTCGCAGGGCAAGGTCAATCGGCAGGCGCCTCTGCTCCTGCAGTTAACGGAGTCGGTTAGTATGCCAACGAACGAACCGCAAGAGCTGGACCTGCAGCAGCGGCGGATCCGAGCCCTGCAGCCGTGGATCGCTGAGCTTGAGGTTGACGTTTTGCCGTGGACCTCCAAATCACGGCTGACGCGATTCAACGCGGCCCTGAAGAAGAGAAATGATCCTAGGCGACCGGACTCTGCGGCGCATGACGGAGACGAGGCTGAGGAGAACCATGCTGGGTTCCGGAAATGTCTCTGGCTAATCATCCGGTAAGTGCAGGGTGAGGCTGGAGACGGGCAACCGGGACCATCTAAATCAAAGCGGTGATCTCACTTAGGATAGTGAGCTAGTGAGAGGTGTCGCATCTTTGAGACTTGTGAACAAAGCGCCTGCTGAAAAATAAATATATCGGATAATGTTTAAATGCCCTTAAGATGAATCGAACATCTATCAAAATATTAACAGTATTCCGCTCTACCATTGAATATACCTGATCACTCTTAGCAATTCTACGGCTGAATAAATCCTGTATGGGGTGCAATGGCGGCGTATGCAATATGCTCGGACCTTACTATGAAGTCCTATCAACTCCAGACGGGATTTGTGCGCCATCGGTATAGAGGAAATCGGAGGCTGCATGTCCACTAGCGTGGCAAACCTCAACGGCGATTAACCGGATGGTACGGGGCATTAGACCAAGGCCACATGGACTTTGGAACAATTACAGGAAGTGCAAACAATCAGGCCAAACACCACGGCCAGAATCTGGATAATCCACGAACAGGATAAATACACACATCTGTCCTTTCCAACCGTCACGTCGGCGTGATATGACCAGCCCCCTCTCACCGCTCTTGTCCCGGAGGTGTCCCGGAGATATCCTGTTATGCATGAAATTATCCTTACATGACTCTCTTATCACCGACCTGTGAACCCGAAAACGAGCGACCGGTTCCCAGCTCTTCCAATCGCATGACTGCCCAGTAGACAATGCGCTAGTCTGAGCGGCGCGAGCCACGGAATGCATCCCCCCCGCGCTCCGTTACCAATCAGCGCGGACTGCACTCGGCAAGACAATGCCGAATACGATCTCAGTCCAATAATCAGCTCACCAGGGCAAAGTCATAACACAGACCCCGTCTAATATTGACATCAGTCATCGCAACTCTCGGAATCTCGCCATGGGCATCCGTGCTGCATAAACGACCGATGAGGGTGGGTGAGAATTAGTACTCCACCGTTTAAAGTACTCCCTACGCTAATCCACTCCAAACACCGGCCTCCCACTGGAGGCAGAAGAGAATCAATCCACTGCAGCTACCCCCTATTTTGTCGTGCGGGTCCTGATCCTCCCGAAATCTCCTCATTGTCTTCCACACTCCACTTGACCAGCACGTCCATCCAGTCAATTGCGGGCCCTATCAAATCCGCCCCCATAGCTATGCATGAGCGACCGTATTATTGGGGTGGACGCGTATCAAGCGAGCAGCTCCTTCACAAGCCCTCTCTGCTAGGCTCTGCAAGGTTGCTAGGTAGCATTCTTGACCTGGAAAGGCAGGAGATTGTCTAGCGCGGAAAAAAGTGGTCCGCCCATTATCGAGTCTCGAGCCGCCCCCAAGAAAGCTCAGCTTAGTCCGACTTCCCCTCCCCCTGATGGTTGGAGGGCAAGACGACCCACTGGATTCACTTTCCTTCCCACTTTCAGAGAGGTGGCAGAGGCAAAACCTTACGGAGCAGCGCAAAAAGCACAGAAGTTTAACGCATTGCTCGCTTTCATCTCAGAATTTTATGAGCATAGTTCATACCCGTCACCTCCCCTCCTCGCAGTTATGATCTTATGCACTCCGAATTCCATCCACGTGCGTCCACGGCCTTGTGCAGGCGCACGAGGATAGTCATTCCCACTGACCAACTGCGGCTGGGATGCGTGCTCATTATTGTGGGTAACCTGCAGGTCGAGCGGCGCGGACTGGCGCCGGCCAGAGATCGCCTAAAGCCCGACTCCGACGCAGCTGCAGACTCGCTCCTGGCCCTGGAACCGGTCCGCTTCCCGGTCGCTTGGGTCATCTGTTCTTCATACTTAGTCCGTTCTGCCGGACAAGTTATGCGGTCCCCTGTGTTTGCGAGGCCTGGGACTTTCGGGGCGTAGTACTGGTGTTGTTCTTTGCATCTCTTCCCATTTCCGATCCTTTCCTCACTTTCCCTCCTCGTTCTCCCTCCCTTCCTCCCAATAGCAGCTTGCGAAGCCCTGTCCTTGGTGGGTTGCTCTGCTTGTCTCCCACAGTATACTGGCGGTCGGCCAGCGCGATCGCTGTCAGAAATCAGCCCGTGCGACGGAGATTGGCGAAATCGATTAGCCGTTCGCTGTCTGAGCGTTTCCCCCGAAGAGCTTGTCGCAGCGCATAATTTCCAGCTCAGCTCAGCTAAAAGGGATTCCCCTATGCCAATAGGAGATTAAACTTTCAATTCACAGCTCAGAATTGAGCGCGGGTGCTCTGCGAGTGGTGCAAGAAGGGCTTCCCCGCCATGACAGACATCAAAGGTACTAAACACCCTCTTAATTATCGTTCGAAAGTTATACCCACCTCTGGTGCCAGCAGCACAACGACAGCAAAAAGAAACCAAAGTAATGCTAACAGGATTGCAGTAGACACGGCGTCGTTTGATGGGTCGACGCCAGCGGCAAGCAATCAAGAAATTCACCAGGTCGACGAGGACAAGCGATCGACTCATGGAACGGTAGATGTGGAGCAAGGACCTACCACGAAGATCAAGGAGAATGACGCGGAACAAGTCAACGATGGTCCTCGTGATCCAAATATAGTTGATTGGGATGGCCCCGATGACCCTGATAATCCCCTCAATTGGACGAAGAAGAGAAAAGTATTGGCGACTGTTTCGATCGCATTGATCACGCTGCTCACGTACGTCCTAAGCCTACCTCTAACTTGTCCAATCATGCGCTCAGGCTAACATACCCTCGCGACAGGCCTCTCGGCTCATCTATGTTTGCGCCCGGCGTGTCACAGCTAGTGCGCGACTTCAACATTACAAGTACGGAGCTTGCATCCTTTGTGGTGTCCGTATATCTTCTTGGATACTGCTTTGGTCCTCTTCTTATCGCGCCCATCTCCGAGATCATTGGTCGCCGCACCGTCTACAACGTGTGCAACTTCTTCTACGTTGTCTTCACCATTGCTTGCGCCGTCGCCCCCGACATTGGAAGCTTGACGGTCTTCCGATTCCTTGCTGGATTTGCCGGTAGCTGCCCGCTGACGATCGGGGCCGGCTCCATTGCAGACATGTTCAAGCAAGAAAGTCGAGGTGGTGCTATGGCTGCTTGGGCCCTGGGCCCTTTAATTGGCCCTGTCGCTGGACCCGTCGCAGGTGGATATCTCGCCCAGGCCATGGGCTGGAGATGGACTTTCTGGGTCCTGTCTATGGCCAGTGGCGCCATCTTTATCCTCTCCTTATTCACCATCCGCGAATCTTATGCACCAACCATCCTAGCTACGAAGACGAAGAAGCTGCGCAAGGAGACTGGAAACCCGAATCTGCGCTCCGCCCTCGACACCGGCCGTACTCCGATGGATTTATTCATGTTCTCCATCGTCCGACCTACAAAGATGCTCTTCCTGTCCCCTATTGTCTTCCTTCTCTCTCTCTACGTTGGCGTCATCTACGGATACCTCTACCTGCTCTTCACCACCATCAGTCTTGTTTTCGAAGACCAGTACGGCTGGTCTCCAGGCTCCGTAGGTCTGGCGTACCTGGGTATCGGCATTGGCTCTTTTCTTGGACTTGCCATCTTGGGTCTCACATCCGACCGCCTGCTGCACTATCTGGCTGAGAAGCATGGCGAGAAAAAACCCGAGTACCGACTGCCGCCTATGATTCCAGGATCACTCTGCGTCCCCATCTCCCTGTTTATCTATGGATGGTCGGCTTATTACAAGACTCACTGGATTGTGCCCATAATCGGTACTTCCTTCCTTGGTATCGGCATGCTGATATCTTTTGTATGTCCCTTTCTGCCATTTCTACCCTTTGGGATCGCAGCTACTAACATCATTTCACCTAGATGACCATCAGCACCTACCTTGTCGATGCCTTTACAACCTACGCTGCGTCCGCCATTGCTGCTAACACCGTCTTCCGATCACTCGCCGGTGCCTTGCTCCCACTTGCCGGTCAGAAGATGTATGAAACTCTCGGATTAGGCTGGGGAAACTCACTGCTTGGTTTTATTGCACTGGCTCTCTGCCCACTGCCGGTCATATTCTACGTCTATGGCGAGCGCATCCGAACAAGCAAGATATCCCGGGTGGAATTCTGAGTTGCCTGATAGGGTATAATCCTATTCCAGACACATCGCTCTGCTTTGGTTCTTGAACATATCCTGCATATTCGTTAGAGGAGGGGTGAATTCAACGGCTCGAACTCAGGCTCAACCGCCTCAGATGCATTGGTTGGGCGCTCTAGTGGTTGTGGATATTGCCTTACTACTGTGATGATGCATCACACATAATTTTTGCATAGATTGGAGGACATAAGTGTTCCTTTTTACGAATTAACGCTTGAAATTGGTTTAAAATTGCTATATACATTTTAAATACCCCAAGAGCCTGATTGAAACATGCCAAGTCGTTTCTTTGTCTTCATGCAATGACTTGTGTATTCAGTTACTGCGTAATTAACTTAACACTTTTATTCCTCAAATGGCGGAAACTGGCTCATCACTTTCTCAGCACCTGCCACCTCGGCCGTCAAAAGCTGTCGATGTTTCTCGCTCCGCACCTGAATCTCGCAATCAAAGGGCTCGGGCCTAATATTAAATCCTTGCGTGTACGCAAAGGTATCGTACTCTTTCTCGGCACCGTTAGCCTCTAGCATCGGCTTGAAGGTGAAGGCCCATAACAGACGTGCCATAGCAATAAACAGGGAATTCTGCGCTAGTCCTGCCCCAGGGCAGATCCGTCGTCCCCAGCCAAAGGAGCTGTGGCCCTCTTTCGACGGGTGTGATCGTGATGGAGACATTTCGGCAAGATCCTCTGCTGAAAATGTCGGAAGATATGGCAGTGTCTGTGGATCAATGCTGAGGAATCGCAGCGGATTAAAATGATGTGGATTCGGGTAATACTTCGGGTTCAAGTTGATTGCCCACGAATTCGAGAGGATGGTAGTGCCCTGCGGTATAAAGAAACCCTCATAAGTATCTGCCACGGAGTTTGCGTGTGGTGTACCGCCAAGTACCGCAACGGGTCTGATCCGGAGCGTTTCATTGCAGAGTGCCTTGATGTAGGGCAGGTTATTCTCATCATCGAATACCGGGAGGCGTGTGGTCCCTAGGACATGGTCGAGCTCTGCATGTGCGGCAGCTTGGACTTGCGGGTTTGTCACCAGCATAAGGATTGCACTGCACAGTGTACTTGCCGTTGTGTCGCTGCCAGCCCCGAAGAGCGATGCCGGTACGAATGAGAAATCCCTTTCGCTTAGAGCGCCGAAAGTAGCCGGATCTGTCTCTCGCGCTTCGAGGAGCAGTTTGGATAAAGAGCTCGGTACTCCAGACGGGTCTTTGGCATTACGAAGCTCATCTTGAACCCGGTGCAGGAGGGCCATATTTGTCGCTGCTTCTTCGCGCCCGCGCTGCTGGATCTCTGCTTTCCATGGTGCAAGTATGTTAGGGATGTATTTGAGCCAGGGGACCGTCTCGGCAAGATATCTCCCCGGTACGTTGAGGGACGCAGAGTATTGCATGAATCCAAGACGCTGCCGGATGACCTTTGAGCTCATCGAGTCAATTCTGTGACCATATGCAATGCTGAACACTACGCTCGCGGTAAACCGATCGATGAGTCCTTCGTATGACTTTGGCTGATCGAGCAGAGCACCACATAACCTCGCCGCCTCGGCCTCTTGAACAGGCTTATATAGACTCAGCGCAGAAGGGTTGAGTGCTTGATGTAACATCCGCCGACGAATTTGCCATTCCTTGCCATAGGGCTGGACCAGAATTCCCGCGTTATCCCAATACAATTCGCCCATGACTACAAACCGCGGTCTGGAGCTGAATTTGGTGCTGCGTTTTTCAAGCAGGTCGGCCGCGACGTCGGGATCGGATATGATGATTGTGGGTCTTCGGCCTATCCATAATGTAAAGATGGGGCCGTGAATGTGGGACCATTTCTCAAATTGGATCCATGGTGAGGATTTTGGGATGAATAGTTTATTGCCAATGAAGGGCAAAGGTGTTGGGCCCGGTGGAAGGCGGAGGTAGAGAAGGAAATCGTGTATCAATAGCGAGACAATCGGAAGGATGATTATTGCGAGGGCCACTGAGTATGGATGCGAGTATAGTAGCCGTAGTATAGCAAGGATGGAACTATGTTTGAGTAATGCGGAGAATGCCATTCCGGGAAACACGTTCTAGATGGCACCTCGTGGATTATTGTTCTGTTATCAGCTTAGATGAAACTAATTACAATCTGTTTTGCCGGTTTGAATTGTGCCGACAATTATATGCGATGGCCAGTCTATCGCATGAACCAAGTGGTGCTGGCCCCACGACGCCACATTGAGGGGCTTGTGGGGAGCTGCTGCAATAGCCTTGGAGAGTAACGGGGTCAGTACCGAGAGAAATAAAAAATGCCGAAGCCTATAACCACCCCAATTTTCTTATCAGAACACCTACTTGCCCGCAATCCAGGTGGAGCAGTCTACAAATCTAATCCAGCGGATGAGCCATATACGGGGGCGAGGTACCTGGTGGAGCGATGGCTGCCCGGAATTTATCACGTAGAATATCTCAATCTATCGCAACTCTCGGATTCTTTTTCCTCGTAACAGAATGCGTATGATACGCCGCGGTACCGTCACATCAAATGGTTTGGGTTACTGTTGAGTGAGCATTGGTGTAGCAGTAGCTGACCATTCAATATGTTTCGGACAGGACACAAACGGCAGGTGCGTGGCGAAACGCAGGCGCTCGCTTAGAGATCAGACCAACGATATTTGCTGCCATGGGCCGCTTGACGTCATCACATCATCTCAAACGCTTTTTGCTCAGCTGGAACCCGCATTGAGAACATTCCATTGTTTAAGATCATTATTTTCGCCTCTCGGCTGCCCCTAACCAGCCACAGGGTCGGACGGCCCTTACATAAGCGCGCCACACCAACCTGGAAAGGGATGGCTTCCCCTCATGTGCAGATCCCCCCAAAGGCCGAGGTCGAGGAGTATCAGAGTCCTTTTGGGTCCGTCAGACAAGACTGACACCATCAACACTGGTCTGGCATATTGACTGGAGTCATTTACCTTGGCATTGCGCGCTGGGCGCCTATGGTCGATGCCGTCCCGCCGCAGCCATACAAAATCCCGCAAGGGATGCTTGGAGTGTAAAAGGAGACATGTCAAGGTGGGTACTGCCTAATGGGTTTGCTGCGGGGAAATTAAGGATCTCAATTATCCTGATGCCGGCCATCGGATGAGGTGGACCGATGCAAGCTCAATTGGCTCCTTCGGTTGCCCCGCAGCAGCTCTGACCTGGCACACGACCACGTATCTGACAACACTCACAGTGCGATGAAGGGTCTCCCAAGTGCACCCTGTGCAGGAAACGCAGACTGGAATGCAGCTATCCACCTTCGCAGAGTGACGTCGAGAGCTCCCATGGGTCACCTTCAGGACAAGATGACCTCGAGAGTGGCGGCCGCACGCCTACAGGGGACCAACCAATGCACAATCGCATGCTGGAGATAAGGCTCTTCCATCAGTATATGACCTCGACCTGCCAGACCTTGTCCCAGGACGGGCTCTCTGCGTATCATATGTCTATCACCATACCCCGGATGGCTACCTCTTACCCCTATCTACTAGACTGCATCCTCGCATTGTCTGCGTTGCACCTGGCCACTATCGAAGAGGATAACCGCCTCCTATGGTTGGATGCCGCTGTGCGCTATCAAAGCTCAGCATGCTCTGGAATGAGCAAAATACTCCCAGATATCTCACCTCAACATTACGAACCGGCGTTCGTGTGCTCTGTCCTCATTTTTCTATTCGCGACAGGGTTTCCTGGAATGTCGCCAAACAGCAACCGTCCCAGTGACCCGCTTAGTGAGGTTCTTGAAGGGCGTAGTCTTATCGCGGGCTCTGCCATGCTCTTCACGCGGTTCTATGAGATTGGTGTGCACGCAGAACTAAATGGCTGGCTTTGTCCTCCCGACACGGAAGAGAATCTAGCACATAAAGAGGAGAACAGGTGCTTGGAATCCTGAAACACTAGTAGAGATGAAGCTAATTCTGAATGCAGTGATGACGCATCGGATGGCGGCACCAAAGCATTATTCGCTTTGCACAAGTAAGGAATATCAATCCAGTATGTGGGACATGGCGCTAACATACACTAGGAGCATTATGAGGTCACTCGAGAATGTCCGAATCATAATTGAGGCGAACCAGTCCCCCCAAAAGGAGCTTTATAAAGACATGTGGCAGCTTTTGCATCATGCCGTCCAACCATGGCCCAAACTCGGTCCACAAGGAGGAGTGTTTGCATGGCCCTTTTTTGTCCCAGAAGAATGTATTTCGCTGCTGCAAGGTGGCGACTGGGTTGCCCGTATAATATTCCTGCATTATAGTGTGTCCATGCGTCTGATGTGTCACCGATGGTATGTTCGTGACCGGGGACGCAGGATGGTTCTTGCGACATTGGAGCCATTGAAAGAGATTCCCCCTGAATGGACGGAGACTATTTCGTGGATGAAAGAGGCGCTTGGAATTGATACATAGCCAGCCTCATGTTACAAATATATGGAACCAATGACTACAAACCTTTCTTGTCAGACTACAAGATAGAATTTGAGATCGTGACTATCTGAAGATAGCCTAAGATGGTCGACGTGTTATCTGATTTGTCTACTTTTACCTGATTATCGATGGCTGGAAGGATGCGGGCGTAGAAGGAAACATATAAGATAGATGTTTAGTCACTGAGGACCGTTGTGGCTCCTGGTCTATTAGTTCCCTTGTCGGGTAGCTGAGAGCAGGTAAATGGCTCAAGGAATTACTTGCTTGCCATTCCACGGGTTTCGTGAGGCACTGTTTGCTTTCTTTGCACCCATATCTGCCTTTGCCCGACCCAGGGTACGGAGCTAGAGTAATTAGTCATTTCTCACGATCCTCAGCATTTGCTTAGCCCTAATTAGCTGCGCTATCAAAAGAAGCGGACACGAAATTCCAGCACTAACGATCAACTTCAGTCAAGCCTTCGCCCATCCCGTTCACCAAACATTCCATACCTTGACCAACAGAAGATTGAACAATGCTCGGTGATTTGATCAGTCCATTTGTAACCCCCGAGGTCCATCTTTGTTGCCTATGAACATGTACATGTTTACATGAGTGGTGATGACTACCTACTGTATATTCACATAAAGTATTTCATAACCAAGCTAAACTAGATCAATTCAACACAATCGACCGTATGTAACCTAGCTCTCCTAATTCAATACCATAATACGATCCCAGCTCCTCCAGCCATAATCCTCTCCGAGCTCAAGGTTCCGCACGAATTCTAGCCTACCATACTCTGTACTAGCCGACATCAGAACCGTAGACTATTTAAGCTATACATCCCAATGACCAGCCATAGCTATCTACGACCCTAGCACAAAGTGACACTCTGGCGATCTGGCGCTGTTATCGAGTACAAAAACGAAAAGAACGGCAACTCGCGCAAAATTAGGTTTGAGCTACAGTAGGCTCTAAAAAATCGTAACACGCCCACACGTGGCTTTCTCCTAAGCTTCCGGCTAGGGACCCAACAACGGATCGGTATGCTGGTTCAAGGAGCTTCACTCGGAAACCCTGCCCAGCGTGCTGGAGCGCGAAGTCAATGAGATGAATCGGGTGCCGGGAGTGGTGGGTGGGTGGCTAGGCAAGCAGAAAGTGGGCGAAGGTGGTCTCTGATTGGTTGGTAGGAAGGGTTCGTATGCAGAGCTGGCATGGACCAGATGGCAGCTTCCGGTGTCGATGCTGATCAATGATGAGGACGGGTACGGAGGATGGCATGAGGGACTATCCGAATATGCAGGATTGGTTGGATTAGACGAGGAGCAGGGAGCCGGTTAGGACTGTTTTCGAGGAGGGGAGAAAGCTTTGAGATCGTTTCTTTAGTGGTATCTATCCTTGTCTCCTCAATACGAGATACGTATCTACAGTATGTATATACGGAGTAGCCAAGTTGATTTAGGCACACGGCCGAACAGCAAATTGTGATCGACACTGCCTCTAGCAAGGAACCGGCAGCAGGAATATGATGAGTGTACGTAACTGTGGCTGATAGCGAGAAGCTAGAGAAGCCGAATGGTGGATTCAACAAGTACGAGCCATTTCAAGTTGATTAGGAAAGTGCTAGGGTCAGATAAGGCTCGTTTTAGGGGAGAGGGGAAATGCCTATCAAAGTTCTTGGCGTCGCCCATATGGAAATCGCCCAACGCTGTCCCTTGTTCCAATTCTGCCGATGAAGACACGAAAACTGTGCTCCGTAGATGAATGGTGGTGCATCCTTTCATGGAATCCAAATATACGGTCAGCCGACTAGGAATCGCCGTTGTCGGAGCGTCGCCGCAGGCCGATTGGGTGGCTTGAGTCTAATCACGCCCGGGCTGCCCCGCGGGCGTGATAAGCAATGTGATGCTTTGATAGACTGCCACGCGACTCCAAGTCCCAGGTTTTGCGATTATTAATTCAGATCCAACACGGAAACCTACCTCGGAGACCCGGAGAGACCGCTTATCAGCCGCTTATCAGCGGGTCATGCTGTTGTTTTAAAGAGCGGAGGAGCAGTCCGTGGATCGGCCGAGTCCCCGGGTCCTTTCTCAGAAACACCCGCATTCTCCAGAGTTGGAGAAGAGGGCCCTCCGGAACGGGTGGGAATCTTGTTGATTTTTAGATTGACCAGGGTGACTCGTCCGGGAACGGAAATCTCGCAGACCTGGATAGCCCCCGGCACAGTGCAATGATCAGCGCTCAAGATGTGGAGAAGCAGGTAAGAGCTCTAAGCTGATCCTGGTCAAATCCGAGCCGTCCCCCTCACCCTGGACCTTGGCCTAATCATGATAAATACTAACGACGGCAGCCTCTGCTCGCTTCTCGTTCCCCTATCAAGGGTGCCGACTGGGATTCTGATTTTCGAGGAAGCCAGCGTAGCAATATTAGGGATATGCTTCACTCAAAAAGCTTCGGCCTATTGGCCATCCTGTCTTTGACTTTGTTGGTTATATGTTTACCCAGCGCATCAACCACCCCGCTTGATTTTTCTGTTCGAGATTTCGACGATGTCGACGGGTCGACTCGAGAGATTGGACCGGGAAAACTGGGCGCTGTTGCAACAGAGAATTCCATTTGTTCGCAGCATGGAATAGAGATTCTGAAGATGGGTGGCAATGCTGCCGATGCAGTAGGTGCATTCTGTTTCCCCGGAGGGGAAAGACCTGTTGTTGAAAAATTGGAACACCAAGTCTGGTACTGATAAGATTTTATAGTTGATCGCAGCGCAGTTTTGTATTGGAGTTATCTGTGAGTCCCTTTTGAAAAGATGGTAACACCACAGTCTGACCCAGTAAACCTGACAAATTCCAGCTATGTACCATAGTGGTATCGGCGGGGGTGGCTTCATGCTTGTACGCGCACCAAATGGCTCTTATGAGTTCATCGACTTCCGTGAAACAGCCCCGGCGGCTGCCTTCCAGGACATGTACAACAATGACACTGACGCATCCATATATGGGGGTCTGGCAAGGTAAAACATACACAATTGATTTACAGTCGGCATATGAACTGATAGACATTGACAGTGGCGTACCTGGCGAGATCCGCGGCTTAGAACACCTTCACAAGAATTACGGTTCTCTCCCTTGGTCGACGCTACTCCAACCTGCGATCCGCACGGCACGCAATGGGTTCCCCGTGACTCAAGATCTGGTTAAATACATGGCCCTTGGTGTGGGCAGTGGAGAGGACTTCTTATCTAAGGACCCCAACTGGGCTCTGGATTTTGCTCCCAACGGAACTCGATTGGGGTTGGGGGATACCATTACTCGAAAGCGCTATGCGGATACCCTTGAAGCCATCGCTGAGAGAGGTCCAGATGCGTTCTACACAGGTTCAATCGCAGAGACCATGATCAATGCGCTGCAGGCGGCAAACGGCACTATGACCCTTGAAGATTTGAAAAATTATACTGTGGCCATCCGCAACGTCTCGCAGATAGATTATCGCGGATATACCATCACGAGCACAACCGCTCCTTCGAGTGGAATTGTCGCTCTGAGCATTCTCAAGATCCTGAGCACTTACCAGGGTTTGTTCGCTTCGGAGAAGTCGGTCAATCTCAGTACCCATCGGATGGATGAGGCGATGAGATTCGGTTACGGCGAGGTATGACCGCTTGTGTTTCATCAACGATACTCCATGTTAACGATATGCACAGCGGACTGAACTGGGTGATCCATCTTTCGTTGATGGCATGGATGAATATCAACAAGATATGCTGAAGCAGTCGACTATCAATAGTATTCGGGGAAAGATTTCCGATACTCACACACTCAACGTGTCCGCATATGACCCGTCAGGACTGGAAAGCTTGGATACGTATGGGCACTCCTGTGGATGCAGACATCGCCCGGATTGAACTGATCAGGACATAGACCAGGAACGTCTCATCTCGCGGCTGCAGACCATACCGGACTCGCCATCTCTGTTATCACTACCATCAACCTGTATTTTGGAAGCCAAGTGATGGTCCCCGAGACCGGTATCATCATGAATGACGAAATGAACGGTATGTGAACATGAACCGCTCGCAGCCGAAGCGGCTGTCTGATGGTTGAACTTAGATTTCTCGATCCCCGGCTCTTCGAATGCGTTTGGATATATACCTTCCGAAGCCAATTATATTCGGCCTGGCAAGCGCCCTCTGTCATCTATTACTCCTACGATCGTCACTCGCCCAGATGGCAAACTTTTCTTGGTCGCCGGCTCCGCGGGAGGCAGTCGAATCATCACAGCCACCGTCCAAAACATCATCCATACGATCGACCAAAAGCTATCGGCCGCGGAGGCGCTTGCAAAGCCCCGTCTGCACGATCAGCTGGTTCCGAATCAAGTCAGCTTCGAGTATACCTATGATAATACGACGGTGGCTTTCATGGAGAGCCTTGGGCACAACGTGACCTGGGTCGCTCCGGGTCAGAGCACAGCACAACTGATTCGCGTTTTGCCCAACGGCACTTTTGATGCAGCTGGCGAACCGCGGCAGCTCAATTCTGCAGGCTTTTCTATATAGATCGGGAAATGCTTGAGGGAGGATGTTGATCAGTCTGCGAACCCCAGATACGAATTCGAATCAAATCACCATGCATAGACTTGCTGGGGAGGCAGATTTGATTTGAATACAAGGCTCGTCTAGCGTCGCACTGAAGAATCTATAGATCAGCAATACTTGAGAAATTTATCCGATGTTCTTCCATTTGAGGGAACTTGTTGACAGGCCGCTGCCACCATCTTCCCGACGCATCCAGCGATAAGTAGATAAAGATAAGCAGATAGTCATGAAGTGGTCTGTGCGCGTTGACAATCGGCGCGTGCGGAGTGGGCGCTTCTTCGTTTGACCGCAGTTGACAAGTCAACTGCTCCTTCTTTGCGTCAAATTATATTTTCTTGCTGGCTTCCGACCCTCCTACAATCTTTCCCGTCACATTATTAGCCTACGAACCTCCCATTCTGAACCTTACCAACAACCTGCGCACAAGGCTATGAGGAAGCCCCCTCGACCTTCCCCAGACCTGGTTAACATCCAAGTGACAACCCAAGCCCGTGAGCCTTCTTGATGCTGCAATGCTCTGAATTCAGGCAATTCTGACTTCTCTCGGACGCACAGGTGGCTGCTCACCGGAATTTGAACTCACCGCGCATATGCATTCCCCATCGCCAACCCACCTCACTTGAACGACAGAGCCCGCCAGGGCGCAATCACTGCGTGCATAATGACGCCCCCTGACGATTTTTCTATTGTGGCGCCTCCTCCTTCCTTCCCCCTCAACACATACGGAGACTACCAGCCCTTTGACGCGTTTTTCGACAAGACTGTTAACCGAATCCTGTCTGAGGAAGCAAGTCTTGAAGAGTCACGACACAGCGACTTGCCGTTTGATTCAAGTCCAGTGGGTTCCGGGAACTCGCCGTCTTCTTACTCATTACGGAGTCGGGATAATTGCAAGAGACCCACATATATCTCGGCATCTAGCACTATTACGAGCAAGACCAAGAAGAAGAACAGGAAGAAGACAAGGTCTGCGGCCAAGAGAGAGATAACGGTAATCGATCTTTGCGGCAGTGATGATGAAGATCTCGTGGGAAACAACGTGAATCGTGACCAGGATGAGTGTGATCATACTAAGGAGATGAAGGGTGATGACCATGTGCAGCCGAACGGCACCCCTCAGGATGATTCTGACCATGCCTCAACATTTGTGGAAGCCATCGAAGGAAGTTTGAACGGTGTATCTGAACAAGATACATTGAATGATGAATGTGCAGAGGAGGACCGCATTTTCTCTTCTGTGGGAAGATCTGAGAGACTCCGTGTTCTGAACTTTATTGCGGGACACCCATTCATGCACAATCCTGTGCAACCTATACAACGATCTGCGCGACTTCACTTTACTGATGAGATATGCAGAGTAGCGTCATCGGTGGGGCTTGATTCTTCGTCGATCAAGAGCTTAGTCAAGCATGTGCGAAAGCTGTATCTGGAGTTTGTTTGCGTTGACGCTGAACCACCCGCGATGGGTCTTGATGACATGCCTTTCGGGAATGAAATTGTCGATGAAGTTGAACCGACCTCTCACACTCGGGAAGGTTTCAAGAGGAACCGTGACCATATGTCTCCCTCTCCAAGCTTGAACGGCCGGAGAAGCAAAAGACGTGTATGTGAACCCTTGGAGTCCTCGCCGCAGGCGGTAGAGACAGAGGTCATTCAAGCTGCCAATGGCCATGTCAATCCGCCGCCTACCGCGCTCCGTGATGCTCCAGACTATGCAAATGATCAAGGAACTACCATGATCCAAATCGAAAGCTCTCCCGAAGTGCCAATCGATGCAGTCGTTGTTCACGATGAGGAAAAAGGGAACGAGCCTGACACATTCAATGTTCAAAACTCACCAAAAATTTCCCACGAGCCTGTCAGCGTAAAAATCAATGGAAAAAACGAAAAGGCTGAGGCTGTTCAGGTTGAGAGCACGCCCGAATTACCCCTCGAATCGGGCGACGCAACTGCGTACCATGAAGCACAGATCTCTGTGACAGAACACATTTTCGAGTCGACCTTCCCGCATGGAAAGATAGCTGCCTCCGACAATGGCAAGGCAGATGTTGAAGATGTCCAAATTCAAACTGCTCACAACCCCGCAACCGTGGGAGAAAGTTTAAATGACGAGAGTGTCCCCGACACTCCACATGAATCAGATGCTTCGCCTGGGACTGTGATGGATATGGTTCAAGAGGGCCTGTTGCCAAAAATTTCTCCGGAGCCTACCAATGATTCCCCCCTCAGGTTGTCGAGGAACCAGAAGAGAAAGGAAAAAAAGCGACTGCGGAAACAAAGGAAGAGAGAGGAAAAGGAAAGGAACCAGAAAAAAGAAGCCGAAGCACAGCAGCAGTCCAGTAAGGCATGTCTCGAAGATCACAACAGACATCATGCCCAAGAGGCCTCCGCGAAGCTTTTGCGGAAGAACCAATCGTCTGTCTCTGCGCAGGTGTCAAGTAATGGACCGCCAGCAAAAGACCCCGAGCCCAGGAAGGAAAGGAAAAGGAGAAAGCAGGAGTACAGACTACAACAGAAGAGAGAGCGGAAGCTGCAGAGGAAATATTCTACATTCCAACATGATAGAGCCCTTGTCGAAGATGCCCATAGCTCAGCTGACGAGCTTCCAGTTGAGGCAACAGCTTTCCACCTGCACGAACGCTGCGATGACGGTGGGAACAGAGTGCCCAAAACACATGACGAACCAAAAGCTCAGCTCTCCATATCACGTCAAACTCCTGAACGTGAGGGTACCGTGGCTGGAGTGCCGATGCAGATCTCAACTCCCCGGCGCGATCGAACTGTGGCCAAAGGGCTGATGCAAGTCTCGACCCCGACCTCTCAGGGCACTCCTGGCTCCCAGTCAAAGTATGGGCCCTTGTCACCTGATCCGAAGGAGTGGAGCCTGGATTTTTGATTTCCAGTGATTTGCCAGGGGTGACGCCCAGCGATGAGGTCAAGTCTAAATACTTCCATGCAGCCCCGACAACCACTATCCCTGCCCGTACAACATCTCCAAAATCCAGCACAGCATCACACTTACCCGCCATGTTGCTACCAGAGACGACTCGGCAAATTCTGGACGAGTTGAACCTACCATACGATTTTTTATCATTGGACTCCTCTTTAAGCGATCCGCCCAGCGATTTTGGTCATGATCTTGAAGACGACATCTCTTTGTATCCAGACTCCAAAGTGTGTCCTTCCAAGAGTCCACATTTCCAGCCTCCAACCGCCAATCTGGACCCCCAAACCCCTGTCAAGAGCACCAAGTTTCTTGACCCTGAAACTTCCAAGTTATGGCGACCCAAAATAGCCAAAAGATCTCCCTACTTTCCAATAGCTCCAGCCCCTGCCATATCTTGTCTCCCGTTCCCCCCTATCGATGCCCCGTCTTTTGGTCTTGTCCAGGAACAGCTTGCACACGAGCCATTCAAGTTGATTATTGCAACCATTTTCTTGAACCGAACGCGGGGCGGGGTTGCGTTACCCGTCTTGTTTAAAGTCTTCGAGCGCTACCCCACCATTGAGGCTATCGCTTCTGCGGACCTGGCAGAATTTGTCTCTATGATCCATTGTTTAGGCTTCCAGAATCAACGCGCGAAGAAATGCATCGCCATTGCACAACTATGGGAGACCGATCCACCAGCCAAGAACAAACGCTACCGCAAGCTACACTACCCCCGGAAACTGGATGGTCGGGATATCACAGCCGATGAATATATTGATGATGAGGACCCGCGAGCAGCCTGGGAAATTGCCCATCTACCCGGAGTCGGAGCATACTCCTTGGACAGTTGGCGCATCTTCTGCCGAGATGAACTGCGAGGGCTAGCTACGGATTGGAAAGGAACGGATGCAGCCGCGCATGGCTTTGTTCCCGAATGGAAATCCGTTCTCCCCCAGGACAAGGAATTGCGAGCGTATCTCACCTGGATGTGGCTCAAGGAAGGCTGGGTTTGGGATTGTCACTCGGGCGATTTGACCCCGGCGGGGGACAAGACGCTAAGAGCAGCCCAGCGGGAGGGCGTGGCGCACGAGGAGGATGGGAACTGGGTGTTGCAGACATCCCCGGTCAAGAAAGCGCTGAATGGATTGCACGCGATGGACTGAGCACGTTTGTGGATGTGATATGATATTCTGAGCCAATCTTTTTAGTTAATGATACCCTGAACTGCCTTTCCCTAAACTCGTCTAGATCACATCTCTCATCTCTGTACTCTGGTCTACTCTCGTCAGGTGACCCCCGTATATACCCCGACCTCGGGTGTCGTCCTAATGTTTCAGCCTTCGGGTTGAATCGTCCTAATCTCCCAAGAAGCATCGGGCTTCCATGCAGCTCCAGCATCCACACCAGTAGAGCTGGGCCCAAAAGGATTGTGTCTGTTGGCCTCCTAGCAAGTCGGTCCCATCCCTTCTCGTTCTTGCCCTCATAGCGCCTCATGCACCGTACCTGCAAAGAGCCGCGCTTATTTTACTATCTTAGTCGAGTTCAGCTCGATCGATCGCCCAGGAAAATAAAGCCCATCCATCTACGGAATGCCGGAGCCCTTCCCGCGGCCCTCGTGCGATCGACGCAGGCGCTGTGCCTCCCGGATTTAAGCGACCAGTGAAAACTCACAACTGCCCAACTCAAGCGCCAGGCAGCACGCGCAGGAGTTGGAGACGAAAATAGGATCACGTCCTCCTCAGTGGCGGTGCACATCCCCCCAGCCTTTTTGACTCGAGGGTTCGAATGCACGGACAAGACTACGAAGTACACGGACTGCGACCGATGAACCTGCGGGCCCAGGGCGTCCTGAAGGGATCCACCTCGTGCGGCTACCGCTACGGCGACGATTTCTCACGAGTCCGCCATGTTTTTCCCGGTGAGACCTAACAGCGTAAAGAGCCGGAAGCCGAAGTCCTCCTCCACTTCCAACAACAAACATCAGCAGCAACCAGCGAAGCGTTCGTCCCAAGGACGGACCTCCCGCACGTCAACCAAGGAAACCGAGCCCGAAGAATCCACGGCTCGCTCCTCCACCTCCTCGACCTCCCACAGCGCTCCCCCCCGCCGGTCCTCTATGCCAGGCCTCGACGCCGCGAGCCGGTTGGGAACAGCCTCGTTCCTGGAATCGAGATCCAGCCTCCCATACCCTACCTTCTCGAAAGCGCACAGCAAAGAGGATGTCCGCCACCGCGATATCCCCACACCAGACCCGACCGACCTGACAGACCACAAGGATAATGGGGAGGCCAATGGGACGAGTCACAACCGCACCGAGAACCACCATGCCCCTCCCAGTCCACCCCTGACTGGTCTGGATCAAGAGTCATCTCAGAGGGGCACTGCAGTCGGCAGGGAGGATGATAAAGAGTCAGAAAAGCCGAAGACGAAGAAGACAAACATAAAGATCAGGACCGAGATTAACAGGTCGTCGTCGAGCCTCCGATCGAAGAAGGATGAATCAACCAAGTCCAGCAAAACGGCGCGGGCGGACACTCCCAAGTCGAAGTCGTCCAAGACCGAGAAGGAAGCGTCGTCGCCTCGAGCCAGCCACAAGCCATCGAAGACGAAGCTCTCCGATGAGAAGAAGCTACCTAAACGATCGAGCCGCTCTACGATGTCGCCCTCGCAGTCAACGGTCCGCGATGCAGGTGCAGAGTCGGCTCCTGGATCTGATGTCACTTCCATTGCTCCCAACCAACAATATACTGCATCTCGAAAACCGATGACCCCGCCCATAAAACCTCCCTCTCGCAATCAGACGCGGTCTGCTGCGTCCCACCGCCGCACTCCCAGCGACGACTCACTCGATTATGGGAGACCCGTCATGCCCGGTCAAGGATTCGATGCGCCGCCGCCGCCTCCGCCCCCACCGGAGGTGCCCGTCTCCATCCCAAGGGTAGACTACTTACTTCAACATGGCGGACTAGATCATCGGGTCCCGCGAACATTACTTACCGGGCCAGCTACGTCCGATCCCTTCTCCCAGTCAGCAACTCAGCCTCAGCTGGCGGCTGCCAAGGTTTTCGATCCGTTCAATAACCTTCTCGATAACTACCAAAAGGTGATGAGCAAAAGTGGGTCTTTGGCTGTGGCGACAGGTTATCGTTCAGTGGCACGCCGACTTCTCGACCGTCTGGAGGCTGTTTTCGCACGTGATATTTCATCGGAGCCATGCAATTGCCTTATGTGCGAGCGTGAAGCTATGGAGAATCGCCCGGAGGGAGTCAGCTGGGGAGAGGTGTTGGAACTGGTGTCTGGTCGCCGAGAGTTACCTATGTGGCCGCCTTTTATGATGGTTGCATCCACGGTGGAGGCCAGAGTGCCTGGTGAAGAGCACATTCCTATGCAGAAGCTCGACGTCGATGTTCCTGAAGAATACCGTGATCATTTTATTCGTCAATCTCGCAAAACCAAGGTCGCGGTGGACAAATGGCTCTCTGAGCAGACAGATTCCGCGAGCAGCGCGCCAGAAGAAGTGGACGATGAGACCCTGACTTTTGCAATGCTCACACATCTTGAATCTCACCACCGCTCGCTGTTTTGCGCTTTGCTTGGCATCAACTCCTCGACTCCTGTCCCGCGATCTGGTGAGGAGAAACCCCGACAGCGACCCTCGCCGCTTATTTCGTCATCTCTGGCAATCCAGCGTCTGTACCGCCTACCATCTCTCCCGCGCGACCCGGAGACCGCCATGTTCATGCTGAATAACCCTGGCCTGCATCACGTCTTGGCAACCCTTGCCGCCATCACTGATGACGAATGGGAAATTCTTATATCCGGTCGCTTTGATGGTTTCCTCCGCAGTGGTGTCGAAGATGCCATGACCCCTACCCATCCTCGACGGAGTGGCAGTTGCTCTACTACGCCCTTTAGCACGGGAGGAATCTCGCGCGGACCGACGCCGAACTACATGGACGGTAGCTTCCGACCAGCCAGCCAGCCCAACGGAGCTCCATCGTCCCCCGCATCGTTCGGAGGACCGATCGCGTTGGATGAGGAAACTGAAATTGCTGCTCTGGCGGAAATCGAACGCGACATCTTCCTCGGCATGGAGGCACTGGAAGATGCTTTCGAGGCGCTCCACCTCAAAGCCGAAGTTGTCCGCCGAGCGCTGCGCGAACGTGGCGCGGGACTGTCCGTCGCGAACCAAAGTCGACGCGGATCTTACGTTGAAGCACGTCTGGGAACGCCGGCCTCGGGTGTACATGCATGGGAGAGCGGCACGGAAGATGATTTCCTGGATGATGACCGCTCCTTAGCCCCGGATGACTCTGCCAGTAATATCAGCTCCAACCGTCGGCGCCGACCTAAGAGGCGCACGGAGCGCCGGACACCTGCTCCGGTAGAGGAAGAAGACGAGGAAGAGGCGCCGGTGCAGTCTAGTCGCCGTGACAGCCGAAACTTGCGGCGGAGGTAAATTCGGCCAACGAAAACAACGGCCTTCAAGTTGGACGGAAGCATCCAAAGGGATGTTTCAGGGTAGCATGCGAGCGGGATATAGTATTGCATCGGGCGCTGCTGGTTGATGAAATGATGATGATACCCACCTCCCCCCCCAATTCCAAGTCTCCCCATAACCCACCGGCCTCATGCTCAGTGGCGTATTGCCGCGTATGACTTTTTGTCAGTTTGTTTGGTCTCTGTTAGCTTGCTTATTATGATTGATGAATGCCACGAGTCGTGCCTTTTGTGAATTGTTAACGTAAAATGACCATCGAGAGAAATAACCATCGAGTTTCTGTATCCAAACCTATTGATAAGACCCATCGTAAGGTTGAATATACCTCCAGGGCATGTTCCTGCACCCCTCAGTAACAAGGCCGAGGGATCCAACCCCCCGGTCCATGGTGAAAACGCAATATGAATAACAAAAATCAATTGCATACGGAGTCCCCAATTACAAGAGAGGGTGACAAGGCTGCCGGCCTTAGCACCTTCAGGCCTCCCAAATCACTCACCGGAATGTGGCAACATCTAGAACCAACTCGACTTAGGTAGGTACGTGCGAGAGCTCACGCAGATACAACCATAAACCGGAATGACTTGCGCCGACATCAGAAGTGCCAAGATAATGATTTTGAGGGCTTCACAATTCCTTCGCTCGGACAAAATACTCCCGGGCGGTGACTCAGTATGTAGACGACTGGGTCGCACACGGTCTGTTCACGCCGGCGAGCGTGCTAAGGAGATTCTTAGGAACGAGTACATGGGATGTGAATTCAGAGGTCCCCGAAAGGACTCTCAATTCAGTTGCTACTGAAGATGCGACGGGGATGAAACGCATCAATGGAGAAGCATTCATCAGGTCCTCTCATATTCTAAAGCCTTCCCCAATCCCATGATGTTAGACCAATTCTTTTAGAGGCATGCATTTACTTTTCTACTTATCCATTTTGCCATGAGCACTCGCAGGCACTTAACCTGACTGAATAACTGGAGGACTGCTTTGGTCGATCCTATACAGAGGTGTGACGGCATGGGCATGCGCCTCGGCTTTGTGGCATGCGCCTCGGCTTTGTGGCATGCGCCTCGGCTTTGTGAAGATATAATCCCGATCGGAAAAGACGGGCCGTTGTGCAGGTCATGCTATGCCACCCCTTCGGAAACCCCGAGAACGCCCCACAAGTTGATAATTGTGAGCTCGGCCTAGTCGCTATCTATATGAGCCGAGCGTTTTTGCAACACGCCGATGTTTAGATTAGTTGGCCAATGTTCGACGAGAGTCGCAGGGGGCGGTATGTGATAGGCCAAAAATTTGGGGTTTTCTGTTTTAGTATCACGGGGGTGAACCAATAGTTCGGTGCAGCTAAATCTCCTGGATGCATTATGCCATGTCATTTGTTGTCTCTGGAGTGAACCGCCTCGTCCCGAGGCAGGTGTGCTTGATAACCGGCGATAGTCTACCCCTATTCTCTCGCAAACCCACACAATCTTCGAAAACAACCCAGTTCTTTGGCTGTTTCAGGTTTCTTCCCACTCGCCACCGCCCGGTCAGCACATCGGAACTAGTGGCAATGATTAACGAAGAATCGGCTTGTCCTTGTCTAGCAAAGACTCTAAAGCACAGGACATGGTACCTTCTGGCACATGTATCCCGCGTCTAACTAAAGATGGTCTTTCAGCCAAAGCATGATGGCTACCGGCATATTCTTTCTCTTTTCGAACTAGGTTTTCCATAGTATTCCGGGGGGGGGAAGTCTAGCAGGCTCTACGTGGTCGCTGACCGGCGACGATATGTCTATTCCGGATCCAGCTGCTCTGATGCTACAAATGGTCATCTGCAAGCAGCCTTCAAAGGGTTAAGTACAGGATGGGCCACTCTCTGTGCTGACCTCTTGGCGAGGCAACTTTTCGATGGAGTATCGACCAGGAAGTGGAATTGAGATCTGCCACGGAAACGGCAACTCCACCACGGAAGTTGACTACGGCCCGGACGATATTTGGATCCGAGATGAGTTGGGCCGACTTGGCCCACTCCGCACGGTCACGCGACAGCTCGGACCATGACTGGTTGCGCAGAAACTTCCTTCAACGCAAATATTGAACTTTCTATATCATCAGATAAGCCATGAAGACAGACCAATATGAGTACCGTTCATGCCACCATTGAGCAGATCATAGCAGATCTTCTCCGACAGTTGCTCGCGGTGCCGACGAAACTCTAATATCTGCAATACGGGTTGATAATCTGGGGGAAAAGGCACCCGCTCGAATGATGAGCCGTGCGCCACGGGCCTAGGCTTTGCGTTCCACTCAGCATGATGGTGGAGTATGCGGTGCCGTTGTTTTGCAGCGGGTCATCCCATGTAAGCACATCTTGGAACACAGAGATACTGGCCGATAGAGCACCGCTAGTGAAGGTACGAGGACATGTTTACATGGTCCAAATCGGAAAACGGCTGTGTCTAAGATGGAGATCGGCAGGTAATGCTGCATGGCGTTGGTGGCTGATCGATTAGCCACGGACTATGGCCGCCATCCAAGACAAGACTTCGGCAACTGCAGTGCATGATAAGCGCCGAAAGAATCCAGCCCGAGTATGTGGTCTTTGGGACAAGACCTTCCCATCATCTTCAAATCTTCTTATCCAACTTTCTTTGCCCCCGCCGAAGATCATGACCATGGCCCCGATCGGTGGAACTGGCCCTAGAGATGGGTACCTTCGACAGTGGAACTGAGCGGGAGCTGCCAGCGGAGTCTCAACTAGTTTGAGGATACTATTGGGACCCGAGGTATCTGGAATTTTCGTCTCCGCGGGGAGGAGGATTGACGGCACGGAAAGAAGATTGTGAGGGGCCTTCCCGGCAGTGTTCCGCCAATAGCAGTGCGATGTGGCAACTATGCAAGAGACCCAGACCAGCCTTGGTACAAAATCTCGATGACATGTTTTTCAGTTCCACACTCATAGAATTCTGATCGGCAGCCCGGGCAACGTGAGCTAGCAGGAATAGGCAGGAGAAGGAGATCCAGGAGATGCCCTACGGCCTTGGCCCTGGGGAGAACCATGGCTTCGCGGTCCCTCGACCAAATAAGCATCGACCAGCCTCAGCGCCAGCGGCACGCCCGACAAGATATCTGGTTCGCTGTCACTAAACGCCCCTGAAAAACCTCTGTGAACTGGCAGTTGGCGGGAGAGGCCGCCTTGAACTCCGCGACCCCCGCAACTGTACCACTTAGTTGCCGTTGAATGGAGAACAACGACGCAAGAAATCCGGCCGGGGCACACATTCCCTGGCTCCTGAAGACATGGGAAGTGCAACGCAACCTCCACGATCGCTGCTAACGGCTCTCGAGCGAGACGGTGCCAACGTGTACTCATCCTTCGCTGGCCAAGGGTAACCGTGTCCCCATCCACTCACCGCGCTAGTCAGCCGGCCGACTCGACGCGAATCATATCCCGTCATGGTCGACGATCTTTTCGTTGATCCTCGGTACACGGCCGACATATGTTCCGCCTGGGTTGGTGGGTCTTCGGGAGGCCCATGGACACACACTCACATATGTTGAGACTAGCCAGTGAAAGCTTCCCGAGGGCATTTCAGCCGACCCCGGGCTCCATTACTATGCGGGGATGCGCGCGGAGTGCGCAGACCGCACTTTCGCTCCCTTGACACAACTACTGCTCCATGCAGCCAATATCAAGTTTCGCCTCTTGGACGGGGTACGCATTCGCATTAGTATCGCTATTTCGCCCAATCCACCCGAGGCTCAATGACGCAGCCCCAAATCTAGGCGGAGTAACTCGCGAGCCGAGAGTGGGTAGCAGGTTTTCAGTCAAGAATTGACCGCACCGGACGCCCAGGCGGGCAAGGTTCCATTCGATGGAGTCGCTGGGGAATCAGCCGTGTTTCCGGTCTGTTCCTGGTGGAAGAAAGCTTATTCTGGGCCTCGGTCGTACCGCCGCCAGCTCAATATTACACTATTGCTAGCTAATCCTTTATTTTCCGACGCAATGTACCATGCGATCGACATTATCACTGGAACCGTGCCTTGGCAGGACAAACTGCAAGTCCGAGGGAACTACTGGGAACTACTCCATACTGGACCTCCCCTGGGGCAGTCGGGCAACGGAAAAGAACCGATTCTGCAGGGTTCCTACAATGGACCAACCCCCTGGGTCATCGCTCTTGCCCTGTCGTTGGCCACTGGCCATTTAGCTCTGTTGCAGCTTCGGAGCGGCCGTGGACGATCAACGCCCCTCTGTACTCGGCGCGGAGGACCTAATCCAATCCAGCAGGCTGAAAACTTCGCTGCGCACTTTATTCCTTTGACGGCATGGCCACGGGCGTTGGAGCTCGTGCACGCGAACCTTACCCGTGTCTTCCGCTAGTGTTCCAGAAGCGTCGCCCCTGCGTCGGAAAATCAGGACTAGGACCTCTAGCTAAACCGCGGCCTTTTATGAGTGGTGGGACCCGCCACTCCTCACGGCTCACTGGGTCAGCGCGGAGAGAAAGTTTGTGGCGTGGTACAGAGTATGGCCACCTCTCCCAATGCGCAGCCGTCCAACGCCTTTTCCCAAAATTCGGCTGATTTGGATGATATGCAGCCGCTTCTGAGCGGCGCTTCATCCTTTTCGGCAGTTACTCCATGCCGCGCAGAGCACCGCTCAGAGCACCGCTCAGAGCACCGCTCGGACGGTGATCGCGAGTGGATGCGGCCGTCTTGACCAAAACCTAACCCGGTCTACTACCAGTACTCGACCCTCTCGTGGCAGAGACTTCGTGTTCTCCCCACCCCTGCCCCTAGTCAAACAGGGGTGTGGTCGCCTAAAGTGGGGACAATTTTACTCAATTCTAGCCTTTGCAAGACTATGAGTCTTTTGCCTTAGTTACGGGTACCAAGCTCATTCTCCCCACCGTGAGGCCCTAAGGGAGATGATCCCTTCAAGACCCAGACCAAACGTCCCAGTGCGTGGAGTGTCACTCTTGACAGGAGAAGTCTTGTGGAAACAAACTTCCCATTATATTTCCCCCGACCTTATTGGTTTTAGAGTTCACACTGCCTGACAAGGGCCTTTGTGTGGATTCCTTTCCATTGTCTCGGATGTAGTTGCGAAAAAGCATTGGTAACCGCATCCTGAACCTCCGTTCTTTTGTTGCCGCCTCCCCCAACCCCCTGTCGTTCTTTTTACCCCCGTCTGGTCAATTTATGGGTGAGGCAGAAACGACTACGCCGCTACCAAACCATCCGATCACATTTCTGTCAGCACTTGCGGTACTGGCATTTATCTGTTGCACTTGGGCCAAACTTTGACACCCGAGAAAACCTCCGCACGGCGTGGTCCAACTTGCTTTTTCCACAGCTAGGTGATGGTGATAGGGCGTGCATCGGGCTCCTTATTCCCATAAAGATCTTCGAAAATGTCTGGCCTTGTCCTTTTGAGTCTCATGCCGAGAGGCCCGTCATCCGGGGGCGAGATGCTTCCCGGATTGACGAGAGATGTGTCGCTTGATATCGACCCATTGCCCTTGGTCCAGCGGAGAGGCCTCATAGCAGTCTCGGTCATGGCTTGTCTCTCCTTTCTTGCCACATTGGGACTACTTTCATTCATCACTTACCGCCTCATTTTCTGGCGGTCAAACTATCAGAGATACATCGGTTACAACCAGTATGTCATTCTGATCTACAACCTGGTCTTGGCAGATTTCCAGCAATCCCTCGCCTTTTTGATTTGCATAAAATGGATTGCTACCGATAAAATCAAGTCCGGCACGGCTGCATGCTTCCTACAAGGTATGTGGCTTCAAATTGGAGATCCCGGCAGTGGTCTTTTCGTGCTTGCTATTGCATTCCATACGTTTTTGTTGGTTGTCTGGGGTCGAAAGATGTCCTACAAGGTGTTCGTCTCCTTCGTCTGCGGTGTTTGGGCATTCATTGCTATCATTGTGATCATTCCCATCGCCGCATACGGGGCAGATGTCTTTGTGCCCTCTGGCGCCTGGTGCTGGATCAGTGAAGATTACGAGACCGTTCGTCTCTGGACTCATTACATCTGGATTTTCCTGGCCGAATTCGGTACTGTGTGTTTGTACGCGGTGATGTATTTTCAACTGCGACGACAAATTGCTGCTTCGTCGATCCTGGGCAACAGTCAGCTGGAAAGTCTCAAGCGTCTACGACGGGTGGTTGGCTACATGACAATCTATCCCATCGTCTATATCATCCTCTCTCTTCCCCTTGCTGCTGGACGGATGGCTACAGCAAACGGCGACGCCCCCTCGCTCACCTTCTTCTGTTGTGCCGGTAAGTACAATGTTGCCAAGATTGTCATACCATGACGGTGAGTGATGATAGCTAACGCATCCCAAGGCGCCATTATTACTAGTTCCGGTCTTGTCGACGTTATCCTATACACTCTCACTCGTCGTAACCTCATCATCGATTCCGAGCCCAGCCAAGACCGCTCCTACAACAAGTTCGCTAGCAGCAAGGGACGCCATGGCGAAAACCATCTTACCACAATTACTGCCGATCCCAGGAATCGAACCAGGCTTGGTGGGACCATTCAGGACCACCATGAGCGCGATGGCTCGACCGATAACATTGTCCAGCCGGGCGTCGAGATGGGCCCAATGGGCAAGGTGTACCAGGAGACCACCATCGAAATTACCACCGAGCCCGCATACCCGTCAGAAGGCGCCAGCGAGCGCTCCAGCAAAGACGAATTCAGGGAGCCCTCATCTCGGATGTGGAAACGATGATCTATTTGATTCAAAGCGATGGCCTTTCTACGAGATGCACGCCTACTACATTGGTTGATGCTCCCTTCTAATAATGTTCCCCTCCTTGACCTTTCTTCACGACGTTTCACTTGACCGATGGCTGCTGTCCTTCTCTTACCCACACACACATTTAACCCTTCTCCTTTCTATAACTTTTTACCCTGACCCTGTTCATTTCATGACGGAACTTTGTACATACTTACAACCGGGAAAATATGCATCTCATTATTATGCTTGGGAATGGCAAGGACAAAGAGGATTCCCATCTATATCTACTTCTTCTGAACAATATATTCATAAATCAAACATCAGTCTATTGACACACATCTTATAACATTGCCGTCGAATAAAGCAAATAACCAGAGGATACGCAGAGAATGCTATGAATTATTGGACTTTTGAGAATTCATACCTAGCACATCTACCAGAAGCACGTCCTCCAAGGAAATGGATCTGGTTCGGATACAAATGCAGTGACCTTGACATATATGATTTGGACTGTGTTATGGCTCCCGCAAGTACGTGTGCAAATTGAGAATAAGCTCGCTAGCTTCGAGCACAGATACGACGAGGTGAGTCTCGGGGGCGTTCTTTTGCTGAATACTACAATTGCTGAGGCCTTGGGACTATACAGTTTGCTCCCGGACTTTCCCGCGATCAGTTCCAGACGGTGGCGTCATAATTTTCCATCTACTAATCTACTGATGGCTGAAATGCGTGCAGCGTCTACGAAAGTAATCCTGGGGGGCCCTCGCAGACTTACAAGCAGCAGCGACACATACATTCTTTTCAAGGAGCGTTTCCTTATGACAGTTTTGCACTATACGGTTCTGATCTGATCTTTTGCCGGCCTCTCGCCTTCCGTCTCAGCGTTCATGTGTTACTTTTTCATCAAGCAGTGTCTCCAGATCGTGTTCTGCGCCTCTCGCTACCGGCATCCAGCGCTTCCTATGCCTCAACCCGTCTGCTTTTCTGCCAGAGTGCCATAAAGCGTTACCCACTTTAATAGATATAGATATATCAAAGATCCTTGCGGAAGAAAACTCGATCAAAGCCATCTTGGTTCTTTCTTTCAGTCTCAGAGAACCCCATTTTCAAATAAACTCCAAGATTTTCATACATCTTGACGTTTGTGTAGAGCGTGACCGCCACACAATTCTGCGATCGCGCAACATCCTCGGCGCAGTTCATCATAACTCGCCCGTATCCATGGCCCTGGGCCGAGGGATGGACCACTAAGTTGTTGACTTTCATGGAGTTGGAGGCTGGGTCAAATTCAAGGACAATTGATCCAACCACCAGGTTGTTCTTATCCTTTAAAACAAGAACATTCTGAGTGTGGATGATTTGATAGTAGTCTTCGTCCATGGGGGCTGGCCGTTTGCCGATACGTTCAATATATTTTGAGTATGCGGCTTCAACCATTGACTGGATAATTGGTACATCTTCGGCCGTTGCTTTGGTTATGGTATAATTCTTGTTGGATGCGCGGGACGGATCGACCATGTTGCTCGGCGAAGTTGCGACGCGAAGGCAAAGGACGGAATTGAGTCAAAGCGAAATATATCAGCGATGGACAGTTTCTAAGCCTTAAAGGCTTCAGAAGTTGAAGGCGGCGCTGCAATCCAATTTTCGTATACACTCGGGGTAATGTCCAGTCGCATGTTGTGAGTCTCGTACAGGCGACCCTCGGGAGACAGCCGCAAGGTGAGTCAGACTGTGGATCGCCGCCCTCGCGATCTCACCAATCAAGCCTAGTTGGATTGACGAACGTTAGCTGTAGTAGTCCTTGTCCAAATAGCCCGAAAGTTTCCAAACATCTTTCGATTGGATCTTATTCTATAGCTGGGACATGTAATGCCCGTCCTTGGAATGATAGCGGAATCTTCGAGCTTCCGCCGAACCAGCCTCTCCGGCTATGATAGCATTTCTCCCACAGCATTGTGGGCAACATGGTAGTAAATACTGTTGAATGGAGCAATTTCTCCAGCAATATTTTCCGTGCTCAGAATTGGCTGACCACGTGATGTCGGGTTCATCAGTATTGATTTTTTTTTTATCTTTATTTATATTTCTTTCTATCTATAAATAAATATAGAGAAGATAGCCTAATTATCTCCTATTACTTCTAGATCTATAATTAGTTTATTCTTAATAGCTAATTAGAGGGTCGGGTGAGGTTTAAAATTTTTGAGCCGACCCTCGCGAGGGTAATTCCGAGGTCTAGAAATACCGAGAATTGGGGAAATTGGGGTGGGCACCCCGTGGGGAGGATGCAGGTCAGCTGGACATCAGAAAAACCTCACCTGGACATTAGGCGGCCTATCTTACTAGTTAGGCTAGACCTAACCGCAGATTATCAAAATTACTAGAATTATAATACTAGACCTCTCAGTTAATTTTTACCCTATAGTATACTATATGCTCTCTAAGTACTCTTTAAGTACTTTTTAAGTACTTCCATTCTATATTAGTCAAGCTTCCTTATAAGTAATATAGTATAGAAGCGCTTAGAGAGTGCTTAAAGAGTATTGATTAAGTACTTAGTTTTATCTCTTTTATATCTTAGATAATACCTTAGGAATAACTATAATCTAGTAACTTGAATATTTTATGTGCGTATTGTTTATAATTAAATCTGTATCAGTACAGTAAATCTCGCTTATCTAGAAAGCTTACCTGGACATTTGGCGGACTTTTTTCCTAAAAGGTTATAGTTTAACGTCCGCGAACCTTATTTGATGTCCAGGTGACCTGTAGGCTCCGCGGTGGGGCGCCTGGTCGGTTGTGTTTCATTTTCGGTATACTAAGACCTCATACCAACCCCTTGAGCGTCGAATTACGAAGTCGTAAAATACTGCATTTACTGTACCATGGTCTCGAAACACGCTGAATACGTATCGCCTAGTATGCGATCATGACGAATTAGATCGAATGGAATCAAAACCAGGATGACAAGATTGGCTGATTGAGGAAGAAAATCAGGGGGGAGAGATGTTGACGATATCCCTATGCGTCCGATACCCAGCTATTACGAAGCCTAAATTCATGACTAATCCCTAATTACATACAAATACCTAACAAATGTGGGCCCATGTGTGACCTACTGTATTTGGGGCTTGGAATCTAAATTACATTGTATTTTATAGCAATATAGTAGAATCTTCTTTTGATATCTTTAAATTTAGATATATTGCTCTTAATACCTTTAAGAGCATACAAAATAATTCTTAAATCAACATATAGTCTGGTTGTATGTTCTGGTGCTGGCGGCGTGGGCGGGTTGCCGGGGTGGGTGAACGGTTGGGGTTTCAGCAATTCTCCCAGCTCTGGATTATCCGTGCCTTCGCCCACCCACACCGCTTCGCTAGTGGGTGCGCCCGGTGTTACCGTCATCCCTGTTTTACCGTTACATTTTGATGAAAACCATCGATATTTTAACACATTAGCTAATTATCAATAAAAAAAAACTCTCCCTGTCGCGTCGTAGCCTCCTCAGCCTCAGCTGCCTTACGAATAGCTTCCTCAGGCCTCTGTGTGGGTTTGTAGCTATAGACCTTTTCGAACTGTCTGGCTAGTTTCCTCTCCTCTATAGCTATATCTTTCGCCTTCCTAGCCTGAATTGATCGATTTGTATTATTAACTTTTAATATACCTGACTGGCTAAGCGGCTTAACCTGTCGCCTAGTTAATTGACGTCGTAGGGGTGCCTGCGCGGCTCTGATTCGCTGGATTGTATCCTAGGTTATATGAAGCTCTTTAAGCTTCTCTCGCTGGTGGTCGAAGATCTTAGTGATATCTCGCTGTATCTTTGGCAATAATGTATTAAGATATTTGGTTATCTTTGTCTGGTTCTTTAGGAGTGCTTTAATTGATTTTGGTGGGGTAATTTCAACACTGGACGACGAGAGGGCGGTTGGTGGTGGTGGTGGTAATGGTGTATGGAAACTATGCGACCGAAGATTAGACTAAAGCTTAGGGATTTCTATCTGATTCGATAGATTCGCTACGATCTAATTACTATTAACCGGCTAAATGTCTCGATCTTTAAAGGATTCGCGGATGATTCGTTAGGTAAACGCCCTTGATCGTATAGGGCTAATAATTCGGAGGAATTCTGATTTCCTGTAGGGCTAGCTACCCTAAAACGATAGTTTATTATTTGTACGTCGAAATTGCTATTTATAATTTAAAAAGGGCTTACTATCTAGTAGCTAGTAGAGATGTGTCGAATAGGGTAAGAAGCCGAATAGTATAATATTATGAGCCTTATATTTTTGTATAAATTCGAGGGTAAGATGCGAACTATGACCGTCGAATATTAGATGGCGCTTTTCCCCCTTCTTAATGCGGCTATTAGTTAATTTAATAAACGAATTTAGCTAGGTAATAGCTAAATTATCGGAAATCTAGCTATTCGGTGATGTAGTAGTGATAGTGTTTCGTGGGAGATTATCGCTGCTATTAAACTAATACTCTATAAAAACGCTACTTTTAAATATGAATAGCGGGTCTATCTGCTAGCTATCGGCGGCGATATATTCGATAGTAGTGATAGTCTCGCCTCGCTTAGATTTAGTAAGGTTAGGGTAAGATGATTTATAACTAAGGACGTTTCGCGATTGCCCTTGACCTAGTTAGAAGCCGTATTTATCGAAGTTATATACTAATCGTATAGAGATATTATAGAGTAGAATCGTAAGCTAGTTATACTAATACTAAAGAAACCCTACGTCTTTAGCTTAAATTCGCCTCAGTTCCTTAGTCTTCTACTTTACCGGTACTAGATTAATATATGTAGGGATACGTACTATAAAGCTATACGCCTAATTCTTGCCGACCTATCTATCTTAGTCTGTACGCCTAAGCGCCTAATTTACCTACGTCTCTATAACCTACGTATTAGGGGGGAGGTTCCAGTTGTATATCTAGTGTATCTAGGCCACCAAGGCTCTCTCTTGATAGCTTGTAAGGGCGTTTCTGCGTGATTCGGTAGGTGTAGTGGGCGTTATTGCCTTTTTGACGCGGTCGGAGAGGGTAGTGCGAGATACGTCGAATTCACGCGTAATCTTAGCGATATTTGGTTTCTTTTGGGCTAGAGCGATTTTGATAGCCTCGGCTAGGCAAGCTTCGTCGAAATTGTCCTTTTTAGGCATGTTGTGTGGTTGAAATAGCTGATGGTAGGCGAGGCGATAGAAAATGACGGTAAAACAGGGATGACGGTAACACCGGGCGCACCCACTAGCGAAAGCGGTGGGTGCGCGGAGGCACGGATACGTTATCTCAACTCTCCGTCTGGGCAAGGCTTGTTTTTGCTTGTCGGCCAACTTCCGAAATCTCGTTCCTTTTTTAGGCAGATTGGGAAGTCCAAACAAAAGGAGGAGGGGAAGATGGGGAGAAGAAGAAAGCGTCAGCGAGCCGGAGATATTTTCTTGTTATCGACTTCTTCCGTTTGCGGTTCTCAATACCTCCCCATCTTCCAACTAGTACCCGGCATTCTAGTTTTAGTCGAGTACGATCGCCATTAAACTCGCCAACCTCCGAAGCAGATCTCTCGGTCGTGTCATCGGTATTGTCGGCCCAGCTATGCGGATTCGTGCGTTTCGGAGTGGTAGGGGTGGTTGAAGATATGGTGGGACATAGAGCTCCGAGGGCTACGAGGTTGTTTACGCACGTAGGCAGGGTGATTGACAACGACAGGGAGGGCAACCGCTTTGAGCGCTTATGTATGGGAAATTGTATAATTAAGGGCTTGGTAGACTTCATGCAGTGGAAGGGCGAAGAGGGGCAGATTTTTCTAAAATAGGCCTAGTATGGCGTGCGAGTTGAGAACTCTGTCGTGCGAAAAACAGTACCCGGATTAGATTCCCCCTGCCGCGGTCGGGCCACCCCAATTACCTCTGAGTATGGTAGACATTGGTCAAGTTTGTCTCTTCTAGCCACCGAGTCAAAGGTGTCTGCGTCAAGCGGCGTCTCTAGCGGGAGGATTGTGAACATTACATGGTGTTTGGGGTGCGCCGCCCGCTTACTTGTGTCACTCGTTTACCGATTATGTTTTCTAAAGGTCGACTTAAACCAACGGAGTAAATCATGTCAGAGCAAGCTAAAACAGTATGGCATTGTATGGCGCTATAAGGGGCTATTTGACCGAGGGGAACAAATTGCATTGAAGAAATGTTGATTGATTCAAGGGGTTAGAAGAGCGTACATACAGTAATACAGTAGTACTCTGTGAACAGGGCTCTTATTACAGTAAATAACCCATCTGGCTCCTCCGACCATCGGATGAAAAGGAGCGTCATTGTTCCAGGGTTAGACGTCAGTGGGGAGCGGGTCCGATCCTAAACTTTAGGACCAGGACCGGACCACCCGGTCCCCATGGTGCTGTTCGGTCCCCCGTGTGGTCCCCCGGAATTTCAAAATTCTACTAAGACCTTCCTATTTAGGCTATATAAACTAATTAGTTAGCTAAAGATACTATATAAACTATATAAACTATACATAAATCATATAATTTTCTATATTTGTCTTATGTGTAGGACCCCACGGGGGACTAGGACCGCAGTGGTCCGGTCCTAAAAAAGTTGGGTTCCTAGCGGTCCTAAAAGTTAGGACCGAGCCTAGTTTCGGTCCCGTCTGGTCCCGGTCCGGTCTGGTTCCTTACGGTTTGCCGAGGTCTAGCCAGGGTACTCGGGACGATAAGCCTTGGTGCCATTTTGACAGTTTGCGTTCACTGAGCCGACCTGTAGTCACACTCGCGGGTTCCACTATTTCCCAACTCTCTTCCGATTTTCGTCTTCTCTTGTGCCAGCCGCTCATCCTACTGCCTAGGAATCTTCTTTTTGCCACATTTCTCACTGCCTTTACACCTGTGAGAGTGAGATACTGATTTTTCTCGCTTGGAGATGTTCGAGAATTACCTTCAATTAGCCCAGATCGCCCTGGTTGTTTGCCCTTCATATGTTGTTTTTGGCTACAATCAAGCAGGTTTGGGGGGACTCTTGAATTTTCCATCCTGGACAGAACAATTTCCTGCGATTGATACTGCCAACACCGTCGGTCACGAAAAAAGCCATCATTCAACTGTTCAGGGGGCCATCGTCGCCTCCTTCACACTCGGTGCTCTATTTGGCTCGCTCAGCTGTGTGTGGATTGGTGATTACCTTGGTCGGAAGCGTACTATCTTCCTCGGAGCATGCGTCTCCATCGTGGGCCAGGTCTTGGAACTGTCCGCTCATTCCTTGCTCCAATTTACTATCGGCAGAGTCATCATCGGCGTCGGAGTGGGATTATTGAGCGCCACGGTACCTGTCTGGCTTTCTGAATGCTCTTCTGCCGACAAACGAGGTCGCAATGTTGTGCTAACGGGGCTCTTTATTGCCCTCGGCTTTGCAATCTCAGAGTGGGTAAACTTTGGCTTTTATCACATTCAGGATTCGGCTGCCTCTTGGAGAGGGTCATTGTCAGTACCACTTCTGTTCTCGTCTGTGATTATTTGCAGCATACCATTCCTTCCCGAATCGCCTCGCTGGCTAGTCCGCAAAAACGAAATCACTGCCGCAAAGCAGGCGCTTGCAGCACTGAAACAAAAACCGGTGGATTCCGATGAGATCATCGCGGAGGTGGCTGGGATTGAGATGTCCCTCGAAGATCACAAAGAGGTCTCTCTCAAGGATCTGTTCGTCATGGGAGAGGATAAACTCTTCTATCGTTTTGCTCTTTGTATGCTGCTTCAGTTCTTCCAGCAGATGAGCGGTGGGACCTTGATTTCGGTCTATATCCCAATCATTTTCGAAAAGAATTTGAATCTTGGTCCCAGCACTGGAAAGATTCTTGCCTCCGCTGCTATGACATGGAAGTTCCTTTCCTGCTTCGTCTGTTTCTTTAGCATAGACAGAATCGGACGACGCGTGGCTTTCATGATTAGCGGAGCTGGAATGTCTCTCTGCATGACAGCAATGGCCGTGTCAAACTCCTTCGGTAGTGACAACCACTCGGCTTCCATAGCCTCTGGGTTTTTCATCTTTTTGTTCAACTTCTTTCTTCCTATCGGATTCCTCGGAGCCAATTTCCTCTACACGACAGAGGTGGCACCAGCGAGTCTCCGGGTTGCGATGCAGGCCATTTCAACCGCAAATCATTGGCTCTGGTAATTACCTTAATCCTTTGTCAAATCTACGTTTGTAAGAGATACTAACCTTACCATTTTCAGGATGTTCGCAGTCGCGATGATGACTCCTGTCGCTTTTAACGATATTGGATATCGTTATTATATCGTCTATGCGGTAATTGCCGGTATGATAGCTCCGACGGTGTACTTTTTCTACCCGGAGACAACGGGCCAAAACCTGGAGGACCTCGACCTCATCTTCCGCGAAGCTCCATCCATCAGGGACGTTGTGAGATTATCGAAGAAACCGCGCGTACGCAGTGAGAGCACGCATACCTCGGATTATAAGGCACAGCTCGAACACATTGATCTGGTGGAATGCTAGCGGAAGCCAAGCTCTTCAACGGCATAAACACTCTGTAGGGGTCGCGTGCTTCCCTCCGCATGGCTGGACGAGCGATCAACACCGGTACTACTTCTCTAGGGTAAGCAGAAAGTGATCTACCGGATCTGAACTTGATTTTATGGCATCGCGGCGGTGAATAAGGCCTGGACGAGTGACTGCAAGAGGCTTTGATACAGGGTATAGGTTGAATATATTAGAGGCTGTTTTGTCTATAAGGAAAACTTACTGTCGCATGTAGACTGCGGCAGAATCCATAAAGCCCATAGCCCAACCCAGCCCAACCCACTTCTGGGCTAGGTTTTGGCCGACGGGTTTGGCCCATTGTGTTCTATGGGCGTTCTATGGGCCTAAACGAGTGCAAACATAGTAGTAGTATTCATACTCGGATCTGTCAAACGTGAGCCCGATTTGCCGGCAGGACACCCTCTTGTCATTCGGTAGACAAGTCAGACTGTATGGAGGAGTCCAAAAACCGTCGGGATGAGTGGGGGAATAAGACCGCTGGACCAAAAATACTCCATGGGCAGGCAACATTCCTAGTTGTTACAGTCAATCATTACTTGGACAAAATGCACCTGCCCGGAGGGCCCGTAGGCCGTCGCTGATGAGGTTCTTTCTCCTGGGACAGATCAGCCTCATGGGTTAGCTTTTTGTGCAGGTGCGGCGCAACCCACCCCCACTAGTTGAGGTATCAACATGTCTGCAGGAAGTATAGTGTATAAGATTCTAATAAATTTTGAGTGGACACCAGAAATGCACTCTTTTTTCCGACCCCTCCAGCAACGATGCCCAGAGCACTACTTTGACGGAACGCCGCGTACGTAATTCAACGTTGAGCCTCAATTTCACGGCATAAACGATCATACAGCATTCACCGGTCGATCCCAATACCCGTGCGGGACCCAACAAGCCTCACGTAAGAGAATCAATACACCTTCTCAGACTGCTGCCTCCACATCTGGGTTCTCACGCATGACATTCAAGGAGAATGCACCATCGGACGCCGACTCTTGCGAAGACAACCTCATGGCCCAAGCAAATCAGCAGCTGGCACGCGAGTTGCTCCAGAGCCAGGCAAGCACGCTCGCAGCATGCCTGGCCTCCCAACATGTCGTTCCCCTTGGCAGCTCTCCTGGTTATGTGAGAATTTGGACGGCAGCAGATGCCTTTCAAGAATTATACCAATACTGGTACGTCTCGATCTCCTTGCATGGACATTCGCTAATCCGTGCAGGAAAGACGCTGTGTTGGAAAGGTATCATCTCAACTGCCAGAACTTCCAGCCTGCCTCTGAGGACTACAGTGATCAACTCTTGATCTTCGTTCCCGACCAGTCTGTCCGCGACTGGCCAGCTGAGGGCGAGCGAAGGCGTGCGCTGGGGCTTCATCAAGTATGAAAAAAGGACCAGTCGAGCCACCATAGCAAACGCGGGCACGCCACTCTCTATTGACGCCGTTGGCTTCACCATCAAGGACGCCCATAACCATCTCGTGGGACATCACGGCGACGGTCTCAAGCTGACTGCGTTGGTCCTCTCTCTAAACGGCTACCTAATGAGCATGGCCCCGGGCTGCTGCATTTAGCGGTTCTAGACGGACGCAGACTCCACATTGATTTCCTGCACTGTGACGCCGTCTCAAAAAGGCTAAAGTAGTCGATTAGACCGACCCTGCACCGGCATGGGAAGGCTACGTTCCCATGTGGAGAAGGATGTCACGGTGCTCGTCGGCACGCGCCAGCTCAGGCTGACCGCGCCGCGTTTTTGGGATGGCTCCAGATCACGATCGACACCCCGACTCACCTCACCTTTCCTTCGTGCATCATTTCCACAACGTATTGCGATTTAATCCTGGATCCTTAATTCCGAGGCAAGGTCTATCACAACGGGGTCTTACTGACACAATCTACCGCGGACGACTCTTTTTGTCTTTGCATACAACTTCGTGCTTGCGACAAATGCCGCGATCAACACCGACTAGGGTCTTGCGGGACGCGGCTGGCCAGGTGCAGCAGATTTGGGAGGATGCTTTGTGCATTCAGAACGAGGCTATCTTGCCTTTTTCGTGCATCTCCTGGGGAACCATGCCTGCAAAGCCGAGGCCCTCGCTACCGGAGACGCTGCGGAACATGCTGCGTGTCCACTGCCCAATCCGAACCATCAGATGGGAGCAGCGAGGGCTATTCAGCTATTCAACGATGTGAAACCCTGCACTGTCCCCGGACACGATATTTGCGAGAAAAGTCGATCACATTCAGGTGCTCTACGTGAAAGGCCCGACCGGCAACACCGATGTATACTTGGACTAGGGACTAGGATCGGCCATAGGGCAATGGAGAACAAAGCCGGTCCACACCCTTGCAAGGGGGTCCGTTTCGAGCACTCCACCCTTAACCATGAGACAACTGCATTACTGGCCAACCCCAGATGAATCACGCGAGTGTCCAAGGGCATTGGGTTCAAGTAACTGATCTTGTTGTACTCGATAGCTTCGATGGTTAGAGAGTAATACTTCATTAGTTCAGGATGTAAAATTGCCTGTGTTGAGATCTTGTCCTATCATGCAGATCAGGGGTTTTCATGTGCGCACCCGGTGGATCTACTGCTGAGCCAATCATGGCGTCTAATATATATTTGTTTTGCTCTTCGATTATGTGCCTATAACTCGTCCTGAGCAACTGAGCCGTCCTATTTAAATGGCCGACCCGTCACATATAGTAGCAGGCCATCTGATGATTTTCTCAAGTCTTGAACATGTTACACTCACCTCCTGGTCTACTTGCCGCGGTTCTTATACCGTTTCTTCTGACAGGCAAAACGGCTGCCGATGATGCGACATCACGGGCTCAGGTAGCTCTGAATACCTTACAGAATTGGTATAATGTTACAACTGGGCTCTGGGATACCTGTGGGTGGTGGAATGCCGCGAATTGCATGACTGCAATCGCAAACCTGGCTGCACTTGACCCATCGATATCAGATACGGCGAGCTATGTCTTTAGCAATACGTTGAACATGGCCCCAACTTATAATCCCCATCCCGGCAGCAAAGCAAAGATTCAATCACGATCTGGAAGTGCCGCTAACTCTTCGGAGTGGTTGGACTCGGCGTATGACGATGATGGATGGTGGGCGCTGGCCGCTGGCCTGGATTGCTGCATACGATGTGACCAATGATGATGAATATCTAGAGTTAGAACAGGGAATTTTCTCAGAATTGGTATGCAGCTATTCCCTGTGCCTAAAGTTCTGGCTCATTGCGTCTCAAAGCTCATTTCTTTCTAGACGAAAGCCTGGGGTACTCGCTGCGGTGGCGGCCTACCATGGAATCCGGAAAGTTCCTACGTTAATGCGATCACAAATGAACTATTCCTCTCCGTTGCGGCACACCTCGCAAATCGTGTCTCTTCCCCACCTGCCCACCTGAAAGAGATGGATACATAGAATGGGCAGGGAAGGAGTGGGACTGGTTCGCGGCGCAAGGTTTCATCGGAGCGAATTACACAATCAATGACGGCCTGTTGGACAATTGTCAAAACAATGGTCAGACAGTGTATGTTGTCTGTTTCTTTTCCATTATATGCTGGTCTAACAAGGTCTATTAGGTGGTCTTACAACCAAGGCGTAATACTTGGTGGTCTAGTCGAGCTAAACAAAGTGGCCCCTAACCATACATACCTGGACTCGGCCAACAGAATTGCCCAGGCCGCCATAGAGACTCTTTCTGACTCTAATATGGTTATTCATGATGTTTGTGAGCCAGAATGTGCGCCGGATGCAACGCAATTCAAGGGTGTCTTCATACGAAATCTGCAGATGCTGCAAAAGGAATCTCCGAAAGATAGCTATAAGCAGGTAATCGAGAACTGTGCAAATAGTATTTGGGCCAATGATCGAAACGAGCAGAATCAGTTAGGTGTTAATTGGGCCGGCCCATTCGGTTCTGCAGATGCTTCGACCCATAGCTCAGCGTTGGATGCGCTGGTCGCTGTTATCGCTATCTGAAGATTTGATTATTGCTGAGGTGGTCCTAGTTCTTGGATGTGTATATTTCTTGAAAGTGCATCTCATTATGGTTCTTGAAATAATATCCAGAAGCTAGGTGTGTGGATTTCCTGGTGTGGCTAGTACGCGTCTGATCGAGCCACCCAAGAAGGCTGCGGCGCAGGCCGCGGCTTTGAGTACCCAGAACGGATTGCCGTGCTTGCTACCAAATCTAGACCACCTATTCGAGCTCCTTCAGCATCCTGGGCCCAGAGAGTCAATGCTATATAGTTGACACCATTGTGGTTGATAACACCCTCTGGGATCGGATACGACTTCTGGGGACCGAGGTTGTTGACTGTTTCTGTTACTATCACGAAATCCGCAGGGTACATGGGGACTTAGGCCAGAAAATCCGGAACTTACTATATTTTCCATACTGATATCCATTAATGTAAATCTGGCAGCGATAATTGAGTCCAAGTTCATCGTGTTGGGATGTTCCTGAGGTGAAAGTGGTGAAGACAATGTTCAAGGGGATATCCCAGCCACTCGGAAAGTCAAGCTGAAATGATGCCGTATAAAACCCAACACCTGCTTGGGATATTCCGTTCTTTATTGGACTTGAAACCGTCCAATCAGAACTCGGTGGGTTGGGATAATGATAACCTTGTCTCTCAGCATACATAGCACCTTCGTTAAGTGGCCCACGGGACAGGTCTTGATACTCTTCGCCTCCAAGGTTACCCGTCAATCGCCAGGAAATATCGGACTGGTCATGATTGGATAGCTGATATCCGAGAATACCCTTGGGAAATTTGATGGCATCTGTGCCCGGTGCTTCCTCATCCTGGCCCATATGATCAATCAGAATGGTGAAAATATGGGGAGTTCCGGAAGATAGCGCCTCTGGGATTGTAAGATTCTGCGTGATAGTGGCTTTTGCACCTGTGCCAGGCCACGATCCAAGGAATTTATCATCCAGCCAGACAGAATGGCCAAATCCAGTTCCTCCTGAGATGTTTAGCCAAATGTATGACTCACGTGCATTTGCAAAAAAGTGACCTCGATAGAGCAAGGATCCAGTGTGGAAGCCGTAATCCATAGAATACAGGCTCATGGGTGTGTCTAGATCCCGGGGATTATGGGAAATGGCTTTATCGCAAGTCTTCCAAGCCGAGTCGTTGTATGATGATTTTATCTCTGGGAGTGAATCCATGTACTTCCACCGCAGGTTGGACAAATTAGGAACTTCAAACGTGGGCAGCATATAGTCGATCTTAGCTGACAATTTTCCCGTCGCTGTATGCGATGTTTTCAACTGCTGCCCATTGAAGACCAGCCCTTCCAATTGATCAACAGGGGTGGAAATGACTTCAATTTCTGTTGTCGCGTTGATATCTCCCGATAGCCAAAGTTGCTTGCCAACCAACTTTACATTGCGAATAAGGTAGGCTCCCTTAACGAGAACCAACTCTTTAGTCGGAGACGAAAAATTCCCGATCGGGTGCGACGCCGGCAGCTCCATCGGCCAGTAGGTGTAGGCTTCGTTACGCCAGAGAAGGTAAATTTCCAAGTCCGAGACACGAATCACAGACCTGTTGGGCTGGACCTGCCACTGTACTACCCATGCTGGACCTTTCTGCTGAATTGTAACATTGTTTCCTTCAATCATGGCTGGGTCGCCAAGATGGCGTGAAATAGCAAACTCGTGGAGTTCGCCTGCACCACCGTACAAGACTAGCACTCGGGTTGATCCGGGTCCCCTTGCCCAGCTCAATATTTCTGCTGTTGAGTAGATCAAATTGATACCGTCAAGATCGTAATCTGTGACGTGAAATTTTGAATCGCGCCCATTGAGGATCAAGCTGGCCCCAAGCTGAGGGATGCTGACCTTTCCGATGCTTGTGGACACTGTTAGATTATACTGGGTGTTGTCAGTGGAGCTGAAGTCAGCATGTCTGACCACATAAAAATTCGTCCTTGTTCCATTCCCAACAAGTGGTGTGACTGCGATTGAAGCCGGCGCACCATACGACCCGTTTATACCCAAACCCGATGTCGCGGTCAAATATGCCGGCGACACCTTCAGAAAATTTGCTTCCAGTTTCTGTTCACTGAATTTTTCGCGCCAAATGCCTCGCTCTTCTGTGATAGCCGCGCCGTAGTCGTAGGACGTATACCCGCCCTGATAACCAAGGTTCCCCCAGTTTGTGCCACCGTACGTCTGGTGCATGAGATTAGATTTCTGAATCCCGAGCAGTGCACAGTGCATCTCAGGGGACTTCTCACCATGTAGATGTTGAATAACTTTACACCAAAGCTATAGTTATTCTTGTAAACAACTCTGGCAGCCTCTTCGTTCACAAGCTCTCCGCATTTCTCTTCAATAACTCCACCCCTGCAGTAGCTCTCAGTTAGCTGATTAGAATTCAGGATAATACTGAACTTACCAGCCCTCTCCAGAGCCTCCCTGAAATTCTCCAATTGCAAAAGGCGTCCCTGGACTTTCACGCTCGTGAACCACTTGCCAGTCATACGGGAACCTATAAGTTGGCCAGACGGTTGGATGGGCGCCTAGTTCGCCGTGTGAAGTCAGACATTTCCTGGGAATCAATAAACTAATTATGGACTCACAATCGTATCGCAGTGGGTAGGAATCTATTCCGTAAATATCTACAGCTCCCAGACCAGACCCTGGGGCCCAATAACCTAACGCCAAATTATCGTTAACGATAAGCGGGACAGTAATTCCAGCTGCAAGAAGCTGTTTTTCCACAAAGTCCATGTACTTGCGATTCATGGATGTCGGGAAATCTGTCACTCCAGGCCAAGTGGAGTACTCGTTTTCTGGCTGCACCAATATCACTGGACCTCCGTGGGTTATCTGGGCCTTTTCGATTATCCGACCCATGATGGACATGTAATTTGTGGTTGTGTTGAGATACTCTGGGTTGTCCGATCGGATGGTGGCATTCTGCCGCAAGACCCACCCCGGAATGCCTCCTGCTGAGGTCTCTGCATTGATATACGGACCGGGTCGAGCGATGAGATACAGTCCTGCCTGCACGGCAGCATCGAAGAATTCCTCAAGGTTCCAGATGCCGTCCGTGGAGACATGGCCTGGGTTGCCTTCCACAAGACCCCAGTCCACATAGAACGAAACTCCTGTAAACCCCATGCTCTTTATCTTTTCAAAGATATCAAGCCAGAGATCCGGAACCGGTAGCCGAAATGGGTGGAACTCTCCGGAGAAGACCATGATCCGTTCACCGCGAACAAAGAGCGAGTGCTTATCCCAAGTCACCTCCACAATTCGAGTCAGCTTCATGTTCGTTGATGTCGCTCTTTCTCAAAGATGACTGGCTTACTAAGCTTTGCAATCCGTTTCCCTGTTGGGCTCGATTTACCGCGCTCGAAGCCAACGCCATGTTTGCCGAGCACATGAGCGCCACACATGTGGCAAAGTGCAGTGTTGGCTTCAAGAAAAGCATCTTGTGAAATTACGAATGATTCAAGTTGCTTGATGGGAAGTAAGTCCTCAACCTGGCAGCCTGGCGGCTTCTTTTATTCCAGAGCGACTGAAGAATGCCAGCTTCTATTTTCAACTGATCCCCGCATCTCCACGTTTTCCCCCCACACTCAGCGAGAGGAGTCCTCCCGTTGATTTTCATTGCAGCACCTGATTGAAGGAAGATTCCTATGATGATGCGTGTGGTAGCCTAAATTGTAGACTTTGCGGTCCGAAGCCACCGAGCGCCACTGTTTCTGAACCAGACGCGCCGGGTTGTATTGTTGCCAAGAGCCACTCAGCCTAAATAAGCTCCCGGTTCAGCCATGGGTCCAAGGAGGCTAGCGATGACATCAGCGTTGAATCATCCCGCATTCCTTGAACGTTCCTCCCCATTTCCTATCCGTTCTCCAATACAACACCTGCTGTTGAAATTGAAAATGGCTGCGCACATGAAACCGCTCGTCTTACATGCCCACGCTACGGGGCCTAACCCTGTCAAAATCGCGATTGCCTTGGAAGCGCTCAATGTCCCTTTCGTGGTGAAGTCCTGGGATTTCAGCGATGATCCCGAAAAGGGTGTAAAGGGCACCGCATTCCTCCAGATCAACGAGAACGGACGTGTGCCTGCCCTTGTGGATCCGAACACGGGTGTCGTGTCCTGGGAATCGGGAGCGTGTATGAATTACATTCGCAGAGTATACGACTCGGGGAACCAAATCGGTCCTTCGGGGAATTCGGCCCAAGACTTGGTTGATTTTGAGAAGTGGGAGTATTTTCTCTTGAGTACCCTTGGCCCAATGACGGGGCAGGTAAACTGGTTCAGGTCAGTATGGAGCCCACCATGCCCGAGCAAAAGCTGACTTATGAAAGACACTACCATCCACAGAAGAACGACGATGCATTGCAGAGGTACATCACCCAGACCTATCGTTGCTACGATGTTCTTGAGGGACAGTTGCAAAAGTCCGGAGGCACGAGCATCCTACCGAGCCGAATCACGACCGTGGACTACCATTTTGAGCCATGGGTGAGACAACATTCGTTCGCTGGACTTTCACTGGACAACTACCCTTTGATTACAAAATGGCTGGGGCTGATGGGTACTCGTGAGGAGGTCCAAGAGGCTTATTGTAAAATCCGGGCGGCGGCAGGAAAATAGTCCATGCCTCGCAGGTTCTGAGCCCGTTCCACTCGACAATCTCATTTTGGGAACGCTGCCAGTGCAAGCCTATCAAAACAGTGTACATTTCGAAGAATGCTTTAGTTTTGTTTAGTCATTCGAAAATTAACTGACAAGTTTGGTTACCTCCTGGTAAAGGGTCTGGTCTCGAACTGCGGCTGAGGTTTAGAGTAGGGAATCGTGCGCATCGAGTCAAGTATGCGGTAGCAAATAAACGGAGAACATCTTCTCGTATCTCCACTAGCGAAGTCAAACAAGCACGATGTACGGGTGCAAACGAGTACACAGACATAAGGTATGATCCAATGAATGACTAATTGGTTAAAAATCAGAGTGCTATCAAATGGGCGTCAAGTTATGATGGTAAGGACGGTAAAACACTTCCGCAGCTTCTGAGCCCACTGCCACAGAATATTACCATAACACCCTGACAGGTGAAGGTAATATTTCTGTTCTTTTCAGACACGAAACAAGATATCTGGCTACCGGAATTCAATCACACCAATTTTTCCTTTCTTTCGGATAAACCACTGGAATCCAACCCACTTCCATTCTGGCAAAGTTTTTGAACAAAAAGCCTCTTTTACCGTCAAAAGTCCACTCCGTTGAAAAACCTCCGATATTGCTGCCTTGCAGTAGTTCGCACAACAAGATCGGCACAACTCAAGTGAGTTATTGGTAAGCTAGGTTTTACCGTATTAACATGCTACCGGTATTAGGCAAGTTGATAGCCCTCTAAGCAAAGTTGATTGTGCTCGGAGAGGTGGTGCCTTCAAAGGAGTCGCCGCTGATTGACGACTGCTCTCCATCGGGCTGTTCGACCGGCGTAACCCACTGGGAGACTTGAATATCAAGGCTGTGTGCACGTTGGTTGAAGCGGCACTGCCAGCTCTTTACGGCTTTGCAGTTGGGCTTTTGGCATAGGTGGCCCATGTAACATTTGATGGACCGGCAAGCCCCGCCTCGAGGGCAAGGGTGCTGAAGGAGGATGTATCTGAGCACTTCAATGATGGTATCAGAAACATCACTATGATCGTATTGGCAACCCATGTCACCACATTCTCTTGACAGATGGTAACTGTTGCAGACTTTGTGCTCTTTGGCACGACGGTGGTATTCATCCATGGCATCCGGGGACGGATGAGGACAATAGGTGTCCAGACGTTCGCCATCCTTATTGATGGCGATGAATTCTTCCGATTTAAGGCTCATGAGCGGCAGGTGGGAGAACAGAAACTCTTGCGAGCGGCCCACGATAGATGGAGTAGACCACAACTGTTTGGGCGATTCATCCGCGAGCTTAGCAGACAGCTGTTGGCCCGGCATGACGTGCTGTTTGTTGCAAGTATTACCAAATTTGCAAATACCCTAGGCGGAAGCCAGTCAGCATGGACGTGATGCATTGAAGCGTTGTTTCGGGAGGACAAGATCATACCTTTTGAAAATGCTTACAGATCGGCCTAGCGCCGTTTGTGACAGCAACAACCTTGTTGGTGTTGACAATGGTAGTTGGTTTGGTTGTAGCAAGAGAGTTTGACATAAATACCGATGGCAACTCTTTGATCGGTAAGCCTAGATCTTCAAATTCACGATGGAACCCCGCAGCTTTGATGAGTGTGATGCGGTCACTTCGGCCCCTATAGGGGGTCAGCAAAGAGCCGAAGCCAGTGTCGTGACAGCCAGCGAAATAAATATGTCGGCACTGATTGAAATCCGCAAACAGGCGAAATATTTCTGTTATTGAAATGGCGGTCAGAATACATTGTATCTCTTTGACTAGGGCCAAATTGTTCGGGGACGCCTATATTACCTCTGATTTTGAAGTCGCTGCCTTCTTTCTTTTCTGCAGCATCGACGAAATCGAAAAGATCTTGTGCACGGTTGAAGGCCGAGATGAATGGTGCCAGGGAGCGAGCTTCGTGGCCACAGAGTCCTGCTCGAGCAAGGGCTTTGGACAGTCCAAGCGTATTGGCATAGACACGAACCATGATCCGACACTGATCGGCCTGCATTCCCATTGTCGAGTGCATTAACTCCTTGACCGAGTCGCTGAGTTCACGGGCTGCGTCAATTCCACCTTCGGCACCGGCCTTGAGGAAATGCTCCTTGAACTAAATCAAGAAATGAGCATGGTCAGCTTAGGGCGACAATTGAAGCGTAGGAGTAAGCCGGGTGCTCTTACAAGGTATCCATCGCCATCAACAAGCACCAGCACGAATGGGTTGCGATCCTGCTAGAGCGTCAACCTTGACACCTCACTCCTTCAGGCGCCAAAGAGCTTCGTACCTGACCACGTGCCTGTCTTTTGTATTTATCTCGGCCTTCCTTCACCTCCTCATAGTCGCTTTTAAGGGAGCTGTAGTCCTCCAAAAGGCTTTTGAACTGCCTGAGCAAGTCCTGGAGATTTTCATGGTGCTTTTGGTTTTCCTGTGACACGGATCCGAGATGGTTGTTCAAGGAATCTATATCCGAATCACTCAGCATGTTGTCAAGGTTATCGGGAAGGCATACGCCTGTCCCATGAAGTAGCAGAGTTCAGTAAGAGCCGTGTACATCCAATCGAGTGACAGAGGGGTTGCCGAAGGTAGAAAAGCAGTTTCCTCGGTTGTGAGGTGTGCTGTTACGGATGGGGAAAACAAATTTGGAGCTGGGTGACAGGCGGTCAAATAGGTGGGGGGGGGGAATCAGGTGACTCCTACAGGCGTGAGTTTCCGCGACTGCCGTCAACAGGCAGTGCTCTTTCATTACTTTATCCTGCCGGATGTCTATGTCCGAGACCCTCTTTGATTGGGCTCCTACGTGTCTGAAACAACCATCTTTCGTCAAGGCAACGGTGAACCATGAAACTACGAACTCGTCCCAGATGCAAAGGATGACCTCCGTGGAGTCAATAAACCCAAATTACCTGTCTTTCTGGCTTTGTCCATGTGATTAACCCAGCCGTTGCGGTCAGCCTCTACTCACGCTAATGGTGCAGATTCTTTCGGAGTTGTCGGATGCTTGCGTGAGCTGAGCGGCGTGATGCATCGTCAGCGCAAAATCCGTGAAGCCAATTACGTACGCGATCCACATCCTTTAGCTTCTTCTTCCACAACCAATGCCTCTCCATGATCTTTCCCCGCCCTTTAATCCCCGCCCTTTTTGCCCACTCTGCCAGAATGAAACAAATTCGAAACATTCCAGTTGGCCCGGACCGGGGAGGTCGCTCACCTGGAAGGGCGACGCTCTCATAGACTGCCCGGTCGCCCGGGTCGGGACCCGTCCAAGCATCTGAGGGATTGGCTGCTCCGAGTGCAATCCGTACTATGTCGCTTCTAGCGGCAACAGTACTTTCAGCTAGTGGGCACCAGGAATTCCTTTTCTTCCGGTGACAGTATTGCAGAGAGTCCTTTTGATTTCCGTGAGATAGAGGAAGACCGTAATAATTGCACTTGGGCCGGGTGAGTTCAGTAATAGTGAATGTATGAGATATATAATTTAAGCCAGCTGTTGATGATTTTGCCCTTCCAGCAGCCTTATACAACTTTCCCGGCTAATCCCATCTGGGTATGCAGAATGCGCCGAGGGCAATGGAAGCCTAGAGTACGTAAGCAGATCTCATGTGAAGTGGACAGTGATCGACAGCCGACCGCGATCGGTTGCATCAAAGATGCTGGAGAAGTTCGGGTCCCTCCCGTGCACAAGGGTCAGCCTCGGTTTGCGCCAGGAGCACACATGATCCTAGGCCGAATCATCATGGATAACCGACAATAGGCTAAGGTATAAAATTCGGATTCCCCGCATGGGACTGGGCCCCTGATTACCGCTTGGCCTTCTTTGTGTAAACTGATGCCACAAACGCGACGCTACCGCTACTATGAGATATGTTCTATTTTCACTGAGCGCATTTGTGCTCTACGCCATTTTCTACTTTTCCTATATCAATGGCCTCGACGAGCTGGGCCGCAATGCTGTGGCATCCGGAAAGCTCCCTGGCGTGGATGCGCCGCTCCGCACAGTCTATACCGGGGTGGAACCGGTTGATCGCATCTTGACTCTGCTGACGACCTTTTTCTATCCGTCACTTGATGGCCAGAGTCCCACCCTTTTACTCCACAGCATTGGATTTTCGGGTACCTTCGGAGCCGCGTGGACCCTGGTTGTCTTGGAATCATGGCGGAAGGGCAACGCAGGGACCATCGCTGCCTAGTAGGTCACACCGCACAGGGAACGTGAGCTCTAGAGGTTCAATTTACTGACAGTTCACACAGTCCTGCTATCTTTGGTCTCATGGCCCAATTGATGACCTTTGCCTTCGCAACTCCTTTGATCTGCGGCCTCCAGTTGGGCTGCTCAATTACCGCGCGTCGCCCCCATGCTGATAACATTCGTGTCCCCCGCGCAGTTCTTGCGGTGTTGCCCGTTGTATTCGTGATTGGATACATGGTGCCGACCCAGGCAATGGTGCTGCCTGCCCCGTCCCTGATTTCCATCGACATGAAGCAAATTGCCATCGCAATCTGGCAGCCGTGGCCAGCCTACGTATCCATTCTGACTACGGCGGCCTACTTCATTTTGTCTCCATTCCTCCCGAATAATCATCGCGCGTCGATGTCTGGTCTGCGCTGGGTATACGCATCTGCATTCGCAAATGCAACTCTTACTCACCTCATTTCATGGGTCGTTTCGCTCGCCTCAGTTGCGGTTCCCCATCTGTTTGATGCGCGCTTCCTTGCCGCCCTTCATCCCTCTAAGGTCTTCGCTGTCCCTCTGCCTTGGTCTGGGCTGAAAGTCGAGACGGTGGCTGAGGGCGTGCATTTCTTTTTGCGATGGGACTATCTGATTGGATCAGCGGGAATCCTCCTCTGGGCCCTGACGTTGTATAGTGTGGCCCACAAGCAAATTCTGAGCACGATTTCTTGGCCAGGCTTATTGGTCAAGGTTGGCATACTGACTGTTCTGTCCGGACCGACTGGGGCTGCCGTGGAATTGATGTGGGAGCGGGACGAGCTGGTCTTCAAGGAGACCGTCGGTCCACGACAGCAGGTCACTAAAATCATGAAGTCCTCCTAAACGCAGACCCGTGTGGGTAAAGTTGCAGACATGCTGTCTGGATCTGCGGAAATAAGTATATTTTCAGGCTTGTATTTCCAAAAAAAAAGATCATTTCCATGTAAGAAGGTATGATATACTACTCTTGAGAACCAAAATTTGGTCCGATCTCTGAGCAGACGGCTCAGACGGCTACGTACGACTGTTAACCAAGAGCCTTATATATCTCTTTGACATAGTCGTGGGTGGTCCTTTCATAGCCCAAGATAGATTCATGCATCTTGTTCATGACGTACCCAATAGTCATTCGGCGATCCAGATCCATAAGAAGCAACGAGCCACCCCAACCACCCCAAAAGCAGATACGACCCTCTGGAATCCAGGGCAAACTCTGTGGTGAAGGCAAACCCACTCCGAGACCAAAGCGTAGATATTGGAACAAGACTGCATCGAGCCCAGCAACTTGCTCCTGGAGCATGTTCTCAATGGTACGGGGAGATAGATATTGCTTTCCATCGACAGTACCATTCAGAGAGACCATCGAGCCGATGCGAGCCAAAGCGCGAGCATTTGAGAAGCCACCCATACCTCCCAACTGCGCTGCCCTGAAAGATGGACTGTTGGGTGCCACAGCAAGCGCGGGAGAAACAGGCGTCCCCGCATATGTTCTCGCAGCAATACTCGTCGGGTCAATATCAGGGAATGCGCTAGGCGTAAAGGGGACGATATCCGCTGTGCGGGCCCACAGTTCTTTTGGCAAGCCAAGACGGTAGTCGGCATCCAAGGGACCAGTGATCTCGTCAGCAATAAATTGATTTAACGACTTGCCGCTGACCCGTCGCACAATCTCACCGACCAAGTGGCCTTGAGAAATCAGGTGGTAACCGTTCAGCTCACCCGGTGTCCACAGCGGAGTCATTTCCGCAAGTTTCGCCGTTGCTCCCTCTACATCGAGTATCTCCTCATAAGTCGTTCCAGGTTGCCAGGCGGAGACCCCGGAAGAATGGCCAAGGATATGAGAGACTTTGACATTCTCCTTGCCATTGGCTGCGAACTCCGGCCAGTAGGTGGCAACTTTCTCGTTGACATCGAGTAAGCCCCGATCAGCAAGGAGGTTGGCGGCCAGGTTAGTCACCACCTTGGAGGACGACCAGACTGGTGATAGAGTGTCCTTCTCCCACGGCCGTGTATGGGCTTCGTCGGCGTAGCCACCCCATATGTCAACCACATTCTTTCCCTCAATATTGATACAAAGAGACGCGCCGATTTCGACTCCACTGGCAATTCGCTGCTCTAGGAGCTCGCGAACCGAGGTGAATGAGGGGTCGCAATACCCTCTCACGTCAGCCATGGTTGCAGATTGAACCGAGTAAAGAGCGGGAGTGCAACTACACGTAACGGTCAGGGGCAATCGAGGAGAAAGATCTCTTGAGATCAGCTGGACGACAAATTGCGTCCTTGTCAGCTCTTGTACAGAATCACCGGGGACCAAACAATAAAGTAGCCTCAGCTAGCGTCCCTCATCCTTATATCACGCGGTGGACGACACATGCAGGTGCCTAGCTTGGAGGGGGAAATTCCGCAGCTAAAACTCCATGAAGCAGCCAAGCCCGTGTGCGACCGGCCCTGTACAGGTTGATATTGTATTAGCCCAGTTTCGGCAATTAGTGCGGGCCATACAAGATCGAAAGCGCGTGTGAATGGAATTGCACAGCTTACGCCCCCGCACTGCCGATGCAATTGGCAAAGGGCCCAAGCTCTCGATCGGCGGGACGGTCGCTCCAACACTTGTCTGCCCATGAAGCAAGACATATTTCAGCCAAGGACCTGCTATAAGCAATATGGTCATCTATTTCAAATAGGCCAACTAGTGCTGTATTTGCGCCCGTCCCGTAAAATGACAATCGAGGCCGGCCGATGACGTCGTGCGCGGATGGAAAAAGCATCGTGGAAACGAACGTTGCGCCCTATAGCATGATCTGGGTTTCTTTATGGTCTTCCGACATCAGTCCAAACATCAGGCGGATGTGTTGTTCACTGTTTCTGATTCTCTCAGATGAGTGTTGGGCGAAGGCGATCTATGTTCCATGTCGGGGGTTCATCCGTTGGATCGGGCGTGGGGTCGGATCAACCACGGAAGACCTCACTCGATGACGCCGTATACAGCTGCTGGCCGGAGAAAATGGGAATGAGAAAGAAACAATCCAATCCCTGGTCTTCCACCCCTCTTGAGTCTAAGAGACAGTTTTCCCCCTTTCAAGCCCCTGTTCCTTGGGAGATCAGGAGGTATTCGCTAAATCGCTTACCGGTATGGAGCGTGATATCTCCTCTACCTCGAACGATCATGGGTTCAATAGCAGTGCAAGCGACCCTTTGACTGCAGTCGCCACGAGTCGAGATCACCCTGAATCGGACTACCCGGCCACAGCTGTGGACACACTAAGTCGCCGGTCGAGCAGGCTCAACGATGTCGAGCTGGAGCGCATCAATACCTATCGTCTCCAACACCGGTCGACCGTCGGATCTGGCACGACATTACCACCCGAAGAATGGCTGCCGATGGGTGCTGGGAAGTCCTACCCACCAGCCCTGCCGGACCCCGAACAATATGTGGTGGAATTTACCGGCGCCGATGACCCTCTGCATCCGCAGAATTGGCCATTACGCCAGAAGGTCATTATATCCGGTGTGCTGGCATATTCCACATTTGTTGCGTCATTCGCTAGCGCTATCTTCTCGTCTGCTATCGGTGAAGTCAGTCTCCATTTCCACATCAGCACTGAAGTCGCTATCATCGGTATCACTCTTTATGTTTTGGGGTTTGCCTCAGGGCCAACATTCTGGGCACCAGCGAGTGAATTGATCGGACGAAAATGGCCGATCCTCGGGGGGTTGTTTGGTTACTCGATCTTCACGGTTGCGACAGCAACTTCCAAGGATGTCCAAACCCTCATGCTGACCCGGTTCTTTGCGGGGTTTTTGCAGCTAGCCCGATTGCTATCGTCCCAGCTGTGTACGCCGACATATACAACAATCAGACCCGTGGTGTAGCGATCGCCTTCTTTGCCATGGCCGTGTTCGTGGGCCCCTTTGCTTCGCCGTTTATTGGTGGCTTTATCACGATGTCCTACTTGGGATGGAGATGGACGATGTACATCGCCTGCATTATGGGCTTTTTGGCCACCGTTCTGTGTCTTCTCTTCCTCAAGGAGACATATGCGCCCGCTGTTCTTGTGGAAAAAGCCGTCAGGTTGCGCAGACAGACTCATAACTGGGGCATTCGAGCTAGGCAAGAGGAGGTTGAGCTGGATTGGGGGGAGTTGATCACCAATAACTTCAGCCGGCCATTCCGGATGCTGTTTACTGAGCCTATCGTCTTCTTGGTATGCTCATATCTTTTATTCCTTGCAGAGGAGCATCTCACTAATCGACCGGCAGATTTCTCTGTGGATGAGTTTTGTTTATGGCTTGATGTACGCACTTCTCGGTGCATATCCCGTAGTCTTCGGCGGAATTTACGGCATGAACCTCGGAGTTGGCAGTCTGCCTTTTATTGGGTTGATTATTGGCGAGCTTCTGGCCGGTGGATATACCCTCCTGAATCAAACGTCTTATGTCAAGAAGTTGGAGGCCAACAACAATATCCCGATTCCCGAGTGGAGACTCCCGCCCTCTATACTTGGGGGCGTGTGTTTCACTATCGGGCTGTTCTGGTTTGGCTGGACCGGGTGGACACAGTCCATCCACTGGATGGCACCAACTGCGAGCGGAGTCATCACCGGGTTCGGGATCTACGTGATCTTCCTGCAGTGTTTCAATTACCTGGTCGACTCATACCTCAGCTTGTAAGATTCCTATATTGCATTCAAAAACATCACACTAATAACGCAACCAGCGCGGCGTCGGTGTTTGCTGCCAATACTATCATGCGATCCGCAGTTGGCGCAGCATTCCCGCTATTTTCAAAACAAATGTTCAACAACCTAGGAGTACAGTGGGCTGGCACTCTCCTTGGTTGCCTTGCACTTATCATGGTTCCTATCCCCCTGGCGTTTATAAAGATTGGCCCTGCCCTTAGGAAAAAGTCCAAATTTGCTCCGAATATCGGGTCGAGTGAAATTGCCACCGAGGCAAAGGAACCGCGGGCATCCGTTTAGGAGTATCTCCACGTTACAGGAGCCCAAATGTCATTTTTATGCACAAATATGACTTTCAAGAATATAGCGGTTCAATTCCATAGTTGTTAACAGAGATGGTGTGCATATTCTAATTCACGACGTGTAGAGCCCGATCCCCCGAGTAAGCCCGATCCCCCGAGTAAGCCCGATATCTTGAAGCCCAATTCGAAATCGGGCATCCGTAGACAGCTGACTCTGGACCGTCATCGGGACCAGCCGATTCCCTATAGACCCCGGATGTCAGTCCCTGGAGAGATCCGTCTGATACATATGGGGCTGCCGAGATCAAATTGACTCATCCGCTCTATCGCTTTCCTCCGCGCTGCTTATCGTTGGACCCTGGAAATGGGGGCGATAAACTGGCGATAAGAGATCCCAGTTTGGCGCCAAGAGAACTGAGCGCAGCCTTGGCGTGTCAGCACGTGCACCATGCACGGAAGAATCTCGTCTTCGGTGACCACCCCCATATAGAACGTCTGGAAGATGTCCAGATTCCTCCAGCTATTCACATTGGGGATTCTATACCTTTTGGAGCAGTTCGTGCTGTCAATTTTTTTTCTGCACGACAGGATCCACTGCGGAGCTGTCGAACAAAATCCATGGAAAAGGGACTGTCGGCTAACCAAGCGGCCAATCGGCCGGCCAGGAGCCTGCCTCGGCCCCGCCAAGTCCGCCAAGTCCGCCAAGTCTGGAGGCGGAGATAAGTGGTCATTGACTGGCCAGATGAATTTTTTTCCATTGCACCTTATCAGACGCGTCTGGTTGGCGGAGAGACCGGATAGGTTTTCTTCGATTTCTACGCGTTTGCCCTTTCTCCGTTCACTCCCCATCAGCCGCTTTAAATAGTGCGTCGTAACGACTGCAGCGGTTCTTTACACCCTGCGCGCCATAGTAGTAGTCGCAAACCATTCAGCTCGCCAGAATGGGTTTCAAGACCTGGATCCACGATACTAACCTGCGGGTTGCGCGCAGCCCCGTGGGAAGATGGTTTCGGCTTGAGAACTCCGGCCATGTGAGTTCTCATTATTCCTCTATACTCTTCGGAAAAGTCATGACCGGTGACTGACGTGATGCCGGATTAGCCACTGGAGAGGAAGGGGAGCATGTTCTTCACCGAGATCCGCGCCGGTCTGGCTACCTTCTTTGCGATGGCCTATATTATCTCGGTCAACAGCACCATCACTTCCGAGTCGGGTGGAACATGCGTTTGCCCGGCTGACAGCATGTCGGATTTCTGCGCAACCAACGTCGAGTACCTCGGATGCGTGCAGGAGATCAAGCGCGATCTCGTTACCGCAACGGCCGCTATCGCCGCCCTTTCGACCTTCTGCATGGGTCTCTTTGCGAACTTGCCTATCGCGCTGGCTCCTGGAATGGGTTTGAACGCCTATTTTGCCTACACCGTTGTCGGCTATCACGGCTCCGGCTTCATCCCATACAAGGTGGCTTTGACTGCGGTTTTCGTCGAGGGTTGGGTCTTTTTCGGCCTGACGCTAATTGGTATGCGGCAATGGCTTGCGCGCGCACTTCCGGCTTCCATTAAGCTTGCGACTGGTGTGGGCATCGGGTTGTATCTCTGCCTCATTGGGCTGACTTACAGTGCTGGAATTGGAGTGGTTCAGGGTGCACAGAATACTCCCATGGAACTGGCAGGATGCGATCCGAAGTATTTCGACGAGTTAACAGGTTTGTGTCCCGACAGTCAGAAGATGCGCAGTCCTACTATGTGGGTTGGTATCTTCTGCGGGGGTTTCCTGACCGTCTTCTTGATGATGTACCGCGTCAAAGGTGCGATCATCATTGGTATCCTGCTTGTCTCCATCATCTCGTGGCCGCGGGATACTCCGGTGACATACTTTCCGTACACGGAGCTTGGCAACAGCATGTTCGACTTCTTCAAGAAGGTTGTTACTTTCCATCCTATTAAACACACCCTGGCCGTGCAGGAATGGGATATTTCCGGCCACGGAGGACAGTTTGGACTGGCATTCATCACATTCTTGGTAAGCTTCTAGTCTTCCTGTCCACCATTCACCCTGTTTCATGAGACAACAGCTAACAAATGTTGACAGTACGTCGATATTTTGGACACCACTGGTACTTTGTACTCCATGGCCCGATTTGCCGGCGCGGTCGATGAGCGTACTCAAGATTTTGAAGGCAGCGCTATCGCCTATGTAAGCATTCCCACGGCCCAGATCTTCTCTTGATCCGTCTAATTCATTATCTAGATGGTCGACGCCATATCCATCTCGATCGGTTCCTTGTTTGGCAGTCCACCTGTAACAGCCTTCATCGAGTCGGGTGCTGGAATCTCGGAAGGTGGCAAGACAGGCTTGACTTCATGCGTGACCGGCTTCGCGTTCTTCATCGCCGTGTTTTTCGCGCCGATCTTTGCTTCCATCCCTCCCTGGGCAACTGGCTGTACTCTTGTGTTCGTCGGTGCCCTAATGATCAAGGCGGCAGCTGAGATCAACTGGAAGTATTTTGGCGATGCGATTCCGGCGTTCCTGACCATTGCTATCATGCCGTTCACTTACAGCATTGCCTATGGTCTTATCGCTGGTATCCTGAGCTACATCCTCCTCAACTCCGTTGTGTGGATCTTGGAGAAGGTTAGCGGTGGTCGCATTGTTCCGCCAAACAGGGACGAGTCTGATCCTTGGACGTGGAAGGTTCCTGGTGGCTTTTTCCCTCCTTGGGTGAAACGTGCTGCTAGCGGGAACAAGCAGTTCTGGCGCCGGGACGAGGAGGAGGCGGTAGCTGAAGAGGTGGGGTCATTTGGCTCATCCCATGAGGGGGTGGCCCTTGAGAAGGGCCCAAGTAACGCCGGTGAGCCTACAGAAAAGGCGCTGTAAGAGAGGAGATAGTTTCTTATTCTGCACATAACGACACTTCAGATGTTATGTGGTATGATAGCTGTAAATAATCAATTTACTTAATCGCGACTCTGGTTTCTAAATCTTTGGTGACGTAAGATTAGTTCGTCTACAGGCACGCTGGCAGCCTCATGCCGTGTCTTGTTTTATAGGGCCAGTCTTTTCCCAATCTGCTCCAGATTTTGGCATTAATACCTATTGGCCAACGTCGCGAACTCAAAATTGAAGCATTATAACACCCAGCCAGTCAAATCACTCGACAGCAGCGCAGATAACCTTTTTTCAGTTGACTTGCCAATATTTCATGCGGCTAATAAGCATGCGGCTAATAATTTTTGGGAACTAGTATGCTTGAGTGCTCTCAAGTCCATTCCTTGGCGAGCGATATGTGCTAATTCCGGCAAGTGCGCTTGGTTAAATTCGAAAACTTGAATAGCAGCCCCAGACTTAAGATTCCACGATTTACCTTTTTACTGTAGAATGTACAAGAAGGTATATACAGTGGTATTTCCAGTCATTGGCGCTCTGCACCTCTCCTTCACCCGGCTGATCCACCACCCGCCACCAGCGTCCGAGGTTGTTTCTCCCCCGGACGCACAGAACATGACCTTTAAAAGCCGCCTGGCGATGTTATCAATGCGGCCGGTGTGAGTGATGTATTAAATAGCTGAGTGCAGAGAGCAAGAGCCAATGACAGCTCAATGGGGTCAAAACCAATGCATGGCTAGAGAAACTCAGGTGGCTAGTCGGAGAACACACCCGCAGTGCAAGAGAATCACGTATTATTCATTATTATCAACTACAGAATGGTCAAAGAAGCATATCCTCCATCGCTCGCCCTTGATACAGGATCGGCAGCCTTAGTATCAGCACTGCCACCGCTGTTCCTCCCCATTGCAAAAATCCTATCCGCAATCCTCCAGCTCGCGCACTGATGGGTATTCAACCACATAAGAAAGAAAAGTACACAAGGGCAACTCCAAGGCTTGGGGGCATCACACCAGAGGGAGCTGTGGCCAGAAATATCCGCCCACGGTCAAGCAACTCGGCACGCCACATCAGGCAATCGAGACAGCATCTCCATCTTTTTTTTTTCTTTTTCACTTCGTCTTTCTTTTCAATCCACAGAATATAGCAACCCCGGGTGTCAAAGAGGAGGGTTGGGGTGCAGCTAAGTTGTCGTCTCGAAAGATTCCTTCTCTGCTTTCCGCTTCATCCACCTTCGGTAGAGGACCAACGAGAGGAGCCCGACCGCGACGAGGAAGACGATACAGAACACCAGAATCACGCCTGGCTCGCGGCTAGCCCAGTTGCTTCGCTTCGCGAGAGAGTGCAGGCTGGCTGCCAGGGATCGGTCGATCAATCTGAGGGCAGGCATGGTGAATGACGGTTCGATGTAGCGATGCGGATATTCTACATTTGATGTCAGTCAGGCACGTTGACAATAGACTGGCTGAGGTCCACGAGCAGCTCTGCAAGGCCTAAGAGGGTCCTCGATCGGGCTGGACTTGGCGAGAGGTCGGACTTCACGGACTTGAGGTTATCACACATGCACCAGTATGGGTGTAGTAGGTGGGCGGACCTGTTCAGCTGGTCAGAGGAAGTCAACCAAACGATTTGGCTTTGATGATGTGGCAGGGGCAAGAAGGGAGAGAGCTTCGCACTCTGCGATGAACAGAAGAGCAGACCTTCGCGCGTTGGCAGAGGAAGAGCGAAGCTCCCGCAGATTTGGCGGGGAAAGGACGTACTGTCACACCGGGTTGATTACGATGGGAAGACTCACGAGCTGTTGGCTGCGAGATGAAAGATCACCAGCTCCTTCAACAAACAGCCGCTTTCTCCAAGATCTTGTCAATTGCAGCGATGGTGAGATTTTCCTTCGAACACAGAATGCTTCGGCAGCGGACGGAGTAGCAGCAGCACCAGTCGATGATGCGAACGGAGTGCCGCCCTCCATCCAGTATGTACTAGTCCTCTCCTATGCAGCTTGCCCAACGGACTCACCACCATGATTGGTGTCCAGTGGGGTATCAACCATGGTTGTTCCGATGTCCAGAGGCACCCGGCAGTCATGAACGTCAAGAACAAGCTCCGTCGGCCTCCGTACTGAAGTGAAGCTTTCCCCGCAGGAACCCGCCGCCGATCTTCTCTGAAGATCAAGTCCCGCAGATCCAGCCATGACGGCCTACGCCTTGAATCACATACCTCAAAGCATGGTGCATCGCAGACACTCTCAAGAGACATACTACAATCATGGCACAAGCCGTGGACCAGAAAGAGTCAAGTCTGGACGCGATCCGCACCCGTCCCGGCACCGCTGCGTCACCACTCAATCACAGCGTGCGGGTCGATTCTGCCGTAGCCCTCGCGTCAAGCTAGGAGCTTAGCCCGGTAGTCGTAAGGTTCCTCCTGGTAACTAATGTCGCACGGATAATGCTGTCACCAGGATATATCTAATGGCACCTTTTCGACTTCCTCCATGCAGTTCCTGATAACTGGTTAAACTATCGCACGTCCTGATGACGTCATCAATATCACAGTGATCAGCTCATGAGCCTCTACTTCGGAGTAGTCTTTCTGTCCACCAGCGGAATAATCCTTGGCCAATCACAAATTAATTATTCTCCTTGCAGCTCACATGACTTGGGCCGATATCCCCGCACCGTGTAGGGTCAAACTCAGCCACCGACGGGCGCGAATCCAGCAAAAGACATGATGGCCTCAGGCACCGGCATACACATCTCATGAGAACATTTCTACTCTTAAGGCCTGCAAAGCCTGCCCGGTTATTCTTTCCTGGACCTCATAGATTTAGCTCAATCAGCGAGTTAGTCACAAATCTATTATAGGGAAAAACATGCTTCCACCGCGCGACGGACGAGGTCGTAATTCTCTTCAGAACTTGGACGCCAATTTGCACCACTAGAACAGGACGAAACTTATCAAATAGGACCTTTTTTTGCCTGCACAATGATACTCCTCGTACCTGCGGGACACAAGTTGAAGACGAATCTGTGGCATATCGGGCTCGTTATGCTCGTTACCATCTGTGGATGAGGTGGTGTGCTCAACTGACAAGTGGGGCTACTTTCCATCTCCAACTCCTTCAAAACGCTTGTCAACCTTGTGCACCAGTTGTGCAAAGCGCCGTGGGAATAAAATTAGCGTCCTCGGTTTATGAATTGGTGTGGAGGACGCCGACGCCACCTACTATTCACCCTGCAGGATACCGGCTTCTCTGTAAAGGCACTTTAGTTTTGCCTTGGCGCACAGTTGGCACACCATGGCCTGGGGTCTTGCCTGTATATCCTGAACATTCGCTTCATTTCCGAACATGTTTGGTCACCCTCGCATTTAGACTCACTGAAGTGAAAGAAAATCAAGCGGGCCACTGGAGGCGGCCGTGGACGGAGTCGGAACACACATGGTGGGCATCACCGCCAGCCCAATCCCTCCTCGTCGCGACCTATCCCAGTACTCTAAATCATTTCTTTTGTGACATTGTGAAGGGCTTGCAAGTGGATTGGTATAATGAGGGGCCAGCTTCCACACACAAAACTTGTGTGTCCTACAATTAATGAGAATACGCGATTGAAGAGAGCCGTGAATATACGTTTGCAGTGTACGTAATGTGTGTGCTCTCTCGTCTGCTTTATTGTGATGTTCTTCAAAAACGCTGGGGCTATTTGTCTGCTTGGGTTTCTTTCCAGAGAAGGGTGCTTTGCCTACACCGCACATACCAACACTCTTGGCAGAGGATTACTGCCAAGAAAGCCAACTTGTCCAAGCACTGACCCTCACTTGCTAGGTTTCAATGGGTAGGCATACATCGGGATTGTTTGTAACAGGTACCTCTCTCTACATAGTTGTGCATTCATCACGGAATGCAGGTGATTCCTCGGTTTTTGTTCTACGAGCTACTCTTCAAGTCCGTTTAGTACTATCATGGCACCGTACACTTAATGGTCCGATCTTTATGTCATTTTATCGCTGATCAAAGCGGAGGCATATTGCAGTAGGACTGGCAGGCATAACGACACGAGTGCGCCGAAAATGAAAACCCATTTCGGGTTGACAGGCAGATCCGACAGTCCATTTTCAGATGCAGGAGCTCTCGGGCCGAGACAAATCGAAGCGATATGGTCCGTGAAAATGAGTTAACTAAGCGAGCCGAGGGACCCTCGAGAACGGAGCTAGCGATTTGTGGGGAAAGGGTCCGCGGAGGATTAAGCACGGAGAGAAACTCCGCGCTAACAATGGCCCCATGCACATTTCCTGAATAGCGCGTAGCGAAACGGAGCCCGCCTTTCCAGACCCAAACAGAACGATAAATGTATTTTATTCGATCGGTCTCAATATATCTCCATCTTCCATTGAACCGAAAGCGACGGAGATCGTGGGGAATGATAAATTTCACATATCGGGAAGGCGGGCTTTAGGTGAAAGGGATTTTCCTTATGCATTCATTCCCTAACCCGATTCGGGCGACACTATGATTATGGCCTAACGACAACAATGCTAGTGGTAAATCTAAATGCAGAATCATTTCCTCGAACGAAATGCACCAGCCCCCCAGGAAAGCTAAAGGGGCAACCAGTACCTGGTGGTCCCGATCCAATCCTTCTCGAGTTCCACGGAATCTAGGGCCGAGAACCCAGAAGCCATGTCCTGATTCTTTTTGGACTATGGCAGACTCATCAATGCTTTACCGAAATGTCTGGTCTCACTGGGGAATCCCCCGATTCCAATCAGGATACGGAGCTGCTCTTGCGCGCCACCAGCCAGGATCGTTTGTTGCTCTTGGGACCCAGGGGCCGGGGGTCACAAGGCTGTCAGCCTCTGCAAGACCGCAGATCTGACCAGCTCCGCCGAGAAGATAATCCTTGTCAATTCCTCCACCAGCTCGCGTGTTATAAAAGTCTCATGTTCACCCACCGTCCCAAGGGTCCTATATCGCGTCGCAATTTGGATCAATCTTTTGCCCTTGAACATTTTCAGTCGGTGGTATCCGCCGCAGAAAGGAAAACATGTCGGAGAAAGAGTCGCCTCAGGAAGTGCATGGCATTTCGACCGCCGTGGAGGACACTGCACATGTCATTGCAGGATATGGTGAAACTGCCAAGATGGCTGGCGCTACGACGAAGGAGGTTTACAATGTGAGTTTTGGGTGTTCCTCCGAGAACGAGCAAGCGTCTGATCGGAAAATAGGCCGAATTGTTCGCAGCTATCGAGGAGACCAAGATTGAACGATGGAGCAAGACTTCAATTCACCTCTACTGTGAGTTTTCCAAGTCCCGCAAGCATATCGATGGACCTCTTAGAGAGGCTATTGATCTCTAACTGAACATACATGTAGTCTGCATATTTGTCGCGTTTCTCTGCGCCTGCGCTAACGGCTACGATGGTACGTCTATAAGACCTTTGCCAATCTCGGCACCTGAGAGTCCATTGAATTCCTACATATCTCAAGTGACCCCCGGAAGAAAGATACTAAAAGTAGCTAGGCTCATTGATGGGATCTGTTCTTGCGATGGATCAATACCAGAATGTCTTCAATACTGGCCTGACCGGCGAGAAGGTCTCGGTTGTCACCTCTCTCTACACAGTGTGAGTCCAACTCCGACTAATTCCTGTGGCGATTCTCTCTTTTCTGCCCGTTTTGTGGAAACTGTTCCTCACAAAGTATGCTTTCTCTCCCATAGTGGCTCCATTGTTGCAACCCCCTTTAGCGCGGTCATCTCCGACAAACTGGGTCGACGAAAGTGCATGTTCACAGGTGCTTGTGTGATTATAATCGGATCAGTGATCATCGCAAGCGGCATGACACTGGCTCAGTTTGTTGTTGGTCGATTCATCCTTGGTGTTGGAATCCAAATTATGGTGGTATCAGCGCCCGCCTATGCTGTTGAGATCGCTCCACCTCATTGGCGTGGTCGTGCTGTCGGTCAGTTACTCTCTACTTCCCCTCCCCTTTAACATATCCAGCCCACATCTACCAGTAATGGAAATTTTGACTGATGATCATGAAGGCTTCTACAACTGTGGTTGGTTCGGAGGTAGCATTCCGGCCGCTCTCATTACTTATGGGACGAACTATATGCATAGCAACTACCAATGGCGGATTCCATTCATTTGCCAATGCTTTGCATGTATCTTGGTCATTGCATTTGTGTGGTTCATTCCGGAATCACCTCGCTGGCTGCTCGCCCAAGGTAGAGAAGCAGAGGCAACGGCATTTTTGGTGAAGTACCACGGCAACGGAGACCCAAATGCCCGCCTCGTTCGCCTCGAAATCGAAGAGATGAAGGAGGGAATTCGAATTGACGGTATTGATAAGAGATGGTGGGATTGTAAGTCACGACACCCTCCTTGAATATTTGGATTTTACTCAAGAAACTGATGAAAACCCCAAGACCGACCTTTTGTGATGACACACAGCGGTCGCTGGCGTTTCGCCCAAGTGATCATGATCTCTGTGTTTGGACAATGGTCTGGCAATGGACTCGGCTACTTCAACTCGACCATTTTCAATATTCTTGGATACAAATCTAGCTCGACCCAGTTACTCTTGAACATCGTCAATTCGATCGTGTCTGCGGTCGGCGCCGGAACTGCAGTCTGCTTGACCGATAAGATGCCTCGCCGTCCCGTCCTAATTTGGGGAACCCTGGGTGAGTGTGTCAACGGAAGGGCCTTGACTTTCGGGTATAGATAATTAACCGTGACTCAGCCTGTGCGATCACGATGGCGATCAACGCCGCCATCTCCATTCCTATCGCTGAGACCGGAACTATCAGTAAATCAAAGGGACAGGCCGCCTTGGCATTCTACTATCTGTTCAATGTGGTGTTTTCTTTCACCTATACGCCTCTGCAGGGTGTGGTGCCGGCGGAAGCTTTGGAGACGACCACCCGTGCTAAAGGGCTAGCCCTATCAGGCTTCATGGTGAGCTCTATCAGTTTCATCAGCCAGTTTGCATCTCCGATCGGACTCGGAAACATTTCCACCAATTATTTCTGGATTTTCGTGGGATGGGATCTTATTGAAGTGGTTTGCTGGTACTTTTTCTGGTAAGATACCCTTTGACACTCGTCATTCTTCCGCACAGACATGGGGAATTTTTTCCAGATTAACGTTTTGTCATTTCAGTGTCGAGTCGCAGGGTCGCACTCTTGAGGAGCTTGAATGGGTGTACCAGCAGCCCAACCCGGTCAAGGCCTCCCAGAACTTGGACAAGATTGTCGTCCAACAAGATGGCACTGTGACAGAGAAGATTGAGGCGGATGCTTAGTCGAAAACAGGCTTGTTGATTGAATCGGGAATGCAGTCTCCGGAGACAACTGATGGTGGTGGGGGCATGTTTTGAAGGGGACTGGTTGATAGGGTATTTCGTCATATTCGTTCTAATAGTAAACCGTTCCACTACAATCCACGATATCCGAAGATGCGATGTATCTTTGCACTTGATTCCCCCTCCCCCAGCCTTCCCTGCACCAACATAGCGTTACTCGTTAATACCAAGGACCGTGGAAAGACTTTTGCACAGCGACAAGCGTCGTAGTCGGCGATCGGATCCGTTTGCATGTTTTTGATCCCAGCCCATTTTGCTCACGGGCCGGGCATCATCTGCCGCCGCCGAGGGATGTGATCAGTTTTAGATGCCGGTGGTCACATTCTCCTACCTGCCCAGTCCATGACCTTGGTTGACCATTTCTTCTTTTGAACCTCCCTCAGGACATGAAGTCTGGATCGTGATATGCCAACTATTGATGGTTGTGACTATCACTATGAGATGAAATGATAGAGGTGAAGGTGACGCCGGCCAATTGAACCCCGCAGACGATAGTTTACCTATCTGGACATGCTTCTGGAATGATACTTCCGCTGGGCTGTCGCCTAGTCAGAGCGCATGTTAATGGAGATGAATTGCAATGGCATAGTCGTCTTTGCAGCCTGGACGCTTTCCTTTCCATAATATACACGGGCTTTATCCCAACATCGTTTATTCAATTGCAAAATGGCATGAGGAATGATTTGCCCATAGCCCCTTTGGCTGATTTCCTTCTATGAAAGGGGCATCGAACGGCGGCAAGTATAAACAGGAAGCAGAGCTGAGGCGTTGGGCGTTCACCTCTGTTTCGTTGATCTAGATCCCACGTTCATTGACACTGACTTTGCTTAGCTTCGAACGTTATCTGCAATAGATCACAGAGATATGTGCAGAGATCGGAACTGCGTTCAATCTCTCACTAGAACTCCGATGACGGGAAACCTGCCTGGGGAACCGAAACCCCGGTTGATCTACCAGTCGGCTTCCTTCCGGCCGATGCCCTGGGCGCTTTAGCTACCGCCCAGTTCGGATGTCGCACTATGGGAACAGATCTAAATTATTCAGCAAGTCCAAATAAAGAACTGTCTACAATCAAACCTCGCACATAAAAGGGTAATTATCTACGGCGAGGTTTCGAGGTCCAACACAGGCTCTGGACTCAGATTGCGCTCTCTGGCGCGCGATCGTATGATGACCTACTGAGCAACGAAAGAAAGAATAAGAGACGCCTAGCAATGAGGGGGGCTGCCGGGCTGATGGCCCGCTCGAGTCGACATCATTCTGGCGGTGTACTGGGCCTCGGGGTAGCGGTACACGCCCCGTCGCTCCGATCCCACCAGCCCCGCTCCACCGTTCCCCTCCAGCCGATCCCGGGAAGTCCAATGCTGCCACCGAGTGGCAGGTCTGGCACCGGAATATGTCACTGCAGGACGGTAGACTCGATCGACATCTGCTCGGATAGGCAGGTTGCCATCTCGACCGCCCACCAGATTGACTCGCAGGCACAACATCCTCCCGATCCTGGTACACGCTACCGGGCTGCGGGTACCAAAGCGACCAGCCACTGCCACGCTGGCAGTCCGTGCTTGTCCCCGTTTTCGCCTCTTTGGGCCCTCAGGTTTGATCGGGCCCTCGCAGACCATCCTGAATTTCCCCAGTGAGCTGGCACGGCGCCAATTGGGTGCTCGAGCGAGGCGACTGCAGGAAGCCTGGTCGTGAGCCGCTGCCACGTAGCGCGCTATCTGAATCCCGGGACTGTCTCGTATACTCCATACCATGAGGCGATTCACTTACAGGCTGATCCACGCACGGCTACTGCACGACAGCACAGCAACCGCTCAACTGCGCCCTGAACCGAAGACCAGAGCGAACAAGAGGCTGGGAACCGCGCGGGCTGGAATTGCCACCTGTTGGGTGAGAAGGTGGTGGGTATTGCACGGCCAACCTGGAACTTGACCGTGTCCCAACCTACGCTGGATGGCTCTACCCACGGCCCCAGCCTCAAGGCCCAACTTCCAGGGCGCAATGCTGCGGTATGTTCAGGCTGCTCGTTCAGTCCTGGACCCCACGGGCACGACTAGCAATTACCCTACGGTACCCGGCAGAATCGCAGGTTCCAGTGGGCATTGCCAGCTTATACTGCGTCTCCGTACAATGTTACGAGCATATTACCACGATATTACTACCTTAATACTCCAGCTGCCCGAGTCCAGCCCGGTCCCCGGTAACCATCTCGCTCCCATGCGTCATATCAGGGGGAAATCCGTGCAGAGGCTCCGTCCTTGCGTGCGATTTATCCTCGTTTAAAAAAAATCTCTTTCCCGCCTGTTGCCCAGTCATTGTCTCCCCGGCCCTGCTACGCCGCCGTAATTTCCACCATACCTCCGGACGGCGAGATCGGCCGTCGACTCCACCATTCTCCTGAAGCCCTTCAGCTTGTGCCCGCGATTCTTCCCCGCACAATCGACTTGTGCGTTGGCAACGAGCATCGGAGGCTTCAGCTTCAGAACCCGCCTCCTCCATTTTACAGTGCGCGCCACACGATGCGTCGAGCCTGCCTGCTCTCCCGCCACGAGTTCCCCCTTTTCCCTTGCTCCGACCGTGCCTTGCGTTGCTAGCGACCGCGCAACTGTTGCGATACATCCGATCCGAGTGGTTGAATCAATACAAGTGGCATCGATCGGCACAAACTCGACTTGGGTTTGCATTCGGCCCTGTTTCGCGCACCCGTGAAGTGCTTGTGGTGGTTGAAGACTTCGTCACAGCTAGAACATATACCCATTGAGGCTGGGTCTCTACAGGCAGAGAGTCTTGGTTTCTGGTTCTGCTCCTGAACCTCTGTCCCAGACAAGCCATTTGGACCTTGAAAGCGAGGATTCTGTGCGCGAAGATCGCGCCCTGCGATCAGTCGGATCAGTCAAATCAGTCAGATCTGCGGAAGCGCCAAGATCGCTCAAGGTCAATTGGTCGGCGGCCCGAGGATACGCGCCTTGGGAGCATGGTGCAGCCGCTGCGTTTGAGGGTCGTTTGAAGCTCCTCTGTTCGTGTTGATTGTGCGCTAGCAAGGTGAGCTCGTTCCTTTTTTTTTTTTCTTTCAAATCCCTTCACCTACCGGTAGTTGTTTTTCCTCCCTTCTTGGTTCTGTCCATGGGACCCAATTCCAACTTTTCTTTTTCTATACACATTTGGTTCTCTGTTTAATTGTTGTCATGGACACCTGCATGACTTATCCGGTGAGAAAAGCCGACCAAATGGCTAACTGTACCGACGTGGATAATGCAGACTGCATCTTCCTAGTTCTATGGATGGCCTCCTCTGAGGTGGACCAGAAGGCCTTGGGCAATTTCGCGGCCGTCACGGCCCTCGAAAGCCCTTTCTTGTCGGCAATGCTCTACAAGGTACTGGGTGTGTCGGTCATGCTTTCCAAGAAACTTGTTCGCGCCCGCCGACTGCGCCGACTCGATACCACCCGCGAAACCAAGTCGCTTCAGCTCTACCACCACATCATATGGCTGTCGCGCGAAGGCCTCTTCATATTGGAAGGATTCGTCTTACCCCTGGTCGCCGCATTTGTGGAATTGAAGGTGCTATCATACAAACTCCGCGCCTCGTTCTACCATATCTTTGTGCTTTTTCACAATCGGCCCATCTTTCTCCCCCCCGACACCCAACTCCCAGCCCATGCCATGCGCGACTCAATATATGGCCCGGACTCATTGACAGCGCTGGGTGGATTGGCAGCTCAAGAGGCCAAAAACCGTCCACATCCCCCTGGTCTAGCGCCCGTTCAACCAACCCAGCCTGCCTCCTCCTTCCTCCTCCCCCCGCTCGACTATACAACGACTGCAACAGCATGCTTTAACTACGCCGCCCTCCTTGCGGACAAACTGCTTCCAGGCTCACACCCCCTCCGGCTCTCTGTGAAGCTGGAGTATGCCGCCTACCTCTATGACTGTCTCCAAGATCCAATATCCTCCCGCCGTCTAGCCAAGCGCGCCATCGCAGACGTATACAATGCCCAAGAAGGCATGGATGACGAGAGTTTCGAAGATGCCGCCGAAATCGTCGGTGTCCTGGGCAAGATGGTCAAGCGCGGTGGGAAGCCGGGTAGCAGTACAGCTGGCAGTGCGACCTCTCGCGGCGAGCAGTCTCAGAGTCGCAGCAGTCGCAGCCCATCGCATCTGGACACCAGCGTTCCAACCACCATCTCTCCTGTTTCTGTCACGAAACCTACGCCAGTTCCTTCAAGCAGCGCCGTTACAGCACCCGCTGTACCGAGCGCGAATATGATGAATCCGATTTAATGCCACATGAGGAGTTACGATATAGAAAAGCGAATGGGAGCATTTGTTTTTTGGTTTTTTTCCCCTTCAATTTTATCTTCATTTCTTTCTTTGATTTCCACTCTTTCCACGGTTTGCTAGGGGCTGTTTTTTGCTTGCAATTTATTGTTTTCGTTAATGTATATAAATGTCTATACCATAGATATTGACATGTAAATATTTCGAGGTTGACTTGACACTTCTACCATGCACACGGAGAGCCTAGTACTTCTTCGGCAGTACATACCCTCCAATACTGACGAAGAACTGCATCGCCCGCCCCATAAAGTCTGCAACATCCACTCCGAGCCAGGTGGGTAGCAGCTGCGTCCTGGATGACTCGAGCTCCCGCAGGTAGCGACCAGCAACCTAAGTGTCCATAAAATTAGCTGCATATTATCGTAGACAGGAATCTATCTCACAAGAATGCAATTGCCTTGCCGTGTCTCATCCAACGAAACCAGCGCAATGGCTTCCGCCACATGCTCGACAGTGTTTTCCTCGAGTCCCTGATCCCTCCACTTCTGTGAAAACCCCGCCGTGATATGCGTTGGGGTTAGGAATGGCGCAATGCCGTTTACTCGGACTCCGAGGCTTCGGGCCGTGGATTGAGACGCACGAAGCAGACCCAGCACCCCGTGTTTCGAGGCAATGTAGGCTGTGACTCCCGTGCCGCCGAAGTAGCTAGAGGTCGAGCACACCAAGAGAATTGATTTGTTCGGTTGGGATGCCGCGTTGCTTGGCTGCTTCATGTGGAAGAGTGCAAGTCGAAGCGCTGTGGGAATATCGAGTTAGTATTCGAGCATTCGGCTCATAGACGCAAGTAGAGCGTAGAGCCCAAATAAAACCCGCAATGGCCAAAAGAGCAGTGTGGCATACTATTCAAGGTTCCCTTCAAGTTAACGTCGATAACCCTGCCCGCTTCATCATTCTCCAGTAGACTCCCATTTTCATCAACGTCGTCCAGAGCCAGAACGGGGCTTGACTCCATAATCCCCGCATTCGCGACGACGATATCGATTCCGCCGAACCGGTCAACGGCAATCTTAAAACATGCTGTCAACTGCGCCCAGTCAACGATATTTCCAGGGATAAACAGCACGCGCTCCGGATTGCTGAATTGGGATTGGATCAGTTGCTCTGCCGTCTCACGGAACTGGGCTAGGTCCGCGATCACCACATTCGCGCCGTGGTGGTTAAACAGCGCCGCTGTTGCAGCACCGATCCCGCGAGCTGCGCCTGTTACCAGGACCGTTTTGTTTGCGGCTCCAGAGAGAATGCCGGGGTCAAGTTGAACTTGCGACATTTCGTGCAAGGGACTTGTTTTTCGTTTTCCTTGCGTGGTGATTCTCACACTGGGACTCGACGACCTGCACCTCCTTCTAGGCCCCACCAATGCGAAGAGCTGTGGTGCGGGGTCCTCCTTTAACTGCGTGACTAGTTCCTCTCCAGGGTGGGGACAGGCGATAGACGCGTTCTGAAGAGTGAGAATTACTGAAATAATATGTAAAGTTCCAATGCAATCGAATCAAGGGGCTATTTCCAAGAAGTATTCGTACATGGATCCTCTCCGAAAAGAGATGTTCGTCAGTCCTTCTTCTCACGATCGGCTGCCTGGACCTCGTTCAAGCTCACTCTCGATGGCGCACGCGATGTGTATCTCGATTCTGCAATTCGCGGGTCCATCGTACTCACGGCATGGAAGGAGAAGTCCAGCTCCCCGACCAGGCCTTTCACGTGCCGCATAAGCCTTTCCACGTCTCCCACGATGCACCGAGTGGAAATCTGCAACACAGCGAATGCCGCAAAGCCCGGCTCGGCGATGTGCTTGATACTCAGAATGTCACTGTCAAGGGCTTCCAAGCGCTTGGAAAAGCTATACGGTCGCGGGGCCTTGAGGTATGGGGGCAGAGGTTGGCGATTGGTAATGCTAGCGGATAGAAGACACAGCAATGATGTGACCTCGTGGGTTGTGACATTTGCAGTGCCCACGAGCCGACGGAAGTCGTGCATCCAGGCCGAGTCCGTCTCATCATCATCGTCTTCGCCGAGGCGCATCAACGTGTCGGATGCGTACCCCAGTAAACTGAGATAACTCACGATACTGTAAATGAAAGTCAGCCAACAGTCACCAAAGACAAATCAAGGGGCCGGGAACGACGCACTTCTCGACGCAGACAATGATCGAGTCGTATTGCTTCTTGGGGAATCGACCTCCGATAGGAACCTCCCATTTCAGAAACTCTGAGTAGGTTCGCAACCCATTCAACATCAGCATCTGCTTCGAAAACACCTTGTGTCGCGCCTTCTCCAGCTTTCGGCCCGCAGAGCTTTTGAAGGCCGCATCCCCTTCATCACCACGCATGCGAGCAGAAAGGGTCTCATGGATAATGGAGTAGTAGTTAGCCAGGAGGTACAATGATGCACCCAGGCTCTGACGGAGAACAGAATGCTCTGAGATGGGATATGGGAAGAATGTCCAGAGGAAAGCAACCGCGATACCTCCGGTGACAGTGGCCAGTCGATATGGCGCGAGCAGGTAGATCGGGTAATACGGCTGCCCATTGGAGGTGGCGACCTTTTCGCCCACCTTGCGGACCTGGAGCTCATATCCAACAATCATGGTGGTGGTGACGATGCTAATGATCCCAATGACACGGAAACGGAACATCTTGATGGGGATATAGAAAGCGCATGACACAAAGAGGAAGAGGAAGACAATCACACCCGGAGTCTTCTGGTCCGGTATATACCAGACCAAAAGACTTGCCACCATGGCAATGGTGGTGCCTGCAATTCGAAGCACAAAGCTGAAAATACTTTGTCCAGAAGTGGGTGACATGCTCAAATTAACCATGATCATGGCCCACACAAGTCGTTGCTTGGTGAAGAAAGTCTGGGTATCATGTAGCAGAGCTACAACCGCAATGGTCATGGTCGCACATGCAACCCGGAATCCGTACGAGGATTCAAAAGAGCGCAAGAAGGAGGGAATTACTCGGACCTTGTCTCCGAATTTCTGGAATAATGTGTCAGGGGGCAGACGTTCAGGGTCTTTCCGGTGCTTATAGGCCTCGCCTAGTTCCAGGCTGCTGTTCTGCGCGTGCACATCCCCCAGGTGATCATCTTCGTGGGTATCTTCAGCCTTCAGCCAGCCCTTGACCCATTTCCACATGCGCTTAGAGCCTGGGATAATGAGTCGAGTTCGCGACAGCTTTCCCTTGGCGACAACGCCGTCGGCACTGTGAATGAAATCCAACACCGTGCGTCCAGTCGAATGAAGGAGTTGATCCATCTGGAGATTCATAGTTAGCATTGACCTATATAAAATTTTGCAAAGTGGACACACGTAGAGGAAGAGGTATAGCTGCCGTCGACTCCGATCCTGGTGAGAAGCGGAAGCAGAGAAAAAGTCCCCCTTCAGGGCCTCAACGGAGGAGGGGTGCTCGAAAAAGTCCGTCGGCAGATTGATGCCTTTCTCTTCAGCCCAGGTCTGAAGAGCGATTCGCTTCGCGCTCCGAAACTCGCCCAGCTTCTTTTCAAAGTGAGCCGCAAAGCCCTTTCCTCCAGGTGCAGTGTCCTCAGCCGAGGCCTCTATGTCCCTCCCCTCTTCTCCGGGTTCTTTATTCGTGGTTGGGGCAGATGTGGTCTTCTTGGGCGGCTTTGTCAGTCGGAAGGCATATGAAATATGTAGCAGCCCCTCGTCAATGGTTTTGATCATCTCTGCGAAAGGATCGTGTACCGCCCTCATTATGTCATTCCAGTCGCGCACAACACGATGGCGAACTTCTTCAGGGATAGGCTCAGCATTTGGATCGATCGGCGCGTTCCACCTGTTGTAGTCCGATAATCGCTGGAAGATATCAACAACAAAGCTCAACCCGACCACAGGAATCATAATCTGCCGCAGGTGGCGAAAGATCATTTGCAGGTCATCCGGGCCCAGTTTGCCGAGCGCAAATTCTCTTTTCGCAAAGGATATATCGCCGTGAAGTTTGGCATGCAGATCTGTGATCTGCCGAATCGCCGCCCGAATTGCCTCTGCTTCGGGACTGTAAACTTTACCCTTGTCGCCGAACTTTTCGCGCGCCTCATCATATGTTTCCGCCCGGCCAAACATGTCATCTCTCTCCAGTGACTCAAAATAGGCCGCATGGGCACCCAACGCAGTGCGAAGTCCGCCAATATAACCCGCCATCTGCTTCAAGACCGCCTGCCGTGACGTCATAGGAAGAATAAACAGTGATACAGCCGTCGAGATGGCTAGTCCCGAGAGAAACGTCCTGAGCATCTTGTCCACGAGATTGATGGCGGCGGTCATGTTCACCATCTGGGGTGCATAGACCGATGAGATATTGGCAAAGATGGCGTAAATGATCACCGGGAATTGGAACTGTGGATACTTGGCGCGGAAGGCATGGACGAGCCATATCTGAAAGAACAGCCAGACTCCACTGACTGCGGATGCAGACGAGTTATAGGATTGACTGGTGGCCGCGGTGCGGGTGTTCTCGCGTGCCTTGACACTGGAGTACATCGTGAGCAAGGCGAAGCAGGCTGCGATACAAACTGCCAGGACGTCAAAGATCATCATTTGAATGAATTTGGCTCTCGGCATGATAGCAAAGCCCAGAATTGAGACAATGGCAACGAGGTACCCGAGGGTCGTATACTCGTCTGCGACATCGGTCGCTTGGTAGCTGCGCCGCTTTTTAGAGACATCCAACTTCGCATACTGTGGGGGAGTCTACTTACATCGACACAGCAATTGCCGGCGCAAGACCACCTCTACAGGAATGTTAATATCCTTTCATGGTATCCCTTTCATCGGGTCTACGCACTGTGCACACTTACTTCATCATCAACAGGATAGTCACGCGGTCCAAACCCGACTTTTGCCATAGCTTCTTGATCAGGCCCAAGAGGGTCGTTTTTTCCTGGGCTGTCGTCGCCGTGGATACATGAGTGCCGCGTCGCGAGAGCGAGGGACTCTCCGAGGAGGAGTCCGACTGGTGCGAACTCGTTCGCGTTACCATATTTGGCGGCTGGCACAGCGCGATGGGGGGCCCGCACGGCTTAAGTTCCGCCACACACAAATCCAGTCGTTAGGAAGGCGCATGGACAGTGCCGGACATGACCCACGCGATTCAACACGATATACAGCCCGGGTGGGGTGAACAGCACTCTCAGCAGGGCGCTCCAGTACTTGACTGTCGTAGCGTCAGGTGCGGTGGGGGACAGAAAGAAGAAATCAACGGGGAGAGCGAATTGCCGAGGTTTTCGACCCACGTTTTGAGCGTCGGGTGGAGCCCCCGCCCTTTTGGCTTCATCTGCGATCGCGCCGTTGCGGGGACATGACCGCATCTAGGGAACGCAGAGTTTGATGGTTCGCCAATGTTGTATAGCTGACAAAAGGAGGCTGCAGGATAGCACTGTCGGACTGCATGTTCCTGGCTGCTCAGTGGGGAATAGAGGACGGGCGAATGAGAGGGCCGATAGCGGACCGTTCTCGGACCGTGCTGTAGTCAGCCGAAACTCTGTAGACAAGCTCATTCATGAATGAGAGGGTAGCTTACTTGATCACTCTACAGAGTACGGAGTACGGTGTCCGATAAGGCTTTGTACTAGGCAGTAGACGATAGGCATTGGTTTAATTGGTAGCTGGGAAGTCAGTCTTATCCAAAATGCCCTTGTCGGTGCTAGACGCAGCCCCTGAAAATGGGAGAAAAAGCTTCTTCCCCCAGGGTCTTTCTCTTCTCCACCCAAAAACACGCCCCACGACAATTCATCGATCTGGGGAAGAATTGTTGCCAGGCAGTTTCGCAGTCGGTTTTCGTCTTTCATCCGTGTCTTGACTCGAGACATAGTCGTGGTCATCCGTTATGAATGACTCGCGCAATGGAAACGTCAGAGAAACAGACCAACCCCACCGTGGACCATGATGCGAATACGATGTCTGCCATCAAAGACAACAGCTACGAGACGCAGGACCCTGCCGCACAACATGCGCAAGATCCCTGGGGCTCAATGCCGAAGCGCAAACCAGTTCCGACGGCCATCGCCGCGATCGGCACGGATGAAGCAGCAGCTCCTACCGAAGCAAGTGCAGCAATCGCCAAATCCGTGCCATCTGGCAAGAAGCGAGCCTGGTTTCCCTTGGGCGGTGTTGGTGTTTGGTTCACTTCGCAGAGGCGATCGCGCAAGATCCTCATCATCGGCATTGGAGCAGGCATTCTAATTCTTGCCCTGATTATCGGTCTTGCGGTCGGGCTGACCGTGGGAAAGAAGAAGTAAGGAACACGATAGGCTCGTGCCTCTTTGCACTCTCTTTGAAAAAGACTGACTCTTCCAGCCACTCCAATCTCTCGCTTCCAACCTCCAACGGCGGCCCCTACGAGGGAGATCTGACTTACTACAACCCAGGCCTCGGGGCCTGCGGCTACACCAACACTGACTCCGACATGATCTGCGCAGTATCACATATCCTGTTCGACGCCGCCTCAACAGGCTCAAATCCCAATGCGAACCCACTCTGTGGGCTGAAGCTGAGACTGCGCCGCAATGGGGTAAGCGTGGATGTGAAAATTGTCGACCGTTGTGTCGGCTGCGCAGTCACGGATCTGGACGTCACTGAGGCAGTCTTCAAGAAAGTGGCCGATCTGGATCAGGGCCGAGTAACGATGGAATGGTCCTGGCTGGAGACGTCTCCCGTCTCGGTCTCCTGAGCGCGGCTTTCGAGACGAGATGATACGACTCGTGCCCATTCTGTATTCTGGCCATCTGGCGTTCAATTCCTCTCTTCGAGGGCAGCCCAACTCCAGCTGTCTCAGTTTCTCGGCGGCGATGTGTGGGTCATTTTTCTGGCGCAGATGACACATATCGGGTTGTTGGAAACGAATGCCATCAGCCCTGAAGGAGCCTGCGAAGATGTATTATCAGTTGACAATGAGGCGACAATGTTCGGGATGCGAATGTCGATGCTGCCTTAGAGGCTACTGGTGCCAAAATGAATCTTGTCACGCACGTCGATAACGGTTCACTGCACCTGCCCTCCCTGACTTCGACAAAGTAGCCTTACCGGCGCTTGACCTCCAAAACCCCCTCCCTGCAACAGACCTTCACAACCGTGGCAGCAATCTGGAATCTGCAAGCGCAGGCTTCTTTATCTCGCTGTTAGAGCCCAAAACAAGGCATTGTGGGTGCAACAGTACGAGAATGCTTATTGGGTGCCAATACTAGATACTATTTGAATAATTCAACGGAATGTTGTACCATACACTCATACGAGATCTGTTTCAGTAGAACCCCTCAACTATCCACGCAGGAAGCTATGAGATAGTTCGGAAATGATCAGGGAGGCTGCAGGGTGCGAAAGAATAATGCACTCATTACATGTGAAGAGTATTCCACTCACGATCGCCTTCCGTCCGAGCAGCGAGGATCGGCGTGAGAAATATGCAGCGACTCTGAGCGTATCTACGGCTTCAGCTGGCAAGATCCATGAATAAGCTTATAATAGCCTGTCTGAATGAACATAAGCTTCAATATCCAGATTCGTCATAACATAGCTTCGATGTTTCTATCCCAGAGACTAGCTAGATCTAAACACTACGGCTCCTTGTACAAATATATTGGGTTGTCATGTCCAACCGTGAGCATCCCAACTTATTTCCGGTCAGCGTTCTCCTCCATATGCTCAGCATGCGCGATGCTGTTCTTTTGCAGGGTATTTTCCACATCGGCGCGTCGCTGTTCCTCGTCGATGGCACCGAAGATCAAGTCCATTTCTTCCAGGGTCCGGCCCTTAGTTTCCTTGAGGAAGATGGTGACAAAGATTCCCATAGCAGTGCAGAACACGCCAAACATCAGGAATGTCTTCCAGCCAATGCTGTGAATGGCGCGGGGAGTGATTTCGGTAATCACGAAGTTGAAGAGCCACTGGGTGGCAGCGCCTAGGCCGACGCCGTATGAACGGAGACGAGTGGGGAAGATCTAAAAAAAAGAGAGCAAAAAAGTTAGCAAGGGTCCATGTCAGTAACAATGAAAGACTGCCTACCTCGCTCAGGTACACCCAAGGAGTTGGTCCCCAAGAGAAAGAATAGCCGATGACGTAGAGGTAGATCATAGCAACCATGGCAACGGAGGCTTTCGAGACGACGGTGGAACTTGTGTCTGGGGGGTGGGTGGCCAGGACAGCGCCGATGATAAACATCATAACAGCCATCCACGCGGCGCCGCCCATCAAACTTCGCTTTCGCCCCCAGCGGTCGATTCCGATCAACAGGAAAATCCCGGTAGAAATGACCTTGACAGTTCCGTAGATGCCAGTGGCAAAAAGGGAGGCGTTGGAACTGCTAATCCCAATGGACTGGAAGATCTGAGGCGCGTAGTATCCAATACTGTTGGTTCCTGAAAATTGCTGCCAGAACATAATGGTGAAGGCCAAGAAGAAGCGGTAGCGGTTGCTCTTCTGAAGGCACTCTTTCCAGGTAACGCCCTCGGTAAGCGCAGTCTCTTCCTCAATGGCAGCGTATATCTCCGCAATCTCCTTTTGAACCGCCTCGCTGTCTTCGGGCTCGTTGCGGGTGTAAGCCAGCGAGTGAATGGCTTCCTCGCGGCGACCTTGCTTCATTAGCCAGCGGGAAGACTCTTTTAGGAAGAATAAGCCAACAAGCATCAGGCCACCGGGAATAAGTTGGATCGCCACGGGAACGCGCCATTGCTTTGTGCTTGTCGGCATGTGGATGGAGACGCCGTAGCCGAGCCAGTAGGCAAATGTGCTTCCAATCACCAGAAACTCCTGGAAGAGACCGGCGATACGGCCACGGTGTTGTGGAGGGCAGTTTTCGCTCACAAAAACAGGGGTGATACTGGACATGCCGCCAATCCCAAGACCGGCAACGACACGGCCGCCATAGATCATTCCAATCTCATGGTGGGCACCCACTTGGATGGCCGCTCCGACCATGAAAATCGAGCAGAATATCATCAGCGAATACCGGCGACCGATGGTATCATTGATATACGCCGCAAAAATCGCTCCGAAGAAACAGCCTGCTGTCAAGAGACTGACCACATTCGAAGACACCTGGGAATTCTTGTCGGACGCGAACCCGGACTTGCCGAGTGGCAGACCGAAATCAATCTTAAAGCTATTGAGGGCCAAGACTGAGCCCATCACCCCGGTGTCATATCCTATAGTAACGTATTCTAGTCAGCGGCGCGTCGCCTAACGTGGCGGCGAGGTGATCCGCAGAACGCACCAAAAAGCAAGGAGCCCAGATAGGCGACCGAGGTGAGAACATAGACGCGGTAGTTCTTCAGAAATCGTGCCTGCACCATGATGGCGGAATGTGTGCGAATCCTCTCACTCGAAGGGGCGGCGCACAAGAAAGCCTAAACAAGAGCCCACCGGGTGCAAGGTCCAAGTTCCTAGAAAACCGGGGAACGGTAGCTTCGGCCCCAGGATGGATCCTCTTTTATAATGGAAAGGTCTGGTAACTCTGAGCAACGGTATCTCTGAACTGGTAAGCCGAACAGCGGGTTCGGCTACTGCGAAGCACCGTCAGCGATCTGGTAGCACTTGAGTGCCACCATCTCGCCAGGGGCCCTTTCGACATTGTGGGGGGCACGCCCATGGGGACGCCGGCTGGGGGCCGACTGGGGGCCGGGGAATTGGGCGGAGTCCCTCGCGGGGATCGCAGTGGGGATTGGCCCGGTCGCGGGCCTGCCGATTTTTCCGTCCACACAAGCGTGTGGCTGGCGACCTTTGGCTAAACTGGCTTTCGGCATGGAGGGCACGGGCCTGCAGAGATTCTTCGGCTGCCAAGCAGGCCTATGGAGCGCCATGATTCATGGAAATGGGGATGGGCGGTCCGTCCGTCGGCCCACCACTCATCCATTCGACTTGAAGCCTTGGGAACGCGCGTTATCTACAACCTTTGATACTCCAGGGTGCAGGGTATGGGCGAATAATCCACTGCTCGTCCCATCAGCTTTTTTTAGCATCCCAGTTACCCATCAATTGGCTCTTCTAGGTCGAAATAGCCATCACCAGCACCCTGCCGTGCTGTACGTCGTCAAACGCCGTCGACAACAAAGGTCAATTGCCGAGTGAGCCCGCCGCTCGGCTCCTCGTTTTCATTCCTTGCACAATCCATCCGGGTCTGAGCATTCACTACCCCGGATTTCCGATTGGAGACAGGAGACTTTCCACAGTCCCCACTACTGGGGGTCCGCGCCAATTGTGTATATCGGTGTCGGCGGGAGAGTGGGCATCTCATCATCCTGGCAACAAATATCGGTAGTTGCCTAAGTTCTTGTTGTTCGGGTGATGGACGTTATCCGATACACAGAATATGGCTGATGACTCGGTTGCCGACCACGCAACCCGATCGAATCGGTCCAAACCGCGAACAGATCTACCAAACACACTGGGTGCTCACGCAAAGTACGAATTAAAGAGATCAGAGACGGGAAGCCTAAACTCAAAATACATCTGATTGCATTCTACTGACAGTTGCAGCGCCAACTCTAAGCATCATCAATTCCATTAATACCGTCTATAGCATTACTAAGTAATACAACTTAGGGTATAATAATTGTCTTAGGAAATAAGATAGAGTAGATTCGACGTCCTATGCACGTCCCCCGCAAGTTGTCTACTTTACCTTGTCCCTCGATACGGGTCTAGTGGTTGACTAAAGGTCCTAAATGCGTATTTTTCTAACAAATTCCTGTTACTACCAAACCGACTACTGCAGTTTCTCAGAGCGGCCAAATATCAATCAGGCCGGCTCTTTCGGGGTGGCCGTTCTATAAACGACCTAGTGAGTGTATTTCACCTTACACATAAACCAAGATTGGAAATACATTTTATCATCAACTTGTCTTGATAGTAATGACGACTGAGCTGGTGATTAGGGACGCATGTAGAGTTTCGGCTGAGCAGGTCTATGTTCATTAGTAGCAAGACGGGGAAGATGTTAAACATACCACGTTGATCTGGTGCGGCCGTGAACAAGGGTGCGTGAGCAGGAGACGCCCCAATTTCGGTGAGGTCCCAGAACCGCTCTACGATAGTCCTAGCACTGGAAGGGCAGGGTTCTAGAACCATTGTAATTTCAGAACTGCTCTAGAATAGTCCTAGCGCTGCTAGGGCGTGGTCCTAGAACCAATCTATTTCTGTGTGGTTCTAGAACTAGTGTTGCCAGAGAGAGCACACATCATTTCTTAGGATACACTGTAATCTGGGTTTGACCCACACAGACAGTGCTTTTAGAGCCAGTATTGTCCATTTACATTCGAGGGCCAGCGGAAGTGATCTGCTGCTGGGCCGGACCGATTAAGTAGTCCCTCACCGTGGCGACCTGGTCCCTCGCCCTGACTACGTGGCTATGCGATAGATTGTTGAACTTTTCAGCCCCGCGCCTATCAACTCCGTCACACTTAACAGACTTGTTATGCGTAGCCGACTGGTCACTGTAAGTAGAACGTCTGGGGTAGTTGATCTGACCGAATAGACCCCATTTATATTCCAAGAACCACTTGCAGGGTAGAGATCTGTCGGTCACGTAAGGATACGAATTCAGGGAATGGGGGATCATAGGGCAATGAAAGAAATAGTTGCATTGCGTGTTACCCGTTTAGGGGGCTGGGTGAAATCTGCCGCCTGTGACGAATGTAGTGAGCTGGGACGGATGGAGACTTGGGAGAACTGGAAGAAGACATGGGACAAATCAGGCTGGAACTTGCATGGAAGAGAGACATGGCTCGTCGTAATCGATGTGATCTTCTCCTTTCCCCCTTCATTATGTTATATCCGTAAGCCCTGCTGTAGATAGTCTGTTTCTGTGTTTAAATTTGCAATGCGCCATATATTCGTATAGCCTTCGCCCGAGATCTTGACTTATGAACATGGACCTGCTCGGCCGAAACTCTAAATGCGTCCCCTGTCAATTGATAGTTGATGGTATGGACTTGCGGAATGATGTTCTCTCATAATCTATCGGGCACCCACTGGTTATATTTGACTATCATTTTAAGCCGCAACAAACTTCGACCGGTTGTGCGGCAAACCCGCGCGGAACTCCGCGGAACTCTGCTTGCCTGGACTTTCCCACTAGAGAACTCTGCCAAATGGGCTTCGACGGACTCTAGCGCTTTGTTGTCACATCTGGACGAGCCATTCGAACATCCGAGAGGCACCATCCGCCGGAAACGGAGGTAGACCGGCATAGCCTCAAATGCAGTATCCATTTTCAGGCACCATCACGAAAAGATTGCACAAGCTTCAGGCACCAACTCTTAAATTTCTTGGATGGAGTGTGGTTGAAGCTAATTTCGAGCCACTTTAGCGTTGTTACATCGTTTCAAGAGTGGATATTGTATTAGCTAGTATCCGCTTGTATCTGAGATCCACCGGGGATCTTCCCTTGTACGAGACTGATCCTCTTTGACCTTGGTCACGCATCGCCAAAAACCTTTATCACAATCTCCAAGTCCCCGTCCTCGTAGCCATGACATTTTCCAATTCCTTAGAGTGAACTCTTTACATTCTTTTTCGTAAACACAAGGCCCTTGTCGCGCTGTCATTCTTTATCACCGTCATCTTTTTTGACGGCTTAGTCTCGCGACAATGAGAAGCTTTCCTTACATTCCCTTTCTATTTGCTGGATGTCAGGCATCTTTGTTTTCTAATTCCTTCCCGCGGAAGCAATTGTACAGCATACAAAGTGCAGCCTGGTGATACCTGCACCGGCGTTGGTCAATCTCAGGATGTGACTTATGCTCAACTACTGTCATGGAACTCGGGCATCAACTCCGTTTGCTCGTACGTGTTTCTCTAGCTTGCTTTTTCCGTAATACGTTTGATAATTACCTGTCTAGTAACCTTGGAAGCTTGGTCGGCTCTAGTATCTGTGTGAGCAATCCGATGGGAGACTATAGCCTCGGTGGCATGACACATATTATCACCACTACGGCGTTCGTACACGAGTTGAATATCCTGGACGATTGACAATAGCTAAATGAATTTCTAGTGCAGTACCGACGCCTGCAGGACTTGGTACGAATTCTCGCTGCGGGGAGTATTATAAGGTTGCCAGCGGCGAGAATTGCACCACTATAACTGACAAGTTTAGCATCGCCAGAGACGATCTGTGAGTCGAAGGTAAAAGAGAAGTTGAATTCTGTCTCGGCAGCTGACAAAGAAAAGGCTCTTCCTGAATCCTGAACTCAACCAAAACTGCACCAATCTTTGGGCCGATACTTACTATTGCGTGCAGCCAGTGGGTTACATCGCAACCTACTCTGGGTACGGCATTACGGCGACTCCTACAGCTTCATTTAACCAGACACCATCAACCTCGCCACCAGAAAGTGCAGTTGGACATTAATGGCCCTCTGGAACCAATCCAATCATTCCGCTAGCAAATGGGACGCGTAAAGACTGTTCACAGTAGGTGTTCACTTAACCAGGCCACGGATTATACTGATGCGTCATGAAGTTACATGTGGTTTGATAATACCACAGACAATCAGGCGGCTGATTGTTGGAGCTTGGCCTGGGTTTGGGATATTTCGTATGAAGTAAGTCATCATGATGCCCTCCACATTACGAGATTGAAAGAGGCCAACGTGTTGTAGGAAATGGTCCTTTGGAACCCTTCACTTTCCGAAAACCAAACAACCACCACTTCTTCCTCTGTCACTTCGACAACTGATACTAGCGCGAATACCTTCACCGTATACCCGTGTACTGTGTCAGCCAGTAGTTCCTACTGTGTAGAGCTGTCAACACCCACTGCTTTTAGTGAGTTATGTGATGAAATGCTTATTAACATTCCCGATATGCTGAAATCTGCGCAGGTAAGGACAGTACGGCAGTACAGACACCGTCCCCTCGTGCTAATGGTGAAATCGCCAACTGCACACTGTGGATTGCACCTGCCAGTGACTTCGATACGTGCTATAGTATCATCCATTCCTATAGCCTGAGCCTGGCCGAATTCTATGCAATGAATCCAACAGTGAAGAGTGACTGCAGTGGTCTGGCCCGTGGTACCAACTACTGTCTTTCGACGTATCCAGGTGGCTTTCCCGTTGGTTTCCCGGGCTGGAAGCCGGCTTCCAGTAGTGCGATAAGCAGCACGCCATTGAGAACTTCCACAACCCCGGGCAGTGGTATCTCCACACCATCACCTATCCAAACTGGGATGGTCTCAACGTGTGATGATTTCTACAAGGTCATTCCAAACGATTCATGCTATGACATTGCCAATAACCACAGTATTCCGCTGTCATCGTTCTACGATTGAAATCCAGCTGTCAAGACCGATTGCTCTGGTCTTGAGGCGAATGAATACGTTTGTGTTGGTATTAAAGCCTCGACAACCGGCACAGGCGTGAGTACTCCATACCCTGTTCAGACGGGCATGGTTTCAAACTGCGATGCATTCTACAAAGTCACCGCAGGTGACACATGCGTTGACATTGCCAACAGTCACAGCATTCCTGTGTCTTCCTTTTACAGCTGGAATCCTGCTGTCAAGGCGGATTGTACAGGTCTCCAGGCAAGTGAGTATGTCTGTGTTGATGTTAAGTCCTCTGCTACAAGCACCGGTATCACGACCCCGGCTCCCATCCAGACTGGTATGGTGTCCAACTGCGACAACTTTTACAAGGTCGTCACGAACGATCAGTGCGGTCAAATCGCAAGCGAGTACAGCATTCCGCTGTCTTCATTCTATAGCTGGAATCTCGCCGTGAGGACAGATTGCTCTGGGTTACAGGCTAGTGAATATGTTTGTGTCGGCGTGGCTGGAGCGGCAGCACCGACGGCTACAAGCGCGTAGAGGGAGTTTTATCAACTTGGCTCAACTTTCTCTGATCATTCTCCAACCCACGAAATGGTTCATAAAGTTAGATGATATTGGCCAATCTATCAATTAATTTGTCACTGAGATCTTCCCCATTGAATGAAACCCAATTCGTCAAGCTCTCGATCACTCAGGTTAGGTCGTGTAAATTCGGGCTCGAACAAGTCGCGTACTTCTCCCATGCCATATTGAGGATTGTTTGAATCCCGCCCCTGCATTGGATTCTCTCCTGAGTCATACAGAAATTTATCCACCTCGTGTTCTAGCCATACTCCCCTCCCAATCATCCGCTCGTAGCCTTGCATAATAATCCTAACGCTTGGTCTGTGGGTATCATTTGACCACGGCAGTTCTGTGCGAATAGCCGACAGGAGATCGTTCCAACAACCTCTGTCGTATTCCAGGTCGAGAAGACCAAGCTCAACAGACTGCAGCGTTTTTGGCAGGAGTTTTAGTAAACCCAAAAGGTCAGTTTGTGAGGCGTCAAACCGGAAAAGGCTAAAGTGACGAAGTGCTGGCCAATCTTCGACCGGAAAGACACTCGTCAACAGAATTGGCGGGCCCCTAGGGCCAGGATCGAGTGTGGTCGAAAAGCTGACATGTTGTAAGTCTCTTGCTTCACCTAGAGCACGACGGAGATTTCCACTGCTTTCTCTGGCCCAGCGATATGTTCCAGTTCCTCCAACATGAAGTGGGAGATCCAAGTGACAGAATTTAGGCCGCTTCAATATCGCCGTAAAATGATCGTACTCCTCACACGGTTGTTCTAGCATCATGAAATTGATGCCAGTTATGAGCGACACAGTGTCAAAGCTAAGCTCCGAGACATTGTGATTGGATTGCGCCAAGATGCGGAGCACGATTCGAGTTCCGTGCCATTGTTCTTTATACTCCCCTGGTGCCTCTGACCAGGGGAGGGGATACTGGGTCACTTCCCATAAGCCCACCGTGGGCCATCCTCGCGGAATCGGGTAATTGAACCCGTAAGGCAGTGATCTGATTGTAGGGTTCCATACAGCGGAGAAAAAAGCCACCCATGTGCTGCGGGCGTAACGACGACTCTTTTCAAGGCTGGAAATCGGTCAATGCCGTAGACAAAAGCCTTCTCGTCGCTCCGTGAGGCCAAAACTTCGTTCTGCTGCCGCAACAACTTTTGATAGTACTCCCAGCTTTCCTCTGGGGGCATCTGTGCATCAACCTGTTTCTGTCGTGCGACATGGTAAGGATGATCCCGATCCCAGAACTTCCGGTGTGTGATGAATTGGATGTTGTCCTCGCACTCTTTGAGAAACCAGGATGGAGGATGATTTTCAGGGTCAATCTCAGGCAATCTGGGTGTAGGTGTTTGAATCCCATTCTCTATCATCGCATACTTCATCCTCTGAAGGAGGGGGAGCTGCAATGAAGCGCGCCTCGTCCCAGATTATTTCTGTGACTTGATGTCGAAACTTGGGATGGTCCGCCACGGCGTTAAACACCCCAATGTCCAGGGGGTTGGCAGAGAGGAATACCCGTGAGAGACATAACGGTATGATATCCCGGAACACTTTGTATGTCAGTCGCAGAGACTTGCGATCGCGATTGGTCAGGGACGACAGAATCAGTGACAGAATCTCTAGGGGTACGCCAGCAAGCCCGGGCATGTTGCCTCGCACTGGGGACCCAGCTCCGGACGCCTGTGACACCTGAGATGCCATGAGATGATTGCGAGTATTGCGAGTGGGGGTCTATTGAAAGGGCATGAATGGCGCGTAGTTGGAGGCGATGGTTTGAAAAGGACGAGCCCCACCGTGCTCTTGCGAGAACTACCAGGGTCCGGTATGATTGTTACCACTAGGCCCAATAGAAGCAAGCGGGCCCCGTCGGCAATCTTAAATCTCCACCACCACTCAGGGTCCGCGCACGGAAATGACATTGGCGATGAAGCCAGTGGTCACTCGTAAATGTACCGCAGCATTGCATTAGTATTTGCGCTGTGGTACTTCCCGCATACACCGCCTTCTTTATTAATCATACGATAAACCCACGCTCCTCACCCTTTATTCTCTTTCTCTGCCTAGTAACACCTTACAGTATATAGGGCGCAGGGTATTGGATACGAAACCTAGCACCCTATCAATTGGGAACTTCCTACAGGAACTGATGTGGAGAAACTTGAACGGCAGAAAACATAGTGGGCCCCTTAGCATGCCAAGGTACTACGGTGCAAATACTAATGCAATCTGACTTGTACATCAGGGGAAAAAGATAAAAGCAAAGAAACAGCTAAATAGCCCTCAGAATTGACGACGATCAATCGAACTAGATTGAAGGCCAATATTGGAAAAGGACCAAAGCCAGATAAATTCTATTTCACAAATCTCCATTATCAATTTCACGACTCCATGTCCACCTAATCGCAGTCTATCCATTTTAACTCCTTGCTTAGAATTGCACTAGGTCCTTGCCTTCCCAGTACGAATAGTCTTATTTGCGGCAATACCTGTCAAGATCGACATAGCTCCGTCGACATGCGAGTCCAGCCGCACCAGCACAGGTTTCCAGTTCCCTGCACACATGAGATGAGGTCGTAGCGTCTCAATGCAGTGGTTGACATGTGTTTTTGACAGTTCCGGGGATTTCTGAAACCCCTCCGGTGGCACTTCGTAGGAGTCAAGGTACGTGTACTGTCGAATCATGTACTGACACGACAAATTCGTTCCTATCAGGCAGATATATCTCAAACACATCATTATCCACATACCAGATAATGCAGCTAATGAAACAAGTCTATATTAGCTTCGGCACCTCCGCCATATTGCGTGGCATCCACCGGCCTATTGAGTGAGGATAACTTGTTCAGCGGAACGACGTTGATGTCGTGTTCCAAGTTTCTTCAGCAGCTTGTCCAAACCATGAGATTGACTACAACACTTACGTCTCCAAAGACGATCCCATGCGAGTTCTAGCTTGGGAGTTGGTGATCCCCGGTATATGGGCTCCTAGTGGAAGTTATTCACCCAGTCGACCTCATAATATTCCACTGCCTCTAGCAATGGGGCTAAAAAGTTGCGGTCAGCAGATATTTCATATATGTCGGAATACCTAAGCTGTGAAACTTGAAACCCACAGTAAGGTAATAATTGCATTGCACACTTCCGGTCACTGGGTGCAAGAATGGTGAGAAATGCAGCAAACAGCAAACATGCCCCTCCAAATAATGCAATTGAAATGGCCATGAGGACTTGGGGTCGGCAACATTGTCTATTGGCGGCTAATTTTTGTAACCCCACGAGAGGCGTATTCTGTTGCTCTTCATATTCTCCTGGACAGGGTTCTTCTTGAGACTGAGAAACTCTCATGTAAGCCGATGTGGCGACCATCTCGACTTCAGTTCAAAAGGTAGATGCTTTTGGGTTATGGTGGGCTAAGTGGAATTTTGAAAAAGGATTTGAAATAGGTCAAAGGAAGGACTGACAGCTTCCAGCGATTCTAATTCACGATTCCCAAGGCCTGAAATATACTCGTATTAAATAAAAAACTTAGAGGGGTCTGTCTGCCAGTCTCATTTGGCCAGGGTCTCAGGTGTAAGTGTGATCACGGTTTTTCGCCTGGCATACACATAATCTTCCTTATCAGGAAAAATTCAACCTGACCTTGGTCTCGCAACCAAGAGATCTATGGACGTATCTCGTGACTGTGCAAGCCTTCGTTTCTAGCTCCTAGGGGCCATAAATCCATGTTTGTTGACATGGATGATTAGAGGAGCTATCGCTATTAAACTAGCTCTAAATATATGTGGTTGACTGAAAGCTTAATACACATTTCTAGCAAATTCCTGCTACCGTACCTAGTTTCTCAGAGCGGCCAAATATCTATCAGGCCGGCTCTTTCGAGGTGGCCGTTCTATAAACGACCAGGTAATTGTAATTCACCTTAGACATGAAATATTGCAACCGCATAAGAGATTTAATCATTACTAGCTTACGTGCACATGGTCACTGACTCCCGGGAATGTCCTAATTCAGACATCTCGTCATCACGGCCCCTTCGGTATACATCATCATGGCTCAAATTGCCCTCGGAGACATTGATTATACCCTTCCCGTCAATCGACGAGTCGCGCCTTCGTGTCCTTGAGCGCATTGTGCTAACCGCATTGCGGGAGCTGAGTGCATATGTATCCCTGCTGCGTATTTTTCGACCATCGACGGATCGCAAGAGAGACCGTATACTCGGGATGGACGCGGTTATGATCACCAAGTACGTCTCGATATACAGCCAGCGGTCATAGTTGATTGTAGCCATTGTTGGCTCGCTGACTGAGGTTGCAAGAACACGGGTTTCGACGCTTTTGATGATCGAAGCAATCATTGCACTTATCAAAATAAAGCGTTAGCACTTCACCTGGAGAACTCGCCATTGGCGTGGCTCACAAGATTCCTAGCCCCAGAAGAGTAATCAGGCCCAGCTTAACTTGTAACTTGAGGTTCAAGTTCCAGAATACGTATGTCGAGAAGACAGCAAGAAATAGATCGGTTGCAGCATTGAAAGCTTTTCATGTGGTAGATCAGTCAGTGCTCTGAAAAGCCATGCACAGGAAGGGTATCCTACCTCCCTGGAAATAGCCATAATAGGCCTGAACATGCTGATTCCAGCATTTAGCTTCCCCCGCGTGATTCCAGATGGCGGATCCATGCCCAGGGCACTGAACAAATATTATGATAATAAATAGGGTGTTGACGACCACTTGAAGGCCGGCCAAGATCCACAGCATGATTCTCTGGGATTTTTTCTGAACCAGGAGACCAATGATGAAGACAATAAAGGATATTCGTCCTGAAGCCCCACCGGCAAGTCCAAAGGTCTGGGCCAAATAATCATGCATGATGATCTTGGGAACATTCGCGGTGCTGACGTCCGACGTCTCTTGACCGAACCCCAATTTTACGGCCAACGTAATAAATATTGATCCGACCATCGCCAAGCACTGGATGTGAGATATAAAGTTAGGGATGATCCGAAAAGGATACGATTGACTTTTCTGCGCCATGTGCAGAGTTAGCTGGTAAGAAAGAGGCTAGCTGACCAATGCGAAAGCCATGAGCACATCATCGGCACCAAACTTCCCGATTCTCATTTTCGCAATGATTCTCATAACGAGGACCAGAAGGGCAATTGCTGTAAGGCCCCAGACATCTCTGAGCAACTGGGGCCCAGAGTTATAGGATAACTCTCTGGGTAGAAGAGACATGGCGGATTTAGAGGCCTGGCTGATTCATCATCCAGGCGCGAGCTTGGCAAAACGAAGCTGCTGTCCTAGGGACCTGGGACATCAACCCATCGGCTTCATGGTTATAAACTGAACCCCATATCAGTTGTTATCACCAAGGGGCGATAGAAATATTGACCATCGGCGATCTCCATCATGCACTTATATGGCACCTTTAGGCGCACAGGGGCAAACTTGTGGGGTGGATAGGGTTTGTCGGAGGTCGCCGCCTTTCTGGCTTTCAGGGACATGTGACAGGCACGAAGCCAGATGCGGGTAACACTACTGGTGATAATGGATATAGCCCTGATTGGCCCCCGCGAAAAAAGCAAATCGAGATTTTGAGCAACCCCTGCAGCTGAGGCGGTCGGGCGAAGAGATCTGATGGATACGCCTGTTCCCCCTAGGTGATGAAATATACTTCTAGATCCCCAGATCTTGTGGGGGCAATTCGCTAATCTACATTGCCTCTAAGATCATTCACCGTTATCTTCAGCTAGAATGGTGTTGATAGGAGGTACCCGACAAGAAAAGGTTGAAGTTGTCACAGTGAGAGTGAAGCAAGCGACCTTCTTGATCCTCGACTTCTCCGAATTAGGCGAAAAGGTAGAAAAAGAATATCATTCCATGAAATCCACGAGTTCGAACGCATGCGACCTAGGGCGCCTGGAGGACATGATGTATTCGTGATAGCATTGGTGGCTACCTCAGCTTTCACCTGAAATCGAGTTAATTAGCTAAGTGTTTGGCTGGTCTATTTCCGTCATATGTACTTGTTCAGGACTCGGGGCTATGTAGGTCATAATGCAAAGTTTCCTGTTCTAGGGCTTTGCCCCCTGAGACTAATAGGACTGCTCTTGCCCCCTAAGCTCCCAATGCAGAGGACTTCCTTTCACAAACGCATTCAATAGTCTCATCCTTGTTCTCTGCAACCCTAACAATACGCAAGCGCAAGTGCGGATCATCTCCTCCCCCACCGTCCCGCTCCTTCCAAGGGACATTTTGTTCAGAGCCTAGATTCGCTCAGACCGAGGTCGAGAAAACCGAAGATGAGTGGAATGATCTTACCAACGCTCCACATACGTACAACTTCGTCACCTCCAAGCGCTTCCCTACCGAAATGAAACCATACCTCCCCCATCAGGTCACTTTTGTAGACGCATCCCAGCCTGAGTCAGAGTTTCGTCTTCCACACCCGGGCTTATTTGACTGTCACTATCGACCTGCGAAATTTTTCCACGCGAGTGGGATGGGGGAGGTCATTGATAAAACTCTCGATCGTTTGAAGGAACTTAAGACTGGTTCAGTATTAGCTCGTGATGGTACTACTGATCTGTGGTCTCTGCTTCGATACGCAGTCTAGGAATCTGTCACAGATTAAGCTGCAAGCTGCATGATTTGGCGAGAAGCCATCGGGCTGTGGGCCACGAAGCCCTAAACATGGGGATAGACTCAGCGCTAGACCAGGTTCTCTGCGGGGTGCAGAATCATCGTCGCCAACTCGGTTGAGCTTTTCCCGGCCACTGTTCTCGCCCACTTGGACACTGCTCTATGGAGAAATGAGTGACCTGAGAATCGATGAGGTGCAGATTCGATTGAGATGAATGTGTCATTCAATAGTGCTGTTTCACAGACAATTTGCGGAGAATTAATGATGCAAAGACCTAACAAAGCTTCGAGCCTGGACCGGCGTGCACTGCCATACAAGGCTACTATGCAATAAGAGCCTTCTCCCCGACTCCGAGCCATTTCGCACCAGAGGGACTGTATCCGTTTGAGCGGTGTAAGACATCCAGGGCTATAGCTGAGGGCGTGTATTTCGAAAACTGACTAACACTGAATTTTCAGCTTTCGCTATGGTTTCACCAGCTCTCTGCTCCACAAGCTCATGTTTTACGGAACTCTCCTTGGTCGTTCCTCGGAGATTTATCTATATAGCAATGGCCCGTATGAAATTTCCCGTGGGCAAATTTGACCCAACATGGCTTGATTGCTTAAAACTATGGCCAATGCAATAAACCCTACTGATCAAGGGAGGTCAGGTTACCGGACAAAATTCTAACTGGGGAGGATGCGAGCACCATGGATCCATTTTTGAGATTAACCCCGCACAATATTTCAAAGCGGCATTTCGACCATTTATGGACTATTTACTATTTGCGTTGACTAATCGTTGCAGATGACGACAGTCGATTACACTCTGGGGATACCCTTCCACGTACGGGAGCAAGTCCAGGCGGGGAGGTGGAGCCAATCACTTGAGAGTTTGGGTCCGATAAATTATCCGAATCAGAGCTTCCATTTCCAGGGTTCTCAAGAGCGCTTATCCGATCCTTTTCTAGCCATTTGAAGCCTCGGGCCGACCCCAGGCTCCCGTTACATCATCACTAAGGCTCTCTTAACTTCATCCGGCAAGTTCACAGTACGGTACTGGAGATGAACTGGGACTGCAGTCTGAGAAGTTTAAAAGGTCACTAGAATATCTCGGACCTTTTTTCCCTACAGAAATCTCTCTTCTATCTGCATTGTGCACGCATTGAGCTTGCGAGACATCAATTCCACAATGAAGTCTTCTTTCTTTTGGGGGCAATGAGCCTCCTCGCAGCCAGTACTGGATACTGTGCGACGGTGACCGTACCTAACAGTCTGTTGCTCAATTCCATCGCAGAGTCGGTCTCTCTGCCAATGTTCACTTGGTCGGCCAACGGAACCCACACTGCCAAGGGATATACTACCGAGGCAGCCGATGAGACCAGCGTCCAAGGGATGAAGGAGGACTGCGACAACATCAATCTCAACAAGAAGATCGCTGTCGACTTCCGTAGTGACGTTTTCGGCCCTGGAGTCATTGGATTCTTCTACAAGTGTGAAAAGATCCGCCAAGATACCAATCTCTATTGGTTCACTGTCAGCTCCGGCAGTTCCTCTCAGATCGACCAGCTGTGTGATCCCAACACAAACTACCCCATTGTTTATGACTCGCAGCACAACACCTGGTGGATTGATGAGCCATTTGATTGCACTCAGCGTACCTCCCCGGCGAGTTGATTCTAAGTATCTCGAGGCATACAGGTATCAAAGTTGGGGAATAGTCTCGAAATATGCCGTCCAGAATAAATGGTTAACTCTGTTTTAAAGACCAAGAGTACGGAAGTACAGCCAGCTATCACTGATATGGAGTGAAAACCGCGAAAGACGCACAGCCTGTGAGTGGTGGAGTCAAGCAACTTTTAGAATGTATATTGTTAGCCTCGCATTGACCCAGATCCCTTCAATCTGCCAACCTTTCATGTACATATTGTGATTCTTCACCATACAATTTGAAATAAATTATTCTCCGAACTCCCTAGGACATGCTGCAATATTGTATCTCGTGCTGTGGGAAATTCAGGCTTGGAGGCTAGTTCTTCGTCACCAGAGGCTATTTTAACGGCGAGAGCCTGAAAAACAACAGAAAAAATTGCGGACCCTTTGCGTATAGTCCGTCCATGACTTCTGCCTGAATATGGTTGATCTGTTTTTGCAAGCAAGAGTGAACGAATCTATCCAGTTGGTATCAAACGCTTCGGGTGATTAGTATTCCTCGTGAGTATCTATCTTGCATTTCCAGGCTTTTCTGTATTTTCAAACACGCAATGGGTTTATTCAGGCAGAGGATTCACGCATTTGACCTCATTCCCAGATAGCGTGTCCAAGCAATCATCCTCCAAACTATAAACTACAGATGTTCATTACGAAAGACATTCCAGAGCTTGAGTGAAAGAATGGCATATTCATATTAAAGCTTCCCTATCTCACAGGGAGAAGCAAAGAATAATATCAAGAAAACAGTTGGCTGGCTAGATACCAAATTCTCTGCAAACTGGGTGATACTCATCCGATATCTACCTGAAAATTCCAGTGTAAACCCTTGAATCAGAGCCTACGATGGGTGCTGGACTGGGCATTCCAACCCTCCATTATCACGGGCTTTGTAGTCCGTCGATCATGGAAACTTTTGCTTTGATCAGGTAATGGGTCACAAAACACCATTCGATGCTACAACCTGATGCCGAAGCTCTTGAATGATGAAGTCGCAATATTGATTAAACCGTTCAATCGTGGTGACGGTTTGTCCGTCCCATCCAATTCTAGCCAGGGCTGCCTCAACATGGGGCGCTAGAGCGCCTTCCAATCCCCTCAACACACTCAAAAAGGCCATGGAAGGAGATATCTCCACGCCATTTATCCAATGGCGGTTGAACTCGAGTCGAAGGGCTATGGTGTGCTCAATCGGGTTGAAGTAGCCATCATTCATCTGAAATCGGAAAGTTTCCGTGGTGTTTCGGCGCATGAAAGTTGCTTTGGCTTCGAAAATGAACTCGTCCGCTAGCGCAATTCGGTGGCCTCGCTTCTCAATTTGCCTGTACATATGCGGTGTCATCATAGAACTCAGCCAGGATTGTACCTGGATGGAGCTCTGGAGCCAATGGAGAGCATATGGGTCAGCCCTCCTTGGACGAGGGATGTTGATGTCGATCAAGTGGTCCAGGTGGTATGCCCTGAGAATATTTGTGGCTGCTGCCAGCCAGTGATCAAACCGGTGTGGGGTCTCCAACTTGGTGGGCCACTCCAGGGAAGAAATACTGATAACTGCAGGAAGACCAACGGCTTGATCAAAAGGGGGCTCTCTGGTAGGGAAGGTACTCCAGTCTCGGGTAGGGTCATCTAGAAGCTGGGCCAAAGCTGGATTGACTGAAGCCATGACAATATCAGTTTAGAGGGATGATGGACAGCAGTGTTGGCGCGATGCAACTCGAAGAGACAGCCTGTTTCACGGTTGGGTGTTCTCTGGGAACTGAAGACACTGTTAACTTGCCCAGACTGGGGTTGCGTGCGGTGAACTGCTGAGAGGTGATGATGCGAGTCTGGTGGGCAGTGGGTGCATGAGAGGCAGAGCAAGAGCAAGAACAAGTGTGTGCCAGCGGGTAGATGAAGATCTAATGATGAATGAAGGAAAAGCTCACTTCACCTGTAGCTGAAAATTTTTATATCCTACTACTTGGTAGCAAAGCTGCAGGGGCAGTTTGCCTGTATGCATCTTCGCTTTCAATTAAGTTACAATGCTTGTTTTGTGCCGTAGGCCCAAATGCAGAACGACCCTCCTTACAATATTACGACCCAAGTTTATGAGAATTAACCCGTCAGACCTCTTCTTGTTCTTCTTCAGTTTACTGGCTGTTTGGTTCTTAGTGGTGGCCGCGTTATTCGTGATCAACAGAGATGGTAAATGATCGGACGATAGTGGCCAGGATACCGGCGACAAGTTCGCTGTTTGAGCTTCCTACCGTCCCAGCTGCCAAATTGGCCTGGGGATCGAAGGGATCAGGCTCAGTTTGGCTGTGATAATTCTTTTCCGTGTTTGTTTGACATGGGACAATTCTCCTTCCTCTTGTTTAGATCCAGGATCATGCAATTTTATAGCAAGAATTACTCATTCCTCCAAAATTAGCTAATCATCATCCTATTTCTTAGCCATATAAGACCTTGTTTATAGCAATTTGAGTTTACTCCAACAAGGGCCTTGTCTCCTCGTTATCTTGTACTTCTTCCTGGCCCTGTGTCCGTCTCGAGCGGCTCTTCCAGAGCACTTTAGACAATGAGGAAATCAACCAGTTCCGTGAAGTCTTCCGATCTGACCTCTCTCTCTGGCGGTCCAAGTGCTCATTACCGGTCCTCTTCCAGCGATGCCGCACGCTCTTCACAAGGTAAAGTGCGCCATAGCCGACACCGATCGCTGCTAACGTCCCCAGTACTGCCACGATAACAGAAATAACTGTCAACGTACTGGCACGGCATCCAAATGGTAACGCTCGGAGCTCCCATCTCTCCTCAGACCCAAGTGGGCAGATATTGGCAGACCGAATGGGCGCCAGGATAGGGAGGCGTACAGGGTTGGGCACACAGGTGGAGGACTAATGAAGCGGTTAGCAGGTTTTGGGACAAAGACTGTGCACTTTGTGAGAGTCTAGCATGGCTGGATGCATTCAATAAGAAAACGGACATGCCTCAGACAGCAGGGACAGACATGAAGTGCCCCATTTTGACGAGAGGCGAGCGAGTAGTTAGGAGACAAAGCGAGGCACTCGGGGCGGGAACATGGAAGACATGAGCAAACATGAGCAAGAATGATCAATGGGCAATTGCATGAACGCTCCAAAATGGATATTTTCTAGCTGAACGTTTCTCATATCAAGATAGATGGTAAATAGTGTAACCTACTATCGCACACCAACTGCAACCAACATCACCCGTCAGACAAGACGAGCACGACTGGCGACGCCAGCAGACGTGGAAAATCGGGTCATCCAGAATGCTCGATGCATCGCTGTGATTCCCTAGGTTCTTACTTGGAACCATCGCGCGGATAGGAATTCTTACGTCCCACCTCGTGTGAGGTGCTCCACGACTGGGGGGCTGTAACGTGGACGGGAAACAGGCATCAACGCCGCCTCTCCATACATGGACGGTGAGAACACGCGCACAGATAGAGGACGATGGAAACGAAGTCAAGCACTGATGGGAGAAAAGCAAATGCTAACGACTTGGAAGGACGTTGGAAGGGCTGGAACGTGCGGGGCAGGCGTATAGAAACCTGGGCGGTCGAAGAGGGCTGTGCCTTGGGTCGGGCCAATGTACCCATGGATTTCAAGTCAATTGCGGCTGGCGCCGCGGCTCTTGAAAGGCCACCACGCGCATTCGGGCGCATTCCTTTGCCTTTCGGGCTTAGTCTGGGCGCAGATTCATCCATTCTGAGATTCCGTTTCATTTGGATGCTCCCTCCACATGAAACATCTACGCATCCCGCCCATCTGTGGTCGATCTTTGAACTTTGCTGGTGGTACAGGTAAATTAGAAGCTATCAAAAGTTGTTTGCATGACACCATGACGTGAGATAAAAATAAATGGCATAAGAAAGTGCCCCGTGCCAGCCATAACGAAGTCCATCGTCCACCAAGGTAGCAGTGCCAGAAAGGTCCACTTGGAGGCCATCGTCGCTTTCAACAAAACGTTTTCGCATTTCTTAATGGCCGAAGAGACGGGGACAAAGGAAATCGCTTAGACGACACGCTTGACCTAGATATGCGACCAGAGATTAGTCTTGCCCGTTCTGTATACCCCAGTCGGTCCGCAGTGACAGCACTCACCTCGAAGAATCGCTTCAACCACCAGACCTGGAATATGCCCTCTCCGATTACCACGGCCAGCTGGAAGATGCTCCACCACTTCACCCGACCGTTCGTGCTCTCCGCGGTATTCCGGTGCACCCGCTCGCGGACCACGATGTACGACTGCTCATCCCTGACCTGTGCGAGAGCGTCGGACAGCTTGCGGACTATATGTTCTCGGGTGATCAGCCTGGGTTCCCCCTTCCACCGCTGGGTGTCCGGCATCTCTCTTACCTTCTGCCTCGAGAGGGTCCTGCGACATCTCCGACTCCGGCACATAGACGATGCCGTGGACGTTGAAAGACACCTCCTTCGAGTTCGAGGTCCAGCCCTCGTTGCTGAAGCAGTAGTTGTATCTGCCATCGGTGTGTGCGGTAAAGGAGTAGTCTTCGTTGGAGATGGCTTGCTTGTAGTACTGGCGGTTGCGGAGGGGATCCTCGACCTAGAGCGACCATCGTCAGTTCTCTCTTCCATTGAATGGCTTGAACCCTTCCCTCTTTGCAGTGCTCAGGCACCTCCCCATGAGCGGAGCTTTCGACGGAAAGCCTCCGAATCAGGGGAAACCCGCAGCAGCGCACGCAGACATACCCAGAAATCAATCTCGAGGTTTCCACTGCCGCCAAACTCCCGATCGCCAACCTGGAAGGTGACTGTCATCAGATCATCGCGGTGAAGGTTCTCGTGGAAGCACTCTCGCGAGTGAGCCTTCAGCTGGATGGTGTGTGCGGTCGCGGCGGAGATCCACCCTAGCGCGGTGACCAGGAGGGCGGTGGTGGAGAATCGCATTCTGAAAGGACCGTGACCCAATTCCTGCGGGCAGGTTTGATCGAATTGGCGGAGGGGAGTTGGGCTGGTGGTGATGGTGCAGATGGTTCTCGGACGGGGCCAACGCGCAAGGTGTCAATTGGAGACGCTCGGACCATCCGCTGTAAACAGCGCCCTCGCCGCGGAGTGGAGATAAAAGCCCCAAGGATGAACATCAATTGACACCGAGCTATTGGGATCTCTGAATACATATTGGGCACTTGGGGAAATTTCTGGTTTGTCTCTGAGTAAACAAGCGGCACCCAATATCTAGCCAGAATCAATTCCCTAATAGTTGGGAGCGCCAGCCTAAGGAATGGAGGTGAAAATTAACTTGTGGTCGTCCATATAACCCATTAAAAACTTGCTGAATACCTGGTTTTGCTTTCAAGTTAAGAGGCACACCATAGTACACGGGCAGGATGTGCATCACTGACATGATCCTGGTTTCTTACTTGTATTTATTTTCGATTTACTCTACTCAACCGATGGTCATTTCGAAAGTTCACTAGGTTATACTTGTACCTGGTTTACAGACTACCGTGAGAGGGAAACAGCTTGGTGGTCTCGTGCCCCGGACGCCCATGCTCTGATAGATCATCTCTCCTTTGCCGTTTACCCAGGGGCATCTTTCCCCTCCACCCCACAGTATCAAGTCTGTGAAGTGGCAGGAAAATGATGTGCGCACGCTGGAGCCCCTACCGCCACGGAACCGTTTCGCCCGACGGATCCACGGATTAGCAATTTTGGTACAGAGGCGAGAGAAGATTCAAGTAGCCCTCAAGGCTGAGGAAAGAAGAGAGTTCATCCGGTCACAGGAGCAATCCAGAATCTGCCATTGGAAGGAAATGGTCTAGCGCACGCTGATCATCGAGATAGGGGCCCAGCGGAAGCTCCTCAACGCTGTTTCTTACCTGCAGTCTGTGCTAGCGCCACGTTCTATACACCCACCATGACATCTGGAGCTCCGACTCGCGGGTAGCGCGGCAAACAAATAAAGCTCAGAACATACCTGTCTATCGGTGTCGGTATTCCGCCGCATTTCCAATGACTAAGATGGACATGCACAGAAAGTGGGCTGCATACTTCCGATTCAGTGAACAGAGGAGTATGGGTGTGGCCGCGCTTGGATCGGTCTGGAATATCCATTTAACGACATCATGTACTTTACACTTTGACTCAGCCTTGCCCAGCCAGCACAAGTAAATCCTATTCGAGGTGCTTGGCTGGATTTGAAATGCAACGGTGGAAAAGAATGCCGTTGAAACTTGGCCGAAGTGGAGGTTGTATGGACAAGCGGTAATCTGGATCATACCAGTGTGAAGAGAAAAATGCTTGAAATTTGCCGAGATTTTTTCGCACTAACGGTTATAAAAGAAGGTGCGAATCTCGCTCGTGAAATGGACCTGGACAATCCGTGCAAGATCATTTGTCTTTTTCCGTTTGCGCCTTATCTGCCTGCGGCTAGGCTCAACCCGATCCGATCTGATCTATCTACCGTTTCGAGATGTCGTCCACCCCCATCCAAAAGTTCACTCTAATTTCCTCCTTTGCTGCAAATATTATTTATCTGTCAAATAAACATGAAACCCCCTCACCGAATGCCACTCAAGCTGCGTGGGACCCGAAGGCGCCTAGACAACCCGACGTCGAGCCGAATTTCGTATTTGGCGACCAAAATGGTCTTCTGAATCTCATGGAGAGAGTATTCTCTCTCCACGTCCTTGCACAAGAGACAGGAGGCCTGGATTCCAAGTCAATAACTCAGGCTCTCACTGTATGGAATGATCTGGAACATCTGAGGCCCCCGGAACCCCTCGATACGCCTCGTTATCTTTCGTTACATGCGGCCTGCGTATCGGCATTATTTGTGTGGCTTTATCTTGTTGTTCACCCAGAGGATATTGGAGACGAGAAAGTGCAAACCACTGTACATACTGGTCTTGTAAACGCAGAGAATGTCTCTGATTCCGAAACTTTCCCGTTCTTGCTTATTCCTGCCTTTTGCCTTGGCCTAGCCAGCATTCGAGACGAAGAGAGAGAGTGTGTGAAGGGTATTTTTGACAAAGCCGAGCGGTCGGGAATATCGAAGAGATTCAGAGAAACAGTCACAAAGAGCTGGAAAAGGCAGGATAGGGGTATGAAAAGGAGTTGGGATTGGAGTATTTGACTGGGCTTTGTCGTATTTTAACAAGGCTGTCACCATCTACCTAATACCGATGAATTAACGAGAGCATACAACTCAACTCGTCCTTCAAAGTTTCAAAAGACCACCGTCTTCGATCTAATAATAAGTAAGGCAAACTCACCGCACAAATAAAAGCACCGGTCTGGCAGGTATCACGCAGCCGAAAAATGCAACAAACCAGGCAAAAGAATAGAAGAGTTATATGCCCTACATATAGGAACTTAGTTAGCTCTCGTTATGCCTGTAGGTTGTTAGCAGTGGTTATGTAACACGCAGCTCGTCTATCACCGATGGTAGTAGATATAGAAGGATCCCAAGCAGAGGCAATTTGGTCTAAGCGATCGATTCGGTTTGTGTTTGCTGCTAGTTCGAACAACTTTATCGGAACTGAGACTCGAAAGAGGTATGCGGCATTTCTCTTCTTGGTGGAGGCCTGTATTTATTTACTCTGTCCCGATTTCACGTGCAGTTAGCTTCCAGACAGAGGGTGTGCCCCGAAGATCTTCAGCAACCCTGAAGACACGGGTTTTGCTTTTCTGAAAATCTCCATGACCCACGGAGGAGCACGCGCCCCGAGTGCCGGCTGGACCATACTGGACATTCAAAGTACCGTCTAGCGTTATCAGTGGGGGTGGGCAGATCTATTGGGTGACACCAACCAGTTTCTAGCAGCTCACGATGGCAGAGAGGAATCATTCAAGGACAGTCCAGTATCTTGAAAACTTTTCTCAAAGCATGAAGATACAGGGGCGGCCACTATACAGCTACTGCGGGATAGCTGGAGCCAATTTCCAGCCCTTAGTCTCCAGAATCAGGCTAGTGATTTGGAAACAACATTACTCTCAATGGTGTGTCCATCCATGGGGAAAGAATGGACGACGAACTCCGGGATCGAAGCATAAAAGCTCACTTGCGACCTCCTAGACCAGGGGCCTCTTGCGTACAGGGCTGAGGCTTAGCACGGACTCAGCAAAGGCATGACTGCCAACATTGAAGATGTGAGATTTTACTTGTTTATTTTCAAGGCGGATTTTAGACCCGACCGAGTGTTCACAGTGCTCACGATTGTTTCGACGGAAGAGAATCTTGTCTAGACCTTCAACGGGAGCGACCTAGTAATGAGGTAACCAATTGACATGATTGATTTGTTATCACCCCTAGGTTAACAGCAGGTTTCGTTATCTGTCGCATGTGGGGAATGGCGTAAAAATCAAGGCTTATGGTGATGCGGCAGCTAACCGTAAAAGGAAGCAAGCTTTCACCAAGCTTTAGCCCCAGTTAGATACTGCATTAGACTGTGCTCCTTGGTCACTGCTTTCATCCGTTATCTCGAGGCGATCCCTGCCTAACATCTCAAGGCAGTAGCTGAGTGCGCGTACAGCAATCTGCATGGGGTTCCCTATTTCCTGCGTTGTGCTTCAGGCTTGCAGCTATCATGATTATATCTACGTTGTCTTCTTGCCCGTTCAACTCACTGTCCTTTTTCCTGCAGTCAGTTCAAAGCAGTGTTACATCTTCCTTCACTTCCCCTAGCTTGTGATAAGATTGGCTGGCATATTCCAACGGCTTGGTATCTGAACTTCAAACCTTATGCAAGGAAGTGGGGATTATTGGTATGTGATGGCGCGAAAATCGTGGCACGTCATCTCTGGATGTCGTTATTGACACTAGAAATTAGCATGCTTAGCGCACTGTGCCGCTGGTTGTCTATAATTGTTGTCCTTGCCGCCCGAGCAAAAGAAAAAAAGGAATTGGAATCATCGACTTGGTGAAGGTCTTTATATCGACTTCTACTCCACATAAACTGATCTCGTTCCCGGAAATAATATGGGGTTCCTCAAGACCAATGAGGAAGTCGGGGAGACGGTGGTCTTCGACACCCTAGGGAGTGAGGACATCAAAGATGGAAGTTTACACTTCACAGCGGAGGGAGGAGAGAACTCCAACAAGTTGACTATCCAAGAGGCTAGTGGCGCTCCGGTTGAGCAGCATAGCCCTCTGGGATATTCGGTCGGTTGGGTCACTGTCGTCTTTCTGAATGTCAGTATGATGGTCGGTACCGGCGTCTTCTCAACTCGTGCGTTCTCATTGCCAATTTTTCCCATCCTCTGTGCCCATCTGATGATTCTTTAGCGTCGGCGATTCTCTCTGGGACAGGGTCGATTGGCCTTAGCATGTTTTACTGGTTTATCGGTTATCTCTTAGCGTACAGTACACTGTCCGTCTATCTTGAATTCGCGGCCTATTTTCCATCTCGCTCTGGCTCGGAGGTGGTTTACTTGGAACAGTCATTTCCTCGTCCTCGATACCTTTTCCCAACCGTTTTTGCAATTCAGACAGTGCTTTTCTCGTTCAGCAGTAGCAATGCCATTGGTGAGCCTTATTTGAGCAGCAGGAATATTTGCAAAATTGGAAAAACTAATTTGACATCCTAGTTATCGCCGAATACCTGTTCCATGTCGCTGGAACAACACCAACTGCATGGCAACAAAAAGGTGTTGCAGTGGCAGCGTACACGTTAGCTGTTCTACGTTCGTACCATTCCTATCCCTCCAATACACAGAAACTTAGACTAACGGACTGCTAGTTGTCATTTTCCACACTCGTTACTCGCTTCTCATTTCTAATGCGATCGGAGCCGTGAAGCTGATAACTCTGATCTTGTAAGTAACCTCAAAACAACAACGATATTCCAAACACCAATACGACCACTAACACATTCAACATCTGATAGTATCGGAATCACCGGGCTTGTTGTCCTTGGAGGCAACACTTCTATCAAAACCCCCACAGCAAACTTCAAGAATGCATTTTCGGGCACGTCAGACGCGACGGTGTACGGGGCAACAAATGCACTGATCGATATCATATTCTCCTACCAAGGCTACACCAATGCATTCAATGTGGTCAATGAAGTCAAAGTAAGACAGGACAATCTTACGTGCTCTCTTGGTACTCACACTAATCCGGTCCCTGGAAAAACAATAGAATCCCATCAAGACTCTTCGATGGAGCGCTCCTCTCTCCCTAACTCTTACAGCTGTTCTCTACATTCTAGCAAATATTGCTTACTTTACATGTGCCACAAAAGAAGAGATTAAAAATTCAAAGCAGGTCGTTGCCGGTCTTTTCTTTGAGAAAGTTTTTGGAACGGGAGGTGCATCAAAAGCATTGAATCTTCTCATTTGCCTTAGTGCTTTTGGCAATCTGATCGCCGTGCTCATTGGGCAATCCCGAGTGCTGCGAGAATGCGGCAGGTGAGGATCGTGATCTCCCATCCTTTTTCTTCAATCAATTTAACGATGTGATCAGGCAAGGTGTTCTTCCATGGACCAACTTTTGGACTTCTACACGACCGTTTGGAACGCCTATTGGGCCATATGCCGTGAAATGGGTATTGACAATTGTGATGATCCTTGCTCCTCCTGCAGGCGATGCGTTCAACTTTAGTATGAACCTCCCCCAATATCACATGGCCGAGACACTGAGACTAATACGCTACTCTTCCAGTCGTTGATCTGAGTATTTATCCCTCTAATCTTTTCAGTTTCATTTTGACCATTGGGTTGATCATAACTCGTCGTCGACGTCAACATCTTAAATTGGGAAGGCCCGAATACCGCTGCTGGGATGTGGCCGTGGGATTCTCCGTTCTCACTGGCCTATACATACTGATTATGCCGTGGGTTCCACCTCCCACTGGAGCTGATGGTGGAAACGTATCATTCTGGTACGCTACATATATTGTCACAGGCCTCGCCATGTAAGTTTTCTATGACCGTTTCCCCTTCCGTGCTCCTAAATGAGTGTGGTATGTTAACAAGGGCATAGTATCGGTGCTTGTGTTGTCTACTATTATGTTTGGGTTTGGCTTATTCCAAAATGGGGCAACTATCAGCTTCGGCAGACGATTTTGCACGATGACAATGGTACTACGGCACACAACCTAGTCAAGGTTCCTAACGAAGAAGTCGAGAGCTGGGATCTAAAATACGACATTGCTGGACGCTTGCGACAAAGACCCGAGACCACCTTTCTTGATAGTGAGACTACCAAGGGATAGATAGTAGTTATCCACCGGAGACATGTCACCGGTGCTGAGCATCGATGATTGATTGACAGTTTATGTGCCGCTTCCGTCGCCAGGGACGTTCGAGCAGACCATCACAGCATGATTCCATCACGATAGCATAGATACAAATGCACACAAATTGCTGCGAATAGTTCTGCGGCCGCCTCTCAAAAGATGTCATCCGGTCATATTTTAGGATCTCGCCTGTGCTAGCGGTAAAATTCTTTGTTGTGAAAAAAGAGGGTGATACTTGCGGTAGACTCACTCACGCCGGAGATTCAAACCATAGACTCAAATCTTATTCCAAACGGGAAATATCGAAGAAAGACGAAGACTGGTTCGACTTCAAAGACATTTAATGACACGATTCTCATTCGTCCCGTTGCCCGAGTTCAGCAGCAGCTTCAGCATTTACCCTTCGAAGCATAATGTGACAGAGCTTGGCAGTGAAGGTATTCCTCCGGATAATCTGCCAAGGTTAAATCGAATTTAGATGAGGAAAAAAACACCATGAATCAAGAAGCATTTTGCGCTGTAGACGGGCAATTGGAGGACCCTGTGAATACCAATGGAATCCAGCTGAAATTTCAAAGATCGATCAAAGCCCGCTGGTATTGCGGTTGCATGGTATTTTTGTATTCATTTCTACTCAGAGGCTGAGCACGAGAACGGAAGGGAACTGCCAAAAGTTGCCAGACATTATCTGGTATACATGCATAATATAGAACACTTTAATAAAAAGCGAGTGGCAGGTTCACAATTAATATATAGATCGAAACGATGGGACATGAAGAGTAGATAAGGTGTAGTCAAATGTACAGGGTTCTTTGTAAGAGAGGGGAGAAAAAGGATTGCCATAAAACGAAGGCAACTAATAGAAAACAGGGTGGTATCAAATCCGAAAGGACGTCACAATTCACAGATCCCGTCCTGAAATGAAGGAAATATGTATGAGAGCTTGGCTTGGAAAGAGTGGCTGCGTGGGTTGGAGGAGAGATCCAGTGAAGGGAGAGGGGCGAAGTATACATGTAGGGCTATAGGCTAGGTAGATGAGATTCTGGTTGGGGAAGTAGCGCTGTAAACATAGCATGAGACACGCGACGCGGGTAAAAGCAAAGGGACGAAAAAAGCAAAAGGCATCAAAATCAAGAGTAGGTGGGAAGTATTTCCCCAGATATTCTCGAATGAAATTTTGTTTCCGAGAAAAGGCGCATCGCGGAAGCGGGGGCATAAGTTTTCAGACAGTCTAATGAAAATCCAAGAAAAAGGAAATGGTGTGAGCAGCAAGGGATTGATCACTCTTCGGCAATGGCTTCGGCTGAAATTGAGGGGCCGAAGGGACCTTCGTCAGCGTCCTTGGGCGACGCCGAGACCATGCCGTCGACGGTGGATTCGATATCGTCCGAGGCGAAGTTACCTTCCTCGTAGTTTGCCGGCTCGGCGTCGCGATCGTAGCTCGAGCGGTGGAGAAGAGGAGGGGTCCTGGGTGGCTCAGCGATGGGGACCTCTCGGTGGGCTGATCCACGGCGTGGGGCAGAGTTGAAGCTTCTCAGCGGCCGGCTCCCGGTGTAGGAACGATCCGGAGCGCTGGTTTGCGGGGCGTTCTGGCGGACATGCGAGCTCGGAGGCGTCAGGAGGCCTGACAGGAAGGTACCGGCGTTGCTGGACTTGGACGGGGTCTGCTCGGAGGGAGTTGCACCTCCATTGGCTCCCTCACGGGCCTTACGCCAGTTACCCCAGGCGGCAGCCGCAGCGAGAGGAAGGGACCGCGGCGAGGCAGCGAGTTCAGAGAGGGATTGGAGCGATGGCAGACCAGAACCGGTCAGAGCACGGTCCCGCTCCTGCTGCTGCATTTGCAGGTTGGCCTTGAGGCGAATCGCAGCGTCGCGGACGGCGTGCTGGTTGAAGGAAGGCTGCGAGAGAGTCTTGATGATATCCTGCAGATCGTCGATACGAACGCCGAGCAGCTCACGGAGCCAAGTGATCTCGCTGTCCTTATCCTTCATCTTGGTAGGGGCATCCTTATCGACAGAGGCAACCTCCTGCTCGAGCTCCTCAATGCGGGTCTCGCGCTGCTGAAGCTGATCCTGCAAAACGAAGATCGACTCGCGGAGGGCCTGCGGGGAGATCTTCTCGGGTTCATGGGATCCCTTGCTGAAAGACATGGAAGGAGAAGTCGAGTGCGAGGGTGTTGGGGTCGGAGCCGGCAATGAGCTCGGGCCTGCCTTGGCAGTCTGGGCTGCCTCAGCAGCAGCACGGGCAGCGGACTGGGCAATCTCGAGCTTTTCCTCGAGGTGTTCGACACGCTCCTGCAGGTGCTTGGCCCTGTCATCCGACAGAGCCAGGCGATCAATCATATTGGCCTCACCACGCTGGCGGTCTTCAGAGGAATTGTGCAGTGCACGAGCGTGACGCTCGCGAAGGTCATTTAGCACCCGCTCGTGAGTCCTGCGCTGCTCCTCGAGAGCTATCTCACGGGATTCCTTCGCGGTGGCAAGAGAAGTCATATTGGACTCTTTGGCCTCCTCCAGCAGCATCTCGTAACGCTCGCGAGAGGTATCGGCGTCCAGACGAACATTGTCCAGCTGGCTTTCGAGACGGAGGATTTGGGCTTCAAGCTCGGCCCGGACAATGTTGACCTGGCTGTTGGAAGCCTCAAGGTCAGCCTCCATTGAAGAGCGAGTGCGCTGGATCTCCATGCGGCTGCTCTCACGAGCGTCGTTGAACTCGCGCTCGAAGCGAGCCGCAGTGAGCTGCAAGTCGCGGTTCTCAGTACGCAGATTGGCAATGGTCTCCTTCATCTTGGCGTTTTCTTCTTGGGATTGCTCATGGAGGAACTTTATCTTGACGGCCTCCTTCTCCTGCTTCTCAAGCTCGGACACTTCCGCCTCAAGCTTCTCACGCAGCTTCACCTCACGATTGTACGAGGCGAGCAGCTCGTTGTACTTGGCAGCCTGCTCCTCGTCCTTCCTGCGCCACAACGCCTGCTCGCGGACGACATCGGCAGTGACATTGACCATGTCTGATTGCAGTCGGTCAAACTTCTCGGTTAGATTCTGACGGGCAATCATGCTGTCCTCAATGCGAGTGCGCAGGGCGTCAACAGTCTCATGTAGGGACGAGTTCTCGCCCCTAACAGTCTCCAGTTGACGGCGGAAGGTATCAGAGGAAAGACGATACTCATCCAGAGTGCCCTCAAGCGTGATATTCTTTGTGGACAACTCGGCAATGGTGACCTTGAGAGTCTCACTCTCTTCAGCCAGAGACTCAGAGCGGAACTGCATCTTCTCCAGATGGGGGATTTTCTCCTCCTTGAACTGGAGAAGACGGGCCTCGGCGGCCTCAGCAGCCGCACTGTGACGGGCAGCATCTTCTTCGGCAACCTTCAGCAGTTGCTGGAGCTCGCCCACCGAGTCCGTAGCATCCCGACGCAGTTTATACTCAGCCTCAGCACGCTCGTCCGCCAGACGCAGCATGCTTTTTAGACCATCGATCTGAAGCATAAGGCTATCCGCACCGATTTCGTCGGCCTCGGACAGCCGCGGGGTCTGCTGTGCTCGCTGGCGGGCGAAAGACTCCTCAAGAATCTCACGCATATCCCCAACTGGGTCCTGGGCAAGCTTCTTGATGGTCAGGGCTTGGAGCTCAGCTATGCTCTCCTTGAGCTGTGCCATCTCGCTGTGGCTAGAGTGCTGTATTGTACGGCTCGGGATATCGTGCGTGACCAAAGCCTCCATGACAACGCTCTTCAACATCTCCAGCTTCCGGTCCCGCATATGGTGCGGCGAGCGGTCGCGGACGGAACTCTCATGCTCCTCGCCATCATCTTCATCATCGGCATCACTGTCCTCCATCTCATCAGAGGCGCTGCGGAAAACCCTTCTACTAGCAGTCCCGGAAGCAATTGTAGCCACAGACTGCTGAATAACAGCCAACGCACGCTCCATGGGAGTTAACCGGTCATCGATGGCAGAACCCACGATGTCATTGATACGGCGGTCGAAGAAGCGGTTGCGGTTGAAGAACTTCTCATCTTCGCCTGAAGAGATCATGTCATCCCAGTCACTGACATGGTCATTCTCAGTGACAAGCTGGCGAACAGGCGACTGGATACGTGAGATGAGGCTCTTCTGGGGCGAGAAGGTAGCGTTGCTGTTGGCGTCAATGTCGGAGCCAAGCTTTGGGATGTTGAGCTTGTATGTCCTTTGGCCGCCGCCGGGGCTGGGGCTGGGCGCCTCGCTTCTGCCTTCGGCGGAGCCAAAGCGGCGCTCCTTGGTGGGAGCGGACTCGGCGACAAAGTGGGGCGGAAGGGGAGTGTGTTGTCTCTCGATGCCGACGTCCGAGTCGTCATTGAGCTGCTCCATGATGGCGTTGAGCTCCTCGTCATCCGGTGACTCCTCGGCAGATTCCTGCCAACGGGACAGGTCTGGCCTAGGCTGTGGCGTTTGCTCGGGCAAACTTCTGTCCACTGGTGCTGCCGCAGGCTTGGGTGGACTGGCAGTAGCGAAGCGAGAAGCCATAAGGCCACCCTGAGCAGGCTTCTTCTCAACAGACTCTGACGTAACAGGCTTCTGCTCAGCAAAGCGCGATGAAGGTACACTTGTCGAGACGAAAGGAGAAGTAGCAGCTTTGAACTCGAAAGGCTGGGCCGTGGGCGACAACATGGTACTCTTCACGGAGCTCTTAGAATCCTGGGAGGCATGTTGGGAGCGCTTCTTCTCGTTGACAGGAACGAAATCCCGAGCGGGCTGTTCCGCTTCAGCCTCTGCATTAGGATCTTCGTTGACGTCTTCAGTTTGTTCACCATGGGCCATCGACCCAGCACGGGATCGAGCAGCTTCACCTTCAGCCTTCGCGTCGAATATGGTCCAGGTAGTAGCCTCACTCATCGGAGTACCCTTCCGCTCCACGTGTTTGTCGTCCTCAGGGCCAGCGTTTTCTTTGCCCTCGGCGAGGGCGTGGAGCGTATTTGATGCTTGGGCGTTGCCGGCCTCACCCAAGGGTTGGCTAGAAATGCTATATCGAGCCTCGCCCTCGGCGTGGCCGATGCCACGACGAGCTCGCTTGTGGCGATCAGTAGGGACAGGGCGGCCGTCTGCATCATCCACGTCCTCCTGCTCATCCTCTTGGGCAGGCTCGACCTCGTCTGGACGGACGATGGGAATGGCCTTCGATTGCTTCGGTGGCTTGGAGATTTCGGAGAGATCAATATCACCGAAAATCTTCGCCCGGCTAGCCGTGGGCTGCTCTGCACTGACGTTCGAGTTGAGGCTCGCGGACGGGTTGAACACGGGTGCATCTACGTTGAAAGAGGCAGCAGAGAACTTGAATGAGCTGGGCTTCGGCTGGGGCTCGAGCTCGGGGGTATGCTCGACAGGGCCGTTCATCATGCCAGCTGGAGCAAATGATGGTGGTGCAGGGACAAATCCAAATCCAGACTGGTTCATGCTATTCATACCACCAAACTGGAACGCACTGTTACCAAATGCGGCAGACTGAGAGGCAAATGAAGCAGTCGGGTCAAATTCCTTGGCTTCCACATTGAGGGACGAGATTGAAAGCTTGGACTGGTGGCTGGCCTTAGTTTCATGCCAGGAAGACTGATCTGGTAGAACACCGCGAGCATGAGGAGTTCCAGCGAGGCTAGGGTTCGTGTCGAGATCAGAGCTTTCATGAGCATTTTGTTGGCCAAGGTGCGCATTGTAAAACTCGTGCGGTTGCTGAGAGAAGGAGTGGGAAGGCTGACGAGAGACGTTCGGGAGCTGGTGGTGTTGGTCTTGATCATGCATAGCCCAGTGGGACTTGAGGATATTGGCATTGAAACCGTGGTGGTTGTCGTGATCCTCAATTATATGGTGTTCGATATGGTCATCCATGCGGTATTCGGAGTGATTCATCTGGTCCAATCCCCGCTGAAGAGTTTCGCTCAAGTTGTGACCATGGCCGCGAGGTGTTGGGTGAGCAATCTCGACATTCGATGCATGGAAGTGATCCGGAGCATTGTCGGGTGTCTGAGGAGTAGGGTAGGACAAGCCCTCCTCGTGATGACCATCGTGACCAAACCGGTTATCCCACACTTCCTTGTCGTTAAATCCAGCATGGAAGGCAGCTGGGTCATGCAGCGGGGAGACAGGCGAGAGCATCGAGTTGAAGTTGGGAAGCGTGCCGGGCCCACCCGATCCACTGGCTTGACGAAGATTGATCAGGCTCTGAGGGGTCATAGAGGCCTGTGCAGGAGTCCCAGGTGGGAAATGGAATGGGTATCCGGGCATCAAGTTTTGTTCAATACCCATAAACGGCGTCTGCACGCTGAACTGCGAAGCAGGGGACGCCAGAGACCCCATGCCACCGCTCGTGGCACCTGCCGACTGGCCGAAGTGTGGCGAGAAAGGATGCACTTGGCCAAGAGCGTTACTTCCGGCTGAGGTGGTGGGAATTGGCGGCGATGCCACGAGGCCAGGGAAGGGTGTTTGGGCTGCGGATGCTGGGGAAATGGACGATTGGGGCTCGGGGTCACCAAAGGAGACACCCAGAGCCCGCAATTTCTCCTCCTGCAATTCGGCAACATAGGAATCCCACACAGCCTTGTCCGGGAATTGAATGTACGGCCGTTGGCCCTTTGTCTCTTCATAAACCTCGTACGGATCAGGATACAAGGGGCGGCTCAACCCTCCAAGCTCGGTTGTTCCAGACGGATCAACTTCGTCGCCGATGGAGAATCCGCGCACATCATATCCTTCCTGCTCCCATTTTTTCAACCGGTCATCCACATCTGTGCGCGACAAGAGTCGATATCCAGATTGTTCTGTACCACGCTGGTCATCGTTGGGCAGATCAACGACACACGCCTTCCCACGCCAAGCCAACTTTTTCGCCGCCGCGCAACCGGGTTAGACGATGTAGTGATATCAGAGGCCTGCCTCTGAACAGCATCCGGATGGGATGATTCCTGTGTATTCCCTGTATTTGTCATCTCGTCTGCTGTATTTGCGGGTGGGGGCGGCAGCGGTTTTTCCACTGGGGACGCCGCCTCGGCAGGAGGCTGCGACTCCTTCGTGTCAGACATGATGTTCTTTGGCGATTCTTTATCGTACGCGAATCCCCAAAAGTCCTGCTGACGCAGAGTATCTGCGCGCTTGTGCTGGTTCTTCTTTTCTTTCGCGCGAGCAGAGGCCCTTCGACCAACAAAGTCCGAAAGGGTCGGTGTCTTGAGAAGCTCGTTATCGCGGACGTCGTCCTCCAGACCAAGCCAATCGTCGGAAAGGTCGTCCGCGAGGTGATTCTTCGCAGTAAAAAACGACGGCGCTTCGCTTCCGGAATCGTCGCTCAACCAGTTACTTCGCTCTGTCCTCGGTTGGCCAGACAGATATTGATTGATCCAATCCTGGGTAAAGTCTCGAATGGTCTTTTCTCCCTGCTGGTGACCAGCAAGACCTTCGGCGACACTCGCTCGTCGGAGCTCGGGGCGATTGGCGGCAACGGACGCGGCAGGTGAACTCTCGCACGATCCGTGATGATCGAGACCGGCGTATTGGCTGAGAGTTAATGACAATCGCCGAGTACTGGGCGCTGCATACGGGGACCCCCAGGCCGTGGTATAATAGACACTGCTACCCGCCCGTCGAGTCTCCGGGGACGAGAGAAGGGACTCCTGGGGCCGGCGGGACTGGTGGTGGGCCGAGAGGAATGGCAGCGGCGGAGGCTCGAGGGTGATGCTCCGCGGGGAAGGTCGGTGGAAAGGCGAGCCGGCGGCGGAGGGGCTTGAGTCTCCTGATGAAGGAGAGGACAGAAGCAGGGACGGGCCCAGACGCGATTCGTCACGTAGAATGCGCGCGTCTTTGAGATGGAACGGCGGAGAAGACGCCGAACTGGCGGAAGAGACGGCGTGATCTAGATCTAAGCATCCATGCGATCGGGGAGGTTAGCCGTAAAGTTCCTCCGATTGCTCTGAAATGGAAAAGGGGGTGGGGGGGGGGGGTGCTTCGAAAAGATCCGATTGAAGGGGGAGGCAGAAAATCGCGTGGCGATGCGGAGTAGGGCCGACAATCCAATTCCTCACGACCTCGAGGAATAGGACATGCAGAAAGAGAATGGACAACAAAGAAAACGAGGGCGAAGCCCAAGTGAATCAAGCACCCACCTTCCGTGTCGACTCCTGCAGCAAGCACTTGCTTGCCGCTCCGCTTATCGTCCAGAATGTTGACGCATGGAAATCCAACGGGAAGAGTAGATTACTTAGCAGACGGACCTGTGCTTGGCGATCGCAGGAAGGAGGGCAGAACAGGCCGGGCCCTTAGAGGATGTTGATTGTTGACCGTTTGACGCGCTCACTTGTCCTCCGCGGGGACGAGACTGGGCGAGGGGGGCGGGGAAGGGAGGTGGAGAGAAAGAGAGATCACAACGCGAAAGTCTGAAGCATCCCGAACACGCAAGGACAGGGGAAAGGGGAGGGAAAAAAAGGGCCTGTGACGTGACAGGCCCAGATGGAAGTGGAAGTACTCGGTACTCGGCCGCCGCTGGGCTTCAGGGGCAAACGCGGTGTACCCGGCCTGTACCCAGCACTAGTTAAACGGGCTAACGGGCTAATGGGCGAGGTCATACTAACTCCACGTTACAGTATGCCAGACTTATTTTCGAGGCTGCCATTCGGCGTCGCTAACTTACAGGGTCATTACCTCTCCGAAAGGGGACTAACCAATGAATCCATCTTGAGGCCGTAACGGCACGCACCATGCTTTGCGACAAACCGAGTCCTTCATCACGTAGGGTACTTCCCAGCGATTCCGTCCTCCTGGAACTGCAGAGCACATGTAGCTAACGGTAGGCGCTGGACGGGCCCGATGGGATCCCAACCCTTGCCTGCGCAGGTACCCCGGAGAGCCCCAACGGGAGCCAGGGGCTTGACCGCCACCAACGGACTTCGTTGAGTACGCCGTATGGAGTACTCCATACTGTCTCCATTGTGACCGTGTCGACTCAGCTCAAGCCTACAGTGTGAGACACGTCCCCTTGCCGCCGTCTCAGATGAGCATATGGACCGCGTCCCCGAACTACAAAATAAACAAAGCCCCGCGGTTCGCGGAGAAGAAGGGTGGATGGATTCAGGGGTAGAGCGAACCGTGGTTCTTCGCTGGTATTAACGTTACCGGGACGCGCTCGGATGACATAATCCCGCGCCCAGGTCGTCCTCAAGGCGGTGTTGGGCAGTGTGATCCACCACTGTACCGAGGCCGTACATACGGGGACCATGGGGTTGCAATGGCCCTCCACATGATATAGCTGGTGTTGTTTCCGCGGGCCAGTCACCTTCTGTCCGGCCACCCCCGAGCTGCAGGGCGTGCCCGTAGTACATAACTACACGCCCTCGCACAGAGGAGCGAAGATCTCCACGAAAGACAAACACCGTCACGTCCGTATTTCTGTTCATTTCAGTTCCCTCAAGAACCACAGATCGTCTATGCGCGATTCCCGAAATCCAAAGATAGTAGAGATGATGATAATAATAATAATAATCATAATAAGCAAAAAGAGCGGTCAAATGAAACAAGATACAATCTGAAAGGAACAGTATCTACGAGTTTTCCCCCACAGAAAAAGGAAAAACCCCGGTCAACCGCGCATCGGGCCACCGTGCTTAGTTGGGGCAGCTGGTGTCGAACTTGACCTTGCGGTCAGCAGTGAACAGACCCCAGTGCTTCTCGTCCATGGCCTGGCCGTTGTCGCCGACGCTGTTGGGCTTCCACGACTCATCAAAGGCCTCGAAGTAGAACAGGTCGACGCCCCAGGCGAGCATGCCGCAGACACCAGTCTTCCAGAATGTCTCGGCGTTGGCGGTGCCAGCCTTGGCAGCCTCGTAGTCAGAACCACCATCTAGAGAGAAAAAATGAAACACGGTCAGCACTAGGTGGGAATCTTGGGGTAATAAAAGCCAGGCAGAGGGGTTCGTTCAGACGTACCGGTGGGCCAGCCAGTCTCGCCGTTGATCACGCGGATCTTATCGGCGTTGGCACCAGCAACCTCCTGGATGTGCGACATGGCACCGGACATGTCATCGAAGTAGGTCTGGTAGGCCTTGTCGGCGACGGTACCCTGCCAGTAGGCGAAGGCGTTGGCCAGAACGTAGGTCACCATGGGGTTGGCTTCGGTGTTGGTGGTAAACAGGTCATCGGCAGTGCCGTCGGCGAACTTGTTCCAGCTGTCGGCGGTACCGACGGTGACGGTGGGGAACTGGTTCTGCACAGCGGAGATGTAGTTGTGGAGCTGGGGACCGGTCAAGTCGCCACGGTAAAGGGTCTCGGATCCAACGGTGATGGCCTCGACCACGTCCTCGTTGCCGGGAACGGTTTTTTTGAGGGCAGCGAAGTCCTTCTGGAAGGAGGGATCGTTGGTGCTCATGTCGCTCTTGTCCTGAGCGCCAACCCTGAAAGGAACAAAATGCGGTTAGACTGGGGACACACAAACCGCCCAACATGATAGGCATGCGCGGGAGGGGAGCAGCCTTCTTACCAGATACCCAGGACGACCTTGAAGCCCTTGTTCTTGGCGGCCGGGATGATGTTCTGCGGGGTGTCGCACTCCGTGCCGGAGTAGGTGCGGACCAGGGTGGCCAGGTTCTTCAAGCTGTCGAAGTCGGACTCATAGTCGCTGGTGGACTTGCAGGTGCCGTCGGCATTCTTGTCACCGAGCGAGAAGCCCAGAGTACCACGGGCCGAAACCATGGCCGGAGCCGCGGCCAGGACGAGAGGGAGGAGGCCAGAAACACGCATGTTGATGGGGCGAGACGCGATGGCCGAGAAAGGAGGGTCGGAGAAAGAAAAGCTGGAGAAAAGTCCAAGCAGAAGCGAATGAGAATGAAAGGTGAGAATCCAAGAGAGTGACTGGGAAAGGAATGGCAGTTTATAAAGAAACAGAAGGGAAGGACGTCAGAGGTGGACGCTGTGGACAGTGGTAGAGAGAACGAAGTGAACGGTCCAAAGGTTGGATAGGCGGGTCGCCTCCTGGACTATTCCGAAAGAGGCTGCCAAACGGGGGGAGAAAGATTGGGCGGGTGGCTCAGTGGTGCTGTGGGAGGTGAGCCCCCAAAGGTCAAGAGGGTTTGGGCCCTGACAGGGCCTCACAGGGACTGTGCAGGGTCCGATAGGCGTGGAGTCAAGGGGGAAGCCAATGGCCGCCACTGGGGGCCACCGGAGAGCCAATGAGGGCCGAACGAGGGCCAGCTGGCCCCAGCTGGGCCCATGCAGGATCCCCCCAGCGGTCCAGCCTTACTCTTTCGGGACCCGTGGATGAAACATTCCTCTCAGGGTCTGGACTCCACATGTGGCGCATCTTCCAGAACACTACCGAAAGCCCTCACGCCGTTGATGTATCCTTACCCGTAATGATTAATCCGGTTCTCTGTCTTCCCTTCTTATTCTTCTGACTGCCATAATCCCGACGTCCCTGTCAAAATCCAGAATCCCCAGTTAGCCCAGCGCAAATCCTCGTGCCGCCTTCTCCGGAGAGTCATGATGTCAGTCCGCCCTCATGGCTGATTTGTCCGATACTCACGAACCCTGGGAAAGCTACGAGAATGAGAGAAACAAGTGGAGTATAACCGGCCGAGTCGCAATAACCTACCCCCGAGGGAAGGTCATTGTCGTCCTTGTCTCCTGCGGCCTGCCCACGGCTCCTCCGACCCGATACTTCCCTTCGCCTCCGCCCAGGCGCCAGTTCCTCACATGTCAGTTTCCTGGTTCAATCGGACCCAAGCGGCTGAGTGCGGTTGGGATCTCTCTGTCGTAACCAAGACAGTCATCCCCTCAGAGTCCTGCGGCGAGCCCGGCTCGTACTACGGCCCGAGGTCTAGGTCTCCGAATGGTCCTCGCTCGGCTTCTTTGCCGAGTGTAGAGAGATGACGATTAGCTCATCATTGCCACCGGCAGAGCCTGCTTCGTTTGGGCATTCCAGAACTAATGGCTCAATCGGCACCGTAGATGCTTATGGAAGTATCTACGCCTGACAAAATCCGGATGGTTCATCTGGCGGATGTGGGATACGTCTTCCACTCCTTTACAAAGTCATAGCGTAGGGAATCCAATATTGGTAGCAGTGTTTTGCATGGATTGTTCCTAAAGACCAAAGACATAAGGTGGCTATGCCATCTTGGTCGAAATGGGAAGGCGAATGGTGCAAGAGTAATCGAGACCTTCCACCCCTTTCACGTCATAGAATCATAGTGGAGATTGAAACTGCTATTGCACAGATGCCGAGAATGGAGTTCTCCGTAAGCAAACCACCAACGCCGTATTCGGCAAAGAATGCAAAAGAACCCTCATCTTCGTCCATCCAGCATCCCCTTCCTATTCCTTCCTACATAAGCCCTTAGCAAGACATCTCAATAACACCAAAATGCAGAATAAATAGCTTCATATTCCGACTCATGGCCAGGCCCTCCAAGCTCACCGACGGCGCATTGGCGGCAGGATGATCATCTTCGTGGGTCTTTGCCGATCCGGGCTTTTCCGGAGTGGACTGGGGCCGGCGCGGGGGTTTGTTGGAAAGCGGTGGCCGTGTTGAGAAGGCAAGCGAGGAGGTCGATGGGAGTCTGGATCGTCTGACTGGCCTGCGGAGAAGGACCATGGTTTGGGGGAGTGGAGATCGGGGTGCCAGGCGGGCTTGTGTAGGGTACTTGGGATGCCCCTCGGTGGCAGACAGAGGCCGTTCATGGTGGGATTCATCAGGGGCAGGTGTTAAGTATCGGGTTATAGATAGAAAGTTATAAAGGTACCTTCCTTAAGTTTGTATTCCTATTGCTGCATTGGCATGTGGCCCTGATGCGGGGCCTGCAAGGCTGACTCGATCTGCTAGTCTCAAAGGGTGTACAGCGACCGTTGAGGCTCGTATCACATATGGGGAAAGATTGCAATCGCTTTCATGATCCAACTGTTGAATAGGTAATTCGGGCCGATCAGTCGCACGATCGACGCTCATAAGTAAAATGATTCCACGGCTCCGATGACTGGGTCACCTTGCCCTGACACATGTGCGCATCGCCGCTAGCATATTCCCCATATTTCTGTTGTAACATAACCAAAGCAATCTAAATTAAATGCGGAATGACACGCCCGGCTTGAAAAGAACACAAGGTAAACAATGTCTGTCGACATAAGCGTGTCTTACTCCTCGTCCTGTCCTCTGAAAGGCGCGCCCCCATCACAGAAGAACATTTCTGTCTCGGGCGTACGTCTCCTTGAGAAGCTTCAACTGATTCACAGTCATCGTCTGCCGCGGCAAAGCCGCAGGCAAGTCAATAATAGCCATGCGCATGAGGGCCAGCCCAATGTGACCAAAGAAATCCAAGATTCGCTCACTTGACCCACGAAGCATGGCGTGGAGAAGCGAGATCTGAGTGTCCTGCATTTCCGCAGGGGGAATAGAAAGAATCCTTTGTAAAGATGTCCAAAACATGGTGTTGGGGAACGGATTGCGACGTTGCGTCTTGCCGAAATTGCGCAGCGTGAGGGCCGAAAAGCCGGCGCCCAGGGCCGTCATTCGATCCATGTGTGCCTGTTCGCTCACGAATGGGCCACCGGCATCCTCGCGCCACCATCCAAGTGCGCGGCGGCCGGATTCCGTCTTATCGTTGCCTGTGAACCCCCAGAGCGCGGGGCATATCACATGATACTTTGCCAAGAGGATGTCGCCCATAGGAATGCCCTTGAACATGAATGCTTCCATAGAGAATATTTGGGCGGCAACAATGCCGATCGGCTCGGCGTGGGCTGGGTTGATGGATGCTTCGGTGATCAGGGCCGAGATCAAAGCCTTGGAGAAGATGTTGAGACCGTAGATTAACATGGCCGGCACTTTGTGTTCTTCCTGGGATATCTCCTGTGGGGGAAGGCAATGAATTGACGAATATCTGTAGAGGGTTCTGGTAACTTGGAGGCTTTCTCAAGCTCTAGTCTGATTTGTTGGGTCTGAGATGTGCAATGTGAAGTTAGCACCGAGAGGACCGTCACAGCCGAGATGAGACAGAAATATACATACCTGAGCCTTGTTGACGCCCTTGCCATCTCGTAGCTGACCAACACACTTTTTGATGGAGCGGCGCATGTCACCCATTGCTTGCTTGACAGGCGGGTTGTCCTTACCAACGCCGCGCAGCCACTCTCGCATCTGCTTGAGAGTCTTATGAAGCTCGACATAACGATCATGAATGCGCACTTCCTCCGGCGAAAGACTGCCAGCGCCGATCTTCTGCTGTTGCTGAGTTTGCGCTTTTTGCTCAGCCGCCTGCTGAGCCTTTCTGGCATCCTCTTCTTTTTTGCGTTGAGCTGCCTCCACCCGTTCACGCTCTTGGCGCTCCTGGCGTTCTCTCTCTTCCTGGGCAGCCTTTCGTGCCTGCTCGGCTTCTTCTGCGGCCTTCTTTGCAGCCTCCTCCTTAGCCTTGCGCTCAGCCTCGCGCTCGGCCTCGATGCGGGCAGCTTCTTCTTGCTCACGTCGGAGTTTCTCTGCTCGCTCACGCTTCTCACGCTCAATGCGCTCTCTTTCCTTGCGAGTTGCCTCCTCTTTCCGAGCACGTTCCTCCTCTTCGGCACGATTGTGTTCTCTCAGCGTAGCCTCGGCCTCCTCGCGCACTCGGTCATGGAAGGCTGCTGCTTCGTCGAGGGCAGCTGTGTGAAGGGCTTCGCGCTCTCGGTCGATCCGATCAAGATTGTCATAGAATGCCTTGCGCTCATATGCATGGACTTTCTTCAGCTCTGCGTTGAAGAGCTTCACATTCTCCAGATCGCGTGCCAGGTCGTGAATGAGCTGCTTGGACGGGCTGTCCAAGGAAGGAACGTATACTCTCCCTCTGGCCATTGCAAAGTATTGGAGAAACGGGAATAGGGTGTGGAGGATGGATGAAAGCGATGTGACGTCGAGTCTTAAAGGCGGAAGCAGACTAGAAAGATGTGGAGGTCAAAGGTGGTTGGAACGCACAAAGAAGCATCTAATGAGATGCTGAAGCCGCGAGAGAGGACTAGTCCCTAACCACGGACAGACAATGTGACATTCAGAAAAGGCATGGTCCAGCGGAAGGTATAGAGGTAGACGGAAAATGCTGTCTCGGCGCCGGGATGAAGAGAGCCTCTCAAGTCAAAGACCACCGTCGATCGCGTCGCAGTCAGGCAGGCTCTCAGCTCGACACCGCCAACTCGGCCCAATGGCGATCAATCAATCGCAGAGGAGATGTGTGAACTAACTCAGCAAGTAACGAGTGAGAAGGAAATAGTATCACTAGGCCAAAGGGGAGGGAAATGCCGTCTCTCAAGCTGTCGCGATTTAGATTATTAGCAATAGATCCGGATCCCTCGCTCAGGCAGTGAGACCTGCGGCTTCACCAGACTAGCGGTCTGAGCGTACAAGCGTCTTCAAGGTAGAAGGACGTACCTTCCTACTGCATCTGCCACCATGAACGCAGCAAAGCAGATATGCAGAAATGTAGCCAATGCAGCCGCCGATGTTTATCGCGCCTCCAATCGCCCTGGGAGAGAGGAAATAAATTACACGCTGAGTCAGCCGGACCCGCGCGCGGGCCAGAACTGGCACGGGTGGAACGGCCTAACTAGCTGTTAGTTACTGGAACCTCTGGAAGTCTGGTTCCTTTGCATCATCATGAGCATCATCCATTTTATGCTTAATCAATATAAGCCCGCACTCAAGATGAATTGCTACCATTCTAGTCCCTGCTCTCTCTTTTCTGATAGTACGTGCAGCTAAAGCTGCGCCAGTGAGCACGCCATTCAGATATCAACACAGGTTCATAGGGCCCCGTCTGCGGTCGCGCTAGTTCGAGACAGGTGCTCCAGCTTGATGGCCCCTAACGCCGCCAACTCATTAACTACGCCTAGCATGTAACTGAGGAAAGGTATATCCTGGATCCTAGTAAGACCACCGCCACCACGCACAGTGTGTGCCATCTCTAGACAGCTTCGGCGGTCTGTATCATGTCCGGCCGAGGGGGATCGGCCAAGCAGGCCCCCCGGCTGCATCAGGATGATGATGAGGATAGTCGGGAGCAATGGAGATCATCCATAGGACGCAGGTGGTTTGGAGAGGGTATGAAATTGTATTTACCAGTCACCGCACCGTAGTGGGGTATGGAGCCTACACAGTGTGGTCTGCCGTAACTTTTCGTCATAACGTAACGATACTGCCTCTCCTTTCCGTACCCAAGCCTCTCCCCACACCCGCTTTGTATGGATCCATCATCACCTCTTTCTTCTCCTTTCCCCTCCTCCCTCTTCTTCTTGCTCTTGCTTCTTCCCATCTCTCTCTTCCCCCCTCCATCGTTCCTTCAAGTCGAATCAGTCGATGTGTGCATCGTCTATTCCATCATTCCCCTAAATACTCTTGTTGTCATTCTCTTCGGCAACCATCTGGGCTTGCCCGTTCTCTGGAATTCCGGGATTCCTCGCGAAACCGAGAAAGCTCCTCCGGCAGCTTAGCCTCTGGTGAATTCGAGCCTCGATCATCCCCTGGCGGCCGATCCAGGATTCAATCCGCTTCCTTCCAACCTTTTGTGCCGGTTGCTCGCTGCCTGTGCGTCCTCAGCACCCCAGCTGCAATCCGCCGACTCGGTCCTTCCCAAACTCCTCCCGAATCGAACATCGTCCCTTTCTAGTCGGTCTTTGGCTTGATCGATTCAACGCGCATCGAGCGTGCAATTGACTCGGCTTCCGCTTCTCTCAATTTTGCGACGTACTGGTGGCCCTTTCCGTCACCGCTTCGTTGGCTGCTCTGCACCGAGCAAATTTCATCCCACGTTGGACAAGTACAGACGTCATTTCTTTTTTGGAATGCCAGGGCTCGGAGTCTGCCATTAGCTTTTCTTGCAGGTAAGGGTGTTGCTTTGCATCTTTGAGGATTCGTGTGGTGGGAGATAGGCAACGTCTGTGTTGTCCGGTCGTGTTGGACCACACAGGTCGCTCGCCCTTCCCCGTGTATCTGCTTCCTCGAAAGTGCTCGAGTCCCTCCCTCCCCTTCGCTGCCGGCAATGGCAACATTGCTTCTACACTGACCACAAACCCATCATCGCAACTTCCTCATCTCCTGTCCCTCTTTCCCTCCCTGCTCGCTCCTTCAGTCTTGACTCGCCACTTTGTTTGGTCCCTCCCTCTCTCTTGTTTATTTTCACCACACACTCTCTCCCATCCATCACCATTCCACCTTGCTGATTCACTCTCTTTCTCTTGCGTCCAGTATACTTCGCCCTCTCCGTCCTCGTTTTGGAAACGATCGTCCGAACATAAGCGAGCCACCTGCGGTCGGTTTGTGATCCGATATAATTCAGTTCGGTTGCCTTCGAAGGCAACACCAGTCTCTCCTGTCTCCGGATTCCTTTCCGCCCTTCCGCATTTTACACTCTACAGTGATTGCCGTCTTCCGTCATCCGGGATCATGGATCAACAAGGCCAATCTGGGGTACCAGGCCCCGCTGGCCGCAAGCTCCATATCGCTCACCGGAGAAGTCCATCTGAGCTGACCCCTTTGATGAGTACGGCCATCCCCTTTTCCGCTCCTTGCAATAGCTCTCAACTGATCCCATTTACTCTGTTTAGTGGAACAGCTGGCCATTCAGCAACAGATCGAGCTGCTCCAGCAGCAACAGCAACAGATTGCAGCCACACACCAGCAGTACGTGAACATGGGCCTCTTGCAACCCCAGCAGCTGGGTCAGGTCAACGCCTTCTCTCCGGGTGGCTCGATGGGTGGTGTCTCTCCTCAGGTCAACGCCTTCCAGTTCCCCCAGCAGCAACAGCAGCAGCTTGGGGTCCCCATGAACGCTCCAAACCAACACTCCCACCGTCGCAACCAATCTGCTCTCCCTGGCCTCGCGATGGGTCCCCCTCCTGCTCCATCGTCTGGTGCTTCCGGATACTCCGATTACAACCAACAAGGCCAAAATAATCATCAGAAAAATGAAAACACCACTCACGGTCGCGGCCGCGGTGGTGCCCCTAGCGGTGGTGGTCACCAGCGCCGCCACTCTCTTGCTCTCCCTGAGGCAAAGAAAGCCGCCGAGCTGGCTCAGCAGAAGCGGACGGCCTCTGGCTTCCAGTTCCCTGCCCCCGCTCCCGGTTCTGAGAACCAGTCTGCCTCGGATGACAAGCCTGGCTCCAGCACGTCTCCGGCACCCCAGGGTCTCGGTCTGCAACGCGCAGGCAATATTCGCGCTGGCGGTCACGGTCGTAGTCAATCGATGGCCATTGGCGGCAACCGAGGCTCCATTTCCGGCCGCGGGGCGGGTGGGTTCCAATTCCCTGCTCCTAGTGAGGGTCAACCCGACAACCAGCGCCGCGGCAGCCAGCCAGGTCACGCTCGCACCGGGTCTCGAAACTTTGATGGGAACTGGCGCCAGCCCAACAACCAGAATCAAGGTCAGGATCAACAGAAGTCCTTCGGCGGCCAGCAGCAGCAGCAGGGAGGTGGTTTCCAACCCGGTCACCGCTCGCGCGGTTCTATGAACCAGTCGATGGGCTCCATCGGCCAGTTCCAGTACCCCGGCCAGCCCCAGCTCATCCAGCTGCCCCAGGGCCAGGTCATGATGGCTCCGCCACAAATGTTCGCTGGCGGCCAGCAGCTGAACCCGCTTCAGCTCGCCCAGCTCCAGGCCCTTCAGCAGCAGAATGGCCAGGGCATGGGAGGCCTACAGGCGAGTCAGCACGCCCCTCCCCAGCTTTCTGTGCAGCAACAGCAGCAGCAGCAGCAACAACAGCGGAAGACTCTATTCACTCCTTACCTGCCCCAGGCCAATCTGCCTGCTCTGATCAGCAACGGTCAGCTAGTTGCGGGTGTTTTGCGTGTCAACAAGAAGAACCGTTCCGACGCCTACGTGACTACTCCCGATCTTGATGCCGATATCTTTATCTGCGGTAGCAAAGACCGCAACCGTGCTTTGGAAGGTGACTTTGTTGCCATTGAGCTGCTGGACGTTGATGAAGTGTGGGCCCAGAAGAAGGAGAAAGAGGAAAAGAAGAAGCGCAAGGATATCACGGATGCGCGCTCTGGCAGCAATGCTGGAAATGATAAGTTGGGTCGATCGGACTCCAGTGGCGATAGACAGGAGATCGGCCCGGATGGAAGCATTCGTCGCCGTGGCAGTCTTCGTCAGCGTCCCACCCAAAAGAAGAACGACGATGTCGAAGTTGAAGGGCAGAGCCTTCTGCTTGTCGAGGAGGACGAGATCAGCGACGAGCAGAAGCCCCTGTACGCCGGTCACGTGGTTGCGGTTGTTGAGCGCATTGCGGGTCAAATGTTCTCTGGAACTTTGGGTCTACTTCGTCCCAGCAGCCAGGCGACCAAGGAGAAGCAGGAGGCGGAACGGCAGGCCAGAGATGGTGCCCATGGCCGCCATCAGGATCGCCACCAGGAGAAGCCGAAGATCGTCTGGTTCAAGCCTACTGACAAGCGTGTACCCCTGATCGCCATTCCGACTGAGCAGGCTCCTCGGGACTTTGTCGAGAAGCACCAGGATTATGCCAACCGCATTTTCGTTGCCTCCATCAAGCGCTGGCCCATCACTTCTCTGCATCCCTTCGGTACCTTAGTGGAGCAGCTCGGCGAGATGGGTGACCTGCGGGTTGAAACCGATGCTCTTCTCCGTGACAACAACTTCGGATCCGATGAGTTTTCGGAGGCAGTCATCAAGAGCATCGGCTGGGAGGACTGGTCAGTTGCGAACGAGGGTGATGCCCTCGCTTCCCGCCGTGATTTCCGTGAAGAGACCACCTTCACCATCGATCCGGAGAACACCAAGGCCCTTGAGGACGCCTTCCATGTCAAGAAGCTTGCCGATGGCAAGGTCGAAATCGGTGTTCACGTTGCGGACATTGCCCACTTCGTTAAGGGCAACTCTCTCGTTGACCGGGAAGCTAAGAAACGCGGCACAGCTGTCTACTTGGTTGACCGTGTTATGAACATGCTGCCGCCCCGTGTCTCCACCGAGCTCTGCTCCCTTGTTCCTGGCGAGGACCGCCTCACCGTTAGCGTGATCTTCAAGGCCAATCCTGAGACCGGCGCAATTGATGATGACGTCTGGATCGGCAAGGGTATTATTAAGAGCGCTGGCCGCCTCGGCTACAACGAGGTCAACTCCGTGCTTACTGGCAAGTCGGACTCCACCAGCGCCGGTATTACCACTGCCAGCCTTGAGTTGCTGAATGTAAGTTCACTTTGTTTTATTTTTGGTCCACTTTGCTTTGATTTTCCGTATCTGATGAGTGATTCCTCAGGCTATTGCAAACAAGTTCCGTGATGCTCGATTCGGCAACCGTGCCACTAATGTCCCAAGCCTGCGCCTCCTTCAGCAACTGGATGACGAGAACGTGCCGGTCGAGTACAACATTTTCGAGTCAAGCCCGGCCCACGAGCTTGTTGAGGAGCTCAGCCGCCAGGCTAACTTCTACGTTGCTCGCAAGTTGGTCAGCGCTATGCCCGAAAGGGCTTTCCTGCGTCGCCAATCTCCTCCCAACTCTCGCCGCCTGACGTTGTTCGTGGAGCGGATGAACCGCCTTGGCTTCAGCATGGACTCTTCCAGCAGTGGCACCCTGCAAAGCTCTCTCTGCAGGGTTGATGATGTCGATCTCCGCAAGGGCATGGAGACATTGCTCTCTAAGGCCATGCAGCGTGCCAAGTACTTCGTTGGAACTGGTGCTGCGGACGAGCAGCGCCAACATTACACTCTCAACGTGCCTGTGTACACTCACTTTACCAACCCCTCTCGCCGTTATGCTGATATTCTTGTGCACCGCCAGCTCGAGGCTGTCCTCTCCGAGGGTGCTATTGAGTTCACCGATGATGCCGAGTCCTTGAACAAGACCGCTGATCTGTGTAACAATAAGAAGGATTCGGCTCTCAACGCGCAGGAGCAGAGTGTCCACATTGAGGCCTGCCGCAACATGGACCGGAAAGTTCATGAAATTGGCGGAGACCTCATTAGCGAGGGTATTGTTCTCTGCGTTTACGAGTCCGCCTTTGACGTTCTCATTCCTGAGTATGGCTTCGAGAAGCGGGTTCACTGTGATCAGCTGCCGCTGAAGAAGGCAGAGTACCGCAAGGACAGCCGTGTCCTCGAACTTTACTGGGAGAAGGGTGTTCCCTCTTCTGCCTACATTCCTGAGGATGAGCGTCCAAAGCCCGGCAACTCTCGCGCAGCCCAGGCGGCTGCTGCTGCCCGCGAAGCGGAGGCCGCTAAGGAACGTGCTCGGGAGCGCGATGAGGCCATGCGCAAGCAGACTGAGACTGGCACCATGTCTGCTGACGCTGTCGATGCCCTCTTCGATGATGAGGAGGATGTCGACGAGGTGACTGAAATGGCCGCTGGGGTGTCTCTGAATTCGGCCGACCGGTCGACCCAGAGCATGCCTCCGTCGCCGACTCGCAACGGCCACCATCAGCAGGCCCCTCACCGTACTCGGTCTGACCCGAAGATTGCCTCGAGCACCAACGATGCTCCCGAGAACAAATTGACCAACAAGGAGAAGTACCTGAAGCTTTTCAAGTTGAGAGAAGAAGATGGCGAATTCATCCAGGACGTCACCGAGATGACTCGTGTTCCCATCATCCTGAAGACCGACCTGAGCAAGAGCCCACCGTAAGCTTCTCTATCCCCGCGCTCCCGCGGGCTATCTTTGATGGATTCATACTAACGCCCATCCACAGTTGCCTGACCGTCCGGTCTGTCAATCCCTATGCCCTGTAAAGGTCTCTGAGACGATTGTCTTCTCCTTTCTTGGGAAATATTATTGCATGCCTATCCTGCAGATTCTTTGGGTGTGTTGGGCATGGTTCCCATATCCCGCCACACCTACGGACATAATTCTCCCCCAACATGCTGATCGAACATATGATTATCGGGTGATTTCCTGGCAACCGGATTAACCCACAAACTCTTCCCACCCATTCTTCCGACGTGTCCTGGGGGCCTTCGTATACTTATTTGTTTGTTATATGTTGTGTAGCGGTTGTCTGTTGTTTTACTTTTCTATTTTTCTTGCAAGCATCTTGAGTTTTTCTTCTGGAGCGAGAAAGAAAGATAGTGTGGTCCTATGTCTGAGCTTTTTGAGTCTCGGAACCCTTTCCTGTTCCGATTTCGTGCGCTTTCGAGTGTCTCTGGGATTTTCAGTCTTGCGCGATGCTTGGAGATGGTGCTGACAGGGGGGAAAGATTGATTGCAGCTCGATAGTTTCCGGAGAGTCGTTTATTAATCCAGCTATTCACATCCTCTTTGCTTGTAATGTCTGCGGTTATGGTAGCAGGTAGTCTTGTATCTTTATGAAGAGAAAAGCAATACATCACCATAGTACCAGCAGCGATTGCAATTCAGGAACTCCGTCGTATGGGGATGCCCGTAATAACTCGCGTCTATGAAGTTGTGGCAAACGCAGTCGTTTGCATTTCCCCTCTTGAGTCTCTCAAATTTACATACAAAAGCAGAAGAGATGTGGACTTGATAAGCCCGTTCTTAGTGGTAAGTTACCACTCCACATATTGCGACCTAAGTTCCTTCATCCGCAACACCTGTTTACGAACGGCGTGAAACGTTGCCACAAATGAGAGACGACTACACCGAGTGGGAGCGCTACTCGCATCCTAACCCAGATGAGGAAGACCCCCCCCCCCCCCCCCCCCCGACTCTGGACGAAATACAAACTCTGCAAGAATTTGCTGAGCGCTACAGCACATCCGATGCTATACCAGCAGATGACGCTGCTCGCAAGCTAATGTCGCTCGCTGACGAGGACCGCGTAGTAGATGAGTGCCAGAGTGATGTCGTGGACACAGGCGAACGCGTTTCCTAGTTATTATTGGATGCCGATATCGATATGCCGCGCTATCAGCCTGCCGTTCTCAAGCTGGTTGAGGCTATTCGCGCGCTTCCTAAGCTGGAAAGAACCGAGACGCAGATCAGTACCGGGCCGTTTCGAGGACAAAATTAGAAACCTATAGGTCCTTAGAGGTATTCGAAAACATTTGGTCTAAGACTTATTCGCGTAAGTAGCCTACTTTCTTCCCCCCTAATCCCCAATCCCCTAAAAAACAACCTAGTCGTCTCCTTTGCTAGCGTGGCATAACGGCTTAAACCTTACGAGATATCTATATCCTCTTGAGCTTTATAGGGTTCTACTAGGTAATCAATCTTAATAGACGTAGTATACCTTATACTAATCCTTTTATTATAGGCTGTTAGCAGATAAGATACGGCCTATATCCCCTTTACGGATAGATTAGCTTCTATAGTGCTAACGCTTTTTATACGCACTATCTTGCTGTCTATCCTCCCGATTTCCCTAAATCAACCGAATTAACTATAGCATTACGACTTCTCGTGTTCGTACTAGAGCAGGATCTATAGACTTATACCTATATAACTACCGCCGCCGACGTAGTCGCCAACACTCTTATAGTACTACTACCCTCGGTACGCTTACCGCGCTACTAATTCTAATATTAAATATAAGTAAGAACGAACGCCACGATTGCACTTAAGATGACTAACTTATGAAATCTAGACTGATGTACACGCTATGGTCCCCTTTTTGAAATTGCCGGGCATATTATCTTTAGTTTTGTAGGAAAGAGAGATCTATCTCTACTCGAAACAGTAAAATTGCGTGGTTGGAATCTTTGGGCGGGAGACTCAATCGTTCTCGATGGAGAGATGGGAATTTTGGAAAAAGCGGTTGCGGTGGACAAGTGAGCAAGATGAGCTGCTGGAACGGATGCGAGCTGACGCCCGGAAACTTGTGCAACTTATGCAAGAAATTGAGCAACAGAACCGAGGGATAAATTCGAGGGGTTAGGCTTAGCACAAACATGCTAACTATGGGCTAGTTTCGCCGTTGATTCCGTCCTACAATGGACAGCCACGGGGAGGGAAGTCCTTGTTGTGTGTTGTTCCGTGACTTGGAAAAAATTACCTATCAGTAAGGTCCAATTTTCCTTCGAGAACCCCGCTAGTGTGGACTATGTTACACGTCGTAGACTCTTGGTAATATGTGGCTCCAGCCCAAGAGGATCTACTACCTATATAGAGGTTTGAGCCTAGATAAGGCCCCATCAGGATAGAGATTTTCAAGAGACGCAATTGGACATAATGTCTTTCGACGTAAAATTTGGAAGATTATACCTTAAATTTATAGCGATATATACGCTAGGTAGGATAGAGCTAATTGGGTTAGTTAGATATCGGCCTAGGGTTTGAAGAATAACACTATACTGTATGTTCGGCGACAAAGAGGAGAGAGAGGAGGTTACAGAACAGCGTATCGGGCAGGTAACCGGATGTAGTAAGTCATAGATACCAATATTAGTACTATTTGTATATTCCGCGCTCAATCACGCGCTTGATTGCTCGAGCAACATACCACGTTGCTCTCCTTCAACCCGCTCGAGCTCATGCGCCCCTCGCACAGCATATAGATATGATAAGTTCTCCTCCGCTCGGCTTGTTGCTGTAGCTACCGGGTAGCCCATCGGAATGAAACCCCCTGGCAGAGACTAGTTCCTGCTCTATCGTTTTCAAGTATTCCGATCTCGACCATGAGCTCTGGATACGATGGAAGCGGAGATCATCAATCTTGGTGAATTGAATGAAATGACTCGTACAAGAGTTGGGAGGCTCTTGTATCTGCTAGATGCAGGATAGGGGGTGGGGATCGGGCTTGATGTACATGCAGATGAGTCAAAAAGGTGTTGACAAGTTACGGAGGGAAACTAGATGGTCACTCTGCTCCCACATCTCGCAGTGTGCTCCGACATAAGCTGGGCGAATTATTCCAGGCTGGGAGTTGGAGAATCCAGAGGCCTTCCGGGTGAGTGAAAAGCCAGAGACGCGAGTGGATCCGGTGTGAGCGAATCTTTGGAACATGTATGCGGAAAACGAATGTGTGGATTGATCAATATCAAAAACGCCATAGGAATGAGAATCTGAGGCACTTGATAAACTAAAGTGGAAAATGATTCGCAAATGCAACCAGTTCAATGTATGTATCCCCCATCAAATCGCAAAGTAGGGGTATCGTAGTTAGGGCTATCCATCAAAAGAACACCCATATGCAAAAATAACATCAAAGCAACGAAGAGAGAACCATATACCGACGAATCACTACAGTCGACGCACGCCAATTCGCGGCTTCGGCTTCGGGGCAGCGGCCTTGCGCGCGCCTGCACCGAGCTTCTTGGACATTTTTGAAGGTTGCGCTTCTTGAGAAGCGACTCCGTGAGCAGCCAAAGTCGGATCCGGTATTGAAGCGACTGGATGGGGGCCATTTCCAGACTTCGCAGCTTGCAGTTCGCATCTCTCCTTCAGGCCCAGTACACCTGAGTCACAGTTCTCTTTACCATCCCCATTGTACCGGGTCCGGTCCGGGACATCCTCATAGATGTGAATATCATCGTGGAGGCGGAAAGGTGCATTGATACTCTTGCTGAGGGTGAGCTTGGGGGACTTGCGCAGTGGCGAGGCCGACTGTCGCGCGCGGGTGTGATTGGCGGTAATGTTTTGCTCCGAGGATGTCAAGTTGGGCGTCTGGGCGGTCTCTGACTCCGAATCCGAGTCGATGAGCATCATGTCGGCATCGGGATCGTGGGGGTACGGCATTGAGAGGACGGAGAGCGGCCGCTTGCCAAGTGCGTTCTTGCGGGGGCTTGGAGGTGCGAGGCAGACCGGCGACGGAGAGAGGGATGGGTTGTTTTCTTTGCTTGCACTCGCGGGATCCTCATCTTCGCTGTCACTCATGCCCTCGTTGCGTTCTGGGATGGTTGGCTGGGAGGGTTCGGCGGCAGCGTGTGGCACGTAGGTCCTGGGTGGGGAAATGTTGCGAGCCACTTTCTTGGGGATGCTCGATTGCAGACGCGGTTGTTTCCGTGGGCGAGGGTTTTGAGACTCGACATGGTGGTCCTTCGGAATGGAGCTGGCGTCTTCGCCTCGAAATTTGGCTTCCTTCACAGCATCTTGGAGAGCAGGTTGGATTGGCGCGTGGATAGAGGTCATCAGCTTGGCTTGGTGGGCAAAGTCCGCGTAGTCCTCTCGGAGCAGTGTGCCTGCAGTCGAGTTGAGGGCAGAATCGGGGTTCGGGTGGATGAGAAGACAGGAAATGGTCTGTAAAGGAGGCGGTGGTCAGCGGAGGGATCGAAAGCCGGGGGCAGAGTTCATTTGGGAACACGGAACTCACAACAAGCACATCGCGCAGTGTCAACGTGGACTTCCAGTCTCTCTTCAATGTATCCACACAGACAGCGCCCGTGAGCTCCTCCACGTTCGGGTGCCAGATCCTCGTGCGGAACGTGGCCTTGGGCGGGCTATTGGGATAATCCTCCGGCATCTTGAGATGCAGGCGCCAGAGACCCTGCACGTACGGGGTGCCCGGGGGCCCTGTGAGGAGAACATTTAACTGTGATAGGTCGTCTGCTGCTGCAAACCCCCCATCGTCCGGGGGCAAGAGGTAGTACGGGGGTAGCTTGTCGCAATGGAGGGCAGCATGGTCTGCGGCGAGCCGGCGCAAGTTGGAAACCTAGATCACCGGGTCAGTACACGATAGCTCAGTCGGTGTCTTGATACTGGGTGCTGGCAGCGCTTCAAATGGGGGGGCTTCTTGGACTCACCATTGTGGGCGGGTGTGATGGTGTTTTGAACGGCGATCCTGGAGCAAAACAGTTGGTTACTTCGTCGACGGGTTGTTTGGGTGCCGCTAGTCCCGAAACGGGGACGCGTGATGACGCGTGATGACGCGTGCGCGTTACTCATTACATCTCCCGATCGGGCCAATATACTTCGCGTCGGTTGTGGATGCACCACGATCCACGATCAGAGTGACGATACATAGCCCGTTCCAATGATTCTCCCCGGGAATTGGATGTGGCCAAAACTTAATCTACCGTCTACAGGAGGGGGATTGTCGACAAGATCGGTCTGCAGTCTATCCCACCGGGTAGGTGTTCATATGGGCATGCTCCAGACAGGGCGCCTGTCCAGAACCCTTCAAGCATAATGACCCTATCATTACTTTGCAACCACCTTGTCCATCATGGTCGGCAGCTGACACACAGGAGACCCAATTTCAAGGAATGGCAGTCTGTCCGACCTTGTATTTACCAGGAATTAAGCTAATCATGAACATCGAAAAGATGTAAGAATCAAAAGAGGTAAGTGGGAAAAAGGGTGCGCCGTGGGTATGCTATCCGATGTGACACACGAGGAGGCAATAAAACAGATCCAGGTTCCCCCGGGAAATGGCCATGTACCAAGGCCCACAATATTAAGCGCAAAGAAGGAGAGTAAAGAAAGAAAACCCTTGCTCGCATGTTCATATCCCTCGTCCCATGGGACTCCAGCTTGAAATGGGAGTCAACCACGTTCCATGACCCTGTTCAGCCCCCTGCCCCGGTTCCAATAGCAGAGTATTTGCAGGCAATGGAAGCTCGGCGCTGGATGAAGAATGACTGGGCCAGCCTCTGAGCCGCTTTACAGAGCGAAAGCAGCCAGGGCAGCCAGACCAGCCAGGCCAATGGGGCCGGCAGTGGCCATGGCGGCACCGCCCGAGGAGCTGGAGCTGGAGGCACTGCTTGAGGAGGAGCCAGTGGCGGAGGAAGACGACGAGTCAGTCCCGGTCGAGGTGCTGGTGCCAGTGGCGGTGCCCGTGCCCGAGGTAGACTTCGTAGATGAGGTGAAGCCGCTCTTGGAGCCAGTAGCAGTGGCGCTGCCGCTGCTGCTGCCGGTGTTGGTGGCCGGCGTGACGACAGGCGAGGTCAGACCAGCGGGGATGGAAGCTGCGGGCTGCTGGGACGTCACAACCGAGGGCTGGGAGGTGACCACGGACGGCTGACCGGTCACGACGCCCAGGGAGTTGGTCTCGGTCAGGTACTGGGTGGCCGGGTTGCCCTATTCGCGAGTTAGCAACGGTTGGGCGACAGCGTCCAGGAAGCGACCCCCATCTCGTGGGGGAAATACGAAATACTGACCTCGCTGCTGGTGGTATCCGCAACAACGCCCGTGGCAAGGGCCGAGAGGGAAGCGACGATGATGGAGGCACGCATTTTGATGGTGATGAGGGATGATGGAGTAGGTGGAGAGAGGTGCAGTGAAGAAATGAAAGTCACGGCGGGCAAAGCGAGCGTCGGCAGAGTTTTAACAGGACAAGAGCGATGGTCTGGGGATCAGGTTGTCCTAGGAAACCGCAGGGTCGAGGGGTCTTATACTCCTCCATGTATCTTGCCGCACACGCCGCCCTGGCCAGTCACACAGCCAGTCACAGCCTGTCTGCCAGCACGATTCGAGCTAGCGCGGCCGCTGGATCTGCAAGGTTGGCCGTTCTATTTTGGTTTTGTCTCTGGGGTCACACCGGCCGGCGGTCGTGCAGCCGTGGTGCGTCAGCTCAGGGCTGCTGGTCGACCTGTACCGGAGGCTGTCTCTTCCAGAACCCACTCTGGCCTGTGGGCAATGCGTCGTATGGTTCCTACAGTAGCAGGAGTCGCGCAGGGCAGCAGCCTGCCCCCGGCATCCACTCATCCTGTCATTTTATTGCGGCCTGTGCGGGCCTGGAGGGCTTGGAGATCGCAAAGCAAAACAAGGACTCCGCGTTGGCTAGCGAATCGACTTGCAGGGGGACGGGAATCCCTGTTTTGCTTATTTGCCCCTGGGGAACAGCAGGGATCATGGCCAACAATCAGAGAGATCACAACGGCAATACGGAGTACACCATCCAGGATACGGCAACATCGAACCTACGCAGAGTTGGTCCATCCCTTCGGCCCTTCCCCGACAGCCTCGGGGAAAAGGTGGGAGGCATGGCAGACCGGAGAACACACCATCCGGTCTCGTTTCTGGTCGTTTCGGTTTGATTCTTTCCTATTCTTGGGTCCCCTCAATGGCTCGGTCCAAGGCAGTGTTGTGGTTCGACGTGCGTGGCGCATCGGTTGAGACCGCCCAGCGGCGAGACTAAGACTAGCTTCGGACGCTGATCGGCGGGGTGAGACATCGCCAGGATTCGTCGCCCAATTAGTCACCATTACTTACCTGGACTCCTCTGCAAGGCGATGGACCCCGAGAGGATCGTCTGTTCCGTTCCCGGCTGTCACGTCGCTTCGAATTTGCTTGGTTGATGGCCGTGGACGCAGCCATCCACAGTATCCGTCAGAAGCCACCATCATGATACCACCGGGAACGCAAAACATGCTGGCCGAGAGATCCAGGACGACAGTGGGTCTCGGGTCGCGTCCCCCGGGCCCATCGGTTGGCCCGCCCCGCCCCATCTCTTCCATCGTCCGGTCTCTGTCAGACTCCATTATGCCAGCCCTACCGTGGTAACCGCTCTACACCACCTACCCACTGCTCCCTCTGGGTTTCTACCACCATTCCTAGAGGCTCACGAATCCTTGCAGGGAAAACCCAGGTCGCCCAACGTTTTTTAAGCTTCAATACACTCTGGCGGGAACGGTCCCTCGGGGGTCTGTGCCAGCAGGCGACACGTATAGTGTGCTCAGTTTGATGAGACAGGGGATGGGTCAGAGGCAGTGTGTATCATCTGCAGTAGACAATGCGGCCGCCGATAGCGTCTCCAGGCGGGGCAGTGATCCGTACCAAAGGACAATAAAAGCGCGGTGCTCGTCTAGGGTTCGAGCCGATGCTGTATACACCGTAGTACCCAGAGGGCCGGGAAGGCGAAAAACAAGCAATGATGGAAGGATGCGAGGCGTGATTCGCCCATAGCCATCAGACGCAGGATCCTTGCTGGTCGGCATATCTTTATTTTGGCCAATGTGCGCCCCCACGCTGATCAATCCGCTGACAGTCAGGGCCACTCTAATGTTGCTGCTCACATGCAGAGCGTCAATATCAAATACCGCCACCAACGTCGAGATCTCCAGGTCTCTTCCCAAGGTCGAGATCATCGCCCATATGCCGTTCCGTATAATCGCGCCCAGAGGTAATGCGGGAGATACGTTTGCATGACTCTGCCGGAAATTGACGCCCTCCATAATCGGCCAGTCGAGAGCCAAGGAATTCCAGACTGCAGCCAACTCGCAGCGCAACTGACATCTGCGGTCTTGTAAAGCCCTCGGTTTTCAATCACGGACCCCTACTCTCATTCAAGCATCACGATAGTCATTATGAGTGATCGCCGCTAAACCTTCCCTATCTGTTCGCTCTGTTCGCGGCACCCTCGCCCGCCGCACTATTCAGACGCTTGTCGAGGAAAATCCCGATTATGCGGGCTTCCTCCGCTGCAAAAAGGGAGCCCATCTGTGAGACGACGTTGATCTCACCAGCCCAACATAGTCCAGAGGCGTATCTATCGGTATTAGAGATGTGTTTGAAGCGGCGCCTTCCCCGAGATGTTAAGCCCATTCTCGGAGACTTTCCTTTCCCCTCCTTTACTTGTGGAAGATCATCACATAATGGTGATCATGGATCGGCAAGGCTCGTGGGCCGGTCCACTCTTCCCACTAAAGCGCATGCCTCTATCACTTCACGCCGGATGAACACTCTATCCCCACTCCATTAGCGGCGATAGCTAGAACAAGGGCCCAGGTCTTCCCAAACACATCCAAGCCAAACCCGAACGGGAGGCAACAGAGCCGCATACAACACCAATATATGCCTGTCAGTGTAAGATGGTGTGGGAGGGTGATGATACACAAGGGACATGAGATGATCTCATAACTGTTACATGTCATTTCGGGTTCTGATCAAGTGCGATTCTTAATATTTTGGAGTCAAAGACGACCATCGTAACTGCTTTTCGATCCCAGTGACCCCAGGACACAAGAACAAAGCTTTGGAATCATCGAGATGCTGAAAACGCTCCAGTGAGCAGCAGCGGCAAGCTCCCATTCATCGGCAATATTGATTGAGGCTCCCTCGCAGCGATGCATATTATACAAAAAAGCGACTGCACCCTAATACGCGGCGCGATGCCAACCCCCTTCGCCAAGATCACTCCTTGGTCACCGCCTCCTGGCGGATCCAATCCGCAAACTCCTTTCGCTTGGCCTATGAAGTCATCAAGTCAGCATCCATCCATCATGTTCAGATAGTATTTTGGTTTCGATATCGGCAGTCCCGTGGCAGCGAAGGGCAATTCGGTCCAGCCAGACAACCACAATACGAGAAACATCAAAGGGCGGAACCGAAAGAAAAAACCCTGTCTTACCCGGATATCCCAAAACCCATAGCGCTCCTCCAGGCTCAGATAGGGATTCCGCGCACCGCCGTCCCGCTCAATCTCGCCGGCCCAGTCGCGCCAGCTGATCGGCTTCAGCTTGTCTGCACTTAGCACCAGCCCGATTGAGACCACTAGCACGGCCACCAGGACTTCGACAATGATATCTGGCGGCAGGGCCGTGGAGGAGGCGAGGCGCGCGTTGCTGAAGAGCACGCTGTGTTCGTGCGCGGAGTAGCCTCTGCAGATAGAAGAAGCGTGTTAGCTAGTCCAACTCAAGAGGGAGCATAGACAGTGTCGGTGATGTTGGACACATACGCGTGGGCCAGCAGGACCAGGCCAAATAGCGTGACCAGGTGCGAGAGGAAGCTCATGGTGAGGTGGTCAATTGGGAGTTTGCGAGGTGGGGGCGTGTTCCAAGATGGTTGAAGTTTTGGAATCCAGCGGATAGATTGTAAACAAACAGGCGAGATCCAATGAGGGGATGTCGGGATCGAGGAAGTGGGCGTTCTGGGGGTGTAGACCTGTACTCCTGGGTCGCTCTTCCATCGGAAGCTGGATGATCGCTGGGGGTCCGCCATCCCGCGTGGTGATTACCTAATCGCCGGGATCTCGAGCTCAAGGCTTGGGGGGAATTATAAGGTGCTTCTGAGACTACTCTGGGACTTCGATTATAGATTATCTGTGATATTATCAAATAGAACGTAGGCCTCGTTGAGCTTCTACCTAGGTGTTCCCAGGTCTATGAAAACTATGGTCTTCCAGATATAGGTTACCGTGCCTGTCTTCAACCTTACTCTTCGTTTCGCTCGATAAATATATTTGCCGGGTGGGTGCTGCCCACGGAGTATATGGAAGTTGGTTTTATGGTTTCATCGATTGGGTTGAGCATAACTAAGACAGTTGCATAAACCCTCCAAAAACACCATTGCTACCATAATTTGGGATTGCTACTCTAGTATAATACCCATGTGAAGCCCTAGGCTTTGCCGTGGGAGACTGGGAAGGTCGCCGTGGTCGGAGCCCCGCGCTCGAACCCGCTAGAAAAGAAAGTCTCTACCCCGCCATAGCAACGGGCGCGCAGTGGACGTGGCCTAAACATGTCGGGCAGAACGCCACGACCTGTCATGATCAAAGATGAAAGGGGTATTTCTACCAGTTGGAGGACATAATGGGTCATGAAAAGTTTTTTAAATTTTTTCATCAAACCAGCCATTATCAGACCGGGTTCTAGGTTCGTAACTATTTGGGGGTTCCTAAGACATCAAAAATTCCATCATCACGCCATTTCCACATCATCCATGGACATCAATTACAGCTTCTGCATAGCAGCAATGTCGGTAGACTGGACGTGGTCCTCATCCTCCTCGATCTGAGCCTGGAGAGCATCGGTGGAGACCTTCTCGTCCTCGACGACCAGGTTGATCTGGAGCTTCTTGATACCGAAGCCGACGGCGACGAGCTTGGAGGCACCCCAGACAAGACCATCCATCTCAATGGCGCGGACGTTCTCCTCCATCTCCTTGAGGTCGGTCTCGTCATCTACATCATGTTAGTAAGAAGATTCTAGCGGCCGAAAAATCCGAAGAAAACACATACCCCAGGGCTTGACCTCAAGGGTCACCAGAGACTTGGCAGCGGGCTTGGGCTTAGCGGCCTTCTTGGCCTTGTAATCCTCCAGACGCTTGTTGCGCTCAGCGACAACGGCGGCATCCTCCTCCTCGGAGTCGGAGCCGAAGAGGTCCTCCTCCTCCTCATCCTCCTCGGGCTTGTCCTTGGGGTTGGAGGGGAGCTCAGTGGACTCGGGGCCGTAGGCAGTGAAGCCCTTGGAGGCATCACCGGGGAGGGTAGAGAACTCGCTCTCGTAAGAGGCGATGTGCTTGTACCAGCGGGCAACGTGGGGGTACTTGGCAGCGTCGGGGGCGGCGCTGAAGGCCTTGAAGGTCACAACATCGGCCTGGCTGGGGGCGTTGCTGTCCAAAACAGTCAGTTTTGACGTACAGGTATAATATCGACACGAGATGACATTTGCAATGAATGCAATGAAGATCAGAGACGCGATTGCTCGCAATTGGATGTAGTCACACGGCGGGGTCTTAAGCCGCCTCCTAAACACGGACCAATTTTTTCTCATCATAGAAAGCACGGGGATCAAGACACGACATCGGGTGAAATGAACACAAGAAAAGAAGACAAAATACCATCAAACAAAGGGAGACGAAAGCGGGATCTCTTACCCAACGATGTAGCTGCGAGTGGCCAGGTAGTTGTTGGCCACTGGGGGCCAGTCAGTCCATGAACTCAGGAGAAAGAGGCGAGGGAGTGCCTACGAGTCAGGCCGGCGTCAGAGACGAAGTCGGTGAAACCCATTGTGAGTGAGGTGTGTTGGTTTGGGGGTGGGAGAGGAAAAGGGGGTATGAAGAAAACAAAGTGGGATTGGGGGACCGAGGGGTAAAGGTTTTTTTTTCCCGTTTAAATTGGGCGACCGCCGGCGCTCCACGTGACTTGAGTGGTGACGGAGCTTGGTCCAGTCGCTGCGGAGTTGCCGCCGCTGCGAGCCCCGGCGAGCCACTCAGCGCCGTCGCGGTGGAGCTTTCGAGAAGCATCGCGATGAACCCGCGAATGCAGCTATTAAAGCTGTACAAGCCTCCCGCCCAAGGGACTGCCCTGCATCATCCCCCCTCTCCACCAACCCCCACTACTATGGCGGCCAGACTCGCTCTCAACTCGCGCACTCGACTGTTGCGCACACCCAATCTACCTACCTCCTCTCGACTACTCTCTCTGAATTCACGCTCGTCGCAACTCCCCCGGATTCCGGCACTCCTTGCACCTGCTGTTAGAACCATCCCAGCTGTCTCGGTGCGTCATTATGCCAATGGCCGACCACACCCTCCCGGGGGTACGCACCGCATGGACATGAGCGGAGGGTCAGAGAAGCCTGCTTTGGAACAATTTGGTACAGATTTGACGGAGAAGGCGAAAGCGGGAAAGCTAGACCCGGTTATTGGAAGAGACGCCGAGATCCATCGTACCATTCAGGTTCTGTCTCGACGTACCAAGAACAATCCCGTCTTGATTGGCGCGGCTGGCACCGGTAAGACCGCTGTGTTGGAGGGTCTGGCCCAGCGCATTGTGCAGGGAGATGTTCCGGAGAGCATCAAGAACAAACGCGTGGTCAGTCTGGACTTGGGATCCCTGATCGCAGGCGCCAAGTTCCGCGGTGACTTTGAGGAGCGTTTGAAATCCGTGCTGAAGGAGGTCGAAGATGCTGAAGGCAAGGTCATTCTCTTTATTGACGAGCTCCATACCCTGCTGGGACTGGGCAAAGCCGAGGGCAGTATCGACGCTAGCAATCTCCTCAAGCCTGCTCTGTCCCGAGGTGAACTCCAATGCTGCGGTGCCACAACCCTGAATGAGTATCGGTTAATTGAGAAGGATGTCGCCCTCGCCCGCCGATTTCAGCCCATCCTGGTCGGCGAACCGTCCGTTGCCTCGACCATCTCCATCCTACGTGGCATTAAGAACAAGTACGAAGTCCACCACGGTGTCCGAATTACCGATGGTGCTCTCGTTGCCGCAGCTACCTACAGCAACCGTTACATCACCGACCGATACCTCCCAGACAAAGCCATTGACCTGGTCGACGAAGCCGCATCTGCACTCCGCCTTCAGCAAGAATCCAAACCCGACGCGATTCGGGAACTGGAACGTGAAATCACAACAATCCAGATTGAACTTGAGTCCCTCCGCAAGGAAACCGACGTGAGCAGCCGCGAGCGTCGGGATAAGCTTCAGGAAGACTTGAAGACCAAACAGGAGGAAGCTGCCAAGTTGACTGAAGTCTGGGAGAAAGAGAAGGCTGAAATCGATGGAATCAAGCGCACAAAGGAAGATCTGGAACGCGCTCGATTCGAGCTCGAACAAGCCCAGCGTGAAGGCAACTTCGCCAAGGCAGGTGAGCTCAGATATTCTACCATCCCTGACCTCGAAGCCAAATTGCCCAAGGAAGGGTTCGAGCAGGATGCTGAAAGGCAGACTCTGATCCATGATTCCGTCACGGCCGATGACATTGGCAATGTTGTCTCTCGGACTACCGGCATTCCTGTCAACAAACTGATGGCGGGAGAAGTCGAGAAGCTGATTCACATGGAGGATATCCTCCGGCGGTCAGTTCGTGGCCAGGACGAAGCTCTCTCTGCAGTAGCCAATGCAGTTCGTATGCAGCGGGCTGGCCTTAGTGGTGAGAATCGGCCACTGGCTTCATTCATGTTCCTGGGTCCGACTGGTGTGGGCAAGACAGAACTCTGCAAGAAAATGGCTGAGTTCCTTTTCTCCACCGAGACTGCAGTTGTGCGATTTGACATGAGCGAGTTCCAAGAGAAGCATACTATCAGCCGTCTGATCGGCTCCCCGGCTGGTTACGTGGGTTACGATGATGCTGGCCAGCTTACCGAAGCAGTGAGACGCAAGCCATATGCTGTCCTTCTGTTCGATGAGTTTGAGAAGGCGCATCGGGATATCTCTGCTCTGTTGCTGCAGGTACTCGACGAAGGCTTCCTCACTGATGCACAGGGCCACAAGGTGGACTTCAGGAACACTCTCATCGTCCTGACCTCGAACCTTGGCGCTGAAATTCTTGTCGGTGCGGATCCCTTGCATTCCTACAAGGACACCGGCGCCGCCGAGCTTTCGCCAGACATCAAGAAGGCTGTGTTGGACGTTGTCCAAAGTGCCTACCCGCCTGAATTCCTGAACCGTATCGATGAGTTCATCATTTTCAAGCGACTCTCGAAGGAAGCACTGCGGGACATCGTCGACATCAGGCTCAAGGAACTCCAAGGGCGCCTGGATAGCCGTCGTATGGTCTTGCAGGTGGATGACGAGATTAAAGACTGGCTGTGCGAGAGGGGCTACGATACGAAGTTCGGTGCTCGCCCTCTCAATCGGTTGATTGCCAAGGAGATTGGAAACCGGCTGGCCGACAAGATCATCCGTGGCGAGGTCACTTCTGGCCAGATTGCTCGGGTTTCCCTCAATGATGATAAGACTGGCCTGGTTGTGTCGACAGAGGGAGCGGAGGAAAACTCATGATTCTTAATTTTACTGGTGATTAAAAGGGCATATGAGGTCGGTGTTTGGGTTTGATCTTTGGATTTGAGATGTCATGACTTGTATAATATTACACTACTCGGATCTACTGTCCATTAATGCAACTCTGCTCATACACAATCGGATTAATTCTTATTATAGTCTGTAGTTGTTCTGCTTGGGATTGGCAACGTGACCTGGTGAACGTCGCCTCGAGTTTTCCTGTCCACGTTTGCAACCATCGCTCCCATCGAGCATCCATCCCCTCTCCTTTCAAAAATGCATTCCTCCCAGAAAAAAGCACGTTCCCCGGTCGTCTCGCGTCGATACCCTGTTACCCCAGGCACTTCAGGTTCAAAGGCTTGCAATGCATCTCGGGTGTTGAATCACGCACCCGCCATTCCAAGAAGCTCGGTTCCACCGCCAACATCATCGGTAACTAGACAATTGCAAGCGCCTTATCCAAGCACAGATACCCCACAACTGGCCGATGAAAGTGAGACTATCGACAGTGACTTGGGCCATGTCATCGCTGCCATTGACATGAAAGATTACGGGACAGTGGGGTGCGCCTACTACTCTACAGAAGAGGAGAAAATGTACTTGCTTGGAGATAGCCGTTCGGGAGGAATGGAAATGGTCGATGCTTGTATATTTGTTTTCATATTATTTCCAGCTCCTGCATGTACTGACTTTGATATCTAGTGATTCTTCAAATCAAACCTACGGTGATATTGATACCCTCTCGAGTCAATATTTCAAGTCTGCGGGGCCGCGAGCAGAGTCTGGCACGAGATAACGGTACTTTCTGCGCCGTATCGAAGGTTAATGGAGCTAACCTGCTGATGTTAAGATTTCTCCTCTTATCTCGCTTACCAGGTAGACGTTCGTCCTACGCAGGAGTTCGGCTTCTCCAACGCGCGAAACAGTTTAGTTGCCCTAGACATGTCATCATCTCACGAAGACCGCATCCGCTTTTTCGTACCCAACAGTGGTCTTGCTGGTCCCGAAGAAATCAACCCTGAAAATATGGGCTTTACGCTCCATGAGGGCAGACTTCTGCACATGTCCAGCTCTATCGACATGGAAAACCCGGTGACAGTTGGCTGTGCGGGTGCTGTTCTCTCACATTTGCAGAAGCGCCGAGCTACAGGAGCAAGAATAGGGCCAATGGACGATTGCCCATTTAAAGTGAGGTACTTAGAGATGTGCAGTCTTCGGGATACGATGTAAGTAAGCCCCTGCATGAATACGCTGATGATGCTCATGTGCAAAACAGGTGGATCAGTAGCAATACCCTCTTGTCGCTTCAGATTATACAACCTGAGTCTCATCCTAACATGTTCAACCAAGGGCCCGGCACAAAATCGGCTTCGGGCAAAGAGGGTCTCTCGGTATATGGTCTGTTCCACCGCTTTGCATACACCCCTCAGGGTAAAGCAAAACTCAAGCAAATCTTCTTTCGCCCGAGCCTGAGCCTCGTCTCCATCCGACAACGACATGATTTTATCAGTGTTTTCTCGCGACCCGACAACTCAGCCGTGTTAGAAAAGATTGCGAAGGGTATGAAGCATATCAAGAACCTTCGACCGGTGATGATCAATCTGCGAAAGGGCGTCAGTACGGGAAGCGCAAAGATTACTGGGTTCAAAGCTACCGTGTGGGCAAGCCTGTTGGCTGTATGTCTCTTGGAGAATTCCAATCCATACCTGCTAATACACTATGCAGTTCGCATTTTACTCGATCGATATCCATGATGGCCTCCGAGAGGTCTCGGGTGCCGATGTCTTGCCCTTGCGGACAAAGGTTGGAGTCCTGTCACTGGACCTTCACCTCCAAAGCATTAATACTATTTAGGCTCTACAATTATTTGAGGCAGCGCAGCTCTACCGAGTAGGGCGAATGATCCAGGAGACAGTCGGTATTTCTTCCCCGGAAGCCCCTGGAAAAAAGGGTTAATTTGTTCAGGTTGACGTCGACAATTCCGAGGAGCAAGGCAGAACCGTGGTCAAACAGGGTCTTGATCGTGATCTTGATCGAATGAAGGATCGATACGACGGACTGAACAGCCTCCTCAAACACGTAGCCATTGATATTGCCACAACAATCCCAGAAGAGCTGGACATTGATGTGAACGTGATCTATTTTCCTCAGCTCGGGTTCAACATCGCTATTCCCCTCAACGACAGAGAGCAGCCGGCCTATTCTGGCTCTGGCGAGGACTGGGATCTGGTGTTCATCACGGAGACGCGAGCATACTTCAAAGACTTCCGTATGAGGGAGCTGGACGACAGACTCGGGGACATCTATGGACTTATCTGTGGTATGCATCTCGTCCTGCTGGGGAATCTTAGAGCATATTCCGATGACATGCTGTATACAGAAAAAGAGATTGAGATCGTTTACGACTTGGCTCAGAGAGTTCTCCAGTATGAGAACGTACTGGTGGAGGCTTCTGATGTTTGCGGAGAGCTTGACAGGTTATCACTTTATCGTGATCGGTTACGAGCAGATGTTAACCAATTGACAGTCTCCTTGCCCTTACACAGGCAGCTAGCTTTTACAAGCTGAGCCGACCCCGAATGGTATCAGAAAATGTTATCAAAATTAAAGGAGGCCGGTGAGAAGGCGCAGTCTATGTTATTATCTTTATTCTAACATAAGCCAGTCACATACTACAAGAGCTGACGGTCTCTTCATACGTTCCAAACAATGCTCTGCTTGTGGGTGGATACAACACCTCTGGTAGAAGTCCCATTTCATCACAGGCGAGCCCGGCTCCCAGTATGTTGGTATTGACTGGCCCAAACTACTCTGGCAAGAGTGTCTACATGAAGCAGGTGAATGCTTACCTATGGGGAATCTTCAAATCATTATTGACAATCCTTTAGACTGCCCTTATTGTTTATCTAGCACAAATTGGAAGGTATATCAGATTTAATTTCGGCCCTAAAGGAAAGGATTCGGCTAAAGGACAGTAGCTTCATTCCTGCAGAAAGTGCAGAACTGGGCATCACAGACAAGATTTTGACCAAGATCAACGCCCAGGAGAGTGTGTCAAAGGTATACTAATTGCAACTTGTGGATCCAGCTTATGCAAAAGAGACTTACTCTTACTCAGATCCAAAGTACCTTCATGAGTGACTTACAGCAGATCTCTCTCTGCTTAAATCAAGTTACTGGCCAAAGCTTAGTTCTCATCGATGAGTTTGGAAAAGGAACAAATGAGAGTGGTTCGCCTGGTCTTTTCATTGCTATGCTGAATATGAAGCTTTTGGGTCTTCGAGCTGACTGATGTAGATGGCATTGGACTCGCATGCGGGATCCTGGAGCATTTGTTGAGTCTTGAAGATGCACCGAAGGTCATCGCAGCCACGCATTTTCACGAGATCTTTGAAAATGGTTTTCTCCCACCACGAGCCAGGCTCCAGTTGGGACACATGGAAGTGAAAGTCTGCGAGGAATCACAACAGGTGGAAGATCAAGTCACATATCTCTACAAGTTCGTTCCTCTGTTCGATCAGTCATCATTGAGGGCTAAAATAAATTCAACAGCTTTCGCCTTGGTCGGAGCAATAAGAGCTACGGCACTATGTACAATATTTTTGCTCTAGTTCCATGCAATATCGTGTGATAGGCTGACAACTATGCAGTTGCGCCGCAATCAACGGCATTGACGCGGCTATTGTTGCCCGCGCGAACGAGATTGCCTTGCTGGCAGCCCGAGGAGTGAACCTCACTGCTGCGTGTGCAGTCTTATCTCCTGAAGAGACGCAGATACTGCAGGAAGCGGTACGGATGCAGCTTTGTTAGTATACCGATAAACAAATAATTGACTCCAAATGCCAGAACCAATTAGCGAGGAACTTTCTAAAAGTTGACCTCTCGAAGGATGGGGCGCCAGGGCAGAATGCGAAAGCAATACTCGAAGAATTATTCACTACACCAGCGTGAGAGATCGCACCAAGGAAAGGGGCCTAAATGGCTTGAAGATGACTTACCAAGGCGCCTTGTCCGATGCTTGTGCGTTGCCCCGTTATTGATTGGCCCATTCCGTCGTCATCTATACTGTTACATGCGCACTATTGATTCCTCATCCCACTTCACATAGCGACCCCATAGCCGTGACATTAGGGGCCAGATGAACCAGTTTACCCCGGCTTACCCCGGCCAGGCGTGGGCGACTGCGCCACCTTGGAATTGCGGCTCGAGGAGTCGTGCTGAGGGTGGTACATTCCCCTTCCACTTTCTCATCTATCTTCATGCATCTTACTTACCCCCGCCCCTCCCGAATGAGAATAATGTAGCTCAAGTTGACATTCAATCTGCCTTCCTATGCTCATACATGGTTTCCCTGCACTCTTATCTAGACTCTACCACTCGCCCTAGTCCTGTATATCTCCGTGCCCCGCATGTCGCAACGGATCTAGTGGACGCGAAACTGTCCACCAAGTTCGGTGCGAACTATACTACCCACATCTTTCTCGAATCGACGTCAACTGAGGCAGGTATGGCAGCAGTAGAGAGCGCCAAGAATAATGAAAGTCAGGCTGAAGGCGGGGGAAAGCTGCGAGCAGTCAAGGAAATTCGCAAATTAGTGCCAGGATCCAAACCAATGGGTTATAACCGCGAGTTGGAACTAATTGCCATATTTTTGCAGCAGAGAGTAAGTGGATGCATGTTCTATGTGCATGTCTTAGCTTGCTAACCGGACGCTTGGTTTTAAGGATGCTCTGTGGAATCGTCAGGCTGGTTCGAGGACGACGAGTCTCTGTTCATTGCCATAGAGTATATACGTCTTGGTGATCTTAGAGGTAGTGGTGCATATATGATGTCGCATGTCTTGTGTTGTACTTAACTATAATTTTAGGTTCCAGGATCTCCATGTCTTCGTGAATCATGAGACCTTGAACAAGCGGCGTCAACATTGAAAACGTGAAATTGAGGTTTGTATATACATCAAAATGCCTGTATCTCTGCCATGAACAGTAAACGCCGAGGTTACGAAATGAATTTTTATCCATGGAACAACCTTAGATCCGTGACCAATCCCAATCCCAGTCACAAGCTCAAACTTAGAACTTAACACTCTTAACCAGGTTCTTCTTAATACCTGTAAGTTCACCACCATAGCCACCTCGACCCTCACCACCCTTATAGATCTGGCGAATACTGCCGAGCTTCTTCTTCTTCTCCTCGTACTTCTTCCGCTTCTTGACACGCGGGTTGCGCACATCCTTGTTGCGCTTAGGCGTGAGACCCTTGTTCTTTTCGATCTGGTATGTGATGGCGCGCTTGCCGTCGGCTCCAACCGCCTCCTGGACTTGGACGTACCCACCTTCGCGGGCTGCGGCTGCGTGTGCTTCGGCACGGGCCTGCTTATCGTCCTTGCGTTGCTTAGAGCGAGCAGCAACCATGTCATAGTACTCGTCCTCGTCGCTGCCAGATTGGTTGTCTCCTTTGCGGAGTTCCTTGCGGACACGATGGTCCTCTTCGTCACTATCTCCGCCCAGCTCTTGACCGACATCAGGTCGTTGACGACCACGCTTCTCGGCTTCCGCGTTGAGACGGGCTTGTCGGTCCTTGAGACGCTCGCGGTGAGGAATATCAGCGTCACCGCCGGCATCCCGGCCAGCATTATGGCGCTTGTTGGACTTCTGGGCCAGCTGGGAGGTGTAGAAGCGGAGAGAGCGCTTCTGTTTGGCCTTCTCCTCTGCCTCACGAGCAGTCAAAGCATTCTCATCACCAAAGTCAGACTCATCTTCATCCTTGGAGGACGTCTTGGTCTTCTTGACCTTGCGCTTCTGAGTGGGGGCTGTGACCAGGTCGTCGAGATCGGCCAAGTCAGCTTCGGTCTGGCGAAGACGCTCGGCACGTCGAGCTTCGGCCTCGACTCGCGCAGTTTCGGCGGCCCGCTCTGCCCTACTCAGCTTATTCTTCTGTGGCGCTTCCTTAACCTCCTTGATCTTCTTTGGCTGCTTCTCGGTCTTGGTCGATTCGGTCTTGGCGGTCTTGACGGGCTTATGGACAGCCTCAATAATCTCTGGGACCTCGAGGTCCTTAACCATCTCCCATAGCTTCCGGAACTTAACTAGCGAGCCCATCACAGGGTGTTGACGGAGTTCGGCGGGGGGATAATGGGACGGGGTTGTCGGTCCCGTCAGAGGATGAAGCGAGAAGCATAAAGTACAAGCTGATCGTGCCGAGGTATGTTGACAGGGCGCGAAGTTTCACCACAGCCACAGGAGCTGGTTGGGGGTCATTTGAAGCTTCATTCAGTGTTGAGGAGGCTTTCGAGGCTGCCGTCTGCAGATCCTTGTAAACAGGTTCAAGGTTGGCGAACTCCTTGGCCAGAGGCTCGAACTCGGGATATCTCGAGCTCAGAATCCTCCGCTTCTCGTCGTCGTCCATGTCCTCAGTGATTTCCACTTGGGGAAGTACTTCGGTGACCACCCCAGCGTCCTCTGCCTCATCGTCCGCACCCTTGCCAGTTTCCATCCACTCGGATTCGTCAAATCCGAAGTCAGCCTCGTTCATTGCCTGCAGTTGCTTTTGCTGTAGTCTCTTAGCCTCCTGCTCTTCCTCCAAGGCATCAATCTCGGTCTCAATCTGATCAGCATTGTAGAGGTCCTTTTTCGACGAACCCCAGGCGGCAATGCCCTCCTCGTCTTCATCAGATTCAGCACCGCGACCTTTCTTTGGCTTGCCCATGTCATCCTCGTCGTCATCCTCGTTGTTGTCTTCTTCGTCGTCGAGCTCATCGTCATCCTCGTCGACGGAGTCATAACCTAGGATTTCCTCATCGGACGGCTGGAGCAGTTCCTCTGTGGGGATTTGTCAGAAGCCTGTATCAATATATCGCACATTTAAACAAGTATCATACCATCCTCGGCAACTCTGCGCCGGCGCTTGGCTTCTGGGGCTTCCTCCAGCAGGACCTGATCGCGGCCGGCCTGGAACTCATCTTCAGAGTCTTCGAATCGCTCTTCAATACTGAATTTAGTGCGCATAGGAGCATCCTCCTTTTGTGCCGGACGACCGCCAGCCTTTCTCTTTTTGCCCATGGTTAATATGTGTACTTGAAATGACTGCTTTGAGACGCTCGCCGACAAAATAATTTTTTGGAGCGGTCCTCACCGCCCTCGCAGAAGCTGCTGGGGCGGCAGATGTTTATCTTGTTTGCACCGATAATGATCGAGGTTAACATTGATACAGAAAGATTACCTACAATACAGTATTACTGTCCATAGTTTACATACGATCCAGAAGTTGTAACTGGCACCTCTGCCAACATCGCTCCTGCCCACTCAGAAACAGCCGCAACGAACGGAGCGAAGTCGGACGACTAGCCAATTCACGCCCCAGCCAGCTTTCTCTCGTGTCATTTGTTTTCTTCCTTTCCCGTTCTTCCCTCATGCCCCTTCTACCCTCATTCATTTTCCCCTATCATATTTCCACCCCGTTCCTGGGAGTATCGATACTGGTCTGCACCGCTATTGCTTATGCGGTTACCAAAATGTTTGGATTTGGCTACAAGAACGAGTTCCCCGTCGAGGGTCGAGTAAGTCATACGCGCTAGCCTTCTCATGTCACGGCCACTAACCATCTCTCACTCAGACTGTCCTGATCACTGGCGGCTCTGATGGCATGGGCCGTGCCCTCGCCGTCCAGCTTGCTGGCAAAGGTGCTCACGTTGTTGTCGTTGCTCGAACCATTTCCAAGCTCCAGAGCACTGTGGATGAGCTCAAGGTAAGTACGTCTTTTTCTTGCTCATCCTGTCGCAGTGTGCTAATACCCCTCGTAGCACAAGGCTCTGAACTCGATGAAGCAGCGGTTCTCCTATATCAGTGCTGATCTCACTGATGCCGCTGAATGTGATCGTGTGGTCGCTGAAGTCACTAGCTGGAATGACGGTTCTGCCCCCGACATCGTCTTCTGCTGTGCCGGCTTCTGCCACCCTGGTTTCTTCGTCGATGTCCCCCTTTCCGTCCAGCGCCAGCAAATGGACACGGTCTACTGGACTGCTGCCAACATGGCCCATGCCACTCTTCGCAACTGGCTTGCTCCTGTTCCTCCCAGTGGCCAGATGAAAAACCCCCGCCGCCACCTTATCTTCACTTGTTCGACCCTTGCATTTACTCCAATCGCTGGCTACGGTCCTTACTCGCCCGCCAAGGCTGCCATTCGCTCCTTGTCTGATACCCTCAGCCAGGAGATTGAGATGTACAATGGAGCCTACACCCAGCGACACCGCAACCCGGCTCCTGCTGCTGATGTCAAAATCCACACTGTCTTCCCCATGGGCATTCTCAGCCCTGGATTCGACAACGAGCAGAAGATCAAGCCGGAGTTGACCAAGATGCTCGAGGAGTCCGACAAGCCCCAGACCCCCGAGGAGGTTGCCCAGATTACCCTAAGCGCCCTAGAGCGTGGCGAGTACCTGATTACAACCATGTTTGTTGGTCATATCATGAAGGGAAGTGCTCTTGGACCCAGTCCTCGCAACGCCATCGTCCGCGACACCCTGCTCAGCTGGCTCAGCAACCTGGTCTTCCTCCAAGTCATTCCGGACCTTCGCAACAAGGCCTTCAACTGGGGCAAGGCCAATGGACTTCTGAACTCTCAGGGTCAGGATCAGACCGTGTCTTCGCCGTAGTGGTATTCCTCTGACTTGCCATTCGGTGTTTGTATTATACCCAGCATGTTGCACATGACGCTTTCCTTTCGTTTGGTCTAATTGAGGCATTCGCTCTCTCTTTGTCCGAGTGCGATCGGGTGTACCTATTATTAGTATTATTGTTCGGTGTGCGGAATCTCCTTCTTTGGTTTATTGACCTATGTTCTCTCTCCCTTCTGTCCTGAGTGCTAGCCTTTCTTGAACTTCTCGTAGCAGTTGTGAGTGGCTGAGCCCCTGCGGATTGCGGGGCGGTGACGTAGCTGGATAGAGTCCCCTCCACCAGCCACCCCAGTTTCATTGTTTCTTTGCGCCGCGGGCTACATGTTTCAAATTTCAAACAATGAACATTTGAAAGGAACTTTCAGCCTGAAAATGAATCTCTGGATTTAGAAAACAGAGTTGCGCCGAGTACTCACGCAACCTTGATCCTCATACAAAGTCCCGGCTGCCCACCGAAGGACCTGCACCCTCGAGTTCGCGACATCTGTGCCGACCTTTCCTATCTACACTCGAAGGCTTTCGAAGTCCTGTCCGCAATCGCTGCAAACCCCGCGACATCATGGGCGCATTCCTTTCGGTCCCATTGCTGTCCTTCCTCCTCGTTCCCACCCTGTCCTCCTACACCACCACCCTCAACCTTCTCTTCTTCTACATGACATGGGCCACGTTGGTATGGTCGCATACTCCCCTCCGAGTGGAGCTCTTTGGCACAGCCGCGTTTCGACTATTGTTCTATGTGATACCGTCGGCCCTATTTTTCCTCTTCGACGTGTTGACCCCGTCCGCGGCGGTGGTCGTCAAGGCGCATGGAGAGGCCGGGCTGCCTGGAGGCAGGAAGCGGCGTAAGCTTCGATTGAAGGAGTTCAAAATCGCGGGATGGGCGCTGCTCAATATCCTGTTAAGCCTTGTTATGCAGGCGGCGGTTGAATGGCTGTTCGTTCGAGTCTTGCGTCTGCGCAGCGCGATCAAGGTCTCCGTGACCCTCCCTACTCCATTCACGATATTTCAGGACATCTCTTTTGGCTTCCTGGGACGAGAGGTAAAATCTCCAATGTCTCTGAAATGCCCGCTCATGTCTAACTAATGTCCGTCCGCCTTAGGCCCTAACTTACGTTTTACACCGCTACGCACTGCACCATCCCAGGTCATTCCTTACGGAATATCACCAAAAGTGGTACCATGATCTTCGCACACCGTTCCCTCTGACTGCGCACTACGACCACCCGCTCGTCTACTTAGTAATCAAGTTCATCCCGACCTACCTACCAGCCATAATCTTCCGCTTCCACATGCTCACCTTCCTCCTCTACATATCGACAATTTCGATTGAAGAGACCTTCGCATACTCTGGATATACGTTCATGCCAACGAGCTTTTTTTTGGGTGGGATTGCTCGCCGGGTCGATGTGCATCTGATGACTGCAGGGCAAGAGGGCAACTATGGGCCTTGGGGGATCTTAGATTGGATTTTGGGAACTAGCATTGGGGACACGGATATCGAGGACGATTTGCGGAATGAGGCTGATGAGCATGCACTTGGGTCAAGGGTTAGGGATGCGTTAGACGCTTCAAACCGCAAAGTGCATGTGGATACGTTGCGGAGGAATGGAGCTAGTCAGCGGCGGGGGCACGGTAGAGGATGAAAGATTCTTTTGGACTGAGATAATACCTAGGTAATCACTGATGCGTCTCTCAATTTGAGCTGAACGGTCCATATGCTGAGCATGAGTTAGGTACCTAATGTTGCCTGCTGTTTATGTTTTGTCTGTTCGGCGTTTTGTCTTTGGGTTGGGCGTTGACATATAGACTGAGACGGACGGGAGTGGTGGAGATATATATTTCTTAGGGAGATCTCAACCCCAGATATATGTGTAAGAAATGGAACTGATGACGTCGGGACCGCACAATGGCGGTAAAATGGAAATCCCACTAATGGATTTGGTATTAAAATGCATAGGAAGGTCTAGGTATGAGATCTAGAATGTCATACGAAATGTAGGTAGAAAATCTATGAAAAGACCCAATTTTTGGATTGCCGCCTGAACCTTGGAAATGGGAGGTGTGTATGTCATACTGAACATGAAAAGAAATCCAGCCGGTCAGCTGGAGCGAGGTATTTTTTAATCTTTTTTTGTTTGGAAGTCTTTCTTCACATCACGGCTGGTCCCCCCCAACTCTCGAGGAAACAAGAGTAAGGGGGTCATGCAGACCGGCCACGTGCGAAGGGAAAAAAACAGGGCATCTTGAAACAAGAAAGAAACAACATCCGGATATCCGTATTAAACCGCAGATCCCTAGAAAGCGAAAAAGCATGTGTAGACGAATCCCGTATGTGGAGTTACATGATTCATGAAACCGTTTCCCTCCGACACGCGAAGGGGTTGCCGACGTGCAATCGAGCCGCCCCTCGTTTGAAAGATGAGTCCTCCCCAACTATCTACCGAACCCGCGGCTGCCGCATCGCACTTTTTACCACTTCATCTCGTGGGGCTTGTCACCGCTCCGGAGGCTGAAGGTAGTGGCGAGGTAGCTGCTCAGGAACTCCTCCTTCTTGATGCTGCCGAGGATGGACTGGTCGACGGCCTTCTGGTCGGCGGCACGGGCGGAGGCAACCTTCTTCTTCTGTTGGTGGAAAAAAATGCAAGTTAGTTTTCAAATTCGGGAGTTATCCGTAACAAGCTGGACTCTAGACGCACCTCGGGCTTCTCGCCCTGCTTGAAGAAAGCCTCCTCAGTCTTCTTCTCGGCCTTCTTCTCCTTGGTGAAGTAGTCGGGAGTAGAGACCTTCTCGAGGGTCTTGGCGTCAACACCGGCAAGGTCGACACGCTTGGAGGTGGCGATCACGTAGCGAGCGTTCACCCGTCGGAGGGGGACGCCGTTGATCTTGAAGGGGCCGGTGACGAGGAGAACGCCCTGGTCGAGGTGCTTGAGGAGGACGACACGCTTGCCACGGAAGCGGCCAGCGAGAAGGATCAGGATGGTACCAGGCTGGAGGGTCTCGCGGACCTTAGCGGGACGCAGCGCCTTGCGGACCTGTATGCACACAAATAGCGAATGTTAGCGACTATTGTCTTCGAAAGTTCCCAACTCGATATTTCTCAGGAAGGAATGCGTTGGTCGATACGCTCAGATGCAATGCGATTGATCTTCTTGTGTGTTTGTATGCGAGTGTCAAAAGACCTCGTCCCAAATCGTGATCACCAATTGCCACCGGGTTCATTTGAAATGAATGTCGCTGGTTGTGTCTTCCCACGACTTCAATTCAAGCAGAATCCGGCGCCATTGTTGTCGCATCCATCCGAGCGAACCTCGCATGCGCATGTCCTCCGAGTATATCAATCGTAGTTGCCCGGGGTCTACTGACCTTCTTGGGCTGCGACTCGTCGTCCACGGGGTACCACTTCTGAGCCTTCTGGGCGGGCACAAGCCGCTGGCCCTTTCCAAACTGCTTCGTCTGGCCGTCCGACATGGTGACGAAGATGGTGTAGGTGGTTGTCGGGTTGGGGGGTTGGTGTTGGAGGTTGATGTGCGGACTTGCCAGTGGAGTCCAGTTAGAGGGTTTGTGGGAAGAGCAAGCCCTATCTCACGTGATACGGGTTAACCGAACCGATGGGGCTGACTCATCGGGCTTTCGGGGCGGCTTTTGGTGGTGGGTCCACTCAGGCGGTACCGGACATGGAGTATACGAGAAGAGATATTCCGCAATACTCATGACAATGAAGAGGCACAGTGGTCTACCAAATACTTATTATGCAGAATGTACATTGACTCATGAATAGCTGAGTTTCGTAGTATCACTAAAGGTATAGCTATCTAACTATCTCCCTAGGGTCGTGCGTACATGTTTTGTCCACCAGAACACATGTACTCTTTGGATTTCCCTACTGATCCACCCGAAGCTCTGGATAATCAGGCAGCTGCCACCCCCCGTCTCTCCCTGTCGAGAATCGCATCATTAATTCTGGGATGCGAGGAAAACACCGCACCCGAAAAATAAGTCGGGGAATCTCAACTCCCCACCATGACCCCCGTAAAGCCAATTGATCAGCCAGAGGTTCACGTCTTAAATCTCCTTAAAAAATGGTCGTAAAAATTTGCTGTAATTTGCAAATGCTTGAGACAGATCATCTGTTTGTTTGTTGGTCTCCCCAGCCAGCACATGAGCCCCGACGTGAGCGCCAGAAGTGCCCATACCGCTCCAGGGCGATGCACGGTCGGCAGCATCCATGAGGAGAACGACCCGGCCCTTGTGCCACATATCTGTATGTACCTGCACAACCTCTTGACAGTGCCAATTGTCTGTTGACTTCATGATTTCTAGGAATTGGGCAGGCTATCATCCGGCGTCACAAAATCGCTGGGTCTAGAACTCCTTTTGTTGCTCAACCGAAGCTCGGTGGATGCTTGATATTTGGGAGTCACCCTTGAGGAAGAACAAGATTTATGTTTCGGTCGGGTTGTGGCTTCGGCGTAATATCATGCGACCTCCAGGACAAATGTAAATGTTCATCATATTGTTGTCTGGCTGGGGTACTTGGCATGGACCAGTAGGCAGCATGAGCTCCGAATCGGTAATAAGGATTAGGGCTGACTGGAGGTAAAATTGTCTTTCGGATACGCGATCCTTGACCATATAACCCAACGCGTACATCGTATGTACCCGAGGAGCCATCTAAGAAATGGGCGTTGACTTGCTCGTCGTTTTGATCAAAGCTGTCGACTGTTGTTCCGAAGATAAACTGGACATCGTCTTTGGTTGCTTCATAGAAGAGGTGTACATTCCTCGGCATCGTCTCGTATTTGGATGTAAAAGCTTAGGCACCCTTGCCGGATTTGTTGACCAAGATGGTAGCCTTTACGTCCTTGGGAGTCAACTATAGCGAAGCCTTCTTCGTCGACAAGTATGCCGCGGATAGCCTCGAGCAGCCCCATGCGCTTGGCGGCTTCGATGCTAGTACCGCTCAGGTCAATTTGCGAGCCCCCACACTTCAGGATTGGAAATAACTTGGTGGTGGTACGCGCAAGCTAGAAAGCTAGTGCTGGCCTCACACAACCACCGCCACAGATGAGACCTTTCAACGGAGCCATGATGGCGACTTTTTTTTTGTTTCGAAAGTGAATCATTTGAAGAGGAATAAATGGTTTGATGATGCCTGGCTAAAAGTGAGTCAGGTACAGCCTTAACTTATGTATACTCTTGTATTCATCCATCAGCACCACGGGCACGTGGATCGGGCATTTTGCGGCTTATGCGGGGAATTTCAAAAAAGCCCGAATAGCTCGAATGCCCGGACACGATTTATAGCAGCCTATGGGTTGTTTTGATGTGAGTTAGTATAATGATAAGATAATCCTCATTCCCGTACTCGGGCGAATTGGGAAACACCAAATCCCACGCCAGGGCGGTATGAGGCTCTATTGTGGTTCATGGTGTGTCTAGATGTACGCGTCCATTTCCTGATAAGGCCCCGATCAGATAATGGCCCGCTGTGAGGCTGCAAGGCCATAATTTAGGCCTTAAAAGTAAGGCGTCAACCACGGTCACCCGCAGACGCCCCCGATGCAAGTCAGCTGCTCAGCACAAACACCTAGCAACTGACGTATCCGCAAGCTTCCCTCCACAGTTCCCTTCTCCCTTTTTCCAACTACCTTTGTTTTCATCCGCCTGGTGTGGGCCAATCCAACCAAATCAGTCAATATATTGCTGGTTCCTGCACCATACCTCCATTTCACCATGTCGATAGCTCCCATCATCACCTTCAAAGCAGGTATCTGCGACTTCGATGTATGTCAAGTGGCGGACCCCAACAGCTCGATTACTTCTTCCTATATCCCCATACCATGTCCATGTCCATCAAATAAACACATTGGGATACTAACCTGAGCTCTCCCGGTCCAGAGCTCCTCCTCCCCCGCCAACGTGAAGCCCAAGCCGACTCCAGGCTACATCTATCTCTACTCGGAAGATGAGCTGATGCACTTCTGCTGGCGCCCTCGCAGCGCCTCCCTCGATGAGCCCGAACTTGATCTGGTCATGATCCCCTCAGATGGAAGTTTTACCCCTTACAAACCTGCCGGAAAGGATGCTACGAATGGGCGAGTATTTGTGTTGAAGTTCTCCTCCAGCTCCCAGCGGTATCTCTTCTGGTTGCAGTCTCGGTCCCAACACGAGAGTGGTGACCCGAGCTGGTTCAGCCCTCGGGACCTAAAGCTGGGTGAGATTGTGAATGTCCTGCTGCAGGGCGAGGATGTGGATGTGGAGCACGAGATCGCCAACCTTCCCCGACGACCCTCTGGCGGCGACGACGACGAGACCATGGAAGACGTGGAAGGAGCAGACCATGACCCGACCCACAACCACGGCGGAAGCAGTGGTGGAGCTGGTCCGGATGCGACAGGAGGTGATGTCCGCGAGGAGGGACAGGAATCGCGAGAAGGCGGTGCCGATGGTGGACGAGCGTAGGTACATATCTCTGTCTACCTCAACTGAGGGTGTCCACGAAGCACTAGTCTGATAAATCTTTTACACCTTCCAGTGCTTCTTCAGGTGACCCATCATCGGTAGTTCAAGACTTTTTGCGGTCCCTGGGCGGTGGCCAGCAAAGCCAAGGCCAATCCCAGGACCCCGAACGACCATCTACGACCCTCCAAGACTTGCTTACGCCCCCAACTTCTTTGCCCTTCATTGAGACCGCCGACGATACTACCGTTGATCACCTTCTGAGCTTCCTCCCATCCGCACTACTTCTGCTAGCCCAGGGCAATGCTGAGGCAGCAGAAGCTGAGACCGATCCCGAACTCGCCCAGGCGGCTCTTCTCTCTCTTGACCTCTCCCAAAAGAAAGATATTCTTCGCCGTGTGCTCCGATCCCCCCAATTCATGCAAAGTTTGGCTAGTCTCACCGTGGCCCTCCGAGACGGCGGGCTTCCCAGTATTAGCGAAGCCCTGCAGATTCCCGTAGCTAATGGCGGATTTATGCGGCGTGGCGGGGTGCCTCTTGGTGGGGGCGACGCTGTGGAAGCGTTCCTGGACGGCGTTCGGCAACATGTTAAGAAAGACCAGTCGGGTCAAATGGAAACGGATTGATTAAGCCTATCAGGAGTTGAAGTTTTGAAATACATACCATACTTGATGTGGTACCGAGTACACTGGCCTTTGGACTATTTTTGGTAACTGCGGACCCCACCAGGCACCACTGTTTTGCCATGGCTTCGTCAGCGAGTAGAATATTTAAGTTAGCGTAGCCTGTCTGGCGTCCAGAGGAGAGTGTAATTTCCGGGTGGACGGACTCGGATCAGGCCAGGAACGGCTGAGCCACCTAGGGTTTTGATAGAAGGGGCAAAGGAAACACGATAGCAGCAACTACGGACTATACAGTATGAATAAGAAAAGCCAGGCTGTGCATTCCTCCTCAGCCACAGAAACTAGCGGTCCCGCAGCCGTCCAGAGGAACCAAAGACAAAAAGACAAAGGTAAGACAATTTTCAGGCCTGCTCAAGACATTGTAGCGGTTGACCCAGCCGGCCAATGACACCCGCCGAACGCCTCGCCCGCCCGCGGTTCCCGTCGTTTTGCGACCGGCGACGGGGGCTTTCTTAGGCTAAACATCTTTCAGCTGCAAACTCGGCCCCATTGCGCTGCGCGACTCTTAGCTTGCGAGATGATCCCCTCGCACTACTAGGTCCTCGCGTATTCCTCTTCTACAGTTCCACGATCATTGTTACACCCGAAGTCCTGACTAACGGAGAGACCCCGACCGCTCATCCATCTGCACGACCTATCGCGGTACTGGTGATTTCGAACGAGCCAGCGACTGTGAATAGCACGGCCTGCGATGTCTGCGATCCGATAAACCCTAGCCCTGCCTGACGATGGCGCCGAATAGCCAGACGCCTGGCGACCATGACAGCCCTACCTCTAATCATATCCCCCTCCAAGATCTCTCTCGATTCGATGGCCCCGCGGCTGAGGAGCGCAGCAGAGGTCGCGCCCACAGCGCCGGGAGCAGCCTCTTTTCTCGACGGTCATTGATCAGGGGAGGGTCGCGGACGCATTACCAGAGCGTGGCAGAGGAATCTCCAGTTGATTTGGTCGGCGCGATCAGGAATCCATTCCGGCCAGCTCGTTATGCTGAGCCTGATCCTAATGAGATCTCTCCTGAAGCCTTGGCGCAAGCGATGTCATTCGGTATCAGTTTCGACGACCCGCACCCGACAGCAGCGATAGCAGGCCCCTCGTCGATGCATGACTTCAACGATGCTGCATCCGATCTCGATAATGTGCCGCTGGACGCCTACCATTATCACGACTCCGATCGCTACGTTCCTCCACATGTCGAAGATGAAGATGACACCGCACGATTGACGGATCCTCGATACCTCCAGCCCATTAGTGGTGCCCCCGGGGAAGAAAATCGACAGAGTAGTGACACGGGTGCTCACTCTGTACACTTCGGGCATGGGGCGCGGTTGGGCGATGACCTGCCTCATGTTGAGAACGGATTGGCGCGGAGTAATGCTAGTAGTGGCCGGTCTCGATCCCTGTCCCCCTCGGCTTCTGGTGGAGCCCTGCAACGAGCCAGCTCTATGGTGAAATCCATGTCGCAACGTGTGGTCAACCTAAGTAACGAGCCGGAGCTTGGCCTACAGTCAATCGAGAGAGAGGAGTCTCACAAGAACTCGCGGTTGGAAGGGCCCCCAGTGCTCCCTGCGATGCCCGACTATGCGCACGATCCTTCTCCTCAAATGGCTGCACGAGAGAAACGGGCATCTTCAAAATTGTGGAGGTATCGAAACAACCCATTCCGAGGCAGGTCGCTTGGTATGCTGGGTCCGAATCATCCTGTTCGACTTTGGCTCTGTGATATTCTCGTTCATTCATTCATGGAGCCTTTCATTCTGGGCATCATCATTATCCAGACTGTCTTGCTCATCGTGGAATCCTCCCAGTCCGTTTTCAATCAACCCATGAGTGCTCGATGGGGTAGCAGCCCGCTAGAGTATGTCTTCTTCGTCATTTTCGTCATTTATACCCTCGAAATAATTGCCAAAATTCTGGTGTCCGGCTTCATATTCAACCCAGCAGAGTATAGTACTCTCAATCGGTCTCTGGGTATTCGAAAAGGGATGGCAGAGAAGGGCAGGAACCTGATCACGCCTCATCGACAACTGACGACCAAAAAGGTCTCATTTCTCCCGCAGGAACCGCAGAGTTCTATTCTTCGGACGTTCACCGGGATGAATGGACTGGATCAATTCGCTGAAAACTACGACGATCCTCTTCACAAGCGCCGCGTTAGACTTGCCCATCGGGCTTTTCTTCGACATTCATTCAACCGACTAGACTTTGTGGCCGTTGTGGCATTCTGGGTTTCTTTCTTTCTCTCTCTACAAGGGGTGGAGAAAACCCACCAGCTGTATATTTTCCGCATGCTCAGTTGCCTTCGAATCTTGCGTCTCCTTGCTCTCACGAACGGCACTTCTGTATGTCACCACCCACCTCGGGAGAACGTTTTCTTTTCCTATAGATTATTGACTGATCACCTTTTTAGGTAATTCTTCGAAGTTTGAAGCGAGCCGCTCCTCTGCTGGTCCATGTTGCATTTCTCATTGGATTTTTCTGGCTTCTTTTCGCCATCGTGGGAATCCAAAGTTTCAAGTCCAGTCTCCGACGGACTTGTGTCTGGGTCGACCCGGAGGGTCAAAATAACTATACCTCGAACGATCAGTTCTGTGGAGGGTATCTTGATAATACGACTGGAGCCAAGATGCCTTGGCTTGATAAGTTTGGCAACCCTTCCACTTCATCAAAAGCGAAAGGCTACCTCTGCCCGCAGGGCTCTTTATGCATGGAAGGCTCGAACCCCTATAATGGAACCCAGAGCTTTGACAATATCGTGCAGTCTTTAGAGTTGGTTTTTGTCATCATGAGTTCCAATACTTTCACCGACTTGCTTTACTATACCACCGACAGTGACTACCTATCGGCGGCGCTGTTCTTCGCTTGTGCTTTGGTCATTCTGAGTTTATGGTTGGTCAACTTACTTGTTGCGGTTATCACCCACTCGTTCCAGGTTATCCGAGAAGAAAGCAAGCGAAGTGCTTTTGCCATCCAACAAATCGATGCGGTTGACAGTGATGAAACCTTAAATCGAAAAATGAGCTCCCTGAAACGCATCTATGACAAGACTGAGTGGCTCTGGGTGTGCCTTATCTTCTTTGACCTGGTTGTTCAAGCTTTGAGAAGTGCCTCCATGTCAGATGAGCGAGCCCAGTTCATTGATAACACAGAGACAGTTGTCACGATTGTATTTCTGGTCGAGATTATTCTACGATTTGCGTCGGACTGGCGCGTCTTCCATCGGAAACGCCGCAACTGGTTTGACCTCTTTCTCGTGGTGGTCACCTGCATCATCCAGATACCCCCGATACATAACTCAGGCCGTGCCTACACTGTTCTCACGCTGTTTCAAATTCTCCGGGTCTACCGATTTGTACTGGCATTTTCCGTGACCAGGAAGCTCATCATGGTCGTTTTCCGCAACGTTGTTGGTCTGCTCAACCTTATCTTCTTTCTTTTCTTGATGACATTCCTTGCTTCGATTTTCGCAACCCAGCTGTTCCGAAGCCAGATTCCCCCCCAAGACTCGAGTGGCAACACCATCAGTACTACGTTTGCTGATATCTACAATTCCTTCTTGGGAATGTATCAAATTCTCTCGAGTGAGAATTGGACCGACATTCTGTACACTACCACCACTTATACGGTGGACTTCAACACTGCCTGGATCTCCGCTGCATTTATTATTCTATGGTTCATCGTCGCCAACTTCATTATTCTGAACATGTTTATTGCTGTCATTCAGGAGAGCTTTGATGTGTCAGAAGATGAGAAGCGATTGCAGCAAGTACGGGCGTTCTTGGAGCAGAAGCATGTTGGTGGGAATGCGCAAGGGAATCTTGCTCTGTCGAAAATTCTTCGCCTCGGCAGAGATTCGGACCGCTACAAAGACCCTCTAGACCACGGCCCTGCCGCGCTGGAGATGCTTCTTAAGGACGCTGTCGTCCGAGAATTCCTTGATGAGGAGGAAGAGGAAGAGGCGGAAATCGAAAACCAACACCGGGAAAATACAACCGTGCCAGAGGGGGCGACACAAGAAGCCGTCCAGCCAGGCATGCTTTCTCGACTATGGACCAAGGTTACCTCCTTCATTTTGGGTCGTGAACCAAACCCGTTCTATTCTAAGCTGCAGTTTTCACGAGCTTACCAGGAACTAGACCCACGGACTATGGCCAGGGAAGTTGTGTCTGCGGCCGAGGCCAGAAAGCGTGCACAGCGGGAGTATCTAGTCAAGCACCCCAACTACAACAAGTCGTTGTTTATCTTCTCGCCGCATAACCCTATCCGGAAATTGTGCCAAAAGATTGTGGGTCCTGGACGAGGACACCAGCGAGTTGAAGGTGTGGACCCGTATAAACCACTATGGTATGCGTTCTCGGCATTCATCTATGCCGCTATTGTGGCCATGGTGCTCCTTGCCTGTATCACAACACCATTGTACCAACGACAGTACTTTCGCACCAATCGCAACTGGTTTGTGTATACCGACCTGAGTTTCGCTATTATCTTCACCGTGGAGGCGGCCATCAAAGTAGTTGCTGATGGCTTCTTTTGGACACCCAACGCGTTCTTCCGCAGTTCCTGGGGCTTCATTGACGGTATCGTGTTGTTGACACTCTGGATCAATGTTGGCGGCTCTCTGAGAAAAGACTGGAACGTTTCCCGAGCGATTGGTGCCTTCAAAGCGCTGAGAGCTCTGCGTTTGCTGAACGTCTCCGACAGCGCCAAGGACACCTTCCACTCGGTTATTATTGTTGGAGGATGGAAGGTTGTGTCTGCAGCGGCTGTCTCGATGAGTTTTCTGATTCCATTTGCCATCTACGCCGTCAACTTGTTCAACGGACAGATGGTTACATGCAGTGATGGTAATTTCGTGGGAAATCTGACTGATTGTGTCGGCGAGTACGCTAGCTCGCCTTACAATTGGAATGTGCTCGCGCCACGGGTCGCAACCAACCCGTACTATGACTTTGACGACTTCGGCAATTCCCTCTTCATCCTCTTCCAGATTGTTTCCCAGGAAGGTTGGATCGACGTGCAGGACAGCGCGATGCAGATTACCGGGAAGGGCCTACAGCCGCAGGACGGAAGTGCTCCGGAGAACGGTCTCTTCTTCGTTGTCTTCAACTTGCTTGGAGCAGTGTTCGTCTTGACGCTGTTTGTCTCGGTCTTCATGCGCAACTACACGGAACAGACCGGTGTTGCCTTCTTGACTGCCGAACAGCGATCGTGGCTGGAACTGCGGAAGCTCCTCCGACAGATCTCGCCGTCCAAGCGCTCCTTCAACGAGACGAGCAACAGATGGCGCTTATGGTGCTATCGAATCGCCGTCAAAAAACATGGCCGATGGGCGCGATTCGTGACCTGCATTCTTGTGGTGCATCTTCTCCTTCTGGTACTCGAGTACTATCCCGAGCCTGGCTGGTGGGCGATGACTCGCACCATCTTGTTCTTCATTTTCATGTATGTCTATATAGCCAATGTACTGATCCGATTGATCGGTCTTGGATGGCATCGGTTTACCCGAAGTTCTTGGGATCTTTATTCGCTTCTTGCCGTCCCTGGTGCGTTCATTACAGTCATCCTGGACCTCTCATATCCAACCCAGGTTGTGCTCGAGTTGAACAAGCTATTCCTCGTCTCGATCGCCTTGCTGCTCATCCCACGGAACAACCAGCTCGACCAGCTCTTCAAGACTGCCGCGGCTAGTCTGCCGGTAATTGCCAATCTCCTGGCTACTTGGTTTGTTTTGTTTTTGGTGTTTGGCATCGCAATGAACCAAGCTTTTGGTCTAACCAAGTTCGGTGGCAACGAGAACCATAACATCAATTTCCGCGACGTGCCCAAATCCTTGATCCTTCTGTTTCGGGCTAGTTGCGGTGAAGGCTGGAATCAGATTATGGAAGATTTCGCGACGATGGTGCCTCCACTCTGCACATACGATTCCAACTTCCTTGATGATGACTGCGGCGGGGCCGCCTGGGCTCGGACTCTCTTCATCATGTGGAACATCATCAGCATGTACATTTTTGTTTCGCTGTTTGTTTCACTCATCTTTGAAAGTTTCTCGTACGTCTATCAACGCAGCAGTGGACTGTATGCGGTTAGTCGTGAAGAGATTCGCCGCTTCAAGCAGGCGTGGGCGACCTACGACCCGGATGGATCGGGCTTCATCTCTAAAGAGCAGTTCCCCCGGCTTCTTGGTGTAAGTGGACTTTGTAGACTTTTGTCTTTCCCTTGCAAGCTTTGTTACTTCCTGGTGAACCATCTAACGCCCGAATGTAGGAACTTTCCGGTGTCTTCGCGATGCGGATCTACGACAGCGAGTTCACCGTTGGGGCTATCTTAGACCAGTGTCGAGAAACCCCGCGCGACTCTGTGCACTCGTTGCACTCGATGCATAACGCGATACCTCTCCGCGCTCGAGAATCTGTCCAGTCCTTGCGGCCAAATGGCGAGAAAGTAATTGCGACGGGTGTCGATATCAAGAAACTGTCCCGCATCATCGACCGCATCCCGGTCAATATCATTCGACAGCGGCGCCAGCGCCTCAACACCTTCTATGAAGAAGTTCTTGTCTCAGCGGACCCTGAACGGGGCATCTCCTTCCATCAGTGTCTGATGATCCTCGCCCATTATAATATCATCAGCGACAGTAAAAGCTTGCGACTCGAAGAGTTCCTCCGTCGTCGTTCCCGACTCCAGCGCGTTCAGGAAGCTGTGCGCCGTAACACGGTCATTGGCTTCTTCGATACCCTCTACTGGTCTCGCGAGTTCCGTCGGGCCTGCGACCGCAAGAAATCCAGTCGCATGACCGCCGTCCCGCAGTTCACGGTGCCCGAGATCTACGTCGACGATCCGGCCGAGGATACGCCTGAGGAGCAGGCGATGGGCACGATGACACCACAGACCCTTCCAGATCCCGATTCGCCATTTGCGCCCATGCTCTCGCCGACATCGACTTCCCACCGTCGGGCCGAGTCTAGCCCGACTGGACACCGGGGCAACCTCCCTCGTCTGGACACCAACCTTACCGGCCGGGCCTCCGGCGCCAGCACCCCCACGGAATGGTCGAGTATCAGTCCATCCCGTACTCCCCGCCACATGTATGGCGAGCGCGTATCATTTGAGTCCAGCGAGCGCCCCGAAGCGTCACCCGCGGGTACTCTCCACTCTCGTCAGAATAGCGCGATTAGCGTGCAGGATGTCATGCACTCACTGGACAACTCCGTCTGGGGCGAGAGTATCCGGCGCAGTTTCACGCAGCGGCGACCAGGCGACCGATCTTCTGAGCAGTAGATTTTCCTTTTCCTACGACGAGGAAAGACGATGTGTTGATGTATGTCTCCACACGAAGACGAAAAATTCATGAGTATGGATCTACGATTGAAGAGGAGTGAAGACTCACGAGTTCCAAGTCTAAAGAGCCGACCCGACTCTTGCCACGCATTTTCTTTCTTTCTGTTCCCTTTCAGCATTCCTCTGGACATTTCATTTTTGTATCCTCGAATGATTTGACATCTCGAGAGATCTTCCGATTCCCTGCCCTGTTTCCAATTTGTGTCCTTGCCCTTTGCTTCCCCTCTTATATGTCGTGTGGTTCCATTTTGCTGTACACTACCCTCCTTGACCTTGTAGCATTTTCGCATAGCAACGGCGTGGGATTCTTGCCAATTTTGCGATGGATTCATTATTCGCCCTTCCTTTTTCCTTTCTTTTTCTTTTTTTGGGGAAAGGGAAATCGCTTACACCTACACTGTTCGAGTTAATAGAATATGGCGTATATACATGGACCAGTCGAACTATCGCTGATAGAAACGTTTTCGCAACCTGCCCCGAGGCTATTAAGTGGGACCACTAGCTGAGTAACTATTGGCGGGACGGCCGGAACGAGTCATCAGTCCTTGAAGTCCTATAGACCAGCAACGTCGCTCTTCGGTGGACGCGAGATAACAGGGGCCGAAGTATTGGACTCGGTCGCATACCGACAGACCGAAGTAATTGTAATTATCTCTTGTCATCCTGCTCCCTGCGCCTTGGATGCGATGCTTGCGGATGCCAGGAACGAACAATGGCGTTTGTGGGCGCCACGCAATTACCGCATGCGGCGAACTGGGGGAGCACTGCATGCGATATCCGCTTGTGTCTCAAACCCTCCCTGCAGCGTCCTTGCAGTCGAGCTCGCTTCATAATGCCCTCTCCCTGCTCCGTTGGCCTCTCGACTTTCTGTTCTCTGCTTCACCACCCATCCAGTTCCAACGGCGATGGACAGGCTTTCCTCCCCCTGCTACTTCTAAAGACCCACATTCCCACGCCCTAGGAATCAACTCACAGGCATTGACGACTATACACAATGCGTCAATTCCCGTCACCATTTCCTCCTCTCAATACCTCGCAGCGGACTCGACACCCCGCCAGCGACACATCCAGCCCGCCTAGCTCGCGGACCACGTCGCCGCCGTCGTCGCCCACCTCCACCCTCCGCCGACGTCACCAGCCGACGCAAGTGTCTCCGCACCATCTGTTCAACCTCTCCTTCCACCCCCACCCCACGACCCACCCCAGGGCCGAGCCCGAGGACTCCGGATCGAGGCCCGTCCAAGAACACGCCCACGAACAGGAAAATGACAGTTTATCAACCGCCCACCCGTCGCATCCGCAAGGCGTGAGCGTTCTCCCCTGCGCAGTCCTCCGCGGCCGCTCCTCCCTAATGGTCGTGCGACGGCGCCCCTCGGCCGTGGACATGGCACTGAGCGAGGAACGCTCGCGCTGCGACGAGAATTCTATCGAGCGCCAGGGCCTCGATCTCATGGAGCCGCGACCGGTCGACATGAACCAGCACAGAAGAATGGATCTGCACCGCAACTCCATTTTCCGAGCGGCCGCTGTGCAGCAACCGCGGTTTGTAATGGGGGGGATCTTCGAGGTGATGGAAGGGCGGGCCTAGTCCCCTTCGTGAACCATTTTTAAGCATGCGGCGGGTGTTGGGAGTTATGTGTGGGGGTTTTTCCCTTCTTATTCTTTTGCCATGCCTTTTTATTTTTCAATTACTCGATCGGGCAAGATTGTATAGGGCTCCGGAGTGATGGGACTGGCGCATCCGGACAGCAGATATCTTACTTGATGTACAGGTCTACTGAATTGCAGGCGATACGGGGCCTTGTTTCTACGTCGAGAACACAGACGTCTTTGTGCATTTTTTTTTCCCTTTAATTTTTTTTTTCTCTGGGATCCGCGTCTAATTCGTACATGCAATTGCGACATGGGAGGTATTGTAAATCACCTGAAAGATGGGGCCCAGCTTTGGGGCGTTTGTCAAGCCCGTTTAAGAAGTGAGGGATATGCATAAACGCTCCATTGCGAGGTGCGTCAGAAGGGCTGGAGGTCATGTAAAAAAAAGAAATCCGCTAGGAATGGCTCCTGTCGCTAAGGTATGCGTTTAGCAATCCAAAGGCTAAAGGCGCCAAGGATAGAGAGAACGAAAGCACAATCAACCCGGTACGTTGATGATAGAATGAGACGAGGGCTTGAAGGCTCGGGGAAGAACACAGTCGAGAGGCCCAGCAATGAGGCCGGCCATTTTACCAATCGCTGCCCCCTTTCTTGCGAGTGTTGGGCCATAGCTGGCCGCGACAGTTCTCTTCCCCACAGAGACACTTGACGGCATTTGGATCGACATTCTTTGATCCGTCCCAATTCGGGTGGTAGTCGAAAGTGAGCTCCGTCTCGGCGGGAATATCGCGAATGGCGAAGAAAGCAAGGTAGTAAAGGCGTTGATCAGATAGACGAGTGGTCGAAACAGGGATGATCTTGCAATTCGGGTTGCATGAGTGGTTAATAAAGCGTGTTGCCGAGCCGAATTTCTGGCCATCCACCACGTAACTGTCCTCGTAGGGGTGGTCATCGTCGATCAGCCAGTCTAGGCTGAAAAGGTAGGATTGGCCATTTTCATGGAGGGTTTCGCGAGCGTCGGCGTCCTTCTTCGTAATCACTTCACCGAGGTAGCAATCGATGAATTGACCGGCAAGGATAGGCTCAGGCGAGCGAAGGCCAAATCCACGCGCGCCAGTATGAAAGACCTCAAGGTGAATTTGACGTCCGCGCTGGACCACATGATTCCAGCAATCCCCCGTATTGCTGCACCGACACCGGAAACTGCACTCGGAGATCATCGCCTTACGATTCAGGAAGTCCTTCCGCAGAACGACTTGACCGCTAGGCAAGCGATCATAAGCGACGATCAGGTTATCAGAATCCATTTCCTCGATGAGGCAGCTGCAGCGCTTGGGATGACAGAACCCTGCACAGTCGCAGCCGGCGTGGAACTCCTCTGGGACGGGGGCCACTCCAGGACCAAGTCGATAATCGCTCACGAAGTAAAAGTTGGCCGACAGGACGGCCAATTTTTCATCGTCGATGTCGAACGACGTTTTAGGCCCGCCTCGGACCCGCTTGAGCTTTTTCTTGAGCTTCTTGCGTAGGAACTTCGTCACATGGGGCCGAGACTGAGGCTTGGTAGCCGGGGTTTCACATAATGAGTCTGGGTGCGAAGAACGTGGAAGAGAGCCCTCCTTAGGCTGAGGCGCAGCATTCATAATAGTGAACGGAACCACCTTCTTATTGACAGCGGCCGTGGGATATGCACGCTGTTGCGCTTTCTCTTTCTCACCGTCCTCAGTCGGGAAGTGCCGTTCGCAAAGCCCGATATAATCCGCCTTCATGTGCTTCCTCTGGTAAGAGGAAGGAGCGGGAACGACCACGCTCACGGAATCCACAGCGGTAGAGGTCCTCGGCACGAGCTCTTCTATCGACGTAGAGACCTTGCTTGCACCAGAAGTGACTTTCTCATTGCCAGAGGAAGAATCATCAGTTTTCTCAACTATACCATCGCTCTCAGCGCTCTGGCTCTTGCGCTTGCGTGGGATAGTCGTGGATGCGGAACGATAGCCGCGCTGAGTTCCTGCGCTAGTATCGGGCGGATTTCGGTATCCCGAAGAGGAAACAGAGCGATTGGAAAGAGCAAAGCCGAATCTCTCAAGGGCATCATCGCGTTTTTGCTTTTGGGGGCTTGATGTTTCAGCTGGTGCACGATGAGCTAAGGTTGATACAAAGGTGACGGGCTCCGCCTTCACCCCTCGAGGCGAGAGCCCGTTAGATTGTGCCACAGTCTCGGTGGCCTGAGGAAACAAAGTCGAGTTAGCTGTGAGTTCCACTGGTGCATAAGCCAAAATGCAGAGCCCTATGCACCTTGGGTGACACGAATCATAGTAGCTCAGGACATGTGCAGAAAGGTAGGAAACGCGCGAACGAAACACAAAAAAGAGTCGCCAAATAAACGACACAAGGCGTTGCGGTAGATAGGCAGCAAGCCACCGAACCTCCTCGGGAGTGCAGAGGGAAGGGAGCAACCAGGAGAGCGCTAGCCCGTCGAAATGGCGCTGGGGCGAATCGCAGGTTGAAACGGAAGGAACTTAGCTGAGTCACTTACCCGCGGTTCGTCAATTTCGGCATCGTCGAGGGTCAGGTCGATAAAGTTCTGGGGGGAGGGTACCCGGGCGTCGGGGCCGTGGGCTTAACGACCCCTCGGGCTGCCATGTCGGGGGTTCCCGTCAACAGGAGTAGCGGCGGTGGGGTGACCCTCGAAGGCACATTAGACGCGCATAGACGGGTCCAATAGGCCACGCGAGGCCTACAAATACCCCGTCTAGCAGGATAGAATAAGGTGCAGACAGAGTAGAGAAAAAGCAACGTTAGGAGGCTGGGATTTGGAAAGCCAGGAGGCCAGACCCCGAGGGAAGAGGTGGAAAGTCGTCTAACGGAAATAGGTGCTGGTAGGAGACTAGGATGGCGGCTGGTGGGAATAACCTCGAGATTTCTTGATTGGGAAATGTGGGAGGGATCGGAGAAGACGAGGGGACATATCGGGGCGGGTTTTATCACGAAAAAAAGTGGAAGAGGGGAGGCAGCGCGACAATAGCGCGGACGTGGACGTGAAGTGACAAAGAAACGCCCAGCCCAGAGTTGGAAGCAATACTTAGTAAGCATGATTGGTTGCCTAGCTAGCCAGATATAGAACCTTAACCTAGAGATATCTCTTCACCTCGCGAGGGAAAAAATGATAAAAAAGGCTTGAAAGATATTAGAGGTGTATTCTGATGTAGTTTCCAGTATCTAGGAACCAGCTTAGGAAAGTTGGTGAATTATCACAAGACGGACCCGGGCATCGAGTTGGATTACTTCTGGTTAGAAGCTACTGATTGGTTAAAAAAGGAGATGTGGAAGAAGGCAGAAGCGCGGCGCTTCCGGCTAGGGCGGGCAGGCGCTTTTAAACGGCTAGAGTGAATGGGTTGTAAAGGCAGGCCTCAGCAGGCACCAGTCAAAGCACTGGGCTGTCGAGAAAATAATTAGGAGGAGGATTTAATCTGGTTGCATACACATGATTTATATAGCTTTCATCAGTATACACTGTTGTGGCGACCTGCTATCGTTCAGGTCAGTTGGCTGGACTTTCTTTGTTAGAAGGTCTTGGCATTATGCTCCCTCCCCTTCCGACCGCCTCCCCAGGTCCCAGTGTGCCAATAAGAGCTCAGCTGACTGATCAATAGATTGTCGGCTCTAGGTTCTAGATAACATGCATTAAGATATGTATATAGAGAAATATATCGCCATTCAGAAGCTTCTATAATAAGGTACCTTAGGAAATAGGTACTCTCCATGAGAGTCCGGGTCAGTGTGGAGAAGAGGAGCGGTTAGGCCGGGCGCATGCCTACCTAGGCGCCCGGGTGTGACCGTCATATATATTTCGGCCCTAGAAGGGGCTCCGTCTGATTAGGTGCCCGGCCGGCGGATTTCTCGTAGTCTTATATATAATCTTCGCTTTCCGCGTAAACACATAATAATGCAAATTAAAGATTAAAAGTATATTACAACTGCATTTAGTGACCCTCACTTTTAGCTCACATCTATTAGTTTCCTTATACACCCTATGTTGGGTTGGTTGGTGGATATATCCAACCTAGGCAGTCAACTGGCCAGAACCCTACCGCCGCCGGACCGGTGCCCGAAAGCACCACGCGATAAAGGGGGCCCGAGCCTGCAACTTTCGGCGGGTTGACCGCCCATCGGGGGCGGGCATTGCTGAATCCGGCGCCCATCCCCCGGCACAAAGCAGCCCGTGTCGACACATTTTTCAGCTATAGACGAGTCGCAGGAAGGGCAGCCCCTCGTTCCCCTCACCTTATCAAAATGTACTCGAGCAGACACTCGGGGGCAGATGTCCCAACTAGTCACAAACCTTGCATTATTGCCGTCTTAAATACAATTTACGGTCTTAACACCCTACATGCGAAACACCGAGAAAATTTACACCCGCATGAAAGCATCGCATTTTTAGCATAGACCAAAGAAGGCTCATGATCAGATGAACCACACGAAAAATGTACAGAGCCATTTCCCCGTCCCGCGAAACGAAAAAGGAAAAAAAGGTTCAAACCGCAAGGACGCAAGTAGACATGAGCAGAAAAGGCTGGGGAAAAGGTAACTAGCATCCATAAGGCATCTTCACTCAACTCTTATGTACACCATGAAGACTGAACAAAGGGAGGCTTGTCTAGGCCCACGATGCATACTGAATAGACGAGACTGATGGGAACGAGGGAAATGCAGACCGGAACGATGGGGCTAATGGGAAAAAACCGGATGGAGCATAATGGGGAAGACATGGATGACGCATGGGCTTTTGACCAAAATGAAATATGATAGAAAGATAAATGCTTGTGCGGATACGTCGTTGATGAATGTACCTGGGAAGTGGCAGATCATGGAAGGAAACAGAAATACACAAGAGCTGTGCTTTCCAAATGAGGTGAGATGCCTTATGCTTTCTTCCCTGTGCTTTCGCGAGGTGTGTTGCATATCAGGGATTGGAGAAGACGGCTGAATCGATCACAGGCTCAAAGCATCGAGAATCTTTTTTGCCATCTCGCGGTACTGCCACATACCGCCTGCGACCTTCTTGAACTGGATACCATGGAGCGAGAACAGAGGGACCTTCACGATGAAGATCTCAAATCGCAAAACCAGGTTCTCGCCAGTGTCGCTCTGAACACGGGTGGTGGTTTCACCAACCACTCGCTCACCAACCGCACCACTGGTGGTGGGCTGCTCGCGCGCAACGAACTCATCAGACCCTTCAGAGTTGGTGGTGAAACTGCGATCTGCTTGCCCTTGGGTTCGGCGCGGCAACTTGGGGTGTGCTGTGCGGCTGTCATCCCGGCTGTCGTCGTGCCCGAGTAGCCCGCCAAAACTGATGCGGCGGCGGTGGGAAACTTGGCCCTGGCGGTCCGGGCTGGGTGGGCTGACATCAATCACCTTCTCGAGGTCGATGCTTGGGGCATGCCGGCAGCTGAACCCGCCCTTGATTTCGACGTATTCGACAGCCAACTGTCTCAGAACACGAATGATATCGGCCCGAATGAAGGGCAAGGGCTTGCTACTGGTAGTCGAGACACTGAAAAGACCCTTGAGATAAACAGGCTTGGACAAATCCTCTCCTTCATTGGCGCTTTCCAATGCGGTTCCTGCGCCAGAGATATCCGCATCGGTCTCCTCTGGCACATTGGCCTCTAGGATAGCCTCCCGTCGGGCACGACGGGCCTGAATGCTTTCCCGACGGGCATGGCCAAGCGACATGGTTCGTGCGGTATGTGTGCGTCCGCCGGTCTTTACACCAAGTTGATCTCGTTGGTTATCGGAGCTAACCTGATCCGAGCCGCTCGTTGAAGGAGGCTGGCGCTCGACATCCAACGTATCGGCATCTGGCCTCCGGGCGGCTCGTCGGGGCCGATAATCGGCAGAGTTGACACTGGTAGAACGGCCCAGGAACTTGTTTGACTGTGAAGACTGCTCACCAGAGCTTGGGGCGGCCAGAAGATCTTGGTGTTGAGGCTGGCTACCACCAGAAGGGATAGGGCCAGGAGACGGCTCGGCCCGTCGGGTGCGCCGCACACTAAAGCCACGATGCAACGGCGAGGCTGAATCGGCAGGCGGCTGAACATTGAGGGTGGGGGTGTTCGGGGTGCTGATGCGCTCTCGCTCGAGATCGCGGCTGCGTTCTTTAGTCCGCCGAGTGCTGAAGCGTCTCAAGAGACCAGCAGCGGCGCTTTCCTTCTTGACCGGAGTGTCGGGTTGTACTGTAATCGGCACTGCATGTGCAGATGGGGACGAAGTGTGATGACTCTTCAGTGTCTCCGTCGCTTCGTCCTCACCGTGGGTTCTGGCACGCGGACGAGAACGACGGCCGGTATCTTTCTCGCCCGGCAGCGAGTACTGGTTTGTGTGAGCAGCTTCCGGAGGTGCTAGCTCGGGAACTTGTACATCACCAGGGGTCTGAAGAAGGCCAATGGCACCAGGCCGGACCTCACCACGTTCCCGATCAAGTTTCTCTTTGACAAGATGGTAGACAGATACCAGGGGACTATAAGCGTTCAAAGGGTCATTACCCAACTGAACAGCCTCCGCAGAAGGCGCGGACAGGGTGTCCCGGCTGGCGGCAGAGTTGCGCCGCTTGTAGAAGTCAAACACACCGCGCTTCTTCTCTGCCTGGTTGGGTGTATGCTGTTCTTTGAAGTTGAGCCGTACTGCGTGTTGGTACTCGTCCGACTCAAGCGTCTTGGTCAACTGGGCAGTGATGTAGTCTGGGGGGCCAAAATCGAAGCCTGTCATCTTCTCAATTACTTCCTGATCCAATGGAAGTCGCAAAGGTTCACGGTGAGGGAGGAAATTCTCCGGAGGATAGTTCGAGCCCTTGTTCATCCAGGGATGGTTCATGATCTCAGCAAGGCTGGCACGCTGCTTGGGGTCTGTGACAAGCATGCGAGAGATGATGTGCCGACATTCTGTTGCAAATCTACAATTAGCCAAATGACCTCGGACAAAAGAGACAAGACCATTTCCACCGCTACTTACCCGTCGTGAGGCCAGGTGGATATTCCACGACACCCTTCTTGATCTTCGCATGCAGCTGAGGCATGCTCTGATCATCAAATGGCACCTTTCCGCAGACCAGAACATACAGAACGATGCCAAAACTCCAGACATCAACTTCCGGCCCCGTGTACTGCCTTGCTTGGAGCAACTCCGGGGCGGCAAAGTAGAGACTTCCACAGAATGTCTTAAGGAGGCTCCTGGGCGAAAAAAGATTACTGAGGCCAAAATCAATTATTTTGATATCACCGGTCTTGCTGATGAGGATGTTCTCGATCTTCAAATCGCGATGGACAATACTATTGCGGTGGCAATAATCCAGCGCACTGGCGATTTGACGAGCGAACTTGCGCGCCTGCTTCTCCTTCAATTTGCCGTGGGAGATAATGTAGTCCAGCATTTGACCGCCGTTCACATATTCGAAAAGCATGTACCAGTGATACGTGGTCCGCACCACGTCGCGCATGCCGCAGATATACGGGTGGCTCACCAGGCTCACAATGGCTGCCTCTCGGGCGGTTCGAATTTCCTTAGAACGATCAGCTCTCTCCGTGTCGCGGCTGTTGCGATGTTCCTCCGTGGAAAGGCGCGGGACGATCTTGACGGCGACCTGTTAAGATAGCAGTCAGCAAGCTGGAGGGCACCCGATAATACCATCGATGTTGCGATGGAGTCGACGATGTGGGGTAGAGATAGAGATAATGACCTGTTCTCCGGTTTCCATGTTCTTCGCTAATTTCACTTTGCCCATGCTCCCCGCACCGATGGTCTTCCCCAGGGCCCATTGACCCGTTGGCGTAGTGATTGTAGTTCGCCGCCTGGGCTGGGAATTGGCGGTCGGGGGCCCCTGCGAGGCGGTCGCATGTTGCGAAGCATCCGTGGACGTCGCTGTGCTTGCCATATCCACACCGTCCCGCTGAACTGAGGGATTTCTTTGGTGTCGCCGGGTGGATTCGGTCCGGGCAGTGGACGGGCGCTCCTGCGAGCGCTCAGAGGAAGGCTCACGACGAGACGGCATCCGCGCGACATTGGAGGCCTCAAAGTCCCGGCGGGCTACACTGTCGAGCGCAGCATAGTTGGAGGGTGGACGATGGTCCTGGGAGGGGGTTCTCGAATGGGAGTGGTGACTCTGCGCAGGGGGCTGGGAGGAGGTGGACGATCGGACCGCCACGCTTCGTGTACGATGGGGAAGATCGGATTGAGCTGCGGGTCGTGAGGGTCTTGATGAGGTCGACGCAGTGCGCCTCGGGGCGGACGACATGTTGGCAGCTAGGACTGCTCGTTGGCACGCTCAAGATGGGGATGGAGGTGATGGGCGAGCGGGGAGCGAAGCTGCTGACGAGCCGGTAGGGAGGCCACTGGGACCGCCAGGGATCGGGCCCCACGAGCGCTGGTGGTTCAGGGTCTCTTGAAAGGGGCAGGAATAATTCAAATGCGACTCAAAATGAATCATCAACCAAAGGAAATGGACTAGTTGTCGATGGGGGAAGGATGAAGGGTAAAGAAAGCTGCGATCGATGGAAAGCGGGATGTCCAACGCCAGCACCGCACCGGCCCCAACATGACCTGCGGGCCATAGCCACAACTACCTCCAGCCCACCCATTAATCTCCCCCTTCATCATACCCTGCTACCCGACGACAGGGGACCAGCTCCGCTGATACCCAAGTGCCAAGGACTTCAGCCACAGTCTATCTACAGGCTCTTTTACCTGCGCCCGAGGATCTGGTTGCTGGGAAGCAGGGCTGGGGTTTTCGCCTGACTCGGGCGACGTCGGGGTTTCACCGGCCGCTTTCCCCTGGGTCTTTTCCCTCGGTTCTTGCAAGGTTATGGAACTCAACGGGGACGGCCATGACATAATGTCTTCCACGTTTCTGGAGGGTCCAGGCACCACCCGAGAGGGAGGGGGTGCTGGTGGGGGTCACCGATTGGAGGGAATCCTATCGACCTATCGACCTATTGATGCCCGGAGCCTCTGCCCAAGAAGACCCAACTCTGCTTGGATCCGAAGCTGCGCAGGAGTCGCCTACTCCATCTCTCGTGAGTGGATCATCAACGCTCCCGCCCGGCCCAGCCCAGCCAAGCCCAGCCAAGCCAGGGCGAATCCCCCCGTTCCGCGATGTCATATAATCACGTGATCCATTCTATAAATAACCCTGACTACGCTTACTTGCCATGTTCAATATGCAATATGCTTAATTGTCGTCACGCGAGGCTATCATGGAAGTTCGGTGTGTATATATCACAGTTATATTGCTGGAGGAAGACACTGCTCGAGGACCTGTTTCACACCGGCACGCCGCTGACCTCGATTATCTCGCTAACCACCTACTCGGTCGAGAAGACATAGCTGAAGTCATTGCGCAAGGTGGGAAGACCGGAACGTTTCAGTCGTCCGTTGAACAGCACGTCTCGATTTAATTGTGCGGGGGGATCCCATACGATTTCTGCGACGCTGCTGCGCGGACGGGCCGCAATACCGCATCCAGTAACATCTCGATTATGGAATACAAGAAAATCCGGACGCTCGCCTTCCTTGACGGCAATATTCGAATGAGAGGGGGACAGCCCAATTGCAGCGCGGGCACGGGTAGACACACACTCGTATAAGAGCTCGGCATCAGCCTGCGTTCCAGCTTGATAAACTCCCACTCCTAGACAAGCGAGGAACAGCGGATCCGGAGGGCCCCAGGGCGTGAAGGCATTGCCAACATTATTGACACCAATCACCGCGTCCAAATCATGCTTGCGTATCATTTCGGGAACCCGCAAGGTGCCTCTGGGTCTGTCCGGTGCCCCGTTTGGATCAGGCGGAGGAGAGGCCATGTAGAGGTCACTGGTTGGCAAGCCCACGAAACTGACGGGGAGATCGTTGTCATGGATGATGCGGGAGACTTCCCTCCACTTCTCGTCAGCGAGGAGCGTGAGTCGAGTACAATGACCGAGCATCACGCGCTTAGCCGTGGATGATCCCGTCCACCCTCGTTGCCGCAGACTGTGCAAGACGTGCCATAACAGGGCTTCCTTACTCGAGTCGAGATTGTAGTCGAGATGGAAATCAAGATGCTTATCAAGCTGCAGGGCACGGTCAATCGCCCAGTCGATGTTCCTTTTGGCCGCTTCGATAGTTGATTCCACATACGGGGTTGTTCCGATCACATCGATCTGCGGGTATTGTTCGAGCGCCGTTTCAAGGAAGTCCCTATTTTCCTCTCCGTGTTGGGTAGAGAAAATGGGATCTTGTGCGAAGCACACAATTTGGATTTCACAGACGTCATTCCATTGGCTTTTGAGATCCATCGCTGCGTCCAAGCAGATCAGCTTGACCGTATGATCGACCTCCACGAATGCTCGCATAGCCGTCACTCCCCACGAGACCGATTCGGCGACCAGCCACTCCCCTCTATTGAGCAGATCAGGCCGGGTGAACCGCTGCTTGGCCACGGTGGTGACAGATAAAGCCTCCTGGAAAGAGCCGGTAGACGGGAGAAGGTGTGCATATTCACGGGCACTGTGGACAAATGCTTTGTCCAAGTGAATATGTGGATGTGTCAATGCTGGTAGAGCTAGCGGTGTGGAAGCAGGGTCGTTTCCAGGGGTTGCGTTGTGGTGCGGGGTGCAGGATGCAATTATGCCTCCAGGGCAGTCTGGTGGGTAGTGGATATTGATGTCCCAGGTGGACGAGGCTCCAGCCAGTCGAACCCCCTGTACTGAGCTAAGCCTCTTGCTCAGCATGAGTGGTGGCATTATTGAACATTCGTGGTAGTCTTGAAGGTCTGGCTGTCATGTTGTGGTTGGGTGGTTCTCCACTTGGATGGGTTCCCGCGGGGCGTCTTATCAGAGTATGGCGTCGATCCACTTCTGAGCCTGTTCCCAGGAGAAGGACGTGGAGACGGTGGAATTGTTCTCAGATCCAGTGACATTACGGAGATGAGTGTGGTCAATAATCAAGCCGCGAGAACTATGACTTGGCCAGGAACTCTTTTGATTGTAGTTCCAGCCACCGGGGGCGGGAGATGGAAACTTGAAAAGCACGAGCCTCATTGCGGTAGACGATGATTTGGAGCGTGGCGGAAATTCCGTAGCAAAATCATGCCAATAAGGAACGGAATTAATGGCCTGATGGTATTCTTGGAAATAATTCCTAGTCGATATTCTCCATGGCTGCTTATTCTTGGTGTCATGATTCATAGGCCGACCGCTACACGTCATTGATCCCACCACTATATTCGTCCCACGCCTCCCATGCAATGATCAGGCCACTCCATAAATCTTGTTCGTTTGCATATCCACTGCGTTGGATATAAAAGCTATAACCCCTACCTAGAAGTAATTAGCAAGCACTGGGTTTAGTTAGTCGCGGATTGTCACTTGGGGAGGCACGCTTTTATTCCACCTCTCTATCAACCACCACCTAACCTACGGTACTTCGCCTCTCCTCCTCGCGTACTGGCTGTTTCTGCAGCCGTCTGGGCGACTCGTATCAACACCCTTCAACACCATCGAGCACATTCCCCCTCGTTCGCCATGGCATCCCTCGCAGCCCAAGGCGAGAACACAAAGAGCATCTCCGCTTACGGAGAAGCTCGCTCGACCGTCCAAGGGAGGGCTCTGGACGCCGAAGAGGTCCGCAAGATGAACAACTATTTCCGCGCGAGTCTGTATCTCTGCCTGGGTATGCTGTATCTCCGTGATAATCCCCTCTTGAGGGAGCCACTCGCTCGTGCCCATTTAAAACAGAGATTGCTGGGCCATTGGGGAAGTGATGCCGGGCAGTCATTTACCTGGATACATATGAACCGGCTGATTAAAAAGTACGACCTGGACGTTCTCTTCATCTCAGGCCCCGGCCATGGCGCTCCGGGCATTCTCTCGCAGTCATACCTGGAAGGCGCCTACTCTGAGGTTTATCCCGACAAGAGCGAAGACACAGAGGGAATGCAGAAGTTCTTCAAGCAGTTTAGCTTTCCGGGAGGCATTGGGTCCCATGCGACCCCTGAGGTACAACGAAGTGCTATCTCTCCACTGACGCGACACCTGCTAATGAAGGTCGCTTAGACTCCTGGAAGCATCCACGAGGGTGGTGAGCTTGGATACTCTATCTCTCACGCCTTCGGAACTGTATTTGACCACCCAAATCTCATCACGCTGACAATTGTCGGCGATGGAGAAGCTGAGACCGGCCCACTTGCGACAAGCTGGCACAGCACCAAGTTCCTGAACCCAGTCACCGACGGCGCTGTTCTGCCTGTCCTCCATCTCAACGGATACAAGATCAACAATCCGACGATTCTGGCCCGCGTAAGCCACGAAGAACTGACTTCGCTGTTTAATGGCTACGGCTGGAAGCCATACTTTGTTGAAGGAAGCGATCTGCAGAGCATGCACCAGGCCATGGCAGTCACCCTGGAGGAGTGCGTCAAGGAGATCAGGGCGGTCCAGCAGCAAGCGCGCTCATCAAATAAGCCCTTCCGTCCACGCTGGCCGATGATCGTTCTTCGGACCCCGAAGGGGTGGACCGCGCCTAGAGAGATCGATGGGAAGCTGCTCGAAGGCTTTTGGCGAGCCCACCAGATTCCCATCACCGACGTCCTCACCAACCCAGATCACCTCAAGATTTTAGAGTCCTGGATGAAAGGATACAAACCAGAGGAGCTCTTCGACGCAAATGGCACGTTGATTCCAGAGCTGAAAGAGCTTGCACCCACCGGCGACGCGCGCATGTCCGCCAATCCAGTCGGCAATGGCGGTGTCTTGCGGAAGCCTTTGAATCTGAATGATTTCCAGAAGTATGCGCTTCGGGACATCGTCCCCGGCAAGACAGTCAAGGGGGGGATGGCCAACATGGCGAAATTCCTTCGCGAAGTTGTCAGCGAGAACATGACAAATTTTCGCCTCTTCGGCCCCGATGAGACTGAGTCCAACAAGCTTGCGGAGGTCTACAAAGCAGGCAAGAAGGTCTGGATGGCGGACTACTTTGAAGAGGACAACAATGGCGGCAATCTGTCTCCTCAGGGTCGTGTGATGGAGATACTTAGTGAGCACACCTGCGAAGGCTGGCTTGAGGGATACATCCTTTCCGGACGCCACGGTCTTATCAACAGCTACGAGCCTTTTGTTCACGTCATTGACTCCATGGTCAATCAGCACTGCAAGTGGATTGAGAAGTGTCTCGAGGTGGAATGGAGAGCCAAGGTCTCTTCGCTCAACATTCTCATTACTGCCACAGTTTGGCGCCAGGACCACAACGGGTTCACTCACCAGGACCCTGGCTTCCTTGACGTTGTCGCCAACAAATCTCCCGAGGTAGTTCGCATTTATCTCTCCTCCGGACGGCAACACCCTCCTCTCTGTCATGGACCACTGCCTGCGCAGTGTCAATTACGTCAACGTTGTGGTGGCCGACAAGCAAGAGCACATCCAGTTCTTGTCTATGGAAGATGCGATTGAGCATGCCACCAAGGGCCTGGGAATCTGGGATTGGGCCAGTAATGATCAGAACGAGGAGCCAGATATTGTCATGGCGTCGTGCGGTGACGTCTCAACACACGAAGCCTTGGCTGCCACCGCTCTGTTGCGCGAGTATCTTCCCACGCTCAAGGTCCGCTTCGTGAACGTCGTGGACCTCTTCCGTTTGATATCCGAAATCCATCATCCCCACGGCATGCCGGATCCACATTGGAAGGCAATCTTCACCGACAATAAACCCATCCTCTTCAACTTCCATTCGTACCCCTGGTTGATCCACCGATTGACCTACAAGCGGCCGGGGCAGCACAACCTGCACGTACGCGGCTACAAAGAGAAGGGCAACATTGACACTCCGTTCGAGCTGGCTTTGCGCAATGGAACCGACCGATACAGTCTGGCCATCGACGCGATTGACTTGATCGAATCCTTGGGCAATACTGGATCCAGTGTCCGGGAGAAGTTCATCAAATTCCAGCTGCAAGGAAAGAAAGCCGCTTATAACGATGGTGTTGATCCTGAGTACATTCGCAACTGGAACTGGCCTTACCCGAAGAACGCTTAATCTTGACTGGTGATCGGTCTACTGAAGGCAGCATGGATTGAGAGCTAGGAACGAAAAAGTAATGCATGTTTTATCACAAACAGATTGCAGTACGTGATGATCAATATGACCTAACTCCACTATTTGACGAGACAGCTAGCTACGTCGTAAGATATCTAGTTGCTCTCATCGAGCTCCATCATGAGCTTTCGGGTGAGGGCAGATATATGTTCTGAAGGGTAAGCACGTTTCTCGAACATGATTAAATTTAATTTCCTAGTCTAGTTGCCGTGGGATTATACATAACTAGGTATAGAAGAAGGATGAAGAAAGACTATCCGGAACCTCTTCTAGCTGTACTGGCAGTCGCCTAATTTTTGGAAGAATGTATTTACTTACTGTAGCTGGCGGGAAGGCTACCGCCTTCGATAACGATGGGCACCCGCAGCACACAGCCCGAATTAGTCACTCCACCCTGAGTTGCCCCCTGCCGCAAGTGAGCCAAAGTACGGAGTACGGAAGTGAGCGTAAGATAATCCCCGGGCCTTTTGATCGCTCACCTTAATGCTGACTCTTGACTAGCCCCTTCATTCTTGTACCTCCCGACCTTTCAACTGTTCCAATAACATGCTGTCCCGTACTGGTGTTCCTGGCTGGGCCTGGAGATGAGGTATTCCTACTACAATACCTTTCCAAAACCAAAAAAATGAACCCCTTCCCGCGATTGAAATATCCTGAGAATAGAAGTCACACGCCCTACCACTGGGGAACAGGAGCTTTGGCTATCCGAGGCACACGATCTTTTGTCAATTGAAGTCTGTCGTAGTGTAAGTAGTTTATGTAGAGTGATGTTAAAATCACCCCTGTCTCTAGAGTCGTTGTTGGACATTTCCGTGTAAATTCTGTCCCGGAATGGGAAGCGGACTCTTGAGCATCCTAAATTTGGAATAATGACTTTGCATCCGATATGTAAATCGTTGTCGGATATGATTCACTTGAGAAGGAATGTAATCTGAACACTGACCAGAACGAATTGTGAACTATCTAGTGAACAGTACTTGCGTCAACATAGCACATACTTTGGTCGGTGATTCAATGCCCACTCATGGTTGGAATTCAGTGCAGTTCAGATGATAACAGAGGCCTCCTTAATGGGCTTATTTTGAGGGAGTGCAACCGTGTGATTCCTTGACAGCTTATGCACCATAGCTCGACGCCTAGGGGAAGAAGCTACACAGTCCTCTGAATCCCGTAGAGCTATTGCTCTCCTCTGAAAAACAGAGAGCAGTGAACTGAAGGCCATTCGTGGGCTAAGCATTTCGTCTAAAGCCTTGACATGATCTTGCTGAGCATTTCGCGCGGCACCTCAGATAAACCTCGGGATTTTGAAGGGACGACTTCGGTATGACAGCAAGGTCTAAAGACGGATGGCACTTATTACAAGGCCGCAGTCCGAGAAAGCCGGGCAAAAACCAGCAAACTAGAACGTGCGTTTGCAGTCCCCCAGGGGAAATGTTCTAAGACGAGAGGGGAGTAGCTAGCGGAATGACTCCAATAAGCGAATGGAAGGCTAAGACCCGGAATTTTTCGCGTTTGTGACCGGGTAGAAAGTGGGCAGTAATATACAAACGGCTTGCAATTCCACTAGCGGGCAGAACCACGCTTAAAGGAGCTCGATATGTGTGGGTAATTTGAGAGTAACCGTGGATTGAAGATTAGCAAGAATACATAGATCTCCTTCTCGGCGGACTGGTTCGATACGCTCGTCATAATTCTTCCCCAATTCCTTTTTTTTTTTATACATGATTTGGTCTTCATTCAGCGAACTTGCGATCGACGACCTCCGCTATCGGGTACTGTTCTTCTTAGAAAGTCATAAAGTGCTTATTGCTCACATAGATCCAGCTCGAGTACGTTCCCCGATTGAGTCGGGTGATCTAGATAAGAGAGAACGTCAAAAGAAATCTATTACGAAGCCCGAAAAGTGTCCCAGAAGAGCCCTTTGGGCAAACAAGCGGCCAGGGGAAAATTGCATTTCAGGTGGTGGCAACTCCCCGCGGGTTAGCTGTCACCGTGCGCCCAAGAGACTTTCGGGTTCGGGCTCATCCATTCATTCTTTCATCCGAACCCAGATTCTATTGGATGGCGGCCCCAATAGAGTCAGACCATCGCGCGGGCTATCCAGGACCTCGCGGATCATGCCATTGACTCTACGGAGTACGGCTTTCAGTCGGGAGGTGCGGATCGAGCCGGCCCCGGATCCACCATGTGGCGGTAGAGCCGGTTTTTGACTCGCTCGAAGCTACCTCTTGCAGAAGCGCACAAACGCTTCCCCTTTTTCCGGGCTTTTTTCTTCCGGTCCGACTTTTGTTTGTTGTAGAAAGTCGTCCCCACGGACAGGTGTGAGCCGGAGATCTTTCATACTTAGCTGTGGAAGTGACGGGAGAACTTGAATAAACTCAATTGACAGGGCCGATCTACATCCACGCTTACGGTACATCGACATCTGTGGAGACTGCAGCCCCCAGAAATGGCTGCCGATCAGACCTACGACATCCGGGAGTTCCCCCATGATCCGCAAATCCTTTCGGGACAGCGATACCGCAATCATCTTTACTATGTAGCGCAATTAGCCATATGGCTGGGAAATCTCTACTTTGTCGTGCGCTTTTTGGCAGTCCTATTTTCTGCGCACACATGGCAGATGTGGCTGATGCTGCTCGTCGAGGCTATTTTTCTTCGTACGTTTTCACGCCGAAATTTGAGATTGAGAAAGAGACGGAGCTCTGATTGATTGATTAGATTTATCCCGAAAAGATCAGCTTCTGGTCATTGCCGCGTCGAAAGTCGAAAAGAATGGCCCGCGCAAGAAACTTCGACTGCAAGGCAATCAAAATCTACCCCGTGTAGACGTTCTTTTGCCGTGCTGTGGTGAAGACGTAGATGTTATCTTGGCTACAGTACGCGCGGCCTGTAGCCTCGACTACCCAGATTCCCGCTTTCGCGTTCTGGTACTAGATGATGGAGGTTCGATGGCCTTGAAAGAAGCGGTGTTAGATCTACGATCTCAGTGGAATCACCTGTCCTATCATTCGCGTGGACGACAATCCGGTATGGTATTTGCCAAATCAGGAAATCTGAACTACGCCTTGACTACGTTGCAAGGAGAGACCCAGCCCGAATTTTGCGCGATTCTGGATGCAGATTCTATTCCCACTCCGGACTTCCTTCGGGCAACCTTGCCTCATCTGCTTCAGAGCCCAGATGCAGCGCTGGTTTCCACACGGCAATATTTCTCCAACCTGCCGAAGGGTGATCCTCTATCACAGACACGAAGTCATTTCTATACTTGCCAGAACGCCGCCTTGGATGTGCTTGGCCTCGCAATCGACGCTGGCTCAGGCGCAGTCTTTCGAAGAAATGCAGTCGTGCAAGTCGGGCTGTATCCAACATTCTCCTTCTCCGAGGACTGGCAACTGTCCCAAATTTTGCATGGCATGGGCTGGCGTACTTTTCAAGTTCAGGAACCCTTGCAATATGGACTCGTTCCGGACTTGCTTACCGGGCACTGTGCCCAGCAAAACAGATGGAACATTGGACATGCCCAACAAATCCCTGCCATGCTCTCATCAGACTATAAGCACTACACTAGGACGTTAAGATGGAATATCGCGTGCAATGGTTTCGGGATTGTGGCCGGAGAAGTCGGATGTTTTTTCGGCTTTCTTGCAGTTCCATTGCTCTTTGTTTCTGGGCAAGTAATACCAACGACCTCGCCCTCAGTGGTCAAGGCTCAGACTTGGTTGGCCCTCGGCCAAGTCCTGATAATGTGGATCTACGAATACCTCCAGGTCGTGCATAATGGCTTTCGAAGTGCCCCATTTGCTCACTTGGAAAATAAATGGCTGTCTGGCTGTGAGTTTTGCCTTCCATACACCCCCCAATCATGATTCAGGACCTGACCACAGCTACTCGTTGCAGCAAACATACTTGCTATCTTGAGGTTCTACCTTGTTTCTGACAAGCCGAAAGGATCGTCTTTTGTCACTGGAAGCACTCTCAATTCTTGGAACCAACACGCCTTGTCAAGGTGCAGGAAATTATACCAAGACTTGTTGAAGAATGGAGTCTTCTACAACTTTGCATTAATACTGGCTACCATATGGGCTGTCTCTTATGCAATCGCATCGGTGATGACAGCGCACAATGATCCCACATTCACCAGCTTGGTATCCAGCATTGCTTTTCCGCCCCTGTTGCATATTTGCTATCTGACTTTGACGAACAATTGGGTGCCTGTCGCTTATATACTGAAGCCCCCTCATTACCCCGATCGGAAGTCTCATCCGCCAATCGACTCCAAAAGGCCATTCTCTCGGCCCGAAACCAAAAACGAAGCAGTTTTAGAGTCCAGATGGCCCGGTGTAGGCAAGGTCAGGAAGGATATATTGCATCTTGGAAGTAGGATAGAAGTTCAAGAGCTGACTAAGCTTTAGTTAGATATGAAAGAAGAGCTTCGGGCTCATTCAAATTAACAATTGTATCCTGTCCGTTTATTTAAAACTTATCATTCCGCCCATCAAACTTCAATCACGTTTTGACGAATGACACATTGAGCTGCTTGAAACAATATAGTTACTTGACCCAAATTGTCCAATTAGGAATAGGCCGGTACTCATTTCGGTTGAATATTCGAGATAAGACTGATTAATTGCTCATTACCTACCTAGATGTATTAGTGATGGAAGATCCCGTGGCTTCTTCTTGGGGGAGTTCGTCTCCCCCCGCCCGAAATTTCTTGATAGCTCAATTCTCACAGTTCCTTTGTTCATGATTTTCTTCCTGTGCACACAGAGAGCTATTCCTCTTCTCACCTAGGGGGTTTCGTTCGCTTCCAATCCGAAAGATAGGTTATCTCTCAACCACCAGTCTTCAAAGAAAAGAGCGTCAAGCTGGGTGTAGCTTTCTTCACTATCGGGGAGATCAATTATTCCAGATTCTTCGGGCGCCACGTGCACAGGGAGATTCGGTAGACTCCAAGACTTGAATCTGGAAAATATCCCAATTGATCTTTCCAGGACGCCGCTTGCACACTCTTCACCCATTTCTGACATCGCGAGCTTAATGTTGTTGATGACCTGATCGATCACTTGTATAACATCAATGCTCGATCTGACCAAGTTGAGATCCCAAACAGAATCATTCAGAGTTGAAAGCTTGTACAGAACTATGATATAACGGACGAGCTGCGTGAAGACGGGAAACGATATCCCAGGGTAGTCTGAAATCGGAACAGTGAAAAAGTTTTCCAGTGCACTTTTGACTGTGTTGAGACATGTGTATAGATATTCAAGTCTCTGGAAACCTGGAGGGCTCTTTCGCGAAAGGACCAGGCCAAAAATAGATAGCTCTGTGTAAAATACAGAAGCAGAAAGTACTCCTGTTGATGGAAAGGTCAACAAATGTGAAGAATGATTGGAAATTGAATATTGGAACTTACGGTCTTCCCGCAGTCGCGAGGATATGCTGGTCTTGACTTCATCCACCTTCTGTTGGAGAAATTTCAAATAAAAGTCTGGTGGCGCCTTTGATGTCTCTCGAGCACTTTCTACCTCCCCGACAATGCGCTGTAGCCTGACTTGATGTACAAACATCTCGTCGTATGGGGACTCGTTGCTTTGGCTCAGAGCACAGATACACTCATCCATATATGGAGTCCATTGCATTGCATCAATATGCCCAAAGTAAACAGAAACGCTATAAAGGTAAGATACGGTGACTCTTCAAGGAGAGATACAGATACTCACATTGAGCTCAATACAAAGCAGCCTAAAACAGCTCGCTTCTCTTCAAGGGACCGTGTTAACCCTTTGGAACTGAGCAAATTTTGGCTGATTGAGAGCATGTTGGACTCTTCCACTGGGGGCTTATTTAAGCGGAGGTCGAACACCAATGTTGTTGCTAGCTGCGTATATCTGGCCAATTGGGCGGGATTGGAATTGAGGAGTTGATTGTGCCCCCAGGCAAGAAATGTCAAGAGGCCGAGGAGCAAATCAATATTTATGGCAGTAGGATCATTGGCAAGGAAGATGCGGTGCGTCAATTCTCGTTTGATTTTGTCACCTAACGCGAGCTTTGTCTGCGTTGAATGGGAAGCTGCAGTCACTAAGCACAGCCATAAAAAGGGCCTATCTTGACGCAGCCGCTGTGCATTCACATCTGGAGGAAGATGGAAAGGGAAATATTTCAAAAGATGGCTTCGGAAGTAATCAAGGCTTCCTTCGGCCGAAATATCAGGAGCTGCTGAGGCCGCTGATGTTAAGCCTGTTGCTGCAGTAGCTGCACCCAAAGAGGTTGGTGTGCTGGAGCTAGTTACCGGTGGTGATATATTATCAAATCCAGAACTAGGAGTATTTAAAACCCCACCGGAGCCTAATATCGACACAAGATTATCGAGTTTTCCCTCGATTTGATCGATTCGAGTGCGCTGTGTGTTCCTTGCCCGCGCGGAATTTCCAGGTACGCAAAGCTTTTTCAGGCGACTGCATCGCTCACAGGTACCACTTGACGTGGAGATGCATTTGCATTTGGATTTTGAGCATTCTGAGCATGCCTACGTTTATGCATTTGTTGGTCAGCTTGCCACGGAACTTAACAATTCGAAAGAAGTGAAAACGAACCTTTCCGTAGAGCTGTGTGATGGCTGAACTTCGATTTGGTGCCATGGTCGAACCTGTATTCTCATTTGACGCCACAGATTAACTCAAACCACGGCGTTCACTCTCCGGTAGGCCGAAGCCGATGATGGAAAAAGCAAGATGTGGCGAGCTTCAGGGATAGATCGAAACGGAGTTCGTCGAGGAAGTCTCGGATTTTCTGGTGCCGGTCGGGATTAAGCGTGCCGAACGCCGACTCTGTTTTATTATGTATTTGTGCATTAAAGGTAGGTCTGCACCGATCCAGATTATTTATGGTACATACTTTCGCAATAACACACACCTACGAAGATCAGAGTGCAGGTGACGGGCTTGGTTAGCTGGAAATTATTCGCCAATGTCTCGACATGAGAAATACTAGAGGTGATCGCACTGGCGAGAAGTCCCATTCAAATCGACAAAAGCATTGAGCCCTCAAAACTTACAAGTTTGATCATTGAAGACTCTGAAGATTTCCCCAGCTATGCAAGTGCAAATGCTTGCATATGTTGTGTACCGCGAAAGAACATTCGATAACTAGTGAGTATAGAAACTAATGCAGCGTATCCGCCATCGGAAGTGATTTAGTGCTCATTCTCGGTTCAGTACCAATCAGGGCAAAGACTGTAATAATTCATCAGCCCATTTTGAATTGGAGATTATCTGAGATCACTACCATTAGTTCCATGTAAGAGCCATCCACGGTGACTCTGAGGCCGGGCCAATTCCACAGATAGATGGCCTCTCTTCTTCTATTTCTGGGAACGGAGGCAGTGATTATCATGTGATATCTTGTTTAGCATTTTTCAGAATGGGGGTTGGAATTCATATGGGCGAGTGTGGGGGTCCATCTGATCTCGAACAATACTAGAAAACGTGAATCCTCATCTATCTTCAAGGGCCTGCTTTAATCGAGTCAAAACAAATCATGGCTGTCCCTTATGCCACAAGCGGTTCTGAACATTTCTTACTCTACGTATTCTGAATCTACGATGAGTTTGGAAGAAAGGGTATTTATGCGAATAAAAGCAAAGTGTTTTCAATCTTCTTTTTTTCATTTTCTTTTTATGCTCAAGTATCTAGCAATCCGCGTCTGGCAATTTGTATGTTAGCATCGATCTAATTCAGTGGAAACCAAAGAAATCTCCAGCTTCGCAAGATATCTGGCAACCTGGATGTTAGAGTATGGATCAACGTGTCCGTCTAAATTTTAGAACCAATCTCATAAGGAAAGACAGAGGAAATTAGGGACAAACGAGGATGCTTTCCTCAGGAGCGGCCGCGACTCGGCGCTTGCGGCATTGATTGCAGCTGCAGCCGGGTTGCTCACGGTTCATCATTCGAAAAGACATTTCAATTCGCCCCAGAAGAGCCTCGGAGTCTTCATCGGCCAAGCAGCGGCGAGTTTGGATTTCGGAGATTCGTGAGTCCACCATGGACTCCATTAGCTCGACGTAGGAGTCGACATTGCTGTGTCCTTCCACAGTAAGGCGCCCAACTTGCAGTCTGATGTAATACAGAGCTTGGCAACATTGGTCTACAAGACAGGCTCGAGGTTCGAGAAGCGCGGCTTGTTCCAGGAGAGCTGACGTGATCAGATTGCACCGACGCTGAAAGCAGGAGGGGACGTCACTTCCCTCACGCTGGGCTGCTCGTCGGCCATTTCCTTGCACATTGAGTTTGAAGAGTGAAGCAATCAATCTGATATCGTAAGCAACCGATGCGTGAAAAGCTGGAACCTCCTCCAGTTTATGGATCGCGTCCACAAGTCGGTTCAGGATGTTTTCGCGGCTTTGACGAAAATGCTCTACGTAGTTTTCAGACTCCATTTTGATGGTGAAGGGCTGTAGTCTGACTTACCCGTTGGTGATTAGATGATATCGAACTTCAGATAATTGGAGTGTCAATGGGAAGCTGAAGACTGGAAGATTGGAAGGCTGCGAAGGTTGCGAGAGAATTGAAGGTGGGTTGCTGGGCATCGAGGAAGGTGGGCAAGCCTCCTTTTGTAGTGCGGCTGGGGCCACACAAGATGGAATATTCCACCCATTTTTGAGGATGAACAATTCACACTTCTTTGTGAGACCTCACCTTGTTAGACTTACTTTCTTCGCTAGGTCTTTGTGTCAGGCCCCCGTTTGTTCGGGTGCTTTGTACCAAATGGTTACTTTGTCAGACCAGCAAAGAACTTTCAAGCCAGAAGAGAGATTCACAGTGGCTTTGTTATCACCGAAGGACGTGTTCTAAAAAAGAGATTTTGGGGCTGTGAACAGACTCGGCTTGGAGTGACATGGAACTGAAGAGTTTGGCCAGCGAGATCAATACATACATCATTGCTAACCATGTGGGTAATGTGAACGGTGGATAACCCACTTAGCTCTCAGTCTTGCTGTCTTATCTTAGATCTTGGATCGTAGTTTGATAAACAGAGCCTCCGCCGTCGCAAGGACTTGGCCCTCACTATCACAGATCTGCGCCTCTATCCTCCATTTCCGATTTTCCTTCATTTCTTTCATTCTCGCCTGTACAAGGATTGCTCCAGGTGTAAGAATAGGCCGCAAGAAGTTTGTGTTCAAATATGCGGTCACCGGTCCTGGATCTGCATCTTTTGCCTCCCGAAGGGAAGCATCCCCGACATTGCCGTTGATGGTTAAGAGGAGACCTGTGACTTCGTCCATAAGAGTCGCTGCTATGCCACCATGCAGAATACCGGGATATCCATTGAGGTCCGAGCCCACAATCCAGAACGTGCGAAGTTCCTCGGTACCTATTGGAGTAGTCCCGTGGGCCGATTGGGCATGCTTGGATGGTGTAAGATGTGGTGGTCGACGATATTGGCTGAGACAAGCTGACAATGTGGTGCTTGAATTGAGAGTTTTCGAGAAGAGACTATCCTCGGTTGATGATTTTGGGGTCCTAGACGGGATAGAAAGGGTAATGAAAGACTCATCTTTCAGGAGATTCGACACCCAAGGGATGGCTTGGAAGGGGGTGGGATCATCCGTCGCCATTCCGGAGCCAGGTGAATGAGTGAGTAATGGTGAGGAGCGTAAAGAAGACCAGATAACTTCGTCCGGAAGACGGAATCCGCCGGCCGAGGCTGGAAATGTGACATGGCGCCTTGCCAAGGCTTCTTTCGGTTGCGGGGAAATAACCGAAAGGTAAAGACGCCCTGGTCGGAGTCCCCCAGGGCCCACACAAAACGGCTTGAATGGAGAGAATGGATCTACCCCTTGCGTTGTAGGTAAAGATATAGCTCTGAGGTATTCCCTACGGGGTATGTCATATGTTGGAGTTGTCTTTTCAAACAAAAACCCCAAGGTCAATCTATATCGAAATAGCTATTTGGAAGACTGGCTCTGGAATACGGTTATAGGACTGAGATCAGGACGATCAATCTTAGGTAATGATCTAGTCGACAATAGCTGGAAAGGGCCAATTGGTACTATTTCTAAGCCTCAACTACGGGAAGGTAGCGACTATGATATCCCTCTTTCGAAGTTGGCCAGGAACGAGTTGAAGCAGAATATTTATCTAAACCCCTAAAAAGCATCAGAACCTTCCAGATGCAGTTGTGAAGACCAGAGGGAGTTTTTCTGCTAATCTATCTCACGGTAGTCGGCAAATGAGACGGATATGCGGTACTGTTGCACTGTTGCACTATTGTATTAGGCGGGCGGCTGCTATCGACGGAGCGCGCCAAGCATCCATGCGGCCTGTGCGGGTCCCTTCAGAGCTGGCCTCGTTGGGCGTTCCCCAAACATCACCCTCCCCCGCGAACGTTTGGTGCCGCCGAAACTCCCCCTGAGAGGTACCTAGCAGCTCTGTGGTGCTCGCACCGGCATGCTCTGAGTGCTATTGGCCGTCTCCCGAACCTGCGCCCGGGAATCATGGACCCTTCAAAGGCGGCCTCGAGCAATGTGACCGGTACGAGGTGCCATTGTCCGGAATATTTACCCGGAACTCGTGCTGACCAGCAACGACGGAATAGTTGAATATACGGACCCATCTGGATTGTTCCCTTTGATCCAGCCTGTCATCGAGTCGAAGCTCCCCCTGAAGAACCTACACTGGAAATCGCCTACTCGCCCCGTTCGATCGATCGAGTCGCTCCGCATCGGCTTCTCGCCTGCGCAGACCGAGACCACCGAACAGGAATCCTCGAACGATACCACTGGTGCTGTCTCACACCGGCGACACCAAATTCCCGGTCTGCGACAGACTCCGTATCTGAAGATCTACCTCCTCCGCTGCGACGACAATGATACCTACAAGGCAACCGCACGAAAGACGCTCCGGGATTGGATCAAGGCTCAAGGATCATCAAGCTCCTCGCAATCGAATGGCAGCAACCAGGAGAAACACGATGCGTTTGAATGGCTCATCCTACACGTGGTACAAGATGGGGAAGGCGGGGAGAAGACCCCTGCAACTACCTCCAAATGGGGCCGAAGCACAACCACAGTCCTAGAGAAGGTCAAGGCTGACTTCAACGGGACATCCAAAACTGCCATTGACCGTGTGGCGCAGCTACGCCTTCCCAAGGAGGGGACCACTGCCAAGCCGCCTGAGTTGGCCGATCAGCTGGAGGACCTGATTGACAAGATCAAGAACGGAATACTAGCCTCCTTTGACCTTCGCGTGGCCCAATATGAGGAAGACATCAAGGAGAAAGACTCGCAACGAAATCTCCCTGGATGGAATTTTTGCACATTTTTTATTCTGAAGGAGGGCCTTGCGCGAGGCTTTGAGAACGTGGGTCTCTTCGAAGATGCCCTGCTTGGCTATGACGAGCTGTCATTTGGATTAGATGCGGCTATACGAGATCAAATGCAAGGAAGCAGCGAGCAGCATGGTACCACGCTTCTTACTTACAGCAAGAGTTGGGTGGAAACGGCTGAGAAAATACTCGAATCTGGAGCGCCCGCCGATGACGGCGGCGCGGGTGAGACTCCACGCTTGGAACTCCAGCCAGAAGATTTCCCGCTCAGCGCCACCAAGTTACCATATCGAGAGATGATTCTGGCCAACAATATATCCATCTTTGACTTCCGAACATATGTTTTTTCTCGACAACTCACTCTGCTTCTCCGAGCTGCGAGAGCTCCGTCACTACACGCAAACGAGCCGATCAAACGTGACAAGAAACCAGAAGACATGATATTGCTCTCTAAAATCTGCGCGAGATCCCTGGAGTTCATCAGCCTTGCCGCACGCACCCTCCGGTATGGTCTTGAGTGTGGATTGAAAGATGTGGAAAATAGCGCCAAGCCAGATGCCATTAACAACCTCGTGTCCACCTGGGCATACTCTGCGGCTCTGCAGATCCTCAATCAAACGTTCACTCCTAGCCTCGTCATCCCAGAGTCATCGTTTCATGCTGTGGGAGCTTCCGGTGAGGCCACGAAGGCCACTGCGCCGACTGCAGAGAGCCGTTCAGAGGTACCACGCCGGTCAAGCTCATTGGTAGCCTCGTCCGCATCTCGCCCTGCTCGTCCGATGACGCAGGATCTCTCTGATACTGCTGGACCGATGCAACGGCGCTCGACTTTAGACCATCCAAAACCCGCACCTGGATCCATGCAAAGGACTGGTTCCGAGCAGTTGGCGTCGGCGAGAGGAGAGCTTCTCTTGCTGGCTCGGCGTTCCCTCGAGGAAATTGCCCAGCGACGGGGCTGGTCCGAGAAGTGGAGTGACCTTGGTCTGTTATTTGATGACAGCCACCTTTATGGAGCAGGTGGCCTTGCGGATGTGTCCCTAGACGACGAGGAACACTCAAAGCAGGAGGCTGCTTCGAAGACAGAACGGTCCTCGTTAGTTGGCATTGAGTTGTCTGCCCTGAAGGCTGGTTTGAAATCCAAAGAGGCATTTTTGTCCGTCTATGAAGATCTCACGGACCGTATCATTCGCCATCAGATGGTCGCAAATCGTGCTAATTCCGCAGAGACAGCTCTTGCAGAGATCGCCATCCTGCGATACCGACAAGCCGACTACGAAGCTGCTGCGTCCTATTTCCACCAAATGGCCCCCTTTTATGGTAGCAAGCTTTGGGTAGTTCTAGAAGGAAGCATGTTGGAGTTGTATGCCCGTTGTTTAAAAGAACTCAAGCGGAATGAGGATTTTGTCCGAGTAATGCTTCGACTCTTGGCCAAATTCGCTGCCTATGCGCAGTCAAAGTTGTCTATTCGGGAAAAGGCACTATCTACTCCCCCGTCTATCTTGCAGTTGGAACAGCTGGCTGGTTATGTCACCGATTTGTTCCGTGGTGCGGCCGCCATGCAAAAGGATGTTACGGCATCATTAGTTGAATTCTTCGCGGACCTCCGTGTTGACCCTGCCATTCAACTTTATAAGGATACAGATGGCTTTCAGATCAAGTTGTCGCTGCGATTCCTCTTGGGCCCGCAAATTAATATCGACTCTATCAAGGTTCGGTTGGTCAGCGCCGACAACTCCCATAATTCGGAGCATTGGATCGAAGCATCGACCGATTTTGTGGTCAAGTCGTCAATGACAACAATCCTCATTGACTCCTCGGTAAGTGAATTCTTCTGGCCACCTATGTGGCCTCCTCGCTGACGAAGATTAGACTACCCTGCATGGCAAATACTTTGTTGATCGCCTGGAGATGAAGTCCGGTAACATCATCTTTTCTTTCAATAGCGGAAACCACTCGGCGCTGCCAATTGGCTTCCGGGAATCCGACGAAGACGAGGAGATAGATCGGCGGCCTTATGTCTATTGTTACCCTCCACCAGAGGGATTGCAGGCAAAGGTGGTCTCACCACATCTGATCAACCTCGAGGCCATGCGCACGCTGGAGCTGGAACTCAACAGCGGACGGAATGATATAAAGACCGGCACGATTCGCGTGCGACCGGCTACCGCGGGCCTTCGGCTTCGAATCTCAGAAGCCGAGGTTGTGGAAGGCGAGCTAGATGTGACTGCCAACAACGAGGCTGGTACCATCGAATTCTTCCATCTCCCTCCGCAGAAGTTCGTGCGGCTGCGTATCCCTTACACGGTGGAAGAGCCATTCGCGACCCTGTCCGCACGTGCCGAAGTCAGTTATGAGACTGATCGGGGCCAATTTGATTTTTCAACCGCACACAGCGTTGTGGCAACGCTACCCATATCAGTCAACGTGCAGGACATTTTCAAGGATGAATTGCTGTTCTCGCGTTTCACAATCAGCCCCGCCATGCTGATCCCGCTGCGCATTACGAATTGCAGCCTGCCCAGCTCCGATTCATATGACGTACAGTCTGGTATCACAGGCCCCGTGGCTATGGACGTCTTTCCCAAGCAGCCCGCATCTCTCCTCTATCAGATCCGCCCGTCCGGGGTGAACTCGGCCACCACTGGTCCCGGGGCGCCTCGTAGCCTCCGCCTGCGCGTGGACTTCACCTGCGTGGACGATGAGTGCCTTGATGCAGTTGAGAAACTCTTTGAGTCGGCCATTCAGTCTAGCCCATTCGGCCAGTATGCTACCCTGCTTACGTCGCACATTATCAGCAGCTTCCGCACTCAGCTATCCACCTCCGCCATGGAGGTCATTGGCCTTGTGCGAGAGGTCGAGATGCTCCCCTATCGGAGCGTCCGCTGGGAGGAATTGTTGGGCGCGCTACAGGGACGCACGGAGGATGTGCGACAGTGGCTTATGGCGTGGCATGAGGTGAGCGATTCCCCACTACATCATATCATTGACTCTGACTAGTCCTATCCCCCTATCCTATCCATTTGCTAAGCTATGATCAGAGCAACCCAACCATCCGCCTCCCTGCGCAGCCTTGCATCCTCACCCGCAGCATCGTCATCCCCGTCGACATCCCCGAGATTCAGGTCGTGCACACGGCCGAGCTGAAGCTCCCACAGCTCCACCCCGCCAGCTCCGACGCCGGCTCCTCTTCACACGCAGCTGTGGGCCAGGCAATCACAGCGGAGCTGTACCTTCGCCATACGCGCCGGTGGTGCTCTCCAGCAAACCAGGAACACGCTGGGCAGCCCCTCGAATGCTCATACGAGTTGCATGCCAATCCCGAGCTCTGGCTTCTCGGCGGCCGGCGGCGGGGCAACTTCCTCGCCCGCGAGGGCGAGACGACCCGCTTCACCGTGCTGCTTCTGCCCCAGAAACCCGGCCACCTGCTCCTCCCGGGCCTGGAAATCCGCACTTTTACCCCAGCGCTCCCGCAGCCGCCCGTGTCGCCCTTAGCCACAGATCCTGTGACCGGAGCTCTAGCGGGGCCGGCCCAACGTCAATCGATTGCTTGCGAGGTGGACTACCGAAACCACGGCGAGACGGTCCTTGTACTCCCTGATCTCCGCAAGACGACGGTCAGTTTGAGCGCTTCGGGTAGCCCGGGTGGCTCGTCGTGGCTGGTGGACTCGGAGCGGCGCGCCGAGGTACACTGAAGATGAAGATGGTGGAGTCCTCGCTCCTCCTCAGCTTATGACCGTATGACAAGCACGGCTGTACAGGGAATTGATGACATGGCTTAGAATAAATGTGTACAGTATCTGTTCGCCGGCCGTTCTCTGTTTACGTTATTGGAGATTCCCCTTGAAGTTACCCAGAAAAAATACGTGCTGTGATAAAACCTACCTGCCGTAACCCAACAACTTGCGGGTTGCTTCGATGTCCCGATGCGTCTCCCCATGGCGGATCGGTGCAATCATTATGGCGCAGCCTACGTAGGAGGTCGTGTATGCCCTATGAACCACGGACGTATTGTGGGTCGGAATGCTGCGGCTCATATGGGAGCATTGATTGAGTTCCATTTCTTTATCTATGTCCTGTCATACGCTAGCGTTCGACCCCCCATCCCGAGTCTACGGTCGGCTATTCATGGAATCCATCCGATTGACATTGACACTTCATCCGTCGATCGCCACACCTCGTCTCGCACCCCGAGGCCTGGGACGTGCAACCGAGCTCGCGTTTGATCGGACGAGTCCGCTGTCAACGTGCCATGGACATGAAAGTCTGTAAATCTGTATCTTTCTGCCCCAGCGCGGTCATGCTGCAAACGTTCAGTGACGTACTTCACTGGCCTTCTGTTGAACGAATGTACAATTGGACCCGGGATATCCACGAGTTGTAGAGATATGGAACTTCCATGGAACAACATAGGTTCTATTCTTATGACCTACAGTAAAAACCTACCGTAAAAGCTACTATAGCTACTGTACAGTAAGCAGTCCGGCCGGTCATTTTGCGTTTTGCAAAAAATCATGACAGGGTGGGGAAATGCGATTGGCGGGGGCGCTCCTCAACAAAACTTAAGTGGGTCCCGCCCAACAACAGGGACTGGCCTCCACAATTGGCAGCAGAAGACGTCTTGAAGCCGAGTGTGCCCCGAAGTATGGAGCCCGCCTACAGTTCTACCTCAGATGTCCGTACGATGTGGTGGGAAGGCCAGCACCATGCCACGTCTCCAAACATTGCCATACAGTAGTAGAAGTAAGTAATGGCAATAGTAGTAGTAATAGCAGCAGTAGTAATAGCAGCAGTAGTATAGTAGGAGTAGTAGTAGTACTGTAGTGGTAGTATACGGTATGGTATACACCGTGTCAATGGGGAAAGCCCCAACAAGCTGTCCCCTAGTGCCGATTCACATGCCAGGCGCCTCCCTCTTGGAGCTGTCCCTTTCTCTGCGCGCATGCCAATTGCCACCTCGACCACGCCGGCCATGGGCCCATCCGACCAATCCACAGCCGGGCATAGCACGCCTGCGCGCGCCGACGAAAATGACCCGCCGAGGCCGGTCGATCGCTGGCCCTGCACATGTGCTCACCCAAGAATCTAGGCCCACATGTGAAATCCCCCCGTCCCCAGGACGAGATGGATCTGACGAGTACACTGTACACAGTAGTTGATGGAAACGGTCGATCATTTATGATTCGTCGTGGTCCCAGATACGTGCTTCTGCGGCCGACTGATTCCTGTCGATTCCAAGTCGAGCACGCCAGACAATCTACGATTAATCCCTCACCGCCTGCGCGTGATCGAAAACGCGAAAAGAGATAGAATGTTGAGTGCCCAAATAGGCTTAGTGCAGTAGAGGCGGTGGCGCATCCCCCGGAAGCCTCACGGGCCCGGTAATTTTCACTTGGCTTTGCAGGCGTCGTACCGAGTATGGGCGGAGAGGAGTATAGCCAGTATAGCCAGTATACCCCGTACTCTAGTTGGAACTGGCCCTCAGCTGGCACCATTGGGACCAGCATGAGGGCAGTCCACGGCGGTGGCGCACGCGCTGATTTCATCCAATGGAATGATGGAATGGGCCTCTCGGGAGGGCCGTGGCCTGCGACCGTATGCAGGGCGTGAGATCAGCTCGAGGAGTTCATGCAGGAGGTGAGCAAGTACTCCGGCGAGAGGCGCCGAGAAAAAAAAAAAAATTCAATGCGATCGATGGGGCCAGGGGGAGGCGAGTGGGGCCTGAGAGATACGGTAGATACCCAATTTGCAGGGTGTGTAATTTTGTAAAGCTCCATACCACACATCTGTGGTGGCAGCAGGCGGACATTGGCAGGGGATGGGTATTGAGGGAAACTGCAAATTACATCCCCCACGGCCCATGGAAACGGCCGAACGGGCTGGCTGGTCCCTTTTTTTGCCCATTCCTTTTTCTGCAGGTATTCTTCTCTCAAGGGGAAAGCTGGTCGTCTTTTCTTTCTCGCGTGAATTTTCAATTTCCTTTGCGCCGAGACCTTGTGTTAGGTCGTGCTGCTTTATCAATCCCCTCGGCTCCTCCGTCCCTTTTCTCCCCTCCCCTCCCCTGCTCTCAATCGATCCCGGGCGTTGTGTAACCGGCCAAACCCAAAACGTACCCAAGAGACCAAACGCAGAGAGAGAATTGGCTGTGAGTTGACGACTGGACACCCACTTCGTGACCGACGATCAATGGACTGACCCTCGCACCCGACCCCACAGCTTGAGACCGGCGTGGTTTTTTTTTGTTTGGCTTTTTGCAGCTAATCAATTTATCCGCTCTCTCGCCTCTCTGTCCCTTCCCAACACCTTCGCCGTGATTCGTTTCCATTGGTTCGGTGGGCCATTATAATAGATCGGAGGGAAGCTTTGGAGACCGCACTGTCCCGCTCTACCTACTCTCCCTCGTTGGGCTTCCCCTGTCGTTTGTCGCATCGCCATGTCGTCGACTGCTGTCCCCAAGCGCGTTGCGCTGCACCGCAACCCCACCGCCGAGTCGTCGGTGCCCTCGTCGGTGTCGGCGTCGCCCTTTGATAGCCCGCGCCAGTCGCCCTCGTCGACCTCGTTGTCCTCCCTGGCCTCGGAGCAGCAGGAGCGCACCAAGATGCTGGACACGTACGGCAACGAGTTCAAGATCCCCGACTTTACCATCAAGCAGATCCGCGATGCCATCCCCGCCCACTGCTTCCACCGCTCCGCCATCACCAGCTTGTACTATGTCTTCCGCGACATGGCCATCCTGGCCGCCGTCTTCTACCTCTTCCACAACTATGTCACGCCGGAGACCGTCCCCTCCATGCCGGCCCGCGTGGCCCTGTGGACCCTGTACACCTTCATCCAGGGTTTGGTCGGGACCGGTGTCTGGGTGTTGGCCCACGAGTGCGGCCACCAGGCCTTCTCCTCCTCCAAGGTGTTGAACGACACTGTCGGCTGGATCTGCCACTCGCTCCTGCTGGTGCCCTACTTCTCGTGGAAGATCTCCCACGGGAAGCACCACAAGGCCACCGGTAATCTGGCTCGTGACATGGTCTTCGTTCCCAAGACCCGTGGCGAGTATGCTTCCCGTGTGGGCAGGACCATCCACGAGCTCGGTGAGCTCATCGAGGAGACCCCCATCGCGACTGCCACCCACATGATCGGCCAGCAGCTGTTCGGCTGGATCCTGTACCTGCTCATCAACGTCACCGGCCACAACAACCACGAGAAGCAGATTGAGGGCCGCGGCAAGGGCAAGAAGAACGGCTGGGGCGGCGGTGTGAACCACTTTGACCCCGCCAGCCCGCTGTACGAGGCCAAGGACGCCAAGCTGATTGTCCTGAGTGACCTCGGTCTCCTCCTCACCGGCACCGGTCTGTACTATATTGGTTCCACCTATGGCTGGCTCAACCTGCTGGTGTGGTACGGTCTCCCCTACCTCTGGGTGAACCACTGGCTCGGTAAGTTTCTGATCTGATAATCCCCACCCACAAAGTCAGCGCATGTTCGCTCTCAACAGAATGTACCTACTAACCCCTTTCTCCCCCTCGCAGTGGCCATCACCTTCCTGCAGCACACCGACCCCACTCTCCCTCACTACGAGCCCGAGGTGTGGAGCTTCGCCCGCGGTGCTGCCGCTACCATCGACCGTGACTTCGGCTTCGTCGGCCGCCATATCTTCCACGGCATCATCGAGACTCACGTGCTGCACCACTATGTCAGCAATATCCCCTTCTACAACGCCGACGAGGCCACCGAGGCCATCAAGAGCGTCATGGGCGACCACTACCGCACCGAAGCCCACACTGGCTGGACTGGCTTCTTCAAGGCCATGTGGACCTCTGCCCGTGCCTGCCAGTGGGTCGAGCCGACCGATGGTGCGAAGGGCGAGAGCCAGGGTGTGCTGTTCTTCCGCAACACCAACGGCATCGGCATTCCCCCGGCCAAGATTGCCAAATAGACGAAATGAGATCAACGCACCCTGCTTCGCATCTGCCGCGTTTTGATCTTTTGTTGAATTTCTTTTTCCTTCCCCCACTTTTGATCCGTTTTGTTGTATACACGTGGGGCGAGCATACACAGTCAGTGATGATGAGATTTTGCCGAGAACATAGATGAGAAAGATGATGCTGAGAAGTGCTTTTGTTTTGAGTTTCCATTTATTGTCTGTGGTGCGTTCGCAGCTTCGACTTGGCCACACCCGTCGCACCCGTCAGGACTAGATCTGATCGTGTTGGTATCTGCTGTGCAAGCTGAACTGGACCGATCTGCTGGAGGTAGATTTTGGAAGCAAGAAAGGGAAATAGTTGGACGGGGATTGAAGGCTTGGTGACCAGGCATTGTCGTTGATATAGAGTCTTGTCTCTCGTTTTGTCGTCCTTCCCGTCTCATTGTGGTTAATCTCAAGTGTCCTTCATTTGATCATTTGTCTCAGTCCTCGCCTTGACTTAGTTCACATGTATGTGTTGGTGTTGGCATCTGGCTCGAGTGAGATTGTTGTCTCGTAGTGTGCCCATCTGCACCTGAGGATGCAGACCTGGTTGTGAAGTGTCCGAGGGAACCACAAGGGGGATTGTCGACCTGGTTCCTTCGTGCAGGCAGCACATTCGGCGTGGACAAGGTCGTCGCATGAAGGGCATTCATCACCCCTCGGGAGCTGGAGTGGTCGGCGTTGTTAGTTGACCAGAGATGATAGAATAGGTGGATGGGGGAGAAGGGTGTTCAGCAACAGATGATCATCTGTGTTTTCGGGTCGAGATCACGACAGCCTAGCAGAGGTCACGCTGGTTGGGCTGGATCGTAGCGGTGACGTGGGGCCGACGACAAAAACAAGAGCAGGCAGACCGTTAGATCTTGCGGGGTAGCCGCCTTCCGCCGCGTGCCGAACGACGATTGGATATGGCGGGCCCTGCAATCATCCTTGCTACTGGACCACCTCCTCAGATTATGTACTCCGTGTGGCTCCACACAAAAGTCCGGGATTCTATGCAAAGCACTCGGCCTCAAGTGAGCCCTGTCTAATCAATATGGCAATCTATCCAACTCTCTACAAACGTGGACAAACACCCGTCTTGCACCCAGTCTCATCCCCGACCAAAACACTCTGATTCTGCTCCTGCGTCGATACGGCAACATCCAGGCCAGGATTGCCCGTGAAGAAATTGACCGGTTTCAGACCAACGATCATCTTCTCCGAGGGCATGACAGGCCAATCTTCGATGCGCGGGTTATGCGTCGACCCGAACGTGTGCCAGACGACGATATCCTCGTTACGCACACCCGACGCCGCGACGTCGCCCTTGCGCGACTCGATCGTCGAGCTAATGCCCTCTCCACCAAGGGATTGCATCGTGTGCTGGCCCGACGGGAAGAGCTCGTCGTCTTGATACCGCGTCACCCAGACGGCGTGGCTGCCGAATTCGGAGCGCCGCGCGTGGTAGGACTGCGGGTGCGCGAGCAACATCTGGCTGTAGCACGGGAGCAGCTTGAAGCCCACGGGCGTGCCGGTGATAGGGTTGACTTTGCCCTCGTTGATGATTTTGAAGGTGCGGTTGCTCGCAAAGTCCAGGTCTAATCCGCCTTCTGTGGTGATGATTTTGGACTGCGTGGTATAGCCCACGCCAAGGGGGTTGTGCACATCAGGGTCGTTGATCGGCATGGCGTGTGATTCTTCGACCTGCAAGGAGTTCGCGTGACCGTCGATGGCTGGGTCGATGCGGAGGGAGAAGAGGTGTTGGTGGTAGGGCGCGAGGACGCCTGGCGCAACGACCGTGCCGTAGCCTACGTGGTCGTTGTTGATGGGGGCGGTTGACAGGATGCCGGTGGCGCGCACTTCGTAGTGGATGGACGCGTCTTGGCTGAAGTGGAAGGCGAAGATGTACTCGTAATTGCTGACTGTGATGATTGTCTGCAGCACGAGGATTCGGGAGCGAGTCACGACTGCGTTCTGTGTGCGGTGGTTCGTGTGTTTCCAAAGGATCCCATCATCCTGCTCATGGCAACAGACCACGTTCGGGAGTTTGAGTGGCTCGCCACCGGCAGTGTTATGCCAGCCGTCAAAGTACTTGATCAGCCCTAGGCAGTCGCAGCCCAGGCGGAGGTTATTTGCGTTCATTCCGGCGCCATCGTTCCCGAGGTCGAATGCCCCTTTGCGGGGGTACGGAGTTCGTGGATCACCATAGGGCACGAACATCTCCGCCAACGACAGCCGGTAGAAGAGGCTGCGGCCCTCGTACCGAATATCATGAAGGGTCAGGCCCTCGCGATAATTGAACCCCACGCGCATGGACCATTTCTCCCAGCTCAGCAGGTTGCCCTCGACTGAGAATGAAGGGCCCTCTGGTTGAATCACTTGATAGGGTTTGGTGGTTGTACGGGGTGGCGGCCGCAAGTCAGGATGATACTCGCTCAGCGCCGTCGGGTGGACTTTGCTATGATCATATGGCCGGGCGTCTTTGCGGATGCGCTCGTCTTCGGACGAGGGCAGATGGTAGATTCGGGTCACTTGCAAATCCTCCGAAACTTCGGCACACAGATCAAGTGGGTATGCGTAGTAATTGGCGTCCGGATGGTCGACAAGGCGCATGTAGAACCAGCACTGGATCGCAATAGTCAGTGGTTTAACACTTTGGGGAGCAGGAAGATACAGTCGACCTACCATCGTGGTACGTGCGGACATATCATTCATTCCGTCCGTAGCATACGCCCATGGTTCAACGACAACCTTGGCACCATCGGGGAGTTTGAGCGACTGAATCTCTGCTTCCACTCTGGGGTCCGCCCTGCATGCTTTCTCGGCGGCTTGCATATATGCAGAGTCGATATATGGATGCTTCCCGACTAGGTGCTCTTTCTTGATGATCAACCCCGAGTCAAGATTGACGATCAGCTCCACCATTTCATTTGGGCATGAATCACCCCGAATGGTAACCTGAACGCGTGCAGCTCGAACAGGTCGGGGATGAGTTTGGTCACGATGGCCCCCGTCCAAGAACGAAATCATCTCCCGCTTGGGCGGCTCCTTGAGAGTGATCACACGGAAATTAGGGTCTTTCCCCTGGAGCTCGCGGCGCACAATTGTTGCTGCCTACGAGGTTCGTATCAAATCAGTGGTCATATTCCTGATGCTCTGTGAATCTGAACCTCTAACCTTGACAATTTCCCCCGGGGAGAGTGGGTCAAAAGGATGCGGTGTTGACATCTTGAAAGTAGTGTATCTGTCACGGTTCCTGAATGTATAGGGTGAGTCACTCCATGCGAATGACACGAAGGGCACTTTGTTTCTTCTTTCTTCAAACCTGGACTGGAGGGCTGAGAGGAAGATAGGGCAGGTGCGGGGAAGTCGCTGTACACACGGAAAGATAAGCTGGGCTCCGAGGGCTCTTTAAATGGCTCAAGATACAGATTGACGGGCAATTCTGCGCTAAATATCAGCGAGAATACAGTAACCTTCTTGAACACTATTCTGAATTGGTGAATGCGCGATATTCGCTAAGATATAAGAATAGCCGGTCACTTGATCTTGGATCTCCACGTGGATGCGGAGTTTCCGCTAAGGTAAAGAATAGCCGGATCATAACGACTTTGGTTTAGTGAGTCTTAATCTTATTGGCGCGGAGGCAATCGAGGTTGCACCAGCATACGACGGAACTGGTGAGTCAACAGCTTTGGCTGCATCGCAGTACATGCTTAGAAATTTTAACCAGAATGGAGGGGGAGGATGTCAAGCTTGATCGCCTGGGCGAGGATCCTACGGCGGGTGTGAAGCGTAAAACACCAGAAGGCACCGCTTCACGAGGTCTCAGATGATCACAAGTCTGAGCGTTACGAGCGCGATGGTTGGTTCCTAGAGTAGAGTAGATCTCAATTCAGTTTCTTTGGCATGTCACACCAACCCGGTTATTTTCCTTGCTTTTCTTTCCACTCCTTTGCGCAGTTCTCATAAGTAACAAATTCCACCTCGTCTCCTTTCTGTTTCAACCATGTAATCGTTCGATCAATCATTCCGATGACATGGGCCATGCCGCTAGTGTCTGGATGCAAGACCAGGGGGAACACGAAGTCCTCGGTCTCATTGTATAGGAATTCAAACCGAGACTTCCAATTCTCTTGGATGGTGGTTGGACTGACAAAACCATGAGAGTTGGTTGCAGCTGGGAGAAACTGCATTGGCGTCATGTCCTCCATGTACCAATTGCAAGGTATCTCCACGAGTGTTTTCTCTGTTTTTGGAGCGGCTTTTGCAAGGGGCTTCATCCATGTGGTGGCTGATTGGGAAGGAGAAAAGTCAATCGGCTTGATCGGAGGCACTTCAGGAAGGAAGTATAGCTCTGAATCGTGGTGCGTAAGGGAGGTATCTTAATTGTATTATCAGTAGTGCGATCTTTGAGGTATTTCTTTTTGCAGATCTTGAGTACTTACCATATAAGAACCCAAATTCTTCTAACACCCTGACCGTATGCTCCCTCAAAAGGTAGAGCGGGGCCCTCCAGCCGCGAGGCTTCTGCCCAGTCAACTCAGTTGCAAGCTGAACGCACTTGGTAATAACTTCTCTCTCCTGTGCCTCGGTCATCTGGGCTGCGCCTTCGTGTGCGTATCCATGGCATCCAACTTCGGCACCAGAATCCACGATCGCCCGGGTTTCATTTGGGAAAGACTCCATCGAGTGTCCTGGCACAAACCAAGTGACCGATGAAGCAATTCCGTGTCTCTTAAAAAGACGCAACAGGCGTGGTACTCCCACCTGGGCAGCGAAATACCCACTGCTGTAATCGGACAGACTGTTGTTTTCCGAAGCCCCTGTTCCGAGGAAGCCCGACACTGCATCAAAATCGACGGAGAGTAGCACTTGAATGCGGCGCCTTTTGGTTGCGATAGGCGGAGGAACATCCACTGTCAAGGGGATTCCTTGTACACCGGTGGTCTCTTTCCCCAAAAGCTCATCCGCCCTCCAAATTACGCGCCCTTCCATGCCACCATCTACGGAAAGACATTGTCCAGTAATGTGGCCAGCTGCACGATGGCTGGCCAGGAAGGCCATTGTGCGCGCGACATCTTGAGGCTGCGCAATCTTTCGCAGGGGAACTGTGGCCTGGGCCTCGTGCCACATTTCGTTGGGGTCATCCAGCCGACCGGCAATCAGAGGAGTATCAACCCACCCAGGTGCGACTGCATTGATGCGAGCTTTGGAGTTGATTTTGACAATCTCATTCTTGACGCCGCGCACAAGACCGTACTGAAGACCAGCCTTGCCAGAGGCATATTCGGTATGTCCAGCTTGGCCAAACTTGCCGGTTTCGGATCCAGTGACGACAATAGCAAGATTCTCAAGCTCAGTACTGCCTGCTGCTGTCTGGGCCTCCAATGCGCTGCGCAAGAAGTGTTTGATGGTTAGGAATGTGCCCCGGATATTAGTGTTGTAGGTCTTTTCCCAGATATCCAGCGGAATTTCCCAGATATTGTAGTCAGAGGATTCGTCGGTGATTCCAGCATTGGCAATTAGAATATTGATGGGCCCGAAATGCTCCACAGCAGACTTGAGGCACGATGCGATTGATGTCTCAGACGAGATGTCTCCAGTCACAGAGTAGAAGTTTGGGTGTTCAGGAGAGGGTGCAGGGACGTGACGAAGGTCATGCCCTGTAACCTTGCATCCTTGCCCTAGAGACAATTTATCAGCACTGGTTCGTGACGGCGTTGGCAGGACAATGAAAATATAAGCCTTCGTACCTAGAAATTCTTTAACTGCTTCCTGGCCAATACCACCCGCTGCCCCGGTAATGAACACATGATATCCTTCAATTCCGAGGAACGCCATTTGGTATTCGGGTTGCGGGCTAAATACTTGGTGAGGGGGGTGTTTGGCAGAATGAGAGCGATGTCGCAACAAACTCCGAGTGGTGCGGGGCTTGGTGTGCCGCCTTTTTTGGTGACCCGGTGGATAGTCTCGGTCGACCCAAATCCCAAAATGTTCATCCACTATTGGTTCCAGACTGTGACCAAATTAGAGTAAAGGGGTGACTGAGCTTCTCGACTCTTCTTATATTTGTAATATAGACAAAAAGGGGTTCATTAGGCAGAGGCTGCCTTCGTATGTCAAGTGCAAGGTCTTATAACCATCACTCCTCAGCATGGATGCTCCGTAATCCCCCTTTCCAGATCTCGAAAGCTACCTCATTGCTCATTCCGCGTATAGCGTGTTCCCGTTTCTGAGTTTTGCCTTGGGTGGACTCTTTCGGACCGACTTTCCAAGGAGCAAAGACGAGCTTCATGGTTCGTCGTGTGATATACTCCGGTAGAGGGGATCCCATAGACTTTGGCGAGGGACCTTCTTTCTTGGGTTGATCTGAGGTCTGGTTCTCCTCGTTCGTCATTTTATATTCCGCTTCAGCTTCCGCCGTATGGGCTTCTCGGGCTGATGATATAACCGTTCTGGGCTGCGGCAGTTCTGCCGCCTCGCTGTTGTCTTGGAAATCGCCTTGTTCTTTGGAAACGGAAGTAGAAGCAGGGTAGGCACCACCACCCTCCCAAGACACGGCTACTGGGCGTCTTTCCTCCTTCTTCAGCGCAATGCGACAGGCAATCTGTGTTGACCAGAAGTATCCAAGCGCCGGGGTCTTAAGGTTTTTTTCAAAGTGAGAGCCATCTCCCCAGCCAGTGAAGAATCGTTCCTGGTGTGACAAACTCAATATGCTATTCCGAGCCGGGTTCTCAATTATATATGAGCCGTCAAACTTCTCATCTTCAGGGGCAGGATGAGGAGATGACGGAACAGCCGGAGATGAGGAGGGAACGTGGCTATATTGAGACTGCTGGTCTGTGTTGTCCGATCTGTTCCTCGACAATGGTGATGCAGCACCGGCCTCGCGCACCACAGCGCTTTGGCTCAGCACAGATGGAAAGCCTAACCGCTGAGCGGGATCAGCACCAATACCCTCCACGGGTTCAAACCTGTCTGAGACTTGGTTCGCCAATACAATGGCAATGTCTTCCTTTGCGGCAAGATTGCGCAACAGTTGTCCGAGCTTTGCAAGCTCGCTGGATCGCGTAGATATGGCGAGTATGTTGTTTGAGGAGTGTTCCGCACGATAGTTGGATGTGATAGAGTCAATGATGACCAGGCCAATATTGTAGTTCGCTATAGCAACCGGGAGCTGATAGTTGAGGACATGATCTTGAGTCTCCAAGTCCATCATGACGGGCATGGATATGACGTTCTCGAGGGACGGGGCCTTGTCGGCGGGCAGGCTAGATAGATACGGATGGCATTCGAGCAGCTGGGAGAGGCGATTCGTTGCGAGCGGATGTTCAGTCGAAATGTACAAAGCGCATTGCTGTAGACCGTTTCGTTCGGCCAATTGAGCTGCGAGAAGGAGGCTGAGGAGGAATTGGGTCTTGCCGCTACCACTGGAGTCATGAACCAATGAAGAGTCAGAGCCGTCCCTTCAATACTCAGATCATTATTTCTGATACGTACCTCTCTCCTGTTACCTCCGTCACATACCCCGTCGGTATTCCACCTCCCAGGAGCGCATCCATTGCGGGGTCCAGGGTGCTGATCATATTCCATCGCGACCCCTGGAGCTTCGTGGCGGGTCCGGGTTTGACGGCTATCGTGTCCAAATTAATGCTCGAGCTAGGCTCATCCTCCGAAAATGTGCCTATGTCTGTCCGGTTCTTCTCGAAGCCGAGGTCGGCGTGCAACGCCTCGATAATCTGGGCGGAGAGCCGCCGGACGTCTGCGGGGGGCACATGGGCGCGTTTCGCGACTTCGAGCGTGTCCAAAGTGATGAGGTCGACTGTGGTGATTTTGCTTCGCTCGAGCGGGGGAAGAATATGCGCATATGATCTCGTCGCGAAATCAGGAAGTACAGCTAGAAGATCCATAAGAATGAGAGGCAGCGGGCAAGTTGCGAGCTGCTGGCGTCGCGATTATTCAAGCTTCCAGCCCGCGGGGCCAATCACAGCAGACCTCCACATCAGCAAAGAATCAGCAAAGAAACTCCGGTCCAGGCACCTTGATTTAGAGCATGCATGCTCTTGGTCCTGGAATTCCAGTGGAAAATCCAACGATAAAATGCCATTGCTAGTAAAAAGTAGATATGCTGCTTATTGTAAATTCTTATGAAGGTGAATGGCTGAAACGTTTAGGGTTGTTTGTATATCTAGGTCGAGCCCTTCAGTCACGGCACAGCAGTAAACGGGTTCAAATGCGTTGTCCGGAACTCAAAACACATCGAAAAAACAGAATTTCATGGGTAATGGGTAAACAGCCAAAACTTGGCCTTTTTGTTTCTTTTTTTTAGCCTTTCATTTTCAGCAATCCCGATGGATCAGGAATGAGGCCTTACGCCATGAGGTGCGACCCATCAATATAGACACCCCTCCACCAATATCTGTCATCTACACGCGGCAAGTTGCCTGGAAATATACCAAAGTAGGTATTGCATAAAATAATGGGAGATAGTACCTTGGGCTTCTGATGGGTACCAGCCTCTAGACTTGCTTAGGCTTGCTCGTTTATCTGGATCTTGGAAGTATCTAAAAAGCAGGACCTTAGCAGCACGTTATACCAGAAATTGTTAGCGTCTCCAAGAAGAACATTCACGATTAAAGTGCCAAATACAGTGCATTTGAATTTGAATATTCGAGTATCGTCAGGACCTCAATTTGGTAGGAGTCGTGGGCTAGGTTTCGTTGTCTAAATTCACGAAGAAGTAGTTGGATGATGATGATACTCTACTGAACTGATGCAGCCTAACTAGGCAGAGGACGGGACAACTGCTGTTCACGTTCAGCAGTGTGTACATACATGTCGTAAAGCAAGGGATAAGGGTAATTAAACTAGTAAAGAAAGACCGATAACGTCTTGTTTAAAACCGATTCCAGTTCTTGAACAGGGGCCTATAGTTTGCCCCTCAAACGCTTCTTGTTTCAAATGCATCGCACAGTCAAAATAATATCACTATGGTCCATCACGACCTCATATTCCCTGCTTGTGAACGCTACCGAAGCCGGGGTATACGAGCCCCCGGCGCGAAGTAGATGGTCGTATTCGCTAATTTAGGCTGTGATGTCGGGGTAATAGCGAGAGCAGCCAACTCGGCCGAAGTTCGGATTAAATACAATCTACTGTATAATGCGATTGCAAGTCATCGCCGTATTTCAGGTAATAATTTTGTCTCAGCGGGCGAATCAGCCAGCGAAGAATTCTATCGGGATTGCACCAACTTTCTCCACTCCCCGGGGGGATCGAGGGTCACGACCCGTGTTATCCCGCCGCCATTGAACGTAAAGGCTGGCTTGGCTCGGCACTACAAGCGTAAATGGATAAGGTTGGGCACGCGGTCCGCGACCATCCTGGAAAGGAAGGTCAGTAGGGTAGACCATCCAGACTTCTTGAGGTGACAGAAAACAGGTTATCAAAAGGAACAGCAAAAGGCTCTCGGGACTAAGGAAACATGGATGTGCTCTGTTAGTTGTCCGTCGTTATCACGATTTCTATCACGACGCTTGGTATATGTATCGCCAGCCCCCGTGCAGCCCGCAGTGACAGCATTGGGGCCGATCGCAAGCAGTTGTTGAGTGTGGATCTGGCGATCATTGTTTCGTACACAAGGCTTTGTCAGCACAACACCGTAGTTACCTTACAGTAGTTAACGTTACTCCGTACGGAGTACTCCGTATTGTACCCAAGGATTAGGTTTGTATGCACATGGCGACGATCGGCCGGCCGGCATTACTTAGTTCGTCCAATGGTGCACCTAGAATGGGCAGGTGGGTAACTGGGTCGCTCCGATCTGAACAATTACATCTAAGGTGGTCTGCAACGGTGGAGGGGGGCGCGCATGGCAGGCATTGGCCATTTGGGGTCCTCTACTACGGGCTCCTGGACTTTGCAGCTCGCATGTCGGCGGAGGAGAGGGGGAGAAGGGTGGGGATCGCTGGAGACGTACAGTAACTTGCGCTGCAGACCTTTCCTGTCTCTGTCCCTGTCAAACAAGGAGTCACCTGGTCGATCCGGTCTCCATCATCCATCGTCCATCGTTCATGGAGCATCCGGTTTCATCTCTTCTGTGGTGTGCCTAGAGGGCGGATTTCACGGGCGTCGTTGGGGGACGATGGCCAGGCTGATTTCCCGGTTCCAACGGTATCAAGCTACGTACCTGTTTCTCGGGGGTACCTGAGGACTCGAGGATAGACATGGATAGACAAGGGAGGAAATGGAAAACAAAAGTACATCGCATCAAGGACATTCAGGAAACCGTTTGCAAGTTGCATCATATATGAAAGGCCTATTGGTTGCAGCGCAAGCGCGGGCCCCGTGCAGGCGTGGCAGATACCGAGACTATTGAGCTGTGCTCGGGGCGACCGTACAGGGAGACTCGCATTTGGAGCAGGCAAGTGTCTGCCCCCTGCTCACAGATGTGTTGCGCACAGCCCGTTGGGAAATTGAAAATGAGTACTCCGTAGACGGCAACCGTTGAACCTGCGTACCGTTGAACTTTACCATGGTGTGGCCGCTGCATGGCTCCCTGGACCCATTCTTACTTCCAGCATCCTCAAACCCCCTCGAAATTCCGAACTCCCCGTGAAAGACGCGTGTGCTCACATGACTGCTAAGTCCTGTGGTCCCACGACGGCACAAAATGGACTAGCTCGAGCAGTCGTGGCCGACGCGCGGGTTCGGAGCCGACGCAGATCTTACACTTCGCTTAATTGTCGTAGTGGCGGACATGTTCAGGGATTGATAGGACGGTTGGAGTTGTTCAGTCGCCACACACTGCACATGTCTCAGGATTTTAAATGTCGGAGGTTTGAGCAGCCGATATGAGCCGTGTGGCCCCTAATCCTTCAATCCTTCTGGACGATCTGGTGTGAAGCTGAGCTTGTCTTAACTCGCAAGAATCCCCACTGGGGGCGGTCGATCACTGAATATCTATGGACCCCTGGAGAGTACTCCGGAGAATAATGCCACTTCCATTGATTCGAAAGGCTAGCAGTATGGATGGATGTGCGGCTCCGGATGTGATCACTATTGTGATATCTAGCATGCCCCTCGCCCGTGGAGAATGGCGTCAGGCGATAGTTATCGACTTGAGAGGATTCCCAGTATCGCTACACCGAAAGGGATCGCTAGTCCTCGAGCCATGGTGCAGATGATCACTAACGCTAAGAATGATTTCACATAAGTACACGGCCGCGCGGGAGGAAGGCTAGGGTTATCGAGGGGCTTGCATCCGGTCGAGCCAAGTCCCTTCGGCCCGACTATAAATTGCCATTCGATTTCACGGGGCGTCCGAGACGTTCTCCGGAGACAGAATCACGGGTGTCGCTGGACGGATGTCGGTGCAACGATCAAAGGGGTGATGACGGGGCTCCAGTTGAGGTTGAGATCGACCACCAGGCCCCTAAAACAGATGGTGGAGCGCCCTAGTTTCCCCCGTTCCTCCGGTTTCCCCGGGGCCATCGAGATTTCAGTGGGTGAGAAAGAATCCCTCCGCGGTTTGGAACCCTGCCCCCTCCTCTATTTCGGGGAAACAACGTCGTTGCATCTGCAGAGCAAAACAAGGAAATCGATGGAGTCGACTCCACTCCATCGTAGGCGACTCCGTCGGCTAGGCCGTTAGATGTCGCGGAAGCTGGCGGGAGATGCATGCTGTGTATGGTACTGTACGACCGGGATGTGCAGAACTAAATCTGCAGGTCGCAGTCGCTTTTTTTCCCCATTTTTGCCTAGTCTTTGGTTCTCTGTATCGCCCTCACTCTCGAACGGTCTGCATACCGTGAAATACCCTGGCCCGAACTGGCGTGGCATCAGTGCGGTGCGGACCGTCTTTGAAGTGGGGGGAGCGCGATCCCGTTTTCCCCATACTGACTGGACTGGACGGAGGTCCGTACAGAGGACTTTTGCACATACTGTACTGTACATCTTGTACAGTGGGAGTGCAAAAGTTTGAAACTATTTTCTACTCACCGCCTACTGCCCACCGCCTATACCGTGTCCTTCCAACACTCGACATATTATTAATGCTAGCTGATTTACCGGCTATGATGGCTCTCCGGGCAGGCCCGGCAATTACTGAGGCCGATAGGTGGTATAAATACAAAACATATACGTTGTTGCGGTTTAATTTCAGCTATTTCAGTAGATTTTTATCCGGCAGAAAAAGCTTGGCACTAAGGGAATAGTTTCAAACTTTTGCACTCCCACTGTACGAGGGCCACCCCTTGATTGCCATTGTTTTGCCAGTTTGGAGCCCGTTTTGCTTTTGCGAGGAAAACATTCTAGTGGGGAATTCAGTTGGTACGGGGAAGAGGTTCTCGACACCTCATATGTCGACCAGCCCTCCTGTGCACGCATCCGGGGCTTCAGCAAATCACAGCTGCGAGTCATACGGAGCTGTCGCCAGCGCCAATGAGCGAGGGCCACTGGCGATGATCAGGGAAGAAAGGGGAGGTGCAGATCAGACTTTGCGCAGGAGAGACCCGCGCCAGTCGGGCCAGATTGGACGGGCAACTGGCAACAGGGCAGACTCTTGCCGGAAACTGTCTAGCCCAATGCAGCCATTAATGGCGTTCTCCTGCGGCCAAGACGCGCCCATGAGCTCTCGCGTCATTCAAGGGCAATGCCCTCGGACTCCTCTGTCAAAGGGGAGCAGAACGGACCAGTGCTTCCTTGTCTACACCGGGTCGATGCTGTGTAGTTGGCTTCGAACGGGTAGAGCCATTGTCATGGTTATGGGAGCCGTGTGCTGGATGCCTTGCTCTGCTGCTTGCCGCTCTACTGTAGATACTAGTCCGCCGTGCGCATTTGGGCCTGTGTGACGGACCGGAATTCCGTCTTGATCGGAGTTGGGTAATCTGAAACGTGAAATCCAAAATACCACCAGTATTCACGCCTACGCAGGCGAGTATACCATACGTACTATGAAGTGGACTACTGCCTGCACCACGTCAGCAGGGAAGAATGAGCCACCATTGCATTGAATGGCCCCGCTCCGGGCCAGAATATACAAAATGATGGCATCGGTTGCCTGGCCAGGTAAGTTAGAACATCGACATCCAGGGTAGATGGCTCTCGAGGTTGGACGTTGAAAATAAAGAAAAGGGGGATCACTCCGGTCCGCTGGACTGGGATTTGTGGCAGCCTAGCAGCGTCAACAGGCGCGGAACGTGGAGTCGGCAGCTGCGATTGCGAGGAGTGCTCGCGTAGCACGGTGAGCAATCGGAGTGATACGCACGGGCTGTGATCGCAGGTTGCCGAGTCCACCGGCCAACAAGAAAACGGGACGACCAGCCTAGCAGCAAGCCGCAAAGGCAGGAAAAAGAAAAGAAATCGCAAGTCACAAGTAGGTGGGATGGGCCCATGATGGAAGCGACGGGATCCGCCAGGATCTACGGCCCAAGGACCCAAAACCCACAGGCTGGGAACCGACCACACTACCCTTTCGGCCATGATGGGGCGGTGGTGGGCGAAAGACTAGGCATTAAACATCACGGAGTCAACTCATTCAATCCCTCAATTATGGCTGAAGCCATAAGTTACCCCTAGAAATGAGAATACGGTATTCCGCCATATATACGCAATACGCCCCCTCCAATCCCTCTCCATCACCCGGTACTTTTGGTCGGCCATGCACGAAGGAGCCCTAAGAGACGGGGCTAGCACCGGACTAGTCAACATCAAGGAAGCTTGCCTGAGACCGCAGATCACGCCCAGTCGACAGCCCCAGAATAGTAGAATGTAGAGACGCTGGTCGGCGGGAGATGCGATATCGAGGAATGGGAGATAAGCAGTACCTTGGATATACATCATCGGATCTCCCAGAGAATGTAAACCATGGAACCTCAGAACCGATCGGACCCTCTATAGGGTAGAAAAAAGCAGCAGGCCTGGCAACAACCAAACAACCAACCATCCACGCGCAGGACAACTATCTCTCCCCGATTGACTTGTGGGGGCCCTTTGTACGTGGATGTGCACTCCCAAGATGGTGTATGGTGTGTATGTGTATGTACTCTGTATGTATGCATACTGCGTACAAAGGTACCGGGTACTTCTCGCATACCGGCCCCTTCATAGTGCAGCCAAGTACTGTGGTGTACCACACCATCGCATCGCCATACCGTAACTCGTAATTCGACGACTCGTCCAGCGAGTCACGGCTGAGCCTGTTGCGTTAGTGTCACCTCCCCCTCTCGCTTTACCCTTCCCTTCCCTCGCACTTTCCCCTTCCCATCCGCCATATCGCCTTCGGTCCCACCCCTCTCATCGTCACCGGGGGTCATTGCTGGCGGTGCTGCCATCGCAGATTGCAAACCGAGTTCCCGTGTTTTCTCCCTCGGAGTTTCGTCGAGTTCGCATGTCCTAGCCATCCTGCCCCGATTTCCGTCGATTGACCGCCTGCGATTGTGATCCAGCAAGGGTTGAAGTCCCGACCGAGGCCACCAGGGGACAAAGAGAATTAGACGCCCAGGAGGGTGAGAGAGCCGACCGCGACTCGGGCCCGACTCGAAGACGATCGATTTCGTGTTTCATGAACCAACTAGAAGTCAGTCGATGTACGTCGCGCGCCCGAACCCTTCGACTGAATCGATCTGATCGACGGCCGCTGCCCAAAAGTGTCTTGTCGATTTGCTGATTTCGCTGCGACCGATAGAAAATCCCGGAGGACGATACATATCCTATAACATGAACAAAATGGCGACCCGACCAAGCAATATGCCGCCCCATAATGAGACGGAACACTCCGTCACCCGAATCACTCGCGAAGGCAAACGGCTCACATACAAATTGAGTGTAATGCAACAACCGGAGCGTGCCAGAGCCTGTGGTGCCGGCGCCAAGTGTAAGTACTCCCGAGTCTCCCCAGTCAGGCCTGGTCCCGGGGGCTTGTTTCTGATCATCATCCACAGCATCGGCCGACCGTCGCCCTGTTGATCCTCCGCCCGTGGTGGAATTGCGTATATTCGAGTCGGATCCTGCAAATGAAGCCCAAAAGACCGATATTACCTTCGCCTACAATGCCAATTTCTTCCTCTACGCAACACTAGATACTGCGCGCCCGGTTGCTCACGGGCGGGTGGCTGGACCGCCGTCATGCCCCGTCTTAACAGGTGTGCCAGTTGCTGGTGTAGCCTACCTCGACCGTCCATCCCAAGCGGGTTACTTCATCTTCCCTGATCTGTCAGTGCGCCATGAGGGTCGGTACCGTCTGAGTTTCCACCTATACGAAGAAATTAAGGATGCAAAGGACGCCGACAAAGACTCGCACCTGCCTCAACCCAACCAAGTAGCACGGTCGAACACAGCGAAGCCAGCGTCGCCGCAAACATTCCTTCACTTTCGTCTCGAGGTGAAGTCGGTTCCGTTCACCGTCTATAGTGCGAAGAAGTTCCCTGGTCTGGCCACCAGCACATCCCTAAGCCGTATCATTGCGGAGCAGGGATGCCGCGTTCGCATCCGCCGTGATGTTCGCATGAGGCGTCGCGGTGACAAGCGTGAGGAGGAATACGAATATGATGAAGGGAGTGCTGCGGTATATACCCGGTCCGAACGGTACTCGACACCAGATCGATACGTCGCACAGACGGTGGAACGCCCTCGGTCAAACAGCAACGGCAGTGCGATAGAGTCACCGTATGGATATGGACCAGAGATCCAACGGCGGCCATCAGGTCCCGAATATGGGTTCCAGTGCCCACCACAATCCTACCAGCGACCGATGCCACCCGCACCTATTTCTCACGCCCAGACCCCATCCTACCAGTCACATCTTTCCTTTGGCTCTACGCCGACCCATTACCCTGCTCCTCACATGCCCCCAACGCCGCCCCCAGTGGTCCCTCCGGGCATGTACTCTCCGCACACCACCTATGCAAACATCCGGCATTCATCGAATTCAACTGACTACGAAGCGTCGCCCGCCGGGTATCCCATGGCTCCTCACATGCCCGAACGGACCGGTTACCCGAAGAACAATATGACTTCATACCGCGTGGAGGCACCGAAAGTACAACAATATATGGTACCTGACCCCTCTCAATACCAGCCTATGCCGCAAGGCATGATGCCTCGCGCGCAGACGCCAACCTCCGTCCACCACTCTCACCCTATCCCCGCCGCCCAGACTATGTCTAGCGACTATATGAATGCGTCACCAAATATCGAGGTTGGCTCACCGAGCCCCGGGTACGACGCCGTTTCAGGGAAGCGGATGCTGTACCATACAGGGCCTATTGGCGGCAAACGCACTCACGAAGATTCGTTCGGTCTTGATGAGCGGTCGATGCAGAACGGCATGCGTCCAGACGTGGATCCCTACCCTACCGCACTGCGCGACTTCTCCGCCGAAAGTCGCGCAGCCTTAATGGCCGAGTTGGGCGCAGATATGGCATACAAGCGTGCGAATGGCAGAATGGTCATGAAAGTTCCTCCGAACTCGCAATAAAATTATACTTCCAAGAACGGGGACTTCCTTACACAGGGAGGAGCCACCGCCTGGATCGTTTCGTCCCCGAGCTTGCTCTGAGTGCTGCTGGACCGGACCAGAAGGAGTTTTCCTGGGCTGGTTCACCCTTTCCGGGCATATCACCCTGTCGCATTTCCTTTTTCTGTACATGAATTCCTTTCCCCCTCCCTGGTCCTTCCTTGCCTTGTGCCTAGATATCTCGATGCATTGTTTCCTCTCGTCCGTTTATTCAGGACGCTTTTTCCTTGCTGTGCCCATGTCCCATTTTCTGCGTGGAACTTCGGATGGTCCATGCCGGCTGGGGTTCTACGGTGCTTATTCCCCCCGACCTGATGATCTCTCTCGCCTTGTCTCGACACGTTTGTTACAGGGCTTGCTTGCATTGATATCTTTTCTATCTACTTTCTTTTTGCCGGAGGAGTTTCCTAAGATTCAATCGGCTCGTCCAGAACAGTTCTCTGAGAGAGTTGTTCTGTGATCAACCCAGGGAGAAGGCTATTCCTCAGTCGGACCTAACGGGCAGGTCTCCCCGTGCGGCTTTCTCACCCTTGGATGTGCGTGTTTGGGTTGTTTTCCCATGGGCGGTTAAAAGGACGGCCGATGTCGGTTTTCTATCATCTCATTTTTGTTCAGCGATCGGCTTTCTCCCCCTACAATCCTGAGCTCCCCCTGCGGGGGAAGCGGTATTGGTACACTATGAAAGTGCATATGGGGGAGACGTTGCGATGTTGGATTACCTTGCTTCTCTTATTCTCCACTACAGCGATATCCCCCGCTTTCCGAGCGCCTTTGCTTAATCTTTGTCATCTTTTTTATCTGTCCGGCGTTGTGGCATCTGTTTGATACCTAACCTAGCATTGTTTGCCCGAAATCGATCACTTTCACCACCTTCACCCCATCTCTTTCAGACAGTAATGAACTACATCCATGAACTGGAGCACAGTATTTAAGAAGTCTGTCCGGTAGAGTCTCTTCACTATATATCACATTCTCTATTCTCCATTCCCCGGGGAGGGGTTGTGCACATGTTTCCGTCTGAGACACGCGGAATCCTGGCTCAGTCCCGATCGATCTGCCCCCGCAAGGTCGCAGTCCATGAAATCCCCTTGTGTCTGGGGGTGCCTACATTGTCCCACCTAGGAGAACAAAGGAGCATAATATGTCAATAGTGGATGGAGTGTGCTTCGTCGATCTCGAGGGACATTCTGTAGCCCAGGTGCCGCTTTGTGTCCCTGCTTCAAGTCGACGGTACCTGGGGCCTGGTGGACGTCGTGTGGAGTAGTGCGTACCCGCTACCAAACCGACCAAAACAAACTTCCCCCTGGGACAGCGTGGAGTATGTGACAACACACCCGGCCTCCACGGCGTTTTCTGGACTTTTAATATCTCTGTCACGCCCCCATGCTGCCCTGAATCTTTGCCTGAGGATATTTCGGCTTGTCATACTACTCTGTGACCTATCTTGCACCTCTATTTCTATGCTACACCCGCTTGTCGGGCCAGCGCAGGACTGAACCTTCCCGCCACAAGGACGCCGTGAGCAAGCAGGGATAATGAAGGACGCGCCCGGCGCAAAGGTGAGTGGCGCCCTTGCACTACATCATGCCCATACAATCGTTTCTTCCAGGGCTTGCCTTAAAAAGCAAAGAAAAGGGGGGGGAGGATTCTGACTCGTTCGCCGCCGCTATTAGGGACCCTCCGGCCCGGTTGAAATGGAAGTCGACCCGAGCCCCGCGCAACAACGCACTTCGCGAAAACATTTGCGCAGCAGCGACGAAGATGGCAATTCAGATTGGAGTTCGGATGTCTCCGGTCGTTTCGACGACGCTGCCGAGGAGCCCGAGCTGCAGGATTACAAGTCGCCTTCCGCAAAGTCGGTGAAACGGCGCCGCTCGAATGATTGGCCTCTCCCCGAGGAAGCCGCGGACTATGGTCACCACGATCGCCGCACCGTTCGCAACGGACATACCACTGCCGCTCTTGGACCGGGATACAAGGTCTCGCCGCGGGCATCGCCTCGTACTTCAGCCGCGTCGCTGCGTGGCCGGTTGGGGGGCGTACCGACCAATAGTCCTCGCACTCGGCTGGGTCGGCGGTCGCGTTTCGTCGAGGCAACTATGTCTGATAGTGTTAGCGAGAAGCCTCCTAGCATTTTCATGCACGACGGGAAACCGGCTGGTCCGCGGCATCGACAATCTGGGATCTTCCGATTTGGAAAGGCAATCGCCTCGGCCTTCAATCCGTTCGGGGGTTGGGGCAAGAGCTCCCCGGAGAATGTCAATCCACAACCTCCAACGGATGCCCTTAGCCAAGCGGAGCAGGCTTATGCTGAGCTGAAGAAGGCTGGTTACAAGGGTACGAACAAAAGCGCTCACATGCAAAGCCACAACGCAAGCCACGGTGTTGTGGACCCGGCCAATGCCGACCGGACATGGCAAGCAATCCAAGAGAAGATGGACTATGGCTCTACCATGGGTGGTGCTGCTGTTCAAACAGGAGATCGGGTGGACATTCATACACCTTCGCGATCTACATCCAAATCCTCTAAGCGCTCCTCGTTTCAAGACTTACGGTCGCTGGGACTCCCGTTCATGCGGCAACATGATCCACCGTCTTCAACATCAATCTACCAAGAGCGAACGTCAGAAGAGTCCAATGAGAATACCGGGCTTCGGAAGCAAAAGTCTCGAAAGGAGCTTTCACGCCAGACTAAACTGCTCAAAAAAGTCAGCAATCTCGAGGACAAGCTGGAACGCGCTCGGCGAGAACTTCGCCAGCTGTCCGGCAGCGCAGAGCCACTGCCCGCACCTACACCGGACCCAAAGTCCAGGAGCATGGACATGGATCCTGGCAGCTATCCTCGCAAATTTGTCCCTGGAGCTCTCCCCACCCTTCCATCGGAACGTCTCCTGGACCAACAAGCCATGATGGCCGAATCTCCCGAGTCCTACGCGGCCGAACTAACTGCTTTCCCGTCCTTGGAGGGCCGAGGAAGCGCCTCGCTCGAGGATTCACAGTCGGCCCAGAGCACAACTGGGGTGCGGTCACCGAGCAGGCGGCCCCGAGAGTCGCGGCCGTCGTCCACGAGTAAGGAAAGCCCTTCCCGCAAAAGGAAGTCCCCCGTTCCTGAACCTATCGCTAGTCGGCCCCCGATATATGGCCAGCCCAATCCGACGCGCCGCATCGACACCGACATCGACATCAACATCGACAACGACCGCGACGACGACCGCCCGCCCAAGCACGATAATGACCTGATCGACTTCGGCCTCCTCAGCCCGCCACGCCAGGCGAAGTGGCAGAAGTTCGAAGCCGGCGACAGCCCGGGCTCCATCGAGCGCAAGCGCAACGTGGACCTATTCGCGCAAGAAGCACCAGGTTCGATGCACAAAAGGTCCCCATCTGCCCAGCCCCGATCATCTCCGGCCGCCACTCGCTCACCAAAATCCAAGGCCGTACGATCCCCGCCCCCACTGCGTATGAAACGCGGTCACTCGCACTTGCGCTCCGTGTCGCCCGCCTTTGCCGCTGCCGCGCCTGAATCATATGCCACCGCGACCCCCGACGTGTTCTCGTCGTCTCCCGCGCCCAATGAAATACACCATGCGTTCTACCTGCAGCAGCACTGTCAACTCGATCCCGATCGCAGCCCGAGCTCTTCGCCGTCAAAATCCAGCCCGAGTCGGAAGCGGCGGTGGCAGGATAGAGATATTCCGCCTGTGCCGCCCCTGCCGAAGGAGCTTCTTCTAGATGCCGCCAAGGTGAACGAGTCCCCAAGGAAGAAGTCGAGCACTGCAAAAAATCGTGCTGCAGCGCTTGAGGCACAGACGTCTTCTGTGCAGAACCAGCAAACCTCTGGCGCAGAAAAGTATTCCTGGCCTGATGATATCTTTTGAGATGGCTTATGCGGAGTTGGTACGGAGCGAGATGGTTGATTTGAGCGGTTTAAATTGCTAGCTGTGTTGGGTTTGCTCGTCGCCGGCAGGCGTACGCGATGTAACGATGTTATGACTTATACCCTGGCGCTTGGATTGGATTGTCAACTGTGTGCTACGCCGTTTATCGGATCAATAAATGATTTCTTGCTTCCACGTCAATTTCTCTTCTGCATGTACAGGTCTAAGGCTGGTGGAACCCTCCAGCTTTAGCCCCGGTGGAGCTCGTATCATTGTATGCCTGGCCGAGACTCGCAAGAAAGACGGTCACTGTCTATAGACGGAATGGCGGGAGCCAGGTTGGTAACACATGGGCGAGGATTGGCAGTACCGCCCCGAGTGATAATATGATTCCCAGATCAAGATACAGGCAGATGAGACTATTGGAGAGGGCAGCGAACAACCCGCCGCAAAATGTAACGCCATATCTAGTTTAGATTTGAAATTGTGCGAATGATAGTCTCGTCAACTCAGATAGACGAGTGACTTACAGCACAACTACCATGCTCGTGCCTATTCCACAGCTGCGTATCATGTAGGGGATGAGTGAGCCCAGTCTGCAATTATTGACTACAGCCACGAAGAACGAGGCTCCGGCGCGGAGGCTTTTGGGATACAGCCATTTTATCTGAGGTGTAGTGTAGCAGAGAAGCTCCGATCGCTGCCAATCGGCAAATATCTATATTGAATCATTATAGCAAGATTGTTACTGAACATCGCCAATGAGCCCTGCATCATGGACTAGAATGGTCTATGAATGGAATCCCGTCTTTGAGGAGGCTTGCAGTTGGCTGTTGAGAAGCTACCGTGCCCTTGCAACCAGTAGTTCTGGGCAAAAGGCGAGGGGTAATATGATGGGGTCTTCAATCAAGTGCGCAATGTCCTCTGCATATCAAAGATGGATTCAATTGGTCTTAGCTTCTTATATTTTGGGAGAGAATCAAACCTGCGAGTTGATAATGTGGGCCCCGAAGAACAAAATGAACGAAACTACAAAGTTGGCAATGAGGCCCCCTTCCCCTTTCTATGGCCTCTATAATGGACGGTAAATGGCATGGCTGATCAATTCTGATACCTAATTTACTGCTCGGATAGCCTGGGAAGGCAGCCATCTTTCGTATTTGGTATGGTGCGTGCGTTGGCGGGTCCCTTCTTTCAGCCTCACCTCCTCGCCCCTCGAAACTTCCCTTTGATCGGATGAATGCATATCCTCAAGAGGCTGTCACTATACCAACTTTAAAAACAAAATAAGAAAGGACCCTCTTGCTTCTTTTCTTCCCTTTCCTCTGCTAGACCACAATGCAGTTGCTAGACTTTCCGACCGAGCTGCTGGAAGCCATCGCCCACCACCTTCAATCACAGGCAGATATCAATTCCCTGCTACAAACAAATCGACGCCTATACTGTATCTTGAATCCCCATCTCTACACCTTCAATGCTCGGTCTTGCAATGCTCGTTTCTCGAGCTCGGCCTTGTCATGGGCTGCTGAGCACCACCAACTACGAACTGCGAAACACTCCCTTCGGCATGGTATGACCGCACTGCTTGACTGGGATCGCGACCCTTTACATATCGCCACTTCCAACGGAGATGAGGACATGGTCATGTTGCTACTCCAACATGATGCTGGAGTCGACTGCAGGAAACTCAGGCAGACTCCACTATATGTAGCGGCCACGAGGAACCATGAAGGAGTTGCCAGGTTGTTATTGCAGAATGGGGCGGATATAGAATCAAACAATTTCGAGGGGAACCTGTACCGGTACAACACCCCGCTGCACATCGCTTCTTACTTTGGGCACGTCGCGATGATGAAACTTCTGCTCGAGAGAGGGGCTAATATCGAGGCGGAAAATTCGAACGGGAACACGCCGTTGATCCAGGCTTTGCGTGGATCACAACCGACAGCCTTTCAGCTTTTGGTTGATAGCCATGCGAGACTGACTAGGGCTGGAGAGTCCCATTCGATCTTGCACGAGGCAGCCTTGGAAGGTAATGTGGGAATCGTCAGGGTTCTCCTTGACAGGGGGCTTGACCCGAACTCGCGAGACCGGACGGGTCGTACGCCCCTCGTCAGTGCGGCATTGCAAAGCTGTTATGGAGTTGTGAAGCTTCTTGTGGAAAGAAAGGTGGACCTTGAGATGAAAGATCATCAAGGCTTGACCGCGCTCAGCACATGTGCCTTCTTTGGCCTCATAATTCCCTTGGAAATCCTTCTTGACTGCGGTGCGGACCCAAACACATCCGATGTGCATGGAGATACCCCGCTGCATAAGGCCGTCACACACGATCAAGATATTATCACCAGGGCATTGGTTGAAAATGGGGCCAACCTGGAGGCTAAAAACGGTAGTGGCGAAACGCCACTCTTCCACGCGGTGCGGGAACAGACCGAAGCGAATGTTCGGTTCTTACTTCAGCAGGGTGCTGATCGTACTACCAAAAGTGATGATGGGACCACTTTGCTCTATCTTGCTGCTCAGTTTAATAACAAAGTTATACTGGGATTGTTGCAATAGATACGTGTATGGACCTAGCTGCTGTGGTTCTCAGAAGAAACCAGACTATAGCATCGTACACGAAATAAATTTGCCCGTTGTCTCGTTCCACAAGGGAATCAAGAACAGAACTTTCCAGTTAGCCGCTCGCGGGTCACTCCATTCTCTTATTGACTGATGCAGGTCTGAGTATCACGCTTGTCTACAATATTTTCATGTACGAAGATATTATGGGGAGAAGATGACGAATGTATTAACGTATTCATTAACAAGACTAAGGTGGGAAAATAAGCTGATCAACTCAAGCATTGGTCTTTGGTGAACCTCTCTCGAATATGACCCATCCTCGTATCTCCACCGGTCAGTACAGAGAACCCCCTATTGTATATCTGCAGCTATAGACGGAACAGATGCTAAGGTCTGCCTATATATTCTCTACTCCAGTTCTGCTCTCGGCGCTACGCGAACTCGCTTGTCCGCATTAGTCTCCGCCTCATCAGCCGTCGCGATGATCGCTGGTGGCTTGGGAATGTTCTGTCGGAAAATGTGTCGCTTGATAAAGTAGGGCAGCCACACCTTCAGCTCGTGGCCAATGAATTTACTGGTTGGGACTGAGAAGACCTCTGTCGGAGATGTCAGCGGACGGGCATGTAACGCACTCGCGATTTTCACTTACGATCCAGCTCTTCTAGGGTGAGCTGTTTGGTCTCTCTGACAAAGCAGAATATCATGAACCAAGCGACAAGATTAAGTCCAGCATAGAAGCCAACTATATGTCGGGTCAGCAGGTCATCCCGTGGCAGCATTGAGCAGGATTCTCTTACAGGCACCAGTTGGAGTCATCACCGTCTGCATTCGAGGGAAAGTCAAACTAAGAATGCCGGCTGCACAAACGCGCTGTCAGCAAGATCGGCTTCGGTAGCTTGACAAGTGATTAGCTTACCAAATGTGTTGTTGATGCACACAGCCCAGGCCATCCCTTGCTCACGCTGAATAGTGGGGAACACCTCCGCAGAGTATTGAAATGCCACTGGTCCTTCACCCAGAGAGTAACAGATGGTGAATAGATAGACAAACCTATTCGACGAATTCAAATGGTTAACACTTGGAGCTGCAAACACCATTTAAAGACTTACAAGACAACTGGTCCGATTTTTTCGCCCCGACTCCTGCCATCATTTGGGTCACCCAAAAGCGAGAGACCGGCAGCCAATAGGAAGATACACATAAGAGGGAACGTCTTCATGGGAAAAGAGGTCAGCAGGAGTTTTGCATATCACGAAATACAACTTACAATCAGAGTCAGGGTCCTTCTGCCCTTTGTGTCGATAAGGAACAACGTAGGAATGGTCGACACAACTTGAATAGCACCGTAGCCAAGAGAAGCGTATAAGGCCTGGACGGGGGTGTAGCCCACATTTTCGAAGATAGTTGAACTATAGAAAGAGATGACTGCGAGGTGTCAGGTATGACCTTTGGCTTCGAAAGGATAGGTTGCTTACTATTAATACCGCACATTTGCTGGGCAATCATGACGGTCGAAGCACCATAGTTGGCTCGCCTGATCCTAGGCACGGTGAACAAGTCCCGCATGCGGGAGAAGTATCCGGCGCCTCGGGCTTCCTTCAGTTCCTCCTCATAGATGACCCATGAATAGTAAAAGTCTCTTGCACCAATAATAGGATGAGCTCGAAGACGACACATCGATCGGAAGCCTTTCGCGTGCTTGCCATGCTTCATGAGCCAGCGAGGGGACTCTGGACAAAAGAAGATTCCAATCATGAGTATGAATGATGGAATGAATGCTGAGCCGAGCTGAAGGCGCCAAGATAGAGCACCAGTGTCTTTGACAATGACGTTGGCGCAGAATCCCAAGAAGATACCTGCGACAACCCAAAGTTGCCAGAACATAACGAGGGCACCACGAATACGGTGCGGGGCCATCTCAGCTGAGTAGATAGGCACTGTCGCATTCTTTGCGCCAATACCAATTCCCATCACGAATCGTGCAGCGAAGAGTTCTTGCCATGTTCTTGCGAAGCCGGAGCCAATTGGGGTGGCAGTAAGGCAGGCAGCAGTGAGGAAAATTTCACCTCTTCGGCCCAAGTAGTGGTTAAGTGGATCGACAATAAAAGCGCCACTATTTGCACGGTCAATTCCGCGGATCAGAGCCGGGAGCATTAGTTGATGTCAGGTTACTCACATCAAGCCAGCGGTTAAGAAGATAATAGCATTGACGACACCCACGATCCATTCGTCCTTTCCCGTCCCATTAATGCCCAGCGCCTCGGGGAAAGACAGATTGGCTCCATTCGATCCCGTCTGGTCCCATCCTTGCGTGGCGGCTCCAACAGCGCACAGCGCGATTGAGTACCACAGCATCCACGGGCCGTGCCATTTATGATCTCTTTCGTATGCAAGCGCGGCCCGCTCGTCCTCCTTAAGCTCGGGTATATCCTCGAATCCTTTTGGATCCCGAGCGACCAGGGCAGCCCGACCAAACAGGTCTGCGTGCTCGGACATGCCGTGCATTTCGGCAAACCCCCGGGCATCTTCAATGATTTGCGCCTTAGGGAATCGCTGCGGGAATCAAATTGGTCAGTATTACCAGAGGGATGTGGCGCCGAATCGGCTGATTGCGAAGCTGACCTTCAGGGGGTTCACGACGATGTTGAGAGCGCGAGTCTGATGAGAGCCCGAGACCGCCTCAGCTTTCGTTGGTGCCTGGACCTGAGGCACGAACTCATCGTGAGCAAGGGGATCCTTGGTTGGAAATTCCTTTTCGTTCATGGTGGCTCGAAGTGCAATCTTGCAGCTTGGGAAGTAGCACACGCGATGAGCCTTCTTTGAATCTTCGTCCACTATGATTTCGGACGAAAACCTGCGTGGGGAGCATAGGCTACCCCACTGAATTTAATGCTCGGCCTAACTAACAACCCCCCCATGGGGTAGGGCGTACGTAGATAGGACGGGCCCAAGCGAAAGTCACGCTGGAGCCATTGGAGCACCCTTGGCGGCTTTGCCCAGAATCCTGGACGGCCTAAACGCGAGTCAGCATTAGGAAATCTTGGAGGAGGATCACCGCGCTACCCGGTCAACCAGGTCAGCCTCGTCAGCCACCGGGCGCCCCATCCTTGTATAGTTACGCCATTTTAGGGCTTAAGTGGGCTAGGTCCAGAGAGCAAAAGCAAAGTGACCGTGCCACAAGAAATGGTTCTCCAGAGTCTCACCGCTCAATAGCTCATATAATCTGTCAATATTGATCTCAGTTTGCCCAGGGAATAACGTGGGTGGATCGGCGTGTGGGTTGTTGAAATGGCCGTGCGGTGTAGGATTGGCTCTCGGCGGCTCCACCGAAAGCGCTCATAGCGTATGCGGGGGAAACGGATCGAAGGATAAGTCGAGGCAAAAGCCGAGAGAGCCAAGCGGTTGAGTCACAGTTATTGGCGAGCAGACTGGTTGAGCTTTTGCCCAGTGGGCCTTTTCTGCTGCTAAGCTGACCCGTCCCATCCTGTGACTGCCAGTCAGCAGGCAATCTCGGGGACAGTCGAACAATCCTGCCTTGGTGTTCCCGGTCGTGCCTCTGTTGGCTAAAAGAGTTCAGGGCGCGCCTTGGTGCTCGTAAGAACAGAGATCTGCTGCATTGACCATAAGTGACTGGTGTACATTCGTCATGTTTTCGGTGTATAGTTGATTGCCGGGCTCTGGAGACGGGCGTTTCAGGTGGCTTGGTGGCTGAACTTAGGTTACATTCGGAATTAAGAATATAGTCAGCTATATAAACAGGATAATGTCTGCCGGGCCTATCTGGGCTGCCGCTTTTACGCACTTCGGCTCAGGCTCACCGAGTAGATTTCAGCATGGGCCGTCAGAGATCAGATCAGTGTGGTCATGTGACGACTGATGCTCAGTAATTGTTCTGTGATTGTTCTGTGCATGTCTACAATGCTTTCTCGTCGACTGCTTACTTAATGATGTGTAATCCCGATGGTCGGTCAGACCAATCGATCAAGTGGGAAGATCCGGCTGAAGCAAAAGGTCCATCAATACTTCCAGTACTCAGAAGTCTTGATCACCCGGTTTAAATTCTATAGTGATGCTCCTACTATCATACGTGTGTAGAACTAAGTATATCGATCTGAAGAAGGGACAGAGGGGGTTTATTTCTTGGAGACTCGGCCTATTACTATATTTTATCTATACCTTATAGATAAACAACATACCTGCTCCATCTTAAACACGCGGGCGCTGTAGGCTGCTAGCTATAGAATATACAGCTCTTCATATCTCCCGGACTAATATAATAGGGCTAAAGGGGCGGGGATCGAGACGGCCTTCTGTAGGTTTCGTGTCAGATAATGGCTGGCTACTTTGCTACAGTCTCTATCGCGGGCAAAAGAACGGCCCGCTGAGCCCAGATCGCGGCCAGTCTCCTGACGAGCGACATCCTCATAGTTGGTATTTCGTCTTTCGAGTGTTAACACTGCAGCAAAGCCCGTGGTTACCCCAGTGGTATACTACACTTTCTATTATCCCGGACTCGGCAGGTAGGAGGACCACAACTTAGGAACACGCCGGCAGTGGTGGCAAGGCTCAGCGGCGATACTCCCAAACAGTCGCGACTGTAGCGTCATCAGCCTCGACTGGCCCTGTACAAAGCTTCACAGTCCTGGCAACCTATCTAAGGATAGTCTTTTGTACACAAACTAAAATGCCGACAGCTGGCCACGCTGAATCTCTTGCTTGTTAAGGGTGGTCCACTGCCCTAACAGGTCTTCTAGATTGCCTGGCAGCGAGAGACCTTCAACAAACGGGTCAAATTCGGTCCACAGGTTGTCAGGCGAGATGTCCTTGGTATGGACCTTTTCGAGCGGAGCGACACCTTCGCTCACCGGATTAGGTCCTTCAGAAAAGCTTTCACGCCGAGGCTTCAAGATACCCTTGGGGGATGCTGTAGCATTAGGATCTCCCTGAGCAGGTAGATCGACCATGGCAGATTGACCGTCAATGAATGGTGAATTTCGGTCTTCCAGCAGCCTGTTTGAGACAGGTGACTGGTCACTTCTGGAGCTATCGGTGCTGCTGTGTCGGCGGCGCCCCCTTCCTTCCGCTTGATATGCGCCTGTTCTGGCTTCCACTCCTGAACAGCAGCCTTCTCGATCTCCAGTTCCTGTTTCGGTTTCTCCTCCTCCAGAACCGCGTTCTGCCCTTCTTTTGTAATAATCTGCGCCTCATCAAATTTCTTCAGTCGCCAATCGAATTCCGTTTGCGTTCGCCGGAACGAGCGTTCAGATCGCCGCTCCGGGCGCAGACGTTCACTCATCTCATCCTCATACCACTCCTCTTCCTTACGCTGCGAGCGGGACGCACAAGATGGGGGTAGGAGCACGACTTCGCGCGGCGGGGAGCTCTTCTCACGGATCTTCTCGAGCTCACGCTCCAGTCGCTCGATCTCCAGCTGGCTCTTCCAGATCTCCATATCTTTCCGGTAGTCACTCCTCTCGAGCATGCGCTGGTCCGTGGCAATCTCTGGGTCACGAGGGGAGGGGGATGATTCGTGAGAGAGACTACTGGCAACACTCCATTGTAACAAGCGCACTACTTCCTCATCCGAGTCATCGTACACCTTCCGCGGCACCCGTGGTGGCTTGCTGCCGTTGCCGGTGCGCTGCCCCTGCTCGTTGACTATAAACCTCGCTGGCCTTGTTCGCTCGAAGGAACGCCGTCTGCCCATTGGAGGCGAGTGGGACATGCGTGAGGGTGGCTGCACCGACATCAGGGAGGTCTCTTTGGTTTCTGGGTGTTGGCGAGAGACGGAGCGACGATGGATAGGGGTGCGGTCTTTCCGGCCACGGATGGACAAGTCGGTCTCGGAGAAGTCCGATTCGTCTGGGTCAAGATAGTGGTCCACAGGCATTTTTGTAGATTGTGATGAGTGGTATAAGCCTGCAAGGGACGGAGAACGACTGGTGACGTTGGGCTGGAGAACGCTCACAGGTTTTGACTCGCTATCAACGTCAGTGAAATTCACGCTAAGAGAAAAGATAGGACGCGTACGTACGCAAAAAGCGAGTGATCAATGTGAATCGAGGGTCCATGTTCGATTTGGAATCGCGTGATTTCTCCGGAGTGGATATTTAAAACACCGTTCTTGATTCGGGAGTGTCTGTTCTTCTCAAGCTTGCTTTTGCACAATTCGATCTCATCAAGCATGCTCTGCATAAGGACATTGTATTCCTTCAGCTCAGGGGATGTATTGCCTTCTGTAGCTCTATGGGCTCCAATCTGACCTTCACTGCTGTTCGCGTGGTCCATTGAATCCCGTAAAGATTGATTCTTTAAGAGCGGCTGGGGGGTTTTTGAATTGTACTTCTCATCAGAAGTCTCATCAGTGCTAGCGTGGGATGACCTGCTGCGTGTCGTCTCTGTCGAGAGACCTCGAGAAAATTCCACGCCCGTATCAGACTGCCGTGTTTTTGGGGTTTCAGTTTGACTTTCTAACAGATTTTGCAGCAAGTCACGCTGCTCTTGGACTAGGGTTGGAATATGGTTGCTGATGAAATATAAATAAGGAATCATAAAATGGAGGAACAGACATGCGTACCTTCGAATCTGACCCGCATACAAAATCACATTAAGTAGAAGTAGCATCGTCGACTTTAGCCTTTCTAAGGTGATCTTGAGCTGATCCAGGCTCGGTTCAAGCAGTACTATCCGAAACTTTCCAGTGACTTGCTGAAAGCGACCCTTCCCAGGCTGGTCGTTATGATCAACCACTCTCTGGATCTGTCCAAGTACGTCCCGACACTGATTTAGGACAAGGCCTAGAGTGCGAAATGCCTCATCTGAACAGAGTTTAGACGACTCCTCCGCCTTCAGGTTGTCGCCTAGTTCACGCAAAATGGCACTGACGAGCGCGATCTCGTTGGACAAGAGCTGGATAGAGTCGTTGGCATTCTTGACCCGTCGGTAGAAGGAGAAGAGTTTGACGGATAATTTAGTGCCTAGGTCTGCGACTTGTATGATACTGGCGGCGACACCGAGGGCCTCCAGGCCAGACATGATGGCAAGATCACAGCAGGGCGATAATAATGCGAGCTCGAAATGGACAGGTTTTTAAGGGACTGAGGAGTTGAGGCCTTCACCGCACTAGGCGGGGTTGGCGCTTTGACATGTAGATCCCCGCAAGTTGCTGCGGATATCCTTACAGTGGCGGCCGTTATCATCTTCCATATCGGAAACATAGTGACGCTCTTTCTAACCCTAATCACCTATATGTTTACTCCGTATTTGAAGATCTGTTCCGATGTTGAATTATATAATACAAACTGAGTAAAAACCCGAGGACGTTGTACTGTAAATACTGTACTATATGTTCATGAATTGTTACATGTCTAATACTATGGCCTTGGAATTCGCACACTCCCACTGGTCCGTGCTAAACCTACTTTGGTAAAAGTTAATGCCTTGATGCCCCTTTTATTTCCTTGAGAAGTTCTACCATATATACAGCTGAATATTAAACATGCGCTATCGATAGTAGAAACGCGTATCGTACCATTAGTTATTTTAGTACGGAGTAATAATACCAGCGTGTAAACAGAGTAGGGTACAAATATTCGCTAGTCAAATTATAAGAAATCGACGAAGCTAAAAATAACGACAGCTAGATACGCGTCAGGGACGCCAAATGACATGAGCATGCTCCAGGGGAGAGGCATCCTAGTAGCTAAAAAGCTTATCATGAGCATGCTCTAGGGGAGAGGCAACCTAGTCGCTAAAAAGCTTATCATGACCCGGAATAGACCCACTTAAAGACACCTGTCCATAGAGCGTCTGGTTGAGGGGCAAATGAGTGTCGACCAGCCGCTTAGATGCGTTGTCGTCTGTGTGGCGTTGTTTCAGATAGTTAATTAAGGGGGGGGGAAAGGGCGTTATCATTTATAATGGGTGATGTTCCCATAAAGGTCACCCAGGATTCCCCCTTTGCGATTGTCGCTCCGTACCTTTTTTTGGTTGATCATTTAATTATTTTCTTGTCGCTAGACCTCGCCATGTACGGTTCTCACATACCACAAGGCTCGCCTCAGGGACATGGAGGGGCCCCTCTCCCCCCGGGATGGACAGCGCAGTACGTGGCCGAGGAGCAGCGTTATATCTTCATTAACCAGCGCACCGGGGAGCGTAGCTGGACACATCCTAGTCCTCCTTCGAATTATGGCGGGCCTGCTCCTCGGGGTTATCCCCCCAGCAGTGCTGGCCCCGGAGGTGCGCCGCAGAACCACAACATGCTTTACGGTGGTGTAGGGCTGGCGGCTGGTCTGGCCGGCGGTGCCTTTATGATGCACGAACATGACAAGCGTAAGTGGTTTCGTTGGTTTCTAATAGTTCTTCACTTCGCCGCTCACCTACGCTCATAGACAAGGAACACGATATGGAGAGACGATATGCCGCCGAAGCCCAGATCAAACAGCATCAGTATGACGACCAGGTCCGCAGACTAGAGTACGAGAATCAGAACCTCCGCCAACAGGAGGCACGGGAGCAGGAGGTCGCGCGTGACTATCGGGAGGAAGCTCGGTTGGAGGACCAGCGTCGCTTTGAAGATGCACGGCGATTCCAGGAAGAGGAGCGGTTCGAAGAACGGCGGGAGTGGGACAACGAGCGTCGCTTTGAAGATGAACGGCGATTCCAGGAAGAAGAGCGGTTCGAAGAACGGCGGGAGTGGAACGACGAGCGTCGTTTTGAGCAGGAGCGGTTTGAGGAACCAATCATCCAGGAAGTGGTAGTCGAAAGAGTGGAGAAAGATTATGTCTATGATGACCGCTGGTGAGAAGGTCTCTAACCCTGGAACCTACCTCTCTTAGTAACTAGATCAGTTGATGACCCTTGCGGATACCGTCATATCCACAGTATTGGCCTCCAGAGCACAGTAGATCTCTAAATCGGTCTCTCTAAATCATGTATATTATAAATGTTTCTGCATGGACAAATGCGCTGGATTGATATGTCGCCGAATACCATGTCGTAAACTGAGGTTCTACTCCCTTTACTTAGTTTTGTTGGTGGTGGGTTGCGGCCAGCTGGTTGGTGGACTCCGGGGCTACTGGGGCCATGAGCGATGCTCAAAGATCATATGACAACTAATTGGATACCTAGGTAGGTTTAGCCTATAATCAGATGATCGCACAGTCTCAGACAGGTTTTCGTAGGTACATTCGATTATATAGTAGACTTCCCTTAAAAATGAATTAAGCATCAAGGGATCAAGTATTGCCGAAATAGGTTTAGTGTGGACGAGGGTGGGAGTGCGAGTTCCAAGAGCCTAAAACTAAACCACATCCACCATGACTTACAGTGGTGTAACATTAATATTTGACCTCGAGTACTTCGGCCCATGGACCCACTATTTTAGTATTGCCCGGCAGAAACCTCTGATATTCAATCATCCTAATAGCTGGTGTGCCATCCTTCATATTTAATAACGTCAGCTACCCTGTGAGGCATGGTATCAGATAGATACTTAAAGATATCAATATCTAGGCCTTCCTATGCTTCCTGGGCAGCTTGCAGTAGTAGATCTAGTGTTGATTCGTTGTTTGGAAGATGCATAAGCTGGGGGTAGCGCTTTAATATTTCAGCTTTTAGTAACGCCTATAGATTCTTAATTGGATTTAAATTAGGCGAATAAGGTGGCCATTCTATGATATCACAATCTAGCTCACTTAGTGTCTCTCGTATAATATAAGTAGTGTGTACGGGCGCGTTATCTTGCTAGAAAATAGCCTTATCATCGAGACTATTTAGCAATGTAGGGAGGACACGACGATAAAGCTCTTCGATCGTTCGAGATGAGATACTACCACGACGAGAGTAAGGATCTCCGAATAGCGGAATGAGGCCAGAACGACGCGGTAATCCGGAAAAAGCAGCCCAAAATATCTGTTTAATCTACTTCCTACGCGCCGGGACTATCTAGACTTGATGGCCCTCCTTGTGATGGTAAAAAAGTTGATCTTTTGGACGCGTAAAGCTCTATTCTTGACGCTGGCCGATACTACGTTTAACTGTACATTCGTCGGACTAATAAACACGAGCCTAATCCGTAGCGGTAAAGTGTTAATATCTGTCGAAATATGTGGAGTGGTAACTTACCACTAAGAACGGGCTTATTCATCAAGCGCCCAGGTTTCTTATGTTTTTGTATGTAATACTAGCTTACAGAGAAACTCAGGCTTTGTAACAGCCGAGTATCGGCCGCACGGACAGAAATACGTCCGTACAGCCAGGGGATAGCTATTCAACAGGTAATCCCCCTGATCTTCTATCATCATCAATCTGATCAATTATCTCTCGTCCTATTGGACATCTTTCATACTAGCCTATACAGAATCAGCCCATTCTGTCAATATCTTTAGGCCTAGTTAAGGCGTTTTTCGGCGTATAAGGGCGTTAACGAGGGTTGTTACATCTTCCGCCACTTTCGAAGGCCCATCTCGTGTGTTAACCGCCAAATTGATATACGGTAGACCTTGAAATCAACCTTAGCGAGGAGATCTTCGATTAATATTGATGGTTGTTCTTGTATAGTCTCGTAGATGTGGTCACGATCGTCTTCGGTAAGCTTTTTCGGAGCTCCCGGGCGTGGTAAAGACTGTTGCTTTTGACGCTTCGCTTCTTGGGTAAGAGTGTATTGAATAGTTAAGCGTGGAATATTAGGAAATCGCATCGCTTTGATCTTCGTTGTACCCTAGTGGTTAGTGGTATGTAATTCGCATATCTTAGCGCGCGTTAGGCAGTCAAGCTCTGGGCCTCTTTTCCTGCGTGTAGGAGGCATGGTTTGATGGTAAACTAAATTGAAACGAAGTGATATTAATGCGTTGGATTGATATAGAACGCGTTGAATTATTGGGTGCCAAGATGCGCGCGCTGCTTGGTTACTAATAGAGTAGGCGGTCTGAAAGAGCGGTCAGGCTAAAAGTGGGCCTTAATGTACTCGAGGTCAAATATTAATGTTACACCACTGTATATCTTTCATACTATGTAGTATCATAGTCTCGTATTATTAACTGGTATGTACAAAACAAGTAATTTAATGCAACCATGTTAAGTTTAGCGTATCATGTGATTAGGGTTCGAAAACAAGGTTCTGTAGTACTCCGTTCGCTATATTCAGCCGCGTTCACCATTCTACATATGGCCAGTGACTGGCTGAGTATCCTATCATGAATAAGAAAATAGTTTTGAGGAAGTTAGTCCTGGTGCCATATCATGCAGATAATTTAGCAAGTCTCAACATGCCGGTGTTGCAGGGGGATGGGTGTCAGAGAATGGGAAATCAGTGGGCATAGAGGGGCACGGAGACCGCGTGTGTATTTGAGTTTGTGGCAAGCTACAGTATTATACGTCACATAGTTGTTCTAGAGATACAAGGGATGTAGTTATAGTTATTCTTAGAAAGCGATTATTGACAGCTGAGCCAAATATGGATTAGGGTGGTTTCGAGTACGTGCTGACAAACAGCGCGAAGTGTTCTTCAGGGAATCTGATTTCGACTTCCACTGTACACGAAGCATACACAGAAGCCATCAATGATTGGCCTACGGGACCGCCACAAAAGGGTCAAATTTGCTCGAGACGGAATAGTGTATAGCTAGCCAGTGCTGGCGTCTAGATGTCCCATGGATGGAGCTATGGAGCTTCCAAAGATGGAAGCTTCGTCCTAATTGATATTAGGTGATAAGTGCCGCAAACCTACCTTGTATCCTACACCTTATTTCTTCCCACTTAACCACCGCCTAGCAACTTCAACTATGAGAACTCTAAGTACTCGTGTCACATTTTATCCTAGGACGGAGCGACCTAGAGCGAACACAACCAAAGTCCAACTCACCACTTCCCCGAGCTGCTCTCCACAACTTCTTCTCTCCTTTAAAAGATCCATCGCTTATGTTTCGTGAGAAAAATCAACCTCACCACATTGATGATGCCCGCGAGAATGGCTTCTGGCCCTCTCCACCCCTTTCTCCCGATTCATCTCCCCCTCCTGGTATGTGAACGTTGATCTTTAAATGAAAGCCCACAGCACAGTAGAAAGAGTGGGAATGATCACTGACTACTAAATAAATAGATGATCATCAGTGAGGCCGTCGCGGCTCCCATCCCTCGCCCCGGCGTTGACGGGCGATATAATATCGATCTTGATGAAATGATTGAGATTTACCGAGCCTCTGCTAATCTTGAGGAATGTTCGTGGTAGTCTACAGTTTGTGGCAACCAGAGATAGCTCCTACGCTCTTTGGCCCGGTCTCCTTATCGTTCAACATTATCTGGGGTTACATTGTACTGCGAGTAGTCGTGGGCCAGTTGATAATGCTCTGGTGCGAGTGCCAGTCCCTGCGGCAGGCCGAGGTGAGGAGGAGGATGTGGAACTGAACCCATATCTTCATCGAGAGTAGAAGGTGTGGGTCAATGTCAGATAAGCGTCGCTATTTCAGAATGTCTGAAATATTCACTTCTTCAGCCCAAAGGGAAGCATAACAGATAATCACTCTCTGCTATCTCGCCGAGGCTCAAGTCCTGAGCATTTCCAGGCCTCCCGAGAACTACGGGCTTGCTAGACAGATGATGCGATAAACTACTAATTAGTAATCATGTAGTTTACTGCCTTGACGCAGAGATACTCTGGACTCCAGTACAACATACACGCTCCTCGGTTGGCATCCGATACATGCTATGCTCTCAAAAACAACCCGTGGGATTTGGATAACAGTATGTGGAGATCGATCATTGACTTGTACCTTCCTTACGGAGCTCCTCATGAATCATACGGCCATTACAGATCGATTCCCAATTATTGACAAGAATATCGAGTATATCGACGAGAATGACGAGAACGCGTTTGTTATCCCAGAGACTGGCTCCATCATTGGCACCAAGCCCGTGAACTTCTCTGCGCCTTTTGGTGCTGCACTTTCGGCCGTTGATTTCCATCTTCTGTCTCAGAGTGCTAAGCGAGTGTCGGCCCGAAGCCACGCACTCATTCTGGATACCTGATGGTTCGGGAGGCGAGAGGACAACCGGCCGGCCGTGCAAGGCATTTCCGCTTCTACGCCGTTCACTGCCGATTTGTGGCAAGGGTTCCCTTAGGTGGTCGAGATTGAGATACCTGGGCAACAGGATTTGTTAGTGCTCACGCCATGTATAGTCCAGACACTGATAAGATGGAACGCATTGCGCTGGTGAATTTGAAGGAATGGCACCCCGCCTGGAGCAGTGATAGGGGAAACGCTACGATTACTCTCGATGTTGGTGATGGAATGAGAACTGCAAATGTGCGGCGGTTACATGCACAAATGTGTGCGGCAGCAATGGGGCTTGAACTCGGCGATGCTGATGGCAATATCAGCCGGGCTGGGGAAGCAGTAGACCTATAATGTTGACCGAGGCCTGGGACATTTATCTCGGCAAAGCCAGAGGTGCTGTTTGACGTGGACGAGCAGGGAGGTAGGGACGACAATCTGCATAGCGCAGATCTACAGAAGCACATCGGCTCATAGACCAAAGTGGTCCTCTTTTTCCTTTTTGTTTGATTGAGGAAGTTGCCTCAGGAGATATGGTTATGGTACATTTGCATTTGCATAAAAGCGGCCTGATCTCCAAACCGATGGCCGACCGTGGCCTCGAAATCCATGCGCCTGTGTCCTCCGAGTGGCTAATGTGTGCATCATGTCACTTGCTTTGAAAGACAGCCATCACACGAACAGTGTGAAATACCCGCCCAAAATATAGGGATATCAGGAACGACGCTGTAGAGGGGGTATGCTTGAAAAAGAGAATAAAAATAATAGAAAGAAATCAAAACGTGAACGTGAAACACCCCATTGCCGGTCGCGGAAAAAATGACTGTCGTATTGCCGTCCCAGAATGCCCAGTTCCATGTTTCATTCCCATTGCGCCGAAGAGACGAGAAAGATTCAAGCATAATCGTTCGTTTCATTCATAGGTCTGGACACCCAACGAGATGAAGAAAAAAAAAAAGAAAGAAAAAGAAAAACATAGCAATCATTCAGAGGTGCGAGATGGTAAATGGCTTGATTTAAACCTGCGAGGGCACACCGGTAGACTGCGAAGGAGCACGACCACCGCGCGGACCGCCACGGCCACGGCCACCGTAGCCACGACTGTACCCGCGACCGCGACCTCCATAGCCACGACCACGACCATAGCCGCGTCCACGGCCACGGTATCCATCGACGCTACCCTGGCCAAAGGTTTCGATGTTGCGCTTCTCTTCTTCACCGCGCCATTCGCGGCCGCCAACACGGTTGGCCACATTCTCCTCACGGTCACGAGCTTCGCTGGAGATGTTGTCGAAGAAAGAGGTGGTACGATTATAAAGGTTGTGTGTAGATGTCGCCGCAGCGCCGTTGGCATCGGTCTCAGGCTGGCTGGCAACGTCATGAATCTCCGCCTCGATGGCAGGAGATCCGGTGGCAATGGCCTCCTTGATCAGGTCCTGCTTGTTGAACTTGGCGTTCGCAGTTGCAAAATCATAGTCCGACTCAGGAACGTCGATCTTCTTGTGCTGCGTGCGAATACCGCCCCGACCGCCGCGAGGGTGTTGTTGGTGGGGCTGTTGGTGGCCGCCACGAGGAGCACGGGGGGCACCATAAGGCTGCATATCGTTCATTTTGCGGGTAATAGTGTCAACCGAAGCATCTTGGCCGGGCTTCTTCTGCACACCAGGCTGAGGCAGCTTGGCCATAGCCTGGGCAACGGCCTGGGTAGCTGCGGCAGTGGCATCCACGGGAGCGGGGCCATGAGCAGGAGCGACAGGTCGCGGGGCAGCAATCGGAATAGCCGGCATGACACGGCCGTTCCTCTGAGCAGCAGCAGCGGGTCCCGAGGAACCCTGTATCGCCTCGGCTACAGAGGGTTTAGACTCAACGGGTGGAGTGGGTGCATTATGAGCGGCGGGAGTGGCATTGCGGCTAGAGGGTTTGTTGTCTCCACCAGGGAGCTCGGAGGTGGTCTGAGGAGCAGGTGGTGCGGTCGGCCCCGGGCGCTGCTGAGGTGGTTGTCCAGGTACACCGAGGGGCATTTGAGGGGGGAATTGACCGGGTCCCGGAGGAAAACCATGGACAGGAGGAGGGAACCAGCCTGGGGGAGGAGCACCATAAGGCATGTTGCCGGGGAAGCCACCGGGGCCACCAGGACCACCAGGGCCCGGGGGGAAAGGAGGGGGAGGGCCACCAAAGCGTTGTCCGTAGGCCGGGTAGAAACCTTGCTGCTGAAACGGCTGTTGTGGGGGATATCCAGGAGGTGTCTGCTGAGCACCGTGGGGGGGCTGTGAAGATGTTTGAGAAGGAAGGCCTGGGGCAGATGGTCCAGCCTCAGGGCCAGACACAGGACCCGGTCGCGACATGTTCTAATTTACCTCCAAGTCAGTGAGCTGTCAAACAAGCTAAGAGACATAGCAGTAGTGCAGAGTAGGAGAAATTGATCAATCAGAAGGAAGGCAACGGAAAATATCGACACGGTTTTGCGCATTCCGAACAGGTCTGTGTTTACATCCGAAAATATTTCATCATATTGATCAATTGGCCGACCGCGATAAAGCGGACAGGCCGATGGGTGCAATGTGGAGGTGCAGCAGAAACATAAACCAAAGAGGAGACTTACACCGAGGATAGCGGGGTCATCCGGAACCCGAGGGGGCTCCGGCTGTGTGTTCTCCTTCGTTTCTTCGTCGGCGACGCTGATGTCCTTCACGTCGCTGCCACGGAAGACAATGTATTCGTAGACAGCCGGGGGGAGGAGCGACCTCCTCGGCCGGGTTCCCCCGGCGCCCCTCAGAGCCATATGATTTGACATTTTCAAGGGCTATTGTGGAAGCCTCGGGGTTGATTTCGTGGAGTGTGCCGACATAGCTAGAGGCAATTAGCAACGAGCTCATGGACGATATAGCATTGCAAACTCACCGAATGTCGCTCTTGGAGATCAGGTTGAAACGCTGACTGCCAGGTGTTAACTCCAACCCAGCCGCACAAACCCTGGTTCCGCCCGGGAGGTGCAGACGACTGACCCTATCAAATGGTTCATATCCATCTTGGCGGGCTGCGCGGAATCGCGCAATGTGTAAACGCGAGAAAAGAGAAGAAGGGGAGGGAGAGGAGAGGAGACGAAAGGAAAAGATGGCGGCGTGGAGGAAGGGGGGAGGTGCAGGAAGGTGGATAAAGATGAGAAGAGAAGAGAAGAAAGAAGAAGCAAAATCTGTGGTTTTGGTGGATTCGGGCTACGGCGGACTGCACGAGCTCGGTGAGCAGTTCACGTTGTGCGGACGGTGGGTCGCCTGGTGGTGGTTTTGTGAGAGATCCAACCTTCCCCTGATTCTTCGGAGAGTGAAGCGAACAAGAAAGAGAGAAAGGTCACTGCCTACGATGACGACCTCCTCAAACCGAGACCACTTTTTCCAGACCTCGTGAGGACAATTGTTATTCTGGCGTCGTTTTATATATCTCTTGGGTACTAATCTGTCATCCCGTCCTCTTTACAGTGCCTCCTTGGATGAGCAGGAGCGTAAAGATGCCAAGTCTCAGAATGACCATGGCAACCCCATCAAAGTACAGAGCAAGATCCTAGCAGTTTTGCCAGACCTATGGAATCAAGGATCGGTCTATGTTGCGCAGAGTAGTGGTGTGGTGAGGAGGGTTGTGCTGGCGGTAAGTGCTTCATCTTTGGCTCACAGAAATCTCCATTGCTCAAACTCTTTACAGACGGGCGAGACAGCAGCCATCTACAAGGGGCCTACAGCTCCGTTGACGAGCCTTTGTCTCAGCCCCGACGGTAAGCTGCTTTTTGCCGGCTGCTGGGATAAGGTCATCTGGAGCTGGGATGTGGCCTCCCGGCAACCTCGTCAGAAGTACGAGGGACACAGTGACTTCGTTAAGTCTGTGATCAGTGCCAGAATTCAAGGCCAGGACTTGCTGATCTCCGGAGGTGCTGATGCCCACGTGCTCGTCTTCAATATTGCCAGCGGCGAGCGCACAGAGACATTCAAAGGCCACCTCCGTGGCGTCTTGGACCTCTCCATTGACCCTGAGGTGGAGGAGTCTCGGGTTACCGTGTTCAGCGCAGGAAGTGACAGAGAAATCCGGCAGTTCATACTGGTTGGTGGAGGTGACGAGCCAGAGCCCCTTCTTCCCCATGAAACCAGTGTGAACAAGCTATACTTTGACTCAGATGGTGATATGTGGACTGCCTCATCTGACAAGACGGCAAAATGTCTGGTGCGAGCTGATGGTTGGAAGGCCAATCTCACCCTGGAGCACCCTGACTTTGTGCGAGACATTGTTGTCTATCAGGCTGGGGGCTGGGTGGTGACCGCCTGCCGCGACGAGGAGGTTCGGGTATGGAATCGAGCTGTAAGTGGTCCTGTCAAATCTCGGGAGTTGATCATGGTTGTGGTTATATGCTAACCATATCAGACTGGTCAACTACATCACACATTTTCGGGACATTTTGAGGAAGTCACTGGCCTGGCACTGGTTGGGTCAACCATTGTCAGCGTGAGCATTGATGGTACGATTCGCCAGTGGTCTCTTCGACCTGACGAGCTGCAGCAGGCCATCGACTTGGCCCAGAATGGTCCCAAGGAAGAGGAGCAGCCAAATGCTGAGCCCATGCTCACGGAAGAGGAGGAGCGGGAGTTGGCTGGGCTGATGGGTGATGATTAGACGCATTATGATACCCAGACCAATATGAGATGATTTACACGAGATATAATATTTTCCACTGGACTTATACTACATGGTGGCCGGTCGTAAATTAGGAACAAGTCCGTCCAGAACCCACACGTGATTAACGTGATGCATTGATGACGCACAGGGCCGATCTCCCGTGTTCCCTTCCTGGCTGCATTCACCCCCACTTCCGGCCCTTGCACACCCGACCAACCCCCGTGTGACCACCGTCTCGACTCGCCTGGTGCAATCATCTAGCCTCACAAACACCCCTGGTCGCTCGTGCGCGGGGTAGTATCTGATCTATCTGACCTCGGATCCTATTTTGCCGGATTTCGTTAGCACCTCCGACTTGGGCCGAGAGATAGCGCGGACGTTTGAATTCTCCTCACAGACTTCCAGAATCTCGCTCAGAAGGCGACACCCACCATGCAGTCGCATCATGATATACCTGATGCAGGCCCGAAGCTGGTCAACCGCCTGCAACAGAGCAGATCGCCTTATGTGAGATTCATACACCCGCCCCGCTCTGTCGAGGAGCCGCGCGACGCTAACGACATACTAGGTGCGGGCACACCTGAACAACCCCGTCGCATGGCAGCTGTGGGACGCAGAGGCTATCGAGCTGGCCCGGAAGTATAATCGGATGATCTTCCTTAGCATTGGTTACTCGGCCTGCCACTGTATGTGACCGTCGGTTTGATCTGCTCGGGGGGGGGAGGGGCCATCTGTGCTGTTCTTCTAACGCTTTGTAGGGTGCCATGTCATGGAAAAAGAGTCATTTATGTCTCCTGAGGTCGCTTCTATTCTCAACGAGTGCTTTATTCCTATCAAGGTCGACCGGGAGGAGCGTCCGGATATCGACGACATCTATATGAACTACGTCCAAGCGACTACCGGCTCCGGCGGCTGGCCCTTGAACGTCTTCCTCACACCAGAGTTAGAGCCCGTGTTTGGCGGAACATACTGGCCTGGCCCAAACTCGACAACATCACAGGGTCCAGGCACGACCGGTTTTGTGGAAATTCTGGAAAAATTGAGCGATGTCTGGCAGACACAGCAACAACGCTGTCTGGAAAGCGCCAAGGATATCACAAGACAGCTGAGAGAGTTTGCTGAAGAAGGCACACATTCCCAGCATACTGGCCGCGAGGATGATGAGGATTTGGATCTTGAACTTTTGGAAGAAGCTTATCAACATTTTGCGTCCCGATACGACTCCATCCACGGTGGTTTTGGTCGGGCCCCCAAGTTTCCTACTCCTTCTAACCTTAGCTTTTTGCTGCGACTTGGCGCATATTCGAAGCAGGTTAGGGATATCGTGGGGCAAGATGAATGCGAGAAAGCGACCGCTATGGCCGTCACGACACTGGTGGACATGGCCCGAGGCGGTATCCGGGACCATATTGGCCATGGATTCTCTCGATATAGTGTCACGACTGACTGGAGCTTGCCACATTTTGAAAAGATGTTGTATGACCAAGCACAGCTGTTGGATGTCTACGTGGATGCGTTCCGACTAACCCATGACCCTGAACTGCTGGGCGCTGTCTATGACCTGGCGGCCTACTTGACAACCACTCCCTTGCAATCGCCTACCGGAGGATTCTACTCCTCGGAGGATGCAGACAGCTATCCCAGTCCCAACGACACTGAAAAGCGAGAGGGTGCCTTTTATGTCTGGTCTCTCAAGGAGCTCACCCAAGTCCTTGGTCCGCGAGACGCTCCGGTGTGCGCCCGTCACTGGGGCGTGCTTCCGGACGGCAATGTTGCTGCCGAGTATGACCCGCACGATGAGTTCATGAACCAGAACGTTCTATCTGTCCGAGCCACCCCGAGCAAGCTTGCTAAGGAATTTGGGTTAAGCGAAGAAGAGGTGGTCAGGATAATCAAGGGTGGCAGGCAGAAGCTTCGTGACTACCGAGAAAGAACAAGGGGGCGGCCAGATCTAGACGATAAGATTATCGTTGCCTGGAATGGACTGGCGATCGGTGCTCTGGCCAAGTGCAGTGTCTTGTTTTCGGAAATTGAAAGCCCGAAGGCGATACAATGCCATGAGGCTGCTGCACGTGCTATCAGTTTCATCAAGGATAATCTCTTCGACAAAGCCACCGGGAAGTTATGGCGCATCTGGCGAGATGGCCATCGCGGTGACACTCCGGGCTTCGCTGATGACTATGCATACATGGCCAGCGGCCTGCTCGACATGTATGAGGCGACCTTTGATGACAGTTATCTGCAGTTTGCTGAGCGCCTTCAAAGTAAGACCACCCGTTCCATTTCTGACAATTAGTCAGAGACCGAATAACTAACTTGGTCCCCAGAATACCTGAATGAGTACTTCCTGGCCACTTCCGACGCGACCTCCTCTGGATACTATAACACCTCATCTGAGCAGACCCCTGGCATGCCCGGTCCCCTTTTCCGATTGAAGACGGGCACTGAATCAGCCACGCCGTCTGTGAACGCCGTGATTGCCCGCAACTTGCTGCGCCTGTCAGCCCTGCTCCAAGACGATAGCTACCGCACTCTGGCGCGACAGACCTGCAACTCTTTTGCGGTTGAGATATTACAGCACCCGTTCCTTTTCGTTGGACTGCTGGATGCCATCGTGGGTCTCCAAATCGGCACTCGGACTATAACGGGAGTTTTCTGTACCGCTGATGTGTACAACTCGTCCGCTGAACGCGGCGAGAGTCTCCTCGCCCGAAAGGACGAGCCGGTGGCTGCGCGTGACCTCATCGTGCAGCGAGTGCGGGAGGAGGCCGGTGCCGGCCTGTGCTCAACCCTCGCAGTCGCCTCGCTGGTGGATGTCCGCCCCTCACATCTCAAGGACTTTGTAGGAAACCAGTCCTTCTGGCTGAAGTCTCGAAACCCCTTATTCAGGGACTTAAAAGCAGGAAACCCAGCCAAGAACCATCTACTGGTGTGTGAGGCGGGGCGGTGTAGAATCGTGGATATCTAGTGCTATAATTTTTCCTTCTTTTCCTACTTTTCTTGGTCTTTGGCTGGTGTTCTTGGAGTTTTCTCAGCCGTACTTCATGTCATTTGTCCGACTGAATTGTGGCCCTGGACTCACTACGGATTGTGACTCTTGGGCCGACCGATCTCAACTCTCCTAGTCGTTGTAGAAGGGATAGAAATGCAACGAGCAAGGGTCTTTGCGTCCTGCGCCTGACATGACATCATCGCCATATCAAGCATCATCGCGCACCCTCACGCACAGCCTGCGCCTCACTATAGATCCGATCGACAAGCGAATGGTTTCCTATGATATCAGAACCTCTTGAGGGCCTTAACACCCATGATGTCGTCGTCTCTTTGTGTACATATCGAATCCAAACTTTGCCACTGCTATCGAGCCATTCAGCGGGCATACAGAGCCAAAGTATGTGACACTAGACCACGCAATCAACTCCGTAAAACACGTCATCGTGGGTGTGAGGTGGTCCTTGAAGGAGATATAAGACCGTTCGAAATGGCCGCAAGGAGTTATGAGAATCCACTAGCTCTTGTCTTCTCAAACTTATCTGATAAACCTAACAACTGAACGGTCGATCATCTATTGGAAGTCCAACATGAGTTCCGGAGAAGGCATCACCGACGAGGCGGCCCGCGCGGAGCACGACCTCATTAACCAAGCCGAAAGCGAAGAACAAAAGGTCAGCCTTGCTATCAAACAACTTGGACGAAAATAGTGCCCTGAACGGGTTTTACAGTTGCATGGAAACGAAGACAGCACTCGCAAGGACCCCTATACTTCAGCCAGCAGTGGAGACAGTGCCGCAGACAACATGGCCGAGGGTGGCCATCATGAGTCAAAGCTGGACAAGATCAAGGACAAGCTGCATATAAAGAAGTAAACATCCGTTATGTAATGTGGGTATTGAACACGAGAATGCGTCAAATTTCAATGCAGAGTAATGGTTTCTAAACCTTTCACTTCACCTCCAAATAGCGTTGCAATGTCACCTATTCGGAGTGCGTATGAGTCTGGTCAATTCTATCAATGACACAACACCCCCCAAGTGGCGTTCTCAGTCCAATAGCGTCTTCCTAGTGATTGGGGCCAGCTGCCCTTTCGTGGCACTCTCAGCGTGGTCTTGGAGACTTGGCGGGGACCCGTCCTCGGAGATTGGAAAATCTTGGAACATTCAAAGCGGGATGCAGGTATGAGCAATATTCCTGCTGCCTGGACAATATAAATGATTATTTGGAGCTCGGAGGTGTCGATTTTGACTGTACAGATTAAAATACCATATACCAAAGGGTAGATTGATTGTTGTGTTGTGGAGTCGCGGGAAGTACGGGCCAGTCAGTCATGGCCCCGTCTCATTAGAGTCCGACTGCTAACGCGATCTCTGTCCACCCCGAAATTACCAACCGTATTCCAATATTCCTATTGTCTTTAGTCCTGCGGCCCCAGAGGCATCGAGTCATTTACGGGTCCAAAACTTCAAACCCGACTCAAGAGGTTTTATAAAGACACACCGAGTGATCGCCAAGCGCTCAGGCCGGCCACCGAAGCTGCGAAGGGTAGCGCAGGAAGGATTTAAACTTTATCCAAGCGGTTTCCTGTTCTCAGTGACGCAAGTACCATGCCACTAGTTAGAAGAGGGTCCTCTTTCACACCTTGGGTTGAATGGAATCATACACCGTAGATTATACAGGACCCAAATGAAATCACCCCCGAGGGTCTCGACCCGTGGGCGTTTGGGCTGAAACACGAGTTGATGAAGCGGCGCTGCCGATTTAATCAATCCCAGATCACGGCCTGGCAGGATTGGGACTGAATGGACCAGATCCGAAGCCAAGTTTCTTAGCGGTGCCGCCGTTGCAGTGGGTAATCTCCCAACGACGTGTGGCGGCGCCGATTGGCGTTCCACTAGGCGTTCTGAAACTGGTTCCTGGCCAAGGGCCCGAGCTTTGGGTGGGGTGGACCAAAGGCCTGTTCCGTGTTGTTACCAATCTCGATCGGGATTTTTATGTACTCCCGTATGAGTATGGAGAAGCGCCTCGACGGGCGTGATTCCAGATCATGATTCCCAGCATTTGCTCCAGGGTCTTGCTGCTCAGCGAGATGGCTTCCCTCTCTATCTTCAGAGCTGGGGGTGGATCTCGATCCCTGCACGCGCGGCCACTAGTGCAAGCCCCTAAATGGAAGGACAGCGCTAGTGTCGCGCAAAGTATGATTGGGGATCCGCCCAGGGGCGAACATCACCGGGCGTCTGTCCTGCACCGATGGACTCTGGGCCAGGAAGGCCCGGAGAATAGTTGACATCCTGAACAATTTGCATTATGGCGTTCATAACCCAGCCTCTTACCGACCGGGGTGGGCCAATGGGGAAGGCTTCGAAGACGCGTTGGAATGTAGAATGTCCCACGCCCGCGAGTGGCGGGCAGCTATCTGGAATGTGTCGCGGATATCGAGAGGTTGGACAAGCGTTTGGTTCAGTAGCAGCAACAATAAAAAGCAAGATGGTAGGCGCTTCTCGCGTGAATAGAGAAGCCATTCATGAATCAAACCAGATTCACCAAGGGAACAGTCCTGGGCTCATCTCCGCTAATTAATTAAACCACTCTGCCTTGGGGAGAACGTGCCCCACTTGACCCTCCCCCTTCTACTTCACGACTCCCCCTTCATCTCCTCTCCTCCCTCTACACGCTGCTCATCTCTTATCTCCTGCCTTGTGGCCCTTTTCTTCTCTCCTTCGCTGGAAGAAAAAAAGCGTGCAGGCCTGTCATTCCTTTAACCAAGCGTACATACACACTCCTTCGTCACAAACACTGCAGTCGATCTGCAGTGGTTGACCTCCCAACGCTCTCTCTATCGAACTTCCTGGAGAAGTTCACCACCCATACGCCAATTCCAACCACTTCTTGGACCTGATCTGTGATCACCTGTCATATACAATGCGCTCGACTCTGCTCCTTGCTGCTCTCGCCGCTGGCTGCGTCAATGCCTTCGAGAGGCGCGTCTATGTGACCGACTGGACCACCGTCACCGTCACCAAGACGGTCACTGCCCCCGCCGTCACCGTGACCCTGGCCCAACAGGCTCAGGTCCAGCACACTGTGGCCACCACCACCCAGGCTCCCGTCGCCCCGGCAGAGACTGAGCAATCGGAACTGGCCAAGAAGTCGACCGTCATTGTCCCTGTGACATCCACCTCCGAGGCCCCTGCCCCGGCCTACACTGCCAACGCGGCCACCTCCTACTTCTCGACCGCCTGGACCTCCACTATTGAGGCTCCTTCCACTCTGGCCACCTCCACCGCCAGCGCCGCCTCCAGTGCATCCACCGAGGTCTCTACTACCGGTGCCACCAACGCGTACCAGTCCCTCGTTCTGTACAACCATAATGTCCACCGCAGCAACCACTCTGTCTCGTCCGTTGAGTGGTCCGCGGATCTGGAATCAAGCGCTCAGACTCTGGCCGCTCGTTGTGTCTACCAGCACGATACGTAAGTACAACCTATATACAATGGCGGCGCAATCTATCGGTTGGAACCAACCAAGGTTTAACGTTCTCCTCTTACAGCTCCATTGATGGCGGTGGCTACGGTCAGAACATCGGCTACGGTGTTGACGCTAGCGACGTTGGCGTCATGATCTCTAACCTCATGTACAACGACGAGATCAACTACTTCCCTACCCCCTACGGCGCTGCCGACCCCAGCATGGCCGACTTCGACAAGTGGGGCCACTTCTCCCAAATCGTCTGGAAGGGCACCACCCACGTCGGCTGCGCGACCGTGACCTGCAACAGCCTGGGCAACGTTGACTCCAGCTCCGCCCTGCCCTTCACCGTCTGCAACTACTCGCCCGCGGGTAACGTCGACGGCGAGTACGGCTCGAACGTCCTGGCTCCTGGAACCAAAGGCACCTACACTGCCTAAGCATGCTCCTTCCTCCTAGGAATCGTTCGACTGGAAGTCCTATCTTCGGGCTATCACTTGGGAAAGCCTGATGCATGTTACTTGTCTATGTCCAGCGATGCCTGCATTCGCTTCCTGACCCTGTGTTATTTTTTTCTTCCATATTGCTTCGCTTCTTCTTAGCGCTCTGCATGTTCCAGCCCGATCGGCACTCTCGCTTGACCGGGCATTTCTTCTGGGGGAGGGATTAGTCGTGGGTATCATCCTCCCAGGCGCGACTCGAGCTTTCTTCTCTTGATAGAAGACACGTTCTGTCTCCGGGATTGTATTGTATGTACGCAGAGGGTGCCTGTGCTTGTCTTGTCATTTTTGTTCTGTCTGCCCTGGGAGAAGGGGATGTGTGGGGTGCGACCCCGTTTCAATTGTGAATACTCATTTTCGACTTGATGTCTCCTAGCGATTCTCTGTCCGCCCTGTGGATAAAAAAACTAACATGGTCCTCAAATGTGATGTACTGCGATCTGAATGCGAGATGAAACCCTTACCTCCCTCACCGAGTCACGTGCGATCATGCACAGCCTGTAATTTCTCTCTCGATTTCGGGTTTGATGGAGCTCCCCGCGTCGAGTGGAGCCCTGCGAGAGTCCGTTCCCCCTGAGACGTCAAGGTGCACCAATCAGATCTCTACAACTTCCTGGAAGCTTGACGGTGTATGTTTGATGTTGGTCGGCTGCGGGGAAATCGCCGTCAAACCATTGGAGCTTCGGTTGCCGCTGTGATAAGCGCCCCCCCCCCCCTGGTTACTGACGAAATCGAAACCAAAATCAAGATCGGTGTCGAAATATGGATTCTGCTCTGCAGATTCTGCAGGTGCGCTTATCCCAATTTTACAGGATCACTAGTTGGCAACTAGCTGTTGCTTGGTGTGTTGATCTGCACATCTCGCCCCAGCCAGGAACTGCCGTAGTCCAAGGACACGGCCCTCTCCATAAATTTTGCAATCAGAGTTATAAACAAAAGCGCGTATTTCGGCCTGTCCCGCAGGCCAGATGTGTCAGATCAAGTACTGTTTTAAGGCCCGAGAAAGTGGAAAGCTTGGAAGAGATGGGCCTCTGGTTCAGGCAACCCAACTGTGTCGGCACTGAACGATCGCTAATACATAGAATCAAGTTTGGCAGTACACAGAAACGTCTATCATTGGACTAATTGGAATTGATAAGCAGAGATGGAAACACTGTCGATGTACGCTGTGGTTGCCCCTGGTGTCAGGAAATGATTTTACTGCTTTCTTTACTTATTCTGCTTCTTGGTGTCTCTCTGGTTTTGTTTCAGGGTCATGCTACACTGACGGAGTGGTGGAGCCAATTCGGTTCTTTGGGCAGTCAGAGAATGTAGTGAGTTAGGGCTTGGACTCCGCAAAAAGACAAAGCAGCAGTGGACCCGACCCGGCACCACATCACGTGCACCGAGCTCCCCCCGCAGCTCCATTCGCCCGAAACGTCATCGCAGATCCCCACGTCCACATCCTGCCAATATTCCCCGCGGTGGGTGTTTCTTCAGTTACGGCACTACAGAAATTGCAAGCTGCAGTCGAGGAGAATCCCCGCTGGATTCTGTCCCTCCTACCAACTGACCAACCGAGCATATCTGCTCAGATAGTAGCTCACCTGTTCGCACACACGGACCTCTTCCCGTTTGGTTAAGGTCGGGTGAGTTCGCCTCCGATCCAAGCTTAAATCCTTCCTATCACGCACCCATCACAAAACCGATAGTGTACCCATTCCTTCATTTTTTGTGCTACTCATTCCTTATCTTTTTGTTCTGCATGGCGTGCCGACCGACTCTGACACTAAACCCGTTCGGCCCTGTTCGCATGTTCCTTGGCTGACAGCAGGTTTCCCAGAGAGGCTTATCCGTTCCTCCGGCGCTATTCACCTCCCCGTGCTGGGGCAGCCCCGGACCCCAGCCCACGTTCCGCACTTCGGCTTGTCATTCCCTGTAAGTCCTTTCCTCCGTTGGTCCCTTCAGCCCGAGTCGGTTCCACATTTTCACGGGAGGGGCTGTCATCGGGCTGCTATATACTTCCACGCTCGTATAAAGCATGTGCGGCCTGCTGCCCGGCTCCCCATAGCCTTCAGCTTTTCCCTCTCTCCCTCCATTTGGCTCACTACATTGCCCGTCCCGTGTGACACCTATGAGGTAGCCTCCATGCCACCATACTGCCTGCAAGACTGCCATTACTTCTACCGCACTGCCTTGCGTCTCCTGTCTCTTCCCACCTTCCTCGCCTCTTCCTACGCTTGACCAGAACAAGAAGTAGTCACTAACCATCATGTCCTACTCATCAACGGCAGTCCGTTTCTTCACCGCACCAAAGCCTCTTGGGAATGCCATGGATCCCGACCCAGCCAATAAAACGGGGGCAGAGTCCCAGGGACGTAAGGTCGTGATACCAAATGTATCGGCCGAGAAGCCGTCCTCGGAGTCTGTGGAGATTTATTCGCCCAAGAAACAGGGTCTCACGTTCGCCAACCAAGACTCACTCCCAAAATTGCCCATCCCTGATCTCGAGGATACTTGTCGGAGACATCTGGATGCTCTCTCGGCCTTGCAGACCATACGGGAACACGAGGAGACCAAGGCAGCGGTGAAGGACTTCTTGAAGTCCGATGGACCGATACTCCAAGAAAAGTTGAAGACCTATGCCTCCTCGAAAACAAGTTACATCGAGCAGTTCTGTAAGTGAGGCTTGCCGAGATGTGGCGAACATAAGGATACTAATGGCTCTCAAGGGTATGATTCTTACCTGAATTTTGACAATCGTAAGTCCTTCACACGCTCGATTATCAAGTACTCGCAAAAAACTGACTTCACACAGCTGTTGTTCTCAACCTCAACCCATTCTTCCTGTTGGAAGATGATCCGACCCCGGCTCGCAACCACCAAGTGACCCGCGCTGCTTCTTTGGTCGTATCTGCTTTGTCTTTTGTTCGCGCGGTTCGCAGAGAAGAGCTGCCACCCGACACTGTGCGCGGCACGCCCCTGTGCATGTATCAATATTCTCGCTTGTTTGGAACCGCTCGGCTACCAACTGACAATGGCTGCGTCATCAGCCAAGACCCCTCGGCCAAGCATATGGTTGTTTTGTGCCGAGGTCAATTCTATTGGTTTGATGTGTTGGACGATAACAGCGACTTGATCATGACCGAGAAAGACATCTCACTCAACTTACATGTCATCATTGACGACGCGGCGCAGACCCCAATTCAAGAAGCAGCCAAGGGAGCTGTGGGTGTCCTTAGCACGGAGAACCGAAAGGTTTGGTCGGGCTTGCGTGAAATCATGACCAAGGACGCCTCGTCCAACAACGCCGAGTGCTTGAACATTGTTGATACTGCCTTATTCGTCCTTTGCCTGGATGACACCGAGCCGTCAAGCACAGCCGATCTTTGTGCTAACATGCTCTGCGGTACAAGCGAAGTAATCAAGGGCGTTCAGGTCGGTACATGCACCAACCGTTGGTACGACAAGCTCCAGATCATCGTTTGCAAGAACGGCAGCGCTGGTATCAATTTCGAGCACACCGGCGTGGATGGTCATACTGTATTACGCTTCGCCAGCGATGTGTACACCGACACCATTCTTCGGTTTGCCAAGACCATCAACGGTCAGGCCCCAAGTCTGTGGGCTACTTCTAGCCCCGACCCAGCCAAACGGGATCCACGCAGCTTTGGAAATGTTAGCACCACGCCCCGCAGACTGGAGTGGGACATGACCCCCGAACTGAATATCGCCCTGCGATTCGCTGAGTCTCACCTGTCGGACCTGCTACACCAGCATGAGTTCCAGGTCCTGGACTTCGAAGGTTACGGGAAGAATTTTATTACCTCCATGGGATTCTCGCCGGATGCGTTCGTACAGATGGCTTTCCAGGCGGCGTACTACGGCTTATATGGTCGTGTGGAGAACACCTATGAGCCAGCCATGACCAAATTCTTTTTGCATGGTCGGACGGAAGCTGTGCGCACCGTGACTCCAGAGGTTGTGGAATTTGTCAGGACATTCTGGGGCGAGAACCCAGCTGAGCAGAAAATCGACGCGCTGCGCACAGCAACCCAAAAACATACCGCAATGACGAAGGACTGCTCTAAAGGCCAGGGCCAGGATCGCCATCTATATGCCATGTATTGCCTATGGCAACGGTCGTTTGACGAAGCGTTGTTCCAGGACGGTAGCTCTGCGGGTAGCTATTCCGGCCCCAGCGAGGGAGTTGAGTCCCCAAGGCTCTCAGAGACATCTGACGACGGCTTGTCCTCGCCCGGCAGCGGCAGCAGCCGCGGACTGCGCGCCACTCCTCACACGCCAGCCATCTTCAGCGACCCTGGCTGGGACAAGATCAACAACACCGTCCTGTCGACCTCCAACTGCGGAAACCCCTGTCTGCGGCACTTCGGATTCGGGCCGACCTCCGCCGACGGCTTCGGCATCGGGTACATCATCAAAGACGAGTCGATCTCGTTCTGCGCCTCGTCTAAGCACCGCCAAACTAAACGCCTGATGCACGCTCTCGAGTCGTACCTCTTCGAGATAAGGAAGCTTCTGCGAGCGACCAATCGCAAGGCGACCAGTCCACGGACAAGCCGTGCGCGTGAGACTGAAATGCTCTCTGAGCAACTGCAAACAGATCAGCGACGGGGTCGGGTCGTTCGCGGAGATAACCGTGGTGCTGACACACCTACGACCATGACGGATAGCGGGGAGATGGACGATGACGGGATGGGCGGCTGTGAGTGTTACCCTTTTCTGAGACAGTACTGCCACATGGAATCCAAAGCTGACGCCGGATTTAGACGGGTTCTTTGATGCTGGGATGCTTCTTCATGCCTTGAAGGGCGTCAATGCACAGCGCGAGCGTGGTGAGAAACCGGCACGGCGAAGATTTGTTGGAAAGAAACTTCATCTCAATGACTATTGATGAGAAGTGGACATATTGAGATTGTATAACTGGTGGAATTACCGGCGATCTACCCCCAACATAGGAATGACAACATCTTCGCATTCACCCTTTTGTGAGACCCTGCTTGTAACAACTATGTAGATCTAGGGCACGGACCGATTGGATCCTAGAATCGCGACCAGGGTCTATTGAGTCTAGATTCAATCCGGGCGATCCGAGTGGGCTTTAGCATGGCTTCTTTGTTCGACTACGCATCCGTGGAGTTCTGGGCAGAGAGAGACATGCAGAACAGCTGGTGAGATCTTCCGCCCACCCGCAGCCAGGTCGCCTTATAAAAAGAAACATGACGTAGTATTTCTATCATGCTTCCCGTGTACGCCACAGTTCTGTGGCTTGATGCGGCTGATTTGGTAGATCATTGTGTTGAAAAGGTTGATGTTACATCTGCAGTATTCAGTCGACTGGGCACATGATACTTTATCTGCTCTTTCATTAAGATATACGGGGTGTCAGAAGGAGCGACCATGGTGTGTAGCTAACGTAAAGGATGCAGGGATAAAAATAGATCTGGTTGTATACCATCTTTCAGTCAACCAAGAAAGCTAGACATGGTATGAGTGCTTGGCTTTGAATCGTAAAAGATCCTAGGTACTATGAGCCTAATTAGCTACTTATTCTCGAGAATCATGGTGTATACCTAATAGTATTTACTCGAGTAGGTGGTGGTATACCAAGACTGTGACATGTTGACAACCCGCTAAGACAAGGCTGAGGGTATCAGGCAGACACCACGCAACATCACGCCTGACGGCTACGAAGAACTTCCAGCGTGTCAGACTTTAATTCAGATTACGTACAATGTCTTTGCCCGACATGCATGTATCAGGTTCATTGGTCGGTGAAAGTCTCGAAATAGAAGACAGTCACAGGACCAACGCTAACTATTTAAGAGCTACCGATAATCCTCGACGCAAAGGATTTGCAATCGTTAATATCAAAATCCCATCACTATCAAACCATTTTTCTAAAGATCCATCACCGCCAACATGCACTTCGTGACCATTGCTGCCTCTGCCGTCGCCCTTGCGGGCGCTGCTTCTGCGGCTGCCGTGCCTACTCACCGATACGCCCAGCTCCGCCTTTGGGGCGGACAGGAGTGTGCAACACTCAACCTTGGCGAAGAGGGCATTTATGGTGACCAGCTCGCCATGTGCAACCCCCTGGATGTATATGATACTGTTCGATCCGTGAGGTTGGAGGCTGCTGATGCTGGGTGTACCTGTAAGGCCTTTGACTGGGGAATGTTTTCATCACGGTGTTTAATGAATTCTTAGTGTACATCTACAGCGACCTGCAGTGCCACCTTGGCAAGCATGAAGTTCCCGTTACGGCTTGTTTGAGCGGAGACAAGGAGTACCGCAGCTATGAGCTGTTCTGTGACGTTTAAGCGGGAGGTCAGTTCTTGAAAGATCTAGTTCTGACATGGTTGTTGAAACCCTGCGCAATGCTAGGCGATGAGGAGAAAGCCGATTGTAAGCAATTTGTTCGTACGTAGTCAGACTTGTGGATTAGACATACTAATGGCACTGGTCTCAAGTATATCCTATTTCCTAAAATGAAAGTATAGCCCTACATATCGATATAGGCACTAGTCTAAGTTATAGCTTATTTCCTAGAATGAAAGTATAACTCTATGTGGCATCAATTGTACCATGTAATCGAGATCATATTTGTTGACAGCCTCCTATCCGTGCAATATATCGACGAAGTGACACTCGCAGCACTGGATTAAGAGGACCCATAGCCAGGGTCGCCCATTCCACCATATCCATACCGAAGTAGTCCTTGACCTCGCCGTCATCTTCAGTCTGGTCGGTGGGCAGAAGGCTGTCATCTCTCTTGCTATCGACGCCGATCGCGATCCACGCAAGAATGCCGTCCGAGGTGTCTGTGCTAAGATGGACGTCCTCCATGTCGTGGCAACTTCGATTTCGATAATCATATCCTCGGAATTCTTTGTCAAATCCTTTCTTTTGTCTGCGGAGAGAGTATTCTGTTTGGTGGTGGCCTTTTCACTGCAAAGTATTGAGCTCAATCTAATCAACTAAGTTATTTAAAAGCCCTCTCCACTAACGTTAACGCCATCGTAGTTAGTCTTGGGCAGAGGCTGCCCGCTGACTTAATTGTGGAGAAGGGTCTACGAATAATAACGGTGATCCCGCAAGCATGCCTGTAGTCGAACCCCACCTAATTTCTTCAACCCCGACTCCCGACGTTTTAACGTACCGGTGAATTGCAATTGACGCCATACATGGCTGTCGGGGCAGATGCGACCGATTACTCAGCAGTAGGGGGCAGTCGTCTTCCAGGAGCGAAGGCACTCGCCGAACACCAAATTGATGAAAATCGCCCACATGAGTGGTACAGATAGCGCGAAAAGCGCCTGCAACCTTTGCCGGCACCGGAAAGTAGGGTGCCACTTACTCCCCACTGAAATAGAAGATGGCTAATGCATGATCTGAAGATTCGCTGCGATAGGGCAAAGCCTGCCTGCGAAAATTGTCGCCTGGGTGGTGTGGTGTGTGTCTTTACTCCCTTACCACCGCGCAAAAGCCCCCGCGAGTAAGACTCCAAATGCTTTCGCCCTTCCCTGATACATCAATGACTAATCATGTAACTGTCCATCAGACAGCTTGAAGAGGCCCGAGCTCAAATAAAACATTTAGAAGAAACCCTGCGCGTGGAAAGAGCAAGCCAGAATCGCTCTCAATCTTCTGCTCTTGCGCCTACTATCAGTCTGTTCGATCCATGCGGGTTTGAGACCACCCTAGCAGCCTTTCGATGGCATCTTCAATTCTGCACTCCGGGAGTTGATCCCAATACGCAGCTAGATTCCCTTTTTGATTTTGAAGCTTTTTCTCACGGGCTGAAGCAGTCGCTTGACTTGCCACATTCCATCCCGACCAAGGTGATCACACCAAAATGGCCCTCTCATCTTATGATGCAACAATCACTTGAATACTACGAGAACAATAGGCTCTATGCGATTTTTCCGATGGTGGACTCCGTGGCTTTGAGACGCCTTCTCGAAGCCAATGACCAGGGCTCTCGCCAAGGGACGATCAATGCTGCCGACCGTGCCTGTCTGACCGCGCTCACAGCTTTCATCACTCGACTGCGTCGTCATGAACCTGCCTTTGCCGAGGCTGATTCGAATGCCTACATGCAGGCTGTACTTTCATCGCTGCCCCAACTTGTCATGGAACATACCAATATCCGGGTTTTAGAAGCTCTGCTTCTGCTTGTAAGTCGTCCACGCCAGTAACAGCCACCATACTCCGTCCACTCTCTAACAATCTTAGGGGGCTGATTTAGCCCCTCAAGGCCAACCACAAACGGCGTAGCTTTTGATTTCCCTGGCAGTGCGAATTCTCTATAACCTGGGAGGCAACATACATAAGGCAGCTTCCCAAGACCCTGACCAGATCCGGGTTCACCAGCACCTACGTGCTCTGTTCTGGGTCTGCTACTCTATTGACAAGGAAATGTCTCTTCGAAGATGCCAACCACCGATCATCAATGACGCCGATTGTGATCTAGATCTTCCGGCTACCTATGTTTCCGTGTCCTCCGATCACCAATTCTTCCAATTCCAATTGTCCTTACAAGAGCTTCTTTACCCGACGGATCTTCGTCTCGCCGTGCTGAAGTCCAAAATTTACCGTCTGCTCTACTCTCCTTCCAGTCTGAAGCAGCCTGAAGGCACACGCCTGCAGCTCATTCGCGAATTAGATGAGGAATTGAGCGACTTGAAATCTCGCTTCCCAGCCGTCTGCCAGCCGGATATATACACCCAAGGAGACATGCCGGATTCCCTGCTTCATGATCTCAGTCTGCGAGGTGTAAACACACACCTAGAATACTACCATTGCTTGGCCAAAATCCACGGGGCAAGTATTAGTGGGGAGATTTCGACGACGGAGAGCCTGTCACCACCGTCATCCAGTATGGAACTTTGCTACCAGGCTGCACGATCGACACTTTTATATATCAGTCGAATGCGTCGCCATATTTTCCAAGAAACATTCTGGTTTGTCCCTCAGTTGAATGGACTATTGAGCCCACTTGGCTGACCTACCTTTTTGCTATCTTCGTTAACAGGATCTACGCTCAGTTTATCCTGACGGCGGTTTTTGCTCTATACCAGCGCATCATAACCAATCCGCCCGAGTATCACTTTCACGAGGATCTTCGACTCTTGGAGAACACCCACGAAATATTCCTCGACCTCAAAATAAAGGATGAACAGGGTGCCTTTCCGCCGTTTGTAGTCACCGAGGCTCTCATCCGAAGCTTGATATATGCGGTCAAGTAGCCCTTGGGGGTATGAACCTCGTTCCCAGCTCTCCCTTCAAAATGATACCCCGTGTCTTAAGAGGTCAAATTCCTATATGACAGATAGAAGGTTTCCGCGACATTTAGAGATCTATGCCATCGACCTAAAGTGTAGAAGTGAGCTGAGTCACAGAAACAGTAAAGGCTATCGAAATAAACGATAATGACACCGCAATAACAACGAAAGCCAGGATATAAACATAATCAGGTGCAGGTCGAGATCATATAGGTACCCGATTTATAACCAGAATTCACCAACATCAGCAGCACACAGCAGGTGATAGAGTTGGGAGGCTTCGAGGCTCTCTTCCGATGGGCAATGCAGGAGACTAACCGGTTTGCCTCCAATTCACTGTCAATGTGGGAATGTCTCCTATATTGAAAAGGTGAGGTTACTGAATTGGCTCATGGGAAGGTTGATATTCCATCTGAAGATTGCGATCTGGGATACGAAATATTAGGGACTGCGACTAGAAGGGAGCACGAGCGGGTCACGTACTGCCTCAGTTTAGCGCCCCTGAGCACTTGCTACAAACTGAAGTATTTATTCCACCCTGATGTCATCTTCAGTGGAGTTGTGGCTTTTGTCCAATTCAATGTATGCAGGCATGTGTTGATGTCTGATTTGTCAGGCTCGATTGACTCCAACGCCTCGGGAATTGACAGTGTGGGGAAGCTCCGAGACCGGATAGCCGACTTGGAGCAAGTAGCCTTCTCAGCAGCCTACGGACCCTGCTAGTGTCGACTAACGTCACAACTTCGCCATAGGGCGCATATAAATCCTCCGGCGAGCAATTGGTTTATCAAACTGTGTAGCCAACTGCGTCTAGCCTGCCCGAATTGTCGCCCCGTCCGGGTCTCTCCATGGCTCTGCACTCTCTGCCAAGACGCGCGCCCCAGATGGGCGTGCGCTGGACCCGGAGATTCTCGACCTCCCCACGAAATGCCAGCTATGCGGATACTCTGCCTAATTTGAAGATTGGTGCTCATACCCGGGTTTTGTTCCAAGGGTTTACAGGTATGCTAGCCTAGGAACGTGCAATTCGAGTACTTGCTAAGCTTCTCCGCAGGAAGACAGGCGACCGCCAATGTGAAGGAATCGCTCGAATGGGGCACCAAAATTGTGGGCGGAGTCAAGCCCGGCGTTGAGGGAGAGCATCTGGGACTCCCGGTGTTTCCTTCTGTCAAAGTGGTACGCGAAAGAACAACCCGACTGTCGGCACTTGTTCACAAACTGATACGCAATTGGCACATGTCTAGGCACAGGAAAGAGCAAAGCCTGATGCTTCTGCCATCTACGTGCCGGGAAATCAGACCGCACAGGCCATTGAAGAGGCCATCGAGGCGGAGATTCCGCTCGTGGTGGCCGTAGCTGAACACGTCCCCATCCATGACATTCTCAGGGTAAGCAGACATATTCCTGCCTTGTGTTCGCTGCCGAGATTCTAGATTCTAACCGTCTGTTCAGGTCCACTCCATGCTCCAGACTCAATCAAAGACTCGCCTTGTGGGTGCAAACTGCCCGGGCATAATCTCCGCCATTGGCAAGTGTCGCATTGGCTTCCAACCCTTGCCTTGCTTTGCGCCCGGTAACGTCGGCATTATTGCCAAGTCAGGCACTCTGAGCTACGAAACCGTAGCGTCGACAACTCGAGCTGGACTTGGCCAGAGTCTGTGCATCAGTATGGGTGGCGATGTGCTGGCCGGCACCAATTTTGTTGACGCGCTAAAGATCTTTGAGCACGACTCCGATACCCAAGGTATCATTCTGGTCGGCGAGATTGGGGGGACCGCGGAATTGGACGCCGCAGAGTGGATTAGAGATTACCGACAGAGAAGTGCTGATCCCAAGTATGCCATCCTCCTGCTACAAGGTGAAAGTTTTACTGACTATTAGACAGGCCCATCATGGCTCTTGTGGGTGGCTTGGAGGCGCCTGCAGGACGAATTATGGGACATGCTGGGGCCTGGGCTGCTCCCGGTGAACCTGACGCTCAAACCAAATACCAAGCTCTGGAACGGGCCGGAGCTGTCATGGTCAACCATCCAGAGAAGTTTGGCGAGGGAATGAAGACCTTGTTGGGCAACAGAGCCTCTCGGCCAGGTACAAATGTCAGTGTGGACAGATTCAGCTAAATGAAGCTCGACTGACATCACGCAGTCTATCTCAAACGGAGGCTCACAAAGGCGCGGGTTCCATACCTCGAGGCGTGTTACTCCGGTCTCACGACCGCTTGCCCAACAGAAGCGTGACCTCTACATCAAGCAGTTCCAGGCATTCGATATCTTGAAGCAAAAGTCGATTTCCATCAACGAAGCTGCTTCTAGCTTTGACGGTTCCATTTCCATCTCTGTGGATAGGACAGCTCTGTCCCCTTGCATCGTTGCATCTCCGGGGAATAAGGTTGACCCAGCCCAATCTCGCAGATTCCCCTTCAGCTACACCCTAGCCAATTTCGAAAATAGCTCTATCATTCCCGAAGTGGCATCGCACTTGGGTCTTCCTCCTTCGGCCCAGAGCAAGCTGGCTGGCCTAGTCCAAGCTTTGTGGGAATTATTCAAGGAGAAGGAGGCCTTTGTTCTGGAAACACGCATTGGAAGTTTCACTGATGGCTCCTTGGAAGTCCGCGGTGCCCGATTTGGATTTGATGATGCAGCATACCGTAGCTCCGGACGCCAAGAAGACATCCACAGCCTGCGGAACAAGGCAGATGAGATGCCAGAGGAAGTCGAGGCAGAGAAGGACGGAATTGTCTACGTCAAGTACGGTCCCCCTACCCACATCATTTCGATCGTGCTAACAGTCATAGACTACAAGGCGAAGGCAGCATCGGCACACTGGGTATGCATCTTTTACATTCAATTTCGAAGTCCAGACAGTCAGCCTCTGACCCTTTCAATAGTTAACGGCGCCGGTCTTGCCATGAACACAGTAGATGCTCTCACAATTCACGGGGGCCACTGCGCCAACTTCCTCGATACAGGCGGTAAAGCCACCTCGGAGACCGTCAAATCGTCTTTCCGGATCATTTGTTCCGACAAGCGCGTCAAGACCATCTTTGTCAATATATTTGGCGGCTTAACACGCTGTGACATGATCGCGGAGGGCATCATCATGGCTTTCCGCGACCTGGATATGAAGGTGCCCGTTGTGGTGCGGCTACGTGGGACTAACGAGGAGCTCGGTCAAAAAATGGTCAGTTGGTGTGTGTTTGAATATGCTTGGAGTAAGCTAACGTGAGTTGATCTGGTAGATTGCCGAGAGCGGTCTTCCTCTGCACGCATTTGATAGCTTTGAGGGGGCAGCTAAAAAGACCATTTGCTTGACTAGATCTTCATAGAACAATTCCATAGAGGAAGCATAGCATGTATATATTCTCAAACGAATACCTAGTGGGTCAAGTTCAAGAATTTTGGCAATCTACCCTAGGAAAATCCCAGAATGATATTTTTTAGGTTTTCGACGCAAATTCCGCATCATTCCCCACAAACACACTTTTGTAGCTTGGATTTACTCACCGTCGATCATTCCCATGCATCAAAATCTTGATTTGACAATCTCAACCCAAACTCTGCAGATTGCATGACTGGTGGCATGTGAGGGTGCAACCCCGACCGAGGCCACACTTCCTGGCTTGGTCTAGCCCCGTCGGCTTCTCCACGATCGACCAGGGAAACGCTAGCTCTGACGCCATTACCTGCGATCTTCTTATTTTAGACTCACACCTCCGCAAAGTCTCATATAACGAACACATTTGACACTCTCTTCCCAAATACCAACCATACCACCCGAGATCCTCCCCGGGTCTCCCTTGATGCTCAACAACCCGGCCACCGCCCCCCCTCACCTGCCATGTCTGATCCGCGCGACGAGCTACAATCCGCACTCCATGATCTGGCCATTGGCGAGAAAGGACCAAGGCAGGATGTGTCGCGACCATACCTGAACAAGGCTGCCATGCCGACATCTATCCCATCCACATCGAAGCCGAAAAAGACCGCCGCCACACCCGTCGCGGACTCTTGGGAAGACGAGGTCGACCTGTCCTCAGGCGACGAGCCCACCCCAAACGCCGACGAGGCGTCCTCCGCTGTGCTCTCGCCTACAATCAGCGGAGAGGGCCCGCTGGATCCTCCGCCCACGCCTATCTCGCCGCAGAACTCGGATCCGTGGATTGCTGCAAGGTCTGCATCCCCCGCTGCGGGGCAGAACAGTCCGGCCCGTCGGCCTGAGAAGCAGACTGCTGTGGCAGGCCGACTGATCGCCGGTGCGCTCGGGATTCGGGCGCCGAAGCGCACTGAGGAGCAGCGCGCTTATGACCGGTCTGTGAAGGAGCAGGAGATCAGGCGCCGGAATCGGGAGCGCGAAGAGCAGGCGAAGGCGAAGGAGGAGGAAGAGCGGGTCAAGGCTTCGGTTTGGACTGATTAGCACTTCTTCCTCTCGGCTTCTTCCATTCGCTGCTATCTTGGGGGTTTGGAGTTCTTTATATATATTCACCTGTATATATGTGTGTCGTTTCTACGTGGCGCTTTTGCTGGTTGTCTGGGTGACTTGGTGGCTTGGTGAGGTCCTACCCATGGGTGGCATGGCTTGGTCAAGAGTTGATAGACCTAGTTATTGGGTGCTGGGTCCTGCCGGTTTCGGTGTATGCTGTTGTAATATGGGATTGACTGAATTATACTTGTCGTTGCGGGTGCAGTGGCACTTTCCTGTTGAGCGACTTGCTCTTTACCATTTAACTTCAATATTTCGTAGAACTGTGGGTAGGTATGTATGTATGTAGGAAACCATGATCAAATGGTGATTTCTGTAAATTCGTTGACTCATTAACAAAACAGTGCAAACTCCTCGCGATGAACCATCAACATCGCCACTCGTTTTCATCACGTTGCATCTATCCGTCGGTCCATCGCGCAATGCAACTCCAGACACGTAAGATGGTGAGAGAAGTAATGCTCCTTTCTAGCCACCAATTTGTTCCTGGTGGACTTCAAGTGTGTCCCCGTCGGCCATATCGAGCTGGAATGATGAGATTGTGGGTCAGTCTTCAGACACCTTTATTGAAGGATATGAAGGCAGGGACATACGGTATCAGGGGTATCTTCGGGGCGCACACGGGTGCCGTCAAAAAGAAAACGGACGGTAGTGGGCTGCTTTCCCTGCCGCTCACAGAAGGCATCCATGAGTTTCTTAAGTTGGGTAGAACGCTTGATCTTGAAGAAGACCTCGTTATTGTTGTCGGTGACCTTGATATTGAGGTGCTCCGTAGGGGCAGCACCGGCCTCCTGTTCGGCAGACATAATGGATAATCGTTGTAAGACTGTGCTGGAGTCAGAGGGCTGTTTGCGCGTGGAGCAATGACGGGAACGCGGGGCTCTCACGTAGTCGAGGAAGATAGTCAAATCAAGATGAAGTCAACTTTGGCAAATTTGATCAGTGATACGAAATAGAACCTGGCGCAACGAGAATGACTCACCCGAACGAAGCGATGGCAAGTTAGTGGTGCCGAAGGTGAAGTGGGAGGAAGAGAGATATCAACGGCAGAATGGCGACTCGCCCCACAAAAGACGGAGAATCTATTTTGCGGGCAAGCAACTGGCAAGCAAATCGGCGGGCGGACGGACAGGGCAGCTTAGCTAAGAACAACGCAAGAGTTGGGTGATTCCTTGGAAGCTGGCGCTTGTTCTACGAGCTTCTTCCTTTGATGCGTGTTTGCTTTGCCGGCATCATGGTATGAACCTTTGCAGGAAGTGAAATCAAACTGATGAGAGATTTCGGAAACTGACTTCTGTCTGGCAGGGAAATCTCAAGGAAGACCTATCTCACGACCCTCCCTGTCATCCGCGTGCCGTAGGTCTCTCATAACCTCCCATCGCCCTGCAGACTCCCGCCGTGGCTTGAAAGCTTGCTAATCAAAACCCAGTGCGCCATTCAAGGTAACCTACAATCATGATTCCACATTCACAATATCCCTATAGGTGACTCACCCATCCTAGATTGCTTAATCAAGAATTCCTATCAGGAGGAGAAATGCAAGGCACAGATTGACGCCCTCTACGAGTGCTGCAATGCCTTCTATCAGCAGCAAGGCGACCAGGCCTCGACCGTGAGCTGTCCTAAGGCGAATCTGCTGCGACTGAAGATGAGGCAGCAAGCCCAGGCAACGGAACACCAAAGCTAGATGGCGGTGGAAGGGTGCTCTCAAATCTTAGACGAATTACAGATCGCATATCGCAGATCACATGTTGCAATGGACCGTAATGGCATGTAACAGTCCCCCTATAGCTGAGCTCCCATCTGGAGGAAACCAGGCTAGTTAGAAGGACTGCTGGATTGCTCTAAGACAATCTTGAGCACGCTGAGAGGCCTCAAGGACCTGAACGACCATTGAAAACTTTCGTTCCGAGACTCTAATGACTGCCTATTAGACATTTTGTAGAGAAAAAAGAAAGAAGAGGAAGGGCGAAAATTGCTGGGCGATTAAATATGAAAAATCCCGTGCCGATGGCGCTAAACTGCTTTAGGCCAGGGCCTAACGCGCCCGAAACCAAAAGAGACAAACACGAATTCCCGTTCTCTTCCCCATCACAACCCCAAACATCTCCGTCCGGAAGCTTTTGAAGCTTGCAGAATTACCGCAAGCCATGGCTCCTCTCACTAGGTCTGCGGCGTCTGGCAGCACTGCGACGATGCGGACGCAGGTAAGCGCGCTCCTTATATCGCCGGGTACCATTACAGCTAATCAATTCCTGCTAGGCTCCGCCCAAGGAACCTGAAATCATCAGCATTGACGAGGACGACGAGGATGACCAGCCCATGGAGGACGATGAGTCCTATGAGCATGAGCAAGGGTTTGAAGATGAGGATGAGGCGATGGATGACGAAATGGGCAATGAGATGGACGGTGTCAATGGCAATGATTCGGAGAATGGCTCCGCGATTCCTATGCTGGAGCCCAATCTGAAATCCGTCATGGGCTTTACAAGCAGGGTGCAAGGTCGGTTTGGTTTCTATGGTGCTACCTATCTCTATGCGATCGCCATGGCTGATTGATTCATTCCCAGATTCCCCCAAGCTATTTACCGAGACAAGCACGGCCTCCAACGCCCACGAAATGCTGCGCCCCCTTCGCAGCACCGCCGATCGCGTCACGCGCCAGATCGAAGCCTTCGCCGAGAAGCTGGATCAGTTCAAGCGGAAGAACACCACCGACGAGTTCCAAAGCGTGCAGGCAGCCTACAAGCTCGTGGAGAGCTACCGGGATCTCGCACAGAACGCCATCAACGAGCTTAATAGACAACAAACCCTGAAGAAAGCTAAATCTGGTTTCCGGTCAAGTGCTGCCAACGATGACTCTAAGGCGAGCGCTGATGTGCGCCGCTTGCAGCTGCAGGTCGACACTTGGCGCCTGCTCCTCAACCTCATCAGCATTGACGACCCGGCCAGCCGCGCCAGCTTCAAGGAGGGGCAACAAGAGGCCTTCCAAAATCTTCACCGATATTCGACCGATCGTGAAATTTGGGAGGAGTTTTTGAATGCGGACCAGTACGCGCTCGAGTGTGTAGTCTCCATGCGATGGCTGGAGGAGACCGCCAAGGCAGGACCGCAGGACCTTGATAAGCTGATCAAAGACATGGAGGATCAGGCTGACAGAGGCCAGGGTCTGTGGGCGCATGGTTGGCTGTTCACCAAGGAGGCGATCAAGGGTCACAAGCGACTGCGCGTTTGGCCTCAACCTTTGGAACCGAATGATCCGGGCATCTCTCGCTCTCTGTTGAGCAACGACACACAGACCCCCTTGATTACACAGTTGGACCCCGATGCTCTTACGCGGCAAAAGCATAGCTTGCAGAAGCAGGACGCATTCTATGAGCGCGCTACGTGGATGGCCTGCTGGAAGATGCTCCGCCAAGGCGAAAACTGGACCACGATTCGCGAATGGGCCCAGAGTCGCCTCGAGAATTGGAGAGCCGTTAGTCTGTGTGGTTCCAGCGTGGATGCGCCTACTGCCAACACACGGACACCGGCCGATGATGGCTTGACCCGCCTGATGAACAGTCGCGCCCAGGATTCGTGGCGTGCTGCTTGCCACGCGTTGAGCAAAGATCCAAACACAAATGACTTTGAGAAAGCAGTTTATGCGCTTCTCTGCGGCGAAACCGACCCAGCGGCGAAGATTTGCAAGACCTGGGACGACTATCTCTACGTGTACTTCAACCGCATCGTTCTCTCGCGATACCAGGGATTCTGCAAGCAGTTCCAGCGCAAGCTAAGCCATTCTCCGAATACCCCGGTTGCGTTCAAGCCGGAGCCTGCCGGACATGCGGATTTGCAAAAGTTTTTCCAGTATTTGCGCGGTAACGAACAAGTGAACGCCGAGGCACGCGAGCCGTTCCGCAACATTCAAGCTGCTATCCTGAGCAAGAGCTACGATACCTTCTTCCACCAGCTTTCCCAAGCAGTCTCCCAGGTCGGTATCAAGAGGCTTGGAAAATCCTCTTTCATTCCGGAAGTGGCGGCTTCTCGTGTGGAGGAGCCATTGATCATCACTGCTGAAGACCATGAGGCCTTGCAGATGGCGACTCACATTTACGTGATCGTCAACTCGATCGGATATGCACGCGCGGATAGTCACTTCCAGGAGGCAGCTTCTGTCGTTGTAGTTGGTTACATTGCGGATCTGCAGGATAAGGGCTTGTCTGACCTGATCCCGTCGTATGCTGCTCTTCTACCCACCGAGATGTGCCACACTGTCCTATCGAAGATCCTGGTTGATATCATTGACCTCAAGGACCGAAAGCACCAGATTCGTGCCACGCAGAAGCATGGCATTGACATCAACGCTGTCCTCGACGCCCAGTGGTCCTGGCTCAGCGCCGGTGTTTCCTCAATTGAGCACTCGGCAGGTCTAACTGGATACTCCCGGGTGAGAAGGCTAGCGGATGGTACTCGTGTCTTAATGCCGCCCAAAAAGGACCTGATTGGGACGACTGTTGCGGACGAGGATGAGAAGATGATTCGCAGTCTAGAGTGGCTCCGCTGCGCGGGTGGCCAGTGGTCTAAGATTTGCAACCGTGGAGCCTGGTTGTACCGCAAATTCTTTGGTATGTCGGATATCGCTGATCTTGTGTTTTTATTACAATAACTAACCTACGTTCAGTCACTGGTAAGCTTGCCGCCGCCCGCGAGCTAGGGCATCGCATGCGCATGTCGGAGGTTTCCCACGAAACATTCAATGTGGATGTCTTTGAATTCCCTGATTTGGCTCCATCCCTGGTGGAGGACACCCCCTTGAGCCCGAGCAAGTCCAAGCGGAGCCACGCCCACCGGCGGAGCCTGTCTGGCAGCAATGGCACTATCACCAGTGCTCACCATTCTGCGTATCAACAAGCTGTTCGGATGTGGAATCTCGAAACATTGGCCCTCGGCTTTGATGCCCTTGAGCAGTTCGCCATTGTGTACGATCAGACGTCGAAGTAAGTTTTCTTGTACCTGGTCTCCTTGGCTCAAAATCTAACCCAGTTGAACCCAGGATCAAACGCCGGCGCGACTCTGGCACTGTCCGGGACTTCCTTGCCGAACTTGAGGCCCTCCTGCAGGAAATCGAAGACAGCGTGGGACTGATCGTTGATGAGTGGCTTGTCAAATCGGAGCATGGTAAGCTATGTCAATCTTCATCCTGTGTTTTCTTAACTCTCGAAGACCTCCATATTAATTGTGGCCACAGCGGATGAAGAACGAGACTACGAGCACATTCGCCGGACCTATCTCCCTGAATTAATCCTCGACTACCACAACGCCTTGTACTACGCCAGCCATTCCCTCGACAAGCCCAATCTGCTCACGCAGTGTATGACCGTGTCCATCTGGGTGGCCAACACGGCCCACTTGGCACGCAGCTTCACCGAGGCGCAGCGCATGTCGGAGCTTGTGGACTGCCTCGCCTTGGCAAGCAAGGCGATGGTGCTAACCGATCCCAAGAATGACCGTACTTTCGACAACGGACAGACTTTGGGCATTTGGCGGGTCGACATTCCTGAGGATGATGAGGCTGCGCTTCTCCAGAATAGGAAATAGATGGGGATCGGGGGAGTGGGCGTGGCTGTGTAGTGTTATGGATGTACATTAGCATTGATGATGGGAAGGGGGCGGGTACGAACCCTTCAAGCGTACTCATACCTTAACTTCGGGACATGGATGGAGCGAGGTTTACGCCCATGGATGGGTAGATAGAGAAATGGTCTCTCCAATGGAATTGAAATGCACCGGATCCTGCCATTCTTTTTTGGGGGGTCTAAATTGTCAATTCTGTCGTTATCATGGCATCGCGCAGTTCATTTCTCGCTCCCTGGTCTCGTTATCAATCTCCACAGTAGCATATCATGTCGCCATATCATCCTTCCCGATTCGCCGCGAGTCCGTCCAATCCCCGACCAGCTCAAGCATACGGCTCCATCAGGTTATGCTCCACCGCAAGCTTGAATGCTTATCTTTCGGGAGAGGGGGAAATGGAGTACAAGTGAGGCAGTGCAAGTACAATGCAATGCAGAGCTCGAACTCGGGACGGAGTCCGGAGTTTGTCCATTCCCTCGTTCCTCAAATCTTCTTCCGTCTTCGGGTCGACCTACCGAACGGAGATCGTCGCCAGCTGCAAGAGCGGTCCCACCGCAGTAATTTCTGCGACACTACCACAAGTCCCGGTGCCGAATAATGGCGTCCGTAACGCTGTGTGGGGAACGGCAGTGTCAGTCAGGAGGATCGGGATAGGTGCTGCTGGGGACCGGGTAGTTTAGGATAGAAGCTAGTAGGGCTTGTGCCGAGGCAGGCACTGCTGTGAAGCCATAGGTAGTGAGCCGGTTGGCCTTGTTGGTGATCGTCAGGGTCTGCTTGGGGTGGGAATAGGGATGCTGAGGGCGATGGGAGGGATGATGCAGGTTGGGGGAGGACAGTGAGGGGGATGAGCTGCTTTTTTTTTGGGCAAATCGGTCTTATACTGCAGATATCAACGGACGTTTATGTTCAATGGTCGAGGATGCTACGTTGGGAACAACATCCTGGTGAAGCTTAAATAGTATTGCCGCAGCTTCAGAGCTTCGCCTGCAGAAATTGGCAGAGATTCGTTCCGAGGCCTCTGAATATCTATTGCTTATTTTCTTATTACCATCTCACCCCAGCTCGGGTGTACCGCGGATGGTAGATTGGGAAGTCTATACTTCGAAGACGGCGACCAGCAGGGCTTCAAGACAGGGCCAGGATCAGCTATTGAAATGGCAATGGGAGTCCGTGGTATAGTGTCTTTCCTCTTCACGGTCGAAAAGTATACATGGATGGGCTACGTACTCGCGTATACTCCGCCTTCCCTTCCAAAAAAGAACATTCCAGACAAGCAGATACTTCGGAGCAGAATATATACAACTGCTAGCCTCGGACCAGGGCGTTGGGCCTCAAGTTGAATTGGGTATGGGATCCCGCGAATCAGGCTGGGCGGGTTCGAAAAAGGGCGTCAGACGTCGGCACTTGCCTCTCAGGGGGTTTATTGATTGGATTGATTAGGTGCATATAACCCTCCCTGCCTCGGGTTTAGTGGACGGCTGTGGAGAGTGCGTTGTATTGGAGACGTCATCTCCAAAGGGCCTGGCCCAGGAGAAGCTACACCGTCCTCCGTACGGATTCGTCAATCAGGGTTAGTCCTAGGCCGGAGGAGGACTGCGCCGTTCTCCGTCCTCCGGACTATTACACGTTAATGATGAGCTGGATCCCCCCATTTGCTGAGGCCCCCTGTTATTCGCCAAGTCGCGTCCTTTTTGCCCCCAGAGCCCCGGGCGCGGGTCTTGGCAATGAGGCAGTGCAAAAGGAGAGCTGTTCCCGGTGGGTAGCCGGGGAAGTCTTAACCATGTCACACGCCGGGAGGACCAGTAGGGGGCTATGGCGCGAGGCATGGCTGGGAAGGGGTTTGCTTGGGGCGTATGTAGGAAGTAGTTGTAGTCGTGTACGGTGTAGAGTGCGACTCGTGGTTGACGAGGGGACCGACCAGCGCAGACGGGAGAACAACAATCTTCCATGGGGGCTGTGCTGGGCGAGTCTGACCAAGTGGAGACCTGCCGGTGCGGGTACGTTAAAAGGCATGGAAAACAATCACTGGTGCTATTGGCTGCCATTGGCTGCCAATGGTATATCGCCAGTCGAGGCCGCAGTGGATCTGCAAAGGGGTCGCAATGAGGTGGGAACGGTAGAAAGGTGGAAAGAGGGCGAGAGCAGCGGAAAGCATAATATCGTCTGGCGGTGGCGCGCGTTTGCACTGCATGCGGTCACTCCCCTTGATCACCCTCGACACACCTCCATTTCACCTCTCCTCCGCCCAGCACTCCGAGACTTCAGCCCTTTCTACCTTGACTCTCTCCCAATCACACTATCCCGGCTTTCATTCGGTGCCCCATGGGACTGGTACTGGCCCAACAGCTTCATCGCCAACTGGCCTCGAATCTCGGAGATTGGGCACCCTCACGCCTCGACTCTTAATCTCAAGCCCGCCTCAGACGGCCTTTCCATTCATGCAAGTACCGTCAAGCTGGTGAATGTACTGCTTGCGGGAACCACGCTCGGCTCGACCCAACCTTTTACCATGTCTGACCCGCAACGAGAGGGTGAGGAGCCGGCCCAGACCCCCACGACGCCGCTGCGCAGGGAGCGCGCACCCACCATCACCATCGATACCTCCGCGGTGAACTCCCCCGATAGCACCCGGTCGGCCGTTCAGATTCTTTCGGGTCCCGTGCAACCGTCGCTCCATCTGGCCACCGACACAATCGAGTCGCATGACTCGGGCGCGCACTACAATGGCTCCGGCTCCCCCACGGACATGAGGTCCCCGGCCTCGCTCCGCTCCAATGCCTCATCGGAAGCTCGAGATCGCGAAAGCCGGCCCACCTCGCCGCATAACATCTCGTCCCCCAAATCCAAGGTACCCGAGGCGCATTCCCATTTCTTATCGGTCCCCGGCACGAGGTCACGCGGCAATTCGCTGGAGTCCGAGGATACAAGCCAAACATCCAGCACCTACGGCGGAGATACCTTTGTGCCCGCGGCCTCGCACGGATCCAACGTCGATTTGATAAAAAATGCCAACAACAGCGATGACGAGGACGCACTCACTCCAGACCCGGGCCGGGAAGACGAATTCGAGGTGGAGAATAATAAGTTTGCCTTCTCGCCTGGTCAGCTCAATAAGCTCCTGAACCCCAAGAGTTTCGGCGCATTCCGTCAACTGGGTGGATTGCGGGGACTGGAAAAGGGCTTGCGGACCGATGTTCGGAGTGGGCTGAGTGTGGATGAGTCTACATTGGAGGGGGGTGTGGAGTTTGCCGATGCGACTACAACGGAATCGATGCCCAAGTCAGCCTCGCCAACCGGACCAACCCCAGCAACTACAGAAGGAGGAGAAACTAAGTCAGAATCCGACGAGTCATTTGTGGACCGGAAGCGGGTTTATGGAGTGAACAAGCTGCCGGAGAGGAAATTGAAGACAATTTGGGAATTGGCATGGATTGCATACAATGACAAAGTGCTGATCCTGTTGACGATTGCCGCTGCTGTCTCCCTGGCTGTGGGTATCCCGCAGTCACTGCACCCGGCAGACCCCAATGAGCCGGGCGTGGAGTGGGTGGAAGGTCTTGCCATTCTCGTTGCCATTATCATTGTGGTTACTGTTGGCGCTGCAAATGATTGGCAGAAGGAACGACAATTTGCCAAGCTGAACAAGAAAAAGGAGAACAGACTGGTCCAAGTGATACGATCCGGGAAGACCATTGAGATCTCGATTCACGACGTGCTTGTCGGCGACGTCATGCATCTCGAACCCGGTGACATGGTACCCGTCGATGGTATCCTCATTGACGGTCATGATGTTAAATGCGATGAATCTTCGGCCACCGGTGAATCAGACCTTTTGCGAAAGACCCCTGGCGACGAAGTCTACCGAACACTCGTGCAACACGAAGACCTCCGTAAGATGGACCCCTTTATTGTGTCTGGTGCAAAAGTATCCGAAGGCGTGGGGACATTCCTGGTTACTGCCGTCGGTGTACATACCACTCACGGCCGGACAATGATGTCTCTTCAGGAGGAGGGCGAAACAACTCCGCTGCAAACCAAGTTGAACAAGCTGGCCGAATACATTGCCAAGCTTGGTCTGGCTGCTGGTCTTCTTCTGTTCGTTGTGCTCTTCATCAAATTCCTCGTGCGCCTCAAGGACATGGATGGCGGCGCGGACACAAAGGGACAGGCTTTCCTGCAGATCTTCATCGTCGCTGTTACTATTGTTGTCGTTGCCGTACCCGAGGGTCTACCATTGGCAGTAACTCTTGCACTCGCTTTTGCAACGACACGGATGATCAAAGACAACAATCTGGTCCGCTTTCTCAAAGCATGCGAGACTATGGGCAATGCGACAACTATCTGTTCTGACAAGACTGGGACCCTGACCCTCAACAAAATGAGCGTTGTTTCTGCTACCCTGGGAACCACATCTCGATTCGGAGATAAGTCTGGCTCCGACCAGTCCGAGGATCCCTCTGCTTCTGAATTCGTTTCTGCGCTGTCGCCATCTGTCAAGGACCTACTGCTGCAGTCTATCGTCCTTAACTCCACCGCATTCGAGGGAGAGCAGGAAGGCGTGAAGACGTTTATTGGTTCTAAGACGGAGACCGCCCTTTTGTCCTTCGCACGCGACTATCTCGGCATGGGAGCCCCGGCTGAGGCCAGAGCCAATGCAAAACTCGCGCAGATGTTCCCGTTCGACTCGGCCCGCAAGTGCATGGCAGTGGTCGCGCAGATGGAGAACGGCAAGTATCGGATGCTGGTCAAGGGTGCTGCAGAGATCTTGATGAACAAGTCAACTCGGATCATTCGTGATCCCACCGATGCTCTAGCTGAGGCTCCGCTGTCGGACGAGGACCGGTCCACGCTGGACAATACAATCGTTAGCTACGCTTCGCGTTCGCTGCGGTGCATTGCCCTTGTATACCGTGAATTTGACCAATGGCCACCCCGCGGAGCGCCTACATCCGAATCAGATCGCAGCCAGGCAGTCTTCGAGCCCCTTTTCAAGGACATGACGGTTCTTGGCCTTGTCGGTATCCAAGACCCGGTTCGACCTGGTGTTGCGGAAGCAGTGCACACATGCCAGCGCGCTGGTGTCTTCGTCCGCATGGTCACCGGTGACAATATCCTGACGGCCAAGGCCATCGCTGAAGAGTGTGGTATCTATACGCCGGGGGGCATTGCTATTGAAGGCCCCAAGTTCCGCAAGCTGAGCACGCGTCAAATGAATCAGATCCTCCCTCGACTCCAGGTCATTGGCCGGTCAAGCCCTGAAGACAAAAAGATCCTCGTGAATGCTCTGAAGAAGCTTGGAGAGACTGTTGCAGTTACTGGTGATGGTACCAATGACGCCCAGGCGTTAAAGAACGCCGATGTTGGTTTCGCGATGGGTGTCACTGGCACTGAAGTGGCCAAGGAGGCATCGGATATTATCTTGATGGATGACAACTTTGCATCTATTGTCAAGGCCATGGCATGGGGCCGCACGGTCAGCGACGCAGTGAAAAAGTTCCTCCAATTCCAAATCACGGTCAATATCACTGCTGTAATTCTCACCTTTGTCTCGGCGGTTGCTAGCAGCACGGAAGATTCGGTTCTCAGTGCGGTGCAACTTCTGTGGGTCAACCTGATCATGGATACCTTTGCCGCCCTTGCACTCGCAACAGACCCGCCATCGCCTTATGTTCTTGATCGCCGACCGGAATCAAAAGCGTCGCCCCTTATCACCACCACCATGTGGAAGATGATTATTGGACAGTCGATCTACCAGCTGGTTGTGACATTTGTGCTGAACTTTGCTGGAAAGTCCATCTTCCCCTGGGATGATGGTCATATGCAAACAGTGGTCTTCAACACCTTCGTCTTCATGCAGATTTTCAACCAATACAATTCTCGCCGCATTGATAATAAGCTTAATATCATGGAGGGCATCTGGCGCAACAAATGGTTTATTGGCATCCAGGTCATCATTATTGGAGGTCAAGTCCTGATCATCTTCATCGGTGGCGCAGCCTTCTCTGTGAAGCGCCTCGACCAGGGCTCCCAGTGGGCTGTCAGTCTTGTGCTTGGAGCTCTCTCGGTCCCTATCGCCGTGGTCATCCGCCTTATCCCCGATGAATTTGCCAGCAAACTCGTCCCGCACTTCTGGTACCCCCGCCAGCACAAGAAGGGACCTGAACTCGTCGTCTCAGACGAAGACCGCCGCTATGAGTGGAACCCGGCTTTGGAAGAAATTCGTGACCAGCTGCAGTTCCTCAAGGCTGTCCGCGGTGGTCGGCTGCGACACCTCCGCCACAAGCTGCAGAACCCGCAGGAATTCCTACCCCGTTCTCGCAGCGGATCTCGCTCGCGCGAGTCTTCCGCTCCGCCCACGCCAAACGGTGACAATGGCAGCCCGCCTCCTGGCCCGTCGACCCCCGAGTCCCGGTCCCGCCGCAACACCCGGTCCCGCTCTAACTCAACCTTTGGCCCCGCTGCTGCTATGGCCGGTATCGTGGCTGGGAGCATTGCTGGATGGTCTCCCATTGAGCGGAATCACGACGAGGCGGACTCGATCATGTTCTCGACCAGCGCTGTGCATGGCGGTTTGGACCAGCAGCAAGGTATTGAAATTCACCCCGACACTGCACCTGACGACCGCGTGGTCAGCGAGTATTCTGCCAACTCCAAGACACCACCCAGCCAGAACCCGGACCTCATCCCCTTCTTCGAACATGCGCCTCCCGCTACTGCGACTACAGAGCGAGCACCGTCCAGCCGGAGTCGCCGATCTCTTTCTCAGCGATCTCGCTCAAGTCAAAGCCATTCGCAGGTTTAAAAGCCTGCCAATATCGTAATGATATGTTACATCAAAAAGAGCATTCTCGAGAATTGGCGTTGTTGGATTCCTTTCTTGTTCTGATATCCCGGGCTTCTACATTTTCCTATATTGCCCTGTCTTCATTGTCTCTTTTCTAAGCATGGTTTCTTCCCCTTCCGGTCATCTTTAAATTCCTTTTGTTAATGCATCCTTCTCCATCTGGAATTGCAACTCCTCATCGTTGCGTTTTTGCATTATCTGGCGGAAAGGGACCCGGCGCACTGCTCTGCTGCTGGAAGACAAAAATACGCTTTCATAGACTAACATCGCCCCTTCTTTGCATGTGTATCCCATTTGTATTTTCGGGAAGGGAGTAGCTCAGGCTTTTGTGCTGCTTGCGTTTTTGGGAGGATTGATTTCGGCGTCTTCTGGAAGTCGGCGTGATAGCCGACAGTCACCGTTTGTTTGTTTGTACTTACTTAATTTTGCCTCGATGGGTATTTTATTGCTTGATAGCGTGAAGCTACATCAATCTCGTCCATAATAGTTCGACCTTTTCTCTTCTAGTTCCTAATTTCTAATCACTCTGCGGCGAAGACCGGTAGACGGTTTAGCCTCAACTGTGCCTGTAGCCCCACATGCCTGATCGAGCACGCGGGATACGTGCCCCCGCCAATGTAGCGGCTCTGACTCGTCTTTGTCCGGAGCATGATTAATGGTTCCAACACCACACTCTCGCAGGCCTTCTTGATCTTCGTCATTTCCAATGGATTCGATCATGCTTCCCTCCCAGGGGGAGTTGTTCCAGCGCTGGATCGGTAAGGACATCGCAGACGTGCCCAAGCCCGCCGCCGTGCTCGACAGGGCCATCATCCGGCGGCATTGCAATCGAATGAAGAAGACAGTGCAAGCCCTAGGCGTCGGCTTCAGGGCCCATGTCAAAACACACAAGGTAAGTATCCATCTCCATATCGGTCCAAAATAGAACCAATGGCTAAGCAGCGGACAGACCTTCCAAATCGCCAAGATGCAGATGGACAACGGCGACCCCGAGACGAAATTCATCGCGTCAACGCTTCTAGAGATTGAAATGCTGCATCCGCTCCTGAAGGGAGCCAAAGCTGCACATCACCCCGCCAACGTCCTCTACGGCATCCCGCTCGTGCCCTCGCACGTCCCGCGGCTGGCGGAGCTAGCTGCCGACATCGGTGAAGACAGTATCTCGGTGATGATCGACCACCCAGACCAAATCCCGTATCTAAGACAATTCTTCGAAGTAACCAACTTCCCGGCTTGTGTCTTTGTCAAGGTCGACACGGGGTACCACCGCGCGGGCCTGCCCCCGGCCTCGCTGAACAAGAACGGGCTGCTGGAAAAGCTGGCGGATGCAGAGGTGGAGGGTTGGGTGCGCCTGCTGGGTCTATACTCCCACAGTAGTCTGAGCTATGGCGCCAAGACGGCAGATGAGGCTATGGTGCACTTGATCGGCGAAATTCACGGTTGCAAGGTCGCGCTGAATCGGTGGCTGCCTCTCCTGCCCAAGGGCAGGGAGTTGGTTATCAGCGTCGGCGCGACGCCGCAGGTGTCGTGCTCGCATGACTTGGTGCAGAATGGGAGCGCTTCGCCCGAGGCAGAAGAGCTCAAAGCCTTGCTGCGCAATCCGTGCCCCGAGAATACAGAGGTCAGGGTCAAGATCGAGCTTCATGCTGGGAACTACCCTATCCTGGATATGCAGCAGGTGTCCACGAACGCCAGGAGTGGCGCCGGCAAATTCGAAGATGAGATCGCCATGACTGTCGTCGCAGAGGTGTGCAGCGTCTATAATGACAGCGAGCGGGAGAAACCAGAGGCTCTCATTGCGGCGGGGACCCTCGCACTGGGCCGGGAGCCCTGTGCGAACTACCCTGGCTGGGGCGTGCTCTCTTCCTGGCGGCGCGGTGATGACCCAGGCGCGCCACGACTGATTGTTGACCGCATCAGTCAGGAACATGGCATCGTTGCTTGGGAATCGGGGGTCCAGAGGAGCATTCCGCTGAGTGTCGGACAAGTGGTCAAGGTATTCCCAAATCATTCGTGTGTGGCGGCTGCGTTTTTTGGGTGGTATTTTGTGGTGGACTCGGAGCGGGATCAGGATGGTTCCCAGATTGTTGATGTTTGGGTCAGAGGACGGGGTTCAGATCTCACTGATCCGTTTTTGATGACGAGATTCCAGTAGATATGCAAAGAGATCAATGTAGTATTTGAATATCCTGGGGATCAAGCGTTTCTAACATGGGTATTGGGAGGATGGTGGTTGGTCAAGCACGAGCCATTGAGCGGTATATATGTTCAAGCGATAAATTGAGTTACCAGATGGAGATATCTCGCTGCTGAAGAGGGGGGAGCTAATACATAGGTAGTCCCAAGGGAAAGTACTCAGAATCTACTGCCCCTGCACATCATTAGTCTGCCTTGGGTAATAGTCAGCCACATGGTGGCTTCCACAAGGATTGTTCATGGAAGATAAGCATGCAATCATTAGGCTGAAGAGTATCCGCAATGCAAAAGCTCGAGGAAGTGGAAAAAGGCAATGACAACCGGCCTTCCAGCGAGTATTGCCGACCATCGATCTAGCTGGGTCCAGGTTTTCCAACTATTGTAAAGGTCCCCCATTCCAAACACGCCTACGAATATTGACTTGAAAGAAAATCTACTCTGTGCCGTCCCAAGTATATGCATAACAGATAAGCATCCTCGGGGACCGCTAGTCAAGGGAAGCCTGCTAATTGAGCTCATGAGGTCAGTATCGACTCATAAGGATCAGCAGTTGATCACCCGGTAGATCAAGCCTGGATTTTGCAGGGCTTCCTATCGAACCACGGCCGCGTGTCGCCAAGCATGCAGGAGATGGACGGGACTTGTTTCGCCGGAGGTTATGTACATAAGGGGATCAACTTGTGGGGCGGGAAGGAGAGCCGAAAGCTGGGCTTGCTTTTACTTTGCGGCAGAAATAGACCCGAATTGTGTGATTTGGTACGTAATTTGGCATAATTCGGGATTATGGTCTATCTCCGCAAGAGGGGGGAGTGACTGCATTGACTGCCAACAGAAAGAAGTTGGGCGATGGACTTACATCCGCTATTGGCCCACTGTGAAAAACCCAAAAAAATTTGAACAAATGAACAAATGAACAAAACGAACAAAAGGGAGAAAAGGGTTAAGCTTTGGATTCAATCGTGAATGACCACTCGGTCAAAGTATAATTAGATCTTTCGTTTCCGCATAAACCTACCGAGCCGAGGGGAACCGGGTTCACAAAACCTTGCTCACGCAAGCCAAATTATGTATAACGAGATGGATCTGATCTCAGAGCAGTTTGAAAGGGGATTTCCCTCTCATTGGTCCTTCCGCGTGGATTTCTACATGGACCACAAATCAACAGCTCAGCAAACCACCCACGATCCATAGAAGGGCTTAACATTCTAGCGGGCCTCGTTAGCTGCACATAAGGAAACGTTCAAGCTGATCAATCCCTATTCTCCGGAGCGCTCCGTCAATATGGCCACCGTATAGAAAAAGCGGAGAAAATCCCGTCTCCTTGCAGGGCTCACATTCCAGTGAGAGCATTTCCGGAGCTTAAAGGGTATGCTGACCTACCGTATTAGGAAACACCACAGCGATCCTCAGAAGGCTGGTCGCGCAGCGTGTTCCTCGCTCGCGCTACCACGGGCGGGTGAAGAGGCTATCCCTCGTTCAATGGCATCATGGGTGGGCACAGCAGAGCCCGATTGAAACATGCAATTTCAACAGCGGACACTTTATAGTTCCCCACATGCAACGAGCTTGATGGCGGCTGCGTCCCTGAAACCGCGGCTATGTCTCCTGTGTTGCCCTTGAGCTGGGTATGATTTCCGGTGTGGTCATTGGCTCGGTGCCCAGGCCAGCTGGCCATGGTCCTTGATTGCTAAGGAATGCCCTCGAGCTGCGCAGGTGTTGTTACACTCGTAGCTGGCAAGACAGGGTGATGTCAGGTCCTGTCCCACGGCGGGGGTAAAATGTAAGTCGCTCAGGGCCATTCTTCTTTTTTAATTGATTTTTTATTGATTTTTTTCCTACTTATATCTATCATACCGAAGCTCGTCCACCCCCAACCCCCTCCCGTTGAGTATCGACTAACCGTTCATCCGTTTCTTCTTTACTGTGTGGCCGGAACCGCCTTGGAGGGTCTATCTCACCCGGGGATACATGAGCCTCGATCTGGTTCGTCCGTCGACTCTGTACTGCACATATTCCGACAAGACCGGATTGATGAAATAAGGAGCTGGGAGATATATCAACCTTTTTCCGAGCGCGATTCCACAAATACGCACCAGAATGAGGTCCGACGTTGAAAAGGCGCCTGGATCGCCTTCCCTACACAGCATGAGCCAGCATGAGCTTGAAAATAGCTCTTCTCATGAGCCCATCAAGGAGGCGATCCTCGAACCCAAGCCACAGTCGCGATTTCAACGATGGATTGCGAACCTGAAAAGCGTGGAATCCAGAGGCATCCAGCCGGTGCCTCTGGAAGAGAGGGAGCCAGTGACTTCGTCGACTTCATTGCACATGATGCTGATGTGGTTTAGCATGAGCTTGGCAACCAACAACATTATTGTGGGATCCATGGGAACGCTAGTTCTCGGACTGAGTTTCCAGGATGCCGCTATCTGCGCGGTATGCGGGAACTTGTTGGGTGTTTCGACCGTGGGATATATGAGTACGTGGGGACCACGGAGTGGCAATCGCACTTTAGTAAGTTAGGGCAATGTCATCGCGGCTCTGCTCTCGGCTCTGCTCTCGGCAAAGGAGAGAGAACTCGCGCTAATGAGCCTAAATAGATTGTCGCTCGCTACTTCATGGGCTATTACCCCAGCAAGGTCTGCACCTTGCTGAACATCTTCACCAACCTGGGTTATGCCATGGTCAACAGTGTGGTGGGCGGCCAGATTCTGTCCAAGGTTTCCGGTGGGCACATCTCGGTGCTGGTTGGCATTGTGGTCGTGGCCCTCTCAAGCTGGGCGATGGCCATGTTCGGCATGCGCATCTTCCAGATCTATGAACGGTACGCTGTCTTCTGAATCCATGATGCGCCTCATCTCATTGTATGTTCTAGATTTGCATGGCTCCCCCAACTGATGGTTCTCTGCGTGATGCTGGGCTCTGCGGGCCCCCATTTCGACTTCAAGACCCACACGCCGGTCTCTCCAGGACGTCTGAATGCAAAGCGAATTACCTTCTTCTCGCTGTGCCTGTCCATCGCGCTCGCATGGGCCCCGCTTGCGGCGGACTACTACGTCTATTACCCACCGCACATCAAGCGCTGGCGCACCTGTGCCGTCACGATGCTGGGGTGTGCCCAGGCCATGCTCATCACCCTGCTCCTGGGCATCGGGCTCGGCACCATGATGGTGAGTACGCCCGTGTACGCCGCGAAATACGGGACTACCCCCGGGGGCTGTTGATGGCGGCGTATGATGCACTCGGAGGATTCGGCAAGTTCTGCGCGGTGATCAACGTGCTGGCGCTGGTCGCCAACAACACCCCCGGGGCGTATTCGATGGGCATGAACCTTCAGATGTTGGGTGATGTCTTCGGGCGCGTCCCCCGGCCCATCTTCACCACCCTGGCGACTGTGGTTTATACCGCGTGTGCGATGGGCGGACGGAACTCGTTGTACGAGATTTTCAAGGGCTTTTTGCCGCTCATTGGGTATTGGGTGGTGATCTGGTTGATCGTTGTGATCGAGGAAGACCTGATTTTCCGTCGGATGACGGGCTATGACTGGTCGGCGTGGAACACGCCGCAGAGGCTGCCAGTGGGGATTGCGGCGACCGTGTCGTTCGTGATCGGATGGGCCGGGGCGATTATTGGCATGGTCAGTACAAGCATTTCTAATCCTTCCCGAGTGATTGAGGCCCGGAACAAATGCTGATGGTAGCCCAGGACCAAGCCTACTATAGCGGCCTCCTCGCCCAAATTGCATCGGGCGCGGACTTGGGCCTTTGGACTGGCGCGGGATTCACCGCTGTGGTCTTCCCACCACTGCGGGCATTCGAGCGATGGTACTTTAGGCGCTAGGCGAGTCCAAGGTCGGGAGGGTGCTCGAGCCGGGAGGAAGCATCGATGTTGTTCGAGCATATGAAACATGAAACCCCACAGCCCCGGTCCGGCGGCCAGCGAAGGGATCCCCGCGGTCCGTGCCGATAGAGGAGTACATAGCATTTTGATCCAGTTCCGCTGGCCGGTAAAGATGACATCGAAGTACTGTGGCGCTGTTCAGGGCCTATGGGCCTATCATTTAAATATCAGGGAGTTACTCCGTACTTGTTGACTATAAACCCCTCCGGATAAACGAAAAGAAGTGATCAATTTCCCTTGAGCTTCGTCAGCTAAAGAAGCTGGGTAGCGCAGCTAAACCTAATCGAACTAGACTAGGGCGTACCCGCCAACTCAACCAAATCACAAGGCGCGGATTTCAGCCCATGGCGGCTGCATAAATGCTGCGTGGCGCTCTTGTGCTGGGGTCTGAACGAAAAGCACCGCCACTTGAGCTACCCACGAAAGTGCTCCCCCTCACACCTAAACCTTTCTGCCCCGAGACCGTTGCTTCGTTGTCCACCGACACCATGAATAACGTCACCGTGCGAGCAGCGCAGCCGCTCTCCGACGCGGCGAAGGCCATCCTAGATGCCGCGCCGCGACACTGGATCCCTTATGCCCTCGGTCTGCTCGTGGGCTACCCCCTTCTCACGAGCGGCCTGCGGTACCAGCGGCTGCGGACACTGCACAAGAAGTATCCCTATGCCACCCGGGCGGACATGGCTAAGATGACGGACGACCATGCGTTCGAGATCCAGAAGTCCGTAGCACAGCTCGAGTTTCCGTTTATGTTTATCAAGGCACTGCAGTTTGCCTTGTTTAGGGTATGGAAGAACAAGAACAACCATTTCATGCTTTTCATGCTGATCTTGAGCTTTCCCCCCCCCTTCTCCCCCCATATTTGACCCATTTCAATAACTCCGCTCATCACCTTTGATCCCGCCCATACTAACATCCACCCCCCAGACCTACGGCATCCCAACAATCTCTCGCCTCCTCACCACCACCACCCAGTTCTCCAACCCCGAAACATCACTCAAGCGCTACACCGACACCAGCGCGCTTATCCAAGAAATGGTGGGCAACAGCCCGACCTCTCAGCGCGCCTACATCTCGCTCGCCCGCACCCGCTTCCTGCACAGCGGATACCGGGCCTCGGGCAAGATTCTCGACGACGACATGCTGTACACGCTCGCCCTGTTCGCACTGCAGCCCATCCGCTTCATCAACCGCTTCGAATGGCGCCAGCTAAGCGACCTGGAGCGTTGTGCCATCGGCACATTCTGGAAGAGCGTCGGCGATGCGCTGGAGATTAGCTATGCGAAGCTGCCGTCCGGAACGGCGGGATTCCAGGATGGCATTCAGTGGCTGGACGAGCTGGATGCGTGGAGTGAAATGTACGAGGTGCAGTGCATGGTGCCCGATGCGAAGAACCGCGAGACGGCGGACCAGACCACGGCGATCCTGGTGTATATGCTGCCGACAGCGCTGCACCCCGTGGGACTGGAGTTCGTCTCGTTCATGATGGATGATCGGCTGCGTCGGGCAATGCTGTACGTGGCGAAAGCGAAAACATGCTTCCCGTGGTCGGTGTGACGTGTGACTGATATTTCAATTCTAGCTACGACCCGCCTTCTTCCATTGCGAGGGTTGTCTTCTCCAGCCTGCTCACCATTCGCAAGCTTTTCCTGCGGTATCTGTGCCCGCCGCGGCCGTATTTCTTGCGCTACGCCTCGTTCACCGAGGAACCGGATGAGAATAACCGGTTCTTCCTCACTGAGTGGGAAGCAGCGCCGTATTATGTCAAGCCGACGTTCTGGAACCGCTGGGGTCCGATGGCGTGGGTGACCCGAATGCTGGGACGGCCGCTGCCGGGCGACGAGGGAGATAAGTATTATCCTCATGGGTATCACATCCAAGACATGGGGCCGCGCTATTTTGAAGGCAAAGGGCGGAAGGCGCTTGAGGAGGCGATGGAGGAATTCAAGGAGTATCGGACAGGGAAGTGCCCATTCCATTGAGTGGGCCAGGAGCACGCGGGTTGGAAGATTGAGGTCGACTGAAAATGAAGCTGGGTTAGCTGTTCATGGTACATCTGGTCGGCGCCAATACACCAGATCTACATGGGAAATATAGATTGATACGCGGACCATTCGCATCATGCGAATGGATTTGGATTACGGACAATGAAAGTCATTTCGTCGATGGATTTTCCAGTATGTATTTTGGCCCGGCAGTCGGAAGTCCGCCAAAAACCGACAAGCAGGAAGATAGGGACAGAATAAAAGGTAGGGGGAAATTAGGCGCTCAAACAAGATACTTGGGGTCGGAGCCAGACCGGGACAGCTTAGCCCCGGACACGTAGAGAATGGAGGCTGATCGAAGGGTATTACTGAAAGCAAATCTCAAAAAAGCCGGAGATCAGCATATTTAGACTTCCTCCTCGAGACCACCCTCCTCGAGACCACTATAATCCTGGGTTAGTAAAGGATTGATGTTGACCCAGGGACGGTCGATTAGGGGTCGGTGCTTACTACTCCTCCTCGCCCTCGGAGATGGAGGCTTCCTGGTACTGCTGGTACTCGGAGACAAGGTCGTTCATGTTGCTCTCAGCCTCAGTGAACTCCATCTCGTCCATACCCTCACCAGTGTACCAATGCAAGAAAGCCTTGCGACGGAACATGGCAGTGAACTGGTCACCGATACGCTTGAACAGCTCCTGGATGGAGGTCGAGTTACCGACGAAGGTGGAAGACATGCGGAGGCCACGGGGGGGGGACGGAGCACAGAGCGGTCTGGACGTTGTTGGGAATCCACTCAACAAAGTAGCTCTGGTTCTTGTTCTGGATGTTGCGCATCTGGTCGTCAACCTCCTTCATGGAGATCTTACCGCGGAACAGGGCGGAGCAGGTAAGGTAGCGGCCGTTGCGGAAGTCCGAGGCAGCCATCATGTTCTTGGGGTCGAACATCTGCTGGGTCAGCTCGGGCACGCTGACCTGGCGGTACTGGTGGGCACCGCGGCTGGTCAGGGGAGCGAAGCCGACCATGAAGAAGTGCAGACGAGGGAAGGGAACCATGTTCACAGCCAGCTTGCGCAGATCGGAGTTGAGCTGACCGGGGAAACGGAGGGAGGTGGTGACACCGGACATGACGGCGGAGACCAGGTGGTTCAGGTCACCGTACGAGGGCTGAGTGAGCTTGAGAGTGCGCATGCAGATGTCGTACAAAGCCTGGAAAAGAGGAATCGGTTGGTTAGACGATCTCCCAGATAGTTGCGATTGAGTCTGCTACACGCTGGGGCCATACCTCGTTGTCAATACAGAAGGTCTCGTCGGAGTGCTCAACCAGCTGGTGGACGGACAGAGTAGCGTTGTAAGGCTCAACAACGGTGTCGGAGACCTTGGGAGAGGGCACGACGGAGAAGGTGGCCATCATACGGTCGGGGAACTCCTCACGGATCTTGGAGATCAGGAGGGTACCCATACCAGCACCGGTACCACCACCCAGGGAGTGGGTGATCTGGAAACCCTGCAGGCAGTCGCAAGCCTCGGCCTCACGGCGGACGACATCGATGACCTGGTCGACGAGCTCGGCACCCTCAGTGTAATGACCCTTGGCCCAGTTGTTACCAGCACCAGACTGGCCGAAGACGAAGTTATCGGGACGGAAGAGCTTGCCGAAGGGGCCGGCACGGACGGCGTCCATGGTACCAGGCTCCAGATCGACCAGAACGGCACGGGGAACGTACTTGTCACCGCTAGCCTAGGAAACAAACAATCCATCGGTTAGGTGCATCTCGTCGTCATTGAGCAGGAACACAACTTACGTGGGTGAAGTAGACGCTCATCCGCTCCAGCTGGAGGTCGGAGGTGCCGTTGTATCTAGCAAAAACATCAGACCGCCATTCCGCCTCGTATGGTAGCCGAAGGACTTACTGGCCATCGCCATCAAGGCCGTGCTCGCCAGCAATGGTTTGCCTGTGGTTGAGTCAGCACAACCGGTCCATCCATTCGAGCAATTGGTGTTGTTGTCGTGCTGGGATGTTTTTTTTGGCGGGAAGTGGCACGTACCAGAAAGCGGCACCAATTTGGTTACCCTACAAACCCAAATTCCGTTTAGTTGGAACAATCACATTCCTTGCACAACACGTCTTCCACGTGCTTCTGGGTGTCACTTACACACTGGCCGGTTTGGAGGTGGACCTAATGTTCGTGAAAAAGGCTGAGGTTAGCAAAGGCTGAACAGGTGGGGTTGGTCTTCTTTCAGGGGTTAAGGCCACAACACAGGACGCGTCGGGTGGGAGTAGGACGTACGATCTCACGCATTGTGGGTGGAATGGGGCGGGATTGACTGGGATGATGGTCTTGGAAGGGTGGAGGAGGAGGTTGGATGACCAGAAGTCCAGGAGATGGGGAGAAGGAGAGAGGGAAAAGGTCGGTGTGTGGGCGTGGGGATCAACAACACGGCCATAGGGAACGCTCAGGGGGGTCGCCCAAATCAGGCTTAGCTCCATTGGGCCAGTCAGGTGGAGATCAGGTGACCAGTAACGGGCGGGAACCGCGAGGTGCGAACCACACTTTGGTGTTTGCTCTGTTTGCTCATGCTCATTATCGTATTGCTGGAACTATGGCTCCGGCTCCTCATGGTGATGGTAAATCACACTGGCTATGGTACACATACACTGGCGAGAGAACCTCCTCTCTGTCTCTTCCCCCATTTCTATCTGCCCTTTCTGCAGCGCATTGTTCTGCCTGATTTTCTCATTTCTCACTCTCGAGCCAGTTTCCAAACTCATCCAATCGCTCTTGCTCTTCTTCGTCCTCTGCATCAATGCCCCGCTCGGCCATGTCCTCCAGAGCCGCCCGTCGCTCATTGGTCTTCTTAAACTTCTCACGTCCTACAGAGACATACGCTTCAACGCGGGTACCGCCAAAGAATCGGCCATCCATGACCTGATGATAGTGTTAATACCCAGCTATATCAGATGAAAAGACCCCAAACGTAGAGGTAAAAGAGAGAAGAAACATACCTTGACACACTGCCGGGCAGCTGCGGGGTCTGCAAATCGGACGCTCACCACTCCCTCCGGCTCCTTGTCGTAAAGCACTACATTCGTGACCTCTCCGACCTTGGCGCATTCATCACGAATGTCTTGTTTGATATCCAGGATTGCCGCAGCATCCTCCTGCATGGCCGGGGTCAGCCCGACCGAGTTCCAAATCCAAATCGCGGTTTTAGGGACGCGCTTACCTCCAGTTCCTTCAGCGTGAACATGTGCTTCAAGATCACCGTCTTGTCCTGCCGGGAGTTGGTGTCCGGAAGGGCAGACGGCTCATCATCATCCCAATCTGCCAGTTTACTGTGGAAATTTGTCAGCACCAGGAAAGAGCACGCAGTGACCGGGAGCAGGAGACAGACCTGTTCAGTCTTTGGGTTCGCTCCATGATCTTTCGCTTGTCACGCATGCTGCTCTTTGGCGGCGCCTCCTTCTGGCTCTTGAAAGAGAGTTCGGCTGCCTGCACCTTCATCGGTCCCAGAGGTCCGGGCTGCCCAAACCGGAAATCGGTCTCATCGAGCATTTGAATTGCCAGGTTGACAGATTCTGGTCGGAAGTAGACCACTAATGCTTCGCCCTTGAACTTGCCGCTCTCATCATTGTACATCTTGATACGCGGATTGCCGCTGTCGATTTCCTCCGCGATCATGCCGCAACGGGAGAAAACGTCACGGATTTCCGTGAATTCAGCATCGAGGGGGAGAGAGGTGATCCACACCGCAGTGTTCACGCGTTGTTTTTTTGGTTTTTGTCCCTGGCCCTATGAAAAAACGATTGTTTCAGCACTGAGTGCCTCCGACCGTCTATCATGTCACGGCACTTACATCCTCGGTGCTGGCTTGTTGCTTCCGCTTCTTCATATCGCGGGGGGTGATTGCCTCGTCCTCGTCCACACCTGCGACCTTGTAGGCCTCTTGCTGCTGGCGGAGCAGCTCCTCATCGATCTAATACACCGTATACAATCAACACCTGATGCAAAGATGGCAGCAATACCGATTCCGAAGTCGCGGCGCAAACGCCGCGCTCGCTGGAATGGCAAGACACAAGCAAAGGACGGGATATAACATACTGTCTGAACCCAGCGCTTGATACCCATATCATACTCAAATTCCTGTCCATCCTCAGTCTCCAGGATGAATTTATCATCGAGCTTCGAGAAAGAGATCCGTGGGTCACTGTCGAACTCCGACGGGTCCAGCGGGAACTTGCGCGCGGGCGCATCGCCCCTGTCGGAGCTCGTCGAGGCCATTTCCAGACTGATGGAGTGTGTCTGAGCAATGCGAAAGAAGATAGGCAGTCTTAAGGTTTAATTCATGGATTGGCAGGTGAACGTATGGCTAGATCGCGGGGCGGGAAGCTGTCGGAGGAGCTGCAGCGGCCCGGGAGCTCCAGTGACATTGACCGTCCAAATCACATGGGACGGGAACCGTGCCTCGCCAACTGCCCAATTGCTTGCACTACGCTCATCTACCCTCTACATTGACCCACTATGAAAAATTCCTAACAGCAATTGATGTATGGTTTTCTTATTTTTCGTTTTGAAAGGGTATCTGACACATGCTAACGAATAAAAGTAAGGAAAGAAAATAAAATAAAAAACGATATCCTGAAGAAGGCCCCCCAGCAATCCGTCATGCGACAGATATATATAAAAAATGGACAGAGAATTGGCCTGGATATTTTTCCACCAAGAAAAAAAATTAAGTATTAAAGAATGAAAAATTTGCAAGGCGAAATTGATCAGACCTTGGCTTCTTCAAGGCCAGCGGGGGCATCGCCGGTCGGCGTCATGGTACGCTTGGAGCCGGTCTCGCTGCTCTCCACGCCGTTAACAATGTCGCGAGTCAACTCGACGTAGTCGTACTGTTAATATGATCATTAGCAGTTGATTCAGATGCGACCAGTTGAACGTGTATAACTTACAGCAAACTCGCCAATCTCGGCATCATCAATACCCATGATCTCGTCCTCCTCGGGGGCGCGCAGGCTGAGACCGGGGATGAGGTTCAGGATGAACAGGATGAGGCAGGTACCGACGAAGGAGTAGGCAAATCCAGTGACGGAGTCAGCAAGCTGGTAGCCGAGCTGAATCCAGTGGTGGTTGATCCAGCCACCGGGGATCACAGTAACGCCGTCCAGGTGAGCAATGTAGTCACTGAAGCCAATTAGTTTATGGTGCGAAACAAAGGTGAAAAGAAATTCAACTTACGCAGCAAAGAAGCCAGTGAGGAGGTTGCCAACCAGGCCGCCGACGGCATGGACAGCAAAGATATCCAGAGCATCGTCCACACGGAGCAGGAACTTCAGCTTAGTAGCATAGTTGCAGGCGACGGCACCTACAACACCGAAGATGAAGGCAGCCCAGGGAGTCACAAAGCCGGAGCCAGGAGTGATGGCAACCAGACCAGCAATGACACCCGAGCAGAAGCCGACCGTAGACCACTTGCGCTCCAGACGGTAGTCGAGCAGGCACCAGGTCACGCCACCAACCGAAGCAGCGAGGTTGGTCACAACGGCAGCCATGACAGCACGCAGGTTAGCCGACAAGGCGGAGCCAGCATTGAAGCCGAACCATCCAACCCAGAGGAAGACAGTGCCAATCACAACGTGAGTAACGTTGTGGGGACGGTAGTTGAGCTCGTGGGTGCCGTGTCCACGACGCTTGCCCAACATCACCGAGTAGGCCAGAGCAGCCGAACCGGAGGCAATGTGAACGGGAGTACCACCCGCGAAGTCGAGACCCCCCATCTTGAAGACCCAACCGGACGCATTCCAGGTCCAGCATGCAATAGGATCGTAGATAACGGTGGTCCAGATAAACATGAAGACGATGCAGGGCAGCATGCGGCCACGCTCCGCAACAGCACCGACAGCAAGGGCGACACTAGATGCATCCAGTCAATGACCCGTTTCACACAGCGCTCCGTTTTAATTGAAGTTGGACTCACGTAATAGCAGCGAACATGCCCTGGAAGATGGCGAACAGAAGATCGGGGACCTTGGTGCTGCCGACGGACGGGGCGGCTAAGACATCCTTCATACCAAAGTTCTGCAAATCACCAATGAACTTTCCAGCCGTGTGGGAGAAAGCCAGTGAATAACCCCAGAAGAACCACTGGAACGAGACCACGCCGACAGACATGATGGAAAGCCATATCAGAGAAAGGGCCGACTTGCGACGGGCGAGACCGGAGTAGAAGAAGCTAGGCGAGGTCAGTACAGCTGATCCGCCACGAACTGCCAATTGCAACTTACCCAACTCCCGGAATCATCAGCAGAACGAGAGCGGACGAAGTAACCACCCAAGCGATATCGCCGGCCTAGAGAATCCCATCAGTCAACATGTGCATGAAGAACACCCCCGTCACGGCCAATGCATACATTATAGTAGATGTTCAGATCCTCCGTCAACGAATCGCCGCCCGTGCCCGTGGCGGAACCATTGTAGGCCACCGGGTATGCAGACATGGTGACACCAGATGTGTACAGGCGTGCTCAAGCGTATCACAGCGGAGAGAGCAGTGACAATGGCGGCAGTCGAGCAGCACAGCCAGATAGATCACTTAAGCACCGGCGGATAGTGATCAGCTCAGCGATTCCCCGAAAGACAATCAGGGGGAATCCGACGACAAAAGGTGAGAGCGGGTGTAGGGTAGATTAGAGGGCGAGGATTTCTTAAACCAACCGGCTGGTGGAGCTGGAAAGGGGAAATGGGGGAAAAGAAAAGCTGATCTATCCAGCACCTGCAGGGACCGGGCTTGATAATTAAATAGCGACAGGCAATATGTTCGGAACAGACGTACAGGGCTCCACCACCGGCGCTAGAAGACGAGCGCTGCTTCTGATCTTGGGCCTCCGATAGTGGAACCACAAGTGTGGTCATGGTGATTGTTGGTATGATTCATCGGCGCGGACTGATAGCTTTGGCCAAGCACGCCCCATTCCAGCCACGGCCGGAATAAGGAAGGTTGTGGGCTTGGCTGTATGGACCCAGACGGGGAATTACGGGCTCCAGCGCCAAAGTATAGAGCATGGTGCGAAGTATGATCACGAACCTACCGCTGTTTTTGTAGGGAGAAACTACGAGCTAGAAGCTCAGTCAGAGCTCATCGTACAACGTGATGCTATGCAGCGATATCCAAAGAAATTTCCCGGCCGCAGTCAGGTACCAGAGCCCCTCTGGTCGTGAACAGGGTAGTTCAAGCGTGATCGGAGGGGAGCACGTCAGCATGCAGAGCGATAAGCGGGGGGTCGGAGCCCTCTTGTGATAGCATGATTGGGTCATTTGGTGACAGATGGAAGCGAATAATGGGAATTGACATGGAAACCGCTCTAATCGCCAGGAATAATCCAGTCAGAATCAGCAGCAATGAAGAGCAATGAGTGACTACCGTGGCTGGCCCCACGACTGGCTGTAGATATGAAGTCGGGAGTCAGCCAATCAGCGGCTGCTGTGGCTTATCTATGCTCGACACTCTTCAAAAAGTCCCACCTCGGGTAGTCCGCAAGTAGACCAAACACGCGAACAGCGTCGCCTGCCGCGGACCTGCGTGATATCTTTGTTTTCGAACTCTCGGAATCTCCGACATAACTAGTAATCTGATAATCAGATCCAACATAACCAACTTGATAATATTTGGGGTAAGGCGAAGTACTCCGTAGAACGACATATTCCGAACCGCTCTTATCAGCCAGCTTGGGGGCAGCCAATCAACGCCCGGTCATTCGGCCTGTCAGGACTGTTTATCGCTGCCGGTCCGAAGTCTCAACCCTCTCATCTCCCAACTCTCATCCTCCCCTTTCATTCCGAGCGAACCCGCCAGACAAGGCTTTATCCGTGGTTCGTATTTTCTGCATGCAATTAAGTCCAGCTCTGGGCCTTTGCCCGTTTCGCCATCTCCCCGCGCCTCTCTGATGACACCATCTTCGAATCTAAATACGGAGTTTTTACGATTGACATAGGGACGGGCAATACCATAGGATACCGGGCTAAGCCTCGAGCTGGAGACTCAAATTCTAAAATTTCGGTCGTCAATGATTGCTCTCCCCCCTCGCATCCAGTCTAAAATATTTCCAAATCCGGAGTAGATACGTCCTTCTCCGTATTCTTCGGGATGGAGACCCCGGCCCCACTGGTCAGGGACACCGCGGTCCCCCGAGAACGCATGGGGCGCGCTGCGACTACTTCGTCGCCACGCGGTCTGGGGAATGCCAAGCCGTGATAAGTCTTGTGTTGCTCATTGGCTGCGGAGACTCTGCAGGCTGGTGTAGGCTTCAGTCGGCATCCCAACGCAGATCTTGGCATTGTTTCAATACTCGCGTGCATAGCTACCCCGGGTGAGTTTGTTCTTGGCATCTAGATGCAGCTGCTATTTGTGCCGCTAGTGATTCTCCTCGCCTCATGAACACCTCGCTTCAGTCGATTCCTCCCTTCTATGAGGGTTGCAGGTGGCACATGTCCTCGTCGTCCTCCATGAGACCGGCCAGCCCAGGCCCACCCACAGCATCAGCAATCTTCGTGAATGGATCTGCTATATCGCCCCTCCTTGGCTTGGATCATCGATATACATACACCTCGCAAGTTTTTCTATGACCTAAGACATATTCCGGGTACGGCCCACTGATCGACGTGGAGGTGAGCAATGACGATCTACCGATCTAACGGACAGGGAGGTGGAAGCGGAGGAGTCTTTCCTTGAGGCTGATTTCTTCTCGGTTGCCCCGGGTTTTTGCTGATCACAACACCCTTAGGGCTAGACTGCACGCTCTACCACCGAAGCGGGAAGGAATCCTTCCATGAGAGACGGAAGATTACGAGAAAAAAAAGATCTGAGCCCTTTTTGCCACTGCGTAGACACCTTTGGGTATAGACTATTACTACGTCGATAGACATGTATACTGTCTCCACAGGAGAAGCTTCGAACCCTCGGAGACTTGCAAGATGTCTATGTACAACAACTAGTTGATAGCCGTGTCTCATCTCAATCCAGTACCGGCGAGTAAAAGCTATTTCGAACCTTTTGTACTCTATTGGGCAACCAATAATACTAATGAAAATCAACATCCAAGGTCGTCACAAGAAATTTACCAAGGATTGCGGTTCGTGAATCCACTTTGAGTAGTTAGCGCACGGCTTTGAAAAAGTGGCTGAAGTAGCGAAACCTAAACGGACTGTCTCTTCTCGACCTCTTAGGTCCAAACATTACCAATGTCCACATCAGGACATAAAGACATCATCTCCCCTCAATAAATCTGCGGTATCTTGCTTACGAGAACTATCTTACGTTTCCAGATTAGCCAGTAACTGGCAAGAAAGATGAATCTGTGCCGTTTCACCGGATAATACCGATCCACATTCTCTCCGCCTTCCGGACAGTGGCCACGTCCCCGCGTCTATATTTGACTTGGTAATGAATCACCCTCTAGCACTAGTTTCCTTTCGTTTCCAGAATGAACATGTCGTTCGCCTCAAGTACCCCACACCAGACAAGTCAGCCGAATAGCAAAGAGTCACCGGATGAAACCTTGAAACCCCTATCAGAGTGGATTTGAAAATCTAACTCCAGCAATACACATATCAGCTCAGAGATCGTGAATTGCGTCTGCGCGAGATGAGGCTCCGCGCAGGATTATCAAGTCTAGATAATGAAATTCGAATCATGGAGCAAGAAAAGGTGTAAAGAGCCACAATTTTTTCTCCGTGGTGGAAAGCTCGAGACAGAGGAGCAGAGATAACAGTGCGATCTTGCATATCCCGGTGGAATGATTACGAAACGATGTATCAGACAAATGGAGGAAATCCAAGAAAGCGGCGCCGAGGTCGACACTTCAATAATTACTTCGTCATACCATCAACATCTCTTTCGATTGAGTCAGAAATCCGAAGAAATAAAGAGAAAAACCGAAGGAATACCGAGAGGTTGTAAAATAAGATTATAATTAAGATTAAAATATGGCATAGCAGAGGAGACAGGACGTGAGGCAAGAACTATTACGAGTACAAAATGCACAACGAACAAAAACTTGCCAACATAATTATTATTGGAATTGATTGATTTGAGAGTCAACTTCGATGTAGCCTCTGTATAGAGACGACACGTTGCTCTAAGATGTAACGTGAAGAACTGTTCTAGAAAGAAGAAACATAGGATGTATAGAGTTGTAGGGAATAGATACAAATATTTCGATTCAAGCGACTCGCCATTGGGTAGCCACTGGTAGAACTGATACTTCACATTGATGAATGTATCTACGAGCAGTTTTGTATTCAATCTTTGGTGGGTTCCTGGTCCTATGAATCCCCTACCACACTCCGTAGATCGCATCATCTTCACTGGTTTGTCTCAGCGAGATGATCAGCACGCGTGACCGCGAGCAGGGGTGCCGTTTAATATAAATCAGGACGCAGACTCGCTGCCACATACGTGATCGTTGCTCACGACTCCGCTGGATCCGGTAGGATACGCAGCCGATCTCTGTCATAGCCAGCTGAGAAGCTGAGACGGTGAGGGCGGAAAGCAGGGATTGCAGGATCGCGACAAGCGCGACCGGGGTCCCCCCGGGCGGAGGGCCCTTCATTGGCCCCGCCACCCACCCGCACCGCCACAGGCCCCTATCATTCCCTGAGCTCCATCCCATCGCCAGAGCTTTCTTGCATCACACGGTCCACCATGGAGCATCCCGACATCGCTAGCCACGACTCGGATGGCTCGGGGTCCTCGGATGAGTTTCCCCCTCAATACCCCCTGAGGGCCAACTCATCCTCCGGCGAGGGCTTCATCGATGGTGCTCAGATCCAGACTCCGGCCACCACCATTGCCTCCTCACCTCCATCCCACTCCTCGAGCCTGGGATCCTCATGGACCAGCAATTCGACTACGCGGCCACGCGGGGCTAGTGTTGGGGCCGCCGCCGTCCTCGAGAAACCCGATCCTCATGCCATGGCCACTGATCTACGTCCTCAACGTCCGTCGGCGCCCGCGAGAACCCCCTCCAACACCTACGCCCCCCAGCGCCGCCCGCCACAGTATATTAGCCTCCAGAGCGACCGGCAGCGCTCTTCGTCGGCGAAAAGAGGCACCCGACGCGACCCAAACGCACAATATCGCGCTCAGGAAAAGGCTTATGTGCAGCGCATTCGGGCTAATCCGCAGGCCTGGTATCACCACTTTGACGACGACCCGCAATCCGCCAACATGGTCGTCGCAGATGCCGATCTCGAGGACCCTTCGCCTTCCTCTGAAGTGCCCTTTGATGACGATGCTTACGATCCCGATACCCAATTATTCCTTGCCGATGACAACCTGCCGACGATCGAAGAACTGAAGAACCCGAAGAATCAAGAACGGCTGGAGTGGCATTCGATGTTGGCTTCTGTATTAAAGGGAGATGTGGTCAGACAAGAGAAACAGCGCTTGATCGACTCCACTGAATCGAAGCGATCAGCTGCTTTGGGCCATGCCCTCTGGATGGGCGTTCGGGCCAGGACGTGTGGACGAAGCCTTGCCCTCCAACGGAAGCTCATTGAGGATGCTCGAGCACAGCTTAACCCTGTGATCGAAGATATCATCAATTTCCAGATCAAGGGGGAGACAGAAATCGGCAAACCGCCCAGGCAGCAGGTTGAGGATGTGGTGGAGAAGATCGAGAAATGCGAGGTTCTCTACTCTACGTCCAAAGAGATGGAAGCTGCGAACCCTCGTACCGCTTCGGAAGAATTCTACTCGAGTCGTGCCGCCATTTTTGCCTGGCATAATATTACGGCTCTCATCAACACTGAGCTGGCCGTATTGCAAAGCTGGGTCGGCAACGATGCTCTGGATTTCAGCCAGCCCAGAACGAAATCTGAGAATAGTGACCTGTCGGATGAGTCAACTTTCCTGGATCGTATCATGAAGGAAGACGGACTGAAAACGCTTCAGGGCGACCACAGCATGCTAAACGGACTTGGCGGTGTGATTCAAAAGGCAAAGGGCACATTGATTGAGAATGCGGAGGCTTTTGCTGCTCGACATCTACCCCCTTATATCGAAGAGCTCTTGACTTTGATCAATTTCCCCTCACGGCTGATCCAAGAAATCATTCGCGTCCGATTGTCCTACGCCAAAAATATGAAGGACCCCGCTCAGCAGTCTCCTATCTTGGTGGATCAGATGATCTCTCAGTTCCAGATTTTGATGAGGGTGGCGACTCAAATCAAGCAGCGCTATCTGGCTATCTCGAGTCCCGAGCCTGGCTGGGATCTACCGCCTTGTGTTGACGAGAACTTCGACTCGGTGGTCTTAGATGCCATGAAATACTATTTCAAGATTCTGAACTGGAAATTGAATGCCAACAAGAACACATTCAAGGAGGCTGAAATCCTCGAACAGGAGTGGGAGTTCTCCTACGTTATCGGCCGGCAACTGGAAAGCGGCGATATCGAGGTGGCCGAACAGTTTAGGTATTTCAATTCACACATCTAACGAATGTACCAGAAACTAACTATCTTTTTCATAGTGCTTTGACTGCCAAGTCACTTCAACGCCTTATGATTCACTTCGAGCGCGAGCTTGTACCGAGACCTAACGAGTCGGTAGCGGATATGGACAAGCGCTATAAGAGCATTCTGGATTCAACTCGTATCCGCCAGCGCAAATTATACCGATTCTCCAAATTCCTCTGTCAACTCTTCGAAAATGCCACCGAGTACAACCTCTCAGCCGATATCGCGTACGATTTCTTCGAGGCGCTACTTGTCTCTGACCATTTCCTTGTTACCTCGCCCAGCTCAGTGGGCCAGAGGGGAGTCTACCTGATTGCGCACCATTCGTTATGGAATCGACCTGCCGATATCCAAGCTATTCTTGCCACCTCATTCCGCGAAGACGAAGCTACGAAGGACGGGCCACACATTCCGTATGTGCTGGTCATTCGCCCGGAGAAGCCCGTGGCATGGGCTGGCAAGGAAATGCAGGTGGATTTCTTGGAGCAACCGACAGACGTTCGTCTTGGCAAGCTGCGTCTAGTTGTTGAGGGCATGCAAGAGCGACTGCAGAATGCCAGGATGGAGCTGGCCCAGCTCACTGGGATCCAGCTGGATATGGCGATTGAGCAGCGCGCGAATCTTGGCCGTGTGAACGTGGAGTTGAACAAGATCAAGAAAATATCCTTCAAGCTGTCCATGGCTATCATGGACAGTGTGGCTGTGATCAAGGATCAACTTCGGGAGAAGACGTGGGAGAACAACGACCTGATTCAGGCTTGCTATGCGTTCGCAACTGAGTTTGGTAAGCGTTCTTCCAATTATGTCGACGCCAATCGGCGCGCTATGAACAGTGCCCGGCTAGTGGAGCTGTCTCTCGACTGGGTTTCTTTTATCTGTGATGAATGCGATGCCGCTGACCGAAAGACCTTCAAGTGGGCGGTGGCTGCCCTGGAGTTTGCGATGGCCATTACTTCCAGCCGACATCTCCTGTCGATGGATGAGGAAGAGTTTAGCCGTCTGCGGTCGAAGGTCGCGGGGTGCATGTCCCTGCTCATCTCCCACTTTGATATCATGGGCGCTCGTTCATCTCTTGCTGCTCAGGCTGAGAAACAGCGAATGGAGGAGCGTGCTGGTGCCCGCAAGGACGGCGCTGGTCGCATGCTAACTGACGAAGAGGCATCAAGGCTTATACGCGAGCAGTGGCACGCTCGAGTGATGGAGATTGAAGACCGCAGAGTGGAGGAAGATGCCAAACGCCAAGCCCTCGGAAAGGTCCTAGAGAGCTCCAACGAGGCCGACAGGTCTCTTACGGTTCTCTCATCCTCTGCCACGAACGTCACACTACGGTGGCAGCAAGGCCAGTTCATCGGTGGCGGTACCTTCGGCTCTGTGTATGTTGCTATCAACCTGGATAGCAATTATTTGATGGCTGTCAAGGAAATCCGTCTGCAGGATCCCCAGTTGATACCTAAGATCGCGCAGCAAATTCGCGATGAAATGGGAGTTCTGGAAGTGTTGGATCATCCAAACATCGTGTCCTATCATGGCATTGAAGTGCACCGTGACAAGGTTTACATCTTCATGGAGTACTGCTCGGGCGGCTCACTCGCTAGCTTGTTAGAGCACGGCCGCATCGAAGATGAGACGGTTATTATGGTCTATGCACTCCAACTCCTCGAGGGTCTCGCCTATCTGCACCAAGCAGGTATTGTGCATCGAGACATTAAACCCGAAAACATCCTGCTCGATCACAATGGAGTCATCAAGTATGTGGATTTCGGTGCCGCAAAGATCATCGCCCGATCGGGTCGCACAGTCGCACCGATGGACGCGCCCAACGGCGGTATTCTCGGAAAGGATGCCCAGATTCCCAACCAGCGCAAAAACCAGAAAACTACCACTGGTACCCCCATGTACATGTCTCCTGAAGTCATCCGTGGCGACTCCCCCAACTTGGTCAACCGGCAGGGCGCCGTTGATATTTGGTCCTTGGGATGTGTGATCTTGGAAATGGCGACTGGTCGCCGTCCCTGGTCTACTCTTGACAATGAGTGGGCGATCATGTACAACATTGCTCAGGGTAATCAGCCAACTCTGCCAAGTCGCGATCAGCTCAGCGAGGTAGGCATCGACTTCCTGGGCCGCTGCTTCGAATGCGACCCCTTGCGACGACCCACTGCCGCCGAGCTACTCCAGCACGAGTGGATAGTCTCGATCCGTCAGCAGGTGGTACTTGAACCTGCAACACCCGGCAGCGACAACGGCAGTTACAGCAGCTCAGGCTCTGCAAGTCGCCAGGGCTCGACCTATATGTGATTCTTTCCACTTTCTATATTTCAACTCTGCCTTTTACTGGCAGCTACTTATTTTGTCGTCCTTGCATGGCACTTGGCTTCCTTCATTTTTGACGGGATATTTTACAATTTTTCACCACACTCGCTCGATCTCGGCTTGAATTGTCCCATGCTCAAACGGCATCGCATGTGATACCCCCTATGCTCTTTTATTACTTTCGTCTCGTTTTGATTTTGTGGTTTTTAAACCTCATCTCTGCATATATGAAGTTGAGTCTGCTGGTAATGTTCAGGTTCTACTCATCTGTCTGGCGCTGGGTTTCTGTGTTGGTTAATTGATAGGTGCTCTTAGTGTACGGAAAGAGTTCCACTTATTTGTTTCGGTACTTGACACTACTACATGCATGTCGTTGAGTAATTGTCAGCCTTTTTTACCCCTCAACTCCTTCGACGGATACTCTAAGTAGATATGGTTCAGGTCTACAGAATCTATCAAGTAAGCTGTAGTTAGACGCGAGATCCCAAGGATTTTTGTTCCATGGGCAGTTGCCTCAGAGCCACAATGATATCAAACATGGTTACACTATCAGCTCGAAGCACCGGAATGAGTTGAGTCCAGAAAATCCTGCATATTGATTTTTCTCAAGCAGGCTGCGGACCTACACAAGCCTGGTGGTTCGATACATATCACAAAACGATGGGTCAAAAATAGATGGCGGGTGAGGTTAATAAAAAGAAATATCGTAAAGGGGAAGACAAAACAGAGAAAGGAACCCATCTCGCCAAAGAAAAAGAGAAACGCCATTTCGTAGATCGAGGGTTCGTGAAGCATGAGATACAATTTGACAAGCTGGCGCCAGGAGTAGACCAATAGGGTATATGCGATGTGGAGGAGGTTCGAAACTGCCGTGAAAACACGGAAGTCCAATAAACCTAGAGTCGGAGAGGACTTGAGTAGAGAAATGATGCGAGGGATACGAAACATGAGGAGCTAGGCGTGGCATTGGTCTGCGGAAGACCCAGCTTCTTGTCAAGTCAAATGTGAGTAGTGCAGGGAGGTACGAGAGAACGCTCGCCCAGCCATGCTGTGTACCAAGGAAGAGAAAGGAGGAGGGGATATATGTGAGAGAGGCGAATATAAAATTCGTCATGGCCGTTTAAATTTCGAGCGCCAGCAGTCAAGCTACAGCGAGTTTAGCGGAACTCGACTGCTGGCGCACATCCATGGTCTTGGACATGCTTTAGCTCAAGCTGTTGGAACCTGATGATTCTGTCAGCAAAATCAATTTTGATCTCCAGTGTCACGGTGACATACCGCTCGCTCTTCGCATGGAAGTAAACGCCGCTCACAGATCCCTCAATCTGGTTGAAGCATATATAGTAAAAACCCTCGAAGCTAGCGCCAGAGATAGTTCGCACCCGATGGTCTGGAACGAGGAAATATTCCTTCCATCTCATAAACACGTGTTCACGCTGGGCAAAGTTGCGGTAGGTAAAGTCGGTCCGTTTCGCCTGCTTCGCAAGCGGTTTCCAAGCAGGAAACCGGGACCAGTGATGAATATCCGTCTTCTCGTTGGCGCCCCATTCCTCGTTGCGAGTCTGGAACGTGTGCTTGGTACCAATAATCTCTCCCTCAAAGAACGTAGTCAGGGTTGGGTGATCTTCCGTAAGCCCTATTGATACAAAATCACAACGGTTAGACTGGTATTCCAGATCCGGCCAGGATGCGCGTGAGTCACCGACCTTGAATGCGAAGATAGCCGCAGAGAAAAGACTCGGCCATGTCCACGTGCTTGATCTCAACGTCGACATTATACACCTGTTGGTCTGACATTTGCGTGCCAACAAATCTGCTCCCGGAGCGGAGATACGACGAGGAATAGTTTGGCAGGAGCTGTGGCGATGGTCAACGGCGGCGTGGCGCTGAGAGTGATGGGCCGTAAGACTTACCCGAACATTTGAAAATTCATAACGCAGCAGAGAGGAGTTCGGCGGCATGACGGGCGATTGGCTGCGAGCACAAATATCCGTGGGAGAGCTGGACCTCTCGCGCGGAGTCTCGTCGTCCGTCGCGCCGGTCATCTTGCTCTCCACTTTCACCGGCTCTGACGCCAAGAGCGTGCTTCCATCGTCAGAACGACTCAGCACGGATGGTGCAATGACGCTGGCCGGCGTGAGTGCATCTTCAATAGCCTCGCTAGCGGAAACAGTCGAGTCCGGTGAGCCTCTCCAGGCGGAGATACGATCAAGTTCCGGGGGACAAGTCCGGGTGGAGATCACCTCGGCGATCGAAGTCGGGTGGTTGTTACTCGGGGTCGGCATTGGGGGTGGATTAAGGAAGGAGAAGAGCAGACATCGGATCGAACCAGGCGCACCCAAAGACGAAAAAGAACCACCGAGCAAATAACAAGAAGGAAGCAGGGCGAGGGTGGAGATCTGGATCTTAAAGGGAGAAGAAGTCTACGGGTTCAGTCCTGACCGGGGCGGCCCATCATGGGGTCATGCGAGCGCGGGGAGGCGCTGGCGGCCTGAGGCCACAATATATACGTCAGGTACAGCTGAGCGCGCGGCAATCGCGGAGACGCGTGCGAGGGTGGAAAATATCAATGGGGCGTGGCCAGGTGCGTTAAAGACCCTGGCGTATTTACAAGGATTTATTTCTAAGCGCCCTTTCGGGATGTGGAATTTTCGAAAAGCCTGTTTCATATTATCTGCTTATGGGTCCCATGCTTCATGATGAACCCTCGCAATGAACCCTCGATCGAACGCCCGGTATCATGAAAAGTAACCAAATTCAACCTCAACCCCTTCAAGCTGCTATTTAGATAGGCTTGATCTGCGAAGTGCAAAGGCCCCGTTAGCGCTGTCGCCGAACCCATCACAGGAAGGGAGCCAAGCCAGACATACCTTAAAGTGCAGAGAAATGAGCGAGAAAATCAGCGCCTTCAGGTCCTGAACTAGGTAATAAAATACCCGCAGACCCTCGGGGTCTGCCGATTCAGTCACATCCACCAACGAGCCGATTTTCGCGGTCTGTAAGAAGTTAAGGCGTCTGAGCCTGTGTTGCCAAGTTGTGCTATTCTGGTCCACTGGATCGTACCTCGAACGAAATGTGCTCATTGCCCAGTCGAATCTCCAGCTCCTGGCGCCCATCCTTGTTCTTCTGTGGCCACTTGGAGTCGTCCTCTCTGAGTAGGGTTAGCGTTTGATCATGCACCTCGGAGGAGGATGGCCTCGTACTTCAGGATCTCACTCTCCTTGATGATGCGCTTTATCTCCTGGATCATTGCCGAGCTGACACACACTATATTTATTTCCGTCAGATCGCCTGCACGGTCTCCAGTGCGGATACCCCCCACTCACTCTCTTTGCGAATCAGGGAGTCATTGCGGTAGTTGGAGTTGTTCGCGTATCGCACTGCGGCGCTGCTGCCATCGGCAATGGATCGGAAATCGAATTCTAGTGTATGTTAGTGCCATGAAATAAGTCCGCATCCTCTGGAGAGGCACTTCTCACCGAGGAACTCGTGCCCGAACCGCCCAGAGTGACCGGAGCTGCGGAAGCTGTCAGCAGCCGAGGAAACTTGGGCTTCTCATCGCATTGTCATTCTTACTAGTAACGGAGATAGAACGTCTCGTTGGTCGACATTTTGGTGTGGTTTTGTCGTCGAATTGGCAGTGACGAGCAGCAACGGCGGACTGGAAAAGCGGCCGGCTTAGTCATCCACACAGAGACCGGACGGGGCAAAGGGACAGGTTGATGCTTCCCCCCCCCATTTGCGCATCAAAACCAACACGCCCATGATTTCCTGGCCGGCGAGGGGTGTTGGATTACTTTAATTGCGTGTTTCTGACATTGGTCTGAACCTTCTGTGCCTGGGAGATTTGCCTCTGGTGCGTTCTACAGTGGGCGCGGTGGTGCGCTGAGGTGTCCAAAACATTCCCCCGAACTGACAACTTGCAGCTCCCCTTCGTCCCGGCCGTAGCCTCAAACCACCACCATGGCGTCCTTCCTCGAAAATGCATACAGTTTGGTCCACATGGACAATACGGCGGACCAGCCGACCCAGCAGGAGCTGAAGCTCCAGCTGGAGAAGGGCAATGATGAGACCAAGATGGAGACCATGCGGACAATTATTACGGCCATGCTCAACGGCGACCCAATGCCCCAGCTGCTGATGCACATCATTCGGTTTGTCATGCCTTCGAAGAGCAAGTCCCTGAAGAAATTGTTGTATTTCTATTATGAGATTTGCCCGAAGCACGATTCGACTGGCAAGCTGAAGCAGGAGATGATCTTGGTCTGGTATGGCAACCAATTTCTCGGTCTCAACAATATGAATTCGGTGAATTGACACGTTCCCCCCCTTTTTTTAGCAACGGCATTCGGAACGACCTGCAACACTCCAACGAATATGTTCGAGGAAATACTCTCCGCTTCCTGTGCAAGCTGCGCGAACCCGAACTCATCGAACCCCTCCTTTCCTCGGCGCGCTCGTGTCTGGAACACCGCCACGCCTATGTGCGCAAGAACGCCGCGTGGGCGGTTGCTTCCATCTTCCAGCACTCAGAGTCTCTCATCCCCGATGCCCCCGAGCTTCTCCAGACCTTCCTCGAATCAGAGACAGATGGGACTTGCAAGCGCAATGCCTTCGCCGCCCTCATGTCCATTAGCCACCAGAATGCGCTCGAATACCTCCGAACGACCTTCGATACCATTCCTAACACTGATGAGCTTCTTCAGCTGGCTGAGCTGGAGTTCCTGCGGAAGGATGCTGTTCAGAACCCCCAGAACAAGGTGGGTCGCGCACTTAACGGAGGGGCGATTTATGTGATACGCTGTTCTAACGGATATTAGTCGCGGTATCTCAAACTCATGCTTGAACTTCTCGATGCCCCTACCAGCACCGTCGTTTATGAAGCAGCCACCTCTCTTACCGCCCTGACCAGCAACCCTGTCGCCGTGAAGGCCGCCGCGGGCAAGTTAATTGAGCTTGCGATCCGGGAGGCCGACAACAATGTCAAGCTCATTGTATTGGACCGTGTGGATCAACTGCGGATCCGCAATGAGGGCGTCCTGGATGAGCTGACCATGGAGATTTTGCGGGTCCTCACCAGCCCCGACATCGATGTCCGCCGGAAGGCCCTGGGCATCGCTCTGGAGATGGTCTCGAGCAAGAACGTTGAGGAAATTGTCATGCTGCTGAAGAAGGAGCTCGCTAAGACTGTGGACGAGCAGTATGAACAGAACAACGAATACCGCCAACTCCTCGTTCAATCAATACACACTTGTGCCATCAAGTTCTCCGAAATTGCCGCCAGCGTGGTCGACCTTCTGATGGACTTCATTGCTGACTTCAACAACAACTCTGCCGTGGATGTGATTTCGTTTGTCAAGGAGGTTGTTGAGAAGTTCCCCGATCTGCGTGGATCTATTGTCGACCGTCTGGTGTCCACCTTGAGCGAGGTCCGGGCTGGCAAGGTCTATCGTGGTGTTCTTTGGGTTGTTGGAGAATACTCTTTAGAGGAGAGCGATATTCGGGAGGCCTGGAAGAAGATTCGTGCCAGTCTTGGTGAAATCCCCATCCTGGCCTCTGAGCAGCGATTACTTGACGAGGTTCCCGAGGACAATGCCCTTCTCCAAGAGCAGGCCAACGGCCACGCCAAGGCTGCTCCTACTGGATCTCGCAAGGTTCTGGCTGACGGCACATACGCTACTGAGAGCGCTCTCACTAGCCAATCTGCTGCCGCTGCTCGTCTTGAGGCTGTCAAAGCTGCACAGAAGCCGCCTCTCCGTCAACTAATTCTGGACGGCGACTACTACCTGGCCACTGTTCTTTCTTCCACCCTGACCAAGCTGGTTATGCGTCACTCCGAGGTCTCCCAGGATACCGCCCGTACCAATGCTCTTCGCGCCGAGGCGATGCTCATCATGATTTCCATTATGCGTGTCGGACAGTCGCACTTTGTTAAGGCTCCGATCGATGAGGACTCTGTCGACCGTGTCATGACTTGCGTCCGCTCTCTCGCTGAGTTCTCCGAAAAGAAGGACCTAGAAATTACCTTCCTGGAGGATACCCGCAAGGCATTCCGCGCTATGGTCCAGGTTGAAGACAAGAAGAGGGCCGCAAAGGAAGCCGTGGAGAAGGCCAAGAGTGCTGTGCAGATCGACGACGCCATTCCCTTCCGGCAGTTTACCAAGAAGAACACTGTGGAGGGTGCTGAAGAGATTGAGCTGGATCTGGCCAGGGCCACCGGCGGCGACGCCGTTACGGAGAACGTTCCTTCGAAGCTGAGCCGCGTTGTGCAACTGACTGGTTTCTCCGATTCTGTCTACGCCGAGGCCTATGTTACCGTCCACCAGTTCGACATTGTCCTTGACGTCCTGCTGGTCAACCAGACCGCCGAAACTCTGCAGAACCTGTCCGTGGAGTTTGCCACCCTGGGCGATCTCAAGGTTGTTGAGCGGCCATCAACCCATAACCTAGGCCCACGCGACTTCTTGAACGTCCAGGCGACCGTCAAGGTTTCCTCGACTGACACTGGTGTCATCTTCGGCAACATTGTCTACGACGGCGCTAGCTCCACTGAGACCCACGTGGTCATCCTCAACGATATTCACGCCGACATTATGGACTACATCCAGCCCGCCCACTGCACGGAGACTCAGTTCCGGACCATGTGGACCGAGTTCGAGTGGGAGAACAAAGTCAACATTAACTCCAAGACCAAGACTCTGCGTGAGTTCCTCAAGCAGCTGATGGAAAGCACGAACATGGCCTGCTTGACTCCGGAGGCTTCGCTCAAAGGTGATTGCCGCTTCCTCAGTGCAAATCTCTACGCCCGCAGCGTATTCGGTACGTCCTTTCCCCCACGCTCATGCGTAATACATCTTACATAGCTCCTTCTAACTTTTCTCTCCAGGCGAGGATGCTCTGGCCAATTTGAGCATTGAAAAGGAGGGTGACGACGGGCCGATTACCGGATTTGTCCGGATCCGCAGCCGCTCGCAGGGCCTGGCGTTGAGCTTGGGTTCCCTGAAGGGCCTCAAGGCGGCGGCAGCATAAGTAGATTTTGTTCTTTTTTTTCCCAGCGGATTGCAGGCTATATGATGTCTCCTTTTTAACTTGTTTCTTTTTCCCCCCAGACAAAGTTGTGTTTCTCTATTATCATTTCTGTCATGTATTGAGACCGGGGAGTAGTGGAATAGATAATGATCCTGGCTATACAAGTCGCTGTACCGTACATATTCAATTCAGGTGTGCATGATGACCAATTACAAACCTAACTATAGTTATTGGTTGTGCTTTGCACATATTAGTGCCGCCCGAGCGGCACGGCAGATCCGAGGCGTGCAGGGACCTCCTGCAGCCCTCAGGAACCGGAACTCGCGGGTGTTGATCTTCGATCTCTCCAGCCTTGTTATCTTTACCCTCTCTCCCTTCTCAAGGAATTTCCGTCGCGCGTGATTCCTCCTGCCATGCGCTAATTGAGCTTCTCTCCTTCGCCTCCCAGAATGAGCTCTTCTGCTTCAGCTGCGGAGCAGCAGGAAGCACGGCTGCGGCATGACGCGACCCTGGTCATCGACAAGGCGGTCTCTCTCACCCTGGGCGGCGACTCACTTCTGATCGTTGGTAAGATACCCAATGGGATTTCCGCAACCGGACAGTAATTGTTAACTCGCGTTGAAGACGATCGCCCCCATCGCAAATCAGCCCGTGGCTGCTGCGGTTTATGCAAGTCTAGTAAGCTGAGACCCTCTTTCTTTTGCCCCTCTGGCGATCTTCCTCGAAGTTAATCGTGCTGCCGCTTGATCAATGGGCTAACCACCATACCGCACCCGCTGCAGAAGCGCAGACCAAGACCACGCATGCGATTTCTTTGTATAATATCCTTGACGCCGAGGTCAGGCCGTCGAGTCTGGTGATCACCTATGCCCAGCCGTCCACGAAGGACGACGTGTCCGTGGCCACCCTCCATTATCCCATCAGCGAGAAAGAGAAGCCTACTGTCGAGGCGTGGATGAGCAACCTACTGGATCTAGCCTACGGTACGGCCCAGCGCAGGAAGCGACTGAAGATCTTGATCAACCCCTTTGGTGGCAAAGGAAACGCCGCGAACCTATACCAGAAGTACGCCGCGCCAGTCTTTGCTGCTGGGCGGTGTCAAGTGGACGTACAGAGCACGGAATACCGCGGGCATGCCATACAAATCGCGGAACAGCTCGACATCGACGCGTACGACGCGATTATCTGTTGCTCTGGTGACGGTCTCCCATACGAAGTCTTCAATGGGCTGGGAAAGCGATCCAATGGCCGAGAGGCATTGGCCAAAGTGGCCGTAGCCCTGCTCCCTTGCGGTTCTGGAAATGGTATGACCTGGAACTGCCTGGGTACAGGTAGCAACTCAATCGCAGCGCTTGCCATTGTCAAGGGCCTGAGGACCCCTCTGGATCTGGTCTCAGTCACGCAACAAAACACTCGCACCTTGTCCTTCCTTTCCCAGTCCTTTGGTATCGTTGCCGAATCAGATCTAGGTACCGACAATATCCGGTGGATGGGCGCCCAGAGATTTACTTATGGGTTCTTGGTTCGTCTGTTGCAGCGCACAATCTGGCCTTGTGACCTGGCCATCAAGGTCGAGATGGATGATAAAAAGGTTATCAAGGAGCACTACGCCGCGTTCAAAGCTAGAGAGGAGGATTTGCTTGTCGATCAGAACCGCCTTGAGGCTGCCAAGCAGTCTCCGGCATTACCAGAGCTTCAGTATGGCACTGTTCAGGATGACCTCCCTCAGGACTGGGAGGTCGTCCCAGGCGAAACCATGGGCAACTTCTATGCCGGCAACATGGCCATCATGTCGAAGGACACCAATTTCTTTCCCGCCTCCCTTCCCAACGACGGCCTCATGGACATCGTTACGATTGACGGGACTGTTAGTCGCATCACGTCAGTCAAAATGATGACCGAGATTGAATCCGGCGGGTTCTTCGACATGGACGACGTAAAGATGCGCAAGGCCAGTGCATATCGCCTTGTACCCCACCAAAAGGAAGGTTATATCAGCGTCGATGGCGAACAGGTCCCCTTTGAAGCATTCCAGTGCGAGATCCACCAAGGCTTGGGCACAGTGCTCTCCAAATCGGGGCGTGTATATGAAGCCGACGGGCCGAGGTGACCTGTCTCACGCCACGCCTGCGTGTGGGCAACACACCCCCCTCTTTCTCTCAGCTTGGCTGATGTTAAGTATGATACCGTCTGTCCCGGGCCCTTATTGCTATTTATTCATGATACCCTTGCGCAAGAGGCCCGGCACTTTAATGTATTTTTTGTTTTTACCAGGTGCTGGCAGTGTTTTCGACAGTCCTTATTGTTAAATGTTCTTGAGATTACGATGTCGAGCTGTACAGTGATTCAATATCAAGTTAGAGGATTATTAATACGTGTTGTATATTTCTACGTGATATCCTTCGTAGAATGGCGGTACTTTTGGAAACCATGGTTGCCTTTGAATCCAATTCATGTTTCGCTATAATATGCTGTACAAACACTGGAGTGCACATAGTGGCTGCTCTTTACATCAACTCTTTCAGTCGGCGAAGCCACCCCACTCTCCCTCACTATCCTCATCGTCCTCCTCTATCTTCCGAGAACGGACTCCCCACTCCACCAACCGATCATCATCAAGAGCCTGCGCAGCCCTTGTCCGTACGGGCTTGTAAGGGCTCTCAGTGCGCAACTTCTCCAGGGGCCGCAACAGCAGTTCCATGGGCACGTCGCCCTTGATCTTCCGATTCTTTGGCTCATCCTCCGAATCGGTCTCATCTCCCTCAAACTCAAACACCTTCTCCAGCTCATCAACCCAAAGGTCAATTAAGTGATAGCGCAGGCCATCCGGACCGTGCGGCATGGGAACGAAGTTCGGGTCCTTCTCATCCACAACGGGCTTGGATGAGTTATCCGGGTCGAAGTTGACAGGGCACAGAGGACCTTCTTCGATGATGGAGATATAAGCCTCGAGATCGGCCCATTTGCCATCTCCTTCCTCAGTCTCGTTCTCTGCGGGAGCGGTCTCGCTCTCCACCTGCTTCTTTTGCTTCTTTCCCCGGCCTTGTTTACCACTATCCTGTCGCTTGCGCTTCTTCCCATCTTCGGCCGCCCTTTTGTTCGATCCCTTCACAAAGACCTCGAATGCGACTCCGACATAGCAACGAATCAGGAAGAGGTACTTGTCCAACCGCAACCGATCCAGGGAGTGGAAATCACGGCCGATAGTAATCCAGAATGCGCGCAGGAAGCGGTGGACGGTGGCGTGAGGGAGAGATGGAACGAGGGAGTAGGAGAGTGCGCGGGCGAGAGCTTGTTGCGTGAGAGGTCTATCAGAGTGGTAAAAGCCTACGGGGCGAAATTGTCAGCCGCTCATGCTCAGTGGTAGATAGTAAGAAGTTGACAGCTTAATCATACAGAAAAAGAGACCCTTCCATAGCTTGACGAGGTCAACAAGGGACAGATCGTTGCGCGAGCGCAAGAATTGCGTGAGGGACTCGAGAGCCTTGTCGCGAACTTTGCGGTCTGGAGAGTGAACATGTCAGAATAATGGTGTCCAGACTTTGTTGTACTACATCAACATACCGCTTGAGGCAAGATCCCTCACGAAGGGAGTCTTTTGAATGTCCGCCATTATGCGAATTGAATGATGGTCTGGCTGACCGTCGATCTCGGCGATAAATTATTTTTTTTCTGATAGTAATTTTGCACTGTTTGCACTTGGCTTTAAGGTTTGTGGCCTGAGGTGCCAACCAGATCTGTGATCTCACCGCCCTGGAGAGCCTCATTACCTCCAAGTGAGCAACGTGAGGGTATGGAACATGTCTGACGAAATAGGAATGCAGATCTAACGACCGAATAATAATCCTAGCTCAAGATCTGGTACCTGAGTGTTTTGCTTCGTTTTGCAGCAAATTCTCGGGATGGAATGGCCGCATCCGGTATCTCCAGCTTTCCCGCTGGTTCTAGTCCAATACCAGTGCAGCATGAAGCTCCGCTAAGTCTTGACATCATGACTCTATCGCGGATCGAATGAAAAGCTCAGAGTCCCTGGTCTCAATGGCGGTAGCAGTAAGACTCAGTCTGTTGAAGACTGTGTTTTTGCCATAATGGTTGCAGGAACCCGCGCAAATGCGACCCTTCCATCTGTATCATCTGCAGCGCAGATCCTCAATGAACTTTCTTTATGTAGCTTCCCTTGATTTCCTCTCTGCCGATTGTAAGTTGTGTAACAAAGTGAACTCCTTCCCGTCCCCCTTCCCTATTCGCTCGTGGCCCCCATGAGCCATCAATCCTCCACGATGGCCGAAAGAGAGGAGGATCATGGGATCACCCAGTCCAGCTCCTCTCATGCCCGATCGAGCTCCGAAGCAGTTCCCGATGATGAAAGGGCCGTCTTCGAGTCTATCCGTCCCGAGGACCGAGAAGAGCTGACCCGCATCGCTTCCAACTTCCCCCGCCACCGCGCGGTGGATTCTGGTGTTGGGATGAACGGTATAGAACGAAAAGATACACTGGAAGATATCCAGCTGAGCGACCCCGTCCTCGATCCTACCAGCGACCAATTTGACCATTACAAGTGGGCAAGAATGAAGCTGAAGTTGATGGACAAAGAAGGAGTGCCTCTGCGCAAATCGACCGGCGTTGTATGGGAGAACTTGAACATCGCTGGCTCTGGCTCTGCGCTCCAGTATCAGAAAAATGTCGGCTCAGTGCTCCTTGCTCCATTTCGGCTGCAGGAGTATATCTCATTTGGGAGGTCCAATTCGCAGAAGCTAATTCTTCGCAACTTCGACGGTGTTCTTAAGAGCGGCGAGCTGCTTATTGTGCTTGGACGGCCTGGTAGTGGCTGCTCGACATTCCTTAAGAGTCTCTCTGGAGAACTTCATGGACTCAAAGTCGGGAAAGGCTCTGATATTCAGTACAATGGCATTCCCATGGAAAGAATGCACCGTGAGTTCAAGGGAGAGGTCCTTTACAACCAGGAAGTTGATAAACACTTTCCACACCTCACGGTGGGACAAACACTGCAATTTGCGGCGGCAGCGCGTACTCCAGAGCATCGGCTCAACGGGGTCAGTCGCGCAACATTCGCCAAGCATATTACACAAGTGGCCATGGCTGTTTTTGGTCTGAGCCATACATACAACACCAAAGGTACGTGTGCCTTATTCGCATGATTATTCGTGAAAGAGAGTCTCCGACCATCCTGTATCGGCCGTGGAATCAATCGACCTTGTCCTCTTCTGATCATCCTTTCACGCTTCTTGGGGTATAAACAGTGATATTCAGGACTGACCGAGTGTTCAGTCGGCGACGACTATATTAGGGGTGTTTCGGGGGGTGAACGAAAGCGAGTCAGGTATGTTTCAGCCCTTGTGATGTACATATTATCAAAATGTTAACGTTCATTCAGCATTGCTGAGATGGGTTGTAAGTTACTGACTACCCACGAAAGTCGTCCTGATTCAAGCTGATATCTTTAAGTGTCTGGTGCACCAGTAGGAGCTTGGGACAATAGCACTCGCGGCCTGGATTCTGCGAGCGCCCTGGAATTTGCCAAAGCACTACGAGTTTCAGCAAATCTTACGGGCTCCTGCCATGCGGTTGCGATCTATCAAGCCTCTCAGGCAATCTATGATGTCTTCAACAAGGTCATTGTCTTGTATCAAGGACGGGAGATCTTTTTCGGTCCATGCGACCAAGCCAAAGACTATTTCATCAGTATGGGCTGGGATTGTCCCGCTCGTCAAACAACTGGCGACTTCCTCACCTCAGTGACGAACCCGCAAGAACGGACAGTTCGAGATGGAATGGAGAACAAAGTTCCACGCACTCCTGACGAGTTTGAGGCGTACTGGAAAAAGAGCTCTAATTATGCTAGACTCCAGAAGGAAATCGCACAGTACCGACAGGAGTATCCTCCTGGAGGAGCTGCTGAGCATGAGTTTGACGAGACCAAGAGAATGCGACAGGCCAAGCACGTCCGGCCAAAGAGTCCCTATGTCATCTCTATCCCTATGCAGGTTCGGCTTTGCGTGAAGAGAGCTTATCAACGGTAAATTTTCTCATTTCCTGCAAACTTGCCGTGATTCTAGGGAACATCTGGTTGACTGACCTCTGCAGCATCTGGAACGATAAGCCTTCCACGCTGACGACCGTCATTGGGCGAATTGCCATGTCTCTCATCATCGGCTCCATTTATTTTGGGTAAGACTACCCTCTCCTATACGATTATGAAGTGAGTCACTGACTACTCTTCTTCAGAACCCCAAATGCATCTGCAGGTTTCCAGAGTAAAGGCGCTGCTCTGTTCTTCTCTGTTCTGTGAGTTCCCAATAAAACGAGAATTCAGGGGAATGATTCTTATATTGGTTTCCAGGATGAATGCACTTATCAGTATTACCGAGATCAACTCGCTCTACGATCAACGACCTGTCATCGAGAAGCAAGCTTCCTATGCTTTTGTTCACCCCTTTACAGAAGCCTTAGGAGGTATCGTCGCAGACATACCAGTCAAGTTTGTGTCCGCGGTGGTGTTTAATATTATCTTCTACTTTTTGGCTAACCTGGTTCGTTTTCTTCTAATTCTGGTCCCAATCAACCGATCCTAACCGTCTGTATAGCGATACGAGCCTTCTCAATTCTTCATCTTCTTTGTCTTTACCTTCCTCAGTACGCTGGCAATGTCATGCGTTTTTCGAACTCTGGCAGCATCAACCAAGACTCTTGCGCAGGCTATGTCCATGGCTGGAGTCATTGTCCTGGGTATCGTCATCTATACCGGCTTCGTTATCACTGCACCCGAAATGAGCAAAATTCCCTGGTTCAGCTGGATTCGTTGGATCAACCCCGTGTTTTATACCTTTGAAGCTCTGGTTGCCAACGAGTTCCACGGTCGTCGCTTTGAATGCTCTCAGTTTATCCCTGGGTACCCTACCTTGCCCGGTGACTCCTTCATCTGTGCTGTCCGCGGCGCTGTTGCCGGAGAAAGGACTGTCTCTGGTGACGCGTATATTCAAACTCAGTACAGTTACAGCTATGCTCACGAGTGGAGAAACTTCGGTATTCTCATTGGATTCTGGATGTTCTTCATGGCGCTGTATCTTATTGCGTCTGAGATCAACTCCGCTACATCCTCTACAGCTGAGTACCTTGTTTTCCGAAGAGGACATGTACCTGCACATCTGCGCCGTCTTGAGAAGGGTGGAAAGGGGGCTACTGTAGCTGAGGTCACACCAGCCACGAAGGATGCTGAGACTGAAGGAGACACTTCCGCCATTCCATCACAGCATGATATCTTTACTTGGCGGAACGTGTGCTACGATATCCCGGTCAAGGGTGGACAACGACGACTTTTGGATAATGTCTCCGGTTGGGTTAAGCCTGGCACTCTCACAGCCCTGATGGGTGTGTCTGGTGCTGGCAAGACTACTCTACTCGACGTTCTGGCCAAGCGCGTCTCAATTGGAGTTGTCACTGGGGGTATGCTCGTTAACGGCAAACCCCTCGACACTAGCTTCCAAAGAAAGACCGGCTACGTCCAGCAGCAAGACCTTCACCTACCAACTACGACGGTCCGAGAGGCATTGCGGTTTAGCGCTATACTTCGCCAACCGAAAACTGTACCAAAGAAGGAGAAGTATCAGTATGTCGAAGATGTCATCGACATGCTGGGCATGAAGGACTTTGCAGATGCAATCGTGGGTATTCCAGGAGAGGGTTTGAACGTGGAGCAGGTATGTTTCTGTTGAACAAATCAGTAGTTGAAAAATGACTAACTTCTCACCTATTTTGGATATAGCGCAAGCTTCTGACTATCGGTGTTGAACTTGCTGCTAAACCTGCACTGCTGATATTCCTGGACGAACCGACAAGTGGATTGGATTCTCAGAGCTCGTGGGCCATTTGCTCGTTTCTGCGGAAGCTGGCAGAGCACGGCCAGGCTGTTCTGTCAACGATTCATCAGCCGTCTGCTTTACTTTTTCAACAGTTTGATCGCCTCCTCTTTTTGGCAAAGGGCGGAAAGACTGTGTACTTTGGCGAAATTGGAGACCAGTCCCGAACACTACTAGACTACTTTCAAAGCAACGGAGCCCGGGTCTGCGGATCCTCTGAGAATGTAAGATGTCTTATCCTGGCCTTAACTCCGTTGTCACTAACAAAAGATAGCCTGCGGAGTACATGCTTGAAATCATTGGCGCTGGTGCTTCTGGCAAATCTACGAAGGACTGGTCTGTTACGTGGAATGAAAGCCAACAAGCGAAGGGTGTGCAAACAGAAATTGACCGGATTCATGATGAGAGAGCTTCGGCAGCCAGTACTGGAGATGTTTCCCAGTATGGTGAATATGCAATGCCGTTTATGACGCAACTGACGTATGTCACACACCGTTCGTTCCAGGGTTTCTGGCGCGAGCCGAGTTATGTGTGGGCCAAAATCTTGCTGGGTACTCTGGCATCTCTTTTCGTTGGGTTCACATTCTTCAAGCCGGACAGCTCGCTGCAAGGATTTCAGGATGTTCTGTTTAGTGCATTCATGCTGACTTCAGTATTTTCAACATTGGTTCAACAGTAAGTGGTTCATCGTCAATCATTCTGAATTCTGGATCTTAATTTATGATTCCTCACCAGAATCATGCCCAAGTTTGTCATCCAGCGCTCCCTCTATGAAGTACGAGAGCGCCCATCCAAGGCTTACTCATGGGCTGCGTTTCTCATTGCCAACGTCATCGTCGAAATCCCATATCAAGTCCTTGTTGGTATCATTTCGTGGGCCTGCTACTACTATCCAATTTATGGAGCGGAACAAGCTTCACAAAGGCAGGGTTTGATGCTGCTACTCGTCGTTCAGTTCTACATCTTCACGTCTACCTTTGCGTCTCTCGTCATAGCCTCCCTGCCTGATGCTGAGACTGGTGGCACGATCGCGACCCTGATGTTCATCATGACACTCACGTTTAACGGCGTCATGCAGCCACCAAATGCCTTACCAGGTAAGATAATGGGTTATAGTGAAGAGCTCCATACTATCTGCTAAAATTGTTCTCCATCTAGGTTTCTGGATCTTCATGTACAGAGTTTCTCCGTTGACTTATTTGGTTGCTGGTCTTACGGCTACTGGTTTGCATGGTAGAGAGATCGTATGTTCTACCGCTGAGCTGAGTGTGTTTAACCCTCCAGCTGGCCAGACGTGTGGTGCATACTTGGATCCATATGTCACAACTGCAGGCGGCCAGTTGTATAATTCCGCGGCTACAAGCAACTGCGAGTATTGTCGACTTACCAACGCAGATCAGTACTTGGCTTTGAGCAACATCTGTCAGTTAAATCCCCTTAGTCCCCCTGATTTCTCTTTACATATACTTTGAGCTCTAGTGGCTAATCAAGCCATAGACTACGGCGAACGCTGGCGTAACTTTGGTCTTGGCTGGGCTTATATTGGCTTCAATGTCTTTGGCACCGTGCTGATGTACTACATGTTCCGCGTTAAACACTACAATCCAACCTCACTGGTGCGGGGTATCCGCAGTGGCGCATCGCTACTCTGTCGTGTGTTCAAGCGGCGCTCAGGAACAACACCTACCGGCAAAGAGGCAGACAACGGCAGACTGGTTTAGGCAAACAGATATTTGTATCGGCAAATCTTCAGATGGGATTTTTCTCTGATTTCTTCCTTGTCTCGGCTTACTCTTTACTATCAACGTCTAATTTCTCCTGCGTTTTTTATTCGTGCCCAGTTCGCCGAAAATAAGCAAATAACACAAGTGTCTCGAAGGCGATTTTAGGGTTATAGAAGACCGAACAAAATTTCCCCAATGGTCTTCGAACCTCGGCACGGCCCTGTTGACTGGCCTTTCTAATCACATACTATATTTACAGCCTCTTGGATGCAACGATGCCACGTCTTATCCAACACCTTCGAAACGCACGATATCAACCTGGCCGATCTTCCTTCAAAATACCAGAATTTCTCCATCTCCTTTGATAACACGCAGTAATAGGCAAGGAGAATCAAGGCTCCTGGATGTCGCTCAGAGAGCAGGGTGACATATTCAGTCTTGACGCGCACCGGCCATCCCCCCAGGATACTCCACGTATTAATCTCAGATTTCATCTTCGCACGTTCCAGGTAAGCGAAAGACTCGGCTAACGCAGTCGCTGCTTCCTGGTATATCGCGATACTCTCTTCAGACCACGATCCATCCTTGGGAACGATTGAAAGGAAATAATCCAGGTGCGGCAAGTCACTGTCGCTTATATCTTCCTCTGTTTCCCAGGCTGCTGCCAAGGCACTAACAGGACCCGTTTCAATTCGATCCCACACATTGCAAAGCATGGAGCACCCGGCACGAATGAAGTGAAGCCACTGAGGAAGGACGACTTTTGGTCCGGTAGATATCGAGCCCGCGTTTTCGATTATGTAGAATGAGTTGTTTGTGTTTTCGATATCGGTTGCGAAGGAGTACACAATCAATAGATATGAAAAAGCCATAATAGCATCACAGTTTTCCTCTGTTGGATGGTCTATTGCGTAGCGAAACAGGGGAAGTGCTGAATCTTGGTGAGAACAGGCGCGAATGGTAAGATGCTGATGTTGTGTAGGGTCAAGATGAGCCATATGTAGAGCGGTACAAGCCAGGATGCCGCTTAATAAAAATTGCTGATTATATGCAAGGTCAGGCACAACGCTGAGCCAGATTTGCTCTGTGTGGTCGCTTGTCACGAAAGTCTTGTAGGATGAAGAGAAATAGTGTTTCAAAATCCGCAAGTCGAGCCCATCTAGGTTGTATTTTTCTCCTATATCCTGTATGTGAGGCGATTCTGCAAGAATAGGATCGGACGGGTGTGATAGGTCCTTGTTCTGCGCAATCCCAGTAAAGTATCGCAGCATGTTACCGCGAAAGAAAGTCTGCAGGAGAGCGGCACTCCAGTCGCGACTCGGTTCACCTTTGCAACCGTGCTTCGTTGACCAATGATTCTCCATTCTTTTGGTGGAGATGCAGAGATATTCACAACCAGGAGCCTTGCACCGCCATCCCTGCTCTAGTGGCAAGTAGGGCACTGGAAACTGGTCCGTACCTGAAAGTCTTACTTCTTCCGGCTTTCTCAACTTGAAATTTCTGATATATGCAATGTATGGCCGGCGCTTTTCGCGATAAATATGATGAATCTCTTTCAGATGACGAACAACAGCTCGTGGCTGAACGGCATAACGGCAGCTGGTGCAGATTAGCACCTCGTGGGCAGCGCTGTAGTGGAACAACTTCTGTGGCGGAAGCTCTGTTTGATTGTTATTTTCTGTCATTCTGTCATGGGGGCTAGTTACTTCGAAGCGAAGCTGTTTGCTGCAGTCCACTTTCAGTGTAGTTATTGCTAGGTAAGTCAAGTGAGAACAGCTGCGGGATAAAATTGCGCTAACCATGTCTAGTAACCGACGGTACCGTTCTGGTTTAGTGTGGAACGGCACCGTCGATTGTCTAGCCTGCTCTTTGCAAGGTATTCACCCTTCCTATAAATCTTGATGTATCTCCTAAGTCCGTCGGTTAGATAGTTGAACCGATTCCCAAGTTAGATCATGTCAGGATGCCTCTCAGATATATTTACATGCCAGCTGCCACCCCATGTACTGCAGTTCTCTACACACTCCTCACTGAACTTCCTCGTCTGATACAACTAAGCCAAGTATACTTCATTCCTGCTGGAAAATCCAACAATGCCATCCAACCTCCAACGAACTGTCCTCGTTACCGGCGGTACCTCTGGTTTAGGATACCATTGCGCATTGGCCATCGCCCGTCAGCGTCCGGATTACCAAGTTGTCATAGCGTCGCGATCGGATCCAACTGCTTCAGCAGACGCGTTAAACAGTCTCCTTGATCAGCAAAATGTCCAATTTCTGAAATTGGATCTATCATCTCTCGCTAATGTCCGCTTATTTGCGGCAGACTGGGAAGCACGTCACTTTCCTCCAATCCAGTCACTGATCTTCAATGCGGCCTTGCAGTTCCCCGGGGGGTCGAGTATACGGAGGACGGCTTTGAAAAGACCTTCGCAATTAGTCACATCGGCCATGCTCTGTTGTTTTCTCTCCTGAGACCCTATCTCGCCAACACTGCTCGCGTCGTGATCGTCTCAAGTGGAACCCACGATCCCGAGCAGAAGACTGGCATGCCTGACGCAAACTACCAGTCTGCAAAGGACCTTGCTTATCCGCCGTCCGCATCAGTCGGCAAGAATGGTCGGCAGCACTACACCAACACGAAGTTGGCTAATGTCCTTTACTCGTATGCCTTACACCGGCGCTTTGAATCCATCAATGAGAAGCATGGGAGGCACTGGACAGTTGTTGCTTTTGACCCTGGCCTTATGCCAGGGACGGGTCTTGCCAGGGGTGCTCATTGGGTGCTGAAATTTCTATGGTCGCGAGTTCTACCGAACATTATCCCGTTCTTGCGCCTGGTTCTCAGCCCCAATGTGCACAGGCCCCAGGAATCAGGCGAGTCTTTGGCTCGGCTGGCTGTTGACTCGGATGTTGAAGGCATGAGTGGGGTCTATTTTGAGGGGAGAAAAAAAATAAAGTCGAGTACAGCGAGCTATGACGAGTCCAAACAGGAGGATCTGTGGCAGTGGACGATTACCACTTTGGTGAGAGATGACAAGGAGAGGGCTACATTTTCTTTGAGTACTTTGATTTGATATCGGGTGGACTGTCCACTGTATCGATTCCCGATTCACACCTGAGTGGAATACCTACCTAGGTTTCGTTTTACTACGTAGCCAATCTCACCTGATTGGTGCTATCTAATGGCCTTGGGAGATAGGCTTGTCTTTGAAATATATATCCAAAACCCTCATACCTCGTATCCTGCAACCTACCAGCCAAAAAAATCAAAAGCGCAAGACAAAAGCGACAATATCTAATTTAAATGAACAACAATGAGTTCCTAGGGTAGGTTCTTTATCAAAAATTTTGACGGTGTCTTGAGCTTGCAACATCCGCACAGGGAAATTGAGATGACGCCGCTAAGCCTAACTTAGAAAAACTTTTCAAAGGTTAATAAAACAGCGGGCCGTCATTCCAAACAAGAACTAGCATCATTGGTCTAGTGGTAGAATTCGTCGTTGCCATCGACGAGGCCCGTGTTCGATTCACGGATGATGCACAGCTTATATATATATTTTTTTTCCCCCATCTCCACGGACAATAGATGCCGTGGATGTTATTGATCTTTGTCTTCTATTTAATAGGAAAGGTCGCCAAGATAATCATACAAGAATGGAAAACTCCGCCAAGCAATGCAAGATCCACTACAGCGATGCATCCAGTGAACTCCAGCGCTCACTAGGCACAAAACTAGGACAGCCCATGATGTCGGGACTTCCATAGTATACCTTCGTATACCTTTCTGCAACGAGATCAGCATGCAGAGTCTTGATAATGGACTAGAGTGCTAAATCATGGTGAAGTAATTCAAAGGAAGATTGATTGTCCTTGTACCAGGGGGATTAACTGAGACTATATACAACGAGAAGGTCGAGTTGATTTTCCATCAACTTGGTTCTTCGTATAGACAATGCGGGAATTGATTCCGATGGCGCGGCTTGATTCCTGGTCTACACCAGCCGCATATCACAACGCATGGCCCACCCAGACCATGATTCAGTGTCCACGTTTGACGTTGTCACCGCCACCTCACAAATGCACGCCTTGCACAATCCGGAGACTGATGTAAAATGTACTCGAGCCGCAGCCCTAATTATCTCCTTGAAGGGCTTGATGGATCTGAGGGCTCGCACCGAGACCCTCCTGGCCATATTCAAGGGTATATAGGCTCAATTTAATCTCGGAAGAGAGACGCCTCGGCGTGATTTTTAACCTGGCCCTTGAAGAGAGGAAAGAAGAAAAAAGGCGATCGAAAGGGCGAGGTCGGGTCCAGAACAGCGTATTGGGGTGCCAAACCCAAAAGGCAAAACTAACCTGAACAGGCAATCCACAGGCCGCCGTCTACACAGAATTTGAGGACCTGTGGGTTTGACGCCGAAAATGACGGCCTTTGACGCGACGCTAAAAATGGCTGCCTTTTCACCCGTGACGTCGGACAGCGAGCCGACGCTTCAGTACCCTACTATTTTGCACCTAGAGCCATTAGTCATCATCATCTGCCCTGATGATTGGAGCTCGTTCAAGTCATTCCCTTAAGATTCCACCTGCGAGCGAAACGACGCCGAAAATGGTTCCCCTCTGCAGTCCCTCCCACTCTCTCTTTTCGCCCTACCTGGCCGGGCGCCTATAGGATGCCTCTTCCCCTCCCTCGTCGTCCTCATATTCTCCCAATCCTCTCCTCGTCCCCCACCCTCACTTCCCCAGTCGCCTTTGTTGCCCTTGTTTCAGGATTGCAACCTTGGCCATTTATTTTGGCTTTTCTCTATGGCAACTGTGCCTGTTCGGTCGGCCTAGGACGATGAGCACCAATACTGGACTGACCTGATTCTTTACGAGGAAACACGGACCAGACTAGAACATTTCCGTACTCTTGGATGGCTACCTCCAAATTTTAAACCGAGGACGTTACTAAGTATTGCCGTTGTCAAACGCTACTAAGCAAAAGTGAATGAGAAATAAGTATAATCTCCCGTATAGACCAAAAGGTAAAGTTGGCTTTTTATAATATGAAGAAGGCCGGGCCTGATTAGCTTTTGAGGTCTATATTATTTTATCTAAACTTGAGAGAGTATATTAGCTCTGTAATCATAGCCGATGACTCGATAATATTAGCCCCGTCTTACGCGCGTATTATAGCCACTTATAAAAAACAGCCTATTGCTTCTGTAATTGTTCAAAATTCGTATCTTCGTATCGGATTTGGCCGTAGCAACGGGCCCCACAGAGGATAACGTGAACCCTCTGGGGCAAAAGTAGGCGGCGCCACTCAGGGCTAGCCAGCAATCCTGAAAACAAGCCTTGGTTGTTTCCCACCAATTCTCGCCGCTAGTGCGAATACCACGACTATCGCCTAGGCATTTGAACCGATGAGCGACTAAATGTACCCCTGAAATGAGGCTTGATGATACGAGGTTTTCTTTGTAGTAAGCATAGATGCGGACACCATGATGATATGAAGGTCTCGCATATCTTCTTGAAAATGGCCAGCCAGCTATTTAGTCATTCGTTCAGGCTTTGTGTTACCTAAGGGAGAGAACTTGAAGAGCCTGTTCACTCGTTTACAGGCATCATGGTGCGCGTCTCTTTCCTCCTCGCATTGGTTGCCAGCACCGTGGCTGTTCCTACACCCGATCCCCTCTACGAGGATACGGACGACTGCTCCTTTGAAGAGGATCTGGTCGACGTTCTCTTTTGGCTACCCAAAGGACCTGCCTTTTGCAGAGACCTTCTCCACATATCTTCCGATGTAAGGTGCATCACTCAATCGACAACCGTGACAGTCGTGGATCCCTCAGCACCATAACCGAGTCGATCACATCCACATTTACCTCAACTCCGGCAGCAGAGACTACCTAGGTGACCATCACCGGCACTGATGACTCTTTGTCGACCCTCACCGATGTCCAGACAGTACTTGCTACCGACGTGCTCACCACTGTTGCTCTGACTGATGCAGTCACTGAGACCATCGTGAAGGATTCAACTAGCCTCACCACAGACACCTTTACTTATTTGACCACCGCCACGGTTACGGATTTGACCACAGAAACCATCACTCAGGCCTTCACGAGCACTGCCACTGAGTACTCAACAATCTCTGTGACGGACTCCATTTCTGACACAGTGACGGATATCTTCACCCAGTTCTACACCAACTACCACACCGAGACCTTTGTTATATCACTCACGGACACTATTACTGCCACGGACACCCAGGATGTTATCGCGACTCAAACCGACGTCTCTACCGCTACCCAAACCGACCAGGAAACAGTTACAGAAGTGGCTACCACGACCAGCACATCGTCTGTTACTTCGACAACGACCACCATCCTCACTGATGCAATGACCACCACATTGACGACAATTGTCACTGCTGCTAATAAGCGAGATCTCACAGCAGCTACTGAAATCTCTACCCCCGCGGCCTTGACTGAATATTCACCCGGTGAATTGTCCAGTGCCTGCTCCGAGCTACACCTCCAGCCGGAGACATCTACGGAGTTCGTCACCACGACTCAAACGACGACCACCCACCCCACCGCTGCTGGAGGCTCGCTGGCTTATGTTACCCAGTTTGTTACCGTCTGGGAGATCATCGCTGCCCCCGCCCCTGAAAGCACAGTGACCTTGACCGACATTGTGACAAACAACCCTTCCACCACGACTCTAGATGTCTTCTCTACAATTTACACGGATATTTCGTCCTTTGAAACAAACACTGTTACAGCCACCGCCACGGTAGATCATATCACCACGGTAATTGACTCGGCCACCGTCGACATCACTGCCTGGGCAACAACTGTTATGACTGAAGATGTCACAACTTATCAGACTTTGACCGCGACCAGCGAGGTCTCCACGACGCTGACAAATAGCGAGTTCATCACAGTGACTCTGGATGAGACTACTACAGTCACCACAGATGTCACTGCTTCCACCACGCAGTCGGCCACTCTAGACATCACAGACATTTTGACTGTCACATCCACCTCATCCGTGACCGTGACCGTGCCTACCACTGTTGAAACCACAGTCACTAGCACCATCTCCGTAACCGATGCGGAAGTGGTAACTGCTGTGGTAGATGTCACTGCCACGCAAACAACGTCGACCACGACAACTGTGACCATAAGCACAACTGCGACCTGTGGCGCCAACCTCGTGAAAAGTCCAAATTTCCAGATAGGAAACTCTTTCTCTCTCGCCGACTGGATGTTCTCAGGTAGCGGAAGCACAATGACGTCTGCTACTGGCTTAGAAATTGGGACTACCTATGTGTTTTATTATGTTGGCGTCAGCCCCCAAACGTATACGCTCTCTCAGTCACTGGCCACTGTCCCGGGAGTTACCTACACTGTGTCATTTTGGTGGAGAGGGGGCAATAGCACTACAACCGCGTCAATGACTGTTACACTTGGATCCCACAGCCAGAGCTATCAATCTTCACAGAGTCAACTCGCCGACTGGCTTGAGGAGACATTTACCTATCAGGCTACTTCCTCGTCCTCGGAGCTTTCGTTTAAGTTTGTCCCAAGCAGCAAGTCTGTAGGGTATCAGATAGGCCTGATCAGCGTTGAATGCTGTGAGAGAGAGAGAGAGAGAGAAAGAGAGAGAGAGAAAGAGAGGGAGAGAGAGAGGGGGGCCATTTAGGCCTTACTGCGATAATTCTTTTCTATAAAGCAACTGTCTTTATCTTCTCCTCGTTATATTTCATAAGCAGTTTGATTATTCCTCTATTAAAATTACCGATCTCCTTGTACCTACATGCCTTGTTCATCGGGAGCTACCTGCTGAACGTAAAAGGGCAAAACTAACCGCATAGCATAATTCACAGGTCCGCCGTTTACACGTTCAATGGAGGTGGTTCAATGGTGGGGTAAAGGCTGTGGGTAAAAGGCTGTGGTGAAAAGGTGGTCAAACAGAATAGTGGTTAAACAGGTTGTGGTTAAACAGAGTAGGGTTGAGCAGCCTAGTGGGGGTAAATGGTAGAAAGCGGTTAGCAATAAAAGCCTAGTCAACAAAGAAATGGTCAGACCTCTAGCAATGAGTAAGTAGTAGCTCACGAGCTGCCAGATTTCCATTACCTCAAAATCAAGTCGTTGGCTGGATCTTCCGTTGGTTTGACTCAAACCTCTTCAACACCCAATAATTAGTTTCCATCTGGAGCTAAACGCGCCGTGGTTTTCCACCACTGGTAAAAAGAAGTGGCCAAGGATGACGCCGGAGTGATGGCGTTGCTAGATCAACACAGCTTGCACGGAAGACACCGCCGCTGCACTTCACGGAAAGAACATTATAGAGGGTTTTTAGGGTCCGATCGCATAAGTAGGCTAATAAGGCTATTTAGTAGGCTTAGCGAGCAACAAGGGCTCCACCAAGGTGTAGTGGGTGTGGGGGAATTGGCCATAGGATCAATTATTGTATAATCGCCAATATAAGATTAATCGATATTGTTTTGGTAGAGATATCTCGATACAAAATTAAATAACTAGAGATGGTGTCCGGGCCGATTGTGAATTACGTTAAGAGTAGCTGATGACATAAACCAAAGATCGGAGATTAAGAAAGAGAGATGAGATAGAAAAGAAAGTTGAGAGACAATGGGGTATTATGCAGAGAACATCAGATAGGATGAGAGACGCCAAACGCTGCAGAAAAGGAGACGAAGAAGCCTGGGAAGGAAGGAATGCAGAATGTAGTGGAGACCCGGCGCGGAGGCGGCAACAAGCAGAGATTGAGATCCTTTCAAACAGAACCCCGAGAAGCAATTAGGGCATTGACGACATGGCCAGGCTGCCACCCTTGCTCAGGAAGCGAATCATGCTCTTTGAGCATGCGGCCCAGGTAGGCGATGCGCACACGCTGGTGGCTCGGAATCTGGAGGATAATCAGAATGAAACGGCCGCCTGGAAAGAAGAACAACATACTCTTGCCTCCTGCTGCACCTTGCGAGCCAGAAAGCCCACGCTCTGGCCTTTCCCCAGCAGCAGCATCAGATCCGGCCCACCGCGATCACTCAGTCGGGCCTGGACGCGGATCAAGTCTCGCTCGCTAGTCTTGCCCTTTTCATCTCTCCGCCGCTCAATATCGTCGGTGATCAATTCGTCGCCGGAGGCGTCGTCCGTAGCAAGTTTACCATCCGATAATGCTTCCGTATCCTCTTCTTCCTGTATAGCCTCGCCACCGTGAGCGATATCGTCCGTAGCGAGCAAGGTCGTCTTGGCCATATTTTCGGGGTCGCTGACGATACACTGCGGCAAGCGATATAGCACGCCCTGCTCGTCATAGCAGCCCTCGCAAAGATCTCCCGTTGGAATAGTCACTCCTGCGGCATCGACGATGCTCTGCGCCGTGGCTAGGTCCCCCCCGCGCATCAGGGTAATCGCTGTGGATAGGGCGTCCCATACCTCGGGCCGGCCGGTCACCCGGGTCTCGAAGAACTCGCGGCGCTCGCGGTCCAGATCGTCGCGTGTCCAGGTGCGGCGCTTGCTACACCAGACGTGCAAGCGCACGGGCTCATTGTAGTGTTCACTCAGCGGGAGGTTTGGAGCGCGCCGCACTCGGCGGCGACCGGTCTGTGTGGTTGTGGAGGCTTCGACGCCGGCATTGCCAGTCGCTCGCGCGAAGCCGTCGTCGGTGATCTCTCGATCTTCATGGGGGTGGTCATCGTCTCGCGACGGTATGGATGAGCAGCAACCCTGTCCACCGAAGGCAGAAGAAAGTTAGTTTCGCGCGCCAAGCTGGGTGCCCTTGATTCCAAGCGGCTTTGGGAGTTGCCTGGCAGATGCGGAGATCCGAGGAGGATCGGCGAGTGGTGTGATGAAGCGGACATTAGACATCAGACATCAGACATCAGACATCAGACATCTGCCAGGCGCTTCCTTGGCCAAGCTGCGGAGGATAGTCCCCTGCGTTTGACGTGAAGGGGTGACTTACCATCGTGCATGCGACTTGGACACTCCATAAGCTGAAGAGAGTGGCGCAGGTTGGGTTGAGGGGAGGGGCCGAATGAAGGTGGACCCAAAGGGATCCAAGCTCCCGGACTTTTTTTGGGGCTACAGCCGAATCAACCAAGTCCTTCTTGAGGGCGAGCTGCGAACAAGATGGACAGGGAGGAAAATAGATGCAAAGACACCAACCGGGAACATTCCACGAATCTTTTTGGCTTCAGACAAGCTTTTATGATGATGTCAGGCGATTCGCGCATCTACTCCCTCCCGCTGCGGTCGGGTCGGAGATGTACAATCGTTGTACAACGCCTCCACCCGCTCTACATTTACATCGACGTAGCATACTAGGCTGCCTCCATGGGGATTCAGGTTTCATGTAATATGGTACATTTATTGTGGGAGGGGGGGAAGATATGTCCAATCTTTTCCGCTAATCTTCGTCATCACTGCCAAAGATGGCCTTAAAAACGGCGTCGCCCGGTCGCTCAGCCTCGAGGGCCTCGTTGCGCTCCGGCTCGACGACTGGTGCAGGTGGATGGGCCATTTGCGGGCCTGATGCATGGTCTGATCCAGCGGCATCGGAACTAGCGGCTAGCGGCTGGCGGCCCGATTCCATGAGGATCATGTTCATCACCTCCTGTGACACGAGCTCTTTGCGGGCTGCTGTATCTGTCTGGGAGCCGCCGGGATGGACGCGAGTCCCAGGCCCGCTATCTGAGCCTCCAGACTGTTCCCCGGGATCAAGTTGTACGTGGCCCGGGGGTTTGACATTGAAGCGCTTGCACAGTAGACGAGAAGGATAGAAAGATATTGAACTGCGGGTCATTTGCCCGAACATGCCAATCTTGGCAGCCGCCACAGCGGGGGGATCTGCTTTTCCAGCGGGGCGACTCAAAGGGGAATCAGTGGGGTCCGGGGCATCAGAGGCCACCTTGGGCCCCGAGGAAGCCGACGTAAATCGAGATGCCATAATCCCGGACATGGGCTTGAAGACCTCCGCCGCCCGCGCGAACTCTTGCATCTCGGTGACCCATTCATCGGTGCTGGATCCAGGAAGGCGATCGGGAAGAGAGTCGCGGACTTCTGCTCGCACTTCAAGGAAGGTCCGATAGCGCGCGCGTTTATTCTCGTCTTCTGAATAGGGCATCCATCCGCTGACGGCGCGAGACAAGGCCTGGACGGCAGTCTGCTTGTCCAACTTCGGCACGAGATCCCAAAGATCTTTTCGCTTTTGGGCATCAGATGTTGCGAAGCCTTTCGGGGCCCCTTCACTCAGGGCAGGGGGGAGATTGGTGTTTCCAGTAAGCTTCGCGATGCGCTCGCGAGCTTCGGGGGTCATCCAATCGAAAATCGATTTCCCTGGGAGTGGAGCTTCTCCCAGAGCTGCCGCTCTTGAGGTAGGATCCAGCGAGGACGCCTTGGCCGCCTCCGCTGTAGATACGTAGTTCGAGGAGTCCCGTTCGGTTGATGCGGGCTGTTTGGTAGACTTCCATCCCTCTGGGATTGGAGGCGGCTCGTACTTCTTCTCCGAGATAGAAAGGCCGGACAAGCTATCGGCCAGAACGAATCCGTCCAGCGGCAATCGTCCGTCACGGCATTTTCTGAAGCCTCCAGCGGTGCGAGCCGCTGCGACCTTCTTTGAGATGAAGACGGGGTTGGCATCCAGTAGGGGGTTGGCTGCTGCGATCGTTGGCTTCCCCTCCTCAGCTTTGCCCTTCTTCTTTTTCTTCTTGTCGCCGCCAATGGTTCTGCTGTAGGATATCTGTGGACCGAGGGAGTACGGATCTTCATCGTCGGACCCAGTGTCGTTGAGGATACCGACGCCGAACCCGCCTCGTCGAGAGTCCTTCGTCTTCGGCCTTGATTTCTGTTTGACCGCCAGGCGCCCTCCAAAGAAGGAATCGGAGTCCTCCAGTTCATCGCGACTGGTCTCAGGGGCCTCAAGACGAGACTCGCCCTCGAAGCCAAGGCCTTTGAAATTCGTTTTGCGAATAAAGGATACCATGGGGGGGTTCTCCGGCGCGAACAGATACGTTTGCTCCGTGCCATCCCGACTGGCAGCTGTGCTCTCGTCCAGGTTGGGTTGACGCCGCACTTTGGGGCCAATGCCTTGACCCTCACGCCAGCCCATCCTCTTCAGCAGTTTGACTCCCATTGTCTCTCCGCCAGCCTTGAGGAGGTCCATGAGTCCCGCCCTTCGCGTCGCATCTGCATCGGATGACCCAAACCCTGCAAATCCTTCCGTGGTGTGTAGTGTTCGTGACTCTTCTTGTTCTCTGAGGTCCTCTTCATCCATGAAATCCTCCGGTCGTTGTTGCTGGCTTGCCTGTTTCGCATCGCGCGCACGGTTTTGGCGGGAGGAGACGAAGCTCGCCGGAGTCCATCCTTCCTTAGAGCCGACTGTATTGAAGTAGCTGGGGCAATTGTTAGCAATTGCGCGCAATAATCCGCGTATCGGGAATCGCTTACCCAGCACTGAAGCCACCCGTGAAAGCACCATGTAGTCGCTTCCGTCCCCGCTCATCCGTAACCTCCTGCTTCCACACCGGCAGGTACGAGCCATCATCACGTCCGCCCGCCTCTAGTGGGGGGGAGGGGCGTCCCATAAAAGGCGTAGGGCGACTGTCCTGCCTGACCAGCCTGATCGGCCTCAAAGGTAGCGCGCGGACGCTTCGCGGCCATGGTTTTGGGGACGAGCTCTCAACCGCGTGAGAAGGGAAGGCAGCCGGCCCCCAGATATTCGAGTGTGATTCGTAGAACGCCTAGCGATAGCGGAGCTGCGTTTCTTGGCGGTGCGAAGCCAATCACCGTAGGTGGATTGTCCCGCCCGCGGAATTTCCGGGACTTGGGCCCCGTTGAGTGCGGCCCCAGTTTAATCAGGACTAATTGGAGCCGCAGGGGTGAGAGGACTCGTCGTCGGGGTTAAGGTTGACACCCAGCACGAGGCTGGTCGGTATCCCGACACCTGTGGGGTACTGCAATTGAAGAGAGATATGTACTGTACTCCGTCGATATGAGAAACTGGATATGACGAAGACGAGCAGAAAATAATGCCACGGCCGCCACCGCGCCAAGCCGAACGTATGCAAGCCGCACTGGCGTGGTGGCTCTCAGCAAGTGGCGGCGACTGGCCCCGAATGGGAGAAAGGCCTAAATGTTGTCTGGCGGGATTTCTCTCCACTCTAATCTCTGGCACGCTTAGGGGTTCTCCTCTCCTCTCCTCTCCTCTCCTCTCCTCTCTTCAACGATTTTCTCTCCCTTTTTGCCATGTGCATCCCATAGCGCTGTTTCCCCTCCCTCCCTTGCATAGCTGGAGTTTTGTTATTTCCCCTTCTGGCGCCCGGATCTCGCCTCCGGTGTAGTCCTGGGAATCTCCCCCTTGGCTTCCAGAATGCTTGGCGCCAACAGCTTCGCGGGACGGCGCAAGTCACTCTACTTGTGCCTGGCCTTTGCAGCAGCGGTGATTTGTTTCCTAAATCTCATTTTCCTGACTCGCACCGTCGACCACACCACCCTTCGCCTGCCTGGCCTGTCTTTTTTCCGCCCCCAACACAAACACCTCGAAGGCACCTATGCGCGCGATCAACACCCAATTAGCGATTTGATGAACGAGGCCAATCGTCGCTGGCAACAATACGAGCAGAGTCGCTCAACTAGCTTCCGCGAGACCGTCGCCAAGTACCGCGAGACCTACGGACGCCACCCGCCGCCGGGTTTTAAGGAGTGGTATCAGTATGCGCGCAAGCATAATGTCCACAATGTCGACGACTTCCAGCAGATCACCGGTGACCTACGCCCATTCTGGGCCGTTTCTCCCAAAGAAATCCGACAGATGGCGGCCCGCTTGCAGCAGAGTCCCGGAATTGCGGGGGTGCGCGTTCGCGATCACAAGGTTGTCTCGCACTCGGAAGGGTGGCGCGTCGAAACTCTGGCAGCCGCAGTTGACCGGCTCGCCGAATACTTGCCGGACATGGATATCGCCATGAACACCATGGACCAGCCCCGTGTCATGGCGACCTACGAGGATATCCAAAACCATCTGCAGGTCGAGGAGAGCACGAGAGCCATTCCCGAGGACGCCGCGGACCAGTTCACTCAGGGGATGGATGGATTCTACAACGAAGAGGCAGGTGTCAACGAGGATCTGGATCCGGGATGGTTCTCTGTTGCTGGCAAACCCTACATGGATTTTGCGAAGGAGGCCTGCCCGCCCAACTCCCCAGCTAGAGGCTCCAACTTGACTTTGCAAGACGCGGATAAGCTGTACAAATCCTCGTATGGCGACTTTGTCTCTAACTTTACCGGTTCCTCGGATCTCTGCATCGTAGGACCCGAGCTTGGAGATAAGCATGGTTTCCTCTTCTCCGCCTCGAGCAACGTCATCACGAGAAAATTGCTGCCCGTCTTCGGTGAATGCAAGGTCAGCGTGAACAACGACATCCTCTTCCCGGCGAACATGTACTTCTTGAAAGACCCTCGTTATGTCTACAACTCGAAGCACGACTTTGAGTGGGAGGACAAGACTGACTCCCTGCTCTGGCGCGGCGTGACCTCTGGGGGTATCCAGGTGGAGGACAACTGGTTCAAGCTGCACCGTCAACGCTTCGTGCGGATGGCCAATGCCACCGAAATGGACCTGGAGAAGGTCTCGATCCTCTCCAAGGACAGCCGCGAACAGTACCAGATTGTCGATGACTTCCGCCCCTCTGACTTCGCCACGTCTTATTTCGACGTCGGTTTCACCGAGGCTTGGGGCTGCATCCCCGACTGCCACTTTTACGAGGGTGTCTGGACATACAAGGAGCCCAAGGCATTCTCGGAGCAGTTCAAAGCCAAGTACTTGGTCGACATCGACGGCCACAGTTTCTCCGGCCGCTGGCGCGCCTTCCACCAGAGCAAGTCGCTCGGCCTCAAGGCTACCATCTTCCGCGAGTGGCATGATTCGCGCCTCTTCGCCTGGCGCCACTTCGTCCCCATGGACAACCAATACGGCGATCTGTACTCCTTGATGACTTACTTCATCGGGCTGCACCCGTCCGCCTCCGAAGACCCCCTCCCGAGCCACGGGCCCTCCGTGCCCCGCCACGACTTCGAGGCCGAGGTGATTGCCGCCCAAAGCCGCGAATGGGCGCATCTCGCACTACGTGATGAAGACCTGGAAATTTACCTCTACCTTCTCCTTCTCGAGTACGGGCGTATTGTCGATGACAACCGTGATAACATCGGGTATAGTGGCGACGGAAGCGAGCTGGACCACTTTGACGCGCAACACCCATTCCCCCAAGCATTGCAGCCTCTGGTCGATGGGTGATTGATGACATTTTTCTTCCCTCCGGGGCGGTATTAAATATGCATATCGGTTTTTTCTCCTTTCCTTTTGGAGACCTGTTAATATTTTTTTTTGATTCCCCTTCATGCATGTATCTATCCCATGTCCTGATGACCGACACTACATATTGTCACGATCTATTACCCTTTTTGTCCCTTTTCGAATTACCCACAAAGCTGTAGTTCACATAATATCAATGTTTAATTGAACACATTACCATTGTCTAAATGGATCCGGGGCTCATTCTGATAACCATTTGTCTCTACACCTCTTTAGTTCTGACAACTCTGTATTAGAAAAAGAACTATTAAGACTCGCTTGTACTGATATGGATACCTCCTAACTGAGGAAGCTATCTCTATCGCAGTTGGATGGTGGAACAGCTGAATTCGGACATCTGTTCTACGTAGCTCTTTCTAGACACTAATTATCAGGAACCAGGAGATAAAGGAGGTCCATTAGGTGATGGTCCACTTTCTGAATGGGTTTCGGAAATTAGTTTAGGTTACTTCATGATGAGCGTATATTTAACTGATTCCCAAGCAAATGGAGCATCTAAGCGGCAGCGACTCACATAAAAATGTCCCGCCTAATAGAACGGTGAACTCGAGCGTTGTAACCGCCGAGTATCGGCCCCATCGACCATGGGATCTTCCCAATAGCGATGCTACTTGTTTCAAGTATCATCCGGTCCATCAATCTGATCGTCAATAGTATCCCATTGAAGATCTCCAGTACTAGAGCATACCGATATCGCTAGACTCGTGACATTTGTCTCATTTATATTTAGGTAAAGGCTATACGAAAACGAAACCTAAATCAGTCCACTACTGGCTAAGTGAGGCTTCTTTGAGACATAACTATCACGATCAAGCTTTATCTGCTGGTCCATGGCTGCAGGTGGGAATGGTCTAGTTTAAGGTCTATGGTAGCCTGATAATAAGGCGACTTTGTAAAATTAGTTATGAAATTACGACGAAGCGTTGTGATTGAAGGAAACCATTGGTTCAAAGTTTGCAGCAAAGGTCTTATTCAATTTGTATTAAATCACGAAACAAGATATATGGTAAACCCCCTCCTCTGGAATATAGGAGAGGCCTAGTCCTCCAAGCTAAGCTCAATGATTGACAACACGCTTCCAGCGGACTGCCCAACCTCTTTCACCACCAGCCGCTTATCAACCCGACTAAAGATAGCCTTCCAACCCTCTATGTGCCTTTCAGGGTTATTGAATACCTGCAGCATATTCAAATCTCGCACACGTAGTAGGCGCTCTTTGGATGCTGGCATGGTCCCTGGATCTGGAAGCACGACGTCCATGATGAGAATGCATGCCCCCGGTTTGAGAATTTTCACCAAGTGCGTCAAAATGCGCACTGAGTCATCATCCGACCAGTTATGCATCACCATTCGAAAGAAGTAGACGTCAGCATCTTGTACTGGCTGTGGGTCGAAGAAGCTATGCGCTTTGTAAGAAACACGGGTGCGGAGGCTCTGAGCATCCTCCTGAGATGCAAGATATTTAGGCCCCCCGGCTATCACCTCTGGCAAATCCTCGACAATGAATGTCAGGTCAGGGAATTTCCGGGCCAACGCAATAGAAGCATGGCCAGTTGAGCCACCCAGCTACTGGTGTAAGCATGTTAACACAAAGTGCAAAGAAATTTAGCTGTACTCACGTCAACCACCAGTGCTTGTCCCAATTTATCCCAATTCCAGCCATTCACAAGATGATTGAGGTGTACATCTTGACCGCTTGTCATTGCACGCATAAACCCAGAAAATTGACGATGTCTCTCAGAGTTCTCACCGATATACTTGAAGAAAGGCAGGTCAGTTGAACAGGCGATATTAAACGCTGTATGACATGTATCAACAAGATCCGGCCACTTTCTGTCTGCGTCAACCATAAAAAATGCGCAGAGAGCGCCGGCATCCATTGAAAAGCTAGCCCAGTCGTGGAAAGAGGGATTTGTTTGTAACAGCGCTGATCTGGCTGAATGAGCGAGATTATTTGGCGACTCTTCGACGAACAACCCGTTAGTTATCGCCATACGCACGACGCTTTTCAGTTTGACTTCGGAGACCTTGGCTTGAGCAGCAAGATCGGCGTAACCTATAGCCCCTTGTAACGGAACCAGACTGAAGATGCCATATTGGCAAAGCCAACGCAAGCAGCCAATATCCTGGTACTGAAATTTGATATTTTAGCGTTGGAGATATTCAAAGGCAGGAGATTAACAAACATCTGTCTGTAGGTATGAGAGGTACTCGCTGGGGCCAGCGGCCAGTTGTAGGAGACTTTGAGCTTGGTCAAGAATGCGGTACCGGGCCAGATGTGCGCTGGAGGGAGCATCGTCAGGCAAAGTAAAAATAGGCGTGTCACGATCAGTCGAGGGCAATGGGTGTCCAGCAGACACAAGATAATCTGTTAATATGTTGACATCATTGATGAGAGACTGGGTCACTTGATCCAGGGTGAGGGAGCCAGAGGGGTCCATTTGAAAATTTGAATCAAGTAAGGGGACTGTGATCAGTTGTCAACAGAAATAAGTTTTTCAATGCTAGCTGATTGTAATGAAGCCCAAGTACTCAGAGTCAATTATATCTATAAACCCCAAATTGTAAACGCACCTGGACCGTCCGTTGGTCGGGGTCCAACGGACTCCGACAGATAAGATTCGTAGTCGATACAGAAATTTAGGGTCGGCCATCCCAAGTGCTCTAAATCATGTGTTGCTAACGAATTTGTACTAAGTGGATGTCAGACACTCCCTCTCACCTACTCTTTGACCCTGCTGCCCTTGGTGTAAGCGACGAAGCACACCTCACATCACTGCGCAAGAACCGAAACGAGGATTAAACAATGGAATATTTTGAGCTGGTCACAAACCTGGAATCCTTCAGAACCCCTTCGGTCCCATCAGACCTCGCTGATATCGGCAATTCCCTTGTTTGAATTGGCAGCTCCTCAACTTGGACCTGGAACAACTGAGCTCCACCTACTCTAGTTCTGGTCAAAAACATAAGAAAGAAGCGAGATTAATGATCTGGCATATTGTTGGGGTTGAAGCAACGTCGTTAAATTATTTCTCGTTCTCGCCCTGCCATAGAGCTGGTGACTTCAAACTTTGAAGGTATTTTGAAGCGCGTATTGCACATAAGCTCGGACTCAGGCGGACCCCGAGCACTTCGGCCCTTCGGCTTTGAAGGCGCCTAACTATGCGACGGCAACAAGCGTTGGCTCGGCACTGTTACGTATCCTCTGCTCTACGATGCAATGGCATCAACTGTACTGGTTTATTTCGAATAAAGGTGACTCCTACCACCCACTCAACTGGCCCTTCGGGAAGTAGGTCATAGCAACCTGGTCTCACCACCTGCTGAATTAACATTCCATGGTCTGTCTACTCGGTGAGGCATCTGCAGATAGCGGGGCTTTCTAATAGCACCATCCCAGTCACAGCTTCAGTTATCGGTCTTATTATTTGGGGAAGCGATGTTCATGATCTGGGCGGCTTTGAGCGAAGTATAAGGTCGAAAAGGGTGGTGATTGTGGTAATTCTTTGATAACAATGACTAGTTGATGTTGTGATTTGGGATGAAGTTATGCCCTGGTATTGCTCTCTTACAAACCAGGAAAGCTTCTCTTTGAGGGTAAGAACTGGGTACTTCATGCCAAGGTGAGGTTGACCGCCCAGAGAACCATTGGAGCTGCTCCTAAATATCCTCTAGGACGAGGAACGGCATAATTCTCTAATTGCTGCAAAATACCTTATACGTCCATTTCAGGTACTGGGGAAACCGATATGCTTGGTGATGAGCATCTATGCTCCCACTGTGTATCGTAAGTGTATGATGTCTCGATACGTGCATTATTCCTCAGAACTCACGTTCATGTTCTTTATCCCAACTTCGAGAGCTTTGCAATTGAGTTTCAAGAGATTCGTGGCTAGGATCGGTAGTTGCCAATATCCCATTCATCACCCCCTTTGGGCCTTCTTTTTTGCGGCAGTGGTCGATATTCTCCAGAAAGAATACTACTTTGAACAGCGTAACTCTAACAACAATCATATGTTCTGGAAGCATTACTACCTCTGATGAAGTCTGGCCCCAAGAATCAGTGGTGTCGCGCCTTTCCCATCTGTTGAACGATTTATGGGATTCAGGGCTGATGTGATCAATCACCCCCAGACGAGAATGGGTGAATGGCAACCATATTCTTCCCGTAAGAGTCCGATCCATATAGGTAGACTAACATAGAGACATCAACCAATTCTGTCGCCTCCTGTGCTGAATCATGAATCATGCGCGGTCGGCGCCAAATACGAGGCGTGTGGGCGACTGATTGGACCAACCAATTGCGCGATCGAGCTTCTGCGTCCAGCTCGCGTCGCGAAGGCGACCTTCACGTAATCACGCCATTGGGGCCAAACTGTTGTCATAATGCACGGGACAACTGTGATATGTGATTAGAGACGAAAAAAAACCCAGTCGCGTGCCGTTGATATATCGTTCACTCCTCGATGGACTCTTGTCGCTCTTAGATGCCGATGGATCTCTTGCTCGATCTGTGGTCCGCTGCCTACTACATTTGAGGTTCCTTCCGGGGGGCAGGACCTCCGAAATGACGCTCTCGAAGGAACAACTCAATATGATAGGTATCGCAGGTCGAATATCCTCGACACTATCCATATTGGGCTCATTTATAATCATCGGAGCATTTTGTTTTTCGCGGTACTTTAGAAGCCCTATCCATCGGATTATCTTCTTCAACTCCTTTTACAATTTGATAGACTCGGCTGGAACAATGATATCTGTAGCAGGGCCTGCTGCAGGTGATACGTCGTCTTTATGTCAATTTCAAGGATTCACACTCCAAATGTATGCCTTCGATCGGGAGACCTTTTTGCACCAAGCCCGAAATTGGACAGGGCTGACCGTACCACTGCAGGTTTCCTCTTGCAGATGTTTTATGGACCTTTGCAATGAGCTTCGACACATATTTGGTCGTCTTTCACCACTTTGACGCACATTCTTTACAAAAGCTTGAACTTAAATATGTTGCGGTGATTTCGGCGTTGACTGGCATACCCGCTGTTGTCTTTCTCTTCATCCGAACACCTGATAAAGGCCCCATTTACGGCGGCGAGACTGTGAGCTAATGAGTTTACCCTCAAGTATCTTGTACGGACAAATTGACTGATTTTCTCAGATCTGGTGTTCTATATCCCCTCACTGGATGCTCATCCGCCTGATACTCTACTATATGCCTGTATGGTATGTACATCTTACATCGGCCCTAGTTTCCCGATTTCTCACCTTCACTCAGTCTCGTAGGATTGTCATCGCTGTTGTGATGATTATTTACGGTCTTATTGGCATCGAGATCTTTAGGCTACGGGACGAATTCAAGTTGACCGAAGACGATCATATTGCTCTGGCGTCCGCCTCTACTAGCCGCCTTATTGATCATACTGACAGCTCCGTCACAACAATAGTCGAATCCAACATCAATAACAAACCTGCACTCATCTCCGAATCACAGATTACAAGCCAATTATCGATGGAGCGAATTCCCACTCCTCGACAGTCTCCAAGACATTTTCGTACTGCCAACCTCGATCCGCCAACCCAGCGGCGCATATCATTCAAACAGTATATCCTGATGCCGACATTATTCTTTCTGGCTCTATTGACAACATGGGTCACGCCAACGATCAATCGCGTCTCTTTGTTCATCCATCCCGATCATCAATCGTATTCGCTTCTGTTGGCCGTGAGTGCGTTAGGTCGTTGCGTGGGTTCTGGAATAGTATCATCTTTATTACAATGGGTATGAAAGGCTGGAAGAGACAGGCGATGGCAAAAAGACGTGTTGATAGAAGGGTAAGCCAGATCGAACTATGAGCCTGTGGTTGTTGAAGTGGGTACTGACTACATATGACAGACGAAGTGGTTGGGAGGAGGGGGGGGGGGAAGTTCGATAAATAATTATGCATACTTATGATTTACAATGACAGTTTATACTGAAAATCCCAAATCCAGGGACGACCGGGAATTGCAGACAAGTGGCCTGTTGCCTGGACGAATCAAACTGAGTGCAGCTGACTGAGGAAAAATTGACTTAGCGCGTTCTAGATGGCCACGCGTTTCCAAAGCCCCTTAGTTTGGTGTCTGAAAGTGTGGTACTGCACCAACGTGGCTCAGATCCATAACAAAATTAGGGTGATCCACCAGTAAAACCGTTAGTAGTTTAGATTGAAAGTCAAGAAGAAATGGATCAATGGGAGTGACCGTACGAATGATTTGCCCGACCCATGGCGCGACTAGCATAGCCAGGAAGCAATGGTGCAACCAAAGAGATAACAGTTGCTTGTATTTGAGTCAAAATCTAGGTTTTCGTTGAACTCCCCCTGTCACGTGGTATCGTGGGTCTTGTTTAATTGCAACACCGAGACCAAGGTACAGTAGATGCTGCCAGTGGCAAACTCTCTAGGGTAGGTCCTTCAGCACGGAATTCTTGCGGGGCAGAACGGCGAGCTGGTGAGCTCATCCTCGCACCACGAATGCCGCGACCTGATGCACATGACTTCGGCGACGAGTTCGGGCCCGTCCGGTTCCGCCGACTATCCCCTCCGATGTCCGGATCCCTCACCGAATCAGGCCAAAAGCCGAGGTGACATGTCCTCGACGATCCCGACCCCAACGGCAACAGGGGCGTATGCACTCCGCTTCACTCAGAGCTCATTTCGAGCCGGAAGATGACCGAAGCTGTGGAGTGCAGCTAGGATTTTCATCCCACGGTCCTCCACTTTTTTGCTGGGGCCCTCCTGGGGATTGGGCCCTGGGGGGTGGCGGTTATCTGGGCCGCATGCTTGGCGGTGGAAATGACGAGACAAGACCGAATAAGCCTTCGCAATTCGCCTCCTGCCAAGTCATTGAGATATGTCCGATAGGTTGTCCGACCCGGGGAGAGGCGCCATCAAGAGAAATAACGTCCGACGACAACCGACAACCCCTCTCTGCCACATTGACTGACGCTGGCCGTCCGATCTGGCACCGAAACAGAGTGTTCAACCCGGCGCCGGTCCCGCACTTTGCCCCTGGCCCGACCCGATTTTGGCCAGCTCCGGCCCGAAGGGCCAATAAGATCGGCCCGAAAGAGTGTTGATCCACGCGCGCCTCCCGACTAAGACGCTTTTAAGTTTTTCCCCGTAACAACGGAGAATGAGTTCCTTCTACCACAAACCCCACGATCCAGGGTACTTGAAAAAGACCGCTTAATCCGTGCTCGGTGAACGTTAGCGAGTCCTGCTTGGAGCTATGGAGCTAGCGAGGCTGAACAGAGCAGAACCGCCGGCGATACTTCGGTAGCCCTAGCCTGCACCGCAGCAAGGAAAGGAGTCCGTCCTCCTTCCAATCTACCGGAGTTGAATAGAGCCCTTCCTGTATTCCGCCCCCGGTCCTCGACCCGTGCCCCTTCCCCCATCCTCGGACAGTTTCGGATGCAGAGGTCGGGGTATGTGCAACCGGGGCCAACCAACCCCAGGCTGGCCCACTTCGATGATGGGGTCGGCGCGACGACCAAGTCACAGAAGGCGAAGCAAATCCTGTGACCCGGAGAGGGCAGATGTACCCACCCCGTGGGTAAACATACAGTCCACACCCAAAAGAAAAACCAAAATTATCATGCGGGGTCTCCACAGCCCTTACTGGAGGAGGGTTTACAAGCCGAGGGCAGACAGATATAAAACGAGATCCGCTCCTCCCTCCGTGGCTTCTCCAGAGTGAATTTTTCTCCTCTCCTCCTTTCCCGGCCCACCCTGTCTCTTCCATCCGATCAAAATGGTCGCACTCTTTCGAGGAAAAGCCCTGGGGATAGCGCAGGCGCTTCTCATTGTGGCTCCCGGTAGGTTAGCCTTGTTCGTTGCTCGACATGTCCATATTCTGACTCGTCCTTTCTTTCTCAGCTTTTATTATATTCGGTTATAACCAATCGGGACTTGGCCCTCTCGCGACTCTGCAGAGCTGGGTCAAGGTCTTCCCGGAGATTGACACAATCAACACAAAGGGCAGCCAGCTCACCAGGAACAACACACGCAAAGGTGCGGTGATTGCATCGATGCAGCTTGGTGCGCTGTTCGGGGCTTTGTCGTGTACAGCGATGAGTGATCGACTGGGTCGTCGCAAGACCATTTTCCTCGGTGCGATCCTTACAATCATTGGCCAATTGCTCCAGACCTCTGCCTACGGCATTGCCCAGTTTGTTGTGGGCCGTGTTATTCTCGGTCTTGGTGTTGGTCAATTCAGTGTTGCTGTCCCTGTCTGGCAGTCGGAGTGCACATCTGCCAAACATCGTGGGCAGCATGTCATTGTTGACGGTATTTGCATCTGCTTGGGTTATGCCCTGTGCAACTGGATCGACTTTGGTTTCAGCAAAGTCAGCGGCTCGCTGCAATGGCGGATGCCACTGATGATCTCCTTCTTCTTCTCGCTCATCGTTTTGGTCTCGGTCTTCCTGCTTCCCGAATCTCCTCGATGGCTGGTCCGCGTTGGCCGTATCGAAGAGGCTACCGAGAGTCTTGCTGCCTATAGGGGCGTACCCGATGACGACGAATCAGTCCGTGCTGAAATTTCCGGAATCGAGGCTTCGTTGGAAGCCTCAGATGATAGCGCCTCCTTGCTTGACATCTTTAACTTGAAGAAGCCTGATGAAGATCGCCTGCTGTACCGTTTCTGCTTGTGCGTTGCACTGCAGTTCTTCCAGCAGATGTGTGGAGGCAACTTGATTTCGACATATATTTCGACCATCTTCCAAGAAAACCTCAATATGTCCAGTGATATGGCTCGTATTCTTTCGAGTTGTGCGATGTGAGTCTCCCTAACGGACCTCAATTCTGTCTATTCAGGACACTGCTGATACTCTGCCCTTAGGACATGGAAATTCATGTGCTCCTTCATCGCGTTCTTCGCCATCGACAGACTTGGCCGCCGCAAGATCTTCATGATCAGCGGCACCGGCATGGCCGTCTGTATGACGGTTCTGGCGATTACTAATAGCTTCGAGGGTAACCACTCCGCGTCAATCGCCTCGGCATTCTTCATGTTCCTCTTCAACTCATTTTATCCTATCGGATTCCTCGGTGGCAACTTCCTCTACTGTACTGAGGTCGCTCCCATGCGTCTGCGAGTCGCGATGTCTGCCATCTCGACTGCCAATCACTGGCTGTGGAACTTCGTGGTCATCATGATCACACCAGTTGCACTGGATACTATCGGCTATAAGTACTACATTATCTACGCCGTTATATCTGCGTGCATCCCTGTTGCGGTCTATTTCTTCTACCCCGAGACCATGAACCGCAACCTTGAGGCGCTGAACCATGTGTTCCGTGATGCCGAAACCCCCTGGCAGATCGTGAACATTGCTCGCCATCTACCTCAAGGCGAGGGTGCTGAGGTAGAGGTGTGGAAGCGCGGAGATGAAAAGGGCTCGATTGAGCAGCAGGAGCACGCTTAGAACATGTAATTAGTGAATCTTGTATAGGAATGTTTATTATGACGACAATGATGATCCAAGGTGGTGAACTCCCAGTTACAATATAGAAGGAATGAAAGTAAGTCACCTTTAAACTCATTGACATAGTAAAACTAGAACAAAATGTGAAAGTATGTCGCCAAGCAAATGAAAAATAGAGTGGATTCTCTTGGCGAGACAAAAATCTCAGCACGCGCTACCGGAGCTCTTCGGCTAGGAAACGCCACGGGCGTTTTTGCAGGCTCCTTGCATGGATGAGATCCAGAGAAATATCCCTCCAAAATCAGCCTGCACACACCACTTATGGATCCCCGTTCTGGGCATGCAGGGCCACCCACAAATAGAGCCCAGAAGACAAGATCAGGCGCAATCGTTTCAATCACTATGAGGCTTCGTTCGAGGCATCGCCGAAGAATTGAAGTGATATACTCTATACATGGCTTTGCTTCAAGTTTCTAGATTCTCACCACACAAATAGTCAAGACGGAGACCCGAATTGTGTTACAAGGGGTTAGGGGATAATCATAATGCAGTGAGTAAAAGCCTCTTTGGCCCGGCAGAGGGTCTAGTTCCTCGGCCGGGAGTTATCATCTTCATACTCCACCACAGGAAGTCCACTGGGCGCTGAGAGGCGCGCTTCCCAGCATTCTGCGACATCCCGAGGGTGCGGTGGGGGGGGGGGGGGGGGGGGGTGGTACGAGCGTGTCGGTATAAAATAGAGTAAATTGGCCTTGGCGTTTTCTAGCGGAGCAAAAATCGATCAAGTGCAGTTTTTTGTGTCCTCGGTAGTAGACTGTCATCTCCTGAGGGGCCTGCTCGGCCCCCAAGCGTGTCGCACTCTGCAAGATACACCGCTTCACCGTGCTCGATCTATCCCCTTGCAGGAATTGCTATTCCGTGCTACATCCCACATCGTGCCTAACTCACTGTAGGCGGATGCAAATGATTTTAATTTCTTCCTCTATTAGGAGTAAATCGATCGACCCTTCTCTAGAATTAGCAAACGGATTCTATGGTCCGTGGAGTCAGCCTAAATCTCAGGTCTACCATGAAGATTGGTAGAGAAGATGATACCTTCGGGAGTCGGGCTTGCTCTTGCCGCCCACCGAACATTATACCGATCCGGTGTTGGCCGTGGAATGCAGGATTAGCCCCATGCCGGCCAGTTAGAAATTGATCAACCGGCGACAGTCTATCAACCAGATGACTTTATGGCGAATTCTTTTGGTTTAGTTATCCATTTAGCCCTTTCGATCACTAGTGACTCGCTTTTAATGTCCTTCGTTGCAGTTATTATATTGCTCCCGTGCACAAATTGTTATATAGATGCAGACTAGTTCACCGGGGCTAGCGTCCGCGTAGTTCCCAGAATTATGAAAACATGAGCCTATTGCTGTGAAATGGATGCCAGCCAGTGACATTGCTGACGAGAGAATGCTGTAGTGTTCATTTGTATATCATGTTTTCTATTGTATGTCACATTCTCTTAAGCACAAATATCAAGTCTTGAGGCCCCATTCACTCAGCATATACTCTAAAAATGGGCACGTCGAAAGCGCTGCAAAATTTGAACTCCTCTCCGATATTTCCCTTCCGCTGCTCTAGCCTCTGCCTTGAAAAGCTCCTGGTACACCTTGCCTCGTGGGATTTCCCTGAAATTGACGTCAATCCATTCGAGTATGACCTCAAGAACTTCGACATGGCGGTCTCCACCAGGACCCACGGCACATATCAAAAAAGACTCTCCATTTACATCTTGAAGAAGGGGATCGGCGCCATTTTCTAGAAGCAGCTTCAGCTGAGCGGTGTTATGGAGTGCTTCCCAAAGACAGGTTTGCTGCTGAGCGACATCTCGAACGTTGATGTCCACGCCGTTTCTTAGCAGTATATCAAGTATCGTCTCAGCAGGGTTGTCGGGATTTTTCATGCCGGACGCCTTGTAGATTTGCTTCGGATGCCAATTTCGAGGGATGGTGAATCCTTGGTCTAGATAAAATTTGGCGACAGGGCCATCCTCCCGTCGAATTGCTCGACGCAATGCCCACTTTGCTTCTTCTTCACCCACGGCTTCTAGATCAAGCCCGTTTTGGATAAGAAAATCCAGCGTCGCCATACCCCCCATAGTTCCAGAAAGCAGAATTGATCTTCCCCTAGTCTTTTGAATCGAGGGTGGGAGTGCTAGTGGAAATCCGTGATTGAGCAGCATTTGGACCAGTTCGAGACGCCCCGACTCCAGCACATATTCGATTAGAGACTTTTCTTCTTGGATGGCATCAGTTGGACTGGCCCCGTGTTCCAGTAGGAGGTTGAAGCATTCATCATCCTTGCATGCTAGGAACAAAAGCATGTGGTACCAGCAATATAATCGGTGACCGACAGAGTATGCTTCAAGCAGGATCTTGACGACTCGTGAATGTTTATTCTGGATTGCGAGGGTCAGAGGCTTTTCATAAGATGAATCCTCACCCACGCCGCGTTCTAAAAATTTCTTCACCACCGAGTCGTGCCCTGCTTCAGCGGCCCATTCTAGTGGCGCTTGAGACCCTATTTCTCCATAGAGAACTTCTTCTATCCATTCATATTCATCATCTGAATCAAGATCTTGGTCGAGCAGCTGTTGAACGAATTCATCTTTACCCGATGCAGCGGCAATATTCAAGAGCATCGTTTGATTTTCGCGTCCGGTCAGGAGCAGGTCGAGGTTGACCTGCGATCAGGTTTGTCATAGCTATCCTATCTCCAACCGTTGCTGTCATTGCCGAGAAGATAGGAAGCTGTCTTTGACCAGGCGCGGGGTCCACGTTGGCCCCATACTCCAGCAACAAGCGAACAATATCGATATGACCTCGAGAGGCTGCGATCTCAAGAGGCAAGCCCTCACGGTCGACCGACAGATTTGGATTTGCTCCCTGTTTAAGCAAGGATTCAGCAGCTAGCGTCTGTCCTTGCATTGCCGCAGTACACAACGCCGTAAAATCATCCTCGCTGCGTCCACCGGGTTGGCGAAAAGCATAGTGAACGGGATATCCCCTGGCATCAGGAGTAGTGCGGTAGAAGCCTGAAAGCTGCGCGTACTTGTTGATGACGCAGGGCAACGTCATGTGTAAGCTTATGGAGCCGCATGCGTCGGCTGATGGCATCAATCAGGGCGGGGGAAGCCAAGACCGGCCAATTGCTAGCCTGTCTAGCGCATTCGATGCCGACCTCTTCCTCGGTGAGCTCGACGAGGTCCCAGTCAAAGTGGGAGAGGCTAGGATCAGTCAGGTCCGTCAGCGGGTCGAGGAGCAGGTCGTGTACCGCAGGGTCATCGAGGAGCCGTGTGTACGGGTGCGGTGGTGCGGACGGGGCCGGTTGCGTGGACGAACCCGGTTCCGCCAGCCGTTGGCGTTTAGCGGGCGGCTCAGGGGGCTGAGGCGCGGGGGCCTGAGGGGGCGGCGGTGCAGGGGTAATGGGGGCCACTGCGGGGGCCCCGGGTCACAGCCCATCTCCTCGACGAGGTATTTTATCATCTCGACATGTCCATTTGCCGCAGCAGTCGATAGCAGATCCCCGTTCTCCCCAGGATGAAATTGATCAGCCCCATGTGCAACCATGACCTGCACGACGGCTGTGTTTCCCCCACTCACAGCGACACGTAAGTGATGGGGTGTAAGACACGGGTCACCAGAGTGCTCTACATCCGAGTCCGGAGCGATGCCAAGCTGAATGAGACGTTCAAGCATCTGGTGGTGTCCAGCGTATATGGCTCCCCAGATAGCGTCCCCGGTGATGTCTTTTCGCGCATAATCCATAGCTCCAGCGTCTAGACAAGTGGTAAGGGCATCATGATTGCCCTGCTTGACAGCCCAGAGGATTTACCAAAGGGCGCAGGCTATTAGATACCAAGCCTGGCATCCTACGTCACGGATATCCTATGCGAATTGATGCTTAAGAAATCTAACGGCAGAAGAAGTTATCTGGTTGATTCTGCCAGTAGTCATATGCTTGTCTCAAAGAAATGACACGCACACTACAATAGGTCTACTGAGTGCAATACAAATGATCTGAGACTGAAAATATTTACCTATCTATTTCAAGAAAACAATGTGTCGCCTCTGCAAGCTCGAATATAAGTATATAGTCGTATCCTGTCATTATGCGCAGAACCAAGTAGGTTGAAGTAAACGAGAGCCAGCATGGGTAAGGGGCGGCTGGTCGAGAGAACTCGCTCAAACAAAAACACCGGATCCAGAAATACCAAGGATCAAAAAAGGTAAACAGAAAAACAAAGATAATAAACAAAGGAAAACAGTACCTAAATGCCTAATCCCACAGCCCGCTGTGTGTAGCCAGCCTTCGCAAAGTTATAGCTGTCCGTGACGCCTTGCCAGATCCCGGGCACGTAATTCCGAATCCAAGCGCAAATAACTAGAAGCAGAAGAGGTATCTACAGGATGTTAGAAAAGAGATTCCGGTATCGATAGTGGCATGTGATTGATGACTTACCCAAACAAAGTAGAGGTTCCGGTCGCTACCGAGGCCCTTCATTCGGCGGGCCTGGTGCTCGCGGAGGTGCTTCTGCTGTTCACGTGAAATGACCTTGCGTCCAATAGTAATATCCTTCAGGTCATTCTTGTCTGTGTGAGTGCTGCGCTCGATGGTGGCAGCAGCTGCCGATGTCGATGCAGACGGGGCGCTGTTCTGTGCCTCGAAGTGTTGATCTAAGGCGGTCTCGGTTGCAGCACGCAAGAGGGCAGATTTCTTTATCTCTACCGCTTCCACATTGTCCTGCTGATGGGGGTACAGTTCATCGTAGGAAGGCGGTTGGTTCTGAGTCTGGGCGGTGGTGCCCTTCAGCAGGTCCCACCATCCGTCTCGGGCCGTGGGCCGATGAGGTACGAGATTGGTGATGCGCCGCATCATTTGATTGGCCTGATAGTCCGGCATAGCGGGCATAGCAGGCATAGGAGGCAAAGCAGGTATGTTGGGGAAGGCGTTGGCCACGCTCTGCTGGAAATGGTTGATCTGCCCCGCAAGGTGGTTACGCCAGGCAACAATTGCTGCCGTAGAGAAACCGCGCGCGTCGGGTGCGGGAGGCTGCTCACCAGTATCCACGATGGGTGGAATAACATCTTGATGCATGCTCGACCTCCGAGATATATTGAGGAACAGGGGACCCTCAGAGTCGTCGCTGTCCAAATCTTCGCTATCATCCAAGTCCACCGAATCATCAGCAGTATGGCCCAAAGACCCTGAAGCGGAGGAAACCTCCCAAAGAGAATTGAGAGAAGCAGAACTGCTGGGTCTCCGGCGCAACGTGAGAGATCCAACGCTTCGAGAGCGGTAATGGCGAGATGGAAGCAGAGCAGCCTGGTGGGCAGGAAGAGTTGTCGCCAAGTCCGCAGGGGTGAAACCACGCACACTACGAGCATTGGCATTGGCGCCTGCCAAGCGCAGTCGGTTGACGATATGAGCATGGCCATGAAGAGCAGCTAGATGCATCGGTGCATTGCCAGTGTTGTCCTGCACATCAGGGTTTGCACCACGAGCCAAGAGTCCCGCAACAAACCGGGTCAGTCCCAACGAAGCTGCAAAGTGCAGGAGGGACTGGCCGGTGGTGCTACGAGAGTTGTAGCGCGGTGGCCGGGGGTTGTCATCCAGATCGATGTACTCGAGATAGGTCAGCATCTTAGAGTCGAGATCGCTGAGCTTGCCTTGGGCCTCCAGCCCTGGCACTTGACGATGGTGGCTGCCGGAAGAGCCACCACCTTGCATATCCTTCTGCAAATTGAAGATAGCGTTCGGGTCACTTCCCATGATCTGCTGAGCGGTTTGGAATGCATCTGCTTGGCTACCCAGCTTTTGCCCAAGAATATTGAGGGCCAGGCGATACATCTGAAGCTCCCGATCATCCACGTATCGGAAAAATAATTGCTGTTTAGGCATGAGAGGCTGAGCCTGCTGCACTTGACCGAAAGTCGGATGCTCGTGCTTGAAAACCACCGAAACCAATCCGGGCTGAAGGGCGGGAGGAGTGAGACAGTTGAGGCACTTGTCACCCCAAAAGGTAGTAGTGGTTGCCAAAGTATCGCCAAATACAACCTCCATGCCCGGGTAGAAACCACTCCCCAACAACGTGACTTCTGTGCCTCCAGTAATTGAACCCTCGGCGGGCACCAATTTATGTATGACGGAAGGCAGCCTGTTAGGTGTGGTGGCAATGGAGGGCCAAATCTGATTCGCAGGGTTGGCCCCGAGCGCAAGGGCGAGGTTCTGGTCCTGGAAACCGTTACGGCCAGACGCACCTGGCGTTCCCGGACGGCTGGGCTGAGCAGAGTTAGGCGCAGACGTCAAGTTTTGTTGGGCCAGATTATCCAAGCTCTGTCGTTGAGCAGGCGTGGGGTTAAAGAAGGGGTTGTTATCGCTGCTCTGGCTAGGAGTGGGAGGCCCATTTCCGTAGTGCGCAGACATAGACGACGGCGTCACGAATGGCCTCTCTGTCGGCGAGGTGAAGCCACGAGTAGCTGCAAGCTGTGCAGCACTGCTAGACTGAGGAGTCTCCAATCGTGTCATAGTCAGCTCGGAGGGAAGCCGGCCAGAGCTGCTGTGCTTCCGCCGCTTAGTCTGCGGGCCCTGGAAGTCCGTGGGCGACGCCTGTCGAGACAGGCTTCGGGGCGTTGGAGAATTCGCGGGCGCGCCGTTGGTTGCGTTCTGAGTGGCAGCGAAAGAGCTGGGGGTAAGTTGATACTGGGAATTGAATCTTTGCTGGAGACCCTGGAGGTCCGTGGGCGACTGAGGCGAGGCGAACGCGGCATTTGCAGTCTTGCCATTCTCACCCGAAGAGAAGACTCCCACGCCTGGCAATTGCGTTCCATCCGGCAGAGAAGGGGAGTGGCCAGCAGGAGGAGGAGCGGAAGGCGCTTGAGTTTTGTGGTCGTCCGTGATCATGATGGAGTTGGTTATCGCCTGGGCCACAACATTGTCCATGTGATCTTTGACAGTAAAGATGACCTGGAATCCAAGCTTCTCGTTCTGGTGTCGGCAGTAGCACGCGATCCGCATGGGCAGTTCCACCTGCATCGATCCCGGAGGGGCAGGAGGCATTTCACCGTAGCCAGCAGCAGCGTTCTTGGGTGGCTCGGTCCACTCCTTGATCTCGCTCGTGTTGAAAACGATAACACGCTTCTCCTCATCTTTTTGGAAGAGCTCATCCTCTTCGGGTTTCCTTTGCTTCTTCCGAGAAGCACGTTTGCGCTCCCGTTGGATACAGCCAGTGCAGATCTTAACATCTCCGCCATCCAAGGGCCGATCTTCCTCCATTCCGTTCGCGCCCGATTGGTATCCTTCGCCTCTTGTCCGAGTAAATGCGCGCTTCAGCTTGTCTCGGTCTTGCATCGCACTGGTACACACCAAACTTGTGTATAGTTGGAGGGTGTCGGCGGTGAGTTCGGTAGAGGGAGGGGCGAGGAATTTTAGTTTGGAGATGGTGTGAGATGGGAGGCGCAGCTTCTTTACGCCGGCCGGCAGCGGAGAAAGGGTCAATCGGATCGGGATCTGGGTTTCGACGCGCGACTTGAGGGAAGTTGGGTGGACGGTTAAAACGGGTTGCATCGAGTGTGCAGCTTCCCGCTGGGGCTGGGCCGGGGAAGGCGCAAAGTTGACTGGGAATTGGAAGGAGTTGGGTGAGCCAAAGTTCATATTTGGCGACATAGAAGCATTCAGTGGGGAGTGCCCATTCATGTTAATGCCTCCAAAACTTTCTTCTAACAGTGACGACGGAGACTGCCCACCCCATTGGGGTGCAGACAGTCTGTCAGTACCATTGGTGAATTGATCTCCAAATGGCGACTGTGCCTTGAGCCCGAAAGGGAAGAATGGGGACCCAGGCTGGGGAACCTATGGCGTGATGTTAGGATATCCTATGTGCGGTGCACCGCCGTTGATGGGGTAGATGACTCACGGAAGATGCGGCCTGTGCATCATTTGATGCGGGTACTGCGGATGCACTTGACGGACTCCAAATCTGTGAGTTCGATGGCTTGTGGCCGTTGAGTTGGGGCGGATTCTCCGTCTTCAAGGGACTGGGGCTGCTCGCTGCACTCTCAAAGTCAAATGCCGCATCCATCGCTTGGTTACTGAACTCGAGGTCGGGATGGGCCATGGAAATTCCGCCATCCATGGCATACGACGGATCTATCGTGAATGGTGACTCCTCCTTGACCGACGATAGTTCCGGACGCATCCATTCCTCCGATGTAAAGCCTGTGGATACGAGGGGGTTTTCGCTATGAGCGGCGGAGTTGGTGGATGCGATCGAGGATTGCCGCAAGTGATTTCGCGGAGACTCTGACAAAGAACTGCGGCTCGAATTATCGGGCGACTCTGCTGGGGAATCGGCGGTCAGGACGGGTGGTTGTCTCAGGGGGTGTTGGTCCTGGTAGCGCTTGGAAGACTCGGGTGCGACAGTCGAGCAGGAGTGGGCAACATGGGAGAATAGGTCATCAAATTCCCCTCCAGCGGACTCCGAGGGCATGTCGAGTTTGGCCGGGTCAAGAAAATCCATGTTGGCGTTGCGGAAGGTGGACTCCATCTCGTCGTCCATGATGATGGGATCCAGGGCAGGAAAGGCGGGTGAGGAGGAAGCCTCTGCTGGTCCCATGCTTCGTAGTCGTTCTGGTTTGAACTATAACACGGAGTGGGAGATATAAAGCGACTAACCACACTCCCAGGGTGCTGGATGTGGATGGTGCGGTTGTCGCGTGTGGACGGTTTGGGGGACGGGGGCGTTCGGAGGAGAGACGGCGGTCGGAAGGGGAGTCGATCGTGGATCAAACCGTCAGAGTCGTTAGGATTCACGCAAAGTACCAGGACCGGTCTCTTGAGACCATGGTTCCTGGAACAACAGTGAACTGGGCTTGTCTTGGGGGGGGGCGGATGAGAGAGTTGCTGGGGTAAGGGAAAGTGGTGGCCAGGTGGAGTCAAGAAAGGAGAGCGGGAAAACTGTGAGCGCCGATCCAGACCGGCAGAACCTCAACGGAACGTGGGCTCAAATCATTAATCGTGAATCGTCAACCATCAGTAATCACTCGAGCTCGAATGGCTGGCTCATGTGTCAATCCTCAGAGAAGTTGCATGGGAATAAGAGTCATGTGTCTCGGCAGATGTACTTTTCTGCATACCTTCCGATATAAGTATGCCGATTCTGGTCCTTTTGTCTCCCGCGATCAACCTTTTCCCACATAGCCGACACCTCAGGCCAGCGGTGACCCGCCAATACGCGCGATACCAGTTTCCCTGACCACGTTACGACTGGACGCTACCCGTGGATCGGTTATGTCCTTACGGTTGTTTACCGGGGCTGATTCGCCTTCCCCCAGCCTTTTTGCCCGTCTTTGCCCGTCTTTGCAAATCTGGTGGCGAACAGATGGGCCTGGTGCCGGGTTCGGCTCTTGGAGATCGACACATCTCGGTGGGACGGGATGCTTGCGTGGGGGCTTGTTGGCTCGACCAGCGAAACATGTCTACTTCTCAGATGTACCTCTACTAGCAACGAGGATCCGCGCTGCGATTACGCTGGGGCCCCTCTGGCTGGCAGTTACCATGTACGCTTCGGATTACCGATGGAGTACACACAAGCCGGTGCCGCACTGATAGGAATGTTTGGTCCGACCTGCATGATCGAACTTCCCGGATTCCGATGACGAACACGAGCCCGGTTATCACGTCCCACAGCGTTCTCGGACATTTGGTCGCTATCAACGCCGTATCTTCCCCCCCCCCAAGGCCCGTCACCAGTAACTGGAGTGTTAGGTATATCGCCTAGCTATTGGAGCCCTGCCCTGTTCTTTCGAGGCGGTCCTTCATCTATTCGATGCGCCCTAGGGCGGTAAACGGTCCTCCGTTGTGTTGATAGTGGGATCATGTCGACTGCCGGCACTCAGGCCCCTCGAGTCAGTGTGCGAAGTTCTCCGGCAGCAATTGGCCTGCTTCCTGCAGCCAACCTTCCCGCTGTGCGGTTCACGACACCGTGGTACGTATGAGTTAATGACGGGCTGGGACTGGCAAGTCAAGTCATCCATACAAAGGATTTGAGAACCCGCTAACGTCTGTCGCTTTCTCAACGGGAACCTTATTTGGGTCCTCGTCAGAAGGGACTTAGCTTCGTACTTTTTCGATGGCCGAGATCCCAATGGAGAGATGTAGATATCCCGCGTAGCTCAGACCTGCATCGACATCGCCCGAGACTTGTGGCTGCATGGATAACGTGTTCAATTGTCGATGATACCTACTTCCAAGGAATACCATGTTCATTTGCCTCACAACCCACTCCACCTTCTTCCCTTCCTCCTTGTATCAACGAAGGGATTCATGCGGCGTTTGGCCTCGCGTTGGGAGAAATGTGGGGCCGCTCCTCCCCACCTCCTACCTAGAATCTTTGATTGATAGTCTGTTTTGTACTTCCGATATCGCCAATCGTCTTCACCTGCCAGAGATATTCGTTTATCCGGGGGCGACTTCCGTTTTCAGTGGCAATGCACCTTAACCGTCGCCTAGCAAGACCAAAGAAACAACAAGCCCGCGGAATCTCTCCCGGACCTCACTGCCTCCAGAGGTCAGTGCTACAAGCTAGCGTTGTCTAGCCCAGCAGGGCCCTTCGCTAGCCACATAACCCCATCTAGAACCTCGATCTCGGCGTTGCGCGCTCCGAATGTCTCGGCCGTGGTCGGAAGAGCAGGTCTCTTGTGATTAAATGAAGGATGCACGCAGCCACGGGCAGCCGCCCAAGGCCGCAAATTCATCACCGGCCTGGGTTTTGTTCGCAAGGCTAAGTGGAGGCCCCCCGACGGACTCCACTCGGTGCAGGGGCCGGCGTGCCGAGCCCGCCCAAGGTTTCAGACTAATTCTCCGCATACGCGCCCCCCCCTCGGAGGTCCTCGCAGGGGAGATTGATCCTCCTCTCAGCGGTTCGAACCCATCCTATGATCTCAATGCTGATCGGGGTTACTCACCGTACTGCCAAGAGGGGGAAATTCGAACGAACTCTCGGGAAAACAAAAGTACACCGCTAGCTTCTCATAACACAAAGCTTGAGATCCGACCTGGCAGGATCTTCGCGGCCGAGCGCGATGGACCAACCGTTGCTCACAATCACTAACTCTGCGCCAGTCCCAACAGCCCTGATCCATACGGACAGCTCGCTCATAAGAGCCTCTGGCTGGCCAGTAGCATATCTGCACAACTACCAAGTACAAAAATATTGACGAGGCTAATGTCCATGGCGGTTCTCTTGTTTCACACTTTACCCCGGATAATTTCGGTCAGACCACGAGCCACGCAGGCTCATCATATCCTGAATCTGTCTGAATCAACGGAGTATTGTCTTCTGGCCTCCACCACCTGCTGACCGGGCTCTCCTCTCCTCCCCTCCCCCTGCCCTCAAACTAAGCTTTTCCATCCTGGAACGAAATCACCCCCTCCAGACACCAAACGGCAGGAGCTCGCGCAATGACTTGGCAGGGTGCCGATGTGAGTGATACTATCTCGTCGACCGACGCAGGGACCAACTGCCAATCTCAGGGGAGTTGGCTGTCAGGGTGAAACCTAGATCGTCGCAGACAGCCGCCCAAGATCGACAGGCACCAACTAGTGGATTAGACGAGCCCCAGACGCCCCCATTGAACCCCGAAAGGAATGAATTGGATGTATCGCCTAAACAATTCTGTGAGCTAGCAGGGCCCGCTGGTTTGGGAGAGGGGACACTCACGGCTGTTCATCTATCTGGGACCTCGGGGGGCTGCCCTTTCGGTCGTGGGAGATTCTCCACCTATGACCGTCTGGGCAACATAGTGGAAACCAGCAACCATGACAGAATCATGCTTGAATTAAGGGGTGTCTGGTCTTGCTGGCACTGCCAAGCAAGGTGGAGGTGATGCTGGTGGCGTGGCTGCGATCCCAAACAGGCTATGATGCCGGGGAGCCTCGATGGGTGAGCAGCATATAAAGCTACACGACGAGGACCACCACGTTGATTCTCTTTCTTCCTCACCAGTCTCTTCATTCCATTCTTTCTTTTCTCACGGTCTAGTACCTTGCCGTTCTCTTTTCCTGGGTTGACTTCATTGACTGAAGTCCCCATTTCCATTCTTTTTTCTCGCCTTCATTTCCTCGCGGATCCCACTGACGCTGTGCGTTCTTTCTTGACCTAACCACTAAATCATGTCTCTCTCCAAGATTGCTGGTGTGGTCCTTGGCTCGGCCGCTCTGGTCGCTGGCCACGGTTACGTCTCCGGTGCCGTTGTGGACGGTACCTACTACGGCGGATATCTGATTACCCAATACCCCTACACCAGCACTCCGCCAGAGACCATTGGCTGGTCCGAGGATGCGACCGACCTTGGCTACATCGATGGCTCTGAATACTCCAACTCGAACATCATCTGCCACAAGGATGCCCAGCCCGGTGCAATCTCTGCTCCCGTCGCGGCCGGTGGCAGTGTCGAGCTGCAGTGGACTGCCTGGCCTGAGAGCCACCACGGTCCCGTTATCACCTACATGGCCAACTGCAACGGCGACTGCTCTTCCGTTGACAAGACCAGCCTGAAATTCTTCAAGATTGACGAGGCCGGTCTTATCGACGACAGCAATGTCCCCGGCACCTGGGCCTCCGACAACCTGATCAGCAACAACAACAGCCGCACCGTCACCATCCCCAGCAGCATCGAGGCCGGCAACTACGTCCTCCGCCACGAGATCATTGCCCTGCACTCTGCCGAAAACACCAACGGTGCCCAAAACTACCCCCAGTGTATCAACCTGAAGGTCACCGGCGGCGGCAGTGACTCTCCCTCTGGGACCCTCGGCACCGCACTGTACAAGGACACTGACCCCGGTATCCTGGTCAACATCTACCAGTCCCTGAGCTCCTACACTATCCCCGGTCCCGCGCTGTACACCGGCGCCGCCTCCTCGGACTCCACCACCACCACTGCCGCCTCGGTTGCTGCCAGCACCACTGCTGCCGCCACTACCGCCGCCGCTCCCTCGTCCACCGTGGCCTCTGTCGGAGTGATCTCCTCTCCCAGCGCTTCCCCCGTCAGTGCCACCCCCAGTGCTAGCCCCGTCCGGAGCTCCCCGTCCATCCCACCTTTCTCCAACTCCACCCGCGTGCCCCGTCCCTCACACGGCCGCGGCCAGCATGGATCTGCTCCCTCTGGTCATCCCCACTTCTCGCAGCCCAGTGAGCCCGAAAGCCAGCCCACCGCGGCCACCATCACCGATTATGCCACTGCCACTGCCACTGCCACCGAGTATGCCACTGCTACAGTTCAGCTTACTGACTCGCCCGTTGTCCAGACTCCCAGCGCTGATGACACTGTGACCGTCACCGCCAGTGCGGGAGCCCAGTCTGCCGCCAGTTCCACCCCGGCCTCCAGCAGCTCGGACTCCAGCTCTTCCAGCTCCAGCTCCAGCTCCGGCTCCGGCTCCGGCTCCTCCTCCACCACCACCACCACCACCGGCGGCTCCAGCTCCTACAACTCCAGCGATTGGTCCACCTATCTGAGCTCCCTGAGCGCGGAGCAGTTCCTCAGCCTGCTCCGTCAGACCCTGAAGTGGCTCGTCTCCGACAACAAGGTGCACGCGCGTGACCTAACCTACTAGGAGCGCCGCGCACCTCCGGACATGCACGGGTAGTCAAACTCTATCCAATGATTGATTTCAATTATTCTTCTCTTCTTGGCCGGATCAGGTATCCCTGCTCTCTTTTTCTGGGGGGATTTGGGGTTTTTGGGGAGCGCTGTGTAACTATACGTTGTCCCATTTTCTTTTCTTTTCTTTCTTCTCCAATACCAGGAGACTAGAGGCCTGACTTTTTCTGGGCCTCTTGGATACTTTTTCACGAATGGATTTTGTTAGACTGCTCTCATAGATTGGTATCCACATGATCGTAGCTCGACTGATGGGATGAGAGTAAACCGGTATTCTGCATTATCCAATGAGAAAGGATGATGGAGACGAAAAAGCTGTTACTAGGCACCGGGTGCCATGCGTGTTACGCTCATCAAGTAAAACAAACATAGTTAAGCCCACGCTATGGCCGAAACGGGAGGTCTGATCTATTTCTTCTTCTTGGTCTTGTCCACCACTTCTACCCACTGGCTTTTCAGCCCGCGGCGCGTGAGAGCGCTGTCTAAAACCTTCCGCTGATCACCCTGCACCAGGACCTCCATGACGCCTTTGGGAGCACCAACAGCTTGAGTCACACTTGTACTACTGGCACACTTTTTCTGCAGCTCCTCGGCGAGAAGGCTCGGGATGATCCCAAAGATTTCCAGGTTCGAAACCTTCGTGATAGTCTTGGAGCCCGTCCGTTTCTCGAGCGTCACAACCGCCTTGGGAGTGGCGCCAGCCTTGGGCTTGACGTCTGCGAGCGTCTGGCCCGCTTTGAGGATGGCGTAATGAGGTTGCAGGAAAGTGTGGTCCTCAATGATGCGCTTGAGCAGCCCATCGCGGGTGACCTTGCCGCGCTTGAGGGTGCCTTGGTCTTCCGAGGACGAGGATGTAAAAATGGTGTTGGCGAGGAAGGGGTTGAGATTGATGATGCGGCGGTTTTCTGGGGAGACGAGGTTTTGAGACTGCAGATATTGATCCAGGTGGCTGGACACCTCGGAGTATTTGTAGTAGTTCTTCGGGTTGCTTGAAGAAGACGCGGGGAAGATATCTGGAGTCAGCTTCTGTGTCGGCCGATACAGAGTTTGCACATTGAGAGTCTGTCCCACGGCAGGGTCGGCTTCACCGGTTGCAGCGGGGGTTTTGCCCTCTGAGGCTGCTGGTTTGCTGGCTGCTTCAAGTGCGCTTTTGGACGGGAGCTTGTAAGGGACAAAACGTTCCACACGGTGGTCGCTGAAGTCGATATCCCAGATGTAGGTCTCTTGGCCGCTGCGGTCCTTGGACTTCACTAGCTGCGTTTTATCAAGGTGTTTGATGAACTTCTTGACATTCTTCCAGCTGGTCTTCTTGATGTTGTAGTACTGCACTTGCTGGGGGGATGAGATTGGGAGGTAGGGGGTGATGAGGTTGGCAATCAGGATGGAAGGGGAGACAGGCAACGTAAGGCCATGGTTGGTGGCCGATGGATTGTCCTGCTTGAGTTTGTAGAGAGAATAGAGAAAGGCATTGAAAAATGCATCGTCAACCTCTGGATGATATCAGTCTTAGCCGACATGCATAACTTGACGGACATACGTACCCTTGGTTGTAGGCTCTTTTTCCTCCACAGCAGGATCCTCGCCAGTCCCGGGAGCATCATCTGGAATCTCTGAGACTGCAACATCCTTCTCTTCAAGCGTGAGCTCCCCGACAGCCTCTTTGGTTTCTTCCGTCTCACTCTCCTCCTCATCCCAGCCCTTTAAATACTCGGGCGCGGGACGGCCGGGGCGAGATGATGAGCTCCAAGCCCACAGCTCGTCTCCTTCCCAATGGAGACCACGAACAGCATGGCCCTTTGTGCCTTGAACCTCTCCTAACGCGGAGACATCAATCTCACAGACCCCCACAAACAGCGGAACAGTTTCTCTGTCTAAACCTGCCACAGCAACGACAGCTCCCTGGACAGCCCGCTTGGGGAAGGGCGGCTCGTTCGCCAATCCAGGCGTCATAAGGTCCGCGCCGCCACGTAGCTTCCGCATCACCATCTCTGGGGTATAGAGCAGAGGAAGCAAATTCGGGTTGTGCCATAGTGTGTAGACTGTTGGATACATGCGCTTGTCTGCTCCAGGCCCATGTTCCACCTTGAACCAGAGCACTCGTTCGTCTCCATCTGGGAGCGTGCCAACATATACAATGCCCTGTACCTCTCGAAGATCGGGACCTGCCGTTGTTGTAAAGCGCGCGGTCAAGGAGTTTTCAGGGAGGAGGGCATTCCGAATAGACGAGAGTGTCGGCGTAGTCGCAGAAGCTGTGTTTGGTGCTCCGTCGGGTGCATCGGTCGGGGCTGCAGGAACGGTGATCTGATAATCCTTGATGATTTGGTCGGCGATCTTCCTCCGGTCAGAGGACCGCAAAGGGGAGAGATTTTTGATCTGCTTTATGGTTAATACATACTTCCTCTCAGGTAGGTTCATGCTATGCGAAAGCCGTCGGGTGGAAGAGCTTCGAATGGAGGGGGTAGTGCGGGGAGAGAGGGGGGTGGTACAGTGGGCTTTTTCTTGAACATCTTTCACGGATAGGAAAGCCAAAGGACAAGAATGATGGATAAAGGGACGGATCCAGCACCCGTACGGCTCTACCGAGTGGAGGAGAGAGGGTGTTCGAGGGTAGTTGGCGCTGATCGCGGCGCGATCATGTCATGGGCGGGCACAAAAATCCCCGCCGCCTTTCTCCACATCTCCGCCGAAGAAGGAAAAACGCCGCAGAGCAAAGATCTCGTGCGATGAAAGTTGCCAAGTATGAGACCATGGATCCCCCACGCTCCCGCCGCAAACTGTACCCAGAGCGTTTGTCTACATTGATTCGGCCTCGTGGAGGAGGAGTCTTGGATGCCAAGGCAGCTTGGGAACTGGAATGGCAATTTTGGGAAGGCAGGAAGTCTGAGAGGGCAGAGTGCGTGTTGCGTACTATCAACTAAACGGAATTGCGTTCAGGGTTATCGGGAGTCTCAGATAATACTCGAACAGTAGCAACAGAGTCCCCTGGGGCTGTCCATGATGCGATTATAGAGCTGAGATCTCACCATGGTCAACGCGGTAGTTGCTATTGGAGCATCAACAAGCTATGGTCAAAGCAGTTCCTTGCAAGTGATCAGTGCTTTTCTCCAACCACAAAACACGTATCTCGAAGACTTGATTATAATGATAGATGAAGGCCCGTACCCTTCTACCAAAACCATAGCCAAGGTCATCACTGCGGTTCCGATTGTAAGAACATCCTGTTTTCCTTCCTCCCATCCAGCCGCGTATGATGAGTGGCCGCTTCGTGTCCAGTATGCAATGGTTACCATATTGATAGAGCACATACTATGAGAGAAGGGTGCTGTCTTCTCGGCTGCGACAGCACATCTAGATCTGGGTTTGCATCAAGGGTGTAGGGTTGACATTGTTCCTGTTTTGGCTGTAGTACGAAGGCGCTCACAGATCTCACCCTGAGTCTCTCGAGTATTATCGCAGTTTCCAGGCCTCGCATTGGGAGAGAGCCAAGGGTTATCAGACCCGCTTGCTTGAGGCTGTCGAGGGTTGGCTCGCATTAGAATCAGAAGGGGAAGTATATGTGTTCGATGCCAATCTTGAGGGGAAACCCCCCAACATTTGATTGGGGTCCAATGTGTTCCTTCCGATGCCCCGACCTTTTGATGGAAACTTCGGCGTAGCATGGCGAGCATGAAGATAAGACATGTGAATAAAGTGTAGTTTATGGTAAGTCAAGCGGTGAGGTCGTCGTCAACCCGGGAAAACACTGCTGAAGGCCAAAATTGCGACGTGCTGCATGTATGGCGAGATGTCGTGTTGTGTGCAAGGGTTCTCGACTGAGTTCTCGACAGGCTCCTCCATAGGCTTCTTGAAAGAGGCGTCCAATGGACTATAAGTTATCGAGTTGGGAGGTGATGTCTTACCACGCGGGATTGTTTCTTGAGGACTCACCTTGTTTTGGGTTTCCTACATGACCTCGAATTGACCAACAGTTACAATGGTGTATTCGGAGTAGTTCTCAGCTCCTGCGGCCGAATGGCCGTTCGGCAGTGACGCGAATCGGCTAGATGGGACAGTTGGACCGTTTAGAGTCAGATCTATGGTCTAGTGGAAGTGCACTCTGGCCAGTACAGAAACCCACAAAAATACGCATGTGTAGCTCTCGTGAGGCAGGCTCGCAATCTAGCTCGCTTCCTTGTTTCTATGGCGAATTATCTGGTCCAAATCCCGCTACGTGCAGGCCGGTTCAAGGCACAACCTGGGAAGACACTCGGAGATGTCCCGTTCCCCACCCCTCAGAAAGATCCACCCCCGGTAGACAGACCGCATCGTTCCCTTCCATAACTTCATCATCTTTAGGTTCATCTTACATCGATCACCCGCATGTAATAACCCGGACTGCGACGCACCCAAAATGCCCGTCTACCACATCGGTAAGCGCCCCTCTGAACTATCCCTACTACCCAGCACCGCTTCTCCGATCCGAGAATGCGGGGATCCATTCTACGTCAGTCTAGGCAACTCACCCACACGACAGTCCTCTTCCGCCTCAAACAAGGCGTGACTCCCGCTCAGTTGAGCCTCTGGTCGGAGAAGGCCAAGGACATGGTTGGCAAGATTCCAGGTTCGTCAAGTTTTGACCACCCAAGCTGAACGGACATACTGCTCTAACATTGCCTCGACAGGACTTGTCTCGATGCAATGTGGCCAGCCCCTTCCGGTCTGTCTTCCCCGCGCACAAGGATTCGATATGGGCCTCGTGGCGGTCTTGGAGAAGCCGGACGATGTCGCGACCTATGCCGTGCACCCGGCTCATTTGGAGTACGTTACTATTGTCCATTGCATGTTCATGTGGGAAGCAGGTTAAGACGGGATCTCGGACTGACATGACTCCCAGAGTTCATAAGATGAGAGAGGAGCTGTGTGACGACACCTTGGCCTATGATTTGGCGTTTTAGCCGTCGTATGGGAGCCACGATATTCACTCGAAAAAATTGGACAACATCTCGGACCGAACATGCAACATATACGACCAGAAGACTGGACCTTGACAGTTGAATCATGATGAAATCAAAAATAACTTGAGAGACATAACGCCTATGTAACTGTGTTCGTATCATCACACTTTTAGATTCCGCCCAGACCCATTAAGAAAATGCAAACTGAAGGTGAAGGGGCGCCTCATCTACTCCTTCGCATCCACCTTCTTGGCGGGGTGGTCACCGTTCGCCTCGTCATCGCGAGCCCGCTTCTCGCCGGTAGCCTGTACGACAGGAACACCCCGGGAGTCCTTCTTGAAGCCGGCCTTCTGGTCCTCATCGCGGCGCTCCCGCCAGTCGCGCTTGTCGTCACCGCGATCACGGTCACCACGGTCATTACGACCGCCACGGCCACGACCGCCACGGCCACCACGGCCACCACGACCACGACCGCCACGAGCCCCACCACGGCTGGTGTTGGCGAAGACCTTGCCGGCCTTGATGTCCTCCACCTTCTCGTCACAGTACTCCTTCTTGCTCTTGACAACCAGGTCCTGGCCCTTCCATTGGGGCTTCTCGGCGAGCTCCAGGAAAGCCTTCTGCTTCTCCTCGGAAGCGAATTCGACGAAGACGCTGGCCTTGAAGGTCTTGTCCTGGGTGCGGCGGAGGCGGACGGCCTTGATGGGGCCGTAGGGTTCGAAGAAAGCCTCAATGTCGAGCTGAGTGGTGGGCTCCTCGTCACCGAAGTTGCCGAAGCCCTTGACGTAGATGCTGCGGGCCATGGCCTTATCCTCGAACACCTTGACGGCCTCGGCGTTGTTGTCGGTGTTCACGGACTCGGGCAGAGGAACCTTACGCTTGATGGCGGTGTCGTTCTCGGTCAGCTCCATGGTCTCCGAGTCCTTGAGGGCCTTGACAATGGCCTCGAATGGCTGGAAGCGGCGCATGCGTTTGAACGAGTGGAGGAGGCTCAGGGGCACGGCGTGGTTGGCGCTGCCGCCAACCTTGGACAGCAGGAACTTGTCCATGGGCAGGTTCGAATCGGAGAAGTAGAACTCGACCTATCCCACGAGGATTAGAGAGCTGATTCGATCATGATCTGCTTATTCTCTGCCCAAGAATCTTACCTGCTTGCGGATCTCCACCGGGTCGTCGGTCTCCTTCTGCGAAGAAGGATCGAACTTGGCATTGTTGGTGCGAGCGAAACGGCCACCTCGGCCACCGCGCTGGGGACGCGACTCGCGCTGCTGCTGAGACTTCTCCTCAGATTGCTCCGACTTCTCGCCCAGCTTGGCGGCCTCGGCGACAATGCGAGCCTCGTCGGCGTCGGTCTTAGCTTCGGCGGGCGCACCGTTGTCCTTCAGCTCAGCAAGGACGTTCTGGACATCCTGCTCTGCGGCCGCATTCGCGGCGGGCTTCTGCTCATCAGCCATTGTGATGTGAAAGACTTGCGATCACAACGTGACTCAAATCGGGGATGGCGGCTCGGAAAGAAAGCGTGGAGAAAGACTCGGGCGCGGAGGAAGACCCAACGGTAGAAGAACCGGACAGGTGGAAGATTGGAGACTGGATGTTGGGCCTAAAGCATCCGAATAAATAATCAAGCGTTAATTCGATATGGGCGCAGTAAATCGTCTGAACGGAAAGGGCTCGGCGGGGATGGGATTTTTTTTCGGGGCGCGGGAGCTGCGCTGTTGCCTGAGGCTGCAGCTCTAAACTGCAGTGGGAGTAGCGTGATCCACTTTGGTAGTAGAGCTGCCTGCATTTCCGGCCAGCAATGAGCTGCACCATGAAGGATGCATGCATGAATAAATGCATCGATCACATAATCGTAGCCGAGAAGAAATCAAATGGAACGCAAGTTGGAGATAGTGGAGGGGAATAGGCACGACGCCCACAGCAGACAAACTGAGAACCTGGCCGTGCCTGCCTATTCTCCTGCCGTTGCCTCATCTCGCACCTCAGTCCAATGCCACCGCTTCATTGTCAGGTCCAAAGCCATCTGGTTCTTTCTGCCTTCATCAACTCAGATGAGTCCACGTGAAGCTCCAGTCCTCTTTATTTTATTGATTTATTATCACGCTGACTGTCTTCGACTGTCACCATCCACAAGCTCGTGTACTGCATGCGAGTGGCCCTGAGACCTGTTCGCTCTCAAACGGCATGCATTAGTTTCGTGCATCGAGAATTGACTTGCAACGTCTTCAAACGCACAGCCTTCTTACCTTGTACCTGTCCCGCTGGAGAGGATGCGAACCCACACCTGAAGTGGTCTCATATCTGCAATCACAGCCAAATCTCTGAGAATAAACTGCCACAATGGCAGCACCTGGGGCTGGTCCAGGAGATAGCTGGCCGACAAAGGATGTATGTTAATATTTGCTGAATATAGACTTGGCTCTAACTCTGTCCACTGTCCCGCAGATCGTCTACTTGGCCATCGTCGGCCCGTTGATGCTGGCTGCCGCATTCGAATGGCTGCTCTGGCTCGCAGCCTTCCTCTACTGTTTGATCAAGGTCTATCAAAAGGCAGACCATTGGAGTATAAGAGTTCTTGCTGTGGTGATGATTGTTCTGTTCTCTTTATTCCGGTAATTTTCAACAACCAGGACCGACTTGATTCAATGGAAAATGGCTAATAATGTGACGTGTTGATAGGCTGGCATTTCTACCCATCATGATAGTCACGCTTCCATTGCCACCTCAGGTTACTCGATACTTCCCTGCTCGCATGGCCTATGTTTTCCAGTGGTTCGCTTTCTGGTCTTTTACCGTCTTGTTAATCGGGCCGTGGCTCTCTTGTGTCTACCAACTTGTCACAAATTCCCTCGGAAGGAAAAAAAGAATCAAGGAGGTCTTAGACGATCACAATGCCCCCAAGACTGTAGTGGTGATGCCTGTCTACAAAGAAGACCCCGAGGTCCTGATCAAGGCCGTTGATTCCGTTGTCGACGGCGACTATCCTGCGTCTTGCATCCATGTGTTCCTATCCTGGGATGGTGGTACGGTCGATGAGCCGTATCTTCGCGTCATCCAACATCTTGGAATCCCAATTTTACTCACCAGCTATCCTCAGAGTATCGACACGATTTACAAAAGCGCACGGATCACGGTCTCGCGCTTTAAACATGGAGGAAAGCGGTACTGCCAGAAACAAACATTCAAGCTCATCGACAAGGTCTATGCAGAGTACCTGAAACGACATGACGATTTATTCGTATTGTTTATAGACTCAGACTGCATTCTTGATCGATACTGTCTACAAAATTTCATGTACGACATGGAGCTCAAGCCAGGGAGCAAGCATAATATGCTGGCCATGACGGGTATCATTACCTCCACAACAGAAAAGAACTCCCTTCTCACCATCCTTCAAGATATGGAATATATCCATGGACAGCTCTTCGAACGATCGGTCGAATCCGGCTGTGGTGCTGTGACTTGTCTCCCAGGGGCACTGACAATTCTTCGGTTCTCGGCTTTTCGCAAAATGGCGAAATATTATTTCGCAGACAAGGCAGAACAGTGTGATGACCTCTTTGACTTTGGAAAATGCCATCTGGGAGAGGATCGGTGGCTCACCCACCTCTTCATGATCGGCGCGAAGAAGCCATATCAGATTCAGATGTGCACCGGGGCCTTTTGCAAGACCGAGGCTGTGCAGACCTTCAGTAGTCTGCTGAAGCAACGACGGCGCTGGTTTCTGGGCTTCATCACGAATGAGGTCTGCATGATCACCGATGTACGGCTATGGGCGCGTTATCCACTACTTTGCACGGTGCGCTTCATGCAAAATACCATTCGTACCACGGCACTCCTGTTTTTTATCATGGTTATTGCTCTCCTCACAACCTCGAAGAAAGTCACCGATCTCCCAGTCGGCTTCGTGGGAGTTTCCTTGGGTCTTAACTACTTGCTGATGTTCTACTTCGGCCTTCAGCTGAAACGCTTCAAAGCCTGGCTGTATCCACTGATGTTCATCGTGAACCCTTTTTTCAACTGGCTCTACATGGTATATGGCATTTTCACGGCTGGGCAACGTACCTGGGGCGGGCCACGAGCGGATGCGGCGGCCGCTGATATCACAACCACTCCAGCCGATGCCGTGGAACTTGCCAGGGCCCAGGGCGATGAGTTAAATGTCGACGTAGATACCTTTCGCACCGGTCTTGTACGCCGAAGGTCAGTCCCCATTCGCCCGTCTGAGCAGGTTGAAGGACGATTTGCTCCTGCGGAGCAACTCCTTGATGGCTACTATGCCAACACAAACAAGCCGGGTCCCATTGTGACCCTGCTGGAGTCGCCTTTGCCTACCGTTCCTCGATTCCATACCCCGGGCCAGCTTCGCCATTCGTCCGACTCTGTGTGCAGTGGGTCTTCGGACTACGGTTCCAACACAGTGTCCTTTCCACGCAACGTGGAGAGCCTGATGAGCGAAGAGGACCAGCGGAAACTGTACTATGCCCGTCAGGCTCGGGTATCTACCGGGCTGCCGACCCAAGAAGGCAAAACAAACTCGAACGAAACGTGGCCGGTTGTATATGAGTCCGATGAGACTGCCCCTGAGGCCCTGAACGTCGACCCTACCTGGATCCAACCTGATCTCCTGGATCTTGACTCCAGTCATAGGGGTTCTTTTCACTCTGTGGACAAGCGAGAGGCACAATGGAAATCCCCGAGAGCCTCTGATCCAGAGTCGCGGGTCTCCGATGTCTCCGGTGAAATGGTGTGAATGATGTTATCTCCATGACGTCAATTTTTGTTGTCCCGCTTTTCTTTTCCCTCTTTTTTCTGGTGGTACCCCTATATTCCGTGGACACGTTGTCCCAGCCATTGTCATTCTTATGATTTGTCTTGCCCCCGACTCTTGGCAAGCTCTTTTCTCCTATAACTCATGGGTTTCGCTCTTGCTTTGTTTGATTTGAAGGATATGGAAATGCACAAGGCGACAATGATATCCTCTACCCCCTGAAGTGGTGCCTGATCGGCGGAGAGTCATTCTCCTCAGCATAATGTAGAAGCGTATACTTCGGCCAATGACCGCCTCGTGAATTGACCCAGCTGGCGGATCTCCTTATGTAATACCCCTCTCCAGGCGGTGACGATGAATTTTTTCTGCCACATCCGCCACTCCAGGCGGTCAGGGTGACGAAGGCATCCAGCAGCCGCCAGAAGGTTCGATGGGCGCACGCACACGTTGGATCGCAAGTCACATTATATAGGCCCAAAGCGTAGAATTTTCGGCGCGTAAGAAGGATCTGGATTGAGCACTTGATTTCTGCATCTTCTCATACCATAAACACCCCCATACCCTCCTATAACCAAAAAGACTCCAGACCGCTTGAGGATCGCTGGTTATCGCCCCTCTCCAATCACAATAGTGGAGTGGCGTGCAAATTCTCCCCTCCAAACTTCGCTCCCTCCTTGACCTCATCTTCCTCATCCTCTCACCCCTCCATTTCCCCCTCCCCCCATATACCCCCACATACTTTCCGCCTACAATGTCTGTTGTCGGTATTGATTTTGGTGCGCAGAGCACCAAGATCGGTGTTGCCAGGAACAAGGGTATAGATATTGTGCGTGTTTGCCCCGCGGAGCCCAGCCTCGCTGGAGAACTCCTTCCCCGTCCCCTTTGGTCGCCCTTCCCCGCGAAAATCACAATGGATTGAAACTGACTTAAGTCTTGTCTGAATTGCTTTAGATCACCAATGAGGTTTCCAACCGACAGACTCCGTAAGTGGTCATTATACGCCCCGCCGTGGCTGCCCAATCTCATCCCAATCGACTTTGAAGAAAAGGCTAATCTGGTATCTTTTTTCGTGCCTTACAGTTCCCTGGTCGGATTCAGCGCCCGCAGCAGAGCCATCGGCGAGGCCGCCAAGACACAAGAGACTTCGAACTTGAAGAACACCATCGGCTCTCTCAAGCGCCTGATCGGTCGTTCTTTCAACGACCCCGATGTCCAGCTCGAGCAGCAGTTCAACTCCTCCAGCATCTGTGATGTCAATGGATTGGCCGGTGTCGAGGTCAACTACCTGGGCAAGAAGGAGAAGTTCACCGCGACCCAGCTGGTTGCCATGTACTTGACCAAGATCAAGGATATCACCTCCAAGGAACTGAAACTCCCTGTCTCCGATGTGACTGTCAGCGTTCCCGCCTGGTTCAGCGATGTTCAACGCCGGGCCATGATCGATGCCGGTGAGATCGCCGGGCTCAATGTCCTCCGCCTGGTCAACGACACCACCGCCACCGCTCTGGGTTACGGTATCACCAAGCTTGACCTGCCCGGTCCCGAAGAGAAGCCCCGCCGGGTCCTCTTCGTCGACATTGGTTACAGTGACTACACTGCTACCATTGTCGAGTTCCGCAAGGGTGAGCTGAACGTCAAGGCCACCGCCTACGACCGTCACTTCGGTGGCCGTAACTTCGACCAGGCTCTGACTGAGCGCTTCGCCGATGAGTTCAAGGAGAAGTACAAGATCGACATCCGCACCCACCCCAAGGCCTGGTCCCGTACCCTGGCTGCCGCCGAGAAGCTCAAGAAGGTCCTGTCGGCCAATCCCCAGGCACCCCTGAGCATCGAGTCCCTGATGGAGGACACCGATGTTCGTGCCATGGTCAAGCGTGAGGAGCTGGAGGAGATGGTCCGCCCTCTCCTGGAGCGCCTTACCGTCCCTCTGGAGCAGGCTCTCGCGGAGGCCAAGCTCAAGGTCGAGGACATTGACCACATTGAGATGGTTGGTGGCTCGACTCGTGTCCCCTCTATCAAGGAGACCATCAGCAAGTTCTTCGGCAAGCCCCTGTCCTTCACTCTCAACCAGGATGAGGCCATTGCCCGTGGCTGCGCTTTCTGCTGCGCCACCCTCTCTCCCGTGTTCCGCGTCCGTGACTTCGCTATTCACGACATCGTGAACTACCCCATCGACTTCACCTGGGAGCAGTCCCCCGACATCCCTGATGAGGACACCAGCCTCACTGTCTTCAGCCGTGGCAACGTCATGCCCTCGACCAAGATCCTCACTTTCTACCGCAAGCAGCCCTTCGATCTCGAGGCTCGCTACTCTAAGCCCGACCAGCTACCCGGCAAGATTAACCCCTGGATTGGCCGTTTCTCTGTCAAGGGCGTCAAGGCCGATGCCAACGACGACTTCATGATCTGCAAGCTCAAGGCCCGTCTGAACTTGCACGGTATCCTGAACGTCGAGTCCGGCTACTACGTTGAGGACGTGGAGGTTGAGGAGCCGGTCCCCGAGGAGGGCGAGAAGGAGGGCGATGTAAGTTTTTTTAGCGCGATTTTATCCTTCTTCTTCGATACAGTAGTACTAACGACTCTACACAGGCTATGGACACCAACGGTGACGAGCAGCCCAAGAAGACCCGTAAGGTCAAGAAGCAGGTTCGCAAGGGCGATCTGGCCATTGTCTCGGGCACCGGCGGCGTCGACCAGGCCACCAAGGAGGCCTGGACCGAGCGTGAGAACGCCATGTACATGGAGGATAAGCTGGTTGCCGAGACCGACGAGAAGAAGAACGAGCTTGAGGCTTCCATCTACGAACTCCGTGACAAGATCGACGGTGTCTACTCCGAGTTCGCCAGCGATGACGAGAAGGACAAGCTGCGGGCCAAGCTGACTGACATCGAGGTGAGTGGTCCCCACGAACTTGCATGCACTACCTTTTTCACACTCGAGAACTAACTTTGTCTTGCAGGACTGGCTGTACGAGGAGGGTGAGGATACCACCAAGTCTGTCTACGTCGCGAAGATGGACGAGATCCGCTTCATCTCCGGCCCCATCATCCAGCGCTACAAGGAGAAGGTCGAGGAAGAGCGTGCCGCCGTCCTGAAGGCCGAGGAGGAGGCTGCCGCCAAGAAGCGCGCCGAGCTGGAGGCCATGAAGAAGGCTGCCGAGGACCTCAAGAAGGCTGAGGAGGAGGCGAAGAAGAAGGCCGCCGAGGCCGATGCGGAGATGCAGGACGCCCCCGCCGAGGGTGAGGCTGCCCCGGCCGAGGGCGAGCAGAAGCAGTAGATCATCTCATGACTTTGAGATGCTCTGCGGGTGCTTCGTTCGATTTACTGGAGAGACAGGGAGGGCCGCGTGTGGGATGACGGGCGTCCTCCCCATGATGACGAAAAGGCTTCAAGAGATGTTTTCACGGACCTAGACCCGACCGACGATGTTGGCCGAACCATTTTTTTTTTCTTGTTTTTAATGGCACACTGTTATGATGTAGATCTTTTCTTCTGGATGAATAGAGGAATTCCAATCATGCCTCTGGACCTTCGTAAGGATACGAAGTCGGTATGGAATATGGCACGCGGTATTTCGTCCTTGGTTCGATGCCGGCGCATCAGCTCTGCGTAGGTCAACGATCATTCAGCCTGTCCGCCCTGCGCCCCCAACCGTGGCGGATTGATCTTCCTTTTCCATCCCCAGTCCGGCCGGCATCATGGTTGCTTCCCGCGGGATCCGCCGAACCAGTGTTCCCGGTGCGATCTGCAGCGCAAGGCTGTTCCAGACGGGGGCAGATCCCCCTATCTCACCGTTCACGTGACACTGATGCAGGGGACTATGACTGAAAGTGCAAGTCCCGGTGGTCGTTAGTGACTCTGGAAGTATTAGTCCAAGGAAGGTAACGCATACTTTCATCCGGACATATTTGCTAAGAGTGGGGGTTGGCCTGGGGTTGGAATTCCAGCTCCCCGCCCCCATGTAACCCTATGATAGCAAGACTGTGAATCGGTGATTCATGCCAAACACGATCGGACATGGGCTGAGGAGACTACTTTCCCGTTGTTCCAGAACCGAGAAATAGGGAATGGCTAATGATGAATTGTTTGACTGGGGCGAGGGTTATTGTACGTTGCTATGAAGGACATTATGCATGCACTATGCGCCCGGATGCCGGATAGGGAAGTGAGTCGTGTGCTCGGGTCGACCGGAACACAAGCACAAAAGCCCTTGCACCGTCGTTTAGAGTTAGACCACGAGTTATGGCCTGTCATTAACTAACTAACCAACACTAGCTGCAGGGCCAGCTGGTGTTGGGCGCTCCGGGGGAACTGCTGCTTTGGCGGGTGCCGCCAAGAACATAATTCGCTCCCGCTTTGGCAAGGTCCTCGTTTCTTGGGTTGAGGTGGGAAGATGGGAGGGACAAGATGATACGACACAGAACTACTCCGTGGACCCTGGGATATTGAATGCTCAGGGGTTCCCCATACTACCTAGATGATCCCTAGATGATCCCCCTTTTTCTAAAGAGCTACTATTAACTCCAATTGAATAATGCAGAGAGTGAGCACTGCAGCTGCTTGGCGGGTGGAGCCGATGGAACGAGCAGGCAAAATGGCACGCGAGCGCCAAGTGCAGTCAAGAATCAAGAACTCGGGGATACCAGGGGATCCGAACACGTCCTAGACTTCCTGGCCTCGGTCTCACCCCCTCTCGGAGCAACCTCTCCCTTTGTCGTAGTTGCAGGACTCCGGGAGCTGAGGTTCCTCTTCCCCCGGATCATCGTATTCGCATTCCTCTCCCCGGCCATGCAGGTTTGGACCATCAGATGCCCATCACACCCTCTCGTACCCACTAAATTCCTCCTATCACGGCCCATTGGTCGCAGGAGGAGAGGGAACGAGTTAGACGGCAGTCCGTGTAGTCCATAGGCAGGCATCTACTCCGTAGGATGGATAGACTTGTTTCCTCTCCATCCCCTCCCCCCGACCCTCATCCTCCTTCCCCTTTTTCTAGCTCTCTTCAAGCTCATCCGATCCGATCAACCCATCGCTGGGTCCATCGGTGGGGAAGCATCCGGTCCAATCCGCCCCGCTCCACCGTGCACTAGGGCGGGATCCAGGGTGGGAGAAAAACCCCCAAGGCCTTGATGTCCGGATTAGTCGGATCAAAGTCGGATGGTTCTTGGTTCTTGCGGAGTCCGCCCACTGGCCCAACGTCTCCCTTTTTTTCTTCTTCTCTTGCCTACCCTCTCCTCTTCTCGTTTCTGATCATAGCGGAGTTCCCGCTTCCTTGATTCTTGGTCATTCTTCATCATTCCCCATAGCCGACATCCCTGCCCTTCCTGTTATATACACCCACCGGGCGCTGTGCGGGACCGGCGCATAGCCCATTCGGCATCAGCTGTATATGCGAAACGAATAACCTGTCCACCGGCCTTGAATACCCCCGCCGATAGCCCCAGTATGAGCACCGGAACATCCGCGCCCCCCGAATCCAACCCTGTATAAAAATCCGGACGACACCGGTCCTCACCCCGCCCGGAGATGCAGTTGCGAACGTGGGCGCTTGGGGCTGCACTCTGGTCCGCAGTGGCGGCACTGCCAAACTCCCAGGATGCCCGGGACAGCACGTCCTACATCGATCCGACACTAAAGGACCCGTTGTGGCTAAAATACGGGCTGAATGCATCGGCGGAATATAAATACTTCCACGAACCCGGCCGCGACGATATCCTCGGCCACTATGACGTGCGATTCTTTACGACTCCTGTGAGCGACTCGGAGCGCGCAGAGACGCTCACGCACATGATCCGCGCATACTTGAACTTTTTTGACGAGAACGACCTCGAGACGTGGATTGCACATGGGACCTTGTTAGGATGGTGGTGGAACCGGAAGGTAGAGCCCTAGAAATCCCTACATTGGTCCGGGGCCTGAGAAGCTAATGGGCGGTTCCGGTTTGTGCAGATTCTCCCTTGGGATTGGGATATGGACACCCAGGTCCCCGACACCACCCTCGCCTACCTCGCCGACCACTATAACCAAACAATCGTCGAGTACGTGTCGCCCGGAGGAAAAGCCAAGCGCGACTATCTGCTGGACATCAACCCGTGGTCGCGGCAGCGTGAGCGCGGCCAGGGCCACAATATCATTGATGCGCGCTGGATCGACATCACCACTGGCCTATACATCGACATCACAGGCCTGAGCAGACTCGAGCTGGACGATCATCCGGACATCTGGCAGTGCAAGAACTTCCACAAGTACCGACTGAAGGATATATACCCGCTGCGCCGGACGACGTTTGAGGGTGCTCCAGCCAAGGTGCCCTTTCAGTACGATTCGATGCTGATGGAGGAGTATACCGAGAAGGCGTTAACTGCAACAAAATTCTACAAGTGAGTCGTTTCGCTGGCTGGGGTTAGGGTTGGAAATGATATATGATATAACAGTACTGACGGGTTTGCTTCAGTCATACTTGGTTCCCTGCGTTGGCGGAATGGATCTCAGATGAGGCCATTTCCAACTTGACGCTCAACATGCCGGACGAAAGGCAGTATGAATGAGGTGTCGATATCGCCTCCTACTCCATTTGGCGACTTCCTTCTTCCTTTGCACCTGGGCCTACTTCCGCCCCTTCCTTTTCTCCTTCTCGGATTTAGCAGGACCTTGCCTCGACATCTTTTAAGCAAGCACCTCTTCACATAGTGTATGCTTCTTCGCATTTCGACCCGGAGTGCCCGGGGTATCTAGTCCGCTCTGTTGAGTTTTTGTTGCATATGGCATTTGAACATTTGGCAAGGGGAGTTCGGCAGGATTTGGGGTGTATCTACATGTTCTGTGGCGTCGGGGTCTGGATTGAAATACCACGATTGAGTTCGTGTAATCTAAATAAACCAAATAAACTCAAGAAACCATGGTCTATGCTTCTATGCTCCAGCCTTCTGTCACGTCACCGCGCTGCTTGATTGATAATCGATCGGCTTCATGACCTTCACGAAACTTTTCTCTCAGCCTGAGGCTGCCAGACTCTTATCTCCGCGCTGACAAAGCTATCGCCGTGGAACCCGGTCGAAATCGCCGCAGCGCCTGCCTATTTGGGTTGTCCATCCACACATCTATTTAGTCGTACCCTTCGCCATCGCTCCTGCGCTTTCTTACCGCCCTGTATACTTCCCTTTTATGCGATTCATCGACCTCTGCGATCTCTGAACTCGCTATGGACTCACCCATCGAGCTCACCGTGCACCACCATGGCACCCCGCATAGCTTCCAACTCCCCGCGTCGGCAACATTGCAAGACCTCTCCGCCGATATCGAAAGCACCCTCAACATCCCAACAGCGAACCAGAAGCTCCTCATAGCTCCCAAGCCTGGCATGCAGAAGGCGCCCTTCCTCCCCACCCAACTCACTACCCTTCTCCCCCTCGACTCGCCCAAGTTCAAAATCACCCTCCTCGGCACCCCCGCCCAGGCCATCGCCGACCTCCACGAACAAGCCACCAGCACCCGCAAGCGACAAGAAGCACGCGCATCCGCCCAAGCCGCCGCCCGACGCACAAACAAATCCACCTCCACCTCCACCAGCCGTGGCATCCACACCCTCTCCTCCTCCAGCAACAACTACACCTTCCACCGGCTCCTCCCACTCGCCTACCTCCCCCGCCCAGAACGCTCCCTCGAATTCCTCACCCGCCTCCGTGACGACCCCGGCATCCGCGCCGCAATGGCCAAACACAAGTTCTCCGTCCCTTTGCTCACGGAAATGAATCCAGCCGAGCACACGACCAGCGAGTCGCGCACGCTGGGCCTCAATCGCAACAAGGGCGAGGTGATCGAGCTGCGGCTGCGCACCGACGCATACGACGGGTACCGTGACTACCGAACGATTCGGAAAACGCTTTGCCACGAGCTGGCGCATTGCGTGTTCGGCCCGCATGACCGTGACTTTTGGGATTTGACGGCGCAGATTGAGCGGGAGGTTGAGCGCGCGGATTGGACGTCGGGTGGCAATCGGTTGACGGGTCAGGACTTTTATGATCCGGGGGATTGGGAGCGGGTGCAGAGTGGAGAGGAGGTTATTGATGAGCAGGGGTGGACGGGCGGTGAATTTGTCTTGGGTGGGTTGGGGGTGGATGAGGCTGGGAGGAGCGCTGGCGGTGGGACCGGGGCGGCGATGGGGGGGGTCGTTGTCTAGGAGGGAGATTCTGGCGCGTGCTGCGGAGGAGAGGATGAAGAGGGACAGCTCGAAGGAGAAGCAGGATGATGCTTGATGATTTGCATGGACTTCAGATTTGATGTTCTGATTCCCCACCTTTGTATATTTGCATTGTTGTTCTGATACCCTAAAGAATAGGCTCGATATATGAGCTCATTCCTTCCTAATTTTATACTCCTTTCCGTTCCATGTATTCCAGATAAAACCAGTAGAAACGTCTGAGTGGATCAATATGGATACCCATATTAGCAAAATCTGGAAGGCTGCCTTCTGCGTTGGCATATACCTAACCTGGATCGTGCTATAGATCGTTCACAGTTGAAGCTTGTTGTATTCACAGTAGTCTACACCGTAGATACAGTAATATTCGAAATCAGATTTACCGCCACAATCTTAGACTCTAATTCCTGAACCCTAATTTGGAACACGCTAATCCAGGCATGGTAGGTCCGTCGATCCCCCGGATCCTGAATAGAAGTCTATGCTTGGTACTTAAGCCGAACCCTAGATTTTGGCAGGGTTACGTATATGGCCCCACAAGACCAAAGCTCGCTAGCCGGGCTCGTATCGCCGACTTAATCGAGGAAAGCTCTAAAGCTTATGCTCCATCGATCCTAGGTAAGGCAACCTAGAGGATGCAATATCCTTATATTGCACTCGATGGACACCACAGATCCAATCAAGATTACGGTTACCGCTCCATCGACGACCCTGGGTATATCTAGTACTCAAAAAAAGGATTCCGTGTCTTTGCATCTAATACATATCCTAGGCACACTTAGAGCATGCACAATGTAGATTTTATCCAATTTCAACATTGTATCAACCATGCGGCCGTCTCGAACACCCTTTTGTCTAAACGCGAGCACCTTAATAGTAGTTTTACTAGTTAGAACAAACGCCCGTCCGCCTCCTGCTGCTTCTGCTGACCATTAATAACAAGACTATTCTAGGAATGCTTTATAAAGAGTTCGATCGATAGTTTTAGCACTAATTAAGATGAATACGCCTCAATCCAAAGACCTTCAACTTGGTGATTTATGTCCATAGGTAATCGACCAGCTTCCGTATATGAAAATTATGGATTTATATAAATTCATGGATCCTCTAAGTGAGAATGTCGACGTCGGATAGCCTAATTTAACCAACATTATCGATGATCTCTTAGGAGAAAAAGTCATTAGTGGTAATTGTGGTGGTCAGCAAAGTCGCAATGATAATAAGGATGAACTAAAGACTTAGAGTAGCACTAGATATCGTATCATATATTAACGCTGTTGAATATATATATAAAGATCTCTAGTCCGCTCAGTACTAGGAGGGCATTATTAAGAGTGATGTGATATAGAGAGGGTAGGACATCTTTTTTTCTCGTCTACAGAAAGAGAGGAGGATAATATATTATACGTAACACACTTAGTCTGGAATTAAAACAAAGGGGGGCCTAAAGTAGGAGATAATTATTTACACCGCATCTAAATGTGATTTAGAATAGTTCCGGGTACGGGCCGTGAAACAAGGCCTGAGCGTCTGAGGGGTAGTCTATTTTCAAATTCTACTATAGCAATGCTAGGCCAGCCATTGCTACACCCACAATCAGACCAGAATTACCATGCCCAAATGCCTCGCTCGCACCCCCGGTCTTCGTTGCGCTCGCTGTAGCGCTAGTCTCTGTCGCAGTCTCGCTATGAGAAGCAGCAGTTGTTGCGGACGCAACCGTCTCAGTCGCCTGGGAAGCGGCAGCAGTTGTAGCGGCCGTGTTAAAGCCCAGCTCAACGGAAGCAGCGGGCAGGGTGACAGTCGAGGTCAAAGTAGTCATGCCTGTGACGAAAGAACCGCTCTGGACAGCCACGTTAGGAGCAGCCAGTAAAGTAGTACAAACTGCCGATGCTCGAGCGTCGATATAGGTACATCCGACTGAGGAAGTACTGTTGAGGGGTCAGCTACATCTCGAATTCGATACTTGTCCCTGGTTAATATCCTGGCTTACAATGTTTCCGAGGGTTCAGTGTATGATAGTCCGACATATGATGGGGCAGTGACAACGGCGACACCAGTGGCAGGAAGCGAGCAAAGAGTGGCCTCGCTATCACACTTTATATTGTATGTGGTATGGGCGTCATCCTATGGCGTTTTATTAGATATCAACCCTCTAGAATAGGAACGTTTTGCGATGTACGGCTGCAACGGTAGAAACGGAGTAGTCACTCAAGATAAGCCACTGGGCCAAGAAGGGCGAGCCAACAGTAGTTTGAGCATAAGCGGCGGAGACTCCACCCAGGGCAAGAAGAACGCGGGTGAACATTTTGTAAGTATGACTTTGGTGATATTGTTGGTAAATGCCGAATAGACCGTGGACTGAAACGAAGATTCAGTTCGATTTTCATTCAAGAACCAGGGGCTATGTACTTATTAGGTAATGAGACACCAACGCGGATTGACTTGTGGGGTCTGAACTAAAGTAGTCTTGGGAGTTGTGGTAGCTTGGACCCTCGCTTCCAGGGGCTTCTTCGCTGATTGGACCCTCGGCAAAATTGGCACTCACTGAAGCTTCCTTAGTTCAAGCCGCTTACTATATTAGGTAGGGCATATGGGGGCCAATACCTATCAGGCGCATGAAAGGCAACAATCATCTCAGGCACCTAAGACAGTTCGGCGAATTTCCGGCTAAACCCTTGTGTTGCAAAATACTTTGCAATCTGGCTTGGTACGCGCCTATCGTCCTGCATTTCTTCACTATTGATCTTCGAGCTTCGTTTGTCTTGACTTCCCTCTTTCCGTTTTACCGCTTTACGCTAGTCCTGGAAAGTGGAATAAATTTTCGCGTGGCTTTTCGCATAGCACTTGACCCCAGCCGCTGCCTATATTCGTCACGGATACCTATCCTAAACCGCCACCCCGGCCACACTGACAAGGATCCTCTAGATCTTGGACTGTGTGGCATAATACAAATCACTTCGCTATAGCACCTCACCATTCACGTGACGAATTACTTGTTTCCATATTTCGATCAAAATAAGCTAGCTGCATGGCTACTCTGAGTCGGTTATCTGAATATTCCAATCCGCAAGGCATAGGAGTTGACCCGTTCGACTAGGGGATCCAAACGTCAGATTGGTTCCATTTCAATTCCTAGACTTGCCTTTCGAACTCCGAAGTCAAATAATCAAACAAACAATCAGCGGAAATCTCCTTAGGCCGCGACCGCAGAGTGGCGCTTTCAGAACGGGTGATGAAATAGAGCCGCATGATTTCACCATCGATGCTGCAGGTCTCAAATGCCACTTCCTGAAATCCTTCAACCTTCTTTCTGTCAATCGACAGATCCGACGTGAATCAATGGCCATAATGTTCCAGCAGTCCTCGGTATGCATTCAGGTTGGGATACCTAGGTATGGGGGACTGAGCAGAGTAAATGCGTCACTACCTGGAACTCTCAACACTTTGACGGCATATCCTCTATTTATGTGAGATGGCACGAAAAGTGACGGTTATATTTCGTCCCGAATCAGCCATATGGAGTGGTCCTTTGGTACAAGGAAATGGCGATGTGGTTCCACATATAAGAGAGCATCTAGGGGTCTCGGTGTTGTTAGGACTGATTGTCGTGATATTTGCCCCGATGTACGTTCTAGCCAAGGTGAGTAGCTGGGCTCACAGGGCAACTCCTTTGCAAGGGAGGCATGCAGATCTTCAGGCTCTCGTTGATACTCTGACACATGGGTTCAAAAGCCGCAAGTCTCTGAACATCATTGTCTATTTGGACGACTTGTATTTACAAGATCTTAAGGCTATTATAGGCTTGTTTGAAGCACCATCTTGCTCTATCTCATTCGAAGAACGATGGCTGCAATGGTCTGGTCGTGTTGTGCGAACACATGTGGTGGGAAAGTATGAAGCGGACTATAAAAGATTCGTCGAACACGCCGCTGAAGAAGCTGGGCACAACCTTCTTTTGGCTGTTTCTCCAAGCTTGGAGGAATTCGAAGTGGATATGACCGACGATGGTGATACACGGGGCAATAAAATTATTGGAAAAAGACGACGGGTCTGGCTTGAGGAGGTTTTATGATTCGCCATTGGCGGATATTGCTTGTCCTCGCCGTTAGAGAGCGAGGATAGAACTAAAGATAATTGAGAGACCGGACCTATCAATAGTGAAAACATGATACATACTCCCACCTTGTAGTGCCTCTATACACTGCCTAAATGCACCCACAATATAGTGTAGACCATATCTATTCAATTTAGTAGTTCATTGCCGTGCAATGGGTTGCTTAGGGCATCAGTCGCGGAGAGTTAGGGGAGCTATTTTCTCTTTTTTTTCCTTTTAAGGGAAAAAAGAACTTGGTCTAGTTCTTCTTCCCTCCACTAACAGCTGCCAGAATACGCTAGAGGGCCAAAGCGACATCTTCGTCTGTCCTTTGAAACCTCTTGATTGTTGGCTATCACTCGCTACTCTATATGGTGCTGGATACAGCTCGGTGGGTCCTGGTCGTTAACCCTTTCCCGCTCCCATTCGGACAACTAGAGCAGCCTGAGAGGGTCTCAGACGGCTGTGTCAGATTATCAAGCCCACTAGGGAGGGAGAGCGAGGAGGAGCTATAGCTGGACCGCGTTGCGTAGGGACAACCAAAATATCCAGGGGTTGGAGTGTGTTTCGAGTCGTGTTCCCATAGTTCCGGCGCGTTGGACTGAGATTGAATTGTCATGATCTGGGCTGTGTGTCACTCTACACATGGCAGCGGTCCTTGAAAAGTTTATGTCGGCTTCTCAGGGGTAGCTTTCGATCGTCAATGGCAAGGAATGAATATCGCAATGGGTAATAGAAGCCATGGGAAGAAAAAGCATCCTAGCTTACCAGGGTGAGTTCTCTATGTAGGCACTGCAGCCTTCTGTTGGAGATGCAGTCGCTGGGTCTGGCTGGACATAAACAAGAATGGAAATTAATTGGCAGGAAATTATAAACAAGGTACATAAACGTCTTGTCGACTTCATCTCTTAAACTCCCCGGGTATCTTGTGTGGCTGGTCACGGGGTGCTCCAAGAGGAGCCCCTGGGGGGGGGGGCGCGATAAAAGGTTAATTTAACCGCGATGGAAAGCATGCTTCCTTCCTTTTCCCCCTCCTGCCAGGATTGGAACCACTCTGTTTTAGTTTGCAGTGCCACATTGCGGGCAGAAACGACTCGCCACGGCAGCACCGCACTGACTACAGTATCGGAAAGCAGTGGCAGTGGCCTCCTTGGGTGGAGGAGTGCCGCTCGCCGGGTAGGGGGCCGGACTGGCTGGGGAGTGTGGGAATTGAGCGGTCTGCTGTCCCGGGGCGTAGGCAGGCTGAGGAGCGGCGAAGCCCGGCTGAGGGACAGGCTCCATGGGAGCAGGGGCGTTCACGTAGGTGATGTTGGTCTGGGTGACGCGGCGGCGCTGCACGCAGTAGATAATGAGGAGAATCCAGGCAATGAGCTTGCTGACACCACCAAGAGCAAACATGGCAATGCCGCCGTAGAACTCTCCGTCGTTGCCATCGAAGCAGGAGTAGTAGCTGTAGGAATAGTAGGAGGAGCCCGAGTAGCAGCTCGAGTAGCCGGAGTTCAGGTAGGTGCCGACCAGTGCGCCACCGATGATGAAGAAGATGATGGCAGCGATGAAGAAGCCGATGCACCACCACTTGGATATCCCCTGGCGGGGCGAGCTGTATTGCTGCATGCTGAAGGGTTGATACAAGCAAGGCAAACGAAGGTAGGTCACACGAGACAGTGGGCTGTGATGGCAAAAGAAGGGAAGGGAGATCCAGATTTCCAGATTTCAGCCTCCACGGCAGGAGGGGACACTGACGGAGTCTTTAAATCCAAGCAGATGAACAGGCTCTTCAGGTCAGTCCAAAAGAAGAAAAGAAAAACCAAGCTAAAAATACGATGTGACCAGTGACTAACTGCAGGATCGACGAGCCTCGTCCACCCGAACACGAACGGAGCCCATGCAGGCTCTTGGGGGCCAGCACCTTGAATTTCCAATCATGACCGTCGAAGATAAATAGTGCTTGGCTTGGCTCAAGAGGTTGACAGTCTGGACGCGTGAGAAGCGTTCGCGATCCTCGCCTCCACCGATTAGAGTCAGTGAGGGTAAAATGCCAAAGAAGTAGCTGCGCGCTTCTGTTGCGGCTGGTCTGATATATCACATTTTTGTGTCTGCTTCAGCGCGAGGGCTGGACGCTATTCCCGCCGAGAGTGATATTTCTCGATCGGCATGGCCTTCTACTTTAAACACGAGGCTGAATCCCCACAGTTCTAAACACGGGCCAAGCTCCAACCAGGGCTGCGTCTTTGATTCCAATCATAGCCTGCACTTTCCTCAGGCCCCGTCCTCCCCTCGTATTTCGGAGGGTCCCACTGCCGCGCATGCCTAGAATGACCCCTTTCTCATGTCCATCCTGGCACTGCAACGAGCCGCATCGTCTTGGTCGGAGTCCACAAGCCCTATCCTTTTCAGCAAATCTCGATTGACGCCCGAACAATCAAACACGGACCCACTCTTACGAGAAGACGAGGGCTGCAGGACCATCTTTTGGCTTTATCTCCTCTGGACCCAGACTACTCGATTTTCCTAGTTCCGGTTTCCTGTCTCCTACACGGAGTACAGTAAGTCAAGATGCTGATCCCAGCGTGGTGGTGGGTTGGCTTCTTGATCGCAACCCTTGCTGCCGTAGCCCATTCGGTGGGGCTTTACTAAACTTGGCCTCTTTTTTTTATTTTATTTTTTATTCTTTTTTCTATATTGACAACTACGTCGTACTGTATAATTGTATCGCGGGCTGGAAAGGCAAACCGTGTGCCTGATCTAGTCACGGGGTAAATTCTTCTGGCCTGGGCATTCCATAGGGAGAAAACCCCACTAAGGCCGGGAATAGTATGGCGAAATATACGAGCGTGAGATTAATCTGCGGTCACCAAATGAGAAGCGCTTATCCTATTCAGGCCCGCGCCCCCCCCCCGCAGACTGTCCCCAGTTTGAGTTCTGACTGCGCCTAGTGACCTACGCCATGCCCGAAATTGACCCATGCTGCGAGTCTGGAGGGCTCAGTAGGGTGAAAATTCCAAAATGTAGTATGATATTGTAGACATCTTTACACCTGCTCATTGACAAACAGTCCCGCCATACCTTGTCCAGTTCCAATGCACATGCTGGTCACCAAGATCTTCTTCTTTGTGCGGCGGGCCTCGCTCAGGATGGTGGCGATCTGACGCGCGCCCGTCGCTCCCAGGGGGTGGCCGAGGGCGATGGCACCACCGCGCGGGTTGACCTTGGCGTGGTCGAGACCGAGGTGTTTGACACAGTACACGGCCATCGAGGCGAAGGCCTCGTTGATCTCGAAGATATCAATGTCGTTCTTGTCTAGGTTGAACTTGCTCAGCAGCTTGGGGATCGCGGCGGTGGGGCCAATGCCCATCACGCGCGGGGGCACACCGGCAACGGTAGCGCCGCAGAACTTGGCCAGGATGGGCTGATTCAGCTCGATGGCCTTGGAGCGGCGCATCAAGAGAACGGAGGCCGCTATGAGGGAGGATTAGCACGCGTCCGATCAAAGTCCGTGATCACACAGGAAACGGGGGCACGGGGGGACCCAACATACCACCATCGGTGACCTGGCTGGAGTTTCCACCAGTCGACCTGTCACCAAATTGGGGGAACGCAGGGCGAATCTTTGCGAGCGATTCATAAGTGGTACCAGCACGAACACCATCATCGCGGGTCAGAGTAACCTGCTGGACCTCGCCAGTCTTGGGGTCCTTCACGCGAACGGAGATAGGCGCGATCTCATCATCGAACCAGCCAGCCTTTTGGGCAACCTCGGCGCGACGGAACGATTCCGCCGCATAGCGGTCTTGCTGCTCGCGCGAGATCCCAAAGTCTTTGCCAACATTCTCTGAAGTCTGACCCATGGGCTGCATGCAGTCAGCGGCCTCTTGGTTGCGGAGGACCTCCTCGTTGAAGGGGCGCTCGAGACGGTCACCAGCGGCGGACATCAACTCCGCACCCATTGCAATGCCGACATCGATGGCGCCCAGCGAGATCTGGTTGGCGATGTCCTGCACGGCCTTCAGACCGGACGAACAGAAGCGGTTCACCGAGGAGGCGCCGGCGGTGTACGGGATCCCGGCGGCCAATGAAGCCGCCCGGATCATGTAGGCGGCCTTCACCTCGTTCACCTAGATTGATATTAGACGATAACGCTCGCTTGATATGGTCTTGAGATGTGCTGAAGGATACATACGTTACCAAGACAGACATCCTCAACCAGAGCAGGGTCGATCTTCGACCGGGCCAGGGTCTCCTTGAGCAGAGCGTATACGATGTAGTCCAGCTCACTATCCTTGAACCCACCCTTGCGAGCCTTCGTCAATGGGGTGCGCAGACACAGCGTAATGACAATATCGTCCGGGTTCTTCTGGGTACTGTGTCCATGGTCAGCTTGCTGAACTTGCATTACCGAGTCGCGGTGGATCGTACATGGCGTTAACTCCGCTGCCGGGACCCTTGAGGTGGCTCAGGAGCGAGTTCAGGCGATCTGCGGCCATGATGAAATATGGAAAGAGAGACTAAGTGCCAGCGAACATTAGTACTGTGTTGCCTTCGTTTTCCATGTCTGCTTCAGCGATGCGGAGAGGAGATTTCGGCCGTTGCGGGGAAGCTTTGAAGTGGCGAATTGATGGGAAGAAGGACTGTGCAAAGAGCGATGTGGGTCAGGAGCATGGAATGATCAACTTACAAAATAAACAGGAATCCCGATCTTTGAGAGGAAGAAAGAAGGGGAAATGATGAGGGAGGAGAAAACAGGAAGTAAAAGGACGGGGACTCCGCCTCCGCTTTCCAGCTTCCCCGAAAGTGCCGAGGCTCTTTGCCCACAGGCTACCCGGGCGGGTAGCGAATACTTCCCCACACCGCGGACACACTATACGAATTCCAGGTACTGGCTACTTGGCCCACTATTGATTCTGTGTCGATTATTCTCGTAGATTTGCCTAGGTTCATATTCGGGATACGATGACCAACAAAATGAACTCAACTTGGAATGCTACGGCGGCAGAGGCACCGATCCTTCTTTTGATACCTCAAGGACCTCCTTCCCTCTTCCTGCCCTCTACCACGGCACAACACCATTCTCGTCCGAATACACCCCCGATTCACCATCAACTGACAAGGTCGCCAGTCGAACAATGTTCACCACAGACTCTGAGGCGGGCCGGCCTGTGAGCCAGCCGCGCGTAAAGTTGGTGTCCGTCAGATTCGGACATGAACCGTTCACCTTCCAACCCTTTCCTTGAAACTTAGCCGCATAGTGCAAGGTGATCATGTTCAGTGCAGCCTTGCTACTGCGGTAGACGGGGGAAGAAGGTAGGGATCACTTTGCATACTCCGTGCCCGAGGGGTCGACTCGAAGGCCCAAAGAGCCCGTATGCGAGGAGACAAAGACAATACGCGCCAGGCCTGCGCTTGCTTTCTCCAGAAGAGGTGTGAATCCCTCAGTGACCATAGCGGCGCCGAAAAGATTGACCTCGTATACTTCGTGGAAGATCTGGCGCTGCTGGGCGAGATCGAGCTTTTCGGGTTGTTGACTCCTGCGTTGTTGATGAGAACGTCTATTCGGCCATGCTTGGATGCCACCAAGTCGGCTGCGTTCTGGATGGATATACGTCGATGGTGATCGGCTCCACCGATTGGCCGGTAGGGTCCAGCTCTGCCGCAGCTTTGGCACCGCGTGAGGCATGGCGTGATCCCAGAAGAATGTACTATTTCTTATGAGCAAGAAGCCCGTGGGCCACTGCGTAGGAAACGCATACTTTAATTCAATTCTCCTACTAGCATGAAACTGACGTTTATGAGCGCTTCAAAGCCAGATCCCAAGCGCCGTTATTTGTGAGCAAAGAATCCGCAAAGGAATAAATAAGTCCAGATCCCTAAATCCATTCGAGCCTACCAGCGCCATCCGATCCATCCATCTTGAGAGGGCGCCCACAAAGTCATAACCAGACAGATTACAGTAGCTGTTGATGACCAGCATCATCATTACTAATTACACTTCCCACTTCAGACCAGCTGGCAGGGGTAGCGATGCCTCCGACTGAGCGCCCGCCCAGGTCACTCAGTGTTCCATCAGAGGACCCTTCAGTGAACCCTTCGATGAGGCTGTAGCTTCCAGCGACGGATGGTGCCGACGATACAGGATGCTGAAATTGATTATCCTGCCTGATGTCATCCAGATCGGTAAGCAAGTCTTGTGGTTGGCTGCTGTTGATTTGCGAATCAGGATGAGCATAGTAAACCTGGTCGTTGGCCTCCGTGTGGCTGGATGCTGAGACAGACACAGGGGTCTGTTCTCGCACGGGGGAGCCAGCGAACGGGTCAAACAACATTTCTGACGGCACTTCGGAGGTGGGTGTAAATTGTATGATCTCCGAGGGGTGGTGGGACGTAGTCTCTGAAGGGATATCGATATGGAGCTGGCGTTGGTTCATATTGGGGCTGTCGGCCACGTTGGACGCACCTCCTCGGTGAAGAGGCTGCGAGACACCAGTGTCCACGCCAGAAGAGCGGGCGGAAGGGTTAGCATCCAACTGGTCGAGGTTGCCCTTAGAAATACGAAGGTTTCCGTCCCCGTCTACAAGAGTGTCGAAGCTGCCACGGTGCTGTTCAGAGTCCTTGCTCCTGCGCCTTGACTCCAGAAATGCGGCCCGCCGCATGATTTCCGCCTTCGCAATGCGTCTGCGCTCTACCGCTGCTTCGCCAATTTCCTCCGTCATGGAGATATCTTCCCGGGTCGGGGAGGCGGGGTCGCGTGGTTGAACCTCATCGCCTAGGTTATGCAAGGCTAACGCGATTTTGCGTCGAGAATTGGTCACCCACTGCTGAAACTGAGGGGATTGGTAGACGGCAACACCAGCAGCCACCAGGACGGAGACCGTCACGATAATACCTATTTGGACGTCAGACATGCCAGGCTGCGTCGGAAACGCTGATAAGTCCTAGTACACCGCTCGGCTCACGCAGCTGGGCATACCACCAAGGAGAGGAAGAAGCAGACTGACCTTTGGCAATAGGAGCAGGCATAACGAAGGCACCCCCGCTTTTGTTGGTGTATTCTTCTTTCTTTAGTTTGGCTTCTCCTCCTATGAGGATAAGCTTGGAAGCCTGGAGGCGCCGCGATGATGCCTGGAGCTTCCTTACATAAACCCCGCAGCACATGACGCCACAATGCCCTTATCCCCGGCCCTAGCAACACACCGCTTTGGGACGTGTTCCCCGCGCGTCTCTTGGTGACTTGGTGACTTTCATGCTGCAAGGCTGCTGTTCTCTCAACAGTAGAACAAATTCCATGGCTGAGGGCAAATCCACACAATGTCTCGCCATTCTGTCCAGCCTCAGCGGCCACTGTCCCTTACGGAGGAGCTTGAGAAATTGGAGCAGTCCATTACCCTGACCCTTCAAGGTAAGGCGAGGTGGTAAACAAACATCGTCGGGCACGATGCTAATCGACATGTTTGCCGACAGAGATCGATCACAACTTTAGTCAAGCCCACCGTATTGTGACCACGAGTATCCTGCCTCTGGTTGAGCAGTACACGGAGCATTCCCGCGATGTCTGGGAAGGTACAAAGGTAAGCTTGATCTATAGGGAGCCTCTATGCCCAACATGACCACTACGTGGAGATGGTCTAACTGCCCAGTTCTGGAAACAATTTTTCGAAGCTAGCGCCAACGTGTCTCTATCTGGGTACGAAGAACAGCCCCAGGGCGATGACACGGTGCAAGAGCCCACTGCAACGGAAGAGGAGCTTTCTGCCGACATGACCCAGAGCACGAGCGTTGACGAAACCGACCAATCCTACGATACCCCCTCCTCGCGACGCCACGATGCCCATCACGGTCATAGAGACGATATCGACCTCACTGAGCTCACGATCTCCTCGCACAGCACTCCTCGCGCACCAGCCCAACCTACCGGCGATGACATGACCATTTCTTCTATTGAGCATTCCTCCTCGTACGAGAACCTGAGAAAGCAGATCAACGAGGCAAGGTCGCCTTTCGACATGCCCGACTCGTCGACTCTCCCGTCCACACCAGGACGTCAGCCCTTCTTCCCCCCCGATGCCTCGGTAACCCCGATGTCATCCCCGTTCATCCCGCCTGCCTCCTCGGCGAAGTACGCGTCTGTGTCACGAGGTGATGCCCAGTACCAAAAACCGTCCGATCCCGTGCTCCATCGCGTTCTCGACAAAACCTATCGGGTTCAGGCAACTCCCCTCGGCAAAGGATACCGCAACGTCGGCGAGGGCCCCAGCACACGTTCAAAATTCGCGGTCACACCCAAGGCTGCTGCTTCTAGTTCTCGTTACGCATTTGATGACTCTCCGATCTCCAGTCCCGAACCAGAAGCACCGCAGCTACACTCGGAGATTTTCTCATCGCCCATCAAGGGCGTAACCGCAACTCCTGGGACGAATCGCAAGCGTCGCACCAGCAGCAACCGCATTCGTGGCACACCCAAGCCAGGAATGAGTGTGTTGACACCTGCCAAAAAATATGGCGGCCATCAACCTGTATGGGATAGCGATGACGATTTAGATGACGAGGACTTTGGGCCGAGCCCGCCGAAAACAATGCAATTCCATATTCCGCAGAGTCGGCTAATGAAGACGCCTGGTAAGGATATTATGTGATATTTTAGTCTCAACGGGCAATTCACGATCGTTTGCTAATGAACTCCGCAAATAGCCAAGGAAGCCTCAAAGCGCATCGTCACTGACCTGCTGGCCACTGCAGGCGCAGGCGACATTACGGATGAGATTGACGATGACCAGAGCCCAAGTGTCATCAGACGAACAGAACGTCTCGAAGATGATACATTTTAGGCTGTCAAGCTTCCAGGCGTGCCACGACCAGGCGTCCGTTGACCTCTGTGTATGTTGTTCTGCGTTGGATATAGTGAACAATCAAATACCCATATTACTTTCTAGATCCTTAGATCCGCCACCAGTTGAAACTTGAATACTCACACGATGGGACAAATAATCCGAGTTTAGCATGGAGACTCCTGCAACTGTGGCCATGATCCATGGGCTAGCCGTTTTGGGGGCAGTTTCGGCCCCCTCGTCGCCAGTAGCTGCCGAACGGCCCCGGCCAGGACGCCTGATCATATAAAGTCGAGCAATCTACCATTTTCATCAACCTATCACTCCACCACCTCTGAGAAAGCTTTGTCGACTTGGCTCATTTATTATTTTCGCTTCTTCCCACCAGATTCTGGTCTTAACCTTACAATGGCTTCCCCAGTATTGATCATCGGCGCGGGCCTGGGAGGTATTTGTCTCGCTCAAGCATTGAAAAAGAACAGCATCCCATTCAAGCTATTTGAGCAAGATGAGAGGAGCAACTTCCGTGCCCAAGGATACAGACTACGAATAACTCAACACGGCATTGACGCGTTGAAAGAGGCTTTGACGCCCGCGCTTTTCACTCTGTTCGAGAAAACCTGCGCCGAGATACCAAGCATGGGGGTGCGATGCAAGCCTGATGGGACATGTAATTCCTCCCCAGGTGCCTTTGGACCACCACCGGGGTTCCAGTCCAAATCATATACAGTGGACCGCAGTACCTTTCGGGAAGCATTCCTGGCCGACCTTGAAGGCGACGTCTTCTTCGGAAAGAGCTTCGAGCATTACACGATCCATGAGGACAAAGTCACTGCATCCTTCGCAGATGGAACTACAGAGGATGGATCCCTTTTGGTTGGAGCCGACGGTGTTCGATCCAGAGTTCGCAAGCAGTACCTGCCCGAGTCTCAAGGCCTGGACACCGGCACACGAATTATCTTTGGCAAGACACCATCCACGCCCGACCTTCTCTCGAAACTCCCTGTGGAATATCATCATGGCATGAGTCTTGTGACAGACCCAGATGATGCGTCTCAGCCGTGCGTTCTATTCGAGTCGATAAACTTCCCATACGAAGCCGAAGTCACAAAGCTTCGATTGCCGGCGCCTTACATGTACTGGGTTTTGTGCACACAGCGCTCGCAGCTCCCATCCTCTCTTGAGAAAGGGTGGCACGTAAGCTCGCAAGAATCGGCAGATCTGTCAATTCAGCTCACGAAGTCCTGGAGCCCGTCGCTTCGGGCCATATTTGAAATGCAAGACGCAAGTCAAACGGCGATGAGATCTCTCTTATCTGCTATGCCGGAGCTTGCTCCCTGGGAACCTTCCAATCGGGTGACGCTCCTCGGCGATTCTATTCATGCCATGCCCCCCACGGGTGCAATGGGCGCCAACACTGCTTTACGAGATGCGGCTGATCTCGCACGTCGAGTTGTGGAGGCTGGCGGTATTGCCAAGGTAGATCAGGGGGTTATTGGAGTTTATGAGGTTGACCTGCGTGACTTTGCTAGAATGGCAATCGACCAGAGCTGGAAAGGTGGGATGAAGAGCTTTGGATTAAAACCCGTGGAGGAATGCGAGCGAATCTTGTTGTAAGGGTTAATATTCATCTATATGGATGAGTATAGGATTGCTACCCAATTGTTGATGCCGAAAAGGAAGAGATGATCAGGTAACCGTGAATCTGATAATTGAAATCCGGTCGCTTATGACCCGGTAACGCGACCTGCCCGGGGCTAAGTCCTTGAAACCTAGTATCAAATCTCCACTCGGCCACTTTCTGTCTTCTCGTCGCACTAGAACTTGAATTCTGCAGTTGGAGTCAATTATCTTGTATCTATGTAGCGAGTCACGTATCCCAGTAACAACGCCACGACCCAAGTACAAGAGAGAGAATCCTCTCCCCAAAATTACTAGACATCACAATGCTATTTAGATTTTCCCAGTCGGTCATAACTCCGAAAGTGAGCGTCCGTCATAGACACCCGAAATGGCATTGATAACTGAGAATATACCAAGAAGAGTGGGGGTTAGACCTAGTAGAACAAATCAAAGCCGAAGCGATAGGTAACAAGCTTAGATTATGGCTCGTCCAATTTGTTCTCAACCTAATGAGCTTAATTGACGCACACCGTACCTATCTCCAGCATACAATATCCTTCCCTATCCGCCATAGACGCGACTATGTTAGAAATGCCTCTTGCACGAGTTACTCGAGCGTCCATGACAGCCCCTTTGGCCCTCCCCCCACAAATCTTGTCCCAACGGTCTGTCTTGCGGGGGCATATGCGCCGATCGATTGCGTCTTCGGGCATGGATTCCGGAGTGCTGTTGCGATCTAGGCCAAGCATTGTATCAGAAAAGATCGCAGAGCAGGCGGCTTTGTGAGCATCACTTCCGTGCCCAGTAGAGCACAAATATATTGGCCTTTAATTGAAGATGCAAGCTACATTCCTACTAAGAGCGAGTAAAGAAATTGGAGAGAGGAGTGGTTGTATAGGAGACACAAGTCATTCATTAGAGTAGAGAGAAAATCTCAAATCCACCTCAAAAGGATCATACACGACCATACTAGATAAACTTTTGGTTCGCATGCGAACCCTTCAGATTTGATCAAAAGAAGGTAACGCCGGTAGAAAGAGAATGCAGATATATGCACAAAGAATGGACAAAAAGGGAAGCCAAATGGTCCAGCCTGTTGGAAGAAGACCCAGTCATTTCTCATGGTCTATTGTGGGTCGAAAAAGCCTTGACAGGCTATGGGCAAAAAAAGTAGCCCACCAATGCCAGCACTCGCGAGCGTGAAGCTGTGGTGGGACGAAATTGTTCGGAGTTGGAAGGTGGAGATGTTGCCGTGGAGCAAGCTCGTTTAAGCCTGCTTCTTACCCTTAGCCTTTTCGGCCTCGGGCTCCTCCTTGGCCTCCTTGGGCTCGGACTTCTCCTCGGACTTAGAGCTGTCAGAGTCAGACTCGGAGTCCTCCTCCTCCTTCTCGGTGGCCTGATTCTTCGCCTCGGCCTGCTTCAAGGTAAGGGGCTGGTGCTTGGACTTGAGGCGCTGTTCCTCAGCAGCCACCATTTCCTTCCAGAGGTCACCCTCATCCTTGCTACCAGAGTGGACAGGAGCGGGCTCGGCAGCATCCTCGAGCTGCTGCTTCTTACCCATCTTGGTAGAGTCGAGCATGCCGCGGCCACGGCGCTGGTCCGAGATCTCGAACGCAGCAGACGCGCACAGCACAGCCAGAGTTAGACCCTGGGCATACACACGGGCCTGGACGATCTTCTGTTGGCCCGACAGATAAGGGTTGCGACCAACAAGCACGAACGAGCCGATCATGGAGGCGACCCAGGTGGCGCTGACGATCTTGTACTTCTCGCGGCGGGCGAAGGCGAGGGCGCGATCAGTGAAGCTCAGACCGCGGGTTTCCTCGGCGCGGAGGCGTTCCTCGCGATTCTCGTACCAGAGCTTCTCGGCATTGTGCTGCTTCTCGAAGTCCCGGGAGGCGTGATCGGCGGCGATAATGCCGACGAAAGTACCAGATGAGGTCATCAGGAACGCTTTCATGGGAAGGGTGAGGTTGCGGATCGTGTGGTACCGTCGCGAGGCGAGCAAGACGCCCGCCGCGCCGGCGGCCAGACCGGCGAGACTACCGACGGTGCCACCTTTGACGACGGAGCTGAGAGAACGACTTTGTTAGTATGGCATGATCCGGGAGGGATTGGGGGTAGTTCAAGCTCTGAGGGCAGGCTGCTGAAGACCAATCATACCGATAGTGAGCGTCTTCTTCTTCCTTAGTGAGCAACTTCATGGTGAATGTGTGTGATGTGGATTGGGGAAAAGTGGAGAGAAGAGGCAAGCTCTTAAGGCAGAAAAGCAAAGGCCGGACAGGTCAAAAGCATGACGTGACCACCCGGGATCTGCTGGGCGGTGTTACGTCGGCCGGCCGAATGTCGGCCTCGCTCGGATTCCCTGCGCCTTCCAACAACTCTTCCAGAAACTCGGCTATGCACAGTCAAGGATAATACGGGTATACACTTGACTGGCTTCTACTATATCTGCAAATATCTAGCGTGGACAATTTGAAATGCTTATTCACTTGCTGCGGCACGAATCTGCCGGATGCGATATTACACCATAAGCCCCAATATCTGAAGTTCCCGATGAATCCCGAACGCCAGGCGCACCATGTCAGATAACAAAATCGAGGTCATCAAACAGCGATAACAGACCCCGAAAAGAAAAAAAAATCACACAACATAGACAATCATCCGATTTAGCGACGAGACCCTTTCTGCGCCGCATTGTTCCGGGCCTGCATCTTGCGGAATCGGTCCTCGCCACTGGCACCCAACGGTCGCGCAAACTTGCTCTCCTGCACTGCCGTCTGTCGCGGCACCACGGTATAGGTGACATTGGTGCGATCGACACGGGCACGGTTAGCGAGGCGAGGAGGGAGCATCTCGCGCGCGCGAGCTTCTGCAGCCACAACTTCGGCCGCGGTCTGGGTGCGCTTGGTGATTTTGCTATGGAGTGGTCAGTAAACAGTTCAAACACCGGGAAAGAGGCGAGCGGAACATACGTAGGATCAAAGTCAGCTTGCTGGAAAACGCGCTTCGAATAATCGTCGCTGCGCTGAAGAATGGGCCGGGTCCACTCGGCCAGCAGCTTCTCGGCCATCTCCTTGATGCGCCGCTCGGTGCGCTTGCTCTTGGTATAAAAGACAACAACCTTGCCAATGCCGCTGGCAATCAGGGCATCTTTTTGAATCGGCAACTTGGTCAAGGCGGTCAACAAGTCGCGCTGGATATTATAAGCAGGCATGGAGCCATCGTTTAAGGGTTCAAGGAAGAATCGAACGGCCTCGAGTAAATTAATCTCGGGGTCGACCAAGCTGTTGATGTACTGGTTGCGGTTGAGGAGCATGATCACCTCGGGGAGGAGCTTGAGCTTGTGCATCGCAGGCTTGCCCTCATGGCGGTTGATCGCGTCCATCTGCGCGGCATGGGTCATGCGCTTTCGCATATCCTCAATTTCAGCGTCGGCCATAGCCTCAAGATCCTATTGAGTCGGTCAGTGCAAGCCCTCATCAAACATAGATCTCAGTGTCCCATACAATGCCATCCTGCTTGCGGAATCGCCTCTTCAGGGGCTTTCGGATTGCCTCGTCCATAGCACGATCGAGTGCACGCCGACGGCCTAGAACATCATACTCCGTTAGCTTCAACCCGATACCATCAATTCTCTCGGTAATAGGGTACGTACGAGTCTCAGGATCCAGTGTTTCTTCATCTGTATCAGGCGATGCCTCCTTCTTCTTGCGCTCTTTACGGCGAGAAGATCCTTCCTCGCCTTCCTCCTCATCGCGCGCGCGGCGGCTCTTCTTCTCACGACGTCCCTCCTTGCGGCGCGAGCGGCCCTCGCCATCATCGTTGCGCTTCCGCTTGTGGCGGCCGATCAGCTTCAGGTTCTCCTCGTCAATCGCCAGCTGGGGACGATCCTCGACGTCAACGTTCTCCGGGTCAAAGTTTTCGAATTGCGCCTCATCGACCTCGGATAGGATCGACTCGTCGTCCGAGATGTCACCTTCGTTATCATCATCGTCTCGCTCTTCACCACCATCTTCCTTATTCTCGCCATCAGCGACAGGCTCCGCAGACTTCTCGCCCCCATCTTCATCACCGGCAATTGGCGTTGTGACCTTTTCGGGCTCGGGGAGGCGGCGGGCGAACCGGCCTGATGTTCGGGTGACGCAGACATGGTGCGAAATATCGGTGTTCGTACGAACGAAGGAAGGAAGTCAAGAAAGAGGCAAGGATATAAAGGTGTCCAGTGATGAGCGGAGAGGGGTGTCCAAGACGTTCAGCGACCGACGTGGTGGCTATCTGCGCAGGCCCCGACGCCTCTCCGGAAGCTAGATCTCACGTGGCAAGTAGGTGGCAGCGGCAGTCGCACTTGCAGAATTGGAAAGTATCCCTCTCAAAATCAATTCAGCAGTTCGATGGGTTGTAAAAAGATAGGAACGGGCGAGGAGAATAAAGAGCAGCAGAGGCAAAAGGTCGAGGCGGGCGTGAGAGAAGGAGAAGGACGGTGGTCTGTGCTCCCGTGATTTCTTTCCATCCAAAGTCCGCTCGCCTTCGGCGGGTCTTCACGGTATTTCATCAACTGCCCTTTCTTTCACTTCACCGAATCATCAAGTATACTCTTGTTAGTCCACAATGTTCGCCCCAGGTATGTCGTTTAACCTTTCTATCTACCACACCTCCCACCTTCCGCCGCTATGCGTCCAGACGAGCCTCCATTTCGCCGGTACCTAACATGCGTCCTATGCGTCTAGGCCAGGAACAGCTTTCTAAGGAGCAGATCAAGGTATGAAGCACAACACACGGCCGAGTGGCGCTTGCCGCATTATTAACTTTTGCACAGGCCAGTGAGATTGAGGCCTGCCAGACCATCCAGATGGCTGTCGTCGGCGGTTTCCTCCTCTACTTGTGTAAGTCATTCTTCCCCAAAAGGACTGGCTCGACCTAGCCCGAAGATCACGCGGTCCTGGGATCGAGAAATGTCTCTGTATCTGCCCTCCAAACAAACTAATGCGCGCCAGCTCCCTTCGCCATCGACTTCGCCAAGAAGTTCCTCTAAAGAATCGCCGCGCCTTTCTACCCTCCCTTCAGCTTTCATGGCGTCATGACCTACAAATCGCCCTTTACTATCGATTGCTATGTGCTGAGGATTGGGTGAATGGATGTATCGCATTTGCGTCTGGGGATCTATCAGTTGGCTGTAAAAAATTGAGCAACGTACCTTGATGCCATATCTCCCTTGATGGTATTTGCGTGCCATTTGCAGCCTGCTACATATCAAGAACTCTAGCCCAAGTGGTGTATTATTATGGATTGTACATGCCGGTTTTTATCTGGGTTTGTTTGATTATAGAGAAATGGAATCGGACCAAGGCAAGACGCCTGTTTGATCAGATAAACCAAGCAACGAATTGCAGTAGACTGCCATATCGTGATTTACACTCCAGCAACATCTTCCATGAGGCGTTGAGAAGTAAAACTGGAAGATCACACAGTAATAGTTAACTAATTGAAATCAACGAATCGTATTGACTATGCATTACAGCAGTCTCCCCAAGAACGCCGGTGCTCCGATGCCTGTGGACAAGTTCCAAGATGTAAAGAGAAACAAGATGTGAGTATAGAAGCATAGAAAAGAACAAGATAATCTAGTTCGGCTTCAACTTCTGAGCCTCTTCGAACTCCTTCTTTACCGACTCCATCTCCTTCTGCAGGTGCTGAATCTGAGCATGGTAGTCATCGAGAATCTGCAATAGATAGCAAGTAAGTAAATGAAAAAAGGTATTGGAATTTGGATGTAACAAACCTTCTTCGCTGTCTTCATGGTCTGCTCATCGATTTCTTCGGCCCCGTTCGTCGCCACGTTCGCCCCAGCGCGGTCCATCTCTGCTTGCAGTCGCTTCGAGTGCTCGTGGATAGCTAGCATGCGAGCCCAGATCTCTTCACCGCGACCATTGAGAGAAGCGTCAAAGACAGAGCGCTCCAGTTCGGCCAACTTCTTCTTGAGCTCCTCCTCGGCGTCGTCCATGGCGTAGCCTCGGTTACGCAGCACCTGCGTCTTGGCCGCCAGGGCCAGGCAGCGCTTGCTGAGAACAATATGTTTTCGGCGGGCGTCCCCAACCTTGACAGAGATCTTCAAGTCGTGTCGTGAAAGAAGGTCGGTCAAGCAGTTGTTGATTTCGTGGAGGCGTGTCTGCATCATCGCAAGGAAGTCTTTCTGGCGTTGGGCGCGCTTGCCAAGGTCCCAGAAACCCTTGACAAGTACAGGCACGTAGCCTGGCCCAGGTCGCTTCCGCAAAGCCTCCTCCCACTTCGTCTCATCATCCTCGGGGCCCGGTTGATAGAATGGGGCGTTGTCATCACCGACGTGGTTATAGAGATATGCGCGGAACGGAGAAGCTTGGCTGGGTGCATCCCACTTGTCCCTGACAATAGCGATCTGCATAGGGACAGTTCGGTGTACTATGAACATGGTTGATGCAGTTAGCAATGAATTGAACCGGTAGAGGATATATTCAGATGTAGGCTCACCTCCAGTAATAGCACGGCCGGGAGACCACAGACTTGACGAAAGGGATTGTTCCTGCTGTTGACCCTGTGGCTGGACCATAGTTGTTTGTCCAAACTGCGACTGCTGCGGCTGTTGAGCCTGCTGTTGCGGTTGCTGCTGCCCTCCACCAAGGATGGAGCTACCGAACAGACTGCTTTGTTGCTGTTGGGGTTGCTGCTGCGCGCTGCCAACCCCACTAGCTCCGAGTGCCAGACCACCTCCGAAAAGTCCACCCCCGGCTGCCGGCTGCTGCGTTTGTTGCTGCTGGGCAGGTGCACCAAAAAGGCTCCCAGCAGGCTTCTGCGCGGTACTCGAACCAAACAATCCTCCTGACTGCTGCGGCTGCTGTTGCGGCTGCTGCTGTGGTGTTCCACCGAAAAGGCTAGTAGCCGGCTTCTGCGCGGTACTTGAGCCGAATAACCCGCCCGACTGCTGCGGTTGGGCTGTAGCAGCGGAGCCGAACACGCCACCTCCCGTTACACCTTGCTGCTGATTCTGTGTGCCGCCGCCAAACAATCCTCCACCGGCCGGTTGAGTTGCTGTGTTTGTACTGGAACTAATGCCACCAAAGGAGCTGGGTTTATTCGCAGCATTGCCAAAAGGGCTGGCGCCCGGTGTATTGCCGAAAAGAGACATGGCGGGCGTCGTAAAAAGGCGCGAAAGGATGCCGCAAAAAAAGCACGTCCGGGTTCGCTTGAAATGTAACTCGGGATTTGGCGAAGCCTGTCGCGTGATATCGAGGAAATTGGATGCAGATCAAGGACAGCTCAAGATCGCATTTTCCGGCGAATGGAGGGGTGGGTGGTTGGAGAGGCGAGCTGAGGGGTGCTGGAGAGCTCACCAGAAGAGAACCCCAGCGCCGAAGCTGTGCTTTGTTTAGAGTCACGTGACTATGCGGACATTTGGCGGAAATGGAGCAAGAACGACGCCATTTGGCGGGATGGAGGTAGTAAACTGCCCTCAAATAAGAAATTACAATTCCATGCTGCCTTCACTAACTTTTTCCGCCTATTCCATTGAAGATCTACCTGTTTCCTTCGCCATTTGCGAGCCAACTGTCTGCATACTGCACGATCTGCTTACTTCATCGTCCTCTCTCCGCCAATCAGCGTCCTCCCAAAGAAACCGACCTTTCATTCCACCGCAACCCGCAGCTTCACGAAGTCACTGCCCCGTCAATTAACCCCATCCTCCGTCATCCCGACCAGCTCCCGTCACAATGGCTCAGAGAGATCCTCAGTACGCTACACACCTGCTCCAATGACCCTTCTGGCTGTCCCGCCGCGCCAGAACAAGACTAACCACGCTATCCCTTGGCCAACAGGTTCAACCAGCATGTCCTCGTGGACACCACCCCCATGCCGGACCACATCCCCAAGGTGGAGGAGGTTGGCGCCACTTCAGCATACCTGACCAGCGCGGCGTACTTCATTGGCGACCGCTGCAAGGCGTTCAACGACGACTTCATGAAGTGCAAAGACGAGGGCAAGGGCCGCGGGGAGATCGAGTGCTTGAAGGAGGGGCGGAAGGTGACGCGCTGCGCCGCTAGTGTGTACGTTCCACACAGTTTTTCTTGGAATTAGGGGAGTAACGGCGCAGGTGGCTGATTTCGCAACAGCATCAAGGACATCAACACCCACTGCCTCGACCAGTTCAAGGCTCACGCCGACTGTCTCGAGAACAACAACCACTACCTCTTCGAGTGCCGCAAGGCTGAGATGTCGCTCAACACCTGCATCTTCGACAAGTTGGTATGGAAGCAACCCCTGGAAACCCCCTACATCCATCCAAGGCTAGCCTACAGTATGCATTGCGCCTACAGGAGCATTTGAAACTAACGCACTCTCTTCACTACTTATAGGGCCTGAAGAAGACCATCCCCGGCGCCCCCGAGAACCAGGTCCCAGTGCACTTGCGCCCCAAACAGAAGTACGCCCAGTATCCTGGTCCGCAGTATTAAAAACACCCGAGACCTTTGGTTTCCGGTTCATTCTCTTTCACCTCGATTTACTCGCATGCCTTATTATACTGCCGTCCAGGGCCCCGGCTTCCTCTTTCCCTTTTTTGTTCTTGACTAGACGCGCAAGCGGCCCCTGTGTTCCACCTACTTGTCTGTCTCCTCCGGTGTATGTTTTGTGTAAATATCTATTGGCATCAGGAATGGTTATGATTTCTGCTTAAATTACTCTCTCTCTCTCTCTCTTCCTCGAACCCCCTGTGAGGTGCTTCACAAGTTTCACACTCAATTCCTCATGATTATTACGAATCCCCGGGCAATTGATACCCCTATGGACTGAACCCTTCGGCATTCAGTTCCTGACCTTCATTAGCAGCCAGCATGATCGAGCTAAGACGGCAAAAAACGTAGATTTCCCTCTCGTTGTCGGGCAGAGTAACTACAACTAGAACAAGCTTGATTCAGGGGACTTCTAGGAACTTGTCTCTATAACTTTCTTCTTATTGACAGCCCCTCTACCCGCAGTCTATAGTATTAGAGACCATAACATACATCCGCCGAGCACACAATCACACCCCAAAAAACCTGGAACAAAGAGAAAAAAAACTCCAGAACCTCGCATTGAAACCCATATGTACGGAACAAAAGAGAAAAGTAAGGAACGGGGGCGACAGAAACTCCTCAAATGTTTACGTGAGAAAACGGGAAAGATGCAACGGAGCCAACATACCCAACATCACGGCCAAAGCAATGCTACCAACAGGCATACCACATTGCTCAGGACCAGGATAGATAGACGCACGCAGCCTACGGAGGCATAGGCATACGCCTCAAAAGCTTGACCCGGCCCAGCCGAGCCTTAACGCCAGACCAGCCCTCACGCAACCGCTCCTCCAGCCGGCGGTCCCCGCGCATCCGCATCCAGATCAGCAGCGCGCCCAGCAGGGCAACGTCCCAGATGATCTGGCGCACGACCACCCACAGCATCCACTTCAGCCAAGCCCATACGCCTAAACGACGGCGGTGTGCTAGCGTGCGCGCCTCCATCTGCTCGCGCACCGCGGCGATCTCGGCCGTCATCTTGGTAAGCGCTTGCTCAACGCGGCGGCGCCAGCGGCTGTTCTTGGGAGTGGAAGCGTTCTGCGAGTCCGGACGACCGGCTAGGCTCGTGCCGTCGCTGGCGCCGGAGGCGGATTTGTGGCGGTCGTCGCCATGCGAGCCCGTGCCGGTGTGCGTGTGAGTGTCGGTGTTTGCGCTGGCATTGTCGTGCTCGGGCGGCTCGTAGAGGCTGTCGCGGGCTTCTTCATATTCTTCGTCCTCTTCCTCGTCCTCTTCCTCGTCCTCGTCCTCGTCTTCGATATCGTCTTCGATATCGTCTTCTTCGAGGCCATTTAATGAGCGCCGCCGCCGCCCGGTATATTCCCCCTCGGGCTGGCTAACAGGGCTGAGAACGCGGAGGCGCGAGTTGTGGGCCCCGTCGACGCGCGTGTCTGGTCTTTCATAGTGCGCTGATGATTTGGCAAGGCGTCCGCTTATACTTCCGTATGCACTGCCTTGGTGTCGTGATAAGGGCGGGACGCCGACGGTGTTGAGGGGGAAGAGGATGAGGATGAGGAGGCGTTATATTTAATCTGGTCCCAGACGAACTCGAGTTCGGAGACGAGCTCGCGGGCTTCGGGGGTTTGCGAAGCGTAGCAATGCATCGTGTCGATTAAGGTGCCGATGTAGCGGCGTTTGGCTTCGGTACGCGAGAGGCTGCGCTGAGCGTACCAGGCATCCCTTTCGGCGCGAAGAATGGGTCGTTAGCGTAAATTCATCCATGGAGAGTGTGCATCTTGGAGAGGCTGTAGTCCATTGCCCTGAGTCGACATACCACTTCTCGCACTCGGCGTGCACCTCCGGGGTATTCCCAACCGGACGATCCATCACACCCTCGACATCCCCCTCTGCCAAAGAAAATGAGTCGTTCCAGTTCCCAACCCGATATTGAGGCGTATGCGCAAGATCCACTTACCCATGCTCTGTTTATACAACCCATATAGCTTCAATCGCTCCGCGGCCGGCGGGCGCGCAGTCCCCGTCCGGGGGATCCTCTTTACGGTATTCAGGGCATGGACGAAGACGCGATCTGGAGCGGAGCGAACATCAACACCCCAACACGCAACAAAGAGCCAGGGGAAAGGGCCATCACGCACCTACAGAATCCGACATGCTGGCGCGAGAAGAAGCGGACCGATCGTCTGCCTTGTCTTCATGGAAGCGGGGTCGGGCATCGGCTGGCGCGGATGAGCCTCATGAAGAGCGCGGCGAGGAAAGGCCGATCGAGGAAAGGGCGTGTCGATGTCGAGATGGAATGGGCAAGGGAGAGTGTTTGGCGGGCGCTTTGACCGGGGAAATTGGATGCGCTCGAAATGCTAGTTCCAGCGTGTTCCGAATGCTGACGCTTGTTTCCCTCCTGGAGGGTTTGTGGCCCCTTGGGGAAAGGCAATGGTATCCGATCACGCACGCGACAGTGATCCCCGGACTAGGATGGGGTGGAGACGGACAGGAGGGACGGAGCTCATCGAGACGGTTGAAATGAGGCGTGCACGAATTGGCTCGTGTCTCGAAGAAGGGCCGACAGGTGGCGTATCGGGGAGGGTGTTGGACCGCGGCTCTCGGAGAAGATCGTCAGGGCCCTTGTGATTCCCTCCCGCCCCGACGGCCAACAGGCGGCAATGCGAGGACGAGGACTGAGCACGAGAATTTGTGTCCACTATGAAAGTGTGGGGTATCGTCTGGATCTTAATTTAAAGTATGCAACTATTACAACTATGCAATTCGTAGTTTGGTAAAATATAGGCTAGTGTACACAACCAAAAAGGCCAGGCTCCACCTTGGTGGAGCGTTTATTCGCTGGACACTTTCTTCTCCTCCAGCACAGTCTCCACGTCCAATGCAGAGCCCGTCATGACGCCTGCCGCAGCAGCCACCTCTTCCTTGCTGACGGGCGGGCCAGTGAAGTGCTTGCGCGCGTACGCAAAGTACCAGACAATGCTGATGGTCGCAAACCCGGCGAACACCACGCTGGCGTAGTTCATGGACGTGGGGTCGACCGGCAGGGCATACGGCATGCAGAAGAGCACGACGGACAGCACAATCCACGCGACTGTGATGGAGTTAATGATCCATCCCGCGGCGCCCAGAGAGAAGCTCGAGCGCTTGACATCCTCGCGGCCGCGGAGGAGGGAGATAAAGATGGGCAGGCCGTATGAAGTGGAGAGACATATCGTGGCCACGCCGGTGAACGAGTTGAAGGCCGCGGTGGACCCGAAATAGATCAGGCCGAGCAGGCAGTCCACGCCAGCAGACAGGATGATAGCCCACACGGGGACATTCAGCTTCTTGTTGACACGGCGCCAAAGCCGGAAGCCCGGAATCGCACCATCACGCGCGAAGGCATACGTGCAGCGACTGGCCGCGGTCAGCGAGCCAATGCCTGCGAACATCATGATGCCCAGAATGAGGAACAGCAGAGCGAATCCACCGCCCGCCGAGCCAGTCACCTCCTTGAAGAGTGTGCCGATCGGCTGCCCGCTGGCCACCTGGCGCAGCTTCTCAACATTGGGCATCGCGAACAGCACGGGGATCAGAAATAGGAGGCCAGTGAAGCCAGCCGCCACCACCGACAGCACAATAGCCTTGGGGACCTCGCGATGTGGGTTCTGGACCTCCTCGCACATAGCCGCGACCATGCCGTAGCCCGTGAGCGTGTATGCCGCCTGCAGCAAGCCAACAAAGAAGGCCCAGCCAGCAGGCCATCCACTCTGCGAAGAATCATACTCGGTGAAGACGAACTCGCCGGAATTGAGGTGGTCCGCCATCGTTAGCAGCACAATCAAGATAATAATGACGCTGGCGGCCGTCCAAAAGATACAAATCTTATTAATGAGGTCCAAGTAACGTGAACAGAAAATGTTGACGAGCGTGCAGACCAGCATGACGGCCCAAAACATCAGCACCGTCTGCCACGCGCTCGCGACAAAGTCCTCGTTCCAAAGCTGGATCGCGCTTAGGATGAGCTGTCCGCCGCCAAAGATGATACTGAGCGTGACGGTCCAGTTACCCACAAGGGTTAGCCAGCCGTCAATAAAGGACATGAGCGGCGCCCAGCGGCGTGTCGAGAGCATCGCGCTCCAGTAGTAGACTCCGCCCGCGGTGGGGTAGACGGCGCAGATCTCAGCAAGCGAGGCGGCAATGGCGATCGAAATGAGCGTGACAAACACCCAGCCCCAGATGATGGTGACGGAGAGGCCGTCGACCAGGGTGATGTAGAGCGTGGTGCTAAGGCCATAGGGCGCTGCCATGATGGCAAACGACAGGCCTAGGATGCTCAGCATGGACAAATTGCGAGGTAGCTCGCTCTTATAGCCCATGCGCGCCAATGCCTCGTCGGCGGCGGCGTCGGCGGAAGGCTGCCGCATGGTGGGTGAGTGTGGAAGGGAGGTTGAGTAGGATTGCAGGCGACCGAGAAGTGGAGTCAAGGGGATTGGGGTCTGGGGAAGCACATCAGGGAGACGAAGCTTGAATTATTTAAGAACGAAGACAGAAAAGGAAGGAATACAAGGTAGCGGCGGCAAACCCCGCATGATAAACCTGGATGCAACGCGGTCCGGGACCGCGACCGCGGTGGGCGTTCAGGCTTTTGAAAAGCTCCCAATGAGACCGTGGATGTCCAGGCCAACGTCCGAAACACACCTTATCAGGTTCCAAATTCGGTTTGGGCTTGGGTCCATTGGCCGATCGGCGCGGCCGGTTAGGCTGGTTTGGTCAAGCGGGTTATTAGTCATGGCGCCTCGATTGTAGCCTCGAGATAAGCTATCTCCTGATAGTCGCGTGCCGTCTTATTTGACACTAGGCCGACCAGCATTTTCGGGGAAACTGCCCGATTCACGATGATCATTACCAGGGGTTCTATCTTATATATAGTAGTATCTGATACGGATATCCGCCAAAGTTTCATAGTTTGAAATCATTTTTTGATTTTGCTGTCACATACACAAGGTCACACAAGGTGACGGCTGCCACATCATGAAAAGATGGACGGGCGCCCCGGAGAGCGCACGGTGCCATAGATGAGCGCCAAGATAAAGTACTCAAAAGAACACCAACCCAGAAAAAAAGAATGGGGGGGAAGAGGCCAGGCAATCGGGACAGGATGCTTGAACCAGATATCCACGATGCAACACGGCAGCGCCCAAGGAGTGCAAGGGTGCCAAAGGGGTATCAAAATGGGGGCACACACATAGCGTCCTGTGGTCTTTAAAGAAATTTTTTTTCTTGTTTCGAGTATCTAGTCAGACATGGGGAGAGATCTAGAGTGTGAGGTCCAGATCAACCACCAGGGGTTGCGGGCGGAAGTAGGCCCTAAATATCGAACGGTTGAGAGCAGAAGGGGAGAGAGAGTCAAGAAGGGGAGAGAAAAGGGTGATGGGGAGTGAAGCGGCAAACAAGAATGGAGTCAAGTCCGGATCAAGGTGACAGGAGTGTTTTGGGTGCGGGGAAACATGAAAAAATGTCAGACGAACTCCAGTGTATACAGTCAACCTGGCGAATCACTCGACCAGTGTAGCGTTCCGAGCGGTGGTTCGCGTCCAGGAAGAGGTGGAGGGGGAAGGAGGATGGAAAAAGGCAGAGAAACGGGGGAAAGAAACGCTGAGTCGTAACCAGCCAGCTAGTGTTAACTCCAGGGGAAGGAAAAATCATAAGAACCATGACCCATCGCGCGGAACGATCGTGAAATCGAGGTCCGAAAAAAAGGGCTGGGGGAAAACAAGAAAACGCCCAATCATGCAGTCGTCAGTCCGGTGAAGTCGTTACATGAGTAAGATGCAGTACAGTCGCAGGGAAGGCAGAACGCGGGGAGATGGTGGAGGTGAGAGGGACAGCTAGGGCCGAGGACTCGGCGAAATTGAGATTGAGATCGACCACTTATGGGCTTAGTCCTCCCGTGAGGAGATCATCAGCCACATCGGGGCCGAACCCGGCCATGTCCACGGAATGCAGAGACCCGGGTCCTTTGCCCAGAGAGATGTCGGAGGATGCGTAGTCGTGCTTGAGCCGCTCATGTGGACCGAAGAGATGCGGCCCGAAAAATGGTCGGTTCTCCTCGTTCGGAGTGTTGCCATCGCCAGCGACCCACGGCCCGTTCTGCCAGAACCGGGTATTGGCTTGCTGGTCACCGAAGAGATCATGGTGATCGGGATGGGGATCCGGGCCGTGGATAGGGAAATCGTTGGGCGACTGGAACCGCATATGCGATCGACCAAAACTGGAACAGGGGGAGTCCGCATGCAAAGGTAGGTCAAGGCCAGATAGTGGGGGATCGTCGACCGTTGTGATGTCAATGGTCGGGTTCTCGGTCTGTTGTGCAAGGGCCGATGACAATCGAAGATTCGACGCCGTTGAGCTGTGCCGGCTGTGACTGGCTGACCGCGCGATGGCACGTTGCACAAAGCTACCACACGTCTTCATGATTTTTTCCTGGTCCTCCTGGGAGAGGCTGGCAAAATAATCATTGGCCAGGGACGCCTTAGGCGGGTCGTCCGGTGAAGAGACCAGCCCGTACGTGGTCTTAGCATACTCAGAGAGGCCAGACGGCATGTTATACGGGGACTGATACACATTGGGGGCCATGGCTCGTTGCTGATCCAGGAAGGCATATCTCCCGGGCATCTTCGCCGCAGCTACACTCCCCTGGTCAACGATCTCCTGCCTGACCCCCTCCGACTCTTTCTTCTGGATGACATCGAGTCGCTCCCGATGGCTGACCAACGAAAATCGAAGCATCTGAAGAAGCCGGGTAACCTCGTCCGCGCGCATGTTCAAAGTCTGGGGCGGCAGTAGAGTCCCATCAGCAGCTCGGGGCTGCACCCGCTGCTGGGCCATGGCCAGCTCGAGTTTTTCGAGCCCATTGACCGGGGGAATTGACCCCATGGGACCCAGCAGGGTTTCCACCACCAATTCCGGGCTGACGATCGTGTACCCGGCGAACACGTTGGCATGTTCGGTAATCTGAGCGAGGCGGCGGCGGGCAATGAGGTCACGAACGTTGGCAAAGGTATTGGTGGAAGTGAGGTGGTGGTGCTGCTGCTGAGCGTGCGATTTGGCGACCGTGGGGTAGGGGGCATGGCGGGCAGATTGGTTCGGCAGGGTTCGAAAGGCCGACGGCATCGCAGGTCCAGCAGCAGCAGCACCGGCAGCAGCAGGGGCAGGGGGAGGGGGAGGGGCAAGGTGCTGCAGGGAGGAGGAGGTGGCGGAGGGCGGTCGGGGCGAGGAGGATTGCAGGTGAGGGGCGAGGTTGGCGGCGTTCAGAGATGACGGGAGTAGGTGTTGTTTTTGTTGTAGCGGCGGCGGTCGGTGTTGGGCGTAAAGATTTTGCTGGTAGGGAGGGGCAGGGGCGGTGGCAGCATAGTGGAATGGACGGTGGGGGGGGATCTTCAGTGCACGAGCATTGACACCACCAGCCACGCCAAGCGACTTGACACTGTCCAGGAAATTGGCCCGCGGATTGTGGATGGGCACGCTAGGGCTGTGCGTATACTGTGCCCTACTCTCGGTGGACTGCGCGCCCAGGTAATGCCACACCTGCTCCCCTTTGTCCAGGTTGACCGTAACCGGTGGGGCGAATTGATTCCTAGCTCCATCCACCGTCTCAAATTCAGCCCAGTGATAGGGAGATCGGCCGTCGCCAAATGCACTGCCTGCGACCGGCACCGCAGCCTCCAATTCCTTTCGCGAGTCGGGCTTGCGCGCTAAGTGGGTCGGGAGGGGTTGGATGCCCGGCGCGAGGGGCACGAAGCTGCTCTTGCGCACCACCAGCATCCAGCGATAGGGCAACTCGATGACATCTCTGTTGACAATTATCAGTATTGGGTGATTTGGTTAGGGTGCCGAGGGGGGCAGGGGGTAGACAGAGATATTGTTCGGAGAATTCGGGGTAAAGAAACTCCTGGTGGGGGGAGGGACTCCAAACTTACCCTCGCGGCAGAACCTTCAGCAACAGACTCCGCTCCTCCGGACGGTTCTCAAGCACAATGGCGCCATTAATCTCCTTGTCGACTTGAAACTGTATCAAATTTCCCTGAACCAAACGACGGGCTGACTCAATCACCCGGCGATCCAGACCGGACGATTCTGCTTGCAGTCCCGTGGGTCGCTTCTGACGGTGGAATTTGCACTTCAGATCCACACTGGGCAAAGCATACTGGCGGCCATCGTCCGCAAACACAGCAAATGCACCATGCTCGACCTGAACGCCGGCCAGAAGCGCACATGTCGCATGATAGGCGCGAGTGCACTTGCCAAAATTGCATTGGAAGCAAGCACCGCGAGCCTCGCGACAGAACAGACATTTCAAACCCAGGCGTGCCTTGGGAATCTTATCAATGTCGCACACCACCTCGGTCCCGGATGCATCACGAAGAATTGAGGTCTCCTCAATGAACGACGCGCACCGCCGGTGAGCATGGCCCTTTCCATCCTCAGTGGGCAGTAGATCCTCATAATCGAGATTGTTCGGGCATAGCAGACACGGGATCTTCCGCGGGCCTTCAAGGTGGAGTTTAGGTCGTTTGGTTCGCGGGCCGTCACCCGTGTTCTTCCGCTTTCGCCCACGGATGGAGGTCTTCTCAGGCACACTGCATGGCGGCGTGAGTATATCTGAAGCACCCTCAAACCCTTCGAGCTCGCTGTCGTAATCGCCATAGTATTCGGGTGTGGCTTCACCGCGCAATTTGCGCTCGATTTCATCCACGTCGATCCAGACGCTGTCCGCTTCACAGTTGCACTTTTTGGCAATGCGGCCGTAATCCAACCATTGTTCAGTCGCAAAGTTGACGGATTCGGCACAGTTGTAGCCAATATTGTAGCCAGAATGATAACCGTAAGGGAAAGTGATGACAAACTCGCCTTCGTAGTGGACCAGTCGATTTACGGTGATACCATACTGAGACTTGAGCAAGCTGGGGAAACCAGGTAAGTCTTATGGCGCAAGAACTGGTCACAGTTCTTAGCATCACTAGACCAGATGCTGCGCATGGCTGCCTCAAACTTCGGGGCATCCTCCTGTGAGATGCTGTACCACTGCTTCGGGGCACCAAAGTGGATGTAGTTGATGCTGTAAAGATCCACGTCTTCCAGGTGCCAAGCGAAAGTAGCTTTCCACATGCCCAGGTACAAATAAGCAGTGTTAACACCGGGGACTTTCTGTCCGAGGACGTCTAGCAAGTTAGGCAACTTGGCAACGTTCCAAGAAGTGACCGAGTCCTCAAAGAGCGAGCCTGGCATGTCCGCACCATACAGCGGGTTATTGAACATGAGCGACTTCCAGTAGGCAGTCTCTAGCTCCTCGCATCTCTCCGCAGTGTAATCCTCGTTGTCGTGAATGCGGTAATCAAAGTCCTTGAAGGCCTCTTCGTCGACATGGTCGACTGTATCGCCACGGTTGTTCTTTCGGCGTGCTGTGACAGACTTGGCCTGCCGGCCCTTGGGCTTTGCCGCAGGAAGTGACTCGCCATCGCTCAAATCCTCGCTTTTCGTCTCAACTGGGAGCGATTCGGGGGAAACTGGCGTTGGAGGGCCCTCGGGCTTGGACCGCTCGACATCATCATCGGCAGGGGCTTCTTCCTTAATTTTGGCTTGGTTGCCACGCTTGGGCGGTCGGCCAGGTCGACGCTTCTGGCCCTCGGGGCGGGGTGCCTGAGGCCGTGGCGTCGGAGCCGCTCGGTTGGCGCGTTCCTGGTTCCGACGTCTTTCTCCACGGCGGGCGGGCGGTTGGTGGCTACTTTCTTCACACAGGCCCTTCCACTGGGGAAGACTGTACGTGCGCTGCCGTTCAATATTGGCCTGTGTGTAGGTCCCGTGCGATCCGTGGAACTCCTGCATAATAGGATTCTTGACACGGATTGTCTTCACGGCGTCGTCTAATGGGTGAAGCGATTCGGTCCTTCAAGAGACGGGATAGATGAGCACAGGCCTTCCCATATCCTGTAGAGTTCCAAGCACTCACCATTCCTTCGGGGGAACCACCTTCACGATCCCCGCTTGCATTCCATACTTATCAATCTTGCTGATGAAGGACTGGAAATCGCGGAACTGGTCCATCGTCTATGGTTTACTGATCAGTTCATCCATCTTGACCGCTACACCTCTGGTACCATGGGCCATGGGCGTAATTTGCCAGCGTGATCCAAGTCCTGTCGATACGGAGAAATCCGCGGAGGGATTCACTCACCGGCTTGAAAACTGGGATCTTTCCTCCGCCATAGTAATGGTCGGGTTCAATGTCTTCCTCCTGTTCCGGTTCCTCCTGTTTGATCGGAGTCTCATCGGGCACTGGAGCCAACTTAGGGTCCAGCTCCAGGTCCGACAGCTCTGATGGCACCCCTTCAGGTGCATTCTTCTTTCCGTTGGCGCTCTGGGGTGGTGTGATAGAAACGGATTCGAACTGGATAGCTGAACTGCCCCCGAGTGCGTCAAGGCGCGGCTGGTCCAGAGCTGCTGCCATCTCGGGAGCAGGGGAAAGGGTAAAGCTGTTGGGGAAGAAGGTTGAAGATTCAGGCGCCGTCGTCGAAAAATGCGACCGCTGATCGACGGCGAAAGAGGGTAGTTCCCAGCGGTCGGGGGAAGCGACAGTGTTGATCAAGTCGGGTTTAGAAAAGATCCGATCTTATATCGTAAAGGGACTCCTTGAGTTGTTCAGGAAGGGAGGATTAGCGGTGTTGCGGGAGGTGTCGATTCAGGTAGTCCGGGGGCCGGTTGCGCGATAAGGTCTGTTCGGAGGCTCTTTTTTCCCTGGAGCGGACGGGCCAAAGTCAAGGTCTTAGTCAAAGTCGCCAATTAAAAGCGCCCGGGGAGACCAGTCTCTTGCGAGGCGAAAGGGGGACAAGGAAGAGCAGGGGAAGTGATTGCAGAGTCCCCAGGAATGGGCGAGTTGATAACCATTCCAATAAGACCGCAACGAGCAGAGGCGCTAGGCTAGGTTCAGGCGCTAGGAGACTGGAAAAGAGGAGAGTGAGCAGCGAGCAGCAAGCAGCAAGCAGCAAGATTACCAAGAGTCGGCCAACCATGCAGGTGCCGGGACGAGGGGTGGAGCGGGTGCACGATGACCTGACACTGAGAGGAGACAAGAGCATCAAGGTGAAGAATGGGATTGGCATTGGACTAATCACAGTCCAGCAAGGCAGGGTATGGGGGCTGTCCGATCAGACGGGAAAGGTGGGCTTTTGCGAGCGCCTGAGGAGCCGCGATGGGGGCCACTCCAGGGCCAGTCTCGGTCTCGGACGGGTAAATGGGAATCTTAGGCTCCGTGCAGGGGAAGGGGGCGAAAGTGGAAATGGGGGATCAACATCAGCCAAAGAGGAGTCTTATCACTTACCAGAAGCGTGAGATTGTCGACGATATCGCCAAGCTTCACATAAAAAAGAAGAATGGCAAGAGACAAAACAACAGCCCGGCAGAAGCAACTGCGACTGCGACTGCAACTGCAACAGGCAAGTTGAGCGCTTCTCGGCCTAGAAATGATCATGTGAGGTCACGTGGATGGAAATGTGCAAGTACCATACGTGACGGGATCAGCCCTAATTTACTAGGATGGGATCGAGTAAGTTGGTCACAACATGTGTATTTAATACAAGGGGCTGTGCTCAGCCCTTCGGATACCGCCGGAGCCGACAGTGGTGCGATTCAAGCTATTCGAGCTATTCGAGCTAGCGATGTGACGGAGTATGACTGGTCGTATCCCTTGCGGTAGACTCGCGCTGACAAAATATGTCAAAGCCTCCCAGCATGCACGCGTGTGACGACTGCGCTGCTCGTGCACCGGATGGCGTCAGAAGGAGCCGCCTGAAACTTTCTCGGTAATTGGCGAGTTAGTGTGGCTACTGTTAGTCCGTTGCAGGGGGTTCGCCAAGGCAGCGTTTCAGCGCAACCTCCGAAGTCGCACGCCCGCTGATGGCCGTCGATCCAGCCCCGTCTGGGTGGACCTGAGAGCTAGTCAACTACGGGGAAGCCAAATGGCTGGGGTACACCGAACGTAGTACACATCATATCTTCTCCTCTAATTCCATACCGAGAAAACAAAAGCATTAATTCCGAAAGTAGTATCCTGAGAAATCTAACTCTATTGTTCATTGTGCCCACTCCCTACTCAACTTCTCATCCAAATTGATATACCCCTCGACCACAGCCAATCCCCGCAATCGCTCCTGCTCGATACGCTCCCACGTCCATTCTTCGGAGCTCCATGAGTCCGTGTTCGCCTTCTTTTGCCCCTCAAGGACCTCCCGACTAGGGATCTGATCGTCGTTCATCTTCAGAACCTCTCGCACAAGGGAACCGTCCACACCTCCAGTAGCAGTGATGCCCTCGCCGCTGGCGGGGGTACCAATCGCCGAGACTTCTGTAGACGAGTCTGCCGGTGCGCTTGCAGTCTGGCTTTCTATCGGCGGCGTGGGCAGGAAACCACCCAAACGCAGGATCCGCTCCGGCGCTACGGTCAGTCGGCCCTTCTTCACAACATACTTGCTCAGGGCTGTAGCCAGGAGCGTCTTTTCACCACCAGGTCGGCGGGCGGGGCGCATGAAACAGGACAGGATATACAACCACTTCTTATCCCAGGAGATCACCTTGGAGTGCACCTCATACAGCTCGAAGGGCTTGATCTCGCGTTTGAAGCTGCAATATACAGATCCAAGCACGATAAGAATCGGCTTGCGCTTTGGCTTGCGCTTATCCTCCTTCTGACTCGCTTCCAGGAACTCCTTGTCCAGCTCCTTGCTCACAAGACCAACTCCAGGGCTATACAGCCTGCTCACGAGTGCCGTACGCGACACATCCAAGTCCGTGAAGTATGTGCTGTTGGACTTGTGCAGGTTATAATCGGTCTCCAGCAACGGAGTCCGAGACGTGATCCCACATGACACAAAGACCGGATGGGTGGGTTTGCCCTGTGCATCCACAATAGCCCTCCCCTTGGGAAAGAAGGGGGCACTGGGCTTCAGGCGCAGATTGGCCACAAAGTGGTACAGAAGACGGAACTGGGGATTCAGTCAGCCGCGTCGCACAACATTCAGGGCGAAAGATATTTGCTCCGCAAGCCCGCTGAAGCCAAATTCGACGGGCACAGGCAGGGGCAGCCTGCATCTATACTTACATGCCAAACGAATGGGAGATTCTTCAGGTTGACGACAGCCAGAATCAAGGCCAGGGTTCTCCACGATACCAGTGAGCCTGCGCCTGACAGTAGGTCGCGCACGCTCTCAACTTGGAGTGTAGAGAGAACGGTGGACATTGTGGATAATTAGGAGGGGCTCAAGAAAATGGACGTGATCCGCCGGCCAGCAAAGATGGCCGATCACGAACCAATGGTGTCTTTCAGCTGAGCTGAGCTGATAAGTGATAACAAAGAATATAGTCCTGCCCGAACACCAGGTGTTTTTTGTTCAGGGGAATTGGATGGTGAACTCCGGGCCCTGCATAAGATCGCGGAGGAGTGACAAACACGTTACAAGGAACGACTGACGACTGACAAAAGTGATCACAGCGAGAGTTTCTAGCTTATGCCGAGCGGGCCGATCACAAATCACCGTCGTCACGATCGTTCGTCAGGGACTTAGAACAGGGACCGAGGCCCCAGATCTGGGGGCTCTGCACGTGATGCTGACTCAGGATATGCATAATTTCACTACCCTTGGCACATAAATTGAGGTCAGTCAGCAGCCAGTAAAAACAGGTGTGGATCAGGTATGATCTTCTAACAAATAATTTGTGGGCGCTTGAAATTGTGCTACCTATGGAGTGGATGGGTTTCCCATTTGTTGTTCTGGAGGGAAAGGTTTTGAATATATACCTATCTTTGGGCAATCTTGCAGCGGATAGATACGCCAATACCTATTAATCCTCCCGATGACCTGATGAGTATTTACGTTACGCTGGCTTTCATACCCAGGAATGCCTAAGCCAATCGTTCAAGTTGACCTATTCTGGGAAATCTTATTATTGAGAGATCAATCAATAATAAAGCAGAATGATTACTATCTAAGAGACTCTTGTAGTGTGATGTTATATAGATATTGTACATGTGCCGAGCGACTTTCAATAGCAGGTTTTCAAACTCACCTTCATATCAATTAGATGAAATTCATAGTACTACCTACTAGTTTCTGAGAAAAAGTAAACGATAAGTCCAGTTATGTAGGTTCTATCGATTACGAACAACCTTGTTTTGAGGCTTGATCAGGTTTTTGAATTACCTGTATTCATCAAGTGGAACGACTCTACTCTGCTTCCGTGCTTCTTTCCCTGACTCCTGGATCTGATACTTTAGTATCGCATGGGACTGATCCTCCGACACCTCCAGTGAATGATCCTGCATTTGTGACCAAGTACTCGAGTCAGTTGATAAGGCCCGGGCCTCGTGCTCAAGGTGGAGAATTTGCCTTGCAAATAGGGTAATCTCCTGTGGGCTGGTATAGTGCCAAAGACACATTAGGGCTCTGATCGCGGTTTCCGGTGTGCACAAGTCGAACGACATCGTAGCCTTCACATTTCCATTCTGTCACTGTAAATTTTCGGCATACCCCAGGTGTCTCATCACATTTCACACGCCTGGCTCTGATGGTAAATTAGTAATACCACGCAGGCGTAGTAGAACGGTCAAATGGATCCGAACACACCGACATGTCCGACAGCCTGTTCTGAATCGTCTAGAAAATGCTTTTCTCCTAGTTTGAGAAGCCCTCAGATCAATTTGATAAGAGGTGCAAGAACACCTTGTGTATATCTACGGAAGCGCAGCTGAGAGTGCGGGCCAAACGAGGCTGATGAAATGATACGAAACAGGATTACCTCATCCCGCTACCACAACATACGATCAGACTTTTGCCTGTCCCTTCGGCCTGCGAAGGTGATGTTAACAGCGGATTAGACAATCAGCAGGATGCAGATTTGGGAGGGAGGCCGCCACTTAAGAGAGAGTCATCCCGTGGAATTCGATTTCGGCTCGAAATAGCGGTGATGTAGATAGAAGTACAGATACAAACCAGCTTTGGAAGCATAGGAACCTAAGACATAGACATCAAGTACAGAAATCAATATATATTGTAAACGGTGTTACACTTGGCAAATCCTCAAGAAGAAGGGTCTGTCTAACGAAAAAATCGAATCTAAGGTAGACCTCGGCAAGGACCTGGACCGGACCATCCGGTCTTTGGTCTCTTTGTAAAGTAGTTAGGACCGATAGGCCCCTATAGTCCTTTGCGGTCCCTTATACAGTCCCCCGTAGTTTTATAATCATACTAAGACCTTCCTTTTCCGGCTATATAAACTAATAATTTAGCCATATTTTTTACTATTATAAAATACTATTTCAGTATATATACTAATATCAATAATAAATCAGATTAAACTATGAATAAAATAGAAAATAAGCTTATACATTAGTATCTTATATATTAAAGTTGTTACGGTATCTACCTGCAGGGTAGAGGGCCTGTCGATCAGGTAACGAGGAACCATTATAGTCAATTTAGAACAAATCATCACCCTGTAAGCTTAATACAGATCAATGCAGTCTTAAATGAGTAATTTATTTTCAACCACGACGTATAAGTCACACAGGGTGCTAGAACTAACTGCCGTAATGATGTGGTCAGGAAAATGATTCCGTGTGGTGACAGTGTGTTTCTCGCGTAGGTTTTGGTAGGCAACTATTTATCTCCTATCCAATAGAGACTGACTAGTGGGCAAGGCTCATTATCTGGTAAGCGGCCCGGGCGCATGCCCGTCACCTCCCTCGCTTCTCCGGTTGTGAGACGTAGCGAACGCCGCGGGAGCCAACCGCTTCGTCACCGTTAGCGCGGCCGCAAAATATTATATTAGAACCACCAAACTCCAGCCATTACCTGTAAGCCGGCTCACTAGAGACTTTCTGGCTTAGCTCAAAACTTACTAAGTGAATGGTAACAAAAGCATTTTCACTTTCCAGGGGGCGCTCATAATGCTGCCTATCTGCTTTCTAATTTGAACTTTGAACAAGATCCTTTCTCTTACTCTTGACTCCAGATCAAAGCCCGACAATTTTCTCCTTCCGAAACAGTCTTCTTGCTACTCGTGGGAATGTTTGATTTTCTCTCCAGCAAGCACCAGCCCAACATGGGGCCCAGAGATAGAGTTAACTCTCCCTCAAGTCTACAGAAGCTCCCATCAGCAACCGACAAGATCATTACTGAGGAGAAGAAGCTGGAAACCAAGATATTCTCCCTTTATCGCTTGGCCTGGCTTGGCATCTATCAAGTCCATGACGAAGACGGTCCAGATCACGCCACGAGATTAGCTCAGCTCTTTGACGGCGCAGGAATGTCTTCCTACGTCGACAAGTCCGAACAAGAGCTCAACGATCACCACAGGGACACTCGAGGAAGATATACCGGGTCTGACAGCCGCGTCCTACTCCCTCTGTGGACAGCTCTGAAGAAGAAAGGGCTAATGAGCCTAAAGTTGTTCGAGGGACTGTCTATCACGTCGCTAGAAGCAGTGATTGAACTGTTAGAGGCCTACGTGAAAGAGGTCACCAGTGTAAATGCCTTGTACCACACACTTCGGGAGCTCCAGGTGGGATATCGGAGTCCAACGGAGGATGACGAACAGGCTGTTCTGAAGCAGTTCGTCCCCGGTGCGAATCAGTTTTCCAGACGGCTTCTGCATCTAGATGCAAGATTAAAGGTTCTCGTTTCAGACATGGAGGATGATTTTTGGAATGAACATGGGGCAGCCAAGGGGCGCGAGGGGTGGGTTGTGCACTACGCGCTTTTTCCAGGGTTATCGACACGGCATGGTAAGAAAAAGAGCCTTATGTCTTCCATGAAAGCTTGATGGAATGAAACGCGGCGAGACAGGAAGCCTATTTCGATTCGAAAAGCTGTTATAAATTAGTAGGGAGGTAGATATCATTTACTTGGGCCCCTTGTCGACATAATTCCTATCACTAGGCCAAATATGAATCCATACACGTCGATAGAGTACATTGATTGCCCATTGCACGAACTATCCACTATAGTAACCTTGGTTAGCGGGCCGACATATCAGTCATTCGTTACTAGATGTTACAAGGCATACAGTTTGCACATCCAAAATTAACATCAATCGTTTTTCCCAGCATGATAGGGACCAAAGTTTGGCATCATTTTGGTGTCTAATTACTGCTTGAACATGTGTTAGAATTCTGTCTTTCAGTGGGTGGAGGTGCGAGGACCCCCACCGTAGAGAGAGCGGTCTGAGATGAGAAATGGCATTAGAATATTAAATTAATCTTTGGAACGCTACATGAGTATTATACAGTTGGTGGTTGAAATCAAGAATCTCCTTCCATATTCCAAGTGATGGGCGTGTAAATTCTGCAATCGCGAGGCCCCGTCATCAGAACCGATTTCCGAATATCGGCAGTCTCGATCCTATTAGCTCCCGTGACCCTATCGACAAAGACAAAGCCTTCTCGATTCATAATAGCAATAATCGGAGATAAATGTACAGAATTAACTCAGTACCGTTGCGAGTGCTGGTCTAGGTTGATCTGTCAAAGGGGCGTGTCCTCGTCCATAGTGAATGATAAGTCGGCCGGAGCATCTCCATATCCTGAATTTCAGTAACTATAACGTTCCCATTAAAGCGTCTTGTGGAACGTCTTGGGAAATTCCCGATCATGCAGCAGAAAATCCAGGATAGTCGATATCAATGCTGCCGATGATGTTCCCCGTTTCGAAGGGAATTGGCCTAGTATCCTCAACCATTAGTGATGCTACATCGTCTTCGTACCCAGCAACAATAAGGTCGTTGCCGCCCAGCTTATATGACTTCGAGTCTGACTGTGGTAGCGAGAGCCCGAAATATGAGAGGGTCTGGATATTATATATCGGAAACATAGCAATTTGTGCTGTATATATAGGCCCTTCTTTCTAGGGGATAAGCAGTACAGAGTCAATGTACAGCACTCTAGCCAACGCTCTCTGGATTTCATCCCAAAACAGATGGGACCGTGATTAATTCCCAGTTGGATGCCACTATTTTGCACTCCAAATGTCATCTGGATTGAACGAGCTTCAGTCGGCCTTCCGGCCGTGGGGGGTTGGCGCGCGGTTTGACGCTGCTTGAGCAAATTCCTGGACATTTGACAAAAACTCCGCCAGAAGCGGAGGCTTCGATCTTTCCGTTCACTGATTTGATATGAGCCCTTTTCCAGAATCCAATTTTGGATTGTTCTATCCATGAAAGCTTGCCATCTTCAGAGCGGCTGGTCCATCCCTGAAGGTCGGACTTGAATCTTTCGCACGCTGCTGTGAAGAGAGCAATTGCCCATTTCGCATTGTCTGCAACTACTGGCCCCAGAGAGTTCCATTCCTTATCATCAATAGCTTTAACCGACGTAAGGGCCATGGTCAAGGAGCCAATGTTGTGGGTCAGCGTCTTTTCATTCTCTTTAGCATCCTGAATTTGTTGCAGGTCGTGAAGCCATAGCCGCGAGACATGCAACGCAGGCGCGACAAGACCCACAATGCCTGCAGCGATGCTTAACGGATCAGCCATGATGAGGAGCAAACAAGTGACCTGTCGAGCTGACAGAAAGCAAATTTATTGCGCCTGGGGGGTTTTAGCGCGGGCACTCCTAGTCACCTGATGGTCAGCTTCAGCCTTCGACTTCCTCTACTTCCTCTACCCAGCCGTCCGCAAATAGGCCCAAGGCGCGCGGCCGTGATAATGGCTTCTGCAAATACATTTGGTGCGTCGAATACTGGATTTCAGGTCGGGATCAGTCATGGTGCCATCAGCGCCCAGTTCTATCTCCCCCCTGGTACGTTCTGCAATGTTTCCACGTCCACAGCCGCGGGGCAAGCCTGATGATTCCCTGGTCCCTCTAGAACACCCAGAAACCCCGCCAGAGCCTCTCTCGACCGTCCCCTTCTCTCGCGACCCAGACTTTGTTGATCGCGGGGCGCTGCTTGATCGGATAAATGAGAAATGCTCCACCCGAGGATCGAAGTTAGGGTTGGTTGGTCTCGGCGGTGTTGGGTGAGTGCAGAGTTGAAGGAGCTCCAACACTCCTCAGACATGACCAGCGACCGCTACTAACCATGAGAAGCAAGTCACAATTGGCTATAGAGTACAGTTATCGCGTTCGTGAGCGGTCCGCTCAGATATGGGTGTTTTGGATCTATGCGAGCAACGCAGCCCGATTCGAACAGAGCTATCAAGAAATCGCCGACCGTGCTAGGATCCCAGGCCGACATGATCCAAAAGCCAACATAATGAAGCTTGTCTTTTCCTGGCTGCAGGACGAGAGACGAGATTGGGTGATTATCCTCGATAATGTGGATGATGATCAATTTCTCCGTGAGCCCCCAGAGGCAAAGCCCGGCCAAGCTGGGACCTCGGTGCCACTGGCTGCATATCTGCCTCGGAATAACAAAGGCTCAATTATTATGACCACCCGTAGCAAAAGCGTGGCGTCAAGGTTCGTCAGTGACAGGGATATCATTGAAATTCAGCCGATGGTCGACATCCACGCCGTAGCGCTGATAGGGAAGAAGATTGGCGATCATGCGGCGCATGAGAGCAAAGAGGATATCAGCCGACTTGCAGAAGTTCTCGAATACATGCCACTTGCCATCGTACAAGCAGGTGCCTATATCAAACGCCGCGCGCCTCGGTACTCCGTTCGAGAGTACCTCGAAGACTTCCAAAAAAGCGATCGCAAAAAGCTTGAACTTCTGACGGATCACGAGGGGGGCCATATTCACCGAGACTATGAAGCCAAAAATTCCATAATGGCCACTTGGCAGTTATCATTTGATCGCATTCGAGAAACCAAGCCAGCCGCAGCAGAGCTGTTGTCACTCATGAGCTTTTTCGATCGGCAAGGGATTGCAGAGAATCTCCTTCGATGCATACCATATGGTGGCGCTGATGATATCAACAAGGCCTTTGGGGACACAGGGGATGGTAGTTCCGGCTCCGAGAGAAATCCATACAGAGCCACGATGCGGAATGACCCAAGGACCCATGTTGACCTCAGTGACGAGGACGAGGACAGTACCACAGATTCCGAATGCGATGAGTTTGAAGAGAACATCATGCTGCTTAGAGACTATTCATTTGTCTCTCTCGGCCGAGATCGGGGGACGTTCGAGATGCACAGACTCGTGCAACTAGCTACACAGAGATGGCTTGATACACACAGGGATAGTGAGAGATGGAGATGGAGATTCGTCAAATTTATGGCGACAGAGTTTCCCAATGGAGATTTTGAGACGTGGGAGAAGTGCCAGTTGCTTTACCCACACGCCAAAATGGCGACTGCACAACGTCCCACGTCGGAGAGAGCCCAGCTTGACTGGGCGCGTCTCCTTTACAAGATGGCTACATACGCGTGTAAAAAGGGACACCTGGCAGACGCGAAAACGATGGCAAGGAAATCTGCCAAAACTTATGAACGGATATTAGGGCCCGAGGATGAGGACACTCTCAACAGTACTACCGTGCTGGCCATAACATACGAGGAAGACAAGCAGCTCGATGAAGCCGAGGCCCTTCGAACAAGGTTATTCCATACACATAAGAAGCTATTTGGACTCGACGATCCCAACACGCTTACCGAAATGGAAGGTCTTGCGGCAATTCATTCGCGGAAGGGTCGGTTGAAGGAGGCGGAGGCCTTAGAATTGGAGGTCCTCGAGGCACGCCGGAGAGTTCTGGGCCCCGAGAATATTGCGACACTCAACATTATGCGGAACTTAGCAGCGACATATTGCTACCAGGACCGATTACAAGAGGCCGAAGATCTCTGTGCTCAAGTCCTTGAGATCAACGAAAGAGTGCTGAGTCCCGAACATCCTGATCGGTCGGGTAGCATGTGCGACTTGGCCCACGTCTATTTGATTCAGAATCGATGGAAAGAGGGCGAAACACTACTCATCAAAGCTCTGAAGCAGCTTAGAAAAGTGGTTGATCTCGAGCACCCTTTTTCGATGGGGGGGTTAGGCAACTTGGTCTATTTGTACCGGCTGCAAGAACGATGGCAGGAGGCTGAGCCACTAAATCTTCAGCTCTTTGAAGCTCACAGAAGACTTTATGGGCCTAAGCATCTCAAAACTCTTGACAGCATGAAGAAACTGGCACGGGTCTATCGAAAACAAGAAAAGTGGGAAACAGCCAAGGTAACTTACACCCAGTTGCTTGAAAAACAGCAGGAAGTTCTCGGCCCAGACGATCTGGAGACCTTGGAATGCATGAGAGATTTGGCATCCGTATATTACCTTCAGGGGAACTATGAGGAGGCAGCCGTGCTGGACCATACAGTTCTCGAGGCCTTCGAGAAGGTCTTTGGTCTGGAGCATCATCGCACGCTGAACAGCATGCTTGATCTAGCAGCAGTATACGAGTCCCAAACCCAATTGGAAAAGGCAGCAGTGATGTTGGATCGCGCCTTTAGAATACAAAAGCGAGTGCTGGGAGATAAGCATCTTGATACTCTGCACAGCATGCGTTGTCTAGCATTGCTATATGGGCGCTTAGGTCGAAGGGAGGAGGCCAAGGCGCTAAGGTCTGCCGCTGCCTTGTTATGAGAAGGCGAGTGCTCGGCCCAGACCATGCCAAAACTCTTGAATGCATGCAAATTCTGATTTCGATATATTCGCATCAACACCATTTCGAGGAAGTCAAATCTCTGAAACTTGAGCTGTTCGAGGCATACTGCAAAACACTTGGGCCGGAGGATCCCACGACACTCTTAGTATGAGAGACTTGACTCCGATATACTGGTTCCAAAACAATACCAGACGCCCGAGGCATGGGGTTTCGCACCCTTGAAGCCCACAAGACGGAACTGGGTCCCAATGAGCCCCAAGGACATTATCATGCATGTCCGATTTAGCTCAAATTTGGAAGTATCAAGGCCGGGATGACGATGCACTTGATCTCATGAAAGAATATACTAGTGGACGCACATAAGTCCTGGGGTCAGATCATGCTGATACCAAGCTGTTTTGCCTACATCTTGCGTGGCAGACCTAGAGACCTGAAAGGGGAGCTGAATCCAGCGAATCTGAATAAAATCAATGACACAGAACTCGTAACTCGCGCTTCTGATTCATATAGGTAAACAAATTATTCTTCTCCTCATTCTGTGTTCCTGTTACATTTCATCTATATTAGGCACTTGGTCCGGTAGATCCTGGCTCTTCTTTCCCTTTGCTCCCTTCTTCCCTTCCGTGGGGTAAATACTTTCGTAGATGTCGGCTTTGTGCGCCGCAATATCGGCCTAGATCATTAGAATCTCCCAGACAGAAGCTACTTTTCAAGGAAGATACTCACGGTGCTATAATGTACATCAGAGCTTTGACCTTTCGCTTTCTGAGCCTGTTTCTCGAGGGCCTCAGGATTCAAGGGCGTTGATTCGAAATCATCGGGAAATGTCGTATTAAGGAAGACTGACACCAGGTGTTAGTGATAATTAAGTGGTAAACCCAGGGAGAATGGTATCCGTACATTCCTCATTTCCCTTGGTATTGGGGTGGGTTTTGCCAGAGACAGATGCTCTCGCGAATTTGGTAATGTGAAGCGCAGATGGCCTGATAACCTGGTGCTTAATCAAGGCTGCATACATGGTGATATTGCAATAATTAGCCTTCTGGTGTGAATTTTGATTATGGAAGTCATCGTGGGCAAATGGAGCTTCCCCGCTATTAAATGGGCACTGTGGGCATTGTGGGTTACAGGGTGATGATGATGTCAATCATATGACCGCTCTAGCCGCAATGGAGAGCGCCAATGAGTCACTTCGAGGCGAATTGGGAATCCTTGGTGTCGTCGAACGAGGTGAGATCATATTGGCCAGCAGAGCCAGCGGGTGTTTGTGGAGGTGGCGAGAACGGGGCGATCCATGGAACGAACATCCTCTTGTGATTGCTTACCCATGATTTAGATACCATCTAGGTCAAATTCATTATCTAGACTTAAAAAAGTGCATGCAGCTAAAAACAAAAAATAGAAATCCCGAAATGCCGGAGAAAATACCAACGAAGGACCCGGAATTGTCACTATCCTCGTGAAAAGGAAACTGTCAGAGCAATAGGAGATGGTATAGACTAGGAATCTTGCCTATAGTGCATATTTTGGTCTAGTGGTTAGTTCGCCTAGGAATTAGTCCTGTTTTGTCTTGACAGAAGCTTTCAAAGTTTACTCCTCTCCACACCTCTTTACCATCATCTTCGTTAAAGCATTTTGGCTGAGGGCTAACTAACTGCCACATATCTTGAATCAATCGACGCCAGTAGCATACTTCCGCAGCTTGCGTAATACCACTCTCGGAAGGACTTCGACTTGTTTTGTGCGCAATGTGCTGGGCTTTATCGTCATGATCCAGCAGCCATTTCATTTTGTCTTGAAGAACTGACCAATCGCTCGACCTCGACAAAGTTCTCCTTCGATCCAGATGATCATAGGAGAGGGTCATTGTGCTGCACCCAGTCCAGCTTATGTGAGATCCATGCACTGATCGAGCACAGAAGGAACGTTGGGGGTCTGGCTTAGCCGCGGGCCAAGAAGAACATTTCTCGGCATTGTATGTATTGATAAAGGGGCCAAAGAGCGAGTAAGGCACGATAATCCTATACTTTTCTGACGTTATATGCACTGCGCAGTAGTACGATGCCCTTCCTCCATCACTAATTTGGAGCAAAGTACGGAGTAACCTCTCCTCCCAGCCACATCAAAATCTTAACTAAGCATAGATTGACTCTCTAAAAGATCGCCATACAATTCGGCGGACTTGACACGCCTCGCGCGCAGTTCAATGGACTACTTGAGATGAAAAAGCTCCAACGACCCAGTTTCTTGCAAGTGGCCGCCAACTCCTCTAAATCAAACATCTCGCCGATAGGCACACCCCAACCCGCGAGCAGGTGGTGGTGCAGGTCATACTCCTCGTTAATAGCCGGGAAGACCTCAAAGCTCACAGCATCAGAAGCCACAGCCGCAAAATGGTGATCCCACATAAACCGCAGCACGCGCTCGCTCTGCTCGATGCCTGCATGTTGCGGCATCGGCTGCTCGCTGTACGCCTTGCGCTGCTCTGGTGACATGGCTGCCCAGGTCCGTGGTAGACCAACGCGGAGGAAGAAGATATCGCCCTTCTGGAAAGTGATATTGCACTCTTGCACGATTTCTTGAACCTCGTCGAGCGAGATCATTTGTCGGCTGAGAGCGTTCAAGGGTATCCCTCTTTTCTCCGCGTACGAGACGTAATCGATGAGCACGCCGCGACCTGCAATGCCCTTTTTGGCCCAGTGACCAATTCCAATGCGCGGCGAGTCGGTGTCTATGATCTCTTCAGATGTCGTGCCGCCGTAGAAGACGCGGCGCTGGGGGTTCTCCGGTGTCGGGGCAGGGGCGTTGTGGTGGCGAAGCCCGTCCCACTGCGAGGATTGTTGAGGGTTGAAGTGATATTCGTCGTCGAAGGCGACGCCCTCGGCGACCCATTTGATGCGGTGCTCAAAGGGCTTGCGACCGAATCCTGGAGGGCTCAGGTTCTCTATATTCCAGTTCAGACACACCCGCTCGCCGGTCTGGATCTGCGTCCGCGCCGCGTCCGCGACTATTTCTGGCGTCAGGATGCGCAACATGCCAAGGCCTTCCTCCTCCGAGCCGGCGGGTGCAGGCCAATACCGGCGCTTGTCAGGAAGGTCATCGAATTTCTCTGGGAGTGGTGTGGTGCCGGACATGTTGATCTGATTGCTCGTGGTGGAGACGATGCTGCTGAAATGCGAGGTGCTGTTCTATAGGCAGTCCAGGCGTGCGATCTGCTCGATTAGACAGCTTGCTCTTTTTCTTTCCGGCGGTCGAGGTTGAGATGTGAACGGAGAAGATCGAGTGCAGCACGGCTATTTAGCAGAGCAAAACATCGGAGCAAGTCCGCGTTCCCCGTGGACGTGAGGACGACCCCGCAGTCACTCGATCGGGCACCTAGGCGATGCCCAGAGAGTAGGATGATCCAATGCGGCCTAAATGAAGTGCTGTAGTAGGTTTTCCGAGGCAAAGCATGGACGGCGAACAAGCTTGGTCAGGGTACAGTTACTCTACAGTAGAGGCCCGATTCTCCCGGGGTGGGCTGAAACCATTGCGTCAGTACCACCACGTACCCTAACTGCCCTGCCCGGATAAGATGAAAGCATCGCCCAACGTCGATCAATTTTCGTACCTCTGCAGTCGTGTTGAGAACAATGCCAATGAACGCTATAATGAATTTACCCTATAGAAACGGTACAGGATGCTCGCCCGCGGAGCAGCAAAGAGAAAGTTTACAGGTCATCCAGGTCGTCGGTCTTCAAGCCAGAGCTTCGCTTTGGCATATCAGACATCTCATACTCTTCCTTGTTGCCCGAAGAGCCAGCTCGATCCGAAGCGGACATGGCGATAGCCTGCCGGCCAGTATCGGAGGACTCGAGGAACTCGCGCAGGCGACGTTTGCCTTCCACGAGTGCCTGCTGGGACGCAGCTTCGGTCATCTTGAGGATAGGGCCCCAAAGGTTGAGCTGGTACGTGACATAGGCACCAACGGCGCACACGAACAGCAGGAAGAAGTAGGCCGGGTTGCGCAGGACTAGGATTGAGCTTTACGTTAGCAGATAGATCGCAACGGAAAGACCAGAAGAAGCTCACCTGCAATGATCTCATTCCAGCCCAGAGCCAGGAGCAAACCGTAGAAGTACAACGGAACCTGGGTAATGCCGCCAATGGCACTCCGCTTGGCCTCGACATAAACCCCATCTGCGGTTTTTTTGAAGCGCACCGTGAGCTCCTGGCGCTTCGCTTCGCCGAGAATGGTCATTTCCTCTTCCAGGCTCTTGCCTTCGTCCTCATCAACGCCACCAATGGGTGCCAGGTCCTCCTCATCTGCGGGAGTCGCCGTGCTAGGAGTGTGACCGATCCACCGGTCAAGCGGGGGAGGGGCGCTGGTCTCAGCAAGACGGAATCGAGAGAGCAGAGGAATGAGTGTCAGCGTGGACTCACGAGCGCGAGTGTAGATGCCCTCAATGTCGTCCGTTGGGCGCCAGATCCGCGGCACACCGGCCTCATCATATCGGAACTTGTCCTCAAAGTTCTCACGCAGCTTCAAAAGCAAATTGCCCTCGATCATCTCCTCGTCAATCTTGGCATGCAAAACACCCCAGGACTTGCGGCGCAGGCGCCATAGGCCAACATCGACCTCTTCCAGGCTGGCATCGAAGCTGCTGGCGCGGTCCGTGAATCTCCGCTCGGCGTCGAGAACAGTCTCCACAAACACGTTCCAGATCCGATCCCAGAAAGCCTGCTCAGTGGGCTTTTCACCATTCTCAGGGGCACCGCCGCCCGCGCGTCCAGAGCCGAGGTTGTTGAACTCGAGTCCCACCGATTCGCCAAGACGAGACTGAACCCACCGCTCAACACGGCTGGCCAGTCGTCTCATCTCATCTCGTCGCAGACGACCGCTGACTTCAGCCAGCTCCTTCTCATAAAGGCTCAGCTCCTGCTTGTAGTTGCTCCAAGAGGCACCTTCGACCAGTGTTGAGCGAGCAACCTCCTCGAATTTCTCTAGAGAGATATTGGTCTCCCGGTTGACAATCTCAGCGAAATCATAACTACCCCCCTTTTTCTGACCAGACTTGACAGCATTGGTAACTGCCTCGCTAAAGTCATGGATACCAGACTTGTGGGCAGCTGATATCTGACCATGGAAGAGAGCCTTTAGTCGCGTATCAACCTTACCCTCCAGCTCAGCCTTCTTCCGCTGGTAGACACCCTTATGGTACCGACTGGCCTCGGTCTCAAAGCCCTTGAGAGTCTTCGAGCGGGCCCCACGCATGGCCGCGCCCAAGCCACCCAGGACTTCCGGGGCTCCCAGACGGACACCCTCGGCCTGCTTGTCCTCAAACGCAGTAATAGTTTCATCAAATCCAATCATCACTTCCCGCAAGATTTCGTCACAACGGAACTGAGCAAGCAATTCCTGCTGCGTGGGCAGATCCAGGTCCTTATTATTGACAATTTGGTCCCAAATACCTTCGGCATAATGCGAGAATCCATCAGCTGGGATTCGTCGGTGGTATTCGGGAAGGAAAACCCCGCCTTCGGAGAACTCGCCCCGGAGGGCATCTCGCTTCGGGTCACGGTGGCCGTCGCGGAAGCGCAGGCCCAACTTCTTCGTTTCCGCCACGAACTGATCGGGTTGGTAGCCCTTATGCGGAAGTCCATAGAACTGGAAGTCAAAGTAATCGTGGATTGTAGAGTTCTCGAGCCCAGCCGGCTTCGAAATTGTGGCCCACAGACGAGCCAGGTCTTCCAGCAGTGTCTTTTGGAGGTTCTTAAGCGGAGTGGTGCCGATGAAATCACGAATAACAAAGAAAAGGAGGGATCGATGCGTCGTACTAGGGCCGCCTCGTTAGTGTCTTGCGTAACACGCCCTGGTCAATCTTGATCCACGTACTTTTTATCCTTCAAGAATAATTGCAGGTTGACCTCGAACACCGTCTTGAGCAGACCCATGTTGGCACCCTGGTATAACCCCACCTGGTGCTCCCAGATGTTGACAATGAGCACCTCGCTAGTCGCAAGCGCAAATAGAGCAGACTTGCGCTCGAAATCCTGGTCCTCGCCTCGTTCGCGGCCGTCGGTACCTTCCACGTCCATTACCAAGATATTGTCCGCCATGCGGGTCCCGTCCGCGGCCGCGTCCCCTTGCTTCTTGTTCTTCGACAGCCAAATACCTTTGGTCGTTTGCCTCCGCTCCAACTCGGACATCACCGAGAACTGGGTACCGAAGAGGTTGTTCAGCAAGGTAGACTTGCCGGTCGACTGCGAACCGAAGACAGAGATGAGGTGGTAATTGAACCCGGCGGAGGTGACATCTTCGAGAGAGAGATACTTGGACAAGTTGGGACTGCAGAAAAGCTGTCAGCATCCGACGGTTCCATTGCCCGCGAGCCTGCAGCTGCAGGCGGGCGCAAGAGCAAGGTGCCTGTGGGTTGTACTTGAACTCCTTATCCCCGTCAATGACTTGTACTCCATGCTCATAGGATGCGACGTCGCTGCTGTCGCCGATCGTAGCAAAGTGCCCATTTGCCATGACAGGAGGCGCTGTTGGGTTTCGGCCCAATCCCGACGGGCGTTCGGACATAGTCACAGCTATCACTCTCTGGAGGTGGTGTTGTGGGGACAGATCGCCGGAGGGTGAGATGCGGCGAGGGCAGGTGGGAGACGCGGGAAGTAGGAGGTCGGGCGGAGGTGGCTCATTCAAACGAAGCGCAGCAGTATCCGATCAATCAGATGGGATCAGGAGGAGCCAGGACGATCACAAGGCTGTTGCACGAGTGCCGCGATCGAAAAGTCCGAGGTCGTCGGTTGCTGGGACAAGCTGCCTTACATAACCCCTTTATTTCCGGTCCCGAGGGGCTGGGGATCTACGGAGTATAACTGACCACTCCCCGGGGGGGGCTGTGGAACTATGGATCAAAGTATCTTAGTGCTTGCACAAACTAATCGATCTTTTGAAAGTGGATTTTTCCACGATCAAATATTGTGTCAAAGGGTAAAATATCCATTAGAAGGATATCGGCCGGGGCTCCCCCTTACTCAGACCAGTTCAGGTTCCAGCCATAGTCCAGTCCAAGATCGACCGCGGGATTCGGCCACATAAACTGTCCAAAGTCATCGAATAGTCCCGTAAATGCATTGGACCCCAAGCCCGCAAACTCGGTGGTGGTGATATCTTCGCCCTGCGACAACGGCTGAATTGGATACCCGGTGTCCACCGTCTCTAGAACTGGGGTGTTGGGATTCAATGTGTCGGGGTTGTGAGTAGTGGATGTTCCACCAGGATCGGACATGGGGGGAGTATATAGCTGATTAGGGGCCGATTTGGATGAAGAGATGGCAGGCGGTAGTGTATTGGGGGTAGTGTCGTCCTGTGCCTTGCTGCCCTGGGATCTTAAAAGCTTCGATCCGGCTCCAATGGTGATGGTCCCAAAGTATGGCACCGTGACCTTGCAGGTAGACTGTGATGACCAGTTCCTTTTTTGCGACCTAGTATGGAAAATAGCACCAAGGATGTTTGCAGACTCGGCAGCGACGGATCCGCCACTCTCAGGTGCAGCCTCCCTCAGGATATCGACTACCTCACCCACAAGCTTCCAGTCCTGCTCATGCTGCTCCTTGTTAGGCGTCGGACATTCATCAATGCTGCCGTGCAGATGAACGATCAGCAGCATGCCCATTGTAAAAGCCAGGAAATCAATCATTTTGCACAGATAAGTCCTGGTCATCGATCGAAGAACCTTGTACAGCAACAAACCCTCACGAGCGGATTGAATTGCTTTGCGGTGGCAGAAGGTGAACCGCGGGTCTTGAGGGTATTTCAGCAGAAAGGGCATATGCAAGAGAGCACGGAGGACCTTGGGCATAAACTGCAAAGGAACGCGAGCTTGAAACTGCTCCCGCTTCTCATTGGGACCAGGTGCGGTACCGTAGAAGCTGTTCGGCATGGCTCTCCACGCATCCATCAGCTCCTGATCGAGTCGCAAAGTTGTCTCCAAGCACATGTCCGCTGGGTTCTGGTTGCGATCCACCATGTGCCCGGTGATAACGCCGATGCGTAACAAGTACTGCTCCGGGGCAGTCACCCCCGAACTCAGACGTCGTTCGACCTGGGGCAGAAAGAAGCTATCCGAAACCCCATAAGGAAGGCCAAGGATCAGGCTTAGTGATCGGTCAGAGACGGTCAAGGAGCACCATATCCTCAGTCGTCGATCGAAGATCTTGTCTGAGGGTCGCCGGGTTCGAGTTGATAGATGCATTCCCGCAAGGTGTGCAAATTCAATGGCCCGCCGATTGATCAGCCACGCCTTGCGAAGCCGGCCCTCGTTCAGATGATACTTCGCTAGCAGCATCTGAGCTTCAATGCCAGGAAGCGTCGCCGCAAAGTCGTCATCACGAACGACTAGACGATCCACAGCCGCAGTACAGCGGGCGGCAAACTCTTGAGGATCAATTACGATGTGCAAGGTATTGAAATCGAATTCAGGCGGCGAGTGAATGACACTGATAGCAAGACAAACAAGCGCCTTGGCAATCTCGGCGGGTGCAACTGTGCTATCGACCAGTCCTGGTTTGAGATCAAAGTTATACAGAAGCTCCGGAAAGTGCTCATTCCACTGAGACCAGAGATGTGAAGTCCCAGCGAGGATCTTATCGATGTCGGCTGTCGGTGGGAGTAACGACAGGAGCTCGGTCCGTACTGCTCGCGCCTTTGGGGACATGTCTTTCGCTCCCATGAATCGTTCATTACTGTCTGAGTCCTCGCGGCGGCTCACAAGGTAATTATCAAACAATTGCAATACTGGCGCGCTTTGAATTTGGTCGCTAGACGGGCCTAGTTGATCGGACTCGGTTGCTGGTGTTGTCACCTCTGCTCGTGGAAGAATCGCGGCTAGCAAAGTTAGCACGCACTGGGTCCCAAGAGAAGTCAGTACAGCGCTTCTGCTCACAAGGTGTATTGGCGTTACTCTGTTGATCCAGCCGTTTGGATAACTCTTGGACTACAGTTTCCAGGTGAGCTACTCGTTCGCGGAGACTATACCGCTGGTCTCCTTGTCCGGGCCCCACTGCGAATCCAGAATCCTCGGGACTGTGCTCTTGATCAATGCATGTAGAGCCTCGTAATCGACATTCATTGCAGGTCTCTGGGCGATCCGGATGATAGGTACAACGGATCTTGCGCCGCCGACCTGTGGTGGGACTTTTGAGTGTTGAGCTGAGAGGTCGGATATCTTCCGTGACGTACATTCAACACAACTCTTGGTCCCCTTTCGCATTTTCTTGCGAGGTGGGGGACCGTTCGAGCCACTCCAGGGGTCCATTATTCTCAGAACCACCTAGTTGCCGCTCTCAACGGAGCTCGCGCGCTGGCTTTGAATCGGCCAGGAAACCCAAGTGCTTGGCAAAGCCAGATAATTTTGATGTGGAATAATCAAGCAGTACGGAAGATCGGTGTTTCAAGAGAAACATCAAGAAAGTAGGAGGTATCTAAGAAGAGAGTAAGGGTGGGCAGAAGCTCAGAAATGATAGTCTTGGGGGCGACTGCTCTAAACCGCTTTAAGAAAAGCGCCGCCCGCCCGCTGACCAAATAGTGCGTGTCGATAATGTTGCGCAGAGGGACAAAGTATAAATACCGGAAAGCCCCCATTCCAAACAAGACGAGGAACACTGCTTAAGTAGTCTTCGAATTCGGGAAGGAGATCACGTATATGTCAAGGTATGTGTATAGTTTGGGCATCACTTTCACGCAGGCGTTTGCAGAAGAAGCCCGGTGGCGTTTGCCCCAGAAAACGCACAAAGATAGGGGTATCTATGTCGAGGTTCTCCTCTCCAGAAGCTAGTATAATGTGCACGAGTGAAAAGCGATCTATTTACGGAAGTAGGAAGCATGAGCTTCGGGCACCTCATTGAGCCATGGCGAAATAAATATTCTTGGGAAAAGTCGGACTATATCCTCGGTCTTAGATTCTCCACAAATTATATGAGCCCAAAAGGACATTTGTGTATTGGGATTGCTAGTTATGTGTCTACCTCAAATAGGCCAGCCATTATCGAATGCATGTAAAGAAGCTTGCCATCTCTTTGATGAGGCTAAATCTGGCATCCTCGCGCGGCACGTCGTAAACAGCTCGTATATTCAACCTTTAAGTGCAGACAGGGGTATGCCGAGGTTAGGGGATTAATAGTTCCACAGTGTATAGTGTCCATTCAATGCAAAGAAAAATCTAGATGCATCAGTCACCGCATAACCTGCCAATAAAACAACTGGCGTCAACAGTATACGATGCTGGGCGTGCAATGACCACAGACTCCCGAACTAAACCCACGCACAAAGCCCGGCTGGTCCGGGGGTTAGTCCGGCGCATCCGCCATTCGTCCGTTAGTTCGGCCGAATCGAAGTTACAGTAGGTGCTCGTAGGCGCATATATAATACACCAACGCACCGAAACAGGGAACATGCGAAGCTTGTGAAGCATTAAAACTTGGAACTATGTGGAAAGACAGAACTCTGCAGTCTCGAACCGACGTATTGAATTTGATTTTGAATACATTTCCATGGGATGAGGGGAGAGAAGATACAACCAACTACATCTCCAATACAGTAGAGGTACATGAACAAGATTCAAGCGAAAACTCCAGCTTTCCCCCGGATCCCTTAGGCTGATCGATGGTTCCCGCGCTGTGAATAACAAGGTGGCAGACAAACAAGACAAGAAAGAAGGGGGTGTCATAATACAAGGGCTGGATCAGTCTAGAAGACTCTATCTGGCCAAGGTCGAGCAAGACCCATTTACTGGTCCATCACACGGGTGATCAGGCCAGTGGCGACGGTGCGGCCACCCTCGCGGATGTTGAAGCGCTGACCAGCCTCGGCGGCGACCGGGCGGTGGGTAGCGAGGACCATCTCGACGTTGTCACCGGGCTGGACGCGGCGGGACTCGTCGCCATCGGGGAAGGTCAGGTCACCAGGCTCATCTATGGTCGCGGCGTTAGTCGTTGATCAACAGGTGGGACTATACTCATGGAGGAGACTTACCAGCGGTGCGGAGGTAGACCTGGGGACGGTAGTTGGCGCCGAAGCCGGTCCGGCGACCACCCTCAGCCTCGGTCAGAACATACATAGAGACCAGGAACTTCTGGGCAGCCTTGGTGCTGCCGGGCTGGGCAATAACCATACCACGGCGGATGTCCTCACGGCGGATACCACGGAGCAGCAGGCCGGAGTTATCACCAGCGCGGGACTCGTCACAAGTCTTCTTGAAAGTCTCGATGTCGGTAACCTTGGTCTTGATGGGGACCTCAGAGCCGCCAACAATCTCGACCTCGGTATCCTTCTTCAGCTGGCCACGCTCGACTCGGCCAGAGGCGACGGTACCACGACCGGGGATGGAGAAGACCTCCTCAATGGACATGAGGAAGGGTTTGTCGAGATCACGCTCAGGGGTAGGGATCCAGGTATCGACGGCGTTCATGAGGTCGTTGATACGTTCGGAACCAATGTCGGGGCGGCGGTCCTCAAGGGCGCAGAGGGCGGAGCCGAAGACGATGGGGGTCTCCTCACCCTCGAAGCCGTAGGTGGAAAGGAGCTCACGCATCTCAAGCTCGACGAGCTCAAGCATCTCAGGGTCGTCGACGGCATCGACCTTGTTCACGAAAACCACGATCTTCTGAACACCGACCTGACGGGCGAGCAGCAAGTGCTCACGGGTCTGGGGCCTAAGGGAGCAACATATGTCAGCGCAATTCTCCACCCAACTGGTCTAGGATTGATCCATACATCTGACCATCGGAGGCAGCAACGACAACGATGGCACCATCCATGTTGGCAGCACCAGTAATCATGTTCTTAATGTAATCGGCGTGACCAGGGCAGTCGACGTGAGCATAGTGGCGGGATTCGGTTTGGAACTCAATGTGGGCAGTCGAGATGGTGATACCACGCTTGCGCTCCTCGGGGGCCTTGTCAATGGAAGCGTAATCGAGGAAATTGGCCAGACCCTTGGAGGCCTGGTGCTTAGTGATGGCAGCCGTCAAGGTGGTCTAGACAGGATGGACAGGTCAGACGCGCAGGAGTATGAGGGAATCACAACTTTAAGTCTCACCTTGCCGTGGTCAACGTGACCGATGGTACCAATGTTAACGTGGGGCTTGGTGCGTTCGAAGGCAGTGGCCAGTCCACGGGCAGCCATCTTGTCGCTGGCGAAGGCATGGTGGACGGGGTTGATGGCGCGGGGGCGCAGCAGGGAGGACCGGCTGGTGCGCGCCAGGAGGTTCAAGGAACGGGTGATGCTCGACATCTTGCAAAGAGAAGCCCCAAAAGAACGATGGACAACAGGAAGCAAAAAGGAAACTCGATGGGAGGAGAAGGAGAGTTGCGGAATCAATAGCCAAATTTTCGGGGCGCCAGGGAGCGCTTAGTCATGTAGAGGCCAATCAGGGGCCGCAGATTGCGGAGGTCTGGCTGTCATCAAACACGATACGCACGATATTCAGATGAGACATCCTGGATTGTAGGCAATTGATGGTCTGGGGAGAGATTGAAGTACTAATGACATACAATTGTGACCTGGAGAAGTCAATGGAAGGTATGCGTAGCACCCGAGCTACTCAAGGACACATTGTGGCCGGAAGGTACATTGTCAATCCATTGATATGCCAAATAATGCTAAACACGCACCATGACAATGCTATATGCAGCTGAAAAGGCAGCTTGTTCACGCTATACAAAGACTCAACTTTCTCCTCGAGCCAAATCAAACATCTTTCTTCACCGTCAAGATCACCTGCTTGCCCGGCTCTCCTTCCATTGCCTTGACCTGTGTACCGCCAGCCTCTCTTGTAGTGTCCAACACACTTTGAATGACCTGTTTGATCTCATCCACAGTCGGCGAGCGCTTTGCCTTCTTCCGCCTCATGATTACCTCCACCTTCCGACCCTTCTCCAGGAAGTTGGTCAGCTGCTTCAAGCGGTGCGATAGATCGTGGGCATCGATTGCCCAGTTCAACTCAATCTGCTTTGTTTGCACCTTTGCTGACTTGGCGGACTTGGCCTTCGCCTTTTCATGTTGCTTCGCTTCCATTTTGTTCAGAATCTTACAGACCGGCGGTCGTTCGGCATCGGCAGGGGAGACTTGTAAAAGAAAGAACTTGCTGCGGTCGAAGGAATCAAGAACTTCAGCCAGTCGTTTAGGAGGCATGAGGTTCTGTTCCTCGTCGACAAGCTGGACCAATCGAGTTCCAATAGCTTCGTCCTTGATCAGCGTGGGGGCCGGGGGCGTCCGAGTGACGCGCAAGGCGAGGCGGCCGGATTGTTGGAAATAACGCAGCTGATGGCCATTTTGAAGCGGCCGAGGCTGGAGAAAAGAGACACTAGGAGTGCGAGGGGGGTTGATAAAGGTCTGGCGCAGGGCCTGCGCGGTGGATACGAGACCACGCGTGTGGTTCATATTGGCGGGAAAATCGGATGGCAGGCAGGTACACGAGGCGTAAAAGAGGCGTAAAAGAGGCAGGCAATTTCCACAGAAACTGAATTAGAGCCCAGACAGGTGAGATGAGTAACAGGAGATCGTGATGGGATAAGCGAGTCTGACCGAGCTTGTTGGTCGACGGGGAGTAGTCGACTAGTCAGCTTGTCAACTATGGGGAAGACCGGATCGAGTAAAAGCCACGCCACACCTGCGCCACAACCCTGAATCCCTGAAATTGCATCTCCTTTCTCTCCTGCGTTCCTTTTTCGACCATCAACCTCCAATCTCATTTTCCTTGCTGGGTTTGTCTGGTGTTCCCGGAGGATCAATGGTTTCTTGTCTAGTGTTTCGTCCCTTTTAACCCTTCCGATCGTTATTACTTCGTCCCTTTTGGTGGCCACCTGCGCCATCTATCCTCTGCTTATTCTTCCGTCCGCGGTTTGCTCGCATGTCGACTGGGGTCGACAATCAACAGCATCTCAAAAATCTCATAGACTTGGATTCGGTTACCCGCCACCGTTCGGTTTCCTACAGTAACAGTTGCTCTGTTCTGCCGCCTGTTGAGCCCGATCGAGTGTTCGACGGACAACCCGCCAATATGGTTTCTCAGAGTCAAAAGTCGCGGTGGCTGAAGACTGGAGCCATCGTCGGCTTCGTCTTTATGGTCCTTTTGTGGCTTTCGCCATCGAAGACCGCGGTTTCGAGTTTCACACAAGGTATGCGCCGAAGACGCCCGCAGTACCGCCCATTCGACATGGACAGAACTAACAACTCGTGTCTGTACAGAAAAAGCCCCCTCCACCGGTGGTGTCTCAGCCAAATGCACCAAGCCTTTCGATTCGTCCAAGCCTTTGATTCAATATGCCCTGATGATCGACGCCGGCAGCACTGGTTCTCGTATTCACGTCTACCGCTTCAACAACTGCGGCTCTACCCCGGAATTGGAGAATGAAGTATTCGAGCAGACCAAGAAGAAGGAGGGTGGCTCTGGCCTTAGCTCCTACAAGGAGGACGCTGAGGGTGCGGCTCGCAGTCTAGACCCCCTCTTGGAGGTCGCCCTGCAGAATGTGCCCGAAGAGTATCGGTCCTGCACCCCAATTGCCGTCAAGGCTACTGCTGGACTGCGTCTCTTGGGACCTGAGCTGAGCAAGAACATTCTGGAGGCTGTGCGCACTCGACTGGAAACCACCTATCCTTTCCCTGTCGTAGCCCGTGAAAAGGGTGGTGTCGAGATCATGGATGGTTCTGACGAGGGTGTTTACGCCTGGATCACCACCAACTATCTTCTGGGTAAGATTGGCGGTCCTGATGAGACCCCCACCGCTGCCATTTTTGATCTTGGGGGTGGCTCCACTCAGATTGTCTACCAGCCTACTTTCGAAAAGAGCAAGGCTGGCGGCATGCCCGAACACTTGGCCGAGGGTGACCACAAGTACGAGTTGAATTTCGGTGGCCGCGAGTTCGACCTGTACCAGCACTCTCACCTTGGCTATGGGCTTATGTCCGCTCGTGACTCCATCAACCGTGCGGTTCTGGAGGCCATGCTGGCCAACAACCAGAAGGACCTGTCGTGGCTGAAGCGTCCGATTTCCAACCCTTGCATTCAGCCCGATATGGAGAAGGAGGTCTCTGTGTCTTTCCCCGATGACCACCCTCTTGGCCCCAAGGTCACTGTGACCATGGCTGGTCCTCGGGATGCTTCCGCGGCTCCCCAGTGCCGCGCTATCGCCGAGAAGATCCTGAAGAAGGAGGCCGACTGCAAGCTGGCTCCTTGCTCTTTCAACGGTGTTCACCAGCCCTCTCTCGAGAAGACTTTCTCGCGAGAGGATGTTTATATCTTCTCCTACTTCTTTGATCGAACTGCGCCTCTGGGCATGCCGTCTTCGTTTACTTTGGACGAGCTGCACAAACTTACCGCGACTGTTTGTAACGGGGAAGACAGCTGGAACGTCTTTGAGGGCGTGGAAGGTGCGCTGAAGGAACTCCGCGATCGTCCAGATTGGTGCATGGACCTCAACTTCATGATGGCTCTTCTGCACACCGGTTACGAGATGCCTCTGTCCCGCGAGGTGAAGATCGCCAAGAAGATCAAGAATAACGAGTTGGGCTGGTGCCTTGGTGCGAGGTAAGTTTCACTTGTATCCAATTCTCTTCGTCTCAAGCCAGGTTGCTAACTCTTTTTTACAGTTTGCCTCTTCTCAGCCAGGAGTCTGGCTGGACATGCCGCATCAAGGAAGTCTCATAGACCTCACCCGCGGCGTGATGTTCAATTAATCATTTTTAATCATATGGTTCAGCCATAATATGTGATGGGTCCATGCATATAAATAGATACTCGACATGCATTGTTTTCTCCTTTTCTCCCTGTCTTCATTTTTCATCTAGACTTTTTGATGATCTATTTTTCTTCATTTTCCATCTGTTTCGTATTATTCATGATGTCCGTCGTGGACTGGGGTGCAATGACATATGTTGAATTAAACACGACAATTACCCAGAGAGCTGTGCTTCTGCTCGTAGCTCAAGGCTGGCCATTGGTCACTTCGTCGCAATATATCAGTACATGAGTGCGACCTTCATTTAATGTCGTGTCGCAGCCTCGTTCACCTCAGAACACACTCTGTCGATACCACGTGTCGGGCGGGACAACTATGGACAGAATTAGGAGGTAAACACATTCTGCTTTGTTTAAATAAAAAGATATGTACCTATATAAATATATAAATATTGGACAATGTGCCTTTGGTAAGCATTTGGTGTCTCATGGCCTTGAACATACGCAATGCTCCTCATTTGGAACTGAATGTCTTTGTCAAAGTCGCGGCGAAACCCTACCAACGGATGAAAATGCAGTGCGCTAGATAGAGTATGTGCAAGTTTTTAATCACCAGATATCTCGCCTTCACTCAGCCATCTCTTCAATCGACGGCTTATCTGTAGATGGCCTGTTGCCACCCATAAGCTGTCCCAAAAGGTCCGAGTCTCCCTTAGCTTCAGACTTCTTCAAATCTCCGTTGGGGCTTTCATCATCGCCCTCATCACCACTGAAGGAAACGTCACTGTCGCGCTTTTCCTCAAGAACTCCTAACCCAAGATTCTACAAGCGGGGTCAGCAACTGGATCTTCGAAAGCTGAATGTAGGGATGAACAAATATTGGAGAAACAGTAGTGTGACTTACCATCTCGATATAATCCTTTCCATCGTCCTCCACAGCATCCAAGACCATATCTTGGCCCCTGCCGGCGGCAATTTCCCTCTCTAAATCCTCATTGGCATCCTTCATCTTTGGCAGAAAGGTCGACAGTCGCGATAAAATGTCTGAACCCCTCTCCATACGCTGTATATTTGGTTTGGGCCGCCCGGCGATATTGGATACTGATGGTGCGGGCGCAGGAACAGGGGCATCGTTCTCATCATGCATGGCCTCATCACTGTCTTCTGAGTCTTCACCTTCGCTTTCACTTTCTGAGGATGAGGAGCCGGAGGACGAGGTTGGATCGTCGTCCGAAGACAGCGCCCTCCGTTCGTGGCGATCTTCGGTTGCATTGGAGGCTGTTGCTCTCATTTTGAGGGTGTATTATGGGACCTTCGTAAAGATGCCCCTTTTGTTCCTTCCAATATCCTTTCAGTACGTTTTGCTCGGCAGTCCAAAGTGGCGCGGTGGGAGACCGGGTGTTCGTCCGCAAGTCGGTGGTGTGACGCGTGGATGGTTAATCACGGGAAGTTCAAGGAGTAAGGTATGAGGGTATTGGCGCCTCTTGGAAGGTATTAAGTGCAAAATCACTGTCGGTTGACGTCTGGAAGGTTGTGCTAAAAAGTTCGAGTCGCGGTCTGGCGATTCAACTTTTTGGGTGGAGCAGGGCCCGATAACGATAACGCTGTCTAAATCGAGAGCACGCACGGGAATCCTATCATTGGACGAGGCCCATTCTTGGCGTAAGTGGGTCTATTGATGTAGAGAATTATAACATACTAGCACTTGCCTTCGTATCCTAATATTATTGCTCATGATATTCTCATCATCACCCAACTTTTCATGTCGATTCCTGGGTTTCTTATCGCCCGTTTCTACATCTCTCCCATTCTTTCGATGGTCAAAACCCCTCGCTGGCGAGCAGTTTCCCAGTAAAGGTACAAAACTATAAGTTTATATAATATTCCCACAAAGTGGCAGTTTCGCATTCCACTCCTCTATTAAGGCATATTTAATATTACAGAATTTAAGAGATCACCCTAGTACCGGCCTCCTCGGCACTAGGCCTTGACTTTGTGAAGGTTACCGGCTTCGGCTTCTTCTGCGGCTGCGACTTCTCCTCCGACTAGGACTTCTCCGTCGACTACGGCTTCTTCGTCGACTGCGACTGCGGCGCCGAGTCCGGCGGTCATCTGTGTCTTTGGCGAGTTCCGTTGTGGCCGTTACATCAGCCTCAGCTTCCTTGCCCGCCTCTCGAGCGGAATCCTTCTGACGTTCGGACCCGGGGATGTAACGGTCGATCTCGCCCATAGCTCGTTCTCGCTCTTGGGAACGGACTCGCCGTCTAGGTGACCTACTACGAGTGCTAGTCAAAGGCACATATCGGTCGATATCCAGAGAGCCGGGGGAAGCGCGTCGTGGACGTGAGGGGCGACGAGACCGTGACCTTCGCCGCGCATTTGACCTAGAACGAGATCGTCGTCTAGGAGCAGCCGATCGAGAGCGTGAACGTTGGCGCTCCCGACTGCGATGCCGGTGACGAGACCGCGAGCGTGAGCGTCGACGAGAGGGAGACCGAGAGTGCCGTGCTCGGCGGGGCCGATAGTCATCTCCACCACGATCCCGGTCTCGACTTCTATCACGGCTGCGATCAAGGCGGCGCCGGTCGTAATCTCGATCACGAGACCTGGACCTTGGTCGGTCACGATCTCGAACTCTTTCTCTGTCCCTGTCCACACTGCGTTCTCTTTCGCGGTCGCGATCGCGATCTCTATCTCGGGCTCCTCTGGCGGCTGATCGGCTGCGACTGCGACGAGCGGGTCGATAGCTTCGCTCCTCACGAAAGTCACGGAAGTCGCGGTAGCCACGGCGCTCCTCCATCTCGCGATCTCGAGATCTGACAGAGACATCCCGAGAGCGATCGCGGCGACGATCTGCGTCATAACGAGATGCTTGTCGTCGGCGAGAGCGGCTGCCGCTGCGGCTTCGGCTTCGGTCTCTGGTGGGGTGTCGAGTACGAGCCACTGTGGAATCTCCCCGTCTGGAGTCCCGAGATGGACTGGGAGCTCTGGTGGACGCGTTGGAAGTCTTGGCTGGTGCAGAAGTGGAAGGCGGTTTAAGGCCATTTTCAATAGCTTCAGCCTCCTCAAAATCGAATTCGGGCTTTTGGCGCGCCTTGGCAGCAAGCTCTTCGCCTTCTTTCAAGAGCATTTGTAAAGCAGCCTCCTCCAACGACTTTTCATCCACGGGAGGGGCCGGTGCAGGGGTCGGGTCTTTAGATGGAATGGACTTCTCTCCTTTGGGGTCCCGACTGCGCGGGGACAAGCCTCGGTCGGAGCGATGAGCCGGGGAGCGATCACGGAAACGGTCACGATCCCAGTCGCGATGCCGATCTCGATCTTCTCGCCTTCGTCGCTCATACCTTTCCTCCCGCTCCCGCTCTCGTTGCTCGTCGAGTACCCGTTGTTCTTCGCGCATGCGGTCACGTTCGGCCCGCCGTTTATCGTCGATCTCTTTCCTCCTGGCTCTCTCTTCGTCTTCCTTCTGCCGCTCCAGCTCACGTTTCTTCCGCTGTTCTTCGTCCTTAATGCGCTTCTGTTCTTCTTCGAGTTCTTTTTGTCTGCGTATTTCTTCGCGCCAGACCTTGTCCCGCTCGTCTCGTTTTACTTTGACATGGGCTGCGTAATCCTCATCCGTCTTATTCCCAGCTGCTTCTTCTTTGAGAGCTGCCTCTGTACCGATCTCTTCGCGGCGGATCGCACGAACTGAATCCATGATATGCTGGAGATGCTTCGATGCTAGTTGATCAATGGAATCCTCGACGTTCTTGTAGACATCACTTCGATCGACAGCGCCTTCGATTAATGTTGCGGCTTTTCCTCTTTCGCGCGAAAGATGTGCTGGTTCGCGCTCGATCTCCGATTCCGCCAATGCGATCAATTGGTTCGTGAAATTGGTCTTGGAATCCTGTACAGGTGTATTAGAACTCCGAGAATGGAAGACAGATGAGAAGCGCAGATGACTTCAGATAGAGTGAAAGATACCCCATCATTAAACTCAGCCCATATTTGCTTCCGGATGCTGTCGAATCCGCCTTTCTTCTTGAAGGAGTGCAGGAGTTTGTCGATTGCCGCATGCTGCGAAGCAGAAATCGGGAGATCCTCGGCCTTGAACTTCTTGCGCTTCAAGGAGTCCATGTCGACCAAGCGTCTCTTTGCGCCCATCTGCACGTCCTCCATGGCCTCGTTGGTGGCCATCGTGGGCTGACAGTGCAATGACAGGGACGAGAAGAAAGTCGCGTGAAGACGATAAGCGATAGCACGGGGATGCCCGGATGAAGGTTGTTCCGTGCTTAGAACTGCGGGTTGCTGATTTGCTTCAACCTCCTGCCGCCCGAATGCGACTTCACGACCCGTCCGACCCATCAATTCCGACAGCGGGCGACGCTTTAGTGTGACAGCGCGGACCTACCACCTCTACTGTCTGTGTCCGATCTTGTCGACGAATTGAACTTCTCCTATCCGCCCACGTCCGACCCGCGATCATGGTCCACAAAGTCCTCTTCTGGAGCGGCTTCGGTGCGTGATACACCCCCCTCAACCACCTTATAACCACCTCCCTTGCTGCCAATGCTATACGGGATCATACCATGTGGCTACCCGGATGCTTCTGCAAGGCCATAGAACTAACATCGTCATGCTTCAACAGGCATTGCTGTCCGCCTTTGGCAACTCGGAATCGAGATGCGTCCCATCCTCGCCAAGGAGTCCCTCTGGGTGTACCCTCTTTTCGCCGGTGTTGGTGGCAGCTTCGGCTACTGGATGCAGGGTGTTGAGAACCGTCAACTCAAGATGCTCGCTCAGCGACGAGAGGCGATCCTCGAGAAGCGCCGACGACGAGATGAGCGCGAAGGAATTAGCAAGGCTGAGGAGGGTGCTGTTCTGGCCACCGCCTCATAAGCGGCTGGTCTGCGTCCAATGGGGTGAATAGCGGAGGGAAGAGCATTGCGTGTGTATTTCTTTTATTCTTGACATGTACCAAAATTCCACGGTTTGATATCGGCATCCAATCGCGGAAGTCTTCGCGTGTGATGAAGATCCGGCAGCGTTCTGCGCTGTAGAATATGAATTAAACTTTCATCAACTGCTTCCAAAAATTTCCTTCCGTCCTTTGGTAAATGCGGGGTTTCATAAACCATGTAATTTCTTCTCCTTCTCTACTACCAGCTTGGATATGAGTCTACCGATCAAGGATAGATATCTAGATATGGATTGTACAGGGGTGTTATAGATGCGATTTCACCTATGTAATTCAACAGATAGCGGGCTAGGTCCGTTCGATCGTAAATTGGAGGGAGACCTCCCACCTCTGCCCACCAGTACCATAACCCCCGCCAAGTCGGTTCCGAATCAAGCTGGATATCTTTTCTCTCAGACGAGATATCGTGTCCTCACTTCCACCAACACGTACTTTCAGGTTCGCCATGCAAAGCCCATAATGGACCTGCCAGAACCGCGCGTCATCAACACCAAAGACAGCTGGGTCTGCTTCGATGTCCTTGATGACTTCGGTCACGCCTGGGCCTGAGTAGGACATGAGAAGCATTGAGCCCAAAGTTTTCACCAACCGCACCCCAAGAACGCACATGGAAATGGCAATGGTACCAGAGAGGACCTTGTCCAGCCAGTCATAAATCCGAATTGACACCAACGGCAGCAAGAGCAGGAGGGCAGAGCATGAAAGGGTCAGGAAATGAGATGGGTTGCTCAAAAGCGACGGAAGAGATTCAATGTAGGCAAACCGCATGGCCTTTCCAATTCGTGCATGGTTCTTGAGGCCAATTGCAGACACGAGCGTCGAGGAAATGGCAAGGACGGCCGTGACGTCGACGCTGCCCAGAGAAACCCCGTCATGGTCATGGACGTGGTGGGGCTCATGACCGGACTTCTCCAGGAAGTGTTGCAGGTTATGGGAGATCAAGTCCAGGCCCATGAACAGAAGCAGGACACACATGGCAAAGCCAGCAAGCACCTCGGTCCGCTCCAACCCAAATGGGTGGCGAATACTAGATCTCTTCCATACTTCAAAGTTCCCAAGAACATCTACGGCCACACAAAGAAGCGCTCCAAGTGAGTCGAAGAGTATCAAGTGGGACAATGCTGTCATGGCTAACGACCCATGCGCGGTCCAGAGTGTATATGCAGCCACGAACATGTGGCACACACTCCACCAAAACCGTGTTTTCTGATCCTTAGACATGCTAGCTCGACATTCCTTCAATGTTGGGATGGGCAGAGAGTTGGGCAGAGCTAAGGGAGCACGCGGAGGAGGTTCGAGGAAGATCTGATGGGAAATACTGCTGTGCTTGTACTTGTGGCCACGGCGTTGTCCAATGTTCTACCAAGCCGAATATGTCATTAGCGCATGCAATGTACTTGTGAGCTCATTAGACCGTACCGATTTGACCACCGGGCCCTTCGCCATTACAGTTGTATTGAAATTGAACGGCCCCGCGGCAGCAGAGTCATTATGTTCCGGTATCACAGTGTCGGCTGGTCCGGGGCTCAAATTGAAGGAGGATTTGGTCGGGCTCAAGCGATCTTGGCTTCCAGGATCTAGCGAAATGCTCCGAGGAAACGTATCTCGCAGTGGCGACAAGGCATCGCGGTCGATTGCGACTCCTGGGTTGGCCTGCGGCGCATGATGATCTCTCGCATCGTCCGCGGGCGGAGTCGGGGTACGCGGGGGGATAGGGAGAGGAAGATTCGAAGCCATCGCAGCGGCCTTGCGAACTTACTTCCGCCGAGAGGGTGAACAAGCGGAGTCAAGTCGCATGAAGCTCCGGGGAAAAGGAGATAGCGGAGGCGACAGCAGCCTGGGAAACTAGGTGTCACTTGGCAAGCGGAAAGGGCGGGGAACGCGGGCCCCGACCGCATGTCAAGTACATCATTCACTCCGATAGACGCCCGGCACACTACCACCCTCGTCATCCATTGTTTTCCAGCCCTGTTGGTATCGCGGTACTTCAAGCTGCAATCGTGCTTTGATCATTCCCGTCCCCCGCGATGCTCAGCGGCCAGTTTTGAGGAAGAGTCCGATGCCGACATCCCGTGGCATTGATGGATAACCGTCGTTCTTTTTTCTTCCTCCTGTTGGTCTTTTACCTACTTTTGAGCTCTCAGTCACATCCTCCGTTGATCGATGAAGATCTCCAGCATCAGCGTGAGCTCGATCGAGAGCGGCATGCGTTCCGACTGTTGAACGAGTCGCGGTATGGCGACTTCAATCCTTCGGCGGATCGATGGCTGCCATTTGCAGGAGTACGGAAGAATGACACCTATGCCTGGGATCTTTTCCCACATGTCCAAGGACGTGTCCGACATCAGTTGCAATCCGTCCTCTCGGATGCCGGGCTTCAACCTCCGATCGGACTGGATGACGCTAATGCATCGTCGCCACTGGATCTAACCAAGCTCGTCCTCCCGGTATATCGTAATGTTACCGGGAAACTACAAGGAGACTGGGTACGGAAGACAGATGTGCAACGCCAGGTGCCTCTCAATACGACCGCTATCGTCCACGAGCACGAATACTTCACCCACGATTTCAGCTCGAACATTACGGGAAACAGAGGCACTTTCCATCTCGATATAGAAGAAGGTGGCGGGGAGGAGCTTCGATATGGAGAAGGACTCGTCCGCGAGATACGGGCCAGCCTGACGGTTGAGAGCGAGGATTTCTGGGGTAGCAGCTGGTACTTCTCGTTGTTCGGTGTTCATTTTCCAGAAATCGGAGGGATTCTCTTGAGTACCTCGAGCGAGAAGTTTGACGGGATTTTTTCTTTGCCGCACTTCACACTATCTCCTGATACTTATGAGCTGTCCCGCAGACTTCTCCTCAAGTCGCTTTCAGACACCGTGTCAGAGAAGCAGGATCGGCCCCCGAGTCTATTCCCGTGGTCCTCGTTGGCAGGAACTGAGCAGATCGAATTTCCGGCGCCAAAATGCGAGCTCGTTATCTTCCTCCAGCAACATCCGGTCATGATTGATGACACTCTCGCGGATCGATTGCTGTTGGAGCGAATGGAACAGGAGCTCAGGTATCCAATGGGAGCACCCATTCCGGATCCTCCCCTCATGGTCATGTCAGCAGTCGTCTTTTCACCCGACTGTGGGTATCTACTCGAGACCAAAGGAACCCCAGAATTCCCACCCTCTGATTCACTATATCTATCTGGGCCGAAATATGAGGAGTATAATAAGTATGCTGCTCGTCTCATCTTCGTTGTTTCTGCCGTGTTTGTGGGGCAGATTGCCCTTCTTCTCCGGCAGATCAAAGAGGCATCGACTCCCTCCACGAGGAGCCGGGTCAGTTTCTATACCATTGCATTGATGGCGCTTGGGGATGCATTCGTTCTTACGTTCATTGCGATGGAGCTATATGCCGCTGTGTCATTCTTGGTTCTGGCAACTGCTTTGTTTCTAGCATTTCTCTCTGTCAGCTACATTGGTATGACATTCATGATGGAGATCTGGGCTGTGCAGGAGCCAGAGAGACGTGAAGAGCGACCGGTCGATCCGCCGGCACCCATAACCCGCCCAGGCACACTTCCCTTGCCAGCAACTGCTGCAGTCAGAGATTCTGGTGCCACGCCAATCATTTTGACTCCGGATCAAGACCCCCCTGACGACGACTTGGAGCCACCGCCCACCAACAACCGTACGACTGCGCCTACGGCAAGACAGCTTCGCACAGATGTGGGTTCCATGTATGCGCGTTTCTACCTCGCGTTATCTGGAATACTTATACTGTCTCTCTGGGCTCTCCTCATCCTACCCAGAAGGCTGGGAGGAATTTATGCGCGCCTCCTGGCGGCGGTCTATCTGTCATTCTGGATCCCGCAGATCTACCGCAACGTCATGCGAAATTGTCGTAAAGCGCTTAGGTGGGATTTTGTCATTGGTCAGAGTATCCTGCGACTATTCCCGTTCATGTATTTCCTTACAGCGCGTGGAAACGTGTTGTTTATTCGCACAGACTGGACAACCGCTTTCGTTTTGGCCGGATGGGTATGGATTCAAGCCTGGTTCTTGGCTAGCCAGGATATATTGGGCCCGCGGTTCTTCGTTCCTCGGGGCTGGGCACCCCCTGCCTACGACTATCACCCAACTTTGCGGGATACCCCTGGACCCGATGAAGACCTTGAAGCTGGAGGTGTTTTGTCGATCGCATCGCTTCGAGCTGATGAGCGTGATCTCGTGACAGACTCGAAAGACGATGACAAGCACAGATCTAAGGATCGCAAAAGAGTTATATTTGACTGTGCCATCTGTATGCAAGATATCGAGGTTCCCGTTCTTCCCGCGCCTACTTCCGCAGGCGGAAGTAGCGTTACTGAGGGGGCCTCGAGTATCTTGAGCCGCCGGACATACATGGTTACTCCTTGTCGGCACATCTTCCACACTGCTTGTTTGGAGAGCTGGATGAGGCTCCGCCTCCAGTGCCCGATCTGTCGCGAATCCATTCCCCCTGTATAGATATCGGCTTAATTTTGTGGATATACATTTTGTACATGTGCTTTGGTACGTGTGAAGATCCATGGATTTCCTGAGCTGCTACGGGTGCGCTGGTTAGTCCATACCTACAGAATAGGTACCTAGTTAATAAATATTTCGAGCCTTTTGCGTTGATTTTGATCCATAAATTTTTCTAATATCTGTACTGTAACCACACAAGAAACATCCAACCAGTTATCAACGCATTGACCTCAGTAATATACATATTTAAAGGAAAATCAGAAACAGTCTAGTGAAAGAATAGCGCCAAATATTTCTGCTTCATGGCTGGCCAGTCGAGGCCGTGGAGGGCCCCACACATCTAGAGGTATGGATTTGTTGAAGAAATTTTGTCTCTGTTAGACAAAGTATATAATATAACATCGCAGGATAACATAAGAAAAGGTCTTGCCGCGACCATTCGCCTCAATTCTAATCCCACCTATCACAAACTTATCGCTACACACCCAGTATTTAATGGTCGAGGGTCTCGTTATAGGCTGCCTCATCCAGCAGAGCATCCAGCTCAGCGACATCGGCAACCTCAATCTCAGCAATCCAGCCATCGCCCTCAGCGCTGGCGTTGATGGTCTTAGCATCGTCCTCCAGGACGGCGTTACCCCGGATGACCTTGCCGGCCACGGGGGACAGCACATCCGAAGCAGACTTGACGGACTCGACAGCGCCGACAGGCTCACCGGCACCGACCTCGAGATCGGCCTCCGGGAGTTCAACGAAGACGACGTCACCCAGAGAGTTGGCGGCGTACTTGGTGATACCAATCTTGGCTGTATAGTTCCGTTAATGAAACGACTCATCTGTGCAATCGACAGCCCAATTTGCCGTCATATAAATTGACTAACCGATGTTGCTGCCGTCGGCAAGCTCAATCCATTCGTGCGACTCGGTGTACTTCTTCACCTGAGCTGTGAGAGACAATTGATGACGTCGTTAGCAATCTGTCGCAAAAAGAAGCTCAATCAGGTATGCAGAATGGGTCTACACGGCCAATTCGCCTCTATGAAGGCCCCGATGGCTTCTGTGGCCAACTCAAAGGTCAAGATAACTCACCCAGTGGGCTCTGCGAGAAGCTCCGGGTTCCCCGCGGGAAGCGGAAAGCAGGCGCAGCGCCGAGGGAGGGGGCAAGAGGCCTCTGGGCGAGGGCCCGGAAAGCAGAGGGACGGATAGAGCGAGCAACAGCGGCCATTTTAAAAGCGGAGAGGGGTAATTGAATGGACAGGAAGAAGTGGGAGGAGGTAAGAGTTTAAGAATGAAAGGAAAGAGGTGTGCTTCCCCGGCGGAGTTGCGACGCCGCTGATAAGGAAGCGCCAAGACCGCTGATAAGCCCTGGCACCTCCGACCTCGTCGGATTTTGCGCGACGCAGGTCCCTCGTCCCTTTCCGTCATTTTTCATCGGGTCTGCGCGCCACCACTCGATGCAATGCTGTACGAGCTGATTGCCATTGTATGTGACTACTATTCATCCATTTCAATCATGTTATCTGAGCCGAAAACTAATCCGCATCCTTCTCTCACAGGTCCGCCCGGGCAGCCTCAACGAGGTTCGCGAGTATGTTCCACCATAACGACAGAATGAGCGCGACATCTCTTTCGGATCGGTAGCTTATTATGTGAATTAGGATTGCCCGTAACGCCGGTGCCCAAGTCATCCGCTCCGGCGGCGTCGTTCGCGGCTTCACCAACTGGGGCGCCTTCCGCCTGCCTAAAGTCACCACCAAGCACCAGGCCCGATACAGCGAAGGTCACCACTTCATCATGCGATTCGATGCCTCCGGCCCCGTTCAAGCATCCGTCCGCCGCACTCTCGGACTCGACCCGCGTATGATCAATTTCTCCGTCGTCAAGCTAGGCGACAAGCTCGAGGAGATCAAGGATATCGAGGGCAAGGTCGAATGGAACAAGACCCGCAGCATCGCTGATTCCATCTAAGTGGCGCATGACACTGCGGCAAGTATTATCTTCCTTTGGGGCAGTTGTGATAAGACCTTGGGATTTGGAGATCGGTCTCCAGCGTCCTCTTTCTTTCTTCTTGTATCATTATGGCGTGGGATTTAGGCATAACCACTCAGCACTGTCAGCACGATTGGCGCATCTTGTATAAAATTACAATCTGATTTCACGTTCTTCCAATCCATGATTATCCTCCAAAAGGCCTCGGTTTGTCCAATTACCTCGCGTTTGACCTGGTAGGAGATGACGATGACACGTGACTACCCCGTGGAAGCCGAGGCTCCCTCTTGCCGAAACCTAGCTTTCCAGCTAGTAATTCAATCTTCAACTCTCTCCACGCCGAATATTCCAATTGTCTGGCCACATCTGGCCTGATATTAGAACCAGGTACGGCAGGAACCTCTTTGTGGCAGGCAAGCCCTTCCCCAGTTCTTGTACTTACAGGGTTTCGGCTTGATTATCAATCACGTTGCCCGTCACCCAGGGGAAAGCAAACGATATAGGTCCGCGACTCTTTTGTGAATACGCGAATATAGACCAGATTTTAAACAAGCCTGTTTGCGTGATTTCCATCATGTCATCTGCAGGGGGTACAGATGGCGACTGGGAGGAGTTGACTTCCCCGCTTTCCTTTGTGGAGCTGATGGCCCTAAAACGCCTAGGGGATACAGAGAAGTCGCATGCCAGCATCAACGAGCCAGAGAGAATTGAGCGATTCCGGTCATTGGCTGCGCCTTTTCCTCCTGGCGAAGGGAATCGTTCATTTGGTGGACATGTATACGCTCAGTCCGCATATGCGGCATCCAAAACTGTCGGTACAGGGTTTGTGGTCCATGTGAGTTATTCCGCGGTCCATAGCCTAGGGAGTGAAGACGAATTATATCCATAATTTTGATACTAAAGGAGCTAACTCTGTGCCCGGCAGAACATGACGGGTACATTTATTCGCGGCGGACGGCTAGATATCCCGTATGTGTATACTGTCCGGCATGTTCGTGATGGGTTTATGTATTGCACCCGAGCAGTCGATGCTCGGCAAGATGGAAAGATCTGCTTCTCGTGTCTATGCTCATTCAAGCGGCATGAGAGTCAAGAAAGCTTCCATCACCAACCCCCGCCCCGCAAGGACGGTATCAGGAAATCCTTTCCGGAAAACGGCCGGAAGACCAACCTGTTAGCCCTAGTGTCGATGCAGATTGGTGGATCGAGACCGTCCAGCGGGAAGGCATCGACGAGCGGGAGTTTCCTGGGCTTGATGTGCGAAAAGTCGATATGAAAGACTATAACCAGTCTAAATCGATCCGAGAGCAACCGGAGAAATATCGCCAATTGACGCAGTACCGCCTAAAGGGTCTACCGGACGAAGACCCCAAAGCAACTTCCGCCCAGATCAGAGAGAGGGAGGCTAGAGGAGAATACGACAATCTTTATGCCTGCGCACACATGTACTCGAGTGACAAGAACTCTCTTCTTTTGATCCCGCGGGCTCTTGGCATCAAATACTGGGCCGAGATGTCTAGTCTTACTTTGACCGTTATTATCCATCAGCATGGGGAGGCACTACGAATGATCGATTGGGATGCCATGCCAGGCGACAAAACCTCTCTTGTGCCAATGAAGTGGTTTATCCAGGAGGGCTGGACTCCGCAATCTGCGGAGAGCAGGGCCGTGCATGAAAGTCATTTGTGGAGTCCAGATGGCACACTGATTGCCACATCTTTGCAGGACAGCCTGCTCCGATTACGAAAGGCTGAGCGCTCGGGGAATCTATGAACTTGCGTTTGATTGTGCAGAATAGCCATTTTCCAGCATGGATGGCAACATCGGAAGAAACTGTTGAGGTGGATGAATGGTGATGTATTGGAATCTACCGAAGAACTTAACTAAAGAGGGCCGATTCAGCTGACCAAGCCGCCGGGCTGAATAGGAAGGGGCGCCGGTTATAATGACCAGGCCGCTGGGCAAGGATGGTCACGCTGGGAAGGCAACAATAGATACAGATTAGAGATTGGTTACCTGCCATATTTGTGTCCGGCGAATGCTTTTGATTCCTCCGATGGTTAGGTTGCTGTCTATTCTATCCCTTTCGCGCTATTGGAATATTCTTCACCTAGCCTAGGGCTTACTAGCTACCGGAGACTACATTTACGCATTATATTTCCACATTAGACAACAAGGATATATATTTTGACCACGTTGCTTCCAAGATACCTGTTCCAAAATTTATCCAGAATTATAATAGAAAGTATTATTTCGCTAGGTATACCATAGGTGGTAGCCACTAAAAGCCATTGACAAGAGAGGTATATGTAGAAGCTTCTATAGATAAGGTCTTACGCGAAATTGAGTCCGAGGAGAACTATACCTTGATTGAAGATTGAGCTCTTGAATTTTTGAGTTGCCAAATTCATAAAATACGGTTGTGTAGTGTAATGGTTCATCACTCCAGATTCTGATTCTGGCAATCCCGGTTCGATCCCGGGCACGACCTTATCTTTTTGCGTTTCGCGGGTATATTTCGTCACTTTCGGTTGACCTTTTGTTTTAGATAATAACGAAGAAAAGTCCTTCAGCTGTATATTGACACATAAGCTACGTATCATATCCTGATAGGCGAATGCATATAGTACTATAAGAGCGATTTCCATGTTCGGAACATCTATAATCCGCAAACATTAGGGCCGTAGCCGAGCTGAACTAGCAAAAAAGTGGAGAATAATGTGGACTTTCAGCCAACATATCATTTCACCATAGTAAAAAATAGCAGCAAAAAACGCATAACGCAAAAGGTCGTGCCCGGGATCGAACCGGGATTGCCAGAATCAGAATCTGGAGTGATGAACCATTACACTACACAACCTATTGATGGTCTGAGCGGGAACAGTAGCATTTTAGAATCACAGACGGGAACTTGTGAGATCAATGCGGAATACTAGGCAGTTTGCCACCAGCGGTAAATCGTGACTATGTAGCAACAGCTCGAGATAGGATGTGATGAAGTTTAAATCAATAGATTTGAAATCTATTGGATTGTGATCGAACTCTAGTCCAGTAGAACGTATCGCAACCGGATAGATTTGACTTCGAACTCTAGTAAAATACAACCACAGATTCAATATCTGCATATTTTTATATCGAATCGAAGTAGTCGATGATACCACCAAGAGTCCCTGGAAAGGGGTCTAGACTTTGAGCTTAGAACTTATACTTGGCTGCGCCATAAAGTCTCCACTCCTCGGACCTACCGAAGAGCGACATGCAACACCATGGTGCTAACCACGGGAATAGTGACAGCACAGAGGATGCTGATATACACAGTCGGCAGGGCGGTTCTTAGTCATGGTCCCGGGATAAGGATGCAGTTCGTTGACTATATGCCAGTTATTACCAGGGCATCCCCAGGCTAAAATTACCCTGATGACTTGCCAAAAACAGGATTGGATAGAAAGAGTCAGCAGGCAAGGATAATAATTCCGAAACTAGCTTTAGATTACCACTATGGTTGTTATGGGAACATGCATGTAAATTTAAAAAACAACCTAGTCCATCATAGAAATGAGTCCATATCAAAGAGGCGCCACAGGGCTTACGTATTTACTGTACATGAAATTTTGCTCCCACTGATTGTTTCGACGAGAAAAATAAGGCATCAATGTGACAGGTGTGACTTGCTACAGTTTTGGCATTTTGCTCTTTCCACAGATCCGATTCTCCTTTGCGGTGCACCTGACCACCGCCCCCCGAGGACTCAAGAGTGACTGTTCCTGTCTGGAGAACCAGGATACAAGTCACATGTTACTCACCTTTCAGGTACATCCACTGCTTTCCCATCACTTCCTATGTCAACACGGCAACCTTCCCCAGCGCCTGCTCTCCAAGATTCAAACATACCCTGAACTTGCTTTCCCAGTGCCATTGGTTTCGAACCTTCATGATGTTTCGACTCTTCGGAAATCTATGGCTAGATGATCCACCAGACAGTGTGTTGACGGCACTCGATGGTGCTTTACCACTTATCCGAAACTTGCAACAGAATATTACCCACGGTAAGCACGCTTGAGATTTCCGAAAACAACACAAACCAGGATTAACAACAAATTAGGGATGCACCGATCTTCTAACTGGTCTATGGATGCCGCATTCAAGTGTTACCGGGAGGAAGAATATGCGTGGTGGAAGTTACACAACGTTGAGCGATCTCGCAAATACCTTGTCCACCCATCCGGCCGTCTTGATGCCACAGTTGCATGTCACCTTTTCAATCCAACGTTTGAAATCGACGAACCTTGTGACGGCGAGATAGATGACCCTTCGAATCCGTGTATAGCACAGCTTCACGACGTTGGCCTTTCGGCCGGTAACTGTCTGATATTCGACCATTCAGCTCGAAGAGAGGACAGCAGACATTGCAAGATGCTCTATCCACCGGATCTCTGGGATATCCATGAAGCATTCGTGTTCGCCCTCCGGTCCAATATTGAAGCGGTAGTGGAAATTTGCTGGGGGGCGAATGTACGCGAGCGAATGCTTAGGCGCCTACAGAATAATATGTGCACTCTACCTTTGTGGGGTCGTTACGAAGGTGTCACCCTGTACCTAGAGCTTGGCGAGGACAAAACTTCTGTTCGACGTTTTATCATATTTGTCAACCACCCGCAATTTTTCATGTTCCTGAAAGGAACAAATGTTCGGGCCCAGGCGTTCAGAACAGAGCAAGGAGGGAGACAGGATCTAATGCTAGAGGTGGCTTCTTGCCTAGGCAACATTGTCATCAATGCAGGCTTTTACAAGCTTAGCCCTCTACTCCTTCGACCATTTCGGCCAACAAAAGCGATCCGGGAGCAAAGAGACACATTAAAAGGCCAAGCATACGCCGAGCTCAAAGCTGCTTTCCCAGGGGCGACACTCATTTCCTCGGTTAAGGGTACACTTAGTCTCTCTCAAAAAGACCACAATGAGCTACAGGGGACCAAATTGCCCGTGATTGAACATATTTTGAAGGAACACAAGATCGTGACCAAGGACAATATTGCAAATGACAAGGCTCTGGTATGATAAAATTTCTTGATTGTCAAAGTTACTGGTAGTGTTTCTTCTAACATTGCACAGGAAGAGATTCGTCTTCAAAATGTTGCCCGCTTTTGGGGAGAGCTGCATGATGTAGCTGTTATGTTCATGCCTGATGCATCTTTCAACTTTGCAAAGAAGCTCGAATGCCAGCAGCTGATCAACACCATCGAAGCATCCGAGGGAGAGCTTTATCACTGGGAAGAGCTTCCAGCCAGCCTAGCTGGGTTGATTCAGTCCCAAGACGGACTCCGAATTGACCAGCACCCAATAGGCTCACGCAAAGAAGCCGAGACAGCTTATCGCCTTCTTCATTGTAACGGAAGTCCAGAAACATTTAGCATCGTTGGACTTGCCTTCGCTATCCTGATTACATACGCTTGGAGCATCTGTCGTACACCAAGAGATGCAATCAATGACTTGATGGTTCTCAGAGCATCATCAAAAGGCATTGTTCCTCGGGTATGCTCTTCCTGTAACGGAAGAGTACTAGACGACCCTTTCGCGTATTATGCTAAAAACAACGTGGATTACTATGTCGTCAAAAGCTCTCAGACAGGCTGTGGGCTCATTGACTGCACGGGACGTCGTGTTCTTCTTCATCCTTTGGACAGATCTCAAAGTTACGTGCGTGCACTGAAAAAGAACCTGGAAAATATCCCCAATTTCCGTACCCGCGGGGGTGCTGAATGGGAACAATATTTTCTTCGCCGTGGTCAAGCTGAGCTTGGAGAGATCCCTCGGACAGTTGAGCTCAAATGTCCACGCGAAGGGTGCACAGGTATTCTAGAGGACGATGCTCCAAGGTGGACTATTCATTCAGTTCCGACAGTTGTGCTTCGCCAATTTACATGCCCAGATTGTCAGCGCAAAGGCGACTGGAAGCCCGTGAATACCGCGATCAAGTACATCACCAGTGAAACCCTTAGCCGCACCTGGGGCCGGTTTAAGAAGAAAGGATGCGATCTAGCACAGTACCCGCGACTGGCAGATGTTTACTTTGCCCAGGGTCACATAACTATTCGAATTGCTCAGCTCAAGGAGGCCAAGAGGCTTGCAGATGAAAGTAACGCAAATTAGCCAGCCACAGACAAATGCCTTCTCAGCATGCTCGCCCTTGTTCTTTCTTATTGCGATCCCTAGAAAGCATTCCAATGGAGTTTTCATTGTTTGAAAAAGAAACAAAAGAGCAAATTCTGAGCTGTAGATTGAATTTACAAAAATGCAAAAAAGAAAGGTCGTGCCCGGGATCGAACCGGGATTGCCAGAATCAGAATCTGGAGTGATGAACCATTACACTACACAACCGTGGGTGTGGAATGCGACAGGAATTCAGGATATATGTGCCAGAGGTCCTAGTATACCATGAATTTAGAAAAGGCAGAGTGCTCTTTTATTTTAAGCAAAAAAACATTCGGAGGATAATAAAATAAATAAGTAATAAGCCGCTATTACCTATGCTTATAAATAGGATCCTTATCTGATTAAGCTTTTTTCTCTTCTAATAAGCGAGGATTTGTTGGTAGCGCTTCAGCGCTATAAATTAGTGGCTGACTGAATCAAGAGAATGGAGAGCATCGCTCTATTTTGGCGTCATTTACGTTCTGAAATCTGTAGCATTAGAAATGAGCATCCTTCGACAAGCACGGTTGTGTAGTGTAATGGTTCATCACTCCAGATTCTGATTCTGGCAATCCCGGTTCGATCCCGGGCACGACCTTTCTTTTTGCATTTTGATTATCTTATCCGTTTGTTTTTATGCATACGTGACACTACATCTAGAGTAGACTGCTCAAGTATTCTGTATGAAATTATTGGTCTGCTTGCTTACAATTGCCCCAACAGAAGAAGAACCGCACAAGTCGACCGAAGCATCTTTTATCTAGACCTATAGGAAACAGCTATCAAGGTAAGGTCCCTTTCACCAGTGCTCCCTCCATACTCTGTTCTTCCCTCAGTATGAACATATTCACAACTTCTAACTCATCTCAGCGGAATGCTTTCCCAATATCTTTTCCCAAAACCCCCTACCTCATCGGTTAGTCTACCTCCAGCGGTTCTACCAAACTCCTTCATTGCGCGACCACCTTTGATTTCACGCCAACCATCGACCGTGTCGCAGCAGCAATCATGAATTCAATCATCTGCGCCGTCCCACTGTCAGTCTACAGCTCCGCTACACTAACAGTGCAACAGTCGCGCCTTTCTTAAGGAAATGACCTGCTGGACCAAACAGACGGCCGCAATTCGACCTGTCTTCTCCTCCCTCCTGGCTACGAGCTATGCCACCTGCTACTTACAGGTTCTCTGTCGACGGACTTGATCATCCAACTCTACATCTCAAAGCCCATCCACAATCTGGTTCCTCAATTTCCGACACTGTACGCAAAATCGGCTCCAGCGGTTTGGCGGTAAAAATATGTATATCCTAAAAGACACAGGTGGGGTGGTAGAGATGGCGGGCTGGCGGTGTAAGCGGGAAGCACGGTACCGTCCACGTGATGGCATGACGTAAGGCTTAAGCTTTTGGCATCGCGGTAGAATCGCATCGTGTTCGCGTTTTGATCGCACCTCTCAAAGCGGTTGTGCCTGATACCTCTACCATGATGGTTTATGCTAACCTGTGATCTGAAAATGCACAAAACACTTCTCCTGGTATTTATCCATGGATTCAAGGTATGTACGAAAATCATCTTGCTGACTCCTCCCCCGCAAAACAATGACGCTATCCCCACAATCATCGGCGCTTTCGTGGACGGATGCCTTGTCAGCCTAGACTCACGCTGACTTATCAACCCAATTTTTCTAGGGAGGAGATGATACCTTCGGTAGCTTTCCTGAGAATCTACGGACCGTAGTGAGCAAGGCGCTCCCGGCGGTTAACGTTACAACGGCCGTGTACCCCAGATATGAGACCAAGGGCGATTTGAAGGAATGCGTGGGAAGATTCCGCGACTGGTAAGACAGCCGCCCAAAATCCTTATGGATTTCTGAGCCGAGGCTAATCGTTGGTTTGGTGCAGGCTGCAAAACACTGTCATCGACCTCGAGGTTGCGAATCACACGGCCTCGCCCACCGTCGACCCCTCTATCCATGTCTTCCTCATCGGTCACTCAATGGGGGGAATTGTCGCAGCGGAGGCACTTCTACTACTTGCAAGCGAGCAGCCTATTCCTGGGAATCTGACTTCCAACTCCCAATCAGCGCTTCAGAGTGAGGACAATACGCCTGTCGTGGAACCAGGCACATTCATGTTCCCGCACATCCAAGGCGTACTCGCCTTCGACACCCCTTTCTTGGGAATCGCGCCAGGCGTGGTTTCATATGGAGCCGAGGGGCACTATCGCAACGCTACGACTGCCTACAACACCTTCACGGAGGTTGCTGGGATTTTCGGCTACGGAAAGAGCTCACCTGACGAGACTGCGGCTGCTGTCCCCGCGAAAGAAGCCCCTAAGGCTCTACCTTCTACGGCTGATGCAGCGGCGACACCATCCTGGCAGCGCTGGGGTCGATACGCCATGTTTGCAGGAGCCGCCGGGGCCGTTGCTGCCGGCGGTGCCGCGGCCCTCTATTCCCAGCGACAGAACTTGACCGCAGGCTTTTCCTGGGTCTCTTCTCATCTCGAATTTATAGGATGTCTAGCACGAACATCCGAGTTGAGGCAGCGTCTCGAAAAATTAGTCACGGTTCAGGAGGATCGTGGCATCGAATGCGTCAATTTTTACACCTGTCTCGGACAGGGTGCGGCGAATCTCGTCGCGGACACATCAACTGGCAAAACATCCTTCACTCAGAAGATCATTAGGTCAAAAAACAGGACATTCTGCACCCTTCCGCCCGAAGTGGAAAATGATAAGGAGGTGGCGACTTCATCACGAGCTGGGCTCCAATGGAGAAAAGCTGTCAACAACCAGGCCAGTGACGAGGTTCAGGCACATATCAGCATGTTCTTGCGCGAAGGCAATCCCGCATTTTATGATCTTGTCGGCGAAGCTTGCAAGACCTTGGTGACTTCTATCGACAAAGGCTGGTACAGCAGTTCAGCCGGACCAGCGGAGGGGAATGAATCCCGTCAGCAACCCGCAGACGAGGATGACTTCATGGACGCCGACGATGTTGTGGTCGTGCAATGAAACAACCCCGGGGCACACACCACACAGAGTTTACTACTCCACCTTTTTGGGCTGCGGGCGAAATCTCTGACTGGCATCGAAAGTTCAACTCCGTACTACTTTCCCCTGATTGGCGGGCTCCACGTTTAGAATTTTGCCCGCGCCCGTCGCATCAGAAACCCTGCCTATGATGTTATGGTATGTATCGTCCGAGACAGCGATATCCTCCGGTGGAGTCTTTCTGCCAAGATACGCCTGCGAATATCTCGCTCATACGAACCACAGTACTCCTTACTTCAATACGGCCAACTAACCCGGTATCAACCACGATGGTGAGCCGTGTTCTCCAATGACAAACCTGCCAGGTTTGCTCAGACTTACGCTGGTGGGGGCCGTGTCGATCTCCTTGGTTATTCCAGCGTCTCGATGATCCTTTAAGCCTTGATGGCTCAGCTCATTGGCATGCCGTGACGTAAGAGGTCGGTTTCGAGATTTGTGGCGGCTTGTCTTACATCGATAGGAGCGGCCCCCGCCAGTTGCATCATGTATCTTTTAATGTTGCCTCGAGACGAGTTTAACATGCCGGATCGGCTGCATCACCATTCAAAGGATCGCTTACTAGATCGACGCCACGCTCGGTATGTGAAACAACATGCAGAAAACTCTCTCTGAACCGTGACTGTGCGTCCATGCGTACCGAGCCTATTCTGATCTTTCAAAGTGCCGTAATATCAATTCGATGTTTGGAGAAATAGCCTTGTGACCACTAGTGCTGAAGATATTACCCGACGAAGGATCGTTGGAGGCCAAGATACAGTTGCACGTATCAGAACGCTAGATTTTTATCAGTCCAAAGTAGTATGGGCATTGTTATAATCTCGCTCCCATGTTGCAAGTCATCATAATATATATATCCTGTCAAAATGCATTAAAATATCAGGTAACTTCTGGTACTGCGCCAGGTTTAATCAGCCAACACTAATTGTAACAGAGAATGGAAAGGTATCGACATATTCATGGACACATTTATGAATGACAATGGCGAAGCAGCTAGTAGTGATGGTGACCGTACGTCGACTGGCGGTGGTGGTACATGCTGCCAGCGTACTCTGAGTTGGTGTCTTGGTAGACGGTTTGGCGCCGATCCTCTTCGGGCAGCAGTTCTTTCACTTCCCAAGTGTTCGGCTTCACACCCACAGAAAATTCCAGGTCTTCCTTGGTAATGGAATCCCAGAACTAAAGTCTCGTCAGCATCTGGCGTACATCAGTCTCATTTTCAAAGAATCTTACTTTATAGACCATCATCACAGCAAGCAAGTTGCAGAAAGTGGCAAAGAACAAGCCGTCCAGATAGTGTTGCACGTTGTTGCAAATGGTGTCGCTAAAGGCATAGAGAAGTACTTGCCCGATAATGAAGACTAGCAGCCCAAATGAGATGTGACCCAGCGGCCAGCGGTCATCCAACGTGTTGACAACCAGCAACAATTGCATCACGACGTAGATGGCCACGGCGATGGCGTTTAGAACATAGAGCACCACAAACAAACCCACGGTGTTTGTAGGCCCCAATCCACCCCATGACTTGAAGGTCATTAGGGCAATCACAAAGGTCATAGCAAACATGGCCGCGGAGCTGATTCGGATCAGCCACACGGAGAGTGCTGTGCCATCTTCGTACAACTGGAAACCCACGAAACCGTTGACAAGCAAACAAGCGCATAGGGCTGATACCAGCCCACTCTGAACCGCGACGAAATACGGGAATGGACCGCTCCTGGGAGGAACCACACCCGCATCGATGATGAGTGAGCAGATCGTGAGAGCCAAGAAGATATAGAAGAAGGTAATGATTTCCTTGCGACCTAAGAGTATGCAATGCAGGTTAGCGCGGTCCTGTGTATAAATCCATCCCTCGCAGTAGCGTAAGACGCACCGACAGCCGTGAACTTGGACCTGATATGCAGGATCATGATCACGGTCATAGCAAGCGCAATGATGTGCATAAAAGAGGCGGCGCCCTCGAAGATGATAGTATTCGCAACCTCAATGTTTCGCGCATAGCAGTTCGAGATGATGCCTGTGGAACCGGAGATCGACGACGCGGAGCCCACTAGGGAGCACAGCGGCATCGGCACCTTCTCGCATATCGAATTGAAGTCACCAAATCCCATGATGCCGGATGATGAGGGTTGTGGAGAGGTGCGACAACAAACAGTGAGTTACCTGTTGCGGTGGGCGGTCATAAAACGAAGGACTGGACGGCGGTCTCCACAACGACGGGGAGGGTGGAACAGCGGGGATGAAGAGAGCGAGTTGACGACGGAGGACCAGAGCTGCAGCCTGCTTCTCTTCTCTTTCGTCCCCTCAGGTCAGCTGGTCTGCTCTCGGTGTGCAAGTAATCGTCGTGGCCGGCGCAGAGGCTCGTTGATGAAGGGAGTGGTTTCTTCCTGCGAGGGGGACGGTCACGGGACAAGCCTGGACGGCGGCTGTTTTTCCGTTACCACTTTGAGTTTAGCGCATGTCTTCCCCAGGGGTGAATCAGCGAAGGGTTTACCACGTGACTCAGGGCCGAGCTCGGCCCAGCCCGGACGGTGGACAATCACGCATGATGAACCCTCTCCTGGTGCAAAAAGTACTTGCGCTAGCCATGCTGCAACCTGCATGAGGGCTCGTCATCCACTCCGTACCTCGGTGCCGCCCGGTCACCGCAGCTCACCCAACTCCGCAGAACTTGCGACCCTGCGGAGGGCTATTCCCGAGGCGGAGTCCACGGCAAGCTCCTAGGGGACTATGGCCTGAGCAAGCTCCACAACCCGATACACTTGGGACTTGGAACCCGCATCGCGCCGCCTCCGTATCAGTCCGGTTGGGCTCCACTGGAACTTGCAGCCGGCTGCACCGACCACTCGAATCAACACACGGGAAGAGATGAGACCACAAGATGGTGTTCCGAGGCCATTTGCTGCTAGATTACTGAAGAAAATCCAGCGGGTGGATTGGCCTTCCATTTGCATTCGAAACGTCACAATGGGCATGTCGCACTATCTCGTGTTTCTCGCCTCGACCTCCCCATTCCCATCCGGTCCGCAGGTTTCCTGGCCTACCCACATCATCACCTCTGGGAGGATCCGGCCCTCGTAATAGTCTTCGGCTTCGCGCCATCTGATCCGGGCCTATCTGGGACCACAAGCCATTGTGGACGCAACCCTGCACGATTGGTGACGAGGAATATCACTGGTCACCGGTGCCAAGTTTAAACCCGGTGCCTGGTGGCTTGAATAGCGATCCAACGTGCCTGGTGACCAACGCAGCCAGCCCAAACACAAAAAGCAAAAAGACAAGGATCAAACCCAGGGCTGAGTCTACTTCACCGGCGGGGGGCCATTGCAATACTCTTACTGGAGCCATGCAATGTGGAGAATGCCGAGCAAGAGTCTCGACTCTCGTTTGATTCGTGAAGTGCTGCCGGAGGTCGCCAACTCGGCACAAACAAGACTTGAACTTATGCCGGGATGCCACCTCGAGATCGGAAACGAGCTCTCCATCTTTGGTCGGCTGCCATCGACGCTACTACCCTGAACGACCCTGATTTGCCAATCGCTTGCCCAGAACAGTTTGCATCCCCCCCCCCCCCGGCCCGCCAAGCCACAGCGTACAAGGTCCTTTTACTTTCCGTGGTCAATATCCCGTAGTTTTATTTCCTGGGTTTATAATTTTACTTCATCTATTTTGATTTTTGGTGCTTCGGCTGTACCATCCATCAGAATTGGTCATTCTGCAGTCAATCAATTTTGTTTGGAGTGGGGTGACGGGGCTCCGGACGAGTCACTAAAAGGGATCATTTGACAGGGGGGTTTCAAGTCATGATGTGGGACAGAGGCTGAGAGTGATCCCCTCGAGAAAGTTTTCTCTCTTACCCCCCCCCCCCCCCCCCGCCATCCCTTGCCATCCCCGGCTGAGGACGGAGTCATCTTAGCCTATCACTAGCTGCGACTGCCCAACGCGTCGTGTACTCCGCACCCAGTGTCCTACCGGGTTGCCCAATGTGTGTGGAAATTGGTCCAACTATCGTCACCAGACTATATAGGAAAAAGGAATTGTTCTTTTCCTGGCGCTCGCCTGAATTCAACCTCTTGTTTTTCTGCTTTTGTATAGCGGAAGCGGCACAAGCCTACCTATTCTCCAGGCCCTATACACTCGCTCCAAAACGCCTGTCGCACTATGCAACATCTCCTTGTGCGCGATGACGCTGAACGACAACATATGTGTTTCATGCATGTAGATCCTGACTAGCGCCACGTGTGAGTGGAAGAAGCATCAACGGCTACAAGGAACCGTGTCGATCTCCCACCTATCCGATAGATAATATGCCGCGGTGATGGTAACTAGGGGGGCTTGTCATTTGGAGGAAGGTTGCTGGTCCCTGATAAATCTGAGGCAAATTTCCGGCCGGCGGTCCTCGGACGTGCTCAACAGTGCACAAATCAAAGCCACACTCCATGCAGGATCCGCTTTTAGTGAAAAGGACCATTGTTTTTTCGGGGGTACTTCCTAGGGTTGCTGGAGTGGGTGGGGGGAGGGGGGGCAGTGGGGGAAGAAGGGGAACGCTACCCAACCTACTGGGCTAGTTTCCTAGGTACCGTGCAGAAGTTAGGAGAGCTAGTAGGTACGGTACTCCGTACTATAGATAGTTACAGCTTCGTACCGACAAGCTTGGAGCTGTGGAATTATGGAGTAAATGAAACCTCCGTAGTTTTTCTTTTTGCGATTTGACCTGGGCTGCGAATGTATTTCCCCGGTCCTTATAATATTTATCTTTTTCCCTCTCTCCCGGTGCTGGCACTCGAGCACCATCATTCAAAAGGGCTTTTTGGCCCTTTGGCCGCAATCCAACCCATATCTTTCCATTCCAGGGCCGTCACCGTCACACCTATTCCCTCCCTCTCCAGCTTTGCCGACCCTCCTGGGAGCAATTCGAATTGTCTGTTCTCGCTGATCTGATCTGATCTGATTCATTGCTCTCCGCATCCCGTCCACTGCGGTCCTTATCCTTACCTCCGTCACATTCCAATTGCAACAACACCCCCCCCCCCCCTCTCCCGCTCTCCGCCAGCCTTCATGGGACCAACATGTGCAACTACTTCAAAAACTACTATATCTATAGCACCTGCCAGAATCCTGCCGCCCACTTCCTCCGCACCACCTTGGACGGCAACAAAGACACTCGCTGCTCGGATAGTCCGCACGACCGGTTTATCGTGGTCATAGGGAAATGTCTTCTCTGTACACGATAATCTTGTACGACTGGGGGAAAATTTTATCCTCCTCTTCTCCTTTCGGCGTCATTTGGTTTTTTTTTTTTTTTTTTTCAGGCCGTGGATCTCGGACGCCCGCATCCACCCTCTTTCCTAATCCGCCTGCCCCGGCCCGCCGTTCTTTGCGTTTCGAACAATCCGAGGAACTCTGATTCGACCCTCTTTTCTCTCCACTTAAAATGCGCCGCTCTCCCGAGCCCGACCACCACCATGGATCCTCAATGTGAAATCGGCCATTCGTCAGTGCGGCCCTGATCGACATGGATTTCTTCTACGATGGATTTCTTTTCTATGGCGGTTCCGCTTCCATTTTAAACTTTGTGCCCTGGAGGCCGTCGACCATTTTTCTCCGATACCCGAGAGCGTATTCGCTTTACCGAGTTGTTTTTGTTTTTCATTTTTCATTTTTTTTCCCTCATCCCCGAGCGTTTATCTACTATGTATCTTCATGGCCGGTGGGATTCTCCGGCGTCAATGGGGCTTTTTTTGTGGAGGCTGCGTGCAAGGCTAGACCCGAGCCCGAACCCGAACCCGGATCTTCCTCAATCTTGGCTGGTTCGATGGACCAGGGCCAGGGACTGGGACTGGGATTGGGATTGGGACTGGGACTCCGCGATTGTGTGTATTTGCCCGGTTGGAACTTCTATGGTTTTTTTTTTTTCTTTCCCTTTTTTCTTTTTAAGCAATCGGAATCTCGGGTTTTCCGCGTCCATGTATGACTATGACTATGACTATTACTCGACTTGCTTGGTTCCGTGTATTTAGTTTTTCCTCTCCTGTGAACATGGCGTACCCTGCATATCACTCTAAAATCACATGCCATCATTGGCGAGAACGCCGCCCAAATTAAGAATCTCTGCTCCATCTTTCTCCCGGGGTTGGTCCCCCCCGACATTCCCCAGTACGAGACTGAAAAACGAGATCATTCAGACATCCTTCCATTGGGGTCTGGGTCTAGGGGGCCCGCACAGGCGACGTGGTTCTACTCCTCTCCCCCATTCAAATCCCGCGCATGGACCGACGAGGGGGGTTGTTGGTTGTTGGTTGGGAAGGGGCCCCAGCCCAACAACATGACGACAGCTATCATTCGATCGGAACTCGTGTCTCCCATGGGATACAGCATGGTCCGCAGATGTATATCCAGCCGCCCCTGTCCCACACAGCTGCCAAGAGACCTTTTTGCTTTCTCACGTTCAGGTCTGTGCTTTTAGGGTGATGGCGCGTTGCAGATGCAGATGTCGCAGACAGAGTATGAAAAACTGGTTTTTATTATACAGAAAGCCAAGACTGGATGGCCCGAAACGAAGCTTCCACAGTAGGGCGCCCCCTGGCAAGGATTATCGACGCTGTCTGGATGTTGACCCAATCCTCGCTGATCCTCGTCAATGGGTGTGCGCGGCATTTCATCGATGGCAGCCTAGGCAGACACATCACGATAGTGGAGTTAGGAGCCTAGTGCAGAATGGCAGGAACACCTCCCGGGTATGACCCGCGTCACTGTATTGACCGGTCCGGGGGTGGGCTAGGACCATCGATAGCAGGAGTCATGATGCAATAGTTTTAGGGGTCGCAGGGCCCACTGTAGACTGTTCGGGCGGAGAGGGGTCAGGGGGTGGGGGGGGGCGGTGGTCGGACGGGGTAGGCCTTTGCACCCGAAAAGCCAAAATGCCCGAGCAGATAGGCTGAAGGTCCGGAAAAGGAGGGGACGTGGCGAGTTCGCTCTCCACGGGCTGTAGGGCGGCTGTGCTCGGTATGGCGAGGCCGGGAAGATTGACTGCCGAATAGGGCAAGGCAAGGTTGAAGACGCTAAATCCCTCAAGATGGCACTAGTGCGGGAGGCACTAGGCCATTGCTCCTGGGAATGGTGCTATGTCCGTCTTGCACATGCACGCTCGTTGTCGACCAGGTCGAGGATTTTCCGGAACAAGAATTAACAGTCTAAGTTCGACTGCTGCGCTAGGGCTCTGCAGATGCTCCATCTGTCGGCATGGCACTGCATTCAACACCAGGTCATGGCGCGGGTGCTTCCTTCAGAGGCAGTGACGCGGTCTGCCTTCGCGTTGAAATGGCCGGGCAGGACACATGGTTGGTTGAGGCTGGGAGAAATCACATTTGCGTGCCGTGTCGGGCGCTAATTGGGGATTGGGGCCATTGAGAAATAACAGGTTGCGATATTAATATCGCCGGGATCGAGGCCCCACGACCTTTGCCGGCATACGGAGTATACAATAGCACGATTGCCTTGTCCTGAAGAATAGGGGGGCATGCTGCCGGAGACTGGATCGGGTAATCCGCATGCAGAGTGGCCAGTCCTTGACCAGCTCATTCCACCGGCGAATCGCTTCTCAGCATCCATAGTACATTGCCCATTGACAATGCGGCCGAATGAGTACGTTTCCCCCTATCGGTAGGAACAAGACCCCGTACGGCGAATCATCTTGGGGCTGTGTTGTCGTGTTTTGAGTTCCCACCCCGTCTAGACTCTGTTATCTTTGCGCTTTCACATGCCTCGCCTCAATCCATGGAGCTTAACGATTTGTGGCGCGGACCCTCAAGGTTGTTTTGGGGGGGGGGCTGGTGTCCGAGTTCGACGTCTGACACTGAGCCACGAACGAGGAGTGTTTCCCATCTGTCGGTCTTGATCCCGTCTGTGGACGTGGTTCGACGTCCATTTGAGATAGTGTCTCCATTGGCGTGTTCTTTCCACGGCTTAGCTTCGTTGCCGTCCCAGCCGACGGCCCGCGAGAGGGTGATGATTAGCGTCTCAGTAAGATCTTTAAATCTGCTTTTACTTCCCTTGCTCCTTCGACCCGGACCTTCTCTCCATTCCGTGATGGCAAGCTCTGATGTTGAACACAGGTCCTTTTGTCCCGCTGTCGCATGCATTGCGAGCGGGGCCTTCCCGGACTCGCAGTCTTCACCCCCTAATGGACACTTTTACTCCGTACTCCGTACATGAAAAACCTAAATCTCCCCTTTTTCTTCCTGTCTTTCGTGGAGTCCAGGGCCATCATGTGATCATGATCACCTGAATCCACGGACGACCGGATTTTGGTGGCGACGGAACATCATAAACATCACATCCCATTCCCCCCCCCTCCGAAGAGATCAACTCTCGTCCGACACTCCATCTGCCACCACACTCCACTGTCCATGGGTCCACCGTTTCTCTCACTCGGTCTGTGCGGGAAGGGAGCTCTCGGGCGGAGAACCGAAGTCACAGCCGTGATCCACCTTCCCTGAGGGGGGGTGCACGCATTACGTACCCTCGTGGCTCGCAGGAAGAGAAAATCGACCGAGACAAAATCGTCGGTTGAAAAGCAAGGTCGGCAAAACTTTGCTAGTCACCTATTCGGAGTGTCGCATGCATCAAGTGAGCCCAGCGGTGAAGTGGGATCTCCTTGATCTCCTTGACCAGCAGGGCATGGATCCACGTTCCGTCCAAGGACGCCTGGTTCGTCCTCATGGGTAGGCGTTCGAGGTTGGAATATCTCCCCCGGCGAAAATCAGGATCCAGCCGGGCCCCCGCCTCCACACGCCGGACAAGGGCTTCCACGGTGCCGATGAGCGGAGTCATACGGTCTTCTCCTAGTCCAGGGGTCGTAGGGCGGCTGGGACCCATTTTTGGTCCCGAACCCCATTAGACGAGATTGGTTGCGTCAGAGCTCGTTTCAGCTCGGCGTGATGCCGATGCAACGCTCCCTGCGGCCACCAAAGCAGATCCATGGCATTTGGGTAAGGAGTCAATGCTGCCCGGGGCCCGCACCCCGACGATCTCTTGGTGCTGGGCGTTCTTCTCCCCCACCATCTTCTTTCCCCCCCAAGATGGTGGGGGTGGGTTCATGCAGGGGTTTCTCACTGATCCCCAAATTGTGGAGGGGGTCTAACCGTATGCAGGAGCGAGGGGATTTGTAGAGAAAGGAGCCTCATACGGGATAGGCAGAACATTACTGTACATCGGCTACATGGAGGGGAAAAAGGCACCACAAAACATTGGTCGTATGTACACACTGGCGGTTTCCGATGCCACGGGAAAGAACGGCAAGATATACGGAAGCCTTCTTAGAAACGCACCTCGGGCCGCATCGCGATGGGCTTGGGGGCGTATACCGGCGGCAGGGGGGTATAGCGATGACAAGGCTTGCGGGCCACCTTGGAGAAGGGAAGACCGGGTAGCTCACCGAGACACAGGCTCAGCCTTGAGGACGCTCGTTTGCGACCCGGCGGTTGATCGGTGACCTCCACGGTGGATGGGGTGGAACTGTACCCCGACGACGGCTGTGGCATGCACGAGACGGTGATGAGACTGCGCAAGTAATGGAATGATTCCACTTCGGCCACCAGATACTCCTGGCTGTTGTCACCATCCGGTCGCGTGTTCTGGACGTTTGTGGATAAGGGCGATGATGATCTCTTGGAACCCATCGTGGTGCTCGGGGATGACCGACTAACACTGGCCGCGAGGAGTGCTAACTGATTCACAATCCCGTCCGTGTCGCTGGACCGCGTATCTCTTCTAGCGGGGGGTGTGACGTGGATATCAAACGGGGTTGCGGTCCGTGGGTCGGGGGCATCGGGATGGCCTGTGGTTTGCTCCTTTCTCTCGGAAGCGTCCGCGGGGTCGTTCTTCAGCCGTAAGCGTCGGGCGATCGATGCCCGAAGTATAGACCAGGCCCCGCGACCCTTACGCAGGACGATGAAGAACATTCGTTTGATGGCGACTGTGGCCACGAATTGGATTTCAATTAGTAAAGAAGGGATTAGCTTCGCGTGCTTCTCACGGCGACTCACAGCTCCGAGGCCTCTAATTCGCGAACAGAGGCGAAGTACCTATAGAAGGCTGCAAATGGAAAATCCGAGAATGACTCAACAACGCCCGGATGTGCCTTGGACTTCAGATTCGAGGTGCTTGAGGGGAACTGGATGCCCTAGATATACACCAACTGTGTTGTTTACAACCCCTGATAATCGTATACCGGTGGGAAGCCCATACATTCTGGAATCGTTCACTCGGCTCTGACCCGGTAGAAAGGTTAGATTTCAGTAGGAAACCGAAGGCCGTTATTTAAATCGGACCAGGCGTGAAACCGCGGGCATAAACTTAGGGCCCAAGCGCACTGCTAGATGATGAGGGAGCTGACTGTGGGACATCAACGGCGGCCCGCTTGGTCCTGATGGCGGATTGCGGTTAATTCAGTGTGTATCTTCCCAACTAGAGCCCGCCACAAGGGTAGCCATTCGCGACAGATCGTACGGATGGTTAGATATGCAAACGTGATCCCGCGCTTGCTGGAGATTGCGATGATGCAGGATTCGCCCGTTTGTGGAGATAGAGAACATAAAGACGGGGTAGAGGATGGGGTCAGAGCGTGAGGCTGATTGTGAATCTGGCTGGGTTGAAGATTCGGACATGTCGAGATCCGGCAGAGCATCCGTGACTGTTCACTAACAAGGAGCTAACTGACATGGTGGATCAACAGTCCGTCAATGAGGTTGGGAAGAAATACATGGCATTCGCTTGAGATTTTGAGAGAGGTAAAAAGCCTTCACCTACAGAGATTCAAATTGTTATCTGTTCTGGAAAGCTAAGCGGTTCACGAAAGACAGCAAAAACAAGATGACAAGATGGTAAAGCTGAGGTCAGAGATAAGTCGAAAGTAGATATGGTCATAGACTGGCATGATGCCAGTCTTAGCATCCCACTCCTCTGGAAAACGGCAACGCATCGGAGGCAAGTGCTTATTATACACTGCAAGATTACTCGGTCTTCGGATTGCGCACCATGCAATATAGCTAGCCCCACCAGAAATTAGCCCGTGACCCCACCACAAAAGATGAAACCCAGATCAAACAGGAAAGTCACCAACATACCATGCAAGCATCCTCCCCATCCCTACACTCCATCTCCTTCCTCATCTCAAAGCCCATGCGCTCATATATCTGCACATTGGGAACAGATTTCGAGCTTTCAAGATAACACTTGACGCCCTCCGCATCCGCACGCTTCGTAACTGCCTCAAAAAGCATCCTCCCCACCCCCTTCCCCTGCGCCTCAGGACTCACAGCCACAATATTACAAAAGTAATAGCCGCGCGGATCATCCCAAATTTGCGCCTGCGCCTCCTGCTGTCGTTCTTTCCAGATCCAGTACCGATGCGTGCGCAGCCCGCCGTGCCCGCGGTACCGAATGTTGTTGAACAGTTGCTGGAACGATAGCACCCACGACTGATACCACGAGTACCAGCTTGCAGGCTGGGTCGGTGGGTGCGGCGCTAGCCAGCATGAGACGCCGAGAATGGCCGGCGAGGCGGCGCTGGTATCTTTGGCGACTTGGAATATGGCGTTGTTTATGCCCCAACGGCAGCGGGCGGCCAGGGAGCCATAGTTTCTTTGCGTGTTGAACTGTAGGGGGAAGAGTTCTCTCCGGGAATGTAACGGCGGATCGGGACGACCGCGTTACGGGAGAGATGGATGTTAGCGAGGTGGCTTATATAGATCGTAGTCTTGTATACTCGGGTGGATAGGGGGGTGTCAAGGGCACTTGTCATACATACCGAGCGCGCATCAAAAACCCACTTGAAATATGGGTCATCGGCAAAGGCTTGCTGAATCACCTGGATAGCACCTGGAATATCTGCCTCGGTTAAGGAGACAACTTCCACTGCCATGGTGGAGATATTCAAGATGAGAAGGTAGCCAATGTCGTAATAGAGTTAAGTGTTGCCTCTGCAAAACTGCAACATCAAGAGCAGCTTGACGCAGATCGCTGATTCGGTGGGTCCAAGCTTAAAGGCCAGCACCAAAAATCTCCCGTCACACAAGCAATGGTTCAGATCTAGACGCGAATTAGGACAAGATACCCCGGAAGCAGGTCCCATATTCGAGACTCACCCGTCGTCTGGTTCACACAGCCGAGGTTTGGGTCTGAAAATCAGCAACTGTAGTAGCAAGCACTCTTGCGAGGTTGGAATAAGGTAGTGCAAGGGCGGCAGCAAGCGTGAATCGCGACCAGTCTAGTCTCCCGTAGTGCAAAGAGAGAGGAGGACCGCAAATGTCATTCGGACTATCGGCGAGGACAGGTGGGGAGAGTTTAAGCCGGGGAAGGCAGTTCGATGCGTTGGCTTATCTCTTATCGCAGGGTGGGACTTGACAACTCCGCAACTCCAGTGATTGTCTACATACTCGATGGCTTCACTTCCACAGCTATTTCCAAAACGACTGGTGGATGTACTCCAGGAGGATACCCGCTGTTGATTTCAGATTCCATGTGAAGGCAGATGGGGTGTGTATATGACAGATGATGGGAGGGAATGCAGGACTATATCAAGCTATACACAGCCAAAGAACAGAACTGTACACAGGCAGGAAAGAGAATGAGGAAAGAAACGGAACCTATTCACAAACCATGCCTATCCATTTCCTTGTCCTGGCCCTTGCTCCACGGTCAAGTCAACTGAGAATGAGAAATCAGAATCTCAAACACCCTCACGCCTTTTGCCCTGATGAACAAGTAACATGAAACACGAACATGACGTCGACCGCGACCCACAAACAATGACGACACAAAGCATGAAGATGAAAATGAAGATGAACAGGGAAATCAGTTGCGGACAATTCTGTTTGTGCCCATGGAGTGAAACATAGAAAAAACCCAATCCACCAACCCCGACCCCGAATACCAGGAGAGCCTGCGGTGCAAAAAGCACAGCAATGATCAGACAGAAACCAAATCTATCAGCCGCTAGAAAAGAAATAAAGAAAAGAAGAAAAGAAAAAAAGGAAGACAATAACGGGCCCGCCTACACCATTCCCGATATGAACAATGTCGTGACTTCATGGCTCGGATATCGTCAGATGCGAAATGATTGTAATGTCACCTACCCTGCATCAGGAAAAAAAAGCGCTTATCAAGTTCCTCGAACATTATGACGCAGTGAAGTCCTCGATGCGCACCCACTCCCGCGGCACATCCATGCTGCGGTTCACGCGTCCTCCGGGTGTTAGAGGTACATCGACACGACCAAGACCGCGTTCGTCATCCTGCTCTTCATAGAAAGAAAGTCGGGAAAAGTAATCCTCCAGAACCGCCTCACGGTCATTATTGCCCACGATAGAAGTGTACTCCGGCGGCGGAGTGACGAGGGGCGGGGGCGGGGGCACATCATCGAAAGCGGGTGGTGCGAACGAGGGCGCGCGAACGAGATGCATTGGACGAGGGAGGACATCCCGCTCGTTGCTCGGCTCGTGTGCGATGTGGGCCTGTGGCGGGCGTGCAAGACCGCCTGATCCATTCGTGAAGCTGCGGGAGACAGGCGTGAGGGAGTTGCGGCGGTTGGGATTCGAGATGGAGTCTTCGCGGTCAGAGTTGGCGTGGCCGAGGGAATGGTCCCGCGCCGCGGGTGGTGCGCCGGGGCACCCGCACTCGAATTCTTGGGCTGGCGGGTCTGGGTCCGTGGCGGGTCGGCTGTAGGCGGGGAGGTAGATGTTTGCTTGGGTGGCCTTGCAGGAAAGGATGTGAAAGGGCGAATCGATGGAGATCTCGAAATGTCTGCGCTTGGTTGGGTCGCGCTCGTCGACCTTGGAAAGGCGAAGGACAATCTGGGAAATGTGGATCAGTCTTGATGATGAGCTGTGAGGGCTGCAAAGGAGTGTAGTTTACCTTGATCCAATGGTTGATCTGGATATTTTCGTAGGTCGTATCGAAATGCAGACGCTGCGCTTCATCCCGCCCCTTCATTTCGTGGCAGCTCGGCAGCTGCACATTAAACTCCATCTCCGTGGGGCCTACACCAGAATCGGTATTCAAATTACCCAGCAAGTTGGTCCGGGAACGGTCCACAATCTCCTCCCCCGCGCGCGGCGGCCGCACGGTGATCCCAGTCAATGCCACCGCCCGCGGTAATGCGCATCGAGCTGCCAGGATACGTGCTGGTACTCGCCGACTCCGCGCGCTTCTCAAACAGCAGCACCTTCCTCGCTGGCTGCAACCGGTGCACGCTTTTATCAGCGGTCCAATGCTGGATGTTCTCTGTCACGTAGACCTTGATGCGGTGGCACTCGACTTTCGCGAGTGGTGTCAGCTTGAACGCAATCGGGATGTGGGAACCCAGGGGGAAGGATTTGCCCGAAATCACGATGTCATAGTGGAGCTGGTCCTCCCAATTGCGCGAGATGGCAATGGGCTCAACCTGCTCGAGCGAGCCTTCGGCGGGCGTGCGGATCACAGGGATTTCGAGAGTACCGAGTAGGTTGGGCCGAAATGCGCCTGAGCGCTCGACAATGGCCTCCAGATCGTATCGTACGAAGCCCATATCGGTTTTGATGGTCTCGGGTAGGGAACCGTCGATGGGGAACTCGAAGCTGTAGAGGTAGTCGCCCACGGGGAACATGCGGTAGTTGCGCTGGGGTTGAGCCTGGGTGGTCACGGGAGGCTCGTTCTTACTGAAGCTTCTCGAGTGGCCCCGCGTGGTCTGTACGGAGAGGCGTTTGGCATCTTTCCCGATCATCGGGCCGAGGGAGGTGTTCGAGCCGCTCTTGGAAAATAGTTCGCGCGTTGTTGCGGTGACCCCCTCCTTTCCAGGGACGGGGGAGGTCGGTTTCGCATGCTGGAAGTAGTGCGCTCCATAGTCATTTTGCATCAAGGCAGTTTCGCCGTGGTTGAAGTAGACGACGCCGTGAGTAAATAGGTCTTTCTTATCATGGAAATGGATCTTCTTGGGTGGAATGCCTGCACCATGTTGTTAGTGGACGAACCGGAGGCCCGGGAGTCAGTGAGGCAATCGCACCATCTGGCCAATCCGTCTGGGCATGGCCCCGGAAACAAATGGAAATCTTCTTGATCTTGACGCACTTGGTCACCTTCAAGTGAATCTGGCCCCTCAGGATCGCCGACTTCTTGGAACTGGGGTCATGTTGGTCATAGCCTTGCAGATAGAGAACCGGCTCGGTTAACACGATTCCCACTGTAAGCCCACTCCCCGTCGCGACAATCTTCTCGTTGCGGAGGGCGGGAAATGGCGTGGACAACTCGGGCACAGCAGTGGGATGCTCGGGTAGCGCCCGGGCCAGCACGTCGGTTGCCATGGAAGACGAATCCGAGCGCATCTCGCCTTCTTCGAAAGACGGTGGGGAATCTCTCGAGCGCCCCGAGGATACGATTATCTCCGAAACGGGGCGGGCGCCGCTGCAGCGGGGATTGGGGCGCTGTGGCGGGGACGGCGCGGGCGACGGGACCCCGGCCGAGCGTAGGCGAAGGAATCGCTTCGCGTTCTCGCGTGGGCCCGCCAGCTTTCTGAGGAGGGAACCGCGACGGCTGAGGGAAGGTTGCTGCTTGGGGAATTGCTCCTCGACGGTCGCACTGAGGCAGACCGGTCGGCGCCGGGCCGAGCGAGTGCGGATGAGGTTGGAGAGCGATAACGGCGCGACGAGATCGGGCGAGGATACTTGACTGTCGGAGTCTGATCGCGACGAAACCTGCACGGGGAGAATATGAGCGACCATCATGATGGTGAGGATGCCAGACGCATCCTGGACGAGGCGGCGGTGGAGGGGGGAAGAGTTGAGAGCAGGACAGTATGTCTCGAGGCACCCTAGAGGCGTCCGATCTCGACCTGCTGCCTCTCTGATTTCTCGTCCTCGTCCTCTCTTCCTCTTGTCCTCGGTGGTGGGTGAATGTGCCTAAGAATGCGGGGAGGGCAGGGAAGGCAGGCCAGGCCTCGCAGAGCAAACATGCGTGGAGAAGGGCGACACGAATACACTTACCCAGAGCTTTTAATCTTTGTGAGACCGTAGGTTTTGTCCTTTCCTTTCCTTTCTTTTTTTTGGTGTTTTTGTCCCCTTGTCACCCCCTTCAATGCGGATCGACCACGCAAGGAGCACACCGAATCTTTGCAGGAGAGATGGAATCCAAGAACTGGGGGCGCTGACTTCATAGCACGGGTGCTCCGGCTGTGATCATCGCCGCGCAGATCCCTGCCAGCGACGCGTCGGATTGGCTGGGGCAATGCGCAATTATGGTCCCCTTGGCGGATTGGGCGGCCTAGTTGGTCGCCTGCAGGCTTTTGGGCTTTGAACTTGTTGGAGAAGAGGGGCTGTTTGGGGTGCCGTAATGTGTCCGTAATGGTGGCGCGGTTGATTGTCCTCCTACAACACGCTGATTTCTGGTGTCAAAGCAAAGGCCGTCAAGTAAAGAGTCCCAGAGTACCCCTGTTAAGTGTATACGGATCCCTTGCCCAGGCCGACGGAGGGCATTATAAAAAGCAACGGGGGCGATGGATCGGACGGATCGATGATGACATGATATCGACGCCAATTGGGAGAGCCAGCGGGCGGTTCCTCATTTCCTATCCGGCGATCCGGCCCAGACCTTGGCTAACTCTGTTGCTCGGCGTTGGCTCGGCAAAATGTGACTGGGTTCTCTTTCGTGACTGACTCTATGGCGAACCAGAAATCCGTCCAGCCAAGCACAGGGTCACGGATAGGGCTGGGCGAGGTCTTGGGAGCTCCGTCCCAGAATCCCAGAGCTTCTGGATTGGAGATACCAGGTGGGCACCCTATGGAAGCCTATAGATTCTGGAATCCCAGAGTGGCTACGTTGTCGAAGATGCTCCTCCATGATGCAGTACATTGTAAAAGACTCTATGTGCTACCCCCTTCCGCCCCGCCCGAGGCAATCGATGCATAATCAATGAGAGGCATAGTCGCGGAATTTGCCTCAAACGCGGATCTGCCGGCACGGGGTTGAACACAGCCTCATCCGCGCCCTCGGCAAGCCACCAGGCAGATGACTTTGTACACAGAGTTCATCAATCGGACGGCTCGCGGGGCAAACGCTCCCATCGGCATGTGAGGAGATTGACCTCGTCCCACCGATCAAGGGGGGGGGATGATCGGTGGGGAAGAGAGTATGAGGCTTCCGACCATCCTCTGTACAGGTAATAACATCGCCAACTCGGACGCTCTCAGGCCGGAAGACCAGACCACCGCCCTTCGACTCAACACCGTCATGCTGCGCTTTTCTCTCCGACATTCTTTCAAACGGCGGTGGAGGTCTTGCCCTGATCTGCAGAGTTTGCTGCACGGTCCAGCCGCGGGGGGAGGATCTGAATGGCCGGAGGTGAAACCCCGCAGAGAAGACGCTTCGGGATTCTGTGCCACGATGTACCCTGGATCAGCTCAGCCGTGGCCGAGTCTCGCGCGGTATACTTCCCAAGGTCGGCAGTGCGAGAGCCCGAGCCCAGCGAGGGGATCTGCGCACCGGGAGCAGGTCATGCTGTCTCTTGCTTTTCTAGGTTCCTGCTGTCGCGGTCGCGCAGGCTATCAACTGGGAGTTTCCCGCGTCCGTGCCCGACTCTGACAGCTGGCAATGACCTCATCGCATCCCAGACGGTCCCAGGCCAGCCCACCTTACGCGTCCCTTTTTTTGGTCACAAGGCACTCGAGTTCGAAGCTTGGTCCTGCGTCCAGCGAACTCTCTCGGACCTCGTCCCTTGACCCTCGTTCCCTCGTTCCCCCGGGCTCGTGGCCCCAGCGAAAATTAAGGGCCTTCCCCGCCGGATTTCGCGCTACCCTGATGTCCGGCCGCAGGCACCACGTCGGTCGGAAAGTATTGATAGCTGGGATGGGGCATGGCCTTGACTGGGCGATGCGAACCGAGGCCCTCCTCCACCGTGCCGGGCACGCGCGAGTCCCTTACACCTGTACGTCACCGGCCGCTGGGGCTTGAAGCCGGAGGTGGATGATAGCGAACTTGCCTGCGTGATATCTAGCCGGGATGGGCTCGTGGTCCCCCTATGGCGTCGTACTATCAGGTCTGTACCACCAACCCGCTGTAGAGGAGGACAGCAGGTGTCCATGGGTTGGATTAGGGAGAGGATGGATTCCCGGCAAAAGACGGGGGTCCAGATGTCCGCGGGCTGCACATAGCTCACCGTAGCTATTGTTATAGTTTGACTGGTCGCAAGTGCTAGTTGGCACTATTGACACTGTTTACTTCGGGTGGATACATCCAGTAACTCGAAGTCGGAGGCTATCGACTCTTGGACGGGTCGAATTGCGGTGAAGGAATTTAATCCCCGACCTCATTATTAGACAATGCCCAAGCAGGGCAAGCCGGCGAAAAAGGCAAGAGGCGCCGGAGAGATGCAAAGCTGCCACTGAGCGGGCCCAGTGTTTCGTGAGAACCTCCCGAAGCCGAGCAGAAGCTAGTCCAGGAACACCATGCTCGGCAGATCTGCTCGCGATCGCTAGTGCAGATTGCCGCATGTAGATCATGAGAGACTATGCCCCATCACTCACCACATTGGATACCGACGGAGGATACTAGGATGAGTATAATATACAACGTTCCATGTAGGAATTAGGGCCGGAATCACTACCGAGCGGGAAGTCGTCATTTCCCTTCCCCCCGCATCGCTCAACTAAACCAACTATCGTCCAGCTCGTTAATATTCATCAGACTATCGCCCTCCAGCCGACTGAGGTCCCCGGTATCGTCGAGGTTCTCATTCTCCATGAACAGATCGTCGAAGCTCGATTCGCCCGGTCCCATGATATCTTCCATTCCGTTACCTTGGTCAGGGAACGGTTCGTTGTCGTCCGGCCTCCCCAGCTCCATGTCGAAGGTGTCCCCGCCTGCGGAGGCTGCGGTCGGATTGTCTGTCGGCAGTGATGGGCCGGCCTTGTCTGTGCCGCTGGTAGCATTGTTGCCAAAGGCAGTCCCCGAGAGGAAGGCTTGGTTGCCCATGTCGTCGTTGCCAAAATCGAGGTTCAGGTCAAAGGAGTTTGCCGCTCCGCCCTCGTCGAGGACAGAGTCGAAATTAACGCCTTCGGTGGCGCCAGGGAGGGCCTGGTCGGTTCCCGCCTCTTTCTCTTCCTTGATGGGTACTGCTTCACTAGGTTGGGGTGCTGGGGCCGCTTCTGGAGCTTCAGGCAGATCTGTTACCGCGCTGTCGTCCGGTTTAATTTCGACCTTTTGAGGCTCTGTGTCCCGATCCGTCTGCTCGGCAGCCGGTGGTTGCGGCTGCGTCGCCATCTTCTGGTCTACGTCGCTCATGGTCACATCCTCGGCGGGCTGAGGCACCGCCTCTCGCGCCTTAATCACTTCATAGTCCCTCTCCAGGAAGGCCTTCGCAATGAACTGTGCAGTATCAGCGGTGATGGTCAAGGAAATGAAAAGGCTTCTAAAGATACTCGGGACGCGAGTCCGTAAACCTTCCCGAGTATCCAATGGCACACTCACGATCTGCTCTGAGAGGTTGTCTAGCGCATCCTGGAAGCTGTCATAATATGCAGGAACGGAACGCTGGAGATGGGTACTGGCGGGCATTGAGCACGACTTGCGGAACACTCGCCCCGTGTCAATGAGCTGGAATCTATGGTTAGCGGTGAGTCCAGCAAACCGTCGGTTTCTTCATTGATAGCCTGTCCGGCTGAGGGGAAGCCGTACCGTTCGCTCCACCAAGGCGGAGAGCTCAACGAGGGAGTCCGGGCTGGCGTAGCTGGCGGTCGCCATGGCGTGGAGAAGGATGGCGATAATTTTTTTGTAGAGTTGAGTCCGGCAGAGTGGGCGGGTTGGATAGTACAAGAAGGGGCAGCACGGTGATTAGTTGGTGGGGAGGTGGTACTTTCGAGGTTGTACACACCTTCGCTCACACCCGCACAGGCTAAGCCCAATGGGGGATGGTTGCCCTCCCCACCCCGTCGCACCTCACTGGCCGTCCTGCTGGCCGAACTGGCCTGAATGACTGGCCTGACTGGCCTGACTTCGCCTGATCTTGGCCTGACTTAGCCTGACTTGGCCTGGCTCGACTGGACTCAACTGGACTGAACTGGCTCAACTGAACGTCGACCTTGCTACGCTCTTCCTCCCTTACCAAACTCCCCCCATCTTTTTTCTCCCTTCGCATCGTCTCGTTTTTCCTTCCCGGTTCTGTCGTCCGCGACCTCCCCGGTGCTTTTCCTTTTGTGTTTGGCCAGCTTTCTTAGCTTTCTGTTGTTTGTTGGTCTCTCTGGGCTTTCTCCCGTCGACCGTCCGCCGTCGACACTCGACTCCGTGCAGCTTAAGCGCCTGACTCCGTGACTGCTCCCCTGCAACATCGATCCCTGTCTAGCGACCGGCCTGCATATACTCCCTCTCACGACTGATTCCACCCCTGATCACCATCTGGATAGCTGTCGGAAGAACCTTTTATCTGCCACTGTTTCGCTGCTTTGTTTAGATCCAGCGAAAACCGTTGGACCGACCTGAAAACCCCGCGATTTCCACTTTCCCCTCCCCTTCTCCCTACATCGGCCGTATACTTGTTGGACCTGCTCCTCCAATTGACTGTGGCCGTCCGCTGTGCATTTTCTCTTTGCTGTTGAGCCTGTGTCGATCAGCCCTGACGCTCCTGACTCTCTGGTATTATCTGCACCACTCAATCCTAGCACTCGTTGAAATCCCGATCGCTTTTCTTCCTCCGATATATTCAGGCGCCTATACACGATGGCCGAGAACGCTCCTGCTTCCAACCCCTCCTCGCTGCCTTCGGGCCCCCAGCCCGCTGCCGGCGCTCAGAACCAGCAGTACGACGGTGCTCAAGGCAACGGCCAGACCAACAACCCCTCCCACATGCCCCCGCCTCCGCGGCCTCCTGTGGTCATTCCCCAGAACACGAACCCCATTCCAACCGCCATGTCCTCGCCCATGTCTGGCGGCATGATGTCTCCCACCAGTGCGGGTGGCTACGTCCGCCGTGCTGCCCCCGAGCCGAACAAGAGAGCTCTTTATGTTGGTGGACTAGACCCCCCGCGTGACGGAGGATATTCTCAAGCAGATCTTTGAGACCACTGGCCATGTGGTTAGCGTGAAGATTATCCCGGACAAGAATGTGAGTTGGCCTTGACCCTGACACCCGTCCACCCGCCCTTGGCTCCCCTCCTGGGGGAAGAGTCTTCTGGACTCATACCAGGAAATATTTTGTCTTCTTTTCTAATGAAGGCTTTTATATTACTACGACCAGGGACTGATGACGCAGCAGTTCAACAGCAAGGGCTACAACTATGGCTTCGTTGAGTTTGATGACCCCGGTGCTGCTGAGCGCGCCATGCAAACCCTGAATGGCCGCCGTATCCACCAGTCGGTGAGTTGGTTCGTAGGGAATGGGCTAGCGATTGCCTTCTAACCGTGCATCTTGCAGGAAATTCGCGTCAACTGGGCTTACCAGTCCAACAGCACCAGCAAGGAAGACACTTCTAACCACTTCCACATCTTCGTCGGTGACCTGAGCAACGAAGTGAACGACGAGATATTGACTCAGGCTTTCTCTGCCTTTGGCTCGGTCTCCGAGGCCCGTGTGATGTGGGACATGAAGACTGGTCGCTCCCGTGGTTACGGCTTCGTCGCCTTCCGGGATCGCGCAGATGCGGACAAGGCGCTCAACGCGATGGATGGCGAGTGGCTCGGCTCTCGCGCTATCCGCTGCAACTGGGCCAACCAGAAGGGCCAGCCCTCGATCTCTCAGCAGCAGGCCATGGCCGCTATGGGCATGACCCCGACCACTCCCTTTGGTCACCATCATTTCCCTACCCAGGGCATCCAGAGCTACGACATGGTTGTGCAGCAAACCCCGCAGTGGCAGACCACCTGCTACGTCGGTAACCTCACTCCCTACACCTCTCAGAACGACCTCATCCCCCTGTTCCAAAACTTCGGATATGTTCTCGAGACTCGTCTCCAGGCCGACCGGGGTTTCGCCTTTGTCAAGATGGACTCGCATGAGAATGCAGCAATGGCCATTTGCCAGCTGAATGGTTACAACGTCAACGGCCGCCCTCTGAAGTGCAGCGTATGTTCCCGCCATGCAGTATGATTTTCTACCTATACCTCTGTTTACTGACCTGCTATAGTGGGGCAAGGACCGACCTCCCACCGGCCAGTTCGATAACTTCTCCCCGCAGCAGGCTAGTGCTCCTCCCTTCAACAATGGCCCTGGATTCTTCCCTCAGTATGGCGGTCCCGCAAACCCCATGAACCAAGGTAGGCATCCCTTTTCTCATTTGTGCATTCCAACCTTTCTCACTGACTGAAGAGGCATAGGTCCTACCCCTGCTGGTCGAGGCTGGGACCAAGGCAACAATTTTGGTGGCCCCAGCATGCCCACCCAGGCCTATGCACAAGGCAACGCCGGCGGCTACGGTCGTGGTCAGCCCATGTCCCCGTCTGGTAACTGGGACCAGTCCAACAACAACTTCAACGGAGCCTACCAGGCGTAGATTCTCCCATGACTGCTCCTCAGAGATGGTTCTAATATCTTGATGTGAACCATTTTTAGCATTGGACCCTGGCTGTGGTCATGCCTAGCAGCCGTTGTGATTCTCGAATCCTTTCCCTCCTTACTACTCTCTATCAAACCCCCACATCCCCCCCCCCCCCCAACCACCTCCTCGTCCCAGCTTCAGTGCTGTTCTTTTTCTTTCTAAATTGCCTGTTTTAAGTGGATTACCAAGCGATCAAACTGCTCTTGTCTTGAAATGGAATTTGTGTGTTGCGCACCCAATACCCCAAATCCACTTTGTTGGTTCGATCTGTCTTTTATTTGACTTTACCCTACCTTACATCTACCTTACCTTCCCCCCCCCCTCTTTTGAGCGTGCAAGGCCCGGTCCAAGAGCTTTCCCTTGAACTATCCAGCCTTGCAGGATGCTCTCAAAATAAAAGCAACCTCCCTATTCTTACCCTGCTGCTTCTCTGTGTCTGGCTTTGTTTTCTTGTCAATTCTTTCGCTTAGCTCTTATTGCATTGGTTCCCAGTACATGAATCGTGCTGTATCAAATTCGCTTCTTCATGTCTGTCTTTTCTTCTTTTTCCACGTTTCTTAGGCCCATACCTTTCTTTGTTGGATACTGCTCACTTTCTTCTCTCCCACTACTACTCAAAATATGCTCCCATGGGTTTCTTTCTTCTGCCATGAATGTTTTTTTTCTCTCGGTTGACAATTTGGTTCCCATGGGGACTTTCTTCTTTCATCGTCTTTACAAGTATTCGTATATGCTGTGATGAATTTCCTTGGACGTCCCTTGACACTATCAATCGGCCTTTGATCTGTTCTTTCTTCTGCTTCTCCCTTGCCTGCTGGCGTTCTAGCCGATATACCAATTTGCCTTCTTCCCTTCTGCGTCGCGGGTTTCTAGACTTTGACCATATCGCCTTTTATTCGACGACCTATCTTGCTTTCGTGCATGGTGCCCGGAGTGGTGTTGCCAATCAGTAGGTAGCCAAATTCATTTTCGGCTCGCATAAGAGTATGCCAATTAGCTTCGCAGCCTATCCAAAATCCCCATGAGTTGATCCTTCTTTCATGCAACTTTGACGATCTCACGATTTGCACGACTTAATTTTTTTTACCACAAGATTGCCGTGACCTATTACTCTGGCATTAGTTAGTTAGTCAAATATCGGTGCCTGGACCCCCAGGCCCCACATCAGCTCCTGGTGATTCCCCCGTTAAGTCCACCGCCGTCACCACGCAATGTGAACACAACCAGCCAACACGCACAAACATTTCTACCGAACTGATTTCCCAATGTTGGGGGACTAGAATTCGCTGAGCCGACGTCCCAGCCCTCGGTTTCCACTTGCGCCAATGGACGATGGCGCAAGCAGCAATGCGGAATCCCCAGCCGTCAACCGACCATCCAATCGCACGCGATCTGGCAGCGCAAGCAGTGGCCACAAGCGAAGCCTGTCCGGCTCTCTACTCTCCCGACTCTCCTTCCTTCGTATGAGCCAGGGATCAGCGCAATCAGAAGCGGAACCCCACGCCATGGAACAGGAAGGAGACAACGAGGACCTCCCGGTCACAATCCCGCAAATCAGCAGCGGGGCAACAACGGGTGCTCGGGCGATGTCAGCGGTTATACAGCAGCAGCGCAGAACACGACGCCGAAGGGGATCGTTGCGGAAGACCGCCCTGCTGGGAACCAGGCTCGAGTCGCGCGAGAAGAGAGCCGCGTCCAAATCCGCGGATGCGACTCCTAGATACGCGGGTGACGGGCCACGATCTCCGAAGGACCAGACCTCGCCCCCGACAAACGGCTTCACGTCTCGCGAAAGCCTCGACGACGATGCCGAAGATACCCAGCCGAGCTGGTTTCGCGCCAGCACGGCGCAGAAGATCCTCCGCTCCTCTGTCGCTCGCCGCCGGCAGGGCCTCGCGCCGCACAACCTACTCGGCCGCGAGGAAACCGGCACCGACGACGAGGAACTCGTGTCTTTCCCGCGTGTGAGTACGACGAACAATACCTCCACGAGCGGCTCTAAAACCGCGCCTTCACCGGGCCTCCACATCTCCACACAATCCGACTACCCCTTTCCCCTGACAACGGACCTTGGAACGGACGCACCCTACCGCCCCGTGCACCGCGCCAAATCATCGCCCTTGGCAACACACCCGGTCGAAATGAAAAAAAACGCTGATACATGGGACTACTCCGAGACCGAGTGGTGGGGCTGGATCATCTTGATCGTGACATGGCTGGTGTTTGTCATTGGGATGGGCAGCTGCTTCGAGGTCTGGAGCTGGGCTTGGGATGTAGGCGAGACGCCGTATGCGCCGCCAGAATTGGAAGACGATCCCACCCTACCGATTGTCGGATATTACCCAGCGCTGATTATTCTTACGGCTGTTATGTCGTGGGTTTGGGTAGTTGTTGCTTGGGTGGGGATGAAATACTTTAAGCACGCTAATATATCAGGGGATGATAGCTGAGGATACCCACCTTCTAGGTAGCAGCCATCCTCTGTTGTAAATTATCTTAATATATCACTTCCGGGCGATTGGAAACTGCGTGAAAAATGAGCCTAAATTCCAAATTTTGGGATTCGCCTTGGTAGTGAATTAGCTGTTGTCGTCTGATGCCAAAACGGGTAAGCCAAAAAGCGCATATCATAAACATCCAACTCGAAAAGGCCCATCGACTCCAAATGCTAGATTGCGTATCACTTTGACCCTAAAGTTATGTTCCTGATGCCAAAAAACAATTCTCTTGTCTTGAATGCTGGCAAACCAGCATTTTGCAATGGGATGGGTCACACCAAGACCTCATTTAATGCGTTACTGCACATTGTGCGACATGGCCGAGTCGAGGTTCTTTCAGGCCAGGCCCATTAGTTGCCGAGGATCCGCACGCCTCGGTTGACTTCTGCGGTGGGAGGGTGCTGCCAGGTGCAGTGCTCACCAGGCCCTTGGAGACGGCGTAGCAAGACGAGCGATCATGGTTGAGGTCTTCGCCGTAGAATTCATCCAATATCGGGTGGAGCAGCACAGTCTGCTTGTGAATAGTAACCACGGAGTTGGCCGGTACCGAGACCCAATTGTCTGTTTCGTGACTGTCAGTATTTGCAATGGGAGAGGGGTGAGATGCAGTGAAGGAGATCTCACGCCGTTCAAAAGTGATCGGCTCACTAGCCACAAGCACAATATCAGCGCCCTTATCATGGCGCTCCATCTTGAAGTGCCCTTTCGTCTTTCCCTCCTTCCACTTCGTCCCAGACGAGAAGTACAAACTGGCAGGGTCATCCGTCTTGCTGCTGATATACCTCGTGCAGACGACAGTGTGCCCATCGGTGACCGCGAAATTGAGCAGACTCCGTGTCTCAACTGCGACATTGTGCTTCGCTGGAATCTCGCGCACAAGCTCATTGATTTTGGCAATGGTCTTCATCATAACTCGGCGCAGAAGCGCTTGTCCGAAGCCCTCGGGCCCGGGATCTGAGCTTGGATCTGCACCTTCCTTTTCAAGCAGGTCGAGGAACAGTGCAAAGGCCCACTCACTGTCGGTGCCGCCCTTGACGCCCAAGTACCACCTGTCGCTGAGGGAAGTGGCCAGGGTGCGCTTGACGTAGTTCCACCCGCCGATACCGCCGTTATGCATCCACATGAGGGTGTTGTGCTGAAACGGGTGGCAGTTGTTGTCGGCAAGAGCTCCCTCGGTGGTGGCGCGAACGTGAGCAAAGATTAAATTCGAGCATGTCTTGGACGCGAGACGCTCGAGGTTCTCGCAGTTCCATGCTGGTAGTGTTGACGTAAAGATGCACGGCTCAGGGCCGAGTTTGGGGTCTGTGTAGAAGCCCACCCCGAAGCCATCGCCATTCACGGGGCGCCGATTATCCTGCGAATGGTTAGTTGGGTTTGTCCATGCGCTGTGGCTCCAGCCATAAAACAGGAATGACTCAGCCCAGACATACCAATCTTAATCTAGAGTCGTAGGACTGAGTGAGGATAGAATGACTCGGCTCTGTGACGAGCTTGCTGAGACGGATCTCATTTTGTCCCTTGTAGATCTGTCGACACATGTTAGTTCCTCGCTCCAAGTTCGCAGTCCGGCCAGCTCCAACTCACCAGAAACCGGCACATGTTGAGTCTTCAATCCGTCAATAGCGACGTCCCAAGATGCCAAGATGCAGAGAGGGGTCTAATGAAGATTTCAAGGTTTGTTTACCAGTTTCTTGCGTTGATCGACGTGGTTGCGGATGTTTGGCCGTCAAAGTTGATTTGGTCAGGTTGATGGTTAGTGGATAGGTGTTCGATCGGTGAAGATCCACCGCCTATCTTGGAGCAGCAGAATGCGCTTTTCACACGGCCAACAACGCTAGAAGGCAGATAATGGCAAGAAGCAAATAAATATGAATGAGGAAACCCAAAAGAATGTCTTTTTCTAACAAAATTCCCCTTTGACGCTCAGCTCACGTCCCTTGCCCAGCACGTCATTCATACTCACGTGACTTTCGATACGGGGGACGAGGCGGCTACTCGCGCAAGTCACGTTGATGTCAGTGGCCGGCGATGTTCACTCTTCATCTTTTTACTTCAACATATTTTGCATGAGATCCAACGACAGCCATGAGTGGGAGGATCCTCTCCCACCGTCTGACTCCGCTTGTGAGGGCTGGGCTGGCGCGCCATATTCATAATGCTGGCGCTCGAACAGGAGGTCTGCTTCGCGCTGATGGTGGTGCTGCTTTGAGGGGACGCGCTTGGCCTATCGGTTCAAATGGTATTCACAACAATGTCCCCGCTATCAGGGCATTCTCATTTGGACGGATTTTGCCGAAACTAGCGCTCAAGCTTGTCCGGATTCCCGCCATGTTTGGCGGAGCGACGATTGCGGGACTGGCTTATTTCCAGTATCAAGCCACTCGTATGTGTTATGTTTGATGGTTCCAGGATCTGCAGAGACTAATACGTTACTTTTAGAGGCCGGAAACTATGCCATGGATGTGCTGAAAGTTATGGGAGAGACGGCGGGGAACACGGCATCCGGCTTATTCCAGGGAATTCAGGATATGGCGGATCAAACACAACGTGGATGGGAGAAGACAACAGAGGATGTGGGGCTCCCTGAGTGGCTACAGAAGATACTCCGACTCGATGAGGAATCGAAATCACAGAATGACGGTCCAGGCGGCGGAGGCAAGGAGGCAAAGGAAGGTCGGGCAGTCGGAGCTGCGGCTGCGACTGGGGCGGCATTTGGCTACGATCAGTCGGATGAGGAGGATGCACGCGCTGAGAAAGAAGCTGCCGAAGACGACCAAATGATGGTACTGACACGTAAGATGATTGAGATCCGAAACATCCTTCAAACAGTCGGCCAGTCTGGATCGTTGACCCTGCCGTCAATTGTGGTGATTGGCTCTCAGTCTTCGGGCAAGAGTTCAGTCCTGGAAGCTATCGTCGGGCATGAGTTCTTGCCGAAGGGCTCGAATATGGTCACACGGCGTCCGATCGAACTTACTCTGGTCAACACGCCTAATGCCCAGGCTGAATATGGTGAATTCCCCGCCCTGGGTCTCGGCAAGATTACGGACTTCTCTTCGATCCAGCGCACCCTGACCGACTTGAACCTTGCCGTTCCAGACAAGGACTGTGTTTCGGACGACCCGATCCAGTTGACGATCTACTCTCCGAACGTACCCGACCTATCCATGATTGATCTGCCGGGTTATATTCAGGTAGCTGGCCACGATCAGCCCCCAGAGCTGAAGCAGAAGATTTCCGATCTCTGCGACAAATACATTCAAGCCCCCAACATCATTCTAGCTATCTCGGCCGCTGATGTTGACCTGGCGAATTCGACGGCCCTCAGATCCAGCAGGCGTGTTGATCCCCGTGGAGAGCGCACTATCGGTGTGATCACGAAGATGGATCTCGTCGATCCTGAGCGGGGCCATGATGTTCTCACCGACAAGAAGTACCCTCTTCGGTTGGGATACGTGGGTGTTGTGAGCCGGATTCCTCAAACCACCGCCCTCTTTTCTCGAGGCTCTGGAAATATCACCAGCGCTATTCTGAAGAACGAGAATGCCTATTTCTCGGCTCATCCAGCAGAGTTCGGTGCCCACTCAGACACGTCCGTCGGTGTTTCGACTCTACGGAAGAAATTGATGCACGTCCTCGAGCAGACTATGGCATCCAGCCTCGCGGGAACCAGGGACGCCATCAGCCAGGAGCTTGAAGAGGCAACCTACGAGTTTAAGGTACAATACAACGACCGGCCATTAAGTGCTGAGTCATATCTGGCGGAGAGCTTGGACAGCTTCAAGCATTCCTTCAAGGCATTTGCCGAAGCTTTCGGCCGGCCGCAAGTTCGTGAGATGCTGAAGGCTGAGCTAGATCAGCGGGTCATGGACATTCTGGCCCAGCGTTATTGGAACAAGCCCGTCGAGGACTTGAATCCAACCATGACAGAGGTGGATCCTCTCACGGATCTTCCCAAGGCTGATCCAGAGTCACTGTACTGGCGCCGGAAACTTGATGCCTCCAGCTCCGCTTTGACGAAGCTCGGCATCGGTAGACTTGCCACCACGGTTGTCGCCAACGCTCTCCAGAGCCACGTGGACCAGCTTCTTGCATCTTCCACGTTTGCATCTCATCCAGCAGCACACGAGCAGATCACGGATGCTTGTAATAGCATCCTGAATGATCGATTTTTCAGCACCAGTGACCAGGTCGAGAACTGCATCAAGCCATACAAATTTGAAATCGAAATGGAGGACTCAGAATGGGCTAAGGGTAGGGAAAATGTGAGCAAGGTGTTGAAAGAAGAACTACGTGCTTGCGAGTCCGCTACGAAGCATGTGGAAGATCAAATTGGAAAACGCAAGCTTAAGGATGTGATGTCATTCATTGACAAGGTTCGCAAGGGCGATGTGGTGCTGGAGGGCAACGGCGCCGGGGGTGCGGGTGGCTTCAGTTCTGCCTTGCTGGAAAGAGGTAAGCCAAGTTAGCTCGGGTACACACGCGCCCGGGAGCTCAGAAACTAATCTGATATCCTAGGCCGAGAGGGCATCTTCCTACGTGATCGCGCTGATCTCATTAGAATGAGACTCATGGCCGTTCGATCCAAGCAATGCGCCACACAAAAGAACAAGTATTATTGTCCGGAAGTCTTTCTAGACGTCGTCGCGGACAAACTCACCTCAACAGCGGTACTCTTCCTGAACGTGGAACTTCTATCCGAATTCTACTACAACTTTCCTCGCGAGCTCGACATGCGACTCGGCCGACACCTCTCTGATGCCGAAGTTGAGCGCTTTGCCCGAGAAGATCCGCGTGTCCGGCGCCACCTCGACATCATCCGCAAGAAGGAGCTTCTCGAGTTGGCTCTACAGAAAATTGAAGGCATTCGCCAGCTAGACGGCCGCAGCATGCACCGAAATGCGGATCGTGCGAAGGTCGCAAAGGAAACTCGCAGCCGATGGAACATCTTCTGAGAAAATCATTCACATGAACTGCTCATTTGATGGATCTTGTTCCCCCTTCCCTTTTGCTCTGTTTGATGCCTCCTCTATCCCTTGCCTTGTAGTGTTGTCATATACTCCATATTGCTCTCATTCTTGACTCTTGTACACCTCTCTTTTCTCCCCTTTGGCTGGGGCATTCGTTTGTTTCTAGATCGCCTAGCCCTTGTACATATTTTACGCATATATTTTACCTTGTCAGTCTAGCCTTTCTGGTCAGTTCAACTGAGAAGTCTCAGTATAGTTTGAATGAAATTGGAAGAGCAATTTACCATACTGTAGGTGTTCCAGTACCTATAGTTAGTTACCAGCCGGGGAGAAACGGAGCATTTATAGAAGCGAAATAGAATTGATTAGATTAGGCAGTTGTAGACAACAAACCCAAACCCGGTCTATGTAATCCCACAGCGTACAACCCAAAGGAAAAGACGAAGCTTCAAAGAGATACAAGAAAAGACGGTGAGATTAATGCTTTTCTTCTCCGATACCCAGAACGAAGAGGTTCTGTCAGGGATACAGCCAAAGACTGTATCAAATCCGATAGTTACGGATATACAAAGATGAGGTCGGTATCAGAGGAATGAAACGGGGAAGCACCAATGGCAGGTCATCACGAACGAGAACGGGATATGAATGTCTATCACAAAATAGGGCACAGGGCGTGGGGGTGGCGTGGCGTTTCAAAAGGTGACACACGAGTGCTTCATGTGTGTGGGAAGAATAAAGAGGCTAGGAAATTAGGACGGTTGTAAAGTGTACAGACCATCGTTTGGGGACATGGCTTTAGCAATGCGTTTACTCCCGAGAGACGTCACGGCCGAACAGGCGGGCCTTGATCCAGTCCATGGCGACCAAGACGCGGTTACGACCTTTGTTGCACATTAGCAGAAGTTCGGATAAAGGGTAGCCAAAAGAAACCAGGAGATTAACTTACTGCTGAAGCACATGCTCAGGTAGGCGCTGCGCCAGAAGAGGTAGGTCAGGGTACCACCGCTGGCAATGTTGCCGCTCAGCCAGCTGATATCGGCGACGGCACGCTCCTTGCCAATGTAGGCCAGACTACCCTGGTGGGAGTACTGGAAGGGACCAATCTGCTTGGTCCTCCGAAGCTGCCTCTGGCGCTCACGGATCTCATCGAAGACCCGGTTGCGCTCCTCGTCAGTCTTGGCCTTGGACTGCTCGCTGGACAATGTCTGCAGCTCCTTCTCAATGGCATCGGTCTTGGCCATGGTGTTGAGGAGGCGGGCCAGGAAAGCACCCTCCTGACCGGCAACCTGGGCGGTGGGGGCATAGTTGGTAATGGCACAGTCACCGACGGCCCAGATGTTCTCCGTACCGTTGACCACAAGGTACTCGTTCACAGCAAGACCACGGCGGGAGTCCTTCTGGGCGGGGAGCTGGCTCATCAGGTCGCGGACAACAGGGCGCACGGCGTTACCCGTGGCCCAAACCAAAAGACCGTAGGGGATGGTCTCCAGAGACTTGCTGCCATCCGGGTTGGTGACTTCGGCCTCAATGTACTTGTCGGTGACCTTCTTGACCATAGTCTTGGTGCGGATGGTAATCTCCTCCTCCTTGAAGGTTGATTCGGTGTAGTCAATCAGTTGCTTCGAGAACATGGGAAGAACGTTGGGCAGGGCTTCAACGAGAGTAACGTGGAAGTTGTCCTGGATCTCGGGAATCCACTTCTTCAGGTCATCGTTGAAGAAGTCCTGCAGTTCACCCGCGAATTCAACACCAGTCGGGCCTCCGCCGACCACCACCATGTGCAGCAGGCGCTTAACCTCGTCGGGGGTCTGATCCTTGAACATGGCAGTCTCGACACAGTCCATAATACGCTTACGAATGTTCTGAGCATCGGTGACCTCCTTCAGGAAGCACGAGTGCTGGCGGACACCCTCAATACCTGTAGCATCATTGTAAGTGTATCATTCAAAATGAATCCCGGTCGCGTCAGGACCACCCACCAAAAGTCGCGTTTTCGGCACCAACACCGATCACGAGCATGTCGAAAGGAACCTGGGTGTGAGAGATGTCACCCTTAATTTCAGAATCATCGCTAATGTAGACCACGCGCTTCTCGTGGTCGATCTTGGTGGCTTCGGCTTCGAAGAACTTGACGGTTGCCTTCTTCTGGCGCAGAACGTTACGAATGGGCTCCATGATCGAGCGGTGCTCGATAAGACCGGTAGTACACGAGGGCAGCAGGGGGGTGAACAGGAAGTAGTTGCGAGGAGAGATGACAACCACGTTGTAGTTCTCGGTGTCGAGCTTCTTCAGCAGGGAGACGGAACCCCAGCCAGTACCTACACAGGTGGATGGCGTTAGCAGCAGTTCCATCCATATCGACCAGTTTACCGATTGCATCATGACATACCAAGGATGACCAGAGTCTTCTTCGTCGGGTCGGGCTCATACTGCTCCTCAGGGTGACGCAGCTCGTAGATGCTGTAGGCCAGAGCGCCGGTCAGACCAAGAGCGCTCAGCCAGGTCAGGCGCCAGGCCCAGCGCAGGGCGCGGAAACGCTTCTTGGGCTTGGGAGCCGGCGAGGGAGCAGCATCAGCGTAGCCGCGGCGCGCGGCGCGCGAAATGACCTGGACGCTGGGGCGAAGTGACTTCGCGCGGAGGGCCTGAGAGGTGGTCGAGAGGGTGCGGCGCGACACCGACGACAGCTGCATGATGGACGGCGAGACCATGGAGCGCATTGCTAGCGTGGTGCCAGCCATGATGGGGGAAGGGACGCACCAGCGGGGGAAGCGTTGTCAAGCTGGGGGAGAGAGAAAGGGAAGGGAAGTTGAATCAGAAAGATATAGGGCAATAATAGCGCGGGCAAAAATCAAACTCTTTCGGGCGTCAAGCTGACTGGAGACTGATTGCGCTGCTGTTTTGGGCGAATCGGTGTGGCTGGGGCCACAAGGGGCTTTCTGACGCATCTCCCCCCGGCTTCTGCGCCGAATGACTTCATAGAGAATCCCCGCTACTTCCCTCCCTTCAGCTCTGATTTTTATTTTTATGCTTGTTCTTTTTTCTCCGATCAACTGGATTCAATCAAGTGCTTTGTTCATTGACTTTTATCGTGAATTCATAAGCTAAAATGGCTGCTATGGAGCTAGGCATTCAGGCCCCAGTTTTTTCTTGGTCCGTGGCGGCAAAACGGTTAGCACCAAAAAAATTCGAAAAATTATATAAATATATTTTTTTTTGGAGACGTGAGGGGATGCCCGGTGAGGAGAAATTAACCGCTGAGGAGAACTTGCCGAGCTGGCAACGCTAGCGATGCTCTCATCACTATACTCCATCCTCTGTAGTTCCTAAACAAAAGAGCAACTGCGTACTCCTCAGAGTTGATCCCCTCCATCGATCCCATTATTTGCATGCTCCCTACAATTATCACATGCCCCTCTCTCTTCTATGGCCCGACGAGCTCGCCCGTCCCGAAATCACCCGCGGAAGAACCCGCGTCCGAGAGGTAGCTTCGCGCTCTAGACTTTCCCGCAGGCGCAGAATCCGGGGAAAGAATTTCATGACTCACATGGTTCTATCGCGGCCCGGTTTCTCCCTGGCTCTCGGCGCCGAACTGTGCGAGCTGTCGGCGAGAGTCGGCCGCCCGTGCGGAGGAGGCGTTCTCCTCGTCTAGACTTTGGCCAATTTGGTAATGACGTACTCATGCGGAAGCTCTCATCATTGATTTAGAGCAGATAAGGTTAGAAGTCTCAGCTGTTATGTTTTCTTTTAGCAGGCGCGTCTATTTGGGGTCTCATAGTCAAATATCTACCTAGCACGTATCCCAGTAGATATATACTCCGTACAATGGCCGACATGCCGGAATATTTGGTTGATAAAGAAGCATATTCCAGAATCACACCTACATAAATACAAATATATCTCACGCTACCCAGTCTATTTTAGTCGTCACACCATCTCATCAACCATAAGCTGAATCGCTCCTATTGATTGCAATGGGTCGCATAGCCCAGCCAGCTTCTCCAAGGTGACAATATCAGTCATGGAAGAAGACACTTCTAGGACTTCAAGCAGACTCCGATTCTGCTCAATGGCAGATTTGCCTGCCTCGTAGACTGCATCGCGCCCGTTCTGTCAGCCAATATAAGATGCTGAGGCTATCAACACCACTTCCAGACCATTCGTGGAATGCAAATTGCGCTTCATCAATCCACCCTCAGGTTTTGGAAATTGCTCATAGCGAAGTTTGTTTAGTACACAGCACTGGCAACGGTAACGAATCCCTCCGGCACTGCCATCCACTCCCAATGCCATGACCCGGAGGTGCGCTCAAAGTCAAAAACCATTGCTTCCAACCCTGGAGAGGCCTTGGCTCGTACCATTTTTGATGTAGCGAGAATCAGCTTACTCGGAATCGGATTGCCTCGTGCAACATGCCAGGTCGTGGATGAGGTTTTCAATCCCATGCTTCGGCCAACTCCTCCTGAAGCGTTAGCCCAGTATCATCTCGGTCTCAACACGGGACGGTTCCTACAGCCCCACGGAATTGAACTAGCAGACATCGTTCTTTGATCTCGGAACTCCGCGCCAGGAGTCTGAGAACACCGGGCAGATACCTAGGCGGCGCATTTATTGTATCCAAAGGTAGGTACATGGTAGTGCGTGTTCTTAACGGGCTCAACCAGCTATTAGACTGAAGATGAGGTTAGCTCCTACCTGGACAACTGAACAAAGAGGGCATATGTGCCACAGTGTGTAATGGCTGGCTGTGTCGAGGCCACTTGGAGAACCTTGAGCTCTCGCTCCACCCAGCAGATTCCCCGTTGGATCTGCAGCATGGATGCATCGTCCATCATATAGTATGTGGTATTTCCCAAATGAATGTATCTAGGTGAGGCCCCCACATCACTTTTTTGTTTACTCACTTGGTAAGGTTTGGAAGTGCAATACATTGACAAAGGTCCTTGTCTTCCATCGTCTCGTGGATTTCACTGTTTACTTTAAGGCGATGAACCACCTCGTGTTCTCATGATTATCTTCTTCGTCTTGTTGAAGGTTCATTCACCTCTCATCTCATGCTAGCCATAGTCGAGCGGAGTCAACCAGCTCCTTGAGCTTGCTCGCTCTCTTTTGTACTGCTCTTATTTCCATCCTATTTCCAGCAATATTGGGGGACCCTGCGTTACCACAATCCATCTTGTGGCCTTCCTGCACGACCGTGTTCACTTTTCAGACAACAAGAACTGACACCTCGTTCCGTCATCTGTACGAGCCCGTTGAGGTAATTGAGAGGTTAGAAAATGATAGCATGGGGGACTAAGCCCCATAGGAAATGGGGATCTGTTTCACGACGCTATAGGGTGATACACAGAGGTCTGGGCACATCACGATCTAACTGGCTCGCGATCAGAAAGTCAACAGATGGGTAGCTATCAGAGTGTGTTCAGCAGATCCCACTGGCTCGAGTTTAGCGTGCTTTCCGAACGTTCCATCCAGCTCACAACAAAGTCGGAGAACATGGTTAGGAAGAAGAATGATTCCATCAGTATTGGACCGGTAGCTTTCTTAGCCAAATTTCTCCCTCTATACCTACTTATCCCTCATGCCCCTCATTCCTGCAAGGAGCATTCTGATTCCGCCAGGCCTCATCTGCTCCTTCTACCATATACATTCCCCAACGATGCCACAATATGGGGAACAGCGAACTGTCTTTTTTTCACAATCAACTCATCAATAAGAACCACGGATCGAGGTCCGCATCGCTCGGAAGAGACTCATCCAGCTAAGAAGGGGCAATTTGGATCATCTTTTGCATGCAAGACACTTGTCTCGATACATGGCTCTATGAGACCGCCGTGATAATCTTTAGCGTGCTTTGCCTCTTTCCTATCTTTGCCGAAACAACACACAGCCCGGATTGCCGCATGGTCTAGCATTGAACACAATTATTTCCGTGGTCTCGACTGCCCGCAAGGCTTCTTTAATCTTCGTCATTGCTGAATCATTTGGGTTATTGACATGGGTGTGGTTTCCGTTCGGATACCGAGCACACGTCGCTGCAGGGTGTGCAGTCCATTGAAACTGCAAGCCGCGCGCCTCTGGGGCCTCTGATACTGTATCTACTCATCAGGCACGTTTATGGGTGTCGCTTGGAGCCTTGAGCACCGTGTTAGCCCTTGTTTTTGGCGCGTTCAGTCAGCAAATCCTCACTTATCCCACCTGCCAAGCAGTTGCACATAGACACCCACATCTTGCAACGGTGAACCAGGCGAAGAGTCTTATTGAGGTCTAATCACCGGATCTGTACAGCGCTCTCTACACTGGTACGTGGGGTGACGCCTTTGACATCGACCCAACCCGTCAGTCAGGACCTTATACCTGGCCAATATTCCAGTCCGTCAGCGTCTGTAGCAAATGCGCAGATATGACCACAGAAGCTAGGATGGATTGCGGCGTATCCTTCATCTCATCTCTCATGGGTACTCAGAGTCAAATTTGCGATGTGGAATTTTCCCAGGGACAGACAGCCATCGGATACCAGCATCTCAGCTTTTGGAGACGATGATATTGGCGTGTATCGGCAGGTGCCTATGGACACAGTGTGGACTGTGGGTAGGATGAATCTCGACGCATTAAACGAGATATCTCTCAGGATACGGAATACCCGTGTAGTATTTGCGCAAGCCAGACTTGGGCTCCGCGAAGAGGATACCCCCAACCTCATGGAACCTCCATTTGTGCGTTAGATCATACACCATCTCGGTTTCCGGTAGTGTGAGCTCAAATAAAGGTAGTGTGAACGGTGATAGGGAGGTTTCCCTAGACTTCCCGGGTGAGAATTGCTAGGACCAAAGCCCACGAGAGCACAACTGCCGCTCAATGCTTAATCTGACAGACCATGGCTTCTGCTTTGAAATATTCAACATAACGGGGGGGGGCTGGTAGATGGCGAGAACGACGATATGATCGGATATGAGCGACACCTTGGGCTAACCACGCAAGCAAAACGGCAGATAGCAAGCATAGCAGCAGCATTGTCAGGACGTGGACCTCGGCCATGAAGAGGTGATGAAGAACATAGCTGCTTCCATCTCTAGCCAAGCTCGCATTCAGTCTGAGCAACCACACTGTCGAGGGTACCATGTTTGTGACAGTTTTCGACGAGGCAGTGTCCTGGAAATGGCTTGCCCGGCTTACATGGCTGATGGTGCTGGGGCATTGTGTTCTCTGAGTATCTACCATCACTGTCAACAACGGCCAGAACTTGCCGTTATGGATGTCGTCCATCTTAGCTGCAGTCTGTCACGGGCTCAAGGAAGACGACCTGAGCCATTCCGTCGATCACAACGCCAGTAAGATGAAGCGGGGTGCAAATGAAATTCAATGTGCGATTACGAGTTCCTGATCCAAAGGCCCAGTTAATGCTACTAAGCAGAAAATGAGCATCAATGGATCTCATGATGGAATGATATATCGGCATTAATCTTTCTTCGTGCACCCTTTTTGTCACAAGCAAACGACAAAATCCCACTCGAAGCCCTGGTAACTTACGAATTTGCCATCGTCGTCGTTATCTAGAAGATATATACATATCCACATGCATTCTACACCTCTCATGCACGCAGGTGGGCCCCCAGTCTATAATGTAGTAGATGTATCATATAAGATATCCCCCGACTCGCCCCAGCCCAGTTTCAAACCAAACGGCTCCACGGCGCAGCAGTAGGCCCCATCCATGTGCAGACACGTAACCAAGTCCAGAAAGGTAGTCTGTACCTTGTTCCAGCTAGCCCGCCGGACTGAAAATGGGTATAGCATCTTGGTCAATGGACATCCATGATGCCGGAGCGAGCATCCCAACCTTCCCCACAGTTTCGGCGACTCCGTGTCGGACAGGACTGGGAAAAACTGACTGCCGTGGTGCAAGGTTGAGTTTCTGGCCTGTTTCTGCATCGCTTATGCTTGGGTGTTCATTATGCGTTTGCGTGTGCGACGCAAGTGGAACACTGTAGGGTCGGGGCGGGCTGCATTCCTGGGATTTCTTGCTCGAGAAGAGCTATTGAGAGTGAGTTAGATCTATACTTTACACTGTAAGCACCAGTTTCCCTTAGGTTTTCGTGATTTTCAAAAAATATATTGAGGTGTGGACCTCAGGTTGTCGGCGGTATGGCTGTGTTGCACTGTTTTTAGATGGCATCAAGTTTCCTTTGGAGAATGCATACAGCATGTACCCATCCCCTCTGCCGGTCGTAAATCCCGAGAGGTGTCTTCTTACGGACTGGACTCGACACATCGGGTGATAAAATAATCTGGCATAATATTACTATGGATGAACCTACCTTTCAGGCCATCGCCCTTGGAATCTACGAAGAAAGGGTGAGCTAAGTGTCCTATCTGAGGCTATCTGAGGAAGTGCGATTCGTTAGTGACACCGGGGGTCAACGCTACTTGATCCTCTATCCCATCATCGGGGATCGGGAGTGCGGCACCCCGAGACTAAACTGCGTGCCTTGGAGCTCGATGAGTATAACGAACAGGGCGAACACAGGGACGCCAAAGATGAAGACCCTTCAGAGCAAAGGTGTATGCATAGCAATGCAGTCTACATAGATATATGTGACGCTAGGTTTGCCGAGAGCCGATTCTGCTGTTTGTTCGTTCCAAGACGTCCAGGGACCGTTAGTCGTAGGCTGAAGATCCCAGGGAGAGCCCGCGAGGCATTTACAGCACGTCCTTGCCACATAAAAGGAGGGCCATCATGGATAGCAGCCTCACTGAGCCTTCCAGTCCGTCTGCTAAGCATAGCCATGCCCATCCGTCAAAGGTCTCAGTAGGCCTGTTCCACAGTGAAGCGCAGACAGATGCCTTCTAAAAGGGTAGACCGGCCAAAACGGCTCAAGCCCCGTTCACAGACTGACCGATAAAGCTCTTGGTCGAAGCAGCCTTGCAGGCGTACTGAACACTTAGTCAAATCGCCAATAGCAGCGATTCCGAATCCTAATCGAGAGTCCGGGATTGCAAAGACGCCAGCCAAACCGTGCAGAATTCATGCAGGCGCGATAAGCGAATAGCGAGAAGCATTGGGAATACGAACCAGCGTCGTTCACCATTGCCATGAGACGGAAGTCTGATCCTAGTGGTTGCAGAGAGGCTTGTCACCGACACGCACTGCGGCACCCGGGCAGGGAACGTCGTCCGCCAACCCCTTCCCAAGGCCGATGTCTCCCCGTCGAACCAGGCCGAGAAGGGCCCGATACACAAGGAGGCGAGCTGTGGCAGTGGCAATGGCGGCGGCGAAGCAAAGAAGAGCGAAATGCGGAAGACTCCACGCTTGGAGGCGTAATCTAACTCAAAACCGAGCAGCCCTTCGAAACGGACCCGGTTCGACCGGATTGGGGGGAGAGCTCGCCGCTGTGGCTTCGTCATCTATCTGCTTCGCCCGTGCAAATGCCGTGAGCGAAATTGGAGATCTCGAGCCAAGCCGTGGATACAGTTGCCCACGAGGATCCCCGATGGGCAGATGCTAGTCACATCGACTTCATCATCCCCGCAGGCTCCATGTTTCAGGCCACCATTCCGCCACAGGATGCATGCGGCGAGGAGGGGGCTGGCGAAATATCCGTTTGTTTTGGCGGGGCGGTTTTGGGTTTGGGGTTGGCTTTGAGCAGTCCCGACCCTTTGTGGATGCAAACCTTGCGTTTCGTGGAATTCGATACGATGATCGATTCGGGGGTTGGGGTCGGGCCATTTGAGCAGAACGGGCAAAAAACAAAACAGGTTTTTCATTCACATCCACATTGTGATGGAGCTTTTCTCGGAGTTCGGCGTCGTGACCTTCCTAGATAGGCAGGGGAATGGGCGACAGCTCCGGTCCTGGCGCTCGATTGGAAATATGGCCAGCCGCTCGTCTGGGGATTGTACCTGGCATTGCAAACACCTCCCTGCGGCACACCACCGCCCGGGGGGGGGGGGGGGGAGGTCGGCGAAACAGCCTCCCCAACAGATGGAATGAGGATCCAGGCAGGACCGTTTCCTAGACACAGGACGGATCGACTTCATGGCAGGTCGAGACGTTCCCAGCCTCAGGGCCGTGAATTGACTGTGGGAGGGGAAAGAATGGGGCCATACCGGATGTGGACGGAGAGGACGGGAATGTGAGCGCCGTGAGTGCATACTCAACGTGAGGGCATACTCAAAGCAGTAGGGAAGAGGCAAAGGGAGCGGTGCCATATACCATTGTACACGAACGGAGTACTGTACGTCCGTCTGGAGGTATACTCCGTACATTGCTCCGGTTGTACACGGTCGTCCGTATACTCCAGATAGGTCGCCGAGTTATGCGCGGCCCAACCGGGTTGGGACGCGTTGGCGACTCCACCGAATGCCCGGTGAAAATCCAGACGGGTCCAGACGAGGCCGGATGGGATCCATGGGAACTTGGGTTGCGGGCAGAACAATAGAACCTGGGTGTGATCGTTGTTGATGGCAGCGCAGGGAGGAAGTCGGTGTCTCGACCGCCTGCATGAGTCCCGCGTCTAGACACTCCAGTCCGGCACTGAGCTGTCTGACTAACGGTCGTCTGATCCGATGGAAGTCTGAGATCGCCTGAGACAACCGCTACGTAATGGGACGCCCCCACATGGTCTCCCAAGCCTCGAGCATACGGGTACGGAGTGCTCCGTCGCTGATACCTATACGGTACAAGCAGACCTCAATGATCATCCATAAGCCAGACAGAGTTCCAGCCGAGCGGGGGCGCAACAAGGGCTCCAACGCGGGCTGGACCTCTACGGAACGGAAAACTCAAAAGACCAAGTCAAAGCTCGAGGGCAAACACCGTCCGGAGTACACCACGATGACGGTGTCTGACTGCAGATGCTGCAGATGGGGGACATGGCGAGGTCGCAGGTCCCAGCTGGTCTATCGAGTGTTTGGGGCGCTTCCAGACGGGAACTTCCCAAACAACCTCCAACCACTGGCTGGCCAATCCGAGATTGCAATCCTTCAGACGGGCCAGCTCGCTTATCGAGGAAGGTATATACTCCGTATTGATTATTGAATTATGGGATTAGGGGACTATGGGGTTACTAGATTCGGTGTGATTACTGAATTACTGGATGACTGGGTGACTGGATTCCTGGATGACTCCTGTAGCCTACTAGATGACTGGAATTGTTGCATTATTTGATATTATTGATCGAGGCGAGTCAGTAGTGTGGATACAAAAGTACCATCCATATACATCCGTGCTATTATTACCAGCCCGGGCCCCACCCTGTGCACGGCTTCAACAGGAAGCAGCTCTGCCTCGAACAAGACATGATCCATCAACCGACCTACGCCCCCCCCCCCCCCAAAGAGGCCCCATGTCCTTTGTTGCCTGCGAGCTGCGACCCCCCCAAACGGCCCCTTGGATCTTTTTTGTCTCGGCCATGCAGTCAGGCCCCCGGGTTGACTCAGGAGGGGAGAGGCAACTGCGCGAACAGCCTCCGGTCTGGTGGTATCTGGTATCCGATATCCTACAGTATAGGCCAGAAGCGACCACACGATCAGAAATACGGGCTGTGCCTCGGCCACGCCTCACGTCGGTTCATTGCCAATTCTAGCTCCATGAACACGGCGGACCCTGAATAGTGCCCAGTCCCACCGATCTGGGTCTGTGTACTCCGTACTGCGTACGATTCACGGACTCACCATCGTCCTCGCCCCGATCCATGTCAGTTGACCTGCTGAAGGGGAGGGGGAGGGGGCCAGCTGCGTGGTGAGGCGCGGCGTGTCCCCTGAACCCCATGCCGAGGGTGAACCATGGTCCTTTCTTGCTCGCTTTCTCCTCTGATGGAGATATGGGAATCGGGACGCATTAGCACACCAGGGCCTGGGACGAGCTGGATGACGCGAGGAACCCAGGTTATCTACGAGGCAACTCGCGTTCCTTCTTGAGGCATCGAACTGCCGCGCAGCCTCGGCTACATGACGGGTTACGCCCAGGATGTAGTTTTGGTACCCCGTACGTAGTTGGCATCGCAGCTGCGGCGGAAGCAGCAGCCGCAGCCGTGGTGGCACCGTGATATTGTCTCTATAGTTGCGTTGCGTTGCTGGGATGTAGGTGCCAGTATGATCGTGACTCCATCACACGCATTCTAGCGGTTCTACAGCGCAACCTGAAACTGCCATGCTGTACAGTGTTCGGTAGGGGGTCAAAGAAAAACGTCCGGTCCAGCCAGCCGCAGGGACGAGACGGATGCAAGGAGCCCGGCCAGGCAAAAAGATGAGCAAGGTTGCGGCATTTCACACCCGTTGACTCCGTACATGGGGGGGGGGGGGGGGGTAAATCAGACGGCTCGACAAGCAGGAGTTGTCGACCGCAGGGAGGGTCGTTTTAACTGACGCATGAGATAGGTGGCTCTCGGGGAATTGGGGGAGGTCCCGGGGCGCGAGCCAGTGTAATGATGGGGATAGCGTCCAGGGACCGTGAGGATTACAGAGGGAGGAGAGGTCGACAAGGGCTATCTACGGATTCGGTCATCATTGCTCTCTTCATCATAGGACTGGGCCGCGAGGCTGCGTGCACGAGGTCGGCTTCGAGGTGGACGTGCTCAGCACGATCGACTTCAGCTTTGCCCTAACCGACCCAACGGCTACCTCCACGACCTGGACTTTGGCGCTGCACTTGTACACTTGTACACTTGTACACCTGTACACTTCTGCACTTCTGCACTTCTGCACCGCTGGGACAGACTACGAAGGACCGCGTCGGAGCCCCGTCCCGCGAGCAGCAGAAACTCTGGCCGGCCACCAATCACCAGCCCGGCCAGCGGATTGCTCAGGGACCAACCAGCGGACGCGGGCCTTGCGTAGGCGTGGCAGGATAATTGATAATCGATAATTGATAATTGATAATTACAAAGTCCACACCCCCGTGGCAGGCTGAACGCTCCGGCGTTGGGTCCAACGAAAACGAATTACATACAAGAGAGGGCGCGTTAGCCGGGTTTCCACAAGATGTGACCGTGACCCATTCCGCGTGCAGATAAAGGGGGGGGGAGGGGCGCTGTTTTGTCGTCACTGGGAGCTACACCACACTTCATACGGGCTAGAGTTATGCCTCGATGCCGATGACGGTACCTAGACAGGGAGTAGTATCACGACCCTGGCGGTCGCGGTCAGCCTGCATGCGCCCAATAGTCCAGTGGTCGAAGCCGGCCGTGAACCCGGGCCATAGGAAGGGATCATCGACATCCTGATCCTCGCCTGACCCCCAAAAAAGGAATTGAAAAAAAAAAACAAGATCCCAGAAAAGCTACGATACTTCATCTGCACTCTGCATTCCCTCATCGATCTCATGATGAGAACATGATAGCGAGAGAACGAATAATTCTGAAAATGAGATTCCGCATTTCGCGTGACCAGGACTCATCGTATGCAATAGTATGCAAAACCTGAATGCATCCTTGCGATCCATGATGCGTCCTTGTGACAGATAGTTTCATCCAGTCTGCCGCACCGGACGCGGAATCCATTACAGAGTACGGCGTACCCGCCTCAGCCCGGCGGAAGGGTTTTGATTACAGAGTATAAACCGGTCGGCAAGGCGAGGGAATGGGAAAAGTGAAAAAGGTGGAATCGTATGCCCTGGCAGGCCAAGACGACCCGGGCGGGGGGGAAAAGGGTTCGGCGGCAAACGGGAACCAATGATGCGTTTTGCGACCATCTGCCCTCGTGGAGCACAGGACGGTGCTTGATCGGGGCAAAAGTGGTTGGGATCAATTTGTGTGTTAGTGCGCTGCACCGGCGGTGACGCGGTGACGGGACGAGACTAGGGGAGACGGTGACTATGGGGGGGACGAGGATGCTGGCAAAGCGCGGAGCACATCCGTAGGTGACTACGTGCGAGAGCGCCTTCGCGACTTGCCGCAACCGGGAAGACTCGTCGCATCGTCAGTGGCAATTGGTGGGAATGGATCCAGTTTGGAACAGTGGTCTGGACGGGTTCGCCTCTTCATTTCCATTTCATTTGCATCCCCATTTCCTCGATTGCCCCCAAATGGGACGTGGCCGCCGGGGGGGGTCCACAGATGACCGGACGGGGCAGAGGCTGGTTAGTGTCTGAGGAGAGGACGAGCAGGGGAGAAGCGATGTTGAGGTCAGTGTAGATCTGAAAAGGCAAAAGGGAGCCGTCCCGGAGGACAGGGGTCAGAGTGTAGAACATAGCTCGGTCTCAGTCGGGTGGAGAGTGGATAGTTCGGTCATGGATAGCAACACGACCAGCATCTGCTAACCCATGCAACTGACCCAAGCGAGGCTTGGGCTCATCCTGTATGACTGTGACGAGTCGCCTGTTGGCGGGTTCCGTCCGTTCGGTGGTCCTGGGCGTGCTGGAGGGGCACGCAAGATTGCTCCCTATCCCGCTCCATTGCGAGGCGAATGAGCGGGCGAGGTCGTCAGCCGTGGAAAGAGATCATCTCCCTGGAATGGGATGGAGCAGCTATGACACAGCTCCAGGTGCCCTGCGCGTCGGCCTCTGATGCGCCAGACCCCACCCTTCCTCCATCTGGGGTTCTGGAAACACCGACACCAGAAGAAAAGTTAAAGAAAATGGAAAGAGAATCCACATCTCCTCAACCCGTGGCGGTGGCTCAGAGTAATCCGAGCTTAGGGGAAAAAAAAAGTGGGCACTGATCGAGTCGACTGGCAGGCTTTCGCTCGCATTGTTCTCCGAGCAGCGCAACAACGCGTGTCCACTACGCCCAATGAGCTGTCGCTTGTCCGTCAAATTCTAGCCGACTACGTCTACTCCTAGTATACTCCGTCCTCCGTTCTCCGTACCCAGGATCCAGCCCGTCAGCCATTGAACTCTCCACCGAGCAACCCAGTCTTCCGCGATGGATGGAGGACGGAGGACAGTCCACGAAAAACATCGTGCCAAGATTCGAGACCTGGGATCGTCCTCGGGGACAGAAGGCAGCAGGGAAGGAGAAGACCATCCGTCCAGCCGGCCCATTCGAATGCCCAGCTCCTGCCCAGCGCCCAAGTGAGCTAGGGTGGCGTGAGAACCGAACTTCCACACCTGCAGCCTCCGATTCCCTCGTAGCCCTCGAAAATGGACGGGCAAATTGAACGTAGGAAACTAAATTATAAATTATTGGACCGGCTGCATCAGCCCCCTTTTCCTCGGCCCAGCATGGTTCGTGACATGGTAGAGGGCATTTGTTCATCGCTCGAGGCGCGTGCACAACACGATCCGCGTCGTCTGTCCCGGATAGAGCACACGGCTATCGGCGCGTCGAGAAGAGCGAAATCCCATTAGGCCAAATTGGGGCGGGATCTGGCCCATCTTCCACCGGAAAGTTAGTCTGGTCGGTACGGAGTATCATCACTGCCGCACACCAGAAGTATACGGAGTCCTCCGCCCGTACTTGAAACGGAGGACATCCCCATACCGAACTGGAGATGGCCCGGCTGGATTGTTGGTCGGTTGGATCTGCGGGACTGCTAGACTGCTGAACTGCTGTGACTGCGAGACTGGACTGCTGGACGGGACTATTGTAGGCCTAGTTGGGCTCTACAAGCACCGACCGGCAGTATGGATCACTGGTGCAACGACCCACGCCAGCCGGACCGGGGTTGTCGAACCCAGTCAAATCAAACGACGAATGGATCGAAGGCCAGCAAGGCTCGTTTCCGGATTTACAGGGCGCTTGGAGCAAAAAGGAAGAGAACATCCGCGAGCGCTGACCCGCGGAGGCTGCATGATAGACGGGCGAATGAGAGATCGGCTGGGTTCGTTTTGCCATGGCCCCTCTAGGATGGATGGGGTGGATGGGTTGATTGCCTCTGGGACCAGAGGAGGTACTTCGAGAGGGCGCGCAGGATGTACGATGCACCTCCTGTTCAAGATCCCGTTCATTCCGCCTTCTGGCCCTTGCCCCAGGAGGCTGGACCCGAACTATCAAATTGGTCCATCGACGCCGCCCCTGAAATCTTACTACATAGTTCCCTACTCCGTGCATTTAGTGCCCTCTCCAGGCCGCGGGAAAAAAGCAATGATGAGGCAAGTAGGCAAGTCGTCCGAACAGGCAAAGTTAACTCGGAGGCAAAAAAGAGGAGCCCGTCTCGGGCTAGGTGGTAGGCTAGTCGGGATGTGTCCCCCTCCACGACTCAGACAAGGAAAATGTGACGATCAAAAAGAAGGTCGGAGGAACAGACTACACCGGTCGGAAAATACTGGAGGCTGGCGATGACGAAGGGAAAAAAAAAAAGGAAGCGAAAAAAAGACGGGGACGGAGCCAATGAGCAGCGAGGAGTGAGCGGCTAACAGCCTGTCGGGGAGTACGCGAGTAGTCACCGGGTAACGGTGTCATGATTGCAGTCGTCGGCATCATGGAGGTCATGGGCTGGCTAGTGCGGTAGTGCGGACTAGTGAGGGCGATAGAGGCGACGACAAGGCCAGCAGGATGCGAGGACGATCGCCTCGAGAGGACTGCGCAACCGCCCAACCATGGGATCAGGATTCGGCCGTCGTACACGGAGGTGGTGGAGTCCTAGGACCTAGGTAGGGCCCCAAAGCCTCAACACCTCGAGGGGCGACTGGGCCAATGGACCAAGACTGCGCCTTTGGAGCCCCGAGGACCAGTCATGGGCCGCAACGGGCTAGCTCATCGCCAGCCCAGAACGAAGGCGGGTGGTTCGGATTATACACGGAAGCGTGAGGTGGTGGATCCTCGCATCCTGGAATTCCGGCAGAAGCATAGAACCGAGAGAGCCAGGACGGACAGGAAAGGACAGGATCCTGGCCAGTCACTGCTGCCTGCCCTCTGGCGTTGGATGGGTTCTGATTGGTCTGCGGGGGGAAGGGGAGTGATGATTGGCGAGATGGACATGATTGAAGGAGGCGGTGATTGGATGCCAGGGGGGGGGGGGTTTGAACTCTGAGCGGCCGGAGGGAGGGTCGATTACGATTTCAGCTTACCTCAGCCAGCAGTGCCCCCGTCCCATTCTTCTTCTTCGGGGGAATGTGACAGTACAAGTACTATAATACACCACCACCTCATTCTTTCTGCCGATCAAAGGAAGCGAGACTCCCGATTCCATCCCTGGTGAGCCTGTGGCCCGCCCTTTTGCCGTAACGTCCTGGTTTGCCCCCTCGGCCCAACCCGGAAAGCGATCTTCACCCTCTCACCTTCTGTCCGGCCTGTTGGCTCCGTCACCAGCCTTTGGTTTTTCCTTTTTTAATTATTCCTTTTTAGGCCCGTAATTTACCCATTCTTACCTTCCTCTCATGCTTTGTTTTCCCTTCCCACTCCTACCACCTTTTTCCACCCCCCCAGCTCCCACCAACCTGTTCCCCCCATTCCATTGCCTTCCGCCTGGTGACGACTCCGACTAGTGATCAGCCACCGTGCTCAAACCCTCATGGACCCGCGCTTCCCGGCAACACCCCCCTCATTAGCCCTTAGTCTTTGGGATTTTAGCCCGGGTTCTTTTTGCCCTGCCTGGTGCAACACGGAGGCGTACATGCTTGCGCACCCTCACAGCCCAGGTCGCATACATGGTCCTTCAGAACACTCCTATCCAGTCAGGGGCTTCCATTGGGTGGTCACGATGGGGTAACTTTAGCAACCTCTTCCTATAGTTGGTCACTCATACTTTTGTAATCTATCCTCGTATCGTACGCCTCGTTTCCACTTCCCTGTCCGCAGGTTGCCCATCACCCCCCAAATTCATGAAGCCAATGTACGAAGGGGACCCCAACGGCATTGGGCCGACGGTTGCAACCACGCTAAACCCGACTGATTATTGGATCTGATATGGGTCCCTCATCCCCAGCGACTATCCCTCGTTGAACGCCAGCAGGTCTTGGATCTGTCCTTCGAACAGCTGAATCTGTTCCAAAAAAAAAATTCCCTTTTTTCTCTTTGTAATGCATTTGTTTCTTTTTTTGTCAATTTTTTAATTCCCACTTTTTCTTACGACCCTTCCCTCTCCCCCCCCCTTCCACCTAGCCCGCGCTACGCCAGACTCAGTAGGCCTCCGCCCTGCTCCGCCCTAGGGCTACCCTTCCTCTGCGCCCGCTGGCCCTGCCTGCGAGGCTTTGATGGCCGGCCCCGGGATTAGTGACCTCCGTAAACATTACTCTGCGACTTACCCTTTCTAGGCGTGCATCCACTTGCGACCCCCCAGTGGCTCTGACATCAACCGGTATTCCCATTCCCTTCCCTTCCCTTTCACATTCAAATTAATTTTATTTTAATTACTCGGTTCTTTAGCAAAAGACAATAATAAAATTCATGGTTTTTTATTTTTAATTTGGCGCCCACTCAGAGACAATCAATCTAGATTGACCAAACCGGCACCCAAACAAGCCCAGAAAGGAGGATCAACCCTCTGGACCTGCGTCCGGATCAAACTCTGTCCCATATATGGCTGCTGATGCTTTCTCCGGATGGGTCAACCTACCCTGGGTCCTCTTACTTTAGTGGACTTGGTTTTCTGCGGTAAAAAGGATGGAGATGATGCCTTGACTTCATCCTTCAATTATTTTCCCTCACTATTCTCTTTTGGGGCATTATCCTTTCTCTGTCCCGCCTAGCCGTGAACGTTCCTTTTGGGGGAATTTCACTTTTTGGGGGGATTTTTTTTTTAATTCCACCGCTTAGTGCCACTCCTCTTGAATGGGTGGTTCCCTCCCCCAGTCGGGTTTAGTCCACTCCCTATACGGATCGGTTCTTAGCCATTTCCATATACATCATTTCGTTGCCCCTCTGGAAGTGAATAACGCTACCTTCTCTTATATCATTTCGTTCCTTCCCTCGCACGTCTTTTGACCGCGAGCCCATTCAACATCGTCGCCTAGGCGCTCCACAGGCAACTCACTCGCTTGCCTTTTTATTCCAATTGGGGAAGGTTTGCATACTGTCTTCGCTGCAACCTCAACCCACGAGCGTGTCTTGCCTCAAAAATCCATATATACTTGCTGGACATGAGGTATTGAACCATCACCTCGGCTTGTTTGCCTCCCATCGCCAGTTCCTTGTCAGAGAGTGAAAGCACCCAACGAAACCTACTCCCACATGTGTTAACCTGATTGCCAACCTCTCTCCACCCTGTCCCTATGTCTCCCCAAACGCTGGGCTCTCGATCTTTCTCGATTCTGGGCCCCATCACTCCAACCGTCGACTTGACCACCCAAGCATATCCATCAACCAAAACGGTTTTCGACCCTACGGGCTCTTGCTGCACTGCTCCCTTTCGAGACGGTCTGCCCACCCCTCCCGGCGACATGACTGGCGTGACCTACAATGCCATTCCACCGGCCGCATATGGGCGGAAAGGGCATGGGATGTCCTCCCACATGTACGACCACTCGCGTCCGCATTTCGATTCAATCTCGTCGTCCATGATTGCTTCTATGAAACCCAACCGCGCGACTACTCATTCGGCACCCGCGCCTTCGAAGGAAGCCCCCGCGACAGAACCAGCCAGCCAGAAGAAGTCGAATGGAACGACGACGGGAAGCTCGCAGCTGCGGATTCCCTCGTCCATCAACAACAGCAAGCGCAGCTTGGCCGAGTTTGCCGCTCAAGTAAGCAGGGACGCCCTGTTTTTACGAGAGGAACGATGAAGAACTAACTGTCTTGTCTCTACAGATGACCTGCCTCTTCTGGTTCGAGAAGTCGTCGAAGCTGGAAGCCATCGAAGAACGCCGCCACTCAATACCTTCTCTCGTCGCTGAGGCTATGCCAACCGTTGGATTTCAGAAATGGGTGGCCACGATTCTTTCGACTACTCAGGTCAGCCAGAATGTGATTCTGCTGGCTCTGCTGTTTATCTACCGACTCAAGAAGTTCAATTCAGGCGTGAAGGGAAAGAAAGGCAGTGAATTTCGGCTCATGACCGTGGCGCTGATGCTCGGCAATAAATGTGAGTGCCCTTATCGCTTCACCGCCCTCATGATGATTGGTGATGATGTGCTGACTCAGCTCCAGTCCTCGACGATAACACCTACACCAATAAGACATGGGCCGAGGTCTCGGGCATCGCGGTGCAGGAGATCCATATCATGGAGGTCGAGTTCCTCAGCAACATCCGCTACGATCTGTTCGCTTCGGAGATGGAATGGTCTCGATGGCACACGAAACTGGGTCTGTTCGGTGATTACTTTGACCAGGCTTCGATGCTCCCCGCCGAGTCAGAGATCCCCTTGCTGCGTGCTTCGCCTCCCCGATTGCAGGCCCAATCGCCCTCATCGAAGTTGCCATCGCCCCCGACCGACGCATTCAGACCACAGTCGCAGCCTCAGCCGAATTGGTTCCCGCCGGTTCCTGGTCTCCCTTACCCTGGTCCTGCGCAGCTTGGTGAGGTTGCTTTGGGCGGAACCCGCAAGCGCAGCCGTGACGAGGAGGATGAGCTTCACCCCACAAAGCGCATCGCAATGACCTCTACAAACACTACTCCTGCCCTGACGATTCCTTTGGCCCACATGAATCCCGTGATTCCTACTCTGCCGCCCGTTTTGACCCCGACCTCTGCGCCTGTCGCCCATCCCCAGGTGCCAGGACATATCTCCCGTCTTCCTCCTCCTAACCTCCCTGCGTCCTCCAACCCAATGCCTCCATCTCTCTCCTCCACTGCGGTCTCCCAACTGCCAGTTCCGGCTCTCATGCCTCCAGTCTATAACCGGAACTCTAGTTGGTCTCAGCAGATGCCTTCTGTTCCCATGCCCCCTGTGACATCTGGCATCTACAACACACCTTCGCTCCCGGAATTGGGCCGTCACCACCAGAGCCCATTTGGTGTCTCGTCTGCCGCCGTCTCGCCAGCTGTGTCCGCCTACTCCGTGCACACTCCCCCCCAAAAACACCTCTCTCCATCCTTCTTCCTCGCCAACCGCAACTCTCCCTACCGACCCGTTCGCTCGGTGCACACCTTGCTCATCGCGCCTCCTTCTACCTCCATGCAGCAGCAACGCAGTGTTCCCTTCGATCACATGCACTATCAGCCGTTGGGGAAGACCTCTGCTGACCGAAAGACCGGCCAGCTACCCTATATCTACCCGGAGACGTGGAACCAAACACACTTCCAACCCTTGTTCCCTCCATCCCAATTTTCTGGCTAAACCACCTTCCTCTTCCAACATCCTTCTCCTTGCTGACGACGTGACCGCGTTATGACCTATCCCATGAGAAAAACCACCTACCATTCGCTGTATATCTTTTACCACATCTTTTTCCTCTCGTCTTTTTTTCTTCTCTATGTACAGATTTACCGTTCCATGATCGTGGTTTGCTTTTGTTTTTCCCCGCTTGGCGTTCCATCCCAGCTAGAAGGGTTTATGGTGTTCGCCTCCCCAAGTGAAACAGACTACTGTGATCGGGGATGGCATGTGAGGCGTTTCCTCTTTATTTCTTCCCTTTTGCTTGCCCTCGCGGACAAATGGGTCATGGCTGTGGTGCATTGGCATATTATGGCGTTTTACTCCAGGGGACTGTCTCTTATAGCATATGAAGAAACTAGATTTCTATACCGCATCTTTTTCCCCTTCGGTGGTAAACTTTATAGAAGAGATGGTTGAAACGGTCGAACCCGAGTTAACTATCCCCAGCATAATTGCCCGAAATTTTCTAATAGCAGAAATTAGCAGCAAATTGCATTAGCTATTGTTCGGTTGGCTTAGGCCTGGAGTCCAGCCGTGTAAGCAGTGATGTGCTCCGTCCTTGATTCCGACCCGGCGCCATCGGCCCGACATTTCTCCGCCTCATCAAAGATCTCCGTCCTCCCGACCAACAACCTGACTCTAGTCAAATCAACCAGCAACACTGTCACAATGCCTCCTCGACTGATGGCGCTGCCGATGCAGCTGTCGCAGTTCATCACACGGCAATTCACTCAGGCCTCGCCGCTAGCCTTCCTGACCCCTACATTTCAGCAATCCCGCAACGCCTCCATCCTCTCCTCGCTTTCAGACAATCCCACGGCCTACAACAAGCGCATCCGTCGCGGCCGTGGTCCGGCTTCCGGCAAGGGAAAAACTTCGGGCCGTGGTCACAAGGGTCAGAAGCAGCACGGCAAGGTTCCTGCCAACTTCAATGGAGGCCAGACGCCTGATATCGTCGTGAGTGGTGAGAGAGGATACAAGAATCTGTATGTTTTCCCGCCTGGCTCGCACGATTCGAAATAGATATCAATTGGCTCGCCCGTCTCTTGATACGCGTTGAAGAGTCATTGTTCATTCCCAGCCCGGCTAATACTCCCTCCCACCCCCAGCTTCTCCGTTGATATGGCGCCCGTCAACCTGGAGCGCATCCAAGAATGGATCGACCAGGGCCGCATCGATCCAACGCGCCCCATCACCATCCGCGAGCTCACCCAGTCCCGCTGCATCCACCAGCACAAAGATGGCGTCAAGGTCCTCGGCGGCTCCGCAACCGCCTTAAAACAGCCCATCCACCTCGTCGTCTCGCGGGCCTCCGCGTCCGCCATCGCAGCCGTTGAAGCCACCGGCGGCTCCCTGACAACTCGCTACTATACACGCTCTTCGATCCGGCACATCCTGCGTAATGAGTCGCACCCCTTCGTCTCGCTGGCCTGGTCGCCTGAGAGCGGGTCCAAGGAGCTGCTGCAGGCGGAGAAGGCGCCGGAGGACCTGTCCGAGGCTAACGTGATGAAGACTCTTGGCCTGAAGTACCGCCTGCCGGACCCGACGCGGCGTCGTGATATCGAGTACTACCGTGATCCCGCGCACCGTGGGTATTTGGCGCACCTGCTGAAGCCGATGGAGGGTCCTAGTTTGTTCTTCCGCTCGCCTGAGGAGCGGAAGTCTGCTGCTGGTACGAAGAAGGAGAAAATTTTGCCGGAGAACAGGCTCTGGTGATTGGGCCGTGGGAATCGTGGTTTGTCTTGGTAGGGGGTTTTTGAATGTTGGTCCTTGGTCCAGCATTTTTATGTACATGTATACTAGCCTTGAATATGCTTCGATCATAGAGAATTGTTTCTTTATAACACATGTGTAGGTAGCAGATACCTAGATTGAGTATGCAACGTGCGTTGCCGTCGAATTGTTACCTATCATCTTCCCAAGTTTTATGTTTGCAGCCTAGTAGATTGAAAGTTTTTTTATCATCGTTGTGAGAAAAAGCCACCATCCACGTCAAGACGAAAAAAGCAGAGAAAGCGCAGGACATGATAGCGAGCAAAAACACAAAGATCCGCTCATATAACGTACATCATAGAAAGCAAGCCGCACGAAAAGAGAGGGGTAGAACAATGAAATGCCCCGAAAACGAAACGCCATGCTCGCCATCGCTCGTAAAGTATCCATTCCATCCGGTCATATAGAACCTCATGTCTTCAATAGAAAATTCATAGTAGCCCTGAAATATCCGAAGGTAGATCCGAAAAGCTGAGAAACGAAAAGAAAAGAAAGAAAGGGCGAAAAGAAAACCATGCTGGCAATCTCATAGGAATAAAAATGAATGGGTATCATCAGGCTGATCAACACCTCCAAAAGTAAGGGAAAAAAGAAGAAAAAACTGCCAGCACGAGTAGCAGAAGCGCCGGACTGAAAAAGCAAATAGACATAGAAAAGTGTCATCTGTCAAGCAGTATTTTGTGGGTGATGAAATGGGTGTGAGGAACTGGAATAGAATGTCGAGGATGGAATTGTAACATTCAAAGCTTCCACACCGAGTCTGACGAGCTTTCCTCGACAGACTCAGCGACTTCTCGCAGCCAAGAGCTTGCAAGTATGTCGCGAATGCTCCATCGCTTGCGGACGTCCATCTCAAGACAGCCTCTGACCAAGGCAAGGGCATCTTGTCGGTCCCTGCGCAGCGATTCGTCGGTAGTCGCGACAATGGCGTCGTGATTCCACGTGCCACTCAGAATGTTGGACTGGATACGAGGGGCGAAGGAATCTTGGAACGGTCGTGACCCGACGAGCAGTGTGAAGACGATGACTCCGAAGGCCCAGATGTCGACCGAAGGGTGGATGACACCGTTTGCGGACTGAAGCAGTTCGGGGGAGGCATACTCCAGGCTGCCTGCAACGCTGGTACTGGAGCCCGCAGGGCCAATTTGCTTGGGCGGAGGACGATCGGCGACTTCATCATAAGGGTCGGGGGATTCACCTCCATCGTCGGTGGCCATCCATTCTGTCATTCCGAAGTCGCAGAGCACCAAAGTGGAAGATGTCGTACCATCGGGAGTCTCGATCGGGTCGAGAAGACAGTTTTCCAGCTTGATATCGCGGTGCACCACTCGAGCATCTTCGTGAAGATAGCGAATCGCACACGCAAGTTGGTAGGAATATTTCTTGGCGAGTGTTGCTTCGAGCCCCTGGCGATTTTGGCGGACGAGATCGAACAGAGTGCCACCGATGGCGAGCTTAGTAAAACAGAATGTTGCGTAGTCTGTTTCGTACACGGCATCAAGTGTCAATACGTGGGGGTGGTTGAGATACCGCCAGACACGCACTTCGTGGTCGAACTCAGCCTGAACCTCCTCATTTTCGCTCTCGCTGCGACCCGCCACATTTTTCTTGACAATCTTAACGGCAAGTCGCTTTGTGGTACCTTGCTCCTCAACCTTGTAGGCCTCCTTGACCACACTGAAACCACCGAAGCCAATCTGCTTCCCAAGGACGTAGTCGGTGCCAACCATTTGGCCTTCCTCGTCCGGCGATGATGCCGGCTCGTCCTTGCCAGACCACATGGATAGGAACATGCTAGCGGGCGACTTTCCACTAGAAATAGTAGACCGCCGAGAACCATGCCGTGTGGTCGAGTTGCGCAGACTACCGCTGCGATCCAGGATTGGAGGGCGGGTCTTGCTTCCGAAGGGAGTTATCATACCCCCCGACCATGAAGCACTCCGGTCCTCCGGGGACGTATATGACTGCGTTGGCGAGGTGATAAAGAGCGGGGACAGCAAGGCATCTTTGACACTTCCAGGCGGCGTTCGCACTTCTTCGGCGATTGGAGACGCCGTCGACAGCGATGTGAGGGAGGTCGGTTGGTCGATCTCGGTGCCGGTCATTGAATCATTCCCGGGGCTTCCAGGATGTCGGCCGCGGGAAGATCCGGTCGGAATACCCCGCTGCTCATGAGATCGATTCGAGTCATAACCCCACGGGACTGATTTTGGGTCGATCGAGTCATCGTCATGAGAAAGGGCGTTTCGGAGGCCTGAGGTCCGAGACTCGAATTTTTGCGGGGGCCGGTTATTCACATCTCCCTTGGCCAGAGGCTGCTCTAGCGGGCGCTGAAGGCCCGAATCGAGAGAAACGTTTGGGTTGAAAGTGATGGAGGGACGACGCGTTTGCAGATAGTTGTCTAGGGGAGAGCCCTGGACGTCGTCCGGCCTGTCAGGGAAAGAGGAGGCATCGTCCGCAGGACGACCATCGGGGCGAGGGACTGAAATGGGAGGGGTAGCTGAATGCATCTCACTGAATACTCTGCGGCCTTCATTAGTATCGCGGCGGCGCGCGTTGTAATCATGATTTATCTTGGTGCGGTCGCTCTCGATACCATCGCCACCCGCTGTCGATCTTCTCCTCCCCACCTCATCATCCTCCGACCATCCTGCTCGCGGCTGGTGGAACGAAGTCTCAATCCTCAAGCCTGCTAGCCCGTGCCTCTCCGGGTGCGCCATGCCCTCAGCGAGAGGGCAGGTATGGTGAACGACGTCGTGGTTGCGGGCCTGCGATAGGCTTGCCGTCGGGTTCCGAGAACCCTCCGCGTCAAGGAATCTGATGTTGTCGTGTCTGATGATTTCGGGGCCGCAGGCAAGATGTGGGGCGATAAGCGTGTTAGAAAGCGGGGACGAGACGCTAATTAACGCGCAAGGTGGGTGGTAGGAGGAGAAGGTGCAAGTGACGCGTTGGGTATGAAGAGTGAAGAAGGGTGAAGGGTGAAGGGTGAAGGGTGAAGGGCAAAAGACGTAAAATTGGCTGTTGGGGGTTTTTTTTTTTTGGTGGAGAGCAAAGTAGAGGAGGTACAGAAGCCAAGTGAGGTCAGAGAAGAAATTACTGGAGGGATTGGTCAGAGCAACGACGCAAGGGCTGTGACCAACGCAAGGGCAACCCGGGGAGCAGCGGAGCAGCGGGAAGTTCGGGTGATGCCGGAGTCCCGGTGCCTCGATCAGGACTAGTCGTAGATCATATGACGCAGAGTCATGTGATGCGGAAGCAGTAGGTGACGAGTCAGCACGATCACGTGCATACACGGGGTATATCCCAGCCCTGTACCCTACTTACCCCTTTAGGCACTTTGGTTTCAGGGGCTCCAACTCCCCTGATTACCTGATTAGCCGCGCGCAAGGGGCGCTTGTTTTGGACGCAACCTCCTTTTGGCCCAGGTCTGGGGATGCGACTCGACCTTGACTTTGACTCTATTGCGAATTTGCCCTTTCCTTCTTGCTCAATGTCGCTCTGGCAGTAGTTTCTTTCGCGTGTCCCGTGCCCACCGTGCTGCGACTGAAAGCGCAGGACCAGCCCCCACCTTTTCCTTGTCAAGGCGCAGTCGTTCTTTTTTTGGGTCACCGCTTCAGCTCCTGGAGCCTGCGTGGGAATTCCATTGTCCAGTTCGAGACTCTGTCGGCGGGATCTCGATAGCTCGCTCATCTCTTTCTTTCCGTGTTTCAGGCCGATAGTGCTGGTTTACCAATCGCCCCGGTTCCGACACAATTGTGTTCTTCGGTCTCCCCCTCCCGATTCCACGCTCCTTTCAAACACCATCATGACAAGGCCTCAGATGATCCGAGCCGGTACGTTCCATGAAGCTCCTTCCTTCTCACGCAATAGTTGTCGGGGCCCAACGCTGTGGGTCTTAGTACTGACCACCGAGTGATATAGATACCTTGGACCTTCAAGACCACGATGCCCCATCGGCCAAAGATCACACCAAACAACCCGAACACCCTAGTCCGTTGGGGGGCGGCCGGCCTGCCCCCCACCAGGAACTTTCCATTCGCCATGCCGATCAAGACTCGAAGTCGGAGATCTTGGGGGTTCCCGGTTCCAACGGCGGTCATGAAGCCCGCGACGGCATGGACATGTACCGCGAACCTGAAGATACAGATGAAGAGGTAGGACAAAACGGGGAATATGATCATGAAGAAGGCGACTTGGCAGACGGCGAAAGCGACGATCTCCTCGATGATGATATGATGGACAAACTATCCAGTTCTCCTTCGATCGATGACGGTGTGTTGCTGAGGGCTTCTCCTCGCGTAGAATTCGAAGCTAATCAGGCGCAGAGGATATTGACTTTGAATTCGTCTACGCGCTTCACAATTTCGTCGCAACCGTCGATGGGCAAGCAAACGCCGCCAAGGGAGATACTATGGTGCTTCTGGATGATAGCAACAGTTACTGGTGGCTTGTACGAGTGGTCAAAGACGGAAGTATTGGATATCTTCCTGCAGAGCACATCGAAACGCCCACCGAACGTCTCGCTAGATTAAACAAACACCGAAACGTCGATCTCTCGGCGACCATGCTAGGCGATAACTCCGAAAAGTCTAAGAATCCTCTGAAGAAGGCCATGCGACGACGAAATGCGAAAACCGTCAACTTTGCTGCACCGACGTACATCGAAGCGTCAGATGTCGAGTTCTCCACAGACGAAGAAGATGAACATGGCGACTTCTTCAATGACGATGAAACAGTCGAGTCGGAGGATGACGAAGCTCAAGAGCAGAATCAAGACATCATTGTGGAGCCTCTCCGGCCTAAGGCCCAGAAGGAGAAGGCCGCAGAGCGGAGCGAGGGCACACACTCACCTGAAAAGCAAGAACCCGAGAGAACAAGCTCTGAGCCGCGACGGTCGAGCGAGGAGTTCTTTGACCCGGAAGGTAAGAATCCAGAACCCGTCACTTTCATTAATAAGGGCGTTAAAATCTAACCCAGCCGGAACAACAGAACCTACTGTCAGTAGATCCAGAAATGGCACTGTACGCAATACAGATTCTTTCTTCAAAGACGACACTGCCGAGCCGAAAAAGATCTCCCTCACGCCTAATCTGCTGCGCGATGAATCTAGCAGTACTACCTTGACTAACGACTGGAAAGATGTAGGTTAACTATCCAACTGGGATGTTTAAATCAGAAACTGACTGTTCTCAAGACCGGCCGTGGAAGCTTCGAATCCATCGACAAAGCGACTGCTTCGCAGGACAAGCTTAAAGATGACAAGAAACGTAAAGACAAGAAACCCGGGATGCTCAGCGGGCTGTTCAAGAGGAAAGACAAGAAAAGCAAGTCGCCCGAGGATGATTTCGAAGAGACTGAGCGATCTCCAGCCGAATCTTCATTCCGAGCTTCACCTCAACCCAAGACATCCCTAGAGTCTCTGTCGCCAGAACAACGGCCTGTTAAACCCCAGCGGCAGGCTAGCAACAAGCTCCAGAAACAACCGCCGTCTGCGATCTCTCCTGCGGCTCGAATTGATATACAGGCCGATTCTGTGGCATCCGATCCGATCAAGGAAAGAGAGATTGTGATCGCGAACCAGACAGGCCAGTCGATTCGACGAGTGACATCACAGGAAACCGACAACCTCAAGGAAAGCCGAGGAGCCGTGGCCTCTCCCGTCAGCCAGCGGAGCCCCTCGAAGGAATCATTTGTTACTCCGTTCGAGTCCCAGGATCCGTTGGCATCTCCGGTCGATCGGCCATCCAGCGAAGCACAATGGCGAGGAGCTTACGACTCGGTCGAGCAGCGAGCGGCTACTGGCCATATTTCCGTGACATCTCCGCCTCAGAAGTTCATCCCGAAGGTAGTGGCTGGCCACACCGACCAAGGATCGCAGTCTCCGGTCAACGGCTCTCCAATGGAGTCTCATATCCTAATTGCTGCACCCGGGCTGAGCAAGGAAGCCGCGCTGCGGGCGCGCTCTATCTCCCCGGCCTCCCCACCATCGTCGCCTGAGGCCGACGTCGACCTCAAGGGTAGTGAGGCTACCCCCGTCCCTTCACTGGACACACTCTCAGTGGGCACTCCAACCTGGAGCGACGCCAGTCTACGATCATACCTCGATGACGAAAACGACATTCGCGACCTTTTCATTATCGTCCATGACAAATCCAATATTCCCCCTGCCGGTCCTGACCACCCCGTCACTGGCCGTCTCTTCAAGGAAGAGAGCAAACGGCTCAAAGAGATGAACAATCAACTCGACGAGATGCTTGTCAACTGGATGTCTCAGCGGAAGAGATACTCCAGTGCAATGCGGAGCGTGCGGAGCCCGACCGCCTAGTCATTCTGATGTATATCTTGTTGCTTTTACCAGTGTATCTGTGGATATCTTCATCGGGTCTGCCCCAAAGTTCTCTCCTTATCTCCTAGAATCTCTCTCAAGCAGGATAGGAGTTTCCAGTGTGCTGGGCACATCACCTCTGGCCGGTCCTACTTCGTTCTCTATCTTGGCTTTCATTTCTCCGAAGGTATCTGTTGCTTCCCTACCCGCTCACCTGATGCATCGGATCTTTTCCCCCGCGCTTGGTTCCATCCCCTTGCCAAGGCGCGAGCGACCTGTGGTTCTGAATCGACCAAGAGCCAGCACTGTCTTGCATCGGACGTGTTTGTGCGTCGCTTTCTCTTTTCTCTTTCCTCTGATGTTCTTTCCGCCGGAATACCCCGAGTTGTCCGCGTTCATTTGTTTTCTTTTCAAACTTCATCGCCCCGTTATCTTAGAGAGATGATGTACAATCCCAAGACCTTGAAGCTTCCAAAAATATCACCACTCGTAGATGAATATCACGGCAATTCTTGCCAAGGTGGCCCCTTCATTAGACTTTGCTTGCCCATTCCCTGCAACTGTGATTGGAGTCAGCACATTCCGGGCGGCTTGCAGAACGGAGGGTCGTGTGGGCATGTCAGCCGCACCATGATGCATGGCGCCTTCCCGCTATCAGCGGGCTCCGAAGTACCTCCTGGGGGCGTCGAGTTGGGCTTTGGTCTTAAACTTTCTGTTCTTTCATATAAGAGGAAGAGGAACCAGTCACTGCCGTCAGCCTGCGAAAAGTCCCTCCAGAATTCCTCTTTGCCCTCTCATCGCACCGTCATGGCGGATCCATACAACCCGTATACTTCATACTCGACGCCCACGCCGGGCGGGGTCAGCTACTACCCTCCGGAGGAGCAGAGTCCATATCACCAGCAGCCCGGCCACCCGTACCAGCAGCCGTACGGCACTGCAGAGCCACAGCCCGACCCGAACTACACCTATGCCGCGCAGCCGAGCTCAGGTCCGGGGCCCTATCACCTCGCACCGGAGCCCTACCAAGGCGGCCACCCAGAGCAGAGTCATACGCCCGTGGGACAGCCAGATTATATGAGTCCAGCCACGACCTCTGGAATGCCCCCTGTCCAGGGTGGCAAAATTCCAGAAAACCTGGGATACTAGTGGGTCATGGACTCGTGATTTGAATAACAGCGCAGGCCAGCACTAATACGCTCAAAGTGGCCATCCCGCCGACCAACCGCGATACACTCCGTCCCTCAGTCCTCATCCACCATCTGTCCATATATCTGAAGCAGACAACGCACATTACCACCGTGGAGATAATCGTGCATCGGATGAAGACGCCGATCCTGGGAGCGAACGTGGGATAGGCAGTTCCCTTGCCGGCGGCGCCGCGGGATACTACTTTGGACACAAGAAAAACCATGGTCTCCTCGGTGCGATTGGCGGTGCTATCGTGAGCAACTTTCTGGAAGACAAGCTGAAGGATCATGGTCGGCATTCGCATGAGCACCGTCAGGATCATGGGCACCATCACATTCATGGGCACCATCAGAATCATGGAGATGGGCATCACCATCACCATCATCACCATCGGCATAGTCATTCCCGCAGCCACTCGCGTCACCGCGACGAGGATGATTTGTAGATGGGTGGCTTGGCAAAGCTTTCGAGAGTTGTAATGTAGCAATGGGAGTTGTCATGATTGTATTGCACTCGCAATGGCTCTTGTTGGAGAGCTAAAGACTCGATGTACTGCCTTCTTTTCGTTCTAAAATGACCTAGGTGCACCCCGCTGTGTTTATGCTAGCTTCACATTACATACCAGAATAATGTTCCGACATAGAGATTGTTCTAATAGGAGAGAACATTACAGCATACTAAGGCGCCTTGCAATACTAGGCTGCGACACAAACTCGTAATGCAGCGGTTGAGAGGCAATAATAACAATATATATAGGTAGGTTACCAATCCCTTGCCGCCAAAGGTCCTACTCTATTTTGATGACTTCCGTGTAGATAGAAATAAGAGAGTAGCATTAATACCTATTGGGAGGAATTATCAAGCTGGAATAAAGACAAGAAGCCCAGCACTCTTGACAGCCACCATCTATCTAGAGAAGTCCGATATAAACAACATCAATCTCCTTTTAAGCTTTGTTTTCAATCTAGCCCTTTTCTCTCGGAATCTGTCACCGGAGATTGAAAGCCATTTTGGCCTATCAAATGAAGGCATGGCTATCCGCTGTCTTCCAATCTCGCTCCTTGTGAAACCGCACAGAAACGAACCCATTGACCGGCCACGGATTCGACACTCGAACCTAAACGTACAATCCCTAGGCTGTCCATTCGTGGTTTGGATTGGAAACCACCAATTTTGACAGCAGTGAAATCGCAATCAATGCTGTCAACACAGCGGACATGTGTGACTTCATTTCTCCCGATTGTTAGCCAAGTGAATAAACCCCGATGGGAGAAATTAAAGCAGAAGCTTACCACACAATTGACTTTTGGTGCATCAGCGGAAAGATCTTCGTATATATCAATCATCTTGATAGGCATATATCTTCCTGATTATCTTGCAAAACGTAGGATTCATCAACGGCGAAGCCATCCGAACATGTCTGGTTCTGTATTGGTAATGGTTTAGGCCTGTACTATGAAGGCAATTCAGAACATCAGGCTTCGGTCATGGCTCTATTCTAAGAAGGTCGAGAAAATTCTAGTCTAAATTCAATCTGGGCCTGTCGGGCCAGGAGAAAAATCCGCCGCTCTCGTATTCAATCTTTCGATCCACAGGCCGACCTCGTATGTGTTCCCGCAAGGCCCACACTACCTAAACCTGTCGATATAGGGTCCACGCGCAGAAATGCACTCTGCAATACGCCAACTGAAGATTTGCTAGCCAGGGGATTAACGGGAAGCGAGCTTCTCTTGCGCCTAGAACCAACTTCTAGAATGATATTACCCGCCCCCCGGAATTACCGAGGAGTTGCATCCACGGACCCTACTTTAGGCCCCCCAAAACTTTATCTGAGCGACTATTACACATCCAGGGGACAATCAGAATAACTGACCCGTCTGTATACGGGCCTCCGGCAGAGAACCCTGTTTTTCTAGAAATACGAGCCTCCTCAAAGCCATAATCGTCGCACCGGTCCATTTTTGGTGCCGAATCAAGACAAAATACCTGTTCACCGGTTATTTACTGGAGACACAGGCCCTTTCAGGTAGATCAGGGCTCGCCTTTATTGGATTAAACGTGGGCCCTGGATTCCACTTGCACCGGGGACTTCCCGTTAGCTTATAATAAGAGCTCTTTTCAGGAATGGGATTGCACCGTTTCGATATTTGAGTTTAATGAAGTGATACGAGCAGGGCTCGGGTCCTAGAGGCTGAATGCACAGAAGATCCAATATGGGAAGAGCCGTGTCTCCAGGGGTTCAATTGTGAATCTGCTGCGTGTTGTTCTTAAAAGGCGTCTATCTCCTGCTGTAGAAGAATGGCTTCACCCCGTTTTCGCTCTTTTGTTGATATCCAGTGGGCTCATACTCTTTACCCCACTCCGCTTTCAATTTCTTTAAATTCTTTTACTGTGCTGATCAATCACTATGCATTCCATGACTCTGGCGGTTCTTTGCCTGTCAGCCCTGGCTGCTGCTTCCGTCAAGGAGAGAGGTGAATCAGGCAGCGGCGGCGATGACTACTATAATAGCCTGATGAGTGAGCTCAACAGCCTGTATGTATGAGATTCTCAGGGCCCATGCGTTCCATGGGGATTTGATATGCCCATCTAACACTTTCTTAGCGAGACCGACACCAACTATATGGACTACTTAACGGCCTACAGCGACCTCCCGACTGACTACAGCGCCTACCTGCCCGATGCCACCGGCTCGAACTTGGAATCTATCAGCTTTCCCTCGTTAACCGCGGCTCCCAGCTACACAATGCCGTCCGGCCTGTCAGCCGACATCCCTCCTCCCTCCATCGAGTCGGTGCTTGTCACCGCTGTGCCCATGTCCTACTTGTCGCAGATGGAGAACCCGTCGGCCCGCGCATCGATCTTCAGCGAGATCCATGCCGGTCACTACCCATCGTGGTACCGGCAGCTTCCCAGCAGCGTCAAGGAGTGGATCTCGAGCCATTATGCCACTGGCGCCGTCGAGACCGGGGCTTCATCCACCGGCTCGTCTGGAGGCTCTAGCTCGAGTTCGGGCTCTGGTAGTGGTGCCCCCGGTGCTGCTGCCCCATCTGTGCTCGCTACTGGCCTCCTCGGTGCTGCTGCTATCCTGGCGGTTGCGGTGATGCTGTGAGATCGGAAGCCGCTTCTCTTCACGTGACGATTCACATAGACCAAAAAGGTCTGAGGACAATCTTACCTATTAAGATTTTCACGGTGGCGGCTTATATAACAGGCTTTGGGACGACAATGCTGTAGCAAGTGTCACGTGGACATGCAGGGCCCTCGATTTGGCGGGTCCTAGCGGTGGCTTTGTTCCCAAAGCACATTGATTCCCCTCAAAGTGGAACGGGGCCTGTTATGTGTGGTAATTAGGTTAGATCAGATATTCATGGAAATGTATGAGCGATACAATAACCTCAAGCAGCGCCTCGATTCGATGATTTCAATGATGAGACTAAAGTCCTTTAGTAAGTCTGAGGTAGCCGGATTAAATCGGCCCCGCGCTGATAGGCCTGTCGCTTATCTCGTTGAGTCACGCCTGATCATCCAGATAAGCCGGATAAGCCCCATTCGGGCGAAGATCGTTGTTCGGCTCTCGTGATGTGCGAGGGGTGACTTGTTCTCGCGCTCCTTTGCTTTTTCAGCTCTCCTCTCCTCTTTATAGACTCCTCCTTAGACTCGCTTTAGACCTCTTTGTCTTTATCCGTTCGATCCGCCTCTCTCCTTCATTCCATCTCGACTCGTTCCACCCCACGAGCCCACGCGTGCTCACTTTCCCCGGATCGACCCTGCTGCCGGAGTCCTTGCTGAGAACGCAGGCCGCGCCCTCAATCGCGACCTAGTCTGACGAACTCGCCGGGTCATGCCGTTTACTCTGCTACATTCGCTCTTACCAGGGTCCCTACCCGACCACTGCGAACCCTCATCGCCCTTCCTGACCGCTATCTCCTCGCACCTCCACATTTGCCTCCCAACTCCACTCGCGCTGATCTCATCTGTTCTCGGAACCCTCAGCATCGTCTCATGGCTGTTTGCCCAGCTCCCGCAGATCTTTAAGAACTACCAGCTGCAGTCAACGTCCGGTCTATCGATCTTTTTCTTGGTTATTTGGTGTGCTGGAGATGCGACTAATCTCCTTGGCGCACTATTCACGCGCCAGGCAGGGTGGCAGGTTGTGGTTGCAGGCTACTATGTCTTGGTCGATATTACACTGGTGACTCAGTTCTTCTGGTACACGCATTATAAATCGCACCAGTATGAGGGGTACAATGCGGTGCCACACTCGCACGACCACGATGCCCGGGGTGGTATTCTGGAAGGCGTGGCTCTCGCAGGCAACAATGCGACCCACCAACCGCCGGCACCGGTCGATATGGCACCTAAGAAGTCGGAGGTTCATGATATGGGCGTGCAGACAGGGTCGACTCTGAATTCGACTGCTGGTCGCACACCTCCCTATACCACCGAGAAATTTAGCTCTTCACGCCGCTCCGTGCGCGTGAGCAGCAGCTCGGCCAGCCCGCCCTTCGCGCTGCCCCGGACCATGCTCATCGCCTCGCTGGTATGCGCCGTGCTAGCCAATGCCAGTCCCGCCCATCCTGCGCCATCACCATTGCCTCATCCGCCCATATCTCACGCTCCCCGCGAAACCATCATCGAGATCGTGGGCCGCATCTTCTCCTGGATGTCTACGATTCTTTATCTCGGCTCACGGCCACCACAGCTCTACAAGAACTACCGCCGCAAGAGCACCGAGGGTCTCTCTCCGCTACTGTTCATGGCCGCCTTCTGCGGAAATTTCTTCTACTCTTCCTCCCTCCTTACCAACCCGAACGTCTGGTCTGATTTTCCGCCCTACGGCGGTGGCGGATGGGCGGATGGGCATGGAAACGACCGCTGGGAGTGGATCGGACGCGGGATTCCGTTCTTCCTCGGCGCATTCGGCGTTCTTGGGCTAGATGGGTATATGGGCGTGCAGTTCCTCATGTACGGTCCTCGGGATGACGATGACGAGAGTTTCACCGAGGCGGATGATGAAGATCCCAAGCGTGGACGCAGCCGGTGGAGACGTGTGCGGGGCTGGATGCGCGGCTGGATTCCCTCGACTTCTCCTACTCGGAGCGAGTATGAGCGTGCTTCCGCCTCGCAGGAGGGCCAGGCGCTTCTAGGCTCGGATCGTGGGCGATACGGTACTCTCTGATGATGAACAGTCCATATAACATTCCTCTGTGAAGTTTTTGTTCCCATCCAAAGTGAGAGGGTATATGATACATTACGATCTAATGAACCTTGCGATTTGGTTTTACCCACTTGATTCTCCATTGCATTGCGCAGTCTTTCCTCATTCAACCTATTCTTCCTGTTTTGTGCCACCACTGCACTGGTTTGTCCTTGGTCATATAGACCTGATCAACATCATACATTTCGGGTTTCCCCACGTCATATCAGCCCATGGCGTTATCTTGGTTAGTTCCGGGCTTCGTGTGAGAAGGATAAATAGATGGGTGTTTACCACTAGCTTGTTTCAGCTCTCATGCAGAAACCTGGGTTCTGTGTCTACCTGGGGTTATATAAGTTCATGCATGCTCATCAGTAAATGACAGTTTGATGACACATTCCCACTCAACAGACGTTCTCTTCGTAAGTGCCCTATGGCAGGAGCGATCTAAGGACAGTTCGCATCCTACATGAGTTTTCTTACAATGATAGACCGTATGATCGTCGTTTACGAGTCAGTAAGAAAGCAAGTTACCCTAGAAAAGCGACCAATGATCGTTTACTAGGTCCCCTCAGGAGATGGGCTGGGCAAAATCTCGTGGATCATACAGAGAGTGTAGGTTGGTCTCCAGGGCGCATACAGGTCGAGGCTTTGAATCTTATTCGGGGTATACCCCTAGCATATTTCTTAACCTCTACATATCTGTCCCAACCGGCGGGGAGAGATTACAAAAACTAGGCTACCAGCCGCTGCGTATGCTTGAGTTACTTTCTAGGGGGTCAATGTACTTAAAAATCCATAGCTTAGCACGTCCCTAGCACCCCTCGGGAGGTTTCAGGGGCAGAGGTAGATAGGGCCGCAAGGCTCCGCCTCTGTTACCCCCAGGACATTAATTAATACAACAACAACCAGATACGGCCGAATGTAAAAAAGAAATTAATACGAACGCAGCCCATAAGATCACTGGGCTCATGGTCGCTTTAATCGATGAGGTGGAGGCTTTATAACACTACATCTTCTGCTCTTTTTCTGTTACGTATCTGTCTCCGACAGACAGCGTAAACAGTCCAATCGGCATGGGAGTTGAGAATTCGATCTTGTGTCTGGATTGCAACTGCTATCGGGAAAATCATGTCAAGTAATTCCATACAATGATTCCAAACTCATTTCCGAGGATAGTAAGGGTTACTTTGTTTGGAGTCTCGCGTGTCTTTCAGCCATCCAAGTTGTCACAACAGGAAGCATATAAGCATTTCCAAATCAGGTATAGCGTTTTGGGATCCCCTTTTAGCCTCAATCCTAATCGTTCCTTGCCAGACAGCCAAGCAGATTGGGCGGTCTGTGCTCGACACCGTGCTGTGTTGCGCGTCATTGTAGCGATGTACATAAGTCAGTCTACAGATTCGAGAATTGAAGACTGCATCGACAAAACTTTACCACCAACATCTACAGTATGGCGTATTACCTACACACGTGATCAGACCCATGTTTTATGTCACGGGTTAAGTGACTACGGATACTCAAATCCTCAAAAACGGGTCCAACCGGTTGATCACTTCGGTTGTACCTTCTTTGGTCAACCCTCCTTTCTACCTGCATTAAGGCCCACCGCTCTAGTCCAGGAATGAAATGACGACCCGAATTCACATGTTTAGGGCCAAGGCAGCACGCTAGTAATGATATGCGCCCCTACAGTATCACCGTAAATACGGTATGAGGCTGGGGTGGGGGCGGTGGGGCTCTCAACATCTCCATTAGTGAAAGGATCAGCCTGACAAGGTGCCCTAAACAGAGCGGTATTATTAAGTGCGTCAGGCGTTCTCATCCCATCTCCTCTCTACCTGGGTCTCTTTCTTCTGGGTCTCTCCAGCTCTGTTATCTAGATCTAATCCAATGAGTCTCAGTTGGCTTCCCTGGCCGACTCGGCGCCTTCATACTGCCGTTCAAAGCGAAACAACATGGGGCTATGTTATCTATCGCACGACCTACACACCTGAATCGGACACTGCATTCCCCCGTGTTGTTGATTTACTTGACTCCTACATCAAACACGGACTCTACTCGGAATGCACTTCTTCACAAAACAATACTTCGAGGCATACAGATCCAACACCATATCATGAAATCTGGGCCCGACACAATTCGGTCATCATGAATGATCGCGCAAAATTCAATGGCGCATCAGCAGACACCATTCAAACGCATTTCAAATCTTGGTCTCGTGTACAGGAGAAGCAGGGGAACTCAACTGCTTATCGAATGTGCATGGTGATAGACGAAAGGTCATTACAGGGCTTGTTGAATTTCCCGCCTCCAGGAGAGGACTCGGATGAAAAGCAAATCCATCCAATCCAGTATGTGACAGTAATTGAAACATCTTCCGACAGCGACGATGAATACGATAGCTTTATGGGCGGATGAAGTTTCATACTCAAGATGTGTCCATTATACGAAATCCGACATAACAATGAAGTTCAACGAGGAACCACATTGGTTTAGATATCGCACGCTAAGAGGGCAGCATAACAACGAGAGGAGCAATGAGGGCTATGGCGGAACTGGACTATATTCCCTGTTCATTGACGTAGTGACGCGTTCTCCATGTAAATACACGAATATATGTTGAGATGGCCATTTTGAGGTCCAGAAGCATTTCCAAGGTCCCGAGGGTCCGTCAATGTGAAGGTGTTGTTAGATACGGCCCAGTCCGATAACTCCTGAGTAGGGATTTCAATAACCATAGCTTTTAATGAATTTCTCATTTTTCACATAGCCAAAGACAGTGATTCTGGTCTCCTTGTCGTACCATGAACATTCCTTGTCGTAGCAATGCTATGCCGACTGGATATTCTCTGCGGTGGTACAAGAGTTGTTTCTCGATACATATAAGCGGAGGAACGGGTAGACGACCGAAGTAATTATAAAATACATTATTGACACTATGAATCATAAGGCCGCCGCTATGGAATTTTCTTCCAAAGGAGGCTTTAGCTTCAATTAACCATATATGCCGCAATTCAACGATGCACAGAAAGAAAGGTGTATGCTGGTGGCTGAATTGCTCGATCGCTAATTTGGGCTCCGTTGCAAATGAGTCTCAAATTTGCCCGTACTCGCTGTGCGCACGCTCGCTATGTGTGCGCGCACTATACCCACGCTCACTACACACACGATCGCTACCAAGCTCAGACATTGGTGAAAAGTCTCCGTGCAGTTCAGGTGTCCATGGGTCCGAGTGTGTAGGTAGCTCCACGGGCTCTGATGGAACTGTTTTTTTGAATGCCGGTCCATCACGAACAGATCCGTCGGGGGCCTGCGCAGAGCTTTTCCGGCTCCTCTTCTGTCGAAACCAGAAGAGAAGTGCGAGAGCAATCACGCTGATAGCGGCAACAGCGACGCCAGCTCCAATACCTGCTTTTGCCCCGGGTGATAGGCCTGATGTGTTGTCTGCGGCGGCCGTGGAGGTTGTGGAGGTTGTTGAGGTCGCGGAGCTGGCAGGTGAAGTTTCCGTCACGGAACTGGTTATAGCCGGGTCAGGGTGGTCGGTGGATTGCCACCTGAGCTCAATAGGATACGCATGCACAATAGGATTTCTGTAGGTGATTGCGGTTGTAGTAGTTGGTGTCGCGCCGAGCACAGTGTAAGTAATGGTTGTAGCCCCGCTGCTTATCGCGGTGCAAGGCTCAGCTGTATACCAAACAAGGGGGGACTTGGTCGCAATTGCAAATCCTCTGGAAAGAAAAACAATTTGGCATCAGATTCCATTTTGGGGTATATGGAGTAGTTCCGTACTCAGGACAGCATTTCGCTTGGGTCTCAGTGATACCCAACCCACTCGTGACGATATCAGTTTTGTCCACGGTATATCCAGTCGGGCAATAATAACCCGGTGAGAACCAGGTCTGCGTGGTAGCCCATCCCGAGGGAAAGCAGTCTGTGTCGGGTGTTCGTACTATGTTGTAGACGCCATCGCAAGTGCTTTTCATGCAATCGGAAGAAACCCAGCTAAGACTGGAACACGAGGCTGGGGGTGCAAATTCGGTCGTTAACGGAATAGCTGCCGAGGAAGAAGACGTGGTTGTCATATTGGGTAATCTCGTTCGTTCGACCTCACCACATTCCTGACAATGTAGAGATAGCAACGAAGGAATCGGATCCTTCAGCCTTGAAGAATCGAAGAGGGCCAGGACGATGATTATTCAGGACCAAGTCGGTCGCAAGGCCCCCTAAGGTACTGTAAACAAATTTTGGGGGCCAATACATACAGGCATAGCCCCATGGAGCAGACCGAGCCGGACACCAATGCTTGAATGGATAGGAATTTTTGGTGGAGAAGAAAACAGGGTTGCAAACCGAACATGGGCCTCGCGTATGCAGGCGTACTCCGCATGGTGTGTGGATATGGAAGAGTAGTTGGCCCCAGAGGCTGTTAGCCTTGGACTTAGTACCGAACCATATACAAACGTAGTAAGGATAGGATGCCGCCCCGCTGAATACGGCCTCCTAATTGGTCCTGTTGTTTATGTATAGCAGCTGCATCGCCCATCATCATTTCACCTGCTCTGTGCGCTCCGAAAAAGGCATGGGATTGGCCAGTATGGGGTGGTTTCCGATCAACAAAGTCTCTGTTTTTAAGGTCCCACCCTCCCTTCGGGAATGGCATCAAGAAGGTGATAGATAGAGGCTGACTTCGGGCTGCTAGCTGATATGAGCAGGGATAATTCAGGATATGATCGTCCACAAAGCGGTCTGTTTCATGTATAGACCCATATGTCAGAAAAGCTACTGTGGCACAGAAGATATGTGGATCTGTCTTGCCTGTCTATATTGGCATGTGCATGTTGAGTGCTCTCAATTTTCGATGAATACTACAACAAAGCGACAACAATCACTGCGGATTATTGTTCCCAAATCGTTAGCAACCTTTTCTTTGTAACTTGGTCGATATATTCTTTACCGAAAGCTTCACTGTTCTAGTTTACCATCTGGCAAGGAACTCTCCGCTGTACCCTCAGTCGCCGCATTGTCCCTTTTGAGGCAATCTCCCGTCGTTGAGGCTTTCGGGCTGAGGACACCGACGCTGTTATGGAAGGGGCCATGCCCGTTTCATAATTATCACTAACAATGTAGCTCCTAGCAATGGCCTCCGAGAAGATCGGCAGCCGGCAGTCTATGGGGTGTCGTAGTCTAATTTATATACCGTGATGCTTCCGGTCCCCGTTCTAGTAATCTGATAACACGACTTTCGGTCCAAGAGTGACGTGATTGAGCTAATCCTGGATAAAGCCTGGCACCAGTTCCTGTGATTGGCCTGCGGTCTTCATCTACTCCCTGAACTTTGTTGATAGAACCTGCAGGATATTGACATTTAAACCACTTATCTAATTATAAACAAAGTATATCGAAAAGGCGACGGGCATCAGCCCGCCAGAATGTAGACCAGCCCCTTCCAGCAAACAGAGAGGTGGAAAATAAAGTGTGCATGCGTCGTTGTATAAAGGCCAAATGCACACTGAGGCCATCTTGCAAGGACCACAAGGCACGGGGCAGAAGAGGAAGAGGGGGAGGAGAGCCGGTGAAGTCTGTGTCCAAGTCATTCAAGCAAAGCAAACAGGGCTGTACCAGGGCCATGAAGAAAACGAAGAGAAAAAAAAAAGAAAAAGAAAGCCATACTGCGCGCGGAAGCAACAAGCGACAGATACAGCAAGATTAGGCAATATTCTAGACGAGATAAAAATGACAGGGGAAAGGGTCAAACATAGATAGACTAGAAAAGAGGGCATCTGCATGCAAGGCCGAAGAAGGGGGATGGGGAGAGACATCTCCAAAAGAACCAAGACTGGATCATATGGGAAAGGGGGCATATTCATTCGTTGCTTTGTTCGAATAATTCATGACCGGATTTGTTTTTCTTTCTTCTCTTCTTTCACAACCCCATTCCCAATCTGGTTGATTTCCCGGTTATCAAAAGACAATCACCCCTGCTCCGTCCGGGCCATGATATTGAAGCATCAGGGGTCAAAGCAAGAACACCGAGCAAGCAAGTGAAAGGGACAGATGGGATAAGAAAGGGAAAGGGCAACACGGATTAATAGACCGCGACACGGCGTGACCAGCACCAACCGGACCGGGCTCATGGAATCAACCCCAACCGAAAGGCTCAATCCAATAATGCAAGTTCCAAGGCAGTATCACATAACGGGGGAGGGGGTGTGAGATGGGGGAAAACCAAATAACTAATACAAGGGGGATTTGACATCTTGTACTCCGCGACGAATGACGTCCTCGAGCCGCCAACGGGGAGGAGTGAGATTAGCAGTGCGCTTGCGGTGCCACTCCTTCTCCATCTCTGGAGGGGGAGCCATCTCCTCCGCGGGTGGCAAAGCTCCACCAGCAATACCGGTCGAGAACTTCAGTTGAAGGACATTGCCAATTTCATCACAGGCGGATAGAACACGGTCGAGATCGTCCTTGGTATGAGCTGCCGAAACGCAGAAACGAGCGCGAGAAGAGACCAGTGGCGTAGCTGGGTAGCCAACAACCACAACCGAGATCTTGCGCCGCAGCATCTCGTGCGAGAAGGCAGGCATCTTAGCCGGGTTAAAGAGCAGGACAGGGATGATGGGTGAGTCATCATGACCGTATACTATAAAGCCAAGACGCTTCAATCCAAGACGGAGGTATCGGGAATTGAAGGCCAATCGCTGCAGACGCTCCTCACCCTGGCCAGGAACGAGCTCGCCGTTGATGATGCGAAGAGCGGAAGAGATCTGCATGAGGACCGCGGGTGCGGGAGCCTCGCCATAGAAGATACCCGAGTTGGTGGCCCGGAGCTTGTCAATCATCACCTTGTCCGCGGCAATGTATCCACCGTTTGCGCCAAATGACTTGGTCAGAGTACCCATCAGAACATCGACCTCAGCGGTATCAATGCTAAAGTAATCGCAGACACCACGTCCAGCGGGACCAATGGCACCGACGGAATGGGCCTCATCGACGAAAAGGTTGAACTTGTAACGATGCTTCAGGGCGACCAGACCGGGAAGGTTGCACATGGATCCCTCCATAGAGTAGAGACCTTCCACAACCACCAGAATTTTCTTCCAAGGGCGATGGGTGCGGGGCTGGCCTTGAGAGATGGCCTCACGAAGCTTCAGTTCCAGATCATTCATGTCATTGTGCTTGAACATTGCAATCGATGCTCCGGAGAGACGAGCGCCAAAGCGGATCGAAGCGTGGTTCAGTTCGTCGGAGATCAGGAGATCGCCCTTGCCGACCAGAGCGGGGAAAATATTGGCATTGGTACCGAAGCCCATGGAGAAGACCATGGATGCCTCCTTGCCAACGAACCGAGCAATTAGGTCCTCGACTTCAACATGGAGATCCTGAGTGCCAGTCTCCGCGCGGGTGCTAGGAGTGGCAATTCCGTACTTCCGAACCGTATCTTCCGCAATGTCCGCACAGGGACCCTCCGACTGGGCAAACCCAAGATAGTTATAGGAGCTCAGGTTCAGAGTATCGGTGGTGGTGCCAGTCAGGTAGAAGTGGTTGTTGTGGTCATTGGTAGCTCGGTCAATCAGAGTAATGGTGCGTCCAGGAACGCCAGTCACGGGGCGCTCAAAACAATCGTTGATGCGCAGTTTGAGACGACGCACGTAGAAGTTGTCGAAATCGCTGTTGAGGGCACCGTAGCCATTGCGGGGTTTCAAGTGTCGGTAGTTCTCTTCACGGAAGCGCTTTCCAAAGAAATCACGGACATGTCCGAAAGCAATTAGGATTAGGTAGCTGATGTAGGTGGTAAGCAAATAATAATACGGCGGCTCGTCCATCACCGGCTCTGGGAAGACACCGCCAGGATGCCGACTGGAGTACCGATGGCTGGGGTGACCGATGGGGCCGAATTGAGCATGTTGTTTGGCCTGCCGGCGAGCCTCCTCAGGCGTCGGAGGCTGAAAGAGTGTGGTCGGCATTTTTTCGTCCATAGCAGGATTGTCCGCCGTGGCAGTCGACAGGGAGATCGTTGGTAAGGACAGTAATGCCGAGCTGATCGGCGGAGAGGAATTGTTAGGGTTGTTCCCACCGGTCAACTGGGTCGCAGTCTGTGTTGGTTGGGTATCGGCCTTGGACTTGGGCGAGACCGAGAAGAGCTGGGACAGGCGATGGGACTTGACCGAGGGTGCCTTGATGGTGATACCGCCCCTTCCCGAGGAAGGCGAAAAGGACGGCGAGTTGGAAGAGGTGTCGTTCGAGGAGTTGCTGCTAAACCGACGAGGCATCGCAGAGGGAAGCAGCGAAACGGTTCCGTGGGTTTGGTCGGTAGGTATTTACCGTCGAGATGAGAGAGGGGGGGAGGGCGCGTGGGTTCCTTTCACGCGTGCAGTACGAGTATGAGGCAGGGACTACCCACAGCAGGAGTAGTGTGAAGTTTTGCGTCGGCGAGACTTCTCCAGGCCGAGTCTTTGAGGTTCCGTCGAGGCTGACAACAACCGGGCAAGGAATCTGAGGGGGCGCAGGGCAGAGGCGTTAGTCGATGAGCGCTGACAAAGATGATCGAGCGTTGACGAGGTTGATTTGGGTGCGCACGGTGCATTGACAGAGGAGGTTCAAGGAATGCAAGACCAGGGTGCATCAAAATGTCCACGGATGGGACGTACCTCGAGGTTGATGTCGTCGCGATTAGCGGATCCGAAGACCTCCGGCAGGGCTTAGGAAAATTTGTGGCTTTCGCACGTGGAATGGGGGCGAAGGAAGAGAGGAGAAGGGAACAGGGGCAGGGCCCAACGTTCAGCGAAGAGGCGATTCCGGCACTCTCGACTCCCACACAAGAAATTGAGGTCGATGGGGAGGTCAAGCACAATTGGGGGGGAAAGGAAGGAAGAAGGAGAGGGCGTAAATAACGTCTACTACGTCTCATCATCATGCACGATGCAGACCTCCTGGTATCGGTGGCGAACGGGGCTGGTACAATGTGACCGGCCATAACTGGCCGGTGACTAAGCGGATGGCGGTACGATTACCAGCATCATACCAATCGGCCAGACTTTTTTTTCTTCGGGCAGTTTTGGATCCACCCAAGTGGGCCCATCGGAACAGGCTCAAGTTCCCGTCAGGATCTGATCAATAATCTGGTCCATTCGGTCAAGTTGGTCAGGTCGCAAGGCCAGTTCTTGTTGTGTCTCGTCTGTCGAGGACACCCTTCCCCACCAGCAAACCTACAACCCTGCCGTACTACCTCTACTACCTACGAGCATCCTTTGCCCCTGATATCGACATCCTCGGTGCTGGTGTCACCATCCCGTATCCTAACCGCATGAAAAGAATGATGGGCATCAAATACGGTGTGGCGTTCAGTATTGCGATCCATATGGCGGTGCTACTCGAAAGTTGGTCCGAGTGGCCGCGAAAAGGGGCTAGTATGACCCCGGTGCTCGGAACTTAGTAAATTAGTGCTTCGAGCGGGCCAAGCTCATGCTTGGGATCTCCCTAACTGGTTTCGGGCATCAGGCCATGTTATCGGTGGTGACGGCCAGGAGATGGGCCAGGCCAGACGAGGTAGACTACACACTGCGGTCATGTATTCGTGTGGATGCTGCGACATCAGCAGTCTGTGCAAGACGAAAACGGTCGAGACCGTGGGTGGCCTCAGGCGCCAACTCCATTCGCATTCCGCTGTGAATCCTACCGCGTCGCATTATGCAACGGTCGAGATCACTGCCTCGGGCAAGTCTAAGGAAGGGGAGGTGGGGCATGGGCCGAAAGAAGCGACTCTCACGATTTCAGATCTCGTAGCTTTCCCCCGTCTGGTTTATAAAGCATTGCTCGTATCTGCACCGTTGACCGATGCGCAAAGCCACGGAAATCATCGGCTAATTTCCGATTGACGCCCCGCGATCCCTTGCTGGGGTGTTTGGCATTGTGCAACCTTGCCTTTTCCATGTCAATTTGAGTCTCACCCCTGCACGGTCCTTTAGAGCGAAGACGCACCTGGTATAGAGCTTGAGGGAAAGAGTTTTCGGGATATCAATCGGGTGCACCTACGACCCTGAAGCATATCGTTCTTGCCCCCTGGAGGGAACCCCCTACGAAGAAGGAAAACTTGCCGGTGCATATTTGGACTTGCTTTTTTCTTTGGTCCCGATTATTCGGCGAGAAGGCTTGCTGGGCGTGCTATTGATATAGTTCCGACGCACTCAACACAATGCCGCACATTGCCGAGGCTATCACGCCCGAGGCGAAGGAGCTCTGGCGGCCTTCGTCCCCTGAAACGACCCTGATCTACGACTTCATGACCAAGGTGAACGATACGCATGGCCTGTCTTTGAAGGATTACAATGCTCTATGGAAATGGAGTGTCTCGGAGCCCGCCCAGTTTTGGGAGGACATCTGGCACTACACGCACATCAAGGCCCACGAGCCGTACAACAAGGTAAGTACTCGGTACCTACGGTTTCCCTAATCAAAAATCCGAGGTCACCATTCATACCCGTATAGGTCCTCGAGTCGGAGCAGATGATGTTCCCTCGGCCAACGTTCTTTGAAGGGAGCACTCTCAATTTCGCCGAAAATCTCCTTTACCCGGCCAATGCGCCGAGTGAGGATTCGATCGCGGTCATTGGTGCCACAGAGGCCGACCGCGAGTTCATCTCGTGGAAAGAGCTGCGCGAGCGGGTTCGAAAATGCGCGATTGCCTTGAAAGAGGCTGGTCTAAGGACCGGTGACCGGGTTGCGGGCTTTGTTGGCAACCATGCCAACACCGTCGTCGCGATGCTGGCTTCGGCGTCAATCGGCGCTTTCTGGACTGGCGTGTCTCCCGATACCGGTGTCCACGCTGTTCTCGAGCGTCTCAAGCAGATTGAGCCGAAGATCCTCTTTGCGGACAACGCCTCGCTTTACAATGGCAAGGTGCATGGATCCTTTGCCAAGGTCCTCGAGATTGTTTCGGAGCTGCCTGGTGTGGAGCTACTGGTGGTGTTTGAGATCGCCAAGTCCGTTGATTTTAGCCTCGAGGAGGTTCGTCCGGCGAATGGAAAGGCTGTGACATATAGAGAGTTCCACTCCGCCGTCCTTGACAAGGCCGCTCCGCTGGAGTTTGCAAGCTTGAAGCCTGAGCATCCTGTCTATATTTTGTACTCGTCGGGTACCACAGGCGCTCCGAAGCCCATTGTGCATGGATCATTGGGCACGTTGCTTCAACATAAGAAGGAGCATCTCCTTCACTGTGACATCCGTCCTGGTGACCGGCTCTTCTACTTCACCACCACTACCTGGATGATGTGGCATTGGCTCGTTTCTGGTTTGGCCAGTGGCGCGACCATTGTTCTGTATGACGGCTCGCCATTCCGACCATTCGATGTGGAGGGTGGTCGAGGAGAAATGGCGATGCCACGACTCATTGATGAGCTTCAGATCACCCATTTCGGTACCTCTGCCAAGTACCTGTCCATGCTGGAGCAGGCGGCACTGAACCCTCGCAGGCATGCGCACCGGCCAGTGACTCTAAAGACGCTGAGAGCAATTTTCAGCACTGGGTCACCCTTGGCTCCTTCGACTTTCGAGTATATTTACTCCTCTATCCACCCCGACATCATGCTAGGCTCCGTCACCGGTGGTACAGACATTTTGTCTTTGTTCGCCTCGGGGTGCCCAATTCTACCTGTCTACAAAGGCGAGATTCAATGCCGCTCTCTTGGCATGGCGGTTTCAGTCTTTGATCACGCTGGAAATGATATCAGTGCCTCGGGTGAGCCTGGCGATCTCGTCTGCACGACACCTTTCCCAGCACAGCCTGTCATGTTCTGGCCCCCCGGTCCTACCGGCCAGGAGAAGTACCGAAAGAGCTACTTCGACGTGTTTGGCCCTTCGATTTGGCATCATGGAGACTTTGTACGCTTGAACCCACAGACCGGCGGAGTGGTCATGCTGGGTCGCAGCGATGGAGTGCTCAAGCCGTCCGGTGTCCGGTTTGGGAGTGCAGAAATATACAACGTTCTGCTCAAGCACTTTGCCGATGAGATTGAAGACTCTTTGTGTGTGGGCCGGAGGCGAGATGGCATTGATACCGATGAGACGGTTGTGCTCTTCGCCAAGCTCGCACCTGGCTGTCCCTCTGATATGAAGGACCTTTCTGCACGGATTCAGGCCATCATTCGCAAGGAATTGAGCGCTCGTCATGTTCCTGGTATCATTGATGCTTGCCCGGAGATTCCGGTGACCTCTAATGGTAAGAAGGTTGAAAACGCAGTGAAGCAGATCCTGTGCGGTCTCAATATCAAGATTGGAGCAAGTGTTGCCAACGCTTCTTGTCTTGACTGGTATCGCAACTGGGCTTTAGAGCACTCATAATAATATCTCCTTTCATCGATTGGAAATCTGAAGTTGTAATGTGCAATGGGCACTCTTGATATAGTTGCAGTTTAAGGGTTTGAAAGTATGTCATCATAACTAATTCTAGACCGTCGAAGTTTGGTCAGCAACCTAGAATCAGCCATGTATTTGTCCAATAACCACCTCATGTCATTATGCTTGATAATTCAAGTAAAGTATTCTTTTTATAGACTGAAACTCGTCTAACGTCACTGAGCTTTCTTCATGTCCAAGATTCCAGATGGGAGTCATTCGACTGATTAGGTAATCGTATCCGGTGCAGTTCTCCGGAATCAATTCTTCGCCGGCGCCGCATTTCCGCATCCCCCAAGACCTTGAAAGAAAGCGTGCATAACCCCTTTTCGAAACCGCTAGAACACTTACGCGTGTTTAGATCCAAAGGCAACATGCGCCGCTCTGCATTGCGGGCCATCGAGTCCACGAAGCCCATCACACGAGCTCCTCGCTCCGTGTCAAGAACCTTTGCTACCCTCAATGACTCGGCCAAGGTATTTGGTTTTCTCAAATCCCCTTGTCTTTCACTATCACCTCTAACAACCTTGACTTGCAACATACAGGACCCTGCCGAGCTTGACCAGATTACCACACTCCCGAATGGAATTCGTGTCGCCACAGAATCATTACCGGGGCCGTTCGCGGGAGTCGGAGTTTACGTCGACGCCGGATCTCGTTATGAGGATGCAAGCCTACGTGGTGTCAGTCACATTATGGACCGTCTCGCCTTTAAATCGACTAAATCGCACACCGGAGATGAAATGCTGGAAGTTCTCGAATCCCTAGGCGGCAACATCCAATGCGCTTCATCTCGCGAGTCTCTGATGTACCAGTCCGCCAGTTTCAATTCGGCGGTCCCTACGACCCTCGGTCTGCTGGCGGAGACGATCCGGGATCCTCTCATTACTGAGGAGGAGGTGCTCCAACAACTCGCGACGGCCGAGTATGAGATTGGTGAGATCTGGGCGAAGCCAGAACTGATCCTGCCGGAGCTGGTCCACATGACTGCCTACAAGGATAACACCCTCGGCAACCCGCTGCTGTGCCCCAGTGAGAGGCTGGGCGAGATTAACAAGGCGGTGGTTGAGCGATACCGAGAGGTTTTCTTCAACCCGGGCCGTATGGTCGTCGCCTTTGCCGGCGTGCCCCACGCCGAGGCCGTCAAGCTCACCGAGCAGTACTTTGGAGATATGCAGACGAGAGATATAAGCAAGGGCCCCGTTCTATCAGGTGCAGGAATTGAAACAACGTTGTCGGATTCCCACTCTGTTGCCAGAGAGGGCCAGGTTCCAACTGTTCCTCACTTCACTCCCTCATCGACGACAACCAGCCCAGCCGCTTCGCAACAAACACAATCGTCGCTCCTTTCGAAGCTGCCCTTTCTCAAGAACCTCTCGTCTGCAAATAAGAGGGCTACCGTCGAGCCCCTACACCCGTCCTTGATTGAGCCTTCGGCCTTGGATCTCCATCGTCCCGCTCACTACACCGGTGGTTTTACTGCTCTTCCTCCGATCCCGCCGCCCGCGAACCCTATGCTGCCCCGGCTGAGCCACATCCACCTTGCCTTCGAGGCCCTCCCTATCTCCTCTCCCGATATCTACGCCCTGGCTACTCTTCAGACCCTCCTTGGTGGTGGTGGCTCCTTTTCTGCCGGTGGTCCTGGTAAGGGCATGTACTCGCGCCTCTACACCAATGTCCTGAACCAGCACGGCTGGGTCGAAAGCTGCGTGGCCTTCAATCACAGCTACACCGACAGCGGCATCTTCGGTATCTCCGCCTCATGCAGTCCTACCCGGACGACCGAGATGCTCGAGGTCATGTGCCGCGAGTTGCAGTCCCTGACCCTGGACACTGGCTATACTCAACTGCAGACGCAGGAGGTTAACCGGGCGAAGAACCAGCTCCGGTCCTCGCTGCTGATGAACCTCGAGTCCCGCATGGTGGAACTCGAGGACCTCGGCCGCCAGGTGCAGGTGCACGGCCGCAAGGTCGGCGTGCGGGAGATGTGCGATCAGATCGATGCCCTAACTGTTGAGGATCTGCGTCGCGTGGCTCGCCAGGTCTTTGGCGGCCAGGTCCAGAACAATGGCAATGGCACTGGTAAGCCCACCGTTGTGCTCCAAGAGGGCGAGCTTGAGGGATATAAGCTCCGGTCTTTCCCATGGGAGGAGATTCAAGAGCGCATTGCGCGGTGGAAGCTTGGTCGACGATAACTCAATATCCTGTGTGTGGATAGACTGGACGTTTTGCGGCTGTTACTAATAGGAGAGGAGGCGCATCACCGGACAAGTTCTTGAAGGGATTGACGCATGTGCATTGGGCGGATCTGTTGTATAATAGAAAGTAGTGTAGCACAACTCTGTAAAATAACTCACCATTCTTCGCCATTCCTAGTTTGCAGTATGATGATTCCGATGTTCTCTAGTATACCCGAGCGTGCTGGTAGTCCGATGATGTCGGTTTCTCAGCGGGTCCAAGCTCCTCGCCGCTTTTGCCCGGCAAAAAAGTCGGAGCGCCCGAACTCGCGCTCCGTTCTTCCATCCATCATCGTCTCCATTAATCTCATCTTCCACCCTTCCACCCATCTACTTCGCAACCGCCAAAATGGTCAAGCTCACTGAGGTCGAGGATGAGCACTTCACGGACAAGCCCACTCCCAGCAAGAATGACGCTTTGCTGGTCTCCGATGACGAGGAGGACTACACCGACACCGGTAAGTATTTGGCGAACTCCTGTTCCTCCAGCGCCCTCGAATACGCGCAACTCGCACCGCGCTGGAATCCTGGTGTCAATGCCCGGTCAAAACGATCAGTGCGGGTTGACGTGTCGAGGCTCCCAACCCGACCCGTCCAGAATCGCGGGCCCGGAAGAAACACCTCATATTCTGGCGCATGAGCATGATCATCAACCCATCGAACCCGCACCTAACATCTATTGTCAATCAAACAGAGTCCGAGATCTCCAACGATGACGAGGAGGACCTTGAGCTCGAGGAGGAGTCCCTCTACGACCGTCTCTCCGCCCTGAAAGACATCATCCCACCCGGCGCCCGCCGCACCGTCACCAGCTCCGTCTCTTCCCTCACATCCTTCACCAAGGCCAGCCTGTCTTTTAGCGGCAAGGCTCTCTGGGTTATCAGCACCAGCGCTTTCCTGATCGGCGTGCCATGGGCGCTCGCCTACGCCGAGGAGGAGCAGTACATCCAAATGGAGCGGGAGCAGGGCATGATTAAGGGTGCCAACGAGGTATGATTTGACTGATTTTCCAACCCTGTGGCTACTGCTTCTTTGGTGTGCTTGACGTAATGGCCACGTTCAACACTTGCAATATTCGCCTTGGACCTCTTTGCCTTGGGACAACGTGAAAAAAAGTTATTGCAGCATTACCACGTGGCCGGCACTGTCCCACTATACCGATTCAAACAATCTAGAATCGAGCAGCTTGCTGACTGTGTTTCTACCCTCCAGATGCTCACACCCGGTGTCGAATCCGAGAAGCAGGAGGCCCATGCCTCTCTGTAAATTAATACCGCCCTGGAAAACGGGAGGAACTGGCGACGAACCGAATGACTTGATGGCCCACCATATATCGATAGAAGATCGATATGGCAGTAACAAGATGGTGGATGAGATCCGGGCTTCGACCCTAGGATCAACGATCCCCTCAGCCCGCAAGAGCGTTCCTCAAGCATAAGGCTTCGAGAGATCGCTGCAGGGCCGTTGCTCATCGAATCGGTCGGTTCCCGGACCAGCCCCCTGCTTTCTTCCTTCTCCTCGCTTCTTGATATGTCTTTCCCAGAAATTTTTGGCTCCGGCAGCTTATGCATGCATGTATTTGTACAATCACAATTTATCTTTTCCCACTCCAGGTCCTCTATTTACTCTTTGTTACTTTCCCTCCTCTTCTCTTCGTGGTTTGTATGTCTAGGTGATGCAAATTGAATGAGCGATCCAGATCACGATACGTTTTTTGTAGAGCAATTTGTCGAGTTCAGATGGTAGCTTAAGGACATCAAAGGAGGGTAGACGTACACAGTCAGGAGAGACACTAGGCAAATGAGGTCACTCGCAGGACGGGCAAAGGAATGGGCAAGTTGAAACATGAAACAATTGCCACGTAATTTCAAAGGCAAGGTGGATGGTAGAATATAGACATGGGTATCATAGTAAAACGCTAGATAAGGCTTCATCAACTGAGGGTAGATATAATCCACCGGAACCAGGTTCCTTTCATTCTTCCATGGTGGACTAGAAAGACGACGAGCGTTAGACATGTTTGTATAGCTTTGCCTGGAGGGCGAAAAGAGAAACTTACTGTCTTTAGACGGGCGTCTTTAAGATGCATATGGAAATCACGATAGAGCTTGTCAATCTCACCGGCCGCAGCCATCTTGTCGATCACCTCGAGCGCATTCCGCGTCTTGCGCTTCTGGCTCAGATTGTTGCGTCGCAGGACTTCAGAATCATCCATCTGGCCCGTTAGTCTGAGGTAATCGACAACCCATTCATTGAGGCGGTACCGCCAGTGAGTAAGAAGGTGTGCCATAAAGGCATTGGCCTTGCAGGTTCTAGACATGTGAGAAGGGAGCGCAGGGGGGAGAACATTCTCAGCTTGACTTACTTGCCCAGATAGAAATGTGTTTTTTCATCAGGCAGGATGTGCCCGTCTCGGTCGCGCTCTACGCCCGACTCGTCGCTTTGATTATCAGACGGGTCATCCTCACTGCTGTCGTCCGTCAGGGGCTCGAATGTGTCCTCAGAATACGCCTTGCCGGAGAACTTCAAGTCGGAGGAAGCGGGGTGACCGGCTCGATTGCAAGCATCACATGAATGCATTGCCTCGGTTGGAAACGCCGTAACCTCGAGATCAGGTCTAGCCAGGAGCACCTGGCGAAATCTGGCAGACCACACGGAAGAGATAAGCGAAGAGCCTGCACGCCCTTTGACCTCGTCCCCCAGCTTTTGGAATGCCATTTGATACATGGTATCATCCCGCGGAAAGGCTGGATCTATGCGGTTGTGAACCATCCATGCAACGACGTCACGGAAGTACTCCTTTGGTTTCTTGTACGCATGACGCGTGAATTCGAAAGGAATCTCCTCAGTAGGAACACCAAATTCGGTGTCTTCCAAAACGAAGTCGTCTTCATAGCGGTCGAGGTCCTCGTTGGCGGCAATGGCTGATTCGACGTCACTATCTTCCTCGTCGTTCCGGCGTATATTGAAGACGTGTTGCGTAGGACTGGATTGTGGCGGTTCAACTTCTGATTCCGACTCATTCTCACTTTCTTCTTTCTGTCCAGCACGTCGACGACGAAGAGTCTCCAGGTGCTTCAGCCTTTTATCTCGTGCAGACTCAACCGCTCGACCCCGTGTTCGGGTTTTCTTGACAACTGTAGCATGTCAGTTATAAGGGCGCGCATTTGAAGAATGAAGATATGACCGTACCCGAATCCTGAAGATCCCTGACATCATCTTCGATATCTTGCTGATTCTGATCCGCACTAGGACGAGGCGTTTGAGGTGTCTCCGTATCCGAGGCCAGGCGCCGCCTCTTTGAGGGTGAAGAAGCCTTGGGCTCCTCTGAATCCTCCGAATCGCTCAACATGACCGGAGAGTGTTCTGCCTTGCGCTTCAGTCTGCGACGCGGTCTGGAAATCTCCTCCTCTTCGTCTGAGTCAGCAATATACATGGCGTTTTCGGGCGAGCCAGAGGGCGGCTGTGGCTGCTGGGTAGATTTGAAGGGATTCATGACAGCGAATTCAATATCGGCAGCTGCACGTCGTGCTCGCTTTTGAGATCCAGGTATGATTATCTCGTCGTCTGAGGATCCCTCCTGATCATTCTGCACAGATTGTGCTTTCGCAGATGTCAGCTTGTAAGCCTTCGGAGTGTGATAGATGGCAGTAGATAGTATCTGTGAGCCTACCTAGGTTTTCCTCTTCCACTTTCAGCTTGTCCTTTTTCCCTTCTTTCTTCTCTTTGTCCTTCTTTTTCTTCTCTTTCCTCTCCTTCTTGTTCTGTATCACCGGAGAACCATTGCGTCGGGACGTAGTCGTAGCGGAGGAGCTCTCTTGGGCGGGCGGACATGCGGACATGCTTTTGCGGGGAATTTTGGGTCGCATCGTCGCCATGTCAGGATGTCCGTAGGACAGTCTGGCAAACCTGTCGTTTCCTTCATCGTTCGAATAGCCAGAGGAGGATGCGGCCTTCGGCGCGAAAGCAAGCCGTGTTTGCTTTTTGAGAGCTTTGCGGGGCATCGCGGATCACGTCCCCAGAAAAGCGGAGTCTGCTGGAAAGAGTGAGGGGGAAGCTAAATAATAGGATGTGCTTGAATGTGAGTCATGGCAAGATCTCAATGTTGATGCACGATAAGCTCGCTGGAGAGAAAAACGGCCGTCTCCTAGCCCATCGGAGCTGCTGACCTTTTTCTGCTTCGCGCGGACCGCGTTGAGGGAGCGCGAGAGCACGTGACTGATATTGATCTCGAAAATTGAGTTGCTGTTGACTCTTCTCTCAATTTGTATGCCTTCCCGAGAAAGAGACAAGGGAAATATCCTTGATTTAGATGTCACTAGAGAGAATTTATATTAAGAAGAAGATAGTTTCTGGTAGGTCAAACCCTTAATGAGCTTGAAGTGAAGGTATTTAGCTTTTGTCCCACTTGGCCCCAACCGCCTCGCCTGAAATGTCAGGCTTCTTCCATCATTTCAAGATTGCGATCATGTAGAGAAGAGAACCTCCGGGGAGAAAGGACCTTCGGAAACAAATCAGTATCATCAGCCTGTACACCTTAGATATTTCATTTCGCACGACCAATGCAAGTTAACTACCGTAGTTTTGGGCTACACAATGATTTATCTTTCTCTGCACTTTGCGTTGCCTACTAGATCTTGAGTTATTGAAGCGGGGGTATAAATAAAGAAGGATGATATCAGTTTATTGCTCCGTTGGGTCTACCCGTGATCGTTTATCAAGGTACGCAACAGTGTAACCAGTAGAACAATATGTCCTGGTTTGCCTTAGGAGAGCAATCGTTACCCCTTATTCAGCAGCAAAGTGTTTAGCCTGTTGTTCAACATATGAACACGCGACTGTTCCATTTGACGTGGATGAATTGTATACATTAGCCACAGCCGAGGCGTTCATGGGCTGCGTGACTGAGCACCACTTTCATCTTCGCTCCCTTCGCCCCATCGATTCGGGGAAGGGATCTCGCTTCAAGTTACCCGATATGATCTCTCTACACTCCTAATTAACTGGTCCTTTTCTGTTGGTTTGCCCTCTATGCTCCTCCCCAACGATTGGTGGAGTCGACTTTCTCCAAGCCCCCGGTTCAGCCGGCTGCTGATTCGTGGAAATGGGAAGTACGACTGGCACACGGGACAAAATATCCTCGAACCCCAGATCACCGCTACCCCAGGTCCGCACTTCTTCCCAGACGTGGAGAGGCCAATGAGCTGTGTTCATCCCGCATAATACCTTTTGCCATGTGTGGACGTCTTCGAATTCCCCACCACTCAGCGATTCGCGAGTGACAGGGCTACCGTTATCAAATGCACGCGGTGCATAACGTGGCGCGAGGGCGTCCTTACGTATATTGTCCGATTGGCACCGTGACTCTTTTTGCTTAGGGCGCTGGAGAGCCGTCCTTGGCCCAGTATTGTTGCTTGTCAGACAAGTATTTATCTGGGGCAGACTCCGCCCATTCCTCCTTCCCCATCCCGGAAAGCTGTGGGTTCCTGCTTGTCTCTCCTGTCATCCTCTAGCAGGACCGCTGTGCCCCTGGTTTGAACAGACCCTTGACAGCTGCATTGGGTGGAGTGTCTAGCTGCCACTCGAACCTCACCACTAGATACCATCAATTTTGGTGTCCAGCGTTAGCTCTATTGTTCTTCTCCAAAGCCCATTTGAATTGACTGCAACACCGTCTGTTTTCATCAACATGGCTGTAAGTGTTAGCTCCAAGAGAGCCTATAACTGGTATGTCTGCATTATATGAATTGAAAAAGCTGTTCTCTGAATTATCTCATTCAGGTTCGTTTCCCTGGTTGCAGCGGCCTGCATGGTGTTATACGGCTATGATGCTTCCGTCTTCAACTCAGTCCAGGGCTCCAAGAATTGGGTGGCCTACTTCAATCACCCCAGCTCCCCCACTATCGGCTCCATCAATACCGCTTACACCGTTGGTGCTATCTTCGGAGGGTTCTTCTGCGGAGGTCCTATCGCAGATTTCCTCGGCCGCAAGGTTGGAATGGCGACTGGTTGCGTCTTGGTTATCATCGCCACATTCATGCAGACTTTTGCACCTCGTCACAACCTCGCGTGCTTTATTGCTGGACGATGCATCATCGGAATTGGGCAGGGCATTGCTTTGAGTGAGTTCAACTTTTTGGCTACACAATCTCCGCAAGATAGGTACTGACGAACCTTTTTAACCAGCGGCTGGGCCAATTTATATCGGCGAACTGGCACCTCCTGAGATTCGGGGTCAGATCATGACGTTTTGGCAAATGTTCTACTCGGTTGGGTCCTTCATCTGTTTCTGGATCAACTATGCTTGCACCAAAAATGTTCCCCAGCTGGGTGAATGGGACTGGAAGCTGGTTGTCATCTTCCAGCTCATGGTTCCCATTTTGATTCTCGCTACTCTCCCGACCATTCCTGGTAGTCCTCGCTGGTAGGTCCCTATTCTGAACTCCTACATTTAGAATGAACAATACTGACAATGCACAAGGTTCATCAAGCACGGAAACAATATCGAAAAGGCGCGCGCCGCGCTTATACGCGTACGAGACACCGAAGAAGAAGTCGAGGAGGAGATTATGCAAATCCGCGAAGCCATTGAGTACGAGAAGGAAGCCATTTCAGGCAACTATAGTGCTCTGTGGAAGGACAAGTCCCTTCGAAAGCGCATGTACCTTGCGCTGGTTCTCAACGCTGGTCAGCAGATTACCGGCCAAGGCTCGCTCAACTCCTACTCTACCAAGATCTACTCGAAGATTTTTACCAGCGACAGTAAGATTGCTTTGATCAATGCTCTCAACGCCACCTTCGGAATCTTGTTCACCCTTAATGCCATGTGGATCGTCGATCGCTTCGGACGTAAAATCCTTCTGATCGCCGGTGGCATTGGTATGGGATTTTGCATGATTATTGCTGCCGCCGTCGAAACCGAAACACCCACCATGGCGAATGGAGCTAAAACAGAGCCCGTCGGTATTGCGATCGTATTCCTGATGTTCTTATTTATTTTCTTCTGTTAGTACCTCATACTTCAAGTTTGTGATTCACAATACTAACAGCCTGATAGACAAGCCGTCATGGGGTGCCACCGTGTGGATCTGGACCTCAGAGGTTTTCTCTATGAACGTCCGCGCGCAAGCCGTCGGCATGGCCTCGCAAACCCAGAACGTCGCCAACACTATCTTCCAGCAGTTTTTCCCCACCTTCCTCGATCATGATGGGTTCTACGCCTTCTACTTCTTTGCCGGAATTAACTTCTTGTTGGCGGTCTTCGTCTTCTTCTTCATTCCAGAGACCAAGAAGGTTACCCTCGAGGAGATTGATACCCTTTTCGGCGGTGCCAATCACGTTGTGCAAGGAGAAGAGGTCCTTGCTCACCAGAAAGCTGTGCAGGCTCCTCGCCAAGTGAACGAGAAGCCTAGATCGGTCGCTGTTGAGAACGTTGAGTACAAGTAATGGGTGTGTACAACAAAATGTAGAGTGACGAGTGCGGTTGGTTTGTCATGTTTATAATTCGCGCTGGGGTTGATTTCTTCTCGGGGTTGTACGTACGTACGCTTATACAAGTGCAAGTGTTAGGATTCAATGCAGATGCGCTGAGCGCGACTCGGAGAAGCAATTCTCTTTTTCGTATCCCCATGGCAGACATTGTAGCACGTCTCTGGTGAAGGTTTTCAGTAATTCCTGCCCCAAATCTTTCCCTCGTGGGTTGAGAAAACCAAGACAGAAAACCGCCTACTAAGTCTTTCGAATCCTATATCTCGAGACTCGCGATCCATCACTCAGGCCGACAGCCACTAGATTCAGTTCATAACTAAAAACCCAAGGGAGAATAATAAATCGGCCAACATAATAAACAACCCCCAAGGCCAAGATAGACAGGGACGCGACAGGAGAAAGCCAATAGGGAAGGCTGGTGTTTCCCTTCCCGTCGATTGGTGGAACAAAAGGCATAATAAGGAGGAACTACACACTGTCAGCAGATATTTGTCAAATTAAGATGGAAAACTAAACCGACAATATTCCCAGCCAGGTAGAACACCAAGATAGCCCATGGAACTTTGAAAGATGATTGGAAATTGTCACTTCGATCAAGGCGCAGTTTGATCAAGCCAATTGTGACAAGAGTCAAGAGAAATACCGTTGGGTAAGTACCCAGGCTGACGACAAAATCAAAAGCATCACCTGCTGGAGGGGTACAGATGAAGAAAATGGCTATTCCCAGGTAAATAGCAAGACATACGATGGGTGCTTTAAATGGACGATTTTGCATCAGAATGTTTGGGAATGGAGTTATTCCGTCTTTAGCCAATTCCTGAAGAACCCGTGCTGCCAACAACCGTTCATTAAAAAATTTCGAAAGGAATTGAAGGGAGCTGCAAGTCAATAAGATACATACACACGGTGAATGCCACACTGAGGAGATGTCCGATCGCTGAAATAGCTACTAGAGCCGGCAGAGCTTTCACTGCTGCAGACTGCCCGAAGACATTGTTGAATAGCGAGGCCGCAATCGTTAGATCGGAATGCAAGAACTCCTCTCGTGAAATACCTGCGAACTATTTTGGTTTAGGTTTTGGGTAATATAGAAACATAGAGAGGGGAAGACCCACGTAGGCAATGTTTGCAAGAACATAGAGCACAGTAACAGAGCCCATCGCGGTAGGCAATGCAATGCGTAGAGTGCGTTGCGGGTTGTGGACCTCCGACAGCACCTTAGTTTTGAATTAGCTAAAGATCACAATACTATCTTCGAGGTCACTAACTGCATTCACATTGTCATAGCCCTGGAAGGAAAATATTGCATCAAGCAACGCTGTCCCGATGTTGTAACCGTTATTTGATGTGCCCTTGAAAGATGTCGAAATGTCAAAATTATGAGGCTTGTCACCTCGGACATGACCGCCCAGAGCAGCAAATCCTGTGCAGACAATGAATAACAGGATAAAAAGTTTCAATGCACCAAGAACATCCTGCAATTTTCTTCCAACTCGTGGCGCGATACTATGAACACCCACGGCAAATGATACTGCACCAATTGCTAGTCCACGCAGCCTCCACGTAGTTGATTCAACCGAAGCGGTTTTGAGAAGATATGAAGCAGCGGTGATGGCATTGCTGGCTGGGGTTTCTAAGTCGTAATGAAATGGTCAGTCGTAACATTATCAGAAGAACAAATGCTAAAAGATCGAAAACTCACGCAAAACAGCACAATAGAAAAGGTATATGCAGGTACACAATAACTTGGGTGAGTATGAACGTTCCAGATAAACTTTCATGCCACCGGATCGGGGAATGCTGGTGCCAAACTCTAACATCACCATAGCTCCACATGTCGAAATCGCGCCAGCGATGACCCAAAGAATAAGCGCCATCCCCGGGCTGCCGCTTAGTTGGAAGATAGACGCCGGGGTAGAGAAGATTCTATTTACAATCAGTCGTCGACCGATGTTTATGTGGAAGCAGGATCATACCCTGCGCCGACAATCTTATTCACAATCAGCGAAATAGCTCCGAAAACGCCAATCTTGCGTTCTTGCAAGATGTGCGCCTCCTGAACCCGGACGATCGATCTTGACGCATCCTCACTAGACGAGGAGTCCTGCAGGCAAGGCTCTGACCAGTCAACGAGCAGAAGAACTTAACGAAGCGAATAACGAACTTACTGTCAAGTCCTCCTTGTTCTTCAGCCATAATAAATCGATATGGCCAACTTCTTTCCGAGGCTAGAATACTTAAATAAGGGGGCTTGATGCAAGAAGTCGCGCGTGGACGCGCGGTAACAACTATGTAGCATAAACGATGTGACCGCCTTAGCCTCTGGCATGTACATGCGCCTCCGTGCTTTAGTGGAGAGCAAGGCACCTTCCCCTTCCCCCACCCTCTCCCTCCCCCAAAACTAAAGGTATTGAGAAGTGAAATGAGAAATATTATCTTCTATAGCACATTTAGTGGACTTTGAAAGAGCATAAAAAAGGATCCTCCACAAGAGAGAAACACGGGGGTATTCTCGGAAGCTGGGCGATGAAGAATTTCGATTTCCTGTGCGTAAATCATACAGACAATGCCCTAAGTGTGGCCGGTATCTCACGAAAAACTCGTAGATCTACAGCCGCCCCTGGCTATCAGGGTGGCGAATTTCACCGATTTCATGACAGATGAGTACTAAGCTCACGGAGACACTGATAGCGATAACGCTTATAGCTCGAGCTGGGAAATGATAGATGAGAATTCACGGGCGGGATGGATAATTACTTGCTGATGCCGAACTCTTTACCGGCGGCTGCTGATGAATGGTTGAGTCTCCAACTTTGAACCTCGCATGAGCCCTTCAAGCACGAAGGAACCAGAAGCTATATGAAGGCCTGAAGCAAGGCACAAAGATGCTTCCTGTTGTTTGCGTTCCAACATCGTCGTATGGATATATTTAGAAAATATCTCTGTTAGTTATGAAATGATGGATGTTAAGAGTATCCATCGCTAGCACGCTTGGCCAAGTGGTAAGGCGCTTGACTGTTAGTAATCAACTAAGCCCCTTTAGTCTATATCAATTACTAACCCTAAACTAGTGTATTAATGCATCCGCATAGCAATCAAGAGAGCACCGGTTCGATTCCGGTAGTGTGCAATTCTTTTTTTTGTGGGTCTACCTACACCTACCACCTCTCCTAAAAATTTCTGGCTTAGCAACTCCTAATTATTTTTATAATTTTTGAATGGGGCTGGCTATGCGTCCATATTCTTGGCAATGTTCATCCGCTTTGCAGTGAGTTAACAATTAGTGTAGTATGTCACTAATTTTACTGAGAACTACACATGCTTGCGCGGGCGCTGACTATGACAACAAAAATATATAACTAGCAATCAATCAATCCAGGGCTATATATAAACTATGTAATAACCCTAAGCTATAGATAGGTATTATATAATTATAACAATATCTTCGTCCTATTGTGAGTGACAGATGAAAATGTATTCATCGCATTAGATATGGGTCTTCAGCTTGGCGGGTATATTGTGATACATTATCAGTTAGGATGTTGATCTGATTTGAATTTAATTCTTAGAGGATTCTCACTCTTTCCGATATCTTTGCCGAAAGGAAATAAAATAGAACAGAAGGCTGTTCAAGTTGATTAACTGAGCTCGAGAAGCCAAATGGTCTGGATTGACTCGGTACCTAGGGGCGTGCTCTCTGTCTTGAACTACACCGACCTGATTCTTCCAGATACGCCTCACCTCAAGGCAATTTGTGGTTCAGGCTTTAAGATCCATGAGGCTAGGATCACAAGTTCTACCGCCTCCATGCAAAGTGACACGTGCTTCATGATATCTGCGTCTTAGCTTGCCGTCTAGCAAGCTCCTTGGGGCGATTAATTTAACGATCTCCGAGGCGTAGTTTTTCCCATCAGTTTCCTGATCAAGCGCTCGCTTCACGGGTGTTAGCGACAGGCTAGCGCTTTCACTTCGGCGCTCTTCTTTTCGTTATCATTGGCATTATTTTTGGCTCTTTCGGCTCTGTTCTCAACTTGTAGGCGACAAAGAATCATAACAAGTGTTCGAAGACGACTACCAGTGATAGTCGATAATTTTTTCAAGTCGTTTTAAATGAATTCACCTCCGCATCAGCCAGAGCCGAATATATATATCCATTGTCTCCACTATCACAGATTGTTTGCCAAGCTTCTCATCTACAGCCCATCCAGGATAGACCGCATAACCGTTGATAGTAAGAAGTCGCAGTCCATTCAATTTCAGTATTTTCGCCACAAAGGGAATTACTTTGCATGTTTTGGCGCCGTCGTAAGAAGGTCAGACCGAGTTCGTGTTGAGAGAGCTGGACAACAAATGACCAAACGCTTTCGAAACCTCGTAATGCTAGAAACATCCAGTACTCTAGAGGAGAGATATCCATCCGCAATGAAGATTGTGTAACAAGGTCCTCGTAGCTCCAGATGAAAGCGCTTCTTGGAGAAAAACGAAAGGGCGCGTTCTACATGGAGACCGCAAAGGACGACCAAATCACGTTGCTGCGTTCTAATAGCTTCTGGTAATTAGGACGCCAGTCATTCGACGGTCTTAAAGGATTGCCTGAGTCCAGTTTGAGTGGCCGGAATAGCTGGAAATTATATAAGTTTATTCTCGTCAATCAGTCAAATTTCACTTATTTTTCTAACGCCCATGGAAGAGTCAGTCGCGGCCCGCTCCTCCCGCTTCAATTCACTTTATCCACCCCATGTTGTAATCATTCATGCCCCCTTCCTCTTCACGGAAAACCCAGGCCACTGCCATAATTCTCCCCGACTTCACGCGCTGTCTCAGAGCTGCGGCCCCTCTTACAGAGAAACTGCGGGTGATATACGTGAAAGAGGAACCTTTTAAGGGTCTTTCCGCTCTCTTCCAGCTCGGGATACAGCCTAACATGCTCAAAATCCCCCCACAGGGGAAATCGTATCAGCCGTGTACTTTTCTCTGTTTCTTTCCAAGCTTCTTGGCCCTAGATGACATTCACGACTACAGATATGTTCTTACGAAGCTTGCGCACAAAATCGCGATGAGGTTTATACAAGCATATCTGCAGTCGTGGATGTCGTCTAGGGCCAAGAAGCTTGGAAGGAAACAGAGAAAAGTGCACGGCTGATACGATTTCCCCTATGGGGGGATTTTGAGCATGTTAGGCTGTATCCCGAGCTGGAAGAGAGCGGAAAGACCCTTAAAAGGTTCCTCTCTCACGTATATCACCCGCAGTTTCTCTGCAGCGCGTGAAGTCGGGTTGTAGAGGTGGAACGCGATTGGGGAGTCGATCGAGCCACTCGGAGGCACAATATGCCTAGGCGATCTTTCCACGCCTAGATTCTTCCATGCCACGGTATCCTCTTCCACTAATCTCGCGAATGCAGATTTGAGGTCCCAGATGGGGGTTGGACCTATCCCTGGTTAGCATGTCCCATCAGAGACAGGATTAAACTCAACAATCACCCACTACTTGCCTTTGATTCAACACCTCGAGCGCGCGAGGGAGAGAGGAGTGAGGCGGAGAGAGGTGAAGAGGAATCAGATCCGGGTGTTTCCTTTCGTGCCATATTGTCAGAGATCTTGGCGCGAGACGGTAGATGGGGAAGTTCAAAAAGAGTGAGAGCAATGTGTTCTGAAAAAAGAGGAAATGGGGTTGAGGAGAGGAAGAAGATTGAGACAAGGGCAGGAGGGTTCTTTCTAACACTCTTGTTACAAACGCCACTCTCGGAAATCTCCACAGGAGGCATCCTCCAAAGATCAACGCCAAGAAGACAAACCACAGACCTAAAACACAAAACAAATAATCCTCCTCCAATTGGCCAAAGCCCCAAGAGAGCCATGTGACCTGGTCACAGTTTGGGGATCGTTGTCCCTCAACAAAATTAGCGGAGGATCAGGTCCACCGGCTCCGTGAACCGTCTTTCATTAGGGCGAAAGGTCACGATCATGTTATTATCCCAGGTCCTCGTTCCACTTGTGTCGTCCATTTGGATCCTGCCACGGATCCAACCGCGCCTATTCAGAGCTGAGTACAGCCCATTTCCTCTACGACCATACATAATACGACGGATACTACACTGCAATCCCTTAACCTGGGGCTCCGGGAGACCAAGCCATGATATTGGATGCCATGACAGGAGCTTGCTGGTCACCGCCACTTACGGAGGAGCCCTCCATGGAGTACGGCATGACACGGACGTGGCTAAGCCCTGGATCGATATCTTATGCATCGATCAGACTCTAGAAGGACTCGATGAGCGCTACCGAGTTGTCCTGATGGGTCAGATCTATCAGTGCGCCGATAGAATTGTCGCTTGGCTTGGGTCAAGCGACGTCTACATCGAGACAGCCATGGACACAGTCTGGGTGCTCGTTGGCCCTCTGCAGAACAAACCGAAATTGAAGGACCGCGGAGAAGTCCGGAGATTCTCCATGAACGTGACAAAGCGCTTTCAAAAAAGTGAGTCGCAAACTACCCCAGTCCCGACGTCATGAGAAGACTAGGGCTCGCCAGCATAGATTGGCTGTGAACTCACAGCTCAAGGATCCTCTAAGTTTCCTCTTTGAATGGAACAGGTTTCAGCGAGTGTGGACCTTCCAAATAGCAACCTTGTCTTGGCAAGACTGCATATTATTGAATTGTGGAGAATTCGGACCTGAATGGGATTGTATTTCTCTTGTTTCCGACGCCCTTCGCGCTATCAAGTATCTCTGGTGCAGCTGACAAGAAGCTATGGGCCTACAGCAACAGTTCACAGCTTATCTTGACGCTAAGCGATATCTAGAGGTCATGGAATTACTGGAAGACGATCCAGGAGAAATCACGAATGACGCTTTAGCATTTATGATTCTTAGCAATACCCGCCGAAAGAAATGTGAGACTCAAAGGACAAGGTTTTTGTTATCTGCAGTTTGTAATCAGAGCTAAAGGGACCAATACCAACTGATTTACGCGCGAGGGCTGGCATTCGAAATGCTCTTCCTTCCGCCGGAGGAAGCACCTGCATAGCCATACAACACTATTTAGGGTGCATCAGTCGAATAATCATTAATATCATCGGGCTCAGGTGGCCAGAAACAGCGAAGATGAAGCAGAGGATGCTTTTTGCTTCATCAAAAGAGACCCTAAGAAAAAGCCTAGTCGGGATTGCAACAGAGATACAAGCAACAGATTATGATGAGATGAGGTCTCCTTCGAGAGTGGTATGCTCTCATTAGTACCGTTAGGTTCTATTTGTATACATGACTAACCCTTTTATACAGTCCTAGATAAGGCACACCGTGTGTCTTAACGAAAGCTAGGAGTGAATCGGCAATATTCGGCCGTAATTACACAACAAAGGATCTAGTCTTTTGTCTTGATTATCAAGCAAGGTGTACCTTACTATAATCATCCTTATCTCTGCTGATCTATGCGACGTGAGTAAGCTCGTCGTGGGTGGGGCCAATGTCGCAACGTATGACGAATGATGGCCTTCCAATTAACCAGGAGCCTACGTATGGCCGACATGACGCGATCACACGGGACCGACAAAACCAACAGCGTGAGTGGCAGTACTATATTACGTTGGATACTTAAGTGGGGTTATATTCCCAAAGGTCTTCGGCTCTTACTTCATAATATTATCGTTCAAAGTCACCATGTCCAATGTTGCGACCATTACTAAAGCCGCTCAGCCTGATATTCAGTATCATCCTGACTATGTGAAATATCAAGAGCGCACACACCGTCGCAGGGAGACGGAGTCGCTCCAACCTAGTGTCCCGGCAGGATTTCCTCAGAAATTAACTTCTCCACTTGTCTGGGAAGGAAAGGATATCGAGAAAAGGACCGACTGGATATACCAGCTGAGCGATTCGCAACTGGATGAGATTGATGGTGCCTTGCAGGGGTTTAAAGGTAAGCTCTCGTGGCATAGCCATCATAATGAGCGTTCTAATCTTCATTCCTGCAGCCCTCAACAAGCCACTGGGATACATAAATGAGTCGACCTTCCCACTCCCCAACGTCGGGCCAGTCCTGAGGGGCCTCTCAAAGGAACTTCACAATGGCCGAGGATTTTTCGTTCTTCGAGGCCTGCGTATTGATGAATACTCACGAGAGGATAATATTATTATCTATACTGGGGTGTCTTCCTATATCGGAAGAATTCGCGGTCGCCAGCAGGATACACGGCTTCAAAATGGGACATCCCCGATGATCTCGCACATCAAAGATATCACGAGCACCGTAGACAGAGAAAAGATCGGAGCACCTTCCAATACGGCTGATAAACAGGTCTTCCATACGGATGCCGGAGACATCATCTCTCTCCTTTGCCTCAGTCCTGCCGCTGAAGGAGGCGAGAGCTATATTTCAAGCAGCTGGAACGTTTACAACATTCTCGCGAAAGAGAGACCCGATTTGATCCATACGCTTTCCCAAGACTGGCCGGTTGATGGGTATGTCCGCTTGAATCAGCTCTACTGATTATATTTGAAGCTAATCGTTTCCAGGTTCAATAATCCCAAGAAGCCCTATACTCTCCGTCCTCTTCTGTATCACCAACCTGCGACCGCAACCAGTCCTGAGCGCGTGCTCATTCAGTATGCCCGGCGATACTTTACAGGATTCCTCGCCCAGCCTCGGTCCGCCGATATCCCTCCTATCAGTGAAGCCCAGGCCGAGGCGCTGGATGCCTTGCATTTCCTGGCTGAGAAACACAGTGCTTCCCTAGACTTCCAGAAAGGCGACGTTCAATATGTCAATAACCTGAGCATTTTTCATGCGCGGAATGGATTCAGAGATGGCCCTGGCAGAGAGTTCGTGCTCCCCTTCACATCCCATATTGTGGTAATGCTAAATATAGTAGGCGTCATCTGCTCCGTCTCTGGCTCCGAGATCCTGAGAATGCCTGGGCGACACCCGAGCCTCTTCAGTACCGCTGGGACACCGTGTACAAAGATATCACCGAGGATGAGCAAGCCTTTCCTCTGGAGCCAGCTCTGCGAAAGAATGTTGGCTCTTGAAACATTACAAAGTACGCGGTTATAGCCCTTAATCGACAGACACGAATCATACCTCCAAACATCAGTTTATAAAATGTTAATCAAGACTATATTATATATATATTTTCTGAAAAATTGGGCATGGTCAATGAGTTAGTCGCCGCTCTTCGGCAGGAGAATGTAGATCATCTGGGGAAGCGGGGGAGCCTGGGGTAGCCCGTCAGTTTTGACGGGAATCAACCGGCCTCATGCATTGATTGGTAGGACTTGGCTTTTATCACCGGAGCGTCCGCGCGACCAACGCTTGGACTTCGCATCACAACTACTAGTTCGTGCGGAACCGAATTCCGCTCTGATAATATCCTTACAGGCCCTCGTTTCTCAGCCAACCTAGCAGCTTGTCTGCAGCTGGCCCTGGGTATTTTCCTCGCCGTCAGCAATTCTTTGACTGGCCAATCAGGGCGCATTTCAATTGTGCAAAAGGCGACACCTCCAGCCTCTTCATTTCTAACCGCCAAGAAAATCCAAAGTCTTCGGCTCTCCATGCAAGCCATGGAACTCTTGGCATCTCGGTAGCGGAATGAAGGGGACCCTAGGCGCATAAAGCGGAATGAATGGTATTCAAGATGTGCGGGGGAAGGGGATCACCGCGGCCCAATTTCCCCAGTCGGCCTGTTGCACACAGCTCTCTACGTTATTCACGTATTTAACGTCCGGTATTAACTTTTGCTTTCTGTGCTCGTCGATTGAGGCCACGCATCAGCCCCCGACTCAGGCCTATATATACCGTGTTGTATACTACTTGATTGTTGGCTTTCTTCCGCGAGCCATAGTCAGTACTTCCGCGCCAGTCTGTTTCCGAATCCTCTTTTACACTACCCAACCGAGTCGTATCTGATCGAGTCTCCCCCTGCGCAAATATGGAGGAGCCCGAAAAAGTGGGCGGCCATGAAACAATCGAACATGTCAAGTCAGGGCATTCCGCCGTCACGGATCGCGCCGCTGAGAAACGTCTGCTCTGGAAGCTAGACATCCACGTCGTTCCGATCCTGATGTTCCTCTTCCTTCTTGCCTTTCTCGATCGAATCAATATCGGCAATGCCCGACTGCAAGGGCTAGAGAAGGACTTGAATATGAAGAACCATGACTACAACATTGCGTTGTTCATATTTTTCATCCCGTATATTCTCCTGGAAGTTCCGAGCAACCTTTTTCTGAAGAAGATTGCTCCTTCAACATGGCTCAGTGGGATCATGTTTGGGTGGGGTATGTAAGGAACTGAGCGGCCCATTCAAGCCAGTGCTAACATCACCTCTTTGTATGCACTAGGCATTATTACTATCTGTCAAGGAGTCACCCAAAGTTTTGGGGGATTGGTTGCGTGTCGGTTCTTACTGGGTGCTTTTGAAGCTGGGTTCATGCCAGGTTGGTGGGTTGAGATAGGCCATTTTGAACCACTGCTGACTGGCGCAGGATCCATCTATCTAATTGCGATGTACTATCAACGTCATGAGCTTCAGTGGCGACTGAACGTGTTCTTCAGTGCCAGTATTTTGGCCGGCGCAGTCAGCGGGGTATGTCGTTTGCCTCTTCTTAAGTGGCGATTGAATACTAACGGATTTGTAAATAGCTGCTTGCCTATGCCATTGCGAAGCTAGACGGAATTGCTGGATATAGCGGGTGGCGCTGGATCTTCATCATTGAAGGCCTGGTCACTGTGGTCACCGCAGTTGTTTCCAAATTTCTCATCGTGGACTGGCCTGAGACCTCTCGCTTCTTGAACGACCAGGAGCGAGCGTTGCTACTTTCTCGACTTTCGGAGGATCGGGGACAGGCACGAATGGACCGGCTGGATCGCGCAGCCCGGGGGCGCGTTCTCCGCGATATCAAGATCTATCTTGGGTGAGTTCCGTCCTGGCAGATCCTTCGGCGCATGGGGGCGCTCACACATCTAGTCCGTTGATGTACTTCGGCATCGTGAACACGGGATATGCCACGTCCTTCTTCACCCCGACGATCTTGAGGCAGCTCGGCTGGACGTCCGTGCGAGCGCAGGTCATGAGTATCCCGATCTACATCGTCGCGACTGTCATCGCCCTCGTCACAGCCCTCGTTAGCGACCGACTGCGCCACCGGTTTGCCTTCACGCTCTGTGGGTGTGTTATCGCGACCATCGGCTACGTGATCCTCATCTGCCAGAAGTCCGTCCCCGTGGGCGCGCGATACTTTGCACTGTACGCAATCACCGGGGGTGGCTACATGACCCAGCCCATCCTGATGGGCTGGCTCAGCAACAATATGGCGGGACACTATAAGCAATCGATTGCCGCCGCGATGCAGATTGGGTTCGGAAATTGCGGTGGCCTGGTTGCTAGCAACATCTTCTTTGACTCAGAAGCCCCCACGTACCGCACTGGGTTTGGTGTGAGCCTGGGGATGGTGTGGATCTGTGGGGTATCCTGCCTGGTCTTCTTTGCTTGGCTGGTGCGGGAGAATCGACTGAGAGAAGCTGGCAAGAGGAATCATCGCTACGAGTGGCCGCAGGAGGAGCTGAGCAATCTTGGCGATGGTCACCCCAGCTTTCGATTTACATATTAGCAGGAAATATTTGAGATCTATGGGGCATTTTTGGGTGACCTCTAGGTCTGTGTTGATTTAAAGCCTTCAGAGGGCCAACTTATTTGTCCAGTTGTGCACTCGGACGTATTGTTTCGTCTTCCAACCCCAGTGGTAGGCCACTAGATAATTCCTTTCGTGTATTTTGACGGAGTGTTTCTGCTCTGCGTACGCCGACTTCACACCTTACATCTCACGCGTTCACACGAACTCCGCTTCCACACACCCATGGACCCCATCATGTCATCGCACATGCATGCCTTTCAGTCAAGCATGCACCTTACTTCCACCCCCTGGAAGATTGCATTCGCCAAGAGATGTGTTCAAAGAAGAGGTCGGCGGTCCAAGTCCAGCTTCTGCTGGCTAGTTCCCAAGACTTCTGACTAGGTCGACATATCACATGGCTGCTTCAGATGGCTACATGGCTCCAAAGAAGTGAGTCTGCATCCCCAGGTCATGCCAGATGAGCAAGGGCAAAATATATCGAAGATGTCTGATCTAGAGGGATCTGATCTCCATCATTTTACACATCCAAGCCTTCACCCCGTCTCAGCTAAGCCGGAAAATCCGCTACAACCTTCATGGCTGTCACAAGCCCTATGAGTCTATGGAAATCAAACCAAAAAACGCCCCTCTCATGCCTCAGCTGGAAAGACGACCCTCCACGGTCAGATACACAAAAGCAAGAGCGGTGTGAGGAACAAGCTGCGGGAAAAAAAAGGTCAGGGCGAAGAAGCGAGCAAGACGACAGGCGAAGAAACACCGGCCTGTCACAAGCCCCAAGTAAGCCACTTAACGGAGGGGGATGATGGTGAAAATACCCCATGGCTCATCGTCGAAAATCCAAACCATTCACATGGCCGGAAAAAGCGCTGACTGGCTAACTCAGTTGCCACCTCCATGTGTTCTGTGATCTGGGCCCAAAGCCGATGCCGCGCGCACACCGGCCCCGAGTCGGATAATCCTAAAGTCGGACTACCCTTCCACAGACATTATTGCTTCAGGACAGCGAATCTGTGGCGCATTTAATTGAAGCACTTGGCTGCGGGACCGGTGGCAAAGTATTCAGGGAGCGCATAGGCCTCTCGAGGCATACAGACGGATCCACTGCCAGATCACGGATCAGGCAGAAGATCACACGCGGGGCCCCGTGCGTGCAGTGCGCGCTGACCGGCCGACCAAACAGGCAACATGGAGATCGCATCAACCAAGCATTTCACGTTCAGGTACCCCTACTCCTCCAGGTCTTACCTCCGATCATCGTCTTAGCCCTAACCCGCCCATTTCTCCATACACAGCGCCCGGACTCCATCGAACAACGATGGTTGGATCGGCACCTCGCTGCCGAGATGACGTAACGAATGACTGAACGGACCAACCGCCAGAGGGAAAGGTCAGACATGGCAGGACGGAGTACACCGCACCGAATTACAGTACGGAACCACAATGGACCACGGCTTACCCCACACAGACTATGCCACTTGTGGTGCAGACCCTCAAGTCCACCTCAAAGTGGCCCAGCAAAGATCCGGTGCCCTGTCGCATAGCGCGGCCCCGGCGCGTCTGCCATGGGAGGGCAAGTCGGCCTTGGGACCCAACTACTGCACCTTAAACTACATGGATCGAGCGCCACGATCCAATCAGACCGCAACCCCGCGCATCCCGTGGAGACATTTTCAGACCGGGCTGGCCCTAGTTCCCATTTACTCTCATCTACTCCGTTCTCTATTTACTTAACCATCTCGCTCCCCCGAACCCACTCCTGCAGTGACCCTTCCACTGCCCGTGAGACCCCATCGTCATGGCCAAATCTCGCTTCTTACGCAACAAGCGCGCCCGCTCTGTCGTCTCTGAACTCCCTTGGCGAAACGACAATCCCTTCGGGCCACCCCAGGTCCCTCGCTCCTTCCCCAACGGCGGCATTCGACGCTTGCGCAACACTCTCTCAAAGCTCTCCCCCTCCGCCTTTGCGGAGAAAGAGCTCCTGCGCAAGAAGAATCAATATAAGATTCCCCTCACCCGCCGGAATGTGGATAACTTCGTGACAAAGCAAGAATGCAACGAGGCCTGCCAGCTCAACCAGCGAACCCCCGAAATCCAGGTGGCTGAATGGCTCGAACATGTTTCTTGTTTGGGGCACTCGCAGGGCTCCACTTGGCTGTTAGTCGACCCGAGTTCGAACTAGGCCTTTTCTCGACCGTTCGAGATGCGCGACCCCGCACGCCGCTTGCAGTCAACCAAGCCGCCACCTGGAGTCAATCTCTATTCGTGCGGGATTTCGCGACTACCGAAAGGGGTTTTCGGAGGCCCGAATGGTCAAAGTGGTAGATTCGGGAAACGTGCTGGTCTATTGGCCCTCCGTGGGAGTGGAGGGTATTGTCGTGTCGTATCTCCCTGGCTTGGCACTGCCTTGGCAGTCACGTCGAGGCGCAGGGCGCGCTGGATCAACTATGCATGCCGAGACGGGCTTCTGCCGTCGGTCGGTAATGCGGCTGCCGCCAACAAAGGGGCCAGGTATGGACGGGTCTGCTTTCCTTTTCAATCGCGGCTCTGACTGATTTTCATTTAGCTGTCCCACAAAATGTTCGTATAGTTCTTGGCGACCCCCGCTTAATCAGTGGACGAGGCTCCGCGGGGGCCCTACCATCCTCGTGTCATAATTTGACACCCTCTAATAATCGACTTAAAAAGATTATATTGATCAAGGGCCTGCTCGTGAGATAAATATCATACGGTGAAGTTGATTCGCCAGTGCAGGTCACCGCGGGCAGAGCCGTTACAGGCAGTGGAAGTTCTGAGGCTATTTTGCTAATAATGTAATTAATTCCACGGGAGACAATGTGATGCAAATAGCTGGCAGGGCCAAAGGGGATAAGGAGAGTTTCAGAGTGTTGAAAGAAAGATAGATACCTTCAAGATAGAAACTATTCGATCGTTATCGTTCGTGTTTGGTCAAACCCAGCATTACAGTAAACTTTACCCACGGTCAGAGCGGGGCCCCGCCGCGGGAAAACCCCCCGGCCAGTCGATATCAAGATCAGACATCACTTCCGGCTCTGCGGGACAAAGCGATCTCGGAGGCCCGAATGCTCAAAGGCTATTACAAAACAAATAATATAGATTTAAAGACTTACTTAAATAGGTTAGGCTCGGTTAAGACTGATAACCTATAACCTGAAACCTACGTATAGGTTAATAAATTAGACCCAAAACCTAACCCATCGGCAGGTTAGGTCGGGTTGAGTTGGGCTTCGGTTGCGTAGGTTTTAGCGTAGTCTAGTCAAACATAAATCACTCCCGAGGCAGGACGACTTTTAATTACTACTCTTCGCTCTTAGTCAACGCATTGCTTTATTGGGCACGTGTTTTGTGTACTGAGCGAAACGCATGAAAGAACAAGTAAATCATACTTTCCCCACATAAAAACAAACCCAGAACCCCAAACCCTTGTACAAAATTTTATGAGCTTTGCCAATCCCATCCGTCAACGGGTCCGCCCGTGGGTAACGCTCAGTGAGAGATGTACAATGAGTGAATGTGCAGAGTAGAGGTGACGTCAGCTAGACCCATACTGCGGATAGAACCCTGGAGTGGAACGCTGGGGCATCGTCATGCAACAAGCCGCAACACGGTCTGGGTCGTTCGAGGCCTCTGGTCCAAAATGCCCAAAGCGATGTTCCGTTAGCCCAGTGACATACCTGCTAGAAAACGCACTACTGTGACAGGATGGTTTTTCCAGGTTTCTTGGTTAGGTGGAGAAGGCTTAAAAGAGTAACTGCTGCCCAAGTCCGGCTTATCCGACAATGATGTGGGGTTATCAGCCTTGAATGATCCACCTCTTTCACAGTGAACAGTGATTCTGGTTATCAGCTGAAGCGGGTACTCGAAGTTAAAGAGATGGGGTTATGTCGATACAGTTTTACTGGGTTCTTCGAAGGTTCGAGCCCGATCTCAGATAAAGTTTCAAGATCAAATTGTGCCAACTACGTCAATGGAAGGTTCAGAGGCGATTGAAATTGTCTTGATGTAAATTTTTTCAATAGTTCTATCGAGGTATTCAAAGGAAGGATATTCGGAGATTGCGGAAGAAATAGATTCTTTAGAAAAATTCTCAAGGTTAAGTTTTATCAGCTGAAGCGGCTACTCGAAGTCAGAGAGATAGGGTTATGTTGATACAGTTTTACTGGGTGATGGGTAGTTCATTGCAAACAGATCTTCGAAGGTTCGAGCCCGATCTCAGATATACTTTCAAGATCAAATTGTGCCATCTACGTCAATGGAAGGTTCGGAGGCGAATTGTCTTGATGTAATTTTTTTCATAGTTCTATCGAGGTATTCAAAGGAACGATACTTAGAGATTACGGGAAAAGTGAATTCTATAGACGTCATGACATGTAGGCAAGAGATCAAATATAAAAGTGTGCGGATACATACCCCATGCCTTGTATCGGGTCACTCAATTTTTAACACCGACAATTCACCCATAAAAACATTCCAGGCAATCGCTTATATCTCTCTTATTCCAACAAAATGTTCATCGCCATTGGGGTTCTTTTCCTTTCTCATTTGGTGGCTGTGTCACTAGCAGCCTGCTGTGATGCGCACTTCGACTTCACCGATGGCAAATGGATCTGCGCAGATAACACTGTGGCTACTCCCTGCTGTGGATTGGGCCCATGTAATGCCTTCTGTTGCGATTGTGGTATGTTTCATCCTTATCTGTTCAACAGGTTCCTAGAGACAGAATCCTAACCTTATTCGCAAATAGATTGTCGATATCCGAGCTCCAGGAAGCGAGACCTACCATTTTTAATGGAGCGGGCTGATGAACTGGACGAACTGTTCCACTCAGTCGACGCCGACGGTTCAGGCGACTTGGATTTGGGAGAGTATGTTGCATGGGTGACTCAAAATCTGGGCCAGCACCATCCAGTGTCGCCCAGCTTGTACAAATCCTATATCGACTATTTTTATTCGTGAGTATACATGTACAAGTTCCGCAATAATGCCGTTACTAATCGGCGCAGGTTTGATACGGACAAGAATAGCAAGCTTGACCGAGGGGAGGTTCAGGGTGCACACTAAAAAGTTCTAGTAGCAAGCCAAAATTGGAAATGGTATTGAGTTGTGATTTTGCTGGGAACTCTTTACAGTCGGACAAAATTTGGTTCACTAGGCAGTCTTGGGAGAAAGCTGAATATGGTCCACTTGGCAGTCAGGGAAAAAGGCTGAATTTGGTTTAGTCGGCAGTTTGTAGTAATAAAAATCATTTGTCTTTTGCCCACATGTATGTCCGCCGCCATTCTCCCCCATCGCGAGGTCGCCCGTTGCTAAGAGCGGACTCATTATAGACGCTATGAACCAACTTCGTTTCAACACAATGGAGCTACTATCGAAATATAACGATACAACACTTTACAACACTTCCGAACGCAAACAGTAGTAAGCGCCTCTATACCTTGTTTTAGGCCTTCATATAGCTTCTAGTTCCTTCGTAACGCTTAATCATTAAGATATTTATAAGAAGGGTCTTCTTTCCGAGGTTCATCCCAGAATTCCCTACGAACTAGATTCATCGCGTCGTCTAATATCTTATTAGTCGAGTCCGAGATCTAGAGCTACATGCTCCCCCCACTACACTAGGGATTTTGCCATTTTGCCTAGTATCTTTATTTCAATTTACTTCTGTTGTCTAGGTATTTCTACTTGACTCTAGTAGTCCTCGGAGATTGGTTAACATGCTCCCGCCTGGCATAATTAGTACAATTTGATAAAGGCTTGCCCGTTCTCACGGCTTTTTTTACGCCTGCAAGTACACCTACACCGTTCAAGGGCCTGAATCTCCTGCTTTTGGGCCTCAATTTAGCCAAGTAGATCGTCGATGTGCTAATGACACTAGATTTGGTAGTCTTCAAGGGTTCTGGTTTAAAGTCTTTTTGGTAGTCAAGCCCCAGCAATACAGTAAACTTCACCCACCGTCACAGCGGTGCCCCACCGCGGGGAAATCTACCCCGCCAGTCGATATCAAGATCAGACATCGCTTACGGCCCTGCGGGATAAGGCGAGGTACCAAGCAACTCTGATCGGCCGAGTATTAAGTATGCGACCAAAGAAAGTCGCCATCATCGGCAAGAACCCAATCTAAGCACCAGCTCGTCGCGAGCGACCCCGCTAACGATATCACGCCTCTAGGAGCCGGGCCTTCGGGACTTATCACAGCGAAAACCCTCTTGCATGACTGCCCCTCAGGAGTGTTCTCTCCTGTTATCTTCGATATTCGCCATGGAGTCGGAGGAGTTTGGCCAAATCCATCACCCGGGGCGACAGCTCCAGGGACCCCAGGAACCTTGGACCCGGAGATGAGGACCAATCTCAGTCGGTTCACGGTAGCATTCTCTGACCTCTCTTGGGAATCTGCCTTGGGAGATGATGCAGATATCCCGATGTTTCCGCAAGCAAGGCAGGTCGGTCAGTACCTGGCTACCTACAGTAACCGGTACATCCCGCAGGATGTGATGAGACTGGGACATCGAGTTGTCAAAACCGAACGCTCGGTGGGGACTGATACTGCTTCCCGATGGAGGGTCTCCTGGATTGGAGAGAGGTTAGTAGTCCATGCATATGCAGATTCGTCCCTTTGAAACTGACAATGTTCTATCAGTGTCCAAAATGCCACGCATGAATCAGCCCCACAACCTGACAAGATGGAGTCAGAAGACTTTGACTTGCTTGTTGTTGCATCCGGATACTTTTCCCGTCCATATATTCCCGCACTGTCAGGACTCGATCAGTTCACGGGCCGAGTCATCCATAGTTCCGCACTTGAAAAGGGCCGAAGCTCTCTTGACAACACAGATACTCCAACTCGAGGAAACACCGTTGTAATCGGTGGCAGCATGTCAGGAGTCGAATCTGCATCTGCACTCGCTCTTCAAAAGGCTTCATCTTGCATCTCGGCAGACCCTACCCCTTACAGCCCACCAAAGCATAAGGTGCATCACATACACTCTCGGCCGTTCTGGACCCTGCCGACCTATCTCCCATGCGAGACCTCCGAAGATAATGTATCATTTCTACCTCTAGACTTGGCAATGTATGATCTGGGTCGTCGGCCACCGGGCCCAATAGAGTACGCCCTAGGTCCTATATCGGATGAGAAAACCGCCAAGACGAACAGTTATTTCAGCTCCCTGCTCGGTGCCGAGTATGAAAATTTCGGACACATGCCACCAAAATCACCCTCAGGAGAGACAAACTGCCAGCCATCATGGGTAGCAATAGGCAATGACTATGCGGAGTTCATCCGATCTGGAATGATAGAAGCGACAATGGGCCGAGTCGTCTCCGTTAACCCATCTTCCGATGCGGGAGTCGCCTCAATCAATATCGAGACTCCCAATGGGCCCAAGACACTGGAGGATGTCACCTCAATCGTGGTGGCCACAGGCTTCACGCCCTTCGACTCACTTTCTTTCTTGCCAGACGATGTCTTATCCAGCCTGGAGTACACTGCAACAGACCCATTCTTACCACTCATCCTGGACAAAGGCGGCACCCTACGCTCTGAGATACCAGATTTAGGCTTTGTCGGATTCTACCGCGGCCCCTACTGGGGAGTCATGGAAATGCAAGCCAGGTTGCTGGGCAAGGAGTGGGTTGGGCAACACAATGACTTCAGCGGAACTGAGGACCAGAGAGAAAATCTCCGAATTCTGAGAAACCCCAGCGCGGAGATTCGCCGGGGACAATTTCCTATGGGAGACTACGTAGGATTGATGGAGGCGTTTGCCAAGGATCTGAACGTTGGGCGAACAGCCTTGTCGGTTGGTGATAGTCGGTCTGGGCCAGTCCTGCCGGCTCGGTATGCCTGTGGCAAGCAAGAACCCGAGGTTCAGCGTACTCTGGATACTTTGCGAGCAATGTCGCTTCAAGACCACCCCACAGCACAGGCAGCAGCAGCTCTGGCTGTGTTCAGAGCTTTACATGGGACATGGAAGTTCATTCAGACATCAGCGACTGGTGAAAAAGAGGGATCTGGCACAGTGGCATTCATCCCGCGGTATCCTTCAGACTCATACGACAGAGAGTATGTGTTGCAGGAACACCGAGATACACCGTTGATAGAAAGCCAAGCCCTATCACACGAAACCGTGATATCGATTTTTCGGCTGTCAGAATCTGGTACCAGCGATTCCAATTCACGAATCGAGATATGGTCTGCCAACAATGACGCAAGCATAGCAGCAGATCGACTTTCGTGCAGTCTGCGCTTGACACCGCCGTTCCGTCACAAGGAAGGAATGGGAGAATACGTGATTAATGCACATAGCATCCACCCAAATACTGACCATGAGTCCACCGAAAATGCAGCGCAATTCACCTTCCATTTCCAGGGAGTCTCTATTACCGAGTGGGAATGTGTTGATCTAGGCGACAACAACGAGTACCAGAAAAACGCCGAGAGCCGACCTCTGCCCCGCCAACGAACTGTATACAAGAGATAGAGAACAGAACTGTGACCAGAGAATAAAAATGCGACGTTCGTCTTGTCATGTTCCAGGCTTTGCACTTGGCACCCCAAACAAAGGACTCGGAAAATCCTCCCAGAAGAGAAACTGAGATGCTATACAAGGGACAGGAGACTGCATCCCTGGGAAAGCACCAGTTGGATGTCTTGGTTCTAGACTAGACTCCTTCAGGAAGGTCATCTTCACTTCTTCCATCCAGAATTCTAAATTTCCTTGACGTTCCAAATATCCGAGGCAGGAAGACATCCATGACGCTTCGATGTCATGTTTGAAATGATAAATGACAATCACTGCTGAGCATTGCTTTCATAACTGTGTACCTCACACTTTGTTTCCCGATAACCTCTATACTTCCCCCTCCCGGGCCCCGTCAAACAACCGCAAGGTCTCTCCCCAGAAATTCAATCTCCTATCGGCGCCGGCCGAACAGCGCGGGGTGGCGACAGATTCCGAGTAACTGGCGAACCAAGGTTGACTCGGCGAACACCCAAGTAAAATTCGGGAAAGCCTTCAATCGGATAATTCCGTGCCAAGCCAAAACAAGGGTCTGGATCCAGCCTTACGGGCTATGTCACATTTTGCTCTCGGCGACTCCGCCATCGCTACCAATAAAAGTGGCAAGTGCCCAGCCAGCTTGCAAAAGCTCAGGGTCGTTCGGGGAGATCAGCCGCGGCGGAGCCGCCGAGGCGGCTCTTCTCAGACAGACGCGTTCGGCCGAAACTATGGCTGTGCCTTCTATCTAGATTTTTTTTCTCATCCTCCCGAGGCATCGGAAGTCGAGCTCGTGTCTATTTAAGAAGAGCTCAGGTACGATCAAGGCAGTGTCTCCTAAGCTTCAAACTCCAATCCAACCAAGTCGAAATATAGGAGGTATAGGGCTGACACCGACGCTCCCTCTTCTGCACCACCACTCTGCTCGTGAACTATACCCACGCACACACATACACCTAAATACATACATACACACGCATCTCAAGCTCAATCAATCAATCATCTGCGACCACCATGGCGACTCGCAGCCCGCAATCAACCTCAATCCAACCCCCTCTCGCCCTCGACCCAGTCTCCACTTGGCGCGCCTGGCAAACGCTCGAAATCTACTTCACAGTCCTCCTAAACCGCCAACTCCGCCGCCGCTGGCTCCTCGAGCACAAAAGCATGCAAGACCGCCCGGTCTCCCAACGCTTCCGACCAGTCCTCCACCTCGAGCCAGTTCCAACCCTCCACAAACCCCGCCTACTCCCCGCAGACACAAACGACCCGCACAACCCCTTCAACAAACTCGTGCTCGAAACGCTCAAGACCAAAGTGGAGTTGCTGCGTGCCCGTGTGGAGAAGGGCAAGGAACTCGCGGCGGAAATAGAGCGGCGCATGGTGAAACCGCACGTTACATTCCCTACGCACTTCTGCCATACTTGTGTTGCGGATGGCGAGACGGGGGGCGTGGAGGTGCTGTTGACCAAGTGCGGGCACCGTGTGTGTCAGACTTGTTTGTCGTTTGGAATGGGCAGTGATGGTGTGTATGAATGTAGTATTTGCTTTGCGCCGGCGGATCTTGTGGCCCGCTCGCCGTTGAGTGCGCAGAGGAGTTGCTCGGAAAAGATTACGCGGGTATCGAAGAAGTCATTGGTAGCGGGTGGGAAGGGGCGGAAGGGGCCAAAGGCGCTAGCTTCACCGTTGGTTGAATCGAAATAGGTAATCCGGCTGGGATACAGGGGGGTTGTATTGTTTTGGCATTTCGGTCGAGGGTTTAGGGCTGGGTCCGTGGCAGCGGCATTTGCATTATATCTACACAGGCATTTACGAATTTATGAGTTTTAGGAAATACTACCGTTTAAGTTCAATATCTTCCATGACCATGGTCCGGCATGTCACGTCCATGAGAAGGCCATACATTCTATACAACTATACAAAAGCCCGCCTCTCGCACCGAGAGCCTCAAGGGAAATGGAAAGACAAACGAATAAGCAATGACAGGTCTTGGATATCAAATCTAGAAACATCTATTCACTAGACTGGGGGAACTTGGTGGGGGAAAAGAAACATCACATCGAGACATTAGGGAGAAAAATGGATCATGATAGCCATGGCCTGGTCCAACCAGGCCATTGCGCCGAAACAAGCAAACACCTTTTTCCCACGCAAAGGGCGAAAAAAAATATAGCAAGGGGGTAGCAAGGGGATGGGGGGGGGGGGGGGATAGTATATAAGATTGGTGAAGAGACATTATACAGAAGGAGGGGGTAAAAAGGATGCAAACCGCAACCATGCTAGCTGAAGGGGCCTCCAAAAACATGCACAAGAATCGAGAGGTGGTATAATGACGAGAGAGGGGGTGGTAACAGAAGGGGTATATTGAGAAATGAGTCTTATCATCTTCTTCTGCAGGGGTCAGTTTTGGCGGGATCAAGCGTGCTTTCTTCTCATCACCGATCCTCTGCGTGCGCTCCCTCGTCAATTACCATCTGCACGTCCTTGACGGGATGGAGGAGCATTGGGGGTAGACACATGCGGCCTTCACCAGCCAGCTCCTGCTGCTCACCACCGTCGTTGTCGACGCGGAGTCCGAGCCAGCGGCGCCAGAGGTTCGGCGAGAAGCCGGCAGAGTAGAACCAAGTCGTGCCCTTGAAGTTGTGCTCGCGGTCGCCGAAGACGGACGTGCGGGCACCTCCAGATGCGCCGTTGCGCCCGGCGTTGAAGACAGATTCAAGGTAGCGAGTTGGCCAGCGGCGGTCGACGTAGACAGCGTGCGGAACATAGACGGCCTTAAAGCCGTGGTGCAGCGCGGCCGTGGCGGGCCACATCTCGGAGAACATGGTGTGGTGGCCGAGGCTGGTTTCGCGGTGCATCGTGGTCAGGAGCTTGCGGGACAGACGAGAGGCAGTGATGATGGCAGTGCGCCGCGGGGGCATCCCGTGCTCTCTGTGATAGCCGGTGACATCGTCACGGAGCAGCCAGGTGGTGCCTTCAGGGTCATACAACGGATTAAAGACAATCAAATCCGCGTCTTCGCCCACGCCCCACTGGTACTGATCCTTCTCCACAGTCGTCGGGGGAATGCCCTCGCCTTCGACCTCGAAGATATCAGGCTCGGAGGGCCGCTCAGGGCCCCAGATAGTCTTGTCGCCCTGCTGATGCAGCCCATTTGATTTTTTATCGGTACCCTCAGATCCAGCCTTGTAGACACTCCAAAGGTTATTGGGGCTGTTTGTGCCGATCTCAGTCTGCACGCGAACCATCTGCCGGAAGTCTTCCCATGACCCGTGAACCGAGGGAATGTAGAAGCGGGCGTTGCGCTCCCAGATACCCTTGCGGGGCTGCTTCTTAGCCCAGTCGGCCACCTTATCAAAGAGGTGGTACCAGTGGCCCGTGTAGCGGGCGTCCATCTCCCAGTTCCAGAAGTAGTCGTATTCCGGATGCTGGTAGGCAAAGTACTGCATCGGCATATAGGTGCTGCGGTAGACGCCGTGAACGGGCAGGCCGCGAGCCAATGTTTCCTCTAGCGCGGGATACATGAGAGACATTTGGGCTTCAGACCAGAGTGTCCCCATGCCACGGAATTCCTCGGGTAGAGCCTCATTCAACACGCGCTGGTAAGTTTCGTCGTCGGACCAGATCTGGAGATCATTGCTCTTGACGTGGATGAGGAAGTGAATAGTATACTCGCCACCGGACATCAGTGCAAGCTCCGAGATCACAGCGCGAAGATAAAGAATGTCCTCTGAGGTATAGCGGAAATCATGCCAGGTACGAATAACAACAGCGGTTCGTGGCAGGCGCTCTGACCCGAGCTTAGGCTCTGTCCTGCTGTCATCCTCGGGAGAGGGAATTTCCACCTTTGGAACGCCCACAGGCATCGAGACGAATCGGTTGAGACGGGGCTCGGACAATTCCTTGAACCGATGCCGGTTGGCGGCAAGACAACGCTGCTGCGCTTTATCCCAGTCCACTTGCCGGTAGTCCACCGGAGGCACATCTTCCCAGATACGATCAGCACCGTCGCGGTGGCCTTCTAGTCCAGCGCCACTGCCACCTTTCTTAACTCCATACCCCATCCCGTATGGTCCCAAGCGACCAAACCGCTCAAAGCACATATCATCACGAATACCTAGCATAGTATTCGATCCCATCACCGGGTCGGGGAAGCCCTTGGGTACTCCGGGAAATGATTGGACGGCAGGGACACGGATTGAGTTCTCCTGGTCCAAAAAGCATTCGCGCTTTTCACCGTACTTCTTGATGTAATCGGTGGAGTTGTAAGCCGGGTACGGGTTGAAAACTGTACTCGACATTGTAGGCTTCAGTCCTCTCGCATGCAAGCGATTGGTGCCCTCGTCCGACGTCTCCTGTGGAAGCGCCAAACCATCCGCATTGTCACCGGGATACTCAGGTGTATTCTCGCTGCGGTTCACAAGGCTGGAAAGACCGCCCTCGTAGCGGTTCAGGAATGGGAAGCTTTCCCATAGCGGGGGCTTAGTCGACACGACCTTAGGCAGCTCGACGCTAACCGGGGAGACGGAAGAGGAGATGGTGAAGCGGAAGAGGGTGAAAACGAAGAGCACGAGCAAGGCGAACAGGGCGAAGCACAGCCATCGCATTATCCGCTGCGGCACCTGAAAGCCTACCGGCGCTCTCGCGCGACGTATGCCCGCGCTGCCGAGGGGTGGGTAGGACGTGGAGGAGTGGTCCGGCCTGGAGTCGGAGTCGTCATCGTCGCCGTCGCTCAGGTGGTGGTGGTAATTTTGGCGGGAATTGAGGGGGTGTTTCTCGATATCGCTATCTTGGGCCTGGGTCCGCGAGGCGTAGGGCGAGGGTTTGCTGTACGCTGCGGAGGATCTCCTCACCTGGACGGTCATGGTGCCGACAAGCCAATCGTCAACATTGATCCACGTGTGGGAGAATGGCAATTAGTCCAGTCAACTAGTCCACCGGCACATCTGTCGTCCACCGACCAACTCAATCACAGGGAATGAAAGGCGCAACCGATCGGTGGAGAATAGGGGAGGGAGGAGAGGTTGAAGAAAGCACGCGATGGCAGACAGCGTGTTGGCTGGAAGGTCCGCAAACGTCGGCCAGGCGATGGGGGGCGGCCGCCACGGGGGAAGGAATACAGCCACGACACTTTCAGCAGCGAAGTAGACCGATGGCAAACTAGGGGAGCGGTCAATTGACTCTGCTTGGCTCACAAACGGATGGCCACGATAATTAGAAGAGCCAGAAAAAGAAAGGAAGAGGACACAGCAAACGAGGGTCTCGGCGAGTCGAATGCCAAGACCCATGCCGGGGCCAGCAATTTGAGTGATTACGCATGTCGGCTACTAAATTTGGCTTGCAGATGATCGCTTGCTCCTATTTTCTTAGGGTAGGGTATGATATTGTCGTGAGTGATATCAGATCACAGATCGAATCGGTTAAATCGGGGTTTGAGACAGGTCAATAGTGCTTGTTAAAGCCCCATCTGATGGTTCTTCTCATACTACCCTACCCTACCCGCCCACCTACTTCCCTTTACGTCGGAAGTCCAGCATCCAGAGATATCCCGTCATACTTCAAAGTGTACCGCATACTGGTTTTACATGGTGGGAACACAAGACTAACAAGGAGAAACGGCAATTTTGACGTGGCGCCAGAAGAGAAAATAGAACAAATGAGGCTAATAGCATAGCGAAGAGAAATAGAGCCGTGGAAAGTTCAGTCACAAAGCACCGATAGAGAAAAAGAACCCCCTGCTCCCGAGGGGATTTCACTGATCCATCCGGGATTGGCCTCGCGCCGAACTCCCGCCGTAGTCATCATCAATCCATCATTTGCAGATTTCCCGTGGTATTTCTCTCGCCCTGCTACATACAAGCATCCCCGTCCCCAGTCGTCCCCAAGTGAAAGTGGATTGGATTCGCCATATTATACCCGCTTAGTCGCGGTTGGTTTTCCGGAGAGTGTCGGCGAGCCACTCCAGACCCTCGTACAGACCGTCACCGGTGGTGGCGCAAGTGGATTGGATGAACTGGGAGAGGATGAGGGTTAGCAACGCAATTGCAGCCGAGCGTTAGTGGTAAAGGAAAGGGGGCCAACTCACCCAAGCACGGCGGGTCAGGCTCTGGAGACCGAGCTGCTGGGTAATCTCGGCGGGGCTCATAGCGTTCTAAAAAGGCGATCGCCATCAGTATTGTATCCCATGTAGTTAATGTGCATTTTGAGGTCCATACCGGCAAATCTTGCTTGTTGGCAAACACCAGGAGCAGGGCGTCCCGAAGCTCGTCCTCGTTCAACATGCGCTGCAACTCCTCGCGGGCCTCGACAATACGATCGCGATCGTTGCTGTCCACCACGAAGATGATACCTTGGGTGTTCTGGAAGTAGTGGCGCCACAAAGGACGGATCTTGTCCTGACCTCCAACGTCCCACACGGTGAACTGAATGTTCTTATACTCGACGGTCTCGACGTTGAAACCTGCAACATCAGATATGTCAGTCTCCATCACCGGATGCGTGCGATTTGCATTCAGGGATCGGGCTTCGATTTTCTCGAATGGCGACGAACGAGAAAGCCGGGCCAAAAGGAGCTGCGGAGCGAACTAACCGATGGTGGGAATGGTGGTGACAATTTCACCGAGCTTGAGCTTGTACAGGATGGTGGTCTTTCCGGCGGCGTCAAGACCGACCATCAGGATTCGCATCTCCTTGCGACCCCATAGTCTATCGAACAGCCTGGAGAAAGTGATACCCATATTGACGAAGCCTCGAAGCCTAGCAGGAGGGAAACAGGAGTGTTAGTTCTGACGGGGCTTAGGGGGAGATTAGGAGTGGTGGTGGTGGAGGATGATGGGTGGTGGTGGGAAAACGTGTTGTGGACTCTGCGGTCAGGGGTGGTCTCGGAGTGGGCTGGCGAGCGAGTATGTAATGCGGCAGGAATGATCGACGGGCGCAGGCTTACCGGCAGCAAAGAGGGATGGATGTTGGAAGAGTGGATTGAACGGAGGAGGGAGAAGAGAAAAGAGAGAAGGAGATGAAGTTCAGGCTGCTGACTTTCGAAAGAAAGGAAGGCCGATGGAAGGAGAGGGCGTTTTTTTGGCGGAATTAGGAATACCAAAATACCGCGGTGGGTGGTGGGCGGTGTAGTGTCCGTTCCTAATCTCCGTCTACTGACTTGGCGGGTATTTACAGCCTTTACAGCCTTTACAGCCTCGACCCGGTCAAGCAACAGTATTTAAGTTGAGGGCAAGGGAGAAAGCCACGTTCCATTTTATCGTGTGTAATAGTAGATTTTGATCGCAGGCAGCGACATTTGAGTCGACCGCATGATCCGTGCGAGCTAGGTAACTATGTACTGGGGGGGGATGTCTCGTTGGTTTGTAGTTGGGATATGTTGGAATATAGCGCCCCCAAAAGAGGACACGGTGTTGCCCGTACGTGAAATACCGGAGGCGAAAGGGGACTCGCCCCCAGGCCTCCAGTTAAGTTACCCAGTCCCCCTCCGGTCGCTGGGACCTCCACTCATTCTCGACTGCGACCCCCTCGACCCAGAATCCAGCTGCCCCATCCGCGTCTCTGATAGGCTCGGGCCAGACTTATCGGCCCAGTCTCGTGCCTTGCGCTGCTCCCATACCAATGCGCTGCAAGCCATTGTACTGGGCCCCCAGTGGGACACATGGGACGGAGGAGTCCACCGCCGCGTCATGACACCATGCGATCGCGTGCGGCCCAACTTTATACCTCCACCATCCACACTGCTGTTTATCAGTCTGGCCGCTCCCCGCGCCCGGTGATCCGCTGTCGTGAGTTTCGGAAGAACGTCTTTAGCAGCGACCGGTAGATCGTTTTACCTTCCACAGTGTCGCTGGCGAGTCCGAAGATGCTCAGAATCAGCACCGTGACAACGAAGATCACCGCAAATGACACCCAGTAATCCGCCTTGGAGTATCCGCCCTTGACACCCTGGAGCTCGGTCGAGAAATACGCTGTCATCAAGCTGACAGGCAGGAACAGCATGGTGGCTTTGGCGAGCAGGATGGTGATGCGGGTCAATTTCTCCACGGCTTGGGAGTCCTTGAGTGCGATCAAGTTGAAGTTCTAAACAAAACAGGTGGTCGCATTAGCACAAAAGCGATTATGGGCTGCCGGACAGATGAAAAGGACGAGAATGGCCCTCACCAGGAACGTCAACGACTCTTTCTCCAGGAGACAGGTGTCAATCTCGCTCAGACAATAAAGATTGATGCGGTCGACCAGCCGCTCGAATCGGGCCACAGCCGCCGAACTTAGAAGCACCCCTACCGGGCTATCGTTCGACCCAGAATGACTGCCATTATTCACGGAAATCCCTTGCCGCAGATCGGCGAACTCAGAATCTCCAACGGTTGCATCGAAGGCTACGGGCGGTGGGTTGGAGGAGCGGGCGTCCTCGCGCAACAGTCGCTGTCGCTGCAGCAGACGCCGCATGATGAGCTCGTAACTTTGGTACAGCCGTCTGAGCACGCCGAGTCGTCTGCCCAACCAGTGGAGTTCGTTCACGAGGTCGACTACAGGGCGGTCGAGCATTTGTCCTCTCTAAATGGGAGTCGGTAATCTCAGGTCAGGACTGCGTGGTCGAAAAGATGGAACAGCCGCCCTTTGCAACACTTACCAATTCTTCCAGAGAAACTCCGTACTGATGCTGTCGCTTCGCGATCAGCCCAAAACTTGACACCCAGTCGTCAAACAAATAATAAAACAGCAAACTCGGCCCATCTTCTTGCTTGATATTTGCCTGATCCAGTCCGACATCATTGAAATGTCGGACTCTGATCGTTACCAGCGAATCACTCTCCGACATATTGGCGTGTTGCTTCGAAATACCAGAGAAGATAAATCTTATGTTCCGGCGCACGACGTCCAAGACCGCGGCCTGCTCTTTCTCGGCCAAACTTTGCATCTGCGGGAGTGGATTTTCCTGGATCGAGATTAGAGTTCCTAGGGCAATCAGCAGATGTGTGGGTCAGTCATTCTCCTGCATGACTGGGTTTCCATACCATCATCGCACAGGATCAGCCATGACCAGAGTCGCGTGCCCTCGGGAAGGTCCTTGCCATTTACCACGGGCACGTCGGGCGCTACGAATAATGTGTTGTAGCCGACACACGTATCTGCCTGCTCATTAGCATCAACCCTTCCTCCGCACCATAGCCGTCTACTTACATCGAGGACCGTGGTCCACAGAAGAGAAATGCCAAATTTGATCGGTGACTTGCCCAAACGTGAGACCTCTGGACGAGGCAGTTTGGTATCTCTTCGTCATGGCAGATTCACTCTCGATGTCGTCAAGTTCGTATTCAAGTGTCTGAGTAGACTCCCTCTTTGCCTTCTTGGGGGGGACTTTCGCCGGCTGTGGTGCAGCATGGAATGGCTCGGTGTACATCATGCCTTGCAATCGTTCTGAGACGCCGTAGTGTGACGTGATCATCTGCATCCCATTAGTAACCCCATATTTGCGAGAATACAATCCTCAACACACTTTGACCGTATCTTTCTGCTGCTCCGGATTCCAAATATGACTTCGATCGTAATCATCAGCCCCAAATCCCAGTCAAAGATACTTGTCCATAAGACAAATCATCGAAGGCGTTGCTTACATCCACCTCGTCCCAAAGCACTTTGCCCTCTGTAGGAAAACATCTATTAGCGAAGATTCGTCATGCCGATGCACCATTCAAACAAATATATCGCAACTACCTACCGACCGACGAAGCAAACCCTGGAAATCGTCCGTATTCAAATCCGTCGCACAAAACGCATCGTCGTTCCCAAAGTCCAGCACAAAGCTACGCGTCCGCGAATTCTGCAGCTGCCGCATATAGTCCGCGAAATTGTTCTTGTCGTCAATATCCTTGAACCTGGACTCCAGCGAGCCCTGGGCGCCGTTCAGACTGGCATAGTATTCCTGCGGACTCAGCGGGTCCTCGCGCACGTAGACACCTTCAACCATGATGGGGAGGGGGGAAAGTAACGTCAAGATCGGGCGGTACAGGGTGGACTGCGGTTATTGTGGCCGGCCAGAGAGATTGCCCGTAGTCAAATGTAAACACGGCCGGTAGATCGAGTGGGGGCGGTAGTTGTGGGGGAAAGGCAGCTCGACTGGACTCAGGAGTCGACACTCGGAGGGCCGCAAAGGAAGAAACCAAGCGGAGGCAGGAGTCATGCAGGACTATGCCAAAATATAAACGAAAGCAGGCCCACCCTTCAAAAGGGGCAAGTGACCCGTCATTTGAGGCTGACCCTGCCGCCGGTCACGCTTAAGCGCTGGGATCAGCTGCAGCCGCCGCAACGGGTGGTTTCATGTTACTCGACCCAAATATAGTTGTGACGTGCTGATTTTCAACGATCGGGTGTGCTCAAGTGGATTACCACGGCTATTTAGCAGAAGCTTGGTCACTAGGGCTTTTCAATTCAGCGTGTACGCCGTGATGGTCCGATGGGGGTATGACAACTGTTGGGGGAACAGTAAACATTGTTCTAGGCTACTACTTCTGCGCGCAGGTTATCCTGGGGCAGTGAGATCTATCGGCGAAGAGACGACTCAAATTACTTGAGTTTCTTAATGGTAGTTGGCGAGATTTTTGTTTTGGCTTGATCGGGCTGGGCCTCGCCGGGTCCATACGCCCTCGCATACAACAGGGAGCATAAACCCGAGCGTGAATAGGACATCTTCCATATCGAGACGAAGAGAAGATGGTAATTCTCATCGTTGTTCGCTTTATGCTTAGTTTTATAGTCTGCTGCCTCAAGTCACTACCCTTTCCGCTAGCATTCCGGGTACTTTGCATATATGGCCTGCGTGCTTGATGCTAGCTCGCACTGTTGCCTACTGCGTACTTGACCTCTCGGCCAATCATGTTGGAGTCGTCACGCTTATCTTAACGGGTCTAGCGCGGGGCGGGTGACGTTGTTTTTATGGCCTGAATATCAAGGCGACAACAGGCGATCCATGCCTGCGGAGTCCCAGACTGCACTCTTCAAGGAAATTCCTATTCGCTGGTATACATGACTTGTCGACCGCACTGCTGTCCATAATGGTTGGGCCAAAGGCTGGAAAGGCTAGTCGGCCTCCAGGATCGTGCTCGGAGTGTCAGCGGCGCAAGCAAAAGGCAAGTCATTTGAATTCTCATCTAATACCTGATTAGTGCAGCCGTCAATGGCCCTGCAACCATTGCCAAGCGCGCAAAATCCCGCATTTGTGTAGATATCCTCAAAAGCAAGCACCAAAGGGTTCCATAGTATCGGTAGAGGCTCCAAGGTATGCATGATGTTTAATATCGTCTGAGCATCGCTGAGAGTTTGTAGCAGGAAGGTCTCCCCCAATGAAGAGATCGCCAGTAACAAAGCGGACGACTCTCAGCTCAGGGTTATGGACCTACCAGGACTTGCTGCAAATGATGAGCTTCGTGGGTTGAGGTATCTTCCCGATGATCAGAACCTATTGTTTGGAAATGCGGCGCCAGCGGTATTTTATTCCCTTCCGACATCGTGTAGAGCCGTTCACTGAGCCTTTGGAGACGAACAAGCCTCGATCCAATCAGCTCTCAGAGTCGATGTCTTCTGAGATGAAAGATGTGTTGCGGCTTTTGCCTCCAAAGCCATATACAGGTTTGTACCGGGCGTCATGATAGGCTGGAGTTCGGCTAACGGTAGTCCAGACATTCTGGTCGAGAGATATTTGGAAACTACAAACTACGGCTACTATTGCCTGTACCCACCCACTTTCTCACATGACTACGCAGCTTGGTGGTCTGACCGAGCAAAGGGCAGGCCGCCGACACCAGAGTTCACCTGTCTTCTTATTCGGATCTGCGCATGTGCAGCGCAATATCTCGATCCTGAAGTTCAACAAAAGCTCGAATCAGAGCTGGGCGAATCTGCCCAGAGCCTTTCAGAGAGCTACCACCACGCTGCTGAGAGATTAAGCAACACGATACCTCCTGGGAAAGGAGGACTGGCTCAGATTCAGCAACTCTTTCTTACCTCGGCTTGGTTTAAGTCGGAGTCATTGTTTGTCGAATCACGGCATGCTTTGGGTTCCTCTATTCATGAGGCCCAGGAATTGGGTATGCACAAGAGCGCTCCGCGGGCGGGTTTATCCGAGTCCGACATCGAAATGAGGCGACGGATGTGGTGTCTTTTATATGTTTGGGATTGGTAAGACTCCTTCATACTTCTATCTTGTCTAAAGTTGTATCATTTCTAATTCAAATTACAGGCAAATGTCTCTGCTACTTTCTCGCCCGTTCATTATCAATGCAATTTACTATCCTTTCGAGCTTCCCAACATGCAGCTTGAATGCGTCGACTCTGAGGCAGGGCCACCTTCACCCATCTCCCATATTTCTTACCAATGTGAACTCGGCAAGATCATCTCGCGAGTCCCGGGTACAATGGGTGGCACAATTGATGTTACTCAGGCCTACCCCATCAAATCCGATATAGATCAGTGGCTCACCTCTCTTCCCCCAGCCTACCGAGAAACAAACCCCGATACCCAGTGGGACGAACAATACGTCTACGTGCCCCTCCAGCGTCGCCAATTGCATACCATAGGGTACATGACGATGCTTTTACCATTCAAATCCTTTCTCACCAAGACATTCGACGTTCAGAGTTCAGATGCGGACAGGGCATCCCGAGGGACTGCGGTCGATATTGCCGCACACCTGATGGAAGTCTCACATAGACTGTTCAATCATGTCTATCCCCTTAATGCCAAGTTTCACCTCGTCACGTTCGTGATATTCGACACTGCTGCCTTCTTGTGCTCTGCCGTGATCCATGACAGAGACCACAGTCTCCCACAGCAGAAACTTGTCTTTCAAACAATTAGCCTCGCTTGTTCTCTGATGCAGAGACTTGGACAGATTACCAAAACCGGCGCAGTTTGCTATCCCGTCCTCGTTCGACTCGCCAATAGCCTATCCACATCGTCTAGGAGAACTGCCTCTTTTGCGGGGATAGAGGACGAAACTTCTATTCGGGGAAACGATAGCTTTGGTCCGTCACCAGATTTGGATGCATCTGCGGTATCAGACTCTATCTCTCCCGGATCGCTATCATCATTTTTAGATTCTATGGCGCCGGGTGCGATATTCTGGCCCGCTTCTTTGGATCTCTCCGTACCCGGCATGGAAACCCCTCCTATTACGGGCCTGAGCGACTTCTCAGATTTGGATGTTGGCCAATTCGATCGGATATGGGATTGGCAAAATCTGGATTTGACGTTATTGCCTAATCTTCCCGCATGATATAGCATTCTACTTTCCTGTTAGGCGTGCAGCTCAGTCTTTTATATTCTTCTTTTTCCTCGCCTTCTACGCATTAGAACTGGATAATTGTTAATATTGTTTGTAGGTTTGATCCACAGACAGAGCTACCTCGCCCATTGGAATTCCATGCATGACTTCTGTCGACAGCTTAGGCCACGGGAATCCCTCCAGAATATACTTAGTGCATGCATGGAAATGATGGGGGAAGGAAAGGTGAAAATGTCTTTGATTTGGCAAAAGGGGAGCGGAACTCCTCAGTTCTTACCCTGGGATTATCATCAGTACGTACAACATCACAAGGTGCTGTTTATGTTTAACTCGGCACAAATAGTGGAGGCGGGCGACTGCGAAGTAGATGCAGATGGAGTGGTCCGCGAAATTGTTATGATCAAGGAGGCCGGTATATCAGAGCATCGGGATGAATATTAGATTTCTCTCTTTGGTGTAGTGCTATGGTGGTTCATGGAAGCATGGCACAGTTCAGGGGTGCAAAACAACCGAGGTGGTTAGACTAGCGCAGACGGGATGTTCAGCCACTACCACGCCTTCAGGTTGACTCACGAACTGCCATGACTCTTATCCGTACTATTTAAACAAGCTTTTCCCTGGAACCAAATGAACGGATATCTCCCCAATTGCCTCACATCAAGTGCCTGACGACATCGTCTGCTTTGTGTCTAAACTATGGCTGCCCCGCACCCCAAAACAGACGAGGTCATCTGCATTCCTAAGACCTTTTCGTCTCCAACCCTCGAGCAGGAAGTTGTGGAGAGATACAAGAATCTCCGACTATATGGTCTCAAAGTCGATCCTCGGTCATTTTCCTCGACGTATGAGGCGGAATCCCAATTCTCCGACGACACATGGCGATCGCGAATTCAGAATCCTGTTGGCAAGACCTTTGCATCTATGATGGACTCGAACACTCAGCTGCCAGTTTCCAAAATTGAAGGCCTTGTTCAATCCCATGGCATGAATGATGCGCTCTATGGCTTGCTACAAAAAGAATGGGCAGGCATCGTGACGCTGGTAGGACCAGGGGTACTTAGGTCGAATGAGGACGCCACAACAGCACCGAGCAAGCCCCATCAAGTCTTCATCAGAGACAGACAGTACCAGATACCACAGACAGTACCTGAGCTGGATGATTTGAGCGGTGCACATATGGTCTACATGCTCGTCGGCATGTTCGTCTCGCCTTCAGCCCGGCGAAGGGGGCATGGGCAGCGTCTGCTGGAGGCTGCGATAGCGGCGGCTGCTGAAGAAACTATCATTCTTGGAGGGCGCAAGGCCAGCATTGCAGTGCAAGCTGAGTCTGGCAATCATAATGCCCAACGCCTATACGAGAGGGTGGGTTTTAAGGTGACCGATGAGGCGGTAGAGATTGAGGAGCGCGATGGAGCCAAGTCGCTTGTGGTGTCATTGGAGATGGAACTTGACCTCCCTGGGTTGAAGTCAGGGTCGTCATAGATTTTAGATCGAACTCGATGATCAATAGATAATAGATATGTCTATGACTTGTTGTATCTGTCGCCATGTTTCCGCGTTTCTAGATCCCCAGGCACCAAGGCAAAGTGTGGCGCTGAGTCATCATCTCGTTTGAGGGCACGACTAACTTCTTTGGGACTAGTCGCACATTTGCACCCACAAGCGGAGAAATTTGCGGCAACATTTTCTTCTCCTCCAAGACTTCAGCGTAGAGCCACACCATAAGTTTACCTTTTGGAAGACTGTCGCCATCATGTCGAAAATCACAGTCGGTACGTTCTGCGCTCTGTGCCTCGCACTTTACTCCCCAGACTCACAGCTAATGCCCTTCCAGCCGGAGTGCGCCAGAATGTCGATGAGCTGCTCAACTACTCTCTCAACGAGAAGAAGCGTAACTTCCTCGAGACCGTTGAGCTGCAGATTGGTCTGAAGAACTATGACCCCCAGCGTGACAAGCGTTTCTCTGGCACCATCAAGCTGCCCAGCGTTCCCCGCCCTGGCATGAGCATCTGGTGCGTTCTCTACGTTCTCTATCGTCGTCCATCCCAGGTCGAGTCGAATCGTGTGCGACGTTCCGAGAAGGATCAACGCAAGAGACCGACAAGCGAAGGGTGGAGGCAAGTCCTTTGTACATACCCAGTTGCTGACTGATGTGGATTTACAGCATCATCGGTGACCAGCACGATCTCGACCGTGCCAAGCACCACGGTATCGATGCCATGTCCACCGATGACCTGAAGAAGCTCAACAAGAACAAGAAGCTCATCAAGAAGCTTGCTCGCAAGTACGATGCCTTCCTTGCTTCCGAGGCTCTGATCAAGCAGATCCCCCGTCTCTTGGGTCCTGGTCTGTCCAAGGGTAAGTCTTGAACAACCATTCTTGATTTTTCGAATCAGTTTGCAGAACGAATGCTAACACCTCCCAATAGCCGGCAAATTCCCCACCCCCATCTCCCACGCTGAGGACATGGCCGCCAAGGTCACCGACGTCAAGTCCACCATCAAGTTCCAGCTGAAGAAGGTTCTCTGCCTCGGTGTCGCTGTCGGCAACGTTGGCATGACCCAGGAGGAGCTCGTCGCCAACCTGATGCTCTCCATCAACTACCTCGTCTCCCTGCTGAAGAAGGGCTGGCAGAACGTTGGCAGCCTTGTCGTCAAGGCTACCATGTCTCCCCCCAAGCGCCTGTACTAGATGCTCCGTCGCTTCATTGCGCTGGATATCTAAACGGTGTCTTAAAAAAAGGGAGGGCGTCATAGTTTAGTGACCAAAAATAAAATATGAATCTCACGGTTTCACACTCGTTCTGGTATCCCATAGGTTGTAATATATCCTCTGCCTAGGTTCTGCTAAAGTATTGTATCGCGTATTGTACAAGAATATTCCGAGGCTACAGCAGGAACATCTTCCTTATACCTATATATAGTACAAACACTCCCGCGTTCACTGCATGCCCTCCATCAACTCTGTCTTATCCAAAATCATGCCACGCATGCCAATGAACTCGCGCAGACTATCCCACTCTTCACCAATCTCCTCTCCATGCATGTACGGGTCCTGAAATCCCCAGGCGCAAGAGACCTTGTCCAATGCAGCGCGCTCCTCCTCCCGGAGCCATCGATGCCGCAAAGGAACACCAGACAACCAGGTGACACGCTTCATCTGATCGTTGGCAGTAGTAATGGCCAGAATGCCCATGGACGAAGTACCCGCAACATATGCCAGCGATGCAGCGAATGCGATTCCAGTGGCTGTGCTAGTGTCCATGGTATTTTGGAACGTCGATGCCCAAGATGCGAGGGTAAAGCAAGCAGCCGGGGCAGCTGCCAACCCAACTAATGGAACAGCAGCCTTCTTGAAAACCTTCGCGCGGTGAAAAGCAGGTGCGCAGAAGGTGTTATCGATAATTGCCAGCACGAGCGGGAGGTTCTTTTGTTTGATGGCGACGTCGATAGCCTGGTTCGCCAGCTCCGCGGGAACAGCACTGTTCACATCGTTTGGGTTCGCCTCGTGGAATTTAGGCGGGCTGCTCTTCTCCTCGGGTATCGCCTTGTTGGCATATAGGTTGAATACCTCAGGGAGGTGCTCAGCTTGGTTCAAGACACACTGGGCCCGAACATAGCGCTCAAGTGCTGTCGGAGAAATAAACACCTTTTCGTCTTTGATTATTTGCGTCATAACGTGTGAGACCCTGTTCGCCAGTCCGCGAAGGGCTTCTTCCAACTCGTGTCGCTGCGTTACAGATCCGTGCTTCTCCTCCATCTCCAGTAGTGAGCAAATCGCATTGCTTTTGCCATTTGTCGAAGAATCATCGCGCAAGTCCCAGTATGGCGAGAGTGATCGGGCTGTCTCTTCACATTCAAGAAGGGCATCCTCCACGTCCTTGTTGCCTGGCACTTGGTTCGAGCCCAGCAGTTTCAATGCCGTTGTTTCGCAATCCCGTGTCATTCTATCGAGGTCTTCGAGCGAGAGAAGCGATGGTTCATGAATTTCATTATCGCCATTCGGGTCAGAAAGGTGCGCCGAATTTGAGTTCTCCGCTGGGCTCGACTCGGTTTCCACGGGCTTCTCAAGCGTTTGAGATGCAAGGCGTGACTTGTACCGTATGGATGAGGTCTGGCAAGGCAACTGCTGCTGTGAATTCAATCGCGACGGCTGCAATACATTGCTGGTTGGAACTCGACTTCCGGGGTTCGCGGCCCCCCGAGCGAGAGGGATAGCACGGCGTGAAGTCGAAGTAGTGAATTGACAAAGCTGGCAGATGACACCTTGCGGTGTAGAGCCTCGATTGGCTCTCAGGGAAAATCGGTTCATGGCAATTGGGGGGTCGAGAGCCCGCGCGAAAAGGTGGTTGAGGTTGCGGTCGTCGGAGGCGGCTATCTTTTTCTGATAGGAAAGGGAGGCTCCAAGGCGGAGACTTTCGCCCGGGCGCCGTTCACTGCCCCGTACTCTCGCACTGACGTCTTTGCTTCTGCCTTACACAGTCGCCGCTCCTTCTGGCCAAGGAGACCTCCCTCGTCCCTCTTGATACCGTTCTATATTTCATGCTGCATCGAACTCGACACTCGCATTCCATCTTACGCGCGCTCTCGTCGATATGCCTCCTCCCCCTCCGCCCCCTCCGCCGCCGCCGCCGGGAGGGCTAGGTGGCCCTCCCCCGCCGCCTCCTCCAGGAAGTCTGCCTAATAGACCACCGAAGAATGAGGTGAAAGGTCGGGTAGGTTTTGGAATACGCTGGGCATCCAAGTGTCCATGTACTCTTTATGTTGGAGGCACAAGACTAACAACTAGAGCAGGGCGCGTTGCTCTCGGACATCCACAAAGGCACACGGTTGAAGAAGGCAGTCACCAATGATCGATCAGCGCCGCAAATCGTAAGTTCTGGGGGAGGCTCAGCTGCACCCCCTATCGGCGGCGCGCCTCCAGTTCCCGGGATGAAGGCTGCGTCAGGGCTTGCACCACCCGTCCCGTCCGGTCCCGCTGCCAATAGATTGCGAAGCAACAGTGAAGGAGTATCGGGGTCAGCTGGAGGAGCTAGTGCCCCAGCACCCCAGTTAGGCGGTCTTTTTGCAGGTGGAATGCCGAAGCTTCGCAGTCGCGGCGGCATCGACACTGGTGCCACCCGAGATTCGCCTTACATGTCCGAAGGTGAAAGCACACGACTCCCAGCTGCGCCAGCTCCCAAACCACCTACGGCCCCTCGCCCTCCTGGAGCACGCCCACCACTTCCTCCACCTTCTTCAGAGTCTCCGCCCGCTCCGCCTCTTAATCCACTGGTCGCCAACCTAAAGAAGCCTCCCCCACGACCCGCATCGAGGCCGTCATCTACTATTTCTACAGCTTCCGCAAAGAGCGCGCCCGAGGTGCCTCCTCCTCGCGCCCCTCCGCCACCTCCTGGGGCATTCAAGGCCCCACCACCTCCAACATCACGACAACCTTCTGGGCCACCGCCGCCTTTTCCATCAGCTAGCCCAGGGGCTCCTCCCCCACCTCCCCCATCTGCGCCTACTACTGCTCGGGCTCCTCCCCCACCTCCAGCTGCTTCTGGGCGGCCAACTCCCCCGCCTCCCCCACCCGGAGCTCCCGTATCAATTGCCGCCCTAGCTGCGCGCACTGCACTGGGCAACAACAGCTCGCCAGCAGTGCCTCCCCCTCCACCACCCTCTGCTGCCCCAGCGGCTCCACCACCACCACCGCCAGCCTCAGCCCCCGCTCCTCCCCCCAGCGAGGCGCCCTCTCGCCCATCTCCCTTCTCTTCACGCCCACCTTCACACGAGCCGCATACTACGCTCGATCCCAGTGCTTATACACTAAGCAATGGCGGCTCATCTCATGCTCCTACCTCGCTCGCCACATCCACACACGGTCCAGTCCGAATAGACGACTCCCGGTTCAAGTTCCAAGGGGATGGACTACTCCCCAAACCCCGGCCATTTACTGGCGGAGTACGCAGGTACCGTGCTGGGCGAGGGAGCAGTGTGCCGCTGGATTTGCGTGCGTTAAGTGGCTGAGTGCATGGGACATTGCGGGCGATATCGTGCACAAATAGTGATTGCTATACATTATACAGTTGGTCAATACCATCATGGATGTTCCCAGTCTCCTTTGTAGTTTTTTTGCCACTGGCAGGCTTTTGCCTCTTTTTCAGTAGTCATCTCAAATCTAATTAATCTATTTCGAGCTGGTATACTTCTCAATGTAGTTTCTGAAGCTCAGCTCCGGCACGTGACCACATATGCCAACCTGTGCAAACAACCGCGAAGCCTCCGAGAATCATTCTCAATCCCACCCCCAAATTAAACAAAAGCCTGCAATTCACCATTCTGTTTACCAGTGGCCTTCAGCTGCCATTGTGCACATTCCAGAAATTGACTCCAAAGTCTGTCCAGTGCTATCATCACCACCGCCAAGGCGATCCCGGACCGCGGGTTTCGACTTCGCTTTATCACCTACCGAGGACCGCCATCTACTGTGCTTGAGCTCACCTCGGACTTCACCAGCGAGCTTTTTGTGCACAATTGCCTTTCTTTGATCTTGCCGACCATTGTGACCCCGCAAACAAGCACCGAACGCGCTGAGGGACAGCTACTATCTCTGGCTGCGGGAAACTGCAAAAAAAGCCGTTGCTGGCCGCGCAGTATAGACCGGTGCAGGGCTAATCAAGCTTTCATTGAATCCGATCAAGTGGCGCGTCTACTTGGACACTACTTTGATTGACTGTCTCGGTTCATCCGACGCATCACCTCGCCCACTATGTCTCTGCCTCTGATGCCCCTCATTAATAGTACGTCCCGAATCCTATGTCCCTACAAGGCTACTGCCACCAAACCACAACCTGATACTAATCCGATACTTCTACCACAGAAAAAGTCCTCATCCTCACTGTGGACGGCCGCACCCTCCTCGGCACCCTCCTCTCCACCGACCAACTCACCAACATCGTTCTCACCAACACGGTCGAGCGCATCATCCGCACCCCAGGCGATGACGAACCCTCATCGCAGATCGAGCACGGCCTTTATCTCATTCGGGGGGATAATGTGGTGATCTGTGGCGAAGTAGACGAGAAGATCGATGCGGACATCGACTGGGCCAAGGTCAAAGGCCAGGTCATCCGGGACACGAAGAATGCATGAGCCGCGTCTGCATGGCTTTGATTTGATTTGCGCGGGTTCGGGCGTTGGGTGGTCTGGGAAATCCGCATTGCATGAGATGGACCGAGGAGACAAGCCTTTTCTCTCTCTTTCATGCGCCGCGGCCTTGCTGGGTGTTTGTGTCGGGTGCCAGCCCTGCCCATGTCCAAGAACGGTTGATTTTCATTTCGCCCATGCCCGGTGTTCTTATATCGCCTCGCCTGTTTTCGCCTGGGCTATTGTTCTCTTTAATAGCGCCGTTCGCGACGGGGGACGCGCTAACCACGAATCCCTCAAGTTCTTTTTCTTCATAACGTCATGGCTCTGGCGAGTCTACGCCGACTTCACATGCGGGTTGGTGCCCTGCCCGGGGTCTCGGGGCTCGGCATTGATGCGGTTGGCTACATTCCTGGGAGGATCTACGGCACGCGCATTGGGCTCTGGGCTATTGGACATGCGGGCAGACGCAACGGCAGAGAGAAAGACCAAGACCAGGATTCAGTGAGTCAATGTAATCCTGGCGAAAAGCAAAAAATGGCCAGTCGCTAGGCGTTCGCAAGGGAAGCATCCCTACATTCTTCGGGGAGGGCGGGGAAGACCACCCACCGGCGTGGAATGGGGCTTTTTTCGAGAAAGATACCTAATACCTACTTACCGCATGTATGTTGCATCATCGACGCGTTGCTTGTTCAGCTTTTCGCCCACAGCCGCCGTTTCCAGCTTCCTCGTACCTTCGCACCAAATGTACTCCGTATATGTAAATGTCAACGTAAATGTTATCCATTTACTACAGTATTAGAGGGTGGGGCGGATATAGAACGTCTGGCCTGAACGCTGGGCGAGTTATTTGCTAGTCTAGATACGAGGGGCCGCAATCGATTGTGGCCTAAACAATACATACCTAACAGTCCCGACCCACTGCGCTTGGGTGTCAGTTTCCGGAGGGGACAGTAGTGCAGAAGACAGACCGTAATAATCATCATACAGTAGTGGCATCCAGCCCCTTTACTTCCCGTTTGCGGCGCGGCGCCCCCACACCGCGCGGGACGCAGATTTGATGCCAAGCCTTCAAAGAACAACAGGTGAAGACGTACTGTACGAAAAGGGAATGTCCTGTGAGTACCTTGAAATAAGGGTCGAGAGGAGAGGTTCCTGGCCGGGATTGAGATCCAGCCCCCTCGAGCTTGTGGTTCTGCAGTGGCTCTGTTGCCCGATCGCATCGTTGGCACAGTAGCGCTATGCGGGCCTTGGCGCCAACCGGTGGTTGGGGAAGTCTGTTGCGGTCAATTCGCCGGTTAGACGTAGACTGAAATAAGTTGGGCCGACAGATTCTTATGTGTTCCACACAGTGTACGACGTAATGGATGCGATTGCGTCGGATGATATCGAATCAGTAGCATAGAAAACAGGGACTGACAGATTGGGTCCCTTGGTACCGAAGTTGACGCACGTATTGGGCGCAGGACGGACAGTCCGGGCAGTACCTGGGGGAGCCGTGGTACAGTACTGAAGCAGCCGTCACCACTGGCTTACTGTCGTTAGTCCATCCTTCGTGCGCCGTACTCAGTCCGTGCTCCGTACGGGGTACGGTAACAAACCACCATACCAGCTACTGCACATACCACCTCGCCCCCAAAGCCTCCCCTCAGAAACTCCTGACCCGTTTCATCCGTGGCCCCCTTCACCCTCGTTCCCTCCCTCTCTAACTCTCTTACTCTCTTGCTTACTTTCTTACCTCCCTCTCTACATCCATCACCCCCTCCGCTGGTCGCTGGGCGTCCAATTTCTCACGACTCCGCCATCCTCCGCCCTCGTCTCCTCCCCCCTGATCCGCCTTCGCCCACAGCCCTTCATGTGGACTCTAGCATCGCGACCGAACACAGATCCAATACCGGGCCCACCTCAGCAGTTCTCCCGGGCTGAAACCCCCTCTTGAGCGTATCTGGGAAATCATCAACACCGACAACCCAAAACAACCTTTCTAAAGGGACTTAGAAGAAAGGGCCACCCTCCCCCGCGCCGCCATGTGGCTCTATCGGGGCGCGCAGTCCGCGGTCTTCTACTATGCGACTTGTACTCCGTGTGCAATGAGCATCGACCGCCGGAAGCGCAAGAAGGAAGCCGTACGAACCAAGCGTCTGAATGAGAAAGCCGCCCGCGACCTCGTAACCGATCAACCCCGACCGTTCCCGCAGCCGACCCCGTTCAGCACCAATGAAGGCTGGAAAGAAGAAATATCGCTGGGACCAGGGCCTCCAACTCGTCGAGGTGGCCACCGCAACAATCAGAGGACGAACAGTTGGAATACGGACCAAAGCTCTCAAATGAAGAAGGATAAGAGTGGCGGCCTAATGCAACCGCTCAACGACCGGTGGAAATCGATGCGATATCAGCGCGAAGACGAACCCCTTTGGGGTCAGGAAGTACGCGGCTCGTCAATTGGCTTCTCTGGTCGTGGTCGTGCGGATCATCAGGAGCCGCCAAAATACTATGCGGCATGTGTACCCCCTGTCAATGATCTACATCCGCCCATTGTGAGTGGGCCCAGCAGCCGCGCCGACACTAGATGGATGCTTCAACCGCCACCCAGCGCCAAGGTCATGGCCGGAAAAGAGCGATTCAATCTGTTGTCCCCCCGTGACAGTACGGCTGCTTTCAACCACTGGCCATCCTCCACAACCAAGGGCGGCACCATCCGGGAAGACGAAACCGAGCGCATCAGCAATGAGACGGTCGATACCACCGTGATTCAGCAGCAATTGCCTCGTCGACCATCAGTATCTCGTGTCCGTGCAAGCTTCGAAAGTGCTAGTCGCGACGACTTTGACCTACCCCGGGCTTCCCGCTCGGACTCGATGTTCTCCGTAGCCAATACCGACGACCAGTCCTTTAGTACTTCGTGGAAGTATCCTGACACGCCCACGACACGCCCGGCCTCCAAGTCCACCGAAGGCAGCGAGAAGGGACACGTCCGCCCGCCGATCTCGAAAACGCTTTCCACCGTGCACCGCGGCGACAAGCACAAGGTCCACCTTCTTCAGTTGGAGATCAACGACGAGCCCAGCGATGAAGTCAGTCTCGGCCAGCTGGAAAGCATCCGCCCGTGGCGCTGGAGCATGGACATCTAATTAACGGCCAATTCATCCTCATCAACCCTATCAACCTCACTACAGTTCTGACACAATCCCCCAACTCATCCTTCACCCTCACACTCTCCGGCTATCACCACCTTTCTCTTTTCCGCTACTTTGGATTTTGGGCACCAAGGCGTTCGAGCAAAAAGCACTGTGCGCTCCTGGATTATCGTTTCCGTTCTCCATCATGTTTCGCTCGTCCCCCTGAAGTCCCCCCTTCCTCACCAACACGTTATGTCTCCGTTGGGCTCGAGTGCACGGCTGGACCAGATGCCCCCAACGGCAGCCGATGAATGTAAACAAGTCTCGGCAGGCATGAATGCGATATCAGAACGCGCGTGGTAGCGAAGACAACCCTTTTTTAACATTCCTTCCGACTCCTCTTGGCTACACACTTTACACTACTGAGTACCGTTCCCTTCAAGCGTATTCAAGCGCATCGACTTTCTTCCTTTCCTTTCTCTCCTTTTTCCTATTGTTGTCGGCTTTACCTTTGCCTTCCGGCCACCCTCCTTTCACTATCCCTGAACCCCGTTTCTTCTTCTGTATCATAAGTACCTTCCACTATTCTGGTTACATACATAGCGCATACATAGCATGGTGAATCATTGGATTTGGAATTTTATAGCATTTTATTGATTTCTTACCTTATTCTTTTTGTTCTCGGATGGTGTGGAGCTTTAGATAAGTGCGGCTAGAAAGGGGCCAATATATATTGGCATGTTTTCAACCCAATTACCTTGCCTGATAACGTCATACAAAACATGACAACAATGGACTATATACCTAGCTTCCTATCTACCAAGGTAGATATTCACCTAGTGGAACCTGTAGGTACCTAGGTAATGTTGATATCTCACCCATATCAGGAACCACCTGTTTCATCCGAATGCCCTGGGACTGGGAGAATGGCAAGCTTGTCGTTGAAACTGATAGGACCTAGGACGAGCTTTTCCAATAGAAGTTGGCATCGCAGTGCGTAAGAATATTTTGAAGGAAGTGCGGACGATGTCAAGCGAATGCAGATAAAGTTCTACCAGCTGCGTAAACTGTACACTCCCGGCGATCTTTGGCGGCGATGGGAGCATCCTTATACCTTTTTCTTCGACTTGGTGCGAGAATGTTCGTGGAGATTCGGTGCAGCGGCGATCAGCACGTCGAGACGGCCCTTGGAGCTTTGTCCCGTCTCCCTGTATTTTCAGCAGTCTTCTCTGGACGCGGTTCAGCTCTTGGGACCAAGTTTTGCGGAACGGGGTTCGCGGCAAGCGCTTGTAGGTTGAGAAACCCGGCACATGCGCCAATGATGAAAGCTGTGGAAATTTTGGCCATGCTGATAGGTGACAGACTCCTGGTGTCTTTGTGTATGGTACTCCGTTGCTGATTCGAAAAGCATGGAATCCACTTGGTGAGTGGTAGTTGCAAATCTGATGAACGAGCTCGATGGGGAGTATTGTGATGGACATGGCGTAACTTGGCACAAGAAGCCCATGCCCCGCTTAGTTTAATACTGGCGCTGTTTACTACCGGGGCTAGAACAGACCATAGGATGATCTGTTGTGACGAAAAGCGGGTCATGCAATACATGACTGTTGTCTGAGGGAAGGGGAAATATGCGAGTCTTGAACAGAGCTCAGAGCGAGGGAGAAATTTACTCGTGACTTCAATGCAACTTATCATTCATGATAGGCTCGGCAGTGGCCCGTATCCTTGTTTTGCAGTGGTCGCATGCACGCGGACATGTCTTTTTGCTTTGAGAAGAAAAGGAAAGAGAAAAAAAAGGAAACGTAAAGAGGCCCGGAAAACAGTATGACGAGGACCTGAGGAACACCAATCCAAATCCCTCGAGGTATGAGTGAGGGTGGGAAGAGACACCAATTTAAAAGACGACACATGCAAAGCGGCTGAAGAAAGACTTGATCTGGAGTGCTCTTTTCAAGAAAGTCGAAATGACAAACAAAGATTGTAGGTATGGAGGAGCCTGGAAACCTCCCAACGCCCGTCCAGGTCTCCAGAGGGGAAGTGTGTGTTTAGATAGAAGCGAGGAGGATTAGCTCTCTTTGACTCTTCCAAACCCACTGTGCGTTTGGTGTCGTTTGATTGCTGGATGTGAGTGCCCGCAGAATATATAGAGAAAAGCAAGTCGTTTTCTCTACTCCACGCTAGTAGACCTTCTTCTTCTCGTCCATGCTCAGTTGGCCGGGGCCCATGTTGACCAGCAGGAGGAGACCGCCGCTGCCCGAAGAATTAGAGATGCGGACCGCAATAGTAAGATTGGACCAGGGAACATACACAATCGACAGAATCTGGAAAAAGTCGTACTTGGCAAAATCCTTGTGCGGGTGGTGGGGGTGCAGCTGTTTCATAGTCAGCTAACCTGACGTCCCATACCAAAAGGGTTGAGAAGCCAATCATACCGTCCAGAAGTTGTTGACCAGCACATTGAACACGCTCAGTAGCACCACGAGGATAATCGCGCTCCACTTCGCCTTGAAGCCGACAATAACCATCACGCAGGCAACGAGACCGAACAAGCTAACCAGTACGCGCCAGAAGCTCCACTGGCCGGAGAAGACGAAGCCGATGAAGAGGAAGATGAGCAGCACGCGCCCGGCGAATTGCACGTACATCTTGCGGTCCTTCTCGTCGAGCTGGGGCAGGCCGGCGGGAACAAACTTCTTGCGCACCCACGAGTCCGACAGCACCATAAGCAGGCCGCCGACGACACTCAGGTTGCGCAGGAAGAAGTTCAGGTCGAAGATGAGGCCGTACCCGAGTCCCTGTGTGATGACAACGGCTAACAGTCCGGCCACGGCGTACTCAGTGCGTTTGCGGGCGATCACTAGAATCGAACAGATGGACATAGCGATGACATTGATGATCAGGAACATGTGCGTAATTCCCCACGGAACTATATCCAGCAAAGCAAATCGAGTTAGACTGTCTGTCGTGTTGTAATTGCAGTAGGGCGGGCTTGTTGGGGGCGAGTCACCCACGACCCCCTCCGGGGAAAGCTCGTGTGGGACGGCTCTCAGGGTCCGAGGTTCAGGGCATCTTACTCTTCCGGAAATCACGCAGGTAGACCAGCTGGTCGCTCCATTGTGTGAGAATGCGCAGTGAGTCCTCAATGAAGGTGACCACAATCAGAAACCGGCCGATCGCGGGGAGGTACCTGCGGAGCAAGAGAACACGGTGTTAGTGCATGCCTTCAGATCCCTTGTTTGGGAACGAATGGGTTTCGGGGGCCGCGGAAGCTGGCGAACCGCAGCACCACGGCGAATCCGAACTGGAATCAGAGCAGGGAGCTCACGTACGGCTTCACAGGGTCTGCCATCGTATCCAGCCAGTCCTCGATCTTGCTTGTCTGCTCGCGGATCGCATCCAGCGGGCTGGGGTCGCTGGTGGCATCGGCGCTACCAGGCCCGCCGAACGGGTTCTGGTGGCCGAGGTTGTACCCCGCGGTGCCACGGATTTGGGCCATGGCGAAGGAAGGCGGAGGGGAGGACTGGTTGTGTTTCCGGGGAGAGATTGGAGCTCGGGAGAGAGTTGGAGAAGGTCAAAAGTGGTGCAGAGAGGGAGGGATCGAGTGAGTAAACCAGGGTGGAGACGGTATACAAAGCAGCCCTCTTCAGGCCACGATGCCCGGAACTCGGCGCTAGTCCCGTTTGGGCACATGTGACGACAGCGGGACAAAACATGGGCGCATTCTATGCTTTCGATACATTCTACACATTCTCTACATGTCCACAATGATCCATCAATGGCTAGAAAACATGCTTCCATTGTAATACAGTCGGAAATACAAACACAAGAGGTCCCAATTGTGCTTTTGTGCTCCCCTCGCCGCACCCCCGAGGAGCGGGCGAACTCACAACGAGTGCTGAACGCCAGTCGGGCCCACCCCCTGCCACGAAAGGGGAAAGTTGGGGAGACGAAGGCTGAAATTATGGGACACACTCCCGAAACGCCAAAGCCAAGTCAATGGGTAATAAATACAGGTTCAAGGGGTTCAAAGATGGGGCAGGGAGAAGTGGCATATGGACGGAATGAGGCGGAAGACGAGAGAGATCAGGCGGCCCAGTCCGAGTCCAGCGGGTGGCCCTTCTCACGGGAGCGAAGGATGTCCGGGATGTAGGTGGGAGTCACGGTCACACGAGGCTCAACGGGCGCAGCGACCGCAGAAGCCGGCTGGGACTCGGAGGCACTGGTCTCGCTGACGCTCTCATCGGCTTTGCCGCCCTTCTTCTTGGGCTTCTTGGAGACAGTGGTCCAGTCGTCGTCAACGTTGGAGGCTCCCAGAATGCGCAGCTGCTCCTCCTCTGAGGGAAGATTTTGGGCCCACTTCTTCTGGGCCGGAGCAGCGGGGGCGGGCTCAAAGGTATCCAGGAGCTGCACGGGAGCAGCAGCGGAGGCGGGCTGAGAAGAACCGTTGACCACAGGCTCCGCCTCCTTGGTCTGCCAGGCGTTGCTGGTAGGCGGCTTAGAACGAGCAACCTCCTGGCGCTCCGATTCGCGCGCGGTGTGTAGCTGCTTCTCGAGCAACTTCCGGCGTTGCTCTTCGGCCTCCTGAACTTGCTGCTTGCGCGCCTCGTTCTTAAGACGGTTCTGGCGCTGCTTCTTGGTCTCCACCTGCTTGAAGTTCTGCGCCTTCTGCTTCTTGGGCTCCGACTCGACGTTGCCGGTCACACGGAGGACCGAGGCGCCAGGGGCCGGGGCCTCCAGCATGTCGGATACGTAACCAGCGGAAGGAACAGTGGCATTCACCTCCGGAGAGGCGGCGGGGGAGAGGTCATCATCCGCATCGGCGCCGGTGGTCGAGGAGGCGTGCGAGCCGCCCTCGAGCTGAGTGGCCTTCTTGGCCTTCTTCTTCTGGTTCTTGGCGGCAGGGGCGGCGACCTGGGAGGTGCCATTCTTCATGGCGGCCAGGCGGCGAGCCATCTCCTTGCGGTCGACATCCTCATCCGGCTGCTCATCCTCGGTCGTGGGGGGCGAGACGACAGTCTTCACCTCGGGCTTCTTGGCCACAGCCGGCTCGGGGGCCTTTGTCTTCCGCTTTTGCTTCTTGGGTGCTACCACAGCCTCCGTCTTCTCGACAACAGATCGGACTGCGGTCTTAGCCTTCGGGGTGGAGCCATTGGTGTAGTACCACCCGAGACCACCTGCTACGACGAGCAGGAGGGCCCAGCTAATATAGGGGTTCATCGTCATTGGACTATGATCGAGGTCAGCATTATGGTCCGTCATCCGCCAGCTTCATATATCAGGTAGTATATGGATTGCGCTCAGAACGTACGATTGAGGAGAAGCCTTTCAGTCGTAACCGTCGAGGACCGAAGAAGAGTCGGTGGCCCGCGCGGGTCACAAGCTTCAGGGGAGGGTAGGACGGTAGTGTACGCGCACAACTAATTCGGCACGCGCAATGATACAGCGAATTGATCGTACACCGTTAACGGGGTGGGAGTGGGGGAAAGGGGAATTGTGTTGAGGGATCGAGGGAGGTTCAGAGGACCCGGTCAAACATCGAAGTTGTCGGGGCCTAGACGAATTGATCGGCAATCTGCGATCGAGGGTCGAGTGGACTACGACGAGAACACAGCTCACGCGCGGAACTCACGGTGATCCTGCGATGAGAGATGCAGAGGCGTCGTTGGGACGGGGGTCCGGGGGCGCTTCACGCTTGATGGGGGTGGGTTGCGCTCGGACGGAGGCGAAGAGGAGAGATACAACGTAAAGAAGCTGTGCTCAGCGGGCAGATGGCATGGGTACCGGATCCGCACAAGGAGCGAAGAAGGGTGGAAAAGAAGAAGAGAAAGAAAACAGCGCCAAAGGAACGTCGAGCGAAGGACAGGAGAACAGGAGCGAGACAGAAAAGGACACGCTGAGCATCCGACGGTACGATACCGCCGTGTATTTGCCGTCACGGGGGCGTATTGGCGCTGTGCGGGAGGTGGAGGCAGGACCACGCGCTTCCCAATGCTGGATGGATCAAGTTGGGGTCTTCAGGCTTGTCAATTCTGGCCGACTCCTTTAATAAAAGAGAAACAGCATCGCCTTAGATCTGAACCTGTCTCCAATTGCTCCGGCGTCCCGGACTACCTCCCCGAGCGATATCTGGGAGCATCTATACTCCGTAATCGTGCAGGTATGCCTGGACGTATTTTGCCAGTACCTCGCTGGTAACATTCAATACGGCCAAAGTCCTCCCTTTCGTGGCCTGGGACTAACCCACTACGGAGTAATTTAACTGGGCCTGCCGAGAGTCGACCAGACTTGGCCCTGGGAGCTCGAGTTGAGATGCGGGTGTGGAGAGCTGTAAAGTCGGGGCCTGCGAACAGGCCACGTCTCTGTTGCTGTCTCATTTCCCACTGGTCTTGCTCAGTACGTGTGTACCTTGTGGACCTGCTGTATCGAGTACCGGGGATGGGCTCGGACTAGCGTGTGCTGGGGTTGCAAGGACCCAAGACCCTCCCTTCATCTCGGTTTCTCCATCCACTCTCCTTCCACCGTTCCATGGTGCCTGCCCACCAGAAGATTTCGCGTCGATCCGGCAGGGGACCGGGCCACCCCTTGCAGCCGCCCTGTCGCCCCTGCCACGAGGCACGGGAAGATGCCGATGGACTGCATCAATGCATGTACAGTACATGTACATTCTAGATATATCTCATCCACGCGTGCAGTCCGGACCCGAGTGCCCCAGATACCTTCGTCGTCAAGATACCGCCGCGACAGAATTCAGTATCTCTGAGGCACAGGAGCCCCCACCTCGGCCATTCTCCTCCGAGGTATATACACAAGGCTATCCGGCGGTGCAACTCTCAAAGTCTCTGGATTGATGAGACTTATCGCAGTTGATTGCTTTCGTAACCAGGCATGGTCAACCCCCACAATGTGTATGATACTAGATATGTTCTTTTTATCGCCCTGCAAGTCTAGAAGACACTGGAAGCTTATATCCCCTGTACCTCGATAGCCCTATCGAAACTGCTCTCGAATGCTTTTCCGAAACACTTCTCGTATAGCTCCTAGTCTTTAAGCTAACGGAGGAATTGGGACGCATCCAATATCCAATATCGCATCGTGATTGACGAGAACGCTCCACCGTCTTTATGGCCCTTAGCAGATCGCGGCTGGAGATGTTCATTTTCCAGCATCTGAATTGTGAAGGGTTCGCAGTCAGGTACTCAAGGTTGAAGAACCATTGGCATCTGGAACGAACGAGCCAATTCTCAGGAGCTTAAGCCCTTAGAACCGTGAAATGGGGATGTTTGAACAATTGTCTCCAAGTTACGCAAATGGAGCAGCTATAGAACCAGCCTTTATACCTGCGTTGCCAGGGCAAATGCTTTGCCCAACCCGGTATGAAGGAAACTGGGTCATCACTAAGGTTCCGAGGAAGACTTTACTCGATACCAACATGAATGTCCACTTGGTTAAAACCCGACTTGCAGAGCACAACCCTACCGTGCATAGTTATTGTTATCCATGTTTGTTCCTTCCTTTCTAATTCTGTGCGGGGATGAGGCGCCAAGGTGATAACACCTCGAGGAAAACTGGGCCTCCGTCGAGAGCCGCTAGTTACTTGAGTAGGTAGGTAATTATCCTATCTGACCTACTACCCTAGTTAGTTAGTTAGTTACCCTAGTAAGTTAGTCAACCAGGGTTGGCGTTGGATGGATGCCTGAGGAAGCAGTGGGGAGATGGGCGATAACAAAGTGGGAGGCTTCCTGCGGTGATAAGCAGCTTCCCACTTCCACCATCCGATTCAACGCGACATCCCACCATGGTCTGCAAGAAGATCATCATTGATACCGATCCCGTAGGTCCTGCACTATCTCCACGGATCGGTGGGGCTCAAGACGTTAACACTCTTAGGGCATTGATGACATCCTCGCCCTGCTGCTGGCGCTGTCCGCCCAGCCAGAAGATGTCGAGGTGCTACTCATCTCGTTGACCTTTGGTAACATCGAGGTCAAGAAGTAAGACTACCCGAGTCCCAAGAAGCACACACACATACCCATATACATACATATCTGATTGCCTTGTGTAGCTGTCTCCGCAATGTGGTCTCCATGTTCCACATCCTGGAGCGCGAGATCCAGTGGCGTCGCGAGAAAGGCCGGCCTGAAGGCTTCGGCGCCATGCGTGCTTTCCGTCCGGTAGTTGCCGTTGGCGCCGAAGATCCATTAGAGGATCAGAAAATGATGGCTGATTACTTCCGTATGTGTTCTGCTGCTAATAATCCCATTCCCTGGACGTTTCTGACAACTACCCCGCAGACGGAACGGATGGACTGGGGGGCATCCACGCTAGTGTATGGCATTTTACTTCAACCGCAAATCCTGGCACCATTGCATCGACTGACTGTTGGATATAGCACCCGCACCTCACTGCTAGCCAAGCTTGGGAGCATCTCTTCGATCCGGCGATTGATGCCGATGGCATTAAGACGGTCCAGACCGGCGCTGATCCCGACGACCACTCGTTCATTCCGTCCAAAGTCCCGGCTCATAAAGAGATCTTGCGGGTGCTGCGCGAGAATGAGCCGGACACAGTGACCCTAGTTGCAGTCGGTCCGCTCACTAACCTCGCTTTGGCATCTGCGGAAGACCCGGAGACCTTTCTGCGGGTGAAGGAGGTTGTCGTCATGGGTGGCGCCGTCCACCAGCCCGGTAATGTCAGTAAACAGCACATGAATCCACATGCGATCCAGTCACTGACCGAATAAACCTGCAGGTCACTCCGGTTGGCGAATTCAACGCCTATGCAGATGCTTTTGCTGCCGCGCGGGTGTTTGCCCTAACATCGCCCAACCCTAACTCGACACTGCCTCCTACGAAGAGCTCCTTGCTCCCACCATACCCGGCCAAACTGAGTCGTCAATTGACTCTCCGCCTCTTCCCACTAGATATCACTCTGCGACACAACCTATCCCGCGGTGAGTTCCGCGCCGCTGTCAAACCCCTCCTCGAGGCTGGCTCCCCCCTGGCTGAATGGGTGTCTGTGTTCATGGCGCACGCCTTCAAGACCCTGGAAAGGATGCATCCAGGCCATGTTGGTGATGATGCCCAGCTCAGTCTGCATGATCCGGTTTGCGTCTGGTACGCCCTAACCTCCGAAGACCCGCATTGGGCCCCCTCGGCCACCTCGCCGGAGGACATCCGTATCGAGACAGTGGGTCAGTGGACGCGTGGGATGTGCATTATTGACCGGAGGAACCGGCATCCAATTGAGGGCGACGAGGAGAGCTCGAATGACCATGGTCTTTGGCTGAGTCAACGTGCTGGTAATCGTATTTACCGGATGGATGAATCGCCCGCGGAGACGACCTTTGGAACGATCCTCATTCAGAGGCTGTTTGGTTAGAACAGGAGTGATCTCTGATTAGCATTCTATACTTAGATTAGATCAAGATGATTGGTTGAATGAATTGAATTAACAGAAACTGTGCGTTCCGATTTTACCCTTCCACTATGGCTAATGTCTTAGAGTAACTTGTGCCGGTGTGACTGTCTAGAGCAGGGTATGTGGGAGCCCATACTGAAGGTATGTGAGAGCTGCTATTCCTATCTTCGGATATACTTCCAAGATAGACATTGAGACCAATCATTAGCCAGACAATGCTGCTCGGGAGGCTGGGTGCTGCATCTGGTCAACGCTCCCTGTCATGTCGAGAAGGGTTCCACAAGCTTAAGCGTGTTTCTCGGCACGTACGCAAAGCCACATTCCGTGCTTGACGGGAACTGATTGATTCTGATTGGGCCAAAGTATAGAGCGATATGAGGTCTGGAATGTAAGTCAATCCGTCGTGCCCATCTTATATACACCACTATTTCGTTTCATCTTTGAGGGACCCCATAGCATAACGAACTCAATCACATATCATTGCATGGAGGCCTTGCCTAGCTATCTCTGATAACAGCTACTCAAGTAAAATATCAGAATATCTCATTCACGGTCGATGGCTGGGAGAACCCGCCCACGCCCCCCGTTGGAATGTGGAATGCTGTAACCCGGTCCTCCGCGCCGCTGCTATACAGCTGCACCAATTGCAACACCGCACAATCCAGGAGGCTTTTGTGGGCACCTGGAGAATTAAAGACCAGCCACCGGGAAACCACGCTTAGTCGAGGACGTCTTATATAAAGCAACGAAACCCTATGTAGACCGATTCAACTCCATAGCAATTTATCTCGCTCTCGAAACCTTGATCATCATCTGATCCATTCTCCGAGCCTGTTCATAACGATCATCGATCATCTTGAGTTCGATCATCTTGAGTTGATCTTCCACATCCCTTCACGATGCAGCTCACAAGCATCCTCGGCCTCTGCTTGGTGGGCCTGGCTAGCTCCGCAGCGGCGATGCCCAAGCTTATGGGGCCATACCGTCGCCACCCCAACGCGGTCCTTATACCCATCAACTCGACTGGTGTTTATAACGCCACCACCACCGGCACTCCTACGACGACGCCCTTGACTACTGGAACTGCGCATAAGAGCAATGGCACTGTCAGCTCGCACCACTCGACCAAAACTAAGCACTCTTCCAAACTTCCCAACCACGTGAAGCACATCAATCACTGCAATGAGCTGTGTTCGTTGGAGGCGCAGACATGCACTATCGCCGTGCCGGACGATGATAAGTTCTGGTAAGTAATTCAAAGTGAGAACCTTTGCGAAAGGTGCAAAGAGACTGACTGCAAAACAGCTGGCAGACGTACCTGCGCTGCATCGACCGATGCCGGCCGGACGATTTCCAGTAAAAAGATTGAGGGTTGAACAGTTATGTGAATTCTATGTAGTAAATAGCTAGAGAATATCTTAAGGACAATGACAATATGGGATATTGGGTTGACATATCTCCGATGCAGTAATAGCCTCTAAGGCCACTTGCATTATATCTATAATACCTTGCCCTGGAGGTGAAGTAGTATAACGAACATAGTCCCCGCAAAGCACTACTGCAAAAGCTTTCTCATATCCCTTGCCGTCCATAACCCGACCTGTCTTGGACGCCTCACTACCCTTGTACTTTGCTTCGCTCTGAACTTCCCCCGCGTACCCAGCATCAAAATTGTGCTTGAAAACATTGCGAAGGTCTCCCAGCACCATACGCTTGACGTTCAGGGTAACAAAAGTAGACAGCAAACCCCCGAAGTCCGAGTATCGCCAGCACACCGACCCGTATCCTCTCCTGCGCAGAATCTCGTGGGGTCCCTCCTTATTTGGAATTTTGCCAAGGCTCCCATGCGAGATTCGATGCTCACTTCTCTGCGGACTAGGCCTTGGTTGAGCTTCACCCGGGATGGTATACAGACTCAATGGAGGACGGTCTGGGGCTGGGACTATGGGCATTCATCTGGAGCATGACTCGGAAACTATGCCAGTCACCAGTTATACCATCATAATCTGGAACGCGTATGTCAAGAGTGGACTTGAGAGAGTGTTGATTCATCTTACTATCGGGGGTTGGATGAGCACGAGATGACCACGTGAGCGACCCGCAATTGATACAAACCGCCTCATCGTGGATATTCGCTCACGCATACGTGGATGAGGAACAACGATACTACGTTCTCTGGTCGAATCTTCCTCGAGAGGGCACGGGGCGGCCAGGCAGGATTCCGAGATCCTCCAGCAGGCGCAAGTGAGATTGCTCTGATTGGCTGATTTTGCAAGCGTGGGGGATGGGGCTTCGATTGCCGATCCACCCTCACATGTGAGCCTTGATCCCCGGTGCCGTTGGGGAAGGATTCTCGTGGTGAGAAAAAAAACGATGAATGCAATGGGTCACCAAGTATGTCCCACGCAAGTGAATGCCGATCATGGCTCGGAGACAGTTGGGAGGGGAGAGCGGAGAGCACATGTGCAGCGATTGCCGGCGAGTCCAGGGCGCACGTGCTGGGCTACCACTCTGGACGGAGGGGCGGACGGCGGTGGGCGTGTGGTGGTGAAGGCGCGGCGCACTCAGTCCGCAGTCGAACACTGGGGGTGGGCGCTTCGAACAGCAAACAACTGTGGAACGGAAAGGCCCCTGCTGATAAGCTCGGTGGGCCCCCCACTTGGGGGGAGCAGCGCCAGCAAATGCGCGTTGTTCCCTGGGGCACGAGCTGGGGGCCGCCGCCAATCACCGGGCACCATTGCGGCTCGTGGGTGCAAAGCACGCGACACCCCGTTGTATACTGCTGGGACGGCAACATGAGACGTCCATCACGGCCATCACACCCGGACCTGCCTTATAATCATGCCGGCACTGCCCTTCTCTCCTCCAACTTCCCTTCCCTCCCCTGTCCCCTCTGGCTCCTTCCACTCCCCTGAGCATGTCTTACTCCCGATTCCCGCCTACACCGGCCATGTCTGGTGAGCTGATTATCAAGGATCAGCCCGCCGACGGATCCGACACATTCGCTCTGCCCCCGGCAGCTCTGGGTCCCATCCGCGGCGACTCGGTGAGCCGACGATCTTCCCATTCAGACCCAAGTTATGTTCCGGCCTCGCCCACATCGCCCGAGCTCGCGGCCCGGGGTCGGAATACTCAGCACGCACGGTCGGGAACCGCCACCAAGCGTCCGCTCGAAGACTTCGATCTCCCGCCGCCACCGACTCGCACTCGCAAGATCATCCAGATGAAGCCCAAGTCGCCCGCATCCAAGTCTCCGACCAAGTCCAGGGAGAGCGGGAAAGGCGCGGCTCAGGCCTCGTCCGAAGCCACGGCCAATGCCACCACATCCAAGAAGAAGCAGCCGAGCGCGACCAGCGCGGCTGGCCGCAAAATCGCCCGCAAAACCGCCCACAGCCTGATCGAGCGCCGGCGCCGGTCCAAAATGAATGAGGAGTTTGGAACGTTGAAGGATATGATTCCCGCCTGCCGGGGCCAGGAGATGCACAAGCTGGCCATTCTTCAGGTATGATCTCGTGTCGCCTGCTCCACACAATGACTATCCGTCTCACCATTTCACAGGCCAGCATCGACTATGTCAACTACTTGGAACAATGTATCCAGGACCTGAAGACGGCCGGTAGTACCCACCACACCCCGGCACCTCCATCTCCCACCTCCCCGGAGTTCATCGCCGAAGCAGGCACCGACATCATCATGCAGCAACCTCCCCAGCGTGCCCGCGCATCCACACATTACTCCTCCGCCTCCGCTTCTGCCTCCGCATCTCCAGAGATCCTGCCTCCCAACATCCAAAGTTATCACCCGTCCCCTTCGTTCTCCCCGCGCACGCGGATGCCCTCCGTGCACACTCTTCCCGATGCCCCCTCCATCCTCCCCAGCCCAGCTCTTGGACCCAGTCAATCGCCTATGGACCAGCTGCACGAATTCCAGGGCATCGATCACGAAGCCTCGGCGGCGCTACTGATGCTCACGCAAGATCGCCGCGGCACCGCGGACTCGATCAGCGAGCACTTCTCCAGTAGCACGGCCCTAGCGACGCCATCGGCGGAGAGCAAGGCCCACGCTGATGCGCACCGGCGGAAAAGGATGAGTGTTCGGGATCTGTTGATCTCATAATCGATCTTATGTGTAATGCGCTCTTTGTTTTCATGTTTTCGCGGGCGGTACCCGGAGGGTTTCGTCTCGTTTTGGGTCATCGGAGTATAATTGGTGCGGGTTTGGGTGAGCGACTATATCCTGGGCGGGAGTTGAATTCTGTTCCTGGTCCTTATTGTATGTACGGAATGGGTTGGCATGAGATGATATGAGAATTCCTTATTCTGTGTTCTGGTGGCTCGGCTTTGAATGGTTGCATAGTACAGCAAGGTTTGGCGTATAGATAGCGCGGTGGATGATCGGCGCGTGGGGTGGCGAGGCACTAGGAACTATACGGAGAACCCCCAAAGGATTCACACGTTTTGGGCCCAATCCCACCTTCCTCACGTAACCTGCAAGGCTGGTGATCCTCTAGTCTTTATTGCAACTTTTGACCCCGGCCCGAACTCTGAATCAATGAAAGCCGCCTGCCACCCTCGTCTCAGGCCTACTTCCCCGGCTTCTGTATGGCTTTTGACGGGCCCGGCAAAGACCCTGCACGACCCACCATCATGCACTCCACACATCGTCATTGGCCTCGTCGGCGGATCCCCATGGCCATTCGCCAAACTCCGAGCCCCGAACGGCCGAGCGCGCCTTTGTCGCAGCAGTCGGCCCCAAAGCTGAAGATGCGCCAATTCAACCACCGGGCTGAGGGCAAATGAACCATCAGCGCGAAGTCCGACGCCAGAAGGTCGCACTCCGCTTATATTGCCCCGCGTCTCCCGCCCTCGCGGTGGCCAGTCGCTGAATGACCGAGCTTCCATTTCGAGACGGGATATGGATCATATCCGCCGCTACAACGTCGAGCGCTCGTGCCTGCGCTGCCATGAGCGCAAGGTCCGTTGTGACAAGGGCATCCCGTGCAACAAATGCGTGCGCCTTAACGCGACTTGTCAATACCCTGGTCCGAGGCGGGCCAAGCGCCGGCCGCCGAAGACTACGGTGACGGATGTCGTGGCGCGGTTGGAGCAGCTGGAGCGCTCGATTACCACGCTGGCCAGTAGTACGATGGCGGGTGCAGCGGGGGAGATCATTCAGGCTCTGACGGGCTCGAGTACGCAGAATGGCCCCGTCTCGTTGTCGTCGAGTCAGTCTGTTGCAGCTCCGAGTAGCCGGCCGGCCGGAGATGAAGAGGCGCACCATGGGTTTCTGGTGAAGGATGGGTGCTATATTGATGAACCGCTGCTGTCGAGAGTACTCGAAAAAGAGAAAGACCTGCAGGCCGCCATGAGATCTCCTAGTACGGAAAACCCGATCTCCAGGAAACCGCCACCGCTCAAGGTCGACGGGATCATCACCAATCCAGTCTTGCTCCAGGCGGATTTCAGAGCGCTGTATCCCACTCGCTGGCAGGCTATGCTGCTCTGGCAGACATTCTTGAGCCGGGTTGACCCTGTGCTAAAGGTGATTCATGTTCCAACGACCATGCCGCGCATTTTCACGGCCATTAGTCGGCCTGATGCTGTGCGGCCGGATGTGCACTGCCTGCTCTTTGCTATCTTCTTTGCTGGCACGACGGCTCTTGTGTCGGATGATCCTGCCAACGAGGAGACCCGTGGCGATCTGCGGCGATATCAGCAGGGCCTGGAGCTGGCAATGCACCACTCCTCGTTTCTAGACTCTCCCACTGTGACGTCGCTGCAGGCAATGGCAATATACCTCGTGAGCATTTTCCAGCCCGGCCCAGCCCAGTTCTCCCACAAGCTCCAATGTTCGTCTAACAATATCTCCCAGACATGTCTCCGCTACACAAACAGCGGCCGCTCTGGCTTCACCCTCCGCGGCCTCACCATCCGCGCCGCGCAATCCATCGGGCTCCACCGCGACGGCAAACACTTCAAGCTCCCCCCGCTCGAATGTGAACTCCGGCGCCGCCTCTGGTGGATTCTGTACACGACCGACGCCCGCATGGCCGAAGATCACGGCATAACAGTCTCAGAGCAAGACTTCGGCGCCGATACCGACCTTCCCACAAACATAGACGATCAGCACCTCACCGAGACCATGACCACCGCCGCTCAATCGCTCCCCCGCTGGACCGAAATGACCTTCATCCTAATCATATCCGAAATAAACCGCATGTGGGTAGCCATCGCCCGCACCACCACGTCCTCCCCCGACGGCTCCTACGCCGACGAGCTCATCTCCGACCTCAAAGCCCGCCTACACGACCGCTACCTCCAGCACGCAGACATGGACATCCCCATCCAGCGCCAAGGCGTGATGGTCGCGCAAGTGCTCCTGTCCAAGGTGGAGGTGCACATGCGCCAAAAGGCCCTCCAAGTCCGCGGCACCGCAGTGCCCTCCGCCGACTATGACGCCTCTCAGGCCCTGCTCGCTAGCGCGTGCCACGCCCTCGAGCTCGGGCTTGAAATGTACTGCGATGGCCTGCTCTGCGGCACGCGCTGGCTTACTTCCACCTATACACAATATCACCTACTCACCTATATCTTGTGGCATTTGTGCGTGGACCCGAGCGGCCCGCATGTGGAGCGTGCATGGCGCGATGTCAATCGACATTTCGAGCTTGCGGAGAATGATCCCTCGTGGCCGGATCTGGGGCCCAAGTGGCCCTTGCTGGCGGGGTTGAGGGCTAAGGCGTGGCAGTGTAGGCAGGCGCAGGCGGTACCGGAGCAGAGGGTGCCAGTGTTCCCAGAGGGCGGTGCCGACAGAGCTGCTGGCACCGCTGCTGTTGCGAGTATGGGCGGTGCTGCTGGGACTGGAACTGGAACTGGGACGGGGACTGGGACCGCGGCTGGTGCGATAGATGAGGGGGTTGTGCATAGCACCGAGGCACTGCTTGATATGAACAACTGGGATCTGAATTGGCTGGATTTTCCGGATTGGAATTATCTGGCGCAGAGCATTGCGATTCTGGGACATGAGGGCGGGAATTCTTGAATTCTGGATGGTTGAATGGTAGCTACGTTGTTATACCCTACTGACTGATGACCTTGGGATTCAATTATTCTGAAGCGCAACTTCGATGCTCTCTTACAAGACGATCCTGAGACAGTCTAGAGGGACTTGAGGAATACAGCTGCATCCCATAGATCGCGGAGGGAAATGAAAAAACATAGCTTCCCAACCTAATGGCTCCTCGTCGTCGAAAGCACAGCAACAATCCCAAAGATCACCAGGAACAGCGTGATCGACATGAACGTCCGCGCGAGCATCGTACAACAATGCTCCTTGCTCTTTCGTCTCTCCCGTCGATCCAACTGGCGATCACATTCCTCGCAGTGTGTGTGAGGCTTGCCGTCGGTATTGGGTTGCCCCAGCTCGGCGCTGAGGGAGGCGTCGTGCTGGTGAGAATCGCGCTCGAGGTCAAGCTCTTCAGCATCGTCGAAAGCGACGCGGGTGTACTGTTTTATAGTCATCGTGAGCGCGGGATCCGTGGGAAACCATCGAGAGTAAAGAGCATGGAAGATGATTTCTCGCTGTAAAAATCAGAAACAATCGACATCACGTACCCCTGCTGGACGGGTTGATGGTTGCCTGAAGACTTCCTCGTAGGCGGGGGCGACTTCGTCCGTAGTTGAGGCTCCCATGGTGACTTCACTGAGTTATGATGCTCTAACAGAGTGGTGATGTTGCTGGATGGTGATGCGCCTAGTATTAAGGATGAAAAGAGATGGAAGATCGCAATATGGTGCCGGACTGCTGTCTTTCGAATAACGCTGACGGTACGTGCTGCTGACAGGCGCTAAGCCTCAGCCTCCGCCCCGCGGAACGCGTGCTGCTGATTAGACACTTGGACCAAATGGGCCAAGAGATACGAGCATGGCTGGTTTTTGTATTCTCTTCGCTGCTTAGCTGGTTCATATCCCTCGTGGAATATAATATGTTGGCAGGGCTTATCTGTATCGACACGACCGCCGCGCTTTTTCCGGGGCATGCCCGGAGGCCACAACTATCCAGATTGTGGGTTGAAAAATTGCGCAGACTCCCATAGCGCTGCAAACGCCTTGAGAAAGAAGCGCCTGATAAGTAGTCTTTCGAGATAGATGCCATCATGAGGCCGAAGACGTGCAGGAATGAGCCACCGAGGACAACGTACTAGGGGTCGATATTATCATAAAGCTGACCTAGACTGGTAGATGAGAGCACGGTCAATGGAGATGCAGTCGAGACTAAGATGTCATTATAAGAAGCACGTGCCTCCCGTGTGCTGCATCTACTATGACACGGGAGTTTGACAGGCTTATGTCTTGCGTTTTGGTGAGCTTTGTCTTTGTTTGATTGCATCCATTGCGCATTCAGAAATTATACATCTGAATCCTCATTGCGGTTAAACTCGACCGCTAGAGGACTATACAACACTCCAGGACGATTGCGCTACGTCCCGTCACGTTTTCTGCTAGCTAATCGATGGTTTGATATGCTTCTTTCTTCGTTCGAGAAAAAGGATGATCTGACAATCTCAGTAAAGGATTTGTTTGAAAGATCATTCTATATGATTTATAATTAAAAATTCTTTTGTAAGGAATAGATGAAAGACTAATCACACTGATAGTCTCACTAGGGCTGGTTCTTGTAGTGAGCCATTTCTACCCAACCCTCTGGACCACCAGTGTGACTAAGGACTGTATGAGGTGCCTCTGGTTCTTCGCCTTCATATCTGGAGATAGAACCTGCAGAAGATGACGGGTGGGTGGGCTCAGCTGCGGCCGACACATCCTTGGTAGACGAAATCGAAATGGTGGTCGTAATGACCGGACCTGCAGTGGCGGAGGCCAGATCGCCCTTCGAGGAGGGATCCTGGTTGTATCCTCTGTAAGGAGGCAGGCTTCGAGACGGTCCGTTGGAATTGATGAATCGGTGGGTGAAGGGTCGGAACAGCGGCCAGACTGGTGGAATCGACATGGTGATGAGAACGACCCATTCTTCTACTTCGCCCCAGCGGAACAGAATGCCGACCCCGTCTAATTGGTGTGTCGTCGTATTAGTCCTTGCAATTGGCTTGCGCACCGGGGAATGCTAAAGGTCACTTACAGGACGGGTCGTCACCCAAAATGAAGCTAGCTGCCCATGTGCGAACGATGGCTGCGACACCAGCGAAGACACCACAGCCCATCAGGAAGCTGAGGCCCCATTTCAGCTTGCGATCAATCCGCAGCGGGGCCAACATGGTCGCCGGGATGATGGCCAGGTAGAAATCCGAGAGGGCCGCCACAGCACCCGCGAAGTAGGTGTAGCGTACACTTGCCCGGTGATCACATTGGTCTTGTCGCGCGGGATCCCAGAGCGCGTTGGGGGGACTGCATTGGAACCAGGCGAGGACGACTTGCGGGATGTTGAGGACAATGTTCAGCACGGCGACGGCGATCAGACTACGACGGATCTTGGGGTCTTGGAAAGGGACATCGGTGTTAGACCTGGGATTGATATCGTCCCGTACTCCCCGCTTTCTAGAGTATCCTGCCTGGATACCCCGGGGGTAGGGAATGTGGGGAAAGGGGACACATACTGCCATGCGCATTCATCTCAATCAAGAATGCGGCCACGGCAACCTTGCCAGTCGGAATTGCCAGATTGAAAAAGAAGACCGTGATCCATGTGAAGAGAAGGTAATTGCGCAATGCACCGACTTCTTCCACAATGGCGATCTTGTTTCCCAGGCCGTGGAGAATCGAAATCACGGCAAACGATTGGGTGATGGTAGTGAGCAGCTGCGTCTATCAGTCAGAGGGCCCCTGGAAATAGTATCAGCGCGAGGAGCTCATACCCAAGCCGCGAGAGACAAAATCAATGCCGTGGTCCCGAACTTGTTGACTCGAAGCCGGACGTAGACACGCAACATCATGAAGATGGTGGCTACGGACCCCAGGCCGAGACCCAATCGTAGATCCCCCGGGCCACGGCCTCCATATGCTGGGTAGTGGTCATGCAGGCCCATGACGGCAAGATGGGGGTCGAAGACGGGCTGGGACGATAGTCATATTTAGATGCTCCTCGCCTCGCATCCATGCCATGATGAATGTAGAAGGTTCTCGGGGCTCGGGGTTTTGCCCAGTGGAGTATGAGCACCGCGAGATGATCCAAGGCTGAGTGTGATCAGTCCAGTGCTGGGACATCAAAGTAGTAGGTCTGGCCGACTAAGTGGAGTCAGAACCGCCGAATGGCCTGGCCAGATCCATAAAGTTTCGCGGTGTTCGCCATACTGGCCCTCTGCTCGTGGCGAATTGCCATCTCGGCGGAAAAATGGCGCGTCACTTCTCCGTGCCTGGTTCAGGTCTGATTGGATCTAGCCATAACTGGGCAGGCTTCCGATTTTTAAGCGACCCCAGAGACCGAAAGATTGCCGCGACCAAACTAAGCATTTCCCTATGCCCGATCGGCCGGGAAATATGGGACCGGGGAAAGAGGCCCATGCAGTGATGATCGTGCGGAATCTCAAGATTAAGTCTCCCCAACTCAAACCTTCTCGCGAAGTATCGTCAACTATTGCCACCTTTCCCTGGAGGGCATATTTGTCGGAAACTATCTTCATCATGCTCTTTCCCCTTGGGCACTAGCTCAGACGCCTCCCGCTTTCGAGCGGAGCAATCGCCCCCCTCGTTCGACCGAAACCCCGATGGTTCTATTTTATAGGGCTATTTTCCAGCCGAACCAATCTCCATCAGAAAGACTTTTCTTTTTCTATCCTTTCATGACGCCATGGACTGCACATGCGGCCGAGGGCGCCCGAACCACCGAAGCCCCATCCATCCGGAAGGCGCCAGGCTTATAAGGCATCAACACTAGTCCACAAAGGGAATAGAAGCCGCGAGAGAAACACGGTCATTCTCGTGTCGTTCCTTTGTCGCCTCCTTCTAAAAAGATCGGTTATGAAAGTGACCGACGATTGCGATGGGAAAAAGGCTTGATCGATCGATCAAGCAGAGGGAGACCGCGGACTATCTTGAGGGGGCTAATACGAAAGCGAACGTGCAAACCCGTTCAATGTGCGGTTTCATTAGCTGGTAGAACAGTCCACGTCAAGTGTCACTGCCATACATCCTAGCAAAATCGGCCTCGATCAGCGCAGCACGAATGAGCCGCTCGATGTCCTCATGGACCCTGGCTCCGGACGTCGCGGGCGGTACAGACGGCAGCCAACTCTACGTTTAGGGTTTGCACCGATTTCAACCAGCATATCCGCAATAGGCCTACAGTTGGACCGAAGGGCTGCTCGCATGAAAGACGCTTGTTGTTTGGAGTCGTCGATATCAGCACCGTGCTCCACTAATACGCGGAACTCATCCGCCTTTCCTGCTGCAGCCGCAGCAGCCAGAACTAAATCACTGTCTTGGCCAGCGTTCGCTCCATGCTGGAGTAATAGTGAAATGAGTTCGCAACTGTCCTCGTGTTGGATGGCCAATCGCATTGGGGTCCTAGCGCGACCGGGATTTCCGATCCGTTTGGGCGATTCCCGGGCATTGGGGTTAGCTCCGTTCTCCAGCAGAAGCTTTATCATAGTAAGAGGAGCGCCCTGGACGACCGCACATAATGGGGACCAGCTTTCAAATGGCAACTGGAAGTCTATCTCAGCGCCTTCCTTGGACAGGAGATATTTAGCTCGCGCCTCGTCTCCCCGCCACGCAGCGTGTTGTAGCATGATCTGGATGTCGGCTTCGGCAGTCAAGTAGAGACGCGGGTACCGACTGCGCAACCGTTCAAGGAGATAGTCCGCGATGGCGTTGTGCCCCTGCCGTGCCGCATACGCGATGGGTCGTTGACCATCCAAGTCAACAGAAAGCAGACAGGCGCCGCGGCTCACAAGCATCTTGACCGTGTCGAAGTGCCCGCCGCGCGCTGCCAATGCGAGCGGGCTCCGACCGAAACGACTCTTGTAATTGACATTGAGCCCACAGTCCAGTAATCTGGTCACAATCGCAGTGTGGCCGTTTTTGGCAGCATTCGAGATGGGATGCCTTTCCGAGGGTTTGGATGAGCGGCGCAGTTTTCGATACCGGAGATGTTTTGCTCTCGGGAAAGGCCTGTGCGAGACCAATAGCGCGACTCCCAGCATACCTTCGCCCCAGAGTCAAGGAGTCGCTGGAGGGTTCCTTGTGAGCCGCGATTCGCCGCCCAATACAAAGCGGACCCTTTACCATGCTTCACATTGTAGGCGTAGAGATAACGGTTGAGGGAGGAGTAGAGAACAGAGTGGCTTTGGAGGAGGGTGTTCAAACCCCGGAGATCCAAATCCTGAGCGATTAGCAGCAGAATTTCAGTCTGTAGGCCGAGAAGAGACATTCCGATGGACGAACGAACGCCGTCAGCTGCTTTCCATTAAGGAGGGGGGGGGGGTGTTTTGAACCTGAAGTTGAGGAGAGGTGGGGGCGATTCAGTATGGACGAGCGAATCAATGGCCCCCTAATCCACCCCATGCAACGATTCCAAGCCAATATAAATAAGCATCCCGGTGACACTCTTAAATTTGCAGTAATTACAAGAAGATGTTGCCATGAAGATGCGGCGTTATAGTAGGTGATGAATTCAATGACCAGTAGTCTCGAACCGAGCTGTTTTGGACGGTAGGAGTGATCTTGATTTTCACGGATTCGGCACCATTTAGATCGTTCGTGACTGAGTGACTGATTCTGTATCGGAATAGATCTCGACTCAGTTCTCACGTGCCAGACTTTCTGCCCGGCGAACTGGGAATTTAAAAACAAGAATATTTACTCGCCTCAAGTTAGTACTTCCCCTGCCTCAGGTTGTGTCTCGCCCATCTTACCAGCAAGCCCGAAGTCTTGAACAAAGCATCTTCTTCGGTTTGGACCCCCTAAAGGCGGGATGGGAGGATGGGGGCTCTGGGAACAACATTGGATTAGCTCCTAGCGAATCTCAACCACTAGTAAGAACTCTCACCACTAGCATTGACCTACAGTTCAAGACATCAGCTTACTCGCTTAGCTACACAGGGACTATGGTTAGCCACAGTACCCATTGTCAGACGAACCGGACCGCAAGACAATTGAAGAGATTGAGATGCAATAAATTTGATGACAAGGTAGTTCGAGACTAAAAATTAAATGTAGTAAGATGCTGAGTAGTTTCTAACCGCAATGCTCGAAAACGCCAGTGTCGTATGCAACCGAAAATGCTCGCACAAATGGAAATTTTAAGAAAGCCGCTCGTGTTCTCCACAAGATCACCGGCATACCATATCTCACGCATTCTCGGGCGTTCTTGTGCCGCTTGATGCCTTGTTCATGTCCTCCTCCAACAGCCGCTGACAAAAGGGACTTCGCTTCCGGATCCACGGGCCATAATACAGCAATGCAAGAGGAATAGGAATGCAGACCATGCTGGCAAACCCCAGGATCGAGGTAGCCCACGAGACCCCGAGCTTTGCATAAAGCGGATCCGCTGCGAGAGGGAATAGTGCGCCTGCAATACTACGCATAATGACCGATGATGCCAATGCGCTCGCAGAATAGATTTTATATGCGTCGGTGACGTAGGTGAGGAGTGAAATGAACGTTGTCTGGTATGCGAGTCCAAAGATGAATCCTGAGAGCACTGGCGCGATCCAGTGGATACTTGGTCTCGCCGACCAGGCCAGCCAGAACATGCTGATAGCTAAGAGAGGACCAGCTATGCATGACAGTGGAAGCCGATGCCACTCCGGGCTGGAGGCCCAACGCTTCCCGCGCGTTTTGGCTTTTTGGTAGATCATGTCCCATGATAGAGCAAAAAGACAGGATGATGCAGCGCCAACACCCACTGTTGATAATTAGTGTCTCGATCAGGAACACGGGATGAAAATTAAAGTGTGGGCTTACTTGGAAGGTATGTGAGCGAGGTCATCGCGACAGTGAAGCCGTACGTCCCTGGGTGATATTAGTTTCGCTTTTCTCAATTGGGAATTGAGTGAAAACATACCCTCGAAGATGATCGGATAGGCCTGGAAGTAGAAGAATACCATGCTCCAGGCAAGGGAGACGTAAATGGCTGTAAATAGAATGATAGGCTCAAATACAAGCATTGTGAGTGGCCGCGTGACGATCTGTGCCAGTGTAAAGGCTGTGTCCGACTTCAACTCGTGCGGTGCAAGATAGCGGTCACATCCTGACTCCTTTCGCAGCCTTCTGGCCTGCTTCTTAAGCAGAACAGGTGCAAATGTTTCTGTAGCAGTAGTTATTAGCTATGTTTACCAAAGAGCGGGCAGCAGTGCCACCTACCAGACAGAAACAAAAGGGCGGTCCAAGTAAGGCAACTAATAATCAAGTCGATCCGGAAGGTCCACCTCCAGCCATACTGAACAGAGCATCCAGATATGATGGGTCCGATGATTGGGCCAAAGCTCGAAGCCTTTGAAAGAAATTGAAGAGATTAGCGCTGGGGCATCAAAGGCAATCAATTGCTTTGTGGTAACATACCGACATGTACAAGGCCATCGCTCGGCCACGACTCCGCATGTCTGAGAACATATCTGCATATACACCACCAGAAACAGTCTGGGGGGCAGCAGCCATGGTACCACAGATCATACGAAAGATCAGTAGAGCTGTCCAATTTGGGGCAAGGGCACAGCCAAGCGTTCCAAGAACAAAGACGCTAAAAGTCCCGAAAAGAATGGGTTTCCTTCCAATTGTCTCGCTCAAAGGACTCCAAACCAGCGGCCCAATGCAGTATCCAATTAGGAAGATAGCGGTTGGTAAGACCTTTTGGCCACCGCCTGAGAGGCCAAAGTCTTGCATGATGGTGGGGACTGCATTGCTCGGCAGAGAAGAAGACACGCCACTGTTGAGCACGACAATTAGTCCCACAACTGCATTATATATTTTCTTTTTCTATTGTCATAGAAGTCAGTACTCGAGGCTCTCCAAGTGCGTCAACCACCAACTTGATCAAGCTTACAAGAGGCCAGTTGGTTGGGTCTGCAGTAGAGTCTTCCGAGAACTCGACCAGCGTTTCTTCAGAAGACAAATCAACTAGAGTATAATTTTCATCTTTTCTGGCACTCGTTGTGGGTTTGATCGAATTCGAAATAGTCTTCTCGTTAAAGCTAGGCTTCTTGTCTAGAAGCAGTTAGAGGCGTTGTCCGGAAAACATGCAGAGTTTTATCGCACTTGAAGAAGAGAGGAGACCCATCGTTCGTGATATGAATGAACAACTTGAATCCATTGAAATAGTGGGTAACAGGAAAAGAAATCAGATACAGGAGAAGTAGAGAAATCTTCAGAGGCCATGTCTTGCATCTAAAACCTTCCGCAAAGCAAGAGATCCAGCCCTATATAAGAGAATTTTGGTCACTCACTGCAACCGGTGGAGCCCAGAAAATTCATAGAAAACCCTGAGTCACAATGTCTAGATCCCCACGGCCGTGCGTTATTTTCCAAGCTATTATGTTTGAGTCCATTCAACTCACCAATAATGTGTCCGCTATAGTTCGAATCCTGCCCGGGTGGGTCGGGGCCGGACCGGGACCGGGTTTTAGGGGGGCATTTTGTGTACGGCGCCGAGCAGGACCCGCTTTGGTTGAGGGCTGCCTCCGACGCCTAGATCTCCGATCATTGCGTTTTTTCGGCCAAGTTTTTGACGGTTTTTGGTCATTAGCGTGCGACTTCCTGTGAATTGTGGCAGGTAGCCACAATTCTGCGGCCCAAGGCTTTATTGCTACCCATCAGTTCCTTGATCTCGCCCACGAGGACTCCCAGTTGTGGACCTACTCCTACAGATCGGCATGAAAACAGAGGGCTTAAAAAACACTGCAATCCTGTGGAGGCTAAGTCAGTTCTCGGTGGGTATTATTCTATGAAAAATTCTATTATTATGGCAAAGAGGGCATCATGGGCAGAAAGTCAAAAATGTCGTTTTGGCCTTCTTCAAAAAGACCAAACGAATCAGCGATGGAATTAGACATCGTCCAGGTAGGCGCATCCATCGTGTCAGGTAACCTTGGAAGAGGCGGTCTGGTTGTTGCTGCTGCTGCATCACCACTTGCCATTGGGACCACGTTTGAATCTTTGTCACTGGAGATTGCCGTGCCGGCTCGGTACCGAGGATCTTCAAAGGGTGGTGCCAAAGGAGGGGCATTCTGCATAGGACTGTCTGGACCCCTGTAAGAAGGCACGGGCCCATCTTCTTGTTCGGATACGTTGTGTTCCTCAGTGCTGTCATTATGTGGCCGGTCATTGCTATGCGGCCGCTGACTAGCAATGAGAGCGCGAGCATAATTCACAAAGATGGAGACAGTGCGGTGAATATCAGGATAGGGTGGTTGCTTCAAAAAGTCGCATATCCTTTCGGCTCTATCTAGAAGAAGGTTCTGATCGATCAAATTAGGACGCCAACGAGCGATTCGAAGTGCGAACGTAGCTAAGAAGGGGTAAGCATGTGCAAGAAAATGGGCGCTACGAAATAGAGCATAAACTTACCAACAAAGGCAACCGTCAAGGCAGGATAGGTCGGGGCCCATGGGAACTGACAGCGGTATGATGGCTCGGCAATTAGAAAAGCCATTTGATCCATGACGGTGGTGACCAGAGATTGCCATAAACCCATGCCATTTTGATCGATTTCTTCCGATTCAAAATTCGAGGAACCGGGTTGCAGCTTCTGAATACGTGCTAAAGAGGCGCATAGCACAAAGATTCTTGCATAAAGCAGCATGAGTTTCAGGCTGCTCCGTTGGAAGGCGCCAGCGTGGAAGCCGTTATCTTTCGTCCCATGTCAATAAAAATATCCGCTCCGATTCTGACAGGGGTAAACAGCTTACTACTGTGAATCTCATCCCATGTGGTCCACCAATTTTGCAGTTTGAACATGATGGCGGGTAACTCCGTTGACACTATTTCCCGAATAGAATCTGAGTTCTCAATAACGATGCGCGAATGACCTTGTCTGAAATTAGCCAAGATACCGATAATGGAGAAGCGGGCGCGAACCTCGAAGTTGATGCAACTCAATAATGCACACTGTTCGCATATCACAAGGCAGGGAAAGAGGATAGTCAAGAAATTTCCGCAGCTTTATGACATCGACCTCGCCAATGCGCGACTTGCGACCGGTCCCAGATGCTACATCTAGTTCCAGAGTGAAGCTGATGAGCCAGGTTCGCGTCTCCCAGACTAGCTGGCGGTCCGCCATAGAGGCGGAGAGTGAACTGCGAGGTAGATTCTCTTGGGATAACAGTGTATCTAGGGACTTTTCCAGCCCGGAGTCCAAAGCAGTGCGCAAGATGAGTGCGGTGGAGAACCATGTCTTTTCAGAGTAAGCGGCAAGGAGTATCATTCCCTGGACAGTTTCAAGTTTAGTGGGACGCTCAAAAAAACTATCTTCGGCGAGTCTCTGTGATTCGTCTTGCAATACGCGCTGCATATGTGTGTCGCCGCGCAAGTCCATCACGGCCCGACTCGCAAGATAAATGATCACTGTAAAACAGAATAAGGAACGTGATCGGACGGAGTCGAATGTATCACGAATTGGATCAAATAGGGGTAGAAAATTCTTGCTTCCACCAATGAATCTGTCAGGGCTGGATTAGAGGCCGATTTTCACAATGTTCGGAACTGTTTGTCGGATGATTCCTTCCGTACCTTTCGTACATGATCCTAGCATTTTCTTCGCTCACGATACCACGAGCAATGATATCACCTCTTCCATCGCCCTTGGATGAATTATCCATGAAGATCTTTTAAAACCAGTCAGTCGAAGAATGGGCATTTTTCGCTTTTTCTTAGACCCACATGATTATTGTCGAGCAGGTTCACAGACATGGAGTGAACCGCTGAGACCGGAGCAATCATATCATTGGGACTCAAATGCTGCGACTCAGGTCCATGATGATCAGTTGTCTGGGGCCTTCGCAGATCTCTGAAGGCCGATGAATCTGGCATTGAATCAATTGAGGCATCAAACGTAGTATCACCTCCAGCAATGGGAGAATACTCTTGCTCCCTTGATACAGGCGTATGAAGCCCACTCCGCTGATCAAGCGGGGAATCTACTGCCGAGCCGCTATATCTAAACACCATTAGCTGTGTTCTAGAGAGGACGGCTTTTCATGGCTCAGTCGATGGATCTTACCGCGTAGGTGTCGCGGTCTTCCTCCGACGGTCACTGTGCCGTCTAGTGTCTTCGATAGGGTCGAGAATGCAGTCCCGACCAGTAGAACGACAACGAAAACATGGGACTTGGGTGCGCGCATCACAGCGCATCTTCTGCCGGCGACACCACCGGCATGCTTTGAAGAAGCGGATCGGAATGTTCTCCGCCCGAAAGACAATCTCCGAACCTCGCTCGCTCATAACTGCTGAGGCCTGTGCTCATAGAAAATTCTGCGGCTGGTTTCGAACAGATAGTTATTTCTCTTGGCTTCCTCTCTCTCTCGGAGGTCCAGCCCGCAGTTTGATTGACTCCTGCGATGTTCAGCCCGTCGTATTTTGGTCACTTCGTTGCAACGGCAAGAACCGACTAGTTGGGAATTCTTTGCCGGTCACGTGATCAGTCGGATATAGTTTTCTGAGGAAATGTATACTCCGTGCTTGCCAATCATATTTTCTGCCTTCAATTTATTTTCTCCGCCCAGTTATTCCGATGGAAGTCATGATAATATTCATTCAAGGCATTCTGATTATGTACTTAACTCACACTGCCCTTTAGGTTGTGCCAGCATCACCTGAATATCCTTCTCGTCGGCATGAAACACCTCCAAGTACAAACAGATGGCTTGGCATTCCAGTCGAGCCCGCCTTGCCATCCACCACAGAGACTGACACATTGGTCCATACCAACAAGCCAGGATCAGAAGCGCGCGGGGGTCTTTGTCGTGTAGCAACGACTTGAAGGCTGGATCCATGAAGCCTAGAAATTGCATGTATCTTGTCATCGTTGTTTGAGTACATTTCACATGCCACAGCCGGGTTAAGAGAGAAACAGCAGTGAAATAAGGGTTCTGCTCAGGCTCTGATGACTTGGTGAACTGACATAGCTCGACAAACTCTTTCGGCATAACGTGCATGTCACAAAGTGGTGGCTTGGTCATCAGGATAAGGTAGTCCTCTCTCATGGGATAGAAGATACCGTCCGGTCGCATTGGCTCCGTTGCTTTCCAGACGGCTTCTTTTCCATGAGACAAATTCATCCAAACTAAATCCGATGGGCCCAGGGGCCTGAGGGGCCAAGCCTCCCAGGGTGTCGACGCTTCAATGTCCGTGATGCTCAAGATGCCAAGCATGGCAGCAGCAGCCCAGAGGGGATCGCGATCCTGGGGTCGAATTGGGTCTGATAGTTTCTGATTAAGCAGTGCAACCCCCCTCGACCAGTGGTACGCCTCGGCAATTGATCGCTTTGTGTTGTCTACAGGCGAGGATAAGAAGCGATCATGACTCGCTGTCAAAGTTAGGATGACATGCATGAGGAACGGGTTCTGCATGGCAGAATCAGCATGGATCATCGGGGAAATCAACTGTTCAAGAAATATGGCATGTCGACGTCCTACCTCGATTGCAAGGCTAGTCACCTGTTCCTGATAGATCTCGCAATTTCGAGTGCCTCCAAACGTGTACACGGTGCGCCGGTGGAACCGGTCTAGGAGACTAATGCTTTCTGCGCCCAGCTCAAAGGAGCCATGACCGGCGCCGACGGTCACTACCGGGTACAGGAAGGCCGGCTGCGGTTTTGCGTTGAAAGCGACTTGGCCGAAGTAACCTTCTGGACTAGCCCTGCTAGGCTTATTCTGCGATGCCAGCTGGAGATCTTGCACCAGGGGCAGACTGTAATTGCAAATCACTCCAAATGCTACACACTTTTGGCATTTGGGTTGGTCTTCATCACACTTCAAATGGCATTTCATCAGCCAAAGTGTCTCAAGGGGGCCGATGCCGACAAGATCTCACTTTGACGCGACGGAGCTTACAGTTCCGACAGCCTCGACGCGACTTAGTGTGCGCTCGGCGCCTCCGAGCACCATTTCTGTCCGGACTCAATTTGTCGGATCCCATTCTTCCATCTTTACCGATGCAGGGAGGATAAAATGAAGACAGGATGGATGAAGAGATGATGTCCAGGACGGCGTTGAGGCGGGCCCAGTGCCGAACTCCGTGGCCCTCGACGCAGGCTCATTGGACGCAATTGTGCGCTAACCCGCCGTCGTATTCGCAGCCGCTTTTAGTCTCCCCGTGATCTATTCTGCCCTGGGCAAGCTATGTAGAGCGTACAAGGCGCGTACTTTGGATCGTATCATCGGTGGCATTGAAGCTCCAGTGAAGCCCCGGGAGTGGAATTAGGGAACTAGCTTCCTTATGCCCGTCGGGGTTTAGAATGTATTACTTCCTGCTCGGACTATAAATCAACAGCTTTCTGGAGATTCTCACATCCCATCATCAGGCTTCCTGCACAACTATAACCTTCTCCCTCCACACGACCCGAAAACAGTTTTCAAAATGCGCATCTTTGTCACTGGGGCTACTGGTTTCATCGGCCAAGCTGTTGTACAAGAACTTCTTAATGCCGGCCACGCGGTCGTCGGTCTGGCGCGCTCCGATGCGTCGGCAGCTGCTTTGCAAGCCAAGGGAGTCGATGTGATACGCGGCTCCATCGAGGACATCGATGTCCTGCAGCAAGGAGCGGCTGAGTCGGATGGTATCATCAACCTTGCTTTCAATCACGACTTCACTCAATTTGCGGAGAGCGTCAAGGTTGAACATGCAGCTATCATGGCAATGGGCGATGTGCTGGCGGGATCCAATCGCCCTTTGGTGCTGGCATCTGGCACATTGATGCTCCCCAAGGGTGAGCTGGCCACAGAGGACTCGATCGCCGACCTCACTTCCCCAATGAATGTCCGTGCCTCCACCGAGCAGGAGGTAGCCACCCTTGCGTCCCGAGGTGTGCGCGCATCTGCTATTCGCCTCTCGCCTACAGTTCACGATGACAATGATCACGGCTTCATCCATTGGATAACTAAGATTGCACGTACAAAGGGCGCATCGATCTATATTGGCGAGGGGCTCAACCGATGGCCTGCTGTTCATCGCAGTGATGCCGCGCGTCTCTTCCGCCTGGCCTTGGAAAAGGGCACTGCAGGCGCGAAGTACCACGCTGTTGCTGAGGAGGGGGTCGCGATGAAGGACATTGCAGAAGCCATCGGTAGAGCTGCTAGCATACCGACCGTGTCAAAGACGTTTGAGGAGGCCTCGGAGCATTTCAGTGGTGGTTTCATAGTTTTCCCTGTCAGCGCCGACAACCCATCGTCCAGCAAGAAGACGCAGAAGGAGCTCGGATGGGCTCCTACTGGGCCGACGTTGCTCAATGATATTGAAGCTGGGCTTTATACTCAGGATGATGGAAACCCCGCTATCGTTGCTTTTTGATAGATGTTTGCCACAGAGTGCCTTACTGATTGTCAAATAATGTTTATGTTTTCCTCGTGGTCTCAAAATGATGCTTCCAAGATGGAATCAAGCTCACTAGTTTCATAAACATTGTATTATTGAACCCGCTTCTTATGGTCGGCTCCGCAACTGAGAGCCATGGGGACTTCCGAAAGGCATGGTAGATCCACCGACGGGCCTCCAGCATCGTTTGTACAATAGGTCTTGACTACTTCCGATGTTCTTGATTTTCCCGGCGTTCTTAAGCTCCACCATGGTCTACATGGTCTTCTCAATCGGTGTGAGTTTATCGAAGCGGTGCTCATAGTACAAATCAATAAATGGCAGACCGAGCCGACCGAGGGGCTTGTATATGCTCTTGCGGCAATACTCTGGCGACGAGTCCATCGTCTGGCCAGGAGGGATTTCGATGGGCTTGATGCCGAATTTGGTGGCAAGGAAGATGTGCTTTGGCTTATCAGGATTGGCAGCAAACCACTCTCCGAGCAGGTCCTCGGAATCGCCGTACTTTTCAGCTTTGGGTGAATTAGCATTTTTCTTTTGGGCAGGGATTTGGCCGTTCAAGGCGAGGAAGGCACGGACGCTTACCCGTATCCCAAAATTGTTCTTCTCTTTTATAGGCCTCATGCAGGAAGTTAAACCTTTCTTGGTCTGAAGGAGATGAGCCGTACATTCCACTGGCACTCATGAGGCCCAGTCCCAGTCGCGGAAGCAGAGGTCCGTTTCTGCCCTGTGGACGAGTAGGCAAAGTTTTCAAGGCGGCCATGGCTTGCTTAGAATGTTTGTGATGTGGTATCTGGGACTTTCCGAGCGAAGAAGACACCTATGTTCGGATTGCTATTATCATATTTATGAGTGCCTGCTTGCTCTTATTTATGCTTCTAAGATTTCGCACTTCTGGCTACATACTGCTCTCAAGCCAATCATATTGTTCCATCGCAAATCCTCGCTATCTTCGAGTATATTGATGCCTGAACTATAAGACATCAACCATGTTTTCCCGCTGGATAAATGAGCAAATACAATAAACTGGCACGCAGTGTATTAAATGAAGTCCAAATGATGGAAAATAGCAAACTCCATCTAGAAGAAATGATTTATCTCCGTGGTTAGGCCAAAAGCAAGCAGAAACCATGAATCTACCCCAAGACAGCTTGCTTCACCCCCTAACCTGAAGAACAACAACGGCTGAAGCAGGCTATATCTAGGCGACCGAGGCAGCTGTCCCGGAAACTTCTTTAAAATCCTCACTCTCTCAGCTGGGCCGGCTGTCACTGAATGCAATGCTCAGCTTGCGGTAATCCCAGTTCCGAGCAAAGAACAGCACAGCAAAGCTCAACACTGGGACCATGAGAACATCCAACACCCCAAAGAAAATAAAGCCACCAGTCACACTAATGCGGTTGCCACCGTCTGTCAGACCAAAGCCGACAGGGTAAAGCACCCACAAGATGTTTAACCACCCGGCAAGAATGATATAGTCGCGATCCACACCCAGCAGGGCGGCAGCTTCCCGGCTTTCGTTAAGAGTGCTCATGGCGAGAATGAGCCATGCAAATGTGCCGAAGGCGAAGAAACCCCATCTGTAATCTGACGTAGTGTAAGCAGCTACGAGGTAACTGACGACCCAGTACAACGCAATGGCGATGTTGCAGAAGATGGTGGTCCAAGAGACGCCCGATACTAGACCGAGCCCTAGGACAAGCGAGGGAAAGGCGACAGTCCAATTTACGTATTTGGCCCAGAACATCTGCCGAACAACTCCGTTGCCGAGGTTATCGACTTGCTCTACAGTGCTCCAGCCGAGATCGGAGGCCTGGGCGTAGTAGGTGATAGCACCGACAAGAAGAGCAAACGTGAAAAGATAATGGAAAACTCTTTCGCTTTCTTTCGCGGCGAATGATAATATCAGAAGTCCAATCTGGATGACTCCGTGTGTTAGTCGATGACATGTATTGAAAATAAGGCTGAGAGAGTCAGAACCCACAAAGGATAGGACATAGATGGCTGTAACAGCCCAGAGCCAGTCAGATCCATTCAAAGAAAGAGTCTCGTTGGCCCCTGTTACGGGGTTGACAATGAGAGCGTCATTTCCTCGCGCGAGTAGACTCATGATGAAGTGTTTGAGATCAAGTTGATATCGTGTGGGTAAATGCCACTCAATCGTCTAATAATACGTGGCGTTGAGTCGTCTATGGATTTAAACGAAACGATTGTTATGAGCACTCAGGGAAGAACGACCACTTATAAGCCTGGCATTAAATTCGGGCATCGGGGGTAGAAAAAGGAGATTTGCTAGATCTTTGCACAAAAGAAAGAAAAATAATAATAAAAAATAAAAACCCAATGTTTTCTTCGGAGTTTCTTTCGTGGAGCTCTGCGTGCTTTCTGTATGGAAATTCCAGATTGGTAGTTGAGCGCGCGGCGCAGGGTGGGTCCACTCGGAGTAATGTTTAGATTCGTAACTTTCTTACTTTGAGGGAGAAAAGAGCAGTATCCTGACAGCGACAAAGCTAGATCATGTGAGAATAACCGCTGAGAAGAAACCAATTATTCAGGTAAATTGCCTCATCTCCCTAGTGGCAACTCCGAGAATTGTTTGTTTTCTTCCACTTGTAATGATCAAAACTACACCCCGAGCTTTTCCCCTCTAAACTCGCTCATTGACGACTTTCCTCTACGCTTATCCTCAATCTCTTAGTAGTATGTTCGCCTAAATGGTGCAAAAATCCATTTCAGCTAGCAAGCACTGAAGTTGTAGGAGGGGGGCAGGAAATTACCTGGCCCATAACCTCCAATATATGGTTTTTATTTTACTTCATGTTCCTCATGGTCGACTTCGAGGCAATTGTCGATGTCCATCCCCGCTAGCAATTTTCTGATAATCCAGAGCTTGTTGCCATTTTTAGTGCGGCAAACCTTGGGTAGTTCACGTATAGTGGATAGCTTGGCTGCTTACTAGTCTTTATGTCTATCTTCATTATCACTATCTTGTCTTTCTCTATTATATATTCTTAAACTATTACTTGGGATAAATGTGAAATAGATACCTAGCACCACTTAGTATCTTATACATAATCTATTCTTACTCCTTAGAACATTAGGGAACGAAAGTCATGTAAGCTTATGGTAGAATCTCTTACTTTGTGTCGAGCTCTCCTTATCTTAGTCTTCAATCCTTTGCCTTCTCGCATTTGCTTAGCTCTAGTTCAAGCTTCTATAGTAAGATTATAGAATCCGTTCAACTAGGATAAAACTAAATTAGAAACTAATCACTATATACCCACAAGAAGACACTAATATATATCGTCTCCTAAGTCGAAATAAGCGATATTTACCCTCCAATTCCCTCACTCGCCTTCTCGAGTCTCCTTGACTTCTATTCCAACCTATTACTATTACCCCTTGATATGCTTATATCACTATCCCGTGACAAGCATCTACTTCAGCAGTTTCCTCCTCAGATAGTCAATATCATCTTTCTTACCACTAATCAGGTTAGCTTACGCTACCACAACCGTTACTGTGAAACTATAAAACGTTATAATCCGGGAGGAAACCAAATCGAAGGCTAATCACCTTCCACTCACAATTAGATCCCGATATATACTATCTTCAAGAAGGTATCAGCGAGAGCCCCGCCGAAACACCGCCAAAAAAGGAGGACCCAATCATAGGCGACTTGGGTACTCCTACGGGGTTCTAGGTCAAGGCAATCCACCTTCAATTGTGGCCCCGAGTCGACGGCTGTGACTAAAACCTAGCACGCTACTATGCCGTATGCGACAGATACTCTTACTATGTGAGCCTACCTTTCCTTTATTCAGGTTTACTCGTTCCATGGTTGAGCAGGGATATTCATTCACAGATGCGCCCGTGGAAACCCGTGAGGCGCTTCACGTCAAACAACACAAACATGACAAACTAGCATTCCTCGCTCAAAACGGCTACGGTTAGAACGGCAGATATAGATCTAGAATCGCGGTGGCGAAAGAGGGGAAATGATACGTCAAACAGGACAAAGTGAGCAAAATGCAAGCTCCATTGTCTAAATGCGCAATAATCGCGTTATGTTTGAAGTTTCGCAAAGCACGCAGAAACCAAGATTCTGCCCACTTCATAATATTTCTCACTCAACTTCGTTTTTCACACTTGAGATCGACGGTTTACTATGAAGGCTATCGTAATCGAGCAGTTTGGAGGACCAGAGTCCCTTGTTATCAAGGATGTTGCGTCGCCAGAGCCGGAGAACGGGCACGTCGTGATTCGAGTTAAGGCTTTCGGGGTCAATCATGCCGAAATACATATGCGCAAGGGCGAATGGGCGGAGTGGACGCCCATCAGTGGTATTGAGTGCGTCGGTATTGTTACAGCCTGTCCCGGCGGCGAGTTTGCGGAGGGAACTCCTGTTGCGAGTCTCATGGGCGGCCTCGGGCGCACCATCAGCGGCAGTTATGCTGAGTACACGAAAGCGAAGGCATCAAATGTTGTTGCACTTGGTCCAGCAGCTTCGCAGCTTGGTTGGGACCAGCTAGCTGCTATTCCTGAATCTTACGCGACTGCATGGACGTGCTTGTTTAGGAATCTTGAATTGTCGAGTGGACAAAAGCTTTTGATCCGTGGCGGGACGTCTGCTTTTGGCAGAGCAGCGATCAATCTCGCGGTCCACGCTGGAGCCGATGTTGTGGCGACAACGCGCAGTGTGCGTCGAGCCCCTCAGTTAACGGCTCTAGGCGTTAAGAGAGTTGTGATAGAAGGACCAAACCTATCCGAGCGGCTCCCCGTGAAGTTCGACTCCATTCTCGAGCTAATTGGCAACAGCACTATCGTCGACTCGTTGAAAATGGTGCACCGTGGTGGCAGAGTTTGCCTGGCAGGGTTCCTGGGCGGCCTGGCTCCGGTCCCGGATTTCAATCCACTTCTTCAGATGGCGAGTGGTGTTCATTTCAGCTTTTTTGGAAGTTTTGTTTTCGGAACTCCTGAGTTTCCTTTGTCAGATGTACCTCTTCAGGACATTGTCAAGATGGCAGCGGATGGAGAACTGAGTTGTAAGCCCTGGAGGGTATTCAAGTTTGAGGAGATTGGTGAAGCACACCGCCTGATGGAGAACCATGAGGCCCAGGGGAAGATGGTGGTGGTTGTGGACTGATCTATGCTCCCTCCCTTTGCCGCCGGCTGGAAGAGAAAGCAAAAGACAATGTGCTACTTTGAGTTCTAGTGATTGGAGTTCTATCCACTTTCGAGGCATCTGATACCTTGACTTGTATGCAGTAATGGTGGCCCGGCTTTACCAAATTTATAATATAGTTGCGTTGAGCAAGCACTTGGACGTTCTCGGAATTTTTCGAGCTTCGTTTTTCTATAGCTGTCTCCAAGTATTTTCCGGAAGCTACAGGCGTAGCAAGCTTAAAAGATCAGATTTTTCCAAGTTATAGTTTGCTAACTATCAGGTTCCAGTTACTGATGTAGGCTGTTGAAAATACAAAGAAATGGAGGGTAAGAATATATACTTCGGTTATTGTCGTTGTATGCTTATATTTGGCTTTCTAGGAAATCATGCAGACTGGTGGGTAAAAATATAGCGAGAAACCGGCTCAGGGAGGGAAGGCAGTCCACTATAGGTTGTTCCAGGATTCAGAAGACAAGGTGTTGGCTACCTACACCTACAACAAGTAGAGACACAAACAGAGATTCCTTGACAAAATATAGGATAGAAAATGAGTATAAACTCTAAAGCTGTTTGTTTCTGAGTATTATTCCATTTGATATCACCCATTTGACATAAGCATCTCTGCTATATACCAGTCTGGGGTGTGCCTCCAGAGGTATGACTCAATAGCTCACTGGTCTTTGATACACATGAACTTGGCAGCAAATCGAGGTAGCTTTGTTCGTGGTTGTTGATATTTTTCAACTGGCCTAAAATATTGGAAAGCTCCTGGAGTCTTAATCGGAATGATTCGCCATTTTTTATATTGTCGTAGAGAAATTCCGCGCAGAGAAATAGCGGGATTGGCATCAATGGATGGATCTGGAAAAGCGATGTTAGTGAGTGGTAGTTTCATATCAGTTTGCAACTTGCTTTTGAGAAAGGTAGATCACGCAGCATTGTTGATAGACGAATGATCGTCGCAGATGCCGTTAAAGCTCGATCTTGGTAGCTGAGAAGTTCGTCGTCAGACACTGACGCCGAACTCATCATACCCTTACAGAAGTAGATGACAGTGGCTTGGCCGAGAATATTGGCAAAAAGGAGTAAGGAATCATACACATCGCTGGGTGATGGGTAGCATTGTACCAATACTTGAAGCCTGATGGTTAGAAGACTATCCAACCACTGACGCTGCTCTGTCCAGTTCAATATCTTGTCTCCGTATGCTTTGGAGATATGGTATTGTTGGCTCTGGAATAGACTACGTCCACATATAGTCGCCAGGATAAGGCACTCGTTGAATGGAGACCGTACTTGGAAAGAAGGGTCGGTCATTGCTTCAGACAGAAATGGCCCTGGCTCATGATTTCCCCCTTGAAAGTCTGCGTCTACGGCAGGCAGTCGGGTGCATATCTGTAAATTTGAAATCACACCACTGATCAGTTCGCAAATTCCAACAATTCCACGACAAACGCAGTTCTTACCACATGCTCATTTAAGGTGATGGGCCAGTCATCACGCATGCTGATGACATGATCCAAGAAATATGCCATCCAAAATACCCGGCGTCTCTCCTCAATCTCGATTAGATCGCCAGACTGCGGAGAAGACGCCCCACCTTTATCGACAGGACTATCAATTTCATGATAGCGCATTGCCTGAACTAGGCGAAAAGCCCGGCCAGCACTCATCCATGCCTGTCGGTGATAGGCTCGCATTGACTCAAATGATACTAGGAGTACCCATGCCTGGGAAAGCTCAGTAGTGCTGCCATGTTGCTCCATGGCCGGGACGCTCAAATACTCTAACATCTGCTTGGTCTCCTGGTATAGAGGTTCTATCATATCCCGAGATTGGACGGACAGCAACGATGCTAGCGTCCACATCGCATATTGTAAACATCTTTGTGAGGCGGTCTTGGTTGTAGATTTGGACCATGACATGTACCTTCGCTGGTGGATAATAGGTATTGACTGGTGCACACGGTCTAAGTATAGCTGGTCCCTGGGAACGATATCCCGCCGCTGATCAGTATTGGGTCTCTTCTATGGCGGATGTTGCTTACAATTCAGTCTCCAGGGCATTGGGGGAAATACTCGTGTTGGAGATTGGCAATGTGAGCGGAGGAGTCCATTCATGAGGGAGAAACGCCAATCCAGGAGCCGAGGCATGTGGTAAGGAGGTATCATACTCTGATGCGGAAGTTGCTGTCGCTGTTGGGAGCCATTCCTCGGGATCCTCGTTTGCAGTACTCTCTAAAGCGGTTACAGGCGATGCGCAGGGTGTCAGCTCATGGCCGCTGGGGGTGCTGCCGCGGAAGTCCGGCTGTTGCTGCTGGGCCGGCGAACGGCTCTGCAGCATCGCCTCTAGCTGCACTATGCGATTCTTCAGGGCCTTGAGATGACCCTTTTTGGGCCCGCGAGCACCGCGGTTGGTCACTTGACATGCAACTCCTGTCTCTTCGCAGACTCCGCACTGTGGTTGTTGCCCGTCGCAGCGTAGCTTGCGACGTCGGCACTCGTCACAGGCAACCCCCGGGCGCTGGCGCCGCGTTGCCATTGCCGAGTCTGTTTCCATGTCTGTGTTGGTCGTCACCGCGGTGGATCTCGGAAATTGATGGAGTTTCCTTTTGTCTCGCAACAAGATCAGGGAAGGTGACGGTGACAAGTGGGGGCGAAAACATACGCAGGGGGCCAACGGGCAAGGCTCCGAGGGCAACGGTCAGGCACTGCTGGCGGTTCAATATTGATATCGATTTAAAAAGAATTACATTTGAGTAATAGTTGGACCGACTGCGGAGTACGGTTCGATCAGCCGCTAGTGTCCAGCATAGTTAACTCGAGGCCCGTGCAGACTGAAATAGAAACCCCGAGGCGCAATAGAAACTCCGAGCAGCAAAGATTAGCCCCGAGAGGGCTCAAGTACAGTCGATCATAAAGATAAAACTACCTACCTCTGCCAGCCTCGCATTATTTAATATCTCTGCCCTGCTACATGCCTAAGTGCCCGTATACGAGTTTCTCATTCGAAAATGACCACTTACCCAGGCCAGTTTCTCGCAGGCAAGCGAATCATCATTGTCGGAGGTAGCTTCGCTGGTCTTGCATCTGCGATCGCTCTAAATAAGCTCTGGAATCCATCACTAGACCCTCCTCAAGTGATCTGAGTCGAGAAAGATGACCGCGAAACGTCCTTACACAGGGACCCTTATGTTCTATGCATAAACGGTGGAAGCCAGGACGAAGGACTCATCGCCATACAACAAATGGGTTTACTCGACGAAATTCTCGCACACTCAACCCTCAACAGTGGGGATATCTGGGTGTGGAGTGACCATTGGAAGAAGCTTTCATCAATCAATCCGAAGCCATATGGGGGCCTGCCGGCAGCGACAATGCGAATCACACGAAGAGACCTCAAGCGCATTTTGATCGAAAAGGCCGAACGAACAGATACGATATGGAAATGGAATACCACCTTTTCAGGGGCAGAAAGGTTGTCAAATAACAAAATCCGTGCTACCTTCTCTACAGACGAAGGGAAAACTGTATCCATGGAAGATTGCGACCTGCTCGTCGCGGCCGACGGGACGAACAGCGCAGTGGGAGACGCCTTTCGACCTGGTGATATGAAGCTGCATTACACCGGCGCAACCCAGATTGGTGGGATCTCGCGTCTTCCCGATGGCCTTCCTCATCCCATCCATGAAGACTACGGCCTACAGATGTCCTCGGGAGAAGGGGTATGCTGCATTTACACCCCCTTCGACAATAAGACAGTCGCCTGGGCATTGAGTCGCCTGGAGCCTGAGCGAGCGGCCAAGAGCAACTTCACCATGGAAGAATTCTCCTCCCTCAAAGAAGAGGCTCTTCAAGCGGCGTCCATGTTTCAAGAGCCTTTCAAAACGGTCGTTGAAGCTACGGATCCAGATACAGCATTCATTCGACCAGCCCACGAAAGACCAGCATTCCGGCATGATGCACGCTTACGAGGTGTCATGTTTATCGGCGATGCCAACCATGTGCTTAATCCATTCGAGTTCGTCGGTGCAAACTTGGCGCTCAAGGATGGATGGGACTTGGCGGAGCAGATTTGTCGGAATGCCACGATGGAAAGCACCGTTGTCTCGTACGATAAATCCAGTATTCCTCGGTTTGAAAATGTCTACAAGTTCTCCCATACTAGACTCGGATTCGGGCATAGCACTGGGCTGAAGTGGATATTCTACAAGCATGGCATGGCTGCTCAGAGAGCGCTTGGGATGGTATAATCTCTAGACATGCTCACAGTCGGGTATAGCAATGCACGGTTTCATCGCTTCACATCGCAGCTATTTACCATTTGTTCCATAGCACATGCTATTGTCGGTCCTTCTTATATCTTGGTCTCCCGGGTTCGTGTCTTCAATCCCAACTCTATAGCCTTGATTTGCAATGCCAAAGACTTTGGAATGGATATGGCACAAGGCTGCCGCCAAAGAACCAAAATCCTGGGGGACCGCTTGGGCGTCACATTAGAGCAAGCATTAACATTTCATATAACATAATCAAAGCGAGAACTTCAATCATGAGCTTAGAGCATGAACTTCCTTCGGCTTCCTATTATGCCTTGAGACTACCAAAGTCGGTAGCTGGAAGCATTCTTACTCTTTCAGGGTGCTTTGTGACGATTCTCTTTGAAAGCAGAAGGACTTGGACTACGAGTCTCACTGTGAACATACTGCAGGAACACATGGCATTTGTTACACTATTTGTGACTCTATCATGATTAGCGTCTATCATACAGTCATGCGAAGCCCACAATAAGCACAAGGGCCGTGCTCATGTGTCCAGAGACTGATGGATGACACTCGTCCGATATGTCTCACTGCGCTCGATGAGCTCTTCATGCGTGCCCTGCTCGACACAGCGCCCCTCCTCGATGAGGTAGATACAATCGGCACGATGGATTGTGTTGAGTCGATGTGCGATCGCGACGATGGTGGTGCGGCCAGCAAGCGTTGCAAGGGCCTCTTGGATCCGTTTTTCGGACTCAACATCCAAGGCGCTGGTCGACTCGTCCAGCAGCAGTAGTCGTGGACGGCGCACCAGGGCTCGCGCAATCGATAAACGCTGTCGCTGGCCCCCGGAGAACTGCTTGCCATCACGGCTGCACTGAGTCTGGTAGCCGTCAGGCAAGGCCTCGATCACCTCGTGAATATGGGCCATGCGGCAGGCCTCTTCGATCTCTTCTTGGGTTGGCTGGTGGCCGGGTCGCGCACCCAGCCCGATGTTAAAGGCTACTGTGCCTTCGAAGAGTACATTCTCCTGAGGCACGAGAGCGATCTCGTCGCGGAACTGCAGGCCCAGCTGGCGAGTAATATCGACACCGTCGATCACCACTGCACCAGACTCGGGCCGGTAGAAACGTTCTAACATTGCAAAGGTCGTGGACTTTCCGGAACCACTAGGGCCGACCAGAGCGCAAAATTTACCTGGTTGGATCCTCAAGCTAAGTCCGCGAAGGACTGGTCGACCTGGACGTGACGGATACTCGAAGTGGACATTCTGTAATTCCGCTCCAATTCCACTCATTTCTGGAGGCACGCCGGATGTTTCAGTATTGCACTGCCCAGGGTGCACAGCCTCGAGATCAGGGATTTTCTCATCGAGAAGATAGTTGTCATGCCTCTTGAGCGTGCCTGAAGCACCAGGATTTAGCTCTTCATCAGCCGAGCGGGTCGTGAGCAGCTCTGCAATATTTGAAGCAGCCAGCCCCGCCTTAGAGATGTCCGGCGCCAGAGCAAACATTTGGCCACAGGATTGGGTGCTAAATAGCAGAGCAGGCAGCACAATGAAAAACTGGGTCTGGGTGTAGAGGCCATTCACAATCTGTTGAGTACCCCACCAGTAGGCCAGGGCATACACCAGGTTGCTGATGCTGAAAGCTAGGGCGAGGAAAAAATTGCCGAAGGCAATGGACCACAGGGTCTCTCGGTACGGCGCTTGCAACGCTCGCTCGTACACCGCGTACGACTGTTTCTCCAAGGAAAATGCCGAGACAGCCCGGATGTGATCAACCGCTTCGATCGTAATAGCGGTCGCTTGGGCAAAAGCTTTTCGATGGCGTTCTGCGAACTGAGCCTGGGTCCGAAGCTTCATAATACCTGCGGCCAAGAGGACTGGGATGGTCGGAAGCAACACAATTGCTATCTTCCAGGCAATCACAAAGGAAAGCACCACGCCAGCTACCAGATTGACTGCTGTGGCCAAGAGTAAGCCAATTGTTGTACCTGTGATGCTACCCAGTGCAGTCGCATCGCCGGTGATGTAAGTCATGATTGTTCCGGGAGTCCGATCCTCCATTCCGTGCCATTGGACAGTCTGTCCCATGAGGGACCTCAAGGAGAGAACACGAATCCGGTATAGGATCTTGTCAGCAGCCCAGCCAAATGCGCAACCACCGATCACATTTGCCGAGAATTCGACAAGAGCCATGATGAAGAATAGAAGACCATAGAGATGGCCACCGTGCCTAATACCGTCTGCCCCAATGCAAGGATTCAAGCTCCCAATCGTGTGTCCAAAAATGACAGCTTCGGCGGTATAGCTTCCCCCGATCACGATTGACATGGCAAGGCCGAGCATGACATAGCGCAGATCGGGCCGGAGCAGGGAGAAAGTAAATTGAATGGTAAACCACCTCGTGCGCTTGCGTCTGCATTTCTCTTTCAGTCCTTTCTGCTGTCGCTTTTTCCGTTCTTTTTCCGTTTCCTCGTTTACGGGTTCGACCGTATAGGTGGAGATCGTCTCATCGGTAACATCGGTGATATCGGTACCACTCACATCAAGGAAAGCTTCTTTAACCTCGACGGCTAGAGTTTGGCCGAGTACACCCTCTCTAGCTTCTCGGATGTTATCTTCCCCGGGTCCCACTGTCGGACTCAGCCTTCCAAGATTCTGCAGCCGCACCATCTCAGTATATGAGCCACCTTTAGCGACCAGCTCGGCGTGGGAGCCTTCCTCAACCACGCGGCCTTTCTGGATGAGCACGATGTTGTGGGCATCTTTGGCGGTAGCTAACCGGTGTGCAATAGAGACCATGGTCACTCGTTCAGCCAGCTTGGCTAGAGCGTCTTGAATCAACCGTTCGCTGGTGGAATCCAGAGCGGCCGTTGCTTCGTCGAGTATCAGAAGTGCCGGTTCGCGGACCAGGGCCCGAGCTAACGCAATGCGCTGTTTCTGACCACCACTCAACTGGCTTCCAGAAGAGCCTGCACTTGTCGCAAAGCCGTGAGGAAGAGCATCGATGAAATTCAAAGCATTCGCGCTAGCCGCAGCTTGTCGAACCAGGGAGATAATCTGGGCGATTCGGGGATCGAAATACTGAATGACTTTCTTTTCTGATATGCCCGCACGCATGTAGTCTACCAAATCGGCTAGGCTAGAGTCGAGAATAAATGGAGCGAGAGTCCGGTGCTGTTCAGTCGCAGATGTAACCAGTCCGTACGCAATATTTTCGAGAATCGAGCGATCCAGCAAAGACGGCTCCTGTGGTACAAATCCAATATGCCCGCGCAGGTACCGCACATTCAAATCTCGGAAATCCTGACTCCCAATACTGATTTGTCCGGATTGAGGGTCGTAAAAGCGTTCCAGAAGAGCCACGATGGTGGACTTGCCACCGCCAGATGGTCCAACTATTGCCGTATGCTTGCGAGGCGGAATGACAAAGTCCACCCCTTGCAAGACTGGTACATCCGGTCGCGATGGATAGGCAAAGTGCACGTCGCGGAAAGTGATATCTTCCGAAGCAAATAGGGCGGATTTGTCTCCGTACTGCGCAGTTCCATCAATCTTGGACTCGCGATTGATCACCTCCAAGAGCTTTTCAGATGCACCAGCTGCGGCCGCAAAGATATGCACAAAGGGTGCGACTTGGCTGAGAATAAAGGATGCGTCGATCAAGACAAAGATGACAGTATACACGGCCCCGACAGATGTCCCAGAGCCATTGCTTTCCACCGAGTCCGCAATTAACCGAGATCCTTCCCAGAAGGCGAGGGCGTTGGAAGCGTAGGCAATGAAATAAAGCAGTCCAAGTTGAGCAGCGTGAGCCCCTGCCTTCTTGAGAGCATCCATCCGCGATCCAGCCAGATAACCTGCATACAGCTTCTCCAGCCTGTCATTCGCATTGAACGCATGCACCAGTGCCAAATGGGACACACTTGACGAGGCAACTGACGTAGCCGCATCGACATACTCATTGATCCGACCCGCATATTTCTTGATGTAGTACCCACCACCATACGACATGAAAAAGTAGCACGGCACCACAGACACCAGCATTCCCGCAATAGCAGGCACCTTGATAAAAGCCACGACGTATGAGGCAACAAAGTAGGACACTGTGGAAATAACAAGCCCCACCTTCTCCGAGGTCCCGGACTGCACGACTTGGATATCACTCACCAACCGTGAGGTTACATCCCCGAGTGGTAATCCTTCAATGTACCCTGTCTCCTGTTTGATGATACTCTCAAAATATCGTCTTCGATATCGCCACGCAATACGCTCGCTGATGTAGCTCCAGCAGCTGCAATGGATGTATATGAAGCAAAAGTTGGCTATCGTAATGTATACCACATATAACACCTTTTGGCGCACGCTGTCGGCGACATAGCTGTTCGTCTGTGCGGATGGCGAGCAGGTTGCCGTGTTCAGGTCGTCGATCAAATCACCGAAGACAATACCCAGAAGAGGGAAAGGGAGGCCTGCTGCGATAGAGAAGAAAACGCCGCAAACGATGAGGAAGACGTCGGTTTTGGTGTAGTCAAGGGAAAATAGGAGGCGGGTATAAGAGAAGAATTTGCCGAGGCCTTCGTTCGTCGGTACACACTTCTTCAGGTACCTGAACTATACTTCACATCAGTCCATCTATCTGCTGTCTTACCTATCTTCAAGAAGAGACCTACCATTGGAGCGCTTTTGCCTGGCTTCGGCCTATTCCCCTCAATCTGGTCCGACATGGCTTTTAAAGCCCCTATCACAGACAACACTCTGTGCGCCGCAGTCTGCAAACCAGATATTTTTTGGAGGATGCCAGCCTCGGAAGATTCAGGCAATCTCCAACCACAGAAGGGTGAGACTGCAGCTGCAGACAACCTTTTGATCAAGCCCTAATAGATCACCGGTTATCCACGCTAAGCCAGCACCGGTTCATAGTGTATAAAGACGGGTAGGATGAACCGGAAAGGAACCACCGGAGAAAAGGACAAAAGGCCTCATAGCCTCGGCTACAAAAACACAAACAAGAAAAGCAAGACTCCGGTCCCGGCCCATGAAAAGGCTGACGCCAGTGTCGGGCTTGTCAAGACAATGTGGAGCAGGCATAAAAAACGCAGCCATGAGTACGACCCAAGGAAAAAAGAACGCGGCCACAAATTCACCATGGGGGCCTCAATGGCAACCATAAGTCCGTTAGCTGAGTAGCCAGTCAGTTCAACGTGTGACGGAAAAAGCGGAGAATGCAAACCGAGGTCGGCTCCACTGGTTGAAGATCGATGCCCGATCGCGTAGCGACAGACCCTGCACATCGCTTCCTGCCTTCCTTTCACAGACAGTGTGAAGGCAAATCGCGCGTTGAAAGAGTTTGACGGAGCCTTAGCGCATCCAATAGGGAATGTTTTATGAATTGCCACGCTTCTTGGAACCCTACCAGGCGGAGACCGTGCATCATGGCCTCCACTCTCATCTGATAACCCGGTGTGAACGCTCGCGGCGGGTCTTGCGTCCGCGGACGTACGCGGTTGGGGAAATTAACGGGTGCAGAGATCGGTCGTGTTGCACTCACGGCGGTGGTCGGGGACTTTTATTTTTCTTTTTCTTGCCTCGTGGTGTCAGAAGGAACGTGGGTGATGACGGAAGCAACAATGTTGCACGGGTCTTACCTCCTTTTTCTGATTGGAAATTTTTATCTGATGATCTAATCTGATCGATAACAGCCCCTCAGAACAACCGGAGGAAAAGCCACGCCTGACTACGTTCTCAAATTCATTTTCTCGTGTTCCTCTGTCTATCGTCATTACGCAACAATCCTGTATATGCATGTTTAGCCTCCACACTAAGGGGTCTGTCCACTCTCACCTATCGGCGCTCCGCTCCAGCCCCCGCCGGGCTGGAACCCTGCGGGACGAGCAGACCCTGAAAGCCCCCCTGGTTGTTCCACGCAACGTCGGGGTGCAGGTGCACCGCAGGGATTGCTATTCGCGTCCTCGTTACTGGTCTTTTCATATCGTCGGTCATCGGTGCTGAGCATCTCCCGGTAAATTTCGACGGTGTATTGACACTGAGGCGCTACACGCTACATAGTAAGACTGTACACAAAAACTCCTCATAATTTTTTATGTACCGAAAAACACCACTCAGCGCCAACGCGCCATGGTAAATACAAGAATCACATCGAAAGACAGGGCAAGACAATTAAAAGATAAGAAGAAGTAACAGGTAGAATTATGTACAAGGTCGGGTCAGGACATCTCCCCCATTTTGGCTGGTCTCACTGGGACCGGCGAGCCATGTAATAGGTGAGCAGGTTGAGCGAGTCCTCGCCAGCTGGCGGGGTGACCTTCTGGACACGGTCGAGGCCGAACTTGAGGTTGAGGAGGGTGCAAAGTTCAGTAGCCTGCTTACGCACGCCTGGTCGGGGGTGGCTCAGTTGCTGGTTGACCACAGTGCCGACGCTGGCGAGGACTTCGTCAGAGAGCTCAACAGGCCCTTGTGAGAGTGCTTGGTGAATGGTGGTGAGGCCCATGATGATGGAACGATAGAAGTCCTCGATCTTCGCATCCTGGCCCAACTCGAGCCCGTGGAGAACACCCCCGATGACCGTTTCGGGTGGAATTAGTGAGACCAACAGCTCTTCAACCTCTTCTAGGCACGTAACAAAGTGCGAGTTAGATTCGTAGTGGCGACGAGCTCGGATGATGGAGGTCATCGTTGGCACATCGTATTTGTGGAAGAGCTCACTTGTCCGAAGAAGCATGGAGCGAATGGTGGCGAGAATCTGAGTCTTCACATCGTGATCCTTGCGGCTAGTAGGTGTTGATTCGAGCTCGTTCAGCAAAGCCTCGATCATGGAATAGTAGTCCTGTTCGCGAGACACGATCTCTTCGCCGTGGAATTGGAACAGCCCCTGCAGCTTCCTGTATCCAGAGATATCCATGGTTTTGGACGTAATACGGCTGAGCGCTTTATTGAGCATCTCCCTCGCATTGGCAGGATCCTTCGATCGAGGGCTTGGGCTCCGATGCCGCTCTGCCCACTTCCGACTGCGGCGAAAGCCTGGTTCCTCGGTCGTTGACAGGGCTACAGATTCAAGAGACTGGCGTCTTGTCTCTGTATTCGGCCGCAAAGCAGATTCGTTCAAGGGGACCTCCTCTAGGGCACCAGGCTTAGCTGCAGAACGGGGTGTTGCGGTGAGCTCTGGAGCTTTCGTAATACGCGCAGTGGCATTTTCGTTATTGAGGCTACTCTCAAATGTATCTGCCACAGCGGGCTTTGGTGGTGATGTGGGCTCCACGTTATGGACAGGCTGGGAGGGTGCAGGTTGAGGACGATTCCTTGTGGGAGAGGGGCTTGTCCGAAGTGGAGTCCTTTTGGGTGACGGGAATAGAGGTTCGCTGGCCCCGTGATTAGTGAGTCCCTGATTAGGATTCATTTCCAGGGTAGTGCTCTTGACAGGGGTCTCCAAGATAGCCGGAGTCCCTGGCTCCAAATCTTCTTCGAGCTCTTGCTCATTAGCACGACGAGGAGATCTGCCAGGGGTGAAATGATGGACCGGTGACATCTGAGGTGTCTCAGCCTCCGTGGCAATCGGCGTAGCAGGATCCTCGTATATAACCATTTCTTCCGGTTGTAACTTAGAATTCGATTCAGAATCAGCAACTGTATCGGAATGACGCAATGGAGTTGCCGTTTCGGGTTCAGAGACACGCGGAAAAGCTTCAGCGGGGGTAGGTTTTTCAAGTGAGGACAGCTGTGGCTCATCTACAGGCTCTGAAACGACGTGGACAGATTCAACTTGCTCAGTGCGAACAAGCGGTAGCTGTGTTGCAGAAAGCGGAGGGCTTTCTAGCACGATAGGCGCTGGGGAGTTCCGATCTCCAGACTCGCTCGGGTGGTCGACATGGGGGCAATGCACGGAGGGCTGGTTTGCAAGACTGTCATCAGAATCGCTATGAGCACGGCTAGCTGCCATGAGATCACCATGAGACTTAGATTTCGAAAGATCAAGCTTCTTAGGCTTGCCTCTAGTAGTACCAGCCTGTCCAACCTCGTGCGGCCGGAGACGAGGTGCGTTAATCGGTTTAGACGAGGGCGTGGATGCTTTGGACCGCACTGATCTCGGGGAACCGACTGGCTTACTCGCAGTCTGCGCTGCTCTTGAATCAGGCCGACGAGCATAAGGGTCCGCCGTTGCGGGGCGACTAATTTCGGGCCGCCGGGGTTTCGTGCCGGGCCGCATTGGTGCAGATGACAATGAAGAAAGGGGTGCTCCAGTCGGGATAGTTCGAGCAGACGATCTCAGCGCAGGATCTAAGTCGGTAGAAGCCGACTGAGCAGATTCGGGGCGAGAAGGCATCGCCTTCTTGCGGCTGGCAATGGCTTCCTTTAGGGCAGAGCGGGCAGCACCTGGGCCCGCAGCACCCTTTACAGGCGTAGAAGTAGTCTTGCTAGCATTGGGATTCGACGGGTCTTTCTCCAACAGGTTGCGCGATTTTGGGTCGAGATTTGACAGGATAGTATTAGCCCGATCTAGCCAGACACCGCAGAACGTCCAGAAGGTGCTGCGCATGGCCTCTCGTACCCCAGGATTGGCGTCTCCCAGGCCTTTCTTGATGGATTTTTCAATAAGGTCCAAGCCACCGCCATGCTCAACTGTGCTCTTTTGATGCGACTGCCGCTTGATCAGAGTTCGGAGCCATCCAGCTGCAAAAAGACGCAGCTGCATGTTCTTGTCTTGGGAGGCCCAGTGGACGTGCTGCAGAAGACGAATGTTATATGAAACGTTACCAATGACGACATCGACAGTCGCATTCCCATACTGAGCAGATATTTTTTTCAAGGCTGCACACAGCTTCATTAGGTTCTGCATGATGATCTCGACCATGGGGTCGAGCCTCGGACCGCAAGTCCGCGCAATATCTTGCATCAAAAGGCACCCATTTGTACAGAGTGTAGTTCGTAGAGAGTTCACAACTCTGAAAATTCCATCGAGAAGGGTCTTCACGGCGTAAAGGTAACTCTGAGTAAAGTCGTGAGGCCCATTGCCACGCGTAAGTCGACGAAACAGAATAACGTTCTTTTCACGTTTCAGCCAGTTGTCTTCCGATTCCTTGCCATCGAACCAGGGGAGCATGTCTCGCACAGTATCATCAATATCCCTGGCAGATGAGACAAGGAAGGGCTCAATTCCGTCATCTTCCTGGGATAATTGCTGCATGCCCGGTTGTTCAGCTGGAGTTTTGGGCCTTAACGGGGCCTCGGGGGCAGGGGTAGATCGATCATGGCGACCTCTTGAAGAGCCTGGTCGACTTCTGGAAGGCTCCACCTCTGTGATATTGTCAAAACACTTGATCTTGATCAGGTCAATTCGTAATTCGTAAAACATACCATCATCCGGTAACTCCCTCGCATGTGCACGTGCAGACATCACCGAAATGGGCCGTTCGGCGCGAGAGATAGGCCGGTTTGAGCTCTCCGGCTCTGAGTTGCCAAGTCCAATCCCAGAAAGAATAGCGTTAGCAATGGATTTTCGCACACCGCGAGCAACAAGTTGTTTTTGCAGATCGGATTTAGCTCGCGCGGGGCCATTGCTGTCATGGCATTAGTCTCGAGAAGGTCATAATGAAAACCGCCGGGTTCCGCATACCGGAAAAGTTCAACCACGACTAATCTTGCGGTATCTCGAACCGCACTGTCTGCATCCTCCAAGCACGCGACCAGAGAAGGCACGTACTGGCGGAACAACAGGCCGTGGTTTTTTGTCATCTGCAAACATTCACATTAGGAGCCCGTTCGGACCTTGCGAGGGTAATGGAACGTACATTAGACAGCCAAAGCATGCTCATCTCCTTAGCTCGGGGATTTTTGCCTATCAAAGCAGTCTCGAGCACATAATATTCAACCTCATTACCCGCCACAGACCAAAGTTCAGTGAATATGGACGCCGCCTGGGCTCGCACACGTTCCTTGTGGTCACCGAGTCGCTCCATCAGAACATGATAGAAGTTCCGCGCCTGGCTTACGATCCATTGCTGCTGATCTTGGATTGCGAGCCGCTTCAGAAAGTGACCCAGGGTAGAAAAGCCTGCGCCGAGGACTGAGTAGTGTTGAGATGTGAGGGCGAGCCTAAGGGTCTCGAAGATTGTCGGAATCGCGCCTTCGGGGACATTTTTTTGCTTGATATCGGATTTGATGGCCGTCAGGTGGGCGACTTTGGCGTCAACGGAAAGATCTGTGTTTTTGAAGGCCGCCAGGAGTTCCGCAGCCTTTGCCTCCATCTTGGACACCAACAAGGAATTCTCCACTTTTGTCAGGCACGAATCATAGAAGCCACCACCACTTCGGGGGAACGGGACAGGCGAAGTCGGGTAGTCTTCTGAGCAGGAACAACGAAGGCGCGGGCAGGTAGCACGGAGAACGAGGTGGGATGGTCGCTGCTGCCTATTTTGGGTGTCAATTCAATTCCGTGAGATACGCCATAGGCATAGCCAAGCCAGATCACAAAGAACAGGGGCAGCGCGCAGGGCTCATGGCTCAGGCGCGGTCATGACCGCGCCTGAGCCCAAAGAAGCGCAGTCACGTCATCATGACCAAAGCCGGGTTCGAGAGCGAAGCAATGCAAATCTAATAACAGTAGACACTTACTAGAGCACTTGGTAAAGCAGATGGCAGGACAGAGACGTGAGTGGTCGCGAACCGTGGATGGTAGGATGTTGACGAGAGCGAGGGAAACTCGAAGTCAAGGGGGCGATAAGCGCGGATAAGCGCGAGGGACTCCACTGATGCGACACTCCCTTTCACAAGAATGGAAAGGGGCTATAGTCTGTTCTGTTGATTGCAGCTACCGGATGAGGTGAGTGTTGTTTTCTTCTTCCCGAAATCCAACACTTGAATCCTTGATTGTGGTCAACCGTGGTTGTGCCCAAACCCCCGCCCAACGTCCCAGGCCGATTTGTTTGTGCCGTGGTCGCGAAGGGCAACCAACTTCACTGCAGTAACATCCACACACGTCGGTAAGAGAACCAAACTGCTACCAAAGGAGATTTTCAGATGTAATAAGCTTCCTGCAATAGTTCAGCCCACCTTTTTGAGGATTATCAGTTAGCTGTCTGAGTCCTGGGGAGAATACTAAACATGCGTCATGGTGACTGGGCGAGGCATTAATGTTAGTCTACAGAATCAATCCCCTTGTAACTACCAAAAGTAGTTATTGGCAAGAGCGAAGGCAATTTTTGCATGTTCTCGACATTGAGTACCTAGTGATTCAATTTTGCGCTAATAGGTACGGCCTATATATGTCAGTCTATTTAACGTAATAGGATGAAGAGGAATAATACCGCGGGCGGCTAGCAATATATCTTCACAGTCATTGGTCGACGGAGAACGTAAGAAGTATGTCAAAGATTGACAATGGAAGCAGTTTTAATTACACAATGGGTTGCCATTCGATTCCTCAACCTTTTCCTGCAACGAAACGGCTCTAGAATGCCTTGCAAACGCGATAAATGAACCACGCGAAGGAGGCAATGTGGAGCGTATGTAGGGTCAACTCCCCGCCTTCCCCATTGTCTCCGTACAGGTCGCTCGCTGGTCTTGACTCAGCCTCAGCCTCAGCCTAGACCACCAGTTCGTTGCCCACCGTCCACAGACCTAGCAGATCTCGCTGAAAACCTCCGCCTGTCTGATACGGTCTCTTTAAAACGACTCTCCCAATAGTGCGCTGACAAACTCACAATGACGACAACTTCGGCCCCCGCGGCCCCTGCATCTGCGATTCCCCAGCCTAACCCGCGCGACGAGGCGCAGAGCTTGGACACCAAAGACAGGGGCCAGAAAAAACCAGAAAAGAATGTTCATATTCCTAAGCCAAAGTTCCGTCTCCATGCCGAGGACCTCCGCCATCCAGGGTCTACGGCGTTCCTAGTCTATATCCCGAATGTGGCATCAACTCTCGATACGGCCCTCAGCAACATCGTCAGATACCTCTACACGGCCCCAGAATATGAATCTACAGAGGCAGGAAGTGCCCCCAAATCGAAGCGACCTTTCTTCTGCCCCTCAATTCCCCCCACCCGCTCCGTGACGTTGTTCCTGCGCGACTTCAGTGGCGTAGCTTACACTACGGGTACCGAGCTTGACGACGACCACAAAGAAATCCATCTCTCGCTGCCTTACATCAAACATTGCAAAGAGTCTTCTTCGAAAGCTGACCCAGTTGACGAGCTAGCCGGTGTTCTCACGCATGAGTTGGTGCACTGCTACCAACACACCTCACCCCCGGACTCTGAGAAATCCGGAAAAGATATCCCCAACCCACCTGGAGGTCTTATCGAAGGCATCGCGGACTTCGTTCGGCTTAAAGCTGGCCTGTCGCCGCCGCACTGGAAGCGACCTACGTCGTCCGCGGAGCGGGAGAAAGAATGGGATGCCGGATATCAGCACACGGCATATTTTTTGGCGTGGATTGAAGACGTTTGGGTTGGCCGGGGCGCAATCGGCATGTTGAATGATCGGCTCTTCAGGGTTGGGTATGTGAGCGGGGAGAAGGGGGACAGCGATGAAGTTGGCTTCTGGGAGAGTCTCTTCGGTGCTGGAGTCGCAGAGCTGTGGGGTGAGTATGGGCAGTGGCTTGATGGCTGTGACGAGCGCAATCGGAAGGCTGAAGGGAATTGGGAGGAAGAGATCGTCAACCCAGTCTAGAGTATGACAACCTTAAACTGAATCGAGGGCAAGGGCCGTCTAGGTGTTCTTAATTGATGCAAGAGCAATCGCCGGGTATGTCTGAATATGATTTGAGTTTTGGAATACATTTGATAGAAGGCTACCTCTATATACCAGTACCGAGACACATGGCCTCGATCCGTCCTATGTTGACCAAATTTCTAGCTGGAGAAGAGCGGGGCATAGCCAGATAAAAGAGACAATGGAAACAATGGTGGGGGAAAAGGAAATGAAGAAGAAAAAAGTTCCAGTAAACAAAAAGACACCAGATGAATCGAAGGAATCACAGTTCCCATACTATACAGTATCCAATCATGCAAAGACAGGACAAAATGACTCTTTTCCCGGGCCTGCTTCCCATGCGAAACCAACAGCACCACGAAAATCGGACAAGAGAAATCGGTAATAAAAAACAGTTAGAGGAATATGGTACCGCGCATGATGAGCGCGGAAATCCACAGCACGCATTAGACGATGACCTCACCCAGGTCGACATAGACGGGCTTCCACGACGCGGCACCCTCCTCTTCCATGGAGCTGGGCACGCGCACGTTGAGCGGGCTGTAGAGATACCATCCCTTCAATGCAGAAAGAGCAGCGCGCTCCCGGGCCTCAATCAGGCTGGCGCCAGCGCCCTCGCCCAGCTTGTCCTGACCAGAGAAGATGCCAACCACGAAGACAGGGTGTCTGCTCTTCCGCCCGGTCTCGCTAATAATTCTGGCAACGGGGGGCTCGAAGTTCTCGCGGGCACAAAGCCTAGCCAAGTCGCGGGCGGGCTGGGAGAAGTTGAACAGCTCGGAGATGTTCAGGTGTCGGGAGAGGAAGTGCTGCTCGAAGAAGCGCTTGGCTGCCGGACGACCGGCGTGGAGGTAGATGGCACCCATAACGGCGCGAACGAAGGTGGCACTGGCGAGCTCAGCGGTGACACCCTCACCCGAGGTTGCCGGTCCCTTAAATGCGTCACCAAACTCGTCATCGTAGAAGATTTTCGAAGTGACTGTCATCCTCCACGCTTTCTGGGCGGCATACGGCCGTGGTGTCCGTGCGTTGGGAGTGGCATCTATGTCGGTGCCGGGCTCAACCCTGCGGAATTGCAGCAGGCCGGGGTCAACTTCTCCACCGGGCAATGAAGCATGTTCCACACCCCATTCTCTGGCCATCGCAGCGAGTGTTTTGGGACCGGCGTAGGCGTACATTGCGGCGAAGATGACGGTCAAGGGCAGGCGGGGGTAGGTGCAAAGGAGGTGCTCGGTGGTGTAGTAGGTGAGGAGGTCATGACCAAGTGTGGCCAGCGATTCGTTGTTGAAATCAGCATTCGGATCGGCGGAGGCATCGACTAATGCCCGTGCGAGTGTCTGGGGAGGTAATCGGGAGGGAAGGTAGAGTCGAGCGTGGAGAGCAGCGAGTTTGGCGGAATTGATCGCGGCATCGACCGGAGGAGAGGGATATTTGAGATTGCCCTTGCGCTTGTGAGCACTCCTGACATGCTTCATCAACTCAACGTCTTCGAAGCTCGCGTCTCCAAGGTTACTTTGAGCATTGGAATCGACCTGTAGGGGAGATGCGGTCGATTGGCACCGCGATCCGGCACCATAGAGATGTTGATGCAGCCGGCTAACAGTCCGAGCGCGCGGCGAAAGGACTGTACTGCTCCATCGTTGGAGCTGCACCCTCTTCATCTGAGCGACTGGGGGTGGACTTGAAGCGAAAAAGAAACCAAGGAAACAACAATCCGCGCTGCGTCAATGGGGCGTGACTCGGAAGGCGTGCGGCCAAATTCACGGGGAGAGAAAAGAGAAATTGTCGCCAGTCACGGGATCGCTGGTCGTGTGAGCTGAGGCTAGTCCCGATTAAGCACTTGTGGCTTGGCACTCGACCCTCGATTGACGGCCCTTTCGGCTTCAGCCCGCTTGCGAGAACTGTTCAGCCCGACACTCCTTTCTCTACCTAACAACTCCTCTAATTACATCTCATTCACAATGGGTGGAGGTGGAAAGATCCCGTACGTTTTGGATTTGACGGCAATTGACGCTGGGATACTTACAGATTTTGCTGCGCAGGTACCCCAAGGAAGTCTGGTCCCCCGCCGGTGGTTGGTACGCACAGCCCGGCAACTGGAGGGCCAACACTGCGATCATGGGCGCCTTCGTTATCGGTGTCGCTGCTGTGGCCTTCAGCATCAGTGCGGACCGAGAGTACCGCGACAAGATGCCCGAGCCCGGCCGCTTCTTCCCCAGCCGGTAGTGAGTCTGCCGTAACCCATGTTTCTAAGAGGACTTCGCCATACTGACCCTTCCTCCCCCCTTATTAGCTGGAGCCGACAGATCCGCGAGCACGAGAAGCAGCAAGCTGCCCAGAACCCCTCATAAAAACATGACCGAACCTTCGATGGTAGCAAGAGGAGGGATTACAGCTTGAGGAAACATCTCTTATTGTGTCTATACTATCATTTCATCATTCCCCGTGGCTGTACGACAATAGAATGGCGTTCCAGAATGGACCATTTGCTCAATTGGTCAACAGGTGTCTCTGTGGAGACTCTTCCAATGCTCTCAATAATCGCTGCGTGTACAGGCGGACCCGTTCCGTGAATTCAGATTGATTCCACATTTCCTTTCCATTTCCCGCCATAGAGACCTGTGGAACACCGATCTGCTCTACCACGAACCCGGCAGCGACTGTAGCACAGATGAGGGCCATGGGAAGAGTGCGGCGATCCCCTGAGCCGTCCAGGAACCTTTGCCAGCTCTGAGAGGGCGATAGGGTAGATTCGATGACGTTGAACGGCTCACGACCCGCGGTCACCATCCCCTGGGCTAGTGCCCCAAGAAATGAATTGCCCGCACCTGTTGGGTCGAGAACAGCCGTAGCACCCGAAGTACCTGGCTGGTGGTAGGCGGGCAGCCACAACTTCTGGGCCCTTGAGAAAGCGTAGCTTCCTTCCTTGCCAGCTCTAATGACAAGACACCCATTACCGTTAGGGCCAATTCCGGAGTCAAGAATTCTTCGAACTAGCTGCTGGCCTTCCTTGCTCTCCTCGGCCCATCCAGCTTGGTCAAACATCATACCCAGCTCCAGATGGTTGGGGCTCACCATATCAACAACCCTATTAGCTGCAAAGAACTTCTCTTGTTCTTCTGGCGTGCAAAGGTCTGGCACTGGCTCCCAGACGAAGATGGGCCGAGTCGAAGAATGGTCAGTGGAAGGTGCTTGCCCTGCCTTATGCAGGTCCTCCCGTCGCTGCAGGATGTCGTTCACGATGGATATGCAGCGAGACGGGGAGCAGACCATATGGAATGTTCGTGACCAGACCTGTGTGTCTGATAGCATGTCGGGTTCCAGCCTCAACTTCGGCGTTAGATATTTGAAGTCTATGGCCCTGGTTAATCTTGTTTTCTGCTGCTCTGAAAATGGGGGTTTCAGCCCACCTCGCTTCTCATTTGGATGATATCCATTCCATGCCCTCGTTGTAAGTCTACTATGATCCTCTCTGATGACACAGTCGGTGCCCCAGGACTGGATCGCCGCCAGTGTTTCGGGTGGAAAGTCAGAGCCAACATCGACAATCCAGCTAACAGACTGTGCGTGCGCAGATCCCGCGACCAGACGGGCACCGACTACAGCAAATGAAGCCGCGCCTCCCAAAATGTTCTTGACGCCTGGTCTGGAATCACCGAAATCGATATCATCTGCGCGATAATGCACTGTGAGCATCCGAGCCGCGGGGCTTCAGGACAAGATAGAAGCATACCAAGGATGAACATTCCCAAGGTGCAGAATTCAACCTCACCCGGTTGGGCCACATCTGAGACAGTCCCAGCCATGTTATACAGCAAAGCAAGGCTGAATGGCCAAAGACGAAGAAACAAAGCTCGACTATCAAGTCGTTCGGGACGGTTGAAAGTGGACCAACCCATGTACTGGAAATACCAAAGATACCCGCCGACGTCATTTTACGGCGTACCCACCCGCGTAACGTAATGTTGCGGGCCCGGAGCTGCGACTTCAGGAGCTTCAGCCAGGCCCCGTCCACATTTGACACTTTGACACTCCCACCGTTTGGCATCCTGTGCATTGCGAAGAACTGCAATTGCCGGAACAGCTGTCTTGTTCGGTTCTCTCTTCATAATCTACCGTTTTCATCCTTCTCTCCCACGTCATTTCGCCCCCTTCCGGCTTCTTCAAGCAACGTGTTGCCTAACATGGCGAGCGGCGGCCATATGCATAATTTCACCACCCTCATCAAGCGGTATGTATCCTTCTTGTTAGCAGATGCACGGTCCTTACTCGTTTGGATATGTTTCAATCTCGTCTGGCCGTGGCAAGGATGCCCTAGGCCGATTTTGCTAACTATGAACTTGTCAAATAGGCTCGAGGCGGCGACCTCACGCTTGGAGGACATGGCAATGTCCTTGGATGACCACAACTCCTCGAAGAGCATGGATAGCCATTCTGCGACTGCGCCGTCCAGCCCCGAACCCCCTAAGCCCGCTCCTCCTCCCCCAGCAGTTCCTGCTACGCCGCAAGTTCCCCCCGCAGATCCAAGACTTCGATGCATTGATCAAGGGGGATGTCCAAAACTTCGTGAACCTGGGTGAGAAGATTGGTGGTCTTGTTGCAGAGCAGGTGAGATGTACAGGCTGGCAGTGGTCTCAAAAGTCACCGTTGCTAACGAAGACCCCCCAATAGTCTAAAGCAGTTCTGCAAGCCTTCCAGGCCGAGCGTACCTTCCTCTATGTATCAACAAAGGCCAAGAAGCCAGATGTGCCTCCCCCAGAGCTCATGACAGAATTGCACAAGGCGTCGGATAGCATCAACAATATTAAGGAGTCGAACCGCGCATCACCGCTGTTCAGCCACCTGAGCGCAGTTGCGGAGGGCATTGTTGCGCTTGGCTGGTTCTTCGAGAGCAAGCCCGCGGAATTCGTTTCTGAGATGATTGGTGGTATTGAGTACTACGGCAACAAGGTGCTCAAGGAGTACAAGGACAAGTAAGTGATCTGAGAGGTAGTTCCATGGACCAGTGATTGATATGTCGGCAGGGATCGGACACACGTTGAGTATATTCAAGCGTACTACCAGAACTTTAAGGCTCTCTCGGCCTATCTCAAGAAGCACTACCCCAAGGGCCTGACCTGGAACAACGAGTCTGGTGTCAATGCGCTGGATGCCTTTAAGCAGATCAAGAGTGGCCCTGCGTCAGCTGGCGGCGCGGTCCCTTCTCCCCCTCCCCCTCCCCCTCCCCCTCCTCCTGTTCCCTCTCTCAATGTCCCTGGAGGCGGTGCTCCCCCTCCTCCCCCTCCTCCAGGTATCCCTCCAGCCCCTGCACCAGCTGCTTCCGGCCCCGATATGGCTGCAGTGTTTGACCAACTCAACCAAGGCGAACAGATCACATCTGGTCTGCGCAAGGTCGACAGGTCGGAAATGACTCACAAGAACCCCAGCTTGCGTGCTGGCTCGACAGTGTCAGAGGGCTCTAGCTCTGCTCGGGGCAAGTCTCCCGCCCCAAGCAAGAAGCCCAAGCCCGAAAGCATGCGCTCCCGCAAGCCGCCGCGCAAGGACCTGGAGGGAAACAAGTGGCTGATCGAGAACTTCGACGGCTCGGACGAGATCATCGAGATCCCCGCGCAGCAGAACCAGTCCATTCTCATCACCCGCTGCAACAAGTGCATCGTCAAGGTCTCCAGCAAGGCTAATGCCATCGCCATCGACAACTGCACCGGTCTTTCGATCATTGTAGACTCGCTGGTCAGCAGTTTGGATGTCATCAAGTCGCCCAAGTTTGCTCTTCAGATCGACGGCACCGTCCCGACTGTTCTCCTCGACCAGGTCGATGGTGCCACCGTCTACCTTGGCCAGCAGAGTCTTGCCACTGAGGTCTTCACCAGCAAGTGCAGCGCCGTCAACATCATGCTCCCGCCCAAGGAGGACACCGATGAAGACACCAAAGAGTGTCCTATTCCTGAGCAGATCAAGAGCTACATCAAGAACGGTGTGCTGGTTAATGAGATCGTTGAGCACGCTGGTTAAACCCGTGTCAAGATGGGGGATGCGGGATTGTGCTGACACCCTTATTACCCTTTTTGGATCCACTCTGGGGCTTATAGGCTTTGAGACGCAGCCGGATCGCCATTGGTAGGTCCCGCTTTGTGCCACTCCCGACTATCTAGCCCCAGTTCTGGTAGCACCCTGCTTTTCGTTTGAATCGTTTTAATCCTTGATTGCTGTACCTAGCGCCCTCTGTAGATATATTGCAAGAATACAGGTCTACTGTTCTTTACCTCCAAATCTACCTACCTACGTATAGGCACCAATAATCACTAAAATTACACATTGACCTCAATTTCGAGACTTGTGATATTGGAACGATCGTGTCCGTAACCTAACGCCGCAGTAGACACGCAATTACCAGGGAGAGAGAAGCAATGAAGAAAAGACTCAAGCGGGAAGGAGATTTCAAAGGTTTCTATTCCCAACATACCGGGCAGAATCACGAGACATGCGACGGTTTGTTTGTGCCGTGGAGGCTGTGCAAGGAAAGTACCAGATGAGGGAGTCCTTTGATAATGAGAAATAACGAAATGGAGATAGAACAGGGGTATATATTCGGGGAACCCCCATGGGCCTGGCCTTCCGTCGTATGATGAGACCGAAAGAGAAACGGAACGCAAACATATGATAACCAGATCGCAGTGGAAATGAGATGAGATGAACCTGCACCTGCAGATGGAGTATTTCTCGGAGCTAGTGGCTCCTGTACGATTATGGGTTAGTTATGTCAGAATGGCCGCGGACCGGGGGCGGCTGTAGTTCGCTGTGCTCATTCTTCATGGACATTTGAGAGTAGAGTCAAAGTTAAAAGAGGTAATAAGAGTATGGTAATTATCCCGATAGTCTAGGGCGGGTAGAGGGTAGAGGGCGTTCACGGTGCAGGTGGCACATCGAGAGATAGACGATGCGTGATCAGGACCTATGCAACAGTTGAGGTTGAGGTTTTGTTCCATGGTCGGCTCAATTATTGTCGAAGGTCTCTTGCTTATGAACATCCAGGCCGCGAAGCCTCTTGGCAAGCAAGCTCTCACCGTTTTCGGAGCCGACCTGGCCGGAGGGATAAGGGTAGCCTCCATAACCAACATCGCCTTTATTGAGTTTGTTGTACATTGTTTTGGCGTGGTGGGAGTTTGCTGAAGGTCCCGTGAACCCCATTGATTCTGCTGCATCCCAATGTAGGGGAACATCGCTCGGCGAGGAGACATAGGGACCTAGGCCAGGAATTGTGCGCTGCCCTACGCTCCGCCTGCGAGCAGCTTTCTCGATCGCGAGTCGAGCACTGGTAGAGGTGGAAAGGGTGTTATCGCGAATAGGTTTGTAGGGGCTGTATCGAGGTTCTGGCAGTTGAATTTCGTTGCGCAGCTTCTCCTTGCCATCCGGGACTCGGTTTGCAAATACAACGCGAATGCTCGAGTGCAGGTAAAAGCGCCCTCGCACTGGGCAGCATATGTTGAGATGAACGAGATACCGCAGGATCGGTTTATCCTGTGGATTTTCTGTGGCATTCAACGACGCTTCCGGGCGATCAGTCCCATAGTTCTTTCGCACGCTCAGTGGCATGTCAATTATCGGGCCGGCCGAGTAGCTTCTTTGCCGGATGAAAGTTTTCGTGCCAGGTTCCATATCACTGAGGTCGTAAGGGACAAGGAACAGCTTGACTGCGGTCTTGTGAGGGTTCTTGATGATAATCTGTAGTTGCCCTTGCTGGGGGATTCGGTAGCTCCCACCCGGGGGACATTTAGGCGATTCCGCTCTGCGGTTCTTCTTCTCCCGGCGGCGTCGCGTCTCCGAGTTCGAGGTGCGAGGTGCACCCATTTCGTCCGTACCGTTTCCTTCCTGAGTCTTGGACGGGCTGAAATGTCGTTTACGACGCCGGGTCGTGCTCGACTCATCCTTGGACAGCGAATTCTCCAAATCGATCTGCCCTACATAAGGACTGGGGCTATCGTCAGAGATTGAACGGCCATTTCCCGAAGTCGGATAGCTGTAGAAAACAGCCGGGAATGGCACAGTCACGTGCGGGGGGCATTTGAGATGTCCTTTGCAGTTGCCTTTTCCTAGAACGCCAATTTGAGCGGTAAAATCCAGCGGTTTAGAAGGGTTCATAGACATCCGCCCACGCAAAATTGATTCCTCGTACGATCCGACCATCGGCGCATGGGGCTTGGAAGAAACCTCCGAGGCAAGAGACGGCCGCCTTGCTCGGAAAGCAGGGGTTTTTCCTGCTGAGGCAAGTTGTAGGCTATACGCCGAGGTCAATAATCGATGAGGCGAATGATGAGGCTGGAACAATCCATCATTTCCCCCTGGGAATATGGGCTGCGAATATTGACCGCTCGCAGGGCAGGAGGCGAAGATTGCAGATGCCGGAAGGTCTCCGGAGGAAGTGTTCGTCGTCGGTTAGCCCTTTCCAGAGGGCCAGGTAGGTTCGATGACTCAACACGAGGCGAGAAGTCCAGATCGGTGTTGTTGGCTTGATGAACAAGAGGGCTGGTTGGGGCCTTGAGAACGTAACTGGATGAGAACGATCCAAGCGACGGTGCTCTGGATCGCGTTCCTAGTGCTAGCTCTGGCCCACGGTGGTCGGCAAAAAGATTGAATTGTCTTGGAGCGGGTTCAAAAGCGGACGCTCCAAACCATGGGGTCGTGGGGGAGGTACCGCGAGGAAATGGCGAAATTGGGCTTTGCTCTTCAAAGCGGGTTTGGCGTGATTGTTGCCCGTGATGCGGAGAGCCTTCTCTGAAGTCGCCAGAGTGTAGTGCGGATCGAGGACGTTGGATATCGGCCGGCGAGCCCAGCTCCTCAGTTTTTTGCATGCCGTTGTGATCCTCTGAGACCTGCTCTACATCCCGCTCGTCGGCCTGCGAGTTGAGAGGCGGGAAGGGACTATGATGCATATAGGCCTCACTGGAGCCGATGTCCTGCGGCTTCTGGCACGTTAACTTAAAGAAGAGCTAAGATCAAGACGCCTTCCTAGTAAAGAATAAAAGCGCTCTCTCGGCCCAACGGCAGCCCGACATACCTTATATTGCAGCCTCCAGGGCGATGATTCTTTGATTCGCTGTATGAGCTCCTGCCGGTCGTTGGTCCAGAATTTGGCCGGAAAGAGCTCCGTAGGAGACGACTCCCGAGCTATCCCGGGCGGCTCCTCGATGTGGCGTCCGCGGTAGGCGTCTTCTCCAGACTGATCCCGAGAGGAGCCTGGGACAGGCTGCTCGGACTGGTTATGGTCACCAGACCAGTGGTGCTGGCCCCGGCGATCAGGATCATGGAAAAGGGGCATCGTGGCAAGGCTAAGCAGGCTATGAGGGCTGAAACGATGAGTCGGACATCGCAGGAGGCCACTGACGTGGCGAGTGCTATCGAAATCAGGCCCGCAGTGCTGCGGTGGGGTGGTTGGTTGGGATGCGGTGTGCGAGGATGAAGCGGGTATGCCGTCAGTGGTCCCGCTCGGGGTTCAGTGCTATTGGGAAGGAAGAATGTGATATATAATGCTGCATTAAGGTGTAGAGTCGATATCTGAAGTGGAAGAAGGAAAAGGGAGTGTTGGAGAAAGAGGCCGGGAAGACGAGGGAGGTCTAAGGAGCGTTGCACAGCCGATCATGTCATCTCGTGGGTCTCCGGTCGTTCAGATGATTCATTGCCGGCAGCAGATGCGGTTTCGCCCTTTGTTTCATCCCAGCTAGCTCGTCTGATTTTTGAGTGAGAATTTTATTATTGCGAGCCAGAATCTAGTATAGCATATACACATACTTTATTGAATCTAAGATATCTCTTGGTCTCGAGCCATAAATCCAAGTGCTGCTCTTATAGCCTTTACGTGGGGCTCCTGGCCGTCCATTGTTCGGGACTCGGACGCCAATCGCCGCTTTTTTTTTCTTCTCCAACCGCGCCGCTACACCAACCGCACGCCACCAAACACAGCAGTCGCCCAGAACCCGAGACTTGCCTGGGATCATCATGCCTCCTAAACGCACTCGCGATGCCGAAAATGCTCCGGCAGAAGCTCGGACAGAGCATGCCGTTAAGAAGCGCAAGGGTTTCAGTGTCGGCCCAGCAAACCTGCCTGATGGCACATATCGGCGCAAGAGTGAGTTCTCCTTTTGGCATCTGATTCCGGACCGCCGGTGACTAATTTGGTTTACCTGAAGCTCAAAAAATCAAGTCCGACTTGATCCAAAAGGCCAAGGTGAAGAAGGCCTACGCCAAGATTAAAGCCCAAGAACTCGCCGCTGGCACGCCTAAATCGATGTTCACCACCGCCGAAGAGGAAGCTGGAGGCGAGCCACAATCGGCATCTTTGGAACTTCACCCCGACCGAGTAGCGATGTTGAACGAGCCGGCGCCCGAGCTGGCACCGCGACAAGAGCGCCGTCCCCGCGAGAACGACGGCAGGAGAAAGGAGCGGAAACCGAAGCCGTCAGCGTACCTTAAGGAAATTGATTTTGCGGAGAAGCGCAAACAGGCCGCGGAGGCACGTCAAAGGGAAATCGAGGCAAAGCAAAAGGATCGCGAGGCGATGACACGGGCCAAGCGGCCGGATCAGAATGGGAAGAGGCGGTTGGGGAGGGAGAGCAACGTGCTGCTGAGTCGGGTGCAGCGTATGGTCGGCCAGAAATGAAATATGAGAAGACTTCTGGCGTGGAAGGAGAGGGCTACGGCAACAAATTGTGATACCCGATTGTTACTATACCATGTTCGATTCACGAGCAAAACTTTATGAACGCTTCATTATATGGGGTTCGCTATATAAGTCAACTATATGGCTATGTTATGTAGAGGGGAGGATTTGGATCCACCACCGCTTCGAGGCTTCTTGAAGCAGGCGAACTCGCCTTTGGTCCGGTCTCGCAGGCGTTTGAGTACGACGCGCATTTCTCCCAATTCGGCCTGGAGTTTGGTGCGAGCCTCATTGGTGGTCCGACGATCCAATTCCACGTAAATCTGACTCTGGATGTTGGATGCCTCCTCACTGGAGTACTGGGACAAGGTCTGTGCGATGAACTCGGTGTCCAGGGTGGCTTGCATTAAAGCAGCCAGTGAGAAGGTAGGTCGAGAGCGGAAGGCGGCAAGTAAGGACGAGGACACTTCCACCAGCAGATGCGTCAGGATGGTGGCCAGCAGTGAGGACGGGGCATTTGACGAAGAGCGACTGGAGTTCGGTGATACGGTGGACGGGATAGTGGTCGAGATCTCGGTGTGCACCAGCACCAACGTTAGCATGGTGCTATAGACATAAGGGCGGACCTGGTCTGGGCGTTCAGTTGAAGGCTCCCAGCCTGGAGACGTAATGCCCGCGGTGATGGTTTCATTCAAGGTCGCAATAGTTGGCTTAGTGTATGACTGGAACAGTCGATCTTCGATTTGCTTGAGAACATCCCGAACGGTCTTGCCCTCTTCCGTCAACTTGACCGAAAATGAAGTCTCGAAATTGGCAATCAACTGCGGCACATATTCGGCTTGCAGCGCCTTGAGATTCGACAGAGTGAGGAGGATCCGTACATTCTGCTATGGTCAGTCATGGAACATGCAGTCATCCGAGGTTGGACACTTACCCTGTTGCGGGAATCCACGGAGTCCGCAGCAAGAACAGAAAGAGCCGCGTCAACCACCTGGCTTGCCATGACCGGCCTGGAAATGACCCATTCGTTTTCCTCCTCCGAGAGCGTGAGGCGTTCCGCATTCTCCACCAGTCCGCTAAGCGCCTTGTAAACACTCGACACAAATTGTGTCCGAACCATCTGGAGCAATTTGGCAGGCGGTTGGGTAACGACATCGACCGAGCCCGATTTCGCCATGGCCTCGGAGATATACAGAATTTTCTGCATGCCGCCGAGGATAGCGCTCTCAAAAGCCACGAACAAACCGGGCATCTTCGTCAAATCTCGCTTTTCCGAGTCGCGAGTCCAATCCTCCAGCATCTTGCAAATCTCCGCATCCTTGCTCCACGCAGAGCATGCGACACGAGCAGAACGCTCGCGTGCAATGCCAACAAGGGACTTCAACTGATCGTACGTATGTCCAGCACTGCCAACGGGGCTCAGTGCCGCCATCTCACTGGCAGCTGTACCTAGGATGACGAGGAACTTGCTAAGATAGTGCACACCACTGAGGGAGTTGGAAAAGGGCGGCCAGAATGCAAAGCCCTCCCAGTGCTCCCCCTTTTGGGAACCGCAATGGGCAGGTTCTTGGGGTCCAGTTTGAACCGGGATTCTGTCGGGGTGACCCCTCTCGAGGCTGGGCTCGTTGGGCTGGGCGGAATGGGTGAGGAGAGAAGAGAGATATCTTCCGTCGGAGGCTCGTTAAAGAGAGAAAGAACGTTTTCTCGGATGAGGTTCACCAGCTCCACAACGCCTCTCTCAAGCTCCTCCACATTGGCCGGAGTGAGTCGGTGGTGCTTGCGGCTCTCACCCTCGAACCCAACCGGAAGAAGCCTCTGGCGACTGCCATCAATAAAAGACTGTGCGACCTCCCAGAAGTCCAGCACCTCGCCCAGCAGGCCACTCTGTGATGAAAGGAGCCGGGTAAGAAATGCTTGGACACAGTCCCAGAGTTCAATGACTTGATCTGTGTCGAGTCTTCCAGGTACCTCTGCCGAACCATCGCGAGGAGCTAGCCGGAGGTAGGACGCGGTCACCTGAGGCGCCGGGTTCTCTCCTCCGGCGAGCCTTCGCCGCAAGATCTCAATTTCCACCTTGCACCGATCACAGAACGATGTGATCTTGGTCTTCAGGAACTCGTAGCGGCTGAGGAGCCATGTCCAGATAGGGTTCTTTTCGACGCCCAATTCCAACAACGCCCCGATCAGCTCCATATGCTCCTCCACGGGCCCCGATGCAGTACTCGTAGTGGAAGTTGTGGATGCATCGCTGAGTCGTCTCCAAAGATCCCGCTTAAAGTTTTGGATTTGCTGATCAACATCGTTCCACATCCGTCCCATGGCCAATATCGTATGGATTTCATGATCTGACAATTGTCGTTTGGCGCTAGAGGCCTGCTCCACAATATTCTTCGCCCGGACCGTCAATGTCCTGGCCTTGGTATACTGTTCAAAGACAGAATCGTAATCACGCTGTTGCATAGCCTTGGATAGGTGGCTTCCGATCTCATATACTTCACGGTGTTTTTCCATTGTATCTACAACGGATTTGAGCATCTGCTCCCTGTCACGTCCTCCCAGCGCAGGGCCCCAGACCTCCTCGGCCTTCACTGAGGCCTCCACCAAAGGGCCTCGAATACCCTTCATACCATATTCACTCTCCTTGGTTAGCGCGTTCTTCTTGGGTCCGCCAGTCGCCGCTGGCGCAGGGGACACGCCCCGGTGCTGGCCTGAATAGCTTCGGAAGTGTCCTGACCGACGAGGGGTCAGGATTTGCTCCTTTGACGCTCCTTGATCTCTCATTTCCGTATATACGCTATCGATTGTCGCTTTCGCTCGGACGAACCGCTCGAAGTTTGCCTCCACCAGTACTTTCAGTGACGCTGACTTCTCGTCAATGGAGTGCGATAGGTGGTTCAGTCCGTCCACGAGCGATTCGATCGAGGCGTCATGGTGGGCTTGGGACAGGAACAAGGCGGGCGAGAAGGATGTCGATGACAGCAGGAACCGTGATCGTTTACCCCCCTCATCCTCTAGGCGTATCCCTCGGCTCTTCAGGGTGCGCAGAATGCTGTCACCCCCTCCTAGCGGATCCGGCTCATCATTCTGCGAGTTGTCTTTACCGTCTCTTCCCCTGCGAGACCCGAAGTTACTCCGCCAGTCGCTTGGGGTGCGTTCGAGCGCGAAGTACCGCGATTTGCGGGGGCGAGACTTGGCCTGTTGAACAGGTTCCTCGTCTGACTGGTCAGCCTCGTCTAACGCAACCGGCCATTCGTCCGGGAACTCTGAGGGCAAGTTGTAGTGGCTGGCAACATCGAGGTCGGACATGACGGCCAGATGGTGTGCTGGTCTGGGGTGGAGACCACACGAATTGATATGGGGGGTTGCTTCGGGGTCAACGTTTTGGGGGAGGTAAGGCAACCGATCAAAGCCTCCTGCAGGAGACTGCAGCCGGTAGAATCAGCAGGCGCTGGTGTTGCGAAAGTGACGATGGTATTCAATGGCAGCTGCAGGTGCGCAGAGCGTAGTGCGTAGCATGAAGCTTCAGTGGCAGATCCAGAACCCCGAAGTAGGTGGTGTCGCCGAAGACCAATGGCCAGCATCAGAGTGGACTCGGGTAGCCGGGGGTCATCAAACCACCAATGCGGTCTGCGTCCCGGTCGGGTCGGGCGGGCGCCGAGAAACTCGATTCTTTCGTCCCTTTCCCCTTCTCTCCTCCTCTTCCCCACCATCACACCCTTCCCTCACATTCAATTGTCGGGATCCGCTCACGATGCTCGCCGCCAGAAACTTATCTGCCGCTCGCCAGTGCCTGCGGTCGGCCCGCGTGGCCCCCCGCTTCGTCACCCCTGTGTCGCAGGTACAATCCACCACCTGCACGCCCCCAGTCGCCAACTTATCGAGGACCCTCAATTGACTGACCTCTCGTCGAATTCTAGCGCGGTTACGCTACTTCTTCCGATGATGTTGTCGCCAAGTTCAAGGGACAGAAGGGCTCTGATGTACGTGCCGTCCCCAGCGAATTCTTTTTCTTTTTTTTTTTTTTTCCATGGTGCTGGCGCCGACCGCGCAGAAAATCACGACGGACAAATTCTCCACCTCGAAACGCAACTTGCAATCACGACAATACTGATGGATTTACTGTGTTAATAGGGCAAGTACACTGTTACTCTGATCGAGGGTGACGGTATTGGTCCTGAGATCTCTCAGTCGGTCAAGGACATCTTCGAGGCCGCTAAGGTAAATCCCTGTTGCTACATTGACTCGGCAAGAGAATCAGATTCTAAATGCTATCGCAGGCCCCCATCAAGTGGGAGCCCGTCGACGTTACCCCCATCCTGAAGGATGGCAAGACCACCATTCCCGACGAGGCTATCAAGAGCGTCCAGAAGAACTACGTTGCGCTCAAGGGTCCCCTGGCCGTACGTTCCATACCTCACGCATCTAGAGATTCCAATCTGCGCAATTCAGGATACTGAACTTTTTTCCCCTCTATCTCAGACCCCCGTTGGTAAGGGTCACGTTTCCCTGAACCTGACTCTGCGCCGTACTTTCAACCTGTTCGCCAACGTCCGCCCTTGCCGCTCCATCGCCGGCTACAAGACCCCCTACGACGGAGTCGACACTGTCCTGATCCGTGAGAACACCGAGGGTGAATACTCTGGTATCGAGCACGTCGTGGTGGACGGTGTTGTCCAGAGCATCAAGCTCATCACCAAGGAGGCCTCCGAGCGCGTCCTGCGCTTCGCTTTCCAGTACGCCGAGTCCATCAACAAGAAGAAGGTCCGCGTCGTGCACAAGGCCACTATCATGAAGATGTCCGACGGTCTGTTCCTGAACACCGCCCGCGACATCTCCAAGGACTTCCCTGATGTTGAGTTTGACGCTGAGCTGCTGGACAACTCATGCCTGAAGATCGTCACCGACCCCACACCCTACAACGACAAGGTCCTTGTCATGCCTAACCTGTACGGTGACATTCTTTCCGACATGTGCGCCGGTTTGATTGGTGGTCTTGGTCTGACCCCCTCCGGTAACATTGGTGACGAGTGCTCCATCTTCGAGGCTGTCCACGGCTCGGCCCCCGATATCGCCGGCCAGGGTCTTGCCAACCCCACTGCTCTGCTCCTGTCTTCCATCATGATGCTGCAGCACATGGGTCTCTACGACCACGCTGCTCGCATCCAGAAGGCCACCTTTGACACTCTGGCTGAGGGCAAGGTGAGTTCTCTTCCCCCTACTTTCTCTGATATTGTCTAGAGAAACAAAAGCTGACTGTTCCGCTTTTAGGCCCTCACCGGTGACCTTGGTGGCAAGGCCAAGACCCACGAGTACGCTGAGGCCATCATGAAGCGCCTGTAATCTAAGTCGCTACTCCGATTTCCTGTACTATGACCCCCCCTTTTGATCTATTTCTTGTGTACTCTCGAACGACCTTAGACTTCCTATAGCGATCGAAATATACCTCTGACCACCTGGTTGCGCTGACCTGCTTTGCATGACTAAAAGATATGGCGAGTTTCTCTTTGATGGGTACCCCATTCATTGAAGTAGTTATAAAAGTACATGGGTTTCCATTATCATACATAATTCCAAATTGCTACCAAAACGCCTGTCCGAAGATCCGTAGGTATCAAGCTGCGAAAGACTCATGTCAAACACCACATCCAAGCGTCAACGTCGGCGACCGGTGCGGCGGGTTGCTGTGCTCGTTGACGCCCTTTTGGTGTCCTTTTTCTTGGACCGCGATGCTTGTGCCCTCGTACTTCGCGCTCCTCCTTTGTCACTCTCTTCTTCTTCCTCCGCCTCACTGTCCTTGCCGCCATCGCTGGCCTCTTCACCCTCCTCGTCTTCACCCTCTTCAGGCGCATCGGACTCCTCTCCCGAATCAACGTCCTCGTCGGATGCCTTTCCCTGGCTACCCGAACCAATATCGACTTGGAGTCTTGACGATCGTGTTTCCCGTGCGACTTGGCGAGTGCTGCGGTTGAACTTTCGGCCTCGCGACGGAGCGGGGGAGGAGCGCGGTTCTACAGCAAGCGCTCGGGTCAGTTGTTGGACTTGGCCCAGATGGGAGAGAATTGTAACATACCATCTGTGTCTGCTACCGTGCTTCCTCGTCGAGACTCAGCGTGGCGACTGGTCACAGGCGACAAGGATCCTTCCGTTGCTAGCCGTCTCTCGAACATAAGATCGCCATACTCGTCGTAGGGGAGCTCAAAGGACCAGTACATCTCGCTCGGCTCATCGTCATCTTCATTCACGTCTGTAAACACCGCGTTCTCCTGTATAAGTAATAGCCATTAGCGAGACATGGCCAACCAAGACGAGGTTTGAGGGTTGCCAACCCGCTCATCCAAAGCTTCCAGGTTGTATAAGGTGGCCAACTTCTTCCATATCCCGGGAATGCGCATGTGTTCTGCCGACGAGGGTGCATATCCTTGGCTCTTCAAGTAGTCTGCAATTGCAAGCATGCGGAAATGCTTGTGGACACCTGGATGAAACGAGGTCCATAAGCTTCCAACGCTCTGCAGCGCAACTCAACTGCACAAACGCGGGCCTTACCAACGGGCTTCCATTTAATTATTGCCTTCAGCAAGGCTGTCTCCTGATCATCTGTCCAGGGATCGCCAATCAAGTCATATTCGGGCTCGGGCTTCCCGGTGCTGTCGCTCGATCCGGGGGTGTTCGCGCTGGATTGCGCCGTCGTGTCCTCCAGGGGAGTGATGGAGTGTGCACGCTTGGCCTTTTTCCGAGGAGGCATCGCGACAGATAAGGGCTGTAAAAAGAGACAGAACCAATTGGCGGGCGCGCGACGCGAAGGCTGAAAGAAATCGAGCTCCAGTGAAGTCTCGCGGGTCTCTGTTATCTGATGGCCCGTGCACGATAGCCACATCGCGGGACCGAAGTGCCTTCCGTTCACCACAAACACAACACAGCGTTTCTTCCTGGCTATGGCTGAGGATGGATTCGGCGGAACATGAGCCCGATCCCTTTTCCAGCGAGGGGCTATGGAGGTTATCCAAGTTCAGCATTGAGGCTCTACAGCCACTGGAGGATCTGCCGTGGAACGTGGACTTGCCGGGTACGCGACCCGCCCGGACAGCGTGCAGCTAGATACTGATGTTTCTGTGTCTAGCGATTCCAGAATCATGCTTTCAAGCACCCTTTGAGGCACTCAGCAAAACAGACCCGATATGGAATCTCAATCTCACTCTGAATAATCTCGAACCTCCGGAGTCTTCGACGAATTCAGTCATCGCCCCTTCGATCGATACCCAATCCGATGCGCCTTCAGAGCCTCTTCAAGATCTTTCAGATGAAAATGGTATTTGGAATCTGGATTCACTCCGGGAGGAACCTGATTATATTGCTCCGCTGAAGACGTGGGAGAAGTACCAGAACCGCGCGTCTCGTGAACCAGTCTCGGCATACTTTACTGAATCAGGCGCGAAAGGATTTGATGCTGCCCTGTCGCGCCAAGCAAATGTCAAAGGAAAGGATATCGCGGGTCGCTTAGTCCGAGATGATGTCTTTATTCGGTCGCTGCTTCGCCTTGGACTCGGATGGAGCTCCTCTTTTTTCCGCTACAACGAGCAGACGATGACTTTTGAGAGATACATAACCGACATTCGTGTTTCTGGTGTGAGTCTAGCCGTGCTGGACTCGGTCATTGCAAGTGTGCTTCAATGCGGCACAAACATGCAGCGAGTACGGGCCTTCGCAAGAAACGCGCCGACCAAGACCAAGGACCAGTCGTCTTTGTTTACGTTGCGTGGCACTGTTGCTGTCATCATCTACAACCTTGAACAGCAAATTCTTATTTACTCCCGGAACATCGTCTCAGTTCTGCAAGTCATGACGCTGTTTCAGCGATGCGGGGAAATAATTGGCGCCCTGGCCAGTATTGTCGATGCAGCGGACAAAGCCAAATCGGATTCTCAAGTCATATCAGTTGTAATGGAGCGGGGGGCATTCTTTACCCATAAGTTTGGGTGGATGGAAAATCTCGTGCAGGAAATCGTCGTGCGAGTGACAACCCCTTGGTTTGAGTTCATCGAACGCTGGATTGGGCTACGACCCGAGGAAGGTGTCCTCAGTGAGCTGGTGGCTAGTGGCAGGACGTTTGTGCAGTTGGAGCATTATGCTGACCCTACGAAGTTCAAAACGGGGTTTGAAAGAACCGAGTATCGCTATCTCGGTGGCAACATGCCGTCTTTCATACCCAAAGACCAGGCACGGTCCATCTTTGAGAGTGGACGAAGCCTGCGTCTCCTGAAAAGATCGCACCCATACCATCCCATTGCGCGACATGATGTGCTTGCTCGTGCTGGGGATCTTCACTTGCACTGTGCGACCACCTGGAATGATATCGAGCGAGTTCAAAGACGAGCGAATGAGTATGAGTCACATCTCCGCAACGAGATCCTTAGGTACAACAGAAAACAGTCTCTGGTGCAGACAACAGGAACAGATTCTACCCGAGATGATGAACCGTCAGGCGAAAACCTGGAGAAAACGTTTGAACTATTTGATATCGACTCTGAGACCGTCTCGGGATCTGTATTAGATCGAAAAGCTCTCGCAAATGATAAGGTCAACCAGCTTCTTCAGAAGGCCAGAGACCTGGACCCGGATTTCGTCGATACCACCAGCCGCTTTGGCCCGGAGCTAACATCTGCCCTCTACCTCTCCCTTGCCCCAGCCATTTCGTCCCAGGCACAGCTGATTGACTTCTCCTGTCTACATCACCTATTCAGAGAGCACCATCTCCGGCATCACCTGAACCTTCAGTGGCGATTTCAGTTGCTTGGGGATGGCCTATTTGCCTCTCGTCTCACACATTCACTTTTCGACCCCGAGATGGAGAGCGGAGAGCGCAAGAGAGGCGTGGTACGGAGTGGTGTCCACACTGGGTTGCGTTTAGGAAGCCGCGACGCCTGGCCTCCCGCAAGTTCAGAATTGCGACTGGTCCTCATCGGGCTTCTTGGCGACTGTTATTTCAATGAAGAGGATCCCGAGGCATCAGAAAAGACACAGAATAAGCGGGATAACGAACTCCCCGGTGGACTTAGCTTTGCGATTCGCGAGTTGACAGCCGAGGAGATTGAGCGATGCAGAGATCCTAATGCAATCGAGGCACTGGACTTCCTTCGTCTCCAATATAAACCTCCCGAGGCGCTTGAAACCATCATAACGCCAAAGTCTTTGAAGAAATATGATCGTCTGTTCAAACACTTGCTCCGCCTATTGCGCATGGTGTCAGTGGTCAAAGGTCTCGTTCGTGATTCGACAAACCGGCGCTCTTTATCGGGAGACATACGCAATGTGTTCCAAAAGTTCCGCATTGATGCTCAACATTTTGTACTCGCCATGAGTGACTACTGCTTCCACGTTGGGATTGGATCTATCTGGGATCAGTTCCAGAAGGCGCTCTCCAATATTGAACGCTGTCTTGACCGTGGCGACATCAATGGGACAATTGAAGCCGCTCATTCTGTCTCACGCCTCCGCGACTACCATGAAGACATCCTCGACCAAATGCTGTTTGCCTTCTTTCTCAGCAAACGGCACGCGCAGGCAGCCAAGCTGCTGGACTCGATTCTAAGCACCATACTTGCTTTTAGCCCATTATCTAGGGCAGATGGGCTGAGTGGACTACGCCATGAAAGCGAAGGGACCGTGCTGCACTTGTACGCAACTTTCCGGAAACAGATGGCTGCTTTTGTTGGGTATCTCCGCAGTTTGGACACGGGCAAGGCGTCTTCGAAGTCCATGGGAAAGTCGGAGTCTTTCTTCAGCTCGCGTACTGACACCACTAGTTTCTTTGAACATCTTCGGATAAGGCTCGATGTGCGGGACTACTATTGAACCGCGAGAGGCTTCAGAATCTCTTCGCAGTCCCACTTTGGCTAGAGAGCATGGGTGTCTCTGTCGCTCGCTCAAAGATCCGTAATAATGTGTGATGCTTAATGACAACCCCCACTACCATCAAAATATTCCAGAAGAAGCTTGTATATTATTGTTGACCCCCTTTCTCCGCCTTCCAGCATCTCCAGCATATTTGCCCATATTCCTCATAAACTCATGTCCCTTCTTCAATGGTAATATGCATTCTACTCAGCCTGATTCCATTCACAGTCCCAATAGGGCTCAAGACTGGTTTTATTATCACAGACGCACTATCATCCATTGGAAAGGATTGAACCTCCTTGGGCTCTTCAAAAGAATCATCCTTTTCTTATAGCACATATGCAGCTTCTAGTCAAATCGTGGGCTAACCCGAGCTAGTATGTCCGGTTTGCATTAGAAACAATGGAGGTCAGATTCTGCCCAACCCTGAGCAAGAAGAATCTTCTGTGCCGACTCTTCCATTGCCGCGGGTCCACAGAGAATGACCATGCTGCTGTCCTCGGGAGCCGCGAATTCTTTGATCAACTCCTCCGAGATCCGTCCCCGGCGGCCTTGCCAACTTTTGGACCCCTTGGTGAGGGTATGCACGACAGTACACCTTTGAGTGTCTGCTGCACCATAGGCATCAAGCTCTGATCGACACAGAATATCTTCCTCTAATCTGTTCCCATCAATCACGACACACGTCGTTGGATCTTCTGGGTCCTGCATCACAGCACGCAGGACCTGGAAAATCGGGGTGATACCCGTCCCACCGCAGATCATCTTGAAAGAGCGAACATGGCGTTCCTTGCCGCTAATGAGCACACGCCCGTTGCCCAGATACTCAAATCGACCGGTGGGTCCCTTGCAGTCAATGCTTGCTCCCAGAGGGAGACTATCGAGGGCCATGCTCATCTTGCCACCCGGAATAGTTGTCGTCGGGAAGTACACCTTGACCAGCAACTCCAACCTCCCTTCGACGTGTGTGTCCGAAATCGGAGTGTAGGATCTGATTATAGCTTCCTTGCTGCCGGGATCATTGACTTTGATCATCAAATGCTGGCCAATTGGCAGACCCAACGACTGTTTTTCGTGTTCCAGCTGGAAGACGAATATCCTTGTATCCCAGGATACATTCTTCTTCTCTGTGAGTTTGAGTTTCGACCATGCGCGGGACTGGAGGAATACTGGGCGTAGCTCGTCAGATATAGAGGCGGCGTTGCTATTGAGCGCTTCCAGCGATGTCTGGTCTAAGGTGCCGATGTGGTAATCGGGCATCATTAACTTCGCTGTTTCGCTATCTGTAATCCGGGTTAACGTTTGACGTGATCATCGAGAAAAGTGGCTGCACTGTACTGACGAATGGCCAGGAAATCCTCCGATACATCTAGCCCAGCGGAGGATGTAATACTGATTGCGCCTCCAGGATGACCTTCGAGGAAGCCCGTTCCATCATAGACCTCACCGTTCACAACGAACCAGGGCTTTTCGCTGTTGCTATTTGCCTTGAGCTCTTCAAGATCAATCTGACGATTCACCCCTTCCTTCTTCATGTTGATCTCCTTCGTGGGCTCTGGCTCCACAGGCGCTTCGCCCTGGTGTCTCTCTCCCCAGTTGCCATTTGTCAAATCACCGCCCGCCTTTTTGATTCTTTCCATCCAACCTCCGGCCCTTGCAGGATGTGTCGGGTGTTCAAACTTCAGACAACTTCCATGTTTCGTGATCGCGACACGGAACCATGGGTTATTCATCATACCCAGGACCGACCAGTACATATCCCGCGGCTGGGCGGCCAATGCTTCATCCATCGCCCGGACAAGAAACGCATCGCTCTTCTCCAAGTCCGAGACGGGTATGCCGAGAGACCAGAATGACCAGCAAAAGCAAGTCTCTCGCTGCCACATGTCCACCTTCCCTCCAAATAGCTCGCCTTCAAATTCTCGATATTTGTCCTCGGCGTACTCAAGATCGGCAAGACGCCAAGCTGTCCAGCAGGGGCACGAGTCAGCTCAAATTCATCTCTGGGACTAAACATTCCTACATTTGCCCGAATCCAAAGATATTTCAACTCTTGTGATTCTTCGACCACCTCCTGCATATGCATACCCTTTTGCCGTATAGGTGTGGCCAGTCGTGGCTAAATCCAATGTCTCTTCATGCTCGGGATATACTGCGACCGAGTTCACATTAAGGTCATAAATGGCATACCGCTCATCAGTCCACCACTTCTTATCTTGGGCGGACAGTTCCGGGGAGACCATTGTTCTGACCGAGAGTTAGATTTGGCTTCCCAAACAACGATTTTCTGCTCAAAAATACAACTTACGGAAGTACCCGATTGTCGTTGAGATGATACCAATTGTCACTGGGGACCTCGGTCACAATCAACTTCCTGAGCCACTTGACACTGCGACCTCCGATCTGGCCTGGAACAACCGCCCGCAGTGGACGGCCATGATCCGGCCTAAGTGACTCGCCATTCATTTTATGTGCTAGCATGATCCCTTTATTCAGGTCCATGGCCCAGTTCAATTTGACGGAGGTTCCATAATATCCATTCGGCTATTTATTAAGTGAGCATGTTTGTTCGTCGCTTCCAAGTGCGAGTCATTTCACAATACCAGTTTATCAGCCCCTTCCATGCACACATACTTGGCTCGGCGGAGCGGCTTGGCGCTGCGGAGGATATCGGCCATCATCGGGCCGGTAAACAAGGCCGTCGACAGTCCAGCTGGGCCCCAGGAAAACCCTTTTGACTTTCGGACTGTATTCTGCTCTTTCCGTCGGTTGCCAGCACAAACGAGTGTGATTGGGGCGGTAATTTGGTCATATTTCTGGAGAATGTCGCGAAAGTTCAAAACGATCGGGTTTTCTACCAGTCTAGAAACAGAAACGCGGTCAGATCTCATTTCGGGAAATAAATGTGGTCGAGCATATTGTTTGGAAACACTGCCCCTCACCCTTCAATGCTCAGTTCCCAAGTCGGGATGTCCTCATCGCGAACCTGGGGCACTGGGCCATGGTTTCGGACATAGAACAATTCTGGAGATGTAAGGAATCCTAGGACAAGAGGATCAGATAGATGAACCAACACTCGGGGACAGTATGGATTATGATACCTTCTTTAAATAATGCTGTTAGGGGAGGTTCGACATTGAAAGGATGGATGCCCGTTAGCCGAATAAGTCTGGAATCGCGAGGTACATGGTTATCCGGGGTGCCTTTATCGACATCTAGGATCTCAGTCGGGCGAAACGATGGGGGCGGCAGTGGAATATCGACCTCCACTGGTGTTGGAAGATCATGCACTTGGATCTGTGTTTTTTTGAATGGGAATACGTCGTTATCGACGATAATTTGTGTAGTGGTTGTCGCCATTACGAGCTTAGCAAATGATGGGACACTTGCAAATTTTTTTCTATTGCGAGGTGAGGGATCGAACGGCTGTACAAACAATATCGAATTGATAAAAAGGGTAACCAAGACAGGCAATTCCCACCTTCCTTACAGTATAATTCCAAGTCTAGCCTCGGCCGGGAAGCTAACGTCTGCACTATAATCCCATGCCACGTTATTTACTGCATCTCCGCGGGCGAAGAAAGTTTCCGGTCACGATAGAAGTTGTAACTACATAATATCGGCCCGGTCTTTGTAGCCCTTATCTCGACATAGTTCTCAGCCAATCGGGGCGGATGGTTGGTTATCGCACCAAACCTACTCCATCCCCGTGGGTGCAGCGATCTCCGCGGAAGTCGGTCCGCTTTGGTATCAATCGGATCGCACCTCGCCCAGTGGCCCTAATTCTCCCGTCATGTGCTGTGTACTTCGCCTCTTGTGCCACTTTCTGCGACTGAGTCGCGACGTTCAATTAATTAAAACTATAATCGTAGCCGTATCTTGTAGTGTAGTGCGGCATATTCGGTTTTACTCTCTCAAACACCGCCTTCCGCCGCTATGCCAGTGCTGGATGGGCTTCGTCATGGCGAGCCGGTTGACGGCAGCGCCAGTTCTTCTTGCAATGCTGAACATAGCAAACGACAAAAGATTGTAGTGGTCGGGTTGGGCATGGTGGCCGTCTCCTTCATGTAGGTCGTACACAAAATACCACTTAGTCCGCTCGCACTAATCAGGTCAGTGAGAAAGTGATCAAGCAGGATACAGCCCGCCGATATGACATTATTGTCATTGGCGAGGAGTCACACGTTGCCTACAACCGCGTGGGTCTCTCCTCATTCTTCGAACATCGCAAGATTGAGGATCTCTATCTGAATCCGAAAGAATGGGTAGGTTTCTGCTCACGGGATCAACACGAACTATCCGATTCTAAATGATATCGAATAGTACGGATCGTTCAAAGAGCGAGTCTTCGATCATCACCTCAACACCAGAGTCACCGAGGTCAACCCCAACAGCAAGACCGTTCATACCTCTACTGGGGATACAATCCCCTATGATATCCTGGTACTTGCCACTGGCTCTGATGCCGTCCTTCCAACGCATACCCCGGGTCACGATGCCAAGGGCGTCTTTGTATACCGCACAATCGAAGATCTGGAACGGCTCATCGATTTTGCGTCCAAACACAAGGGCGAGACGGCGGTCACTGTGGGTGGAGGCCTTCTGGGCCTGGAAGCGGCGAAGGCCATGACGGACCTAGAAGATTTCGGGAACGTGAAACTTATTGACCGCAATAAGTGGGTATTGGCTAGACAGCTGGACGGGGATGCCGGTTCCTTGGTCACTCGCAAGATTCGGGAGTTAGGCCTCGACGTGCTACACCAGAAGCGGGTTGCCGCTGTTAACACAGACTCGGAGAACAATGTTACGGGAATCACTTTTGAGGACGGGGAGCAGATTGAATGCTGCTGCATTTGCTTTGCGGTAGGTGACGTTTAATCTTTGAGTGGCCGGATGCGGTCTCTAATCACTCTCTTTATAGATTGGCGTGAAGCCGAGAGATGAATTAGCTCGATCTGCTGGTATCCAGCCGGCTGGAAGAGGGGGCTTTGTTATTGATGAAAGGTCCGTCTATACTTTTTTCGGAGTATGAGAGCGCCAGTTAACAACACCAGCCTCCAAACATCGGTACCGGGTATATATGCGGTGGGCGAATGCGCTAGCTGGGAGAACCAAACCTTCGGCATCATTGCACCTGGCATTGAAATGGCGGATGTGCTTGCTTATAACCTCACAAATATCGACAAGGAGCAAAAGCGCTTTACCCGGCCGGATCTCAGCACCAAGCTGAAGTTACTTGGAGTTGACGTTGCCTCTTTTGGAGATTTCTTTGCCGATAGAGATGGGCCCAAATTTCTTCCCGGTCAGCGACCATCTATCCGTGCTGGTCCAAACGCAGATGTTCCTCGAGAAGAAGAGTCTCCCATCAAGGCATTGACCTACAAAGACCCGTTTGGTGGGGTGTACAAAAAGTACCTGTTCACCATGGATGGCAAATTTCTGCTCGGAGGCATGATGATAGGCGATACAAAGGACTACCTCAAGTTGAACCAGATGGTCAAGGGCCAAAAGGAGCTTGAAGTTCCGCCAAGTCAATTTATTCTTGGAGCGCAGAACGATGGGGAGGAGAACGCAGATGACCTGTAAGCCTCTCTCTGAAACTACTTATCCTGAGCAGCCTTTAACATTTCCCTGCAGTGACGACAGCACCCAAATCTGCTCTTGTCACAATGTAACCAAAGGCGACGTGGTTGAAAATGTCAAGAATGGGATTTGCAAGACCATGGGTGAAGTCAAGTCCTGCACAAAAGCAGGCACAGGATGCGGTGGCTGCTTGCCTCTCGTGCAGTCAATTTACAACAAGACCATGCTAGACATGGGACAAGAGGTGTCAAACCATTGTGCGTATTGGGAAAACTATCCTGATCTCTGGTTTCAAGGGCTGACTTGAATAGTGTGCCAACACATCCCCTACTCCCGTGCAGATCTATACAATATTGTCGCTGTCAAGCAGCTGAAGACATTCCCGGATGTGATGAAAGCAGCCGGGAAGAACTCTGAGTCTTTGGGATGTGAACTATGCAAGCCCGCCATTGGATCGATCTTGTCCAGTCTGTTCAATCCGCATGTTATGGACAAAGGATATAATGACCTCCAAGACACCAATGATAAGTTCCTCGCCAATATCCAAAGAAACGGCACGTTCTCTGTCGTGCCGCGCGTGCCTGGTGGAGAGATCACAGCGGATAAGCTCATTGCGATCGGATCCGTTGCAAAGAAATACGGATTATACTGCAAGATCACCGGTGCTCAAAGGATTGATATGTTTGGAGCAAAGAAGCAAGATCTTTTGAACATATGGACCGAGCTGGTGGACGCTGGAATGGAGAGCGGCCACGCTTATGCCAAGGCGCTGCGTGCAATTAAGAGTTGCGTCGGCACCACTTGGTGTCGCTTTGGTGTTGGTGACAGTGTTGGCATGGCCATTCGACTAGAGGAGCGATACAAGAGTATTCGCGCACCTCATAAGTTCAAAGCAGCGGTATCAGGCTGTGTGAGAGAATGTGCCGAGGCACAGAACAAAGAGTAAGCGTCTCCCCGTTTTCTTCATATGAAAAAAATGCTAACGAATTCCAGCTTTGGCCTGATTGCGACCGAGAACGGCTTCAATATATTCGTCGGAGGAAATGGCGGTGCAAAGCCTCGCCACGCTGAGCTGCTTGTCAAGGACGTTCCTCCTGAGATGGTGATGTCCATCGTCGATCGCTACTTGATATTCTACATTCGAACGGCTGATAAGCTGCAAAGAACCGCCCGATGGATCGAGAACTTGCCAGGTGGAATTAACTACCTGAAAGAAGTCATCATCGATGACAAGCTGGGTATCTGCGCCGCCATGGAGCGACAAATGCAGGAGCTAGTCGACAGCTATTTCTGCGAGTGGACCGAGACCGTCCGGAATCCTAACCGACGCAAGACCTTTCAGCAATTTGCAAACACAGATGAGACTGTTGAAACAGTAGAAGTCATCAGAGAGCGCTCCCAGAACCGCCCAACATACTGGCCCTCCAAATCAGCACAAGAAGACTTCAAGGGCCATGGATGGTCTAGCCTCTCATGGCAACCAGTCGTTCGAGCAGATCACTTCTCCGACGAGCCTCCCCAGGTCTCATCCGCGAACGTCAAGCGAGGAGATACCCAGCTTGCTGTGTTCAAGATCAAGGGCCAGTACTACGCGACCCAACAGATGTGTCCCCACAAGCGAGCATTCGTGCTTTCGGATGGGTTGATTGGTGACGATGATGCGGGCAAGTATTGGGTTTCTTGTCCATACCACAAGCGCAATTTTGAGCTCAATGGCGACCAAGCTGGACGTTGCTCCAATGATGAGAGTATGAACATTGCTACATTCCCAGTGGAGGAAAGAGAAGATGGATGGATCTATCTTAAATTACCTCCCATCGAGGAGCTGGATGCAGTTCTTGGGACCGAGAAGTGGAAGGTTAGAAAAGGGGAAGCGCCGGACCCATTCCACAAGGTGGACAGGAGGTATAAGGGGATGAAGGGAAAGAAAGTATCTGATGGAGAGGGTGTCACCAAGTCACCCGCTCGGCCAGCCAATGGGATCGACTGGTAGAGGTGGTAGACCACTCTTGTTGGAATATAGCGCTTGATGGTCTTCCGGCATTTGAAATTAATTTATATTTCGGTAGCCCAACAATGACTCTTAATGATGCCCTTTGGTGCAATATGCTGTTTCACTCAATTATTCAATTATTTTGGTGCATAACAGTTATCAAATAACCAATTAACGTTAGTTACCTGGCCCTGCTTTAAAAGGGAGCATCGTACCAGACCGATTGCAGTGGTCAATTGGGTTCGAAAAAGTAACTGTCAAAACAAAAGAGGGCCAAATCCTAGACAAAATAACTAGACCAAAAATGCACTATAGGCAATATTCTTTGTCTATACCGTCATTTATTGCTTTGACAGTAACCTGTGAAAAGCTCTAAGCTATGACTAATGTAGCAAAGGCTGCCGGTATTATCGGATCGATCTCTATACAGTCAACAACTTGGGAACTGGGCCCTTCATTCCGCGGAGAATATACGTTATCTCTTTCAGAATACTTTCGGCTTATCTATCTTCAGGGCATGAACTATACCTATTCACCCCGGACTATGAGGCCGTCAAAGCGGGTCAAACTCACAACCAAGATCGTCATTCAGCCACTCCCGAAGGTGGATCATGTTTTCAAGAAGAAATCTTCTTAAACTATTTCCGCGGAGCTCAGATCGACCCGATCGTGCCACTATCGCATCGGAGTTGATTTGCACCTCCAACCCTATCTTCCAGGCTGGTCGGGTTGGTCGACAACCAATGAGAGGCGATGGGCCTATCACGACAGGGGAATAGTGGGCCTAGTCGGCCCTAGCCTCCGTGGATCCCATCATCCCATCATCCGCTCGTTCCCGTGATTACATCCCCAAACATTCTGGACTCAGCCAGGACCAGGTCAGGCCCTTTTGGGGATAACCCCGCGGAGTTGTCTACTCCCATCCTTATCGAGGGCTGGTCGCCTAGAGTATGGCTCTCAGGCGGCTTTTCATAGGTCGTTCGGATGCCTCTCTTATCGCTCTCACCACCTTGGCCCAGGCCATGACCTTGGACCACTCGGGGATCTCTGAGGTCCGACCTACAGTACCCCAGCTGTGCTCTATTACAATTACAGAAGGGGATTCTCGCCGAATCAACGTCGCCGGATATATTCTCAACACGTTACTTTTCGGGTTTTTCATGACTAATCCACCCGGCTTGACTTTGTGCGCTGTTGGCATCCTCAAAAGGAACCGCGATAACCGTGATTGTGGCTCTGCATGTGTCATAATGAGACGAGTGTGATATACGGGCTCAGGTACAGATCGAAGCGTGCCTGTCTATATAGACGGCAGGATCTGCCTGTTGCACTGCATAGTCAACACCGCGGTTCTTCGAACTTCTTGATCAGCCGGAACCCCTAAGGCAACTCTTCATTTTGACACTGCTTGTGCTAGACTCATTGAGAGCACGCCGTCATTTTCGATCCGTGTGGATAGATTGTATCGCTCCTTGGCCCCGCAATGGCTGCCAACTCCTTCAGACTTCTCTTCATCTCGCCAGACATCAACCCCACCAACCGCAAAGCCAAGTCTATTCCGATCTTGAATCCATGGGATCAGTATGGTCGGGTGTTCTTCTTCTCATGGCTTGGGTTCATGGTCGCATTCCTGTCATGGTATGCGTTTCCACCACTGGTATACTATCAATTCCTTGCCACCAACAGCCCAAACGCAATGATCACTAAGCCATATATCTTTAGTTGACGGTGACTATCAAAAACGACCTGCACATGACTCAAGCAGATGTCGCAAACTCAAACATTGTGGCGCTACTGGCAACGTAGGTGTACGAGAAATATTGATCACGAACATCTTCTAATTGATGCTAGGTTCCTTGTCCGATTTATTGCCGGACCACTCTGTGATCGGTTTGGACCCCGCTTGGTCTTTGTGGGACTGTTGCTCGCTGGAGCCATTCCCACTGCAATGGCTGGTCTTGTCACTTCTCCCAAGGGCTTAATCGCTCTACGGTTTTTCGTCGGCATTTTGGGCGGTACCTTCGTCCCATGCCAGGTCTGGTGCACTGGCTTCTTCGACAAGAAGATTGTCGGCACGGCCAACTCGCTGGCGGCAGGCTGGGGAAACGCGGGTGGTGGTATTACATAGTGCGTTCCTCCAAGATGCATTCTGATTTTGCATTCACTGACCATATGGGAACTTTTAGCTTCCTGATGCCCGCTATCTATGACTCTCTCGTCACTTCCCAAGGCCTGACGCCTCACAAAGCTTGGCGTGTGGCATATGTTGTCCCCTTTATCATCATTACAGCAATAGCATTGGGGATGCTGTTCCTCTGTGAGGATACACCAACGGGCAAGTGGTCGGAACGTCACCTGTGGGCAGGAAAGTCTCCCTCGTCTGACTTGACATCTCATGGCCACATTGTCGACACTACCTCCGGGAAGACCTCCACCGGGCCTTCAGCTACGCCATCGATTCACACCATGAACGCCATCGACGTGGAAAAGAAGGGTGCCCATTCACCTCGGATCCTTGACAATGATGCTTCATCAATGGATCAGATCGGTAGCCTCCAGCAAGAAACGGTCGTTGCACCCACGCGCAAGGAAGCTCTTCGCGTCGCTTTGAGTCTCTCTACAATGGCTCTTGCGATTCCGTATGCCTGCTCATTCGGCTCCGAGCTTGCCATCAACTCAATTCTTGGAGCATACTATGCTGAGAACTTCCCCCACATGGGTCAGACGAAGACTGGTCAGTGGGCGGCTATGTTTGGCCTGTTGAATGTAGTATGTCGGCCGGCTGGCGGTCTCTTGGGAGATGTGCTCTATCGCTTTACAAATACTGTTTGGTCCAAGAAGCTGCTGTTGACCTTTTTGGGCCTTACCATGGGAGCCTTCCAGTTAGCGATTGGTTTCTCGAATCCCACTAGCGAGGCGACAATGTTTGGTCTCATGACTGGGTTAGCCTTTTTCTTGGAGGCGTGCAACGGAGCCAATTTCGCGGTTGTTCCCCATGTGCACCCTTATGCCAATGGTAAGTCAATTAGTTTATTTTCAATCCCGCCTCAGTCATTTGGACACAACTAATTCGTGGCTTCAAGGTATCGTCTCCGGTATAGTTGGGGGCTTCGGCAACCTTGGTGGGATTATCTTCGCCATTGTTTTTAGATACAATGGAGCCCACTACGGGAGGTCAATGTGGATTATTGGTGTGATTTCTCTGGCAGCGAATGTGGCTGTCAGTTGGATTCGACCACTTCCAAAAAGCTCAGTGATCCGTTCTTGAGGATGATTACTGTTACAACCAAATATTTATATATCCGATTAATATTAAGTCTCGACTAAAAGCACTTTCTCTACCTAGACTAAACAATCTAAGTCCCATGGTCGTCATGTTTAGCTACTAGGCGCCGTAAGTCTTCGGCATCCCGATAGACAGCACCGGCTTCGGGTGAGTACACCCCGAGGGCGGGCTAATGCTCCGGCGAGAAACGAGGGGCAGGTGACTGGCGCGTGGAGTTGTTTCGCCCCTTCTTCTCATTTCGCGAAAGATTTGAAAGCATTGTCTCGTCTTCTTTTCCGTACTTCATTGGCTCTGGACTCCTTCTTCTTCGGCTTCGTCGTCTCATCTCCTTCCCCGGACATTACCCCGCGAAACCCTGCTCGAACGGTACCACATTGCAACGACCAAGCTTTCCCAGATAAGACCTCATTGTTCCTTACCCCCAGGAACTGCACAAAATGGCTCCGGTTCGTCGCATCGCTCAGATTGTCCACCTCAGGCCCTCCGCAGTGGAAGCATACAAGGAGTGCCATGCCAATGTCTGGCCGGAGGTCCTGCAACAGATCAAGGACTGCAACATCAAGGATTGTATGGCCCAGGAAATCCCTCTAGAGTCAATTAGAATGCGAATAACCTAATTTTTCAAAATTTCGCTCCGACAGACTCCATTTTCTTCGACAATGACCGCACTCTATTCGCCACTTTTAAATATGTCGGTACGGACTTTGAAGGCGATATGGACAAGATGCGGGCGAACCCCAAGGTTCGGGAGTGGTGGGCCATGACCGATGGCATGCAGGTATGCAATATTCCAAGTTCTTTGAGGATTTCAAAATACTAATTCTATATCTTCCAAAGGAGAGCCCTATCCCCGGCGCCGTGGGCAGTGCCGATGGTCCCGGTTGGTGGAAGGTGCTCGACGAAGTTTTCTACACTGAGTGAAGTCTTCGATCCAGCCGCGATCGAACTGTACATAGCAATATATACACTGAAATATTCTTTATGAATGGCTATTTAAAAAACTGGTCGATCCTTTTTTGCCGCGTGTCATGCGAAGCACTTCCAATGCCACCGCGGGTGCGGAACAGGCCCGCGAGATGCTCCTTACTATCGACAGCTAGTATCTTCATGGACCAACCCTGCAAGAGGATATCGCCAGCAGGGCCACCAAGGGGTGGTATTCGGGTATCCGTCGTCGAGCTTGGTGGAACATCTGAGTCACAAGACGCAGTTTGTCGCTGTGGCCATGATGGCGATGATTTCTCATTCGCCTCAACCGACAATTCCATTACGCCTGTATTTGACCAGCTTGGACATATGAGAGCAGCTGGTCCGCCGTTCCGTGCAGCGATGGCGGAAGTCAGAGTGATTCTCATGGGGTCGAAGAGCTCCACAAGACAATTCCATAACACCCGGAGAATAATGCCATGGGCAACTATGGCCACATTGCGTCTTGTTGCCGCTTCATCGAATAGAAATGGCAAGAGATGGCCATGGAGAAAGGAGAGGGATCGTTGTCGCATTGAGGCCGTGGACTCTTTCTCAATGATCCCCATAGAAGCACTTTGGCCCGAACGACCGGGAGATGCACTCGGATTGCTAGATGGGGCAGAGGAAGGCTTCCCGCGTATGCCTTCCAGTGAGCCAAAGTCTCGCTCCCTCAGATTTGGAGTCAATATCGGCGTCAAGAGTGCTCCGTTATGCATGCGAGGTTGAGGGCGACAAATACCCTCCGCCGTGATGCGGGCTCGGCTCAAATCGGATGCAAATACTGAATCGAAATGAATAGATCTTCTGGCAAAGGATTGGGCGAGACATTCTATCTGCAGCATCCCATGGTTGGTAAGGGCCGAGTCAGTCGTGCCTGCCCTGGAGTGTGGATCAATAGCCTGACGGGCGTGATGCTGGGACAGCAGGGCCTCTCACCAAGTTTGCGCAACATTGTGAACCGTCTCCCCATGTCGGATGAGATAAACTCTCATTTCGTAAACATATGCACAATATATTGGGTTAACACGGCTGGTGAAAAGGACCCAGATGCATCATTGCCCGGTCTTTGTTGTCAAGTCACGTGATCGGATTCCTGCGAGGACCGACTCAATTGGTCCTTGACATGGTATGGAAGGAATGTGGAAATTGATCTACAGATTCCCTTCTACAATGTATTAATCAAGGACATCGAGGAAGCGCTTGAGGGAACGATGAGATTGCATGGACATTTGGAGCAGTTAGAACTGTGAAGGAAATTGCCTTGAATAAAACACCGAACTAATTGCTCCCAAAAAACGAACACCCCTTAAAACGTAACAAAAAGTGGTATGAGCCATGAATCCATCATCTACATCACATCCAAGAAAAGAGAAACGCCGATTGACAGAAGCCAATTCCCTCATTGCATTTTTGGTAGAGGAACTTTTGTGAAGCTTTTGCAGCGAACCGAAGGACCCAGTCAGGAAACAGCGGAGCGATGCGCTTAAGCAGCAAGCTCACGGATCTTCTCCTGGACGCGAGCCTTCCTCTCGGCGTGGGTGAGCTTGGCGATCTTGTACTTCTGGGACTCGGCCTTCCACTCGGCCTTGGACTTCTTGGGGCCTTCCTCCTCATCCTTCTTGAAGGGGTCCTCACGGATGGCCTTGTGGGCCTCCTGGTAGAGCTCCTCAAGGTCACCGGCATCGATCTCCTCCTCGATGTACTTGGTGAACTGGGACTTGTAGCGCTCCTCATCCTCATCGGCGAGGGTCTCCATGTACTCGGAGACGTGGCCGGCCATGATGTAGTTGCGGAGGGTGTCGGCATCAAGCTCCTCGGACTCGATGTCGTAGCCGGGGAAGCGGCGCTCGGAGTGAGGGATGAAGATACCTCCGTCGGAGGCACCCTTCATGGCACCGAAGACACGGTTACCGGAAGAGGTGCGGACGAGACCGACATCAAGGAAAGCCTTGAAGGGGCGGCGCTCGCCATCATCGGTCTCAATAGCCTCGGTGAGGGTGTACTCGCCGGTGGCCTCGTCGACACCGGGGAACTGCTCAGCCAGGCCCAGCTTGGCGAGAGTACGGCGGGCAAGGAGCAGGCCGGTGGCGTAGGCAGCGGCCCAGTTGGTCAGACCCTGGGTGATACCGTAGCGCTTCAGCTCGTGGGAGTAGGCGGAGGCGAAGACCTTGTCGCCGGAGATCTCAGAGTAGACGATCTGGGTGACGATGTCGCGGTTGGTGAAGCGGACGACCATGCGGTACTTGGGGGCGTTGTACTTGTTCTTGGCCTGGGTGATCAGGCGCTTGCGAGCATAGTAGTCGGTCTTACCCTCGCGGCGACGGCGGTACTTAGTCTGGTAGCGACTGGAGAAGCAAGTCAGCACACGACCACCGAAAACACCCGAGAAACAAGAAAATGTTTGACAGAGCAGACAATGGAGAAAATTGGCTTACCTGAAGTACGCATCATTCTTGACAGTCTTGGTGAAAGGCTGTACCAGAAGAATCGCGAGTCAGCAATTTGCGCTTCAGAATTTCGTCCGAAGCATCTTGCAGGGACCCGGCTCCGATCGAGCGGAAGAGACAGATGCGATTTGAGGGCAGTATGGTTGACTCAACCATCTGCAATAGCAAACACACTCACCATTTTGACGGTTGTCGGAGCTGAAGCCTGATGGTCGATGGATAGAAGAAAAAAGGAGGGGAGAAATTTTGGCGGTGGGTTTGTGGGGGATTTCGCTTAGTGGGCGGCTGCATCCCGCAACTAAAAGTGCGGTAGGCGACGACCATCTACTCGGGTAGGCGACGACCCGACCGTCTTCTATAGAACGCTAGAACATCACCCCAAACATTTTACCAAAATCCAGTAGAAACAAGATAGAGTGTCGACTATTCTTTCTGGCTGGCTCTAAGATGTATATATTCCACCAACCCAAAAAAGGAGAAAGAGAAAGAAATCTCGAGCATTCTATGATCTCTTCCTCATAGTCGGGCCTTGCCCTCGCCCTCGAGCAATGGTAGACTCGTGATCTTCTCAAGCTCCCTGACTGCGTCTTCGATCTTTCCAAGGGTGACCTTCACCGTGCGCATGCCAGCTCTCTTCGCGCCCTTTAGGTTTTCGCCGATATCATCGAAGAAGACAATATCCGAAGGCTGGATCCCCGGCAGCCCGCGCTGCTTGGCTAAAGCATCCATCTCTTTAATTGCCACTTCGTATATCTTCGGATCGGGTTTGCGAAGCCCCGTGTGGGCGGATGAAATAAAGAAATCAAACTGTGACTTCACACCAGATGTATCCTGGTTGAATGAGTGACCCTCGGGAAACTTCACGGTATTTGAAAGAGCACCCATAAGATACTGTCCGGACGCCTTCAACTTTTGAAGTGCCGGAAGCATAAAAGGGTCAGGAGTGCGGGATATCCTCATCATCTCCCAGAAGAGCCACTCCGCATCCACCTTTGGGAGTGGGGGGATGGAGCCTGCGTTGCTCTGTCCTTTCTTCTTCGCGAGCTGCTCATGGAATTGCTTCCACAGCTCAGGATTCTGGAGGTCCTCGTTGAATCCCGTAAAGAAAGTGGCGTCCATGGGAATCTGACCGCGCTCGAGCTTGTGCCAGCTGCCGCTGGGCGATGTCCGCGAGATGCTGAAATTCACCCAGCCCGGTGGGATATTGTTCGCCACCTCATAGTCAAGTATTGCCTGGAATGGAGAAACCACCTGCAAGAGGGTCAGCAATGCCCCTAGGAATAATCACAGTGGTGTCATCTTACACAAACTCCCCCAATGTCGAACAGAAGGCCTACCGGCCTATTCTCTGCCATTTGGTAGTTGAAGCAGAGCACTTATTAGTTGCAGCCAGGTAGGAGAAATGGTCCCGTTGTGAAGATTCTCCGGTTGAGCGTCTGTATTATCAGATTCATGCGGAGGACTCAAGGTTCTTAAAAGGAGACCCTGAATTGCCGAGGTACAAGGCGGTTCGAGACCGAGGGATTGAACTTCATCGGCTTCAATCAGCCTTTTGTCAAACTGGCGCTGTATAGACCATGATGATCCGTCCACGTGAGTGAGTTCAAAAGACATACATTCAACATCAACGGACAATCTAAAAATAAACTTCTTGATCGACTCCCATCCGACAGGACTCTCCAGGCTCGATAGCGGGGTTACACGTGACTCGTTATCGATAAGGATTGGGGTGGACGCGTCCAAAGATCAGCGGCACGCTGTACAAACCATAGAGTTTCCTCCAACGACATCAGAGAGCAATGGACTCCACTCGGACCATAACTGAATTAAAATCCGCATTTATCTGGAGCCAGGTTCGCATTCTATCCGAAAGCCTTGAGCTGCCCGAGGACTGGAAGAACTATGCAGTGGAAACGCAAGAAGATGATTTGGCTGAGAAGATAATCGAGGATGTGCTGCATAAAGGTACCTATCTGCCCTGCTTCCCGTGAGACACGAGCTTTTCTCATGTTCTTGGTCCTGCTGTTTCTGCTTCAGGGGTATTGGGCACTGTATGCTAACCCATATCTAGTAAATCAAGCTGCGAAGCAACACAACCGCGTCGTCTACTCTTCCCAAGCTATCCACCATGTGGCCCACCAGATTGCCAGTCTCTACTGGTCTTCAGTCAACCAGGAAACGCGGAGTCGAGCGTCCTTTGCCAACGGCGTAGAAAAAACAGCAGATTTGTCCAGACACATGTGAGGTTCCACCAGGGTCTTCGAGGGCCCAGGTAGTCGCAGATCCTTGCTGACCTCCCACAGGAATATTACTCAGTTACCACTGGACATTGAGTCACAGGGTGCAAGCGAAGATGAAAATACAAGGTCAGCCTGCAAACACGCCCGAGTTTCCGCCAGTTAGAGTTCCGCCTGCCTAACCCCGTTGTACAGATACCAGCTACTCCGAGAGCGACTCGCCACTTTGGACCAACAGCGTCAGCAACGTCAACGAAGACTCGACCAATTACGACATTTACAGCGCCTCCTCGGACCATTTCAAGAACCTCAGAAAGACATCCAGCCGAATCTCGTCACTCGCGACGGAGAGCTAGTACGGGAATTGGATAAGATGCGAATGCTGGCGGCGCGGGTTGGAGGCAGGATTTCGCAACAGAAGAAAGGCCGCAGCAATACCCAAGCGACCCAGGATTACTTACTCCCGGGCTCAGATCAGAGACTGGAGGCCCTGCTGGATACGGAGCTATGACTTGTAACGACTGAATCATTCTACATGAAACATCTAATACGATTTCAAACCCACCCTGGTCCATACAACATTGATGAAGAACCTAGCACTGCAGCCCTGTACAAACCTAGAAGTCTGTCGTAGTGGTTCCCTTGGACTGGATCTACCAGTTGCTACTAGCATGCTTGTACCTGGTTAGGTAGATAGAGAGTATAGAATGACATATAGTGTCTGGGCCCCGGCCAGATCGGTGCGAGTGGCGGAAGGAGCCTGGATGGCGAAGTCGGGCATTGCAATTGCAGGAAGAAACGTCCATGGTTGGAGGTTGAAGGGTGGAAATATATTTGGTGCAGCAGGTACGATTCACCCGACTTGACAAAGTTTGACGGTTCCTTGCAAGTGTCCAAGTCGAATCCCCATCCTCTCCGTCATCCATTACACCTACACCCGTGGGTCGCGGAACGGTTCGGTTGGGCAGGACGACGATGCAGGACCCATGAGAAACATCTTCATTCTCCAACCCCGTGCATCGATGAGCGCGCTCGACAGAATGAAGCGACTGGTTGGGCTGGAGGGCGGCAGTGGACAGCATCTGGCCGAAGTGGCTCAAGTGGCTCTCAGCGAAGACGGGCGTGCGGTGAAGACTCGGGCTAACCCGATTGGGCATGGTGCCAACATCCCCGAGCAACGCCAACTCGTCGAGGAGCAACCACCACCGCGTGAACGCGCCCTGACGGCCTTGAATCCCGACCCCCACCCCGATCCCGATCCTGATCTCGACGACAATCGCCCTGCGTCTGGCCACGACGCCGACTCCGTCTCCCTCGTCGACTCGTGCGCCGCCATCATCGAGGGCGCCGATTCTTCCTCTTCCAAGGCACCTTATACACGTGGGCACCGCCGTCGTTCCACCCACGTTACTCGCCGTGACCTTGAGAAGTTTCAAAAGGACGTCTTGGGCGTCGAAAACCACGCCTCCTGGTACGACGAGGAAAACGGCACCTCGCGTCCCATCAATCCTTACGACCCCCAGCTCGAGGAACTGAATCGTGCCTTTGCGCTCGCCGACATGTCCATGAACACCAGTGCTAGTGGAATGGCGGGTGGGAACAACCCGGGGTCTGGCATGTTCCCTGGTTACGCGGATAATTCTCCCACCCCAAACATGGGCAGCATGCCGCGCCAGTCCTTAACTCCTGCTATCCCTCACCCCTCTCCTCAGCTCAACGGCGGCGGCGCTGGTGCTACTGGACTGGGTGCCGCGATGAATGCCACCATGCCCATGAATGCAGGTCACCAAATGGACTTGCATCATCTCTACGAGATGGTGCTGGAGCTGAGCGAGGTCCTGAAAAATAATCGAGAAGTGACTAAGAGCATTGTCTCGAGTGCCGAGGAGATTATGGTATGTTTGGGACCAGCAAAATTGAGCAGTGGAAGAGTCGAGCTGACATCAAGCTAGAAAAATGGCAATTCTGAGGATGCGAGTGCCGCTATGCGACAGGTCAACGGCGAGGTCACCGGTATGTCTTAGGCCTTCCCTTTCCTTCTTTATAGCTGCCGTCACTAACAATCGTCTACTAGCGGCCCGAATTGCCGAACTCGAACGCGCCCTCGCCAAGGAAAAGCGACTAGTCGAAGATCTCAAGCGGGAACAGGTCGAGAATACCAAACTGATCAGTGAATACGAAGCCAGTGTGAGCACCATGGTGGAGCAGATCCGCAACTATTGCCAAAACAACAACATGCATTTCCTGTACCAAAAAAGCCAGTACAACAGCCTTCTCCAGGCGGAGCGCGACGCACATCTAGCGAGCCGTCTCGACCGGGACTACTGGCACTCACAAACAATGAAATGCGCGGAGATGATTCGCAATGCACACCGGCTCCGGTCGGAGGAGGAAGAGCTTCCCGTTCGCATTATCGCGGGCCTACAAAATGAGGTCCGGGCATACCGCAACGCCTTAGGAATGGAGCCCGAGAAGGCAGAAGAGGAATATGGCTGGGAGATTCTCAAGGACGCTTCCAGTCCCGAATAAAAGGGCACCGCAGGCGGTTACCTGGTATCAGTTGAACGACGGACGCTGTCATGACCTGTATAATTATTCCTGCTTTGTTTCTGTTGCATAGTCCCCGCAGGCGGGTTGGACTCTGAATACCGTGATGATAATTTTTTTTTCTCTATGAATTCAAGGTTACCAATGGTCGGAGTCAACTTTCGGATAGACAATAACAAGTGAACCCCAGGAGGGCGTCCGAGGTTTAATTGTAAGCCGTCGGACTGCTTATCTTATCTCTTTTTCCTGTGCCTCGCATAAGAAGGCCCTGCTTCAGAAAGGATATTGGGCTTGATAATATCCGCATAATTCAATTTCCGGTTGTAGGAAAGCCAGAAAACGATAGAGCGAGACTAGAACTGGAACATGATACATTGCGAGTGCTGCGGCACCAGTGAAATCACGTATATACAAGGCCAACATAGTGGCTGAGCTAAGAATGTTGCTAGAAGCTAGCAAGGAAACGACTGGGAATTTTGCCTAGCCAGGCCTAGGCATGATTCGAATGTCAGGGATAGTATGCATGGGGAACAAACAACAACGCTTTCAAAAAAGCATAACAAAAAGACCATAAAATAAAGGCTATAAGACGGCTATGTTGCGAACTTTGCCAGTTAAGAAGACGGGGGCGACTTGCTCTCAGGGCTCTGCTGAGCGTTGTCGCTGGTGTCCTTCATTGGGCGAAGACCACTGTTAATCTGTGCCATAATTTGGGACTGTTTGAATCGCTCGAAGCCTTCCACGTCCTGGCGCTGAGCCGCCCAGAGCTCATCGACAGTAGATCCGAGCTTTTCAAATGCTTGTTCGGCTTCCGCACTATCGAAGGGCGATTGGGCCTGTTGTTCATGCAGACGCTCAAGCTTCTCTCGCAGAGCCACAAGGTGTGCAGCGTCGTCATTATCGGGATCCCCTTGGCTAAGAGGGGGGTTGAGGAAGTCGCGGCGGATGTTCTGGCCTAATCGGTGAACGTGGCCCTCTTCCGAGGTCATGGCGCGGGCATGCAGGGAGGTCATGGAACTGGTGCGAGAGAGATGAATAGCGTAGTGGTCGGTTTCCTCGTCGTCGACCGCATTTTCGTTATCCAGAACACTACCGTTTAGGTTACCAACAATGCTGTGAGCATGTACATCCTCACCAGAGAGCTGTGAGGCGTTGTCGGGAGCGGTGGATGCGGGAGCAGGCTGGGGCTGAATACGGGTTTCGGGGTATTCGTCCTCAAATCGCTGAATCATCCTATGCAGAGTAAAGTCCAAAAATTGCAGGCGCCCTGTAAGTAGAAAACGTTAGCCGGGAGTCCAAGATATCACCCTAACTGAAGTATACTCACGGTGGTTCGCATCATTGCCAGCCCGGTCCTCGCGAATAAGAGCCGACTGAATCCGAGCTCTAATATTCCGCGCCGATTCCAGCAAGTTCTTTGACATATCACGAGGCCGATTTTGAACCACGCCTCGAGACTTGCGGCGTCTGGGTGTCGTAGTACCACTGGGAGGAGCTGACTGATCCCCAAAAGCATCGCGGCCATCTTGGTTCAAGTTTCCAAGACAGACTCCCAGTGCCTTCACGACGCCCGTGCCGCCAATTACATAGTCCTCGTCAGGAGCTGCGTCATCTTCCTCAACAAATATTTCTTCAAGTCCGTTTGCGTGTCCGACAATATGTTGCAAGATCTCAGGCACAGGCACATCCTTAGCGGGAGGCGAGGAAATCGATTCAGAAAGTTCCTCTGCAATAGCACCACCCTCAAGATTTCGAAGGGAGTAAGCCACAATTTGAGATGCCAAAGCCTTAACGACCTCATTGTTCTCCGCGGTAGGAATTTCGATATCCACCGCGATGATTGTTTTCGAGACGCGCACTGCAGCCATCATAGAAGCGTATACCGCACATGCCTCTTCTTGGGCAGCGGCATCCGTGCTAGAAGCCACTGCGGCAATCTGAGGATTCTCCAAAATGTTCAGGTGGCAAAGACTAGGGCACTCTGGAAGAACTTCTGCCAGACCGATGACGTGATCTGGGGAAAGGTCAACATCTGCAAGATGGATGCGCTTGAGAGAAGACATCTTAGGCAGGAAGCGCCGGAATGCTCCAAGGGAATTCGGTAGCGAAGAGAACAGCTCGGGGTTGTGGGAAACGTCCATGAAGCGAAGATTGTGAAGCCGAGTAAGGGCTTGAAGCAATGGGCAGATCACAGACGGGGTCAAGGAGCAATCGGCCAGGCTTAGGGCATAAAGAGGCTGCTCGGGCTCAATGGCATCCACGATGAGATCGAGATCGTCCTTGATGGGATTTCCTCCCAAGTCCAGTCCTTCACACTGCCCATCTTTGAAGTACTCAATCACATGCTCCAGGCCCTCTCGCGTGAGACTATTGTTGGCAAGGCCGAGTCTTCGCAATCCCACTTTGGTAGCTGCAACACAAATCTTCTTGACTTGATCAACAGAAAGTTTGCATTCGCTCAGCAACAACTCTTCGAGGTGCTCGCCACCAAAGCGTTCCGCCAATGCATCGGCAAAAATAGAGCAAATATCAACAGCGGGCGTCCGAGACTGTCCCGTAGAGCCGGTAGAGCCATCGGATGACGTTCGAGGCTTGGGGAAAGGAATACCCGACAGGTCAATAGCCTTCAGGGATTTGGACAGGTGGATGAAGAGACCAATGTGGCGCCACCCTTCATGCCCTATTTTTGGATTATCTTTAAGCGAAAGCTTTTCCACAACACCCCACCGCCCATCCTTAACCACCGGTGATTCTATCCTCCGGGTTCGTCTCCGCCGGTATCGCATCTGCTCTACCGTCTTGGTAGAGAGGAGTCCTGAAAGAATGGCTCGCACAGAGTCATCTGTCAATGCGCAGCTCTCGAGGATAAGCTTGCGGACAGGCACAATTGCGAGCCAATCGCTGAATGTTGCGATATCTTGTGAGGTCATCGGGAAGTTACTGAGGTCCAGAGCTGCGACAGTACCAGGAGACTCAGCCAGCGTGGAGGAAGGCGATGAGATTTCGTCAACAATTCTCTTGAGAACTGGCGTTTCACGCAGCTGGCAGCAGCGACGATAAATGCGCACTGGATCTGTGGTGGGGTGACTTTGAGTCTTCGAGCGAGGAACTCCAGCAGCCGGGGCACGACTGTCGTCCTCGTCGTTCTCTCCATCAAGCTGTAACGGTACCGAGCCGTTGGCTACGGCTTGTCTGCGCTTGCGTTCTTTGCGTTCTCTTCTTTCTTCTTCCGATCGCTTCTTCTTCTCCTGTTTCCGCGTCGGATCCTTGTCTTCTCCATTAGGCTTTGCATCAGCGGGCGGGTTCAAAGTAGCCGTGTCAGTTGTAGGGGCGGTAATTTCGGTTTTAGGAGTCGTGGTTTCGGTTGTAGGGATCGTAGTTTCAGTTGCAGGGATCGTAGTTTCGGGTGTAGCGGTCTTCGACTGAGCATCGGGAGAGCTGGTTTCTTGAGGAATCGCTGAGGCTGGCGCTTCTTTCTCGGCCACTGCGCTTTGTGGGGTTTTCAGGGCCCCAGCCTCATCCTTACTCTTTTGGTTGACACCGGTCTTTTTCGACTTCTGGCGATTGGACTCGGGTAGAGACTGTCGCAGTTGGCTCGTTGGGGGCGCATCCTCATCAGAATCCCGATGCGAAATGCCAGCAATCTCCACGTCGACGCAGAATGCCACGCGGTTCAACTTCGCTTGGTTCAATTCCGTAATCCTACACCGGTCTCGAGTCTGGTCGAGATTCATTACCCGCCGCGGGCAAACCACGCCATTGTGTGGTAGCTTGGGGAGCCCACCCGAGTTGGACGATAATTTGCGCAACGCATTATGGATGAAGGAGGGGCCCTTAGGCGACGTAGACGTGTAAGGGCCGGGGTCATCATTCTTCTCGTCCTCCCGGTCCTTCGGCGAATAGGCCGCGCCGAATGGGTTATGGGCGTCGAGTGCGGAGGTTGCCTTGGGACTCGCGGGACTGGCCTTGAGACTGGACTGGGATGGAGGTGTCGATCCGGAGGAAAATTTCGAGCTCAGACTGGATATCCATGAATTTCGCCGCCCGCCGACCGGCTTGGGGTTACTCTTCTGCACAGCCGGAGACGGATTAGGGGACGGTTGCTTCGGCGAAAATGCAGTCTTCTCGTCAGCCTGCAAGTTATCCTCTGCCTTGCCTGCCTTGCCTGCGTCATTCTGGTGTTCTCGCGTCGATTCCAATCTGTCTGGGGATGGCGGGTGAGCGGGACTACTATTGGAACGAGATCGTCGGTGCGAGTTTGAGGATGCGGTTGTCGAGTCTCTCTCAGCGGAAGATTTGTCGCTGATCGTCGACGAGACTGACTTTGTGCGCGAAAGATGATCTGAGGAGTGAGTGTCAGATGCTGCCCAACGTCCCCGGAGCCGCTAGGTTCTGTGCCGGGGGCCGCTAGCATACCGAACGGGACTTGCGACTTGCCTTTCTGTGAATGATGAAGCCAGCTCACATCCACAGACTGAACGCCCTCCATGTTTGAGTCTCTCTCAGTCGAGAGTCAGGTTGGGAATGTCAGGGCCGGGTTGGAGAGTCTGCACCCACGATGACCAACTGCGTGGCGCGGAATCGTGGTGGAATAATAGGATAGACCTAGATCGGCTGACGCATAGTTGGCCGATCCCCCACCTTCACACGAAGAATTATAGGCCGGTAATTCCGGATAGCCGTCAAGGATAGCCGATGGTGATCAGAAATCCGGGGTTTTGCGACCGAGCAAGGCCCCCCGAGTAGACAGAGTGCTGCGGGGCACACACCATTCACAGATGACCGAGTGGGAGTATTACCATCAGGGGTCGAGTGAAATAATTCATAGTGCAATCAAATACAGATTCCCATAAGATCGTCGGGCCAAGACAGAGAGGAAAAGGAGGTGCTAGAAGCGACCGGATGTGGGAGTCGGAGTGTGAGTGGAGGATTAAGCATCTAAGGTGACATAATCGCCCCCGACCCAATCCTTAAAGGTAAAGCAACTCTCCCAGCACGTGAGCTCAGCTATACATTTCCGGGCCTTACGGAGGGAAATGATTGGATCTGCGGGTGGCAAGAAGCAGACCACTGAGCCCTAGTCGCAGGTGGGGGGGCCCGGAGAAATGGAACCGAGCCTTGATTAAACTCGACTTCTCCTTAGTCCTCCAAGCTAGCAAGGCCCTAGTGGCTAATAGGGCTCTGTGAGTAGCTCGTGATCTTTATGACCTCCGTACATACACGATTTCCGCCCAATTTGCGGGCCCTGGATCCCTGGCTCCCTAAAAGCACAACGGCCCAGACCGTCGCACAGAAGTGCCCGGGAACTTGCAGAAAAGGGAAGGGAACGACAAAGGGAACTCCCGCCGGGCAGCGGCGCTCCTCCGAATAAAAGTGGGTACCAAAAGTAAAACAGCGATATCGGAATGTGGAGATGCGTTAGTTGGGAATCGAACCCAGATTTGATTCTACTTCCATCCACCCCCTAGTATTGGAACATTCGCTCTCGAGGATAAACATCAGCTTCAAGCTATTCAAAAAACATCCCTTGGACTTAATCTCAGACAGATGATATTTCTTCTCTCAGGAGCTCTCGTCTGTTGAATGCCACGTGCAGTCATTCCTCCTCACCTTGCTTGAGGTGGGAGTTCATTTTCGGATACTTTCTTATTTTCTCACGATGCAAACCCTTTCTGATGCCCTATACTCGTTTTCAAAATCCCCTGGACATACTCTAAGATATTTTGCGTTTCTCCCGACCGGCAATGGCGCCATGGTCTTGCTAATGCGTGGCTTCCATTGGTTGAGCTCTTCAAATGTGAGTATTGAAGGTTGAACTCGACATTCTTCCCAAGTATCTTCTTTACCCTTATTTTAGTGCTGTAGCAAAAGACTAGCAAGTTGGTGACGGCCTTTTCTCGGATCGACTTGTAAAAGATAATATATAGGTGGGAGTATCGAGCAGAAATATCTGGAGATCAAAACAATCGCTTGCTTGAAGCCAGCTGGAGCCATTTAAATATATACGGAGGAAATAGTCGAAATTAAAGGTCGAGGCCTAAAGTAACAGCTTGATGAAAGAAAAAGAAATCTTACCCGATGGCTCAAAAGCGCCACATCCTGATCTCTCAACAAAAAGATAATATAGCCCTAACAACCACGTCATAACCTTTTTAGCTCCCCGGCTTTTAAAATGTTAAGAGTTCATTGTTTTTGAGATGCTACTGCACTCAATAACACAGTAATTTTATAGGAATTTCATGAGAGGTAAATCAAACTCTAGACAAACCAGAGATTCCTCCTTTCGATATGGTACATTGTACGGAAGGAAAAACAGAGTTCAGGCAGGTGATTAACCATCAAAATGAGTAACTAACCTAACTAGTTAGTTAACTAAAATCTATGACATAACCAACAGTTCAGATCTAAATAATTCCAAGAAGATAGAGGCCCACTGATTTTGACATTAACAAACATCTTATGGCAGGGGGTGTGTAGGCCACTCAGATGGCTCTTATGCAGAATATAGGAGGGGTATCAGCCACCTCTGCAGAACAGGGATTATTTACGAGTACTTAGACGCAAACTAACATGGTACGTCCTCTCAAGCCCCACGAGACTGCAGTAAGGCCTATCGTAAAGATTTCCCCACTGGAGATAATGCATGAATTCTGCAATGCTACCCTCGGCTCAATAATTCGGTGATTGGTGATGTAAAGAGGAGGGCCTCTTTACATCACCCCCTCTTTGAACGACTTATTAATATTCGCGTAGCCCAGCCCATGTTCTCCTCTTTTGACATGTTACTTGGTCTCCAAGATAATAGCTATAATGTCGCCTACACTGTGGATAAGCCTATTCATTGCTCTCGTAAGCACTTGTGTTTTTACCATCGGCCGTGGACGTAAAAGACAGTACCCGCCGCTCCCCCCGGGCCCTCAACGGATGCCCATCATTGGCAATCTGGTAGATTTGCCTAATCCAAAGGAGCAAGATTGGCAGCATTGGCTTAAACATAAAAATCTCTATGGTAAGAGTCTGTTCGCTTGAAAGAGACATCACCTTTGACGCTAAAACGTTCCATATCAGGACCCATCAGCTCACTCAGCGTGTTGGGAAAAACGATCATTACTCTCAACGACGCTGAACTTGCTGTGCAGTTGGAAAAAAGATCGGTTATTCACTCCCTGCGCCCGCAGCAGACATTTACCGATATGTAAGATGGGATGTTGATCTAAATGAATCTTGTCATGTTGACTCCTTCAGGTCGGGCTGGAACGAAATTCTCGGGGCACTCAGAAAGCCAGAGAGCGTCCGAAAGACTCGTAAAAACCTATACCAAGAGATTGGATCTAATAAGTCTGTATCCAATTTTAATGGTATTCAGGAATTAGAGGTAGCTCGTTTCTTGCTGAGGGTCTTGTATTCCCCAGAAAAGCTTCAACAGCACATTCGAAAGTGAGTGACTTTCTCTCAAAGAATACACTGTGTAAAGGCAAGAGACTAATGATGAAAAGAGAGGCTGGCGCGATCATCTTGAAAATTGGCTATGGCTATACTATCGAGCCTCATGACAGGGACCCGCTCGTCGATCTGGCCGATAAAGCAATGGAGGACTTTTCCTATGCATTGCGCCCCGCAACTTGGGCAACTTGATTTCTTCCCAATGTGTAGGCTTGAACTCAGCCAGCTCGAAGAGATGCACAAATATTGAATCCCGATCTGACGAGGTGACCAGTGAAGTATGTGCCGTCTTGGCTTCCTGGTGCGGGATTCAGCAAGACCGCACAGAAATGTAAAAGGCGAGTAATGGCATTTAGCGGAGTTCCATTTGAATTTGTGAGGCATCAGATGAAACAGAGCTGCTTCGTACCGTCATTTTCATCCAACCTTCTCCAGAACAATCCCGTGGAGCCGGGATCTGAAGACGAAAATATTCTCAAATGGTCGGCGGGGTCTCTGTACGCTGGTGGAGCGGATACAGTGAGTTCGGTCTCATTAAACATGATGCTATGTCCCGCGCTGACACAAACTTTTGACTGTCTCTTCCATCGGAAGTTTCTTCTTGGCTATGGCTTTATTCCCTGAGGTACAGCACAAGGCTCAGCAGGAGCTCGATAGGGTGATTGGAGACACCCAGCTACCACAGTTCAGTGACCGCGAAAGACTTCCTTATATCAACGCTCTAGTGAAAGAGGTGCTTCGATGGCACCCAGTCGTGCCGATGAATGTTGCACACGCTTCAAGCCAGGATGATGTTTGTGAGGGGTATCTGATTCCTAAGGGATCATCTATTCTTGCCAATATATGGTGGGTTTCCATCCTCTCCTTCTGCCTACCCCGGCTGTCCGAAACTGATATCGAAACTACAGGGCATTTACGCATGATCCGAATGTCTATCACGACCCAATGGTCTTCAACCCGGAGCGTTTCTTGGCCACCTCCACTAGCCCTCTCCCAGAGCGAGATCCTCACCTGCTTGTGTTTGGCTTCGGCCGTAGGGCCTGTCCTGGGCGTACTCTGGCCGACGCAAATGTATTCCTCTCAGTTGCACAATCACTGGCAGTCTTCGATATTGCAAAGCCTGTGCGCAACGGCCAGGTCCAGGACATTCCCCTCAAATTCCTGCCAGGTGTATTAGCCATCCTGCTCCATTTGAGCTGTCCATTCAGCCGCGAAGTATGGCACACGGGGGGTTGATTCAATCGCTAGAGCAGCAACATCCTTGGGAAAAGAGTCATGCAGAAGCTTTGGGAAGTATGGAAACCCCAGTGCGTCTAAAATTGCGCAGGTAGTGTCGGGAATTTTCCGTCATTTCAATGCCCTAACCATATACTGTCTGACTGGTAAATGGACTTCCGACGCGATGAGAAGGAAGCAAATAGTGGCGGCCAATTCACATGGTAGGGCAGATTGTCTGGTAGAAATACTTTGCGAGATTGCAAACTGGTAGCTTGTGAACTCTGGGCTTATTGGGTGCATGAGAACAATCAATGAAAGCAACGCCGGAGAGCGAAAGGTGCACATCTCCTAGTAATAGACACCGAGGGACAGCCACGATGGTTATTCCAGCCATTTGAGCAAGGCGCGCAGCACTTCCGCGAGGACCCTCTCACCCACACTCTTCTAGTGACGTCTAACGGTGTTTCTCCCGTTGCGCACGTTGCCAGGCATCCAAAGTTGCACCAGCGCAAACCAACTTGCCAACGTCTACATTCCCGCGCTCCGTTGCCAAATACAGCACCGTCTTGCCCAGTAAATATCAGATACCATAGATTCAATGGAAAATAGAACAAGGAGTTAATCCCCCCTTATCACAGCGATCTCGTCAATCTAAGCGACTCATCGAGCGCCACTTCACTTGTGGATCACGCGGGGGAAATGATCATAATTTCTGCGGAGCACGCAATGCAAGACCCTTATTAGAACAACTCGACTACACTCAACATCCCATGCAGCACATCTTAATCGCTAACTCTATCGCCATATTACTAAATGTTACCCCGCGGTGTTATTTTTACAAATAGCAAGGCCATTTAATCGGCGGAAGTCTCCCACCGGTACATTACCACATGCCTTGATAACGCAAGGAAGAACCCTCAAACAATTATCAGGTGATTTTGATTTATTCTGAGCTTGATGGACAATCTCGACAAATCCACCTCGGCGGCTATTTTGGGTGAAACCTTCCCAAAAGAGCGCACGAGAAGTTATGGCACTCTGGAACCAAATGGCGAAAATTCCGATACGAGTAATCCATTTTTGGACCCTGATGTTGCAGAGTATTGGCGGGAAGTATACGAAAAGGCGCAATATGAATGCCGGCATGTGTTCGACCCTAAGCTTACGTGGTCACCGGAGGAAGAGAAGCGTTTGGTGCGCAAGCTTGACTGGCGAATCTGTTTATGGGCCGTAGGTCATTTTTCCTCGTGCTGATAATTTTTGTTATTGGTCCTAAGTTGGTTATTTGTTGATCATTTCGTCCCCAGTGTGTCATGTTCTTTGCGCTTCAGGTCGATCGAGGAAACCTTGTCCAGGCGGTTTCGGACACGTTTTTAGAGGATTTGAAGCTGAATACAAATGGTAAGCTGGGCTTTCTGGATCCTGGAAGTAGCATCCATTTTTTAAATACACAAGTCTCAAGATTCTGAGGAAGTCGTATGTCACAAGACGACTTGTTTTCAAATTATATTCTTGGCTCAATCGATCGGCCAATACTAACGCCGCACAGATTATAACTATGGCAATATTGTGTTTCGACTCTCATTTCTTGTTGCAGAGCTACCATCACAGCTAGTGTCAAAGAAAATTGGGCCCGATTGTTGGATTCCTATTCAAATGGTGCTATGGTCCGTGGTGGCTATATCGCAATGCGCCCTGACGGATCGAAAGACATTTCTAATTACACGGAGCTTGCTTGGTGTTTTAGAGGTAAGTTGCCACCCCCTAAACAAGGTTCATTTTTGATTTCTTCGTCAGGGTGGATTTATTCCAGATATCGTTCTATGGCTCTCTTATTTCTATACTGCTCGAGAGCTTCCAATTCGTCTAAGGTATGATCACAGGTAGCCACATCATCGCACTCCCCTGATTTATCTTTAGTTTCTTCTGGACATCCCTCTCTGTGACGACAATTGTCACATCTCTCTTAGCCTTTGCAGTTTTCCATCTTAATGGAGCTCAGGGGTGGGAGGGCTGGCGGTGGCTTTTCCTTATCGAAGGCTTGATTACGCTATCGATTGGGCTGGCCTCATTTTTCATGATGCCGGCATCTGTAGTGCAAACCAAGACGTGGTTCAGGCCAAATGGATGGTTTACTGATCGTGAAGTTGCGATTGTGGCCAATCGAGTCCTCCGTGATGACCCTTCTAAGGGTGACATGCATAATCGTCAAGCTGTCACCCCTCAAAGGCTCTGGAACGCAATCAAGGACTACCATATGTGGCCGATCTACTTGATCGGAGTGGTTGCATACATCCCCCAATCACCTCCGACTTCGTATATTACTCTTACTCTCCGGTCCCTTGGTTTCAACAAATTCAACACGAATTTGCTCACAATCCCAGCGAATGTGTTTCATATCGGGAATTTGCTTCTGATAACTTGGATCTCAAGTAGGCTGAACCAGTGGTCACTCGTCGCCATGTTTCAAGCTATCTGGACACTACCCTGTTTACTTGCCCTACGGTTCTGGCCTGATGTGATCACGAACGCTTGGGGAACGTATACAGTAGTGACAGTGCTATTGAGCTACCCTTATTGCCATGGTATGTTGAATCAGTCAAGCTTGAGAGATATTAGGGATACTGACGATGATAATAGCGATCGTCGTTGCGTGGGCTTCTAGAAACGCAAATAACGTTGGAAATCGCTCAGTATCAGCTGCATTATACAACGTAGGTCACGGCCAGGCGAGAAAACCCAACTATCAGAAGCTAAAGAGTTGTACAGATGTCCGTGCAAGCGGGAGATATCGCGGCCTATTTCATATACAGAGAGGACGACAAGCCGAAATATCGGAGAGGAAATACTGATTTGGTGGCGGTCAACATCCTTGCCATAGTGCTGTTTCTGATGGCAAAAGCATACTATGTGTTCCAGAATCAGAAGAGAGACAAGATCTGGAATGCTATGACAGAACAACAACGGTCGGACTATATCAGAGACACTAAGCTGCAAGGAAGCAAAAGATTGGATTTCAGGTTTGCGCACTGAATTGGATTTCTACTCCCATGAGCCGTTTGTCTTTTGAAGATCAAACGAATCAGTGTATGTAATTTTGTTACAAGGGCGTGATACTGGATAGAGAATTAAGGAGATGAAGGTAAGAAAGGAAGGAACAGGGAGATCGAGTAGACGAATAGCACAGTCAGCGGGTTGGATAGCCAAGTTCACCGCCGGCCAAGACAAACATTTTGTTGCGCCCCACCAAATTGAAGACAGGAGACGCAATTCCGGGTCCAATTCTCTCTGCAGCTTCCCTCGCTTCGGACGCAGACATCATTCAGGAATAACCCAGACTGCAATTATACATAATGCAGATGTGAGATGATTTACTACCATGCATACACATAACATCTCCTTTACAAGCCTTGGCTTGGTGGTTATCGACGAAATCCGATTTCCTGATCGGACACCATTGACTGATATCCTCGGGGGCTCTGGCGCCTACGGTGAACTATTCCCTGGAGTTCGATTTAGCCTGGTAGAGCAGCGATATGACTGACCAAAGCTACAGCAACACTCGGTGCCCGATTATTTCTCCCTCCTCCATCTAGTACCTCCTTAGGTTGGGCGATTCGAGTTGGAAATGATTTTCCACATCCAATTAAAGAACGATTAGAAAGTTGGGGATTAGCATTGATCATAACGAGAGAAGAGGATGGACCATCAACTAGAGGCTTGCTCGAGTACAAAGATACCACATTCGGAGGTGGGTAATGCTCCCCTCATCGATCCTTCCATGCTAACTTGTAATGTAGCCAAGGATTTTAAATATACATCCCCTGTTCTCGCGGTCCAAGAGAGCAGCTTAGAACACACGGCACTTTTAGCTTCAAAGATCTTCCACTATCTGGCGGGTCCCGAGGATATCAAAGTACGATTGTTCAACCTCCTTGCTCTCAGGGCCAAGGCAGGCATACTCGAACGTCCTCTAATAATCTGGGAACCGGCTCCCCTTTCATGCAAGCCAGAGAACCTTGAAGCATGCCTGGAAGCTGCAGCTTTTGTCGACGTATTTTCTCCAAATCATCTAGAATTAGCCAAGCTATTTTCGGAACCACAGCCGGATTTTGTTGACAAGCAAAAGATCGAGAACTTGGCATCAAAATTCTTGGACTGCGGTGTCGGATCGAACGGGAAAGGCACAGTCATTGTGCGTGCTGGCGAGAATGGTTGCTTTGTCAGAGCCAGCAGCCTGTCGCCCGTGTGGCTCCCTCCATTCTATGCATCCGAATCGGGAGAAGAGCCAAATTTGAAGGTGATTGATCCGACTGGAGCCGGAAATGCTTTTCTTGGAGCGTATGCCGTGGGATACTGCAAAACAGGAAGTGTCATTGAGGCAGCTTGTCATGGCTCTGTCGGGGCATCATTTGCGCTAGAGCAAGTTGGAATGCCGGTAATGAGCGTCAGGGGCGGCAAGGAGTTTTGGAATGGAGTCAACGTCTTGTCCAGGCTGCACGAGTACATGTCGAGGCGTAAAGCCGCCGGCGCGGGCAATGAAACCGAAAATACCGGATCTAACAACATAGCCTGAATGGAAGGAAGGAAAATTGAGAGTAATAAACATCCCTTAGCATCAAGCAAAGTTAAAATCCTGTTGTGATGATAGAAGTCGCGAAATGCAGACCTCCTGGTGGTGGAGCCGCGAAAAAGTTCCTCGGCTGAATTTCCCCAGGAACCTGGGGGTATCACATGTCAAGGGATTCATTCCGTCATCTTAACTCCGCAGCTACCTCCTCGTCTGCCTCTCCCGCAAAGACACCACCTGCACATCTCATCTCTTTTCCCAGTGGTCAGGTCATGTACAGCATCTACTCTGGCTGATTGACCAGTCGATCGAGTCGCCATGGCTGTTCAGTCAAAACTATTGCCGCCCGACCGCTCCGTCAAGCAGATCCTCTCCAGTGTGACCTCCCTGTACTTCCGACACCGAACTGGCATATCCCGCACCGTCTATCTTGCCCTCTTTGCTGCGCTCGCCAAGCGAATTCACAATGCAATCTCGGAACAGAAAGCTGCCTCGCAGCAGGTGGAGCTGCGCCGCCGGCCTGGCACCAGCTCCCTCGGTGATGAGGAACAACCGCGGAAGAAGCGGGTGGAGATCAACCGGGAATTCTTCAAGCACTTGCTACGTCTATTGAAGATTGTGATCCCTGGCTGGCGGAGTAAGGAGCTGCGGCTTCTGGTGAGCCACAGCGTTTTTCTCGTGCTACGGACTCTGCTGAGCCTGTACGTGGCCGAGCTGGATGGCCGACTGGTGAGCAACCTGGTGCGGGGAAAGGGCAAGGATTTCTTGCTAGGTCTTGTGTGGTGGATGATTGTGGCTATTCCAGCGACATTCACAAACTCCATGGTAACTCTCTTAGTCCTATTGTTCCACCTTAAGGCAGATTTCGCAGCATGCGACCGTAGAGAGCTGATGGCTGACTTGGTTGCTCTCGTGTCTAGCTATCCTATCACCAATGCAAGCTCTCCCTCAGCTATCGCAAACGGTTGACCGACTATATACACGACAAGTACCTGTCAAATATGACATTCTACGCCATCTCCGCCCTGGACGACCGGATCAAGAACCCCGACCAACTAGTCACGGTCGACGTGTCGCGCTTCTCCGATAGCTTGGCAGAACTATACTCCAACCTGGCCAAGCCGATCCTAGACATGTGCATCTACAACTACTCCCTCTCTAAGAATGTCGGAGGAGAAGGACTCTTCATCATGAGCTTGCTAGTCCAACTGTCAGCAAATGTCATGCGCATGCTAACGCCGCCATTTGGCAAATACGTCGCAGACGAGGCTCGACTTGAGGGTGAATTCCGTTTCCTCCACTCACGACTCATCGATTATAGCGAAGAAGTCGCGCTCTATCATGGCCACGAGGCCGAGAAGGATACCCTAGATAAGGGCTATTTCACATTAATCAAGCATGTAAATCGCATTTTGCGGCGGCGTCTTTATCATGGATTCATGGAGGATTTCGTCATCAAGTATTTCTGGGGTGCGCTTGGCTTGGTTCTTTGCAGTTTGCCAGTCTTCTTCAAGATCCCTGGTCAGGTCACTCAGACCATGGGAGATCGTACCGAAAGTGAGTTTTAGGTGTCTCCGTGTACGTGTTACACATACTAACATGAACCAGGCTTTGTTACAAACCGACGGATGCTGCTGTCCTCGTCGGATGCATTTGGTCGCCTGATGTTCTCATACAAGGAAATATCGGAGTTAGCCGGTTACACCTCCCGTGTCTCGTCACTCCTGGAGGTCATGGACGACTTGGTAGCTGGACGTTTTGAGAAGAAGCTGGTCTCTTCGGCGTCAACCGAGGAAAATGCAGCTGTCTTATCTGGCCGCGGCGAAGTCATGGAGAGTGAGTCTATCGAATTCACCGAGGTTCCAATCGTCTCGCCGAACGGCGATGTCCTTGTGCGCAGGTTGTCGTTCACCGTTCACCCCGGTGACCATCTGCTCATTGTCGGACCCAATGGGTGTGGCAAATCCTCCCTCTTCCGTATCCTCGGTGGGCTCTGGCCAGTGTACGGAGGCACAGTCAGGAAACCTCGGTTCGAGGACATCTTTTACATCCCCCAGCGACCCTATCTGTCTCGCGGGACGCTGAGGCAGCAAGTCATCTACCCCGATGGCGTGCGCGAGATGCGCGCCAAAGGTGTCACTGATGCGGATCTATATGAGATTCTGTCGGTGGTTGAGATCGCATCTGTTGTCGACCGGCCCGGTGGTTGGGATGCTGAGGAAGAATGGCGCGACGTGTTGTCAGGCGGCCTGCAGCAGCGCATCGCCATGGCTCGCTTGTTCTATCACCGTCCCAAGTTCGCCATCCTTGACGAGTGCACTTCCTCTGTGACGCTGGAGATCGAGAAAGTCATGTACGAGACTGCCAAGAAACTAGGCACCACCTTAATGACGGTATCGCACCGCCGCAGTCTGTGGAAGTATCACCGGAAGATCCTCCAGTTCGATGGACAGGGCAGCTACGTCTTCACTGATCTCGACTGGGAGCGACGGCTGGAACTGGAAGAGTAAGATATGGCCCCTCCACCCCTGGCCCACATCCTTAGACTATAGCGACAATATGCTAACCCACCACAGTGAGAAGGACGAACTTGAGCTACAACTGCGGGCTGTGCCAGAACTCCAGCGACGGGTGGCGGAATTAACAGCGACCTAAGGGCCGATTATATTGTGTACTGTAGGGAGTCAACTTAACGAAGCCTGTTCGAAGTGTCGATGACCGCATTCCCCACCGCTTGCCACAGATGCAGCCAATTGTGACCTGCCGTCGGGTTCGGGATCCAATTTTCGCAGTCTTCTCGGCTGGCCGGGCCTGGGCAGTTGACTAAGGGAGCATTACGGCCAATCACGGGCCTCCTCCTCGGCATGGCACCGATTTTCGCTCCGGAGCACGTTTTGTTGCAGCATACAATTGTTCTCGCACCGACCCACTATGATATCGCATCTGCAACCTTGCACCTACGTCATCGCGCTGGCGTATCTTGTTCTGGGTCTCGCCACGAACAGGTTCTTTTAACGAGACTTCCTTTTTTTAGCAAGACTATATTCCTGTATTTACACTATCATTCCCCTGTATCAGGTCCTTTTTTCCTGCGGTAGACCACCACCACCCTCAGCAACGTCAAGATGACCAACTCCAACTTGAAGTCTACTGCGCCGGCACTCGCCACGCAGAAGAGAAAGATCATCATCTTCTCTGGTATGTAGTCCAATCCCGTGCATTGTACCCCTCCCCGGATAGACCGCTGTTCCTGGACCCCCCGGATTCCCCGCACCAATAGAGCGCTCGGCATAACTAAACCCGTGCATAGATTTCGACGGCACGATCTTTATGCAAGATACAGGCCATATCCTCTTCGACAACCATGGCTGTGGTGCTGAGGCTCGAAACAAGCTTGATGAGCAGATTAAGTCTGGCGAGCTCTCATTCCGCGAGGCCTCCGAGGAGATGTGGGGCTCGCTGCATGTCCCCTTCGACGACGGCTTCGTCGTCATGGAGAAGTCTCTCGAGATCGATCCGGGCTTCCGCGAGTTCCACCAGTATTGCATAGACAATGGTTTCCCCTTCAATGTGATCAGTGCCGGTCTGAAGCCCGTCCTGCGCCGGGTGCTGGATACATTCTTGGGTGAGAAGGAGGTGTGTTGCGACCATTCCAAACCCACAGTCTCCCTAGCTCAATAGAGACGATATACTAATACACGACATTACGAAACAGGCCGCCGCAATCGACATCGTCGCCAACGACGCAATCATCAAACCTGACGGCTCCGAATGGAAGCCCATCTGGCGCCACGACACCGAACTAGGCCACGACAAAGCCCTCTCGGTGAACGAGGCCCGCGCCAAAGCCCAAGCCGAATGCCTGCCCGACGAGATGCCACTCATCGTCTTCATCGGCGACGGCGTCTCCGACCTGGCAGCTGCCCGCGAGGCGGACGTCCTCTTCGCACGCCGCGGCCTGCGCCTCGAGGAGTACTGCAAGGAGCATAACATCACCTACACCCCCTTCGATACTTTCTCCGACATCAAGCGCGAGATCGAGGCGATCAGCCGCGAGGACCAGTCGAAGACTGGTGGTGTTGGCAAGCCGGTGCGGTACAACCCGCGCGCCAACATGTGGCGGCGCATCTCTTCTAAGGAGGCGGTATGTATTTGTGACTTGCGATATAGTCAATAGAGGTCAAGCGTGCTAACTGGATTCTTGTTAGGTGCCAACTCTGATGGCTGCCGCGACGCCTTCCAAGGAAGAGAAGATGTTCCTCTGGCCGGAGACCTTTTCCGACTACAAGCCCCAGACGATTCAGGAGAGGGATGAATTCTCCGCAGCTGCTTAAGCGTCCTACTAAGCTTGCCCCTTTTCCTTTCTCTTATGCTTTACGGACTCCTCAATTGCAAGATGTTGATGGCTGTTCCCTTTCCTTCTTATCTTATTATTTTATTCCTCTGATCACTGCATGAAGAGTTCGGTGTTTGGCCTGATATATCCCTGTTTGCGCGTTCCATATTCAACATACAACATTGGTTGCTTTTTGTCAGGTCCTTTGAAATATTACGAGGCTCTCACTGCTATCAACGGTTCTCGAGGCCGTGTTGCAGCGTGCATATAGATATCATCAGAAATTACAGGGAAGCGTTCAATTGTGCATGCGTGCAATAGTATCGATGAGTAGTTAAAGAGTAAATTATGCCGGCGGGCCTATGATGCAAGGAAGTAGATCTGTGTGCAATAAACCATCAAGTCACCGCATAACCAGAGTGTTCAGAAATCACAAAGCGAAAAGCAAGCTTAATCCTCAATATCAAGAGGCTCAATGTTCCAGATGCTATCCGCGTACTCGTTAGTCACCCGGTCCATAGAAAAGAAGCCCATGCGCGCAACGCTGGTAATCGACTTGGCTAGCCACTCCTCCTGATTCTGGAACTCCTTATCGACCATGTCGTGGGTGGTGATGTAGGAGTTGAAGTCATCAGAGACAAGATAGTAATCGCCGTGCTCCTCAATAGAGGACAGCAGGGATGCAAAGGACCCGGGATCGCCGAATGTGCCAGCCTTAATGGCGTCGAAGACACGCTTCAGGAGCGGGTCTAGTTGGAAGTCACCGTAAAAGTGTCGGTGGCGGAGATCTTCCACATCTTCGGCAAGATTACCGAAGAGGAAGATGTTTTGCTCGCCGATTTCACGGGTGATTTCAATCTGCGAATGACTATTAGCAGGAGAAGAGGTCAATGGAGAAATTGCAGGACTTTACGTTAGCTCCGTCACATGTGCCAATAATCAGACCGCCATTCAGCACGAATTTCATGTTGCTGGTACCACTCGCTTCGGTTCCAGCGGTAGAGATATGTTCACTGAGATCCGAAGCCGGGCAGATGATTTCAGCCTTGCTGACGTTGTAGTCCTCGATGAAGATGACCTTCAGAAGATCACCAATCTCCTCATCCTTGTTCACCACAGCTGCCACGCTGTTGATGAGATAGATGATCGATTTGGCCATCCAGTACCCAGGAGCAGCTTTGCCGCCAAAGATGGACACCCGCGGCACTACCTTCTTCCGTTGTTCAGGTGTCATGGCCTTGAGGCTAAGGTATCGGTGGATCACCCCGAAGATGTTGAGTTGCTGGCGCTTGTACTCGTGGATACGCTTGACCTGGACGTCAAACAGGGAGTTCGGATTGACGGAGTAGCCAGTCAAATCCTTAATGAGTTTGGCCAGCCGCAACTTGTTCTTGGCTTTAATGTCAGACCATTCCTGTCGGAAGATTTTGTCGTCCACGTAGGCTTCCAGTTTATCCAGCAAGGTCAGATCAGTTAAGAACCCATAACCACCAAGCTTCTCGGCAATCAAGGCAGAAAGTGAGGGATTGGCCTGGTGCAGCCAACGTCTCGGAGTAATCCCGTTGGTGACATTGGTGAAACGGTCGGGCCCATAGATCTTCACAAAGTCTTTGAAGATCGTCGTCTTGATGAGGTCCGAATGCAGCTCAGCAACACCATTGACCTTGTGGGATCCAATAATTGCAATGTGCGCCATACGCACCATCTTCGGGTGCGATTCCTCGATGACAGAAACCCGTGACAGCATTTCCCGGTCTTTGGGGAACCGCTTCTCCACGGACTGGAGGAAGAACAGGTTCACATCGTAGATAATTTGCAAGTGTCGAGGAAGCAGGTTCTGCATCAATGGAACAGACCACTTCTCTAGCGCCTCTGGGAGGACCGTATGATTGGTGTATCCGAAGGTTCCAGTCACGATGCGCCACGCCTCCTCCCACTCCAAACCTTCGAGGTCAATCAGGATGCGCTGCAACTCGATGATAGCCAGTGTGGGGTGAGTGTCGTTCAGCTGGATTGCGACCTGGTCGGGGAACTCGCTCCAAGCCCTCCTTGTCTTCTTGAATCGGCGCACAATATCATAAAGAGAGGCGGCGCACCAGAAGTACTGCTGCTTGAGGCGAAGCTCCTTACCTCGCTCCAAGTTGTCATTTGGGTACAGGACGGCAGAGATAGTTTCAGCAATCTGCTGGTCTGCCACTGCACTCTCATAATCTCCTGCATTGAATTTCTGGAAGTCGAACTCCCCACTGCTCGCCTTGCTGGACCACAGACGGAGGTTGTTGGTGGTCTTCGTGCCGTACCCAGGAATAGGAACATCATAGGCAACGGCCTGGACCGTCTCGCCTGCTTCCCAGGAGTTGCAAACCTTGCCATTCTCATCCTGATACTTCGCCACGTGGCCGTAGAACTGAATATCCACGGTGATATCGTGTCGAGGGAACTCCCATGGGTTATTGTCAAGCCAGTAATCCGGAATCTCCATCTGATACCCATTGACAATCTCCTGCTTGAAAATTCCGTAGCGATACCGCAGGCCATAACCCCACGCTGGGTAGTTCAGCGTCGCCATACTGTCCAAAAAGCATGCTGCCAGACGACCCAGACCGCCGTTGCCGAGTGCCGCATCGTGCTCCTGGGTGATCGCGTCCTCAATCCGGAGACCCAGATCCGCCAAGCCATCTAACAAATGGTTAGCCGAGTCTAGAAAGGCAGTCACTGTCTTTTTCTAGCCCACCTCGAGCGACATCTTTCATGCCGACGTTCAGCATGGCATTGTCCAGGGCCCGGCCCATCAAAAACTCAAGAGAGAGGTCTGAAGATCTGCGTTAGACAGAAGTCATTCATACTCCTCACTGCCAACCTACAGTAGACTCTCTTTTGGTCCGTGAATGTCTGCCGCTGCTGGGTCCGGTTCCACTCGATGATTAGCCGGTCTCGGAACGCCAGCGCCGTACCCGAGTAGGCCGCCCTGCATCACCATGAGCCACTTCCCATGACATTGATCTGGGAGCGTGAAGTACATACAGTTCATCGCAATTGTACAGAGAACGCGCAAGGGTTGTCTCGATGTGGCGCACGAATTCTTTCTGCGGCAGTTGTAAGCTGGCGAAGTCGCGTCATTACCCACGTATGGATACGCACCGCAAATTCATCCTTGGTCGTAAACTCGGTCGCCGACTATATCAATCTACGTAAGCATTCACGGCCTGGTCAATGGGCTTGAGCTCCACGTACATGCTTCCGCCATCTGTCGCGCCACCAAATGTACCCCAGTCAGCCCACACATCCAGCCAAGCAAGGCGAGCCAAGCATAGACAAAGAAGACAAAGTACTCACGCCTCATGGAGCCCCTCCGGAATGCTCGCTTCCACGCTCTTGATCTCAGCCGGGCCGAAGCCGGTGAACGTGCGCTTATGCTTGGGACGACTGAACCCCGGTCCGACAGGCCCCTGGAGGTCGGCGATGGGAGTTCCAACGGAGGGTCTGCGCTCACGACGTGGCTCCGTTGGCTCCTTTGGCTCCGATGACGACATTGTCAATGGAGGCCGTGACAGCAGGACGGATGTTGAAAGCTCAGTTGTTCAAAACGACTAGCAGCTGGAAAAGCTGGGGAAGCTAAAAACTTGGAAAGCTGGAAAACTGAAAAGCTAGAAAGTTAGAACCCCAGGGCAGGGAAGGGGAGGAGGAAGTGAAGTGGGCAAGAGGGGAAGCAGTCGTCCGCAAGAAGACGGGGAGGGGTGTGACACCAAGAGGGGGTGTGGGAAGATCAGAAGTGGAAGGGTCAAGGAGTCAAGAGTCAAGGACGAGGTGCATGCTGCATGCTGCATGCTGCACTGTCTATCCGCGGGGGAAAGCGCAGCGACACGAGCGATGGCCGGATTGGGTCATCATGAGTGGTGTGCTCATCCGCTGAGCTTCTCATTACCTTCATCCAAGGGGAGAGGTGATATCGTACTATGCCAGCTATTACGTGAGACCACCACGAACGAATGGAGTCTCTCGGAACTCAGAGCTCTAGTGGGGAAAGTCTACAAAGTCTGGATCGTATCGCCCGCCGACGCCCATGTCTGTGCACGCCCTTTCTCCGTGATTTGCTGCAATGCTGCAGCGCAGCAAGCTCGTTGACTTGCTCAACTTTTTTTTGCCGTAACACCTACCGGTCGGTATTACCCTTGACTAGGACTCGTGAAATCATGAGACTCGTTGCCAGCGTCGATATAGTCTTGCTGAAGAGCCGTGATCGATCCACCCTCCCCGCAGTATATGACGCTTCGATCTATAAAATGAATCACCTCTCCTCGCAACAACCGTCGATGCACCACTCATTCCCAACACTTTCAACGAATTGAATTAACCGAGGTGACTCCGTGCCGCAAATGATGCACCGTACCATCCCGTCTCAAGCTGATATCGGATGTCATGGTTACCCAGCTTCCATCTATTGCCCTGCTGGGATCCGCTTTCCCCACCATCCGCATCATGCCACGGCTTCCACCTTCTGCACCACCGATGTCCCCACTGCGCGGTCCGCGGTGCCACGCTCGGGGCATAAAACCGAAATTCTTTGGGAAATTAGCTCCCTCCCAATCAACCCCAATCCAAGCGAGCGCTCGCCCTTACGAGTCCCCGAGGAGTCTCCGCCGTCCACGCGGGGAGCCAGCTGTGGGAGCGTCAGCCACTGACGACAACAGCAAAGGTTGGGCCCCGTCAACAGGAGGATACATACTTCGCCTGACCGTCGGCAGAGGATCTCAAACCCCTTGTCTACCCTTCACCACCACCACCACCACCCACACTCCAACTACTACTACTACTACTACTACCACCACTACTCTTATCATCGTAGACCAGCAGACCATCGGCATACATCATATCCGGCCGGTCCCCCAGCGCATACTGATTCAACGAATTCGCAACCAAATACTGCTCCGCATCATACGCCGTCAAACTCCAAAACTCACCCCGCACCACCACCGCCCTGCCCAGAAACCGGAAGATGAACGCCTCCCTCGGCCCCAGACTCAACACCGAGCCGCCCTGCCCGGCACTGTACGACGGGTACAAGGCCTTCGCCCGCCACAAGCGCCAATTAGCCGGTAAGACGCGACGAATCGGCGCATCACGTAGTCTGGGTCGTAGTCGCCCTGCGCGGTGGAGGGGAGCTGGACTAGCCCGCAGTGGCCATGGTTGTAAGGGAGGCTGCGTATGCGCGGGTCAAAGGTTGGCCCCTGCGCGTCGTCTGTTCCGCCGTGGGCACTAATCCGGTCCTTTAGCAGCCGGGTGACCCGGTCCAGGTCAGAGATGTCGCCTGGTGGGTTATTGGGCGCCATGCGAGCTGTTAGCTGCATGATCTTGGTGTCAGATGGGTCGAACTGCTCTATAGTAACAGTCTCAAGTTTAACGAGTCCCTTGTCCTTCTTATGCAGAGCCAAAACGTGCGGAGCCGAGGGCAATATTCCGGTTTATACAATTGCTACGCTGGAACGACGGTAAGGAATGCAACACGCCTTTCCGATCGACACTTTCTCCACAGGCTTTCCCCGTGGGTAGAGCCTTCTTCGCCTCTAGGCCCGTGCGAGACGCTACAGTAGACCGATCGGGAGCAGGAAAGAATAAAATGGCAGTGAAGTCAGTCAATGAGGCTAAGCTACCTAAGCGAGTGCCGCGGATGACAGCGTGCACGTCCTGAATCCCGGGAAAGCAATGCCCGAGATCATCAGATACCCACCCTGTGGTGGTGTATGCGGGGGAAAAGGAAGAACAGAGGGCCGTTGAGAAGTAGAATCAGCGGGCCCCTGCAAGAACCTCGAAAAATACAGTGCAAGGCAGTTGAGAAAATCACAGAACGCATCACATGCATCAAAGCGCTGAGGTCGCGGGTCCAAAGTATAAGACAAGTATCACAACATAAAGAAAGCATCAACAAACAACAGAGCCAGGGGGCAGAGTTCAAGAATGTAATTGGAAAGGCAAATCCGCCATGGTATGCATCAGACAAGAAGGCTGGAGAATACAGATGTAAAAGGATCTGTCGAGTATAGTTCATAAAGTATGGAATAGCCAGTGACCGACCAAAGCGTCAGGGTCAAGAGTTGGTGCAGGGGGAATTGGAAGGTCCCAGCAACTTTTGAGGTGGAAAGTAACCCTTGTCCGGAGTTGAAGCTCAAGCTGGAGCGAAGAACAAAGTAAATCCGAATACAGGTACCGGGTGGTGTATGCCCAATAGATCCACCGTAAGAAGGGGGGACGAAAGCCGATTATCTCCTTGTAGATACCTAATGGGTGGGTATCACCTAACTAGCGCCTGTGTTATAATCCAAGAAAGGGATGAAGAGAAGCACCTTGAACGCCAGCAGCTAGTCCAGCAGAAAAAAGAAAAAAAAAAAAAAAAAAAGAGATAAGTAATGGGAAGTTGAAGTAGGGGGCGGGGAGGTATGGTGATCGTAAGAGGATGGGTTGAAGGGTCCATCAGAGAGGTGGTGAAAATCCGGTATTCCGCGGACGAGGTTCGAAAATCGAATAGATATATGAAGGTGTTCGAAGGTATCATAAAAGGATAATGAGGTGGTGGGAGGAATAAGGGTAACGGAATGAGTGTGGTTTTCGAACGGGTGTCCAACAGCTCATAGAATACCAGAATCCTTCAAGGCATTCTGCAAGATGGTTTCTTTGACCGCCGCAAAGACCAGTCGGATATTGGTGGTGTCGGTTGCTTGTGTGAGACTGCAGGAAGATAAAGGTATCAGGATAGGGCTTTCGATATGGCACCAACACGCCTATGGAGACTTACTGGGGATATAGATTCAGGTGAGCCCTGTTCACCTGATTGAATCGCCAGAGAAGATACTTGGCAGCGCGGTTAACATCATTCCCACCCGAATAATCTGGGAAGTAGTTGCTCAACGGGGAGCGAGGCAGCTTTTGGCGGAACAAATCGACCTTGTTCAGGAACAAGATGATGCTCGTGCGCATGAACCATCGAGAGTTGACCACGGAGTCGAAAAGAACCAGACTCTCCATCATTCGATTCTGGAGAATGGTGAGCTTTCGCATGGAGGTAGTGTGGGGCGAGGGTGTAGCCTTACCTGATTGCTTTCTTCCAGCAGCGTCTGGTCATATTCACTCAATGCGACGCAAAAAATGATAGAGGTCACGTTTTCGAAGCAATGAATCCACTTCTTTCGCTCGCTGCGCTGACCGCCCACATCGAACATGCTAAGAAACTGATTAGTGACTGACGATCAATGTGGTGCGAGGCATCGGTCCACCTACTGGATGCTCAATTGGCCCATTGTGAATCGTGTCTCGTATATACCGGTTGTCTTGGTACGTGCTCGGAGGACGTCGGACACATTTGGGATATAGTCCGGTGCTGTTATTCGCTTGGCTTCATCGAAGAAACTAATCGCCAGTCAGCACCCAATCTTGCGACAAGGGAGGATCAGTCATCGCTGCGAGCTTACTATGGCGCGGAGTCCATCAGGTAGAACTCATTTTGTCGTTCCAGGACTGTTGATGTGCACGGGTCATTCCAGAGGTATGTGACTGCATCGCCAATTTTCGGATCGAGAGGAGTATTGGGGTCCGGATCCACATGGTATTCTTCCAGGAGTGTGATGTAGTCCTTGACCTTCTGACTGGACGGCTCGAGGTTGAAATGGTGGTATGCATCGATAAGGGCCTTGGCACAGTCGAGGAGGTTCTTGTATACGGTCAACCGGTACAGAGCCAGCTCTTCCACGGTGTAGCCATTTTGATGGATAATCTTCATCTGCTTGACGATGGTGGACTTGCCACTTTCGCCGGAGCCTGCGATTGCGAGTCAACTCAAGCCGCTCTTGTGCGCAACGACCCGCGCCGGAGCTACCTACCCAACAGCAGGATCTTGCATTCCCTGCGTAACCGTCGCTGGTCTTCCTCGAGCCTCCGGTCGATCATCTGACTTTTCTTCTTCTGTTCCGCATCCCCCGCGGCCTCGGAGCTGAAACACAGCCCCATGGTGCACCAGTACCGTGATTTGAAATCCTTTCTGGTTCGTTCAATATCCCAGACTAACAGGAAGCGAGACCCAGATGCCGCGCGCGGAAGCGATCGGTATCAGCCCGTCGGGACGGCCGCAGCCTTCGCTTGGTTGCAAGACGGCCACCCACCACGCTCAGGGTTATAATCGGCGCCCACTAGAGACGGACGTGTATCGCTGAGGATTGCGACGAGTGGAGAATCGCGAGGAATGGATCTCGGTGAGCGTGAAAGGCGGGGAGAGGAGGGAGAGGAGGGGGGGGGTGAGAGAAGGAGAAGATCGGGAGAAGGAGGGCGAGGGTCGTGAAGAGTTTCGGAGGAATTTGCGGCGAGCGGCTTATAGGCAGGCCACAAGTCCGGAGCGTACGAGAATGGGGATTGGAAAGAGGTAGGAATCCGGAGGATCGGAAGAGAGGGAGATCAAAGAAGAGTCAAGAGGTGTCGTCCAGTCGGTGCGACCATCGTCATGCCTGGGGAGTGGAGATGGCAGGAGGATTACGGGGGTAAGAAACATGTACGGGTGAGCTGACATCGGGCCCGTAATTACAAGCTGTTTTCGCCCGACAGGCCAGCTGGACCAATTCGTTGGTTTCAATGTACGATACTGCCCGGGCTGTCTGTACGGCCCGTACCAGGTTTGGGTGTTGGGTACTCACACACAATGAGTTACTACACTACCACACTACGAGATGACAGTCCTCAGTACACTAAGCACTAGGTTGACGAGACTCGTACAGACTGCAAGTTACGCTGTACTCTTGACCCTTCGAGGCCCCATGTTCGCCCTTCTTGAGTGGCTCGAAACCTTCCAGGGGCAAGCTGGGGCCAGTAACTTTGGTCTTATATTTCCACGAAAATTCGTACATCGTATGGCGGGGGGCGCCATGCCGGGACAAGCGGCAATTCCCATCGCGCCGAAGGCCGAGAGCCGTGAGTTCAAGGGCTGTGAAGGCTGTGAAGGCATCGGGCGCAAGGACTTTAGTAAGGAGAGGAAGGGTAAGGGGAGACGGGGTTGGGGCGCTAGCATGACCGATGCACTCGGGTTGCTCGCTGACAGACTAGACTCCGGCGGCTCTCCTAAAGTTGCTTAGCTGGGCAGGCCGGGTGTGGTGTGCGGTGTGCCCTGTTCGCCTCACTACCTAAGTTGTGTGACCGATACCTTGAGTAGATGATCCTTCGAGGAGCTCGAGCAATAGTCTGATCTTGGGTATCAGTGGACTCTGGGTCATGATACCAAAAGGCTCCTTTCTTCTGGTAGGAGGAGAGTACTCCGTACTGAAGCGTGTACCCAACCAGCAAACCCACCGGAGCTTTGCAAGTGGAGAGTCGTGACGCACATGGGGAGACGCTCTCATGCCTCAGGCACGAATGCCCCAATGCCGTGTTCACGTGCCTCCCCACGTTCTGCAGGTGGGCCAAGACACGAGAATAGACGGCTGAAAGTCAGATCTAGGGGACACTGCATATGTACGTTGCTCAACTACCCCAACAAATGCCAATATGGCTCCTCCAGATCTCTAAAGTCGAGGTGTGCTGTAGGGTGTCCATCCTCAAACAGCCCTCTGGTGGAGGGATATGCAGGGGTGCAACGTGGGAAGGGCCCCATATATATTTCCGAGATCTGCCCCAACTTGGCTGAAAGCATTCCCCCTCCTTAGGTTTCTATGAACTTTACTCGGAGGCTTACTTTGGGATGAGAAAACTATGAACGCTCACTTTTGGAGGAGAGTTTAATTCGGAAGCCCTGCCCCTCGGACACGTCTTTCTCTTTTGGTTTTCCGTTTCGTGCAGGTGGCTTGCTTGGTCTCACGTGTCTCAGTCTGCAAAGCCCGACCTCAGTGACACCGCCCGGACTGGACTGAATCAAACGATGCCGGCCTAAGTATATTCTATATATACGGTGTATAGATACCAGGCCCAAGAGATCGGGTCCAGAAACGCTTCGCGCTCAACCACCACGTCACCGGACCTCGAACAAAGCAGGTATCGATGCAGGAGACACGGAGATATGGCGGCCTGGAAGGTGTGAGATAAGAGCACTCCGGCCTGGACGAGGGAGGGACGGGTAATAACTTGGCTCGCATGCGCCCAAGCAAGGCCCAGTACCTAGGGAGAGATAGCAGGGCTGGGGTAAGGCACTGATTATCTTGCCCGGAATTAGGAATGAGGGGGGGAAAAGGTATGCGAGGGGAGGCCCGAAGGCCTCAGTACCCATGGGACAATGCGCCATGAATGGCAGCCGCACACCGCAGCAGGTGTCATGTGTTGGGAGCGGGCTAAGCGCGGTTAATGAAGGGGTTACCTTCCCGTTCCAGGCTGGGTTCGTTTCGTCCAACTATGTACTTGGCGACCGGTTACATTGCGTCTGATGTTTGTAACAGGCGCGAGGTACTATCCCTACGTGTGTACGGAGTACATAGGAATATGTGCGGTGTGGTGGCACGTAAGGCGGATCGTCAGTCTCGACGCGCGCAAATGAGAATGTTCCAGCTGGTAGGCTGGGAAACCTCTTCCGGGCTATCGATCCGGGCCTGGCCAGGGCCGCGTGGGTGGGCGCGAGGCGTCGAAGAGTGGTACACCAGGGCGCACACACGAGATGGGCCTCGTCGAATAATAGGACTGGAATGAGCAGGGTAAAAACAAGAAAGACGATGGTCCGATAGGCCCAAGCTATCTTCGGGACGATTTAATTAATCGACCAAGGCCCTAGAGGGACAGCTTCTGAACGAACTCCCCTCAACTCCAAGACCAAGAGGCTCTTAGTCAGCCACGCAGAAACCTGCCTGGCGGTCGCGAACGTCATCGTCCTTGTTTTCTGCGCTTTTCACCGAAAGGGCCCTACCCCACACCTTCACACCCTGCCCACCACTTCTCGGCCATACCCCCTTTCCTCCTCCAGCGACTCTCCATTCACTTGTTCAAACCAGCCGGGTGCTCTCCGCATCAGTCCTTCTTTTATTGTCTTCCAAGATGGCGGAATTCGTACGATCCCAGATCTTCGGCACGACCTTCGAGATCACTAGCCGGTTCGCATTGCCTAGCAGCATAGCTCCGACGGAACCCCGATTGCTGAGATTCGCACGTTTAGGTATACGGACTTGCAGCCGGTAGGCATGGGCGCCTTCGGGCTTGTCTGGTATGTCATTGTTCTACTCCGAGCGGCCATCGCGCCCTACGCGCCATATCCCGGAAGCTGACCGGAACGTGACCCGATAGCTCGGCGCGAGACCAATTGACCGGCCAGCCGGTCGCAGTGAAGAAGATCATGAAGCCCTTCAGCACCCCGGTCCTCTCCAAACGTACCTATCGTGAGCTGAAGCTGCTCAAGCATCTGCGACACGAAAATGTGTGTTACCCCTCTCTCACCACTTGCCGCGGGACCGTCTCGCGCGCGCCCGCAATGTTAACTGACCACCCCTGCAGATCATCAGCCTGAGCGACATTTTCATCTCTCCCCTCGAGGACATGTACGTCGGGCCCTTTGCCGGATGTTTGCGACATGCCAGTGCTAATATAGCTGCAGCTACTTCGTGACCGAGCTTCTGGGAACCGATCTCCACCGCCTCTTGACTTCTCGCCCGCTAGAGAAGCAATTCATTCAATACTTCCTCTACCAGATCCTCGTGAGTCCCGAGAGCTGCCGGAAAGCACCCGCTTTAATTCTGACCCCCCTCACAGCGTGGATTGAAATATGTCCACTCCGCCGGTGTGGTCCACCGAGACCTGAAGCCTAGCAACATCCTCATTAATGAAAACTGCGACTTAAAGATCTGCGATTTTGGTTTGGCCCGAATTCAGGACCCGCAGATGACTGGCTATGTTTCAACAAGATATTATCGCGCCCCCGAAATTATGCTCACCTGGCAAAAGTACGATGTGGAGGTGGATATCTGGAGTGCTGGCTGCATCTTCGCTGAGATGCTGGAAGGGAAACCGCTCTTCCCCGGAAAGGACCATGTCAACCAGTTCTCAATCATCACTGAGCTGCTGGGTACACCCCCAGATGATGTGATTCAAACCATCTGCAGTGAGAACGTGAGTCTTGCGCAACCATGCAATGAAAATCACCAGATCCACTAATATCTGATCTATGTATAGACTCTGCGATTCGTCAAGTCCCTTCCTAAGCGCGAGCGCCAGCCTTTGGCGAACAAGTTCCGGAATGCCGATGCTGATGGTATGCGATTCTCCCGATATTACCCCTCCCACCCTCCAATACTGTATGGTCCCTAATAATTTTGGAAGCCGTGGATCTGCTCGAGCGGATGCTGGTGTTTGACCCGAAGACGCGGATTCGTGCGGACGAAGCATTGGCCCACGAATATTTGGCCCCCTACCACGACCCCAACGATGAACCCGTTGCGCAAGAGAAGTTCGACTGGTCCTTCAACGATGCCGATCTGCCGGTGGATACTTGGAAGATCATGATGTATGTTTTACACATGCACATAGAACCTTACCACTTACTGACAATCCTGGAACAGGTACTCGGAAATTCTCGATTTCCACAACATTGAACAAGGGAACGAGGCGGGTCAGGCTCTGGTCGCGGGTGCAGTGCAGGGCAACGGCCCACCCCAAGCCTACGCATAAGTATCAACTAACAGTCTGTCAACCTTTTCTTTCTGCTCTTGATACTTATTCTCGGGTTTCATGACTGTTCGTGGAAGCCCAAAGCATACTGTATCTCCGGGGAATCCTCTGCAACATTGGCGTGAATGTTGTTGTTTTTTCTTTTCTATTCTTCTTCTAATTGGAAGCCATTGTCCATAGTTCCTTCGGCGTCGTCCAGAACTGGTTGGTGAGGGGAAATTACATGGTCTCGAGCGTTGTTGCGTCGTGGCGTACACTCGTGTACCTTTACTTAGTGCCTACCTAACGGATATCCTATGCCACATCTCGGCTTTCCGTTTCCGTTTTAGTGCTCACCCCTCGCCGCTTTTTGATCACTGAGTAGAATTGAGCACGTCCCTGAGCAGCCTGAGTTCGTCAGTGATCATTGCTTACTCAACCCGATCCACTCACTGAGCCTGTTCTGAACATCCTGATTTGATCACTAAACCTGGCCAGAAGCAGCACCGATCTGCTTACTAATCTTCACCAGTAATTATAATCCAACTGAGACGCATAATAGACTGGGAGAGCGAAGGCCCAGTGGTCAGATGATGCGGAGATCACCTGAGGGATGTGTGAAGAAGGGAACAGCTGATCGGACTAACATGGGCCCGTTTGCATGAGAGCTCTCTACATAATAGCGGACACCCCCATGGTTTCTTCTTCACTTTAGTCATTTCGGTGAATGCACCTGGTTTCTTTTCCAGCTTGGCTCCTTCATAACATTAACTACTTAAAAAAAAGACTAAGACTAGATAGTCTAGTCCCAGTCCTAATAGTTAGGACCGGACCTAGTCCTTACCAAGGTCTAAAGCTAAGTATATTTTCTATTCTAATTTCTCTATTTTCTTATCAGATAAAAAATCCTTCTTATTGTTTTATTTTCTATCGCCAACTAATTTATTTATTTTTACTAAGCGGTAAGGCTGTTCCTAGCTTCAACTATAGCTTTCATTGATATAGCTATAGTTTCTAGCAGCTTTCTAGCAGCCCTATTGATACGGAGGTCTAGCGCGCTCCAGTTTTAGATCTTTTAATCTTTATTCTTCTCTTACCCTTATGCTTTAGGGGTTCCTCTCTCCCTGTTAATTTGTACTCTTTTATCTTCTTCTCTTGTTTCTATGAGTTCTTTCTATTTATTCTCTTATTTCCTAATCAGGTTTTTTTCGATTTTTAAGTCTCACCTTTCATCCTGGTAACGATTCGGATCCGGTGTACATAGGTGGGAAGAATAGGTTGGCATGTATCTGTGAACGACCGTAGCTGGCCTTGCCTCGTTCAAGATGTCTTTGTGCTCCATATAATTAATAGTGTACTGACCGTGGCAGCAGACTTAGGTATAGTGGGACTGGTGAGTACAGTGGCAATGTCCTAGTTAGTTATGTTAGGGGTAAATATAGATGAGCCACTTATTGTAGACTTTTATATCTAAGGATGATAAAGCAGACATTGTCATGGTTAGTTAATAGTCTTCGGCAAAGGATAATAGTAGCCATTGCAGCGCAAAACGAGACATTGGGCCGTTAGCTCATCCACGACTTGAGGACTCTGAAACGAATAATATGATCCAACCAATTTCATTGTGACTAACTATCCTATCCTGACACACTCGTCGCCATACGTTGCCCAGCATTACCAATATATTTCACCCAAGAAATCCGACCCCCAGAATCAGGGCACTCAGATAGTAGATAGAGAAACGAGCATAGTTGCTGACGCCACCACTTGTCTTGGTCGCACTTGAGCTGGCGTGCGTCGCTGTTGCAGTGCTCGATGTGTTTCCACTGGTGGCATTGGCCGTTGAAAGACTATACAGGGCTATTCCGGAGTGTGTCAGAGGGATAACCATCTGGTTTGAGCTAGTGTCGATTGCCACTGAGTGAGCGGTGACATTGTCTGTCTTCAGAGTTTGAATAAGAGTGTAGGTCTTTGCATCGATGATTCCCACCTCGGGCGACGGGGCACCAGTCTTGCTGCCACCAGCAAGATTCTGATAAGCCGAAGCATAATAGAGCATCGTGGTTGGATTGTATGCAACTTGGTCAACACCAGCAATGCCGGATATATTAGCCAGCACCTTGCCGGTTGACATATCGAGCACTTGGCTGAAGGCAGTTCCGTAGGTCAGGATCTGGTCTTGGCTACAAGCGACAAAGAGGTTCTCCTGTGGCCCAAAGACGATACCTGCCGGGACACATTCAGATAGTGGGGTAACCTTGGCGATAGCCATTGCTGAGACGTCAATCTCGGCGATTTCGCCGCCTGGGTTGGCGTCAGTGCTGGGGACGGAAACATAGAATTTCCCGTTGGTGGGATTCCAGGCGGGTTGCTCGAGACCAGATGCATTTTTGAATGCAATACTACCGAGGACCTTTCGCTGGCTTGCGGAGATGACAGTCACAAATGGTGGGACATCATTGGGGCTTGTGACAACGATAGTCTGGGTTTGAGGGTTATAAGCAAACTCGTCGGCCCGCTTCTTGGAGCCGGTCGAGATATTGGCTATAATGGTATTCTTGAACAAATCCACGACTTTGACAGAGCCATCTCCATCCCCGATGTACAATTCGTTGCGGTCAGGCAGAACGACAAGCCCATCAGGTCCAGATATCGAGGAATCGGTCTTGTTTTTGGTGAAGCGTTGACCGATGAAGCCGGTGATACTGGTCTTCTCCTTGCTGGTGGCTAGATCAACGACGTGAACAACGCTGTTCGTGCGATCAGCCAAGTAGTATGTGCCGTTATACACGGCACCCTGATCAACGCTGGTTGCGTTCTTCGGTGTCCAAGGAACAGTGGACGCCAGCTGGTAGGAAAGCCCGCTGACAAATGCCACGTTATGGAAAAGAAGAAGAAAAGGGTTGACACGCATCTTCAGAATAGAGATTTCAGACTTTTCAGGGAGTAATAATGATCAAGGGAATAAATGCTGATGTCAATATTTCTCATGGTTTTGTATCACATCTGATCTCAGCTCAGGACATGCTCTGCGCTTTTATATGTCTGGATTCAAGGACATTTCGCCGACTCTATATCTTGGAACTCGTACCTACAGGGCTAAAATTTCCTCATGTCCACCATGGCGTTTCTCAAGGTCTGAACTCAATTGAATCAATGCTGTTGCCTTGGGAAGGTCTCCTGTTACCAATGCATGCCAAAGACCCCGCTCGTGGCCGAATGAGATCGAGTGGAGATGTTTCCTGTTATTCCCCGCAAGAGGGGTAAGGACCCTTGCCCTGAAAAGACAAACATACCAGCCTCATCCCCATACTCTAACCCGGAACAGAAAATGAATATGACGATTAACGCTGAAAATAAACGGGATGGTATTGCCTGTCGCTAATAGGGCACCGATACGGAGCTTCTCCGAAATCGCTATACTCACGAGGGGTGTGACCGCAAGTTTCAAATGTTGTGATAGATATCAACATTTCTAGCGACCAAACGGTCTTGGCGGATGTAGGTCCCCCAGTTTTTCCCGAGTTTCCCCGGAACTTAAGCCATTCAAGCTTTACCCCGTGTCTTGTCCCGTGGCCCGCTGATCGGGGTCAAGCTGTAAATTCGGGAGCGGGGAGCCCGGTTAACGAACGGATCCCTAGTTATTGGTGGAAGGGTCCGCTCGGCAATTTCCACTTTCTGAGTTCGAGGGGTCCACGGCATGGACGTACTTTGTGCATTTGCCGTATATCGCTGTAACCTCCGAAATTCGCTGGAATCCGCTTGTCATCTGTCACAGTATCGTAGAAGGAATGCTTATATTTTTGTTCTCAGTGGGTCAAGCATTGGTCCGCCGACCCTGCATAATCTGCGCGGGGTATACTCTGTGCTCCGCAAAGAATAGGTGCGGGTCATTTTGCGGAGAGTTCGAGTCTAGCTTTGTACACTATCCCAATTTCTCTATATGAGCTACTGGGAAATGGTACATTTATTGATATATGAACTCATTGTGATGTGAATTTCTGTTGCGGAGATTCAAAATCCTTCCTTGCAACTTTCCGCCCGACAAGCATTAATTTGTGATGAACTGACCTGCACAAACTTGATTTTGAAGGAGACGCGGCCCATGCCGAACTAGCCTTATGTTGGGGATGCCGATAAAGCAGCTAGCGTGTGTGTAATACGGACCAACTGCGGGGTCTGAGCGTATTAACGCAAGGAAGAGAAAACAATTCGAGTATGGACACAGTCCAGCCCGTTTCCTTGGTTCCCATTTGAGGAGCACTGTTATCAATATTAAACTTTCTACGAGTGGGTATGGGGGATGACACTTGTGTTAGCTGAGATTTGGCCACAGGCCGCTCATGATAAGCCCTGCTCAAGTCGCCAACCGAAAAGAAAACATTACTGCCATGGTCCAAATTGGTAGCGTCGGAGGCTCCCTTGTGAACTTCATACTGGCTGGCAAGATTGGTGAGTTGCCGTTAAAGTAGACCAACAATGATACCTTCCGGGTGGTTGCTGATGAAAATGTTCGAAAATGTCGTCTTTCGGCTGCTCGTCAGCTTTGCCTAACCTGGATCATCGGAACCATTGTATATATCAAGGCAAACGACAATTATGGTCAGATCCTCAATGGCCGCTTTGTCATGGGTCTTGGAATCGGCCAAACAACTGTGATCGCCCCTGCGTACATCCTCCCCATCCACATAACACGTATCTCACACACAATATGAAACATATAATAACTCCACAGTACAGTTACCTTACCGAAAGTGCCCGGAGGACCATCGGAGGCCTGTGCGTGTGCATCTTCACCGCAATGTCTACCTCGGCATCATGCTTGGCTACTTTGCCAATTGGGGCACTTCGCTACATATCCCTTATAAAAGCTGGATGCAGAGGGTTGGACCCTCTCTGATGCATGTTATCCTTGCGGACTGATTCTTATTATGTCCTTCTTTGCTATCGAGTCGCCACGTTGGATCTGCAAGGTTGGGCACCAGGACCAGGCCGCTGATGCGATGTCCAAACTTCGCAACTTCCTAGCTAATCATCCGTACATTTGTGCCAAGTGAATTGACACCCACCACCAGCTCGAGCGCGAGAAGGAAGCAATTATGGGAGTGGACACCTGGGGAGTTGTCAAGAAATTATTCTTGATTCCAAGCAACAGCTATCGGTTGTTCCTTGGTCTTATGTCTCAACTGCTTCGCCGTAAGTTTTTGTTCTCGTACTCGCCTTGTTACTGAATGAATTACCTAAAAAAAGAGAGCTGACCTCATCTCTCTTCTATTAGGGTGGAGCGGAGCAAATTCCATTACCATCTACGCACCTCACTTCTTCGCCCTTGTCGGCACTACTGGATAGTCTGAGAGCTTGTTTGACACTGCTATTTTTGGTGTTGTCAAATTCACCTCTGCGCTGATCTGCGCCTTCTTCCTGGTTGATTTCATTGGGCGCAAGCTCGATCTCCGTCTAGGTACCCTCGTGCAGTTCATCTCCATGCATTACGTGGCCATCTTAACTATAGTGCCAAGAATCGCTACTGGTAAAAGTTTCCAGGTGCAAGCGCGAGCACACAGCCACGGGTGGCATCGCTAAGATCTATTTCTCAGGTGTTAGATGAGCTTTGGGATGAAACAGCATTCAAGTAGGCCCCGACCCCCTCAATCCCTTCCTATACACGTTGTCACTTCTCTGACTTGTCCCTCAGTACCTCATCAAAGCGGAGATCTTCCCTCTCCGCGTGGATGCTCTCGGAACCAGCATGATCATGTGTTTCCAATTCATCAATCAGTATGGTAATAGCAAAGCCGTCCCCTTGGAAAAGCTCCCGGTCTCAAGCCACAGCACATATTCTGGTTCTTTCAATCTGTTACACTCGGTCTAGCTTTTGTCTGGTTCTTCGGGCCTGGGACCGAGCTAGCAGGTCACTGGAGACCATAGATGTCCTATTCGATCTTCCTTGATATTTTATTGGCCGTAAGGGCAAGAAGCTTACCAGGGGTCAGGAAGCATTGGTAGATACTGTGGGACAACTCAGCGATGAGAAGTTAGCTGAATTGGAGGCACAGCATAAGCATCACAAACATGCGGAGACCTCACACACTGGTCGGACCACTGAGGTGGCTTAATGCCCTTCAACCCGGGCGTAGAGAATGAAAAATGACAGGATGAGATGTCACAGTAGAGGTAAAAATGTCTTCCATGGAAACGTTATGAGTTTCAGATAATATATTTACTTGATATAACCTAGTGGAACAACAGACAGTTAGAAGTATGTAAGTAGGCCTGTAACTACAGTCGGTACAGACAACTTTCCGGACACCCCCCTTGCAATTTTAAAATATTACATAAGATTCTGCCAGCAGATGTTGCCATGGTAGCTATATTGGCTGACTTGGCTGTCTTGCTGTCTGGCTATCTGGCTGTCTGGCTGTCTGGCTATCTTGGCTGTCTGGCTATATTGGCTGTCTGGCTATATTAATATGTAGTATACCAGCCATCTGCGTCGATAATCGCCTGCACACGCCTAGGCATACTATCTGATAGTCTTTGTAATATCTTATGATCTATACAAGACTACGCTGTCTACGCAGCTAATATTAAGAACGACTGCGTTGCTTCATTATTTCGTATATGATATAGCTCAGGAAATATCTTTAATAGCTTATCTTTTAGCAACGCCTAAAGATTTTCGATAGGGTTTAAATCAGGCGAATAAGGCGGCCATTCTATAATAATATAGCCTTGTTCTTGTAGCTAATTACGTACGCAATATGTAGTGTGTACTGGAGCGTTATCGTGCATAAAGATAGCCGATCGATCCGATGTAGATTGAGATAATAACGTCGGTAGCTATTATCGATATATTTCGAGGATTCGTATACTATTAACACTACTACCTACGAGGTAAATCGAAATAGCTATAAAGGGGTATTAAGGCTGTTTGACGTACACTCCCTGCGAAAGACGCCTAAAATATCTATCGAAGCTGTTTATTATATAGTATCGGCTTTACCTCGCCTAAACGAGCTTGATCTTTTCGTCGAATAAACGTCTACTCATCGTTTTCGCTAGAACCTCGCTTAATTAATGTTTCATCAGACTAATAGACGTTTTCCTAATCACTCGATATAAAATCACGATATCTCTACGCCTATATAAAACGTAAGCGTACGTCACGCTCGGTTAATTAAGGTCGCTTGATCTTACGCCATTCTCGTAGACTAAGGTCTTTCAAAAGTAGCCGAAGTGTCTCGCGGCTAATCTTATTATCGACAAGATCAAGCAATTCGTTATATTTAATACCTAGCTTCGTTTAGATAGCGTCGAATAGGAGGTCTCGTTCGAATTCACTAAGGTTACGTAGCCGACCGGAGCGCTTACGTGAGGTGTTTTCGTAGCTACGAATAGCCTCTTTAAGACACGTATCGATGATTGTAGAGCGTAGAATATATAGAAATTCGCCTCGTATACGATTATATGACCATTTGGCGTTATTTCGAAGGCTGCATATACGCGAGCGAGTTGATAGTGAGAGTTCTTTACCTGCACCCATTATATATGTATGTGTGTGTGTGTATATAAGATAGGGGGGGAAATCTTACATATCCCTTATTCGACGCATTGTTGATATTATTGTTGATATTATTGTTGATGTTTACTATTGATCTATCATATTTTAATGGTTGCTAGGCGTTTATGGCTAATTTAGTAGGCGGTAAGATTAGGCGGTGGAAGGGTGTCCGGAAAGTTGTCTGTACCGACTGTAGTTCCTTACCTAATCAACACGCCATCTAAGTTAGTGACCGTCACTAGTTAACTAACTTAACTCACTACTGTACAAGTAGATAGGTACCATAATGTTTTTAGAATTTTATGTAACTTTATGCAAAAATAGTTTTTGTTAGGGCCCTATTAGGGAAGCCTAGTGGTTTGTGGTTTGGTTACATTTTGGTTAGTTTGAAACCGCAACTATTACGGTTTGTTTTTGGGGGCAAGGTTTGCCCCCTAATGGCGGTTTTGGCGCACTCTACTCTTGATCTACAGTGGGAGTGCAAAGTTTGAAAATATTACTCTTCACCGCTCAAAGCCTACCGCATACTCCGCCTACCTCGCACGCGCAAGGGTCCTATACTATTACCATTTAGCCTTCCACATATCCTATCACACTGCCTACCACATTACCTAGCACACTGCCTAGCATAATACCTACCATACTGCCTACCATACTATATTAATACGCCTCACACAACATGTAGGTAGGCGACGGCTTATCTTTCTGCCTAGACCGGCGGAAAGGTCTTGGCATTAAGGGAAAGGGTATCCACTGCCACTGTATTAGTCTGCACGTTACTAGGCGTTACCATTCTTCCTAAGTTCAACACCAAGCAATAAGCATAGTAGGGTACCGCGCGAGATATTAGGATTACCATACAATACCAATGAAAGATTACGCACAGGCCCAGGGTTAGCCGGGGAAATGTACAGATGAGTATGCTGGTTCCACGGGAGAAATTAGGCATACATATAAAAGAAAAACACGGTAAGAAATGGCAGGACGGACGGGGGCCAGCCCCTGCGGTAGCGGCGGCGACGGCACTTCAGAGAAAGCTTAAAAATGATTAAAGCCTTGGCCTGACACAAAGCAGGATCTTGGCTTGCTATTTTTTACCTCGGGGCAACGGGATGCGGCAAGATCATGGAGCCGTTCGATCCCTGATCTCTCATCCCTTGGTTGCGAGAGATGACTATTGATCTATTCCAGCGGCTTTCCCGGCTTGTATCACCCCGGCATCGTTTTGCACCGTGCACCACCCACTGACCACCCCACCGCCACTGTTCACTGTTCTGCACTTGTCCTGGGCACTCGAGCCACGAGTTGCATCACGAGGCATACACACCAAGCAAAAAGGTTGATTATGGGGTTGTCACTGCCCCTTGTTAATTCGACAAACAAAATTGATATGCTCGGTGCTCAGGCAATTTCCGCATCCCGCAGGCCCACTTAAATGGAATTTGGCTACAAGGTAATGTAGAAAGTTGCAGCCTGCCATGCCGCAGCCCCGCGAGGTGGTGAGGTGGACTAAACGCTGCTGATCCCTGAGATAATATAGCAATCAAGGGCACGCGGCGACACACGTGCTGAGCTTCATTGACGATAAGCTCTCCCGTGCTAGCCGGGAGATGTCACTACCTTGTCCTGACAAGCTCATGCCAAGACAGCATTATTATCTTAGCTTGTACGTACTGTACGGTACCAAGGATTTCACATCGAAACTTCAAAACATACGGAAGGTAGGACATGATAGGGCAGGGTTAGATTGGATTGAACAGAAACAACGCTCTCAATCCCAGTCTGCTGTAAGTCCCAGTCTATGATTCTTGTCCTTGCCCTGCTTCGACTGCTCCATTATTGATCTTGAGCCAACCCACAGAGATTATGGACATCATATCAATATTGCATAGCTGCAGTGCATTTACCACGAATCCACACTGTTCTTAGGAATGGATTCCGCAGCTAGCCATTGTGACCTTACGGCCCATGATGGATCCTTGCCTTAGCCTCATATATCGAGAAAGCAGCCATGGATCCCTACAAGCATCAGGACACCTGCACGTGCTGGTTAACTGATCCACCAAGGCGTTGAGATGATGGATGGAACTGAGTCGAGCATGCCTCCGTACAGCGAGCCCGGTTGTCTATATAATCCAAAGGAATTGAAGTTGGGAATCTTTTTTTTTCTTTTCTTGGATCACGACGCTTCATCCTGCTTCCGGCTCAAAGGCCTTCAAGATTTGACTCTTTCCTTGCTTCCGGACCTTTCCGTCAAGAAAAAAATATGTACTTCAAGAACCCAACTGTTGCCGCCGGCGCCGCCGCGCTGGCCGTCATTGGCCAGGCCACCGCTCAGGACATTCTTCCCGACAGCGAACTCCCTCAGATTGGTGGTGGTTACTTCAATGCCAGTGACCCTGCGCTTGCTGGCTACACGTACAATGGTGTTCCTCCCTTCGCCGCCGGTGCCTTCGACGGTTACTACAAGTGGGCGCTGAACAACAACACGGTCTCCATCAACAATGCCACCTACCTGTCCCTGCCCTTCGGCATAACCGATCTGGGCCAGAAGAACACCATATATCCCTTCTACATTGTCAGCGAGGGAACCCCCAAGGAGATCACTCTCAACTCTGCCAAGTCTGACGGCGCTTGCGACCTGGAGGGTGAGGGCAAGGGCCAGGGCAAGGGCCAGGACAAGGGCCAGGACAAGGGCCAGGACAAGGCCAAGTTCAAGAAGATCCTCCACATCATCTTTGAGAACCAGGTCTACAACTGGACCATGAGCAGCCCCTGGTGGCAGGTGGCCGCTAAGCGTGGTAAGCTGTTGACCAACAGCCACGGCATCGCCCACCCTTCCTACCCCAACTATGCTTCCATTGTCGCTGGTGACTTCTTCGGTGTGAGCGCCGAGAATTTCTACTTCCTCAACACCACCTCCATCTACGATCTTCTCGACGCCAAGAACCTCGACTACGCTTCCTACGTTGAGTGGTACACCCCCGTCGCCACTGAGCGTGGTCCCAACGACTGCAACAACGCCGTCTTCCTCGGCCCCATGGATGGTCTTAACTTCCCCGATTCCTCCCCCATCTACCGTCGTCTTGATGTTCCCGCCCTGCTCTTCTCAACCTACGTTGAGCAATACAGCCGCTGCGAGCGTGTGCTTAAGGCCTCCCAGCACTTCTATAACGACGTCTTCTCCAACAAGTTGCCCGCCTACTCCTTCTATGTCCCTGACATGCTCCACAACGCCCACGACCCTGTCCCCGATGAGAGCATGTTCGACACCGCTGCTAGCTCTGGCATGTGGTTGAACTCCTTCCTCGACATGTACCTTGAAGAGTTGACCGCCCAGGGTACTCTCGTTGTGGCAACCTGGGATGAAGCTACCTGGCCCAACGGCAGCGACTCTGTCCCCAACAACAACAACTCCATCGCAACCATCCTCTTCGGCCACGGCATCACCCCCAACACCTACGATGACAACTACCTCACCCACTATGGTCTCCTCCGTGGTGCCATCAGCAACTTCGGCCTTGGCTCGCTCGGCCGTAACGACACCAACGCCACTAACGGTGACCTCACCCAGTTCATCAACTAAGCGTGGTGTTCTTACCCTATAGGGAGAACCCGTCAAGCTCCAACTCCCCCTATTTCTAGATATCTCTCTTTTTCTGTCTTACCCCTAGCCATGGTGACCTGATTATATGTTGTGCCTGGATCTGAGGCACCATGATTCAGCTCTCAGTAAGTAGATAGTTGCAGATTAGCTTTCTTCATTCATGAAGATAGTCATAAAATCAATAATTATTATTATTATCATCATCTTACCCGCAGCAAATATCTTTGGGCAGTTGTCACTCCACGTTTTAGACATGTAAGAAGAAACTGGATATATCGTTTTGGGAAGCTAAAGGTTGGTCTTCAAATCTTATCTAGAGTAGGATTCATTTTTGTTCTAGCGTTTCCATCAGGGGTCCACGGACATGTTGATCCAAAATTTATGTCTCATCCAGAGTCCAAATCGTAAAGTTGCTTGATGTAAAGCAGACCGGACCGCTTGGAATTTACAAATGAGACTTTCCTTGGAGGAGATGGGCCTTGCCTGGAAAATCGTTTAATAGTGTAGGCTGTTTTACTCCATCGCAATCAAAAAAGCACCGAATTCTTGACACGACGTGCTATGAATAATTGTAGTTCAAGTTGGACCCCACATTATAACAACGGATATTATTTTTGTGCTCACCATAAGGAGAAAAGAGTTTTCGTCGGAAAGCAGTCAAGGCTAGCCCCTGGGCGAAATGTAAATCTTAGGTACTCACAGATCGCCACCCTAGACCCAACCACAGTGGGCATGATTGTTGTAAGCGCACATCCTCTCTATTAGATATTGGGTCTAATACTATATCCGCAAATTGAGGATAATAGACATTACCTCTATACTATATCCTTAATAAGGATATCTATTAGATATCCGTAAGATATCCGTACTAGCATAACTCTCGCTTAATTAGCTAGTTTAGGTATATCATGTGAATCTTATATTATTTTATACCCTTAAATCTCCAAAAATTACCTAAATAGGTAATAATCTTGGTATATTATCTCATTTGATATCTATTAGATATCCTCAAATATCCGGAGAATATTATACTATATCCAGAAAATTGAGGATTGCGGATATTGGGTGACCTACCATATCCGCAATTTGCGGAGAGGATATGTAGATATCTATGGAGATTGAGGATGTAGCCGCAGTCTAGCTGTATCTATGATATTATATCTGTAGTTTATATTTTCAGAAGCAAGGTATTAAATGCATGTTGTGGCGATCAGAGACTAGGTCAAAATATTCTTTTATTTCTTAGACAATCTTAAGAGATTAGAGATCCCTTTCAATACCAGAGTTTCTCCATCGAATTAAAGGGGAAGGACCGCTAATAACTCAGCATCATTACTTGAATAGTAACTTGCAAAAATGGCCAGAGTCAGATTTCCCGTTACTACGCTAGTTACAGTGACTTATTCTTCATTTTAGTCGCCAGGAACGTATCTCATTCGCAGTAAAGAATTCTTCGTTTCCGGTGGATATGGATGATAACCCAAAGAAAGAATGTGTTCGAGTTTCTGATCTCGCTCAAATTCAACACATGAGTAATCTGCAACTAACTGCGGAAGAGGTCCACGATATTCTAAAATCATACTACAAGGTAGCTCGGAAAAGATTCATTGACAATATGTATCAATCTACTGTATGTATGCAGTTCAGGCCTCTCTTTCCCCTTCTCAATGACACCTTAAAGTTCTCTACATACCTTATGCCTCATTTTGTACCTCCAGATACCCGTGCCACACTTGAAAACTGATTATGGAATAAATGCAAGCTGCACGGCATTCGGAGGTTTAGTCGGTAGTTCCTCCACCTGACGCTGTGCTGCCCAAACCCCGCCTGAGCTCTCTGAGATTGCCTGAGAGCTCTTGAATGCTCCCAACTGAAGACCGAGCATTGTAATGAAGGTGAATAAAACGGGTGGGCCAAACAGTCGAATGGGGCGGCGGAGAAAGCTCGAGACCACTGCGGCTGCACCTTTAGCAAACCCCAGAGGATATTCCCGCGATTCCTTTAGGGGCTTGTAAGACAGAGGAAAGCCGGACATAACGTAGAAAACCGAGATTGCCCATGTCCCTGTGAAGGGTAGTCGTATAATTGGAAGTTGGATGATCCAATTGGTTTTAGCATGGGAATCCTCAGGTCGCGCACATGAACTTGCGAGTGCTTCTTGGGATAGACCATAGCCGTAGAAAACGATAGCCTGGTAGGCGTAGAGAATGTGGTAGTTCATGACAGCAAGAGCGGCATACCCTCTCAGACCGTCAAGCGAAGACGTGAAAGGGCGACATTCATGGGCCTCGGAGCCATGAATGAAACTTGGTAACAAGAATGAAACGAAAGATCTTGCCCATCTCGATGCCTTTGTGCTCAGAGCCGACTGGTGGATCTGAAAGGCTTTGGTGAGACGGTCCTTTAGGCCGTAATTGACGCTCTCGAGTATATGCTGCTCTTCGTCAATGCCTAGTTCGTGGTTGGAATCTTCATATTGGGAAGCACTGGATGATAATTGAAAGAAAGAATTCTCCATTGAGAGTGACATTGGTCGATGAACAAACCAGATCTAAGTGATGATCAAGGCTCGCCTCAGATTTAACTCGGGCCAACTCGTCGCTAGGGTACACTAATATAGTACAAATACTACTACTCGGAAATGACGTCTAAACACGGATGATAGAAGGGTGCTACTAGTGTTATAAGCATAATCAATACATAAATATACCCTTTTTAAGATTAATCATATTGATGACTTTATGCTAACGTAGAGGTTAGATTCGGGGGCTGGAAAAGAGCTAGTTATGTGATCCATCTTGCGTGCAATCTATTCGGGTCTGCCACCCACTTCAACTACTACAAACTGCGGCGGATACTGTTATGCCATTCGTGTCGTTGGGAACTGAGTGGACCCGGGCGCACTGCATCCAAAATTCCAAATAGTGGAAATGCGTGAAAGGGTCAGGAATGAGGAATCATGTTAGGAGTTCCCACTCGTAAGCTTCCGTCCCACGGTGGCTAATATTAATTTTACGTTGCATTGATTTCGCCCCTGAGCCCCGATTGGATTGGAACGCTGCGGAAAGGGGAAACTCGGCAAGTAGATTGGAGCGAGGTAATCGACAGAAGATGCATAAAGAGCTAAAGCCACAGAAAGTTAGTTGAAATCTAGATACAAGTGTATTAGTCTAATCTTAGCGCTACAGTAAAAGAGGGCTGACGTGTTCTTGGAAGCCCCCATAGATAAGGGCCTTTGTCGAGGTAACTATTTGAGCGTACAAGATGTAGATTGGTCATTTAATCCTGCACGGACTTTTGCTTCCTCTTCCTATTTTCATGTTTGCCAACCAAAAATTCATTACAGTCAAGAAATGAGCTACAGAATCCCTCGGCCTACATCTGACATCTGGTGTCTCCGTCCGTCGGTCTTCCGTGCGGGACCAGTACTTTTGTCAGGACTCAGATCAACTGCCCCTCCGCTAGGAAGTGATACCTGTAACCAGATCAAGGCATCCCCAATTTTTGAAACAAAACTGCAATCCCGTTTCTCGTGCCTGGGACTTGATCAATCGCGGTGTCCTACATTACCCGTCATCGGGGTATTATTCTACTAAATTTCGGCGCACTTGATATCCGCACAGTTGCACAGGCTAGAATGTGGAAGCCAGATCTGAGTTTCTTTCTCAAGCGGCTTCGATACCAACGAGTTGCCTCCATTGGCGACGATGCTTTCGATGAAGTCACCTCCAGTTCATCATGGGCTTTACCGTCGATCAATGGCAAGAAGGCTGCCCAGCGCAAAAGCACATTGTATAAAGTCTCTCATCTTTGCATATCATTTTTTTGCCTCATTGCCTCCATTTCTTTCTTCTTATTGAAGTATTACAATGAATTATCTGATGAAAATTGTGTGCGGCGGCTGTCAGCTCCAAGTTTGTCCCTCTCCTCTGAAGTCATGCTCCTCACAACTGACAACAACCTCGATAGGTCCAGCGCTGGAAGCTGTCGAGCTTGAATGGGTGACATTAAATGATACATTTCAGCCTGATGAGTATAGCGGATACCCCTCCGATACTTCAGAGAAAGCATGGGGAGCGTTATGGGACTGTGAGTTTAAAGCTCTTAACATATCTACCCGGTAGATGAGACGTCAAAGCTCATTCGAAAAGTTGGCGCCTTTACTGTGCCCCTAGATTATCTCGCCGGATTAAACAAATCTTCAATGACGGGTGATTTCAGGTTGGTCGGCTCAGGACCAGATGCGGGGGTCGGTGGTCTTTTAGAGGGAGCCCATCAGATTCATTGCTTGGTAAGTTGCGGCGAATTCTATGTCAAAACTGCCTAGCTAATAGAGAGCCCTGCAGAATCTTGTGAGGCAGTTCATCTATCGAGATCATTGGGACTATAGCCAACTGCCCTCTTTCAGTGGTGGGGAGAAGACCCGCAGGCACCATGTAGACCATTGTATTGAGACGCTGCGAATGGTCTTTGCATGTCAGAGTGATGTGACTCCATATTACTTAGTAACAAGCCCAGGTGCGAAGGTGGAGAGCAGAGGACGTCCGCATAAGTGTCGAAAGTATCCGAAGCTGGTTGACTGGGTGAATTCACATTCCATATTCGACACTGTGGAAAAGTAGTTTCAGTTAGCATGTGGAGTAGGAGCTCAACCAGAATTCAATATCATGCACAGCAGCGAATGACCGATATCTTTTCCTAGGCTTCAAGACTGGAATCCCGAAGTAGTCATAACTTAGGTCATTATTAATTACCTAACCCGATAAGAATAGATATTGGAGGAATAGGCAGCAAGATAAAAATTAAACAAGCACGTGCTCTCACTGCGCTAAAATAAAAGTTCACCAACAAAAGCACTCGCTTCAATTCCATCGTAGCCCCTCACACAAGTCCCAAGCTTCGGCGCAGAAATGACCTTCAACGTCCTCATAACCAACGCTGTCGACCTACAACAGCTACTCGAAGAGAACAAGATCACGAGCACGCAGGTTGTCGAGAAATACTTAGCACAAATCGATCGCTATGAGCCTGCACTCAATGCGCTGATCTCGCCCCTCCCGCGGGACAAGGTCCTCAAGATCGCCAAAGCTCGGGATGAGGAGCGCCAGAAAAGGCAAATCCGGGGCCCATTTCATGGAATTCCCATAATTTTGAAAGACAGCTTTGTCACCGCATCCGAGCTAGGCATGAGCACCACAGCTGGATCATATGCGTTCGTCGGAGCTAAGGCGTCAAGGAACGGGGCTATCACTCAGCGGCTGATTGATGCTGGCTTGATCATATTGGGGAAGGCAAACATGACCGTCAGCAGACATGCGCTTTCCTAGGGAACTTTATTGGATTAACTGTTGTTCTAGGAATTTGCCGGTATGAAAATGACCATGATGATGCCTGGTTGGTCTGCTCATGGTGGTCAGACTCTGTCGCCGTATGTTGGGAAAATAGAGGATAACGAGAAGATACTTGGACACTCAGTCAGTGGTTAAAATCTACAGAATTTTATTCATTTATGCTGATGCTAAGAAGGCGCCTGGGGGCTCATCCACTGGTTCTGCGGTCGCTGTGGCCGCTGGGTTTAGCCCTCTTGCCATGGCTACTGAGACTATAGGTTCCATTGTGACTCCGTCAACACGCGCCGGTCTGTATGCAATAAAGCCTACTATTGGAGTTCAGGACACTACTGGGTTATACACCATGACAGAGTTCTTCGACAGTCCGGGCCCTATGGCAAAATCAGCAGCTGACGTTCGCGTTCTTTCTGAGATTCTACTTAGTCGCCCGTTTAACTCCCCCAAATTTGGTTCCTGGGAAGGTCTGTCGGTGGGCTTCCTGGACCCAAAGGTTTGGAGCCTGCCACTAGACTTTTGTACGCAATTTGAGGGCACAGTAGAGCAAATGGTACGTCCCAATTTCATCAAAAAGTGCAGAGCTCTAACAGTTAATTATAGGTAGATGAGTACGAAGAGACGGTTTCCGCTCTACGAAGCAGAGGCTGTTCTATTAAGTACTCAATTCATTGCAAGGATCCCTCAGTCTTACCGAATACCATATTGCCAATCGCATGTAGGTTGCCGCAGTACCAGATGAAGTCAAGATGGCTAATCACTTCTAGACTGGGACTTTAAGAATATCTGTATCCCAAAATTTATTCAATCGTTTGACAAGTGCTCTGTAACAAGTGTTGCAGATATCGTCAAGTTCAACAAAGAAAACAGCAAAAAAGCCCTTCCAGCTCGTAGGTTGACAGAGAGGACACGATCCTACGATCTTGTAGTGAAGAGTTACTAACTCAATACAGCATTCACCGAGCAGAATGATCTGGAAGGGGCAATGATCACCACTTACAGAAAGGAAGAAATAGATGAACTGGCACAGGACCTTCGTAGGGCCGCAAGAGATATTCTGGATGACCTATTCGACAAGGAAAAAATCAATATCCTGGCAGCTCCGGGAGACTCCTCATTATGTGTTCATGCTGCTGCTGCAGGTAAGAACTCACCAAGTGTATGTTTAACTCACCGTTGCTGATAGAATTAGGGTATCCTATCGCCACAGTCCCGATAGGACAACTTCGCTACAATGACCGGCCGTTCGGTCTATGTCTGGTGGCCAGGATGGACGAGGAGGAAACTCTATTGCGGTTCATGGAAGTTTACGAAAAGGTTGCCAAGCCTCGTCCGGTTCCGAAATTTGAATGACTGTGCTACAACCAAGTGTCGATAGTTGGCAAGATGAATGCGAGCTACTTATATACGGGAAGCCCTACCCACATGTATACATAACATCCGCCCGAACAGTATACTTCACACCCCGAAAAACATCATCACCACAATGCATCAAGGTAGCACCTCCCGGGAGGCATAGGACCGTGCCGGGGAACTCTTAAGAGCGCAAGATGATCCAAGAAACGCTATTACTATTGGCTTTGAGGGTCACAAAATCGCCCTGTCTGGGGGAGTTGCTCCCCATATTGCCTCAAGCAAATCCGGCGTCACCGTGGGCAACCCGAACCTGTTCATTCACCGTATCTTCGACGCTCGCACAAGCTCCCAAGCTCTCCAATACAGCTCGTTTCATCCACAAGTCTCCATTCAAGCCCTCCTATGCCCCCAAGCCTTTTGGTGCCCAGTCCTCGTTCTTCACCAAGACTCGTTAGACCTTCCACAATTCCTTCCGCCGCAGTTATATGCAGCAGACCTATAATGCTTAGGGTGGCAACCTCACCCAGAAGCTGCTACATGCCGGTGCCATCGTCGGTGGTACCATTCTGGCCACGAACTTCATTTACAACCGTAAAACCGGCGAGGATGGCGGCATGCCCGCTTCTGAAGCCTTGTTGCCTATCAGCGAGCGATGCGCGTAGCAATATCATTCGATTTGCTAGTTATAATAGAGGATAGGCTCCACACGCTGAAGAAAAAGATTACAGATCCGCGCTAACACCTCGATGGCGAAACGCGAGGTAATATCCTTCCACCTGCTAATCGTGATTGAGGACAGGCTCCACACGCCGAAGAAGATCACGGATCAACGAGAACACCTCCATGACGAAACGCGATTGACCATTTTCTAGCTTCGGAATCGCCCGATATGAGTCAGGAATAACTCGACGCGACGTTCTAAGAGTCCGTGGTTCAGTTTCGCCCACGAATAATCCTTTACTCAATGTCCTCGTTTGGTTCTGCCGCTTCAACGTCCAGGAATGGCCCAGCATCAAGGCTCAGAATTGTCACCTGTCGCAACAAGATATGAGGCATAATACCGCTAGACCAAAGTGCTCCATGGGCGACATTCTTAGTCTATACGGTTATTTCTCGTTTTGACATTACCACACATAAGATCTCATCGCAGCCAAGACTCTGGCGCCATGCGAGAGCCACTAAAGTGGCAAATACGCCATCCAGCAGTTTCCTGGAGCAGCCTAAGATGCACGGGAATTGTCTAGGCCTTTATAGAGTTAATCATGTTCTTACATGTGAGCCTCTACGCCGTAACATGTCACCCGGAATGAAGAGTTCCGTATATTATCGCGCGTCAAAAGATCCTATTGCATATGTGGCAACGGATAGGATTTTGATCTCCAGCGTAAACTTGTGAGGCGATCTTGATCGAATATCTTTGCAACCTCCTTGTAGAAGCCATTATGTTGGGATTTTTCTCGGCTAGAATATATTCTTTGGCATTCTGCGTAATGTGAAATTTAGAATTGGCACGATAGGCGCACTACTTTGAATAGATTCCACGGATTGCGCCCCCACCCCCCGTCGCGTATAGAGATATGTACTTTTCGACTTATTCGCCAATAATGCGAAAGCGAACTGCCCCGACACAATATTAATAGTACAGATAGTTCCCTGAGAAGGTTTTTCGGAAGGTCTAGAGGCGTTGCTGCCAGATGCACTGGCTAAGTTGTGACGCGATCCGGGACTGGCGGGAGGGCTTCGAGTGAGATGATGGGATGATGATGAAGAAGATGATGATGATACTATATTGACCTGATGCAGCCTAACTAGTGTCGTATGGCTATGCAGGCGCTTCCTCCGACGGAAGCATGAGCAATCCGAGCGCCAGCCCATGCGCATGAGATAGTACTATCGCGTTATGGGGATCATTATTGCAACATCACCCTGATATCATAAACTAGTTGCAATTATGGAAGGTTTGAGCTACTAGTATAATTCCGGTTGACTGAAAGACACTATCGTGGTCCAATTCCCGATGTGACTGACTCGATCACAAATTCAGCTTAGTGTCTCTTTTAAACCTTGAATCGACATTTTTGGATCGTGCCTTTTTAAAATATTTCCATTGCTCTTTTTCTCCCTCGAGCATTTCCTCTCTCACTTTTCATTTCCTGAAGCTTCAGAAGACTGCTACATCTTTCTTATCACTATTTCAGAATGCCGCTTCCACCACCACCGCCATGGTTGACGACAGGGCTCAATATGATCCTGTGCGGTTCTGTTATCCTTCTTACGAGGAGTTTGGAAGAGCAAAGACAGCATGCTGGAAGACTTTTTGTCCTCGAAGAAGAGGTAGCTCGGTTGAAACTCGCAAAGAATGGAAACCATACGTCTAAACTCCAAGAGGAATCAAACTCGGCTCCCAATTCGTCTGTTGATACAGGACCAACCGACTTGCTGGGGTGAATATTCTCAATGGCTTTCTACCACCCTCCTTTATCTGTTCCCAAGAAGAGAAGCTCGCCTGCCAGGGGTGGCTATACTAATCGTTTGACTTGTGCTATGCTGGATTTGTAATTCCTTGTCACTGCAATGTACCAAAGGGGGACATAAAATGATTGGCATTTGAATTTTCATTGGGTATTTCTAATTTTTTCCTTCAAGCAAATGCCAGTTCGCAATGTATTCTTCCGTTCTAAAGTCGCACCTCCTACATGGCGCGAAATACAGACCCCTTGTCTCTTGGAGCCATTCATCGTTCGGTAAATGGTTTTAATCGGAGCTGTCATATTAAACAAAAGTTTAAATCTAGCTATTTATTGAAGTCCGTGTCTGGAGATAGAAACTCACATGCAATGAAAGAAATTACTATCAATAATTGTTGAAGCCCTACTGTTTCATCCGCACGGGCTGGCGCTCGAATTGCTCATGCTTCCGCCGAGGAAGCGCCTACATAGCTATACGCTACTAGTTAGGCTGCATTAGGTTAATAGAGTATCATAATCATCATCAGCATCAGCATCATCATCTTCTTCATCTTCCGTTCCAAAAATCAGCGTGGCTCCCAGGCACATATTTATAACGAGTATCGGCCAACTGCTACGAAATGTCTGGCTCTTGAACCCGAATTATGCTTAGACCGCTCTAATCCATAGCATCAATTTCTCGTCCGGGGCTTTTACCCATGACTGCCCTCCCGCAGAGGATACACCGGCTTCATCGCTACCGCCAGCCTCGTTCTTAGGTGATCTTGGTTCGGTGTCATTCTGATGTTTTCCACTAGTTACCGTTATCGATATCCCGAACTTCGCGCGGGGGCCTCACACCGCCCGCAATCAACACGTGAGCGATAATCGTATCGAAATCCCCTGATACCTTCCTGTGATCTTCTTCTTACACACTGCTTCATGGCGATCTAAGCATAATTCGGCCCCCTTGGCTGTGGAACCCTTGCTTCCACCCATCAAACGCCCTCCACCATCGCGAGCGAACCCCGCATGAGCGTCCCCATGGCCGTCCAACCCAAACAAGACCCGATTGTGCTGGTGATAGACTTCCACCATGCGCGGTAAGTCTCCCTCTGTGTGGTGGACTTGTGAAGTCCAGACTTGGCGCAGGCGCGCAAATTTAGACTTGGGCGGGCTGGGACATCTGCTAATGCGTGCTGCAGGGGCCCGGAGATTGAGCATTGCATCGGCGACGAGGGAACAGACCCGGCAACTGACAATGACTGGTCATTGTTGCCTTTCATGGGCTTGTCTGACGGCGCACACCTGTATGAAACCGAAACCTCTCCCCGAGCGCTAGTTGCGGAGTGGCAGGACCTATTCTTGGGTTCTGATTTACTCCCATGCGCGAACCCCGCGATTGCATCATCGAACGGTTGAGCTGATATGCTGGCATGTCATTTGGTTTTAGTTCGACTGAGGAGTTCTCTTACTTCACATTGCGTCGAAAGGAAACGAGTAATGCGCCCGCTACATCCCTTTTCGGCATCGCCTGCTCGCGCCAGATCGACTCGAACCTCTTGATCAATCGCCCGCCCGAAGTGACTCGGTCGACGGTACAAAAGGCCGTAGTCGTGGTGACAGATAGCCCGCAGAGGGTGGGACAACTGCGCGAGAAGTTGTCCGTGGTAACCTCGGCTTGGTTTGCTCAGCGGTATGTTCGATGCTCCTTCGTGCATTGCATTGCATTGGTCTTTTTTGTGGCAGTCAATGGGCGCAATTTTTGACATTGGAACATAACTCTATGGAAGGTATATCAGGCTAATTCGGGGCGTTGATCGATAGGGATTTCTCTGATATTGATATTTTGAAGGTAAACTCTACAAATATTTTGGATCAGCGAACGACATACTCATTCGGTCGAGTTAGAAATTCCGCGAAGGCTTGGTGATCAGTTTATCGAACGATGGCACGAAAGATCAGAACCTAGGTTAGTATCACAAATTTTTATTCGGAGAGAGACTTTGGCTAATTTCACTCAAAGGCCTTTCCCTCCGAGAAATGATTCACGAATTCAAGTACCAGACGCTGGTGCTATTCAAGGGATTGCTGCTGCAGCCCAAGGTATGTGGATTGGTCATTTTCTTTTTGCAAAGTTCCGTGCTGATTCTGCAGATGCTCTTTTTCGGCACCCGTTGCGAGCGTTTATGCATGATCCAATATTCTCTTATTTCTTTAATACCCGGTCTCATCAATAACCTCGAAGACTGTGCAGACCCAAGCTTTGACAGCTACGCAGAGAGTGTTGCGAAGCCGACTTCACTCAAAACGAGCGACCGAAGCTCCTGTACGTTCAATAAAGCTTATGTCTCCGTCTTATAGGGGGACGCGCTAATAATTTCTACTCAGTGTTGGCATATATGGGTTTGCCGTTGCAGATTTTTGGCAAGGTAGGCTTTGCGACCGATCTCCTTCGTGGAAGATTTCAATCTAATCTCGTTTTCAGGGAAGCATGTTCGGGCCTTATACCCCTTTGCAGCAGCTGGACCTGCTAGCCGACGATGGAACCAAGTCGTACGTGGTGGGATCGACAAATTCTCTGCTCTTGCAACAGAGGGACCGCTACAGCGATATTTTAATCAACGTAAGTAGTTTGTGTGTTATGAAGTGTTTGATAAAATGACTAACCAAGCAAATTTTTTCGCAACCTAGCTTGACGAAGACAGCATCAGCATCTTATCTCTGCCACTCCGCAACGCACTGACTCTCTCGGTGGCCGATAGGCGTTGGATCGACCTTCTTACTCAGATCGTCAATGACACGTGGGATGACGCTCATCCATCTCGACCTAAGACGCTTGGTTTCATGGGCTCGGAAGAGTTCATTCGCCTGCAATTTGAAGAGTACCTGCTGGCACTACTATCTTGCATGAAATACCACGAAGAACTCAGCTCATTTTCCTCCGGTGACTCTGCTCACAACAGGAGCAGAGCACAGCTGCAAAATTTCAATATCGAGGGCGACCCGGCTCTGGATTTCAACTTAGACTTCCTCACCCAATGGCAGAAGACTCCGAACTATGCGCTCTTTTCGAGACTTACCTCCGATGCGCTCCTATTCTCCATTACCGAGCCGCGACACCCGAGCGCTGGCGGCCTGACCATGGAGGACATTCAGCGGCGACTGTCTCAGCAAGTGGCAGATCTTCATCTTGACGAGCGGGTGCGTGAAGGCCGGGAAGCGCTCAACCGCCACATCTCAACAGGCCAAAAGAAAGTGAGCGCCGCTCTCAACAGCTTCTGGGCTGATTTCGATTCCATGCGTGAAGCCCAAAGAAAGCGCAACGAGGAAAAATCCTCACAGTCGCAGCGTACTTCGATCGACAAGGAAGCCCCCGGCTCCCCGCCACCGGCATCGATTGACTCTGCATCCGAGACCTCTGGATCCTGGTTCGGTGCTCGCCAAAGACCGTCCATTGATGTGGGCCAGGCGCAAGCCTCGGTGAATGCCGCTAGCCAGAAAGCTGGTGCTTATTTCAGCTCCTGGGGCTCCTGGGCTAGCGAGAAGCGCCGCGAGTGGCAGGACAAGCGCAGCTCCTCACCGAGTCCCAGCCTCAGCATGACCGCATCACCGTCTACCCCGGTCTTATCCACCGTCAGCGAAACCGTTTTTGAATCTGATCGCGGCCGGCGCCGCTCTATGCAGCGGAACAGCGAAGACGCCGATGGCCTCACACGTAGCCTGAGCCGCCGGAAGCGGTGGAGTAACATGATTCTTCGTCGCGAGAGTGGCGAGTTCAAGCGTGAGGAGTCGGATGCCGCCGACGTGCCATACCCTAAGTCTCCCTTGTCGCAAGGCCCAGTACATGCGGCTGAAGCTGCGAAGAAGCAAGACCTGGACTTCCAGCATGAAAAGCATGAAAATCCTGCTACCGAGCAACCCGCAGATGAGGATGGATTCACTTCCGTGTCTCTGGCACCTCAAGATGGGCTAAGCATGGACACAGACCCAGAAAAGAGTCAGTCTATGACTGCGCCTGCGGACAACTCGACAACAGCGCCGCCTGGGAAGCACGAACAGCACCCTTCTGAACCCACCAAGAATTCATCCGAAGGCCTTGTTGGCACACAGTGACTGCCCTAGCATTGCATCCGATTGCGACCCGCGCATAAATTATCGGTTTCATTTCCAGGCACTTGGCCTTGCATCGCGGCATACCCATACCCATTTGGAAATCCTAATCTCCTGTCTATTCAACGCCGTTCTTGTTTATACTTCCCCTTTCCTCGGCCTCTTTCTCTTTGCAGCCTGTGAATATAACATACCCCGGACAACTGCAACAGTCCCACCTAACAGCTGTGTCCGATTCATGTATGAGAATCTCGGATGACCCTGAATCAATGTGCATGTAGTTATTGAGGACACGGAAATAGATCACATAATAAATCGCATTACATGTTTCTATAGGGCTCTGCAGAACTCTGGAGTTCATTTTAATCCAGAGATACAGCACACGTAGCAAGCGCTCCCCTCTCTACTTGTAATAAGAGTAACCAGATAGGACCAGGAAGAAATGCCCAATGCAAATAGCCCAAGGTGAATGAAAATTCGGGTTATCATTGATCTGTCGTCTCAACGCTATGATGAAAGATGGACCATAAAATAAACAGACAATGAAGTGTTCTTGCTCCGTAGCTCCCTGCCATCCCAACCAAGCCAATGCTACTTTTACCAGTCCAATTCGGTCTTGATTCTCACTCATCGCTGCCATGTGAGCGAGGGAGAAAGAGCCTAAGTTGGATGTAGACAAAGCGGCCGACGAGAAAAAAAAAGCGATTCAATGGAGTAAAAGGGGATGGTGTAGATGCGATGAGTAGGGGAGTGGGACTGAGAGGATGTAGGTAAAAGCTTGGGATAGGAGAGTGCAAAAGGGAATTAAGCAATGTAAGAAATCTCGTCCCCGTCAAGTCGCTCGATGTAGTCCTTCTCCATCAGGGCCTCGATGTTCTTCTTGATATCTGGGACCTTGGGTGGGAAACGCGACTTGACCTGCTGGATGACTTCATTCACGAGCTGCACATGCTTCATCTTCTTGCGAGATTTCATGATGCGAACGATGGCGGACTAAGCGAGAGTGAGTATGGAGCACATCATAGTTAGGGCGAAGGGGCGGCTGTAATATACCTGGAGCAGCAGCTTCCGATCCTCCTCTATAGTTTTGTGTGTATCATCTGATTCTACCTTCTGCTCCGACTTGATCTGGATGTTGAGATTGACCTTGATCTTCTTGTTTTTGAAGTTATAGTTCAGAGAAAAGGTGGTGGAAGGCTCGGGTTTGGCGCCTTCAGGGCTGGCAAGAAGCACCTTGGCTTTCAGAAGAATGCTGAGGTTAGGGTCAAGGATTTCCGGGACCAGAGTGGTGGCTTTTTGGATGTCAGAGTAGGACAAGGTGTCAGTCTCGTTGAACAGCAGCAGGATGCCCATCTGGTAGGTAGACACCTGGAAGGTATAGGGAACCTTGGTGTTTTTGATGTAGTTAGCCTTGACTTCGCCCTTGCACAGCTGCCACAGCCATGTCAGTTTGCGCCCGTTATGCTTGTCAAAGTAAAATTTCTGGAAGCGTTCGGCAGTCTTGTTGATTTCCACCGGGGCGGCGAAGTCAGATGTGGGGGGGTTGAGAGGCCAAAATCCAGTACCCAGAATCTGGAAGTGGGCATCAACCATGCGTTTGCGGTCATCGTCGTCAAGGACCTTGTCTTGATAATCCTTGTAGCTGGCATTGAGATCCTTGGAAATTTGGATATCCTGAAACATGCGCTGCAACTTGTTGGTATATTCGAAACCACAAGCTTCCTTGAGCTTGCTGATCATGCTGGTCTCCGCATCATCGGACACGGAGCTAACGTGCACCAGACGCTTGGCCAACATCTTGGAGTAGAACTTTTGGAAGACGTCCTTATCCTCGATGTACTTGAAGACAGTCATGATCTGGACCAGCATCTCCTCGAGCTCGGACTCCTCGGCGGCCTTGGAGCCCTTCTTGAGCAGTGAGTCGGTATACCGTGCCAACAGTTCGGGAGATTTGGTCGTAGTGGCCTTGCAAATGCGGTTGCGGTTGACAAATTCACGGCAGGCATTGTCAAGAGAACGCACGAACTCGGACTCGCCGTTGAAAGCGTCATCGACCAAGTTCTGGTACCGGGTGTGAACCTGAAGAAGGGCATCCACATACAACTTGGGTTCGAAATGGTCGCCCTCTGAAGCCACCTTCTCCACTGCAGCCAAACCAGCACGTCTCACGTGGTTTTCAAAGGTAGTGCGCAGGGGATCCAGGCCCTCCTTGATGCGCGAAAGCAGTCGGTACATCCGAGCCAAATCTTCCTGGCGCTCGTTGTCTAGCAGGATCTGGAACTCATCGCGAAGCAAGGTAGAGTGGGCTGTAACCAAAACATCCAGACATGTCTCTGTAAGGCTCTTGGCGACATCTGGGTGGAGATACAGGCCGACCCGGGCTTTCTCCTCATCCAGCCGAGCCTCTGCCTTCTTCATGTATTCCACGACACTGTTTTCTGCGACGAACTGGCGTGATTCATTCTCATAGTATGTCCTGGTAGCATCGATGAAAGGTCGCTGGAAGTATTGTCGGTAGACCTCCAGCGTGGACTTCTTACTGTCGTTTTCGTCCAGACCCAATGACACGAACGAGTCGACGATGCTCTTAATCTGCGACTGCTCAATGGTTTCTCCGTTCCGCTGCTTCTCAATCAAGTTCAGAACTGCGTCCATCACCTTCCCATGAACCTTCTCAAAAAAGTCATCCTTCCATTTGACCAGATGCAGAGTGTACACGTCGTAAACGTTCTTCTTGCCCTCATCAATCTCACGCTTGACCCAGTGACGATTGAGATAGCTGAACAGGTGGTTAACGTATTTGGCGGCGGTCGTGAAGCGGGTCCATTCGCGGATGTAAAAGCCCAGGAGGGCTTCTTCGGCGTGGCCTTGAGACTCCTTGAAAACTACACTCAGATGGCGGGAAAGATACTCCCCGAGCAGCTTATAGAGTTCCTCGCCCAAAAGGTGTGCTGTGAGAACGACTCGACGTTAGCTTTATCAGATTGGGGGATTAAGTGCCATATTGGAGTTGAAATGGCGGACCAACGACACACGAACCTCCCCGGTGGGCTTGTAAGCCTTGGTTGCTGGCAACAGCTTTTTGAGAAGTGCAAAAGTTGTGCACAGCCCTGTGGTCGATTTGTGAGCAAATGAGCAGCGAGCAGCCAACAAAGGGGGAACATACGTATAAAGAGCCATGTACTAATAGAGGAAGCCCCGATGTTAGTCCAGCAAGATAGACAGAGTTGTACTCTGGGCAAACAGAAGACACATACAGTTTTCATATCAACACCCTCCTCCAGCTTCAGCATCACACTGTTGATCCCCGCCTCCAGAAACGACCACCTGCACCACAGTCAGTCAGCCGTCTGTCAAAGCAAACCGACTTCAACGAGCCATCCAGAGCGACCTCCAACTCACGTTTCTTCGAGGTCATCCTTGTGAGGGGTTTGCGGCATGGCGGGCGGCATGGCGTCAAGGGGCGGGTGGAACCGGGCAAGGAAAGAGAATGTCTTTAAATCTAGCGCGCAGACATCGTCGGTTAGTTATCACCTTAAAAGGCAACGTGTCTGCAAGTCTTGCTGGACTGCTGTGGTGTGGGACCATACGCTACCGACACTCTCCAAGACCGGAGATTGGTGTAGCGCCACGAGTCACGCCGTCAGATGCTCGCGGTACCAGATGGCGGGTAGGTGCTTGTAGAGAGGGTTCCCGACCCGTTGAAGCAGCGACAGAAGAACAGAAAGCAAGGAAAGATGCCACCGGGGAGAGCGAAAGCGAGAGTGAGAGGAGATGGAGGAGATCAGGCAGAAGGTGTGGCGGCAGAGGTGGATGAGGCTGAGAGCAGGGCGAGAAGCGTGGGGAACGGGCTCTTTTTGTAGCAGGCGGTGAGGGCCTCGGGCGCGGATGAAGCTTGGTTGTTAGTCAACTACTATATTCTTCGAAGGAATTTTCTGGGTTCGGTATTCGTTATATTTCTTTTGGCTATCAATAATAGTAGTGCCTTTCTTCGAGCTATATACAACGTCCTAAAAAGTCTCCAGTCAAAAAAAGTGCCGCCGAAGGAGCCCGCCCCCATCGTGTACTGCGACAGACCAGCGACACCCCCAATTACTCCGGCCTCTTATTGACTCATTGATGCGAAAAAAAGCGTAGACGACTGCTCCACCCAGATGGCTCCCGCAGAATAAAAGCCATTGCAGCCGAGCAGTTGGGCTGTTGAGCTATTGATTCTTCCGACGATTCACATTTCATTCACTGGCATGAAACAAAAGCGTCAAAGTGTGCAAATGACGTCATTGCCACAATTAAGGCCCGATCCTTCATCGGCGGCTACTTAAAGGACGAGTGCCCCGAACCTGAAGTCCGTATAGTTCGGATCCTACCATGGCTTTCCGCCCACCATCAGATATCAAAGTGACCTGTCGCCAGATCCCTGCATGGCGCGGCATCCCCAACACCTCCTTCCAATCAAAACCGCTCATGATATACCATGGCGCCTTTGACGCCACCCCCGTCGAACTTGAGCGCCGCCTCGAAGCGATAGGCGAAGTGGTGCCTCAGTGGGTATATACCATGTACAGCACGACGCACTTCCATTCCACCACGCACGAGGCCCTCGGCGTCGTTGCTGGAAGGGCGCGACTCTGCTTTGGAGGGGAAGAAAACCCTCAGCGATTCGAACCGACGGTGCAGCGCGGTGATTTGATCATCATCCCTGCGGGAGTCGGACATCGCCTGTTGGAGGATCAAGGCGACGAGACATTCAAGATGGTTGGGTCGTATCCCCGTGGGAAACAATGGGACATGTGCTATGGCGAGGCGGGTGAGGAAGAGAAAGTCAATGAGATCCGGAATCTGCCCTGGTTCCGTCACGACCCATTGTACGGGGATGATGGCCCTGTCCTGCATGTATAGATTAATCTTTATAATCCAATTGCAATTCTTGTTCAAGCAGGTATGGCTCCAATATCCATACCCCGGGTGGGGATTAACCTCAGTGTTTCACCCTTTCAACGAGCCTATAACCAAGTCAGTCTATTTCGTATGGCACTGGGCAATGCGGGCGCGGGATTACCTGAGAACACTGAGGCAGAACGTCAAGAGCCAAGCAAGCAGGGCTACCAGCAAAACGGATGCAAGAGCTTTCTGCCGCACGCAGATAGGGTCAATCCGAGGGTCCATTTCCTGGTTGACCTCTGCTTCTGTGCAGGAGCCTGTCACATCCGACAGGGAGTTAAATGCCAAACTCAAGTTTGCAGAATCGAAGACGATAAAGAATAGATCGAGGAGGATGAGGCGGGCTTTGGCCGAAGGCGAGCGTAAACCCAGGGGCTTTGATGTGTATTCATCGAAAGTGATGTATACTAGGTAGACCAGTGCTACGGCGTCGACAATGATTGCCATTAATGCTGATGGGCCCTGATTTGTGTGGCCCTTCTCTGACAAGTGTTGAATAGATCCGCCCAGAGCTAACGCAGCAAGCGAGAAGCACCAGACCGTCAATCGCAGGATCAGCGGCACGATTGGACTTCTCAACAGAGAGGTTTTAAATCGCTTGATCCAAATTTCTCGCCTACGCGTATTGATGTGCAGCGGGTGCTCTGGGCTGTCCTCGTCCAGGAGCTTGCCTCGCCATGGCTCCGAGTAGTTCCCATGGGTTTCATTCATCCACTCTGGCGTGACTTCCTTGGATTCACCACCAAATTCGCGTGGGTACTGAATCGTACGTGAGAACGTTACCCACCGTGATTCCCGATTCTGCGCCGCCTCTTCAAAGAGTCCCCTATCGTGAGTTTGGGCAAAATCGTGGCTGGATGTAGCGTAAGGAGTGTGGTTATGCTGGGCAACCTGCGCGTCATTGGGCTGGGAGGGCAGCAACCGATCCGTTGCTGAGGCATCTTCTCCATCGTTCTCGACTTGTTCGACCGATCGGATCCAAGCTAAGGAGAAGGCATTGTCAGCAATTGGGTCTTGGTCGAGTATTTGAGAACTGAAATCGTAATGTACCGGGCAGGGTGCGCAGCGTAACATGAGGAGATCGGGTGGTCTCGCCTGTTGTCTGGCCATCCGGGGTTCGCGCTGGCGTGGCTGGGGAGTCAGAACCATTGCGGATGGCGCGGGACTGCGTGTCGATGTTCAAATGGCTTGTATGCGTTGCCGGCGAAGAAATGCGCGCAGGATCCTCGGGCAATTTCTCGTGGAAAACACGCCCTGCAGCGTGGTCGGAACTGGAGGTGTGGATGGACTCCATGGCAGCCTGCGTGCACCGTCGGTGAGGAAAGGATCGGAGCTGGCGGGAGACGTCAATTAAAGCTCCGCAGCCCCGTTCCAGGTAATCACAGATGGAGATCCGAGAATTGGCAAAGTCCAATGCCCAGTGGCAGCGGGCAAACTGGGTCACGGTGCAAGCTCCAGGATGGAGACTGGGTCCAGCAGGTCCAAGTTTATCTCCGAGGACCAAACGGGGTTGCCGGCCGCGGAATGACGTCCTCCCCTGCTTACTTTCTCCCCGTGATGCATCCACTATCCACTTTCGCTCCCCTCGTTTGAAGCTTGGAAAAAAAGGCAGAAAACACCTCCCCGCAACCCTTTCCTCTGGGCGAACAGAAGAAGGGCATGCTTTAAACTGCGTCTTCTTTGCTTGCCCCATCGCGTCTTCGATCATCTCATTAGCCAACCTCGAACACCCTCCACCCCCGCTGCCATGCGCCTATTCCTGATCCCCATATCGACGCGACGAGCGTTGATCTATGCCCGACCACTGCGACGCGACAGTGCGAAGGAGCTATCGCTGCTCGACCGGGCCACAAGCAAGGCAGCTACGACATGGGCGCAATGGGAGGAAGCCGAGTCGGGCTGGAAGAAGCACCTCGTCACCTGGGGCAATCGCGTTCAACAGCGTATTCCTTTTGAAGAATGGGGGCTCAAGAGCATTCCGTCGATCAATGCGCAACGGCGCATAGATGAGAATCATACCAGCAAGCGGATCGATGTACTCTATCCCGGTAACTCCGTGCGGTTAGAGAAGATCCCGATCATTCTGCGAAAGATCGCGACAGAACGGCAGGAGTTTCATAGGAAGAAAATGTGGTGGAGCTTGGGAATTGCACCTTTTACAGCACCTCTGGCTCTGATTCCAGTGTATGTTGTTCGACCGTCTTTCTCCTGACGAATGGTCTTTCTGAGAACTCTTTGTATGCAGGGTCCCGAATATTCCTTTCTTCTACCTGGTATACCGAGGCTGGTCCCATTGGCGCGGTTAGTTGAGCCCATACTTTTCCCGTCTTTCTGTTCCAAAGCTAACCATTGGCTTTGCTTGTCAGCGCTGAACGGCTCGCGACATCTGGAATTCCTTGTCGAGAAGAGCCTCCTTAATCCGATTTCGCTGCCCCAGCTGGAGCAGTTATACGCCAAGCGTGCATCGCATGTCGTGGACAATACACTGATCAACACACCACCATTTGACAGAGCAGAGGACATTGAACAGAGTGACGACCGTGTGTTGCTGAAGATGTCCGACGCGAAAAAATTGGCCTCGATATTGGATGCTCCCGAGCTGTCGCTGGAGGCCGAACGGGCCATCGTCCAAGTCAGCGAGCAGCTTGAAGCTCAGAAAAAGAAAGCTAACTCGGCCGAGTCCAACGATAAAAAGAACTCATGAGTTTGCGTTTTTGCCCGGCAGCGTTCTGCTTGTATTTTCTTGTTTGGAGAACGGGCCTAGATCGAGAAAACACCATTCCGTATCCCTGTTTCAACCTTTGATGTACCATAGCCCGCATACGCAGGACTGATCAATAGAGTATCAACATGAATTGATATGTTGTCCGTGCAGAGAAATTCGGGAAGGACTGGCTATATCGTATCGCTTTCATGGGGCTGCCCGCGGCCGTCATAGACAGGCAGCCCCTCACATCCCGCCCAAACAAAGCTGGGATTATGCAATCAGTCCGCAGATTTCGAGGCCAACAAAAGTCGGCGGGGGTATTTCCCTTGAGCAAATACTAAGCGTTAGATTCATGTCTATCACCAACATGTCCACTACAGACGGTCTCCCTCTTCTGGACCTGACTGGAAATCAAGACCCGTCTACGATTTCTACTCTTCAAAAAGCGCTTCTCCGCTACGGTGCCTTTCGTCTCTGGGCCCCCGAGCTCAAGAGAGCCTACTCCCCCGATCTGCTGCAAAATGTGAACTGTCGCGTGCACTAGCTTCTTTATTTATTCGAACTTTGGATTTAACTGAAATCAAGCAGGCCCGTGCATTTTTTCAACTCCCACTTTATGTCAAAGGCGAAACACGAGGATACTCCCCTCTGGACAGTGAGCTTATTCGTGGAGACACTCCTATACCAAAAGAGTCCATCTATTTCTTGCGAAAGAGTGATCCGCAGGACAATAGTCCTCCCTCAGGCCTTCACGATTCCGTCATGGCCTTGCATGATGTACGCCCTCTCTGAAATCCTGGAATTACAGGTATGGCACGACTGACATAATTGCAATAGAAATGGAAACCGTTGAAAGATGACCTGTTCTCCATGATATCCAATGATGTTCTTGATCCTAGCGTGCCTTTGACGGGAACATCCTCTCTAGACTACGAATCTCTGGGAATCCACTACTATGACCCACATACGCTCGGAAACGAGAGAGTCTATTCTAACCCTGCGCATATGGATGGCGGTACATTGACTCTACTGATCCGAGGTAGTGATGCCCATGATGGCTTGGAGTTTGCCGACCTTCAATCCACAGACAAACTTGACAGCAACGGTATAGGACAGGAAGCGTCCTTCCTACGGATTCCTGCACATCCCGATGAAGTTGTTGTACTAGCAGGTACCCGATTACAGCGCCTTTTCGGCAAGGATAAAGTCCGAGCATGCGTGCACCGCGTTCGTGGCCCTGTATCAGACAAGAGAGACGAGCAAGAAGCGAGACTGAGCATCACCATTGCCTGTGCTCTGCGTGTCTCTCCTACACCATAGATGTGTAATTCGATCGTTGCAATTTACCTTTCTTTCCTTTCACCCGGCCGAGGGCAAAGAATCCAAGCACGGTCAAAGTATAAAGTATATTGGAGATCAAATGAGTTTGTAGGTCTGCTCACAGCCTCCTACAAAAACAGATCATCGGCGTCTTACATCGGCAGCCTGGCCCCATCGCTTGGACGCCTAACCTCGTTGGAATGCGCTGTCTAGCCCGGTTGCTCCACTCAAAATTGCGTTTCTCTGTCAGGCTCCCAGCCACTTTTCTCTCTGAGAGCTCTCTCACATCTTGACCAACTACTCAATATACCGATATCCCGAACCAAGCTGGTCGTCATGCTACTGAGACCACCACGAGAGGGGCTTACCTTGGAGGCTCTATTTTCGCCCCTTAATATTCTCCTCCAGCCACTTTTTACCGGCGGATTACTCTTCATTCTCACCTGGTATCCTGAACAATTGCAATGGTGGCCAGGGGCAGTCAGCCTTGCCAGCAATCACGATGCTAAGAAATGGTGTACCGTTTCTTTGGGGGGTGGGGATTCTGTACCAGACCAACAAATGGCTTTCGAGATGCTATCTCAACGCACTGACGGGAAATTCCGCATGGGATTGGAAAAAGGAAATTGTGATCCTTACCGGGGGATCCAGCGGAATTGGAGCTGCGGTGGCATCGCGCTTGGCAAAGAATGGCACCAAGGTCATTATCCTTGATATCCAGCCTCCCTTGGATGAAACAGGTAAACACCCGCTGAATGACGCATAGGTGAAGACGCTCATTTTTGGAAGTGGCGAATGTGTTTTTCTACGCAACCGATATTTCTTCTTCGACTGCGATTGAGCAGGTGGCAGAAGATATCCGCCGACAACATGGCGATCCCTCCGTGCTCATCAATAACGCGGGCACTGGAAACAGCAAGCTGATTATGGACCAATCAGCAGCAGAGACGGAAAGGATCTTCAATATCAACATTCTCGCCCACTTCCATCTGGTGCGACAATTCTTACCCGCAATGGTTAAGCAGAATCACGGCCATGTTGTGACTGTCGCGAGCATGGCGTCCTTTGTGACCCAAGGTAAGAATGTGAGCTACGCATGTACGAAGGCGGCCGCTTTGGCCTTCCACGAAGGGCTCGGGCAGGAGATCAAACACCGTTATCATGCCCCGAAGGTCCGCACAACGTACGTACATATCACACAGTTTCAGACTACTCTCCATATGCTCACTCCCCATCGCCTGTTCACTCTTGGCTTAGGATTGTTCATCCTACACTGACCCGCACTCCTCTCGTCGAGCATGTAACCCGAGATAGCCAGTCAAGGAGCTTTTGTTTGGAACCAGAAACCGTTGCGGACGCCATTGTTGAGCAGCTGTATTCAGGACAAGGCGGACAGCTCATTCTACCCGCTCGATTCTCCTTGATTACTGGAATTCGAGGCTTTCCCTCCTGGCTTCAGGAGCTGATTCGTGACGCTCTAACCTCGAGTCGCCAGTCGAAGGCCTCCTAGTTCACAGTGAGACAGGGCATCGACTTTTGGGGCGTTATGCCACCAAGGGTTCGCGTTATACTACTATGGTCATTCTCCATTGTATTCTCACCATGGCTATGGTACTACTATTCCATTGGAGCTCAATAATGAGCCGACCAGTTACCGGCCATCAGGGTAGCTGCAAAAATCTCTCTATATAACACTCCAATCGAGATGATCTTGTATATCTACTGTCCACATAGCCATGAGCCTCAAAACATAGTAGCCTGGCCCTGGTGATTTGACCCACATGCTTCCCACACGATGACTGGAGAGATATAGTCTACTTCGGAGCAACCAGTGGATTCTAATACTAGATTCTAGGGGGTGTTTTGACCGACTATAATAAAATCCTTAGTATGACAGTCGCGGTAAACGATGACCTCAGATCCCCTGAAAGGCGGACAGCGGGCCAAGCCGACTTCCCCCCCCCCAAACTCCCGCACGATCAGCCACTTCCATCTCAATCACAACCACACCATGTCCAACAAGAAGATTGAGCAATGGGAGATTGAGCGGTACTGGGAGATCTTCTCCTCGCTCTCAAATGGCCAGACACGACTGAACAGTTCGCAGGCTGCCTCGGTGCTGCGCAACAGTCACCTGCGCGATGATCAGCTAGAGAAGGTCTGGGACATTGCGGATGTCGACGGGGATGGCGAGCTGGACTTCGAGGAATTCTGCGTCGCAATGCGCCTAGTGTTCGACCTCGTCAATGGCGTATGCTCCTCCTTTTTCGTTTTTTTCTAATCTGACGGAGAACCGAAGCTAACGGGTCCTGCCCGGAGACCATAGGAGCTCCAAGAAGTCCCGCCCGTTCTGCCAGACTGGCTAGTCCCGGAATCCAAACTGCACCTTGTCCAGGCCACACGGGCATTAAGTCAACCGGAACAATTTGAACGGATAGAGGACGAGGACGACTCCCTGGGTTTGAAGGATGGGTTCGACTGGTACATGAAGCCCGCCGACAGGTCGAAGTACGAAGAGATCTACAACTCCAGCCGGACCCATCGGGGCGACATTACCTGTCAGTTTGCCTGATTCTTGATTACACCGCGCGCGCCCGGAGGAAAGCGCTAACGGACTTCACAGTTGAATCGCTACAACCACTCTGCGAGTCGCTCGATGTGCCCGATACCGATATTCGCTCGGCGTGGAACCTAGTCAACCCCTCCGCATCTCAAGCCATCAATAAAGACGCCACCCTCGCATTCCTCCACATGCTCAACTACCGGCACGAGGGCTTCCGCATCCCACGAACCATTCCCGCTTCGCTGCGATCCTCCTTCGAAAGCAACCAGATCGACTACCAGATTGATAACCACGCTCGCCCTGCACAGCGCTGGGGCGCGGACGGCAACCAGGAGACAAGAACCGGCCGCAAGGCCAAGTTCGGCGATACCTATCTGAGCCGACTGGGTGTGGGTGGCAAGGGATCGTACCAGCCTAAAGGCACGGACTTCAGCGATACAATCCAAGATGAGGAGTGGGAGAAGGTCCGTCTGCGCCGGGAGCTTGCCGAGATGGAGGCCAAGTTGCAATCTGCGAGCCAGGCGTCCGAGACCCGGCGCGATCGGCCGCGCCACGATGGCCGGCCGAACTGGGTCTTGGCCAAAAAAGAGGCGCTCCAGCTGTTGGAGTACAAGGAGCGAGAGCTTCGGGAGCTCCGGGAAGGTGTGGGCCGATCTAAGGATGGTCAGGACTTGGAACGGGCAAGGGAGGATGTGAAGACCGTCGGCGACCAGGTTGATGGCTTGAAGAGCCATCTGGCTCAGCGGCAGGGGATTCTGGCAGACTTGCGCCACGAAATTGAGGAAGAGAGGGCTCGACGCTGAGCGTTGGAACCTTCTTGGGTCTCGAGTCTCCTGCCTCGTTCTATACACCTTCAGTATTTTTGATCTTCATGGACAGCCATCTTCATCTTCCTGGCGAGGAGCTCCAGGCGCTTAATTGATTCTTGATTCTTGATACTGAACACAGCATTAGCTGCTCTGCATCTCTAGAGAAATCGAACATCCCGTATTGTACAATAATACAGCTCTTCACCTGCCCCATACCCCAGCAAGGCAGGAAACACCGGCAAAAAGCTCACTACAGTAAAAGCCACCCCATGTCGTTGGAAAACAAATCAAGCCCGTCATAGGACCACAAACAAGTAGCAAAACGCCCCAACACACGCTGGACACCATTTTGGAACAATGGCTAATAATAAAGAACAGCAAGGGGTAGAAAAATAATAATAATAACTGCGCAGGAACTGCGCAGCTTTCAAGCCATGAGAGTCTCACCCGCATCACGCTGAGTTTCGACCGCAACAAAGGCAGGCCCACTTTGTTCAAGACCCTTCTCAGCACGAGCATAGGCCTCCTCGCTACGATCCGTCAGGATCCGAAGGTCATGGTCTGAAAGGATGGAAGCAGGATCGGCGCCAGTCTCAAAGCGCTCAAATTCATCCTCACCGAGGGCCTTCCGAAGTTCCTCGATGTCCTGGGCATTGCTTGTCTCTAGAAGAGAACGGAACTTGCCCTTCTGGATGACCAGGCGCTCAAGACGGCGCTTGGAATCTGCTTTTTCAAGAAGGGTCTGCTCGACAGTGCCTTTGGTTGCCAGTCTGTACACAATCACTGGTTTGGTTTGACCAATCCGGTGTGCTCGGTCCTGAGCCTGGAGATCCTGCTGTGGATTCCAATCAGAGTCAAATATAATAACAGTATCGGCCGCAACAAGATTGATGCCTTGTCCACCAGCACGAGTGCTAAGCAGGAAGATTTTGTGACTTTTGTCGGTATTGAATGCTTTGATCTGCGCCTGTCGCTCGGGCTGAGCAATTGCGCCATCGATTCGGCAGCAAGGCCAGTTCCGCAACTGGGTAGCCCAGTCCTGGAGAATATCGAGCTGTGTCTTGAACTGGGAGAATATAAGAACTTTGTGACCTTTCTTGAAGAGATAAGGAATCAAGCGATCGAGGAGAAGCATCTTCCCAGAAGCAGACACCAGGGTCTCATCCACTGTGGAGGACTCATCCACCCAAGGCCAGTAGAAATTGTGGGGCGAGTTGCAGGCCAAGCGGGCTTGCATGACGGGGTTCATCATTTTCTTCTGGCTTATCTCTTTCTCTGTGGAAATTTGTTAGATGGCAAAAGATGAAAGCGAAGGGCCTGTCTCGAACGTACTTGCAAGCTTGAGATTGTTTGCCCGCTCAATCTCCTCGAGCTCAGCGTCACTAGGCTCAGCAGACTCTTCTTCGTCCTCAAGTCCTTGTTCAAGCATGCGTAGCTTGGTATTGAACTCTCTATCACTGATATCTTTGTAGCTCTGCGGAGCTCGGCGTCGTCGAGCAGAAGTTGTGCCATTGGCCGGCGTGCCATCTCGGCTTGTACGTTGGCTTTTGTTTGGCGTTGGCGTCTCTGATTCATCATTGTCACGCTGACGCTTCAAGCTCCGAGAACGAGAGGGGGTGGAGCTGGAGCTGGAGCTTTTGGCCGTCAGGCGCTCCAAAGCCTTTCCTTCAAGATACTGCCGCCCGGTGCCATTCAGAATCTCCCGATAGAGCTCTTTCTGTTCTGGAGTAAGCGGTGCATACAAGATGTACTCGCGCTTCTTGGGAAGAGAATGCTCGACGTCGGTCTTAACGCGCCGCAGAAGGAAAGGCTTCAAAATGGAATGCATAGTGGTGACCAGATTGCGCTTCCGCCGCTCGATGACCTCTGCTTTGCCAGAGTCATCTAAGACGGACGAGAAATCGAACCAGCTTTCAAAACTTCTTAGATCATTGAACACCTCCGGAAGGAGGAAATGCAGCAGGGACCATAACTCGGAGATATTGTTCTGCAAGGGTGTTCCGGTGATGAGCAATCGATTTGCAGAGTTGTAGGTCATTAATTCTTTGATGAGCTTGCAATTCATGTTCTTGAGGCGATGGCCCTCATCCTGAAGAGTCGATTAGCAATTTCCTGTGACGACAGTAGTGGTCTAAGACATACCACAACGATGTACCGCCATTGGTATTGTCCAAGGAATTTCGAATCGTTGATGCAGATATCGTACGACGTACATACGATAGGGAAGTCCATTTTTCCCTGATCACGCTGTTTCATGTACTTACTCCGAAGGGTGGCACGCTCCTCTTTGGTACCGTGATAGAGAACAGTCTCGATGTCGGGAGTCCATCTCTTGAACTCGTCGATCCAGTTGCTCAAGGTACTAAGTGGTGCTGCAATGAGGTAAGGGCCCGAAACATTGTTCTCTTTTAAAAAAGCAATCATTGAAATTGCCTGGACGGTCTTTCCCAGTCCCATCTCGTCCGCGAGAATTCCACAAAGCCCATTCATCCAGAGAGTCTTCATCCATTCGAGCCCCTCAAGTTGGTAGGTGCGCATCTTGCCGCCGGTCACTAGAGCGGGCTGCTGAGTGGCGACGAGCTCCTGCCCACCAAGCGCAGTCGGGTTGGCCTCATAATCCTCTGCAGCCTGTTCGAGCGCCTCCTGCACTGTGGGGTTGTCCTCGGTGACTTTGACATCGGCTTTCTTGAAGTAGCTGGAGATGGTGCTCCCATTTGCCCCGCTCTTGCGCGAACGCCCTCTTGTCCTCCCCACAGCTGATTCATTCCCGGTAGAAGTATCTTCAGCTGCAGTTGTCTCCTTGTTTCGATTTCGAGTCTCACGTCGAGCGCCAGCGGCCGTATCCGGTTTCGTCTTTTGCTCGGCTATCTCCTGTTTCTGCTTCGCCGCCCGTTGTCGAGCCTCCTCCTGTTGTTTCTTCATCTTATCCGACATAATGGCTACAAAGACCTGTGGGCACCGGGAGAGTTAGCCGCCAGCCCTAATGAATGGTCAGAAAGCCGCTGCAGCATACCGAACTGGTTTTTAGAAGATGCATCAGGGCCTTGGCTTTGGTATCCATGCCCTCCGTGTCGTCTACCTCTTCTCCTGCACCCGCCGACTCGCCATTTGGGGCGTTTGTATTATCCTTCCTGGCTGCATGATCTTCCACACCTGTTTCCTTCGCCGAGGGTCCTTTCGGGTCCTGGTTGGCAGGTTCGGTCATCGGAGAAGAGGGAACGGTCGATTCGGGTTGGATCGTCCCACCCCGGGAATCGGTAGGCGTGATGGGCGAGTCAGCAGCTGACATCGCGGCGGGAGAGAACGTTTTGATGAAATGAAAGCAAGCGAGTGGTCTGGACAGAAGAAGGTCGAGAAAGAGAGGCGGTAACTGAGAGTTGGTGGGCTAGATCTCGATCCAGGAGAGGACGGACGTCATTCCCAGGGATGAGAATTGCAAACCAAACAAGAATTCCCGGGGAAGAACACAGGACGACCAGTCTCGAACAGTCACTATGTCACGATTTCTTGCAACACAATCGATTCAATTGGGGCCAACCGTATCCTTGACAAACTGATCGAATGAAGGGACAGGACCTACGCGTCCGACGCGGATTTTCGCGTCGGGCGCACGGACCCGGTCTTTAAGGAAAGTCATCTATTCACTCTATTCGAACCAAAGTGCGTTGATGCGCTGGCCATAGAACAGTAGATCGGAAAGAAATCCCCCATGAACCCCCCTCCGTAATCGCCAGACAAGCTTTCATCATGCTGCCTCCATATCCCAATTCCTCCTATGAAACATTGCTTTTGGATCCGCACTTGTGGGCTCATCGTCGTTCAGGAATGTTCATCGTTCATCGTTCATCGTTGTGGCGAGCGAAAGCTCATCTCATCCGTACATCAGGGTCGGCGGTCGGAACCAGAACTATCTCGTCTTCTCCTTCATCACCCTGGGAGTCACTTAAGGGGCTCTTAGTCCGGGAGTCCGGCAGGAGGCATCGGTAAACCTCGTTGAACTGGCTGGCTTCCGCCAGCAAAGCGTCAAGAGCGTCCTCATCAAGCTCCGAGTTTTCATCATACTCGACATCGGAACGGGAATCCACACTCAGGCCGAGCTTCATACAATCATTGGCAAGCTTGTCATACCGACGTTTCAATTTCTGCTTCCAGGTCCCCTCGGTGATATCGCGGGCTGAAAATGGCAGAGGGTCTCGAGCCCGAGCACGCCTCTCAGCTTCAGCCTCGCGCTTGGCTCGCTGGATCCGCTGATTGTATCGAACTTGAGCAACGGCAGGGTTGGGCAGGGCAGGCTCTGCTGGGTTGGCCATGATCTGTGCAGCACCATCCGCGTCGAAAGCCAACTGCAGTCTTCTTTCGTGGGCAAGACGAGCAAAAGTCTCATCAGGCTCCGTGAAAAGCTCCTCCCAGTCATCCCAGTACTTTTTCATATCCTTCATTGGGTGCTGCTGCTGAGCAGGCGGGGCGTGGAAGCCTCCCCGGCCGACACTGTTTATGGCCTGAACCTTACGGCTCATAGGCAGTTGTGTCTCAAGGCCGGCATTCGTTGCCATGATCGGGCGGTCCAAGGTAGCAATGGGAGCGAGTCTCCATTTGACATGCTTAGTTGCGGGCTCACCTTCATCACGCCGCATGTCTTCCAATCCGTTGCTCCAGACTCCGGCCAACTCCAGAGGTAGCCCATGCTCCTTGAGGAACCGCCAAGCTGCGCGCAGCTCGCCACTCTTGCACAGCAGTAAATGGCGGTCCGGACCGTCAATAATGGGTTGACGACTCTTGTGAGCCAATCGGCGAAGGATTAGCTGGTCTGGCACACTCCGTTTCTGGCTGCTGTCGATGTTCAGCAGGTGACGCAGTTGCTTGTTTCTCATCTTCTCCAGTTGTTTCCCTTCTCGCTTGATAACCTTATGGAATCGCTTCAGATGCTCTTTTACTTTGTTCTGTTGCTTAAAAGTAATCCCGAGCATCTCCACGGCCTCATCCCACGTGCCTTGGTCCAGGAGATTGTCCATAATTTCTGCTCGAAGCGACGGCCTAAGTTCTCCCCACTCGGGAACAGCAGCCTTTGGCGCATTGGAATCTTCAGGTTCGCTGTCCGACAAGTCCATGTCCGATCTCATTGCACCGTCCGGATTATGGGCATCGTCTCGGTCCCGCTGGTCCTCGCCGGCCATGATTGCCAGGTTTCTCGCATAGATAGGGTTGTGCACAGTATTGCTGGCTTTCCAGCTCGAACTGATTCCTTCAGGAGACTCATACTCCACGTCACTAGGTGCCTTTGTGACAGCGGGCTTCTGATTTGAAAGTTCGCTGATGCTTAACGGTCCACTCTCGACAGTAGTACTCACCACCAGTTCCGCACGGTAGGGTTCACGTGGAAAAGGCTCCAGCCCTTGTAGCCGTCTCTCCCGGTCTTCTTTGATACGACGCAAGTGCCCTTCCCTGGTGCCTTGGGGCACAGGCTGGCCAAGGCACGTGAGGGTTGGAAAGGCCGCCGGCGGAAGGGTTGGATCGAATTCTGGAATGTAGGGCTTGGTGCGGCCCTGATTCTGGCGTTGACCCGACGGTGTAGGCTGATCATGCTTCTCCTGAGACTGACCATTGCTGGACTTCTCCCGGGCCTGTCGAATCGACTGGAGAAGCGCGGAAGCGGACAACTCAGATCCGTCATCTCCAAGGTGCTGCGGCGCGTGAATGGAGGGGCGCAGATTCCTCTTGCTGCCCTTATTCCGTTTGCCCATTTTCTTGGTCGGCGTAGATCCGGAACACAGGTGGATGGGGACTGGTCCCGGAATAACTTTTCACACACTCAGTAGACAATGCGGCGGGCCTGACAACAGCAGAGTTGCGACTTCTAAAGATCATGCGTAAAGGACCCAGAGGTGGGCGTAGGAAAAGTAAACGAGAGACGCAGAAGTCAATATCCCAAACAGGGACGGCGAGATGCTTGGGTCTCGCGCTGGTCCGCGGGTGAGAGCTCTGCTGAAGTGAAGGTGCAGAATACGGGATCTCACAAGGATTTTGGATTCGCGATGAAAGAAGGAACCAGTAAGGATGCAAGAAAAAGCATACAAGAAACAGTTGAAGGAGAACAGTTAGGATAGCGGCGTGGTGGGAGAAAGAAAAGAGTGAGAAGGAGACTGTTGATGTTGTGGGTGAACTAGCTCGCGCTGGCTGGGGTTAGAGCTGCATAAATACAGCCTTCCTTGGGTTCAACAACCAAGGAAATTTAGATCTCCAGGCACCATCTCTTTGTCTGTAATGAACTTTACAGTGAACTTTATAGAATCGCACCGATGATAGAGTCGATTTGTGGCACATCAAAGCTACAATAAGCTGCTTCAGCTGGGTATCTCCGCCCACGAGAGGTCGAGCCAGAAGGAATCGTTCAAAAGCGACGTAAAAAGCAAAGACCCACCCTATTGCCAAACTGAACGTGTAGACCCCAAATAACATAACCATGAGATAGCTCCGAATTCACCTTTCTACCGTCTTGGAAACGTAAAACATATAGCGAGAAATACTTAGTATCTGTTCGGTGAGACAACAAATCTTGATCTAAGCCACACGATCTTGGAAAGGTGCACATGGAGTTCGGTCCAAGGGCAAATCAGCCTCCCCATCGACGTCCATGTCGCCATCAGCCAGATCAGTATCATTTTCCTGCCGATCTGCGAAGCTGCGTTTCTTGGCCAGCAGCATAGGCGGGACTGGAGGCGGCGCAAGTGTTGTAGCTCCGCTTTGTATATTCGTACACCTCGCGCTTTTGACGTCACGTTTGGCCGCCAGGATGGATTCGAATGCAGTGAGAATACGTTTCATGGGATCTTCGATGGAAACACAAAACCGGTGCTGTTGGACGGTATGCATGGCATGAACGGCATCCAAATTAAGCATAACCATAAGGTAAGCAATGACAACGCCAGCAGATCGCTCATTCCCTGACTCGCAGAAGACCAAGACCTTCTTCTTGCGCAGGGTGTCACTGGCTGTCGCGGTGCTCAAATTGGTGGGAAGATGGTTGTCCCTGTCTACCCCTGCAAGATGATCATTAATCCGGCGAATAGCACAAGGAAACGCGGAGATCAGCTCCTGATTATCGAGCACATCAATGGCATCGGCCTGGATCCCGAGTTCAGCGGCGGCTTTGTCTCCAGAGACCAGCCTGGCATGAGCAGAATGACGGTTACGGATGGCCAGAAGAAGCGTGAAGCCCTGGCTGCGGAGAAATTCTCGGTCCCTTAGGCATGAATATGGGCCCAGCGACAAGAACGGGAGGATGGGCTGCGCCTCGCGGCGCATCTCGTAGCTCCACTGCGAGTATTTGAAGCGGCGCGTGAATCCATCGAGATAAGCGAGGCTAAAAAATCCTGGGCAGATGTAGTCGCCCTCATTAAATTGATGGGTCTCAGGGTTGAAGACTTTGTTGTCAACAACCACAGTGTCGTTGTCATCGACAAATTGGTCGAGACTGTTGTAGGGGAGTGCTGGGCTCATACCAGCCCCGGGAGGGTACCTGGCGGCCGAGATGTATTCCTGGGTGGGAACATAATGCGCTCGCATATCCTGACACATCGGCACTTCTGCAGACGGAAGAAATTCAGACATTCTGTCTGCTGTTGCCGGCGGCGGTGAATGCGTTTGGCTGTTACGAGAAAGGAGCTATCACCTCAGCGACGCCGATGGAATAGAGAGGCAAGACAGAAGAGTGTCTGTTCAGCAAAGCAGTTTGAAAGACAGGTCACAGGAAAAGTAAACACCCGGGCACATTTCCACAGTGCTGCTGGTGAAAGGCTGCGCTATTGCCATGTAGCGGACGGGGCAGTGATAGGCAGATCGTAGTTGCAAAAACCCCGTCAGCAGCAAGTGGCCATCGACAACCGCTTTGTAAAAAATTTCCAGAGGTATCTTTCGTGGCTTGTGCGTTCTTGATTCAATCCGACCAATCTTCAAAGTGTTGAAACCGCTAGTCCACCCTCCGCCGTGGAGTTGAGGTTGATTTAACCTACCTGGGGAAGTCGACCGTTTGATTAGGTAATACACATTGCGGCTCTCCATAAGGTACGTTCGGAGGTCGCCGAAGTACCCTCCTTACGTGTCTCATCCCACACCAACACATGAGTCTTTTGACACCTTGCTATATTTGGAGTAAATGCGTTCGCTATTCTGGGGTTAGCTCGCCATCGAGCTGCTGAATACAACCTGCGGTCATGGGCAGACAAGCCACGTGACATCTGTCACATCCGTTGTAGAAAAAGATATATGGTGCGCTCGTAAGTGGACATACGCGTTCTTTTGAGACATACAGCATTACATATATCTCAAAGTTATCTTGACTTGGATCGTGTAGAGACTCCCTTTCGACATAGCAGTCGAAACTTTTAGGACCAAAAATGTAATGTGATATGATGACAAGCAGATATCCAGTCAGATGGTGGCATGGTAAAGCCAATATACAATAGGGGGAGAAGAAGAACGGAAAAAGAATACCTCCCCAAATGTTTGGGAATAAAAAGAAAGGAGAACCGAAACTGGCTGATCGAGACAGGCCACCATAAGTCCTTGGTTCCTACCTGGCTCCATCCTGCAGCCATTACGTGCGTAAATCAACAGCTGCAGTGACAGTCTCACGAAAGAAGCGGATGTCTTGGACACGACCCTGTTTCAAACACCACATATTCACCTGAAGCATGCTATAACTAACCGCTTAGCCATCAGAGAGTCCTATTGATATTTCGACCAGAATTAACCTATATCATATCCCCAACCTCCTGACAGCATTATCGATCCTCACTCCCCAACTACTATTTACGAGGATCCACCCGGCATATTAATACACCGGAGTTTGGTTGTTGAGTATTTCCTTGAGGCCATAGTCCTGTGAGCTTGAGTTTGATAATCGATTTTCATGCCCATGCGAGTTGACATATTCCAGCTGAACGGCTCACCCAAACCAAGGGTTGACCCCCACTACTTTTTCAGGGGGTCGACAGTACAAGACAACGACTCCGACCAAAAAAGTCTTAACTTTGTGTTGGCTTGCACCCACATATCGTCCTCACTCCCCTTGCTCATGTCCACCCGAGCCACGGCCACCGCACCCAGCAGCAACCTCAACACTGTTATTATGTACCATATTGCATATACCCCGACAAGCATCTTACTCCCGTGGTACCCGTTATGACCCCTTTTGGGGCAGCCCATGTTGACATTCCACCTAGCGCGCAAACCCGCCCCATCACCAGAAACTCTATCGTCCCGCCCCACGCTGTAGCATAGCCTTCCGGGTTACAAATAGCAAAAAGCCGACTATGTTCCGGCGAGCAATCGGACATCGGGGATGCTAACTCCGACATGTTACGCTTCGGATGACGAGGCTACCCGCAAGGATCGTGACAGCATCTTGGTCGAGCATGAGTCATTCGTACCCTAGGGGTCCCGGCGGCAGCCTTGTATGATTCGGGTGCCCGCGGAACCCAGACTAGGCTGTCATGAGGCTCATGCGCCGCTAAGCTGGCTACTTGCTTACTCAATGGGGGCGACGGGAGGTTCTAGATGGATAAGCAGTGGGAGCCTCAGGTGCTGATGGTTGCCTGAATATGTGTGGCTGGGGCGTTTTGGCCCCCTTTATCAGGTATGCAATTTACGGATGCCTTTTCGACGAGGCTGCCAGGCATGGATGTACTAAAGATTAAGTGTTCAATTTGAGGGAGACGGTCATAAGGCAGTGAGGGAGTATGTGCCGGAGCCAAGAGAAATACAAGCCATTAACGATACACTGGGTAACGATTAAGGCATATTACAAGAACATCGAGAGGTTGAACGCTCGAGCCGCAGCCGAGATAACATCATGAGCAGAGCGCAGAGAGCGTTAGAGATGGCAAGGTATTTGACAAATAGTAGCTTGGAAAAGAAAAAAGAATACAATGATACACCTGGGTATATGGAGCGACAGACACACCCCGTGGAAAGAACACCGCTTGACCCATTGAAAGTCGATGTCAAGCAAAACGCCAAAGTACCCGGACAGCTGGCTGGCGGCCATCGACGCTGGCCATCATAACCGAACCCAGATGCAGTAAACATGGTGAACTAGGAAAAAATGAAGACACAAAGCAAACATTTCGAAAGCCCATTTTCGATTAGAGGAACGCCCACAGAATGCAAACACGAACAGAACAAAGAGAGCCCTGGCAAATGATTAAGCTAGTAGAGTAGAGAGTTTAAATCTGCGGTGCAACAGCTTGAGGGGCAGGTGGCGGCATCGTCTGCGTAAGCTGAGGGTCGTGTTCGGGCACAGGCGGCTGAGGCATGGCCTGCTGGAGATCAGCGACAATGCGCTCCAGCTGCTCCAGGCGGCGATCCTTCTCTTGGACCTCGCGGCGCAGTCGCTTGACTTCGTTGTGGAGATCGTCACCGTGCTCATCAGTGTCAGCGAGGTCGCCGTTGGGCGAGTCGTGCTTGCGCTTCATGCCGGTGGCAGGGAGTGAGTTGGCGCGAACGCCCTCCAGCTCGCTGGCGCGCTCCCATGGCATGTCAACCAGAATGGAGGTGGTTGAGTTACCGTCGTCAGTATGCATGTGGCGACGACGCAAGTGTTCTCGAAGGTTTTCCTGGCGCGTGAACCCGTTGCCGGTGCTGCGATTACAGTCGGCATAGGGACACATCAAAGGCTTCTTGGCGTCGTTGTTCTTCTTGTGCACTTCGCGCTGGTGGCGCAAGAGGCCACCCGAGTAAGTGAAGCCCTGAATCTTGTCGCAGCCGGGTTCGTAGCACTTGTAGGGGCGATCGTGTTTATCCATGTGTTTGCTAGGGAAGACGAGTTAGTATGGGGAACAGCCGACCGCGAGGGCGAGGGTCAGATTACTTACTTCCATTCGCAAGGACGACGAAAAGTCGGCGGTGCAGTCTGGCAGTCTGGGTGGTCGCAGTAGATTTGGCCCTCGGTGTTCTTGGGGGGATCGCGGGCGCGTCGGACAGAGAGGCGCGGGCGCGTGCCCTCCATGTATCCGAGGGAAGCTTGTTCATTCATTCTGACAATTGAGGAAAGAGATTCTGTGGCGGATGCAAGAACTGAGGCAGCAGTTGCCCCGTGCGGAGCTTCACTTCGCGGACTAGGATAGTCAGAGCCGTCGCCCATAGTATCGCGTCGACCCCACACCAACTGAGGGGATTTGTGATGGAATGGAGATACCGGCAAGACGCGTCCACCGATCACTCAAAATCACACTGAGGGGGGGGGGTTCTCAGGATGAAAGATAGGCAGGAGAAGGAAAAGAAGAGCAGGATGAGCAAGGATTCAAATAAATTGGCCGGAGCCGAGGTGGAAGATGATGGGGGGAAGGTGGTGGTAGATGGGAAGATCGGAAGAGCGCCCAAATTTTCAGGTCTCCTTCAGGCATCCCCCTGCCTATTTATACGCTGGGAACACAACTGGCCCGCTTGCGTCAAGAACCGCCACCTGTGGCGCAGGCGTTCCGCGCTTCTCGGAGTTTCTTTGAAACGGAGTTACCGATCAGCTGAAGGGACCTGCGCTTTTTCAGCAGGGCAAATTCGTCACTGGCTCAAGGATTTATATACTACTGCATGTATGCAGGCCCTGACCGGGGATGCGCTGGCTATTAATGCGTTTGCGTTGGCTTTTGCTCGTGCCACTGCCAGCCGATCCTGGATCGGATGTGGCCACCGCTGTCTCGCAATGACTCATACAATGAACACCCTAAGTCAGGACGGCCAGGCCGCCAATAAGAGCCGCCTAGTTCGCCTTCTGCCGACCCAGTATTGGGTTCCAGCGCCCGCAAAACCCTGTCAGGCAGCCATCCCGGCGCCTCGGGAGTATAGGACGTACCTGCTAACCGGTTGCTGCATGCCGGCCCAGGAGGATCGCCACGGTGGGTGCCTTACAAATCGAAGCTAATGTGGCGGTGACACCCTGCAGGGTCACGGGACTGGTGGGATCTCCGGGGATCACGTGGCAGTAGATCCAGGTTAGGTAAGCGTGAACAGGGCAGAGGCAGTGCTGGTCTTGACTGGCTCTCGCGCCTGCCAGCTGGTTTAGGCTGCAGAATATCGAGCGAGCGCGCGTGGGCGACTTCTATAAAAAGATAGGATGCACACTGATCGACACGCATAATGCTTGCGAATCCTCAGGCGAAGCACCTTATTGATAGTCAAAATGCATTAGACTAGTTGCAAACCAACCAGGGTAGTGGCAGTGAAGACTCGAAGATTCCCAGTTATTGTAGGCTACAGGAATACGCAACAACGCATCTAGAGCGCCCAGAATAGGGCTCTCGATAGTCGGACTAAGTCCATCAATCATGAAGAAGAATCCAGGAACTCTGACGGAATCAGAGTTTCAACGCATCGCCCCTCGGACTCCGCAGCTGATCCAACACCCACCGGATTTCGTCAGCCACTATATCCGGCCGTACCAGATGGACGTTATGTCCGCAGTCGGGCAGATGCACGAGATGCGTGTTCGAGGATAGTTGGAGTTGTTCCTCCTTCAGCTCCTTGTCTATCGCCTCCCATCGATCCAGTAGGTCCCGGAATGCCTGCTGCTGTTGTGGCGTCCCATTGCCAATCTCAACTCCACGCTCATAGATCCGTTCATAGTCCCGGGCACTATTACAGCGAATCACACTCACTGGTCGATCCCCCATCGTCCGATTCTGAAACTGCTTCTTTTCCGCGAGCGTACGACAAACTTGCACATAAGAATCTGCCTCGACCTGTGCTGCGCCTGCACCATGCGCAATATCGATGGCTCGTACTCGCCATTCGTCCCGGGAGAGTTTCGAGTCCGCTCGTAGACCGGTCACCTGTGCCACCTTGAGATCCCCAAGAACGGCATTAATATTGGGATCCGGCAGCCGAAAATAGTCACACTGTCGCTCGGTGGAGCCGTCAGCGAGAACCATGCCGAAGACCTCCTCATCGTACAGATGAAGATACTCGCGGGCAACAATAGCGCCATAAGAGTGCACAACCAGGACCAAAGGCGGACCCAAATTCGTTGCCATGAGAAGGCTGTGTAGTTCTTCGGCAGCCGTAACGGCCGTAGCAGTTGTTGCTCTGTGCATGCTCGGTCTTGGATCGCTGCGGCCGAGCCCGGAACGATCGTAGAGTAAGACCCGACACAACCGGGAAACAAGTGCCGAGAGGGCTGTGTAGGAGGATGCGACATCCCCCGCGCCGGTGAGCACAATAACGAGTGGATCTTGTGAGGAGCGAGGAGGTCCACTGATCGAGGTAAACAGGCAATGGGCGCCAATCGACATCATTGCCGAGCCCGTCCCGCGAGCCCAGTCCTGGGGCGCAGCATCCATGATGTCCGTGGATTTAGTGTTTCACAATAATGCGCCCAGACTTGCGCTGTATAGATCCAAGTCGAGCGGGGCAGCGCGGCAGAATGGTCTAACCTCCTAGCCCTAAGTACGAGTGGAGGGTGATTTGGGGGCGGCTTGGCACCTGCCATTTTGATAGACTGGGCGGCAGAAGAGGGTGTAGATCGATTCTAAAATGAGGAACAGTGATTTACAAAGAATGATTTGTTTCAACTAAAGGCATAAATAGTCTCGATTTTTCGAGGCAACAAGATTTGCTAGACGTCTGATGGATACCTAGGTAAAGACCGCTAGGAAGAATCGAGCCCGAGGGGGATCAGGGTAAATTGTCAACGCTGACTCCGGTAGCAAAACTATCGGAATCAGTTGGGCGGAAAAATTGATAACCGGCGATTGTACGGTCAAACCGTAAGCTCAAATGTAGGGAGGCTGGAAGGTTAATGCTTGTCGCCTCAGTCCACCAACAACCGCACATAAGAGAGACATCACGGCGACAGTAGAGCCCTAAGAGACCAAGAAGGGTCACCCCTTCAGACTGAGGATACTGACGACCTTGAGTGGTCGCTCAGTAAAACTGATGCGCCCAAAGAGCGGCGTGCCGACCTGGCCTCACCGAACTGACGTCCTAATCGACATGGAAGAATGGACGGGCAAGACTCTGGTGGAAGAAACCCTGACGTTTCCTGCGAGACTCTGCTTTCCCGGGAGAACATGAGAAGGCAAGCCTGTTGGAGGCTGCCCTAGCATAATATGGCAAGAGAGCACTTCACTCAGTCGTAGTTACCGCCGACCTGGCTAGCGAAGGCGGTCGAAACACTGCGGGCATCGTCGTCGTCATGGACGTTGTTGTGTCCAGGAACGCCGCGAGTAACACGAATGCTGGCGGAACTACCGCCAAAGATGCTGCCGTTGTCCGGAACTCCACCACGGTAGGGCTCACGGCCACCGGATTCCACGTAGCGTTTCAGGCGGTCGGACTGGCTAAGACTCGGCTGCTTGCTCATATCGTTGATGCTCAAACCAGCAAGGCTGACACCACCTTGATCAGCACTCCGTCCATCGATGATGCTTCCAGTGACATCGGACTCGGTAGCGGCGACGGACTCTCCAGCAATACTCGGAGTACCCTTCGCCCGACCACCGTTGGCGCGGCGACCGCCCGAAAGGGACGGCCATTGGTCTGCAAAGTTCTGGAACATCGGGGGATAGCCGGACGGGAGTCCAACTCCTCCGACGGCAGAGGAGTGCACTGAGGAGACATCATCTGGAATGTACCCAACCACTGATCCAGTGTCCTGGTACTCGTTGCGCTGACCATTACGACCATTCATAGTGCCAGCAGCAGCACCAGCAGCAGCGGGGCCTTGATTGAAGGACATTTGGAAGCGCTGAGGACCACGGTAAGCCTGCTTGGGGCGGCTGAACTGGATCAGAGACTCCTGCAGGTTTGACAACGGTCCCTCTACGAGACAGTGGCGTTCCTTGAAGTGCTGCAGCAGGCAGTTCCAAAGGGGATGCTTGGAAAGCACTTTGGGGTTACCGAGGATGACGAGGCCGAATCGAGCTCGAGTAAGGGCGACGTTGAGCCGGCGTGGGTCGCTCAAGAAACCAATACCCTGGTGATCATTGGAACGAACACAGGAGAGGATGATGTAATCCTTCTCTCGACCCTGGAACGCATCGACGGATGCCACCTCGATCTCCTTGTAGTGCTCCTTCTTGAATGTACCAGTGGTCTGCATGGAGCTGACGATGTAGCTTCGCTGTCCCTCATATGGGGTGATGATACCAATGCCCTTCGGCTGCACACCCGCCTTGAAGAAGCGCGTAACAATCTTCTCGACATTGGTAGCCTCAGTGCGATTAAGATAAGAGGTTCCGGAGGCCGAAATTTCTTCGTTACCCAAGTTCGACCAGAACATCATCGGGTCATCCATCATGGGCCAAGGGAAGTCAACATCGCGGCGAAGACGGTCTTGAATGGTGATACCGTTCTGGAGCGATCCTTCATAGAACATGTTGGATGGGAACCCTGAGAGGCACGGATGCATGCGATACTGCACGTTCAGGCGAATAGGCGAACAGCCAAGAATGACAAGACGCTCGAAGAGAGACTGGTTCAAACCGGCCTTGGCGGCCTTCTTGTTCATAATGACGGGTCCAAGCTGCTGGTGATCACCGACTAGAACGACCTGCTTACAGCCAAGGACCAGGGGTATCATGCACTCCGGCTCTGCAGATTGGGTAGACTCGTCGATCAAGACAGTACGGAACTTAAACTTGGCCAAGCGAGGATCACCCGCACCGACGCAAGTGCAGCAAATCACATCGGCATTGGTCAAGACTTCGCGTTCAGCGGCCCGAGTCAGTTGCTTCAAGCGCTTCTCATCCTGGCTAGATAATTCACCAAGCTCCGACTTCAGTTGGTTGAGCTTCACCAGTTCGATATTGCTATCGTTCATGCGCACTTGCTCGTGTAGAGAGAGGAAGCCGACGGGCGACTCGACGTCTTCACGAGACTTGGCAGTCACACGAACAGTCTTCAGGCCCGTGCGGTGAATACGCTCACAGAGCTGATCAACGGCAACGTTGGAGGGAGCACAGACCAGGACCTGGCCTCCGTTTATCTTCGCCAGGTGATAGATAATCGTAGCCGAAGTGACCGTCTTACCAGTTCCTGGAGGACCCTGGATTAGACTCAATGGCCGTTGCAATACACTTTTCACGGCATTGATTTGGCTACCGTTCAGGTCGGGCAGTCCAGGAACACTGAATTTCTTGGGAATTTGGGTCTTCATGGGGGCTGCGGCAACTTCGTGGCCAAGAAGACGGTGGAAGATGTAACCTGATACACTCATCTCGTCAACGGCAAAGGTTTTCATGGCGAGCTGCATACGGTCAAACGACGTAGACTTCCAGACATAGTCTGCAGTGAAGTTGTGAGTGCATTCAGTAGGCACCGACTTGTGATCACCCTTGGAGCGCAGCTCAATCGTGACTTCATCAGACTGGTTGTTCGGGATCTTCATGACATATCCGACGCCTTCCCACTTGGAACGCAGTTCACCGGTGTACTTCAGACGCATTTCATCACCAACGGCCAACTTAACATCTCCAAGCTCCAGCTTGGGAAGAACGAAGCTGGCAAGATGCTTGTTGTTCAGACCGAGATCCCATCGAACGATCAGTCCATCCTGCGACTGAGACTCTTTCAGCTTCCGGTCATAGTCGGCCTCAATTTTGACCAAGGGTCCGAAGATGTTCTGATATTGGTAAGCATCGTCATAACGCAACAGCACAGGTGCTGGTTCATCATCCACGGCTGTGGCTTTCTCCAAATCCTCCAGAGTCGCCTGCGAGTTCTCCTTCCACATCTCCTCCAGTTTTGCGATCAACTGCGGGCTAAGATGGCGGGCGCGGAGCTGCTCTTGATCGGAGGGCGCGGCCACAAGCCAGGGAAGAAAAGAGCGATCTTCGATAAGTGGCTGCCAGCGAGAGGTATCCCAGTTCATATCCTTCGAAGACGGCATTGCTGCACATGGCTGTCGGCAGAGAAGAACCACGACGGTATCAGACTTGGCGGGAATGAAACCGAGCAGGAAAACGTTCTTTGTACCGCAATTGTAACATTCGAGGATGGTGTCTCCAAGCGAGGAAGCTGGGTGTAATTGCACTTCCTTGTGCCGAGCGCGAACAAGGTGATTGACGATGTGCGAAGAAGAAGTATTGCCTCGGGCACTGCAAAACCACTTGTTGCAAGACAGGCACTTCACCACACTGCTGGGGTTATGAATACCACAGTACCTTTAAATCATATTTGTTAGCACTCAGACAGGTGGATAAATTAATCTACTACTCACGCGCACGCATGAGCGGGAAGCTCCTTCTCTTCGTCCCTATTTCCATGGCCCCTCTGGTGTCCAGAAACCATTCCGCCGACCGTGCTCTCCAGGTCGTCATCTTCCAGGATATCAGAGCCCTCGTCGTCATCATCATGACGCCGTGGCCGTGCACGACCTATAGAGCTCGCAATACCGTCGTCCATTTCTGCCATCACCGAGGTGTCATCTGGCAACCCTGCATGGCTGTTATCCATGATGAATGCGGGTTGTCAAGGCAGGTGATAGAGAAGTTGTAAGGGATAGATCGAAAGGTGGAATCATGTAAAGAGCAACATGCGGGTAAATCGAAAGCGAAATGTTGAGACCGTGGGGGAAAGAGCGTAGGGGACAATCCAACCGTCCTTGTGCGGTTCTGAAGAGCCCAGTCCGAGTCTGTGTGCCTGAGGGGCAAAAGAACGGGGTTCTAAGAGGTCACAGCTCAAGTCAGCAATGCTAGCAGCGAAAGACAAGGGACCACTAACATCCAGTACAGCTCTTTGTCTGAGAAACCTGACAATAGAGAGCGGAAAAGTCTGGAATGACGAAAAGCGCTCTCCGCATTGCGATCCGGATTCTCTATCGGTGGGATCCCACTACGGCGGGGACTGCAGACCACTGGCGCAGCCCCGGAGTTTAGAAAAAAAAGTTGCCCGCCTTCCGTCAGTTTGGAGATTACCTCAAGCAACATCCATATTCTCTCGCCAAGATGCTGGTAAGGTTCCATCCGAAATATTATGGCCACTACGAATGTACACTGACTCTCCAATAGCGCCGTCAAGCTCGTGAGCGCCGAGACTACCTCTACCGGAGAGCGTTGCAGCTCCGCGATGCCTCGATCGCCGAAAAGCGCGCCCAGCTTAAGGCTTCGCTAGCCTCTGGAAAACCCCTCGACCCCGAAATTGCAAATGACAAGTCTCTCCGTCAAGACTTCAAGTTTGATGAGTCGAAGGATGAAGTTGATATCGACGATGAGTATGCCCTAACGTCCGGCCTCGTCGACCCTCGTCCGCTAGTCACGACATCCCGCTCGCCTTCTGCTCGCCTCGGCGCTTTTGCGAAAGAGATCCGATTGCTTTTCCCGACTTCCATCCGCCTGAACCGTGGCAATCTCGTCATGCCCGACCTGGTATCGAGCGCAACTTCCGCCTCTTTGACCGACATGATCCTTCTGCACGAGCACCGCGGTACACCCACCGCCCTTACCGTTTCGCATCTTCCCCACGGTCCCACGGCCAGCTTCTCTCTTCACAATGTCGTTCTGCGAGCAGATATCCCTAATGCGGATCGGGGTACCGTTTCCGAGAGCTACCCGCACTTGATTTTCGAGGGATTTACGACCAAACTGGGCCAGCGCGTTGTCCAGATCTTGAAGCACCTTTTCCCACCACGTGAACCTGGCAAGGTTGGCACTCGTGTGGTTACCTTCGTGAACAAAGAGGACAGCATTGAGGTGCGCCACCATGTTTTCGTGAAAAGCAGCTACCGGGATGTAGAACTTGCCGAGGTCGGCCCGCGGATGACCATGCGCCTCTTCGAGATTCGGGGAGGCACTCTCGAGAAGGGTTCCACTGGCGATATTGAATGGGCTCTTACCCAATACACGAGGACCAGCAAGAAGAAGGAATACCTCTAGAGTCCTCATGAAGTTGCATTACGGTGTCGGCTGCTGGCGTGGACAACTATGGCACACTGGGTCTGATATTTTTTGTGGGCAAATTTTGGTTTTGTCCGTTGGCGCATCGGAGTTTCACGGTCAACTAAAAGGCATCTCAGCCAGTTCATGTACATCCTTTCCATTCTTGTCCCTATACCCTGTTCGAGTGACGAGGGTCAACTCAAGCTATAAAACGAGTAACTATAGTGAAGAATTCAAACGCCATGTAAATCAGAAGATTTCCCTGTCCTCATGCAGTGCACCCGTAAATCCCTACGACCAGAAGCTCTCAAATATTTGTGTTTTCACTTTTTTTCTCGTGCAAGCCCTACACAACCCCAGGGGCTGGCGAAATTCCCTTCGACCACTGCCTCAACGGAGGCATTATATATGGCGAAGCGTTGGATCGGAGGTTCATGCTTCTCCGGGATGGGAGTTGGCAGTGGTTTCTTCTCCTCATCTGAAGTCAATGTCGTTGCAGCCGTTGGAATCCACATCGCCATTATCGGTGCTATCCTCTCGCGGTTGTGCGCAAGGCTTTGGGGGAATAGCCTGATCGTATAGCTCACTGGATGTATTTTCAGATTCAACAGGTGCCGAATTGCTGCCAACAGGCTGTCCAACTTGCATGATGAAGCTGGTGAGCATGCTAGTTTTGGATTCGTACGAATACCAGCCTTCGTGAACGGGGAGTGGGTTCCCCTGTGCGTCTGTTTTCGGCATGGGAAGCTTGTCATCGTTCTTGTCATCCCATTCTTTTCCTGTCTCGACTTTGAAGAATTTTTTGAAGATGTTGGTAGCAAGAACCACGTCACTCTTCGGCGGAGTTAGCTCCTCAATTCGGGAAGTCCCGACGCGGCTATACTTGGACCATGTGGAGTATGTGTGTGGTTGAGAAGTTGTCTCGAATATCTATTATCTATGTTTAGCATTATCGTATGCAAAGGAAGTCAACGACCGGCCTTACAGCAAGACGATATTTCTCGCGACGGCCTGACGCTTTAGTCGCCCTTGTGAGGACAGCGTCCCAAGCCTCTCGTGTCTGAGGCTGTCGATAGATTTGTTTCTTCGCTGTTTCATCATTCTTTAGGGTTTGTATCTTTCGACGGCTTTTATTGAAAACAAGTATGAACGTACGTGGAGCAATTGCCTTAGTACTCTTTGAACCCGTGGGTATCCTATTCCGGGCAAAGGGATCTTCTGTATCCAAGATGTAGATCAGTAATTTTTTCTCGGGGTTTAATCACATAAATGATGGGTGAAATATACTTGGACGTCTCAGTGGCTTTGGACCAGTTTGCTTCAGGCTGTCTGCCCCAATTTTACCGTTGGCGGCCTTCCTTGAAGGTTTCACCAGGTTCTCGAGTAGAAAGGGCGCCTCTGGCACCGGACGAATGGGGTTGGCATACAGCGAAGCTATGAGCCAGTCTCGAGAGACAATTTTGACAGTACCGAGTGCCCTTGCAACTTGCACTGTATCAAATGAGGTCAAACTTCAGCATCTGATAATGGGAAAGAAGGAGAATGAAGTGATTCCCAACTGTATTACTTACCCTGTTCCACGTTCTCCTTGTATGCTTTTTCTGAGGCAATAAGGTGCGTGACTCTGTCGGTCACTTTGTTTAGGAACTCCCCGCCATTTTTGCGCACCCATTGGGAAATTCGGTCTCCTTGGTGGAGGTCTCCAACTGCGGAGGCACGAATTCGCTGAAAAGCCTTGCCCATCTTGTAGGTGTTGCCGTTGAGAGTGGTAGAGGCGAAGATGGGTTTGTTCGGGAACGGAAAGCAAGATGTGATAAGATCAATGAGGATAAACCGTGGGTGAGGTAAAATGGAAAATTGATCTGAAGGCAAGAATTGCTGGCTTTTAAACCTGAGAGATGTCTTGTCAGAAATGAGAAGACTGCTCAAGTCCGAGAGTTTGCGTCGGGATATTCGAACGACAGGCCGCGGTGAACAGCGTCTGGTGTTAGAAAGAAGAAAAAGTTGAAGAGAAGAGCCCGCTGGGTTGGATGTTCGAACCGCAGGCTATGGTTTGTAGGTGTGGCCGTGGGAGAAATTTGATATGGAAGAGAAAGGAAGATTGGGTCTGGATGCTCGAACGACTGACAGTGTTGATTATGGTATATTGGTGGAGGGGAAGAAAATATGGAAGGGAAAAGAGGTTGGGTTCTGATATTCACACAACAGCCTTTGGTGAATGAGGCATGGCATCGAGAGAATATCTGGAAAAGATGAGGGAAACTGAAAGAGTAACGCAGAAATTCAATGTTTCCCCAGCATGTTCACGAAATATCCTGTCTAAGAACCGTCTTGGTAGCCCACGATTTGCCAGCCCAGTATTGAACCGACCAATGGGCCACGAAGAGCCTGTTGATCTTTTATATGTCATATTTTACACAAGTCGCATGATGTTTGGAATCTTTGTCCAGGTGTATCATATTGCCATGGAAACTATGCGAAGATGGGGTGAGAAGAGAAGTCACCCTATTTTCTAGGCATATCTAATGAACCGTGAATTTCGAACTCATGCACGAACACTTTTGGCTGCCTTCACAAAAGCACGGATCTTGTCCAGGTCTTGAGCGCCATTGGTTTCCACCCCGGAGCTTACATCCAGTCCTACTACCTTGGATCCCGAGTGGCCCAGCTTGTTAACGATATCGACAACGTTGTCAGGGTTCAAACCACCTGCCAAAATCACCCGCAATCCCTCGTCGCTGTCAAGGACCTTTTGAACACCTGCGCCTTCAAGTAGCTGCCCGGATCCACCCGCGCCGGAGTCCAGCAGGGGAAGCGTGTGATAGGCCCTGCGGGCAATTCCAATATCTCCAGGAGCAAACTTCCGGATCACCGGTACAGGAATCAAGCTGGCCCATTCCAAGGGTTCGGAGCCATGGAGCTGCACCACATCGAGCCCCAGTTTGTTTTGCTGGGCAAGGACGTATGACAAAGGCTGATTCATGAAAACACCAACAAGCAATGCGCGAGTAGGATGACGCAGAACCTTACTCGAATGATCAAACCACTCTGAAGAAGTGGTTTTCGATATTTGATCGACCAGGCTACTAGATTGGATACCCGGCCGTGGTGTTGACTTGACCGTTTGTGAGATGCGCAGGGCTACATCATCCGGAACTAGCCTTGACCGGCCCTGAACCATAATGATGCCAATCAGATCCGCACCAGCCTCGATAGCAGCCTTGGCCGCTTCCTCAGATCGGGTACCACAGATCTTTACCAAGGGCGACCTTGGTGATGTAGAAGAAACCTGTTCAGCAGATCCGCCCAAAAGCTGTGCCACAAAGGCAGAAGTGTCGGGTGCCCGCATCAGGGCCTCTCCCACGAGAATGGCCTTCACGCCTTCCTTCTTGTAAGCCTCCACATCCTTGGGGCCCGTGATACCACTCAGGGCACAGACAATTGTGGTCTCGGGCACTTGGTCCATCAAGCGACTGGTAGTACCAAGATCGACCTCGAAGCTGGTCAGGTCGCGGTTGTTGACACCAATCACCTCAGATCCTAAATCAACGGCAATCTTCATCTCCTCGGGGGTGTTGACTTCCACAAGTGGCTCCATACCTAGGCTGCGAGAGTAGTGGTACAACCTTGTGAGAAGCTCAATACTGAGCATCTTCACAATCAGCAGCACGGTATCAGCACCGGCAAGGCGCGCCTCTAAGATCTGGTACTCGTCAAAAACGAACTCCTTCCGTAAGAGGGCGGGTCGGTTGGTGAGCCCTTCCAAGCTCTGGCGGACTGCTCGGAGGTCGTCAAGAGTACCTTTGAACCACTCAGGCTCGGTAAGGACAGAGATGACGCTAGCACCAGCTTTGGCGTACTCGCGCGCTTGAGCGGGTGCACACACGTCGGCTGAGATGACGCCCTTAGAAGGAGATGCACGCTTGATCTCCGCCATCAGGGATAGGGGATAATCCGATTGTCTCAACCGGGCAGGGAACGAGATTTGAGGTGGCGCAATGTTGAGATCATAAGCAGCCTGGAGAGCCTCCGGCCGCAGCGCAGGGATCTTCTTCTGCTCGGCGACAGCGTTTCTCCGGTGGGCATAGATCTTCTCTAGGATAGACACCTTCTTGTCTACAGGAGCAGCCTTGGGGACGGAGCTGCTCTTGTTTCCAGCCCAAGTGCCTGCAGTAAGCTTCAGGAAGTTCCTGAACATGGTACGCCCGTACTCGGTCAGGATACTCTCGGGGTGGAACTGCACACCTTCCACCGCAAGCTCCTTGTGCCTCACACCCATGATGACGCTGTTGCCGCTGCCGTTCTCGAGGTCTGCCCATGAAGTGACTTCCATGCACTCGGGCACCGTCGAGTGGGTTCCGGCAAGGGAATGGTACCGAGTTACGGAGAGAACGGCGGGTAGCCCCTCATAGACACCCTTGGAGTCATGCTTCAGGACGGAGGTCTTGCCATGAAGAATCTCGCCCGTCACATCCACCTTGCCACCAAAAGATGTGATCATGCACTGTTGGCCCATACACACACCAAAGATTGGAATCTTTCCGCTGAAGTGCTTGATGGCAGCATTGCTGATTCCTGCATCGGTTTCCGGATGGCCGGGTCCGGGACTGATAACCAGCTGAGTCGGGTTCTTCGCAATCAGGTCCTCGACAGTAACTTCGTCATTTCGTACCACAGTGACCGTTGCACCCTCAAGCACAAGGTATTGATAGACATTCCAGGTGAAAGAGTCGTAATTGTCGACCAAAATGACATTGGAGGCGCTGTCCAGCTTGGCAGCTCTGGTGGGATGGTGGGGGGAGTGGTCGACGAGGTCCGCCATAACCGCTAGAGTGACCGGGGGCGTATTTTGCAAACTGGAGCGGTTAGTAAGTGTGAGAGATCAAGAATGACAAGGTTCCACACACAATTCCGTCAATTCACCTGTTGTGGTGGCTTCCTGCGCTCACCGTGAGTCAATAGTGCAGGAGAGCGGGCGACTTTGCAAATACTCACCGCCCGGCAATAAACCACACTAGCCCCAGATAGGCAGTGCGGATTGTTGACCGCAGACGCGCAGAAAGAAAGTGCAGGTTCTGTTTGGAGCTTCCTGAAGCTACAAAGGCTGACCGTGGACTATTCAATCACACGTTTCCTTAGACCCCTATTGACCTAGTTCTTCAGCCCTATGATGATCTAATTGCCTCGCCAAATGGCTCCCGTCCCGGAGGCCTATTTTCCGTCCCTGGACAAGTGCTTCTCCGGGGACGTTCAGCTCTTGTACGCCCTACGGAACCTGTTCACTTGTTTGGTGCGATACTGATTCATTACAGGTCCTGGAAAAGAGCTTTTCTTTACGCCAACGATCCAGAAGCTCACGCCGACAATGGAGGAAATGTTACAGCCTTTCTTTCGCATCCCGAGAGCATTCAGCTACTGTCTCAAAGCTTAAACTCTTTCCCCGACCCTTCCTCAAAATCCAAGCGCGAGTTCGATTCGAAGACGTCCGCGATCCACGTTGAAACAAATGCGAAGAGCTCCTTCGATCTCAAGGAGATCAAGGCCGATGCGCAATGGCTCAGCGAAAAAGCGAGAATTGACGAAGTCGCCGCTTTACGCATCACTGTCCTCGAATGGCAAAACCGTCCTGCTACCCGCCTGACAACAACCTTCTCTAGCGAGGAAGCTACGAGCCTGCAGAGTGCCGCAGGCACCGATAATCTGCGTGTGTCGGTAGCTGGGCCCAATCTTGCGAGCATTTTGAAGCAGACCGCGGACAATGCAGGCTCATCCACATTTGACACAGCGGCAAGCCGGCGCCTGCGACTACGCGCCCTTTATCTTTCGGAGAGGAGCCACCTGCTGAAGACATATCGCAAGCTACTCGCGTTATCCCTACACGACACACCAACCGGATCGATAGCCTTCAGCACACGTGAAACAGAGTTAGTCGAGCTGGGAATCAGGATTTTCAAAGAGCAGTCTGCCGGTGATGGCTTACATAGGCTTCTCGAAGCATGTATCATTGCCATTCAGAATCGGCTTCAAGACCTGGAGAGCAGTGGCTCCTGGCTCGGAGCGGCGGAGAGCAACGGAGAAACAGAGGATATTTGGAGAACTACTGTCGTGGAAGAAATCACCCATGTTCTCCAGATTATGTTTCACGGGCTGCGCGCATCGCAGGCAGTACCCTGTGGTGCCCTCTTGTTATCCTGGCTTGAACTCATGGTTGACTACGATTTCCTAGAAAAGTTACAAGTGGTGAGTCACTGAACGTCCTCTTTCTGGAAGGCCTTCGAATACTAACCCATTTTACAGCCTTGTGAGCAGCCGGTGGAAGTCTTGTTGCCTCTTCAATCTTTCGTATCGCTGACCACTCTGGCGTTTCTGAAACTTCCGCTTGCCTTTGATTCCATTTTCAACAAGAAGCAACCACAGACGATCCCGGCCGGAAAACCGGCATACTTTCTCTCAAAGGATACGATCTCCAAAACGAATGAGATTCTGGTGGGTGCATCCCTTCAGCTGAGCACGGTTCATCCTGCTGGCTTTTCATGGGGCCTACTTCTAAATACCATGAGTGAGGTGGCTCTGAGCGACAAAGAGACCCAGGAGATAGAGCAGTTTCATACTGCGCTGGACTCCTTCCAGAGCAACACGCACAATGCTGGGCCCTCTCAGACATCCGAGCCGTCGCTGTATGAAGTCCTACTGGACACTGCTCGAACGCCACAGTTCGGCGCCGTCGAAAATGCAATTGCAGAGATGACATCTGATATTGTCAAAGAATCTGCCTTGAATCAAATCGTTACACTGTCCATGAAGGTGGGCTCAATTTCCGCAGTGGACGATGACCTGACCGCTCGATGGGTGCGTCTAGAGCTTCTCGATCTCATCAAAGTTGCGACTTATTTCCTGGATTATTCGCCCGAGATCATGGAGTCGGTGCTGGCGATTTTGATGGGCACGTCTGATGGGCTATCGTGGCTCTCAGCGAGCTCCCTGGGACATACCAACGATCCGAAGACCGCTTTTATCGAGAATGATCTCTTGATGGACAGGATTTTCCGCATTGCACGGTCTCGGTTTCCTTACGAAACCGTTCCTTTCTTGAAGCTTTGCCGTGCGCTGGTGAGCGGCCACTCCGTGGATGTAGAAGGCCAGCCTCGGGTTTTGCAGGAACTGGAGAGCATGAGCACCTTTACTCAAATCGTTCCCCCCGGGTTTTCAGGTTATGCGACCATTCGTGAAGACGAAAATGCCAACTTTGTGTCACTTATTCGGTCTCTCCCAATGCTCGAATCCTCCTCTCACAGGCATCTTCCAGAAAACGAGACAAGCAGTGCTCTGGTTGTCAGTGGCTCGTCTGAAATCCCAACGGCAACCGTTGGCCAAGTGATCTCCGAATCAAGACCTGCAGTCATCATGTGGCAGCATCAGTATTCGTGTCTGAGCTACCTGGGAAGCTGGCTTGAAGAGTGGAGCGAAAGTGGTGCGCACTCCTCGGGCTGGGACGCTGAGTCTGGTACGGAGGTCATCGGGCTCCTAGCAGACCTGATTGCCAGCGCGAAAGATGTCCGCGAGCAGGATTCCGCTGGCACAACTGCAAAAAGGATCCTGGAGATGGCCAGTGACGGGCTTTCTCGGCAAGGAGATATCATCTCAGTTGTCTTGGACATCTTCGAACGCAACCTGCAAAGCATCGGAACTCGGGGTGATGCTCCTAATGCGTTGGATCCCATCATGACTTGCCTTCAGTTTATCCAGGAGGTACTGAAGGTTCTTCCCAGCCGAGTCTGGCCCTTCTTTAGCCGCAGTAGCTTCATTGGATCAGACGGCAAGGGAGGAGTTATGTCTGGAGTCATTTCAGCGATGGAGATTCCCTCTGGGGAATATCCGTTCCTTGTGAGCTGCGTCAACCTGTTCGAAGCTGCTGTAGATGATGCAGCATCTCGTGCAGTTCTGCGGAAGAGCCCAGCAAGCGTTTCTGGAAAGTCGACGATTGCTTCCGACTGGAGCGCCGGCATTCCTTCCCATGTCATGAGGAGCATTCTGCTGAATTTCACCCGGACGATGGTTGAGATCTATAACAGTAATGGTAACTGGAGGTTCAATCTCCCGGAGCAACGGTTCAAAATCAACGGAATGCTGGCTGCTTGTTTTGACCGGATCCTTTACTATGCCTATGGAATCAACGACAGTGCGAAGCTGGAATCCAAGATCACCGGCGTTTTCTCCGAGTCCGCAGCATACATCCTCGACTTGCTTCGTCCTCGGTCAACCGCCGACCTGCCTTTCAGTCCAATCCTTCGATTAATTTCAGACGGCCTTCAAACCCCGCCGACTCTCCACCTACGCTATCTCACTCTTATTGAAAGTCAGGTCAACTCCACTTTGAACCTCTGCATCAAGCTCGTACAGGCAGCGCGACTCGCAGAACAGCCCGCATCCCTGTTGGAAGAACAGTTGTTCAAGGCTGCCCCCGTCCTGGTGAAGCTTTATGCTTTGCATGACCCCTACCGCCTGCCCGTTGTGACGTTGCTTGAGATTCTCATTAGTAGCGCCGCATCAGATCCGGATAACGAACCCCCGTCGCTTGTCGGTCATCTTGGAGCCGAGTCGTCATGCCTTTTCCTTGACGTACTCTCGCAGCTCGACAAGCCGCTTGCCAATGATACCTTGTTGCTTTCAGTCTGGCAGCTACTGTCAACCTTTGTCAGCAAGCGTCAACAATGGCTTGCAGTCTTCATTCTTACCGGCGCATCACCCCGCCAGACGTTAAAGAAATCCGACAAGGGTGGAGGCCCGAGCATGCGAGGCGTGCCCTTCTTGCAAATGGCACTTGATAAGCTGGCCAACATTGACAATGAAGAGCCCCAGGTTGCCCTAGCTTTGCTAGGGTTTGTGTCCCGCGCGCAAGAAAATTGGCCATGGGCTACCCCACACTTGAAAAACCATTCTCAATTTTTCACCAGCATCGTAAACTATGTCTCGAAACTGAAAATCACCTCCCTGCCTGTGACAGACCAAATCTTTGCGACGCGGATTGCCGCTGCTGTCGCAGACATCTCTACGGTCTATCTGCACTCGGCCAAGGAATCAAGAGACTGGAGCTTTGTCAAGACCCTTATCCCCCTTGTGCAGTGGTATGCCAAAGATGCCGTTGAGGTCTCCGCCTACAATTCGTCCTTGCACGCGAACCTGAAGAGGAACTTTGAGAAGCGATACTCTGGCTGCAAGATGGTCGACTTCAAGCGGTCCCCGCTAGTCACTCGCAGCCTGGGAAGCCATTATTATTATGATCTTGGCATGGGGCACAAGCTATTGTCTTTCGACCTTGCCTGGAGCGGAAGATCTCGGAATCAGGGCTTCTCTGAGGAGTTTGCGCGTGCCAATATCAACTTGTCGCTTGTTGAAGCGCAGGTGGTAAGTTCTTTGCGCTGCTCTTCCATTCCCCTTCTCTTTCATTGTTTGCTAACTCAAAAAAAAGTCTCTACTCAACAGCTGGAAATTCTTTGCAATCGAGCATTGTGCAGATTTCATGCCGGATCGCGAAATCCAAAAGTCCATGGCAGTTGTAGCGCAAAACTGTCTCGAGGCCAATACCCGCAGCGTGCCTCCGGAGGCCATCTTTGAGCGAATTCAACAAGTGCGGGTTGACTTTGCGCAGGCCCTTCTCCAACGTCTTGTTGAGGTGGAGGCCCATGGGGCCGAGGTATTCGGGCTGCTTGAGGTTGTCTTCAAGACACTGCGTGCTCGGCACCGGACGTACGAGGAGGCACTTCTCAGTGATGACACCGAATATTACCGATCCCTCCTCAATGTGCTGTTTCTGGCTCTCCAGTTCCATCTCCCAGCGCCCAACCGCACCAGCCCCGAGGCACTCAGTGGACAGCCCAGTGTCTCGTCCGATTTGAGCGTGGTCGTGGATATTGTCAAGACCGTCGTCGCGCAGGGATTCAGGTCGCTCACTACGTATCTGCACGATGAGCCGGAAAAATGCACGCCGAAGGACTTCGCCATCATCATCGCCGTCCTTCAGACCTGTTTGCAGGTCAAGAATGCGGACCGGTTCTATGAGCACATTGCTTTCCACCTCGCAGAGAACGACATCGCCCGCCATGCGACGACGTTATTTTCCTGGGCCGACCAACTGGCCGTGGCGGGCGACCCGATCTATGGCGATCTCAGTATCTCGATCCTCGTCAAAATGTCCACCCTGCCCCTGCTAGCCGAACACCTGGCCGTCGAGGGTGTTCTGATGAAATTGTCCACCTGCCGCCTGACCAACATCCTGCGGCAACCGAAGGGCTTCGGCCCCTTCGACCCCGTTCCCCGGCTGTACACCATCTGGACTGGCGGGTTCCTTCCCCTATGCCTGAACCTGCTCTACAGCGTCGTCCGGGCCGCGCCGGAGGTGGCCGCCTTCCTCAATCAATTCGAAGGCCAGCTTAACCGCGCATCTGAGTGCTTCTCCACGCCCCACGCTACGGTCACCCCCGGTCCGGCGGCGCAGTGGGTCAGCCTGAGCATGGCCTCTGAGGCATACTCCCTCGCCCTGGTCTCCTTCATTCTCACCCGCTTCCGCGAGGCTGGTCCCAGTGCCGGCCTCGACGCACAGTCCATCCAGGAACTGAAGTGGGACAAGGCGCAGGTAAAAGAAGACATCGAGGAACTGCTGGGCCGCCGACCGACGCTGCGGGCGCGCATTGTCGCCACGACCGAAAAGGAGGTGGAATGGTCGCGGCAGGGACCTTCTGACGCGGCATCTGGTGCTGAGAACCGGCTGGAGGAGAAGGTTGTGAGCGAGTTGAAGGCGGCGGTGGCTTGTTTGGGGGTGAGGAGGAATCATGATAACCATGTCCATTTTATAGCCTTTGAAGTACTCTTTGTGTCTGCCATGTATTTTGGACTGGAGCGGGGTGTAGTAGAATCCTTTTTTGTTGTTACGCATGGGTTCAATTGAGATCATTTGCATCTTTGTCATTCGTGCTGTTCTACATTATATCCTGAGTATGGTGGGCCACCTGTGGTCGTTGCATCCATCCTGCCAGATCCGCAATGAAAGCAAAAGCTATTCCTATAATGCACAACACCAACTCGTTCACAACTCACCCTATGCGCATCAGCGCCCAGCACATCCGAGGCATGGCCACCCCCTGCCTCGGACCCCCGCAAACACAACCGACTTCTGCGGGGAAAGCTCCGTGACTTGCCATAGTGCACATGGTGATTCGATCGCAGCTCAGGCCTTTCCTGGTTATATGGCTATATGGACCGAACGGCGCTTGGGCGCCTGGGTTTCCCAGTTCCACTTCATATAACCATCTCACTCGCCAGCTCCCCCCACGATATACCCCTTCTGCACATACCACATAGGCTCCCCCATATCCGCACCTCCATCATGCCATACAAATCCCGCTGGCACATCGACATCCCCAACACCCACCTCGCCTCGCTCCTCCTCAAGTCTCCGACGGCACCGCTCTCCCAAACGCATAGATGCTACCTCGAAGCCGCACGCCCAGACACGCACTACCTCACGACTCATGACTTCCGCCTCTGGAGCCAGCGTGTCGCGGTGGGCCTGCGCAAGGCCGGCCTGAAGCCCGGCGACCGCGTGCTGCTGTTCTCCGGGAACGACCTGTTCTTCCCCGTCGTTTTCATGGGCATCATTATGGCGGGCGGTATCTTCACCGGCGCAAACCCGACCTACGTCGCCCGCGAGCTAGCCTTCCAGCTACAAGACAGCGGCGCGACGATTATGATCTGCGCAGCGGCGAGCCTCGACACCGGCATTGAGGCGGCGCAGATTGCGGGCCTCGCTCGGGATAAGGTGTTTGTGTTTGACAATGCGATCTACGATAACCGCGGCGCGGGCCAGAAGGGGTGTCCGTACTGGGGGGAGCTGGTGGCACCGCCAGAAGAAGGCCTCGGGTTCGCCTGGGAGCTGCTGGACACGCCGGCGTTGGCGGATACCACGCTCGCGCTGAATTATTCGTCCGGCACGACAGGCCGATCTAAGGGCGTAGAAATCACGCATAAGAACTACGTCGCGAATATGCTGCAGTATACCCATATGGGAACCCTGCACCCGGACTACGATGCGCGCCGAGCGCGGGCACGCTGGCTGTGCTTCTTGCCCATGTACCATGCCATGGCGCAGAGTATCTTTATTGCGGGGGCACTGTGGCGCGGTACGCCGGTGTATATGATGCCAAGGTTCGACTTTATCCAGATGCTCGAGTACACGCAGAAGTTTCGGATCACGGACTTGATTCTCGTGCCGCCGGTGGTGGTTGCGCTGGCTAAGCACCCCGCTGTGAAGAAATATGATCTGAGCAGTGTGGAGAGTGTGGGTAGTGGTGCGGCGCCCTTGGGGCGGGAGGTTTGTGCCGAGGTGGAGAAGCTGTGGCCGGAAGGGAAGATTAATATCAAACAGGGCTGGGGGATGACCGAGTGAGTAGCCCTTCGACCTTTTCCATTCGGATTTCGGACATCATATCGTGAGATATGGGGTTGAGAATAATGGAAGCAAGGCTAAACTGTGATTAGAACAACATGCTCTCTCCTAGGCTGGGATCCGACAAAGACAAGTCTCTCTGCCTCTGTCGGCGAACCAAACGCCAACTGCGAGGCCAAGATCATGGCCGAGGATGGTGTCACCGAACTCCTGGAGCGCAACCAGCGGGGGGAGCTGTGGGTGCGCGGGCAGAACATCATGAAGGGGTACTGGCACAATCAACGGGCAACCAGGGAAACCAAGACCGAGGATGGGTGGCTCCGGACTGGTGATATCGCCTATGTGGATGACGAGGGCAGGTTCCACGTTGTGGATCGGCTGAAGGTATGCAGCAGCGTCCTCTGAGAACACATTCAGACCGGCCATAGTTCGTATACATGGAAGGTATGCTAATGATGGCGGCAGGAGTTGATCAAGGTCAAGGGTAACCAGGTCGCTCCTGCGGAATTGGAAGCGCTGCTTCTCGAACACCCAGCCGTGGCAGACGCTGCCGTCGTGGGCGTCACAGTGTGAGTGCAAAAGTCATTCTCTTTGTTTCTGTCATGGCCCAACTTTTCTTCTTCCTCTTTTTTTGGTTCTTTTTGAGGTGTTACTTTTTCCCCGGTGTCTCTTTGCTTCGTTCGGACACTGACGGGCGATGCGAAAAACAGCAATCACGACGAGCGTCCTCGTGCATATATCGTCCTTACAGCCGGTCAGTCGGCCACTGCAGAGGACATTTTGCGGTTCATGGACGGCAAGGTCTCCGCAACCAAGCGGATCACCGGCGGGGTGGTATTCCTCCCCGCGATTCCGAAGAACCCCTCGGGCAAGATTCTGCGCAAGGTGCTGCGCGAGCTAGCAGCCGTGGAGCTGAAGCAGGCAGGCGCCACGGCGAAACTGTAGAATTTGCCATTTTGTTTTTTGTGAACTGTGAAGTGTGCGCCATGAGGTGATATATTGAGGCGGCGGTACTCCGGTGGAGTAGATCGGTATATGATCAAACCCGAAATATGCTGAGCGACCATATTACCATTTCGCCAGACCAAGGGGTTCCCTTGATTCTCTTCGCTTGATTTTCCTTCTTGCCTCTTGGGGACAGTATTCTCTTTCCATCCCGTTTCTCGATACACCCACTCACCTGTAGGCGGGCCAGGATATCTGTCGTCGATACCGGCGATCCCTCGCGGGACCCACGGCCCTGGGAGGTGCAGTCCAAAGCAGAGACACACACCTAGCCGAGCGGCGGCCTGTGCCGCGTGATTCGCCGCGCAGCCTTAGCGCGAGGCCCTAAAATCCAGCGGCGAGCTGAAGGCTCCTGCGATCGCGATCCACGATCGGGGCGGCGTAAAGAGGGCACGCTAACAAGCCGGCGGACTCCTCGACTGAGATTCATCGGCCTGTTTTGCTCTGGTTGAGGGCAAACCCAGCCCAGCCCAGCCCAGCCAGCCCTGGCACGTAGGATCGACGCGGCAGGCGAAGATTTGGGATTTTCTCCGCAACCGTGGCCGTGGGCATGGGTCGTGCGTCCCGGTGCGGTTGATTGCCTGCCGGCCACTTTTTGCGTGGGACACGAGTCATTTGTGCTGCGGAATGGGGACCTGTAGTGCCATCCATCCATTCCAGTCACTTCAGACTGTTAGAGTCTGTGCAGGCTAATCCAATCCAGTCTAGTCGGGGGCCGCGGCTCGACCGCAGATCTCTCGGCTCTGCCAGTGGCGCCTGGGGACTGCAGCTGAATCCCTCGCACGAACCAGGCCGTGGCTTGGTTGGTGTGCAGCTGGAGGTACCCTCGCCTTACCCACTTTCATTTGGCTTTGCCTTTTCGCCCCTACAAATTCAAATCATCGCGGACCTGGGGAGCCGCTAAAGGCAGCGTGTGGTGAGGCGGGGTGGGGCGGATTGGGTTCAGTCCATGCACGGGCGGAGGGTGGAAGGGAAGTGGCCGGGCATAGAAAGGACGCGGGTGACAAGCGGAGGTGGGTGGAGGCTTGCGCGGAAGTGCTCCAGCAGCCTCCCTTTTCGTTTTCCTTTTCCATATTTCATAATTGGATGATGATCATGACCATTCTTTTGGGGGACTATAGTGAGCTATCATTCCTTTTGAGTTTGACTGTGCATGATGGGTCACCGCGTTAAGATGGCGGTTTATAGTTCGCTGGGCTCAACCATCTACACAGTGTCAACAATTGGGCCATCTGGCCCTGTACGACCAAAGAAGAGAGGGTCTCTTCGCTGGGTTGAGAGTTTATTCTTGCGAACTGTCGTGTCACCCTGTCAATCTGTCACCTTCTCTGCCAGTCGGGGATGCTGGGCGGCTTCTGCGAACCCTACGGCGCCGCAGTTGACTGGCGTATACTCTGCCTGCCACTCTTGGCGTTCTTTTCCGTTTTAGTGCTCATGCCTTGCCGCTTTTTGCTCACTGAGTAAGTCTGAGCACGTCCCTGAGTAGTTACCGTGACTTGATGACTGATCCTTACATAATCAAAATGTTTCGCTCACTGAGTCTGAGCTGAGCGTAGGAATAAGCGGCCTGAGTAAGCGACATCAATAAAATGCAACACACTAGCTTCATCATGTGCAATCCTCTTCTAGATCGACCCAGTGTCTTATGAAAAAGAGGATTGGCGTCAATGCGACCGTTCGTTCTAGACCTATCGGTCTCTCACTTCTGGCTTTGCTCCCAGGATCACTTCGTTCATTAGCCCACGATGCCCTATTCAGGCTTTAGACCTCTGCTAGGGGGATGGCGAGCGGACGGAATTAATTGAAGATCTACAATCTTGCCATGTAACAATGAGTATTCCTAATCATTCCTTGGGTGGCATTTTGTTATTGTCTTTTGTCGTCATCATCTTCATTCTTTTCCTTTCCTTTATTTCTTATATTTCAACGCCTTTAATTCATATATACTGTGTCGTTTCACAATATATCTTTTATTATTCATATTGGATTTGTACAGAACGGCGTAGTAGATATAGAAACTCATACAAAAGGTGACATACTATTTATCGCGATTGATAAAGTAAGCCCTAGACGGTCTCTACATGAAGGCTCAGCCACGAAGCGAGTATACCGTTTCATGCATTAGTTTCGCCCTACTTTAGCAATTTTCCTACTACCTCTTTTTGCCCATTTTCGAGTTCTACAGATTAAAATTGTTTGGAAAATGGTAGGATCGCATTTGATATAAATGATTCAGGATCAACAAAGGGCCTTCAGGCGGATATTTTCCCAGCTTCTTTGCAACCCAGTACCTAGCAACACCCCGGACGATCTCACTCCGCAACCTCAACAACTAACTTCGTACAACTGACCCCCTGAAGCATTTTGTCCAATCCAGCATTGATAGCCCCTAAACCCTTCCCCACGATGCTCGGCTCCGGACTCGGCCTGATAGCCCCATTGGCCAAGTTCTCCCTAAGCCACGTCCCGAGCCAGTATCGGAACTGTTCAAGTCTCTCCCCTTCAATCGTCGACGGTATCACAGATATTGTCTCCACCCCGTTCACGACCTCAGCATCCGGAGGAATGCTAGGTGCCGACCCGATCTTCGCCGTCTTTGTCTTCTCCCCTTCTTGGCCTTCTCCGAGGAACCTCTGAAGCACAGCCTGACATAGTGCTAGCTGCCCAGTAGCAAGAAAACAATGCCGGATCACTAACCCGTCCTCATTGGCCGCCGAAACGATAGCATCCACGACTTGTGAGTCTTTGTAGTCAAACACGCGGTCCGCGCCCAGTGAATATATATAGCTCCTATTCGCCGATCCGGCCGTGGCATAAACAGCGGCGAATGAAGAATTAGGATCTTCCAGCAGCAGGCGAGCTGTTTGTACACCCATAGTACCAACGCTAGAGGACGCACCCCAGATTAGGAGAGCTTCTCTTTTTTCCGTATTAGGTATTTCCTTCCCTCCGCTGAAATTGGTACTAGTAGATCCATCAGGGACTAGAGTAGAGGTAGTGGTCTCTCCTATCCGTGGGATTCCCATGATATCCCACGCGCTTAGGGGAACCTCGACGGCGACGGGTAAGGTTGCCGCGTGATTCCAAGATATCTCGTCCGGCAGAGGCACAGCATGCTGCCAGGGGATGAGACACCGCTCTTGAAATGCGCCGTAGTCTGCGTTGCAGGACTTCCACAAATAGGCGGCGTATGCGGCGACGCGGGTGCCCGGTCGGAAGGAGGAGCCCGAGCTATCGTCGGTAGCATCGGTGTGAACGTTGTCACCGACCTCGAGGACTAACCCCGCCATGTCGAAGCCAGTGACGGTGGGGTACGTAGGTATGAAGAGGCCGTGATCACGCATGTGAGTGTCTGCCGGGTTGAGGGCTACGGACTTGACAGCGATGAGGAGCTCGTCTGGTCCTGGCTTTGGGGTTGGGCGGGTCTGGAGCTCAAAGGGTTTGCCTTTGGCCGGGGAGACGGCGGCGAGGTGGGTGGCCATTTGGAAGTTTTGTGTAAGTAGAAGTCCTGGAGGTGGAGGATCATATGCGAGTAGACTTTGGTATTCAAGTCAAGATCTCATGATTCTGATGCCATGGACATTAACCCTTCTTCCTAGGATATGGAGGAATAATTGGGGAAAGACATAAGTCTCCTTTATATTAGCTTCACTGATCAAACCGTTTATCAGTAACCCGCGTGTTTGCTAGGTTTGTTCTGTTTAATTGAACTTTATCACTTTATCAATTACCCCCTTGGTATCTCTGAGCAAGTTAGTATTGTTTGCATCATACTTTGTGCTGTTTGTGAAAAGGATGTCAACGTCGATGACAAATCGCATGAGATTATTAACGAAGTTGATCTTACCCGAACCCCCGAGGCTTGGTAATCGTCCCCATTCATCAAGAACGATTATGACTTGGCAAGTATTAACGTAAATAGTGGGGATAATATGTGCTCAGTACCATTTCACAAGTTTTATTCCACTATCCCTCGGCCTAGGTTCATGCGTATTACGCCGAGGATTTGAAATCATGCTCCAGGGCTTATCGCCCGGTAATTAAGGACATCAAAGTTAAGCATCTTATCTGTTGTAAATTTACACCGTTGCTGAAGAACCATTTACCTATATAAGCTAAGTCCACATCCGGTCGGGTTTCGTTTGTCAAATGACCTGTTCGTGCACAATCAATCTAACCCAGAACCCGGACGCGTTGTTCTTAGTCACGAAGTATTATGTCTTCTAATATTCTGATCACTGGTGCGGGGGGATACATGTGGGTTTTCATGGATTGCTGAAATTAGTTGCGGACCGCTGACTTTTCTGTAGAGGAGGATCTATTGCTGCGCACTTGCTAGCAAAGACAAACGGGCTGATTCAGAAAGATCAAGTCATTGCCGCAGTAAGATCTAAGGAGCAAGCTGATGCTGTGTCCAAATTGGGCATTCGTGTGCTGCAGCTAGATCTGTCTAACGAAAAGGATGTGACTGAAAGCGTGCTACACCATAACAGTACGAAATATGTCGGAACTTGGATATCAAAGTTATCATTTGGGCTGACTGCTTCCTAGTCAGTATCGTTATTCATACTGCCTCGGTAGATCCGAGCATAGTGCTACCTCTCGTCAATGCGCTGGGCAAACAGAAGCAAGTGAATGGGGGAGAGACCCATTTTATTTACGTCAGTTCACCTTAATTTTGTTCTTCTGTTAGTTGTTAATGTTAAGGTAGACTTCGGGTCTGAGCGCATTTTACGAAAAGACCGGCTGGCCAGTCGGGTCGTTCAAAGACACAGATCCCGTATTTGATACAGAGAAGCGTATAGCAGATTCTTTCCTTCTACGAAAGGTCAATCTATTAATCATGTCCTACCTACACGGGCTATCTGTTTCTAAATGGTGCTAACAACCCCCACAGACTGACGTCGCGGTCATCGAGCATGCCGAAGCGCAAGGGGTCACTAGCTTCATCGTTGTGCCTTCCTTAGTCTGTGAGTGTCATTATGAAACAGTGATGTGTGAATTACTCAAGCCTGACAAAGCTGGTCAGATGGTAAAGGTAGCGGCGAATGGAACAAGCTGTCTGTGGTACTGCCACTCTATGTTAAGGCTAGTATCTCAGCAAAAGCGGTTTACAAGTTCCCTGAAAATCCGGTAAGATATAGATTAAGGAGAAAATCATCAATCAGTTCGCTAATTACCTACGCAGAGGGTATCCGGCGTGCACATCTCTGACTTGACTGCGCTGTACGGTTTGATTGTTGAACACATCCTCCGAGGAGAGACGGTTCCAAGTGGCAGAGAAGGCTACTACTTTGCACTGGCCCATGACATGTTCCTGGGTGAAGTTGGGGATCATTTGGCTAGAGCCCTTTGTGATCGTGGCCTGATCTCTGATTCGAAGACCCACAACTATTCGGATCCCGAAGCTGCTGCGGAATCACTGGGGGTTCCTGCGCCGTTTGTGCAGATGTTGTGGGACTCTGGGTATGTTTTCGCCGCCTCAGCATTGCTTCGAGCTAAATCTGATTGAAATAAGGCCGGACATTATCGCCGAACTTCCGCATAGTATTGGATGGAAGCCGGAGTGGAATAAGGAGCGGTTCTTGCAAGACGTTGACGATGAGGTTCAGGCTGTAGTGGACCTTGGGAAGGCGAAAAGCAGTCTTGTTGACTCGTTATTGAAATCGGCGATGGGTTAATCGATGCTCGCAGAGGATTTCCACTGGATGTCGAACGGACGAGGAGAGTCGTTGAGCTTTCACGATTTTCGTGTAACAGTCGCACGATATGGGAGGCTCCGACATGGAAGGTTCCGGCATGTAGTAGTAAAAAGAGAGCTTATCTCTCTTTCTCTTCTTTTTTCTTTCCTTCTTCAGATTCGATATTCTCGTTGAATGGACGCCTTGATTATTTGCCTAGTGTAGCATTTCTAACAGAGAGGGTGCTTGTAGCGTACCTGCTGGTAGCGTACCAGCATACGCTACCAGGTGCTGTCGGTGTCTTGCCTAATTTGATAATGCACTAGACTGGGTCTCCAATCTACTTAACTGGACTGACGGGCATATTAAATCCGAGCCACCTAACTCCTAGGAGCTCTGTTTCTTGTCCCAGGGCTAAGTGGCATGGTGAGAAGTAAGGGCCATCAGAAAGTAGATCGCAAGATCAACAGAAATGTGGGGGCAAGTGCCCGTTTAGGTATAGTCCTATGGTAGACTGAGTGCATAATAGATGCCTCTGATCAGCTTCTGAGTATCAGTGAACGGTCAATGAGTAGCCAATCACAATCACGGAGTGTTCACTAAGCATTCATTGGACCTCACTGTTTGGATCACGTGATTAACACCGAGCCGCGCAGTTGACTTCTGAGCCCGGACTGAAATCTACTCAGTGGGTCTTAGTCTGAGCGCTCATAAAAGCGGCGGCAGCTAAGATAGGCAAGCCCCACCCGGCAGAGGAAGTATGGTACTAGTGAGCTACATAGTTTGGGGTACACGCAGACTCCATATCTTCTTCCACATTGGACGAGCTCCATCGGATCGGATCTGACTGGGCTTGATCTGATCTACTGTGCCTGGGCCCAACTCCCGGGTTTAGTGACTCTGTGGTTCAGTTCGTACGGTCCTCCGGAGCGAGCATGTCTCTGCGAGACCTCATGCCCCGCCATCCGCTGCTTCTTCCTGTGCCCGCAATCCTCTGTCTAGTCCTCAGGCCACCAGTTCTTCACGCCTTCGACACCCCCAATTCCCCAACTATAAATATTCAATGCGGCCCGAGTGTCCTTCCCGTAGCCCCTCCATGCTTCTGTATCCCTTCTTCCGTCCTCCTGCCCCGCGGAGCCTCCTCTCACCAGTCACAAGGTAGTGGATGTTAAGCCAGTCTAGCACCCCGGTTCGAGAAGCCTAGCTCTATTTTCAAACAAACCACACGGGATTCAGCTCTCTGTCGTTCAGCCCTGTTATTCAGCTCCACGGTTTCATATCTCCCTCGTCCGCTCGGTGTCAGCACACAAACCACCCGGGTGGGAAGTCTTCCCCCCTCGCAATGATCCAAGCAGGACACGGATACACGCAACACCCGTGTCTATACCAACTACTCTCTTCGCTCTCCCCGTGGACACTCTCGCTGGGGCTCGGGCTCGGGCTCGCCGTCACCAGCCTAGCGCTGTTCCTAGTGATCCAGAGCATCGCGCGCCGCCATTCCCAGGCATATCGCGCCGCCACCCAGCACCCCCAACAACCGGACCCGTGGTCTCAAATCACCGCCATGGAAAAGGGCAAGGCGAGTCCCCCATCCACCGTGCCGCCGCCCGCTTCCGCCTGCGATGTGCTGAGGCCGCTGTCGCAGAGTGGCGCATTTCCCTCCAGCGGGGCGGTGGCGGCCAGGGCTCGTGAGCAGATGCAGGCGGGTAAGGCATCTCCGTCGTCGCCGGAGACGAGCGCCACGCAAACCAGGTCCACTGAGGCGAGCAGTGAGGCTGGTGGGCCGGTGCAAAGGCACAGTGAGTTAGTGCAGCAGATGTGTGAGGTGGATGCGGATGGGGTACGCACTTGGCGGCGGTTGATTGTCGAGTACAGCTAGTGGTAGAGGCACTGGTGGCTGTGTGTGTTGGGTTTTTGCCGGATTGGGGGTTTTTTTGCCTCCCCTCCACCCCCCACCAACTTTCATTTTTGTGTTTAGCCTGGAGGTCCTCTCATTGTATTTTCGTCAGTTTGGCTGTTTCGTGTGGGTTCATGATGGTCATGATCATTGTTCACGACAGTGTCGTTCTCTGCCTGGGTGGTTTTTTTTGGGTTTTTCCTGGTCCTTTGTTCGTCCGATATACTTTAAGACGCAGCGACTGCCTGCCTGAGGGCTTAGGTGTACGCCGGCTCCAAGCCGCAAAAGGCCAATGCTGATACTATCCGTTCATTATCCTTGACCACCTTGCACTCTGTAAACATGGTAAATTTGTTATGTTGGGACTGTCGGCACAGGTGTACCAAGCGATCGATAGGGGGAGAATGAGCATACTGAAGAATGAAGAATATATGGGCCTAGAGCTGCCATGCGAGGGCTGAGTCAGCAGGGACATCCCGCGGCGCAGTGGCATCTTCGACCGGGCTTGTTTAGTTCCTTGGCCAGCTACTTGAATTACACCTCCGACACTGCCTGGATCTTTCAAGGTTGGCACCCACAATGGCCGTCTCTGCATTTCCGTCCGAAGACTCTCCGGATCTCACCCTCCTAAACGTGGCGCGGCTGTTTACCCGTCTGGAACACAACCTCCTCTCCCCAGGCTCGGAACTCCACACCCTGCGCAAGTCTGAGCTCCAGCGCGTGCGAGTGGCCAAGGTACGAAGCCGAGTTCGGTTACCCCTGGCTTTAGATATGCGATAATATCTAATTACAGTCTATTCACAGAATGTCGACTACGCCCGCACCCTCCTGTCCCAACTGGAACGCTCGCTCCCGCAATTGAAACCGCTGGACCGGCGACACGAGGCGCAGGCGGAGATTGCGCGGGACAGACAGCTGCTGAAGCGCATGCAGAGCTTGCTGGACGAGGAGGAGGCCCGCGCGGAGAATGACGGCGACGATGCAGAAGATGGCGAGGGCGGCGACGAGTGGAAGGAGTTATTTGCCAACTCCGTCGCGGGGGAAACGGTGGTTTCACCAACAGGCACACAAGACCGACCAGTCCGGATAGACAAAGATGCAAGAGGAGAGCCCGAGATCGAAGGGGCGGCACCTTCCTCCGCCACATTCACCCCAGTGACATCGACGCCAACACCCGCACACACCACTACAACAGCGCCTGCTCCAACACCTGCATCCACCATCCGCAAGCGCAATCTCCCCACCAACATGCAAGGCACAGCAGAGCCCGCCGCAGCGGCCAAAGCCACCGGCAGCATCACCCGGCCAGACCACACACTCTCCTCCAAAGAAGACGCCCTCAGTGCACAGCGTCTCGAACAAGAAGATCTCACCGGCTCTCTGCTCTCGTTGGCCAGCCAACTGAAGGCCTCATCACAGTCCTTTCAGGCGACGCTGGGGAACGAGAAGTCCGTACTGGACCGGGCGGTCTCGGGCATCGACAAGACAAGTAGCACGATGGAGGCGGCGGGGCAGCGGATGGGGATGCTGCGGCGGATGACGGAGGGGCAAGGGTGGTGGGGGCGGCTGATGCTGTATGCGTGGATTTTCGGGTTGTGGGTGGTTGCGGTGTTGATTGTTTATGTTGGGCCGAAGCTGAGATTCTAATCTGAAAACCCATAATGCTGCGGTTTGGTTTGGTTTGTTTAGATACCCTGGATCTATCGATCCGATTTGATATTGCAATGCCTACTTATCTAGCTTCGTGACGAACATGGAACTGCGATACTGGGAACCACGAATTATACACGTATGCAGTCCAGTCTAGATTTGCTCTACACAGCAATCACAGTAGGAAAAAGGGAAGGTCGGAAACCCGATAATTGAATTCCTGTCTGACTATAACCCAACGACCGACCTGGCATGACACATGAGAAGAGACATGATAAATCCGCGGATCCTGTCCATTTCCCCGTGCCCATTGCCCAGATGGTCGCTCGAGGCTCCCAACGGACGCGAGACCAAGGAAACGAGAAGGGGTGACGGTATGGTTACATACAAACACAACAAAATTGGAAAAAAAATTGGAAAACAGGGGAGTAGAGCAGCGGGGGAGAAGTGCAATCAAGAGGTAGATGATAGGATATCCAGCATTTCAAATCAGACACAAGGGGTAAGACAAGAAGAAAATGAGACAGTAGAAACAAAGAAAGAGAAAAGGGTAAAGAGAAGGGTCCAAAAAAAGAGTTCCTGTTCCGCGTCGTCGAGAGCAGGATGAAAAGAACCGGCTAGAGAGAGAGAGAGAGAGAAATCGTGTCAATGTGGACGGGCGGGCGCAATTAGAAAGAGACACAATAAAGGAAAACAGATGAGGGAAACAAAAAAATGCTCAACGCCGGAGTTTCTTGGAACGAGGACGAGGCTTTTGATCACATCTCGGCGAGATCTGATTACAAGCCGATAAAAATTAACACATGCGATCTAGTTTCAACACACTGCGACACCCGTGGACTGGCAATTCATTAGATCAAACCACAGAGGCGGAGGTTCTCTTGGATGATGATATCTGCGTAGACAGGTCAGCGGGGATGAACAAACCATAAACGGACTGGATCACAAAAAAGCGAGGTATAGCCCGCTTTCCACGCAAAGTACATACCGTTGACGGCGGCCATGACGAACCGGATCTGGGTGGTGTCGGTGGCACAGGTGAAGTGGGTGTAGATCTGCTTCTGCTCGGCCTGGTTGAGAGACACGAAGCGGTTGAGGATGTAGTCGCAGGCGGCCGCGTAATCGGCACCGCCCTCATAGTCGGGGAAGTAGTTTTTCATGGGGCTGACCGGCAACTTCTCCTTAAAGCGGTCGATCTTGTTGAGGAAGAGGATGATGGAGGTCTTGACGAACCAGCGGGAGTTGCAGATCGAGTCGAACAGGGTGAGCGCTTCTTGCATACGGTTGACAGTCTCGTCCTCGAACAGCAGCTGGTCGTACTCGGAGATGGCGACCAGGAAGAGGATGGTGGTGACGTTCTCGAAGCAATGAATCCACTTCTTGCGCTCGGATCGCTGGCCTCCCACGTCGAACATGCGGTAGGTCAGATCGCCGATAATGAAGGTAGTCTCAGTGATACCGGTGGTCTTGACACGCGAGCGAAGGACATCCTGGTCTGTGGGGAGGTAGTCGGGTTGGGCGATGCGGTCAATGGCATCGAAGTAACTGGAGAGTAATGATACGTTAGTAACTTTGCCTTCAGTATTGCCTGGACGCCTGGGTGCGATCAAGGCAAAAGGCAAAAGGCAAGAAAAAAACTTGACGCTTCAACATACTATTTGGCCGAGTCGTTCAGCTGGTATTCACGCGAGCGCTTGAAGCAGTCCTGAACTCCAGTATCGCGCCACAAGGCACCGATGGCGTTGCCGACCTCGGGGGGAATGCTGTCGCCCTCGATTTGAGCGGGCTGCATGAAGACAGTCTGGACGTGGTACTCGTTACGCGCATCCTCCAGAGGCAGCTCGAGAGACTCCATCGCCTCGAGGATGACGCGCATGGACTGGACGGTGTTGCTGTAGATGATCTCCTTGAACGACTCCCGCTCGTCGCGCGAGTACCCGCCCTCATGGATGAGCTTCATCTGCTTCAGTATGGTAGACTTGCCCGACTCTCCGGCACCTGCAATGCATCAAACCCCTTTTCGTCAGCCAAAGAGCTCTTGCGCATCCCAATATCATCTTTGCCTGCGTTCATTTGTCATCCAGGGTGTGATCATACCGAGCAGCAACATCTTAATCTCGTTCCTTTGCAGCATCTTGTCACGCTTGAGCTGGTTCTCAATCTCCTCGTTGCGCGCCTTCCCCTCCTTGTCCTCGGTACTCATGCCACAACCCATGATGGCGGCTGTGCGGGTGTTGTGTAAACGATAGTGAGTAGGGCTGGTGCGAGTCCGATCGACTTGTAGGGTTCGGGATCAATTGCAGGGACTGCTGGCTCGGCGCAGGATTGTCAGCACGACGAACTCTGGTGTTTGCTCTCGCTGTCTTGCGTCGGGTCACAGATGGCAACGAAGAGTCGAGGAGCACACTTGGCAAAGGTGGTACAAGCCGTCGAGATCCGACGTTTCAGGATGCGATCGGGGGAACGCAAGGGTGAAACAGGGGAATCGTCGAGTTTCCCACGAGAGCGAGGAAGCTGCCGATAGGGACTAGGGAGAGGGATTAACGCACCTGGTGGGATATGTGCCCTGGGAGAATCAAGCAGTAATGGAACTCAAAAACACGGAAAAGGAATGGAATCAAGGGACTGGGTATACGGGAAGAAGGATAGAGGAAGCAACCCAAATCGACCAGCTGAGAGAGAGAGAGAGAGAAGGAGAGGTTTAAGGTAAGGGGGAGGAGGGGGGGAAATTGGGAAGTTTCAGCAGGGAAAGGGGATACGCTCGTAATACCAGGCGGTCGGAGACGCGCCAGGTGGAAGACCATGCGAATATGGCGAGAGAGCGGCCGGGGTCCCCAGCGAGATTCAGCGAGAGTTCTCCCGGCCGGGGGCACCGTAGCCATACCAATACATACCAATACCAAGAGAGTACCAGCTGGTCCATTTTGACATCGCTGGGTCGATGGTCTAGGCTGATTGGCTGGACGGACGGCCCCACCTCTATTTCGCGCCTTCCTCACAGCCAATCAGCGCCCCGCGCGATCCCCTTTTGCTAACTGCCTCCGTTGCTCGCCCACAACCTCGCCGGTGATTTGGTGATTGGGTGCTGTCTTAGTTTCAGTGAATTCGCAAGCTCGTTGGGCATGGATTGATTCCTCTGCGGCTCCCGTCTCATGGTTCTGACGTCGGCGAATTGACACCCTCCGAGGATAGCTATCTTCTATACTCTGTAGTATCACTGCTCGGTACTTCAGAATGCCTTTCTTTACTGCAGGGGATCACCAGCAGGGAAACCAATTCCCATGCAGATCCCCGTGTGGGGGCCTAGTCAAACTACTATAGTGTTATTGTCCGATGGCTTTGGCTCCTCCCCACTCTCCATTATTCTCCATCATTTGGGGCTCCAGCATGACGATGATAAAGCCGTCCCTCCCCTAGTTATGTAGACGGACTCACTCACTGGGTGTATCGTTCTGCTTAAACCTCCGGAGTATGCTTACGGAGTACACAGTTGCATAGACGGAGACCAATGTACTGCGTCCTATTCGCGGTATTTCTCGGCCCTGGACCCGCCCGCATGAATGCTGACCGAACGGTGGTGCGGCCTCAGTTCCAACTTTCAGCTTCAAACTCAGTACTCAGACTGCGACTGCCTCAGCCTAGAGCCCGCAGAAAGAAAGATCTGCTGGCGGACCGTCACCCCGGGAATCAATGACCTAAAGAGAACCCGCCCCATACACACTAGAGGGGATGATCCGGTTACAGACTAACTGCCACTGCATGCATGAAAACACGCCACTCCGTCTGCGGCTTTATAGTTAGGCTCGATCTTCAGAGGCGTCTTCCCTGTATTGCTCGGTGGCGGCTGAGACGTTGCGAAACTTGAATCATGGCCCCCCATCCCACTTCCAAGGGCAACTCCAGCAACTCCACCGAGACCTGGAGTCCGAGCACTAGGGCTCTGCCGATCCCATGGGCATGGGGGCAGGCGAGGGAAGAAGAGGGGCTCTGGAGAGAGAGTGTGCGAAGAGTGGGCAATGACCGACTGTACTGTAACTCGCTGTTATTTGAGAATTAGAATTACTGCAAGTACCTACTGCATTTAACGACCATTAGCATCGCCGCCGCTCTAATTTAGTTTGGTTAGTTATGTGCTCCTGTTGACCGCGGGATTTCAAAGCAAGGCGACCCGCCAGGACACCTGAACGCGGGCCAGAAAGGAGAGCCCGCGGGCGCACATGGAATAGCGGAGCAGACGGTTGTAAGAATCATGAACAATGATGGCAAATCACCTTCGTTCTCTCACATGTCCTGTGTGCTGTATGTATGCGTCCCCCTGAACTAATGGAATTTCTGGAATTCCTGCATGGTCGAGGGCGCTATCGGCCCTGACCCACTATCTAGTGCTTCTAGCCGCGCCCCATCCTCTCTTTTGGGAACCCATCAGCAAGGTCAGGTATGGGGTTGGGAAGTTCCAAGCAAATATGAGTGCATGATATTGTCAACATTCGTTGGGTCTTCATCTGATCTGATTGTGTATTCGGGGGGCGGGAATTAATTCTCCTAAACTCAACGTCACAGATACCCCGGCTCGTGCGTTAATACACGCTGCCATCCACGCCATACCAATACCGCTTCAAGAATCTCTTCATCCGTTGATCATCTTTGATATGCGTATACTGCCTCCAATGGACCACCGATAGATGATCCACAAGTAGACGATGATGTTATGTCACCTATTTAGTGGATATCTCAGTCTTGTCTAGACTTGTTACAGGCTTTCATGGTCTCTAAAAACATCCATGGAGACATTTTTATGAACGACAATGCTGTCTAAAATGAGCTAGTGACCTCGCCAGTGACCTCTTCTGAAGGTAAAGGAATAGAATCGTGTTTATGAGGGGTTTGCTGGACAGGAACGCCCGTCACTGCGGCATCTCAGTCACTCCGCTTGTTTCCAGCAATGCAAAACCTGGTAAGCAGGACAGGCCACTGCGAGGCCGATCGTTCCACGGCGCTCAAGTTTGGCTTGAAATGGCTGCTGGAGTCCCACTACAAGATTATCCCACCGCAAGGGCTCGGCCCATGCTCCGTCCAGCATGGATACAGCGTAATCTGACGGGCGTTTATACAGTGGATGTTGAGAAGGGCTGACCCCACTAGCATCCCCACCGGCGTGCCAATAGTGCGCAGACTACGGAGTACTCCGTAATGCGGCGGCTTGGGATTCGCGGCGAGTTTGCGCGGGTACGATTGTTCTGGAAGAATTTTCGGCTGGGGAAATTCCTTCCATTGGTTTTGTACGCTTTCACAAGCCCGTTGTACCGACGAAAACGTGGCTGTATCCTTCGGTCTCGTATTTCCAAGCGGAGTAACGCCGTAGAAGCACTAAGTAGTTGTCGGTCTAGTCAGGGGAGATGCAGATCAAGTGCTCCGTCCACGATCGCCTTGAACGCCGCAAATCAGCAGAACCATGCAATGTAAACGCTTCTCGCCTACAAGGGTATCAAAAGCTGCACACAGTTTAACCAGCACACCCAATACACTCAGCAAGCTCGACGGCTATAAACCCCTCCGCCTCCCCCAACCCATGGTTCCCCCGATCGCTCGATCCTCAATGGGGGGCAAATCGAACCGATCGGGATCTGATTTTTCGGGTCCCTGGCGGTTCCCCACTTAAAGCATGCACCCTGCCCGGCCGCGACGTTCAAAGCACCAACCCCAGTCACCGACTCACCACACCACCATGTCCCACGAAATGTCCCACCTGGGCCCGCGGGGTATGTAGCCTCGAGATGGCGATCTGCTGCCCGGATCCCCTGATTTTCGATCATTCCAGCTGACAGCCGCCCCAGCCTTCAATCACGAGCAGAGCACCGACGCGGAGGAGGAATACGATCGCCTGCGCAACCTAGCGCGCCAGGAGGCCTCGAAGCGTGGGGATTGTTTCTCACGGGTGAGTGCGCCCAATTGTGTCGTTTTAGTTACCATTCCCTTGTCATTGCCATGATTCCCATGGTCGAGGGTCTGGGACAGATGAAGCGGAGGGTGGGCTAACTTGTGCGATTAGTCCAAGGAGGCATACTCCAGCGGCGATGGCGCGCGCGCCAAACAGCTGTCCGAGGAGGGCAAGGCGCACGGGCGCAAGATGGAGGAGTACAACAAGCAAGCGTCCGAGTTTATCTTCCGCGAGAACAACGCCAACGGGCGCGTTGCTGCCGACACGATCGATCTGCATGGCCAGTTCGTCGAGGAAGCCGAGGATATTCTGGAGGCGCGCATCAAATATGCCAAGGCGCATGGGCAGAACCATTTGCATGTGTATGTTTGGTAGACTTGCAAGAACGACGCTCCTCGGACTTCCCGGGGGCGCGAATGCGCGACTTGCTAACGACTCTCCAGCATCGTCGGCAAGGGTAACCACTCCGCCGGTCACATCCAGAAGATCAAGCCGCGCGTTCAGCAAGTCTGCCGCGAGCTCGGACTACAGTATGCCACCGAGGACAATGCCGGCCGCATCTACGTGAACCTCACTGGCGGCGAGGCCGTCATGCCGTCCTACCCCTCCCACCCGGCGCCGCACCACGGGGGTGGCCAGCAGCAGTACCCCGGCCAACAGCAACAGACACATCACCAGCAGCAGCCGCAGCAGCAGCAGGACGAGATCGAGCAGGTTGTCAATGCGCTGCTGCCAAAGGTCATGCGCAAGCTGGAGAAGGCTTGCTGTGTTGTTATGTAACGCGTTTCACATTACGGACATATCTGGTGTTTTTGGGCGGATCTAGCGCGATGCACCGCCGCGTTCGTGTATCGTGCATCAGGGTGTGATTTAATAGTGGATATTTCTGGGTCTACAGCGGGCGATATATTCAGAGCTACGACTCATGACGGATTTAATTATACCCTACTGGAGGGACGGTCGTCATGGTCTTCTGCCGCCATACCATCTGCTTGACTTCTGTACTTGACCTGTTTTTAGAGAGCAAGAGCCACAGCAAGAGCAATTCATGGCCGCAATGTGCAATCATGTCCCAAGGATTGTTCAGTATGATCATGACATCGTAACTTCCGCTATACATAGCCAACTGCGTCAAACAACATTGCGAAGGGTATATCAAAGCGCGTCAAAACTCCAACCCACCGTACGTCAACAGAAGCAACGTACCCAATCGAGGACCATCAAACTTCCGAATCAAAACAGAGCGTTCCCGAGGACTATTAGGTAGCCTCATCCGATAGCGTGGACTCCACAATCTTATTCAACACCGCACGCACCATCGCCCCATCACCAGAACCGTTAATGCGGGGCGTTGTGTCGATCATCTCGATCAACGACAACGCCCGCTCATGCAGCTCCCTCACCACCTGGCGCGTATGCGCAAAACTGCCGGTGCTCTGCATATACTGCACCGCATAGCGCTTCACCTCCTCGTCCTGCGTCTTCTGCTGCAAGATGCTGAGCAGCTGGTGGCTGGTCGGGTTGGAGCGGATGCTGTGGATGATCGGGTACGAGAACTTGCCCTCCGTCAAGTCCTCGCATAGACCCTTATTGCGCGTGTAGGTGGTATTCGACAGGTTCAAGTAGTCGTCGCAGATCTGGAAGATCAGGCCCATGACATTCACGAGCGCCACACAGTCCTTGCCCGTCGCGCTCTCAGCCTGCATCAGTTTCACGGCGAGTCGGAAGAGCCCGCCCGTCTTGTTGCCCACCATCTCGAGGTACTCATCCTCTGTGGGGCAGGTGAGGGTGTCCCGCCAGAAGAGGTCCATGCCTTGGCCGCGGTGCAGGTTCAGCAGCTCTTTGACGTAGATGTCGATTGCGGCAGGATTGCGCAGTTGTTGGATTTCTTGCAAGGCGAGGAAGTAGACGTAGTTGGCAGAGTTGATTGTCTGTGCGGTGCCGAAGATGTTGTGGGCGACAGGGACCCCGCGACGCAGGACGGAGTTGTCTTCGACGTCGTCGATTCTGAGCGACGCAGCTGGTTAGCTCGAACTGCCAGATGCAACGGGATGATGTGCTTTCTTCCCAACTACTTACAGCAGGGATGCCGTATGCAGCATCGTCACCACCTTCTCGATCACCGCCAAACTCTCCGGCGGGACCTGGAGCCAGGCGTTGAATGCCTGGATCAGCTGGCGGCGCACATCTTTGCCCGGATGCTGGTGCATATAGTCATAGGGGCCCATGAGGATTTTCTCATTCGTCGACGACCAGGTCCCATCCTTGTATTTTGTCCCGTCGACGCTGGACTTGTTTCGTCGGTGCTTCGATTTAGGCGGCAGCCCGGCCGACGCTTCGCCCTCTGCGACCGACCTTCTCTGTCGGTGAGGGGGGCTCGCAGGTCCATTTGCGGCGCCAGCGGAGCTGGTTCGCGGTGGGATTGGGCTCGGTGGCTGGAAGGAGGGGTTCATCATACAAAAGCGAAGCTGTGATGAGGGGAAAATTTGAAGCTCGGAGGGGCCGAGGGCGGGATGCGGAGAGCAGAGAGCAGAGAGCATATGACATCAAGCGCAGGCATCCGTGGTAAGGGTGAGGGGGGACCTCGCGGCTCGCCGGCTATGTGCGGAGCTCCGCCTGGGGTCGTGCTCTTCTTGCGTTCTCTGCGATTAGTTCTCTTCCGCGCCATGTTTCGAAGGCTGCAAACCCGCCAGGCCAGCGGGAGCCAGAGGGATGACTAATCAGCCAGGGTTGCGGAAGAGAGCTGAATAGATCTCAGATCCATCAGATCCAACAAATAGATCAGATAGATCACGTCTCGCAGGGCGAGGAGGGGAGAAGAAAGCGACAGGTCAGAAATCAAGGTATGCGGTAGTTGATTGATTTTCCAATAATGAATAACGGGAGGAGGCGGAGCCCGTAAGCGACCGAGGGTGCTGTGGCTGGCTGTACACCGCAAGGTGGTGGGTAGTTTGCTCGGGCAACGAGCGTATGCGGTTCACAGGCTGGGCCTTGAGAGAACCACCCTAGGGTTTCCAGCCTGTCAAAATAACCTTCCACTGACGCCACGGAGATCCAGGAACCAAGGTAACCAAGCCCTACGTGATCGCCCTTGAAACAGGGAAACTAGGGCGACTAGTGAACGATTCCTCCCAGCTCCCTACAGTGGGTCGTCCGGGGCAACCACCTTTATTTACCTAATTGACCAGATTGACCTGCGCCGCGGCCCGACTGACCTCATCGGTCTCACACGGACCACCGGCGAACCCGATTCTGCATTTTCGGTTGAAAGTAATGCTCGTCAAGCCTCCTCAGCTGAGCTGAACGCTGTTTGCTCTTGGGCTTACAGCTGTCTCTGGGTTGTTTTCTTCTTCCTTTCTTCCTCCCTCCACATACTTCTCCCCCTCCGTCAGATCCTCATGGAGAACCTTTTGGCGCATTCATTCGATTATCTTTCCTCGTACGAGCCCAGCAAGATCCGCAAAGGATTGCGCCAGGTCGAGGGACTGCTGGCGCAAATTTGCCTATCCAATTCCAAATCCACGTCCGACCGTCGGCGTTCCTACCTGGCCACCGAGACGCAGCCTGCGCCCAAGGTCCTGTCCGAATTGCGAGATGACCCGGCCTTCAGGGAATTTTTCAAGTTACAGGAAGGCTTCCAGTGGAATGGTACGCATTTTCCCTGAAACCACGCCCATCTCCAGATGACGAGGGATCGTCCAAGCTAACATCTATGTTTTTGTTCCTTTGTCTCATCACAGTCGCCATGCGCCTAGTTTCCTGTCTCGAGCACCTTCTCGGCCGTGGCAGCAACGGCACCAACGACATGCTCATTGTCTGTACCCTTGATCTGATACAAGGCGCACTGCTCCTGCACCCGCCCTCGCGCACCCTCTTCGCCCGCGAGATCTACATGAACCTTCTCCTCGATCTGCTGGACCCGATCAACTGCCCGGCCATCCAATCCGCCACCTTGCTCACCCTGGTCACAGTACTGCTCGACTGTCCAGCCAACACACGCACCTTTGAAGGCCTGGACGGCCTGCTCACAGTGACATCCCTGTTCAAGCAGCGCGCCACCTCCCGCGAGGTCAAGCTCAAGCTGGTAGAGTTCTTGTACTTCTATCTCATGCCTGAAACACCGATTCTGGGGCCGGGCGCTAGCCCGCCGGGTCTGCAGCGCAGCCCCAGCAAGATCTCTTCCCGGCCTAGGTCGCAAAGCTTACATACCTCCGCCGGTGCCGGGAAGGTGAGTCGTGATACGCGAACCACCGATGAGAAGCAGGCTCTTTTGGGCCGCTATTTGAACAATGTGGAGGACCTTGTCGAAGACCTCAAGGAGACTGCTCCCTTTGGAGCGACGGTGTACTAAGCGGAACGAATTTCATGGCGGCGATGAATTTCCGCCGTCATCACAGATGGTGCTGGCCAACTGCATTGATGCGATTGATCTTGGGTTTATCTTTTCGGTTTCTTTTCCTCTTTTCTTTTCGTTCAGCCCTTGCTTTAAACTACCTTCTTCTTCACGAGCTCTATGTTCCGTCCGGCACGGCGTGATTATGTGGTCAAGGCCTTGATGCTGCTTCCCGCTCCCTGGTTTTTCGCTTCTACGATTTCTGATCCCCCATGCTGCTCTTTTTTCTCTTTTTCCTCTTTTCCTCTCCTGTTTCCTTGGCTTCTTTCAGCTTTTCTCTCCGATCCTGGAATTGTGTCCCCCTCACTCAAAGGGCCCTTGAACCCCGTTTCCTTTATGTGTCTATAATGGCGACATGATAATGTACGATTCTTCTCTGTCAACTATTTCATACACCTACAGTAAAATTCAAACGGCAATATCTTCACCTTTGTAACAGCGGCTTTCCACATTGATTATACGAAGCTGCACCAAGTCTCTTCAATTTTGTTCCCAACCAGCAGTGAATTCCTGAATTAGGACTAGCGTCAAGCTGAACAACATTAAGAGAGACGCGAACCCCTTCGTCTCTTTGAAGCCTGAAGTTGCAAGCGTGACACTACTCGACCTTCGGGGATTTGTGGTACGCGGCTCCACTTGACTTACTCTGGGCTCTTTCTGTACTCTAGGATTTGTCACGACTATCTATGGGCGGTACAGTACAGTATTGGTCCTATGCAGCTTTGCGTTGGTATATCGAGTCGCATTCCGGGCCAGAGACCCCGGCGGCCACGGTGTTGCAATTCTGGGAGGCTAGAAAGAGCAATATCATTGATCTCGCTATTACTCATTTCTCAACTTTGGAGTAGCGTTGTTGAGGCCGGCCGTTATGATGCTCTCTTTGAGGATCCGCGGGTGTGGCCATTATGGTGCTCGCTCAGCTATTTTTTATTTGCAAAGCTTGATTTCCCAGAATCCCTAAATGTTTCTAGAAAAAAACACCAAGATGGGACTGTAGAGGACACTTACGAGGGTTGCATCAAAGGGATAGACTAGCTTCGTGCTGATATAAATTAGCTGTGTAGATTGGGGCGTCGGTCGACGGTGTGGGTGGTCCGGTAGGCCACGGTTAGCCCGTAAATCGAATCGTTGCGAAGAACCAGACAAAGTTCAGGTGACAAAACAGTTTGCTTTGAGATACCTTGGAATGCTTTAAATACCTTGCATAAAAGTGTTATTGGTCCATTGTTACTCATTTCTCCCCTTTGGAGTGCCATTCCACGAACAAATTACTTTTCTTTTCAAAATACCACACAGGGGCATTTGCGCCTAACAGGCCGGTCTGTTCTGGCTTCCAAAATCCCAAATCCGTACCATTTCTGGGATCCTTCACAGGAGCCCTCTTTTGCTGAACCCAGCATACTACTGGCAGAAGTCTACCTCCGCCCTGAAGAGTCGATATATTTTTGAATCTGCCATTATCGTCAAGAATATCTCTTCATGAAGCGACTATTCAAGATTTGATGATGCACACATGCTTGGAGAAATTCATTCTACTGGGACAGCAGTTAACTCGCCTAGAAAAACCTATGGAGAGGGAGAGTCAAGAGGCACTTGAAGAGGATAAAGCGCTGAAAGCAAATAAAGAGGATGCTACGCCGATCATCTACGGATGAAAAGGTCGAAGAGAGTTAAGATATCGAGGGCAACATTGAACCTTAGTAATCATGCCAAGTAGAAGATATATTACTGTTGACTAAGTAGCCTTCAATACATAACTAGACTTACGACATGGAAGTAGACGAAGAGGAGATAGAGGAGGGGGAGGTAGATAAAGATAATAGTAGATTTGCTTCCACCTCTAATCACGCAACTAGGTAAGAGAAGTGAAGAGATCTTCTAGTACGGTTATAATACCTTTTAAGTCGATTATAAAGATACGAGCTATATTAGTCTTCTTTATTATAAGCTAACCTTATTTTTCTGCGCTAATAATATTTATTCTAAATACTCTTAGTTATAGATAACGACACCTAGGCAATATTAATACTATTATATAATCGAAAATTACTATCTAATTTAATATAAAATAAGATATAACTTTTTATGCTTTTTTGGGTTATAAAGGTACCTATTTGGGTCTCAGGTTGGGTTTACCAGAAGACAACCCGCCCACGGGTATGCTGGCTAAGACCCAACCTAACCCACGGGTTGGGTTTCCGTGGGCGGGTTTTGGCGAGGCCTTGGCGAGGACTTGGCGTATGTTCAGGTTCATGGGTCACATGACAGTATATATGACAGTCCCATGGAAAGACTCTACTCAGCTCTTGGGAAAGCTTTATGGATCATGCACGGGTCATAGTGGCAAAAAGAAGAAAGAGAAGGTGAAAGTTCTGGGTGCCCATTTACTCTGTAACAGGGTTTGAATTGCTGATTGAGCTATTGTCAAGCTACTTACATGTAGATTTTGTGAACGGTTTACATGATTTGTCCGGCGGTATCAAATTAGCAAACATTCTAATGGTTCGTTCCTGCCACGTCGTCAACGATATAATTTAAAATCGAGCTTGGAGCTGCTTCATGTCTTACATAATCATATACGGTGGATGTCGGAGTGCAAAAGTTTGAACCTATTTCCCTTAGTGCCAAGTCTTTTTCTGCCGGATAAAAATCTACTAAAGTCGCTGGAATCAAACCACAACAACTTACATATTTGATAGTTATACCACCTATCCGCCTCAATAATTGCTGGGCCTGCCCGGAGAGGCATCATAGCCTATAAATCAGCTAACATTAATAATGCGTCGAGTGTTGGAAGAACGTGGTATAGGCGGTGGACAGTAGGCGGTAAGTAGGAAATAGTTTCACACTTTTGCGCTGCCACTGGATACGGCGTCAATACGGTGAATATACGGTGAAGAGCTCTGGTTGCCTATCTTCCGGTTCTGGAACGGTCGACTCGCCCAGACTTGGTTGCCGAGGGAAAAGTAAGTTTGCTCGAACAGATAGAATGGATATTTGCCACAAACCCTTCACACCATTGTTTGACCTTCTAGTCACCTCCAAAGCATCCTGACTTGTTATAAAAGGACGAAGATTGTTTAATTGTGGCGACACCGTGACTATTGTTCAGAGGATCTTCGAGACACGACAGGTCCACTCGATCATGTCTTGCAGGAAGGGACGATGGCTCAACCCAATACTTCTACTTCGGACCGTCGTGCTGACGTCCTGGGGGGCACGATCAGTTCTCTTGTGATTGCGTCATTATTTCTCGCAGCTCGATTGTTTACTCGGCTGCAGATCGTGAAGAGATTTGGTTGGGATGATGGTTGGATTGTTCTTGCCTGGGTGAGATAGACCCGTCTTCATCTTTCTCTTCCAATTGTTCTCAAATTCTTGCTCGTTATGCTTCTCAAACGCTGATTGACTTAGATTCAATAGGCACTGGCATTTGGGTTATCGTTCTCAATATGCTACGGGACTTCCAAAGGCATCGGGTTGCATTTTGCACATGTACCCCAGGGTTCGCTGCCACAGCTAGGTGGATCTATATACGCATTTACTGTCCTTTATGTACAGTCCACCCAACGTGTCTGAACTGGACAATACTCACATTATTCTATCAGTACCCGGCGGTTCTGCTTACCAAAATATCAATCCTCGTGCTTTACACGAGAATTTTCAGCTCAAACAAATTTGCCAGACGAGGCTCCATTATATTGATCGTGGTAATCACTTGTGCCTATGTTGCGTTAACTTGCGCGAAGGCCTTCCGGTGCCAACCTATTGGTGCAGCATGGCAACTTACACCAAGTGGTCCTGTGAAATGCATTGATATTGTGATCATCCACCTGGCGTCAACCCCTGTGAATGTCTGCACAGATCTTGCGATAATACTGCTGCCAATTCCCGTACTCAGCAGTCTACAGCTTCCTCGACGACAGAAAATGATGTTGATCCTTACATTTGCACTGGCAACTTTCGACGTCATCATTTCGGTCATCCGCATCGCTTTTTTGGAGCAAGCTTTGTTGAAAAAGGCTGTTGAAAATAGACTCTATGGATCCGAAACACCAATTGCAGACCTTGATATAACCTTCAGCGAATCGCGCGCCTTCATGTGGTCTGCTGTGGAGGTGAACATTGGGATCGTCTGTGCTTGTATCCTAACGCTCAAGCCGTTGGTGGTGAAAATATTCCCTACTATTTTGGAGGGTTCGAGGAGAAAACATGACAGTGGGGGCAGAAGTACGAGACCTGAATCATGCAGGATTGAAGGAATAAGCCCAGCTTCATTTCGACCGAACTGGAAGAGTGCCGGTCCATCTTCTAACGGCATAGGAAACGCCAGTCATCTCGACCCCTTTATATCTTCCTCTGCTGCCTCTTATGCCAATATTGAAGTGGTCGGACGAGGAGTAGATCGTCTTGCTCCCGGAGGAAATGCAGACACAGAACAGGCGGCTCCGGTCTATCACGCGGCTCAGGCCTATCACGCGGCCCAGCTGGGGCAAGACCTTTACGCCGCCGTCGAACATGGTGTTTCTGTCATACACGCTGATGCTGGGACTGGGCATGGCCAGGTACCCAACAGTTACGCGCCGGACTTTATAACAACTCCGGATATGAACAACCTATCAAATCATCCTGGAGTAGCGCTCCTACCCCAAAATCCTGAAGCAGGTCGAAGGTTGTTTAGATGTGTCCGCGTCCATCTGCCATCGAAATGCATCAACAATCTATCTACCCAAGAATCATATCTCCCTATTGCGATAATATCGATCCTGTTCTTCCTCTTACAATTTCTTCTTACGCTGATGAACGTCCACATCGCGGATATCTTGCGCGTTCTCAACATCTCCTCTCGGAGAGTTATTCAACTCCAAGCCACGTACTACACGGGATACTTCGTTGGCCCTCTCTTCATCAGTCGATTCACCTTTGCAAAATTCAGCCTGCATGTGACTTTGCTGACGGGGCTACTTATCTTTTCTACAGCACCGATGTTCTTCTGGCCCACTGCAGTTCTCTTAACTATACCTGGCCTGATAGTGTCCTACTTTGTCCTGGGATTGGGATTTTCTGTGGTGTATAATGCAATTTTTGTTTTCATATCGCTTTGCGGCCCCTTCCAATACGCGGTTCCTCGTTTCTTATTTCTTCATGGCGTGGGAAATCTCGGGGAATTGCTGTCCTTCATCCTTGCCTCCCAATACATCTTCCCGGAAAATCCGACGGAAACAACCATTCTCAACTCGCAGTGGACATTCTTGGGAGTGACACTTTTTGTGGTCTTTCTCACCGTCACTCTCTACTATATCCCTTTACCAGGAGTGTCCTACGATGACCTGACCCAGAACGCAGAATATATTGCAGGCGTGCGCCAGATAATCATGTCACCGAACAAGGCATACGTCTGTAATTGGGATGTTGTATACACCACCCTTGCGCTTGGTGTCTTCTCCGCATTCTGTTATTCTGGTTTCAACTCTGTTACCGCCTACATTTTTACGGATTATGTGCAATCCATGGATCCGACCCCGGGGCTGAATGGGCGCCATATCTTATGGATCGCAGGCGCTGTTCATGTTATCAGTCAATTGGTCGCCGCCTCGATTTGCTGCTATGTCAGACCATCATGGGTATTGTTATCATGCTGTGTTATCAACATCATCCTGTCGATTCTCACTCTCACTGTCGAGGGAACCGCCGGCGTTGTGGTGATTGTGGTCCTGCAAATCTTTGCGGGTCCCGTATTCCCACTACTATTGAGCCTCCCGTTGAGCAGACTCGGACGGTACACTTTTGCAGCATCTACGTATCTGACTGCTACCCTATCAGCGGGCGCACTGTTCGTCCCAGTTACGTACTTTGTGCAAAAACATCCGAGTGCGAATCCGATCCAATACAGCTTCTCTGTGGCACTTGCTTGTTCATGTTTCGGCATCACGATGCCGTTATACCTTAATATTAGTCGGGCAGCGAGGAAGCAGGTTTTCGTGGAGAAGGTTGAGCGATAAGTTTGAATAGATTGGGGCAAAACCCGATGTCCTCGCACATTTTTTGGATGGGATTATGCCAGCTAACTGCACTCTGCTCGTCTGCTGTTCTGAAATGAGTCCAATACATGTATGTTGGGTACTTCCCACTCAAGGATGGTCTATTGTATCAAAAATAGAATCAAAGAACCACCATCAGATTGAGCCTCTAGATTTGTGCCGGCGTTGATAATAAACTAATATACACGAATTAGCATCCCTATAGAAAGAGGGGAAAGCAAATGGGGTAATCCCTCGCATTAAAATAAAATCCTCATCAGCTGAAACTTCTGGTAGATAACTCCATAGGTTGCACTAGCCACATTATATGCCTCATATTTTTATCTTCCTGGCCATTTCCCTCCTTGAACTCTGCAGCCAATCCGTACCTGAAACATGGATTCGCGTCCGGCTTGCAAGCGGGCCAGTCCAGCCTACAGGGCCAACCGTGTTTAAGCTTATCGGGTCTCCGCGGGACCCCCCTGTCCCGGCCCCCACCCCCTACGCCCTAGCCCCGCTAGTTTTGCCGGTAGAATCGGACTAGTGTCTTTCTGAGTCATTGCGAGTGCTTAGGTGTATGAGTCAACTGTGGTCGGGATCTATTCCTGGACCGATGTGGGGTGGGGAGTCCCCATCGATGCAGAGACCTGCGGAGGTACTCTATATATCTCCACTTCCCCCTGTGAAACTACGGGTGTAGCACCACATCCAGGAATTATATTGCATCTTAGTTCAGCATTTCAGGGGCGCCACGTATGAAGACCATTGAAGAAATACTGGCCGAAAGGCCAAATACCGATCCCTCACAGCTGGTTCAATATGTTGGAACGGTGGAGGCATATGATAAGTGGGCGGGGGTACGTATTAAAAACTTCAGTAGTCGATGGATTTTGTCTGTTTCAGATCAGGTCTAATTGGCTTCCAACAGGTATACGATACAGACGGGAACTTTCTTCAGCGCCTCGACACCATTGAAATGCGTGCACTACTGCCGATATTCCTGGACCGCGTGCATGCCCGCTTCCAGGCCCCGGCACCGGCCAAGTCAGCAGCGCGACTGACGCTGTTGGATCTCGGCTGTGGCACGGGAAGGAACACAATTCAACTACTAGAGGCACTAGCGCAGTATCAAAAGCAGAACCAGACCGATGCTACTTCCGCGCCCGAGGTAAACATCGTGGGTCTTGATGCGTCTCCGGGTATGCTGGAGGTAGCGCAGAGCGCAATCCAATCTGCTGTGCAGCGAGACGACCTCAAAAACAGCCCGGAAGTCTCGCTTGGTATCATTGATTTACTTCAGCCCGCTACTACACGGGCGCAGTTACCTCCGGCGCTACAGAGCTCCGGCGCAGCTGGGGTGATTTCCACGCTTGTGCTAGAGCACATTCCTGCGAAGGAATTCTTCCAGGCTGCGTCGGCCACTATGCTCCCTGGAGGGTATCTACTGGTCACCAACATGCACGCTGACATGGGGATGCGAAGTCAGGCTGGGTTCACAGACCCGCACACGGGGATCAAGATCCGGCCGACGAGTTACTGTCACTCTATCTCGGAGGTGTTGGCCGCGGCTGAGCAGACCGGGTTCCTGGTGGAAGATATAGTTGGCCAGGATGGACAGAATGGGGTACTGGAAAGGGATGTAGATGAACGGCTCGTCGAAAAATTGGGCGCGCGGGCAAAGAAGTGGGTTGGTATCAGGGTGTGGTTTGGCATATGTTTCAGCAAGAAAACATAGTAGAGAAGATCGAGAGGATCTCTCAAGTGTGATCAGAGGAGATGTTATTCCAGTCACTTTCGGTCGCTCAATAATACAGGTCTAGAAAAATTGCAGTAGTCTTTCCCGGTGTTGTACAAGATTGGAGTGCTGTCGGAGCAGCTGTGCCAATCGGTTATGCTTCCATCCCAACCCTTCGTCGAGAATCAGATGCGTGTAGGCAAATACAGTTGCATCGAAGAGGCCGGGGTTCGGTCGGCTGAAGAAGTGCTCATCCTCGCCGAGTAGGGAAGACAGAGCCTCGAATGCATTCTGTGCGTCCCCTTCAAGAGCGGCCACGTCAATGTATGTGGAGGTCTTAAGGAGCTCATCGCGTGCCGCCTGTTGAAGCTGGAAGCTAAGAGCGGCCCGAACGACGGAGGAGGTTGTTGAAGGGTTCACGTAGAGTCGTTGTGCCACGGCCTGGAAGTTGTCCTCGTCCAGATACAACATGTACAGCTAAGAAATTTGTAAGCAATTCCAGGGCCTGAAATCGAGTTTTTGGAAACCCAGGCATATGAAGCCGTTACATACCCAGGCATTGCGTATACGGTGGTCCAGAAGGGAGGCATATGCCTCGAAGCGGACGTTTAATTGCTGCTCCTCTTCACAGCGGACCTGCTCGATGGCCCATTTTTGGAGCTTGTGCGAAGGAATTGTAGCTGATGTGTCGATAGGGAGTGCCGGAAGGAGGAAAGGGAGTGCGCCAGTCGGCGAGGCATGATTGTTGGACGGAGTGACCTCGAAGTCGATCCCGACGAATTTCAGATACGCCTAAGGACGCAAGATTAGCACAACTGTTTTGGAGACCGATGAACGGATTGACCACCAACGAACCTGCCACTTGAGACATTGCGGATTGAATGAGGGCCGACCGCGTCGCGCACTCGCTGCGTCGCTGAAGACAAACAGCTGGTTGTCCTCGCGCCCGGACGGGACCCGTTGCGGTAGGTCGTTGGCTGGATACGTGGTCAACGGGAACCGGTCGAAGAGGCGCTTGATAGGAGGTGGAATTCTGAAGAAGGATGGGGCATTGCCATCCGTCTGTTGGCCCTCACTGGCCTGTGGTGGCATTGCGAAGCTCGTTGTTGGTCGGAGCAACAAGGATGCGGCCTCGGCGACTGTCAACTTGTTCCCCGATGCCAAGCCCAGAGGGGCTTAGGTAAGCGGTCTCGTCCCCGCATCGTTTTCTTTGCTCGCCGTTTCGTCCCTTGGACATCGTGCGTTCACACGGCTCTGGCACTCGGATCGGTCCTCCCGCCTCACTCTTCGTCGCATTGTCGTAACTGATGACCTTGGACCAACCGGCCTGTCCCGCCTCTTGGACGCAGTGAGAAATTCTCGACTGCCGTGGTTCCGCCTGACCCCGCTCCAAACGCCGAGAGATCTGACATCTACCTCGCACATGGATTGAAGATTCGGTATCTCGAGAAGAAATCCTACACTCTTACAACACAAACACGCTACACGGACTATTCGCGCCCGCGGCGGAACCTGCAAAGGGCGTCGACCTTGCGCCAAATCCTGGATACAGCGCTTGCGCCAGTATTTAGTTGACTGTCGCCATTTGACGATCATCTTAGCCTCCTCCGGCAGGGCGCTACCCTTCCCACAGCGGACCACTACAAACATGCCTCTCGACGAAGAAGGAGCCAAATGGTCTTGGTAAGAGCACTTCTTACTATTATTTTCTCGAATATGCTGCTGACAGGCCCTTGGAACCAGTGAGCCGTGTATTCGTGGCCATCGATCATCAAAATGCCAACACTTCGACAGATTGATGATGAAAGTGCCCAAGGCGGGACGCCCATTAGCCAAATGCCCCCATCCCAAAGGAACCTGCAGCTGCCAGAAGACCTTCGCCTTCATGGTCCGAATACCAAAGGGTAGGCATTCTTTAGCTCTCCAATTCGACCTATCTAACATATATCCAGGCTCGTCTTGCTTATGTCGACCACTTTATACAGTACCCGCCGGCACGAATGATTCATCCCAGTCTACCCCAGCCTCCATGGCTTCTGTGTCATCACCTGCCTCGGCCAAAGTCCAGAAATCCGGAAGGAGGCAGAGCAATATTCAAGCCACCCCGGAGAACATCGCGAAGGCCTTGGAAGCCATGCCAGAAAATATCAAGTTTGAAGATGGGATCTCGAACTATCTACCAAACCTCCCTTCTCACCAATCGGACCAGGATAGTCCCAGCCAGAACAGCAGCCATCAAATTGCTTCTGCGCCCCAGGAGTCTGCCAAGCCTGCAAATGGTGCCAGCTGCTGCTCTCAGAAGCCCCAACCTCCACTAGCCCCAAGCCAACCCTCAGAAGCACGCGGCTCGGGTTCTTGCTGTGGCGGAAAGTCTAGCACCTCAATTTCGAATCCCATCGCCGATGACATGTCCAATGTGAAAGGACCGAAAGCGAATCAGCCTACTTCGTGGAACGACATGTCATACATGAACTTTTCCACGCACCAGATGCCTGCTTGGCATAACCATATGGCATCTACACAGGGTTCTTTCATGCAGTCCTTTGGAATGCCCAACACCCAAGTTCAGCCTTTATATTTGAATGGATACACCGCAAACGTTTCATCCGCACCGTACTCCAACTCGATGAATGGACTTGGAATTACACCACCCAACATGGCACTTCTCAATTCGAATCCTTCTCAAAACTCTACCTTTACCTCCACAAATCTCGGTGGCGACCCTTGTCATGATTGCAAATGCGGAGACGACTGCCAGTGTCTAGGCTGCGCAGCCCACCCTTTCAATAACACCACCCGTCAGCATGTCCAAGAAATGGGTGTCATAATGACATTCGACGGAGAGGAAGCTACTCCAGATGCCATGGCTAACGCCTACCAATCATCTTCCTTTCAAAGTAATACCGCAACGGACCCGATGAGCTTCTTTATGCAACCAAACCCATCTATGGACCATGGCGTCCATCACAATTCTTTCGATCCATACCCTGACCCCAACTCGGCTATGCCGAGTGGCTACTCGTCTCCTCTGTCGGCAGGACATCACTTGACCCAACAATTGATGCACCCGTCAGAATACTACACCCTGGAATATCCGGTTGGCATCCCAAGTGCCTGCTCCGATGTGACGGGCAGCTGCCAATGCGGCAATGACTGCAGCTGCGTCGGCTGTGTCACACACAGTGGCCATAACGGCGTACCTCTGGAGGCACCCATCCCAGAGCCCTCACAACACCATGCATCACCTCGCGGCTTGACCGCGTCAGCTGGCGGCCTTGCGTCCCGGATTCCAGTTCTAGAAAACGTTTCGGTACCGTGTCTCAGCCCACGCACGCTGGAGACATCCATGATTTGATCTCAACCGCTGACTGGCTCGCTATTATCTTTCTTCATACCCTCTATGCTCATAGTTTTCTCTTACGCATGATTTACGATGTTCAATGATACCCCTTAGATATCTCTACTCTAGACAGCTGCTGGCTGGAGTTTCCAACTGCTATTCTGAATGAAATGCTCAAACTTGCTCCGCTCTTCGCTTGCTTATTCACCTTTCCTTTGTTTAATTTAATTTTTTCGTCACACGCGAGTACTAGACTCGGCCATTGTTGTTGTTGTTGTTGTTGCTGGTGGTTTTTTCTCTTTTTTTTTTTTTTTTTTTTTTTGCTCTCGAAATACTTCTACGAATCCAAGCGACACCTTCATGGCAGATGACAAGCTATCATCAATGCATTCAGGGATATCATGAGTCTAGAAGAAAAAGTAGAGTAGATATGGTACAGAATAATGGACAGCAGCGAAAACAAAGGACGCTCAAGCTTTTGTGTAAAGAATCGACTACGCCTTATTCCACTTTCCAAACTTCACATAGTCATCGTAAAGAGACTTGAAAACAGCACGACCCGAAGCATCCAGACCCGCATTCAGCGCACGCATCGACTCCCTCGACATCACATCCAGCGCCGCATACATACCCGGCATGAGTGTAGCCTTGACATCTGGCACCAGCGACCCGCGCAGCGAGCACTGCGCATACGTCATGATAACGTACTGCAAGTACTGGCCGGCGATGCGCTTGGCTTTCTTCGTCTCATCGGTCAGAGCCTCGCGCGACGCACCAGGCTGAGGGCGCAGCACCGCAGAAACCGTCGGATCGCTGAGGGAGGTGAGAAGGCGGGTGTAATGGGTTGTGTGGGAGGAGTGGAGGGGAGCAAGCCAGAACGGGTGGGAGATGACCGGTGACCGGTTGGAGCGCGAGCGTTTGCGGGAACGCGCAAAGAGGCAACCGAGCAGTCGCTGCAAGGCATTGACCACCAGGTGGAAACGTCCACCGATCTTGAGTCGTTGCAGACCCAGGACGATGCCCATCAGGCGGCACAGGCGAATGTAGATGGTTGGAGCATACTCAGGCGAGATGCGCGGACCGGCCTGGGAGGCGGCGGTGGCGATGGCTGCGAGGGTGGCATCGATGTTGTACTGGGCCATGCTGCGAGTGTGTACGCGGAGGAGGAAGGCCATGGATTCGGCCGCGAAGCAGAATTGGTCGATCGAGGTGCTGGCGACAAGTGTTTCTGCCAGAGACTGACCGAGGTTGGAGAGCTCGCGCGAAACGACACTTTCCTTGTCTTCAACTGGCTGGAGAGAAATCACGGCCAGGTAGACCACCAGCAGTCGGTATGCGGCATGCTCGCCACGGAAGCCAAGCTCGCGGATTTCGTGGATTGCGGCGCTAATTTCGTCTGCGGGCATCGAGCGGAAACGCTCTGTGGTGACCCTGATAAAGAGCTGTTGGTCCTCAGCATAGAGAGATTGGAGGTTGACAGTCGCAGCGCATTGCAGCGTCTGCTCGATGATCTTCTTTTGAGGTCCCTTGGTAGCCAGGAGACGTCGTCGAATCAGTCGCGATGGTTCCGAATCTATCGACATCTCCATGTAGTGCTCAAGCTTGGACAGGAACTTCTCCACCTCAATATTGTTTGTCGCCATATCTTCAAAGCCCTCCAGCCCATCGATAGTTTTGATGAGGGTGATTGTCTCCTCCAGCTTCTGCTTCCGGCACTGATTCTTGACAGACTTCATGTCTGCCAGCACTAAACCAAAGACGCGCTGGCGGCAGGATGCGAGCTCATCCTCTGAGAAGGCTTTGCCCAAGTGCTTGCGGTGAACCCAGAGTTCCGACAAAGACAGGCGCAGCACGAAATAGGCCATGGAGTCACGGTCAATTTGTCGAAGCTTAGAAGACTGCTTGGAGACTCTTGCAAAGAGCTTCTTGAACGTCTCATATCGATCGTCCTCTGACAACACCAGCAGCTTGGCAATGATAGCGTGATACAAGCTGCGGAATGCCTTCATGATTTGAAGATCCAAATCGGTACCTTCCAGGGAGATGGAGCGGGCCTCAGTCCAGATAGGCTCCCAGTCGCTTGTGATGTTAGCATCGCACTTGGGCATGGCTGCAAGCTTTGCCATCATAGTCAAGAGCCCAACTGTCACTTCGGGACCACTATCTTGCTGAACAACAACATCGTGCAACTTGTCCAGAAGGGTGGTTCGAAGACCACGGGTGATCAGGGCGGCGGGGATCCGCTGCATGCTCTCCACATAGAGGCGACGATTGAGAACGTCATTTTCAATGCTCTTGATGAGCAGAAGGATCAGATCAGGCACAATAGAAGGTACACTAAGCAGGTATTCATGGCATACAACACCCGCCCATACTTGAAGGAACCGTGCATCATCAGCAACTGTCTCCAGAGGCGATGACGATGAGTGGTACTGGGCAGCAGCTAGAGTCAAAAGCTGCTTGAATAGGTTCGACCGATTCTCGGGCGGGACTCTCTCCCAGACTTCTGGTTCCCTTACCAGCGCCAGGACGTAAGCCAGGGCTAGCATAGTTGAAGAATGGAGAGTATCGGTACGACCGTTCCAGGGCGTTTTCATCGATGTCTCAGAATCATCGGGCGTGATGGACATGAAAAAGTTCGTGACGTCCTTGGAAATATTGCCGAATGCATTCAATTGTTCATCACTGGGCTTACCCTTGACCACCAACAGGGTGAATCGATAGATTTCCCATGACTCCAGAGGAGACATTGGTGATTTAGTCAAATCCTTCTGGTTGCGGTGAATGGTCTTTGCGGCGATGCCCATTAGAGGCACGGTGGACTTGGCTAGGACACTATCGACTGAGAGCTTGTTATTCTGTACAAGATTCCGTACGAATCTCCACAAGCGCCAGCGCCAGTGGAACGTCTGCTTCGAGGACAGAGTGGATGTCAAGGTCTCAAGGAAGCTGGCTAGGGACTTCTCAGAGTCGGCCAACGCCAGTGCCTTACTTCGGAAGGTGGCCTCCATAATCACAAACTTTGCGTATGACTGGGAAGATTCAGAGATCTTGCCATTGTCGGCCCGAGTCTCTGTCGCAGCAATTTGCATTTGCGCTGCAAAATTGGAACCAGTTAGTGAAATCCGTGTTAATTCAGAGTAGACATCACACAAGTCATCATCTTCCCAGACGGAGAAGAATGGTAGACGATTGTTGCAGATGCGAGCCTCTTCCAGAATGACAAGCTGGTCATTCCAGACTTCCATAAAAGAGGGCAAATCTCTTGCGCCTGCAAAGCCCCGTAACAGCGGGATGACAATATCATTCTTGATAGTATTGTAGTCTTCCGACTTCTTGGAGGAATCACTGCGCCATTGGAGCATGATTTTGTCAAGCAGTGCGTCTAGTAACTTGCTTGAATCACGTAATCCTGAGTTGGGTAGGAAAACGTCGACACCGAGACTGATGACCAGAGCGGTGACATTCCACTGAACCTGCTCTAGGCCTTGCTCGAGGAGGCCGGTATAACCGGCATGAGTGAGGATGGTTTGCAGAGATAGACCGACTTTTCGATCCAGGGCAATGCGCAGAAGGTCTTCAAGCACAGAGACAAACCGGGAAGAAGAAGTAGCGGGCTCTTCTTCCTTCGCGGTGGAATAGGCCAGCTCCGCAATAGCCACGAACAAAGTCTCCAGCCAAGGGGCCTCGTGTATCTGCCGCCGGAAATCACCTCGCGGGACAGCTCGAACAGCATTATCGAATAGCTCCGGGAGCAGCTCGATTGATCGCCACAAAGGCTGGAGAGATTGATTTTTAGAAGTCGTAGGCGTTATTTGGACAGCTGAAAGTTCACCAATGATGGGTCTGAATGTATCAGTCACTGGTTTTACCGCGCTCCAATCCGGCTCTTCCTTGGAGTAGTCGATGCCAGAACCACCGCGGAAGTAGAAAGCCTCACGAGCTGGAAGGAGGACATGAAGAGCAATGATCCGTTCGATGGCATGGAGCAGGTGGACTCTCTCGTCAGTGTCAAGTTTGATGGCCCGTAGGCAGAGTTGAAGCCTGAGAGCGTGCGAGAAACAAAACTTGGCAAAGCAATCGTTGCTTGCCTTGTTGTTTGTATCGTCTTGGCGGTAAGACCTCGACTCCCACAATTCGAGCATTGCCGGGAAGACAAACAGCAGGTGCTGGAGATCAGTTGTTCTCCCTGCTTGCGAAAACTGCGCGACAGCAACGGCAGCCAGCTGAAGTGACCGGCCCAACAGCTGTCCCACCACCTCCGGTTCACCCCTCAGGGCCAACTTGAGATGAGAATTTGCCACTTCGTCCGTACCAAGCGTTCGCTGAGCTACTGTCACAACTCCGTAGATACAATCTAGAGCGCGAATGAATGTGAGGAAGCACGAGGCGGGGTTCTGTGGCGTCTCGTCCAGGTCCATGGCATTGTCATCGTTCTCTCCACCAACCCTCTTTCTTTTTGTTCCTTGCATCCCTCGGGACTCTTCCTGAGTGGGAGAACTAGAGAGTGTGTGACTGGAGTCGGAGTCAACACTCGAGATCGAAAGCCCGCTTCCCACTGTCGCAAAGATGTCGTTCTCCAAATCCGCGACCGTGTCGCACACAATCGACAAAAACTTTTGATCCTTCATAATCGTCGCCAAATTCTTGGGGGAGACCCGGTCGATCAGCTGTCGCATCAACAGGAATGAGCCTGGATCCACGCGGTAGTTCTTCCCGTTCCTGAGCCTCTTCAACAACCACCGGAGCACCCACTCCTCCTTCGGAGTGGCCTTGGTTGGAATCTGCGCATTTCGGTGTACTTCCGGATGGCTCTCGCATACGCTGAGATCCACCCCGAGAATCTGTGCTGCTTCGTGAAGTTGGGTCGTCGGAGAAGCGCTGCCTTTTTCGAGGCGGAGGAGCGCCTCTTGCGACGAGCTCGAAGGCTGTAGAAAGACAGTCAGACACAAATCAATAGCAGTAGAGTGCGAGCAAATCATAACTTACCCCCGCAAGCAAAGGCATTTTCGAGAACCAAATACTTGACCGATATGAGGGGTTGGTTTACTTTGAAAAGAAAAAACGCGACCAACGGAGAAAAAAACCGCGGCGAAATTTCCGACCGCCTTTGCCGGCCGACCTCACTCGTAACTCCCGACTCCTTGCACTCTGCACCTTCCGACCCAATCAACCTCTTCAACCCTCTTTATTGATCTGTGAGTGTCTGATCTCTGTGAAGCGGTATTTTTTATTTGTTTATTCAAAGCTAATCCCCTCCTACCTAGATCCTTCGCAATGGCCGATTCTAGCGAGTCCCGGCCGGTCGCGCGGGCCACCAAGCCCGTGAGCGAGGCTCTGCTTAACGAGAAGGTACGGACCTGCCAACTACAGAATTCACGATTACACTAGGCATCCTGTCCCTGCCAAACATGGCGGGGCAGAATGGTTGTGTTACATGGTATCCGGAACAGTCGGGGACAGTCGGCTAACTCGTCGACTGAATTGCAGTGGGACCGCGCCATCTCCTCGATGATCATCAAGTCTTCCCTCGGCCTGTCGTTCGGTGTTGTTTTCTCCGTTCTTCTGTTCAAGCGGAGGGCCTGGCCTGCTTGGGTTGGCCTTGGCTTCGGTGCCGGCCGTGCTTGGGAGGAGGCTGATGGTATGTTCAAGTCTACGTCTGCTTGTGGTTTTATGTCGCGCGAGAGCTGCCTCGCAGGGCTCCCATTCCTGCCTGCTGTTGCCGTGCGGTAGCCAGAACTCTATCGCCCCTAAACCGCGGTGCCTCCATGATTCGATCTACTTTGGAGCTCCGAAAAGGGAACCCACCCGGCAACCAGGTGCAATGGGAGTCCCTGAAGCTCTTCAACGTCGAACAACTGCCTTTCACTCTGGCACAGATGAGCTAACAGATGATGCAGCTTCTTTCCGCCGGGGTGACTCGCCCATCAGAGATGCGCTGCGCCGGTAGAGACATCCGACGGCTTCCCCTCGTGTACGATAATTTGTACAGAAGTCGGGAGATCGGTGGATGGCGGGTTTTGATTAGAAAGAAACAAAACAATCCTAGATCGGTTTCCAATATTACCGCCTGATGGTGCTGAGGCTTTCACCTGAGCTTGTGGAAGCCGCTGCACCGAGGGTGGATTCTTTCCCTAATAGCTCCTGTGTTCTTTGTATGTTGTGTGCTTTTAATGGACGGGCCGTTGGATGTCGGCCGTTTTGCATAGGCGGCAAACCCCAAGTCCCACACCCCAAGATGAAGGCTGGAGAGTCTGACAATAGAGAGTAATGTAACAAGAAGGGGAGAGAGTGGTGCATGGCCTCGGAATCGAGGAAGTATAGCCCGAAATCAACACCAGCCCACGTGACCATGATTGCTCATTACTCGATCCCATCGAGTCAGCCCAAAAACCAACCTTAACATAATCTGCTGCCCCAGTTTTCGGTGATTAGATACGACTCCTTGCAGCCAATCACCAGCTCCGTTCTGCTTGCGGAGAGCACGGGTGGAGCCGTTCGAACCGCACTTATCGCCGATAACGCCCACTTACTCAGGCAGGTCAGGCAATGGAAACTGATAGGCGCACCAAAGGCGCCCCGTGCTCGACCACTCCGCATCCCAAGCAGCAGTTGCTAGTGTGGAGATGCAAGATATTGCACATGGCGGGGCAACATGATCGTCCCGACACGCGCTGGTTTGACCCCTTATCGCACCATGGATCATGACCGGGACAGGGATGCAACGCTCCAGCACGGATGCTGGGATTATATGGGCCCATGCGACTTATTATATCATAGTCCCCAGGCAATGACATCGGTTCTTGTTCCAGTATTATCCTTGATTCTACTCTGTATATCCCCTCCCCTCAGGTGGACCCGCACCTCTTTTTTTTCCTTTTCGTATTCTGTTCCCCTGGTTCGTGAGCGGCTGCTTTTGCTTGCGGCATTCACGACATCATGTCCAAGCTCAAATGGATTCTCGACAAGGCGACTGTGGCCAGCGAGCCCGGCTTGTCCAATGCCCAGCTGATGTTGACGAACGAGGATTTACGGCCAGGTGAGAAGACCGTTCCTGACGCCGTTTGGCTTGCTTTCCTTTCTTGATCTGGGTTGCCTACGGGCTCGACTTGATTTCCCTTGCATGGGATCAATAAGAACGACGGACTGTGCCCTATGCCCATCCGCGGGGTGTCCATGTCATTTGAACATCTGTTTTGAGACAAGTTGGCTAACCGGTGGAAATGATGTAATTGTGCACTACAGTCGAACCTGCCCGCCGCCAATGGAGATGGCTGAACTATGTCGCATTCTGGATTGCAGACTCGCTGAATATTGTGAGTCCCCCCGGAGCTCACTAGGATCACCGAGAGTGAAAAATGCCATCGCAGCCAGGGCTAACGGGATACCCAGAACACATGGATGATCTCGTCCTCCATGATTGTCGACGGCCTCTCCTGGTGGCAGTCATGGCTCTGCGTCTGGATTGGATATTTCATTGCAGCTGCCTTCGTTTGTCTCACCGGTCGCATTGGTGCCGTCTATCATATCTCCTTTCCCGTCACCGTTCGAGCATCGTTTGGAATTTGGGGATCGTTCTGGCCAGTGATCAATCGGGTGGTCATGGCCATTATCTGGTACGGCGTGCAGAGTTACATTGGAGGTACGACTGACGCAATTATATACCGGGCCCTTCAGGAGAACGTATGCTGAATCCCCTCTCTAGGCGAGTGTGTGACTTTGATGATCGAGGCTATCTGGCCTAGTTACAAGCACCTGCACAATGGGCTCTCTGCCAGCGCGGGCGTGGATACCAAGGGCTTCCTCAGCTTCTTCTTGTTCTGGCTTCTCTCCCTCCCGGCCCTCTGGTTCCCCGTCCACAAGGTGCGACACCTGTTTACCGTCAAGGCGATCTACTCGCCCATTGCCGCCATCGCCTTCTTCGCCTGGGCGATCTCACGAGCTCACGGCATTGGCCCAATCATCCACCAGGGCAACACCATCCACGGCAGCACCCTAGGCTGGGCTTTCGTGAAGGGAGTCATGAGTTGCATTGGTAACTTTGCCGCTCTCATTATGAACGACCCGGACTTTTCGCGGTTTGCCCGGTCGCCCAAGGACGCGCTGTGGTCCCAGCTATTCACCATCCCGATTGGCTTTGGCGTTACTTCCTTCATTGGCATTATAGTGTCCTCGTCTTCGGCGGTCATCTACAAGGGCGACCCAGTCTGGAACCCGCTGGACCTGCTGGGCATGTTCCTGGACGGAGCCAGCTCGGGACAACGCTTTGGCATTTTCATCATTGCGACCGGCTTCGCCCTTGCACAGCTGGGAACCAACATTTCGGCAAACTCGGTCTCCGCCGGTACCGACTTGACTGCCCTGATGCCCCGGTACTTGAACATCCGCCGTGGCAGCTACATTTGCGCTATCATCGGCCTGGCCATGTGCCCGGTATGTATCCGTCGTTCTGATCGTCGAGCCAGGCATAAATTCGCTAACGGGGCATGCTATCACAGTGGAATCTCGTGGTCTCATCCAACCAATTCACCACTTACCTGTCCGCCTACTCCCTCTTCCTCTCCGCCATTGCCGGCGTCATGATCTGTGACTACTACATTGTGCGCAAGGGCTATCTTGACATCAAAGCGCTGTACAGCGGACGCAAGACCGACATCTACTATTACAATTTTGGATTCTCCTGGCGCGCCTATACCGCCTACATCGCCGGGATTCTGATCAACATCGTCGGCTTCGTTGGTGCAGTCGGGCACCAGGTCCCCGTCGGAGCACAGTACATCTACAATATCAACTACTTCACCGGCGTGGTTGTCTCCGGCGGTATGTACTGGATTCTCACCCGCCTCTTCCCTGTGCCAGGGACCAGCGACCACTGGAACGAGGTCGATATTGATGTCGACGAGTTCAGCGTGGCGGATGGGCAACCAGTCATTGACGAGGAGCACACCGGGTATGGGTATGACCGTCGCTCGATTACGGACTCGCTGCCGGCAGATGATCAGAAGGATGGCATTAGTACAGCTGCCAAGAGGATCTGAGCGTATCATATCAGGGGGTCTGCTTGCGTTTTAGGGTTATTTGTTGTCCTTTTCATTCTTGTTTACTTCCCTTGGTTGGGATTAATGATGGCTATACCCCGTACATGCCCCTCCCCAAAACACACAGACACACACACACACATACAGAGAGAGAGAGAGAGAGAACTGCGCTCGACATGTACAGTACTGAGGCTCCAGATAAGGAGTCTGGTTATGACGCGACGACACTCAATTGATAAATGTCTGGGACTTAGAGCTACCTATTTATGGGGCTTTGTCATGTCCACTGGCTATCGCATCTATACCATCTTCAAGTGTAGACAGCCGAGACCTGCGTAGAAACACCATGAGTATAAGAAATAACTACATGCCCTCAAACTCAGTCAGTACGTGGAGAGTGTGAGAAGCAATCGTAGTCTGTGATCATGAAATAAAAGACGGTGTTGAGATTGATCTATGCCTAGCCGACCGGTCGAATGCAAGATAGAATAAAAACAAAGTGAAGAAGATAGAAATCCTCCACAAGTAACCATGCGACCCAGCGCGTCATCTATTAACATAGACAATATGAATGACAGGGCGGAACGGAAGAAAATAAAAAAGATATCAAAGGATAGACAAAAACAGGTGAAATCCGGCACCCAGAGAAAGTGGTATCCTTGAAGGAGTGATAAAACGTTCCCACTGAAGAGAAAAGAAAGCAAAAAGCAAGAAGAAAGCAAATCGGCTATGCAAATAAAAGCCGGCAAGGCCACACCGCACAAGATAAATACATAAAGCGCCTCCCGGGTCCGATTCCCCGGGATTCCGACCGAGCGAAATATGGCTGCAGAACGAGAACCTAGTCCGATCATGCCATGAGATGAGATGCCCGAATGATGAGTGACATGTGCTTTACTCCGGTGAACCAGCCACGAAATGAGATGTGTGATGTGAGGTGATGTTTCCCAGGTAATGACTCCCGCAAATGCGATGTAGGTTATTGATGATGATGATGATGATGATGAAGGGGATAGAAGACGTGGTGGCTGTTTCGCCGAAGTCCAGAAGATTTCCCGCATCCCGAAAATGGCGACAGAAGCTAGAAAAGCGAAGGAACACCACCAATTTAGAAAACCGTGCTCGTACAAAGGAGAACAAACAAACAAAGAAAACCAGATGGAGACAAACAGTGATAAAATATACACATAAAACAAGGGGGTATCGCTGCGACGGGTATAGCAATGGCAAGAGGCAACAACATGTAACCGGGACGGGCAGAGAGGTGATGAAAGAATGTCATCGAATGCAAGAAGACAGTATCGAGGTCTTGCAAAAGCCAACTTGCGTTGAGAAAATGGTCGAGGCGAAGGGCAAAAGGGAGAAAAGGGTATTGTTGGTTGGGGGGGGGGGGGGGGGGGGAATAAGGAGAGGACCTTCTCATTGTAGGAATGAAGAGGTAGACGTGGTGGAGATGGTTGGGGTGAGGTTTGGAGAGCTATCCTTGTCTTCAGGACTGACAGGCTCACTCCGATCTTGGAACTGATCCTTTTCGCGGTCGGTGGATGACGCACGCTTGAAGACAGTCTGGCCAATCTGTCGCAGGATGCCCATGCGCTCAGCGCGGAGCTGATCCAAGTCCAGACGCTGGGCTGGGACAGGCTCCTCCTTGGAGATGCGACAGAACAGCGTCGAAAACAGGTACTGGTCACCGCTACCATCGTACAGAGGCAGATAGCGATAACCTTGGGACAGACTGGTGAGCTTGGCAGTGAATGTGGCTAGCTGCACGCTGTTGCTGTTGCCAGCGCTGCGGCCATCCAGGGAGCTCCAGACAGTCCACCGCACGAAGACAAGATCAGGGTACTTGGTCTCCAGGGAAAGCTTGAAACGGTCATTAAAGACAGGGCTGTAGCCGTTGCTCTGCTCAATCTTGGTGCGGCGGCGGTGCGGATATCCAATGCCGGACACACCGTTTCGTGCAGAAGCATTCATGCCGCCCTCGCCAAAGACCAAACTTTGACCACGGTCATCAGCGCTGAACATCTCGATCTCCACATAGGGATTAATGCTGTCCTCGGGGCCCAGAGTGCGAGGACGCGGGAGCTGTTGCGCTGAGATGACGTCGACCGCGAACCGAACCAGCCTCCGCTCCATCTTCCGCTTCGGGCCCTCGTGCTCTAGCATCGGGAGACGGAGGCTCTCCGGCTTGAGGACGTAACCAGTACGATCAGAACCAGCTGCGAACATAGCCTGGTTCATCTGCATGCCAATGTCGTAGGTCTGCCAGTTAAGGGCCGCCATCTGGACACCGCGGCGCCAGAACTTGTTCGGGTCGAAGTTGGAAGAGCGGAGGCGGAAGCCCGAGGGATACACGCGGGTGAGATACTTCCGGTTGTGCGCTTCGAGGGAAACCTTGTTGTCGTGGTTTTGGCAGATGCTCTCGAAGGAGCGTTCAGCGAACGAGTAAACGTGGTTGTACTTCCTGCTTTCTGGAGAGGAAAAGCTGTGCCACTTGTAGCCGCGGGTATAGATACCCAAGTCGGAGAGGGGCTTCGTGATCTTGCTTTTCTGGCGGCGACGCTTCTTCTTCTCGTTATGAATGGACACCAGGGCCCCGTCACTGTCTTCCGTAGCGCTGCTCATGCTGGTCGCAGTAAGCGAGCGTCTATCGTGGGAGATGAGAGGGCCGATGCCATCGACAGAACTAATCGTAGGTGGCCTCGAGAGCAATGGGAGCGGGGTGGTGCTGTTGGAAGAAGTCATGTCGGGAGGGGGAGTTGGACGAATGAACGGCGAGCTGGCGCTGCGCTTGCGACCATGAGTGCTGACAGAGCTCATGCTATCCTGGCGAGCGTCAAGTAGAGTTTCGTCACAGGTCTTGACCTTGACCAAAATTCGGCCCTTCAACTCCTCTGGTGAGGGAAGGATGAAACAGTTGGTCATCAGGGGCTCGAGGATAAGCTGCTCCTTGAAAGTATCCTTCATGATTTTGACCATTGCCAGCTGCTGCTCGGGGTTGCAATGCACTTCGAGAGAGAGGATGAGAGGGAAATCGCACGAGATGAAGGCGTATCGGTTGATGACAGTGATGCAATCCGCGAAAAGGACGCTAGTGGTCATGGTCCGCCCGTGAGACACAATTGGACGCCCGTCAGCACCATCCCAGCAGTCAATCTCCACACAACGGCATCCCTGCTGGAGTGCGCTAATATAAGCCTCGGTACTCGAAGCTCCAGCAACCTGGCGGCCCAGCAAGTAGGTGTTGTGGGAGCTGGAAATGAAGTACTCATTCAGCGGCCGGTCAAATCTCGACTGGGGAGCCTTGGACGCATAAACTCCATTGCTGGGCGAAGCTAAGAAGGCAGAAAATGTGTCAAGATTCATCCGGGGAGCAGGGGTGTTGGTGTCCGGCGCATCGGAAGAGTTAGACAAACGAGGTCTCGATCTCTTGACAAACTTATCGAACAACGCGACCCAATGCGCGCGATCGGCATCAACATCCTCTTTCTGCACATCGCGTAAGAAGTCCAAGAACTCTTCTTGGGTCAGACCAATCTTGTGGTCCCTGGCGCGACTTTTGTAAATTTCCTTGACATCTTTCCGCTCCTTCAGACGCGCCAGGAAGTCTTTGAACTCAGAAAAATCCAACTTTCCCTTTCGACCAGCGTCGGCCTTGGAGAATTGAGCTCGAAGCATGTTCTTGGAGCAGTTGATGTGCAGGCTGCGGCAGACGCTCTCGACGGCAGTGAAATCAAGACTTTGCTCATCAGCAGGGCGAAGGCCCTGTGGGAACAGCCTCAACATTTCGCGCTGCCAGTGCGCGTGAAGAACGGCGTCACTCTGCTCCGAGGCCGCCAGACCAGCCATGAGGCCAATTCGATACCGAGAGATGTGTTCGAGAGTGGTGGTCCACAGATCGAGGATGTGGTCGTTAGGAGCAATCAAATGCAGGGTCTTGACGGCGCGGCCCTTGAATCGCTCAGAGTCCGCAATTACGATGGTGAACCATCGACTCTCTGCATCCTCGGGAACCTGGTGCTCTTCACGGTAGTTACGAGCATCGGCGCCAACACGGATCTCCTTGATATCGTCTATATAAAACCGCTTCGCAGGGTTTGAGACATCCCAGAAGACCTTGGCGGCGTCCAGATCCAAAAAGAAACGAACCTGCTTGCGGTGTTTCTTCGTCACTTTGGTTAACACGGTTCCGCGCTGCACGGCGGAGTCCACCTTGGGAGCGACAGCAACACCGGCCGTGGCAACCAGTTCGCGGGCCGACATCATACGGCTCTCGCTACGAAGGCTCGAGGGCTCGGAGCCAGCCCAGGCCCCCAGGCCGTCCAAGACTTCATTGCCGTCATCCTCGTTGCTAGAATCCAACGCAGTATCCCGGACAGTAGGCTGGGAACTGTTCTTGCTCTCACTCCGCCGGCGCATGATGACGGGTCCGGAGCTCCGATCTCGCTTGTCGTTTTGCGAGGCGGACTGCCTCCTCCGTGTCAATTTGTTGGCAGCACCTCGCGAGATTCTTCGCATCAAGCCAGGAGCCTTGGAAGTAGAGACAGTAGGGTCATTGACCCCATTGGAGTTGGGGTTTATGGTTTGGGGGACCGCCATCATGGACTCGCCCAGTTCGAGTGGGGCGGGGTTAGGGAGGGAGTAGTTTCGACCGCGCGGTCCCTCGCTGGGAGGTTGAAGAGGAGTGCCGACGGGGGTGAACGCATTAGGTGTACCTGGCGCTGGACAGACGGAGGTAGGAGTCGAGGTAGGTGAAGAGCTGAAGGAAGGCGCATAAGAGGGGGTCGGACCAGAAGGTAGAGAGCTAACGACATGATGTAGAGAGGTAGATCGAGGGAGAGAGGTTGCGAGTTTTAAGCTGGCTTGGGCGTTGGCCTCCAGAGCCGGGGGTGAGGTTGCCGTAGTGTAGGCCATGGCGGCTATCCGTTATCAGACCGACAGCTCAGCTGTCGATAGGTGCAATATTTTAGTCTTTCGTGAACCGTGCCAACTTCCGAGTCACCTGGACTCGTTCAAGGGCGAATGGGCAACAGCGCAGGAGACCAGCCGGGCCGTTCAAGGGTTGCAAGAGGCCAGGTTGGGAAAGCGATCCAAGCCGAAAGAAGAAAAAGAAACGGAATAGCCTGACACAGTAAGAAAATGATTAATGGTTCAGCCACGTCCTCAGCAGAAAGGATCCGTTCTTGAACTCTGCATCTTGGCCTGGCTGGGATGCAATGCGGAGGGAGAGCCCTGCCGGAAAGCGCCTCACGGAGGATAGCCGAGAAAGGTAGAGGAGACCTGAAGGAATTAGAGAAAAAAGAGAGGCGAAAAAGTCCCTGATAACAATTGCAAAGGGCACTGGCCCCGTGCAACGATCCTGTTTTCTTTCGTCTTTTTCTTTTCACTGAATGAAGTTCCTCCGATGGTAACCACTTGCTGATAGACGTCACACACGCGAGGCGATGATCTCCAAGCCCAGGGGGTTCCGGACCGCAGGTTCTGGGTTTCTTCTTTTGGAACCCAGCTGATTCTCTGGAGAATTCTCCCAATGAGACCAATGCGACCCCTCTTTCTGCTTGTCGATCTGCCGGTCCGTGGGGAAAACCGCTGCCCTGCACAGGAGAGGGGAATGTTGCGATATGGGCCAATTGATCGCACAACCAATGGACGAACTAGGGAGGGGGTGCGGCGCCTTGTGCTCGGGAACGAAGGAGAGGGGGTTCGACGACGGGTAGCGCAAGTCAAGAGGCTGGAGGGACTGCGCATATGCGGGTTCAATCCCGGCGTTCAGGAAGAGCCCCAAAAAGGATGCAGTCGCGTGTTCGGAATAGGCGGCGGCAGCGACAAGGCGAAAAGAAAGAAAAGTATTGCCAGGGTATACCCTAGTCTGTCCAGCTCCACACTCGATTGGCTGTGACTCGAGACTAGCGATGCAGCTGGCGATGGGAGTACCCGTGCTAGAGTGCAGGGAACTTTTTGCGGCGCAACGGGAGAACGGATGGGCAATGCGATGTGGAAAATCGGGAATTGCGACACTGCCAGCGCAGTGGATGCAGGCGGTCGAAAGAGGAAAGACAAGCAATCGGTAACTGGGCCGAGTTGAGAGCTTCGCTGATGTTGGATTATCTGTCTTAGTGCCGTTTGGTCGCGTAGTCGCCGTGAGCTGATCCGGGTGCTGCACGGTTACGTGGTGGCCACTAGAGTCCGTATGCGAGGTGGGTTGGAACTGCTCCTGCAGCGGAAGTCGTGATGATCATGCGACGGAAGGATGGAGGACAAAACCAGTGTTCTCCTATGTGGACGGTTTGATCGAGATGAGTTGGAGGTAGACTTTGAAGAGAGGAAGGTTGGGTGGAAAGGGAAGGGGGGGGGTGGTGGGAAATAATTAAATCAATGAATCAATCCCAGCGATTCCGCCGGTTTGGAATTGAAGCTGCAGTGGGTACGTGTATTGGGTGTAATGGTGTAATGGGGGTATTGAGTACTTACGGTGGGAGTCGCCTGCGGTATGAACGGTTGGTACCGAGTACACCTGTATGGTATTTCCAGGACGGTTTCAAGTACCGGTGGGTTGCAATACGGGTAATTCTTTGGGGAGGTATGGGAACTTTGGCCTTGGCGTTAAGTTGACGGCTCTTTATTTGGATTTTCGCATTCAGAGCGACCGAGTGCAACACACGTGGCTGATTGCCAATTTGCGACGGTGTAAATCCAGACGAATCATAGGTCGGAGGGAACCGAGATGATGTGATGGTGCAGGGTGTGGAGTATATAGCCCCGATAATGTGAAGCAGTTGAGGTGTGGAGGGGAAGTGTTTCACCAACCCGGAAAGAAAGAAAAGCAGCCCGAGAGGATTCAAGGAAATAAACCATGCGAATAATAATGATAATAATGATAATCACAACTGATGGGGAGGATGTCGGACCGGTGTCTATGTATATCCCCAGGATGAGGCTTAGAGTGAACACTCAAAAGGAAAGGGATCTCAGATGGGGCGGAAAGGCTAGGGCAGACCTTCAATTAAATAATACACCGTGGAGCAGCACCGATGATGATTGGAAACAGCGCATAGGAACGGCCCAAGACAGGATCCGAATCTAAGAGAAAGCCATTTCCTACGGTGAGGGTGAGGTGCGACTCTGCCAATGGCCAGTGCCTATCAGCGTACCGGGTGGTCTTGGGTAAGATATGGGATGACGATGTGGAATGACTGCGACCCTCCGATGGGCAGATCTCGTTGCGCCGTGTCATTGGGCGATCCCCCTAATTCCTGGGGAATGCTATCGGCCAAACGGAAGGGGCCGATCAGTGTTTCAGATGCGTGGAAGGGCCATCCAGCAGAATGACCGTCTTTCTCAACAGGTCGGACGGCCCAGAGAGAGACGACAACAAAGGAGGACCTCCAGTCCCAGTCCCAGTCCCAGTCCCAGGAGGGAGGTGCGTCGGGGACTCGACGGAGGATTATTTTGAGCCAAGTGGATACCGCTTAAGCAGTCTATTCCATTCAGACTTCCATAGTCAGACCGTGTGCCGGGCTCCAGTTCCCCCACCTCCGTGATTGGGAGTGCGCTTCTTTACCCTTCTTTGTTCGGGAAAGTGGCTCAAGTGCGCGTGGCTCAGCAGCGTGTGGAGCGTGGGGAGGGGAGGAGTGGTACGAAGTATAGTGAACTAGTGCCTTCAGTCTGTAGGAGAGATACCGGTCTATCCAGACGACTGTGCGCATGGTATGGTCGCATACCTAGCCTGTACAATGGCCCACATCGCCGTCATTCTTAGGGTGTTTCTGTACTTCATGTATTCGGTATAGTAGTTTTAGTGCTTGGTACAGTAGTGAGTTTCCCAGCACCGACACGCTGGTCCCGCAGAATATGCGGAGCCTTCGGATTCCTGTGTTTTGACCTGCCGCAGAGACATAACTTGATGACCCTTCGTTGGTATCCCTGCCTTATCGCGGTTGCTAGCACAACCTCTGGGCCGGTAGGGTGATGATGACGTCTTTGTTCAACGGTCGGGCGCGTATCTCTGCCCAACGGGTGGAGGACGGGGTGTACAGCAAAATGGAACCCGTGTGCCACAGACGGTCGATCACGATGCACATCATCATTCCCTCCTATTCAGCCACGCCCCAGAAAATTTAGGACATTTAGGACATTTAGGACCTGATAGGGGCGGTAAAAGTGGTCCGACAGGGACCAGTGTCTACCCTGGTACGTAAAGATCCGGCCGATTCTGCTATTAGTCGAGACACAGGGAGGATGTGAACAGCGGTCGTACATCAGCCCTTGGGGCCGAAACTGACAAGGCTGGTCCCAAACCGCTGAGGCTGGGGCAGTGGCAGTGAAACGTTTGGGCGGTGCAGTTGGAGCCGGTGGATCCCCGCAGAGAGCCCGCGCGAGAGATCGTCCGATGTTTGAGCCCGTTCCCTGACGAACACTGCCCAGTGGAGGAAAAGACGGGCTTGCCCTTCCCCGGCCTGTTCACCGCGTGCAATAAGGGAGCGGTCTGGTAACGTGAGGGGGTTATAGTTTAGAGTAGTGTGGTGTTTTTGGGGATGTTGCAACACCCTCGGAACCAAATCCCTCGGAATAATTTGAATTAATTTCTACTTCGAGAAGAGTGGGAGAGAAGAGGGGGGAAGAAGCAATCATGAATTATACCGAACCCCGTGCGACTCAGCTGGACTCGTACCTGCGGTGTTGCATGTCGATTCGTACGTTAGTGGTAGTCTACCCGTGAGGGGAGTACGATGCCGAGCGCGACGAGCCGCCAATGCCGTCTGACTCCGTACGGTATACCTTTGTACATTTCGACATCTTCCCTCTGTCCTCCGTACTTCGTATAGATACTGTAGCATCATCAGAGCTGTCTGCGGGGTCGCTCTCAACCCCGCGTTCTCTGATGCGCTGGCGATGCCCTTTGCTCAGCCTTGCCTTGATTCCGTGCCGTTGGACATCCGCGAGACCCGGGCGACGAGCAGGGCGCGTCGTTTGAGCATGCGCCTGAGGGCGGTTGGCTGACGACCCCTCATTAACCGGATGCTCGTGCAGGGCGATTTTGGTGAGGCACCTTAGCGTGACCAGCCAGGCAGCGCCTCTCTGTTCCACGCGACAGCTTGAATTGCGGACCTGTGAGCGACCGACAAGACGTGTCTTTCGCGTTATCTGCCTCGAGTCCCTCGCCCGGATCCAGGATCCAGGATCCAGGATCAAGGATCAAGGATCGCGTAGGTCAGGGCTCAGGGCCAACCGGAACTCGACTGCCTGGAGTCGGTCGCAGCTTTGCCTCACGCCGCAGGGCTGCACGGGGCGTGAGGTGATGACTCACTATCGTCGGCCCCAGCAGCTTCCATTTGGACCACATGGGAGCCATGATTATAGTTAACGCCTAGCTGACCCGTTCCCGACCGATCCGTGCGCCATCACGACCTCTATCGTGTACAGCGGCTGTGGCGGTTTACTGAGCACCTCGGCATCCTGCTCGCCCTCAGATCACGGATCCCGACTTCGTCGCACTACTGGCTAGGCGTGCTTGCAGGGGATCATCAGTATCCGCAGAGCTGATCCTCACGAGGGGACAGGGTACAGCAGCGCCACGGTATCAGCGAAGCATCACCGGTCTTGAAGCCCAGCATCTCGTCATGGCCAGGGAGGGGCGGCTGAGGCAAGGGTCCGCATTTTCGTACCAGCCACAGCCACGGCCAGTCGCAGTCAGGCGGAGAGTCGGAACAACGCGACGATGATAATCTCGCGTGCTCAGCTCAGCGGGTCGCGCTGAGGGTCAGAGCAAGTTCAGACCGCTCACCCCTCTCCTCATCTCTTTGCGCCCTCCATGTCGATGCTTGCGCCAGTGAACGCGCCCCCCTCCCCCCACCAACACTTAGTGAAGGTGGGTTGGCCGACAATCCTGTTGATCGCGGGAAAAGAGGGGATTCAACCTGCCTATCCAACCGCTCTCCGTCTTCTGCTCTGAGCTGCCGTCACTATCGTACTTCGTAGCTCCCCCGCCAGACTCCATATTAGCCTTCCCATAGGACCATCCTAATGCCGGGATTTGCGCTGGTTCCCGTGATCCCCTCCGTTGGGGATAGCTGTGAACAGTGACTGAGACGTGATTCTTTCCAAGGTTCTTGGGTTCTTCCATTGGCTTGAGTGGGGACCTTAACGTTGCGCTTTTCTTGAACTGCGGACCCACTGCTTGACAGGGTCGTTCTCCCCCTCGTCATGACGGAGGTAACATACGGAGGGTATCCACGTATTCGGGCCTAGGAGCAGAAGGCGTCACCGTCGCGGTGGCTTGAGTAGTGCTGGCCTCCGTCGTGACTGTACGGAGTACTCCGTATACTCCGTATACTCCGTCCGTTGGCCCCCCCATTGCCTACGTATTCATTGCCTAACTGGGCTAGCGAGCCCATCGTGCAGACGTATACCTTTGTTTAGTTTCGTCGCGCTTCAACAGGCGGGCGCGATCACAGGCAACACAGAAGAATCATGTTCATAGGACTCGACAGGGGAAAGACCAAAAGGGGCAATGGGCGGTACACGCGAACGCAAATGGAACCCGTAAATCAACAGACTTCCACAATCTACAATCACAAGCGTGACCGCCCCCAACCTAGGCCAAGCCCGGTAAGGGCAAGGACGGGCAAGACCCCCTGCAATTGATGCGCACGTAAGTAATATAAAGTAATACCAGTCACTCAATCTCGCAGCCGCTGCTGGCTCCGATTAGCGTTGATAGCCCCCCCGCTCTCCCTGCCCTATGGGACGGAACGAACGGGGAGGGGCACAGGAAATTACCCTTTCCCCTCTACCACTCCGAATCGCCTTTGAATTTTCCTGGTTTTGCGGGGACTCGGCTGCCTCCTGAGCTCCTCGCCCATGTCCAGCGACACGACACTGCTCCGATCTCTGTCGGAGGATGTTCCCACTTGGAGAAGGGATACAGTCCCTGCGATCATAGCATCATAACTTCGGGCACCATTCCCGGCACCGCTGGCTGGCCATCCCAATGTCTCGGGAACGGACGTCCATGGACGTGGTCATATGACATCATGAAGATGAGAAGAATGCCATCTTTGCGGTATGGAAACCCGCCAACCAGCCGTATTGTACCACGTCCTGGCTTTGTTACATAATACCGAGGCTTACAGTACCATACTGGTCACACCGTTCCCCAGATACGCCATTGCGTCCCCAGGTACGTCGAATCTAAAGCATACTCGATAGCTGGAGACGTTTGGAAGCGGGCACTAATAGGGGCCAGGGTATCGTAGCCATTCACCGTTAACAGGTAGGGGCACACACATTCCTAGCTCGAGGATGCGCGAATGAAAAAATTTGGGAAAAAAGTAAATTTTCAATCTAATCGCCTCCCCCTGAGGGGTCTGATCTTCGAGAAGGGGCTTATCTCCATTGCTGTCATTCCTGAGAGATTTCGCCATGCCCCCCGATTTTACCGTGGCCGAAATGGAATTCTCGGATCAGAAGATCAACCCGACGAATGAACGACAAGGTCACGACCAGGTCTAATGATGACGGCGTAACCTATAGTAAGGCCCCCCTTTCGCGATGCCTACGACCAAATCCGGCCGGGAAAGTTACACTGCGGGGTATAGAGTTAGTAGTATGCAAACTCAATCCTGGCTGGCTGAGTGACAGGCACACCACTGCACCTGCACCGCACATCCATGTCGCCCTTCGCAAGACCCAACAGGATGGAACCGTTGCGCCTCACTCGGGCCACGGCCCGTCCTGAATGCTCACCTTCCACTGTTGGCTATCCGGCCACAGTGACACACCGTGGACGGTCAACTCTATTCTCTCATTAAACCGCGAGGAGGGCCGCCATATCCAATCGGTGTCCTGCGCACCCTCGCCACTGGTTCTGGGCACTGAATGCGCGGCCACCTCAATTCGCTCCGAACCTCCCGTTGTTTCGCCTGGTAGTCCGCTCGGCGAACCCACTATAGCCGCTACGGACCGTGACTGCTGCTCGCTGATGCCGGGATGCCTGCGTATGCCTGCGTATGCCTGGCGAGGCACTAGGCACTGCGGCAGGGAGTCGCGCGCAGTGTGATCGCTCCAATCCAACCGACCGGTCTCAGGGCTCCCGCGCTCTCGCTCTCGGGGAGGCCTGTCTCATCCTGCAGGCACTCTTCGGCTCAGCCCCCGTTCTCGGCCTTCGACGCGTCTCCGATGCTTAATATACTCCCGCGTTCCACGACTCCACCTCAATCATCTCCTGCAAGAGGACCTGCAAGAGGACTTCCTGCAATGCAGCGTCCCGTCCCTCGGTGGACGCCTCGGTTGGAGGTCGAATTGCAACGCCAGCAGGAGCGCGCTACCCCCATCTCGTGGCTCGGACTATGTGACGATCCTGGTCTTTTCCCTCTTCACCAGGCAGTCGGTGCAAACCTGCACGGGCAGCAATGGGGTGTATGGTTCGCGCCGATAGTGCAACCGACCGGGACTTGTGACACCGTCCAGTTGCGTTTGGACGGACCTCCCTTTCGACTTTCAACATTGAAGATGCCATCGGTCTCGGCAATGGCTTGCTCTCGGCAGTCACCTCACTGCTGGCCAGCACCATAGGAAATAGTGCCAAACTCGGTTGCCTGATCGATGCGGAGAACCTCCAAGAGACGCCTGCATGAGCGTCGGCCTGCCGAAGCTGCGGAACGGTCCCCAGAAATCATCTTCTATAGGTCATGCGACCACCAACATGGGTCTCCGATGGCTCATAGTGCCATTTCGAATATGGAACAGACACAGGGGACCGTGGAAAATGACCGAGCCTACACCGTCTGATGACGATTATCTTGAAGAGATAGCCTCTTGTATTGAGCCCGCAGATTCAAGAGTATCCTGCTAGGCCATGTATGATTTCTGCAGTCCAGACCGAACCCCCTTCTCCCAGCCAGCGCTGTGGCGCAGACGCCAGGGCTGAAATTGAGGACCCATTCTGCGACAGGGTGTTTTCCAAAAACAGAACTTTTGAGACCCCGGACAGCTACTGCACTAATGAAGCGGCCTTAGAGTTTGTAGATTGAGGTGGGAGTTCACCCCGGGCGATATGCTGGTCGACTTGCCGGGCCTGTCCAAAGGCAACCCAAGCAGAGGTCGGGTTTCAGCTCGTTCAGAGGGTCGCAAGCAGGACTGTTCTGGCCAAGCGTGCGCCGTTTCCGAGCTTACGGGAAAGTTAAAAAGAAGCTGTACCCTGGAATTTCCAACGCCGTCCCGCCACGGCACATCGCGAAATTCCGAAAACTGGCTCTCTCTGGAGCACCATTTTCGCCCTGGTCGACGAGCATAGATCTGCCGGTATCGTCGGGTTACTTACAATTCCCGATATTTACAACTTGTACCTGTACCGTGACCGCCCCAATGGACCCCATGAGTCAGTGTTGCGTTGGGGCGGTAAATATCACCCAGGTGATGGGCTCCAACAAGGACCCCTCTCGTGGATCTGGGGCCGAACACCGAGTGGGCTACCCATCCAGGGCTGCTCCACATCCACTGGGAGCTCCGCCGTGGACAACGTGGCTTCCAGAATGCCTATCGAAGGACCAGCCTCCATCTTACATGCAGGAACTGCTGCCAGCATTGGGACGTCAGAATGCGCTCCCACTGACTGCCAATTGCCAACTGCCAATTGCCAACTGGGTCGCATTCACCTGGCTCCTCGACCGACTTTCTGGCCTTAAATCACCTTCGCTGATGAGCAAGGAGCGACTGGAGCTATGAAACGGCGCGCACACGGCAGCAGTCGAGCGGATGCCCGAGGGCCGTTGTCCAATTGCTCGACCTCGGTCTTGGCGCGGCCGCCCGCTCGCTTGCTCCCACCCGGAGCCAACGATGTCTCCGAGCTAGGCCAAGGCGTATCAAACGCGGTGGACCGGTGGACCGGTGGACCAGTCTCCCTTCTCCTGACGGGTTCATCTGGCGAGGTACGGTAAGTGGCTGACCCTGATTCCTGTTCTCACGGACGGGACATACACCGCAACAGACCTCGCTCCCCGATCGCGACCTATTCTTAGCATCAGTTCGACTGTCGCCCACAACCCCCCTGTCCAAATCCTTTATGGCATGCATTCGCCCATCCCTGGAAATGTGCGACCCGGCCAACTGGGTCGCAGGCATGAACTAAACCCGCGCTCTAACCCTACTAATCTGTAGTGGGTTATTCCTGCCAAGTAACCGGTTTAACCGGCTACTTCGACTCGCTAGACAAAACATTCCCAAATGAAATTTCCTTTGAGAAAAGGGCGCATCTCGCGAACTCAAGCCTCGTACCTGTGTACTGTAAGGGCTCTCTCTCCCTGACGGGCCGCTCCACTTTTCATCTCGTTATCTCCCGTGGTCTGAACCCGCCGTGCAATTTATGCGAAACCCGCACACACTAATCACATCTCTAAAGTCGGTTGCGCTGGCTGGCTCGGATCCCACCGGTAATAAGTAAAAAAACGTGTGTAGCATGGAGTATTCTCTATGGCGTATCTCCTATCTTTAGGGGCGACTGTAATCCGAATAGTTTACCGTTGGGGGCCTTGTTTAAGATACCCGTATTAGGCAGGTGTCTCACGTCTCATTGACTCTTTGACCGTAGTCTGGGAACGAACAATGAACAACACACTGTCTTTCTATTTCTGACTTCTGACGAGAGACCGTTGCTGTCTCGCTACCGCAGCGTGGAGAGGCACGATACGGTTAGTCCTTTTTTCGGCGGACTTGGCTCAATACGTCGACTCGTGGTTGCGGGGGAGTTTGATCGTTGTGGAGCGGGCAGATCGCATAGCGATATCCGTAGTTGGGATGGAGATTCCTTGTTGAGGTCATTGTGGTTTGTATAGTTCCAGAGGCGGCGGTTGCTTTAGGAGTGAGTGATATGTAGGCAAGTCGCTAGTGACTTCCAGATGGAGCTCTTGTCCCACCGGTAGTCCCCCCGCTCAGGAACAACCCACCGGAGTGAGCATCGCCTTGTTCACCCTGGTCAGCCACCATGGATCTCTCCACCCCAGTTGATAGCAACTTTACGACGGCACTGCCAAAGGTTGAGGTACGTGCTAGGTCATGACTCTGCCTGCTATATCCGAGGTCTGCCAGGCTAATCCTTACCCTCCCCCTCCCACCTGACAACAGTTGCACGCCCATCTCAGCGGCAGTATCAGTCGCCAATGCTTGCACGAGATCTGGCTGCGCAAAAGGCAGCAGGATCCAAATTTCCCCATTGAGGATCCCCTGGTACTTATGCCCCCCGGCAAAGTCGACTATACTCTTCAAACGTAGGTTGTCCCGTCAGACTACGACTGACAACGTGCTGACCCAGCAACCTAGCTTCTTCCACGTCTTCTCGAGACTCATCTACCAGCTCTGCGACGACCTGGACAGTCTCGCGTACGCCACCAACTCCGTCCTCGAGGACTTCCTCACCGATGGAGTCCGATACCTCGAGCTGCGAACAATTCCACGCGCATCGCCAAGCTCCAACATAACCAGAGAAGCGTATCTCACCACAGTCCTCGACACCATCGCACAGTTCCGCTCAAGATCAACCCAAATGTCCGTTTACCTGATCCTCGCCCTCGACCGCGGCAAAACAACCCCCGCCGAGGCCCTCGAAATCATCAACCTCGCCATCGCCAACAAGCCGCGCGGGGTCGTGGGCGTCGATCTGTGCGGCAACCCGACGCAAGGCGATGTCACGATCTACCGAGATGCGTTCGCCCGGGCCAAGGCCCACGGGCTCGGCGTCACGCTACACTTTGCCGAGACACCGACTTCAGGAGCACCGAGTGAGCTGGACGCCCTGCTTTCCTTCCAGCCAGACCGGCTGGGCCACGTCATCCACGTGCCAAATGATGTGAAGCAGGAGATTGCGAGGCGAAAGCTTGGGCTGGAGCTGTGCATGTCGTGTAATGTGCATGCGAAGTTGATCAATGGAGGCTTCTTGGACCATCATTTCGGGGAGTGGAGGCAGACAGACTGTCCGATTGCGTTGTGTGTACGTATACCCGGTTGATCTTGGACTGTGCCGTTTTTCATAGCGTGTGAGCTGACCTAGCGGGTTTCCAGACGGATGATGTGGGCTTCTTTTGCAGTTCTGTCTCGAACGAGTACCTCCTTGCGGCTGAGCACTTTGGTGTTGGCCGTGCTGAGATGCTGCGTATGTGCGCGAAGTCGGTGGATATGATATTTGGGGGAGAACAGGAGAAGAAGAGGCTTCGTGAGATTCTGAGGCGTTTCGAAGAGGAAAGAGCGACAGTGGGTTAGCAGGTGCCGACTCACGAATGCTATTCTATGAAATATTGAGGGTCCGGACCACTAAGCTCTTCTGGGAGATGCGTAACATGCGTAACAGAAGGAGATGTTGAGACAATGTCAGGGACAGAAGTGCCATTCTCAGGTCGCTGCTCACTGCACGATCGTACAGTTTGCTCGCAACGCTGAGTGAGCTGAGTGAGCTTGACTTTGGATCTGCCCATGACGGTTTCACTCACGCGCGAGGTCTAGTATCTACTAGTGGCTATCTTCATTATTTGAGGGGAGGGGAATTGAAGGGTGTGTACTATTAACTTTGGTTGTAAGTTTCGTAGAATAAAGGACAAAGGACATCTCTCTCTCATCCCTGCCATCTGAACCGCCTTTCCTTCAAAGTCTTAATCACTCCCAGGGGCATGAACTCACGGTTCACAGCTGCAAGACTTCCATAGGTGCGCACCATCTCATCATGATACAGCTCTGCTACCCAGCGCCAATACGGCGTCATCTCGCGCCAGGTCGCCGAGATCGAGCCTGACTTACTCGCTTTTCCCCTAGGCCCCCTAAGCCCAGTCTGGCTCTTTTTGAAGCTCGCGGTGGCCGCCACACTTTTCTCTCCGGGCACCTCGATCAGATTCTTGTATGCGGAGTAAAGCTTGGGGTTTTCCAACATAGAATACGGCGCGTACTCTTCCAGTGACATGAAGGGGAGGGGCTCGCCATCCTCACCCTTCCAGGTAGCGTGGGAGTCCGAACCGTGCTTCTCAAAGTGCTCCTTGGCTTGTTGGTACGCTGCCTCATCGTGCAAGGTAGCCCTCCGAAGGTGCTGCTGCGGTGTCTCTTTGATGTTTTCGCGCATCGCCAACAGCCGAATGTATGGATTCAGCAGTCCGAGCCCACCCAGCTCAACAGGATAGTAAAAGAATCCTTCGGGCAGGTCATGAATATCAAATCGCTCGGCAATCACAGAGCGCAGGTAGTTAGTGACACTGACCTCAGAATTGGGCGTCTTGTTGGAGGGCTTGCTGAAAAGGACTCGCTCGATGCGGCTGAGTGTCGAAATGGCCATGTCGATGTGGTCGCGGCCAAAGCACATCGCAGGGATCGCAAAATTGTTGGCGAAGAATCGTCCAAAGTAAGCATTCCATGCTTGTACCCAGGTGAAAACACTCTTGCAAGACGAGAGCTGCCGGTCAAGTTCTTTGATGTGCTGATCCACTTGTGTCTGATCGATGACGAATCTGCCTTGCTCTGCATCGAGAATCAAGAAGCCCCAGCGAATGTCTCCAGGTGGGAGAATGGAATCCTTCTTGGGAGATGCTCCCATGCGCACAGTGCCGGTCTTTCCTTCGTTGAACACGAGGCCCATAATCTCAGCATACTGGGTCATCGCCGCCCAGGCCCTTTCGCAGGTCTCTTCCGCACCCCAGAACCAAAAGTCATCGTGTAGTCGATATAGGATTCCGCCACTGGTCTTTTGATTGACCGCGTAATCCATGCAGAATAGAACCGCCTCGTCGAACACATCCGAGAGAGTGTGGCTCAACGGAACCCCGCGCTTTCGAATTTGAGTTGATGCAGTACGGCCATCTTGAAGGAATTTGAGCGGCGCCTCCAGGAACATTTTGAAGAAGTTCAGCCACGTTTCTGGGACACCAAAGTATTTCAAGACCGTCAAGACCGTAGCATGGGGCAAGGACGGGCCAAACCATTGATAGTCAGAACGGACTGCAGTGAAATTGCCACCCTTGTGCTTGTGGATCAAGGACTCGGTAATCAATAGATGGAGTAGTGAGTGCTTTGTATCCAGCGCTTTTTCGACCTGGGAGTCGTCGTCATAGCTTCGAGCACCCTCGGTGGTAGACCCCGGTAGCTGACTCATGAAGTATTTGTCGCGATACATGCCCTGCCGGAACCGATTGAGGCAATAAACGCTAGAGTGCTTAGTTTTTCCAAGGAAATACTTGCGTCTCTCGATATCCTCCTTGGAAGCGTGCTCATTCCCGGCGTCCCATGCTCGCGACTGAAACCGTCCGAACAGGACGCGCATCTGGACCGCCCAGGTGGTTCCCAGATACTGCAGCAACAAGCTGTCAAGCAGGTCTTCGTCCATGAAGAAGCGATATTTACCGTTCAGTTGGCGGCGCATGTCGACAGGGATGCCGTCGCCACCCCAAGTCCAACTATCGAGAGATGCAAGGCGCATGTTGAGAACATCTGCTACCTCTTGCAGCACCTCTTTATTGCGCATGAACTCTTTGAGAATCGTTGTTTTCTCGGCACTTAGCAAGTCGGTCTTCATCAACGCCTTGGATACCCATTCAAGCTCCTCAACATTCACCCACTCTCCCTTAGTTGCCAAATCTGTGCCAAACTTGTGGAAGCTCTCACGGAGCTCCTTCAGAGCCTGGCGAGATAGCTTTGTCTTTGTGAAAAGATTGTCGAGATAAGAGCTGATAGAACCCTCGTTCACATGGGTGGCCGCCGTAAAGACCAAGGACTCCCACTGTGCTCGCTGCTCATGCATTTCTGGCCGGCCCACGCTCTCAAAGCCAGCATCAGCCTTATTGGAAACCGCATGATCTGTCTGGCTGGCAGTTGGAAGTGCGTCCCCGTCCTCCAGATTGGACAACCACTCAGTGATGAGCTTGCTGTAAAATGATGCATGTTCGTGCCTGAGCTCCAAGAAGCGCAGGTCATTTTCCATTCGGGTGATCCAGTCTCTCACGGCAGAGTCAGAGATGGAAGGATCGTAGCGGCCCTGGAAAAGGAAGCGTCGGATGTTGGCGTGGTCGGCTCGGTCAAGCTGGCCCATGCAGGGTGAGGTGACTTCGTCATCATCAGAGTCCTCATCGGATGAGTCAACATCCAGGTCCAAATCATCTTTGTCCAGAGTATTCTTTGGATAGCCCTTTAGGCGAGAGAGGCCGTCCAGAAGAGTGCGAGCCCGGGCACGCACATCCGGCGCAGTGGCCGCGGCCTCCAGAATATCGGCTTTTTGCTTAACAAACAGAGCCCGTTGCTTGGAATGCTCATTGATTTTGGTGACAGTGATGGACCTAAGGGTCTGAGGCAGAGCTCCGGTGAATGCCATCATGCCTTTGAGTGAAGGACAAGGATCAGATCTTGTTTGACACCGAGGATAATGATGTTGAGAAACGAGGGTGCGTGATGGATTGAATGGATGGATGGATGGTTAGTGGTGGGAAGTTGCTTGGGTTAAATAGGTGCGATTGAGCTGAGGGATGTAATACAAGTGGCTGAGTTATGACTCAGGCAGGATTCTCTTGAAGATAACAGATTGCCAAATAAGCATCCAGAGTTTGACAGGCAACCGATCAGTGCTAGCCTGGTGGCGTTTGGCTTCGCAGCCCCACTATCAGGATTCCAACTAGGATAGTAGGTTGATTGTGCCTCAAGATGCTTGTGCTCCGATGTTCTAGCTGGATTATATTATGTGCAAGGGGAATGCTCTTATATAGTTTTTATAGTATCTAGATGGGCTGTTGTTGGCGCCCTAACAGAAGCAGCTCTAGTTGCCATGCTTTCTACAATCGATTTCTTATGATTAAGGAATACCTCTCTCTCAAAATCCTTGTGCTATTCTGTGGTTAGTATGATCAGGTCTGGGGAAGTGAGAAAGTACATGAAAACTCACCTAATACCACTCAACTAGTTTTTCATCCACCCATTCGATCACAGTGGCCTCCACGTCACGGTCGACGTCATGTGTCAAGCCAGTGGGCATAAAGGGCATGACGAGGCAAAATATAGGATCAAATAGAGTCTTTGTGTGCCCCATTTACATCAACCCCTGAGGATTGTCGGGAGATGGCCGAAGATACCAGTTAACCAGTCTCGCCTTTGTTTCGGACTGTCTGGGCTCGGCAGTGGGTGGGTTTGGAAATGGAGTTTTCACATGTTCTGGACGAGATACCGTCTCTTTATTGAAAGAAAAAGGAGGAAGACTGATGCCTGCTGCCCGGTAATAGGCAATCGGATCACTCCATATCTTCAACTTGGCGATTTGGCCAGTGGTGATCTGGATGAAAATATTATGATTTCTTACACGCCTCTATATCTACTGAACTGACCACTACTACATTTTCCAATTCAGCTATATGCTGACATTCTCTGCGGCCTAATAAAATAGTTTCAAAGGACACCAAGATAAGGAAAAAAAAATTCAAAACTAGGCTCAGAAAATTCAAAACGAAGAATGTGATCATGAACATCATGATTGTAATATGGTCTAAGTATACACCCCCAAACGTAGTTTTTTTGCTAGGTATAATATTTTTACGGCTCACTATGGAGGCTGGAAGCTACTTTTGATTTACTTCACCAAGACAATGCCCATATTGTACAGAGCCCCCTCTGTAGTATACCTATTCTATGATTCCCTGTGGTGTCAAGTTTCAAGTGACCTCACTGTTACATATTCCAGCACAAAAACTTACAGCCGCCATAATTATTATATGCATTTGGAGAAATATGATTACATTTAATTAGCTATTTATCTCATGGATCATTCTTTTTGCGATTCTTGCCCCAAGCTCAGCTTCTGAGTTTGCAGAATCCGGCTATGGCAACCATGGATACCCATCCTCACGCATCCTCATTGAGGAAAGTACAACTCTGGACTTTACTATTCTTCATTTGTGAAGTTAGACCTATTTAGGAGGCTTGCAACGGTTTTAGTAGCTACCTTTCCAATCTCTTAAAATCCGTTCTTCTTTCCCTCACTTCCCATCCGAGTGTTCTCTCATCTACCATTTACTTATTTGTTATCAAGTATTCACCAACACTTTCAAACCTTACACAGGCTGCTTGCATAAAGCTTCCTGCTTTCTTTTCGTTGAACCTTGTATAAACAGACCTATATACATACATCAACAAAGGCCGTGATGCCTGCGCACTCGGCCACGTACTCGGAGGCCCAGGGCACATTCAACTGGCTTGATGCCATGTCTGGGGACAAGGCATTCTTTGATCCAAGGTAAAATTTCAGTCCGATTCTATGTTCTTCACTATATATGGTTCTAATGGTCCCGAACAGAACATGTGATGTCCATTGCTTCCCTCTTCCCGCCCTAAATCCTATCAAGCGGGCAGTGACCAGCTGGGAACAAAAGAATATGGACACGTGGGCAGATGAAGGCTCCAAGCCCATTCCCTGTGATTACAGCGAAACCAACATCGGTGAAAACCAGCAGAGGTCAAGCTTCACAGATATGGAGCTTGAGCCACTTCAACTGGAGGCCGTCCCTCCATACCCCAAGCAAAACGCCCGCGATTCACTTTTCAGCCTGCATAACCAAATCCATAAGCGTGAGAAGCCAACTCAACCTGTTCCACGCCGTCTAGCTCGTCACTGCTCGGCTCAACAGTCCCGGCCACAGCAAGTTTCGGATACCGAGGAACCGATACTCGTGCGTCAACTCCTCATTGACCCAGTCCTCGAGCCATCCGCCCTTGCCTTCTCCGACTCAACATCCTCCATGTCCAGCTCTGTGGAGGGGGCGCAAAGTGTTGGAAAGTTTGTGATCAACAAGGTGCGGAAAGCAGCATCTCATGGCGCAGCGACATGTCGAACACTGCGAAAGAAATTGAGTCGATAAAAAAACATCCCCATTTTCTCTTTGTTTTCTCTCTTTAATATACTAGGTGTTGCGATTCTATATCCATGTTTCGTTATTAGTACCTTCTTGTGTTAATTTCATTCATTAGTTTTACCTCAAGGTTCCAGACTTGATCCATGGCCTTCTTCTGGTAGTTATCTTTTCATCTTATGTCACTTGAGTCCTTGAATATTGAATACCAGGAAGTCAACCATGGCGGTTTACTAGGATCTCTTTATTGCGCAACGATGCATATATATCTTCTTTTTCATGTATACTGTCTCAAAAGGCAATAAAGTGCTGCTTGGGAACATTCAATACATTAAGAATTTAAAGAGTTCCTCATAGATATGTAGAAGTATACAAAGGCGGTCGGTCCACCTTCCGTCGGCTGAGTTGCCTATTCTGCCGTAACGCCAACATTCAATTGCACCCCGGGAACATCAACACCGCATCCTCCATTACCCCCCGATCTCCAATCCCCACTGCCCACAAGATGGATCCTTTCTCAGCAGAGGGCGGTAAGTTACTTGAACCCCCAAAGGGTTCCTCTGCAGCACACTCATACCTCTCCTAGAGCTCCTCAACATCCACAATGCCTTCCACTCTGGCCAATACCAGAACGTGATCGACTTCGACACCGCCGCCCTCTCCTCCGAGAACCAGCTCCCTGCCCGTGTGCTCAAGCTCCGCGCTCAGATTGCCATCGGTCAGACCTACAACGTGCTGGCTGCTGTCGCCAGCGAAGAGGACACCCCCGACCTGGCCGCCGTCAAGGCACTGGCTCAGCAGACAGCGGGCAACACTGACGCAGCCCTCCAGTTAGCTCAAGACCTTGCTGAGAATTACTCCGACAATGCTACCGTGCAGGTTCTCGGTGCCACCGTTCTGCAGGCCCAGGGAAACAGCGAGGAGGCTCTGGCGCTGCTGTCCAAACACCAGGGTAGCCTCGACGCGTAAGTGAACCTTTGTCGCAGTTCCGCAAATCCGTTCAGAGCTCTGACTGTTCCGTGGGGAAATTCAGTGTTGCCTTGACCGTTCAGATTCACCTCCAACAAAACCGTGCCGACCTCGCTCTCAAGGAGGTCCAGGCCGCCAAGCGCTGGGCCCAGGACTCGCTGCTGGTCAACCTGGCCGAGTCGTGGGTTGGCATGCGAGTTGTACGTACCCGAATGTGCATTCAAGATTAATTTTGGCTCATAAATTAACTGAGTTCGCTGCGCAGGGTGGTGAGAAGTACCAATCCGCTTTCTACGTCTACGAGGAGCTCGCTTCCGCTCCCAGCACTTCCGCTGCGCTGTCCATTGTCGGTCAGGCCGTCGCAGAGCTTCACCTGGGCCGCCTCCCTGAAGCTGAGGCCGCGCTCACCGCTGCTCTTGAGAAGTACCCCGAGGATGCAGAGCTGATTTCAAACACGATTGTGTTGAGTGTGTTGGCGGGGAAGCCTAGCGCAGACCTGGAGGCGTAAGTAACCTCCGTGCTAACATTATCCTTGCGACAAGAACACGCTAACTTTGCAACTTCTAGTCGGCTACAACAGGTGCAGCCTTCGCACGCTATTCTTGTCGGCATCCAAGAGAAGAGCGAGTTCTTCGACACCGCGGCGGCTAAGTACTCGCCGAGGGTGTCGTCTTAGATGGAAGGAAGATCTGAGGAGATTTAGTTAGAGTGCTTTACCCCTCTTTTCGCGAACCCTGTTATTTGGAGCCGGGGTGCTTTACTATCCTGCTTTGTTATGAGTTGATACGACCCCTACTTACCGTAGTGCAATTACTGGCAACATGCTTTTCTCTCGGTATTATTTGGCGACTGGGCCTGGTTGCTTAAAAATGTCTATTAGGTGCTATATAGAGAATGGCGATACCGATCATACCGTTAGATCCTCTCTCGTAGTAGCTGGTCAATGGTGGGGCTGATATCAAGTGGAGCGTGTACGGAAATGCTGTAACACCACAGCAGCAGCACAACCACAAATACGAGAAGGCCTCATGCCTCAACGAAAACTTTCCTGCTATTGGTAAGTCACTGGGTGTATCAGCAAGATAAGGCAAATCCAGCCAGTTCGAAAAGATGAGACTGGCACGGCCTTTGAAGCTTACACTGGCGACTAAGTATATGTGATAATGCATATTGTGACCACACCTTGAAAGGCTTCTTTGCAATTTGTTGTACTGTTATGTACATGAAAGGCTCTTTCATCACAAGGCCGAGGGATGACCATCTACATAGCCTCTCCAAGCCAGGCTTGTCAGGATACCTATTAATCCTGGCCTACCAATATTGCTATTCAACCGAGATTACAAGCGAGCAGCTATCCACTGCCGCAGCTCATTTGCCGTCTGTGTCCCCTCCTTTGAGCCCGCCTCGACATACAAATGTGCGTCGTGAGACTCATCATATCCAACAACGAATGTCGTATTTGGGAATGCCGACTACCAAGTCCATTAGCGACCACCCTATCAACCCGAGGGAGAGTACAGGAAAGAACCAAACATACCTTGACCTTCTTCGCAAACGACTCAATCGGCCCCAGCAAAATCTCATCACCACCCGCCAGCAGCAGAATCCGCTCCGTCTTCGCATCCCTCCACCACTCCGCTGGCGCGCGGTCAGGCTCGCTCCAGCTGTCTCCCTGCTTACCATCCAGATAAGCACTGGACCACTTCTCCAGCGCCTCATCGGTGACGACATCCCGGTAAGCATTATCCTTGAACGACGGCCAGTCCTGGCTGAAGTTGATCCATGGGGCAAAACCAAACACGCCCGCCAAGGGGCTTGACAAGTCGAGGGGGTCGATAGCAGGATGCGGGTGCGAAAGATGCAGCAGCACTGCCATGGCGAGGTTACCGCCGGCTGAGTCGCCACCAACGATCACGTTGGCTGGGGCTCGTCCCGCTTCCTTGAGTATGTATCGTAGCGCCCCCACAGCCTGGCGCAGCTGGGTTGGGTATACTTCATGCGGAGTAAGTGTGTACCGTGGGAAGAAGACGGCGATGTCATGACCCTTATCATTGACGACTTGGAGGAGGTCCAGCCAGAAGTCGAAGTGTGAGGCGCCGGCAGCCATCGCGAAGCCGCCTCCTGTGTTGCACAGATCTAGATTAACTTTCGGCGTCCCCATATTGCGATTGCGATTGCGTTACACGCGCACATGGCAGACCTGGGGCATGGTGGATGGGTTATATGGAAGGGACGCACCGTGGTAGTAAACGACGACGTTCTTTGCGTTCTTGTTGCCCAGCCAGCAGCCTTCTGTCCCGTGAGGGAGGTCGACGACCTCGGGCTGCAGGCCTCGTTGTTTCATCACAGCCTGGTAGGTCTGTATTGTAGTTGGATCGAGATATCTGCCAAACGAGTGAGTTGTTAGCGTCGTCTCAATGCTTTTCTCTTGTTCTTAACCTCTGGCAAACCACGGCCATATCAGTAAGGGAGTGAAACCCACTGCTTCTGACGAATGGAGAGTCGGGTGATCATTCTTCGAATAGCTGCAGCGGCGACATGATGGCTATATTTCCTCGGGCTGCTCTTGCCGCGGAAGAAGCCAGTGATGGCAGCATAAAGTGCGTTGACGACGACTGAGGCGAAGGAAATGGAGATGTCTGCCTTCTCCCAGAAGCCCAGCTCGGGCACCTGGATAACATTTTTGGCACCGGCCATTGTAACAAGCTGCGAACAGGTAATTATCAGGTAACAGATGAGGTATCAGGTCACATAGATAGTTGAGCGATCTCTGAGGGAACGCAAGCTACCCCAACGTCAAGTATAGACCGACCTGGTTCCCCGCTTCTCGGGTGGTCCGGCAGAGTCCCCGATCCCCGTGGGGAGTTTGCCTCGGTTGCGGGAGTGGGGTTGGTGCATAGCCGTCGCTGGCTGATTGGCGAATGCCACTCCCTTTTTTTACGCAAACGGCGGTTTGAGTAATGACTAACAAGCATACGTGAAGATGGGCTACCAGTGCGCGGTTTGAGATATACAATGGACGATATTGTAGAATGGCCATGAAATATAGCATGCCGACTTCTGCCGAGCTCTGCGAGAATATGAGCATAGGGAAGAGATCCCAGATGTATAACCTTCAATCAAGGAGCAGGAGAGGACGGGGATGGATCAGGACTTCCTTTAGCAGCATAAGGATAATTGTTCAATCTTAGAACTAATTTTGTGTGACTTGATATATAAGCAGCTCGCTTAGCTCAGTTGGTAGAGCGCGTGACTAGTAATCACGAGGTCCTCAGTTCAAATCTGGGAGTGAGCATTTCTTCTTATCTTTTTGTCCCTTTCAATTTGTTTGTAACTCCGCTCCTCTCTCTCTCTCTCCATGTGACAAGGCCTGTTACAGTATACAGATACACCGCTAATATTACGATCTTGCCTATATAAGCTTGACCCAGTACCATTTTAGTCCATGGACGATAGTCGTTACGTGAAGAGTAACTAACGGCTTGCGATCTCACCTTCATGCGTCAGCATTTTAGCTTTAATGGAAAGCGGAACTACGTCCTATCCTTGTAATGCAACACCAGCCCTTCTATATACTCTTTGGGCGCAGTTGTATCATACTCTTTCTTGTCGGGATTTCGTATGTTTGGAGACTTGACACGGCTTGTAGAGACGTGTGGGTTCGACTGGCAATGCGAGCGTGGATGCTTGGAAATATATATATTTGGTACAGCTCATTGCGCGTTACCTATCCACTTCACACCCAGGGCCCAGCAGACTATAAAACCTCTATTTATCGACAAACCATGACAACCACAAGATTAAAAGCCCCTTCTGATCCAACCATACCCCAGGAGATGGCTGGTGGCGTAGGTCGCCCGCCGAGGATCCTCACCATGCTATCATGCACATCATCAGAAATTCATCATTACGATGGACTACAACAAAAACGAGAGCCAAGAATCAAGATAATTTTCCACAAAATACAGATAGTGGATTGAGTCCAGGCAAAATCGAAAGGCCCGAAGTGCGACTGAATTTACTGGTCCAAGAAGATTCAGCTAGGTAACATGCCCACGGACCCCAATAACACCAGCACAGGCGAGGACACGGAGCATATGGTCTCTCAAGGCCATGCTGGAACTCTGCGAGTAGGAACTAAAAATAAAAAGCGGATACCCATTGGATTGGTGAAATAAGAAAAGAAGTCAAAAGAAGGTAAACAAAAACCGCCTCGACCTAAAAGTTACTGCCACGAGGTTATTCGGCGCGTCCTCCCCAGTATGGAATTTAATCAGTGTTCGGAAAGTCTTAGTTGGCTTCGGGGTCGCTCTTGCCCTGCTCTGCCTGGTTGACGGTCGCAGTGAAGCCACCTCGGCAACAACGGGCGAGCCTGAGTTAAAGATAATGTTACACTTTATCTGCCTTAATTCTTGGATATTCTTGCCTATGCACTTGTATCTACATCGACTAGGAATGTAGAATAGATTAGTGAAAGCGGGCGTGCTGTCCGGCTCTCTCGCCATTCTGAAAGAACCATAAACCAGGATGATTGGCCCGCGGATGCTGAGCAACGAGAGCAAACTACTCATATTTAGACATAGACTATTATTTTTGAACAAAAATATATAAGTAGCTCGCTTAGCTCAGTTGGTAGAGCGCGTGACTAGTAATCACGAGGTCCTCAGTTCAAATCTGGGAGTGAGCATCACTTCTTCTTTTTTCACCCCGCCCCTCAAGGAAGAGCGGAGCTTGTCTTTTTCTTTCCGAGGAGCCTGTCCCGCTACCATACTGGATTGATTCCTTGAGATTGAGGCACCCTGCATTTGAAACACGAATAAATAATCCATGGAGAAGTTAAAGAATCCTTCCAACGTTTTTGCCTGCTTTGTGCACTATTTATTGGCTGAAGACACTTGGAGGAGGGCTTATCAGCCCTTCGCTCCACTCGTTTAACCACTACAAAAGGAGAAGGAATCGTCTAAGTCAGTTCTGATCGCACAATATTCGCCGTTCAAACATATACACAGCCTCTCAGTGGCAGTACATGAAGCAGCTCGCTTAGCTCAGTTGGTAGAGCGCGTGACTAGTAATCACGAGGTCCTCAGTTCAAATCTGGGAGTGAGCATCCTCCTTCACTTCTCTTTTCAACATATTCAACAGCTCGCTTAGCTCAGTTGGTAGAGCGCGTGACTAGTAATCACGAGGTCCTCAGTTCAAATCTGGGAGTGAGCATTCTCATTCATTCAATCTTCTTTTTTTTCTTCTTGCAAACACACTTCTTCTATATGTGGATGGGTTTTCTGTAGTTCTATTTTGCTACCGTTTCGCCATGAAGATAATTCGTTTCTCCCCTGTGACCTGGCATACCCCCCCCAACCCCCCCGGGTTCGCAACAACTTCAATTCAACTCCCCCCACATCCGAGGATAAGCTATTGGTTGTTGTTGGTAACCACAATATCTCCTCCTAAAATATCTTACTTCATTGATTTATCCCTATTTTTCCCAAAAGAAACCTTGTCATCCCTGCCTAGCTACCCTTACTCGTCGATGATTTTCTCGGTGATACTCGACACTACTTTGTGCTGCACTACAATCTCGCGATGAGCCTTGAACCACAGGTACGGGATTTCGAAGTCCTCGCCATTGATAAAGCCCTGCTATATACCTATCGTGTACTGCCTACGTCCTTTGATTAGCATTAGGCGCTCGTGGAATAAATACTACCCCCAGGATGGCGGGAACCGCTGATGGAGGGAATTGTATAATCAAAAATATGATCCCAGGCTAGTTCGAGTCTTGATCGGTTCAACTTGCAGAAATAAATGGCATCTCACCCAAATTTGTGAGCGGTACAACATTATCCCAGGCCTCGATTTCTTTATTTACCTATTCCTTGCCAGAGAGAGACCTGTTGCATTTGAGTCAGACGACTTTACCCCAAGAGACGAAAATCTACATACTTCAATGCGCACTGCATGGGCTGCCGATGTGCTCGAGCGAGGGGTTCTTCACAATTAGTACTTCCTTTTGTTGCTCTTATTGCAGGATCAGAGTCCACCTTTGAATACTACTTTATGGATGGATGGGGAATGATTGGGTATACGATGATGCGTCTGGGAAAAGAGAGTTGCTTCGAATCACGGGGACGTTTAGCATAGTTGTTAATCCCTTACCTTCCTTACTTCCACCAACCAATTTTAAACCTGGTCTGGAATTTACTCAGAAGAGCCTAAATCTAAACGCTATTACTAAAGCAGCGGCACCCTCAAATAGGAAATTTATACTTGGCGAGGAAAATTTCCTATATAGAGCTACCTACCTGCCGAACTACATGCAGAAGGAGGAAAATCTACTTTATTTCTGATGTATCATGCTATCTGCCTATGTTTGCTATTCCTAAATCGCCATTCATGAAGCAGCTCGCTTAGCTCAGTTGGTAGAGCGCGTGACTAGTAATCACGAGGTCCTCAGTTCAAATCTGGGAGTGAGCATTTATTCATCCATTATTTCTTTTTTAGTTTAAAGATATATATGGAGATGAATTTGTGTCCGTTTTCCCTCTTTTTTAAGCATCCAAGCCGAACCCAATGATCCATGGAAAACATACTGGGAGTATCCCTGGTTTTGTTTGTGTCTGTCTACCTCTCCAAACTAAGTAAGTGCAAGTCATTACCAACCACTACACACCACACACCATCAAGGAGGCACTTCAAAGGCCATACATCCATCCATCCACCTTTGACATATTGGGACAGCAGCTTTATACGGCATATGAGCCCTGATGATCAGACGACTCACCAACTAGCAATACCGGACGTCTATTCAATAAGGCAATATTGATTCTCGTTTTCTGTGCTGCTTTCTTTCCCAGGTTCACCGAGGCCCGTCGTGATACCATTACTGACAATAGAAAGTGGGGAGGGGGAAAGGCATGGTTCAGAGCTAACTAGACGGCCGCGAGGCTGAGTTGTATCACAGCCATGTAATTATGCTGAAGGTATAATATACTGAAGAAAGGGTGATCGATACTCATTGTTCCAAAGGAAGGATTTAGAGCCCTGCAGGTGGTGACAAAGGGTTGAATATGGCTGGGGAAGAACAAGATTTGGGACATTCATGGAACACGCTACGAGAGGTTAAGGTAACCAAGGTTCCATCGAGCATTACCACCATAGTTACTATAACAGCCCGCCCCGGGTCGAGCCCATGTTGCTGAGCACTCGATGGACAGGACTACAAGTTATCTCCTCAAAAGCAATGCAGTATGCAAATTAAGTAGAGTCGTGACAGCCGCCAGTATCTGGCTGCATCGATTGACGATTTAACACGAACGGCTTTTGACTGGACACATCACAGGTTCGCACTCGGGCTAGCACGAACTAGTCAACAATCCTGAGTTAGAGATTGGAGTCCTAGTGTCCATTGACCATGTCCTCCTTACCGGTCAGCTCGCAGAATGCCCTGTACGTCGTGAAGACATCGTCATCGCCCTCTCCGCTGCCGGTGTTCTCGATCACACACTCGGCAGTAGCCCCAACAAAGAAAACGTGACCTTCCTTGATTTCCTCGGTCTTGTGACCGACGGTAATTCGGCCCTTGCCATGAGTGCAAATCAGGATGCTGGGGCCCTCGATTGGGTCAAAGGTTACCTTGGCCCCCGTCCGGTTCAGATCTGTCTTGATCACGCTGAACTCCTCGATCGGGGGATCGTAGAGCATGCAAGAGGAAGCGCTCGAGTATGCCGTTGCGTTCAGGATGGCATACGGGTAGTCTGTGGGTCGCAGCTTCTGCTCCTCGATGGGGGCGTACGAGTACGTCAACATTTTCGTCAGCGTGTCAACGTCCCTGAACTTAGGGGTGAAACCAGCACGGACGACGTTGTCGGACGAGGCCATGCATTCGATGATATCTCCCGAGACATAGGCATGGATGTCATCCGCCTTCAGGAACATGGCCTCGCCGGGAGACAACTTGATGAAGTTGAGGAAGAAGAAGACGAACAACCCAATGTCGTTGGGGAATTGTCCGTCCAGTCGGCGAATAATAGAAGCCAGCTCAGCCGGGTCGGCTGGGTTGGTCGGTACCTCGCCAGGTAGGGTGCCAAAACTGGCAGGCGAGCTCTCTGCAAGTGCGACCAGCTCCTTTGACGCAGTCTCGATATTCTCAGAAGTAGACTCCATTAGCGATGTAAACAATGTGCGGAGTGCATCCTTGTTCCGCTGCATGATTGCCTCATCGTCCGAATCCTCATTGCCCTTGATAATCTGCTCAAATTCGTTTGCGGCCTGCGAGCCGATGAGTTTGCGAAGGGGTTCGATAGCCTGAAGGAAGTGGGTGATCTCGGCCAATGGACGGAAACCGCAGAGTCCCTCGAAGGGTGTGATGGCAATGGTCATCTCGGGCTTGTGGTTGTCATCTAAGATTGGAAAAATCCGCATTAGCAGTCTGCTTCATTCCATCCAGTTCTCGTTTCAGATGTACCGGGGTAGTTGCGCGGGTCGCGCGCATGAAGCTGCTCTGCCAGCTTCTTGTTGGGGTGGGCCTGGATGCTCAGCGCCTTGCGAATGGAGAGCACCTTGAAGAGGAATGGAAGCCGTCCTCCATAGCGCTCGCTGATATTAGTCGACAGTAATGCCTGATTATCTTGGACGAGATCGAGAAGGGTACGCTGGGTCTCGAGGTCCTTTGAAGGGAGAGACGGGTGGGTGCCCATCCACAGCTGTAGCATTGGTCAGCATGTCCTGCTTTGCATAGACAGGACATCGCATACCTCTGCATAGGGCTTCTCAGCCTCAACTACAAAGTCTGGGGCAGCTGTTGTGGCCGCATATCGGGCTGCTGCCGACTCTTGGCCGACCTTGCCTATGACGCTGTTCAGTGCGGGGCATTCAAGGTTGGTATTGATCTGGACCTACCCCAATCGTAGCTGTTGACACCTACAAGAAGAGATTAGCAAATGTGCATGTTGACGGTAGAATTGAAGACTTACCGCACTGCAGCCGAAGCAATGGAATCTGCATGTTGAAGTTGTTTGTTTCTGCGGAGATGAGGGGCGCTCAGCGGTTTTCTATTACGCAGAATCTCCACGCCAAGACTCCCGGTGAAGGCAATTCAACCAAAGGGTCCGAGTGTGGCCAACGAGCTTTCTGTGCTAGCTGCACGAACAGGAGCTGAGCGAAATGGGTCCGGAGTAATTATGCTTTATACCGATGAAATGAAGGGACCAAACCTTTCTAAACCAGACATTCCAGACACGTGCCTGAGTCCAGTTTCCGCAACCGTCCTAAAGCTGCACCTCTCGCCTATAGTCGGCTACTGCAGCTAGCTTCAGGGCCACCCAGCGCAAAAAGCGCATCCCTATTTACCTCTCTACTACAAGTCATACAAATAAGAAGACAGAATATCAGCCATCATGCGCAATAATCGGAACTGGGAACGCTATTGTCCCTAAATGCCAAGACATAGGCGCGCGGGTAGCCGACCGCCCTGGGCTTATCTCCGGAGCGGCCTCTCCGCCAGCCCTCCCCCAGCTTCGTTGGATGCATACGACTCTTCGATCGCGCACTCCTTCCCCATTTACCACCTGGCATATTCGACGTGTCTGAGAAATATTTCGAACGGAACACATTATGTCTCGCAACCGCCCCCGGCCCCGCGATAATGGACTCGGCAACAACGAGGAGATGGAGCTCTGGACCCGGATCTGCCAGGACATTCGAAAGTCGAAGGAGAAGTTTGACCAGCAAGCATCGCTATCGGTGCAGATCAAGACGTTGGTCGACAAGATTACTCGCGAGGGAAACAGTAAGTATATCCCCCATGTGCCTGGTAGAGCGATATAGCTTCGCCCCCGTCGATTGTCTCTGCGCGGGGACAACACACCTGTAACTGGGATACAGGGCATGCTCCCTATGGTTGTCCGGAGCTAATATCAGTACTCAAATAGAACCCACAATGTCGGATCACGATCAACTTGACACATGGCTGCGGCAAAGCCAGAAGCTCAGCGAAGAAGAACGCTCGATCATGCAGGACGAGCCCTGCGACGTGATCAAGAACTTGGAGCTGCTTACTGCACTCCGCAAAGCATCCGAAGCGGAAGCGCCGACAAACCGCTCGTCCGCGCTCTCCAAGTCTCGCAAGAAAAGAACAGAAATAGAGAGCTCGGCTGCCGACTCCCCGAGTGCCTCTGGCGTGGACAAAGGCAGTCGCTCCAAGGGCGGTGTCCCTCGCAGCACGAGTGTCTCAAGCATTCAAGCGCGCGAGGGCCGGGGCGATGGGATTGCGGTGAAGGTTGAAGAAGGGTCCGAGGGCACTAAGGGAACTATGGCTGAGCGCAGTGGTCTGCTGGTGGTCGGGGCGCAGGTTGTCTTTAAGCATAATAAGAACAAACAGGGAGTGGAGGGTGAAGGCATACAGTGCATCATCAAGAACATATCTGGGGATGGGCACAAGAAACGGTACGTAAAGCTCTTGTGACCTTACTTTACACAGAAATTGACCGGTTGGCTATAGGTGGTATGATGTCCAAGACCCTGAACCCAATGAAAATGGCGAGGAAGGTGCTGTCTACAGGACGACTGCCGCCTCTCTTATTCCCATTCCGCAGGCTGGTTCCCCTTTGCCTTCATTCTCCGTTGGCAAGCAGGTCCTTGCGCGATACCCCGACACGACCACATTCTATCGGGCAGAGGTGATGGGAGCCAAGAAAGATGCCTACCGCCTCAAGTTCGAAGGCGAGGAAGACGACAAGGAGATGGAAACCGAGCGGCGTTTTGTCTTGGACATTCCAAACAAGTAAATCGGACGGCCGGTCAGCCATAGTTCCGTGATCCGCCGTGATAATGATACCCTTAGCGAGGCGCTACTTGGAGTTTTGACGGATCCCCTCTGTGAATAATAAATAAAGTCTGCCATCTAAATTGATGTATATTATCTAGTGCGATCATCGTGAGGCCTCTAGAGATGTATTCAAGACTATATCACCAGCCTTGCTCTATCTTAACAGACGCAGGTCGACCAGCGCGCTTATCGGGCCTGGCTCAGCCATGGAATCTGCTAGAGTAAGCACGGCCCGGCGGGCTGACACCGCCATGACTCAGCCGCCCCTCATGCCGGGGCGGAGGGAAAGATAATTGACGCCATGGAGTCTCGGTGCCACCGCAATCATTCCGACCGATCTACTTTGCAAGATCTTGATGACTTCCCCTTCTTGAAACATAGACCTTGCGCATAAGAGCCGATTCCACAGAACGGTCCCTCATCGCTTCCTCCCTCCCCCGCCGACCGTCGCAATGGCAAATCTACCGGCTCACGCCTCGCCCCAACTCGCCCCGCATTCCCCTACCTCAACCGATGGACCTGATGGCCTGCCAGACGATGTGAGCCAGGGGAGTGGCATCGTAACGGGCGAACAGACTCCGGCTCTACCAAACTCGATTTTGTCGCCCGCATTCACCCCGCCCGCAACTCCTGGCGGCACACTGAACTTGACTTCCAATCCGACACAGATCCTCCACAGGAGCCAAGCAACGAGTATCCGGCACCAGGGGGAACATACGAAAGCACCGAGATTGCTAGAGCAGCTGCCAGATGTGGAATGTATTGTCCGGGCCCGGATTCCGACTACCAACGGTGCGGAGATGTTCCTGCATCTCTACCACAACGATATGGATAATAAGGAGCACTTGGCTATCGTCTTTGGGTGCACTATTCGCAGCCGGAGCCTGGATCGTGTCCGACCAGGTGAAACTGAGATGGACCGCATGATCCGAGGTGCATATGTGGGGAAATTGCATCCTGGAAGGACCAGCAGCTGGATTGATGATGATAAGAACACAGAATCATCGTCCAGTCCCCGTGTGGAACCCCCGCTGGTTCGGATCCATTCAGAGTGTTATACAGGCGAAACGGCATGGTCGGCTCGATGCGACTGTGGTGAGCAGTTGGATGAAGCCGCGCGCTTGATGTCCTTCCCGGTCGAGGATCTTTCGTCCGATGCCCCGCCCGAGACACAGTCCTTGCGGTCACGTTCCGCTGGAGGTGTGATTATTTATTTACGACAGGAGGGCCGAGGCATTGGCCTGGGAGAGAAGCTGAAGGCATACAACCTTCAAGATCTCGGGTCTGACACTGTCGAGGCAAACCTCTTGCTACGCCACCCGGCAGATGCTCGGAGCTACGGGTTGGCTACGGCGATGCTGATGGATCTTGGCTGCGGTGCCGATGTGTACCCAGAGGGCGTTCGCTTGCTCACGAACAACCCCGATAAAGTACGGGCAATTGAAGGGCCAAACCGTGAAGTGCTGGTGAAAGAGCGCGTTCCCATGATCCCCCTGGCCTGGCGGACAGGCGGGGAACGCGGGATCAAGAGCTCCGAGATTGAAGGCTATTTGAGGACGAAGGTTAGTTTTTCGCCGAAGAATTCCCCTCCACGAGGCTTAGCCGCCCAATTGGGCAAATGGTCCATTGCTGATCAGTAAACTTTCGGCAGATTTCCAAAATGGGCCACATGATTCAATAATTCCTCGACATTGCGCCCACTTCCGCGATTGCCTGCCGTTCCCTAGGGAGTTTGGTGGCTTGTTTTATCAGTAAAACCTCTGCGCTCTTGTACACACGATCGACATGACCATTATTTCTTCATTGTTTCCATTGTTCTCATTATCTGCATATTTCCATCTCGTTGATCCTGGCGGGTCTTGTACATGACCGTCCTTCCCCCCCTGTGCGATATTGTCGTATTATTGTGACGGTCCCCAATCTGTTTTCATATGGACGTGTTGCTTTCATGCTAAAAATACCTCGTGCACGATACACATTACCGTTGCCTAGACTTAAATCGAGTCAGAAAGTTTTCCTCTGGGGAGAGTGTGGAGCTGCCGCGTGTCTAAGCCTCGTAGATCATGATGCCATGACTCGAACATCGCGGCGAGACATTCTATATTTGTGGAACCTCGTAGGCCGCCGCAGAATAATTCGATAGGCTGCTGGGAATGCTAGGCGAGCGTCGCGTTGCCTTTCGGGCATACGAGAGACAAACTCTACTGGTAGAGCTGAGCCTGCAGTCCCGAATAGTCGGAACCGACGCTCTCATCGCCTCGACCCACCCCCAGCGGCAACGGCAACGCCGACGCCGACGCCGACTCCTTTGCTCGACTCGACCAGTCGCTCCTCCTGACTTTCCGATTCCTCGCCCTCTCCCTCCTTGGATGGCTGTCATCAATTGCTAGCGCGCGTGTGAGGCGATGGCCAACCACCCACTGGGCCAGCCGACCGAGACGGCGATCGAGGGCGTCGCCCATCCCACCGTCACGAAGTCGGAGGATTCACCCATTCCATCGCGCTCGACTTCCTTGGGCGCAGATACCCTCATTACAGATATCCCTGAGAGCAATGGGTCCACCACCGCGGGGCGGAAGCGCAAGCTGAACAGCACGTCATCACGAGGAGTCGCCAACCTCACCCCCGATCAATTGGCCAAGAAGCGTGCCAACGACCGCCAGGCGCAGCGTGCAATCCGTGAGCGCACGAAGACTCACATCGAGGCGCTAGAACAGCAGGTTCGGGATCTCACGTCACAGAAACCCGTTCTCGATCTGCAGGCCGCGCTTCAGCATAATGAGCGCATCCGGTCGGAGAACCGGGACCTCCGCCAGGGGCTCAAATCAGTTATGGAAATCATACAGCCCCTGCTGGCTAGACCGGAGGCCGCAGGTATAACTCACAGCTAGCTATACCACCACCTTGAATCTCGACTGACATTGACAGACATACCTTCGTTCCTCTCCCAACCGAGATCGGTCCCGCCTACATCCCATACCCCTCCTTTCCCCGATACCGACCACCTAAGCACCAGCAACCAGGCTGCGGCACCAGGCGATAAGTTATATGCCGAGTCTATCGCCAGCCTTGACACACCCTCTCCGACACATTCCGCATCGGCTCCAGGGAGTCGACGTGACAGTCAAAATGGAAGTCTGCAGGTCACCTCATTCCGCGCCGTGCTGGACTCCCAACGCCATAACATCGCCCACGGCTTAGATCTGAGCCTGGAGGAGCGATTAGGATTCAATTTCCTTCTAGATCCTTCTCATAATGTCCCAAAAGTTGAGCGGCTCCGCCCCAGCAGCTCAGAAAACTTCCACACCCTCCAGCCCTCGTCATCACCGCTCTATCTACAACCATTGAACTACCCGGCCGACCACGTACCACCAGTGTTCGCTACGCCGATCAAAAATACTGCGCCGACATGTACCCTAGACAGCATATTGCTAGACTTCCTCCACAACCGTCAACGCGAAGCCGCGCAAGGGATCCCTCGCCAGAAGCTCGTGGGACCGCCTTACCCCAGTGTCTCTTCACTGCTGAACCCAGAGAAGAGTGCGCAATCACACCCCCTATCAAAAGTCTTCACGGATATCTTGCGCACATTCCCAGACATCTCATTACTCCCCGTGCAGGTTGCCACGCTCTACACCATGTTCCTTCTCATGCGCTGGCAAATTTTTCCCACGCAAGAGAACTATGACCGACTTCCTGACTGGATCAAGCCGCGGCCAACGCAGCTTCTCCAGCCCCATCCAGCCTGGATGGACTACGTGCCATGGCCTCATATGCGAGACCGGCTTGTAACATCCTATCAGGAATATCCGTTTGAAAATTGGTCCATCCCCTTCACGCGGGGCATGGACGTGAATTGGCCATATGAAGCGACCGATTGCCTTCTTTCTGCCGGCGACTCAGACGAACTTCTCATCAACCCCGTCTTTGAACGCCATATGCGGTGTCTCTCCAATTGGTCCCTAGGCCCGCTCTTCGCGAAGACCTACCCAGGATTGGTGGATACAACGCGAATCAGACCGGAGCCGGGCAATCAAGAACGCTCGACTTCGGTTTAGTGGACTTTGGGCGTTATTGGATCAAGCTGGACTCGGTCTTTAAGGTATACGTTTGTCAATTTGTACATAATGCTCGTCTTGGTACATTCTTTTAATTGTGCTTTTTTTTCTCATTCGGATGTTACATATGTCTCCACCAAGACGGTCAGGGCTGGCGGGCGATAGACCGTGGGCTGCATTTTAGTATGTGGGTTTTTGGTGTCGATAGCCACGGGCGATAGATGTATTGAAGGGAATGATATTACTCTATCATATTGGCACAATCTCTTCGTAGTACGGGGGTTGTCTACTCCTTCCGGCTCTTTTCATTCCAGAATGGTAGCCCGGCCTGCTGGCGCAGTGTTCCATACATGGAACTGCTGTCGAGACACTCACCGGCGTAGTCGCGGGCAGTTTCCATGTTCTGGCGCGCTAGCTCGAGAGAAGGGAGCTTGACGCCCTGCTCTTCGGCCATCGCCATCGCGTGCCTAGCATCCTTGATAGCCAGGGACACGCCAAAGCCGGGGCGAGTGTCGAGGGGTGGCGCATAGGCGCCAGTAGTCAACCTGCGCCAAATAAGATTATGCGCTATAGCGTGTACAAGCTCGAAAAACATACCGCTTTGAATATCCTCCAGCCACAGGACCAAAAGCCTCACCGATCAACTCTTCCATGGGGCCAGTTCCAAGACCGGTCTTCTCGGCGAAGACCTGCGCTTCACCAACTGCTTCCATCATGTTCACGGTGACAATGTTTCTATCAGGGTTAGATTACCCTTCGAGCCAGATAGCAGGACAACTTGGAAAGCTTACCCGGCAATCTTCAGCAGCGACGATTTGGTAGCATCTTCACCACACTCAATAACCTTCCGCCCCATAACGTCCTGAATGAGCGGCTTAACAACATTGGTTGCGCTCTTAGGACCGCCAATAGCAAACACTAGCTTCCCATCTACGGCAATGGGGTTCCCGCCAAACACAGGAGCCGCGATATACGAGGCATCCTTCGCCTTGAGCTGGGCCACGGCGGAGCTCACCGTCTGAGGGTGCACAGTTGAGCAGTCTACAAAAATCTTGTCTTTGAGCGAGTGGCCTGATCCTACAGCAGATGAGATCAAGCTTTGAAGGACCGAGTCATCGGAAACCTGGAGATATAGTTAGCGGACGTTTCCTCGGTTTTTTTGAGTGGTCCCTGCGTGCCATAGTGAAGATAATTCCACAGCGAGACACGAGTGTGTCGAAACTAGGCTCAGGAATACCACCGAGCGCCTGCAGTGGCCCACCTCGAGACATAGTCCTGTTGGAGTAGAGCAGGCTCAGGGCCTTTTTGGCGGCAAGATGCCGCTGCAGGTTGTGGGCCATGGCGAGGCCCATGGATCCAAGGCCGTACTAAAGTGGCATTAGCTATGGCTTCCTGAAAGCAGCAATGTTGTTATTCTGATGTATATGGTTCCTACTTACCCAGCCGATCTGAGCCATTGTGCCGTTGGCTGCCTGTTGATGATGGTTGGGGTCGGGATGGGCCGCGGTGGTTTCAACCTGCCTGGCAGATAATGAAGCCCGCAGCGGTGGTTCCAAACAGGCAGCGAAGGAACCTGAGGAGATTAATTAATACAATTGGCGCCGATGAACCAATTGTCCGAGTGTAGAGGTGCTGCTCTTGCGTCTATAATGAAGAAATGAAGAGGGTGGAGCGCGGCTCGTTTTCCGAGGGGATCGGAATCGGCCGATAGGAGGTATCGAAACCTACTAAAGAGGCTAGCAGTCCCCTTGCACTTTAAATCGGGCTGATAGAGCTTTCTCGGATGAAATTGCGTTCGAGTACCTTTACCCAGTTGTGATATCGAGTTTGCCAATGAACATATTAAGCGCATGGCCATGGCTTACGGTGGTTCCTGCCTTGAGATGCAACCATACTGGCCCCAAATACCTCAATCCTCTTCATTCAATCAGTCTATCATACACAGCGATCGATGATTACTCCTATTATATCTATTTCGAACCCACTAGCTCAGGAATGGAGGCCGTTGTTGGCCCAGTCACGTCCTGTAACCGGCGCGCCTCTTGCCCCAAACTGCGGGGAGGCAAGGAGGTACGGTACGGTCACGTAAATAACGATGATGATGCCCAGGCGACAGTACCTCAACTTACCGACACCAACTCCAACTTCTCCTCCCCCGCGCCCGACGCACCTTCAATTCCCCTCGCCCTGGAAATTCGTGCATAGGAACCAGTTTGACCGCACTTGATCTCCCATTTCTCCATCATGGCGGACATGCCCATTGGTACCTTCCCCGACCCCGGACGACCGCGTGTTCCCCCAGCTCCCCGAGCTAACAGGCTGTAGTGCTCGACGGAGGAACCGGCTTCCTCAAGGTCGGCTATGCTGGCCAGGTATGTCGCAAGCCAAATCTGCTACGATTTCAACTCTCGCTGACCGGCCCGCCTTCCCCAGAACTTCCCAGAGCACCAGTTCCCCTCGATAGTGGGGCGGCCCATCTTGCGGACGGAGGAACAGGCTGGCGACATCGTGGTGAAGGATATCATGTGCGGAGAGGAAGCCGCCGCTGCACGATCGATGCTTCAGATTAGCTATCCAGTACGTCTGATCTCGGGCGGGACCTCGTACCCTCGCCTTCGGATACCCCGCCCCTCTCTCTCTCCGCTGCCACACGGCACAAACAGGTTGCTAACAGAGGACCCCTTTGTGGGATGGTGTAGATGGAGAATGGAATCGTCAAGAAATGGGATGATATGCAACACCTGTGGAACTATACATTTTACGATAAGATGAAGATTGACCCTACGGGCCGCAAGATCCTCCTCACCGAGCCGCCAATGAACCCGCTCAAGAACCGCGAACAGATGGCTGAGGTCATGCTGGAGGGATACAATTTCGGAGGTGTCTACGTGGCGATCCAGGCGGTGCTGGCACTGTATGCCCAGGGTATGGAAGAAACGCTGGAGCGGGGACAATCCGCGCGCTGAGACAAGAAGTTGCTGACAGAATGGCTTTAGGTCTGAGCAGTGGTGTGGTCGTGGACTCCGGTGACGGTGTGACGCACGTTATCCCCGTTTACGAGTCGACTGTGCTGAACCACCACATCAAGCGATTGGATGTGGCTGGCCGTGATGTCACCCGCAATCTGATTGCTCTCCTCCTGCGCCGCGGCTATGCGCTGAACCGAACCGCCGATTTCGAGACTGTCCGCCAGATCAAGGAGAAGCTCTGCTACGTCTCGTACGACCTCGAGCTCGACAAGAAGCTGTCCGAGGATACCACTGTACTGGTCGAGTCCTACACCCTCCCCGACGGCCGTGTCATTCGCGTCGGTAGCGAGCGATTCGAGGCTGCCGAGTGCCTCTTCCAGCCCCACCTGGTGGACGTTGACCAGCCCGGTATGGCGGAGATGCTCTTCAACACTATCCAAGGCACCGATGTCGATATTCGATCCAGTCTATACAAGGCCATTGTGCTCAGTGGTGGTAGCAGCATGTACCCCGGTCTGCCCTCGCGATTGGAGAAGGAGCTGAAGCAGCTCTGGCTCACCCGAGTCCTGGGCGGCAACCCAGAGCGTCTGAACGTATGTTGAAGAAATTCCCAGTCTCGAGAAACCCACGAGTTCCCGGACTAACAATATTATAGAAATTCAAGGTCCGCATCGAAGACCCCCCACGACGGAGGCACATGGTATTCCTGGGTGGTGCTGTGCTCGCCAACCTGGTACGTTATAACCACTTCAATTTTATCGCATTCCGAACCACAAACTAACATCTGTAACCATAGATCGCCGACAAGGAAGACATGTGGGTATCCAAGCAGGAGTGGCAGGAACAAGGTGCTCGCGCGCTAGCCAAGCTCGGCCCCCGGTAAAGCAAATCGATGTGTACTTAAGTGGTTATTCTTTTGGTTTGATTCATTCCCTTCTGCTACGCACTCTTCCCGCATTGTCTGCAAGCCGTGTCGCCCTTCTCCTGTGTCCTTTTTCCTTCCCCTCCTAGGCCGCCTTGTCGATATCCTTCCCATCAATCACCATTTTTCCCGCGTCTCTTGCCTCCGATATAGTATTGTGCCTAGACTGGTCTGGTGCGGGTGGGTCTGGGGCTTTGTCAGAAAAAGAAGCAAACAATTCTATTGATCTTGCTGTTTCTTGCAGGGTTATGTAGATATGGGATCTAAGTCCTTGTACGTACGGCGGGTATCCTACTCATTACGAAAACAAAAGAAATGCAAATATTGGAATAATAGGAAGTCTGTAGAATCTGAAATGTAACCGGCGGAGCTGGGAATTACTATATCTGGTTAGTTTTGCCGTCCCCGGCTTAGCGCCCCGATACGCTGTCCTGTTACCTCTCCCTTTATTGCCCTAATATAAATGACGCGACCTCGCTCTTTCGACCACTTTTTCTTCTTCTTCCCCTCCCTTCAACTCCTCTATCTTGCACTTATCGCTACCCCTTTCTTTCACTCTAGCCCCTACCAACCGCTACGCCTTAGCTTCTAGCCTAATATACTACCCCTTTTATTTAACTAGAGATATCGCTCGATCCAATACCTAGCTTGTTCTCGCTCCTTAAGCTAGAATAGTAGTTATAGAGGGGTAGAACTACTAGGGTAATCCAGCTAGTAGTGGTATTATGTAACTTTGGGTCGATATTATACTATACTATAAGGCTATCTAGGCCTCCCTCTATCTATTAGTATATACTCGAATTACCAAGTCCTAAATTACTAGATTGCTAGTTCGTGCGCTATACTACCCGAGTCCGATTAGTAGGCCTAATTCACTAAGTTCTCGAATCACTAAGTTAGCCTCTCTCCTAATATCCTTTATATATCCTTTATATACACACAGCCTTTGCCGCTCTCGCTTATAACTAATAGAATTAAGTATTTATTTTATTTATATATTTATTAGTCTACTAAGAGTATCTAGAAGTATTAGTGAGTTAAGTATTAAGGGATCCACCACAAATATCAAGATCTTAGATGATTGCGCTCAACTGGGATTACCCTTAGAATTAATAGGTCCGTCATAGTTCAACCTTCCAACCTTAGATAACACATCAAATGTTGTTTAGGGAAAAATGAGGCCTGCAAAATGGCGCTGTGGTTGAACTAATTGTGCCTTCGCGACATTCAATTTCTGCGGTAGCTAGATGATGCCTCACTTTAAATTCAAGACATCAGTGTGCCCCCCTGCCCTCACGGCAGGACTCGTTTCTGGATGTTGGTATTCACCGCCAGACCATGCTTTGATCAGAGACCGTTTAATCCTGTCTGGCAGGATCTTTTGCAGGTTTGTTGAGCAGGAACTCATCAATCTCTGCCATGATTTCAGGAGTCAACTTCGGCAGAAGCTTCAAGCTCTGCACGTTATCGACGATCTGCTCTGGCCTTGAAGCTCCCGTGATAACCGATGCAACATTCTCGTTCTTCAAACACCAGGCCAGTGCCAACTGCGAAAGTTTGACGTCCAGCCTATCTGCCAATTTCTAGTGATTATCAGTTTCTGTCTTCGCCCACACTAGTCCTACAATGAACATACCTTCAGTCCAACAACCTTGCGAATAATTCCGGCCCATTGCTCGTTCTCCCAGTCCTTCCGGACACTGCTGGCGAACTTGTCCTGACTCTCAGCGAATCGCGAGCCCGCCGGGGGTTGCGTCGTCGCATCATTGTACTTGCCGCTCAGGAGACCCATCTTCAACGGAGAAAAAGTGGTCAGACCAATTCCACACCGCGAATATATCCGCTGGAATTGCCCCTCAACCCGTTCCCGATCCAACATGTTATACAAGGGCTGCTCAACAATGGGCGCGATCAAACCGAGAGACTTGGCTATCAAGCAAGCTTCGGTGATTTCATCGGCCGACCACTCCGATGTTCCCCAATAGAACGCCCAGCCTTTCTCAATGACGTGGTTAAAAGCGCGCACAGTTTCCTCCATCGGCGTCAGACGATCTGGGCGATGCGCGTAGATGATATCAACGTATTCGAGTTGGAGGCGCTCCAGAGACGCTCGGGTTCCCTCGACGATGTGTTTCCGCGACAGACCATGGTTATTGATCAGGATTTCGCCGTTTGCGAGGCCCCAATTTAACTAAAGGTTGAATACATCAGCACCGTTGGTAGGGCTTATTCATGCATTGTGCTCACGAACCTTGGTGGTGATGACGAGATCGCTGCGCTTCCAGCCGAACTTCTTGATGGCTTGTCCCATGACCACTTCGGACTGGCCACCGGCATAACTAAACCATGAGCATGTGTGATTAGGGAGATGGCTTCCGCGCTTACCTTTCTGCCGTGTCGAAAAAGTTAACTCCGCAGTCATAAGCCTGCTTCATGCAGTCGAATGTTGTCTCTAGAGCATCGACTTAGCAAGATTTCAGCGCTCGGGAACGAAAGGTAGCTGTACGGTTCTCCACATGGCCTCCGAACCTAATGTTGTGCCCAGGTTAGACAATTCTCTCTTTGCAGCTAAGACAGAAGAGCGACTCACGTTAACCAGCCTCCCAATCCAATTGCCGAGACATGTAGGCCCGAGTTCCCCACGCGCCGGTAGAGCATGTCTTTGTTCTTGTTAGGCCACGCCATGACTGAGGAGTTCAGCCCGCTGTCAGAAACGAAGTGATTTTGCCAAGAGGGTTCACGTCCACGAAAGGATTGCAATTGAAGGGCAGACGAAACTATTTGAATCCTGACAGCGCGGTGCGGCGCTGCTCTCTCCCCATTCCCTCTAGTGGGCGCTTGGCCGGATCAAGTCCAGTCATGAGGACCCGATCGAATGGGAGTGCTTCGAGTGCGAGCCTCGACCTCCACCGGGCTGTCGCTAACCATCGGTCCGCGGGTGGAGGCGAGGCATCGGAGGAATTCTCGGAGGATGTTGCATCGTAGTGGGGTAAGCTTTAGTACCGGTGAAAATCGCACTGTCTGACTTGGTTTCTGGCCCCGAGACGATGGCCATATAATTCAAAGGAGAGGCACATAAGTCAGATCGGACAAGAGCAGACCATGCCCCGGACAGGCATCCGGTTCTGTCAGCTGACCTGTGCGTCTTGCCTCTCCTTCTTGCGGACCTCTCCAGCAACTCTTCTTACACTATCGCATGCCAAATGCTTCCAGATTTCAGCCCGATAAGAGCTGTCGCTACTTTTGGCGGCCCCCTTACTCCTGGACCTGTCTTGATGATCCGCATTCCGCCTTCTCTGAACGACCAAGATTCCGGTACGTAGTAGCGGCCAGGGAGACGATTCAATACCCCACACCAGCGTTTTCTGGCAAACACCCTTCTTGCCCCTCTACTCGGGTTATCGCAGTTCCCACAGAGCGGGCCCCCATCCACGGCCGATCCGCACCCAGCCAAGCCATGTGGGGCCGGTCAATGGCGTAAGCTTGGGGCAAAGTAACGCAATCACCGTCTCGCGACTGTTGTTTCTTGATTGTGGACACCGCTTCTCCCATAGAAACCCCCGACAGAATCAGCTGCCGAGGTTTGCCAGGTCCCGCAGAACCCGAAGTGTCGAAGTTACGCTGGTTGCTCCGCGAAAGCAATCTTCCGGAGATAGCAAGCCATCCTGAGCCGTCCCGAACCTCCTCCGCAGGTCACAAACCCGGCGCCAGTTACACCCAGCCATTGACGAGACAAAACTGGGCCATACACTTGAGACGCGGCGCATGATGCACTTCGCACCTTCCTCGACTATGTCTTCCCGGTCCTCTACCAAAAAAGCCTGCGACTGCTGTAAGATCCGAAAGGTGAGACACACAACGGGATTGCACTGCTCTCCCTAGAATCTTCGATACCGATTGAACTGAAATTTGGGAAGATTCGATGCAGCGGTGGCCACCCATGCCAGGCTTGTGGCACGTCGCGCATCAAATGTACATATCTTCGAGCCCAGCAAACCCGCGGTCCACAGCGTTTGCGCTCCAAGACGAAATATCTCATTGACCAAGCTCAACACGAGCTCGGCGCTCAGTCGCCGCAGGGTTTGATTCACTCCAGTGAGTCTCCGAGGACTGACATCACGACAAAAATTCCACTGGCCGGGCGATCCAGCGATGGACAGTCAGAGAGGTGCGTTCTGAAGGGCCGGACAGATACGTCCCTCCCTCTTTTGGCTTTTACTGAGCCAGTTATCATGTAGATGCCGAATCCCCACGAACATCCTTGCCGGTGCACTCTATATCTACCATGTGCGCTTGTATCCTGTCTGGCCAATCGTCAAAGTTGAAGATGTGGTCTCTCGTCTTCAACAAGATACCGAGGGGGACGATCTTGAGACATACGCGCTGGCGACAGCCGTTGCAGCAGCAGCAATCGCCCAACTGAGGTTAGAAGAGCACTTGTTGCCTGATAAATCGATCACTGCCGAGACCTTCGCAGCCGAAAGTATCAAAGTTCGAAGATCTTGTGGATACCGGTCTGCAGTGAACCTCAACAACGTGCGGACTTCATTCTTTCTCCATGTCTACTACGAAAGCCAGCAGTCAGGCCGGGGTGAATCGTTGCTTTACCTGAGAGAGGCCATTTCTCTGGCCCAGATGATGCATCTACATCGGGAAGCATCATACCTTGGACTGCCGTCAGGTGAGCAGCAGATTCGGCGTCGAGTACTATGGTTGCTTTTCATCACCGAACGGTAAAATTCTTCCCGCACGCTTGCAGAAATACAGACTCTAATCGTGCAGTAGGGGTGTCTGTATTCTACACAAGCTTCCTGTGGTTCTTAGGACTAACATCTCAACACCTGCGCTGGATGTCGACGACGAACCCCAAGTTCTCCCCGCGTTCTTGAAGCTCCTTACTTTGTTCCGCCTCTTCGAACAGTCCAAGATGTTCGATTTCATAGAAGACGACAGCCTTGGAGTGTGTCCAATTCAGGGTGATGTGAGGAATTTGGACAGCAGATCGTTAGATATGCTGCACGATCAACTACAAGAGGGGTCGGCTTTGATGGATCACATCTCGGATGTGCAAAAGGCGGATCTGTGCGTCACTAGACACTGGATGCGCATAATACTATGGAAGGTCTCCGCAAAGAACCACGAATCCTTTCCATATCGATGGCGTCTTTCTCCGTCGTTGCCCATCATGGTTGCAAAAGATCTTCTAAATATCGTATCTCAGCTACCTCGAACTGCGATTGAGGCCCATGGGCTTGGCATAGTATGCACCTGGATGATTCTCGATGATTGGAAATTACTTACGAGGAATTTTAGGAGCTGAAGTTGTACGAGATTGCCAATTCACTCGCTGATGCAGTGCTAGATCTGTCTCGGTTACCCAGGGCTCCGGTCTGGGATGGTGAAAGTCTCCCAAGAAACATCTTGGCTCGGCTGTTCTCTCTTTTAACCACCTTCCGGAGCAGTGGAAAGAAGGAAGTAGTCGAGTTGTTGTATGAGAAGGTGGCTCAATCAGAGTATCGAGCCGGCCCCACAATGCCGGCTACAATCAAAGCACAATATAGACCGATGAATAGTAGTCATCTGATTGGAGCAACTGCGCCTGAGGAGGAACTAGTCGAGCAAGCTTCTCCACTTATAAGGCCCGATCTCATCAGAACAATGTCGGATTGGCACGGAAGCCAAGATCTGCATGCTTCGATGCCCCTCATTGGCCCGAATTTGGCTACGCAAGGCAATATCCATTCTGTGGAGATGCAGGTGGAACATCACATATGCCTAGACGACATGCTAGCCGGTGGCTTTGTGGAATCGTGTTTCTCTCCCGCAAATAATGACTATTTTGCATCTGGCTATTATTCACATTTCACCGAGTCCATCGAGCCCCCACTAGGATTAGACGATACGATGAATGACCCCTCGAGATACTCCTCATTACCACCGTCGGTGCCCTCCTATTCCGTCCAGAAGTTGATCGGAAATTTTGTATTGCAAAACGCGGGCGGCCCATCCCTGTCTGACATATTCTTTAACGAAGATATGACAAAACAGAGCTGTTCTAGTGAAAGTTTTAATGTTTAATATTAATTAAATCTTGCGTTTGATATTCCATTTTCCCGGCGCTCCCAAATTTACACATCCAATCTCACTCAATAACACCTCAATCCAAATAGGTGAACCGAGCCAATCAGTACGCAAAGCGGAAGTCCAGTCGCTTGTTGCCTTCCTTTTCTCTCGCCGCTTGGTCGGCTTGGTACGCCCCTTGCTCCTCGGGTGACATAACATCCCAGGCTTTCTCCTTTTGTCGGTTCAGGTACCGCAGGAACTCACGCTGTAGGACGAAAACGACAAGCGAGAAGGCGCATAGCGAAACAAGGACTTTATTTCCGGTGTAATAGTACGGGGCGTCATTAGCGCGGTAGATTTCTGTGCAAGTGAGATATTAGCAACGGCACAGCATAAGATGGTGGGGGACGAAGGAAGAAAGGGCCAAAGCTCACGGGAGGAGATCACCGAGCCAATCTGTACGACGACGTTATACGTCGCCGCTGTGATAGCCCTCTTCTTGACATCAAAAGTATTCTCGGAGATCCACGCCGACACGATCGGATGGAAATACGGATAGCCCGACACCATAGTTGAAATCGCGAAGCGCGGCCAGTTGTAGCCGTGGTTCGGCAAGGAGAGCAGCGTCACCAGCAGCGGCAGAGACCAAAACTCGCCAACTAAGCAGTGAAAAGTGCGCTCTTTGAAGAATTCGCTGCTCTTGCTGAGGGCGAGCATGAGGATAATCTGCAGCGCGGCCGACGGGATTGAAAGCATGTTCGAGTCGAAGGTCGAGAAGCCAAGGCGTTTTAGGGTCAGGGAGAGATAGGCCTGGATCGGGCTCTGTGGAATGTAGGCAACAAGGCCGATCAAGTAGAGACCCCACATGGATTTGTCGCTCCAGGCGTTGAGGACGTCCTGGAGAGTGGCGCGTTCCTTAATATTGGTGAGGCCTTTCGAAGGGTCGTCCCGGAGGATACGCTGCAGAAAATGTATTAGATGGTGGGGGAGATCTTGAAAACGGTAGAAGACGCGTACATTGACCATGATCACCTCCTGGCGCTCCGTGTACCAGGACCTGCGGAAGAGGACGCTTTTCGTCTGTGTTGGAGAGTTGGGCAGGTAAAACATGCCCTGCAAGATGTTAGTAAGAATGTTCGGTGAGGGTGTGAGGCTAACTCGTACAGTGATACCAATCATCAAGGTGATGAGTCCTTCAATCAGGAATAACCAAAACCAACCGGTCTGCCCGTGGACTCCTCGCATCTTGAGAATTCCTGCGGCAAGAAGCGAGGAAATGATACGGGCGACCTGTGACAAACTAACGATTAGGTCTGGCCTTCTTGGACATACTAGACGGATGGAGTGATGGGAGAACGTACATTCAATGTCGACCAAAAGAATGCCAATCGCACGGATAGTTCGCGTGTTTTGTAGAAATAGGTTGCAAATAGGATTGATCCCGGAATGAAACCACCTTCGAAGAAGCCGATCAGAGCGCGAGTGACGTAAAATGTTGCACGGCTGGTAATCCAGGCTTGTGTCCATGATACCATGCTCCAGCAGATCATCATCGTAGGCAGAACTCGTTTGAAGCCGTAACGCTTGATGAGGAGCTGCATCGGAAGCTCTGCTGAGAGGAAGCAGACCAATTGGATGGTCGTGCCCTTAAAGTGAGAACGGTTAGTACAATCCGGATCCATGCTTCCGAGATACTTACATTGTTGTAATCGTTCGATGTCATGCCCAGGTCCGTGAGGAAGTTGTCCGTGAGAGCATTCGATAAATTTCCACGATCTAGTTGAAGACCAAAAAACTTTCTGTTGTCAGAACTTGCCGTTCAGTAAATGCTGGAAAGAAGGACATACCATAAGACAGACGAATGATAACAGCATCAAGTCTGTCTTGAGGACAACTTTTCTCTCTTCTTGCGCCGTCCAAGAGGCGGCTGGGTCGAATCGATGGTATCCTTCATACGACTCATGAGGAGGAGTGACGCTAGCAAGATCCTCCTGTCCAACGACGATCGATAGTTTTGAGGCATTGGTTTCCTTGCCGAGGGAATTGGTTGAGCCCACGCGGCCCTGCTCAATGTCGGCCATGGTCACTCACGCGGGCTTTATCCTCTTCCAGGAATATCCGTAACAAAAAAAAGGAATTGGGTGAACGACTTAATGGAAGTGACTTCCATTATGAAATACTTATATGCCATGGGGGATTTCTGTTATCGCGAATTATTGCTTGCAGCCGATGGCGCTTGACTTTTCTATGGTGAATACCTTCACTAGATTGCACAACACCGCGCATTGAGCACACCATCAACAGAGGGGATGGTAGCTTTGCGGGGACCAGTAGTAACGTCCGTTCCCCGCCACTTGTGTTCTTAGCTTGGCCAAAATTTCGGGAGTTGAAAGGCTTCATTCTATTTTCTTTTTCAAGGGATGCGAATGCACAAGCTACTATGCTGTTCGGGTGGTTTGCAGTCCCAAGCGCGACAACTTGACGAATGAAACTCCACGGTTGTCCGATATTGCGCAATCCTGGGCAAACGTTGTGCCGGGGAATATCACTGCCGACGCGTCTTGTTAGCGCTCGCTGCAACACGAATTAGGGGTGAGGCCCGAGGTTCGAGCACGCCATAGCTGCAAGCCCTCCGAAAATTTCGCCGATGCCCCGCCGAGGACAATGCCAACTTCTTTGTAGTGTGATTGGTGGGGTCCCATCTAGGTTCTTGGTGCAAATAGTTTCCATCGAAAAAGCGCGTGGCTGAGCCATACTGCGGTCGAGCGCCCCTAGTCGAGACTCGTGGCCGGCCTGGCCTAGCATAAATCGTTCATCTGCACCGCAAAACGTAAGCGACATTCGAGAATACCTTGACCGAGTCGTAACTTTCTTGTCTCTTTTCAAATTTCCACTGGACTTTGTTTCCCCAGGAACATCATGTCAGCCACTGTCGCCGCCACATCCACGACAATCAGGGGAGGCAACGAGCAATCTCGTCCGCGTATCTCACAACCACTTGAATATTCGGGCAGCCTGGATTCATATTCCCATAGTGATTTGACTCCTGTAATTGGCAGAGAATACAGAGGACTGCAAGTGGCGGACATCTTACAATCGGAGGAATGTGACCGGCTGATCAAAGACCTGGCTGTAACCAGTGCGTTGTCTCCTCACACGCGTGGTTGAAAAAGCCTAACTTTTCGTCAGTATCGAGCCGGGGCGTAGTTTTCCTACGTGACCAAGATGTGACACCAGAGCAAATGCGGGCATTCGCGGAGAAGTTGACCGCCATCGCAGGATGCGTGAGTTCCTTCCCCGCTCATCAAGACTTTCTTGCGAGCTCCTTCCTACCTTGAAAAAGGGTGGCGTGACTTACCGAACGATAGCCAGAGTCCTCGGGGCTGCACGTTCACCCCTTGACCGAAGAGGGAAGCGAGCTGGGTGACCAAATCAGCGTAATCAGCAGCGAGAAGCAGAAAAAAGGCGGCGGACTCATCCATCATCTCAGCGATACAAGTCGGTTTGCCTCGGTGGGCTGGCATTCCGATATCAGCTTTGAGCGTGTCCCCTCAGACTACGCGATGCTCAAGATCCATCAGTTGCCGGAAACTGGAGGAGATACATTGTGGGCGTCGGGCTACGAATTGTATGACCGTCTATCACCAAAGATGGCAGAGCTCTTGGAGGGCTTGACGGCGACACACGATGCCACATTCTTCCACGATGAGGCACGGCGGTTGGGAAATCCGTTACGAACGGGAATCCGTGGGTCGCCGCTGAATCAGGGAGGAGAGCTCACGGCGGTCCATCCGGTCATCAGAACTAATCGTATTCGCCCTATCACTCCCACGGTTTATATTCACTCACTGACACTGAGAAACAGCGGTGACTGGCTGGAAGTCCGTCTATGTAAACAGAGGATTTACGAAGCGTATCAACGGCGTGACCAAGGATGAATCGGATCTGTTGCTGCAGTATCTGTTCAATGTATGTTGAGACACCATGCTCTATGGCCACACTATAAGACCCGTGCTGACAGAAACTAGTTGGTTACTCAAAACCACGACACACAGGTTCGCTTCAAATGGAATCAAAATGATATGGCAGTCTGGGATAACCGCTCTACTTTTCATTGTGCCACATACGACTACATAGAGGCTCGGGCTGGTGACCGAGTCTGCAGTCTAGGCGAGGCGCCTTATCTGGATCTTCAGTCTAAGTCTAGGAGACAAGCTCTGAGCGCAGAGCATTGAGACATAAGTCAAGTAGAGATAGGATTGTCATATATCCCTACGAATTTTATGTCTAAATCGTAATAGCATTGTGATAGTAACAGTATTCGGAAATGTTTGCGGGGGATGCTGAGCATCGAACCCCCGGCTTTGAATTATGCGACATAGAGCTTATCCCATGGAGGGAACTGCAGTCAAACTGACTACAGTTTAGTTAGCAACCATTAGTACCTATAGGCTTAAGGTTTGCCGGAATAATTGAATGCAGTATGGTTTGGAATTGAATGCATCAAGGTTCCCATCCACTTATTCCCTATGCTTAATTATAGTAAGGTGCTCACTAGAGTTCTTCGCCCGATTATTGGCCCACTGTGCGTGCTCCCGCGCCTCCTTATGTGTGTCCGTTCGTGGTTCGACCCTATTAAGAAATTAAAAGCGGTAATATCTCTTCGACTAGACTTAAATATATTTATTATATTTATTATCGTCGGAATTACTTAGGATTTATTAGTTTTAGTTTAGGGTAGGGCGCTACTATAAGGCGAGATAGTAGTAGCGTGCTACTCGTGTCTATATAGCTTCGATAGCGATAGGAAGGGTAAAAAGGACTTTAGTTGCATATTACAAAGGAGCTAGCTAAAATAAAATAGGTATCTTTAACAAAATGACTAAAGTAAAGAAGGAAGAAACTATTAATAGTACATCTCGTGTCCAGCTGGGCTGCATGGGATATCTATCGTAATTGACCTATTTTAGTGCTACTTCAGGCTAGAGATAGAGCCTTTTATTTTAGATTATTCTCTACCTGAATTTTATTTTCTTCCCTTTGGAGGAAATCAGTCATCACATTAGAGTCTGAGCACAATGCGGGTGATAGGGCCCCACGTGTGATACGTGTTTCAGCTATGGAGCAAGTAAAAGGATGATCCATTTTCGAAATTTGGGGCTGGCAATGCGCAGAAGAGCGGTCATATGTTAGCTTCACGCTGACGGAGAACCCAACCCAGGGCCCCTTATTCCTCATACATGAACCATAGTCCAGCCTCGTAATCGGCCGCCTTCTTCCTCAACTCCTCAGAAGAACACAAAAAGTGGTCGACGAAGTGCATGTGCGCATCATATCCCTCATAGATCCCGTCTCGGTGCTGAAGCTCGACAAGACCGGCGTGAAGCGCAGAGTAGAGATATGTCGACGTTGGCTCCTTATTGAAAGCGACCCAGTCGTAATGCCACCCATCATTCAAAGGGTCTTCATCTTTGAGATCAATGTGTTGCTCAGCTGCGCGGGACTCCAAGTCCTCTAGGTAGTGCTTGTTGGGACTTCTCTTTGCTTCAAACCATAGTGATCTTCTAGGAACAACGTGGAGCGAGTCATATGTTTCTTGGTAATCTGCGGCGATGCAGGCATGAGCGATTTGCGGCTTCATGTCCGGAATGCGGTGGAACAGTTCCCGTAGAGTCAGCTCTCGTGGCAGGAGAGGGTACCAGATCATGTACGGATAGTTGAATGGATCCGACTCAGTCACACGAGATAGATCATTGCACATGATAAATCTTGCGGTGACGGCTCTCCTGATATTGTTTCGTTCATAACCAGTCCTTGCTGTGGCAGATTCAGCTTCAACCTCTTGCTCCCACCACTTCGTGAATGAGGTGTTGTGATAGATCCCGCGAAGGATGCAATATTCCTCCGCGCGAATGAGGTGTGGTCGACGTAGCCTTGCATAACGATCGACATTCCCTTCGTAGGCAGCCATAAGAATTAAGAGATCTTTGTTGACTGTGGGCAAGTCCAGGGGAAGCGGCGTATGAAGCAGCTGAATCTCGTCTGGGCGTAAAGCAGGATTCACCGTGCCGGATGCTGTTTCCCCAATAGCGTAGTCCTCGGCAATGTCAAAATTGACGTCCTCCAGATGTTCTGTTAGTAGCCAAATGTTCTCGACTGGCTGCCTGAATTCGAGATTAGAGCGTACGCAAGTGTCACCATTAAGATAGGCCCCTGCCCGGGGCTCATGCGCAATCCGTGCATAGTCGTCGAGTACTTTGTATCTGACCGGGCTTGAGATAATCTCTTCAAAAATTGCGCCTGACAACTGCATATTATCGCGAGCTTCTTCGGCGATAGACACTTCGGGAAGTAGATTGAGTGATGTGTAGAGAGATGTGTACCCGGCGACCGCACAGGCACGGCCAACTTGGTAGCGTAGGAAAGGATACCGTTCAGCGAGGAGACGGTATGTCTCCTCTTGAGCAACATCAGGGTACCAGAAGCAGTAAGGAAGCAAACAAGGATCTGAGACATCAGGTATGACATTGCTCATGATTAGACGAGCATGGCGAGCCCGGGCAAACTCAGGATATTCCCCACGAGAACAAAGCTCAACGACTTCGGACGACTTCGCAAACTCCTCATTCGTTCGGATAGTGTGGACTAGTATGCATCGGATCCAACGACTTTGATCTAAAAGATCGTACGGGATTGCCTTGCCCTCAAAGGCGGCCTGGTATCTTGCGACGTCTTCAGAACTCATGTGATTCCGGAAACTTGGCATCGGTCTCTCGAGTGGGTCACTTGAGGACACATATGAGCAGGAAGAGGACGAAGCTTCTTCGTCTGTTGTGCAAGCCATCCTTATAAAAGGCAGTCACGTTGTGGAAAGGCAGGCGGTCGAGTCCCAGGTCGCGGTATCCTGAACCTAAAGATGTCAGAGACGCCTACACAGAGACCGGGGAGGCGAACAACTTGAATTGCCGTGAGCGATAAAACAGACCTTGAAGAACTGGCAGTGTTGGGGCAGGAAGAGGGAACGTCCAAACCAACGAGGCTGTTACGGAGGAGCCGGCTGGAAGAAACAGGTGCATTCAATGAAGCAACTAAAGTGAAGGAAGAAACTATGGGGGAGAGTCCGCTATTCTGTAGAGAGCTCCCATGCAAACGGGCCCCATCAGGTTAGTCAGGTCAGCTGTTCCCTTCTTCACTCCTCCCTCAGGTGATCTCCAAGTCCATCGTCTGTCATGCGTCACACAGGCCACGCCCCTTTGACGTCCCAACAAGGAAGGAAATCGTTCGCTTCAACAACGTTTTTTCAGCGACTCCTGAGTTTCTCGCCAGGTTTTCATCACCTCGAAGTGAGTTATTGCCACACCTCTGTATCCTGGTGGACGGCCTGCAGCCTCGGAGGATTTGTCGCCGTAGTTCTCAACCCATTCCTTGAAGTTCTTTCTGTCCTTGGCGCTTTGGAAAAGTTGACGGTTTGCTTTGATGGTCGCATCGTAACTGACAGCTTCCCACTCCAAGTTGTATCGACTGGATGTCTCGACCTTCATGATGACGTTGATATTGCCCTTTCCAAAATGCCTCTCCATTTCGGTCCGTGCCCACTTTTCGAACTCGCTCAGTCGAATCGCTACAACACGACCAAGGACAGAATCCATCTCGGCTAGGAGGCTCTCAAATATGTGGCTCTCAAACCCTGGATCTTTCTTTGCTTTCCGTGCTGCTTGTACCATTGAACGGCTTGTACCATTGAACGCATGTTGTTGATAAGCTTAGGATAATTTTCGTTGCCTGTGACAAATCTCATATTAGTATCAAGAGAAAATGATGCAGACCAAGATCAATGACAGTTCCATGAACCTGTTCTCGTTACCCACCACCTAGTTTTCGTCGATTCTCTGGACTTGCACATCTTGACCATATTTGGCTTCCTCGAGCTCCAGGGCCACCAAGTATCCATCTCGATCTGTTGGATATGAAATATCAGCACGTTTCCTTCTCCCCAAGGCAAACTCGTAGTCTTTGCGAGCATACCTGGGCCTGGCGGTGCAACTTCGCAAGTTTTCTTGTTGGTGATAAGACCTATGAATTCTCCGAACGTCATCATCTGGCCTGGACCAGATCCCCGATGATTGACGATCAAGTCACGGCCCTTCCCCAGTGGTGGAATGTATCTCTGCTCGGTGCCCTGCCATTCCCAGGCGATTTGGTAACAGTCCCAAAGGAAGACCTTCTCTAGGGCACCCGCAAGACCACCACCTAAGGCGTAAGTGGCCAGTAAAGTGGTGACAAAGAGCAAGAGAGATGGCCGCATATTGTCGGGTGAGGCGGCCGTCCTTCGTACAATAGAACTTCTGTTGGCGATCGGCCAGATTTTCAGGTGGAGAGAATTGGTAGAGACAAGCCTCACATTTGGCTTGACCAGGAATGAGAGGGGGAGTGGGGAGGGGGGGGATAGGGAAAATCAGTTCAGATTCAAGATGGTGAGGTGCTGTAAGTTCAGATATTAATGGTGGCTCGAACTGAGACTTCGTACTAGTAGTGACTACAGCAATCCAACCCAAGTCCTAACCCAGACAGGGAGACCACAGGTCTGTTTATTGCGGATCATGCGAGCTAGGCAAACGTACAGATAACGCAACTTCTCTCCAGAACCTTATAATCCAGTTAGATATCCTGATGGAAAGGTTACACATGAATATGGATGCACGAGAATAGTTGGCTGGACCACCTCTCTACTCAACTATCCCCTCATCAACATTCTCCAAGACAAGACGCCTTCTCCACGTTACCTTGCTTCGATCTATTCCCGCATCTGCAGCTTTAGTGCTGATGGCATTCCTATGCTCGGCTTCTTTGCAAGCGAATGCGAGCGACCCAATGTCTCCCATTTACATCGACAACGCCGTGTTTCTGGCGAACGGAAGCAATGTTGTTTCAGTGTCTCTTCCAATTCTCCAAGCCGATCTCAAAAATCCCAACCAAACAGACAACGCAGTTATTGACGGTTTTGATTAGACAAAGCCATTCCCTGGCCCAGCTATCTCTGGCCATGAGGTCCACCTTCGTGTCGCATACGACGTGCCAATTCCCGAGGAGGTGGTTCAGAATTCTACCACCGCTGTCACCTCGCTGACTTTCAGCATCCCCGACTCCATGATGCAGAGCGGTAACAATCTTCCCAAAGGCATGGATCCGTCGTGGTACATCTGCCGTCATTTCTTTGTTGGCACGAAGACATCTGGTTCACTCGACAAAAATTGTGATTTCTTGGGGCAACAATGCATCCGTGACTTGAAATCGAGCCTCACTGAGAACTGGATGAATGTCAGCTCTGACACGCCCTGCTCTGGTCTTAGCTTTGATCATAATCCTAAATCCTGCAGGGATACTTTCGGATTTGCCCGCGCAGATGTCATTGGTCAGTACTCCAAAGAAAGCAGATTTAAACTCTTGTGTTGTTAAACTCTCGAATAGCCTTCGGCTCGGATATTCTGGCAGATCCCGCGCAAGCAAGAATTCCAACTGTCGATGAACAAAGTCCATACAACTGGAGAATAGGGACCGGGTATCATTCACGTGGCGATATTGCAGCATATAAAGCCGCAGCAAATAGGACCTATCTTTTGGTCAACGTTTGGGGATATAGCCCTTCTGCAGACAAAGGAATTAGGCAAACCCCAAAGGCAAGCCTCACTTGTCTTCGACCTGAACCCGTGAAGCTAGTTTCTAGCAGTACGACCACCGGAGCTATTAGTACATCCTATTCAACTACTTCTCCAACCAAAAACAGTGCTATCCAAGGCAAAAGGTCTGATCCAATGAACGAACTTATTCCATCGATTCTTCTGATGCTTATGGCTCTGTGACGGTCGAGAGCGAATTCAGATCGAAATGCTTGATCGGAAGACGCTACGAGCCGGAGAAGAACAAAGGCAATGTCAAGTATGTTTTAGGAAAGGAGAAGCGCGCTCCAGGATATCTCTTACGGCAATTGTGTTTTACATCATATCCTGTAGTTACAAATCTAGCGTCGCTGTCATTTGCCACAAACTGTTCTGAATTTTGATCAATTTCGACTTCACTAACTTCAACGTCTGCATTGTAAACAGATTTACATACTGCTTAAAAAGCTAAACTAGTCCAGAGTGCGAAAAGACAAGATAATCTAGCACACGAAACGGATAGCGGAGGTGACAGATGTCATCAGCCAATCCAGCCGGCACCATATTTCCCCCTTGGGAGAGCGACCACGCAGAGGAAGCAGGAAGAAAAGCAAGGAACATCTTCACTCAGCCTCCAACGAAACAGGAAAGAAAACACACAAACCAGAGGCCTAAAATAGGCTTCGAATGGAAACCTCCGGCAAACACTGGCCGTGGAACAAACCGCGGAACCATCCGCCAGAGAGAGAGAATCTCCATCACCACTTACTTTTTGACGCACTTGCTGACAATTGCCTGAACAAGACTGTCACTGTGTTGGAAGTCCGCAGAGAACTTCCGAAGATCTGCAGCCTTCATGGCCGAGCGTGCTTTGGCAGCGGAGCCCCAAAGCTCACTTTCACTCTTCGCCGAACTTCCTCCTGTGCCCACCAGATAACCCATGATGACAAAGGGTGCTGAGAGCGGATCTTGAACTATGCTCTCAATACCCATAGCCGCATTGCCAGCTTCACCAATCAGTGTTGCAATGCGTGCTATCATTGCAGCGCCACCGAACAATGCGCCAGCGGCCTCTCCAACGACGGGAATAACCAAGAGAACAATGTTGAGGATTTCCAAAATCAAGTCCTTTTTCGCTTGTGCTTTAGCTTGCGCGCCAATATCCTTGATTCTTGCCATGGACTTGACAGCTTCTTGTACCATGAAGACTGGCATCGCAGAGGCTGTTAACACGTCGTTGCTGTCGCCGCTCGGATCGTAGCTGCGCATTGCGAGCAAAGCATACCCTCCTAGCATGGTGAGCTGCAGCTCAGTGATGTTGGTGCTGGCGCTCTGGATGACGTTCTTTGGATTGGCCACATCGACGTTGTCTGATTGGACGGGGAAGTTCTTGCGCTTGAAGTAAATTTTCCTGCAGGGCTTCTTGCCGCCGGGAAGACCACTGTTGTCGGGAGCGCAGCTATCAAGTTCATGGGATTCACCGAATTTAATCCAATCCTTAGAGATCCCAAGATCAGTCTCAACTGCCGCATAAAAACCATCGGCGTCCTTGAGTTCATATGTGACCGTCCAGGTCTCATCCACCTCGTTCCAATAGGCGTTCGGGCCGGGACATGGAGCCTTGGGGTGTGTTCTACCCTGGACTTCCCATGTGCAGTCAAAGTATTTGTTGCCAGGCCCATTGTCAAAAGCCAAATAGTTCTTCAGGCTTGGGGAGATACTTTCCTTGACCCACTTCACGTAGTAGTCGAATTTGTCGTCATACCCTTCTGAAGCAGTGGTGTAAGCATCCAAAGCTGAATCGAGCGTGTCGTGGAGGATGTCCATGGCATAAATGTTCCAGCAAATGGACTCGATGGAATCCAATGAGTTCACCAAGTCATCCATAGTGCTGGGCCGCTTCGCGGGAGCACACCTTGAATCAGTGTCGGCTTCGATGACATCTCCAGGGCCGGTATTGCCGTCCAACCAGGGCTGGTAGTCTTCGAGGTCAATAGCCCAGTCCACAGAACCTCCCATATTCTGCTTGATAGCGTACAGAAGACGATGGCTCCAGGTTGAAGAATTCATCCATGAGACCCAGTCCGCGCCGCTACTGTCGCCGTAAATCAAGATATTATTCCGGGACACGTCATCGTAGTAGGTCTCGAAAATTGGCCACTGATCAGAGCCACCCTGAATGATTTCTTTGATCTCCGCATTTGCAAGGAACCCAGCAGTCGTTGTGCAAACTCCTTCACGGGCGTTAGAGACATCATAGCCGCCAGTGTAAGTGCAATCGGGGCCCCAGCATGATGGGTCCGACATGCGAAAGCTGCGCCCATAGCTTGTCACGCCGAGTGTAATCTTCGTAGAAGAAACACCAGCTTTGGTCAACATCGAGAGGGCGTTCACTGTTGCTGTCATATTGATGTCCGATCTCAGGCAGTTGCCTCCAGGGCAGCCTTCGTCGGCATTTGCATTATTGAAGTCTATCAATTGATATTATCAGCACATTGTTCACCATATCCTCAAGTGCCTGACAAGAGTCTTCAACTTACCCCATTGTCCGTGAAGGTCGTATGTCATGTAGATAAAGTAGTCCACGACATGTTGCATTTCGTCAACTGGGAATTGCTTCAGATACCAGTACGAGGCTGGAAGGGCAACGAAAATGCTCTTCGAAGTCCCTAGACCAGTCCGGACCAAGCGAAGGAATTCGAGATAGTTGTCTCCCTCATCTTTGCTTCCCTGAGGGATGCCAACAATGTCCGGCTCGCCAGGATACTCCCAATCAAAGTCAACGCCATCCAAGTTGTTTGTTGTCGTTGATAAATTTGACAACGTTGTTTGCAAAAGTCTGCCGGTTCGCTGGTTTCGTGCCCTCTCGGAAGATCATGTAGGTTGCAGGGTTTGTGGAAAAGTCCCAGCCGCCAAATGAAAGGATTTTCTGCACAGTTCCAAGCTTCAAAAATTTGTCAAATTGATCCTTGCTCAAATCGTCAATGGAAATCTCGAAACTCTGAGAAATGATGCCAAAGGCGAAATGTATGCTGCTCCAATAGTTGACGTTGATCTGTGTCACATCCATGTTGAGGCAAGGGCGATTGAAGTTGTAGCCCTCGAAGTAACCAATACGGAAGAGAGGATTCACCGGGGGGTTGTCGTTGTTCACAATGTCAGTGCCGCAATTTGAGATGCAGCCGTTGGTAAGGGGCTTATGGCTTCCCGGAGCGCCAGTGGATGCCAGACTTGGAGTACAGAACTCGCTGGTTGTACCACACATGCCCCAGGCGTCGCAACATGCATTAAGCGGGCATAGGTTCATCATGGAGATATTTGTGCCTGCGCTGGGTGCTTGGGTTCCTGGGACCTGTGGACCACAAACCGCATTTGAGATTGGTGCAGGGAATGGTGGTGCCCCCTTGCTCAGACAAATACTCTGATCGGGCTGAAGCTGGCCGCACCCTGCCCATCCCCAAGCGTTCCCGTTGTATGATTCAATGTCGTCCTGGGTGATATAATGAGACTCAGCAATCGCAAAGCAACCCTCCCCGATCTGAACCTGGTAGGTATAGCAGCTCCCGTTGGCTTGCTGCTGGGGTGTTGGATCCGGCAGCGTCCCTGATGAACAGCAGACAAATTGACCCACTGCAAGAGTTGTACAGAGATTAGGTTTGGGGTTGTAATTGGTGAAGTCATTCGCAGAAATACCGCATATGCTCTCAAGAGACGGGCAGCTATCACCCCAGCGAACTTGAAGATACGAACAGGTGCCGCGAGCTTTATGGTGATGAACATGTCTGGCATGAACTTTCGAGGAGTTTCTGCTAGAGCCACTGGCGGTAGCAACCACATCTAGCGAGACAAGGAAACTGACTTCGATGCCATCCAGACTTTGTTCACTTCCGCCGGTCTCTTGCAAACAATTGGCGTTGGTCCAGCCTTTGACGGCACTTTGAACGGTTGGGAGATCGTCAATATGGGTCGCAAATGCACCGAACGACTTGGAGCCATTGTGCACCGAATCGCAGACTTGAAGAGCGCGAGTGCCGTCTCCTCGTGCATGTTCAGAGAAAGTTCGCATAAGTCTGGCTGCGCTGTCTTTCTGGATTTCTGACCCGGCGTAGATACCAACAATAGCACTTCCCGTCTTGGCAAACATAATGGTGTATCCGCAGCGTGCTTCATTCTTGAGGAATGAAGACAACTCATTTGCCGCAGCAGAAACATCCTCAGAGCCGACAGACCCAGCTTTCTGTGGTATGCTCAAGCGTACAGTTGCCTTGTCTTTGCCGAGACTGGCACCGCAGTTATTCGAGACACTAAGCGTGTCCTCGGCCACTTGTGGTCAGGATCCTTGCTGTCGTGTGCGCTGTCCTGAGGCTTTTCTGCGAATTTCGTCATCGTAGATCGATCGTCCAGAGTACATACTCGCATGACATTATCCGACTTGATGTCACTGCTCAGAAAGTTTTGAACGTTCATATCGAAGATTAGCGAGCTGTTACACCGCACAAGATCGGTTGTGCGGTGTATCCAAGTCCAATCGGATGGCTTGAAACCCACTTGAGTGCACGAGATCGGGCATGGATTCGTCTGTCGAACAGTGAGCATTGGCGGCATCAGACCTTGGCCATCGCTGAGACTTGCTAGCACAAAGCCAGAAAGCCAAAGGAGGCTGGACTGATGCATTTGAGAAGGAAGACCTTCCACTAGGCCGCAGTGTGTAAAGTGTAAAGAGAGTAAGAACGTAGGAATGCCACAGGTGAGGAGAGACGCCGTGGTGTTGTAAACGACGGACCTGTGAATTGGTAGATTGGGTGAGTTTTGCCGTTTCTAGGTCGCCCTTATGCACCGTCACGGAACCTCCCCATCGATCACCCCGACATAAAAGACCCGACCTCACCCTTTCAACCTCTTTTCACCCTCCTCACCTCTTTTCGACTCCTCTATCTTGCACTTATTGATGCCCCCCTTCTTCGCTCTCGGCCCTACTCATCACTGCGCCTTAGATTTAGCCTAACGATAAACCAGATTTGAGAGTATTTACGTTGGTCCTAGAAGGAGCTTGCCCCCGTGAGCAGAATGTGTCATTTCCAGGAACGAGAACTGTATTCTAGCGAGAAGGTCGAGGAAGGAAAAGTGTGTCATCTAGTGCGATATGCTTCGACTGTCAAGCTGCCTGCTGCTATTCTAATCACTGCTCTCAACGCGCATCTGACCAGTGATTATGACACACTCGCCCTCTCAGATAAGCAACCATACATGCGGTGCTTCCCATTCCATCTGCATGCCAAAACTAGCGCACAAGCGTTAAGAGCCCAGGGCGGTATGGCCAGAGGCTATACGAGCCCCCAGAGCCAATGGCTCGCCCTTGATAGAGGAACTGCAAGTTACATGGATCAATGGGCATCGTCTGATCGGGACTGCTCCGGATGAGATCACCACTGCTAATGTCGTTGGTCCAGGTGGCACCACTGTTGGCTTTGCCAGCAAACGGTGCAGACTCGCTGGTAGCCTGCGGGGTCCACGAGCCATCGAGACTGGAGGCAGTGAACGAGCGGAAGTACCTGTCGTTGGTGGAACCAATGCTTTCGACGATCATAAGATATTGGTTTTGGCCTTGCACAGAATAGACCTGAACGGCTTCAAAGAGATTATGTGTTGAATCGCTCAAGACCGTGGTATAGGACGAGCCGAAGCTTCCCGGGAAGTCTCCAATTGGCATCGAAGCCCTGTAGATGTAGCCGTTATCTCCCGCAAAGAACAGGTACATGGTAGTGTCATCAGCAATGAGAGCCGGATCAATTGGACTAGATCCCGAGATGGAGCCGGTGAATAGCGACTGAGTTGATGACCATCCATTTGCATTGGTCGGGTCGCTCGACGTCCTGTACATGAAAGGGCTTGCGCCCCATTCGTAGGGCATCACCCAGATGTTCTTTGGCGCAAAATAGAACACGTTCGGCGCCACAGCAGCTTGGGTCATCACGTTCTGGCTTGTCGAGGCCATTGAATTCCAATCTGAGAAAAGGCCAAAATTCAATGAGCCGTAATGTCCCGTGCTGTTGACGTCTGACGCATATACCAGGTGCTGGCCATTGTACGGGACGTGGCTGAAATCCTTGAGAGAAACATAGCCAGACTCTGGATCTGCCAGGGGACCGGTCGATTCCCACTTATAAACGGAGGGGAGGCTACATGTGGTACACGCACGGCACTGGGAATAGTATGGATTGCTATAAGTGCAGCATGCCCCTGTGACACACGTTGTAGCTCCAGTCCACCCAGTTCCGCCGCCTGCAAACGATTCAGTTAAATTTCGTGAAACAGGGCGCCAGAGTCCTCCTGCCCTACTCACATTGACCCCAGAGTGCTGCTTGGCCCGCCACCATTGGCAACACGAGCCCCAGGGCAGCAAACCAGATCATCGTGACGGTTGGAATACTGCCGTGATGCGAGGATGCCTGACAAGAAATTGACGAGGAACTTGGCGGGGTAATTCAGCCATCATGTTCCATTTTCTAGCTTTATGTAGCTCGTCCCAAAGTGAGTAAAGACTGGGACCGGCTGGATTCAGTTTCTGAAGAAGTCCAAGACCCGCAAAGTTCCAGATGCAACCGCACTAACTTCGTCAATTAGCCTAATTCGAAAAACGAACGCTTCCCCGCAAAATGGCTGATCCAGTGGGGGTTCTCAGGTGGCGCACAGGGATTTCGTGTCATAGCGACGTCCAAGCCAAAGACATTTGCGGGTCGGTCCGATCCAATTTATCCGCCATTCTTCCTCACCCCAAAGGACTTTGATAAGCCTGTCCAGCGGGGTCAAGACCATCTCCAGTGTGGGGAAGTGGTTATCCTTCTGCAATGTTACGAGCCTGCCCAATCGGTTCTCGCTCCGTACGCCAGTTTCCCCCGCTCTTTCCAGAATTCTTCCGCGCCGGCATTGTCAATGCGAACGCGGACTTATGAGGTAAATTCAAATAAGCCACGGTCTTGTTTGACGGATAAAGAGAGATGTGAGAGATCTGATCGGCATGAATGAAGCCGGTCAGCGTTGAATCGGTATTTTCCCACGCGCACCGTGCCGAATGAAATACATCTTAAAATCCCGGATTTCAAATCGATACAATAACACGAGCCGCCGATGGTTCCCCTACTTTCGAGATCAAGGGACCGGAGGTGGGACGACTGTGAGTGGCGCATTTAGATTCTGGTTCTTCAGTTTGTTCGATCTTCAGTGTATTTGCGAGTGTTGCGCACATAGCTGCATCTGTGGATGGATATAGAAATACATTTCGAGAGACACCGTATCACTGGAACTAGGACCAGTTTGCCATCAAAAGCACAACCGGAAGAGGTTCAAAAGAAAGATGGATGTCGCGCAGTCGCTCGGACCTTGCAACCACCCCCTCACGTCTCTTTTGCTCCCCGAATCGTCATTCCACGCCGCGCACCCTCGCAACAAACTCGAAGCGTCGATTTGCCGAGCCCATTGACTCACTTGGAATGGAGTTAAACTGGAAGTCCACATCACAAAGACGCCCCGTGGTCGGAAACTTTCAATCACAATCAAGCTTTGACACCCCGCTGGAAAGATGCTTGTTTCAACCCGCTCCACGCTCCGCCAACAGGCCCCTGGCTATACACGCTAGCCGTAATCATCACGGCAATCAGCCTGTCTTGAGCATTCTAGTAGCGGATGCAACTACAAATCATCCAATTCGCTGCGTTTCACTCCTCATCGATGTCTCTACGGGGACTGCTGATTTTCTGCAGAACCTCACGGAAATGGAACTGTCCGCCACCGGCTAATCTCCGCAGCCAAACGGACCCTGCATAATGTCCCTTCAACCGACGAGGGTGCAGTTTCCACTCTACGGGGTCGGCCTTGCTCCGCAGCGAAAGAGTATCGGCGAATTTGAATTCTTCACTCTCAATCAACGAGTCAGTTGGGGTGCATTGACTCTGGATATGAAAGCGAACTGAAGATGCAAGAGTGAGGTATATATAGGTCCGGTTACGAATTCCACTACCGTACGTTTCGAGTTCCGTCTACCTCGTTCGGGCACGACATATGACGAGGAACCAATGACTGTATAGATATACCTACACAGCATCCTCGCAATTATGTCTATCACTCTTCTCTTGTTCCTGGGAGTCGCCTTCCAGCTGGGGCGTACCGCCGCCCAGACAACGGTGACGGTGAATGCAGCCACAACCTACCAAGTAATTGATGGATTTGGCTTCTCTGAGGCGTTTGGCTTCGGAAGTGGAGTCGAAAATGCACCTGCCGCACAACAGACTCAGGCCTTGAACTACATGTTCAGCACTACCGAAGGAGCTGGTATGACCATCCTCCGAAACAGAGTTGCAGCCGCCCCATACGACACTATTGAACCCAACAATCCCGGATCGCCCTCTGCGACTCCGACTTACAGCTCGATCGGTGACGACTCCAGCCAGGTCCGTATCATAGCAAGCCCTGCCGCGGTGCCCGTTTTTCCGATTTTGCTGGACGAGTGCTAATGTTGTTGAAATAACTCCAGATGTTCTGGTCCAAGAACGCCCGCGCTATGGGTGTCAAGTACATTTATGCGGACGCGTGGAGCGCTCCGGGATTCATGAAGACCAACGGTGACTACGTATGTTACTACCACGATGATGAAGACACCCCATCCTGACCATGAATAGATCAACGGTGGTTACCTCTGTGGCGTGACCGGAGAGTCCTGTTCCTCTGGCGATTGGAGGCAGGCGTTTGCGAATTATCTTGTGCAGTATCTTCAAGACTACAAGAGCCAGGGTATCAATGTTGACTTTATTGGCTTCTTGAACGAGCCTGAACTCGCGTAAGTCGTGCGCTAGGTACAAGAGATATCAGGTGCGGGCGCAAAAGAGACTGATCCATCACAGGACAAGCTACGACTCCATGCTGTCTAACGGTACACAGGCTGCCTCCTTCATTCCAATTCTCCATGCCGCCATTCAGAATGCCGGTCTTTCTACTGGAGTTACTTGCTGCGATGCCGAGGGTTGGAACGCCCAAGTGAACTTTACGCAGCAGATCATCTCTGCTGGGGCTGAGCAATATTTGTCTCGTATTACTTCTCACTGGTACACGTCACGGGGTAAATCTCCCATTAACACTAGTCTCAGGGTGTGGGAAACTGAATACGCAGACTTGGATGATGCATTCAGTACGACTTGGTACTCTAGTGGGGCATTCAATGAAGGGCTTACATGGGCCAAACTTATTTACCAAGGTCTTGTTGACTGCAAACTTAGCGCTTTCCTCTACTGGATTGGTGAGTCTTGCCGGAGTTCGTTGTCCAAACGCAATAGGCAAGGTGTCTGACAAACATGAACTAGGCGCTCAATCCGACAGCAACGCTGCGGGGCTGGTGACTCTCACGGGATCTGGCTCGTCTACACAAGTGACAGCGTCGGCCTCTCTGTGGGCCTTTGCTATGTTCTCCCGTTATATCAGGCCAGATGCCGTCCGTATCGGCACCTCTGGTTCTCCTTCGAACACCCAAGTAGCGGCATTCAAGAACACGGATGGCTCAATCGTGACCGTCATGATCAACTCGGGCGCAAGCTCGCAGAGCGTCTCCCTGGGGTCCGGGTCTGCTACATCGGCCAAGGCGTACTACATGGACAATTCGGTATCGTCACCTACTGGCCTCTCAATCAACCTGAGTGGCGGCAGTATAGGGGCTACCCTTCCCCCTTACTCGGTAGTTACCTTTGTTACTAGCACTAGTAGCGAAACTGGCACCGCTGTAGTTCAGCACTGGGGTCAGTGTGGGGGGCAGGGTTGGACTGGGTCCACTGTCTGCGCGAGCCCGTACACTTGCGAGGTGTCGAATCCGTACTATTCACAATGTCTCTAATGAATCGGGACTACAGTAGTGTTCCATAAGTCTTGAGTCGACCTGGTGATGATATTATCTTCTGCCGGTCAAACAATCTCACTATTTCCTGTATTACCCACTCAAAACTTATATTTTCAAGGAGGTAGATGGAGACCGATGTTAGAATTCGAAGGTTACACGGCTCAAGACTCCGATCCGAGCCCGATGGTGGAAACAAGGACGGCTCCCGCAACGGCGAAGCAAAACATGCGGAGTAAACGGCCGTTTAATCAAATCTTACAGGCATAGCTAGCAGACCGGGTCGCTCTGTTGTAAATTTCAACATCAGCAAACTTTGTTCAGCCAAGCCAAGCAAGCCGTGGGACCGAATCAGAAGTCCATCATATTGTAACGCCAGTAGCGCATCAGCAAAGGAACTATTCTTCCTCCCATATTTTTTCTAGTTACGCCCTACACTTATTCACAGTGGTCGATTCCGAGCCGAGGGAGTCAGTGAGGTAAATGGGGTGACCGAACGTCTACTGATCAACTTATTGCGTTTGTGGTCGGGTTGGGCCCATTGATCACAACCATATATGGGGTTCTGAAGGAGACTGCAGAGGCTGTAAGTGCCGAGCTGCAGATCAGTCGTGTCGAACTTTTACGCTTTTGCCTTTGTTTAGCATTTACAGCACGTAAACCTCGATTCTCTTCGGCCAATAACACTGCGCTATGCATAGCTAATTCACAGCCTCTTATAAGTTCTTGACGCACCTATCCGGGACGCTCTGCTGTTGATCGTGCGTCCTTTAAGCTCCCCAAGTCACATCAACATTGTCTCGCCAGCCTCATTAGCCCGCTGCTGATTGGGTGGCGCCAAAATGTTCTTTGGTCTTTAGTCGTCCCAGTCCCAGTCCCATCCGTGCAGATGGGAAACCATAGAATCTCCTAGTGACGGTAGCGGCAGGTGTGAGCGCAGCAGCTCTTTCTCTCATCTTCTCAATTCCTCGGAACTGATATAAATTCCCGAAAATTCCATCATCTTGGGTTCATGGATATGCTGTTGTGCTGACTCTCCGTTGAGCAAAACGCCTGCAATGGGTGCGTAAGTTACTATGAAGCTAGGATTGTTCATTAAGCGAGAGAGCGCGATAAAGCCACTGACCGAATCCGCTCTGGCAAAGAACGCTCCTATGTGCGCCGGCTAACTAGGGAAAGGGACGGCTCTAGAAATCTTCCCCACATGTTTCGTATGTCGGTCAACTACTGTGCCTCCGAACTAGATGGGGATATGCTCGGGTGGGGCCTATATAAGGCTTCGGCCTCTCCGTTTATCTATTGGACACACGGATTTCGCAATTTCGTTACCTCTTGTAACAACATAGCAACTCCTAAGTCTAAGTCTCGATTGTCTGGCGCTACCTGTGGCGCGTTGGAGACTCTGTTTCAGAGCAGGCATCGCCGAGGGCGTTCCTAGAAGACTTGTGGTGAGAGCATCGATCCCCAGTGCCAGTCTACCCAAAGCAATAGTAAGCCATATTCAATTCGGCGAGACTCGACCGACCCGTGCGAAGCGGCGCGGTTGTGAATATTACTGTGACGCGGTGTAAAAACGGTTGCGGGCGTGCCTCCGGCGAGCAGATAGTCTTAGCCAAGGCCTCGCCCGCCATGCACGGGAGTACGTCCGCCGCCCGCCCAGGACATTGGCGAGGTCTAGCCTCTCCGTGGACCATGTCACCGGAAGCAGCAGATGACGCATATATCAAATTGTTCGGCTTTAGAAATTAAGACCGATCCACTGGCATTTGAAGTTTTATTACGTATTTCGGTGGATGGTTGACGTCGGAGAATATATTACAGACGGGCGGTCAGACAGAAATCTTTTTAATATTTCCTCTTCACCAAGAAGTCAGGATGCCATGGTACTAAAACCGACCATTATGTCTGATGAATCCTCACATTTGGAAATGTCAATGACCTTGGGACGCGTAGCCCCTGCTGAGAAGCCAACGAAGCCTCTTATTCTCCTGTGTGACGGCACCTGGTGTGGCCGGGAGGTGGATACTAAAACTAATATTTATAAACTTGCTGAAAGAGTTGGGTTCGACTTCCAAGATGACGCTGCTGCGCACGGAGTCTCTGGCAGAGTTTGCTACATGGAAGGCGTGGGTCTTGGGAGCTCTTTTTTAGAGTATGTACCTCTTCTTGCCTTTCAAGTATTTTCAGCATGATCATGACTTACGCTGTATAGTTACATATTCAATGGTGTTACAGCGCAGGACATTGCCCGTCAGTGCATTGAAGCTTACGAATTCATTGTGCGAAATTATACGTATCCAGATCATGAAATCTGGATGTTCGGCCTCTCTCGAGGTGCCTACTTGGTGAGAGCTGTTGCTGGTATGATTAACAACTGCGGAATTGTCAAACCAGTAAATGTGGACGGGGCTATTGATACACCACAAACCCGCCTACTTTGCGAAGCTGTATACGATATCTATCGTTCCCCTTATCCCATTGACGAACCACACTCTTCCCAATCACAAATCTTCAGGCGATCCAAGTCCTGGCCGCTCATCGGCGATGAAGACCGTGCGAATCGCACGGCGCCAAGGTTCATCCCACCCATAAAATTCATGGGACTTTTCGACACAGTTGGCAGCCTGGGATTACCAGACTTTACTGGAGGTGTGGGTCTAGACTGGCCAGCCTTTTATGATCAAAATATTTCTACTGCGGTCGAGAATGTCTACCACGCTGTGTCACTCCATGACCGGATCTATCCATTCCAACCTTGTCTGGTGAACCGAAATGGGAAGAGGATCGGTGTCACAAAGCAAGAGTGGCTTCCTGGTGTGCATTATGACCTTGGTCGTCAGAAGTTCAGATTTTTACGAGAGTTTGGGGGCGGCAAGCTGGAACAATTCCTTGCCCGCTGTAAACTCGCCAGCAAAACCGTTGAGCCGAACCATGTACTCGCAGACTTTGCCCTACGATGGATGCTGCTCGCTATTCGCGCTCACAATCCCCAGCCGCAGGCTGCGTACCAAGTCATGCCGGCGATTGACCCATTCATTCAAGATGTAACCAGTGATATCCGAGACAGAGCTCAAGATCCTGGTCAAGTAGGGGACGGTGACGTGTATGGTCGCATACTTTACTATGCGCCTTTCGGATCATTCATCCTAGACATCATGAGAACATTGCGAGGCACCAGGGGGAAAATCTCTGCCATCTACCAGCTTTTCTTTGACCTACGAGATCGGCTTATACCAGAGCAGGATGCAACAGTCTACGATTTTCGTCATTTTGACCCAGATATCGGGGAATCCATTGAGAACCTTGGAGAGGTTTCTGAGCAACGGTACCCGTCGAAATCGTACGCGAAATGGGAGTTGTGGCGGTAGGCGTTGTCCGTCAGAAGTGAAGCTAAGTATGGAACTATGGAACTCGTGGGTATACGTGGAATCTTTTATTATTGGTAAATTATTTTATTCGCGTTTCACAAACTGGACCTTTGGGGATTTGATTTTTTGTTCTGCAGTGGACATGGCTTGCTACCTGAAAAGGCAGGAAAAGAGCTATTAGAATAGCACCTGGCAATTGCTTATCATCTTTAACTAGTACGTCAATAGTACTGGTTGTAATTTTGCTGCCTTCAAGGTATTTTAGGTCTAAAGGAAAGTTGAACGAATTAGCGGTAGAGGCAGAAGAGTTAGCTGAAAGAGCGAAGAACGAACGGCACGCTGATGGCAGGGAGGTCATAGTTCAGAGGATGAAGGGATGCGGGCATGGCTTTGACAAGAACCTCACAGGTGAAATCCTTGTGTCAGCCAGAAACAGGGCATATGAACTCGCTGCCAAATTTTTGAAGAAGGGTCAGGAAGTCAGCACCTAAGTGGCAAATTTAGACTGGTCCACCCAAATGCCTTTGGCTATGCTCCCAAATGCCTCAAGGTGCACTGGTCAGAGCCTCAAAGCTCTGTTGGTGCTTTTACATTAGAAGGAATATTCATGCGCCATACACCTGGGCCCTCGAATAGCGGCATCCATACTGTGCCAGGGAGGTCGTACTCAGTCATCCTTCTCGATGGGGGCAAGACATCCCTATACTGTATTTCCAGGCCCGTGATGATCTTTTTGCAGAACAGGAGACGAGAGATTTCTTGAGGGCCAGTGTTTATGGTGAGAATTGAGAGCCTATTCTTCAAGCGAATGGGGAAGTCGGAGGAGGATTTTACACGGGAGGATGACCTTCGCCTGTTCTTTCTCTGTGCTGAGGCACGAGACATTAATAGTCGGTTCGTGACAGCGACTTTGATGACCGGTGAATACTTGGGCTTAAGCAGAGAGCAGCAGAAAAAGCGGAAACACCGCTGTGTATTCTGTAGCATATCCATTAAATGAAGCCCAATGATATGACCAATGATTTACTATAATTGCTAAAGCTACACGAGAATTGCAAGCTTTTTTGAGACAGCATTTTCCAATTGGAACTACTTAGCCAGAGCCGTAGCAGTCTGTGTCGTTATAGGGGCACTGAAAATAGTAGGAAAGTTTCATAGGGGGATATTAGCGGAAACTGGTTCTAAAGTTCTACTGCGGTTCGTTCTATAGGACAGCAACCGGTACCTAGGTAGGCTAATTTGATGATGCCCCGGGAGATCATGAATATATACCGCACTCTGTAAGAGCCGAATTTACAAGATTATCTCTCTAATCGTGAGATGCCTCAAAGCTCAAAATCTCAAGGTCATCGGAAGTAGCATTAAGATCCTTGGAAAATGTGCAGTGTATTGTGCAAAAGGCTTTTGAACAGCTCGAGTCAATAAGTACCGAGAGGTATGCGATGATGCCGACCCAGAAACCAAGAAAAAGAATGCAAAGAGTAAATGGCGGAGCTACCGCTCAGTAGCCCCAGGGGAGACGGCCAGAATAACCGCCAATGCCGCAACAATCAGCGCCGCCGCCATAAACGCCGTCAACGCAACACTCCCCCGACTTGCAGGAAATTTGCCACGGACAATCCAGTACTGACTCTCGAAATAGCGGTGGAAGCCTAATATTAGGATGAGGATGGCGACACCGATGAAAGTTGAGCCGAGCGGTTTGCCGACGCTACGGAGGCGAGAGGAGGCCGAGGCGGCATGTATAGAAGACGAGGAGAGGCCAGGAGGGAGTATTCCGGGCTGGCCAGAGGAGGTTGCATCGTAACTGTATGAATTTGTGTTGACGGTGGCACTGTTGAGACGGAAGAGTTGAGTGACGGCTATACCGATCGAGGCGAAGGCGAGGGATGTGCGCATCCAGGCTAGGAAAGTCCGCTCTGTATATAGTGTTAGATGCTGAAGCAAGGGTGTAGGCACCTGATGACGGAAGTTAATACCTAGAGCGAGGTGATCGCGCGCGACGCTGCCTTTGTTCTCCAGCTCGAGGGCGCCGAATCGATCTATAAATCGGATATACCGGGACTGGTGTGCCTCCTCAGACTGGTTGCCCGGGGAGGCTGAGCTGCCGTTGTTGGCGCCGTTACTAGACACTGGTGCACTTTGTTGGTCGTTCTTCGTTGGCCCAGACGATGTACCAGGCTGACTGGGCGCCTCCGTGGCACCATAGTTACGAGTCGAGGCGCCAGGACCGTCGAAGACCGGGGTGGAGTCGCGATACCGCTGTTTCTGAGACCGAGGGGTCTCAGCATACTTCCGGGACGAGAAGCTCGAGTGAGACCGGCTGCTGCCGTAGGAAGATGACAGCCCCGAATCTACATGAGTGGGCGAGCGTGATGGGGAGCCGTGGATATCTCTGGCTTCCCCAGAGTTCTGCGGACCTGTCGGAGACATCGCCGATGAGTCGAAAGTAGCCATGATGGCGTGCCCATCCCCTGGCCAGTCACTTAAGGGATCTGTCCAATGACCAGTGCGCAATGGCAGAGTTTATGCAGCACGGGGGCCAGGCACGCGGAGGGGGCAAGCGAGGAATGTGCCCGATTTGGGAGAGAAAGGCGTCCTAGGAGACCGAGAAAGACGAGAGTGGCCTTGTTGAGGCTGTTGAAATGCTCTGTCAGTCTGCTGGTTCTCTGCTGGTTGCTTCTGCCCGTTCAGCTGGTGGTTATCATGTGCTCCTGCATCGATTTAAGCGCAAAACCACCAGATCCATCGATCGGGTGTTTTCCGGGGATCAGGAGATCACATGCTCCACCACGCTAGTACTCTTTAAGGCATACAATCAGGTCATCTCCGGATGCGGCAGGCGGTGAAATCCAGGGTTCGTCATGACTACCGCTGTAGTCCGTACACGTGAGAATGTATGCAATACCGCCTTGTGCACAGAACTGCGCCACAAGTTTTCATTCAGAGATATCTCAAAAAAAAATTTAGTAAAAGAGTGTTCAGAACGACATTCTCAAAAGAGGCGAAGCTGGACCGGCAAATAACACTAGCTTATTTTATACTGCTGGGCCAGACTTTTAAAGGGGCCACTGTAGATTGTACGCCGCACGAAACTAATGCCATGCACGTGATTCCGTGCCATATCTCAAGCTAGCAAGGTATTCCATTCTCCTCATCTGCCACATTCATCTCGCGATGGCGTCGTCCTCATTACCGCGATCTGGCCAGGTGGACCTGTCCAAGAAACTGTCAGAGTTGCGGTCAAGCAACGGTCGCCGATCGCACACTGCCTCTGCCCGAGACCCAACCCCGACCACGCCTGCTCTGCCTTCGCCGCCTGACCTCGCCGCCCACCAATACTCCCACCCCACCCGTCGCATCCTATCACCCAAGGACCATGAGCTCTTCCTGTCGTCCCCTACATACAAGCTAGTGCTTGCATTTATCTTCGGTCTATCCGACTCCGTCCGTGGCCGAGCCACCACCGACCTTCAAAACAGCCCTAACTCCGACTCCATCTCGAAGATCACCTTAGTAGTGAGACAGCTACAATTATTACTGGAAAAGCATCCGGCGATTGACCAAGGAGGGTCACGATTTGGCAATCCTGCATTCCGCGCCTTTTTCGACGATGTCGCTGCGCAGAGCCCAGCATGGCACAAAGAGATCCTGGGACTGACGGACCCGGCAGCGATTGACGAGGTGTCGACATACCTGGTTCACTCATTGGGTTCGCGGGACCGGCTAGATTATGGTTCGGGCCATGAGCTGAATTTCATGATGTGGCTCTTGGCCCTCTACCAGCTGGGCTTGCTGCCGGCCAGCGAGTTCCCGGCCGTGGTGTTCAAAGTTTATATCCAGTATCTGCATCTCATGCGGGAGATACAATCCACATATTATTTGGAACCGGCAGGATCGCACGGTGTTTGGGGTCTCGACGACTACCACTTCCTGCCTTTCCTGTTCGGTGCCAGCCAGCTGGTGGACCATCCGTACATTACGCCTCTGGGGATTCATAACACCGCCATGTTGGACGAGGAGGGTGACAAGTATGTCTATCTGGATCAGGTGCGGTGGGTGGACAGTGTCAAGACGGTCAAGGGTTTGCGCTGGCACAGTCCTATGCTGGACGACATATCTGGTGCGAAGAACTGGTTCAAGGTGGAGAGCGGCATGAAGAAAATGTTTGTTAAGGAGGTTCTGGGCAAGCTCCCCATTATGCAGCACTTCCTGTTCGGCAGTCTCTTGCCGGCTGCCGAGGGTATGGGCGAGCGTTCTGCGGATGGTGATGCGGATGAACATGATCATGATCATGTCCATGACCATCCTCATGGGCATCAGAATACCGATTACTTCGGTGACTGCTGCGGCATCAAGGTCCCCAGTACGATCGCGGCCGGCGCAGAGATGCGCAAGCGGATGGGCGGGACGAATCTACGCCCGATCCCCTTTGATTAAGGGGTGCCTTTCTAGCATTGTCCGCACGTCGGGAGGGCTACAGTACTATCATGAGAAAATAATGAGCAGACGACCTGACCGGTTTCATAGAATAAGAACTAGGCCAAGTGGAGACAAGACTCTCTAGATTGTTCTACCAAAGCATGCATTACTATTACCAAATAAGATCCTACGGCCCGATCCTGCCCTTGTTGAAATTCAAGTCCAGTTTTATTGTTCCATGTAAATTCTCATATCAAACCGCTCTCCCAAGTCGAAACCGCCACCGCCTCTGATTGGCCCACCGCCCCAACCCAACTTCGCAACCAGAGCGCTGCCATCGCAATTCGCGACGAGTCCTTCATCTCTTCCCCATTTCCAGTCGTGGGGTCTACCAGCGACATCAAAACCCCTCATCACCACACGACACCCAGCCCCTGCGCTCGGGAGACTAGACCAGGGAACCGGGGGAACAGGCAAAAAAAAGGCACTCCTCTTTTCCCCTCTTTACTCCGCACGCCCATCTCCAGCCCGTATTCCCCGATCCCCACAGGCCACGTCCATGGCACCAGATGAGTACTCCACTGGAGGCGGGGGCAAGCTCAAGCTGAAAGGTAGCAAGGTGGGCGGTGGGCGGGTGGAGAAGAAAAAGAAGAAGAAGGCGAAGAAGGAGGGGGACGAGCAGGTTGATCCGGTTCAGCGCCAGGAGAACGGCGAGGCAGATGCCGAACGGTCGGTCTCGCGTGAGCGAGATGGGGAGCCGGGTTCGTCTGCAAAGACAGAGACCGAGAAGAAGTATGAGGAGATTCGGCGGAAACGGGTAAGGGCTGATCCCTTCTACTGTTCTACCTTTTCTGGGTGCTAATGGGACTAGTTACATGAGCGGCTCCAGAAAGAGGGGACCAAGACGCACAAGGAGCGAGTGGAAGAGTTGAACAAGTACCTCAGCCGGCTGAGTGAGCACCATGACATGTATGCCTCCCTGATTCCTTACGATCGTCCGTGTGTAGAGCTGACCCGTTGGATAGGCCGAAGATTGGTCCCGGTTAAGACCTGGTGGAATGCGCAGGATCCCGTGACGGCAGGCCATGGGGAAGGGAGCGGAGGAAGTCAGGCGGATGTTCGCTCCTTCCAGTCCCACTGAAGGACTTGTATCATATGACACGTGCCTCAATACGATAGGAAAGGCACCGGAAGGCGGTGATGGTATGATAGTATATTCAGATATTTCCAATTGCAATCGGCTAGCAGAAAACAACTCATGCCCCAGGGAGTCCCGTGGGATCTCTATGTAAGCAAGCCCGAACGTCAGAAGTAGAGAACAGCAGGCGAGTGCTAGGCAAACCGGATGCAAAAATAAACCCCACAGATCCCAAAGGTAGATCAGATCAAAGTAAATGGTAAATGGAGAAATCAACGCCATGTAGATGGAAACACCCCCCGAGAACCAAGAGAAACAGGACAGGGCTTCAAGACCAACTCGAATCAAAAGAGAACCTGGGGACACATGTGAGAACGATAACCAGGCCGCAGCCAAAAACCACGGCGAACAAACACCCCGACAAGAATGTAGAAAACGAGAATCAAAAACACCGCGCTAAATCCAACCGGCTCAATGGCGCCGCCGGATTTCGATTGTAAAGGTAAAACCCCCGTAGTCCCCGGACGACGATGTGAGGAGAAAGGGCGTTTGAAGGGGGAGAAGGGGCGGTCCTGGTGGCCCTCATACACCCTTGACAACCACCGTCCGCTCGCTGTTCAGCTTATCGGCATTGCGGGCATGCGACTCCTTCTTACAGTCCTCCAGTCCGGAGCAGGAATGGGCCTCGAGCATGCGGTGCTTGGAGCAGAAGTGGCCATGGCAGAAGCTGCAGTCGCCGACGATCCGTTGGGCAGCTTCCTTGCACTCCTTGAAGTTGCAACGGGGCTTGCGGGGGGCCATGGCTGCGTTGGAGGGAGAGAGTGGAGGATAGATGGTTGGTTGAGAGGTTGAGTTGCAATGCCAGGGGCGTGAGGCGTGAGTGGTGAGGATGGGCGGGTGAGAGGAGGTCGGTGGACTGCTTGGAGTCGGGCGGTGGTTTGAGATAAGCGCCGGGGACGGGAGAGGGTGGAAGGCGTGCGGAGAAGGGAGGAGGGTGCGATAACAGGCCGAGATCGGGGTGTTGCGGGAATGGGAGAATTAGAGGCGATTCTGTCTTTCGGGAGGAGGAAGCGAGGGTGAGCGGTGGTGGCCGGAAATTGGAGATTTGGAGTTGTTGGAGGGTTGAAAAGCAGGATGAATTGGAAGAGAAGACGTTGGACGTTGGGGGAAGTAGATGATGTAAAGGGGGAAATGCCGTGCACCGGAGGGAGGGCAGACGGGGCCACGTATATATAGGGACGGAGTCGGAACGGACGGGAGCAAAGAACGCACGAGAAACAGGCGAGCCGAAAGCCAAAAGCCAAAAGCCAAAAGCCAACCTGAGACTGGATCCAGGGTTAAAGGGGAGATTATAAGATGAAAGAGTGGTCGGCTGAGTCAGTAGATGAGGCAACTCTAAGCCGGTTGAACTATGGCCGTGCTAGCGACGGCAGGCTCAGTAGGCCCGGGGGGTGACGGAATCAGCCACGGCGTGGAGGCGAGCGGGTCTCCCAGAAGGTTCGATAGGCTCCATTTTTCGGATTTTCGGATACGATTTATGGTCGTTACTGTCCTGCCACTCATTCCCGATTCCCACCTAATCAAGAATTCGTGCGGTGACGCCCTTCCCCCCCCTTTAGGCGGAGATGCGTGTCTGTCTCGTCTCCGTACCGACCTTCGGAGTGGCACACCCATACTGCCTGACTCCGTCCACTGGGCACAGCACGCAGGAGGATTAGTTGTACAGTAGGCTCGCCTATCGGGCCATCTCCCCCATCTTCCCATCTCGCGCCATCCCGACATGCCCTATCCCCCTTTTTGCGCTATCTGCGTCTCTTTCTCGCACGCGACCCGCCAGGGCTGATCGGGCCCAGTGATCGGAATGCAGCCATCGGTCCGTGCGGTCCTGGCCTGGTCGATTCCTTTGCTCGCCTGGAGGAGGCCGGTCGAGTCATGGTGGATACATGGTCTCCGTAGTGGAGTCGTCGATAAGCTAGGAGTCCATAGTGATCCAGCTACGTAGTCCGCAGTCCACCGTCCGCGAGTGGGGAGGCGATCGGGTTGGTTCCCGTGACTCTGTCTATCACGTGGAGAATATCGTCCGGCACCTGCAAGAAAGGCCTCCCGCGTTATTGATCCCTAATGATATGCTATCGTGAACTAGCTGGTTGAGCGGGAAGAGCCAGGCCCGAAACACAGAGATTTTCATCGAGTCCATTCCCCGAGGGGATCCAAACGCCGGTCCGGTTCCGTGCCAGCACACGCGCCACCGACGGAATCCTGGTCGTCGGGTCCAGTGGCAAAGGTGTTCGTGCCGGAGAAATACTGAGCCTCGAGTAAACCAACCGCCCAAACGATGGCTCCAGTGCGCAGATTGCAGATTGCAGATTGCACAGTGCAGACGGTGCGGTGTGCAAGAGCTCGGGCAACACAGACCAGCGGGGAATTAGCTGCAGAACCAGCACCGGAGAGGGGGAAGACGAAGCTGTGGCCCACGCCAAGTCAGACATCACATCTGGGAGCCATGAAATGTCTGCGGGGAGAATTGGACGAGTCTACTGGCTTATGCGCCCCTAGCAAAGCACGGCGGATGATCTCGGTTGTAATAGGTAATATGTACCCTGGCATGGATAGTCCGGCAAGCGTACCTACGACCATCCTCCACGGAACGCCCGCTAGGACGCCCTCCAGTCACTCCCAGAAGGCCATCTGGCCGAGCAAACTTTAAGTGCTTCACTCATCCACATCCTCCCCATATGGGCGTCTCTATCGCCATTTTAGGCCCAGCCCGCATCCTGCACGCTGCACCCACACCGCTGCAAACCCCGGCCTGAGGGCTGCTCCGCAACGCGGATCACCCGGAGTCCACCCCATCCAGCGGCTGCTACGTGGTCCGGGGCAGATGCGGATGCAGAGGGACAGAGGGCAGAGGGCAGAGGACAGAGGATTCAAAAGAAAACAATGCGCTGGCACGGCCATGGGGCGTCAACGAAGCCATGTCATGAAAGAAAATATGGTATGTGGTATGGACTAAGAACAGAACAACGCCGGTAGCCCTGCGCACGCACCTGATTATGCGCCCAAACCCCTTGCCCTGCGGAAGCAAAATAGAACACGGCCCAAAGGAAAGACAGGACAGAAAGAAAGGCTGCGACCACGACCACCATCATCACCACCACCAACTCAAAACACTGCCGTGCTTCAGGCCCCAATCTCCTTCTCCGCCCCGGCGCCGGGGTCCAGGTAATCCTCGCGCTCGGCGGCCTCGTACTCGGCCACAAGATCCATCACCACCGCCTTTGCTTCGTCGAACTCGCCCAGGCCATCTGCGAAAGGCGCCTCCTTTTTATACGGCTCCAAGAAGGCGTTGCGCTTGCGCAGCCGGTCGTACTGCTGGATGACCCGCTTGAATAGGGTCGCCACGGAGGTGTGGTTCGCCAACATGAGTCCACTGACTCGGTGCGCGTGCTGCAGGTACGGCGATTTCTTCGTCAGCGCAACCTGGATGCTGGCTGGGCCCCAGGGGATGAACGAGGCGAGGCGGCGTTCGCGAATGCGCAGCAGGGACTTGTGGACGTCGGTGGGGTCTGCTTCGCCTTGAATCATGTTGAGGATACTGATGTAGCAGCTGGATTTGCTGGGGTTGATCGAGACCATGCGGTTCTTGGGTTGAAGCAGGCGGCGCATCACGTCCAGCACGGTCGTTTTGCGCACCGTTTTGGCTTGGTCGATGCTGTCGCCGGTAAAGGGGGTATAGGAGGTGAGCAGGAAGTGGCAGCGGGGGTGGGAATGAGCGAGGCAACAATTCCTGCGAGGTCATTGTGCATGTAGCCTGGATAGCGCAGGGTGGTGGTTGATGCCGACATCACCGTGGACACCTGCGGTTGTCAGCTCAGCTCAGCTCGTGAATTCTATATATCGCAGGTGAGTGTACTTACCAGCTGGTTAGTCTGATCGAAATTGTTATTATCAAAAGAGTCCGGTCTTACGTGGAGTCGATCGGCAGCAATTCGCGACAGAGCACCATTGTCCAGAACGACCTACCAGAGGTTCAGTTATGACAAGCACTTTGGTTATTTTTGGAAAGAACACATACCACAGAGTCCGCATCTTGTGTCAGTCGTCGCATGGAAAGCAGACTGTTGTAAGGGTTGACGACCACATCTGTCGTTTGCATATCCGGGAAGACAGAGTATGTCTGGATCAGCTTCTTCGGGAAGCGGTCATTCATTCGTTCCAAGAGAAAACTTCCCAGTCCAGAGCCTGTGCCTCCAGCAATCGAGTGAAGGAGCATGAAACCCTGTAATTCCGTAGAATGAGTCAACCTGTCGCGAGTTTGCGTGTTACGCATGGAGCCCGGAGACAAGAATCATACCTCCAGTGAATCACTGCCATCCGCTTCTCGGTCGATCATGTCAAATATTTCCTCCTGTACACCCTCTCCTGCCGCGTATCCAGCACCCCAATTGTTTCCAGCACCGACACCGTTTTGTCCGATAAAGAAGTTCTCGGGGTTGTAGATGTTGCGGTAGGGACCGGATTGAATTCCATGAAGAACCTATGCTGCTATCAGCCACTGTTTTTTCGGCTGCAAGGGCTTGGTTCTGTAGTGTTTTTCCACAGCTCAGTTGAGATATGCGAACTTCATACCCTAGGCTCTAAGTCGAGGAGGATCGCTCGGGGAATGTATCGGGTGTCGTCACTCTGTCCAGGATTCAGTCAGCCTCAAAGACAAGGGTCATGGCTTCAAGGCCCTCTTTGTAGCGAAAAGAAAATACCTGGTAAAAGAACACATCCTTCCGATCTCCGCCCTCGGTCGCAAACTCCTCCAAGTTCCCATCTTGGCTGATACCGTGCTCCAGGCACAGCTGTTGCCAGAATTGACTGCCGACTGCAGGAAGTCACTGTCAGCCACAAATATCCTAGACTCCTGCCGCACTGTCTGGTCCGCCACATTTCGACCCAGCAAGTAGGTAACTATGGTGTTGGGGGTGTAGTCGAGGTCCGCCAAAGAGCGCAACATACCGTTGTTGCCGCACTGGCCGGCTTGGATCGTAATGATTTCCCTGTGGTGGCCACGAGCATCAGTATGAGCTGCTCCGTATAAGTCCATTCACATGGCCTAGCTCCTGGGGTACCAACCTAGGCATTGTCGTCCACTTGTGCCGTCGGAGTGAAGGTTAGCACACGCGTACCGCGTTGGCGCGGGGAAACTTTTTGGCTGGCAGTGCGCAGCCTCAGGCACCAATATAGAGTGGGACGTCAACACTGGGCACTCAGCGAGAGACAAGTTAATCACAGCAAGCTCAATATTATGCTTTGTTTTGCTAGTGGTACAGAAGTGAAGGCTAAATCTGGTTGTAGGCAAAAAATCATGTCTCATATCCTTCTTGACCTCCCGGGGCCAGCTGGTATCATCGTTATTTCATCTCCGTCACATTTGCACGACTAGTTTTAATACCCCGATCTGCAATGGTCTGCAAGCTGTCGAGCGCCTGCCACCACACCATCAACGATTCTCACTTGGCGGCCTTCTTTCTTGCCATATGCTTGAATGCACCCCGATCTCACGGCCTCCTCCATGCCTACCATGCCGGCGCAGCCCAGGCAGACTGCACTGACAAAGTGTGGCGCATTCTCAAGCAGTCTGACGGTAGCTTCACAGATCCGACGCCTCACCTCCTCAGGGTCCGTCTTGTGCAGCTCAATAGCGGAAAGCCCGGTTGTCTCGACACCTGCAAAGCACGCAGGGGGTTTTTGGCCATTTCCAACGAGCATTTCTGTGACCGCGTTGGTGAGCTCTTCCTTCCATGCGCTGCCGGTAGTCACGATGCCGAAAGAGTCTGGAACCTGCTCCCGTGCGTAGATGACGCTGCTAATGTTGAATGCGCTCACCAGGGAGAGAGAGGTGGTAATGCTGGCTTCAAAGATGCCAGTCACATAGCGGTGCCGATGGTTGGTATGCTTCATCTCATACTCTGCGATTGCCTTCCTCAAGATCCCCACCAAGGGGTGGGCCGAATAGCAGGCGACCAGGAAAGCATCATAATCCGGAATGTATTGAACCGTGTTTCGGCAGACCCAAGCTGTTTTGGCCGAATCCACCGAGTTATTGATGCTGTCGATGGGGAACTCCGGGCTGTTTGGGTCGTAGTAATGGATTTCCCTCGGGGATGTGTAGAACCCCCACTCGACATCAGAGTAGTTGAGCTGCTCGATGATCGGCTTCAGAGCGTCTGTCATCTCCGTGGATACGTTGGGGTTGATGACCATAATTTTGATCGGGCGATTGCCTCGTTGTGCAGGCATGGTGGCGGCTGTTGAGGTCATTGAGATCGAAGAAGAGAGTGGTAACAGATGGGAAGCGAGGCTCAAAGTAGGTAGGAAATGAAAGATCTCAAGTAACAACAGATTTGGGGGTGGATTTGCATGCGATCGGTTCCGCAGAGGAAGTGGAGCTTGCAAAGGCTGTCGTTATCCCCAATCGGTGTCCTTCGCATCCGCAGCCCCTCACTCGGCCGACTCCAACTCCGACTCCGACTCCAACTCCAACTGCAAGTATCCCTCTTCCCCCCCCTCCTTCTCTGGCAGTGAGCAGATACCTACACCCAAATTCTAAAAACCCACCGCACTCAAGATGCCGCTTGTCGCACAGAACCCCCAACCGCGAGTCATCCTTGGCTTGATGACCTTTGGCCCGACCGAGTCCAAGGGTGCCCGCATCACCTCCCTTGATGAATACAACAAATGCCTAGATTACTTCCAGCAGCAAGGTTTCAACGAAGTCGATACCGCGCGAGTCTATGTCGGTGGAGAGCAGGAGGCATTCACGGCCAAGGCAAACTGGAAGGAGCGTGGCCTGACGCTTGCGACAAAATGGTATCCACAGGAAGCCGGTGCGCACAAGCCTGCTGTGGTGCGAGAGAAGCTCGAGCAGTCTTTGAAGGAATTGAATACCAATCAGGTCGACATCTTCTACCTGCATGCGCCGGATCGCTCAGTCCCCTTTGCTGAGACTCTGGAGGCGGTTAATGAGCTACACAAGGAGGGCAAGTTTGTCCAGTTCGGTCTGAGCAACTATACTGCTTTTGAAGTTGCCGAGATCGTCATTACCTGTGCTGAGAGGGGCTGGGTGCGGCCTACGATCTTCCAGGCCATGTATAACGCTATCAGTAAGTGATGATGGCCCCATCTTTTATCTCACTATCATTTCCCTCCTTTTGCGCATCTTGTTGGAAGCAGCAATTGATAGTCTCCATCACAGCCCGCAATATCGAGACTGAACTGGTCCCCGTCTGCCGCCGTTACGGCCTTGACATCGTCATTTACAACCCCCTTGCCGGAGGCTTATTCTCTGGAAAGTACAAGTCCAAGGACATTCCTGCAGAGGGAAGATATAGCGACAAGGGAAATACGGGAACTAACTACCGCAGCCGGTACTTCCGAGATGCGAACTTTGAAGCCCTGAGCATTATTGAGCCTGTTGTCGAGAAGCATGGCCTGACGTTGATTGAGACTGCTTTGCGGTGGGTACGTCACCACTCCGCCCTGAATATGGACAACGGGGGCCGCGATGGTGTCTTGGTTGGAGTTAGCAGCTTTGGTCAGCTTGAGACGAACCTCAAGGACCTACAGAAGGGACCCCTGCCAGATGAGGTTGTGGAGGTTTTGGACAAGGCCTGGATGATTGCCAAGCCTTATTCTGCAAACTACTGGCATCTGGACTTGAAGTATACCTATAACACTCAGGAAGCCTTGTTCAAGCCCAAGAAGGTCTAAACAGTCATTCTGGTACAAGTCAGCCTAGGAGATCTTGCCATGAACATGTACAACATATATGATCTGGTGGATTAGGCAGTTTTGCTGTGTGGAATGAAATTTCAATGAGGATGTGCTTGCATTTGTCTTGATTGGACCTACTTTGTCTAAGTCAGACATATGGTAACAAATTTTGCACAACCTTTTGAGGATGGCAGTCTTGTCGGATAACCTGGGGAAGAAGGCCGGGGGTGCGTTGAGAGAACAGTCCGCAAGTTCAACGAAGCAAGCGCCAGGGTCGGCCGCCTGGAGCATGATTATGTCTGGGCATCCATCATCTATGCTGAAAACTTGAACAAAACATGTTTCTAGGACGCAGCAGGTGCTAATTTTGGTCACTCGCCGTGAACGCCTGAGACAGCCCCGTTGACCTAATATTACAGGCTTGTCCTCTTACGGTATAGCGTAATGTCACAGGGCCCTGTCACGTGCAGCAACCCCCGAAGCGGCATAGGGTCTTGAATGACGAAGCCGTCCATTCCCCGGGGTAACTATCGTGCGCATCCGTCGTGAATGACTGTCCCGACTGCTCATCTACTAGTGTCGGACGTGTCCCACCTGGAACCTTCCCTCCAGCAGACTTGATCCCATCGCCCATCGCCCATCGCCGACGCCGCCACGACCCCTGCACCCTATCGAACGACCCTACGTGGCCGTAGCCTTATCCGCCCCCAAACGGATTCCTGACCGCATGCGAACCACGGCCCTCTCCTCGGCGATCTGGACCACCGTTGGCTCTGGAAGCCTGGGATCAGACGGATAGAGGGACAGAACGAAATCCTTGAGGCCAACGTGGTCCTGATCGCAACACTTGGAGGAGCGGAAAGAACATCATCTCCACTCCTTATCTGTTATCTTGAGCGGCCAGGGCAATCAGGTGGACGAGGACATCATCTGACATCCCCGGCGACAGAGACAGTCTCTTCAGATAAATTCAAAAAGAAGGCGCAAGAGCCGAATCACACACATTCAACGGCATTGTGGCTTCGGATAGCATTGAACTGGCAGAAACGCGGGATATAACCCCGGGCCCGGGTCGCGATTCCCAGGACTCAGACGACGAGATGGTTGTTAACCGCCCCCCATTGCACCGACCGACCGATGGCCGATCGCAGCAACCGTTACTCAAAGATGACCGCCCAGGGCGCCTGTCCCGATCCAGCTTCGGCCAAGATGCGGAGGGCCGGCCCATGTTGCACCACACCCGTCGGCCTACCATTCGGAGTAAAAGCCCGGAATACGACGCTACCCAGGCGACGCGAAAGAAGTATATGATAGCAGCGGGCTTCCTGCTGCTGAGCCTGGCTAGCTTTGTTGTTCAGACCGAGACTGCGGTATACATTCAACATGAGCTGCATTGGGATAAGCCGTACTGCATGCTGTAAGTTTGGACTCGTTACCCACCCACCGATGGGAGCCCGGCGAGCCTGGAGCGCACGAAAAACGATCCCCATCTAGACTTGTAAATCGCCTTTGGCTTACCACTCCTTTTACCCCACGCGCAGCTATATCACCCACGGTTCCTGGATAATGCTCTGGCCGGTCCAGCTCCTCATCCTTCGAATTCAGAAGCGGAAGCTTTCATGGGAAGCATTCTGGCGTCGCCATGTCTTCCTACTCAAAACCACCGCCCAGATGGTCGAGACTCAGGATGTCCACCTTACTTCCCGCGATTCCCATCGTTCACCAGTCTGGTACATGGTGAAGACGACTGCCTTTGTAACCACCGCGCTGACGATAGCTGGCGGTTCGTGGTACCTAGCCGTTAACTTGACCACAGCCAGTGACTTAACCGCCATCTACAACTGCTCGGCGTTTTTCGCCTACGCCTTCTCAATCCCGCTCCTGAAAGAAAAGCTGCGGTTCGACAAAGTCTTCGCCGTGTGCGTCGCTATCATCGGTGTTCTCGTCGTTGCCTACGGCGATCGGCCGGAAAAGAAGGTCTCGAAGGGAGGCACCACGGGTGCCGAAGACCAAGAAGCCCAGAACCGACTGTTGGGCAACATTGTCATCGGGGTCGGCAGTGTACTCTATGGCCTCTACGAGGTGCTGTACAAGCGTTTTGCGTGCCCTCCGGAGGGCACCAGCCCCGGCCGAGGCACCATCTTCGCCAACACGTTCGGCTCCATGATCGGATGCTTCACCCTCGCCGTGCTGTGGATTCCCATCCCCATCTTGCATTTCCTAGGCTGGGAGGAATTCCGAGTCCCCACCGGCGAGGCGGCTTGGATGCTCATTATCTCCATCTGTGCCAATGCCAGTACGTATCACCTTTCCTTTTCGTGTTGCGTGCAGAGGAACACTAAGACTCATACTCCGCGCCGCCAGCTTTCTCCGGGTCCTTCCTGGTGCTCATCTCCCTCACGTCCCCCGTCCTCTCGTCCGTTGCAGCGCTCCTGACGATCTTCCTCGTTGCGATCGTCGACTGGTTCCGCACCGGACAGCCCCTCTCTTTCGCAGCCATCATTGGAGGTGTTCTGATCATCGTGGCGTTCTTCATGCTGAGCTGGAGTACGTACCGTGAGTTGAATGAGGAGCGCAAAAAGCATCTGGAGAATGATCTGGTCGAGTCGGATAGCGACCAATAGACTCACACATCGTTTTCGGGTGACATGTCTTGGACTTCGTACCATATACTTTTTTGGGGGGGTTTGGAGTTGAGCGATTGCCTGGGTTTGAATTGGGGCTTGCACCTGTACGGTCTCGTGGTCCCCGTCATTCCCTACGACACTAGGTCCGGACGCATGGGGATAGAGGTATATAGAATGTTCCTATCTACTTGGAAGCACCTCTTAGTTTCCTGTACTACCCCGGATAATCCAGAACTTGCCAACTGCCGCCACAGAAGTAAGGTTGTGCAAGGACAGCTTAGCCTTGTGCTCATTCCCAATGCGACAAACCCAAAATCTCTGCCCGAACCGAGGCCTGATTTTTCTTGATGCCCGGGGGGTGTTTCTTTGATCGGAGCCGAAGTCTGGTCGGGCGGAGGCGACCGGCTATTCGAGGTCGACAGGGCTGCTCTCCACAGAACAGGCCGTGGGCCAGCGGGGAGGCCATTCCATGGACAGCATGTCGGCATCCCGGTTCCAAGCCACCGATGGGCCTCGGATGAAACGGGGTCGGCTCCGCCGTGAAGTACATCTGCCATCTGCGCATCTGGACTAGATCGCGCTGGACCGAACTGGACTGGGCATGACGTAGATTCTCCAGACAAAGCGAGAGGAGCTATGTTCAAGCCACCACGTCGACCGCCATGACCGCCTGGGATGATAGCGGGTGGCGATTGCATTTATTGCCTGCATATGAGAAACCCATCGGAGAGAGTACTGAGTACTCCGTACACACGAGCAGATGTGCGGGACGCGTACCGCTCACGCGGTTACTCTGTGCGGCACGCTCTTGATCTCTTTCAGATGCTTTTTCTTGGACACCAGCCCTAGGGTTGAATCTCACGGTGGTCAATTGATCGTTCAGCTCTCGGGCGATGTACTCGGGATCGACTATTGAAATGCAGACAGCGCCGGATCTCTTGTTGCCGCCCCAATTGGCTTCATGCCGATCGCCCCACGCAGTGCCCAACCTTCTCGCACTAAACCTCTCCCAGGCCAGGCGCAGAACGGGCAAACCCACATGCAATGTACATCCCACCAGCCTCCGTCATTGGTGGACCCTCTGCACGTCTTCCCCGTCGGACGCCAGGGGGTCGCAGGGAGTTGTTTCATTTGGGGGCCTCCTCTGAGCGCAGGGGACTCAGCTCCGCCTAGTCCAGTCTTACACCATCTCCTAACTCCCTGTCAAATGGCGCTAAGGCGTCGCCCTCCCTATTTATATCCAATACTACTGGCGCCAGGGCCCCATCAGATGGAGACGTCGCAGGCTTTGCTTCCAGTGCGACCTGGCAATCTCCCGGGCAATGGGTCTCATTCACCGCCCCCATCCAGGACGTCTTCCATCCCCATACAATCTACGGAGTACTGCTACTGCGGTGATGAGTCCTGGCCAGGAATCCCTGAAGACCGCCCTGCCTTGGCCCACGATTGCGGCCTGCCCCCTCCCCCCTGGTGACTCGCATACCAGCCCCCAGCGTGGCGTCGGCAAGACCCACCCGTATCAAGCGAAATTGTCCCGAGTGATTGGCCCTGGCGTTAGACTTATTGGTGCCTGCAGCCCACTTTTTCTCCGGATGCGTGCGACTGCTCATTGGCGCATGCCCTTGGACCCCAGGATCCTGCGATGCCCGTACCTGGTAGTTGTGAGGCAAAGTGGGCAGCGGGTTTGAGAGTGTGGTCCGTACCATGCCTGTAATGGCCCCATCGGATTGCTGGCTAACGAACTGCTGTCGTTCGGGCCCTAAGGGGCTTGGCTGGCCGAACACCTCGTATCTTGGTGGCAACCGACAGTCCCAAGTCATGACGTCCTCTATTTATTCAGATTTTCAATAGTCCCACCCCCCCCGGACTTCGCCTGAGAGAGCAATGGGGGGATCTCACATTCCTCGGAACACTGTCTTTGTTCGTTGTCAGATCTGGGCCTGGCCCCGGGCACCCCGAGTCAATCGACCCGACGGGGATGAGCCTATAGTTTGATCCTTCATTGGGTTCAGGCCGCCCAGCTCAGGGCGCAGGGATCTTCCCCTTCAGGCGGGCCCAACATCCTAGGGCACATCATTCAATTTGTGCACTCTCTGTCCAAGTCGTACTGTAGTGCAGTAGTGCAGTAGTGCAGTAGTGCAGTAGTATACGTATGAATACGTACTAAGCCTGTGAAGGGACTAGCAGCGACTCAATGGGTGAACAGGGAGGACGAATCACCCCTCTGGTTACTCCGACCGTATATATTCTCGTATCATGCGCGTATCCCGTCTGGTAAAATGGTCAGCTCCTAATCTCCCAGGCTCCTCCCCCTGCCAATCCACGGGCGCTCGGATGCGAACGGGTCAGTACCATACACCCGTACAGTACGGTCACCACTCCCCCTCCTGGCTTGTTGTTCTCTCGTCTTTTCCCTTTCAACCTTCAACCTCCAACCTCCAACCCTCACGACTCTCTCTCTCCTCGCCCTCTTCTCCTCCTCCTTGGCCTTCGTCGTGGCCGTCCGTTCCTTATTCGCCCTCTGCCGTTTCGACCGTCTGTGATCGACGACTGCCCCCCGACATCTTCACTTGTTGCGTTCTGCCTGGTGCGGAAGATTCAAATGATTCTCGCTCGAGTTGATTAGAACGACCTCCAGATTCCTTAGACTTTCGTGATAGGGAAGTCAAACGGTCTGGAGGTCTACTTTGTCCATCTGGATCTTTTCAACCGTCGTTTTGATTCTTCTTGTTCAATTCTTTTGCGTTTTTTTATTCTTCTTACACAGCATTGATGGCTTCCATTTCGCTCCCCCCGCAGCCCCGGTCGGGCTTTCCTTCACATTTCGACGCTCCTCCGCCAAATTCCGACTCGAGTTGTCGCCTGAGCATGCCGGCCCCGTTGCCCAACCCGCCGTTTGTGTTTCCCGCTCGCGACCCCGAGGGTTCGGACTCGCAGGCGAAGATGCCGGGTCGAACGCCACCCGCTCTGCCAGCATTTTCATTCAATCCTGGGGCGGGCCCATCTTTGCAGCCTGCGCCGGCCCCCAATCCTCGAGCTGGTGGACACAGACGGCGCCCCAGTGAATTCGTTGGGGGCGATCAATTAGTGACCCCGGGGGCCGGAGAATCCATGGATAAGCGGGAAGAACTTACCACCGCAACACAACCCAGCGCTCCATCGGGGCCTCCACCTGGGAGGGGACCAGGACGACGACATCACGCCCATCGCCGCTCAGCAGCAATCTCTGGTGTCGACTTGAATGCGATCAACAAGGCTCTTGGCACTAATCCGGCGGCAAGTGCGCCCGCTACCCCTGGAGATCGCACGTTCGACACCGCGAATGAGAGTCTTTCCCGGCCACTCTCATACTCGGCGACAAGTCTCGGTCGTCCGACGCCTCCAGCATCACCTCGGTTTTCTCCTGTGCCACCTGTCCCGCCCATTCCAACCGCGATCCATGTCGAGCCCCCTCCTACCAATAATCATGCGGATAATGCACGGCCTTCTTCAGCAATATCAGATGAGACTTCACCAAGCGCCAATAATGTCAGATTTGAGCAGCCTGAGGTTGATGTCCCGGTTGCGCGAGCAACGCCTCCCAAGCGCAGGTCAAAGCCACGGCCGAAAACGGCCGATGCGTCTTTGGCTTTCGACCTGATACAGAGCAAGAGCGTGCCCGACGCACCCGGAGTGAAGCGCTCGAAATCGACCGGGCACTCGCGTTCTCGTAAGAGTATGTCGACCGGGCATCTTGATGTCACACTTGCGAACCACGGCAGTGACGATGCGCACTCAACGGATACATCTCGCCCTTCGTACTCGGATGATGGCTCTGAATTGAGCGACACCGATAATGAAGCCGATGCTTCTTATCCAACGAAGAAATCCCACTCGAAATCGAAGAAGAAGCAGAAGCGTATTCGCTCCTGGGCGGGTGGGATTCTGACCCGAGGCAAAGGGAAACGCCATGCGAAGACGGATGCCGAGGAGAAGCCGGAAAGACAGGGAAAGCCAGCAGCATTAATACCTCCTGCGCTCACCCGAACTAATTCAGATGTCGGATCAGTCTTGGAAGTCGATTTTGATAATGACGATGTTGTTGTCCTTCGCACTCCCACCAATTCAGATGCACCTGTCTCCGCCGCCGAGCGTGCTAAGGATGAATCGCCCATGCCCGCTCCTAGCCTGGAAACTTCTTGGAAACCTCGAAGTTTTTATGAGCAGAACCTCTCGGCACAGGATGACGTGTTGAGTAGTCCGATTATTGACCTCGACGCTGCCCTTGGCCCCTTCAATACTCCCGGCGACAATCGACAGTCCCGAGGCACTCCGAGCAAGTTTCACCTGGCAACACAGCGCATGTACAGTGGTGGACGACGAGGCGAATTTGTTGGTCCTGAGATGCGCTATCACCGTCGCACCGAGAGTGCTCCGGTGATGCCTCCATTTGACCGTAGCGCTTTGAGTATCAACCGTTTGGTGGGTACCGCGGCACTTGAAACGCCTGATGTCTTCTACGAGGAAGAAGAGGACGCTTTCCTGGCTGCCACACACTTTCCTAGAGATGAGCTTGCCTCGTCAGCTCCTGCTGAGACTGCTCTTGCCTTCTCCTCTTCTTCATCCTCGGAGGAGGACAAGAACTCAGTCAAGAGTGATGACACTGCAGAGACCTTGACTAAGGCACCTGCACCCAGCTCGCCACAACATAAGGGTCTTGGGATCGAGGCGAACGAGGAGCCTGCCATCCCGAAGGAGGTACCACCTGTCCCGGTTGACGGTGTCTCTGTCGACACTATGCAGACTACACGCAATCCGTTTGCTACCCAGCCTCGAAGCCCCATCGCGATTTTGAAGTCGGAGGAAAGCGTGCCCAAAGCTCTAGGCCCGCCGAGTCCCGACGTCTCTCCACGCTTCGTGGCGGTTGACAAGCGGCCATCTACATCACCCCATATGCTTCCGCCTAGCATCCCTCCCTTCTCGCTGTCTGCTGGTGCCTCCCCCTCGGATTCATCGTTCCCGTCGCCCGATGCTCCACGCTTCAACGACCGCAATTTCTCGAGCCACTCCTACCACCATCTTCCTTCAGACTATCCTTACGCCTCAGTGGAGGATGTCCCCTCCCTCACAAGTAGCACGTCGACCATGACGAACACCATGCATCGCTTTTCTGCTACTTTCTTCCCTCGCGATCGCCTGTCGACTGACCGAGCCGCATCCTTCTCAGCCGCAGTCCACCGACGCGGCAGTCAAGCCAATACTTCCAAGCGCTCTAGCTTGGCGAGTCTGTCCAAACTTGTTGGCGGGCCCCATTCGGAGCGCAGCAAACTCTACCAAGAGGAGAAGCCTCCAGGGGATGCACTTGACAAGTCCAAGAAGAAGCGTCGTCTCAGTCGTCTCATGCAATTTTGGAAAGTGAGGGACAAGGAGAAGCATACAGAGCCGGCCGCGCCTCCCGACGGGCCGGTAGAAGAGTAACCTTACTCTGGTTCTGAATGCACATACTTTCTTTTTTCATGGCGCACATCTCGGCATAGCGATATCTTGACAAGAGTCATCGGTCCCCTTTCTTCACATCTCATCTCCCTCTTCTCGCGCTCGCCCCATCCCATTGCCTGGGCTTTCTACTATTCTCTTTCTCATTCCGATCGGTTCTGTACATACTTGGCTCGGGCTGTTTTTTGTTTTGTTTTTTTGTTTTTTTTTACACTTGTGGATTCTTTTCGATAATTCTGTCTGTTCGGCGGTCCTGCTCCCCCGTCTGCCGTCTTTTTGCAGACGCTCCTTACGAATTTCTTTACTCCTGGGATCGCCGTAGTAGGCACCCGGGTATGACATGCTCACATTTTTCTTGTCCATCGTTTATGTACCGGTGTGAGTGATGCACGGATTGATTATTGACATTCTCTACGATTGTTGTCCCCGCGTGGACCTTTCCTTTTTATTATTCTTATCATCTTTCGTTCTTACCTCACTGTCTTTTTCTTCTTCTGGCGGTTTGTCTGGAATATTATTCTTACCCGTCCTCCTCGTCATGGATGGGCTCTCTCTTTTTCTTCTTTTCATCTTTCTCTTCGTGATTCTAGTTGAGTTTCTGGTGTGGATGTGTTGTATCTATTGTTGGTACTGTACCGCTTTGGTGTATGTAGTGGCAATTTGAGTTTGATAAGCATGCGATAAGCCAAAAAGTCGTTCCCTCCCACTTTTCCCCACGTCCAGCTGTTCGACTTTCCAAATCGACAGCCTTCAATCGATAGCCAGTACTCTTGAGCCTAACCGCAGGAGCCTTCCATAGCTCTACTCGGACGCAATGCCAGGCCCACGACAGGGGAATCGCAGAAAGGACCGGGACACGTTCAACTCCAAACCCCTGCAAAAAACCCGCCAACCCGCAAAGCAACCCGAAAAGCAATCCGAAAAGCAATCCGAGCGCCAAACAACCCGCAAACCCAGCACCGACAAGGACAACAAGGACAGCCTAGACTCCGGCCCAATCGATCTCTCTACAACCATCCCCCTCCCCCTCCAACAACTCCTCCTCGACGTCTTCAAAACCGCCCTCCTCTCCGCCCCAGCAAACCCGCCCAATGGGGAAACCGAACCTCAAGACGAAGCCGCACCCCTCGACATAAAGTCCCTCATTCAGACGATCAAGTCTCATTTGTACCAGCGGGACTTTGACTCGGCGTTCACAGAGGCGGGCGAGGATCTTCTGCGCGCGTATGCGTTGCGCTGGAGCGCCGCGCGGGCGTTGGGGTATGCGGGGATTTTCAAGGCCGTGCTGCGATGGATGCGGCTCGAGGAGGAGGGGGCTGAGAAGGGAGATTCGCCGAGCGGGTCGAGCGTGAGGTCATCGACGAGAGCTGTGTGTCTTGGTGGAGGTGCTGGGGCCGAGATTGTCGCGTTGGCGGCGGCGTGGCGGGACTTGGAGATTGATGCCGGTGTTGCGGCGCTGGCGGAGGGTGTTGCGGGGGCTTCTTTAGATGAGAATGAGAGGACGGGTGGCGAGGAGAATGGTGCTGCTAGTCTCGCTGAGACGGGGACGGCCGTATCGCAATCGCAATCGCAATCGCAATCCCCCGGGCTGGTTGTTTCGGCGGTTGATATCGCGGACTGGTCTGTTGTGGTGGAGCGGCTGTCAAAGACAGTTACTTCGCCCAATGTGCCAACGCCGCCGACGTCGACATTTCAGCCTCCTTTGATGTCTGGTTGCGATGGCTCGCAGGATGATCGGAGTGGGATCTCGGTGTCCTTCAGCCGCTCCGATCTCCTGGTTCTTCCCGAGTCAGATCTCAAGGATGTCCTCCTGGGCAGCGAGCACACGGCCTCGGCGTCCACGTCTCTCCTTGTCACACTCATGTTCACCCTCAACGAACTATTCTCCACATCCATGGCCAAGACGACGGGCTTACTCCTCCGCATGACAGAAATACTCCCGTCAGGCGCCGTGCTCCTCGTCGTCGACAGCCCGGGCAGCTACTCAACCCTGAAGCTAGGCAAGGGCAAAGATGGGGCTGTACAGGAGCGACAGTATCCAATGAAGTTCCTACTTGACCACGCGCTGCTTTCTGTGACCGAGGGCAAATGGGAGCGAGTGTTGACCCAGGACTCGCGCTGGTGGAGGCGGGATGCGGCCAGACTGCGATATGAGGTTGGCGAGGGGGCTGGTTTGGAAGATATGCGGTACCAGCTGCATGTGTATCGGCGGTTGTAACCTGGTAACTAGACATAACTAGACATATATAAAAGCGTTTATAATGAGGTCCACGTGATATCCAATGACTTCTGTCCGGAAAGCAACCGGATATGCATTGACTGGCTTGAATTAGTTACAAACCCGCCTGCACCCTGGTAGCCGAAAATTGGTCAGTTGAACAATGAACTGAACTGGACCACGAAGAGCCTATGCGCTAGTATCAGGATCATGCTTAGGCCAGCAGTGGGGGAGTAGAGGTATTGGTATTGCTACAGATCAAATATGGTGGACAAAGTCAAGTCCACCGCCGCGAGGCTCATGCACAGTCCCACGGTCTCGCTTGCGATTAAATGGTACATTGGGTGGGTTTGGTCAAACCGACCGTATCAGACTGGACGGGCCCTTCAAATCATTTCTTCCTCCCAAAATCTTCATTAACCTCCTCCTCAAGTCCGCAGACCCAGCAGAAGGCTAGTGCTCTTGCCACCATCCTTGCCCTCACCACCACCAGGCAAATACGTGACGTTGGGGTTATTCGCCAGCGTCTGCGCAATCTCCCGGCTAGCGTCGATTTTACGGATCTCAATCAAGCCGCTGCCCGCCTTGGCAACAGCCTTGCTGATGATCTCAGCACTTTCGGCTTCACCCTCGGCACGGATAACGTTTGCCTGGCGCTCTTGCTCGGCGCGCTCGACGATGAACCGCGCCCGCTCGGCGTCTTGCTGGGCGATCTGCTTCTGCTCGACGGCGCGAGTGAACTCCTTGCCGAAGGTCATGTGGGTAATGGAGACATCCTCGAGGGCGATGTTGAACTGCGAGGCCCGCTTGAGGAGGTCGGTGCGGATGCGGTTGGAGACGGCTTCACGCTGGGTGATCAGTTCGGCGGCGTCGAATTGAGCGACGATTGCTTTGAGGACTTCATTGCCGATGGAGGGGAGCACTCGCTCATCGTAGTCTGTGCCGTAGGACTGGTTTCAGGCATTTCAAATTAGAATGCTGGATGGTTGCGTGGCGTGGTCAGGTTGGGGGTTTGCTTACCTGGTAGATCTGGGGCAGCTTCGGCACCTCCGGACGGTGCAGCACGCGGAGGGTCAGGCTGACCATCTGTAGATCCTTACTTCCGGTGGTGGTCGAGATATTGCGCGGCTTTGTTCGCACGTCGTAGACGATCGCTCGCTGCAGCCAGGGAATCAGGAAGTGTGTGCCTTCGTTGACGACGGCCTCCTGCACACCAGAGATCCTGTCGAAGATCACGGCGCGGGTGCCACCCCGGACATCATAGATGGACGCGTTGAATAAGAGGGCGCCGGCCGCCACAGGGCCAGCCAGCCGGTAGATGTTATACAGGGCGTTGGCCATGATGAAGTGGTGGTCGTGGAGGAGAGGACGATACTAGCTTGACCTGCGTGGAACGTCGATGATGGCGGGCTTTTCGGGGCAGCCCAATCGGGTTTAGTGCGCGGGTGCCAACTTCGCTGACTTCGTCTTTTCCCTTTCCGCCCTTTGCAATATCCCCCCTCAACCACATCTCCCTCCCCTCCTTTTTGCTTGAGATTATATCCTGTCACAATGGGTGGTGCTGTTGATCCGAAGAATGGCCAGTAAGTGCTTGAATCAGCCCTGCTTTCTGCTTCCTGTGTGGTCGAGGGTGCTTGGGTTGGTGCGTCCGGTTGCACCCGCTCGATCGGTCAGCCGGCAGACCACACCCCATTGGAGATGCTGCAATCATTGCAGTTTGCTTCCGACAACATCTCGGTACTGGATCAGTGACTAACATAACTGGAATAGTTTCATTGGCAACTGGGGCGAGTTCGGTACGTGGCAAAGCTTCCTTGAATCCCCCAAATCCTCAACTGCGCATACGACCTTTCCGACCGAACAAGCCGCGAATCGACTCGCATGGGGTGGAATCAACTTACAATGGAGGCAAAACTGACGCTTTCGGCTCCTACAGGCTGCCCGACCCCCAGCGCATTGCAACCTACGCGCTCTCGTCCAACCGCCAGCGCCCCTTCGCCGGTGCCTTCAACGCTGCCATCTTCAACACCTTCCGCCGGTTCCGTCACCAGGTCCTCTACGTTGTTCCTCCCTTCGTTATTGCCTATGCCGCCATGAACTGGGCCGTCGAGCGGTAAGATTGATTGCTTCAGCTGGGAACCGCGCCGGGAACCCAAGCGATGCTAGGCAATGTGTGCTAATGCTGGATCGCTCTAGCAACCATTACCTCAACTCCAAGCCCGGCCGTATGCTCGAGGGTGGCCACGAGGAGTAAACGCGCCATTTGCAGAGTTTCCGTGATAATTAAGGAGCGAGTGATGGAAGTATACCGCATGCGCGTGCGATGCGATGCGGGGCCGAGCAGCTGTATCCCTTGTACAGTAAACTAGAAAGCAATCGACCAATTGGGATTTCATTTGTCTGCCACCTTTTGTTTGCTCTGTAGTTCCTGCATGGATGTCATATCATTGAGTCTGATGGTCATAGTCGAGTTGCTCCGGCCCGAGTCAGCGCCAATTGGGGCTCGTCGATTGGCCCAGCCCGGGTAAACGAGCCCGTCCTCGCCGATTGCATAACCAGCCACACAGCCCAAGTGCCTCCCCAAGTGCCTCCCCAAGTGCCTCCCAATTAACCCCAATTGACCCCCGAAGAGCCCCTCCGTGGCGCCTGCAGAGAGCAAACCCGCCGCGAGTTTCTGTTACTTGATTGCTCCTCTGGGCCGCCCACCTAATTGAGCGTGCTGCTAGTTAGCTGGCGTCAATTGACCTTCCCAGTGGCCCAAAAGCCCAATTGTCCCCACTCGAACCGCCCGAGTAAAAATTCGCCCAAAATAGCCAAACTACCGCCGGCTTTTTCTTCGCATGCTGCGCTCCCTTCGACTTCCTTCCTTACGCCTCTTCCTCCCCGTCTGTCGTCGCAGCTTCACGTCTACTGTCATCATGAGCGAGATCACTCACCCCACTATCAAGGGTAAGTTCTTCTCCTCTCCTTACTCAACACCATCACCATCGCCCGCTGGGAGGAATTCGGCCCCCGCCATCACATCCCACCATCGCCCTTGTTCACCGTCGTCATCCCACTTTTACCCCTCCCACTCCACCTCCACCATCAATTTTCAACCACCACCAGCACCATCTATGATGGTTGACCACATGGCCGCAATGGGATCGCTAACCTTCCAATTTCAGATGGCTGGTTCTCCGAGCAGTCCGGCATGTGGCCCGGCCAGGCCATGAACCTCAAGGTTAACCAGGTTCTGCACCACGAGAAGTCCAAGTACCAGGACGTTCTCGTCTTCGAGAGCAGCGACTATGGCACCGTCCTGGTCCTGGACAACGTCATCCAGTGCACTGAGCGTGACGAGTTCTCCTACCAGGAGATGATCACCCACCTCGCCATGAACTCGCACCCCAACCCCAAGAAGGTCCTGGTCATCGGCGGCGGTGACGGCGGTGTCCTGCGCGAGGTCGTCAAGCACGAGTGCGTCGAGGAGGCCATCCTCTGCGACATCGACGAGGCCGTTATCCGTGTCTCCAAGAAGTACCTGCCCGGCATGAGCATTGGCTTCAAGCACCCCAAGTCCAAGGAGTACGTCGGCGACGGCTTCGAGTTCCTGAAGGACCACAAGAACGAGTTTGATGTTATCATCACCGACTCCTCCGACCCTGAGGGTCCCGCCGAGTCCCTCTTCCAGAAGCCCTACTTCGAGCTTCTGAACGATGCCCTCCGCGAGGGCGGCGTCATCACTACCCAAGGTTGTTCGTTGCCTTTCCTTCATCTTTTCCTCCTTTCTCATCTCCTGTTTCCTCTCTCCATTCCTGTCCTCCCTCTCCACTCCCTCCTCCTTTCTCAAAATTCTCTATTATCTTTTTTTCTCTTTGGCTGTTTTTTGTGTTTCCTGGTTACATTCCGTTCCTTCTTTTCTTCAAATCAAAAGTACTCCTGGCTAACCTTCCCCGCACTACGCCGCAACCAACCCGCTTTACGGGCTCGGTTTCGCGGAACTGTGCCTTTTGCCCAACAGCCGAGAACCAGTGGCTCCACCTCTCCCTGATCGCCGACCTGAAGAAGTCCTGCAACGAGGTCTTCCCCGTCGCCGAGTATGCCTACACCACCATCCCCACCTACCCCTCCGGCCAGATCGGCTTCATGGTCTGCTGCAAGGACGCCACCCGCAACGTGCGCGAGCCCGTCCGCTCCTGGACCCGCGAGGAGGAGGAGAAGCACTGCCGCTACTACAACCAGGACATCCACCGCGCCAGCTTCGTGCTGCCCAACTTTGCCCGCAAGGCGCTCGGTGCGTAAGGGCGGATGGCATGGGTTTGATAGAGTGGTGATCCTAATCATCCTTTGTATTTTCGGGATGAACAAAAAGTCAGGGGGGTTATGAATTATATCATGATGAATGAATCTCGTTCTCGATAGTGCTCTTTTCCTTCTTCTTTCTCTTGCTCGGTTATGGTTCATCGCGGTGACTATAATACCCTGTAGTTGCTGGAAGGGATCTCCGCCAATGAGCTCTCTCCAGTGTGCCGTCCATCGCTCTCTGCGCTCGATCAACCACCTCTCAGCCGGGTGGATGAAATGCCCGGGCGTCTTTCTGGATTTCATTGTAGCAAACCACACTATTTCGCTAAATCTTTCATCGCCAAGGATCTTTGATATTCGCTGGTTTGTCTCACAAATCATACATACAGCGATTCGTTCCGAATTCAAGAAGAGTACATGGATCTTTATATATCGCGAAAGGAGAATGTCAATCAACTCGAAGACGGTGGATAGGCATATTGAGGAGTCGAAAATGTTGAAACAAGATGGGGTTGGGGTGGAAGGACGCGCCGGGAGGAAAAAGCGATCGTTTCGCCGCCAACGCCACTGGTTCTCTCGCTCTGTGGCATATACATGGGAGTAATGTGCGTATATCAACTAGAGACCGACTACGGACTAGAAAACCAAATCGACCAAGAATCGCTCTATTTCATTCTTTAAAAAAGGTCCAAAGGCTGTCGCCCTCAACTAAAAAAAAACCCGCAAAATATTTTGAACTCTTCAACCACGACCATCGCTTACAGGATCTGCTGGAAGGCACGGTTGACGGGCGAGCGGACTTTGTGGCCCTTGTAGAACTCGATGGTGGCAACAGCGCGCTTGGCAATGCCCTCGGGGGTGAACTCGAACTTCTCATAGACCTGCTTGTAGGGGCCGGAGGCACCGAAGCGGTTGAGACCGAACTGTTCGTGGGAATAGCGCTCCCAGCCCATGGTCGAGCAGGCCTCGACGGACAGGACGGGGATGCCGTCGGGCAGGACTTGGAGGCGGTAGGCCTTGTCCTGGGCGTCGAAGACCTCGAAGCAAGGAACGGAGACGACACGGGCCTTGATGCCCTGGGCCTCGAGGGTCTTGACGGCGTCGATACAGATGCCGACCTCGGAACCGGTGGAGATGATGGTGACGGCAGCCTCGGGGTTCTCGATGGCGACGTAGCCACCCTTGATGGCAGCCTGGATGGAGGAGTTCTCCAGCTGGGGGAGGTTCTGGCGGGTCAGGGCCAGGATACTGGGGGTGTGCTTGGCGGTCAGAGCCGAGTAGTAGGCGGCGCTGGTCTCGTTGCCGTCGGCGGGGCGCCAGACCATGCAGTTGGGCAGGGCGCGGAAGTGAGCCAGGGTCTCGATAGGCTGGTGGGTCGGGCCGTCCTCACCCAGACCGATGGAGTCGTGGGTAGCGACGTGAATGACACGGACGCGGGACAGAGCCGACAGACGGACGGCACCGGCGGCGTACGAGACGAAGTTCAGGAAGGTACCACCAGCAGGGATGACGGTGCCGTAGGCAGCCAGGCCGTTCATGACGGCAGCCATGGCGTGCTCACGCACACCGTAGCGGAGGTAGCGGCCAGACCACTCGCCAATGCCGAGGTCGGGGGCTGGAAGTCGACAGCGTTCTTCCAGCGGGTGTTGTTGGAGCCAGTCAGATCGGCCGAGCCAGACAGCAACTCAGGGACGACGCTGTGGATCTTCTCCAAGACGGCCTCGGACAGCTTGCGGGAGGCAATGGCGGGGTCGGCGGAGGTGTAGGTGGGGAGGCTCTTCTCCCAGCCCTCGGGAAGCTTGCCGGCGAGACGGCGGGCGAGGTCAGCAGCCTCTGTGGGGAAAGCCTGCTGGTACTTCTGGAAGAGGGCGTTCCACTCCTGCTCCTTGGCCGCACCGGCGGCGGCATGCTTGCCGTACAGCTCGTAGACGGACTGGGGAACCACGAAGCTCTCCTCGGGGTTGAAGCCAAACTTCTCCTTGACCTGCTTGGCGTCGTCGGCCTTGAGGGGGTTGCCGTGGACACCACCGGTGCCGGCGAGCTTGGAGCCGAAGCCAATGGTGGTGGTCAGCTTGATGACGGAGGGCTTGTCAGTGACCTGCTGGCACTTGCGGATAGCATCCTCAATGCCCTGGAGGTCGTGGTCGCCATCCTTAACCCACTCGGTGTGCCAGCCGTAGGCCTCGAAGCGCTTCATGACATCCTCAGTGAAGGCGCACTTGGTGTCACCGTCTAGAGGGAAGGTGAAAAAAAGGCGTTAACTCTCGGTAAGAAAAATGGAAAAAAGAGGATCAATCCTCGGGGAAGGGGGTCACTGATCGACCTTACCAATGGAAATGTGGTTGTCGTCGTAGATGGCAATCAGGTTGCCCAGCTTCAAGTGACCGGCCATGGAGGCAGCCTCGGAGGCGATACCCTCCATGGCGCAGCCATCACCGAAGAACATGTAGGTGTGGTTGTTGAAGAGCTCATAGCCGGACTTGTTGAAGACACCACCGGAGTGGGCCTGGGCGATGGCCAGACCGACGGCGTTGGCGAAACCCTGACCCAGGGGGCCAGTGGTAACCTCAATGCCCGGAGTGTCGTGGGCCTCGGGGTGACCAGGGGTTTTGCTGTCGAGTTGCTGGGAGGGATCAGTCAGCATGGGGGAAGGGTTCGGAGAGGCAATGTGAAGAGACTTACACGGAAGTTCTTCAGGTCATCCATGGTGAGGTCATAGCCGAACAGGTGCAGCAGAGCGTACTGCAGCATGCAGCCGTGGCCGTTTCTGTCCAGTTATTGCGTGTTAGGAGCGTGGTTCTCGCGCGCTGGGAGGGAGGGATCCCCAGGAGTGGCGGAGAGCGTGCTCTTGCGGGGAGCAATGGGGAAGCCACAGATGGCACGTACGAGAGAACGAAGCGATCACGGTTGGCCCAGTCGGGGTTCTTGGGGTTGAAGTTCATGAACTTGTTGAACAGAACGTGGGCCACAGGGGCCATGCCCATGGGGGCACCGGGGTGGCCCGAGTTAGCCTGGGAGGTGGCATCGATCTAGAGACCTCATCAGTATCGCTCGCAGCGTGGTATAGACATCACCAGATGCCTGGTCCCCTGTGCATATCGGGAATGGAGTGCCTCCAATGGCACCGGAAGGACCTGCAGGGCGGCGAGAGGAGATGACATACCGCGAGAACACGAATGGTGTTGATCGCCAACTGGTCTAATTCAGAGTAACCCATGATGGCGGATTCTAGGGCGATGTCAGTGAAAGAAGTTGGTCCGGAGCAGACAGGCGACTCACAAGCAAGATGGTAATGGCAGGAAGAGGAAGGGGAGAAAGCAGCGGGAGGAAGGGGACGTATTTGTTGGTGGGGTATGATGTCCGTGGTGGGGCAGTCCGCGGCAGCCGGCCTTTCTCACCACCACTGCGAGGACAAGGAACAGCGAAATCCTCACCAATGGCTGCAGCAGGTTTCGCCTGATACGATCAGGTACCAATCGCGGACTCTCGTTTCTACACGGCACTCCCACGCCCAAAATCAACACCACAGCAACGCAGCGCGAAAAGCCATAGTTGCATCATCGTATGCGGGCATGGCTGACTCAGCGAGGGGCAGCCGCCACTCCACGCAGTCTGCACGACTCGATGGCTCTCGACCCGCCGAATTGACTAAATTACAGAGTACGGAGCACAGTATTCCTCGGGGGGGATTGAATGCTCCGCCCACCAGAATTACTCCGGTGGGAGAGAATCAGCCGTGGCACCCGGCCTCCCAACCGTTGACCCTGTTGGCCCTGTTGGCCCTGTTGGCCCTGTTGGCCCTGCCCAGCCACAGACTCTACACCGGTGCCGCCCGGAGGACGCTGCTCCGACCGAGCACTGCAATTAGCCGACCATGCGATGGGCGATATGGGGTAATATGGTACGCTATAGGAAACTGTGCCCACGACGATCAAAGGGTCCCTTCCGTCTCTGCCACTGGAACGTATCGCCACGGGATCACGGATCACAATCACTTGACCAAAGGGTACATCCAGGCTATTACCAAAGGGTACACTCATAATCGGCTTCCCTCATCAGGCCAATCCGATTCGGCGTGCCGCTCAGTCCCGAGCCACAGGAAAAGTCCGCATCTCCACAAAAGAACATTCGCCGTGGGAAGGCCCGGTGTCCACGATGGGACATAACCGCGGCTGAGTCATCCCTGGCGTGGGTTCACCAGATATGGTTCACTGGATGGTATGGAGTTATGGAGTTATGAAGTTTTAGGGCTGCGCTTTGACTCGCATCCTTATAGCTGTGGCACGAGCCCCGCCAGTCCGGTGAAGCGGTTCTTGTGCGATCTACAAGCCTGAGCATCCACCATGAATGGGGGGTGGGTTGCACTACAATGGGCTGTGTTTTCTGTTCCCTTGTCCAGTAGGTCTACAACACCAGCGTATTCAACCGGCATGGGCAAAATGGCACAACCCGGGCTGGGGGCTGTCAGCATGCATGGAATCAAGCGATCAAGTGGATCCAAGGCGTGGGGGGCCACCATCGGGGATTGAAAGTGCCTTATCCGGAAACCGGTACCCTGAATGGATCACGCTTCGACGATGTCTTTTGACTGTTTCATACGATAGTGCCCCTAAAGACCTATCTTGTCCCGGTCGATTTCGAGGCAAACTGCCCAAGTGTCAAGCAAAGGAACCTGCATCATCGGGTGGGTTAGCCGATAGCTCTACCGATATGTAGTATGCCCCACCCGCTTACTTCTCATTATACAAGCCGATCAAGAGATAAGTTGACCGCATACGGTGAGACGGATGCCAAAAAATCCCACAGAAACGAGCCAGCATCGTGATAGAATGCATGAGCCAACGTTACCGTGTGATATTGAACCCCAGGTCGGCGAAAATCCGCTATGGAACAGGCGAAGGGAAGGTGCCTAATTGCCTCGACGAGACAGGCGAAACGACTTGATTGCTGGCCCCAGTAAGCCAAATCATGTTACCAAAATACCTGGCGAGCGGTAATAAAGAGACGTAATCCACAGCCGCTCAGGAGCGTACCGCCCGTGGATAGGCCTCAATTCAACTCGAAATCCTTTCTCGGTGACAGACGGTAGCAACGAACTAAGTGGCCTGTTGAGACGTAGACGTGTATCGAGTGCTATGCTTTTTTCTCCAAGGGAGGTTCATCTTGGAATAGGTCTACGAGACTATTCGGTTTGGGGCATTTGAGCTGTCAAACGTATGCTTGCTGCTAGTATCGAAGATCGTTGGTTGCGAGGAATAAACTTGCGTCAAAAGCACGGCCAAACATAGAACAGGCTGCCAGGACTCGAAGAGCAATAAGGTAATATACACTACATACACAGTCTCACCAACTCCATATTTAACTATTTATGCCTCCGCGGCTCTCCGGTATAGTGGGGACATCCTCCTGCACACCACCGGTGGGGTCCGCAATGTGAGCTGATGCACCCTGCCCCTTATCAAAAGACCCCCGAATAACGTTGGGATCGGCCGGGAATACAAACTTGGAGCTTTTCCACGGCTTGACGTGCATGAGATACATCGTATCAATCTCCTCGAGTGTCCGGCCCTGGCCCTCGATCACAGCGAAATAGACCAGACCGGCCGCAAGGAACAAGCAACCCGCAAAGACATAGCCAAAGCGGAAGTCGATGGCGCTGACGATGAAAGGTGTGAAGAATGCCAGCAAGAAGTTCCACAGCCAGTTGGAGGCGGTGGCAAGCGACATGGCGCGCGCACGGTACTGCGAGGGATACAGCTCGGCGATGATGGTCCACACCATCGGGCCCCAAGTACTGGCAAAGGCCAGAATGAACAGACAAGCGAAGACGACCATGGCCACGCCGGCGGAGTGTGTTCTTTCAGGGTCAACACGATCAAGGGAGAAATGACCCACAGAAGCGAAGACCATAAAGCAGACGAACATCCACAGTGCGCCTGCAATAAGAGAGCGACGGCGACCATAGTGTTCAACCAGGTACAAACCAAGGAACGTGGATCCAAAATTGACCCCGCCGAGGATCATCTGCGTGACGTAGCTGTTGTGGATACCGGCACCGTTGAATACGGTGGTTCCGTAGTAGAAAAAGTAGTTGGCACCGGTCAGCTGCTGCAGTGCTTGTAGAGCCATACCGACAGCCACGCGGTACCCCATTGTCGGGGAGCGGAAGAGCTGTATCCAAGTAACTTGGCCATTGCGGACTTCTTCATCGTACTTTTCTTTGATCTCGTTGAATTCGATGAGGAGAGCGCGGTGGTTACGGGGAATGCCGTAAATCTTAGAGAGGGTATCGATGGCCTTGTCCACTTTGTTGTTGCGGTAGTCGTAGCGGGGACTTTCGGGGAAGAGGGCCATTCCGAACCCGAGAACTATGGCCCAAAGGTAGGTTATACCCATGGGAATGCGCCATGATGAAGTGTTGGTATTAGTTTCGGTTCCGAAGTTGATGCAGTTGGCGACGAAGATACCGAGCGTGATGAACAACTGGTAGGTGCTGGGACATGTTAGGCATCACATCCTTTCTATGATTCGTGGTCCGGGACATACCTAATCAAAGACCCTCGAATGTGTCTCGGTCCTGACTCGGCCTGGTACATGGGGACCAGCAAAGACAGTGCACCGACACCTAGGCCTGCCACCCAACGGCCCATAGCAATTTGATACCATTTCCCAGTAGGTGAGGAAATCTGCACCGTAATACCGATGCAGACAATCACACACCAGCCACTTATGGACCATTTTCGTCCCACACGATCCGCGATCGGGGCGGCAATCAATGCACCAATCAAAGTACCGATAGATAACTAGATAATCAATTAGCATCAAGCCACTTTAGAAAGGCCCGAGTAGGCCGGTGGTGTTTGGGGGGCCACTTACCAAACCAACAATAAGACCCGACCGTGCGTTGCTAAAGTGGTAGGTCCCATCAGAACCCAATTGACCATATCGTCGCAGGAAGTTCTCCATCTCCAAGAAACCAGAGATTTGACCGGTATCATAGCCGAACAGAAAGCCGCCCATGGAGACAAACAGGCCCATTATGGCGGAGCGCCATGTCAACAACGGGATAGGTGTATCGACCATATCGCTAGGGCCTTTCTCGTGGTCCGCCGTAGAGACCGATTCTCTAAGCGCGGTGTCGCCATAGATCTCCTCCGGCCGTTTTTGGAATTTCTGGAAGAAGCTTTTGAGACCCATATCGAATGATGCAGACAAGCGTGACGTATGCTTGTCCAGGCGTTTTCAATCTAATTGCTATTGTTTGCCAAGTCTTTGTACAGGTCTGTCGAAAGACGCAAAGGACGTCCCTTTTATACGTCCCTGGGGCCCATGAACAGGCCAGGTCTGGGTAATGGGACCAGATGCTGCGTCAACCCGGACCAATAGACTAAACAGGGATTTGATGACTCGTTGATCTGCCCGCGCTGAGGAGTTGCCTTTGGCGGCCGTCGGTCAACTCCGTGTTAGACCATGCGACAGCCTGCGAAAGCAGGAATCTGGGGAAGCGGGGGTTCGCTTCTACCGATTTTGTCGGCTCATCCATGGTTTCCGGGAGTGCCGGCCAGTCTTTTGCAAGGACCCAGACCTTCTGGCCAAGAGTGATATCAGTGGCGTGCCACGCAATGGGGTTCTCATTGTGCCTCGTGATGATGGTTTCCGGCTTTCCGGCCTGTTTGGGTGGCAAACTGCATGATGCACGAACGCTGCTCTTCTGGGGATCCTTAGTGATGAGATCCGTGGCAGCCATGACAGATTCGGGCTCGCTTCGGGCTCGCTTCCGACCACCCCACTGGGTGGTGAAGGTATCCACCCTGGGTGGCTTTACTAGAATGTGGGTCGCCGGGAAGAACGATGACTGGCATTCCCCAGGTCTCAGGGCCGATTTGGCGCTCGGTAGGCCGAGCAAATGTTCGGGATCATGCGGATACTACGCCACGTGTGCGCCTCATTGCCCTAATGCGTTTGACGGGCGTTGATCTACAACAATAGTTACCTTGAGGAATTTTGGGCATTGAAGACATGTGTGGTGTTCGGTATTCTATCTCGTGCTTGAGTTTGCATCCATGGCATGTTGTCAGGGGCTACATCGTGATTTCTTCTAAAAGCGACAGTCAACGTACCTTTTTGATGATATTCATATTCTTTAGTTTTAGCTGCGATTGCCGTTATGTCGATGGCATCTTTCCTCGTCCTCGATTCAGCGATGACAGAGATGCGATTAGTATGTTCAAGGAAAGGTATACACAAGTTCGGAGTGCAACAAGGGTAATAGCGGGAAAGGTTGGTTATGGATATAAGTATGAACATAAGTCTCAATATATATTTCATCAAACAAAAATGGGCATGTACACAATATCCGCATCCAAGATCAAAGCCAAGGTCATATATCCTAATCAACAACCCAAGTACTTTAACGCCGATTCCAAAAAGAGACGACGAAAGAAACGCCTCCCAGGTATCATAATCACAATCATCAAAACCATCCTAACCCTTCTGAAATAAATGAGAACAATGGGAAAATAAGCACAGAGCCGATAGGAATCTCAGACGGCCAGCCGTCGGTCCCAGCCGTTGACCAGGGGAAACTCATCAATCTCCCCCCTTGCCTGGCATTGGGAGCCCCTGGAACGGGCCAAGAAGAGCGATGTCGTCGGGACGCACCGAGGAACCTGCAAGGGAGGCGAAGTTGTCTTCGGCGCTACCCATGCTCTCGCCAGAGTAGCTCAGTGCGCTTTGCGTGGTATGTTCATGGTTTGGGGGGTAATCACCACTGCTCGCTGACCAAGCTTCAGGGGACAAACCATGTAGGTCATTTGACAGGGGTGCGGGATTGTTGAGCGTGGCGTCATTGGGTTTGCGGTTGTACTCGGCTGTGATCGAGGCGAATGGACCAGGATCATCGCCGCATTCACTGCCGCCATAGATGCCGTTGAAGATGTTGGAATATCCTCGGTCCATATCGCTTAGGACGTACTCCCAATCAGCCATGGTGATGGCTCCAGCAGTGGCGTCAGAAGGAGTGGAGCATGACAGGGCTCGAGGGTGGTCATACCCAATGGTCGAAGACACAGGTCGTGAATCCGAGCCAAGATCCAAAGAAGAGTGTCCTCTATCTGCAGGGTATTGGGCAGCAGAGAGAGGGTCATGCTGAGATGGAGAGATACTTGGCCAACTTGGAGACCGAATAGACTGAGAATTAAGCGGACTAGAGCCAGAGACGGTATTTCGGCGCGAAGATGGGGCCTGCATGCCGAGTTGATCCTTGCTGATGCTGTTGGTCATGCCAGACTTGAGGGACAGCAGCTGCTTCTTCGGAGACCTGAAAGGCTTGTGGGTTGGCGCCTCCATCTCGTGCGACTGCTTGGCGGTGGGCACAGTCCCATGATCGCAAATGTCCAGAGACACCAAAGTGCTGGCAAGTGTACTGAACTCAGCAGCTGCATCGGATGATTCGAGTTCAAGCTGCTCAAGAATAGCAACGAGTAGCTTCTGACTCTCTTTTGCCAACTTGCTGTCACGCTTCAAGCCCATGGTCTGCCACAATAGGCCAAGGCCGGAGAAGAGCATCAGCTCTTTCCGATTGATACTGACAGAAAGGCAAAGCCGACGTTCGTCCAGCAGCTGGAGGATTTGAACGATGTGCTTCGCAGAATCAGACATTGCCAAGACCGACGGAGAGCGAAGATGCTCTTCGGCGAAGCACACGGCCGGGCGGTGAATCAAAGATCGAATGAAGTAGTAAACGAGAGATAGGAGAGGTGACCGACTGCTCGTGACGTTAGTGCTAGGCTTGTCCTGGCTGAACTCTAGGCGAAGATGGGGAGGTAGCGCGTGAAGCCACTCCTCAAGCTGTCCTGCGGCCGAGCGCAACTTGGAGACGCAAACGTCGTATCCAGACTTGGAAGGGTACAGGTCCTCCAAAGCCTTATTCAGGATACGCGAGGCGCCGAAGAGTGCCAGGGCGCTCGAGATGCGGGTAGATTCACCGGGCAGGGTTGGCAAGAAGCCAGACTCGGTGACATTCTCATCATCCACATCAGCAGGATACTCGGTCTCAATATCAGTCTCGCGCAACAGAACAGGCATTCCAGTAAGAGCGGAGCAGAAACGGTCCAAGGTGTATTGACACCAAAAGACCTTCTTGTAGGTTTCACCTTCCAGAGGGTTGGAGGACGAATCCGCCCGGATCTGGTGCAGATCCAGCTGGTGGCAGATATCGACGGCAAGGGCACGATACCGCAGCATACTCCGATAGTCGCCCTTGGTCATGCAGTAAAGCTGGGCCAGAATGAAGCACTGCAAGCCTCCGATGGAGGTTTCGCTGGAGAAAGAATCAAGAGAAACAGTCCAATTCTGCTCGAAGAAAGCAGGGTCTTGGTTGGTTCGCGACTGCCCAATCAATTAATAAGTTTCGTCTTACCCACGGTGGCACACTTGACACTTACACTTGACGAAAGAGCTGCAATTCCGAAAATCAGATTCAACTGAGCCATAAGATAGACATCATGTTTCAAAGAGTCGGAATCGTTCAAATATTCCCCATAAGCCTTTAGAATGGTCGGACGGTGAACAACTGGGTACAGCGGCGCCCATTCCTGGAAGAAAATATTGATGAGTTGATCCGACACCAAGCGCGGTGGCGTCTTGACGATCTGGTTGGGAGATCCACGAGAAACGGATGGGGACAGTTTCGTCAAAGTGTGGAGGGGAATTTTCGATGTCGACTTCCCCTGGCCGACAAGTTTCTCGTTGAAGGTATCTAAATGAAGTCAGATCCTGGTTCTGGGTGGCGCCTGCGAAAGATAAAAATCTTTCCACATACCAGCAAAGCCTTGGGTGGTTGAAAAGGCGGAATAAGGATTTCCAGACGACTTCTGCGGCCTAGATTGAGCAGAGGATTTTTCGATATGAATCAACCCCTCTCCCAAGTCCGAGGTCGGAGATTTGTTCGGTCCGGTCATAGAGGGAGGTCGCATAGACGCCGATCGTTGCGGGGGTGAGAAAGAGTGTATCCGCGACAAAACGTCAATCTTCTCATCCTTCTCGTCCAGCAGGTCCTTCAGATCTTTGACCTCCCCTTCCAAAGTCCGCACACGCTCCTCCAGGGATTCGGTATATCCACGAGGGAACGCTCGGCGGCTCAGTTTGTCGCTCGTTTTACACTCGAACCCAACGTTGGCACATTGTGTACAGCATGGGCGAATGCCATCGCAGCGGATCTTTTTGCTCCTGCATCGGTCGCAGGCCTGGGCTATCCGGCTTTGGGTGCCGGTGCCGCCGACCTTGATCACTTTCATCGGCAAGATACCAGGCATTTTGGGGGGACAGGCGGGCGCATCGGCCGTCGCGGTTCACGAGGTTCGTAGGTCGTCCAGGAGTGGTCGAGTCGAGATGGGCACAAATAAGCTGACCGTTTTTCTGGGCAGAATAGTAGTTGAAGGCACCGTAGCCAGGTTTTGTAGTGACTGAAGGCAAGTTGGAGGAGGGGGGGAGATGATGGGAGATGATGGACCGGGTAATGCAAGCGTGCGTATGCTGAGTAATTGGCTGGGGACTGCTGACCCACACTCCCACCAATCATATGTCGCAAATTTAGTGTACCGTCATGTATTGCGGCGAAGGTTAAATCGTCTCCCCTTTTTCTTTTCGGCTACCGTGTACTCACCCCATGGGGCGACAGAAGCATCGGGGGGTTTCGGATGCGCGTCTTCACTCCTACGATTTCTTCACCAGACTCTTCTAGACCGATTTGATCTCCAGCCCACTATCGCCGCCCCCCGGGATTTACGATGCCGGAGGATCGTGGGATCCTCCCGAGGTCCCCCGGACTCCACCCTCCCGCAATCCTTGGCTGTACCGAATATACCGCCGTACACGCCTTGAACATGAGCGTTTAAACGTCTCCGTACGTGTACATGCATTGGCACGGGCTGTGATACGAAGCCCAAAAACGAATGAAACGCTGGCTCAGCCCCCTCCACTCAACGAACTCTGCTGCTCACCCGCAAAGTCATAATGCGATCATCGTGGGCTCGGATAGAGTTCTCAAGGATCCCCCCGTCTTCGGAAGTGGTAACAGTGACCACATCCGAGGTCCCCCCCGGCCCCAGCCTCGGCGGGCAGTTCACCCCAGCGCCACTGCTCATGCATCAAACTTGCCAGCGCAACTTTCAGCGACGATCGACCATGGTAGCCCCGCGGATCAGGGCCAACTCACGCAATAACCTCTCGTCCAAGACGCTGAAAAAGGGAACAGGGATGGGGTCATAGGGGACCGGCGCCACGTCGGTTTCAAGCTCAGACGTCCGCTCCCCGCAAGTATCGTCTTAACGTGAGGGGCCTCGTGCTCACTCCGGTATTCGGCGCAAATACCGGGTGGCTCCCGCATGTTCTGCACAGTTGCATGACCGCCGTCTGCATGCGCAATAGATAGATACGACTGCTAGATTTGCCTACTGTCTCTAGCAGTAAAACCGTGGAAGTGGCGAGATCACCCCAACCGTTCATGCAGGTAAATTACCCATGGGGAGACAGGTCTTGTGCATGATGCTGTCACAGCATCCACGGCCAATAAAGGAACTTCAATTATGATGGACGGGATTTGAACCCTTCCATTTACTTGCTCGGGATTTGGATTATATTCCAGAGATCCCCACGGCGAGTATTGCCCGAGCGAAGCCCGACAAGGCCATGAACCATGGTTTGATTAGTACAGCCCCACCCAAGCCATCCGTTGCAACCGGCTCTGATCTACAGGACTCCACGGAGTGCCTTCAGGGCCGCCAACGCAGGCAGAGACGGGCGCGACTTGTATTTATGGGCTGTTCACGTTGGGTTGCCAGGCTGCCTGTTTCCAAGTACGCCGACTGACAGTGTCGAAGAACCTGCCGAGTGTCCTGCTCAGCCCTAGGAACTCAATACGTCCTGCATCCCTGTACAGACTAGTTGAATATCAGATCATCAATGCGTCAGATACCCGACCACACCAGACTAGGGACCCTGTATTCCGCAGAATAGAAGTTAACGTCATCTGGAGACACCCCGGATATGGTCAACGTCGATCAACCCAATTTCAAGAAATCTCCGCTCCAACCCTCGGCGAGTTTCGACGGTGAATGATCTACATCTGTCCGCGAACGGCACGGGCTTCACAAGTACGAAGTAACGTAGTTGACCCTCTTTTCGCTTGAACCAGTAACGGCTGATGTATTTTCTCTGTTTCAACGACGGAGGACTCCACGCTATATGCTTCCGAAATGGGCTGTATGAATGCATCGTGCTTTCGGTTCCGGGAGGCCTCCAAGCTGGACATAGTTCGACCCGTTGCCGATTTAGTTCTCTCCATGGATCTAGATTCATGATTATATCATGAAAAGTCTTCCACGTCCTCCGCCTGGGCTTGTTGAGCGAGGTAGGCTGTGACCGTTTCAGATCCCAACAGGTCGGTTTTCTGGAGCAAGGGGAGGTTAGTGATTGCCTGGCAGCTGGAAGGTGTCACTAACCTGCTTTACGAGATCTTCGATCGCTCTTTGCAGCAAAACACCTTCAAGTGTCCGTAGTTGCGAGGCCAGATTAAAAACCTCCGGTCTGAAAAGAGCCTTGAAAAGATCCTCATTCTCGCGGAGATTTTCTAGTACTTGCTCCGTCTCATGAAGAAACGAGAGCTGGGTCTCCACTCGCTCGAGCACCAGCACCACGGCCCGCAGCTGGAAAATGTCCCACGACGGATCTGCCGCAAGGAGTTCTCGGAGTTGCTCCGGGGACTGGATCTTTTCACCCTTCCAGGTGGCTTCTAATTCCTTCGTTCCGTCTGTTGTTTGAGCGATGCCTATGTACAGGCCATCTTCTTCATTCACACTCGCCCACCAGATGAGAGAACTGTCCCAGGTGATATGTGATGCTGCTGCTAATGCTGGCGTGTCTTGGTCCTTGCCACCTACAGTAGAAAGCCTGATTCCGGGAGTATTCCGACAGAACAGACTCTTGGCAACTCCGAGTGGATCGTCATCGGGGAGGGACAAATCCAAGACAACCTGCCTGGCTTCGGTCCGGTCGGCCTCCAGAAACCCGTACGAAAAGATCATCTCCGATGCAGACTTTTCATCACCGTACCTAACATTTCGGCGATCAGTCATGTCGTCAATCATGAGGTAGTTGAAAAGTCTCACGAAATCGTCACCTCCTCTCCCGGTTGGAGACTCTCGCCCCAGCGCAACTGAAGAACAGCATTTCCGGCGGAATCAGTATCGTACAGCGCTTTCACACCTGCACCAGCGACATGATTGGCCATATCGATGCAGGGTACCATCGCATGTCCACTCCCCGGCAAATCTACCATGCGCGACCGATAGGCAGCATCGATGTACCTCCAATCATCCATAGTCAATTTGCCCGTGTTTTCATCCCACCAGCATTGCTGACACCAGGAGATGCTTTCTGTAGAATGACGAAGGTGCTCAAACTCTCGCTCAAGGGAGGCAGCCTTCGCATCTACTGCAGCAGCGAGCGAGGTTCCTCGTAACAGCTCCAGTTCCTCGGTAGAGTAGAAGGTGGGCAAGGGGAATGATGGAGGGAGAAACTGAATGTATTCCGTCCACGGGCTCGACACACCAATATGCTGAGAATTGTCTGGGCTTGCATGCGTGATCTGGACCAAAAGAAAAATCATAATTGCGCCTCTCGCTGTCTAGTTTGGGTGAGTGATTCACGTATATATCAGAGTGAGGGTGGAGGCACATACCATGCCAAATTCATCAACTGCGTCCAATACCTCGTGCAAGTGCCGGTCAGACTTGGCATAACCATGGACAGCTTCTAATGATAGCACCAGATCATACGGGACTCGGAGGAGAATCTCTGGTTCTGCATCGCTGTCCTTGCTAGACCTGGCTTCTGTTGCCACAATGGTATTGCCCTTATCTGCATCGCCTTCGGTCGTTTGAAGATTTTGGAAAGCGACTCCATTTGCATCGACTCCATTGAGGCGGAGCCAGGCTGGAAGAGAGTCCGTCGGAAACGACTCCCGCTTCATGATGAATGTGGAGCCGGAAATGTGATAGGATGAATTGTGCACTGATGGGTTATCAGATATGGCGATGTCTTCTGGTTATTGCACGCAGAATATTATCAGATGTAGCCACTCCCATCCAAGGTTAAGTTGTTCGCCGAGAGGGCACTAAAGTCGTTCGCCTCCGACAGGTCGTGTGAATGACATTTACATGGGACATGAATGCTCCCGTCCTACCTGCCTTTGGCGGGGAGACAGACAGCCAATGGGGTCCGCACATCATGTTGGATGAGATAAGCAGAACACTGTCTGCCTGATGTCTCAGGCCAGCATTTGGCCAGTGGTCAGTTTCCTTTTTAGAATTTTGGTGGAGGCGAGTTTGACCTGAATTTTGATGAGATGAACCCTTTTCTTGAAATTCGTTTGTTAAGGTTCTTTGGCACCCATAGTTCCGTGGCCGTTTCTGACAGTTTTGGTATTACGGCATCCAGACGTCATCACATAGACATCCTGAATTTCAAGTCGTATGTAATCATCATTAAAGGGAAAGGTGTCAAGAACGATTGAAAGACCATTGTTGTGCTGTATTCTTATTATCCTATCCGTTTTACGTCGACACCATCATGCCCGGAATTCGGCTCGTCTCACCAAAGCTATCGGCTGCTCTGGTCTCTCGCGCTTCTCGAACGTCTATCTTTCCGACACAGCCAATCACACAACCAGCAGCTATCAATATCCCTGGAGGCACTCGAAACAAATCCATTTCAAAACCATGGGAAGGATCTCAACCTGAGGAGCATACCATCAAGCGGGCTAAGGAGGGCGAAGCTGAGGACCCGGCCACAGCTGGAGCGTCTTCGGGTATGAAGGAAAGGGAAGTGAATGAAGGGGTCGCCGACTCTACCAAATCGCAAGGGATGACGGAGAGAGGCGGTCGCAAGCATAGTAAAAAGGCCAAAAAGGAACACCCAGCAGCCCCGGAACCGATCATTGGGATGAATGATGAACGGGCGGAGGTATGAAGGCTATGATGTCCTGATTCTTCTTTCAATGTGGCTGACCTGCTGTGACTGAATAGAAAGGCCACTAGCCGCGAAATTGTACATGGTGGCTATACCGTTGGCGTCATATTCTACTTGTGTTTGAAATGGGATAAATCTGATATGGCATCGTTGAAGCCGTGGCCATTGTTTCGCGTCATTCGCATCGAGACTGTACATGGATGGACTATGATTTACCGACCAACCTTGAAAGATAGGATCTAGAGTTTGGTATACCATTAGCATATAATTTGAAAGCAACGATCTAGGAATCGAACTCACATCGTTTTTCCCAACTGCAACAATGTCCTCTTCAGATACTCGAGTACCTCCTACTCCTTCAACATAGGAGATGGGCACATCACCCATCACTTTTCGAGCCACGTCCCCCACTGTGCTATTTCTATGAGGGGTCAGTGGGATCTTCATGATTATGACGAATGCCACTTACTTCTTGACCAGAACACAATCGCGGAATACCGCACTTCCAGCTCCTGAGCTGAACGTCTGTACGTTTCTCACTGGGAAGATGGGTACCAGGCCCAAACGCTCTGCAGCTCGAGAAAGACATTGGACCACACCAGTGGACCCGAATCGGTACAGCACCATATCTTTCAAGTTCTCGACTCGGCTATGGCATCCCAGATGATTAGCAAGAGAAAATGGGGGTCCTCGAGGATGCACACTTACGCCTTCAACTTCTCGTCCATCTCCTTGAGGCCTCCGCCGTCCGGTTCCCCCATGTCGATCAAATCTTCCCGGGTATCCAAAAATTCGCTACCTTCCACATACTTAATGTACCCCTGCTTGGCTAATCGCCGAAGGAAAACTTCTGATATAGCGGAGCAAAGGACAATAGACTGAGGATCTTGCATCTTGGCAATTTTGCTGATATTCTATATTACCTGCATTAGTAGTACATTTGCATCATTTTTTCGACAAATTAACATACCTTGTCCGCATCGGGGTGATCAATCTTGTTCAGGGCGTATACCGTGGGGAACTTTTCATCAATGAAGGCCTTGACCACGGTCTCAACTGTTTCATCTGACCACAACTCAAGAGGCTCCTTCAGACCGAGACGGTCCAGACACCGTGCAACGATGGAAGAGGTACTTCCGTATCCGGAGAACTGGCCCTGTAATGTGTCGATCGGGTTTGCCTTGGTTGCGACATGTCTCCGCTTTATAGATCCCCTAAATTGTAATGTTAGCACTGCCTCCGCCAATACAAATACCAAAAATCTTGTCACTGACCACTTCTCCATCAAGTTTCCTAGCACCCATCGCACAATTTCTGAATGTAGCCATTCAATGTCCACGGAAGGATCGTATCCTCGTGTAGCTTTTCCTTCAGCATCTGTGGTTCCACTCACATCCACCACATGAATTAGGGCATCGGCATGCCGCAGGTCGTCTAAGAATTTGTTTCCCAATCCTCGTCCCTGATGCGCTCCTGGTACAAGCCCTGCAACGTCCAGTAGTTCGATGGGGACGGAGCGTCGCCCTTCATGACAACCACCATAGTTCGGCTGGCATCGGTCTGAAACATTGTGTCGCTGGCATGGGCATTCAATCTGAAGGTATCCGATGGCTCGCTGAGGGTCAATGGTCGTGAAACTGCCGCGTGTCAATCGTTAGCGCAAAAGTCGATAAGGCGGGGATGCTCGTCGCAAGTGGAGGAGGCGGCTGCACGCACGGAAAATTGCCTATTTACGCCAAGTAAAATTAGCCATTACTCTGATGCATAAGATTCTGGATTCAGCGTACCGACTTTGGACGTAGCATCGGTCAAACTGTTCAAGGTTGTGGACTTTCCGCTTGACGGCTGTGCCCCTCACATGGTCAGCGGGGTCTTGACATTGGGATGGGAAAGACGGACCTTGCCCACCAGCCCAATTAAAGGATCCCGGGGCATCTTAAGCAATTTCACTCGCTATGAGAACAAAAGCAACGAGGAACGAAACGCTCTGATATATCCAGTGGCACGCTGGCCGTCGAACTGCGATAAGAAACATTTTCTGCCATGCTGAAGAGGAAGGCGGTGTCGCTCTTTGTCTACACAGGAACAGGGCGGCGGCGGAGCAACTGTGCCGCAACCTCGGACGACTCAAGCTGAAGGCTAGATGCTTCGCTATACACTATTTAGCATACGATTTTGGGGCGCTCTCTAGAATTATATCAATTAGTGATTCATAATCCTACAATTTGACATGCAATTTGCTAGCTTTCTGGGCACTCTAGACGAAGACTAGGATCAATTGAGTGTGCAAATGAATGGCCTCCAAACTGCACCTCAGTGAACTATTGCCATAGACGGCGTTGCCATGGAATTGAGAAAGACCAGTGACTGAGTACTGGCACTAACACGCTTGCTTCATTGGGGAAAAGCTGACCGCAATTCTCTTTAATCTGCATGACATCGGAGTTCCGCAATAATAGACGTCGACGGAACAGCATTACATGCTGTCTAGTGGAGCTATGACATCGGCACGGACGAGATGTGCAGAGGACCTGCAAATCTTTTCCATTGCCTTAAGGGGGAAGCTGATCCAGGGCATGCGACCCCTGCCTCCATAGCTCGGAGGAGTTACCATCCAATCAACAGCCGCCCTGTACGATGACTGTCTCCCGGAGATGTACGAGCTCAGACCCATTATCAACCAAGTACAGGCCTTCACAGTGACAATGGGGCTCAATTTGATTTTCAAGGATGAAGTAAGCTTCTCCTGCTGGGCTCGGTGGGGAAAAATTCAGACATACTTGCTATCCACGGCCGCTGGCCACGCATGTCGTCATCCCAGCCGCAAACGTCACAGCCAGTGATATCTTGTACCAAACAATAGCCCCTTATAAAAGGCCATCACGATCTCCATTCACACCTTACATCCTTTTCTACCATAATATAAGTGTGCCCTTGCATTTCGCCACAAACTTCCTCGGAAATATCAACCTTGCTTTCTTTATACTGCTATACAATCTTCAACATGACCGACCAGACCTTCCACAAAACTCGCCAGGACCTGCGTAAGCCCGAGTCTCGCCTGGCTCGGCAGCACGATGGTAAGGTCCCCGCCGATTCAGATGTATCTAAAATGAAGGTGTGTAATTTTCATGTCAAGTTTTCCAAGATATACCTGCTGATCGTCACATAGTCCATCATCGATACGAACACCGACAAAGCCCAGCAAATCGACCAGGCCAAGGCCAATCTGCCTCTACCTGAACAGCCCCCAGTTGCTAGCGACTGGAACTCCTCCGACCAGCGAACCGTCAACGTGGGCTCTGGTAGAATTGAGGGCCCCATCTCTGGTGACAACGATACCGCTCTCCGCGGCCCCGCCACAGCAGGAAGCAGTGCCCGCATCAGCGGCGAGGAATTACACCGGCCCACTGCACCGTCCGGCAAAGTCGGGCGCCAGGGGGTGGAGGGCCTAGATAATCTCCCTTCTGATGCCAAGTCACGTTAACTACAAAATTGATTGGACTACGGGATCCATCAGGTGTATGATAGCCATCTTCACGCGGAGTCATGAGCGAATGAGCGAACCCCAAAATGATTGTGTCAAGATAACTTCCAAGATTGTAATAAACTGTAGCATTTAATCTAGATATTTCGGGAAGTTGTCATGTATTTTTTATTAGAGTCGTCGTGAACAGATCTGACGGGAATGTACGTGTTTCAATAGAACCGACTGAGGCATGGATGCGTCCAACGTCTTTACTTTGCGAAAATGCACCCAAAGATATAACAACGATTTCATGTACTCTCAAAACGTCTTGACACTATGCTACAGAACACTAGTTCAAGTAAAAAAAATCCAGATCTGGGTAAAGATCTTGTGCTGTTTAGCGTTCAGATTTCCTGATTGGGAAAAATTATGTGTTTGTACTGTTTGTCAATGCTGAGGCCCAGTCTTGACGTCAAACACCCGTCTCCTCGCCATACTGCCAGGTTTTTTGCAAACACTGGGGAAACGACGAACCTGGGAATGCCATGGTTGAATAAGCATGTGGATCCTGGCCCCTCATCAGTGACAAGTTCTCGGTTCCAGAGGCCGTGGATCAAGAGCAACTGAGAAGGCATAGGCTCCACTGTCACTTGGGTCGAAAACCCCAGTCCGCCACCAGGTGCGTCTCGATCGAAGCTGATTGACGTGACTGCACTGGCAAGATGAAGATCATAGGCCCCCCGAGAATCGTAAGTGTGACATCACTGGCATTGATCTTGCATCTGATCGCTATGTGGATTTCAGAGCTATATAGTTTTACCGTCGCATCTGGCTCGTTCCATAAACCTATTGAATTACAATCTCCTCAATCTTGCAAACCTTCTTCACGCCTCTCCTTCCATTACACACGCCTAATTCGTGAAACCACTATATCATCATGGATCTTCAAGGCAACCCCATCGCTCCCGGCCATCGCAGCACCAAGGTCACCACCGACCCTGCCTCCCAGCAGCCTATCGAGGAACCGTCAGGCCCAATTGCGAAAGACTCTCTTGCGGCTGAATCTGTCAGTCGCGGCGGCGCTTTCTCTGGGAACCGGGGTGCTGAGCCCCTGGGTGTCTCAGGCAACCAGTCTACCTTGAAGAACACTGATACCTCTGCCGCAACTACCCTCCCATCCGCCCCTGTCGGTGCTCTTCGTGAGGACCGTCACCGCCAAGAAAAGTACCCTGAGGCTCTTGGCGGCCAGGGCGACTTCCCTGGCGCCCACCTCCCCGAATCTGGCTACACTGGCGGCCCGACCGCTGCGAAGCAGCAGATGGGCCAGCACGCTGGCGAGTACCGTGCCTCCGAGCATCTGCCTGGCCAATCCAGCGCTAGTGGCAGCAGCAAGTATTTCGCCGGTCAGGCGCCGTCCTATATCAATGAGGTGACGGGTGCCTACCAGGGCCAGAAGCCTAAAGGCAAGAATCTGAAGGAGGGCGGATTCAGCTCTGACGACGACAAGAATGCCAGTTTCACCTCTGAAATTGGCTCCGAGATGGATCCTGGTCGAGCTGCTGAGAACAAGTTCCAGCGCACCATGGCGGAGAGCGGCATCGATGTCGGTAGGCCTCGTCAGAAGGGTGTTGACAACCAGACGGTGTACCAGGCTTTGGAACCTGACCAGCGCGCCTAAATGAATTTGCGATATGGTCTATTCTACTTTTTTGAGCGGGAAAAGCGGTTTTTTCTTTCTTGATTAACCAATTGGCTGTGGTTACGACGATTTGACGGGTGTCTTGTTTCATATCATTTACAATAGAGCCCACAAAAAAATCCTATAAGCCACCACTTCAAAAAAAACCATCATCAAATACTAGACGTTCAACCTGATAGTCCGTAGACTGCCTATTATACCCAAGCTGTGGGGCTTGAGCGAGATTGGGCGCACATTAACAATTGCGAGTCTGTGTTCAAAACATACGATAATCATCCACCTCCGATTCCGAATCTGATCCAAAGTCCGAGTCCGAGACACTCGATAACGATGGAGTATGCGCACAGCTTTCTGTCCCGGGTACAAGAACCACTCCCATTAGGATTTTCCCATCCTCAGATTCACTCGACAGATCCTCGCTCACTTCATTGTCATTTTCCATCGCAAGCCTCTCGACTTGTCTTTTCTTCCAAATGTAATTCCCAAATTCAACCAATCCAATGATTAAGATCGCGATCCATACCAAGGCAAGCAGAATCATAACCGTCGTGAAGATTCCCGGCAGCGGAAAACGTGGGGAAACCTTTGGTGCGAATCTCAGGAAGGGGAACGAAATTCGGTAAGAAAAGAAGGAAATAGAGTGGCCGGATGATATATTCGATCCTGAGGATGTATAAGATCCGGCCTCTTGACCAAGGAGGAGTTCACTCATGTCTGCTGTCGGATTTCCAAGAATCTCTCCGTAATAGTCAAGTCTTTGAGGAACTATGTGCTTCGATTCGGGAGCTGGGGCATGTGGCTTTTCTTTTGTAGAGTCGTGGCTGGGCTGTGGATACCCTGACACTGGCGCAACTGGTACGAGGATTGACAGAGTTGATCTTCGAGGTGGTAGTTCTCTTGGATACATACGCCCCAAGGGGCCTCTTTCAGGAACCTTGTCGTTGGTTTGCATCTGGGTCGATGTCCATTTTCTGTCAGTTGGGTGAGCATATATAACCGTGTACAGATTGACCAGACTATGTTTGGCCCGTGAAAATTGGAGCTCAGAACTCCGTTCTGATTTGTCAACAGTTTCCCATACATCGCGTGACTCTGCATCTGTGAATTCCCTTGTTTTGATCCATCGTGGTGTCCGAATGGGGTAAGGTGTGACCGGGCTCACGAGAACCAGGATGAGAGCAACGAGAGCCCAACGAGGCAGTGGGTGAGATCTCGGCATCGTAATAGATTTCCCACCCAGAATATTTTTATTATCGTAGGTAACTGATGCGATTGAGAAGTACGATGCGCCTATTGTGTACCGACAATATGTATGGACCGCATAATCGAACGCCTACATCCTGGCGGGGCAGGAGTTTCTTATACCTTTCCGCGAATAAGATCCGCGGGCAGGGCTGCCAGAAAACAAAGCGCAAGGGCCGTCGGAGCTGTCACTCTGGACCAAAAAGATACCGCGTACGACCTACCACAAGGCTGTTCCTGAGAGGGGCAATGGAACCCTTCAATCCAGGAGGACAAAGAGAGTAGATCGGCGTACGCGGGCCGTCCAATTGGGGGTCTTTCCCCATGGTGATTGGCATGTTTTTGACACTTGCAGCGCCCGCGGTATGTAGTTTCCCCCTTCGTTCGACTATTTGAGAAGCCAAAACGATTAATCAGAGGGATCGCCGAGGAATGAAAACGCCACTAGCCTGATAGTTCGGCCGCGATGCAAGGCCGCTCGCCGACCGCCTAGACTCGGACGCAACTTGTACCACAGCTGCGTTGATTAGTCGTGCGGACCCGCGATCTCAATCGTTTTCCCTTAATGCTTTCTTGTGTCACTAGTAGCCGCCTATCTACCGCTCTGCAATGAACCATATGTGAACGGTTTATTAATTCAGTGTGGCCGTGTAACCGATCTAGCGATGCTCCGACCTTCGACTAGGCCCAGAGTTACTCTCAATTTATACATGATGGCCTGTGTGACTTCACGGACTTACTTGGTCACGTCGAAATGAAACAACGCTATACGAACGTCCGATTGACCGGCCTGGCAAAAGTGACACTGTGAACAGGCTCCATGTGCAGGCAATCCGCGCTACAAGATTCACGAAAGGCACATGAAGGCCCACTTAGTCCGCAAAACCTAAGGAAAAGAAATAAGAACAAAAGCAAAATAGGTTATGCTTGGATGCATGGGGTGACTTCGCATTGAAAATCTTCCTGCCTTTTCATACACCGTTAAGAAAACGCCGAACTGCAATATAGCAAAGATGAAAATAAAAAAGGAAACCCAAAGGCCGGACCCCCGAAGACATGCACGGTCCTATCAGACAAGAACAAAACCCTGTACAATAAGAGAACACACTTGCAAATAAAAACGTGGGAAAGAAGCAAAGCGTGACAGAAAGGGACGAGCTGAGCAGCGTTCTAAACCACAACCTTCTTGCCCTCCTTCTCAGCGAGCTTGGCCAACTCCTCGAAGACCTTGGAGAAGTCCTCGCTGTCGGCATCCTCATCAAGCTTCTTGTTCTTGCCAGACTTGGGGGTCACCATGACCACACTGGTCGGGCGCTTGGTGGCAGCAGAGGCGCCGAGCTCAGCGCGCGAGGTAACAAAGACGTAGGGAATGCCATGGTCCTCGCACAGAACGGGAATGTGAGAGATGACGTCCATGGGGGAGATGTCGGCCGCGAGAATGACAACGCCGGTGGGGAGATCGATCTTAGCGTTGGCGGCGGGGATGGCCGATTTGCGGAGGGCCTTGACGACCTCCTTGACACCGCGCTTGAGAGACTTGTTGACGGCAGCTATGGAAGGAATAGATGTTAGCGACTAGATGTCGAAATAGAAAAGTGTGCATTCAAGTTGCGCCAGTGGGATTAGTGCAGCAGAGGGACGAGCAGAGCAATTGCCCCAAACACATCCAATCAAAGCACACAAAAGATGAAACACAATTCACGGAGAGAAAGCGCTTCAACTTACCCTTCTTCACACTCTTCAACACCTTCTTGGCCTGCTTGTCCTCAACCAATGGGTTGGCGAAGGGCACGAGAGCGCCAATGGGGCGGTCCAGAGCCATCGCATCAACCTCAATTTCGGCGACACCAGCAGCAGCGGCCTGATCCAGACCCTCCAGGACCTGGGTGGTGATCTCCTTCTCTACCGCATCAGCGAGAGCGGTCTTGTCCTTCTTTTCCTTCTTCTCCTTCTTGGCCTTGTGCACGCCGTCCTTCTCGGCACGCTTCTCCTTCTTCTCCTTCTTAACCTTCTCGACCTTGTCCTTGCCCATGATGTCGAATTTGAGTTGAAAACGGGGGGCGAGAGAGTTGGGTGGGTTGAATGGTAGGTGTGTGTCTCGAGAGAAATCCGCCTCGAAATAATTTCTTAAAATTTTGACGCTAGTCCCGATGCAGAAGCTCTGTGTTGCTGACTAAGGCCCAAACATTCAAAGCCCGCCTAGCGTCCTCCGAATGGGCTCTCTTGCTTGCGCCGCGTCTCGTCTTACCTGAAAGGAAGGTAGTCGGGGGCTTCAAGATTCGGGACTCGTCACTTCGGTGATGCTCAATGTGTTTGCCGACTTTGGTTGCAACCGGAACTTGACAATTTAGCACCCCACGACATGGACGGCAGCCCGACAACGCGGCCAGCATCCCAGCTGATTGCTGGGTTTGCGTCGCCTTCGACCCCGACTGGTGCACGAAGTGTTATGCAACAATCTGTTCTATCAGTACGGCCTCAGCAGCCACCGCAGCCGACACACGGTACGTCTTCTACCTCTTTCTCCCCGATACTCGTGTCCAGCGAAAGACGAAAGTATGTTCTGGGGGAACCGACAACTGACTGAAGACTGAATGTAGATGCGGAGAAAGATGAGTTACGAGTACAAATTAGTACCCTGACATACGAGCTTGCGAGCATCAAACAGGAGCGTGAAATGGAGGCTATTCGGTATGAGAAAGAGACTCGAAGTCTTCAGTTGAAAGCGGATGCGGACTTCAGAAAGGCGCAGGTGGGTTCACAGATAAAGCATGTCGTGCTGTCATAACTAACGCCTTTTGCTATAGGCGGCCGAGTCTGCGAGTCTCCGTGCTAGTACTAAGACCGAAGCGTTGACGAAAGAATTGAAGGAAGCCCAAGAACAATCACTCAATGACAAATCGGGGTTGGAACGCAAGATTCGAGACCTGCAGGACGAAAAACAGAATCTTCAGGAGGAGCTCAATGACACTGAGGCCCAATTATCCGACAGAGAGCGCCATTTCAAGTACCAGATTAACGAACTTGAAACGGTTCGCGCTTCCCTTCAGAAAACAATTGAGGAGCTCCAAAACGATCTACTGGAGGCGCGCAACTCCCAGCAAATGACCCAGGAAAAGCTATCTCAACGTGAGGCCGAAGTGGCCGATCTTGAATCACAAAATATCCAACTGAAGGCCGAAGGTAGCGATGCGGAAGCGTTGGCAGTTCTGAAGCGGGGGCTTTCGGACCAGGTCAACCACATCCGCGAGCTGGAAACAATGAACCGCGATCAAGCGGCAGAACTGCGCCATCTACGAAAGGTCCAGAAGAATGTGGAAGTGGTCGAGGAGCAAAAGAGGTCACTTGAGAACCAGCTGCAATTGATGAGCGGGCTGGAAGCGGAACTTGGCACTGTGCACATTCAGAAACAAGTCCTAGAGGATGAGCGCCAATCGTGGGTTAGCCTTCTACAAGATAATGACCAGCCCGCGGAGTTCGATTCTCCGGAGGCAGTGGTGAGAGGTCTTCTCCAGGAGCGAATTGAAAAGGCAACCCTGGTTGACCGACTTGGAACAATTGATGCGCAATTCCTGGAAAAGGATGAAGTGATCAAACGTCTCGAGAAAGAGAAGACCCAGCTCCGTCAAGAGCTGGAAAAGCTCCGCATTGCAGGAAGCGTTTCTGCAAGCGCAGCAGCACCAGTCCCAGCAGAGGCTCGGGTCCGTTCTCGGCTGGAGCGACAGCGCGCTCTCGCAGTGAAGGAGGTCGAATATCTCCGCGCGCAGCTCAAAACTTTCGACACCGAGGAAGAGACTATGAACACGGAACAAGGCACATACGATGAACAAAAGTCGACGCAAATAGCACAGTTGGAACAACTTGTTGACGAGTACCGTGGCGAGCTTCAAAAGGCCCATGAAGAAATCTCGAAGCAGGAGGTGCCTCCACACCAGGAAGATACTCAAGCCCGCGGAACAAAGCGTCCTCTGTCACCCGCCGACAGTGACGCCGAAAGCGAGCGTCTCGCCGTCTTGACTCGGAAGAACCGCAAGCTGCAAGAGTCCCTCTCGAAATCAGAGCAGGCCACAACTCTCGCGAAACGGGAACTTGACGCAGCCAAATCCCAAATCAAGTCCCTGAAGTCCAAATCCCGTACACGCATCCTCGAACTGCGTGATAACCCGACTGCTGACGCGGAGAAGATCAAATTGTCAACTCTGACAACCCTCCGCTCTGAGAACCAGGCTCTCCTAGCCCAGCTCCGTGGCGAACATTCTGGAGTGAAAGTCGTCCCTGTTAGCACACTCGACAGCCTCAAGCTCGAGATGCAGGACATGGAGCGCGTCGTGGCAGATAAGGAGAAGCGCATGCGCCGTTTCAAAGAAATCTTCACCGCAAAGTCCTCCGAGTTCCGCGAAGCCGTCGCCTCGTTATTGGGCTACAAGCTCGACTTCCTGCCGAACGGTCGGGTCCGCGTCACGTCGATGTTCCATCTATCTGCCGCATACCGTCACGGTGACAGCGATTCCCCCTCCGAATCCCGCGGGCCTGGTAGCATGGGCAATGGCGAGGAGAACTCGATTGTGTTTGACGGCGAGAACGGCACAATGAAAATTTCCGGTGGGCCGAATAGCCTTTTCGCGCTGGAGATCAAACCTTTGATCAAGTTCTGGGTTGAAGAAAGGAAAGATATTCCTTGCTTCCTGGCGGCGATGACTCTCGATTTCTATGATAAGACAACCAGGGCTGCCAGGATATAATGGCCGTTCCTCTCATGAACCAGGCTTTGTACCACCTTATGTTGTCAATTATTTGACGTTTTTCTTTTCAAGTCTATGATTCCCCGGCACGACGGATTTCTGTGCTCTGTTCTGTCCTTCATGATCTGGTACTGTGGGTTCATGTCTCCATTACGAACGAATTGCACGCTGCTCCGAAATGTTTGATGCAACAATTGATTGTAGGATAATCCAACACCATAGGTGCAAATTGTGCCCATATCTTCACGTGTGTCATTGTGTCATTTGTTGGCTTAAGCCTTGAATTGTCACATAGTCAGGCTGTTAGGGGGCTATTAAACTGCCGCATACAGCACGATACCACAATATGGACGAAAATAAGTGAGCTTCTGTATTGATCGCCTGAGAGATGTCGACCTAGTGCAGAATCTCACTTATTGAAGATAGGGTCTGACTTCAAGACTGAGAGTGTTCTCGGTGGGTGGAGGGCCTCATCGTCACTACTTCCGTGTGATCGTCGCTTCCGGCTATCCTTGCCAGCTTTTCCTGCCTTGTTGTTCAAAGCTCTTGGGAGGTTCTTCTTGCTGTTATGGTGGCTCAAAATTGCTATATCTGCTGCTATTTCCCTGAGAAAGAAAGGTCTAAGAGATAATCGGAGAGGCGTAGGCGAGCTCGAAGTTGGAACCCCGTGAGTTGGAGCGGCTGAGGAGAGTTGTGGTTCACATTTTAGAGTTAATAATACGAGAAGAGAAGAGGATTGTGAGGTAGAGAGGCTCTAGTACCGATGAAAGAAGAAAGTCCCTGATGCTAGGAGTAAGGATAGGTGCAAGGACGATGAGTGTTAGGTCAGAAAGCTAAGTGTCAGAAAGATGAGAGTTCAGTGATGCGAAGCTGAAAATAATAATGAGAGATGATGGATAGTGGATAGGTGCAGAGTGAGAAACTAGAAAAGAAGAAGAAACTAGAAGAGAAGAAGTGCGAAATCGATTTAAAAATGCGCTCGTGCAATTCCGGGCTTGTGAATATTTCTATTTAAAGAAACTAAAATGATCGCCCATCAGTAACCAGGCTGGCCATACAATTCGACCAGGTACCCCACATACGAATGTCTTTTGCACCACTCTGCTCCTTGATATCCTTGGTGAGGTCATCAATTCGCGTGAAACAGGCAATGCGATTGTGGCTGTACCCAGCGATGATCATACCAACCACTTCGCCCAAACAAAGTGTGCACAGCAGGCTTCCCGAGTCACCCTTCATCGCAGCATGCCCGTTTTCAGTAAGCTCAACGATGCTGTACTCCAGACTGTACTTCTTATTCTCAATCTCGGCCACTTTAAGCCCGTTGTACCGGACTGTATTGCGCCCAGACCCATACCCTTGGAACTCGAGCCGAGTTGACAACTCGTTTGTATCAAGATATGAAAGTGTTTCCGACGAAGCTATTTCCTGCAGAACTAGTCCGTCCTCAAGCTATATATTGTTAGTCATCAACAAGGCTGATCTGAAGATAACTACTGGGACAGGTGGGCAGGTTAGTTACCTCATTGGAGGGGCTTCGTTTCTCAACGTCCACGCTGATAAGGGCCCAATCAAGAAGAGTCAGGTGATATTTGTCGCTGAGAGTATGGAGCTTCTTTCTTCTGAAGTCCGACGCAACTGAAACATGTCCAAGGATATTGTCAGAATTCTGGAAGAACCCTTGAATGTCATTGATTCTCTTTTCAAGGTCCATGACATCGGAGTGAACTCTTTTCCAAGACTGTTTTCTGAGCTCTGTCAGCTCGGTGTCAAATAGACCATTGTCTATTAAGTCCAATCCGTCTCGGTAGAGCCAATGGTTCTTGTGGCAATCGATCAATCCCTGATGTTTATCAATTTGCTCTTGTATGGCGCGCCGACTTGGATGACTTGTCTTTAGGCTTGTTTCCGCCAATGGATCCTTTGTACTGAGCATAGAGAGACCGCGACTTCGCCATTTCTCGACAGCTGTCCACGTAATTAGCATTGATTTTCCCAAATAGCCTTACTCAAACGAAGAGAAGCTCACCTGCATGCTGCTGGCCTCTAATGTCCCGGTCGCGTAGATTGATAACATGGAAACATGTCAAGGCGAAGCAGGTCCACTTCAGTGTTGAGGGGTGCTGAAGCTCGATAAATCCACCGAGTGTTCCAGACCCCACATCGTTCCTGCTGTGAGCAATAGGCCCTCCAGCCATTGCTCTACCCTGTAAGAGCTCCTCTTTGAACCCTTCTTTGTGGAAATCCGTAGTAAGCGTTTTTCTGTCTTTGACAATCTCAACCGCGACCATAGGTAAGTTCGAGCGCTTCAAGATACCCGCAATCATGTCCCTTGTTATTTGCCAGCTTTTTTGGCTGTTGACGTCTGCGATGACCAGAACCGTCACAGGATTTTCGTTGCCTGAATTCCTACCGCGCCTGTAACACCCGATGTGTTGAATATCTGTTAGGTCGATATCTCTCAGGATGTGATCTAGTACAGAATCCCACTTATTGAACATAGGGTCTGGCTTCAAGACTGGATGTGTTCTCGGTGGGTCGAGGGCCTGCGGGTCCATGATGTCCACGGAGACATGCCCAAAGTTTTCTTGTTGCAGTAAAAAGTAAATTCGGCGAGCAGTTTTGAGCCAGAGATCATCCACGACGTGCCGTATAGCAAAGACTACGATGGTCGGGATAGGCTCGGGTTCTGGATTGAATTCCGACTGATGTAAAGAGAGTCCGACGGGGTGACTCCATGGCCCGGATTCCATTAAATCGATGTTGTTGTTGCGGAGTATCTGGTACACACAGCTTATAATCGCCTCTCTACCAGAGACCTCGTGCCGCAGTAATGCTTCCAGTGGGTTTGTCTGGGGGAGGGATGCTGACGAATGTGGGATGGAGCAGAGGTAGGGCCCCCCAACTCGGAGGTCTTCATTTGAGAAGCCATCATCTGTCATCTTCCCCTCATCGTCACTACTTCCGTTTGACCGTCGCTTTCGGCCATCCATGCTAGGTTTTCCCGCCTCGTCGTTCAAAGCTCTTGGGAGGCTGTTCTTCCTATTATGGCGGTGCAAACTTGCCATATCTGCTCCCATTTCCCTGAGAAAAGTCGGAGAGACAATCGGAGAGGCATAGGCGAGCTCGAGGTTAGAACCCCGTGAGTTAGAGCGGGGGAGGAGCGTAGTAGTTAACATTTTGGGGTTAGAAAGATAGGAGTTTAGTAATGCGAAGCTAGAAAGTACTAATAAGAGATGATAGATAATAGAGAGGAAGTAGAAAGGAAGAAGTAGAAGTAGAAGAAGAAGGTAGAATAGAAAAGTAAGGCCTAAATAAGCCTAGTGTGAGATATAGATGATAGATAATAGAGGGGTAGAAAAGAAGAAGAAAGTAGAAATAGAAGAAGTTAGACTAGAAAAGTAAGGCCTAAATAAGCCTAGTATGAGATGTAGATAACAGATAATAGATGGGTGCAAGAGTAGGAAAGTAGAAGCAGAAGAAGTTAAAGTAGAAATCAAGGCCCAAATAGGCCTAGTACCGGCGTTGAGACCAACTCCCGGCAAGGCTACCTCCTGGCGTTTAGCCAAGATGATCCTTGATACCTACTGGATAACTTGCTGGATATTCTTATGGTAGCGTAGTAGATATCTACAGGAATCAAACCTTCGCCGCGGAGGGCGATATGATTGATGGTTTATCATAGAGTTGAATTTTTGCATTTGATCTAGCATATCTACTATACTTGATGACGTATGATATAGCGCTTTTGGTGGGATACTTGAAGTGTTTATTCATACTTTGGTAATTCCATTCGTGACTTTGGAATTGGCCAGCATTTTACCGGGTTATGTTCAATGAAACATGCTCTCTCATCTGGCCTGCCTGAGATCTACAGATACAGATGCACTCCTAGTTGGTGAATATCAACAAAAGAATTTGTATTGATGTGTAAATTGTCTAGATCGCATTCATTCAGAATTAATAAAACATCCCATCAACAATTGCCTCGAACTCCGGCGACACCTCACGGTACCCGACCAGTTTACCATCAACAATCAACTCCTCCAAAGTCATCTTCTTGTAATCCTCCACCTCCCATATGTCCGATCCAATCAGCTCTGGAAGTTTACCAGCCCCCCAGACCCTGCGACAATACCATAGATTGGCGAGAGACAGCCCCTTTTGCAAGTGGTATTCCACTTGGCGATCCACTTCCTCTAAACTGTGTCGGAAGATCGTAGGAGAAGCATTGTGTCTCTTTTCCAAGGCTTTGGCAACTTCTCCGCCCGTAGCTTGAATCTCTGATAGACCGATGGCTCTGTTTTCCAACTCGGAGATGGGTCTTGTGGCGAAGAGGGCGGCATATGCAGCTGCGACGTATTCTCTCGTGCTGCAAGTTCAGACGTTAGAGACTTTGTACGAAGATGAAAAGACATAAGTGACTGTTTACCAAATGTTCACGAGTTGGTGTTCGCTGTCCCCAGAGAAGACGATTCGATTCTTGGCTATATCTACTCCAACCATACTAGTATTGAGACATGTTAGTATTTTGCTCCTTGGAAGATGTGAAAGCATGAATCCATACCCAGTACACAAGAAAGACTCTGCGAAAAGCCCAGGAAGAACAATAGTTGTCGGGATGCCTTTTCTCTTCGCAGCTTCCTCCACTTCGATTTTTCCCCGATTCACTGCGATTTGCAGTCCTTGTTCATCGCAACGGAATGCGAGGTCCGAAGGAACGAAAAGTTTGACATTCGTTTGAGGAATGGCGTTCACGAGCCCATGTTGTCGAGTAATACCCTCTTGGCCGACCAAGGAGCTTTCAGATTATCAGCGATCGGACATTTGACGGCCCTGGGATTGATAGAATGGAATGGGGCTTACATGACAATGTCGACATCCTGCAACGCGGCTTCAACGGCCTCTTGGTCGTCCATGTCCACCTCGATAGATGGGACACCTTTGGGGAGATCACTAACGTCAGAGCTTGGACGATAGAGAACCTTGACAGGGGCGCCGGATTTCACGAGGGCGGCGAAGACAGCAGAGCTGACCCAGCCTCGATGTCCGTAAACAGCGATCCGATTATAAGTCATTTTGAATTCGATCTAGATGCTCAAGGGACGGCGATAGGTGATCTCGATGTGTGAGCCTAGTAGCGATATCCGATGTCTGCGTCTGGTTGTATTCTATCTACATTCCGTGGGATTTCTCATTGCTCTTATAGCCGGTCGAAGAAGATACAAAATGCATCCCAATGTTTGCGTTAATTTCAAAAGCCATTTTCCAAACATGTAAACATGGCATCCGTCGTTATCTGTTTGTTTCAACTGTTTGAACGAAATTCCAGCCAATGATTAGGAGCAAGAAAATATAAGCCTTGCAATAGCCCCACGTTTGGATAATTTGGGCTGTTTGATTACTGTTTGTTGTGTTTGGAGCGCCACATTTCCTATCGTTTCATTTTATCATTGGCTAGAGCTAGTGACTCCGACGGGGGCCCGTTCGGCCTATAACGCCGTTTCCAGATTTCCCGGCCCGCCCCATGATAAAGCTTGTACCCATTCTTGGAGCATATTGAAAGACAACCTACACGCTTCCCGATATTACCCTACCCCAAAATAACTTCACGTTTCCGAATCCTACCGCGTCCTACCTAAACCGCTAGGTTCAGTGTTAGCCTAGGGGTAGAATCCTCACCAAAGCTCAGCATCCCTGTCACTATGAACACTGCTCCCCTGTCGCCATACGACGTCTATTGAGTCGACAGGTTTGCAAAGTTGTTCGTTCTCGGATTGGACACCTTCACCAAGAACCTATGCACACACCCAGAAGTTGACGCTTCAGGCATGGCCGATAGCCTAACATGGCCCGTATTTAAGGACAAGTATATTTATCTATCGCTTATTATAAAGAGAAGGCTCGTCCTATTGATACTTTGCTTGGTTCAACAGTTACCATTCTGATTAGGACCCTTCCATTTCTAGTTACCAGGTCCATGGTCCAAGGTATCCCTCTCCAAGAACTATTTCGCGACAAGCTTGCAGACAATCGAAGGTAATACGGGTTGTGTATGTAGATACATCTTGATGTTGACAGTGTGTTTAAAACGGGTTGGTATAGACAATACATAATCTCCGAAACATGCCAGGATAGCAGCGCTCACAGTCTTGGAACACCGCTCAGTAATCGGAGTTGCAAACGGCTTGCCATTCATTGGCCCATGTCCCAGGCGCGTTGCTTTCCATGATGCCGCCTCCAAGATAGGAATTTGGCACTGAAATGCCGTCATCGCGACCCTTGCAGGGATTTACGCCGAACCTACCCAAGACGGCGCTGGTATCGGGTAAGTTGGCGCAACCGGCCTGGAAGGGTCCGTAAGTATCCCACGTCCAGGTACAAATACGAGCAGTGCTCAAGCAGCTAACCACGGAAGGGTCGGTGGAGTCTTGAGTCGGGGCGCAACCGCCGTTCTTCCCGCAGGTCTGCGTGCATTTCAAGCCTTCCGTAAACAAAATCTTCCCGGTTGTAAAAGGCGTGGTACCCCCAATAAGCTTTTCTAAAACACTGCTTTCGTTGGTTGCCATGTTGTTGGGATCCACAAGACTGTAGGTATCCGTCCCATCGAAGAAGTACGGGCCACAGATGCCATTACTGTCATATCCGTTCTCGCAGCCAGTATCCCCTACCCAAGCATTAGCATATGACCGATCCATGTCTCAGAATGCAAACACGGCGACAACAAGGTCTCTGTAAAGGGGGGTGCTATATGACGGGAACCGACATAAAAGATTGCCGCCTTGTTGGAGTTTGTGGACATCCAAATTTTCGGCGCGGGTCACAGCCCAGTCAAGCCTATTAAGGCAGGCAGATGCAACATAACCGGCAACTGACTGTGTGATAGTATCGGTCAGACTGTCGAGCGAAGGACGATCACCGGACAGGGGAGTGTTCTGGTTCCTAAACGAAGTGGCCAAAAGTCAGCGAAGGTCGCAGACCACCAGCACAGCGCCATATAATGGTGCTCAGGATACGTGCGAAGAGTGTACTTCTCTTGCCGCTGGAAAAACCCCTCCTGCCCATATTGACTAACAAGGGAATGAAGGCAGAAATGTTATTCTGAACAAGGGGAAGACCTTGTCCAATGGACTTTTGCCAACTAGTTGTGAATTTTCCGAGTTCATCTGCGACGTCTGCCCAAGCAGTGACATCTCCGGCGATATCTCCGGCAGGGAAAAGTAGGCTATGAAGGAGTGTAGAAGTCTGAGGCACAGATCGGAGGAAGGCCTTGACAAAAACACTGCCTTCAGCGTACCTGTGGGGATTGAAAATGGTCAGCACTTGTCGTCTCGGGGGCGAGAAAGGCGGCTTGGAAACCCCAGAAGAAATTTCACTGCCATGAGTGACGTTTCAATCCATAGGGGCCGTCCATCTATGCGTCAGTATACTTACAGGCTAAGACCGAACGACAGTGCCATGAAGACATCTTCCCATGGACTGGTCGAATCATCAGGGGGGTCCAATGTGGTAACCTGCTTGCAATTAACCTATGTCTTAGGATGGCGATTTACTCAATGGTGTGACTGACGATACTCCCAATGGCATCAGAAACGGGGCCCGATGCAGCGCCGACGGCATTGTACAAGTCCAGGAAAAAGCCTTGTGTATTCCAGATGCACCATGTGACGTAGAAGTTCTGCACGTTATTGAAGCCCGTGAAGTCCTTCCAGTACGGCTGACTGCAGGCCGGGTCGGTGTTGAGCTGATCGCATTTAGACGGCGAGTACGGCGTCATCTTAGCGTACCAGCAATCGGCGAATCCATCGTAGCTTCCACAGTCGGCTTTGTTGGCATCCCACCTATTTTGTAGTCAGTCAATTTCTCTTACTCGCCTGACACGGGAACGCGCCCTCTCCATCTGTGTACTTACCAGTGCATAATAAAGTCCGGAAGATCAAGCAAGTTAAAGCAGGAAGAGTCAGGATTGGCACCTGCAGCGCATTGCGTAGGAACTGGCGATTGGCTGGCTGTGCCAGTACTGACAGCGATGGTGGTAGATGTCCCCACCTGGCATGTGTATGTGGCGCTGCCATCCGATCCAATAGTTGATCCTACTCCGGCTTCCCACCCATCGTTGCAACTGTTGGCACATGTAAAGTCAGAGGCTGTTTCATAATAAAGCAAGTGAGGCCTCGGAGCCACCTTGTAGGCTTTGTACTCACGCGCAAGCGATAGTTGCTGGTATAGTGACGGGAGAGCTCAGCGGATCTAGGAACGTAGCAGCTTTTTGGGAAGTAAGACTGCAGGACGTGATTCGGGCTGCAGTTGTCGACTTTACCAACGTAGTAGACTTTGGAGGAGCAGTGGTTGAGATAACAGCTCCGGTGGCGCTGGTTGCAGATGTAATAGCAATAATCGTTGCCACAAGAGTAGCCCGTGCTATGAATGCCATCTCGATTGCAGTGGTCTTATCGCGGCTAGAAACTAAGTATGCGAGTTGCTGGTGTCAAATCTGTGTTCGCAGAACATCATTTATATTCATGTCGCATGTACTTGCGCCCGATGCAAGGCTACGAGAACATTATCCATTTTCGGAAAGCTTGATATTCATACTGATAGACAATTGTTGGAAGGCCTTGAAACGCTCTTTGGCCCCAATCCTGCAAGTTCCTAAAAAGGTACTGTAAGATTTGATGGAAGCAACCGAGTGTATATGGATGGATTAGTGGGGCCAAATTACGATTCATGGTGGCTTTTCTCAATGCTTTGTCATGACCTGACGCATGCATGCTCTTAGCGCTAAGTGTGATTGGAAGATTCCTGTTGTTTGCAGCCTTATACATTGATATCGAGTTGAGATTCATTGGGGTCCAGATATTCCGCCTCGCGTCATTTTTAGCCTAGCGTGTGTTTCGTGTTCCTGATGTTAAATTTAAAGAACGATTCAAGACATATATGGCCCACTGAGAGCTACACGTGCCCGGTATAAGGGCTCTCATAGGGTCCCTGTAGCTTTCATTCTTCTTTCCCGGTTTGATTATAGAATGGCCCCTTTCTCAGGGCACCAGTCACCGCCCTCCATTTAGTGTAAGATTCTGGGATTGACAGGGGGCCAACTCATACCTCGCGTGCTCGGCCGGACAAGCACGTTGGGTGACTATAATTGTCAAGTACGTGCCCTCAGGTCTAAGTTGATTTCGAGTGAACTTGGTTCTTCGAATGGATCATGCAGGGGTTATTTCCATCCTTGCGGCTTTGTTCCTGATCTGTAGGTACATGCAGCATACCACAACAACAAGCTTTAGTAGAATTACCAAGTGTAGGTAAGCTCCTTGAAGTCCTCCAAGACTGGGAATAAGCAAGGCTGAGAAGGAACAAGACTGCGGGCGGCAGATCATACTACGGAATAGTGGGCACGCATCGTTGCTAAAAATGGAACGCAGGTCAGGAGTGTACTGTACAGGATGATCCAGTTGTGCCTAGACCGGCCCCCGACCTGATTTGATCTGGTCCGATCTGGTCCGACCTAGACCTAGACTTAGCAGTCAAGGCGCAAAACCACCTGCTTCTGTACCCCAAGTTCTAGCTCGACCGCTCGTCTCCGGTTGGCTTAGCGTAAAACGCGGCTCTCAGCCGGGTTCCTCGGGGCGTTGCAATACAGCTGCTTGACACAGTTTCAGCCGACCTCTATCTACCGGACAAGGCAGAAGTGGGAGGATCACCGTGAAAAGGCCACGGTGAATGTTCAGTGGGAAGCAGATCTTAACTTGGGAGGCGGCACTTTGGATTATGACCGCCTATGCCTGGGGCTACAAGGAGAAGCACTGACACACTATACCCAGGACGTGGTGGTGAATATCCCAGATGAAACAAGACAGATGTATGACATCTGGGACATGTTAGAACATGGGTGCCCGAGATCTTCATAATGATGAATATCCAAAAGAGGAAAACCCTAGCCTGGAAACAGGTCCGGGGCTAATGGAACATACATATTCAGATTCAATGCCTAGCTACAAACCCAACAAAAGAACAACGAAAGACTGACATGCGCTATTTGCAAGACAAAAAAAACTTGGGGGATCAAGAAAAGAAAGCAATATCAACCACAGGCAGCTTCAGTCAGCATCTGTCTGCTATGTCTTCCTAGCTGACGTAGGCCGGCGCAGAAGAACAAAGCACACTTCGGACAAGGATTGGTATATACGGAACAAGACTGTCGTCATGTCATGAGAACGCCCATCTAGGCAGAGACGTATTTCCCGCCAACCAGTTTGCGCACCGTCGGAACTTCCTCCCAGGAGGCGGGTATGGCAGGCTTGCCCTCGTCAGCGAAAGGGTCGACTTCCTTCTGACCAGCATCGGCTATAGCACGGCTGATGCCCAGTCGGGAACCGGCCTCGGTATGGTGCAGCTCGAACTTCGCCTCAACGTTACCCTTGCGCGGGCCGGGAGTCGCCGTGACAAAGCGCACGAGGAACTTGCCGTCCTCGGCAGAGCCGGGGGCCTTGATCTCCAACTCGGGGATCTTCCAGGTAACAGTGGAGGTCTTGCGCCGGAAGGTGGCGCCGGAGTTGGGATGCATCACAGCAGTGGTAGCGTGGGCGACGGAGTCGCGCGGCTGCTTGGTGAGCTCGTCTTCGGCGGCGGTGTCTAGGCCGACGGTCAGAACCAGGTTCTTGAGAGTGATAGAGCCGACAGGGGCCGAGGTGAAGGACGGGTCGAGGGAGTAGAAGATGATGGCGCTTGCTTGATGCTCTTGCAGGTTCCAGGCTGGCTTGAAGATGACCGGGCAATAGGCAGAGGAATCGGTTGGGTCCAGATGCACTTGATATTTAAAGGCGACCGTCGGCATGGGCCGTGAGATGCTGCCTAGCTGGATCTCGTACTCGCCACGGGTCTCGCCTGCGGCATCCTTGCTGGCATCATGGACGAAGTGTGGATTGGCCGCTACCTTTTCCAGAACTGGGAAGTTGTCGAGACGGATGCGCATGTTTTCTACGGGGGCGCCAAGCACAGCGTTGTGTGCAAGGGCAAGCTCTCCCACAACGAACGACTTGGTCACACTGCCCTCTGAGAACCACGCGTTGACCGTTTCGATGATGGATGCATTCAGGCCAGACTCGTGAAGCTCAGGATGCATGCTCGGCGCAGGGCCGGGTATAGTGTGTCCAGAGCGAACTGATGTGGTATCCGACATAGCATGGTCATCGGTTGCGGTACTTGGGGACGGGGTATGCTTGATAGGCGAGGATGGGCCGTATAAATCAGATGCTGTTGCAGCGGTAGCATTCATATCCGTGCCGGAATTCGGAACAAAGACTGTGTTTCGAACGTCTCGACGGCCCCGAATAGTGCCTGCATTCCGTCTGATTCCTGGCTGCGGAGCGCGCTATATCACATTTGTCAGCCTAAATATTGGCTAGGCACGCAATTGGGGCCCTAACCATTCGAAGAGTGTTTGCCATATCATCCATCGCCTTCTTTGCTTGGCTCTCATCTTCGAAGATGGGCTGATCACGAATTGTCAAGTTCATACCAGACTCGTCCAAGCTATACAGTCACCATATTAGCAATGATCTATTCATTATCGAAATAGCCACATACCCGGATGCTTCTCTCTGGGCGCGTGTGATCTCATCCACAGTTGAGGGTCGCTCAGTGAAGCCTTCAGAATCGACATGCGGCTGTGATGTTGGTCAATGAGCTGTGTGACTCGGATTAACAATGAACAAATCATTCCATACCTGGCCGGTGCCATTGCTAATAAGCCCAGCTTGAGCTTCTGGCGAGGTGCCATTTGCAGTGGATGGTTCCGGTTGGGAAATTGGAGCAGGGGTGATAGTATCAGTGACGTTGTGATCCTGTGATACGCTAGGGTTCCGTATGGACGAGTCCTCAGTAAACGATGTTCCTGGCCGTTCCGAAATCGAGGGCGGAGATTCGGAGATTTGCATTTCCCTTGCGGACTCGGATCTTTTGAAGGGTGCAAACGGGCTGCGATGCTTCTTCTCTGCCTTTCGGTCAAAGCTTCCGGATGTCGGTCCAATAACACTCTTCCGTCGGTTCATCACTGTACCGAGTCGTCTCAGACCACCCAGAGGGGTGTGCCGAGGCACCGCTTCTGGAGCTAGGCGCAAAAAACACCAGGTCAGCCTCCAACCGAAGAAATCATGATATCGAGCATCAGTAAACTCACCTGGTGGTGTGTAGACAGCGGCAGTTGCTGGAGCTGGAGCTGAAGCTGGCGTCTCCGACCTCTCCGACCGCTGACTAGCTGCATCGTCTTGAAAGCGCGGAGGAGGTGCGAGCGGCTCAGCAGCTGGAGGGGTCGTGGCCGCAGCTGGAAAAGTAGGAGTCTCTGCCTGGGAAAGTTGTCGCCGCGAAGTCACTGGTGATAAAGGCGCCCGATTGCCGGCCATTTTAGTGGCAAAGGTCTTGATCTCATCTGCTGTCTCCACATTAAGAAGAACGTTCAAACAGCTTTCGGCTGCTTGCCGGCCGCGCTCAACCTGGTCCACCTCGTGGGTCTCCAGCTGGGTAAGAACATCGCGCAGATGATTCAGCCGACTTTCATCAGCGGCCTGGAGCTGCTCGAAGACGAATGGAGCACGTGATTCCCATTGTTGATTCATTTCTTCTGCAGCAGCAATCGCACTGGCCAGGTGGCTCGCGCCCTTGGCGCCCTTGCCCTTGGCCTTGTCCACTTTCTTTTGCGCAGCATCGATGTTCTTGACTAGTCCTGCCAGGTTGTTCTGGATTCCGGGCATTGACTGCATATCAGGATTCTTGCTGTTGTATTCTCTCAGGGGCCGTTCAACGTCTTCCTCGATCTTCGTCGCAAGGGTCTCGTGCGATACGGCTAGGGTCTCCGTGGCGTGGATGATGCGCTGCCATGGGATTTGGAATATACTAGTATGTCATTAGTCTGGCGACCTTTCATAACAACGATCACATTGGGCACGAATGGTCACGCATAGGCAAGTCCAACTCACCCAAGCGCAGCGCCATTGTCCAATTGCGGACGACTCGCCAGCTTTCGCAAACTCTGGGCATAGGCTTCTTCCACGCGACGGCGCTCCTGTAGTCACCCAGTCAATAATATGGCCCACAATTCCAAAGAATGCGATATAAGGATTCTCGCGGCTGATTGAGGAAAGGTCATCGTACCTGCAGGAAGTCCGCGATATCCGAATTGATCTTGTTGATGACTCGGACGCGATCGCTAAGGACAGTTGAGGCTTGGTTGGGATGTAGAGTAGCCTAGATGGACAGAAGGGCCCCCACGGTCAGTATACAGCTGTTCTCACGCCGGGCTTGAGAGCGCAGAGAGTCCGTCAATCATACCAGCAGTGCCGGGTATTCCTGCCGTGAGAGCTCCATGATTTCAGATTCGACGGTTGTCAGTGCAGCGCATTGAGCGCATACTCAGCAAGCACACAAAACCCAGGAGATCGATAGGATAGATCAACCACCTGGTTGGGGAAGATCAATGAATGCGGGTAAGGTCCGAATGCTGGTCTTCGATCGCCGAGGACGGCCATGGGGATGGAATGACGATGGCCGGGAACGCGGTATAACGGGGCTTGGCAGTGTCTGCCCAATCAGCGTGTGGCTAGCTGGTTTTATTGGTTACAAGGACCGTTTCAAGGTCACATGACATCATCGTCATCTGTCTGGCGACGGCTCAATTAATGATCCACAGGCCCGCCATGGATTGGAGGAATGAGCTGGGCTTTACGGAGCGATTGAGGGTTATCCAGTCTCTGTCAGTCTTCCAGTGTTTAGCTAATTCGATCTACACTAACACGGTCTCATAGCACTACGGTCTACCAGCAAGCTTCCTCGTCAGCAGCCTTTGCAGAGGCTCAAGCAGAAGCGAGGAGATATGAGAACGAGGCCTACAATGAGGCCAACTCCAAGGTTGGCTGTAAGCCGTGCAAGGTTGAAGCCTACATGACTGATTCCACCCTAGGATGAATATGACCGGATGTGCCAGCAAGCGATTGATGTCGCCTTGGCCACCAAACCCGTAGCGGGGTTCACGAGCAGCTCGGATGAAGTGCAAGATGTCTTTCCAGACCCAGAGCCAGGATGCTCATCAGAATTTCCAGTAGGTGAGACCTTTGGTCGGTATAGATCTTGTTTCCATCATTTCGATGGGCTTCACTCCACGATCTATAAATCCAAGGCCGAGGACGATACGGTGCGTGCTGTGAAGATCACCATTCCGCATCTCATGACAGCACCTCACGATGTTCAACGGGAGGCACGATTGTTGCGTGAGGCGGCCAGTCCTCATGTGATTTCCTTGGTTGAGACCTTCAACTTGGACGGAGGAAGGTTGGCTTTGGTTTTCCCGTTCCTGCGGTACGATTTCGCCCATTTGCTCCAGCGAGATATGGTCACTGCCTCTCAGACACGGTCGATCTTGCGAGACATGTTCCAAGCCCTGAGCCATATTCACACGCTAGGGATCATCCATCGAGACATCAAGCCCTCCAATATTCTGATGGACTCGCCCGACGGACCGGCCTATTTGGCAGATTTTGGGATCTCATGGAAAGATGGGGACCCAGGATCCGAGCCAAGGGACCAAAAGATCACCGACGTGGGCACCTCTAGCTACCGCGCTCCTGAGGTTCTCTTCGGATACAAGGCATACGGAACCGCTCTTGATCTCTGGGCCGCCGGTTGTGTGGTGGCAGAAGCCATTGCCGTGGGGCATGGCGAGCTGTTTGATTCAGGACCCGTGGGAAGCGACTTGTCGCTCATCCATTCCATCTTCAAGACTCTCGGAACCCCGGACGAACACACCTGGCCGGTAAGATAACTCGCACCCCGTGTGGGAGGAGCCTTGAGCTTGGAAGAATAACCACGGTACAGGACGTCCATGTGCTGCCGGACTGGGGCAAGGTGGAATTCTACACCTTCCCGGCACAATCCTGGGATAACATCCTCCCAGCCGTGTCCTCCAATGGCCGCGACCTCGCTCGCCGCTTACTCTGCTACCAGAGTAGTGAGCGACTATCCGCAGACGAGGTAAGTGACTGCGAAAAGAATGTGACCGTTGACCGGACTAATGACGCCAGGCACTCCGACATCCGTACTTCTCCACCTCTTAATATCACGCCTCCGACGGCTGCCACAGAACGGTGGTCCTCAGGCACACGTTGCTGCGGGTGGTCCGTCTCTAGGAACTAGGAATCGTGTCCCCTCGCTCAGGGTGGCAGTCACGACCGCCTCCGCCAAGAATGCGACGCCAGGGGAGGCGCAATATAATTTCCAGGGACTGATGGGTTCATGGCGCCCCTCTATATTCCGTAGTGCACTGTATGTACGGAGAGCAAGAGAAGGGAGGCGCACCATCCCAATCTCGGCTAGGCCAACCGAACCGCTCAACAATCACAATAATCATGGACAACGGGAACGACAAACCCACTTAAGAATAGCAATTCATTTGAATATGAATAGAACTATTGGAATCCTGTCGGGGAATGAGGAAGGGGAAACAGCACAAACAATAACCTCCAAATGATTAATCATTATCCAATGAGGAGGAGCCAGTGTGAATTGCGCAGAAAAAGACCCTTTCCAGGATCCGTCCAATCTCCGGGTGGCCCGGAAATTACGGCAGGCCGAATTGGGCAATGAGAGTCGAGGGTTGGGTGACGGTGAAACAGCCAGACCAGCCGCTGAAGTCTGTGCCCCGCGTTGCAGGGTTGTTAGCGAAGGGCCGATCTCATTTGGTGGCCACCCAGCTCGGCGCTAAGCCTGCAGGCGGCCTCGGTCGCGTTTTTGTTGTGGTGACGAGGGGGCTATCTGGGTGTCGGTTTGTTGGATATTCGGATCTCTGGTGGACAAGTTAAGCGCAGTTTCGGCCCTAAAAGATCCACAGGCTCAATTCCGAGATCGCGATTTGCCCTTGTTTGTCCTGCGATCAGCCATCGACCCGTCTCGACTACCTCGTATTGCCGTCATTTCGGGTTTGCAAATAACCAGGAACCGTACTATATCCACCAATCATGTGCTCTATATTGCACAGATCTTCACCTGATTCGGCTAGCGTAGTCATTTCTGTACGCGACAAGACCGGGTCAGGGTCCCCCCAGCGTGGGATCTCATTTCCATAGTTACCGCTCGTTCGGCCCTCGTGGGATGCGCCGTCCAGTCGGGCCCTGCGACGCTTACTCCTCTGTTCTTTGGCTTTGAGATCTTCGTCCTCTCACTCCCTACCCTACCTTTACACTCTTTTTCCCTCTACGGCCTGGAAGTCGTTGTCCATTCTTTCTTCCCACTTCCCGACTGGTTATCGGCGGCGCTCGACCTCCAGTCGTCCATTCTTTCTACCCACATTCCTCAACGCGAGTGTGGACTTCCCACAGGCGCGATTCTTGGAACCGTCCGACTCGCGTTGGAATCCTGGTCGAGACCTGACCGGCCGGTTCCCTCTTCAGGAGGATCGCTTTACGACTACGACCTTTAGACCCCCGATTGCTTGCGATCTCGAGAAGCACAACGGTCATCCACCATGGTGCACGGGCATGCACATCACATGCAACACCGCCCTCTGGAGGCGCGGGCTCTCGACGAGATAGTCGCCAGCGATGCCCTCCCTATGGTGGAACGCGACAACCCTTTCGTTGTCGTTATTAAAACCCTGTCCCAGGATTTTGAAGGTGCCATTGGCGGCTATGTAACGAAAGTCCTAGGAGGAGGCGACGATAGCACCGCCACGGCGACTGCCACGAAAAACAAGAACACCAATGTCGGCGTAGGCCCAGCGGTGGCTGCCACACAGACCAGTGCCGAGACAACAGCAGCGACAGCGGAGGCGACCACGAAGGATACCAAGCACACGACCACCGCAAAGGAGACCGAGACGGAAAAGACCCAGGCAGAGGCCACCAAGACCACCGAACACTCTACGGCAACGAATACCCAAGTACAGACAACCCAGGGACCTTCCTCCTTTGTAACATCGGCGTCTCAGACCACTGCGGACTCTAGCCAGGATGTGAATCTTCTCGCGGTGACGTCAAGTGCAACGGTCACTGACTCTGCGGCCTCTGCATCGCCCACAGCAGCCAGTACCTCGTCAGCCGGGATGTCCTCAGGTGCCAAAGCCGGTATCGCCATTGGAGTCATTCTCGGGCTCGGTGTGGTCGCAGCCCTAATCTTCTTCTTCATCCGGAAGAAGAAGAAGAGTAGCCAGGGACCGGTCGAGATGGAGAATGAGAAAGAGGAATTTACTCTTCCCCCCCCCTCCTCCTCCCATGAAGCCCTCAGCTCCGTCCACCCCCCCCTCAGCTCAGCGTGCGTCCGATCACTCAATTTGCGCCCGACCTAAGCAACCATGGTGGCTTCAACCCGGCTACGGCCGCCGCCACCGGTGGTGTTGGCGCTGCCGGTGCCGCTGTCGCCTCGCGCAACCTGACTGGTAACTCGCCGCCTGGCACTCCGCCTAAGTCTGCTTCTAGCAGCCCGAACCCTTTCGGTGACCCTGTGAACCCCTTCGGCCCTTCCACGCCAGTGGCTGACCAATCCCCTGCTTCTGCATTGGGTACCGGTCCCTCTGGGGCTGCCATTGCAGCAACTGCCGCTGGAGCTGCTGTGGTTGGCGCGGTTGGCGCTGCTGCCGTGGCATCCCAGAGATCTGCCCAGGAACAGTCCGGCCGCCCTGCCTCGCAAGAGTCGGGCGCGGCCATGCCTCCCAACTCTTCGCCGAGCCCTGTGAGTGCTGATGGGGAGTCTGTCTCGTCCGAGGCTCTGGCTGCGGTTGGTGGTGTAGCTGCGTTGGGTGCAGCTGGTGCTGCAGCCGAGGGTGCTCCTGGTCCGGATAACGTTCACCGTGTGCAAATGGACTTCAACCCGTCGATGGAGGATGAAATCGAGCTCCGCTCAGGTACTCTGGTCCGGATGCTTCACGAGTATGACGACGGATGGGTAAGTGCTGAATTCAAGTGCAGAAATCGGAAGTAATAATCACTAATCTTCTTGTCAGGCTCTCTGTGTTCGCCTCGATCGCTCACAACAAGGAGTTGCTCCGCGCTCCTGCTTATCTGCGCGCCCCGTGAAGCCGCGTTCGCGTCCACCCCCTGGAGCAGGCCCTGGCCCTGGTCCTCGCGGGCCCCCGATGATGGGCCCTAACGGCCGCATGCCAGGCCCGCCTCCTCCTGGCCGCTTCTATCCTCAGGACGCACGCCCACGGTCCCCCGTTGGCCCTCCCTACCCCGGCCCGCCACGCGCTCCCTATCCTGGCCGCTCAATGTCACCCGCAGCTAGATTCCCTCCCGTGCCTCGCTCGATGTCCCCAGGACCCGGCGGCCGCCCTGTTCCTCGTTCTATGTCGCCTGGTCCCCGTTCTATGTCGTCTGGTCCCCGCTCTATGTCACCTGGTCCCCGCTCCATGTCCCCCGGCCCCGGAGACATGCGGCGGCCCATGATGCCCGTCAACCAGCGACAGCGCAGTAACAGCGCTGGCAACATTTCTCCGCCCAACGTCGGCGGCGTCACTCCCCCCAAGCCCAGCCCGCTCGCTGTAATAGAACCCACCGCTCCAGCCCCGACAAGCGACCTGCCCCCCCTCCCACCTTCGGCACCGACCTCTCCAACGGGGTCCCAGGTCAACAGAAAGCCTGTGGCCTCTCAGGCTGCCTAATCTGCACATCTCAACCCAACATACCCCCGATCCTTGGGTTGTTCCATGTCCCGCTGGACGGAGAATGAGCCTGCCTGCCTGCCTAGAACGACTCAACCTCGATCTCTACGTCGGTGACGAAGGAAGCCCCTATCTGTCTTTTTACATACCTCCCCCCTGCTCTGCTTTCTGGTTTTAACCCCATCCACCGTCCTATGCTTCTCGCTCGCATCACCCGGCGTGACCATCTTGCTTCTCATGCATCCTGCCGGGTCATCCAAAAGCTGGACTATCGCGTTTGCTGCTGCTGCATGCTTCTTTCCGTTCCCCCTTCCCTTTGCCCTTTCAACTTCTATTCTTCGACGCCTTACATTCTTCTACGATGGGAAGTTGCTAGCCTCTTATTACCGGCGATTCTTTTCAGGGGTGGATGGATTCTGACTCTAAATATGTTTGAATCGGTAAATGAGTTGGACGACCCTGAACACCTGTACCATTTCTTTTCCTGATAGCGGTGGACTTTATGCGAGTTCGTATCTAAATATTTGAACTTATTCCCGATCATTCCTTGCTCTGGTTTTGATAGTATTTTTCATTCTATTGATCTAGTTAGTAGATATCATATTGTAGCTGCCCACGGCCCTTCATGATAGAAGTATGTCCGCAAAGGATTGATCGGAAGGCTCCGAATCAACATCGTAATTCGTATAAGATAAAGGAAGCCAGAGCAGAACCCGAAAATTATGTTTGCTTATCCGAAATGCATCCTGGGCTTAGCCCATCTGTCGCCACCGTCTACAAGTGAGGAACGTGGCCGCTTGCAAGAAGAAGGTTCACAATACTCATGATGCCCTCGCCCAGGATGAGGCCCGACGCCAACACCACGACAGTCGACGAGGCAGCATCCGCCTTTTCAGCTGCCTCTTCGGCTGAAGCCGAACCGCCCTGTCCAGACTGCAGCGCTATAGGCGCGTCCGCGGAAGAACTGACTCCATCAGGGCTGTCGCTGTCGCTGTGACTGGGCTGGCGGGTAGGGGTCGAGTGCTTTCGCGCCCACCACCACGCGATCACGCCGCCTATCGCTCTCGCGAGCGTAAATGATGGGACGTTGAAGATACCGACGGCCACGGCAATCCCACCAGGGATCCAGTCTCTCCAGGCTGGAGGGTGCCCGTTGTGAGCGAAGGCAGGAGATGCGGTCGCGATGCGCACGGCGGTGATCACCACCCATGCCACACCCGCAATGACAGATACCTGCCATGCCATGTCCGGTAGACCCTCGCCGGTGACAAGACGCGCCGTGAAGATCCAGACATATGCAGTAGGCGTCTGGAACATCTCGCCCGGAATATCATAGACATTGATGTACAATTTATACACGGCCGCTGAAAGCACAGCACCGACCAGACTACCAATCACCTGACCATAAAACTGAGCCTTAGGACTCGCGCCCAGGAGATGGCCCGTTTTCAGGTCCTGCATCATGTCGCCGGCCTGCAAGGCGCCGGACTCGGAGACGGCCCCCGCAAGGAGGTTCGTGACCAGCGCTGTTCGTCGCGAGAAGTGTGATGCTGGTGTTGCGAGCGAGAAAAGCAACTGCGTGAGCTTACTGATGCCAGACACTGGGTTGAGGTCTGTCTCGCCAAGCGCACGCACGCCCATGACAGATAGGAGGACTGCAAGAAGAGTAGCCAGACTGGACAGCAGCGGAGATATGATGTCGCCGAAGACATAGTGCATGCAGACAACGTTCAAGATCAGGGTTAAAGGAAGCAAGATCACCACCGTGCGGGTGGAGATAAGCTGGGATGGCGGCGCATCATCTTCTTCCGCCCCCGCCGCGACCTGCGAATGACTGCCGTCCTGATTCTCGTGAGCAAGCTCATGATTACCAGAGTCCAATGCGGAGTAATTGATATAGGAATGCTGGTGCGATGTTGGTGACGGCAGCCGTACTGTAATCCATTGACCCACGCGCGTAGAGCGGAATAAAGCAACCCACTTGGGAGCCCGGCTGACCAGCGGTTTGATGACAAGCCATCCGAGGCTGACCAGTGAGTCTGCCAGCATGATCGCCAGAGAAATCCACACAATCCAAGCCTTGCTCCCATTGTCCCAACTATCCACGGGTCCTGGGGCCCAGCCGCGCGCCCTGGCCAACGGCGAGAGAATTCCCCATCCCAGCACTGCTCCGAAGAGCATGTGCATGCAGGTCGATGGGCCCATGATAATTCCCTGGCCGATATACGCGGGCGATGGGTTGAGCGTCCATAGCCAATTGTGGGCCAGACCTATGCCAAATAGGGGGATATCGCGAACCAGAGGAACAAAGTACGAAAAAAGAGTCTACAATTGTCAGTACCTATCATTCTTAATAGTCGCTCCAGGTGGCAAAGGGACTCACGTAAACTCCGGAGACCACAAAGGCCCCGATCAACAGACGCATCTTCGACCGCCAATCTTTCTGATGCAATGCCTGGTCTTCGGTATCACCGTCCTTCACCAATAAGCCTTGCTGTTCCTCTTCTGGCGGTGGATGAGTGTCCTCAGCCACCTCCGCCGCTCCACCAGAGCGATCCTGGACCGCCAACGGGGTCTTTTCATCTTTTCCCGCACCGTGCAGGACTCGAAGCATCAATGCAGAAGCAGTGCCGCTTGGAAAGCGCAGCTTCTCGCGCACGATAACTTCTTTCCGCAGCGGGACCGCAAAGACCACGCCGAACAGACAGACCCCCAGACTCCAAATAACCAGTTTCCAAAAACCCAGTTGAAGCGGTCCACCCTCGCCTTCTCCGCCGTCGCCGTTGGGCCCGTCCTCACCGTCCTTCAGCAGAAACTCCAAAGCGGGGATCACACCAACAAACCCGCACCCCAGCGGCATGGTACCTACCGCCCCAGCCACCGTCTGAATCAGGACATTCTCGATCGGAGTAAACGGGAAGGACAGGTGCTTTGAGAGGACTTTGAAGACAGAGAAGCCAATCAAGGCCGACGGCATGGCCATGGTACTAATCCAGCCTGTCTGCAGGCCGAAGTAGGTATTTGAGAACGTAATCAGAGCTCCGATGATGAGGCCGACAATCAGCGCGCGGGCAGTGAAGCTCGGGGCAACCTCGTTACTGTCGAGATCGGCGAATTGGCCACGCGAGGGCGGCCGGTCCGCGACGCGCTGGCGCGGTGAGGAGGCATCGCCTGCCATGCTGAGGGTCTGGTAATTCATCGGCCCAGCAGATCCGCCATGGTGAAAGTTGCCGTCGGGACGACGGTTGATAAGCGGGAGCCGGTACGATGATGACTGATAAGATCACCTGACGTCACTTGCGGAGATCCACAGTGTGTTGTTGTGCCTCGCTATACTCCGTCGATTACGCGAGATGATGGTCCAAGTCTCTATGGACTTGGGGATGATCGATGCAGACAGTTGCTCTCTTGAGGGCTGCTCATAACGGTTTGACATGGAGTTCCGGATGTAAGCGTAACATGCAACACCAAAAACAGGGTCCAATACCCGATAGTTAACCACAAATATATACACGGTAACCTGCCAGGCACCACCCAATAAGGTGGTCGGGAAACTGTTAGCTTGGATTGTGGCTGCAGGTGAAGTGACAGGTCCACCCTCGTAAGGATTCCACAACGTTGGCTTATTGGCACCTCCCAAGTCTCGGCGTTCGCTCTAGCCCCAGGCCATGGGGCTCGCCTCGCAGGCCTTTCTCGGCAACTTTCATAAATTGGGACAAACCCCTTCCTGTCCAACTGGCCCCTGAGAAAATAGCCTTACTGTCTGCCATTGTGCCCCCTTACACGCGACTTCCCGTTTCCTCATTATTTGCTAATCATCAGAAATAGGTACTGACCCCTGGTCGGCCACACAGGCTACGCGGCGACAGTATGACTGCGGCCACGCGCGTCAAATCCAGGAAACGGGATGATGGCAACGAGAGCACCACCCAGATAGCTGACAGCACTAATGGCTCCGCGACGGATTTTGCAAAGGAGCACATCACCGGTGGCTGGCGACCAGGCATGGACCCCCGAGTCGATTACTCAGGTCACTTCGAGTTTGGCGGCTCCCTGGGATGCTTAGGCTTGATGACGGGGTTCCCCCTCTTGATGTGGTACATGTGGATCGGCGCCACTTACTACGATGGAAAGCTGCCTCTGCCTGAGGAAGGCCAGTCATGGCTTGATTTCGGCAAGCACTTGGGCCATTTGCTCTACACGGGCGCATTCCCTCACTTCCGGGCGTGGCGCATTTACTGGACCTATTACCTCTTCGAGGCTGCGTGCTACGTCCTTCTGCCGGGATTCACCTGCTATGGCAAGCCTCTTCTGCACCTGGGGGGAAACAGTTGAAATACCACTGCTCCGCCTATGCCAGTTTCTACCTCACCATTTCGGTGATGGCCGTTCTTCATGGCACTGGGTGGTTCCCGATCTACACCTTCCTGGACGAATTTGGACCGTTGATGTCCGTGGCGATCATTTCGGGCTTCCTTGCTAGCTTCGTGACCTATGCCTCGGCTTTTGCTCGTGGAGCCCAGCACCGGATCACTGGATATCCTATCTATGACTTTTTCATGGGCGCGGAGTTGAATCCCCGCCTCTTCGGTATCCTCGACTTCAAGATGTTCTATGAGGTCCGGATCCCCTGGTTCATGATGTTTGGGCTGAGCTGTGCCGCAGCAACTCGCCAGTATGAGCGGTACGGCTATGTCTCCGGGGAAGTTTTGTTCCTGGTTATGGCCCACTATATGTACGCCAATGCGTGCTCCAAGGCCGAGCATCTGATTACCACCACCTGGGACATGTACCAAGAGAAGCTCGGTTTCATGCTGACTTTCTGGAACATGGCCGGTGTTCCCATGTCATACTGCCACTGTACCCTGTACCTGGCAAACCACGACCCATCCGTATACGCCTGGAATAAGTATGCACTCACCGCACTGTTTACCTCCTACCTTTTTGTCTACTGGGTCTGGGACTCTGCCAATAGCCAGAAAAATGTCTTCCGGATGATGGAGCGCGGCACATGGGTGAAGCGCCATACCTTCCCGCAACTGCCCTGGCAAGAACTCCACAACCCGAAGACTATCGTGAGTGAGAATGGAGATACTATCTTGGCAGATGGATGGTACGGGCTGGCGCGCAAAGTACATTACTCTTGTGATATGTTCTTCGCTATCTCCTGGGGCCTGATTACGGGCTTCAATAGCCCCTTCCCTTGGTTCTACCCGCTGTTCTTCACAGTCATGATTGCTCACCGAGCCATGCGGGACATCCACAAATGCCGAACCAAGTACGGAGAGGCGTGGAAACAGTACGAGAAGCAGGTTCCGTATCTTTTTATTCCGGTACGTACCGCGATCGGCGATTGACGGACCACATAGACTAATCTCTTCCTAGTACGTGGTATGAACATACCTTTGTATGGATGGGCAGCAAACCAAACTTCCGAACAGATTCAATATCTTTGGTTTCACTAGCCATATATCTACGTCAAGTCGAGAGTTATCTACCCAAGAGAAGAAGATAGCTTGTGAGCATCGCGACCTTCCCGTCTAGTTGGCTCCGCCCCCGATTGACAGGCCCCACCTCTCCAATGGATGGACGCGCATGCAAACCCCACTTGCCCCTGGGAATCGAGACTTGATGTAGTTTCCGTGACTCATTAGCTGCGGATAGACCTTATCACGATATATCCGAGTAAAACCCCTAACCGCCACTCGAAAGAAAATTGTAAACCCTCTTAAATATGGGACGCCTCCCAACCCACGTCGATCTCATTGTGATACAGTCTTATCTAAGTCGGCCGCACGCTGTTGGATGTGCACGCTAGAACATGGACTGCGCGCCAATCATCCATACCGAGCTTTTCACAGCGACCGACCTTCTCTCGCAGCCATGGCTGCCGGATCTCACCCGCATGATTAACGCAAGCTATCTTGTCAGCCACACCAACAAGATCGCCTTCTCGGCCGAGAAGATCAGACTCCGGTCCGACTCCGAACTCTCCTCGGAGCTGGGTCCAGATGGGTTCACAGCCGTCGCGTTCGCCTCGAGCAACACGAATGACAAACTCGAAGTCATCGGCACTGCGAGCATGAAGCTGTGGAAAGACGACGGGCTCTGGAGTCCCCCCGACCAGGACGACCATGGCAAGGATTCCCCGGAGCAGAGGGTGAATGGCGAAGGGGAACAGATCCGGCGGAAACATGCTTGTCCCGGGGACTACGAGCTGGCCGTGGTGGCGCTCCCGCCAGATTCCCGCTACCGCGGGAAAGGCATTGCTGGGCGGCTGGTGAAGTTGTGTGAAGAGGAGATCGTGCGCCGCCGGGCACTCGAGGGCGATAAGGGCGATGGTGATAGGCCCGTGCGGATCATGATCCGGGTCGCGAAAGAGAATGCTGGCAACTATTGGCTCAAGCAGGGGTTTCAGACGGTGGGCAGCCGGAGATGTCCCAAGGGGTTTTGGGATGCCGCAGAGGAGTTTACCATGTGGGCAATGCTCCGTGAGATTTCCCCTCCGTAGGTCTCGCTCATCGGTCTATCTAAATATCAGGGACTTGGTGCATTTGGACCCTGCAGAGGTGATCGATGTGGGATGGGCAATTGAGTTGTGTTGGGGTCCAAACGATAGATCCCACAGACTTGAAGTACGCAGCGTGAGTTAGGATTTAAGGAGTATCTAATGAACATAGATCTATGTCAGACTACTGATGAGGTTGTAATACAGATCATTAGGCTCATTCCCAACTACGGAGGTGGCGGCGCCAGCCAGCAAGGGTTGCCTCAAAGCAAGCCGAACCCTAGTTAGTTCGGGACAGGTTGATTATACTAGCAGCCGGCATTGCCAAGAGAGCAGCCGCTTGAAAATGAAACAGCCAGTCAGTGGTTGAAAAGTAATCTTTGCTATGCTTCCAACCTTGAATTATGGCTAAGAGGAGGACCATTGTGGAGTATGCCCAGTGCGACGTTGGCCGGTCGAAGATTCGTCCCTGCATGATGCACGGCTCCCTGCTCGTTCGTGACCCTTCAATCGTCACTCTCCAATCCATTCCAGGGCCGATCAACAGGGACTGCTTTGCCAAGTTTGCTCTGGATTATTCGCCGATCGTTGCATTCCAGCCCTTCTGCTAGGCGCTTCACCCATGTCCTCTTCCTCAACAGGACCCTGGCGATGAGTGATTGACGGCTCCTGCATTCCACACACACACGAGATCCTGTATTTTCACAGGCCAGCGGGCCATGTTTACTGGCCCGAATGATCAACGCGTGCCACTGCCCTTGGAGGACCTACTTAAATGCCATGGGACGCGACGCCAGCCTGTCCGACGAAATCCTTTCGCTGGACGACGACACCACTCTCCTTTAGCAGTACGACGACACTGGACAACTGGCCCGACGACCATTCCGCGCCCGCAGGACCTCAATTGAACTCCCAGCACGATGCACTTCTCGAAGGTAAGAGCCCAGAACGAGGACCAGGCGATGAGCCGACCGCGCGCACCTTCGGGAGTCTAATTGAGTGAGATAGACCCTTGCCTCGGCGGCGCTGCTCGCCCTGCCCGCCTATGCAGCCTTCCCTGTGGTCAGCATTGATTTCCAATCCTGGGAGTCCTGCCCCGTTGGCGCTCCGGCCCACGGCGAGCCCAAGACCGAGGACTCCGTCACGACGACTCCAGTGACTTGCGAGTCGACTGAGGTCAACCGCGACTGGGACATCGACCACTACTCCTTCAAGGCGTACCTCGACACTAAGGACTCCCTGCTGTGCGCCGGAGTGAGCGTCTGGAACAACGAGGAGTGCTCTGGCCAGCCCGCGTACTTCCTGCCCTTCAACGGCGAGCCCGTGGTGCAGGGCCCGTGCCTGCCGGACTTCCTTGACCCCGGCTACGTCTCGTTCAAGCTCGAGTGCTTCGGCTTCCCGAGCGGTCCTGGCGGTCCTGGTGGCCCTGGCGGCCCTGGTGGCTCTAGTGGCCCTGATGGCCCTGGTGGCTCTAGTGGCTCTAGTGGCCCTGGCGGCCCTGGTGGTCTACATGGTCCGGAAGAGCAGGATGGCCCCGATGGCACCGATGGCCCCGATGGTTCTGAGGGCTTCTAGATGTGTCCAGGCCGCACGGTCGGGCCAGTGAATGACATGAGAGAGGCCTACTTGTATTTGGCCGTTAGAGACAGGATGCTTCCATTCTGTTCTCAGTTACCATGTATCTCAGTTGTAATCCATGACAAATATATCTTGGTGTTGAGTTGTTGAATTGTTGACTTGCTGAATGGTTGAACGGCTGTACTTCGTGTTGGTATGCTGCGCGGGAGAGGAAAACGGTGGCCCGCCAAGTCGTAATCCGCTCCTGCCCCGCCCCTCTCTTCTTCAGCTCGCCTTTTTTCAGCTTCCAACCTCGGCGCCGCTCAAATCTCCACCGCCTCACCGCTGCTTTCCTGACCGTTAGATTGTGTTGATTCATCGCCTCTCCAGTACCCCAGGTCTCCACGCGGCGATCATGGCGGGCCGATCGGACACGTCCCGCCGGAGGATCCCTTGGCTGTACGACCTCGTCCTGTGGCTCTTCACCTGGGCGCTGGATCTCTTCTTCCGAGAGATCTACCCCCGCGGAGCTTGGCGAATCCCTGAGAGAGGCCCGGTGCTGATTGTCGCGGCCCCTCATGCCAACCAATTCGTGGACTCCGCGATTTTGATGCACCTGCTCAAGTCGCAGGCCAAGCGACGTGTCTCTTTCCTCATCGCGCAGAAGTCGATGAAAGAACCCTTTATTGGAACCTTGGCATCATGCATGGGTGCCCTCCCGGTTGTCCGATCAATGGACCTGACCAAGTCTGGAAAGGGCTCAATTTATCAACCCGATCCCGAAAGTGACCCGGCCCTGATCCATGGTGTCGACACGGACTTCACGCAGCCTGAATTTACGCCGGGCGGTTCAATCACCATCAAAGGCAAAAATGCACCCGAGACCGCCTCCATTGAGGAGATTCTTGGACCGACCTCCCTTCGACTCAAGAAACCGTTCCCCTCTCGGCTTCCCGATGATCGGGGTCGGAAAGGTACCCGGTTCAAGGTCGCTCCTCACGTTGATCAAAGCCAGATGTTCGATGCCGTCTACAAGGAGCTTTCATCGGGAGGCTGTATTGGCATCTTTCCTGAGGGCGGCAGCCACGATCGCTCCAACTTGTTGCCTTTAAAAGCAGGCGCTGCCTTGATGTCACTCGGCGCTTTGGCCCGTGATCCCAACTGTGGGCTGTCCATTGTTCCTTGTGGTATGAACTATTTCCATGCACACAAATTCCGCTCGCGTGGGGTGATTGAATTTGGTCGCCCCATCCACGTGCATCCCGATCAAATCGAAGCCTTCAAAGCTGGCGGCACCAGTAAACGCAATGCTGTGGGCTCTCTGCTTGAAACGATCTACGAGGGCCTCGAATCTGTCACGCAGATTAGCCCTGACCACGAGACTCTCATCTTGGTTCAGTCGACCAGAAAACTCTATAACCCTATCAGCAAGAAGATCCCACTTCCATTGGTGATCGAGTTCAACCGGAGGCTTCTGAAAGGATACACGAAGCATCACGATGATCCTAGGGTAAAGGGTCTCAAGAAATCGGTGAAAGAATACAACCGGCGCTTGGAATCGCTCGGGATCCGGGATCACCAAGTCGAGTGGGGCAACATCGAGGAAAAACCATGGTGGCTCACACTTATCACCTTATTCTACCGCCTGTGCAAGCTTCTTTTTCTCAGCGTTGGTGTACTGCCAGGAGTACTGCTCTTCTGGCCTGTCTTTGTCACAACAAAGGTCATTTCGGAAAAGAAGCGACGCAAGGCACTTGCAGCTTCGGTTGTCAAGCTACAAGGCCACGATGTCGTGGGGACCTGGAAGATTCTCGTCGCAATGGGGCTGGCACCCACTCTCTATGCCTACTATACCATCATTGTGACGGCTTGGCTTCGCTATAACCGTCATGATGGCTACTATTCCCATTCGGTTCCTTGGTGGCTCATGGCAAGGACGTACGTTCCTGACTTTGTTCCGTTGTGGATTTTTGCCGTGGGGTTCTATGCCCACATGGTCTTTGTCAGCTACGCAGCACTTCGATTTGGTGAAGTTGGGATGGACATTATCAAGTCTCTGCCACCCCTGCTGGTCGCCCTGAACCCGCTATCTTCTTCATCACTGATTGATCTGAGACAACACCGAGAGACACTGTCCGAGCGGGTCACCGCAACTATCAATGATCTTGGATTTGGCATTCTGCCTGATGTCGATGCCGAAATCCCCACCGACACCTACAAACTCGACGCTTATCAATCCTATCTTAAAAGTATGCCACCCAGTGAACCATCCAGTCGGGAGCGCAGCCGCAGCCGCAGCCGGTCCAATGGCTCTGCTGGTGGTCTTACTCTGAAGGCACTCAGTTCGATCACCTCCGAAGGGGATCTAGAGGAGATTGATCGGAAGATTCAAACCAATTTGAAGGGTAGAGGGAGACGGTCTAGCACGCTCAGCACATACGAGACGGGCGAGTCCATTCTCAAGTACAAGCCGCGTGCTACCGAGAAAGAAGGAAGAAAGCGAAAGTGATTCACACCTTCACTCTCCGAGATATTCAGAGCTCTACAGGCAATCAAAGGTCGTCCAACTTGGACGAGGTCTCTGGAGAGGGGCATCCGACTACCTGACATGCACTGGGCGATACAATCTGTTTCATGTCCATTGGTGAGAGTGATGATGGAAGCAATCGGATTCCATAGCCTCCATTCAACACCCAATGAAAACCTTTTCAGAAACAATGATATTTTTAGCCCTTCAGTTCCCTCGCAGGATCCACCCAGCGACTGACACCACCAGCTGCCGATCTAGCACGCGTCAGGCCTTCTCAGAGGCGGACTGCCATGCTTTGGAATGTTCAAGGCGCGCTAACATGCCTGGTCGGGGCAATCGCGGCTTCCACACGGTCCTGGATTGGCTCTGACCTTCCCGTTTGGAGCTGGAATGTGCGATCCCAACAGCCACTGGCTCCTGGGCTGGCCCTTTGACACACTCCCGCCACCGAGTATGACGCTGAAGGCCGTTTCTCCTTTTCCAAGGATACCGTAGGACGCGCGCGCCGCGTTTCAGCGCTTGATCATCGCCATTACAGCCATTCTTACCCGCCATCCCCAGATTCGTGGACCAGACCTAGTGAAATGAGGAAGCGTTTATAAAGCAGCAGGCTCTAGGTAAGGTCTTCATTGACCATCAGTATCAACTTCATCATCATTATCATCCTGCAAAGTCCTTTGATCTCTATAGTAAAAACTCCAAACTCGAGAATTGCAGCCATGCATCCCACCCTCACCACCCTCTTCCTCCTTTCCACCCCCATCCACGCCGGCATCACAGCAAGGGTTTGGGCACATTTCTACCCCAATTGCCCAGGCGAGCCTTTCACCAATCTCGACACATACGAGAACTATGAAGAAACCACAGCCTCCCAAGTAATCACCGCCGGCATGTGCGCCGACATAGGCGTCCCTTCCTACGAACACAACCTCGTGAGCGCGATCTCGGTCGACGCAGAGCTCCTCCCCCAACAGCCCGCCCTTTCATTCCCAGAGAGCGGCCCCAGCTGCAACATCACCGTCCACCAAGTCCCAGAATGCATCGACCCGCCCCTGATCACCAATGAGCTTCGCAACGGCGTCGAAGTGAGCCAATGCGCGAGCCGCTCATTCGCCGCCTACAGCCAAGTCTGGTTGCTGCTGGTCTGCAACCCCCAGGTCGAAGAATCGCTCGAAGAGCAGGCACAGGACATCCCGCGCATAGAGGAGACAGCCAAGGTCGGCAGCGCCGCCAACGCTCAGACCCCTGGCTCCAACGCTTTCTCTTGGTCGAAGGCGCAGACCGATCAATCAGAGCGCAAGCCTGAAGAGGAGGACCGCGTGAACAATGACGGCCATGCTGAGAGCGACAAGATTGTCCATGATATCATGGAGAAGCTGAAGAATATGGCGCCGAGCATGGTCACTGGCAAACACAATGAGACGCAGCCTGCGTTGAACGCCACCCTGCTCCATAATGGCACTGCTTCAGGCAACCAGACGCTCTCTAGACGAAAGCTGTCGGTGTTGCGCAACCGAGTGGCTCGGCTGTATTAAAATGCTGTTGATGGATTTATTTTGTGAGCGCTTTTTTATGTCTATAAATCACCCCAATAAATAGCCTGTATAGTCAAAATTTCAAAAGTGATAGGAGATGCAACGGTCACAGCGAAACGTAGCCTAAGACGACATAACTACATTGAGGCGCAACCGCTTATAACATACATGGAAAGTCCAGAGAAGATAATACACTCAGAGTACATAGATCCTCAAAGCCCTTGAACCGCCATTTAGAAACCAAAACTATCCAGCAACGAGTTAGCATCAGGCTCATGGAACATGGTTGGAGGTGGCTTCGGTTTCTGCTGCTGCTTCTCCCTGCCCTCGGGAGCCGAGGACTTCTTCGCATCTGCAAGCTCGGCGAGACGGACTGGCATATCAGCGACAACGAGGCTGCTCCGCCGGCGAAGCAGCTTTCTGTAATCGACACCGCCGTCCTGGAACTGAAACTCGAGAGCGGGTTGAGTCTGCAATGTCTTCGAGGTGGGTGGGCCACCGAGGAATTCCCAGCCTCGCACAAGGTCCAGAGCGAGGAGGTCGCAGCCCATCCGGTCGTAGAGACGGGCGTTGCGGAGAACGAACTCCCATTCTTCGCGTGGTCGAACCTGTGAGGCACCCTTGAGTGTTTGGAGGGTCTTCTCGCGAAGCTGCTGGTAGAGCACGACTAGGGCAGGGTCGTTGGAGAGGTACGATTTGGCCTGGAGAGTCACGCGCCCCGGACTTCCAGGAGAGGCAGGGGTTGGTGACAGGAGCGTCTCGATCGGGGACTGGTTCTATGTTAGTAGACTGATATACTGGTAATATAATCAAGGTGGAACGTACAATGAGTGACCGCACGGCCATGTCCCGTCGTCCCAGCATCCAGAAAGCCCAGGAAGCCATCCATCGGTTGCCCTCCGATGCTGCTGCAGGGAGAACTCTTTCTTCCAGGATTTCCCGGAAGACGGGTCCATTATCTCCTTCATAAACTCGTGCGACCGCGACTGCGAGCTGGAGATCACCCATCTGGTTGGCGATCACGTTTGTGGCATCGCGGAGGTGATCCGCAAGCAGGAAGAATGATGCGGCATATTCTTCGACGGTGTTAGCTGTTGGTGAATGAGCTTGTCCAGCACGGTGAGTGTGGAGCTTACCAAATCGCCGTTTCCCAAGCAAGGCATAAGCGTTCTTGAGAGCAGAAGTCCTCCATCTTGCTTCCTTGAAGTTATTCGCTAGCAGACGTTGGGTGGCGGCTTGTTCACGATGCCAGTGAGCAATTCGCCATAGACCTTGAAGGATATTTTTCTTTCCGAGGGCGAGGTAGTAGAGAGTACAGTCGATCGGATTCCTTTCTTCCGTTTTGCCATATTCATTCCGAGCAACTATTTCGAATTGTGCTTTCTGATAAAAAGGTCAGCAAGCAACAAGAGCTAACGAGGAATTGATACTTACCAAAGCTGTCGAATCCGATAGCCACATGAATAGTCCACTCTCTCGCGCAGCTTTTCAAGTTAATTTACCATTGAATTGACGTGAGATCAGGTCTGCCAATATGTCCTGGCTACCACTGTGAAAAGCCCAAACAATCTCTCGCCAGGAGACTGTGCCTTTATTCGCGACACCCTGACTCCTTCTTAGCATGTGCTGTCGGAAGAAGAGGAGATAGCGTGCTGCATTGTCATCCATCGACCGTCGGTGCTTTTCGACCGTCGCAACGCACTCAATAGTGTCAACAAGGCGGAACTGCTCATGGCTGGATATTTGTGGTAGGGCGATCCGGGCGAGATTCTCATTCAGGGCTTGCGCGGTGCTTTCGTCCATAACGAATGATAGCTCCTCTGCAACCGCTGCGTCCGTATAGGAAGAGCGCATCTCCTTCGCAGCTGCCTGCTGGCTGGCGTTCCTTTCCTCGTAGAAGTCTTCGAGCGGCACCTCCAGGAATCCGTCCAGGTCATCGCCTTCGGTGTAAAATTTCAGTTTTCGGTGCAGTCTGGTCAAAATGGAATGCACTAGGCTGGTCTTCCCGGCGAGTATACACTGTGCCAAGAACTGTGGGTGGAAGACGGGCAATGGGCCATTCAGGCGACTGACCACATCGAAAAGATCGACGGATGATAGTCCACGGGATGGGATGCGAAGGCCGGAGACAAGGCGGTCACCAACATCAATGTCTTTGTCATATACAAACAACTGGTTACCTGCACCAATCACGAGGTGGCCATTTGTGAGCCAGCACGAGTCGCCAATGGGATGTGGAGTGAGATCGCGGATCCAGATTTCTCGGATCTGGGTCCACGCGGGCTGGGCATCTAAATAGTCATAACGAAGCTGGGATAGTAGTACAACCTTGTGGGGGAACCCAACAGCAAGAATGGATTGCATGTCCGGGGTCGAAGTCCAGTCGAGGTCCCGGATTATATCATGCTGGGCGAAATGCTCTTCGAACTCTAGCTGAGCATTGTTGGTATCCCAGATTGTCAGGTGGGTGCGGTCCGCATCGACCAACGCAGCTTTGCGGATGGTGCTTCCACTGGCCAGCGAAGGATTCTCAATGCCTGTATCCACCGTCGACTTCAGCAGCCACTCGACTTTAGCGTTCGCCTGGTCGACTTTTGCACTCCAAGTTCGCACGACACCGCTGTGAGTATAAGACAGGGCAATATCCGGAGAGAAGGCGTCAAAGAATCCAGAATGTTTGGCTTTCGGACCGGCAGGATCCACTGGGAGGATGTAGGCTAAGTCTTCCTTCAGGCCCATCTCAAAGGTGCAGAATTTCCGCAGGTGGCAGTCTTGCGCTGTAGACCATCGGATTTCGAATGCAATGCCCTGCATATCGGCCCCAACAGTTGCTACATATGCCACTTTTGAACTTGTCTCTGGGGTGGGAAGCGGGAGCACACACAGGGGCTTACTCGACAACGTAAAGGGGAGATGTGCAAGCCTCGTCGCGTGATAAGAGCTGAAATCCCACAACGAGATCCCGTTGTGATGAAGATTGACGAGGAGGCTGCTATTCTCAATGATACATGTCCGATGGATGTGCTCATCAGAGAAAAGGATGCTTTTATGCAGGAGCATCAAGCCACTTTTCCGTCTCTTCTGCCGCCATATCATGGCCTTATTCTCATTCGTGCGTGACACAAGAGTGTCACCGACAGCATTTCGCACAATCTTTTTGACCGGCGCGGTATGTCCAGACCAGGATGCTCTTGGGGCAATCCGGTTCTTGCGAGGAGTGGGATCGAAAAGAACATCCACCTGCGAGTCATACCATTCAACTCGGCCGTCAAAGTGATGGACCACAACGCTGAGTTTATCTTCGGTTAGGTTACTTTGGAACGCACAGATTTGAGCATAGTCTTCTTCCGCAGACAGGTTTGACATGAACCCGAATTCTAGTCCCTCGACGTGCAGAACGTTGAACACGCTCAGCTTAGTTTTTACCTTGGAGCCCACATCTTCCAAAGCCCATGCAGACATATGGCCCTGGCCGTCAATCACGACGCATATCTCTGGACTCTGCTTGGCAACTTCGATGATATGTTCCAAGGCGTGGTTTTCCTTATTGCCTGTGTTTCGCTCTACAGCTCTCTCCGTCGCACTGCAGAAGTCACGGCCGTCCAGGAAAAAGCCGTAACGCCTTTGCGGTCCTTGGTCCACATTGAATGCATCGCGGGGCTGGACTGAAAGTCCCATGTCAATGTCCGCCCACAACTGCAAAGGCGAAAGGGCATGGTGGTCCGTCACAGCCCATACCCGGATCTTGTTGTCGGCGCACAGGGAATACAGGACATTGTCGACTGATTGTTCTCGATGATACGGCCGCCGCCAATGTATCCCAGTGACCACATCCGGATGAGGAAGATACGAAACTTCGAACCGCACTTCATCCTCGCCGAAGGCAAGTCGTCTCCATACCTTGACCAAGCGGTCATAATGTCCAACCGTCACCATCAAGGCTGCGTCGGGGGAGAATTGGGCGAATTTGACCGGGGTGGCGAGCTTCTTTTTCCACACTAGGCGGGGTGTGTCATTCAGCATCCAAAGCGCAAGGCGAGAGTTGCCAACTAGCAACTCGTTCGACGAACCCCACGACAGGGTATGAATGGATTCATCATCATCGCCGGCGCGGAAAGTGCAAGCCAGAGACCACTTCAGCACGACTATTTATCAGTATGGACGTTCTGCAATCACTTGCGACCGGTGGTTTCGTAGGAAAAGCGAGAGCTCCGGGGATAGCGGGCTGATTGCGCACCTTCAGTGTCTCGCCCTGAACGCCGTATGGCTGGTATATGAAGACATCCGGTCCTCCACACACAGCAATCTTCCCGGAGGCCTCGTCAAAGGCCACAGCCTCGAGTTTTTCGGTATCATCGACGTAGATCGTTTGGAGGAGCGTCTGCGGACCGCCGAGGATGACCAGCGCATGGCCGGAGATGTACGCCTGTTGGTGACGCGTGCAAGCCACGGTTAGCACACAGGTTATTCAGGTTGGGGGTTATATTATGGTTTCCAGAGCAGGGGGGCCTTACAATCACGCGAAGCCCATCCCACAGCGCCGTGCTGAACGACTGGAGCTTCGCTGGGGGTCTCCCTGGCAGTACCGCTCGCATAGAGGCGGGTGAATGGGAGGGTGGACGCTCGTTGCGCTCGAAGCCTTACACCATCGCCAGTTTGTAGACTGAGGACTTTGGGGTCTTGTGGTCTTTGGAGTCCAAGATGAATGACGGAAGAAGGGTCAATCCCGAGATCTGCGGGTGTTCAGGTGGTTTGCGCAGGGGATCAGGGCGGGATGGAGGTCGGTCGATTACGCTCCCGCTCCACTCGTTGTGACCACCGCTCGCCCTTTGCGCGGCCCAATCCTCGCGACCTCAAGAGTAGCACGGTTTACACCAATCTAATATTTTGGTCTTCCTTGAGGTAGCGATGACCGGGAAGCAAGTAATATAACAAGCATCCGTATCGTTCTGAATAGCTCCTCCCGATGTCGGGTAAGCTCCAGCGTCAGCTGATAAGAAACCCGCAATCGACGCGGTCGTCTGATCTACGCTGGATAATGTCTGGCAATTCTTGGCCCTCCCATTCCGTTCTAGTGCTCGCCCTCTCGCCGCTTTTGCTCACTGAACTAGAATTGAGCACGCCCCTGATCAACCTAGGCTGGTCAGTGATTATTGTATTCAACCTGATTCCCTCCCTAAGCCTGATCTGAGCATCCTGATGTGCTTAATGACCCTGACCTGAATAGTTAGACTTCAATTATATCGATTACTAATAGGAACGCGATACAATTTGGCATAGAATAGAGCGAGTTAATTTCCTATTCCGATATAAAGACCTAAGATATTCTCTTCCTCGATATTGGGTAGAGCGTAATACGTTAGCTCTGCCGTAGCCCCTTACAGGTACCCTTGTCGATCGACGAAGCTTCGGAAGAACAATATACTATAGACTTAGCAGGATCTAGGCTTGATTTATCACGGAGTCTATTTCCGCCTAGGCTCTGGGATATTTAGCGTTTTAGTCTCGTTTGCTTTCGAGATAACGACGCAAAAGGATTATCATCGCCGCGTGCGGACGATATCGAATATGCATAAGAACTTGATCTACATAAAGCACACCTCGCAGAGATAGGGCTCTCGCTCCGGCACCACGTTTTCGGGCTAGCTCGTTACTATGGGATTCATCCCCCTACGTCTACCGATGACCCAGAGGCGGCTACACTCGAGATGCCGCTACCGGTGCCATCCGATTGTGTATCTGTCTCCCATGCGCCTAAGGCCAGCCGACGTTAAGCCCCTGTAGCCCTATTCCAATCCGGACTTGGGTGGTATAGACCTTAAGTCTGTCGGGATGGCACAATTGTCGATATATAGTGCTCTCATTAATACTCTTGCTGATCCTTAACCCTCACAAAACTCTACCATGGGTAGAGTCCCATGGCAACGGGAAAGGCGAAAGTGGAGGGCTAAGCTCAGCCATCAAAAAGTAGACATGCGAGGGAAAAGTCCTTGAAAGGTCAGACTCAATTCAATCTTTGATAGATACTCCTCGCCCGTTCTGTAGGCGTTGCGAAACACAAAGTTACTTAAGCCAACCCCTATTAAAATCCACCAAAAAATCCACAAGGCCAGAAAGACTACTCCAGACGAAGACCCACACTTTGGACCTATAGCTCGAATGCCCCGCTTGAAAGGCGACGGAGACAGCTGATATCAAACCTGAGTGTGCTCACCATTCATTGCGGGCGCAGGCTCCGCGCTTGGGGTTGTAGCAGTTCCATCGTTGGCACCACGGCCCGATGCGTTCGGTTTCTCGGGATGGTTAACTGTAGGAACATACGTAGAATGCCGGCTGTCGAAATAAATATTGAGGGTTTCCAAGCACAGGCCACATAAGGTCCAGAAGCTTTGAGAAGGAATGAGGATGTATGCTCGCATATTTATAAAGGGAAAAGAGGGAAGGGGGGTTTGTGGTGTCAACTCACAACGACAGGAAAGTAAACGCTTCAATGGCATTCCTCCTCCTGCAAGTATTACTTAGGCCCCAACTGAAGTAAGCACACCCGACGTCATCAAAGTAGTCATCAGTTTGGGCAACAAAGATGAATGCTGATAGCCATCTATAAGGTTCAGAGCAGCATCAGCTTCATGTAGTCCAATAGGGTAGCAGCTTATCGCCAGTGATTGTGGGTTTATGAAGGAGAAGGGTCTGATATACAGTGCGTAGAAGACTATGTCCAATGGAAGCATATAACCACGGTTGCGATGCATGCAAGCGGTGAAGAGGGAGGGAATATAAAATGCCGTAGTGAGAACCGCCTATGCGAGCAGTATCAGTACTACACAAGTAGTAATAGAGTATCGAAGAAGGCTCATATGCTCACAATAACTAGGGTGAAGATGGCCCGATAGCCTTTCAGGTGATCGACCACCCATGCAGTAAGGCTCAAAGTGATTAGTGCGCTGATCCATAGGAACAGGCGAACTGAAAACAGAAACGGTCGAATGATGTCAGCGTGCTTCGTCATGATCGAATCTGCTGGGCTGGACTCTGTAGTCTGGGACGATGAAGTTGTTGAGAGAACAGGATCGCTTTAAAGAGTGAATTCCGTCAGATGAGAAGCCCAAAGTCAATGACGCTGCTGAGAAGGTCTATATCCGGGACAAGCTAAGTAGACCTGTTCCCAACTTGCCAGCTATCAGGTGATGGGCAGCTGATAGTCATAATTCTGGTACGCCCTGTAGTTGATCAGGCCCAGCGTAGTCTAGCCGGCTGATGGATCGCTTCCGGAAATGGAGACATCGGGTGACTGTCTTTGGCTAATTGAATTCTAGAATGCATCTGCTGGCTTTCAGACGTCATGAAATCAAATGTGTTCCTTTTTAATCTGTATTTTGAACCAAACATGCAAGTCAGGGACGATCATCCAGGAACATTAATATTCATAGCTGGTCAGTACGGAGCCATTGAGAAACACACCTAAATTTTCAAACACCATCGCATCTCTTTGAAGAGTCGACGGATTTGATCATACTTTTAATTTTTACTGAAGTCATGGCTAGATTCTCATTGACCTCAGGGTAAATTTATCGATCATGTGTGGACGATTAAAAGCCTCCAGTGGCGGATTCCGCTGCCAAGGCACCGCAGCGACCAATGAGCTTAACGAGCCCGATCATCGTGATTCAGTGGCGTTGAGCTCATCAATCAGCTCTAATGGCTAATTCAACTCTTGGCTCCAACCAGTAGATGCTTTTGGCTCCGTGGACCGGTCAAGCTGTCCGTTTCATTCCTCTGATCCCCTTTTTGGGCAAGTCGTGATGGTGACGACTCCCGCCGCCCGGTTGTTTGCCGGAAGTATCGGAACAAGTCCATCATTTCATTCCGAGTCCTCTGCTTTGCTAGGTATATACTGCTACTGCCATCTTTTCTCAGTATAATCATTTGTATCCGGGAGATTTAAAACTCACATCGGATTTCCAAGTCGTACCGACGCCTAAAATTAGGAAGACCATTAACCGACAAATACATTGACAGTCACATTACTGTTCTGCTTGCACTCTTCAGCTAAAACAATCCTTAGCAAAGTCCAGCTCAATTATCCTTTCCATTTTCCCCCGAGAACAGAGACTTCACATTCATCATGCTGAACTGGAAAATCCAGATACCTCTCCTCTTCGTTGTCGGCTTCGCTTCTGGTCTTACGCATTTTGCCAAGTTATCACTTGACGCCCCTACCGGCACTCTTATTTCCAGAGCTTTCCCGGATGCGCCTAATGGATATACACCAGAAAAAGGACAATGCCCGTCGCCTAATCCAAGCTTGCGTACTGCGGTAAACATTAGCCAGCACGAAATGAATTGGTTACAGAAGCGTCAAGGCAAAAGATTGAAGGCGATGCAGACCTTTCTCACGCGAGTGAACGTTCCGGACTTCAATGCTACCCAATATTTTGCGAAGAATCAGCCAGCATCTCTTCCTAACATCGGGATCGCGTTTTCAGGAGGCGGCTACCGAGCTCTGCTCAACGGAGCCGGGGCGTTTACTGCATTTGATGAACGGGCGACTAACTCGACTGCGCCAGGCCACCTAGGCGGACTCGTGCAATCAACTACATATATTTCTGGCCTTAGTGGTGGCTCCTGGCTGGTCGGATCAATTTATACGAACAATTTTACTACCGTGACTGCACTGCTGGATTCTAATGCCAGTGGTGTTTGGGAATTTGATCAATCAGTCCTGAGCGGACCTACAGGTGATGCGGGCTACTTTCGGCAGCTCCGCCAAAATGTAGATGGCAAAGAGGAGGCAGGATTCCCTGTTTCAATTACTGATTACTGGTACGAAATTGCTTATTTTCTACCCAAGATCCTTCACATCCTTGGCATGTCCCCTCCCGTATGTTGTTCTGAGAGATGAATATTGAATATTAATGACTCAGTGTCTAGGGGTCGTGGGCTGTCGTACCAACTGGTGAATGCTACCGAGGGCGGGCCCGCCTATACGTGGTCATCTATCGCTTCAACAACGCAATTTGTTGATGGAAACGTGCCAATGCCGATTATTATTGCTCTTGAACGAGCACCCTCAGAGCAGAATCTAAGTAAGGATACTTGATCTTATATCTACGGACATATTCTGCTATAACCTTCGCTGACTTGGCTGTCTTTAAACGTCAAACAGCATTAAATTCATCAGTTTACGAGTTCAACCCATGGGAATTGGGTACATGGGACCCAACAACCTACGGCTTTATGCCTCTTGAGGTTCTGGGCTCGAATTTCACAAATGGGACGTTAGCAAGTGACATTTGCATATCCGGATTCGATAATGTCGGGTTCATCATGGGCACATCTTCATCCTTGTTTAACCAAGCCCTGCTTCAAATCAACAACACCGATATTCAACGCACGTTGAAGAGCCTCACTACTTCACTTCTACAAAGTCTCAATGACTCGTCGAACGATGTTTCAGTGTATGAGCCCAATCCGTTCTTCGGTTTCAATAAAGCGAGCAATCGTAATGCTCAAGCAGAGGCTCTCGTCCTTGTTGACGGTGGCGAGGATCTGCAAAATATCCCCTTCTACCCGCTCCTACAAGCCAATCGCAAAGTCGACATTGTCTTCGCCATTGACAGCTCGGCAGACACACCGACACGGTGGCCCAACGGGACCAGCATGGTGGCGACCTATCAGCGCAATAGCAACTCTTCAACAATTTCGAATGGGACTGCTTTTCCCTCCGTTCCAGATCAGAACACCTTTGTCAACCTAGGCTTAAATGGACGGCCCACCTTTTTTGGCTGTGATCCAACTAATAGCACGGGCGAGCCTCCGGCTCCGTTGGTCGTCTACATTCCAAATAGCCCATATATCTACATGTCGAACATCTCGACATTAACACTTGAACTAAATGACACTGAACGGGACAAGCTGGTGCTGAATGGATACAACGTGGCTACCATGGGAAACTCGACCGAATGGGGCATTTGCATTGGCTGCGCGATCATTAGTCGCAGCCTACAGCGAACTAATACGTCGGTGCCCAGTGCGTGTGTGGACTGTTTCCACCAATATTGTTGGAATGGCACCGTCAATGCGACTACCCCAATGGTTTATGAACCGCGTCAGAAGATACAATAAGCGAATCTGTCAGCCCAGACTTGTGTGCCCAGCGTGTGAACATTGCTATCAGCATATTTATCCAATAATAATCCAGAGCCCGTGCCTTTCAATACGCATTTCGCTGTTAGAAAGTGGAATTCATGATCAGTCGATCACATGAGATTGAGACGGCAGCTCTTTGCGGGGAGTAGCCTGCGGACAACGCCACAACTCTGATTGAGTGTTTAGGTACCTCCAAGGATGCCAGACCAAAACGCGGGGCATAGAGGGCAGAGTTCCCAAATCAACCGGAATCGTGGACTAATTAGACCTCAGCAGCTGGGGACATTGGTGGCGCAGTCGAAGACGTCATCACTGACCGCGAGGGGGTCAAATGTTCTACCTTTATTTAAATGTATCAACGGACGATTTCATGCAACTGTGTAATTTTCTCTCTAAGAATCATATGCTCGAGGGGTTCAACATGTTGACCGGTTCGTGTCTATGCACCGTGAACAAATACATAATCACCAATGAAGATGCTGCTGTACTCCGGAAGGTGACAAATCCATACTTCCGAACAAGCGTGGACGAGATCCTTTCTTCATCTACTCATTTGTCTTTCCATTAGATAATATGCCACTGTCCTCGCTGCCGCAAGATCGGCGGTGGATACACTACCACTAACCTTGTCATGTCAAAGACGAGCTTCAAATTGAAAAGCTCATGGAAGTGGTGCTCTCTTATTCCGGGTATATCAAAGATCAGCACCAGCACCTTCAACGCTGTCTTGCCAGATGATAAGCATGGACATATCTGTTTTTGCCGCCATTGTGGATCGGTGCTCTATCGCGAAGCTAAAATGCAGGGATGGCGCGGCCTAATATTTGTGCCAGTGGGCACGCTTGATGACATTGACTCCGTCAGCGACTTGAGAAAGGAGGAGTGGTACTGAGTGAGTTACTCGAAATTTTAGTTTGTAAATTAAAGGAAATCAATTTGGTTTGAATTCTCGGTCGCGGTGTGAGATTGTTTTTTTTTTGCCTTTGAAGAATAATTTTAAGATTATTAACTACTAAGAGTAATACTAAGACTTGTTACAGCCAGAAGAGAGTCGGAACAATCCTGTGCATTCAGCGAAGGTATCAAGTCTGCAGAGAAAAAGGAAGAGAAATACTATCTAGTGGGGTGGTGTTTAATATGTCCTATGATAAGGAGCGCCTTCTAGACGGAGCAGCAGGATAGGTGGGTACCGGAGAATGGAGATACTGGTTATAGTTAATACTTTTTGTTCTAACTGGTTTACTCAGCATAAGCCCGTGTTGACATTTAGTGAGCCTGAGCCTAATCGCTCTCATTAAAGCGGCGGCAGCCTAGACAGGACAGTCCCACCGGCGGACAAAGTCCTGTGTATATATGTGCATATATACCGATAATGGGGATTTCCAGGTAAGAGCGAGATTAGCCATGCTTGCCAGCGTGCGGAATGATGGTCGCTGGGGTTCTCTTTCACTACTGGGTATTTAGCATGTAAGATAGTCTATTTTCAAAGATTGAGCTCTTCCTTCCCTATTCTTGGTAGCACTATTGAGGACCGCCATAAAGCCAAACTAAACCAAAGTGGACTGTGTAAAGACAGTTCTACTTTATCATCCAAAGACTTAAGCAGCCACAGCTTCAGGTTGTGGCAATTTCGAAATGAGCTTTTCACACAGTGCGATCAAGGAGCTGGCGTTGGTGATGTCGAGGGTGGTGAGATCAGCCTCCAGCTCAGAGCGCACCCAGTTCCTTAACTCAACTGCAGCCAGGGAGTCCAAACCATAGGCCATAAGAGACTTCGCAGGTTCCATCTCAGTCTCGAGGCGAAGAATCTTTGTGAATTGAGCAGCCATCAGCTCAATAGCCAATTTTACGAGAGCTGATTTATCCACCCCAGATTTGTGCATCATCAAGAAGGCACGAATAGTCTGGTCGCCCTTATTTGCGCCATCCTTGCCTCCCGATCCACCAGCTGCGCTCTGTCCGAAGTGGTAACCCAATCTTGCCTCTCGAATAAGATTCGAGTCGTCGGGTAGTGGGAATCCGATACCAGTGATCAACTGAGCACTACTAACCGCGTTGATCGGGGACGAGGTTTGTTGTAGGATGGAAAGATCAAGTATCTGGCGTAGTGTGTGCTCGAAAATTGGTGCCCATTGTCGTTTGTCGAAGTGACTGTCCATGCCACCATGTTCAGCGACGTATCCGACGTCTTCAATCAGTCCAAGGTCGAGCGCGTTAGCTGGTAGTCCAAGGGACTGGCGATAGGTGGCAAACGCATCGAGGAAAGTGTTTGCAGCCGAGTAATTGGATTGTCCCTTTTTGCTGACAATTCCAGAAATACTGGAAAGCAGGGTGAAGAAGTCTAGTGGCTGCGTGCGTTCGAGAGAGACATTGTGTAGAGCCCAAGTGCCCTGGATCTTGCCGTAGATTGCGGTGTGGTACTCTTCCAGCGTCATGGACTCATACGGTTTGTCCTATATTGTACAACAGAGTCAATGAAAAGATACTTGAGAATAAGAATTCATGTTTTGACTTACCCGAAGGATCATAGCTCCCTGTATAACCCCAGCAATGACCGGCGACGACTCGCGGAACACCTTTCACAAAAGAATTGACGTCGCCGACATCGTCCTTTGCTTCAATCATCTTGCAGCCGTATGACAAACAGTTCTTGGCCCTCTTTTGTGAAGCTTCATCTGCGATGCCACTGCGCGAAACCACGATGATACGCTTAGCTCCATGTTGAGCCATATGAATAGCCAGGTTGCCGCAAAGTCCCTTCACACCACCCATGATTAAATAGGAGGCATCACCACGAAGCGCAAGCTTTTGGGTTCCTGGTCTGATTGGGACCTGTACATTTGGAATCTCGCCATCGGAGATGATTACCTTTCCGATATGACGACCACTGCGGATGAAAGGCAAGGCCGAAGGGATGTCGCCGAAACTAAAGGTTGTGATTGGGCTGATAGGCTTCACATGGCCAGCATTAACCAGATCGAAGATCTCATCCAGAAGATCGGCAATTAAAGGATCCGAAATATCCTTGGTGTGGAGAAATCCATGGCCCTGAAGGAACCGTTCCGGTCGAATGGCTCCATTGCCAACGTATTACGGTCGACAATATCTTTCTTTCCAATCTCGACGAATGTGCCCCCGTCTGCGCAGATTCTCCAGGACTCATGAAGCATATCTCCAGTTAGGGAGTTGAGAATCACGTCAACACCACGACCCTTGGTCGCTTTCAAGATTGCAGCAACAAAATCCGTGTCTCTGGAAGAGAACATGTGGTTACGAGAGATGCCGAAATTATCCGCGAGGAATTGTCGCTTCTCTTCAGTTCCGACTGTTACAAAGATCTGGACTAGAATTAGTACACACTGAAGAGAGAAAGGAGAAGGGGGTTGCGACTTACCTCTGTGTCTTTATGTTGAGCTAGCTGGATTGCCGAGAGGCCAACACCACCTGAAGCCGAGTGAATAAGGACAGACTGCGAAGGATATTAGTATATTTCAAAATAGGGAAGAAGTAATAAACCCTTACTCGACCTTTCTTGAGATTGGCGATATGATATAGAGAATAGATTGAAGCCAGGTAAACCGACGGGATTGTCGCCATTTCCTGTTCAAGATAAGTACTCCGGAGTTTAACTTGAAACATACAATAAACATACCTCAAACGACATCGCGTCGGGGAAGACATGCGCACGTCCAACAGGGACCTGAAGACGATTGGCATAGCTTCCGTTATTCAAGAAGCAGACGCGGTCACCAATTGCGAACTTTGTGACGCCAGGTCCCAATCTTTTCACGATACCGGAAGCCTCATAGCCCAGAGTGTACTCGTTCTCTGGCATGATGCCCATGGTAACAGCAACATCCTATCATCACAGTCAATATTTTTGTGATAGGATCATACCACAAGTGTGATACTAACCTTGAAATTAACACCGGCAGCCAAAACCTCAACCTCAACACGACCTTCCTGCACAGGTAGCTCAGCAGTACCGTTCTCTGCCCATGTAAGGCTTTCGAAAGTTCCAATACGCTCTGCCCGTAGAGAAACTGTGGGCCCAGGTTTGTGCAGATCCTGAACAATTGGTTCGGTACCCTCCTTCACGTCTAGCTTGAATTGGTTGATGGCTTCGTCCGGGACGACGCGGTGTACGTAAAGAATGCCACCTCTCTCGGCGTATTCAGTCTCGATGAATTCTTTCTGTCTTTCCGACCGGAGAGACTGGAGAACAGTATCAATTGCCCATTCGGTTGCTGCGCCAGACGATCGCTCGGTATCTAGAGTGGTCAGCTTGGCATTGGGGTCTTCCATGCGAATCACTCGGAACAAGCCGTGGGCAAGGGCTGCGTCGGGGTTGGTCACTTGATGCTGTGCACCTTGAGTAACCCAAAGCAACTGTTTGCCCAAGCCAATGAGCTCTTTAAGCTCCTTCGATTGCTCTTCGTTGGCTTGTGTGAGCAACGGAGACGAAAGCTCATCAAGGACTAGAATGACACTCGGTGTTGTCGACGATATGGGGAGTGCCTGCTCATTAATGATCCATCCAGATTTCTGCAGCTTCTTGCGCATGGATGATTCAAGTGCCGGTGTGTCTTTTGACAAGCGCACGACATCTAGAGCTAGGGGGCTCTTGGCAGCTTGAGTGATTGGTTTGAGAACGGACAGGTAAGACTCAGTCCCAAATTGAGAGCCAATTTTGGAAACCGAGTCCGAGAAGTAAGATCGAAGAGCCTCTTCAACCGTATCAGCAGTATTAGGCTGAAGGGAGGTGCCTTCAACCTGAGCAAGCGTCTCCTCTTTCAATGCCACAAGGTTATCTGAGGTGGCCGAGGGGCTGATTGAACTGGCAGGGGTATACCAAAAATATGCTGTCACCCAAAGAGGACCATTACAGGAAGATTAGAAGTAAGGAAATTATGCCCAATTCGGACTAGCCTATGCATATGGCCCACTCTGCTTATTTTTCGCTGCTTATTTCTGCGGGCCCGCAGTAAACGTGCTCACCTTGCATACTGCTGACCTTGAATCTCGACATCTCAGGAACATTACAGAGCATCACGCTTGGAGTGATTTGTGGATAAGGATTATTAATTTCTGACCATTCATGAGATCAGCAATCCGTAGTCTTTCCTGTCGGTAGCGACTTCCTTTGTTTCACTATTGATTGCGTGATGCTTCAGAGACTTTTACCAAGCGCACGGTCACACTGGCTTAAAGCGGCCAGTGTCAGCAACCCTATCCGAGTGCACCAGCACATGAATGCTTCGTGTGGAGCCTTATTATTGACCGGCAGAAAGATGAAAGACTGATACTTTGTGAAGGACGGTGTTTAGGACGGTCTATATTTAGGCACCAAGGTCTATTTCCGCCTGAGAATTCGGGCTCCCAACACTCGCCGCTTTAAGCCTGTCGCGGGCATCACAACAAAGGAATCGATCGGCCCGCTGCCCGACTCTCGGCGACAATTCAACGATGACCTTGCAGCTATTAGCAAGCTATCCTAGTGACTAGTCATCGTGATTAGAAATCATAGCACTAAGCATCCTCATTTTGTGTGGGAAACAGATAGGTATTTGTTGTGCTTAACGCGTCTCTCACTACTCTATCTCGCCCACGAACCTTGGATTGTGATTCTGTATCTCACCTTCCACATCTAACCATCACCATCCACCCTCTGATAATCAACGCAACTTCTTTTCTCATAGAACTTTTCGCGTCTCGTCATGGCTCCCACTATTGTCCTCGTCACCGGTGCCAACCGCGGCATCGGCAAAGGTATCTTGGAACTATACCTCAAGAAGCCCAATCACACCGTCATCGCTGCGAATCGTGACCCAAGCCACCCAACATCTCTCGCTCTGGCTGATCTGCCGAAGGCCGAGGGTACTACGTTGGACGTCATCAAGATCGATGCTCTCTCTCCTACTGATCCCGCTGCGGGTGTGGAGACTCTAGCCACCAGGGGAATCAACCACATCGACATCCTGATCGCCAACGCCGGTATCGCTCTTTCTTGGCCAAAGGTCGCTGGGGTCAAAGTTGCCGATATTCAGAAGCATGTCGATGTCAACGTCTATGGCTTCATCTATCTCTATCAGGCTTTCCGACCCCTCCTCAAGGAGGCCCAGGCTCCCAAGTGGGTAACTATCGGCTCTAGCTCTGCTTTCCTGACGGTAAGTCTCATCAATCTCTTTGTGTTACCTGTAACAAGTGTTAATGTTACTAACAGTAAGTGAACCATCAATACTAGTCCATTTACCCTTAGTGGACGGCTCTTGTACCTGGGCTTGAACAAGTCTATTAACCATTCACAGGAACTTCATCCCCATGCAAAATGCTGCCTACGCCCCCACAAAGGGTGTTCAGCACTGGTACACTAAGGCAATCTCCGTTGAGGACTCCTGGTTGAACGCTTTCCCCGTTGACCCTGGGTAAGTTGTTATATCTCACCCCCAAATTATTCCTGCGTGATGGGCTAATCATAGTACCTGGAATAGCTGGGTTCAGACTGATCTCGGCAACCGAGGCGCCGAAGCTTTCGGCTTCGAAAAAGCTGCTGTGACCATCGAAGACAGTGCCGCTGGCGTCGTCAAGGTCATTGATGCGTCTACCTTGGAGACTCACAGTGGCAAGCTCTTCAAGTTTGATGGCTATAAGGAGCCTTGGTAGACAAAAGATAGGTCTTGCTCTGCGATTCCAATCGCTATGTTTGGTATTCGGCCCCTACGAAGTGCCTGCAATTGAACGGGGCATTATCCTTTCTATCTTTTGTCACTATGAATGACTACAATGAAATTATTCTTTTTGACTCTCTACAGCTGCGACAAAGAAATCTGGTTTTTCACAGAGCCATCCCAATAACTCGTAGTTTAACAAGTTATTTAGACACCTTGGGTGCTGATAATGTGTTGATAAACCTATCATTATTTTGAGTTTCTGGAATCCATGAGGTCTTGTACAATTGGCATTTTAGGACAAGGTTGTCCATAAGTTTCGTCTTTAATAATGGAATTTTATGTATGATATGAACTCCGAGGCACAAGTGGATTCTGTCCGTGGGATGAAATTTTTGGCAGATAACCCACCTTGCGTATTATTCTCAGGGGTCCCATTGCGCAGACATCTAAGCAAAAATAAACTGCAAAAGCAAAATCTCAACAGAAATCTATTCAAAATTTCACTCAATATTTTCGCCCGTATTTTGAACTTGGTCCACAGGATAAAAGGTTGGAAATCTTTAAGCACTGGCCCGGCAAAGTCTGCCATCAGAAGCGACCTTCCAGTGCTCATTTCCCACAGACGTTGGTCCGTAGAGCACGAAGTTTGGATCGTACTTCATTTTTATCTCCAGCAACCGGGGTTAATTACTTCCAAAATAGTCTTCCTTCCAGGTTGGGTTGTCGAAGGTCGCTTCATTGAGGTACGTACCCCCATTCGGTGTGATAGATCTTAAAAGATCCTGATTGTGGTTCATCTGTGCCTGGTGTTCGAGTAAAATGCCAAGTGAAAAAGTTGGGGCCACATAGACGTCCATATTGGCAGAGTATAAAGCATCACGCCAAGCGGGAACGACAGCATTTGATGCGGGGGTGTTGCCGACTCGAGAATGTGTGACGTTGGCAGCAATGCCGTTGATACGGTATCCTGGTAGTGCGGTGATATTGCGGTAGGCAGCAGTTAAATCAGAAAGATTATCACGCACAGTGTCTCGGGCAATCAGTCTTCCACCGATCGTTGAGTTTGTCGCATAGTCTCCATAAGGGAGATCTGGCGTGTAGTAGGCAAAGTGATCATAGTAAGATGGCTGCTCGTTTGTCTCGTAGGTATAGGTTAGTCCCAGTTCCTCCAGCTCCTGGATAAATGGATCAAATTGCGCTGCGATTGTAGACTCTGGTTGATCGGGTAAAGCAGCGGAGTAAAGTGTGAAAAGATCACTGGTGATGCCGAAGAAAGTGCTGATTCCAGGAAGACCATCCCAAACGAGGAGACGTTTGTGCCATGCCTCCACAGCCGCCCAGTATGTGTCATGGTCGCCATTATTTTGAAAAGTGAGCGATGCACCGGCAGGGACAAGAAATTGTATCGGGTACGCTTCCTATGGTTTATTTTTGATATTCTGTCTGTCGATCCATACTGATATCTTTGGGCAGGATGAACTTTGCACGCCAGGAAATGTCTATTATTTTGGCAACCATTATCCGCAAGTACGATCTGTATCGTGGGCAAGATGGCCCGACACTAGAGCTTTATGATATTGTTCGGGAAAGAGACATCGATGTGGTCCGCGATATGATCATTCCATTCCCTGCGAGAGGGAGCCATGGACTGAGGGTCCGCGTCAGGAACTAAGTCATTGGCCCCAGAACAGGACAAGTTTATTGGAAGGCATTAATGCACGTTAGTGATAGGAGCTGCGATTATTTTACTACCTCATTTGACGCTTACCGTACTACAAGAGAATTGAAACCAGATTTATGGAACTCAGGCCTCCCAATCAAACTGAATCGTGGGAACATCTTTTCGGTCATCATTCTGAAAGTGTGTGTCGTTCGTGTGTGATCTAGGTGACGGTAAAACTGCCGCCTCGGGAAATTATCGGCTCCCGGAGTACAGAGCGAGCTAGTCACCCAGAAAACACGCTAAAACCCCAAGTTCACCAGGATAGCGGATACAACCTTCCTAATATACCTATATCTGTCTCCACTAATTACCACGTGATATTAAAAATCGACAGTGCTAATTGCCCCTTTCTGCCTAGGTATAAATAGTCACCGCTCCTGATTAAATACTAATACTTCTTTCTCCCAGTCTTTGGACACGTTTATTTCCTTACCTACGCTCGCTACCATGAAGATCGCTCCTTTCTGGGTCTCTATCGCCCTACTAGTTCCACGGGCTCTAGCAGCTCTTACTGAAACTATAGCGACATCTGCTACGTCCACTACCTCTACTGCCGCGGCACCAAGCTGTACATCTACCCTCATCACCAGTCTCTGCAGCTACCCGGAACCTGGCCCAGACTTTGCCGTCGCCAGCGACGGCAGGGCCTTCTGCTGGGACTACTGTAACGCCCACCCTCCCTGCAACTTCGTTATCTTCGCTGCCGGCAACCCGTACACGGGCACCGGTACGTGCTGGCTGTACCCGGGTGAATCCTTCGATGCGAGCAAAGGTAGTTCGAATTGCGGCAATCCTACCCTATCCGTCTACAGCCAGCCCGTGTGTGCTGGCGGGAGCGCAACCACTACCGCTGGCGCCTGCGCCGCCACCGCGACTCCCTCTGCTATTGCCTCGGGCTGCGGGTACCCGGTGCCTAGTGACTGCTTTGACGATTGTTCTGCTAGTTCGGGTGCATCGGACTGCTTGAGTCAATGTGCAAAGGCCGATTCCTGCAGCTATGTCGTCTTTAATGCGGAGAATCCAGACAACTCGCCGTATGCCGATGGCAATTGCCGGATCTATCCGAACGGCACATTTGATGCTGGGTCTGTGACCGCTTGTAGTGGCGCTCCTACGCAGTTTGTGTATAACAACTTGTGTCCCAAGCCATCACCTTCATCGTCCTCCCTTTCATCATCTGCTACCCAAAGCTCTAGTGGTACTAGCACTACAGGAACTACTCCGGGCTCAACTACTAGCGCTGCTACGGGCTCAACTACTAGCAGCAAGAATTCTGCGCCTGCCGGCCTCTCGCTCACTAATCCATTAGCTATAGGTGTGGCTATATTAATATGGCAGGCCATTTAATGATATCCTTGTATGTATTGGTTGTTTGTTCAGCTAAACAAGCTATTGGAAACGATATCTTATGTATTGATGAACCTCGTATGAGGTCACTTAAAAGACCATCGGATGCCCTGTATTCATCTATTAACAACAATTTAAAAGTGCCTGGTAAATCTAGAGACGCATTTAATAGCGTTCGAAACTTGAAAAGACACCAACTAAATTTCGCACTATGCTCCCAGCGCTAATTCACTTTCAACCCCCAACCCATCCATTTTCTTGAGATCTTTCACGGGCGCAACCCAGCTGGTTAAGAACCCACAGCCAGCTAAAGCAATGCCCAAGGCAAATGTATCTTTCAGCCCCGCAGAATAAGCCCTGAGTACAAATTCAATCTGATCAGCCGGTATGACCTGGCGCAACTGCGAGGCTCCAGCTGCCAGTACTGTGTTGGTATCAATATGGGGAGCGATTTGAGACAGATGGTACAATAATCGGTTGATGAATATGCCCTGGCCCGAGGAGATGCAAATGGTCCCACCTGTCATTTGGAAAACTAGAAGACCGACGAGACATATCAATGTTGTGATTGACGATGTGACTAGGAAAAATGGCGAACTTACACAGAATTATGGCGGTTGTTGGGGACATGTATTCTGGCTTAGCAAAAGATTGGGCAACGATGACTGGGACTTGAATAGCCAAGCCTTGCCCGACCCCAAGGAGGACCTGATAGCCGAGTGGTTTGCGGAGTGGGATGTTCACATCCATGGTGTAGAGCAGACCGGCTGCAATCGTGCAAATGCCGCTTTCAATGGCCATGAAAATGGTGTAGTAGCCATTGATGGCAATGAGAAAACCTGATATGATGGCAAATAAGCCTACCACAATGTTAGTCTGCATTGATTGATGAGAAGGCCTTAGAATCTTGTTTTTGATACTGACAGGCTCCAAAGATCAAAGGTAAGTTGTAAATCCCACTTTGTGCGGCCGAATAGTTATCAATGGATTGGAAAAAGACCGGTATATAATAAGTAAAATAGAAATTGACCCCATTTTGGCTGCAGGACGTTAGAATTTGGTAAAATATGCCGAGCGCGGACTGTACCTACAAGAATGCAAAGATCGAGATTCCAATAATTGTCCGATTGACAAGGATCCGGGGGACAAGAGATGCTCGCTCTTTCATCCAGAACTGAATGCCAAAAAAGACGATGGTAAGAAAGCCAGAGAGAACTAGACATGCAATAACCGCAGCGGAATCCCAAGCTTTAGTTACACCAGCCCATTGCATGGCCAAAAGAAAGCAAACAAAAACCGCAAGTATCGAGGCAGCGCCGAGAAGATCCAATTGTAGAATAATCTCTCTGAGGGAAATCCTTCACGGGTTTTGCAGACCGAGGGGGCTCAAAAAAGAATGTAATAAGCCCGATGCTAAATCCACCGATTGGAAGGTTCACATAGAAGCTGAAGAATGGTGAGTGATCCAAGGTCACCTTCATTTGGGGGCTCGTTGCCGTACCACCACCTCCAGCTGACGGAATCCGTGAATGCGCCCCCGATCAAAGGGCCTGCAACGCTTTCAATGGCGTATGAAAGTCCTACCAGTCCAGTATATTGACTCCGCTTCTCCCGAGGCACGATAAATGCGATGATTGTGTAGGTACCGCAATACAACCCTGCGCCACCAATACCTGTTATTGCCCGACCTATGATAAGAGACGTCCTGTTTCTGGCAGTTCCTGTTTCTAAGGATTAGCAGAGTAAAGAAGAGTAGTAATAGGATTAAGACAAAAGTTACCGCAGATAAGACTTCCAATTTCAAAAATTAGTCCAGCGGCAATATAAGTATACTTCAGACTGCAATAACGATAGAGCTTTCCACATAAGGACTGGAAAGCAGCCAAAGTCAAGAAACATGCTGAGCCGTACCAGCCGACTTGATCAACTGAGTGAAAATCATCTGTTACCTTTGGTATTGCCGTTGCGACGATAGTCTATAGTGATCAGAAGGGAATCGTTGGTAGAGAAAGCTTTCTGAAAACATACCATATCAAGAGCAGCCTTTTTATGAACACATGTGCTATGTGAATATTGACATTCGGATTAGGATTCCCAGGTCGTGACTTAACAAGAAAAGACAAAAGAGAAGACCGATTATGATGAATCCCAGTTTAACGCCCTGTGGATACTCGTCTGTGTTTACTTCCGGCTCCAGAAGGTCCGAGGAACTCTCGACTTTGGCTTGACATGAGTTCTTTTCAGGCTCCATATTGGCATAGGTTGCTAAATGGCAGGAAATGTGGCTTCTCGTAACGGGACTTGCTAATTTGCTTGGATCGTCGGTTGAGACCCCAGTACAGAAAGCTACTTTTGTCTCGTGATCTCCAAGAGCAGACTGCCTTCTACCGTCTTCAAGTGTGGTTGCATTATGTTCAGGTGGGTTGAGTTCGTCAACAGATGCTTTTTTGATCGGCGTTCCCTTCAGACCAACAAAATCACTGCAGTCAGCATTACTGCAGGAAAGCAGCCATTCTCCACTTAAGTCAGCGCCAGGCTTCACTACTTGAATACGAACAGTCAGTCCTACAGTAGAAGCAACAGGGTTACACACAGACTGCAGGAAAAGAAAATTTGAAATCCCCCCGCCAGTCATTCCGGGTAAGTGATTTTAGTAAACCCAAGTGAGAATTTTAATTTTGGGCACCGAGGTAGCAATACGACAGGGATTGATTTAGATTATAGAATTCCGCTGCGGATAAACTAATTGATGGTCTACGAGAGGAAAAGGAAACATAATTCTAGACCTAATCACTCCAGTCTATGAGCCACACTCCATGCGACACTGGCCCTCATCCCACGTTATCGCCCACCTTGTCGTTGACGATCCATCAGCGGCACGACATTGCCCGTATACGGACATTTGTGTGCTTTGGCAGTGACGTCCGCGCCTCCCTGGAGGAGCATCAACACTCCAGCCTCGAAGGCTCTATCTACGGACATGTGCAATGGGGTCCAGCCAGCATTGTCGTACACATCAAGATCCAAACTCCGCTCGTACTTGGCGCGATGGTCGAGTAGATGCTGGAGTATCCCGAGTCTTCTGCGCAAAACAGCCCAGTGCAGTCCCGAGCGACCTTCGCGATCGTACACGCCTATTCGAGCGCCGTGGGAGAGTAGAAGGCGGACTACTGAATCGTGGTTTTCGATGATCGCGTGTACCAAGGGAGTCCGACCGTCGCTGTCTTGGTCATTTACATCCATGTTGCCACGGAGTAATAGGACTCGAACAATCCTTTCGTGGCCTTTCTGAGCAGCAATGTGAAGCGTGCCAATCCATCCTTTGTCACTTCTTGCAGATGTAATGAGTTCCAGTACCGTATCGTCGTTGTGGGATTGTGGTAACTGGAGGCCTGGGCTCCCTGGGCGAATATCGGAATCGGATGTTCTGCGATGGAATGGCGGGCAATGGCTGTCTGCGGATCGAGAGAGCGACCTCGAATGATGGCTTGATGTGCTGTTGGAGGGTGCCGTGCGTGAAGCGGGACCGGAGGAGTTGCTGTGAGTGGGATTCGCGTGTGCTAAGCTTGGCTGGAGGGGCGATGGATCGGACAATGGAAAGGTGAGCTCGGGGTTGGTTTGATCCCAGAACGAGTGAATTGCGTCGAGATCGAAGTGGTCTATGGGCCCTGGCCCTGTGCTAGGGATCTGGATTTCGGTTGGAGACGGAGTTCCTGTCAGTCTGGGGAGTGCATTCGCGAACGCCGGCAAGGAGTTGATCGGGATGTCCACGTTGTTAACAGCTGAAGTCGACTGTGGTGGTTGAGATGTCTCTAGAGCACCATTGTCCGCTGCCCGCCGCTTCTTCTCTGTCAACACAACCCCGATCAGCGGGATGATCGACACAGCTGGATACGGGCTACTCACCGCGGAATTTGCGTTGCGCTAGGCGATTCTGGTCGCGTCGCCGCTTAGCCGAGTCGCTCATGAATTGCACATTGACATCCATAGTCCCTCAAATCAATGTGATGAATCAACAAAGAGGACAATGTGAGAATCTTCGATTTTGAGAAAGTCGGTTGCCTCGATCTCGATCGGGTTGAAGGTACGCCTGAGCCCCGCCAAGATAACTGCCCCGGGGGCCACCCTTTCCAAAGAGGGTCCTCATTCGTCTTACTCAATGGAGCGTTCGTATTGCGAATGTGAACTTCCCTCTCCGGACGGAAAAGACCGGGGTCGAAAGGGGGGGTGCATAAGTACGAAACACCCCACCGACACAGCCTAGCCCGGAATGGGATCTACCGCGGCTTATCAGGTTAGTCACACTAGGGTCAGTAGTCGGTTTAAGATGCTCGGTTAGGCTCAGTGAGCAAACCAGGATGATTACAGAATAATCACCCACCAGCTGAGTGTTACGCGTGGCTAACTAGTCACAGTAAGTGTGCCGGTAGCTAGCTACATATAGAGTACGAGTATGTAGGACATAGGTTGTCTCAACCAAAAAGTCTCATCTAGATCATATAAAATATAGAGATTCGAACCGAGACCTCTAAAAGTGATTGATATGAGATCTGCACGGGTTCAAGGGTTCGATGCAGGGCTCAAGGCTTACTACTCAAGGTTATTAGTTAACTAGAAGTTAATTAGTAAACTAAGGGTTAGCTTAGTTAGTAGTAGTAGTCTTCGTCAGCTTACCAACGTCCTGTGGTCCTAGGACCTTTACTGCCTTAGGCAGTCTACAGGTGGTGATACGATAATCGTGACTATGATAATCCGGACGACCACTAGTCGCCCGACTGCTCGGCCCCGATGGGCATCATGTTATATAAGCATCGTTAGAAGTATATAGATAGTTCTTCCCTCCCCACATTGGAAGGACAATCAATTATTCCATTCTAATCTCTTATCTAGTAGTAAACCCTACAAGACCCTACCTCCCATGGTAGGCTAGGACCGATCTAACCATCATGACAGCTGAATAGAAGAAAAGGCAAATGCTCTCCAAGAAGTCGCGGGTGTACAGAATAGGACCCGAAATCTCGCACGATAGTTTTGCTGGATGACTTCGCAAGTGACTGGTGGAAAGGAAGGTCCATTACATTTTATTTCCTTCTAGTGGTAAGTCCAAAATGGGTAATAGTGTTTGAGTGACCCGCTCATCTTGGATGTAGACAGCATGGGTCGCGAGAAGCTTTACGAGCTGTTTAGCATAACGAATCCTGCGTTTGCAGCGGAAATGGCCCAGCTTCTGAGCAGACCCGAGTACAAAGATCCAATCACTGAGACGTCGCTGGACATCCTCGAGTTTGTCAAGTATCTCTTGAGAGGGACGGTCGAGTATGTACCTAGCTTACGAAATATCGGGCCGGGCACGAAAAATGCGTGCAGCTGACAAACTTGTGCAGCTGCTGAAGGCGCAGCTCGCAAGAGTCGACTATAAAGGTAACTTTAAATATGGAAATATGTAATACCATCTTGGCCATATGCTGGATGAAATATCTATCGCAGGCTCTATATGCAGGGCAGTAGGCTCTTCTGTTGGAAACCCAGCTATTTACAAAAGTTGGACCAGCCTCGAGATAACATCCTCAACTGACAGAGCCCTCTCGTTATTTGTATCTCCCTCATTCTGTGGGGGTGGAAACAAAACCGAATCCACGATATGACACACTCCATCACTGGACAAACCATCCTGCACTATTATATTTGCAATCTCGTTCACCCGCATCGAGATCAATCCTCCATGTCGTGTCACAGTAACCACTAACGGCTGAGCTGCTAGGCAAGTAGAGAGAGAGAAGCGACGAGTACCCTTGAGAACCCGCCACATAGAATCTGCCTGGGTCTCTGGAGTAGGAATTGTATGATCAGGCGTGGCTTCTGGTGTCTGTATAAAGTGCTCTGGTGGAGAATCTATGTCGTAGAAACGATTCGAATATAAAGTCCGATTGATAACGATATGATAAAGTAAGAGGGCCTGGAGCGAGGTAGCTCCTTGGTCACTGAAGAGGAATGTCTGGACGTCTTCTGGTAGCTTGCGGAAGGCTTGGTTTGTGGGAATGAAAACGACTCCACCGCGACGTGACTGATCATGGAGAATAGCCTGAGCTGCTTTAGACTGTTGCACTGCTGTCTGGAATAAATCAAAGTCATGCGGCGGCAGAACAGCGATAAGAGAGTATATTGCTGGCCGAGGAAGGAGGACCTGATCAATTATATGGACCAGACCGTTTGTCGTCAGATTGTCGGGCGCGATCACGGTCGCATTGGAGTTTACTCCAAGTCCGGTGAGTGAAGGGCGAACTGTTACTCTCTGGGCGCCATTTAATTGGCCAGGGAGGAGTAAAAGGTCCATAGTTGGAGCTGTCAGGAGGAAATATATAGGCAGGAACCTCGGCGAAATATGCGCCTGGAGAAAAGTGAGAACATTTTCCTCTGGCAGCTTTTTCCCCAATTTTTGGAAGGCAGTATCACTCGGGGCCCACACAGTGGATGAGAAGTTTGAGTTCTGCAACAGTTCCTTGATCTGGGGACATTGATCAATGAGTTGAATGAACTTAGATGTGGTCGGTTTCGTCGAGAGGAAGTCATAGAGTGTTACGGGGTTTTTCTTCGCATCGGCGAGGAATGGCACGAGTGCATGGCAATATCCGGTATATTGATGTTGGAGGTGCTCGAGTCTATCTTCTGTTGAGGCTGTTGCAAGTAGCCAGTGCTTATGATCGGATACAGTCGTCATGCTTAAGAAGTGCTGAGAGAACAGAGGGCCAGTTGGGTGGGAACCTCTTTTCTGATATAAACAAGCCTTCTTTGTTGTCAGATTTATTCCGATTCTTCCCGCAAACGTTGTCAGTTTGTAGGCTGGGTGTCACGATAGAAAGCATTCGTTTGAAAGCCATTTGAAGGTGCCTTTTTCACTGGGAGCGGTGGCTAAACTAAATTTATATGGCGTGAGAGGACTCTCAACCCGTTATCTCCGGCCGCTTTCCCCACCCGGGACTGCGAACTGCACTCTTCCGCAGCCCCGTCGGACATCCGCATCGCCCCCCTACAATGTCGCTTGGTTACATTCCGAGATAATGAATAAAGTGGAAAACAAGCATTAGAGGGAGGTCTTGGCATTATGTTAGTCCCGATTCAGCTTCTCACCACCACACCCTATGAGAAGGACTAGAAAAACCCACCACTTACTTGGTCAATTTGAAACATCTGGATTTTAGTATAATCATTCGAAGGGCTTAGAGCACAGTAGGCTTAGGCCCGTTTCCTCGCCCATCGTTAAAAAGTTGGGTTAATTGCGGACTCCATTGCAGTAACCCATAAGATAGCCTGTCTGCTGATAGTCGAAGCAAATCGAAAGTGGGGACATTAGATTACCTTGCATATCTGCGCAGGAAGGTCTCACCGAGTCCTAGTCTCGGCTTTCCTCAATTGTGAGGGGTGAGTTGGCGCAAATCAAGAAATCGTACCCGGATTCGCTCTGCAAAATCGACAATGCACCGGTCTTCCTCAGTAATCTGTAACTGTACGCTGAATCGGTACATGGAGAGCAGTTGGTCAATCATTTGATCGGCCTTCTGTTTCATAATGACGAAAGGCCGTCCACATGGGCCTGCATGGCTGTCTGTATGACTGTCTGCACTTCAGGACAATATGTTTACTTTCTTCCCAAATCAGCGTTTGTGAGATATTATGTCTAGAGACGCTACGATAGACGAGGATAGAATGAATTAGAAGACAAAGCAAGGAACGAGTGTTTTTTGAATCGAGAACTCCCTTTAAATGTGCACAGGGCGCAATATTCACTTTTGAACGAGTCACACAGGGAAGGATTTTCTGCATTTCTCTCCAGGAAGTCTCGGAAATGGCTGATGTTCGTCGCTGCTGGGCAGGGATGTGCCCAAGGCTTTCGAGGTACTGATGGGCTTGCCATGGTTGGAAAAAGAGATCAGTCAGAGGCATGGAAGAGTATAGTAAGAATTAGCAGAGATGCGACAGTTCGGAGGGGGACTAAAAGACCAGAGTCTTTCTAGAAAAACATATGCTCCGCTCGAGGTATTCGTTCTCTTCGGCTTGAAACTCTATACTGCCCAGGACATGAATGTGGGACCTATGTTATCGGGATTTCCCCGCGCTGTCTCTAATTCCAATCCACACTTTTCCCCCACGGGGTCATCACCTTGAATCACTCTGGTTTTCAAATACTTTCCGGATGCCTAGGTCTCTATCTTCAAGTAATACCCATCACTCGATATTATATCTATTGACTTATTAAAAAATGTGTCCTCCGTTGCTACTTCTTAGCTACAACTGTCAAAATAAGGCCTCCACCAGTATTATTCAGCTAGCTACTAACCTGTTTTGATTAGCTCCTTGGCACATTTCCCCCTATTTCTACACGCGCAGCTAGCCTTCTACAATACACACTCTCTTGATCTATTGGCCTAGGCGTTACTACCTAGGCGATACAATTCTTCCCGAAGTTGACAACAACTCCTCGAAGTTACAAAACGTAATGAAATATGTATCGCAGCGAAGTATTTCACTTGCTCTGCATACAGAATCGTTGCTGGTCGAATCATATGAGATAAATTACTGTTAGACGCTGGGAATCCTAAGAGGAGGTTTCACACCGCACTGACTTGATACCAAAGGTCCTAAATTTAGTAAACATTATCTTGCGCCTCGATAAGCGCAAGTAATGTTGAAGCAAGGCTCAAAGATAGCTTCCAATGGCGCATGCTCTGCAGCAGGCCAACAATCCTAAAGACCTGGTTCACAGCCTTCCGCTCGACTTGAGAGTTCCTCAATTCTGCCGCATGGATTTCGGCAACATGCACTCCAGCCAGATCTAATTCTGGAAAGCTGCGGTCCATTAATGCTCCGTTGCTACTATCCCCGAATTGCCCAAAGCAAAACCAGATGATCCCACAGTGGTAAAGGCAGGTGGGAATCTGTAGTGGACACTCAGACCCAATAGACATTGACTCGAAGTACTTTCGGATGCAGATAGCGTGTATTAGAGATCCGGTTGCCTCCTGGGAACTTGCCCACTGCCGAGCGTATTCAATGGCTCCTTGGGCTGCCTCAGGGCCGTCTCTACCGCAGGCTCGCTCAAGAGCGTCGAGATCCGAGTATAGGAGGATGAAAGTGGAATGCCAGAGAATCCTTAAAGGATATTCCCAGACCACACCAGGAGACACAGTAGATAGATGCGTCTCGTACCAAGATAGGAGCATTTCCTGGCACTTCTCGGGCATATGGGGTGTGGTCGAGAGAGGTTCCCGGCACTCACAGGCCATAGCACTGATGGACTCAAGAGTGGCACAGAGTTGGAAGTCACTCTCCCCTCGAAGACTTCGCTCCCTCATCGACCTGCTCCCAGGCTGCTGGGTCTGTTGCAGGACCAGCTCACGCCACGCATTTGCACTGCTGGCCGCAAAGAGCTTATCTGAGGAGATGATCGGTAGACGCTCAGTCGCAGGACGTAGGCATGGCTCATGATGATGAATCTTTGCTAACTCGGCGTCAAGGATGAAGATTCCGAGCACAACGCTGATTGATATTAGTGAGGTTATAGCGACCGGGTAAAAATGGGTGATTTACCGTTTCCTCTCCTCTAAGGAAATCCAATGCTTCCATGCGGATTGCAACTTGTCATTCGGGAGGTTCGAAAGATTTGTAGGTAGTGCTGGTGATGCTGTATGGTCAAGTAGTCGGACTCGGCGCGCCAACTTAACCTTGGGGTCAGCATTTCCAAGCGTCTCTTGTCGAGACAAACCGGTTTGCCAACACTCACCGCAATTATACTTCCATGAAAGGCCTCGATTCCCGCCAGATCTTTGGGCCTCTGCAGAAAGAAATCGGAGGTAATATGTTAGCCTTGGAGCATATTACATGATTCAGATGTCAGAATAAGAGAACCGGTGGCTGGCAAAGGACGTACTCCCATAAGAAGGCCGAATGTCTGCCCAAGCAAAGCCGACTGAATGGCCACGATGTTTGAATCTGGACGTTGAATGATCATAATGTCCCACTGCGTTGGCAAACTCTCAATTAATGTTTTGCTCCAGACCGACTGCCTCCACGAAACGGACGGGTCTTCTGACTCACCGCAGATAAAACTGCTTTTTGGAGTCTTTCAAACATGCTAATCCCGTACTCGATTGCCCGCCGAGAGCCGAAAAAGAGACTCCCTATAGAGCAAACGGATAGCAGAAGAACGGCATTCTGCCTAGAGGGCAAAAAGGATGGCTCGTGGATGATAGGAAATATGGGATGGAAATGGGTAAAGTACGCTTGCAGACAAAGATGCTACGTATCAGTCAGCGCTTCAGTCCTTCATTTCCCTCCTTTGGCCGTTGTACCACTTTCGAAGAATAGGTGGTAGTACACAAAGAATGAAAAGAGTAATGCTTACTAGGAAAGTGGTCGAAGGAAGAATTCCGGTTTGCACACGTTGCTCAAGGCGCTTAGAGAGCTCGTGGCGATAAGTCTCGTCAATTTGATTGCGGTCATTCGCGCGGTCTGGGGATATGACGCCCGACGTGGTCTGCCCACAGTGGGTATGCCAGGCCTCTTTTATTGCATCCCCGATCTGCGCCAATTCCGTGTCCGTTGCCTGTGGGCCTACGCTGAATGAATCAGTAGCAAGCGGATCCTCGTCCGGCATCCGATCAACAACCAAGAAGTCTCCAGTAGTGGCTTGCAATAAGGACGAGTTCACGGCATCTAAGTCGAAGTTATCCCCTATCAGCCAAGAAATCCAACCCGGTTCTAGCTCGACGCTGGGTATATCCGACAAATTCAGGCTTTCGTTTACCGGAAAATCACCACCCGGATGCTGTGGTAATGAGATCGGGAAATCCAAAGCCGAAGCGACGTTTATATCACCGTCCACAGACACAGTTGCCGTCTCCACACGTTCTATCGTGGCATTCGAAGGTGTCCTTATCGTCGCGATATTACCCATAGGTGGGGACAGAGTTGACGGTGACATTGGGTGCAATGTTGCCGCGGCAAGCCCCCCCGCACCAGACTCCGTTGTGGGAGGAGTGACATGAAGGACGCCCGTTCCCTCCGGTGAATCCAATACCTCGCCCGATCCATCTCTGCGGCAATGGGACCGCGTATGGCGAAGCAATGTGTCCCTAAACGAAAAATGAACATCATCCATTCATTTTCTTAGGAGTGCTCCACTCACTGTCTGGTATAGACCCTTCCGCAGTCCGCGCAATGGAACGGCTTTTCCTTCGTGTGGGATCTATAATGCCTGGCCAAATGTTCCGCCTTGGCGAACTCCTTGGAACATATCGGACACATGCGTTCCTGCTTGGATGTCTTGGGTCGCCGACGGCCCACTGATCGAGAGAGAGCACCAGCCTGCATTATCATTATCCAAGTACGTGAGTCTGGGCCAGCAGTTGATGTCTGAGTGAGAGTGATGATGCTGCTAGTGATGCGGTGTTGGGAAGATGATGATGATGGTAGAGGTGGCGGGAAGGGCTGGACTACGAATTGTGGCAACTTCCGTCCGCCGAGATCCGATTTATTCATGTGTGACATGTGCGATTGGTTTCTTATCTCCTTTCTATTCATCGAGGTCAATTTTGCTTAATTCCATATCAGATAGCATACAATCTAGGCCCCACAGCAGTATCAGGGATACCGGATTTCATTTTTGATGGACGCCACGCCTTCGATCTCCACCTCCACCACGTCCCCAGCCCTCAGAAATTCTTTGTTGAAAAATCCCACGCCAGCTGGTGTGCCAGACATGATCACGGTTCCCTTGCGAAGAGTCATGCCCCGTGAGAGGTGGCTGACAATCTGCCGGACACTCCAGATCATGTCCTTTGTACTAGTCTGCTGCTTGACCTGCCCGTTGACGCGGGTGACTAGACGGAGATCCTGGGGATCTGGAATTTCGCTGGCCGCAACAATAGTATGTCCAATAGGTCCGAATTGATCAAAGGATTTGGAATACCCAAATTGCATCCCAGATGCCTCAGGAAGCTGGAAATTCCGCGCAGACAGGTCATTTCCGGCCGTATAGCCCAGGACATAGTCCAATGCCTCATCTTCGGAAATATTCTTCGCATCTCGGCCCACAATGACGGTAAGCTCGCCTTCGTAGTCGAGCATGTCACGAGCGTCGCGATGAATGTCAATGGTATCAAAGGGGCCAGCTAGCGCATCGGCCGGCTTAACAAAGATGGGAGGGTATTTCGGAATATTCAGCTGGGCATTCCCGTCAGCAAGCCATGTACAATTAGTTAGATCCTGCGCGGAATACGTACCTTGGCTTCGCTGGCGTGGCTGTGGTAATTCAAGCCCACAAGGATGATGAGCGGAGTACAGTCGATGGGACAGAGTAGCTGGCAAGTCGTTAAAAGGGGAACGAGGAAACTTGTTGGATGCACGACCCACCTTATCGACTTGTACAATCTCCTCAGTTGTCAGTAGCTTAGTGAAAGGGTCGCCAATCAATCGTCTGACTTTGTAGGTGCCGCCATCGACGCTGAGTAGATCGCCATAGGAGACACGGTCTCCTATGGCGAAACGAACCAGTTGCTTGAAGGCCATTTCTAGTATGAAAACACGGAGTGTAAGAAATGTAGTTTTGATGTTAGAGAATTCAAGTGCGTCTGAATACCGGACTTGCAATCTTTCTGAAAACAAGGACACTGGGTCTCATTACGCGACCTCAATTTATATCCAGAAAGAGGCGGTTCAAGCCTCCCCAACATAGGTCCCACCACACCCGCGTGGCGAAGAGGATGTGGGGCCTAGAGTTGGATAGAGTATATTAGTCTTCACCCACATCTGCCAAATGGCCTCTATTAGTTTCATGCCACAGTGCTGATCACCTTTCGGCTTTCTCAGATCTTTCAAATTGACATCTCAGCATCATCCCCATCCTCACAATGGCAGCCATGGAGTCGTCGATCAAAGCCAATCTCGTAGCCTCTGTGCCCGACACAAGCGCCTCTCAGGAGAACATGTCTCAAGCTAATTGGCTCCTGGCCCGGGGCATCAAGGTCAAAGACCGTGTTCGATTGGCCAAGCTCTCCCACATGCGATACCAGACTCCTGATTTGGACGCATTGTGTGATTTCATGCTAAGTTTGTGTCACCGGTGTGCCTTCATATGTCGCACGCAAGCTAAACATTATAGATTTCGGAATGGTGATCGCAAAAAGAACCGAAAATGAAGTCTGGTTCCGAGGCTATGGAGTCGATCAATATGTCTACTATGCAACCAAAGGACCGAAGGAGTTCTTGGGAGGAGTATTCGCAGTTGACTCGAAGGAGGAATTCGAGAAGTAAGAGAAATTCTTTGCCGGTATATCCCCAAAAGCAAAACTAATCATGTGTGATTAATTTCATTACAGGGCCTTGAAGGTCCCTGGAGCATCCCGAGTGCAACATTTATCTGAAGCCCCGGGAGGAGGTCAGATGGTGACTATTGTGGATCCGGACGGCTTTCTTTTCAATGTGATATTTGGCCAAGAAAGACGCGAAGATGCCTCTACAGCTCCTGCCGAGAAGTTGAGGGCCAATTATCCAAACGAGAAGCAGAGGATTCGTCAGTTCAATCGCTTCGAACCTGGCCCCGCAGCTGTGCACAAAGTTAGTTGAACTTTCCCTTCTCTATTTGACGTGCTCTTCTCTATTTACTGACGATTCCTCGTGTTGCTGCTAGTTGGGCCACTTTGGCTACACCACAACACGCTTCGAAGAGCTCCTTTCGTTTTACACCTCCCATTTCAATATAGTCCCAACAGACTTGCTTTACATGGAAAACGATGGCCACAGAATAGACGTGACGACGTTCATGCACTTGGACCTGGGTCAAAGCCCCACAGACCACCACTCTTTCTTCCTCGGCGCCAGCCAAACGGGGTCTCACGTTCACCATTGTTCATTTGAGGTCTTTGACTATGATACCCAGCATTTAGGACATCAATGGCTGGCCAGTAAGGGCTATCGATCTGTCTGGGGCGTGGGCCGGCATATCCTGGGATCCCAAATTTTCGACTATTGGTGGGACCCAGCAGGAAACATGGTTGAACACTACGCTGACGGTGATCTGGTCAATGAAGACACTCCAGTTGGGATTTTGCCGGCGGGCCATGAGTCCTTGGCTATTTGGGGACCCGAGGTTCCGCTGGCTTTCCTGCAATAGTTTTCTTGTGAAATTGTCTGTTAACTAGGGCTTTTTGAAAATTGTTTTCTAGGTGTCATCTTTAGTCGAGTAGTGCTATCGTTTATATATAGTCAACAGATAACAAACAATGGAGATAGATATCTATGCAAGCATTGATTAAGTATATTATTGTGTATAGTGAGTTCAGAATCCCCCGGAACTCTCATCCAGCTTTACCATATACTTTCTGGGGACAGTAGGTACGTAATGTAGTTAAGTTTTAGAAAACCGGAATCTGCTAAATTATGAAAAGCGTGTATGACGATGACGAACAATGCTACTACCAGTATAGCGCAAAACTACAACATCTGCTCGTGTAAGAGGCGAATTCCGTAACTGACAAACGTTGTTACGCCACTTCTAAAGCAGCTCTTTGCGGGGACTATGCGGGACCTATTTGCTGGAGAAGACCCTTTGTGGCAACAATCCCCCCGGCAGCATAGAGCGCCCCATATTCAAATGACTGTGCCGCCGCAGAAAGTATTGCCCCACCTCTCTGCAAACAAGGTTCGAGAGGCGTCTGCAGCAGACAAAAACCAAGGTATAAATAAACTGAGGAATGAGAGGGCATTGTGAAGTAAGATCAGAATTCTCAAACAAAACTGTGATCGCACGCAACCAATATGTCTTCTGACCACGCATTGGAGACCACAGATGTCCTCCTCTGTGGGTGTGGGCCGACAGGAGCTATGCTCTCTGGCTATCTTGATAGTATGGCGGTTCAGAATATCGTCCTGGAGAGAGAGGCCGAGATCACGACGGACCCAAGGGGGATCGTTCTTGACGACGATGGCATCCGTTATTTGCAGGGTTTAGGTCTGTATGAGCATGTCTATACGGACATCGGTTCTTGTGAGTAGTGCAATCTATTGGAGACCTGCTTGGGAACCATTCCCTAATCAACGATAGGTATCGAGAAGGTATTATTTTTGCCAGGAGAGCAGCAAAGCCTGGGCACAAAACCCATCTTCGGCTTTAATACTGGTTCCGTAAGTCTCCTGCTCTCCCTTTCCATCTTGTAGTATGAGGTTTTTCCAACTCTAACCAGGCTATGATTCAGTCCGAAGGATATACGGGACATGTCGGTGTCATAAGTCACAAACAACCAGCGCTTGAAAAACATCTTCAGTCCGTCATCAAGGGGTCTCAGCACTCGCAGTTAAGAAGTGGATGCACCCTGAAGTCAATCGAAGAAGATGAGGACTGGGTATATGCGAGCTATACGGACCCTGAAGGAAATACTCGACGCATCCGCGCTCGTTTCCTGGTTGGTGCGGACGGCAAGACGGGCTACGTGCGCAAGCAATACTTGGAGCCACGGGGAATCAAGATGGAGTGGGCCGAACAGTATGTGTTCTCACTCATCGCGCCCCGTATAGGAAACCCCTTGGGGGCTCTTTGGACTAATATGTGGTTATAGATGTCGCTATGAAGAGACTTGGGTAGCTTTGAACTGGGAAATCAGCCTGCCAACAGCAGAAACCCACCCAGACTTCCCGCTATGGAAACTGGGGTATTCTTCTGAGGAAGTGTATGACCAGTTCTTCCCGAAGGATTTTCGGTTCCTTTGCAATCCTCGCAGACCAGCAGTCTGCGGCCGATTTGGCCAGAACAAGGACCGCCTTTGGAGGTTTGAATTCGTGGTTCAAGCCGGTGAAGATCCGCAAGAAATGTCTGAGCCACACATGTTTCGGGACATTGTCTTCCCCTACATTCGTCATGCAGGGGCCCGCTATGGGTAAGTCTATGACCAAGGAAGGGAATGACTAGTATCACCGAGAGAGTCCCCGTCTAACAACGCGCTGCAGGTTAGACACAGACGTCGAGTTTCCGACCGATTGCATCAAGGTCCTTCGCTCTCGTCCGTTTCGCTTCGCCGCAAGAAAGTGCAACAAATGGGCCCTAGGGCGAGTCATCTTGTGCGGCGATGCCGCTCACGTCTTTCCTCCATGTAATTTCATCCTTTCTCGCCTCTATGCGATCCACGGCTGACTCAGGATTTCCGGTCGATAGTCGGCGGTCAGGGAATTGCTTCCGGCTTTCGAGATGCTATCGCTCTTGCCTGGCGACTTGCCATTCTCACTCGGTCCCACTCGACTCGACTAGACTACGAGCAGATCCTCAAGGGGTGGTACGCTGAACGCAGCCAGCAATTCCAAAAGTCACTCAACACAACCTTGCGAAATGGACAATTGGTTAGCAGCACCAACCCAGTGCAGAACTTCATCCGGGATTGGGCGCTCCGGGCCATGCAACTGATCCCCCCATCGCTCATCAACTAGAACTCGGACCTCGGAGCGAGGGCCCAGTCAGGTACACCCACTCGGATGGTATGCTGTTTCTGCCCTACCTCCACGGCGGAATCGCCTTTCCACAAACATACTGCACTGAACTAGGGGAGCTCGATAATCGGGTTCGCTTTACCGATGATGTGATCTTCTCCAAAGAGAAGACAAAGCTCTTCCAGATTGTTGTTTTGCTTGATAAACCAAGCCAGGCGATAGCGGCAATTCAGGCTATGAAAGGTATTGACGGCCTGAGCGAAGGTCACTTGTTAACTGAAGAAGCCACCCTGCTTGTTCAGAGTAAAAACTGTCTCCCCAATGATGAGAGCACCGGATTCGCCAGTCTCTCGCTGTTCCGAACTGCCACTGCAAAGGAGTTTGAGCAGTCCGACTTGTGCGTTGGACGGCCGGAACCGCACGGTTACAACGACTCTCAAATCTGGAATGTTATGAAGGGAAAGCGATTTATGATTGTTAGGCATGATCGTTTTGTCTATGCCGCTTGCGATACGAGGGCTGAATTGGTTGAAGCCGCAAAAAGTCTTGGAAATTCTCTGCCTTTGAATTGACAGGCCTTCCGACCTTGTGACACTGTGCATCATAATCACCCTACTTGATTAGATGAAGCAAAGTATTCCTTAGTGGTGTTTTTGTTACGTCTCTATCCTATGCAGGTTGATGGGATACAATGCATCCTACTTAGGGTTATTGCTTAACTGTGGGAGAAAAGTGGGGATATCGAGTGTATCCCATTTATATTATGCGAGGATCATCACGTTCATTCATGTCCAGAAGTACAAGTAGTATGGCTCAAGACCTTCACAGTGGCCAGAGGCATCTTCAACCCCCGTATATGCTGCGCCGAATCATATGCAAAAACAGGATGGAAACAGAAACCCAACCATCGCAGGGAATAGACAGAACAAAGTATAGTCATAGCTGATTGTACAGAAAACCCCAAACATCGATTGCGCCAAGCGAACATAAACGGTCATATACCGGAGGGAAGGTTAGGGTCGTCGATTTGCCGACTTCCGACCATCGGTGGGGGACTCGGGGAGCTCTTCGTCCACAAACCGGACGCTGGTCCCCGTCATGCCCCGACGGCCTGTTTGGGATCGGCGGGAAGATGTCGTTCGAGGAGCCGACGCCTCAGCGCGGAGAAGTCGGCTCGCGAACGGAGTATGTAAGGGTGTGGCCGGGGTGGTGGACATCTGCGCGAGTGCTCGGGCACGAGCAGCTCGCTTGGATGGCGAGGTCATATAGTTTGGCGTAGCCAGCGGGCTTGCGGAGACCGGCTCCAGCGAATTTGTGGTGAAATCGCTCATCTTGAAGGGAGTCTCCGATGGGTTCTGATACCACGGGTCGAACAGGGCAGATCCAGGGCGCTCCACCTCTCCGAAATTCGAGTACTGGGCAGACGGCAAGGCAGGCCCTGGTGAATCGCGGGCCTCCAGCTTCAGACGGGCATCTTCCGCCCAGTGGCGGAAGATATTTCTGGAATGTTTCCGCAAATTTCTGTCCCGCATGGCTTCTGCAGTCTCTACCGTGCTCCTCATCTGGAAGATACGGAGGCTAAGCTTGCGAAGCGAGGCGCCTGCCTGATGCAGGACATGTCTGCGGTGCACCGAGTCTGCCTGGTCTTCCATCTCACGGCGAATCACATAGGTCTCCGATAGTTGGATCAACTGATCGAAAGCAATCTGACGGAAGTAGTGGAAATCAGCTTCTTGGTAATCTTGTACTCGCTTAAGAGTCTTCCCATGCCACCCAGCAAAAATCTCCGACGTGTCACTCAGAAGATTCAAACGATCGAGCTCTACTGCTTGTTGCTCCATGTTTGTGATGGCCTGGGTCTTGGATGACCAAGCAGCAAGGGCTTTAGAAGCCATGTTGACCTTGACCTTCCGTCGCATCTTTGAATAAGCTTCCTTCCGCCGTCGTTTTGCAGAAACCAAGGTGGCCTGGTGCCAGGCCTTCAATGACCGTTTCATAAGGAAGTAGAATTGCGCATCACGAGCCCAACCTTCCATCTTCACAATCTGCTGGTGCTTGGATGTCCACGCCATGAGAGACTCTTGTGCGAGGCGAGGGGCATAAAACTCAAAGGCCGCATATTCCCGCTCCCGCTGAAGCAATAATTGATCTCGCCAGATACCAAGTTTGGAGCGCACCAAGTCTTCGGCCCGGTGGTCTTCGTGTACTTCTGCATGGGAAAGCAATTGAGTGTATGTATCCCGCGTATTCGTCACAAATCGGGAGAACACTTCGCGCTTGATGCGCTGTTCGCGTATCCGGCGCATCAACTGGAACCTTTCCATCAAGATCCATTTGTACATGGTCTCCATTTTTAGCCGCTCATCAATTCGCGCTTGAAGTGCCAAACATCGAAGCGTATCATTCCACGATATCCAGGCATTTCGCTTAACCCGGAGTCGGTCCATCTCTTCCACTTGCTCGGTCAAACGAGCCTTGTTAATCCATTTCGTGAGTGCGTTTTGGAGAATCCGATCGTTCACCATGTCAGTTACCTGCAACACAGCAGGAGCCAGCTGGGCTTGGATTTTCCATTCGTCAAATGTCGCTTTGAGGACGTGATGGCGTTGAGAGCTTTCAGCCTTTTGCTGCGCAGAAACAATGGTTTTTGATTTCTGAGACCATGCCTGGAGTACACCCGCCAGTGACGATCTCCTGTTGTGAAGGACAATCTCCTGCTCACGCTCGCGATTAGTGCGGAAATTCCGCAGCCAGTAGAGCAATGAGCGCCTCTTGAGCTGGCTATCATACCATTCAGGAGCACGCCGCTCACAGAAAGACCAGAACCATTGCCAATACGAGACATGCCGAAGATTATTTTTATGGACCGTGACTGCTTGGGTCTCTGCCGCCTTCAAATTTGCGGTCTTCTTGCGCCACTTATTAAACGGCCTCTGCAAAGCGAAACGTTGCGCTTTCAGCTCATTCACTGCAGTAATCTCCCGCCAGGCATTAAAAAACTTGACACTCAGCACATGTCGTCGAGCTGCAGACGTCCGGGCTACTTCTTCGGATGTGAGTTGAGCCCAGTGAGTGAATGCTTTCGTCATCAGATACAAGTCTCGAGCACGACTGGCGCGTTCCTCGAGATGCTTGAAAAATCTCTCTGTTCTGACCGTATGGCGCTTCTCCTGAATGACTGCTCGCCATGGCTCGAAAGCCTGCCGGAGCAGGGTGCTTCGGTCACGATTGAGGGCGACAGATTCCCTGGTTTCGCGAACTTGTCGCGCCTGGAAAGCTCCCTTTAACCATTGTGTCAAGATCCGGCGGCAAATGGCTCGTTGTCTATACATATTAAAAGTTGACGCGTCCCGGAGTAGGTCTGAAAGTTGAGGCCGATAAAGCATCTCTGGTGGAACATTTTCTTTGCCAACGGAATCATGCTCTGTCGCCTGCGACACCTGAGATTGTGATTCACCCGACCCAGAGGTATCCGATGAGGTCAATGAAGGCGAGCGACGGTCTTTCGCAGCTGCAATAATTCTCTTGGAACGGTCATGGTGGACAGCTGAGCGCGCGAGAACACCATTGGTCAATGGAGCAATTTCTTTATCCTCAGCCTTTTTTGGTTGCTGCACCGAGTCAAATCGGCTTATCAACCGCCGACCAACGTCCAAGAACTGTGCAATCAATTGTGTGCGATCCGGAGATTTAGATCGTTGATTCTCAACTTTGGGTTTCGGTGATAATCTCAGCTTCGATAAATCGGGTTTTCCAGTCTCGAGTCGTGACATAGACGCGCGTGAGCTCGGGCGTTCGGCAAAGCTTTTCTGGGTGGCATCTTCACCAATATCGAGTGTAGTATTGAAGGACGCACGCCGCCGCGGTGTTATCGGCGTTCCATTTGTAAGGGGATAGTAGTTGTCATCGCCTGTCTGGCTGAGCGTGCCATCAACCAGGGAGTGTTCATTCTCTGCCGTTTCATTGAGACCTGTGGAGCCGTCCTCCCCAAATTCGATCAGTATTCCCATCTGCTGGAGCGCGCTCTCGAATTTGTCGAAGAGCGATGGTCCCTGCACCTCTTTGCTCCCCATTTTAAACAAAAAGCGCAGGCATGCATGACCCGGATCTGCATCGACTCCATGTTCACTGATGACCTCGTCGTATGCTGCGAAAAGCGCTCGGAACGGGAGCCGCTCGACCTCGGGCTTGCCCTCGGCGCGACTGACAACTTGATAGAGAAAGCCGACATCTATATGAGAGCTTTGTTAGATCGAGAAAGGTTGAGTTGTAAAGGAAGATTTCCATTCCTTACCTTCATCGGAGAGTGACGAGTTCTCTTCGGTCAAGGCGCGCCGCTGCGAGGATATCGGAGGCATCGAAAAATCGCGATCTAGGGCGCGCTTGTCGCATCTGGGTCATAGAGTCGACGAACTGAATAAATCATCGCGAAAGCGGACAGTCCCGGTGGCGCAAAAAATGCGCAGATACCAGTCTGTGATTGAACAAGAAAAGAAACACCAAATGGAAGTCAACCGGGCGCCACGTTCTGGCCGTTCGGGTTGTTTTGGTGGTCGCGACAGAAACATGTCCCAGCGTCACGTGTCGGTTATGTAACATTCCGGCGGTGCAGTCTTGGCGGCCGCACACCACTCGAGAGTTGCGACGGGGATTCTCGGCCATCAGTTTAGCTCAACTTCGCGTCTAATCAGCTCAATTACCTTCACCCTTCGGCTATCAGTCTATTGTTATCCTCACTATGCCAAACAGAACCCGTCCCGTCGAGAAGATTGCCAAAGCCACTGCCAAATGCTCCGTTGAGGTGTCTATCAAGCTCTTGGATCAGTTGTCGGATATCGGAGCTAACAGCTAGCTAGGCAGCGGCATATGGAAAGTGTGTCCTCGCAGACTACAATGCAGTGCACAAGGACATGTGTGTAAAAGAGTTTATGCGTCTCAAGGACTGTGTTCTGGTAAGTGAGGCTCAGAGACGCTCGCATATCGGCGAGGTGGCTAATCCATGTAGGCCGCATCTAAAAAGGGCTGAGGGAAACAATTATAGAGGGGCGCGGGGCCCCCTATGGTCATTGCATGGCGTTACGGCATTTAAGGCGCAATTTTTCCATGGGGTTAATGTATTTCTACTCAATTTCTTTCCAACTGTAGATTACGAATCTAGGTACGCCAGGACATATATTTCATTCAAAAACTCAAAATGGAAATTTGTAGACTTCTATCTATACAGATTGTTGTCTTTTCTTTGATCTCGAAGTCCAACAGGACTTTACAGCTTCACGAGGCGCAACAGGAAAGTTGCGTTTTGCACCTCCTGGTCCTCTTGCGCGATGGTGCCCTCCTCGTCAGCGCTAGGCGACTTGCCATCAACCAAGGTGCGCTCATCGAGCGGACGACGGACAGCCTTCTCGATAGCCTGGGACTGAGACTTGAAAGCCTCGCCAAGGCCGATGTTCTCAGGGTCCGAAAGGACAATGTACTCCATCTTAACATCGTCTGTGGGGACAAGGCCGGCCTTCTTACGGAGACGTTGGAGACGGTTGATGATCTCACGCCCGATACCCTGGTGAGCCAGCTCGGAGTACAGGTTGGCATCCAGAATGGTCATGACATCAGCATCGGTGTTAGTCTCCATGCCCGATGCGCCCACATCTTCCTTGATACCGCGCTTCACCACCAGATCACCCTCGACCAGCTCAATGCCGTCAACAATGATCTTTTTCTCGGCGACATACTTCTTCACATCATCGCTTGACAGGGAAGGCAGGGCCTTCTTAACCTTCTGCACATCCTTCTTCAGCTTCTTGCCCAGAGTTGGCCAGTCAGCATTGACACTGTATTGGACGTTGTACTTGTCCTCGTCAGACGATAGAACTAGATCAAGCACGTTGAGCTCCTCCAGAATGTAGCCCTCAAGCGACTTAACGTCGTCGAGATACTGCTGGTCCTGGTGGATGACAACGAGTGTCTTCAGTGGTGTCTTCAGACCAATAGACTTGCGCTCACGAGAGACACGGCCCAGCTCAATAACCTTTTGCATGCGGGCAACTCTGCGCTCCACAACCTCATCGAAGAGTTCTTGGCGAGGCTCAGGGAAAGCAAGGAAGTGAACGCTGCGGCTATCCTCAGCACGAAGCGACTCGGGAATATGCGGGAGAAGACGCTGGTAGATGTTATCGGTGATGAAGGGAGTGAAGGGAGCCAGACCCCGGACCAGGGTATAGAGAACCTCGAAGAGAGTGTTCAGGGCATGCAGGGTGTCATCAACACCGTTCTCACCCTTCAGACGCTTTCGGTTGAATCGGATGTACCAGTTCGTAGTGTTCTCGATCAGCTCCAGCAGACGGGGCACGACAGTGTACAGGCGATAAGCAGCCATCTCCTGGTTAACAAAGATGAGAAGACTCTGGCAACTGGCCAGGATCCAACGGTCCATGACATTAGTGTTGGTGGTCTCGGCCTTGGGATCGAATATGAAGTCAACATCGGAGGTCTTCTTCAGAAGAGCCACTTGACCCTCAAAGAACTTGTAGCTGTTCCACATAGGAAGGAGAACCTTGCTGACGATCTCCTTGACACCAGATTCCTTAAAGCGAAGGGTCTCAGCACGGACGACGGGAGAGTTGATCAGATAAAGACGCAGGGCATCCGATCCGTAACGGTCCATAATCAAGTTAGGGTCCGGGTAGTTCTTCAGACGCTTCGACATCTTCTTGCCATCCTCAGCAAGGACAATACCGTTCACCATGCAATTCTTGAAAGGCAGCTTGCCAAACAGGTGAGTACCGAGAACAGTCAGGGTGTAGAACCACCCACGGGTCTGATCCAGTCCCTCGGCAATGAAGTCACCGGGGAAACTCTTCTCAAACTGCTCTTTGTTCTCGAAGGGGTAGTGCTGGGATGCATAAGGCATGCTGCCAGATTCAAACCAGCAATCGAACACCTCACTCACGCGACGAAGAACGCCCTTGCCCTGTTTACTCGGGATGGTAATGTGGTCCACCTTGTCGCGGTGGAGATCGGTGAGTTCGCCGGTATAGCTACTCAATTCCTTGAGTTCCTCGACGCTTCCAATGGCAACAACCTCCTTGAAGTCATCGCTGACCCACAAAGGAAGGGGAGTTCCCCAAAAACGATTCCGAGAGATATTCCAATCACGAGCGTTCTTGATCCAGCTAGCGAATCTTCGGTCCTTCACAAAAGATGGAACCCAGTGGGACTCCTCAATGCCTTCAAGCATCTGAGGGATGATAGGAGTGATCTTCACAAACCACGAAGGCACAGCGCGGTAGATCAGAGGAGTATCCGATCGCCAGCAGAAGGGGTAGCTATGAGTGATCTGACTGTCGACAAGGAGACGGCCAGTACCCTTCAGGTGTTTGATAATCGCCTTATCGGCAACCTTCACATTCTGTCCAGCAAAGTCACGGACTTCTTCAGTGAAGCAACCCTGGGGGTCGACCGGGTTAGGAGGGGGACGGGTCTCGTTGATAACGCCGTGGTTGACCGCGACCTGGTAATCTTCTTCACCGAAAGCAGGAGCCTGGTGGACAATACCCACACCATCCTCGGCCGTGACGTACGTATCATTTAGTACGCGGAAGCCGTCGTTCTTGAACTCCTCGTAGAAGTAGTCAAAGAGGGGCTCATACTTCCATCCAAGCATGTCGGAACCCTTGATGCGATCGACGATCTTAAACTTAGCCTTCTTCGGGTCCTTATAGATGGTTCGGAGCAAAGACTCCAGAAGAATGTAGTTCTTTTTAGTGGCTTCGTCATAGATCTTGACGTACTCGAAGTCAGGGTGGGCGCAAAGCCCAGTGTGGGAGGGAAGGGTCCATGGGGTGGTGGTCCACGCAAGCAAGCAGGTCTCGGGGTCATCCAACAGGGGGAAAGTGACGACGACGGCGGGATCTTGGACATCCTTGTAATTTTGCTGGGCCTCGAAGTTGCTGAGAGGGGTATTGAGTGCGGTCGAGTACGGCATGACACGGTGGCCCCGGTAGACTAGACCCTTGTCAAACAGTTGCTTGAAAACCCACCTGTTGCATAACGAGTCAGCAAGTGAATTGAGAATATAAACCGATGAAAGATATGAGACCATACCAGACGGACTCCATAAAGCTAGTATTCATTGTCTAAGAACCGAGTAGAAAGTGCGTGTGTGAGTAACATGTTCAAATGGAATCACACGACACACTTGAGATCGGAAGCATACCTTGTAGTCATTGTCGAAATCGATCCAGCGACCCAGCCGCTCAATAGTCTGGCGCCATTCACCGGCGAATCGCATGACAATAGCCCGACACTCCTCGTTGTACTTCTCAATTCCGATCGTCTCGACGGCCTCCAGACCGGACATGCCGAGCTTCTTATCGATCTCGTATTCGATGGGGACACCGTGCGTATCCCAGCCAAATCGCCGCTCAACATAATGACCCTTCATCGACCAGTATCTGGGAATAATATCCTTGATCGTAGATGTGAGCAGATGGCCATAGTGAGGGAGACCGGTAGCGAAGGGTGGCCCGTCGTAGAAAGTATACGGCTTCTTGCCCCGAGAGAGCTCGACCTGGCGCTGGAAGGCATCAATCTCCCTCCACCGGTTGAGGATGAGCTCCTCCTCGGCGGGAAAATCGATAGACATGGCGCTTGAAGTTGGTTGCGACGTGCCAGCGGGGACGAGGGACAGATAATAAAAAGAAGAAGTGACTCACCCCACTAACCACTACATTTTTTGCCCGTGCGCCCTGCGCAATCCAGCCCCTCGTTCCATTCACCGCCTTCTACAATCAGCAATATCAACTATGACACATTCTGGCTGATCTGATTGATCAAACCCTAATTCAGAACAGAACATAATTCCGCGAGGAAGAAAAAACGTGAGATGAGTCATGGCTTGCATTTTGAACGACGCTAGGTAGATACAGGGTCGGGAGTGGTGGTGATTCGCTATATACGAACTGGAAACAAATAATCCGCTATTCGTCCTCATCTTCATCCTCGTCCTCGTCCTCATCTTCGGCTTCAGAGACTTCCTGGCCCAGATCCTTGAGACGGTTCTATAAGCTGTTAGTGTTTTCCCGTGGTACTGAAGAGCTGAGTGGCGGCAACATACCTTGTCCTCTATTCGCTTAGCCTCCAGATCACCAAAGACAATCAAGAGGTCATCCAGTTCGGTTTGGGTTGCCTGGCGGGCATCTTCCTTTTCATTGGCCTCTGCCTGGGCCTTTTCAAATTGGGCTTGGGCAATCTTGAGTGCTGCGGCTGCACTTTGAGCCTGTGACTCAGCCTCCTTTGCCTTAAACTCGGCCTCGGTAGCGCGCGTTTCCAATGCAGAAAGTTTGGATGAGAACCCTTCATTGGCTGTCTCGATGTCCTTAATAGATTTCTCCTGGGCATTTTGGAGTTCTGATTGGACGTCCGCGAGATGTTTCTTGAGGTCAGCAGTCTCAGCCTCATGCTGTCCGTTAAGTGCAGCCAACTTCAATTCCAATTCCTCAATTATGGTCTTGAAACCAATAACTTCGGTCTCGTGATGGCCCTTGATGGACGTGAGGGTGGATTCCTGGCTTTGGAGCTTTTGGTGAAGCTCTGCAACTTGGCCTGCGTTGGATTCCGCAGACTGATTGATAGTCGATTCCAACTCCCGGATCATTTTTTTTAAGCCAGCAACCTCATCGGCGTGCTGATCTCGAGCCTTTGAGAGCTCCGACTCCAGTCCACGGATGGTCTTCTGCATACCTGCGGCCTCCTGTTCATGATGCTCCCGCACTTTTGTGCTCTTTCTCTCATACTCAGCAGAAGCCTGCTTGAGTTGATTGTCAATGGCACGAAGCTGTTCGCCATGTTGCTTGAGGAGTTCGTTCTTGGAGTGTTTGTGCTGCTCTTCCAGCTTAGAGAGCGCTTGTTCATGCGAAGTCTGAAGAGACTGGTGTGCCTGTTGAGCTTTAGACAGCTCAAAAGAGCCGGATTCTTTCGTCTTCCGATGGTCCAGGTGCTCTTGATCAAGCTTTCGTTGGATAGTGACAAGCTCAGATTCCAGTTTTTGGATGGTCTGGCTCCGATCTTCCAGCTCCGCACGCAAAGAGTCCACAAGTTCTCGCGAAACACCCTTCTCAACTCCATTGGCAACAATAGAAATCTCGAAGCCCGGTTCCCGGTCGATAGCTCGAATCAAGCGGCTGAAGTTATCCTTGAGGAACTCTACAAAAGCGCGATCGAAGAACACTTCAGGCAATCCTTCAATTTGCCCAGCAGCGGTTTGTGGGAGAACCTCGAAGTCACGAACCAAGGGGCACTCTCGCAGCTTTGTGATCTTGTCAATGTACTGCTCCCTTCCAAGTTGCTCGATGAGCAGCTTGTGCAATGTGACTCGAGGGATAGGAGAATCTTTGGTTGAGAACTCGTAGATTACTCCGAGCAAGACAGTACAAAGTCCAGGAATTAGCTTGCTGGGGACTCTTTGGTGTTTGATCTCCTGCAAGAGGGTCTGGATACTGCTGCCCTCAACGAGAAGGTCATTCACAACATCTGGATCCTCGAAAAGCCAACCGCAGAGTAACATCAGATAGCCAACAGTTATCCGTTCATCGTCGCCACGTTGCAAACCGGTGATCAAGTTGCCCACCACGGACTGAACACTGGTGACAACCTCTTCCCCGCTTTCGGCATCACCTTCTGTGACCTGCATGGCTGTGGCTTTCGCATCGGTGTCGTCAAAAATCAGATGGAACATCAGTACAGACGCCATCCAGACTTGGTATGGATCGGCATTGCCGCGAGATTCTGGTGCCGTGAGCAAGACGGAGAGGATGTTGGGGATTCGATCTTGCCCGCTAACGTGCCCTTCGATAGCACGCCTGAGCACATGCATGCGAATTCCGGGATGATGAGCAAAGAACGCCTTCATGCATTCACAGGCGGCGAGACGTGCATCCAGCATACTGTTCGGGGAAGGCTGCAGGCTGAGCTTCAAGAATGCCTCGATGACATTAATTCGCTCTGGTTCCTCTGCATGGCCATTGGCAATTTTATCCCTTGGTGATTGAGAGCCCCACAGGACTTCAATATCCCCAAAGCTCTCCTGCAATGGTGAGTTCCCGCGAATTAGATCAGCACAGGTTGCCAAGGCCTTAGACGTAACGTTAACGCTGAATTTCTGGCCGAAAGCTATGCTCAAAACCTGCTCTGTGACGCCATTCTGCCAAAATGCTGTCTGGTTCATGGGCGTTCCCACACCACCACGGGTCAGAAACAGTTGTATGATCGCCAAAAGACCCCAAACATTCTTGTCTCTGTGGACAAGAGTCCACTGAGGTGGAGCGCCTTCCCCTTCCGGTTCTAATTGACATTCGTGGAGAAGCTTCGTCACTTTCTTCACGCAGCCAGTTTCGCGAAAGAAGGACTGATTGGAAACGTTGAACTTCAATAGGTGAGCGAGCAAGGACAGACAATCCTCAACCACTTCAGTACCAAGAGTCAGGGAGCCCTCCGCGTCGATAAGAGAAAATATTATTTCAAACGCATTTTCAAACGCGATGAGCTTCTGCAGCTCTTCGGAGGAGGGGGTCAGGGCGATAAGCAGAACGAGGGCCTCTGTGGATTGAACAAGGTTAATTTGGGACACAAGAAGGGACTCAATCAATGGACAGCAATCCATTACCATTTCTCACAGGTTCTCTAGTATCTGTAAGCACATTCACTAGTCTTGAGATGCCCAATGGTGCAGTGAATATGCACTCCTGTGTTCGTTCCGGTCTCGCGCTGCAGATGTGGGACATCAATTGAAGGGAATACAGGCGAGAATAGAAATCGCGGGCCTCAAGCAAGTCCAATAGAATGGTAATATTGTCCTGGCGCTATTGGAACGGTTAGCCAAAGCCCAGGGCTACGTGGCCAGAGTAGCGTACCTGAGTGAATTCATCTGCCAGCCAGAGAGCAATCTCATCTGACGCTTCGGGCTGCAAGAACTATCAGCAAAAATTCTCGGATCTTCCAAGCCACCGTTAACATCAGCATCACCCACACTGGTCTCATCGGGAGTAAAGAGCATCAGTAAGGTCTCGAGGACCACTTTGATGGTGTCGACATCCTCGCGATCATTGTGCAGGCAGCCGATCAACGATCGCAGACCTCCTGAGGCCACCGATGCCGGATAGAGCTTCGCAAAGCTTCTCAGGCCCTGGATCGCTGCTCGTCTATCCTCCAACAAGGTTGCGCTCTGCAACCTACTGCTCAAAACATCGATTGTGTCCGTGGCCGTTTGCTTGGCCGGAGCTTGCGATTCAAGGATTCGAAACATCGCAGCTGAGTCGCAATTTCATGGTCACCGCCGACCGTAGGTGAAGGAATCGGCAGGCATCGAAGGAAGGTCAAAATCTGGTAGAGAGTGTTGGGTGCCTCGAAGGCAGAGCTGATTGCAGTAAAGCTGGCCTCCCAAGCGGCCGAAGGGGCTAAGGGCCGATCCTCGCCGAAAGCGCAGAACGCCGACCGCCCAGAAATAATTCTAATCGTCTGGATCACAGAGACTTCCGGCTTTGCTCATTCAACACACTCTCTGCGCCGTGACCTTAAACACGGTTGCATCTGCTTTGTTCTGTTTCACTCCGTGTCGCAGGCACAACAGGACTGGAATTCCCAGTCGAGGATTTCTGGAAGCCTTGAGGCTGAGACTGCGCGAAGCGTTTCCCCGGTTCCGCAATCAGACGCATTCGAGCGCCGCGCCAACCCCCACAGAACCTGACGCACAACCGCCTGTCGCATCGCCAATATGGGTGTTCCTGCGCTCTTCCGATGGCTCTCCAACAAGTATCCGAAGATCATCTCTTCGGTGATTGAGGAGCTGCCTCAAGAAGTGAACGGAGAGGAGATTCCGGTCGACACCACGCGCGCCAACCCCAATGGCGAGGAGATGGACAACCTTTATCTCGACATGAACGGCATCGTTCACCCATGTACCCATCCAGAGGGCAAGCCCCCACCAGCCAACGAGCAGGAGATGATGTTGGAGATCTTTAAGTATACCGATCGTGTCGTGAACATGGTCCGGCCAAGAAAACTGCTCATGATCGCTATTGGTACGTGCATATTACATATATCTTATACCTCGCGAACCTCCGGCGTTTTTATGAGGTCCCACCTTGGACGTATGTACTAACAAACTATACTTGCTTTGACAATTAGATGGTGTTGCGCCGAGAGCCAAGATGAACCAACAGCGCGCACGTCGATTCCGCTCCGCTCAAGAAGCCCGGGAAAACGACGAGAAGAAGGAGGAGCTCCAGAAGTTACTCGATAGGCAACAGGCCAAGAAAACTGGCCACGCGGCTATTCAGGAGGAAGTCATCCAGAAAACCTGGGATAGCAACGTCATTACTCCCGGAACCCCCTTCATGGATATTCTTGCCGCTTCGTTGCGATATTGGATTGCCTACAAGCTTAACACCGATCCGGCATGGGAAAAGATGAAAATCATTATCTCGGACGCAACTGTTCCCGGAGAGGGAGAGCACAAGATCATGGAGTTCGTGCGTTCTCAGCGCGCGTCACCGGAACACGACCCCAACACCCGCCATGTTATTTATGGTCTTGATGCTGATCTTATCATGCTGGGTCTCGCCACTCACGAACCCCACTTCCGGGTTCTCCGTGAAGACGTTTTCTTCCAGGAGTCGAAGCCTCGGACTTGCAGGCTGTGTGGGCAACCTGGGCACAAAGCCGAGGAATGTACGGGGAAAGCAAAGGAGAAGAGTGGAGAATTCGATGAGAAGCAACATGCTTCTCCGTTGAAGCCGTTCATCTGGCTCCATGTCTCCGTCCTGAGAGAATATCTGGCTGCCGAGCTGCAGGTTCCTCAGCAACCGTTCCCATTCGATCTTGAACGGGCGCTGGATGACTGGGTCTTCATGTGTTTCTTTGTTGGAAACGATTTCCTCCCCCACTTGCCTTCTCTAGACATCCGTGAAAACGGCATTGATACTCTCATTGCCATCTGGCGTGACAACATTCCTGCCATGGGTGGATATCTAACTCAGGATGGTCATGTTGACTTGAAGCGGGCCCAGCTGATCTTGCAAGGTCTGGCTAAACAAGAAGATGCCATTTTTCGACGCCGGCGGCAGGCAGACGAAAGAAAGGCAGCAAATGACAAGAGACGCAAGGAACAAGATCAGGCTCGGAATGAAGAGCGTGCTCGCAAGCGAAGACGTAGCTCTCCTGTCTACGATGCTAAAAACAACCGATCTCAGACCGATGGTGACCCAGATCCAACAGCCGGCATGGAACTAATCACGCCTGGTCGTGGGCACTTATCTAAGGAGACCAGAGAGTTGACTCATAATATGGTTGTTAACCGTGGAGCCGTATACCGTGCCAACATGGAGAACAAGAGTGCCGCCGCTGTGTTGAAGAGCAAGCTCATGAAGGGTTCACAGGATGAAACAGCTGCTGACGAAGCTTTGGCCGCCACCGCGGAGAACGGCGAAGACGTTCCTGAGCCGACATCTCCCTCCGTTCTCGGAAAGAGAAAGGCTGATGAAAGCACCGAGGCCACTGAGCAGGAGACGGAGGCTGGAACTCCTGGTAGAGACTCACCCCCGGTGCCTCCTCCAAAGCCCAAGGATGATGAAATGCCACCGGACACCGTCAAGCTCTGGGAACCCGGATATGCCGATCGGTATTACGAGCAGAAATTCGGCGTCGATCCTCAGGATCATGAGTTCCGCCACAAGGTCGCGCGCGCTTACGCCGAAGGACTTGCCTGGGTCCTTCTCTATTACTTCCAGGGCTGTCCTTCGTGGGACTGGTATTACCCATACCACTATGCTCCGTTCGCTGCCGATTTTGTCGATATCGCTGACATGGTGATTCAATTTGACAAGGGGAAGCCATTCAGGCCGTACGAGCAACTGATGGGAGTCTTGCCCGCGTCGTCGAACCACGCACTGCCGGAGGTCTTCCATGATCTCATGAGCAACCCGGAAAGCGAGATCATTGATTTCTATCCTGAGGATTTCGCCTTGGACCTGAATGGCAAGAAATTTGCCTGGCAGGGCGTGATTCTTCTCCCTTTCATCGATGAAAAGCGCCTGCTGGCCGCGATGCAAAAGAAATACCCTCTCCTGACCGAAGAAGAGCAAAGTCGCAATACACACGGTCAGGAAGTGCTCTTACTGTCGGAGCGGCATCCCCTTTATCAAGACCTTGCAGGCAATTTCTATTCCAAGAAGCCCGGACCGCCAGAGTACAAGCTGAACATGCGTGCGAGCGACGGTCTGGCTGGTCTAGTCGAGCGCAGTGATACCTATATACCCCATGGCTCGCTAGTTTCACCTCTGGAGGAGTACGGCATGCCGAGTCTCGATGACGATCACTCCCTGACGTATGTTCCCTTGCCCTTTTCTGTAATTGAGGCTTTTGCTAACCATCTTCTCAGTGTGAACTACAAGATCCCCAAGTCTTCTCACATCCATAAGTCTATGCTGCTTCGTGGCGTCAAGTTCGCGACGCCGATGCTGAACTCTGCTGATATTCGCGCGGTTAAGGGCCGAGCCCAGCACTCAGGTCGGTCATTCGGTGGCGCGCCGCTCAATGGCAGAGGACGAGGCGGCCGTGTTGAATACTCGTCAGACCGGCCCAACCCGTTCGCCGCGCATCTTGATCCGCGTTACATGCCTGCGCCCCCCGGTGGTATGCCCCCGATGCCCTCTGGATGGGTTCCTCCGCCAGGGGCTGGCGACTACTCCAGGGGACCACCTGGGGCCCCTCGTGGTGGAATGCCCCATCAATATCCCCCGCACCAGGGCCATGGTCAATATCGCGACCACCAAGGACACCATAATGGCTACCAGGATCGGGGTAGAGGTGGAGGCGGCAATGGTGGTTATAGAGGAGGAGGCAGATTCCGTGGCCAGAATCGCGACCACCACTCAGGCGGTCACCGCGGCGGTGGTGGCAGTGGTGGTGGCTACGGTCGCTACTAGCGGAAGTAAAATAAGTTACGACTCTTCCACTGTCCTCGTTATGAATGTTGCTGTATCTACTAGCATCTTCCAGGATTGGTTTGGGGTTCAGACAGGAAACGGTCGCTGGTTTCTGTTAAATGTAAAAAAAAAATTGGAATATGGACTGGGTTTCTGCGCATGCTATCTGCTTTAATCTATCAATTGCATCATTGTACTCCGTAGGTGTAGGCCTTCTCCATCCATTTTCCAAAACCCTCCACGGCGGCCATCCAAACAAACCATGCGAGGGGGAGGTTACTATATGCTGCGCATCCAGAACAACATGCAAGTACATATGACCAGTCGCGCACAGCCAAGGCTAAAATTGGCCTGCGGTGGAAATGGCCAAATAGTCGCCGCCCGAGTGGCCCGCACTGAGTCAGAGGGCGGTGAGCCAAAACTGCCGCGAGATCGGAGGGGGAAAGAATTATTGAGTCAAGCTGCCGGTGTGCCCGGTGTGCTCCAAGTATCCTCCTGGCCAGTCGCATTGCTGGCTGAAACGCTGACTCTCGGTGCAGGGTTGCAGGTAAGCGCTCTTCCTCCTCCTTTCAGCCGTGTGCTGGTCTCAATTTCTATCCTTTCTCTCTGCACACCTTGCATCGCTAGCTCCGCTTGTGGGGGTGAAGAAGCAAATCCCCCAACAGGCCAATCCTGAAACTAAGAAGCCGCAGAATGAATTGAGTAGAGACGTGAATCCTCAATTGTCGACTGTTCTCCATCCTCGCTTGCCATCATGACTGAGCCCACCAAGATCAGCATCTTGGGTCGGGAGAGCATCGTCGCTGATTTCGGGCTGTGGCGCAATTATGTTGCGAAGGACCTGATCAGCGGCTTGCCCTCGACCACCTATGTCCTGATCACCGACACAAACCTCGGATCCATCTATACGCCGTGTTTTCAAAAGACCTTCGAAGCGGCTGCTGCCTCCATCACACCGGCCCCGCGCCTGCTCGTCTACAATGCCCCCCCGGAGAGAGTTCAAAATCGCGACAGACAAAGGCCGACATTGAAGATTGGATGTTGAGCCAGAATCCGCCATGTGGCAGAGATACTGTGGTCATTGCATTGGGCGGTGGTGTGATTGGCGACCTGACTGGATTCATTGCGGCGACCTACATGCGCGGTGTCCGCTATGTGCAGGTCCCCACTACTCTTCTCGCCATGGTCGATTCCTCCATTGGAGGCAAGACCGCGATCGATACCCCGCTAGGCAAGAATTTGATCGGAGCCATCTGGCAGCCGTCAAGGATCTACATTGATCTCGAGTTTCTGGAGACACTCCCGGTGCGAGAGTTCATTAATGGTATGGCCGAGGTTATCAAGACTGCCGCCATATCAAGTGAAGAGGAATTCACTGCACTTGAAGATAATGCCGATGCGATCCTCGGCGCCGCACGCAGCGATGCTAAGCCTGGTCAGGGCCGTTTCGATGGCATCCGTGATATCTTGAAGGCCCGAATCTTGGCCTCTGCACGTCACAAGGCCTACGTTGTCTCCGCCGACGAGCGTGAGGGTGGTCTCCGCAACCTTCTGAACTGGGGACATTCCATTGGCCATGCCATCGAGGCAATTCTAACCCCCCAAATTCTCCACGGAGAGTGTGTTGCCATTGGTATGGTGAAGGAAGCTGAGCTCGCACGCCACCTCGGCATCTTGAAGGGTGTTGCAGTTGCTCGCATTGTCAAGTGCATTTCTGCCTATGGCTTGCCCACGTCGATGAAGGATTCACGGGTCCGAAAGCTGACTGCCGACAAGCATTGTTCCGTCGATCAGCTTCTGTTCAACATGGCTCTGGACAAGAAGAACGATGGCCCGAAGAAGAAGGTTGTCCTCTTGTCCGCCATTGGACGCACCCACGAGCCTAAGGCCAGTGTTGTCTCGAATGAGGATATCTGCGTCGTTCTGGCTCCCAGCATTGAGGTGCATCCTGGTGTGCCCAAGACTCTCAATGTGACCTGCACACCTCCCGGGTCCAAGAGTATCTCGAATCGCGCTCTTGTCCTTGCTGCGCTTGGTTCGGGTACCTGCCGGATCAAGAACCTCCTCCACTCCGACGATACCGAGGTTATGCTGAATGCTTTGGAGAAGCTGGGAGCCGCCACTTTCTCTTGGGAGGAAGAGGGTGAGGTCCTCGTCGTGAATGGACAGGGTGGAGATATCACCGCCAGCCCCTCGTCCCTCTACTTGGGCAATGCTGGAACTGCGTCCAGATTCCTGACTACTGTGGCTACCCTCGCCAATCCGAGTACTGTGAATGAGAGCATTCTGACCGGTAACAACCGCATGAAGCAAAGACCCATTGGTGACCTTGTCGACGCTCTGACCGTGAATGGCGCCGGCATTGAGTACATGGAACGCAAGGGCAGTCTTCCCCTCAAGATTGCGGCATCTGGTGGTTTTGCCGGTGGCAATATCAACCTGGCTGCTAAGGTTTCTTCCCAGTATGTCTCCTCGCTGCTGATGTGCGCTCCGTATGCCAAAGAGCCCGTGACTCTGAAGCTAGTTGGTGGCAAGCCCATCTCCCAGCCTTACATCGACATGACCACTGCCATGATGAGATCTTTCGGCATCGATGTGAAGAAGTCCACCTCTGAAGAGCACACCTACCACATTCCCCAGGGCCACTACGTCAACCCCGCCGAGTATGTTGTTGAAAGCGACGCGTCCTCCGCTACTTACCCCTTGGCCATTGCTGCCATCACTGGTACCACCTGCACAGTTCCCAATATTGGCTCCAAGTCTCTGCAAGGTGATGCTCAGTTCGCTGTTGATGTGCTGAGGCCCATGGGCTGCTCCGTTGAGCAATCGGATTACTCCACTACTGTCACTGGGCCTGCTAGCGGCATTCTCCGGCCACTTCCGAACGTGGACATGGAGCCAATGACTGATGCTTTCCTCACTGCCTCCGTCCTTGCTGCTGTTGCTCGGGGTGAGGGCTCAAACCACACTACCCGCATTTACGGCATTGCCAACCAGCGTGTCAAGGAGTGCAACCGTATCAAGGCCATGAAGGACGAGCTTGCTAAGTTCGGCGTTGTCTGCCGTGAGCATGATGACGGCCTTGAGATCGACGGTATTGAGCGGTCTACTCTTCGCCAGCCTGCAGGTGGTGTTTACTGCTACGATGATCACCGTGTTGCTTTCAGTTTCAGTGTCCTGTCACTCGTGGCTCCGAAGCCTACTCTCATTCTGGAGAAAGAGTGTGTTGGCAAAACTTGGCCAGGCTGGTGGGACACCAAGAAGCAACTCTTTGGTGTCAAGCTTGAGGGTAAGGAGCTGAAGGAGGATAAGCTGGTTATCTCTAGTCGTGAGGAGCGGACCAGTGCTTCCGTCTACATTATCGGCATGCGCGGTGCTGGCAAGACCACTGCCGGCAACTGGGTTGCGAAGAGCCTCGACCGTCCCTTCATCGATCTTGACACTGAGTTGGAGCAGACTGAAGGTCTCACCATCTCCGATATGATCAAGCAGCGTGGCTGGCAGGGATTCCGTGATGCAGAGTTGGCTCTGCTTCAGCGAATGATGCAAGATCGGCCCAACGGCTACGTCTTTGCCTGCGGTGGCGGTATTGTCGAAATACCCGAGGCGCGCAAGCTCCTTGCCGACTATCACAAGAACAAGGGCAACGTGCTTCTCATTAATCGCGATATCAAGCAGGTTATGGACTTCTTGCAGATTGACAAGACTCGTCCGGCCTACGTAGAAGACATGATGGGCGTGTGGCTGCGCCGCAAGCCTTGGTTCCAGGAGTGCAGCAACATCCAGTACTACAGCCAGCACTCGAACACGACGGAGCTTGCTCTCGCCTCAGAGGACTTTGAGCGCTTCATGCAGGTTGTGACCGGTCGGAAAGACAACCTCAGTGCCATCAAGAAGAAGAAGCACTCCTTCTTCGTCTCGCTGACTTTGCCCAATCTGTGTGAGTGTGGTGAGATCTTGCGCGAAGTCTGCGTTGGATCTGACGCCGTGGAACTGCGGGTTGATCTGCTGAAGGATCCGGCCTCGGATAGTGAGATTCCTACGGTGGATTTTGTCGCCGAACAGATGTCTTTCCTCCGCCGTCTTGTTTCGCTTCCCATTATCTTCACCATTCGTACGAAGAGCCAAGGGGGTCGCTTCCCTGACGATGCCCACGAGGCTGCCATGCTGCTGTACCGATTGGCATTCCGCTCGGGCTGCGAGTTTGTGGATCTCGAGATCGCTTTCCCGGATGAGATGCTCCGTGCTATCGTCGAGATGAAAGGTCACTCCAAGGTCATCGCGTCGCACCACGACCCTCAAGGCAAGCTGTCCTGGGCTAACATGTCCTGGATCCCGTCCTACAACCGTGCTCTGGAGTACGGTGACATCATCAAGCTTGTCGGCGTTGCCAGCAGCCTCGATGATAACACTGCTCTTAGAAAATTCAAGAATTGGGCTGAGCAGGCGCACGATGTGCCGCTGATTGCTATCAACATGGGTGACCAGGGCCAGCTTAGCCGCATCCTGAACGCCTTCATGACCCCCGTTTCCCACCCTAGTCTCCCCTTCAAGGCTGCTCCTGGCCAGCTGTCTGCGACGGAAATTCGCCGCGGTCTTGCGCTGATGGGTGAGATCAAGGCCAAGAAGTTTGCCATCTTCGGCTCGCCTGTCTCTGGTTCTCGGTCTCCGCCTCTCCACAATACCCTCTTCGCGGAGATGGGTCTTCCCCACGAGTATACTCGTCTGGAGACCACCAACGTTGAGGATGTTAAGGACTTCATCCACTCGCCCGACTTCGGCGGTGCCTCTGTCACTATCCCCCTGAAGCTGGACATCATGCCCCTTCTGGATGAAGTTGCCCAGGAGGCTGAGATTATCGGCGCCGTCAACACCATCGTCCCCTTCGCCAACGGTGACAAGCCTCAGCGTCTTGTCGGCTACAACACCGACTGGCAGGGCATGGTTCGGGTCCTCCGCAATGAGGGAGTCTACGGCTCCAATGGCACCGAAAGTGCCGTGGTCATCGGCGGCGGCGGTACCGCCCGCGCTGCCATTTACGCCCTCCACCAGATGGGCTTCTCTCCCATATACGTGGTTGGCCGCACGGCCAGCAAGCTCGAGGGCATGGTCTCAACCTTCCCTACCAGCTACAACATTCGTGTCGTCGACAACTACGAGCAGTTGGAGACTATGCCCCAAGTCGCCATCGGCACTATTCCCGGTGACCGGCCCATCGACCCTGCCATGCGTGAGACCCTCTGCCACATGTTTGAACAAGCCCAAAAGGCGGATGGTACTCTGATCGGCAAGTCTGTTGATGAGAAGGCCCCTCGCATTCTTCTGGAGATGGCATACAAACCTGCTGTAACTGCGCTGATGCAGCTGGCTTCCGATGCGGGCTGGAAGACTATTCCCGGTCTCGAGGTTCTTGTTGGTCAAGGTGTAAACCAGGTATGTATCCCAGCATTATGTTATCTTGTACCCGGTGCTAACTAGAGAACAGTTCATCCACTGGACTGGCATCACTCCTCTGTACCACGTTGCCAGAGTAAGTGGCCCCATCAATGCTTCTTGCCACCCAATACTAACAATCCTTTCTCCTCACAGGATGCTGTTATGGGCACGGAGTCTGCATAATTGACTACTTTGTCCACTTTTGTCCATTTCAGGCCGGTTTTATTTACCCAAGGGTGAGTCTAAAAAGCGATGAGGAAAGTACCTAGTATTTACTTTTCCTGTGAAATTTTCGTTTATACATACTCTCGATAAGTGGCATGAAACTTGTTTTTCGGTCTATCTTTACTCTCTCCCCACGCTCTCTCCGACCCAGTTTTGATCTCGCACTGGCATGCAACTTCCACATGAGCTGGTAGGATTACTTGTTATATCCACTTTCAGCACCGTAGTATGTACACCATGTCATAGTTACATACAAACAAGAATGTAGAGTGCGATCTCAACTTCAGATAAAACCTTCCATAAAGGCATCAACAATGCAGTTTTTCAGGCTTAACCTGGGGTCGCTCAGAGATAGTCAGCCACACATCCCTCCATTAACCAACACCTCCCTTAACCACGAACTTGGGCTTGGGCTTGCCCTTGACAGCTTCAGGCTTGTAGGAGCGGAAACCCCTTCCCACTATCTTCGATAAATAGTCCGGGGGAGCTGTTGTCCCCGTTTGGTCAGGCCAAGAGGTTGCTACTATAGCGAAATTGGTGATTCAAACTCTCGAGCGCGGAACAATAACGAGAATGGTGGCCTTGGAGCCCCGCGCCAGATTCCTGTAGTATACCGAACCTCGTTGATCGTCAGTCCTGTTGCTCTGCATGTTTCAATGCGCCTAGTTGCGGCAACCTGGCTCTGAGATGTTGCCTGCTTCTGGCAATCTCCTGCCCACCCCTACTCGTGCTGTTGCTATCCGGTTGACCCATCTCGGCGGCGAGTCATTGGGGGTACAAACCAAACCCTGTTTCTGCCATCTGAGTGTGCTATCTATGGAGTTTGAAGAAATCGATACCTGCTCTTTGATCCTTTGCTTCTCTGGACCACAAAGTTTCAACTGTTACGTTCCGGTCATGGAATCCTAACATCGACATTGACTACTTTAATAATATTGAATATTTTGCCAGAAAGGACCTTTATATAAGTATGTTTCTAATTCAAACTCTACTTCGGGGTCCCTGCTAACAGATTAGCCCGGGTTCTCTATCATTACCTGATCCCTTCCCCTTAGCACCGGCAACCACCAAGGCGTAAGTGTATCCCCCTCGCTATAATAATAAATCACCAACACTTTTAGTGGTCCTATTCCGACCAATGCTGTTACCAATTCCAACACCATTGCGGGCATTGGTACAAGAACCAGAGTGATAGTCGCTGCGATAATGTCGAGGCGAAGTACGATTTATCTGCAAGAGAATTCTTCCTCCTAAATCCACTGCTGAACAATACATGTGAGCATTTGTGGATGAATAACAGCTACGTAAACTATGCTCTCTGACAGCACTGGCCTCTGGTGTTTTGGTCTTTGGCATGACGCCGGTGCTAGTGTGATTTTGGCATATGTGTCTGAAGGGAATACAAATCTGGGTTCACCAAACTGTCAAATTGATGATCATGGCGGTACTACCATGTCATCCATTCATCCCACGGCGAGTTTCTTGATTACTTCCAAATACTTCGATTAGCGAATGGGCCTTGGAAGGAAGAGTCATAGTGCTCTGCCCTCTGTATCAGGCCGTCGGCCGTAGTGCCGGTCTCCCATTTTTCTAGGATACCAATCTGAGTTCCAGAGTAATAGTTCTGCCTATTGAGACAGACCTTTGCACGAAAATTGGATCAAATAACCCGTCCCACCAAACATAGATTACTCTTGCGCATGTCTTGCTCAGCCACGCTCCATGTACTCTTTAGCCTCCCCACTTTACTACTAAGCTTAGATTTTATCAAGACACTAGGAACCGTTGACTCAACTACCTCGTTCTTCCTGCCCCCATTCGGCCACCAACGCCATCTTTGCCCCAATCACAGGCCAAAAGCCACGTACAGCATACACCCAAACCTCTATAGAATGAAGTCAGTCATAAATTTCCATAAATAACTTTTTGCACCTCACTAATCAAGCCACCCACGCAACACTTGCTACTGTGACTACCCAACGCCACACGCCAACCACGCACATATCCCCATTCCTGCCCACATCCATGCCCGTAACACCTCGTCAGCCAGCAGTGGTTCACCACGCTGCCACTATTCCGCAGGAACGAGCTGACTCATCCCGTCCTTCCGACAGGTCTGCACCGCCACGTACCAGCAAATACACAATTGGCCCCACACCCGCACAAAACACTTATCGATAACAAGCACCCTTTACATACGTACACCTGAAATACCAAACAACCTGTAAAATGCACATCACCCCAATCTCCAGCAATACAAAAGCCACAAAATCCACAGTGGGCCCGCCCTCGCTCCCCTCTCGGCGCGAAGCTCCACCCCCGAACGCAATCGCAATCCACCGCAACAGAGCTGACACAAGCCCCCAAACCCAAATTTCGCTTTCCCACCCCGTCCAATCGCCCAATCCCAGCGCTGGGGTCGTTGGCTGAGAGGTCAATTGGGAGGGAAACAGCTGTGATCTGGTCTACTCAGGTCGCATCGAACTCCATCGTGGACTCCACTGCAATTGAGAGATGTGCGCCCACTTGCATACACATTACACGTACGGAGTACCATCTACCACTTCTTACAACGTTGCGGGTGCTGATTGGGGTGGCCGGGCTTAGAACTCGATTGGCGCATTGAACCGGCGATACACCGGAGTCCACTTCGCGTCAGAAGTACAGTAGCAACTACAGTTACTACGCTAGACGTGCTTGACAGCGTGGCCAATGGTACCTGGCATACGGGTCCTGAGCCCCGTAGGACTCCTACTGTATATAGCCACAAGACATGATCGTCTACTCCATACCTACGGAGGATGATAGGAGAAGCGCCGATCAGCAACGGCAGTAATAATCGTGCTTATCACTATCACTATCATACAGCAGCTCCACAGCGGAGCCCTCGCAACATTGAACACACTAACGTATCAATCCTTCCTCCTCCTTCCTACCAATGAGCTTATGTTTATAGCGGTACACCCTCTCATTCCCGAATTCTCCCCATGATAGCTAAGGCCAATTTCTCCATGTGGACACGAGCAAAATTCAGTCCCTATGCCCCGCCCCAGCCAACATTATTTTTAGGTTTAATGATGACCCCCCGTAACCCCCCACCCCTCCCTACCAACGTCCATATGGAGAACGACGAACTATACAGTCTTTCCCGAAACCCCAGGAGCTTCGCCTCAACTTGCATGTTCCGTGCCAGCCCAGCAAGCCGAGTGGGGCACGCTCGCGCCATCACTACCCGTTTCAGCAGCGTGGTTCAACGTTGGGGGTGGGCTACCGGCTCTTGCGTAACGTGTGGGCTGCCATAACGCTATTTTCCTTATCTGGGGCGTGGGATTTTCGGCATAGGGGATTGTAGGCCTTTAGGGATGAAGGGTTCAATGGGGGAGTGGGTTTTCTGGAAAATGGATGTCTACGCGGCACCGAGAAAAGGCAGAGAAGAATTGGCAGTTTTAAGTCGTATTCACGAGGTCTATTCATCAGTATACATCATATCAGTCGGGCTTATAATATACAATTTTCCCATATACAGCCAAAACCAGGACTGTACGTGTCAAGCAGCGGCAGAACCGAAAGCACAATGAAAGCGGCAAGAACATAAAATCCAAAATCCAGAAAGGACAATGATAAAACGTTAATAACAGATAGTCACAATAATCATCCGTCAAGCCACCCATGTACCAACACCACCACCGAAAGCAGAAATCAAGCACCAGCCAATGCAGAAGGAATCGTCACATCGTACAGTGGTTCGAAAACAAGGGACAAGCCGCGCAAATGCAAGACAAAAATAGTCACAAATAATGGGAATGATAATGATACAGCATAGGGTTCGTAACAGACATGAAAACCAGCTAGCGAGAGAAACACACAAGACAGCCCCCGTACACAGATACAAAATGCTTTTAGTGTTTTGGATTGGATCAACAATGTCACGGATCGAATATGGATCGAACATGGATCAGAATGGATCGGAGGCCGCCAAGCGTAACCGCACACGTCAGGTGCATCAGGAGGAGGTAGGGGGGGGAGGGGTCACAGAGATGTGAACGAAAGGATGCGTCATCTCTGTGTTGCGGCATTCGATCGACGACGTACGATCGACGTCAGCCGAAGGATGCGGAGGGTCGACAATGACGTCAGTGGTGCTCGGGGGTGGAGAGGGGGGTTTCAGGCCACAAGGCCACCATCCCAGCTCCCCGGGAGGGAGCGAGTCCCGAAACGGAAATGGACCCCGACGATCTGAACGGGTGTGGGTCTTTGACGTCATGGCGAAGCACACCCAAAAAAAAAGGTTTGCTCCCATTCGTCATGGTGATGTTGAGTGTTGGTCGCGGAAGCTTCAGTCTCTTCCCCGGCGTCGCTGCTTGCCCGGCCAGTCCACCTCCGGATGCACCACGCGCATGTGTCGCGTCAGGGCATCGTTGCGACTGAAGGTCTTCTCCTCCGTGCACAGATGGCACCGCACCTTTTGCTTGCGGGCATTGTGGATCGTATCCTCGTGCCGGGTTAAATCGTAGGGCCGAGAGAAGATCGAATTGCACGGCTTGCCCGTAGACGGGTTGATGCGCTCGCACTTATGGGGCCCAGCCTGAGAATTGCGAAGCGAAGTATCCCGAGTAATCAGGTGACCGCCAGGGGTCGTCTGGCGATGTGCCTCGCGCTTGTGTCGCTGGAGCTTGGCGGGTGTCTCGAAGCGGAGCGAGCAGCCATGGTAGGTACAAGTGTAGGTGCCCGCATCCGACGAGGTGTTGCTCGGCCGAACCAGACCATCGTTGACTGGCAGCTTGGCCTGCGGGGTCATAGTGCCCGACGGCAGCTCACTACCTGTAGATTCCAGCCGCGGAAGCGAGGCCGGGAAATCTGGAGTCTGATGCAGGAGATTTGGCTGCGGACGGGTCTGGTAAGAGAACTGGGGTGGCTGGACGGTCGCGTACTGGGTAGGGAAGGCCTCCATCGACGACATCGCCGCCCGCATGGATCCCGAGCTCTCACGGCGCAAACCGAGGGTGTCGCCTAGGTTAAAATCGCCCTGCTGGGGGGGAACAGCGAAGGCATGGTAGCATCCGCACCCTCGTCCAGATCCAGCACCGCATCCTTGGGGGACATGGTCTTGAGATCGGTCTGGCCCGTAGTCGACGGAGCCATGCTCATGACGTTCTGAGGCATGGGCACACTGGTGGCCATCTGGTTCAGGTCGGCAGCGAAAGGGGAGTTCTGGCGGAAGGGCGAACGCTCTCGCTTCAGACCCATGGCCGGAGACCCAGACCGAACGGACATGTGGCCCTGGTGGGCGGCCTGCAATCGGTCGGCCATGAGGTTGCGGGGGGCCAGCATGTTCGAGTTGATCGGCTTCTGTATCTGCGGGGCGGTCATGATGGTGGGGTTGAACAGCTCGTCCTGATAGATATCGGAAATGGTGCGGTTCAGTTTGGGAATACCGATCATGCCGTTGCTGTTACCGTAATCTGGCGGGTCGAAGTGTAAGTACTCGTTCATCCAGCACTCCACCTGAGGAAGGTGGATCTCACCATTGGTCATCGCCTTTGTATCATCCAGCTCATCCAGACTGGTCTGCGGGGTCACGGGCGAGTTGTGGCTCATCGTCGAGACCGAGGGAGCCAACGAGTAGTCACTCTGCTGCTGTTGTTGCTGCTGCTGCTGCTGCTGCTGTTGCTGCTGCTGCTGTGCGGACGAAGCCTGGTGCTTTTGCTGCTGGTCCATGATCGCCTTCCTCATCGCCGACTCCGCTTCGACATTGCCATCGTAGGTCGATGGATCGTAGTTCTGGAATGGAACCGCAAGGAATGAGTTCTGAACGGGCGTTTGCACCGGGGTGGGCAGAGGCTTTGATGAGCTGTCCGACCGCCGATGGCCGTGGTTAGGTGAGATGGAGTGACCAGACAGAGCGGACCGGGAGGAGACCGAGCTGGGTGAGGTCTTCTGTGGGAATGGGATGCGGGCGGGGCTCAGCAGCTGCAGGTTGCTCTCCCAACCTTGGTTGCTGGCGATGGGCTGTTGAGCCAACATGGGACTATAGTATTGCGGGTAGTGTGAGATATACTGCGAGGATGGCGAGGCAGAGCCCTGAAGGTCAAACGACGGGTTGTAGGAGGAGGCTGGGGTCATCGAAGGAGCCCCGAAAGACTGGTTGTCGGCCGTCGCAGGAGGGTAGGTGATGGAGGAGAAGGTCGGAGATGAGAAGGTGGGCGAGGAGGGTGCGGAAGAAGGCGGGGAGGCGAACTGATCCAGTGGGTTCGGCTGGTAGTGGAAGGGTGGTTGCAAGCACGACTGTTGCTGTTGAAGTTGCTGGTATTGGAGAGAGTTCTCGACGAACTCGGGTGGATATTGATCGTCTTGTATGATGATGTCCTCGGGGTTGAATGGATCGGTGATGAGACCCTTACGTGGGTACATAAGCATTATGGTATCACGTTTGGGGGGGGGGACGTCAGTCAGGTGGGTAAAGGGTGTTCGCCACCGGGGATGGCGAGCTTTTTATAGGGTGGAATCCCGACGGGTCAAGTTCCGAGAGATCCCTGGGAAATCGCAATTGTGGCCGTGTCTCGACGAGGTTTGGGACTGGGCGGAAGTGCTCGGTTGGAATCTGGTTAGACTGCGGGCGAAGAGTCTGGAAACGTCGAGAGGGCTCGTGATCGTAACAAGGAATTGGTATGGGTGAACCTTATTCCCGGAAGTATGGGTTGGTATGAGTTGGGTCTGGACGGGAGTCAGAGTCTGGGTCTGGGTTTGTTTGGTCAGGATGACTCGGAGGGATGAGTCTTACTTGAGGTGAAGGAGGTCAAGTCAGAGAGGGAGTTTATCATATAATCATGAGTAATGAAGAGAGAACGGATTGTGATGGTGGGCAGGGCGACTTAATAAAGGCAGATGGGCATGCCATGACGTCCGCGCTAGCAAGGGCCCGCAGCCTGAATGGGTCCTTCATGGGGTCTTGCATGAGCATGGCTGGTATGGCCGGGTATTGATATGTATTGATAGGTATTGATGGGGGCCTGCCGGACAACCCCGAAATGTTCGTGTACGGTTACGGCCGATCCTTCTGGCGCTAGACCCGATCGGGTCTGGGCAGTCACCTCTCGTACGATACGTGACACCCGCGACTCGGGCCAAGTCGGTACAGTGCTCGGCTCCACTGATCGTCCGGGGGAACCGTGAGGGTCGTCGTTTCCTCTTGTTCAGCCCAACCACTCAACCGCCGTTGTCACCGTGGAGGGGTGGCTTGCTTTGGAGGCAGCCACAATACCCACCGAGGATGAAAGCACTTCTCAACCGTGATTGGATTTCAACGCGCTACGAAACGGGGGCATGGGTGATGGGTGAAAAGCTAATTCTACCTACGACCCCCGAAGGAGTCATACTACTGGATTACGGAGTGCTGTAGTCCTATCGGGCGAAAGAACCAGAATGAGTGGTGTATCACGCTTAGCAATCTCGGCCCAGACAGAGTATGACTCCGATACCATTTCCGATCGGACTAATGAACTACCCAGGCCCGAGAAATGTCTGGAGGATACAGAGACTAGCCGGATCAAAGCTCCAATTTTAGGATGCTACCGACAGGGCTGAGCCACACCTTACAGTAGCTTGTCGGTATGTTGGGCCGCGTGACTCAGGCAGAAATTTTCAGTCGCACTCCAGCCAGTCGAATGAGTGCGCACCTGCACTAGCCAGGGGACCAAGGTCTGGCACTAGTGACTTCTACCGTCTTACCCGCTTTCCGTACGGAAACGCTAGTCGATATTTTTCCTACTGTACGTACTGCCAGCACTCCAAGCAGTTCACAGCTGTGCGCACTAGCCACGCCTGCTGCTGCGCCACCGCGTGGCCCTTTCCTTTAATCCGTCTGCATTCTTTTCTCTGGGGTAGTCCGGTTCGGGCAGGTGCGCATGGACTCAGACTGGGAAGCTGGCGATGGATCATCTGGGATTTCTTGATTTCCATGCATCGTATTGGGATAGTCCTACCGAGCGAGCAGAATCATGGCATGCCCAAGCCCCAGTGCATGCCGGGTCAGCTGACCCGCTGGGCATGAGCACCAGCTGACATGGGTTCGTCTCGTTCCTGCACTTTCTGGGCGTTTGTGAGTATTTTTGAGTCACTCGATGCGGCCGTGGACCTCGCCGAAGCCTCGACGGGGCCACTCTGTTTTGGTTTGGTAGCGTAGTTGCGAGACCCCACCTCGGCTACATTTTCTGTTGTTGTTGTTTCCCCAGAGGTCACATGGCTTCCCCGAGACCTGAAAGTAGTCTGTTGACGGAGACTCGATGGATCTATGGAGCACTAGTACATCGCTGCGCTTCCTCGACGCTCACATGAGATCAATTTCATCCTCATCGGGGCTAGTATCATCCAGAAAGTCCCGGTAACCCATCCACAAAAATGAACCGTTTGACTCAGAATTCCTGCGATGGCCCGGGAAACGACATCAAAGCGCCAAAGGGAAAAATTCTTGTCTCAAATCCCTGCACTCGGCGAACTGCCGATCCCACCGTTGTGCTAGCGCGGACCTTGTCTGCTGAGGCCAAGTCGCAGTGGTAGCGCGGCTCAGCCAAGTACGGCCCGGTTACAGTAGGATCTTAGCGCCCGGGCTGCCCTGTGCCCGGCACTCGGTCGTATTGCATGCCTCCATAACCTCTTACGATGAGAAACAGAGTACGACTATGTCCTGGTGCCGAACCCGGGCGAGTGTTCTCCCGGTGAGAATGTTGCCAGCTGACGGGCAGCTGGTGGCAAGATGCCCGGAGATATCTCGCATCTCCAGGCTGCGAGAATTCCCCCCAATCTCGCCATCCTGTGGGCCAGGAGGCCAGGAGGCCATGTGATCCGCGGAAATCCCAATAACCCCATTGTTCGTAAGCGAATGCACCTCGCGTAGTTGCGACCACGAAGAGGTTTCACCGGGAAGCTGGACGGTCGGCTTTAGCGCTGACGGGGCACGAGAGATCTGGCCGGGTCCGGGGGTACCGTTCATGCCGACCAGCGGCTAGTCTAGAGTCTGGCCCGCTTGCCAACTCCAGTACGGAGTAGCGAGATCGTACTCGGGTCCATTCCCTCCCTGGGCGGCTCTGCGGCCGAGATGTTATTCTTGGATTTCGCGCAAACGTGGCCTTCGTCCGGGGTAGTGGCCAGACCTCCCCCCTCTCCCGAGTCGTGGTCGGCCCACCCAGCCCCAAACAGTGCGCAATGCACTGGCCATGGCACAACACACCACGAGGTATACAGGTATACTCGACCACCATCGAAAGCACCGAAACTGTACTGGCCCTCCGTCGCACCTCCTACGTCGGTGGGATGCGACTTGCACGACCTTCTCCATCGGGTCCATCCGGCAGCAACCACTCGGCCCTACCGACGCCCAATAAGCCCGAGACAGAGATTTCACCTCCAGCCCGAACGGTCAGCACCTTAATGATCGGGCATCCGAGTAGCCGGTCTGCCAGGAGCGAGTCCCTGCAGAGCATATTTAGAAAAGCCCCTAATGCACGCTGAACAAATTTTTTCAATGCAAATGATTGGCGGGAGCTGCCAACCGTGCACGTGAACACCTGCGTGCCAGGCGCTCAGCCACAATACCGATCCGCGTATCGCAAAAAAAAAACAGCGGATACACCGTGACCGATCGAGGCTAGTGCGCGTATCGTCACGCTCAGGTCGATTTCACCCTGGTGTGCTGGTCGTTTCCTGCAGCCCAGTTACGCTAGGGCCTTCTGGAAGCCTTCTAGTGCGTGCCGACATTCCGGCATCGGGATTCTCCGCGCCAGCGCATCGCGTGAAAATTTTTCGCCGAGCTAAATTAGGGTTGTAGTGCAGTGTTTTTGTCAGATATTGATGATCCTCGGGACCCCGTGGTCGTGGTGCGCCGGGCTGATGGGGGAATTCGGGGGAATTTGTGGATTTTCGATGGATTCGGCGCGTTCCCGGCTGGTCCCGGCCCTTTCCCGGCTATCTCCTCCTCGGAGTATCGACGCGGAGGGCGGGCTGAGCCCATGTATCTGTGAAGGCGCTCGTGGGATTGGTAGGAAGGAGGAGGCTTCACGGGGATTCTAGAACGCTCTTAGGGTAAGCACCCGTTGCGACAATGCGCTGAATATTGGTTGCCTGTAGAATAGTCTACGATCGACTATCCTAAACTAAACAGGACGCTAGCCTAGACATTCCTCGTCGGAGATTGGAGACAAGACTCAATACAAGATCTGAGTCTGGTATGAGACTGTTGCGACCGCACAGCCCCGAGACATTCACCACGTGGACTCTTTACATACCGGTGAAATTTTACTTTCATTCCAGGCTTGCCTGGTCTGGTGCCTCGCCTCAATGCCGTGCTAGTCCATGCCTTCATTCGGCGGGCTTCCCAACCGCCTGTGCGTAGGCCCCCGGTACCTGCCACACTATTGGATCAGATCCAAATCGAGCACCGCCCAATTACGCCCGCCAGCCTGATGCACTGGCCGGTGTGCAACCATCGCGCATGTCTGATAGGGTTATAGGGCTCTTTCGGGTGGCGCTGCTAGGGCCGTCCGCTGGCCCACTCCGCAGGTCCACTGCGCTGGTTCACTGTGCTGGGAGGGCAGCCGGGCAACGTGGTTGCATGCGTGGGTGAGTACAAAGCATCGGACATGCGTTGTTAGTGGTTTGGTTGGCTGAGACATTTGACGAGTTGCGCGCGTGGCCTGTGGATTTCAGGCGGACTTGTTCGGTGGAGCCCCAAGGTTGGTGTAGGAGGTGGTTGTGTGCCATGGTGGGGGTTACACATAAGTTGACGGGACGGTGGGGTTGACAAATCAGATCCTTGTCCACGTCTGAAGTGAGATGTAACATGTAATGATGCAAATTGGGAAGACGAGTCAACATGGCGAATAGACATGTGAAATTTATCTTCTTCTCGTTGTGATCGTCATCTCAAATCGTGATGTCGGATGATTGTTGATAGATGTGAGATACTACCTAGTAGGTGGAAAAGCAACGTGCATAGCTCAGCAATGCCGATGTCACCTCCCTGATGCAGGTTTTTCACACCGCTAGAAACCAGTTTCGGGAACATACTGGCACATCTTGCCGTATTTTCCAAAGCTTTAGATTCTCTACGCACCTGTATGGACGCAAAGAATGAAAAGACTGAAAGCAAAGCATGGACCCATTAAGCCAGCGCCGAAGCTTGTCATGAGATTCAGCTCTAGTTCAATCAAAAAGACCCTTGATCCGGAAGCGTATAAGGGTGAAGAGGCACACTATGACTGGCTTTGCCAAATAAATCTCAAGCTGTCAGCGGCATCACCAAACTTGCGAGAATATCGTAGAAATGCTTTCGGCAACTCGTCTACCTTCTCTCTCCAGCAATGACCTATTGTCTGAAGATACCGAGATTGAGGCTATGTATATCATCTAGTGGAATGACCGCATAGAATACGTCGCATCAATGGAGTCGAAGTTGCTTTTTGCTGCTCAAATCTTACTTGCACATATTTGATTCCCTAAATTATCTTTATCCTTGCAATCTGTCCTTCTTCACAACATCACCATTGCAACCCCCATCTAGGTCATTAGCTCGGCCTAAAATCAAAACTTCCATTGCTTCCAGGGGATTTTGTTGTACTAATATCGAAGAAGAACGGTCCCCGGTAGTAGAGTTGGCACTCTTCATTCAAAGATTCATTGGAATTCATTGTCCGGATAGATTAAGGTAGCATTGAACAAGAAACCGAATGCATGGTCAGCGTCAGCTGCCTAGTGTATAGTTAAAGTTACTACACTTTTTTTGCGTAGCTTAGGACATCTCAAGTCTTACAGAATGACAAGGCCTTGGCTTTTATAATCGTTATGGGGGCCGTTGGAACTCAAGTAATACGGCCGGTATTGTACATGGATCCCGATAGGCCCGTCAGTGATCTTCACACGGACCAAGTTCTACGAGGAGATCCATACCATCGCGAATTTGAATGGGCAAATTCACCGTTACGAGGAACGCAGGCAAAACATACGGACCCGTTCTCATTCCATGGCAAAACAAACATCACAGATACGTTATGCTAGCTACCTCCTTATGAAGTATGGTCACAAGACGCTTGACCAAAATAAATCTCAAGAGTCGAATGGTAAGGGCCGGGGTCTCCTTAGCAACACCGGCCGACGCTCACGCGCGTATACTCTCTTTCATCGCACTCTCCACTTCCTCATTTTGCACCGGCAACACACATATTCCACCGCGCTTCCCAGTGAGCCTCCTGCTTCGGGACCCTCCCTGTACTCCAGTCAAATCACCCGCTCAACAGCCCCAGCTATCACTGCGTACAAGATGAGATGGCGTGCTACAAATGGGGCCTCTTCGTTATGACTACGGTTCCGGGCATCATGAATCCCATCTTTTCCGACTATTCAACTTGCACTAAAGCACTCCAAGCCGCCAGTGATGCTGTGGGCATAGCAAACACCATTGATAGCGCGCCTGCAGGCGATCCCGCTGACGGGTACGTATTATCACCGCATTGTTTTTGATACTTCACTGATTTGACAGGTTATTAGCCTTCAAGACGAAATGAAGAACGCTGACAGCTTGAATGCTTCTGTGTACAGCATGATGACACTCACGCGCGAAACTGTTGGAAACCTTTTCTCCAGTGGTTTTGATAAGGTGCCAGCGACGCTGAGGTTGCCGAGAGCTCCAGTTTGGCATTCATCACACCGCAGACCCTGACCTGGAAAGCAACGATGAGAGTACGACTGGCCTTTGCCTTTCTGTTCCATGGTGTGACAGAGAAGTCAGCACGCCGTCTATTCTTACGGGGGTGCATTCGCCACGGATTCTGTGTCTGCGATAAGTGAGAACCAAATCAAAAGCCTCAAGACAGAGTTCTACGACCGGATGGTGGGCGGCCTTCTTTCGAACTGCTGGATCTCGGAGAGTGTCTTCGTTTTCAAGGCTTCCCCCGATCCCTTGAGTAACGGCGTGGCGGCCAGTACGATAAAACTCGGCACTCCTGATGGTGATTCCTGGGCTTGCAACAGCCCTCGCTATGAATTTGAATAGCTCCAGTCTGGTTCTCCTTGGCAGGTCCTTCTTTGTTTCTGTTTCCAAGAGCTGGGCGACTGCTCAACCGCTTCCATGCCTATATTTCCATCTTTATGTTGGAATTGGTCCCGATTTCTGTTGATATAATACAGTTTGGTAAACACTTTCCATTCTTTGGCTACTCTTATTCCTCTGTCTCCCCGTCACTATCCCTTCTTGTTAGGTGAGCCGCCGGAATCTATCTGTATGTAGGTACCAGCCACTCTCCCAAGCATTTAGCTCGGAGCTATATGGCCGTTAAATCACTTATAATCCAACCATGGTAGTCTGGATATAGATATCCCTTTTCATTGTACCTAATTTAAGGAATAAATAGGCGCCTGGCAAAACGTCTTCGGCAGCAACATTGCTCACACAGTTGTTTAAGCACCGGGAAATTCCCTTCTTTGAAAACACATGTATGACTAGTCAGTTCACGGGCAGTGATGACCTCGCACTTGCCAAATGACGCCTCTAACCAGCGATCAAGCATTGTCGGTTCACAGTGACAGATATCATTCTGAAACAAACGATGTGGCCACTCGGATACTATGACAAAATCACAGTCGGACTGTTCTAGACACATGGAAGCCACGCCTAGTCGCAGGGTATCCCAGTCCATGTTTGCCGGGATCCATGGAGTTTCTTCAGGGTGGTTTCGTTTCGTCTGTACCCAGTTCTGCCCCCATATCTCGAAATTGAGAGATCGCGCGACAGTGGTCCAGAGGACCCGGTTATACGGTGTGGGCATCAGTACCCCGTTCTCCAGGGCATCAAGAATGTGCTCCATCCTCAATAACCCCGGCTCTATTGCCAGCTTTGTGAAACGGTACTTCTCGTGTCGTATAACCTCTATCACCCCGATTGTTGACGCGGGGGCTTGCTGTGGTAGCATCTTCCTCCAGCTCGCCTCCTGGCGAAAGCATGCCTCGAAATTTGGGTGTTTTCCGGGAATGACGAAATTTCTTGACCTCAACAGAAGCTGGGGTAGAATGATTTCTTCGATCAGCGGATTTGATGTGTGCTTTGTATCACTGGTCTTTCTCGGTTTGAAGAACAGCACTTGTTGAAGTTGGATCGAGTGGTTGATTATTTGTTTCCATCTCTGACAGACTCCCTGCACCTTTAACAGCGACCTATGGTCCAGTTGGAGCATAATCATCTCCAGGAGCTCTGTGGTTCCAAGAACTGCGGCCATGGACGAGACAGGCTTTTGCTGTGCGTTGTATTCGAAGCGACATTGCTGGGCCCTGTGGTTTGAAGGGGCGTCGTGGTTTGACTGGAGCAAGTTGGGGGGTGAACAAATGAAAGCTTCGCCCCCATGTTGAAAGTGTTTAGGACGGTGGATTGAGTCCCTGTTGCCAGTTGGGCTTTCTCCCGATTCACGCATCCACCATCCACCCAGGTACCCACGAGCAACAGTCTGTACACAAATCCGCCTCCTGGTATAGTATAGGCTTTTCCAGATGATTGTATATGAGCAATATTGAGATGGCTCTTCCGTATCTGAGTTTTGAAATGTGTAAGGAAATGCAAGAAGAAGATGTGGTTGCGCCATGCCAGTCGTTGTCACTTTATACTTACCGGCCACAAGGTCCCTGAAGGACCATGTGCGCCACGCCCGGGTTCGGCCTGCTTTCTTCCGCGCTTCAAGATACCCCAGGGTGGGTTCTGGCATTGTACGGTGGATTGTTGTTTTGATGGTGACTTCGATTTTCCCTGGGCTGGTTGGCTGCCCGGCTGTGTTGTGGAGGCCCGTGGTGTTGCAGTCGTGTATTCCGGCGCGGTCGGCGAAGCGGCTGTCATGAACGTTGAAACCTGCATTCTGTCATCGTACGAATCCGTGTCGTTTCTCTTGGTGTGTTCTGGCTCCGTTTGCCTCTGTTTGCGAGGATCTTATCGATAGCATTCATGTACGTGTTTGTGGATCGATGCTCCAGTGGCCGTACTTCTTGATGCAGTATGTGGTGCCAAGACGGGTTGAACCCCTGCTGCCCGAGTTGAACCCCAGTTGAACCCCTGGCCTTGGCGTCCAGGAATCAAGCTCTATTTTCGCCTCTTGTGGCCACACATTGAGGTTGTGGTTGGAAAGAATAATTATGGTGTGTGAATTTGAAGGCTTTGCTTGATCTCTGGTGTGTCTACTCGTTTTTTTGTGGTAGTATGGGAATGATCAGCTTTGGTACATGTGTGTATCAATGGTGACGATATATATCCCCACTACATACCCTCTCCACGTTTATACCCAACCATTTGACTGTACTAAAGTTCCAACCATCGCCGCCCATCTTCACCAGCGCAATCAAATGCCATTTTATGGCATTTAATGGTAAATACAAGATGTATCGAGCGTGGGACCAACGGAGAAAAACGAAATATCTACACAAAATCGGGTTCATCATGGTACTAAGCCCGATGCAACAGCGAAATATCCGCACCAGTCAACCTGATAGTGTAGTAGGGTTCATATAAAGATGTACCAACACAAGAGACCCCATACACGGTAGACTGACTTCAAAGCGTAAGATAGGATGATATCACCCCGTCAATGGTTGCTACGCGGTGTCGACAAGGCCTCCACAGCCAACAGGGAACGCGAACACAACGCGACCGTCATGACCAATATTACAGACCACAGAAAAAAAAACCCAGCAACACATACAGAAAAGCGAACAAGAAGTGACAAAACAGAGCAGAAGATTACAGACGCACAGGGGGAGGAACAGGGTTACTGAAAGTGATTCATTTAGTTTCCAGTTAATTGTATTCGTATCGGATCAAGAGATCCTTCCACCGTTTCGAGTGGTGCCAGCCATACTGTAGGAAGGCCGCTATGATACAGGAAATCTCAGCAGGCGAACACTAGCAGACCCCTAGTGGACGCGAAAAGTGGTAGTCGTTGTAATGAAAAGCAAACCCAGAGACCCATGACGATTGTAAAATAAAATCAGAGAACACCCCAACGTCCCATCATACCGTGAAGCAACCCGGAAAAGAGAAAACACATGACACGCTTAACCACCGAAACCGTAGAGGGTACCTGTGAAGGGACAAGGTTAGCCGGATGCACTCCATGTAGATACCAGAACAGGAGGAACTTACGGCCCTGGCGCTTGAGAGCGTAGACAACGTCAAGAGAAGTGACAGTCTTGCGCTTGGCGTGCTCAGTGTAGGTGACGGCGTCACGGATGACACCCTCGAGGAAGGTCTTGAGGACACCACGGGTCTCCTCGTAGATCATGGCGGAGATACGCTTGACACCACCACGGCGAGCGAGACGGCGGATAGCGGGCTTGGTGATACCCTGGATGTTGTCGCGCAAGATCTTGCGGTGACGCTTGGCGCCACCCTTGCCGAGACCCTTGCCACCCTTACCACCTGGAGAAAGGAAGACGCGTTAGTCCAGACGCGTCTTTGGATGGTGACAGCGGAAGACCCATTGGGGTCAAGAGGGAGGATAGACTTACGGCCAGACATGATGATATGCGGTTAATGAAGGTTGAAGAATTAAAAGAAGTGGGGAGACTTTGTTGTCGAAGATGGATGGAGGAGAGAGGAAGTGGATGGGGCCGAGGGGAAATGGATATTTGTAGCAAAACTGCCTGCCGGGGAAGAACGTCGAGAATCACGTCGGATCACGCGCTAGTGGCTGGATCAGCCAATCAGGGGGCCGGATCCGAAGTCGGGGCGTGATCTGCCCCAGCGCCGCGGAGGCCCGGACTCTCACGACGAGACATTAGACATCCTCTGATCCCCTCTGATCCAACTATGCGCCCGGTATGATCCCCTGTGATCCCGATTATCCCCCCTCCCATAGAGTATGGCATGTAGGATACCTCCGATCATTCTGATCGTTCCGGCCACCCCTCCGGCAGCGGAGATCAGAGGCAGAGCAGGAATGGCATTTGAGATCAATGATCCGGGCTTCTGATTGGCTGCATCACGGCCGCTGCTCGCTTAGGTGGCCGCACGACCAATCAGATCGCGTGATTTCAGCGGCCGTTTGGCACTCGCAAAGCCAGCTGATCCGCGGGCCTGCATGATTGGCCCGTCCACAACCCGCCAGATCACCACCCCTCGGACGCTGCTACAAATACCTTCCCCCCACCCGCCGCTTCTTTCCTCCTTCATCCATCCAACGACACTTATCACCCACATCCCCCATCACCCACCCCATCAAACTTTCATCATCAAAGATGGCCCGTACTAAGCAGACTGCCCGTGAGTGACCCCCTCTTACCCTTTTTCGCCTCTCGCTCGCCTACCCCCTTCCCCCACTGTCCCCGTGGTCATGCCATCCCGACATGTCCGTTTTGGGACAAGGGCGGAGGAGTCGGAACGCGACGCGTCCAGCTCTCAACTTAACATCATGACTAACCAACGTTCGCTTTACAGGTAAGTCCACTGGTGGCAAGGCTCCCCGTAAGCAGCTCGCTTCCAAGGCTGCTCGCAAGGCCGCCCCCTCCACCGGCGGTGTCAAGAAGCCTCACCGCTACAAGCCCGGTAAGTTCCATCAACCTCACTTCTCACATGGCACTATTGTCCTAACAGCCCCTTGACAGGTACCGTCGCTCTGCGTGAGATCCGTCGCTACCAGAAGTCCACTGAGCTCCTGATCCGCAAGCTCCCCTTCCAGCGTCTGGTTCGTGAGATCGCCCAGGACTTCAAGTCCGACCTGCGCTTCCAGTCCTCCGCCATCGGTGCTCTCCAGGAGTCCGTTGAGGCCTACCTCGTCTCCCTGTTCGAGGACACCAACCTGTGTGCCATCCACGCCAAGCGTGTCACCATCCAGTCCAAGGACATCCAGCTGGCCCGCCGCCTCCGTGGCGAGCGCTCTTAGATGGGTTAATCCCCACTAATGGGCTGTGTTTCTTGACAACTTCTGGGAAGGCGATCGGGGTTCTGCTTTTTCTTTCATGACTACTGGCGATCAACATGATGGGTTTTGCTTTTTCGAATATCAAATGGGTTTCGGAATCAAGGGTTGTTTCTGAATTTTGCTTTTATTACATCGCGTGAATCAATGCTACTGCCATCCTCTCCATCCCTCGTCGGGTCGGGGACTGGGTGGGCCAGTCATGGGCATGTACATTAAGGAATTACCTATTACCATGGTGTCTTAGCGCACACCATCTCATGACACAGACGCTCAAATGCGATCTTCTATGATTCAACCCATTTCCATTCTCATCTCGTAGCAGCCTGAGCACCGATCACATACGTGTTTATATATATATATATATATATATATATATTTTACTGGTCTGGCTGGGGCGAGTCCCGCATCCTCCGGTCGCGTTTGGGCCGTGTTGCGCTCTGACTTGGGAGGCACGATGCGACCGCGTAGAAGCGACCGGCTTTGCTGTTGGGCTTGACCCCACAGTCCCTATTCCTGATTTGCCTCTGTATCTACAGCCTCTGGTTCCTCCCCAGGCTCTTCGAGCGGAGATTTCTAAATCATGAGCCCGCTGTAGATGAAGCTATCCCGCGTCTTTCGACCTGCTGACTCCAGCCGATCGCCATCAGAGCCCAACCGGCCAAGAAGCTCTCGTAGCCAAAGAAACAAAGAATCACAGCTTCATTCATACTCACCCGGTCACGCAGGACCAAGAATCAAGAAATCCTGAGATCTTGATCTACACCCCCATCCATTCACTGCTCCCCAACCAACATCCCGCAATCCTGGAGCGCTGCTACGCGACCGTCGCGGGGTCAGCAGAGAATGCGTCTCCAGGCAACTCCCAATACACGACAGGCTACGTCGCACCTCAGGCTGCTGACAGTCTACTCAGGATCCTCCGCTGTCGCTGTCTCTCTTGGAAGACCCCCGGATTCCGCCTAAATCACGACTTCGGCCCTGCAAGGCCTGGTCCGATCAGGGGGCTGCCTGACGCAGGGACCGGTGGGTAAGTGTCTGCCTTACTGCCTGAGATGCGTCATAATGCGCTGAACCCCATCGGAGCATGAAGCGAGAGCCGGTTTGATTCTCTGATCCTGCATTCTATAGAAGCCGGGAGATTATACCAACTACATAGCTGTGTTCTAGAGGGATCAGCGAATCAGTGAATGGTCTTTTGCCGCCGTCACACCTGGGTAAGATCGAGATCACGGCGTTCTCATCCTCGTCCGATTCATGAGCGGCATCAGCCAGGTGGGGCCACGAGGCGAGAGGTCTGGCCTGCCTTCTAGTGACCGGCGACCGAAAGCGAATACCCCGGCGGAAAAGTGAAAAGTGCCGGGGGACAAAATTTTTCTCGGGGAATTCCCGCCGGCCACTTGCCACCCGGCGGGCTTGGCCGCGTTGGCGACGCTTCGGCGTCGCCGTGTCTTGGTTTGGGCAGATTTGTTGGCACGGGGCCGGCAGCCCCTCTGACCCGACGGTCGGGTTCCGGTGGTTGTGGATTTGCAGGTACTCCCAAGGCCTGGGGCTGGGGGGGGACATTGTTTTTGTTGATGGTGTAGTGGGCGAGTACGAAGGATTGGAAGAGGCTGTTGGTTGTTGGTCTGTACAGGGCTATCGGGAGAGTACAGGCTTTGCAACGGCACCGCCGTGGGCTGGCCGGAGTGGTGTTGGCGTTTCGGGATAGTAATTCAGTTTGCAGTATATCTTTCGTGTGGTAAATATTTTCTTCGAGGGACTGGTAATGATGAACTTCTGTTATCATTCCCGCTTTGTAACTAGTCAACTCATCAATTTATGTAGTTGTTCGTGCGAACCTTGAATTACAGGTGTCCAAAACACCAGCGTCCAATGGAGTCTGGTACCTTTTTGCTGATCCTGCCTTCAGTGTTGGGTCAACTATTCCCTTAGACATAGTATCGCCTAAGAAAAAGGGCAAGTATTTCAATAGACTCATTTTTACGGGCATGGCAGTTCCATATCTACATGCGCTGGTGCTCAGTGGTGGTCCAGCGGCTCCAAACCGATATATATCTGGGCACGGGCACGATGGCTGCGCTACAATTCTCTTTGACGGAGAAGCCTAAGAATAATTTCGAGGTTTCCCAAGGATGTATGTGATTCCAAACTAGTCGCAACCCATCGCACGCCTCATGTTTGCTGCAAGATTCGCGTTAGTAGGATGAGAGGATTGATGATTTATGAACGAGACCTGTATGAAGGTTTCATCGACACAGCGCGACATAAATAAGGAGTTCGGGATTCAGATCCTGCCTATTATCCGGAAATAATGGGACCCACCGTTGGAAAGGCCCGAAGAGACGCGCCACGTTCTTTTTATTCCTCATATTTATCTGATGCCGCTACTCACCGTGCTACGGATTAGGGCCACGAGAGAGCCTTACTCGAAGATCCACAGACTTGCCTAATCCCCGCGATGATGGGGCTACTAACGGGTGTGGCACTTTCATGTTAGAGTTTGACCTGAACCAGCCGAACAGAGCCCACTGCGTGACTGCAGTTTGAGGATGCGAGCAAGTAAAATCCGCGCCTTGCCAAGACTCTGTGCCGAGTAGCCGACGCACAAGCCAACGTGGCTTTGTGTTGGTGCGCAATCTGTCACGTGGCGCCATCTGTTTGCGTCATGATTTTGCAATGGCACCTCTTCTCTGTATGTGTTTGCGCCTCCGGAGGGCGGACTTGTTGCTGCCTTCGAACTAGCGCCTCGATGGGTGTGCGTGATTGGTGTGGATTGAGAATGGCCATGGGTCGGCGTTCGCCGTGCTGCATGGTCCGCCCATTTCGTCCGTGTCCCTGAGCATAGCATTAGTTATGCCCATGGGTCGAGACCCAAGCCCACTTTTTCTTTCCTCCCCAGGCTTGATATCTCCATGGGCGGAGCTGCTTACCGATCGCTTTTCTAGTTGCTAGGGCGTTTATCCCAGGCAGATATGCACCTGGGCACTACTTATGTACCTTAATACCTAACCCCGGCGTACATCCGGACTTAGGTAGTTTGGATGATGAAACCAAGCGCCCCGAACCCCGGCTCCATCGTCGTCTTGGCCATTACTATTAAAAGGGGCCACAAGCCTGTAGCTTCTCGAAGACGGTCTTCTACTTACTCTCGGTGTTCTCCTATAATCCTAATTTTGGTGGTGGTCCCATTTCCCGCATTTGATATCACCCTTTTCCCCGTTCGGTCCCGCAAACGGTGCATAACTAGGAGGATTTCTTGCTATCCTTGAAACCAACACATACCTCGGGCGCTTTCCCCGCGCACTGCCCTTGGGGTTCTTTCCCTCTTATCTTTCTATCGCCACTGCTAAATCGAGCTTTGCTTTACATCACAACTTACCGACTTTACTGCTACTCACGAATAACTCGAACCGTCTATCGCATTGTCTGCCCACCATGGCGGGCAACGACCACCGGCATGCGCCTGAAAAGATTGAATCCACTCTCCCCACCACGATCTCCTACTTTCGCCTTGTCTTCGACCAGGGCGTGGTCACCCAGCAGATTGCGGACCACCCATACCCCGGCTCCGGCACAGAAGATGATCCCTATGCTGTGACATGGATCCCTGACGACCCTCGCAACCCAATGGGTTTTAGCGAGGTGAAGAAGTGGTCGTTCACTGCTATTGTGGCCATTGCTACGCTGGCTGTCGCATTGGTCTCCTCCGCCTACACTGGCGGTGTCGCAGAGATCGAAGAGGAGTTCGGCATTGGAAACGAAGTTGCCACTCTCGGTGTTTCACTCTTCGTTATGGGGTTTGCTGTAAGTTCCCCCCAGTCCGATGATTTTATTTTTCCTCGACCTCAAGCTCGGACGTGAGAGGTTTTCAAAGAGCGCGAGTATCTAACGTGATGTAGATTGGTCCCCTGCTTTGGGCTCCCCTTAGCGAGTTGTTCGGCCGTCAGTTCCTCTTCAGTACTACCTACTGCGCCCTCACGGTGTTCAACGCTGCCTGCACCGGCTCCAAGAATGCCTGGACTCTTATCATCCTCCGTTTCTTCGCCGGTGCCTTTGGGTCATCGCCCCTGACCAACGCCGGTGGTGTGATCGCCGATATGTTCCAGGCGAAGCAGCGCGGCATCGCAATGAGTCTCTTCGCTGCTGCGCCCTTCCTCGGTCCTGTTCTGGGCCCCATTATTGGAGGTTTCCTGGGCATGAACAAGGGTTGGAAGTGGGTGATGGGTTTCTTGGCCATTTTTTCTGGTGCGGTCTGGATTATGGGCTCTTTGCTTATTCCAGAGACCTATGCACCCGTGCTGCTGCGCCGTCGTGCCGAGAAACTCTCAAAGTTGACCGGCAAGATTTACCGCAGTAAGCTCGATATCGAGCAGGGCAAAGTCTCACTGAAGGAATCGTTCAAGCTTGCCTTGTCCCGTCCGTGGATTCTCTTGTTCCGCGAGCCTATCGTCTTCCTGCTCTCCCTCTATATGGCTATCATCTATGGCACCCTGTACATGATGTTTGCTGCGTTCCCGATTGTGTACCAGCTGGATCGTGGCTGGAATCAGGGTGTTGGAGGCTTGGCGTTCTTGGGTATCATGGTTGGCATGTTGATTGCCGTTGCCTACACCCTCTGGGATAACAAGCGGTATATCCGTACCCAAGAAAAGCACGATGGCTTCGCGCCGCCCGAGGCCCGTCTTCCCCCTACGCTGATTGCCTGTGTTGCAATCCCCATTGGGCTGTTTTGGTTCGCCTGGACCAATTACCCCTCGATCCACTTTATGGCTAGTATCGCGGCCGGTGTGCCTTTCGGCTTCGGTATGGTCCTCGTCTTTCTCGGCATTATGAACTATCTTATCGACGCCTACACCATCTTCGCCGCCTCCGTCTTGGCTGCCAACTCCGTCATGCGCTCGCTCTTTGGTGCCGCTTTCCCTCTGTTCACAAGCTATATGTACAACGACCTCGGTATCCACTGGGCCTCTTCGGTCCCCGCCTTCATGGCTCTCGCCTGTGTGCCTTTCCCTTTCCTGTTCTACAAGTACGGCTCCGCGATTCGCAAGCGCTGCAAGTTCGCCGCCCAGTCGGAAGCCTTCATGCGCAACATCCAGGAGCAGGCCACTGCCACCATCGAGGAAGAAGAAGCAGAAGAAGAAGTGAAGTTCGACCGCACCGAGGCCCCCGCCCCGCGTGAGTCCTCTTTGTCGAGCTCCACTCTCGACGGGGAGCCATCCACCCAGCACTCCGTCTCCCGCAGCCGCGCTCACTCGTCTGCCGCGTCAGCCCGCACGATGGGCTCGCTGGCTCGTGTGCCAACCTACGAGGGCAACCCGTACGATGTTGACCGTGTCAACACTCGCGAGTCCTTCAAGCAATGACCGCCCACTCTTCCTCCTCAAACTACACTGTCATCTCATTACCTCTCACCTCGCACTATACTTGTGCCTCGCCGCCATAATCCTAGTATCTATTCCTCGCCTCGTCAGCTCCCCTCGAAAAAAGTTTCCTACTGTCTTTTGCATTGTGCGGTGAATATATTCCCGCTCGTTCGCATTTTGTTTATATTAGATACCTTGGTTCCCTTCGTGCTTGCACCTGGGATCGATCTCATGTCTTTATGGCCTTATCATCACCAGCATATAGATTTGGAGTTGGTGTTGGATCTGGGTTGGATCATTTGCTTTGAATGAAATTTGTTTCAAGACACCACGAACATGTCATTTGTAGAGAGTAGTAGCTTGGCCTTGAGATCTGAACCTTGGTGGTCGTCGACAAAGGAACTCTATGCCGTATGATGCAAGATCGTGACTGCTCGGCGATCTAATCTCATCCGCTCGGCGATAAGTCTGATCGGAGAATCACGGCTTTTCCGCGCGCCCGACTGCCGAGTCCTCCATGTTGTCGCGTGGACTAGTTGATTTTTAATCGGTCATCCATGTATAGACGATTTACTTCTGTTGATCTTCCCCTTTCCTTCAGCGGATAATCCCCCAGACACCACGTCTCATTGTTCATTCCGTGTCCTCCCCCCTCCCGGAGATACCTGCGGTTATCGGTGTTTTCGTTTATCCCTTATCGCCACAATCGGAACAGGCCCCCAGTAGACCTGAGCAACTGCGGCTTTCTTAACGTTTACTAGACCATCAACCACTATAGATGACGCCTGTTTGAGTACCGGTAATGAGTCTCTTCCAAAGGGGACTCCACACTCAGGCGTCGGCGTTCGCGATCCGCCCACGACCGATTACCCCCAGCCTTCGATCTCCGCTGCGGCGGGTGCGCCAGCCGCGACGACACAAATCCTCGGACGCGCCGACGCCCGAGACACCCGCCGAGGCCAGAACTGGTGGAGATGGAGCAACTGTGAATGCGGGTGCGCCTGCAAAGCCCTCCCCGTCGAACGCCTCGTCCTCATCTCCGTTGCAATCGCCGGCCCCTACACCGTCTGCGTCCTCAGCGCAGCCTGCGAATACTGTTGCCGCCGCGGCGGGCGCGGCGACGACACCGAGCGCAGCGAATGCCGCAGTGCGGTCTAGGGGATTGCGCGAGATCGTGCGAGCTGGCCCATTGGGGCAGCTGGGCAGGTGGTATTCGCGCGTGCAGGAGCGGAAGCCTTATGCAACGCAGTTCTACAGCTCGATTATCATATATCTGTGCGGAGACTTGAGTGCGCAGCTGATGTTCCCTTCCGAGGCGCCTCAGCCTGCGAAGTCGGAGGAGAAAGATCCTCAGGTGTCAGCCGATGAAGATGAAAAGGAAGTGAGTCGGGGCGGTGCATATGACCCGTGGCGAACGGTGCGACACTTGATCGTGGGCGCGGGATCGAGTATCCCATCGTATAACTGGTGAGCCAATGCCCGCAGTGAGCTGCCACCGAGCAGACCGCTTAATCAATAGGCTTCCTTACTGGGAGCGATTATCACAATGGCTAACCTCGCCCCCAGGTTCATGTTTCTCCACAATCACTTCAACTATCCATCCAAGTTCCTATCCGTCCTGACGAAAGTCGTCGTTCAACAAATCTGCTTCACCCCCGTGTTCAACACGTACTTCTTCAGCATGCACTCTCTACTCGCAGGCGCGACCTTGGACGAAACCTGGGAGCGCCTGAAGAAGGCCCTCCCTGTCAGCGTGACCAACAGTGTCAAACTGTGGCCCGCCGTCACTGCGTTCAGCTTCATGTATGTGCCGCCGCAATTCCGAAACGTTTTCTCGGGCGTTATTGCTGTTGGCTGGCAGACATACTTGAGCTGGCTGAACCAGAAGGCTGCGCGTGAGGTCCTTGCGGCTGAGCTCGCGGCGGAGGAGAACAAGGCTCCTGGAGCACAGGTGTTGGCTGGGAAGCTAATTCCTGCAGCGGGGGCTGCATGAAACAAGAGCTGTTACGGTCTAGACTCCGGGCATTTGTATAGATTTTGTGCCTTGACATTGGTGGCGTTGAATTTACTGGGCGGTTTTTTTTAGAGCGATGCATTGCATTTTTTATGGGGCAAATACCAACTTAGACACTAGACATGAATTTTCTTTTCTCATATATATGTTTAAGAGCTTATCTGCCCGGTGCAACGAGAGTCTAAAGTAGTTGCTTGAGGCGTCCAATGGTCGGACCCGAATTCCCAATGCGGTCAATTACCTCATCGGGCCCTTACGATGACATTCGCACTTCGCGGTTTTCATTTCTTTGATTTTCTCAATGCCACACAGACTATGAGCCCCGTCAACAATCGCAGGCATGTCCTGCTCACCGCAAATACCGCGGCCTGACGAACCAGGTTCCAGTGACTACGGGTCGGACTTCACGCCGGATGAAGAGCAAGTGCTGAACGACCTGCTCACCAAAGCTGCCGCGAAACACGCGACCGTCCAGCGCGTCGCCACTCCACTCTCATTCGCAACACCGAACGACATTGGCGACGACGCAAATACAACTCTAGTCGCCGCGAAGCTTGCAGATCTTGACTCCCTACAGCCGGCGGTTTTGGATGCGCGTGTCACGGACATTGAGGATGGTCTCCAGGATCCCCCGGGTGTCCGGCTGCCTAAGGTGCTGGGCCGGGAGAAGCCTCGCTCACCGGGGAGACAGTCGAGTCAGCGGCCTTGGTCTGGGTTCCCAGGCGCACCTAGTCCTCTCGCGGGAAGGGCAAATCAGGGCTCAGACAACAGGAGTTCTCCAAGTGGTATGATTGCCTTAATTTCTTCTTTTTCTTGATCTATTGTTCACCGTGCAGCATTCCGGCCCAGGCTAACACATTGATCTCCGAAGCGTTTAGTAGAGCACCCTGGCTCAACCGAAGGCAGAGAACGAGAGCGAGAGCGTAGTGCAGTGCGTGAGCTCGAATGGACACAACAGACTCAAGCGGCCCCGACGCTGGATCCTCGGACTCCCGTGGAACGCTTTCGACGGCCACCGAACAAGGCGTTCTCCGTTACAGACTTGGTGTCCCCAGCTTGGTGTGAGCTCCAGTACTGGTATACCCTGACCAAGCACGGGCGGAAGAGAAGGACACCCGCGATGAAGACGGGAAGTGTTGTGCACAAAACCCTGGAAGACGAGTTATATACAACGGTCCCTGTGGAAATAACGACCAAGGAGGATGCGTGGGCGCTGCGGATATGGAACGTGATTCAGGGCTTGCGGATGTTACGTGAATATGGCATTACACGCGAGCTGGAGGTTTGGGGCATTGTTGATGGGGAGCTAGTCAATGGAGTCATTGATCAACTTTCCTATGAATGCCCTGACTCTGAACTTGAGGCCACGGCTGCCGGCTATTATGCAGACGCGGCGAGGTCACGGGCAGCTCCACCTGAGTATCAGATGTCTTTATCGGACTTCTTGCTGTCTTCCTCTCAGGGTGGAAGAAGGCTTTCAGACCTCGGGACCTCGGCCGACCGGGCCTTGGACGACCCTCCTCCTAATCAAGAGCACCCGGCTGTCTATGGGCTACCACGGATATATATGACGGATGTCAAGACAAAAGCAAGTGGCTCTGTTCCGACAGTCAAGAGTACATCTTTCCGTCCTACTCTGCTCCAACTGCAACTTTATTACCACATGCTCAATCGTCTCATCACGAGCGACGATGTTACAATTGACGTGCTCGCAACGCGCTACAATCTCGACCCAATGAAACCATTCACCGACGCGTTCATATCCGAGGTAGGCGGCTTGAACGACGGTTTCTTCGACACCGTCGCCTCTCAGGAACATGATCTGAACGACGTTCCTATATCGGATGACAGAGTCCAAGCTTCTGGTAGCTCTGGCCAAGCTTCCAGTCCTCCACATGCCAGCCAGGACTCGACTAGAATCCTTCTCACGTATGGCACCCTTTCCCGCCTATGGAGTTACATGAAAGAGCAACTGCGCTTCACGTTTCTTCCTTCGTCCTCTCTGCACGAAGAGTCTGTTGCACCATCTATTCCTTCGCGGACGCAGCCAGCGTTGCTCGAAGAATACCCTACACTACTCTCTCCAGTCCTCACAGCCCGGTTCCTCTCGTCGGCCCCTACGACTGATCCCCAACCTCGGCTCCTGGGAAGCAGGTCCTTCCTCTTTGATCCTTGCAACATGTCATCTTATCTCACTGACCAGATGGAGTGGTGGCGTGGCCGCCGCAATCCCCAGGGTGTCGGTATCGTGGAGGCTTGGAAATGTCGCATCTGTGACTTTCGCGATGAGTGTTCCTGGCGACAGGAACGAGAGTTAGATTACGCGACTCGAAACCGAAGACGGAGAACCGGTGCTTCAGTAGACATCTGATACACCATACCGCCATTCCAGGAGGTTGCACAGTCATAATCCTGATCGAGGGCCCTAACAAATTACAACCAAGAACATAGACCCCCAAATGAATATAAAGCAATCAAGATATTTCCAAGACTCTCTGCATCTTTATAAAGGATACCTTCGCACTTCATCCTCCTTGTCCACCTCAAGCCCGGCCTTGATCTGCTCTTCATGCTTCTGATCTAGATACTCCAACAACACCTCCTCATACTTCTCCTTCCCCTTATACCTCGAGACATCATCCCCCCAACTCCGAATTGCAGACGCCAGCCGCCCAGGCACGTACGACTCCTTCACAATCTCAGTAATAGGCTCAAAATACGTCCGAATCGTGAACACCACCGCCCCAGACCGTGGCAACCGTCGCAGCGATTGTCTCTCAGACCGGAAATAGTGGTGCTCAATCGCCTTATTCTTGGCCGCCGTATTCCACGACACTGTCTCCGAGTCCTCCGACCCAATGCTAGGCGACCATGCCAAGCTGTCGTCTACCTGGATGAAATAGTTGTTCCGCAGAACCGGCTCCTCGGGCTTTAACCGCCGGAAAAAGTTCACCATGCCGCGCTCGAGCTTCTCGCGGAACTGGGGCACGTCACCGGAGGTGTGAATTTCGGACAGTGGCATCCCGAATTTGTCGCTCAGTCGCCAGAAGCCTGCAAGGAGGATCGCGCCGGCCAGAAGATAGTACTCGCCGTCTGGGCGCTCGAACATCAGGGCAAGGTCGTCTTGTACTAGACGTGCTGCGGTGGCCATTGGGTCTTCGGGCAGCGGGCGCTGGACTATATTGAAGGTTTCGTTTGTGACGGTGTTTGTTATGCCGGTGGGTGTCTTTTGGAACATGCTGGGGTATCGCTCGGGGAGGTATGTACATCTGTAGAGATGGAGTCAGCATCTATATCCACTGCGAAGCTGCGATCGCAATATCGTGTGCTCACAGCTCTTCTAATAGTTCAATGGCTCCGTCCATTGCTTCTGGCGCGGTTCTACAGCATTTCTCGCCGCGCTCTTTTAGCCGCTTCTTTTTATCGGCATGGTACTTGAGATAATGGTTGTCGAGCTCTGTAGTCAATAGTAGCTCTGATATTAGCATATACCCCGTGAAGGCGCTAGTCATTATCGGACACGCCTTACCGATCCATTCGTCCCATTTCATACTCCTCAAACCCATAGTAACGAAGTACTTACTGCTCAAGCCGGTCAGAAGGGCAAACATGTTGCAGAAATCGGTTCAACTCACGGGCCATATCGAAACGGCCGATAGGGAATCGACTTGGAGGTATGAACATCCCAGTCGGGGTACGGCGGTGCCGTGGGTCTCTTGAAAGCCGAGGGAGTCCATTCTACAATAAGAGCAATTAGAGGAAACTGACAATTATTTTGGATACTATCACCTACCTCCAAATTTTCGAGTTACTTTTTCTCGAGTGCTGGATTTGGATGTGGGCTTCTCGAGGTCGGGGGTGGAAGTTCTAGCGGTCTGATTTGACGACTTCCATTTCCGGAAGATGGTGACAACGAGACAGGCGCAGAGGTTGATGACCAGGAAGGCGCCCACGAGGTCGTTGACTGGGAATATCGATGAGACGATCTCCCGGAGGGCCTCGAACGGCATGATTTGTGATGCTGGATTGTCTATAGTCGAAGGAGATGTCGACAGGGTTCCGGTGATACTTCATGTGCTCATGGTTTCCCTGGGTGGATCCAAAGGTAAATTAATCTGAGGACCCTTGATGTATATCTATAGCAGCACGACTCTTATCAAGCTAACAAAAAGGCAGATATTGTCTTTCATCTCCCGCGAGCAGCCTTTCCTGTTAACCCGATGCGAGTAGACAGGTATCTTTAGCAGATGACTTGGTGTGGTCGTCGTTGAGGTCTAGAGCGGGGGTACACTTTCCACCGCCTAATTAAGCCTTTGGATCCGGGCTGCAAAGAGGGAGCCTATGACAGCCCCGTGGGTATGGCGAGAAAGTCATAGACCATCTGCGGAGAGGGGTCGCTTATCGTGCGCATTGTTGCGCAGGGAGGGATTTCCTTTCCCGATCGGGTAAAGCGACCATTTGATGATCATTTTGTTCCCCGGATCTACTAACTGTGCGCGAAGGAGATGGTGGAATATTAAGAGCGGAATCAGATATGATGACTGGACGCTGAATTGTGAAAGGAATCTCTTACATGCAGCTGACTGCACTCTTGTGTTATGTTGGGCATGATGGTGTTGGCATGTATTATGGATACCAGATTCTTACAGTGGGTAGTCCTGACCTTGGGGATTTCCTGTAATATTACAGTAATACGCATACCAAAATGTCAAGTGAGAAGCGTGCAGACAGCAAAACAGCATCTAGCTTAACCTATCGTCGCCTGAAGACGACAGCATCAGGGGAAGACTTGAAGCTACGCCAGCGGGAATTCAACCATAAACCCTTTTTGATCTCAAGCCTCCTTTATCTATCTAATTTGGTTCTCTCATTCAATAAAACCTCTGGTGGTCGAATGGTACGAGTATGAGAAGGGTCACCAAGCGACTAGCCAGGCTCCCATCTACGCCAGAACTGGCAGCACTTGCTGAAAGGCTGCATGATATGATTTTTTTTCTACCCGAACACCCGGCAAGGTGGATTGTCGTACAGACACTGGGAGAGCACCGTGGTACACTGGAGCTCGGGTGCTATTTTGCACCTTGACGATTACTATTCCTTATTTACCTTGGCCAGATCTTTACTCTATACTGTTGCCGTCCATACGACGCTGCAGAAGGCAGTATTGGCCATACTTGCGCCGGAACTGCTCCGGGACAAATGGGAGATCTGGAACCCAGATCAGTCGTCCCAACAAGCCTGTCTGGGATGCATCCAGGAACTTTTCGCAGGAGAGGGACTCCCACTGGGACTCGTCCTGCACGTAGTGAGGTTCTAGTTCAGTCGCCTCGCGGCCAGGGAAAGAGGAGTCGACCAAGAATGAGCACAGAGAAACATCAACCTATGGTTAGAGATTAGCTTGATGAGCGGGAAGGACCTGCAGGCGTCGGGAGGTACTCACGTATTTGCTTGTGTCCTCAATATTCAGGTCATTCATGCCGGAGGGGATCTGCGACGCGCCTGCCATACGGTAATACGCACTTGGCGCGTCAGGAAACTCGCCCGGTAGCAGACCCTTGAACTCGCTTCGAATGAACTTGGCCCGCATCTGGTGCGGGAGGAAATACGACGAAGGAAAGCGGTACCACTCCTTGCCGAAACACACAGAAGCTCCGGTGTGTGAGATACCCGCTTGCTGAAGTGGTTCCAAAACCTTTAATGGCGCGTTATATGCTGTAATCATTCCCAGGATGCGTAGCATACCGGCATTGACGGCCACCATGATGACCGACATCACGGCGATGAGCTTCAGCTTCGCGGGTAGACGGCCCATGATTCTCTTAGGATTACTCGATCCCATGTATGTGAGGATCAAGTGGCATGCAAGGGCAGCATTCAGGGCAAGGAACGGGTATGCCGGATACATGAACCGTTCCTCTTTGTGAGGTTGGATCGTGAAGATCCCGAACCACATGTAAAAAGGCGCAGTCAATGTGATAGAGCGCATGAGCGTCTGGAAAGAGGTGCCCTGGGAGCGGAAGATGGCTTGAAGTAGGAGGAGCGGAGCAGACAGCATTGCGAAAATAAACCAGACGTTGAAGTTTAGGAGGAGATTTCGAATGTAGAAAGTCCAGGGTTCAGTACCGAAGATCTCGGGGCCTCTTCCTTGGCCACCGAAAATGTTGTACGCGACAATATTCCAAGGCACAAGGACGATCTTATGGAAGAAAGCGTAGTCAACCGCCACTTCGAGGGCCTGCAATTGGTCTTAGCAAAGGTAATGCAACTGTATGCCGTCTATACTACTTACCAAGATACCGAGGCACCGGAGCCCACCATCCAATATGGCGTAAAAGAGAGGGCCTAAGCTCCGAGAACAGATGCTAATAATGACTTCCTCGAACAGGAGAGGCACAATCAGGGCACCGGCGAACGGCCAGCCAACAATTGATCCGAGACCAAACCACATGATCCCTTGTGCAATCTTCGGCCCGCCTCTCAGGTCTAAGAAGGCAGCCAGGCCAAGCATAGACGTGTACATAGTGAATGTTGATGGCAGGAAAGCGGCTGACGCATGGAACATGCCTGGGCTGAACAAGGCGACCAAGAGGAACAGGAGGCCGATGCGGGGATTGAGGGATCGGCAGATAGAAGAGTATAGTCTCGTCTGGCAGGCTGCGCAGAAAAAGGCAAGGAAAATTCGGATAGTGTAGAATTCAACCACCTTGCTGCGGACCACCCAGGATGCTAGTTTTCCCACCACAACGTGAAGCGACACGTAGAGCCAGCTTCGGATCGAGTATACCGGCGAGTACTCCCATGTTTGGAGTCCATACCCATGACCAAGATAATGTGCAGGTTCCCAAAAGTTAAATACTTCGTCACAGTCTTGAATGGGAGAAAATAGAGCTGCGAGGCCGTTGGAGACGAGACACAGATAGAGGGTGGCGTTTAAGGGTAGGTAGAAGGGCGGGGGTGGAGGACTATGAACCGGTAATTTAGTTGGGTCAACTGCCTCTTATTGTCTCAATTTCAAACGAGACCTACCGTGCTTTTGTCCGAGGAGGGTGGGCAGCGCCCGAGGCAGCTCTGTCGGGCCCTGCCATCTTGTCGCGTTGCTTTATTTCTAGGTTGCTTGAAGTTGCTCAATGATAAAGCGATAACCGGCGATAAGAAGCTTGTCCGGCGACCGCCCCGGCAATTATGGCAGATCCGCAAAAAAAGTTCCCGCGCTTTTTTTTTTTTTTTTTTTGCGCTTGAGTTTGTCGCAACACATCTTGTGAAGAAAAAAAGATTGAAATACTCATTCGATTCGAGATGAGTGACCAACAGAATCCCCCAGTTGAGTCTGCGGGCACCGGCGACGGTCCTCCCTCAAAGCGAACCTGCACGATCGATACGCCACCCATCGCAGGCACACCTGAGGATGGTAGTGATTTCTACAACACACCGCTGGCTACAGAGCGTCCGGTGATGAATGCAGGCATTGAGAATACTGTACCTGCTGCTGAACCCTCTGCATTTTCCCAACAAGCCCCCATGATCCCGGGATTGGGCTTTGTCAACAACCTCGATGATCAGTCTACAACCAACGAGCCGTCCCACCCTGTCGTCCGACCAACGCAAGAGCAGCCCGTTACAGCCATTCCACAAGTGGCAGCGGAGACCAGCACATCAGTTAAGCAGGAAATGAGTCTTGAGACCAATGGCCAGCAGGAGGTTCTTGGAGATGCGATGGAAGTCGACCACAAGCCAGTGCCTGCCACTGAGGAAACTACGAACGGAGCATCTACCGAGCAGCCGTACTCTGAGCTCCAGGAGCGGGAAGAAGAAAACCCAGAATGGGAGGTCGATTCGGACCCTTACGAGTCATCATCCGACAGCTCCACCTCCGATTCCTCTGACAGCGACGACGACGAAGACTACCCGATTCTCACCCCCGAGGAACAAGCCCGGATTCTGATGCTTGCCGAGGGTGGCTCTGATGATGAGGGAGGTGAAAAGGGTAAGTCGGGTGGACACATTCGCTCGACCAACGAGGTCGACGAGGACGTCTTGCCGATCCCAGATGTCCAAATTACACCCGAGATGAGGATCGTGCTGCTGGGCAAGGTTCAGACGGCCATTGAGAATGCGGTCCTCATCGAGGCTAGCACCTCTGGAGAATACCAAGTCCTCGAGTCGGGCTCTTTGCTTTGCACAGAGGATCGCAAGATTCTGGGCGTGGTGGCGGAAACCCTGGGCAGAGTGGAGAACCCAATGTACACGGTGATGTACAAGTCTGCCGAAGATGCGCAGGAAAGAGGCGTGGTGAAGGACCTGCCCGTTTTCTACGTCGAGGCACACTCCACCTTCGTCTTTACTCAGCCGCTCAAGGGCTTGAAAGGCAGCGATGCGTCCAACTTCCACGACGAGGAGGTCGCCGAAGACGAGATTGAGTTCTCCGACGATGAAGCGGAGGCTGACTATAAACGGAGGCTGAAGCAGAAGCGCCAGGAGAGAAAGGAGGCTAAAGACGGCGGTGCTGCACGAGGAAAGAAGGGACCTCCGGGCCCCTCGAAATTGAGCCAGACTGAGCTCAACTACGATGATGCGGGAGGCGAGGATGGATACACACCTCTTGCTCGCCCCAGAAACCTCCACGAGATGATGGGTGCTCGCGAGGCGCCAATTGAAGGCAATGAGCGTGCCGAGCGTGCCGAGCGTGGAGCATCTGGCTCCCGGGGCGGCCGAGGCCGAGGCCGGGGCACTGATCGCGGCCGCGGAGGTCGCGGTAGAGGTGGTGGTGGCCGAGGAGGATCGTGGGAGCGAGACCAGGATCGCCGACCTCAGCACCAGCAGAGCGGCAGCCCTTCGCAATATGGACAGCAGGCCGCTCCCCCCATTCTCAGCCTCAACCTCCAGCATCATACAGCCCAGCCCCATACCAGCAGCAACAACCTGCCTATGGCATGCCCCAGCCATTTGCTGGATATCCCCAGTATACTCAGCAGCAGCAGCAACAACAACAACAACCGCAGTTCGGTCATAGCCAGGCACCGGCGCAGTTCCCCTTCCAGTTCCCCTTCCAGCAACCATTTGCGCAACCAAACCCCTTCCAGGCCCTCCCACCTGGCGCACACATCAACCCTCTTTTCCTAGCTGCACTGCAACAGCAACAACAGCAACAACAGCATCAGTACCAGCAGCCTCAGCAGCATCAGTACCAGCAGCCTCAGCAGGCTCCAGCTCAGGCACCGCAACAAAACCCGGCCATGAACTTTGACCAGGTGAAAGCCCAGTTGGAGCTGCTGCGGCACTTGAACAACGGCAATCAGGGGCCACCTCCCTCCTAAATTCCTTTTTTTGGGCCTTTGAAATTGTTCTCTTGACGATTTGACATCGATACCAAGATATCTATTGCATTAGGAGCGGGGTACTGTGTTTCAGTCTGGGTTCGTTTGAAAAAGTCTTATGATAGTCCTGTTGTTTTATTTCAGGCTCGTTCACGTATCAACGATAGAGTACATATTTGCTGCATAAAGAGGTATGAAACACATTGGATATGAAGAAGTAGGGGACTAGATATTATCCATCCCAGCAATGTAAGGTTTGCGCCAGCTCGGCTGCCGCCTCAATCTTTCTAGATACTGGACTCGCAATCCACTCATTAAAATTCAGCTGGCTTGGCGCTCTTTGCCAGAGTCCAGAAATTCTCCATCTTCGAACGGGTCAGAACGTCTTTGGCGGCTGAATCTGTCTCGCAGATTCTGGCGCCCAGCCATTTCCTGAATACACGGCTCTTTGCTTGGCCTTCCCACAAGAGGGTGCAAGTGTTGTAGCCGAAATCACGCGGTTCGCCATTGTCATCTTCCGTGGACAACCACAGAGGCTGACCTTCATCCTTTGCTTCTGATGTGGCTGGGCCGGGGTTATCGGCCCAATCAATTCGGTTGAGCATCAGCTTCCGGTAATTGTTGATAGAGTGCTTGCCACCCTCCACAATAACCAGATTGAGCTTCGGATGCATGACACAAATTCCAGTCAGAGCATTCTGCTCGGCGTTTCTGTTGATCTTAAAGCGGTTTCGGCCGCTCGCCAAGCTGTCAATTCGATAGACGGACACGAAAATACCCAATTCGGCATCTTTCTCCTGTTTGCCCGCTAGCTTCTCACGTCGTTGATCCTTGGTCAACTTGCGTTCCTCATTCATCATCTCGTGCGCCTCCTTGCGATCTGCGATCTCTCTGTTCACACGGGCCTCCACGGCCGTTGGATCCTTGACCGCTTGCTCACCCAGGACCCGCATGAGATTGGACTTCTTGACCTTGGGAGGCGGTGCTGGCTCCAGACCCAACCTAATCTTTGCTTGCTGTTCCTTCAGATCTGCCATGCGGCGCTGTCGACGAATCTTCGCTTGCTCTTTTGGCGTGAGATACATCGGCTTTTGGGTAGGCAGGTGCTTCTCTTGCGGCGCCTCCAGGAGAATAGGGTGTTGAATATAGCGGGTAATGATGGTGTCGGGGGTGTCCACCTTGAGGTTTGCAGGGTCATCAATCGCAGTATAGTCGCCACCATTGACCAAGCCTTCATCCCACCATTCCAAAGCTGGTGGAGTAGGTACCAGGTATGCCTTCTCCACATCCATATCTTCGTCAATACCGGCCTGTCGTGCTCTCTCCGCAATCCGCTTTTTCATAGCTTCCAATTGCGCCTGCCGGCGCAGAGCAGCCGCCTGCTGAATGTATTTACCCTTTTCGTTGAAAATGAGTTGCCGGGAATGGCGGGGCTTCGCCACCGTTGCCTTCGGCCCTAGACTTGGATCGAAATAGGGTTGATTCTTGATTTCCTCAATCGACGGACCGGACAGGTCGAGCTGTTTGTTGGGATCCATGCGTCGGTTCCCTGCCTTGGATTGCTGTCGTCCCTTGAAGCCACGGAAATTTGGCGTGGTATCAGAAAGGAGAGCTGGATGAAGACCGACATCTAGACCACCGCGAGCCTTTGAGAGGCCTTCGTCGTCGAGCGTCGGGGGTTGGTAGGAGGGTGCCGGGGCATTTGTACGTTGCTGAGATGCCGCTGCGCCAGCCCTTCCTGTAGCCGCTGCCACCCTAGCCTTCATTTGTTCCAATCTAGACATTGCAGAACTCGCAGACGGGGGTCCTGGGCTGGGACTTGATTCTGTCGGGGGCACGGTAGGTGACACGCCGCCTCGAGCGGCTTGTAGGCGAGCGCGTACCGCTTCAGCTTTTGCCCTCGCCTCTGCGACCATCTTCTCGATATCGACTTTCCCGGAGGTCAAAGGTCCTTGACCCGGCAATGGGGACCCATTGTTTGACCGCGTCCTTTTCTGGGAGTTGCTGTCGTCATCCTGAGGGTGAGGCCGCTTCAGCGCGTTGCCCGAATGGTCAGCCATGGCGATGCGTGCGAGCAAGGACCCGCGTGGCCTGCTAGCAAAAGGCGACACAGGGGGGTTGCGGAAGAAAGAAAACACCTCGGAAGCCACTGACAGCAGAGGCTAACAGAGCTGATCGGCAGGTCGGTCGCGGATACCCAAAACGGGGTGGGCGGTGGAGCGGGGCAGAAACGCAAAAAAAAGATGCTCGAAAGTTTCGCTCTTCCGCAACTACACTTAAGAGAACCGCTTCAACGGCCTGTTCGACTTCGCACCGCCGGCGTTTTGCTCTAGGAGCTGTAGGTCACAATGGGGACCTTCGCGCGCCCGGTCGCCTCGAGCATTGCCGGGGTTGACTTTAACGTCTACTCCGACGAAGAGATCAAAAAGCTATCGGTCAAAAGAATTCACAATACTCCAACTTTGGATTCTTTTAATAACCCTGTCCCTGGTGGTCTCTATGACCCTGCCATGGGCGCATGGGGTGACCATGTGTATGGTTTCTGTCTTCTCATTGAACGCTCCTCAATTCGCTAATTAAGATGATTTTTGGAACCTTTTAGGTGTACTACTTGTCGGCTGAACTCTTGGTCCTGCACCGGTCATGCCGGCCACATTGAGCTCCCTGTTCCTGTTTACAACGTCACATTCTTCGATCACATTTACCGTCTTCTTCGGGCGCAGTGTGTGTACTGTCACCGTCTGCAAATGTCCCGCAACCAGGTCAACATGTACATTTGCAAATTACGTCTCCTGCAGTATGGCCTCATTGATGAAGTCGCCAAGGTTGATGCGATGGAAGCTATCAAGGGCGTTAAGTCGAAAGCCGGCAAGGCTACTGGCGATGACTCTGACGAGGAGGAGGATGATGCAGAGTCCATCATGGAAAAGCGAAATGCCTTTGTCAACCGGTGCATCAAGGAAGCCAAGAAAGATGGCCGGTTGGAGGGTCTAATGGCTGGCGCAAAGAACCCCATCGCTGCGGAGGCCAGACGAGACCTGGTCAAGACTTTCTTCAAGGACATCAACAGCTACCGGAAATGTACCAACTGCAGTGGTATCTCCCCCTCATACCGCAAAGATCGCTACAACAAGATCTTCCGGAAGCAGCTTTCGGAGAAGTCCAAGATTGCGATGCTCCATGGTGGGTTCCAGGCACCGAACACCCTGGTTCTCCTCGACCAAGAAAAGAAGTCATCTTCCAAGCAGAACGGCTCTCAGACGAATGGCGTCGTTGAAGCGGACAGTACTGCATCTGAGGTTCACGGTGCGGAGGAGGAAATTCGACGGGGAGCCGCCGTTACAAACCAGAACACGCAGCCTGGAGCGAGTGCTCAGGAGTTTATGCCTTCTTCTGAGGTCTACAGTGCCCTGCAGCTTCTCTTCCAGAAGGATAGCGATGTCCTGCAACTTGTCTATAACTCTCGTCCTGTTCCGAAAGGAGTCAAAGTTATCAGCGCGGACATGTTCTTCACTAAGAGCCTTCTGGTCCCACCGAACAAGTATCGCCCTGCTGCCGCCCAGGGCCCAGGCGAGATCATGGAGGCATCGCAAAACACTCCTTTCAACAATATTATCAAGCAATGTGACCTAATCAATCAGATCAGCAAGGAGATCCAGAACGAGGATGAGAAGGCCCTGGCCCGTGCGCGCAATTATAGTGATCTCCTCCAGGCCATTGTTGCGCTCCAGGATTTCGTTAACGGTCTGATCGACCGTGAGCGTACTTCTGTGACTGGCTCGGCCATCGCCCAGCTGCCAAATGGTATTAAACAGCTGCTCGAGAAAAAGGAGGGTCTGTTCCGAAAGAACATGATGGGTAAGCGTGTGAACTTCGCTGCCCGTAGTGTTATTTCACCCGATCCCAACCTCGAGACCAACGAAATTGGTGTGCCTTTGGTTTTCGCCAAGAAGTTGACCTTCCCCGAGCCTGTTACCAACCACAACTTCTGGGAGTTGAAGGAAGCTGTTATCAACGGTCCCGACAAGTATCCCGGTGCTGCCGCAATTGAGAATGAGAACGGCCAAGTTGTCAACTTGAAGTTCAAGAGTCTGGACGAGCGTACGGCACTTGCCAACCAGTTGCTTGCACCATCCAACTGGCGCCTGAAGGGTTCGCGAAACAAGAAGGTCTACCGCCATCTCACTACTGGTGACTACGTTTTGATGAACCGGTATGCTACGAAAATGACTCACTACCAAACTACGTTTTTATGCTAACTGATCCAGGCAACCGACTCTCCACAAGCCATCCATCATGGGTCACAAGGCTCGTGTCCTTCCTAACGAGCGCACTATTCGAATGCACTACGCCAACTGTAATACCTACAACGCCGATTTCGACGGTGATGAGATGAACATGCACTTCCCCCAGAACGAGCTTGCCCAAGCAGAGGCTCGGATGCTGGCAGATGCTGACCACCAGTACCTGGTGGCGACGTCCGGCAAGCCTTTGAGAGGTTTGATCCAGGATCACATTTCCATGGGTACCTGGTTCACATGCCGTGATGCCTTCTTTGATGAAGAAGACTATCATCAGCTTTTGTACAGCTGCTTGCGGCCGGAGAACTCGCACATCGTCGGCGACCGCATCCAGTTGGTGGAGCCTGCTTTCCGTAAACCCAAATACCTCTGGACTGGCAAGCAAGTGATTACAACAATCCTTAAAAATATCAAGCCTCCAGAGAGTGCTGGCCTCACCCTCCAGGGCAAGTCTTCAACCCCTGGCGACCGTTGGGGCAAGGGCAACGAAGAGGGCACCGTTATCTTCGATGATGGAGAGTACCTGTGTGGTATTCTTGACAAGAAACAGCTTGGTCCTACTGCTGGAGGTTTGATTGATGCTGTTCACGAAGTCTACGGCCACACCATTGCCGGAAAGCTGATGAGTATTCTGGGACGACTTCTGACTCGGTACCTGAACATGCGGGCGTTCACTTGCGGTATCGATGATCTTCGCTTGACCAAGGAGGGTGATCGCATTCGCAAGGAGAAGCTGAGCACTGCCGCAGACATGGGTCGTGAAGTCGCCCTGAAGTACGTGACCTTGGATCAGGTCACTGTGCCTGACCAGGACGCCGAGTTGAACCGTCGTTTGGAAGATGTGCTTCGCGATGATGGCAAGCAAAGTGGCTTGGATAGCGTTTCAAACGCTCGGTCTGCCAAACTCTCCTCCGAAATCACTAGCTCCTGTCTCCCCGCAGGTCTTGCAAAGCCATTCCCGTGGAACCAGATGCAGTCGATGACTATTTCCGGTGCCAAGGGTTCGGGTGTCAATGCCAACCTGATTTCTTGCAACCTTGGTCAGCAGGTTCTGGAGGGCCGTCGTGTACCGGTCATGATCAGTGGTAAAACGCTGCCGTCTTTCCGGGCTTTCGAGACACATCCCGTCGCTGGTGGTTACGTATGCGGCCGTTTCTTGACTGGAATTAAGCCCCAGGAGTACTACTTCCACGCCATGGCCGGTCGTGAGGGTTTGATTGATACCGCCGTCAAGACTTCTCGTTCCGGTTACTTGCAGCGTTGCTTAATCAAGGGTATGGAAGGCTTAAGAGCCGAATACGATTCCTCCGTTCGTGAGGCATCGGATGGTTCTATAGTCCAGTTCTTGTACGGAGAAGATGGCCTCGACATCACCAAGCAGGTCCACCTCAAGGACTTCAAATTCCTTGCTGATAACCACAAGTCTGTTTCCCAGCAGGTGCAGGCCCACCTTTTCCATACCTTGGCGAAGGATGATGCGATGAAATGGCATAAGGATGCAATGAAGGCTGTTCGCCGGACTGGAAAGCTTGATGCGATGGATCCTGCTTTGTCGAAATTCCACCCTGGTGGCAACTTGGGTAGCACTTCAGAGTCATTCGCTCAGGATCTCAAGAAGGTGAGTTATAATTCCCCAAGAATTACACTGTATGGTGTGCGATTTGAAGCTGACCAATCTCCCCACAGTATGGTGATGACAACCCTGACAATCTCTTCAAGGATAAGAAGAAGGATATTGAGGGTAAACTCAGCAAGAAGACGTTTGACGCTTTAATGAACATGAAGTATCTGAAGTCTGTCATCGATCCCGGTGAGGCCGTCGGTATTATGGCCGGTCAATCAGTGGGAGAGCCCAGTACCCAAATGACCCTCAACACTTTCCATTTGGCTGGTCATTCCGCAAAGAACGTGACCCTGGGTATTCCCCGTCTTCGTGAAATTGTCATGACTGCTAGTGCTACGATCATGACGCCCACAATGACACTGCTTCTCAATGAGGAGATCTCCAAGGACCACTCCGAGCGGTTTGCCAAGGCTATCAGTAAGCTTAGTATTGCTGAGGTCGTTGACAAGGTGCAAGTCAGAGAGCGCATCGGCTCGGGTGTTGGTTACGCGAAGGCTAAGATCTATGACATCGAGATTACCTTCTTCCCCACCGAGGAGTACACCAAGGAGTACGCCATCCAGACCAAGGATGTGCAGCTTGCTCTCCAGAACAAGTTCATTCCACGCCTGGTGAAGCTCACCAAGGCCGAGCTCAAGAAGCGCAATGAGGACAAGACGGGCACGAAGTCCTCCACTGCTCAGCCTGATATTGGCGTTTCGGTCGGCAGGGTTGCCGACGGCCCTGGTGGCCCTGACCGTGCGGCCGAGCCAGCAGACGACGACAATGAAGATGATGAGGATGATGCCAAGCGAGCTCGTGGCGGCCAGAACCGCAGCAACCAGGTGTCTTACGAAGGACCTGATGATGATGAGCAGGATATCATCCGCGGACAAGACGAACCCGAAATCGAAGATGATGAAGAGGAGGGTGATAAGCCTGGCAGAACCACTGGCGATGTGGACATGGACTCAGACTCTGAGGATGACTCGGATGACGATGAGGCCCAGGAGCACAAGCTGCGCGAGGACGATGTCAAGAGCAAGTTCTCTGAGATCACCAAGTTCAAATTTGACCCCAAGAAGGGCAACTCCTGCACCATTCAGCTGGAGTACGATATCGAGACACCCAAGCTGCTTCTCCTTCCCCTGGTTGAGAGTGTTTGCCGTTCCGCAGTCATCCAGTCCATCCCAGGCATTGGCAGCTGCGTGTTTGTCGAGGCAGACGAACTTCAGGGTGAACCAGCAAGCGTTATGACCGATGGCGTCAACCTCCTCGCCATGCGCGACTACCAGGACATCATCAAGCCGCACTCGCTCTACACCAACTCCATCCACGACATGCTCAACCTGTACGGTGTCGAAGCCGCTCGCGCCACCATCATCCGTGAAATGGACTCCGTTTTCAAGGGTCACAGCATCTCCGTCGACAACCGCCATCTGAACTTGATCGGTGATGTGATGACGCAGTCCGGTGGCTTCAAGGCTTTCAGCCGCAACGGTCTGGTCAAGGATTCAACCTCGCCGTTCGCCCGGATGTCTTTCGAGACTACTGTTGGCGCCTTGAAGGATGCTGTTGTTGAGCGTGACTTCGACAACCTCAAGGGCCCGAGTAGCAGAATCGTCGTTGGCCGCTCCGGCACTGTTGGAACCGGCGCCTTTGATATTCTTGCTCCTGTAGCATAGTCGTGTGTTGGGGGAGTTACTTCGCATTGCGCCTTTTGTTGCTGGTGTTCCATCACCTGTATATTTCTTCGCAGATTTTTGTATCCTGTGCTCTTGTTGTTTTGCCATCTTGACGTGTCGATGATTCGGAGTTTCTGTTCAGTGGAACACAAAAGTGCCTGTTCCTGTTCATATTAGCATATTGGTCAGTTAAATACAGTTCTTAAGTACACCATCCCTATTCAATCACCAATCCAGGTGGGAGGTGTCTGATGCACGAACTAAGCGCACTTGCTAGCCTAGAGAGTCATTAAGCCACTGTCCCTCCTCGAGTAGGACATGCCGCGGGCGTCCATTTAGGCGGCATGCTGGTCAACGCTTGTACAAGTCCATAGTTTAGTGTTATCGTGGGGTTTTCCGGCTAAGCGTGGTATTTCTTTGTGCAGGATCGGTCTCGAATCTTGGTTCATTTGTCTAATTACTCAGGCTTTGTTCTTTTTGTTTGGGAGCTCTTTGTCAATTAATCTATTCCGCTGGGACATTTTTTCCTTTGTTCTTTCATCCAAGGCCATCCACGGTACGGGGTATATCAGAGTCTTCATCCCTACCTTCCCTCATAGTTGATTACCTCGCACTTTTCTCAACAACCAACACCTATCGCTACTGATCGAGAATCAACGCCTTTTCTTACGCGCAATGAATCCTCTGCGGGATACCCGCGGCCTTTTCATGCTCCTGCTCAAGTACATCTGGCTCCTTGGCCTCTGGGTCTGGTCCAACCTGTGGTTTCCCCCTCTAATGGTTCGATCTAGCCTCTGGCTCACCTACCTATTGGTCCGTGCTAACCACTTGCTCCCCGGCATAGTGCTTCGTTTATGTCCAGTGCCCCTACTGCTTAGTTGCCTATCGTGCCCCATCAACCTGATACTCTGGTTCATCAACTTGTTTCATGTACAATATGCACGACAGCCAGCTCTCCTAGGCCTGCCAGCTCCGCGTCAACCTTGCGACCAGCTCCAACCCGAGCCTGAGCCTGAGCCTGAGCCTAAGAACGACACAGACGAGGAGCGTCGAATCCTACTGCGCAAGGGGGAACGGACGGCCCGGTATGGTCGCTTTCAGGATGAGGGAGAAGAGCGCCGACGATGGATCGCTGACCCAGGTGAGCCTGATTGTTTCATTCCCCGATCTACGTTAACATTCACCGATATTTGGGCTAGATACAGCAGACTGGTTTCCTACCCCGAGAATCCCTGTTATGAGATCCAGGGGAGCTTTGAGGCACTCGGTTTGCCTCCGGAGTCCCGGCTTGAAAATGTGTCGCCCTATCGGTACTTTAACCTAGAATCTCCGTTTGTACATTGGATGGGATACACGGGACCGGGCATGGTTCTCTTAGCCGATATTGGCCGAGTCCAGGTAGGGGTCGATGCCACTTGGGAGAGACGTCGTCGTGTCCCGCCGATCTCCGCCATTTCTCAGGCCTTTTATGAGCGAGACTTCCCCATCCATACTCTACGGTACGTTTTCGTCGCTTGTGTCATCAACGAGAACACGCTCGGGTTCCTTAGTAAACAGTTGTATACTCAGCCTACCCTCAACCTCTCATGGCCCGACCAAACCCCACGGTCTTGGATTTACGGTACACCGGAGTATGATGGCCTACTAGGCACTCGCATTGGCAAGCTGGTTGCATACCTGGTCCTGGGAGCCTTTGCCCGAGGGACTCGTCGTATTTCCCAAATTGTCACAAAATCTAATCACGGGGGAGAGAGTGCTTGTATGCGATTTGATATCGAGACTATTGCAGCTACTGGAAGTGGTTAAATTTGCAGCTAGGTACATCCTTTTATCCCTTCTTTTTTTCTCTTTGACTTTTCTGCTAACCAATTTACACTACAATTAATACAAGCCAATTTAGCACCGAAGGGAATGATCCAGCAAGCTTTTTTGAAGGCACCGTAGAGGCAAACGTAGAATAATAGATATTCTGTATATTTTCCGGTTGTGTATACTCAGAATCGCTCACTCAACCCTGTAAATGACAAGATTGGCCCAAAGAGAACGCCCCCTATGCTATCATTTTTCCATGCCCAATTGAAGAACACCCCATATGTCCATGCCGAGTCTACGACCGCGCCGGTATATACCCCCAAAAGAAATCGCAGAAAGAGGAAAAAGAAAACAACAATTTACTGGGTGTCAAGCATCATCAGGTCCTCATCGATATTATCGTCATATTCGTCCTCGACAATCTGGACTGTGGACGTGACCCCGTTCAACTTGTGATCACTGGCGGGCTCCTCGCCCATCATTCGCGCCTCCTCAGCTTTGCGTTTCGCCTCGTGACGCTCAATGTCAGCCAGGCTCCAGGTGGAGATGCCTTCCTGATCCCTGGCTTTAAATGGCTGTGCCATTGTACGCAGGAAATTCTTAGCATTCGCGACAGCCATATCAGTGCTGAGGTTTGTCTCGCTATCCAGCATTGCCTGGTTGATCCACTTTGGAAGTTGTGGCCGCTTTCGTTCGAAACGTCGGTCCGCCAACACCATGACTCCGTAGTCGTCTTTGCCACGAAGCACACGACCCAAGCATTGCGCGGCGTGCCGCATAGCGTCGAAAGAAAGGAAATCATTCTCACGAATGCGATAGTTCTCTCGCAGGAATTCGAGTCGGGCTTTCAATATACGCGATTCGGTGTACTGGAACGGCACCCCAATGCACAGCACCGCACGGCCATAATGATGGTCGAAGTCGATACCCTCAGATACCTTTCCTCGAGCGACGCAAAACAAGATTGCACCGCGTCCGTTGCAGCAAGCGGTCCGATATGTTTCCAAAGCGAGAGACGACTCTTGTGCATCTGGAGTCTCGACAAGGATCAGCTTGTAGTTCCAGATTTGATCCAAAATGCCCATGCCTTGCCACATGCTGATAATGGACTCCATATATAGATATGAGGGGAAGAAAACGACAACGCCGTCCGGTGTAATACGGGCAAACTCAGTGACAAGTGTGCCGTAGTTCCGCACCACACCAGGGTCATTGCGAATCCCAAAGGATGAGGAAACCTGCGCCTGGTCCGAGCCCCGGGTCACAATCATGGGCAAGAAGGATCGACGAGCCAGGGTCATACTGTATGATTCTTGCATAACAGTTGTGAATCCCAGCATCTTCGGGTACATCTCCAAGGGAGAAAGGGTACCGGAAGTGATGATCACGGAGCTGAAACGGTCGAAAACGGGCTTGATTGCGATGGCAGCATCCAAGCACGTAAAATGTAGAATCGGGTTTGGCACGGTGGCTGCTTCGGATTCAAATGGCTCGAGGATGAGGACGAATCCCTTGTCGTAGGTTGCCACAAGAGTAGCAAAGGTGGCTACTTCTTGCAGCGGTTGATAGTCCTCGATATTAACAAGCTCCAGGGTTCGTACGAGTGATGTTAGGCGTTCTGCGCAGAATCTCAGCGGCTTCCGCTCGATATATGTGAGATCCTTCAGGTGGGTGAGGAAAGAGGGTGGCGTTTCCGAGATGGTATGTGTCACTTTCATCCGAGTCTTCAGATATTCGATGAACCTCTTCAAAAATGATACGAAGTGTTCGGCTCGACGAATGTTGCCTGGAACTGCCTCCTTTAACAAGTCGTCTGGTAATACGGGATTCGAGATAAATTGATCCTCTTCTCGAGCCTGTTCGGCCCGTTGCAGTCCCTCCACGAGTTTTGAGTATTCGCTTTGAAGCTTTTCAGCATCCGTGCTCTTCATTTCCTCAATTTTACGTTCTAGGTTAGTAGCGCCTCTAGTGGCCTTGCGGAGGGCATCCTCGCTCAGGTCGATGCTGAGCGACTCGATACAGACATTGTCAATATTGTGCGCCTCGTCGAAAACAACAATACAGTCTTTGGAGAGTTCTCGGGATACACGTTCGGCAATTTTCGGATCGAGAAGGTAGTGATACGAGTAGATGATGATGTTGCACCAAGGCATCTAATGAGCACACAGATATTAGCAAAGTAAACGTAGAGAGAGTGCAGTGAAAGAGGGTATCACACCATGCGCCGAGCAGAGAAATAGGGACATTGCTTGTGTTCTTCTCCATAACGGGTCAGGCCGTCGAGCGTGAAAACGCCGGGCGGTACGAGATTATGTGGTTCGAGGAGGTCGAGGTTCTATAATAGCCCGTCAGAAATGATAGATTTATGGCGGAACAAGTGGACAAACCTCATGATAGATGCACAGATCGACATCCTCACCACGTTCCTTCTTCTCTTTGACAAACCCCGCTGTCAAGCTCCGGCATCTTGCGTCAACCACGGTACCACTTTTCTCTCGTTTCACTGAAGGATGGAGACACAGATTCTTCCGACTGGTGAGTCCTAAAGCGCGGAACTCTTCTTCGTAGCCCAGTTCCTGCGATCGGTATTTCATCAAGCCCTTTAGCTCCGCCAACGCCTTCTCGATTTCGGACATCGTTCGCGAACAGTAGATCAACTTTCTGTGCTCTGGATAGTGTTGCTGGTATGCCACGATCAGAGACAGGAGCGATATTGTCTTGCCTGTACCTGAAGGCATCTCCAGCACACAGTGACCCCCGGCATCGAGGGTCTTTTTGAGGTCCCGCATGTACGCATGTTGCTCGGGATAGACGCGAGGGTACGGGAACAGCACCGGAAGATCACTAAAAGGTGCAACAGGTTAGCAGAAATATTTTTGACAGATGAACACAAAGTAAAGAAGCCATACTCAATGAGAAACTTCATTGTGGCCGATTTCCCGGACGCTGTTAGAGAAGAAGAAAAGGAAAGAGCGACTGCGGAGTTCAGAGAGTCTTTTCCCGTTTGGGACAGCAATGACACATGTCCACGTGACTTCCATATCGGGTGGCCGCCCGCTTGATATTATCGCCTTTCTTCAGCTTTTTCAACATTCATTGCGACGAGAGAACAAAGATAATCACCGAGAGTCTATTACAGAATCCTTGATTCTAGACCGGTGTCCGTATCTCTCCCACCGGACCTGCAGCACCTGCAGCGATAAGCCACCACCCCGCCATTCCCGCTGACCACATACCCCACATGAGCAAAAAGTTCAAGTCACAGGCCTCCAGCAGTCGGGCGGCTGCCAGTGCCTTTGGGGGATTTGGGGGCTTCTCCACAACCTTTGAAAACGATGGCAGGGAGCCATCTGCGCTCACATACATTGTGGAGCCGCCAGACCTTTCTCGCATCTCGGACCAGCAACTTGTGATTGCATTCAAGAACTTGCTGAAGAAAGATGAAATTACTCGAACCAAGGCGCTGGAAGAGCTGAAGGAATACATTTCCTCGGTGGAAGCAAAGAGTGGGACCCTTGATGAAGGCTTTTTAGAAGCATGGGTATATTAATACTTCTCCCTTAGACAAGTAGAAAAACCCATAGTTGACCACTCTATTTGCAGGTTAAAATCTACCCTCGGGCTTCAATTGACTTGTCACGGCGGGTGAGGCAACTGGCCCATACTATTCTGGGCTCCATTGCAGGCGTTGTTGGAAAGAGAATCGCACCTCATCTTTCGAAGGTTGTTGGGGCTTGGCTGGCAGGGCTTTACGATAATGACCGCCCAGTCCACCGCTCTGCCTTGGATTCTCTTACCACGGTCTTTTCTACTGAGGCCAAAAGGAACAATCTGTGGAAGATTTACCAAGGCTCCATCCTGGACTTTGTTGAAGATGTCGTTCTCCATCAGAAGCCATTGACATTGAGTGATGAACGGACGGTCAAGCGCGATGATGCTGAGGCTAAATACGCGCGAGTCGTGGGAGCTGCTATTTTGCTTTTCAACCGCATTTTAGGTATGCCAAGTACCCTGTTTTGTGCGCCAGCCCCCGGTGACTCGAAATTTGACTGCGAACAGGCAATTCACCCGACGAGGATCTTCAGAGGAATCTTCCAGAAATCGAAGGTTTGCTTGGAAACAAGGCTCTGTGGGCTTTCTGCACTCACGATGACCCATTTGTGCGTCGTTCCATATACATTCTTCTACGTTCAGCCATATCTCGCGAGCCGGGATGGGTTGACTGGAAGGTCCTGAGTTCAGCCATTATTGGAAAGTCACTATCCGCCCCGCAGCTAGGGTCTTCTTCTGAATTATCTGAGACTCTTCTGCTCTTGACATCGTTACGGCCGCAGATATGGACAGATGACTACACGGGAAAGACTTCTGCGTCAAAAAGGCTGCGCCAGTACATCCAGAAAGGGTCCCAGGGAGGCCTTGGGAACTTCTGGTCAAACCTTGATCAGGTGCTTCGAATCATCCCACATGAAGTGCTTGCGGGAGCCGAAAAATCCTCTACTAATGGAGTAGTCTCCATTTCTAGTGCATCTGCTCTTACAGAAGTTCTCCAGGAAGGTCTTAATTCTAGAGAGGAGCCGCGCCAAAACCTAACTATTGGGTGGAAGACCTACACCAGCATTGGGGCGTGGCTCTCGACTATTGTGCCCCAGGACCAGCAACCCGAGCTCATTCAGAGCAGGCTATCTCCGTTGGTGGTTAACTACGTGCGACCTAACCCTGAGCTGGCTCAGTGGTCCCTCCCCCTCCAGCCAGCTGAGGAAATTTGTGCTGATTGCCTCGCCACGCTCGTATCTTACGGACAATATGAATGCCTGCAGTCCCTCTGGACGAAGCTTTCATGTGATCTGCTAGAGGCTGTGAAACTATCATCCCCAGAGCAATCAAAGGACTTCCGCCCATCTCAGGATGTAATTTGCTCCGAATCTAACCGTCTCCTTGCATTGGAGCCCGCTGTTCTTTCACGGATTTCAGATGCTGAGAGTGAAGAGCAAGCGCGGAAGATCTTTGAGAAGTCAAATCTGTTTCTTCTCGAAGGATGCTTGCAAGTCCTTCGTTCACGCAACGGCAAACCCTATGGTGCTGCTGGGGTAGTTGAAGAATGTATTCGCCGCCTGCCTTCGGTTGCGAAAGGCTCGCAGGATCTCCTTAACTTTGTTCAAAACGATGCACCGGAGCTCCTATTTTCTCCATCGGGTGATCGCCTCATTAAGATTATTTTGGCTTGTCGGGAGTGGGATGGGTTCTCCTCCAGCTTTGAGAATGTCCTCGAACGCGCAATGGAACTGGAGCCTGAGCTATCTAACGCCCACATCCTCCAAAGCCTGCTATCAAGCCTCAATTTCAATGAAGTCGGGGACAAAGTCAAACTATCCTCATTAATCATGCGGGCCCTGGATAAGGCCTCCAAAGGAAGCCATTCTCACTGGTCTATTATCACTTCTGTCCTTCAAAACCAGACATCTGGAGGCGAAATGGCCGATCAAATATTCTTGTCCATCATTGATTCGTTGTCCAAAGATGATAGAGTCGTTGAGGCCCTGCACGGACTCTCTCATCTTGGACAAGCTGTTCCCTCTGCAGTCCGTGAATTTCAGAGTGGAGCGCAGGGCTCAAAACTGACTGGGAAGCTGTTGTATTTGACTGAGTCTCCATCAGAAGAGGTCGCAAATCTGGCTGAGTCATTGATGAGAACTTTCAAGGAAACTGTTGTTGGAGATACGAGCATCAAGTCGAAGATTGAAATTCTTCGTAGTGGGTTTACTTATGCCAATGAGGAATCCTTATCGTGAGTGAAATGGCTCTTTATCGTGAATATGCCTTCTAACTAAAACTTAGGATTGAATCTCTCTTTGCTATTGCAGCGGAGCTATTGCAGGGCCTCGCAGCAAGTGAGGCCGACTATGACATCAGGGATATTCTGCCTTCTCCGAGTGCATGGGAGAAAGCGATGGGACCCTTTCTTCAGCTTCCACCGCGCGTTTCGACGACCATAACCAGCCCACTAGGAGGTATTGTCAACCTTGTTCAGCGCGACGTTTCAGACTCATTCAAGGCATTATGGCTTGCCATTCCTCGCGACTCCGCCCGTTGTTCTGCTGCATTCCGATTGGCAGGCTTTACAGTCCAGGTTTTGTCCTCCTTTGAGATCATCAACCGTCTCACCAATGAGGATCTCGAAATTCTCCTTTATTATCTGCCGCTAGCTGTGCAGCTGATCGACGATGACCTGAGCATCGAGCATTGCAATGGAATCACAGGGCTGGAACTGGCAGACCAACGTGAGGACTACCTGGAAATCGTCTTCAAAGGGCGGCAGATTATCAGCAACTGGATCCACGCGAAGGAGCCCTTGACTTCATCATCTTCGGATACCACTGTTTCATCTTCCTTAATCTCTTTTTGGAAGAGCAAGTTGGAATCACTGAATGGAAACTCGCCCATTGACTATCGGATCGGAGAGGCTTTCACCAAAATCATGACCTCTGTGGATGTAGTCGAGCATCTTAAATCGGCAGATGATGTTGCTAAGATTTGCCGTGAGTCAAGGACTGCTAATGCTATTCGTTCGGCATCATGGTTTGCTGTTTTACGAAGTTCCATTCTCTCAAATCCTGCCGGGAACAGAGTCTGCAATGAGTTGGTTGCAGATTCAACAGGACTCAGGGCCCAAGATCCCTCTTCTGATGGTATGTTCTAGAAATGCCTTTCTACATACAAGGCTGTTGACAAAATTTTAGGACTGCGAAAACTTGCATTGCTCAACATTCTGCTTTCCGGAGAAGAAGACATTGTATCAACTATTCCGACACAACGATTGGTATTCCTTAGCAAGCGTCTTATTGAATGCCTTCAATCCGACATAAAATCTCTCGGGCTAAGAGCGGAAATCATCAGGACTTTGACATTCATTCTTCCTGGTCTCACCGAGATTTATGGGTCCCACTGGGAGGAAAGCATGGATGTTCTGAGTATGATCTTTAGAGAGACCCACGGCGGGGAGGAGGGGCTATCACTTCTGGTCTCTTCTTTCAGATTTTTCGCGTGTCTGAAATGCATGGCAGAGGGAGACAGCAACGACGACCTGCAAGATGCTTGGTCGGAACGAAAGAATGGACTGTTCAATGAACTGGCCTCTACCATTGGAAAGTTCGGTACGCATCCAATGGTTCCATTGATTGATCGATTTGTGCAAGTGTCAGCTAACACGGAGACCAGATTCTACGACCACTTTCCATCAACCTCGTGATGTCGCTGTTGAGCTTCTACGACGTCTCATTGACTCCATCCCAATTGAGAAGCTGGAGGATGTCAGCGGGGTCTTTGGTCTCTTGACCGCACACAGCCGCTCTATCCAGCGCGCTGCATATACTATCCTCCATCGATATATTCCCCAAGCCCAAGAACAAGTCTCCTTTGATGTGGCCCTGTCAAAAACTGCAGTTGACCTTCCTGATGAGCTCATATCTTTGCTGCTTGAGCCCCCGACAATGCAGATGGTCAACACGGCCTATGGAGATGACAAGATGTGGACTACCATACGTGCCTACCTCCTGAGTTGGAAGGTGATCTTTGATCATTTCACCAATGCGGTATGCCTTGAAGCCCTTTTTTATTGTGTTTCGTGCATTTCTTGCTAATGCGCTGATTAGTCACTCCCTGTTCGAGAGCACTACGCAGCAAACATCAAGGAGAACAACGTCTTGATTCCTTTGCTGGAGTTTACATTTGATTTTCTTCAGAAGTCTCACGGCAAGATTGTTGATGCATCCAAGCTTGATGTACAAAATTTTGAGCCGGATCAGTCTGAGAATGCAGAAAAGGAAACTCAATGGCTTCTGGTACATTTGTACTACCTCTGCCTCCGCCACCTGGCGAACATGACGAAAAACTGGTGGATCGACACCAAGAAACGGATCAAGGGACCAGTAGAATCCTGGTCGGAAAAATATGTAAGTTAAGTGGAGCTGCATGCTGCCCCTGCAAGAAAGCGAATTTTATCTAACATCGTTTTCAGATCTCACCACTTGTGGCCGCGGATTCTCTCCAGGATGTTACAGACTGGATTTCCACTCAAGATCCTAACGAGGAGCGAGCTTTGAGCGTGAAGATTTCCCCTAAGACCGCTGAGATCATCGCTAGCATTCCTGTCGATGAGGAATCACCCCCCGTTTCCATTTCGATCTCTCTACCACCCGCATACCCTCTTCATCCCGCACTTGTGGTCGGCCGTAGCCGAGTACTTGTGGACGAGAAGAAGTGGAAGAGCTGGTTGCTTACAATCCAAGGAGTCATCATGTTTGCCAATGGTAGCCTGATTGATGGGCTCCTCGCCTTCCGGCGGAACGTGCAGGGTGCCCTGAAGGGCCAGAGTGAGTGTGCCATCTGCTACTCGGTCATATCGACTGATATGCAGACCCCGAACAAGCGATGTGCCACCTGCAAGAATACCTTCCACTCGGTCTGCCTGTTCCGATGGTTCAAGAGCAGCAACCAGAGCACCTGCCCGCTCTGCCGCAACAACTTTGTATATGTTTGAACGTGTGTACGTGTGGAGTAGATAGACTATAGACGTGCAATGAAAAGTACCTGACTTCAAGCAAACCCTTGGCCATTTTGTAAATACATCAATATTGTCGCGTTGAGGTGAACGCCGGATATTCGCGCGTTTGGCCCAATCGCCGCGGAGTGACACTATTTCCGTGGGGCGCCAATCCCCCACCCGTCCGAGCTCCAAGCTTCCTCCACCCTCCTTCATGGCCGCGTCGCAGATTCCGAACCTTAACCTTCTACGCCGAGGCCGAGGCCAAGGTCGTGCAGGTAGTCGTGGAGTTGAGGACCGCCTTAATGCTCGCCCCTCCGCTAGAGACCGCGTCGTGCAGGAAACCGACAACGACGCGAGTGTCTCCCGCTTGAGCGCTGTTGAGCTCGGATACCTCGATGATCCCTACGCGACAGCATTGACGCCGCCTGGTTCTGCAACGAGACGTTTCCCGATTATTAACAGGGGTATTTTTGGTTCTTCCTATGTTTCCGGAACTTGACCTTGACTCGACCGTTTTCTATTACAGGAACCTACGTTCGTACGACCGCAATTGACCAGCTCGTGTCCCGTTTCCTTGGGCCCTACAGCCCTGAGACTCCAAGCAAGCGTAAACAGATCATCTCGCTAGGGGCTGGGTCAGATACTCGCATCTTCCGGCTTCTTACCTCGCGGAAACCCGCCGACTTCGTCTACCACGAACTTGATTTTGCTGTCAACACATCTGCAAAGATTCGTGCGATCCAGTCAACGCCGAATCTACAACAGGCGCTGGGAATTGATTCGTTGAGCACCGATGTGACTGTGTCGGAGGCAGGCGATGCGCTGCACACACCCTTCTACCATATCCATGCATGCGACCTACGATCCTTGTCGGCGAGTACCTCTCTCCCGGAAGCGCTCCCAGGCGTGGACAGGAGTCTGCCGACATTGTTGATCTCAGAATGCTGCCTCATATACTTGTCCCCTATTGAGGCCGTACAGGTGGCAACTTTCTTCACCGAACATCTCTTTGGTTCTACGCATGTGCCCTCCGGGGATAGTGACGAGCCGCAGAATTTACAGGCTGCCGCCCCCTTGGACTGATTTTATACGAACCGATCCGGCCAAACGACCCCTTCGGACGAATCATGGTATCCAACCTTGCGGCTCGAGGTATCCAACTTCAGACCCTAAACAAGTATGCTTCCTTGGAGGCTCAACGGGCGCGATTTCTCGAACACGGCTTCAAGACCGGCCAAGCTGCCGCTGACATTGATTTTATTTGGGAGCATTGGATTGATGAGGAGGAGAAGGATCGGGTTGCCAGTCTCGAGATGCTGGATGAGATGGAAGAGTGGCGCTTGCTTGCCCAGCATTACTGCATTTCTTGGGGATGGAGGGACGGGGATGATGCAGCAGCGTTCAATGGGTGGCTGGCGCTGCAAGCTCAGCCGGGCAAGTGATATTCCATAAAATATCGATTTACAGACGAAGATCACGATCGCCTAGGAGATCTCCATATATGGCAACCAGCTTCGCGTATCCTATCGCAACACCGATGAACAAGCTCAGTTCATTTATACATCGAGTCCGCTGGAATTCGGCCTTTCGGGCTGTTCTTGTTTCTGCAGTCCCCATTCACCCTCTCCAACTTGTTTCCCGCGATATTTGACCAAGTAGCCCACGACGACCGGACCGATGATGGTATTGAGAAGGATGGCCCACACTGCGGTTATGAAGCCTTCTTGACTTACGTAGCTGGTTTCGTTATACCCAACTTCTATGATCAATAGGCCAATCTCGCCTCGTGCGACCATCGCCGAGCCAAGAAGTAATCCTGCGAGTGAAGCTGAGCCATAACCACTTTTGGCCTTACCGACTTGAGGAGACTTGGTCGTGGCTCTGGATCTACCCTCCGTCTCAATCGAACCTTTCTGGGGGTTTGAAACATTTGATGGGCCCATCAACTTCCAAAGAGGAATCCACAACCCGACAACAAACTGCAACACATTAGAACCTTCGCCAAGTCTACTAGAAGGAAGTTCTACTTACCTTGGCAAATGTCATGAGCAGCGTGAACAAGATTCCTCTCCAGATCCGTTTACCTGTCCAGAGCTCCACGAAGGGAATGGCAAAGCCAATGCTGGCAAAGAAGAGCGGTTCCATGAGATACTGCTGAGTGTCCAAGAGGTACAGCTCAAAAGTATGGATGAACTTGGGACTCTTGTTGGCATTCCGTTCGCCCTCTTCGCGACTCATCACAACGAACGGACCATCGGGGTGCTTGCTCGGTAGATATGTGAGAAAGGTGCCAGCGAGGAACGCACCAAATAAGACCGAAGTGCCAGAATAGGCAGCAATAGTGATAAAGGCCGACAAGACCAAGACCATCAGGAGAATGTTGGAGACGTGGTCAAATCTCGCAAATTTATACTCAATCCACCGCCGGAAGATTGGTGCAAATACCCATTTTGTAAAAACTGGAGTGAGGATTGCCATGGCCGCGGAGGCCACGATGGGCCGACCAATGATCCAGCCAAGGTTGGCATGGCTGGTGTCTGGACCAGAAAGTTCTCCCAAGTCGTCAATGACGCTATCAATGAATGCTTCATGAGCCACAATTCCCGCGATATAGTGAAGACAAAACTTTACCTGGATAACACAAGACCCACCACATCGTCAATCACAGCGGCACTCACAAGGACGGAGCCAACTCTGGTTTGAGAAAGGTCTATCTCTCTTGCGGAAGAAGCAATTACGGCGAAAGTAGTGCCCAAGGAAGTTGCAGAGAGCGCGGCTCCAATAATGAAAGTTTCAACTGCACCTTTAGGGCGTTAGCTCTTCAGTGGTAGTTTGAAACTGTAGATGGGCATACCATATCCGAAACCCAAATATAGTAAAAGATAAGAAAGTCCGATTGGGAAGCAAACGCCTGTGGCGGCTCCCAGGATACTGAGAAGAAAGTTTTGCTTCAATAGATCCAATCTCACTTGAAGGCCACCTGTTGGGATTTTAGGATCAAGATCAACCGCGACCAGCCACATACAGAGTCCTCCTACCTTCAAAAATGATCAGAATCAAACCAACATATCCGATGGCGAGGAATGTTTGCTGCCATGGATACTCCAAGATATTGGCCAAGGGTCTCCCGTAGATAATTCCCACTGCGATTTGGCCAATAATGCCCGCACGAGTGACCTTATTAAAGAGCCATTTCGCTAGGGATAAAAAGAAGAAAAATGATATAATGATCAAAATTTCGACAACTTTGAGTTACCGATTAGCCTGTGTTCCGTCGATCTGCCGATAGCGTAGTACTTACTACCGGGCTCGTGGTAAGCGAGAAAACCTCCAGCCATCACAAGGTCTCCTTGCTGTTAATGGCAAATACGATGGGAAATGCGAGGTTGAAACAGGTTTCTACACTGAGGAAAACTTTTACAGCTGCGGTCTGGGCATTTTCTTGGGCTTCTTGGCTCTACGACTTCAGTACGGTACCTCACGTGACGTGGATCGGTTAGTGACATCAGCACTCGGGCAAATAAAGAAATGTGTTGTAAGAAGTAGGATATATATAGCCTAGTATGCTTTATGAGGAATAAGGTCAAGCGAAATCAAAATCAGCATGGAAATCTTGATTGATTGAAAGCAATAGAGGCACCAGAGGAGTTTTTATCTTCCCATCGGATAGTAGTTATGATTTAGCAATTTTCGCTATCCGTGTGAGAGGTCTCTAACTCAACAATAGCACGCTAACAGGTATAATAAAAATTGTCCATTTGAGGAATCAGATCCAGTCGCCCATAATCTGTTCCATAGAAGCCTCGAATAAATAGTCATGTGAAAATTCTATGGATGTAAACAGATCGTCTTGTACCGAACTGTCCAAGTTCACAGAATCAGCTTGGGGTGTACTGGAGATGTTGACTGGCGCATTGTTTCCCCTGTCGGTACTTGATGAGCCATCTTTGCTAGATACATCAAACCTGCTTTGAATTTGGACAATGCGTCTCCTAAAATCGAAGAAGGTATCGCGGTCGCCATTCAAATCCACGTGGGGGGTCGACAATGCTCCTACCCGCTGCCGCAGCTGTGCTAGGATATCAAGGAATACAGCGGTTTGTTTCGGGTTGGCGAGTGTGGCAGTATGCCGATACAAAACAACCATAGCAAAGGCCATTTGTACCCATTGCGTATTTGTAAATCCCAGTTCCGTGTCAGCTGGGAGAGAGATATACCAATTAAGCATGAACTCAGAAGCATTCATCGCTGCACACAGCATTTCATCCCACCAGGGCTGCAAGGATACAACTCGCGTATTTGTTTGCTGGCCAGTCAGAGTGAGAGAAAGCTGGTAGAGAGACAGGCCAGTCGCGTGGAAATGAAACGCAAGAAATGCTAAATGAGCTGTTAGGAAGATAAAAAGAATATCAATTCAACTCTCAAGACTCACGGGCCTCGTAGATGTCGAAAGATAATCGATCTTGGAATGCCTCTAAATCTGATTTGATATGTGTCACATAAAGCTCTGACCCAGACCCAGGTCTCATTAGCTCTTGCGTGTGATTAGCAGACAGGTGATCGATTTTCTCTGCGATACGCTGTAACTGGACCAGGGAAGTGATGTATGAATCGTGAGGGGACTCATTCGCATTTTGAAGAGACTGGCAGCATTCTTCAATGTAAGGGATATAGGAAAATGTAGGTTGCTTGTGTAGTAGAGCAGCAATCCTACATAAAATAGGTGTGAGTCGCCCACAAACCTACGGTCGCTCATATCCAAGGAAACTCACGTTGATGATAGGTAGTAACAACCAATAACGGCTCTTTTCTCGTCAATTCCCCATGATGGTCGATCTTGCGTCTGTTCATCCGATGCACATTGAGGCCCAAAGTGTAATCTAGTTTGCCATATTTTCGTCTGTGGTGGTCGGTCCAGTCGCAAGTCTATAATGAGACTAACAGCCAATTGGAGAAATGGAGTATAGCGATAGGGCTTTGTATGGTAATGCGACCTGTCAAAGCAATTATTAGACGCGTGGGGCCCCACTATGCAATATTGACACGCGGGTGCATATACCAAGCCAGGGATACCAGCAACCCTTGCAGCAAGTCAAAAGACACCTCTCCATTGAAAATCAAACGAGAGGCAACAGCTTTCTTGACTTCAGCACCTAGCGATCGCTGCAATGGCATGTCCTCGTACGATGCCGAGGCCATAATGGCCAAGAAAAGGAACGGCTTGTCTTCCCGTAGCTGAGCGGCAGAGAAATGTTGAGGGATAACCACAAAGGGAAAATGTGGAGTCATCATTGTTTTGAATGATTCGAGATAGTTCTCAGCCGTCTTCAGGCTTAGAAAGCCTCGTTTGATGACATCCTTGTCGCCATCATCGTCTTCAACTGCTGAGACACTTTGATTACTAGCCACTGTCTCTGAATGTGCCCTCATCGAGTCTACTGATGAGGCAGTGTGGTCGGTCATGAGCTCTCTGACCCTAGATTCAAGAGCCTCAATTTTCCTAGTGGGACATGATTCATATACGTTCCGATAGTGCGGAGCAGCCAAGGGTGCCAGCTACTCACCGGTCCTTCTGGAACCCATTAAACCGACGGCGCGCATGCCGGTAGACGCATTCCCTGCCCAGGCGCAGGCAGCTACATATCGATCAATTGACTCTCCATCAACTCCACTCGCCTAGTGTTTGGTATCACTTACCGATTGCATACATGTGGACTCTCCACAGTTCGGACACACCGGACTTTGGAATTAGCGCAGCTTTGGCAAGTCTTGGACACGGGAGACATGGCGTTTTCCAGTGGGAGATCAGTGATGCGGTTCAGCAAATTGGAAACAACCCAAGGGCATTGCACTTATGTTGAGCAGGATTATGAGCAAATTACATTTTGTAGCTGGATTGAAGCCGTCAGACGAGGCTGTGGCAATCGATTAGCGTGGCCAAGGCGGCTGACTAAATGCCAAGCTCTCCCTATTTTAACAAAATTGGAGCAACTGAGGCTGTGACAATCTACAAGAATAGCATTGACTTGAGCCAGTCCCGTATGTCAGGCGCTGCTTCACAACTTTCTAGCTCGGTGATTCTTCTTTTGCTTCAATCTGAGTCAAAATTTGCCGTGATATCAACTACGGACTCAGCCCGCCCTCCCGGCCCCAATAGAAGGTCTTGAGGCGCAAGAAGACCTGTACTTATTCATGCGGCATTAAATCCCTCTTATATATACTCCCTTACTTCTGTTATGACTAGTTTTTCCTATTGCTATTATGGTAGACCTACTATAGTCTGATAACCTAACCTAATATCCTGCGTATATCCCGGATGACTGTAGTCGATCCTCGTCTTGCCATAATAACCAAAAGGGTGAGATGTGAGTGAGGATCATGCAGCATAATTTCATTGGCATCATCGAAGACATTTCTATCATGTGTGCACGCTGTGACCAGTGTAGAACACTGAAGCCTGCCGTTTAATACTTTTAAGACGTCAATAGTTGCCGTTTGGATGTCCACAATCGCCAGTCAAAATTAAGTGGGGTGTTCAGCGAAGTGTAAGATGGATGAGAAAAATACCACCTAGAACTCATATTAATTGCCTTACAAGACCTCTGACTATCATGCCCTCTCTTTGTAACGTAAACAGGCAGCTTTGGTTGGCCTTTTCGTGAAAAGTCCTCCTCACCTGAATGTCTGGCCAAGTGTGGAGAGGAAATTTGAAGAATTAGGCGCAGTATACATGCGAATCAGTTAGTCGATCATTAACTTCTATCGATTCAGACTTCGATCTGAACTGACCGGGGGCGTCAAGTCTGTTTCCAGAGGATGTTAGGCAGATTTCGATCAAATTATACATTGTGAACTTCATCGCGCCCGGCCTCATGGCCAAGCTTTGGACAAGCTTAGGGTCCAAAACGCCGCGCTGCTCACGATGGGGCTTGCCCGGCAACGGTCTTGGCTGGACGGGAAGATGCCTGCGCGCGCTAGAACCTCCTTTCCCAGATTTGTCTCCTAGGGCAAAAAAATCACAACCGGCTCCACAGCATAACTCTATTGGCCGGGACACTGGGACTCGAAATTCGGCCTCTATCATGATCAACAAGTCTAGATCATGGACGATCTAATGGCTTTGATTGGGATTGACCAGCATGTGGGTACGGCCGTGAGAGGGTGATCGGAGGAGAACAGGCCCAGTGCGGATGTTGGATTCATGTGCTCCTCAGGAGAGCGGCTGGTGTGGGGCACAAAAAATCTCCCCTTCATCTGTTCGGTTATAATTGATTTTGCCGGGATTCTACGGCAGTTCGTGTGGGACGGGAAAGCAGGAGGATGAAGCTACCCGGGGTTGTGATCGGCTCGGGTTGGTCACGTTTTAATTGTGCGATCGAGTCATTTCTTCCTTCCACCTTTAAATTCCTCAAGTTCTTCGCCTGACCGTCGCAACCGCCGTTTGCCCGCGCAAAGCGAGGCTCCAATGGCGAAGGGTTCGTCGCTACCCCACTTGATGCAATTCCTATAAGCTTATTGGCTTCTCTCCACTTGCCAAGTAGGAACCGCCGGGGTATTATGGCTGACGATTGGGCAGCAGAGGCACTACCCCTGACGCTAAACGACTAGCGGACTCATGTGGCTGCCCGCTAGTGGAGTTTGGTCAGGGGCAGCTGGCAACTTGTTCATGGCCTTTGGACCCCCAAATGACCTCCAAAATGCGCCCCAGGTATCGCGGAGCGTTCCATAATGGGAAAGGTCAGCTCCATCAGGCTCGTCGCTGGGCCAGTCAGGGTCTCTCCCGCACCATTCACGCGTTGGGGCCATCCACCAGGGCTGCTCCTCTGCCATCCTATCCTCGTTTGAGTTAGTGTTGTCGCTCTTGCTAGCCCCAGTCACCCAGGACCGCGGTCGGGGCCTTTTTGGCCCTTTTTCGCTAAGGGGAGTAGTGGGCGCAGCGCTCTGTCCCTTTTCTAGCTGACCTTCCCATCTCATCCTGGCCTTGCCTCTTTCTCTCCTTGACCTCATTCTCTGCGAGCTTTTGTGTCCCCTACACCCGGCCTTTGGCCATATTCCATTCATTCACTCGTTTGATATCACTTGAGATCACTTCGCCGTTCATTCTTTCGCTTCTGTTCAATAAAATTCCCCCAATCTCGACACCATGAAGTTCGAGATTACTTCCGCCCGCACGGCCGCGCTTGTCGCCCTCATTGCCAGCGTTGAAGCTGCTCACCACGGCCATACTCACCACCATGGACACGCTCACGAAGCCCGCACTTTCCCGGACAACAACACTCTCGAGAAGAGGAGTGGCCAGTGTCAGTTCCCTAGCGATGCTGGTCTGGTTGCTGTCACCCCAAACGAGCAGAACGCCGGCTGGGCCATGAGCCCTAACCAGCCCTGCAAGCCTGGCAACTACTGCCCCTACGCCTGCCCTCCCGGCCAGGTCTCCATGCAGTGGGATCCCGAGGCTACCTCATATTCCTACCCCATGTCTATGGTAAGTTTGCGCTGGGTCCACCTGTCGTATGCAAGGGGGAAAGAAGTATATCAACTAACAGATCTGTAGAATGGCGGCTTGTACTGTGACGAGAGTGGCGAGATCCACAAGCCTTTCCCCAACAATCCCTACTGTGAGGATGGAACTGGCGCCGTTATGGCCATGAACAAGGCCGGAAAGTCGGTGGCTTTCTGTCAAACAGTCCTGCCCGGTAACGAAGCCATGCTGATCCCGACCCTGGTCGAGGAGCTGTCCACTCTGGCCGTCCCTGGAATGTCCTACTGGTGCGAGACCGCTGCTCAGTACTACGTCAACGCCCCCGGTGTCACTATCGAGGAGGCTTGCGTCTGGGGTACCAATGCCAACCCCGTTGGGAACTGGTCTCCTTACACTGCTGGTGCCAACACTGTTTCCAACGGCGATACCTACCTCAAGATTGGCTGGAACCCTATCTACCTGGAGCCCACCACTCCCTTCCGCGATGTCAAGCCCGAGTTCGGTATCGAGATTCTATGTGATGGTGAGGGCTGCAACGGTCTCCCTTGCCGGATTGATCCTTCTACCATGGCTGTGAACGAAATGAGCGCTCCCGATGTCTTCACTGGCGCTGGTGGTGCTACTGGCTGTGTTGTCACTGTCCCCTCTGGCTCCAAGGCCAACATTGTTGTCTTCGATGTTGGTGGTGACTCTTCCAGCGAGACCGTATCCGTCTCAACCAGCACTTCTTCCCCGACCAGCACCAGCACCAGCACCCCCGCCACTACTTCGACCACGGAGACTCCGACCACCACCCCGACTCCTACTTCCACCACTACTATTCCTACCTCCACCTCCACCTCTACCACCAGCTCTACTTCGACTGCCACTTCCACCTCGACTGGTGGTCTCTCTAGCACTCGCCTGCCCAAGTCCAGCCCCAGCATGAGCTACACATACCGCCCCCACGTCTTCACTGGTACCGCTGAGATCTCGGCCGCCTCTACCACGGGCGCTGCCACCGCCAGTGCCTCTGCCTCCGCCACTGGTGCCGCCGGCAGCACTACTGCCTCTATCATGAGCGTCATCTTCGGTGCTGTGGCCGCCCTGGCCCTGAACTTCTAGATCTGTCTAGAGTGACCGGATGTCCGATACGAATGCTTGCAAGTGTATAGATGGCTTGCGAGGACATCCATTCAGCAAGACCAGTCCTTCGTGGATGCCCGCAACTGCAGACATGCATCTATTTGATTCTCTGCATCTACCTAATTTTCACTTCTAATACCTCACTTTTCTACGATTCTACCGCTCCCCGACAGGGTGTGCCCTTTCTATTCATGACGACTTTCAACGTTGCCATTTTCCAAGCTTTACGACTTTACATATATCCCTTGTGGCTCCTCAGCCCCGTTTTCTACTTCTATTAGCTTCAGCTTCTTGGATATTCCTTTCCTCCTTGTTTTTCTGCTATGCATTGGGTCTTTTTGGTCTATATTCGATGACCGGTGATGTTTCTTGCGCCGAGCGAGTTCGGATGAGTCTTTGGTTGGGCATAAGAAACCGGGTTTCAAATTCACTTTTCACTGCTTACATTTCCCGACGATGCATGTCCTGCCAGTCCCGCGGATCACAGACGGGACGTCTCCTAGTAAATTATACACTTCTCTCACCGCTTGTATCTCGAGGACACGGGCATTATTGGCTATAATTTCTTCTTCGGTGACTGATAATAATTCGATCATACATCTATGCATTTTCCTCGTCCGATTTTTGTATCCTTCCCCCCCCCCCCAAAAGAGGAGCCCAAGGCGATGCCTGTTAGAGTCCGCGAATCTCGGCTTTAGAGACACTTATGAGTCCCCAGCAAGGCCTTCGGCCTTTTCAATTTCTTCTCTGCTCAAACACCACCTGTTCTGCAGACTGGTGTCCAGACTCATCGCATAGACATCCTTGGGCCACCACTCCCCCCAACTAGTCAAGAAGATCTGCTCCGGGTCGGCTGGGATGTCGTTCCGAGTAAATGCGCGGAGAATGTTTTGGGCTCCTGTTCAACATGTAAGGCGATTCCATCTCTAAAAGGTTCTATTGTACATTCGGTATCACTCTTACCTTCTGGGATCGTCTTGGCATCGGGCATATTCATACTCAGCCCCATGTCTGTGGCGAGCTTGGTGCTGGGGATGAGACCGGGAGAAACAGCTACAACTGTGCACTCTGGTAGTTGGCGACGCCAATAATGGGCACCCAGCAGCTGGACGAACTTGGAGGCACTGTACACTGTTTGCATGCCTGCGCCGGAGCCGGCCTTCAGATCTACATCCAGCGTTTCTTAAATAAAATTGTCAGTTGATGCTATCCATGGCAGTGATATGAGTTTAGGTGAGAACTTACTAGGATCCTGCCCTCGCACATTGCGAATTGACCCGGAGGATACGAAGATAAGACGTGTGTGAGATGCAATCAAAGTCTCACGGATCAAGTGGACCAGGTAATGCTGGGCTAGTCAATGGTTAGATCGCTTTTCAACTATGCTGATCTTAGAACGATCGTGACTTACCAAGATGGTTAACGACATATCCATCGCACCATTGCGAACCGTTCGGGCCGGGACCATTAGCGTCGTCAAGGGTACCAGCAGCCAGGAACAAATAGTCCACCTTGTTCGGACCCAGCTGGGCGAGCGCCTTCTGAGCAAATACCTGCACACTACGCAGGTCCTTCAGATCAAGCGGCAGAATGTGGACTGAGTGCTTAGAAGCGTCGAAGCCGAGCGCATTGTACGCAGCCTGAGTTCCCTCGGTGTCTCGGGCACCCAGAATGAAGTTGTAAGGCTCAGGCTGCTCGAGCAGCTGCTTGACAGCTTCGAATCCCTATCGATGTCGTTAGCCAGGAAAAATTTCACCATATTATGTCTACTAGAGAAAAGTGCTTATTAGTGATAGCTCATGTCTTACCAGTCCCGACGAGGCACCCGTCGCGATGACGGTTTTCGCGTTTGCTGCCATTGTTTCCAATATAGTCGTGCGTATTTGACAGTATATTATATCCACAGAGTGTCGAATACAAGGTGTGTGTGGTGTCTCTTCTACACCGGTAGACCGCTGCCCCTCCTCCCCCTTGACTTACAAAGCGGAGTGTGGGTGCAGGCGGGCAGTGACTGCAGGGTTGACGTCATGTGTAAGAAGAGTACACTCAGATCTAGCTTGTTTCAAAAACAATATCGTCGTTCGTCTAGGACCCATTCCGATATGTCCCTATATTATTTTTGCTAACTAACGCCATTGCCAGTCTGATTCAGGCGAGTCTAACAACAAAGTTGTAGAAGGTCCTATTGTCCCTACTCTCGCTCTTGTCTCATGTATACCAACCGTGTCTACACAGTGCCCCGAGTATGTTTATCTGGCGTTAGTTGATGAAAATTAATACGCTCATGGGGCATTGGTACTCCACAATGAATGTTTTGCGGGCCCGAGAGATATTTTAGTGGCTTTTGGTGAAGGGGATGGGCGCTCAATCCTCGGTGGGCTTCGGACTTATATTAACAGTCACACTAGGGCCTGGACTTCCAGAAAAATCTAGTACCCCATTAGAAATGCGAGATACTTCGCGTGGATAACTCTGTGGAGCATCGATCAATTGAAAAGAACACGAATAGCTTCGCTTCGCTGGAACTGAGGCTCTATTATTAACAACCGCGAATATCATGTTAACACATCCCCCTGGTTGTTGCAACAGATTTGATCAAAGCTACTGGGCTGAGTTGACGACCGAAAACTTACCAAAGAGGGCAAACCATATGGGGCACTCACCGCGATGATTGGCATCACAGACGGATGGCCCGTGAGAAAATCTAGCAAGATATTTGTATTGCCCGGAGGCCCGTGCCCGAGCTATCGGACAATTCTGTGACGGTATGAGAGAGGTAGATTTTTAAATAATATTAATGCACGGCTCTTGCTAGAAATAGCAGAAGTGGTAAGAAAGTCCGGAAGCAGACTCAGGAGAAGCCGAGGCCGCGGGGTACTTGCATGGATTCCAATAGAAGATGAGCCGGGGGGAGATGCGGCCGAGACTGGGTGTTTTTCTATTCGCGATCAGTAGTACTAGCACCCAGGCAACAATAGATTTCCTTTCTGCGAAGAATATTCAATCCAGAGAAATACCGCGCCACCCTCAAGAGCGAAAAATAAATATGCTGCATCCAGCCTTCAATCTGGTGCTCCCAGAGCCCGTGGATTGGGTCCCAAGACCGCCATCGGGACAACTCATAGCGTAACTTGTCCAATCACACGAATCATGTCTCAAATATACCAGAGTATTACTGTAGTTTTTATTGCTCCCCGGAACCGAGCATGGGATATACCACTATGCAGGAGGGTCATTGGTCAATGTGCCCTGGGTGCCAGTTCTCTAGTCAGCCTTGGCTAGTTCGTTTGGAAGGGAAGCTAGTCTGAAAGAAGACCCAAAGTGCTCCGCCCATCAGAAAATTGCGCATTGTGGTTGGCCCGCTCGGTTTATGACGTCATGGGCACCGTATGAACTCGCGCGATTCCCTTTCGGGATAGTATAAGGCTCTAAGTTTGGATCGATGGGTTTTGTCGTTGCACTTTTGTCGGCTTTAGGCGTTTCAGCTCCCCAGTTCTATCTTTGGGTCTTATGGGAGTTGCTGGAGGTTGCTCGCGGAAATTAGCCTCCATGGTGCCCTATATGTAGCGGTCTCGCACATTTTGGATGTTCATACCTGGTGACCTGCAAAGAAGCAATAGTCCTCACTTATAATACACTCCTTTTTGTACATATACAAACAGCTGCGGATTGAACACCCCATAATCGGTGTGTATAAGTCAAACCCCCACTCCTCGTGGAATCCAGCTAATACTAATCGTGATCGCAGGCTACAATTCCAATCACAATGGATGCCACAGCTGCCCTTCTCAAACGTGATTCGTCACCCTCGCAGTTCTCACTCTATGTATTCGCCATTATTGTTGGCTGTGTGGCGAGCGTTCTTATCGGATTCGGCATTTGGACCATGTATCACGGAATAGAGAACGAGCAAAACCACGACGTCACCTACGAGCAGCGAAAATACATGCGTGAAGTACGACAACGAAATATCAATCGCTTGGCAGCCACAGCGAACCGACCAGACATGATCACTCCCGTTGAAAAATTAAATTATTGATGAATTGTTGGGAGGATCGACGTTCATTGAAGAAACTCACCTTTTGTGTTGAAGTATTCCGGGCTATCAGCTACTGGGAGAAACATAAAGCCGAAGCCGAAGCAGCAATGAGAACATTTGATGCTATAATAGGGCAGAGGCTCTTAGGAGATAATATTTCTCGCAATTTTGCCAAGGCAATGCGATAGTGCCCATACCTAGGCAGGCGGATACTTGATCGTTTGTCACTGGCCAAGTGACTAGAGGATAGGGATTCCGGGTGAATTCAAGATCATCGGCGCAGATTTGCATATTATTTCTATTTCAAGATAAGGACATTCTTCATAGAGCTGTAGTGAATTTCTCTACAGGATCTGTAGCTTCCAACATGGAGCTGGATAGGCTCTACCCTGATCCGGCTGATCTGGATGAATTGGCCACAGTTGAAGCTCTCGTGCGAGATGACCCTCAACTGCAAGCAGAGCTCAAGACTGTCGAAGAACTAAAAGCTATAATTTCACCACGTCACCATTGGAAGGTGGTTCAAAACGGCTACTTCTGCGCCAATTTTGTGAGTAGTGCTAACCAGAATCTGCCTTGGTATCCCACCGTTAAGTTCCATGACAGCGCGGAACGTAACCGATACTGGATGTTATGATTTTATATGCCGAGATATTTGCTTCAAAGACTTATTGGGTGGTATTTACTGCCCTATTTTGTACACTCAGATGTTGAAAGCAGGGTCCCTGCAAGAGTGCAGATGGGTCAGGTTTGCTTCAAGTCGGGCCACCGTGTCTGACTTCTCTACATCAGTGCGGCGATAGAAGATTAAAGCTTCATTCCAAAGTTCTTCTGCACTCCGTATCTCTGGGTCATTGGTTTCCCCCTTTGTCCGTTTATCTTTGGCCTCCTCCATAAACGTCCAGGCCAACTCGTCGATCGCCCGTATTGTTTCCGGATGGCGTCTTCCCCACCAGCCTGTGTAAATAGAAACAACCTCGTGCAGCAAGTCTCGGGCCTCTGGGAAATTCCCTAACCTGGTTAGAGTCCTTCCCATGTTCAGCTTGAGAGAAAGTTGAGCAGGATGCGGCCCGCCCTGCCAGTTTCTTTGGCCATGCTTGACGTGCTGGAATATCTTGAAAGCTTCTAGAGCGTCTCCCTGTCGCAGTAATACTTCGCCAAGGTCATTCAAGATTCGAAGACTCAAGGACCTCCGGTGACCTTGGCCTAGATTGTGTTCGTCGGCTGCATTGTCTGAGAAGTGCGCTGCGGCGCTTTGCAGAAGTTCCTCCGATTCATCCAGTCTGTCCGTCATCATGAATACCACGGCTTTGTTGTACGCGATAGACATTGATACATCAGGTGTGAGGGTCCCGAGGTCACTCAAAATTTTCGACGATCTATCAAAGGCCCTGAGTGCATCTTCGAACTTGCGCTGATATGTATATACCAGTCCAAGGTTTGAGAGTACATCAGCTAGAAATTCTAGGTTATCCGAAGTGGGATCCTGGAGACCAAGGCCGCGTGCAATCATTCGGTAAATGACCGAAGCTTCATCATAATGCCCAACCTGTCGGAAGACACGTGCTAGGCTTTCTAGCTCGGTGAGATTGGTGTTTGGTCCCCATTTCTTTGCTTTGATATAAGCCCAACACAGCTGGACATGAGGCGCTAGTCGCCGCATAGTCCCCCAGGAATTAGTCCCGGATGACCTGGGAACCTGGGCTGCCACGAGCGATATTGCACAACGAATGTATTCTTCTTCCTTCGTCTTCGCTCTTTGTCTTGCTATCGCCTGTATGGCTGGGTGTGTTTCCCATATGCGACTGCCATTAGGGGAAACTTTCAACTCAATGAAAGACAGGTCGGCCAGCAAAGGGTAATAATTTCTGAAGGGCGTCATGCTCCTCGCTATATTCTGGAGCCACCGTGGAAATGCATCCCCGGTTGCATTGTGACAGATCTCATACCATAAATCGTTATGATCGAGGAAGCTAAACAGAGCCAGTATGTTGGCAGCAATTGGATCCACTTTTTCAAGCTCCTCTAGGCTCAGCTCCATGGAGCGATATAAGGCTTGATCTGTCCCTAGTATCTCACTGGCATCGCTGTAGCTCTTCCAAATCTCCAAATATTCGTTGATTTGGAAGCGATACCGAGAGATAACTGATGTGGCAAGACGGAGCGCCAGCGGCAGTCCTTTCAATAAGGATATCAGATCCGGAGCCCCTGGATATGAAATATTAGCGGCGACCGGAATAATGTTTTATTTATTTGATGATTATATGGGGAGGTATAACCTTCCATTAAGTGAGGGTGAATCTGCGATTTGAGTAGGCTGATTGCATCCTCATCCTTGAGCCCCTTTGACTTCCCAAATTGGGTGATACCTTTCCACTACATCACGTCTTCGAGAGGTGAGCAGGATAAAACCCCGATTCAGCCCACGGATATTATTATGGATATCAGAAGGAAGAGGGCTCGTATTCGAGGATGTCGATTCATTAACGCCATCAATGACCAGCAGCCATCTCCCGTCACTTAAGCGGTTCAGTTCGGCGAAGAATAGATTGACAAGAGCGCGGCGTTCTGCTACGGAAATTCCAGGCAACACATTATGATGAAAATTCAAAAGGCCGCTATCCTGCTTATTCTTGAGCATGCCGATAACGCTTTGTTCGAAGCTCTCCTGGCTTTCGCCATTGATCCAGAAGATCTCTCGCTCAGGGTGGCTTGTAAGTTGTTGATTCACGAACCCAGCCGCCAATTGCGATTTGCCAATGCCGGTAAGACCCCAGAGACAGACAATAGTTTTCTGAATAGGCAGCTGAATTGAGAAGTCCAGCTGCTTCTGCAAAAATGCCATCTCCGATTTTCTGCCCACGAAAGCCCATTTCTCCGGCAAGGCTTGTGCCAAGCGAAGGCCTTTGTCCTCAAAAGGAGACGAACTGGTGACTACTCGGGTTCCTTCTCGTACTTCTGTTTAAAGATATTAGTATTTTTGGCCGGCGCATCTTGAGACTAGGGCACTTTTTGCTTTGAGATATCAACGTGCCTGGTAAGAGTCTTCCGATTTTCTGATCTTCGTAGGGTAAGCACAATAAGACCTCCTTAGCATAGGCAGCCGCCGCAATGGCTGCGTATGGCTGCCATGCGCTGTTCTTGGAGGAATCTGCAAAATCACTGATTCCTCGAATCACAGCGACTGGTAGTCTCGTCATAATCCCGGCCGCTTCCATCTCCACGGCGATACCACCATACATATCCCTTAGTTCATCCCTTCTGGACTGTGATTTGATTACTGTATTACCCGAGAGAATTGTACCGTAGTGCACCTTCGGGCGCATAGGATCCGTGGGTAAAGCAGCCTCTGGCCTCTGAAACTCCGGGCGTTTATCTAAGATGCGTAGGTGTCGTCTGAATTGCGAACCGTTTCGGGCCCGAATCACATTAATGACTGAGCGAAGCAGTGGGTGTGTCGAATTCTGCCAATGCTTTAGTTCATATCGACCGTCTTCCACCTCCTTGCCAAGATCATATCCCACGATCCCGGGTCGGTTGCCCTCTGGAACCGCGACGGCCACATCTCCCAATTGCATGCCGTTGGTAGATGAAGGGATTCCACCTGCGACCCCGACCAGGAGTCCGAACTGTAGATTAGGCAGGTCTCGAATGACTTCCGCGGCCATACTTCCAGAAGCAGCGAGTCCTTGCTCCTGGTAATACCCGACCACCGCGACTCGGTGGTGGCCGATTTCTCCACGTGTATAGACGACTTGCTGCCCTCGAGCGCGCGGTAGAAGGTCGTGGGAGACCCTATCGAGCATGGCGATGGCCGCCCGAAGCTCAATCTCGAGGGGACAGAGCCAAACTATGGTGCATTCTTCCAGATGCGCGTCTAGTGGCATATTAGACAAGATCGCTGTGCTCGCGAAGTATTTGGCAGTATTTGGCGTCTGATAATTCCTGACTTATGCCTCGGGAGGGGAGTCTAGAGCCGAAGTGAGGCTGACGCAGTTCGAAGCAATGGGCCCCCTGCGATCGGGAAACGCGGCAGCACAGCCCCAGGGCTTTCAGCCACTGAAAGGTGCAGGTCGACGTGACGCGGAGAAACTGACACCCCCGCATTCCGTCGGGAAGTGTTCTCTGCGTCCTGATACCCCTGACCGCGTACCAATTCGGGCCTGTGATCGAGTGGTCAACTGGATGAGGTACTCTTTACCACTGTCCGTCTCGCTTTTCACGGGACTTAATTTGCATTCTGCATTTGGCTCTCGGCCAGTTGAACGCTTTCGTCCCCGATATCTTTGCCCTGTGTGAAGGCGGGCCACTTCTCCGGGGGATATCCGATCACCCCAATCCTGAACCAAATGAAGAGAACACATTCCTTCTCCGCCTCTTACTCGAGGTCCGTCAGTCCTCACTATCCCTCGACAAGGGTAAGCCTCTACATACCAACCCTTCTGTTCAGCCTCCAAGCAACAATCTTTACCCTCGCGGAGTCTGACCGTTCCCCATAGCGCTCCTTCGAGCGTCCAGTCTCTCCAGGGTCCTCATCCGGCAGCCATGCCTCCGGGGTCTCTCACCCTCCGGGATCACGCAATGGGCGAAAGTTGACAATCTTGAACAACATCTCCAGTGATGAACTTCTGGATTCTGTCGAGAACTGGGATGATGGCTGCTATTCGACTTCCCCGATACCCTCCCAGTCTAGTGTTCCCCGGCAATCTAAATTGTCGAGTCGCCAGTCTTTCAGACCTCCTAGCTCCAGTGCTGCTCACAATTGGGACGACAGTCCTCCATCACTGCTCATTCGTCAGCAGAGAGGCGATTATACACCGCAACAATCGTTGACGAACCACGCATCAACAGACTTGGTGTGCAGTCTCTGCTCGCGTCGCTTCCGTCGCCAGGAGCACCTCAAGCGCCATATCCGCTCTCTTCATGCTCAAGAGAAGCCCCTTGAGCATCACAGCCACGTCAACCTGGCTCATCATCATCCCCACATCCACGACCTCATGGACCGGTTTTTTCAGGTTGAGGGTCGGTTACCTATTGATTTGCGACCCATGATGCATACTACACCCCCTCCACTACCTCCGCCACCAAGAATACGGGATCTGGAAAGTGGTTATGGTGCCGGTTGGATCCCTGCGAATTCCGAGAAATCTGCTCTTGCTCTTCCATTGATCGATACCACTTCAGGCTTGTTTGCAGGACGTAGATCTGATTCTAGTCTGCGAAGTGATCCCATAGCGGTGGATGAGCCAGAAGGAAGACAAGGTGGCCTACCATTATCACGCAAACCGAAAATCCAGTTCGATTCTATGTCCGTCATTTCGCCCTCAGGACCCGTGTGAGTCAATTTGTGAAGAATTCTGCGAAGTTGATAGATTTGAAACTTGAAACGCTGATAATTCGATAGACCCCAAGGAGTGTGCGACTGCGACTTCTCGTTAGAAAGCGATAATGCATATGATCAGCATCTACTACCACATATCGCAACCCCATTTCCCCCTCGAAGCTCTAGCAGTCATTGATCTGATTACCGTGGCTCAATTTCATCACTTACAGCTCCTTCTCGGTCACCTAGCAATATCTGTTCGCCAGGACCGATTGTGGGCTCTAAGCTGGATGCAAACTGGTCTTACCGTCCTCAATCAGGAGGGCTATCAGCAAACTTTGGTATGGGCTGGAGGGAGTATATTAAGCGATGACGCAGCCTAGGCGTGGAGAGTACCACACCTTCGTCGTCAACAAAGTACTACTTTATACGAGATATGGGTCGATGACGACATCATAAAGCAACTCATTCCCAGGAAGATGGTATTAGTCTCCTGAGTCGATCGAACCGCGGAAGTTACAACTAGGATATATTCTTGGATATGGAAGAAGAGTTCGGACCGGATGAACAGATGATTCCCCGACCATATATGGACGAGCTGATACCCCACGATATTAATCTTCGAGAGCCTACCCCGCTGTACTTGAGGGCTTAAGGCAGGGTATGAAGCGAGCTGATTATCAACTTTTTAGACAGAACTATATCAGTCATGTGATCTCCTAGTAGCCTGGTAGCTCTACGCTCTCCTGTTCGCCTCATAACATACTGACATGAAGTGAGACGCAGAAGCATTGGTACAGGAAATCTACAGGAACCCGGAGTTGATCATCAGGGAGGATTGGGTTTTGCGAGCCATACATACAATTCCTTCCTACGGGCATGAACCCTTGGGTACTAGCTCGTGGACAAGGAATATCACGTACGGCTTTCCAGTCAACTCATCATAGATAAGCTTGGTTTACGGTGGCTATACGTGGCTGGGTACCGCATGGCACAAGCTGTCTTATCCATATGTTAACTCTAGGACTCGACAGATGAAATCAGAGTATGGACTTACTCATAGACGTCTAGTGATGACGAATATGGTACTTGGTATTCTGACTATTATTTGTCTTGTTTTTGAGAAACTATTGGCAAAGCATTTGACTTTACAAATATTGAGGAGCTTCATGGTGCTATTAGTTGCCATCCCAAGTAGGAAAGCAGGAAGCGGAGAGCATGATGAGTTTCAGGACCTTGTATTGATCGGCAGCATGGACGAAAGGAGTTTATTATACGGTTCAACTAGCATCAGAATATGAACTTTCAAGGGCTCCAGCTCACTGCCAAAAATTCCACTCAACTCGATCATTTTGAGTTTCTACTTGTTTCCTTACCGCAGGTTCCCTTCCAGCCGGATTTTTTCAATCCGTACACCAGTCAGTCTCTTCGATGCTGTTAGGTAAACGCTATTTCCCTACCGAATCTTAGGTTCTCTCATGAGTTCTACAGCGTGCCAGAGTTCTCCTAAGATCCTCCACTCCCATGTACGCGAAAACTAAGCCAGCATCCAGCTCGTGGGATGGTGGCCATAGAGTTGGTTGTGGCAGCATATGGGAAGCCCCACATGATTCGGCTCAGTCAGCAAGCCGCCTCACGTCTATTCCACGCCCTTCGCCTCATCAAATCGGGGATTTACCACTGAACACTCTAGCGAAATGGATCGTGGAGTCTCCAATCCATGCTACACATGCCGTAACCGGCGTATCCAGTGCGACCAGTCTGGCATACCCTGCGACAAGTGTAAAAAGGCGGGCCTGGAATGTTTTGATAAAAGGCCGTTCCGATGGGTCAAAGGCGTTGCGATCCGCGGGAAGATGCAAGGCCGGACATTCGAAAATACAAATCTATCCTCCCTGGTAGCAGAGGACGAATCAACAACTGCGGTGAACGCAAAGCGCACGTTGATGCGAACTGCTGTAGCGCGGAGAAAGCGCTTCGATTCTACTGGTGAGGCCATTTGCGGGCTTTATCTCGTTTCCTATTGCAAGATTCTCGGCAATCACTTACTCCAGATTTCTGCATGCTTTCTGACCCTTTTTTTGTTCTTTTTTTGGTGATGGCTTTTGTTCTGATGTATGCAGTCAACTAAATTTTGATATTGGGTACACAGATACCTTCTCTAACTCTTCGTCGTCCTCGTCAAGCCCGCCATTGATCGTACGAGATCCAACGTTATCGAGTTTGAACAGAATTTCCAGATACTATATCGATTACTGTGAGCTTTGGAAGTTGCATTCAACACCTGATCAGTGGTATTGACATCATCGTATAGACAATGAACGCATCTGTCAGCTTTTTATCGTATATGACACCGACAGAAATCCCTTCCGAAGCCTCATACCCTTGGGCTTGAAGGACCCGGTTTTACTAAAAGCCCTTCTTGCGCTTGCAGCACGCCATCATGTAAACAAAGGCCAGTCGTTTCATGAGCCTGGATCACCAACATCGCCGCAGCTCGCCAATGCAAATCGTCATGCACTTGCCTTCAAATATCAAGCTATGGAAGCACTATCACATTCCTTAAAAGATACAGAACTGTCCAAATCGGACACTACAGTGGCCAGCATATTTCTTTTGATCTTCTTGGATCTTTTAGAGTCCGGCAGTGACGGGTGGAATTTTCACCTCGAAGGCGCCAAGAAACTAATCGCGTCCACTTGCCCTCAACCCGACTCCCAGACCTGCATCAATCAAGGTCCAGGACAGACTGTGAAAGAGATAAGAGCCTTCATCACCAAGCAAATAAAAATGTAAGTACACCCAAAACATTGATGCCCGTCTTTGATCTTACAATGTTCCTCCAATAGGATTGAAACGCTTGGGGCGACTTTCTTGCGCCCTAAATTACTATCCCATTTCACTACCTTCGATCAACAAGAACTGCAGCTTCAAGAGACCATCGAAGCTTCTTTCCTTGGGTGTCCCGAATACCTGTTGACCGCGATGCAGTGTCTTTCAATGCAAAGAGATAGTATGTCGGGATCCAACTCTCTCGATCAAACAGCTATGGATACACTCCTGAAAGAAACGACGTCTTTACTCGATATGGTCCGGAATTTTGATTGCTATGCCTGGGTATCGGGCTTGCAACAATCACGTCCCCCTTCACCAAGAGAAATCATCAGTCTCTGCACATTATCAAGGTCCTACAAAATTGGCACTCTGCTCTATGGGAGAAGAATCGAAGACGCCGTGACGGGGAACGTGACAGTGTTGGATGACATGGTGGCCGAGTTGCTGGGTCTAATTGACTCGCTGCAGAACGACCGTGTTATGTTCAAATGCGTCCTTTGGCCTATCTTTGTTGCCGGTTTGGAGTGCCAATGGCCGCCTCAAAGGGTGTTTCTTATTGGTTGTATGGAAAAGTTTTGGGATATCACCAGCTGTTTGAACGCAGTCAACGCTGCGAGGATCTTGCAGGATTACTGGCGTCAAGTAGATGCAACTGGGCAGGCCCAGTCGCTGTGGATTTTCGATATCGGCCGCTTGGGTCGGGACTGGCTCTGGATCTAACCTCGGCACATATAATTTAATGAACGACAATCATGAACGACAAGATGGTTGATATAAAAGAGGAATATAAGGTTCGCACTTCTTTTAAACTACTGAGCCCCTATGAGAGACTCGAATGCCTGCAAAATATCACCTTTCAGATCCTCCCAGTTTTCCAGGCCCACACTGATTCTCAGCAACTTTCGGTCCACTCTGGCGTCAGACAAGGCTCGCCACTCGATCAGCGACTCAACTCCACCGAGACTGGTTGCATGCTGGAAAAGGTTCAGTTTGCTCGGCAATGCTCGAGCAAAGGTCTCGTTGTGCAAGATGATAGAGAAAACAGGACCAAACCCGTTGGGCATCTGCTTCTTCAACCAAGGCTCATCCTGAAGACTGGCATGGTAGATCTTCTGCAATACAGTTTGGATCACGGCCTCTTCCGAACCATGTACGGGATCGGCGCTATTCAAGGCTCCATTGAGCCACGATATCAGCTTGGCTGAGTTCTCGCTTGCACGTTGCACTCGAACTTCGAGTGTGCGCAAACTCCGTGTACCCAGCCAGCCCTCCAAATTTCCGATCACATTCCCCAAAGCCATGCGATCCTCAAAGAGCTGCTTGGCCCAGTCATCCCTCTTCACCGCGAGGACCCCGCAGAGGAGATCGCTGTGTCCTCCAAAGTATTTGGATCCCGAGTGCATTACAATGTCAGCTCCCCACAGAAATGGGTCCTGGAGGCTCGGGGGCGCAAATGTACTGTCAACAATGAGGAATGCCCCTTGAGAGTGTGCCTTTTTAGCGTATGCTTCGATGCTGAATGCCGTGCCTAGAGGGTTGACCGGGGTTTCGAGCAAAATGACATCTCCCGCGTTGAGACTTTCAGCGGGACAGTCAAGAGGGAGCTTTTTCAGCCCTGAGAGACGAGATATCACTGCTATGACTTCATGGCTACCGTGGTAGCCTTCGCCCACCGATATCTGACGGGGGTTCAGCAGCGTCAATGCGGCGTGCAGGGCAGCTAAGCCGGTGGCATAGCTCACTGCATGGCCCTTGAGGAGAGATGAGAGAACAGCTTCAAAGCGAGTGGCATTTGGTGCAAACTCGCGAGCGTATACGTAGTTCTTTCCATTAAATTCCGCCTATAGAAGAAAGACTTAGCTTGAGAGAGTATCGACCCAAGGGTTGGTTGAAGATACACACCACCGGATCCTCGGACATAATCAGTTCATCCGGGTTGTTTGAATACCTGAAAGTTGTGGACAGGTGGATTGGAGGTGCGACATCAGTCACTAGATTCAGGCTGTCATCGGCATGCAACGCCAGAGTAGATGGGTGGCAGTTGTTAATTGGTGCCATTTTCCTGGATAGATCTCAATCGAGAACAATTCAGATAGAAGAGGGAAGAGGAGTGCAGCTCAGAGAAAGGAATGTCGGTGCAGTCAACTTGGACATTTATATATCTGCTTCGTCGCCCGCAACCTTCGAAATGAAGTTATCCGGACCCACTCCCATCAAGTTCCTAAAACGGCAGTCAGTACAACACTCCTATTGGATGGCCGCAGGGTCGGTTGCGCCACTCGTTTCTGCTCCACTCCCTCCTCTGCCCTTCTCGATATCTTTTCCTGGCTAGGTTTAGACTATGTCGATTTTGCGCGCCCTTATCGGAAGATCCATCAAATGCCATTTTCGATAGTAGAATGACATGAAGGGTTCTCTCGGCGCGTTCGTCCAATGAGACTGCCCCGCAAAGCGACTGACAGGGTCTCCGCGAGAAGTACGGAGATTGCGGGTCAAAGGGAAACTTCCGAATATATAAAGCCCTATGCATTGAGTCACTTCCCGACAATCATCCTCGCAAGTCCAGGGTATCTCTTGGTCGTTCATCGCCAACCATGTATCTCCGAGCGGTTCACGCAGAGTCCTCAACACAGGCCCTCTTTGAATTCATCAAAGCCAATCCCTTGGGAGTCATTACCACCGCCATCCCCTCCCCCACCTACCGTTTTCTTCAGTCCAGCCATGTCCCGTGGGTGCTGGATGTCTACGATGATCCCGAGGCCCCCGTGAAGGGCCGCCTGCGGGGCCACATGGCTAAGCAAAACCCGCAGTCGAAAGCTATGATTGAAGCCTGTACCAACTCCTCAACGTCGACATTGCAGCAGGATGTGATGATCCTTTTCACCGGTGCCCATCACCACTACGTGACGCCCAAATTCTACACTGAAACTAAGCCGACCACCGCCAAGGTGGTCCCTACGTGGAACTATGCCGCCGCCCAAGTTTACGGCAAGGCCACTATCTACTATGACTCATCTTCTTCGGAGACCTCCGAATACCTGTCGCAACAGATCCACGATCTCTCGCAGCTCTGCGAAACGTCGGTCATGGGCTACACCGGCCGCGAAGGAAAGCCTGGGCCCTGGAGCGTGCTTGATGCGCCTGAGCGTTATATTGATATTATGAAGAAAAACATCATTGGCATCGAAGTCTCCATTGAGACTATTGAAGGAAAGTTCAAAATGAGTCAGGAGTTGGGGCAGGGTGATCGCAATGGGGTGATTGAAGGGTTCCATAATCTCGGATCCGATGTCGGCACCCACATTGCAGAGATGGTGAAGGAGCGCGGGGAGATGAAAGATGCCGAAAAGAATAAACAATGATATAGATCGTTTCTAGAGTCTGACAGAAGGATTACGTGAATGACGATGCCCGCTCAAACCAGTCCTTTTCTGGGTAATCCTGCTGACACGCGGATACATTGCCGAAAATAGTCCACCTCTACTTGGATGGTTGTAATGAGAGTTATAACAATAGAACATTGCTCGAATACGGGAAGTTACGGGCAGTCCGCCTGTGAGGCTGATATGCTGTCAAGGTAGGCAGCGGGGTGGTTGGAGACCTTGTTTGGACCCATCACGGCGGCCTAATTGCCCCATCCCCCGCCTCGCCTGGACAATCCCCCTTCATCCATTCCACCAACACCGACCAAGATGCCTCCCTCGGCGCAAACGGTGAGTCTGGCTGGTGTGCTCATTCGCCTCATCTCTCTACATTTTCCTCTCCAGTATACCTGCACGATCGCCCTGAATCTCGCTGCTTGGAGTTGACCCCGCACTGTCATCATAAACCCCCCATCGCGCCGCGCATTTCGCATCGTCTACGCTCCTCCCAGCGGGCACGCGAAGCTGATGAACATCTGAAACGCTGACAATATGAACCAAAAGACCAGATTAATTTCCAACCTGCGCCTCCTTATTCCGCGCCTTCGTCTTCTCCAGAAAAAAGACACCGCATCCTCCGTTGTCCAACGCCGCGAGCTTTCCCAGCTTCTGAGCGAACACCGCGAGGCATCCGCACGGATCCGGGTGGAGAATGTGATTACGACAGATATTGCCGTGGAGGTGATGGAGATGATCGAGCTGTACTGTGAGCTACTGCTGGCCCGAGCCAACGTGTTGGATCAACTTGCATTCGGGGAGAAGGGAACGCGCGCGCGGTTGCGCGCCAAGGAACTGCTCAAGAAGCAAACCCAAGCCCATGCTGGTGAGAAAGCCTCGGCTACTACAACCGAAAGCTCCGGCTCTCGATTCGGGTTCTCTTGGCTAGGAGGATCACAAAAGGCGGAGGTTAAGCCGGCGATCGCTGCCCGTCCTTTGGAGGGCCCGGGAGACATTTCAGAGGAAGACAACGCATATATGGATACCGCGCTCGATGAGGCTGCTGTTGCTATTTTTTATGCCTGGCATCGCTTCCCGCACGAGTTGCGTGAGCTTACCATGCTTCGCACGATGCTCGGTGAACGCTATGGCAAGGAATTCATGACCTTGGCGCAGGACAACAAAGTGGACTCTGTCAAAGTCCCCGATAGGCTTCTGAAGAGCTTGCGCGTACGCCCGCCGGGACAAGAACTGGTTGAAAGTTACCTACGGGAAATTGCAAAGGCATATGGTGTCGAATGGCCAGTCGGAGAGGACTTGAACACACAAGAGGAGCTTGGCGATGCGCCACCAGAGTTCGTTGACGATGTTCCGCATGATGCACATGAGGGCCAAGGAGGTGATCTACCCCAGACTCCGAAGAAGCAATATACAAGCCCCACATCCCGACCAAACCTCTCCGAGGCGAGGCGCGCCTCAGAAACGAGCGAGTTGAACAAAGCAACCCCGCCACGCGGCCCGGCAGCAGGCCGCAGCCCTGTCAGTGTTGCTCCACCGGCACCCAGGACTGATAATCCGAACCCTCGGGTCAAAGTGCCCGGATCTGAGGACAATGCAGCCAAGGCTAGCCCTGGTGTCGGATCACAGAGCAAGAGCAATACTAATGGGATTCCGGAGCTGGATGAGCTGACACGCAGGTTTGCGGACCTTCAAAGAAAGCCTTGAGGATGCAGCTTGCTGTTTCATTTCTGTGGTCATGTTGCTTATTCGATTCAGCCTTGCATTTTTCAACACTTCTACATTGAGTGGAGACTTTGACGGGGGCTTTTGTTGGCATCTCCATGCGGGAGTTGAAGGGGTTACTATCATTGCAATCTCATCTTCACAAAGCCTGATATGCTTGAAGCGTAGCAAAGACGAGCGGTCATTCCCGCCCAGCCTCGCACTACCTAGAGGTTTAAAACCGAACTTGGCGGCTTCAACGCAGACGGAAGGCACCCTTCCTTGGCGATGAACGGTTAGATGATCTGGAGGTCTGTGTGTCATGTAAACAAACGAACCCCCAATTCTTTTCAGTAGTCAGTCTATGAAATTCGGTTACCCTCGATCGGCTTGAGATCTGGGATCGTAGATCGAGCAAGAGGGGCGATCTGAGATCGATACATATAACCTTAAAACCCACGCCAGCCACCCAAGCACGATGAAAGAGCCTCCGGATTTCAAATCAGTGGCATGATGGAGGCCCCAGGCCAGAAATATTGAACTCCATCAAACTTGAAATCCAATCTAAAGCTCAGATGCAAGTGTCAGAAGTGTCAGACGCGAGTGTTAACGGTAATTGCGCGGGCCGTTGGAGTAAAAAGCGGGACCATTCCAAGCCGGGAAGGGAAAACGCAGGCTCTAAATCCGATGCATCACAGCGCCCCTCGTAACAACACAAGCCAATCCCCCTCTCCAGCCATGTCGCAATCCTAACATGCCATCTTTCCCCCAACCTCCCCACTCTACGACTGCCCGCGACTATCGTTCCCCCTTCAGCAGCTGGCAGCCTGCTAGCACGACAGACCACACGACCTTCCTCCGCGTTCCCCACCCGATCCTGCGCCCCCAAACAATACCCAAATGCCAGTCTACATGCTTCACGGATTCCGGTGGCCCCGTGCGGGCTTCACAGGGATCCGCGTCTATGTGGTCCTCCACAATCTCGAGGAGGCCGCCGCCGAGTACGTCCAGCAGCCGCTGACGACGGAGCTGCTGACGGAATCTCTCAAGCGCACGCAGCCCGACCTCATGCCCCGGCTGCCACAGCTGCACTTCATCGAGCAGTACGACCCGCTCGACGAGTCGAGCAACACGGTCAGCCAGGACTATGCGTATGTTGGAACCAAGGTGGTGACCATCCCTGACGGCACGGCGCCGGCGGGCGCGGGCCCCGGCCTGAATATCGAGGACGTGGTGGAGCAAGGGTCGGGCTTGTCAGCCGATGAAACGGAGGCACTGGAGGCATTGCGCGATCGCTTGGCACCTGAGGAGAAGATTGGCTGGTTTATGGTCTATAATGGCGACCCGGATCGATACTATCCTCCCTCGGAGGACGAGGAGGAAGAATATGAGGACGAGCAAAGCTACGTGGATGAGAAGTCGGAGAGCCAGACAGAACCTGGGACACCGCAGAGCTATACGGTATGTATCTGAGGGAAGCTGCGGTGCATTCCGCGTACTAACTGTGCACCTTCTAGGCTCGACTTACTCGGCTCTTCCACCGAATCAGCGCTTCCTCGGCCGCATGAGAGTCTTCGCTGTTCTCCTGTACCCCGACCCCACCTCGACCTCACCCAATGATTAATGATCTCCTGTCATCCTCCAGACTTCTCCGAATGGGCTGTGTATCTAGCATAGTCTGTTTTGGGTTGTTTAACGATTTATACGCCTCATGCCCGTCGATACTTTCCTAGCCCTACGCAACTGCGCAATATGTTTTCTCTATTTTGGAAGTAAAGCTATATATCACATTGAAAAGCGCCTGCTCTATAGTTTAGATATTTATGCTTGCTTTGTATTCCCATGCCATGTGATTCGATTCAATTGCATCGTTTAAGGTATCTTTATCGGTCAATGCATTCGTTGCTCTCGCGTGGCTGTAGCCGAGATTCTAATAGTGTCCATAGTGTCTAGATGGGCGGTGAGAACTGGCAGTATGGAGAGGGGAGCTTCATGATAACGGACGCAGTGGAGAATCTTCCGCAGCTGCGCGCCAAGACACATCCAAGGAGCTTCACAGATGCCGGAAGGGTGATTCCTGGATTTACAACATGGTCCTCTCGTTCATTCTTGTCCAGAATCGCCAGTAAGTATCGACCGCAAAGACGACGCTTGCAATGCTCACCGAGGGTATAGGGGCAAAACGCGCCTGGCGAAGTGGTACGCACCGTATAGTGTGAGTGTTGCCGTCTCTAGTTGAAGAGAACCGCATCTAATAAGATCTCCAGGATGAGGAGAAAGTCAAGCTGAAAGGCGAGGTTCGTGCCGCCGCAACAACCCATCGCCCGCCCTGAACCGAACAAGTCAACTAACCACCAGCCCAGGTGCATCGCCTTGTCGCCCCTCGCGATCAGAAATACCAGTCGAACTTTGTGGAGTTCCGCCGCAGCACCAAGATTGTATACCGACGATACGCCGGATTGTTCTTCTGTGTCTGCGTGGACGCCAACGATAACGAGCTTGCGTACCTGGAGGCCATCCATTTCTTCGTCGAGGTGCTCGATCAATTCTTTGGGAACGTGTGTGAACTGGATTTAGTTTTCAACTTCTACAAGGTGCGTGGCGGGGAGATCATTCACATGGCGGCCGCGTGGGATGGGAAGCAATACAGACCAGATACTGATTGGGAGGTGCTAGGTCTACGCGATCCTCGACGAGGTCTTTCTCGCCGGCGAGATTGAAGAGACGAGCAAGCAGGTTGTTCTGACCCGACTCGAGCATCTGGATAAGCTGGAGTGAAGAGGCAGCGCTGGCTGCGAGCAACCGCGAACCAATTGAGATGGGCCTCTCGAAGATAGGGCGCATTTGGCACCGAGATTGCATCGGCGCACAAAGTCATGGGCAAGGAGTTTTTGGGGCGTACTACTACATACTGGGATCCTGGCGCGGGGATCAATTGAGCCATTCTGTTTCTGGTTTATGGGCGTTCAGGGAGAGCAGCAATAATCCGCCATAGATATGGAATCTGCCATCACTCTGGGGCAAATGTCGAAATCACCAACCAATCTGGGGACCCTGCCAAGACCCAGGGCCCGCTCGTATTCTCTTCTCTAACGTTCCCAGCACCCCGGAGTCAAGTCGGAATCAGGGTCTGGTATGCGTAGGGCTCAGGTACGTATGTGGTACCTGTACCCAGCGTTCTCAGGCTGCTGCCCAACTGCCGAATTCACTGCCGTCGATGCATCCCGGCGGGGACGATGCCCACGCTGTCTCACTGGAGCACATGGTGTTAAGCTCAAGATTAGATGGCAGATGTCTAATTCAACGTCGTGGTTCCATCGCAATTTGGCTGGTTTCCCAAACGGTCCTGGCTCGGTGTGAGGTGATTGTGCCTATCGATGGCGAGCACGACAACGAGGTCTTGGCACCTGCCATATATTGATGGCCTTTCTGCCACACTCCCCGAATCATCTTCTAGCTTGTTTATTCTTGTTATGCTCATTCTCAACCTTGTGGCTAAGGGAACAAAGTGCTATGATCATCTAGAGGGTACGATGCCGCCCATGCTACGCCGATATACTTCATGACCCTCACAAGGACTCTGAACCACCACATTGGGACAAGCCGCATTCCATAACTGTCTGGGCAATCACACTAACACACCGCTGCAATGACCACACCTTTTGCCCCTGGATCACCCTGATCAACTAACTCCTGCCCACTTGCTCAACAGCTTCTACTTCCCTGACGAGCCCGGTGCTCCTCCGCCCGGGACGATCCATTCAGCGGGAAAAAGATACGCTACCGAGGCGAAAAAAAGCCTCACCCTCGTTTCATTTCACCAAGCAGGATGCAATCTCCGAAGATTTGCTGTGCTCAGAGGTGCGGCCCATCCTCCGCGACGGATTTGGCGCAGTCGCCATCTCTTATCGGCGGACCACCAGCCCTGAGCGAAGATTGAAAGGCCGGATCCTTCCTAAGGTGGACGCGACTTCCAGAAACCCTTCCAGAAACTCTTCCAGAAACCTGAAAACCGGAAACGGGGTTGCCAGCGCCAGTTGATCGTCGGTCGAGGGATATTGGATTTCTTGGCAAGTGGGCACTAACGGGTCTCGACTACGAGCGGACTCGTCGCCGACAATCAAGAGATTCCATCAATCTGCGGAGCAGCTGGTGGAGTGGAGCGCACCACTCTGGCTGGAGCTCGGTCTGTGGTTGTGGATCCGGGACGATGCCCCTGGGAGTATTGGATCGCATGTGCTGATCGGCTGGAACTGGGCCTGAGTTTGGGAGGAAGCGCGACTATCACACATGAAGATATTCTTCCGCCCGGAGTACGACACAGCGTCTCTGCCGTCCGGGATGAGCGTCCGGAAAGCCACCTCAGCAAACCCCCTCCTCTCCCTTCCATCACCCTCAAACTCCTCCGACGGGGATGTGACACGCATGCGACCGAGCACATTGGACGATCAAATCAAACTGGATGCTCCATTTGTGATACTTTCCCTTCTCGGACTGGCTTCCAGACTTCCAGAGTTTCAGAACCTCGCATTCCCCACTGCCAAAGTGGACGCGTTGCCCTCTGCGGAGCCCCACCAATCAGCACGGCCAGGGGCACGGATCGTCCCCAAGAGCCGGGAGAAACTTCACCGATCGCCGATGGAGTCAGGGCATTCGTGCCTGGTCCGTTCGCGCGGGACTGGGCCTTAGGTAGGCCGGATGCATTGGATTGGCCCTGCTGGGGTTGCGGACCTGGGACGTCGGGCCTACGCGGTTCGGGGGGCTTGGCAGGCTGGTCTCTGGTGACGGGCGGCCTCCGACTGTTCCTCTGTACAGGTATTTACCGTCTCCGTTTGGCCGTGTCACAGCCATACGACACCGGGTTTCCACAGCCCCTGACTATCCTCTCTCCCTGCGTCAGCCTGTGACGTCTTGTGTTCTGCGCCTCATTCTCCCGAAACGTGGATATGTCCCGCGCCAAACACCAGAACCGTTACGATACAATGGGCTACGATTACGAATGACCCCCAGAGTCGTCGACTCAATGTCCTGGAGATTCAAGAAGGGATGAACAGGGAAACTGGCAAGGGTATGAGAACGAAATGGAAAGGATTGACCGAGGCCAAGCCTGAAGAACGTGTGGAACCGCGCCACTCGCGGGGGCAAATGCCCATGGAATTGATGAACGCGCCTCGTCCAGTCTGATTGGCCTCATGTCTCTGACAGATGCCCACTTTCGTCGTTCTAATCGATCGCTTGGGGGATCAGTCGAGCTGTATTTTTCCTTTCCCTCTTTCCTGCTTCCCCCCCTCCACCCACACCCCTTATCGCCATATCAACCCCTTCTAGACTTTTTCTATAGTCTTGTCCCTTCTTTTTATCCACTCCCTCTCCCGCCTCTCGGTCGTTTTTGCCATTCATTCCTCACTCTCTTTTTCCCTCCGTCGTATCAGCGTGATCACTTGGAGTTCCCTCTCAGTTACCCCGTCATGTCTCTGATGCTCTCCGATAACCTGGCTCCTCAGCCCATGACTGATGTCTTCACGGACGACACATGCATTGACCGTCGCAAGTGCCACCGGACGGTGCCTATGAAGGTCCTGGCCCTCGGTGTAGGCCGTACCGGTACTGCCTGTAAGTGATGAGACCTGGCCATGTCTTGACTTTAGTGACGCCAGCCTGACTTTCTCCGTTCTATAGCTCTCCGCAAGGCTCTGGAACGCCTGGGTTATGGCAAGTGCTACCACATGATGTGCGCCAGTGTAGAGAACCCGCCGGACTGCCTCATGTGGCATGATGCCCTGAACGCCAAGTACGAGGGTGTCGGTGAATTCGGCCGCAAAGAATGGGACCAGCTGCTCGGCGACTGCCAGGCCGTGTGCGACTGGCCCGCCTGTGCTTTCGCCAAGGAGCTGATTGAGGCCTATCCCAACTCAAAGGTCATCCTGACCACCCGTGATGTCGACCCGTGGCACGCCTCTGTCATGAAGACCGTCTACTGGCGCGTCAGCGACCCCGAGCACAAGTTCGTCTCCAACTTCAGCTGGGCCGCCGGCATGTACTACCCCATGCTCAACAAGTTCTTCGAAACCTTCTTCCGCGGTGACTTCCCCGGCAAGGGCAAGCAGGTCTACAACGAGCACGTCGCTCAAGTCCGCAGCCTGGTGCCCGCGGACCGTCTGCTGGAGTACAACATCAACGACGGCTGGGGTCCCCTCTGCGAGTTCCTCGAGGAGGAGGTACCCGACCACCCCTTCCCCCGTGGCAATGACATGGCCGACTTCTACAAGCGCTGCAGCACTCGCAACCGCCACCAGATGATGAATGCTGCTCTGCAGGCCGTCACCATGGGCGGTGCCCTCCTGGCCACTGGCTTCGCCGCCACCATGGCCTTTAAGCGTTTCTCTCGGTAAAAGGGAGAAGCTCCTTGCATCTTTTCTTCTGATTTCCTATCTTTGGCACTCTTCTCTTTGGTCGACTCTACAGTGAGTGCTGGCACCACTTGGCGTACGGCCGAGCTTCGTGGTCACGTCTTCTGCCTTCTTTTTCGAGGTGACCATTTGGAGCTTTTGGTCTTTTTTTGTTATCGGTCTAATATTCCCCCACCATTTTTCTCTCTGCACACCCACTTGAGGGAGCGGTCGTTTGGTTTTTGCAGATAATCATATTCTACATTATTTTTGGGTACATATTCTCCTGTTTATTTATTTTTCCCCACTTGTTTCTTGGATTTTTTGTTTCAGAGCATGTCCTATCATCCCTGGCACCCTTGGAAACGTCACAAGTCATCTCACAGCATCCTCGTGAGGAATGGTCAAGAAACATGACATCAGTGTAAAGGGAGGGCACCCCCAATCCACATCCCCATCCCCATGCCCACGACCACGAAGGTTTCCATCATCGTGACTTCTGAGGGGAGCAAGGGGCTATTGTCAGGCCACACAGGCCGCACCACCATGCACTTGCTCCTATGTCGAATCTGGCAGGCGCACGTGGAGTGAGACGAACAATACCAAAAGATAAAAATTGCATGATTACTTAACATTCATCGGGATTTAACATCCATCGGGATCTCTGCGTAAATTTACTGTAACTATTTCCACTTTACCTCATTTAGATTCAGTCCCCGCAGCCTGAGAAGTACAAGTATGTGATGAAGCACAGCCTTGCGTATAACCATAGCACTGCTTCCAAGAACCCGTCTGCGTCGCCGGGCGAATCCATGATTCTGCCACAGCAGCCAGGCCGGGCCACCGCGGTGTCAGCAAGCACCTGGGCGGGACGACCTCTCGGGTGGGGGGGGGAGGGCGGAACGAAGCAAGGGCACAGCACAGGACGGAGTACCTGGTTCCGGGGAGGAGCCGCCAGATGGAGGCCCTCGTACTCGTACGAACCACCCACTGAACTGACGACGCCTCGCATGCCAGGGCGATTGCTTGGCTGGCCTAGCGGCTTGGCAGCGGCCCGCCCATCGCGGCCCATGCCCTACGGGCACTAGTCGGTTAGTTCGTTGCTGGAGGCAACCCCTCCTTCGAGAAGGTCCCTCTTTGAGAGTTCCTGATTCGGGTCTGTATACTCGGTAGTGTGGCGTGTTACGTCGTCGGCTTGCGTACTAGCGAGGTGAGACATCGTCGCGTTGATGTGAGATCTAGCCCGGATAAAGGGACGAATTACATCGGCAACCGAGCACGGAGTATACACATGAACGGAAGTTTTCATTCGGTGGATGAGATCTGCTTGCGCTGTGTGATGACGAGGACAGACTTCGGTTGTGAACTGCTCTCGTCACCCTCAGTGGTATTCCCGGAGTGGTGGACTGCTGTTGGCACGCTTATCGCTGGGAATTCAATTGCGATGGGGAGAGTGTTACCATTTTCTGTGTTACTTGTTGTGTTTGGTTGTGTAGCTTGAGCATCCAGCGAAGGTGGTTGGATCCTTGGACCCTGGGCCGTTCGCGGTCGATGATTTAGCCGGTAGAGGCTGTACAGTATGTTATTTTTATTTTACAATATCGTGTGTCGAGGTATGAAATTCAGTACTGCACATGCGAATTTCTATCCATTGGATAGGTCGTGGATAGTGTGCTTCGTGCGTCATAATCCCATGCATACCATAGCTGTCCACGTAACCAAGCTTCGAGGAGAGGCGTTAGTCGCCAGCCTTGCAGACCTCGAGGCGTATGCATGAAAGAGACCGCGCGTTCACGGTACCGTAACCTTTACGGGGTCGGGGACTATACTGTAGTACATACGAACCGTAGAGGTGTGGCGCATGTATGTGGCTGGAGCCCAGATAAGACCCAGCTGGAACATGCAAAGTCGGCGGGACCACGCGGGACCAAGCAATGCCCGCGGCCCGTCCACAGCTTTCCTTCTCAGCCACACACACGTGGCCACGGCCCGGATTTGGCCTTCTCGGCTTCAATCTGGGACGAAAGGGCTCCATTTTCGTAGAGGATATTCTGAACAACAGACTCGGCATTCGATATTCTCTTCATACCAGAAACGATTGAGAAACAACGGTACATTCCGAAACCATCCGCCACGACGTCTCGGACATGGTCTGAGCGCCGTGCGTTCGCACTCGCCAGCATGACGTGGCCTGGGACGGCCCGAATTACCAGTACCGTACGACAGTCCAGCGCCTGGTCTTCCACCGGCCGGCGACCCTTGACCGGCCCCAATCCGAGGCAATCCAACTCGACGTCAACCTGATCCCAATCGCTCCACGAGAGAAAGACAACCCGGGTCCAAACTGCAATGCGATGCTCCGGTCTTCCTGACCCATCCCCGCAATCCCAGCGAGTGGCTCCTTCTTGGCAGCGGGTGGTGCGCCGCCTCGTGATGAGCTAAGCAACTTTCCACAGCGTCTTATACTTCTAATCGGCTTGTTGCGTTGGATCCGCCAATGGCGACTGTCTGTGCCGCCCACGGCAATCCACTCTGCTAGTCTCCGCCGCTGGGAGATGGGCTTTGGAGAGATGACGGAAAGTGGATCGTTGTACTCGTACCCATTTCCCCCCGTCTCTCCCTGAAGAGCTTCTCCTCCTGTGATATGCATTTGTCTTTTATTTGCTTCGATTCTCCTTGCATGCCTTTGACACCACCATATTCCACCCCCGCCCCCCTTCCTTCTCTGCCCGACCTGTGCTTCCTCATTCTTTCGCTGTGGGAGTGATGTAAAAGAGGACCCATGGTCGCTACCATCTTCTCCTCCTGGAGGACGGGTCCCTCCCGCGCTTTCCTCCTTGGCCTGTTACTATGCGCGTGGCACGGCGCGGTCGCGGAGGACGTTTCCTTTTATAAGTCGGTGAGTACGCGCCAGAGATATGCCGATCATGCCAACCGCCAAATCCCGTTTGCTTCGTCATATGCGCGTTGCGGTTTCTCGCCTTGTGTGCTAACGTGACCCCCCGACGGCTCTCCGCAGCGGCCAGACCTCTCTCCTCCTGTTTTCCACATCGACCGCTCCGTGCCCGAAAAGCTGGCCCCAGGCTATATTTTTATTACCCCTTACGAGGCCCGGAACCCGGGCCCTTATATTTTCGATAATACTGGGGTATGCTTGGGACCATTGATACACTCCGGCGCATTGGATGAGACTGACGGGCGCGTCATCGTCACAGGAATTAGTATGGAGCGGCTGGGGTGTCTCAGGGCCGGGCAATGCCCACGGCATGCATGTATGCAAATATAAGGACGCCGACCACTTATGCTTTTTCCAGGGCAACCAGCAGAAGGGGTACTGTCGCGGACATGGGGTGATCTTGGACGATTCGTACCGCGTTGTCCGGTCCGTGCAGCCGGGCGGGGGCATGGCTTCAAGTGACATGCACGAGTTTCTTCCGATCAACGACGGCAAGACCGCGCTTATGACCGTCTACCAGCAGCGCCAATTCGATATGACCCCGTGGAACGTCAAGACCGGGGTGGGGTGGTTGATGGAGAGTGTCTTCCAGGAAGTCGATGTCGAGACGAGTCAAGTGTTGTTCGAGTGGCGCTCCCTGGACCATGTCGACCCGTCGATGAGCTATACCTGGCCCTCGCATACCGATACCTCCGGTACCGGGTTGAACGCGGGCGAACCCTGGGACTACTTCCATATCAACTCGGTCGATAAGAACGGAGACGGCGACTACCTGATCTCGTCCCGACATACGTGCGCCATCTATAAAATCTCGGGCAAGGATGGCTCGGTCCTCTGGCGACTGCACGGCGCAAGCCCGACTTTCCGCAATATCAACTTTAGCTTTTCACAGCAGCACGACGCGCGGTGGTTGTACGAGAATGCCACTCACTCGGTGCTTTCTCTCTATAATAATGGCTACAATGGCTATAATCGGACACATGACTACTCGTCCGGCATGATCATTCTTATCGACCACGTGGAGAATACGGCGACGCAGATCCGCGAATATGCTCCTGCGATTCCCGATTTGGCCAGCTCCAGTCAGGGTAACCTGCAGCGTCTGCCGAACAAGAATGTCTTCAGTGGATGGGGGAACAACCCCTTTGTGTCGGAGCACGACGAGGCTGGTAACCTGCTGCTCTGGGCCACTTTTGCCACTGACACTGTCATGAATTACCGTGCGCAGAAGTTCGAGTGGGAGGGCAATCCCACCGACTCCCCTGCGCTCTGGGCGTATTCTCGAACCTCGGAGCCCTTTTCGCCCACGAGCTTCTACGTCAGTTGGAATGGCGCCACGCGCGTCCAGGCCTGGCGATTCTTCGGCTCCCACAACATGACCGGGCCCTATACTTTGCTGGACGAGGTTCCGAAAACTGGCTTTGAGACGGAGTATACCAACGCCAGCTTCTATCTCTGGACGCGCGCTGAGGCCATTGGCGAGAATGGAGTTGTGCTGGGCAAGTCGGAGATCAAGTACACCTTCGTTCCGTCCCCGGAGCTTCGCGAGTTCTGCCAAGACGAGACCTGCCTCGACGCCCCGGGCTATGGGTACCCCGGCGAGGACGCGGCCGGGCCGCTCATCCCCCCGGCCGGCGTCAATACCGTGCCATGGGTCGACCCCGACCACGACGGTGCGATCTGGACGTACCCCTCGGGCTTCCCGCATACGAGCCCGGCCCCCGTCGTCTTCCCCAACAAATGGCGTTCCAGGAGTAAGTACCCCCCATACGGCATCGTCAATCCCATTGACCACTCCCACTCACCTTCTCAGTAGACTTGCTCGTTTGGGGCGCCGCCATCGCGATCTTCCTCCCTCTTCTGGCTGGCATTTACTTCGGCTGCCGATATCATCTACGACAGCAACGGCTGGGTCCGTTGGACGACGACCAAGAGTTATCCGAGCCGCTAAACGGCACGGCCAAGCAAAACGCTCCACCGCCGACGACATATCTTCCCTGGTGGAATTGGCGCCGGTGGACCGCCGAGCAACCAACCCATTACTTCCCGCTCGCTGATCGCAGTCCCCCTGGGCGCGAGCGGGCAGAGTAAGGCGTGGGTTGTTGTCGGACCCTCTGATTTTCGCGTTTTCCTCCATCCTGTGTCGTCTTTCTATCCACTCTTGCATTGCTGGGGCCGTCATTATTGTCTATTTTTATTTTCTTTTTTTATTCTTGCTTGGCTATACGCTTGGGGTACATACGGAGTCATTGTGCAGGTGTCGGGACTGTGGCCGGAACTGGAGGGCATCATTATACATACGGAGACATCGCCCGTGTAAATAATACGGAAATACGAATACACGAAAGTTCCACACAACGCCCGCCCCCATGTTAAAGCCGAACTATCCGGCAGGGGTGCACTCCGATTGGATTCGTCCCGGCGGTTACGCGCAACCCTACGCGTCCCCCTTCGGGCGGTGCTTTTGCAGCATGCCCACGGGCACGAATCGCACCTAGCACTGGTGTTTTGCCCTTTGTCGTCGCCCCGGTTCCCTGGCGGGACTGCAGTTCAGCATCCAGAGATACTCCGCCAATGCAGCCAAGTCTCGTCAGTGGTGGATCCGCGTGTCGGACAGTAGGTAGATCTGCCAGCGATCGATCGAGCCGAGAAGAGGATAATCAAGCTTTTGAAACGGGCAGTGGCTCAATAGCACGCAAGTTGGCACGCTCCCCGACCTCATGCGCATGAGAAGGAAGAGATTGCCGTGCGGCGTAAGCCCCGCCCATCTCACGGCTCCAGCGAGTCATGAGCGAGGGTTCTTATCCGCGCTCATCACTGGTCTATCCTGCCGACATGGTGCCCTGCTTTATGCCCGACAATGACATGTCGAATTCATTGCCCAGAGCAGAGAAGGAGATTCCTCTAGCTGACACTCGGCCAGTGCAGTGAGCTGAAACGCGGCGTCTCCTGCTGTCGCCGGTGCAGCAGCAGGGCAGGCCTCCAACTCCTGCGGCGCCAGAGAAGATCCGGCACTCCGTCGAGCAGGCGAATACCCTGACCAACTAGCGACTAGTGACGTGGGCCGTGGCCACCTCTGGCCATTTTGCCCTCGCCGTCTGATCCATCAGCCACCGAGCTACGTAACGTACCGCGCCGAGGGGCCATGTTGCTATCGATCAATCGGGCTTGGTGTGTTGACGCTGGGAACTCGAGCCGCGATGCAGCTCATGCGGCGACCGTAGCTGGGCTTCCCTCGGAGAGAGAGGAAGCCAGACCCGACGGGGTTGACACGTTTTGTTGCGATTCACTTTACCCCAGGCGGCGCTAAGAGAACGACAATGGCGGCGCTGCGCCTGGACTCTTACGTAGCTCCATAGTTTGATGACTCTCGCAATGCCAGATACCGGTAATTACCTCCCCCCGAAGTGGGTATTTCTGGATGGAGTGGGCACAACTGTCGGCGGAAAAGCCTTCGAGAACAAGCAACGGGGGCAGCTAGTCGTCCTCCACCACGGTTCGTCTAACCTTTGCCAAGAACGCCTGCTCCGACTCGCACGGGCGAGCTGGGCAAGCTGGCGAGTTATGGCTCAGGGCCGGGGGTGGACTCGGCAGGGCGGGTGGAGCGGTCGTCGCAAGCCCCGGCTGTCGCCCGTCGATCGGTAATTGGTAATTGCAGCGTACGCGGGTTCCTGGCAGGTACGAGGTACGAACCGGGAGAGGTGAGACCAGACTACAGGATATGGAGGCACACAGTATAGATATCGACACGAGGAGAGAAGAGTCGTATAGCTTCGCTCCGATGGCACATATCGCCATGCGCTCACGCCTATGAGCTGGGCACCTACGGTAGGTAATGTGGTTATCCGGTCTGGCATGCCATCGCAATCCCCTTTTCCCCCGGGTGGACCTGAAAGGACCTCTGTATGGAGCCCATACTGTAGTCTTTTAATACAAAGGGAACAAAAGCGCATGGGATGAAATCCTGAGAATCCCCTACCCAACGAGGAAATAAAGCCAAGGACTCTAATAAAAAGATAAAATAAAAAAAAGGAGAGTATCCAATTCTCTTCTTTTCCTCAGACAATTGCTCTCATCGCTTCTTGCCTTTCCGCTCTTCATCCTCCATCTTCCCTATGACTTGCCCAGGCCAATTATAGCAGACCGATATCGACCCTGCCAACAAGTCAAAGCTCCCCAAAAACCAAAATTACGTGGAACCAAGGGGTTGTCGCAACCTGACGTCGTCTCCCACCGGGCGCCCCTCCTCCTTCCCCCCCCCCCTAAGCCCCAATCCAACTACCCTTTGGGACTCCATCGGCCCTCTCCCGCCGGATTACATACGCCACGCAATCCTCCATGCCTGCCAGGTCTCAGCAGAACCATAAAACGAAGAATGCCCGCCACGCGCGTACGACTTCCTGGTCGAGTGGCTATCACCATCTAACCACCACCTCCGGCCCCGGCGAACCGTCCGATACCTCGCTGCCCAAATCGCCCCGACGCCGCCGCGAGTCCAACCTCTCCCTCACCAGCGTCGAAGAGGGCCCCTCCGCCCCGGACTCCCCTCACGACCACCTCCACGACGGCTCCGATGCCCCCGACATGCTCCGGAACACCTCGATGGATCTCGGTGGTCGCAAAAGCCAGCATGTGCGCAGTCGCTCCCTGTCCCAGGGCACCCCCCACGTCCTGGCCCTGCACGAGTCCGAACTGAACGCCGGCAGCGTCCAGCCCGTCCCCCTCACACCGCGCCCAACAGGCGTGACATGGATGTCCTTGCCGCGGAAGGGTCAATTGGCCCTATTAGGCCTGTGCCGCGTCTTCGACTTCCTCCAGATTGCCTCGCTGCAGGCCTACATGTTCTACCAGCTCAAGTCGTTTGACGAGAACCTGTCCGACTCGGACGTTGCGACTCAGGCTGGTATCCTCCAGGGCGCCTTCACCGCGGCCCAGTTCGCGACGGCGATTCCCTGGGGCCGAGTCGCGGACGCGGAGTGGGGTGGGCGTCGGTTTGTGCTGCTGGTCGGCTTGATGGGGACTGCGGTGTCATGTTTGGGGGTTGCGTTTGCAACCTCGTTCGCGCAGGCTGTGTTCTGGCGCTCGTTTGGCGGTGCCATTAATGGTACCGTTGGCATTATCCGCACGATGATTGCGGAGAATGTCAAGGAGAAGAAGTATCACTCGCGCGCGTTCTTGATTCTGCCCATAGGCTTTAATATCGCGTCGTTGTTCGGTCCTGGTGAGTGATCTTGTCGCCGGGGTGTGGCGGGTCAATTGTCTTGAGGCCGTGGTACTGACTCTATGTGCTAGTTATGGGTGGCATGTTGGCGGATCCGGTCAAAAGCTACCCCCGCCTGTTTGGACCGAATTCGTCGTTTGGCGGCGAGAACGGTGTGCACTGGTTGGAGAAGTATCCCTATGCTCTGCCCATGCTGGCCAACTTCTTCTTCCTGTCTTCCTGCGCAGCCCTGGTTGGCTACGGTCTGGAAGAGGTATGGAATCTACCTTGGACCCCATCTTATATATATATGAAAGTAACTGACCACCTTCTGTTGGATAGACCCTGCTTTCTTGCAAGGGTAAGCCTGGTCTGGGATCTTTCGCCATGAAGCTCTTCGCTCGCAGCGTGAGACGTGTGTTTGGATCCTCTTCACCCATCTACTCGCGACTTCCGTTCCGTGACTACGACGAGGACGGTCCCCTTCTAGGCCGACACCTGGATCGCTCCGAGAGCTACGAGCTCGAGGAGAAGGCCTCTAAGCCTAACCGCGTCAAGCGGGTGCTGCCTTTCCGGAGGATCTGGACGAAGAACGTCCTGTGCACTCTTGGCGCACAGGCGTTCTTCGACTTTCAAATGGGGTAGGTACCGGGGAAAAAAACCACCAACTACAAACCTTCACTACGCACATGTAAAACGTTACTAACAATCGGGATTTCAGCGCTTTCAACAACCTGTGGCTCCTCTTCCTGTCCACTCCTCGCTACGACCCCAACGACCCGGCCAGCCCCGCTCGGAGCCTACCATTCATCTTTACCGGCGGCCTGGGCATGCTCCCGCAGAGTGTCGGCTTCGCAACCGCCATCCTGGGCATGATCGGGATGTTGCTCCAGTTCACCATCTATCCCTCCATCAACGGCCGTCTAGGCACGGCCAAGAGCTATCAATACTTCCTCTCCTTCTTCCCGCTCGCCTACGCCCTGGCCCCCTACATCGCCCTCGCACCATCCACAATCCCACCCCCAGGCCAGGCCAACGGGCCGTGGGTCTGGTTCTGGATCATCATTGTGCTCTTCCTGCAGGTGACCGCCCGCACCTTCACCCTCCCGACCTCCATCATCCTGCTCAACAACTGCTCCCCCCACCCCTCGGTCCTGGGTACCATCCACGGCATTGGCCAGTCGGTGTCGTCCGCCTTCCGCACCATCGGCCCCATCTTCTCCGGCGCCTGGTACGGCTACGGTCTGGATATCGGCATGGTTGGATTTGCTTGGTGGCTCATCGCCCTTGTCTCGGTGTTTGGCTGTGTCGCAGCCATTTTCGTGTATGAGGGCTCCGGCCACGAGATCCTGCTCCCAGGGGAGGAGGATGAATTTGACCATGGCCACTAGGCGGTGGTATGATGTGAAACGCTGTTCTTTTCTGTTCCATTTGAAGTGTACATTGCTTCGACTCATTTTTGCATGTCATTCGGTGTCGGTCAGGTCGGGTTTTTGTTTTTGCATTTGTCTGTTTTATTTTGGTCTGGGTGACATCCCCTTCTCCCTTCTTACCCCCATTGGGCCGGCTCTTGTCACAAGCCTCCGGAGAAGGTGGATTAAAAACAACGTAAAGGTTTTGGTTGGTTTATCATGCTTTCTATCCCTTCCCACCTGCATGGTTCACTGTTTGCCTTTTTGTATGTCTCGCCTGGATACCATTTTCTTTACATTATGTCATCTTCTCGCGACCTCGTTTCATCTGCCTCTCATATCCGCTTGGCGTTTCTGTCTGTTTTTTTCGTATTTCATATGTTAAACCTACTGCGCTCTGCTTCCTCTCTTGGGATCCGCTGCTCCCGTTGGCGTGAGCAGTGTCATGGGTTGGAACGGCACTTTGAGGTCAATTAGAGTATAGAGACCGCACTTGAAGGCTGGTCGGCGGGATGGGGGAATGCATCTTGACAGGGCTGGCTGTGTCTTATGAGATGACCTGTTCTTTTGTGCTAGATTCACAAATAACAGACTATTTACAGTATCCCTCGAAATTGGTGCTACCCCCAACTAACTATGGTTGTTCCTCCAATCGTACTGTAATTGCTAAGACATACTGATACTAGTCCGGGTGATCGTCATTCCAATAGTTGCCAGTCCCGATCATTTTTTAAACAGATGGACACCGTTGAAATACTTCGGCGAGCGAATAGGGTTTTCCTCCCGAGAGGATCGCAGCATGGAAGGAACACACCACCGGCAGGGGCGCGGCATCACACGCGAGGCGTGGAACATCCCAAAAAGGAAGACACAAGCTCTTCTATCAAAATGGTACATATGGTCCAGATTTTGGGCATGAAATCTTTGATTGTGTTGTCGTTTCTTGCGTATGAACATCACCCCCATGCCTCCTTACGAAGAAGCCCCATACCCCTTCACATAACTCGCATCAAACGTCTCTCTATTCACAGCAAACTGCCGAATAAAGTCCCTCTCCAGATCATGCGTTCTCCGCCCCAGCAGTACAAGACTATGCAATGGCGCGCCCATCTCCACCGTGCTCAACTCCTTCAACGTTCCCACAACAAGCTGCTGATCTGGGCCGCCTACTCTCGCCGCACCCACCGCCAGACTATCCGGTGTATACACCCCCTCCTGTCGGGTCTCCTCGGTCTCCAGCATCTGGCTGGCGCACTGCGCAACGGTCATGTATCGTGGGGGCTCAAAGATGCGGCGGCCGCGCGCGAGGTTCTCCATCGACTGCTCCTTGACCTTGATGTCGAGCAGGATGAGTGTGTGCAAGCCTATCTGCATGTTCTCGCGGACTCTGTCGTAAAACGAGGAGGGCTTCCAGTTCTCGGTGAAGAAGACCATGCTGACGGTTTGGCCGAAGTTATAGAGTTGCAGGCCGGTGCAGCCGATACCGGACATGATGGAGGCATTGGGGACAACGTTCGTGGCGATGTTGAGTTCGCGTGCGCGGAGGACGAGGTCGGTGTGGGTTGTTGCGCTGATGGGGTTATTAGTATCTAGCGGTGGGCATTTGGAGAGTGGGTAGGTGCATTGTATATAGAGAGCACTGAAATGAAGACAGTGACATACCCGAATGGATCGCCAACGACAAGGAAGGCAATGTCTGCCGTGTCCGCACCGGCGAGGATCTCATCGCTGCCTGTCTCTACAAGTTCACGGTCCGCCTCGATCACAGGGCGGCCATAGAACGCTTCCTACTGAGTACAGTGCAGAATTAGTGATACATGCACGAAAAGGGAATGATCCATTGATTGCTATTGCATCGAAAGAACAGGCAGACGTCTGAATCATGCGGACCACTCACAAGCTTCGCCTTGTCCACCAGCAAGATGGCTGTGTATGCCTCCAGATAAACGCGCTCGGCCTTCTTCACGATCTCCAGGCCGCGGACAGTGATGTCCTTCTCGTCAGCGAGACCCAGGCCCACAAGGTGCAACATAGTAGGCAGCTGAGCGCAATTGAGTAATGTATATGGATATGTATGAGATTGGAGGCCGGGCGAGTTGACGGAAATAATTGCATGCCCCGCGGCAGAATTCAGCGCTAGCTAGCACCCCACCGCCTTTATGGCGGGTAAAGTGAATCTCCGGCTATCGCGCCGCATATCGACCCTCCACTTATCGATCCCCGGACTTCATCCTTTCCGCTCTCTTTGTCGGTCTGTTACTGTGCCCGCTATTGCCCTCAGCTGCACGTCTCGTTTCGATATAATTACTTGCATAGAGCCTCATATTTGTAACCTTTCCCCACCTTTCCGCGTGGTTTCCCGATTGGAGCTGCCACGATGAGCTCCGATCGGCAGCCGAAGTATCGGCAGGAGATTCAGCAGGTTAGTTTCGCTCCATCCTCCCTTTCTATATGGTAGGGTCTCGGTCTTGAGGTCGCGTCGTTGTATATTCGATTCAAGCACCTGAATATCGTCCTCGGTCGCCTTTTCACCGGTGGTAGTTCCCCCTGGGTTCAGGGCGCAGCGCGCATCTGGTTGGGCGTGGTATCGGACCGTTATTTTGCTTCGGAGAGGCATTGCGCCTGAAATAAAACGCCTGATTGCGTTGCGACAGCTGCGTCTTTGTGCAGGAGGAATACAATCTTCAATGGTGCGACCTTCATCCTACTCGATGAGGGGAGCGGGATGGAGATTAGATGCTGCAAGAGAAAGACTGGAAATGTGCGAAGCAGAAGCAGGGTTCATCCCACCTATGAAGGCCAGCGCTCGACGGTGCTGTGAGGGGCGAAATCAGTCTCCTTCTTTCCAAGCCAGCTTGAATTTGACTATTTCTGCCACACCTCGTTCTCCATACTGGAACATCGTTTACAACCATATTGCGAGCCTGTTGTGAATTCCAAAGTGAGGTTCAGCTTGAAGTGCCTGTTTGCTTTGGTCTGATACTGCTGGGGAGACGTTATCTCGCTCACGACTCGTACCTCGTTTACTTTTGGCCCCCGCACATCTCATTTTGGCACGTCTTTTTGTTCCCATCACAGCTTGAGCATCTTCAACCGCCTGAACCTGAATCGCGATATTTGTTAAAGATATCGGCACATGCTCGATCGTCTTCATCTGCTATCATTCTCGGTCGCATTTGTCTCACAGCTGCCAATGTTCCTCTGCCTCGACTCTGTCTGGCTCATATTCAAGCGCCTACTGCTTCGTCTCCCATAAGTTCGACTGTGTTTCAATCACAACAAGGCACCCAATGAGATGGATCCGCACTATGTCCCTGTTATCTCCTCTGAGCGCCACGAAACAGCGCCGGAGCCGCCAGTCCGAGAGACGCCTGTCCGCATCACGCACTTCGAAGGTTGGATTCTGAAAGAGGACGGCAGTAGCACCACAGGCTCAATGGACGGCCAAATTGGACGAGATAGCCCGATCGCGGTGTCCCACGGCGATTGCCCATCCGATGTGGACTATGATGCCGACCTTCCGCCCCTCTCTGATTCTACTGTTACAACCCTCCACCATTCTCCTCCCAACACCCCTCTTCGACAACCCCCGGCGCTACTCGACGACAACCGCCGGTCCGAGGACAGTGCCTGGGCCGGTTCGATTGACATCAAAGGGGAGGTGTGTGCTCAGCTGAATGAGATGAAACTGGTCTCCAGCTCAGAGGACGCCAACGATAGGGAAGTTGAGGATTTTGGATCGGAAAGCTCTGAATTCATCTCCCATATCTCCGACGACGCAGACGACGCAGACGACGAGCTGGAAGAGAAGAACGACGACCACGAGACCGAGGCTGGCATTAAGATGGCCCTTACTAACATGTTGCGTAAGATGATGTTTGTCTCTGGTGAAACCGCCGAACCTTCCATTGAGACCACCACCTTGATCGAAGATATCACCCGCCAGCAGGTCCTTGAAATAGTATGCACCTGTCCTTCACTGCTAATCCTCATGTCTTACAATTCCTAATGTGCCGTACAGCTCACTCGCAGCACTGCACTGGCAACCCGGCGTGGCTCACGCTCTATCTCAACTGATGACCTGATTTTCCTCATCCGTCACGACAAGGCTAAGGTCTCGCGTCTCCGCATGTTCCTGTCCTGGAAGGATGTCCGCAAGAACGTGAAGGACTCCGATGATAAGGGCGGCGCTGATGCCGCTGACTTCGCCGCCGCCGACGATGCGGCCGGTGTCGTCGCTGGTCCCCAGGACGTTGCTGCGAAGCCAAAGAATAAGCGGGCCAAGGTAGGCCTTGCATGGGATATCAACAGTTTCTTCTCAGTCCAGATCCCCGAGCGTGACGACGAGGAGGATGAAGAGGAGGAGGAGCAGAACTATGCAACCCTCCAGCGCCTGGCTGCCGCCGACGAGCGCACCAAGAACATGACCAGGGAGGAATACGTCTTCTGGTCCGAGTGTCGCCAGGCTTCCTTCACCTACCGCAAGAGCAAGCGGTTCCGCGAATGGGCCGGCTTTGGCATCGTCACCGAGTCCAAGCCCAACGATGACATCGTTGACATCCTCGGCTTCTTGACCTTCGAGATTGTTCAAACCCTCACGGAGGAGGCGCTGAAGGTCAAGGAGCGCGAGGATCATGAGAAGAACCGCGGCGGCGCCGAGACCACCGGTGCCGATTCAAAGAAGCGCAAGCGCGAGACTGGCCTGTTCGATCCGCCCGAGGAGGGTCGCACCCCCATTGAACCTCGGCATGTCCGTGAGGCCTACCGCAAGCTTCAGGCGACGCCCCAGAAATCCATCGCCATGCTTCTTCACAACGGCCGTGTGCCCGCCCGGCTGCCCCTGCGGCTAGTAAGTACCATGTTCCATTTATAAGCCCCCACACTCTATGGTTCAATATGTTCTGACCCACCCTTTTTAGATCTAAATCTCTTCTTTCGGCCACACAATCGTCATTTTACGCATCATCGCAGCGGGAGTTTCTGGCAATACCAATATGGATGATACCCACGGTTACGTTTGGGCGGGGCTTTTTCCCTTTTCCCTTTTCCCTCTTCTTGTGATTGTTGTTCTGGATTAGTAGGTGTGGGCTAGGCTACACCGGTGTTAAAGGAGGTGTTTGTTATTTGATGTGTATTACGTTGGCGATGTTTCGTCGCAGTGCATTTCCTTTTATATGGTGTTTTCTTTGTATTTTACGTCTAGTGGATAGCCCGTTGGCCATGTAAACTACGGGCACAAACGATCCTAGGGTGATTTCAAGGCTGATTCTTTGTAATTCGAACCGGCTTTTACCCCTTCAAGTATTGCTAGGCTCTTGTTACGTAGCCCCGTCTAGTTATCACTCCCTCTTGCTTCAAGAAGTCCGAGCATCCCCTTCTCAGGATCAGTATACAGATACCGGGAGAGAAAAAGTGGACCCATGATTCTCATTTTTCACGTAACTGGACAGACAAAAGATCCGATCCTTTAGAAGTGGTTCGAGGTTCCAGACCACTCCAAAACGTACTTTCGAAGCAAATTCGACGCTGGCTTCCATGCAAGAAGTTCCGGATGTTTGCGAAGGGCCTGGATAGTGTTGTTGATCTCAAATTGGGGCGCACTTTCTTGCACTTCCCAGGGGGTTCGGTCGCCCCAAACACGCTCCTGAAACAGCGGAATGAAAGGATGCAGCGGGCTTTTCACATCATTGACGAACATACACACCCAGTCCGAAAGAGAGACGCCTTTCAGTGGGCGCGCACATTGTGCACTGATAAGACTAAAAGTTTCCTGGAGATCAATGGGGTCCGGCTGGATGAGGTTATACGCATGGCCTTCGTTCTCGGCCGACGCGGAGATTCGCAGCATCGCATCTACCACAAAATCGACCGGAGCGAAGACTTTGCGTTGCTGTGAAACAATGGGATAATGGCCCATTTGGAGACAACTTGTCATGAGACAACCCACGAAGTCATTCGGGTTCCCACCTCACGTCTTGCTATGGCCCAAAACGTACCCGAGACGCATGATAATTGCCGGTGAACCCTTGCTAATGGCATATCACACCACATTCTCCGCTACGAACTGACTTTGAGAGTATCCGGTGTTGTACTGGAGGGATTCAAGATGATCCAATGGCCTCTCGTCCCCTGGAACGTTCTGGGTTCCTCGGGTAAATCCCGTTGGTCCATACGCAGCGACACTGGACGAGTAGACAAGTCTTTTTGGTCGGGAGTGGTTTGCAAAAGCTAACAGTTGGAGTGTTCCGAGGACATTCGTTGCTCTATGCCGTGAGTACGGCTGAACATAGCTGACCAGTGCCCCCAAGTGGAAGACCACACTCGCCCAGGTTGCGTAGTGGTCGTAAATCTCCCGAGACACGCCCAGCCCCGGCAAGGATATGTCGCCCGGGATAGCAATGATCTTGTCTTCTGGGACGCCAGACAAACCATACTTGGCCAGCATCTTCTTTATGCGCGTATCAGCGGTGGACTCGTCATGCGCACGAACAAGACATGCGAGTTGCTTGACATGGGGCATCGACAGCAGTGAAGCGAGAAGGAAGGCACCCACGAACCCAGTGGCTCCCATCAAGAAGACTCGGCCTTCTGCATAATCGAGCCAGTCAATGGCCGGAGCGGAAGCTGTCTGTAGATCCTGACCCAGCGATGAATCCTGTGCGAGGATGTTCAGCTCATCTGTCGGATCTTGCACGGCTGTTCCGTCCTCGAGCCTTTTCACTATTCGGGTCAGCTGGCCCAGTGACGAGTTCTCGTACAGCGTGGTGGCCCGTAGCTCGATTCCTAATGAACGTTGAATCCGGTTGATGAGGTTGGCAACTTGCAAAGACGTCCCACCCAGGTGGAAGAAGTCGTCAGAAGGATTCAGACTGTCTACCGGATATCCTAAAATCTCAAGCCAGAGCTGCTCCAAGTAGATTTCGGTGAAGTGGGAGTTGTCCCGGCAGAGACTCTTCTTCTGGTGGGCCACTGCCATCTTCTCGATGTACCGCTGCTCAAGGGCTTTTCGATCACACTTCCCTGTCTTCCCCAGCGGGAGCTTCGCGAGGACCACGACACGAGGGGCCAGAAGGCGCGGACTACTGTGTTTTTTGAGGCCGTGAGACCTCTTGTTATAGTAGCCGGATCAAAAAGCCAAAGCTTCCTCTAGAATGATATGTAGGTCTGTGTGCATTAGGACCTCTAAATAACCTTGTGGCCGGGGGACAATCGCTTGCAAAGGAGTAGTGTGACTGGCCACTGATAATATAATTTAAGTCTAGGTATCTTCGAAATAACAATAGCAATAGACTATCCAAATTCGGTATCATTGCAAATAAAATGCATATTGGTCAATTATCTCATGTACTCATAACCACCATGTTTTAAAAAGCCTATATGTGAGCATATAAGCTTATTCCTGGTGGGTTCGGCGCCCTGAAGAAAAGGTTCTTGTTAATAAGGTTTCAAATAGAAGAAAGGAAAAGGCCGGGGTGGGGGAAGAAACTTACATTCGGCCAACTCCTCCAGACTCAACTCCCGAATGCTGTTGATGGCAGGAACTTCACCCTTAATGGCACCCTTCACAGTATTAACGGCTCGACTAAGGATTCCCTTTGTCGCAACAACATGCGTAGCCAGCTTCGCCTCCAGCTTAATCACACCGATGCGCGGATCAGTCGGTCCACCATCGTGAACACCGTCACCCATATCACCAAGCCAAGCCTTTAATTGCGGCGAGTAGTATTTCTGTACAGTTTCTGGGTCGGAGACAATCGAGGCAGTACCGGAAATGGACGCCCACGCGCCGCTGACAGGGTCGAGGAAGGACATATTAGTTTCTTGCGGGTGGACGGTCAAATCCATTGTTTTGCCGGAGAAGAGATTGGTATGAAAAACGAGATCAATACCGCCGTGTTCCTGCAAATGAAAGGGTTCATTATTTCAATTTCCTTTAAGCTTTTGATGGCGGGAATCATCGATTATAGCGGGTTGACGGGGATTACATACCTTGGCGGCGAGTGCCATGCATCGCGATGTCAGAAATTCACCCTCCGATTGCTTGGTTGTCAACATGCCAAACTTGACTTCGGAGATAAAGTCAGCCAAATCTTGGACTTTTTGGGGCAGTGGCGGGTCTTCCGAGTTCTGGGTCTTGTAAGGGTCGACAGGGTGGTTGCCCGTCTCGCTGTTGATGGTTGCGTTGGCAGACATTGTGGACTGAGGTCGTATCAAATGAGTAAAGGGCTGAACTATTTACAGATTGCGTATGCAATTCGGGGAGAATGGCATGCTATATAGCAATTCTTTGCATTGCAAGGACCCCTGCATGCTTGGAAGTATAGGAACGTCGTCGTGACGTCAGCGATAAGATAATCCGGATTAGGGCCTGACGATCGTCCGGTCGAGCTCATAACTGTAGCTATGTAGAGTGCAGGCAAATGATGTCTCCACAACTTGTGACGTTTGCAGAGTATCGATCTGGTTGATCTGTTGTCTTCATTTCCCGATCAAGCCTCTCTCCTGGCATGCTTTTGTTTCTTCGGAGCCGTGTGAGGCGGGTGCCTTATAACATGAATTTGTATTAAACATTAGAATAATAATAACTATCCATCTCGTTCAAATGCATGACTTCGTCACGACTATCAAATAATACATATATTTGATTCTTCCTGCCATAAGTGTCCAAGATTCGCCGCACCCAAGGAGGATGCTTAACATAGGCGTAAGAGCGTGAGTTCGTTGGCTGGTGGCATCAATCCAGAGTACGAGAAGATTCATCTTGGCCTTCTCAAAGTATTGAGTCGAGCCCGGGACGTACTCTTGCGGTTCTTGGTATCCCACATCACCTGTCGCGCTCAATGGTGCAACATGCGAAGGAGTGGGCTGTGATCTCTCGTCCAGGAGCAACCGGGCATGGGGCACCTTTCAGAAGCCAATTCACTCCCAAATCAGTGCAGCACTTGGTTTCGTGTGAGATGCCATAGAATTTCCAGCAAGATCGCCACAACCCCGACTGCCAATGCTATACGCCCGACGGTAAGCTTCATGTTATGAACAAATGTCAAAAGAAGCAACGAACCTTCGCGCCCTAACACAGCTAATAACTTTGCAACCTTCCTCGGACCCTTCCTTTTCATCCATGATGGAACAAGGTCCGTTTGGCATGTTTGGCCCTCTACGACCCAGCAGCCCCCTGGGACGCGGCGACATTCCAGATGCCACCGGCGGCGCTCCATAATTTGACGTATGCGCCAGTTACAGAATACCTCGTCCGTTCGAAAAGAGCATTTCTCCATGGGACAATCGAGTTTGCGCTCGAAACGCTCAACAAGCCAGTCGACTTTTAGGTGCACTCCAGTGTAGACCATGTCGTAGAAGTGGCGGCAGGAATGCTTCAGAGCGAGGGCATCGGGGTAAGTTAGAAATGAGGTAATTTGCATATGCAACTCTGGCGGAAGATCCATGAGTCTGAAATGAGACATGGTCGGGGCTGTTGCGGGGGTGGTGAGCGGCGCCATGGTGTTTGATTTGGTTGAGGCTCAAGGAGGAGGTCAAGGTTCCCCTTCCCGACTTATGTTTACATCTGACAGGAGATCGGGGAAAGCTGTTGCCTGGGGAAGCCACGGCCACGTTGACATGTCTGAGACAGGAATACTTCTCGTTTTAATTATCTGCGAGTGCAATTACTGGCGGGTCAATAAAAATAGCTGTAATAAGTAGGCAGCCGCGAATAGTTTTGACTTGTCATCTTGAGTTATCGGACCCAGTCTCTAGTCTCGCCGTGGAAATCTACCAGCCATATCGGTTCCAATTAACATTCCTCACAGTGCAATACTAGCAGCGGTCAATTATGAGACGAAATAGCCAAGGAATGAAAAAGCTCTAGGCCTCGTGGCAGTATGCGGCTCTACCCCACGAAGACTGCGGCGCGGCCGGGATCCGCTTACCTAATGCCCGCCACAGTCGACCTTGGACCAGCTCGCCATCCAGCAAGAAGCAAGAGATTCTACAACCGTCACCCATCACAACCGCTCCAAACCATGTCCAAGCCAAACGCCACGGGCACCCCCTCTTCGGACACCGCGTTCCGCAGGACCTGGGACCGCGAAGAATACGCCAAAAAGGCCGCCGACGAAGAAGCCAGGCGCAAAGCCGAAGGCAAAGCCCGCTACGAAGCCAAACTCCTCGGCAAGAAATACCATGCACCGGTCGATTATGGGTCCCTCTCTGCAACCACTGCCCGCCAGGAGCGACTGAAGGTCGACTCGATGGTGGGTAAAACGACGATTGTGCCGGCGGGCTCGGCGCTCGGCAAGCGAGGGCGCGGCGCGGGTTTCTACTGCGAGGACTGCGATCTTACATTCAAAGACAATATCCAGTTGGTGGAGCACTTGAACAGCAAGCAGCATTTGATTGCCACGGGGCAGAGTGGAGATGTTGCCAGGGCTAGTGTGGAGGATGTGCGGTTGCGGCTGCGGATGCTAGCGCATCGAAAGCGGGTGATGGAGGAAGAGGAGCGCAAGGCGTGGCAGCTGGACCTGGGGGAGAGGTTGCGGGAGCGTGAGGAGGAGGATGCGAAGGAACGAGAGGAAAGGAGGCGCAAGCGGAATGAGAAGCGTCGTAAGGGAGGGGATGGGGTGAAGCAAGAGGATAGCTGGGAGGGACGATTGGGAATTATCGCTTGAGCGGGAAAGACATTAGGGCCTTCGTGTCGGCGGCTTGTCTCCCATGCATACAAAACTACATTATGATACCCAAGGAGTTCGGGGCTTGTTCACCTCTACGTGATTTGATATATCGTGAAAGTCAAAAGTTCTGGTTTTAGAAGACGCTAGAAAGTTACATGAATGTTCGCAAGGATACGCTAATTATGCACAAGCCACCTCGTGTTGTGTAGTAACGTAACGTGTGAGTGAATGAGCATCGACGCAGAATATCTCGTATGGACCCTTATCCGAATATCCACGGAGACCAGTTATTTTAATATTCGGATGAAAAGTCGTAGGTTAAGACCACAAAAGCATTGAAATGATTCGGATACCTGAAAACCCATGAACGAGAAATAGGCTCTAGTACTGTAACGCTGTACAACTCAAAGAATTAATATTCCGAGTGAATAGACTGTTTGCCTGTTTCTCGTATGACCCATCTTCAATTCGTATGTTCAAAACCTTCAAAGAAATCTGACATCTTGATAGCATCAAAGCCTGTTCCGTCTGCATCGGTTGCATGCCTGAAGCCTGCACTGGCGACATTCGAATATATATTCGCGTAGGTAATGGGAACATTCCTCACACCGATGAGGACCGCGCACATACTTCCATCCATCGTGGCCACACTCATGATTCTCTCGGAGCTCTTGAATTGTTCTTGCGACCAGCAAATCTCTTGACATAGGAGTATGAATGCCGCGCGTTTCAAATAATGAAGCTACAGCTTCTGGCGTTGTTTGAGACTCTTCAACTGACGCCTCTGATGCCTCTTGAACTTCTGCTTCAGACCCATCAGTCTCCGGTAGAAGCCGACCTTCCGGCTGATGGGTTTCAATAGCCGGTGGAGGAGCGGCCGCAAGGGGAGGGTTTGGTTCTCGATCAATTATTTGATATGCACGCGCAAGGAGACGATGCTCATTCCACTGTTCACATGAACAGCTTTTCCACCGTAATCCACAGTTGTAGCAGAATTGAGCACCGCAGCGACAGCTATCACGACCTGCGGTTAGACAATTACAAGCAAAGAGAAAAAGGGAAGGGGCCACGAACGTCATATGGTTACAACCATGATCCAATTCTACCATTCGCCAGCAGGAAAAGCAGCGTTGCCATCCATTCTGCTGCGCTGTATCTAGAAGTAGTTGCAGGGAAGTATCGTTTGGACAATCCCCTGTATGTGCCCGTCCTTTGCAGCTCGTACAGGTTGTGCGTCCGCAATCGGCACACGTGGCTACCTCATCGTCGATATGAGACAATTCGATGAAGGCAGAGCACCCGGCAGAGTAGCAGTATGTTCTGTTTGGAGTTTCAAACTCAATTTTCTTCTTTTCATATTGTTGTACGAGGTCGGACTTGAGAAATATGCGAGCTATGCTCATAACGATGGGTTGTCGGCAGCAGCGTGGAGGAAAGAGGGATTCGTCGGTTATCGAAGCGTTGAAAAGATGCTCCAGACATGAACGGCAATATTCGTGGCGACATGGCACACGTACCACATTGACAAACTCCGTGTCTTCTGCACAAGCTATGCAGCGATGCATTCGTGATGGTGTCTGACGGATTCGGTGGGCAGCCCACGCAGATGATTCGGCTTGCTCTGTTTCTGTCTCCCTTTCGTCCACGCTGTCAATATCCTGGTAACCTTCCATACCAGACACATATAAGATCTGGAGCTTAGCCAAAGTCTCATCATCTAGGGCCGTTGATTCAGAGTTCGACGGCAAATCTTTTGCAGCAATAGGGCATCCAGCGTTTTCTGTCCAGTGACGAGCAATATCCCGGTCGTTAGCTATATTATCTTCTTCCACCTGGCTGGCAGCCAGAATCTGCGCATCGGTTTGAACCGCTGCTGCAAAACTCATGGCCATCCGTCTATCGGAGAGCAATTGGGACACGCTTTCCAAGTCGTCGTTATGTAATTGAAACGCCAGCTCTTCATCTGTGGGTTGTCGGGACTTCCCTTTCGAGTATTCAGCATAAAGGCCGACATCTTGAAGCTGTAGTTGAATGATCAAATCGGCTGTAGCCTGATCAAACCCCGGCTCAAAGACGCAGTCCATCATAGCAACAAAGTAGAGAGAAGTTATTTCCGCCAACTCAAGGGGAGGTGTCGAATGACCAAGCTGAGGAGGAGGTACAGACCTAAGACTTCAGCTTCACCGCAAGTCCGGATCATTGAACCGTAGTGCAGGTATGGTACAGGTGCCTTTCCGTATTGTGACATCTGGAAAAAGCAAAAACCAAGTTTACCCCGCAGTTCATTTGGCAAGCATCGGAGGAGAGAGATGGCAACCATGTCAACCGAGCGGAGAAGCGACTACCGTCTGCGGATATCGTCTGCGACTACCCGAATAAATACATGCGGCCGCCCGGATGAACCCATCTGATCTCCACGCAAGGCAGGAATCAGCTGAATTGCTACGCATCCAGCTCAATTTAGCATGTATACTTCCATGCTGTAGCCCTGCATTTACCTGCTTATATAATGGTAGAGTAATTCTTCCTTTATAAAGAGTAATCTCTGCTAACATTTTTTTAAGTAAAGCGAATTCCTACCCAATATCAACAGGCGTATTTTGGTTCGGGAGGTATACAATGCTGAATCGAATCCTTGCTGGTTTCATTGCGTTGCGTGCCTTCGCTTGGCAGATTGTAGATATTTTCCCCCAAGTGGTGTTGCATGATCTGAAGGTATTATTCTATAAGACGCCGATTTGTATATTTCTTATCAATCTAGAATTTGCTTTTTTCTTTGTGGTAACCTAGGAGAAGATCTTGGAATGATAGGTGGAGGAGCCGAGTGGAGCTTATCTAGACGGCATTTGATATCGTCGGGCTCTCTACCCACAGCTGGCTCAGAGACTTAACTGTGAGCGGAATGGCAAGGATAATGATCACCCCAACGATCCCCTTTCATCCATGAGTAATGGGAAGTTTGGGAAAAGCAAAACTCTCTCTGAGTTGTAGATTGCAGCGCAGGGGAATTGCAATACCGGCCTTAAAACCTTAATTGGGGAAGGATATCTCGAAAATATGGGTAGAAAATTTTGGACATACTGTAGAGCACTGAGGTTGCAGCTATCTAGGCACAGAGCCAACTGAGCTGAAGCTTTATTAGTATCCTCAAAGCTTTGTGGTCCCGGGATGGGCAAGGCTACTCCTAGGAGGCTTTGAAAGCTCCCAGGATCTCTGCTCAGCTTCCTAGGAGTGTGAAGTTTGTCTCTAGGAACATAGACCGCCCCTCTTGGGAGCTAATAAGGCCCTGCGAACTAGCATGTGGTTTCCTGGGGACGTACAAGTGCTTTCTAGAATGCCAGGCTCTTTTTCGAGGCTCATGCAACGAGGTGGAAGATTGGAGGTGTTAAACGATCTTTCTGCAGGGGCGTCCAGCTTCTGGTGACCACCCTTTCAGAGCTCTTTTCGCACAGCATTCTTGCTGATTATTGAAAGCGGTTGGCCACATAGTATTCCTCGGTCACGTTCGGTTCCTAATAGCCTGACACCTCCCCTATTTCCGGCCAAAGACTTGTCAACCTGCTACAAAGACGGGGTCTGGTAAGGCCACTCATTGAGAAGCAAAAAGAACAATATGAAAATACTCCATCACGGAAACCTCCCAGAACGCCTGAACCCAGTCCTGTAAACATTTCATAAGAAAGCCAACGCATGATGCTCATTTAGTCGATGCACTCGATGGCCTCGAGCCGCCGCATGGCCCGGCCACCCTCCTTCTCGAACTGACTGACGAGCCGCTCGCATTCTCGCTTCAACCGCTCCTCGCCGTTCTTTGCATTCCACATAATCCACTCCTCTACTGTCATCTTCTTCTCCGGACTGGTTAGCCCTGGCTTCGCTCGGTTTAGAAGACCAGCGATGTCAGCATTTTCTTTGTCGCTGGCTTCCCCAAACAGAACTTCATCAATATCCACAGGAGTCCACGGGTGCCTGGAAGCTGGGAAACCAGCGTTGAGATTCCGTTTGGATGGCGAGGGGGTTCTGGCCGCAAGTGGAGTCTGAATTGTCTTCTCCGGAGGTGGCGATGCAACAACAGTCGGGCGTGATGTCGAGGGGCGAGAGGAAGGAGGTCGGTTTTCGGCATCAGAGGACTGCGGTGAGAGAGATGGTGTACTCTGGTGAGCTGCTGGGAGAGGTGACACATCTCTATCAGATGTATGCGAAGCTCGTTGAGACCTCCTTCGCTCATTACCCCGAGAACTGTGAGATTCCGTGAAAGACTGAGCTAGATGTTCTTCTTGGGGAATGTCACTGAACCGTTTCGTCGTTTTGGGTGGCACGGGCGTCCTCTCATGGGTCTGATGTGCCTCTGGAGGTGGTGCTTGAGGAGGGGGAACCATCTCAATTTGATCAAGCAGGTCATCCGGGGTCCCATATTCCTCTTCATCTCTAGGTGGGGACTCGAAAACAAGCTGTTCCTCCATGGGTCTGGGGGTAGGGGGAGGAGGTGATGCCGACACCTTCTTAGTCTTTTTCAACTTCTTGGGTTTGTCTTCCTGCTTCGAGGACTTCTTTTTCGCCGGCTTTTCGATGGGCTGCTCCGCTTCCGGCTCTGGCCGAGGCTCGGGTTCGCGATGGATGATTTCCACTGAGACAAATGATTCATGGCGCTCAGACTCATTCCATTCAGGTTCAGCCACATCGTCTGCAACGGATTTGTTTCCCAAGGGGGCTTGAGGTTCTGGCCCCTCTTCCCAGACACTCTCTTGCTTCTTGGATTTCTTAGTCCCTTTCTTCTTGGAGCTCTTGCTCGATTTTGTCTTTGAGACTGGCGCTTCTTCATTTTCTTCCATACCAACCGTCCCGGGCTGGTACGCTGGTGCTTCTCGCTGCTCCTCAGACATATCTACATGATCCGCCGGATCTTGTGGAGGTTCCGACGATATACCAGATGCCTTCAACTTTTTGCTAGACTTGGTCTTCTTCGAAGCACGAGGCTTTTCTGGTTCAGGCTGGGGCTCGGGCTCCATCTGTTCCGGAACATCAGCTTCAAGGCCGGCTTCAGGCTCTACGTCGAGCTCCGAGTCCCGCCCCACGCGAGCCTTGGAGGCTGGCTTTGATGTAACAGATACGTCAGAAGCGTTTCGGCTTTTGGCAGCTCCTTTTTTGGACGCTTTGCGTGCCTTTTTGGGCTCTTCCTCTTGAGCCTCATCCACTGAAGGGGCATCAGGCATCGCATGGTCTTGCGACTCGTAATTGAAGCCTTGGGAGATGCTGCTGCTGCGTGCCCGCGTAGCGCGACGCTTAGATGGTGGTTCCACAGCAAGCTCTGGTTCCGCCTGGCCGACAGGCTTTGGGTCATCGTTGGCCATCTCCTCACTGGCTCGCTTCTTTCCTCTGCCGGCACGTTTGGGCTTTGGCGGCTCTGGCAGCGCGGGCTCTGTCGAGTCGACACCCGTTTGGCTCTCCACCTCGGTATCTTCCTTCTTGCTCTTCTTTCCTTTGCCCTTGGATCCCTTCTTGGTACTCTTCGGCTTTGCAGTCGCCTGTGACATCATGCTTTCATCCATTGCCTCGTCGACATGCACCTCAGGTGCCTCGGGCGCTTCAGGTGTTTCCGATGCAACGGTGGCCACAGATTGAGTTGAGAGCCGAGAAGATGCTTTGGAAGTGCGAGATTTCTTGGTTCGAGATACTTTGCCCTTCTTCGTAGGGGGCTGGGCAAACACGAAGAAGGAACAATCGGAGGAGCGACGGTAGTGTTCGTCGCTAAGAACATTAGCTTGTCAGTCCACGACAGGGAAGGGCGCGGTCCATTTACTTACAAAGGATCATCCTTGGGCTCCCAACCATCCAGCGACAGCTTACAATAGGCGCAGCTGGCCAGATCATTGCTCTCTTCGTTGGGGCAGAAGTACCATCCACCTTCAACCATCTATCATACTTGTGAGCGGCAACAACATACCGGCGAGGGAGCAATTGGGCTACCTTCTCGGATTGACAAACCCAGCCGCGTTTTCCGTCGTGGGGCCAGAGCGCTCCGAATGTTCCCAGTCGCGCTCGGGTTATCCTCTCGCTGGTCGGGTCTTCGATCGTGGCGGGGTTGGAGCTGCGCTGCTGAATGTCCATAATAATCGCCCAAGCACAGTCGGGGGAGTGCTTGAGATGCTCCGTTATCGGGTTATCCTCTTCTTCCCAGCCGTCCAAAGCTCGATTGCACTGGAAACATGTTGTGTTGTCCGGGTTGGTCTCGTATGGTTTATAGTAGAAGCCGGCGTGGGCCAACTGGAAAGCAATTCTGTTAGAAACAACCTGCATCTTCCAATTACCTCCGCCTATAGACTTACCTCGGCTGGTGATGGGCTATGGTGAGGCCATCCGATCACTTTGGAGCCCTTTGTTGTTGAAGATCTCCGTTTCTCGGGTTTGAGTACGGCGTCGAAGCTGGCCAAACGGGCGGCAAAGGTGTCCATTTCAGAGCCCATGGTTGCTATGGTACTGTTGAAGACAGTTAGCCCCCAGACCGGTGTCGATAACCGGGTATGTGTGTCGAGGTCGTAATGTTGGTCGATGCCGATACGGTCTGTTTGGTCTGTTTACTTTGGTTGTTATGCGACGCGACCCCACGTGACCGGCCCTGTTACCTAAGCCCGGACGACGTCAGACCCAAAGTCGCCGAATGATGGGGCCGTTCGTGATACCCCAGTCAATCCTTCTTTCTTCCACCCATTGATACCTGCAGAGTATACTTCATGCTCCGGGACTTGGGTATTCCTTGATCTATCCTTTTTGAGCCGTGCGCTCCGCTCCTTCTTATCCGCTAAATCGCAACTCTGCAACCAACCGTACGGGCCTGAAAGCCGAAACTATATCTAGATGGAAAATAGATGCTGAAATCGTTGGCTTTTACAGATGATTGCCTCACAAACTGCTGGCCTTAGCTCGCTCTGGCGGTCTCGCACCCGATTCTCGCCTCCTCCACGGTTGCCCACTTCGATCCGCTGTGTCTCGATTCAATCTCGCACGACCTCAGACTCTCCCTTTCATCGATCTACACCACCCAGCGGCTCGACATCCCAACTCTTGTACAATGTCCCCTCTGGACGGTTCCCCTCTTCTGCGTCATTCTCGACCTCTCCGCTCCTATCCGAGTCGGATTGGGACCATAACCCGAACCTCTCAATCTCCAACTTCTCCGAGCTTCCATCCAAGGATTTCGGAGTCAACCAACATATGGTCATAAACCAAGAATTCAAGGAGGCTCTCCGGCAGATTCTTTGGCAATTTCGGGCTCCTATTCGTTATGCATTCGCCTATGGATCTGGCGTGTTTACACAGACGGGTGCACCCTCAACTGGCTCAACCCATCCATCGCCACCGACAGCCATTCAGAAAATGCAACAGGGATCGGGGAAGATGATTGACTTTATCTTCGGAGTTTCATACTCACAACACTGGCATGATTTAAACCTCCACCAGCACCGTGACCATTACTCGGGTCTCGGGTCGCTCGGATCATATGTGGTTTCGCAAGTACAGGATCGATTTGGGGCAGGTGTATATTTCAACACTCATATCACAGTGAACGGAACCTTGATAAAGTACGGTGTGGTGAACCTGGACACATTATGCACGGATCTCCTACAATGGAATACTCTCTATCTTGCTGGTCGCTTGCATAAGCCAGTTAAGATTCTCCGCGATCACCCCAAGGTGCGACTGGCGAACCAGATGAACTTGCTTTCTGCCTTACGGGTGGCATTGCTACTGCTTCCCGAGCGATTCAGCGAGTTTGAGCTCTACAGCACCATCGCAGGCATCAGCTACATGGGCGACTTGCGGATGGTGCTTCCAGCGGAAGACCCTGCCAAGGTACACAACATTGTCTCCGGGCAAATGGCGCATTTCCGGCGGCTCTATGCACCGCTCATCAGCAATCTCCCCAATGTCACATTCCGGGACCCTCGCTGCAGCCAGAACGATTGGATTGATGATCCCGATTCCGTTTTGGCGATGGAGCAGGACATGGATCCGGTGAAGCGCGGGAACATGGTTCGCCGTCTTCCAGAATCCTTCCGAGAGAAACTTTATTTCCAGTACCAGTCCCGCTATGCAATCCCGCGGGCTGAGTTCAATAAAATGATGGAGGAAAACTCCGATACGAAGCAAGAGATTGTCCGACGCCCCCAGGGTGGCCCGTTTGAACGCCGAATTGCGGATGACCCTCACCTTCAGGAGGAGGTCTCGAAATCGATCATGAAGACTATCCGCTGGCCCAGTACTGTTCAGACCATCAAAGGGCCTTTAACTGCCGGCGTTAGCAAGAGCTGGACCTACTTGAAGGAGAAACGGGAGAAGCACAGAAAGGCGCAGACCCAGAAGGTCCAACCGGCCGAGAAGGCGCTGAAGCTCGATAAGGCTGAGAAGACCGAGAAGGCTGAGCAGAAGAAGTCTTAACATACCTCTTGGAAGCATCTTTATGGCAGCAGCATCGTAATCGTCTTAAGGGATTGTATGGAGCCATCAGGGGTAGGTGGGCATATGCGGGCGTTGGTGGCACGTGTATTACATACGTGTATCTGGCATCTATGTATTCGAGAATACATATCTCCTCACATAGAATGTTGGTCTTATTCGCCATGATTGGCAATAATAGGCTGAGTCTTGGCATTCATTGGGAGGTATGGTGGTTAACATCATTTTATATAACAAAAGGAGACTCAAATTGTATACTGAACGATCAATACCATCCTATACCTAGAGATCAGTATAACCTGGTTTGCAATTGGTTTCACCGTCTGAGTCACTCTATGGAAACTGGGTGCTACATGAGTCAACCGTACCTTGGGTGCCGAAAATAAATGCTTCCGCTTTCTCTCCGATAACGAACCTCGCCGACACCCCACCAAATTTTGCTCCTCGACATCATCGTGCTCCGAACCCAGCACATCGCCCCCAATGGCTCAAAGATCATCACCGTTTGACCTGCAGACATGTGCACGGCCCAATATTTTGAAGTTGCAGCCCTACCGGTGCGCTAGAGAGTATGTCTGTCTCCGGTGAACGGCCCGAGCCCGCGCTAATGAGTCAGTGACTACAAAGATGATGGGACGAACATCCTCCTCGACGCCAACGAGAATGCCTACGGTCCAGCGTTAGCATTGAACAGCGAGGGCGCATTGCAGGCGTCGCGGGCTGGCGATGCGACGGGGGCCTCCAAGCCTGAGATTGACTTCTTGGGCTTGAACAGATACCCCGATCCGTCAGTATCTCCCATCCCGGCCAGTTACGGTTTTCTGTGATAGACGAAAACACATTCTCACCATCGGTTCGTCTGTTTAGTCATCAGATCGAACTCAAGCAGCTGTTCTGCAACCTCCGTAACACCCACAAACACACACAGAAGACCCTCCGACCCGAGAATATGTTCGTCGGGGTTGGATCGGACGAGGCGATCGATGCACTGCTGCGATGCTTCTGCATCCCCGGCAAGGACAAGATACTTACCTGCCCGCCGACATATGGAATGTACAGTGTGAGCGCACAAGTCAATGATGTCGAGATCGTCAAGGTGCCGCTGGATGTAAACAACGGGTTTCACCTGCAGCCGGATAAAGTAAATGAAGCCCTGTCGGCGGACCCGTCGATCAAGCTCGCCTATATCTGCTCACCGGGTAACCCGACAGCGAACCTAATCCGCAAGGCTGATATCCAGAAGGTGCTGGAGAACCCGACCTGGAATGGCGTGGTCGTGGTGGACGAGGCATACATTGACTTTGCCCACGAGGGCGCCAGCTTGGCCGAGTGGGTGACCGAGTGGCCCAATCTCGTGGTCATGCAGACCCTAAGCAAGGCATTTGGCCTGGCGGGTATCCGCCTGGGCGTGGCCTACACCAGCCCCGAGATTGCCCTCCTACTGAACAGCCTGAAAGCCCCCTATAACATTTCCAGCCCGACAAGCGCGCTAGCCACAGCAGCGCTGACGGCCCCCAACATGGCTGTCATGCGCCAGTACCGTGAGAAGATCGTCGCCCAGCGCGACCGGCTGCGCCGTGAGCTGCCACAGATCCCCGGCGTCGGCCGGTTCCTAGGCGGCCAGGATTCGAACTTCCTACTGGTGGAGATGCTTGACGCCGAGGGCCGGCCGAGCAACATTACCGCGCTGGCGGCCTACGAGGCGATGGCTGAGAAACGCGGGGTGGTGGTGCGGTTCCGCGGCAAAGAGTATGGATGTGAGGGCTGCCTGCGCATCACGGTCGGTACTGAGGCCGAGGTCACCACGTTCCTGCAGGAGCTTCGGTTGGTGCTGGGTGGGCTGCGCACCGGAGCCGGCACCCAGGCGGTTCGCGACGAGGAGCAGCGGGAGGACGCAGCGGCCGCGGTGGTTGGGTAACGATCGTTCATACTTGCTCCGTGTAGAAGTCCTATCTTGGAAGGCCTGGGATGTCTTGTTTGTATCTATGCTATCTATGCTATCGCAGGAATATTATAGAGATACTTGGAACCGTATAAGAGCCTGCTTGTTTCGTGTGTCAAGCTTCCTGGCAGAGCGACCGGTCCGTCAGCCTCACGTTGATAGGAGGATTGCCCTGGTGCCCTTATCTGGGGCTGATTACGTGCTGTGCGCCCGCTCCACTTCGCGGCCCTTTGGTTACTCTTAGCGTCTCTCAGTGGCGACGCTTTCTACTGAGGGCAGACAGGAATATAATGTGGAGATAGCGTCGCGTTGAGAGTATGGAATGGCCCCCAATCTATCTATCAGGAAGGAACTATGAACCCGGAGTTCGTCCTAACTTGATCGTACGAGTCTACGCTGGGAGTGTATTTCCGTTCACAAGCCGTTTGGGCAAACGCCCACGTGGCTGTCGATAAGAATTGCCTGTTTCGCAATCGCCTCAATTTCCACCTCGCTCCGACACGAGCTGTCATCTAATGACAGCTCGTCCCTCCCTCGGGCTGAATGCTGTCTCAGGTCCCGTTCTCCGTACTTTCCGTTCACATAGGCTTTGTGCCAAGTCAGCGCTGATTCGCCTTGCAAACAATTGTCCTGATCCCCCCGCGAGGGCCAAAGCTCCCGGACTCCGCCCGTCAACCCTCCCACACCGCAGGTCGAGAAGAGCGGGACCGGGGTTTAACTGATACACCGCGGCCCTGAGTGGCTGGGCGGCGCGGTCAGCAAGTGTGATATGATGAACTCGATTTCAAAGACTGCTCCTGCGGCGCTGACGCGAGTGGGCCAAGGGCCAAGGGCCAACCGCTCTACTGTTGGACTCGCTCAGATCCAGCAGGATCCAGAATGGCCCCGAGATTAGCGTGCTGGCTATCACTGGTCCTCGTTATCATCGCCGCAGTCGCCTCTTTCTGACTTTGTGATCCTTGCACCCAGGACGGTGGCTCATTTTACTTCAGTAGTCTCCGGGACTCACCGATTGAGTTCTTTTTCGCTCTCCCCTCTTTATTCCTGGTCAAAAGAACTTACTAGCGAGACTCGAGTTTTGAATATTACCCTTCCATATCTTCCCTCTCTCATCCCCTTGTCCTGCGATCGTCTCTACTAGTGGCTCTCCCGATCGGCCCTTAGTACATCTCCTCCCCACTGAGCCCTCTTTCCTCACGTGCGGCATGTAAAGATGCGCCTTGTCGCGCCCAACAACCTCCGGGACTGAACAAGGCACACGACTCACATCCCCTCCTCGGAGGCGGTCCAGAAGCCATGGAGACCGTCTCGCTGGCCACGCGAGGCCTCTATTCTCAGGTACCCCCGGACTATGAGTCCCGCGATGAGATCAACCCGACTCTGATGATGAGCTGGTGGGCCACGGGCTTCTCGCTGGCCATCATCGTCGTGCGCTTGTGCGGTCGCTATGTGCGCATGGAGCGTTTCTTCCCCGAGGACAAGATCATGATGCTCAGCGTCATCCCGCTGGCGATACGCATGGTGCTAGTGCACTTCGTGCTCACCTTCGGCACCAATAATACACAAACAGCCGGGTTGACGCAGGACCAGATCGAGAGAAGGGCGATCGGAAGTAAGCTGGTCCTGGTTGCGCGCATCTTCTATGCGATCTTGTAAGAACTGGCCCAATTTCAACCTTGTGTGACACTTATCGGAGCTGGTTACTCACCATCCCCTCTTCTTCCCAAATATAGTATCTGGACGGCTAAGCTTACGGTCTGCGAGTTCCTCAAACGAGTCACTGGCATGGTCTGGCGCAAATCAGTGTCTATGTTCCTGCGCTTCATACACTTCTTTCTCGCATCCACGCTTGTCGCCGTCGTCATCGCGACGCTGGCTGAATGTCAGCCAATATACCATTACTGGCAGGTCATACCAGATCCAGGACCTAGTTGTCGGAGCGGATATGCACAGCTCATCACGATGGGGGCTTGCGACGTCATCACTGACCTTCTTCTCGTCGCCTTCCCTGTTCCTATCATCCTCATGGCCCAAATGCCCATAAAAAGGAAGCTCGCCTTGGTCTTTCTCTTCGGCCTCTCCCTGGCTCTGGTCGGCATCACCTGCTACCGTGTCCCATCAGTGATCAACCGGCGAGGTGCACAACCTTACCGCTCCCTTGTCGCCTCTCTAGAAATTCTTGCTGCGACAGCTGTCTCTAATGTCGTCGTCATTGGTTCCTTCGTCCGCGATCGCGGTGCCAAGAAACTCAAGTACAAGCGCGCGCAGGGCTCTGCCTCTGTCGCTGAAAGCGTAGACAACAGCTTCGCGCGCCGCACCACTGTCATGAAGAATCAGTGGGGCAGCGACTCTGACCTCGCTGGCGACATGGGCATCCGACTCGATCCCAAGCTGTACTCATCTACACCTGCTGGAGCTGTCCCTATCCCATCTCCTCCTGTGCCTCTCCTGGTCGCACGCACCGGCTCCATCGACCCATCCTGGTCGTTCCATCAAGATCGCACGTCAGAGGACGACCACGCTTCGGCGACAGACAGCCTCGACATCAAAGTCAGTCCGCTCGAGTACATTCAAACCAACCAGTCCCCGCGTGATAAACCACCATCCTCTGCGTCACATCTTTCCTCACTGCGCTCCTCGTTCTTTGATGTCGGTGGCCTGCTAGCTCGGGACGAACCACAACCGCAACCCGATCACCGCCCGCGTCCCCATACCGATGCCCCCGAATCTACCCCTACTCTCGAAGCCCAATGGCAACGCCGCGGAAGTAGGGCTTTCCTTGAGGACCTCGGCGTCCTTGCCCCTCGTACTCCCGCCCCTGCGCAACTGCAGACGCGCTCCTCCTCACCACCTGCTATCAATACTGTACCCTACCCCCAACCGCTGTCTCATAACCTCCCGCCTTACCGAGCCTCCCCCGACGTCTCACTCGATGTGGATGTGGAGCTCCAGGATGTAGGCGGGCTGCTCTCGAGGCATAACCCCCGCATCTAATCTTGATACGTGATATGTGGTTTTGTTTTGGATGGGGTCTCCTGGTTTGGAGAAGTTGGTTTTTTTTTTTTTGGATTTGTTATTATTTTGGATTGCACGCAGACATACCCCACACTCATACCCCAATTGTCTCTTCAAGCATGTGTATTCACCGGCCTTTTTGCGGTGGATTTAGCGTCGGCGCTGGAGGTTTGTTCACTCCGAGTTATTCTGGAAGCAATATATGAAACCCATATGGAATCGGTTTCGCTGATTGGTTCTGTACAGCAATCATGATATGAAGATATGAACACTGCGTCTGATTTTCTGTTTATACTCGCTGGTGTTCAGCGCCGGCTCTAGAGCCTATCTTGTGTCTACGTTAACTATTGAGAAAGTATTTTACTCAAGTATCCAGTATAGACACCCGATGTATTCATCTAGCCTGAAGCAAAACACAACGGACATTACTATGTAAAATCACAAATCACAAATCACAGATCACGGATCAGATCAGATCAAACCACCGCCCCCCATGGGCGTTGGAGAAACTTCGCCTATACGCCATGCTGCCCATAATACAAGGGACCAACTTTTTTTGTGTTTGTGTAAGGTGCAAAAAAAACTCCGTGTCCAACCCCGCCTGGTATCATCTGGCGCAGCCGCCAATTCCCTTTGACTTTTCATGTTCTGTTTGCGAAAGGATGGATAGGGCGGCGGGGAATGTATGGGCAGCAGCAGAACGAACCGAGTTGGAGAGGACTTGATGCGTGTTGGGGTATGGGTTCTCGCCCCCTCCCGAGTCAAGAGAGAGCCCTTCTTTTGGAAAGAGGAAAGAGAGAGGTGGAGAGAATAAAGGACAAAAGACCGTTATGAAGCTCTTCTGGAGCCCTTTTAGATCACCCACCGGTAGCTGGCGTACCGACCAGCCGTCTCACTTTTGCGGATGATCTTCACCACCTGGCCGCGGCGCAGACCCAAGTACCGAGCGACGGGGTCCGAGACCTGCATACGCGGCAGCTGCGACTCCTTAAGACGGTATCGCTCCAGCAGGCGGGCCTTTTCCTCCGGGCTGAGCAGGACGTGCTTGGGAACCAGCTCATGCCGCGTGATATTGACGAGCAGGTCCTGCTCCTGGAAATTCTCGCCGATGTGACCGGGGTTGCTGGCGAGCAGGCGGACAGCAGTGGGCGAGAGCGGGATCTGGGTGATGAAGATACCGGTGTGGAAGTTGTTCTCGTCAACAACGTGGTTGAATGCACGCACTTGCTTGGTGCCGAGCTGCGAGCCGTCGGGGCAGAAGTCGACGTAAACGGTGCCGCAGTCGGGTTGGGGATTCGGGTTCGACTTGCTCGGCAGCGCGGTATATTTAATCTTCATCTCCTCGGTGGGACGGGCTTGGATTTTCATCTTCGTGCGGCTGTGTCGGAAATAGAGATGTGTCAGTGGCATTGGACCTCAACAAATAGTCCGCGGTATTCTTTTCTCTCTAGTTCTTGTAGTGCAAGAATTCGAGGGGTCGCGGGGGAAGAGTCGCATACTCGGGGTATCCCATAGGGTCTGCATATTTCCGCTTGAACTCATCGAGCGAGACTTGCAGCTCGTCGTCCGAAACTTCGTAGCCCTATTTTTGAGCGCAATCGTGTTAGTTTCAGGCACATCTGCAGCTGGAAGCGAAAGACCCTGCGCGACAGGGACCTCGTTGCAAGAGGAAAGGAGCTTACTCGGTCCGCAAGCATTTCATAGACCGTCCGCCAGGTGCGCCAAAGCCGGGTCATCTCCTTGTCGGCATCGGCGCTGGTGGAGGGAATATCCCCATCCATGATCGATTGGGGTCGACAAATGGATGGACCTGTAAGAAAGAGAGGGGAGGCGCGAAGAAAAAGCGGGCGCAGGAAAGGTGCGACGAAGATAAGGTGAAGTCGAAAAATCGGCGGGAACTTTCTGCCAGGCGAGCACTTAGCAAAGCGGAGAAACTGACCGAACCCGAACCGTTTAATTATTCGAAACGTTTCCCCTTTCCCCTCGTGGGCAACATTTTCTCTTCCCTTTCCCCCTGAGGAAGTATTCATCTCTCTTCTCCCTCGCTTCGCTCTGCCACTTTCCACAATGGCTGCTCCTGCCCCTGCGGAGCCCCGGCTTAAGCCCACCAAGCCCGATGAGGAGACCTATAAGGCCAGTTTGGCCCAGGCTGAGAAGGAGCATGCTGCAGCCCAAGAGAAGCTGGTATGTTGGCACGCCCTGCAATTGAATTCTTTGCTCTATTTTTGTTTGCTTGATTTTTGGGGGGAGTCGCGATGTCCATCGGGAAATCCCAAAACGACGGGTGGTGTTATGTGTGCCCACATGTCATATTTCCCTTTCCGAGTCCAGGCGCTAACGTGCGCAAAATCCAGAACCAAATCAAGGCCAAATTAGACAACGCCAAGCCCAACAACCAGGACTCTCCGGCTGTCAAGAAGCAGCAGGAACTCCGCGCCGAACTCTCCACTATCCGCCAGAAGCAGTCGGGCTTCAAGTCCTCCCGCTCCAGCACCCAGGAGAAGATCAATGCATTGGAGTCAACCCTCAAAGCCCGCATTGCGGAGCAGAACAACTCGCGCGGCAAAATGTTGTTCAAGAACGTTGACGAGATCGACCGGGAGATCGACCGCCTCGAGAAGCAGGTTGACTCCGGCACTCTGCGGTTGGTGGACGAGCGCAAGGCTCTCTCGGACATCTCGAACCTGCGCAAGCAGCGTAAGGGGTTTGCCGGTCTCGAGGAGGCTCAGAAAGGTATCAATGAGCTGAAGGCGCAGATCGCGGAACTCAAGAAGACCCTGGATAACCCCGAGGCCAAGGCCCTAAGCGACAAGTACACCGAGATCCAGAAGGAGCTGGATGCGATCAAGGCCGAGCAGGACGGTGCCTACAAGAACCTGAACTCTTTGCGCGACGAGCGCACCAAGCTGCGCAACGACCAGCAGAAGAAGTACGCCGCCATCCGCGAGCTCAAGGACAACTACTTCAAGGCTCGCCGTGCCTACAAGGAGTACGAGGACGAGGCTTGGCGTGTGCGCCGTGAGCGCCAGAAGGCCGAGCGTGATGCCTTTGAACGTGAGAAGCGCAAGAAGGTGGCCGACAAGAAGCTCGAGGAGGCTTCCCAACTAGCCTACACCGACGAAATTCTTACCGCGCAAGGTCTCATCCGCCATTTCGATCCCGCTTACGACGTCTCCGCCCTGGGTCTTGAGGACAAGAAGGACGAGTCCAGCAACTTCCGTGCCAACGTTGGCCGTACCGTTGACGACTCTGGTCTCAAGGGCATGAAGGTGATGCGCAAGGTGGACCGCGAGGAGGACTACTTCGTCGGCACTGCCGGGAAGAAGGGCAAGAAGGGCAAGAAGGGTGGTGCTGCCACTGCTGGCACCGAGGCCGGCAAATTCAACATGAACGTTGGCATTATCGAGGACTTCGCCAAGGTCAAGATCGACCCGCCCATGAACCAGTCCGACGTCCCTGCGGCCGTGGAGAAGCTGGCTGCCAAGATCACGGAGTGGAAGAAGAACCAGGCCAGCAAGACCGAGGAGGTGAGTCTTTTTTTTTGCTTCAGGACACGAAATTGAGTGGTATTTCCCGCTAACGCCACCCCACACAGAACATCAACAAGGCGAAGGAGGAAATTGCCCGCCTCGAGGAGGAAGAGGCCAAGGTCGCCGAGACCAACGGTCGCAGCACCGACGCTGCAAAGAAGCCCGCCCAGGCCAACAGTGCCCCCACTGCTGAGGCCGAATTGGCCCAGGAGCAGGATGCCGCCGCCGACGCAGCGGAGGAGCTGAAGGCGGCCTCGCTGGAGGACAAGGAATAGATGGATCTCGTAGGACGTGCTGGAATGGTTTGTCATTGCATTTCCCTACGTACATGTTCCGCAGCCTAGCATTGCGTCTAGCATTTTCTTCTTTTGTTCTTTTTGCTCAATGTGCATTATAATCCGCGTGCTTATACATGGACAGCGTCCGTTCTGTTTCTATTCCAAAAGTCAGAAATGGTATCTTCTCGGCTCGAGCAGTCAATTCTCTAATTTATCTCCATATTCCGGTACTTCTTTCGTCTGATCTTGATCATCAATTGATTCCATGTCATCAATTCCTCGTTGTATCCCGCTCCTTACAACTGCCCGGCACACCCCCTCGGCTGAGTCATCCAACCGAACCCCCGGAACTGCGCCACTCCCCACTTTCTGCAACGGGCGATCCGCGCGTTCTCTACAAAAGCCTGACTGCTTCCAAGCTCTTGGCTGCCCGGATTGTCGTGAGGTCTTCTCTGCCTGTGCGCAACCACTTCTCCCTCTCCATACACACTCAATCCGCCACCAACCCTTCCACAACCACAGCATCCGCCATTTCCGCATCTCCCGTCCCTAGCTCGATAGCAGCTCCCCCATAGCCTGCGCCCAAGATGTCTTACAACAAGCCCGTACGTGCGCCGTCGAATCCCAATCCCACCTAATTCCCGACAACCTCCCAACTCACCCACACGTGAAAATTGCATCACTAACGCCTTTCTCCAGACCAGCCCGCCCCCTTCCTACCCTGCCCCCGTCTACGAAAATGCCGCTTCGCACCCGGGCTCCCCACCTCCCCAAGGCGCTGCCCAGGACTTCTACGGCCAGGGTGGCCAGGGCGGCCAGGGATTCTATCCCCAGCAACAAGGCTACGGACCCCCGCAGCAGCAGGGCTACTATCAGCAACCCCAGGGCCAGATGTACTACCCGCCGCAACAGGGCTACCCACCTCAACAGGGCTATCCCCCTCAGCAGGGCTACTATGCCGGTGATCGCAGAAACGATGGCGGTGCCTCGGGCGGCCTATGTGCCGGTATTATGGCGGCTTTGGCTTGTTGCTGCTGCTTGGACCTCCTGTTTTAAGGGTGGAAAAACGAATAAACGACAGAATCACTCATGGCTTCACCGTTAAGCTGGCTCGTTCATCGGAAACGTGGTGTGAAACTCAATGTGCTCGCGGGACATCCACTCCATGGCCGTTGGAGCTCTCGACTTGAAAGAACTGCGCAGGGGTATGGGGTACCCCGGAGATAAGCTCTCGTGTTGCTTCGCGGCGTTTCCGAGAGCTGGACGTAGAGCTTGAGGTTCGGATGTAAGTTGGTTTGTAGGTCTTTTTGGTTTTCTTTTGTTACGCTTCGGATGACGTTTGGCTTTGGTTGGGGGATTTTCTTGGCCTTGGCTCGTATATATCCTTGGCTCTATCTGTTACAATCGGCGCTAATCAGGGCAAGGCGTTGAAGGTTGGTTCTCAGTTTGTACAGTTCATTCTTATCCTTCCGGGTCTTTTTGCACTACATACTTAATTCAATGGCATTTCTTTTGGGGGTATCAGTGGAGACGGCAGTAGTCTTAGTGTCAGTAGGCGCAATAGGATATATGTAACTGCAACGAGATTGATATGATGTTCGTGATACAGGATATTATAGACATAACACATCGAACACATTATCATACGACATAAAATGGAACAAAGGGTATCGCAATGCAAAGAGACGGAAAAAACTCCGAGCGCGCCGAGTTCGACCAGTATAACAGCCGAGGACGGAACACATGAATATCAGTAACGGCTGTCACGACTGCCACCATAGGAGCTCCCACCGCCGTACTCGAGCGGGTCGACAGTGCGATATCCCCGCCCAGATCTCCTACTCCCATCTCTCCGCGGCGCAGGGGAGATGGAAGACAGCCCGGAGGACTCCTCGATAACTTCAACAATGTCGCGATCATCAGTTACCGAGGTACCTGTGATGGACTCATCCACGATGATATGATCCCGGCGTGATCCTGAGCCCGGGCGCCGATAACTGTCCCGCCGGTGGTCGCGCTCCTCAACGACCTCAATCACCTCGCTACGCCGCGATGGCGTGCGCCGACTGCGGACGACGACTTCCTCGTCGATCTCGGAGCTTGAGCTCCCGCGTGCCAGGCCGCCGGGGTTCAGGGCCAGGAATGTCAAGTACATGATGAGGACGACGCCACCTACGCTGCCGAGGACGATGCCGACAACCGTACCGGGTAGGGGGCTGGAGTTGAGGTTGCCGTAGGTGGAGGGAATGGAGACGGTTGTGTAGCGCTTTTCGAGATGGGAGTGGAGGACGTTTGTGCTCTCGAAGATGGAGGGATTAGATGCGGTGACTGGAGTCGCATTGAGATCATACCCTCTTGGCAAAGGGAGAGAATCCATGGTGATTTAGTTTGGTAGTCCGACTCGATGTGGTTTGTTCAGCTGGGAGATAAGCGCGGGAGTGGTCGCGCGGCTGTGGTGCCTGCGGGGTTGTTTTGTGGGCTGCTCCTGTGAAGATGGAGTATTGTACCGTCAGGCTAGAGTATCAGTTTGTGTGACAGAATGAAGGAAGTGAGATGGGAACAGGTGGAAGGGGGGTGGTTGTTTAAAATCGAGGGCTGGTTGAGGGGTGGCTGGGGATCTGTGGAGGTGGAGCCGCAGTCGGCGCGCGACCGCGATCTACGTAGATCTACGTAGATGGATTGCTGCGTAGAATCACGCTGCTCGCAAACCCTGATATATTTTGCTAATCTAGATATTTTACTTTCACTTGTGCTCTCTCAGTCTCAAACACACACATACCCACACATATTGGATTTCATTTTGGCTACGGTTTGTGATCATTCCCCTGAATACCTGTATCCCGCCGGCCAAAGCTAGGTGAATCCGGTTTCACTTCGAAGCAGCCAATCTACGGGAAATTATTTTGGGGAAACCCATACATCAATCATCCAGGACCATACATGCCACCACCATAGATGCCGACATGCCACCTGTAGCAATATATTGGCTGTCCCGAGATCTATTCGCATCGCCCCGACCGCGAGGCTCTAGCTCGCGACTTCGGTCCCACATGTCGTGCACATCGACAGCCGATTGCAATTGAGTAGCAAGATATTCTTGTAACTCAGGGACTGGTTTCAAATTGTAGGGTGCTTCTTTTAATCGCTGCATCTCGTGGACTGTGGAGGCCAGCATAGTATACTTATGGAAATTGATGAGCCCTTCCGGCGTCTCCGCTGGATTCCCGTCTTCAATGAAAGTCAAGTCTTTCAAAAAGAGACCTAAGGAACAAATGGTGAGCTATAAAGACAAGATGTCATGTTCATTGAGATGGAGCTAACCGAGAAACGGAATTGAGGGCGACCCTGAAGCCCGCAAAGTGTCACGATACAACTTGTAGTTGTGTGCTCGAGCGGCGAGAGCCTGTAAGGGCCTTAGCACGTTGCACGTACGTTCGGTAACCATTGCCCATGTGCGACCAAGCCGATATATGGGGGCGCTTTCCAAGCCAGACAGGATCGATATCACCGTGGAGTAATTTTGCAGTTGACGGCATTCCTGTGATATTCTGCAGTTAGCCCGTATCAACAAGTATCGAAAGGGTGCGGACATGTGTTACATTGGCCACGTTGACTAGATGCCCGATCACTTGAGTGCGCTTTTTCAAGTCCGATTCGGCAACTACCAAGGCACAAACCCAATTCGCGATCTGATTGGAATATCGGATCACGGCCCTGACGTTTGGCGCGCGCTCGGGTGTACCGGGGCTTGCTTTCTGTTGCCAGCTTTTGTTGAACAATTCATCATCGTGGACTTTGGCAAACAGATGCCCTTCCATAATAGTCAACTGCCGACCAATCTCCGTGGCATCAATTTTGAGGAATTGGAGTTTGTCTAATTTGCGCGGAAGGATTGGTTTTGGTGGAACTGAGGGAGATGGTTGACATGCCTTCATATGGACGAGGCCCGCAAGTCGGCGTTGGATGATCGCCAGAAGTTGTTGCGCCGCACTGGCTCCAGGGACTTCTGTAGCTCGTTCTGCAAATGACTGTAGTCCAAGCAGATCTTGGTTTGTATCAGACGTCTTTGGCTCATTCCAAAAATATTCCAGCCACTGTTTCAAGATATTTATAACGCGTAATCGAATCAAGGGTTGTGTTCGAGCTGCCCATTCTCCTACCTCAATGGGATTGAATTTGATAGGTGGCGAGCAGTCATATCGGTCGATGAGGAGCCCAAGAAGCTCTTTTCTTGAGGTATAATATTTGTAAGTAGTGAGGAATGTCCGGTTGAAAGAACCATCGAGCTTGTCAGGGTGGGTAAGATTTTCCACCAGCGCTGCTAGAGTTCCTGCCTTGACAATTATCACGCTTCCATTGTCATAGCTATCAATCTCTTTCGAGGACGTGATATTGTGAGAGCCGGAGTCTCTCCGCTCCTTTGTCTCGGGTTGATCCATCGTCACGACAGTGCCTTAAGATGCCGAAATCGCCGATTCCAGCCATCTAAACCGCTCTGAGCTTGCTCTGCTATTTGTTGTCACATGGCCCTAGGTCAGAAATAGAAGAATGCAAGAGTCGAGAAACGTCTGCGGACACTCTGGGACCAGGGAAAACTGATGTAATGTCTTCCATTTAGGTAGGGTGGGGGTTCTGTTTATGACTGGTGTGCTAACGAGGCACACTCCACCCCAGCTTGCGCAGTAGTTCTAGCCTTACGAGCCCAAAGCGGCTTTTGCAAGAGACCGATCTTTATGCGATCTTGGCTTTTCAACGCCACTCGTCTACCAGTGCCCGGAGTTAGGCGTCCGGTGGTTCTCTCCCGTCGACGATACATGAACGAGCTGAGGGCTTGGTCTGCTGTCTTCCGAGATTTATCGAGGTACAGCCCTAAGAAGTTGCTTGGTACTAGGATTTATCACCTATTGCCCGCCGCGAATACAGTCGCGATTTCTACGATCCGCAAGGTCAGGTGTGGCTTTGCTTTTCTGGGCCGATGATCGGATTTCGCTTAGCCGCCCCTGCCGTGGCCCCACCTTTTTCAGTTTTCAGTTATCTGATCCGCAACTTGCATGGCCAGAACTCAATCAATATTTCGAAACCCTATGTTTCAATCGAGTTCCAAGGGCGAACCACTCATATCCTCATCTGGGTTAATCGCTAGGTTGCTAACGGAGAGTGATATCGCAGTATGAAATATTTTTCTCTATCTACTTCCGTCCTGCTTTGATACAATCATTGGGTAGCGTCTTCCGAACGACTAGACTAAAAGCGCGTTTCCGATTCCCGAGATCGTCGGGTACTCTTGCTGCATCAGGGCTAACTTGCTCTGAGATAATGTCCGGCTGAGGAATACAATAACAAGAAAGGGACCAAGGGCCAAGGACGTTTGGCCTTCCGAGTATGTGACAACAAAGTGATGGAGAGGAGTTTGCGGTGACCACGCGAGCTTGGGTAGACCTGGGCCCGGACTGGAATTCTTGTGTACAGGCAGCTATGTTTGATTCTCATTTTGGAGTTATCAAATTCGTCGCCTCGGAACATGAGCGGCCGAACGAACTTGTGTGTGTTGTGTAGTAAGAATCTAACAAGTGGCGTGTGCCGGCCCGTGAAGATTCTGGTATGTCTTTTTTCTTGGCTGCAGGTGTACCCAGGTGGAGCTCGTATATGCAGCGATCTTTTGGCTCATTTCCATACAGCCAATCAATGTCTAGGAACAACACGGCCCCTGCGTCATTGTGCGCGTGCTAGTCAGTTTCGAACTAAGAGTCCGAACTCGGCGCTGGTGTACTATAACGGAAATGATTCACCACTCATTCTCCGGTTGTATTTAGTGTTTGTGACCTCTGGATCTCTTCTGGCTTTCTCCATAGTCAGCCACCATGGGTGCTCGACCGGTGATCCGAAGAGCATGCACAGTTTTCTGCCGTATATCGAGAGAAGAGGCTGGGAGCGACCACAACGAGCGGAGGACTACCCGGGAAGGAAAAAGCCAAGCAGATGCAGATGCCGAAGATGTCAGCCCAACCCATAGTAACTCCAAGGAGCGTGGGGAAATGCCGGATGAAACTACCCAGTATGGTGTTCAAGATGTCGAGGCCGTGACTATTACTTGGTCGAGGGGTACACTGATCGCAGTATTTATCAAGTATGTCCTTATTGGTTTTGGTCTTTTTCGCTGTTCTGGTATTATCACCAATGCTTCGACAAAAACTGATATCATAACGTCCATAGTATCTGGTTCTTATACTTTGTGAATGCATTTCAAATCACGGTCACTGCCACCCTGAATCCTTATGTGACAAGTTCATTCAAAGCGCATTCGCTGGCAGCGGTCCCCACTGCTCTGGGAGATGCCTTTGCAGCTGCTAGCTATCTTCCTATGGCAAAAATGATGGACGTGTGGGGTCGTGCAGAAGGTTTCCTCTTGATGGCTATCTTCGCTACCATCGGGCTGGTTCTGATGGCAGCGTGCAATAGCTTTGAAACCTACTGCGCCGCAAACGTGAGTCGCAGAGACATCGCTTTTGAGAAAATTCTAACGACAAAGACGCAAGGTCTTCTACTACACCGGCTTCTACGGCATGGAATACGCAATCGATGTCGTGACAGCCGATGTTTCGACTCTCCAGAATCGTGCCTTCGCTTACGCGTTTACCTCCTCTCCGTACATCATCACGGCTTTTGCGGGCCCAAAAGTAGCGAGCGAGTTCTACAGTCAAGTCTCCTGGCGATGGGGCTTTGGTTGCTGGGCGATCATGATCCCCCTCGCCGCTGCGCCTCTGTATACCATGCTGAAGTACAACCTGCATAAGGCCGAGAGAGAAGGCTACCGAATTAGGAGACCGAGTGGTCGCACTATTTCGGAAAGCATTTGGCATTGGATATTAGAGTTTGATCGTGAGTACCAGATTGTTGCTCCACATGAGAAAAATCTCATCTAATCTACGGAATTAGTATTTGGAGTTTTCATATTCACTGCTGGTCTTGTCCTATTCGAGCTTCCCTTCGATATCGCTAATTACGCCCCGAAAAGCTGGGCTTCTGGTTATATTATTGCCATGCTTGTCGCTGGAATTGTCATGCTTTTCGTCTTTGCGACATGGGAAAAGTGGTTCGCCCCTGTGCCTCTGTTCGAATATCGACTACTTTCCAATAGAACGGTTGTCGGGGCAATTCTCTTAGATGCAACCTACCAACTCTCGAACTACTGCTGGAGTTACTACTTTACGTCCTGGTTGCAAGTCAACAACGACCTGTCTATTACCACCTCGAACTATGTCGTCAACATTTTCGACATGGTCTCTGGTGTGCTCTTCCTGGTTACCGGTTGGCTTATCCGCAGGGTTGGCCGCTTTAAGTGGACCCTTTACATCGCTGTTCCGCTCTACATATTCACACAGGGGTTGATGATCTACTTCCGGGAGCCGAACATGAATATTGGCTACCAGGTGATGTGTCAGGTATTCCTCGCTATCAGTGGTTCAACCTTCATTCTTGTTGAGCAAGTTGCTATTCTAGCTGCGGTCGACCACCAGCATGTCGCAACCGCACTGGCCCTGTTGAACGTGGTTGGCACTATCGGGGACTCTGCAGGGCTCACGATCTCCACTGCCATCTGGCAGAACACCTACCTCAAGGCTCTTCGGCGATATCTTCCGCAATCAGCCATGCCAAACTTGGCCAACATCTATGAGGATCTGAATACTCAACGGAGCTATCCTGTTGGAAGTCCTACTAGACTGGCTATCCAGAAAGCATATGCCTACTCCGAGCTTAGGCTGCTTGCTGTTGGCTGTGGCGTTGTAGCTCTGGCAATCCCTTGGACAATGTTGATGAAAGATATCAATCTGAAGAAGAAGAAGCAGGTCAAGGGAACGGTTTTCTAGAATGCCAACCACCAGGCTTGGGAAAAGATAGGATTCGGTCGGATTTATATTTAGGAGAATTCGCGCTTCTCGGAAATCGAAAAGCTCATTATAATTTCATCCTGCTATCTAGCTCATCTATATCCATATGCACGGTATTCATGAACTTGAGGATACGTCCGTCGGCGACGAAAATCTTCCGGCATGCATCAACTCAGTGCCTGGAGGACCACCTCAGTCATCATCAAGGCACTCTCATCCTCTAGTCGTCGCCCGACGAGTTGCAGATTGACTGGCATCCCATGCACGACATCCGCATCATCTATCCCACTGGTTAGTGCTTTACTTTGCCGGTGATAGACAGGTTACTTACAGTCTTTCCGGATCTGGGTATCAACTTCACTCAACGGCTCATTGTCAGCATAGGCCGCGTCAATCACTTTGTCAGCGTACACGCCGCAAGGAAAAGAGACAGCAGGGTAATCCAGAACGTTGAAAACGCCCGTATACCCAATATACGCGAACTTTCCGTTCTCAACGCCGCTGTACGGTGTCGTGGGGCCTGAGCACGTCGCACTTAGCGACTATCAATCTCAACGCGGAGGAAGAACTTACATAGGATAGCATCTATACCAGTCTTGTTCCACCGATCTAGGTATGCTTTGCAGGTGGTATTGCGTTCTAGTTGAAGCTGCCACATCTCGTGAACACCCAATTCCGACGCCTCGGCATAGGCCTTCATCTCCGGCCGGAAGGGCTCCCCCGTCTGTTCGAGCAGCTTCGTGACTGATTTTCCGCCGTCCGCCACAAACATGCGTGACAAAATAGATAGCAGATTTTTGTGCCCGGTTGATGCCCAGTTGACAATTTCGTGGCCGGCCCGCCGCAGCTTGGTGACCGTCTCCTCTAGCGCTCGCGCGACAGGCGGCGTAGGGGTGACTTCATCGTCCTGCCACAGCACAGCGATCTTGAGGTTTCGTTTAGGAGCCACCGTCCGCCAGGGGATGGGCAGGCACTTGGGATCGTGTATCCAGGGCTGATGGTCGACGACGGTCTTGGCCCAGAGCATTATCTCCGCCAGTGTCGAGGCCATGGGGCCATTGACACTGTTCACGGCCTCCTGTCCTGCAAGACCAGAGCGAGTTTGGAAGTTTGGGAACCGACCAGAGGAGGGCCGGATCGTAAAAATGCCCGTGCATGCCGCAGGAATCCGCAGGGACCCCCCTACAGTGTATCAGATAGAGCTTATAGGTGAATATGAACAGTGGCATTATGGGAGAAGACATACCAATATCGGTTCCCACGCCCAGTCGACTCCCGCCGAAGGCGATCAAAGCAGATTCGCCTCCCGAAGAGCCACCGGAGGTCAGGTTACGATTACGGGGGTTAACAGTACGGCCGAAGACATTATTGACAGACTCAGCTATCATCATGGCGGTGGGTACATTGGTCTTGACGTAGAGCACGGCTCCAGCGGCAAGAAGTAGGTCGATCAAGGTGCTGTTGTAGGTGGCCGGGTCATTGACCAACGAGGTGAAGCCGACGGTAGAGTCGTGACCAATAATATTGAAGTTATCTTTGATTGAAATGGGAAGACCGTGAAAAGGGCCCTTTGTCTTGCCGGTTGTCTGGAGATACTTGTCCAGCTCGCGCGCGCGGGCAATGGCCTTTTCAAATAAGATCTCGGACAGGCAGTTGGTCTGCTCAGTTAAGTTGGATACTATTCATAAAACGTGCTTTTTCGCATTTTGAACTACAGTAGAGGGGGAAGGTACCAATTGGTGAGCAGCGGCAGCAGCTTTACAGAATGCGCGAGTAACTTCCTCAGATGTCCACGACCCTGTCGCTATGTTCACGAGAAGTTCCGGTGCCGGTGTGGAAATTATCGCCAGTTCGTGGTCGGTGAACCAGCCCGACTGCTTGGGAAACCCCGTCACATCCAGCTGGCTCTCAGGAGGAAGAAAATTAGAAGGGATCACCCATTCGGTGGGAATAGAGGCTATGAGGGCCTTGCGTTTCTGGGCGGCGATAGTTTCCCAGGTCATGTCGATCTGTTCAGGCTTGGAAAAGTGAGACAGGTGATGCTAAGGAACAAGATCTGGGCACATTTCTCGCATTTGTAGGTTGCTAAGCAGGGACTTTTGCGCCGGGAAATGTGCCGGGCTCCCCAGTTCCCCATCGTGATTGCCGTGACTCCGTCGTGGGCGCCAAGGATGATAATCAACGCGTGATAACCATACCAGCGGGTTGGGCCTATGGAGATCTGGTAGATACCGGAATGCAATTGAAGGCGAATGGTGATTTGCTGACTTGTTGTGTTGTCCAGATAAGCTGAGTTGATAAGTTTCCTAAAAGGGCAAGTTATCTAATGCCGCCAAGCTTGGCGCTCAGCGCAAAGCTTGCCGGGGAGACTTCCCCCGCACTCCTCGCGATGCGCCTCGGATTCAACCAGCCGAATTGCTCGAGATAATCTCAATTACTTTTTCGTCAACTCTCAATAGCGAGAACAAAGTGGGGAATGCACAAATCTGGCATATCAGACCGAGATGCCGATAGGCGACACCCCATATCAATAGCCCCGTGTCCATCCAGATAACATCTGACGCGGGTATATAAAGAATCCGATCTCCAGCCACGGAATCCTTTCCGGTCGTGTTCTACTTGTGAAAGGAAGATACGGTAGCGGACCGGCACAGCCATGTTCACCCAATTCAAATCCTACATCAAGGGCCACGAGAGTGTGCCAGGCGAAGCCAAGCTCCTCCGGAAGATCGACACTTTCATCCTATCGTTCTGTTGTCTCTGCTACTTCACAAATTATCTGGACCGGAGCAACCTCAGCAATGCATATGTATCAGGAATGAAGGAGGAGCTCAATTTTAAAGGAAATGAACTCAGTTTAATCAACACCGTCTTTACCGTGGGGTAAGGCCATGATCCCCGAATTCTCCACAAGTCCGCCGGTCTCTGTCTAACCGCTACTCAGGTACATTGTGGGGCAGCTTCCCTCCAATCTGGCGCTGACCTACCTGCGGCCGCATCTCTTCTTCCCGGCCATGGTGATTATCTGGGGTAGTCTGACCATGATCACGGCTGCTGTGCACAACCCCCAGGGCATCATGGCCATCCGCTTCTTTCTAGGCTTGGCCGAGTCGAGTACCTTTGTTGGCACCCACTATATCCTGGGCGCCTGGTACACAGAAAAGGAGCTGGGGAAACGCAGTGGAATTTTCACCGCGTCAGGCCTGGCCGGGACGATGTTTGGCGGCTTCATCCAGACCGGAATTCAATCATCCCTCGATGGCGTTCACGGACTATCAGGCTGGCGATGGCTATTTATCGTACGTTCCTTCGCCCACTTCCTTTTGCCTACTGATAACTTGCAACTAACGAGTCAGATTGATGGTCTGATCACCATTCCCATTGCCATTTACGGCTTTTTGCTCTTCCCCGACACTCCTACCACGACGAAAGCCCCCTACCTGACCTCTGAGGAGCGGGCCATGGCCATCGCGCGCATCCCCGAATCTGGGTCGGTGAAAGTCCCACTAAACCTGACATTTGCAAAGCGCATCTTCACCTCCTGGCACTGGTACGGCTTCGTGATCTTATGGATCATCGCCGGAGAGACAGAGTCGTTCTCCAGCAATGCTCTGTTGGCGCTCTACATGAAAGCCCAGCCCGCCAAAACCTACACCATCTCCCAGTTGAATAATTACCCAACGGGCGTAGCTGCTGTAGGTATCGTGTCCACCCTCTTCTGGGCCACCCTGACCGACTTCATGGGTGGGAAGCGGTACCTTGTTGGATACTTCATTGCTATCACGGGAATCGTCACCTCCACGATGATATTGACCCGATATGAGGATAAGGCGGTCGTGTTCGGCGCATACTACTGGGCTGGAGCCGTATATGCCTGTCAGGCAACATTTTTTGCGTGGTGCAATGACGTCCTGCGCTTCCAGGATGACCGATTCCGATCTGTAGTCATCGCCAGTATGAACATGGGCAGTAATGCAGTCAATGCCTGGTGGCTTCTGCTGTTCTACTCGGCAAATTTTGCGCCCAGGTTTACCAAGGGTATGTGGGCGATGATCGGTTGCTCAATTGCCTTGGCCCTCTGGACGACAGGTATCATTTTGATGACCGCTCGCGAAGAGAAAAATCGAGACGACCAAGAACTGCGCGTGGGGGATCTAGATACCAAGATAATCGAGGAGACTGCTAGGGAGGTGTGACGCTGTTGTTAGTTCCTCTATTACCATAATTCATTGTCTGCGTTTGAAAGAAAGCCGGATGTCAGCCTAACGTATTCAATAACTCTTCTATGGTTTTCAAAGTCAACCTGGAATACCTTGAGTAGAGCACCTATTGCTAGAACCGAAGGTCCACGGGTCGTCGATGAGAATGGGAGAGGCGATTTCCATCGATATACGCGTGGGAGGGCTTGGAATCTCCCCATGTAATCTGATTGCCAGACCTGAGTACATCAGACTTTTGGTATGGAGGCACAACAGAAGTACGATAACCAGCGATCAGAGTGAAGAAGAACGCATCTACGGCGACGGGGAAGATTTCACCGGCCAGAGCCTTACCTTTTTCTATCTGATTCGCTCTTCTTGATTTCTCAGTCCCCATCTTCATAGGATAACTCCACGAATCGCGAGTATTTGGCATCGGCCGATCCCTCCCTTCCTGCGAAGTGTTTTGATGACGTCATGTGATGAAGGCTCAACCTGGGGAAACCTCGAGGACACCACCGGATTCCGATCTTGTATGATATCATCCCGCCATTTTCCAAGACTTGAACCCCATCCAAGTCGTGCCTTGAAGCTCTCTCGACCCAGCCTATATCACGTTCTCAGCTCAACGCAACCAGGACAATCTCCTCGCGTCCGATCACGCATTCTACGTTATTACTCTATCTGCCATGGCTCGCATATTTATCACCGGTTCAAGTGACGGAATCGGCCAAGCCACAGCCAAAATCCTCGCGTCTCAGGGCCATTCAGTGGTTCTTCACGCTCGGAACGCGGCCCGCGCCGCCTCGACTCGGCAGGCTGTTCCCACGGCGGAAGCCGTACTAGTGGGAGACTTGCGATCAATCTCTGAGGTAAAGAGACTTGCGGAAGAAGCCAACGCCTTGAGATCAGAACCCTTCGATGCGATTATTCACAACGCAGGCATTGGGTACGGTGCCACTTCCAGCCGGGAGATCACGGCCGATAAGCTCTCCGCGGTGTTCGCGGTCAACACACTGGCGCCGTACATCCTGACCTGCTCCATGAAGAGCCCACCTCACGGCTGCTATATATGAGCTCAGACAGCCATTATGGCGGGGATGAAACCCTACGCAATGTAACGCAGTCCCATTCGTATGGGGATAGCAAGCTACACGACGTGATGCTTGCCAACGCCTTTGCACGACGGTGGGGTCACGATATCCAGGTGGTGAGCATGCATCCCGGCTGGGTGCGAACCAAGATGGGAGGTTCTATGGCTCCAGAGGGGATGGATGAACCGGCACACGCTCTGGCAGAGTGGGCGACTGGACAGGGTCACTTGGCGAGCCTGCCGAGCGGAACATTCTTCACAACCAAAGGCGCGGCGTCGACGCATCCTGGGGCTGGCAACGTGGCGAAACAGGAGGAACTATTGAGGGTTTGCAAAGAAGTCTCTGGGGTGGCGGTTCCAGGCGAGTAGGATAGAGTGCACGTGTTAGCGTGGTCCTCGGCGACCGCCGCAGACTGCTAACACTCAGGATTGCAGTCGAATGTTGCTAGCAATTGGGCAGTGTACTTGAGAAATTCGCTTACCTAGCGAGCCGTGATGCGATGGGCTTAGCCCCAACTAGCCTACGACGCCCCACGGGTATAACTGCTTTCTTCGTAGATTGAGTGCACCCACTAACTTTAAACGGTTGCGCGCCAGCGGGGTCCGGTGGGGCGCTTCCGGGGGTATATCGCGTTGTGTGCTCGCCTTACGCAAGCCTCCGCAAAGATAAGCACACAATGGCGTTCCCTCATCAGCCACTCAGATGGTGCGATTGGCCTACGCTGAGAACACTACCGTGGAAGAATTCCCTACTCTCGCGCATTCTATTCTCTTCAGTGTTTTGTTCGGCTTCGATTTGCTTTCTGCAGGGAGCAAGAATGACAGGAGTTATCGAGACCCCGGAGGCTTCAGACAAAACGGGGGCCAAGCAGATCGTGCATGATGTCGAAGATCCACCCCTACCCTCGTCTGCTGGCAGTCCCGACATTGGACCAATCGTGACCGAGCATGAGCAACAGAATCTGATCCGAGGGCTGTCTCAACGCCATGTCCAGATGATTGCGATCGCGGGAGCCATTGTACGCGGCTTCCCAAATCCGGTAACCGTGAAACGTGAGGAGGTTACTGACACCTCCGATGTGATATAGGGAACCGGGCTTTTTCTTGGTCTCGGCGGCTCGATTGCCACCGGGGGCCCCCTAGGCGCCCTATTAGGCTACCTATTTGTTGGATTGATCGTTTGCGCCATTCAATTTGCCCTGGGTGAAGTCTCGGCCCTGCTGCCAGTGACGGGTTCGTTCGTTCGCCATGCAGAGATTCTTGTCGATCCTGCTCTGGCCTTTGCAATCGGCTGGAACATCGTCTACGGATGTTTCATCAGTGTTCCCAGCGAGATTTCCGCCGGGGTAGTGCTGATTCAGTATTGGACGGATATCAACGCTGCAGTGTGGGTGACGATTCTGATTGTGGTATCCGTGGTCGTCGCTATCTCCTTCATCGGCGTGTACGGCGAGGTGGAGTTCATTTTCGCCATCCTGAAAATCCTTCTGGTCATCTTCGTCGTGATTCTCGGTCTCGTCATTGATCTAGGTGGGATCCCAGGTAAGTCTGTGCATCCTCGCCATGATACTACGGTCTAGGCATTGATCGGTGGAGTAGGCAAGCCGCGGCTGGGATTCCACTACTGGAAGGATCCAGGCCCCTTTGTTGAATACATTTCAACGGGTTCCTGGGGTCACTTTCTGGGCTTCTGGGCAGTCATGACCAATGCTGTGTACTCTTTCGCTGGAGTTGAATCTCTCGCCATGGCCGCTGCGGAAACGAAAAATCCGCGTCACAACATCCCCAAGGCCTGTAAACGAGTCTTCGCGCGGGTCACGATCTTCTACCTGGCAGCGGTGTTGATTGTGGGTATGCTGGTGTCTAGCGCGGATGATCGTCTCAGCGACGAGTCTGGTACCGCGGCGCAGAGTCCCTTTGTGATCGCGGCTGGTGATGCGGGAATCAAGGCTATTCCCTCCATTGTGAATGCCGTGTGCTTGACCTCTGCGTGGTCCGCATCCAACCAGAGCATTCTGGCCGGAACACGAACTCTATATGGTCTCGCGCTCAAAGGCCATGCGCCCCAGATCTTCCTCCGGACTACTAAGTGGGGAGTCCCATACATGTGTGTTCTGCTGCAGGTGGCCTTCTCACTTCTGGCGTATATGTGTGTTTCCAACAACGCGTTGACGGTCTTCTGGTGGTTCGTTGATCTCACGGCAGCTGGCACCTTGGTTTCTTGGATCTGTATTGCCCTGAATCACATTCGCTTGTTGCAAGCCTTGAAGAAACAGGGCATTTCCCCGGATGCTCTGCCATGGCATAACCGCATTACAAGTGAGTGAGATATTGCGACTATTCTTCATTGATGGCTAACCCCAACCTAGGATACACGAGCTGGTTTGCCTTGATTGCATGCGTGGTCATTTTGTTCACCGGTGGCTTCACGGTGTTTACTAAGGGCAATTGGTACACTGCCTCCTTCGTTTCAAGCTATTTGTGAGTACTAAGTTATCCCCTTCTGTTGTGTACTCAAGAAAGAGGCTGATCCCTCATGCCCAGAGATATTCCCCTTGTTCTTTGTGCATATGGAGGCTACAAGGCAATTCGGCGGACAAAAATCATTCCCCTCGACGTGGTGCCATTGCGCCAGGCACTGTATGAAGCAGAGAATGATCCTGAGAATGTTCCTCTCAAAAAAGACAGTCTGCTCTCAAAGATGAATATCTTATGGGGATGAGAGTTTTTCTCACGGATCGTCCAGTATGATAGAAACCATAGTCATCTATCGTAAATTATATAATTAAGAAACAATCGATTGGAATATCAAGTTACCTAATTTGGATATCAGAAATCCACACACCTCATACTGATCATACAAAAATCAAGTTCAATGACAGAATCACTGCGACCGCCTGCTGTCTCGATGGCCCATATAAGTGCATCGAGATGGTTTTTAAACCCCTGAAGAGGCAACATTAATGCAATGGACGGCGATTCAAACAGGTAGGAATGAAATTATTCTACTTCCTTCGACTGATGTTGTGACAGCTTATTAAAGAGAGAAAACCCCCTCCAGTTACTGTTTTACCTAGCTCTAGTGTACCTCGAGTGGAAGAGATGACAAGGAAAGAAAGATTTGGTATTGGCGAAGAAGCATAATCGCACAATCGATTCATGTACTCTCTATCTTCTTTCCCAAACCCACAGTTTGTTCATCACACGACCATCCATCACCACCCATGGTCTAATAAGCCCCCTTCCGAGTCTGATACTTCGGCTGAGCCGCCGACTTGATGTCACTCAGCGAGGTCAGCACGGGGGTAGTATTGATCAACTCGAAGCTATCCAACTTGGCCCCATTATCCCCCTGGGCCCACAGACTTAACGCCAGCCAGTTCGTCCCGTGATAGTTCAAAATGCCCTCGGGAACAGGGAAGCTCGTCTGGGGCCCGATATTGTTCACGTACTTGCCGTACTGGTACCCATTCACAAACAACTGCACGCGGTACGCAGCGGGCGGGGAAGTACTATTCCCGAAGTTGAAGTACAGTGGGATGTCGTAGGCCGAAGGCAAGTCAAGGTTGAAGCTGGTGCTGTAGAAGCTGATTCCTGGCTTCGTCAGACCGGTGAATGGGCTGCTAGAGTCCCATTTCTGGGTGGGAGGCTGCGGTTGGTGGAAGCCCTGGCGCTCGGCGTATAGGCCGCCCTCATTCAGGGGGCCGCGCACGGTATCGCGGTAGTCCTCACCGCCGAGGTTGCCAGTCAGCTTCCAGGAGATGGCGCTGGCCTCTTGGCCGGGTAAGGAATACTGGAGGATGCCGCGGGGGTCTTTCATCAATTCTGAGCCGACCGTCCAGTCCTCATCCAGGCCCATATTGTCGACGACTACAGTAATGACGTAGGTCTTGCCGGACTGTAGAGTAGGCAGCGTATATGTGGCATTGTATTTGCTGCCAACGCTGATGCCTGCCCAAGAGCCGACGTAGGTTTCGTTGATCCAGACGGAGTGGCCGTAGGCCGTACCACCCTGGGTCTGGACAGAGAAGGTCGTTTCTTTGCCATTGGCAGTAAAGTGACCCCGGTAGAGAAGAGCACCAGTGTGGAAGCCGTAATCGGATGAAAACAGAGAGGTCGGGGTCTTGAGCGCGTTGACGCTGTTGTTGGTGTAGTCGTGGTCGGCGGAAGTCCAGGCAGAATCATCGTAGGAGTTCTTGACTTCGGGAAGGGTGTCGATAGACTTCCACTTCAGGTCCTTCAGGCTTGGAAGTTGGACCTTTGGTGCAACGTAATTAACGCTAGCTGCCCAGATACCATTCGTGTCGACCTTATATTGAGTCTTCTTGCCGTTGATGACCAAGTTTTTAGCACCAGATGGAGCGCCGATCACCTCGACGGGAGTGGTAGCGTTGAAGTCCGCCTGGATATGGAGGTTACTACCATCAAGGTATGCACTCCGCACAAGATAGCCAGCCTTGACAATGATAGACGAAGCAGTAGTCTCTTGGTTGCTGTAACCAGGGGCTTTGCCTTTGGTGGGAAGCTGAGGCACCCAGTAGTTGTAGGCAGAGTTCCGGTCTGGTCATTGTTAGTGTTTGGGATTTCACCTCAAGAGCAAGATTTATTAAACCTACCAAGAAGTAAGATCTTCAAGTCGCCAATCTGAACAATGCGGCGAGAAGTCGACACATCCCAGGCAACGACCAGTGCGTTGCCCACCGTCTTTGCCGAAATGCCAGAGGAGGATCCCTCAACAACCGAGCTGTTTGAACCGCCAGAAACCGCAAGCTCATGGTGCTCGCCAGAGCCACCGTACAAAACGAGAATCTTCTCATTTCCGGCCTTCTTCCAGGTGAAGATCTCAGCTGTGGAGTAGAGAATATTGGTGCCCGCCACGTCGTAGTCGGTAATGTGGATCTTCGAGTCGCGGCCGCTGAGGGTAAGGTTTCCACCAAGCTGAGGAATTGTCAGCTTCCCAGCACTGGTGGGAAGGTAGAGCTCGTATGTGACCGAAACCTGGCTGGTATAATCGGCGTGTCGGACCACAAAGAATGAGGAAGCAGAACTGTTACTCCCCAGCAGGGGGGTCACGCCCAAGTTGACAGTGTTGGTATACGCCGAGTTTGATCGAGTACCAGGGTTGGCCACCAGGTAAGCCGGAGATACTTTGGCAAAGTTTGCAAGTAGCTTCAGCTCGCTGTACTTCTCACGGGTGATATTGCGCGACTCGGTGATAGCAGAGCCATAGTCGTACGAGGTGTACCCGCCGGGATGGCCCAGGTTACCCCAGTTGGTACCGCCAAAAATCTGCACATTGTTAGCCACCTTCCCATTTTCAGGGTGCTTGGACTTACCATATACAAGTTCAGGAATGCAACACCGAAGCTAAAGTCATTCTTATAGAACACTCGCTCAAATTCGTGATTCAAAAGGGCAGCGCAATTCGCGAACCCAGCTCCGCCCCACGGATCGAACGAACCCCCTTGGAACTACAGAACGGTAAGGTAGATTCTTTTAACTCAAGGGGTCCAAACATACCTCAACCAGAGAGTAGGGGGTTGTGGGGCTCTGCTTCTCGTGAGAAGTGTGGAAGGTGGTGGGAAGACCATTACTAGGCCACGTAGAAGGATGGGCGCAAGCAAAGCCTAGGGGGTAGCTGTCGTGACCATAGATATCGACCGCGCCCGCGCCTGTTCCGGGGGCGTTGTGCCCACCAGCAGAGGCATCGTTGCTGATGAAGGGCACGACCACCCCGGCGTTGCGGGCCTGGTCCTCAACATATTGCATGTAAGAGCCATCGGGGAAGTTGTTAACACCACAGCAAGCACCGGAGTACTCGTTCTCGGGCTGGAACAGGATAATCGGACCGCCGTTGGTTATCTGGGCCTTGGCAATAGTGGCAGCAACATTGGCCATATAACTAGCCAAATCGGTTAGAATCCGCAGCATTGGTCCATCGGGATGAGGTGGTAATGTCCATACTTATCGGTTGACTTCAGATACGCCTCATTGCTTGTCCGCAGCGTGCCATTGACTCGCTGGAGCCAGCCGGGGAAGCCACCGCCAGAGACCTCAGCGTTGATATACGGGCCAGGGCGCGCCAGCAGGTAGATACCCGCCTCCTTAGCAGCATTGAAGAAGGGCTCCAGGTCAAAAATCCCCTCGGCGGTATAATGGCCAGGCTTGCCCTCCAACAAAGCCCAATCGACGTAGAATGACACGCAATTGAATCCCAGGGCCTTGACCTTCTCGAAGATATCAATGTACAGCGAGGCGACGGGCAGACTGGATCATTCCAATTAGAAGTCTTCCTCCAGTATACCAAATTAATTTTTCACCAATCACGTACCGATATGGATGGACTTCGCCGCTGAAAACCATCAATCGCTCGCCATTGACGAACAGCGAGTGCTCATCCCAGGTCACCTTTATACGCATCTATTAGAACCACAGAAGCCCGAGCAACGGCACATCGAACATACATATTGCTGCAATAGCGCCCGTTTCGCGGGATCCGCGTGCTCTCGAATAGAAAAGCCATCGAACTGGTGGCTCAGTGCGGCACCTGCAGCCTGCGCGGCCAGCGCGACCACAGCCCAGGAGGACAGAAGCTTCATAGCGAGGACCGCGAAGGGTATGGAACGCGACTTTCGCCTTGGAAAAGCTACAGACTCGGTAGCTCCAACTTCAGCAGCTTACATTTCACATCCTGCAAGGGATCTGCGGGCCTTCATATACGCACGGTAACAACCAGGCAAATCATACGTGCAGCGGATGGGCATGCCGCATACTCCGAGTGTCACTGGCGAGCTCCCGTCATTTCTGGTTTGGCTATTGATTTTCCCCTGGACCCTGGGACTAAAGCGAGCCTGGAGCTCAACCCCTCTTCGGCATTCACGTCATTCCATCATCAACAGGGGGAACAGGGCGGGGGGTTGTCCCTTGCGGTCCGCCACTACGCCGGGGCCTGCATAAGCAGTTGCAAACAGTGTCCAGTGTCGCAGACGAGTGGAGAGGCCGCTTGCTCTCGTCAGGAAGGCGGGCCGATGATCCCCCAGCCGTGCGCCTGTAGTCCGGGTTCGCGGGGGTTCCACCGCCGCAATTTTTCCGCTTATCGCATCGTCGAGATGATGCTGGGTGGGTTCAAAGATTGCTATGAGACTAAGACGTTTGTAATGAGGTATACAACTTGGCAGATTGATGCTCGCTCGGTGGTTATGTAGAGAACTTCCGTTTCAACAGCGGAGCTCATCCTTAAACCAAGGCCAGCGCCCCCGCTCAACACGGAGAAGGAGAGCAGAACAGCAGTATGCATTGTAGCTACAGTATGTACTAACTGGACCATTCGGCTCACCACCATCCGTGTTCTTTTGGGCCAATTGAATCAACACACGGTGTATTTGCGCAGACTGATCGGGATCCCCATGCCATTTAATTTACGGAGTACACTCAAGCAAAGGTCTGCGGGGAAAGGCGACTAGCTTGAATTTAGCCGCAGGCCAGCCCCGAGAATTTCCCGGGGGCTTACAATGCAGATCGCATGCCCGCGAAGGTCTCGGGTATATTCTTTCCTGGGGGCAACCCCGGGCACAGACTCGCTCAAAGAGGCAAATTTCCATGGGATTGCTTTTTAGTACATTCGGTGAGCTGTGCTCGCTCTCCGCAGGATGAAATCATGTAACATGGTAAAGGAATCAAAGCAGAGGCTATCTTTTCCATAGTAAACGTTCCCTCTAAACAGTCGTGTTGAACTGGTCCTCCTCATCGCCGGCCTTGAAATACGTCTCGCGCGTGTCCATCTGCTCTTGCTCGTCCTGACCCAACGCGAGGTTTTCCTTCTTTAGCGCAGCGTCCTCGACCGCAACGGTGGGTTCAACAAGGGGCTCGGCCTGTGTTTGCTGCGACTTCTGGCTCTTCTGGGTCACGTTGATCACTGGGGTGGAATCGTTGAAGATACGCAGTAGCATAGCCCGACGCTCTTCCTTGGGAAGCATCAGGTTGATAGAGTGCAGGGAGCGCCAGAGGGGCAGAACCATCCGCTCGCTGAAGAATATAAGTTAGCAAATAGAAAACAGTATACGTGGATATCAAGCGGTCGGAGGGAGAACATACGTAAGACCATCATCTTTGCCGCTGGGCTCAATGCGCAGAATACTGCAGCCCATGGGAATGTCCTTCACGCGCTCGCCGATCTCGTCGAGCTGCTTCCAGCCGTCATCGTTGACCTTCGGGAACATCTCGATGAGCAGTCGGCGCAGGGTCTCCCGCTGGGTCAGCGTGACGGTGCGGATATCGCCCAACCAGGGCTCAATGATCTTCAATCCATCCGTCTGGATACGCCAGCGACAGACGTGCTCCCGCTGCGCATCCTGCTTCACGAACATCTTGACACCGCAGTGGACAAACTTGATACCCGAGCGCTCGTTCTGGGTGAGGATATCCCTAGCCAGAGCGCTGGTGTAGTAAACCGTCCTGGTCGGGTTGCCCTCCGCATTGCGCACCATCCATCGGTCCCGAGGGAACCGTTCTGACAGCTCAAAGAAGTTGTAGATAGGCTGCAGCTCTTCGTGATTGGGGTCCAGATATTTATAAGGCTCCTCCTGAACGACCTTCTTCTTGAAGCCCTGGGCCAATGGAGCAGGGGTCGCCTGAGAGGGAGTCGTAGTATCAGTCGGAGTGTCGGCATGCTCGACCTCCACCGATGGGGCAGGACGGTGAACCGGACGGTCACCGACCAGGACCTCACTCCCATTCTCGAGCTTAGTCCTCTTGGCAGGAAGCTCCTCTTCCAATTCATCACCCTCGCGCTTGACAGGTGACGCAGGCTGCGAAGCGTCGAGAGTCACAGAGTATGGGGGCTGGTGGGTGGCCTCGGCAACGGTTGCGTTCTTCGCAGCCTCCAGCTCGGCCTCCTTGTCGGCAGGAACAAGGTCGTCCAGCGCCTCCAGCTTCTGGTAAGGCTCCCCATTCTCGTTGTTGCGGGAGTCAAGCTCTGCGGCAAGAGCCGCAACAGAACCCCTGGGAAGGAGGGGAATGACGTTCGCAGAGTTCTCGGGCTTAGCCTTGATCTCAGAGGTCTTCTCAAGAACAGTGATGAAGAAACCACCAGTATCCTGGAGATGGGGGTAGACGCGCATGCAGCGCTCGAGTGGCAGATCAGCTGTTTCGCCGGTAGGAGCGAACATGCCCTCAGCCAACCGGGCCAAGCCATTACCGCTCTCCTGCTCTCTTTGCTCCGTGACATCCTTCCAGCTGCTCCAGATGCGGCCCTCGCGGTCCATGACCTTCCAGCTCTTCAGGCCAGGCCGACGCTTCAAGCCGGGTAGCTCTTGGCTGCAGTCAAGAATCTTAACATTGGCGGCACCACCGCAGCGCTCAATTGCACTAGCAATGACAGCCTCATTCTCAATGGGGTTCATACTACAAGTAGAGTAGACGACACGTCCACCAACCTTGAGCATCTGCAAGGCGCGGACCAAAATACGAGCTTGGGTAACGTAGAGGCCAAGAGCGTTAGTCGGGCTCCAGTCCTTCCACACTCCGACGTTCTTCCGAGCAGTGCCGTCACCAGAGCAAGGAACATCGGCGAGGATACGGTCAAACTTCAGGTATCGGTTCAGAGGTCGCTTTCCCTCGGCGGTGGGGAGAGGGGGAAGCTTGATGGACGGGTACATGGTAGCATCATGGTTCGTCACAATCAGATTGGGCGAGCTCAAACGCTTCATCTGGTGAATCAACATGTGTGCGCGCTTGTAGTCACTGTCGTTGGCGATCAACAGACCAGTAGTGCGACCGTCGTCGTTCAAGCCCTCAGGGCCCAAAGGCTCGGGTCCAGCGGTGCCCTCCTTAACCTGCTTAGCAACCTGCAGAAGCGCATCCTCTTCCCCAGCATGGAGAGCCTCCATCAACTGCGCAGACTTGCTTCCCGGTGCAGCGCACATGTCCAGAACGGTCATTCCAGGGCGGATGTCGATGAGAAGCGGAGGAATCATGCTGACAACCTCCTGGCGACTGATGTTTCCGACTTCGGTCTCGGCGACAAGGAACTTTTGGAACGAAGCGAAGGGGGCATGACGGCGAATGACCTGCTTGGGAGTGGTCATCGACCAAGCAAGCTGGTCGGGGTACCATGACACCGGGCGCGGCGGCTCGACCAACTCGCCTTCATACTTGATTGAGGTGATCTCGGGGATATAGAAGTCCTTCAGACGTTCTTGGACAGCAAGCGCATGTCTAAACAACAACACAAATCCGACAATCAGTACTTTCCAAAAATGACTCGACAATTGCAAGCGCAAATAAAATGCAAACAGCAGCCACAAACGTACCCACGCGAGCCCGTGAAGCGGAAGCTGTTCGGGAGATCTCTCTGCATGGCAGCCCAAAACTGCTCCCTCTCCTCTTCTGGGATAAATTCAGGCTCATTGTAGTAGCTCTGGAGTCTCTCGTTGGTCCGACTGATGTCTTGCCAATTGGTGGAGCGCTCTGAGCGGCCACCGCCGCCACCTCTGCCTCCACGATTAAACTACGAGTGTAAACTGAATTAGTTCGACAAACACTTCAATGAAGATGGATTGAGGCTTATGCTTACCTTTTTGCCACCCCGTTTGCCCATTTTTGAGAGTAGCTTTCCTGTAGAGTGGCAGTCAAACTCCGTCTCCAAAAAAGACGGACGAGGCGCCAGATTAGCTAATCACCGCCGTGGGGCTGTGTTCTGTCGCCCGTCACCGCCTTTGATAGGACGGCCGTCGTCGCAGGCTGGAAGGTTATTTGAATGGGTCTGAATGTGAAACAGAATGGATATTCACATGAATTTACACTAAGATGCATACTGCTGTAAATGAGAAGTGCCAAGCAACCCTCTTCAGTAACATATTCGCGTTTTGTGCGAGCTGATTCTACTAGACAGCAGCTGGGGACAAAGAAACAAAGGAGATTGATTGGTCTGCCACACGCCAGGTGACAGACTATATAGTCTACTATGGCAAACCATTAATTGCTATTTCACACACAAATCAGGGTCTAAACAGCAACCCAAGGCAATGATTGATAATACATTCAAACAAACACCCCCATCCCAAGCCGGAAGACTCCGGGATGGTCGTCTTTTAATCGCAATCGGAGACACGGGTTTATTTAAGACAGGTTGCGAGACATGTCGTTGCGGATACGCTGGTAGTCAAGGATACCCTCAATGCTGCCGACGGCGCTCATGGCAACATCCTGATCCCACAGCTTGCGGGTGGCGAAGTCCATAACATCCTTCTCGGTGATCGAGCCAATGACGCGCTCAATCTCCTCGGGGCTGAGGCGGCGGCCAGTGGTAATGATCTGACGGCCAATGTCCTCGGCGACGGCAGTGGTGCCGTCGAGAGACAAGAGAATGGAAGCCTTGAGCTGGGCCTTGGCGCGCTCAACCTCGGCTTGGGAGACGTTGTTGCAGAGGCGAGACCACTCGCGGAGGGTGAAGTGAATCAGGTCATCGAGCTGGGTCAGGTTCTCGGAGACAAGGTAGATACCCCAGAGACTAGATAAAAAAACGAGTCAGTCCGCATCCACAACCAAAAAAGGGGCGAGGGTGTCAAATCAAATTGCAGCACTGCAGCACCGAACTTACCCAGTGTCACTGTAGCTAGTGGAGAAGCTCATGAAGCTGTTGGCGAGGTGGTGGTGGCTGACGTGGGAGCTGAGCTTGCTGCCGAGGAAGGGAGACTGACCCATAGCACGGTCCCAGTTGCCGACGATGGCCTGGGCAACGAGGGCAGTGAAGTAGTCATCATCCTTCCAGCTGACACCCTCAACGGCAAGAGCAATGTGGGCGGAGGGAATGGTGTCGTCACGGAGACGGACCTCAGAGCCGATGAACTCGGGTGTGCGCTTCTGCTCAGCAGTGAGGGCAAGGGCAGCGGAGGTAGGGGGCTTGTTTGGGAGGCCACCAAAGTGCTCCTCAGCCAGGCGAACGAGCTGCTCGTGGGGGATACCACCAGCACCAACCAGAACCATACGGTCAGCGGTGTAGTTGGTCTTGATGTAGTCGGTCAGGTTGTCTCGGGTGATGGTCTGGATGTTCTCCTTGGGGCCGAGGATGGTGCGACCGAGGGGCTGGCCCTGGTAAGCGGTGGCGTGGAGGTGGTCGAAAACAACCTCCTCGAGCTGCTTGTCAACCTCTTCCTGCTCGCGCAGGATCACGTCACGCTCACGTTCGATGGCAGAGGGCTCGAGCTTGGAGTTCTGGAGGATATCGGAGAGGATGTCGACGGCCTTGGGAACATCGTTGTTGAAGGACTTGGCGTAGTAAACAGTGTTCTCGCGCTGCAGGTTCAGGGTCAGTATGATTCCGCGAGTAAGGTGATCGATACTAGGATTTCCGGCCGTACCGAAGTGTAGGCGTTCAGGTGAGCACCCATGTTCTCAATCTCGAGCTCCAATTGGTGCTGCGAGCGCTTGTTGGTGCCCTAGTAATTGTTGTTAGACGGATTCCGTGCGAATTGGGATCAATGGAGTCGAACCTTGAAAGCAAGGTGCTCGAGGAAGTGCGCAGTGCCGTTGGTCTTGTCAGTCTCTGACCGGGAACCGGCATCGATCCACACGCCGACGGTGGATGTCTGGGCCCATGGCGAGTAGTCGGTGGCGATCTAGAAAACAAATCAGCGATACTGCGGCCCAATTGAACGAATTTGATATGGGACATACGGTGAAGCCGTTGGAGAGAGTGGTGGACTGGGTGGTGGACGGCAGCGCAACCGGCGACGCAAAACCTCGCTTCACGGGCTGGATGGACTTGAGAGCCGCACGGCTCCGGAGAGCCTGGTTGAGGTTGAGAGCCAAGCGGCGGGAAGCCATTGCGGACAAGTAGAGTGGGTGGGACGGGGGAAGGGGGATGGAGGAAAGAGCTGGAGTCGGCCCTGAGGTTGAAGTTCGGAAGTCAAATTGTTCGCCCAGCCCGTCAGCCAATCACATGACCCGCTTTTCCAAACCGCCCTTCTCATCCCGATTACTTCCTTGTCCGCTCATGCGCCTGCGTTTATTCACGATATGCGAAGAATCATTCGGTCGGAGCACTTTTTTATGGAGATTGTTTCTTGTTTCATGATCAGTGATGCCAAATATACTACATTCGTGCATGACATTCTCGAATTAACATAAATCATCCAGTCGTCCAATTTAGACTTTAGTTGATTGGCTCCGAAGCCGCCCTGCCCGGTCTCTATCATACAAAACGACTGGCAAACTGCTTGATATTCTCGGTCATAGAGATATCCGCATGGAATCCAAGCCTGAATGCGCGGTCAGTGGAGAACTGGGGAGTCCACGACTGCACAATCTTGTCGGTAGCAGCATCATATTTCTCCTCTACGAGTCCCCGTCGCTCCTTGCCACCGATTTCCTCCAGCGCATCCAGCATTTCTTGCACACTGACTTTCAGTCCAGGCAGGTTGACCGACCGTGACTCCCCAAATGCCTCTTTGGGCACGGTGCGTGCGTGAATCAGGTTCTTGATAATCGTGTGTGGCGAGCAGATCCACATCTCCGTCTCCTTAGCCACGGGCAGAATGGCTTTCTTTCCATGGAAAGGCTCCCGAATGATATCGCTAGCAAAGCTGCTTGCTGCCTGTGTGGGCTTTCCGGCTCGAACGGTCACTGTGGGAAGTCGCACGCTGCGTCCGTCCAAGAACCCGCGACGGGAGTAGTCGGTCACCAGAGTTTCGATGATCAACTTCTGCGACCCGTAAGAGGATGAAGGCACAGCCGGGAAGTTTGTCTCATCAATCACAAATCCAGGGGGTGCAGGCCCATAGACGGCCAATGAAGAGGTGAAAACCACCTTAACCCCGGGCATAGTGGCGCGTAGTCGGTCCAGGATGTATCGGGTGGCGTCGAGGTTGACTCGAATACCCAGCTCAAAGTTCGCCTCGGAGCCACTAGACATGATTCCATGCAAGATATAAACAGTCTCATACGGGCGGGAGGCACTGATTAATTGGTCTACCTCCGTCGGTGAGGTCAGGTCGGCGCGGACACAAGTCAGACGGCTGGCATATTGTGTCGCTGACTCGGGAACTGTTGGCTCGACGACATCGGTGATGGTCACTGTGGTTGAAGCTGGAGTGCTTGCAAGAAGACCAGCGGCCAGTTCCTGGCCAACATAGCCGCCTGCTCCTGTGATGAGAATCGACATGTTTGGTGTAGTGCGAGGTCCGGAAACAACAGGATTATCGACAGAGCTATAGGATCCAATGAAGTAATAAAACAAAATCAATATGAACGAGGAAATTAGCGTCGTACTCGAACCATCGAATCCGGCGGCCACCATGTCAACCTTTAATAGTCGTCGGCATCAAAAACCCCGCAGGGAGCAAGGGAGCGCTCTCCTCCCCCACGCACCCCCATCCCAGGTTGACATTTTCGTTCAGCCACTGGGAGTATCTCATCGGTGGAGACTGCTCCTTGAAATCTCGCTCACGCATCAATTCCGATTTATTCAGCTAGGTAAATTGGCCGGCCTTTGCATCTCGGTGAGAAATCCGATAACCGAACGAGCCGGGTTTCTGTAGGACGGCGCGGGGCAAGTCCGAGATTGATGAGCACACCCACGGCGAGCCATGTGACTATAAGAATTGAACCACCATTCAGGGCTCCGTTGCCGCTGAGCCATTAGATATTTGTGCTCCGTTTTTGTAAATGGGGACCGAGGCAGGATGGGAAGGCAAGGCGACCTAGATGGAGTCAGGCATGCATAGAATCAAACACCTAGGACAAGGCACATCGGCAGCCATGGATCTCATTGCTGTCCTTGAATCCTCAAGACGGCCTAGCCATAAAGCGTTCTGAGTGTTGACTACAGGCGGGGCGTATCTAAGCGACCGGTGTCCTACGTGATAAACATTCATTTACAAAGGAAAGTTTCATTTCAGTGCGTGCATTTTCTCAGAATTTGAGACCTAGATTTTGTGACGCAGTCAATCGTACATGGCAGAGAAAATCAAGTCACAATGAAAAAGAGAAGCATTGGATACATCGCGGAACACAAGACGCCTGAGAGGAAGTGAAATGGAACCATAAAAGGGAAAAGAGAAGACATGACCGAGCGAGGAATTGAAGCACCGTTTTATGTAGCACGAGTATAGATACCGCCAACAATGCAGTGATCACGTTCGAAGGGCTCCAGGGTCAGTTGCTCCTTGGGCTTGATCTTCTCCTCACGCATCTTCTGGACCTCGCGGGTGAACACGACCTCAGCGGCAGCCGTGGAGTCGATACAGCTGGCCTTGATAGAGATCAGGACACCACCGCCCTCCTTCAGGAACATGTGAGCGTTCAGACCAACGATACGGGCCTGGTCGGGCTGAGCAACATCGGCGAAGATGACATCGACCATGGGGACGAGCATGCGGTAGCGAAGAGGATGACGGGCATCCTCAACAATGGGGATAACGTTGGTGCGGTGAGTAGCCATGCCAATCAGGTCACGGCCAGAACGGTGAGAGAACTCAACGGCATAGACGTTACCGGTGGGGCCGACAATATCGGCAACGTGAGAGACAGATGTACCGCTGGCAGCACCGATGTAGAGAACCTTGGCACCGGGCTTCATGTAGATGTTGTCCAGGCCACCCAGAATACCAGCAGCCAGCTTGGAACGGAAGGGGTTCCACACACGGTACTCGACCTTGGTGACAGCACCATCATCACCGGCAGGGGATTCGACAGAGACGCGCTTCTCGCCGTACACAGCCTCACCGGGGGTCAGGTTCTTAGTGACAAGGAGATCCTCCTTACCACCACGGGCAACGAAGACACCGGCGTGACGGTGACCCTCCTATTATAGAGAAAAGTTTCTGGTCAGCGGCTGTAACCTCAATATTCCTGAGTTTCCATTTCAATACTCACAATGATGACCTTAGCACCACCACGGGCGCCCTGGGCACCACCACGGCCACCACGGGGAGCACCGCGACCACCACGGGGGCCACCACGGCCACCACGGCCAGGAGGACCGCCACGACCACCGCGAGGACCACCACGGCCACCACCACGACCGCCGAAGCCACCACCACGGTCGCCGAAGCCACCACCGCCGAAGCCACCTTTAGAAAAAAGGAAATCCCGGTCAGCAAACTGAAGATCTAATCTAGAGCTAAGCACAGACAAAGCATTCTGCAGCATTCAAGCCAATATGAAATGCAAGCTTCATGCTCATTCATGCAGACTGTCTGTGATTTCGAATAAACTGGAGCACTAACCACGACCACCACCACGACCACCACCGCGTCCAGGGGGACCACCACGGCCACGAGGAGTGAAAGCCATTATGTTGGGTTGTTGGAGGAGATTTCGAGAGAAAAAGGGAGTCGAGAGAGGGTTGAGTCGAGCTACCGACTGCTCAGACCGAGTGCGATCGAAATTGAAGGGAGACCGGCCTCAAAAAAAGAGTCCGTCGAAATTGAGCAAGGATTACACAGTAATCGGAATCACGGAGTCAAGCAGTTGGTGAAATTTTGACCGTGAAGGCTCAGTCGCGTGCGGATCAAAGCCGGTGCTGCTCGTTGATCGGTCGAGATTTTTTTGCGCCTGCTGGATCTTTCAGAAAATCAGAACTACGCTAGTATGTTTGCGGCTAGCGTTAGAAAGACCGGTGGATGTCATCACGTGATTTGTTTTTGCTTCTAAAAGCGAGATCACGTGGGTAGATGAACCCTGTAGCCGGCGGTCGGCATCAGACAAACAACTCGGCACCGGTTGGGACAATGGAAGACCATATACTCCTTCATTAACGCCATGGCTATCACCAGGCAAAGCCTAGGAAAGAAATAAAATAATAATATATGGACCAGCGAGGTAAGTCCTCAGAGAGCCATAACCACCTATCCTCCGCCACGCCTCTCTATGTACAGAACAGCAACCCCCTCCTAATTTCCAAAGAAGTAGTAGTTTGCAGAATACTGAATCTCAAACGAAGATGGCATGCCTTGGCAGGTGTCCGGTGGAGAGCCTGAGGCAGTGTTGACTCGATAGACACTCTTGTACTTGCCGACAGTACCATCCGTAGTTGTCAGATACAGCCAGGCCACCGCCCCGTACTGGCCTGCTATGGCATCCGAAGGAGCGCTGATCTGATCCTGCTTCTTGGTCATGGCAATCCCATACTGCTTGAGGGGTACGGTGTCGAGGTTGAACTCGGGAGTCGTCGCATCGTAGAAGAAATGGTGGCCCATCAGGTCAATGTTGGCTGGAGGGAGTGTCGCATACTCGTTGGTCGGCAGAGAAATCTTGTAGGCAACATTGGGCAGCATCTCCAAGATGTCTGGGTAGTCGGCAGACATGCACGTCACATTGTAGAGATTGGCGACCGCACCAATAGCCTTGGGAGTAGACTTGGATGTCGAATCGGCGCACGTATAATTCTGGTGGATACGATTAGCGACACTGGTCTTTCGTTATGGCAAGAAAGGTCCCTTTATATTACATACCTGTGTTCCCCTTCCAAGGGCCACGTGCATTGGCGTCAATCCATCAGGACTCGGTAGGCCCGATGCATATGAGGGCAGTGTGATACTGGATAGATCACACGTTGCTGATGGAGTCGCGCTGCTCTTCTGCACACGGCTGATGTGCTGGCTGACTTTGGCATAGAAGCCCGCAAGATCGTCTGAGAAGTCATATGCACCGTCGAAGAAGTTTGCTGGGGCAGCCAGTGACACAGTCACCAGCGAGAGGAGAATGAGTGTGAGACGCATCACTGTGCCTCTTCTATGCTATGGCGGAGGAGCTGTTGGATGGAGAAGGTGGATTGGTGAATTTCAACGATGAGGTTTGTGGTTGGATAATTAAACAAACCGAGGCCTATCGCAGCACCAGGCTGTCAATCAGGCAAAACACAAGAGTAGGAACAACAAAGAAAAGGAACGACAACTGGGAGTAGTAAGAGAGACTGACATGGAAGGATGATGAATCCGGCGGGCCAGGGTACATATAGAGTCGGCGCTGGTTGCAATTTTCTCAATGACAACCATATCGCAAAGATAGTAACACCCGTCTAACTCGAAACAAATGGGCCAGAGTCTATAAAAAAACCAAGCTGGTCGATGCAAGCTGCAGGTACTAGCAGGGATCAGAGGGTAGACGGAGCACAATCATTGGCCCGGGGACGCGCCAGGGCTTTTTCTCCCAGCCTCTGCACGATACCATTCGCTGTTGACCCCAAACAACTTTGGCTAAATCGAGATAGCAATGCGCTAAGCGAAACAGCGGTCTTTGAGTGGGCGGCAAGGTGAAGGAGCTCTCCCAGACTACCAGGGAAGGGGGAGGCCAAAGCCCCAGGACAGGGAGAGGGGCTCTCACAGTGAATTTTCCGACCCGGCTATTAATAAATCGGCTCTACTTCGAGGAGGCTCACCAGGTGTGATGGGCGGTTAGATGTGCAGTGTGATTGCCCCGCTAGGTTAGTCTGCGAGGTTGGGCGATCCAGGATGGCCTCCCCTGTCGGACGAGGGCGCCTGGTAGGAAGCTGGCTTGGTTGGCAATCTTGGTCTTATTGGATGCGTCTGAAGCAGTCTTTGTCGCAAAAAAGAAACGCTTTCTTCATTCCGGCAATATCGAATCTTCAGGGAGCCCAGCCATGCGGGGAGGCTGGGCGGGGCTGGGTGAAAGGGGGGGGGCTTCCCCGCCGCATTGTGGCTTTCTCCCATTTCCCAATTCGGGCTCACGTTGCAACTTGAGGGCGCGTAGTCAGCTCCATCTTACACCCCTCTTAATTTCGAGGCCTCCACACCAGCTGTCTTTATTTAGAGTGGCCCATGCAATCGCTACCGTCTCCGGGACCACTACCCGACCGGTGAAGTTATGGATGAGGGTGGATATCGAGATATATTTAGGGTAATAGTACTAGCAACAATCAAGTCAGGCTAATCTGTTCACAATTGCATGAATATAGGTAATTAGACCCAAGTGAAGACACCAATCAATTGAATCGGATCCTTCGTCTCGACTTCCTTGATTTCGGCCCGTCTATTCCAGACTACGCCTGACCAAGCTTGTTTACAGGAATATCCTACTTCGCATTCTTTTTTTTTTTTTTTAAAAAAAATAGAAAAAAAGTTGGTTAGAAAACTGTCCTGGCCCACAATCTGACAGGCCAAATCCAAGCAAACCAAGGACTCAAAAAGAACCTTGCTATTATTATATGTGAAGTTCACTGTACTATCTGTATGTGAGCTCTTCCCGGGCAGATATACTTTCGCTACCTCGACTCTGGCTGGTTGATCATTTCGATAATGGTCTAGAAAACCATGGGTACCAAGGCGAGCTTTCAACTGGGGTTCTCAGTATGAGTTGGGATGTTTGGTATGGGTAAAGGTCATGCATGACATCGTGGATTCCGGTGGTGACTGTCGACATAGTGTAGGTCAACCGCTGACGACGCTTGTTCCGCAAACCCCGGCATCCTTGTATACCAAGTGCGCTAATGCATTGCTACTAGACTCATCACCGGTTTAATTTATCTATGGGGTCTGCTTCTTCCATTTTCTATCACACCTGATAAACCAAAGATGACCACACTACCAGGCTACTTGTTCAGACGACGTTGCAGATATTATTGTTCAATTCCGAGGTTCTAAATGACTGTACAATGGTTGACCAGAAACCCATTAGACAAAAGGCATGCAGCAAGTATCTGCCTAGGCCATCACTGCCAGAGGAGAGGTCCTTTCATCCCAAAAACGCCAAGTAGAAACAATCCGACAAGAAAGAAAGGAATATAACTCCAGAGCCCACGCTGTTCAAACATAACAAGTATCTTCCATCTCGACAGATGGTAGGAAGGGGGGTAGTCACGTCGTAAAGTCTAATTGATATTCAGACCCTGGCGGAAATGTCTCAGCCGGCTTGATTGAAACCCTCCTGCTGCCAGTCGTCACCGTGCAGCTGACCACTACTACTGCCACTGCCACTGCCACTGCCGCCAAAACCACTCCCACCACTGCTACCATACGCAGCGGCAGCAGCACTACCAACAGCGCTCATAGCGCTGTGCTTCTCAATCTCCATCGTGCTCATCATATAGAGCATGACGAAGAGGAGAAGGTGTAGAGCGAAACAGTAACTAGCGAATAAGTTTCGGCTGGTTCGGTTCGCCATAATTATGCGGGTGAGAGAAAATACGACCCTCTCTGGCAGGCTCATGCGCTTGTACGCACGGGTGGATTCACGACCTCGGAACGCAGCAAATGGCGAAATGCGGGCCTCGTAAGCTGATTGGTACCGGTCCATGGAGAGACCGGAGGGCGTGTCTGCAGAAGCATAGACAGATGACGAGCTGGGTGCATTGGCATAGGAGGATGCTGACGTAGAAGCCCCTTGGCCCCGGCTGTAGGTGGAAACATAGCGGGTCTTCTCATAAAGACTCAAGTTGTCCTTCTGAAGTGTTGAGACTTCCTGTCGAAGAGACTTGACGGTGCTATACATCTTAGAGAGCTCCTCTTCAAGCTCGGAGTTCTTCTTCTTGAAACGATCCCGCTGGGCCTGAATCATGGGGAGAAGGCCGGAGCCGCCGCCAACAGCCTCCCCGGCACGAATGGCCTCCATGGTACTAGCGGAGGCAGAGCTCTGATCAAAGCCAGAGATGATCGACGAGGTTGGAGATACCGCACCACCCCGTCGCGAGGAGTGAGGGTATCTCGAAGAATAAGTGCCCGCGACAGATATTGCCGATGATGGGAATGCATTGGCAGCCTCCTCCTGCACCCGGAGCAGATCATTCTCTAGTGTGCTGGACAAGCCCCGAGACTTGTCAAGTTCCTTCTTGGTAGTCGAGAGCTCGCCACGTAGAGACTCCAATTGCCCCTGAAGGTCGCGTGTTGATACCCGCAGGACGGCAAGTTCATCGGTCAGCTTCTTGTTTCGGGCTATAAGAAGTTGCTCCAAAGAGCTCTTGTCTTTGGTCTTTGTGGTAGCACCATTAGTGCCAGTGGCATCTTCTTCGGTAGCTGCTGCCTCTCCAACGTCCTCATCATCTCCCGCCGCAAATTCAACCGACTTGATCATCTCCAGCTCCCGGCGGATCTCATCGTAATCAGCAACCTTCTCAAGTCGCGAGCGCAGCTCATCCCTCTCGGCAGCGGCCTTCGAAGCATTCCGTTCCGCCTGGAGGAGCTTACCCTCCCAGGAGTGTCGGGTCGAATCCTTGTCATAGCGCGCGGCATCCAGTTTTCGTAGCAAGGAAGAGTTCTCTGACTGCAAGCGCTGGTAGCCAGGGTCATCTTCGACAGAGATAGGATGGTCAGGGTTTGAGTATGATACTGCCTGGGCCAGCTCTAACCGCAGCTGCTCGTTCCGCGCCTCCATATCCGCCAATCTCAGGCTGGTCTTCTCCAAGTCAGCAGAGACAAGCTCCAGCTCCGCAGCAGTAGCACCACTGCGGGCACCCTCATTATCATCATTCTCGCCACCCAGGCGCTGAGAGACTTCGTAGCTGGCCTTGAGCTCCTTTATCAATCGGTCCTGGTTCTCTACCTTCTCTTCTAAGCTCTTCTCCTTCGCCTCCCAGTTGTTTGTCTTTTCTTTCAACACTGCCCCCCAAGATGCTTCGATCTCTTTAGCTCTTGACTCTTGGTTCTCTTCAAGCTTCTTTCTCGCAGCCCGCTCTTCCTGAAGACGTCTTTCGGTTTCCTCCTGCTGCTTCGTAAGACGATCGACAGACTGCTGTAATTGGTCCCGTTCTGAATTGAGTTTCGGGACTGTGTCTTCGGATAGAACAAGCGAGTCAACGGAGGCTTCGAGGAGTGGGTATGGATCCGGGGCCTCGGACAAGGACGAATAGAGTTGTAGAAACGAGGATGACGAAGCTTTCCCTTGGTTGGTTAAGAGGTCGATAAAGGACTGGTAAGCCTTCAACAGCCCCTTGTACTCCGAAAGCTTTGCTTCATCCTCCAGTTTCTTGAAGTCCTTGGTCTTTTGGGCCAGTTCCTTCCTTTGTACGAGCGCGTCCCGCTGATGTGAAACAATGTCCGATGCGGTTGTATCGAGTTTGGCAATAGTGCTGGCCAAGTCAATCCCTTTTATGAGCGCAGATCAGTTACAAATTCTCTCGCAACTTTCTTATCAGGCCAGATGGCGTATATTTACCTCGCCAGGCTGCAATAGCGCGCTGGAACTTGTTGGTCTCCTCGGACAGTTTGCTGGAGACTTCTGGCTGGTCATCTTGTGGCTCCTGGGCGACAAGGCCCTCTGTAATGGCGAACGAATCCATTTCCAGCGTTCAGCCCAAGGGGTCTGCAATCACCCCACACCAAAGCGCAGTCCGCCAAGGGGAGATGAGGATCGCGCGGAGCTGGAATTGGACACGCGGCGCGGCGGGCCGAATGTTCTTCCGTGTTGTATGCGGACTGGTCTTGTTATAATGTAGAGAAGAAGTCTAATGTTTGGGTATTATCTGTGATAACTGTTAAGAGATTGATCTGCGAGGAGATTGCGTGTCTTTCCGACATCAATTACATCACCCAAGGTACAGGTATTTCCTTGACAGCCGTTGTTCCGAGGCACCGACCGTTCCTGATCTAGTGGCCCCTGAAGCTTTGGCCCCAAGGCAACCCTGACCGCCTTCAGCCCATCTCTCCCCAATGCTGGCGGGGAGATACTCGGAAGCCAGCCATGATGGCTTCAGATGATGGAGTCGGTCCTCGTAAGAGGCGGAGGATCGGTCTCCCAGGATCACAGCCCTATGTGTTACGATCACTGTTCGATGATGTTCCGCTGGCGACGGACCATAGCTCGGACGTTTACATCACCTACGTCGAGTACTGGGGTAAGCTATCAGCGGTGGCTAACGGCTCTACTTGCACCGTCAGTCTTGCTGATTTGGAATATCATAGATGGACACATGTACATCGGCACTTCTGCAGCCGAGATTCTGCACTTTGTCTGCCTCCCAGCAGCTTCCGACGACGATTCGAATGAGCCTACCTTCATATTGGCATCGCGCCTGCCAATCCCGTTCCAGAATGAGCCTCTAGACAGCGATCCTCAAGGCGTTCGGCAAATCGTTATACTGCCATCGGTGAACAAAGCTTGCATCCTCTGCAATGGTATGGTCACCTTTTACATGCTACCGGAGCTAAGCCCGGCGTTTGGGAATACCAAGGTTAACCATTGCCGCTGGGTCGGCGGCTTGGATCTCAACCAAGATGCGCGGGCCGAGGAAGATCCAGTCGTGATGATCGCTGTGCAGAACAGCGTCATGCTGATCCGGATTGGAGAGGGAGCTCGGCGCATCAAGCAGATCAAGTTTCCCGGTTGTTTGGTTGCAGCGCGCAGAGGCACCATTGCCTGTGCAGCTGACACCCATTCGTACTCACTTTTGGAAGTGGAGCACCAGCAGAAGATCCCTCTCTTTCCCATATCCTCCTCAAGTGAAGTGTTCGAATCAGGCCATGTGGAAGATATCCCACGGGCACCACAGACTCCTCTGAAGCGATCGCCTTCCTCATCATATCCGAGTTCTCCCCCAATGGACCCTCATGTGCATGGTAGAAGCAGCAGCTTGAATACCTTTGTGGGCATGTTGCAGCCGCATACACAGACGCCTGCACATAGTCGATCACCTTCGGGAACACCAGACCCCTTCACATCGACTGGAAGCCCCCGTCGCTCGAGTTCGGAAGAACGAAAAGCGGGAGATGAGAAGGCTGCAGAGAGTCCCGAGCAGGATTCGCAGGCGGCAGAGTCAGACAGCCTGAAGCCCTTGCCTCCACTTCCTCCTCCGAACCCAGTCCAGAAACAGCTTCTGCCGCATGTGGTATCCCCGACTGCGTCTGAATTCCTCCTAGTAACTGGGACAGAGGAAACAGAACCAGGAGTGGGGATGTTTGTGGACATGGACGGCGAGGTTGTACGGGGTACCATCAACTTCCACCGATATCCTAAGTCGGTTGTTATTGACGCCGGCGAGGACGACCAGTCACTTCAGCCAAACGAGGGTCCCAAAGAGGAGTATATCATCGCCGTGATTGAAGATGGAGAGAACGGGGAGCAACGAAATCGATTGGAAATCCAACGGTGGGATGACGATCCTGCCGAAATAGAACGTCAAAAGAAATGGTTAGACATACCTTCTTCCGGAGAGTCGCAGTCATCCACCCGAGTTGGCTTGAAGCACACTATCAGCCCCAATTATCTTGAGCTCGACGAGATCGGGAAGCTTCTGCGAATGGTTCGCCTCAAGACGCCTTTGCTACCCCCCTATGTGCCAACCGCGGACCCTCGGACCCAAGCGTCCATCGAGCAGCAAAAAACAGAAAACGAACTGTTTGAGTCCCAAGAGCTGACCGACTCGGAGGGATCCAAGAAAGCAGAGGCAGGATCATCAAATCGCGACTTGGAAAGTCGGCGAAATGCCGAAGAAGCGAAATTTGCCCACGGGTTGGGCAAGCTGCAGAGCAGTCTCATCTTGTGGTCAGACTCCCAGATCTGGCGCCTGCTTAAGAACCCTTTGGTTATTCAGCTTGAGGATAGTCTGCACATGGCCCAGCAAATAGATGACAAGGGACACATCACTTTGCAGAGGGATGCTGTCATGGAATTGATGGTGTCAACGCATGATATCGAGCCCAAGACCGAGGCTGAATTCCTTGGCTTGGCCTACGTGAAGCAAAAAGCCAGTTTGTTGCTATATGGAGATCTTCTTTCCATGCATGCGGACAACCGTGCGGACCCTACCATTAGGAATACCGAAAGGGCCCTCCTATCGGGTAGCTTGGACCCCCGACTAGCTTTACTTTTCATTCCTCTGCTAAGATGCGAGGTGTTGCAAGGGCCTCAGGGTATCTGGATCCAGTCTGGCCTAGCAGATACCGCCGCAAAATACCTTGAGCAAGTTGAGCGGACAAACGCCGCAGCTGCGACCCATAGCTCTGTGTTAAACATGTTGAAGCGGTTCCTTCTCTCGTGGCAACAGAAGAGGGGCTACGGGAGTATCACAGATGAAACATATGTTTTGGATAGCACCGACGCTGCATTGCTGCACCTGCTCCTGGAACAAGATGCTCACTTTAATGCGCAGCAGCGAGCGACATCTACACGCACCGAGCTGAACAGGTTGGTTGATAATTGGAAGGGCAATTTTGACCGTGCAGTCGTGCTTCTGGAGCAGTACAAGAGGCTCTATATTCTCAGCCGTCTGTATCAGAGTCAGAAGATGTCCCGGAATGTGCTCAAGACCTGGCGGAGGATTATTGACGGAGAATCCGATGCCGGTGGAGAGGTCACTGCCTCCGGTGTTGAGGCGCAGATGCGCAAGTATCTGGTGAAAATCAAAGATGCCCAACTGGTGGAGGAGTATGGCTCCTGGCTTGCTGGGCGAAATCCTGCACTTGGAATTCAAGTCTTCGTGGACCACTCTAGTCGAGTAAGACTAGAGCCCGCGGATGTGGTTGCGTTGCTTAAGGAGCGTGCCCCCAATGCAGTACAGGTGTATTTGGAACATCTGGTCTTTGCCAAAAACGTGAGTCTTGAACTATGCGTACTCGCATGAGCTATATAGCTAATTCATCTTCTAGTACACCCAATACGCCGACGACCTCATCGCATACTATCTCGACGAGGTCCTTTCTGTCCTCGCGGCCTCCCCCGCCGCGCGAGCTTCACTTTCCGAATCCTACTCGACCTACCGGGCCTTGCGCCCTCCCAAACCAACCTACCTCAACTTCATCACCGAAAATACCCCCGCTGAACCCTGGTGGAAGTCCCGTCTCCGCCTCCTCCAGCTCCTGAGCGGCACCTCCGGCACCCAATTCTCCTCGACCCCGCTCCCCTCCGGCATCACTTACTCCATCCCGAACGTCCTTGCCCGCATCGAGCCGTTCCAAGACGACCTGGTCTCCGAAAGCATCATCCTCGACGGACTACAGGGCCACCACCGCGCCGCCCTTCGCCTCCTCACCCACGGACTGGGCGATTACGACTCCGCCATCCGGTACTGCCTGTTCGGCGGGCCACGCAGCGCGACCTCCTCTGGTGGCGCCCACCCCGAGCTGGCCGCGCACGACTTGCAGACCACGCTGTTCCGGCACCTATTGGACGAGTTCCTGCATATTCAGGACCTAACGGAGCGCATCGAGCGCACAAGCGATTTGCTCGCGCGGTTCGGGGCGTGGTTTGACGTCCGCGAGGTGCTCGAGCTCGTGCCTGAGGACTGGAGCGTGGATATCCTGGGTGGGTTCTTCGTGCAGGTGTTCCGCACTCTGATATCGCAGACGCGAGAGGCGCGAATTGAGCGCGCCTTGAGTGCGGGCTTGAACCTGCGCGTTGGCGTGCTGTATACGGATAGTATGGAGAAGGCTGGGCCTTGGGTGGAGGATGGTGAGGGTCTGAGGCGGTTAAAAGGGAATAGTGGGCCTGAGGCACCGGATGTGCCACAGGGTGATGATGCGAGGGCTGGGGAAGATGATGATTTTGGTGACGTGGTGGGGCCTGCTGCGTCTGGGGAAGTGGGCCAGTAGATCTTGGGCCCTTTTTAGGAGGAACAGGGGGCTTATGATAATTTGTGTGTACAAGTTCAGTGGATTGTCGTGTTGGCGTTGAAATTTATGATACCTAGAGCAATGAGAGATGTGTTGTTGATATGGTTGTGTCTGATATTTTTGGAAATTTTGGCTGCACAGAGCCGATGGATGCGGTATTCCAATCCGTTAGTATAGTTGTAATACGGTCCCAGCAGATTGGATGGTCCCCATATCTCTCGCGGATACCTTAAACACATCCGACATAGAGATCAAAATGGGGCTGTGGTGGTGCGTGATAAGAAAAGGCTTATCATACATCAAGTCCGAGAGATAAAAATGGGTAGAAAAAAGAAAAACACCACGACATTGCATTCGTTCCCTTCGTAGCTCCAATGAGCATCAACCACACCCTCAGCCAGACAGTCAGAGTCTACCGGGTCAACTTTTGAAGTTTAGATGTCTGGGTCCCATTTGGGGGCCAGGAGCATGCCATGAAGGCTCTTCGCAACGCCGTCTGCGTACGGGATGCCGAGCCGGAATGACCTGCTCGGGCAGCAACCCGCCATAGATGAGACAGTGGCAGCACACCATATTTACTCCTCCGGCTGCACGAAGGGATTGGGGATCTCCTCACTGCCGTCGGCGGGCGAGATGAGCACAATGAGGGTGCCACGGGCGACGATCAAGCCCAGGGAGCGGGTGGTCTGGTTGCCCTCATCGTCTGGGGAGGTATAAGTTTGGGGATAGTGAAGGGTAGTTAAAGGGGGGGGGGAAAGAAAAGAGGTTCTTACCATGCATGGACTCTTTGACATCGTCGAGGACCAGGTTCATGAGCTGGTCATAGCCCTTAAGGGTTCCGGTGACTAGGCCGGCTGGATCAGCATCACAATATTATAGACTCTATCCACCACCCAAACCAGTCCATAATTACATAGATGGCAGCGAAATCAGAACAACTTACCCTCACGACCACCATTGAACTTTACTTGGACTTCCTTGTCCATATACTTGCCCAGGTCGAGAATGTTCTCCTTCTTGGGCTTCTCCTGCTGGGCACCACCACCGCCACTTTTCTGCTGCTGGCGACCGCCTCGGCCACCACCACGGCCGCGGAATGAGCCTCGTTCGGACATGGGGGTTAAGAGCGGTGAGAGGAGTAGGAGGGGAGGGGGAGATAGAGTTGGGTTGAGCCGTTCAGGAGGGGTGCAAAAAAGGCTTTGGGTACAAGCCCCGTGGTGCACGGTGAGTGGTGGATGGATGGACGGGGTGAAGTGGTGGTGTAGGCGGTTGGTGGGAGTGAAGGGGCCGGATGTATGAGGGATTTTCAGCGGAGGGCGGTTTGACTGCTGGCGGACGAGTGGTGGACAGTCCGGACACTTGACGGGGCCTCGCATTGTCCGCCTCGATCCCGCCGGTATGGTATCCTTGTATCATTACCATCAATACCCGGCGGCGGAGCAGGACCACACAGCGGTCCTCCGGCTCCAGGCATCCACGAAACGTCCTCTCCACAAGGGTTAAGGCCCAAGGCTTAAGTTCCGGATCGGCATAGCGCTCATGAGCCTATTGAATCGATTGCAACCGACTTATAGTTACTGCTCTGAAGATGTCCCAGCGTCCCAGCGTCCCGGCATCCTGATAACTTGCGACGGAAGGCGGAGTGCCAGCGCATGCCAGCGGAGGCGCCCGGCGGGACTCCGCTCGTCACGGGGCGGTCACGGAATCCAACTACAGTACGGAGTACATACGTAGAGGGTCGTAGAGAATGACGGACTATCTGCAGGGTATTAATGCCTGTTATTGTCATAGCGGGGGTCCTCGGGGCGCTATCTGCGAGCGCCCAGCTACTTCGTACAAAGGTCCATTGGAACATCCACATTCACTTCCGCCCTTCCACTTCCCACCGTTCCACCCAGTCCGCATGCCTGGCGTCTCATTACTCGCCCCCCGGCGAAACCCACTCGGTTCCGGCTGCGCTGCTGCGATCACGTTTCCTCCCTCTCCCACGCCTTCTGTTTCCACCCCTCCCTCTCCCTTTCCTTCCTTGAATCTATTTCTCCTGGCTTTCTTCATGGACGTTGGCCTGTCCGCCCGAACACCATCTGCTCTAGCGGCTCGACCCGCGCATTCTGTGCTCCGCCCTCGGTCTTGACAGCCGCCGCAGCTTCCCTCCCCTGCAGCCGCTCGTGGAGCCTGGTCCTTTTTATTTTTATTTTTATTCCTTTTTATCTTCAGTCCCTGAACTGTCTCCCCCTCTGGAACTATATCGCCCCTGCCCCTTCTTCTGCGATACGCTGCGATCAATTCCACCATGGACCCCCGCCCCGTGACGGCGGAGCCGTCCAACAAACGGCCCCGGTCTCCTGGGGCTGATCACCCGCAGCCTCACCAGTCGAAAGTGCCCAAGACCCATTCGAATCACCTGCAAATCAACTATCTCGCGCGCCAGTACCCGGATAACCTGCCCCTGGTCGCACCGGATGATACCCTGCCCGCGATCATCCACTTAATTGGTGAATACGATGGAGTGCTGCATCGCCATGAGAGTATCGCCGGGAACCTGGGCGCATGCCCCCTGGGACCGATTCTGATCAAGCGCTTTGAGCGTTTGTTTGACGGGCCCCCGCGTGTGCTCAAGTCGCATGGCAAGGATGGGCCGACGGTCACTTGGTTGGATGTGGTCGAGTTTGCCAAGAGCAAGCCCGAGCAGTTTAATCTGGAGAAGTCGCGCAATGGCGTGCGCGTTTGCCAATTCTATACGAAGCAGTGTCGCGTGGAGATCAGCGAGGAGGACTTTGTGCTCATTGCTTCGGGCATGCCGCAGAAGATGATCCCTCCGCAACCGATCATTGAAGATGAGGAGAAGGAGCTAGGTGCGCTGGAGATTTTGGAGAAGAATCTGCAGCAAATTATTCAGATGGCAGACCAAGGTAAGCGAAGTATTTTACTGCTATCGCAGTTCTCTGTATCTCGATGGATCCCTAATTGCTTCGTTCACAGTGTCTGCTCGAGCCCGCCAGCTCAGCTACCGTCTGAAGAACCGCCGCACCGCAATCGTCAGCCGTCGCGAAAACGATGCCTCTCTCACGGCGCAACCCCGCGTTGCTGCGGCTGCTGCCGAAGTCTGGCGTGATATGAATGGCCACGGCCGCGCGAATGGGCCATCGAATGTCACTCCATCGGGGTTTGTTGCGGTCAATGCGACCCGACCTGAGGGCGAGTCCGACGAGAACGCGCTTTCGTCCCCGTTCATGTTCTCCCACTCCAATGCGGACAATATCACCATTATCAACGGCACCTCTATCAAGGGCGCATCACCCACGACTCGGGCGGACTTGATGAAGAAGTTCTTCACCACAGCGGACCGCCAAGCTCGCGGCTATGATGAGACCACTGGTGCGACAAATCCGATTCAGCCTCGGCCTGGGCCTCAAAGCTCCGATCCAGCCGAGTACAGCATCTATAATAATAATAACACCAGCACCAGCACCAACACCAACACCAACAACAACTCGACACCTGTGGCTATCCCTGGAACCCCGTCCTCGCTGCTTCCGCCGCCGAGAACAACCCCGCAGGAGAAGGATGATGGCGGTCCATTCAAGATGGAGATGGTCGCCCGCATGGAGGAGCTGCCGCGTGGCGAGCGGGTCAACCCACCCTGTGACCGATGCCGCCGTCTCCACATGGATTGCCTGAAGAATCTGACCGCATGCCTGGGCTGCACCAAGAAGCACGCCAAGTGCTCCTGGCGGGACGTCAAGGAGGGCGAGCTGAGAGCAGCCTGGGGTTCTTCCGCGTCCCGAGAGCCGCACGAGCGCATCGAAGATGAGCGCATGCCGCCGCTAAATCTGCCAGGCTTCGTGCCATCTCCCAGCGCCCCGATCTCCGCCGAGCGTGAGCGTTACGAGCGCCCATCACGTCCTTCCGAGACCCCCAGCGACCCGCAATACTCTCAGCATCGTCGCGAGTCTGCCCCCGGCTCAGGCGCATCCATGGGTCTCCCTCACTCTGAGAACTCCCCCCGTCGCGCCATGAGCGAGACTGAAGGGGGCGGACGCATCCAGTACCACAGGCTCCCACCCCGCCATGCGGAGGACGACGATCCAGACGCCAACCAGCGGCTCATGCAGGCCATCCTCGACACAGTGGACCACCACGCACGCGTGGCGGCCGCCGTGCAGGAAAAGGAGCGGGGCGCGGAGCGGGTGGCAGAAGGTGCGCCCCATTCTCATCATGATCGAGATGCCGATCGAGATCGAGATCGAGAGCGTGACCTTGACCGTGGTCGTGACCGGGATCGGGATCGGGATCACGATCACGATCGTGATCGTGATCGTGAGCGGCGCATGGTGCAGGCTTAGCTGTCTAAATGTTCTTCCATCTGTGTATGTTCTTGCATGTCTTGTCACTTTTATCCTGCGCATTGGGCTTGTCCTTTATTGTATAGCTGCGAGCGATGGCGAAATGGGATGGGCTAGGGGATTTGCGATTGATTCTGTCTCGGCGTACTTGTTTATTATATCCATGATCGGTTTCTGTGTTGTATGTTTTCGTGCCGCTTGCTGAATGTATCATTAGTAAAATTAAAATCCAGTATATTCCTGCCGAGTCTATCTACTGTAGAATGGGCCGTTTGTCACGTCATGCGACAAGCCTACCTCCAATTCCAATTAGATACTCGACCATCGGCACTTCCATCCCATCTCTACCCCGGATCCCCGCAATCCGCAGAGAGATTCACTAGCCTTAACTCTGTTCACCCCATCTATCGGTCAAGGTTCAATCTACACAGCGTCCCCTCAACCTTCGGATATACATCTACCGGTTGTGCCCCACCTGTGCTTAGAGCGTGCTGACCAATATCAGGAATTTCATTCCGTGCGGGAAAGCGTGGGGAAAGGGTAAAAGGGACCGGATATACTCTCTTCCATGCATCACAGCTCGACTGGGTGCAGAGTATCACAAACATAACGAGTATGCATGGATAGCAGGACTCAGCTATTTGGACTACGGACTGCATAGTCGGTCGTTTCGGACGTCGGGGTTGTGGGGGGGATTTCCGAGGCGCGTAGTAATTCGGCGCGCTGAGTGGATGGGGCGCGCTCGCGCGGGGCGGGGGAGCTTTGGACGGCGAGCTTTTGGGTGCTGCGTGCCAAATCGAACCCATTGGACCATGCATTTCACTGGCCTTTGAATATTGGCACCAGGATGAGCATAGTGCATGATGCACTCCCCCCACACCCCACTAACTACCGCCGGATGTGCCGACTGGGAGTAAATCCGACCCCCCGGCGAGGTGACGGTATAACTCAACGCCGACTTTGACCAGAATTCTTCTTAACACGTACCCTGGACCCTGACCTTTGCATTCGACCATTCTCCTCCCCTTTCTGTTCACCCACTGCAGCCATGGACCCCTCGCAAGTCAAAATCCCACCAATGAAAGACCTGACGGTCGAAAACATCACCGAAAACGTCATAACAATCAACTCGCTCTGTGAAGATGCGCGCATGAAATATGTCCTGGAGCGCCTCGTCACGCACCTCCACGCCTTCGCCCGCGAAACCCGCCTCAGCAGCGACGAATGGATGGCCGGCCTACGCTTCCTCACCGAGGTCGGCCAGATCTGCACCGACGTCCGACAGGAATTCATCCTGCTCTCCGACGTCCTGGGCCTCTCCATCCTCGTCGACTCAATCGACCACCCCAAGCCCGCCGGCTCCACCCAAGGCACCGTCCTGGGCCCTTTCCACACACACGACGCCGAGGAGATGCCGGCCGGCGAGTCGATGTCGCACGACCCCAAGGGCGAGCCGCTGCTGGTGGTGTGCACGCTGCGCGATATGCAGGGGCAGCCGATTGAGGGCGTCCAGATCGATATCTGGGAGACGGATTCGACGGGCCACTATGATGTGCAGTATGCGGGGCGCGAGGGGCCGGATGGGCGGTGTATTATGCGCTCGGATGGGGAGGGGATTTTCTGGTTCAAGGCCATTACGCCTGTGCCGTACCCGATTCCGCATGACGGGCCGGTGGGGAGGTTGTTGAAGAAGTTGCATCGGCACCCGTACCGGCCGAGCCATATGCACTTTATGTTTGAGAAGGAGGGCTATGATCATCTGATTACGTAGGTAGATCCCTTCCTGCTCGCGTTCTCCGGCCACTGTCGCCCGTGTCGTACGACCTGAATGCGCTGACCATATCCAGGGCTTTATACCTCCGCAACGATCCCTACGAAACCTCCGATGCGGTCTTTGGCGTGAAGGATTCGCTGACTGTGGACATTGGCAAAGCTGGCCCGGAGATCGCCAAGAAGTACAACGTCCCCGAGGGCCATGCCCTACTTACGTATGACTTTGTGCTGGTCTCTGACGCGGAGACGAGCGAGCTGCGCGCGAAGAACTCCAAGGTTGCGCTGGATAAGCTCGGCCGTAAGGTGAAGATTGTAAATGGGTTGCCGGTGCCGGATTTGGACTAAATAGCTAGCTCGCTAGCGCGCAGATGGGACCGTTTACAAAGATGGAGGTATATAAGACGGGTATGAAGAGTGGGCTCTTGGCTATTGGGCTATTGGGCTATATATGTATGAAGCTCGCCATGACTTGGATAGTTTCCATCTTTCTTGCTACATTATCTCGTGTTCTCGATACCTCGATGAATTGGAAGGAAACTCAAAAAGAGCCTCCCCATTGGCGCTGGTACACCATGGAAACTAAAGGAAACAAATGAGTACCGGTACTCGCCCTGCCGGTACTCGCCCTGATCGTTCTTGAGCGCGTATTTACCCAGTGAGAAGGGGTTCTCTAGGCATATGTGGTAGCACTCGTAGTCGTTGTAAGCCTACAGTTCCTCTTCGATGATTGTTGGATCCGACATAGCCTATTTGTCTTCCATTAGACAGCTCTTGGCCATCTTCTTCAAAGTTGCATCATCGTAGTGGCGACGGGCGAGGATGGGGTGGATGGCCGCTTGACGAAGCTTTATATGGATATTGGCAAATTTCGAGCCAGACTTCTTACTGGCGGCGCAGTCCGCGAGAAGTTGGCGGTCTTGTTCCTTCTCGTGCTCGTAGATCTTCGGCTGTGAGGGCTTCATCTCACAGTATTGCACGTGCGAGTGCTTGGCGGGCAGGTCGATGACCTAGTGCTTCTTGCGGCGGAGGACGAGAGGCGTTAGTATGGATTTGGTACGCTCGATACGCTATGCTGGGGAAAAAAACAACTTGTCAAACTAGTCGATATCTGTATAGACTAGTATGATGGATATCCAATGGGATGATATGGATCAGATTGATTGATGATAAAGATAGAAAATCACGGGGAACGGCCTGTTGAGAGGTTTCCCCTGTCCGTATGGGCGCATTGGCGTCCGTACGGCCGATACTCGGCTGTTACAAAGCCTGAGTTCACATGTAAACCAGAAGTACATGCAAAAACATAAGGAAAGTAGGCACTTGATGAATAAGCCCGTTCTTAGTGGTAAGTTACCACTCCATATATTTCGACACTCATTGTGAAGCACAGTGAACATCACCAGTTGGTTGTACATCCAACACTGACCAGGCCGGAATTTCGTCGTATGTGGATGCACCGCCCGCAAAGCCGTTGAGGAGTTCTGCATCAAGATCACTTCCATCGGAGCATATATTCTTAACACGCCAAAGTCTGAACCCACACCGGTAAACTTTATGACCCGCCGCGTTCACTGCGTCGTAACAAGCGTCGTAATGAGGGGCATCCCTGCTTGGAATGCAATAACCGCCCAGTAGTGAGTTGACTACTTGCTGCACCTTGGTCTCTGCGCTGTCTAGAGTATATTGCAGGATAGTAGGTGGTGCTAAGTCCACTCGAACATATGCTTGTCGGCAACCGAGCGCTTGCACTCCTACTGAAAGCAGACCGAGGCCGATCAAAAAAGGAAGCTGCATCGTCGCTACTATATATCAGTTAGAACAAGGACGTTATATGATACTAAGGCCTAACTCACGTTTCAAGGACTTGATTGAATACTACCTCGATAGTGAGTTGAAAGGGGGAGGAGATGGTGAAGAAAATGTCTGGTGTCTGGGCTAGATACGCCGAAAGGACTTCGCTTTAAATAGTACGAGAATCCAGAGTAGTAGCGAAGTGATTGCCAGGCATTTAAAAAGGGTTAGAAAATTTTCCTTAGTCGGACTAGAACTAAATAGGATTATCACTAGTAAAGAACTATGAAGCTAAATTTAGGTACCCTTACACCGCTACATACCGTTAGCTAAGCTATACAACACTCTATCTCACGACGCCCGACCTAGTTGACTTGTTAAGCGAAGACTTTTAGCAAGATCGTACAAAAACACTCTCCCTCTTACGGTTAGGCGGCTCCACTTTACTCCTAGAAGCCCTTTTACGTGACTTGTTGCAGGTGCCCGTTAGCTCTTATCATTCCCGTAGGTTTTTGATTGAGTGTTTCGTAACATCCGTTTGAGTAGCCAATCGCAACGCGCCACAAAATCCTTCAGGATGCTTTCGTCCACAAGCGGCATATCCGGAAATATAGCAAAATTATAGGTCTATAGGCAGGGCTATCCAATCTTACTTATGGCTTTTCGGGCCCGTATAATCCTCCAACGAGCCTATTATCGTATCCAATTAAGCTTTTCTACCTAGACATCTCCGCGCCCAAAAGATCAACGTCAACCTAAACCGGTACAAATAAAGGAGATACGGGTCGGAACGGCCGAAAAATCCCCTAACCGGAGCCTAATTATTCGCTATCGCCCCGGGCTAGTATCAAGATAAGATTCTCGGTAGTGGGTCCTAAAGTAAATATTTGGAGGGTCTCGATCACCGAGCTCACGCCACAATGTTGCCCTGAAAATCTAGACGATCGGGGCGCGGGGCAAAACCGTCAGGCGACTATTATTGAAGAAATACGAAGGTAAACGATTCCTTTGGGGTCGATTGCGTGGGATTGAAAACTCTGAATTTGCTAAAACTCGGCGCATTCTATGGTAGGGTGCATTACCGTGATGGGCTCCGTCATTATGGGCGCAAGCATATTGGGTGAAGTCTGCGCCCCATTTAACAAACGCAAGGACCCTTATCAAGTGCATATAAGTAAAAGATAGCTTACACCGTAGTAGAATAGGGTAGGGCCTAGTATATTCCTAGGAGCAATATTCTTGGGTTGAACTGCTTAGCCCAAAAGAGATGGTGATTGCCCAGAAAGGGATCCTGATACGGGCGCTCAAGGGTGAGAAAAGTAGACTTTGTCCTCACACTCTGAATAAATTCTACTCTAGCGGACGATTACTTAGTGCAAGATATTCAGTTTCCGAGTAGACTCGCGTAGTTATCCTGAGACTAGTACTCCTCCAGGATGCCCTGAAGATTGTGGAGCCAGTAGATGAAGGATTCCCAGGAGCATATAGTCTAATTGATTGGGTGATCATCTAGTAGGCTTCATTTTGGCGTAGTGAAAATCAGCAAGTGTACCAAAACGGAATGTCAAATTATTGATGCTAGTGCTTTTTGATGGGGCTGTAGGGGCAATCTACAGGAGGGGGCTTTCCGTGGATAGGGCTAGTGTTTTGCATTTTATTGAGGTGCTAGTTAGGCTATGCTTAGTGACCAAATTAGAGCGCTTAGTGAGTGATCAGACTTGCTCAGTGAGCAGATCAGTGAGCTTACGTAATGCTCACTGATCAGATTAGGGTCGCTCAGAGACGTGCTCAGATCTACTTAGTGAGCAAAAGCGGCGAGGGTCTGAGCACTAAAACGGGAAGGGAAAGCCAAGATATAGCATAGGAATTCCGGTACGTAGGGACTTCCAGGGAACTCCTGCTGGTGTTAAGGCAGAAGTAAAAATGTTTCCTCCCGGGCCCCGTTTGTGGCGTAGGGTGTGTGATCGGGGAGAAGGGTAGAAATGAAAAGCAAGCACAGAAACCCGTCAGCATCATAGCTACATGTGCGAACCCCCACCCAGAATCAAACAAGGGAACCGAAGACCGCCATTCTTCTGGAGAAGGACTTTAATGCATCCTTCTTGCGGGTTTCATAAGTGCCTGAAATGACGATTCCAGAGCTTTCTTGACTTCTTTGTAGCTGACGATGAAGCAGCTCTGCTCGTCGCGGCTCACCAGGGTGATCTTCTCATCAGACCCAGCATCGAGCTTGTTCAGGCAAGTCAGCATATGCCCGAGGTCAACAACAGCGTCGCCTGAGCCATCCACCTGGTGGAAGACGTAGTCCCGGAAGATCTTCAAGAAATAGCGCTCCCCACTCTCCGACCACTGCCGGTCGTGTTCGTATTCAGGGCGCTCGTTGACCAGATTCAATTTAGTCATCAGACGGACGAGACGCCCATTCTCGAGTTCGCGGCTGAGGTCTGAAGTGAGCTGATCATCCAGATGAAGGGCTGAGTCGAATGTGGACATCAGCTGAGAGGAGATGCCGGTGATGAAAACATCAATCGTCCGATCCTGGTCTTTCTGCAGTCCATTCAACAACCAGAAAACCGAGTTCTTCAGTTGCGGGCTGTATGCGCGAGTGAAGTGCTCCATCGCCTTAGTGGGGTTGTGCATGACATTGGGCGAGTTGGCACCCAGAGAGACGATCATTTGCCCGAAGTTGACGAGATCCTGCCGCTGGAGCTCCGCCACAGTGCGTTGAGAGTCAAATTGAACTACATCCAAGACCGCACAGGCATTCAAACGAACGCGGTTCTTGCCGGTCAGCAGAACTTTGCCAGCCTCCAGCACTCGAGCGGCGAGGCCGTTGGTGTGGATCGACTTCAGCGCATTCGCGATTTGCGTCATGTAGCCCCAGAGAACCTGCTCAGGGATATGGGTGTTGTGGCGGCCTTGGAAGCGGTTTCCAACGCCCAGGTGTTGTTCGGCGAGGGTCTTGGATAATGGGTGGTAGTCGGTGACGAAGATGAGCGAGCTGTCTTGGAAACTCCGGCTGGTGAACGCATCGTGAACGGTGACCACGCTTCCATTGCACACCCGCTTCCAGGCTTGGACGGACCGGATGGCCTTCTCGTTGGTCAAACGGAAACCTAAAACTGGTTAGCGTGTGGTTGCAAAAGCCACTTGGGTGTCATTCCTTACCTTCCAGTCTTCGGAGCGCGTAGAAATTGCCGTCTTTGCTAGACTGTGCTTTATAGACCCAGCTCGGGTAACCGAAAGTTGCGGCATTCTTTTGATGGCTGAGATCTAATGGGACTAGAGAGTGGAAGTAGTCGACCTGTGCGGGTAATGTGGTGTCTGCAGGACATGTGTCAGGTTCATGAAAAGTTCCCAGGTCTCGGGGGATAATATTCGCATACTGGGTAGAGTTTGAAGGGTAGCCACAGCCTTCTTCTGGAGTTCTTCTCGGAAATCATTGGGGAGAAAGAGATCGTGGACGTTCCGCTGATAACCCAGGCTGTTCTGGTTATGAGGGCCAATTGGTGCGTATAGATGATATTGGACCTGTGACGTTTGTTAGGGGTGGAGGTACTTGGAAGACACAGACAACCATTTGGAAGTTCACGTACGGGCTGCTGGAAACCCGTCTGGTTCGCAAAGAAAGCTCCTCCTGCTAATGCAGCAGTGGGGTCGTGGGAGTATGGGTTGGTCGAGACAGGGCCAACAGCTCCTGCGGCGGAGAGAGGGGTCGTTGCCGTGACAAAAGGATCGAAGGCACCCGAGGCGGAGATTCCATTCCCGTTGCCTTGAAGAGGTGCCTGAACAGGTGGGTTAGCGGAATAAAAGCCAAGGCTGGAGCTGCGATATTTGTCTCGACTTCGCTCGAGGACCGGATCGAAATCATCTGCCAGGGCACTCAAGCTCCGGGTGTAACGATTATAGAAAGATCCCCGCATCTTTTTCCCCGACTATTTGAAGTGGGCAAGTTGCCAAGGCAATGATTCAAGGACTCCGAGCGAAGAAGCGCTGAAGCCAAAGCGGAAGGTACGGTCAGAAACTTACCACGTGAGCTCCTTCAAATCCTTGAGGAACGAATTCCTGCACATCCGCTACCGTCCAGTCAGGAGTTCCTACTTCTTGCCGCGGGGTACTCGTGTTGGAGCCTTTTATCAGTCAGTGAGAGATGCCTTGAAGATTGCGGACCAACGGGCTTCCTACGTGATGAACCTGCAACTCTAGGCTGAAACGGAGCCGCGCTCGCAGCCTTCGGGGAAATGGTGGTCGATTTCTTGGGGGCGGACGTGCCATTGCCAGACAAGAGGGACGGGGTAAAGCTGGGTGAGTCCACATTGAACCGTTTCTTATTGCTGAATATGATGACTGGTCAGTATATGCCGGGTGAGACTCGCAGGGAAGACGCAATATTCACCTGTCTGCTTGGTTTGCAGCGTTGACTTTCAGAGGATCGTGGTTGAACGCGCAGCCTGTTGAGAGAACACGAATCAGATCTCAAACTCTGATACGAGGCGACTGATAACTCGGCACCGGTACACACCTTTATCCTCATATCGACAGCGGCCATAGATGGTAACATTGCGACATAGTGTATCTTTCGCATTCTCTGTTCGGAAATTCCTCCTGTGAGCGCGCAATCCATCACATGCCTCGGTATACAGCTCCGACAAGCTCATCTCATCTTCCTATCTCCAGCTATGTGCAAGATTGGCCACCGGCGACACACTCACCTCGAGTCTTCATTTTCGGCGACCCCGTCGTACGACGGGAATCATCCAGCGGAGGTTTGCCGGAGGAGGCCATGGCGGACGGCTAATACCGACGAGAGACGAGACGGGATCAGCGCAGTAGGATCTCCATTAAATCGGAAGCCGGAAGGAAACGATTGAGTGGACCGAGAGGATGCCACATTCCCTGCGATCGGACAGCTGTTTCCCGTTGCCTGCAGTCCACGCGTATGGGCGAGCCGATCGGCGATAGCGGGTCAATTGCGGGTGAAACCCGGAGGTTCGAGGGGATATCAATACTTGGATCGTAAACCACACAGATAATAATATAAGGTCCCAGGCTCCTCCCTCCTGAACAAGACCGGGAGTGATAGAACCGATGGAGCAGATGGGGACGCGGGGCGAGGCGAACTCGAGCGAAGGGGGATGCGCGCACGGACCAGGCGGTCAGCCCGCGTTCGCATCACTCCGCGCGAGATAACACGCATCGTTTTATACGAGGTGATAAGGTAGGTGCCTCAAAGATCAAGTACATTTATTTGCCACTATTTGGCTCAGCTTCATTTACTGGAGTGTGCAACCTGAAGTTGACTCTTTGAGATCAACAGTGTGTCTTTTTCACTACACGCTACTTGTATATCATACTAGGTAGACCTCATTCAAAAATACTTTATACCTCACCACAATCAACTGAACAATGCTTCATTGTTTGAAAAAAGCGTATGCATAGGCTGCTCACAGCCCGGGAGGGACCCCTTCCCATACTGGATGACGAATTATTAATACTATGTAGTGCAAAACTGGTCGTTATTTGTCTATCATACTGATTCTAATTGACCCTGAATGCCATCTCCTCTGAAAAAGTAGAAAGATCTTGAATATTCTGAAATATTAACATCTTTGACTCGTGAACCTCTGCCCAGTATATATCGTGTATAGCCTTGCTGCTCATATATATTTAGACTATTATTTTTGATTAGACGTTGAGGAAGCTCTTTAGGGTCTCTCACATTGATTCGAACCTACCTATCAGATGAATTCTAATATTGCAATTCAGACCGAACTATGTAACGATAGGTCGTTAGCTAGCAGGACCATTTGTGGAGAGTGAAACAAAGTGTATAATCACTCCGCTCCGGCGTCGGAGAGTAGGTCGAGATGAACCCTCAAAATAGGCAGGCGGTGTCCAGAGCGGTAACCTCGAATCGCCAGTATACATGTCGTCTCCACGACGATTCATGGGCTGCCACCTATCCGCAACCATGTCCGCGGCGGAGGTTGACCTCGACCAGCTCTCGGCGAACGAGAGATCGGCGCTGGAGCAATATACAAGTGTGACAGGACAAGCTCCCGCAGAAGCCGTCCCTCTTCTGCGTCGGTCGCAATGGAATGTTCAGGTCAGTGTCCCCTTCCCCAGCTCTGCCGAGCTAGCTACTCATCCCCACAACGTAGATTGCCATATCAAAGCTATTCGATGGCGAAGGTCCCGATCCGGTCGAGGAAGCTCGAGCAGCCATGCCTCAGTCCCTCCCTGAGCGACATTATCAGACACCCCCAGTCAACTTGATGAACGAGGATTTACTCCGACAAGCACGGCCAGCCGATCGTACCTCGGAGCCCGCCCCGCGAATCGACACGCTACCCGAAAACCAACCTGTACACCGCCCACCTTTCCTCCTCGCTCTCCTTTTCACCCCCTTCAACCTCATCTACCGACTCCTCTTCAGCTCCTTCCGTCTCTTCGGGACACTGTTTCCCTTCCTTCCACGGCTCTTTCACGCGACCGCCAGCCCAGCTCTCCACGGTACACGACAAAACACGACGGGCCGTCGACCCCTAGCACCCAAAGATACCGCCGCTCGGTTTATTCGCGAGTTCGAGGAGGAGTATGGATCGAATCCGTTCCCTTTCCTCGAAAATGGGTACAACATGGCGATGGAGAAGGCGCACCGCGATCTGAACTTCTTATTGGTGGTTTTGTTCTCGCCCGAGCATGACGACATGAGTAGCTGGGTACGGGAGACTCTACTATCACCGGATGTGGTGGACTACATTAACCCACCCGGTGAGAGTGGCAACGTGATTGTTTGGGGCGGTAATGTCCGGGATTCGGAAGCCTACCAAGTCGCCAACTCACTCCGAGTCACCAAGTTCCCTTTTGCGGCGGTGATATGCCATACCCCGAGCGTATCCTCGACCGCCATGTCTGTGGTCGCACGAATTGCAGGACCTATTTCGGCGTCTGATTTCAAACAGCGGCTGATGACCGCCGTGACTTCGAACCAGGGGCCACTCTCGCAGATCCGCCAGGACCGCAGCCAGCAGCAAGCCTCTCGCAGTCTGCGCGAAGAGCAGGACTCAGCCTATGAACGGTCGCTCGCGATTGACCGGGAACGAGCCCGACTCCGCCGGGAAGCAGAGGCCGCCCGACAGCGAGAGGAGCAGGAGGCAGCAGAGCGCCAAGCTGCAGAAGAGAAGAGGCGGCGGGATCTGGCGCAGTGGAAACTCTGGCGAGCACAGTCCCTTGGAGCCGAGCCTGGGACCGAAGTGAAAGATCCTGTTCGCATCAGTGTGCGATTGCCCTCAGGCGAACGGATCATGCGCCGATTCGTACCCGATGCCGACATGGAGGAACTTTATGCGGTGGTGGAGTGCTACGAAGTTCTACAGGATGAATCCCGACCCACCAAGGTCGCTAAGCCTGAAGGATATGTGCACCAGTACCGATTTCGACTGGTGTCGCCTATGCCGAGGGCCGTCTACGCAGTAGAAGACGGCGGGACGATCCGTGAGAAGATCGGCCGGGGTGGCAATCTGTTGGTGGAGCCAATTGAGGATGAAGAAGATGAGGACAGTGCAGAGGTGACTGGCGACTCCAATTGAGACGTCATGTTGTGACCGAGTTGGCATGCCTCCCTGGTGTATACATGTGAAATCCCGTGAAAGCCAATTTATGAAACCTTGATAGCTTATTGCCTGCAACATGACCGTAGCGGCGTCGACTATACGGCATAGTGTTACAGATCATGCCTGAGTCACATGATTGTACAACTTGGCCAAAAGGACCACTATGTTAGTCCTCAAGGCTAACATGCTAAGGACCGATGCATATAGTAGCGCACGATTGTAATATTCCGTTACATATATTCAGGCATAGCAATGAATGGTTAATTGCTATGCTAGCCAATTGTGAATATGATATGTCTATCACGTATACGTCTTTCCCCGTCACTGATGTGTTCCTGTGCATGAGATGTACGTGGCCTGCAGCTCGGATGAGCTGTTCCCGGAACCGAGGAGGTTAATTTGGGGCGCCACAGGATCTTAGATCAGATCTAATCAGTGATGAGATTGTCCGGATTCGTCCGTCCGATGGACGAATCCTGGCTCCTCTGGCTGGAAAAAAGGACAAAAGAAGCGGATGACGTTGAGTCAGCCTCGGATGTCCGCAGCCGGGCATCCGAGAATGCAAAGTAGCCAGAGCCGGGGCTTAGGTCAGCCACAAGTCAGGGATTCGGATCTGCCCTCTCCGGCCCACTTTTCTTCTGGAAGCGCCGCACACGTGTTCTCATGCATTATCCTAAGCACGCGAACAGTGCGCGAAAAGGTTACCCTAGCTATGGGATTTTATGTAGATTAATGTGGATTAGTATGAGCGGAACCTGGGTGCAACGATGCATAACTAAACTTTTCCTTGTTCATTAACGCTTTCGATCCTAGCTTAGGCATCCGTCAAGGATGACACACCATGACACACCATGACTCGCGGTCGCTACGGTAAACTAACGCACCCGGTTGGCTTGGGCCTGGATTTTTGTCTCCGCCGGCTGCTTATCGCCGAACGGATGCCCGGTCTTCCTTTCGGAGGCAAATCTTGGATCGCTCCCGGGACCAAATTTCCTTGACAACAGGCCTGATTCGCTTTTTCGTTTTCATTTCCCCGTCTTTATTTATCATTCCTATTCGCTCCCTAACTTTACTTCCCCGACGTTCTTTTCATTCTGTTACATTTCTTAATCCTAATTGCTTCCACTAATCACTCGCTTAAACCCCTTGATCAGGTATCAGTCGCGTCGCAACGCCACTTTCAACCACCCATTGATGGTGCTTTCCTAATACCCTCGACTACTCTGGGCTCCCCCGACTCCTGGCTCCCTCCACAGTTAATTGCCGGTATATATACATCCAATTGGCAACCACTTCCTGCGGAAGAAGCCCGCCATGTCGCTTCTGGGGACTTTTAACCAGAGCGTCACCACCGAGTCTGTCTCGGTGGCTCGCGAAATCCAACACCACGACCCCGCCAACAGTCTTAGCAGCGAGGACACTGCCCTCGAGCCGACCGAGGTCGGCAACAAAGAGGTGATTGAGGCCGAGGTCGGTCGCCTGGCCCGCCAGCTCACCCGCGAATCTACCCGCTATGCCGAAGGCGAGAACACTTTCCTCGAGTCCAAGGACGATTCGACCCTCAACCCGCACAGCCCGAACTTCAAGGCCCGCAATTGGATGAAGAACTTACTGGCCATTACCTCTCGCGACCCCGAACGCTACCCGGCGCGCCAGGCTGGTGTCTCCTTTCGCAACCTCAGCGTGCACGGATACGGTAGCCCCACGGATTACCAGAAGGACGTGTTCAACTCCGTCCTGGAGGTGGGTGCTCTGGCCCGCATGCTCACCGGCACGGGCAAGCAGAAGATTCAAATTTTACGCGAATTCGATGGCTTGGTCAAGAGCGGCGAGATGTTGGTCGTCCTGGGCCGTCCGGGTTCCGGATGCTCGACTTTCCTGAAGACCCTGGCTGGCGATATGAACGGTATTCACAAGGACGACAAAACATACATGAACTACCAAGGTATCTCCGATAAGGAGATGAAGAAACAGTTCCGTGGCGAGGCTATTTACACCGCCGAGACGGACGTTCACTTCCCCCAGCTTTCTGTGGGCGATACCCTCAAGTTCGCCGCTCTGGCTCGCGCTCCCCGCAACCGTCTGCCAGGCGTCTCTCGCGATCAGTACGCTGAGCACATGCGTGACGTTGTCATGGCTATGCTTGGTCTCTCACACACAATAAACACTCGTGTAGGAAACGATTTCGTCCGTGGTGTGTCTGGTGGTGAGCGCAAGCGTGTCTCCATTGCCGAGGCTACCCTGTGTCGCAGCCCTCTCCAGTGCTGGGATAACAGTACCCGTGGTCTGGATAGTGCCAACGCCCTAGAGTTTTGTAAGACTCTTAACTTGATGGCCAAGTACACTGGTACTACCTGTGCGGTTGCCATCTACCAGGCCTCCCAGAGCGCCTACGATGTGAGTTAACATCATTCACCTTTTCAATTATGCTGAACTGTTCTAACGATTCACTACCAGGTCTTTGACAAAGTTACTGTCTTATATGAGGGTCGCCAGATCTACTTCGGTCGTACCGGCGATGCTAGGGACTTCTTCACCAACATGGGCTTTGAATGCCCAGAGCGTCAGACCACCGCCGATTTCCTGACCTCCCTCACCAGCCCTGCGGAGCGTATTGTCAAGAAGGGGTTTGAGAACGTCACTCCCCGCACTCCCGACGAGTTTGCTGCCGCCTGGAAGAACAGCCAGGAATACAAGCGGCTGATACGTGAGATTGACGAGTATGAGCAGTCCTACCCTCTGGCTGGCGAGTCCCGCCAGAAGTTCATCGAGTCGCGCCGGGCTATGCAGTCCAAGCACCAGCGCGTTCGCTCTCCCTACACTCTGTCTGTCTGGCAGCAGGTCAACCTCTGCATGGTCCGTGGCTTCCAGCGTCTCAAGGGCGATGCTAGCTTGACCCTGTCCCAGTTGATCGGTAATTTCATAATGGCTCTCATCATCGGTTCCGTCTTCTTCAACCTACAGGAAACCACGGAGAGTTTCTATTCCCGTGGTGCCCTTCTTTTCTTCGCTGTCCTTCTTAACGCCTTCTCCAGTGCTCTGGAGATCCTGACTCTCTACGCGCAACGTCCTATTGTCGAAAAACAATCCCGCTATGCCATGTATCATCCGTTCGCTGAGGCTATTGCTTCAATGCTGTGTGACATGCCGTATAAGCTTCTCAACGCCGTGACCTTTAATGTGACCCTCTATTTCATGACCTACTTGCGCCGCACACCTAGCGCGTTCTTCACGTTCCTCGTGTTCTCTTTTTTCACAACCTTGACTATGTCTATGATCTTCCGCACCATCGCTGCTACCTCTCGCACCCTCTCTCAGGCTCTGGTGCCCGCCGCCGCTTTGATTCTCGGTCTGGTCATCTACACTGGCTTCACGATCCCGCCCCGCAACATGCTTGGCTGGTCTCGCTGGATGAACTACCTTGATCCTATTGCATACGGCTTCGAGTCGCTGATGGTAAATGAGTTCCATAACCGCTGGTTCGAGTGTCTTGACGAATCGATGATCCCCACTGGCTCCGGCTATGATAATGTCCCAGCGACAAGTAAGATCTGCTCGGCGAAGGGCGCTCGCGCTGGTTCTAGCCGTGTTTTTGGTAACGACTACCTCTCCGACAGCTTCCAGTACTCTAACAGCCACAAGTGGCGTAACCTGGGGATTCTGATCGGCTTCATGATCTTCTTCATGGCTACCTACCTGATCGCTACCGAGTACATTTCCGAGTCCAAGTCCAAGGGTGAGGTCCTGCTTTTCCGTCGTGGTCATGCCCCTAAGCGCTCCGAGGAAGACGACGTCGAGCAGAGCCACTCCGTCCCCACCAGCGAGAAGACTGATGAGTCCAGCGGCCAGGGGACTTCCGCCGCTATCCAGCGCCAGACCGCTGTCTTTCACTGGCAGGATGTCTGTTACGATGTCAAGATCAAGACCGAAGAGCGCCGTATTTTGGACCACGTCGATGGTTGGGTCAAGCCCGGTACATGCACGGCCCTGATGGGTGTTTCCGGTGCCGGTAAGACTACACTGCTTGATGTGCTCGCTGCTCGTGTCACTATGGGTGTTGTCTCTGGTGAGATGCTCGTTGATGGTCGCCCACGTGATCAGTCCTTCCAGCGCAAGACTGGTTATGTCCAACAGCAGGATCTCCACCTTTACACTACTACCGTTCGTGAAGCTCTACGTTTCAGTGCCATTCTCCGTCAGCCCGCCCATGTTTCCCGTCAGGAGAAGCTTGATTATGTTGAAGAGGTTATCAAGCTCTTGGGCATGGAGACATATGCCGATGCCATCGTTGGTGTTCCTGGTGAAGGTAAGCTACCAACATCTCTTGTATTATTTCCTCTTATTTCATCGGGCCTCAGCTAATCTCCTATAGGTCTCAACGTCGAGCAGCGTAAGCGCCTTACTATCGGTGTGGAGCTCGCTGCTAAGCCCCAGCTGCTTCTGTTTCTGGACGAACCTACTTCTGGTCTTGACTCTCAAACTTCCTGGTCTATTCTCGACCTTATCGACACCCTGACCAAGCACGGACAGGCCATCCTGTGTACCATTCATCAGCCCTCCGCTATGCTCTTCCAGCGCTTCGATCGTCTCCTTTTCCTCGCCAAGGGTGGCAAGACTGTCTACTTCGGTGAAATCGGCGAGAAGTCCTCGATTCTTTCTAGCTACTTCGAACGCAACGGAGCCCCTAAGCTTTCCGCCGAGGCTAACCCTGCCGAGTGGATGCTCGAGGTTATTGGTGCCGCACCTGGTTCTCGTAGTGATATTGACTGGCCTGCCGTCTGGCGGGAGAGCCCCGAGCGCAGAGGAGTGCAAGAACACCTGGCTGAATTGAAGGCGACTCTCTCCCAGAAGCCGGTCGAGGAGTCCAGCAACAACCCAGCAAACTTCAAGGAATTCGCCGCTCCCTTCACCGTCCAGCTCTACGAGTGTCTCGTTCGTATCTTTAGCCAGTACTGGCGCACTCCCATCTATATTTACTCTAAGACTGCACTTTGCATCATCTCGGCTCTTTACATCGGCTTCTCCTTCTTCCACGCAGAGAACTCCCAGCAGGGTCTCCAGAACCAGATGTACAGTATTTTCATGCTGATGACCATCTTCGGTAACCTGGTGCAGCAGATCATGCCCCATTTCGTCACCCAGCGCTCTTTATACGAAGTGCGCGAGCGTCCCTCGAAGACCTACTCCTGGCAAGCCTTCATGACGGCGAATATTGTCGTTGAACTCCCCTGGAACACTCTTATGGCCGTCTTTATCTTCGTCTGCTGGTACTACCCGATCGGTCTATACCGTAACGCCGAGGAGGCCGGTAACGTTCACGAGCGTGGTGCGCTGATGTTCCTGCTCATCTGGACCTTCATGCTCTTTACCTCCACCTTTGCGCACATGGTTATCGCCGGTATCGAGCTTGCTGAGACCGGTGGTAATCTGGCTAATTTGACCTTCTCGCTTTGCTTGATTTTCTGCGGTATCCTTGCCACACCATCCAAAATGCCCGGCTTCTGGATCTTCATGTACCGCGTCTCGCCCTTCACGTACCTGGTTTCTGCGATGCTGTCCACTGGTGTCTCCGGCGCCACGGCTACATGTGAGAGCATCGAGTACCTACACTTCGAGCCCCCGAGCGGCGAGACCTGCTACTCTTATATGGAGCCTTACATGAAGGTTGCCGGTGGATACTTACTGGACAACAACGCCACCTCCGACTGCTCTTTCTGTACCATCAAGGAGACGGACGTTTTCCTTGCCTCTGTGGTCAGCTACTACAAGGATGCCTGGCGCAACTTTGGCATCATGTGGGTGTATATCATTGCCAACATCTTCTTGGCCGTCTTCATCTACTGGTTCGTCCGTGTGCCCAAGGGCAGCCGCAACAAGACCTCCAAATAAATTCAGGTCTCTTGTCCTCTCCTTTCTATTTTGATGTGGTTCGATTTATCTTTGAAAAAACTCGGCCTTCCTTACATTGTATTACATATTCATAGATGTTATTCTCTCTTTCTTGCACATTTGTCTCTTATTTTGTGTTTTGCCATTGAGCACCCCCCTGCTAGCATGACTATTTGCGGTATGATGGCTGGCTTCTTGCATTGGCAGGTCTTTTGATAGATTTAGACCGCTATACTATACATCCATAAATGAATTATAGATTAATAAAAAGATTCATTCTTTCTCTTAGGAATCAAGAATAGGGGAAATGCGTGAACCAAGCAGCCGCGATAATGCCTCACCGATCGCGAGTCACTGTCTTGGCTTTCGGTTGCACATGGACAATAAGCATGGTTTTCGAGCGATTCCAATGGAAGCAGCCGTGAACTGGGCGGAGTCCTGTGCGTATACTGTGTAGGTAGTGGTAGAGTCTCTACTCTCAGTCAAAGGCATGTAAGACCTGCCAAACGGTCACCATTTCTTATCCACTGAATGATTTCATGCTTTTTATCACCTCAGGCAATCTTTTCCGACTGCTTGATTTCCTCTTCTGCGCTGTTGTGGGCTACTCCCTCTGCGCGAGAGCTGGGCCCCGCATTCATATCTATTCGGGTGGCTGGAGCTTCTTACAAGAAAAGTCACAGCTCACCATCACACCGAGCAGCTGCATGTTGGTCTTGGGGCTTTGCCTTGTGTCGATGCCGCGTCCACGTACGGTAGTGTCGTGGGACGCCATTGGATGGATTGTGTGGATGCAGCAGGATGCGGGTGGAGGTCCCTGCAGTTTCTGGGCTTACCGCCCCCGGACCGTAGCTTATCCAAATATGGCTCTCATCTTAGAACTTCCGTTTCAAAGAACGGATCCGAAACTAAAAATCCTTCGTCAGAGTTCAAGTCACGGAGACGTCATTTGACCTCGTTGTATCATCTACTAGACCTCTTCTGTCCAAGATCAGCTGACTGCCGACCGACCTTCATTGTCACTCTCGTGTAGACGGCCACACACCAACCATCTTCGCTCTCCCATCCAGTTATCCCGATTTTCGATCAACATTGCTTGACACTCATTCCCTCTCTCCCCCTCCTTCCTACCTGACTTCACCTACCACCTTCCTTCTCAGTGCAAATGGACATGCAAACCAAGATCAGGCGATACAAGGCTGTCAAGGAGCTCTATGAGCGAATTAACGGCTGCAAGTCCTGGTTTTTCTCCCCTGGTGACCTTCAAGGATTCGGAATTCAAGCTCTCCAAGTCGACGTGTCAGATGAAGGCTCCTTACAATTTGACCCATGCTTTTTTCGGCCTTACCCGGAAAGAGACCTCCCAAAATATCCACTCGACACTGTGCGGATGGCCACGGTGGGTATTGAGAAAATCCGCCCGCTGAACTTCCGCCCGGACTTTGATTCTATTCTGAGAGACTACGAAAATACACCTGGGATCGAAGATCCCTTAAGGTCCGCAAGGAGTAGATACGAGTCTATTATGGAGCTGACTGGGCCGGACGAGTGGGCCGTCCATGCCACGGAAACATACATGCATATTCAAAGCCAGCTGGACGCTTGTCGCATCGGCTTATCCCCGTACTCTTCTTTCGCCTACCTAAGCTCTCTTGGCAGATGGCGGTAAGTGTGTTGTGTTTTCCTTCTTGGCTTGGACATTTTAGGGGTATTGACAATCACTAGGACGAAACCCACCAGAGGTGATCCTCCGACAGTTGTGGGCGGCAATCGGGATATAAGTTGGCGGATTGAAAGCTGGCAGGAGGATGGTCACGAAAGCTTGCCTAACCCACATGCAATTGCGGCACTTACTTCAGATGTTCCCGCAAACCGCGAAGACGGAAACCTTACTCGACATGAAATAACAGCGATTCTAGCCATTATGGTCATTCGAACACGCCATAGGCCATTCGTGAGCCACCCTATTCATCCAGTCAGTAGCTGACACTTCATCGCAGCCAGAGCTTTTTTAACCCACATCTCTTTCATAGTTATTGTTGATTTCCTACACGGGACAAAAGCACGGAAGAATCATTCAAGCTTCTTTGCACGGGGACCAGTTACTTCTGCAATATTCTCAACTATGGAGCTTCGCGGACGACGAAACAGCACCTGTTGACCTGTTCATGCGTTACAGCATAAGCCAGCTAGTCGAAATTGCTCGAGTGGAGAAGCCAAATGTTGCTCTTGGATCTCTTGTGGGACCCATTGCATCCATGAACTTGGATTAGCTGTTCAATACCCATATGTACAGTGGCAACTTCCAAGGCTTGAATTCACCCAAAGCCTCTTGGATCGATGGCGCGGGTGCTCCATCGGCACGCTGATCCAGTTTCCCGCTCTACTCAGGTTTATCAAGTACCGCGAACAGTTGAAACCCAGTTATTTAATAGCTATTTCAAGAGTTCAGTTTGAGATACCCCAATGAACCTACTGTTGCTCATCCTATTCTCATACGGAGTATTAGCTCTGGGGTAAACGAATTGGCGTCAAGATACAATAGTATTTCATAAGTCTTCGACCACTTTTGCTCTACCGCCTAGTCTTCCGCTCTTAGAGGGAAGTGATTTCGGTTGACGAAGTGTTCGCTTTGTAATATCCTCATGCATGGATTAATTTTTCCCTCCCAATAACAGTGATTTGGGAGTAAGCGGGAGCGATGGGATAGTACTCCTACAACAACACGAGCGTGAAGAATATTTAGGTATGCTACAGAGCGCGGTTCTTCAAAATGCCCCGAAGAGCGGTCTCATGATGTGATAACAGGGCTACGTGCCCTACGGCCTCCTCTTGGCCAAACAGGCTGTAACAACAGCAAAGAAATTACATTAACACAGGGTGCCAGACACCCGCTCCTCCTCCTCCTTCACTTCCACCTTCACTTCCCGCTCCTCGCCATCTGGATCTGCGAGATCTACGCCGGTGGTCCCGGCCTCCTCGCTTCGCGCCTTGACAGGCCGCTCCAGCAATTGATGGGCCCCGGCCTGGGGCCCATCAGTCGCCAAAGGACCTGCCACAGGCGTGTCTGCGTCGGCATCGGAGGGCTCTATGTTAGAGTTAGCACATTGTCATCACGACTTAAAGGAATGCGCTAATCTTGTGATTTCAGATTGATTCCTCGGGCTTTTCCTTGGCTACGCAGGCCAGGAATATAAAGTGACAAGACTTACGTGTGGGGGGACCACCGGCGGTGGCGGCGGTGGTGGTGGTGAGGGTCGTGGCTAATTCGACCAGGTTAGCATGTCACTCCACCAATAATTCATGGAGCCAGGTTAAGAGAACTCACGCTTGCGCCCCATCCCCTTGCTATGGTGGCGCGCCTGCCGAGCCCTCCGCTTCTCGGTGAGCTTCCTCTTCTTCCGGGCTTTCGGCTATATCAATCATGTATATCAATACCTCGTTTCTCGACCATACCAACGCATTGCGTGGATACGGTTGGACTTACGGCGGCCGGGGGGGAAGGCGCGGGACGGGCCGCAGGGGCGGCAGGGGGTCCCGGGGGGGCAGCGGCGGATCGGGAGAGGACCGCCGCGGCGCTCGCGACGCCCACGGCGCGCAGGGCCACGCAGTTCTCCACGGCGTGGTCCCCCTTGCAGAACCAGCAGGGGGCCTATACGCGGTTAGCCATCCATACGAGATGAACAACGGGTTTCCAATCATGTCTTGTCTGCTCCTGGATCTGATGACAGGGCTCGTGACAAGATGAAAACGCTCGTCACCAGCGGAGAAAACGACTCACCATGACGGAGGACTCCTCCTCCTTCTTCACGCCAGGCATGGGGGACGGTGCGACACTTAACGATTTTTAAAGTAAAAATGAAAGAAACGCGGCGAACCAAGGGATGGTGGTTGGAACGGCCGAGAGTTGACGAGCGGAAGTTTCGATGGATGCAGCCAGTCGGTTTAACATCTCTCACTTCGAGGCACCAAGGCAACTCTCACGTCCAAGTGAGGCACGCTGCAACTTTCCATCGATTCCATAGCCCTCAGCTACGGCTGCCTACGTAGTAGTATCCTCTACGCCTCTTACGAGTTGTCTGAGAAGAGAGCAATTGAAGAGCAGCCATAAAATGAACCTACCTGGTTACGGAGCACCACTGTAAAGTCGGACGCCTCCCGCCTGTAGTATGAATATAGAGTGTCTATTATTCCCCTCCTCCGAGAAGGGGGTATTCGGCGTTGCTCGTGCCTCGAGGCTGTTATGTGGCTCTTGAGGGCTATTGAGCATGCTAACAACAGCAACGAGCCTGGGCCTCTTCGTGGCGCTATTGACTAGTAACCTCTAATTGGGGCGAAGCCAGCACAAGCTCACCAGAGGATCGCATACGGCAGGGTAACCCCGACCACCATCCCATTGCTTCCGCTTACCCCTGAATAACTGATAATGAAAGGGTAAAAGCCATCCATCCATAAGGATGTGGCAAAGCGAACGACTCGTCTACATGCAGTTAGAGTAGAGCATGGGATGTGGAGTTTATGGCTTTAGAATCCTTCTGAAACCTTACATTGGCAGATTCGAGTGCAATTGTGTAAAGTAAATGCGAATGTTGAATGCGAATGTTGAATGCGAATGTTGAATGCGAATGTTGAATGCGAAACTCAGGATTTCGAGATCGACTTAATGCTGATGTGACGATCGCTTTATCAATTGTTTTCGTAGCAGCGGCTAAGCTGTCGTCACAGGCTTCTTGCACTTGAGTCGTGAGTGGTCTTCCCAAATCACGTGCATGGCAGGACATGACCAATGCCCAAGCATTCACACGGACCACGTCGAAACAGAACAAGCGGGGCCAACAGAGGGCCTCATTTGGATTTTCTACAAAGGGCATCAGCTGGGCTGGCTGGGGCTCGTTTGGTACCGACGGAGTGGTACCATGCCGGAGGACCCAGTGTTTGAGATACTGTTATATGACTGTATCTTCACCGTGATTTATTAGATACTGTGTTTCAAAAACTATGCCACTTCAACTGTATTCTTGTGCGCTACTGTATCGAAGAAAAATACCGTATGCATAACTAAATACTGTGTGAATAGCAAAATACCGTATAGAACTAAAATACTATATTTAAAAATAATTACTATATTATATCGCTAAATACTATACAGTACGGTATTGGTGTTTTGGGGTGGCCAGGACGGCCGGGTGGCCAGGTCGGGCGGGAATTAAGGTGGTTGCTGGGAATGAGTCGGACCGTACGAAAGCCACCATATGCTACCCGGGATAAGTCGGGGCCTGAATGCTATTGGTAGGGATTGGTGCCAACACACGAAGGTGCCCGCTGCTCACAGCTCTAATTGGCACGATCTTTGCGGTGTGCCCCCTGCCCCACTCTTACTTTTCTCCCATCCAACCAGATTGTAGCGCTTCCGCAGCGCGCGTGTATCTTGGCAGGCCTGCTTTCTTTTCCTCCCTTGTTATTTCTTCCCTCACTCGAAGACTGTCAGCCCTCGCTGGAGGTCATCATTGTAAATATAAATAAGAAGGACCCTCCTTCAATCACCGAATGATCTACTGCTCTTTATCACCTCAAGCAATCCTCTCTATATGTTTACTTCTGCACTACTGTTGATTCCCTCTGCGCGATGGCTTGGCCCCTACATGACATCGACTCACGTGAGTGGAGCTTATTACATGAACACCCACAGTTCATGCCTTTCACCGACCATCAAGGCGACTACCATGAGCATATACCACCAGCTCCTTATTCCGTAAACTCGACTGTGCCGTCTACACACTCTGTCTACATTCCATGCAATCAAGCTCCCGGACTCGATCAACTCGCCGTCTCATCCTCGACGCCTTCTTGGCCTCGCCAAGAACAAGTATCTACTGGCTCGCGCAATGCTAATCGCTTTTCGATGATCAATGCCGGTCATAACCCTGCTTTTTCCGGACCTGGCATGTCTCCATTCTCAGGGGAGGCCTCTATCAGCAACATCGTTGAACGTACCATGGGCCAGAAGGACTATATTCACCATGGCAGGAAAGAAACCAAGTAAGCTGATCATGTATCGAAGAGCCTTTTCACCTCAGATGATTTCCTAATACAAATTCCTTTCCCACTATTAGCCCACTTCTAAGCTCCTTCATTTGTCGCTGGTCAGATTGTATCAACCCAGGTCCTTTTGCCACCAAAGCAACACTTATGCGCCATCTAGAGACGATGCATGTCGCTCCACGTTCCATTCCCTGCCCCAAAACCACCTGTGATAAGTTCTTTAATCGGAAGGATAATATGGAGGAGCACTTGCGCCGTGTTCATCGAGAATTTTTGTGAGACGGCCGAGTTGTTATCTTCGATTAGTCACGTCGATCTATGAAAGAGGTACATTGTGGAACTGGGTATTAGTTTGATGGAGTATGGCGAATCATGATGTTGATCAGATCACTTCTATCTACCATGAAGGGCGTTCGAGTCATATATCAGACAAGTATCCTTGTATTCGGCGAAATAGTATAAACATTACAAGGACCACATTGTGACGCCACAAAGACATGCTTAAAAAGGAAGTGACAGAAAAAGACAAAGCTAAGAACAAGGAGGGGAAGAAAAAAACATCGGTCTACCATGTAAAAGCCTCCTCTACAAAATCCACCACGGCGCCCTTCCCAATCCTCCCCCTCGCCGCAGCCCGCACCTCATCCGCAAACGCACCAGGCCCGCAAACAGAAACAAGCGTGGCCCCAACCCTCGTCGGCAGCAGTTCATCAAGGACAACGTCAGGCCGGCACCGACCACCGTGCATCTGCACCGTCGCAGACGGGGATACTAGATCTGCAGCGCGCCGCGGCTTCGAGACGAACACTTTGACAATCAGAATCTCACGCCGCTGCGGGAGCCGCAGGATCTGATCCATCCACTGGCTGACCCAGGCGAGGTGGTCGGTCGACCGGACCGACCAGATGAGGTAGACGCGGCGGGTAGCCGCGCGGGATGTCGCCGCGCGCTCGACGAGATCCCGCGTGTACATGAGGTGGTGGGTTATCCCCGCGCCGGCGGAGAAGAGCACGGTTGTGCCGTAGCTGGAGGGGTTGGCGGGGTGCGAGCCGTAGGGACCCTCGATAAAGCCTGGTGCGCGGAGGATTTGGTCCGGCTTGCTGCGAGCGAGATTGTATAGGCGGCGGGTCATGCCCTGGCGGGCGCTGACGATGAGGGAGACTTCGGTGGGGCGGTGGGTGGGCTCAAAGTAGTCGTCTAATGGGTGGGATTGCTTTTCTATGGCGGTCGGGCTGGGCAGCGAGTCAGTGGATGTGGTGTCGTGGTAGCGCGGCGAAGGGTTTGGAGTGCTGGCTTCGGCCCAGGCAATGGAGAACGGATGTGACATCCACCAGGAGACGCAGGGAATGTAGGCGAAGACGTGGCAGCCGGGTTCAATGCGAGCGCTTTTGGGCAGGTGGAAGGTTACGCGGCACGCTTCTCCTGGCAGGGCTTGAACGGTCATGTTGGTGCACCCGTGTTTGATAGATAGGTTGAGATGAGCGAGTCGGATAAGGCGGATGCTGCGCTCAACCAGCCAGATTACGGCGATAGAGGTGCCCCAGCTGCGCTGTGGTAAACTGTCCAGGTGGAGATGGAACCATACACCGAGGAAGGCGAGCAGTGCGGCGAGTTGGTGCAGGTGCAGGAACGTCTCGTAGAATGCATGGCGTATGGGCGAGGGAGAGTGCAGGCAAAGAAAGACCATAGAGACCGTACCTATCAGTCCCCAGATAAAGAACGGCGTTTCTCGCAAATGTGCGAGCATCTCCGTCAGGCCCTGCTCGTCAACTGCATTAACTGCCCAGGCTGCAGTGTGTACGACAGATTCAAGCACGATAATGCGTCCCAGCCACCGGTGGAGAAGGTTGTAGGTGTCAAAGCTGATGCGCAGAATCGAGATCAAAGGGTTATTGCGCGCCGCCAGCATGAACAATGGCACCATATTTAAGACTGCCAGCGTCCCCGAGCGCCCGCGCAACTCTGCGAGCAGCGCAGCTTTCTCATTGACTGCGTAGTCCAGATATAGACAGTACACCACCTGACTCGCAAAGTACAATGTGATCAAGATGGACTGGAAACGGGAGGGCAGCGTGCCCATGCTGATGGCCGAGGAGAGTTGGACCTCTCGGTTATGTCTTTTCCTCCCGAGTGGAGCATATAGGATATGCTTCTTCATGTTGGACCACCATGGCGATGCCTCCCGGCTCCAGAAGGTCTGGTGCCTCCGGTCTGCCGTATTGGAGGCAATGTGGCGGAGGTATGCATGGCTGATCTGCGCGATTCGGCCGCAGAACACACAGAAGGCGAGAATGATGACTGAAGAGTAGATAATGCGAGTGATGATTACATCGCGCGGGACGTCAACACCACCCAGTCCTCTCGAGTATTCGTAGATGTATGTCACATTGGGTCCGTAGCCTCGTGCCGCAAGTTGCGGGTAGGGCGCAGCCATTGAATTGTCCCTCAGGACAACTGTCTAGAGGGGAGGGACTATCCTCGGTGCAAATATCGTTGGGGGATTTGACCTCGATATGATCCCTCTGACGCTGTTGGTTCGTGAAAGAGTGGCTTTCAAGACACTGCTCGGAGCTCTAGCAAAATAGATAGTGGTCGGCAGGGAGAGTACTCGATCGGATTTTGAGTGCTGGGGATGCTGGGGAAAGCGTCGAGCGTGGTTGCGGGGGGTCGAAGGGAATGTGATGATCGAGCACACTGACGTTGAAGCAGAATGAAATGAAATCAGAGCCAGCAAGGCAGGATAATGTCTAGTGGTATCGAAAGCACGTGTCTGGGTGATGATCGTCGATAGTTTTGGCACAAAGGCATTCGTCATCAATGGAAAGCCATTGTTCACTTGTTCAATATGTCAATGAAAGTCTGAAAGTGAATCACCCTGACGCTGCTAGACGGGCCTGGAGGCGACAAGGCAGTCAACCGCGAGCGAAATGACGAGCTCTGAACAGATGGTCTGTGGAATTCAGGCAGATTCAGCAGATCGACAAGGCTCGGGTTTTCCGTTGCTGGCTAGGGTGCAAAGGCATCGTCCAGGGCTCCAGGAATGCACGCAAGGGAGGCCGATCCGCCGGGCTGGTTGGCAGGTTTTCTGCGAAGGCAGCGACTCCCGCTCGCTAGATGAAGCAAATGAAAAGAATGAGCAAAAGAGTATTAAGAGGGGGAAAGAGGCCAAAGCGAAAGAAAAGAGGGTCTATGTGTTCAAAGAAAGCTTGAAACGGTCTATTCTATAAGAGCAGATGCAAGGCAATCGAAAGGCCAGCCGATCGACAAAACAACGGAAGAAAACCCGGCAGATCCACGAACGAAAGTTCCCAAGAGCAGGAACTCCTGTCGTGGCAGGGGAAAGGGAACTGCTCTTAAGAAAAACGAGGGGAGTTGTGGCAGTGGACCACGTCCGACACAGCTCAGAGCACCGCGCAGCCACTGTCTGGTCAGGAGCTAGGGCTTCATGGCGGTTGGCAGGCGGGCCTGGTTCGTTGCAGCCTATCGGGAGTACTCCTCTGACGACCAGGAGGCACCGCCGTTTCCGAGGGATGCAGGCACCGCAGAAACCGGCATTTTGATTGGCCGGTGCGCAGGAGGTCAAGGCGGTTGGGGATCCTTGCAGATCTTGCGACCATCGTGACGCCCTATTGAGCAGAGCGCTGGCAATCCAGGGTGCGCGCACCGCTGCAGACTAAAGGGCACTCGTTTGAGAAGCAAATCAAATGAAGGATTGGTTCTTCTTGGCGCCCTCTCATGAAGCTCAGGCCAGGTGTGCCTCAAACAGTGGCCTTGTGGGTTGTTTCATAGCTGTCATTTGGAAATGACCGACAGGGTATTGTTTCCCCCCTGTGGCGCATGGGCCGATAACAGGAATCTATTTCCCAGTGAATTCATAGTTCTATGGATCCATTATCCTCATTGAAACACCGAGGTTGGCACAGCATTTCACACAATAGAGAAACTTGGGTTTCAGAGGGACAACAAAGGGCCCGCAAAGGTGGAAGACTGACAGAGCCAAGTCAGGTGTGGGGCCATCACCTCAGGCATAAAGTGGAGCCTAATTCTCCAGGCACCAGGCCGGTTTCACCAACTGTCAATCGCAGTCGGAAGTCCGGAGAAGCTAGTAATCTAGTAAGTCCATGGAGGTTTCATCCTTCCATGGCATGGATTACCCACCAATCACCCAGCTACAGTAAGCGAGCCTCTCTATATTGAAAACGGGAGACATCAGTCAACATGTCAAACGTATCATGACTCGTGCACCATGCATGATGCCTCAACGGATGCCAGACCGTGGGAACTCAAATGCCAGATACAATACTCTAGACGGAGTCCGATAACCTATCCAGCTGACCAGATAGGTCCAATGCAGTCATCGCTATATACAAAACAGCCCCAATAGTGCCAAACAGATCCAGGTGTTTCCAAGGGCTAATCATCACCACGGGTCACCACCCCAATTTTTTCACGTCCTGACCTCTACCGACCCATCCACCCACCATCCACCGTGATGATTTCACCAGACACATAGCTACTGGCGCCACTAGCCAAGAAGACGACCACACCCTTGAAGTCCTCTGGCTGGCCCCACCGACCGGCGGGGATTCGTGCCATGATACCGGCATTCCGGTTCGCATCATTGATCAAAGCGGTGTTCATGTCCGTGGCAATGTACCCAGGGGCAATGGCGTTCACATTAATTCCCTTGGCCACCCACTCGTTGGACAGCGCCTTGGTCAGCTGGCCCACACCGCCCTTGGACGCGGCATATGCAGGCACCGTGATGCCACCCTGGAAGGTGAGCAGCGACGCGACGTTGATGATGGAGCCCCGCCGGCCGGAGGGGAACTCGGAGGCGTCGCGAGCTAGCAAGTAGGCGCCGAACTCGCGGCACAGGATGAAGACTTGGGAGAGGTTGACTTCGATGACCTGTTCATGAATTTTCGGGTCAGCGATCTGCGCCGTTTCAAATCGAAGATAGCTTGCCCGGAAGCTTGCCGGGGGAAAAGAAAAAAGACTCACCTCATCCCAGTCCTCATCGGGGAACTGCTCGCTCGGGTGCCGCCGTTGAATGCCCGCACAGTTCAGCAGGATGTCGGGCTTGAACCCTTGGCTCGTGACCGCAGGAATGATCTGCTTCACGGCCTTGCGGTCTGACAGCTCGGCGACATGAATATGAGCCTTACGACCCAAGCGGACAATCTCGTCTCTGGTCGCGGTGTTGGACTCATCGCGTTGGACCAGAATGATATCGGCGCCGGCCTCGGCCAGAGCAAAGGCCATGGCTTGGCCGATGCCGCGCGTGCCACCGGTAACCACGGCGGTGCGGCCGCTCAGGGAAAAGAGAGATACTACGGAGGCTGCCATTGTGTGTGTCTAGAGGCCTGTCTAGAGTCCGTCGAACAAGAGAAAAAGAACAATGGAGGAGAAGGCGCAAATATTGTTTGAATGACCAGGCGGGCTGGTTTCCCCACGCGCGGGGGTCTTCGTTTGGAGCCGAAGCGGCAGTATCCATTGCCGACATCAATCGCCGTCGGCTATTGAAATTGGCTCCAAACTTCCTGCCGTCCCGCTGGGCGTGTTGTGTTTCCTTATACATGAATCAATTTTACCGGCTGTTCTGAGCATACTAGAAAAGACTAATACAGGCATAATTGTAGAATTCCGTAACTCGATAATATTTTTGGGGTGAAAGTTCCGCCGGGGGAGGCGTCCAGCTTGGGCCTTACCCCACACGCGGCAGGAGCTTCAACTTCAACCTCCCGATGAGTAATGACCAGGTTTTTGCGTAGCTCGATTTCCTGTGGGTCCCAAGCGCCGGCCTTTGTCTCTTTATCATCCGGTGGACAATAATGTCTTTGTGAATTCACCCTTAGGCCCGGCAAGAGATGGAGTCCCCGGAGCAAGTCGCCTCCCAGCCTCGGCGGTCCGACGCTATCGTCAAGCGCGTTTCCCGGGCCTGTCTGCACTGCAGGCAGCGTAAGTCACGCTGTGACCTGTAAGTTCTCCCCTCCTTATCTCGCGTTGTTGAGAGCCGGGACTTCCCCGGATCTGCAAGCGGGTATTTGTCCTGTTTCATGCTAATCCCGCGCAACAGCGACAGCAATGGGAACCCTGGCAAGCCGCCGTGCCAGCGGTGCGTTCGCGAGCATCGCGAGTGTGTCCTTGGTGGCTCGAATCGCGGTGGGCGCCGCATTCGCAAGAACAAGATTAAACACTTTACTCCGGCCACAAATCCGTCGCCGACCAAGGACTCTGAAGAGATTACCAGTCCTGCGAACTCGGAAGCGTGCCGCCGCGCACCATCTGCGTCCTACCCCGGACCAGTCGTCTTTCTCCCGCCTAATCCGCAGGGCGATGCGGCTTCTTCGGTGGCCGTCGAGGATAATGACGCTTCAATTGACTCGGTGCCTCGAAACCCATCTGATGCCTGGCAATGTCTGACCGGCATCGCCACCCACGGTGCGGACGCCGCACCGAATGAACGTACCAGCAACCATGTACGGTCAGATTCGATGTCGACCTATAACGGGTTGCACGATGGCGTTATTGCTGACTTCAACGCACCGAGTACCGGCATCAGAGCCTATCGCCTCGTTCAGTCCCGATCCCTGGACCCGGGAACAGTGTGGCAGCTGGTCACCCGCTATGCCGACAACTTCCACCCATATCTCCCTCTCGTGCCGCGAAAATACTTCGAGCGTTCGGCTCTAGATGACTTTGCCAACAACGAGAAGCACCTTCTCACTGCAGTTCTTACCATCGCGTCAAAGGACCTTGTCGACCGGCCCGAGATCCATGAGTATTGCTCGAAATACATGCATGAGCTGATCTCAGGAATCGCGGCCGGCGCAGAATGTGACGTGGAAGCCGTCGAAGCTCTCCTCCTGCTTGCAGAATGGGAGCCGCAGGGTCTTCGCCCCCGTATCGAGCGTGTTGGCCGTGGGGAGGAAGATCGCGCGGCGTGGATGCACGTCGGTCTTGCGCTGCGCTCGGGATACTTTATCGGGCTGGATCGCACGTCCTTTCGAGGAGACCCGTATGGCGACCAAGACAGTGAGACTCGTCGGCGATTAGCTTGGGCCAGCTGCTATGTCTCTGACCGACTGATCTCGGTGCGCATTGGACGCGCGTTCTGGTCGCGCGGGCCGGGCCCGATGACTGGTCTATCCAGTCAAGATTTCCCGTCGCTGCAGCCGGTAAAGGAGGGTGACGAGGATTACTCGAAAATCTTTCAGGCAATACTCGATCTCACGCAGTTGTATGGAAATGTGCATGAAGTTTTGTATTCTGGCATGCGCACTAGTAACCAAATGATGCTGATGGGCGACTACGTTAAATACGTTGACGATTTCCGTCTTGCCATCTTGCGATGGAAATCGTTGTGGGGGCCTTTGGACTGTAAGTTCCTCTGTGTTTATTGCATCAAATTGGATCTATCTGGGTCTTCTAAGTTCAGATCTGACGCAAAGCAGGCTCGCCGCCTATGCGGGTAATGTTGCAATTATCATACGAGTACTTGCGTCTTTATACGACCGCATTCGCGTTCCAGGCCGCCATTTCTCAGTCCTTGGTGAAGCCGAAGACGGATGAAAGTACGCGTCGGGAGCAACTTAGATCAACATTCAAGAATGTGGCTTCGATGCAGGATTCACGCTTCATCTATGAATCTGTCGACGCAGCCAAGGCCTACTTGACGATTCTGGTGGACTCGGTGGACCCAGAGAGGCATTTGCATTTTATGCCTCTTCGTTTCTATTTGTAAGTCTAGCATCAGTTCACGTTGTGTGCGGATGTACTCACGGCGACCAGATACGGCATCTACTCTGCCGTCTTTCTCTACAAGGTTAGCCATAGTTTTCAACCCACGGAGCTTATTGGGACCGATTTCGCTAACTTCCATCAGGCTCGCTCTTTCGGAATGATGGTTCCTTCCGAAGAAGCCAAAGTCCAGGGCCTCGTGGCTCGTGCCACTGAAGTTCTCAAGCAAGCGAGTGCCGGCCCCGACGATATTGGATCGCGCTACTCTCGCCTGCTGGAACTTCTCTGGCGAACGAAGCCATCCATGACGAGCGCAAATACATCCGCAGAGACCCCGCACAGTGACTTCGCAATGCAAACAACATTGCCCAATCCGGTCACCGATCACACCTACATGGACTTCAGTCCCGCCAACGACTTTTCTTGGCTGGATCTGGAAGCCGTGGGAGACTATGTCTCCGGGGACCAAATTTCGGGTGGCTTGCTGGGTCTTGATGCGTTCCAAAATGGGTCTGATCCATGCCAGCCCGGCCAGGACAGGTCGCAGGCCTGGCAACCATCTGCCTGGCTGGGCGATATGAGCAGCAGCCTTCTGTTTTAGATATGTTGGCGGCGGTTATGCTCAAAGGCCGCCTGTGCGGCAACTGATGTGGGGCCGTGGGGGCACAGCTCGGAGATAACCCCGACGTCTCACGTGGGGTAGCCGAAACCATGTTGGTCTTCTTGGAGACACAAGACATTCTTTCATGGAATGTTAGGAAGATCTCTCGGTTGTAGCCACCCCTTCTCCTTAGCCTCTTTTCCCAAATGTCGCTCAACGATATCCAGGGCCGCCTGGCCCTCATCACTGGCGCCTCGGGAGGGTGAGTTTTTACTCGGGGGCAGCAGCGAGACGAGCAAGGAGCTACCTTCTAACAGATAGTTCTTATCTTAGAATTGGAGCAGCTTGCGCAAACCAGCTCGCACAACATGGCGTCCACCTCGCCCTAACCTACTCAACCAACCTTGATGCCATGAACGCCATCGTTAAAGACCTGCAGTCCAAATACGCAGAGAACAAGATCCGCATCTCCATCCACCAAGTCGACGTTGGATCCGCCGATCAGATCGACGCCATGTTCCAGCAAATTGACAAGGAGCACGGCCAGCGGCCGGATATCCTGATCTCGAACGCTGGGTACGGCAAGCGCGTGCCGAACGTGTGGGACATCACCCTCGAGGAATTTGACTATACACTCAACATCAACCTCCGCGCCTCCTTCATCCTTGTGAAGGGCGTGGTGGAGCACATGAAAGCCCAGCGGTGGGGACGTATCGTGTTTATGTCCTCGATTGCCGCGTACGGAGGAGGGATCAACGGATGCCGTGAGTCTTCCCGGACATTGCTCTATTCACATTTTCTTGGCTCTTACAATCTCCCTTGCAGACTACGCCGCATCAAAGGGTGGCCTCTCCGGCATGATGAAGAACCTCTCCACTCGCCTTGCCGAGTTCAACATTAGCGTCAACGACGTTGCCCCAGCCATGATTGGCGACACGGGCATGATCACCAGCGCCGCCGCGATCCCGGAAGTTGCGGCTACTATCCCGCTGCAGCGGCTAGGTACGCCCGAAGAGACGGCTAATGTTGTTACCATGCTGTGCAAGACAGGGTACATGACAGGGCAGAGCCTCCTGCTGGCTGGGGGGCTGAAATAAATGTTTATAGCCTGATATGAAGCAATGTGATTGTCTACATCTTCCATGATCTATCATATTTAATTTGTTCATAGTGCACATGTACGGTAAATGTGATAATACATTGGACAAAAGAGACCGTAATTCATTCTAGGTCACGCATCTAAGCCCCGATTTTGCGTCATCAACCACACATGCTATTCAGCGTCTCCAAACTCCTCTCACAATGGGTATTTTTGAAAAGTCATCATCACGTCAACATCATCACAAAACGTCCGCTCAACCCCGTACATCCGCAACACCTTCATAGCCGACACAGAGACTATTGCTTGTTCTCAATAATGACCTTGACAACAGGCTTACCGCTCTCATCAACGCCCTTACCGGCGAGGGTGAACGCACGCTCGCCCTCCTCAAGCGACAGTCTGTGCGTCACGACCTTCTCCTCCGTGCTCTTCATCTTGCCGCTACCCAGCAAGGCAATGGCAGCTGGGTAGGCATGCCCGTCGTACCGGAAGACGCCGATGATATCAACTTCGCGCAGGGCTGCAGCACCAACGGGCAGAGTCTGAATAGGGTTCCCCATGCCAATCTGCACGAGTACTCCGCCGGGCGTGGAGGCGTAGATACCCGCCTGCACGCAAGCTGGGACACCTGTGCAGTCGTAGACACGGCTGAAGCCAGACACGGCCGGGAGACCTTCCGTCTGCGCAGCCGCGGTCAGGGTGGCGGCGACGCTTTGCGCATTCTTGAGCGCCCAGGCGGTCTGGTCTGCATGCGGGGCGTCCTTGGGTGGAGGCGGGTTCGCAGGGTCGCCGCGGGGGATCAGGGCCGTCTTGAGACCGAGGCCGAGCGAGGCGGCGATCTCCAGGCGCGAGGCGTCGATGTCCGCCACTACGATCGCGTCGAAGTTCTCTGATACCGCGAGTGCAGATGCAATCAGTAGGCCGATGGCACCGGCGCCGAAGACCAGCGCCGCGGTGCCTTCACCAGCGGCGTGCGCCAGCGCAACCTCCTCCTTTGTGGGCGGGTGCGAGCGGCGGATCGCATGCAGGCACACGGCCAACGGCTCGACCAGCGCGCCACCCACGTCGGACACATTGTCCGGCAGGGCATGGCACATGGCGGCGGGGTGGTTGGTGCGCTCCATCAACGTGCCATCGAGGTGAGGGAAGACCTTGGCGCTGCTGCGGAATTGCATCTGCCGGCAGATGTTGTAGCGGCCCTGATTGCAGAGGGCGCACTTACGGCAGGGCAGGCCAACCTCCAGGGCGACACGGTCGCCGACTTTGAAGGTTGCCACTTCCGGGCCGATGGCTGTGACGGTGCCGGCGGACTCGTGGCCCAGACACATGGGCTCGCGCACGACGAAGTCACCATTGCGGCCGTGTGAGTAGTAGTGCAGGTCCGAGCCGCAGAGCCCAGTGGCTGTGATGGCGACTTGGATATCTGCGCCGGTTGGGGCGGGGACGCTTCGTTTCTCCTGTTCGTGAATGTCAGTTGCGCTGTTATTTTGTTCGGAAACCGCGGGGATCATCAGCCCTACCAGACGGAGATCCTTTGCGCCGTGCAAGACGAGCGCGGTTGCAGATGTTTCTGTAGACATAGTGGGCGGGGTGGGCGTAAAGGTAGGAATGGAAAAACAGACCACGCTGGGCTGAAGCGTGCAATTGCAATTGTTAAGAGGCGGACATCAATTGCCCGAGTGCAGCGGCGTCTGACTCGGTCCGTCATCGCATTCCCCTCATCTCCCCCCTTCCAGCGTGGGGCAGCTGTGAGACGCTGCAAATGGTCCCGAGACCCACGGAGATGCTCCGCCGTGCTGCTCGCCGGCGTTTGCCCCCAAACAGGCAGTCTTCAATAGCCGCCCGTGGGGGGTTGCGTGGGAGGACCGGCGATGGAGGAGCTCCTCCAAATTTTGTGGTTTTTTTTCTCTCGTCTTTGACAGCGCCAGAGGGATCGCTTGTAATATTGAATCGCGCATTGGTCGCATGCATACAAAATAGATCTGGACTGAATCACAAATGGTACAATAATACTGCTCGAGGAAAACACAGCCGAAAGACTCGTTCCACGCGCCGTTCTCCACTCCCCGAGGCCATCTCCGGTACAATCCACCGGATCGCACGGGGGTTAATCTCTGGAGTCGCGGGGGTCCACCTGGATTTGGGCTGTCGCGCGCAATCATAACTTTTTCTTCTTCTTCACTCTCTTCTCCAACTCCTACCTGCATTTCTATCTCCTCCATTCCTCCTCTCCACCTCGCCTTGACCAGCTATATACTTCTCCACGTCAGATCGAACAGTAGGCGGCACATTCACCCCGCCGACGTCATTTGCGAAGCTGATCGCAGTCGCAGAACCCTAAACATGCCTACTCAAGCTGCGCTCCTCATTGGAGGCATCACCCATGCGCGCAAAGAGTGGGAGGCTCTGTCGTCCATTCTGACTCTGAAGGTATGCGCCACCCCTTATTGCTTGGAACGAGACAAGTGTAGTAATACGCGAGCAGGAATTCCCCAGCGGCAACCGTGAGGAATTTATCCAGAACTGCAAGACGGGGCAGTACGACGATGTGGTTGCGATCTACCGGTCCAATACTTCTAATAAGGTGACTGATCTCGCTGGAAACCGGCCACTGGAGCGCGCCGCTAATGGGGGCTCGAATAGTTCACCGGCAACTTTGACGCCGAATTGCTCTCAGTTTTGCCAAAGTCTGTTCGCTATATCTGCCACAATGGTGCTGGATATGATAACCTAGATGTTGCCACCTGCTCGCAAAGGAATATTGCCGTCTCGAGCACCCCGGTTGCCGTAAACAATGCGACCGCCGATGTGGGCATTTTCCTTATGATCGGCGCACTGCGTCAGGCTTATGTACCTCTTTCTGCCATTCGTGCTGGTGAGTCGTATCCATACGAATAAACTGTAGTCTATCATTGGGCCCGCGATATGCTAACCGTTGAATGGGTAACAGGCACCTGGCAAGGAGAGACTACGACGGGCCATGATCCCCAGGGTAAAGTGCTCGGTATCCTGGGCATGGGTGGCATTGGACGGGTACGATCTTCTACACTTCTCAAGATGGCATTGACTGACACAGTCACTAGGAAATGGCTACTCGGGCCAAAGCCTTCGGAATGAAGATCCAATACCACAATCGCTCGCGACTCCCCGCAGAGCTGGAAGGAGGCGCGACCTATGTCTCCTTCGACGAGCTCCTCGCCTACTCTGATGTCCTTAGTTTGAACCTGGCCCTTAATGCCTCGACACGGCACATCATCAGTGCCACCGAGTTCGGCAAGATGAAGGATGGTGTGGTAATTGTCAACACTGCACGGGGTGCACTGATCGATGAGAGCGCGCTGGTTGAAGCTCTTGATTCCGGCAAGGTAATGAAATCCCAAACTCGGTGACTGGAAGACATCATCCTGACTCTGTTGTTCATAGGTTCGCTCTGCCGGTCTGGATGTGTACGAGGAGGAGCCTAAGGTCCACCCCGGCCTCTTGAGTAACCCGCGGGTTATGTTGCTCCCGCACATTGGCACAAACACCTACGAGACGCAGAAAGAGATGGAGATTCTGGTGTTGGATAACTTGAAGTTGGCGGTGGAGAAGGGAGAGTTGATTACACAGGTGCCGGAGCAGAAGCGATAGATTGTGACTTTTAGACCAAGATTTAGATTCCTGAGATTTTGCAATTGCTGGAAATAGATTGGAATTCCCGACCGATGTAATCCCTCATTATGAAGTCTTGTATTTACCTAAGACTTGCTCCGAGTGGATAGACCCAAGGTTGGCCTATTTAACCCAAAGTTAATCGAACCCCCAATTTTCCGGTGCCGGGTGCAGTAAGATTTTGGTTCAGGTTCGCACGGGTGGTTGGACAATAAGTATTGATTCGTCGCCGACATCAGATGTGACACTCCCAATCTATGATATCGAGATACGGTGATTTCTGACTGCTATATTTATACTACCTAGTAGGGACAACGGTTCCGATATGGAGGGCTAGATATCGGACCGTGACCCTGCCAGACTAGTTTCACGGTCTAATAATGCGTCGCCTAGATATGATGTTCAGATCTTCCACTGGCGGGGTAAGGTGTAAATCCTGAATCCTTTGACCAAGCAGAGTGGGTCGGTCCATCGTGGAAGAAATGATGGTTGATTTTCGCCTGAGGCTGCAGCACCCGGCCCGAAAGACGTGACTAAGCATCATACATAAATTCTCCCCAAAGTGGCTAGCGTTAGGGCTCGCTTAGGGCCCGTGTGCCAAGAGCGAAAAAAACCGCACCAAACCTGGTGTTCTAGCGTTAGCCGGTCGACGACGAAAAGCGACAACATCCATCCGCCTCCGAGGACCATCACCTTCCCCTCGCCAACTCCTTCAAGATGGTGAGTGCAATCCATACCCATCGCCAGAGACCCCGAAAGCAACCTCTACGATCCCATTCCATGCCCAATTTCCTCCGAGCGAAGGGACTGGAACGCCATACTGGTCCCGTTACTTTTCGCCGCGCCTTGAAGATCATCACCCACAATATCGACACAACATGATTGCTGACGACTGTTTCTTCTTTCGCTCTACAGGTCCGTTACGCCGCCCAGGAGATCCCGAACGCGAAGAGCGCCCGCGCGCGGGGCTCTTACCTGCGTGTCAGCTTCAAGAACACCCGTGAGACTGCCCAGGCCATCAACGGCATGAAGCTGCAGAAGGCTCTCACCTACCTCGAGAACGTCACCAAGAAGTCCATGGCCGTTCCCATGCGCCGCTACGCCGGTTCCACTGGCCGCACCGCCCAGGGTGAGTCGCCCTCGAAATTTTTGAGTTTTTTACATGCTGGATGCAACTTGGGGGCAACGGTGTCAAGGGGGAATCACGGGAGGAAGAGAAGACAACGGGACTGATTCTACGACAATCTGTGGACGAGGAGAAGGGCGTCAGTGTGACTGTTTCTGCGGATGTTGTCGATGCTGGGATAGACACCGTTGCTGCTGGAAAATTTCAGTGTGGGGTTTTTGACACTGTGGAATGATCGACTAACCATCCCCGTCTACAGGCAAGCAGTTCGGTGTCTCCAAGGCCCGCTGGCCCGTCAAGTCCGCCGAGTTCCTGATCGACCTCCTCAAGAACGCTGAGGCCAACGCCGACACCAAGGGTCTCGACACCAGCGCCCTGGTTGTCAAGCGCATCCAGGTTAACCAGGCTCCCAAGGGCCGCCGCCGCACTTACCGTGCTCACGGTCGTGTACGTTTTGCTCAACACTTGGGATTGGCTATTGAACCAAACTGATTTTTTCATTTCAGATTAACCCCTACATGACCAACCCCTGCCACATCGAGCTCATCCTCACCGAGGCTAATGAGGAGGTTGCCAAGGCCTCCGAGGACTCCCTGGTCCACCTGTCTTCCCGCCAGCGCGGTGCTCAGCTCCGCCGTGCCCTCACTGAGGCATAAACGGATCGCCTGATGTTAAGTGAAGGGGAGGAGGGGACGACTGGTGAAAAAGGATTTGCGGTGGACGGGTTTGACCGGAGTTCTTGCGCATTTGTATGTTGGAACGGAAATGATACCGGATCATACAAGATTTTTCTAAGGTCATGGCACCTACACTCGGAGGAGAACCAAATAAAAAGTTTAAACAGCGCGGCTCCGGAACGATGGACATAGGAATTCTGTACTGCCCGGTCCGATCATGATTACAAATGTTGGTTCTTCTTCTGTGACTTGGCTCTGTTCTACCGGCGGCTCCGGTTGTCTGGTGTAGGGTAGTGCTTTCTGATGACCTAGAATATCTTGTCTGGTTGTCCAATGATCAGGCCGGATGCTCTGCGAGGCTCTCACCAAGATCGTCCACTCGGTCCTAAAATCATATCACGTTTCATGAATTACAAACATGCTCTTTCTGGCTTGTAGTGTATCTAGAGAGACTTTGGACCGTGCCTTGCATGCTAATGTGTGCTGGATCTTGGTCTCAACAAAAAATGATATGCATATGCATCCTTAGCTTCAAGATATATATCCAAGCTTCGACTGCCTCGCGGTTATATAATCTCGGTCAATGCTAGATCATTTCACGCCCACACTTTGTCTTATTTCTCGAGTCCTATTGCCCGTTAAACGCCCCAAACTTAGCACTAGATCAGCCATGAGCCTGATCAGTAGATTGGTATCACCATTGTGCTCCGGCTGCCTTGCTCGTTCGTTTTTATTTTGAACTTGATTGTCAAGGGCAGAGTGAGGTACTATCCCCGCGTACGTTGATCACAACCTTACAGAAGCCACTTCATACCACTACCTGTATCTTTCTTCATTCTCGTGTATACTTGGGTACAGCCTACTCCCCCGAGCCCAACGTCATCACGTTTTCTTCTCTCACGATACGAAACTACCAAGCAACATCCACACACTCTATCCAGCAGCTGGTACTGCCACTCAACCATCACGACCAATCACCAACAAGAACCTATGTCCATCAATTCCAGTCAATTCAGAAGCAAATAAAGCTCGGCCGGAGATTGATAGACCCCCGAAAGGTTGATCTCTCTCACTTATCGGGTTTATACTTAGCATGCTGACTGGGAAGAACCAGATCCTGATGAACTCCTTTGTCAATGGACCACAATATGTGACGCGCTGTCGACCGTGATAGGGATGATCATAAATGAGCATCAAAGATGCCAAGCTTGACTGTCAGGCAGTCCATAATGGGGGTGGGGTGGCTGCAGTGCGGGGCAGAGCCGGGAGTGATCGGTGCTTTACATATGGCTTGGAGTCGGGATGCCGCTTTCTCTTTGAATACCTACACCCGGCGTGCGTATCTACGAACCTTCCCCTCACGCACCATGGCTCGACTATCCGACTACCGCCTCCTCTGCTTCGATGTCTACGGCACTCTGATCGACTGGGAAGGCGGCATCCTCGCTGCGCTCCAACCACTCCTCTCGACCAGCAATGCTGAGTTCTCGCGCGAGCATCTGCTGACGGTCTACCAGGAGCTGGAAAGCGCGCAGCAGCGAATCACACCCGACATGCCCTACTCGCAACTCCTCGCCACGGTGCATCCCCTCTTGGCCGCACGCCTAGGCCTGCCCGCGCCTAGCGACGCAGACAGTCAGCGTTTCGGCGCGTCAGTGGGCACCTGGCCTGCCTTCTCGGACACGGTGGACGCACTGCAACGCCTCGCCAAGCACTACAAGCTCGTGGTGCTATCCAATGTCGACCGGGCCTCGTTCGCGCAGTCCAACGCGGGGAGCCTGCAAGGGTTCCCCTTCGACCGGATCATCACGGCGCAGGACGTCGGCTCGTACAAGCCGGACGCGCGTAACTTCGTGTACATGAAGCAGGCCGTGCAGGCAGAGTTTGGCGTGCGCCCGGAGCAGATTCTGCAAACGGCGCAGTCGCAATTCCATGATCATCGGCCAGCGCAGCAGGCGGGGATCCGATCGGTGTGGATTGAGAGGCCTGGAGCCACGATGGGGAACACGGCCGGGCCCATCTTTGATTGGCGATTTGCGACGCTGGGCGAGATGGCGGATGCCTTGGAGCGGGGGGAGTAAGCACCCTACCGCTGCTGCCTGTTCGGCATTCTCTGGATGGCTGGAGAGGTGGGATGCGGACCGATTCGCCAAGCTGCTCGAGAGGGTGCGAAGATGGAGGCGGAGGAGGCTTGGCGTCAACAGGCCTCAGCCACAGTCGCCGGACGTGCCGCTTGCCCGCATTCCAAATGTCATTCCACTTTCCACTCTGGAAACTGATCTCCATGACGTGCTCGATATAGATACACTAGGTATGAATAGAAACATCAGCACCAGATCGGTGAACTACTGCCCCAGAACGGAGACTGGTCCTCGCGACTCTGCTGGGGGATGGTAGATGCAGATGCGGTGGGGGAACCAAAGAGCCTCCGAGGAAACTCGTCTCCGTACGCTCGAAAGTAGTTCCGAGTGGGCTAGTTCGGACCCAGCTAGTGGGCAAGGACTTAGTACTGGAACAGGCGCCGACCTCCCTCCGAACCCTGGGCGTGCGCTAACTCGCTGACTCGCACCGGAAAAAGCAACAGAGCAACACATTCATGCTCGCGATGGACGTAGGCCGAGCCGCACGAGCCGTGGGGATTCGTGGAGTCTACGTAGGCATTGCCAAGGAGAGTCATCATCCTTTGCCACACTCCAACAAAGTAGGAAGTCATCGCTGGGAGTGCAGAACAGATGAGAGGGACATCTCGGTCGCACTTGCTCACTAGCTCACGACGGCATGGACCTTGCGCTTAGGCGAGACTACTTGGAGTCGTGTACGCTAGCTAGTCTTATTTGTGACTCTTTTCCTGGCCCCCATCACGTACTCAAGGACTTTGCTCCTTTTCTGTTGGGTCTCTTCGGTTCCCTCCTCCACCCCTCCTCGCCTTTCGACACACCTCTCAACGCCCAGCATGAAGGGCTTCCTGCGCTCCTTTGGCAGCCGCCGCTCCAGTTCGCTCTCCCCAAATCCAAACCCCCAATCCCCGCAACCACCGCTAATCCACCTCAGGCCCCAGCGACGGTGACGGCGAGCAGGACCATGCCGATGACTCGCCCGAGGCCATTCTGCTGCGCGAAATGGTATGCGGCTCGAATCTCCATTGCGCCGACCTCTTGCTAAACACGCGCCCAGAAAACATTTTGCGAAGCCAGCAGCGCCCCGCAGACTCAGGTATGTCGCGAAAAGCTTCCCCAACCCCCTACTCAAGGTTTGCGATCCAGGATGTTAACCACCTCTCTTGCCCTCTCCAGCAAGGAAATGAATTTGTCCACCTCCCGCGCATCGTCGAGACCGCCGAATCGAGCCCCGCCGCCGCCAAAGAAGCCGCGCATCGCATCCGCAAATACCTCTCCAACCCGGGCAGCACCCCAAACCACGTGCAATACAATGCGATTATGCTCATGCGCATCTTGGCTGATAACCCGGGCCATACATTCACGCGCAACTTCGACTCCAAGTTCTGCACTACTATCAAAGAGCTGCTGCGCCATGGGCGCGACTGGCATGTGCAGCACTACCTGCGCCAGTACCTAGCCCAGCTTGAGGCAAACCGGCACTGGGATGAGGATTTGCAGCTGTTGCTGCAGATGTGGGCCAAGGAGAAGACGAAGGGTGAACGATCTTTTGTAAGAATCGTAAAGCCGCGGCGTACTTGCGCCGGGAGAGTTGGTGGGCTAATTCGGGGTGATCACAGGTCGATCGATATCCCACGGCATCTGCAACACAGCAATATAGCCCCATGGCGCCATACCCAGTCCCGCATCGCATGGGCCAATCTGCGCCGAACCGAACACTTCCGGAGCCGGGCGAGCTGGCCGCGCGCGTGGAGGAGGCAAAGAACTCGGCCAAGCTATTGATGCAATTTGTCCAGACGACGCCGCAGGCCGAATTGGAGGAGAACGAGCTTATCAAGGAGTTTATCGACCGGTGTCGGACCTCGTCGCGCTTCCTTCAGGGTTATATCCACTCGACCAATCCGGCTCCGGATGAGGAGACCCTCCTCACCCTGATCGAGACTAACGACGAGATCTCGGTCGCCCTGTCACAGCAGCAGCGCGCTATGCTCAAGGCTCGCAAGGCTCGCGGGTCTTCCACCCCCGCCTCCAATGTCAACAGTCCGTCTCCATCGAGCAGCGAGGCCGTAGCATCGGGCGGTGCCGGTGCAAGCCCTGCTGCCCCCGAACCGATTTCCCCGGCAGCACCGACACCGCGCGAATCAAGAAGCCCGGAGCAGCAATCTACGCCGGTGCACGAGCTTTCCTCCGCCATGTCTACCGGCCGACCGACCGCATCCCGCACCACCACCGAGCAGTACGAGTATAACTCCACCGACTTCGAGGTGCAGAACCCCTTCGCGGATGACTTCGCCACGGGCGACTCCAACGTGGAGCGGAACGGGCAACATGCCACACCGACGGATACCTCCACCGCTGGACGTGTGCGCTTCCAGCCTACCGAGTAAGAGCGTTAACATGAGCTAGTTGGAGTGGTCAGTATAGCTAGCGAAGCGAATGATACCCCCGCAGAACCTGATTTTGCTAGATGTCTTGGTTGTATCCAGTGCCGTCCCATCCCATTCCATGGGGGTTGTGGGCTTCTATCCCGCGCGAGCTCCTCTTATTTTTCCTTTGTACCTGATTTACGTGATACCTCAGGTTTCTCCATTCTCCCTGTTGAGTTTGAGTTGGGAAGGACCTCGGTGGCGGTGGAAGTGGTCTAGCGGTTGATTGACCAGGCCCTGTGAGATACAGATCGACCACGTCCCTGTTCGGACCCGGTTGATCCCAAGCAGCTTTTTTCCTGGTATAACCTTTGATTAGCGATTTAAAAATACAGTTTTTCTGCTTTCTGCCTATCACACCCTGTTTAATCGGAAGCAAGAGACTGGCGCTTAGCCCAAGGACCATTACATGGACCGTGCAACAAGATCGATGATGACGACTGCGTTTCGCGGCGTCCTCCCTGCAGCGGTCGTTGAGGTCGGGGGTTTCAGGCGTGCCCCTGACTCGCATTGCGCTGAATCAACCTTAAACAAACTAGATTGAGTGGCCGGACCTCCGAGGCTGAAAGAGGCGAGGGCCCCGACCCTGTCATTGATTGACGGTAGAAGAGCTCGGTCGAGTTTGGTGGTCGGAATCCAGGTCTTCCACCTCGCAGGATGTCAGGAACAGCGACACGGTGAGCATTCCCATCTATGACACCCATCTATGACACCCATCTATGACACCCATCACCACACACCCGAACTTCTATAGAGCGGTTTTAATCCCATATTTCGGGACAGCAGCAGCAGCAGCAGCAAATTATCCAGCAATCAAAATTCGTCTCCCATGCGTCTCCATCTAGCGAGGCTGTCAATTTGAAACTCCGCGCATCCCTGTTCGGCGCGTGGAGCCGGCCTTGGCATGGCACTAGGAAGAACGTCGGCCTTGTCCCGGGTCACAGACCCTCAATTCAAGCCCAGCACTGTCCGCGGCATGGCCGGTGGATAGCAGCTAACCAGGAGCTCCGAGAGTTTGGGATCCATGGCCTCACCATGCGCTAATCTCGGTGGAGGGGATGGTCCCTGGAGTATATCACGGAGGGGAAACGGTGTTTCAGCGTTGGTGAAGTGCATTTTTCTGTCTGACAGCTAGGAGGATTGCCCCAAATGGCAGTGGCCGGAACCCCCTGCGGGTGTACTTGGGATGATATTGTCATTTCAATGGTGTTTGTGGTTGATTGAGTTGGGTTCTGGCAGGATCGAGATCGTCGCTGTGTTCGACCGTCCGACTGTTCACGAGTCTATATAACCCAGCACCTCAATCCCAGCGCCCTCCAGTCTTGGAGCATCAAGCTGGCCGATTCGTCTTGACTCGTTTCTTCCTTCGTTTTTTCCCTGTTCATTCATTCTCTCCGGTCTGGGACCGTGCAGCTTCTCTTCTTTCCACTCGCTTCTGACAGCCAGCGTCGGTACCGGTCTACCGATCCAATTCCATTCATTCGTGGTTCTCACGCCCCACCAACCCACTTCATACAAAACCAAGAACAAGATGAAGCAATTCACTACTACTGCCGCTACCCTCGCGGCGCTACTCCCTCTCGTCCACGGGCATGGCTTCGTGACCAGCCCCACGGCCCGTATGCCCGGCTCCGCCATGAAGGCCGCCTGCGGCGACCAGGTCGAGGTTAACCAGCAGTCCGACAACTACGGCAACATCCAGGGCGAGCTGCAGGTCGCCGCTAGCCAGAGCGACTACAACGCTGCCGAGTGCGACATCTGGTTGTGCAAGGGCTACAAGTTCGCCGACAACACGGACAATGTGTACTCGTACACTGCCGGCCAGACGATTGACTTCACGGTTGATATCCGCGCGCCGCACACGGGTATTGCTAACGTGTCGGTCGTGGATACCGCCAGCAACGCTGTGATCGGTGACCCCCTGATCTATTGGTCTGTGTATGCGTCGACCGCGACTGGTGTTACCGCCAATGAGACTAGCTTCAGCGTGACCCTCCCCGATGATCTGGGCAGTAAATGCGCCACTGCTGGTGACTGTGTGCTGCAATGGTACTGGTATGCACAGTCGATTGACCAGACCTATGAGTCTTGCGTTGATTTCACTGTTGGCGGCTCCGGCTCCAGCTCGTCTGGCTCCTCCAGCTCCAGCTCTAGCTCGAGCGTTGGGACTTCGGCGGCGGCGGCGGCGGCGGCTTCATCGTCCGCCCCCGCGGAGACTTCCACTTCCACCTCTGCCGCTGTTGAGACGACTTCCGCTGCTCAGACCAGTGCCGCCGTTGTGCAGGCTGTGACCACCTTCGCCACCCAGGCCCGTCAGTCCTCGCAGCCCAGTACCGTCGTGGCTACCCCCAGCGGCGTTACGAGCGCGCAGGCCATCCCGACCAACGGCAGCGCCCAGGACATGCTGGACTATGTCTCGGCCATGCTCAAGTACCTTGTGAGCAACAACTAAGCGCGCAGTGCTGAGTTGTGACCTTGCATCGTGCGGCCAAGTACAGGAACCCACGTTCTCTGGGGAGAGTGTTATACAGAATCATTCCACATTGCAAACACTACTTTGAGTGCTGTGTATAATTATCTCTTATTTTCTTGTCGATGTCAAATATCTTTCATCTTCCTCGGGTAGTTGGGTAGGGTTGAAGGTAGAGCGAAAGGTGTGTCTTGAAGAAAGCTGAGAATGCCATTGAGAAATCTCCCAATCTGAGACCCACTTTGATCGAAACAGCGGCCGGGCTTCTTATACAGCAGTAGTGCAAAAGTTTGGAACTATTTTTATTGCCAAGACCTCTCTGCCGGATGGAATCTACTGAAACAGCTGGAATCAAACCACCAAAACCTAGTATCCTGTATACCACCTATCCGCCTCAATAACTGCCTGTGCCCTGCGAGGCATCGGAGCTGGGAAATTAGCTAATATACAAAGCGTCGAGTGTAGGAAGTTCGCGGTATAGACGGTGGGCACTAGGCGGTGAGTAGGAAACGGTAGTTTCAAACATTTGCACTGCCACTGCCAAGTGTATAACTGGTTCCTGGAGTGAAATCGGTGGGTCCAAGAGTCAGTTCGTTCGGTTTTAATTAGTCGGAACTCAGGAGCGACCTTGATTTACTCTTCAGCTGAGCTGATTCCTCTCTTATACCCACGCCCTGCTGGAGAACTTCTGGAGTTCTCTCTCCATTCTGTTGAGATTCTGGTCCTTATTTCAAGTGTCCAAACGACAAAATTTACACTGCAAGTATTATCTCTTGGCTATGCTTCTACCACGCTTTCCTACTCAGCATTTCTCACCTCTTGACTGCGTGACTGCCGCCAAGAGTGCGTTCTGATAAGCCACGATAAGCACCGCTCCCACTATTTCTCTTCTCGTTCTTTTCTTCCACTGTCAAACGTCAACTACCAACTCACCCCTTACTCCCCGCCCATTCCAGGCACATACCATCACCATGGAGGAGCACATTCGACAGAGCATGACCAACCACCCCCATGCCTTACAGCATCTGACGAGCAGTTCTCCCCACCCGTCGCAACGGTCCGAGAGAATGACGTCGCGCTCGTTCAACCAAGGCACCTCCACGGCGGTGGAGACCGAGGACTCAACCATGTCCCAGCAGCAACACCGCCATGGCGGCGCCGATGAGGAGGGTCGACCTCCGCCTCGCTATACTCCCGATACCGACCCCTTCCACCTGGCTTCCAAGCTGAAGTCTGAGGAGGAGATCCGCCAGATCAAGGCCAACTCCGGGCGCAAGCGCGATGCCAATGGCCCCAAGATCGCGGAGATAATGCGGGAAACAGGTGCCAAGGGCAAACAGGCGTTCATCACCCGCAAACTGCAGGGTTTCTACGAGACACAGAACGAGAACATCGAGCGGATGCTGAAGCCGGTCGAGGAGCACGTCCGGGCGGCGCGGGAACTGAACGCCGAGAACAATCTCAAGTATAAGATCGCCGTGTACGGCAGTTTCGCAGCCAACATCATCCTGTGCGTAGTACAGGTGTACGGCGCCGCGTCTTCCGGCTCGCTGTCGTTGTTCACCACCATGGCCGACGCGATCTTCGACCCTATGTCAAACCTGACCTTGCTACTGTGCAACAAGGCCGTCAACCGCGTCGACCCGCGCAAATTCCCCGCCGGCAAGGCGCGTATCGAGACCGCCGGTAATATCTGTTTCTGCTTCCTGATGACTGCTGTCTCGTTCATCATTATCGCGTTCTCGATCCGCGAGCTTGTCGCAGGGTCCGACACCCTCCACTCCACCTTCCATTTGCCCTCCATCATCGCCGTGGCTGTCGCCTTCGTTACCAAGCTCGCCCTGTTTACATACTGCTTCGCGCTGCGTAACCAGGTCTCGCAGATCCGTATTCTCTGGGAGGACCACCGCAATGACCTGCTCATCAACGGCTCCGGTCTGTTGACCTCCGTCCTGGGCTCCAAGGTCCGCTGGTGGATTGATCCCATGGGCGCTATTCTACTGTCGATCCTGGTCAGCGGGCTCTGGCTGCACTCTGCCTACGGCGAGTTCCAGCTACTCGTTGGCGTGACTGCTGATACCAAGATGCAGCAGCTCATCACTTATATTTGTAAGTTATCCATGGTCCCACCTACCACGACCTCCTCTGAACAGGATGCTGATTATGCCCCACAGCCATGACTCACTCTCCCCTCATCACTGCCATCGACACCGTCCGCGCCTACACCTCTGGCCCGCGCCTGCTCGTCGAGGTTGACATCGTCATGGAGGACTCCGCCTCGCTGCGCGCGACCCACGATGTCGCGGAGGAACTGCAGATGAAGCTCGAGTCTCTCCCGGATGTGGAGCGTGCCTATGTCCACGTTGACTACGAGACAACCCACAAACCGGAGCATTTCTTGAAGAAGGAGCTTTAAGACGGGGTGTGGAGATTTTGCATTGGTTTTTAAGCGCTGTGATAGACATATCGTAATTGTATTATACTTGCTGTTGGTGGGAATGCCTTGGTTAGGTTCAGGTTTCGTCGGAATAACAAATGTTTTCGTTTCCAATCTATAGCTCTGTCGAGCTCTTCTCTCCAATCTTAAATATCCAGGAAGTAGCCCATTTGAGAAAGGTATCACTATGAGGATCAATCTCAAAGTTTTATCATTGCTACAGAGTGCATTACCTTCCACCACAACACTCAGGACGATAAATCTGTTACCGAAATGCATTACAAGTCAAGTGGTGATATCATATTCCAATTTTGATTTATTTCATTGCATCGATCACACATCTATTAATGACCTATCATAAGAACAAGAAAAAAGGACTAGAAAGCCCGGAGTCATAGGTGTATCCTGTGGTATCAAGTAAAGCCCCCCGAGATGCGAAAACAAAAAGCCCTTTCCTACTAATCCTCCCCTGCCGATCCCCCGCAAGCAATTTGACGAACAGAAGTAAAATGACGATCTGGATCCTGGAAATTAAGGAAGCCCAGATCAGGGATGAGGAGCAGGACTCAGATGGAAAGAAAGGGAGTCATGAACCGGAGATGGGAATGACTTGGCAGGCAGAGGCAAGTCTGAATCATCCCGATAGCGAGAGAAGGAGACTGAGGGTGAAGGGGAGGGGAAGGGTTCAGTCTAGACAGACTGCTCAAACAGCGCGATAGTCGAGCAGAAGTTGCTCGTATTGGGCTTCTCAGGCACCATACTCTGGCCAGACGACGACGTAACCATGTTCACAGCCGCTTTGGTGCTGAGACCATAGATATGCACGTCTGAGCAGTCAACCTCCACCATGTTCTCCTGGCAGTCCTCGGAGTCTAGGCAAGTCTGCGCATAGTTTTCAAAGAAACTGTACAGGCCGGCGCCATAGATGAACAAGTCCGAGGTATTCATCACTCGCAGACCCCATGACTTTTTGCACGAGGCGGTTGTGCAGGTCGAGAAATCGGGGTCGTTCCAGGAGTCTTGGGGAGTGAACGGCGTCAGCGCCGTCGGGTTGGACTGGTAGTACGGAGTCTCGGTCTGGATCAGGCCCATGAAGACGTTCGCCGCGTTCGACACCTGGTAGTTGTACAACTGGTGGTGCTCGGAGGCGGTGCCCCACAGCCAGACGGGGTTTTGCGACTCAATGAGCACGCCACGGCCGGTGTACACGTTGATCTGGGAGTGGTCGTCCAGGTCGAGCTCGTGGTCGGCGGTCCACACCCACGCGTTCTCGATGTACGCGCTGGCCTTCTGGGTGATGTGCAGCAGCAGGAATGCCGCAATGCACTCCTCCTTGGGCGTGGTCTGCTTAGCTGGGGTCTTGGGGCACGTGTCACTCTGAAGACCAGTGCCAGCGGCGCCACCAATGCGGATGTGAACATCCCACATACCGGCAGAGCCCTGCGAGGAGCCGGCGACGTTCCATTCCATAAGGATCGCCCCGGGGGCGGCACCCTTGGTGGTGACGATCAGGTCACTCATCTCGACAGATCCTGACTCACCCTCTTGGCCGATTTGCAGGGCAGGAATGGGATTCTTCTCGTCCTGGAAATTGGCGCCGTGGGCCATGATCATGGGCCAGACTTCACCAGTGATCTTGATGTCTTTGGGCACCTTCAGGGTCGAGGTGATCACATACGCGCCGTGGTCGAAGTAAACGACCTGGTCGGCAGTGGCGCTGTCTAGGACCTTCTGGAGGGCGGCAGTGTCATCAGTGGTGCCATCGCCCTTGGCGCCCGCGGACTTGACGCTGATGAACGAGGAGGCCGGGAGAGACTCATAAAGTGGCTTGGAGCGCTCGAAAACAGCGCCGCCGTTGAGAAGGTCGCTAGGCTTGGAGCTGGCCTGCATGGTGCCCTGAGTGCGTGCAGAAGCCACCGCCTGATTGGCAGCACCATTGCAGGTACCGGAGCCGCTGCTGGAGCTGGAGCTGGAGCTGGAGCTGGAGCTGGAGCTGGAGCTAGATCCCGTGCCCTGTGTCACCGCAGCGCTGGAGGTGCCGACGGCTACGGTAGACCCAGCAACTGGAACAGCACCAGAGGACTCGCTTGCGACAGCAACAGCGCTAGAAGGTTCAATAGCAGGGACTGCATTGGAGGTCTGGACAGCGGGAGGCTCGCTAGATGCCGGCACAACCGCAGCAGCAGTAGACTCAATGGCAGCAGGAGTCTGGGAAGACTCCAGAGGAATCTCGTAGGTGTTACCAGACGAATCAACGAAGACAGACATCCAGCTGTTGTCGAAGCCGGGGAGACCTGACAAAGCAGGGGCAGACATGGCGGTTGCCTGTGGGATAATGGAGCGATCCCCGACGTCAGTGCCCGTAGGCACGACGGTGGCGACCCCGATGTTGGAACTGGCGGGAATGTTACTAGCGAGAGTAGCGGCGCCATTGGTAGCGGCGCAGGCCAAGACGGTGTGCATGACGGTCTCAATAACGGTCACAACCTCGATGTTATCGTCATTCTCTTCGGGCCGGTAGGCACGCTTAGTAGAACCGGAAGAGGGAGAATAGGTGTTGCCCTGCACCCAGCTGTTGACAACAGCCCCGCCAGCCAGGATAGTGTTGCCATCGACACCAGCCACGGCGACCGTGGAGCCAGAGAAGTCGACGTTGTCGAGGACCAGGGTACCACCGCCCACCGGAATGCTCTTCTTGGTCCAGGCAGTGACGATACCAATTGGGGTGTTGGTGAGCGTGCTGTCCAGCATCATCACGGAGCCAACAGTCTGGTTTGAGGGCGAGGTGGACATGTTCAGGCCGACCCGGCAGTTATTGATGTTCACCGACTTGAAGGTCCAGGCCCAGTTCCAGTTCATATAGATCGCAGTCTGGCATCCATTGAAAGTAAGGTTGCGAGTGGTGAACTGCTGGTTGCCCAGGAACATGCCGTAGTTGCCACCGTTGAAGGTCAGGTCGGACATGAACCCACCAGAACCGTTGTCCATGAACACACCCTCCTGCTTGTTGGCAGAGCCACCGCCTTTGACCATCTCGAAACGGATGTTCTGCAGGCTAGTGGCCTGGCCAACCTGCCAGTGGATACCAGCACCGGAGCTCGGGGGCATGGCGGTAATATCGATAACCAGGTTGCGAATGGCGCGGAAGAAGTTGTTCTGGTTGGTATACCAATTGTCGCCATTGTCCTCGTAGGGATCCGCATCGATGACAGCCATGCCGGTGAACGCAGCGGAGGCTTTGATCACGGGTATGTCAATTGCATCACCGACAATCTGGGTGTAGTAGAACTGGATGATGGGCTTTGACACCACATAAGTACCAGGCGGGAAGTAAACCAGAGCGGGAGTCGTCGTAGACGAGTCGCAGCCCTTGCCGCAGCGATTGCCAGAGGAGATGGCCTTGTTAATGGCCGCGGTGTCGTCCGTAGAGCCGTCGCCTGCGATCAAGAGGGTCAGTTACTTGCGATTATTTTATCTTCGTTTCTTCCTGACATACCCTTGGCGCCAAAGTCCTTCACGTTACGGAACACCTGATAAGCGCTGTTGCTGCCGAATGGCACGGTACCCTGGCGCTTGATATTTGCAACCCAGTAGCTGGAAGCCGCCCACTTCGACGCAGCCAGCTCCAGCTCGTTGGGAGCAGGCGTCAGTGGGATAGCGCCAACGAGGGCCGTTGGCAGGCCGAGCAGGAGGATGAGGTGCGCCAGGAACATCATGATCGAGGTTTGAAAAGCGGCCATCTTCTAGATAGCTAGTCGCTGGACCTGCAGCGAGATAACTGTGCGGGATTTATTTCGGAATGAAAAGAGCGAAGCCCTGTGAATGGAAGCAATTCAGTAACCAGCACTGATAGAAGTGTCGAGTCTCCTGGGCGGCGCTGAACCAGCAGCGGTCGGTAGGAGGGTCGGAGTCGTGACAGCGACTAGGCAAGAAAGAGCGAAATGATGCAGGCAGCAGTCGCAAAGGGACCACTTTCGCAGAAAAGAATGAATGCAAAGGCAGCTCCGGTCTGATAGTCGACAGTCGTTCCCACTACAGCAGAGCGGATCTATACTTCGGCCTCGACGAAAATGCAGTGAAAAAGGAGTGAATGGCAAAGGGCGCAACAAGGAGATGCCCAGGTGAAGCCACAGGCAGCACGACAAAAGACACAAAAAAAAGTAGAAGAAAGGCAACACACAAAGCGCTGCAGAACACGACGCCACGGAGAATAAAAGAAGTGTCGCGAGCAAAGCCCAACAGTTGGAGTCACTGACCTTGCAAGTATAGTAACTCGCGCGTAATCTGCACGTATCGTCCCTGAATCACTTCCCGTAACGCCAATCACACCGCACGGCGGCCTGCAATCCACCGGCACCACCAATCGGAGGGCCCACGGGCGTAACGACGCCGACACTTGAAACGCAGACGTCCGGGATGAAACGCTCAAGCGAGGCGATCACAGGGCCGAGTGTTGCAGATTGCGCGATGGAAACACCCGCGAGTCGGGAGACGGGGCTGTCTAATGAGCAGGAGTGGCCACGGGCTCACTAACTCACTCACTCATTCCCTAGGGAGTCTAGCCCGAGCGAATAGAAGGCACCAGAGCGGCTGGTATACCGGTATACCTCGTAGCCAAGATGGACAATACAGCCAAGACGACCAATGAGGGAAATGAGCACAAGTCTGCCCAAAGATGAAGCCTAAGTATAGGATGCGGTTTACTCAGGGCACAGCAAGCAAAAGCGCAAAAGGAATCCCAAAAGAGAGATGAATGGGGTCTCTACGCGCTATATACCAGTATACCAGGGCCCCCTTCTGGGCGGCCAAAGGGATCGCGATCCCCATCGAAACAGGGTATGCCGGATCATCCATTCCATGTATCTGGATATTTCTGCCCGTCGCATGGGAGGAGCTGTCGCGTAGGATGCCTGGAGGAGGGAAATAGTTTCTTGGCACATCTTCCATGGCAATAATGTACGGGATGTGGGACGCGGATATGGACAGCGCCCTCTGGTATGCCCCCCCCCCCCCCCCCACCACTGGTCCCCTTGTGGTGGAGTCTCCCCTTTCGCAGCAGCGCTGTACCAAAGGAGTAGGTCCGACGAGTACGGAATCGTCCTGATTGCTTTGATTTGATGGACGGGATCATCAGGGACGGCAGGGTACAAAGCGACCGCATCTGCCGGATCCCCGGGGTGCCTAGAACCTGCGCACTGCCCATTCTCGCCATGGGCGACCAGTTGCTGGGCACCTCCGATCATGCCTGCTTATGGTGGTCACTACGTTGCTGCACGACCCGTTGCCCGTCAACTGGGTCGCGTACCAGCCACCGGCTGAGGCGTGGTTACTGTGTGCGTGAGGGCCGGTTGTCAGGGATGCCGGCTGCTATGGATGAACATTCCGGCGCGTGCAGAGTGGAGGAGATTCTTGATGACGAGGGGGCTGTCGGCCCGAGCGATTCTCGACGGAATCTTGACGGGCTAGAATCCTCGCTCCTGGGCCTCATCATCGTCCCGTCCCGGTGGTCTGTCTCGGACGGCTGCAGCTGCAAGTGCCAGCGCTATCGGTGCACGGCAGATCATCGTGGCTGGCCAAGCTTTGCCGGCCCCTGAGTCCAGGATGGCGAGCCGCCCTCGCCGAGCGTGAGTTTTTTGTGGTTAGCGCGTCTGCAGCCGTGGCCAGGTACGAGTCGCGCGTTCTCTCCGAGCCAATGACAGTGCATGATGCCCGCCATGGCCGTGATGGTTGTGATGTTCGTCACTTTCGGTGACCTGATTGCGCGCCAATCTCAGTGCTGGTCCGATGGAGCACCTTTGGGATCGACTTTCTCTCGCTGGAGAACTGGACAGTCCGCAGTCAACATACGTTCCACGGGTCCAGCCCTGACTCAGCCGCAGTTCGCCGCATTCCCCAGGCATCCATGATTCGTCCCCGTCGATCCGCGGTTCAACTCCTGGGCGCTTGCTAGTCCTCATAAGCTCTGTGGCACAGTCTATCCGGAAGAAACTCAAGTGGCTACAATCCCACAAAACTCTATGCTCCTATCACCGGCGCCGGGACGATGTATACTAGTTATATGTTGCTGCCTCTGGGTGTGCGCACCCGCCACGCGTCCTCGGCCCACCCCGATCTTCGTCTCGGTCGCCCGGCACGGACCGTACACCTCCGACCACGGCGCATCAGTGGCAATTTGCTCCCACAAAGGCTAGCCTGGCCGACGCGGCATCGCTACACAAGCGCTTGGTTCACGACGCGTGCCAGTCTACGCACCCCCTCCGTCAGGTGACGCGGCTCTTCCCACGCAAAGCAGAGGCGCAGGCAGGCAGCGAACTTGTCGCTTGGTGGGTGCAAGTGGCCGGGCACCTCGAAGAGTGTGCCCGGAGCTAAGCGCAGATTTTCCTCGTTCTGGGCTCGCAGCACTATATCTACCGCGAGCAGTGGAGGCGGAAGGGTGACCCAAATGAAATATCCACCGGCGACGGTGTCGGAAGCAGAGGCCACCGTCACCCCGAGTGGGGCCAGGTACTCCTGTATCGCAGCCAGCAGCAGATGATACCGCTCTGCATATGCGGGTTGCAGGACCTGTCGGATGTAGTTTTCGAGGAAGCCGGACGGCAGCAGTTGATCGATTATGGTGGAAGAGAGTTGAGAGGGTGCACCTCCGGAGCGTGATGAGCCTCTGTAGTTTGTGGACATCACGTCAGCGGGATATATACTTCACCCATGTACTCCGGATGGACTACCCCGAACGTTATGGTGTCTCGGGCGGATAGGCCAAAAAAACTTACACTTGGGACAAGCCATAAGCAAGCTTTTCCGAAGCTTCGACCCATCCAGTGCGGGCCCCAGGTCCGATCAGTTTACTGAAGCTGCCATTGCTTATTGCGTGGCCCCATTCATCAACCGGGCCACCGTTCAGGTAACGATCCACGTCCACGAGGCGGGGGAGGCACGCGTGTTCCGGCGCTGCGAGCGCGCCCTCGCGGGTCGCCGAAAACTGCAGGAAATCGTAGACATCGTCGGTCACCAGCAGGGCATCATACTGGCGAGCTAACTGAACCAGGCGCTCCCGGTGGTCCAGGGACATAATTTTGGTGGAGGGGTTGGCGAATGTGGGGACGGCATAGATGATATATTTGTAGATCTTGCGCCAGGGCCGAGGGGGTTTGAGTCTCTGGAAGCGGGAAATATACACATTAGTCGATCGGTTTTTGTTTGCTCGGGTGTAATAACGGTGCTGTCTGGCCGGCGAGGGCAAACGCCGTCTCCATTATTCATTTAGTCAGTCGATACCGGTTCGGTGTTGCCCTCCGCCTGAGCCTTCTCTTCAGCCGCACGCAGCCCGCTCTCCAGGAAGGCCAGATCTATCCCCTCATCATCCTCCGGCACCCCATAGACACGCCCTGCAAAGCCAGCATCATCCATGATCCGGCCAGCCAGATAGTAGGCCGGCTCGACCATCCAGACCGTCCGCGTGTACACTGGGTCGGTAAAGACGGCCAGGATACACGCGAGGCTCTGGCTGGCCCCACCGGTGATGCAAATGCGCTGGGGCGAAATAGGGTGGCAAGGCAGATAGAAGCTTCCCAGCCACTGGGCTATGTGGGCGCGCAGCGGCTCATAGCCTTCATCGGGGCCGTACAGTAAGCCTGGCTGGGCGATGGAGGGGGTGGTCAGAACGGTCGTGGCGGCGCGGAGCAAATCGGGGGCGGGAAGGAGCGCGGGGTTGGGCCAGCCGCACAGCAGATCGATGGGCGGTTGCTGCTGTTGGTTGCCTGGGGCCGTCATGATTCGAGGGTGGTGTAATGGGGAAGATGCAAAGAATCACGTCAGTGGACACTTGGCACGGCAGACGGAACCGAGATTGGGCCTGGTTTTTGGGTGGCACTGTGCGGAACTGGAACGCCCGTTGTTTGGGTGGAGAGAAAAGCAAAAGCTAAAGGGGCAGGACCAGGAACCGCGCGAAGAATGATTGGGATGATGCCATCGGAAGATATCTCCTCCATGCTTACCTCAGGAGTTAATGCAGTACATGTGTTGGGCCGCGCGGTTATAAGGTAGTATATATTATATCTCATACCGTCTCATATACCGTAGTATATTTTATATAGTCTGTATGGAGTACATGTGTACCAGAGGGTACAGCCAAGACACCATGATGCCGCTGCATCCCATTAGTCGTAGTGCCTACAAGGTGCTGCATGTACTATATTGTATTAGGGTACCCCGTAAGCAGTTTCTTTTTTTTGCCCCTCAAAATACACTAGCGCGGAGCTGGTTCATAAATCCTGTCTGCATCGCCCCATTTCTGCGGTGCCGGGAACCCCCCGGTCGGATCCAAGCCGCAAGAGTGGCATATCAATCAGGCCCAATTAGGATGCGCGGATCCGTTCCAATCCGCAACAAGTTAGTGACAGAATGGAAGGGGCCTTGCTGCTGTACACAGCCAGGACTGCTACCGTGCTTAGAACAAGTGGGACTCCTCTGTGTAGGGCGCCCCGAGGTTTAATGTTGGACGTGCTAGGCTAACGGGCAGAATGTTGGTGTCTGCAGCGGCAATCTCATTTTCACTGTTCCTGTATTTATTTCAATATGTCACAATTGACTATTTTCTGCTTGCATATCCGTCGGCTAGTCAGCCGGGCAGGTCGGTACCGGCGACCACGAGAGGGAGGTATCAATATTCTCTTCGAGGAGCAGCCACCATATGTACCTCCAATCTAGCTAGTGATCAACCGCCAGAAAATAGCAGCGATCATCGGACAGGTATTGTAGGCACGGCCATGAACATAGTACGCATACCCACCGTGCACAAGGCCCCTCGGCGGCCCATGATTCGTATTTTATCCAGGTTTTCGCCCAGGCTCCACCGAGACATGCACAGCCAAGGAACCACCCATCAGGGCCCGAGCTATTATTGGCATGGAAAGGAACCGGATCGAAAGCCCTCCGTCCTTTTAGTTAAGACTCCGGGGGCTTTTGTAAAGATTCAGAAAAAAAAATTGCGACTCGATATCGTTTTTATTCTCCCGAAACACCCCTGAGTCGCAACTTGACGGAAGTCCTCTCTCTCATTCCCCCACGGTGTCTCCCTGCCATTCTTGCAATCCCTCCTGCCGATCCATTCTCCGAACCTCCCCTTACCACCTCGATCACTTCGACTCGCGGGCCTCAACCCATCATTTGCCGCTGCTTTCATTCCTCCATCCATGCGTCGAAGGGCTTGACCTCACACCTTCCACCCCCTCCCTCCGGCCCTGCGCAACTGGGTCCATACTTTCAGCCCGCTGGAACTCTCCTTCTCTCCGGACCCCAGCTCACAACACCCTCTTCCCTCCCCCCCCTCCTCTCCCCCCCTTCACCAACCGTCCCCTCAAAGGGCATCTGAAAAGATGTTGTCGGCTCCCGTTAAATCGGCGAAGCGCATCTCCTCCCTCTTTTCGCTGGGTTCACACAAGGACCAGAACACGCCCGGTTCCCCGGCCTCGCCGGCATTCAATGGCTCGGCAGACCTTGCACAGGACAGGAGGCAACGAAGCAGTTCGCGACCGACACGACATGTCTCGACGCCCAATGCAGTGTTCTCAGAACCAAGGACGGTCCCGAACGCCGGTCCCATGGAGCAGTTCGACCTGGAAAGCCTCCCGCCCCCACCATCGTTGCTGGCTGTGAACCAAGACCTCGCCAGCAGCGCTCCCGGCTCGCCCACCGATTCTCGCCCTCGCAGCAGGGGTCGCGACATGACTCGACCTTCCAGTTCGGCCGGGTTGGCTATCCCAGGTGCCACACCCGACTCCCGCCCAGGCACGCCATCGAAACGCCGTAGTTGGATGCCGGGTATGATGGGTCGGTCGCGAGCAAGTTCGGTGGACAAGCGGGTACCAACCCCTGCCATTCCCAGTGCCTGGATCGCCGGGTTGGAGCAGAAGGTGGTCTACGATATGGGGCCTTTGTCGAGGGGTGAACAGGTACGTGAGAAAGGGTTTTTTGAGCTCAAACTGGGAACTCGGCTGACAATTGACGCTTGCCCAGATCGCTGAGCTGTGGAACGAGCAAGGTGACACCTTTGTCTACTTGTTCCCCCAAAACACCGGCCGATCTCCTTCCTTCAAAGTCGATTCCACCGTCTTTGCCGAATCCCCTTCTCTTACTTACCTCGCCCGCGGCCCCGATTCTAAGCAGACTGGCCTGGAGCAGCCCACGCGCTCCCTTTCGCTTCAGAATCCGATTTCCCCGCCATTGACCCCGCAGGAACGGCCTGTAGACGACGATGACAATGATAGTTCGGGGAGCCAGCGAATGGCCTTTGTGGACGACGGTCCAGATGACGTCCAGGAGTTGCACCTTTACCTGCCCATTCCGCTGAACAGCGACGTCTCCAGCCCTCAATCTCGGCTCTCTCAAGAAGATTTGGAGACCCTGCTCTTGTTCCGCAATCTTTTTGCTTTCCTGCTGGGCCAATCACTCATCGCTACACCCAAGTCTGGATCTCTCTTCAGCATCTTCATGGATGTGGCGGTCCTGCTGTCCCGGTTCGAGTTTTCTAACCTGGATGGATCCAATTTCGGTGAAACAGCCACCTCGAGCTTCAGCAACTACTGCGACGAATTGCGTCTGGCTGACGTGCGAAAGAGCCGTGAGAAGACTATTGAAGCCATTGTGCTGGGTGAGCGACTCCGGTACTACCCGCTGTACCTGGAAGGATTCGTGCACGGTGTTGGCAAGCTAGATGAGATCAAGCAGCTGCGGAGCCCAAAATACACGTATATCCACCCGATCACCCAAAAGCGCCTGGAGCGTGGTTTCATCGACCTGGATTCGCGTCTGCGGGGCCTGTACGGCAAACTGGAGGACTTTGATTTCCCCTCGGTCTTCTCGGGGTTTGCAAACTCGACCACCTCGGCGGAGAGCAAGGTCATTCGCTTCAAGAACTGGAAGGCCGGCTTCCTCGAGTTCCGACGCTTTACCATCAACTTCTACCGCACTAAGTACGGCTCTTGGCCGCCCAAGGCTCGCTCTAAGAAAAACGAATTCGAAGAGAGCGGACTGAACCGCCAACTGCTCCTGGATTTGTATAGTGACTTTACTGATCTATATGATCTGCTGGTCGACCGCACCGCTCTCACTACCCGCACCATCGATTCCTCTAGTGCCGGTGGTGATCCTTCGTCCACTGACCTGAGAGAGGTCACCTCGCGTGCTCTGCGCCATGTGCTGAGTGAGTATGACCGCAGTACTCCTCCCGTCCTGCCTCCTATTCCGTTCGACATTCCCCAGCTGCCGTCGGTACAGGGGTTGCACCGCAAGCCGCTGGACGCCAAGAAGGAGGCCAAGTACCGTGCCAAGAAGCTTAAGAACTCTGACATCAACTCCGTCCTCATGGACTCTTACACTCGCGAGAGCATGCGGCCCACCGCCTTCATTGAAAGCTTTATGCAATTTGAGCGACGGTGTGCCAGTGGTAAGAGTGTAGAAGATCTGCATGATCTGCGCTGCGGACAATGGATTTTTCTCTACGCTGTCATTCAGTCTCTGCCCATGCTGGTTGTCGACGTTCCCGAGGTTCGCTTCACAGACGGCGTGGAGTACTTCCTCTGTATTGCCCCTCGCGGTGGTGCCCCCTGGATTCACAATGACACCAAGACTGCTCGTGCCTGGTTTGGTGTGGCTGGTGGTGCTGGTGTTGTCAGCCTGCCGTCTGACGTTGTTATCAACGGTGTTGAAGGTGTCTACCGACGCAGCCACTGCTGGCAAGTGGCCGAGCAATGGGCCGAGGCCGGCGCCCTTATTGAACCCCCAATGGTTGAGGATGCATACGAGGAGAATGAGTCTTCCATCTCATCTCCTTACCAAGGCCATCAGTCATCTGCCGGGTCCTCCTCCGATCCGCACCCGCCTTCGATGATGGCTCATCCCGGGGGTGGTCTTACACCTCCCCCCTGCCATCCCTCGCACTCGTTCCCCTGGTACCGCTCAACGCTCCGACAACCGCCAATCAATCTACCCTGGTCTGGAGGCCTTGCCGCTTCCCGCCGGGATTGCTCCCATTGAGCCTCCCACTCGCCCTATCAGCCGGTTCAACCGGAACATGAGTTTCGACGACATCTTGAAGGAGGTGCCCAAAAAGGACAAGAAGAAGCACTAAATGACTTCTGGCCTGGTGGTGTTTTCTTCAACGCCCCCCTCTTTCTTCGGACCTTTTCTTTTTCCCCCTTTTTCACCTTTTTTTGATTGTTTGTTGATAGGCGCATATTTGTGACATGAACCACAACGGGTTGGATAGGCGCGATGCACAGGGATGCGAAGAGCATAAAAAGCAACCTCTTAATTTACTGGGAGAGAAGCATGGAGGGAGCACACAGCACCATATCATAATTATTCAGCATATCAGCATCAGCATTTCCGGAGGATGGAAACCGGGTTCTCTGTCTCTTTCTTGTGGTCTTTCATTTTCTTTCCCTCTACGTTTTGCCTTTTTACTTTCTTTCTGACGTGCTGGATTCCCCCTCTGCTTCTCGTAATACGATTTCTGATCCGCCGGAGACCGCCCGATAGAAAATAGATTCCAATATCTGCATAATGGAAAGGTGTACGAGGATTCTTCTGAGATTGATTTGTGTTTACTTGCAGGGTTGTGTAGTTGTGTGGTATCCAGCACTGTGTATTTGCGTCTGTTGTCTTGCTTCCCGTGGGAGGAAGCTGAACCATGGAACCAGCTGCTCATCCATCCAACTGTATCCCACAGCCTCGGCGATTTCTATCCCCATCTCCCCAGCCTCACCATCCTGTTCTCGACATGCAAGGCTTGACTTGACATTGTGATCGACAGAGCAAGCAGGACTCGCCGCTCAACAGGCATCTGTGCTCATGTTCCACACGCCAAGTGGCCGCTGCCCATTAAAAAAGGAGGCAATACGAGGCGCAGCAGCCACAGCGGCGACAGCCAAAATGGAGACAGCGTCCCGTCTAGATCAAGGGGGGAAATGTTCTGTCTGTGTAATTAACTTGTTAGTTAGCGCAAACCTTTTCCTTACCTAATAATGGTCCCCCGATTCCTCTAGTGCCGAGTCCTCGACGATCTCAACTTTCGTCCCGCGCTCAACGCCCTCGAAGATCGCACTCGGGCCACGAACACCACCGACCTCGGAAACATTCCGGCAAGACAGAACGATGGAATAGCCCGTCCAGCGAACACCCACTGGCCACGTCTCGTCGGTCACACACCGTCCCTCTAAACCATGGCCCGCACCTCCAGCATGGCCAGTAACGGGCACGAGCGCCTGGAGCCACGACTGGTCCGGGCCGCCGAGAACAACGACCTCGAGTCCCTTCGCAAGGTCATCGCACTAGCGCGCGAACATGACCAGTTCAGTGACAACTTCCTGCGTGTAGGTCTCATGCGCAGCGCCGAGCGGGGCTGCGTCGCTGCGACTGAGTTCCTTCTCCAGCTCGGCGCGAAGACAGATGTATCGGGCGGCCGGACATCGCCGCTGCTTCGCGCCGTCGACCGCGACCACTACCAGATCGTACGCCTACTGCTGGACCACCGCGCTTCGCTGGATACTACAGACAAGGATGGGCGCACGGCACTGATGACGGCGGCGTGGAAGAACCATGCGGACGTGCTGCAGCTATTGATTATGCGCGGCGCGAATGTAAATGCGAGGGATCATCGGAAGCGTAATGCGCTGCATAATCTGGCGGCGGATAAGGAGTGTCTGTGGGGGTGGGGTGATGAGATTGTTATGTTGTTGTTGAAGACGGATTGTTGCATTGAGGGGATTGATGGGCAGGACGAGCTGGGGAGGACGCCGTTGCATTGGGCTTGCGCGTCGGGGAATTGGAGGCTTGCGGAGCTGCTCTTGACGAGGTCTGATGGGCCTAAGGCAGAGATTGATGCTGTCGAGTTGAGAGGGAAGACCGCGTTGCATATTGCGACGGCGCATGATCGAGCCGACATTGTGCAGCTGCTTTTGCAGCACGACGCTGCGGTGAATGCCTGCAGTGATGGTGGATGGACGCCGCTCCATAATGCCTGTGAACGCGGCTGCGCGGCGATTGTGCGCATTTTACTTCGTGCTGGCGCGCATATCAATAGCCAGCTCTTGAATGGAGTGACGCCTCTGCATCTTGCGGCGCAAGGCGGCCATACGGAGGTTGTCGAGTGTTTGCTGGAGCGGCCGGACTTGAAGCGCCGCGTTCGGGACAACTTCGGTAGCACCCCTTTCTTGCGTGCGGCTCAATTCAAGCGGAAAGATATTGTTCTGCTCCTGGCCCCATTCAACAATGTTGAATCTCTGTCGGACGATGTGAAAGCTGCATGTGCGGCTTTCGATGCCACTGTCGTCGACTTCGGCAACTTCCACAATGAGAACCGCGTGGCGCGAATGTCGGTGTTCAACCTTTTATATGGCCGGGACCAGGACAATCCTCGAAAGCAAGCTGTGACTACAGTGCCGGCAGACAGCGGTGTAACCGACTTCCGCTGGATTCATCTCCCAGCAAATAACATGGCCTGGGTTGAGGCACTGCTCACCAAGTCATTCATCGAGGAAGGCGCGCATGACGTCGAAGGCTTCAAGGGTCTCGAGAAATCCTTCAACTATCAACATCGAGGCCAAAAGATCCACTCGCACTTTATGCGGCCTTTGTGCCAGAATACCCCCCGTTCGTTTAAGCGTCGAGAAGAGGAAAAATCAGAGGAGCAGCAGCAGCAGCAGCAGCCATCCGAGACTGCGCAGTCAATCATGATGGATGCAAGCTCTACATCCCGCAAACAAAAAGGGCCCGGTAGCAAAGTCGAGCGGGTTGATTCACACTCGCACGATGAAAGCACCGGGGGTTCGTCGGGGAAAAAAATAAAAAACAAGAAGGCTGGCAAATCTGGAAGCAACCCTGGAACACCCAAATCCGAGGTCAAAAGCAAGTCGCCGTGGGGCCCGAATGACAAGCAGGCTCGCTCGTCTCCTCTTTCTACATCGACTCTCTGCCGAGATCCCCAAGGTGGTCTTCTCTCGGGATGCAATGTATGTGTGTTCATGCCTTATCTGCATTTTGAAACTGCGGAGCGGAGACAGAAAATGCAAGAAGCAATCCAGCGTGCTGAGATGTTGTGCTTTCAACCCAGTGGGATCAAAAGAGTCCGCACCCGCGATGAAATGCTAATCGATGCACATCTGTCGTCTTCCACGACCTCGCTGCATGTCCGCCGAACATTAGACCAGTTTTTTTATCCAAATATCGACACCCAGAGTCGAGACCAGGATCAGGTGGTTTACCGATACCAGACCAAGGGCCCTGGGCGTGACGGACCGGGCACAGATCCCAAGATCTTCATGGTTGATCAACTATGGATGTGGATTCTTGGTACCAACCTCATTGTGACCAGTTTCCCACAGCGATGGGACCAGCCGAAGAATGATCCGCTCAATGTGTTGGATGGAATTATTGGGGACATCAACTCTAAGACTCGGGATCCCGTCAAGTCGGTGTACGACTTGGCAATTATTATCACCAACCGATGCTCGGGTGTTTTTGACCGCCACCGGCTAGGGGATGACGAGTATCAGTTTCTAGATATGTTTGAGTCTTCTATCGGCATTGCAACTGATCGAGAGACGCTTCTCTTCAACCGCTTCAACCGTGCATCTGTGCAAGCGTCTTGCTGGCTGAAGAGTCATCGCAAACTGAATCGCTCCTTGCGCAGCTCTGCCCAATCGGTTTCTGGCCGCGATGCGGCTGAGCAGGACAACCCAGCCGATGACGAGGATCTTTATCTAGACGATGGTCAGCCGCTTTTCGTCGACCGTCTTCTAGACATTGGCGAAGAAACCGATCTCCTGGCCGAGACTAAAGATATTCGAGATGAGTTGAATATGATTCGCACTGTGCTGGACCACCAGAAACATGTTTTGGTCGACTTCCAGGAGGTTATCTGCGAAATCTTTCAGGGCCAGCACCGTTCCCAAGTCGAAGTTAAGAAACGCTTCAAAGACCAGCAACGCATGATTGACATGCATCTCAAAGACATTGACCGCATGGACAAACAAGCCGAGCGCATCTACCACTCCATCACCGACCTGCTCGACCTGAAGCAGAAACATGCCAACGCCTTTGAGGCCCGCTTCGCTCGTGATCAGGCAGCAGGTACCACCAGGCAGAGCAAGACCATCATGGTCTTCACCATTGTCACCATCATCTTCCTGCCGCTGTCCTTCATCACGTCGATTTTTACCATCAACATGAAAGAATTCCAGGACTTGAATCTCGGATATGTTGCCCGATATACCTTCGGGGTTGGCTTCGCCATTTCCATACCGCTCATTCTGGTCGCGCTGTCCGTAGACGACATCAGCGATTTCTTCCGAATAGGAACCCTCCGAGGCCGGCTTTGGTTATCTCGAAAAGAACAACCTGCGCCAGCGGCCGAACGCGGCAATGGGCCGCTGCCAGCACTTGAGATTGAGAAAATTCTTAGTCTGGCACGAACACGGAGAAGCGGGGAGCTAGACTCCGGGCCAAGCTTGCTGCCTGTTTCCAGTCGCGGCACGGCCTCGAGGGGGCCGCCTGATCTCTATCCTGCTGGTTTGGGGAATGGGTTGGTGCGAAAGAGCCACGACGTTCGCCGCAGTGTGGAATACAGACCTTATTCATGATGGTATGATGTACGATTTTTTGGATTTTTTTGGAAGGATGGGCCCATATGATTCCCCGATCTTTGATGTCTGTTCTTACCCGTCACAAAAGTTGAATATCCCCGTATATAGCGCCAAATGCAACCCATTGAATGCTTCAAAACGATGACAGAACGCCCAACAAGTACCAACCACAACCCTGCAAGTCACTCCCTACAGCTGAACAGCCTCGCTGTACTCGGAGTGCCGCCGATTGCCTCCCTTGCCATCCCCAAGAATTCCCGCGGGGTGATACACGTTCATAACAACCATGGCGATAAACATCAATAGCGCGTCGAAAATATACCCAAACGCCTCATGGGTCATGATATACCCGTCAAAGCCATCCTTGTACTCGACAAGTCGGAAAATACACCTGATCAAGATCAAAGCGCTGACCACGTACAGCGCCAGTAGAACGGTTACCCAGTTGCGCTGCCGCCAACCCTGGACACTAGTCTCTGCGCGCTCATGCCGCGATTTGGGAGTGGGGTGCTCGTTAATGCGGACGTGGAAGATTGCGGCGACAATGACGAAGAACCCGAAAAAAGCAGCTGGACGACCAGGCCGCCGATCACGACGTTGGAGCCCATTTGGCGAGTGCTGGTACTGCCCGCCGCCATGAGGCCACCACCGGCAGATTGAAGCAGGAAGGAGAAAACGTCGCCCGACACGAAGATCTTGGTCATCCAGCGGACGCGAATCAGGCTCAGGTTCCCGGCGCGAAGGTAGGTGACGGTCCGGCCGAGAACCATATACACCGAGGCGGCGTATAGCGGCGGCGCGAGCAGGATCAAGACCGATTGTAACGCGTAAACGGTCACGGAGGTGAGGTCATTGCGGGCGACGACGCGGCAGATGTATCCGACGATCTGAACTATAGATTGTCGGACAAGTTAAGTTAGGATTCGGACCGTAGTCCCAGCGTCCAATGAGTTTAGAGTCGAGGGAATCATACAGAATCCGCCCACCACAAATGGAATAAAGTACCAGCATCGTTCCCTGGTCAATTGGAATACATGAAAGAAGGTTGTGCCAGCGAAGAGGATAATGAAGATGATTCCTGCCGCGAGGGACGGGATATACCCATACAGATTGTCGGCGTTCATATTTCTCTGTTTCTCTAATGCGGCAGGGCTTCTCGAGGAGTGTCTGGACTGCTACGGCATTGTTTCGAGGGACTGCGGGTTTATATAAATTCCTTTGCATCCAGATCCTCCATCGCTTAACGACCAGACCCATCGCTACAGCCACAGTCACTAACTGCTCTATTCGCGCCAAGCATCGGGGGTTAGGATTGATTTCTTACTCCGGGATCCACTTGTGCCAGGCTGCGGGCCTAGCGGACTTGCGAATAAGCGGCCAGCGCCGTAGGTTGCGATGTTCCTATAGTGATTATTCACTGACAGCCCCAATTGAAGATCTGGCAATCGCACACTACTCCAATTCTCTGAACCAAAGAGGTGTGCTTCCATCATTAATTCGCACGATTTGTTCCTTGGGATGGGATGCTTTGAATATATCCCACGACAAGACGAGTGGGTCTGCCCACTTCCGAATTCGTATCCGTATCCGAATCCAGGCTCGAGTCCGTATTCGAACTCGAATTCTTTTATCTACCTAGTGTTAACCCTTCGCAATACCTGCAGGCCCGACTTCTCTGTAAGAGGCATAAGGTCTGGATCTTGTAATGGGACCTCGTAGGTCACATCGCAAGTCGCGCAACGGTTGTCCGGAATGCAAGTTGCGCCGGTTGAAGGTTTTTATTCCCACCTCTCATACCGGACTCTATTCTAACGCTGCTCTTAGTGCGACGAGCGCTATCCATGCTCGAATTGTGTTAAACACGCCATTCAATGCAGCTATGTCGCGCCTGTTGATCGCACGGAGTCGCCTGCCTCGAGCGCGTCCCCAGCCACACAATCGCAGCCTCAGTCGCAGCTACAGGCCCAGGCCCAGGTCAACCCGCCGGTCTATTCACATTCCCAACTTGGCAGCTATGCACCAACTCCTAATAGCAGCTACCCTGGGATCCTTGCTAATTCAGAGATTGAGTTTGAGTCCGACGGAACATTAGATTTTGTGGGTATTCTGCCCAGTTCACCGCAGGATGCCTTGGGCTTGAAAGAAGATTGGGGCCTGGACTTGGAGTTGATGCACCATTATTGCACAGTGACGTGCAACACCCTGACGATACGCGAGGACGTACGACATGTCTGGCGCGCCATCATGCCTACAGAAGGCTATTCTAATAAATATGTCATGCATGGTATCCTCGCCATCGCCGCGGTCCACCGTGCATATCTCTACTCAGCCTCAGCCCAGAAGGAAAAATACATCAAGGCATCTGCGTATCATCTCGCGACAGGGCTGAAAGAGTTTCGGGAAATAATTGCATCGCCTGTGGACCCCGAAAACTGGCAACCGGTCTTCTGTTTCGCTTCCATGATCTCGGTATATCTTTGCACTGTGCCGATCCGACTGGGGGTGCCTCAGTGGCCGAACCCGATTACAAATGTGATCGACCTGTTTGCCAGTATCAAGGGTATGCAGGCAATTATGAATCCTTTCTTGCCATCGCTGAGGAGGACGCAGCTTGCGCCCCTTGCAAATTCTATTTCGCTGGAAAGTGAAATGCGCGTTCATAGGTAAGCGCTGTGCCCCTGGGCTATGTGATGTCTTTTCGGGATTCGCGAAGCTCAGATTACCGCAGTCCTTCTCTTGCTGCGCAATCACTTTTGCCAGCCGATATCTGGACCCAGATCGCCCGTCTTCAGCAGTTCATCGACGACTACCCATTTTCCCCGCCCTCCACGGCAGGCAACTCACCCGAGAAATACTCCGAGCATCGAAAGGATTACGAATCGGCTCTCAAATTCTATAAGAACTCCACTCGGCAGTTGGAACTCGCTGGGCCAAATGTGGAAGTCGGCATGGTTTTCTCCTGGGCCTACCCGCTTTCGAAGCAGTTCCATGAGGACTTGCGCGCGAACCACCCTGCGGCGCTGGTCGTTCTTGCACATTTCTGTGTGCTGCTGCAGGCCGTCGACCACTTCTGGTATCTGCATGGTATGGCCCGCCAGGTTCTGGAGGACATTGAGAGGCAGATGCAGCCCGGGTTCCGAGATTGGTTGGTTTGGCCAAGACGGTGGGTATTGGGAAGATGATTTCCTAGTGTTTCACCTTTCTCGGTGATTGGATGGACTGCACAGATGCTGTTGCCATCCAGTCACCTGATAGGGAAGCTTGGTGAAGGTTATTCGTTGTGCTCAACATACAGGCCATCGCCTTTAAGGCAAGGCGGGTATGCTATGCCGTCCACACGATGCAGCCTGCGACCCTGACACGATTCCTGAGAATCGCATCGCAAAGTTGGAAGGGAGCTCTCTCATTGTTTGGCGAAGATGCAATCACGTTGAAACTCTATACCCTAGTGCTGTTGGCCCTACCAAAATGGATGAATGCGTAGGCAAAGATGGAATGTGGAACGTCACGATTTAACCCGATACCTTTTCACAGGTTCATCGCGGCCTTCTCAGCAATCAAAACTCGCAGGATGGGTGGATCTCAGTAGAAAGAAGAAGAAAAATGAAACAATATTAGATTTTTGCGGGGAACCGTCCCCGATAAGCTCCCAGACCAGAAGGGCCATCGTAGATCTGCTGCTCTAATAAACGGGTATTGATCTAGGAGAAACTGGATGTCAGAGGCCAGTCCCTTCAAATGCCAAACTGAAATGCAAATATCACACTTACATGTTGCATTCCAAGTTGATCCAGTCGTTGCACCCCCAGAAGGCGCATGCAGGTTTTGGTCTCATCGGCCAAGACTGAGAAATCTAGTCAGCACATTCTCTCGGGCAACGGCCGTTATGCTTGCGTTCACTGACTCTGCAATGTCCTCTTCACTCCATCCACTCCTCCCGCGGCCAGCCCCCACAGCGGAGGCCGGCCAAGACCAACACCTCGCGCCCCCAAGCAAAGCGCCTTGACTACGTCTGTTCCTCTCCTGACCCCGCCATCAATCCAGACTTCCACTTTGTCAAAGACCTCCGGGCAATATTTCCGCATTTCAAGCAGGGTGTGTACAGCTGGCGGAGCTGTATCAAGAGATCGCCCGCCGTGATTAGACAGTACAATTCCTTTCACCTGGGAGTTATGCAAGGCGGCAATATAGGCATCTTCGTGAGTCTGGATCCCTTTGAGAACGACCGGCAGGCTGGTGTGTTTGGCCAGCCAGGCAAGTGTCTCCGTCCATGTTAGCGACGGATCAAACCCCGCAAAAACCTGCTTCTCAGGCACTGGCTCTGAACCTTCGGGAGACTCCATCGCTGTGAGCTCGTTGATGACATTGCCACCGCGCTGGTCGTCTTCTCGTTTCCCCATCACCGGAGTATCAAGCGTCAGAACCAAGAACTTGATGGCGCTCAGCTTGTTGACGCGAGCGATCATTTTCTCGCTTTTGGTTCGATCGTCTTGCACATATAGTTGCCAGCCAAACGTTTGTCCGGGTACGGCGTTGGCAACGATCTGCTCCGGCGTCATGGAGGCGCTGTTCGATATGATCTGCAGGGCTCCAAAGCCGCCGCACGCTTCGGCGATTCCTGCTTCGCCAGATGGATGTCCGAGCCGCGCTTGGGCGGCCGGCGCAACGTAGATAGGCATGGAGACCTGGTTTCCTAGTAACGTCGTTTCTAAACTACATTCGGTGCAGTCAATGAAGACCCTGGGCCGTAAGAGGATCGAACGAAATGCCTCGGTGTTGAAGCGCTTGGTGATTTTGTCGTCGGCAGCCGAGTAATAGTATGCCCATGCTTTCTTGCTCGCCTTCTTCGTAGCCAGTTCTTCGATCTCGTCCATGTTGAGGAGACTTTGAACTGGAGGATGATTTTCGGGCTTCTCTATGCCGCCAAGCTGCGGCTCTACCGCGCTTATCGTCGAGGGGTCAACATTGCCCAGCAGCGCCTCGGGACGGAGATTCTCCTCGAGCGTGCCGGCAGGGTGAACCGGGTCAAATTCCTCGGTTGCATCTTTGCCTGCGAGCTTGAGGATGACATTGGCACCCCCGGGTGGTCCTTGACAAAGTCGGTTACCTTTACGCAACATTAAGCTCTCTACTCCGTAGGTGGGGCAATCGCAGTTGCGCAAGCAATAACACACTTACATCGTACACCTTGCCATATAGAATGACCCAACAGCTTTTGCGAGTGTTGTGCTCCGCCACTACATATGAGTCAGCCAGCTCGATATTCCATATTCCGCGTAGGGGTCCTGGTATTGAGATATCAGCAAAGTACCTTCGGTGGCAGTGAATACCTTCCCCATTTTGAGAATGCTGAGTTGACGGTTCGAAACAATGGATTTGCAGGTCAAGGTCACCCTAGCCACTTTCAACCCGTTCCTGCGCAATTAGCCGGAAGTAAAATGGAGTTTGGTTCCTCGGCCAGGGGTTGGGCTGCTTTTAGGGGTCTAGTGGGTTTAATCGGACTGCCCGCACGGTCCAATAGAAGATAGTGTCGAAGCGACACAATTGATAAAGGGATGCGATCGTGCGGGGTATCGGACGAAACACCGACAGCCAGCGTGCACCGCCAGTTCTGCTCACCGCAACTGGACTTCTCGGATTTATGAATATTTCGTCCTCCGGTAGCACTTTTATTAAACTGGCTATTAAATATTGTAACATGTACGGATGGTCTGGAATACACAAAGGGGGCATCGACACAATCAAACCGTCAATATGTCACAACAAGGAAAATCATTACCTGGTCTCCGAGTCACCAGGTGCCCTTGAAATAACTTGGATCTAGAACGCAAACTCGGGGCCCTGACCTTGGCCGCCAATACTAGTCGAATCACTTCGAGAAGCTGCTCCAATCGACCATGGCCAAGCCTCGCTGATCATCCGAAACCTCATGGCCTAGAGTGGGGAAAGATTGGTTTAGCAGGAAAGTAATTGACGATTTGAATTCAGCTCCGCTTACTTGCTAAATTTACAAAGCACTCCTACTTACAATCGTAACCTACAAGATTCTACGAGAATCTAGGAAGTCTGATAAGAAACTGTGGACGTATATCACCCCAATAAGGGCAGGCTATTAATTATTCACTCAGCAAAAGCACTAACTTGAAATCATCAAATACGACCCAAAACTCCAAAACTCCACATCACAAATTGTATCCTGGCCTAAAGCACAGGAACCTTGACATATTCCTTAGTCTCATCCTCATCCAAGTTGCTTTCGTCCGATCCCGGGGGAGTCATCGTCTCGCTAGCGCTTTCATCCACATGCATAGCATCCTTCTCGTTCACGACATTGCCGTCTTCAACGACAACCTTCTTCTTCGGCTCTGGCTCTGCTTCAATTCTCGGCAGGATCACATTCAGAATACCCTCCTCCAATTTGGCAGTGATCGCATCCACTGAAATGTTGGCAGGCGCCTCGTGAGTTCCGAGGCGGATTTCGCGCTCGAAAACACCAACCTCGCGGGACCGTTCCTCCACCGCTAGAGCTTGATGCAGGTCTTCGCTAATGCCAGGGCGATAGACGACACCGGCAAGGTGCAGAACAGACTCATCAGGGTCGTAGTCAATGCTGAGATCGTCCTTCTTGGCTCCAGGGAGGGAGACATGCACGGTATAGTTGGTGGGTGTGTCGAAGATATCCACGGATGGCACAAAGTCCACTCCGTCTGGAGTTGGACCGTTCAACTGGATTCCAAACTGGGAAGCGATATTGCGCAACACTTCAAAGTTTGGGAAGCCTGGTCCTGCGCCAAAGGGCGGTGCAGGGCCATCGTGGCGTCTGCCTCGGCCGCCACGGCCTCCCCAGTGGTGGCCGCCTCTTCCATGGTGACCAAATGGTCCAGCTCCAGGATGGCCACGGTGGCCTGGTCCGCAGCGGCCCCTGCCACCTCGTCCTCTACCTAACCCATGAGGACCGTCACGACCGGGGTGCTGGCCCTTGCCACACCGGCCGCGACAACGCGGTTCGTTGTCGGTCTCGATGTCAGAAGATACGCCTTTGTCATTCTCTGCATCACGGTTCTTCTCGGCAGAAGTGGATGGGCCAGCAGCCTGCTCGGTATTTTGGCCATCGGCAGCGGGTCTTTCAGAGTCCCGGGCATTATCGTCGGTTGACGGTCGGTTATCCCATCCCCAGAATGGAGAAGGTCCGTGATGGTGATAAGGATGGTGATGGTTGCCCGAGCCCCAGAAGGGAGGAGGGTGACGAGAGTGGTGGTGACCCCGAGGGGCAAAGAAAGGATGATCCTGGATGGATGAAGCCAGATAATCCCAGAACGGATTGGGTGGGTGGTTTAGATCATAGATGGAAGCCATCTTGATGTCACAACAGAATACAGACAAGATATTCTTATCTAAAGCAAAAGGTATTGGTTGAAAGAGGTTGGCTAGTGTAGTAATAACTCACAGGCGCAAGGAAGGTCGAAAGATAAAAAGATAGACCGGGTGGTGATCTGGTCTCTACAATAATGAATTCCTGGTTGCTTTTATACTTCACTTCTCGGGCTTAGGCAGCCACTATACTCGTCACCTCGGGGTTGGCTACAGCATCCCAGGTCTACGTACAACCACGTTGCCTTGAACGCGGAGCAATGCTATTCGCCGTCGGACTCTTGGGCGACCGAGCGTGAGTATCACATTCCCTGTTTTCTAAGCCATGTCCCTTCCGTAGACGATGTTCGAAAGCGATGGACGTGTCAGAGCTCGGAGAGGCAAATCAACATACAGTTTAAGTCCGAGGTGCTTCGGACGAGCTTCGGGTATTGCCATGTCCGAGCCCGCTTCTGGCTGTCTGACTCATGCCCCCGCGCCGCAATGCGCCACACAAGTGGCAAAGACCCGGGAAGTACGTGGCCTCGATCTAGCACAAAGCAAACAAGCTCCGGGTTCAAGGGGCTTGGATGCACTCAATACTGCACGGGCATGCAATTGATGGCGATTCTGAAGATACCTTGTTCGGTCCCGGTTGGCTCATCGCACAGCCGTAGAATATCTTCGAGTATCACATGACCCGCTACACTAAACAATCGCTGCTTACTCGTTTTCCGATTCACCCTCTCTCTTGATCCCTCCTAGCTTCATCCAATCCGTCATCGTTTCGCTACAATGCCCTCACTGCTCGCGAAGTTTCCAGTGTATATCCTCTCCTCTATCGTCCTATTGGGCGCCTCCTCCCGTCTCACCCATGGCCGGTATACCCCAGCCTGGTATGCATTCCAGGAATATCACACGCCAGACGATGGCTCGACAACGGCAAAAATCATACTTATTATCGACACACTTGTGGGTCTGGGGCTCCTTTTGGGGAAAGGAAGACTCAGGCTTTCTGCTGCGGCCATTAGCCTGATGTTTTTCGCTATAGGACTGGCGATGCAGGTCCAGGCCGGGAAACAATATGTTGGTGACCTAGCGTTGGTATTCTTGGGAGTAGCTGCCGTGGCAGTGTCATGGAAATAAAATGGATCGAAAACAGTTTCACCAACGTACTCTATTGGATTCTTTCCCGATTCCTATTCTCAAGCTCGCTAATCTATAAAAATACCAACTATACACCCGCTTCCTTCATGCCCCCAATAACTAACAGCAGCCTATGATAGCTGTAACATGCCGCTAATTTGAGCAGCCCCCTCGATGGGACTTAACCACGGCAATCGTCTTTCAGTGTATAACTCCGCCTCGGGCTTCCATTCATTCAAAAGTTGGGTATCAAATATTCCGGCCCGGACGACTGTAATCTTGTCAGGTTCTCCGTCGGAGTTAATCTTCCGTCCAAAAAGCGGCGTGCCTATCACTTTCATTAGATATTGTCTTCGTAAATCCAATCGTATAACACAGACCACAGTCAGGACAGAAATAATTCCTGATAGAATTTCCACTATCCGATGATTTTGCCACTTCTTTTGGGCTTCCAGAGATATCTAGTTCTGCAGTTTTGACGACAAAACTAAAGGAATAAGGACCCCCGGTAAGTTTGCGACAATCGAGACAGTGGCACAGTCCCTGGTAGATTAGGTTAGGTTAACAGAGAATCTTGAGTCCAGTAGGCGATACTAACCGACGCGGTAGGCTGACCATTATATTCAATTCGAATATTGCCGCAGAAACAGCTGCCAATAGCCATTTTGATTTCGATGGAGTAGGATCTGCTCTAGAACCGGTTCACGATGAAGATGTTGTAATAAGGTGGATTCGTATAGCCTAATGCGTTCAAACCGAATATGATCAAGCAGAATCAAAGTCAGAATGAAAAGATTGATTAAATACAGGGGGTGAGGGGGGTGATAAGCATAGGGCCGCCCATATGGGCGGCCTGTTGCCCGTACGACCGATACCCTCGGCGATTCTACTGTACACTCGTGCTCATGAAAATTCTAAATTTCTTTACTAAAACATAAGGGATGCGGTCTCCGGTGTGACCTCTCACTTGCTAGCGGTAAGTTACCGCTCCATGTTTCGACGAAGACTTTAAGAAATGCATATCCAGCCCTGGAGTTGACGATGTAGTTATTTATAACTTTCTATGTTGATATGAGTAAGCACGTGTTGGTTGAGCCCAACAATATAGTATTAGGCAACCCATTCCAACCATTCTGACCATTCCAACCATTATGACGATGGTTACCAATTACCATCACAGTTCTGCCGGAAATATAGAGCCGTGAACCAAAGTGATGTATGAATGAAGTCGCAAGAGTCTAGGTGTATATGGACTGTAATGTATAGACTACCGCCTTCTTACGCCACCCAGCGCGTTCAAGCTGCAACCTGCATAGCTTTGTCCAGCGAAACATTTCTCACATGTTTAACCCATTGGCTATACCTCTCCCGAATTAGGGTGCGATGTCTACCATGTTCCCTTTGTCGACGACACATGACGGAAGTCCGCAGTCCCCGATATTTCAGAAACGATTTTGTAACACATAATACTGTATCTTATACGAAATTTTGCCCCTCACTGTTGTCAGCCGGCCTTGAGATCCAGCAGTCTACGACTATCTCGAAAACCGACTGTCAAACGGCACTTTGGCACCAAGTCTATTTTCCTTCAAAGGTACACTTCGCTCGTGATATGAGCTGAATCCAGAGGCTCACAATGACCCTAACAAAACTGAACTTCATCACCGGAAACAAAAATAAGCTTGCCGAAGTGCGGGCTATCCTTGGTAGCGTTATTGAGGTAGACAACCAAGTAGCCGATATCCCTGAGATCCAGGGAACAATCGAGGAGATCGCCGAAGAGAAAGCCAGGCGCGCAGCTGAGGCGGTAACCTCTTCCTCAATTGTCTTTCTTCAAGTGGGGTGTGTTATCATCAGCTCACGGCGGAATAGATAAATGGACCTGTCCTGATTGAAGACAGTGCGCTCGAATTCCGTGCCCTTAATGGTCTCCCTGGACCCTATATGTATGTCTCCCAGTAGATCTGCTTCCCTCTGGTTCAATTGAGTCGTAACGAACGTCAAGCAAATACTTCCTCGATGCCTTAGGCCTCGAAGGCTTAAATCAGTTGCTTGATGGATTCGAGGACAGGACAGCTGATGCTGTCTGCACATTTGCGTTCTGTGAGGGGCCCGGGGCTAGGCCAATTCTATTCCAAGGAAAATCCACGGTAGAAATCTCATAGTTTTATTTCCTTAACTTGAGTCTGACTGCGTTTATATAGGGTACCATTGTGCGGCCACGAGGCCCCTTGAATTTCGGTAAGTGGGTATCTGATATTTCCTTACAAAAGCGTGATTTACAGTCTATGATTCTTTCCAGGCTGGGACCCTATCTTTGAGTATGATGGAAAGACCACCTTTGCTGAGATGAAGCCGGAGGAAAAGGTGAGATGCTATTCACTACCTATTTTTCTTTACGAGGAACATCGAAGACAGTCTTATACTAAATGACCTCGATCAGAACCTCATCTCTCACGGGTACAAGGCGCTGGTGAAATTGCAGCAGTGGCTGGCCGAAGCCAACAGAAACTAGTCATAGAAATAAATATAGCCACGAAAGTCTTGAGAGTCATCAGAAGCGACTCGTTCAATTCCAACCTATCTCCTTGATCCGCAATCTCTGCGACAGTAATGCTCTTCTCATTACTTTACAGGAGTGGGAGGTCAGATGAACCTTGTTGAAAACCAGCTGCATTAAAGCCGAGGTAATTTCTATATTGAGAAGGATGCACCTTACCCAATAGGATCCATCTAGATAACACTTGTGGCTACAAGTCGCGCATTTGATAGCTGTGATGCATCGCTGTGACATGATTGCTCGGGTGGGGCAGGGAAGCTCTTCTATCACAAGCCATCACATGACATCCTATATGAACAAAATATTCCCCCTTCCGCTCTACAGCCACCTAATTCCTAGATGATTCTACAGAGCTCATCTCAAAGCAATCTCTGTAATACCATGTGAATCCTCTTCTCGAGCGTCATGCCTGAATCTTCCGATTCACTCCTGTGGCACGTGCCAGTATTCTCACCGGCGGTCCGAAGGGTTCCGAGTTTCCCCTTAGAGATACGCCAGCGGCTAGCTCTAGAGGCCCTCCGCCGCGGTCAGCACCATAGGATGTCTACGGGAGCTCGAGAACCCGATTCCGGGTGGATTGCAGTGGAGCTGAGCAAAGAACGGTGTTTTTGACTTTTTTCGATCCGAGTGTTTCCTTCTCTGTACTTTCCACTGGGTGGTCCCGCGGCACTGCGGGATGAAGTCATGGATATGTCAACGGAAAGGCTTATATAGCCCAAAGAACACTCACGTCCGTGGACTAATAGATCAGGTGTTTTCCAATGGCAAGACGATTGCAGAAACTGGCATCCGATAACCGCTGAACTTGGACCAGCTCCGTTCATCATCATGCCTCCCCGGCCCTTGACGCGGGCCTTGAATCTGCGCCCATCTCGTATCGGCCCTCCCGACTACTTCACATTCACATACTCACGAGACCTGATCTCGGTGAAGAGCAAATCTGCGCAAAGATGTCTTGCAACATACACTGAAAACCCGACTGCTACCGACAAAGCAGGTAACAAAAAGGAACGTGTCGTTATCCTTGGCTCTGGCTGGGGTGGATATACGGTCTCGCGCCGCCTGTCGCCGCAATCCTTCTCGCCCCTCATCGTCTCTCCACGCTCATACTTCGTCTTCACTCCGCTCCTGACCGACACTGCCAGTGGCTCACTGGACTTTTCCAATATTGTCGAACCTGTCCGGGACCGGCGTGCCAAGGTCGACTTCATCCAAGCTGCTGCGCGAGCTATTGATCTGAAGAAAAAGACCGTTTTGTGCGAGGCCACTGTGGTCCGGAGCGGTGTTACTGAGACGCCGCGTACCTCCGAGGATGAAAGACAAGTTGACGAAGGTCCGGAAACCACGTCCAAGCAGCCAATGCAGGCATTGCGCCAATGGGAACAAGGTGAAATATTCGAGGTTCCATACGACAAGCTTGTCATTTCAGTCGGCGCTGTCAGTCGCACTTTTGGTACACCGGGTGTCAGGAAAAATGCCATGTTCTTCAGAGACATTGGCGATGCGAAGCGGGTGAAGCGGCGCGTGCGCGAATGCTTTGAGTTGGCCGTCCTTCCGACGGCAACACCCGAGATGCGGAAGTGGTTGCTTCATTTTGCAATTGTTGGCGCAGGCCCCACCGGCACCGAACTTGCCGCCTCGTTGCGCGACTTCATCTATGTGGACCTGATGGCGCTCTATCCAGCGCTAGAAGGGATCCCCAAAATCAGTCTCTATGACGTCGCGCCTCAGGTACTGTCGATGTTCGACGAGTCCCTCTCCCGGTATGCGATGAAAACCATGAGGGGCGAAGGCATCGACATCAAGACCTCCCATCATGTCAAGAGCCTACGCTGGGGTCCACCCGGTGCCCCAGGCCCCCATGAAATGGATCCCAAGCGCTGTTTGACGTTGACTACCGAAGAGGAGGGTGAAGTGGGCGTGGGCATGTGCGTCTGGGTGACGGGCAATGCAATGACCAAGCTTATCAGCCAATCTCTTCTTGCAGTCAATGATTTTCCAACTGACTCCGTCTACACCATCGACGGTGATTCAGGCCCGGTCGCCCCCACTGGGAAATCCGCTTGGGAGGTCAAAAAGGTCCCCAAAATAGGTGCCTTGCTCGTCGACGGTCATCTCCGCGTACAACTTCACAACGATGCTGGACAGACTGCCGTTCTCAAGGATGTCTTCGCCCTAGGCGATAATGCCATTCTGGAGACCGGTGCCCCTCCGGCTACAGCGCAAGCAGCCTTTCAAGAAGCCAAGTGGCTCGCGGATCGCCTGAACAAGCAAGACCTGGAGCACACACCACCCTTCTCGTTCCGCAATATGGGCACGCTGGCTTACATCGGAAGCGAGAAAGCGCTGATGCAGCTCCCTCACGACATGCATGACCCAAGTAAGCGCAGTAAATACCTGCCGGGGGGATCACTGGCCGTATGGCTCGGTTAGTCTGGAACGCGGCGTACATTACCATGAGCATCAGCTGGCGCAATAAGCTGCGGGTGGCGTTCCGGTGGACCCTAAACAGACTGTTTGGGAGGGACGTGTCACGCTTTTGAGATTGCCAGGAGTAAATTATTTAATAAGCGGCGACATAGAGTCAATCATTTTCTCCCATCGGCTAATGACTGGATCTTTCCTCCGGCCTTACCATGTGTGGGCAGTTCTGGGCGAACCGAGGCTTCTCCGCATTCCCCGCATGGGCGCACGTATTTGAGCGGGTCGGCCGCGGGTACCCTTCACGTCCTCCCGACACTCACCATGGCAGCTCAGGAGCCCGCGTATGTCGCCATCGCCCAGCGTAAACAAGCTGCCTTGTTGGCTGCCATTCCCGCTGAATGGCGGTTGCCGGCGCATCTCATCCCGGCAGGGATGCTTTCACCCGCTGAGTCGATCACCGAGGGACCCAACCGTTACGGGAGAGTCAACGTGACGGAGATCCCGCGCACTTGCGGCATACTCACCCCAAAGGAGCTAGAGATCACGGAGAAGTATGATGTGCGTGGGTTAGTTTCGGCCATGACTGGAGGCAAATTGAAGGCTGAGGATGTTATCCGGGGGTTCTGCAAGGTGAGTAGTCTCGCACGCTCCGTTCGGCTTGACTGTTCGCCCTGTTAATGCTTTTACCTCTGCAATCATGACAGAGAGCTGCAATTGCCCATCAACTCACCCGCTGCCTTACCGAGCCCCTCTTTGACCGAGCTTTGCGCCAAGCAAAGGAACTAGACGACCATCTCCAGCGAACCGGCACTCCCGTCGGTCCTCTGCACGGCCTCCCCGTCTCGGTGAAAGACACATTCTGCGTCGAAGGAGTGGACTCGAGTATCGGGCTTTCTGCCCTCGCATTCAAGCCCGCCCGCAAGAATGCCGCCTTGGTCGATTTGCTCCAGTCCCTCGGCGCCGTGATCATCGCCAAGACGAATGTCCCACAAACGCTCGCAACGCTCGACAGCTGCAACCATCTCTTTGGTCGCACTCTGAACCCACTGAGCCGTCAATGGACGGCCGGTGGCAGTACCGGGGGAGGGCGCGCTGCTTGCAATGAACGGGTCCATGGTTGGGTTTGGCACTGATATCGGTGGCAGCATCCGCATCCCCGCGATGTGCCAGGGCCTCTATGGATTCAAGTCGAGCGAAGGGCGTGTGCCGTACGGTGGCCAGGAAGGTGGGCAGATTGAAGGCAAGGGCCGGATCTCCCTGCAGCCTGTAGCTGGTCCGTTGGCACGCTCGGTGGCGGACATTGCTGCCGTCATGGCCGAGATAGTGCCGCGTGCGGAGCTCGTCGGAGAAGATTGCATTCCGGGATACTGGCCCAGCCCCTCGGTACCAGCTTCTCTTGCAGTTCCGCGCAATTTCACCGTCGGTATACTCAAGACGGATGGTGTGGTCACTCCCTTGCCGCCAATTACCCGCATCCTCGAAGAAGTGGCTAACCACTTGCGTCGGACACCTGGCGTAGAGGTTGTGGATATCCCGCTCCCTCCGGCTCTACCAAAGTGCCAGGGCCTCGCGGGCCGTCTCATGGGTGTTGACGGCGGGGCCCACATGCTCGACCTAATCGAGGGCCAGGGCGAGTCCTTGATGCCATGGCTCCAGGGTCGCATGAAGCGCGGCCCGGCTCTGACTATCGATCAGCTGGCGAAGCTGCAGGCCCAGCGCACCCAGATCGAAAGGGAGATGATGCAGATGTGGACTCATTCTTCATCATCAAGCAGTCGCCAGGTTGATGCGATTGTCTGTCCTATCGCGCCGCATCCTGTTCCACAGATAGATCGATATAACGCTGTTGGATATACCTCAGCATTCGTATTGCTGGATTATCCTGCTGGCGTTATCCCTGTACGGCCTTTCGTAGAATCGGATCTTGAGCTTGGGCGGGAGATGAATGATCCTGTGCTGGGAAGCTGGGACCAGGCTAATCGACAACTGTGTAGGTTTGACGTAAACGGCTTGTGTTGGAGTGCTGCTAACCATGTGGGATCTAGGGAATGAGAAAACTGTGGACCGCCGTGTATATCTCGACTCGCCGCTGAGTGTGCAGGTTGTGACGCCAAAGCAGCGTGACTATGAGCTCTTCCAGGCCATGGAGATTATTGACCGAGCAGTTCAGGGCCGCGTGGGACAAACTACATCGAAGCTGTGACTATTTTTGCAATTCAGTAGTATATAAGCTTTCCACATCAATAGTTAGTGCACCTCGCACGCGCAGTATCCATAAGGCCGTGTGCTTCCACATAGATGCTTCCCATAGTTCTTCTCGGCCGGCGGATCTCATCGACTATCTACATTACATACGCCCCCCCCTACATCATGTCTAAAGCCTCCCCTTCAACACCGCACCTCCGTCGGACGTGATCACAGCTCCATTCAAATGGCCCGAGGCCCGAGAACCCAAAAAGACCACCAGACCTGCGATGTCCTCGGGTCGGCCCAGTCGGCCGTTCGGCGAGAACTCTTCCAAATGCTCGATTCCCCCCTTGGCCTCAATCAGGCCGAGCGCCATCTTGGATGGGTAGAAACCCGGTGCAATCGCGTTGGTGAGAATATGGCGAGGGCCCAGCTCGACGGCCAGGTTTTTGGCCAGATGGATCGCAGCAGCCTTGGAGGCTGAGTAGCTGGGCGTGGCATGCTCGCCAATTGCACCGATGCCGATTCCTGCGACGGAGGCGGTGATGATCACACGGGCCGGGTCATCGACGGTGGCCTTGACGGTGAGAAGGGGGGCGAGTCTATCGGTAACACGTCAGCGGGAGATGGTGTGGGATCAGGATATCCAGGGCCCTCTGCAAACGCACTTTTGGATGGTATAGAAAATGCTCTTTACGTTCAGATCCATCACCTTGGAGAACATCTTCTCGGGGTGGGTATCGAACTTCTCGCCCCAGGTGGCACCGGCATTGGCGAACAGGATATCCACGTGGTCGGTGGTCTTGCTGATCTCTGCCACCAGGCGATCCAGCTCCTCCACCCGAGAGCTATCGGCCGGCACGGAGATGGCTTGTGCGCCCGGCCGCTTGGTGGGCAAGGCGTTGAGTGCGGCGACGGCTTCCTCGCAGGCGTCCTTCTTGCGGGATGTGATGTATACTTTGGAGCAGCCGGCTTGTAGGAGACTGCCATGCCTCGTCAGAATGCATGCTAGACATGGTGTGCATCCCCGCAGAAACGGATGGTGCTGGATGTTACGGATCCACTCACCCAGAGGCAGCATGCAAACCCAGTCCGCGCGAGCCGCCGGTCACCACAGCGACCTTCCCCTCCAAGGAGAAGATGCTAGAGAAGTTAGACAGTTCCACCTGTTCTTCTGCCGACATGGTGATATGCTTCAAGATAGACGGGAGGGGGTGAGGGTGGACACCAGGGGCCACTATTTATATCAAGGCGGCCGTGCAGAGAATCGGCAGCCCCAGGCCACTCCCGCCGGCCGAGGCTCGACAGCAGCCGAACCCCGCAAATCTGGGGGCTCGTCCACCGAGTTGCTTCGGCCAATCTTTCTACCCATGACAGCGCCTGCAATTAACCGTGAATCCAGTATAGCTAGACGTAGCCTCAGTCGCAAAACCCAGTCACCAATCGGATTGTGGTCCAGAGATATGTCTGAATATGCCAGCCACGAGGTCATCAGGAAGGGTCGGGCAACGTCAACAGGCGACATTCAGCGTGCATTTCGTGGATGTTGATTGACTTGATTCTGTTCACCCAATAAGATTGACAGAGCATGCTGATTAGGGCGAGCAGTCGTGCAGGGAGCTGGGCTTCGTTCTCAAGGCCCCCGACCTTTGCTGATTAATGCGGTTCTTGGCGTCTCTATGGAGCCCAATGGATCCAGCCTCGACGACCTCGTCTTGCACGGAATGACTTTCGGGTCATTGGATGATGGGCTCAGCTTCATCATGCTTAGACTGTCAATCTGGAGCACGACTCTCCTTTCCCGAATGGATCCCGTCGCTGTCATCGAATCGCATCTCGCTGCACCGCCACTGGTGGAGCGGATAATGTGCTCAATCCCTCGCATGGCCACGAGAAATGGGCGGGGACGAGAATCGAGGGAATCCATTGGAGGTGACTACTTCGGTGGGCGTGGAGTGACGTGCTGAGGAGGGCGCTTTAAAGGGCCCGGGGACCTTGGAAGCCACACTCAGCAGTTCATATACATCTCATCTCCAAGAACCCCCTCCATCGCTCTCGCTTTCTTGTCGAATACCACCTCCACGACCCCCATTCCCATCCCTTGCTCACTATGGCGGCCCAGACGCACACCCTGCCCCCTCTCCCCTACGCCTACGATGTAAGTCTCGCATCGATGCAAGATGCAATACGCAGCACAGGAACTCACCGAATCCTCAGGCCCTGGAGCCCGTGATCTCCAAGCAGATCATGGAGCTGCATCACTCCAAGCACCATCAAACCTACGTCAACAATCTGAATGCCGCCCTCTCCGCGCAGGCGTCGGCCACCCAGACGAACGACGTGCCCACCCTGATCTCCCTGCAGCAGAAGATCAGGTTCAACGGCGGCGGCCACATCAACCACTCCCTCTTCTGGAAGAACTTGACTCCTCCCGGAACTCCCGGTAACGACCTGGCCAGCGCTGCGCCCTCGCTGCGGGATGCTATTGTCTCCCGCTGGGGATCGCACGAGGCCTTTGTGAAGGCGTTTGGCGCTGAACTGCTCGGCCTCCAGGGCAGTGGTTGGGGATGGCTTGTGAGCAAGGGTGGACCGCAGGGTCGGCTTGAGATCACGACGACCAAGGATCAGGATCCGGTTGCCGCGGCTGACGTGCCGGTCTTTGGGGTGGATATGTGGGAGCATGCGTACTATCTGCAGGTGAGTGGCCTAAACTGGGTGATGTCGTGCCTTCTCGCTTTACTGATTCCTCGTTTAGTATCTCAACAACAAGGCTGGCTATGTCGAGGGCATCTGGAAGATTATCAACTGGGCCGAAGCTGAGAAGCGCTACACAGCCGGTGTGGAGAATCCGCTGAAGCTGTAAGCCATTCAGTGATTCGGAAACACGGGGCAAAGGATCATGCCCAGCGAATGAACGCATCTGGATTATCATATTTGTACTCTCTGTATGCAGTATGAATGATGAAAATAAAATCAATAAACATGCTCAAAATCAATTATATCCGACAATTCCGACCCCCAGGACGGCACCGCCCGCGTCGCTCACGGTAACTTGTCTCCCGACAACGCCCTTCGTCGAGACGCCCAGGTCCAGCCGTTCGGGCAACTCGAATTCCATCTCCGTCTGGCGCTGCCCGGGCTTCAAATTCGGGCTCGATGCCAAGTCTAAACGGAACTTGTGTAGAGGTGGTGTAGAATTCGTTGGTGTAGAGAGATCTCCATATTGCCTAATGCTTGTCAGGATAGGCGGATTGATTTGAGATAACCGGAGACACTTACTCGATCCGCATATCCACCTGCCGGCATTCACGAAGCATTTCGTACGTCTCAGCGTCATCGATTTGAAAAATTGCTTTCGTCTTGCTATCCTTCTCGTTGTCGCGGAAAAATAGCGAATATGAAGATAGAGATGAGACTGATGAAGTTGACGAAGCAACGGAGTCCGGAGACGAGGACCGGGACTGCTCCGAAGTATGAGAACTCGATGAACTCGATCGATTCTCACTGGGGAACAGCACCGCAATGGTACCGCCAAAGGTAGGTCTGATTGAGTCGCCGCACATGTTTGCAGATTAAGATAAATTGAATAATCAATAAAATCAAGTCAAGAGGCCGAAGTAGTCACAATGCACAAGCGCAACAATGCTGTACAATATGTGCACCGTCTAGATATATTCTTCTGCACGTACAAGGCAACACTTCAAGTCAAGTCACTTCACTACTAAATCCAACAGATAGAACATGGAGTGCCCGTCTGGCTAAATAGGCCCAATCCCCAAGGTGCCGGCCACCAAGGTGAGCGGGATCGAGCAGATATGCGGCCCCGCTAGTGTCGATCGTGTCCTCTCAAATCTGCGCACTGTGGGGCCTGCGTGATGGATGGCTAGTCCACATCTTTGGGGGGCGTTCTGGTCCAGGCATGACTTGCCCAGAAAGGTAGGTCTAATTTGAGGTGAGCTCAATCGAGAAATACCCCTCTGAATTTGAATAATAGCACATACATCGTGCCGATAATGGGCCTTATCTGAAGGGGTTGCATACCGTCTAGGCGAAGACTTTGGGCCACCTAGAATCCACCACAATCTTCCCCAGTATGATCGACATGACACATCTGGTGAGGTGTGCTCCATGGATGCTTGGCTTAAAGAAGTATAAGCTCTAAGTCTGACATGTCTCCCTTCCCAGTGATGCCTCACTGCCTCTTACCGTTTTCAGCAACCACCCGCTCGGGTAAAAGCTCAGAAGGCATTGCAGGCTGCAATAATCATTAGTCAGCGGTCGGATGGTGTAGTTGGTTATCACGTGTCGTTAACACCGACAAGGTCCTGGGATCGAACCCCAGTCTGATCAGCTTTTTTTTTCTGTTTCCCACTACCCTCACCATACGCCTTCATGGCCCACCTGCTGGTAGACCGCTTCAAATTCAGGTCAGCAATTTCCTCAATATAGCCTGGAGGGGTATGATCCCTACTTTGGGTGTAGGAGTCCACCTCCTCATCACCTCAAATACCAACCCATCCAGCTCGACCGGGCCTTGATCCCTCCCTTTTTTTGGCTTTTCTTTTTGCTTCTAGTTATGATTAATTGAAACATCATACCAATTGTATCCAATTGTATCCTTTAGGTTACTGTCCTTTGTTTTGCTTTTCTAATTTCCCTTCCTTATACTGAATACCTATCATTTGCAAGGTCACTCGAAGGTCTTGATTTTGGTGTATGATTTATCATGAATTACCGTTTTCGATCAAATATATATATCGTACTGGTGGGAGAATCTTCTTCAATGGGACCTTGTCACTGAATTCAAGTTTGCCCAAGCACCTCGGAACAAATCAGAGATGGACGCAGAACACCACGATCGAGCAGCTCTTGAATTCCAACACGGGGCTTGTTATTAACTTCATTGTTCTTGGCTCTGTTGGAGGGCATATTCAGGGTCCACTGAAGTTCAAAAGAAGTGTTTCAACTCGCTCTCGTCACGTTCATGATTAGACTCGGTTTTCATGTTGCAGGAAAATTCCACCAGGTCTGGAAGGGTATCATCATGATTCTTCCGATAGAATTCGGTCGAAGACGCGCCGATGCGGCGAAGACTAAGAGCGGGCGAAACGTCGTCAAGAGACGATGGGTGCTGTGGCTTTGGGCGCACGAATAAGATGACTGTCTGAGTCCTATCTTGAAACCCTCATGTGCCAAGACGCTATGACTTCCTTTGCTTCTTCCTCTGGCCACAGAATATAGTAAATCTTCCATGGCAGCTTTATGTAAAGCAAGCTAGAACAGGAAAACGAGATTTGATAACGGGGTTGTCTCCAGTGCCTGCAGGGGTCTTCTTGAAGTAGTGAGAGCAGAATCTAGAAGCTCCTTCGCAACCACAGTGTAGGCTGCACAATGTAAAGTGACGAGTTGCACATGTAGACAATCATCTATCAACCAAACATTAATTTAAGTGCCGAGGAGAGAGCAGCACGGCGAAACAGATACTATCATTTTCTTGGTAGAGTCGCCATTGTCTCAATGTATATGGCAATTCACCGCGTAAATATGATGTTCTGGAATAAAGCGTGGACAAAGGGGAGAATTCATACCAGAAGAGATTAATGTAGCAGAGTCCGAGGAGGCAGTAGTCTCAATATGTCCACAAACACTAGCAAACAAGCAGGCAGTAGAGTGGTACTGAATAGTATTGCCCAAAGCGGTTAGCGTGATATCGGAGCTCCTGCGCTCTTTTCGGCTTCACCAGATCCCGTCACAACTCTCCCTTTAACCTCGACCATCAATGCGCTCGCTGCCTACGATACCCCGGCCTCAGTGAAGTATCGCAGTGCCAGGAATGCAGGCAGGCTACCTCCTGTCCACCCTCTAAGCAACTGCGCCAAGTCGCCCAACCCATCTCCCCAACCCTCGCATCCCGCGCTCGGCCTTCCCTCACCTCCTAGAGTCTCAATTGAGGCTCTCACGACCATGGCTTCTCCCACTCAGACTCAAGGCTCCGCGCCAGCCACCCAGCCTCTCACTCCTCCCGCCGAATCCTCCTCAATAGCCAACGGTGTCCCAGCCCCCGCCGCAGCTACCACAACCTCGCAAGCAACGGCGCCCGCGCCGGCGACAGCCCCAACCACATCAACCTCACAATTGCCCCAGATCCCAGGAACGTCTCTCCAAGACAGCGGCAAATCGCGTCGTCCACGCGATGTGCGCCTCGTGCACATGCTCCTCGCCTCACTCGGCGTGACAGCCTATCAAGATCGCGTGCCACTGCAACTCCTCGACTTCGCCTACCGCTACACCTCCAACGTCCTCCAAGACGCGGTGCATCTTGCGACTGAAGGGTACGCCCCCGTTTCCGGCGATGGCAGTGGTTCTGGTGGGAAGGGTGCGGCATCCACAGAAATTACCGGCGTCTCTCTGCCTGCGCTGCGGCTCAGCATTGCGTCGCGGCTACACTATCAGTTCCAGACGGGCTTGCCCAAAGAATTCCTCATGGATGTGGCGTCGGAGAGAAACCGCATCGCGCTACCTGGTGTGTCGAGAGGATTTGATCCTGCCGCTGGAAGTGCGAATGGTGGTGGTGCTGCTGCCGCAGGCACGGCAAATCAGAGTGTCATGATGGCGGGTATGCGATTGCCGCCGGAGCGGTTCTGTCTTACGGGTACGGGGTGGAATATGAAGGACGAGTGGGACAGTGAAGGGGAAGAGGAGGAGATGCCTGATGCGCCACAGCAACAGGCCAAGGGCTCCGCTGCTAAGGCTGAGGAGGACGAGGAAGGTGGGGATGAAGACGACGACGATGGGAAGATGGAGGATATCTTTGGCGAGGACACCGCGATGGGCGATGCGGGTGAAGGAGACGAGGACCAGAAGATGGGCGATGCTTAACGTGGTGCCTGGCTCCCGATTCGTTTTCTTCCGCTAGGCGGCTATGTTGTTTTTTATATGCTCGGGTTGGACGGTGTTACTGGTGCCTGGTGTTCTCGTCATTACCTCCATCTAGACCGGGAAGGGCCGGACTATTTACCATCGGGAGAGATATCTTCTACGTCGTGATAAAGCTCAGATACAGAGTTTTTCGTGCATCAGCTGGTGCTGATGCTGAGGAGAACACGTGAAAAGATGAGATGAGTTTCTGATCGATGAATTGAGAACATGCTATCTTGTAATATACTGTACATAATCGAGTGCCATCCCATTTGCCCTAAGTTTAGGATGATCATGCAAAAGAAGAAAATATGCCCAAGAAAACGCCTGATTTTGTCCTTTGTACGCCGTGAGGAGAGACAAGGCATGCGGGTTCCACATCTGCCGGGGAACATGCCTCGAGGTACGACACCATCCTGAGCATGTTCCAGCAATGCCAGATGCCCCTTTGATTGCATCTTCTGGCAGCAATCGCACGGTTCTGCCGAATCCATAAGCTCCTCACCATTCGAGCCAAGGAGTGGCCGTCACCAGGCAAGGGCATCTCGACGCTTCCCAGGCAATGCAAGCAAGCAGGATCAGATACCCCCAGACGCCGAAACCCATATACACAATATACACTCACCCGTGGACTGAATCCACAGGTGATCGTAAACGAAGATGAAGAGAGGGAGAAACGTTCAACAGCCAGTCAGGAGATCACCTTCCCTGGGCCTGCTGCCGTCTCCGCTCCTCGTCCTGCCGCATCATGGTGATGACCTCCTCACGGCGCTTCTCCACGCGCACAAGCTCTTGCTCCTTCGCACGGCGTCGCTCCTCAAATGTGGCAAACCACTCCTCACGAGCGCGGTCTTCTTCCTCCCGGTTGTTGGCGTGCTCGATCATACACGAGTTCATGGCGAGGCGCTGCTGCCTGCAAACCCATGTGGCAGTGACGGTACGGTTAACCGCACATTCTGCGAAGGCTGTATAACAAGGGGGTATTAGTGATGTGCTTTCTTTCTGTAACTCGTGGGGGTTCGTGGTGGAGCTGGATCATGCAACTTCTGGACTCCGGCCGAGTTCCAGCGGGTACGGAATGAGAGCCCCTTTTGAACAGGCGAATTGAGGTGCCCAACGTAGCGTGGTAAGATCACATACCTTTGATTTCCGGTGCGCAGCGAGCTCGTACGCGCTTGTGGTACAGCTGCTTGACTTCTTGTTCCTGGGAGGCCGAGAGGGGGAGCGGATTGCGGAGATTGTATTTCTTAGGCGCAGAAGCTGTTGCTGAGGTATCGGGAGAGGCAGATGGTGTAGCCATTGAGACTGGATGGCTCGATCTAAGTGATCAAAGTGACAGGTGCAGATCAGATAAGTGAGAGACGCAATGCGTGGCCGGAAGTGCGAGCTGACGACCCCGACAGTCGGAGAGAAAGGGTAATTGGCAAAAGATGCGGGCGCACAGGAAAAGATAGAGATAAAGGATTTCTCTACCGAGCAATTGCTGCTCACAAACGATGAAAGTGGCCGGGGAGAGGACGAGGATGTGTTGATGCGGCGCGCGAGGACCCGAGTTTCGGGCGGAGAGTCGAAAGGCGGAAGCAGAAAAAAAAACCTTCCGGACTGTACAACCTGCAACCCTCGCACCACACCACGCTTCCTACTGGGCGCATTCTGTCTAGCTCTTTTTTCTGTATTTTCATTTTCTTTCTAGAGCTGCAGCGCAGTTATACTCGATTTCGACCTCTTGGTTCCTCGTCTCAAGTACAGCAACCTCGCAGGCAAATACCCAGCATGTCGTCCATGCGCAACGCCGTTCAGCGGCGGCAACACCGCGAGCGGGGCCAGCTCGAGGGCCGTGAAAAATGGGGTCTTCTCGAAAAGCACAAGGTTGGTGGTCTCCCTCTTCTACTGCGAATCGTTGCAGGCAGCTTAGGATTTCTACAAGTGGAACATCCCCCCAAAAAACAAGCTAACCCTCGGAACAGGACTACTCGCTCCGCGCAAAAGACTACAATGAGAAGAAAGCCAAATTGAAGCGCCTCCAAGAGAAGGCCAAAGACCGCAATGCCGATGAGTTCAATTTTGGCATGGTGGGAGCCAAGAATGGCCAGCAAGGAAAACATGGACGTGGTGTCGGCGTATCGCGAGACTCCGCCGCGGCTCGCGGACTCAGCCACGATGCGATCAAGCTGCTCAAGACCCAGGATCAGAATTATCTTCGGACGGTGGGTGAACGGATACGGCGGGAGATCGAGCGCCTGGAGCGCGATACACAGCTGCAGAAAGAAATGAATGAGGCCCTGGGCGGGAAGGGCGGGAAGAAAAAGCAAGAGGAAAATGGAGACGACGAGGACGAGGACGCGTTCGACGGATTTGATGATTTTGATGATCTCGACGTGGGCGCCGCGGAGAAGCAGAAGTCACGCAAGGTTGTGTTCGCGGACGATCGGGGAGACCAGCAGAATTTGAAACGCCGGCGCGAGGATGACGATGCGATGGACGAGGATGAGGACGAGGACGAGAAGCCATCTGCACCTGGCAAGACCCCCAAGCAGCTTGCGGCCGAGAAGGAAGCACTCCGCGAGGCTCGCCGTGCCCGCAAGATCCGAAAGCGGGCCACCGAGGGCCGAGAGAACAAGCTGGCGGCGCTGCGCAGGCAGTATGCGGAGATCCAAAAAGCCGAACGTGAGGTCGAATTGCAGCGGGGCAAGATGGACCGCTCCGTTGGAGGAACCAACAAGCATGGGCTCAAGTGGAAGATCCGTGAGCGAAAGCGCTGAGCGGCCTGAACGTGGCCCGACACCGGCGTTCGTTATGAGTTGATGACCCGCGGCCATTGCTTCTCCAGCCTCTTCGTGTCATATCGTCCTTTGGTCCTTTTTTTTTTTTATTATCTTGTACCGATACCAGCATAACGGGGAGTCCAGGCGCATCGTGAATATCAAAAGCGAGAACACCAGCAAACCAAAAGATTTATATACCTAATTCTCGTTCGGATCACTGGACCACCATCTCCCATTTCGGGTGGTCTCTAGTTGTGTATAGTGTCGCCATTCACAAGCGCGCCATTGATAACTCACCACGGCTAGTGTCATCCGGCCACAAAGCCCGAAAGTAGCCGGATTGTCCTACTCTGCTAGGATCGGTATCACGCTCGACTCTTCGACGTCTCTCGTGTTTCCTTACCCAACCTGGCCAGCACTTCCCCCGTAATCCCCGCCTGCTGATAGGATCGACGGCAGCGCTCCGCGGCCCCACCCTGATTTATAATGGGCGCTGACTAAGTTTATCGTTTATCGGTGACTGAGAAATGTCGCCACCCCTCACTGTGCACTTTTCCTGCCCTCTTCCCTCGCTCTCCTCCCTTTCTCCGTTCAACTGACGGGTCCCCGAGTTTTCACAATGGCGCCCTCTTTCGTGTCCATTGACACTAGCGACGACTTCAACATGGCCCCTCCATCCGGGCCCGTCGATGCCCCGCGCACCCTCCTCCTCGCTCCCCCTCCATCGCCGCACACGAGGAGACACTCCACGCCCTCTTCACCACCTTCGACCGCCAGACCACCGACCTCCAAATGCTCGACCGCCTCTCTACTGGCGCCGTCACGCTCTCTCCCAACACATACTCCCTCGTCCTCATCCTCACCGAGACCGATGGCTCACGGCGGGCGGAGGCTCTCCAGCTCCTCACCCGAAACGTATACACCGCCCTCGTGCCCGCTATGAAGCCCGGAGCAAAGTTACAAACACAGGATAAAGCGTTGACCGCCGCCGAGGCAATGGAGGCCATCATGGCTGGCCTGGCGCAGAACGAAGCGGGTTTCGAGAAACCCAATTTCGAGCAGGCGTCCGCCGTCCCGCTGAAGCTGGGGGGAAGGAAGAAGAAGACCGCTGCGCCGGCGGGCATAATGATGGGATTTACGACAAATAGCACACCCGGGAATAACCACGACCGGGATGATGACGAGGAGTTGATTAATGAGGACTCGCTTCTTGACGAGGAGGATTTCACAAGGCCCATCATGCCCCGTATGTATTGCTCTATGGGTTGAGTCTAGCAGCTTGCTAACTGATTATCCTCCAGCCCCAGAGTGCCAGCCCAAGACCGGTCGGAGGCGGCGAGCCTGCAAAGATTGTACGTGTGGTCTCGCAGATCGCCTGGAGGCAGAGGATAAGGAGCGCCGGGAGAATGCCGATAAGAATCTGAACGTGCTGAAGCTGCAGTCGGATGACTTGACCGAGTTGGACTTCACTGTGGAGGGCAAGACCGGCTCCTGTGGAAGCTGTGCACTGGGTGATGCTTTCCGTTGTGCAGGCTGCCCGTATCTCGGGCTACCGGCCTTCAAGCCCGGCCAGGAGGTTCAGATTCTGAATGACGTCGCGCAGTTGTAGAGTGGTTTGCAGTGTTTTGGATGGTGGGGGTCCGTCTGGCCGCAATGAAATAATGCGTCCGATCTCGGGCCTCCGAGGTCGGGGCAGCAGAAGTCGATGGGTGATTGCACCTCTTTTTCGATACCTTAGATACCTCGCTGGAAATCGGTAGTGCCAGCTATAATCCTATTACCATACTCATCATCTCTTCGCGTGCCTGTGCTCCAGAAAAAAAGGAAGAGAGAAAAAGTTACCTACGCGAATGGAAACTATGTGGGGGTACCTGACATCAGTGGGCATCGTCCCATCAGCTGCTAGGACTAGCCACGCAGATGGAACCTTCTTGCCAAAACACGGGAGCGGCTCACTACTACAGCGCCAAATATCTCCAAACATAAAAAAAAAGTTCGAACCAAAATCTTAATTTTGTATATCACTCGCTCGAAACCCTTCCGACGACTTTGGGGCCCCTTTTTCCTGCTATCTAACATTCATCGCGCATTCAATCATGACAAGAAACAAACTGGAAAACCCGAAATAAGACACTCGAAATCGAGTGAGAGATCTACGAGCGGTCCTTCTGCATCTGCGCAACACGGATGCTGACGGCCCGCTTGTGCGCGTCTAGACCTTCAAGGGCAGCCAGAGTCTCGACGGTCTTCGCCAGGCCCAGCAAGCCGTCGGCAGTCAGGTTGGAGCTGGTGATGTGCTTCAGGAACGAACCGAGGTTGACACCAGAGTACTGCTTGGCGTAGCCGTAGGTGGCTAAAATACGTATCGTTAGTTTCTGATGGAAGAAGGAGGATAATATGTGAGAAAGAAACAGAAAAAGAAACTTACGGAGAGAGTGGTTAACACCGGCGGAATAATCACCGACGCTCTCGGGGGTCCAGGGACCAATGAACACACTGCCGGCATTCTGGACCTGGTCGACAAGGGCTTCGGCACCGTCAACCTGCAGGATCAAGTGCTCGGGGGCATACTCGTTGCTGAGAATCATGGCCTCGTTGATATCACGGACCAGGAAAGTGACGGAGTGCTCCAGGGAGCCGCGGACAATGTCCATGCGGGGCAGGGCCTTGGCCTGAGCATCGACCTCGTCCTCGATGGCACGCAGCTGCTCCTCGGTCAAGTCGACCGCAATAAGGATGACCTGAGAGTCAACGCCGTGCTCAGCCTGGCTCAGCAGGTCAGAGGCAACGAAAGCCGGGTTGGCGGTCTTGTCGGCGATGACGAGGACCTCGCTAGGACCGGCGGGCATATCAATGCCGACACCGGCAGATGTATCATTGGACACGAACATCTTGGCCGCAGTCACGAACTGGTTACCGGGGCCAAGAATCTTGTCCACCTTGCTGACGGACTCGGTACCGTAGGCCATGGCGGCCACAGCCTGGGCACCACCTGCCAGGACGATGCTCTCAGCACCGACCTTGTGCGCAACGTAGACGATCTCGGGGGAGATGCTGCCGTCGGAGCGGGGCGGGGAGGCGAAAACGATCTTCTGACAGCCAGCCACCATGGCAGGGACACCCAGCATCATGGCAGTAGAGGGCAACACGGCCGTACCGCCGGGAATATACAGACCAACGCGCTCGATGGCGCGGGAGAAGCGCGAGCAAACCACACCAGGCATAGTCTCCATCCGGAGAGTCTCGTTGCTGCCCTTTTGTGCGGCGTGGAAGCGCTGGATGTTGCCAATGCTAATGTCAATGGCCTCCTGAACATCGGGGGACAGCTTCATGAGCTCAGCGGGGAACGGCGCCTTGATGACGGGGGAGGTCAGCGAGGTAGCCTTTTCGAACTTGTGCGTGTACTTGAGAACGGCGGCATCGCCGCCATCGACAACGTCCTGGATAATGGGCTTGACCAACGCGACGATCGCGTCGTTGGACTTCTGGGAGGGGCGCTTGAGGAAGTCCTTGACCTCGGTGACGGGGGTGGAGGCGGTATCAATCCGCTTCATTTCAATCCGCGAGGTGCGGTCCTCAACGGGGGCGGGAGCAGGAGTAGGGGCAGGGGCAGGCTTCGAGGCGGGGGCCAAACCAGCCTTCTCGGCCCAAGGGCCCTTAGCATCGCCCTTTCTCCGCTTGACCTTCAAGCTCTTCAGGTCAAGGTTTCGCTCGATATCTTCCAGAGTGACCCCGGCAGCAGTACACTTGGTCAGAGCAAAGTACAGCAGGTCGGCAGCCTCAAAGGCAATCTCCTCCTTCGTGGTGGCACGGCACAACTCCTCGGCCTCCTCCATAATCTTGGCCTCGGCGAGCTTCGGCTCATTGAACAGGCGAGCAGTGTACGATCCGGCGGGGGCATCGGCCTTGCGGGCAAGGAGAGTCTTCTGGAGACGGGCAAGGCCAGTAGCGGCGCCGAAGCAGGACTCAGTACCGAGGTGGCAGAAGCCTATTTGTGTCATCCATCGTTAGCATCATGAACAAGTCTCATGGAGATCTAAGCCGTCTTACCTCGTCCGATTTGCTTGACCACAAAGACCAGGCAGTCCGCATCGCAGTCGTAGCCGATGCGGATCAATTCCTGAACATCACCGCTTGACTGACCCTTGTACCAGAGGCCACGCTTGCGGCTCTGATAGACTCCAGTGCCGGTGCGGAGGGCCTCAGCGATGCTCTCGTCGCTGCTCCAAACAACACCCAGGCAGGAGCCCCGCTCATCGGTCACTGATGTGGCATATAGACCATTGGCCTGGTCGGTAACAGCCCGCGCGGCAATAAGCTTAACAGCAGAGATCTGGCCGCTCGCATTACGCTCCACAGTCAAGACCTGGGAGGGCAGAATGGCGATCGCGCCCGCTTGTGTAACCTTGTTGATGGCGTCTTCCGTAACTGCCTCATCTCCGAACGTTGTGTAGAGTCGGGGCGAGTCCGAGCTGATGTTCAGTTTGGTGGCCGCGGCGGGGATTGCAGCGGGGGTGACGCAGACGCTAGCATCGTTGCGTTCAATGACATCTGCGGCAACCCACTGCTGGAAGGAATCGATCTGACCATCGGAAAGGGTGGAGACGAGTAATCGAGAGGAAGGGACCGACTGTTCCTGGGAGAGTGCGGTCAATTGGTCGACGGTGATGAGGATCTTCGCGGCGCCGGCGTTGAGAACATCGACGAGATCTCCGGCCGAGGAGATGGCAGTAGCGTCGACAAAGACATCGAGCTGGCGAAAGTTCTGGCGCAGAAACTGCTCCGCCTCAGCGAGACTCGAGACCTTCACTAGCACTCGCCCGAAGTAGGCAATCTGCTTGAGGGTTAGGCCGGAGGTGGGGTTGGAGGGGTAGGAGATCAGGAAGGGCGTGGCCATGGCGAATGGAGGAATTGAAGACCAAGGGGAAACAGGGAGAGGAAGAAACGAAAGGGAAGTCAAGGTCCCCTGAGCAAATTGGGGAGCGTCGCTTTGGGGAGGGAAAAAAGGTTGCCAGCGATGACTCCTCCGTCACCTTTTTTTTCCGCCTCGGTGGTTGGCGGCTGCCCCATCACGCCCGCGGGTCCGCTGAATCATCGACCGCGCTGTTGTTTGCTTGGCCGGAATGCCGTGGCTGTATTTTAAGGTTATTACTGTGTTTCTTATTTGTAGCAGACGGTATTCTTTGGAGTGCTTGTTTTCTACGCTTTTTTTACTTTCGACTACTGTCAACTTGCTACCTACGGTGGTTAGCACGAGTTCCTGCCTTGCGAGATCGGGGCAGCTCGGAGTCCCAAGATCCCTGTGGAGGAGGGACGACAGGGATCCTGCACACTGCACAAGATTTCCACAAGAATTTGGTTCTCATTTGAGTCACTTTGGCTGTCTATGTACTTGGCAACAAAGTTTCCTATTTGAAGCTAGGTCGACTTCAGACGCCTCCCCTCTCTCTTTCTTTCTTTCCATAGTTCATACACAATCTGATAGGCCGAGAAATCGGACCATCTCGATGTTCCTGGAAGCCCGTGGGCACAGAAGCGAGACCATGTAGAACTGTGAATGTGTTTGAACTGAGCTGGCCCTACTCCAGCCACGCGGGCAACTTCTCAAAGAGCTCACTGGCGAGTTCATGGTCGTCCTTTGAGGCCTGTCTATACATTAGATCATCTTGTCCGTACGAATGAGAAGCATCCCCAGTGAAAGGAAATCTTACCGGCCAATGAAGGCGGGCGTATCGATGGTCTTTCCAGAATGCAGTCCAGGCTAGCACATCTGTAACCTGCGCGTTGCGTGTGACATGTTCTGTGGTTGCTTTTCCCGGGCGAACAGTGCATAGATTTCCCTCGCGGTCGCCAAACGCCCGGGACGAGGTGGTCGAGGAATGTCCATTTCCAATAGTATCGAAAATATGCCGGAGATCGGGTGCAACCTCATTGATCTTCTCGATCACCTCTGGATCATTGTAGTCGAAGACCTGTTTGGCACCATAGGACTGAACCAGGTCTGGTGCGGACTGCAGGTGGTCGTCACGTCCAAGCCCCAGATGGAAGCGAGTTGAATCGTTTACAATCCGAACGCTTGCTTGTCGTCCGTTCAGGCGCAGTTCTGCATGGTTGCAAGGGGGTCGTTCGGCTTACAACTTCCACCCCACACCAGCACGCTAGTCCCGGTGGATTTGGAGCGGTCAACGTTTAGATATCCCTTAGAGAAGAGGGCCAAGCCATGGCGACTGCTAATAGGACCGTGCTAGCCTGCTCTTTGGCGGTATTTTGTGGGACCCTGAAAGAGAGGTGGTGGTTCGGCGAGGATACATTCGCGGTAGCCAGGCGGGCAATTTCCCCATAGACCAACTGTATGAGTTGGAGCCTATTCAAAGAAACCGTGCAGACCGACCACCCCAAATCAATCCCACAATAAGGTCACCTTTGGAGAGTTTAGCAACTTTGCTACCGAGCTCAGTCACCTCTCCCACAAAGTCGCCGGCAAAGACGCCATCGACAGACATTCCGGTCAAAGCATAGGACTACCAAATAGTCCGCTCATGTGAGCCAGTGGCATGATCGTTTTGCATAGCGCAAACCATCGGTCGGGTTCTGCGCTCCATGTGATCCCTTCACCTGAACCTGGCCGATGTCGGGGGTCCAGGAAGCTGTTCTTGTTCTACTAACTTGGGGGGCTGCCCCGTGGGTACGCGGACAATTGTGGTTGTGTTGGGCAGTTGACCCATCTTGATGTACCTTCCGATGCAAACTCAACAATCAACGAGAGAATTGTTTGATACTCCGAGAATTGAGGAACCAGGTCCTATGACTCCTCCGAGATCGCAGCGCTTACCAATGAATGTCCCGCGTTTAGAAGTGGGATAGAAGGGGCGGTTGTACGGGCAATGGAGTAGACAAGGACCAAAGTATCGCCAGGAGGGAGAGTCTCGATAGATAATCTCATGGGCTACATGCTGGAGTTTTTCCCACCGGCTTCATCTCACTTTTGATCGTTCTCTTTTCAGGCTGCGAATAGGCCTTGGGCGGAATGCCGGGTGTCTTATAGTTCCACGATCTACCTCGAAATTCGAGAGCAAAAAATCCAGCGTAGTTGGCTCGAGCCTATATTTACAGATACGGCGGATATCCAGACCCAACCAAGGATCTTTTCATCGTTCGAGGCCCAGGCAGGCTCGTCCGAAGGGACATTCCTAGTCGAAACAGCTCCCTGCAGGTACAAAGTGGCAGACGGAAGGTTGCTGTTTCGAGTCCAAGAATGCAAGCATGCCACAGATCGAAATCACCCTTCTGGAATCTACTGGATGTACATGGCTCGGGGTCCGTCCCTCGCAAATTGTGCAGGAGATCAAGCCTAGGCATGCTCTGTCGGCGCACGGTCGGTCCTCCATGGATTAAGACAGCTTGCTAGTCCCGAAACAGCATGGCCCTTTAAACTCGTTAGGATGGCCAAGACGGAATCCGATGCTTCACAGGGTCCCATGAAGATCCGCGATCGTCGGCTTTATGGCCGACCCCGCGGATCGTGCCCAACCAATCAAGCCCCTGGCTGTGCTGTAACGCCCGACTTGGTCGGCCTGGTCGGTCAGATGGTGATTGAGGGGTGCATTGCTTGGCTCTCCGTGCGAATGTGCGTGAGGCGATGCACCCCTGATTCACGCCACCAGGGGGATCCATGCTTTTAGGGTTGGCCCCACCGTCATCTGCCGCAGTCATCCATGGGTCCTTTGCCGATGACATGCCCCCAAAACAAGCGATCGATGGGTTTCCAGCAGATGCACCCATATGTATGCGAAGAGTCAACATGGGAAGACTCGGGGATAGCAAAAGCTCAGGGTGCACCGCATTCCTCCGAGCCACGTCCAGGGTCCCCGACCAATGAAGCCCGGTATGCGCGCAGATCCCCCAGGGCCACTAGCCAGCCCGAGTGGGCCTCTGCAGCGGGAGGAATCAAGAAGTCAGGAACCCAATCCCAGCGCCACCGAGCCCGATGCCACCGTAGAATGCAGCTAGGAGGATTCGGAGATTAGCGCACCCTTCTGAAAGACGGGGGAGACTGCGCGACTGGCAGTCAACCGAAGTAAACCGGCGTGTGACCGCCCAGCTGCCCCTTTCGCTGCTCGCTGCTCCACCAAACAATACATCCCCCATTACCCCATTCTTCATCGTGATCCACTCCCGATTAAATAGTCGCCTTTGACCCGCTTAGGTGGGTGGTCTATCGTTTGCGACTTACTCTCTCTCTCCCTGCCCTCCCCCCCTGAAAGCCGCGTGCTGTGTTGTGGTGTCGCCAATTTTGTGTAAATCCGCCATTCTCTATATACACCACGCGCACGCGAAGAAAGAGCGCGCACGCGAGCCGATATGCGCGTCCCAGTTTCACTGTCCCTCGCGGCATTGGGTCTAGTAGGGTCGACGGTTGCTTTTCCATTTGTCGAGCCTGAGGCGGTTTTACAGCGCAAGTCGGAGACCCAAGCGAAGGCCGATGCGGTTAAAGAGGCTTTCCAGCATGCATGGGATGGCTATATGAAATACGCATATCCTCACGATGAGCTGCACCCAGTGAGCAATGGTTATGGTGACTCGCGGTGAGTCTTGGTCAACTCCAAAACATGGAGATTGGAGAGAAACTCTGAACTGATGCGACATGCAGCAATGGCTGGGGAGCATCCGCGGTGGATGCCCTCTCAACAGCAATTATCATGGGCAAGGCTGATGTTGTCAGCACCATCCTGGACCATGTCTCACAGATCGACTATAGCCAGACCTCCTCGGAGGTCAGCCTGTTTGAGACGACCATCCGCTACCTGGCCGGCATGCTGTCCGGTTATGACCTGCTCAAGGGACCAGCTGCCAATCTCGCTCAAGACTCGGACCTCGTAGACAATCTGCTGATCCAGTCAAAGAACCTGGGTGATGTCCTCAAGTTCGCCTTCGACACCGGGTCCGGGGTGCCGTACAACAACCTCAACATCACGTCGCAGGGCAATGACGGCGCGACCACCAATGGTCTCGCCGTTACCGGAACTCTGGTGCTCGAATGGACGCGCCTGTCTGATCTGACTGGTGACAGTGAGTACGCGGAGCTCAGCCAGAAGGCGGAATCCCACCTGCTGGACCCCCAGCCGTCCAGCGGCGAGCCCTTCCCGGGCCTTGTGGGCAGCAACATCAGACTCGATAATGGCGAGTTCACCGACGGACACGTCTCTTGGGACGGCGGCGATGACTCATTCTATGAGTATCTGATCAAGATGTACGTGTATGACCCCAAGCGGTTCGACACATACAAGGACCGCTGGGTGCTGGCGGCCGAATCCACCATCAACCACCTACAGTCCCACCCGGCGACCCGATCGGATCTGACGTTCCTGTCTTCGTACAACAATGGGAAATATTACCTCAACTCTCAGCACTTGACCTGCTTCGACGGCGGTAGCTTCCTCCTCGGTGGTACCGTGCTGGGCCGACAGGACTTCATTGACTTTGGTCTCCAGCTCGTCAACGGTTGTGAGGCGACTTACAACTCGACTCTGACCAAAATCGGTCCCGAGTCTTGGAGCTGGGACCCAAATAATGTCCCGAGTAGCCAGAAGGATCTCTACGAGAAAGCTGGCTTCTACATCACCAGCAGCGCGTATATCCTGCGCCCCGAGGTGGTGGAGAGCTTCTACTATGCCTATCGTGTTACTGGCAGCGAAGTGGTGAGTACTGGATTATGTTGGCCATAATCAAACTCAACTAACCAAGCTTATAGTACCGTGACTGGGCTTGGAACGCCTTTGTCGCAATCAATGCCACCTGCCGTACCGACTCTGGCTTCGCCGGCGTTAGTAATGTGAATGCTAAGAACGGCGGTTCCAAGTACGACAACCAAGAGAGCTTCCTCTTCGCTGAGGTCATGAAGTACTCCTACCTCATCCACGCAGAAGGTATGTCCCCCCACCCAATTAATATCGGCCCAATTTGAGAGCACGGGTGCTAACTTGCTGCAGATGCGGAATGGCAAGTCAAGACCGGCGACAAGAACAGCTTTGTGTTCAATACCGAGGCTCACCCTGTGCGTGTGATGCACACTTAATATGGCAATGTGTTTCCACCCTTTGTCTTCCAGTAGATAGCCATCCAAGAAGTCTAATCGGCCTCGAGTATATTTTACGCTGTTGATTATTGTTAACCTTCGTTCCCTTTTTTGGTGTAAACAGTAGTGATCCTGGACAACAGAATGTCTGCGTCATAGAACCTCGATCGTCATTATCACGATACTTTAGAACATAAGCTCAGTGCTTGACTAGTTGTAATGAGCTATCTAGTGGAGGAGAATAGAGATCATCAACCCACAGGAGTTAAATGGGTCTTAGTCGGCGGACTATCAATGTCTCCCTGCATTTGCAATGACAACTGCAGTTCGCATATCATTCTAGGAATTTAGTCATCTGTACGGCTTCAGCTTCTAAGATACACTCGGATATTCCTGGTGATCCGCCCTCCCGATCGCAGTTTCCAGATAACAATGCAGAATCCCGGCACGATGGTTCGCGTTGGGGCGGGTTCCTATTCTTGGCAGGGTCTTTCCGGTTGCGCGTGGATGTTCGCATGGTTGAGAATACCAGCCAACACTCGCACTGCCCCGGCATTCGACGTCTCCTGCGTAGACGATGGATTTTGGTCTGCGCGTGACTATCCGCATGGTTCCTGGGCTACATACCCTATATACTCGAGACTGGTTGATGAGCTACCTCTCGGTGATACCTGAAGACCGGCATAGTGAAAAGCTCCTGTTATGCTGCACAGTCTACCATCAACTAGCGTTGGGGTATTATAATACACCAAATGATGAAGGGGTTAGCTACCAATGGTTATTCTCCCAGAACACGATTGTATTCCTCAATGGATAAGGTTTCATTGGGTGGTTTTACAGGCCAGACAGAGTTCAGTGGTTCATTGTACATAGACGGCTACGTTGATATGGAGTCGAAAGATCTAGCAGACTTCTGCCGCTCCTGTAGGTGCAACTTTGGAGGGGCCGACAATTATGGTAGATGTTCGAAAAAGAATTTACAAAATGCAAATAAAATAAAAAAGAAGGGCCTAGCCGGGAATCGAACCCGGTTCACGCACATGCTGAGAACCTTTGGGGTTCTCGGGATAACCCGAAGCACGTATAATACCACTATACCACCAGGCCTCTCGTATGGAAAGTTACGGTGCAAACTAAAATATGTACAGTATTGTACCGTCTTCATTCAGACGTGCGCCTTCAAACACCCTAGATTACCTAGTACAGTACATACTGTACATGGGAGCCCAGATTCGTAGAAAGGTGATCCTATATAGTACTTACATTCAAAATTACTATAATACCTAGGCTATCTTGCTACTCATCTAAGGGGTTCTAGGTTAGGTAGCTCTGCCCTGCTCGATTCTCCATCTTAAGCTGAATGTATTTTGAAGACAGGTATGTATTGCTGGGCTAGTCTTAGTTCCGGTGCCAGATATATAGATGTACAGGGAGCCCAAGATCCAAGCCCGACCGACATTTTACCACCAAAAATTGACACGACGAACCACAACACACGTGGATCTAAGCATCAGTACACGAGCTCCCAAGATAAACTGTTCAGAGATAGATCGTACCCCCATCAAGGGTGCCACAACCACGTGACCAGATATGGAGCGTTCACCTAGATCCATAACTAGAACCCCCGGCGCAGTTCTACCGGCATTGTGCAACTACTTGAGTTTTGTCAGGGATTTCAAAGCTTTAAGGTGCCACCGGCTGACATTGGTACCTACTGATGTCCAGGTATGTACTGTAGGTTGACGCAATACATGGTGTTCCAAAAGTCTTCGACCACCTAACGATGACAAAATGCTGCCGGTCAAACAACTCCCTTACCCCTGTATCACGCCCTCAATATATGGCTTCTCAAGTTTGTACAATGAACTTGGTCCATATCTCAAATGGATATAATCATGAAGAACATATTAGTTTACTTTGGCAGTTTCTTGACCTGTAAAGTTTCCTATGAGACCGGAAGACTAGGCTGTAGTGCAAAGGTGGTCCGAAAACTTATGAAATACCACTATATCTCTAGGTCCAAAGCACGACTTGATAGAGCAGGCCCAAATGTAGTCATCACCATACTTACATGCCCTTCTCCATAGCCCCTACAAATTGAAATGACACCCAGTTCGGATTCAAGAGTATTTATATTGACCGATCGTCAGGCTAGCAAACTCAATCACAAGCTTAAGGCGTGACGCCTGGGTATATACCACAAGCCGAAAATGGAGAAAGGAAACACTAAACTTCCAACCCGAACGCCACGTCATGCTGAACATGCGACAAGGAATCGAAAGAAAATTAGCAAGTCGTCATCATCGTGGTAAGTACTGTCCACACAAGGAGAACTACGCGCTCGCCGACCCCCGGGCGCAGCATCATCAGTAGAGAGCGCGCCCCCCGCCCCACCTACTTAGCCACTGGCTTGCGCGCCTGGTAAATGTGCAGGATATTATAGCAGCGGATGTCCTTGTTGAACGCCTCGGTCTTAACATCTGTCGCCAGGCGCTGAATTTTATCAATCGGCCAGCCGTACACGCGGTGAAAAGGCGCTAGACTGAGGGCCTCGATGCTCTCAGAGATGGCGAGGTTGTACCAGCTGGCGACCTTGCGCTCGTGCTCGTCGTTGTGCCATGGATTCAATGGCAGGCCCACCATCTGGTGATCGATCTCGGTGAAGCCAGCTTCTTGCAGATTGCGAATCGTCTCGCGGGAGCTATGGGCCAGAGGGCGCATCGTTGATTCCGTTGCACGCTTCAAGGCCGTGTACCAGTGGCGAAGGGCGAGGTTGCTCAGCGACCGGTCATCGCAACGCGGCTCGAAGTCAATCTCTACCTGTTCAAACCATGCGCCCGGGCGAAGGTGTGCGAATACCCGCCTGTACAGGCCGGGCCAGCTGACAACGCTGCCGCTCCCCATCTGCATGTGGATCAGATCCCAGGAATCCTCACCCAGGGCCCAAGGACCTTCGAAATCGAACGGGGCATAGAAGTCACAGTTCTTGGGGTGGTTTTGTGGTTGGACCGGTGCGAGGTCTACGCCGACCACAAATGAATCGGGGTATTTGTTGGCCACTTCAATGCTCCAGATTCCGGTTCCACAACCCAAGTCTAGAATGCGCGAGTTGCTGGGGTGTGGGGCGTATATTAAGCCGTCTGATACTCGGGCGACCGTGAATAGCTTGTGGAAGATATCAAGGCGGTCTTGTTCTTCGTCGTCACATGGTAGCATGTAAGTGCCTTTGCGGTATCCGTGATACATGCGACCATTCTCTTTATACGGTGGGTATTTTTCAGGGATCCTGTAAGAGAAAAAGGGGTTGTTAGTTTCGTGATTCTACGCGCCCTTTTGCGCAATCGAGACGCGAGATCGGAAGCGGCCTATTTGCGACCCTCGGGCGGAACATACTTGCGGTTGGAGATGATGATGGGTGGTGACGAGCCAGACGCATGAGAGATCTGGGACGAATGCGATGCGACCGAGCCATTGCTCAGGAAACGGCCCACCCTTCGATCCCCATCCTTGTCCGAAGGATTTCGGTCGGTGATCATATAGATATCCATGGCCGTCGAGGTTTGCCGGGACCGAGCCCGTTCACTGGCGGGAACCGACGAGGAATGGTACCGTTCGCTTGACGGCACCGAGGAGTGATAGTACTTCGGGCGACCAGCATCACTCGCCGACGTCGACTCAGACTTGTATCTTTTCGGCGGTGGAGGGGACGCCATCATTGGTGGCAGCCGGTTTCGACCGGACTGTTCGTCGGTAAGCATTGGGAGCGGTTGGTGTTTACGAAATCGAATGCGTGAGGATCAGGGAGGGGAGGACAGCGGTCGGTCGGTAGGAATATCGGACCTGCGATTGGTTTCGTCGATTATTGAGGTCGAGAGAGGGAGCAGTAGCTACGATCAATGATCGCACAACATGAGACGGCAGGCACAATGACATCCGACCGAGCTCTCAGCCACCACAGGCGACAGGAAAGAAAGCAGACGAGAGAGGCTGCACGTGCAAGACGCAAAGAACGGGAGGACGGTCGATCCCAAAGTACGAAATGCTCCGAGGCCAGCCAAGCGAACCAAGCGAACCAGGACCAAGGATTGGGGGGAAGTTGCAGAGCAACCCAGCTGGGTTGGAGCAGGGCGCACGGGTCAACAATCCGCAACCCACCACAGCCCCGAGTCCACAATCCCGTCGGATTGGCGCTACTGAGGGACGAGGGAGTTGTCACCGCTCAAGGACCAGATCCTGGGCATCCCAAGGGTGGTTCACGAGAGGAAGAAGGGGAGGTGAGAACCACGGACGAGAGATGGCGCGACCCGGAGGTTTTAAGGTTGTGTAGCCGCTGGCTGGTTCCCGTCCGGGGGGTCCACGGGCGGTGGGGGAGACAGAATGGCGGGTGAAGCCGACGGAGAGCACGGTGGGAGTTGCGCAAAAGGGAGGAAAAGGCAGAGTAAGTGAAGGCGATCGCAAAGGTTAGGGGAAGGGAAAGCGATGAGGTGCAGAAAGGTGGAAATTGAGTCGAACCGACAAGCGACTACCAGCGGATCGGGCAAAGAGAGCAGGCCCATAAAATCTGTAAATCGATACGTATTGTCACTTTGGCTACAGTAGATTAGATGTACTGTAGATGGCCACTCCACAGTCTGTACTCCGTAGTCGGTAGTCTGTAATCCCCGCTCCTTTCCACGCAAATTCCGTATTGCGTACAGTACTCCGTACTCCGTACTCCGTACCCTCCCATTCGAAAACCCTCCGGCGCGTTGGATCACCATCGCAGGGGTCTGAACCTAAGCGAGTCCAGCGTCCAGTGAACCCAAATGCGACTGATCCAGAGCCTCGGGTTCCCAGGGCTCCAGGGCTCCCGACTGTGAGTCCCCCTCACCCTCTGGTCAGTGCGCCCTTGGGAATTGGTGCCAGACGAGCGGAAGGGTGGCAGTCAGCCGGTTGGTCTCCGGCTCCGCTTCTTCCTCACGACTCTTTCCCTCTTGGGCATTACCCTCCCATATCATGCTCCCCACTCATTCCAGCCCCTCTTAGGCCAGTTCGGGATCGACCAGGTCTCCACTGCACCGGGCGGGACGCGGACCGTCTGGGCCTCCTACGACTTTGGGTCCGCTCCCAGGAGTCCCAAGGGCTGGACAGAACCGAACCCAACCCTCAGCAGAAACAGAATCTCGAGAACACGAGGTAGCTGGAGACGGTGATTGAGCTGAGAATGGAGCCCAGGAGAAATTCAAATTCTGCAGCGACCAGACCCAGCGGAATGGGTGCGCTGAGAAGCTTCGCAGCGTGGCGCCCAGTCAGCTCGCGTCGCGTCACCTCTCCTCCGCCCGAATTCCGCCTTTTCGCCCCCTTCAAGATTAGTTGTTTTGGGGGGGGGGCGCCCATGGCCGCGTTCAACGGCGCAACCTCGGGAGTCTGCGTCGGCGCTACCTGGAAACTCTGTGTTGACCCGACTCATGTCGTGCAGCTAGGGCCGTTGACTGGACCGTACTCCGTCCTGTGTACCCGGTCCCCGTCCTGAAGCTGGGAATCCCGGCGCTTCTCCCAAACGCTACACCCCCTCGGCACACCCAAAGCCCTGGGTCCGGTCGCGATGCGAATCACCCGAGGCGCTATGCGCAATTTCTTTTTCCGGTCCTCCGGACGATGATTCCCCTACCAAGTCACTGGTACGGCCCACTTGATCGTAACCCCTGACTCGATCCTGGGCCAGCGCAACCTTGTCCCATTCACCTGAATGACTCCTGCGCTCCAGTGATCGGCGCGGCCTGTCTCATGTATCAACTCGACCCTGTCAAGCTTGACCACGGTCGGTTGAGCTAGGGGTTTCCTCTTTCGGGTACAGTAAACATTATACGAGGATCTAGTCCGGCTCGTCACATCATTCCCTGGTCAAAGACGTCTTTCGATCACCATCTTTGGGGCCGAACAGCCCAAGGTTTGGTCCCACTTCACCTCCAAACGCGCTCCCCCTTCCTCCCCGGTGCCCCCTCGCCCCTCTTCCCAAATGCGGCGTCCCTGTGAAGACGAGCTAGACCTCAACTGCTGATTTGCGAGCGGATCGCCTCCGTGGCTTTGCCTGATCTTGAGTCGCCCTTGCCGAAGACTTATACGAACCCGGGTCAGTTCACTAATATACGAGCATGCTGACCTCCACCCTTCGCAATACCCACTCCAAGAGTCTGCTCAGCCGAGCCACTAACCTGAATCGGCCAGCTGTCGACTCGTCATTTTTTCCCACGCTGTTGTGGGACTTGAAGCGTGGCAGGATGATCGGTTCTGGGCAGAGACGCCCGAAAGCTCGAAGAAATTAGGAATCCCATGGTCGCCCTTTGTGCATGTTTCTCCCCCAGCTGCAGCTGCAAAAAAGGGCGATCCTAATTTCCTTTTTCTCCAAACCGCTTTTTCTAATTCCACGAGTCCGATATTCTCTTGGTCAATCTGCAGATTTATCGACACTGTATATAGTTTCGATCTCGTATCGGTGTACCTTAACACAAGAAGATGAGCATGTAGCAAGCAAGGCTCTTCAGAGTGGCCCCACCGACGGATAAATTTTTCTTGGCTGCCAAACCTCCACAGTATACGGGCTCTGCACGATTGCCGCCCCCCCCCCAAAAAACAAGCCAGCCCGCGAGCAGCAAGTAGCAATTGAACCCGCTAGAGATCGGCAGCATCTTCATCGTCCCGCGGCTCCCGTTACCCAGGGCAAACCTGGTCTGGAAACCCGCGCCTCTCGTCAGCCACAGGGGAGGGCCCGCAGTTCGCGAAATTGCTGGTAGATCGCAGCAAGGAGCATCAACCGCAACTGCAAGCGCAACAGCCGCAGCGATATCTAGTGGATCAACACTCACACTCTTCAAGATGCACACTTTGACGGCAACAGCAGCGTCGTCGCTGTCGCTGCCCGCGGAGAACTACATCTACACGATTGCGCCGTCGGCGCCCGGCCGCTTTGCTGCCATCAGCTCAGATGACTCGCTGCGCATCTTTGACGCCGCCAATCTCGACCGCGTCTCGGTAATCTCCCGAAAGACCCATGGTGCTGGCGTCACCTCGCTTCGCAGTTATGCTGCGGGGGAGTCCCAGCTCTTGGCGACCGGAGGCCGGGAGGGGAAGGTTAAGCTGTGGGATGCGCGGGCTGGGACTGCGGTCGCGGAGATGGAAACGCGTGAGTCGGGCTTACTGTCCTGATCTTTTTCCTTGCTCCCCTTTCAGGCGTCCTTTTTTTCCGAGCTGGCGGTAGATTGATACACCGTTGCTTGTACCAGTTGCCACCGCGGCTCTGCTGCCCGGAATGGCGTGGATGGCGTCGGAGAATTTTCTACCGCTGGATGCAAGGATGGCCCAGTCGATCCCCTGGAGAGCTTCACGACCCGCTTGTTACAGGCCGGCTAATGCTTCTGTCTAGCGAGAAATGCCCCGGTGCTCTCGGTGGCTTGTAACCCGGAGACCAACACGATTGCCGCGGGTACAGAGCTTGTCTCGTCGCAGGCAGTAGTTGCATTCTGGTACGTTCCATTGTCTTGAAACCTTAGCTTTGGCATTATTTGCTGAGGCCATCTCTTTGGGCCCCCGATCTCTATTAAATCGACCCTGGCTGGACCTTATAGCTCACGCCACTAACCTTCGGGCAGGGATATCAGATCTCCACAGGCCCTCCGGCTCCAATATGTGGAGAGCCACAACGATGATATCACTGAGGTGAGCAAATTATTCCCTATGGAATACCAGATCCCGAACCCATGGCCCAAGATCATCCGAACTAATCTGACCCGGTCGGCCCGTAACACAGCTCCAATATCACCCGACCCGCAGCAACATCTTACTATCCGGCAGCACGGACGGGCTCGTCAACGTCTACGACACCACGATCACAGACGAGGATGAGGCCCTCGTGCAAGTGATCAACCACGGCTCCGTTCACCACGCGGGCTTCCTCTCCGAGCGCACCATCTACGCCCTCAGCCACGATGAGCTGTTCTCTGTGCACCCGGCCACCGACCCGGATGACCCTGCGCAGGATCCCGAGCCCGTGCACTTCGACGACGTGCGTGAGCCGCTGGGCTGCGAGTATGTGGTGCAGTTGTGCGTTGGCGCGCAGGGGCCGTACCTTGCGGCTGGGAATAAGATGTATGTGTACCCTGTCGAGGCGGAGGCCTACTTACCCTCCTGAACCGGTCGAGGTGCTGATTTCTGTTATTTCCTCTGTTGTAGTGAGAAGCGTTTAGATTTGATTCCGTTGGTCTCGCGTCCGGCGTGGCAGTTTGACCAGGAGAATCTCTGGCGCCTGCCCGGCGCCCACGGCGACGAGGTCGTACGATCTGTATACTTGGATGAACAGGTATGTCTTTTATCTTATCTTTTCCATCTGTCTATCGAGCCGGCTAATGGTTAATGTGTTGCAGAGCCAATCCGTCTTTACTTGCGGTGAGGACGGCTTTGTGCGGGCGTGGAGGCCCGCTGATGCTGGTGACGATGATGCCCAGGCCCAAGCTGGATCGGCAAAGACCTCCCGGCCCAAGGATAAGAAGCAGAAGGACCGGTTCAAGCCGTACTAGTCCCGTTCGGCGCTGTGGGTAATCACAGCGCGTTCTTGCTGTTGTCTTCTGTCCTGTAGCATTGGGAGTTTGGGTGGTGGGTGAAATAAGATAACAATGTGACATTTGTGGTGTTCGGGGCATCTAGCCCATTGCCTTCCAACAATTTGGTCGGCATTTTTGTATAATTTTGATTCCCTCCGGCAGGTGGAGTTGCTTGCATTATTAAGAAAGTTTGGATTCTTACTCCATTTTTAATTTATCGCGCCCAGGTACTTGATTTACCCATCTTTCGACTGGATGAGTCAATTCCATTGATATCCCAGAAAATTCCGCATCAAATAGGGAATGTATGCTTACCAGGGACTACGAAAATGAGCTATCTGGCGCTGCCAGTCTCACTTGAGATTCTACCAGTTTGAAGAATCGAACGATGCTAAATTCTTTGACCACCAACGGTATAGTTATTCCGATGTACGGAGTACATAGCTCTTAATCATGCGCGTTCTTCTCCTGTTTTGATAATCATCTGCAAGCAGGTAGAGTAGTCACCTTTTAGTGGAATCCGAAGTGCCCACGTGACCGACAGCCCGTCATGTTGAAACCTTAAGAAAATGGCGTGGAGGTCTCTTATCGCGCAGGAACCATTTTTTTCGATCTTATCCGTTGACATTTTCCCTCTTCTCTCACAAGGGATCGCCTTCCCTCGACGCCCTTTTCTCTCATCGGCTTCGAATTGGACACGCCGATGATATAGCCTTTGGGATACCAATACTCCCACTCTCTTGCAGAATCTGCATCTCTGCCCCTCCAATACCACTCAGCCTCATTACCATTTACCCTCATACAACCTCCCCCCCCAGCCTACCCTCCTAAAGGCGACCCTTCCATCCTCTCTCACCAGAATGGACGCCCAAGCCTATCTCATTCGCCATGGCTGGTCTGGTCCTGGTAACCCTCTCAACCCAACCCAGCGTCCAGGTCCGCACGGCGGCCTCGGCCTCACGAAGCCCATCCTCGTGGCGCGCAAACAGAACAACCACGGCGTCGGCAAGAAAACAACAAAAGACCCCACAAACCAATGGTGGCTGCGCGGATTTGAAGATGCGCTCAAAGGGATGGGTAACGATACTGCTACCTCGACGCAATCGAATAATGCATTGACCAGCGAACTGTACCGACACTTCGTGCGTGGTGAATGCCTTGTTGGTACTATCAAGAAGAATGATGAGGAAGAGATGAACGAAAAGTCCACGTCCAAGTCCGAGTCCAAGTCCAAGTCCAAGTCCAAGTCCAAGTCCAAGAGGAAGCGTGATTCCGATGACGAGGATGAGCGCCGGGTAAAGAAGGAAGAGAGAGCTGCACGGAAAGAGGAGAAGCGCAAGCGCCGGAAGCTCAAGGAGGACGAGGAGTCCACCGAGTCTCCAGCCTTGTCTTCAAGTGATGTATCTGGCTCAGAGAAGCGCAAGGAAAGCAAAGAAGAGCGCCGATTGAGGAAGAAGGAAAAGGCGGAAAGGAAGAACCGGAAACGAGAGGACAAGGAGGCAAAGAAATCGAAGAAGTCGAAGAAGGCGAAGCACTCTGCCAGTGAAGAAGATTATCCTACACCAATGTCGATCGATGAGGAGCAAGACGATGGCCAAGTCAATACCACCGAATCAGACGAGGCCTCCAAAAAATCGAAAAAGAAGGACGAGAAGGGCAAGAAGGAAAAGAAGGATAGCAAGAAGTCCAAGTCAAAGACTAAGGATAGCGAGGTGACCGAGGAGTCCGACTTGAAGATATCCGAAAAGGAGAAGAAAGAGAAGAAGGAGAAGTCAGCCTGATCCGCATGTCCGCTTTCAGATATAGAAGCGGCCCACTATACATTGTATTGCATTGCGCCCAAGGACTGGATACATAGACTTTGCATACGCCGTTGATCTTCGCGATCGCGGTCAAGATACCCCCTAACGTTTGGCGAGGTTGATGAATTTGGAAGAGTCAATAATTAATTCACCTTTCGAGTCTATAAAGTTTCCTTTTTTCCTCTTTTCTTTGGTCTCAGCTCTGCGTAGGCAGCTTCCCAGGTTTACCCGACAGTATCCACGGGCGTCTCTCCCAGAAGTCATCTTTGATGATATCGATGTGGTCCACCACCACCTGTGCCTTCCGGCGAAGTTTCTTGAGTTTGTCCTGCTGTGAGCGTGACTGTTCCGCCTCTGGAACCAAGATGTCGTCTTCCGTGGATGCTTGCGTCGACTTCAATTCTTGAAGCTCGTACTACAAGTCAAAGGTTAGACAGTTATTGTGGTAAGGGCGAAGGAGGAGGTATACCTGGCGATAGAGTACACTTCCCTTCTTATACGCTTCCTCTTCGTTATTGTAATTGATGCCAAAGCGCTTGAAGAGGATCTCGTTTTTGTCGGAAGACACAGTGCCCTGATATGCATGAGCAAACTGGATAGCTTCTGAACTGGGCTGTATCGCCACGGTTTCTTATACTGTGTGCCTACCTTCAACTCTTGTTCTGCCTCAGTATTGCCCATCCCCCCTTGCTGGACCATTGCCCAAAATGTTGTGTTGTAGAGATTGTTGATGTGGCCTGCAACATGAAGGTTAGCAAGCCTAAACATTTCGGAACAGCAACCAAGTACAGAGTTTCCGTGGATCTGGACAGACTTACAATCGACCTGTCGCCAGCTCATGTAATCCCTCAGGATCCGCGTCGAAGGATAGATGACTGCTCGTCCATCAAAAGTAGGCAAATATGGTGGTCGAAGAGGTGTCGAAGGGAAATATGTCGACCATAGATAGATATAGTGGGCAGTGAATGTCGACACAATGGTTGTGACAAGTTTTCTGGCTCAAAGAGGTCTCGTCAATTGGCCTGCATAAACCAGCAAGAAAACTGGACGCGAGGAGAGGCAGTACTCACGCATTCCGCCTCTCAAAAAGCTGGCAATTTGGGTGGAAGACGAAGCTGAAGATTTTATGTCAAAATCAGGAATTTTCTCCGCGAAGAGTGATGAGACGTACCTGTACTCGTCACTGACGCCATAGGCAATGCATAGATCGGGAAGTTCTTTCATGACCTCGACTGCGGCAGCATTCATGAGATCGAGTGCGCGCCGGTCATTTGGCTTGACAAAAGCATAGTGATCCGACAGCCTGGAGAGGTCAGATGCAGGTCAACCATTTCAGACCCCGTCGCATGAGTGAGAGAACATTGGCAGGTCGGCAGGTAGGCGTATCGAGTCGTTCTGTCTAGCCGGATGCGACCCGCCAAGCTCTTGGAGTTCCTCAGGGAGTAATTATATACTTGAGCCCATGTGCACAGGAAAGTGCGACGGGGTATAGAAGAGAAGGGCTTACTTATGAAATCCTCTTCCGTCAATGCGGACCACGATCCACGTATTCGGGAGCAAGACGTCTGGCTGCTCGAAATTTTTGACGTACTCGTACCTTTGCACAGTCAATAGCTAGATTCATTGGGATAGAGGTCCTTCAATACTTACTTGGAGTTCGCCATGGTCTCTCTCAATCCAGCGGGATCTGGGGTTGGGTCGAGGGGGTGGATTTGTCGCGGCGACGAGTCATGAATTTGTGCGGCGATAGCTACCCGCCCACCACAAGAGGAATGCCCAACTACGCTGGACAGCCCCAGGCGGACCGCCCTAAACGTCGACTACGTCCGGACTGGAAGCTACGAGGCAAAATCACTTGCGATACATAAAATAAATTTACTGGATATCTCCGGGGCTGAAGGGAACGATGAGGAAGCATGTAGTATGTACCATATTGGATTTCATAGGGATAAATAGTCGCTATCCTGACTCGAGGGCAGACCAAGTAAAGCCGTCAGATGAAAAAAAAAAACCAATGGAATGTATCCCTGGAGATGTTATGATTCAGCGATCTCGGGGATCGCGAATTCTTCATCGCCTGTTTCACTAGCTCGCTCACTAGTCTCGCTCGCTTTGTCAGATTTGCGCGACTTGCGCGAGAAGAATCCTAGACTGCTCCGAGTCGACCGGTCCACGGAGGGGACACTAGAGACAGTACTGTCAATGCTCTTTCCCAGTTGGGCCTCGCTGGCTGCGTCCTCGTCAATGTCACCTTGCGAGGACTCGCCCTTCTTGGAGAACAGACCTGAGCGGTCTTTCCAGGAGCTGAACTTGCTAGAGCTGCCCTTGCGGGTGATCTTGCGGATAAAAGATTCCTTGGACACGTTGTCCACGGATGTTCCAGATGGCATGCGCTCCAGGGATTCGTATGAGTCGCCGGCGAAGTGAGACAGGGAACGGGAGTCTCGGGATGTGCGCGGCTCAGACGGAGATCCATCATCTACGTGGAGATCAAAGGTAACGTCAGGCTCCTTATCACTGTCTGACTTCTTACCGGTGAAGATCGCCGTGAAGGTCGGTGCTGCGGGGTTGAGCTTCGGGGTAATCGGTCGGTGGGATGACGATGGCCGGGTGCCAATTGGAGCTTGGAGCGGCCGAAGCTGGCGGTCATACGAGTCCCCGATAAAATCGGGTTCACCTGTCAGGCCCAATGGAAGATGGCCGGAAGACCCATATTGAATAGAAGGGCGACGGGACGGTGCTCGGGACCACGTTGGCGGGGAGGCCCAATCCAACCCGAGCGGGCTGTTGCGATGTCCCATTTGCTCGGTTGACGGCCATCCGAAATGACGGTTGTCCGTGGAGGGATGGGGAAGCTGGTTCTGATTGTCAAAAGAAAAGGTCGACGAAGGACGGGGGGACAGAGAGCCGCGACGAACGTTTCCAAGAAGAGAAGAGGGATCAATGGGATCATGCCGCGGGCTGAACTGGTTATACCCGTTGCTCAAGTCGGAGTTTCCACCACTGCCAGTGCTGCCAAATCCAAATTTACTAGATGAGAAGATACTGGAGAACACAGCTCGTCGAGATGGCGCGTGATCCGAGGAGCTATCCGTAGACACGCCAGTAGTATTGCTTCGAGGGAACAAGGCCATCGGCTTTGCCCAGTTACCTGTGTAGCTCAGTCGCCGGCGCCGGGAGCCGATGGGGTCCAACTCATCAACGTTTCGCGGGAAAGACTGGCTCTGGCCAGGCTTCAAGGTACCAAGCATTGGCGGCTCGTCGGCCAGCGTCTTCCCACGAGGTCGATGGAAGCCGAAAAGTCCGGAAAGTCTTCGAGATGCGCTCTTGGGGCGCTCTCCAGCAGCGGACAAACCAACCGGCCGAGAATCAGAGTCCTGTCGGTTAAGAGTTTCATGCGGGCTGGCAAAGATGCTACCTGGTCTGCTCCCAGACGAAGCAGGTGAGGAAGGTCCAATACCAAAGCTATCCAAAGGATTACTCGGTGCCTCCATAGTTGAGAAGCGCGGTCGGGTGATTGGCCGTGGAAATTCGGGCGATTCTTCGTCACCAAGAAGGTCGGATGGCAATAAAGCATCTGCTCGAGGGCTCATCTGCGGGTTATTGAATGAAACCTCCATGTCTGACCGCATGATCTCAGGGGGATCAGAAAGACCGGGAAGGGCCATTCCATTGTTGATGTTGAAGAAAGTAGAGCTTGGAGGGAAAGTTGGCGAATTCGTTGAGGGTGGATTGTAGTTGATACCACTGGGGAAGGCGGTTTCAACACCTGGAAAATTCACGGGCGAAGAAACATTGCTGGTCAGAGAGCTACGATGGCGGCGAGGTCGGATTGTTGCAGTGTTTGACATATCCAGATCCAATGACGGCAGGGTGAACGGACCCGAGCTGCCAGGACGCTGGTTGGTGAGCCATTTCAGTCGTTCCTGGGCTTCTTGATATTGTTGCTGGGCCTGCGCGTGAATATTCACCAGGGTTGCATAGCGGGCATGTAAGTTGTTGAGCTTCATTTCCCACTGTCGAGCCCGCTCGTTATCGATTCGATCCAGCTCTTTGCCATCCTCACTCTCGCCGTCCTGAAGTCCTTTCCTCTCATCCTCGAGCTTCTTGATTCGTCCTCCCTTATCTTGAATCTCATCGTCGATGATTTTCATATCAGCTTGCTCCTTCGCAATCTTCTTGCGGACTTCATCCGCTCGAATTTTGCCATCTTCCTCCAGCCGGGACTTGTCTTCCTTAGCCTGAGTAGCATCAGAAGTCATGCGCGCAATCTTATCCTGCCACCGCAAAATGTCGTTCTTGCGCTTGTTGCGTTCCGCTTCTTTTTGCTGAAGAAGTCTCATGCGCTTTGTCTTCTCGCTTTGCACGGTGCGGTTGACGCTTTCCAGCTTCGAAACGTGTTTTTTCAAATCCCCACTGACTTCGTCCTTCTCCTTGACGCGCTTCTTGAGTTCATCGCGCTGCTTCTCAAGATCCTTTAGCAATGCAATGTGTTCGTCATCCTCTTCCGTTGCTTGTTTTTCTACATTATCGTTTTCTTGTTGTAACGCTTTGAGGCGATCCGCTAATTGTTCCAAGGTCTCATCACGATTGTTCCGAGAGCCACTCCGACGTAATTCGTCCGAGTAGCCATGCACATAGTCCGCTGTGCCTGCGGCAGGCGATAACTTGCGTCCTGTCGAGGGCCGTTTCCCGGGCATTTGGCCGGCACTGTGCTCGCGAGACATGACCGGGGCTGATGGAGTAGGCAAACCGGCCGTAGACCTTGGAATCGAAGCTCGGATAGTTGGGCCGCCAGTCGTGCCATCTTGTTGGGCTTGAGATAGTGGAAGAGATTTTGTTCGCACATGAAGGATCGCACTTGGGGTCTGGAAATTCGCTGCGCTGACGGAAAGAACGCAAATATGATATATGTTTCCGGGAATGAGGTTCAAGATTTCGACCGCAGTTTCGGCTCGCTTCGACTCGCCCACTGTAAGATACTTCGTTAGCATCCACTCGAGTTCGCGAGAACTCCGGCGGCTGCGGAGACCATTCATACCTTTCGCATTGTTCACTTGGATGATGTGCTTGTGTATGGAGTTATGGAAGTCCGGCTGCTTCCAAGCTAAACGAATCTCACGCGATGTGATCTCCTCAAGGGTCACCTCTGGGGGCGGCGGAATGTCGAGCCCCAACTTCTCCACCAGAACGTCATTGGGGGTCTGGCAAACCTGCCATGCTCGGTACAGGAGCCTTTTTTTTTTTAGCGCGGCAACGGTCAGCCCGGCATGTAAAATTTCCAGAGAAGTGCGCCAAACTCACCAAATCAGGGCCCATAGGATTGAGCCCGCCAGGAAGAGAGCCATGAGGCCGCGCACCCTCACTCGCGGGACGACGGTTGGGTAGGCGTCGAATGTGAGATAGAACGGCTCATACATCCCAGCGTCAGTCACCCATGGACGCGGGAAAGCGGGGAGGAGACAGGAGTGGTGGAAAGGAGAGGTGACCATCACTACGGTCCTGATTGACCTCCATTTCGGTGGGACATGTCACCTGACCTGAGTTTAGTCAGGATTATCCGATTGGGACTAGTGTGGTCACGGATCTGGGATCGTCCGCTAGACCAAAAATGCACTAGTGGACCTGAGGTCAAAGACCTCGGCATGTCGGTTGCGCTTACCTAATAAACGTTGGGTGTTGAATGTGTTGATGAAAGGCCAACAGACCCGGGGACGCCGGCTACTCAGGCGGGGCCTATTGCAATGTGTGGCGCTTTTACTATTGCTATCTGCCGTTTCTGCTTTTTTGGTCAACCCACTTCGGACGGATATTTGTGGCGGTGGTGATACAGTAGCAGGTAGGTTGTCAGCAAAGTGTCACATGGGCCGTTTGGCAGCGGCGATTCCTTCAGCTTCCGAATCCCTCCCAACGAACCTGGTTTCCCCCCCCTCTTTCTGCTGATCGGCTACTTGTCGGCGTCAATACATTCGCTTCACTCTTTGACTGGGCTTCACTCTTTCTTGTTTTTGTTTTTTTTTTAACAGAGCCGTCGCTCAGGGTGTTCTAACCTACCCGGCGAGATGCAGTACGTACGCAGCATCAGCGGCTCTGTCTCTAAGACATGGAACTCAATCAATCCGGCCACACTGAGCGGTGCGATCGATGTGATCGTCATTGAACAGCAAGATGGTATGTTGAAAGCAAGATTTTGGTTTGCTGTTTCTTCGGACTGTTAAACTGATGCTTTTGCTTTTCTTTCTCTTAGGCACCCTCGCTTGCTCGCCCTTTCATGTCCGCTTCGGCAAGTTCTCGCTCCTGCGTCCGTATGAAAAGAAGGTGGAATTCAAAGTCAATGGGATCAAACAAGATTATGCGATGAAGCTAGGAGAGGGAGGCGAGGCATTCTTTGTGTTTGAAACCACCGATGAGATCCCCGCCTCTCTACAGACCTCACCTTTGGTGTCTCCCGCCGCTAGCCCGAAGGTTCCCAGCGAAGATCTTGCGTCATCGCTTCAGGAACCAGAATATTTGGACCTTGAAAAGTCACCCGGAGATGCTTTATCAGAAGGTGCGAAGACAGCGTTAGCGATGCCTCTATCGCGACAGTCACGGGCAGCCACAGATTTAGGTATGGCAAATCTGAAGAACCTGTTGACGTTAACCTATTTGCTCATTCCTGAACACAGGCGCGATGACTCCTTTGTCACGCTCTCCCGCAGGATCAGAGCTAAGCACTTCTCACCGTGACTCGTTCAATTCTAAACCAGCCCTCGATCACACGGTGTCGGAAAACATACTGTCGACAAGTGTCCCTCGATCCGATGACGGGCAACGGTCGTCCATTAGTGGTCCTGGCTCAGCGCACGAAAATGATACCCTACAGAGAGATGGCTCTCGTAGCCCACCTCCGGTGTCACCACAAGAGGCTATGTCCCGTGCCATCTCTTTGTCCAAGAAGCTCACTGGCTCAAATATTCCATCTCACGTTACCGATACTGGCGATCTCATGTTAGATATGACGGGTTACAAGAGCAACGAAGAAGATGCTATCCGAGCTGAAGTTCTTGCCCGCAAGATTCTCGCCGAGGAATTGGAAGGGAGCTATGACCTTGGTGCGCTCATCGGAGCGGATGAGCATGGAAATCTCTGGATCTACAGCAGTGAGGAGGCCAAAGAAGCGGCTTACCAAGCAGCGTCCCTCAATTCAATGCGTCCGACTACCGCATTGAGTGAAGATGCAATTTCAGACCCTGGGTACCACAGCGAGGGCGACCACTCCACCCTGGAGCCCTCGATGGGAGTGCGCCACCACCGGACCAAGTCGGACGTTCAGCCGGGTATTCCCACACCTCCTCAATCACCTTTGCAGGACTCGTTTGCCGTCGAGACCCGTAATTACGCTAAAACACTGCGGCTGACTAGCGATCAACTCAAGGCCTTGCAGTTGAAACCGGGGCCAAATCTCATGTCCTTCAGCGTGAACAAGGCAACCTGCACAGCGAACATGTATCTGTGGAATGGGAATACGCCAATTGTGATTTCCGATATTGATGGGACTATCACCAAGTCCGATGCTTTGGGACACGTTCTGAACATGATTGGACGTGACTGGACCCACGCCGGAGTCGCCAAGTTGTACACTGATATCGTCAACAACGGCTATAACATCATGTACCTCACCAGTCGATCTGTTGGGCAGTCGGACACCACGCGGGCGTACCTATATGGAGTGTGCCAGGATGGATACCGACTGCCTAAGGGACCTGTGATTTGCAGTCCAGATCGCACGATGGCAGCATTGAGACGGGAGATCTATTTGAGGAAGCCGGAAGTCTTCAAAATGGCATGCCTGCGCGATATTCTTGGATTGTTCTCAGGGAAGGAGAACCCATTCTATGCTGGCTTTGGAAATCGATTGACCGATGCCTTGAGCTACCGATCTGTCAACATCCCTTCTACTCGGATCTTTACAATCAACTCGAACGCCGAAGTATCTCTTGACTTACTGAGTCTAAACAAGTATAAGAGCAGCTATGTGACCATGCAGGAACTGCTCGATCATTTCTTCCCAGCTATCAGCCTTTTGGTCCAATCTGGAGGTGAAGAATATACGGATTTCACGTACTGGCGAGATACCCCACAAGATATCGATGACTTCTCTGCCACCGACAGTGAAGAGGAAGACGACGACGAGGACGAAGAGCCTGCCGACGATGAAATGCTTGAGGATGACGAAGACGCCGATGAACAGGAAGATTACGATAATGAATCGAGCGAGGGTGAAGGCAGTGAATACCTTGATGAGACCGGTCTAGATGACGAAGGGGAAGGGGGGACTGACATGGGTGCAATTTACATATCGCATTCTTCAGAAGCCCCGTCCAACCCCGCAGGGTCCATCGTGCAGTCCATCGAGGGCGGTCCAGATCTCGAGGATGTTGAAGGATCAGGCGGAGAGGAGGACGACTCTTATGCCCTTGGTGCTGTGCTGGCCGAACCAGCAAGCTCGATAACGCTCCCTCTTCGCCCCAAGTCACCCCGGGACGTCTGAACATATCCCTGTTCGTGAATTGCTTTTCCGGTCCGCATTGAGCCAGAGGCGGGCTTCGTTCCGCACCATCCAGATACCCATCTTGCAGTTCATTTTCTGAATTAGAAGGTGCACCGACATTGTTCCTTTGGTGAGGAGATACCCTGTTCAACACTACTTGCATACAGACTCGGAGTTGGAGTCTGCAATATACACACCCTTTTGCGATTCGCGTGTTGTTTATTCTTTACCCATCCCATTGACGGTGTTTGAAGCTTTCGTTCTAGGATAATTCTCCGCACGAGAGAAACTGCTCTAAATTAATCGATGCAACAAATACCTACTGTGCCTTATTTTTACTATCATTTTGTCATTATGTAGAGTTTCCCGCGTCCCTACTAAACGGTCCCATAGGTAGTACGCGGCGGGCCAATGTTACCCCACATCGGCCACAGCCGACCACCTCCCGGGAATAGCACGTTGGCCATTTGTCAACGCCACCTGTCAACGCCATCTGCCAACGCTCGATCAATCATTGGAGATCATGGAAAGGGTCTGGCATCACAGCAAGATGCCACCTCGGCAATCCTCTGCCACCGAATATTACAATCTTGGCAGCTATCATCGGACGGTCAGCACTACGAACCCCGATGCTCAGACATGGTTTAACCGGGGCCTTATCTGGGCCTACGCTTTCAACCACCAGGAATCGGCGCGGTGTTTTGAACAGGCTGTGCTGTTCGATCCAGTATGTGCCATGGGGTATTGGGGTCTGGCCTTTGCTCTTGGACCAAATTATAACAAGCCATGGAAACTCTTCGACGGAGAAGATCTCTCGACCACGACGACACGGGCTCATGGCGCTGTAATGGAAGCCATGAAACATGCAGCTAGAGCAACTCCTATCGAGAGAGCGCTCATTAAGGCACTACAACATCGGTATCCTCAAGAGCAGCCTGTCGACGACTGCACGGAATGGAACCACCAGTACGCCGAGGCGATGACCTCGGTTTATCAAGCCTATCCGAACGACCTAGATGTTGTCGCTCTCTATGTCGACTCATTGATGAACTTGACGCCATGGAGCCTGTGGGACCTAACTACCGGAAGGCCTACTCCTGGTGCTCGAACGCTCGAGGTGAAGAACGCTTTGGACCTCGCCTTGGCCCAAGAAAGCATGCCTCAGCACCCGGGTCTCTTACATTTGTATATCCACCTGATGGAAATGTCCCCTACTCCTGAGACTGCCCTACCTGTTGCGGACAACCTGCGAGGCCTTGTGCCTGACGCTGGTCACCTTGAGCATATGCCGACCCATTTGGACGTTTTGTGCGGTGATTACCGCCGAGCAATCGCCTCGAATACATCTGCCATTCGTGCGGACGAGAAGTTCCTCGGAAATCAGGAACTAGGACACTTCTATAATCTCTATCGCTGTCATGACTACCACTTTCGAATGTATGCGGCTATGCTTGCAGGCCAGTCCAAGATTGCCCTTGATACGGCCACAGTACTTGCGGAGTCTCTCACCGAGGATCTTCTGCGCGTTGAATCACCACCTCTGGCCGATTGGCTTGAGGGGTTTGTTGCTACCCGGGTACATGCGCTTGTTCGATTTGGTCGGTGGGAGACCATCCTTGCTCTCCCTCTTCCTACTGACCAGAGTCTCTATTGTGTTACCATTGCGATGATACATTATGGCAAGGGCGTGGCTTTTGCAGCTACCGGTCGCGTCGATGAAGCCAAACAGGAGCAGGAGCTATTCCGCTCAGCTACAAAGAGAGTCGCACCCTCTCGTACCATTTTTAATAACACATGCGTGGATATTCTTGCGGTAGCAGAGTCGATGCTCCACGGTGAAATTGCATACCGATGTGAAGATTATATTAATGCGTTTGCCAGTCTCCGCATTGCAGTTGAGAAGGACGATAACCTCCCCTACGACGAGCCCTGGGGTTGGATGCAGCCCACTAGGCATGCATTGGGAGCATTACTGCTGGAACAGGGTCGAATTCATGAGGCCATGGACGTCTACGCTGCCGATCTCGGAATCGACGAGTCACTGCCTCGTGCCTTGAGGCACCCGAACAATGTATGGGCACTGCATGGCTATCACGAGTGTCTCGTAAAGCTAGGGAGATTAGCCGAGGCACGCATTGTCCGGCCTCAGTTGCAACTGGCCGTAGCCATGGCAGATGTACCCATTAAATCATCTTGCTTCTGTCGGGTGAAGACTGCGATCTAGACATGTACATATCATGATAAAGTGAGACCAAGCGACCAATAACCTGATTTCTGTCACGCTGTAACCAAGGTCACCGAGTCTCCATTAAGAGATAATGAGCCTCCTCCCAAGGTGATCAATGTTCCTGTGAGATTGGCAAGAATATTGACACTAAAAAGGGATGCTCGCTGGATGCCGAAGACGAAGAGCACAGCGCGTGAAAATACCGGGAGAGGTAGGCAAAATGTGTATTTTTTTTAGAATAGTATGGTTTCTCGGAATTATGTTCTATCTCACAGGATCTTCAATCTTGTCCTTATGATTCGGACTTCTATGGTTTGCCATAGCGCGCGAAAGTCTGGAAAGCAGGTTGCCCAGCCAAAGCTCGAAGGTGCTTGATGGCGTTATGACACTATCTGTTTAAACATGCGCACACAACCCCAGCCTTCCAAATTGGCAGTTCATATGATTGCTATGTCCATTCAAATGACACAAGAAATTATCGCGCCGTAGGGGAGATCCGCGACATGATGTTTCATTTTGGGCAGTACTCATCGCCTATGGCTGAAGTGGAACATTGTGACAGTAGAGTTTCGTGAGCACGACAGGAATCTTTGTACATTGGCACAATATTTTTGCTCGGATTTCCAACAGGCAGCCAGCGAAGAGATGATCTCAGAATTTTCGCACGGAATACAGTAAGGAAAGAAACACAGCAAGACAGCAAGACAGCCAGACTCCACCCAAACGCCTTTCAAACGCCGCCTTCATGCAAATGATTTTTCATCCAGCCCCACGAGGACCAAACTAAGGATTTAGAAAGAAGAAAGAAACATCGAAGAATCCTGTTACCGCCGGCGGTTTCTGCCGGCGCCACGAGCGACGCCATTAGCACCAGCCCTGGAATCCTTGTCCGTATCCCCATTTGCCCCAGCGCCGGGGGTGCGGCGCCGCATTGTGCCCGGGCCTACCGCGATAATGTCCTCGCCGCTCTCGCTATCCGAAATATCTAGGAGGACCGGCAAACCGAAGGCGCCGGCCTGCTCTGCGCCGACGACGTTTTCGGCGTGGTCCAGGGTCACCACATCGGGCTCTTCATCCTCCAGATCGAGCCGGCGCTGGTGGACCTGCTCGGCGGGGTGGATGTCGAATTCATCCTCGCGTTCCACGTACTCGACGTTCTCCTCGACTTCGCCGAAATCCGGGGCCAGCGCAGACCACTTCTGAGGGCTGACGATCGACCATGTATACAGACAGCCGGACTCAAGGCCACATGCGACAACCATGGGTCTCGAGGGGTGCCACTCGACCACGCCGAGCTCCTCGCGCGGACCCTCGAGAATCTTGACGAGGGAGCCATGGCTGCGTTCCCAGACGTAGATGTCCGGGTTCATGAATGTAGTTGCGGTGACAAATTCGCCTGTCGAGGAGAAAGTGACGTGGTTCCAGCTTAGCCTGTTAACGACGTCCTGGAATTTGTGCTCCACTTGCAGTTTGATGGCGGAGGGCTCGAAGTCAATTCCCAATTGGGAGAGGTCGGGCATTAGGACGGTGCGGATGACCCGATCGGAGCTGTTAACCAGCAGGTCGCGCCCGTTATTGGCGAGGCGGGCGAGAATGACAACTCCATTGCAGAGGCGCATGGAGTGAATTGTCATGCATGTTTCTGTCTCGATGATGTTGATCCAGCCCTTGGATGTGCCGGCGATAATGTGATTGCCGAATGCTGTAAATATGGTGACGCATGTCGAGTGTTTTGCGTCTTGAGCTGCTTGCTTTGCGGCGACGGCTGGGTCGACTTCTTCGCCATTCGTAGGTTGAGGACGGAGGGGTGCGGAGGGGAGAGTGCGCTTGACTGGTTTTGGGGAGGAGACGTCGACGAGGACAGGTTGGTCTTCGAATAGGGAGGCCACAAAGAGAAGGCTAGTAAACATAAAAAGCAATTAGCTCTCTGACATGGTTCGGTATAGTTTAGGAGAGGAGGAGGAGGAGGAGGAGGAGGGAAATAGGGCCATACTGGTTAAATGGATGTAGCTCTGCAATGTAGACCGGTGCCTCGAACCTCACTGTGCGCACACGCGAGCCATCTTCCAGGTCCCACAATATACACTTCCAGTCCTGTGAAGATGTAAGAAGATATCGTCCATCTCTCGACCAACTATGCACGAACAGATTAGCAATGTGTGAGGAGTCTGGCTTAAGCTTGCTAGGGAAAGCAAAATAGATATTGTACCTGAGAGACTGGATCTGCCTGGTGTGACCCTGTAGCTTGCGTGCGACACCGTTCGTTTCGATGTCAAAGATAACGACAGTACCGTCTGCCTAAATGTGCACCAGTCAGCTTCCAGACTTTCTTCTCATTATGCAATATTGCCGCGGTAGACGAACCCGCCCAGATGCTAGATAGTCACCGGTTTGATTAAATCGCAGACAGGTCGCATGGCCACTTCCTAGGCACCGGTTAGAACAGTCAATGATCTATGTCCATAGTAAAACAACTCCACATACGCAATTTCTCTGTAAGGGTGTCAGGGTAGTCCTGAGCCAGGACGAACGGGTCAATGAGCGACAGATTCATGGCGGCAGGTTAGCGCGACGGTGGGTTGATCTGCGGAGTGAAACCCCTCGGCCTACAAATAAGGCCAGAACACTGGTGGCTAAACATTTAGCACGCACTGGAATCCAGCGCACACGAAGTCGAGCTCGACAGAACCCAGCGATGACTGTGGCGATTGTTTTCCAGCCTATCTGCCGCTTTTGAGATTAACGGCGAAGGGAGTGGGATCAAAGGCGGTGAGTTATTGCCTTATACTGCACCTATCTGGTGCCTGATTTATCAGGTCTACACAGGTGGAAGGCTTTCTGCCGGCAACTACCGCCCATGATTATGGTGCACTATAGACACCCTCCGGCGCGCTAAGTGAACAGAGGGAAAACTCAAGCCCCGTCAACGGGTGAGGCAACCTTCACCATCTCCCTTTCAACCTCCCCGACACGCTCCCCCCATCCCCTCCCCATCCAAGAATATCGCGTTCTCCATCGCGATATTTCTTCCGGAGACTCTTCACACGCGAACATTAGCGACACTCGTCTTTGCCCCCTCTTTCCAGGGCTTCGTGACTCCGGGGACTCCAGGTCGCCGGCGCCCTCGTGGCAAGGGCTGCCAAAGGCCTCAGCCGGCCAGCTGCTTCCACATCACCTTCGTTTCATCGTCGCTTCGTGTGATTCAGACGTTCGGTCATCGACTCAGCCTGTCTCTTCAGTTTCTGCGCCTTAAAGGACCCCGCATCCCTCGTTTTCCCCAGCTCCGCATCCAGTCCCCCGACCCGGCTCAACTCCGTTTCCCGACGTGCTTTCTGCGCATCGAGCGCCCGCCACCATGTCGAACGTTCACTTCCCTTACTCCAAGGCGCCTTTGCGCACCATCAAAGAAATCCAGTTTGGTCTCTTCGCCCCCGAAGAGATCAAGCGCATGAGTGTGGTCCATGTGGAATACCCTGAGACGATGGTACGCGCCTAATTCACTTCTGGCTCATTTGGAATTTCACAAAATTTGTCATGCGTCTGAGCTCTCTAACCGCTTTGAATTACAGGACGAGCAACGACAACGGCCGAGGACCAAGGGTGTTAATGACCCCCGACTGGGTACCATTGACCGTCAGTTCAACTGCGAGACCTGCGAAGAGGGACCCAAAGAATGTCCTGGACATTTCGGTCATATTGAGCTTGCGTCTCCAGTATTCCATATTGGTAAAGTCACTTTGCGCAGAAACTTCTAAACCGATGGTAGTTTCATCGAGGCTAATTTTTTTCTCTCTTTTTCTTCAGGTTTCGTGACTAAGATCAAGAAGCTGTTGGAGACCGTGTGCCACAACTGTGGAAAGATCAAAGTTGGAGCGGTTAGTCATCCCTCATGGGATGGCAAATCTTCTGACCTGTTGTGCTGACGTTCTTGACTCCAGGATAACCCCAAATTCTTGGAAGCTATTCGCCTGCGAGACCCGAAAAGACGCTTTGACGCGATCTGGAGAGCTTCCAAGGATATTTTCACCTGCGAAACTGATCCGTCGCCCGAGGATGATGAATTCGCAAAGGACAACCAAAAGCGCCATTTCCACGGTGGGTGTGGCAACGCCCAGCCTACAGTGCGCAAGGAAGGTATTACCCTTGTGGGCACCTGGAAACCCAGCAAGAGCATGATGGAGGACGATATGACGGCACAGCCCGAGAAGAAGGTTATTTCTCCTGCGATGGCTTTGAACATCTTCCGGAACATTTCCCACGAAGACGTTCGCATCATGGGTCTGAGCAATGACTACGCCCGTCCCGAGTGGATGATTCTCACAGTTCTTCCCGTCCCACCCCCAACTGTTCGCCCCAGTGTTATGATGGGAGCTACCAGCGGCTCTCGGGGTGAGGATGACTTGACTTACAAGTTGGCGGAAATCGTGCGTGCCAATCAGAATGTTCAGCGCTGCGAGCAGGAAGGCGCCCCAGAGCACGTTATCCGTGAGTTCGAGTCCCTTCTGCAGTATCACATCGCCACATACATGGACAATGATATTGCTGGTCAGCCTAAGGCTATGCAGAAGGGAAACCGCCCGGTCAAGGCTTTGCGCAGCCGTCTGAAGGGCAAGGAAGGTCGTTTGCGTCAGAACTTGATGGGCAAGCGTGTCGACTTTTCGGCCCGTACCGTCATTACAGGTGATCCCAATCTGTCTCTTGATGAAGTCGGTGTGCCGTATTCGACGGCCAAGATCTTGACCTACCCCGAGGTGGTGACCCCGTACAACATTGAGAAGCTGCAGCAGTTGGTTTCCAACGGACCCAACGTGCACCCTGGTGCCAGGTACATTGTCCGAGACACTGGTGAGCGAATTGATCTTCGTCACGCCAAGCGCGCTGGTAATCAGCAGCTGCTGTACGGATGGAAGGTCGAGCGTCATCTTGACAACGGTGATGTGATCCTGTTTGTAAGTGGCCCCTGAGAAATAAAACAAAATGCTCAACTTTGCGTCTGACTTGTCATGCTAGAATCGTCAACCATCTCTTCACAAGGAATCCATGATGGGCCACCGCGTCCGTGTCATGCCCTTTTCGACCTTCCGACTGAACTTGTCGGTAACGACTCCTTATAACGCCGATTTCGACGGTGACGAAATGAACTTGCACGTTCCCCAGAGCGAGGAATCGCGCGCAGAGCTCTTTGAGCTCGCTTTGGTCCCGAAGAACATTGTCTCTCCCCAGCGTAACGGTCCTCTCATGGGTATCGTGCAGGATACTCTGTGCGGTATCTACAAGATCTGCCGTCGTGATATCTTCCTCACCAGTGATCAAGTCATGAACGTCATGCTCTGGGTCCCTGACTGGGATGGTGTCATTCCCCCTCCCGCTATTTTGAAGCCTCGTCCTCGCTGGACTGGCAAGCAGATGATCAGCATGGCTTTTCCCACTGGTCTCAACCTTCTGCGTATCGACAAGGACAGCTCGCCACTATCCGAGAAATTTAGCCCTCTTAATGACGGCGGCCTGCTCATCCAGGGGGGACAGTTGCTGTATGGTATGCTCTCCAAGAAGACCGTCGGTGCCAGTGGTGGTGGTGTGATCCACACGATATTCAACGAGTATGGGTGTGACACTGCGGTCAACTTCTTCAATGGTGCCCAGACCATCGTCAACTACTGGCTGCTGCACTATGGGTTTAGTATCGGTATCGGTGACACGATCCCCGATCACAACACCATCCAAAAGATTGAGGAGGCCGTCCGCGCCCGCAAGCAGGAGGTCGAGACGATCACTGCGAGTGCCACAGAGAACACCCTGGAAGCCCTGCCTGGTATGAACGTTCGTGAAACATTCGAGAGCAAGGTTTCCCGCGCCCTAAACAACGCTCGTGATGAGGCCGGTGCCGCGACCGAGAAGAGTTTGAAGGATTTGAACAATGCCATTCAGATGGCCCGTTCTGGTTCTAAGGGTTCGACTATCAACATTTCCCAAATGACTGCTGTTGTCGGACAACAGTCCGTGGAAGGAAAGCGTATCCCATTCGGATTCAAGTATCGTACCTTGCCGCACTTCACCAAGGACGACTACTCTCCGGAATCTCGTGGCTTCGTTGAGAACTCGTACCTGCGTGGTCTGACTCCCACTGAGTTCTTCTTCCACGCCATGGCTGGTCGTGAGGGTTTGATCGATACTGCTGTCAAGACTGCTGAAACTGGTTATATCCAGCGTAAGCTGGTTAAGGCCTTGGAGGAAGTCATGGTCAAGTACGATGGCACTGTCCGTAACTCATTGGGGGATATTATCCAATTCATTTATGGAGAAGATGGCTTGGATGGTGTACACATTGAGAACCAACGTGTTGACATCATTCGCTGCTCCGACGAGCAGATGCGCCAGCGTTTCCGGGTCGATGTCATGGACCCTGAGATGTCTCTCGGTCCTGAGGTGTTGGAGCAGGCCAACGAGATTGCAGGTGATATGGAGGTCCAGCGATACTTCGACGAAGAGTGGGAGGCTCTTCTTGAGTCTCGTGCTTTCCTCCGGACCGTGGCCAAGGAGGACGATGAGATGATGCAGCTCCCCATCAACGTCCAAAGAATCCTGGAGATGGCCCGGTCTACTTTCCGCATTCGTGAGGGCACTATCAGTGATCTGCACCCTGCCGAGGTTATTCCTCAAGTACAGGCCTTGCTTGACCGCCTGGTTGTTGTTCGAGGCGACGACGTTATTTCACGCGAGGCCCAGGATAACGCAACGCTGTTGTTCAAGGCGCAGCTTCGCAGCCGTCTCGCATTCCGCCGACTGGTCACGGACTATTCGCTCAACAAGCTTGCGTTCCAACACGTTCTTGGTGCCATTGAGAATCGTTTCGCACGTGCTGCGGCAAATCCTGGTGAGATGGTTGGCGTTCTTGCTGCCCAATCCATCGGTGAGCCCGCCACACAGATGACTCTGAACACCTTCCACTTTGCTGGTGTGTCGTCCAAGAACGTTACTCTAGGTGTGCCCCGTCTCAAGGAGATCCTCAATGTGGCAACCAACATCAAGACACCGTCTATGACTGTTTACCAAGAATCCGACAAGACATATGACAAGGAGGGCGCGAAGCAGTTGCGCAGTGTTGTCGAGCACACCAGCCTGCGGTCCGTTACTGAGGCCACTGAGATTTACTACGATCCGGACATCCAGTCTACCGTTATCGAGAACGATCGCGACATGGTTGAGTCCTACTTCATCATCCCCGAAGATGTTGAAGGAGACCTGGCCAACCAGTCGAAATGGCTGCTTCGTATTGTCCTCAGCAGACCTAAGCTTCTTGACAAGGGACTCACGGTTCAGGACGTTGCTGACAAGATCAAGAAGGCGTACAAGGAGGATATTGCTGTTATTTTCAGTGATAACAACGCCGACGAACAGGTCATCCGTATCCGTCAAGTCCAGACCCACAAGGACGATGACGATGATGACGATGTTGAATATGATGTGACCCTCAAGAAACTTGAACAGCACCTTCTCGATACGCTTACTCTCCGTGGTGTCCCCGGCGTGGAGCGTGCTTTCATCAATGAGAAGAGCAAGGTCCGCGTCAAAGAGGATGGTGCCCTCATCGTGAGCAAGACGGACCCTCTTTGCAAGGAGTGGGTTCTTGAGACCAGCGGCTCTTCTCTCGCGCCGGTTCTTGCTATCCCTGGTGTCGACGCTACGCGTACCTACTCGAACCAGTTTATTGAGATTTTCGAGGTGTTTGGTATCGAGGCCGCCCGTACTGCTGTGCTTCGCGAGTTGACTCAGGTGCTGGCCTTTGATGGTTCTTACGTCAACCATCGGCACTTGGCGCTCCTGGTCGATGTGATGACTGTACGAGGCTACCTGACACCTGTCACTCGTCATGGTATCAACCGTGCCGACAATGGTGCTTTGATGCGTTGTTCATTCGAAGAGACCGTTGAGATCCTGTTGGAGGCTGCTGCCTTTGGCGAGCTTGATGACTGCCGTGGCGTGTCGGAGAACCTTATTCTTGGGCAGATGGCCCCCGCTGGAACGGGAGAATTTGATGTCTATCTGGATCAAAACTTGCTCAACACAGTTGTCTCGAACAATGCCCGCTTCCATCTCATGGGCGGCGTTGGGGCAAAGGACGCCATCATCTCCGATGGTGCTGCTACTCAGTATGATACTGGTTCGCCCATGGCCAGCTCCCCATACATGGTCGATGGCGATCCAGACGCAAGCTTCTCTCCCATCCGACAGGGTGGTGCCGAGTCGCCCGGAGGCATTACCAAATACCAGCCCTCGGATGGCTTTGGTGGTCTCAGTCCCGGAGCTCGCAGCCCTGGTACTGCCTACTCTCCGACCAGCCCCTTCAATACCAGCATGAACTCTCCTAGCTGGTCACCAACATCGGCTTACTCTCCCACATCTCCTGGCATGAGCATTACAAGCCCGGGCTTCACATCTCCTGGTATGTCGCCAGCGAGTCCGTCGTGGAGGCCAACGTCCCCGGCCTACTCGCCGTCGTCGCCTGCCCAAGCCTCGCCAATGTACTCTCCCACTTCGCCCACGTACAGCCCCACGTCACCTTCTTTCAGCCCGGCCTCGCCGGCCATTAGCCTGACGTCCCCAACGTCACCCGAATACAGCCCTACCAGCCCTGCGCTTGGTGGTGGTCGGCAATTGTCTCCCACTTCTCCCACATCCCCCACGTCTCCCAAGTGGAGTCCTACTTCCCCATCATGGTCTCCCCAGCACGCCGCGCAGGCGGCATACTCGCCAACGTCTCCTAAATTTGCTGGCTCCCCGACGTCGCCCACTTCCCCGACTGCATACAGTCCGAGCTCCCCAAACTTTGAAAGTCCAACGTACGTATCTACTTTCGATTTTTACATAAAGGGAAAACGTAGCTAACCTGTTGGAATAGGTCTCCGCGCCAGAAGTGAGGACAGACACGGCTTGCCTACTCATGGTTCGTGCTGTGCCACTGTATTATCACCCAAACATTCCGATAAACTCCAAAAAAGAATCATTCCGCTGCTGACATCTCCGAAATGGATGGTCATCATTTCAGCTTCACGGTTTGGGCGCTTGTCGTCCATCCTACTGTATCTTTTTCCTTAGCAATGTTCGTGAGCCCTTCGCTGGGTTTTACACTTTTTCATATTTATTTTCTTTGCCCTTTCCCGAAGATGCCCCAGCCGCCATTGCCGTTTCCGAAATTGAGAACGACTTTGTTACTCCCCCTTTTCGCAGGTGGACGTGGATGTGTCCCCGAGGAGAGTTCAGACGTCGCGGTGTTCTTCGGGTGAAACCTAGGTCTTGATTGATCCAGAGGTATACGACGTTTGAGGAACTAAGCGGCTTCTGAACTTTCGATAGGGATTGCGCTATGGCTACCGAAATGTTTTTCTCTATTTTTTTTGCATGAAGAGCGCACTGGGGGTTTTGTATTTGATTTGATTTTCTCCCGTGTTGTACACAGACTCTAGGGAGTTGAATAAAAAGAATTTAATGATAAGTTGTCTATCAGTGAACTCTCGTAGATCATTGCATGATGGTCGATTGTAATAATAGTATTCGTATTAATGCAGTCTTTGCTGTAGTTGTAGTGGTGTAGGCTTGTTGTATAACGCTAGCAGTTAAGCGGTGATTCGCCGTCGGCAAAATCCAGCCCCGTGTTTAGCCAAGTGGCCCGTTGGAACTACATCACCGCGCCATGCGCTCCCACTACCTCCCATCCTACTAATTCTTACCCCCACGGAGTCGCAATGCGACTCTTGCTGTCTCTTAACTCACATACATTGCAGGCATCATGAGGACGCCCTTGTATTCCTTTCTGCCGGCCTTGCGTAAGTCCTCCTCTCCCTCCACTCCGCGTTTCCGGGCGCGCCAATCGGTGCTGACTCCGCTTCTCAGTGCTTCTACAAACATGTGCAGCTGGGCCTACCCAAGCTCCTTTGGGCGAAACGTCATCGACGACGGTTGTTGGGAACAGTGAACAACAAGAGTTTCTGTTTGCAGAGCCAGAGGCCCGGCCAGTCAGTCGTGAGTACACCCGCCCAATGTCGCACGTACAGCGGTTGCTACCACGGCCATACTAATACACGTTGTTTTCTCATGGCAGAGCGAGTTCAAAATGCTTGGAAGACACTTCGAGCAGTGAAGCCGGCGATTCTGAACGTCGATAAGCCGACCGGGCTTCTCGGATACACACTACACTACGGTCGCGAGGCCTTTCGGATACTGTTTCTGAACGGACCCGCCACCGACAAAGCTGAAAGAAAGCTCAACCCAACGGTGGCCCTAGCAGTGGAGGAGCTAAAGGCAGCGGCCGATGAAGATGCGGACCCGGATGCTATGTTCCTCCTCGCGGAGATGAATTTCTACGGCAACTTCACACACCCGCGCAACTTCAGCACGGCATTCCAATGGTATAACGACCTAGCCTCGTTGACCGGGAACAGCACCGCCCAGTCCATGGTCGGGTTCATGTACGCGACGGGCATTGGCGACGCAGTCGAACGAAATCAGGCGAAGGCGTTGATGTACCACGAATTTGCCGCAGAGGGAGGAAATACTCGGTCGGAGATGACTTTGGCATATCGGTACCACACTGGCATTGGGACACCCAAGAACTGCGAACATGCGGTCTTTTACTACAAAAGAGTGGCTGATAAGGCGATCGAATATTATCGGTCTGGACCTCCTGGCGGCCATGCCATGGTTAGGGACTCTTATCGCTGGGCGGACGAGGAAGGTGGTGTCTACGGGGAAGGAGCTAGCGTGTCAAGCTCTGGGCATAACGCGCGCGACCCTAGCCACTCCGCCACTGAGGCCAGCGTGGAGGATGTTCTTGAATACCTTGACCTCATGTCTCGCAAGGGCGAACTGAAGGCCACTTTCACATTGGGGAAGATGAACTATGAAGGGGCTCGCGGCCTGCCCCGCAATTTCAAGCGAGCCATGAAGTATTTCAGGGCTGTTACCAATCGTTACTGGCAATTGGATGGTTCTTTCGTCCAGAACCCTCCCGCAGGGCTCGACAAGCTAGCCGCCAAAGCAGCGGGCCATATGGGCCTGATGTACCTGCGCGGGGAGGGTGTGGAACAGCACCTCGGCCGTGCTTTGACGTGGTTCCGACGGGGTGTGAAGAACGGAGATGCCCTCTGCCAGCACGAGATGGGACTGATGTACCTGCATGGTTATGGCGTACCCCAGGATGCGTACAAAGCATCCTCATACTTCAAGTCTGCGGCAGAGCAAGACATTCCGGCCGCTGAGACTCGACTGGGTGCACTATTCCTAGATCAAGGGGACGTGGATACCGCGGCTCGATACTTCGAGCTTGCCGCCCGTTGGGGATGGATGGAAGCATACTACTACCTCGCAGAGATGGCCAACTTCGGTGTGGGCAGACAGCCGCACTGCGGCGTTGCTGCAGCGTATTATAAGATGGTTGCTGAGAAGGCGGAAGTGGTTCACTCAGCCTTCACAGAGTCGAACGAGGCATATGAATCTGGCGACAAGGAGCGCGCCCTCATTCCAGCCATGATGGCAGCGGAACAAGGCTACGAACACGCGCAAGCTAATGTGGCATACCTTCTGGACGAGCAGCGCTCTTTGTTTTCACTTACCCGCATCTTGCCATGGGCCAAGAAGACCCGTGCCAAATTGCTACGCAACACCGCGTTGGCCCTGATTTATTGGACCAGGTCGGCGAGGCAGTCCAATATCGACTCTCTGATCAAGATGGGCGACTACTACCTGCGAGGAACTGGGGTGCTGGCTGATGCGGAGAAGGCCTCGACCTGCTATCACAATGCTGCTGAAGCCCACCACAGTGCACAGGCGTACTGGAACCTGGGCTGGATGCATGAGAATGGCGTCGCTGTTGCGCAGGATTTCCACATGGCCAAGCGATACTACGACCTTGCTCTGGAGACTAATCGCGAGGCGTACCTGCCCGTCAAGCTCAGCCTGTTGAAGCTGCGGGCCCGGGGATATTGGAACCGCATCACTAACGGAGATATCAATCCCATCCGTGACGAAGGTATGTTGCATGTTTTTGGAATTACAATTACACTGTCATTATATGGCTGGTTTTTAACCACTCATTTTCTAGATACGAGACCCGCCCGCACCTTCAAAGAATGGATCAAAGCTTTCATCGAGAACGACGAGGCCGAATACTACCACGAGCTCTACGAAGCCCGAGAGGAAGACGAAGACTTCATGGGATCTCGGAGCCTGGAGTCTGAGCACCATGATGACGGGTATTATGACGAATTGGAATTTGACATTGACGACAGCATCCTTGAGGGCCTGCTCATCGTCGGACTGGCCGCGACGCTTCTTGTTCTGGTGTACATTCGCCAGCAGCAGCAGCGGAATCGCCAGAATGCGAACGCCGTGAACCAGGGTGGAAATGCCAATGTCAATGCGAATGTGAACGCGAACGGCAACGCGAATAACAACGACCGTGGCTTATTCCCGCAGCCTGACGACCCGGAATTCCGGCAGTGGGTGGCCGGTGGAGTGGGCCATTGATGAATCTGAATTGTGTTGGTTTTAGGTGTAGATAAATCTCAATCGTATTGCCTCTTATCGATAAGACACTTGTTTTTCTATCTGATTCTCGACTCGCTATATTCTCTCTGCTTTTCCCCCCTTCAAACACAAAATATTAGAATTACCTTTCAATGGACGACAGCCAGCCTCCGAACAAACGACGGCGCGTTGGAGCCACGGCTGCCCTCTCGCGGCCCTTCAAGTCCCCGCTGCGCAAACCCGAGGCCATCGATTCGGGGTCGTCTCCATTACCACCCTGTACACCGCGTGTGAGCAAAGCTCCCCAAAATGGGACTTCTTCCCTTGCAGCCCTCACTCCAGGGCCGAATCTGTCTGCATCGTCGCTTTTGTCGTCACCTGCCACTCATATACGGAGGCCTACAAAACGCTCTGCTCTCACTACGCCAACACGGTCATCTCTCGCAGATCCCGAGCTATTAGTTCTACAGACACAGGAACGCACTCTACAATCTAGACTTGCGAGGCTACGCGCAGAACGCGATACTGCGAAACAGGCACTCCGCATCGAGACCTCAAGCAAATTTGCCGAGCTCGAGGGGTTGATCATGAAGTGGCGCCTCGTCAGCCAGGAGGCAGCCGACGAGGTCTTTGCCGGAGCCCAGCAACGGGTCACCCAAATGGGTGGTCTGGCAGTGTGGAGAGAACGCTCCAAACGTGATACACTTCAGTGGGATTACGAGGAGAAAGAGAAAGAGCATGCGGACGAGTACGAAGAGGAGGAAGGGGCATTGGCTGATGCCTTAGCGGAGAAGAACGGTTCCGTGGTGGAGGATGCCGAGCTACAAAATGAGGTACACATGCCTGTGGCACTTTTATATTGGATGGAACAGGAGCTGACTTCAGTATCACAGGACTTCACTATGGAATTCATGTTGAAGACGTTGAACATTGATCTCAAGCTCATCGGCTATGACCCGGCGATGGGGAAGTGGATCCGGGACTGAAAAGACAACCAATACCGACAAATGGAAAATTCTTCAGCGATTTGTCTTTGGTCCGTATGGACCTTCATGATGTTTGGTGTTCCGGCATGCTGCGTGTATCAATTGCTATGATGTGTATTTGTTAATCTTCCTTGACTAGTGGGTCTTTGATCGAATCATGTCGTCTTCGTCGCTCAATGAGAACAATCGATCGATATTAAGTCTTCCATGGCTAGAATTCTCAGGCTGTAGGAGAGGTCTACTGGCTATCAAGATTGGCATCGGAGGTCGTCGGAAACGTGCTTATCAACGGCAACCATCTCAAAAGACTGGTAGTCTCCGCTTTCCCACCCCCCACCACTCCGCGGTTCTCCTTCGCCTCCCCAACACCCTTATGTCTCGCCCATTCAAGCCACGAGATATTGCCTGCGCCCGCTGCTTCCGATTGAAGCGTAAATGTGACCATGTGAAGCCCACTTGCGGCGAATGCCGCCGTAAAGGTGCCGAATGTCTACCAGCCAGGTCGCGCAAGTCTGGAGATAGCATCACCGTCCCGGTCGCATACCTGAAAGACCTCGAGAGGAGGGTTGCTGAGCTGGAGAACTCTTCTTCTGGGACAAGCAGTGGTGTGGAACTGTGTGATACTGGCGTACAGACGGATGCTGCAGTGAATGAAAGCAATGATTTGGACATGGCATTGTGTGTGCCGTCGCCGTCGTGGAGAAATGGGACCGAGGAAGAACACGCACTCGTGCTTTTACCAGGACTGCAGCCTCCGGGCCAGATTTCTCAACTATCACCGTTTTCCCAGTCATCAATTATGGATGCCTTCCTGCAATTGAACGACGAATCGTTTGATTTTCTTCGCATTGAGAAGGGGCCCACTCTTCCTTTGGCCGGCGAGGACTCCATTTGGCTCACAGAGCTATACACAAATATATACTTCTCAATATCACATCGCGAATGGCCATTCCTAAACGAGTCTGCTTGGAAGATCTGGCATCGCGAGGAGGGCGTAACTGGACAAGCGGAATGGCAATGCTTCTTCCTTCGGATGGTATATGCCATCGGCGCATGCCTCTGCAGCACAATGCACCGAGACCCGGCACATCTGGCTCGTTCGAAGGCGCTTTATGATTCTGCAATGAATTATTATGCACATGTTATGGGACATCCATCTATGGTCCTACAAGTTCAGGCGTCCCTGCTCCTGATCGTCTACGCATTGCATTCTCCGTCTTCAGAGGAGATCGCTACAACTGTCTCCTCAATTTTACCGTTTTGCATAACTGCGATTACACATCTTCAAAAATCCGCCCGGACTCATTGTCACGATGAAGCAGCCGCAGCTTCTGGCGAGGTCATGTCAGAGGGCATGTTCATCACTTGCTACATGCTGAATGAGATTATTGCTTCTGGATGGGATAGACCTGTGTCTCCTTCATATCGAACCGTGGATGATGATGTGAGGAAGCCAATCTATGTGTGCATCCTTCACTAACATATACCAAGTTTTGCATCCTAGGAGACACGATTCAAACCCCCTTCCGTACAAATCCTGCACTGGGCCATTTGTTCCGATTGCGAAAAATCCAACATAACATAAGGAGATCGCTTGAGCAATCACGTTGGCAGTTATCCGAGGCAAAAGATGCTTTCAACTCCTCCCTCAAGTCAGCCTTGGATATTTGGAGACAGGACATACCCCGCTATGGAATCTCCAATGTTCCCTGTGGATATTATCATCCGAATTGGATGAAGAACTTGTACGATTATAGTATTCTGATTCTGATGGAAGAGAAGCGAAACTTCCTTGACCAGGAGGGAACGGAAGAGATTTTCTCAGCGGTTGTGGAAGTTTGTCTGAAATTCCGTCGATTGCAGGAGGAAGGACATGTCATGTGCTTTACGTGGTCTGCGGTAAGAAGTTTGCCATTCGTGTCTTTCTTGCTCTTTCCTGATTGGAAACCACTGACAATTGTATAGCTCGTGTTCCAGTTTAGAGCTGCTATAATGCTCCTTTATTTGATCTGGGCAACAAGACCAATAATGAGCAGTCTGGTCTTGCAAGGCCAGAATGTTTACGACTCACCAGAAGCAATCGAGGCATGTACGAAGAACTTTGCATGCTTTGCAGATCGCTGGGAGGACGCCATGCCATACTCGAAATTGTACCAATACTTGCACCAGAAGATCCTGCAGAGTACCGGGGTAATAGGAATGGACACTGATCTTCCTACTCTGGCAGAGGCAGAGGCTCACTTGGATCAACTGAAGGAGAATTACCTGCACCGAGCTATTCTAGGGATGATAGAGGATATTATGTATGGGGGATTCGTGCAATGTGAAGTGATACCCGATCTCCTTGTGACAGACATGGAATGAATGATGGTGATATGACATGAAGATAAGACTATGTGACACAAGAAAGGATACATCAATACAATTTTACATACTCGAGGAATTCGTGACAAAGACCTATATGATATTTCATTCCTTGATTCCTACCTCGAGTGTTAAGGTATCTACTTATAGCGTAGAGGAAGAAGAAGAAGTTGGGCGGGAGTTTAAAAGCGGTTACGGAAGGTCGAGAGAGCGGGTGGTCAAGGAAAGGGTCTGGATGTGATCCTTGGTTGTTCTCTTGAAATCTGGGGGAGGTCCCCGCAAATCGGGGACATTGTGGTAACAGCTTGGAAACAAACTGGCACAGGGCGGAGAAGATGAAATCTCGTTGGTGGGGTTGAAAAGCCCGGAATATTTTTGTGGGTTCGAGGGCCCGTGGTTCAACCCCATTGAGCCAGGATTGAGAACGAACCTAGATAATCAAGAACCGTGGATGCTAAGGAATGTCCAAGGATGCGCTTATCCTTGGTAGACCTCGCCAAAAGTCGCCAAACGCGGGGGTGGGTTTGACGACCAGGATCAGGACGAGGAGCAGCACATCTATCCTTGTCCTGGTTTCTTCGCAGCTGTTATGCGACCTCCCCAAAGGCGACCTGAAAATGAAGGGGGAAGATGCTCTCCCACGACCAGATAGTGATCCTGAACCTGGCCTGGGTTTTGGGATCTGCAACTATTCTCATAATGGTTTTGCGCTTGCTCATGCGCAAACTGAGGAAACAACGGCTGATTCTAGGTGACTATCTTACCATGTTGGCCATCTTATGTGTGCTGGCTCGATCGACATTCGCTACTGTTGTAACCTTATGGGGAAATAATAACTATACGGAAACTGATCAACATTTCACCGCAACGGAAATTCACCAGCGTGAAGTCGGAAGCAAGTTGACCCTTGCAAATCGAATGCTGTATAACACGTAGTGAGCACAGGAACCTCCGCTGTTTCGCTGATTTAAGTTGACTAGTTCTGCAGTCTTTGGATTCAGAAATCAGTTATTCTGCTCCTGTATAACAGAATATTCTCTTGTCTACCTTTCGCTGCGCGAATCATCAAGGTCTTCTGGGTTGTGCTCTTCGTGACCTTCTGTGTTGTGCAAGCTACGAGCTTTGTCGACTGCCGCCCTGTGCGGCTCTACTGGCAGATTGTACCGGATCCTGGTTAGCTGATTTCATTCATTGCCTCTAATGACCTATGGGATCAGAATCTGACAGAGGCAAATATAGGAGATTGTACAGACGCCACTATCCAGCTATTTACCTTTGTCTCTCTCAACATAGCGACCGATGGAATGCTCTTGATCTTCCCTCTACCACTTATTTTCAACCTCAGGCAGTGTCCTTTGAAAACGTATGTCCTTTTTGACCCGAGCTTATAAGAATGGCGATTTTGAGTTCTAATCCCAACAGTCGGCTCCAGTTACTCGGGCTTTTCTCCCTAGGCATTCTCTTGACCATCATCGCTGTTCTGAGGCTTCCTGTATATGAGAATGGCACCTCGCAACTCCGTCGCTATATATGGGGCTCTATCGAGCAATTTTGCGCGGCTTTAGTGGCCAACCTGCCAACTTTGTATAGCCTTCGCAGACGGAAAATTCTTGGGCCTATTTCTACGCCCCACAGCTCTTTCAGCAATGCACTGGTCAACAGATCGAGCGGGAGTAGGCGAACACCAGAAGAAGAGCTGCTCGATTGGCCAGATTTTGTGGAATCCAGGCGAGGATCGTGCCGGGACGATATCGTTACAGAAGAGTCATCCAATCGAACCGATGAAGGCGATCGCAACGTCTGAAGGTACACCTGAGATCTTACTCAAAACCCAAAAGTGATAGAGAAGAAGGGAAGAGCAAATAATTACTGGGGGGTGGGGATTCAGTATCATTCAAACGGAGTTAGACAGACATCACTAGAGGTTCTAGCGGGTCTGATATATCGAATATCGAGGAGAAGACTGTACTTAACAATAGTGGATGAGGCTAACTAGCGCCATACTTTCCTCAACCTAATGGTGAGATTATTCTTGTTCGCCTCCCTTAGTCTGATAAAGATGCTAGCTTGATTTCCCCCACCCTCCCCCCCCAACCCAGTTTTCGTCATTTAATGTCTCTTTGCCATCTTATTCTTTTTGGTAGCGTCATTTCGGCCCTGTATGAGGAAGCGGCACTAATAGGACTGATCACCAAGATATATTTCGCCCATTGCAAATGGAAGTCCATGTGGTGCTTGTCCAGCTCATCCTTTGGATATTCTTTCAGACGGGACACTCCATCAAGGTGAATTTTGGCTGTAGAATGCGAGCCTGGAGCGGTACCGGCTGCCCCAATATTTCAATTCTTGCGCTTGTCAAAGGGGGTATGCTGCTTAGGCAGCCCGTTGGTTTCGATAATGATAATGAGCTTAAGAGTCGGAAGGAGGGGTCTGTTGGAAGCCATGGTAAATGTTGAGTGTGTGTGAGAGAATGTGGCCTGTTATCCCCCACAAGGCTCTCATGCGTGAAGAGAGTAAAAGAGGCAAGTTGAAAGCAGGACCTTGTGTGAAGGTGAATGAAGTGAAGAAGTGGAAATATAAGAGCTTAGCGAGTGCAGAGAAGAAGTGGTCTGAAGGCGAGACCCACAGATAGGCAGGGAGGATCGAGCAATAAGTTGTGGGTTTTCTCGAGGACTCAGATATTTTCGCTTACAGAAAAAGACGGATAGATCTTTGAGGCAGGCACAGTTTTGTTTTTGGCCATCCCGTCCCCACTGGCAAGTATATTTCTATGCTACAACTAATGGGCACTCGGCTTTGACATTTGAGGCTAGCCCTTCTCTGCTGCTGGCTCAGGCTATTTGAGCAGATTCCGTCCCCCTATTGCTATAAAGCAGTGTCAGTCTGCAATGAAAATAATATATCAAAAAAGCCATACTGGCCATTCCCACCTTTCAACGGTAGTCTGCCAGTACTGGTTCAGCGACACCTTCTTCAAGATCTGCCCCGGTTGAGGCAAGCTAGACATCCTTGGAACTGCGAGTAGTATGTTAGTTGATTATTCTTGAATTTAGCGAGCATAATACTCGACTTACTTCGAGAAGATCGGGCTTCGACATCAACATCTCCCCACTGAGATCCTTGAAAGACAGTCTGGAGGGGTTGGGCGGGACTATTCTCCCGTTGAAGGAACGAACCTTCCGAACTAGGTCGCGATCCTTGCCATCCTTGACCGCGAGTGGATAGGGTGCTGATGGCTGGAAGACAGGCACAGATGAATCCGAGACCAAGTTCAGCATTCCTGCCAAGTGAAAGAGGTCAGCTTGTATATCACATCTCAAAAGTGGAGAGGGGGATGCATAAAATAGTGGGACTCACGCGGTCCAGATTGTTCTCATAAGACTGGTAGCCTCAAAAAACGAGTATCGCGTCTTAGTGCTGAGAATAAGCCGATACAGACTAAATGAAACTGCGATGACTCCGAGTCCAAGAATGAGCACCAGTCTGACCTTTTTAGCGAATGGTATCTGCAACGGCCAGACAAATACTATCGGGAAAATGAAGATTCCAAGATCTACCACGAGGCCGAAAACAGAATCCGACATGATCACGGCCGGCAGGCTTAAGCACGAGGCATCAGTATCTGCGGTCTTCCAGTAGGCCGAGATTGGGTTGCAGAGAAACATGTGGACGAATGCTATTATGGTATAGTAGCATATTATCGCGACGATGAAGCACCACAAGATAATTCGCTTCGTGCGGTAAGGTTTGAAGATCCTAATCAGGATGTATAGAATACTTGTTTTGAGGAGGAGTGCTGCTGGTGCGTAAATGATAGGAGCGATATAAGTTATCTGTAAGTGAATGAGCAAAAACATGTGAAGTTATAGGTCCCTTTATTGTTTGCTAACCTTGAGGCAAGTTTCAAGGTCGTCTTGCGTTAGCTCGTGGGCCGGGTAAGTCCCTCCATAGAGCCCATCTTCAATAATTGGTATCAGTCAATCTATGATGTCGCAGAATGACATCTGTGCGACCTTACAGAACAACGCATTTATGCAATAGCCCATGAAGAAGAACTGAATGTTGGCATATGTTAGAAGGTCACCTCCAAGCCAGAAACGAACTGGATCATACCCATGCGAGAACACAAGTTACTACGTGAATCAGCGTATGCACATGCAAAAAGATCGAACGTTCGTGCGCGTACCATCATCCACGCCAATATAGTGTATCTTACGTCGAGCAAAAAGCCGCAAGATAACCAAAGGCGTCAAAATCACGAAGCAAAGGATTTGTGTGGCGAGGTTGACCTGAAACAGGGGGTTCCCGTCTTGAATAGTGACGAACATGGAGAATACATTGATGAATATTCTGAGGAAACGATGTCTCTCGGAAGCAAAACGTTTTGCATCCAGGTCCAGCTTAGTCAAGGCAGCTTGCCACCAACGATGCTAACGAGCCAAACCTTCACATCCGGGCTCGTATTCGATGTGGCAAAAGGCCGCCTTCCGCCTATTGCCGGGCCTGGAGCCGATCCAGATTTATGCGCCCGCGTTTCCATAGAAACTCTAGCACACTACTAAAGTATCACCAGTAAACCCTAATGGGATCAGAATTTTTCACTCCAAAGCTGGTCCTAGGATTGATATACCCTAGATGGATGCAATTCGGCTTCCTCTAAGCTATCGGACGGAGGGCTTGACCTTAGATGGCAAGATCTTTGGCGGAATGCAATCAATTTAGCGCTATCTGCCAATGCACGGAGCAGGGGACTACCGCCCGACTGACCAGCCTACTCTTCTACCCGATCCAATGATCACCCCCGGAAATGCTATTCCTGGAGGACTGCACGTCTGCGCATCATCAACACCCACTGTTATCAATGCTGGGTTGATTAAAGCTCTGCTTGGCAGTCGTCCCATCACACTAGTTTAATCAGCAGGGAGAGCAAGAGCCCTAACTACTATCATCCCCCCTGTTTCTTTTGAGTCACAAGGTAGACCTTGACATAGCCCGCCAAGACAGCCCAGCCCGTCTGGCCCACAATACGGGCGGGTTTCTTGACTACCTGTCGCCGCGACATTGATTACAGTAATATATAAAACCTTTACTACTTAACATAGATTTGAAAATTATATTTTCCCCTATATTACTAGTAATTAATATTTTGGCGGGCTGGCTTGGCGGGCGGCGACTCAACGCCCACGCCGTGGGCTATGTCTTGCCAAGTATACAGGCAGGCGTCGCGGACCAAGGGCAAGAGTTAATACTGCTTCATCGTGAATGGAACGGTCAGATCCGAGTAAGCCTGGAAAGTCCCTTCCATGGGCTTTCTGATGAGGCGGGGGCCCATTCATGGGCCTTTCGGGCAATGCCCGACTTGGGCCGGGTAAGCCCGGCTTCCCCGCATTTTTCATCAAATCGCCTAAAACGGATGGATACGTTGCTGAGTAATACGAATGGATACGTTGCTGAGTTATCCAGATAAATTGCTTTTTTTAACCTGTGTTTTGGTCCACTACACAACCAATAACCTTATTTGGCGGCTGGCTTTACGGATTTGGAGTACATCAAACCATAGTATCTGGCGCAAGATATACATATAGTCAGAGCACGCTCGATGTGTATGGTCTAGTATACGATCAGGCTGAATGAGATCAAGCGGAACCAATTCAGGATGAAATATTGATTGGCTTTGTCGGCGTGCGACCGAGGGCAGCTTCAAATACCCTCGGGTCTACGCGTCTAATACGCCGATACTCGGCGATTACAACACCAGCGTTGCAAATTGAGGGAGAATTACATACACAAAGCAAAGAAAGGTGATGATGGATCGACGGATTAGTACTGAGAGAACCCATTCAGAAGTTTGGATTGAAGAACTAATGTATCTGTTGAGACAGGTATTGAGAGGCTAGTATTGGCATGTAAACTACACGAGTATTCCGAATTGGCCTGATTTACCGTATAAAAAATGTGGAGGAGGAGGTAGTCGCTGATCAGCCTGTCCTTATCGTTAAAGTCCCACCTTGTAGATCGACCGGTGACCTCCTGTGTTACCAATCAGTTGCTCGCGGCAAGTTACCGCTCCACGCTCTAATGTATATAGTCATGGTCAATAATGCGCTGAGGACACAAATTAATTAGAAAGCTTTGTTGCATACAGCGTGTTGAAGTATCTACCTGCAGGGTACCTAGAGGGCCTGTCCATCAGGTAAGGCCTCTATATATACTGTGTATCTTATCCGAGACACTCTACAAGAACTTGATATTGAAATTATAGAAAATAGACTACAATATCATCGCATTTAAAGCCGAATTGAGAAAGCGTGGGCTTTGCCTAAAGATATAATCTATAAGATATGTCCCTGAGCTAAAAGGTATGCAAAGTAATGATAATACATACGCTGTTTTAATCGCAAAGGTGATGATTTTGCTAATTTATCGGCCACAATGACTTACAGGGTGCAGGAAATCATTGAGGCAGAAGGGTGGTATACAAAATACAAGGTTCTGGTAGTTTGAATCTAGCCATTTTGCGAATTTCTACCGGGTAGAAAGGTATTTGCATTGAGGGTAATAGTTTCAAACTTTTGCAATGCCATTGTTAAAGAGAATTGCCGTTGTTAAAGAGAACCAGCTTCCCATCAGTCGCAAAACCGTCACTATGTGCCGTGATTATGACGATCGTCTGGTGCACTGCTGGACTCTCCCACATCTCCCACTGACCTGCCCGCTCGGAAGCCTGATGAGCTGTTTTTAGAAACCAATCCTCGCCATTCACAACAGCATCACATGGCTTTCCATTAACATAGCATATCAAGCGCACTGGGGGAAGGGGATGAAGTAAACGAGTGGTATCGATGGCACGCCGAACAGATCCACAGATATGAACAACGACCTGTGAATCTTGAACCTTCTCATACTGCTCTTCCACCACCAGTTCAAGCGGGAGCTGGGATGTGAGAATACGCGGTATACTGCTAATTGGTACCCGGTCCGAAGGCAGAATTGGTACAGCAGCAGGTTGAACTCGGCACTTGGAGGCCATCTCGAAGGCATATCCATAGCGCAGGAGATCGTTATCCTCGTATGCCTTGCCTGCGAAAGTGAGATTCACTGGCATCTTCGTATCCTCCATCACGCCCATTGGAACTGAAATTGTTGGAATACCGAGGTGACGAATCGGTCGATTGCCATTAGAGTATTTCACGCCATTGCTCCAGGCAAAGAGAGATGCTTTTTCATCCCTATCGGCATTCGCAGCGCCAACATCACCGTTCGCTGGGAAGACCACCGCGTCGAGGCCGAGCTTATCCATCCAGTTCTCGAAAGTTTCTTTTCGGGCATCCTCGAGTGCCTGGATTGCCTGCTTGATTCCCGGAATTTCGCAGATGGAAGAAGGCTTGGAGTGCGGATATGCTACGATCTCATCCCAAGATAGCTTGTTTACTACCTCGGGATTACCGCGGAGGGAGCCCGGTGCGAGTGGGAAGATTGTTGCAGGGTCAACTTCTGTGAGAGACGCTAGGCCTTCCTGACCGTTTGCGACGAGAAAATCATCCCACGAGTGGGCGACGACCTCGCATCTTTCCTTGCCTGCCCAGCCTTCTGGAAGATTTGCAATGGTGAATAACTGACCCGTTGCAGCGTTTGACTCGTAGGTTGTCACTAGGGGGAAGTCGGTTTCAATGACTTCGGCGCCGCATTCTTCTAGCACCTTTTTGGCCTCTTGCCACAGCTTGATGATTGACTGCCGCGTCTTCACTTTGCTGACGGGGGAGATGGAAGAGTCATCGCCACCGATGTACATTGAAGGTACACCTATGCGCTTATCCTTCAAGGAGGAATTATCCTTGAATGTCATGAAAGACTGTGGTCGAATAGTCTTTATCGAAGGAATTTGGATGAATGGTTGTTCATTGTAGAAATCTCCAGCTGGTGCCGAATCAGGAACAGCCAGGACCTCGAGGACGTGGAAAAGATCCTCAACAGTTCTGGTATGAGGAACCAAGACGTCGCAGGTCGGGTAGAGAGGGAATACACCCCGAAGTGGAAGCAATCCCTTTGATGGCGTGTATGCAACAATTGCATTGTTTGACGCAGGTGAGCGGCCAGAAGAAACAGTCTCACTTCCCAGAGAGAACGCGCAGAAGTTCGCAGCTGTGGCAACAGCAGATCCATTGGATGATCCCGAGGCATAAGCTGCTGCCAAGTAGTCGCTGTTATACGGACTCTCGGCACGTCCCCATATTCCGCGCTGCATGCCACCATACGCCATGGCAGGCATGTTGGTTCGCCCGAGAAGGACCGCGCCAGCATCCCGGAGAATCTGCACGCAGACCGCGTCTTCATTCGCAACGAGCTTCTGAAAAGCAGGTGACCCGTTGGCGACTGTCATGCCTTTCACTTTGATGCTGTCTTTCACTAGGTAAGGAATCCCTTCTAGTGGTCGCGGAGGCAGCCCCGCTGCACGCCTAGCATCTGATTCGCCTGCTTCGTCAAAGACTGATGGGTTGAGAATTGGGATGGCACTGAGCTTTAGTCCGTTGGCATCGTAGACACTGATCCGCCGTAGATAGAGCGAGACCAATTCCACGCTGGTGATCCATCCCAAGGAGAGTGCATTCAGCAGCTCGGAAATGCTCGTGTCAAGTAAAGTAAACTCTTGACCAGAACCTGGTTGAGCCATTATGCCTTGGGAGAAGTGGTTTGTTTTTCGATTTGATTCCGCAGGCAATTTGCAGCCTCAACGCTCACAATATATAAGCAGGAGAAAAAGCACTGCGATAAGGAGCTTCAGATATAGACGACGCCACAGTCGCGTTAGCAATCGAGTGCGGAGGCAGCGGAGTATTATCCGCTTGACAAACTTGCCCCACCTGATCATCCAGGGGCGGGCTATTGTCCGCCTATCGCTGTGCTGGGATAGCGAGGCCAAGCTTATCTACTTGGCAGAGATAATGCAAACTAGCAATCTGCGGAGTAAGATACATATAAGCCTGAGAGATTGGCAGCGGGAGGGGAAGGAGATTGCAGAATCCTTTGTCGAGTCTTGTCGTCTGTTCTTGTTTACCATGGAGCCAAAGGATATCAAGGTGGAGCAACCGCCCGCTGTGGAGAAGGATGTGGCACTCGGAGATGTCGACGATATCGGAGCAGGTTTATTTATTGAGGCTGATCGACTATCGGCTGATGAGCTAGAGAGAGAGAGCGCGAAGGTGCTAAGAATTCTGGATTGGAGACTGATGCCAATCGTGAGTCAATACTTCAGACAGGTTTAGACAAGTTTGGTCACTTTCTAACCAGTCGCTAGCTCTATGTGACCTATGTGATACAATTTCTCGGTATGGTCGGCCTGAAAGGCTCACATACATTCCTGTATTGTAGTTAATTATTGATAACTGAGCAGATAAACTATCACTCAATTATGCGTCTGCATATTCACTCATCCCCGATCTTGGTCTCGAGGGTCAGCGTTATTCTTGGGTTGCAGCCATCTTCAATTTTGGATACCTCTTTTGGGCTATCCCGGCGAACCTATTGCTTCAGAAGCTGCCTGTTGCTAAATACATGGGAGGAATGCTTATTATCTGGAGCATCATTGTGATCGCCCATATCGGAGCGAAGAACTATGCAGGCATATTGGTACTTAGATTCCTGCTGGGAATGGCAGAGGCAGGTGTTAGTCCATGCAGTACGTGCCCCCTAAGGACAATGATAATCATGATAAGAACAACTTTACTGACATAATTAGTGATGATGATCACATCTATGTTCTACAAGCGCTCCGAACAGCCTCTGCGCATGGCTATCTGGTTGAGTGCCAACGGTATGGCGACTATGGTAGGAGCACTGCTAGGCTTTGGCCTCGGACACTCCCACAATACGACACTACATAGCTGGCAACTCATCTTCCTAACCATTGGACTACTCAACTTTGTATGTGGGGGCGTGTTCCTTGCACTCATGCCGGACTCGCCAAGTTCTGCACGCTTTCTGACCCACTGTCAAGCGGGTAGCGGAGAATATGATTGGTGTTAAGAATCGACAAATCAAGCTGGGACAGGCTGTGGAAAATTTATACGATATCAAGGTCCTCTGCTGTGTGGGCATTGGAATTGGCTGTGGGGTTATTAACGGGGGGTGTCGAATTTTGCTTCGTCACTGATCAAAGGATTTGGATTCAGCGGAATCTATGCCACCCTTCTCCAGCTACCAACGGGTGCTTTTGAGGCTGCTATAGTCCCGATATGTGGCCTCGTTGCAACATATGTCCCCAACTCACGGTGTGTTGTTCTTGCTACTGTGTGCTTGATTCCATTCGCTGGTCTATTGGGTATCCGCTTCACAAGCCTTGACCACCGATGGACGCTCGTTGGCTGTACCTGGCTACAGTATATCGTTGGTGCACCGGTCATTGTTTGTTGGAATATATTGTCCACTAATGTGGCAGGCCACACTAAACGAGCTGTCGCTAATGGTTTGTGGTTCACACTGTATGCTGCGGGTAATGTTGCTGGTGCGAATATCTTCTTTTCTCGTGAAGCTCCACGCTACTACTCTGCGCTTACCGGACTTCTGGTATGCTATGCGGGCATAATTGTTCTGTCACTTGTGACATACGTCGTTATGCGATGGGAAAACATACGAAGAGATGCTGCGGCAATGGTTGCAGGGGAGAATGTGACCGCTAGTGAGGCACAGGATATTACTGCTTCACAAGCCATTTTGGATGGTTTTAAGGACATTACTGACATGGAAGCCAAGCATTTTAGATATGCACTTTGAGTAGACTAGATGGGACGATGTCAGCGAGTAGCGGGAGCAGAAGTGACATTATTTTCAATTCAAATCATTTCAATTACTCTACCAAGTAAAAAATACCTCCGAAAGTCCTTGAGATTCATATATGGCGACACTACCTGAGATCCCTGCATTGTGAGATGGGGGAGGTAACAGTAGAGTCAGAGATAAATTTGGCACAAGGAAAAATGAGTGGGCGTATAAACGCACATCATTCGATGCTAATTAAAGAGTGGAGAGAATGGTATGCATGAAGGGAATCTGGTCTAGAAGGTTTCATAGACTGTTCAGTGAACACATAAATAGGTGTATAACGCTCATAGCTGAGATCTAAACCAGAGAATATGCTCCATCTATAAACTCTTGACTATGGGACTGAAGGGTCACTACTTATCTTGCAAAATACAGATCCTTTCGCGCTTTTTTTTTTTTTTTTGGATGTTTGACAGGACATAGCTCTTTGGATAAAATGAGAACGGAAAGCGAAGGCGATGTCTTTCAAGAGGTCCCTATAACAGCGCAAACCCCAAAAGTTGGAAATCTATCTGGCTCTAGAGAGAAATATTATCGAAAAGCAAAAAATTGCAAAAGTATCATAAAAGTATTCAAGCTGCATCCATCCGGGGCCACAAGTTCAAATGAAGGAGGTTTGATAGAAAGATTAAAGACAGACATCAATTTAGGGTATTCAGGCATTGCTCAAAAATTCTCTAAGCATATCATAACTTAAGCACACCATTTAACAGACTATGTTTCGTCCCAAGAATGAAGACCATCTGGGCGAATTGACCTGGATTGCGCTCAATTCTTGATGCCCCAGGCAGCAAGGCAGAAAGCATCCACGGAAAGGCGGATGTTGTCGTTTCCATCATCCATTTATAGCCCCGCCTTGTGCGCGCCTGAGCGGTAGGTGCGTGAGACTCGTCAGAGATGGGCGCTGGAACCTCAAACAGCCGCCGCATCGGGCAAACTAAATCGCGATCCGGGTGTAAAATCTGCAAGTGAGATCTTTCGCGCCTGTCCTTGGTGCTTCACCGCTGACTTACGGAACAGGATCCGGAAAGTCAAGTGCGGCGAGGAAAAACCAGCTTGTGTTCGTTGCTCCAGTACGGGGCGACGGTGCGAGTATGAGGAGAACGGAACTCCTCCGAAGGCTCCCTCCACTCCCTCATCGCTGATACCAAGCCATACACCGTCATTGTCGCCAAATTCAGGAAGGCGCGAGCGCCGTGCGTTCGAGTACTACTTTCAACATGCCGCGAAATACCTCGCTGGCGGTATGAATATAGATTTCTGGACAGACGTTGTCCCACAGATTTGCCGCACAGAGCCCGCTGTGTGGGATGCTATGATCGCGATCAGTGGACTTTTTGAATACCCAGACCAGTGCACGGACTTTATCTTCTTAAAACACAGTAAACAACAATCGCATCATCTCAATCAGGCTCAACAGGAAGCTTTGACATGGTATTCGCGCTCAATGTCCGGCATCCACTCTCAGATCGAGCGCGGGAGCGCAGACCCATACGTTGCTTTGATTAGCTGCGTGCTATTCATCTGCATAGAGACCATCCAAGGACGTATGGAGGGGGCACTCCGACTATACAAACAGGGTGTCACTTTGATACTTGACCTGCGAACTCAAGTGGCCTTGGGAGGAGTAACCGCTACAAAGACTGCTCTTCTAGAGCATACCATCATTCCCCTCTTCTTGCGACTGGGCACCATTTCCCTAACCATTTCCGGCGTTCAACCAAGCGAGCTTTTTGCGTTTTCAGAGCACGGTTCGAGCACTAAATTCACGTCGATCATCTCTGCTCGATCTACAATGACTATTCTTGCCACGGAAGTGATACTCTTCGAGCGTGAAGGAACAGTACACCTGAGGGCTGTTGGTGGTGAAGCTTTCATTCAGCCGTACATGGTTGCGAAAAAGCAGTGTCTGCAAAATCGACTCGATGACTGGTACCGTGCTTATGCCTACTTGTGTCGGAATATTCAGGCTGGATCTGCATCTTCATCTCCACTACTAAGCGAGCCTATCCTCCTCACATACCACGCAGCCGCATCTATAATGCTCTCTGGGAGCCTGACCGATCTGGAGACCGTTTATGATGCCCATCATGCGGATTTTGTTACCATCATCGAACAGGCTGACCTGGTGCTTGGTACCTCGGCCGGCCCAGATGCTCACAACCACCCTTTACTTTTGAAATGGGAGTCGGCATCCCGCTCTTCCTCACTTCAATGAAATGTCGCGATCCAGGCTTGCGGCTTCGAGCACTGCACCTATTGCAACAAGCACCCCCAATGCAAGGATTCTTTAAGTGTACTCCGGCTGCTCTCTTGGCAGGAGATCTCATGAAGCTTGAAGAAAGCTACAGCCGTATGATGCAAACAGCAGGGTCTAATCAAGGCTCTACTGATGGTTCTGTCTCTACAACCGAGGCCCAGTCCATGCAGCCCCAGTCTATTCTCATGCCTGAAGAGGCACGTGTAAAATTCTGTGGTGTTTTCAGGCCTGTCAATGGCCTCCCCCCGGAGTAACAGCAAACGACATTGCCAAATGGGGGTGTGACCCAGATCAGCTCTTCCTACATGTGGCAAGAAATAGCTATGATGGGTCTATCAAGACATGGCAATCAATATCTGAATTTATGCCATTGGAAGCATAACTGATAGTCCTGTTTTAGCATACAGGGCCTTGCCAAGGTTCATCTCCTGAGACAGCACAATGAAGAAATGGGATCTGCCTTCGTAATAGGGAAAAGCGCCAGAGGATTTTGTCACAGATAAAGTGGTAGAAACAGGCACGCATTTCAAAGCTAGTCACAGGGGCTTGAAGACCGTTAAAATCCGTTTATCTTCTATCGTGAGGACCGGAATCATATTCTGTTATTTCCAAAGACATGTCCAGACAGGATGAACTCCCTCCCAATTTCAATATGGCCATTCTGAAGCTGCCTTCCATTTGCAAATCCAACCCACAAATCTTTGAGGTATGAACCCAAACGAGCAAGCTGTTCTTTTGTGTCGTTACCGGCCAGCATAGGAGCAGCCTCCCAGGCTTCCCATGTTCCCAGCACAAATGGAATGTCGATGCAGTGACATGCTCCTAGAGGGTTGTTTGTACCTACCCAGTTAAATGAATAGCTTGTCGATCTCCCACCTGTTTGGAGCACTAGCTGATGGAAACGCTGAGATGGCCACTTGAAGTAGCTCTGCGTAATATACCAGGTACCAAGAGCCTCCACATAAGATCCGATGAAGGGTAATTTGAGTAGGCTTTGTGGTCCCATAATGCTAGCAAAGGGGCGGCCATCGTGGCCAGTCCAGCCGATGAGAATGGGGATCTCCTTCGCAGCCTGGGACACTGTCTGATCAAAGTCTATCTCGGCGGGTAGAGGATAGTATCCGAGAGCGGGTGCAAATAACATGACTTGCTTCTGAATGGGGTTCATCAGCAGCTGCTTTTGGAGGCCAAGGAGTTTGTCTATGGACATCTCTCTGGGATCCTTGGCGAGAAGTTGCTCTGCCTTCTGCGTGAGCAGAGGTGCCGTGGGAGTCCGTTCCTTCAGCTCTCGTAATGGCGGGCTAAGAAGGATAGTGCGATGGAAAAGGCCTCTGGTATTCTCCGAGACCATCAAGCAAATAATTGAATCCGCACCCGCAGATTGTCCGACCATCGTAACATTGTCCGGGTTTCCCCCGAACGCAGAGATGTTTTCCTGGATCCATTGCAGCGCAGCACGTTGATCCAATAGTCCTAGGTTGGCGGGTGAAATGCCATCCAAGTGGAGATACCCGAATACACCCAATCGGTAGGTAATGTTAACACAGACGATACCCCGCTTGGCTAGGTCGACCGGCTGGTAGCAGTCTAGATCTCCACCACCGGATATATAGGCGCCGCCGTGCAGCCAGACCATGACGGGAGCATTTTTGGCGTCTTTGGGAGTAATGATGGAAATGCGAAGGCAGTCTTCGCTTAAGCTATGGCCCGTGGTCAACGGGCCCATGGCAGACTCGAGCCGCGAAGGGAGCTGGGGACATATTGGTGCGCGTTTGGTGCAGTCTAAAGCTTCTGTCCAGCTCCCAGCCGGCTGTGGCTTTTCGAACCGCTGGGCTCTGGCGTAGGGAATTCCCCGCGCGTGAACGAGGTTGCTGTCCACTAGGTTCGCTTTGATGGGCCCTGCGGGCAGTTGGATTGTTGTCGTACTAGCCATGACTGGGTGTGCTTTGGGAGAAGTGGGTTAATGCAACTGGAAGTTGTTGCTGGCAAAATGTATCAAACATCAAAGCGGTATGAATAGCAGATTCTCAGCTACGAGCTGGTCGGATCCGCCGTGTTGATCAGGCGGGCTGGGGTGGAACCTTGCGTGCGGAGCGAGTGTAACTGTGGGGGCGAGAAGTCGCCAACAGAAGTCGGCGAGGACCGTTGATAACCGCAATGCGCGTGAACAGGTTATGCGTGGGTGAGCTAAAGGTGGCACAAAGAAGAATGGTTTCAGCTGGAATCAGCACAGCCTGGTCATAGCTTGGGCGAAACGCATGTCATTAAGTGGGCGGTAGGTTGGCGGACCACAACCTTGAAAGCCAACATATCTCGTCTTTCCTACAGATTTTATAGTCCCTTTAATTGTATGTAGCGTATCCCATATAAGCAGAACAATGATGCTGAAGTCAGTATCGTATGTATTTTCTCAGCAATCTAGCACATTAAAAATCGCCACAGCGTTACTTCTCTTGCACCAGGGCCAAGCCTAGCGAAGTCTGCAAATTTATACGTTCTCGGGACCGACTCTCGTTAAAGAACTACCTACCTGTCTGGTCTTAGACTCCAATACAGGGCAATTCTCCTTCAATGCATATAAAATTGACGGAGAAAGTGTTTATCTCAGCCAAATAGCACTCAGTATGGCCCAGCCACGCTGGAAGATCGACGAAACTGCCAATTGAGATTAACTATACTAAGATGATTGAGCACTCCAATCATTGGCAAAAAAGAACGTTTTTAATAGCTGGCTCGATGAACCTTTTCCACCCTCGGCGGGATCCACTTGAATACGAAGAAGTTGACCAAACACGTCCGCTGGAGGGCAAGACTTGAGAGCTGGGAGTGTCAGGGCATTGTAATACCCCAGCCAGCTGGGCGCTCCTCAAGACTGCTTGCTATCTCTGTCGTATATCTTGAATTTCAATCCCTCTTTATTCAACGCTTGTGCCAAAATCAAGTCCACAATGTTTAGCTCCGATAATGCGTTCCTACGACAGATACACTAGATCCATGCTGTGTTTTCCGTTTGGAATAATCTATAGAGTCTCAAATTTTTACCCTTGGTGTCTATTCTATCTACCGGTAAAGGAGACTTTGTTTTGTTGGGAATGGCATGCGTATTGAGAGTTACAGTCTTCGGAAGAGGCCTTCTGTTTCTTTCCTCAAGCTCCAACGAATATCCCTATAGAATCATCGCAGTTCGCGGCCTCCATATCTAGGAGAACATCGATATCGTTTGTTAGGTATTAGACATCCAATTAGACCTTCTGAATGAGTCGCTCGAAGATCTGCCCAATGCTTTTGGCACTCTTCTTTGGGATCCTCTTCTGGTCATGATCATAGTCGACATAAGTCACACCGAAGCGGGTCTCATAACCTTCTGCCCACTCGAAGTTGCTACAGGTCACTGTTAGTATTAGGTTCAACATAAGTTGGGGGAAGTAGCATACTCCATAAGGCTCCAAGCCATGTAAGCCCGAACGTTCACTCCGTCCAGCGTAAACGCATCCGCCATAGCACCGATATAATCCTTGAAATATTGCACACGGAACTCGTCATCAAGCAACTGTTCTAGCGGCATATCGTTTTCCCCCAGGACGCTGGTTCCATTCTCTGTGACATAGATCTTGGGATATCCATAGCGCTCACTGAGCCACTTGAGCAGCTTGCGGAATCCCACTGCGCAAGGCCGCAACCACGGTGACTGGGTGATAGGCCCGATGCTAACCCCATTCTTGTCTTCTAGGAGCAGCTCCAGATTTCCTGCAATGTCATTAAGCTCGGGCTGCCCTGTCTTGGCGCGAATGTAATTTGCACAGTAGTGGTTCATCCCGTAAAAGTCATTGCTTCCATGGACCAGGGCGAGGTCTTCCGGTATCCAGGCGGGCAGTCGATCGCCTAGTTGCTTGATCATGCTCTCGGGGTATCTGCCATGGTAGATGGGGTCGGCAAACCATGAGATCGCAAATTCAATTTTACGGTCGCAGGCTTCGACGTCGGCTGGATTTTCAGGGTCCCACGGCTCGGCCCAGTCGCCTTTTCGTGATCAGCTCCTCATATTCAAGGATGAACGTGTCGGGAGAGAAGACTAGCATACCATTCAATGTGATACCAATCTCGCCACCGTCCTGTGTTTTGAACTCATCACGGTAGATCTTCACTGCTGCTCCATGCGCAACAAGAATGTTATGACCCACAATCCATGGCTCTGTTGAACCATCGCCCACAGAGCTCTTGGTGCGATCACTTGTGTGACCAGGCGCAAAAGAACCAGTGTTATATCCAAGTACGCTGCTGCACCAGGGCTCATTAAACGTAACCCAATGCTTGACCTTGGATCCAAATGTCTTGAACACCAATCGAGCGTAGTTCGCAAAGTCCGCTACAAACTCCTCCTTGTTCAATAACCCGCCATATCGCTTGTTTAATTCATCTGGTAGATCCCAATGAAAGAGTGTTACCATTGGGGTGATCCCTGCCGCGTGTAGGTCATCGATAAATCGGAGGTAGAATTGTAGGCCCTTTTCGTTGACGGGGTCGTTGCGGCCGCCGAGGGCAATAATTCGGCTCCTTTATGGTTTGCAAGCGGTTAACAAAGGATCTCTTCATCTCAATCAAGCAGACCGGATGGGAATTATAGAGTTGTACCAAGACAGCGAGAACCGATACGCCTTCGCACCGCAGGCCTTCAACAATGCAATGTCCTCATGAGTGCGATGATACGAGTCGCACGCGATCTCGCCCGAGCCGCCACCGGCAATTTTGCCAGGAATCTTGCAGAAGGTATCCCAAATGGACGGGCCGCGTCCATCCTCATTCACAGCGCCCTCAATCTGGTAGGCGGCCGTCGCAAAGCCCCAGACGAAGTCGGCGGGGAGAGTCGACTGCTCAATGGACCCCATAGTGAAGCAATCTCGGATGTCAGTGAATCGGCTTGAATGGTTCAAGAGCGGTTTCACACGATCGCCGCACAGGTCTGGACCGAGTGGCCCCTGGAAGTGTTGCCATAGATATTTATGTCGAGGCTTTGTCTTCTGAGAGCGCGGCGGGAAGGAAGATGAGACAGGCGAGAGCTTCCTTATCGTGACAGGAACTATCTCCGCTCGCCGGAGCAGATCCCGCTCCCAGAGCGTGGGTAAGTGGAGCAGCGATCGCGGGACCAGATTAGTCTTAGCCGGTGTGTTGGTTGGGTGTAGTTGGCACGGTCATCCCAGACATCCCTGACATTTCACTCATTTCTGTTGTTTCAGTCAGCGAAGGTCAGCCAGGGTGAGGCGGTTGAACGGGCCGGCGACCGCATTGCTGCGATGGGCTCGAGGAGTTGCTGGGGCATGCCAGAAAGGTTAGACCTTGTGGAGTGAAACTCGACAGGGCTACAGGGCTACATGCATACGACTCGGAGGTGCTTCTGTACACGTTCACAAGATGCATAGCCGCATAGATTTCAAAGAATGATGCCATGATGCCACTCGAAGACTCCCCCATCTATGTTCCCTTCCCCGCCAAGCCCTTTCCCAACCCCCATTCAAACGCCGGAAGACAATGCGTGCCGAATTCGTTTTGTTCAAGAAAGTACCATATCCTCATCCTCCGACTCGTCATCCAAGCTCACGGCGGAGCCCAGCCGCAGCCGAGAATTCTTCGAGTCCCGCTCACACTGGCCTTCTGTCCCAAACGCGCCAACCATCTCCAGGTCCGGCCCGGCGATAATACGACCCTCGGTATCGACCACCTCGCAGAGCTCGATCAAGCTCTGATGGCTGAGGGACTTGAACCCGTCCGTCCGCACGATTCGCCCCCAGTGCGTCAAGCAGAACTGTGCAGCCCGGCGCATGAGCCAATGCTCATTCGTCCGTCCCGCACGCTCCCAAACAATGGCTGCGTTTTCCACATCCAGCTCGCGGCTCAGCCGATTCACGCAGAGGAGGCGGAGCTTGGGCATGTCGTACAGGTTTGCCATGACCAGCATGCCCGCCACATCAATCACGCTCGAGCAGTACTCGGGATGACCGGCAATACTGTCCGTGTAGAGGTAGTACAGAAACGCACGCACGACGGAGTATGGCTCGGGAATATGCATCCTTTTGGTGTGGTACTCCGCCATTTGGGCGGCATATAGGCGCTTGAAATGCGGCCACCGAAGCTGCAGAATGATTTTGTGAACATGGATAGGATCTGAGGTGGAGGGACTTGGCTCCACGAATGTTGGCTGGGTCTGGCTTGGGGATCCAAATGGGGTGTCCACCAGGTCATCTGAGACCGAGCAGTCATGATCGTCACGAATGGCGGTAATGACAAAGTCCGCCCCGCTTCCTGATTCGGGGGGTTGGTCAAACACAGCAGAAAGGTCAGCCCCAAGTCCAGAGACGGATGAATGCCCCGGCTGGTCAGCCGGCCATGAGGCATCCTGGTGAGGGGCCGCCGCCGATAGGCTACTGCCAAGTAAACCGTATTTCTCTAGGTCGATGGCGAGAATTTCACTCATGTGATTCTCGTCACTGGCCCCGGGTGCATTAGCGAGGTCGAGGCTGCAACCCAGTAACCATGCCTTGGTACCCGTCTCATTCACAGTGCAGTAATGCCACCGATAGCCCGGCCGGAAAACCTCCTGTCCGTCGGCCAGCCGCTGCCAGCGCAGTGTATTCAAATCTAGGGCAGATAGATTACAATCATGTGACCGCACGGTCTCAGATGGAGTAATCAAGTCAAGCAAAACCCCAGACGAAAAGGATTGGAAGTGGGTTCCAGAGAATAGCTGGGGGACATTCGGACCAGAGTGGAAACGCAGGCATGAGATAGCACCCGGAGCAAGGGGCTTGCGACGACCAAAATTGCGGACCTGGACGCTGGCAGAGTTTGCGGCATAAATACCGGAGCGAGGGGACAGTTGCTGTGATGATGGACTAGAAATGGAGTCTGGATAATGAGCAATAGGCAACCGTGTGTCCGGGAGATCGTCGTTACCTTGGGAGGAGGTGATTCCGGCTAGGGAAGGAGAGCCTTTGAGGTCAAGCCACCAGATATCGGAGCTTCGTTCCATGTTGGGCCCCAGTCCGCCGAAGATCCAAAGGCGATTGCCCCAGACCCACGCGGTGTGGTCGAAGCGGGCCGTGAAACTCCATGTTCGAGACCAGGTCCAGGTTTGCAGGTCCAGATACGTCAGGTCATCCAAGATGACATTATTTTCGCCAGTCACTCCACCAACAATGAATAGCTTGTCGTCCTGGATGACAGCGGCATGGCGTGCCCGTCCCCGTGGAACCGAGCCACTAATTTGCGGTAAGGTCCAGTGAAAGTTTTGCAGGTCGAGGATGATGACGTCGGAGAGGTACTCGCGGTGTTCGTTCTCACCTCCGAAGATGATCAATTTATCGCCTTGGTAAAGGGTAGCAGTGTGCCCTGAAAGAACGGAGAACAACGGGTTAGCAAGAGAATACATTCAACCATACGTAGAAGTATTACGGAGGTGAGGGAAGGATGTTTTACCCATGCGCACCCCGGGAATATCGCCATAGTTGTCCACCAACTCCCATCGCAAGGTATCCAAGTCTAACCTGAGCACGTGGTTATACACTGTGGGAAACAGCCTGTTAGCTCTCGGATTTGGTAGATTGGAAAGAGATTGGAGGAGATTGGAGGTGATAGAAACGGTCGAACCTTCATCAGTGTACTGGTCAAAGCCGCCGAAGGCGTAGATGCGATCGTTGCCGCAGTACGTCAGCGAGGCATTTACCAGACATGCGGGGACATGGCCCTGGGCCTTTTTCACGGTGGGGATCTCGGCGGTGGCAGTAGCCCGGCGACCGCTCGCGGGGCTAGCCGGCATCAGGTATGCATCCTCCTGCTGCATCACGAAGGCAGGAGAGCGAACACGCCCAGAGGTCGTTGGATTGGAGAGTCTTGAAGATCCAGACCAGGATGACGGAAGTCGTGTGGGTGGGTCCTGGTGGAACGGAAGGTGGTGGGCAGGAGTGGACGAGTCCGCCATCAGGCAGTGGCGACAACGGGGAACAAAGAGAGCTGACAGATGAGCGGCACCCCCGAATTGAATCAGAGCCCTCTTTGTGGCCTCGACCGCATCTTAGTTTCCGACTAGTAAAGGGAAATCGTGACGCCGAGGTGAGACACCTTGAAGACATCCCCCACCAAGGCGATCGGCACCGGAAAGGGAAGCCCACGGCATGTCATGTGCGGATTCCGCTAACCGATATAGGGTTAGCGCAACCGTACCTGAGGTAACGGTTGCCCCGGCGAGAAGCTTCATTGTCCGCAAGTAGAATTCTATTTATTCTCCATTCTCCTCTTCCCCTGCTCCTTTCCTCTTCACCTATCCTCTATATTTCTACATTCTATTCTGCATTGGCTTTCGTCGTTTGCATTGAATTGTTTCTTGGTGGCTGGCTCCACCGTAGTACGCTTTTATCTTCCAAAAAAAGAAAACAGGAAGTTCTGATCAGTTACAAGCCATGGCAACTGCTTCGGTCTCTACTCCGGTGAAGACCCATCATGGGCTCTTCTCCTCCAAGACGGCTGGAGGTCGGATGCCTCTAACTCCTTCTCCGAACACTCGCGCGACTCCCAAGGCATCGGATGAGTCTTCACCCTTCACCCCTCATAAGGCGAATGCAGGATGCGAGAAACCCAAGTCTGTCTATGGAGGCAACCTGTCCTCATACTTCGCCAAGTCATCTGGAGCCAAGTCGGCCGTTCCCAAACCTTCAGTCTCTAAGCCTTCCGTCGCCAAGTCCACGGTCGCCAAGTCGTCGTCTCGGTCGCACCGTGATTCTCCCAAATCGAACATTGCACGCACCCGCCATTCCCCCAAGCATCTGCAGCTGGGTGTCTCGGATTGGTCTCTGACTGGTACGGGCCCGTCTTCCTCCTCTCAGACTCCCGTCAAGGAGCGTCCTCGACGGGAGGTGACTAGTCGGGCTCGCCCTACGAAGACTACTGTTCGCATTTCTCACAACGCCGGTGACCGGTTTATCCCTAACCGCACTGCTAGCGAGGGTCTTGCCACGACTGGTGCTGCCAAGCCAGAGGAGAACCAGCGTCCCAAGACGAGCGGTAGCGAGGGATCTACTGTTCTGGCATCCGCGGCCAGTGCCTTCGATATCAGTGGACGCGGGGCTGAGGATGATCTGACCGCTGCTTTGGACAACCTGGGCCTGGAAGATAGTGAGCCTTCAAACTACACCCGCCCAGCACCTGATGCTGTTGCCTACGAGTCATCGCTGGCAAATGCCTGTGGTGTGAACTTGAATACTCGCATCCTTGCGTTCAAACCCCCACCTCCTGAGTCATCGAAGCCGATTGATCTACGCGCTCAATACAACCGTCCTCTCCGCCCTGCCAAGTCTCAGAATGCTCAGTTCCGCCGTCGAGTCCAGACTGCCCCAGAGCGTGTCTTGGACGCGCCTGGTCTGCTGGATGATTACTACCTGAATTTGCTGGACTGGAGCTCTGGAAACCAGGTCGCCATTGGCCTGGAGCGCAACGTCTATGTCTGGTCTGCCGAATCTGGCACAGTCAGCTGCCTTCTGGAGACATCGCCTGATACCTACATTAGCAGTGTCAAGTGGAGTGGTGACGGTGCTTACGTTGGAGTTGGCCTTGGAACCGGCGAGGTTCAGATCTGGGATGTTGAGGAGGGCTCCAAGCTCCGCAGCATGTATGGTCACGACTCTCGCGTGGGTGTGATGGGCTGGTCCAAGCACACTCTTTCGACTGGTGCTCGCAGCGGTCTAGTGTTCAATCACGATGTTCGCATTGCTCAGCACAAGGTCGCCGAGCTTGTTTCTCACACTTCCGAGGTTTGCGGTCTCGAGTGGCGCTCGGACGGCGCTCAGCTTGCTACTGGTGGCAATGACAACCTAGTCAACATCTGGGATGCCCGTTCCCTGAGCGCTCCCAAGTTCACCAAGACCAACCACCGCGCTGCAGTCAAGGCGCTGAGCTGGTGTCCATGGCAATTGAACCTGCTGGCCACTGGCGGTGGTTCCTACGATCGTCATATCCATTTCTGGAACACCACCACTGGCGCCCGTACCAACAGCATCGACACTGGCTCGCAAGTCACCAGTCTTCGGTGGAGCAACCACTACCGCGAAATTGTCAGCTCTAGCGGCTTCCCCGACAACTCGCTCAGCATCTGGAGCTACCCAACTCTCGTACGCAACGTTGAGATCCCTGCTCACGAGACTCGTGTCCTGCACAGCAGTCTCAGCCCCGATGGCCAGATCCTGGCTACCGCCGCTGCGGATGAGAGCTTGAAGTTCTGGAAGGTGTTTGAGCGCAAGGCCGGTAGCAGCGCCGCTGCATCCCGTGAGGGCGGTGTTGGTAGCAAGGCCCAATTAACCAAGTCAATGACCATCCGCTGAAGAGCAGCTCTTCGGTCTTGTTCTTCTCTTCTTGTGTGTGTTTTATACCCTGGGTTTCATGGTGATCTCGCGAGCATTGATGGGCTGGGACATTCATTCGGGTTGGCGTTGATTGGGATTTTTACTCGCGGCTAATATGGGGGAGTACCTGGTGTTGTATGTAGCTGCCATAAGCTGGATTGTACAAATTGCTATTCTCACTGCTTATCTCAATATCTCCCTACTGTCTTCTTCCTTGTATCGAAGAGTCCATTTCTTCGGCAGGCATACCATGAGGTGGTCCCTGTGGCTGACTAAGCGCCGGGGAGCTGGAGTCTTTTCGACCGCGGAAGCCCGACTTTCACCTTCTCCAACTCATCAGCCAAACCCCCCATCCCAACTACCCCTCCATTTGTTTGGGCTTGTATCTTTTGCCTGCTTCTTTGTGCATACTGTTCGCTCGTTACTTTGAAAGGAGCGCTACGGACTGATAGATCATTTCGACCGGCCTGATTCCCAAGAGGTGTGATCGACCAGCGCTCCAACAGCCTCACCGTTGCGACGGAAGGCCATATCTTCTGGCCGAGGCGCCGAAATACTTGTGTACACCTCGATCACTCTTCCAGACCCCCTTTCATCTTCCCCCACGGTCTTTCCTCGCCCCTGAATACGCCTCGGTCGCCATGTCGAACCAGCAAGTGGTAAGTCCGGTCTCGCGACAACCTATCCTACATTGTCGCAAGGATAAAATCCTCTGTGGTCTCACTTGTGCACCATTATGTCGAGGATGACCCGCACTCGCCCCGATGAGGTACACGTTGGCTGATATCACTTGCTGTCATAGGGCACGGTGTTCGAGAAAGTCATCAAGGACGTCTGCGAGCAATCTCAGGTCGACTTTGAGGAGAGCGGTGTCGACCAGAAGACACTGCTAGATCTGCGCGATGTGAGTACCATTTCCAGTGCTGCGTTTGGTATATTTCGATGGCTTTGGGTGTGGTCATTCTGGGGGTCCGCCAAAAGCGGGGGGATCCGAAGTGGTGCGGGAGGCAGTGCTTATGGGGGAACACCGGATTATGACGCTCCCTTTATATGCCGCCGCCGCTACCCGCCTAGAGGGGCTTAGGCCGCCAAGCCACCATTCGTCGAAATACCATGCGCTTGTTACCCATCAACACAATGTTTCTGACGAACAAATTATATACAGACCTGGCAGAAGAAGCTCTCGTCGGTCAACGTCGCTCAGTTCCCCTGGGATCCTCCAGTCCAACCTATCCCCCAAGCCCCCCTCCCTCCTCAGGCAACCGTGCCATCCAACGCTCCCCGCCCACCCCCTCAGCCTCAACATGTCCAGCCCCCAGTTTCAATGCCACAGTCTGTACCTGGGCCGGCTCCTGCCCATATGGCACCGGTCGCACCGGCACCCATGATGGCCCCTCGGATCAAAACAGAGCCCGGTACCAATGGCCCGCCTCCGATGCCTCCGATGCACAACAACATGCCTGCGAACACGCCTAACCCGCAAATGGCGCGCGACCGCGCTGCGGCTCAATTGACCCAGAGATTCGGTGCCTCCGCTGCCACCTCAGTGAGCCAGCTCCAGTCTCAGCCTGCGGGACCGCAACCTTATCCGCAGATGCACCACCCTACCAATGGCCAGATGCCTCAGATTAAGCAGGAGCCCAGTCATCCCTCCATGGGGCCCAGCCAGACCGATGGCGCCCATGATGTACTAGCTGACTGGAAGGCAGAAGTTGTGCGTCGCAGAGAGGCCGCTAGGAATGGCCAAGGTGATCATCTTCTCCGCGAGTATCTGAAGCATCGGATGAACGGCTTGGAAGCCGGCGGTCTGCTTCGTCCCCTGGCAGAGCAGGAATCTTCAGTCACGACGGCTCGTCGTGCAGCTCTTGTTGCCCCTTTGATCCGAGCAAAGGCTTTGGAGTCCGATTCATTTACCTCCGGGATGCCTGGTCAGTACGATGGTGCCGACGAGGACCTCAAGGAGGAAGTGGACGAGGATGCAATCAACTCGGATTTGGATGATCCCGATGACCTTATCGACCATGATGCCGAGGCGGATGAATCAGAGGGACAGGTTATGCTTTGCACCTACGACAAGGTCCAGCGGGTCAAGAACAAATGGAAGTGCACCTTGAAGGACGGCATTCTGACCTCGGGTGGCAAGGAGTAAGTCATCAGCATCTAGCTTTGTGGCTTCAAAAGAAGTTCGATCTAACTTGCATCTAGATACGTCTTCCACAAAGGCCAAGGCGAGTTTGAGTGGTAGTCACCCTCATCGACATCTAGCTCCTCGATCTACAGGGCCACTGATCTTTACGAATTTCCCGCATCCGGTCTGTAATACATTCTAAACATCAAGTGCCTACCTAATCCAACACACAAAAATCCCCCTCCTCCCAACCCCTTTCTACCCCCTCATGTTCTTCAAATGATTGGTGCAAGCGAAATCCCCTTTTTCTCGTCACGATGATCCCTTTCCGTTTCCCTGCTTCCTCAAACCCAAACAAGACTGGACCTCGGGTTTTGCCTTGTGATTTTTAACTTCTTCAATCTGGGGTTCGATCTGCTTATGGCGCTTACAGTGAGGCCGAGCTCGTGGTTTTATGGCTTGTTGCCCACGATGCCCTGGCTCTGTACTTGAATGAATGGCAAGTCCTACTTAGTTAGGTTCACCAAATATGAATGGATACTTTGGCCAATAGATTTCGAATCTACGCTCTGGTGACTAATCGGGAGTCCTGTCCCAGGTAGTCAATGCTACCACCCTAAATGTGCATTTACTTTTGATATGAAATTGAAAGCAATAGCCAAGACAAGGAAGCAATCCAAAAATAACAATAGATAAAAGCCAATGTGTATAAAACCATATCTACACGATCCGACGCCAGAGAACCGCACTTTTGTTCTTTTAGCTTCAGTTCCGATCCCTGTTCGATTTTGCAAGGAGCCACAGGGCAGAAAAGCGCAGAGCCGGGAGTTTCTTAAATGGCAGAAGGAATGATCAGACAGGTCGGTAAAGGATGCTTGGTAGGTAACCTTGGAAAACCCGTCCCGATCCAAAGGCAACCAACCCCGATCATGGATAGCTTGCGTGTCGTGGACGCTCCACAAATCGGAGTCCAAGGCAGTAACGTCAGCTATCTCCTGATGATCAGAAGAAAAAGACTCAAGCTTGAGCACAAGTATAAATGAAACCAATAAAACACAAAGCCAGCCCGTGAAGAGAACGCAAGACGCAAGCATGATACAAAAAAGATAAAACGCAGGTATAAACACACTCACACTCATTCCCGTTTCCCATTCCGCCCTAAATCCCGCCCATGTCAGATGAACAATGAGAAAACGCAACCCAGGACTTCTAGACGGACAAGCAGACAGAGGTGGGATTAATCTTGCTGAGGTTTGTCTTGATCGCTCAGGTGTTGATGGCTCTATTACCAAGTTTCCTTTCCCAAGGAACGAGGAATGGGAGTAACTGGAAATGGCAAGGGGGATATCGAGCAATTGGAAAAAAAGAAGGAAAGGAAAATGAACGAGAAAAAGGAACCAAAGGGAGAAAAGGACCAAGTGCCAGTGTAAACCGATGGCATCGAGGCAGTCAAACCAAAACAACAGGATAAAAAACCAATCCCAGGTAGATAAACACTTAGGATGAAAACTCCGTAGTCACCGAACCAATTCATGACATCATATGTGAGAAAAACAAAAATCAACGTGCGAGAATATCTCTCGGCCGTGTCAATCATCCGCATCAAGGATTTGTTGGGTATTATTTATGGACAAGCATGGTTGTTGCCAGTGCCATCACAATCACAAGAGACCCTCCTCGCCGATTCCGGGGAGACCAGCTCCAGCAACGTTGATGTTCTGTCCCTGCATAACGCCGCCCCCGAGGTTCAGGTTGCGGCCAGCTGCGAGCTGGAAATCCGGGTTGCAAGGTGGCGAGTGTGATTTGTGGTATTTAAGCCCGTTGAGGTTCTTATAGCGCTTGCCGCACACTTCGCAGCGATACGGCTTCTCTTTCTCCATGCCCAGGGTACCAGGGTAGGGGGTTGACGTTTCCGGGTTGACGATGGAAAAGGTACCATCGGCATTGTCATGAAGTTGTTGGTTATTGTGGCCATGCTAGAGAGGAGATAATATGTTAGTGTGTGATCTCACATGACGTTGGCGTATCTAACTCACAGCCTTGTGATATTTGAGACCGTTTTGGTTCTTATAGGCCTTCTCACAGCCTATGACAGGGCAGCGGAAGGGCTTAGGCTCTTCATTAGGAAGAATCGAAGTGGTGTCAGGAACACCAGCCAGAAGCTGCTGTTCACGGATTCGCCGTGCAATATCACTGTTGGGCCCATACTGGGCTCCGCTGAGCTTGAAGTGGGCATTGGGAGTGCCCATACCACCACTCGGGCTGAACAGCCGCTTGGCCGGTTCATCGATGCACAAATCAACCATATCGTTGTTGCCAGGGAAGCGTCCGTACTGAGCCTGGTTCTGGCCCATGGCATTCTGCTGCATAGTGAGATCACCAAACCCGCCTACCACGCTGTCGTCAATTTCAGAGGGCGTTCCGGGTCCGGACGAATCGGGGGTATTTCGGAACTGAGAGTTTTGCAGCGGGTTGGCCATGAGAGTCGGGGTGTTGACGGAGGATACGGTGGGATTGTTCGACAGGGAGAGTGGGCGTCCAGATCCGATCGGGGTACCGGGTTGAGAGGGTGTGTTGAAGCCTTGATGGCTAGGAAGCATGCCCAGGTTTAATTGTGGGCCCTGGTTGGAGTTGCCAAATCCGCCTTGGCCACCGTCGCGTAGCTGAGGGGAGAAGAGCTGCGCGGTCGTGGCATCCCCGTCCCCCATAGGGTCGTCCAACTCCATGTCATCGATCGTGTCTAGATCCGCATGCTGTAATACGGAAGGGGGTTGGCCCATTTTGCGCTGCATATCCAGGCTGCGGTCGGGCTGCAGGCTGCGCCCTTGGTTGCCATGTTGCTGGTTCTGCTGCTGTGCGATCGCCGCGGCTGCCATGGCAGCCCGGTTTTCACCTTGGCTCGGGCGATGTCCTTGGTTGGGCGATTTGGTCGCATGGGCTTCCTCGTAGTGTTGTAATAGGTCATGGAGCGTCGGTAACGTCACACCGCAGCACGAAAAGTCCCGCATGAAGTTGGCCTCCAGCTTCGGCAGATATGAGGAGGAGTGGAAAGAAGGCGACTGGAAGGTAAATGGAGAGGTGCCGGTCATGATGATACTGTTTGGGATAAATTTCCTTGGTCAGTCTTTCTCTGCCGTGCAACAATCGAGTAGCGCACAGGTCTTTTGGAGCTGGAAGAGGGGCCGGGTATCTCTTGCCCTCTGCGCGCTGTGCGCGCCGTCTCATGGGGGTTCCGCCACTCACTCGTCACGTATCCAACTTCCGACAGACACACCACCCCAGCTCATGCCACCGACCAAGCTTCCTGCGAGAGATTCCCGCCGGCCCTTGTCGCGGGCAGACCCGGACATCGAGATAGGCTTCGTCCCGTTCCCCCATTGTGTTGTGGCGGCGCCGATGGAATCCTTGCGAGGTGGCGGGGCCTTGAATACCCCGAGCCCGCCGCTAGGATGATACGATATACTACCTGTTCGTTCACCTGTGCCGGCCTTCTGCAGAGCGGAGGTGAGATTTGATGCCTGTTGCCCCGGTGGTGAGACGGAGGTCGACTGTCGGGTGGCAATGTCAATGGGAGCGGCGCCTGTCATTGTGATAGAGGACCAGAGGAGTCGATGATGACGGTTTCTGGTCGTATAGTTGTTTAGTATTTTCCGGGAAGGAAAAAGAAAAGGGAAAACGGTTGCGGAGCCCTTTTTTTTCTGGAAGGTCTCTAGAAATCCTAGTTCCCTGTCCGGTCCTGCGCGAAGAGGACGCCAAACCCGAGGGGTTAAGGTGACAGGGTTATGGGAGAGGGTCCCGCGTTGAAGCGCGAATGAAAGTCACCGGGGGCAGAGTTTGAGGAGGATGAGAATGTGACTGCAGAGCAAGTCGTCTAAGTGCCCCTCGATGGGTGTGGACTTTTGGGGGGGATGGCGGTTTTGGGCGGGTTCGAAGAGTCCACCCTCGGATGATGTCCCGCTCTGGTGCTGGGCTGGCGAATCGCCTGTCTCGGCGATGTGGCGATGGAGGTGCTGTTCTGACTTGCTCAAGAAGATTCCAGTTCCGAGTCTCACACCTGATGCTAGAGAAGGACGACGAGCTTCCTGCAGAGGATATCTATTGTCCCAAGAAGAGAGGGTTGGAGAGGAGGTAGGGCCTCATGTCCCATCGGGATCCGCGATGGAAAGAGGCCTGCCGCATTGGGGTTGGCGCCGTTACCGTATTACACATCACGTGATGCATGTGTGCATACGGGGTCATGAAATTAATGAACCACAATGAATTTCATTCGCCGATCGAGTACGACGAATCTCTCCCGCGGGAAACATTCTATGGAAATATCGCCCAAGAGTCAGGACCAATCAACGCCAGCATCGACTATATGACTACCCTACCAGAGTGTCGATAGATGGAATGCCGATGAGGGGGGCCAATGCCGATCGCTGCGGTGATGACACGACACACCGCTTGCAGTGTCCAGCAGGTGGACGTCATTATCGGTAATAGCGCGTATGGACCTGAAACACGGCGAGGCTAGTGTAACTTTGGTATCCTTCGGTATTGTCTCCACGGTTGAGTGGACTAATGGCCATCCTGCGCCAACCTTGGCTGATGATGCGCTCTTGAGATCAGTCGGACTTGTGCAAGTACGCCCAGAGAACCCGGATGATATCGACTCCAGAATCCAGTCAGACACGCGCTTGATCACTTCGCCCTGTCCACTACTGGAATACTCTACCCCATCCGATGGGGGAGGATTTTCATCATGGTTGACTGTTCTTGCCGAAGCCGCCGGGCCTCGTATGGAGCGGGTCACCACACTTCCAGCGAATCCTCGTTCCGATCCAAGCGCCGTCGCCCATGGTTCATCGTGACAAGAGTCGGGATCCACCGCTCCTTCTTGCCAGTTCTTTGCCCCTGGGAACCAGTCGGAACGTCGAGGACGTCTATGTGTTGCGCGAAGGCCCGAAATACCGGGTACCGATCAACAGGAAAGCATCCAGCCCAGGACCGAGATGTCCCTCGTGGCCCTTTAGATCTGGGGTTTCTGCAAGGGCAAAGACGATATCGCGGTGGCGGGTTTCCCGCTCTTCAGCCGCGACTGGCCCAAACGGACTCCATTCGACTCCGCGGCTGTCTCCGCTGGTCTGAAGTAGATACAGTACGAATTACCTCCGCCGGATTTGCCTCTGAAGTTAAGGTGACCCCTCCCCCCCTTTTTTGGCATCTGCTGTGGGTTCAAGGGGCATGTTTTCCTTCTTCAGTACCCTTTGCGTACATTGACGGGGTCAATTATGCCTCATAGCTAGGCGTTGATAGGCCAACGGTCCCAAACGTGGTGGTTTTTTTCCCCATCACCCAATCCAACCCCAAAGTTTCAGTCGGGAGGCAACGGGTCTTGGCTTTGGCGCTAGAAACGCGGCAGAAGCATTCGGTCGGCCTTCCATCCATTAGCGTTGCCCGGAGCCACGCCTATAAGAGCCCTATAGGAGGACACGACACACACCGCCCCGCCGGCCTCGAAACTGGACCCTCAGAGGGGAAAGGAGGGGTGCCGTCGAGGTGTCTGTGTCCATCCGTATTACTCTGTACTCCGAACTTGCTCCATCCCGCCCTAGTCGAATCAACCGAATCAACCATAATAATGCGCCCCCTTAGGCCGTGGGAGACCGCCCTTCCTTCCGAATCGCCTCATAGCCTCCAGTTACTTGGTAACCCGGAAACAGCATAACCTACGCCCTCCCGACCCTCGGCCCCCAAAGTTGCCCTGCCGCCTAGGTTTCCCCACGGGATTTCTTCGGCCTTTTCTCGATCAGGTGGGTGTTTCGGTCACTCGACACTGGCTGATGTCCCCTCCTGTAACCTCCAACAAGTAGAAGACACTCTGGCATTGATCGACGGCCAATGCCAATGCTTCGTATACATTCACCCCCAAAGTATCTGAACCGAGTCAGTTCTCGATTTGGTGCTCACCGTTTCACATGACGCCCGAGATGGCGAAATCCTCGCATCCGGTTTCGTTCTACATTCTACACTGCCGTCTATGTTAAACAAGCACATTGAGTTACCCCAATTGCTGCTATTAGACTTCGTACTAAGGTTGATGGGGATCTGCTCGACATACAAAAGATCCTCCTTCGCCCAAACTTTCCTTTCGCTAGCCGCTGTTTAGCTTCTGTGGTGGGGTTGCTGACTTTGGACCAAGACGTACAGGACCATCATATGAGAACCTCAGATTCAATTCCCGACTGGGATCGATCCTTCTCGCCAGTACTCCCGAGCCGTAGAGAGCCGCTGAACCAAACTTATCCGTCTAAATGTTGATGGAGAAGCCTCAAGTACCTTCATTGATTGGTCCACCAACAGCACGGGTCGATCAACCATGAACCTTATTATTGATCGAGGCGGTTGCAGGCGTTATCCAGCGTCAAATGTCGCTTCTTATCTATACTTTTTTGCCTCGTGGCGGAGTCGACTCCATATACCGATAGATAAGCTGAATTTGGAGTTTCCCGGATTCATTCTTTGCAATCTTATCCCGCTGCCTTCTCTCTGGGGGAAGCGGCCGGGGGCGGGACCGGTGCCCGAATGCGACGATTCACTATCCTATGAGTGAATATTTCTCCAATTTTTAGGCGGAAGCGATTAAGTTGTGTACCTCCCAAATATGTGGCCATAAACTAGATGACCAGTTTCATATTTTGTTGCATGTGGTTTAAATATCTTTGTTGATCGCCGATTGGGGGAATATACTGTTAACTTCAACTGTAATCATGCCGTTGTGCTCTCCACGGAATGATCTCCAACGCAGCAAGAGTAGAGACAAGGGAATGAATTGAATCTTTGGCGTTATATAACTGAGCGGCAATCAGTTGTATAAAAGTACCTAGGCACAAAAAGGAATAAAATTAGGAATATGGTATTAGAATGGAAGGATGCACCTAGGCACAATCAACAATGCAAAGAATCGAAAATGTCTCTCTCTGTGCCCAACACATCGGTTTAACGCCTAGATCCCGCCTTCTGTTTCAGCACTGCCTGTCCAAGACGAACCAGGTCGTTATTCTTCACCGTTTCCTGGTCGAAACCCTTCACAGCCAGGTCCAGGACTGCTGCCGAAAGCTCCTCTCGATGAATATTGGGGATTGCACGCGTGAAAGTGTTGACGACACGGAACGCCGAGGCCAGTACAGATCTCCCAAAAGAAGTGGAATTGACCACCACACCGGGTTGAGCGATACAGATCTGGACCCTCGGGTACTCTTCGGGAAAATTGATGACCATGAGCTCTGTTTCGCACTGAGAAGCAGATCTTCTTTAGCATAAGAACACACAGACCTCGTCGATATATGACTCACGCGCATGATTTGATAGTCACCCATGATGGCTGGCCTTTTGGTCGGATCCCTGGGTGTACCATCGGCGCTGAAGTAGATGAAACGGAAGGATTTCGCGGGACCGGCCTCGTACATGGCCTTGAACCCCGCGAGAGTGCAGTCTTGACACACGCGCTTGACCTCGGCAAAGTCAAAGCTGCTTGTTCTGAATGGCGTCACAGCGACCGTCCTTAAAGGCAGCGCGAGTCAGTGATTTCTATTCCTTTGCGTTTTTCTTTGCCATCATAATTAAAGAGAGTGTGGTTGATGCGTACCATATGCACGCGTCCGCCCCGGCGAACTCAGCCTTCACATCAGCGGAATACTCCCCGTAGTCACGAATCACGACACTCTTGAGCTTCGATGTTGAATCTGTCCCATCTTCGACGTGGACGGGCTTCCGAGCTAGTGCGATAACCTGGGTGATCTCGTTGATTTGCAGGCATTGCCTGATGATCTCCGTGCCCACCAGACCGGTTGCACCAGCTACAATGAGCTTCATGGCAAGATTATCTCGAGTTCGGTAAAGTTATCGGGTATTGTGCGAGGACGGGAATGATTCCTCTATGCTATCTATGCTAGGAGCTAGGAGAAAGGAGAGATTGAAGTTTCTAAGGAATACTCGTAGATACATCCTGGGAGTTTGATCGGGATTCAGGGCCGGTCCCGCTCGGTCAGTCCATCATCGGACTCTAGAACCGGGGTTACCTATCTAACGCGGTGTTAGAATAGCAGTCTGATCGGATTTTAAGGGATTATTTTTGGTTTTTGGAAGAGTCTAGTCTCATGCTGGTTTTTCTTGATATAGTTTATTCCAACACTTCTGCATCACTAGGGACGTTAGTGTTGTGTAAATTGTAGGCTGAGGCATGGAGGCCCGCAGATAATCGGTAAACCAGTATCCGAATACCGGTTCACCCCCGCCCCGACGGGGGGTTTACTGCAGTAGCGCCATATGATATCAACTGGGAGAGGCAAAATTCAGAGCTGAAGAAATCGACTAGGGTGTTTTGAAATGAGTGAGAGCAACATCTCGCTCAATGTGGCCCTGCTCGTCAGCAAAATAAGATACATACCCCTGGAGAAAATAGCACCAAGAGTCTGACGTATAAAGGTGGTAGTCACTAACGCGAAAAGCCATCTTATTGAACATGACATAGATCACCTAAAAAGAGTGTTGCTATATAATGGGGCAGAAAAGGTTCATAGGAGGGACAGCCGCACTACAAGTATAGAAGACCTTCAAGTTAGTCTGATAGAGATTTCATTTCCAGTATAGAAAGATCAAAATATTCACCGAAAGCCACAGATCAAGTGAACAATGCCCATCATCACTCCAGATCTTCACCGGGAATGCGGGGTGGACATTTTGGCCCGATGGATGAGGGAGAACCCCCATTTCCAACCCCACCACGATCTCACCGGGGTGACCAACACAGCAATACTGTCAGCAATGCGACTAGATCATATCGGCAAACGTCGACCAATCCTAGGAATAGAAAGACAAACGTGTATCAGCGGTCAAGTGGCCACCCCAGAAGAAAGAGAATTTAAAGCAAGAAAGGGAGGCCTGAACAGCAAGGACGCTTCCACATCACAACAAGCAGGCTTGGCAATATTGGCGAGAGTCAGAAAGGGATCTGGTGATCGCCATGGTACACAGGCGCAGTCCGCCCGTGCAACATGATGGAGATGATCCGCGAGATGCAGGGGTTCCGGCCTCACAGCCAAGACGGGTCTATCAAACTGCACAAGGCTTGGCAGATCAGCAATCGGCTTGGCGTCCACTTGGCAGGCATCCAGGAGGGCAGGCTCCCTCGCATCCAGTGGGCTTAGTATTCTCTGGGCATTGATAAGACTTGGCTGTGCTGGAGCAAGCAACCTTATTGGTACGTACGACAAGCGTGGAAGCAGACTGAGTGTATGGCATTCTGTTGATTGCATTGCAAACTTGCCCACTAGGGCTTTGGTATGTAGTCCGAGACAAATAGAGAGATAAACAGCCAGATCAGATAGCGCCCCCAACACCCTTGTTTTGCTTTCCCATCCTATGGTTTTGTCCGGATGGGGTGGGTTTCAATTCGTAGAAGCAGTGTCGGTGTCTCTTAGAGACGACAACTCCAATAAAACGGGATGACCGCTGGATTCCAAGTCAAAGCAAAGTGCGCCGGTCGCTGGTATCACGTTGATAAAACAAGATTGTTATGAATAGCAGAAAGAAGATGAAGATGAAGATGAAGATGAAGAGATTAAAGCCCTTTGAAGTGGCTCAATCACTGGGAGGTGCGGCTTTTTTTGACGTGGCCGAGATAGAGGAAGCCATTAGGCAAGGTGGCATGAACGTCGCTGAACTGAGAGTCCTCTGATGAAGCGGAGGAGGAGCTGTTAGAGCGGTGCAGCTCCTGCTCGTGGTCGGCAGTGGCAGACTCGGTTACAGCCTGCTCATCATAAGCGCGAGGGTCAGGGTCCGACTCGGTGGGCGACAAGACGAGGAACTTGTGGCTCGGGTCGAACGGAGCTGAGACCGAGGCCGAGAGAACCAGGAAGCGGCGGGGCGGGGGAATGGAGTACATTTTGGGTAAAGACTGGTGGTCGCCTAGAAGATAGCTTGTGGAAGAGATTGGGGTGTGGTTGTTTGATGGACGAGGGGTGAGCAGCGGTTATAGATGGCTGAGCGCGGACTTGGGAGTATTGCGAAAATCAACACACGTTCGGGGGTGGATAGATGGAACAAGAGATCATTTCGACGGGTGAAAACGGCCAGGCTTTATAACACACGAGTCGCAACTGGGATGGGTCCAGAGGAACCTGGGAGCGTGAGGGGCATACCGGTATCAACGACAAGCCCTCTCTGTGCCGATCCAGCACATCGCGCATCCCAGCCGAAAGGGCAGGCAGGTGGAGACCCGGAAGGTCACGCAGTCAGCCAAGCCCCCGCGATTATCGCAGATAATCTGCATAGCACAGGCGAGCAGTGGATTGGACTGGATAATCTGCCCCAATCAGCCCGTGGATTGCCCAATCCGGCACATCCCAAACACTTCACATGTCTTGGCCCAAAAAAGGGGGGACGAGGCACGTCTCCTTCCCAGCGGCCAAGGCGTCACTATTGGAATCAGCATCTCGATCAACCCTCTCTGCTTTCCAATTCTTCCACTTCGCCTTTCTTGGCCCTGGAATGGGTCACACCGGTGTCGGTCTGGCCGGCTCGCCACTCTTTCACTCATTCCCAGCGGGCCATGGCAATAATGCCCCCGCTTGGCGAAAGCCAGCAAGTCCGCGCGCAGGCTCACCATAATCCCCGACTGAAGAAATTGCTAATGGACGTGCCATTTCGCCATCTGGTCGTGTTCTTTGCCGTTTCTTCTGGTGCCAGGCAAGCGGGGCGCGAGCCAAGAGCGCGACTCCGGAAGATCCGCAGCCAGGATGAGGATGAGGCCCCAAGAGTCCCAGAAGAAAGACACGATTTCCCCACGCGTGTGGACATGGCATTTCACAGGCTGTCTCGATTTTGCCCGTCCACCGCCATGCAGCGCCTTGTTTCACGTGCAGGCCCTCCAACGGGATGCTTTCTCATCCCGACTGCGTCCGCGGTCCCCCTCATAGATTAACGGTCCGGTTTGTTTTCACAATCCCCGTCCTGGCGCACCTGACTCTTTCGAGACCAGGCCACAAATGACATCATCTCCGGGGAATCCGCGTCAGTCATTCATGTGGGAAGAGATCTCTGGCCGATAGTGCCCGATCGTCTCGGTTGTTTGGTTTAGCCCCGTGGGGAAACCGGACATGTGATATCTAGTACTCGGGGCATCGCACAGACACAGGAAATGGTTCGTAATAAAAGTGAGAGGACATGCAGCACAGTTGTGTTAGAAAGGAACGGGAAAAAGGTGAGGCTACGCACTGTAGCAACAGCATCGACGAACCATCACGTGGCGTAGTGCCTCTGCGCGCAAAAGAGACCCGGACAGGATGCACTTTCGGCCACATTCCGTCTTTTTCCTCAATTACAGTACATACAGTACACCCATCAGAATCTTGCTAGAGACCAACGGCGCCAAATTGATCGGTGTTTAGTCGCTGTGCGTTGCCGCCCATAGCCTCGGCCGGCCACTCGCCCGCAGTCGATCGCTCGGAGCACAGCCGCCGGGCGACGAGCCTCAGTCACAAATATGTAGAGCCTTCCTGTGCCCCTCGGGAGCACAGTCAATTCTACCAGTCACATTGGCGCTCGAGAAAATCCATTGGCAGAGAATTCTCTTTCATACTTCGCAGCCGATGCATCCTATCGATCTAGGCCGTGCAAGAGGCCACCTGTTCATCACATACAGCCAGCACTGGATCAAGCCATCCCGAAAGATGGTCGGAAGCCGCTCCTTTCCATCCGAGGACAACTGCTTCTGTGATTTTCTTATTGCGACATGATGTTCCCGACTGCCTCCCCACAATGCAGCTTGCTCGTGGCTATCACCAACTGTGCCGTTGCGGCGGGCTCCCGGTTGCTTGCGCAGGCGATATTGGGGCCATGAAATGGAGACACCATGTCGCGGGCTTTCAGTCTAGGAAATGGCTGTCTCTATCGTTCGCCAGCTATTTTTTTCGCCCCTTTTCGAGACGCTGACTCAAAATTTATCACCCGTTTGGGCCGCGATGCTAATCCTTGAGTTCTGGTCATGCTACCTTGTTCGAACAGACCTCGTCGACACTGACGATTACTATACTGGCGATGATTTCAAATACCAAATCCCATTGTCTGCGGTCATGCAGAAACTCAGAAAGGGCTGAACCGCTCACAGGCTTGACTCGAGGGGTGCCGCACGCCGCCACTGACAGCTCCTGTGCTGATCTCCGAAAACGAGGGCGTACCCACTACGCGGACTGCGGCAGGTAGACTGTCCTAGAAAGGAAAAACAGCAGTATAGCATGCGCTATTATTCATATTAGTTCCACACGGATAGTTCCTATCTGGCTCATTGTGTACGTCGAGTGTTGGTTTTGTTCCGTGTCCCTATTTGCTGGGGCAAACATCTGTTGGGTGCTCAAGATATGAGTGTCAAATTATTGCAGCAGCAGCGGGAACTCTAATAGAGATTAGGGTGGCCTGCTCTAATCAACGGTTCGACGAGCATCCCTGCTCGCCACTAGTGCCGGTGTGCACAGAACCCAGATCACCAGGCGCAGTCCGCTGGACAAGGAGCCCTTTCTGAGGATCCACATAAACGCCAACTTTGCTTTCTGTTGGCTTGCAATGAAGGCCCCGACGACCCTGCCTGGAGCATGCCAGGCCTTTCCCGCTTCCTCCTTCCAGGCTCCTTGTCATTTCAGGAGTGACTACCAAGTCGTTAGATGCATATGGCGCACCTGTTATCCCCCACAGCGGCAGTAAATGGGCCAAAATCCCATTTCTGCACATTGATTATACCATTCACTACATGCTCTGCGTCGCGGCACAGTCATTGTCTCTAGATACAGATGCACCAGAAGCTATAAAGTGGCCCTTGATTCCCATACGATTTCGGTTCTCAACTTACTGATACATTCAGCTCAACAGTGTCAGTCTGTATTTCTAAACTTTCCCCACTCCAATATCCGTCAAAAGATCTATCCTTCTGCCCGCAATGTGCTCTGTCTATATTTTTCTGTACGACTGCGGATGCTGCCTGCGCGAAGGTGATGTGGTCCCTTGTGCGAAGGCTGGTACCCCGTCTTGCCACGGCGTGAAGGAGCATTTCCGCCGACGAAATGGATACAAATGCCCGGCACATGATTAATGGTTTAGATTTCTCGCGCAAGGTTAGTGCCACTACAAAGCTTCGATAATTCTTTTGCCCGAGTAAAGGTTGCTAACCTGCATTGCTACTCAGAGGTCCGGCGATGATTCCACTACTTCAACAACTCCTTCGTCGCCGGCCCCTGAGTTTTTACACAGCAACACTTTGCTTTCCGCAAATCAAAAGGAGGGTGAACTGAATTCTTTTGTCCTGTACCGTATTACGCCCATGTATGGATTGGGAGGCATATTGTGCTCTGGACTTTGTTGCCTATCATTTGGAGCTGAGACTCTAATTTCTTTTTGTCCATTATTATTCTTGTTCCTTGAATGGTTTCGCTTCTACATTGGCTTGAGCATTATCTCCGCATGGCTTAAGCTGTTGCGAGATCACAAAGCCATTTGCCCCTCCAGAAGAGCCTTAAATGCTACATACTTTGACTTTCTGTTCTTGACAAGTCCTACATGTTTCTCCGAGGCATTCAAACAGTCATATGCGGCTAAGTCTAAGTCTCCTAGATATTCTTGTAGCCCATCTTTTCGGTTAGTTGTTATACCATGGTGCTGGATTCGTGATCCTCACATACAATGTAATAGAAGCCTCAAGGATGACGTGTTCCACACCACAATCCAGGCTGGAAGATTGTGTCTCAGCCCTTTGTTGCCTATTCCTGGGATCTGTCGAAAGCTTTCGAAGTTGGACTCAAATTCTTCCCAAGAAACGCGCTTATCTGGTTTGTGTGAGCTGGCAGACTACAAGATGACCCACCTGGAGGGATGGTCAAGGTTTACCAAAAAAGGGAATGAATAGCACCAATCAGCTGAAGGAAAACAACTAGGATTTTTTTGGCGAGATGGAGAAAGGAGGGGGAGGCCGGGGGTTATCACGAGTTGGCGCTTACAGGGGCGGGGTGGGATGCAAAGGTTTGCGTACATCGATGGCGCAGGCGGTGGCCACTTTCTACCGTAGTTGACAAATTCCGATTCCAGAATCAGATAGTTTGGGGCCTGTGTAACATGAGACGACGTCTAGATTGAAGCAAGTCGTTGATGTGTTATGTTTGTGGGCAATTTAAAACAACGTCTTTGCGACCTACCGCGTCCCAGTGCTTGACCAAGGTCCTTGGGAAGGGAGAGGGCAACGAGAATGTAGATCAGATGCAGCTTTGCATGTAGGAACTGCCTTATGCATCTTTCAACTACCAGCGCGGGGCTGAAGTTGGCTAAATGTCGGCTTGCATAGTCTCGTCACATCCTGTTAACAAAATCATACGCGGTCCCCCTCTGTTCATCTGAGAGATAATTTCAAAAAAGAAAAGAAAAAAAAAGGGGGGGGCCTCAGACTATGCCTGTGGGTGAGATCGTATCACTGTCCCAGAAGCAACATGATGAGGCTTTAATACAATATTAGCAACTTTGAAATGAACTGTGGCAAGGGATACAAATTGCGACAGCCCATAGAGGCACAAGACACAAGGAGAAAACGCTGTGCGCAATATGACCAGCCAGTACTTGGTACTTCTAGCGAGACACCGAGCAGAGTTCGAGCCACCTGGCACGTAATGTAACGAATAATGCCATAGCGATAAACGCGGCGACACCCTAGACAAGCGGTAGGCTATGAGCCGCGGAGAGATTCCTTGTGCGTTGCATGAGATCTGCATAGCGTTCGAATCAGCTGATTCGGAATGTGTGTGGAAGCCCCTATAGCGCAAAGTTCGAGTGTTTTCGATTCCTGGCAGAGGACGCTCGATCATCCTCCGAAGTGAGCTTTGAAAGGCTGCATCACATTTGCCACAGAGAAAGCGCTTCGGTCGAACGACCGTCGATGCGCACTCTAGAAAGAGGGGCTAATCGACAGAAGGACGTAACGAAGTGAACACCCCACCTCAGATAGGTTTGATGGGTCCTAGCACTTCGTTGTTGATTCTCAAGGGTGAACATCTCATGCGCCTGCACACGTCCATCACATTTTTAGCCCCTGCTAGCCAGAGTCGTGGCGCCCTCAGGATCCGAGGGAAGAAGGCGCAATAGAAATCCCTTCGGACATGGGGATGCTAGTCCCGGTCACGAGGCCCACCAGAGCATGTTTGATTGCATTCACTCGCGGCCAGAAATCGCAAGGGAATGCCAAGCTGGGGCCAAAAGGGACGGCTCTAACTGGCTTGGGTGGCACTAGCATCCAAGTACCCCGGGGCTTGGCTTGGGAAATCCGTGGTCCCTTTGAAAGATATTTTGACTGCCATTGGGCATTTAAACGAAGGATAAGAAAGATACAATTGAAATGCCCTGTAAATGTCTTCGAATACTATATCTAAATATCATTCATGATGGTGATACCCATAGTAATCCTTTACACTCGGATAGTCGCTGTAGCAAATAGCCCCCATTTTTTTAACAACAGTTGGAGAAACACATCGGGGGGGAACAACAAATCCAGCAGAGGTTGAGCTAGCTATCATATCTGAGCTATTTGATCTCTGAACTGGCAGCTCGTGCTCTCTGCGGTCCTATATACCACAAGACATCAAAGTGCGCCATAAACACCACAGCTATTCTAAGATATTCTCATACTATCTACATCATCCATCATGCCTGAAGGAACTATAGGCTATTAATCTCACATATCATCCACCGGGGACTGTGTCAATCTCATCTATGAATGGCCAAGCTTCAATAACTTTCACAAAGCATACCAGACTACCTACCCGGTACCCGTTCCTTCTCTTCCCCGGGTAGAGCATCCAGGAGCGTCCGCAGTGACTCTTCATCAATCCGCACACACATGCGATACATAGTTCCCATGTCTCGCTTACCCTGCGCATCCACCCAATTTTTGTGATGAACTCTGATCTCGTCGACCGACGCCCCATCGGATTGGTTAGTATTTTCTATGATCATTAGGTAATGTTAAGCCTAGAGCGCATTATAGACAGTCGGCTCCCACTTGTCGGTCTGATTCAAGTTTGAAGAGCATTCGTCATATCTGATTCTTCAAGCAGGATATCAGGAGGTTGGTCACTCGGGGCCATACGATGTCGGACTTCGAGGTATAGGTGCCTCTATGAGCGACAAAACTCGACGATGGTAAGGGACCAGCTGTGATGCGGTTATGTAGCCCTCGAGTAAGCCCTGGAAGAGGAAGACAGCGCATCCGCTGTGATACAGGAGGCAGATGGAGGTAGGCGGTAGAAGAAAATGAGGCCGTAGAAAATAAATCGAGTGTTTAAGTAATTTACCGGGCCTAAAATAAAATACTGGGTTTCTTACGTTGCCAATATGAGCACTATGCAGAGAGTCGAAGGTGGAGGACTTGTGGTTAGGCGGGAGACCGAAGTACGGGGTAGCAGGCAAAGAACCGCGTACATATCAGCCTTCAACGAATGCAATGCTCAACAGCAAGGCAGCGTGTTTCATACAGAAACAGAAAATAAACCGTGCCTATCCAAAGGTCATTTGTAGCGAAAGCAGCGAAGAAGAGATGTTCTAGCGGGACCATTCTCAATGCCATTCCTGGGTCACGTGGACCCGTATCACCTGGGCCGCGGCTTTGCGGAGCTCTCCTCCCGAGCTTGCGGATGTCATGAACTTCTTTACAAAAGATACAGCTACATTGCATATGTGATGTCCATTGAAGTCGACTGGGTAAGGGCCACTTCTGGGCCGGATGGGGAAGCGCTCGCAGAGCGCATCCGCTCCTTCGTTCACGACAAGTTCCAGCAGGTCCCCTTACCGCGCTTCATCCGCTCTGTCCAGTGCCATGCCTTCGAGTTTGGGACAATTGGACCAGACCTCGAGATTAAGGATTTCTGTGAACCATTTTCGGACTTCTACGAGGAAGATGATGACGACACTTCGGCAACCTCCGAGGAGCTTATTGTCGACCAATGGTCCGGACGCCATTCGGACTCGACCTACGACGACGAGATGCCGCCTAACCTCCACCACCATCCATATCCTGGCGAGGCATTCCAGCCATCTGCGCTTCGATCGCCGCTTCCCTTAGGAGACCACCTCAATCCGCATTTCCTTCCTCGCGCCGGCACCCCAGGTATTCCTGGAGGCACATCGACTCTTGGCTACCATTTGATGTCCTTGGGTGGTCTCTCGGGTACCCAGACACCACTTGCAGCTGTAGCCGGGGGCACGCCATTTGCCAGCAGTTGGTCGGACTCGGGCATGGGCCATGGAGGCAGACCACGCCGTTCATCTCGCCCTAGCGGGCTCCAGCATAGGACGGATGCAGACATAGACACAACTAACTCCGCTTCACGACCCTCGACCGCCAACACGACACCATCCCATCCCTCCGTGGACCGGACCGGTAGCAGCGGATCAAATCGCAACAGCGGGGACCCCGATGACATACCACAGCCGTCAACAGAGCCCGCCATCGACCCCTCTGCTCCAATCCCACCTCGCATGCGTGAGCGTCGCCCAGAAGATTTTCAGATTCTTTGCCACGCCAAATATGCCGGCGACGTACGATTATCTTTGACAGCCGAGATTCTACTCGATTACCCAATGCCGAGCTTCGTGGGTCTCCCCCTTAAACTGAATGTCACTGGCATTACCTTCGACGGGGTGGCGGTGGTTGCATATATTCGTAAACACATCCACTTCTGCTTCTTATCTCCCGAGGACGCGGACGCCCTCCTCGGCTCTGAAGAGCAGGGCCAGAGCAGTCAACATCCTACTGATGATGGTCGACCTCGGTCTGGCGGGGACCAGAAGCGGCAAGGTGGATTGCTGCAAGAGATCCGGGTCGACAGCGAGATTGGCCGCAAGGAAGATGGGAAGCAAGTACTGAAGAATGTGGGCAAAGTGGAGCGCTTTGTGCTCGCACAAGTGCGCCGTATCTTTGAGGAAGAGCTGGTTTTTCCAAGCTTCTGGACCTTCCTCATTTGATAAACGTCTTTGCGGGGTACTTTCCCTCGGCCTTACCTTAATAATACACCATACATGTACAGTTACGAAGACTTGATGAATTTGAACAGGATGAAGTTATGAACCGAGAAGAAAGCCCTATCTTCACAGTGCAAGATAATCTTTGTCCCAAGATAAATAACAACGCGCATGACTCAGAATGACGAGCACTTCCAGAGAAAATACTATGAATAGTGACTCCATTATCCAACCCCCTGGGTGATATTTGTAAGTAGCAGGGGTGACGGTAAAAAAAGACGTCTCGTAAGGGGTAGTAGTATAGTCTCTGCAGGTCTCCCTTAAAGTGACCAAGTTCGATATTCCAGAAAAGAGACCTACGAACAGCGTTCGATTCAATGTGTCTGGGGGAGCAATATCGTGAGCGGATTCGCTTGACGAGGAGATCAAATTGAATCTGACTGTGGCCAACCCGAAGACATGCAGCACGGAGGGAATTTCATGTGCTGAATGTCACCAGCTAAAAAGAGGCCGGAATAACAGGCAGCAGCCCCAAATTGGTCTCCAGAACCTGAAAAGGCAGGCACCTTACAGGTCCTTTTTGTCCTTCTTATCACTCTTGCCAGAGGAGACCTCGTCACCAAGCTTGTGGTACTCCCGGGTCAGGCCCTCGCACTGCTTCTTGAGAGTCTCGATATCGCGGTCCTTTTCCTCGATCTTCTTCTTCAGAGCACCAATCTCACCAAGTGAGCCAGCCTCAGCGACACGGGCAGAGTCCTTGCCGCCGGCTTTCTTGTCGCCCTCCAGCAGCTTCACGCGGTCCTCAAGGCGGAGAACCTCCAGGATCATGATGTAGGTGCGGTTAAGGATCAGGGAGAGGAAGAGGGTGAAGCCGCACAGGTACATGTTGCGCTGCGAGTAGAACTTGCGGGCCTGCACCTCCATGCGGTCGGTGCCGAGGTGGGCGGCGCTGTTAGGGATTGTCAGTTAGCTGTGTTTATTGTGGGAATGATCGACTGTAGAAAAACGAACCCGAGCGAAGAACCGTCCTTGGTGAAGGCTGACAGCTCCTGCTGCACGCGATACACCCTATTGACGCTGTCAAGGAAGAGGATGAGGATGAAAATGAATGTAATCTGAAATGGTCATTAGAAGAGCTCATGAAAATTGCAGTGATGGTGGCTGTCGTACCTTCAAGCCATACTGTAGCTTTGCTATGATCGGACTTTCGGAGATGAAGGCGAACAGCTTGCGCTTGATGGTGTACGGCAGAGGAACGATGAGGGCCAGGAAGACCGCCATCTCGAACACCAAGAGAAGGAAGACCTAATTGAAACCACTCCTGTTAGTTTTTGGGCATGGCAAAATGGTACCCCCATAATCAATGAGTAATTTCTGGTGAGCTGGCAGATCAAGCCAGCTAGGCTACAGCGGCTCACAGCTGGATCGGCCAGACAGCAACGGCAAAAGAACTGGGGAGCTCGCTGGTGGAACATACGAGGCTGTAGTAGAGAGTCATCTTGTCGACTTTTTTTGCGTAGAATACTAGATACCAGAGGTTGTTGCTGGTCAAAAGGGGGTGGGGGTTCGGTCGGAGCTTGGGTACAAGCTGGCTAGAGTGTAAACAAACCCCGCTAGGCAGAGTTATTTGAGCGGTGAGGAGCTGGGAGACCAAAAGTCCGAAGATAAAGGGAGAGACGTGTTCTGATCGAGCGGCAAAGGGAATTGAAGATCCGCGGGCAGACGTACAGGTTCTAGGTTGTTTCTTATGGGGAATTCTTCCAAGCCTCGGAGGAAGACGTCATCGTCGTCGGTCCACGTGACCATTCCGGCAGCCCAACGGCCCTGACATGGTGTCCTTTCATCATACCTGAATAGCTTCTTGTTCATTTTTTTTACTATATACAACGCTAAGCTGGTAGATTGGGTATACTCATGTATTCCATGCATAAGCCATGTTCAACCCTCCGCCTCGTAAGAGTTGGACTTGTGCTTGGGCTCGAACTTGAAGTCCTTGTGCGCGGGTCCGAGGAACATCTCACTGTAACATATTGGGGTTAGTGAATGGTGTCAAAGAGTGGGGACAGAAAAAATCCGGAACAAGCTTACGTGATCTTAATCCAGTCCTTGTAGTTTCCACTGGCCATGAGAGTCTCCAAGTCATCCCGACCTCGGAAGGCAGGAGGTCTGTCGTTAATTTGCGGAGGCAGGTATTCAAGGAGACCGAGGGGAACGTAGCGGTAGGCAAAGCTCAGCCACTCCAACAAGAAGCGCCGAGTAGTGCCAACGCCGTATTCATCAGAACCCCAGGCCTCGAGGCCGTACTTGGCGAATTTCTCGATATAGGCAAGACGCTCCGAGGAAGACTTGTCCAGGTACTGACCAGTCTGAATCTCCTCGAAAATCCAGGGCTTGATCAGGGCTCCACGAGCCACCATGACTGAATCCACACCAGCATTTTGGATATGGTCGTCGTAGTCAACATGCGAGTAACAATCACCATTTCCAAGGAAGTAGGTCTTGCCGCCATTCGGCAAGTACCGAGGGTCAGCTTCACGAATGGTGTCGGCGAACTCGTCTGTCTGCGAATTCAGACGCTTGATGAGAGCGGCGGTATCTGCAATGTATCCCCAGTCTGCCTGTCTAGTATAGCGCTGCTGTCTGCTACGTCCGTGGAGCGTGACGGCTGCAACGCCAGGGGGACCAGTATTCAGAACGGTAGATTCATAGCCACCGAGAACTAGGCGCTCAACCAACTTCAAAGCATTGGGTTGATTATCTCTGGTCCCCATGCGAATCTTGACTGTAATAGGAATCTCCTGAGACACGGCATTCATGCCACGAATGATCTTCTCCAATTTGGAGGGGTGGTCGAGGAGCGCGGAGCCTGCTCCTTCGCGGTAGACAAGCTCAATCGGGCAGCCACAGTTTAAATCAATGACACGCAGATTGGGTGTGTACTTGGAGAGCACTTCTGTGGCCTTTAGTGCCTGCCACGGCTTGTTGGCGGTGATCTGGGCTCCGAACTTGAAGTCCCTGGAGTTATCATAGCCTTGGACCACATTCGGTCCAGGAGTCACGGTGGGTGGGAGCATTTCCGTCTCGTGGCTCTTTATCAAGGTCCACTCAGACTTGTTGCCCTGGACCAGCGGCATGCTGAATGCCATCTCGGAATAGGTGAATTGGGCACCCAGATCCCCGCAGAGTCGGCGGAATGGAAGATTGCCCTGTGTCGTCAGAGGCGCCAATGCCGGAGTCTCCGGTCCAAAGTAGATGCGCCTTTTCTCGGACGCCAAAAAAGGAGGTTCGGTATATTGAGCCCTGTTATCTTCCAGCTCCTCTTTAGCTCTTTCGGCATCATCATTAGTCTTTGAAGCTTCTGCCTTCTCAGCCGCAACTCCCTCGTTTGGAACTCGTCCGTGTAGCTGTTTATCCAGTTCTTGAGACACCTTGTTGAGCCAGTCATTGTATTCGTTGGCACGAGGAGTGTGCTCCCGCTTCCGCGCAAGTGCGACCTTATCCTGGTAGGCGATAATGTTCACAAGCCCTTCGGGCGTGGCAAAGGGAACAAGAGGCTTCACTTTCGCCTTGCGTTCCTCGTCCTCTAGCAGAATAAGTTCCTTCCTCCCGTCCGTAGTTTCCCTCTCCGTCGAATGAGATCCAACCAAACGGCATTTCCATCCAGCGTAACATCTACCCCGTGCCTCAAACACAGGGCAGAGTCCATTGAAGGTCGTAAGGTCCTCTCGCTTGAGCTCCTTCAAATAGAGTCGTAGGTCATGTTCGAATCGGCACTTCGCGCCAAACTGGCACTCTTCGGGTGAAAACTCCGGGCTGAAAGTTCTTGAGATGCACAGGGACTTCACATCTTTAGAGCTACCAAAACTGCGGTTGGTGTTCTGACCCTTGGGCTTCTTCTTTCCCTTCTTCTTGTTCTCATCGTCACGCTCGGCATGAGGCGCGGCTTCAGCCGCATCGTCGGTGTTGGTCTCGGACACAGATTTAGGCGCCGAGGGGATCAGATATCTAGATTTCGCGGAATCATCAGTGCTTGCGGGCTAGGTCAATAGACGAAAGGAACCTACTCCGACTTGATGGGCGCAATGCCCCTGTTGCGCGTATCAATATGTTCGTCATTGAGTTCCGAGGGCTCATCTAAGCGAACCTTCTTGGAGGGGGGCTCTCCGACAGCAGGGCTACCGTCGGCAGCATCGCGCTTGATAACATCCACCTCCGACGGAGCTCGGTTCGTCTCCAAAGCCGCAGATTGGGGGCCGGTCAAGTCCATGCTGGGCATCCTGGGCGGTCAGTGGATGTCCCTGGTTTCCGAGTGAAACGCAGAGATTTTTTCGAGCCGAAGGACCTTGGTGCTGCTGCAAAAAATAGAAGTTGCGGAGGCGTCCGATCTCTCTATCAAAAATTCACAGCCGGTGGCGCGCCGCAAGTTTGCACTGTTTGTAATCAAAGACTTTAACCTGATTGGTTGGGACTAAACAACAGGTGAAAATGTTTGTCGCCTGGCTATTCAGGCAGGCAATGAATGATCTCGCCCGTTGAGTTCTTCCGATGGCCTTGCTGCGTTTGATGAAGGAAACTCAAAATTCTTGTTGCAAATAACCAGCTTTTGTGGAAGACTTATATGTTCTGTTTCTGGACACCTATATCTTGGTTTATTTTTCTTTCTTCCCCAGGACGAAGGAGGACAGAGAAGAATCACTACCTTGTTCATTTAGGACACTCTTGGCATGATTTGATGATCTAGCGAGAGGGCAGGGCTCATGGCTTGCCCAGGAGTAGAAACACGACTTGGAACTTAGCGAGTTGAGCCTCAATAAAAGGGAAATCGCAGGCATCCTCCACCACGCCTGTGTCGCTCAGCAGTGCCAAGTCCTTAACGGCCTTAGGCGTAGTCTCAAAAGCATCGTTAGGCAGCTGGATTTTCCAGATGAAAGTCAGACACAATCTGGAGGCCATGGAAACTGAACAACACTGGGACAGTATCGCCACAGCAAACTAAGAAACTCAGTACCATCAGTACCAGCAAGGGGACCTGATCTTCATGTCCAATCGGACCACTTGACCACGGAAAGTGGCAGAAGCGTGGCTGTGTGGCGGTGCATTCCGCGGAGAACGGTGGCGCAGTCCATTGACCTCATTTCTCCCACTGGCCCACTCGCTGCTGTTATCTAAGCGCCCAGCCCGGGATGCTCATAAAGGCCCCCTCCTTGGCCTTGGCTGCGGCCTGCGAGTGTCTTTCCCTCTTCATTGATCTTGTGTCGTACAGAAGATTCTGCTTTTGTCTTCCTGTATCGACGGCGTGGCCGTTTGCGTGAACCCTCTTCCCCCCGGACAGCATCGTCTTATCTGCTGTTATCAGCGCCCGCCCTTGATTGTGGGCATATGCTCCGACTTGCTTGTTAGCTGCCAATCACACTGACATCATGTTGGGCGCTACGCACGATCCCAGACTGCTTTACAGCGTCAACAATATCCGCGCTTTTCATATCCAGGATGGTGAGGAGCAGGAGTTGACCCCGTCGGGCCCTCAAACCCTCTCGCTGCTCATGGTCCCGACAGCGGCATCTACCCCGGATTCCCCCCATGCCGCCGGTGCGGACACACTGACTCCAGAGGAGGACTTCTATCTTCACCTCTACATTCCGCCAGAGCTTGATCTTGCATTGCCAGCTACGACACAGGTCTTTCACCAACCACCCGATAGCTACTTGATTCCCCGCTGGGATCTGGCACCCGACGCGGGCGCCTTTATTCGCATTCAGTTCCCCGGCATCGGCAGCGGCCCGAACAGTGTCTCACAAGACGACATCGATACCTTCGAGACTATCCTCGCACAATGCACCGCATTCCTCGACCGTGCCCCGACCCCGGGCGGCAAATCTGATGGCTATGCCGCCTACAACCCGGCTGACTATGCACCTGGCGAGGGATACGTCGGGTCTGGAGATAGTAAGGGCGACAACAAGCATGGCAGGATCGTGCTCGTGGACGAGGAGGATGGCAGTGTGGTTGGCGAATTGGGCGAGGGGTACAATGTGGTGGAGGACGCGGATGTGAAACCTGGATCTAAACGTGAGTGAACCTCCCTCTACCAGTCCCGTACTACTGCAGTCAGCTAACGATGGTTTCTCTTTTACAGGTCCGGTTGGAATTGAGCTCCCTACTGAAGGTGAAGGTAACCGCGTCAGCGTAACCAACGTCTCCGAAGAATACTTGGAAATGTCGCGGCATCCCGCATACCAAAATTCAACCATCGTCCAGACCTCCGCCACAGCATCCCGTCTGATTGTGACCACCTCATCGTACCTTGCCAACGCCCTCACCAGCGGTGCTGAGAGCTTCATGAAGAAGACCAAACCCAACCCAAAGCCTGTAACGTTCTCCGAGGCCACGCATGCCCGCATCCGCAAGGTCGGCACTCTATCCCACGGCGCGGCAGACTTCTCCTCCCGCACCCTGGGCCAAGTGGAACGAGTTGCGCAGAACCTGGGCGCGTCAATGGCCCGCAAGGACGCCAAGCCGCGGAGCGTCGACAAGAAAAACCCACCGGCCGACTACAAGCCGGGCGTGTTGAACAAGTCGATGATCGCCTTCTCGACGCTGGCAGACGGCATCCAGGAGAGTGCGCGCACCATGCTGCTGACCGGCTCGCAGGCCGCCAGCACGATGATCGGGCACCGCTACGGCGTCGAAGCCGGCTCCGTCGCGAACAACCTGACCGGCGGCATCAAGAATGTCGGTCTGGTGTACATCGACGCCACCGGCGTCAGCCGGCGCGCCCTGCTCAAGTCTGTGGCCAAGGGCATGGTGGTGGGCCGCATGCGTGACGGCAAGCAGGTGGTCGTTGGCGCGGGCGATGGCGGCCAGGTGCCCCAGGGTGCCCATACCAACCATACCACCGCTGAGGCTGGGCCTTCTGCTCTGGGGGCGCGGGACCCGGTCGCGCGACGCCCGTCGCCCAACCCCACGCCGCCACCTGCGTATGGCGCATCGGGGACGATGTCCCTGGGTGGGACGCCTTTATCAGGAGCAAAGCGGTAAACAGGGGGAAAGTGTATTTGAATTAGATGGTTGGACTGGAAATCAAGATTGATCTTGATTTTTCGGGAACAGGTGGCGAGTTCTGAATTTAGCTTGATCTCATTTCCCATTGCTTATTTCTTGTTTCCCTCTCCTCCCTCTTTTTTTTCGCGTGTGGAACGGAAAGATGCATGGGAGTCAACCATTAGTCGGTTGCAACAGGGTTACTCCCCATTGCTTCGTTTGATCCAGGCCCTGATCCCTGTTGCGTTGGCCCAGGAACTCGGTTCCTGTGTAGATAGATAGGTGGTCGCGATCGCCACATAAATGCCAGAGTTTCACCCCACAGTTTATGCATCAGCTTTTCGCAGCCTGTTTTTCGACTATCCTGCCAGAGGCTATTGGGCCTAGACGCAATCTACTGTACGTTTCGGCTAGGTGGAGCCACTGCCGTCGTCAATGTTTCTCCTGCCACTTTGGAGGTCAAATAGAAGCCCAGCTTAGGGCTTCCGATCGACCATCCGTTAGCCAGCCAGAATTGCCCTCGATACATGTTCCCGCCGCATGGGCTGATTGGCGGGCGATTGGACGAGCGGCTCCCAAGGCGAGGCCGCTGCCAGCGCATCACCCGCTTGACAGGTGTGGCCCGCGGCCAATGAGGCTTTATGAGGGGGGGGGCGGCGACTCCACACCGACAACTGGCGTCGAGCTGGCTGGTGTGAGCGCGAAGTTCAATTGGATCAATTGGATCAATTGGATGGATTGGATCAATTAGATTTGGGTCCCATTGGGGTGTTGCCTCTCGTCTTCTCATCTGACCTTGACCTGCGTGTCGATGACCAGCCGAGTGCAATCTTGACGTGGAACATCGGGTGGGGTGGCTGGGTGGAATAGGAATTTTGTGGAGCGGGCCATACCCCGAGCTGGAGGGTCTGCCTTTTCCCGGCTCGGAAACTACGAAACTAAGAATACTCCTGGAGTCATATAGGGAGTGCTTCGGACTTCTGTGCAGGCTTGTCCAGAGGGAAGCTCGGGCATCTCATGGTGGTTGGGGGCCACAGATCTACTCCATCTTGGGTCCCGAGCCCTAACCGTGGACGGGGCTCCGCCCAGTGCCAGGGAACGGGCAAAAAGAAACGGTCCGGTCATGAGAACGGAGGAGTACTCAGTAGTCGATATGGAGCAGTAGGGGGCACTCCGTCTAGGAATCGAATGCGCGATGGCAGAGCAGCTTGCTATATTGATCCCGCAACGAGGGGCTGGGAAGTATACACGTAGTTGCCGAGTCCCCCGGAGCAAGCCTGACCCTACAGAGAACAGGCCCCCAGGACCCGGACGGTCATATCCGCGTCGCCCATTGGGCTGAGGTCTGCAAGCCATTTTGCTGTTCCAGACGACAACCTGTTCGCCATGAGCCAGCCAATCGCCCGCGCTGATCCGACAGCGACGGCACTAACCAACCCCAATAAACCCGATATCAACTACCACTGCGGGAGCATAGTGGATAAGCATCGCGATGCAATAATCGTAAGCTGAAAGGTCCCAATTCACGATCCAGATCGGTCCCTCCGGGGCGTAATGACGATCGTCGGTGTTGGCGAGGAGCCCACTCCGCGCGAATTCGAAACAGCCGGTGGCCCCCCCTTTTTTTGAAACGGGGCCCTCTGAGTCGCGCTCTTGCGAAGTCCTGGTGTGCGGCTTAGCCCGGTCTGAGTCTTGGTGCTGTCCGGGTCCCTGCCATTACCATCAACATCCCCTAAAAGCAGGGTCTCAACTGGCTGGCCCGGAGTGTTTTGAGTCGGGGTCGGGGAGCTATGGTCACCCTCGGACCGTCGCCCTCGCCCGCGTTTTGGCTTTTCTCCTTTTCTAGTTGGTTCCCTGTTGCTCGATTATTTATTTTGGTCGTGAGCATTAGTGCGGAGACACCACATGCGAGGATTAGCCCTCGGGCCTCGCCCCCGTTTCGCTCTATCACAGGCGAGGCAAGGGACGGCCGATGTGGCCGACGGCGATTCCGGATTGAGATGGGCGCGGAGCGGCTGATAGGAGGGATCATTCATAATCGCCTAGAGATGTCAATAATTGTGTTCGAGGACGGACCGATCTCCGGTACATCTTATAATCTATGATAGTGGAGGATGGTGCTGCGCGTATCGTGGTACACCTCGTCTCCCGGGGACGGGCGGGACGGGATAGGTTCAGGCTGTCGCGCCTAATTGATGGGATCGCCGGAGATACGATGGAGGGAGAACAATCGGTCCGCAGTCGCGAAGTCGTTTTGATTTGATCGTTCGTTTCTCCTCCGCAACTCTTCTCGAGGCAAACCGTCGTCATCGGCCCAAAGGCCAGCGACCCGCCGGACTGCCCCAGACCCGCTCAACCAGCGCTAAACGGCACTAAACGGAGAAACTAAACTCGAACCAAACGGCGGTCCTGCGACTGCCCTCCCGCGCTGCTGCTTGCGCTGCTCCTCCTGCTGGACGCTTTGCCCGTATCTCCTCCTCCTCCTCCCTCTTCACCGTCCCCATCCTTTCTTCACCCTCTTGGCCCTTTCCCGTCGGCCCTTTCTTTTTCTTTGCTTCGCTTTTTCTTTGGTGTTTTTGTTGGTCCCTTCTTCCTTCAGCCCCCCCTTTTCCCCAAATCCACACTTCGGCCGGCTCTCCCGCCTCCCTTCGCGCCCCCTGTCCGCGCATCGCCCCTCCGTACCCTGGCTTCGATCATGTTCACCGTCCGCAATTGAACCTGCTGGAATTGAACCGGGAACTCATTTTCGTGTCTGAGACATTGCTACTCCCGCGTTTGTTTCCCCCAGTTCTTGGACAACGTGTGTCCCTGCCCTTTCCCCCCCCTCCTCCCCCCGTGGGCCGGAGAAGAGACTGAGGGGACTCTAGAACACTGCAGCGCAGGTATCTTCACTTCACCTTTCTTTCTCGCGGTTTTCCTGCTTTAACGACGCGTCTTTTCATCTGGTGCACATTGTGACCTGGTGTCTGGTGTGAATCTGTCTTTCTGTCTTTCTATTTCTTGATTTGCAGCCACTCTGGTCCACTGGCGTGGCCGTGGCATTCCTGTGAACCCCCCATTCCTCCGATCGATCTCCTGTCAGTTGGGACCCTCTTCCTGATAAAGTTGCACATACTTGTCGCCGATAAGAGATAGCTCGGGGATTTCGTGACTGACGTCTTTGCGGAACAGCTGGTGAGGCTGAACGTCGACACTCGGAGAGTGCGACCGATCGCCCAATTCTCGCCCCCCAACTTCTTCGCCCAACACCCTCCGCTGGGTGTTTCGACGCGCCGACTGTGTCGCAATTGGCTGCCCCATAATTCAACTTCGTGTCCAACCGCGGGCTATCGTGGACGGCCAGCCTGCAAAACGTCTCACGGGGCCTTTTTGCGCTTTCAGCCAGGTGTGTTGTCGAACGCGACGGCAAACAACTCTCCGCGCGCACAACCCGATCGTGGAAAATCTTACATGCGGTCCAGAGTACTAACACCACCCCTCGCACAGCCGTTTCTGAGGCCGGTCCCGGTCAGCTTCTTTGGCTATGAGCACTTCTCGTCAGCAGGCCATCCCTCTCCCTGCTCATACATCGCCGGTCTCGACCCACACAGCCCCATCGCCAGCTCAGAAGAATGCGCACCGCACCTACCCCGACATGCTAAGCTCACCACCAGTTCCTCCCCCGAGGACCTCGTCTGCCCATCATAGCCGTCGCAGCCCCAACGGGTCGTCAACAGAGAAAGGCAGCTCGCGACACAAGAGTCGATCCGACCGCAAGGAATCCCGCGACCGAACCCGTGAGGATCGCGGGGGGAAGAGTCGATCGCGACGACCGGACCCGCTCGAAGAAACAACACGGGAATCGGGCAGGTCACGAGGAGCACCTCTGGTTTCGAATCCCCCGGAGCCCGGCATGGAAGACATGTATGGCCCGGAGTTGGTGAAGGAGTCCAGCGCAGTGATCAACTCGGTGCAGGTCAGCGATCCTGTTGTGGACCGAGAGAGAGAGCAAATGCGACAGGAGGGCGGCTCACCTGCCGCTGCTGCAGCCGTGGAGGCCACCACCGCCAACTACGGCGGAACTGGAAATGAAGGTGTGGAGGAGGGCGCTCGCACTGGGCATCGCAGCCGACATGACTACAGCAATAACGGGAACAATCTCAAGCGCAAGGAGACGACGTTCGGCTCGTACATTCTGGGCCAAACCCTCGGAGAGGGGGAGTTCGGCAAGGTGAAGCTGGGCTGGAAGAGGGACGGTAGCATTCAAGTCGCCATCAAACTGATTCGCAGAGAATCTCTCGGAACCAATCCCAGCCGACTGCCCAAGATCTACCGCGAAATCTCGATCTTGCGCGACCTCGCCCACCCCAACATTGTCCGCCTGCATGAGATGGTGGAAACCGACCGTCACATCGGTATTATTATGGAGTACGCGTCGGGAGGTGAACTCTTCGACTACATTCTGAACAACCGTTATCTCAAAGACAATTCGGCTCGCCGATTGTTCGCACAATTGGTCTCGGGTGTGGGCTACCTACACAAAAAGGGCATTGTCCACCGAGATCTCAAGCTCGAGAACTTGTTGCTGGACAGAAATCGGAACATCATTATCACAGATTTCGGATTTGCCAACACCTTCAATCCGGTGGATCCATTGGAGGAGGAGATCGAGTACAATCTCACCAACAAGGAATATGTCAAGCGCAAGCGCCTGGATAGACTGGGCGCGGATGGGCTGCGTCGCGGTGATTTGATGCAGACGAGCTGTGGAAGTCCTTGCTATGCGGCGCCGGAACTGGTTGTCAGTGATTCGCTGTACACTGGTCGCAAAGTCGATGTCTGGAGCTGCGGTGTGATTTTGGTATGTGCACCTTGCAGTTCATGAGAATCCGCTGGTCTAATCTAACTTGCTTTGGTGCAGTACGCCATGCTGGCCGGCTATCTGCCGTTCGACGACGATCCAGCCAACCCGGATGGTGACAACATCAACCTCCTTTACAAATACATCGTCAGCACTCCCCTGACCTTCCCTGAATATGTCACACCCCACGCCCGTGATCTCTTACGACGAATTCTGGTTCCCGATCCCCGGAAGCGTGCCGACCTGTTTGAAGTTGCTCGCCACAGCTGGCTGAGTGAGTATTCGCACATTGTGTCGCATATCACCAGCAGCACCACCAATGTAGCAGACATTGTCAACGCAACAGTACCGGCTGGTAAGATCCTGGAAGGCCCATGGAATCAATATTGGGATTCTCAATCAGATCGGCTGACCCATTCCTTCACTCCAGAACCCAAGAATGAAGCGCCATCGCTTGCTCGCAGTGCTTCCGTTCGCGAACCACCCAAGACCAGCCATAGCGCGGTTCCCGCCGTGGGTGGTCTCAATCACCATGCTGGCGATATTTCGCAGGGCTCGCCCAGCGACAAGTCGAAGACGTCCCGGGATGCTAAGCGGAGAACAGTGCAGGTGGAATATGTTGCCCCCCAGTCGCAAACCACCAGGGGAGAGTACCAGGAGACTTCGGAATCGCGCAGCCGGGGAACTGCGAAACAAGACGAACCCCAAGCGCCCATGCCACCGGCGAAGGACACAACCACTCCGACCGCGCCGAAGCCACCGGTCAACTACGACAAGCCATTGCCCACACACTTCCCACGATCCACTTCGGACAATGCCGCATTCACTGGAACGCACACTAGCACCACCACGGGGCCCTCAACTACCCGGCCGACGACGGGTGGCTCTATGGCCTCCTTCCACACTGGTCGTCTGCCCTCTCGAGGCTCCTATGGCCAGCCGGTGGCTCCCATGGTCACTGCTACCAACACCGAGGGCCGTCTTGCTCAGCCAAAGAGTGGACAATTCTCCCTTGCACAAAACCCTGCACAGGCATCCAGTACATCTATTGGCCGCCCCAGCACCCAGCAACTGCCGTCGGCATTCAACCCGACTCCGCGACAAGAACCCCCCAAGGGCCACAAGCGCTCAAATACCGTTTCCAGCATTAGCGAAAAGCTCTTCGGGCGCCCTGGGTCTATTCTGGGAGGGCGCAATGCGCAGTCCAACGCTGCTGGTCGCGCAGACCGCCAGAACAAGCGGTACCCGCCAACCAGCATGAAGGAGTCTTTGCCTCGGGAAGATTCCCGTGTTTCTATGGATTCTCGGCGGTCGATGCAATACTCACACAGTCGCAAGGCTAGTCAAGCTGGTGATGGTCGACCCCGTCGATTCTCCCTCCTCCCGCCCTCTTTCTCATTCCGGACTTTCTCATCTGGCCGAGTCCAGACTCCAGAGGAGGCATCCCAGACCCCTCGCACGGTGGATCCCCACGGGGTGCAACGCCCTGCTACGGGCCCCATCCAGAGCCGTTCTCGTGCGACGAGCCATGGAACGCAAGATGGCATGGGTCTGGTCAACGAAGGCCCTGCAGATGAGGTGCACGAGCACAAGGACTCCGACCCCCTGAGCTACGAGGCTCAGATTGACCAACAGTTCGCTGAGTTGGGAAACCGATTTGACCAGACACAAGATTCCTTCGGTGCTATTTCTTCCGAGCAAGTGTATCCGAACAATGACGATCAGAACTCGGGCCACAACTACACCTACTCGTCCAAGCCGAATTACTATGATGATTACAACGGCACCTACGATAACCTGCCTTGCCAGTCGATGCAAGCTGGTCGGCGTGGAGCGAATGTCCTGCAGAAGAACCACCGCAAGTTTGCCGATGCTTACGAGTACGAGCGGGATGGATCCCACCATTCTGGCAGCTCCGGGGCTGCCAGGAAAGTGATGGACTTCTTCCGCAGACGTGCCAAGTCTCGCGCTGGTGACGACCGGTAGTTCCAATGTACCATGCCACCTCAACTCCCCTTGAAAAAAAACAATGGATCCACTCCCAAAATCAACCTCGCGCCAGGGAACCGCCATTAAGAAACCCGAATCGATCATGTAACCACATCCCGCCCGCCTTGCTTCGATCCAGGCAGCACAACTTCCAATACACCACTGCCGCGTCTTAATGCATTAATCTTGCCTCCCCGCATCCGATATCGAATGAGGAAAAAAGAAAGCAGCGAGGTTGTTTGAATTAACCATGTGATACCCTGCTTTTGTTCTTGATTCCCGCCATTCTGTGCATGGAGCGAAATTCTTCTTCACCCGCCGGGTATTTGATTAATTTATCTAGCATGTTCCTTTCCTTTGTCAGAATACATTTTCTTCTTCTTATCATTTTCTCTTTGCTAATCTGTCACCTTTTTTGGTTCTTCCCCTTTGCTCGTGTGATTCAAGCCCTCGATTTTCCTTTCTCCTGTCATTATTATCTCTGGCTGTAAAGTGGGACCAGAATCGTGTTCTTGTTCAGAGTGTTTTCCCCGTTTTCTTTCCTCCTTGCGTGTTCCCTTCTTCTCCCGTCCCCATTCCCATTCCCATGCCCATGCCCATGCCCATGCCCATGCCCGTGTCCCCATTGCTACGCGTTCTTCTTAGCTCTCTGTCTTATACGGGAGGTCTTTTCTTCGAACGATAATTCAATCTCCAATGTGGTGTGACCCCAGCCGTTTCGCTCTATCTATCTTTATTCTTTGCATATGTGTGTACTGTGCGCCTTCATTTCGTCGTCCTGTTCCTTGGCTCGAAGTCCCCTTCGGAGCGATATCATTCTACTTTACTTGCAGTGGTCAAGGGATGAGTTTCTTGCTGGTTTCTCGGTAGTTTACCTAGTTTCTTTTCTTTACTTGGTGGCTTGTCCTTGATTTTGGGTGGTCAGCTCTTTGGCATATGCTGCTGCCGCATGTGGCTGCTATCGCTTATTCTTGTGCGAGTCAGAATAGTCATATATGGCCCGTATAACCAGACATGGGAACTCGTTCAATAGTCTTATTGTCTCCATCTCGAAGCACAGCACCCCACCCCACCGAGGTCTGGGCTGACACGATCTCGCTGAGCAGCATCTCTCTCTGCCTAATTACCAATCGCAATGGTACCACAGTGGAATATACTGCTATCCTGGCCACGGGATGGCCTTTTCAATATCGCTCTTTGTCATAATTATCACCCGTAGTTCCTTCCCCTTAGGTGATGATGGCCTCCCGGTAGGTATTTTCCAGCCCGCTGAACAGCCTGGCTTGTAGTGAAGAAAGATGACTGCGATCTTGTTGTAGGTCTGCGTTGTCAGCGATTACTCTCACCTTGATGACCAAATCCGAATTCAATCTGTTCCAAGACAAAAGCTGCAGCTACAACGCTCGAGTTTATGCGTCATAAGAATATTATAATGAATTCGCGTGTTGCCAGGGGTAGTAACTATCCGATACCTATACCTCGACAACACTTTGTCCCGAGAGCTTTTCACATCTCCTATGCAATGTCCCTCATTGCATGACCTTCAGATGTTCAACGTTAACTAAATCAGCCTCCTTATTTAGTCCCGCAACTTCAGCCTCCGCAAAAGGAATACCCTCTGCTAGCCGTGTCTGCTCCATAAGGATCTCGATTTCCCCAGGGAAGTAAATCCTGTCCACACCTGCCATCTTATCAGACTCCACAACCCTCTTGTACAGATAATCCATCCGCTCTTTAAACTCCTCCATAGTCATAAACAAGTCCGGCTTAATAGCGACCAAGAAATGTCCCACATCTGCCGGCTTCGACGGATCATAGGGGTTCGTAACATGCCCCGCAAACGCAGCTCCAGAAAACACCCCAGAGAAGACATCCATCATAATCGACAGTGCCGACCCCTTCGGCCCGCCCATCGGCAACATCACGCCCTCCAACGCCTTCGCCGGATCATCCGTCGGACAACCTTCTTTATCGAGCGCCCACTCCGTCGGAATGCGTTCTCCCCGCCGCAACGCCTTATAGATCTTACCGCGGGCCGCCACAGACGGCGCCATATCCAGAATAAACGGCTTCGCGGGATCTCCACTCGGCGCACCGCACGCAATAGGCGAAACCCCCATCAATTTCTCCTTGCCACCCCAAACAGGCAGTGCGGGCGACGAGTTCGTAAATACCAGGCTCATCATCCCCGCGTCCAGCGCCTGCTTCACCACCCACGCCGACATGCCGAAATGATTCGAGTGCTTGACCGAGACCATCCCCATACCATATGTCTCGGCCATTTCAATTGCGCGAGCCATACCCGCGTGCGCGGCGACGAAGCCGAACCCATTGTGCGCGTCGATCTGTGCGGCTACGGGCGTTATTTGCCGTAGGGTCGGCGTGGCTGTTGGGTCGAGGGCTTTTTGTCGAATGCGCTCCATGTAGGAGGGGATGCGGTTGGAGCCGTGGGTGTCTACGCCACGCAGGTCGGCTGCGACTAGGCATTTTGCGACAATGGCGGCGCTGTCTGGGGGCGTGTTGTTTGCGATGAGGACTTGTGTGACGAAGGTTTGGAGGTCTGTGGGGTTGATGAGGTGCATTGGCTGTTGGGTGGACTCGGCCATGATGGGTATTGGTGACTTGAGCACGAGCTAGTTACAGATTGTTCAATGGCGATTGTTTTTGAAAAATGCGCGGGGAGCTGTAGCTGTGATGTTGAGGCGCGCATTTTATATTGTGGAGAAAGGTTGGGGAAAGAAGCGGATGTGCTCCGTCGCAACGGAGTGCTCCCGCGAATGGATTTAGAATCATCCCATCCCCGCTTTGGACAGCAACTCAACAATCGAGCAATTCGAGTTCAGGGTGAAGTGCATTCTTGGAACGAGGAAATTCACGAGTCCAACCATTCAGCCTGAGATAGGTTGCTTGCTGCACAGGTCTGCTCGGTGTATACTATCTGGAACTGGTATTATATCACAGGACCTTTACAACGATGAAAAATAAATGCTCAACATGTGACTAAGAAGCTTCAAAAGTGGAACCTTCCTGGGCGTATAACTCAGTTGGTAGAGTGCTCGCTTTGCATGCGAGAAGTCTGGCGTTCGAATCGCCATTCGTCCATCTTTTTCTCCCCTCGCTTTTTTTGGAGAGGTCGGCCGGCAGTCAATGCAGTGAGTGAGTGGGGTCGGGTATCTGTTATACCTGTTTTTGAGAATATCTTTTAACGTCCCCCTGTTTGGGTTGGAGAGCCGTATGTATGTATCACTTTAATGTTGAATGAACTATGGACATCATTGAGTACGCAAAAGTTAAATGAGCTCTTCATGGCTAGCTATGTGACTTAGTTCCACATCACCGTTTTCGGATCTAAATACTGTCGAACGATATTATCGAAATCAGGGGCCCCGGCAAAATCCATAAATCCACCGGGCATTGAATCATTCAACCAGCTTGCACTCTCGAGGCCAAAATCAAACTCATCTAGAAATGAGCTCAGTGAAGGAGCGATCTCCACGGCAGAGTCTACCTGCTCCGGCATAGCTTCCTCTCGTTCTTCGTTGGAATGTTGAGATCGAGTCCTCTCGGCCGCGCGTGTCGCAGGGTAAGTTCCAGCCAACCGCGGTGACGTCTCCAGGCTACGCATCTTGAGCAGACGCTGTATTGTAGCCCCCGACAGTTCATGGATGCAATCTCTCGCCCGCCTAGCCTCTGTCCAGTATTCTCCGATGCTGCTGAGGATATTCAAACTGATACTTGTATCGGCAACCAGATCGTCAATGTGGACTTGTGATGCAACCAGGGGCAGCCGCCAGAGACAGTGCAGCATAATCAAGGTGCTCAAAAATATTGAATGTACAACCAGTCTGCTATAAAGAAGTGATTCTTGCCTGTACAGCTCCCCAAAGCCACGGAGTAGTTTAACGGCGTGCTGAAAGCATTGAGCCAGCAATTCTTCCGACGGCTCAGGAATTCCGGGACTTGGCCGTAGTATCAAAATTATCATCTCGTGGTATTTGGTCTCGCAGATCTTGGCAATTGACTCCATGCCGGCCGCGTGGGGGATGTCGGTATACCATGAGTCAAGCCGGTCTATCATGTCCCTCTGCCACTGGTGAATATCGAGAACTGGTGGATAGGCGTATTTTGGAGGATCCCGGCAGATGCTGTGCATGACATATTTGATTTCCGAGTTCAGCCGTGCCAGTTTGAACAAATGGATTGAGTAGGTCATATGAGACGGCGCGGTCGCGGTAGACCTCTCATCAACAACAGCTTCAGAGAGTTGCGTATCGGTGACATCTGAAGGGAGCTATAAATCTCATCAGCCTATCATGAAGCGTATCGTAGTAAGGGAGATGAGTCTCAGATAGCGAGCCACATACTCGAAGCTCACACGCCTCATCCCGAACTCCAATTGGACGGCCCATCATGGTGCCTAAAGTTCGGTCAAAGCTATATACCACCCAAAATATTCGAGTTCTCATTTCCTGTGTCAGAAATGATATTTGAAACGAGGGTGATGTGCGCACATCACGTTGAAGGCCAAGGTCAATCAGCGCACCCAAGCATTGATAATTCAAACTCCAGATATTAACCCCGCACGACGGATTATGAAGAGCGTACACCATGAGAAGGAGTTGACTTTGAAGGCCACCAAGCGAGCTGTCGGCACAGGCACCTTCAAAGTATTGAGTTGCAGCGGTATAGTACCCCTCGGCCGGCAACCGAAGTCGGAACCGTCGCGAGAGATCTGATGCTGCTATCGCAAGCACCATGTAGACATGGAAAGCGTCTGAGGAATTGTGTTCGACAGCTGACTCGCTGGCGTAAACCCTCTCCAGGCGTTGCATGTGCGATGGTTCGTGAAGAAAGGGGTAGAGAAGATGGACAGTAGAGAAATACTTGGAGGAAAGCTCGATCGCATCGTCCTTCCGATAGGGTAACGAGGCAGGGGTGTTGAACATCTCGGCGGACAACGAGATTGGCTCGTTCACGCTGCGGATACCTGGTGGTCTTGGCCGGCGACCAGCACTCGAGAAGATCAGGTTTGCAAGAAAATAGCCACTTGAAGGGCCAAGATATCGCGGTTCCCCACCCGCGGAAAGGGACACTAGGCCAATCTCGTGAGCCTGCCTGGGCTGTGTGCGGGATGCGTGTGTATTTCCAGACGGCGCAAACTGCTCCTGTCGGGACGGTGTCGATACACTCACAGCCTGTGCACTTTGTTCAGGATTTACTCTAGAATTATCCTCTTGATATTCATTTGAGCCCGATGGCTGTCCCTGTTCCGAAGATATAACTGTGCCTTGCTCGCGCACTAATGACTCAAGCCATTGAATGCGCTTCTGCAGGTTTGCAATGTACCTAGACCCATATTAGTACACATGGATACAACGAGGTGCGAGCGGAATCCTTACGTGCGATTGACTTCCTGCGTGCCATCATTCACGCATGGAACACTTGCCCTAATGCATGCAGCACAGCTCGGAGTTTCGCCATTACAGCGAATTTTACGTCTCTGGCAACGCCGGCAGGCTGCACGGGTTCGACTCCGTCGTGAAGACTCCATTCAACGAATGCCAGCCCAAAATGGCGCTATTCGTATTTTCAGGTCCCAAGTGAGATGCTTGGAGTCTGGCATTTCGCAGGAAATGTTCGGATGAGAGCCGTCGATCCGCCCGCCACCCATTGGCGGATGACTAACCTGGGGTGCCCCATCGTCCGACCTTCGTGAAACCGGTTTGTCTCTAATCAATTCCTTTGTTTTGGGAAAGAAAACTGAATTTAGCAAAGGGGCAAGAGAAGAAAAACAGAATTTTCAACTGAGAAATATGTTGGTATCAAGCGTGTTGAGACTCACACCCAGGGCGTCAGGTTTGTGATCACTGTCATCTACAACTACGGAGTACAGCGACGGCGCAGCCCCACTTGCGGATAGCTCCCGTGTCTCCGGCCCGGTTTAAAAAGAGCACCACATTCCAGTCATCGCTACAGGATTTGTCTTCGAGCCCTGAGTTTTCCTTCAAAAATGACTGTTGTTCATATCGGTATGTTGGAGTGGCCCATATCGTCCATATTCTCTCACTAAGTTTTCGTTCGTCGGAGCATGTAGTTTTGTTCAAGTTCCGCGCGGAGGTTGAGGCGCATATCAGAGACAAATTTCTCACTGAAATCAAGACACTCAAGGTCTTGTCATGTGTCAAGAGCCAGCGACTTGTTGTTGGAGGTCCATCGATAACAGATCCTGCGTCCAAGAGCAAAGGATTCCAGTATGCGTTAGTGAGCTACCACGAAGACCGAGCCGCCTTGGCCGCGTACCAAGCAAGCAGTGAGCACGAAAGGTATGTCCCTATCACTCAATGCATTATGATTGAAGTTACTGATCATCAAGTTAGGGTCACGCAGACATATTTCATTCCCTATAAGGAGGACCTGGTTCGATTTGATTTTGAGGTGGATCAAGTGGACGAGCCACTCCTGGGATTCGGAGCTATATGCTAATTTTATGAATTATATCACACAAGGCTGAGAATAAAGCATGACCGTGGTTAGCGTAATCGGCCGTCTTATACCACTTCAAGCCTCCGATACAGACTCAAACTTGGCGTCAACACTGCTTGTAAACTCGACATCTTCTGGAGTCAGATCGATGGTATTCCCCTCGGCATCACTGACACTCGTCCTCAGCGTAGAAAGTCTGGCTGTCTGCTTGGTTCTCGAACGCGTTCCGTGCCCTTCATCGGTAATCTCCACAGCGACCACCTGTCGGTCGACTACGTCCGCGAAATCATTTGCCTTCTGAACTGCATCACGCATGGCCAGTTTGCGCGCTTCAGAGCCGAGTTCCTTCTTGGTTTGATCGGTCAGACGCCAGTCAACCGACTCAATTTCCACTTTGGGAATTTTCACGAGTTTGCCGATGACCTCGCCAACTTTGGCAAAATCGCGGAAAATAACTTCGAATGACGAAGTGGCGTGATAGACTCGGGGCAGGGGCTTGCCATGCTCATCGGTAGGCACCTTCGACCAAGTGCGGAGAAGCGTGTTGGAGAACTTAGTCACCGGCGCGTCAGTACTTGCCAGGCCCTCGGGTGTCTTGGGTGACAAATCGGTGAAAATTCGATGGAGTTCATTGGATGTTAGCGTCACATCTTTGGACACGGGCTCCTGCTCCAGTCCCTCCGATCTGATAGCTACTTGGAGTACACATCGCTCGGGGTAGCGGCTGATAGATGATTCCCCTAGGACCGAGATCTTGAGAGGGGACATTTTGGCTGATTCGAGATGAAGGAAAGATCGGGTTTGCAGGAGTGGATTCGAGCTATGTTGTCTTTAAGTAGCAGGCTTGACCACCAGGCAGCAGCTGCCAAGATGTTTTCCTTCTTCCACATGGACGCTAGTATGCCTGAACGGAATTGCTCGCGCGGGGCTGAGTGGAAAATAAACAAGTAAGCTATGGTAAGAGCCTTAAGCCGTGACTTCACACTTAGACATTTCTTGAACTAGATCGCAGATCAAATGTATGGATATCTGAGGACGCACTATACAGACCCTATGTTTACCTCATACCGAATTTGTCTCATCATTATTAACTGCTCAGCCGCGAATGAAGAGGGTTTAGAGCGGTAGTAAGGACACAGTGGCCTGAGGAAATGTCTTGATTTGAAGCCCAGATGTGCCACGGTCATAGTTTTCTCTGCTGACCGTCAATGATGACCACTGCGTGGTGGTCCAAAGGGCTGTCAGTGAAGGGCGGCAGGCTGACTTTGCAGCATCAGGCTACGACAGTTTACGACAATGCGACTTATTCGAGGCGTAGTCTTCGATGCTCTGATTCCATTGTTTTTCCGCGTTATGATCTCTTTCTAGCCTGTACGAGGGAATATGGAATTCGTCGGCCCTTTGCTACGAAGCATCATCGCGAGTGCCACAGCGCCACATCGGCGCGTCTAGGCCCCGTTTGTTTGGTTTGTCTGGTTTGACTACCACAACCCCCGCAGCCAACCAGAGCGACAATTGGAGCTAAAACGCAACTGCAATGCGGGGCTCGGAGGACAGGACAATATGAATGCATAGCAAACCGTGTTTGTATCGTGTCAAACTGGAAGCTTAACCCGGAAACGGTGGTTTGCATTGATGATAAAGCAAGACCTGTGGAAGCTGTGCGAACAGAGAATATATCCGTCCCAAGGCTAGAGACATGTTTCTATTGCATCACCTCAGATGGCTCCTCATCGATCCCGTGCAAAAGGAGATACAAACCTGCTGAGTTCCCTCAATATAAAGAGGCATAGTCTGGCCACGCTATTCTCTTCCTTCTCCTAACTCACTTGCTTGATTGGGCACTATACCTACCAATCTCTGCGCCCAGAGAGAGCTAGTTAACTTTTAACACACTTAGCACATCTTGCGTTTTCTATATCTTGCTTGTGAAATCCTGAACAGGCCTTCGCGTCACACCTGGACACCATGACTCAATCCGGTGAGATACCCTCTGGTTGTCCCTGGAGTCTCGGAAACCTACCCGACCGGGAGAACAACAGCATTCTACTTCCCAAGTCAGGTGTGAAGATGTTTTACCGGGAGCTTAGACCATCGGTCCCCGGAAACAACGGAGCTTATCATCCTCTTCTGATGCTACATGGCTTCCCATCGTCATCGCACCAATACCGCAATATCATGCCCCATATCGCAGGAACATTCCATGTGATTGCTCCGGATCTACCTGGATTTGGGTTCACAGAGACTCCCCCTGATTTCAAGTTTACATTTGGGAATCTGACGACCATTCTGGCCGAATTCCTCGATGAGCTTGCCATCTCCATATTCAATATATACATCTTCGACTACGGCGCGCCTGTGGGCCTCAGGCTGGCACTCCAGCGACCGGAGGCTATCCACTCCATTATCACTCAAAATGGTAACGCCTACGTGGAGGGATTTGGGGAGGTTTGGGCACCAATCAAGGAGTTCTGGGCCAGCGAGAACACACCGGATGACCGAGCCAAGATTGCTCAAGCCATGCTGACCTTCGACATAACCAAGTTCCAGTACGAGAACGGCACTCCCGCTCTCGCGAAGATCGCACCCGAAGCATACTATCTCGACTACGCTCTGATGGAGCGTCCGGGCAATAAAGACATCCAGTTGGACCTGTTCATGGACTATCAGCATAACGTGGCTATGTATGAAGACTTTCATCGTTATTTCAGGGAATCACAAGTTCCCCTGCTCGCTATCTGGGGCAAGAACGACGTCTTCTTCATTCCGCCCGGGGCGGAGGCATTCAAAAAGGATCTACCGAATGCGCAAGTCAAGTTGATCGACGCCGGGCACTTTGCTGCTGAAAGCCACTCAGAAACTATTGCTCAAGAGATCATGAAGTTCCTCCTCGAGGTTGTCTATCCCATCCCGCGTTGACAAAAGAAAAAAGCTTCTGGATGTCCGTTGTATATTCAAATTAGTTAGTAGTTTGCAGCAATATTGATGAAACATGGAAACGCAAAGTTTCTAACCGATGCCTAGCTGGATTTACAGTATATAAAGTAATGCCACGTTGACTCGACGTGACCAGAATATTTACGACCTGCAAGTTCCACTTTGGAACTACAGTCTCACGAGTGTCGGGTTGAGGGTGGGCTTGACCCCGATAGCCAAGGTTGTCTCATAGTCGGCTGCGAACACCGGCTTGTTTCTCTGTGCTAGGAGTCACATCCCAAACCTCATCACCGCCCCAGAACTTCTTGACAGCATCCCAGTAGCGATGGGGATCTTCGATGACCAACCCACAGTGGGGACCTTGCTCAAAGAGGACTTGACTGACGGAATACCCCCGAGACTGTGCGTCTTGAAGGTGCGATTGGACTGCCTCCCATCCAACCATGAAATCTTCCTTGGAATAGATGTACAACCGTCTCGGTTCCGACCTAAACGTAGTAGGGTCATTCATAAGGTCCCGAAGGTCTTTCACTGCACGGGCCAGACCGGCATGCTGGAATCCATTGACCACAGCCAATGCAGGGTACATAACAGTCTTCCCCAAGAACTGTGCCACAGGCGTCTGGGGTATGGAGAGCCGCGTCGCCGCATACAGCCGCGCGAATGTATCATCACCGGGGCAACAGTCCAAGATGATAGCGCGAAGATTCGAGAAAAATGATGCGCCATGGTCATATTCTTCTTTCATAGACAGTGCGAGTTGAGTGGCGATGTTGCTGCCGCCGTGGGAGAAGAGATGAAGTAGGACGCCGCGCCGGTCACTGGTCTCAGCCGTGTCCACGGCGATCTCACGGCCGACGATCCGGCGGATCGCCTCGCGGGCGGGCTTCAAGTTAGCACGGATCCAACTCGAGGGCCGGAAGGCTATGTCGGAAACATTGGTTGTGACTAGGAGGAGAGACGAGGTTGGGTAGATCTCCCGGTACTGCGCCAGGTACTTATTGATGCGTCGTGGTGTCGCACCCCCCACCCACGTGCACAGGATCACCAGGGACGGCGAGGCGGGATCTGGCGAGATCTGCTCAGGAGATTCGAACAGGTGTATGTTCTCCCCAATCGTATCGAAACACTCCAACAGCGAGTTCGGCGACATGGCGGCTGGGCAATTGGGCTTGCAGCGTACCTGACATGGGCAGGAGGGAGAGGGATCTTCATGTTGGCCCCCGCGTTGGGGGCTGCTGTCAAAAGTGGGGGGTCCGTGCTGGGGTGTTTCATGTGAGCCCGTGCAGCGACTTCTTCTTGGAACCCTGCGATCGGAGACGATTGCCAAGGCCTGATCCCTGGTGATGCCATCTGCGTCGCGTGGAATCCACTGCTACGACTGCTACATCGACTACAGCCCCCACTGCCACCACCTCCAGCGTATCTTGCAGTGAATACTACACAGTCATGAAAGATGACTCATGTGCTGCGATTGAATCCAAATGTGGCATCACTTTCGCGGAGCTCTTGCTTTGGAATCCGTCCATTGGTTCCAACTGTCGGTACCTTGATGTTGGAGAGCAGAACTGCGTTGCGGGAGCTGTGCAAACGGGTATCACTACGTCGTGCACAACTTCCTATATAACTAAACCCCTATTATATATCCTACGGCCCTTATATCTAGACTGCGCCAAAACCGCATTTAGGGGCAAACCTCGCCCCCAAAAACCAAACCGCAATGGTTTCGGTTGAAACTGCCTAAACTAAACTAAACTATAAACTATTGCGGTTCCCTATTAGGGCCCTAATAAAAGCCATTTTTGTATAAAATCAAGGTCTTAGTATATCTAAACCTACTAATTCATACTTTTAGATTACTATCATTAAATATTATTTTAGTTATAACCCTACTTAATCTTATTTTTTTACTATAAAAGCTATACATGGATACCCCATCATCGTGGAAAAAGAGTCGTTTGATTCTGTCCTAGAAGCCCCAGGACCAACTGAATGGAGGTCTGTTCACACTCGCGAGTCAACAGCCCATGTCACTGTACTTGATATGCAATGGTTCGACGTACGTGAAGCTCCTGCGGAGGATGAGTATCTGCCAGAGGACGAAGTGGGATGGACCAATGTTTTGGCAGTCAAGGTACATCCTAGATTGTATTCCATGCTACAAGAGCGGGCTGTGGCCGCAAGTGGTCTATTGCACGCCACCGGAGATATCTCGCCTGCCCTAAACTCGCAGTATCCTCGGGCTACTACCTCGGCCAACTGCTTAATGTGCGCATCAGTATGAAACGCGCATTTCCTTCAAAAAACACAATGCGTTCATTGAATGCGAGGCCTCTTTTGGCTCTTTCCGCAAAATACCATTCGTAAAGCCTTATAAAAATGGGAGAACTCTTTTTTCATGATGAGCTAAGTTTCGCGAAGAGTATCTGTTACTTAAAGAGCATCTCTTCTCTGAACAGAAAAGATACAGGGAGCTGGAAGACTTTATGTTGATCTTGAATCAATGAAAGTCTAATGAACTTCCCCTGTCTCATTCACTGATCAAAATTGAAGAGTATAGGTTGCATCCTCTCAAATGACCACGCAATGTTTATAGTCGGGCCATACCTGTTCTGAGCAGTAACTGCCAACGGCGGGATTCCACTCTACGAGCGCATCACTGGTTATACCATCGGCTGTTGCGATAGCCCAGCATGAGTCGTCTTTTTTGGCAGTATAGGTAGCTATACGTACCATATTGCCTCTGCCGGGTGGGGCTTTCCTATTCCAGATGCCTCCACTCTAATGAGGGCGCCTAGAGTCAGTCTCACTGAATAAATTTCAGTCCGGGCTCAGACTTACTGAGCTACTCAGATTCAGCGGGCACCTAGCTGAGCGGTACTTAGAAAATGTTCAACAGGGGTTCCAGCTGAGCGTTACTCAGAAAATGTTGAACAGTACTCAGGAAAATATGACTAATCCTGAGTACCACTCAGCTCCCAGACCTGAGCGGTACTCAGGACTCTATATTGTATCAAGATATAGTACGTTTTAGTAATGTAGGGGTTCAACCATAATTGAACCATTAGGTAATATTGTATGAAATCGATATAAACGATTTGAATTCTGTATAATAGCTAAACGGGATCTAGAAAATCCTGAGTACCGCTTAGGTGTGGGAGTTCAGCGGCGGGTTCCAGCTGAGCGATACTCAGAAAAAGTTGAACAGTACTCAGAAGAATTATGACTAATCCTGAGTACTGCTTAGCTCCTACACCTGAACAGTACTCAGGATTTTCTAGGTCCTATAAATAAAATTAATTCACTATAATAAAGGCAGAGAGTATAAAGAATATTCACAAAAGTCCCAAATAGGGGCAAATAAAGATTTTCTTAAGCTAAAAGGAACATATGTAGTGATATAGAATCCTAAGTATCGCTCAGGTGTGGGAGCTGAGCAGTACTCAGGATTAGTGATAATTCTTCTGAGTACTGTTCAACTTTTTCTGAGTATCGCTCAGCTGGAACCCGCCGCTGAACTCCCACATCTAAGCGGTACTCAGGATTAGTCATGATTTTTCTGAGTACCATTCAACTTTTTCTGAATCACGCTCAGCTGGAACCCGAAAAAGTTCAACAATAGTCTATTCTATAGAAGCTTTCTTCTACTATAAAGCTTTTACTTATATTAAATTACTAGATATCTCTATTTTAATAGATATTTATAGCTATTACTAGTTAAATTCTTAACTAGAACTAGAGCTATCGAGAAGTCCTAGATATCCTCCCAGCGCTGGACAACAGTGGACATCTACACCTACCTATCCAGGGTACCCGGATACCACGGAACTACCAAAGGCGGTGCTGTTCTGTGAGGATGGATGAGCCTCCAACGGGAGTCCCCGATCAGAGTGGAGCAGCTGAGTCAATGATTCTACTCCAACTGGAACTCGGCTGTGTCGGACGCAAGTGAACCGGCACTGTGCTAATGCCCTGCCAACGCCCGACGCCAGCAACAGCTCTGTATCTCGGCCCAGGCACTCCCACCGGACAAGGGAAAGATTGGAGAGGGGGAAGGGGGAGGAAGAGAAGGCGTGAATCCATGGCCAGGCGGACAGCCCCAACCAATCCGTTGTACAGTGGGAAGGTCAGCGCCCTGGACGTTGGGATATGCTGGAACGGAGCCGGATCGGCGCGCGCGCAATGCGCCAGCCAGTCCCTGTAAATGGGCGCGGCATGGAGGGGTTTGTTCGTCGTCAGATGTCGCAGCCACCGATGGAAACCAGCAAGAAACATGGCAGAAGCGCGAAACGAGGCAGCAAGATGTGCTCCTCCGCCGTACCCAAAACCTGCTTTGCCGGCGGGTGGGCCTGCTGATTGGCTGGTCCGCCCGCCCGATTGGAGATGCGAATCTCAATAGGGACACGCTTGGGCGACGTCGATGCCGTTACGCAGTGACGCAGGAGGGGAAAGCAGGCCGGGTGGATCTGCAGCTTTGCAGCTTTGCAGTGCAGGTTTGCAGGTTTACACCAGAGACGGCCCAGTAGAAGTAGTTTGTAGATGACAGGCGAGCAGTGACGAGAGAGGGGCGTGCTTGGATCGTCCCCCACCTTATCTTTCTTTCGCTGACTCGACTGGTTTTGGGCTGGCGTGACTGGCTTGACAAGTTGGACTGGCCTGCCGGGTGACTTCAACATTGCCATCTCCACCTTGGCGTTTGGCTCGCATTTCGCATTTCACATTTCGCATTTCACATTTCGCATTTCCAATTTCTGCCCCTCCCTCCCGCACGCCTCTTTACTCGCCTCAACTCACCTCATCTCCTCCCCCTCCCCTCCGCTCCTCCGGTCCTCTGCCTTCCTCCACCCAGACCTGGATAGCGCCGCCGACCGGTGCACGCCGAGTCCAAGACGGCCACTTCACACCAATTGCACCGGCCCTTGTTGTCGGTCCGTCTGCCTCGGCCCCCCTAGTCCACCGCTCGCGACAGCATGGACGCCGACCATGACTCGCCCGCGGATAGCCCGCTGGAAGGCGAGCTCGGTCCCTCAATCCAGGAGCCCTCCTCGCCCAACAATTTGAGCCATCATGCGTCAACCCCGTCTCTCCTTCCGTCCCGCGATCCCACCACCGGTATCACAGCGTCTTCGACGCACTTGGGCCAGATCAACGCCGCGCGGCGTGGCGCGGGGACCCCGCCACGCCCGCAGCCATCGATGAGTGCCCAAGGTGTCACAGGTCTGAACCAGGATATCATGGCCAAGATGAAGGCCTTTTCCCTCTCTCGGCAAGGCATCCCACACAATGCTTCCACGGGGACAATACCCACCTCGCACGAGGCCGGCGTTGGCGGCGCGCTCGTCGCCCGCATGCCGCCGCCTGTCACCAGGCCCAACAACAAAAATTGGGCCTCCTCCCCCGCGATCACTGCTCAGGCGTCCAGTCCCGCGTCTCCGCGGCCAGGAGGATTGGCGGCCAAGCGCATGAAACCTGGCCTCAAGCTGTCGGATGTCACGGGCGGGACTCCGCCACCGGCGAACGGGACGGAGCCGGAGAAAGAGACAGAGTCGAATGGGGGATCAGTGTTCAGCAAATACTCTGAATTCATCGACACGAAAGCTGGGACCTTGAATTTCAAGAACAAGGCGATTCTGCATGGCGGTGGCGTCGAGTTCTCTTCGGGACACAGTTTCAAGATTTCATTGGACGAAGTCGATCGATTAGATGAGTTGGGCAAGGGCAACTATGGCACAGTCTATAAAGTACGGCACAGTCGTCCACACCTGCGAAAACCCGGCATGGGCTTGAGTGGAATTGTCAGTCGACCGTCGGGCCAGGACGAGACTAGTCCAGAAGCTGGGCGCCAGGATGCTCTGTCTGGCGTGATCATGGCGATGAAAGAGATTCGACTCGAGCTGGATGAGGCCAAGTTCGCACAGATCATCATGGAACTGGATATCCTTCACCGCTGCGTCTCACCCTTCATCATCGATTTCTACGGCGCATTTTTCCAAGAAGGCGCAGTTTACATGTGCGTCGAGTATATGGATGGCGGTTCGATTGACAAGACCTATCAAGGGGGCGTGCCCGAGAATATCCTGCGCAAGGTAACTCTATCCACCGTCATGGGATTAAAGGCGCTCAAGGACGAGCACAACATCATTCACCGTGACGTCAAACCCACCAACATCCTGGTCAACAGCAGGGGACAAATCAAAATTTGTGATTTCGGTGTCAGTGGCAACTTGGTCGCTAGTATCGCCAAGACCAACATTGGATGCCAGAGTTACATGGCACCCGAACGAATTGCGGGCGGGGGTATGCAGCAGTCGGGCGCCCCGAGTGCCGGGACATATAGTGTGCAGAGCGACATCTGGAGCTTGGGCTTGTCAATCATTGAATGCGCGATGGGACGGTATCCGTACCCCCCAGAGACATTCACCAATATATTCAGCCAGTTACACGTGAGTATTCATGTGTATTTTCTGATTCTGCTTTGTACTGACATTTGAAAAGGCAATTGTCCACGGCGACCCTCCTACCCTTCCTGCCGAGGGATACTCCGAAGAAGCGCACGCATTTGTTAAAGCCTGTCTTGACAAGAACCCCAAGAACCGCCCATCCTACAGCATGCTCCTCCGCCACGTCTGGCTTGCACCCCTCATGCGCCCACCAACCGAAGCCGATGGACCACCCGCCTCCCAACTCCCCGAACAATCTGCGTACGGCGAGAACTCCCTGTCGTATATAACCGAAGACAAAGAAGTCGCCGAGTGGGTTCAGAAACAACTGGAGCTTCGTAAAGTTGGCCATCTGAACTCTGCTAAGCAACCAGCTTTGCACGCCGTGGCCCTTGATAAAGTCGCCACCAGCCCCATCCACGAAGAGACTGAAAGCCCAGCCCAGACTGACTGAGCGCAAGCAGCGAGCTCGCTGGAGACTCTGCAAACTTCTTATTCCCCCGAATCAGCCTTATCTCTTGATACATCCCGGGGCTGGAACTTGGCCCTTCTCATGGCATAGGCGCCGTCTTCGATAACATGCACACGGGATGCCTGTTGATACACATCGCATTTTAGAATCTTCTGTGAGCTCAACGGCACCTCTAGCCTGTCGGTCTATCTCTCCCTGCCCATTCTTCTGGTCTTGGGCCAACACCGTATTCGCCGGCTATCTATTCACATGCCTGTATTTGTGACCTACGCGGCTCACGCTCAATCTGGATCTGTGGGAATATTGGAACTGTCATGCGAGGATTTGTGCTGCCTGAGATGAGGTGCTCTGGTCACGCCGAGCACGATGGTGTGCTTGCGGCATGTGGTTTTTTTGGTTTTAGCGTAGCCCTTCCATGCTGCTACACGATAGTTGGAACACATAGGAGTGTGTTCTCCATTTAATCATCCTGGCAGTCTTCCATTACATACGGTGGTCCCTGTCTATCTAGGACAGGGTGGGCTAGCGCATGTATCAATGCTGGCTGAATGAATCATGCTACTGTACACTGTGATAAACTGCGGCTCGGCCCTTTACATACCCGCGGCTTCCGGTACGTCCGTACATCTATACATAGTAGAAGGCGTACAGTCGTGTTCCAAATGTATTCGACCCCTAGTACATTCTAACCTACACTGCCATGTACAAACTACCTACTACTACTACCAGGAGCCACATGCTACTACACGAAAACACGTTCCTCTTATGAGGATTAGACCGCGTCTTAGCTGGGACCATTTTAGTTATCTCACAGAGACTATGCTCCATCGTGTTGCTGATATTATTAAATATGAAAAGGCTAGTATGCCTGTCCGTTCCCCTCGCCAGCTGGCGGGCCCCCTACTCTGTTGCCTTCAATTTGCATCCTTCGATCATTTGCTAAATACTCCTTTCAACAAGGCATGCAGGAAACATCGCCGAATTACGGCGTCAGCTTGAAGAACAACAAAGGCTCTGAGAAGTGGCAGAGCGCCGCCAAGAAGAGGCAGAACGGCGACTCCAACCCCACACATTGTTTGGCCTTCTCGGTCGCTGCTGCCACATCTCTCTGTCTCAAGCGATCCGAGTTGAGACGGATGCGACCCTCACGACTCAGGGCGAGGTGACTGACCTAGTGAACAGACTTTCCCCCAAGCGCATAGTCTGTTGGCGTAGTACTAAAACTACAGAAGTGATACTCCTAATAGTTCTGCTCCTAGGTGACTAATATTAAAGCCTATTAGGAGGAGAGGAACAAGCTAGGCGTCAGATCGAGGGGTACCTCCGGTAAGATTAAAGGGGCAGTGCGTCAGACTACAAGCCAAGGCGTAGTGGCCTATAGAAGCGAGAGCGAAAGGAAGGAGTTAGAAAAAGGAGAAAGTAGGTCGAGACGGCGAGGTCGGGTCTTTTATATTAAAGCGACTAACAGGGAGGATACAGGATAGCGTATTGGGGTGCTATTGTAGGCTAGAAACGACAAAACGAACCATATTCAGTAATTCACAGTTCCGCCGCTTACATGTCCAATTTCTGCTCGTATCAAGACCCAAAACTAATGAAATCAAGGGACAGCACCAGACCTGCCCTAGGGATTATTATTGATTAGATTATCGTTCTCGAAAATCTCAACTTGCCCCCAGGCGTCCATTCCACCTAGTAATGATGGCGCGGACGCCTTGGCTTCCTTTTCTCGGATGCCCATTGAACATGTCGCGCACAACACGGACATCATCGAATGTGGTTTCATACAGTTCCATGTCAAATTCCCTGAAAATGGTCGCGATTGCCATGAGGATCTCTGCTTTTGCGAGACTAATGGACGACTGTTAGTGCGCTGGATAAGTTTGAGGGGAACGTCCCAGAGAATGACACGTACGGAATACCGATACACTGCCTGGACCCTTTGCTAAAAGCGACCAGGTATCTTTCAAGGCGATGCCTTTCTGTCGGGTCCATCCATCGGTCCGGGATAAATTCTTCCGGATTGGGGAAGATGTCTTCGTTGTTATGTATCAATAGACTGGTCATACCGACCGGTACCTGGGATCAGTGGTCAGTAGGAGTAAATTTGAACCAAAAACGATAGAAGGACGGCGGAAGATTACCCCAGGAGGAATGACCCAGTCTTTGTACATCATAGGCTGATCAGGCGAGCTGCGTTGAAGTCGCGTTGCAACACCGAAGGAGACTCTGCACATCGGGGATGAGAAAACCAAACGCGGCCACTTTAGGAGCATAATTTTCATACCTCAGACCCTCCAGCATAACTGACGTCTGGAAGTTTGGTTAGCGACAGGATATTCGACTAAATGTGGGGTTGACCTAGGAATCTCACCAAGTAGGGCATTGCCTCATATTCCACCAAAGACGCCGTCCCGTCGGGATCTAGCCGATTCAACTCCTCGCGGAGTCTCTGAAGCATTTCGGGATTATTCAGGAGGTGGAAAGTGACGGTGGTCAGATTTTTGGCCGTCGTTTCTCCCCCAGCCGCAATAACAGTGAAGACCTCTTGGCTCAAGCGGTTCGCGGTCTTTTCCTCTGGCGGCAGGCTACTTTGTAGAAGCGCATGGAACAATGTGCCTTTGGGTACGCATGCTTTATCGCCAGACACACTATCGGAGTCTTGGCTATCAATGACCAAGTTCGCTAGGCGTATGCTTTCGGCCTTCTGGTCGAGGACGGGTCCGATATCGGGGTTGATGCTCAGGACGAGCCACCGTGGAAAGAGCTCAAAGAGTCCCATGAACCATTGGAATTGCTTGAACTGCATTCCCGCCCGCACAATCGCTTGAATTGTTTTCGACCACTGTGGCGTGAAATCGGGGTCATCAAGATAGTGAAACGAGTCTCCCATGGTGTACTCCACCACCACGTCCGTGGTGAAAGCATTAAATGCATGGTACAGATGGAGTGGGGCGCGCCTATCCTGCCAGGCGCGCATACCCTTGCATAATTTGTCAATCATGCCTCGGATCATTGGCTCTAGTGTTCGAATTCGCTGCTGGGAGAAGAATGGATTCATTGGCTGACGCCGTATCCGATGGCGCCGATAGTCGACTGTCCCAAACGCGGATGCCGGGGCGCCAAACATTCCCGTCAAATGTAAAGACTTGTTTCGCGGCGCGTCTCGCGAATACAACACATCATAGTATTCGGGGTCGTTGACGTGGAGCTCGTAAGGGCTGATTCGCACGATTGGGCCGTACTTGCGATGCATTTCGGCGATTTGAAACGTGTACTCCCCTTCTAGGAATGAATCATAGTAAAATTCATACCACATCGTGAGGGCGGCCAATTTGGGGCCCGGGAAATGAGCGATCGGTGAAAGCCATAGCCGCTGGATAGCCAGCCAAAGCACGTAGGCGGCGCCTGCAACCCCAAGGGACAGCACTGTTTGTGTGATAGATCCATGCCACCAGGCCATGGTCGGGAGGGTAGTGAGCTAAAAGGGAAGAAAATGATTCAGAACCGCTGCAGAGGGCAGGGGGGTAAAGAGGACAATCCTACTTATTTGGCAGCCCGCAGCGCATTTGATGCGCTAGGACTGTTCCCCACTGAAAGCCGTCGGGATCGTATCTAGATTGGCCTAACGATGGGCAGATTGCCCGACTAGAACGTGCATTAACAATGGAATTCACATAGAGTTTTGAGGCAACCGACGAGGTGGATAAGGAAGCCGGGGATATGCACCTGCGGTGTTATTGGGTACTAGACGGAGGCCATGCATTGTGATGTCCCCATGCCCCCCCACCTGCCGTCATGTCGGACCTTCCAGTGGATCGAACCCGCGGGCTCCACTGCAGGCTGCGTTAGGGCCGGCCCAGTTCTTCCCGCTGGCCCCGAGCCGTAGCAACTTCTGATTGGGGTTGGACGAAGTTGGAGGAGTGATAGAGACCCAGTCTGAGCCAGTCTAAGCCAGTCTAAGCCAGTCTAAGCCAGTCTCGCCCAGACCAAAGGCCAATCCCCTTCAGCTTTGCACCCGCTTGTGCCCGTGACTCCACCCCCTTCGTACGCCGCCGCTGCAAGCGTCTCCCCATCGCCCCTCTCCTCGCCTACAACACTCTAGCTCGATATCAACGCCGCTCGATCTAGTCGACGCTCACTTGGCCCTTCTGTTCGTTGGAACGCGCTATCCGCAGTCCTTCCTGCTGCATCCGCCGGGCGCTAGGCTGCTCACAGAACAGCCACCGGGACCGAGTACATACGGGGTTCGATCCTCCGGCCGGCTTTGAGTTTGCGCCCTAGCGTTTGGGCCCGTCTATGTACTTTTGCATCGGATACGTGTGGATTGGCCCGAGATCCGTCTGCAGCCCATTAAAGCAAAGTCTTCCGTGGAGAGGTTTGAGAATAGTGTCAACCCTCCCCGACCTTCAAGCTCTGAAGTTCAGCTTCCCGCTTTCCCAATGGCGGAACCTGAGTCTATCGCGGTGGTATGTGTCGCCCGCCTTTCTTCGCGCCGCAATTAAATGAACTCTTTAGGACCCGGACATCTATGCCATCGAAAGCGCCTACTGCCCCGACGACTGGCAATCGTAAGTTGCTTCGTTCAAACCGTCCTGGGCCCCGAGGCTCATATCAGCTCACCGTGGGCTTTCTCCAGGGAAACCACCTCTATCGGATCAACTATATATCGAGGAATGATAGAGAATGGCAGACGGTAAGGATTCCGGCAATGGACAGGCTAGATCACCGACTAAACCCGACTGGTGGCGACTCCTAGCTATCAAGCACTTCGCAACGAAGAATACATGTAAGTCACGGAACCAAGGAATTAAGGAACGTGCAATTCTCATGCTATACAGCATTCCCGCCGATGACGCGCAATTTGAAGCATATGAAGCGGGGTGAATATTGAGACCTCACACCGGAACCAGGAGCGCATCCACTCACTGTTGCTAGACATCTCGTTGCCCTCATCCTAGAGGCCGATAATGACAACCCATTCTTTCGGTCTCCCATCGGCAGTTCGCCTAACCATATTCTGGATATAGGAACTGGAAAAGGCACCTGGGCTATGTTCGTGTACTCTCATGACCATCTCGAACGCTTTGCGCTAACCCAAGTCTAGTGATGTGGCCGATATGTTCCCTAATGGTAAATTCTTTTCACGTACGACTCGTGCTCCTCCGTCGCTCTAATGTGGGAATAGCCACCGTTCGCGGGGTCGACTTATTTCCGCCGCCAGTCTCCTGGGTGCCCCCCAATTGTGTCCTCGAAGTCGACGACGTCCTACAAGAGTGGACTTGGCACGAGAAATTCGACTTGATTCACATGCGTATTATGATCGGTTCTTTCGGCGAGTCGGAATGGAGACGGGTTTATCAGCAATGTTACGAGTGAGTTGGAAGAAGACGCGAGATCACATCTCGGATGGATAGGTGGCTGACGGGCAGCAGCAATCTGCGACCGGGGGGTTGGATCGAGCAACTAGAGGTTAGTCCAATGATTCAAACCGACGATGGGAGCTTGCCGCCCGACAATATCTTAAACGATTGGGGCCCCAATATGCTGGGCTGTGGCGATCGTGCCGGTCGCGGCATCGACACCTTCGACACCATGACTACCAAGATCCAAGCGGCCGGATTCACCAACGTCCATCAAAAACAATACAAATGGCCTATTGGGCCATGGCCCAGAGACAAGGAACTGAAAGAGGCGGGTATGGTCAATCATCAGCACTGGAACTCCGGTCTGGAAGGCTGGTGTATGTGGTTGCTAACCAGATTTGGCGCTCCCCATCCTTGGAGCCAGGAGGAAGTCCAAGTGTATGTGGCCAGGTTGAGGAATGAGCTATTGAACCCACGTTTTCACATATGGCACAGAGGGTATGTATCCATGCTGGGGCTGTTTCTTCTTCTTCCTCCCACTTTGACTTTATTCTCTCTTCCGTTCGCTTGGACTGACTTTCGACTTCCAGACGGCGAGTGTGGGCACAGAAGCCATTGACTCCCGATACACCGACGAATAAATTCCCATCAGGAGGGCATCGTTAGCAAATGGCGCTTTCGTTTCATGTACTCAGACCAATGGGTCCCACATAAGGGATGATCTAATGAGTTAGGGGGTTTTTCAATCTGAAACCTGAGTTCTGCTCAGTCTGGATCATGCCATTGGACCGAGTATAAGACCTCTCCACAAGGCAGAAGAGAAGATGCTACTGGGAAACCGAGTGACCACATTGGAGAAGTGAAGGCTGCATGATCTTTGTACCGTAGTTAATTCCTAGGGCATAATCTCCAGGAGCCAGGAGAGTTCTGAAACACGGCAAGCTCCGAATCTCCATCAGAGGAAGATCTCCCGGATGTGGCCCCAACCCGCCACATCCGCCCGCCCATCCGCGCCCCCTCTCATTCACCGCTTTCCCACCTGCTTTGAACCAGTCCCCTATCTATTTACGTGCCGTGGAACAGTGGTTGAGTCGGATCAGTCTTACGCGTTCCTTCAATCTTTGTGAGGGGGCAGAGTTCCCAGTTGGACGGTGGTTTCTATTTAAAGACCCACAGCGTGACGACAGAGCTAGTCTGCAGTGCGTCGGTCCGCCACAAGCGCCAACCACCGCCAACCACCGCCATCTCCTCGATCAACATGGGTCAGAAGTCCTCCGTCCCACAGCCGGGCACAAAATTCCAGGTCATCGGCGCAGGCCTCCCACGCACGGGCACAGCTTCATTCAGCAGAGCATTAGAAATCCTCTGCGATGGGCCCGTGTTCCATTGCGGAACCCAGGCCACTTTAGGCCCCACTATCCAAATAAAGCAATGGATGGAGATTCTCCGACGATGGCTAGCCGGGACTGATTCTGATCGAGAGATCATGTTCCAGACCCTACAGAGCCAATTGGATGGATATGCAGCCGTGACCGATTCCCCCGGTTCCCAGTTCGTGCCCGAGTTGATGGAACTGTATCCGGACGCCAAGGTGATATGTACTGTCAGGGATGCTATCTCCTGGGAGAAGAGCATGGATCAGGTCAGGAATGCAACGGTGCCCTGGTACCTTCACTTGGTTCTCTTGCCGCTGCCGGGCCTGAGGTACTTCATCCCCTATCTCCATCTGCTGGCCGCCCAGTGGGAGAAACTGTATAGCGAGGCCATTCCCACCCGCCAATCATATCACCGTCATATCGCCTGGCTCAAGGAAGTTGTCCCGGAAGATCGACTAGTGTTTTTCGAAGTGAAGGATGGCTGGGAGCCATTGTGCAAAGCTCTCGGCAGAGATATTCCGAAGGATCAACCGTTCCCGCACATAAACGATTCTGATGCCATTGCTGCAATTTCTAAGATGCACATACAACGTGGTCTTACTCGTTGGGCAGCTATTCTCGCGGTTGGTGCTGCTGCAGTTGCGTGGGCAGTGCGCACATAGAATGAAACGTGGAGTGGGCAATGGGATTCCTGCTATGCTACAGTACAAGAGAACAAACCCTATGATTCATGGAGAGACAATATACTAAGCAGATGTATTCGGCATCTCATTCTAGCCAATGATATAACGACCTAGCTAGCTCATATGAACCTCTCCCTCCCGACTAGATTTACAAAGCGCATTCCCTGGGTGAATTCAGCAGACCATCACTCATTATCTTGACAGAAGTCAGTGATGTTCTTCAAAGATACCATTGCAAGCGGCAAATATACTTTCTTCGTTGCTCTAGCTCGCGCGACCTTCGTGGAAACACCACATTTACTGTTGAATTGGTCACTATGTACAAAGCAAGACATCTTGACCATTATATCCATTGTTCTGGTTTCTTCATCGCCTTTATCCTCCCCGGTGAGGCATGGCGTATTGTTTACCAAGAGTCTACAGTGTGAGCAAGACTTCTTCTTCAAATTCCAAAAGGCAATTGCTTCTCATGTATAAGCATTTTGTTATGAGTCAACACTTCTATAGAGGCTGTTTCTTCGTTTGAACAGTCGAGTTCTTGTCGGCAGGTTTATGCTAGATTATAGAGCTTGAAGTGCAATATTTACATCCGTTGGGAACTTGGAATTGGCCAGCCCCAAACCAGATAGCTCAGTCTTCATTTCTCGAATTGTGACAATTCAGATTGAAGTTCGGCGTGAGCCCGTTCACAGTCTCTGGGATCTGTTTTGCCAAGGAATTATCGACATTGAGGAACCTCAGCTCCGCTGGCTTGCGGCCGCGTGCGGCGAGGCTAAGCTCTCCCTGAACGTGGGAAGAATATGTGCACGGGTTTGCGTTCTTGCCATTAGATAGCCAGATTCGCTTCAGGAGTCTTGCAAATCGACTACTTATATGACAGTCGCTAGTTGGAGCTTATAAAAGGACCTCAAAGTAGTTTTCAGGCCCGCTGTGTACATAGAATGGATGAGGGTGTATGGACTCGATTACTAGATTGCTTATAGTCTATCTCAACAAGTTTACCGCAGAGTGACCAGCTCCTCGGCGCTAGTGGGGTGAATAGCCACGCAGCTATCGAAGTCCTGCTTAGTAGCGCCCATTTTCACAGCGACACCGAAGCCCTGGAGCATCTCGCCGACTCCAAGACCAAGAATGTGCAGGCCGACGACCTTCTCCTGGGGACCGGCGCAGATGATCTTCATCTCGGTTGGGTTTTTGGCCTTCTCCTCAGCGGGCATCACGCTGTAGTACATGGCAGTGAACTTGGTGTGGTAGATCTTGATCTTGTCGTCGCCGTACCGCTCGCGAGCCTCGGGCTCGGTGAGGCCGATCGAGCCGACCTCGGGGTGGGAGAAGACGACAGTGGGGATGTTCTCGTAAGAGAGCTTGGAAGTCTTCAGCTCAGGAGGGCCGAAGATACGGTTGCCGAGTTGGCGACCGGCGGCAATGGCAACTATAATACAGGTTAAATTGCTGAAAATTGAGACAGGGGTATTCAAACGTACCTGGGGTCAGCTCAGCCTGACCAGTAACATCACCGAGGGCATAGACACCCTCAACTGAGGTGTTCTGGTACTCATCTACAACAATATGGCCACTGGGATTCAGCTTCACGCCAGGAATATCTAGGTTCAGGTCCTCGATCTCCGGGGAACGGCCAACAGCCCACAGAACTTCGTTGACCTCCAGCTCGACACCATCGTTTCCGACCAGCTTGATCAATTTGTCCTTGCCCTTGCCATCGCGGAGGAGCTTGATTTCCTTGAAGCCGGGATGCTTGCGGTGAAGCTTAACACCAGCAGCCTCATACCGATCAGTCATGGTTTGCTGGACCATGGGGTCGAACTTGCGCAGGAAGTTCTCGCCGCGGATGAACATGTGAGTCTCAACATTGACGGCGTTCATGACACCAGCCAGCTCGACAGCAATGTAGCCAGCGCCGATAACGGCGACCTTGGGGGCAGCTCCTCCATCTCGAAGAAGCCGTCGCTGGTAATGCCGTGCTCGGCACCCGGCACAGTGGGAATGGTAGGCCGGCCACCGGTAGCAATCAGGATGTGAGGTGCGGTGTAGCGGGCAATAGTGCCATCAGGCAGGCCCACCTCGATAACCTTGGGCTCCACGAACCGGGCGCGGCCGTGAACGAGGTCAATGCCTTCCCGGTTCCAGTTGCGCTCGTACGCGCCATTCAAGTTCTTAATGACAGCATCACGAGTGTTCTTGAAGTAGTTGTAGTCAATCTTCGTGCCCTCGGGAATATCGTAGCCGTAGTGCTTTGCAAGCTCAATCGTTTCGTTGACAGTCGCAAAGTTCCAGGTCATCTTCTTGGGAACGCAGCTGGGTGTTTCGGTTAGGACGGGATCAGAACTCCAGTACGAGTACAAATTAAGGTCGCAACAGTGAATCTAACACTTACCCAACGTTCACACAAGTACCGCCAGATCGGCCACTCTCAACAATCAAGGTCTTTGCCTTATACCAACCTGCGGCCCGCCGGGCGCTGCCACTGCCGCCGCTTCCACCACCAAGGACGATGTAGTCATACTGTTGAACCTCGACAGGAGCCATTGTGGAGGAATCCTTGCTCTCAGAAACAGGGGACGACGAAAAGTGCCGGGAGATAGAAGAAAGACGAGAGCTGGGGGTAATTGGGGTGGTCGAGGAGGAGCGGTTGATGGTCGCCAGGGTTCGGTTCACGGTCGGCCGCGGACCGGTATGAATGTGCCTGGTAATGGGATACCGGGTCAGGGAGAGAGCTGCGAAAGCTGATCCGGGATGAGGGGATGTGAAGGGAACGGGAGAGCATGGAGAGGAGGGGGGGAAGAGGAGCGAACGGCGGGGCATGTACAAGCAGCAGGGTAGGAAAAAGAGCTGACAAAAAGGTACTGCCCCCGATTACGATATCGCCGATTGCCCGATACCGCGCCGGGGGGACTCCGCTTGGATAGCACCGGAGGCCGAGACCACGTGATGACAAATCGAGTTCGATCACGGCATTTGTGTACTATTTCAAAGCACACTGTTCACAGGCGCGAACAACAATCAACATCGTAAATATAGCTTCGAGAGCGAACTGATCGACCAAAGAAGGATTTATCACCCTGGAGGCCTTATAAAGAAGGCGCATGGAAATCACAAGATGTGTGAAGCGGATGTCTGTTTGGTTATTCGGATTCGAAAGTCATGTCAGCCTTTCTATTCTCAGCCGATGCATTCATTGGCTCATCAATAGTATGTCGAAATTTGATGCATAGTAAAGAATATGCTAACTTTAGGTCTCTTATTATCCTGCACCGGTCCAAAAAATGTAGTAAACCCTAGTTACTCGTTTCCAAAAGGTTCCTTTTAGGTTGTCAATCCGATTGTCTATTTCCTATACGTTTTTTTCAAGCTTAAGTATGCTAAGGTCTGCCTTACGCGGCGGCATTTATGGCAGAAAAGAGTGGTCAAGTAGAAGACGTTTTCAAGTGAACGTCGTGAGACAAAGGGGAATGACAGACTCGCTTGTCCGTGTTCTCGCTGCTGAACTTGGGACGAAAAGATGAAATTCCACATATTCGGTGACTGGTGCTCCACAGGGACAGCCTTTTCTCTGCACACGGGGGGACCCGCCCGCTAGCGGGTTACATTGGCGACTCTTGCGGTAGCGTGGCAACACTTCAAGGCTAAATAAAGGGTGCCGCACCCTAGGTACGTTTTCCAGACTTACCCTCCAAAATAACCCTACATTCATCTCGACTCAATGGAAAACAACAACCAAGAATTTCATTTCTTCTCCCAGCTACCTACGGAGTTGAGACTTGCTATCTGGCGGATATGCCTCCCCAACCGCGTTGTTGAAATAGACTATCCTTGGGACGAAGGCGTTAACTTCTATCCTAATCTGCCGCCATGTAAGATGCAGCAAACGACCAATATCAACCGACGCACGCCAGTGATTAGCCGTGTATGCCGTGAATCGCGCCTGCTCGCTTTTGAGACTGGCTATTATCGAGATGAAGGCTGGCCTCCACAGGGGGCGCCGTGGAAATCCAATCTCCTGGTTGAGAGAACGTGGCTCGATCCCCTGTCGAGACATAATACACTTGAACTGGACTCCGTGCTATAGTGCTGGATATTGTGGACAAGGAAGTGCCCTTGAATTTCTAGCTTTTAATACGGCTAAAGCTCACGGGGGCTCTTTTATGTTTGACTATCTTGATAATACGCTCGATGGAGAAGTCTATCTTCGAGAGCGGATCGGGGCCCTCCAGAAATTACAATATGGAGGTGTTGTGATGCATCTTATTATCGTGCGTACCACGTTCGAGACTGCGGCGAAGACAGGCTTGTTTGGACTTCTCGGTGATGCCTATATTCAGCTTGTCGATATATCCGACGAAGCGAGACTCAATGCCTTGTTCGATTTTGCCGAGAAATGTGAATCTGAAGCCAACGGATCCATTACTAGTAAGCAAGACTTTCGCAGACAGTCTCCAGAGTAAGTCAAGAAAATTTTAAACGACAAGCTCGCGAAGACATTCGGAGCCCAAGCTACTCAGCAAATATCTCTGCGCCCGAGCATCATGTTCAGATTCTGCCCCCAGTTCTGCAATCATTCCATGGGGAGTTTTCCAAAGGCCAAGATGTTGCCAATAATCGGGTTGGCAACGGGAGGCATTCCCTGCCTGTAGGTAGACAAACCTTCAGGTCCTTCATCGAGTCCTTAAACACGAGGTAAAACCTGAGCTCGAATATTCTCAATCAAAGTTAAACTACATGAACACCCCTCGGTGAGATAATTCATGATTCTTACAATTGTCACAAGTCTCCGAGCTTCTTGGCTCGATCGAACCAGACAACTGGGATGCCGAGGACTTTGGTCATGTTATCTTCTCTGCGGCGGTTGGCTAGTTCTTCGAGGTATTCGTCTGAGGCCTCAGGGATGGGTAGGTAGTAGAATGCAACTGCGAGGAGGACGTCGAAGAGGGCGATGCCGAGATATGTCCATTGAAGATTGGTTCCGCTACAAGGGCCATACCTTCGAAGTGAACATATACGATCCATTCCAAAGAACACATGCCAAGTGGGAGTGGAAAGCCAGCACAGCGATCAACCATCAACTCGAGGCTCATGAGGGTAGTTCTCAGGATTGTGAGAAGTGTGGAGAAGTACCGGATGAACCGCTGAGAAAAGACTACTTTCCTGAAGAGCCTCGCAGTAGCCTATTGAGTGAAGTTCTGGCCTCCGTGATTGGCGGGGGACACTTGGATGGAGTAATTTGAGATTCGGATTCTCGCTGTTGTAAGAAGATTTAGCGCAGCTAGTGCTATAATTCGTCGGTCATATTATTGCTCCGATTTGATTACTATGACTCGTTATTAGATATCTTAGCTACGAGTAGTCATTGCGGTCTTTTCTCAAAATCAATAAGTGTGCGATCAGATATTAGCATGTTGTTCACGCTGACCTCGGTTTGTAAGACACAGTTAAAGAGAGAAACAAGAAACATGGAAGATTTATGGGAGAGGTAGACCAAGAGCCGGTAAAGTTAAGCAGGAGACAGTTCTATGTACTCTTTGCGTATGGTTTAGATAGTAAACAATATGCTGACTTTAGGTCTCTTATTACCACCCTGCACCAGTCCAAAAAATAGAACGGGACCTAGATAATTGAGCGGGGAACAGATTTGGGGCATTTTGTTTGACCGCGGGTCCATTACAGGATTAGTTTTGTGTGCATCTCATTCTCTGCTACTTGGTGTTTATCTTCTATACAATGTAAAACTATATTTCAGACAGGCTCCTCGCTCGCATGGCCCTCCGATGGAAGGCAACATACCTGTGCCATATTTCGCGCGCCGACACTGCCTATAACATGATTGAATTCCAACCTGAACCCACCCAAAGACCAAATCGAGGTGTAGCTGCTTCTGGAGCGAGAGGTGGATATCACTATTGTGGACACGGTGGATGAAATTCCAGCCCACGCAGCCTCTGCTAATAGGCAACAGCTCTATCAAGAGATATCACGTTTATGACAACATTAGAGGCCGGAAGTGCCGTGTTAATCATCAGTGAGGTCAATAACTCTAGCTTTCCCTTTCCCGACGTCAATCTCATGTGCCCCGTAACGCAAATCCCTATGTCGTTTGGTGGCAGGCCCAGGCCCTTCGCTACCCGATCTCTTCATCTGCCTTGCCTTTGGTTCATTGCGGTCTTCCTCCAAAATACTATCCAGCTCCTCAAGAGCACACTCGAGATTCGCGATCGTTGTATCATTGTCCCCATGAACTTCGCGACGGTGAGTCAAGTATTCTTCTTTGTCTTTCAGGGGATAGCCCGGACTTTCCACTGGGCCACATTGCCCTTTCACGCAGTGGAAGAAGACAGGCCCGTCATCTTTGTTGGTACCAGCATATTGTCGAACAGCTTCCTTGAAGTGAAATACAGCCCTTTCCCGAAGCCTGTCCTGAATATCCCCAGTGAAATACTTGGCCCAACCAGCCAGGTGCAAAGACGTACTATGCATCGGTACAACCGGCTTGCCATACTCCTCGATCAGTTTCTGGAACTCAGCTGTGAAACCATCCACGGCCATTTTATGGGCCAGGAATTCCGCGTCACTGATATAACATAACCTACCAAATGCATGCCAGGCCTTGAGATGCCGAATAACGAAATCTCGATGGTCTGTCACTCCCCAAGAATGTATCTGGTCCACCAACGACAGGAGCTCCCATGCTTTGCGCTTTGTCACAACCCGGCTGCTCCAGATTCTTTGAAAAACCTGTGTGCTGACTGTAAGTCTATCGAGATAATCTTGGCTTCATGGGCCGCCCTTACATAAACAGAGTCGCTGAGTCCTCGGTGTCCGGCATATTCTTTCTCCAGACGTGGTCGCTTATAGCCCACCAAGATATGCCAATGAGCTCCAAACGACGTGAGAACAAACACCTGGTGATTGCAGCTCTGTGCTGTTTGGTATGGTCTGTTGTTTCCGCCAGCTATACCTGGTTTTCTCGCCAGGTTATCCAACATGTCAAGATAAACAGCTCCTGCTGAACTGGCTTGATGACGAGCTTCTCGAGGGTCACCACTCCATCCCTTCGCTTCATAAACCGCAAACGGGAAAACTAAGTTTGTATCTCCCCAATGTGGGTCGGCGATAAGACCACAGTGTCGATGAAGAAGGAGTGCTTCGAGGCGGTCATGATCCAAATCCCATGCATCCAAAGATTCGGGATAGTCTGGATAGTCTGTGGGTTGGAAAGTCGCAAGGCCAAAAGTGGCGTCCGGTATTCTCCTGATAAATTTCGGTTGCCCATCTAGAAGACATGACGCTTTATGCCGTTTTTCCTTGATTGTGTTGTACTCGCGTTTGTCGCTTCATTTAATCGATCAGACATTATAGTTCCACTTGGACGAGAGAAACTCACACTACCAGCGATGGGTCATCCCTCATCCTACCAAAGACATCTTGCCAGGCATCGGCTTCCCAAGCATATTCGCTTTTCTTGAATCTTTCGTTGTCTAGAGAATGTTTGAGAAACTTTTCTGCTCTGGCACGGCGACTGTCCTCGCTGGCATGGCTCCAATGCACGTCACAAACCGAAGGAAGCCAGAGATCATGACCTGGTGTGACCCAAGCTCGTGAAAAGTGATGACGGTAATATATCCCTCGAGCATTAAATCCCCAGTCCGCACCAAACCGCTCTATCATGTGGGGAGGCACGGCTTCACCAGGTATGAGATAGCTTCAACGAGTTAGCTTGTTCGTACTCGATACGGAGATTAGGGCAGGGGTTGTACTGCTGAGCACCAATGTAGAATCTTTCCAATGCTTGTTCAAGATCGTCATCTGTTCTTCCTTCCCTTTTCGTCATATCGACAGGTGGCCACATAAAATGTACATCCAGTATTGTGGGGGAAGGAAGCCTCTTCAATGTTTGAGTTCTCGGATCTGTTGAAACAGCCTTGCGCGGTTCTCTTTCCATTGGGCACGATAATCTTCCTTTGTAATGTCAATTGCGTTGTTTGTCTCAGATTTCCACGTTCGTTCTCTAATGAATGAAGGGTCCCGGATCAATGGCCCGTCGAGGCTCCTCTCCCAAGGTTCCGGCTCTTCGGCTTGAGCTGATGCAACAGGTCTCAAACGAAGGACGGGCCTAGCCGCCTTCGTGATTTCCATTTCCAAGTCCCTTTGAAAATATAGAAATAGAAAGCGAGAAGAGATGAAATTTTTTGGGGTTCAGCACACTATAATCATTGCAGTGCGGAAGAAAAGGGATTGGGGCCATGGGCAGATATAGGTAAGAAACCGGCAGGGCAGGTCTAAGTTTGAATGCAAAAGAGGATCGGCTCTGGAGCGCATGACGGCCTTTCCGGCGTGCCTGCCTAGTCCCGAACCCCATTCCGCCGGGGGGTTTCATTCGCTGAGTCCACTGCTCTTATCGAACACCTTTGGCTCTTTCGAACCATCGATCAATATTGGCTAAATATAGTGCTAATGGAACAAAAACGCCACAGGGCAATGAGTTCACCTCAAGATAACCCTCATTCTCCACACCCAGGCCATTTCACGCACTCGGCCAACAAAGCGTCAAACCTGTCCAGTCCCAATTCGAGGCCGAGCCGCCAACTGCTCCACCGCGCCGTGTATGTCCTCCCGGGCACGTGCACTCCTTCGGAGAGTCAGCCTCGCAGCCTGTGGTCCTAGGGATTGCCATTAAGGGCATCCGCAGTGGAGAATGTTGACAGACCCACGCTAGCGGATTGATTGTATCACCGTGGCCCTCCCTATGTGGCAGGAATGCAATCATCCCGGCCTTATGGGAACTTATACGCACACCAGCGCCTGTCTTTGTCTTTACAAGGGCTTACTATGCTCTTGCAAAAAAAAAAAAATGCGGATCATTTGACAACTTTACAATGAGTAGATGTTAGCAGCTATAACGCCATCCTTAGTACTCCGTAGACGTGCGCGAGAGCTCAGCCACCGCCCCACCCGCCGGCCCGGCGTCCTACCCGACGGCCAGGGCCTGAGCGCACCGTAGGCAGCGGCGCTAATCAGTTTCGGCGGGAAATGGACGAACCTGAATTGGTCACTACACAACAAGAGGTGAGTTGCGGCCCCAAAACTGTGGAGGCAGCGAGGCTCCAAAGAATATCGATAGGGCCTAGTCTGGTCATTTAATCCTTGCATCATTGAGGCGAAATGCTGCCTTTGCTCTCCTACCCAGGGTGGATACCAACCAATTCAATTCCCACTCTGCAAACACGATCTACAATTTCTTTTTGATACATGCCCCCCATCCTGGCCCTCAAGCCGACCTGCGGTAGCACTTAGACCTACTACCGGAACCCGCTGCACATTGACTCTGATTTGAAGATACTCTCAGACTGCGGAGTCAGGCAGGATTGGCGAGGCGAGTGAATTGCTGCCCTGAAACCGTAGGACACCAAATAGTGTCGGCAGGAAATGACTCGGATGGTCAGTCCTGCAACAATTATCGGTGCCAACGTAGCGAGATGCTGCTTGTCCCCTCACTTTTGGTGAATGATACGTACCAATTGAATCCGCGCTCTGCAACGCAAGAGCTACAAAACGTCGCATCCAGATTTAGCCCCACGGCTAGATTATGAAGACAGACGGTCGGTTTCTTTAATGGCACTACGGTAAGTCTAGGGCTATTCTTGTCGAATGAAGTCATCCAACTCCGTGCCGTTCCCTGGTCGGTTTTAATGGGGGCGCTTAGGTGATCTATCACCATGTTCCAAAGCGTGATAGGTCCAGTATAAATCCAGCACGCCCGATAAATACACCGTACAAGGGTTCGGGAGATACCTCACGGAATAGGTAACTAGTGACTCGATGTTCAGGTAAAGATGTACATATGTAGATAATATAGAGGCAGGAGGCTCAGTCTGATTGGGTATATATAGAAAATGAAATAATTCGAGTGAATGAACGGCAAGCTTCCCAGAAATTAAAAGCCCCGGTATGGAGAGCAGGATGGACGGTTGACGCCTCCTAGGCCCGGCAATTCATAACAAAATAATTATGAATAAAACAAAAGTTGTTGAGAATAGATATAAGAAAGATAAAAGAAAGTGGGTGTGTTTCGTTTCAAGAGCAAACAAGAACCAGTTCTCGAGTTGACTAGTTGAGGTGGTGTCCGTAGTACAGCATGAAGCAGTATGTCGCGAAGACAAGGATGAGAGGTAGAGGGCGCAGCAAATGATTCAGCATGACTGTTGGGTTCATGGCAATAATGCGCGATATTCAATGTGTCAACGTGGATATGGTGCCCGCAGATTGCTCGGAGAGGCGGCATGATCAGCGTGATATCCCCCGGAAATTGCCATTTGTTTGGTAGTCAAAAATAGAGTCGTGGGAGGCACACTTTTGCTGGACTTGTTGGTGGAGCTTGCGCGTCCCGACGCCGGTGTTCAGAACGACACAAAGGGAGCGAGGTAGGCGCAAGAGAGTGTTGATGGTCTTCACACACCCGCGGCGATATATATGACAGAGTTAAAGGGGGAGATAGATCACACTGTCGCTGGCGTTTGGACGCAACCATTGTCTTCGGACTGTAGACTGGCATCTTGGAGGCGGACAAGGTCGGGGGAGGGGTATCGAGTATGTCCTGCGGAGTGACTCGGAGATGTCGCTCAGACGGATTGTAACTGAGACACTTCATCATACGTCCGCAGCGACCCCGTGATGTTTCATCTAATTATCTGGCTGGTTTTCTGCTGTTCCACAGCTTGACCAGACCACTAGCGGGAGTATGCGATGACGGCGAAGGAGATGAGGCAGATGCAGAGCGGGATGTAGACGCTGCGTTCCATATCGGCGGGGTTCTCGACGGAGGTACGCTTCTTCATGGCTCTGTAGTTGCCTGAGTATAGGAAGAGGGATAGTTGTCCAGAAGTACAGAGGGACAATCCATCAGTTCATGGGAGGGGGGGGATTGAGGTGGGAGGGGGTGGTGTTTATTTCGGGGCGCCAATCAGTGACGGTCGACACTCTGATCGGTGATTAAGTAATCGTTGGGACTCAACATGGGCCATCACATGATGCCGATTGGATGACGCCTGGCGGGGCGGCACTGGCGGCGTGGACGCTGTGGAGTCCCTGCAATGTGGCAGTGTCCTGTGGGTTGGCTGCGGCAGTCTTCGGACACACCGCCAGAAGGAAAGAAAGGAGATGAACGAATGGAATAGCCCCACGTGACTTGGGGACCTGCAGTAGGGTTTCCGCCATCCCCGGATTTTCAGTGCACCGTGCGAGAGAGAAGAGCGATGAACTCGAAAAGGATCAAGATGGGATGATTCCAGTTACTACCTGGATCAATATTTTACATTGCACGACTGATGTGCGAAATATCTGACTATCTCTTCTACTCGCAAACACCAGAAGGTGCTAGCCAACGAGCCCATTTCCAACCAGCCGACCCACTGTCTGACGACTTGGGATGAACCTATCCCTTGGCAAATCCAGCCCAAACCCAACGATGAGCTCACAAGAACCCGAACGTGCCTTGGCCCGGTCAGGAACCACCGGGATGATTGCATTGTGCCTGGCGACACGCACGAGCGGCCCTTGTTTATCGGGCTACTCACATTCATGGGAATCGGGAATGTAAGGGGATGCACCAAACCAGCAAGCAACCGCCCAATCAAGGGCCCCATAAATGCCTTCATACCGACGTAGAGGACCGGGCACAGCCTTGCTGGCCAATGGAGCAAGGTGTTTCGGGGTCTCCACGACTCCTGCGTAGCCCTTCACGACGGCGGTGGCTGTCCTAGCAAGCCCCCGAGTATACATCAGCCAACCATCCCAGCCGTCGCCGACCTGCTCCTATCACACCTGGATATCGACAATCTGGCGCTTAGTGCAAGAGCCGTGGATATTCAAGATGCGTGTCTCCGCTTTCGTTATCGCTCTTGCGACCACTCTGGCCGTCGAGTCGTCGGCAAAGAAGATCAACATGTCCTGCAGGTTTGCGGCCGACCATACGGGAATGGTGCAGTACCCCTACTGCTGCCGCGACATGAAGCCCGCGAGGCACAATGCTCAGGCCAACCAGGCCACGGATTGTGCGTTTCCTGGCTCTTATTGAGCCCTCTGTCGTAAACAAAGCATCCGAACATGCTAACATCTTATCTTCATTACAGGCGAGCAGTTGAAAGTACCCCAGCTGTGCGAGGATCAGTCACGCCCTGCTTGCTGCTATACTATCGTGAGTGTCCACCTTGATTATCTATCAACATGGAAGCAAGCGACTGACAATACTTTCATCTTCCAGGGCCCTGAGAAGATTTGCACCTCGCATGTCATCTTCCAGGATGCTGAGGACGTTTAAGTTGGAACATGGGAGTGCTATGACTCGAGGCCATTGCTCTCAACGAATATGATCATTTCTTTCTTTCTTTTTTCTCTCCACAACCTACCGGCAAACACGCGGTGCGCGAGCTCGTGCGATGTCTAAACTGTCCAATGAATAGACGTTGGGGAATATATGCCAGAACAACAAGAAAATCTCAAATACCCATTCTTTCACTTTCGAAGCCCATGACTGTAGACGGAATGAACGACGAGGACAAAGTGGACGGCCAGTAGAGATGCAAAGAGTCATATTATGAGGGTCCGCCATGGCCTCAGAAGCAAGAGTTTATAATAATACTCGAAGAAGAAACGCCACAACCGCAATGCAGAAAAAAAATGCTAAGTCCAGCTCAGACAAGGTCAAGTAAACCATGACAAGGTCATTCCGATTTCACATCTAACATCCGCTCCGTATTCCTCCGAAATAATTTGTCGGCCAAATTTGGTTCGTGAGCGCAAAGATCCAAGCACCACTCGGTGAACGGGCTGATGTCGACACCGGAAAAGCGAGTATGAGGCCAATCCGTTGCGTAGATGACGCGGTCTGGTGCAGCAGCCAGGAACTCGCGTGCCATGGCCTTCAGATCACGCATTTGTCGGTCTTTCGTCAGTCGGTAAGGGGCAGATACCTTGATGTAGGTACTACCGGCACGGAGGAGCGAGATCAACGAGTTGAAGCCCGGGAGGGTATAGGGGTCGAAGGAGGAGCTGTTGGTCGTCGAAGATTGGCAAAACAGCGTGGGGCTTCCGAAATGGTCGATGCAGAGAGCGACGCCGAGACGAGGCACCACGGATTCTAGCATAGGCACCATCTTCAGAGGAATGTAGATCTCAATGATCCAGTTCCGAGGGCGGGCAATCTCGGCATGGCGAAGCAAGGTCTGTTCCAACTCGTCCTGGTCCATCACCTTACACACCGACTGGAGATTCACTCGGAGACCTCGAACACCTAGGGCATGCCACGCATCGAGCGTCTCCTGTTGAACAGTGGCAGGGTCAACAACCACGACTCCGCGGCCACGAGAAGGACCGAGCCTTGCCAGGGCTGCTAATAGACAGGAGTTGTCGGTGCCATAGATCGAAGGCTGGACGAAGACGAGATTCTCAACGCCCAGGGATGACTCGAAGGCAAGAGCATCAGCCAGCGTATGAATCTCTGGTTGATATACTGCCGCCGGAGACACCGGAAACCGGTGAGGCTCCACGACATGCATATGGCTATCCCATGAACGCGGTGGAATTCTCTTCTTCAAGGGCAGGCTCGCTGACGCAGCCGGAGCCGTAGCCGCTGCGGCGGCCGCATGAATCACACGCTGGTCAAGCCGCGTCGAGAGGCCCGCGGAGAGTGATATCCGCGGGGTGCCTCCGAGGGTCGTGGCATGAGGCTGAGCGGACGTCAGCATCGTGAGATAGAGTTGTAGATATGACGAAGGCCATGGAAAGGCCACGGAAACAGAGCGAAGCGAGGCCCGAAGCCCTCTAGGATACAACTCACAGATGAGCAGTGTCTGATGCTGGGGTTTACCCTGCAGGCAACCCTCATCGTTATCATGCCGTCTCGCCTGGTCGGCCAACCTCCGTCGTGATGGGACTAGCAGGCGTAAAAAGCAAGGAAATAAATTGTTCAACAAAAAAAAACGGAAAGGCCCCCCGTGTGCCGTGCTTCCACACGGTAGAGACCTCACATATGACCCACAGACGGGTCTTAACAACCCTTCAGCGGCAGCGAAGGGAAGCGTGGATTGAAAGGCGTGTGAGAGCGGAAGTCGTCCGGGAGCCAGCTGGCACGGCTGCATGTACCCGCCGTGACAGCCAGCATGGAAATAGCCGTGGTCGCATTCTCGGACCTTGTTGCTTCTTATGCGTCTTACATTGCAATGCTCTGTTCATTTGCCCCCTTCCCAGGCAAAGAACAGCGGCCGAGGCAAAAAAAACCAAGGAGGAAGGGGTTGCGGTCCAGCGGAGCCCTGAGCCACAATGGGGCAAGTGGATTGGTCTCTTCCATGGGTGCGAGCCGATGTGAAGTATGGAGTCGTCAGAGTCGTCGGTCGGCGAAGCCTGCACGCAGGGGCAGGCCACGGCACGAGCGAAGAATTATCCAGCCTGCGCAACGTATTTTGATCGTCGGGATACCCTCAGCAGACCATCCCAATGCAACACTGGGAGGGGGGAGCCAAGGACGAGGGAAGAGGGGAAGGCCTGAGGTCGTCGGACGTTGGCCGAGCTCTGCACGCGCGACCCAACGGGATGCCGAGCCGCCTTTCGCCTCCTTTTTGTTAGACACCGCGCTTCTTGTTGAATCCTTCGCAGCCCACTCCTTGCCGACCATTCCGCTCTCCAGCTTCCCCAGATTCCGTGGCCTCCACAGCTTATCTAGATCTGGCTTTCCTGGGACCCTCTTGCTAGGACGACACCATGCGATGGCTGGAACGCTCTCGGTGGATGACCTGCCCGTACTATGCGCTGGTGATCTTCGTGATTGCTTGCGGTGGTATCCCTAAAGGTATACAGCCTATTCCTACGCGTGACCACCGGTCGCAGCAGTACAAAGAACGCAAAGAGCACGGAGCTGACGAAATGACCGATGATGGTTGTAGGTTACGATGAGGGAGGATACAGTGCGAGCGTCAAGCTCGAGTCGTTCCAAATCGACTTTAACCTAATCAAATCGCACTGGACGAATGATCCCACGGGGTTGACCAATCGCAGTGCCAACATCACCTCCTTTAATGTGTTGGGCGCCGCATTTGGTGCCCTAGCTGGTTTGGATCTCAACGACCGCTTAGGGCGGCTGATCTCGTGGCGGCTGGCCTGCGTCGTGTGGGCTATCGGGACCTTCATCCAGGTTTTCTCCTCGGGAATCTATGGCTTGCTGCTCTTTTCCCGTATCTTCGCCGGCCTCGGTGCCGGTTTGCTGACGGTCACGTCGCCACTGTACCTGTCCGAGGTCGCGCCCCGGGCAACGCGAGGTCTCGCGGTCGGCATGTACATGGTGGTTCTGCTGGCAGTGCTTGCCATGGGTAAGTCAAGCTTCCTGCCACGACCATGTGTATATGAGGTTCTATATCTAACGCTATTTTGTTACCCCTCTGCAATAGGCTTCTTCATTAATTATGGCGCCAATCTCCACATGGCTGCTACACGCGCCCAATATCGCCTAGTTCAGGCTATCCCTCTAATTCCTGTCGGCATCGCCTTCGGCCTGTCATTCCTCTGCCCAGAGACCCCGCGGTACCTTGCATCGCAGCACCGCCATAAAGAAGGAAAGGAGGTTCTTGCTCGCCTACGCGGAAAGTCTGTCGACGATGAGGGCGTTGAAGCAGAATTCGAGGAAATTGACCGACAGGCGCGCGAGCGGGCAGACCTGAAGACTGTCTCTCACTGGCAGGCTTTCAAGGAGTCGCAGCTCAACGCCAACTACCGCCAGCGGTTCTGGCTGCTGATGACTATGCAGACTATTGCGCAGTGGACTGGTGGTAACGGTATCACTTACTATGTGACCAACATCTTCGAGTACGCTGGTGTTACTGGTGCGAACCAGTCTCTGATTTCCTCCGGCGCATATGGAATTGTCAAGCTCGTCTTCACCATGGCGTTTACCTGGGGTCTGATCGATCTCTTTGGTCGCCGACGCTGCGCTCTCACTGGTCTTTCTCTGCAGCTGGCGGCGCACATCTATATGGGCATCTATATTGGCCTACAGCCTGGCTCGTCAGACAACCAATCTGCCTCGGACGCGGCCATCGCATCCGTTTTCGTTTACGCCGTCGGCTGGTCGATCGGCCTTTGCACTATTCCCTACCTATACGGCACGGAGATCTTCCCGACCAGCATCCGCAACGTGAGCTATGCTATCAGCATGGGTCTTCACTGGTTCTTCCAGTTTGCCGTTGTACGTGTCACCCCGAACATGTTCAGCTCCCTTAATGTCTGGGGCGCCTATCTCTTTTGGGCTATTATCTGTACACTTGGTTTGATCATCTTGGGCATCTGGATGCCTGAGACGGCTCAGGTCCCTATTGAGCGCATGGACGAGCTCTTCTCCGGGCCCTGGTACCTCCGCTGGCGCGCTCGGCCCAAGTACGTCGATGATTCATTCGAGTTCACGGAGACTGTGCGGGTCGCCTCCCACGATCAAGATCGAAAGACTTTCCAGTCCAATTAACTGGCTCTGCGAAAACCTCGGCCCAGTCTGCCTCTCCGTGAACATAATATCTACTCTCTACGCATACCCGGATCCCTACTACCTGGATCTTCACGACACGCTTCTTCTTCGACGGGTTTGCCGCATATATGGCATTGTAACTACATGGTGTATAATCTAACCACATCTTAGCAATTGTATATAATCTGCATTTTTGGGAGACTGCATATATGTGCGCTCCTTCTCAGCGTCCTAGATAATGCTTTAGCGAGCATCCTGGCTCAACCCTGCTCATCAAAATCTCACTATCTTATAGACAAACACTGCACCATTCGAGGGAAATCTCAAAAACCTGGCTATGTCACTACGTCTTTCTCTAGCGGGGATACGGTGCATATGGCACCGGCCGTGCTCATGTAAACCTATAAGAAGGTGGACCCCCACTAAAACATGGACGCGTGGCCTGGGATACGTACATATAAGCCATCACTCATTTAACTGGTTGACCCCTCCATTAGGGCGTGCGAGAGTCCCCTGCAAGCACGGAGTATACATCTGCGCCGGCGGTCGCCGCTGTTCTCCTGCCGTTCCTTCCCACGAGCCTTGTATACTGGGACTAGCGGTAATCCTTCCTGGAGTCCATGGTCCTCGTCACGATACTCGAGATATACCGTTTAGCATTGCTCGAATACTGTTCTAATATCGACCAATCTCGAGGATATCAAGCGATTCCACACCAGCGTGAAGACCCATATAGAAGATTTCGTGCCCCATGATACCAGGCTGCTTAAAATGGCCCCCATCATTTGAGAAAATGAGAGAGTGATTTCATAGACTCCGCCTGTGGTGGTAGCCATCGAGCGCCCATTTCCACAGACACGATCTAGTCAGCAACAAGAAAGGAGCAGCAGGTACGTCCAATTAAAACCAAGGATTTAGATTATTTCGAGCTGAATTTTCCGTCTTATCTCCTCTTTTCCTCTTGTATCACCTGCGAGTCAGTTGGTGTGGGCTCGGCAGTTCTTAGTTGCAGTATCGGCGTGAGTGGGGCCGGAGACTCGGGCTTCCTCCTCCACTCGCGGCGGCTACGGCACAAAGGCATAACACACGGGGGTTGGACAAGGCGATCCAGTCTCCAGTATTCTTCACGAAAGTCTCCATGGATACGGACAATCAAGTGGTCCTTTTTTGAGCGCATCTCTTCCACTGCAGAGAAGCCGGGCGGGGTCCTCATGATGAGTTGGCCCTATCACTTCCTGGATCTCACCCCCGATGAAAAAGCCCATCGACGGGAACTTCTCAGCCAATACGCCTTCTTCTCCCAACTATCTGTGCTCATCCCGATCCTGGGATACGGGGTCTATCGACTAGGTGCGTGGCTCTTGGCCAGGAAAGGAGCATTCGATGTTGCCTACGCTGCTCTATGGCAGTCGCCAGGCAGCACCGAATCAGCCGGCGATTCCAGCGCTGTCTCACGCAAAGCGATTGCGAGGCGATGGAGGTCGGTGCAATGGTGGTGGAATGGGGAAGTTGCTCCCAACTGGGGACTGAGAGGACAGTGGATCGCTGCGAGCGTTTGGACTGTGTGGCTGCTGGGTCTCTGCTTGCTCCAGACAGGCCACGGTAAGCATGCAGTTCCCAGTGGTGCGCAAATGCTACGACGTACTGACCCTCATTCCCAGATTATCTTCATGTCACTAAGCGCTTCGGAAGCGTCGCCGCAGCTCAGCTGCCTCTTCACTTCCTCTTGTCCATGCGTACTCGCTATTCTCCGCTGGGCATCATCCTCGGCACTTCTCACGAGCAGCTTATTCATTGGCATCAAATCTGCGGCCGAATCATTATGATTCTTCTCGTCCTCCATGCAGCCTGGTATATCAATTACTTTGTTCAAAATCAGATTCTCGTGGAGCGTCTGCAGCATCTCCATCCCATTACCGGCCTATTATCGTTATCATTGATGGCCGTCATTGCAGGCACAAGCCTCGAGCGAGTGCGACGATGGAGCTATCGAGTCTTTCTCTACTGCCATGTTACTATCGGCCTGGCGATCTTCCCCATCCTCCTTCTACATGCGAGACCGCTTCGGCTATACGCGGTCGAGGCTCTAGCGCTGTTCGCCGTGGATCGAGTTCTACGATACTTGGACACCGTCACTTCGCCGGCTATCCTCTCCAAAGCCCCTCATACGGAGCTGCTGAAGATCTGGTTCCCCATTCCCTCCACCAAGCTGGCGCGCTTTCAGGCCAAGCCCGGTCAACACGTCTACCTGTCCATACCCTCCAACGGCACCTGCACTGGCAATAAAAGCCTGCTCTCAAACCCATTCACGGTATCAGAGGTCACGGCGAGTGAGATATCGCTAGTTGTTCGAGCTCGACGGGGTCCCACAACCCAGACACTCTGGACTAAGGCGGATCGTACCAAGACACGCGCTCTGATCAGCATAGAAGGGCCATACGGGGGCCCTCTCCGGACTGCAGACCTTGCTTCCCAATTTGACCGTGTTCTCCTCGTGGCAGGAGGTATTGGAGCCACATTCATTTTACCCATTTACTGGGCATTGCACAACCAACTCGAGGCCGAGACCGGTTCTCCCGATCACCTGAGCCTCATCTGGGCACTCAGATCAGCGCCAGAGGCTTGTTGGGCCACGAACTCGGGAAACCAGACATTTGCTCCGAACTCAAATGTTCACATTTACTTGACCCGACATCACTCAGCTCAGCACCCGCGCGACAATCCCCTGTTTAGCGAGGGCATAGAGATGGAGGACTTGCAAGACCCGAATAGCCTAATCGGAGGAGCCAAGGCCTCGGTTGGGCGGCCTGATCTTAAGAACATCATAGACGGCACGTTCAGCTCCCATGCCGATGAGCATGTCGCTGTCATTTTCTGTGGACCGCAAGGTATGGGACGCGAACTACGGGCTTATGTTGGCAAGTGGGTAGCGGTAGGACGAAAAGTCTTTTGGCATGAAGAGCGCTTCGGCTGGTAGTCAGGGGGTAGTGTAGATACTTGACATATTCGATCATCGAACTAGAATTTCCGGCCATTCCTGTACATAAGCCCTCCAAATCTACGTCATTCTTTCAGCCAGTTCGCATACTGCGCAACCGCAAGAGCCGTCATCACGACCAATTCCCGAATGTTCGCCGTCTCGAGCTCAGCATTCTTCTCAAACCCCTCACAGCAAACAATACCATCTCGGTTCATAACCGCGAGGACAGCTCCTACCTGGGGAGGATCTGCACGAGTAACAGACCGATTGATTCGACAAATCCGCGTATCGCGGTCCATAGTGAACGGCAAGTCTTGCGGGACGTCACCAGTGCGCCGCGTCGAGCCATGGTAGAACCCCCAGGTGAGGCTCTTTCCCTCGGTCATCCCCCTGAAACTGTCGCCATCACGCTCCCGCGTAAACGTATGGACTTCATTGTCGATTTCATCAAAACTCCAGCGCTCGCCGTTGGCGAGGATGACCCGACCGCGATATGAAAAGCAGACGGTGCAGCATAGAAAACCCGGCCGGTCGATGTCAAGACAGGCGACGACGTTTGCGGGCGTGAAGGGAATAGCACCAGTGTCACCCGTTTTGAGGGTCACGGTGTCATCTTCATAGCCAGTCACAATGAGGTCGTCGCGATTCAGCTTGATCGGGGTCGGACCGAGGTGTGTGAGCGTCGCCCCAAAGTATGATGCCGGACGCCAGAGGTTGAACAGCTGGAACGGGGCACTTTGGCTCCAGGAAGAGCGTTGGTGGATCTGGAAGCACAGTTTGGGCTTGGAGGGGAATAGGCAGAAATCCCCTGCGTCTATGGCCCAGCTTTCGGGACGCGTAGCTCGAAAGATTTCCGCACATTTGGGCTCTACGACGTTCGACAGCTCTGGAAGCTCGATCGACTCTTCCGGCTCGGATGGCTCTGAACGAGCATCTTCGTTGGTACTGAGAGCATGCTTAGCTAGACCCTATGGGGTAGTGGGGCGATCTTACATCCAAACTGGCTCCTCATCGAAGGGAGGATCCATCATCGGGGAAGTTGTTGGCACAGCAAGCATCAGAACGCCTTCGCGGTCTACCGGACTGAATTCTGCAAAGAGAGTGAAGGGATATGTGTACAGGGCAAGTGCTTTGACTGTGTGGACAACGCTCTTGTTGTTGGGGCCCGAGATGATTCTTAAGAGCCTCCTGTGAAGGGGCCAGATCGTCCAAACGAGCGTTTCCTTCAGGCAGCGCTTTGATCCTCAGCTTACGATTGGTCGTGTTATCTTAATCGAGGGGCAAGAGTCAAACGTGGCATAGTCGGGACTTGTTTACCACAAGCAACGGGAGTTGCCATGAATGTAGTTGCCTTGAGGCAGCTTGATGGTGTGAGGTGTCCTGTTTACTCGCTGCCCATGGACTTGCTGACACCTCCCTTTATTTTGGACGGCCTACCACTTACCAAAGGATTAACTACCCATCTCAATGTCGGGATCTCGTAACTCACGAAAGGTCACTCATCTAGATAACTGTCAATCCAATTGCCTCGTAGCAACGACAACAAAGGAATATGTACAACCGTCTCACCGCAATCCACACCCCTCCATGCACGTCCTCTTATTTATACCTCGACCAAAAAGAAAGTCTCAAACGCTTAGGTGCTATTTGGGAATCATCGATACCAAGAAAAAATTCCAACAAGTACAGGGAAAAGAAAGAAACGCTTTTTCGTAATCACTGACTATGACCTCCAGTCCAACCCGAGTCAAACGGCGAGGTCATATTGGTCGAGATGGGCTGCGCATATGAAAACGCTTCGAACACCTCTGGCGTGATCTCGTACGAGCCGGGATCGTCAACCGTCATCAATGCATTAGGCATGCCGCCTAGCAAATGGGTTGGGGGCATCTGTGGCATATCGCCCATCTGGGAGGCGTCGAAGCCTGCGACTGGTTGCTGGAAGGTGTTGTACTCCGGGATCATGGTACCGGGTTGAGTGGTCATGGCAGCGTGGCTTCGTTGGCGCTGGTGTTGATGCTGGCTGCCAGGGGAGATATGGCGGGGAGGATTACTGCTGGCGGGGGACTGGCTCTGCTGGGTGGGATGAGGAGGCGGGGGCTGAGGCTGGTGATGTTGTTCTTCGGTATTGGGGGGTTGAGCAGGCATAGTGCCGTGGATGTCGATCTGGAGCTTTTGGAGCTCTTGGTAGACGAGCCGCAGGGCGGTTGTGATCACGGGGTTGGACACCTTGACGCGCTCAAGTGCAAATATGCAAAATTTGAGCTTGTCCAACGTCCCCGGGGCGGCATACTTCAGGGCCTGAATTTCCAGGAGGAAAATAGATGCGGCGGTGTATATGCTGTAGGCGAGAGAGAGGACGACGTGGTTATCCCCAAACGTGCGGCGGTAGAGGTCGAAGAGAGATAGGATTGATGTTGCCGATGCCATGCATTGGACCAGATGGCTCCTATCGTATGACTCTTGCCGGGTCTTCACCAACCCACGAGAGCACAGGATCGGGCGATGAAGCAGAATGTTAACTGTGTGATAAAGGCAGCTACATTTGAGGTATTAGCATCAAAGTTGTTGCGAGGTTCTTTCAGAAAACACACTTCAGAGTCATAATGTGGCTCGGTGGAGAATAAGGAGGTAGATCCGTTGCCACAAGCTTCAAGTAGTCGGGAAGCCCATCCCACCAATCGCCGAGGTTCTTAGCTTGCTCCTGAACGCAATCAAAGAACTCGACTTCGGTACTTTGGCGCATGGGGTCGTAAATGTAGATTAGAATCTGGTTCAAAGTCTCGGCAAGGCCGCACATCTGGATGAAGCACGAGGTGGAATGCGCCTGTGTGGGTGGATAGTGGGCCCCGTCGGGGAAGCTGACGCCGTGAGGAGTCCAGATTTCGATCTCAGAAGTATCGTCGACTATATCAAGTTGTCAGGAGGATCGGTTGAGCACATCTTGCGGGCGCAAACTCACGTATGATGCGGGGCGGGCTGACGCGAGAATGTTGCATGGACGGGGCGCGACCAAAATACAACGACACAATCTTATCCCAGAAGTAGCAGCTCCAAAAAAGACGATTCCGAATCTCGATATCTTCATCACTCAAGTGGGCCGCACCAAGATACTTCCGACTATCGATCGAGATCCCGAGATCATCGAGGACGCGGAACGCCATGCCGCTGTACAGCCAGGCTTGCGTTCGGTTACCCTTCCCACATTCCTGTGCACTGAGAAGCAGTAGCGTCTGGATGGTCGGCACGCTTGCATATCCCACCTTTAGCGACTCGAAGAGCCCCGACACGGCACGCTGATAGAATTGTGCTCCACCTTCGAAGGAGTCCAGAAGTGGGCCGATCTGGGGCTCTTCTTTGCACCACCGCACCGAGTGTGAGAGGACGGCGTTCATCAAGACCTCCGAATAATAGGGACCCTGAATCTTCATATCCCCTGAAGATGGGAGTCAGTGTGGGGGACTTTGTGTGTACAAGGAGCCGCCGAGGAAGGGTGGGATGGGAGACATACGGGTGAAAGCTGGGCGATAGACAAAGTTGAACAGCGGCTGGATCCAACACCAATGGGAGTCGAGGAGGTATTGGAATGGTTCCTGGGAATCGACCGATCGTCGTCAGTGTGGAAGGCTTAAACTTTGTCCTGCAGGAGGTGCTTACCGGCATTGCAGCCATCTGTTCGAAGGCCCGCTCCCGCCATGCACTGTTGATCAGCCGCTCCTTGCGAGCTCCCAGCTCCTGGGCAAAATATGAAGTCGACGCAGTCTCGTTGATCGCTCCGCTGGGGAGCTGGAAGAGACTGGTAGGCCCGTGGAAGGAGATGCGACCGTCAGTTTCGACATTCAACCCATCGAACTCCCTCGCCAAATCCTGCGTCTCATCGTTCTCCGTCTTGATTCTGCGGCCGGCACTCGAGCTGGATTCTGCCACCGATGCCGGAGAGCTCCCCTTGCGTGCCTCCACGTCGGCCTGCTGACCACGGAGCTTGGAGAGAGCATCTTCTAGCTGGGCGACTCGGGACTCAAGCTGTTTCGTATAAGACAAGGTCGGGGCCCTACAAGCAAGAAAAAAGCGGGGCATATAATATTAGCCCATGGCCGGGGCGGCTGATGACCGCAGGATAGGCGGGATCCAGGAGCCGATCCAGGATCAGGGAAGACAACTCACAAGCTATAGACGCACGCCTCGCCTCGCGCGGCGCATCGCGAACATGACGGACTGGCTCCGTTGCATTTGACCTGTCCGACCCCGTCGTCAGCCGTCCGCTGCGTCCATTCCACCTATGGCAACCTCGGAAAGTGCCCGAATAAGCCCACCTTGCGCTTGCGACAAGCTTCGCACGAGAACGCGCTCTTCCGCGGAAGTGCACTCTTGAGAGGCACGTCCGCCATGTCTGAGCCCTCGACCACCATCAGATGGACAGGTTCACGGAGGAGAATCGACTGGCAACCCCCATTGGCGATCAAGGTCAAAAGGGGGAGGAGGATATGAGGGAGGATGAGGGGAATCGGCGAAATTTTGGGCGCCCAAGGCGACGCTGCGTGGGGCGGTTGACCTGCTAATCGCGGGGAGGTGGTTTAACCTTTCTGCGGCGGTGGACCAGCGAGCCACCGATTCGCAGGACCCAGCCCCATCGCCGTCCCAAGGATGGTGAGATAGCCTTGACGTCGAACCAGGCCCATCCGATGGGGTGGCCGTGGTGGATTTGGTCGGCCTCGGAGCTTTCTGGTTAGACGGTTAGACGGTAGAACCCAAACCAGCGTGCTCTCCTGCAACTTTGGGATCCCGGCTATCTTGACCGCCGGCCAATCGCGCCGCGCTGGGGCGTATACCTGCGGCCAGCTGACCCAATCAACCGCATGCGTTGGGACGCAATGGCTGGTCCCTCTCGCCTTGGCGCAGTCGGGCGCATCCACCGGCAACCTCTAACTCCCGGGGTCGGCGTGGTGAAGCTTAAAACAGGAAACCCCGAGGGGTGCGATCGGAACATGCCTACTGCGGTAACTACTCGAACGTATCGAAGCGTCTGGAAAGGCTGCCCGTTGATCGTCCGTACATCCAACTAAAATAGTCACAACAATGACACGAAGTATTGTGCCTTTCATTTTTCCCATGCTATACAAGGTTTAGAGGGGGTACATGCGCTTATTTCTTCCACTTCTTCTTGTCTTTGCCCTTGCCTTTAGTCTTCGGAGCGTCGCGCTCCGACCTTCCCTTTTTCCACCCGATATTTCCCTCCTGTCGCATCTTCGCATCATCCAGCCGCTTCTTATCCTTGTTGCTCAGCTTCACCTTGTCCTTCTTCGACTGGTTCGTATCGGGGCCATTCAATTCGGTCCGGCCCAGCTTGCGCGCTGCCCGCTTCTGGGTCTCCGTCTCGAACCACGTCCGCTTCGGGCGCGCCATGATCTCATGGCCGTGCTTAATCAGGTTCTCGCCCTTGTTGACTTGCATCTCAACCTGTGCCAGCTGCTTCTCGGCCTTCTCTTCCTGCAGGATCTCCTCGACCTCGTCAGCAAGATCGTCGGCCTTCTGAGTCCACTCGTCGGCAATGGCCGTCTCAACTACCCGACTGACAATCTTGGCGCCCTGGGCCTTTCCGGACCTCACAGCCGACTTGACCACCTTCCGGTCGGGCTCGGCGGCGATTGTGCATGCACGTCCGGACCGGCCAGCACGGGCGGTACGGCCGACACGATGCAGGTAGATCTCGTGGCTCTGTGGGGCTTCGTAGTTGATAACGGTCTCCACACCCTTGATATCAAGACCACGAGAGGCCAGATCAGTGGCGAGCAGGAAGGCAACCTTGCCATCACGGAAGTTCTCAACGGATTTGATACGCTAGTGAAAACTCAGTTAGCCACAGGACCGGATTTCCAAGGTGGGGTATTCTTCGTAGCGTACCTGGTCTTGACTCATGCTGCCGTGCAACTCGGCGGCTTTCAATCCAAACAGCCCGAAAATGATGCGGACGCGATGCGCCTCCTTCTTTTGCCGGAAGAAAATGATCACGCGACCAGTGTAAATCTCCTTGCACAGATGCAACAGACATCCTAGGCGCTTGTCCTCCCGGCCAGGTCGTAGACGAACAAACTCCTGCGTCAGCGTGAGGGCAGTCTGCTTCTTCGCGTCCACCATCAGGCGGACGGGGCGGTTGAGACCGACACGGATCAGCTTGTCGACGGTGTCTGTCATGGTAGCAGAGAACAGCATGGTCTGGCGTGACTTGGGGATCGTAGTCAAGATCTCATTCAGCTCGTCCGCGAAACCATCCTCCAGCATACGATCGGCTTCATCAAGAACCAGAATCTCAAGGGTGTCCACAGTCAAGCTCGGCGAGTTGCGCATATGGTCGATGAAACGACCGGGAGTGGCAATGATCACATCGGGCCGCTTCTTGAGCACGTTCTCCTGCTCGCGAAGACTGAAACCACCAACAAGCTGACAGAACGTAATATCGGTGAAGGTCGCCAACTTGACAGCAACATTGTAACACTGCACGGCCAACTCACGAGTGGGCATCAGAATGGCGACACGGCTGGTAGGTGTTTTGCGGGGACGGAAAAGAAGACGCTCGAGAATGGGGACGATGAAGGCACCTGTCTTTCCGGAACCGGTGACGGCGCTACCAACAATGTCCTTGCCCAGTAGAGCCACGGGAATAGCCTTGCGCTGAATAGGGGTCGGGTCAGTGAAGCCGACAGAGGCCAATCCTCGGAGAATCGGACGAGAGAGGTTGAAGTCTTGGAATGTGCTCTTTGCCATAGAGGCCTTGTCCTCTACCTTCTCTTCAGGGGCGAAGAAGGCTTTCCGCTTTTCAGCTTCCTCGGCATCCACCTCGCTCTCAACATCGGATTCCGCGTCAGAGCCTATGTCGTCGGGGTGGCCCACTGGAGTAGCAACGGAGTCGTTGTCGGATGCAGCATCGTCGTCGTCGTCGTTTTGCTCGTCTTCGTCTTCACTGTCCTCAGGTCCAGAGCCAACTTCAGGGCCCTCGGCCTCGCTCTCTTCCTCGCCATTAGCGCCCATGCCAAAAGCATCGTCGGCGACAAGCTCGTCGTCCTCAAAGTCCACCTCCATGCCGCCGTCGGCCTCGGCATCCCCTTCGTCCGAGCCGCTGGCACTCTCCTCCTTTTGGGCCTGCTTCTTCTGCTTCTTCTTTGCTGCGGCCTCCTGCTTTTCCCTTCTCCGAGAGATGATATCGTCGATGTCCACGGCCTTCTTATCACCAGCGCCGTTCACCTTGGAACCGTCCAGGCCCCAACCGTCGAAGCCCTCGGTGACTCCACGATTGGCAACACCGCCAACATCAAACTCGAAATCGGAATTCAGGGCATCGTCATCTGCACCAATGGCATCTTCGCCCTCCTCATCCTCGTCTTCAGACTCTTCGAGCACGGGCCCAGGCTTGCCCTTCATGCCCTTCACATTCTTAGCTTGCTGCTTTTGCTTCTTGTTCTTGCTCTTGGGAGCTTCGGCCTCGCGCTTGCGCTTTTTCGTATCGGCAGCCGAGGAAACCTCGTCGGCGCCCTCGTTATCTTCCTCGTCGAATCGGGAAACGTCTTCGTCGTCGGACAGAGTCAGGACGAAGTCGTCGTCCTTAGCGGCGCTCCGCTTCGTTGAGTTGGGAGCCATTGTGGAGGCGAAAATGAGAACAATAGTCAACCCGGAGACTGTATGTCCTCAGTGGCTCCTCAAAAATGAATGAATTAAAAAGAATTCCCCAGACACATGCCCGCGCAATCCGCTAACAGAAATCAACAGCAAAAAAAAAAAAGTTCCCCGGGCGGTGAGAGCAAAAATTTGGCTGACATAAGAATGCGCCGGGGCTGGGTGGAACCCCCCGGTGGAGCTCAAATTAAAGGCTTCGTATTTCCCCGTTCGCTCCTCCCTGATGTCTACGACTATGCTTTCTAGTGTATACCTAGATTAGCTATATAGCTATTCAATATATGAATAACCTTTTTTTTTTCTTTTCTTTCCCAACATGATACTGTCACGTTTCTATGGTAAGATATGGGAATATCAAGTATTGCCGGGGCCATTTTCCACAACCCCTCTCGATGAATGTCTTCTTTCCCCCCTTTTGTTGGATGGGTCCAGAATCCCTTCTTGAAGAATTAAGTCCTTTTGACTTTTCGCTCTTTTAATGCCGGTAGAATCGTTGTCGAGCTCGCTCGTGTGCATGTTACCCCCACAGATCAGTACGTATCAAGAAATTGTGATCAACTATCGTCTTCAAACATGCCTATCTCCCGGAATATTCTTCCAGAAGTGATGCGGCGGGCGACATAGTGAACGTCCAGTCTGCAAAGATACGTCAGTAGGTCCAAAATCACACCAAAGAGGATCATCATAACGAACTGATGTCCACACTTGACCCTAGCTCGCTTCAGCATACCCCATTGCTCAAAGCCGAATTGGTCCTGCAGCCATTTTTTGATCCATCCATACTTCATATCCAGCTTGGCGGGGTAGGCGATGGTACAGATCAGCTGGGTCATTCGCAGCATCGGGGTCTCCCAGAGATCCTCTGCCCTCTTCGGCTTCCACTCGACCTCAAACTTACGACTGTAGCCTTGGTCACACATGGATAAGATGCGGTCGATAAGTACCGTGCCGAAATTATCCCGCTTCTCCTCACGGGTGACATACACCCGCAGTTCACCGATGTACTGATCCGCACCACTGCTACCGAAGAGATCGATATACGCAATGCCGCATATTTTCGCTTGCGGTGTACCAGGGAGTTCCAGAGATGGCCGGGCTGGGTGTACCATGACAAGGAATGGCAGGTTGCGCTTTCTGCAAATTTTGATGAGTGCCTTGATCTGGCGTTCCTCCTGCGTCTCGGTGTCCGGGCTCAAAGGAGAGTTAACCGCATACCAATTAAGGATATTGGCAATCTCCTGGGCATCTTCAGGGATGGCAGGACGCAGGTGGGGATTAGTGGGCTCAGAACTGGGCTCTGCTTCTGGCTCCACCTCAAGCTGGCTCATCAAAGGTGCGAGATTCAGCGGTCCTGCTGGTGCGGATGCAATTTGAGACCTAAGGGAATCTCTGGCCGCTCGTACCTTTGCCCAATGTATCTTCATGTTGTGCGCATATCCTGCCGATGTCTCATGCCAGTGGATGCGGGTCTTATCGTCGCTCATGTCGCGGGGAGACAGGAGATGCTTCTCATTCATCAGCATCAGTGAAAACCCGCCGTCTGGCACCGCAGTCCCGTCAAAGAATGCGGAGTGGAAGATGTCAACCGCCTGACATTCCAAGGGGATCTTCTCCAACCACTTATAAAATCGGAGGCGGTTTCTGTTGCGGTCCATGGTGCACATCGGAGTAAAGGCCCAGTCGGCCTTCCAGTTGTGAGAATCACCCTGATCATAACCTTCTGGATTGAATACAATTTCTGGGAATAGGCGTGGGTTGTGTTCAAACGCTGGGGCGCGATTGGGTGACATCAAACTGAGCTCCTTATCAATCACTTGTGGCCACACTGTCGGGGTGGCCATGTACGCATCCCACTGCGCAAGAAAGGGCTGCGTACCGATTCGCTTTGTAGCCCAGTTCACTTCTGGGTCGACGCATTCATACCCCTCGTCCGGAATAAACTCAGTGGAGCTCACAGACCATTGCTTTGGCGCTTCCACCTCCTGGTTCAGGCGCGGCTTCGCCAGCTCATGGTAGTCGGCCGTCGCGGGGTCACTTCCTGGCCCCAATCTCGCTCGCGGCAACAGGCACCAGCTCGCATGTGGTTCATGCATATCCTCTGAGCCCTGCTCTGCCTGGTGAGGCAGTCCGAGGTTACCAGCTTGGATGACAGGTTCGCCGATATCCTTCGTCGCAATAGCAAATGCCTTTGCCCATGTGATCTTGCTTGCGAGTCCAGCAGCCTTTTCCTGAGAGCTCGTGTCGGTTGTGCCCATGACTGCGGTGATTCTGGTGGGGATAGGCGTGTGCACAGCATGGCTCTTCGCTGGGTCGTTTCCCTTCGGCACCTTACCCATGTCCACGTCGTTGTTCATCGCGCCTTGCATCGTATTGACCACCCCCCAGTATTCAAATTCCTCGTTTTCCCCAGTTTTTCTACGGCATTTACCCACAGTACCGTGTTGGGAAGAATGGGCATCTTTTCTGAGCCCAGTTTCCTCGAGGGATTCCGTTTTCCGGGATGTATCGTTGAGGTCCAGGGGAGAAATGGGAGAGTCGTTGCGCGCTTCTCTATCACGACCAACCGGACGCTCGTCATCAAGGTCAAGATCGGAAATTGGTGTCCCGGCACCGTCAGGTCCGACAAGGGCAATTGGAGCTATCACAACTGGCCCCGGGCGATCCCGCGCAAAAGCACCAGCAGCTTCACTGGGTGCGTTGTCCCTTTGGGGTGTACTAGGAGTCAACTTCAACCAGCTCGTGGTTGCTCCACCTCCGGGAAGATTTGTAGAATCCTGACTCGGAACATGGCCCGGCAAATAAAAATTTTCCTGGCTAGCCTTGGGCTCACCAGTATTGACCACGGGTGCAGGCGCCGGAATGCCGGCGTTTGTATCTTCTTCTGTGCCTCCATGTGCACAGCTCTCAGCGGCGCCATGGTCAACTTCTCGCACGCCCCCTTCTGGGCCTTGTTGGATAGATGTCTCATGTTTGGTCTCCTGTGGGCCCATCTTGGGTTTAATCTTGGGTTTAATCTTGGAACTCTGAGCGCATCTTTCTGCCCATCGACGCAGCAGTTCTGGCGGCATCTCCGGAGGTCGAAAACGATCCTCCTTGAAGGCACTATCCTTGGTCTTGGTCTCATGATCAGCCATTTGGCTGGCTGTATTAATCCTCATCAGAACTGGGCATGTGGAATATATGCCGGATTCGCTCTTCAATGGCTTCAGCCTTACCAGTGGAGGTTCGAGTGAGTTTGGCCTCAGGTACGAGGAGTGTTCAAGGAGTAAAGGGTGGCGTAGGGGCAGTAGTACTTCTTCGCACGACCTGAGGATGTTAGAGATGTCTTTGGAGGGGCTCGGGCAGCTCCAAGATTGGAAACCGAGGGGGGAGGGAAGCAAAGGAGTGGGTGGGAAGGGAGAGCTTTCGCTTCTTTAGTCGAAGATGGCCTTGCAAACACGCAAGGCCAGCCAGACACTAGGCTATTTCGGGGACCCCAAGATATTAGAAACAACATTCATCGGCCTCATACTTGTATCGATTTGACTTTCATGCAGCCGGAATCTGCTCTTGCCTGGACTGATCAGGCGGGGGGCCGTTCATCAGCCCGTGTCCGACGCGCCACTAGCCATCACGCAATTAAGACATCCTGCTCGATCATCTTTGAAGCTTGCATTTATGGCTCTCTAAATGGACTATCGGAGCCTACCCACAACCGAACGATAGAGCCAGGACTGTCTTATATCCTGCTGAAAACGAGCATGTTCGTGTAGAACTCTAGTCACCCCCTGACGTATAATCGAAACATTGAGAGAGATTTTTTCATAGCGCACACTTCTTGCAGTCTTTAGGACCATTAGGGAAGAAGTTCATAGAGGGAGTTGCGGAGAGTTGGTGGTTCGCTGCAAATCGATCAATCCAGGGTAAAGGCCGGCTGACATCCACAAGAACTTTTTCCCCTCCCCAACTCCCCAGAAAAATCTCGCGATCCAGAGGATTGTGAGACCATGTTGTCAATACTTCGAAAAGCCCGTCTGAAGGACAAGGAGATGCGCATACTGATGCTGTATGATCGCCCCGTCAGTATATATGTGCCGTGCTGATGGTGGTGATGACAGGGGCCTGGATAATGCGGGAAAGACCACCATCGTGAAACGCATCATGAACGAAGATGTGACCACAGTCAGCCCGACACTGGGATTTATTATCAAAACCATTGATTTTATGGGGTAAGTGGTCCTCCCTTCGATGGGGACTAGGGCATTTTCTGACTTGCATAGATACAAACTCAACATCTGTGAGCCGAGCTGCCATTTCGGGACCGCGACAGGACTGACCGCGCCTAGGGGATGTTGGTGGGCAAAAGACGCTCCGTTCTTATTGGAAAAACTATTTCGAGAAAACAGATACCCTCATCTGGGTTGTGGATGCCACTGATCGTCTGCGTGTGGACGACTGCCGCCAGGAGCTGGCTGGGCTGCTGCTTGAAGAGGTACGTCCCCACCGCCACTGCGCAATCTTCGGGATCCCGAGCTGAGCGCCCGCCAGCGCCTCATGGGAGCCACGCTGCTGGTCTTCTTGAACAAAACAGATGTGGAGCATTGCATGGGCGAGCAAGAGGTGCGAGAGGTATGTACACACTATACTGCCGGTTTGCTTTGGGGACGATGGGCTTTCGTGGGCACTGGAACTCAGCTGATGGATGTCACAGCGCCTGGGCTTGGATCTAATCAAAACGCACAAGTGGACAATCCTTCCATGCAGTGCTATGACGGGGAGAAACCTTAATGAGGGGTTGGAATGGGTAGTACAGGATGCGAAGGACCGGCTCTTCCTTTATTAACCGCATCACCCACCTATTATGCCAGGTTTTACTCACTCTCGGAGGGTGTCCAGGCTGTTAGGTCTCTGGGTATCTATCCAAAGGGAAATTATCAAGAAATCAGGCCAAATGCATCATTCGGCTCTTGGCTCGTTCGATCAACCTATGACGAAAAGCAGGGCGGTTGCTCAGGCGTTTTGGGGAGATTTTCTGCCGTCCGTTCAACGGGGCCACGGTCGGTGATGTCCGACCACCGTATTCCTGCTGCATTCAAATTTGGCAGGCACAAGGGAATTCTATGCAGTGCACCATCTCAGATGCAGGTCTCTCTTTGGTTCAATAACTTTTTGCGTCCTTCCTGGGGGTAACGGATGTAGAAAACTGGTTGCTTCGGAATGTCTGTTCCGACCACGGGAAGCCGCATGGACTCCAAAAATACCTATACTTAGGCCATAGCAACGACCAATCCCGACAACCGAGCCAATAGACCGAGTGCCTACGATGTACAGTTCTCACAGGATGGAAAATAATATATAGGGCACAACTTCTCTCCGTGAGAAGAACTGGATAAGGCAGGGTTTCGCCATTGGCTCATTTCGACGGTGTGGCCAAAGGCTGCTGCTGCAAGGTACCAGGCGATAGATCAGTTTCCAAGCCATAACTGACTAGTTCGCGGGAGAGACAGCAGATCTAGGAGTCGGTCTGTCCGACATTTGAATTAGTTTCCTCTGGTGGGAACCCAGGAGAGGAGAAAATTCGTCATTGCGGCTACCCATGGGTCCAGCATTCGAAAGCCGAAAACCAGCGGGGCTGAACCTGGAAGCGATCCGCTCCACCAAACTTTAGCAGTAAACAAACATCCCGCCACGAAGCTTTGGACACCGCCTGTACTCCTCGTAGTATTCGAGCCGTTGTAGTCTGGACTAGCCCGTAGAACTGCAGAACCGTAGAACTGTAGAACCGCTGAATTGTTGAAAAGATATCTGAACCGGCCCAAGAGATAGTGCAGTCGATGTGTCGCGGAGGGTGAAAAAGGACCGGAGGGATGTGCGGTGATGATCGGAGGAGCCAATGAATTGCGATGGATCGCGTCCATCCCCGTTTAATTAAAGCAGGGCGGAGAACTTCTCAGCCCTTGGGTCTTCCACTCTCCCACCTCTTCCCCAATACACCCCCTCGTCCCTTTCGAGGAGCCTCACTCGCTTAGGAGAGTTTGCTGGTCCTTTGGGGACGCGAAGGATTATGACGGTACCCACCAACCCCGATGGGGCGGAGGACGTGAATGACTTCCTGCTGCGCATCCGGGAACTCGGCGAGCGCCGCGACAAAGAAGATGAGGAGCGCACGAAGAAGCTGGAAGAGGAGATTTTGCAAGGCCGCAAGGAGAGGCAGGCCCGCCGAGCTGGTATTGTTTTCCGCCCCTCGTCCTTCGGGCTCTTGAGATAGCGCGGTCTCTGTCTGGGCCCTCAGCTGGCCGAAATTGCACCCCGCGCGACAGGCCGACCTTGGAACCCTCCGCCCCTCCCACATCTGGATGTGTTGCTGATGACCAGATGTGATAGAGCGAGCCCGATCGATTGCCGGATCACCGACCCTAAATGCCTCGAGACTCAGTGTCTCCTCCCATGGTCAGCCCTCGGCCATCGATCCTCCTGAGCAGCTGGAGCCGACGGTGCAGACACAGGACCCTGAAACACCGGGCGGGGTGACCCCGAGTCAAGAATCGGAGACCCTTGCTGGCAATAAGAGGCGTGGATCAGTACAGGACACCGAAATGGATTCCCCTTCACGAGCGATGCCAACTCTGTCACGCAGCCGAGCGGGGACTTTGTCGTGGCAGCAGCGCCCGTCCCCGCGGGACTTTGGTAGTCGGTCTCCCGGTGCAACGTCTCCTAATCGGTCCAGCCATTTGAGAAACGCGTCCACAGCATCCGATGCTAGCGAGTTCTCTCGTGCTCAGATTACCCAATCCGCCTCGTCGAAGGATCCGTCGTGGCTTCACCAAATCCCAGACCGAGGACTGGGCTCATCAGTATTCCGGAGACCGGAAGAACGCTCTGACAGCCAGGCAGATTTGGGTATGGGTCGTCGACTGCCGGGGCTGAGTCGTGAGTCCACCGTAGAGCCAGAGAGGGTGGAGGATGCTGAGGCGAGATCGCCATCTCCACCAAGAACTGCTTCTACCGTTGGTGATAGCAACCTCAGCAACCGATACTCGAGCGTGTCGTCGGTGTCCCCTGCGACTGGACTTGGGTCTCCAGTCACATTGTCCGAGGCCCCGAAATTGGATCCTACACAAAGTGAGCCGGTCGAAGATCCTGAGCCGGCATCCCCGAGCCAGCGACGATTGTCACCAGAGCGAGCTCGCTCAACATCGCCCACGAAAGGGCTTGGCGGATTCGTGCAAAGCGCAATGATGAGGCGCTCTGATAGCGTATCGAAACGTTGGAGCGCTCAACTCCCACAGGGATTGAGCCGGAGTAATTCAATCATCTCGAACCGCAGTAGTGTGGCAAGGCCGAACCTCACCACGAGTGTTAGTGACATGATCCCCGCAAGTGACACGCAACTTGGGAGTGATATTTCCTCACTGCCTCCTACCCACCGACCAAGTTCAAGTCACAGCGAGGCCACCGTCCAACCCCCGGAGTCCACGGCTACCGAGAGACCAACCACACCTTCTGGCCCGAAGACCGAGACGCGTCCTGAAGGCAGCCCAAGCAGACACTCCTATTACGGCCACGCCAGATCCACCAGTTCGGTGACAGCGGACAGCATGGCTGGTGATACCCCAACAAGCCCTTTCACCTCGAGAACTATGGATCCCAAGCGCTGGAGTCCAAGTAAAGCCTCTTGGCTCGAGAGTGCGCTCAACCGTCCTGAGTCTCCACGGACGCAGAAGCAGCCGCCACCACAGCAACCCTCGTGGGTACGGGACCGACAGTCGCGAGGCAGCGTGGATGCTGGTCGCGTGAATAACTTCAAAGAAGTCACTCCCATTGGTTTGATGCGAACGCCCCCACCAGGTAGTCACTTTAAGAAGCCAAGTCTCTCTGGTGCCTCTCCGGCTTTGGAGGCCCTCGGTGCGCCTAAAGCGAAGGAAACTGTGCCCGGGTCTCCCGATCCTGCTGCAGCAGACGATAAGTCTCCGCCTATGAAGACCAAACCAGTCATGGAGAAGCCCAAGTTCGGGGACGAACGTAAACTTGGGGAAGAGCTCAGACCCGAGAAGGGGCCCAAGCTCGAGGAGGAACCCAAGGAAGAGGAAGAACCGAAGCAAAGAGGGAGTAAACCCGCTTCCTCTACTGCTCTCCCCGAAGCCTACCCTGCAGAAATACCAACGGAGCCTGAAAAGACCCCAGATCCCGAAATAACTCGCAAAGCCCCATCGCCCGCGTTAGGTTCGAAGCCGAATTTCTCTCTTCCCATACGCGACCCCATCTCGCCGAGGCCGAGGCCCCAATCTCCTGTCATCGATTTTAGAGCAAACCTGCGCAAACGTGAGGTCGCCAAAGATGCTGGGCCCGAATCGCAGCCCGAATTCAAAAACGTGTTTGGAAAACTCAAAAAGGCCGAGACTCGCAACTATGTTGCGCCGGACGAGCTTAAGGGTAACATCCTCCGCGGAAAGGCTGCTCTCAATGCCACTGGTGGACCGAAGAAAACCCAGCGTGTCGATGAGCTCAAGGAGAGCATTTTGAAGCGGAAAGAGGAGATGAAGGCTGGTGGAGGTACTATCAGACGCAATACCGTGGGAGAACAGGATGCACCGGAGAAGCCTGCTGCTGCCGTACCCGAAGCCATTGCCAAGCGCCAGCTCATGGGCAAGACAAACAGCGTCAGGCTAACGGACGAGCAAATTCCTACCGCTTCCACAGACCTTAGCCCTATAAAGTCTTCGCCGGAGCAGCCGCTGTCTTCACCTCCCCTCACCGATGAAGTCATTTTCACGGAAGAGCAAAAAATTGTCGCCCCAATTCCCAATCCTGAGGCGAGAAGTGTTTACGATCCGGAGCCAAGTCCGAGCCCCAAGGGCGACCACAAGAAAATCATGAATACTGTGAGCCCGGAGGTTATGACTGACATAAGCCCGGTTCGCGAAACAGCTAGTTCTGTTCGTGGTCTGCCATCCGCGAGGCGGCCAACAGCGAATGCGCCTGCTGTGAATCCATACTCGTCAGTAAAAGGAAAGCTCGCGGGCCGAATCAACCCTGCACTAGCAGGTCTTCTCTCTCGCGGTCCTCCAGCAGCAGCTGAAGCGCCTAAGAAAGAGCTGACGATTTCTCCCTCTGGCGAGAGCTCCCCTGCGTCTCCTTCCGCACCGCTTACCCATGTGACCAAAGGCCGTGCTAGAGGACCTAAGAGGAGGCTACCTACGGAATCGGCTGCTCCAGCTGCTGTCTCATCCGCACAGGATACTACGGAGGTTGGTGCAATTTTGTCTTCTGAAGTCCCATCCTTGCGGGCCCCTCCTGAGCCCGAGGTCTCGTCAGAGCCTCGCTCGGAGAACCTGTCGAACAAAATCCCGGTTCCCAATACTGAAAACGCCCAAGCAGACAGTCCCGTCACCAAGCCGCTCCCGGGAGTAAAGACCAGCGTCGAGGATGCTCTCAACAGCGGACTGCAGCTGAGGCTGGGAAGTATGTCACCAATTGCTCCTAGTACACCTATCTCTACACAAAATGCAGACGCCGCCTTGTCTCCTAGTGGGTACAGCGATAAAGAGAATATCGGCTCTCCAATTAGCTCTCCGGGGGATATAAGCCCCTCTTCAAGCCCATCTTCGAGTAGGCCTCCCGTCCCGCCTAAGCCGAGCTCATCGCCGTCGCCCTTGTCATCCTCTTCTTCAACACCTGTGACGAGGCCGCAATGGGCTCAGCCGCCACGGTATTCATCACCTTCTTCTCCGTCACCTCTTAGGACGAGTTTCAGAGAAAATCTGATGGACAAACCTGCCACGCCTCCTCAGAAACCCATCCCCGGTGTGATGGTCGCGAACTCTTCGCCTCAATCCAAGGCTCTCCCTTCTCCACCAGTCCCTGCCAAGCGATCTGATATCTCCCTTGACAAGCCCATGGACCCGCACAGACTCTCCCGGAAGATGTCTGCTCCGTCGCTAGTTGCCCAAGCGGCGGAGGCGCGGGAAGTCATTGCAGGTTTCTTCAAGGCTTTCCCTAATCCGCGCGACCGGATGAACATCGACCCGCAGCTGGTGCTGACAAGCAAACTTGACGCGGCAAGGATTCGCACTGTGAAGCGCTGTATCTGGGAGCTAACCGGCGATGGAAAGCGACAAGAACTCCCTGTCAACCAGGAGTATGTGCTGTACGAAGGCAGCATGTACCTGTGCGTGCATCAGTTTGAGGCACAGGGGAGCAACAGCGTCGAAGTGTACCTCTGGTGCGGAGACGATGTTTCGGAAGCGGCATTGGAAGATGCACAAGTCTTTGCTCGTAAGGTGGGCCGCGAGAACAGCTGCAAGCTGGTCATTGTCCGGCAAGGCAAGGAACCCGTGCGGTTCATTCAAGCCCTCGGTGGGATCATCATCACTCGCCGTGGATCCAGTTCTCGCTCCAATTCATCCGCCTTGTACATGCTCTGCGGCCGAAAGCATATGGGCCAAATGGCTTTGGATGAAGTCGACTATTCGCTACGCAATCTGTGCTCGGGGTTCCCGTTTGTGATCTCTGCGCCCTTTGGCAAACTGTATCTCTGGAAAGGAAGGGGCAGCGGTCCCGAGGAAACTGGCGCGGCCCGGCTGATCAGCATGGATCTCGGCCTCACGGGCGAATTTGAAGAGGTTGACGAGGGCCAAGAACCAGAATACTTCTTCGAAGACTTTGCGGGCGCCCGCGAGGGTAATCGTCTTTTGTCCTCGGATTACTGGCGACTGAAGCCAAAGTATGATCACTTCCGCACTCGGCTCCTCCGTGTCGACCATGAATTGGGCCAGCCAACCCGCTTCTGGATGCGCCGTCCTGGCTCAGGATCACCGGTGGTGCGGCCAAATGACACCGTCCAAGAGATCGAGCCTTTCTGCTACAAAGACGTGACCGAGAAGGATGTCTATGTCCTAGACACCTTCTTTGAAATCTACATGTAGGTTTCTCTTTCTCCCGAAAGACCAACATCGAAGAGAAGCTGACTTATGGTATTACAGTATCGTTGGCGAACAAGCTTCCCAAAAATCAGCCGACTTCGCCTCCGCCGTTGTTTTTGCCCACGAGTACGGTATCCTCGCCGCATCACTCCAAGACCGCCCGTTTATCCCCAAGAGTTTCGTCGCGCTGGGTGGTATCCCCGACCGATGCCAAAGCGCATTCCGCAAATGGGATTCTCATTCTCTGCACGCGCCCTGCGTGTTCCCTCTCGACGTGGCGATCGAAGCTATCCGGTCGCCAGAGAGAGATTAAACTTCGTGCTATGTATTTGTTGCATGCCTTCGTGATCTATTCTTGTTCCGTTCGTTCTGTTCTATTTCGTTCCTCTCCTTTTCCTTCCTCTGTGCATATTTCGGTTCCTAAAGAGAGCATTCGCGGCAGGGAAGGGTGGAGTCTTTCTTGTTTTACGTTGATCTACTATCTTGATTTTTGGTGCATTATGCCCTAGAGAAGCATCGTGGGAGCATTCTGGGTTGTACATCTATTCACATCTAACCTTTGAGACATCTTCGGGATCCCTAGTCAATTCACGAGTGGGATGAGCATTCTTCGTTTCCTAGCTTCAGTGTATAGAACTGCACGTATCCCCGGAGTATTCCGTACTCTCCGGCAGCCGGCCTCGGCTGGTCTCGCATGGGCGATCGAGCAGCGATTGGCGGCCCGGCAGCTTGGGGAAAAAGCCCATCATTATTCAGCAATTCACCAAAGCAGGGAAAAGCTGTGCCACCCAGCCCTCGATCCAGTTTGACAGGTGGTTTGACACGTGGAAATTAGAGGCAATGGCTAGGTGAAGAAGAAAACCAGCGGAACCTTAGAAGTGGGCCGATCGAACTGATCGCGGATTTCGCCATCGCGACATTTTTAGCGTGCCGTGTTATTCTCTTCGCTTCGCCCCTTTCCTCCCCCCACCACCTCACGCGAATTATATCAGAGGATGTGAGAGAGCCGCGCTATGCCGTGATCAGATCACCCTCATTCCACTATATCCCCGCCATGGACCCTACCATCTCCCGCGAGCTGTCGAGGCTCGACCCCGCGGTCCCGTTCCGCGCAACCGCCGATCACCTGCATCACACCTGGGCCAGGACCTTCTTCTCCCGGCCAGAGCTCTACGTTCGCCCCCAATCCATCGCGGAAATCCAGCTGCTGGTGACGCTCGCCCGCCGGTGTCGCCGCCGCCTCGTGACTGTTGGGAGCGGCCATTCTCCCTCCGATTTGACGTGCACCTCGTCCTGGCTCGTCAACCTCGATGACTTCAATCACCTTCTGCATATCGATCCCGAGTCTCGATCGGTCACCGTCGAGGCAGGCATTCGATTGAGTGAACTAGGCACAAAGCTGGAGGAACAAGGGCTGACCCTGGCGAATCTGGGTAGCATTGACAGTCAGTCCATCGCAGGGGTCATCGCGACGGGCACCCACGGCAGCTCCATGCGACATGGCCTGCTCTCGGAGTGTATTGAGGCCCTGAGTCTGGTGCTGGCGAACGGCCAGCTGGTGCGCTGCAGTGCCTCCAACAATCCGGACCTCTTTCGGGCGGCGCTGGTCTCCTTGGGTGCGCTCGGAATTGTCGTCGAAGTAACCTTTAAAGCGAGACCCGCTTTCAACATCGCCTGGCGCCAGGAGAGATATTCCCTGTCCCGGGTACTGAGCGAGTGGTCGACGGGGCTGTGGACCTCGCATGAATTTGTCCGTGTGTGGTGGCTGCCTTACGAGAAGGGCGCGATTGTCTGGCGCGCCGACCAAACCGACCAACCCCTCCACGCACCCCCCAGCAACTTTTACGGCGAGGGAGTTGGATACCACATCTATCACAACCTGCTTGCGCTGTCCTCCTACTTCCCGCGGATCCTGCCGTGGGTCGAGTGGTTCGTGTTTGGCATGCAATATGGGTTCCGTCCAGGCGCAACTGTTACTGAGGCGGTCGAGCCCTCACGCGCCGGTCTGCTGATGAACTGCCTATACTCCCAATTCGTCAACGAGTGGGCGCTGCCCCTCAATAAGGGCCCCGAGGCCATTCTCCGGCTCTCCGCGTGGCTGCACGGGGACCTGAAGACGGCCGGGATTCCCTTTTCCCCCAAGGGTCTGTGGGTGCATTGCCCAATCGAGGTGCGCGTGTCCGACTCAAGCAAGAATGCCAATCCACGACCCTTCTTGGACCCAACGTGTCGCGACGGGCCCACCCTCTACCTAAATGCGACTCTGTACCGCCCGTATCTCCGCGATCCGCCCTGTCGCCAGCGGTACTATGAGGCCTTCGAATGGCTCATGCGGGACATGGGCGCTCGGCCGCACTGGGCGAAAAACTTCAATACCCTTGATGCCACGGAGCTGCACCGGCTATACAAGGACGATATGGACGGGTGGCTGCGAGTGCGGCAAGAGGTTGACCCCGAGGGCATGTTCCTGGGCGAATGGCATTGTCGCAACTTGCCCCTGGTCGCACCGGCTGACCACAACGATTGGCTGCCTCTCGCGGAGCGGGAAAGTCAACGTCGCAAGCTGGACATCAGCGGCGCTGGCGATGGCCTCGAGTGGATTGGCGATCGCCGGTGGCAGAGCGAGAGTGCCTCGGGGCCGTTCTTCGCTAACGGGCAGCGCACGTCTGAACTGCCGTCCGACCCCTCCGCGCCTAGTCCGCCAATGACGGCAACGAGCGAGGAGAGTTTTGATTTGCTTGCGAAGGGTGAAGCCAGCATCTTGCTCCAAGGCGCATGATTGTCATGGACCAGCCACCTTGGGCTCCAACGGGTGCAGAGCAAGCAAGGCACGTGTGGATGGAGGACGAGCCGACGAGTGCCGTACTGTGCTTTACCTGGCGCCGGCGGGGGGAAGGAGAGAGACTGAAATTTGAGAGACGAGCCATGATTTACATTTGTCCTGCTAATCTGACAATAGTCAACATGGCCAACACGCCGCAGCCTATGAGGACATGCGCTTGGCTGTGATTGACGGTGGGTGAATCACGCCCCTCACTATAGCGGTCGTGCAAATGACGGGGGTTCTCCTTTTGCCTCGAATGTGGCAGATTGGTCCACCAGGGGTCGACGGGGAACGCAACAGAAACCAACCTCTCTGTGTTCTTACTGCTGTCTCCTTTCCACTATTGTCTTTCTCCCTTCATTATACAGGAGGAGTTATGTAGATCTGGTCGTTAGATAAAAATTATCGCCTTGCACGGGTTTGCCTCCTCGTGGCGCGGCTTTGGGGAAATTCAGATTGAACCCGATCCCGATCCCGATCCCGATCCCGATCCCCATTCCAATTCCAATTCCAATTCCAATTCCAATTCCAATTTCAATCCCCAACTCGAAATGAACTTGCCACTTGCAATCAACCAGTCAACCTCCCGGCTGCAGGTCTCGCGCAGGTCATAGGGCGTGTCCTGTTCTGTCTTGCATCACCGAACGCTCTTGACGATCCCGGCTGGCATCTCAGCTGCGCGGTCTCCCTCGTTTCTCCCCGAGGCCCTCTAGCGGACTCGTTTCTCCCAGGACGACCAGGCCCCGAGCCTTTGCTCTCCTGCTCCACTTCTCATGTCCCCGGCCAACCCCACCCGGTCAATCCAGCCAAAGGAACCCAACAGGATGGCACACGACCGGGAGGTATCGGCCAAACACCGAGGCCCGTGGATTGCGAAACCCTGAGCTAGCGCGAGCCTAGATGGGGCCCCGTCAGCCCTGCCGGGGTTCAGGATGCAGCCGTGATCGAACGCCTGCTGTCACACGCGAGCTGTGCTGCAGAAGAGCTGGAGCTACGGGCACCAGGATGCACAACACAGGCAAGACACTACAGACCACCGAAGAACCGAAGCCACCACGATGATCTGAGTTCAACCCCGATCGGGCTGTTGTCTGCCGTGAGGGATCTGATCTGGCCGGGCTTTGTACGCTGCAGCCTTGTTGTGCAGGTGTACTCCCTCTCTTGTCTGGTCTCGTCTGCTCTTCCTGGAGGCTGTGAGATGTGAGATGTGAGAGGTGAAAGGGGAGATGTTATCGAGGTAGGGAGGTGGAGAGGTATTAGCTGTGCAGGTATATCCCCTCGGGCTCCTCTCCCCGGTCAGTCCTCGGTCTCGATTCGCTCCCTGCGGTGCCCAACATGTTCCTCATCCTCTGTCGCCTCTTTCGTCTCCGGCAAATGACAGAGATTGAACGGAGGTCAGGAGGGGCGGATGACCGGGGGGCAATGAACCCATCTCCCGTCCACCTCCTGCCACTGTCGTGGCTGTGCTCCCCTGTAGACCAAATGGCAACGCCGTCCGTCCCCCATGGCCCGCTCCCGGGATCACCCATGGCCGAGGGCATATCACCTCGTACCACGTTTCGGTGCATTGGCTGCAAGGATGTCAGGTGATATGGCCGAGTACACCGCTTGCGAACGCACCCCAAAATCAGAGCAGACAAAGTACTCTCAGCAGGACAGGCCGCGGGCCTGGTTGGCTCACGAGGCAACAAACCACCGGCTCGAGTGGCACCCGACGAGGAAACCCTCCCCCACAGCCGCCAGCAGCGCACGTGTTGACTCTGTCAGTGTCATCGAGCGGGCTGTCAAGCAGTCGAGCAGACGAGCAGTCGAGCAGTCGAGCAGTCGAGCAGTCGAGCAGTCGAGCAGCCGTGCGCGGCCCCGCGTGTGACAAGGCGTTACCATCGCGATTACCTGTATGGCGTGCGGCCGCACGGACTAATCACCCACACCGCAGGGACGAAGCCTTGGCCCTGTTTTGGCTGCCCAAACGACCGGGGTGCGGACGAGACGGTAGGGCCCCGGACAGGGTGAAGAACGCAGTTGAAGGAAAGTGAAGAAGTGCTAGCTCGGTTCGTTCACTTGGTGGGTTTGTCCGCAGGGATCCACTGGCGGCTCGGACCGTGTCCATCCATCATCCATCCAGCGCTGAATGCATCCTCTCGGCCCCCTCCCAAAATGAGCAGGACGAGGACATAAGGGCTATCCTTCCAGATCCGATCGGATAGTCGTCCACAGCCTCCCTGAGCTTCGACGCCTGTCGGGGATCCCTGCATCGTACCTCCCCACCTACCACAGCCACAGGATGTCGCGAGACCCTCGACCGGGCCCCGGTCGAATTTCGGACAGACCGCTCCACGTCACCCTTAGTGTCTATACCGTTCTTGCGGGTGGCCCTCTGGGGACTGGACCCGTGCTGACGCGGGGCGAGGGGGAGGGGCCGTCGAGACTTAGTGGCCTAATGGCAGAAAGACCCCAAAGGTAGGGGGGGCGCCCAAAGACAGTAGGCCCCGGCATTCTTTGCACCATGAATGAATCATGCTATCAAGCGGGCTGCGGGTGGGGGAGGCTGTTCTGCGTGCTCTTGCCAATATCTCATGCCCCATATGTCATCTCCCATGTCTCGGAGCTCATAGCTTATATGCTATATCCCAACTTCGTCTTCCCATCTCCATCTCCAACTCCTGCTATCCTGATATTCTGATATCCCAGGTTCATATCACCCCCACCTAGTCCATCCATCCTCCTGCAGGTCGAAGCTTCTACCCTTGCCTTTTTGTTCGTTCATGCCACTTCCACCGAAATCCTCTCCCTGACCTGCATTCCCTTTTTTGAAGGCTCTATCCTCCTATCTTGAGCTCTTTATTCTGGCGGTTTGCGTGCTCGGGTGCCTCACGCCTACCTCCGCGCGGCTACAGCCAACCATGTCGTGGCAACCTAAGCTTCGCCCCAAGGGCTTCCCACATAGCATCGACGACTTTGCAGTGGCGTCAATGTCTGAGCTGGAACACCGCTCGAAAACGGGTGAGGATAAACGGGACCAGCGCGTCTTCCGGGTCAAGCGGAAGCATGTCCTGAAGGCGTGCGATCGGTGCCGAGTCAAGAAAACCAAGGTCGGTCATTGCTGTCGCACCAAGGACGGACAAGGGCTCATGTCTAGTCTCAGTGCGATGGGAAGCAGCCCTGCAACCGCTGCTCAGTCTACAATCACCCATGTCTGTTCCGTGAGCGGAAGGCGACGCAGACTAAGGTATACTCCCGAGGGTGAGTTGCCTCGATCCGATATCACCAGCAGCAAACGCATGTCACTAACCACACTGCGCACATGCGGGGTAGATTCGTGGAGATGCTCGAATCGCACCACTCACTAGTCGTCAAAGCCCTCCAGACTCTATACCAGTTCTGCGTCAACAAGGAAGGCTTCCCCGGCGAGCCGCTGGCCGAAGCACCAGACGGCCACCCTCTCACCCACGCCATCCTCGATCGGCTCGGCCTCATCAAACAAGCGGAAGACACTGCAGACGAGCCGGGCGAGGATTCGGAGGACCTGCGCTATCTCCGGCTCCTCTCGACTTCGACCGAGTGCAGCGCCACGGCGGAGCCGTCCCCCGAGCCGGCCACTCCCCCCGAGCCCTCCCCAACGACAGTCTGCCGGCCCGCCGTCTGCCATTCCCGTCCCTCCCCAATGACGAGCCGAAGTCACTCGCACTGGCAGTGGGATCCACAGTCCGTCCAGCAGACCACCTACAGCTATCCGGACGCCCGGTACCAGGACATGCTCGCCATGCAACGGCCCTCGATCCCCTCAGCAGATCTAAGCGCCGGCGAGATCGATATACCCTCCGGGTCCTCGCGTTCGCAGGGTCCCCACCCCCATGACCAGCCACCTTTCGCGTACTTCATGGATGAGGGATGCAGTGCTGCTGCGTCGTCAGATGCCAAGGCTGCTGTTCGACTGCAGACCGGGATCATACCCGAGGCGCATCCCCCCAGCTGGCTGGGTTGTCGAATGACCTGCTGGACGACTTCCATTTCCAGACGGCAGAGTCTTCCTTCTACCCTGGGTTCCCGCCAGGCTGGTCGTTTCCCTCGGCCTGACTGAGGCGTTTGTTTTCTTTTCCCTTCTCTTCTCTTCTCTTCTCGAGGCGAGTCGAGTTGAGTCGAGTAGAACTGTGGAGCAGCTCACAGCTTCCCCATTGCCACTTCTTATCTATATATCCCTTTCCTTCTTGTCTTCAAACTCGATTCCACGGGGTTTCGGGGGGCGGTTTCTCTTTCGCGGTGGCAGAGCGGATTGTGGAGTGAGGGGATGAACGAGGGAAAATCCGATCCTGATGATATCGACTACATCTACTCCTATCCTCTCTTCTCCCAGGTCTTGTGTCGGACTTCAGACGGACAACCCTCACAGGGGTATCCTTAGGAGAAATGCAGAGTACGGAACGAAAACCTGGGAACCCATGCATATGGGAAATGTCTAGCACAGTCTTCTTTTCTGCTGGCTGAGGCTTCCCCACCATCACTTCTCTCTTTTCCCCATCTGCATCTTCCTTTTCTTCTTCCTCTTCCTCTTCTTCTTCTTCTTCTTCTTCTTCTTCTTCTTCCTTTTTTTTATCTTATTCCTTCGGAATCTAGCTACAGATACGATCCGCACGCTCAATTCAGGTGACTTTTCTGCTCTCCTGGTTCGAATCAGGTAGACCTATCCTTAGGGATGGTGACCTTAGAGGGCGGGAGTGATGGAACGGGGCCCGGAACCGGGCCCATAGAGCGCGCCGTATAGGAACCGCATCACGGAGTACAAGCCAAACTCTTCGATCAAAGGAATCTCATGTCGACGCCATGCGAAAATCGCACAGTAATAACGTACAACCATGTGTCTGCAGAGCAGCCCACCCCCGGCGCCGCTACGGGGTTGCGGTACACAGTACCCTGGCCTCGCTCAGACATCCCATCCAACCCGAGCAGAGCGCTGGGTCACAAAATCAGGGATGGAGGAATGCGGGTTTACATTCTCATTCATACCCGGCACCGTCGACGCGGCACACCGCGCACGGAAATAGCCACCAACCAGCAATCTGCGAGCCGGAGTCCATCCGTCGCACCCCAGCATCAACCACCACCCCAACCTGGAAACACAGCACGCAAACCCCAGCGTGTGGTGGGGCCTGAGATACCACAGATACAGACCTACGCCGGGGCGCAGAACCCTCAAGGATAGCTGAGTGGCCAGGGGCTACGTTCGGATTTTGGGGGGAATTATGCGTACATGGAGAGAGGTGACGGAAGGTAGATATTTTGTATTCCCAAAGTCTATTTTCGGCGTTGGACAGGGGTGGTTGGGTGATGCGGTAGATGCACCTGGACATGGACGTAACAGGGATGAGAGGAACAAAGGGAGAAATGCGTCTGCAAAGGGAGAGGGTAACAGGACCAACACGGAAAGAACAGACAACACCTGAAGAATACACCCTAAGGGACAATGACCATGATGGAAGAAAGAAACACAGAGGAAAGGGAAATCCGATGGCAGAAGGCGATAATCCAAAAAAAAACCCTAGCAAGACTGAACCTAATCAATCAGACAATGTCGCACCGGTCCCGAGTACAATCCATCAATCAATGCCAGGTAAATGCGATCAATCCTCATCCTCCGTCTCCGTGTCAGTGTCACTGGTATCGGCTGCGTCGCCGTCGGTGTCACTCTCCTCGCTGGAGGAGTCGGAAGGCTTCGGGGCCTTCTTCTTGGGCTTCGGGGCCTGGCCCGTCTTCAGCGCGTGCATCTGACCGGCGATGGAGTCTGGAGCGAGATTAGCATTCGGTCTACACGAGTATTCAAATGCGCACAGAGAGCGCGGCAAAAGTAACGAAAGGAAAGAACTGACCCTCATCCGGTTCGCTAATGTCGTCGTCCTCTTCCAAGGCAGCCGCCTTGGCGGGATCGTCGATGTGCAGGGTAATCTCCATCTTGGTGTCTAGACCCAGATAGCTGTCGCAGAGCAAGTGCATCACAAAGGTGAAGTCGCCGACCTGCGGAGGCGCCTGGAACTGCATCTTGAGGGTCTGCATGTTGAAGGTAGGCTTGCCGGCCTCGTCGAGGATCGGCTTGTCGAAGGTGGTGAATGTGAAGGGCGGCACGGCCATCTTGCCCTGCTTGGCGTCGGCAAGGAAGACATGCCAGCGGGGGGAGTGGTCGCGAGCGAAGTAGGGGGCGTGCGCGAGCGGTGGCTGAATGGTCTCGATCTTGTTCTCGACCTTCTTGCCGTCGACCATCTTGGTCGTGCGGTTCTTGGCCGGCTTGCGACCCATCAGCGCGTCGAGATCATCCTCATCAGGGTCGATATCCTCCAGGTCCAGCTCATTCACCTGTGGCACCTGAGTGCAGCCTGGCGGGATAAACCGTGCCTTGATGACCAGCTGTACCAGACTGCTGGGGGTGATAACCTTCTCCCCCATGACCTTGAAGAATGCCTTGGAAACGTCTAGGGCAGGCAGTTGGCGTGCCACCGTGACGGCGTCGGTGTATTGCTTTTCAGACAAGAGACCAGCGCCCACAGTAAGCTTGCGGCGCTCCTCCTCCGCCATCCTCATGAACTTCTGAACAGTCCAGTGTTCCTTGGCGTGCTCGCCCTCCACGGATTTAACCACTGCCTCGGTGAAGTTGGGCAGTTGCAAGAGGGGTGACGAACCCGGGGCAATAGCCTGGATCAAGTTCTGAGAGACCTGGAAAGCACCGAGGATCGGACGAAGGTTGCCAAAGGCCAAAGAAATCGCCGTAAACGCCTCGCCAAGGGAAAGGGCAATAGGAGCAGCTTCGTACTTCTCCGCATCAAGTGTCGCATCGCCAAGATCGATACGGCCGAGATAGGCCCACAGCAAAGCCAGAGCCTTCCGACGGGAGGAGTTGTCCATTTGCTTTAAAGCTTCGCGGTCCTTGGCCGACAGGAAGGTCGAGTCCTCAGCCAGCACCTTCCTCTCCAATTTTGCTAGCCCAGCTTCAGCCTGGGCACCCTTGAGCATCTCCTTGAACTCTTCACCAGAGGACAGAGCGGTGACAATGCCACCGTCCAGAATGTCATCCTTGTACTCGCGGAAGATGTTGCCGGCGCTAGCAACAAGGACACGCTCCTTGGTGTAGCGCTGAGAACCATACCACCACTTTCCGACAATATATGGCAAAAGAACGCCCAACAGAGCGCCATATACCAACAGCACATACTTTCCATTGCCCTCCATGACAATAAGCTTAGGAAGAGCAATACCAATGCTGAAGCTCTGCTTGCCATCGGGATGGCCATACTGGAGGTAGTTGTTCCGGATTTCTTCATCGGTGAGCGCCTTGTAAGCCTTGGTGAGCTCCACAAAGCGCTCATTCAGCGTCTCCATGGTCTCATTCTTGGCGGGGTCGGGGCGGACTTTATCGGGATGGTAGATGAGGGACAGGCGCTTGTAGTGGCGAGAGATAGCTCGTTCATCGGCGCTCTATCAGCCATGACTCGTCAGTCCGGGGGCGCTTTCAATCTTCTCCAGCTCGCTGCAGCGGCGGTCCATACCCCCGCTGCGCTCGAAATTCACACAACGTACCCTTGAGACGCCCAAAATTTCATACGGGTCGTATAGTTTGGTGACGGTCCGGGCCGTAACGATAATTAGATAGACCATCCATGCCATGACCACGTAGCCCACGATCACCGTGCTGATGCGCTTGATCCGGCGCTCCTTGCGCAGGCGCTTGCGCTTCTGCGCCTCGACCAGCTCGGCATGCTGGGGTTTGAAATCGGATTTGATGCGGGAAGCAGTGTTTTCAAGCTCTGTCGGTGACACCCAATCAGTATCCTGTACACCAAACGCGAATTGTAGCCAGGGTCGCACCTTTGCTTGGTCGGAGGAGAGTATAGGTGAGAGGAAGGGTGACCAGGCCGCTCAAGGTCAAGATGAAGAAGGGGAAGAATTGTCCCTGGTAGCGCACAAGGCATCCATGTTAGTCCAACCCGAGTCCTGCTTTTGGGGAGCCCATGGTCCTTCCTTACCTGCTCATCATAGGTGTAGTCGGACGACATCCTGCGGCGAGTTCGGGGCGACAGCGGTGGCCGCCGCGGAATCTAAAGATCGTGAGTTGCCGAGTTTGGGGGGCGTCTTCAGAATGGGCGCGAGCGAGGGTATCGAAGAGAAAAAGAAGAAGCCTAAGCAATCTGCGCCGGAAGCATGGCCCTCGAGAAACAAAGGAGCGTGGAAGGGAGTATGGCACTTCCTGATCTGGTGATGACCGTGTCCTCAAGCGGAGCCTACCGCCTGCCTAAAAGGATCGGCATTGCCCTTTGGGGGAGGAAGGCGGTGAGGTGAGGACAACATTGCACTTTCCCCGACGATCATTTACTTATTTCCGGATATGGAATTTACTAGGTTTCATGGTGGTAGATCATGGTGTAGACGGATGTGACAATAAAAAACCCTGGATTCTGATGCGGGGCGCTTAAATGTGGCTCTATTCGATACAGGCTAAGCAGTGTACAGGCTATTAAAGAGCTCCACCAACAATACCCTATAAATCAGGGAGAATCGACAATATCGTCCGTTGAATGTTTTTCACTAGATGCGGCTGCCCGATCTACCACCGTGCATTGAGACAGAACAGATTTGCATGCAAGAGATGACCAAGCCACCGTGATGACTCCTCGCTAGCCCTGACAGGGAGTTCAAGCGTCAACAACCCCATCCAAGGTCGGACGCGAACTCAACCAGTCCGAGGCCGACGAGAAGACTGCCGGTGACTCATCCCATCTCGGGTTCGCAAAATCGCGGACCAGGATCCACATGGCCGGGTCAAAAGGGACCAATCCAACACTCCGACTGGGGAGTGTCTTCATTGCTTCGAGTCAGGGACCCGGGGAATCCATGTGATCTGGTGTTCCAGTCATGCTCGTTGCGTCAAGTTGGGACTGTGGCTGAGGGCGCGCTGTAGGGGGCGGAGGACGATCCTGGCGGTCCGGTCGCCAAATTGAACGGGATTTTGTGGAATTGTTGCATGAAGATCATAAATCATCGCAATCAGAAAAAGGAAAAAAAGATTTTCGTTTTTGAGGGAATTTTGGGGTTTTTATTCCGGCTGGAAAGGGCATTCAATCTCCCAAGGTGCTGTCTCGCGTTCTGGCGGCGAATGATGAGTCAGAATGAGATGACGATCCCAGTTTGGGTAAGAGGTTGCTACTCACGCGTCGATGTAGTCGAGACCACCGAAGTACTCAAGCATGCGATCGCAGAGGCTCAGATCGTCGCCCGGCTCCCCGCCGCACAGACGATACTGCTGTCCCTCGAGGTCGGTGCCAGCTTCCAACCGCTGCGCTGACTCACGGATCTGCCAGGCCGTATACCCATAATGCCAAATCAGGGCAGGGGCGGCGGCGACCGGCGATCCAGGTGAAATGCATGCAGCGGAAGGGGTATGATAGATGGCGGCTGGCGGAGAGGGAGGCGTTTGGGGAGTCCAGATGGTGGAGGGGACCGCCAACGGGGAGCCTGGCGTCACGATAGTTGTCGTCGGAGCCGCGTCTTGATTGATGCTGTTTCTTCGATTACTGGAGCGAGGGCGAGTGCGGCGTCGGTTATGTCTCTGGCCCATTCTCAACCCAGAAAGTTCAGGAGATATCGAGAGAAACCCAGCCGGGGGAAGTATGTACAAAACGGAAAAAGGAACTTTTATGATGAACGACGGAGGGGAGTGACCATCACCCCCTTGAAAAGGAAGGATGAGATGAGGTGCAGAAGAACCGGGGCCGATCTGCTGCAGGGGTTGGGGGGAGCTTTATACATCGTGAGCCCTATGGGTCCCCATGAAGAGGAATGAGTCGGGGGGTGAGTCACTAACTCCGGACTACTATTTGGGAAGGGAAAAAATGGGAGAGACCCACATGGTGGAGCCACGCAGCGTGCGGCAGATCACCTTATGGCAATCGACAATGGCGCAAATCCCTTGCGCTAGCGCCAAAGGCGTGATGCCGTCAGACATCTGATGCTGTCATCGCGTGATTTCTCGTTCCCCGGGTTGGCTAGTGGAGACGGGCGGACGAGATGCGATTACCAGGATTGAATGGTAAATCGCGGCCTAGAATGAGAGCCCACAAAATGACGACAGCGCGAGTCGGCCAGTCGGGGACAGCGGGCGCCGATGCCGGGTCGAGGTGGGTTTGCTGCGTTTGCTGCCGTGCGGACCGAACGGCGATCGCATCAGGCAACGGTCTCGCCCGCCCCTTTGGCCCCAGGCCTTAGGAGAGGGCGAGGGCGTACGAGCATGGACTGTCTCGGAGCCGCCTGGCTCCGAGCTGACTACGTTGGAGTTGCTAGCCTCAAAAAAAGGAAACCCTGTGAACGTTCTGCGAATCTCGTACAAACTGGGCCAGGCTGGTAGGACCGATGAAACCTGAGGCATTCGCTCCAACAGCCTCGCTGGTGCCTGACGACCGCACTCGTGGACCTAAGCCACGCATTCCATGCATTCCACGCATTCCACGCATTCCACGCGCCCGCTGACAGAACAACATTCCTCGGCACTCATTGACCATCTGTAGACCATCTGGAACGGACCAGATGGTCTAGACGCGGGATCCTGCACCCACCATGACTTGCTCCCGCATGCCGGACCTGAAACACCGTCAATTTCAACACGTGGATCCGCTTCCGTCACAGAAAGGCAAACATCTTGATCTCGATGCTCTCCCTTGCAGGACCATCCACCGAATCCGGATGCATGAACGCCGTGTGTGGCACTGTCTTGCCGCCTGCTGAGATCGCCTGGCTGTCGAATTGTGTGAAGATCAACGCCTCCTGCGGCTGCTGCCCACCCAGGTAGTACCACTGCTGCCCTGGGTGGAACGCGTACTTGCCCAGCTCATTCCATCCACCGGGCAGGACCAGCCGATTGGCGATTCGGTCCTGCTGCCAGTCCACCGTGGCCCAGTCGCACACGGCCAGGGGGTCGCGCTGGATGGTCTTCAGGGGTCGCCAGACGTTGATGGCTAGAACGCGGCCATTCGTCAGTAGACGGTCCGCCTCCGCACCTGTCATAACTGACTCCAAGAAGCGCAGGGCCCCGACCGCCGTGAAATCGGAATGCACACTGTGTGCAGGCGCTCGGTTATCGGCCAGCATGGCTTCGTCAGCTGAAAAGCATCGCACTCGGTGGGTGAACGTGACGGTCCTGGTCGCGCCAGTCCTGGGCAATCGGTTCTTCGTTAGCGATTGGATGAGATCCGCATGTCTGCCCCTTCCAGACAGGTACGTACAGTTGCCGAACCAGCTCCTCCGTCTGGGGAATGATGGTGGACTTGATACAGTCGGGATCGGCCGCGTTGTCGATCTCGGGCATGTCATGCCACACATACTGAAACCCATTTTGTTCGAGGGTGAAATTGGCCTCCCGTCCCCGGATATCCTGTATCTGCACGGGATGCTTCTCATCTAGGCCCTTTATGACGGCCATGCACTCCTCCGGCCTGGCCTTGGTAAAGTCCACCTCGACCATTTGGTCTGGGACCCGTTTCCAGAAGGCTAACTCAGTATTGACATCTTTAGTCGCGGCTACCGCCATATTGAACAGAAGGAATGCAGGTATGACAGCGCAGCGTGGGAATGCGGGGAATATAGAGATGGAATGGTGGCTGCGAACATCGCGGGGAAGCGAGATATCTCAGTCGATCAGCATTGTGAAACCGAGCCGGCAATTACATGGCCCGGTTGATTTGCCGAACTCAATGGGTTGTCGAGCACCGCACCACATGGGCTTGGATTGTCAGGGCTTTTTCTCTCCTGATACGCCGCGTTGAGTCCGACGTAACTGAATTCGGATCACGGCACGAACATAAAGCCGAACCCGAGAGATCGACGCCAGAAAGTTTACACTTCAGCCTGGGACGGCTCATTAGTGCCGGGCATGTGCACAGAATAGGAGGGGCTTGGGCGAAATACAAAATTAACTCTTCTACAATATCTGTATGCTTCTCCACCTCTTGAATTCGGACGGGAGCGGTAGGTCTCTGCGCAAGGAAGCTTAAAGAGGGGGGGAAGAAGCAGAGTGGCGCGAGCTATCAAGATCTCTAGCTGGGGAGAAGGAAGACTGGAGAACGCCCGAGAGACACGAAGGCCTGGGAGCACCCAAAGAACTACCTAGGAAGGTCACGGAATCTTCCATCAAAATCATACTGGAAAGGATGATACTGAACACAATACCTACAGTTCGATGATATATTGAGGCCCGGAAGAAATCCAATAAATCAGACGAGAATCAAATTGGGTACCACCTATGCTGCCAAGAAAGCAAGTAAACCGAGGCCATACACACAGCAGATTGTAGAACAAAATCTAGCGGAGACTGATATTCTCCCCCGGATATATTTCCCAGAACAATTCTCGCCCGTCGCCGGCTTGTTCTAGGTCATCTTGTGCGGGAGAATTCCAACAAATCAGACGAGTGGGATCCCATATTTTGGCACTTGCGGGGTAGTCAAGGGCCGAGGTTCGCGGCCTGCATAAAAGCGCTCCCCAAACCCATGTCCAGAAATCGGGGGGTTTCTGTCCATCAGCTTAGGTTGGTACTCGTAATCAGGGTTTCCAAGCTCTGGTCTGGGAAAGCGTCCCTCTCTTCGGGGGGAAAATCTCATGGCTATCAAATTTCTCGAACTATGAATTGGGATATTAGACAACGGACACCAAGTGCCGAATATGGAGGGAGATGAAGAAATAGACCCGGTAGAATCGCAGTGTGGATCCCTTTAAACGCTGAGCCGATTTCGGATAACACCTACCCCTAGGTGGAAATTCTGGTCTTGGCATCTCCCCAAAAAGTGTATGGCAGTCAAAGTCCACCTATGCCAATTTGAGAAAATCGATAAGGCGCACGTTGTTACACCATTGCACATTTATATATATATGAAAATGAATTGAATGTAGGGGATTTGATAGTATTATCTGTTGTATTTGACTATCTGCTTGGCTACAAGTCTTGGCGTTGTCGAAGCTGGAAGCATATCATTGGGGCGACATATTTTCGGCATTATCTCGACGGAAAAGAAACCCCCGGCTCTGCATCCCTTTCAGGTTGATCTGCACCTGGCCTGAAATTTGAGAATCCCTGCCAAGAGACTTGCTCCGCTAGGTAGCTAGTCCGACACTGATCAGCTTATCGTCTAAAACGTAGTTAATTCCGACTGCCTGAGAGATGATTCTAACAATGTTGAAGAGATCGCGATCGATGTCCCAGATATATGGCGAAATGACCGTAGGAAATCGGGGGTCTGCAAAGCGAGCACCCTGGCGGTGATCGTCGAGGTCATCTGGGTCGGCCAGCTTGCGACAGCCGCGCGAAATGTTTCTATGAATCGCTCTTGCTAGTAGGTAGAAACGAGTAGAAAGATGGATCGTAACACAGCCGCCATGCACAGTAGCTACCGTGCCAGGGCAATGTCAATTTATTTAGGAACATGACTTGTCAGACTAGGCTGGTCAATCCGAGATGCCCACGTGGTGCTTCATGTACATTTAACTAGATACATGCCACATCGTATAAATCCACCCTTGCTATGTAGACCCCCGAATGATGGCAAGCATCTCCTCCCCCTTGGGTGCAGTGGTGAGATTCTCATAGCCATTAGCGGTGACGAGGATATCATCCTCGATGCGCACACCACCAATATGGACATACTGTTCAGCAATGTCAAAGTCAATATACCTCGCACATGGCTGCTTGGAGGCATTTGCAAGAGCCAACGGCGAGAAGTAGATTCCCGGTTCAATGGTTACCACCATGCCCTCTTCCAGCAGTGGGGCGGATAGCGTGCAGGGCGCAAGGCTTCCTGCCGGGTTGAGGACGGGACCATACTGGTCATGGTCAAAGTCGGGATGCAGAGCCATGATTTCTGACTCGGATACATCGTGGACTTCGAGACCAACATGGTGACCTAGGCCGTGGGGGAAAAACACTTTTGAGGCACCGGATGCTCGAATTTCGGAGAGACTGCCATTCTTGAGGATGCCAAGATGCAGTAATTCAATGATCGCAATCTCGTGGGCCAAATCATGTAGAGACAGGAAGCGTGTCCCTCTGCGAATGCGCTTGATGCATTCCTCTTGCATGCGCTCGACCACACGATAGATGTCCCGAGCGTACTTGCTGGACCAGTCGCCAGAGAGTGGGAATGTCCGAGTCACATCGCTCGCATAGCAGTTCCACTCAGCACCAGCATCGAGACAGACGAGAGACTTGTTATGAAGAGACTCATTATTTCGGTCGTAGTGAAGGACTGCGGCATTGGGTCCGGACGCCGCGATGATCTGATATGCTTGATTTGGGGCACCATGCGAGATGCAGGTGCCAAGGAACGATCCTTCAATCTGCGACTCGTTCGACATTTTCTGGATACCCTCCAGAATCTTCCGATGGGCAAGGCCCGACACGGTATTGGCCTGGCGGATCATGCGAATCTCATATTCATCCTTGATGCCCCGAGCTGCATTCATAGCAGGCATCAGCTGTTCTGTGTCCAGCGGAATCTCCGCAGGCAAGCCTTGAGGTGTCTCCGATTCGTGAACCATATACAGCAAGCTGTTTCGCACTCGTTCGCTCAGCCAGGATTCCAGCTCCGACTTAAGCGACGACTGGTACAGGACGCGGTCGACATCATAGCGATCTTGGGCATCCTCCCGCGACAGGGTGGGGCCCATCCAGATCGCCCGATGCAGGTCGAAATCCGGTACATACAGGGTCAAGATATCTAAGCCCACATCGTATGTGAGAGCGCAGTCGGGCTCATCCACGCCACTCAGGTAGTAGAAGTATCGGCGCTGGCGGAACGGGCGCGATTGGTCGGAATCGCGCCAGTTGATCGTGGGCTGACCCGCGAGGAAGATCAGACCATGTGAGGCTCCGAGTTTGCCGGCGACGTTGCGGGCGTGCTGTTTCGCTGCGCAAAGGGAGACCCCAATTAGCTCGGGTCGTCGGCGAGATCACCGGTCGGGGACCAGCGATTCCAAGGAAGCTCCGTGAGAAGGAGGGACAGGACGAATGGTATGTCGACCTTGCGGGATTCCTCCTCGGTTGGTGAAGGGAGACAGACTGTGAGACTTACCTGGGTATTTATCACAGGAGGTGCCGGTCACGGCAAGGCGGATGTGGAAGGAGTCGACCGAGTTGACGATGACATCGGACTGGTCTGCCAAGGAGGCGTCGCGGGGAGCACCGCGAGCCTTCGCACGCATTGTCGGGTCTCGGTCGGAGAAGGTTTAGGTTTGAAGCGTAGTGATACGACGATGGGAGGGGTCACAATTTGCCTAGGAGCCCTCAGCCACGCAAGGAGCCAGGGCGGAGAGGGGAAGAGAGGAGAGGAGGCTTATCCTGAGTAGGGATGTGCCGCCTGTATGGAGTACTTCGTACTGATACCGCTAATCGCCTTGGGGTTATCCTCCCCTGGGCTTAGTTGACCGGTATGGGGGGCACAGTCCCCCTGGTGGAGGAAGGGAAAGAGATACATCCCACAAGTCCAACAGGGACTGCGAGAGAGGAGCTTTCCCTTTCTGCCTTGCCTTGCTTCTGAAGCATGGCGTTAAAACACCGGAAGCGTCGAAGCGTCGAGGCGTCGAAACGTCTTAAGATGGCCCACCGCCCGTGATGTCTTTTATCCGCCTGCAGCGCCTCTCCAGCCAACCCAACCCGAACCAACCCTGGGCTATCTCCTCCGCCCGCCTGCTTTATCGGCCAATACGCCCATTTTCTGCCAGTCACACCCCCATCGACCGCCGGCCCACTGCCTGACACCCGCTCCTCTGCCTGCACTACCACCGTAGCCCTCACGTCCCTTCCTACCCTTCCCAACGCACAAACCGACATCGGTTTTGATCAGTTTCGACTGCTTGGGTCCAATTCTCACCTTTCCCTCCTCAAGTCGATGAACGATGCAGAGCCCTGAGGCATCGGGCTCCGGTGCGCTCGCTGGCCTGCCCTCTACGCTCAAAACGGTGATAGGAACCCCATCGACGTCACCGCTCGGCTTCGTATCCTCCACAATCCCAAGCGCTGTCCAGACCGCATCTTCCCTATCGCGAAATCAGATTCAAGAAAACCTCCAGCATGTCATCTCCAGTCTGTCCTCCTCCGACTCTGTCGGTGAGCGCGTCGTTGCCGCCAGCGGCGACTCGTCCGGCTCGACCGGCAAAGGCATCCTGATTGGAATCCTGTCGGCCTTCGGGTCGGCAGCGATAGCATTCGTTGTGCTTGCAATCTTCTTCTTCTTTAAATATACCCAGCGTGGGCGAATTATGCTCGATCGCATTGGCCGCCCGGGTGAATATGACGATGAACAGGCTTTCGCTCGGGAGGAGGAGGAGGCGCTAGTGACCATGGACGACCTATCACGGTCGGAATACCTACGAGCCAAAGGTAAATTATGCCGGGAAACATCAGGAAATGGAGTTGTTTTACTAACGGTCACTGCAGCATTCGTCCAAGCCAACCCTCCAGAATCCATGCAAACCGATATCTCGCTGTCGCAGTTCCTCGCCATTCAAGAAAAAGGTGTTTCCGCTTGGGAGTTTCAACCAGAACTAGAGATCGCCAACTGTTTCGTGGAAGGTCGTACGGAAATTGAGTTCTTCGATTCGGAGTGCAGCGTGCAGACCAATCTACCCATTCCGAAACAGAACGAAGTCTACTACTGGGAAGCCAAGATCTATGATAAACCAGAGTCGACAATGATTGGTGTCGGCCTGACCACGAAGCCATACCCTCTATTCCGAATGCCTGGTATGTTCTTCTTGTTCTCATTTTCTTCGTCTTCTTCTTTCTTTTCCCTCCTTCCCATCCGTTCTGCCCTTCATTGCAGGTCGGCTAACCAGCCACCCTACTCTAGGCTTCCACAAAATCTCTGTTGCCTACCAATCTACCGGCCACCGCCGGCACAACCAGCCATTTACGCCGACACCTTACGGTCCGTCGCTCCTCCAAGGCGACGTGATCGGCATTGGCTACCGGCCGCGATCGGGTACCATCTTCTTCACCCGCAACGGCAAGAAGCTTGAGGATGTCGCCCACAACTACCGAACCCAAAACCTGTTTCCTACAGTCGGTGCCAACGGACCCTGTACCGTCCATGTCAATTTTGGTCAAATGGGTTTTGTGTTTATCGAAGCCAATGTGAAAAAATGGGGTTTGGCCCCCATGACAGGCAGCCTCGCCCCGCCCCCACCCTATGGCAGTGAGCAAGGCAGCATCTTGCTCGAGTCAGGCAGGGAAAGCGCTGCTACAATTTCCCAGCGGGTTTACCAGGCCCACACAGCTCGGAGCTCCAGTATTGGAATTCCCCAGGCCGTCAGTCCCGGTCCAATCCGTTCCCCGACCGACATTTCCCTTGCCCAGCTGGCCCGGGTTCCATCCAATGAGGATGCTGGTGAAGGGTCCAGCCGCGTCGGAGCCGACGGGGACCATACCAGCACCCCTATAGCAGCTCCTATATCAGGGCCTCCCGATGAACATGAGGCTCCACCTCCCGAATATTCGAGCCCTGGAAGCAGTCGCAGAGGCAGCGATGCCTCTTTGGAATTTCCTGCCCGAGGCTCCGGGGGACTGAGGCTGCCCCCTGGCAACGACCTTGAGTCTCAGCATTTGCCAAGCTATCAAGCTGTGGTCGATCGAGATTTCAGCGAGCATCAATAAATGCCACGCGTCGAGCCTGGCCAACAGCTTTCCTTTATATTTTACGTCCCCGCTTTCGCACATACCCCCCCGTTATGGTTTTTTTGTTGTCGCCTAAGGGATCCGAATCAGGCTGGACCCCGTCTCACATCATTTTCGTTGGCGTTTTTCACTTAGCGAGTCCACGAATGGCGTTCAAGCAACTCGGATGAGCTGGTTCATGGAATACTTTTGTCTTTTTGGGAATCTCTTCGGTTTTTCTTCTGGGATGGATTGGGATTTTATTATCAGTGGACCATGATATCCATGTGCATTCCACACGAAGTCATGTATAGGGCCAGCGGTCATTTCTCCTCTCCTTCGCCTCCCCCTCGTTCGCTCTTTGTCTCTCCTGCTCTTGTGATATATCCATTGTCAGCAGCAGGCCTGTACATTCTGTCAATCTAGCATCCTCATACTCGGGGAAAGTACTGCTGTTCAAGCATCTCTACTAGCAACCATTGCTCTTGCCGAATCTTTGCCTTGGTTTCTCTGGTATTATTTTGAGTATACAAGCACAATGATCTCAGTTGATCACGAAATCCGTTAGACAGGACCCGACGTATTCGTATGTATTGCTCTGAGGCTGTATAGAATCCATTGCCATGTGAGCGGAACTATGAGGGACTCTGCTGATCGGCTTCGCCGGTAGGGCCCATTTGCCATCGGGTGGAACGTCATTGATCAACCCTATCGATACGACGCACCAAATCCATGAACCATGCGCTATCAGCTCCGCATCTTCTGTCCTCGAGCGCGACGCGCCTCCCTTTTGCAGCAGGCTATGACTGAACATAAAGCGGGGATTTTTAATACGCAGCCTTTTCCCTTGCCACGAGCCTTCTCTGTACTAAGCAATCTCACGCTGACTTGGCTCCAGACGAGCGCCCGAAGGTGGAGTCGATGCGCCAAGGCCTGCCCCCAAGTGCCCCGGAGTTCTGAGCGCGTCACAGATCCTCCGCCCTTTCATTTCTCCCACTCCGCTGTGCGTCTTCAGGGAGTATCGGGTTGACATTCAGCTCGCCAGGGGCTGTCTCAGCCGTCCAGGACTCAGTGTCTCATTCCGAGGCTCCGTTGTCCCGTCAGCGCACTGTGCCACACCCCCACAAGGCCGGCGCACCCAGATCCGCTGCGATCACCTTCCGAGATATTAATTGCGGCGCCATCCATTGTCGCGCAGGCCCTGCTGTTGCTGCAGCTGCGACGACGTGTGAACATAATTTCCGCAATCGCCCAGTCGGTGCGAAGCTGCTGCGGTGCTCGGGTCTCGCGTGCAGTAGCGTGCAGCCCTTTCCTGCACTGGGCGCCTCTTCCCGATCGTACAAACTGGGGAAGGTCCAACACTGCAAAGTCTCAGTTCCAGACGGCAGGCGCACCTGACGTTTTCTGCTCCCACCGCACACCTGCCTCGCAAGCTGGCAAGCTGCTTTGTGGGACTCACACGTGCATGCCCTGCCCTTTGCAACTGGCTCGCTGCGAATCCTACATCTCGTTCCTGACCACTCTTCTTCTTCCTCCCGCGCGTATACGGGTGATACGACGAAAAGGGGAACGCGGCGACTGCTCTTCTATCTAACGGTCCTGTTCCCAACGTTGTTTGGCGCATCTGCGTCGCGGCCACACCGTCTGATTTAGCCGCGCCTCGACTATCGCGCCGGTAGCAGTCGACCAATCTACGGCCGCTATCGGGGCGGAACAGTTACACGCCTTTGAAACCTGGGGCATTGTTGGAAAGCCAGGCACAAAGGCTTTCTGCATTGTCATATCCATTGTGTGAAGGTCCAGGCTCCCGGCCCGTGTCTCGCGCACTGAACAAGGCGGCGGCGTGCGTGAGCGAACAATGGCAGAAAAACCCGCTTTTCAGGTCATTGTCTTGGTGAGTCTCATCCGTCTCTGTCTCGTACATCGCTGCCACCTGCAATCTGTAATCTACGATCCAGGCCCCTGTTCATTGTTCCGTGTTCTTCGGGGCTGTGGAGCCAGTCTCGGATTCTGGCAACGAAAAGCGCTGCCACTTGATTGATCGAGAATGCTAACCCGCTACAGGGTCCTAATGGCGGACCGCGTGAAGACCGCGTGACCGGTCTCCTCGTGCGGTCCACGTCTATGAATTGGTCTGCCGGCTCCGTCGTTGCTGTAGATGCTGGAACTCTTCTCGCTGGAATCATTCGATTGCTGAAGCGCTTTCTTCCGGATTCGAAAGATGATAATGGCGTGATGACGGAAGGGCCCTTCAAGGGCTTGGAACTGCCTTTCGAAACAGCAGAAGCCAATGCTGCGCATTTTTTTCGAGAAATTATTGGCGCTGTCCTCATAACGCACCCCCATCTGGACCACATCTCCGGCCTGGCGATCAATACGCCGATCCTGGAGGCGGGAAGTGGGCCGAAACCCGTCGCGGCTTTGCCGTCGGTACTATCCGCAATCAAGAACCACTTGTTTAACGACATCATTTGGCCCAATCTGTCAGACGAAGATGGAGGCGCCGGCTTGCTCACGTACCAACGCTTGGTAGAGGGTGGGAACTCCAGGTTCGGCAGTGGGGAAAGCAGGGGTTATGTCCGCGCCTGCAATGGCCTGTTGACCAAGTGTCTCGCTGTCAGTCATGGTCGGTGTAAGCAGCGATATCCGCCTGAAAGCGCTGCGCATCATCGAATAAGCAGTACTATGTTCGGATCGGATCAATTGATGCTGCCTTCTCGCGCAATTTCGGTGGATCATACTGATGGAAGGTAAATCATACCAAAAGGAGATGGTTGACAGGAAACAAGCAGCTGACCTTTACCTAGTTTCTATTCTCCCGCACGTTCGCCTCGTCTCATACCCGCCAATCCAAAAGAGCCAATCATGTCTACAGTTGAGAGCTCGGCATTCTTCCTTCGGGACCACCGTACCAGCAAAGAGATTATCGTATTCGGAGACCTGGAGCCGGACACAGTCTCATTTGAACCACGCAACAAGCGCGTCTGGGAGATTGCTGGGCCTAAAGTCGCTGCAGGCACACTGCGCGGTGTTTTTATTGAATGCTCCTACAATGACGACGTTGATGATGCATATCTTTACGGCCACTTGTGCCCTCGGCATCTGGTGGCCGAATTGACCGTGCTAGCCGCAAAAGTGATGGAAGTACGCGATTCTGAATCCGCCACACCGACAGACCGAAAACGCAAACGAATGAACACTAGCTTTGGCGCCGACGCTGGCACCCCTGAGCAAGTGAGTCCACGAACAAAGCGGGCCTCCAATCCAACTAGCGAGAAAGGGCAGAAATTGGAGTCTCAGCCAGGCGATTACGTTGGCGAACTCCCCGAAAACTTCGGTGAAGACCCCGACAGTAAGGATGTCGAAGTGCCTAATACGGCGCGCTGGGCGGACGCTGATCCTTTACCGTTGACCGGGCTCTCCGTTTACATTATCCATATCAAAGAGACTCTGACCGATGGTCCGCCTCCGGGAGACCGAATTCTCCGTGAACTCCAGGCACATGCCAGGGAGGCTCATCTGGGCTGCGATTTCTTCATTCCCAATCCGACCGAGCCCATTTGGATTTGAGAATGGTTTTAGGAGGGGAGTCTTTGTTATGTTGTTGGATTACAGCGAGGCGGCCCTGTTCCTATTCTTATTAGGGGGAAAAGACGGCAGTAGATAGGCTGTTTTGTGATTTTAGCGATTCTCAAGAGGTTGATAGGCTATGATCAGTAGCAGAGCCACCTTAGAACCGATATACTGTATCCATGGCTAACAACCGAAGAGGGTTATTTTACATCCCAGGGCGTTAAGTGAGGATGGCCTAGACGGGGTAAGCCAGCCAAGGGGGTCAAGAAGAAGCAGCCACCAACGGCCACCCTAGGCAGCCCTACAGTGTACACGAGCTATGGAACAAACCATGATTCTATACCGGAATGAGCAAAAGAAGATGGTGAGAAACTTCTCGTTACTATCATCATTCGATTAGCCGCCCTATCCCCGGTGTTGAATAACCCGCAGAATAACCATAGAATAGCCTAGGTTAGCCAGCCAATCGGCCCCACCGGGCCAATCCTCCCCACGGATCCCCCAGCGCCGCCGATAACCGAGGCTCATTCGCCCTCCTCCAGTTCCCTTGTGATTTAACGCTCCTCACGTTCTCTTCCTCTTTACCCTCCGCTTGATTTGCACACGCCTAAATCACCCCTCAATAGACCCCTCACTCTCGTCGCAATGGCCTCTATCACCCGCGCCTTGCGACCCCTGTCGCGCACCACTCCCTCGGCCCGGCTGGCCTCCAAGCGGCTAGCTACCACCCGCCCGATCCAAAGGTACGTTCGATCTCACCAACGCTGAAACGCGAATTTTGCGCGATTAGGTTGAAGAATAACTGAGAGACTGACTTGTGCATTCCGCCTCTTAGCGCCTATGCCTTCTCGACCACTCCTCGCCGGCGGGAAGTCGATCTCTCCAGCCTCACCCCCACGCCAATCACCTTCTTGTCCGAGACCGAGTCCCTGATGGCGGATACGGTCTCCAAATTCGCCTCCGAGCAAATCGGCCCGAAGGTCCGGGATATGGATGAGTCCGAGACTATGGACCCGACAGTGGTGGAGCAGCTCTTCGAGCAGGGCATTATGGGTATCGAGATTCCCGAGGAGTTCGGCGGAGCAGGCATGAACTTCACCTCCGCGATTGTGGCAATCGAGGAGCTAGCGCGTGTCGACCCCAGCGTCAGCGTCATGGTCGACGTCCACAACACCCTCGTCAACACTGCCTTCATCAAGTACGGCGACGCCCAGGTCCATCGCACCTGGCTGCCCAAGCTGAGCACCGGCACCGTCGGCTCGTTCTGTCTGTCGGAGCCGGTCTCGGGCTCGGACGCATTTGCTCTGCAAACCAAGGCCGAGAAGACTGCCGATGGCTACAAGATCAATGGCTCCAAGATGTGGATCACCAACGCCATGGAGTCGGGTATCTTCATTGTTTTCGCCAACCTCAACCCCAGCGCGGGATACAAGGGCATCACCGCCTTCATTGTTGAGAAGGACACCCCCGGCTTCTCCATCGCTAAGAAGGAGAAGAAGCTCGGTATCCGGGCTAGCAGCACCTGTGTGCTCAACTTTGATGATGTTGTCATCCCCAAGAGCAACCTGCTCGGCGAGGAGGGCAAGGGCTACAAGATTGCCATCGAAATTCTGAACGAGGGTCGTATTGGTATCGCCGCCCAGATGACCGGCCTGGCGCTCGGTGCCTGGGAGCACGCTGCTCGGTAAGCAGAGTTCTGCCTCGAACACCGCGAACAATATGCTAATGGATATGGATCACAGCTACGTCTGGAACGACCGCAAGCAGTTCGGTCAGCTGATTGGCGAGTTCCAAGGCATGCAGCACCAGATGGCGCAGGCCTACACTGAGATCGCCGCCGCGCGGGCTCTGGTCTACAACGCGGCGCGCAAGAAGGAGGCCGGTCAGGACTTCGTGCAGGACGCCGCCATGGCAAAGCTGTACGCTTCCCAGGTTGCCGGCCGCGTGGCCGGCTCTGCTGTTGAGTGGATGGGCGGCATGGGCTTTGTCCGCGAGGGCATCGCCGAGAAGATGTTCCGGGACAGCAAGATCGGCGCCATCTACGAGGGTACCAGCAACATCCAGCTGCAGACTATCGCCAAGATGCTGCAAAAGCAGTACACGAACTAGAGATAATCTGGCAGACTTGTTTTTTGGTTTGATTTCTTCTGCGATAAATTTGGATAGATATGCGCGCATTGACGATATCGGTATTGTACAATTCGCAGCTTCTGGAGTACAGGGCATCAATGATGGAAATTAATCAGAGCATTCTGTGTCGTTATTCTTCGTATATCGTCAGTCAGTATGTATTTCATAGCGTCTGTGCTCTTCTTGTGCAACATGTTTGAAGTGTTTCAAGTCGTAGCAACAATCCGCTGTGGCGTGGCACGTCACTCGGGGGCGTTAATGTTTTGGGATCCCCTGAGAAGGGGCGATTGAGTGTACCTCCCATTGACGCTGTCGCCACGCCTCATATGCTGTCTGGATCCTTTATAGATCCCCTTCGCCGGTGTCACAACAATTTGGTCAAATTCCAATCCAAGGAACGAATTCACGGACGGTGGGTGTGTAAAGACTGTGAAGTGTGGAGATCGGAGACTATCCGAGGGCCCAGCCGGGTATAGTTTCCTCGTCTGTGCTTAGCCTGCATAATCAGCTTTGTTTGCTTTCCTCGACTACGCGCCAGAAATGTTGGGAAATAAAATTGAATTGCCCTGCTGGTAGGACAACAGAACTGTCAGTTGCACTGATTGACAAATGTGTCTTTAAACGCGGGAACATACTCACAATAAGGCTCCCAAGCACTCGAGTCTAGAGGGTCTCCCAGCCAACTCCGTACAGTGTGACGGTTCTTTCTGAAACGGACCGTGCTTTGCCCATTGTCTTCCCTGACAGGGCGATGCACTTCCTACCATGGCCACAAGGTCGGTCACGATTGCGGATTCCACGGATAGGGGTATGGTGGATCTCTCTGCGGAGGCTGGGCTGGATGATTCTGGTATGAGGATGTCGATGACTGGTAGGGCTGAGCTGGAGTCGAATGAGCGGGAGCACTAGCACAGGACATTGAATGGGACATTTCTCGGTGATTAGGGAGAAAATCGGTGGTAGGCTGGGTGATTAACGACTGGGGGATAGGCGCCAGCCCGTCCACTTGCTGCCCTGGGGGTGGATGTGGTCCCACGGGATACATCTGAGAAAAGGAAGGGTCTGACCCTGATTTATTCGGACTGACAGAGCTGCCGAAGCTAATTTGAGATGCACCGATGGGGAGAGGGGGCGGCACCAAGCGTGAGCTTTGCTGCAGCCGGGCGTCCATCACATACGGCTCCATGCGAGCTGAGAATTCTGGGTCCGAGGATTCACCCAGCGACGGTGATCGTGTGCTCGAGTATGACTGCTGCCAGTCATGAGGGTGGGACACTCGACCTGACGCTGACACTGCCGACGGTGCTCGAGGGACGCTGGCCGAAGGATGAGACGCCGAAAAGTGTGATGCGAGCATCGTGTTCGTCGTAGGGGTGGCGGAAGCTGCGTTACTGGGCCCTTCGCCCGAATCCCATCCACCTCGAAAAGGTCCCGTCTGCTCACTACTACCTGTGAAGCCCTGTTGGCCTGTATAGCCGGCCAGTTGGTGTTTCAACCGTCGGATTTCCTCTTGGAGCACAGCGTTCTGTCGGAGCACGTCATCTAATTCGCTCCGAGGCCGCATCTCCTTCACCTGGGTCTGCAGCATGGCCACCTGCTTCTCGAGTTGCTCGATATGCTCCTTGGTTCGCTGGCGGATAGACCGTTGGGCTTCTCGATCGTTGGCACGCTTTCGCTCCAACTGTTCGGCGGAGAGAGAAGAGACTTTACGAGTGCCCGAGCGCGATTCACGCTTTCGGAACGGTCCGCCTTCGTTGCTGCTCATGGTCCCTCGAGACTGGGGGTTTGACCTGACTTGGTCCCTACCGATAGACGGCAGCCCGACTCTCCGGGAACCAGTTGTCTCGCACCAAGAGGACGCTATGAGTGACCATGGATGCAGCACCAGTCACCGGGAGGAGAGAATGCAGCATCAAGGGAGAGCCGGGGCTCTCTTGATAACCCCTCGGGGGCTGGAAGGAAGATTCTCGGAGGAATTTGCAGGCTCGTTCGCGGGCCCCAGGACGCCGGACCCAACAGGGGCAGGGTAGAGAAAGAGTAGGTCGTGCGGATTCCAAGACTGGAAACCAAGGAGATAGTCGCTTTAGTGGACGATGAGGGAGGTCAGGGCTTTTCTATTCTCCCCCAACCCTGGCACGACTCCTATGGCCCATTGGAATGAGACGGGCCTTAATAAGATTAACCTGTGGCTAGACGCAAGGCCATGGCCCTTCTCCGGATCGTCGCGAGCATCCCAGCCAGACCCCAAGGACAGACAATTTCGTGGCGATGCGGCGCACCCAACGGCTGAGCGCGCTCCCAGAGCTGGCCAATGAGTCAACGACAGCCGCACGAACCCTGTGGGTACCCAGAAGCTATCGACATAGCGCCTTTTTTGGTGGCTCGATGCGTCGGCCCCGTTGGCGCAAAGGACCGCATTCTCCGTTTTGGTGGACAATCCGGCCCTGCCAGGGTGAGTTAGCTGCGTCAGAGATGCGCTTGGCATCCTGAGCACTGAGCCCTAATCGGCCTACTCCATCATTAACCTATGGCTGATCCGTGCAGCTCGAGCCAACCCGCATAACTGTTGGTGATATCATCTACATGCATCTTCTAGTGGCCGGCGCTTCGATCCCAGTTCGAGCTTCTGGTTCGTTTCCCCGGGGGGGAACAAAACCAATGGCGTCTGCAAGGCTCTTTTGCCCCCAGAGTTAACAGTTGATTACAGATTGTATCCATTGAGACAGATATCCAGCGAGGGTGAACCCCCACCTATTTGATAAGACTCCAATTCCAGACGATCGTCCGCCTCCGTCCCGGCTCCGGAGACCATGTCGGCTAGCCATGGAGGAATATCATTCAGGCCGGGATGTTGGCAAGAATGCGTTATATAGGGGGCGTTTTGGCCCCCAAAATGGATCCGGAATACAAACCCGACGACTAGCGCCAGTTCCTGCGAGTCAACAAGCACAGTCAACCAGAAACGATGTCTAGGAGCATTCCTGCCCTGGACCACGACTCCTGACGGTGAGTTGATGCCGAAACGCCGATCTTCATTTCTGCCTTTTTTCACGTTGGTTTCTTTAACATTACCAACACGGTTGCAGGGACCTCGAGTGGACACGTTCGCAGGCAGACAGGCTTTTGTGCATGAAAGCTCGTGCGTCTTGTCGCTCTGCCTAGGTCACTCCGTAAAAAGATCCTGTCTAGGCGCCTACGAGTTGTTGGCAGCCAACAGCACGAGGCTGGCCTGCGTCGATGCATCCGTTCGTTCGCGGCGTTCCCAGTTTTGGTGTCGCTTCGAATTTAGCTACCGACCGAACGAATCCTGTGAACCGTAGTCTGTCACGACGGTTTAATCAGCACAGGAAGGCAGATTCACATGATTTGAAATCCTTCAAGGTTGACAGCACCGCTAAAACGAGGGAGTCGGCGACTCCGTGCGGCGAGGGGCCCGTTCTAGACACCAATCCCTCGCCGATCACCGCTGCGGGTCCTCAACAGCACCCCAATTAACGTGCTGAATGTGCACTGGAGAAGAGCGGGACGCGAAGCTAAAATGGTCAAATGATACCGCCAGCGAGTCCTGGTAGTGCTGTCCTCATCGCCCGATCCCGCCGGGCCAATGGCAGGCCCCCGATGCGTTGAGTATGATCCGATCAGTCGCAGCCTCGTGTCTGCTTGGGCGATCTCGCTTCTTCGACGATCTGTCTGGCTCGTTTGTGGTGGCTTCGAGGAACTGTCGATAGCTTCTTGATCGACCTACGAGCTTGCATACTTCGACTGCATGCATTCACTACACCGTCTGATGGCGATGCTCGGACTGGGGAGTAGATCAACCGAAAGAGCATGCGGCAGTCTGCTCTGACACGTACACCGTAGGGTACTGGGCGGAACAGGGTATTCCGCTGATCCCGCAAAATGACTCGATGATCAATACTCAATACTCAACGCCGTGGCCAGCCTTGCCGGGAACTATGATTGCAGTGCGCCAGATCGCCGTGGCATGTACCCCGGCCCCATCGTGTTGAAGCCGGTCGGTCTATCACCGAGCTCGGCCAACACAATCGTACGCTTCACCCTTTCTGCCGAATTCTATTTTTTTGCCGAGGAAAGCCAGAAATCAACGTTTGGAATCCCGTTGTATAAAACCGGCTCTGACTACAACGTGCTATCGGGGGACCATAATTCCCATTTTGGGCTTCGGTGCTAACAAGTCAGCGCTGAAGTATGAATCCTGAATGCGAATATGTACTACACTGCCCCGAGACAACTCATCTTTTTGGGGTAAACGCATTGCCCTTGAAGTTTTGTGGAAGACATTGCATACGTCGCTCCGACACGAGTAATCTGCTCTTCTTTGAGAAAGTATTGTAGACGGTGGTGCAGTAAACAATGCCTGTCAAGTCCGCCGTATCAGGTGATTGCCACCGTGTCCGCGTCGCTCCCGCGCGGAGCTATGAAACTCCCTCCGCCTTTCCAGAAACCAATCCCCCACCCCATTTCTCGCGGAGGACCAATTTGAAATCCCGGGAATTGGGAGACCCCGGTGGTTATTACACCGAATCCAACATGGATCCAAGCTACAAGGCTCGAAAGGAGGCCTTCGTGTCCAACCTAGCAGGAAGCAACATCGCCGATATCAACGCCGTCTCTTTTGTCGCGTCGGTAAGATGACACGCTGCCCCTCTCAATGCGAGCATTCTCTCACCCCAGTCCTACGGCTTAGGCGTCTGTAATTCTTTGGTCCGCGCTTCAGTCCCGACTATCCTTCTTCACACCCTACGGACCGGCTGCGCTATTGACGGATTTCATCCTCAACGTGCTGGCCATTCTGTTTGCGACAACAGCTTACTCCTCCGCACCGGTCCTTCTCAACATCTTCCTCATCACCCCCGCCGTCCTCCTCTACCTCACCCAGCCAGCTCAGCGCTCCCAGCAACTAGCGAAACCCCCACGCAAAGCAACCGCCAAAGATGATCCTTCTGATGGCCACGCACAGCCCCTGCCCGTTCACCCCTTCCTTACGACATATCGGGCCGCCATGATGGTCGTAACGTGCGTCGCAGTCCTTGCAGTCGATTTCCGCGTGTTCCCACGCCGACTCGCCAAAGTGGAGAATTGGGGTACATCGCTGATGGATCTGGGTGTGGGCTCCTTTGTCTTCTCTGCGGGTGTGGTTTCTGCACGTGCAGTTCTGAAGAGCCGCGCTTCTCGATCTCAGCAGACTTCTTTCGTGAGAAGGTTAATCGGTTCCGTACGCCACTCCATTCCTTTGCTTGTGCTAGGTCTCATTCGCCTCTGGAGCGTGAAAGGGTTGGACTATGCGGAGCATGTGACTGAATATGGAGTGCATTGGAACTTTTTCTTCACTCTGGGTTTCTTACCCCCATTTGTGGAGATTTTCGACTCGTTGACTGCGTTGATTCCATCTTATGAAGCCCTGGCGGTTATTATCACCATTGTCTACCAGGTGGCTCTCGAGTCCACTAACCTCAAAAGTTATATCCTGGTCTCTCCCCGAGGTCCAGATCTCTTGTCGAAGAACCGTGAAGGCGTATTTTCGTTCCTGGGATATCTGGCCATCTTTCTTGCTGGGCGTGGTGTCGGCATCCGCATCATTCCCACGGGCACTTCCTCTTCTAAAACCCCCAAACAAGCACGGAAGTCTGTGCTGATGAGTTTGGTCCTGCAAGCGTTGTTCTGGTCCATCATGTTCTTCTTCAACTCCACATATGCATTCGGCTACGGAGCGAACATCATGGTCTCGCGCCGGCTTGCCAACATGCCGTATGTGCTGTGGGTTTCGGCCTTCAACAGTGCACAGCTCCTGCTTTTCTGCCTGGCCGAGACTCTCTTCTTCCCATCTGTTCACCGAGCCACCAGTAAGGAGGGCGAGGTGGAGCAGAATCTCTTTGCGACCAGCTGGATTCTGCATGCATTCAATCGCGGTGGCCTGGCGATCTTTCTGGTTGCGAATCTGTTGACTGGCGCTGTCAATCTGAGTATCCCAACTCTGGATGTTAACACGCCGCAGGCCATGGCCATCCTAGTCGCTTATGCAGCGATCCTTACTGGACTTGCTTTGGCCATGGACAAGTACAATATCAAGCTGCGCCTGTAGTTATATTTCATTTCAAAAGTATTTAAGCTTATACAATATACCGAAAGTCTAAAATCACCGCAGGTTTTCCTCAGTGAGATTTTTTCGCATGCTTCTTGATTCTTTTATCTTTAATAGACTCTTGGCATCCTTTTTGGTGTACTCAACACAAATTATCTACCGACCAGTAAAGCATGGCTCTCGTACTTTAGAAAGCGTGGCACGTCATAGATCTCAAGAGTGCATCAGCTGACCTTCGGCAGCATGTGATTATCCCCCTTCCCAAAACATCTGACACTCCGCAAGCTCCAACATCCTAAGCTTCCAGCAGAATGAACTCCGATCGTTTCTCATTTTTGAACTACCCTGAGCCTCGGGAAGGTCCTCAAGTGCCATACAAGAATGAGGCCCAGTCCATTCCTGTCTTCCGAGGCACTACTTTGGCGATAGGCGCGACATTGTAAGATGCGATGGAGCTTATTGGAACTCACTCTGCACAGAATAGTTCATTGATCGACGTCTCAAACTAGAATTCATAATATTGGTTTCATCCAGAGCCAATTCTGGCGCAACGCTGGCTTCGGTGTCATTTGCGAAGTTCCTCATCTCCACGAGTACGCCGGCCGCTATGATCCGACCGTGATTCCTGTCGACAATGCGCCCAGGGACGTACCTACACCTGCGGTAGGGAAGAGAAAAGGAGCCAATTTCTATTACACGTCGGCCGACTACCATGCCTTGTATTCGTCAGGCGAGCTGACCCCGACTGCGGTCGTTGAGACGTTGCTGCCTCTTGTGCGCCGCGACGCAAAGCCTCCGGGAAAGCACTCCATTGCTTTCCTCGAGTCGAAGGTTGAGATTGTTCGCGCCGCTGCAGAGGCTTCCACCGAACGGTATAAGCAGGGCCGGCCGCTGGGGCCGCTCGACGGCATTCCGGTCGCGATCAAAGATGAGGTTCACATTACAGGGTACAAGCGAACTCTTGGAACAAAGTTGGATTTTAAGAATGGAAGTGACGCTACATCTTGGTGTGTTCAACAATGGCAAGATGCTGGTGCGATAGTAATTGGAAAAACAACTATGCATGAGCTAGGTCTGGGTGAGTAACCAAACCAACCTATGGACGTGCTGCATCTATCAGTACCAGTGTACCGAGACTAATTGCTTTCACATCTTCAGATACTAATAACAATAACCCCAACTTTGGAACCCCTCGAAACCCCCATAACAATAAATACTACTGCGGTGGATCTTCTGGAGGATCCGGCTATGCAATCGGCGCAGGGTTGGTACCAATTGCACTCGGCGCCGACGGTGGTGGCTCGATTCGTATCCCATCATCATTCTGTGGCATCTGGGGCCTAAAGCCTACTCATGGCCGTGTGTCTGGCACGCCATCCCTGAGTCTTGCGCCGACTGTCGGTGTCCTCGGGCCTATGGCGAGCAGCATTGACGATCTCGCTCTTGCATATCGTGTTATGGCAGCTCCCGCCCCCGCTTCACAGGACCCAATATCATCGCAATTTCCTCGACCATTGCCCCTGCCATCTGATCGTGAGAGGGCTAAGAAGATTGGTATCGTACGCGACTGGATCGACCGTGCCGAGGCTCCTGTTCGGGATGTGTTCGACTCTGCACTCGACTATTACCGCGAGCACGGCTACGAGGTCATCGATATCACAATCCCGTACCTTCCCGAAGGCCAGCGGGCTCACGTCCTGACCATCATGGCCGAAATCGCATCTGGTGTGGACGTGCGCCAAATTCGCCATCTCACGGCACCGAACAAGGTTCTAGTTTCCTTGGGAATGTGGCAGATCACCGCGCAGGAGCTTCTCGCTGCCCAGCGCTTGCGCAACCTGCTCATGACACACCTTGCGCATCTTTTCAAGACACATCCTGGTTTGATGATTTTCTCGCCATCAACTCCAATCCCGGGATGGCACATTGGCGGCGGTGAGGCTGATCTTTCGCGCGGTCTGTCGGATGGCAAAACCTCCGTTCGGAACATGGAGTATGTCTGGTTGGCGAACTTCACCGGCTGCCCGTCTATCAGCTGCCCTGCTGGTTATGCCAGGGAAAGTGGCGTGCCCGTTGGTGTTATGGCTATGAGCAATTGGGGCACTGAAGAAGACCTGATTGACTTTGCCCGGGATGGCGAGGGTATTCTGGACCTGCATGTTCCCTCGGGCGATGAATCAGTGTGGGAAGATGTCATCGCCAAGGCAAAAGAGGAACAGTCTGCTTGATTGGCATCGTTTTGAACATTTCATTGATAATCCTGGTAATTAATGTTGGATGAGGAAGTCTCACAAATTTCATGCAAATGACCAGCAGTCATTATCCTGATTTAGATGTATCGGGTGTTCGCGACCCGTTCGTTCACACAATGGTTAACGTAAAGTTATATGGAAAGTGCTCCAGGAGCATGCATGATAGGTACAAACAACATGCCTGGAAGTGATGGGGTGCGGCTCGGCTCCGACGGGCGATACTGTAGATATAGTTCAGCCAATTACGAGCCAACCCGATATGCAATTACAAAAAAAGAATGGACGAATGGCGATTCGAACGCCAGGCTTCTCGCATGCAAAGCGAGCACTCTACCAACTGAGTTATACGCCCGTTGATTGTTGTAATTACCATTAAAGGAGATTATGATATTCCATCTCATATTCCATTTTTTCTCACACCTTACCTTCCTACTTGGTAGTTTTCTTATGGTGCTTACCATAACTTAGAATATAAATCGCTGCATTTATGAAGCAAATCAATCATCAATATCTAGAGCAAAGCTAAATACTTCTAGGCTAATCTCTTCTTGTTCTCCCCAGCGAATGTACCTGTATATATATATACAGGTGGTCGATTCAACTTCCTGGGTTGGCAATCCATCCACAGAATATTGATCAAGCTTCAAATGCTGTAAGGCGAGCAACATACGTATGGGAAGTATATCAATGGACCAATTAAAAAAAAAGGATCTAGAAATCATAGGAAGGAGATCAGATTTCAATTAATTACCCGTTCTCATAGATAAGAGTAACCGTTGGTATACACACGGGATATGCGAAATTACCACGGAGGCCACGGCAACATGTTGTCCTGGCTAACTCTTCGACGAAAGTCAAAAGTAGAGAGCAGCAGATCAGGGTCTCGCAGCTATCTTCCAGGCCTGAAAATCAAGCGATTACAGAACAAGTCTTCGTCCAGGTTCAGCCCCCATGTGTGATGAGAGTTGATCCCTAGGAATGAAGCATCCGTTGTAAATAGTATCCGGACGGTGGCATTGGGCACTCCTTGTATAATAACTGGCTGCCAATGTAGGTCTCCCTTGATGTAGGCTCGAAGATAACGAAGCTTCCCTAACTCTTCAAAGGCGGGTGAACGACCTCTATCAACCACAGCATCTACTTTCTACTGCAGGTGGCCAGTGCTCCCTGGATATAGCACTTTTGCTATGACGAAGAACTTAAATAACTTGCTCATAGTGCCTACCTGACCGGGAAAATTCGGATGCCCGTGGGCGCGTAGATGACAAGTAGCTGTTTAGTGATAACTAAAACCTGGAACAACCTTATGGAGGGGTTTCTCTCTCTTTCGTTTCTTATTGGTTACAGAGCACCCTGTAACTGCTCCCCAAATGGACCATTACAGTAAGAAAAAGTGAAAATTTCCATGACAACCTATTGCCGAGGGATCCGTCATCTATTAAGTAGAGTCGGCGTTAACTACCACATCGGGTTGGATCTAGATTTTACACCGAGGTTGACACGCGTTATGCTTCAAGCACATAATCTTATAGCTAGCCGGGACTTTTTCTGCCTAACTGTTTGATTTCGAGTCTTTCAAAATGATTTATGTCATATTATCTCTCCTCTTTGCAGCAACCGCGCTTGCTCAAACACCGCCCCATAGTTATCCATTGACCGTGAGCAACCTCCGATCAACTTTCGAACACGCGACAATCACTCCAGGGGCCTGGATTAGTCCAGGTGGTATCGCTATGAGAAAACTCCAAACTTCCCTAAGGCTTGACTAATTGCAGACGATAGATGTTGGGAGTCAGCCTGTGGTTTACGCAACAGAGGGAAAAGAGACAAAACAACATGACAGCACTTACATGATCTTCATGCTGGATTTGAATATACCCGACTCTGATGTCACGACCGCGGCACACTACAACAGCTTGGTTCCTGGACTAGCTGTTAACACGACCACTCGTCTGCACTGGTGGGGTGGCAACTATACCATTGGGAAGCATGGTCTATTCGCGAACTCCAGCGATGCTATCGCCGAGTATACTGCACCTCGACCTCGAGACAGCACCAATCACACCTATACGCTCTATCTCTTCAATCAACCCTCTGGTTATAATCTCCCGAAAGAGGCTCTGGACGGTACATATTATTCCCAGACCACTGCTAGTCGCTTCAACTTTTCTCTGGCCCACACTGTCAAGGAAGTGGGTGAGCCTGTGGCTGCTACTTATTTCCTGAGTAATAACCCATAGAAATTGTGGACGAACAAGAAGATGTTAAGAAAAGAAAAGTGGATGCATGCTTATTTCAAGTGCATATGAGCTGGACAGGTTGTACATACACCGCCAGGTTGGGCAGAATTACACACGAAGAGGATATAGACAACGTTGTGCATATTCACCACCTTTGAATTGATTGCGATTCAGTTCGAAGTTCAACACTTTACTTAGTACCGCCATAAGTAACCATTTATGACGAAACTAGTGCACTCGTACCTTCGATGCGACTATAAGGCGCGGTAATTATAAGAGAAAAACATGGCATTAAAGCTGGCAATTATATGAATACGATCAATCTGATTGAATGCATTGCTCAGTTATCTATAGAGGAATCATCACCACAGAGGGGAAACAGCGGATTCGGACCATAGGACAAGGAAGCTTGTGAGCGAAAAGCCGAGGTGAAAGTCCTGGAATTGGAATATCAAATAAAATCCGGCAAGTGGTTGAAGTGTCTCAGAGGCTGGTTTGAACTTCTGAGATTGAACCCCTGAACTCGAGATGCGCCATATCCCAAACGCCTCTGGATTCACTGGTGTATCTATCATTGCACACATTGAGTCTGGCACAGCCTCCTTGGTCATGAGAATCTCGACAAGACGTAAAGTTGCGGGGTTATCCTTTTTGGAATTCGACTTTGCAGGGAGCATCAAAAGATCATGCCAGGAAAAAAAGGCTTCAAGCATTCTTGGCAATGCGATATTACTGTATGCTTGTGGCCGCAGTTGATATCGCCTCGAACAAGATCAGTTCCTAGTTGGTTACCACCGGACACATCGCTGGCCTATGATACGACTGCGCGTGATCGGCCATCCAAAGAAATAGATAGAGAGCAAGTAACCATCTAAAGCCATATTGCCCCTTCCCATTGGAAAATATCCTGCCATGAAAGCGTTTAGTTCGGCTCCCATACTTCGTACTTTGCAGAGAATAGATGTCGCGCTAACCGAAACAGGAAATCGAGCTCCCCGCGCCCAAGTAAACATGGAATTTGACAGCCCGCGCTGGAGGACCCCAGGCTTTCAACCATGCCGCACCTGCGACGACAACCAAACCCATACGACTACCGTGGTCAAGACCCTAACGCTCCTGGTAGTCTGCGCGCGCAATTCCAGACCCCGCCGTCGCGGCAGACCCCGTCCCAACGACATCCGCCGTCCACAGGGCCGCATGAAGTGACACCAGACCAGGCGCCCGTGACGGCACACCCGGCGGCGCTGAACCCGTTCTCTATATTTAGGCGGCCAAGGCTGGACCAGCAGCCTCCGGAGACTGTGGAGGAGGAAGAGGAGTTTGACGATGACTACGATCCGAATGCAGAGGACGAGGAGCAGGTAGAATACGATGATGGAATGGTCCCGGAGGAGCAATTCGACCCCGAGGAAGGGACAATGGATTCCGAGGGAGTCGATGGTGATGATGTTGAGGAGGAGTTAATTGAGGACCAGCTCGAAGACGAGGATGGCGACGAGGAGATGCACGATCGAGGTATCAAGGCCCTCCCTTCGCAACAGCTAGACTGTTGCCCACGGCCTAAGAGCATCCACTGACATTTGAATAGATCGATCACCATCACCTCTTCCTCCCAATCTTCGCGAGATCTCCTCCCTCGCTTCATGGACCGTTTCCACCTCCAAACCCGGTTGCGGGGTTGCAGCACTACGGCACCATTCCCCCGCGCAATACTGGCAATCAGATGGACCGCAGCCACATACATTGACTCTGCACTTCTTCAAATTGGTTGCTGTCGTTCGTATCCGTGTTTACCTGGACTTCGACTTGGACGAGAGCTACACGCCAACTAAAATGATCTTCCTGGCTGGTATGGGCGGCAACGACCTTGTCGAGTTTGCGACCTGGGAAGGAGACGGCCCATGCGGTTGGGTCGATGTTCCCCTGGAAGGCGTGGGTGGGCGCAATGGAGGCTGGGTACGCGACGATATGGTACGGCGCAAACGCCGATCTAAGAGCGCTCGCCGGCAAACAGAGCATCATGGCGATGACACCCGGAGCGAAGTCTGGGATACCGCCAACGAGGACGAAATCGACAGCGAGAATGATGACTATGCAGATGACCCCGACGACACCTATGCAGGGAACGTGCTCAAGGCTATGGTGGTCCAGATGCGCGTGATGGAAAACCACCAGAATGGAAAAGATACCCACGTCCGCGGCTTCCAGGTTTTCGCGTGCGATGATAGTCGCCGGCGTGTGGCAGCTGCGCCGTCTGCGTCGGCGGATGGCCGTCATCGTCGTCACAGTGCCCGACAGTCTCTGCGTGGGGGTGTCACGGAGATGCTTCATAGTCGGACCGCAAGCGAGGACCTGGATACCAGCAGACTGATCTCGACTTCTGGGTTGGATGAGCCGGATTGGATGGGCGAGCCGGTAATTCGATGAGCTGGACACCAAAAGCATTGAAGTAGCATTTCAACTTGCATTTGTTTCCCGTGTTTAGTGGAGTTGGTTATGACTTCAAGATACCCTGGTCTTTTCATTATGGGCTTGCGCAGGTTATTTTACTGTATTTTTATCTTCGAACAAGTCCAAGGTGTTGGGTTGAACTCTCAAAAAATCTAGAGATTCCTTAATCAGAGTATTTATTATGATTAAAAATTCCGAAAGGGTATTCAATTTTTGGTGTCTACAGTCGTCATATCTCATATAATAAACGCCTGCCGAATAGACGCAGCCAGCTGCTTCATATCTACTTGAGCAGCTTCTCGAGCTCGGCAGCGATGGCATCGCCGACCTCGACGGTGGTTGCCTTGCCGCCAATGTCGCCAGTGCGCACACCAGCCTCAATAACGTTGCTGACGGCCTTCTCGATGATACGGGCCTCATCGATCATGCCGAAGGAGTACTGCATCATCATGGCGACAGAAAGGATAGCGGCGACGGGGTTCACAATGCCCTTGCCGGCAATATCGGGGGCAGAGCCTGTAACAACCAGTGAGCAAATTACATTGCATAGTTTGGACAGAAATGGAACGTACCGTGAATGGGCTCGTAGATACCGTTGACACGGCTCTTGCCATCGGGAACACCGCTCAGACTGGCACTGGGCAACAAACCCAGGGAGCCAGGAATCACACTGGCCTCGTCGCTGATGATATCACCAAACAGGTTGCTGGTGACAACAATACCGTTCAGCTTGCGGGGGTCCTTGATCATGAGCATGGCAGCGGAGTCGATGAGGTGATGACCAATCTGCACCTGGGGGAACTCCTTGGCCATGACCTCAGTGACAACCTTGCGCCACAGACGGCTGGTAGCCAGAACATTGGCCTTATCCAGACTCCACACTGGCAGAGGGGGGTGTGCTGCAGAGCCAAGTGACCGGCCAGACGGGTGATGCGCTCGATCTCAGCGCGCGAGTAGGGCTCCGTGTCCATGGCGAAGCCGGAGCCATCGTCCTCCTTGCGGTCACCGAAGTAGATACCACCAGTCAGCTCACGGATGATGTTGAAGTCGACACCGCGGCAAACTTCGGCCTTAAGGGGGGGAGCTCTCGACCAGCGACGGGGCGGCGAAGTTGCACGGCCGCAGGTTACCGAATGTGCCCATCTCCTTGCGCAGACGCAGGATACCCTGCTCAGGGCGCACGGCACCCGTGCCCCATTTCTGTTCATCATCAGAATCCCAATTAGTATATGTATGCTTTTTGCGAGATCATTTGGAGGGAGAGTTCGAACGAACCGGTCCACCGATGGCGCCGAGAAGGACGGCGTCAGCGTTCTTGGCGGCCGTCAGGGCCTCGTCGGTCAGGGGGGAGCCGGTAGCATCGATGGAGGCCTGTTATCAGTTAATTGACAAGCTCTTCCTGGCTTCCTAATATCTAGCACTCACGCCGCCGAGCAGGTGGTCCTGCAGGTTGAAGGTGACATCACGGGTCTTCTCGATCACCTTGAGGATCTAGGGACAAACCAGGGTTAGAATCTCTTTGCGCCGAAACAACCTTCACCACATGGTCTTATTTCTCACCTTGATGGCCTCGGCAGTAACCTATGTTTCGCTTGGCGTTAGCTTTGAGATCAAGAAAGCGCGCGCCCTGCCTCTTCCCAGACCGGGTTGTCGCGGGGGTTAGGCTAGACGTACCTCCGGACCACAGTGGTCACCACCGAAGACGACAACGTTGAAGGAAGGCATTATAGGCTAATCGAGAAGGGGAGAATGTCAATTGGAGGTCACTCGATTGCTTCCAAGCAGCAGGGGAGCTTTAAAAAGGTGGGATGCGGGTGAAGTTGACCCCACCAGCTCCGAGATCGGCGAGCAGCCCGCCCACTCGACTGGTTCCGCCGTCGCAAACAAAACCCACCACCGGACCAACAAGCCTCCTTTACGGTTTGTTAGGGACGGCTCTGCGGTTTGTTGCGGCCCGCTCGGCATTTTTGAGTCATTCAATTATTAGGCCAAAAATAGTTATCTACAGAACATAATTATGAAGACACAAGAGCATGCATGAAATGATGTATAACGACGGCATCAAAAATATCAGACAGGCAAAACGATGGTGAAAACGACAAGATCGAAGTAACCGGCATAAAGAAAGAAGAAAAGAGAAAGCAGACACAACCATGTGTGCACTATACAAAATCACTCGAAATCCAGACCATTCCAGAGGACCTTTCCCTATCCCGTCCATGACGCTCATCACCGAATAGGACCCGAACCGCCAAATCCAACATTCCGACAGGATCTAGGTGACAGCTTCTCGAGCTGTCGACCCGATAAGACTCCTTGAAAAATCACAGACCGACCGAAGCTCCAAAGACATGCATGACCCGAGGGAAGGTCGGGCGAAAGACGAAAAAGGACGAATCTCTCGGCTGGCCGCGAGCCAGCGAGACATAATCTTTGCGACGCACTTCGACGCATCCACAGCATATTATTTCTTGCGGTTGGCAAGACGGGCCTGACGGTCACCCTCAGCCAACCAGCGGCTGGCATTGACCAGCTGGATAATGTTGACAAACTGCTTGAATAGCATAACGGGGGCCGAGATGCCGGTGATGACCCAAGGCCAGAAGCTATCGATCTTGTTCGCGCGGGCCATCTCGAGGGCGCCGGCGCTCCACGGGCTGGCAAAGAGACTGCTCGGCACCGGATTGGCGGGGTTTCCGGGCTGCGCTGAGAGGGGTTGGGCTTCGCCGATGGGTTGGAGGAGCGAAGGCGATAGGATCGGCGAGGAGAAGGAGAGGAGGTACAGTCCAATAAAGAACAGCTCATTGAGAGCGCAGCAAATGAACAAGACGACCTAGTAGACATGTGGGAATCAGAATTGAGCAGGCACATAAACCGCTGACAGAGACGTCATACCTTGCTGTGGTAGTACTGGTAGAGGACCCAGCTGCGGCTGGAATCAACCTTCTTGTGGCTCTGGTCGGAGCCACCCATGCTCAAGGTGGCGTACATGTGCATGTAGTGGCTGGCCAAATCCAGGCAGATCAGGCCCTGAAAGATGATCGCCCATCGGGGCCAGGCAGAGCTCAGGAAGACGATCAAGCAAGAGGTTGTGCAGCGATCTGTCACCATGTCCAAGACAGCACCAAACGTAGTCGATTGGTTGAAGTATCGCGCCGCATATCCATCCAATGCATCGAGCAGACAGGACACGCTATAAAGAAGGGAGCAAGTTCGAGGATGGAGGGGCATGTAGTAAAGGGATGCGATGGCGAGGACAACTCGGAAATATCCTGAGAACAAGCGTTAGCGATCTGAGTTGCAAAAGGGGATGCAGCGCGTAACAGGCGCCGACTGGGATCGTACCGATGAGGTTCGGAATGAACAAGAAGATGTTCTCCCGGGGCTCTTCCTTCAGGGAGGACCGGGACCTCTTTTTCGATGGCGCCCGCTTGGACTTGGACGGGGATGACGGTGTGCCATTACCGGCAGACAAATCCTCGCTATCGTCGGCGGGCACGCCCAGGGCAGCCTTTTGACGTCGTGTCCGGGCGCTCATTGTGGATTTGGAAGGTGCTGTGGATGTCGGTTGGGTTGCGAATGATAGCACCGGGGGGGGGGCAGGCCGAGAACACAGCACGACACCCTAGCAGATAAGGGTGATAAGGAGGGAAACTAGCGATAGACGAGCGAGAGGCGCACCGGATCTGGTCGGAGGGTAAAATAATCGCGAGCCTGGTTACACTTAAGGATAGGGGGCGTGGTAAGGAGAAAATTCGTCCCGAGAGGATCAGCGTGATAAGCTGGCGCGTCGCGTATCTTTAGTTTGATCTCCTTGAAACCGCTCGGGAAGGGAAGCACTCGGTCGAGGACAATGAGAAGTTCGAAGCTTAGTTTGGATTGAAAATGACCGGCAACTTCCAAGGGATGGAATCTCAGCGAAAAACGGATCCGGTCATGGAATGATGTGTGAGATTTTGTACCTACGGGTTGCCCGGAACCTTGGAAGCTTTCCCCACGCGGGAGCATCCACCTATTTTTCTGGTTGAGTCGCGCAAGCTGCTACGTGTCTTTGCAGTTCTAGGGAGCAATATCGCGAACTCAACCGGTAGCTTCTATAATGTTAATTGTCGAATTATTCTCAGGCAGAAACTATCTTCTAGCTGCTTTTTCGGATTTGTTGCATGTGTGGCCGGACTTCCACTTTTAGGGAGAGCAGAGATCTAGTTTCCACACTTGATTGCTTGGTAGAGAAAAATTTGCTGATCAACATGTCATGAGAGATATAGAATAGGTAACATCTATGAAAAGGTGTACATGACAGTGAGGTAGATGCAGATATACAAGAAAGAATGACCCCCGAACCTGTCCTTCCCGCGAAACAACCGCAATATTATGTGCAAGAACACCCCATTACGAGGGTCAAACTATTTACAGGCTGACAGCATTTCTTTACAATGGGGAGATATCACGTCCGTGACCTGCGCGGATCGGTGGCATCCTGTCGCCGCCACTCGCGAGACTCCTTCGTTCCCAAACTGCCCACGCCCCCTTCCAGTCGTCGCTCCCAACCGCCAAGTCGGATGACCAGGCAAGTAGCATTGTCCCCCTCCTTGGTCACCTCAGTTGCAAAACTAGCTACATCACGGGCACCTTGCTCGGGGGTTCGGGCTTCTTTGACAATGTCAACGATCTCTTGATCTAGCAAGGTGCCGCTGATACCGTCGGAGACCATGACCAAAAAGGAGAATTCAGCCGGTCCCATTTCGATACGACGGAGCTCGGGTTCGGCGGAGACGCCAATGCGCTTGGATTGAACGTCGCCGAAGGCCCGGGTGTTGGCAAGTCCGCTCATGCGCTCCTCGCCGAAGGAATCGGTCACAAAGGTCGTGGCGTAGCGACGTAGTCGACCTGCCTCTAGAGGAGAGGATGGGTGGTGGTTCGAAGTCAGTGGAATCGCTTGTCCGGTTATAGTTGAGCAGAGTAAAACCCTGGTATCGCCGACGTGGGCGACCAGCAGACTCGACGGGCCAGCCGGGTGCCAGAAAGGTGTCGGGGTTGGAGTTGAGATCATGGCAATACTCCCAGTACTTCCACCTTTGAATCGTGACCGGCCACCGATCTTGGGACTTCGAGTCAAGCTCGGGTTATAGAGAATCTCATCTTCGTTCAGCGGCTTCTCAGCTTGAACCAGATCATCATCCTGCTTGGCCGCTTGCGCCTTGACAAAGTCCAAGTCGGCACGCAGGAAGGCATACTCCAGAACCTCCTCAATGGAAACATAGCCTGTGGAAGCGGCGTTCTCTGTGGAGTTGTCGGGGCCATAGTAGGCAAAATGTGGTGGCTTGAATCTCTTGAAGTAGCCGCCAACTAGCCGGCGCCAGTTCTGCACGAGATGCTTCTCCAGATCTCCAATGCGTTTGCGATCAGCCTCCTGCATCACCGGCAATGAACCGGTGGCGGATGAGACTTCCCCGTAATTCACCTGTTGTTGCTTCGTGCGGAGACTCGATTGAAGCTCGAAATCGGCCGCTGCGTTCTGGATATATTCATGTAGCCTATCCTGCAAAAACGTGCTGCACTCGGATCCGCCATGTCCGTCAAATACGCCGAAATAGAATACTTGCGGATCCCCACTGGCCGTCTCCGCGCCACGCGACTCGCGCGAGTCGGCTGAAGATTTTGGGTCGTTGGATCGCTTAATAGTTAGCGACGCCGGGGGTCGCTTTGCGAAGGCAGGAAGGTCGATGACACCGGCTTGGTATGTATCTTCATTTGTAGGGCGAGTACCGCGGGCAGTGACGGCTCCGAAATGATGCTTTGCGCGGCGAAGCGGGATTCGGACTACTGTCGTCTCGCGGCCTACTAGATTCTGGAGTAATGTCGGCGAGTGCAGTGTATCTCCGGTATGTGGTATCGACGCCGAACGAGGGAGTTTATGGAAGGAAGAGGTGGGCCCCCGCGGGTCCGGATGTAGCGACGACGACGGCAGGTGTGTGACGAAGTAGTCGTGGAACTGCAGGCGCTTACCCACTGTCGATGGCTCATTTTGCGGCGTGGCTTCGGAGCTATACTTCCGCAACCTTCGAGGGCGGGTGAAGCCTGCTTAAACGCATGGATGTTAGCTAGCGCAACGACGGGGTTGTCGGCCAAAAGATCTTCAAGCAATTTGGAGATAAGGCCGAGTGTAGCTTTGGGGATCCGCATACTGTAACTGCCGGCCGAGATCCAGGCCCGACCTGTTACTCGCCTCACTGAAGGAACAATCATGAATGGCCCATTGATTGTCGAGGGGGGATGGTGTAGGAAGAATGCAGTGCAGGAACAAGTCGGCGTGGGGGACACATTTCCTTGGCCCGAGCGTCGGCAGATAAGGAGATGGCCACCGGCATGTCCATTCTGCGGGTTTGCGGGCTCAGGCGCGACAAATTTATTTTTAGCGAACTGAGTATTCTTCTCGTTGAATAGTTTTCATTGCAAGGGCCAAGCTCGATTGTTCCGGTACCAGACCCTATAGCGATGCTTACAATATGCCAGGGCAGCTGGTTCTATAGGGGTGTACGGAGTAAGGCCAGCTTTCCTATCGGTCTCCGGGCCGGTATCCGACAAGTAGCGAACTACGGAGGGTTACTGAAAGAGCGATTGTCGAAAATGTAAATACGTTGGTAACACCCAACGGGACCTTTCTTTAAATGTTCAAAAGAAACAGACGCTCCTAAAGACAAAAATCATTTCGAGTAGCATGGCCGTCGTAATGGCCAATCAAGAAGCGGAATAAAAGCACGCAAGGCGAAAGATTGGCACCTACCAGGAGCAGAATCATCCGGAGAGCCTAGAAAAACAAAGAGGAACGCCAAGGGGATCTGCCTGAGAGAAAATGGGCCGTGTTAGAGAATAATGCAACTAAAACCACGGGCGTGAGTGGGACCGGCGGATTGGAGATTAGATGGCCTTGGTACGCGTGAACAAACTGCTATAGACGGCGTCCACGACAGGCTGGGCGGTGATCTGCCTGCCACCGAAGAAACGACCGTTCAAGCCCTTGATGGCGTTCTCACCACCCTGGACGCGGTCGAACTTCAGGTAGATGTCGCCTTGAGAGTTCGGATCTAGCGAGATGTGAACAACATGGCCATATTTTTCTTCGCACTCTTGGCGAACGTCATCCTCCAGCTCCTTCATCCAAACTTCGCCAGTCTCTCTGTTGGGAGAATTGTCAGTCGCCTAATTTCTGAAACGTAAATGAAAAGATAAGGGGTTCAACGTACTCGTTGGGATCAAACATGTTGCGAAGCATGACGCACCGACTGGCCATGTTCACATTGACAGGCAGCGGCTTGGTCTCGGTCTTGGGTCGGAGCACCTTCTGCTGTTCGTCGGCCGAAGGCTCGGGTTCATCTGTTCGTGCAAGCTTCCTCATCAACGCGTCCCTACTGTAGTTGTTGAAGTTCACACCCGCAACATCCGTGTCATCGAGGGCACTGGCACCGGTGCCCTTTTCGTTCTCGCGGCCGCCGCCGGCACGGTCAAAGTTGTTCGAGCCCCCAGCTTGAACGCCACGCCCTCCATGCCCGGAAAATGAAGAGCCCTGGAAATTCGGTTGGTTTGCAGATGGGCCCTGCTGACGATTCGCGTTCGAATCTGGGGTGAACTTATCGTTGCCAAGGCCCACTCGAATGGCCCGACCAGCAAGGTCAAATCCGTTCATCTTTTCCAAAGCCTCCCGAGCTTGGTTTGGATCCCGGAACCTGGATGTCATTGGATTAGTGAACCACAATATGAGACAGAATGGATTGTGGACTAGGAGACACTTACTGCACAAATGCGTAGCCTTTGCTTCGGCCAGTCTCATCCTTCTGCAATTGGACGAACTCGAGCTCGCCGAACGGTTCGAAGACATTCTGGAGGTCATTTTCAGTGATGCTGAAATGAACATTACCCACATAGAGCCTGTGAAACGGCGCGGAGTGCGATGGGCCCGAGCTAGCTTCCGGGTTGCGAGCTTGACGGTTCTTTTCGGCTTCGGTAAGCTGGGCGATGATAGGAATGCCTAGAAGCCTCTGGCCGGTAAGCTGAATCGCCGCAGGCACGGACTCTTCGCTTTTGAATTCGACATAACCAACACTGCGAATGATAATGTTAGCTTATGGGAATGAGCTTTATCTGGTAGATATAATACATACCCTTTCGATCGTCCACTCACTCGATCCTTGACGATCTGAGCTTCCTTCACGGGGCCGACACTTTCAAAGAATGCCATCAGCTCTTTGGTTCTCAGTCGCGCGGCAAGCTGTTGCACAAAGATAGTTCGTTTGTCTCGCTCATCCTCGTTAAGCTCGGGGGATTTGCTGGGGCTGCGGCGGCTGGGACTGCGGCGGCGGCCACCGTCGCGATCACGGCGTTGACGTTTCTCGTCCTCGCGCTCTCTTCGCGTCGGGCGGTAGTGACGATCATCGTATGGCGAACGCGAACGGGTGCGAGCATGTCCTCCACCACGGTAAAAGTCGCCACTGGAGCGGAAGTCGTCGCGATCGCGACGCGGGCGTCGTCGATCACTCTCCCGGCTCCGGCTCCTCTTCCGGCTTCTGTGGCTTCCGTTAGCACTGCCATGTTCGCTGTGCGGGCTCTTGATGTCCTCATCGCCATCAATATCTCGGCGGCGGTCGCGGCTGCGGTCACGGCGTCGGCGTCTATCACGGGAACGGTCGCGCTCCCGGCGGTCGGAGGGATCAGCACGAGAACGGTCGTCGCGATCCTCTGATTTGGTGACAGAGGTCTCTGCAGGGGCAGCCGTAGACTCGAGAAGAGCCTCTACATCGAGTCCCGACATTGCGGAAAAGCGGTTTTGTCGCTGGTTGTGATTTAAAACAATGGCGCGGGTCAGGGAAAAGTCACTTGGGGCTCGGTCAGAGTGCGAAAGACAGGTCAGCTTTTGACTTTCGAACCCTTTTTTATTATCTCGGTAGATGATGAACTGGTTTGCGCGAATGCTCTACCGCGATCCAAGGTTCGCTTAGAATGCGGAATGGTGGTGGTAATGCAGCGGTCTCGCGAGTCCAAAAGCGCCGCTCATGTGAGGTTGTGAGCCAGTCAGGTGACCCTTGAAGTTTTACTGTTGCCTCAGGTGTCTTTTTGCCACAGCCACCCAGTCTCTGGGACAGCTACGGAGTACAGTGAGACGACCCGAACCAAAAGATATACTTATAATAATGTAGATGTGAATGCACAAAGTGGGGAAGTTGTTATTATTATTATTGTTCATGTACACTAATAAGTGATATGTGATGTTCATAAAAGAATAAGACGGACCGGCACCCTCTTGAGCTTGTCTCACATAGCCAGAGGAGCCAGTATGCATAAACCATCCTGTGAAAAAAATCGATCCGAAACGCCGCAATTGCCAACATGATGGAGCAGACATGTACAAGCACTGGGCGTGTGGACCCGGAAGCGAGACTCCAACGTGAACTCATGATATGAAAAGCCAGCAACCGCCGTAGAGGTTGGGAGTGCCCTCATGCTTTCACTGAGCCTTCTCAACCTTGGGAGCAGGTGTCTCCAACTCAGTGCCGAACACCCGATCCCAGAATCGGCTGGTTACGCCGAATCCGTTCTCGAAGTCAGCGTAGTGGTGCTGGAGGTGGTACTTCTTGAGCTCTTTGTAGTACAAAGGAAGACTATACGACATTAGTCTCACGGTTTATTTAGATGAAACCGGAGCTGGAAGACTTACTTGCGGTGGTGGAGGAAATAGTGGGTCAAATCGTAGCAGACGTAGCCAAAGACACCACCACAGAATACCTGTACTGCTGCAAACCAGTTGTAGAAGAAGATGGTGTGGGCAAGTTTCCAGAAAGGAGCTGCCAGAATCACAAACAGTGTAGGAGGCATGACAAGCCGGTACCGGTCCATGGGCAGGTAGTGGTGGATGCCGTGGAGGAGGAAGTGAAGGGTCAGACCAACTCGGTTGTCCGGGAGCCATCTAGAAGAAGAGAAATAAGCAACCATATTGCAGTATAGGGTACTAAGATGAAGGGTTCATACTTGTCGACGTGGAAAAGAAAGCGGTGCAAGATGTACTCGATCAAAGTCCAGAGGCAAACACCACCAATCCAATAGGCGGCAGCCGCAGTGGGGTTCCCGAGGCCTTGAGCTCCAACCATAGTGCCATAGAAAACTAGTGGCAGCCAGATCATAGGCACAACATACCAGGCGGTCTTGCTGAGGGGCTCAAGGATGTTGCCAAAAAGCGGAGCAGAGGCGCCTCCCTTGTAGTGCCGAGGCCGGTGGATCTGCTCCAGATAGAACTCCTTAGAGAAGTTGCTGTACCAAAGCTGAGCAAACAGTGGCTTGTTGAGATCCAGGAACTTGTGTGTCTTGAAGTCCTGAGTATAGTCGGTGTCGACTGACAGGTCTTCTTCCCGAGACATGCCGGTGGTTTCGTAACACGGACCGGAATCCGTCTCGTTAATATCGGCCCCAGATGCCTTTGATTTTCCGGATGCATCCGAGGAAATGAATCCGACGTGATAGTCCATCAGGATCTCGTAGGCGGCCTCACTGTGCTCATGGGAAATTTCATCTTTCATGATCTCCTCCACATCCTTGCCTGCGTAATCCAAAATCAAGTCACCACCACCCGGGTGATCCTCCAAAAACTCGGTGACATCGTAGACCTTGCGACCGATAGTTATGTAGCAGGATTTGGTGCTGTTATGCGATTCAACCTCGGCGGGCGTGAAGGTCGGCAGGACCCGTCCTGGCATGTTTGCGAAAAGTTTTTCTGGGACGAATCCGATCCAAAACGGTGAGAGGGAGCGACACGATACAAGTTCTGAAAGAATACTGCGTCGGATGAAGAGGAGAGTATCGATAGGCAAGTGGCGGCGGCAGTCGATCTTGTCCGGAGGGGCGCGGTAATAAATTATATTCAGGGGACGGCGTGGCGTGACAAACGATGTTTCCGCCCCGGCAGAATTATTTATGCGCGGCGAGCCAGGGAACACAACTTCGGCAGGCGGGGGAGGGTCAGGCAATTTCTCTTGGGAATACTTGGTGATAGCCACGCATTAGGAAGGGTCAGACCATCAACTATTTTCTGATAAGCGGAGGTGTCCAAAAACCATTACTCCGTATTCGGTCTCCCAACACTGAGGTAACGCCCTGGCTGTCACTTCAAACTAGTGGCTGAAGTTTCTATTGATCAAAAAGCATGTGCCAATGTTATGTAATCGAATTCTGGGCCCGGGCTTGGAGGTACCGGGCACACGAAATATTCTGAGGCCGTAGGTTGCTTAATAGATACTAATGTTGTGATGTGTCTCGATCAACAGTTACTTCACTACCTATACATAGAGTCTAAGTACAGTGGTATTCTGTACGACTGCCGCACCATTGTGGGCGGTACTTTGTGTCTCCAGTCCAGATGAAATTATAGCTTTGCAACCTGCTCTGTACATAGTAATTAATTTGGTCAACTTGCTTTTTTACTCCGCAATAATTGGATGCCCCAGTCCATGGGTCTACAAGAGCGGCGGCTCTCGATCACAGGGTTCCTTCAGTAGATGTCCATGAAGTGTTATTTTGCAAATTCCTAGTAATCGCAGATCTTATTTTAAGCGCCGCTAATCCTAAATTTGATGTTCAGCCCTGTTATGAGGTCATATATAGCATTTGACAGACACTCTTCCTCGCCTGGAGCGAAAAGGCCGCAAAACCAAGGACATCCGACTTCCAGGTGGGTCTTGATTGCCCGGAGGCTGATCCTTCACCTGCACGAGAAAAGCTTCTTTTCCTCCCTTGGCCTCATGGGTAGACCTATATGACGCTTTTCTTTGAAATCAATCTATGAATGGCTCCATTGTGTTCTTCCTTCATCTGGAGCGATGCGCTAAGATTATCTTTACACTTTAGCAGTGAGTACAGCTAGGGGGTGGCCATCAATCATCATTCTCTAAATACACCCTGGTGTTTCTAGCCGATGCTAGCTTCACTTCAACTACTTAGGCCGCTATATGCGCTCTACAAAGGTCAGATTCCGAAAGCCCCCTGTAGCTTTTCCTGTAGTCGACAAGGTACAAGGCGCAAGCCACGTCTAAGCCATGGCTAAGGAAAGCTTGGCCGTTAGCCAAGTTCTTTATCAGGGTTGTGGGCCGTAGGTACTATAGATACTAGCTCATACATACACGCACCGTGGACACAGCCTCTGAAGTCATCCCCCCCCAAAGTCATCCATAGTTATATTCTGCTCAGCGATAAGTACTATCACCTTCCTGTATAGGCATGGCCTCCGGAGCGAAGGGGTTGTTGACATGTAGGTCCCGCACTTTTCATCCACCCCAACCTTCCATTGAGTTCTGGATAACTGGGCGATTCCTGCATGCATCATAGAATCTCGGGCGTCTTTTGAACCTATTCGACACTAATTCTTGTTTTCTCATCTCCCTGTTTCTCCCGACGGGGAGAGCATCACGTGCTAAGTCCCGAAAGAAGGAAGTGCCGAAAGGGTGTCAATTCGCTAAACCAGCGCCAGATCCCCAGTTTTCCCACGAAGGATTCGCGCAACCATGGGACTGGCGCCATTGGTTTCCTCGCTAGCGAAGTCCAGGGTTAGCCCGGGGCTAAAATGTTGCAACATCCATCACACTCGACTGCCAATCCAGCGGGACGATCCGCACGATAAAGCACATCTGCAGTGGGACCGAACCCCCATCCAATAATGCACCAAAACCCAAATACAAGTTCCGAACCACTGGATCGACGTTGGCCATAGCGTGAATCCTGCGAGGATGGCGCCGTGTCGGTATCATTGGGTATTCGCCTTCATTCGCCTGTTGCTGGCAGAGAGGGCACAGCGATGACAGCTGGCAGACGCCGCGAAGGAGTGGCCTGCGCCCGACATTCCTGATCACCCCGATCGGATCGGATACTTCGAGGTCCCCACCGGGCAAGGAGTGCACGCATCATACGCCCATACACTCGAAGACTTCCTTCCCCCCTTCTCAAAGATTTTCGGAAACGCTCTTGAAGCGATCTCGAGAGTGGGAAAACAAGTGTATTTTTCTTATTGCGAATTGAAATTGCCACAGATTAGACATCGCGCTAGCTATCCCCCGAAGTGGATCGTGTTGCCCCGCCGGGGCTTCTAGCTCCCTCATTAAAGACAGCCCGTTCTCTCTCTCCATCTCGTCCCTACCTTTCCCATCCTTTCGACCACTCCCCGCACCCACAGCCGCCCAACGATGCCGGATATGGATCGCGTTCCCGGCAACCGGATCCTAGAGTACATCCAGGATTTGGCCTCGACCAAGAAAGCTCTTCCTTACGGCCAACCGGTGGTCGCGCTTGTCTCTCAAACCGTCACCGACTCTGCCGCTCTTCTGAAGCTGGCAGAGGAGGTTGGCCCTCACATTGCGGTGCTCCAGGTGCAGGCAGACATTATCGACGACTGGTCAGACGAAACCATCGATCAGTTAACCTACTATGCCAAGAAATATGGCTTTATCTTGTGGGAAGGGAGCCGGGTTCTGAACTCCACCGTCAACTTCATGGGCCGCGGGAGCGCCGACTGGCAAACGCGAAAGGTCCTGGCCGACCTGGTCAAGCCGAAATACACACATGGAACTGCCAAGGTGGCTCGGTGGTCGAATATAGCCACCTCATGGGCGACCGGAGTGTCATTGGGCGAGCAAGAGAAGGACCTGTTGATCCCAACGCTTCGCACAGCGGCTCGGGAGGCTGTTGCAACCACCGTGAAAACCATTGAAACCCAGATCTCAGCGGCAAATGTCGAGGACCATCATGAGGAAGTTGAAGCTCCCATGTCTCCGCTTAGTACCAATGGCTGGCATGAGTTTAGCTCAGACAGCATCGGCTATGCCCTGCGGAAGTCATCGACTATCTCCGTCACCGAGTCAGTCGTCCTACAACCACATGTCGAACCGGAAGACGGTGTCCCTGCCCCACCACTACTATCACGAGGCCTGGTCCTCTGCTTGCCGTGCGCTATTAATTCAGCATTTACATTCAACTTCCGTCAAAGCACAATAATGGCAGCATGTGCAAATCATGATTTTGTTGTTGGCCTCATCGCTAGTGAACCATTTTTCACAGATTATAGCGGGAATTACCTGTTCGACCTGGCCTTCCAAGATGGCCAGGGAACACCGCACCTTGATCGCAACCTGCACGAATTTTGGCCATATTTGGAAAACCGGAATTCATTCGCCTTGTTCTCTCTCATTCCAGATGAGATCCTTCAGAATTATGAATCAGACCCCATCCGCAGCATGAACAGGGACTCATCAGAAGGTGAAACCCCACAAAGCGTCGTCAAATTACACTACATAGTGGATCAAGCATTGAAAATGCGCGATGCCAGCCGCAAAGAGAACCAGGGAAATCAGCAGCGAGATCCCTCCGTACCCGCCGGGCCCAGCATCTTCCACGTCCCGATCGTCATCCTCCCCTGATCGGGAGGTTCCTGCTATTTGAGTTCCCATGGCCCGCTATACCCTTGGCATTGTTGAAATCTCATGTCCATCTTGAACCCACGTTAGATATGCATACGTTCGCTCCTCGCGCATTGACGGCACTTTTCTCTCATCATAGATTTGTTGGAACAAAAGCCTCCTGTTTTTGCGCATGTCTCATCTTGGCGGCATTCAATAACCCGATGTTCATTTTCACGGGGTTTCCATTCATCATATACATACCTCCTGTATCCCTATATCCCTAATTGCATAATTAAAAGAAATCCATGTTTCACGAGAACCAACCAAATCAACTCAAAACCGTCTGTTTGGGCCTGATGTGTCAGGCAAGATAAAGCCACGTGCTCGTGCTTAGTCACAATCTCAAATGGAGCAGGACCCGCGCCATGGCGATGGGAGTAGCGCCGACGCACGCTGCCAATTCCAAAGTAAACGAATGTCGTGTTTGTGTTTTGCGTTTACCCCATCCCTTTTCTTTGCACACATTCATTCTGTCCTCTCATCGTGATACTGCTGTTCAAAATCCATCTGCTTCATAATCTTCGGCGCAACGCCTCTGGGCCCATACGACCACGGATTACCTCCGAATATCGACAAATGAACACTGTGGAGAGCAGAGCCAAAAAGCTATATTCTCCAGCCCGCCCCAATACAGATTGTTATGTTGAGGTTTGCCTAGCACAGCGTCGCATGGGTAAACAACTCACCAATAACCTCGACGAAGAACATCGAGTGGTGGCACTGCCATCAGAAATCGCAGTCGCAGACGCAATCGCATCGTTCGCGGCCTTCAACGCCCCCAACACCCTCAAAGATGATCTATGGGGGTATTGAGAAGGCCGGGTATTTGGATCCGCCGGATAGGCCCAATACGGCTCTTCTTAGGCCGAAAGATCCTGGTCCAAGCAACAAAAGCAGTCCAAGTTCGCCCATTATCGCTTCACCCAATGGAGATATGATCCTCAAGTACAGCAGGCTTTCTTCAGCAGAAACCTACTACTGGAAAATCAATAGCCACTTACTTGTGAATAATAGTCCCTATTTCCGGGTGCTTATAGACCCGGACAAATTTTCTGAGGGACGACTTCTTGCACAACAGAGGACAGAGAGCGCTGCGTCTGACTCTTTACCCATCATGGTGATACCCGCAACTCCATTTACGGAAATGTGTGGTGTAGATGCTATTGAGATATTCCTGCAGATCTTGTGTCTGGACTCTCTTACAGCTGGTCCCAATGCCGACGAGGATGATGATCTGGAGGCTCTTTTTACACTCAACCTGAAAACTCAGCCTCTCTCTCTGATTGCGAGGTTAATTGCAATTTCTGATTGGTACAGTTCCCCAAAGCCTGTCAAAGACGCTTTGCAGCGCGTGGACTACAACTTCGGCAAGGGTAACCCGCGGCTTAACAAATTTGATAAACCGTCCTTGAAAATGACAGATGATCGAATCCGCCAAACCATCGCTGTTGCAACATTTATGGGTCTGGACAATATTACGAAAATTATGACACACACGCTGGTGGTTCTCGGCTCCAAGCGATGGGCTCATGGGTTGGAACTGCCGAGTGATCCTTATCTTCCTTGGCAATATTTCGCGCATGGATTAGAAGGTATGATATGATTCTGTAGTGCTCGTGGGAATATCTACATATTTGCAGTATTCTGGACTCCAAGAAAGGAACTATTATTAATCACTACGTTCCAGATGAGCTTTATTTCCGGCGACAGTGCATCTTGAACACAATCACCGACCTGCAAGCACATTTCCTCCGCAAATATGGCGCACTGGAAGATACCGAAGAAACAAAGCCTCCCGCTTCAGCCATCACAACTCACTCTTTCTCCCAACATCGCCCGTTCCAGTGCCGTGCTGGACTTGGTAACGCCAGCCAATGCGATCTTTTCCATCTGGGTCAGATGACTCGTTTCTTTGCGCTGCGCGCCAAGACAATATTTGTAGGATCTACTTTGATTGATCCCGAGTTCAGCCCAATGCAAGAGGAAGTAGAAGATGGGCAGGAGATGCATGACGGGAGCAAAGAACAGCCATCGGCTACCTTGTCAGTCCCGGAATCCGACATCACAGCTCTCATCGCATCTATGAAACGATTTCCAGACTACCAGGTCGATCTCAATCACCAAGGGTGTGGTGTGAGACGTCGCTTACTTCCGATCTTGGACGGCATTGAAAAGTTTGTGCTGGACGGGCGTGGGTTGTTGGGCGTTATGTCTACTCTTTGGCAGGACTCATCAAAGCGTCTCGAGATTTCTTGGAAATTGAAACCAAGGCAGACGATCCCTCCAGTGGATATTCAATCTGTGTATCTCAAGGCCCGAGGTCCTAGGCCGTCTCAGACTCTCAGCCAGGAAGACTATGCGCGGGTGTTATTTACCGCCAAGAAGCGCATTTGGGAGGCACATCTATCCGGATAGAGTAGCATTGTTTACTGCTGGTCTAACTCTATGTTCAGTTATTACAGGTGACATCGTCATTGTCCCTTCACATACCGCGCTGGACCTCTTGGGAAGTATGACATACCGATGATGGTGTATCTGGAGAGAAAATTCCCGGGAATGAACAGACCGGTCTGGACTCTACGGTCCGTCCAAAGGTTCTTTCCGAATGGCTTAGCTGTGCTGATGGTACACGGTTCTCCTTTGCCTGGATTTGGAAACAAGCTTGGGAAAACATGCTGAGAGGTGCTCATCCTTATTGAGAGCATTGGGGGAAGTGCACGCATTTGGGAGGGGTGTACAGTATCGAAATTTGTTTAGATTAGAACGCCCCTTCTGGGGTACGAGAGGCAGATGATGACCCAGATTGACAAGCGTATATGGAGAATAGTAGTGAGGTTCCATATATAGTCTCAGAAAAAAAGAACTTTTGCCCATCTGTCCTGATTCTATAGTTAATGCACACTTTTATGTTTTACTTCAATGCGACAGCAAAATGAACAGAAAGACGCAGCGCAAGTTCAATGTGGCAGTCTGAACCCCTGTACCCATATTGGAAAATTTTCATTCTGTTGTCTTGGAATTTGTGAACTCCTCCAGCACCTCCACATTTTGTACTTATCGTAACTTCAAGTTAACACACTGCATCACCCCAGAAATACCCCATATCAAGATCCAAGTTTGGTCCTGATGGGAAGAAAGACCCTGTGATCTGGCCAGTCGCCGGATCATAGGGGAAATACTCATCGTATGAGTTTTGCCCCGAGAGAGATATCTCCGGTTCCGTAAATGTATCGAGCAGGTCGGGTGCCTCAAGGCTGTAAGGCACAGGAATTCGGAGAGGGCTATAAGGCTGCTTGATCGGCGAACAAGCAATCGAGTCCAACTCAGCGGTAATGAAATCCGCCGTGGTTATAGGAGCTGTAGGTAAAGCTGCTGATGAATCCAGGGAGATATCATCAACACTTTGGCTGTCACCAGCTTCAGCGGAGTTGGTAGAGCCAGCAGCATCAAAAAGAGAGTTATTTGATGACTCCTCATTGTCAGACATTTCACTGGTAGCTGTTCCAATGTGGGGTGAGAGACGGCGGAAGAATCCATCGCATAGCTTCCAGGCTCGTTCGGACGCCATATTAGTCATGGAAAGTGCTGATAACCAGTCCAAAGATTTTTTGGCAGCTTTCGAGACCATGGTCATTTTCTCGGGGACATGCTGCGAGTGGAATGCAAGCTCCAGTAGAAGAACCGTGGTAGCTTGCATTAGGTAGTGCAGAGAGCACCACCACGGGGAGATCCGGTGCAGCAGAGCAACATCTGGGGTGTCCGGGAACAGTGTCAGCATGTGGCACGCAGACTCGACACACTCGGCTGCCGTCTTGCTGCAGAATTCATGCGTTTTGTCGCCATCAGAGGGCGAAGGGTCAAGTCGGCACAGGCATGGGCGGGTGATACCGATCTTGGTGCTGTAGAACAGAAAGGCAAGCCCCATGCGGTGACCCAAGGGGCATTGGGAAGACTGCGTGGAGGTGAAGTCGTATGCCGAGGGCAGGTTCATGAACCAAGAATCAATCTCAAGCATAAGACTCTGAATCGTGAACTCGATAGTCGCCCACGGCGAGTTCAGCGCCTCCGGGCTGTAGAGCTTGGTCGTCATTCGCTTGGCAATGGTCGTCAATGAGGTCATCTGCAAGAAGTACAGGGACATGCACGGCGGGAGGCTCTTCAGGTACTCAGCACGACTCATTTTGGTATCACTTTCAGCGGGGGTATCATTGGTGGCCGAGTCCGCGGTGGAATCCAGGTTTGCTGCGCTGCCGCTCAATGACATTCGATCCAGAGGGCTCGATATACCGCGTCCCCCAATGCTGATCAGCTGCGCGACTTCTTCTTTTTGGAATTCGCTTTCGTCGAACGGGACTGGGAGCGGCGTGGTGCACGAGCTATCGATGATGCAGGACGGGCGTCCCGTCATGACCCCGAGAAGATGATCGACATTGTAAAGCGACCACCAGACACGGTAACGGATTTCTTTAGAAGTATCCGAAGTGCATACACCAACGTTTCGTAGGTGTAGCCCAAGAGCCAATGCACCTCTGGTGGCACTCCCGGATAACTTCCAGGCCCTACGTACAGAAAGAAAACCGTGAGGATGCGTCAAGAGATACAATTGGATCAACGACGTACCTGTTGATATGACCGGAAGCAATCAAGTAGAAACAGGCCAGACCTTCCACCTGCAATTGCTGCAGATCAGGATGATGTAGAATCTGGTCTTCCAAGCTGAGACGTCTTGCCCGGGAAAAGTACATTTCATGGTCATATTCGTCATCTTTCCACTCTGCGTTGGTCAACTGTGCATACTTCGATGCAATAGCAAAGACCAAGTTGAGAATCGCCAGCCATTTATTGCCGGGTTTCAGAGATGGCTGGCTAAAGAACACTTGGAACTGTGAAACGAATGTCGAGGTGCCAATGATTGGGAAAGACGGATGCGCTGAGGTCAGATAGGCGTTGAGCAGTTTAGTGGCCGTTTCACGCGAGGGCACCCCAAATGTATCGACTTGCTCTGTATTCGGAACATCCAAATCATCAATGTAATAATTCGAAGATGCCACCAATGGATCACTGGGGTTCTCAGGTCGAGGCGTCAGGGTTGGAGAGGGCAGGCCATTATCATCGCCTGCGTGGGATCTGTTCGAGGACCACTCTTCGACCTCATTGTTGACCTCCTTGCTCAGCTTTTGCAGCCAAGTGATCTCTGAACTTTTCCCAATAAATCCAGTGGCTCGTGCTGTCTCGTCTCGATTGAAGTCTTCCTCCGTGTGGTCCCCCTGATCGAAAGGGCCGGGTGAGGAGGTTCGGTCGGGCGGTGCTTCCGATCCTGAGCTCCATTTTCGCTCACTGACAGAGACCCGGCTGGCATCGACGTTTAATGCTAGTTCGGGAGCCGATTCCTGTGCTGCTTCAGCCTTGGATTGGACATTGGAGACGGATCGTACTCCTTACCGCTACCAAGGCAATGTTCACCAGCTGCTCATCGGAAACCCCGAAGCGATTGCTCAGTTTTCTGATCACATCTTCATAGGCTTGCACTTTGGCCGATAGACTGGCCAGCTGTCTGTTGTAAAAAGCGAGACATTGAGCTTATGGGCTGATGAGCACAAGTGGGACTAAGACTGCTGACCGTTTGGATTTCTCTCTTTTACCATCCGTATAGCAGCAGATGATGCCAGCCTCGCGGCAGTTGCGACACCCTGACTTGTCACCGGTGCATTTGGTCTTTCTCTGTCGACAAGATTCGCATGCTCGACGTACATGTCGGCGGTGAAATCTACCAGGCGAGGTGAAGGCTGACTCTGCTCCTTCTGCAAGTCGTGGAATGGCCATCTTTTTGGTACCAACTTCAGACTCAGCACTCTGAAGGGCCGGGAGTGGGTAATCCTGTATGGGCAGTCAGATGACGATTCTGCAATTGCTCGTTGAACCCTTAATCGTCCAGTTACCATGCTTAGCTGATTGCACGTCTCGGCATCGGCGCAGGATAGCTTGAATATGCTCGGTTGTTCAGTCCATGAGGGGAAGTGGATGCTCATCATGAAACCGGCAGAGATTATGTCAAGTATTCCTGGTGACGACTACTACTAGTCAGTAGGTAACTTCGAATGCTTGATCGTCTCCGTCTGCATGAATTGCTTTACCTAAACAGGTCGAATGATTCACAATCAGATGAACCTCAAGACTACCAGACAATGATGGAAATACAAGACGACGGACATCAATTGGGTTATAAAGACACAGAGGGGACATTGCGGGTCAGCTACCACTAATTGAACCGTATTCTCTGGGTCTGGACATGCGCGAAAGTCTAAAGTTCGAGTGTAAATACTCGGCAATGACGATGTCGGCAGGATAGGAGCGGTAAGGTTGCAAAATGGCCACCGAGAAGTACATGCGACGACATGCCTACATGGTGTAGATTTGCCCCATTACTTCAATGGTCGTTGAGGCGATTTTGAGGTCTTTTCTGCGCGAGTTCTCACATGTTGGCTGATTGGCCCTTGCAGTTGCCATCAGCCAGCAATGATGGTGCCGTTGCATCGGATCGGGATCGGAGATCCATGGCATGGGCAAAACCACTGGATCAAGACCCTATATTATCCATTCTTTTGTCGTTTATCTGTCCGTTGTTGGAACTTGGAAGCAGCAGGCTCTGGACTCCGAGGCGCTGTAGCAACCTAAGTAACCTAAGTAACCTTCCTGCTGGAAGAGGATCGGATCAGCGGTGTTTCTACAGAAGCCGAGGCCTGGAATTTGATACTGCTGTATTCATTAAGCAGTCCCATGGTTCCCGAAGCTTAGCGGAAGGTGAGCGTGGAGTATAAAACAACCCTCCGCGATGAACAGCGTGCCCCGTGCCCGGCTAAGATGGGCTTCAATGGCCTAGACCCCATGAGCAGAGTCAATCTGACGTTTGAAGGTGGTGGCGCTTATTTAGCTGGGGTCCCTGGTTGATACTCGAATTGGGCGGATACGATTTGACCAGTAAGAAAAACGCTTTGAAGCAGTCCATGGGACGGGAGGTACGGGAAGTTTGACGGCAGTTTCGAGTCATGTCGGACATGGGGTATCCCTATTGAGAGTGTCCTTGCGGCGCCTAGTAATAGCTTGCATCGTGGATCCATTATCCATAATCCTGACGTCGTATATGACAGGGGTATGACCGTGCTCAACATCAGAGCATGAATCGAGGCATTGTTGCACCCGAGGCATGGGATAGCATTGGGGTATGCCAGATTTCTATCTCTACTTGGAAACAGGGCTGAAATCCTTGGTAGAATCTAGTTAAGACGTGTCAATTTTTGAATGTAAAGGTTAAGACACGGCCCTCGAGAGGGGGCCTTAGAAGTCTGGGAGGGGAGTCTTGGAGGGAGGGCAGTCAAATCAGGGGGTTGCTAACACGGTTTCAAAAGCAAAAAGAAGAGAAAGAAAAATGCCAGAAGAATAGGCCTCAATCCGAACATCATTAGAAAAAAAAATGGCTATACAATCCCACCTCAAATTACTCGATCAAGTAGTTCTCCGCAACACTGCGGATGTCCTTGGCATACCCAGCACTCTCGCCCTCCATCTCCAGCAGCGAGACATCGAGCACATCTACCTCGACAAATGGTTTGCTCTTTGTGAAACGAACGCTCATTGGGAAGAACTCGTTCTCGTCACTGTCACCGGTGGACTCAAACTCGAAGCTACCAGAGGGGTTCGACTCGTCCACGGTACCCAGGTTCCAGTCCAGACTGTCACCAGAGACTTCGTACACAGCATCGAAGCTGGACACCGCCGGCTCAGATGCGCCATATGGAATGGTTACAACCACATCGCGCAGGCTATCGGAGCTGGTGAGCTCATACTCCACGGTGACGGTAGTGGTGTCAAAGCCCTTATTCACCCACACAGTAAACGTGATGGGCAAGATCTCGGCATTATCAACCGTGCTAGCTACACGCCATCGCAGAACGCCAATCGAGTTGTTTGCAGGGAAGCGCTTGGTGGTATCTTTGAGCTGGATTGCGGAGGTGCTGGTGAAGAGGGCTTTATCGACATTGGGGTGAGTGCGGAACTGAGCACCCTGTGTAGGGATGGCCTGAAGATCGAGCCGGAGCTTGGTGAAGGCGGGGTCGGTGATACGGAGCTGGAGGTCACCCTTGACTTCAAATGACTTCAGGGCACCTTCCCGGGTAAGTGTAGCAGAGATGGTCTCGGCGATAGTGATATGGATAGGCTCGCGATCCGCGGTGAGGGACTCCCGAGCCGACGTAGGCTCTTGCACAGGAGTGGAAGCTTGGGGAGTAACCAGCGGGCTGGCCTCCTCGATCTCGGGCCCTAGGTCGCCGCGGACCTTCTCGTAGATATCGGTAGCCTTGGACTTCTTGCCGAGCTGCATACCTTTACCGCGCGTGGGGAGGGGCCTAGAAAAAATAATACCCCGTTAGAACCCAGCACTATCATCATATCACTTTCCAAGCCTTCGGAATGGAGAACGTACTTGGCAAAGGTCTTCTTCTTTTCCGCTTCATAGGAATCATAGGTTTCAGGCACAGACGGGCGCGACGGGGGTGTGTAGATAGGGTAGTTTGGTGCCCGAGGGGGTACGCCGCGACCTGTTCGACCAGCCTCCTTGCGCTGCATCTCCAACTGCTTGGCCTTTCGCTTGCGCTCTTCGCTGGCCTCCAACTCTTTGTTCTATCGAGGAATGTCAGCGTGGGAAACAACCCCGCAGCCCAAAGTCCAAACATACCCGCTCAATGATTTCCTGGATCCGCTCCTCGTGACTCTCCATCTCTAAGAAAGTCTTGATTTGCGAGAGAGAGAGGTTCTCCCGGTAACCCAATGTCACCAACTCATCGAATGCGCTCAGCAGCTCGAAGGCATTGCGGACAATATCCTGCTCTTCCAAGCTTTTGCAAATGCTTGTGGTCACTTGAGCGAATAGGTGCAGGCTGTCGATGTCTTGGAGGATGTTTGATTGGCGGTTGGTAATTAGAACAATATACAATTCATCCAATGGCTGGTACACGAAGCGCACGTTGTCCTGTTCGACGGTGGTGTGTTGTGTGCCCGAGTCCGCAAGCTTGGGGAAGGCGGCAAGTAGGGCTTCAATGCGCGACCGTGGGATTTCACGGAACTGACGCGAGAGGACCGCTTTGCCTCCGCGAGTGCAAATCGATGCTGCAAGGACGACCTGTGTGGTGTGGGATAGGCGGTTAGCTCTAAGCTCTCACAACCCTCAACAAGCGCGTAGACGAGAGACATCCATACCATGGCGATCTAAGGAACAGCAAAGACTTTAAAGGACGGAAAGAAAGAGGTGTAGGAAGTTCTGCTGTACCGCAAGTGGTGGTCTTGGGAGAATCGACCGCTGAAGAGCCCCTTGTGGTGTTGATGGACAAGTCGCCCGCGGGCCGCTACTCTGTTCTCTTCGCCGTTGGCCCGTGCACCCAACCCCCTTCGCTCTTCGCTTAGTCTTTAGGACCCAACTCGCTTTTTTCCCCTTCACCTCATTGCCGAGTACTTGCGCGTTTCATCCAGGGAAATTCCCCTGTCATCGACTCTCCGTTCACGAACTCACTTCATACCACCCTCCATGAATCTCTTGTAACCTCCTTCCCTCTCGCCCGACCTTTCCTTTCACCTCACCCATCGACTTGACGCTTCCGGCGCGCGCCACTTTTGAACCGTGCAACACGTCCCCATACCACGCATTTCCCGACGCGTTTCATGCCATGACAACGACTTCATCTTTAGCATTCACCCCTATGGAGGTCCCTGCAGTGGAAGATTCGATGGAGATGGCCTCTCCCTACCAGGGACAGGCGGATGATTTTGACATCGACATCGACCTGATGGAGGACCATGTCTCCAACATGGACAGCGATATGATGGGAGCAGATGACTACCCTAACACCTCTCAGCCCTCCCTTTTCAACACCGAGGCAAATGACGATGCTGATATGGTTGACGAGTCCACCGAAGGCTCGATGGTCGACGCCGACGTCGCCGACGAAGACAACGATATCGACGTGCAGTACGAAGAAGCTACATTCGAAGCAGAGATGCTGGAAGGCGATCAAGTCGAAGAGATCGATACCCCTCTTCCCACCATCCATATTGAAGTTCAAGCAGAAAACAAGAACAGCGGAGACGAGCCCAGCCAGAAGATTCCCACGGAAAACGGCGAGGTGCAGCAGCCGTCCATCCAAGAGGGCCAAGGAACCGTCCTTTCAGAAGCGGTTTCCACGGCGAATGAGCCCCAGGATCCCCAGGTTCAAGAACAGACCATTTTCTTAGAGTCTAGTGAAAATTCCAGTAGCCAACCCGAACAATCCGAGGGCTACGAAAACCAGAGGAATGGCGAGGCTCGTGTCGACCACCCGGAGACCGAGCCTCAGGAGACTAATGAGACTACTGAGACTACTGAGAGCAACGTCCCTGTTGCTGAAGAACACCATGATCATGTCGACACCTCTGAGAATGTTCCAAATGTTGAGTCCGCTCAAGTCAAATCAACCGATCATGGAGTCGGAGACGGAATTTCCGAGCAACCAGAGACCCATGACTTGCATGAAACGGAAGACCAGCCCACCCACGATGATGGGTCCCTCCTCCCAGTGAAGGTTCTCTATCAGGAAGCAGAGATTTCTCTGTTCCCGCCCATGGAAGGTGATTCCGCTGAGACATTTTTCCTTCACGATGAAGATGTCGCCTATGACAATGTTGGTAAATTGTTCGGCTCTCTTCGCGAGGTGCTTCTGGATAATGTCGCCGAGAACGAGGTCCTGGTTATTGATATTGACTCGCTTGGTATTCAAATAACAGAGGTAAGCACCCCTCCCACCATTTCCCCTTACTTCCCTTATTTCCCCTTATTTTCCCATCTTCTATTATCAAATAGCATTGCTGACCCTGGCTGATAGGACTCCTCGCACGCGTCCAATATCACTTTACATCGAATCCTGGACATTTACCTTCGACTTTGTCATAACGATGGCACTGACAAGCCAGAGGCTTTGTATCTCACGTTGAGTAGCAGACTGGCGGTTCATTCCGAATTAGCCGCTCTGGAGGTTGCTGCCAATGAAGGCAAAGGACTGTCTCAAGTTCACCCCTGGAGTGAATACGAGGATGGAGAAGATCATGAGGATTCTCTAGTTGCGGAGCACCTCCTCGAGGAGTCCCATGGAGATGAAGATCACCACGACCAGTCTACCCATGAAATTCAAGAAACTCACCAAGAACAGGCTCCGCCTAGTGGCGAGACCCCCTCCCAGGTGCATACAGTCAATGATGATGCTCAGAAAACTCCCGTTGAGGCCATTCACGAGCCTTTCTCTAGTGAGCACGATTCCCAGGTTGAGCCTGGAACCGGCGCTACCGAAATACAGCAGGAAGAAGAGACGGCTCGGGCAGTTTCATCAAAGCTTGCTGAAGAGAATGCGCACGATTATGGTGAAGAACCGTATGAAGAGTCTTATGACTCCGAAGCTCACAAGACGGAGTCCACCGCCACTGTTGTGCCGGCATCTGATCAAATCAGGGCTAATGAATCCACGGAAGACGTCTCAGCTGATGTTGCTGAAAGTGCTTTGGAGCAACATGATGCAGACGAAGAAGATGGCAATGATCCGGAAGGTGAAGAATTTAATGATGAAGACTACGATGAAGAATCGTCCGGTCAGGATGATTACTCTGGCCACGAAGGACTAGAGCATGAAGAGTTCCAAGAAAAGGTTGTTGGAGAAGAGAACGATGACTCCGGAGCCGAGGACGATGCCTATCCTGTCGACTTCGTTTCCGCTCATGACGACGAAGCTTCCAATGAGCTCGATGTTGCACCAGCAAATGAGGATGCCTCGGCCGACACTTTGCAAGAAGATGTTGATCATGAATCGAATTACGAATCAGAACCAACGATGGAGAATACGCCACAGGAGGAACCCGGGAACCACGAGAGAGCCCCAGAACTTGAGGATGACCTGCTTGGAATCGCCGAAGACGTGATGCAAACCCCCGCCAAAGATCTGGAGGACGATCTCGAACACATCGAGAGCGTAGATCTGGAGCAAGAACTGGAGGATGGTTTCCCTGACGCTCCCACTGTGGACGGGAACGGTGCAAACGGCGATCAGGCTGACGACGGCAACGGCGAATATGACGACTACACGGCCTTTGAAGTCTCGGATCGGATTGAGCTGGGTGAAATTGATCCTTCCCATACTGACTCCCACCAACCCCATGAGAATCCCTCTACCAAGCGGTCCCGTGAGGAGGAGGATGAATGGGATATTGAGGAGACCTCAACCCTCGAGAACAAGCGTCGCCGCCCTTCGTAAACCCAACAACCCCATGTCCGCCTTCGCGGTATCTTGTTTCAACATCGCACCACTCCTCTTCTTGGATTGGCTAGCCAGTCTAATACTTCTTGGATGCTACCGGCTTAGTGCCTCGAATGCTTCGGCTGTTTAACGCCCACCATCTACTAATCCCGACCATCTGCAGCAACGTTACCACCCGTGGGTAAAGTGGTTCCAATTAACAATCAGACCCAGGTAAGTCTTCTGCTTATTCTCCTTCGGTCTTTTGTCGTCCGTCTCTTCACTAGTTCGATCCCCATCGAGAGAGACCTCTTGGACCATATTCCGGGTGCCACCCCAGTGCCACCCCACGCACTCAAGATCCCTTTCTCTATTTTCTCCCGTGTCTGTGTACTATCGTCGTCTGCGATCTTTCTTCTTTTTTTAACTGCCACCCCTTTCGCGTGATACCATTTTGCAGTCAAAAATTAGTTATGCCCGGTGTCGATGGGAGTCTGGTTGGGCTTTGTTTATTCTTCAAGTTGCATCTCACATAGTAATCGGCGTATCGGCGTGGCTGGATGAACCGCACCTTTAGTATTAGGCTATGGAGACGCTATGAAATGAGATTGATTTCTGTTTGGAAAGCCCTTTCCCCCAGTACCCACACGGAGTACATGTACACATTCTATGGTAACCTGTGTGATGGGCAAATGAGTGCTGGCTGGAGCTAGAGGTGCGCCACGAACTCAACGGATTAAGCTTCCGGGAAGCCCGTCCGGGTCCCCAAGTTGGTGCGCAGGCATCCCCGTAAAGGTGGCCTCAGTTGCGGCCAAACAATTCGGTCGGCAAAGTCAATACTCGGAGCATGGAGGTAATCCAGGAACCTACGTATGCTAGCTCCACACCAGCGGATGGATATCTACTATTCTAGATGTAGTAGGGTGCAGCCACATGGCTCGAAAGGAGTATAGACGTCCCCTGGGTAGAAGAAAACTTTTCTTCAAACAATTAACTCTAATTCCAACTCACTGGTCCGGCTTCTTCTCCTGCATTGTGGAATCTCCTCATGGGATCCATCTCATTAACCGTGCCCTGGATGGGTGAGTGGACCCTCCCCACGGCTATGTATAGACAGACCGAATGCGGTTGGGCGGCCAGATCGATATGAAACGACGATCGTCGCCACTGAGAACACTCAGGGTCCAAGCATTAAAATTGTGACAGTGAAACGAGAGCCACACTTTGCGCATGGTCCAATTGGTAAGTCGGCAGTTCCCCAAATTCCCCTTGCACGCCTATTCCTGAGGGTGGCCTTCACACTTACGTAGGGGCAGCACAGCCTCGACCACCCTCGACCGCCCTTGACCATTTCTATAGAACTCCTATAGACATCGCATGTCATTGTGACCAGAAAAAATTACTGCCCCTAAATTCAATCATACTCTCGCAAGCCCTGCAGAGTTAACCCGGCTCTGACTGTGGTGAACGACAAATGGTGCTCAGCCGTTTCTCTTACGCGTCCCGATCGGCCCAGTCTCGAAACGGAACCCCACCGCACGCAGGCACCAAACAGGTCTCAGCTTCTTACCACTCACCATTCGGCACTCACCACTCACCACTTTGCGACTTCATTCTTCTCATCGTCCATCCTCCTACCCATCATTCTTCGCCCTACTCCCCCCCTCTCTTCCCTGGCAGAAATCTCGGGCTGGCTCGATATTCTGGTCGCGCTCGTTCGCCCTTCGCTCTCGCTCCTCCGTGGAACTGACCCGGTCCCGTGCCGCGCCCGCTCAGCTCACCACACTCCCTTTGTTTACCGAGTCGCTCGTTTTCCACCCCGATATCCATTGCTGGCACTGGAGGTCGTTCCACAGTAGGAGCTCTCCGCTCCTGAACAGAATTGCGTCAAGATGCTTCCGGACAAGTATGCGTTTCCCCGACTTCCCTGCTTCCCTGCGATGGTGCCCTGTGGACAAGGTGGCCAGAAGCTCTAACTTGCGCAACCATGAATAGATATGTCGGGTTAATATTAGCCATCCTATCGACAATGGCCATTGGTACGATATGCTCCCATTTTCCATCTGGAATCTGCGCGAACGTCTAGCTAACCCAGGACCGCTAGGCACGAGTTTCGTGATTACGAAAAAGGTCCGTCCCCACTCGAATATCGATCGGAGGAAATGAGAGAACCCCCGGGCGGACTAAAGCGATCGTGACTCCCTCGGGTGGGATACTATGGAAATAGGCCGCTGATGGAAGTGATACAGGGTTTAATGCATGCTTCCGAACGGCATGGCTTTGAGGGAGAGGGATTCTCATACTTGAAGAGTCCGATCTGGTGGGGAGGTGTCGTCACACGTATGGGTCTCCCGTTGGGTTCAAAATACCGGGCACCAAAGCTAACGGACGGCAATAGTGGCCATTGGAGAAATCGCCAACTTCGCCGCTTATGCATTTGCGCCTGCGATCCTGGTTACGCCTTTGGGCGCACTCAGCGTGCTGATCGGGTAAGCATGCCCTTTCCGCCTCGATACGATCGGCAACAATGGCTGACAGCTCGCAGCGCGGTTCTTGGTTCATACTTCTTGAAGGAGCGATTGGGTGTATTGGGTAAACTGGGTTGTGCATTGTGCCTGCTCGGCTCGGTTGTCATTGTTCTCCATGCGCCCCCTGACAAGCCTGTTGAGCGAATAGATGAGATCTTGGCGTACGCCGTGAAGCCAGGTGAGATTGCATTACAAGTCAGGTTCCCGGATATTTCGTCTGATGGCTAATGCTTCGACTAGGATTCCTCCTCTACTGTTTCGCCGTTGCAATATTCTCCACGGTGATGATCTACCGGGTTGCTCCGCTGTACGGAAAGAAGAATCCTCTTATCTTCATCTCCATCTGCTCGACCGTTGGCTCGGTCTCCGTGATGTCCGTCAAGGCGTTCGGCATTGCGGTGAAATTGACCATCGGAGGCAACAATCAATTCGTCCACGCATCTACTTATGTCTTTGCCATTGTTACTGGCTTCTGCATTCTTACTCAAATGAACTATTTCAACAAGGCGTTGAACTCGTTCTCGACCTCGATGTAAGTGGGAATTGACTGGAGTATATGGCTATTCGGATGCTGACAGATACTTCTTGTCTAGTGTCAATCCTCTCTACTATGTTACATTCACGACTGCCACGCTCTGCGCTTCCTTCATCCTCTTCCAAGGTTTTAATACCACGGATGCGGTCAACACAATTTCCTTACTGTGTGGATTCCTCATCATCTTCACTGGAGTGTATCTCCTCAACCTTTCTCGGCATGACCCCGACGGCCGGAATTTGGTTCCTGCCAAGTTCGACGACGAAGGCGTGCCCACCGACGGCATCGCCAGCTTCCAAACGCGGAGGTCTATGCAATCCCGCCGCAGCTCCTCGAGTATCGCTTTCGTGAACGGCCACAGCGATCGAGAAGGCCTGATCCACTCGTACGATATCGAGAACAACCACGCGATCGGCCTAGACGACTTAGCGGACAGCGACGGGGAGCCCGGACCAACCTACGCGCGACGTGACGAGCGCGAACGGACTGTTATGCACACAAAGCAGAACGGCCAGGTCTAATTCACTGAATCTCCACGAGTGTCTGTTGGAAGAAATCTAGCGCTCTCTCATCTTCACGAGATCAACTGCCGCCACGCTTTCTAACCCTAACCCCCTTTTGTTTTTGTTTTCCCACCCACTTATTCCGAGCTACCAGCCCATCTGGCTTCTCCGCGTCTCTCTCCTGAGCTTTCTGTAATTTTACTGTTTCCTCCAAAATGCCCAAGATGGGCTGACGGGCGATCTCATACCCAGGCACTGGACATGCCCGTATGAAATGATTGGATATGACTGACTTCTGGGTTCTCTGAATGGTTGAATTGTCTCTGTTTGTGATTTTGGTTTACGGGGCGAGAGAGGCATCACTGTATATACCGTGTTCATTGGAATTTTCTTTTTCTCTATCTTCCATGACTCTTCTGCAATCTTGCAATATATTGGGGGTTTGGCCTGGACCATCGGAGCGCCATCAAGTCTTGGGTGTGGGGCAGATGCCCCCTCTCCGATCCGATGATGTATTCCTCGGGTCAGCTGTTATGGCAGTTCTTGTTTCCGACGAGCACTCCTGCTCTGGTCGCTTGATGGACTTGGCCCTGTAAATTCGGATTTTCTCCCACGGCGAAGGAAGCGCTCGAGCTTCCTGACGACTTTCGCTCTCCGCATTCCGACATCAAGGGGTGCGTGAACCGACGCGATGCCGGGTCTGCTGCGGAAACTGGTTATTGTCGCTGCAGTCGACGGGCTGATTCTGCACGGGAATGGCGCCAACGGACCGCGGCCGAATAACGGGAGCAAGAACGAGGCGTCTTCGATTCGGATCGACTACAAGACGAACAAGATTACCGCGCTGCCCGCCTCGTCGGAGTCGCAGGAGGGGCGGGACGTGCTAGAGGCGTACGGACTTGTCGGTGCGTTCGCGAACTCGCGGGGCAGGGGCCATTCTAACAGAAGTCTGATGTATAGGTCTTCTATCTGTCGCATCCTACTCATTCCTCGTCTCCATCACCCAGCGCCAGCAGGTCGCCCAGATCCAAGGGCGCCCGATCTACGCAGTGACCAACGTCGCCATCATCCCCATATCGTCCCAGGCAGACGCCACCCGTGCGATTGCCCAGGCCCGCAAAGAGATTTCGCAAGGCGATCCGGAGCTCGACTCGCCCTCGGACGAGGACATACCGGATAATGTGACCGAAGGGGCTGATGCAGAAATCGGCAGCGCGCCGACCTCGCCCACCCGCGAGACATTCCACAGCCGCGGATTGAGTGTCGGCAGCATCGCCGAAGATGTAATTGAGAAACGGATGCGTTTTGGCCGCTTCGCTGCGAATTGGCTGTCGCGTAAGAACCTGGGCTTACCCCGGCCGGGTGCGCTGAAGCAGGAGGTTCCGGAGTCGCCGTTTGACGATTCGCCGCGGATTTCGGTGGATATTCCAGAGACCAAAGACCCGGCCACTGAGGCAGCTGTGCCGCAGGAGGTTGAGGCTGCGCCGGGCGACAATGATCGATCGAGTTCTGACCAGGCGGCGCAGTTGCTTCCGAAGCTGATTCGATATACAAAGCTGCTATTTGCATCGCATAATTTCTTCTTTGCATATGATTACGATTTGACAAGATCATTTGAGGCACAGGAAGTGCGGAACGGCCATCAGCCTCTTCACAAGGCTGTAGACCCATTGGTATGCGTTGATCCGAACCCTTCATGGTCCCCGAGGTCCATGTCTACTGACTCCTTCATGGATGCTAATTCAACACCAGTATTTTTGGAATAAATATCTTATGAATGCATTTATTGGTAGCGGTGCACATGGGTTTGTCCTGCCCCTGTTGCAGGGATTTGTTGGGCAGCGCGAGTTTACAGTGGCCGCTCCTGAGAAGAAGCCATCGTCAACCGGCGTGTCTGAAGAACAACACGTTGAAGGTCGCATTCTGGGTGAGACTCAAGACGCTCAGGCTGTGGAGACCAAAGTGCTCAAGCACGATTTCTTGTTGACTCTCATTTCGCGGCGATCGGTCAACCGCCCCGGTGTTCGATATCTGCGCCGTGGAGTCGATGACGAAGGCAACACGGCGAATACCGTCGAGACCGAGCAGATTCTTTCGGTGCCGGACTGGGACACATTGCATAACGTCTACTCGTACCTGCAGGTGCGGGGATCAATCCCGTTATACTTCTCACAGTCGCCCTATTCTTTTAAGCCACTGCCGATACTGCATCATTCCACAGAAACTAACCAGCTTGCCTTTGGAAGACATTTCCGAAAATTGAGCCGGCGATATGGCAAGATCCAGGCAGTCTCGCTGATTGACAAGCATGCTGGAGAGTTGAAGCTGGGAGAACAATATGAAAGATACACTAATGCTTTTAACGACGCGGGCGGCATCGATGGTGCGCCACTGCGGTTGGAGTGGTTCGATTTCCACAGCGAGTGCCGTGGGATGAAGTTTGAAAACGTCTCGCGGCTGGTTGATCGTGTCAAGGAGACCTTGGATGAATTTGGGTATACAACTGTCAACAACCGCTCCTCGTTGCATAAGCAGACTGGAATTGTGCGGACCAACTGTATGGACTGCCTCGACCGCACTGGCGTTGCGCAGTGCGCTTTTGGACAATGGGCACTCGAGAAGCAGCTGCGCAACGAAGGCATCGACATCGACCTGGGCGGGGACTCGTCCACGCAGTGGTTCAATACCCTCTGGGCTGATAATGGCGACGCCATCTCCAAGCAGTACTCGTCGACCGCCGCCTTGAAGGGCGACTTTACTCGCACCCGGAAGCGCGACTACCGCGGTGCCCTCAACGACCTGGGGCTCACCCTCTCGCGCTACTATAACAATATCGTCAACGACTACTTCTCGCAAGCCTGCATCGACTACCTCCTTGGGAACGTGTCGACTCGCGTCTTCGACGAGTTTGCCATGGAACTTCAGACCACTGACCCTGGCATCTCCGTCCAGAAAATCCGGCAAAACGCCATTGACACCAGCTGCAAGATCGTGATCAGCAGCCCCTCCGAGGAGTTCCTCGGCGGCTGGACCATGCTGACGCCCCGCCAGCCCAACACCCTGCGCACCTTGCCCTTTGAAGAATCCGTCCTCCTTCTCACCGACGCAGCCGTGTACAGCTGCCGGTTCGACTGGGAGACCGACAAGGTCCTCTCCTTTGAACGCATCGACCTCCGCTCCGTCTCCCGCATCCACTACGGCACCTACATCACCTCCATTCTCACAGACAGCCAGTCGGACGAGCACAGCAACGTTGGCCTGGTCATCGTCTACCGCGACGGCGACGACAATGCCCTGCGCGTCAACACCCGCTCGCTACAGAGCAGCGTGCGCCCCGCCGCCCTCGAAACCTCCTCCACCTCCAATGGCGAGTGGGACCTCGTCTCCTGGCTGCGCGGCACCAAGCGCGCCACGACCCGCTTCCTCGCCTTCAAGTCCCTGCCCGTATCGAATGCTGTTGCCAGCCCGCGTCTGGGGCCCGCGGCCGGCGCAGGTATCGTACGTGAACTCGATCGAGTGCGGTCTATCTGCCTGGATATCGAGCGGGCGCTGCTGGCTGGGGATGGGCAGAATGCGGAGGCTGCGTCGGTGGTGGAGCAGTCGGATATTATCTCGTTGGCGGATGCGAAGAAGAGGACGGGAATTTTGGAGCATTTGGTTTACGATATTAAAAAGATGGTTTGGGCTTGATGGTCAAGTTAGCGGGTGAACACATATATCATGTTGCGAATACGCGATGTCTGTTCAAAGGGATTTCCACTGTTTTACATCACTCAAACACGTTGCCCGTGATGCCTTTCTCCTTATGTGACACTATACAGCTCTATTACTCCACATTATTCCCTACCTCACATGTAGACACGGTACTGGTCTAAATTGCTGGATTCTTATCTTCACGAGAGTGTATGATGGCTACCTGCCTTGTTCACTACTCTATTTGAGTCCCCTCTTGTCATCGCTAGCCCGAACTCAGCCTTTCCCACAACCTCGCGAGTCACTCAGCAGGAATATGCCTTGAGTCGTGACATTCGCATCCGTCATGCCCCAGCTGAGAGCCATAGTAGGGTCTTACTATATGTATGCGTTTTGTCCCTATGTACCTAGTATTGTTTATTTCGAAGACAATGGGCATTTTCACTTTATGTATCGCTCGCCGTCACTTCGACTCTCTTCCTTTCTTCAAATATCCTGCGGTGAGAACCCTGCTTCTTTTTCGCAACACCCATCACTCACCGATCATCTTGGCCATGTTCAGCATTCCGAGCCTCTCTTCGGTCACGAACTGCAGTGCTTGGACCAGTTCGTGGCATCCATAGATCTTTGCAGCTAGTGGATACTTGACCGCCTTTCCTCCACCCATTTTTCTGCCCGGCTCAGCGACGGACCCCCTCGGATTCCCGTAAAGGCAGAGAGCCAGCCATAATTTTTTTGGATTTTCACCAGTGCTACCTCGTCCCCGCATTTCGACTCCAACTTCCATATCTGTTTCGTCACCGGACAGATCAGGTTCTTTGTTGCAGGTTTGTGCCTCGATCTGGGGCATCAGCGAAGGGGGGGCCCGTTCCCACATTCTTGGCGGGGCTCCTTGTGCCACACGCACTTTTGCTCCAACGGTCGCTGCGACCAGTCGACTTTGCACCGCTACAACATGGATTGGCAACCGCAAGATGAGCCATTGAGGCAGCTGGCCTGCTGCCTCAGGGACTCGCTGAACAGCGTGGACCCTCAGCTCCGAAAACAAGCAGAAAATGTACCCGACCCCGTTCTTTTCACCGTGGACACTCTTCGTTCTGCACTTCCACCCCCCTCCCCAACCCCGCCACTTCTCTGCCTCGAGTATACCGATGATCATGATTACTGACGGGATGCCGACCGGTATCAGATGCTCTCGCAAGCGACTTCCTCCCCGGACTATGTCAACTATATCACATACCTGTTCTCCACGCCGCAGGTTCCTGCCGCCGTGGCCGCCGTGGGTATCGACCCCAATACTTACGGCCTTGTCCGATTCTCCGCCACCATGAACATGAAGATGAAGCTTTCGCTGGCCTACAGCACAATTCCTCAGCAGAGCCTGAATTTCATCCGCTCCGCCGCCCTGATCGCCCTGCGGGATGACGACCGCCAGGTCCAGCGAGGTGTTGGCAGTATTATTACCGAGCTGGTGCAAAAGGGTGGGCTGCTGGCCTGGCCCGAGGTACTGCAGGAGCTGCTATCTCTCGTTGGTAACGACCCGGGCGACGTCTCCGTCGCCTCCCAGGAAGCGGCAATGGCAGCCTTGTTCAAGGTGTGCGAGGATAATCGCAAAATCCTAGACCGAGACTACGCCGGACAACGCCCACTCGACGTGATCATTCCGAAGCTGCTGGAATTTACCACTCGCGAGAGCTCTCGAGTACGCTCGCTCGCCCTGAACAGCATCCATGTCTTCCTCCCCCACCAGCCGCATGCGTTGATGGCTTCCTTGGACGTTTTCTTGTCACAACTATTCAACCTCTCCGGCGATCAAGACACCGAAGTGCGAAAGATGGTGTGCCAGTCATTCTCGCAGTTGGTGGAGTTCTCGCCGGAGAAGCTCATTCCGCACATGGAGGGCCTGGTCAACTACATTCTCATGCAGCAGCAAACCCAGGAGGACCCGGAGCTTGCTCTTGATGCGGCCGAGTTCTGGATTGTTGCTGGTGAGCAGCAGAGCCTGCAGCAGCCCCTGGCCCCTTACATGCACAAGGTTATTCCGGTTCTGCTTCAGAACATGGTCTACGAGGAGGACGACGTTATTCGTCTGATGGGCGATGAGGACGATGCTGATGCTGAGGACCGTGCGGAAGATCTGAAACCCAAGTTCGCTAAATCGAAGGGCGCTCGTCTGGATACATCAAAGCTGGGTGAGCAGACGGCCAATGGCCAGCCGCAGCAGTCTCAGCAGGAGGATGATGAGGACGATCTCAGCGAGGGTGAGATTGAGGACTCCGAGTTTGGGGACGATCCCGAGGGCGAGTGGACACTGCGCAAATGCTCCGCTGCCGCACTGGATGTTTTCTCGAATGTTTACCATGATCAAATCTTTACGATAATCCTGCCGTACCTGAAGGAGACCCTTCGTCATGAGCAGTGGCCCAATCGTGAAGCGGCTGTCCTCACTCTTGGTGCCGTTGCTGATGGCTGCATGGATGCGGTCACTCCTCATCTCCATGAGCTGGTCCCGTACCTGATCTCTCTGCTGAACGATGCCCAGCCGGTTGTGCGACAGATTACCTGTTGGTGCTTGGGACGGTACTCGGAATGGGCGTCACACCTCCAGGACCCGAGCCAGAAGCAACAGTACTTCGAGCCGATGATGGAAGGTATTCTTACCCGCATGCTTGACAACAACAAGAAGGTGCAGGAAGCTGCGGCGTCGGCGTTCGCCAGCTTGGAAGAGAAGTCGGACGATAACTTGATCCCCTACTGCGAGCCTATCCTCCGCCAGTTTGTCCAGTGCTTCGGCAAGTACAAGGACCGCAACATGTACATCCTTTACGACTGTATCCAGACGCTAGCCGAGTGCGTCATGACCGAACTGGCGAAGCCGCAGCTTGTCGATATCCTCATGCCTGCTCTGATCGACCGTTACAATCACGTCACGGATCAGTCGCGGGAGCTGTTCCCCCTGCTCGAATGTCTGGGCTACATCGCTAATGCATACGGCGATGCCTTCGCACCATTCGCTCCTCACATCTTCCAGCGGTGCACCAAGATTATCTACCAGAATCTCGAGGAGTTTATTGCTTCTCAGAACAACGAGGCCATTGATGAGCCTGACAAGGACTTCCTGGTTACCAGCTTGGATCTTCTTAGTGCCGTCATCCAGGCTATCGACCCGCAAAAGAGCGGCGAGCTGATCGCAAGCTCCCAGCCCCGTTTCTTTGACCTGCTTGGCTACTGTATGCAGGACCCCAACTATGAGGTCCGCCAGTCCTCATACGCTCTGCTGGGCGACTGTGCCATCAGCATCTTCCCTCACCTGGAGCCTTTCATCCCCACTATCATGCCGGTTCTCATCAAGCAGCTCGACCTGGACCTTATCCGGGATGACGACCGCCACACCGGCTTCAGTGTGCTGAACAACGCCTGCTGGTCCTGTGGTGAGATCGCAGTCAACGAGAAGGCAGCGCTCTCCCCATATGCGGAGAAGCTGTATCACGCGCTCCTGGCCATCATGGCTAATGAGGAGATCATCGACTCTGTCAATGAGAACGCCGCCATGGCCCTGGGGCGACTTGGACTCTGCTGTCCCGATTCGCTGGCTCCTCAACTCCGCGTATTCGCCAGTCCGTTCCTGAAGTCGATGAGCAAGATCGACTTCACGCGCGAGAAGGCATCTGCCTTTTTGGGCTTCAACAACGTGGTTATGAAGAATCCCCAGGCGATGGAGGCCAGTCTGGCGGACTACTTCCAGGCTATTGCGTCGTTCCCGAGCAAGTCGCTATCTCAGGAGGAATACCGGGATATCCAGACCTCATTCCAACAGGTATGTTTACACTTCTTCTCTCCTACGGTCGCCCCTTCTAACAATATCCACAACAGGTCCTGCAAGGCTATAAAAACATGATACCCAACTTCGATTCGTTCCTCTCGCAGCTTTCTCCCCCCGTGGCCCAGAAACTGCGTTCGGCCTACCAGGTTTAACCCACCGGCATTTGAACAATCCCCGATTTCATCTCGCATTGACTCGACAAACCCTCGAACTTAGTGAAAGTCGCGTGGCATGGTACCATGACTGATATATTCATGAATGACGGCCCAGAAAACCATCTCTCTTCCTTTGCTCCCCCTGGGACACTGCACATCTCTTTTTAGGCTTGTGGCGGAAGAAACGCACTGCCCCTTGTCATCAGCTTCAGTCACCGTCTTTTTGAATTCAGCGTTTCCTTTGCCAAGTTTCCTCTTCGCTTTCCTTCTAGCCTGCTCTCCATTACGGGATCGCTCGATCTTTCTCATTTGACCTAGAAAAAGGAGGAATCGCGTGAACTAGGTGCATGGGTATTAGGTCACTATTAATGCGAGACGTGCGCTTCACACTTGGGCGTTTCTTTTTCAGTATTCCTTTTCCTTCCCCCTTTCAAGTTTTTCGATGCTTATCCTATCAATCTCTGCGAAGACGCCGGAGAAGGAGGGAGTACGTGGGGGGTTCCAAAGATGCGATCTGACTGTTTATCTCCGATATATCTGATGATTGCAAGGGGCATGGATATTCGACATGATTGATGCTTTCGAACCCTTTCCCTTTCTCTTTGCTTTCTGCTTGCTGTCTTCCCTCTGCATGTCGATGTATATCGAGGCCGGTTCCCATATGGTAGTTCTTTGTTTCAGCGTTGCTTCTTTCTCATTCCCCCCCTCCCCCTTTAGATAGATAGATTAGATACCTGGAATCGAAGATTCCCTACTGATAAGCTTATTAAACTCATGGCACGATCTATGTCCGTAGACAGGCGAAGCGGACTCTGTCTAACGTACCCGTGAGAGATACAAAGAGAGAAGGGAGAATGAGGGCAAGAGTAACGAGATGTTAGATGGGCGAACGAAGGGCCGCGAGCATACGATGGCTTCCTGCAGGCTCACGTCAATATCTGAAGAATTAATTAGTAGCCGTAAATAAGTTTGATGTATCTTATAGACAGTGGTAGGTCATAAGAAAAGGCCCTCTTATCCCAAGTAAAGCGAGGATACTATCACACCCAGCAAAACAAAAAAAGAGCATCTTTCCTTCTGCTTACTATATTGTGAGTGAGTCCCTTTCGACCCTGACAACACACGCCATCACAATGTGCTCCTACGGGAGCAATGGGAGAATTGGTGATCCAAGGCCATGGCAAACTTGACCAGCACCAGGCAGTTCTCCGTCGTACAACTGGCATCGAACAGCCGAACACACTGGACGAGCCTGCATAGAGTATGTTCATGGCCTGACAATGGACGTTGGGGGAAACCCACTGCTAAGGATGGCGTGCGTTCTCCATCCAATGGACCATATCCTCTTGTGATAGGCTTATAGCACTTCGTCGAGGATGGTCAAGGGTGATGATCGGAAGCTCGCGCGAGCCTATTCCGCTTTACACAACCTACCTGTGTCCCCATTCATCGCGCGTCTTGAAGCAGATCCACGATGCAGCCAGACCAGACAGTTCTGGACTCCAGAACTGAAGAATGGGCATGCGTATCCATCTTTGTCCCGAAGTGCCTTCGGCCACTTACACTTCTCTCCTAGCGACTGGCGGGAGAGTTGGGCCGTGACTATTCTCCTGCCTTTCCAGGAATAAACACCCTCCCTCTTTGCCGTCCGTTCTCAATTCCTTGCGAGCTCGGCATTCTACGCGAGGATATTTTTGGATATCGGCAAATCCGACCATCTCCACCAAACAGCCATCACCAATCCTTATCTCTCCTACTCAATGCAGGTACTGGACTTCCCCTCTCGGTGGAGCTATCACCTTCCACTCCATATTCCGGACGGGATCGTCGCAGGCCTCGCTTATTTGACGCCCTGCGAGTCTGAGCTTAACTCCATGCGGCCCACGATTGGCTGCTCAGATGGGGCCGGACGTACCAAGACGCGAGCCTTTCCTTTTACCGCTGCTTTTCACGAAGAGGGTCCCTGTTTTTGTGCCGTTGGCACTACCCAATTAGTCTTACCCACCACGCAACCCCCCCCCCTCCCTCCTTGTCTGGACGGAGTATTCTCTAAACCCTTGGACTCGCGTTAGGCCGAGGTTAGCCTGCGTCGGTGGGCGGCGCAGTGAGCGCGTATTGGCCGGGTGTTTGACCCTGGCCTCTCTCGCGGGCCCTAACGTGATGGCGTTAACGTGATGGATCTCGTTCTCGCAGAATGCAGCTCGTTTCCTCCGCTGCCACCCCTGTCCCTCCTCGCCGTGTGACGTGCAGATTGGGGCCACTCAGGGCAACCGCCGGTTATCCTAGTTGTACGGAGTACATGGTTACAATCTGTCGGGTCGTCACTATCCTGCAAAGGGCGGCATCCCCCGAGCCTGGCTAGTTCCCTCTTCCGGCAACTGCGGTCCCTCAGGGGGCCGCGAGGTTTCAATTTTTCAGCCTCAGCTGCAGCCCCTGCTCTGCTGGTCTGGTTCGCCTCTCTATCCCAATTCACATCACATCGGGTTCTTTTCTTTCTCCCCTTTCTTTTCTGTTCATTTGTTCTACCATTTGGGATATCGCAGGGGCTTGGTAACTGAGATAGCTCGTTAACTTTATACTGTTATCCTGTCGTGTTGTATAGTATACTCGACACAGCCCAGGGCAATGACCGCAATGATGGATGTGGGGTTGTTTTTACTTCTATCATATATATCCGCGGACCACGACCCGCCCCAACCCTCCATCCAGCAGGCACTGCCCATCAAAATCTAAAAACAGTCCATGAACCGCAGATGGCCATCCTCGTTCTTGATGCAATCCGCCAGATTCACACAATCCTCGTGGTAATCGTTGCCATCGGCCAGTTCGGCATGTAGGATGGGCTTCTTGGGCTTGGTGTCGCCCTCCCACTCGAGGTGGACGTTCGCCGCACCGTCGGAGAAGTTCTCGGCGCTCCATGTGAATTTACCTGGGGAGAGGAAGGGCGGTCATCGAAGTTAGTCCCTGCTGGTCTGATCTGGTTGCCTGTGTCTGGTCCTTCATGTACTGTCGTTGGTGGCTGGTCTGGGCTGTAGCAACGTCCCGGCTGTGCGATGCAGGGCCCTGCTGCAAGCCACCGCAAGGCAGACAGCAAAAAAAAATAACAAAGCCGGAGCACCAGGCAGAACAAGAAACGGATTGTGGCTCGGCTTACCTTTCTTGGCTCCGATGAAATCGTTCAGATCCAGTTCCGAGTAGTGGGCTTCCCCTGACGGGCGACGGCAGTATGCACTGAGGACATGTCCCTGCTTGAGTTCGATATCCATGCATGACTTGTGGAAACCCATGATGGCTGGTCTTGTCTTGTTCTTGTCTTGTTCTTGTCTTGTTCTTGTCTTGTTCTTGTCTTGTTCTTCTTGCCGGTTCCTCCTGCCAGGCGCGAGATCGAACAGGGGCAACCAGACGAACCTCAGCCCCGAATAAGCCAGAATACAAAATGTGTTTCTCGCCGAGACGAACCAGTTGGCACACTTGACGAGCTCGGTCTAGGCGCAATAGCTTTCGGTGCTGGGGAAAAGGAAGGAAAGCGAGCAGAATCCAGAATCCCAGCTGACACGCAGATATATATTCTGCAAAGATTGGACTCGGTGAGTTGCCCCTCATGCCATCGTTACATCGTTATGCTGTTGCCGGGCACCCCGTTGGGCGCAGCCAAACGGCGTCGGAGAGGCGGTGGCTCTGCATCATCGTGGCCTCACCATGATGATCGGACCGAGGGACAACGCGCCCTTCCTAGGTAGTCTATAGTCTTTCGTAGTTCTCATCGCGGCGGCGCTGCCATCTGCGACAAGGTCATTATGACTTCATGCAGGGTGAGATTGAATGGTGCTGACACTTGACACACACCGGTTGAAGGGTCTGGTTCTTTCAGCCTCACAGCTTCTGCATCGCGGGTCAGGTGCAGGCCGCCATCGGGGGCAACGGCAGAGGTGGCTTAAACGGAAAAAGAAGGTTGACGCTAACAACTTGATGTACCTCGGGGCGAGGGTCTTCAGCCAGAGCCATACTTGGATGGGAAATCTATTTCAAGCGTGTTTTGGTCTCGAGAAAAGACGTTCCATCCCACCCTTCATCTCGCGTGTCATCACTATTCAGTCTATAGTCTTATCCCGTCAGCTAGGAGCTGAGTCGTAAGCCCCCTTTGCGCTGCATCCCTCGGATCAAGTAGAACTACCCTAGTGCCATCTAACTCCAGTTAGAGTCGCTATACTCATCCAACCGATCGACGGCATGACTCCACGCCCGATGCGTCCTTTGCCTCCTTCGCCTGGATTCCGATAGACCGGACCCGCCAATGGTGCGATGATCGCAGATCGACGGGAGCAAAAAAAGAAGCGTGGGCTAACCTTTCCCAGCCCCGTCTACGATAGCACTGTCTTGGCGCGTTTAAGTTGCCTAGCGCCGCCGGCCTTCCATGGGCCGTGCTTTTGCTCCATGCGGACCAAAATACCTGCCCGTGCTTGGGGGATGTCATCTGAAGGGATGCCCGGGGTATATCGAACTATGGTTCTTTGGGCTCTTTCGGTTGCTGCAGACCCTGCTCGTGGGGGTGGATCCAGGGTATCGCGTGCGCTGGGCCACGCAGGATGGCAACCTGGACGAATTCGCTACAGGAACTGATCTCCGCGAGGGCGAGTCTGTCGTACATGCAGCGGTTTCTGCTGTATGTAAGAGTGGAAACCGTTGCCATTCGCGGAGATCGGTGTGCGGGATAGGCTGCCCCCGGTGGGGACCGGCACGAATTGTTCGCTAAGGCAGATGAAGGACCCGGGAAAGTTCGAAATATGATCGGTAATGAGTTAGCTTATTGGTTAGTTACAGTAGTGAGTACTTTGTAGGTACTACTGTCAAGCGTCAAGCTAAAGGGGGGGCCCAGAGTACAGAGCTCCGATTGCAGGCCGAAACGTTTCCATCTCGCACCTGGAACTCCGACCAAGTCAAGCAGTCATCTTGGTAGGGCGCCGACGGGGAGGATTGGCCCCCAAACGCTGCCGCAGGCTGACTGCGCTAGCCCTGTTCTGGCTTCATGTAGCGAGTAGCGAGCCACTAAACGCTTTCCAGGTGATGCCCAGCATTCCCAGCACGGGGGATCGTGTGGAGGCGGGTTATTGGGGGACCCACTTCTGACGAGAGGACTGGGGAGTCAAGTTTCGGGTCGGATGGATTACTCGATTTCTTGGCCGGGCGGAGACCCGAGCATGTCCGCACAGCCCATGGTTCTCGACGGGATTCTCCGCCCTAGCGCCATTTCAGGCAAGCAGCGTATTCGACAGTCGCCCGGTTGGGTTAGAGGGTCATTTAGTGACCGGAGGTTTAGCTTAGTAGTCTGTAAGCAGGACATTCAGGGATCCTAATGCCGCCTGGGACATGAAACAGGTAGGATGATGCGAGAGGATCGGCATGGCGACAGTTGGATCGTGGAGCCACGTGTGGTGACAGGGCCGACACAGTGAGCGACTGCCTCCAGAGCCAGCACCAAAGAGAGTTCGACGAGTGTTACAGAGATCAGAGGAGGCCTGGCTATGACTGCAGTCCTGGTGTGCTGGCATGTACTCCGTACATGCGGTATGTGCGGTCGAGAAGGTATCTCTTGTATACCGCCGGGTACATCGGGCCCGAAGTATAGCCCAGCACCTGTGGAACACACCGACTTCTGACCCCCGTCGCATCTCCACAAAACGTGGAGGCCGGGGTTCCAACTAGCGGTCACTGCAGTGCTGCTGCGTGACCCTTTTGCAGGAACAGAACAACTGGACGAACTGAGTTCGCGACAAAAGACTCGACCGGGGTCAGTCTTCAGGGCGTCGGTGGCTTGCAACGAGGCCATCGAGTCCCGATTGCCTCTCGCACTAGACATCTGCTATCTGCCTAGCTGGGACCCTAGTGACTTTCGAGAATAGTCAAATTATAGGGTAGAATCATCATGACGATCGCTAGCGCAGCGGACCGGGGTTTATCGTCTGCTTCTCCCAAGCGGGCAACGCGCGGTTTGGTCTGGAACGTGACTGACCTATCAGGCGTCATTCCGGACCTCGTCTCTCCTCTCCTGTCTGCTCCGATTCCCCTGGACCCTGCAGTCAAGACAGCGCCAGACCTCCTGAACGGTACGATCAACTCCTTGTATCACCCGAATTCCTGCCCATTTTCCTTTTTGAGCCACGTCTCGCCCCCCTGTCCACCACATCCCCTTCTTCATCTTCCACATGGAGAGCAGTGAGAGATGGCTCCCTGCATTTCCAGCCCAATGGTCCGCTCCCTGGGATATGGGTTTCCGGAGTCCCGGGCCTGCAATGCGACGATCGCATTGGACCCTGGCACCCAGAAGGCTTGGACGGCGATCCCGAGAGACGGGAGCGACAGAGGGACATGATGGCTGATGGCGGACAGCCATGATTGACCGTCTTCCTAGCCATGACTGCAGGCATCGCAGGGCTTTGGAAGGTTGTCCCACCTCGCGCCCAATCCCCAGGCCGCCGGTGGGTTCTCGTGCCCCCCCCTCTACTGCTCAGCGCCAGCATTTCTGCGACGCCCAGAACCCTGCAGCTTCGGTTGCTATTACCGAGTTGAGGCCGCGTCGCACGTTCCGTTTGCACGGGTAGAAACGGCGCCTGTCAAGGCTAACCAAGTTCGCGAGAGACCATGCTCATCAGCGCCTCCACTCTGGACTTTTCACCCCTCCTGGGCCCACTCCCCTCTAGGCCCCTTCAGGACTGGTTCCAATCCCTCAAAGTCCTCACCCAGGCTCACGGGGCGAGCCTGGGCGTGAAAGATTGACATCCCCCTTTACTCAACGCGGTATACGGTGGGGCTTGGCTCTTGACGTTGCGATCCACAATCCAGGGTCCCTCAGATCGCGGAGCCTTGCCAGGCAATCAAAGTCATTTGAAGTCGATCGATGGCACATTCGCTACTCCGTAGTCGTGGCAGGTCCAATCACCATCGGATCTGCGCTGCTTTTTTGCTTTCTCCTCGAGCTGCAGCTTCATTTCTGCCTCCACGCTGCGCTCCCTCCTCCGTTGGGGCCCCTGCCATCGTCCTGGGCTAGATGCGAGGAACGCTCACTGCTCCCCACCCCCTCCCACACCTTATCCCCAATGGATTGCAGGAATGAGACTTGGAACAGACAAAATAGTCGAAAAGAAAAAGAAAAAAAAAACCGCGGAATCCCCCAGCCACCCCCGTCTTTTCTTTGTTCAGCAGATTCCTCTACCACCCCTTTCTTCTTTCCCTGGGTCTGGCCATACCCCGATCATCCTGGTCCCAGATGAGCCACTCGTCCCAGCCGTGTGGACGACCCGATTCGCCTGCGCGAAGGGAACGGACGGGAGGTGGTAACTCAACCGACCTCTTCCCGCTGGCGAACTATCCAGATGCGACCGACGCCGTCGGCTTGGCTGACCCAGATAATCAATCACCCGGCGTTGTGCTCCACTTCTGCTCCCGCCAAGAAGGGAAGTTGTTGAAATTTGCAATCGCTTGATCGGAGATCCTTGGCTTCCCCCGGGGCGCTCGCCGCTCGACGTACCAGAGGACTGCCCCCTAGACCATCGGAAGCTCTGTCTGCGCGAGAATGGGCCTCCAACCAGGACCCTTCCATCCCGCTCCATCCACTAGGAGCCGATGACACTTCCTTTCCCGCAGGCCAGATGGAGAGCTCACATGCCGCCTGATGGAACCAGCAGGCCAACCCACCCTCCACTCACCACATACCCGACGGGCGCAACTCAAACGGACCTCCCCTGGTTGGGTCTAAACCTTTGGAGGCAGCTGTATAAGCCTCCCCCCTCAAATTAGACTACGTTGGGACTCCGCCTGCTGCCCAGTCTGGCCCGAGCCCCCGTTCAACTGGCGCCATGTGGTCCTCGCCCGCCTAGTCGGTTTGGTTCGACATGGATTGTCCTGGTCCATGCGCTTGTATCCCATCTCTCCCGTCTGCAGTCTCCAGTCTCCCGTCACTCCCCCAGTCATCGGTCTAGGTTGGCCCTCCAGCTGAAGGTGCCATCCTGGGCCCTGCAGAGGCTCAAAACCTCGATCAGCACTGGGGAAATGGGAACAGCAGGCGGCCCTGCTAATTATAATTATTGTCTTATTATTTTTTTGATTTTTTCTTTTTTCTTTTCTTTTTCTTTGCTTCCTTTTGATTTTCTGCTAAGATTAATCTTTTTTGCACCTGACTGTCGGGACCGGGGCGAATTTGCATCAACGGCGGGCGATCCAAGCTCTCTCTCATCAGCAGCACTTCTTTTCTTCCTGCCTTCCACCCTAGGCCTTCCTCCTCCCGCTCTTCATTTTTCGCCCCCCTACCGAACTGAATATCCTGGGGATTTGATTACTTTACTGTTCCGGACCCCTTCTTGGCTCACCAGCGGATTTTTCCCCGGCCGACTCGTATTTCCCACGTGCGGGACTACATCATCTCCAGTACTTCCCTCGACACTCACTCATTCCCCAACCCGCCAGAGTTATTTTTGGAGCCCCCATCGTCGATCGTCTCCTATAAACTTCTGGGGCTTCATCTCCCTGGTCCTGACTCCCTTACTTAAAACCCTACTTGTTCATAACTCCACAGCTGCCCGGTTTCTGGGTGATTTCGTCCTTCTGATTACCAACTCCCCCACCTTGCATCTTACGTTGGTCACCGGGCATCTTCCTGGCCCATCTACGTGAACATCTTCCACGGTTCCCCCCTTTGATCTTGCCACTTCCTCAAAGCTTCCGCCTATCTTCTAGCCACATCACAATAACAGTCAAAATGGCCGGTCCCGGTGGTGGCCCTCCGCGCAAGAGCCATACCAAGTCGCGAAACGGATGTAAGACGTGCAAGCGGAGGCACATCCGCTGCGACGAAACCTTCCCGCAATGGTATGTCCTTGATCTCCCTCCAGACTTGTTTCAAACCGTAGGTCTAATAGAGAATGATCTAGCCGCAATTGCACCAAGCACAACTGCCGCTGTGACTACCAAGACGTGGCCGCGGCGCAAGGCAGTCCGCCCGCCTCGCGGCGCGGCCCAGATCTGCTCATGTCTCCAGATATCGAGATGGAGATTGAGAACTGGCACAGAACCGGTCTCACACCATATCCAGAGCTTGTGGGTTGCCCCCCTCTGGTTGGTCTGGTCTATCTCGTGCCGACTTGCGGTTGATTCACCATATCATCGGGCTTTCCATCGACCTACATCGACGGGGCCTGAGCAGTTGTACCGTCTGGGCGCAGATGCTGCCTAGGTAAGCTGTTTGGGAGTCTCTCACACGGGTTATGATGAGACTAACAGTATTCCGATTAGCTTCCTGGGTATTGCGCTGTCGAATGATTTCGTGATGAGCGCCATTCTTTCCTTCTCGGCATACCATCTGGCCTTCCTCACGCGTGATCAAGAAACCAAGCAGCTCGCTTTGCACCACAAAGCGGCTGCTTTCAAAGGTCTTCGGACTGCCCTCGGATATGCGATTGCCTCTCCCTCCAAGGATAATGTCGAGGCCATTCTTTCCGCTCATATCTTGCTATCCTGGCAAGCAACCGAATAGTGAGTCTATCAACTGCACCCGGAAAGGAAAGAGAACTAACCTCGAGTAGTCAAAGCTGGCTGTCCCTGCAGCAAGGCCTCTCCTCTGTTCTCGAGACCATGTATCCAATGTGGAAACACGAGTCTGAGATTGTCCAGTTCATTGACAACCAGCACGCGTTGAGCGCTGCCGATATCCCAGTGTCGTTCGATGAAGATTTGAGACAGTTGGATCAGACCATTCACGCGCTGCAGATCTCCCAGAAGCGCGTTTCACATCATGCAGAGCACTCCCAGCGCTTGGGCGAGTTGATCGACTTTGTGCAGAAATTCCGCAAGGAGTTCCCCACGCAAACCTCCGAGCAGGCTTTCGAGCGTATCCAGATTCTACGACAATGGCTCTTCTGGTTACCACCGTCTCTCCTTCGGAACGGTGAAACCGAACTGAGCGCCCTCTCGATCTTGTCTCAATTCTTCGCTGTTGGAATCGCTATCGACCGCTTCTACCCCGAAATGGGCGGCTCGTATCTGGGAGCCCTGTCGATCGGACCTATTGAAGAGACGTACCGCATCCTCGGGGCACACAGCGCCACAGATCCGTTCAACGCCGAGCTCCGTCTCGCGATGACCCTCATGGATTTGCCACGGCATTCCGTTGCACGATATCGCAGCCGTCTGGCCTGGTCTCCGCGTCCCTCGGTCGAGCACTACTCCCCCGGACCCCCGAGCCCATATCATGGGCTGCACGAGTACTCCATCCCCTCATCTTCCTCTCCCGCTTCTGCCTCTCCTTCCTACGCCGCCTACACCCCCCCGCTCCAGTCTCCTCCGGCCGTAACAGTCGCCGGATCTCCCTTCCACCTCGCAGACGGCTACGTCACCGCTGCGCCCTCGCACACCCTGTATCCGCCATCCCCCCAACTCCTCGATACCCACGATGCACAGCTGGGACTGTCCGAACTAAGCCACGGCGGCTCCATCCCGCACTCTGCGGCTTTCACCCCTCCCTACGGTGGCGATGTTCTCTGCGCGGATATGCCCCGACCCGATGGCGCATTGGGCCTGAACATGGAGGTGTACCCGCAAACACACGCCTTCGAGCTGCCCGGGATGGTGGCCCCCGAGCCATGCTGGACATGACATGTATGAAAACCCCAGCCAACAATATTCTACCTATTCCGCCACTATGGACCGTGAACCCACGGAGCCTCGGATTGATATCCGGGGCTCAAGAAATGCTTTTCTCACGTCACTTCTCGTCACTACTCTTCTTCTTTCTCCTCGACTCTGTCTTTATACTGATGTGTCTATTTTCCTTTCCCCCCCGGGACTTACTGGGGGATTTTATGATATCGAGCATGAGCGTTGGTGGCCTCTCTCAGATTCTGTTGCGTTCGTGGCCGGAAGGTAATGACTCTACTAAGTGATATATACCCGGACAATATTGTTAAAATCTTTCGTTCGCATGTTTGGGGGCGCCTGTATGCTATTATTCTCTTATCTGGGATTCGTTTCGTATGGAATGGCGATTCCCAAGGAATAGACGTCTAGGTGGTGTTTGGATCTTGAAACTGGGTGCCTCGAATCAAACTCTTCTTCATGGTGCACCTTTCCCGTTCAGTACGAAGGGTATCGTAGGGGTAATGGTGGTGGCAGGAAGATACCTTCAATGCTTAGGTAGGATTGCATCACATCCTACCGTGGCCTTCAGCTCGATCTTCAGCTCCTCGCCCTTGCATGCTAAACATAGAAACCCCCCCTCCCCCCCTATCTTCGTCTCCTTCTCCCCCTCCATCTCGGTCTCCCTTCATCACCCGCGATCTCCACCTCACGCCAAGTTTCTCACTCTCCCGCTACACATGCATACGAAGAACCCCTCCCCCATAACCAAGACAGACAACGATCGCCAGGAACAATGGCCGGACTGGGAAACTAAGAATAGCCCTGCGAGCGGGGGACGCAGGGAAATTAGACTACGAAGCGAGTCTATCGGACCTTGTCATTGGATGCGCGCATGCAAGATACCTGCAGCAGCACTAGTGTCTGTTCAGCCCTCCCCGTTCAGTAAAGTTTTGTCGGGCCAAGGGAGAGGGGGGGGTTGACGACGGAGTACACAGTGCGATGTGACGATGTGATAGGGTTGGCCGAACTGGAAGGAGGATGCCCTCGTATTCGGCCGACTCCAGTCCCGCCCCACGATCGAACGGGCGTGTCATGGCGTGCATGGAGCTCCTCGCGTGGCACGCAGGGATAGCCGCACCTGAGGAATGGGCGTCCAGCGTCCACTAGCGATGAGTCTAGGGTTGGGGGCGAAGCAGGAATGGGAAATCGTGGTTTGTCGTTTCAGGTGGTGACACAGTGAGACTGGATCGTGGCCGGCTGCTGTTTTGGGTAATGCTCGTATCACCCTGCATACTCCGTCCATACCCCCTCGCCCTTGCCGCGGATGCTCCGTGCTAGTAGTGTAGCGTGGCGGAAGGCACAAGGATTTCGGACGTAGGGTTGATTTTGGTTCGGGGATCGGCACTGGCGATAACCTCCCGCGGGAACCCCCTAGGGCTAATGATCGGCCCGCAACCTCGTGTTTCTATATTTATCGCGCCCCCTCTAGGTCGCCGTTGTTTATTACCCTTTTGAGTTTGGGGAGGTTTTTTGGCCAATGGATTCTTTCGATATGTAAGGTGGATTTAGCTTCTGATCATGCGTGGGGTATTTGGATGCGATGAGGGTGTGCAACTGCTTGGCCGATCTACTTACGTCTAGGATGACACATGGGCCGGATTGAGTAACAATGTGCATTCTGCATCGACGAACTATGTCGATCCTCAAGCGAGAGTATGTACTTCGCAGGAGCCCGGTGGCGTGAAAATGCCAAAGTAGACCGTTGGTTTATTTTTGGGTGCCGACTATTTTTTTTTTTTTTTATAGGACGACGGTGTATGCCTACTGTAGGTGGTGACAAGTTCAATTTGCTAGCCTTCTGTTTGCAAGACAGAGATCTTTGAAGTCATCACGGAAGGCCATAGAGAGAAGAGTCACAGGAGTATTCTTGGACCACCACTATTTATGGTTCTTTCTTTTGCCTGGATGTTTCATACTGGCTATCAAAAGTAGGCAAGATGCAACAGAGCGAACGATGAAGAAGCTTGCACACTAAGTTCAATTCTACAGAATATGAGCATCAGCGGCCATAATCTAAGCAATGTGCTCTGGATTATCCAAGTCGCGAGTGAGCCTGGTCCTACCACTCCGCTCATTTGGGACACTCTTCAGCTCTTCAATAGGACCGCCAACAGCTTATACGAATTCGAAATTGAGTGTATTTGATCCTTACACTCTAATATCTTCCCAAATGAGCCTGCTTGGGGTTTCGGTATTTTGCATGAAAGGATTAGTTTGTATGCTCACTAGCACCATCTTCTCGGTATGTGAAGCTATGGACTCTTTTATACTCCGCATACTACTCTGTTCTAGGGCTACAGCACACGTGATTGGTAACGCAACACGTGACCTATGACATAAGTCCCGTAGGGCGATATCAAAACACCGCTGTCGAACATTCCAACCCTACAAGCCGGTAGCATTGTTCCCAGTCGACCAAAAAGCTAGCCTCACGGAGCTTCCCAGCCGACTTCAATCAGCACATAATGGCCGACACCGGTGGTTGGAGCACTATTGAGTCCGACGAGGTATCTCTCCGGAGCAAGCCTCCACCCTGTCGAGCTCCAACAGCTAACAGCATCCAGGGCCTATTCACCTCCCTCATTGAGACGCTAGGCGTTCAGAATGTCCAATTCGAAGAGCTCATCTCGTTAGATGCAAACACGATACGCTCCCTCGGGTACTCACTCCTCTTCCTCTCCATCCCAACCGCGAATCAAGGCACTCTCCCCGCCGTGCTTGGCATAGCTAACCCTCCGCACCTCCCACAGATCCGTCTACGGCGTCATCTTCCTCTTCAAGTGGACCCGCGAGGCAGCCGGTGCCCGCGCCGAAGCACCCCTCGACGGGAGCTACGACGCAACCGCAGCAGAAAACAACGTCTTCTTTGCCGCGCAAACGATCCAAAACGCCTGCGGCACCCAAGCTATCCTCTCCGTAATCCTCAACCACGACAACCCCCCCAACCACTCCCACCCATTACCCTGGGCACCGAGCTCCGCTCCTTCAAAGACTTCACAACCGGCTTCCCGCCCGAATTGCGCGGCGAAGCCCTGTCCAACTCGGAAGCCATCCGCACCGCACACAACTCCTTCGCCCGCGCAAGCCCGTTCGCCGACGAAACGGCCCGGCCCCAGGACGAAGAGAATGCCGCGGATGTGTACCACTTCATCGCGTACACGCCTGTTAACGGGACGCTGTACGAGCTGGACGGCCTGCAGCCGCACCCGATCAGCCACGGCGCGTGCGACCTGTCTTCGTTCCCGGAGAAAGTGATCGAGGTGCTGCAGCGGCGCATTGCGCGGTACCCGCCGGAGGAGACGCACTTTAATCTGATGGCGGTGGTACAGGACCCGCGCCCGCGGGCGCGGGAGATTGGGGATGCGGAGACGCTGGAGCGTGAGGAACGGAAGCGGGCCGCGTGGGCGTGGGAGAATACGCTGCGGCGGTGGAACTTTGTTGGGTTTATTGGAGAGATGATGAAGGGGGTGGCTGCGATGAAGGAGGGGCAGGATGAGAGCGGAAAGGCGTATGAGGAGTGGGTGGAAGCGGCGAAGAAGGCGACGAGGAAGAGGTTGGAGATGCGGCGATAGCGGAGAGCGGAGCCTGTTTGCTGTGGCCAAGGATACCTTGGCATACGAGATGGGGGCATGTTCTCGGTTATTGACGCTATGCTGCCATGCATGATGGGTTTGTCTTTGATGCGATATGAATCCGCATTTTTGGGAATGCCCCTCCTCTACGAATATCTTGTCTTGTTGAATGAGATACCCCGGGGTGATGATAGAACGCGGAAGCGATGCAAAATCCAAAGATAATGTATGCACACTATAACTATCTACTGGGTACTGACGTCCAACATTCGTAAACTTCATCATCATGATTTTGACCTTTGCGTTCATGATAACCATCAATCAACCAACTCAATATCGTTAATCAATAGTCGACAGCCCGCGCCCGAAGATGCTCGACCATCGGTGCAGGCAGCTGCTCTGCCTTCACCAGGCCCAGCGCCAGCAGGTCAGACCAGAAGAACATAGCACGGTCCTGGGCGTAAGCCAAGTAATCGAAGGTTTCCTCTTCATCAACGTCGGAGTCGACGGTGGGAGTTTTCTGCTCCCTATTGCCGTTCGAATCGTGCTTCACATCCTCAAGAGACCCCTTGCCAGACGCCGCAGCGACCTCGGCTTCTCCCATGCCGGGAATCTTGGCCTGCACGATACCCCATGCTACCCATTGCGCTGAGTTCATGACGCGCCACAATCGGGTTTGATGCATGAGATTCCGCACCTGGGACTCCAGCTCTTCTTCCGCAGATGTTTCTAGCTGTTGGTAGCCAGGGCCATCGGGGCCTTCATCAAGGTTCAAGGGAGTGATCGCGGTTGTCGAACGGCCGCCGCGCATGGACGGGGTAGCCAGAGGCGATGTAGGACCGCCGGGAACGGCGGGACGATGAGTGAGATAGGTTGCCACGAATCGGTGCTGCTCTTCCGGTGTCGGGTAGAGGCGGTTGTTACAAGCCCATGGGAATTCCTCGTCATGGTAGTTGTAGCACCATTCGGTCTATGGAGAGTTAGGCCAGGCCCAGTCAACTGAACAGGAGGCTGAGGACTCACAAAGTGATTGGCAAATTCAAGGCCAGGGGTGTTGGCTGACGAGTACTCAAAGTCAATGACAACAAGTTGCTTATGCTCATTGGCGGGGAGCAGGAGGGGAGACTGCGAAGCAGGCTCCATGCGAAGAAGATTGCCGTATTGGGTCTGAGGTTGTTAGCACACTAGGATAAAGTGAAGTATAGAACAGGACAGGACATACATCGTTGTGAGCAAACACAAGCTGCCGCTTAATCTCGTTCATTCCGCCGCAGCTGGCAATCAGCCAGATCCGATAATTATCCACGGCCTTCCGGAACATTTCCCATGGCACACCGCACACAAAGCCGCGCCGCCGCCATGGTTCTGTAGCAGCCTTGATCTCATTTTGCGGGGATTCAAGTTCCTTATCTAACCAGGTGGTAACTTGTTCACAGCGGTCAACCCACCTATCCCAATTTATGAAGATCATCGGACCGTCCTCGCGCTCCTCTTCAAGAAGCTCAATGCCATCATGGAGCTCTCTCATCCGCTTGGCAATCTGCCTGGCAGTCTCAGGAATCCGTAGCTCACGCGGGGTTAGTGGGCGTGCTTCAAAGAACTCTTCGAAGCGGCCGTTCAGGAAGGTTCCTAAGACGCGTGGTCCAATGTTCTTGCGGCCCAAGCGGCGCAAGATCTGCAGTTCCTTTTCTCGATCGATCAGATGATCAACCTGCGAGCCGTAGATGCGCAGTAACAGCTTTGGCGGGGGTTTTCTTGAAACCACCGGACCAGATCCATTGTCAGTCTTTGGGGGAGCAGGTGGATGCCTGGGGGGCTCGACCACGTAGACAGCATTTGTCAACGCGCCACTGAGGCGAATGACCTTGATATCTCCAGCCTCCTCCATTGACACCTTGCGCCAACCCCGAAGTTGCATTGTATGCGCGAGACGCACAATCTCGGTCTTAAAAGTCAACCAAGCCTCTTGGTCCTTGGAACGCTTCGAGCTGGCACTGCTACCCGCGTTTTCCTCCTCTGCGGTGCCGCCCGTGTAGGCAAGAGTCTTTGAATTGTCAAGGAATGCTTCCACGCTGGGAACAGGGGCGTCAACATCGGTATAGTCCGACTCCGAGGCAGATCCACGACGCAAGCCTTTGGGGCGCCGACGCGTTGCTCTCTTCATGGACTGAAGAGACGCAAGCCCGTCTCCAGGTCGTGCCCCCGAATACTGAAGAAGGATCTTCTCTAACTTGTCGAGAGAGAAGGTGCTCTCCGAACAGTGCGGAGCTTCATCTACTGGACTCTCTTCGGACTCACGGGCCGCTACCTTGGTACCAGAGGCTGCCTCAGCTCGACGAGCCTTGCGATTTTGGCGTCTGGCCTTCTCGTGCTGCAGCCATTCCGACACTTGGTGTAACAGATTAACCTGGGGATCTTCCTCTCCCTTGGTGGACTGGGCGTCGTCGATAGTCGACGCATCAGGCTTGACGCTTGACTGGCTGCTTAAAGCAGAAGGCATTGTCGACGCTGGTTGGATCGGAGGTCGTACGGTTACTTTGGCCACAGGGGCTCGGTACTGCTTCAGGGACGACCCGTCAGGTGGGGAGGCAGGGCCGGTTCCGCCTGTGTTTAAGGCCTTGCGCAACGAAGGAATATTCAAGCCCGTGCCCGAAATAGGCCGAGGGTCTACCCGTGATTAGTAAAAAGGAAGAAAAGGAAGAAAAGGCAAGTATAGGACCGAAAGACGAGGTGCATATGGCGGTGGATAGCGACGTCACAACCTGCCTGATTCGACCAGAGGCCAAGGAGGAGGATAGATACAGATGTGGGGGCCAGGGCAGATAAGGGGTCGCGTGGGCAGAGCAGTGGACGTTTGATTATACACAAGGAGATAGAAGATCGGCGAAGCAGGGGGAAGAAAAGCGGAGCCTACCTGTTGCTTCGGGGTCGCGGCCAGCATGATCCCCAGTGAGGGACGGCATGTGTTGTCAGCGTGGTCAGTGACCGCCCGGGAGACGCCACACAATAGGAGTTGCGGCTAAACGCTAGGAATTGGGCACGAGACCAGGTGTAAGAGCGTCTACTGGCCAAGGCGAGCGCTTAAACGAAGCCGGACAGGTTGCAAGGAGATAGTCAAATCCAATGGGCAAATCGCGGAGGCGGGGAGCGTATTTTTGGTACCCAGACAAAAGCGGCGGGCAAGCGAACGGAAGCGACCCAGCAGTCCCGGGAAGTCCTGATAGCCAAACTCAATCAGGCGGACAGGACGGGAATCACAAGGCAGTATAGACACACGACAAGCACGAAGGAGACAGAATTCACAGAAGTCAGAGCACGCGAGTCCGGCGCGATTGCGGAGGGGGTCTAGGAAAAAAAGTGGCGAAAAATGCGCTTATCGGGAGGCTCAGGTGACCCTCTGTGGGCCTGGCGGATCTGGCAGTCAACCGGGGGTCGTTCTAGGTGCTATCGAGTAGAAGCAGGCCGTGGGCCCAAAGAGTGCAGAGACGGGCGACACGAGATAAGAATGGTCTGATACCATCCAGATCCGTGGCGATCACGGTTGTCACCGGCGCAATCATGGCCAGTTGGTCCAGAGGCGTGCTAGTGCCTGATTGTTGATCACACAATCTCTCAGCGCCTCGGTTGGGACACAGAGGATTGTAACCCATCATTTAGCTCCAGCAGCTCAGTACAGGGCGCAGATGGCTTTGCTTTTGTTTGTGTCGCATGAGGGGAGATCACTTCGTTATCAGGTCGTTTTGGCGCCATGGTGTGCATTTCACGGTTGCGGCGAGTCTATTGGGAGATAGCGAACCGGACCACGACGGGTCCCCTGAACTGGGGAGATGTGGAGCCGCCTCCGAGCCAAACAGGGCCGGGTAAGGTCCGGGATGCCATTGCCCAGGGTTATAGATATTATGGATGGCATTAGACTGGGGTTTCGGTGAGGTCTTCAGCTGCAGGAGGTGAAGAAGAAGATGGACGAAGGAGGAAAATGTGCACGAGGGGGCGGCATTTGCAGCGGAGGGGGGGCCTGCCGAAATTACCGTACGTGTACGGTGTCACAGTAACGCCCGATTGCTCGGGCTGCCCACTGAATATGCCGCGATCTACCGGAGAACAAACAGCTTGCATAAGATAGTAAACCCGTGTAGTGAAGGTATACCTCATGAATCATACAAGGGGCCGTTGATGCCCGGGAACAGTATCCTCCGCTGGGTGAACCGGATCCGCCCCTCTTCATCATCAACGTCGCGAAGACTATAATCCAGCCCGACCTGAATATGTCCGTCCCGATTCTTATCCGAAGACAGACTAAAGTCCCACACACGATTCTGAGAGGGAGGGATACAGCCCGGTCTTGAGAGAAGGTGTTCAACTTCAGAGGCTTTTTCAATCCTCGTTCTAGGGGTTTCTTCCAGCGTAACAATGGCGGCCACAACGTGAGCTGCAGGTCGACACATGAACAATCCTTGAGCTGGTGGTGCTTCCTCCAACATGAGCCGCAGGGCCTGACGACGCAGCTGGGGAATTCGACATTTGAGTGCTGTAATAAACAGTGGAAGAAAAACTCCTGTTTCGAACAGAAAGGGTGGCTGCTTTCCGTTTGAGCTGCGGGTTGATTCAATGGCAGCGGGTGCGTAGCGGAGGATTTGGTTGAACTCGGGTTCGTGTGCGTCATATGCAGTTTGATCAGTGCTGAGACTAGTTTCTATTTCAATCAAAACACTTGTATAAGTCATGAGTAGGAGTGCAGTTGCGCCATCGATACTGCTGACCACTTCGTTAGAGCCAGATATCTCGGAGGATTTCAAAGACATCAAACGTCGGTGCCAGTGGCCAAGTCGTTGTTTAAGATGCTGCTGTTTTGCCTCCAAGAATGGGACTTCGTATTTGCGACTCTCGGCTGCTTGCTTCCAATGAGACTTAGTAGCATTGTTCAAGGTCTTCATTTCGGCCACAATCCCACAGAGGACGTTCCTGGCCTCGTCGATGGACCCGAAACACTCACTCGGGGCGATCAGATTCAGGTTCCAACCATCCCTTGAGGAGCCGTCATTGATGAGTACCCATGTGCCTAGTCGGCGAAAGATTGGTGTAAGAGTGGTGATCCAGGGCTCACGGTCGGCATTGATCATCAGTTGCGCTCCCTGTTTGTACAAACCCAAAGCTGCTTTTCGATTGCCCTGGAGAAGCTCGATAGCGATAAATAGAATACAGCTGATTAATGAGACACTCAAATTGGCAGTACCTTGGTTTATCCGTTGCTGTAAAACGGCCAAGGAGCGCGAATACCAGACCAATGCTTCGCGATGGGAGTGACTTCGCACTGTCGCTGGATTATTGATAAGCCAAAATGGCGGTGTTTCGAGAAGGGGTGGCCGCTCGTATAATGCACTGAGCGAGATTATTGCATCCCACACTGCGGGTTCCTGGCGGCATGTCTGCAGGACGCAGCCTCTCCAGAAATAGAGATCGAGGTCGCCGGAAAGTGAAGGGCCAGCCTGGTGGAAATAGAACTCAAAGGCGCGCCGTTCTCGCCATCCAGTCTGTGGCTCAACCCAGGTAGGAAACGAGGTTGTCAAATGCGTGTGAAGACAAGCAAAAGTACGAGCAGCAACATTCAAGGGCACGGTGGATTTTGATAGAGACGACGCGCCGTAACTGCACTGTCGACCGGTGCTGATGCATCTTACACAACGTGGCTTTTCTTCCCCGCAGCGCACACGGCGAATTCTATGTCAAATTTGTCAGATATTTGTTTTCATCAGCGTGACTGTGAAGCTCTCGTGCGACGGACAAGATCCCCTCAGGGAGAATACTGACTTGCAGGTATCGCATCCCGTTTTGGACTTGCTTCTGCCGATTCGGCCAGACTGTTTAGAGGCAGGCATGACTGATAGCAAGAGCCGATGAGCTTGATTTATTCTGTAGCCCCACTTGATTCATGGGTTCAGGGGGACTCTATTTTCGCACATCCGCTGGTGAATCAGGGAGAGTGTGTGGGGGCCGACGAAGACTTAAAGTCTGCCACTAAACCCGATCGTTGCCTCACCATTGGCGCACTGTGTATGGCGGGGAGACCCACGCATCTATTTTGAGATCTTGACCAAGGATATGGATCAAGCCCCCGGTGAGAGACAACGGAGTCCCAGTGGAAACTTTTGAGCAAAAACCAAAAGCTTTCGGTGCAGGATCAGCTAAATGTCATTGTCAAGCAGTTCAGGTTTATGTTGTTTCCATCTTACAGTCTCGAGATGTCATGTTGAGCGCGCTGCCGCCACTGGAACAAACCAATGCCCGTCCAACATGGAAGAATAAACAGAACACAGCCAACGTGCCAGATATTTTGAAGCCTCGGGGGACAGTCTCAGCCTTCCTGAATTAGAAAATGGCCGGGTGGTATCTTGACTATAGGCAGTACGTGCTTGCCCGGAGCACCATCGGGCCGAGGGACGGAGATGCCGAACAGCTGTTAATACCGTGGTTTTTTGCATGAATGGCATTTTTTTAAAATGAGCGGAGATTTCCTCCATTCACGATAATCGGGCTGTTTTCAAAATGGCCAAACTATTCTCTCTGAATTAAGAGCGACATGAGACCTGCAGGTACCGCAACCTGAGCATTTCCGGAGTTGGACTCAGGCATCTCCGGGTTTCTGGTACTGAAACTCCCTCGGAAACAGAGGCAGTTTTTCTATGGAGCGAATCCCACTTTTCCCGTGAAACAGTAACCAATTAATCAGGTGCCTTCGTACTACGAGTCAATAAGCCATTCATTATCCTGGAGATCGGTAAGCCGCACAAGAGCGAACCCCTATTCGGCCAGCGAGGATTAATGGCTTAGAATCAGCCGGCATTCGCATGCATGTCTATACGAACCAGTTCCTAACGCCTTCTTTCTTTTTCCCAATCGCAACTCACTGGTTAGACACCCATCGGTAAGATCAGACATGCGGATCCCGCCACATCACCAGCCCCGCCAAGGAACCCTCAGCCGTCCGTGTGGAGCAACCAGTGAAACATCGTCAGTCGGGGCCTGTAGAAACAGGGTCCCGTGGCCCACGTTATAATTAGGTGCCCCAGTGCATTGAACCTGCAGCTCCGGTTCTCCCGGGCTATAAAAGCAGGTCTCGTCTCTTCTATTCTTGCATATCTCTTTCCGAGTCATTCTTACGTACCATTCTTCTGCTCTATCTATTCCAGACAAAACAAAATATCACACAATGAAGTTCGCTGCCATTGTTGCCTCGCTACTCGCCACCAGCGCTGCTGCGTTTGACAAGTATCAACGTACATACCACCTTCCATCTAATCCCTCAAGACCAAAAGAAGGGGTGTAGCTGACCGCCACTAGCATGGGGTAAACGCGATTACGCCTGCGTCAATGTGTACCAAGGCATCCCAGACAACTCGACTGTGGCCGCCGGCCAAACCGTCCACCTCCGCTTCAACCGCGCCCCGACGACGCACTGCTCGGACCCACTCATCAAGTACCCCGGCGACAACTACACTGTTTTCCTTTACAACAACCCTGTGCGTAATCTGGACACCATCCACTTCGACCAGCAGATCAAGATCGCCGGCAACATCCCCGAGTCGGCCGGTGCGGTGGATGTGAAGATCCCAAAGAACTTGCCCAAGGTGAAGGATGGCTCTGTCTGGTATCTGAGGCTGGGCACCTCGCTTTCCACGGCGCCGCAGGTAAGCTTTTGTCCTGATTCTAGTTTGCTGGTTTTGCTGGTTTTGCCGATCCCTATGCTTTTTGGTCTTGTAGTGTTTGGGCTTAGACTAACACTGCTTGATGCCAGATGCCTACCCTGTACAATGCCGCCGGGCCGTTTACGATTACCTCCTAGATGGATCGGAGGCTGGAGTTGGGATCCGGACCAAGGGAGCGTGTGTGTGGGAAGGCATTTGTATAGCGTGTCACTTGAGCAATTGATGCATGTCGTGGATTTCTTTTAGCTAGGCGTATAGTTCAATCTTCTTGCACCTTTAATTTTGGTCTGGAGAGTCATTTTACAGCTTCTGGCTGTGTGCGCTTCGTACGCCGGCAATGCACTCGATCTCGACATCGGTGCCCATAGGCAACTCCTTCACGCAGACGCAAGTGCGGGCCTATTCCGAATAGTCAGTCACCCCCGTGAGGATCTCGTTGAAGAAGGGAGAACAAACCGGCATCGGGGCAGAGAAGAAGGTAGTGTACACCTCATTAACAGCGCCGAAGTCGCTCATGCTGGTGAGGAAGATGTTGCACTTGACGACATTGTCTAAACTGGTACCCGCGGATTCCAGAACAGCACGCAGGTTCGACATGATTTGCCTCTGCACCAGTCAGGTCAGTAGTGTTTGATGATGATCATCTCAGCTAGCGGGAGCAGGTCGCACAGTTCGGTCCTGAATCGAGCCTTGCACAAGGGCACCGGTCTCGGGGCTGCTACCAATCTGACCAGAGCAGAAGACATAATCGCCCATTACGATGGCCTGCGAAAGGAAAGGCGGGGGTGCGGGAGCATTGGATGATTTCACGGCGGTTTTGGGAAGAGACATCGTGAGAGTATTGTTCACGCTTAGTTTGGGTCGTAAGTCGGAACTAGAACAGTTTAATTGACGAAGTCGAAGAGAATGGGTTGGCAATGATTCCTCAAGAGATGGAGAATAAGTAATCAGGGGGAAGATTCTCGGTCTGGGAGCAAGATCGGTGAGATAAACCAACTCATTAGTCATGGCGGTTTTCGTCCCCGCACAACTTCTCCAACAGGGCGCGCAGGGCGTGTTCTTTGCGATAAGCCGCTGCCAATTGCCCCGCAGTTCCCCACCGTGATAACCCGTTATCCGGCTATTCTGGCTGGTAACAGCTCGCGGTAGCTAGCTGCAGAACACTATAGTCTATACTAAGAACAGACGAAGGCCAAGTTAGGAAAACACTATGGTTAAGTTGAAGTGCATGGGGGACCTTTTCAGTTCCTCCAACCTATGATACAAATTTACGAGCTGTAAGGGTCCATACCCAACCGGCTCTTCGCAAGCACCAGCTGCGTTAATCCAGCATTCGCGTCGCACTCAATCCCTAGCTCCTTGCCCCGTCTCAGAATCCAGCCATTGATATACTCAATTTCCGTAGCCCGGCCCTTCCGCACATCCTCGCGCATACTACTTGAGTTCCCCGCGGTCTTCTCAATGGTATCCATGACAACAGTCTGGAGCGAGCCAACTGAGAAATGATCTTTCTGATCACTCGGCAGGTCCTTTAGTTCAGGCAAATTCTGAAAAACCAAGGATATCTCCTCGAGAAGGCGCTGTATCAGTGGCTGCAAATCCGGATTCTCCTTAATCACCCCGTTCCGCACATTGAGGATTGCCGTCAGCGGGTTGAGCACGCAGTTCGCCGCTAGCTTGAGCAGCTGATTATGAAGTAGATCTTTCCATTCTAGCTGCTCGCAGCGCAGAATAGGCGACCGCAGCAGCGTATCCAGCAGAAATTGCGGGTTTGATTGTCGCGGCCTCTGATCCGCGGCGTCCACGACCCCAATCGCCGCACGCCCATTTAACCCGGACAAAATCGCCTCAGTCGGTGACCGCAAGTACACCCCATGCCGCATAATTCCAACCATGTAAGTCGGCCGTGCCGCCTGGTCCGTGAAAATTCGCTCATTTAGATCCTCGATCTGGCCCAGCCCATTCTGGAACAGGCATATCGTTGACTGCGGTCCGAGCCGGTGCTGGATGGGCTTGAGGGCTGCTATCGTCGCGGACGCTTTTACCGCAACGATTAAGTTATGAATTGGTTCCGAGGAGGCGGATTCGCTCAGCAACTCAGCGTCGAAACCCCCTTGTTCTTGGAGCGTACCCTCTTCGCTGACCCGGAGGCCGAGGTTCCACCCCTTGGAGGCGAATTCATCGTATAGGCTTTTGCGGTGGATGAGAAGGTGGACTGGTGGGGGTTTGGGGAGGGAACGAAGGGAGTGAGCTATGAAGGAGCCGATGCTGCCGAGTCCGATGATGTGGATGGGGTGAGTGGGGCTTGGCATAGCGGAAGGGATTCAATGTAGACCATTGGGGAAGGAAAGAAGGGAGTCCGCTCGCCTTTTGGCATAGAAAGGGTTCGGCACGGGGCGAGAAGCTCGACGCGTGCGGAGAAATGAGGTTCGGAGTTGGCCCCGCGAAGAACACCACGGCCGCCCCGCCCCGCCCCGCCCCGCCCAAATGACAAGATGGTCTTGCTTTGTTGCTTGACAATACAAAGTCACAACACAGGATGATTTGAAAAATGGACCCAAGTAGCGATCACATCATGACGGCATTGCCTCCATCATTTCCTACAGGTGTCATAGAAACAAGAGCGGACGGTTATGACTCCATCGTAACGCTGAAGTATGTACCAAACCTCTACCGGGAGGAGGCAAGGTCGAATTTCAAAGTCAGCGCCGGCGGAGCTGGGGAATGTTTCCATTGCTAGGCTTGGATGAGGAGGGAGGTTGAGGGACATGTCAGATCAATCAATCAAAATAGGAAACCATAAAAGTGATTTAGAAGCGTGGGGGCCATCGAGATGATTTTCAAAGTACGCGCCCCTACGGACCAACCCAGCTCCATCGTCAAGCTACGTGCGTGTCTCCCGCAAAAGACGCTCCCCGCTGGGGAAAGGGGGTGCTTGTCGAGAGTAGAGTGTTTGGTAAACCAATTTTATATGGAAATGGTTTTTATTCTCTCTGAGAAGTTCCATCCATCCATCTCCGGGATGAACATCAGTAAATGCGCAATTATGTTCATCTGCTCAAGCTAGCTCATTAATCCAAGTAAATGAAAAAGTCATAAAAGCGAAAATAATGCATGCCGCCAATATGCATATCCTCTATGTATGTAGGCATCATCCCTCATCATAAAATATGCTCCCCAGGAAGACGGTCCATGACGAAGTATGAAGGGACTCAAGTTCAGTCCGATTCAATTTGTTATTCATGGTATGTCACGCTGTAGAGCTTGAAGCCCTGATCAGGACTTTGATCTTGGGTGGCAATCTGAAGCGAGCCCAGGTGGTCGACATCGACGTACTGGTTGCCGTTGACATACTGCACGGTATAACCAAGGCCATTGCCGAGGAAGGTGATGCGTACGGGCTCGGCGTCCTGGGCCTGGTCGCTGTCCAGCAGGACACCGCGCGCGCCGAGCCAGCGACCGTCCAGGGCGCTAGAGATGGTGAAGATCTCGCTCTCCTGGTCTTCGGTATAGTGAATGATCCAGCGCTGTGACTTGGACTCGTGGTTTTTTGTTGCTGGGGTGACGGTCACGTAGTCGCGCTTGCCAGAATTGGTCAGTGCTGACCCGCCCTTCTCGGCGACGAGGTACCGGCCTTCAGTCAGGTAACCGACCACCTCTTTATAGCCGTCCTCAAACCAGAGGGCATTGGTGGAGTCATCCTGATGACCGTAGGGAACAGGGGGACGTTGGGTTGGGTGCTTAGCCTGACACTGCGCTGAACCAACGTAATCGCCATTGCCGTTGGTGACGGGGGTCTCGGCCTCGGGCAGGCTAGGGAGAGAGAGATCGGGCTGTTGCCCAGTCAGTTTAATGCGGGGCCCATAATTTCTGGGAGTGATAGCATACGTTCTCCAGATCCAGGGCATTGACTAGGTTTGACATGTGGAGACGTCGCCACGGGACCATCTGGTCGGTCTGGATTCCGTTGTAGCCACGAGCAGTGAGCCACTGCTCTACAAACAGGATCTGCGAGTTGTGATCGGCCCGCTCCGTGAAGACACGGTTACCCCGAGTCCAGGGGGAGATCATATAGAAGGGAACGCGGAAACCTAAACAGGTGAGCCAATCAGAGGCGGCCTTCGGGTAAACAGAACCGTTGTTCACATATTCACATACCAGGTCCCACAAACACATCACCGAAGAGGCCCATCGGGTCTTCCATCCATTCTCCAGGGGTACCCTGGGGCGAGTGGAATGGAGTAACGTGATCGCCAAATCCACCAGTCTCTGCATCCGTAATGAGCATGTTCCTTCAGAAAATAAGGCACGAGATCCTATAATGCTTACCATCGAAGCTGATCATCAGAAGGGTTGACGAGTACTTGGGGCTGTTGATGACCGCCTCTACGACCTGCTTCTGCAGCCAGCCACCATCCTTGGGCTGGTACGGCGGGTGCTCGGACAGCTCGGCTGGGCCAACAATGAAGCTGACTTCGGGGAGGGAACCGTTGGCGGCGGCGGCGTAGAAAGCATCCAGACCCACGAAGGACATACCCTTCTGGGCGAGGGGCGAGTTCTTGCTCGCCTTCTGGAACTGAGAAAACCAGGCCAGGGGGTTGTCGTCGAAGTTATTGGTGTCCTGGTAAAGCTGCCACGAGACACCGGCATCCTCGTAGAACTCATAGACGGTCTTCCACTTGAGAGGGTAGCAATTGATGCCCTGGCTATCACATCCTGGATGGATGGTGTTAGGCGAATTCAACGATGACGGCAGTGTAGCTCAACAAACATACCAGGCACCTCGTTGTTGTCGATGTAAACGCCACCCTGGCTAGAGTTCTGCGGGCTTCCGGGCACATTCACAGAGCCACTGACCAGAGTGACACGGTTCGGGTTGGTCGAAGTAATTTGAGACTCCTGCCATCTGGTTAGCGTTGATTGACCGATTGGGGGCCAAACCATGGTGAGTCGGTACCTGATACATGTCACCGGAGGTCCACCCCTCGGCGATGGCGAACTGGACGGGGATGTCCTCACGCTTGTAATAGCCCCAGCTCCAGGGGGTATTGTTACGGGCCCAATGGTTGTTCAGGCCGTGATTGAGAGCGGCCTGGTTATCCTGGTAGCCGTTGTCGCCGGCGGCCATGCACTGGATGGCATCGTTCCAGTCACCGCCCTTGTAGCCCAGGTACCAGGGCAGCAGGGTGTTGGTGGCCGTGGACATGTCCGGATCGACTTGCCTGTACGGTTGGAACGGGTTAGTTCGGGTGGCGGCATCGGGGAACTGGAGGAGTTGTTTCATTGTTTCTTGTTTACTTGAAGCACTCACTGGTTCCAGACCGATTGCCCATCGGCGTTGACCTGAACGTTGGGGTCATTAAAACCACGGACACCCGCCATCGTGCCAAAGTACTATGTCCACAACCTTGTTAGCCTTCCTCCCTCATACCCATACCCAGATGTCAAGCACCCCTCACGGGGCAAGGCTGAGGTGGAGACGTACCGTATCCCACGCGCGATTCTCCTGCATGAAAATGACGACATGCTCGATGTCGCGCAGAGAGCCTGCCGCGACGGGGGAGCTTCCCAGCAGCACAGCGAGGACGGCCCCGAGGAGCAGCACCATGTTGATGGTGGTTGGATTGCCGTGCGGGGAAGGAAGGGGGAAGGAGCGGGTTGGAGAAGCAGGTAAACAAGAGGGGAAAACAAGCTACTTCTTAAGTCTTCTGTGGTGCAGGGCACATCGAGACCAAGCGATGGTGAGGGTTGCAGATGAGAGTCACCTCGCACTTCGCACCGCAACTAAACTCCGACCAGCTCCCGCGTGGAGAGGTCCCAGGCAAGTGCAAGCAGGGGATGCTCGGAAGCTCCCCTTGAATCCAATCTGCACTGCGGGGAGCCCCACGTGAAGGGGTGTCGGCCTCTCATGACGTCTGGTTTGGGCTTAGTTTGGTTTGGTTGGACCTGAAGTGAGCTCAGGGCCTCTTTTTTTTGCGGTTCCACGACTGGCATGTTGGCGTGTAGTGCAGTGGGCTAGGAATGCCAAGTGGGATGGATGGATCAGGCGGGGAGATCGAACCAGCATTCCCCAAAATCTAAGCGGCAGCACCTCAGATGGGACAGGCTAACTCTATCGAGGGCTCAGAGTCCGCTCTCATCAGCGTGATGGCTATTACTACGCATACCATTCACCGTCATTCCGCCTGTCCACTGCTAGTTGCGGGAAGAACGGAGGACGGAGTACTTAGCCCGCGGCACTGTTTACTCCCCACTGCAACCACACTTTACCATGCACGTGGAGGCCCTCGAGGAGTTGACTGCTTCCCTGCAGATGCACTCTGCACTTACTTGAGCATTAGACTGCCTTGGTCGACTTTCTTTTTGCGAGAATTTCTTCGCTTCGCTCCGCTTTCCGAGTCACCCTACGCATACATCCTCCAGACATCTTGCTCCACTTGTCTTCGCCGTCGGTAAGGGCAATGGTCAGTGCGGCCGCGTTCAAACACTCGGCGGACAAGGTCTAAACCTGACCCAGTGCCCTCCGAGTTTGATCGTTCTGAGAGTCCCGAGTGATTCTGGCTCTGTCCTTGCGGAAGGACGTCGCCCAAAGAGCATGGAGCGGCAGCACAGTCGGCGTCGGAGATCGGCCCGGACGCAGGAACCAGCGCTTGCTCAGCCCGTGGCATCACGCCAATCGCCTCGGCCACTGTTGACTTGGTCTCTCATCGCATGTCTCTTGGTCGCCCTCACGTATTTTTCCCGTCCATTGACACATCTCCCATGGACCTCCCGGATTGCGCCGCTCCCGGGTCGCCCCCAACGGGACCCAGCCGCGGAGGGTCGCCCCCGCATGGCGCTTCACCCTGAAGATCATGTCTCGCGCCCGCCGGCCACACAACATCTCGATTGGCGCATCACCTCGGCCCCGCGCAGGCCCGATGGCGTCCTGAAACAGGTCTATCTGATCAACGGTGCGCTTCTTTCGATTGCCTGCTTCCACCTTGCAAATTCACGATCATAATCATAACCATAGTCATGATTGAATTCCAGTCCGGCAACTAACGATGATCATCCGCCGAATATAGACCTCTTCCCCGGCCCCACGATTGAGGCCCGTTCCGGGGATAGCCTCCTCATCACCGTGACCAATGCAGTAGAGGGGGACTCGATTGCCCTCCATTGGCACGGCATCCATGTAGCCAGTACGTAACTAATCTCGATTACCGCCGTGCCGCATAGCATCCCAAGCTGACCCTTGGCCAGGTGCCATGGATGGCGCTGCGGGGGTTTCACAATGTCCCATTCTGCCTGGGGGTCAATTTGTCTATAATGTCACTATCCCGGCCGACCAGAGCGGTACTTTCTGGTACCACGCGCATTCGGGAGTGTCGCGAGGTGACGGCCTCTACGGGGGCCTAGTTGTCCATGCGCCTACGGCCAAGTCGACCGTGCGAGGATTACTATCGCCAGGCCGAGGCGATGCGCAGCGATTTAATTATCAGAAGGAGCTCCTGCTTCTCATTGGCGACTGGTACCACCGGCCGGCGAAGGATGTCTTGGCCTGGTACAAGCTCCCTGGATCTTTTGCCAACGAGGTGAGTTTGGTCGGACGAAACGGACGTATACCGGGGTATATTCTAACCGTCTGTTCTAGCCGGTGCCGGACTCCATGCTGGTCAATGGAGTTGGCCATTTCGACTGCGCCATGGCGGTCCCTGCTCGCCCGGTCGATTGTATCGAGCAGCTGGCTAATACCTCGTTTCTGGATCTGGATCCGGACACGGCCTATCGAATCCGCGTCGTAAACACTGGGTATGGAAACACGAAGCGGGCCATGAAGACTACTTTACTGATCAATGATACAGCGCCCTGGCAGGCTTGTCGCTAGTCTTTGGCCAGAACCACATTGATCTTATCCAGGTCGACAGCGTTGACGTCAAGCGCTCCCAGCAGGAGGATGTCAACTCGGCAGGCATCTTATACCCCGGCCAGCGCATGGATTTTGTTCTCCACGCTTCACCCCAACACGAGCCTTCCACCATGATGGTGCAGCTTGACCAAGGGTATATACTATAGCCCCCATTTTCTCAATGGCCCTAGTGATCTACCCGCACATTGTACTAAGACAATGCCACAGATGCTTCAAATACATGAACCCGGCATTAACGCCAGACCAGACTTTCCCCATCCATTACCGCTCCGCGTCTATCTCTAGCGAAGCTCAAGTCTCGGCACCCACCGTGCGGAACCACATCAACGTCGAGAATGTACCTTCATCCCCCTCTATCCTCATGAATCTTCCCCCCAGGGCCCAACAGACGCATGTGGTCTACACCAAGATCCAAAAGATGGCCCGCAACCACAACATTCCGGAGGGGTATTTCAACCAGACCACCTGGAAACCTCAGAACGACCCGCCCACGCCGCTGATCGGTCTTCCCCGCGTGCGCTGGGATTCCAATCAGCTTGCGTTATCGACTGGCTCTGAGGCTGCATGGGTGGACCTGGTTGTGAATAACCTGGATGAAGGGCCTCATCCATTCCATCTGGTAAGCGATCACTGTCTACATACCTCGACCGGAATCATCGTGAGGTTAAGCGCGTTCCGCTAACGTATACCCAGCACGGCCACCATTTCTACATTCTCACGGTGCAACAAGCCTCCTACGGCTGGGGCTCTTACGATCCCTTCTCCGACCCCTACCCACCAGGCCAGGAGCCGGATATGGAGAACGAATCCGAAACACCCGAAGCGATCGATCCCAATTTCCAGCCCTACGATCTCTCCCGCGCCGCCCTCCGCGACACAGTCCAAATCCCCAGCCGCGGCTACGCCGTCCTTCGCTTCCGCGCTGATAATCCCGGCGTATGGCTCTTCCACTGCCACATCTTGTGGCACCTGGCGACGGGCATGGCGATGCTCGTCGATGTCATGGGCGATCCAACGGGCCAGGTTGCACATGATAATTCTACGGCAGCGAGCGGACTATGTCCCGTATAAAGCGATCCGATAGTTGGTTTCCTTTTAGCTTTGAGAAATATTGCAGACCGATACACGGATTGCATATGCATGAGCGTAGGACGGAGTACAAATACAGCCATATCCATCGAATGATTGATGAGCGCGTCATTCCACTTTCACTCTTTTTTTTGGAAGGAGAAAAACTAAAAAGGAAAAAAAGAAAAACTTCGCGGTCAAACCCAGACTGGAGTCTCTGCAGAGTCCCCAGGTAAAAATGTAGAATTGGAGGCAAATTGCCACAGCAAAGGAGTTATGCAAGTCTTGGAAGCAAGTCAGAACAGCCAAGCAATGAACTCCACCATCACCGATGCAAAATCCAGCCCTGATAAGCATATTCGCGGGCCGGTCCGTAACGCCAAACTAGTCCCGAGCAGGAGCGCTGTTGAGCGCAAGAGAGAAAGACCGGAAAAGGGGGAAAGACAGGAGGGAAGACCAGCTTCGCCGGGTTCAACAAATTCGTACACGTATATAGGTGAGTAAGGTGAAGGTGGAAGCAGGGGGAGGAAGAGAAAGAGCGTGTGCGCATACACATGTCTTAGGTAGCCCACTGGAGCACTTCCAGGGCACACATGACCAGGATGAGAGTGGACGGAAGGATCCTAAAGAGGCTGTTAGTTCAAGGTTGCCCACAAGCCGTAAATCACCCAATGGTGAAGTGATAGAAAAATGCACATACCAGACCACATAGCTCTGGAACAGCAACTTGGACATCGCTCCAACATAAACATTATTAATCTGGCAAATCTGGGCCAATTGCAGCGCCGACGGCGCCCCGGTAAGCAGGAAGCAGACGACGATGAAAATCGGGTCATCCAGAATACTAATCGGCACAAACTTGGCCGTCAGCGCCAGGAGCGGCGCCATAATGAGCGTGGGCAGGAGCATGCGCGCGACCAGCGAGGCGATGATCAGCTTGCGCTCGGCGCTGGGATGTTCCATGTCCGCCAGGTTTTCCTCCGAGAGCGTGTTACGGGCGAGGTTCGCGCCGAGGACGACCAGGATGAGCGGGACGGCAACTTGGGCATTTTGGTCGATTGCCCGCGTCACGGAGTTGCGGACGAACGTGCCCTCGTCGAAGAAGAGGTGCTGGAGGGCCGGGACAGAGGCTACGAAGATGGAGACGAGCATCGCCCACAGTGGCGGGTTCATAAAGTCCCATACTCCGCGGAAGAAGCGGGTGACCCCGCGCGTCGTGGTCGAGAGGCCCTTTTGGACCTTGGGGGGAAGACGCCCGTACAGCACACCGGTTTTTTGGTCCCAGGCGCAGCGGATGGCCTCGCGGCGCCGCTGGAGAGAGGCCGTGCAGCGCTGAAGGAAACTCTTGTCTGCAGACTGGGATTGGTGTGCGGTGGCTTCGACGTCGGGGAAGGACAGGATGTCGACTCCAGTGGTTTGGCGCGGGAGGAATGGGCCCTGGGGTGGTGGTCCAAGGATTGAGGGGGGATCATCTGCGACTCGACCGTGGTCCGAGGCATCGTTGGAATGGATCGAGGAGACCTTGGTGTAGGAATAGGCTCGCGTTGATACGGGTGTTTGGTCTCCGGAGTGGAACTCGCTGCTGCCACTTGCAGAATGATGGAGATCGTCGGAGCTGCGCGTGCGAACCAGTGGCTCGTCGGGGTCTGTCTGTTCCGGATTGTCGCTGTATCGTGCCTGGCCTTGCTCAATGCGCGTAGGGCCAGAGACGGCGCGCTCTTCTTCCTCCAAGTATCGGCCCTTTGGTGCCAAAAGAATATGATATCCCCAGCTCCAGCGAACCAGCTGGCCCAGCTGCTGGAAAATGAGGAGGTAGAGGATACCGCGGGCAGCTACTTCGTCGTCGTTATCGCCTGGGATGCGGTCCCAATGGAGGCCCTTGAGGGTTTGGGAGAGGGACATCACGAGCGAGATGGGGAGGGAATTGGAATTGCCAAACACCTATTCTCGAGCAAGAACCATTAGCATGCAATCGGTGCCATGACAGATCGGTCCGGAGGAGCTTATCGTACGGCCATCGCCGCCACAAAGTTCGACTGGCGCTTCTTGAAGCGGAAACATCGCGAAATCACAAAGGCGCAGAAGTAAGAGACGCCGGTCTGCACGACAAAGATCACTGGGATGATTGCCAAGTCCGCCAGTGTTTCCGCCGTCAATTGGGAGCCGAGTTTAATGAAGACTGTCTGGTGTTAGTTCTCGCAACTGGATGCTATCGCCTCCTCTTCGCAGGGGCAGGTGGGGGGAGATCTCCATACTCAGGCAGGGGGTAAACAGGGTCACGTTGAGGTTCGCCACCAGCTTCTGCGCCTCGGCATCGAATATGCCCTGGCGGGCGGCAAAGTACCCCGGCAGGCTGACGCAGATAACCTCCAACACGGCCTCGAAGACCAGCAGCACTAGATGGAAAAACGGGGTTTGCGTTGAGGCGGCGCTGGTGGTGAAGCCGCTGCCGGCGCCTGCCGCCATGATGGCGCCTGGGACTATCGGGCTCTGTGGTGCGAAGGCATTGTTCTGAAATGACCGGGGTAGGGTGAGAAATTGGGCCATCGAGGGGGACGATGAAGAGCGGGGAGTAAGGAGGAGAGAGGATAAAGAAGGCCTGGTCCCGATGGGATGGGGGGGAAAAGGAAAGACGAAGGATATAGGGAGAGAAGTTGGTATTGTCTTGGCTCAGTTGCGTGACCCGCTACTACCAGGGTCGGGCTGCGGTGCGCGGTCTCTTTGATTTACGAAACTCCATTCCGCATAATCTATGGACCTGGGGCGACTGCAAACTGCATGCTCGCAAGGGAGTTCATTGTGCAACGTGTCGTTCCAACTTTCCAAGTTCAACACGACAGGTCTCAAAGAAGAGAGGCTAGGCCATCACGATACGATGTGATCAGGACATGATAGCATCGGACCGCCGATCACGCCCTGCCTGATGTGCCCGATGGCTGGGACTAGCAGCTCCTAGCATGATCCGCGGGGGGCCAGCCAAACTGCTCTGCACTGCCCTCGTCTCCTGCCATAATCAAGAAAAGCATCAAGCCTGCAGGAGCTGTCCAAGAGATCCGCAGTGACGCAAAAATCGCCGCTTATCGCCAGCAAATCAGGGCGAATCGTCCACGCACGCCGAGGTGGCCCGTGCGGCCGACTCGAAACTGCAGTGGAGGCTGATCATCGCCACGATAGTCAGGATCGATCTACGTGTGGTACTCCGTACTCCGTACTCCGTACTCCGTACACGGGGATCGAACGTTCATGTGCAGTGCCTTGATGTCCAACCTAGATACGACCACGGCGAACAATGGAGCCGGCAGCAAACCGCCGGCTCGGCAAAAAAATAACAGAATGGTATATTACAACAGATGCCTCTCCGCAGAGTTCAGAAGCAAAGCAAGGACTCCTGCGGTCCCTCCGAGTCCTCGCAGTGGTGCCCGGGACTGCTGCCAACGGCGGACTCAGTCTTCCCCCACATAGCCCAGCTTCTCGCCCATTTTGACCCGTTGGCCCTTCTCGATGCTCCAGTTCCAGCCGTCGGGTCGCTCGTTCTCCGGCCAGCCGGCGTCGAACGACTTCCGACTGCCTAGAGGAGCTTCAAACACCAGCACCACCGTGCTGCCGAGCTGGAACCCACCCATTTCCTCGCCACGCCGCAGCGGGTGTCCGCCCAGCGTGCGACTAGCATGAGCATAGGTCGCCTCAACAAACCCGGGGTCTGGTTCGCCCCTCTCGGCCGCCAAGGCCGCCGCCATGTCCGCCGCAGTGTCAGTCAGCAAGCTGTTGGTGCGTAGCTCCGAGTCGAAGTTGATTTTGATCGAGCCGACGTTGGTCGCGCCCACTGGCGTGTAGCTGAAAAATCCCCAGCGCCAGCGGCCCAGCAGCACCACACGTTCGTTCAGAGTGAACAGACCCGGCAGTGTTCGCTGCAGATAGGGCGAGACCGAGTATAGTTCACCCGCAAAGTGCCGCCGGCTCTCCACCACCCATTCGGTGGGCGAGTGGAACCGGTGATAGTCTCCGGGGGCCAGGTAGATCACGACGTAGAACAGCGCATGGTTAGCGGCCGATTTGGGTGCCCACCATGAAGTTCCGTCCCCACGGGCCAGCTCCTCTTGCACTTGGACTTCTGACGTCGTCTTCGAGGCGGTGGATGCATCCATCGACCCTCGTCGCGCTGCGCCCGACTCGCCCGACAGCAGCGACGGGAGAGTGTAGGAAATGCCATTCACGCTCGCAAACTCCGAGTCGGCCTTCATATTCTCCTCGTCTTGCTGCCTGTTTTGTCTCTCCGAGTCGGTCAGTCGGTTGCTGTGGTCCGCGTGCGCAGGGGTAGCCGAGCCTAGCAGCGCATCCAGACTGTATGTCATTCCTTTGACCTGTTCCACTTCGCCCCGCTCAATCATTCCAAACTGCAAGACGCGGCCGTCCGAGGGCGACAGAAGAGCACGTGGGTCCGGATCGAGAGGCCGCACTCCGGGCTTCAATTGGCGGTAGAAGAAGGCGGCGAGGTTCGGATAGACATGCAGGTCAGGCTCAGCCACCTCGCTGAGGTTGACACCAAAAATCCATGAGTAGAGCTTGAATCCAGGAACGCGCAAGTAGTATGGCAGTTCGATTTCGTTGAACCGACCCCACAGGCGCGAGATAGCCTTCAGGGGCAAGGTCGACATGATCTGGACCTGCCAAGGACCCGTCGGCACGATTCTCGGGCGCGGTGGTGGCCGTTTCCCATTCTCCCAATCTTCACCTGAAGCACCCTGTGCAATGCGATCACGTTCAGCACGCTGTGACTTGTAGAAATGCAGCACCCCTAGCAGTCCGATTCCCAGGCCGACGGGAATCGGGTACCATTCTACCTTGGTATTCCGCAACGCGAACCGCAGCCTCGATCCAAATCCTCCCCTTGTGTGGTTTTCGTGATTATTTTCCTTGTGATATTGTCTCCATGATTTTGATGAGAAATGGCGCACGCTGGCCTTGTGGCGGGCGGTTGCCCTAAACGAGAGGACCTCCATCGGCGCAGCACACCCACTCACAGGGGCGGCGGGACGGCAATGAAGAAACGTCGAGTGCTGAAGAAGGCGCTTGGCCATAGTGCTGCTCAGTCCATTCGAGCTCTTTTGTGAGAATGGCACGCCGACCTCCTTAGAGCTTCGGAGGAGAACGATTTTCGTCCGCCATATCGGGAAATGCGTTTGGGCCGGTTCACCGCCCGGGAACGCCCGGCAGAATGGCACGTGGAATAGTCGCTACTGTCGCAATTGCATCAGCCCAAGCCCTGCTTCTTCTTTACTCTTGCCTGGGGGTGGATTGGCTTTTGCTGACGATTGCGCTTCATATACCCTGTGCGCATTATCCTCGACGGTCTGCTCTCCTTTCCTCGTGTGGAGTAGGGGCCCGCTACCGGGGTGCGGATTATCCTTATCACCCTCGGTCTTGGCTACGTGCCAGATCTCCAGATCGAGTATTGTCACCAGCCAGCGTCAGCGCGCCTATTGGGTTCCAGAAAGGCTAAAGTCGGCGTGGACGACTAATTGGAGTCTATATCTGGCTCCAATTCTTGCGCCCACCAACTTTCATCTCCTGACAGCTTTCTGTTGCACCACCTCGCCGACCACCCGCGAAGATAACCCGGCAATCTATAGATCAAACATCTCGACAAGCGGGCACCACTGCGTCCATTGACATTTGAGCAAACGAGTCAGCTGTCGGGAACCACCTTCGGAGCCTTGGATCATCTCCCTGCCTCAACCATTGTCTTCTTTCTCGCAACTCTTTGTTGTGATCTTTTACTGCGCCATCCCGACACATGCTGACCTCAACCTCTGCAAACATGGCATCCAACGAGGCTGAGGCGGCTGGGAATACCGGTGGCGGCCTGCAGAGCATCACAATCCACATTTTGTGTCCTTCTCTCCCAGCTCCAAGCCGCTTTACACTTGACAACTTGTCACTCGAAACCACTATTGGAGAACTTCGAGCACGCATCACGCAGTCCCTTCCGAGCCAACCTGCACCTTCGACTCAGAGGTTGATATACCAGGGAAGGCCTTTGGCAAATAACAATGCAAAACTTGCCGATATTCTGGGCCCTGTTGAGGTAAGTTTCGGACAATTTGGTGGACCTAATCCCTCCCAACCCGCTCTGCTTCTGTCGCATTCCATCTCACCGGCAACTCATGTTAGGAAAGCGACCACTCGATACACATGATGTTGCCGCCTTCTCATTCCGCACCTCCGTCCACTGGTGACCTTCCGTCGGCCCCTAGTTCCATCAACCGTGCAGAGCTATCAAACCAACCCCTGTCTAGCCCGTTCATAGCTTCCACCACGGCACTGCCTCCTCAGACTGCTGGGGATGACCTACGATTCCGCGGGTTACGAACAACGGTCCCTACAAACGACGGAAGTTTGCAACCCATTTCAAACAACTTCATGCGTCCCTCAGACTCTGCTTCGGGTCATTACCAGGCCATAGGCTCTCCAGCATATCCAGCAGGAGAAACCTCTTCTTCTTCCCCAAATGCTGTGCCTCAAAATCGGAAAACTGTCTACGATCCTATTGAATCCCCTGGTTCGCATCGTTCCTCTGCCTTGGGAAATCATGGTGAATATCCACCGAGATCATCTCTGCTGAATCACCGGAATAACAATCCTGATCTAGCATCAGCCTCAAACTATCATAGCACTGCGCGGCCGCGCAGTATGTGGGATCCACTCAGTGGTGACCACATCGCTTCATCAACGACCTCTAACGGCTGTCGTCCCAACCCAATGGCCTCGCCGGGCATGGCCGTATCCGATTTCAACGAGTATGATGAACTTTCCTTGCGAGTGGATGAGGCAGAACGTACCTTCAACCACGGTATGGCTCCTTCATTCGAAAATCTTTTCCAAGTGCGAGCCCGAGCCGAGGAGTTGTTACAGCGCCACGCAAACTTCTATGGACATCCTTTCCACGCCAGTGTACATGAACTGCTGCAACGGATCAGAGCTCTATATCGCCGTGCGGACGACCTTCCCCGTGATCGACGTGGAAATCCATCCGACCCACTCAGTTCACCCAGGCAGGTCTTCTTGGCCACTGACCCGGATGGCCGTCAGAGCTTGCTCATGCCCCCTGGAACAACTAGCACAGCTATGTTCCCTCTCTATGCTCCGGATGGACCGGCCGGCCATACTCTGACAGCTTCCATCAATGCAAACAACAATATAAACCATGCAGTCCCGGCGGATCCAAACCCAGCCCTCATCCAGAATGTCGTTCACCAGGCACTTATCAACCAGGAACGCCGCCACGAGGCCGAGAATATCCCTGCGGGCCAATATCTGCGCCGAATCTGGCTCTTTATCCGTCTGTACTTCTGCATCTACATGATCAGCTCGTCTGGCAGCTGGGCGCGCGTTTTCCTTGTCACCGGTGCCTTGCTGGTCGCCTTGCTGTCAGACACCAACATCCCTGGACAGCTGCACAGAACGCTCGTCGCGCCAATCCAGCGCCACCTCGAGGGCCTTGCCCACGTGGGTGGACCAGCGGATCCCGCCACACCGGGCACTGAAGACCAGGGCGCCATCCGGGACCAAGCGGGTGGTAATGCTCGAAACACTATGCATGGCGAACTGTGGAATAACATCCGCCGCATGGAACGATCTATCGTGTTGCTGCTCGCAAGTCTTGTACCAGGGATCGGCGAGAGACAGGTTGAGGCACGCAATGCCGCCGAGGCAGAGGCCGAGCGAGCTCGACGAGAAGAACAGCAGCGTCAGCAGGAGCAGCAACGACAGCAAGAGGCGGACCAAGCTGGGACTCAGCCCGATGCCGCGGCAGACGGTCTAGTCGCCGAGCAGCCGCCGCAGCCTCAGCCAGAGCAAGCTGCCCACGTTTGAACCGGCCCGCAATCACATTTGCAATACACCAATGAGACGATATCTCTAAGCGCCGGCGCTCTCGTCATTTATAGTCCCATCGTTCATATTGTCCTCACGATAGTTAGCGTGCAGATGCATATTTCGCGCAGCGTTATCCTATTTAGGTAATCAATGTACTTCTGCTCTCTTGACTTGGTATCAACCTGTCGATGATATGAAAATGAAAACTAGGATTTTCCATTATTTCCACCAGTACGAAGTTGTGATGGATTTCTTGCACTGAAGGGCAAGACAAACTACTTTTTGTTAAGAAATTCGAAGCGAAAGAGTGATTTGTCTATCATGTTCTATTCTATACATTCTATACATTCATGTACTATCCTGGTGCAGAGCTTCCATCTATCACACCGTCTTCTTGATCCTCCGATCCACCTTGATTCGCACCACGGCAGCCAAGATGGTAGCGGCCGTCGCCATGGAGCCAGCATAGTAGATAGCCGGCCGGTAGGCGCCAACGCCACCAGCTTCTCCACCCGAGGCATTCAGAATGTAACCCGCAATCGGTGCACCCTATCGGAGAGCAGTTAGATCAACCGGAAATAGAAAGGAATGAGAGCATAGGGAAACAATAGCTCACCATAAGATATCCACCAAGCCACCCACTCACAATCATGCTGACCGCAACAGACACTCTAGCCGAGCCAAACACATTGCCCACGACAGTCGGCATCGTCGAGAAGAAGCCACCATTGGCGGAGCCGTTGATGATCACAAAGGCCACCAGCGGCCCAATTGAGCTGGATACCGGCCAAAGCACGAAAATGCTTAGCGCACTCAGCAGCAGCGACAAGAAGAGCGTGTTCAGCGAGCCGAGCTTATCACACGCAAACCCGCACGACAGACGCCCAATGGCCGAGGAAAAGTTGAACGCCGCAACGAGACCCGCACCTGCGCTGGACGGAAGACCCAGACTGTTCGTGTATAGCGGCAAGAAAAAGGCTGGAACGAACAGTGGGAATGTGCCGATGGCGCCGACGGCGAAAAGCACGGCGAAGCGGACATCTTTGAAAAGACTCCATTCGACCATCTGGGTGGCTTTGATGGGCGCACGTTCTTTGATGAGATAGGCTGCAGGAAGGCCAGTGGCCATAATCAAGAAGCCGAGGATGCGGAAGGTCCAGGCGATGCCGACGCTTTGAAGGAGGGCGTCAAGAACGAAGCTCATGACGGTGCCACCAAGGCCGCCGCCAGCGTAGACGATGCCATTGGCAATGCCGCGCTTGGCTTTGAAGTATTGGGCGGGTGTCACGGACACGACCTAGTATTCGTTGTTAGAGAGAGATCTCGAAAACATAGTTCGCAAAATCTGAAGGACAGCTTACTATGAAGCACAGACTCATGCCAATGCCACCAACGAATCCCCACGTCATAAACAGTCCCGCCACACTGTCCGTCGCAAAACCGCTCAAAATACTCCCCAGTCCAAGCAAGAAGATACCCAAGAGCGCAGTATTTCGGGCTCCGATCTTTCGAACAACAGTCGCGTTCGGCACTGCAAGAAGCGAAATACATGCCGGACACGAGGATCCAACAAAGGCCAGCGTAGAAGACGAATAGCCCTTGTTATCGACTAGCGCAGCTTGCATAACTCCCCAAGTATAAGAGACGCCGACAAACCACCATGTCACGACGGCACACGCAAAGATCAGAACCCAACCATACCCTCCGTCCGGCACTTGAGAATCTGCAATAAGCGACTGTTGCATCACATCATCAACCAGTGGCTCCGCGGCCGAAGAATTCGGATTGCGCTGTCGTTCTTCATTGGAGCCCTGACTCATAGTGGGAAGCTCGACTGCCGTAGTGGGCAGCGTCTGAGTGATGGTCGCCATATGCTGCGGGGATGTTATGCGGCTTGGGCGGCTAAATTCAATCAATTAAAAGGCGTAAAAGCCCAATTAAATGTTCAAAACGTTTGATTTAGCTGCAGGAGCTTAAGGTTTTAATAAGACTGGGTTGATGTTGCTATGAGCTGCCACTCGTCATGGACAGGGCGTGCACGTGACTGCGGGTACGTTCGGACGGGTGTGGGACTGCCTATTTCGGAACAATATTCGGAGGGTTGGGAAGTCAGTGGTGATAGGTGGGGCTGGTATCAAGTGTGGAAACTATCAGGTACCTAGGTAGGACCTCACCTGTAACAACGAAAAGGAAAGTGAGGCTATATACCTAGGAAGTCAGATAATAGTCGGGTGGCTAAAGAGATATATATCTATATCGACACGCAGAAGCCTATCTCTATACATGCATACCTGCCTATATTTACAACTTCATTCCAGATCTATTCGTCTCAACTCCGGATGAACTTAAAGGAGCAGTGTTTTCAGAAAGCGCAGCCATGGGACCTGTGTCAAAAGACTCCTCGCCGTTAAAATGCCTGTCCAGCCATAAAATATTAGTCTTGATCCATCGGTGGAATAAAGAAGGAAAAAAGATACAATAAAAAGTTCAAGACCATCAAAAAGAGAGAAGAAAGGAAAGGGAACTCACCATCCACGCTCAGCACCGCCGCTCAAAAAACGGCAATCCCCATTCTTGACACAGTCCCATCCACCCCCAACACCACGGCCGCCCTGCCAGGCAGGAACGCCCCGAGAACGAACGAACCTCGTCCCCTCAGCCAACAGAGTCTGCGAACCACTCTCATCCTTCTCAGCTGCAGTCCCTCTTCGCTTGAACGTACTCAACCCAGCCGTGAACACATAAAAGTCCTCCTCCGAGCTATCTTCCGGCATATGCCCCGTTAGAACACGACCCATGGCAATGAGCGGGGCGGCGTGCGCGCAGATCAAGATAGACTTGCTCGTGCGCTGCTCCGCGGGCAGGGTCGCCTCAAGCGTGGTGATTTCCGCGTCTACGTCGGCGATTATCCCTTCCAGGGCGGTGGCGACACGGTTGTGGAGTTGGGCGATGGTCTCGCCGCGAGTGGAGGGATGCAGGAGGGGTGTATACTTTGTTTCCGCGGAAGATGGGATAAGTGAAGGGAAGTGGATGCGCATTGTGTCTGGTGCCGGGTGAGAGGGGTGATTAAAGAAGGTTGTCGGGCCAAACCATTCTCTGTACACCGGTTTAGTTCAGGACCAAGGTAAGGTTGCCTTGGAGGCTTAGGAGATGGTTGAAGGGTAGGAATGTTCGTACCCTAGTCCATTCTCAATTCTGACATCCAAGTCGGCAGCTGGGTCTATCTGACCGTGCAGAGATCCATTGTTGCTGGTATACTTGGACTCGTGGTGTTTCTTCCTGAGCTCCTCGACCGAGGGCTGGATGGTTTGCAGACATCGGTAGAAAGGACTCGAGTAGACCCGAAAGGGTTTCGGGTGGAAATCCGGGCCGGCAATATGTACTGCAAGTTCATGTGACTGACGAACACCGTGCGATGTCAGTGCTGGATCTGCTGGATTGCCCGTTGGCGTCGGGAACTGGGATTTGTAGGTGCCGGTGCGCACGTCAATGGTCCAGTTAAGCCGGTGCTTATGATGGTGTTAGTATGATACTGTACAGGCAACATCTGGAGGGATGATCCAGACTCAATACACTCATGAATCAGAACAAACTTACCCCATGGCGAGTAAGGTATATCGTATCCAGTGGCATGATGGGCGTGGAGATGCAAGATACACTCGACTTTGCGGGGAAATATACGAGCAGAATAGGGTAGGCTTCAGGGCGGTGACTGTGGGCCTCGGCTCGGGAAAGTGCTAGACGGGGCAAGTGCTACGGCGTTGCTACGCTAGGAAAAATTGGCTTGCAGACTAGAATCGCCTGACATTTGGATGAAAACCGTGTACTCTGCAGGCTATGACATCGGGGTATACTCCGCTACTCGTTAGATTACATTCCCAGGGCTCAGCCCAAGTGACATGCGAAACCAGTCAAAACAACAACTTTTTCGGATTGCTCTTTAGAGCGACTCCATCTAGTAGAAGAAGCCGAGGAGCTTGCCAGCAACGTGCTTGCGGCGAGCCTCCTCGTGGTCCATGATACCAGCGGAGGTGGTCAGGACGACGTAGCCGAACTGACGCGAGGGGAGGAGCTGGGTAGCCCACTTCTCGAGGTCACGGAGCTGGACGGGGTAGCGGGGGTTGATGACACCACACTTGTTGAGACTGGAGGGAAGATACATCAGTACACATTCAGTAGGAACAGACCAAATTCAGGGTTACTCACCGGCCGTTCAGCTGGATGACGATCTTGCCGGAGCGGTGGTCATCGACCTCCTCGAACTCGCCAATGTAGCCTGAAGGAAAATGAATGTCAGTATGTTGCGAAGATTTAAAAGTCGCCAAATACAGAAAAAAGCGCCTGGAAACATGTAAGATCTTCGCCAAAATGTCAATCTATCGGGTACTTAAAAGGCAGACGTCGTAGGTTGTTGAGACCGGCCGCCTAGTTATCAACCCGAATATACACAACATAACACATGTTCCTCCATAAAAAGCAAACCAAAACGACAAAGATAATCAAAGCAAACAAGAAACAGCTCGAGGGGTGACGACAGTGGGAACGTACCGTGCTTCTGCATGACAGTGAGGAACTTGACGATGACCTTGGACGAAGGCCGGATCAGGACCTGACGCTTGCCGGCCTTCTCGGCGTTGTTCATGGCGTTGAGGGCATCGTTGAGGACGGAAGTCTTGACCATTTTGGCGGTTGTGGAGAGTCGAGATTCTCAAATCGTTCGGGAAAGAGGATATGAGGTATCTGTTCGACAAGGCGCAACAGAACCCCCTATCACGACCGTGAACCTCACAAGCTAATGTGAAGCCCTGCCAGCCGGGACGGGGTGTTCAATTGCAACTGAAGTCAGCCACCAGTAGTCTTCGAGCGCAAAGAGTGCCCCTTCCTTGCAAAAGGAGTTCTTCAGCCCGTGCCGGGTTGGGAGATGCGTATCATCCTGCACAGCTGCTGCGACCACGGGGAAAATTCGAGATCGTAGACAGGCGACAAGATGATTGCATTCCCAGACTAGCTGAGAGGCTGGTGAGGGAAGAGGGCGTACATACCTCGAGATAATGGTCCGTCGGTGTAGCGGGATGTCGAGAATGAAAAGTTCGCGATGGGTCGGCGAAGTTTGGTTTTCGCTGACTGTGCGGGTACCCCCTTAGGGTTCCGTGGACAGATAGCCCTTATCGGCTCATAATCACGTGCTGATATCAATGGTGCTTAGCTGTTATGCCTCAGGCGGTAACTTTTTCTCATCCTCATCAAGGTAGAATAAGGAAGTTCAACTTTGTTCTTTTCTTACAAGGCCTTGCAGGTACTTCAAACACAAATATCATCTATGCGTCAATCACGCGATTGCATCATCGCTATACAAGGGGAAGGGGATGGTGATTTCCAGCGCAACAGCATGGGCAAGGCTTATAAGGGGTCGAGCGGAAGGAAGGTCGGAGTATACGATGGAGAGAGGCGATTGAAGGGAGAAACACTTTTCAAGAGAGACTCTTTTTCTGGGAAAGGGCGAGACATGATTCTGGAAGGTACATGATTGGGAATACATGGTTTGTTGAGGGGAAGATACATGAATTCTTTGGGCTACATGAGGTGCAATGCTATAGGGATGCGAGGGGTCTTGGTCTAATTAAAAAAAAAACAAGGTAGGGAATTGAAAGGGAAGAGGTGTTAAAAAGGGGTTGTATGAAGAAGAGGAACAAAGGGCCATGAGGGGTAAGGTGGAATGGGGTCGTTGGAGGGTGTCATCAGGGGATAGCACGAGGAGAAGCAAGTGCTAGTAGATGGGTGAGGAAGAGGGAACATCGATGATGAGTAACAAGGAGAGGGAGAAGTAGGTGAAAGAAGGAATCTCATTCTTCAGTGGTGGATGGGGTGTGTGATGATGAGGGATCGGAACCACATGGCGGGACGGGGTTCGCCGGTAATCGAAACAAATCCTTGATGTCCATCACGGTACTGAGTCCACGCGAGAAATCCAAGTGGTCTCGGACGTCCACGCATGACTGATACCCGGAGCCATGAGTATCCTCACAGTGTCCGCTCCACTTGTTCCAACAGGATTGGGGTCCTCCGGGAATGGGAGTGGAGGTGGGATAACGGTCGGCTCTATTATCGATGGGATGAAACCGGTTGACAACAATTTAAGCCATGCCAGTGCTCATGTTGATTTGACGCTTGACCTGTTCCCGGGTCCAACGAGCGGTCTCGATGGTCCGCTCGCTGTACTGGCGGGTGGTGCGGGTCTCCCGGACGAGGGTGGTGACCCAGTCGTTGCGGAAATAGCTAGCCAGCTCGCCGTTGGGGAAAGCATCAGCAAGATCACTGTGAAAACGTTAGCATCAGTATGGAGAAGAGTCAAGAAGGAACCGTGAAAACCTACCCAATCACACCCATGGAAGAGCGCATCAGGCCCTCGCTCCGGTTACCCTCCTGGGAAATGATGTGGAGCAGCTGGAAGATGGACTCAACAAAAGGCTGGACCAGGGTGACTGCAAGATTGTTAGTATAGCAAAACCAACGCTGAGCTAGCCATTCGACGTACTCTGAGAGTGGCCCTTGTAGGCAAGTAAGATGCCTCCCCAAGCGTCCATAATACCCTCCCGCAGTGAGACAATGTAGTCCACCATGTCATAGGGTAGATCAGAGCTGGTGGTGACAGAGGAGGCCTGCTGAAGGACCTGGCCAACAACAGGCAGGTATTTATCGAAATGGGGGGTTCCGATAGCCTGAGCGATATCGCCGAAAGTCTCCAAAATGGCCGGCTTGAGTTGGTTGGTAGAAGTCTTATAAAGTAAATTAGTAAACATTCACTGATACTATTGGTTTGAAATATTGCACCTACCCGGAGAATGTTGAGGAGGTGGTTCATGAAGGTATCGCAATAGGGCTGAACCTTGTCGTTCAGGGCACGAGCAATGTCGCTAACAAGGCCAATCGCCATGGAGCAGAGACCAGATTCCTCCTGGTTACCCAGGGCGCTGAACAGGAAAGGGCTGAACGTGTCCATGTAGTTGACGAACTCCTCATCCAGAGCGCTGGCAATGGAACCAACGGTGGCAAAGACGACATCAGGAACACTGGACTTGGCGCCAACGGTGGTCAGAACATTGATCAGAACCTGCATGATGCGGTCAGCCTGAGGTTTGATCTCAAGCTCAAATCGTTGAACAATAGCCTAGTAAAAGTTAGCTCTGTCTTTCATGGTAGAGTACGGAGTTATTTACCAGGATAACACTGATCAAGCTGGTTTGCATCTCCTCGAGGAGATTGCGGTCCTCAGTGCTCACAACCTGCTGTTTCATGGGAATGGTCTGCTCGAGACGTTGGATGATCAGATCAGAAAGGTTAGCAACCACGGGCAGGCTGTCATTGGCGGAGTTCATAACAAATGAGTTAAGAACTTCGTATCCGGCGGTGCGAAGCTGATTGTCAGCATCCTGTCTATTCGGGAATTAGCAAATGAGCATCAACTCATTGTGTACTCCAGCCAAAGTGACATACCTCTCAGTCACCTGCAGAAGTGATGTTACGCTCTCCTCGAAGTGCTTGGACAGAGGGTTGGTCTGAGAACCGGCATCGCCGGCAAATCGGTCGGCAACGTTCATAAGAGCCCAGCAGCAAGAGCTGGCAATCTTGGGGCTGCTGGCGAGGCCATTGAAGAGGCAAGAGATGAGGGGCTGCAGGTGAACATCGGGGTCCAGAACTTCGGGGCAGCAGTCGCACACACGACCCAGGGCGTAGGCAGTGGAGTCCCGGACCTGGACGGAGCTGTCCTCCATCATACCCAAAAGAACAGGAAGAGCTTGCTTAATCAGAGGCTCCAGCACGCGAGGCTCGGGGCCCTCCATAATACCACCAAAGGCGGCCACGGCGGCATCCCGGCGACGCCAATCCTCGCTGCGAATGTTCTCCTCAACAAAACCAACAACGGGCTGGAGAACGTCACCCTGAACGCACTGAGCGTACAGCTGAAGGGCCTGGTAAGCGGCGCGCGACACGTTGTACTCATCATCACCAGCATCCTCATCCTGGCGACACATAGCCTGCAGCAGAACAGGAATGACTTCGCGAGCAGCCACGCGAGCAAAGCCGAAGAACGGACGGGCCTCAACACCCTCCTGCTGAGCCTAGCAAAAGCAAACGATGTTAGCGGGATTCCTCTCCAGAACACAAATTCCAGTACGCGAGCAAGAAAATTACCTCTGCGTTGTCGTCCTCAATAGCAATCTCCTCTTCGCAAACAGTGCACCAGAACTCGATGGCGAGCTTTGCGACTTCCTCCTCTTCGCTCTTCATGCCCATGATGCTCAGGCCGAACAGAGCCTTCTCCATATAAAAGCGCATCTTTTCATAGTACGCACCCATGATACGGTTCAGACAGCCAAATGCACCAGCCTGCACGCGGACCTCCTCGGCCTGGGTGGCCTCGCAGACTACTTGCATGATATAGTTACGCTCTCCCTCATTGTCCATGTTCGATCGCACGAAATCGACGGCGTCACTAAGGGCAGCAATAGCAGCAAAACGGACATCCATGTTCGGCTCCTCGCGCCGAGCACCCTGCACAACAGCAGTAAGAATGGCATTGGAGTGCGCAGTCAGGCTCGCGCGCAGGTCGGGGTCTTGGGACTCGCAGATGAAGCCGATCGTGGCGAGAGACGACTGCTTCACATTATCATTTCCACTGGCCACATTCTGGACAAGGATGTTCATAAGGTCGGTCCACTCGTTGCGCGGCAGTTCGATCGCGGCAATCGAAACAATCAGAGTGGCGGCGGCATTCCCAGCTCGGGTATCGGAGTGCAAGGTCTTGAGAGCGAGCTCCTTGACCTGCGTCTTAATCTCGGGTGTGATCTGTTGAATCCATCGGGCCTGCACTTCACGAAGCTTGGCCTGGTCTCGGAAGGTAAAAGCGTTCTTCAAGGCAATACCAGCAGCGACGCGAATATGGGCAGGGCTGTCTTCGTTGGCCAGTTCCTGGCCTAGGGTGACGAGGTAGGTGGCCTAGAAAATTTACACAAAAGGTGTTAGCAGGGAGGAGGGAGGAATCTCGATTACAAGGCGAAACTCAAAAGACAGGAGAGGATGGAAAGCGGGGGGATCACATACGAAGTCAACCTCCGCTGCATGGGCGAGTTGCTGCTCAGCATTGGTACGTTCCGCCGCATCTGCGGAAGAAAGACGGTCAGCGAGGGGCCACCAACACACCAGGTGCTTTTCAACGAGACTGGAGAAGCTCTCATCTGGAGCTATCAAAGAACGAGAAAGTACATACCAGGCGACAAGGTGCTTTGCAACACCTGGCGAGCATCCATGATGTCTGCTCAGAGAAACGCAAAAAAGATGATAGATGTGGGGGAGGAAGGAGGGAGACGAGGGAGATGGAAAAAAAAAGAAAGAGGGCAGCGAAAAAGAAAGTAGCAAATCCCTCTTGACGCCGAAAGATCAACTGGAAAGGCGACAGACGCGAATCACAGTTGAAAGGCAACGCGGGCGTGGTGGCAGGAGAATCCGTGGAGTGGTTGGTGGGTGGGAGAGGACGGGGTGTTTTTGTGGATATGACGAGGCATGCACCAGGTCTTTCCGCGAAGAGTCACAGAGAGAGAAAGGTGCCTTTAGTGCACGCCCAACGGGAGAAACAGAAAAGGTTGCCGTAAAAGAAATGACACCGGAGGAGTGAAGGGTGTCTTTGGAAGATATTGGAATGGCAGGAGGCAGATTTCGCCGAAAAGAACAGGATGGGGAGTGAAGTCCAACTTGGGCGGCGCTCTGATTGGCGGCGGGGGGCCAAGGCTGCACGTGAGTGGCGGCCTCAGGCCATGATGACCTGAGTCGGCTTCACTCGAACAAAGCCATTTTTGACTTTTGAACTTTGAATTTTGGGACCTTTTTAAGTTTGACCCTTTCAATATATCCCAGATGTTGCTTAATGATCTTCTATCGCTTTTAGCCTTCCGTCCATAACCGTCTGTTCTTGCTCTTAGTCGAGGTGGAATCATCCGTTGTTTACATTGTAGAGGGGCGGTCCCCGTTTTGCCCCTCTGTTTTGCTTGTTTTGATTTTCCTTCTTGAAGAACCGCCCACACAGTCCAGCGTGTGGCCCCGGCGACAGGCTCCATTTAGCCCTGGCCACACACACATTCGCGCTACCATGAACTATTTTTTGCGGTGGGGACCGCAAACTGATGTGTCAGACAGAATCGTTCCTGCATGGAATCGCCCAGAATAGTCTGCTGGCAGGCTGCTAGCAACCCCGTAAGGGGCAGCAAAATCAAATACAAGAGAAAACGCGAGTTGTATACATAAGAAACAAGGCAAAAAAAAGCAATCATTCAGCCAAAAGGTTTCTATTATGTGACTTGTCCGTGAGGGAGTAGTACTATGTCGAATAGTAATCGTCTGATTAGAGAAGCAAAAAAACCTCCCGACCCTATCCGGGATAATGCTATTCGTAAAGTTCACCTAACGCCGAGATGACCCCTATGCAGCATATAGGATGGACCGGATCAGCCCTCAATCTCTTCATCTTCTTCCTCTTCAAATTCTTCCGTTTCCATAGCCGCATCCAAATCGAATACATCATACCGCATGGCGTCCCCATATAACACACAGATTGCCCGGCGGCCCTTCCGCCCGTTTACGTCAATCTGTAACGGATTTGCCTTCGAACCCGATGATGCAAAGGCATGTTTGACAATGTCTGTATCATAAGGCGGTTGGATATCTAGTGGGGTGGGGTGGACGGCTGGCTCAGGTGTATCAGGATGAGGACCACAGCCAATGTAGTCCAATGGCAACGGAGGGGGCCCTGCTTTTTCTGACGAGTTTTGGATTGATGCGGGCTGGAAGGGGAAGTTAAGAAGATAAGCGGATTCGCCGTCGGCGTAAAGAATCATGAGTGTGTCATCATCGACAAATTGTAGCTGGCGAACCTCACCCTTCTCGAGAGTGATAGCTGCAATAGACGTGCTACGAGTCGAGCTGACCCCGTTGATCGAGTCAAGCACAACGCGGTAAATGTAAACTGAAAAAAAGTGAGCGACCAGAAGTTTCAAATGAATCGCGAGATAGGACAAACCTAATGCCTTTGAAGTTATCGATCTTGTTGCCACGTAGATAGAGCAAGGCCGCCCCTCTTCCGCGTTCTTGAATGTAGTTAGCTTCTATCCATCGAGAGACAAGCAAACCGGAGCTCACCTCATAGCAAATCTTCAGATCAAGAACATCCTGATCGCAATCCTCATGAAGCGTGATCGGAGACCGGTGCAAAATGCCCCGCCTCTGCGTCAGTGCAATCTCCGCAAACACCCTCTCAAACTGTATCCCCAGCCTCCTTGTCAAGTCATTTAGTTTTGGCGTATCAACAGACGTTCCATCGCCGCCCTCCGCCAAAACCTGCCTCTGCTGGCTGAGCAAAGTTTTGAAGGTATCATAAAATGATCGATCGTGACCATCAGGGAGCCATTTGTCCGTGGCGGGGATAGGCATCTGTGGGACTCCGATCATGGGGAGTTGGCGGATGAAGTTGCGCAGGACACTCTTGCGCAGTGCGCCGGTGATGTACTTGACCGTGGGAGGGACATCGAAGAGGTCTCGTTTCTCGAGCAGTTCTTCCCATGTTTGAGAGAGAGGTTCGCTATTTAGGATCATGATTTCGTGACGGAGCCAGCGCGAGAAGGCGTAGAATTGATCTAGCTCTTCGTTGGCGTGGTTGAGGATGCGGTGAGCGAGAAGGTGCAGGCAGTCGAGCGTGTCGACAATGGCGTTGAGTTTGGAGGTGTCTAGGCCGAGGACATCGCTGAGTTTGTGGAATTTCGATAGGCCAACAAGTCGACTAAGAAGTACTTGACTCCTCTCAAGTGCCGGAAGCAGACACTCATGGGTTAGTCGTCGAATGGTTTCGTAGCCACCAGAGACGGCTTTATCCCATCGTTTGTGTCCCTATAAACGTGAGTTAGCTAAGGTTGCCGGCTTAATTTAGGGAAGTCTTACTCTTTCTCCAACAATATCTACCAAAAACTCCTTCATTGGCTCAAAGCAGTGGCCAGTGACAACGAGATGGTAGATAGCCGTGACAAAATCGCACTGGCACTGCTCTTGCAGGTCCTGATTGACACTTCGTATAAACCGCGCCGGTAACTCTTGCGCATTTTTCCATTCCAGTTCAATCTGCTTCTGCACTTGGCCAATATACCGCAGCAAATTCTGAAGCTGTGTCGTCTTTGACGCAAGCAGAGACAAATATCGCCCGGATTTCGTGATAAACCGCAGATCCAAGGTGACAAGGTTGTGAGGCGCCCGACATTGACCCTTGGCAGGCGATATTAGTAACGCGTGCGTTGAGCTCAAGGGATGTGATGCATGACGGAGAATACGGCACGATTCAGCGAGCCCAGCCGATTCGCCGACAGGAAACGAGCCGATCTCGAAACAGTCAAATATCCGGAGGTGGACGCTGCCATCATCAAATCCAACGAACAGCACATCCACCGAGTCGCTATTGTCCTTCGCTGCCGAATGGAAAATAGCATCAATGGAAGCCCGCGAGCTGAACAAGTCATCTTCGGCGCCCGTCGCCGGCAGGGTGCTCAGCTTGGGCAGGGAGCTTTCAATATCCAGCAACGCTAGCTCTCGCGGTAGGTCTGCCTTGAGGATAGCGGCCGCTTGGGATGGATGGATCCCCGGTTTCAGGAGGTCGTCCACAGAGATCTGACCCGCAGAGCCCTGCAGGTGCTTCTCCGCGGCTCTGCTGTCTGTAAAGTTGATGCCCCAGCCCAAGCAGGTCACCTTTGGGGACGGTTTTGGGTCAGGGCCGGGGGGTTCTTCGCTCTTCCCTTCATAAGCCGGGTAGTGGTGAACAGTCTTGCCACTGTACGCGCTGATGATACGGATAGACCCGTCGCCACAGGCTACGGCGAGCAGACGACCTAAAGATGTTGTCAGAGCCATTACCAAGCAAATGCACAAATCTAGCATCCATGCTGAAGGCTTCCATGACACGGAATAGAAAAAATGCCCTGCAAATCAGGGAAAGGAGAAGCTGCACTGACCATTTCCTTTCCATGCTAACGCCCTCACCTCTCCATCCTCTTCATCCTCGCCCAGGTAGGGATCGCCCCCGAAAGAGCCCCCAAATACACGTTGCTCATTGAGTCGGAATACATGTAGCTCATCATCATCAGTGGCTAGGGCGATCAAGTCCATCGAGGGACAGTACGCCACGGTGCTGGGTTTACACTTCGCCAACAGGGACTTTTCCCCAACAGGCGTGAGTTGCGGAGCCTGGTCGGTCATGGTGTGGATCAGACTTAAGGATGACCTTGCTTAACCCATCGTTTGCTTTGAGCAAATTGATCGGACCAGTCTCTCGTTTGGGGTTGGGGGGGAAAGGGGGGAGTTCGCGATTCCCTTGAGGTAGGTGAAATGTGATCGCGGGTGGATCGCGGGACTCACGTCGCGCGGCGTGTTTTTTGGTGGGTGCGGCTATGGATGCTTTTTCTCTTTGTTTACTCGACACCCCGACAGTAGGGCTGTCTAAGCCAAAATGGGACCTACACCATATTAGACGGTATCATTGAAAGTGAACATGTTTTTTCGTTAACACGAAGGGCCCATAACAGGTTCATTCAAGGGTTCATCTTATAATACGGTGTTTCGAATGGGGTTCTACCGCCTAGTTGGCCGCTCTTGGGAGCTTGAGGTTCTAGAAATCTCGATAAAAGCAAAGCAAGATTTTTGTTCATGTCTGGCTTGTCTTCAGAATATAAAAGATCTTACTCTCACTAATTTCACTGCCAAAGTTATAAGCGGATAGCGTAGGAATTTGAAGGACCGTTCGTTTTCCAACTGGTAAAATGTTACGTCATCAGGTGTGCTGGAGGCAGTTTCACCTCCCTCGCTTCGTCCCTGTTCTTACCTATTTCTTACCTGATTCTAATCTATCGCATAATCTACCAAACTGCACAGACGAAGAGGCTGAGATCGTGTCGATTATTGTGCAACTATAAGCTAGCTCATTGAGCTACACGGCTGCACCTAGTATAGAGCCACAGCGGTGAGAGTAGTTACGTCGGCACCAAGTCAGGATTTAACCCATGATACCAGTGGGCCTTACTGTGTTCAAGAGCTACAATTTTCCCTTTCGTATCTGATCTAAAGAAGCAGTTGTATTGCACAGCTCGTGCTAATATTCTATATGTAAATGGTACAACAATAAACCTGGCAAGCCAGTACCAGGCTATGCAAGTCACAAGCGAAAGTAAAGAAGCGAAAGTCTCCCTTTCCACCTTTCAATGATGAGGAGGGCTAGAAAGGCTCCCCATCCATCTCGGCCTGGATCATGTCCTTCAAATAACTGAGCTCATCCATCATTTCCTGCATAGTGCTCTTTCCGCGGAACGAAGCCTCGCTCGCGCGCGACAGGACACGCCGATATACCTCCTCATCGGCCTCGATGCGCTCGGCATCTGACCGGCGCTGAATCTCGGGTAGAATGATGGGTGACCCGTCTGGGCTGCGGGATAGCGAGAGGGATTCCAAGGACTCAAGGGCGCTGAACAGGGCGGCGTGGCGTTTGGGGTTGCTCTCCACTTCGTCCATTTGGTCGATGCCCAGGCCGGATTGGAGGCCAGGTGAGGAGAGGGAGACGGTAAGTTGGGGGAGGGAGATGTTAATGGCGTTCATATTCCATGGGGGAATGTCGCCGGATGCGGAGTTGGGGGAGGAGGGCTTGGAGTGCACGGTCAAATGGGGCGTGTTCGGGTCGGTGTTTGTCGCGGTGTCGTTTGCTTGCGACAGCTCTGGGGTTGTCCAGTCGTCCACGGCCGGGGATTCGTACTCGTTGGCTTTCTGGTCCAACGTGGATGCGGAGATCATCGACTCAGGCGAGTTGTCCTTCACCTCGGTGTCGGTGTCGATGTCGGTGTCGGTGCTCCATTCCGAAAAGCGGCTGCATTCGGGGCCAGCCCGTGAGTGGATGGACTCGTCTGTTGTGGTGGTCAGGCTCGAAAAGTGGCTGCGGAGAACCTGTGCGTTCATGGCTTTGTCCGTCTCGTCCATGGCGAGCACCGCCTCGTCCATGACAGAGGAAGGTGTGTTTGGCAGCGTTGGAAGCCTTTTCTCTTGAATATTACGGATCCTTGGCGTTACCTGATCAGCGGTGGTTGCTAAAGATAACGCCTCTTGATAGGCCTGCGTTTCATCCACCGTTCCTAAGGTGGGACCAGCTGCGGCGCCTCTGGAGAGGCTGGCTTTGCGGTGATGGGGGCGCGTATCCACTGTGAGAAAGTGCAATGCCGGCCCAGCTTCATTGCCATTGGCTTTCATTGCACGACGAGTTTGAATGGTGGGTGCTGCGGCGAACTCGGGCTGGTTCGCGGACGATGACACCCCACCGGCATTGAGGCTGATGCCCGGGACATTGCGGCGATCCCGCACCGTTGCATGGACCGTGTTGGATCTCGGTAATACATCAATCCACTTCGGGCTCTTCGCCTCCTGAATAGGCCGGGCAACAGGGAGGGCACGAGCTCTAGGAGGAGACACGGAGCGCGCGTCCTGTGCGTGATGGTGTCTGTGTGTAGCACTATTCGGTTGAGAGGCACTGCGATGAACCATACCGCTGACTGGGGAAGTGCTACTAGGGTTAGAAGCGCTCGGGCGTTGGGGATGAGGCACCGCGGTCTGCAGACAGGCCAAATTGGGCTTCGGCGGCTTCCGCGGGTTGATAAACTTGTCCTCCGGGTTCATTGTTCGATAGTCAGCCCTCTGCGAGCTGTTGCTGCTCGAACGTCCATGAGACCGGCTGTCAGGGAGGATGATAGGAACGTTGAGCACATTCACTGGCTGTCCTGGTAAAAGAGGACATTTGGTCGTGACGGGCTCGGCTTGACTGAAGTATTCCACACCCTCGTCCAGCAAGTACTATTCTCGCGGTCAGTCTGGTCCTTCCATAGAAAGAGAATACGATCACCCACGTAGTACCAGTAAGTTGCTCCCATCTTCAAGCCTCCTGTTCGCCATTGGGTCTTACTACCAGGAGGCCCGTCGCCCACGATATCCGTAAAAGTATGACATCCCCGCCACTGACCGGGCCCCGCGCGCCTGTCCCGCTCCATCGCATAGGCCTTCGAGAAATTGTCCCATGATCCGAGCAGCTTCACCGATCGAATCTCCGGGTTGGTCGTCCTAGAATCGGTTAGTCATTCCGCTCGAATTCGGATGACCCGTAGGTCGCAAGGTGTGTCCTCACAGTAGAAAAGTCATGAGGGTGGTCGATGTCATCGCCCAATGCAACAATCACTGGAAACAGAAAAAAGCAATTCTCAAACAGAGCAGCTGATGCGATGAAAATCTAGCAAGATGCAATACCAAAAACCCAGTCAACAATGGAAAGAGAGGATGTAAGTATACTCGTCAAACAGAAGACCAAACGAAAGTCGGTTGACACCCCCAATATAGTACAGAGAACAAACGAATGCAAATGCAAGACAAAAGGAAAGAAAATTAGATCAAGTCGAGCGCTGAGGACAGAGAAACAACAACAAAACGGCGCGGCGCAACAATCGAATATAAGGCGCCCGTCGAGAGACCAGTCCAGACGGTCAACAACAGTGTTGTTTCTATTATTACAGCCGACGCACGGCGCTGGCGCTGCAGTTCACGCTGGGCCTGTTTCAGAAGAGCCCCAAGCAAGCCTCAAGCAAGCCCCAGACCAAGGCCAATGACAGGTCTAAGAATAAGTCGTCGAGACGCGTTTCAGTCGGGCTGTCACCACCATGCCATGGCCCAAGTGGACCTGACCAGGCACGAGTGTGACAGTGGCAGACGCTCAATCTGCCCCCAGGGGGGCCGGCGAGTAACAGTGTCTGAAGTGCGAATGCTTCAGGAACCGCGGGCTAATTTCCAGGCACCCTGCCGGGCGACAAGAGCAACCAATCGGGCGGGGCGAAAGCGACGCGCCGCACGGTTCCTGCGTTAGGGCCCCGGCGCTCCGAGGGACCGGGGTGTGTTGATGGCGGTTGGTGGGCGCGGGTCTGGAACACCGCAGCTGAGATTGCAGTGTCCTTAGAGTCGGTTATGAGGAGTGGAAGGAGGAGGCGATGGAGTGGGTAGGTGCTGAAAGTCGTGAGGGGGACAGGGAGAGGAGAGGAGGCAGAGGTTTTTCTGCGTGAAGGCGATCGGCGCTGCGGGGAGTGGACGGTGATGAAGTGCAATGCCGATCCTCGGGCGAAGAGGCGTGAGCAAGCGAGTGGAGCACGGCAATAGGAATAGGGCCCGGGCTATTAGGGTTAGATGGGGCAGACGGGCAGACGGGCAGATTTGCAGATTCGCAAATTCGCAAATCAGGTAGGAATTGCAAGGCAAGGAGGGCAGCGGGGGCGCTCAGCTCGAAGGGAGGAGGTAGCAGTTGGCAGCAAAAAGTCGAGGTATAATGATGCAGTCCACAAGCATCATCGAACTTCGACCAGCCGGCGATTATCGGTGGCTTGCCAACCCCCCGGCAAAACCTGGCAGAACCATGGTTCACCCATCTAATGCAAGGTACGGAGTACAGCACAATCTAGTGGGCTGACTACAGTAGACCCCGTCCTCTGTAGGTATTGGAATTGGATATTCTCCGTCCCCGTTATGTCTCCTATTCCCATCACTTCGATCGAAAACCCCGGTTCTTACAGACGCCATTAAACGGCATTACCAATAGTGTGAGTGCGGCATGCCATGAAACACATCATATTTCCTGCGGTGATCCGCAAGCCCAGTCCTCCGCAAGGGCACATAATATTCCGCCACCGCAGCGCAGCACGTCCTCGAAAGCGCAGCTTAGCCCCTGATGCAAGTCCCGGCGTGATCGGCGCCAGCGACGCGATGGTTGGCATGATTGGCATGATTGGCTGCGTGCGGGGGAGTCTAGTTCAGCCAAGACGGCTCCACCCCGGCGGTTCTTGACTCGCGCAGATGATACGTCCGCTGCAGCGGCAGCTGTGATGAGTGCTGAGAATGGAGCGGTCCTTTGCGAGACCTACGAATCGGAGACGCAGCCATCAAAACAACGGTCGTTGATATTATTGGTCATCCTGCTAATTACCTCGTCCTCATAGATGCTACCCAAACGCCATCCCACAGAAGTGGTATCAACATCACAAGCCGACCAGCCCCAGGGGCGAACCATTAAAAAAAAAAACAAAGCAGAAGAAGACATCTAGACCCGCCTCCGATCATACTTTTTATTCACTGCCCCAAGCACACACTTCAGAATGCCCTCAGCATTCAAAGGCCCCCCAGTCCTCCCCCGCCACGGCACCGTATCCACGATATCCCTCAGCTTCTCATCCCGACACCACTTCCCCAAATCATCATCCAACTCCTGTAGATACCGCCGTACCTGCTCATCGTCCCCGATCTGGAAGAACTGAATGCCCACCTGCCACGGTAGCGCCTCGCACCCTGCGCTGTCCAGCACCTTGGCCACCTGCACGATGACACTCTCCGCGTCGTCGGTGAACTCGCCGTCCGTGATGGTGATAATGTTCACCGGCTTGATGTAGAGGGAGGCATCGGAGAGGGAGCCGTCCGGGTTGCGGGACGCCTGCATGGCCTGCACGCGGCGCAAGTATGGCGTGAGGATCTGGAGGAGTCGGCGCCCGACGGGCGTGGAGCCGCGCGGCCGCACGCTGTGGAAGATGTCGCGGACGTCGGCGGCTGTCGTGATGTTGCTGTATGCGCCAGTGGTGGCGGCCGTCGAGGCGCGCCGGTGGTTGAGGAAGTAGATGTCGATGCCATCGGCGTCGTGCTGGGTGCAGATGGGCGCGATCGCGGAGATGGCCTGCTCAGCTTCGGCCCATCGGGACCCGCTCATGCTGGAGCTGTCATCTACGAGGAAGATGGTGTCGAAGTCCTTGAGGAAGGCGAATTGAGACTCGGAGTCGGAGTCCCGTGAACGTCGGGACATCGCGGGCGCCTTGGGGTCCCGCGAGTGCGACTGGGACTCTTCATAGGTTGGGGGATCCCATGCGGCAGTTTTCTTCTTTCGAAAAGAGGAGGGACGGCATAGGTTGAAGAGGGTGCTGTTGCGCCTGCGCTCTTGCGAGGGTGTATTCCCCATTTTGGGGGTGGGTGGTGGTCGCGTGCTGGGGAAATCGGGCGTCGCCAGTCGGCTGGATGGGAAGGAGGCCCATGTCGGAGGGGGCATGGCTCGTTCGAATATCGGCATTGGACCGACGGGGCTGCAACCAGATGATGCAAAGAGTATGCAATCGATAAGATCGTCAGTGGTCTGCAAGTAGAGTTTGGTGGTCCCCGTCTCTGGCTGCTCTGGTTGTGCTAAGCCTAGGGGCCATCTCTGGACCTGGTAAGCGCCTCACATTTATATCTTTCAAACGTGGGGCATTGCATGATCCTGTCAAGTGTCAAGTGTTCCGGTCTCGGGCGGCTTGGCCTCGTAGGGCAGAAATTGAAACGCAAGGCTTACTCAAGGCGTTTGGAGACGGCACGCCACAGCCTCCGCCAGCCAGGGGCCTGGCCATTCCGGAGCCTTGTGTCGATGGAACCCATGGAAGGAATGCAAAAGGCCAAGAGAGGCCATATGCGGGGTCAATGGAAACATCAAAGGCCAAGGCGGATTTTCTGATCGGTCATACATTGACGCCCGCGCGGCTGGGCCGTGCTACAAAGAGCGTCCGGCAACGGAGATGCGGCTCATCATTGTGCGCGGACGCACTACACGGCACACAAAGCGATATGGCTTGTACAGCCCGCTCTTTAGTCTAATAAAAACGGCACCTGGGTCAGTCATACTGTGGGCGTTCGGAGTCTACCGAAGCCCGGGTCCATCGGTTTGGTGAATTTGGTGATTGGTGGGTTGCAATGCGTAGCCGCAGCCGCAGGGCTGAGCTTTCAGCATAGCCTCGCTCCCCCAAAGGCAGAAAAGAGCAACAGGAGCTACAGCGGCATGGGCGAATCGCAGTGAATCCTGGCTGTGCCAAGATGTCAATCGCAGATAAAATCATCAACTCATTCCAACCACCCTATCGGAATCAAACGAATCGCTCCCGAGGTAGAATGTATCAGGATCATATGGCCCAAGCGCCACTCTGCCTTACATTCCAGGTTCCCGCCCTTGCGCTCGACCGCACAGGATATACATGTCACTTATTAGATACACTTTATGAAAGTAAATGACGCGAAAGCAGCACGCCCAGGCTCAGAAGATCACATCAGCCGACGTCGGGATCTGGGTGAAGTGGAGGTCAGGGAGCGCCTCAGGTGAGGCATACTCGTCCGCGACATACTCTTCTGCCACGGTGCGTTCCCCTTCCACAAGAGGGATGCCTGGGTCAACAGCCACGATATCCATCACGGCGAGCGCCTGGTCCAGTCCATAGCTGTGGCCGACCATCTTCAAACATTGAATGACCCATCGGCGCAACGGATGATGGGGATTCTCGACGATCCCCGCCAGGAACAAGGGCCAGAGCAGCATAATGCCCCCCACGTAGCTCTCCGGAGGGGGAAGTTGGGTGAAGCGTTTTGCTGATGCGCGCCCAGGTGGTAGGGCACGCTGCGGCAGATATCGACGGCCAGGCGCCGGGTATTGGCCCAGACGGCCTTACAGTGCTGCCGGAACTCGTCGGACAGTAACCGGATGGAGGACGAGTCCGAAAGCTTCTTCATACGAGACAGAATGATTTCGCTGACGAGGATGCGCGCGCAGCGGTACTGGTTCCACGTGTTGCAGACCCAAAGGCTGGGGTACTCGTGATATTGGTCGTCGTACAGGGCCAGCCCACGGCAACGCTCTTGGAACAGAAAATCATGAGGGGACTTAGTGTGAGTTTCATAGGTGAAATCGGGCGGCAGCGCGGCGAGCCAGGCAACCAGCTCCGCCTCGATACTGGAGGCCATGGATATGATCTCCCGATGATCGGTCAGAATTTTCTCGTGAATGTCCGCGCGAAGGTTGGAAAGTCGGCCGATGATCATGATCAACCGGTTGCTGTGTGCTTCGCCCGGCCGGAGAAACATGGCGTACTTGGTACACTCGAGTAAAGACTGCGGCACGCGAGCATCTCGTTGGATACAGCTGATGACCTGTGTGAGGGTTAGCTGTGGGCTCTTACAACAGCACCATCAGAGTATGGAAAGAGAAACGCACAATCTGATATCGGAGGTGCAGAAACAGACGAAGCCCAATTTCTGTTTTCAACTGCTCGGTTCCCCGCAAATCCAGGAGCGCCGTGGCACCAGTAATATGGTTTGTCCATTGGTCAATATCCCGCGGGGCTCGCGAAGTCACAACCTATGCAGAGACAGTGGCGTCAGACCCTGCAATCCTTCAAACTCTTTCATGATGGGCCGGGCGCGATAGCGCGAGAGGATGTTCTTACTTCATAAACGGCAAGCAATACGACCGCCCCCAATGCGTGATTAGACTTGGCCTCTTCCACATCGGCCAGGGCCGTGTTGAGTAGGTTAAGCGCGGATACATATTCCTTTTGTGCCGCCTCTTTTAGTGAGGTCATTTTCCGAACACGGCATAGCATGGCCGATGACACGGCGATTACACTGGATTGCATCGCTCGTTGGCTAGCTGTCGCCCCCGGCTCAGCCAGAAACTGGGTGACAAAGTCCCCCATCCAAAGGCTACCAGGGATGGCATTGCCTCGCAAGAAATAGCAGATCACCTCTTGTTTAGATGTGTGGGGTAGCGGTTGGACCTCGAGCGGCATTTGCGAGAGGCGCTGCATGGTATAGTCCAGCTGTGGATCCGCGAGGTTGAAGTATTGTGCCGGCTCCACCGCCGCCAGGGTCGTCAGATTCCCACCTGGGGATGCAATGCGAGGCAATCGGGCTGGTGACCGCTTCTGTCTAGACCGCGTTGAAGAATCAGAGCTAGAAGAGGAGCTAGCCACTGCCTTGCGCACAACTGATTTGCTTTCGTCGCGAAACATTAATGATAGCTGATCCCGGTATCCGGGGCAGTCCCGCTTGGCCCGGACGCATTGTGAACAGGCGGGTCGGGCTTGATCGCATCGGATCTTCCTGGTGCGACACTGGCCGCAGCCTTTGCTGGGCTTGCCACAATAGACCATGGCGTGCAGAATACTTTCAAGAGCCTGTGGACTCTCTGTAGCTTGGGTTCTCCCTAGACCTTGTACATAAAGTGTAGCCTGTGTAAGCTGACGGAGGAGGCTTGAGTAATAAGGTCGGCGTTGCCGAGCGGGCGGCGCACGCCCAATCAGGTAATAACTAAGACGCTAGGCTCAATTTGGTATGCATTGCGATCGGATCGGCAGAAGCTTGTCTGCCACGAGCCACTTTGATGGCTAGCTTGGGGCTGAAGGGGGTTTGGATGGGTTTGGATGGGTCGTACCGTGGAGTTAGGGCTGGTGCCTGTCTGGTTTTTCTTCCGCGCAGTCAAGCCACACTCTAGAAGACGGGTTCAAATTCGTACTGCAGTGGCTTTCGAGCAAAGAACCCTACTGTAAATCTCTGGGGGTAGCGTCAGCATAGCCTCACAGAACATTGATCCAAAACAGCATGCAAGATGTCGAGACCACACTATATAGATGGTCGGACACGCTCAAGAAGTTGGACATTCTCAATCCCAACCATCTCATTCCACTTTAACTCAGTATAAGACTACCCCGGTGCCTATACCCGACGGAACGAGATCACAATACTTCAACAATGGCCGTCACCTACCGCCATGGCATCTCCATTCTGGAATTGATCATCTACCTTCCCTCCCTCTTCCTCTCCATCTTCCTCGTCATTCGCCATGGCCTACGCACAAACAGCGGATTCCTCTTCCTGACAACCTTCACCCTGACCCGTATCGTGGGCGCATGCTGCGACCTTGCGACTATCAACAATTTCACCGTCGGACTATACGTTGCAGCCGCGATCTGTAGCTCCATTGGCCTATCGCCATTGATGCTTGCCTGTACCGGTCTCCTGTCCCGCGCGTCAGTCCTGCCTGCCCCCACAAAAAATCGCAATTTCCGAATCCTAATATACTGACAATTTCATGAGCAGCGACATGTCCATTGAAAAGACCTCCGGCCGCACGGCACTCCCGCGCATTACCTTCCCATTCTTCCGCATACTCACCGTCGTCGCCATGATCCTTAGCATCGTCGGCATCACGGCCAACATGTCCGCGGAGGGCCTCCAGCACCCCGACATCAAAGTCAAGATCGGCATGATCCTGTACGTTGTCTGCTGGGTGGTGATGCTTGCTTTACTGGCTGTCTTGGCCATGCACCGTGGCTCTATCGAGCGCGGTGAGAAGCCCACGCTACTGGCAGTGGCCCTGTCCAGCCCGTTCATTTTGGTGCGCCTGCTGTACGCATTCTTCGTCTGGTTCTTGCACAACTCGGAGTTTAGCATGCTCGATGGCAATGTGACCATTCAGTTGGTGATGGTGGTGCTTGAGGAGTTTGCTGTCGTGGCTATTTGTCTCACTGTTGGGATGACGCTACGTGTTCGGGGCCATGAATCTCGGCGTGGAGAGGAAGAAGTTATGCCAGCTTATTCTTCGAGCAAGCCTAGGTGATGTTGATCAAAAGGAGAGAAAATATTTTCTGGCCTCAAACCGTCCTAGATAATGAGGGGTTTGCAATCTTTGTCCTCCGATGGCTTTTTTGATAGACTTTTGCTTTGCATGGCTGGCTGGCGCGTGAGATTTTGAGCACATAAATAGAGCTGCATTTGTCAAGCGTATATACAATCAACATTATCGTTCTAACATCTCCGTGTGAACTAGTTTAAGAGGCAACCCTAGTATTTTACCCTGTGATGTATGAGGTGCACTACTGGGACCTTTAATTTAATGTCGGATGAAAGCAATAAAGACATGGTGCCTCCATACACGTACAATATTTTACATCAACTAGGGGGATTCTCCCGGATTCCAGCTTGAACAAGCAGCAACAGCACCATGAAGACAAGAAAAAACAACCAACGGGAGGTTTGAAACCATCTCCCGCACACCACGCCCCCTCTTCGTGCCGCCCATTTTCTTCCTCCTCTTCCTCTCCAATGGATACATGAGGTTACCACCCGGCTACCAGTCCAGGACGACCCTATCAGTCGGTACGTCCGCGTCGAAAAGGGTATCATCCCTCTCATAGACGGCGAGAGTCTGTAGACACGCCGCGATGCGACGCACCGAAGACTCTGCGCGCATCAGCGAGAGTTGACTCTCCTGCTCGGTGATGCAGTCCTGGCGACTTTTGAGATCGGCGCGGAGGGAGGTCAGGCGAATAAAATCCTATAGCCATATTAAAAGATCATTCGTTAGCTTACGCTCATCTGAAATTATGGCACCGAGATGACAGTGAGGTTAAACTTACTCCGTACCATTTCTTCCGCTGCCGGCGGTCGTCTTCATGGACCAGCCGTCTTCCGATAACATTGATGCACTGGGTGAGATCGTCCAGTGTGTTTGTAATTTTGTTCTGCAGCTCAGATTGCTGAGTACTCTGCGGCTCGCTCTGCGGCTCACTCTGCGGCTCACTCTGCGGCTGGGCACTTTCCGGACGTCCTGCAGGGAGTGAGACAGGTGCCACGGGACTCGCAGGGGATGGGGACGGGGGCGAGACCGGCTGGGGGTGCGAGGACTCCGATTGCAGTCTCGGGCTGGCGATTTGGTAGCCTGCACCCCGAGGCTTGGTCCGTCCTCCCCGTGAGAAAACAGTGCGCAGGCTCTCCAGCATGCGAGCCATGCGTGGTGGCTCTCGCACCCTCACAACGTTGGTGTAGATCACCATGCCTTCCATCGACGGGTGTCGCCTGATTATATTGTCGATGTTGAAAGCTTCGGTAGACAATAAAAGTGGCGCAGAAGGGCCTGTAATGAGCTGTGGAGAGGACGAGTGCAGTGGAAATGGGACAGGCTTCCGGGGAATCCTGTGACTCGGCGTGTCACTCTCTACAGGCGATAAAGGCAATGGCGAAACCTGATCACCACTAATCTCGTCCATGATATCTCCTTCTGCGTTAGGTGACATGAGAAGATCATCCCTGTAGCGCTCCTGTGGCGTTTGATCTTCAGTGGATGTTAGATTCGTGGAGGCAGCAGGGCTTGTCTGCACGCCACGAGCGATGACAGTCACATTCGAGGCACGGAGAATGAGCGCGGGAATGGTGGATCTAATCTCAAGGGAGCTCGAAGTATCAGAACGAGAAGCCGCTGATCCTCGATCTTCGGAGTTGATACCGAGATCAGGAGTGGTGAGGAAAACCATGCCTAGGGGACGAGGGATTCGAGACACATTCCTGCGGCGACGAAACGGTGGCGGTGAATCAGATGGCTGAGTGCCACCGGTTGGTTGAGCTACAAAATTCAAGTCAGCCTAGGTTCATTTATACCTTTGTAAACATGCGAGAATACATACTGTCCGTTTCGCGCTGATCCACATGTTGGATTATGCTCGAAGGCATTGCAAGCCGAGGAAGGTTCTCGGGGGTGTGCGCCAACGAGCTAGGGACTTGAGACAACGCAGCTTCTGCTTCACTTATTAACTTAAGTCCAGATAGCACAGGAGGCAATTGCTGCTCACTTTTCTCTTCGGACTGCTCCAAAGTGCTTCCTTGGTCTCCTACGAGTGGGTGTCGGTAGGTGGGCATCTCCAGCAGAGAATACGGGTCGGGGATGCTCGCAAAGCTGGAAGTGCTGGCACGAGTCTCAGAGCTGTGAGACAACGCAGCTTCTATTAAATATTAGCTAGATAAATCTGCCTGTCAAGTTCAGATAAGAGCTGTCAAATCGGACCATTTCTTTCCGTCTGCTCCGAAGTGTAGCTCTGTTCCCGGATGGAGAGGGTCAGGCCCTGAGGGCTCACTTGAGACAGTTGAGCCACGGCACCTGAATTCGAGTCAGCAGTACTCGCTGGACAAAATGTGGGAACATCACGTACATGATCGAAGATTTGATCGACCAGTGAACTTATTGTCCCGGGCTAACGGTGGGTGAGAAGGTATTACTTACTTCCTTGACTTCCTTGGGCCGGTTGAGCAGATTGACTCTGCTGCGTGGGCTGACTCTGCTGACTCTGCTGGGAGGTTCCAACAGGGATTCGCGCTGCGGTAGAGAAATCGGCGTATGTGAAGTTCTCACTTTGGGAGGGAAACAAAGATGTCGACGGGGTCGAGTCACCGGTGGGGGCCACGGTGCTGTTGATGTTGTTGTCTTTATGAGACTCGGCAACTGAGCGGCACTGGGACCCAAATACACCCACGCTACATGCCGACTCCTCGGCGTCCTTCCAACTGCTAGGGCTGCTGGCATCAACAGAGGGACCAGGCCTGTCGTCCTCTCCCCATGTCATCACTCCGGACGAGCTCTTCGTTGCGCAGCTCGATACATTGTGCAGGTAGACGGGCCCCTCAACGTCCTGGGTCTGTGCTTTCTTGCGTTTGGAATATGTTAGTACACAATGTATTGCTCACCCATTCTGATCAGAAGAGGAACTAACGTACCCAGGACACAAGCCGACGAACCACTCGCTTCACGGCATCCTTGATGCCGAAGCCTGACTTGTCCTATCAAATTCAAACAAATCAGTCTTTGAAATCAAAAAAAATCAAAGGAAATCGACCTCAGAGTGATAGTAAATGCTGTCATATCCGACATGAAGTATCTTTACGTATGGATGGAAACCTGCATACACACGCTAAGATATTGAGAGAAACTTACCTTCTCCATGGACTGTGAGCCAGTGGAAGGGGGCTTGCTGCCCTTGGCCGACCACAGCTGGTGAAGTCCCTTCATCGCTGTTATGAAGTTGCGTCAGTCCTCATGTGCGAAATTGATCTCCAGATCAGATTCTGCAGTCATTTGGGGCTCTGACAGCTTCAAATCAGTTACCAGGCGAGAAAGAAACATACAGACAAAGGAGACAAAGGATTCTGATGCTGTGTGGAGGTGGGGGAAGAGGAAAGCGAAAAGGCGCTACCCGAAGCTACTCAGACGCGCCTTCGACAGCAACAAGAGACCCAGTCTCCTCAAGACACAATGTCGATTCCATGATAGAGGCCAACTTTCCGGCAGCGAGCTCTATATTCTTTCTACTACACAAAGAAAGTCCAACGAACATATCGAAAACACCACAATGGGATGTCTCCAGTGCCCATTCTGCCATGACTATTTTCCATAGAACTCGACAATATCCCGTCTCTCATTGGGCATGATGCGGATATCTCGGGTTGGCTTAGATGGAGAAGATGCCCGAAGTATAAGCGGCGCCGACGTGAACTTCAATGTCACGCAGGCCAAAGATATGTTGAGGGTCGTGGAAAGAAAGGCGTCGCCTCAGAAAGCAGGAGTTGACGCGAACAAAAACTTTTTGGTTTCAGGTCCTACCTCTCACTAAGCCATAGATTACATCCTCAAGACCACGCGGGTCTATCACACCCGTTTCGGTGGCTCGGCGTCCCCCTGGCGTCCCCTCTTCCTCTTTCCCGAAGCTGGCCCACTTGCATGCACACTCTCCCGCACAAGGCCACCAGTTCCGTCATCATGCCATTCACTAATCTCCCATTCGATAGAGGTCGATTGGTCTTCACTAACACCCATACCCCGCCGTGCACGCATCAAGCGACCCAGGCGACTTCCTTCGATCATCTCCTCAAACCACGGGATACCACCCGCAGTACCACGCCGGAAGCTCCGTGAGATATTTGAGTCACGGTTAGATGGAACAACTATGCCAGATGCTGCGAGCTCTGACCCAGGTGCAAGGACAGAGGAAATCGCACGTTCGGCCTTGGAGTCCTCTTCATCAGAGTCCTCCGGGAGCAGCTCCAGGTCTTCTAGGGCACGCTGATCCTCGCCGAACAAACTGCCGATTGTCACCGACATAAAGTTAGCTTCATCACTGGGCTCTTCAGTCCAGAATGTCAATGGGGTCCCACAGAATCCGCAGAAAACGCGCCGAGTCTGGGGCGCATGGCGGGGCGTGAATGTGCGACGGATAGAAGAGTGAGTTTCGTCTGGAAAGAACGATTGAGTGTGCGACTGATACCATTCTAGAGGCACTCGCAGCCATGCCGTGAGAGGTGTTCCATGAAATCGTCCTAAAATCACCATCAGTAAGACTCATCGGAGCTAAGGGTCCAACTATATTCACGAACGGTTGTCTCGGCTGGTGTCAAAATAGATCTGAGCGTGATCGGTCACGTCGTCGGGGATCTGGATCATGTACTCATTACGACCACATGAGCATGATCCATGCAAAGGGTCGTGGGCCATGGTGGTTCGGGGTACAACGATGAGAGCTACAGGGCTTGAGGTCGGTGGGAAGGGCGAGGGTTGGTTGGGGTTCAGCGGCGGTCAAAGAAATGGATTTTTCCTGGCTAGGGTTGAAATTGAGGAGATTTACCCTGAGAATGAGGAAATTCCACTAATCCTCAGTTTGACGAGAGGAAAAAAAGAACAAACGTAAAGCAGCAGCGTGTGCATGGTGGAGCACTTCTATGACGTTTGAAGTACGCCAAGCCCAGGTTTCCGACTCGCTTTCTCCGCATTGGCTTATCGGTCCTATCGGTTTCCTTCCTCTCCAACCCTCTCCGGCCATTCTTTTGGACCTCCGCACTGTCGCTTTCGATCACGTCTGCATCTACGCCTGGGATCTAAGCACGATACAAAAAGGCACCACTGGCACCGACGATTTCCTGCGCTCTGCGCGATCCCCCACCGCACTCCCTTTTCCTCCCATTCGTTCCCAGACTCCCAACCCCAGTGCACGATGAACACCGACGGCGACGACGACCGGTCATCATCGACCCCAACTGCCGCATCTAAGTCGGTGTCTGGCCAGGACAAAGAGAAGCCTCGCCTGACTGACCAGGAGAAGAAGAACAACCACATCGCTTCGGAGCAGAAGCGGCGGGCCGCCATTCGGGAGGGATTTGATCGTCTCACAGAATTGGTGCCTGGGCTGGAGGGACAAGGCCGCAGCGAAAGCATCGTCCTACAAAAGACGGTCGATTTCATCCACCTAAAATTGCAGGAGCGGCGAAGTCTGATCGCAGAGATTGAAAGCAAAGGCGGCCGTGTGGACGAGTCCTTCCGGCCGTCATAACATGCTGCATTGCCTTTCTTTGGCCCTTTTGCGTGACCATCACCATTTGCAACCTCCCTTATACCTGCAATTTCCCCGTTCTGATGGCTTGCGGTACCCCATGGGGTGGACCGAGGTTCCGAGGCAGCGGCTCCTATCCACCACACGAAAATGAATCATGCATCCGCTACGAGTCTCCTTCCACCGTCCTTCTCATCGCCAGCATATATTCTGATCTCTATGCGAATGATTGGGTCGCTTTCATGGTGTCCCCTGTCCGATACGTTTCCAGTCTGATCTATTCTTTGCTGCTTTCTTACTACGCACATGCCCGATCTCCCCGATGCCCGCGGCTGTATTCCCCATCCCCGCAGCCGTCTTTCCGGGGGACAAGGTTCCAATATTTTAATGGGTCTCTTGTCTTCACATGCTGCCGTCTTCTTTGTACATCTTAGCCTTTCCGCTGTTTTAGGGTTGTTTCGGGAAACCAGAATGTATGCTACGGACTCTGGCTACGGAGTCACTGGGGCGTTATGTGTACTGGTCGGCTATTTTCAATTGACTGAATCTCATTCATCACGCTTTGATTTCATTCCTTTCCCCCGCATTCAGGGGCGCTTGGGTGCAGCCTTTTCAGCCGAAGACCCATCTTTCAGTCACGTCACGTGTTGTAATTGGGCTAAGGCGCTGCTGATTGGAGGCTGAGGTGCGGGGTGGAACAGCAAGCTACAGTACAGTACTGTAGTGGTCAAGATAGGGGCTAGTAGAAAGTGGAGAATCTTTTTTTATCCAGAAAGAGAAGGCCTGCAGCATTCAGTGCCAGGTCTGCAGGCAGACTTCCTCCAAACCACCAAGGCCCCTGCGTACGTGATGCCCAGCCTACCGCTTTCTCGGACCCTTATCGCCACGACCGCTCTCCATAGTGGCTTTTACTACATCTCTTACTAACGAATATCTTTTCGTCTAGTCTCCTCGAGCACGCCTCCAACAAGCACGATAAGGGCCTCGCCGACTGCTTCCCCGGCGTTAGCGCATAAGATACCCAGCCCAGTGGATCGAAGACGAGTCTCTTTACGATATTAAGGGTTAGAATGGCTTAAGGAGTTTTGATAGAAAGCGAAACTGTCTGGGAAATACATTTGGGACTGCGGATATGCACCGTAGGCAACTACAAAGACGCGTAGTGTGGTATAGAGTAGATTTGGGGTTGGTGTGATTGCCTGTGATGAAGTTCTACGTATTCGAGTCACACATATTGTTTTGCTCTCCCATAAATGCTCACCAATTATTCTGCAGCTTTATAACGAGGGGACGAAGTTGGTCAGTCTGGTAAATTTGGACGTTTCTTGCTCAGCCACTTTATTGCGCTGTAAGTTTTCATCGTTGACGACCAGATCTGTGGCTACTCCCCCTCCTCCTCCAAAAGACAGGCCTTCACTGCAAATCACCTTGGGGGTTTTTTCTATGATTGAATGGATTTAACATTCCTTCCAGTTGCCTTTAAAACTCTTCGTTGGAATTGGCCCCTACAGCGCATCTAGTGATGATCCTTGAACCCACACTGGATCTGACGTGACCCACTGATTGATTTACCTACTCCACATCTGGCAGATGATCTTCTTTTCAAATCTGAGTATTAATATCCAAGGCGCACATATAAAATGTCTTTAAATACAAATTGTCAGTTCTGGTTGGAATTGGTGCTGTGCTATGCTTGCTCTAAGGCCTTTGTATTGCTGCCAAAATCGCCGAGAAAGCTCCAGTGTAGTTTATCCTTCATTCCTTTAGCTTTCCAATTGTTGACATTTGCCGGGAATAAATCAATCTTCCCAGTTAAGGATGCGTCATGTCCGATAATCACCAACACATTGTTATTACCATCAAACCTGCACAATTTTTGTATGGAATGTTTTGCAGCAGCTTCGTCCACGGTGGCATCTGCTGGCATTTCATAAACCGGTTGATCAAAGCATTTTTGCGGGTGGATATCAAGATAAAATGCTGCGGGACAGCTTGCCACACTTGAACAATTTTCAAAATTGAGGGGTTCGTGTTTGCTCGGTCGAAACGTTCCTGGATAATGACAAATATCGCCAGCCAAGAAAACAAATGTGTCTCTTTGGGGAAATGTCGAAGAACATCCAGACGCGGAGTTCGCTCCTGAGGTGACCCTTGCCAATGCTGCGAGATGCCCGACTGTATGACCAGGGGCATCAAGAAGAAAGAAGCTTCCATCCCCAAAATAGTCAACCGCTCGAAATCCACCAATAGTCTGAACATTGGGGCCTTCCTGGAATGATATTTCTCGTATATTACGCCCTGTCCAATCTGCATCAATGAGAGACGAGCCAGGATTGATCGGCCATCCTGGCAGATGCGTAGCCTTGAAGTCCGGCCTGACAATGATATGTGTCGTTCTAGGAAATTGGCTCAGATCGCCTAGGTGGTCGAAGTGGTGGTGGCTAAGAACAACGGCCTCGATATCCTCCGGCGATACGTCATGCTCGATAAGAATATCTGAAACGTTCTTGTCAACTCTCAAATCCCATCCTGAATCGGAGAAAAACTTCTGCACTGTTGGCGGCAGTGCCGAAAGGTCCTTTCGCAGGCCGAGATCGAAAAGAAGTTTGCGTTTGGTTGCAGTGTGTTCAATTAAAAATGATAATGATGGAATGTGCAAGGTTTCATGGTGCATGATTGACGGTGTGAGCAGATGAGAGCAGGGGAGACTCATGCGTGTACTTGGTTTTCCTTTTTAGCAATAGGCAATGGATACTGCTTGAATTTCGGCTGCAAGGTCTCCCGCGGGGACCCCGCATACCTGTCAATCACAGATACATTCACAGTTGTCGAGCCATTCGGTATTTGCAAACTCGGAGGCTCTTGTAGGTTCGTCATCTTTCTTGGTAGGTGAGTAACGCTGCTCTACCTGGCTGATCAAACTTAACAACTATCAGAGACATGAAGCGGATTTGTTTGTGACTCACTTGTGGGTACGACGCTAACGTATTTTACTAGCGAGCTGCGCACACGGGCGAGCCGCGCAGCCCAGAACACATAGTAAAAGCGATAAATTACAACATGATTTTAGGCTAGTAGAATACTAGTATAGTAAGTACTAATAGGCGATATAATCGCTAGTAGGCTTACTAAATACCTACCTAGATAGAAATACGCTAATTTCGTACGCTTAATAGGTATAGAAGATATTAAGAGACTATTAGAAGAGGTATACGTCTAGGCGAGCTAGACTATATATAGATTAGATAAAAGGTAGCTACTTACTAAAAGAGTATATCAAAATATGTAGAGTAGTAACTTGCTACTAAGAACGGGCTTATTTATCAAGTGCCTACGTTTCTTATATTTTTGTATATAATTCTAGCTTACAGAGAAACTCAGGCTTTATAACAGCCGAGTATCGGCTGTACGGACAGAAATACGTCTATACAGCCAGGGGATAGCCATTCAACAGGCCATCCCCCTGATTTTCTAATATTATCATCAATCTGATCAATTATATCATCCCATTGGACATCTCCCATACTAGCCTATACCAATAGCTCATAGTCTGTCAGTACCTACTGTAAGACTCTAGATACAGTACATGTATTCTATCAACTTCTAGCAGGCGAACGTGAAGAAACTCCATTCGCATCTACTGCTATCTAAGTCAAGGATCTAAGAACCAGAAGAAAACATTCTGAAAAACAAATATAAACCAACGCCCTGACAAAAAGCGACTGTACGTCCTTCTTTCATGAATGATGGTTCGAAAACCTCTCCTTACAACTCTCTAATGCTTTTTGTGGCATCAGCGCAACCGAGATCCTTCACCAAAGACTCGAACTCAACACACATATCGGCGATGAAGGAATGGTTGAATAGACTTGGATCATAGCGGAAGGAGGTGATCACTGCCGTACCCTGCACGCGACACTCGCTCAAGGTCGGCAACGCAGGAGCGCCAATGGGGATCGCACGCATATGTTCGGCGGCGAGGAGGGATGATTTGTCGCTAGCACCGTCATCATCCTGGAAAGGCTGGACGACTATAGGGAACGGATTGGCTGGATTCGTTGTGTTCAGTCTTGTCGCCGGGTTTGGCGTTTCTTATACCGGATACTATCTGCCGTTCATGTACTTGGGCAGCTGCGCGCTCATTGCCAGTTCAACGCTGCTGACCACTACCCATCCGGCGTCGCAGTTGGCCTCCTTGATTGGCATTGAGATCCTGATTGGTGTTGGCACGGGCCTGAGTCTCCTTGCCTGAGATAGCATGAACGCTCTCTTTTGGGGCGTCCTTTTTCAATAGACCAACGAAAACATACCGCGAGTCTTCCGCGACTTCATGAAGAGAATTGAGTTTTCTTCAATTGGCGAGGTACTGGAAAGAAGGATCTAGTGATGGCAGGTCTTGCGCGAGAGGGCAGTGTTGAGAGGTTGATGGTGGCTAGTGACTACTACAGCAGGCTAGCCGACCGCACAGAGAGGAAGAGAGAAAGAAAATTATATATATATAGAGAGAGAGAGAGCTTCCCAACCACCAAAGTAGGACGTGCGGGGTGACCGCTATGCAATCGTTGGCCGCTCGAGCACTCAGGGAAGTGGTGCCGCCGGTGCGCATACCAAGAGCTGAATTCACTGGGGTTTCGCAAGAGCAAGGGGATCTGCTCCCTCCATCGTGTCTTGACCCATCTGCTCCCACTAGATGGCTTTAATAATATTTTCCACGCTTATACCTAGGCTAGGGAGCTCCAGAGCTTTATGTGGCATGACTCATCCATTTCAAACTAGTTAACTAGGGCTCGAACTAGTTAACTATTAACTACTTGGAAACTTTTATCATATTAGAAACCAACCCCCCCCCCCCCCCCTCCCCCCCTCCTGCTCTCCTCTATGTTTGAGCGCACCATTTACCTCGCCTTCCCGACCTTCCCCAACCTTTCCTTGCTACCATGGAACACTTCCAACATACCGCCCACATCGGAACCCACTCCTTGAGCTACGCATTGCGAGGTATTCCTCGGCAGCCCGGCGCTCCGCTTGTGGTGGTTCTTACCGGTATCACCAGCAGCGCGCTAGAATGGAGCGCGGTGTGTCGACATCTCGAGAATGAGGCATCCATGCTGCTGTATGAGCGGACTGGCTACGGTCTGAGCGAAGCATGCCCTACCGCCGAGCCGGACTCACCAACAATTGTGGATGAGCTGTCTCGGCTACTCGCCGCCGCCGCCCTGTCACCCCCGTACCTCGTGGTCGGTCATTCCTGGGGCGGAATTCTCGCGCGGGAGTTTCTTGCCGCCCGCGGGCCCGAGGTGGTCTGCGGTATGGTGCTGGTGGATGCCGTACAGGAGCGGATGCTTTTCGAGACATGGCCCGATCCCTGTATCGCAGCCGTCACGACGGGGCTGGATTATATGGAAGTCGTCGGGCTGACCCGCGACTATCGACTGACGGAGGTCGAGTGGGCAGAGCTTATGGTGGAGGAAGCTAGCCCACACCACGCGCAGCAGGCCACCCGCGAGCTGCCCTATCTGCAAATCAGCCGCGCCGTCCTAGCCAAAAAAAAGCAACTCCTCCCTGGGCGAGACCTCCTCCGCGGCCAGCCGCTCAGTGTGCTCCGTGGCAATTCGCATCGGGACCAGGAGCGGATGTACCACCGGGGTGTGGCAGAAGGGTTGGGAACTGAAGCCGAGCGAGCGGCCTTCCGTCACTATCTGGAGCGCTGGGACGCTAGTGAGGAGGCCTTTCAGCGCGAGCTCCTGAATCTGTCGAGTAACGCGCGCTTCTCCACCGAGACTCAAAGTGGCCATAATATTCAGATCACAGAGCCAGAACGCGTCGCTGATGAGATACGCTGGGTCCTACAGAGGACTTCATCCGTTTCCAGAAAATCGCCATCTGATCATCAACTAGCGACCTAACGGTTACTGGACACCATCCAGGACACAGATTTTGGCAGTGCAAAATGTAGTGAATGAACTGCCTTATGAGCCAATTCAGGAGCTCAGCAATCTCTGGATTCGTCGCATTGTTCTCTTACACATATATAGATCCTACCAAGCACCCCTATACTGTTGACGTCAAAATGACCGCTTGGGACGTCTCATCAAAAGCCATGTTCGATACTGAAAAACGTTATGCTATGGAATATTACATCGTATGCTTCTGAAGCCTCCTAGTTTCGTATCCGCTATTCAACCCTACGCGTCCATTGAAGATTAATGATCTGTGTCCGAAGCAAGACGAAACCCATGTAAGTAACGTCTCCACATTGGAACAGTCTGACTCTTTTCCTCTTCTCTCTTGGTTGCCAATTTCTTTGATTCTTTCCGCGGTGGTGCCTTGGGTTTGCCTGCTGGAAAGAGTCGGTAGAAGATGGGCTCCACCCATGGTGGAAGGTGACAATATCTTCCTCCTAGGTCTCTATGTGGCTGGATTTCTTCAGCTATCAAGTTTTCACGGGAGTGGGAATGAGGATCTCGCATGACACGCCAGCTGCTGGTAAATGTGTCCACTATCCTCTCTGTATCATAGCCACAACTGGCACCGCAGGCTGTGACTGTGAGGTCTTTGAAGAGAGGTGATCCTGGGAGCTTGGCGTCGGAAATAGCTTTGAAAACGGCACAGGCAAGTTTCTCATCGATGACCGAGTCAACTATCAACCTTTGCACATGGCCATTACGGAGCCGAACATGCCGGCTGGCGGCTTTGAAAATTTGATTCTCGAACTCGTCAAACGATGAGATGCCGGGTAACTCATTATTCTTGAAGCTGAAGTTTCTCGCTGATGAAGTAATGGCCTCCCTAGGTCCATGAAGTAGACCCGTAGGGGTGACTTCATAAACAAGATCAAGGTATTTGAGATTCTGCAATGACCCTAGAGCCGCATACGACTCAAGTTCCTCGAAGCCACCTTGCGTGCGATTGATAGTGATTGCCAGATCTTCTAGCAAGGGACACTGCTCGCCCATTCGGCGGATTTCTTTTTCGTTCAAGGACTGCCAGCTTGAGGGCTCTGTAAGCCTAAGCTTGCACAAGTGAGGTCCATGATAGCTGATGAGAGACTCAATACTGATCAGCGCGTGCCAACCCTGCAGTTCGAGCTCATGTAAGGGTGGCAAGCTTAGTAGAAATGCACTTGCAGCTCGATAGAACTCCACCGTCCGAGACTGAATATAATAATAGCCAATGTTCAAAGATAAGCATCTCAAGGATGAAAAGGAGAGCTTCATCGCAATCCAAAAATTGAACGCCTTGTTGTCATTTAATTCTCCGTGAATCTTAAAACTACTTACTTAGATCGTTCCGCTTTGCGGGATAAGCACGGACCGCCACGACTCTCTCTCTCGCCGCAGGAGGCAGACCTGAAGACGTCACCGAGCCCTTTCAACTTATATTGGAGGCACTAGCACATCTTGGACGCGACAATCCGAAGCTCGCTTTTCAAGCGGCTCAAGTTGTGGGGCTTTATCGATGTCTATGGGAGCCGCGTGTGTCTAAGCATCTAGATGGTGAGAAACTAGATCAAATCAATCAAATTTGGAGGGTGGCTACCTTCCATCTGTAATTTGCCCGGGGATTCTGCACCTTCCTCTGAGAACGGTCGGGCACGCAGACCAGGTGAGAGAAATCATTTCCTACTAGGGGACCTTCTCGATGGATACGGTGAACATCGTAATTGGTACTGCGGTCGACCGACAAGAAGACATCACTGAGGTCGGCCAAGGGACTGAGCAGGAACACACATGCCGTTATGACAGGCGAGAGTTTAGCGCTATGGAGGTTGATTGTGACTCTTTGCGCCGCGGCCGGAGTGGGATCTGACATCTGCTTTCAGTTGGCTGCCATGATGGACGCGAGAAATTGATTCTCATTCCAGAACGGCACAGCTAACACTTTCCCATAGTACCTTTTGTGAAACATGGGAAGACAATCCCCGGGAGCCAACACTTTATATTAAGGTACGAGACCGACGATTGTTCGTCGGCCTCGCCGAGGCTTCAGTCATGTCTATCAGACATGACTTTGGATCATCGCGGTGCTGGCCTGGCTGGAGTCCAGCCTAGCCTTCCATACTCTCCAGGCAAATCTGGCCTCCCACCATCTGCGCCACGTTGGCCCATAACGGCGGAATAATTGCCGAAGATAGGGAAGACAGCCGCATAGGATCATAAAGTTGGCCTCTATATTGCTGTAATTATCTCATCGTTAATCAACTTTCTCTCATAGACCATGGAATGGTGCTGGGCGTACATCAATGTGGTGGCAAGAGCAATCCTGTACGAGAAATCCGTTGAAATAACCAGCGGCCATAGAGTAGCTAACCGCAGGATACTCATGACAACGGTTCTTCGGAATATTGGAGTCAGCCGTGTGGTAGATAAAGAGAGAAGTAAGGTTTCTCACAGGCCACCAATGCCCAATACGATCGTTGCGCCAATTTTCTCAGCAAACCGCATGTGAAGTGGCCATATAATGCGTATAGGAATCATAATCAAAGCTATATCGCTGGCAGTATTCGTAGCAGCGGTTGCCATGTAAAGAGCAGGTTGATCGATGCAAGACCCGCTTGTTCGTGGAATGTACGGGTTCCAGGCTTTGTCAAGAGGGCTGCATGCGAATATAAGCGCCAGGGTAAGCGCTATGCTATATCCAACAATCACAAATCCGAAAAGGTACAGCGTATATACCCAGCCTCGCACTGACTTGAGAAGTCTGTAGTATAGCATAAGCAAGGCGAGCTTTGCGAATGCGAGACAAGGGATATACATAACCGAGACAGCTATAACAACCTAATAGGCGTCTGAATATCAGCTTAGAAAACTTTATAAAGCGTATAGAGAAACACCTTCAGCAAAGTCGCGATAGTGGACAACGATAATGTCGAATTATGTAATCCAACACCAGCATGGGTAAATGAATCTAAATAGGACTCGTCAGCGGAGCTCCTCAAAACACTAAAAGAACCCAAAAAGAGTAGTATATGTATACTCACAGAGGCTCGTTGCTTGAACGCCAACAGATAGGACCTTTCATGTTCAGGCAGGTAAGTCATTGGGGCCACAATATTGGGATCGAGATATTTACCCAGGCGAGAATAATCAAGACTAGGTAATAAAGTGTGTCAACCAATAGTCGGAAGCTATTAGAAGGAGGCATCCTACCATCATCCCACCAGAAGTTCTTCATGACAGAGCTCTTAGTATAGACCCGCATCATGAGGGAGCTGGTGCTGCACGCTAGTCCGACCCCAACGATGATTCGATTCGCCTTTTCCAGCCATGGCGTTGAGCTCATGGATTTCACCGGTGCCGTAAGGACCGTTACCATATGGGGGACGGTCGTACAGTAGAGGATTTGGCTACGTGTTGAGCTCGATGGTCAGTCTAATAAGGTTGGAATTTTCATGAGTCCTGTAAATGTATATGATATCATCGTTCATTTTCCGCATTGGGCAATCGCCCGCTGCCAAGGTTCGATCTGAATCTTGACTGTGAATACCGGTGCTCATGACTAAGCCCGTCACAAGAGCCAAGTTAGTACATAAAATGTCGAGATATGCGAGAAAACGGGGAGGAACAACATGATTGACTTGGTGCTACCAAGGACAACCAAAATGCAAAATTGGTTGCCCTTCCAGCCCCGGCAGACCCCGAAAGACGGTAATTTCTAATGGATTTTCTTCTCCCATATTTTTTCAACAGTGCAATATATACTCCTATCCCTACCAAAAACCATCCTCGTACAAAAGCTGCGCTGCGCCCCCACCAATCAGGAATAGACCGCATCGACATAGCGCGTCCGAGCAGCGACCAGCCCAGAGAGCCTCTGACTCAAGACCCCCTCGCCCGCGTTCAAAACTCGACCTACCACCCACCACTCATACAGACATAATGTCGGACTCAAAAGAAGCCCTCCTGGGTAACGAAGACCCAATCGGACCTCCGCCCGCCTACGACCTGCCAAAGCCTGCACGCGGGGCAGCCCTTCCCCGCCCGCCGCCGCTCACACTGCCCGTGCTCAACAACCTCCGCGACAAGCGCGTAATCCTGGCCTCGCAGTCCCCTCGCAGACGCCAAATCATCGCCTACCTAGGCCTACCCAATATCGAAATCATCCCGTCCAATGCAGATGAGAACCTGCCGAAGACGCTCACCCCGTTCGAGTATGTTCTCGGTACGGCGACCATGAAGGCGCGGGCCGTCTACGAGAAGGAGATCCACAACGAGGAGTTGGGCGAGCCGGCGCTGATCTTGGCCGCGGATACGATCGTCGTCGACGTCGTCAATGAGAGTATTCTGGAGAAGCCGCGCTCCGAGGCGCATCATGTGTCTATGCTGCGGACGCTAAGGGATGGGCGCGATCACAAGGTTTACACGGCGCTTGTCGCGATGGCTCCGCTGGCGAGTGCCAGGCAGCCCGGGTATGCTATGGAGACGGTGGTGGAGGAGACCAATGTGCGGTTTGACGGGGCTGTCACAGATGAATTGATCCTGGCGTATGTGCGCACGCGCGAGGGCGCGGATAAGGCTGGAGGGTACGGACTACAGGGACTGGGATCGATTTTGGTGGAGAAAATTGAGGGCACCGCGGATAATGTCATTGGGATGCCCCTCAAGGCGACGCTGAAGCTGATTGAGGCGGTGATGGCGAAGGCGGATGATGAGGACCGTCTGCCGGATGACCCGGTGCTAGAGGAGGGAGATGAGGACGAAGATGTGGAATGAACGAGGCCCTGGGGAAAAACAAACACGACCTATATTTCACGAGCCCTGGAATGGCCCTCTTCATGGTCAGAGCGAGTTACTTGCATTTTCACCTTTCTGGATAGATCAAAAATTCTTATAGGCAACAGACTAGTGATGTCTGTCGACTGGTACATAGGTTTATATTTCCTTACTCCAAAGACCGTGGCTAAGGGAATAATTCAGCGCCGATAGAGTGTCGGGCAAGACAAATGAAAAAAAAGCTTTCGACATATACATAGGCGGAACGCCCGGCCTGAAACAAAAGAAAACGACCAAACAACCCTTTTCAAATGACGACTTCTCTCTATGCGTTCCAGATACGGCGTAGGGCCTCGGTGATACCCACGTCGTTTGTCTCAAACTCGTACAAGCCGACCGCGGTGGTGAGGGTGAAGGCGCGCAGGAGCCAGTTGCACAGCGCGTTGAACTTGGGCACACGCTGGGGGCGGAAGTAGTCGATGATGGCGGCCCTGGGCGGAAAAGTCAGAAGAGGTATAGATATAGGGCCCGAGGAAAGCAGAAGGCTTACTGGAAACCAATGTGCGAGTGAGCAACCAGCAGCGAGCAGAGGATTGCGTCCATGACGGGGTTGAGGGAGCCGGCGGCGAAGGGAGCGATGCTGAGGGGGATCAGACCGACACAGACAGCTCTGAAGACACACTTTTTAGCACTGTATCCGTTAGAATTGTTGAAGTTGCATGTCGAACCTTTCGAAAGTCCAGTGGTAGCTGCCCTCAACGGGGTGAGGTGCGGGAACGGGAACGGGGTCGTTCACTGTCGCAGTCAATTAGTATGGGTCACAATGGCCGGCCACTCCCTCCATCTCCTCTAGGAATCCAAAGTATGCCCATAAGAGCAACGTAGGGTATATATTAAGCGGATCCGGGGTAGGGAAAGGCGAGGCAAAAATGGTCGAACGATTCGGATATTCAAGACATACTGGTTCCTTGAATCGACTCTGTGCATCGGACAATCATTAGCACTTGTATTCAATAGCCCCAGATTTCCCATACAATCAGAAGCCCAAAGCTTCCAACCGAGACAGGAGGCTCTACTCACGAGGCTCGGGGGGCAGGATCTGCTTCCGAGCGGAAGCGTGGAAAGCGACGACCTGCGACACGCCGACATTCTGGCGCAGGAGTGGCGACCGAGAGGTCGCAAGGGCCTGCCGGAGCAGCGATGGGCGCGCGAACGAAGCCATTGTGACGGGTTGAAGACAGGGAAGGACGAAGAGGTTCAACTCGCACAAGGACGAGGTTGAGGACGAACCTCGGGAGTCCGTCTCGGTATGTCATCCTATTGCGGGTCAGGTGATTGGTCGACGGGTTTCCGCCCAGCCGAAATTGGCCGATGCGGGCAACTTAAATGTTTAGCCCGGCTATACCTCTGGCCGCTGGTTGAACTACGAAAACAAATCATGCAGGATCGCATTCATATTGTTCTGTTGTGCTTTCGGTTACTTTTCCAGTTTGAGGAGATCATTGGTCTGATATATTATTGGAATTATACACCGGATAGCTAGTAGCTACCTGCTTCGTTACATTCCCAGGTCGTGATAACCGAGGCCTCACAAGAGTATACTTAATCCCAATACTCTTGACGGGCATCTCGTCATTTCAATTTAGTTTCATATCTCTACCCCCGGTTCAAATTCGGACACAGCCCATTAGAACTTCAGCACGGCCTTGCCCTTGTTCTTGCCGTAGAAGATGCCAACCAGACCTTCGGCAGCGTTATCCACGCCAACAGTCTCGTGGGTAAGCGCCTTGAATGAGCCATCCTTGATCCACTTTTGCACGCGCTCCTGGTGCTCCTTGGCATATTTATCGCCCATCCCGGGATCGCTAACGATGAAGCCGCGCATCGTCACACGCTTGACGAGGACGTTGTGGATGTTCTTAATGGGGTAGGGAGCGGAGTTGTACTGCGAGATCAGACCGCAGACGACGACACGGCCAAAGTTGTTCATCGCGTCCAGAGCAGCCTCGAGGTGCTCACCGCCGACGTTCTCGTAGTAAATATCCACGCCCTCGGGGGCAAGACGGGCTAGCGCATCGGCGGGTTTCTCGTTCTTGTAGTTAAAGCCGCCATCGAAGCCAAGCTCCTTGGTGATGTACTCGAGCTTCTCGTCGGAGCCGACGGAACCGATCACGCGCAGACCCTCGTGCTTAGCAAGCTGGCCGACGAGCTGGCCGACGGCACCGCTGGCAGCGGAGACGAAGATGGTTTCGCCCTTCTTGGGCTTGCCGATCTCATACAGCGAGGAGTATGCGGTTAGACCGGGCATACCGAGAGCACCGAGGAACACACGGATGTCCTCAATGCCCAGAGGGTTGTCGAGCTTGCGGATGCGCACGAGCTGCTTGCCGTCCAGCGCGATGTACTCCTGGATGGGCACTTGGCCGATCACCAGCTCACCCTCCTTGTAGAGGGCGTTATCGGAGCGGATGACTTTGGCGATGCTGGCGCTCTCGATGGGCTTGTTGAGATCGAAAGCCGGGGCGTAGGACTTGACCTCAGCGGAGCGCATGCGACCGCGCATGTAAGGGTCGAAGCTGGTGTAAAGCGACTGGAGGACAACACCGTCGGCGGGAGCGGCAACACTGGCGTCATAGGCGACGGGCTCCACCGTCAGGTCCTCGCCGGGGACGGGATATCCCTGGGGGACCTTCTTGAAGATGAGGGCCTTGTTGGACATGATGTCAACTGTATGTCAGGCGGTCGGCTATGTAGGAGAGCAGGTAAAATGAATTGGAGGGTTGGTGGGGTGGTGAGGTGGAAGGATTCGAAGTTGGGCGACGTGAATACTGGCCGTGCTACCAGAGCTTTTATAGCTAAAAACTTGTACGACAGTCAAGCGGGGCAGGGAGGGGACCGAGGCCGAAGTGCAGAGCTGCTCATAATTATAAAGCAAATCGCCGTTTGCCGATGGGTCCCGGAGAAGCTTCTCGAGACGGGGTATAGTCCACCCATGTATGTACTCCGTTCGGAGTACCAACCAGGTGTTGACTCCTTCAAGGTGCTGACGGCTCCACTTCCCTGCTGGGACCATCCGCCACCGTATACATGACGATGATTCGCAAGGATGATAATGTTGCGCGTAACGGTTGCCGAAAGTAGACTTGGTCCTAACAAAACATTCCGAGGTCCAACTCAACCAGCGAGCTCTGAACTCGCCAGCGCCCGCGGAGACTTTTGCGACGGTGCCCGCGACGGTGCCCACCTTTGACGCCCCGGGTGGAGCTCGGCTGAACTGAAGACTCGCCAGGCCGACGGGCAATGACCATTCTAGGCAATTGGACCGCTCTGAATGCAACCCGCCCTGATTGCAGTGATTGCGCAATGAATAATCCGAAAAAGCGCTCGATTTCTCAGCACGGAGGAGGTTACCAGTTCGGGTGGAGCCAGCGGCGGTGGAGGGGCTTGTTGCATCAACTTTGCAGGGATTGAAAGGGTCGCAGAGATCCGCAGATCTCGCTTAGTCGGGAATTTGGGCCTTGGCCCTTTGATTGGCCCTTTAGGCGCGATTCATTGAATTACAGCGTGCATTGTACGCAGTTATTCGTCTCAATGAATGCACAGCTTCCCTTCTCGGCGTGCGACCTCCAATTTTCATGACTTCATCGACGGGATGGCCGAATGGGCCCACACGGCAGGAAGTGAGGTATGCATTAGTCATTGCTTGCCTGGCAAAAGAGGTATAACTAGAGATGGTATCAAACATTAAACTATCCATTATTTCAGAGCACGCTCACACACCAGAGCGCTGATACCCCTGATACCCCTTATCCCCCTCCGACGACCCTCCAGGTATCCTCTAAGTCTTGCCGGCCAGGGCCTGCGCTGCTTTGGACACAAAATAATCACGGCCCTTGGCCAACTTCACAATGAAGCTGAACGGGGTCATCCCGAACATCTGACCGGTGCCGCCAGTCTCACCAATGGGAACTGCCATCATGACGCTATTACCCTGTTCGTAGGCTTTGTGATCGCCCTTGCCCAAGATATCGGCCTTGATGTTCGCAGCCGCAATCTTGGCCTGTTCCGTGGCTTTGAAGCTGAGACGCATGGTGTTAGTGTTGATATCACCGACGGCGTAAATAGGCAGAGCCGAGCCGCCGGAGGCTTGCACACGCAGCTCCTTGTTGACCTTGACCCAGCCATCTGCGTCGAGAAATTCCGCGGGAATGAAGCTGCTGTTGGGGATGGCCCCCGTCGTCGGGATATACAGGTCGGCAAGCACCTTGTTTCCGTTGTCAAGAGAGACGGTCCAGGACTTCGTTCCATCGGTCGAGGCTGCAGCCCCAGTCACCTTCGCGGATGTGATGATCTTGACGTTCTTCTGCTTCAGCAACTTCTCGCCTGCATAGCTGCCAGAGGGCTTGAGCATGGGAAGCACCCGGTCCGCAGAAGAGATCAAGGTGATAGTCGCCTTGCTGCCAAGCTCCTCAGCGAGCTCACCTGCTAACTCGACACCAACCGGCCCTGCACCGCCAATGACAATCTCCTTGGCATTGGCGATCTGCTGCTGGGCGGCCTCGACAATCTCTTTGATATCATCCCGATTAGACGGCTTGAAGGGGACCGAAATGCCGGTGACGGCGCCAGTGCTTGACGGGTTGGTGCTTCCGGATGCGATCACGAGATGGTCGTATGGCAGAGACTTCGAGTCCGCGCTGCCATTGGGGGTGATAGACACGCTCTTTGCAGCAACATCAATGGCAGTCGCAATTCCAGCGATGAATTCGAACGTATCGGCCGGGTATTGGACGAAAGCGTCTTTAATGGGCAGCAAATACTGCTCCGGCTTGAAAGCCTTCGGCTTCGCGACGATGCGTGGCGCGGCAATGTTCCAATAAAACGTCTGGGAAGGGTTCACTAGTACAACCTTGGTGTTGGGAACCCCTTGCAGCAAGGAGTGGGCAATGCTGACGCCGGCACATCCAGCCCCCACAATCACAACGTTGATAGGAGCCATTATGTTAACAAACAGACAGATGCTGCGAGGGGATGAAAGTGTACGGAGGAGAATTAGATGGAGCACATTTCGGCAGGGGAGACCGCTGGTCTTATAGGATTAGGGTCGGGCCAGGATTCGACATGTTCGGCTCCTTTCTAGCCTCCCACTCTGCAGCAATGTCGGCCATCTGCCAATATTGAAATTGACGCCCGCAGATCTGTGCCATGGCCACTGCTCGAGGGATCGATGTGTCAGCGCCACCGTGCAAACAAGCCGTGCTTAGCAATCTCCCAAACTTTCACTGACTAACTATTTTCTTCTCATTAACTTTGACCGGGCGGATCTACAGTAGAATGCCGGTTCCGCTGACTCCGCACTTCTTTGAAGCGGCCAGAGTCCGATTCAGTGGTTCGACTTTGCGTGAAAAGAATCGAAGGTCCGGAATGGAATGGTTGATGCGGGCTCTCTCGTACATCACGCATTGCTGGCAGGCTATCGAACCCACATCAGAAAGGGGGGCGAAACATCCGCCGGACAGTGGACATAACACTGATGCCTCAGGCAAGACCCACCAGAATCTGGGTCCTTATCGATAAGCATCATGTGACATAAATTTTCGTTTTACCTTTTCCTGTCGCGCGCCGAGTGCCACGCCGACTCCTAATCACGTCCCCTTCATCAACATTTTTTTCATCATGCTTGGTGCTGTTCGCCGTTTCGGTGTCTCTCAGGCTCTGCGGGCATCTGCCCCACGCTCTCTGTCTGCGCGATGGGCTCCCCAATTGCTCAAGTGGCAGGCTCCGACCAACCGGGTTCCTGTCCTGGCCAAATCTCTTCACACCTCATTCCCTGCGCTGAACGCAGCCTCTGCCGAGGCAGCTGCGCAGGAAAAGGAGTTGTTTGAATCTGAATTGATCACTGAGTTTGCGGATCTCCAGGAAAAGGGGCTGATTGATCCCTCGATCATTCGGAACATCACTCACCCCGGCCGCATGGGCTTGAAGACCATGACCGAGGTGCAAAGCCAGACGATCAGCCAAATGCTCGGTGGCGATGATGTGTGAGTAAATCCGTGCATTTTATTGTTTCTCAAATTCAGGATCTTCTAACACGTTACCTCCAGTCTGGCTCAGGCAAAGACCGGAACCGGTAAAACCCTCGCCTTCCTCGTCCCTACCATGCAGAACATTCTTAGCGATCCTACTCTCACCCGATCCAAGCCCCAAGGACGCCATCGCTCCGCTGGATCGTCCGATATTCGGGCGCTGATCATCTCACCCACCCGTGAGCTTGCCGAGCAGATCGCCGCCGAGGCCATCAAAGTTGCGGCCGGCACAGGTCTTGTGGTGCAGACTGCCGTGGGTGGCACACACAAGAGATCCGGATTGATGCGGATCCAGCGCGATGGCTGCCATCTGCTGGTCGGTACCCCCGGCCGTATCAAGGATATCCTCTCAGACCCCTCCAGCGGCGTCTCCGCCCCCAAGCTGAACACCCTGATTCTGGATGAGGCTGATCGTCTCCTGGATCAAGGGTTCTCGGCAGAGATCAATGAGATCAAGGATCTCCTCCCGGACCCGTCCAAGGTCGATCGTCAGACCCTCATGCTTTCTGCCACTGTCCCTAAGGAGGTGATGACGATGGTGAAGCGCACCATGAAGCCGGGCTTCAAATTTGTTAAGACGCTCCGTGATGATGAGGTTCCCACCCACATGAGAGTCCCTCAGAAGACCGTCTTCCTGCACGGATATGAGAACGCTCTGCCGGCCGTTCTTGAGCTAGCCAAGAGCCACCAGGCTCGTCAGGCCGAGGACCAAAACCTGCGGCCGTTCAAGGCGATTGTCTACTTCAATTCGACCAGCGAAGTCAATCTTAGTGCCGAGGCTTTCATGGTTCTCCGCAACATGCGTGGCGATGCACGGGGCCCAGCCCCTCTGGGTCGCATGCGTGTCCACCAAATCCACTCTCGTCTCACGCAAGCTGCGCGGACTAATAGCGCTAACAACTTCCGCCGCGCCGAGGAAGCCATTCTCTTCTCGTCGGACGTCACATCTCGTGGCATGGATTTCCCTGAGGTCACTCATGTCATCCAGGTGGGCCCTCCCCGTGATCGGGAGACTTATATTCACCGCATTGGCCGCACTGGTCGTGCCGGCAAGGAGGGCGAAGGCTGGTTGTTCCTGCATGATGGCGAATACGAGTTCTTCCAAAATAAGCTGGGCGATCTGCCCCTCACCGAGGATACGACTCTTTCTACGGCCTCGCTGAACATGGCCCGGGACCTGGACACGGCCTCCCCAGCGACGGCTGAGACCATCACACAGATTAAGGATGCGATGAACGAGGTCTCGCCGATTATGAAGGAGACCACGTACCGGTCCCAATTAGGTACCATGAGCCAAAGCTTTACCAAGCGACGAAATGCCATTCTAGCCCTCAATAGCCTAGCCATTCACGGTTACGGTTTGCCCGAGCCACCATCCGTCAAGGCTAGCATTGCCCGCAACCTTGGCCTGGACCGCATCAAGGAGTTAAAACTTGAGGAGGGTGGCCCTCGTCGCCGTGCCATTGACCCCTTCGACGCTGGAAGACGTGGCCGCGGCTCCGAGGACTTCAGCTTTGAGGATCGTCGATCCAACCGCGGCAGATCCCCCCACGGCAGATCCGGTCACTCGAGTGAGGGCCGCCCCTCGAGCCGCACTGGCAGCCTCTACGGTGCTCGCTCCCGCTATTAGTCCATCACGGGCTCAGCGGGGCGACTGAAAAAAAAGTTGCTGTCCATCTGAGGGTTGTCTTTGCCGCATTCCTGGCGAAAGAAGGAAATCGATAGAGCTATACCATCCTTGCATCGGGCGGCGTTCTTTGTCTTCGGATTCTTGGCATCTATGTACTTATACTCCCCTTTCTCTGGTGTTCTTTTTGACTTCTCTCCTCTTGTTTTATATACTGTACTTTGTGGAAAATATTGCAAGTTTTAATTCACAACTATTTCATGCCATACGAAACATCAAGCACTGAAAAGACTGCCCTCAAGGTGTACCTAGAAGTAGAATCGCTGGTCAGCTTCGACGCTATGAGAGGATTTTTGGTCGGTTTTGGTTGTCTTCTTGTGGTCCCTTCTACTATCTTAAACTTCTTTCCAATTAATTTTGTGGTGAAATTATGATATCACGTCACTTGCATTATTTTCTAGGACTACTAGCCCTTTACCTAATACTCCAAGATCCCAGCATAGAAATTCACTCTAGTCTAGTAGTATGTAGCCTGGCACCTCGTAAGTCAAGCCGGGGTTCCACAGATGCAGGTGTTCTCTAACATGTCCAATTTTGAGGGGATATAAGTAACACGTCACTCGGGGGAAAAAGAGGAAGAAACAAAAAAGGTCGAAACCGTGTATGATTTAGTCACGAATCCCAATAAACTGCAGTACGAAAGAAAAGAACAACCAGGAAAGAAAGTAAGGCACCTTGAGACGTCTACCACGGGCAGATACTTACAATAAACTACGCCGAGTCATCAACATACCCTTTAATCGCGCGCAATCATGTGTTCCCGGGCAGGGCCGGTACCGATCCACTTGATGGGGACGCCACCGATCTCGCGCTCAATGAACTCGATGTAGGAGCGGGCGTTGGCAGGCAGGTCCTCGTAGCGGGTGACACCCATGGTGTTGGTCTTCCAGCCGGGCAGAGTGACGTACTCAACCTTGATCTTCTCGACAACGTTGGGGTCGGCAGGGAACGTGCCGGTGGTGCGCTTTCCATCGGGCAGGATGTAAGCGACACCGACCTTGATCTCGTCAAAGTCGTCCAGAACATCGAGCTTGGTCAGGTTCAGCGCGGTGTAGTGGTTAATGGCGTGCGAGTAGCGGCACAGGACAAGGTCGAGCCAGCCACAGCGGCGGCGACGGCCGGTGGTAACACCGAACTCACGGCCGACCCTCTGAAGCTTCTCGCCGTCCTCGTTGAGCTGCTCGCTGGGGAAGGGACCGGAGCCGACACGGGTGGTGTAAGCCTTCACAACACCAATGACGGACTTGATGCTGGCCGGGTTAAGGGCAAGGGCCTGCACGGCACCACCAAGCCCCGTTGACGAGGAGGTCACGAAGGGGTATGTGCCGTGGTCCAGGTCCAGCATCAGGGCGTTAGCACCCTCGACCAAGGTGTTCGGAGAGTTCTTGTGCTCCTGCAGGAACTCGAGCTGATCAACGATGTAAGGCTTGAGCATGGTGCGGTATTCCTGTACGCGGGTGTGTCAGTCTACTTTCTAGTACGCTAATCCCAAGTTTCTTTCCCCGTCGCCAGACATACCTTGAACCGAGCAATCTCCTCCTCGACATCATAGGCAATGTCACCGAAACGTGCGCGGTACGCAATGTCCAAGGTGCGCAACTTCCGCTCGAAGGTCTCTTCATCCAGAATCTCGCCGACACGCACACCACGGCGCGCAGCCTTGTCACTGTAGCAGGGACCAATGCCCTTGCCGGTGGTGCCAACCTTGCGGCCACCGAGACCGGCCTCCTCCAGGCCATCGACAACGGAGTGCAGGTCGAAGCAGACGTGCGCGCGGTCGGAGACGAAGATGCGCTTGCTGGCGGACGACAGACCCTTCTCCGAGATGGCCTTCAGCTCCTTGAAAAAGCTAGGGACGTGGAAGACGGTGCCGGCGCCGATCAGGTTGATACACGAGGGCGAGACCAGGCCGGAGGGCAGGATGTGGAAGTCGTAGGTGACATTTTCGTGGACGATAGTGTGGCCGGCGTCTAATCCGATTGATCGCACGAGGCGGGATGGTCAGTCAATTTGGAACTTGGTCCGCAATCTTCCCGGAATGCGCTGCGCCTGTGAAACAGTAGCAATCCATGGAGCACGTACTGTGGCCACCAGCTGCACGGCAGCAAAGCGTCGCCTGCTGCGACAGCATGTCTGTGATCTTTCCCTTCCCTGTACATCCCGCATCAGCGCTACGCTTTTTTTCCACTTCCAGGTCGTGCCCGGGTAAAGCCCACCCTCATCTCCCCATTGACTGCCTAAAACGATGGAGACCATAGTGTATTCGCACGGTCGGACGGTCGGGAGAGTTATCAGTCGCAATGCTCGGAGTCTGTGTCGAATGGGCGATCAATTGGTTCTAGCGGCGGGTGTTTGGAGAAGAGAACTAAGTCCGGCTTCGGATGGCGGGGCAAAAGGTCTGGCACGGGTCAGTCTCGGTGTGCATTGGGCGGCGCAATCAGCGCCGACCGGGGACAATGAACATACCAATCGTCCTTGAAAGATGATTTGGGGGATTAAAGGAGAAGATGCGAGGAATTGACGCTGTTATTGAGTGACTCACGACGGCGACAGTATTTTTTTTCCCGCAGTCACGGTGTAACTTTGGTATCCGCGGTACACTTCGGCGGGGTCGTCGCCTGATGCCTTGGTGCCCCAGGCCTTTAGGGCAGGGTTTTTTCGTTGAAGTATGGACGAATGGAACATTCTAAAGAACAGTAGATCTACGGTACCACAATGGAAGGATTGATCCCGAATTAGATCTATCAGCTGCAAAGCAACTCCAGGGTATTTCACCAAACAAGAAACTATGCCCTCACACGCAAGCGACAAGAATGGCGCTGCAAAGATAACACCGCAACTTAAGACCTCCTCTCTACCGATGCCATGTCCACTGCAACCAATGCAAACACAGTCAAGTCCTCCGTAAATCACTCCGTGTGTCCAAATAACACCAAAAAAAAAAGGTAAATCAATTAGCCTCCTCATACCACCTTGCCCCCGTTGCGGATCCATTCCCGTATCCTCCCGAGGTCAAGAATACACTCGCGGTGCATCTCACAGGCCACCTCCCAGTGCTTGCGCACCTGGATATCCTCTTCGATTCCCCGAAGGTAAGCACTGAATCCACCCTTGCCGGTGCCCGGCTCAAGATCGTCGAGCTCATTGAGCTCAGCATCATCTCGGGGCCTGCTGTTATCGTCATCCCCATCTTCACCAACCCCATTCATCTTCAAACGGGCCGTATCGCCAACGGCACTAATCCAGCCGGGCGCAAGCCCCGTCTCGACGGCATCTTGACGGGCGTTGAAGTGGAGCAGCATGCGGCGGTTGAAGCTGTTCCAATCGTGCATGTATGTACCCATTGCGGACACGTACCAGTTCCATTTTTCGCGAGGAATGACCATCTGCTGTGATCCCAAATGGATAGGAACCAGAGCTGGTGCCCAAGGTCGCTTGGGAGGGTTCGGCAGTTTGAGATCCCGAGGACGAATGTCTTGCTTTGTGGTAGTCTGAGCCTTTGCTCTTGACTCAAACGGTAGTGTAGCGTGGACATCTCCTAGGTTTTCAATGCCGCCGCTATTGGTGCTGGTAAAGGGTGCCGTATTGCCGAAGTTCCCAAGATCAAAAAGTGGGGAGCGTACACTACTTTGAGATGTGCTACCTTCTTTGTGTTGGGGGGGCTGAGATTTCTGCTGAGCCGCCGAAGGAGCTGCGGGTGCAGCATGGGCAGATAGATCTGGGTAGTTGGTATGCCTTGGACCCCCGGCAGGAACATTCCTTGGAACAGGTGCAGCTTGCGGTGGCATGGGACGCAAGTCCTCATCAATGTCCATAGGCTCCTCATTGATAGGTTCTTGTTCGCTGGGCCCGGGAGGGCTGTTCTCGTTTACATTTGCTCGAGCTTCCTGAGCTTCGCTCGCCACCTTTGCCGGCTGCGGTGCGCTTCGAACTTTGGCGCCTGGCCGCAACGGTTTCTTGGGGCTTCGTGGTGGAGGTGTATTTCCCGGTTGGCGTGGCTGTTCCGCAGTCGTCCAGGTCATATGGTGCAGCTGCTTGGACCACTCGTCCGCAGAAAACTTGGCCTGGGCGAAGGGGGTAGGTTCTTGTTGTGGCGGTGGCTCTGAAGGCTGCCCACCAGGAACATGGCTAAATGGGTTGTTCAGACCAAAAGCCCCCGTCGAGTTTGATGACTGTGTTGAGTCAGTTCGGGTGGTGGTACGTCCGCGAACATTTGTATTTGAGACCCCCGTTTTGCGAAGAGGATCGCTGCTATCTTGGGTTTTCGCAGTGGCGCCCAGAAAATCGAATGTATGTAAATGCTCTCGCCAATCTTCTGCAGAGAACTTCTTGTGAAGATTGCTGGAGCCACGGCGGGCGGATGGTGTAGGATTCGTCGGATACTGGGTGAAGGTAGGGCTGTGGGGAAAGTATAAGCAGATGAACATGGAGACTATAAAAGTAAGACCAGCTTACCGGGAAGTAGAGACCGGCGGTTCCGGACGATATGCTCCTTTCGCAAATGTAGCGCTATCCGAATTGTGGCCTTTATTTTCGTCGCTGTCAGCAGTCAAGTCAACGTAGTCGGAGAACCGTGGAGTCCTCCGGGGTCTCTGCGCGGATGGCGACGGCCGTTGTCCTTGGGTGTCTTGCCGGGTAGAAGGTTCCTCACCAGTTCCGGGGCTGGAGTCTCCCTCTTGATAGAAGTCGGTGAACTTCTGATGCGGCCGGAGTCGACTCTTGGGTACAGCCTTGGGTTTGAAGATATTGGGGCGGCGCACTTCCTCTTCGGTGTCGTCATCTAGATCACTTGAAGTTGACGAAAAGGAGTAGGATCTGTCCCGTCTGGACTTGGGGCTGGCACTTCGATGTCTCCCTGGCTGAGCGGGGTCAGGGCTCGGTGGGTTGGTGCGTGTGTTTGAGGCGCGGAACGAAGCCGAGGGTGTACGCGTTGTGGATGACCGTCCCAGCCCAGGGCTCGCGAAGAAGGTCTTCTCGCCTCCAGTTGTGGCATAGCTCCTGCTGGTCCGCTCGAACTCTTGTGCCAATGGCGGAGACTGGGGTGCCGCTGATTTCTTGGCCGTTGGAGGCGGCGCAGAGTCAAAATACATGCTGCTGGGCCGCTCACTTCGGTTGTTGGTATATGAACTAGTATTCCGAGCCATGGGCTCATCTCCCCCGGCCGTTCCCGGTGCAAAGCCTTGTCTCTTCTTAGGCGAATTCGCATTTGCGGCTGCAGTTGGAGAGGTCTTTACGTTCTCCTTGAAATACTCAAATGCTGATTTGGGCTTCGGGTTACCGAAAGGCGCATTCTGCTGCCTCGGTGTACCGCCAGATGTAGGATCAAATCCTCGCCAATTTTGACCTCTCATATTGTGGAAGCCCTTGAATGCATCCGCTCTTGTCTGCGCTTCGTCCTGGGGCTTCTGCCACTGCTGTGGCCCCGCACGTGCATGGGTTGCATATCGTGCAGCGCCGGCTGAAGGTCCATTAGTTGCCGCGTGAGGTCGATTACTAAAAGGGAATTTCGGAGCTTGGGGTTTGGGAGGAGGAGCGGCAGGGTAGCTCGGCTGGGCTTTACGCGGAGCAGTCTTGGGAGGCCCGTAGACCTTGCCATAGCCTGCGCGTAAACGATCTGTATCATATTTCAGTCGTTGTTGGGGGTCGCTGAGAATCTCATTGGCAGCTTGGATGGCCTGGAACTTGGCGATGAACTCTTGTTCACGTCCCGGGTTTCTGTCGGGGTGGTATTTGAGTGCTAGGTTGTTCAGATCAGCGTCTCTCCCTATTTTGATAGCCGTAGCATGGCTTGAGTTCCGCACTCACCCAACTTCCGGAACTGTTTCTTTATATCCTCCGCCTCCACGCTGGGTTGCAGCCCCAAGTCTGCATAGTAGTCCCTTCGGACGTCTGCTTTCACCATGTTGATACAGTTATCGAGGCGACCTTATGAACCCGGACAGTTGTCAAGTTGCATAATAGACAGTCATATAAACAATCGGCACTTCTCGACATGACCTGTCAAAACAGGGTTGGGTTTTGATTTCCCTCCGTCAAGCACGTCGCATGGAGGCGCAACTCCAACGATTGTATGCGGTCGAAAGCAACGAATGTGAGATGCCAGAAAATCCAGCCAGTCTGTAGCTCTCTAGGCAGACTGCCCTCCGGGAAAATCAGAACGAAGGCTGGCGACGAGTATCGGCGGGAATCGGTGCCTGCGGTGGCCGCGCTCCGGCAGGGCTGAGCGGGATCTTCAGCTAACTGAGGCAAGTGAGAGTTCGGTGGATAGGATCGCAGCGGATGAGCATGATACTGCGTCCGGTCGGCAGCAGTCGCATTGTAGGTCGAGATCGGAGGAGGCAAAAGGGCGTCTGGGCCTTGGGTCTCGCGCAGAAATCGCGGATCGTGAGATCGTGGGCACCTGGGCACCTGATGAGGTCGAGGTTAGGCAGATTGGGTCCAAGCGCAGATCGCACCGAATCGCTGGAAAAAGCAACCAACGGGACGCGACCAACTGCTTGCACTGTCAACCAGTCACCGAATGGCCAGCGGGCAAGGTTTATGAGTTGGCCCTTGGGAGAGAAAGCGGCAGGGTTTGTTTTGGCGCGGGAGGATCAAGGTTTGATGCCCAAGGCATTCACGGAGTGTTCGTGCAGCCTTGCAGAACCCAGTTGGGTCGGTTGGCTCTCGCAGATCCATCCATCCATCCATCTGTCCATCCTTCTCTCACCACCCTAACTGTACCAAGCGGTGCTAATCCTACTCTTAGGCATATTTGAGAACGACATGCGACACCCATTTCTTGCAGATTAGCTCTGGTCTTGTTGTATATGTGTGATATAGTGTATACAATATATGGTATCCCAAAACAGACACAAAGAAGCAAGGGGAAAATAAATACAGGACCAAAGATATCAGCAGTACTTAAGCCCACAAACCCCGTCCTTTCCTTCTGTCAAATCCTCTCTGACTATATGGTCCCAAAAAGCAGGTCGTGGCGGAGGGGTAGTAGAAAGCAGTATGAAGAAGGGAGGGATGGGAACAAGGAAGACAAAGAAAGGAAGAGCAAAGTACGCCTATGGCTTCACATACGCAACAATTAAAGGAGCAAAAGAACCCTAAGCATCACCGCCAGATGCGCCAGCCCCGGAACCACCGAAGAAGTACCCCTCAAGGATATCGTAGTTGGGATTCTCACTCCAATCATGCTGGAAGTCCATGGCCATGCCGAAGCCAAGGTCAATACCCACATTCTGGCCGAGTGTGGGCATTCCGGTAAGATTGTACTCAGCATTGGGATCCTGTCCCATCGCCTGGCTATCGGGATTGCCAGACCCAAAGTCCAGGAAATCCAGGCTCATGCCCGGCTGATTATCTGGACCAGAGGGTGGGAGACCGTGGGTTCCACCGGCCGAGTGGGTAACGCTGGCGGGGGAACCACTCGGTGGTGGTGAGTTGCCGTAGTAGAATTGTGGAGGGGCTTGCGGAGATGTTTGGCCTTCATATTTCATAAAGTATTCCATCGATGGCGTGCGCTGCGCGAATGGCCGGGACAGGCCAGGAGCGACGGCCTCGGCAGTCTCTGGTCGAACAGCGTAATTGGTTCCTGCAGGTCTGCTGTCGGCTCGGGACCGGTCGGCCAGAGGCGTGCTGCTATCGCTGAACAGATCGGCCAGATTCATGTCGAACCTGGGGACTGGCCGTGTTGTACGAGATTGAGTCGATCGCCGGGCTTGCCCTTGGCCTACCTGTTGTCTCTGCTGGCGTCGGCCTGGGTACAAGGAGCCCGCGCTGTGGGAAAAAGCTTGAATTTGTGACATGTCGACCTGAGACCCGAATCCAGTGGTCGACAGGCACATCTGGACGGTGGCTTTACTCATCCGCTCAAAGGCATCCCGACAATTCTCAGCCGGGGGACACTTGTGCATCAAGTCGCCAAGGACCGAAGTTGCTGCAAGAACAGTAAAGTCTACCTCGTCGAGAGTCTAGAAAGCAAAGGATCGTTAGTGTCAAGTCAGGAGGGTTCGAAGACGAGATAATGCCTACTAATCGGCTTCGGACCAATGGCGAATGCCAAATGGCATACAGAAAAGAGATCCCTAGAAAGAGATGTCAGCGGCTTGTCCACAGAACAAGGAAACACGGAGCAAATCCATACCGGCCATGAAAATGTGGTGTGTAGCAAGATAGGTGTAGTTCACTAAGCGCACCCGGTGCAACTGTCGATAGATCCGAATTACCTTCTGGCCAGCCTCCGCCACATTGAGGTAGACATGATCCTCCTCGTCACCCTCGTCGGGATTAGTGAAAGATGGACTGGACACATCATCCGCGGGTGTCAGCTCACCAGCCAACTCTGCGGGCACCGTCAGGCTTTGCTGATACAGCAAAATGATCGCCTGCCAATAGTTCAACTCCAAGAGCTCAATGGAGAATCGCACCCCTGTATCAGAACGTGTTGGCGCAGACTCGTTCCAGTCCACCAGACGGCCATGCACGTCATGGCGCCACGAGCGGAAGGAGTCAAAGCCTTGGAGGAAGGGAGATGTCAGCTCCGCATGAGGAAGAATGGTAGCGCTTTCCGCTGCCCGCCTGCGCACAGCACGGGTCTGCTGGTATTGGAGGACATCGTGGATTTCGGATTGGAGGAGACGAAGTTTGAAGTAGTGGAAGGCGACATGCTTATACGTCGGGGCGCCATCAGGAGGCGTCAAAAGACCGGCTTTTGTGATATACTTGTCATCCATCATGGACGGGAATTCCGTGCTGATGGCTTGGTCGCTAATGCCAAAAGGTCGGCCGACACATGTGGCAACGAGGCGGTCGAAGCTGTACACGCACCACCACAAACGGCGGCGGAGGTCACGCACCCATTCGCGGCGACCTCGCTCGCGGGCGTCGATGCGAGGCGGGACTTGAGTTTCGTCTTTCGAGCCCGTGTCCAAGCCCACGCCATCCTCGTAGTGAAGTCCTAGGTCAACAGCCAAGCGCATTGCAACGCCAACGATGTACCAAAGACCAGGAGCGACTGGGCGAAGCAAGGCAAAGCTGGCCAGGAGGAGCACTGCCTGAAGCTCTTCCAATCCACCAAATCCCTCGCTAGACGAGGACCCGAGGAAGGATTCCAAGTGCACGATTGCAGAAGCATGGTATTCCTCCGGCTGATATTGATGGCTAGACAGCCGGGGCCGCTTTGTGGTGGATGAAGCTCGGTCACGGCCGGCGCGGTCCTCATCATCCGAACCTTGGGGCTTATCTTCAAAAATAATTCCGGCACCAATGGCAAACACAATGTTGAGAATATAAAGAGCTCGAGGCGAACGGTTCTTTTCTTCCAAGAGATAGGTGCGGTCGAGAAGTTCCAGAAAGTCTCCACGGTGGAGAATGGGCATCTGAGGGTTCGCATGTTCGAAATAGAGATCCACCAGACGCTCCGCCAGCTCTCGGTCCGGGAACGCAGCGCGCTTCATCATCGGTCTTGTCTGGAGCCCGAAGAATGAATCGCGCATGGTACCCCCACCAGGGCCAGCAGCCGTCTGAGGCAAACGATCGCTTGGACGGATCGGAGCACGCTCAGGCATATTGCCCGGCAGCGAACTCCGTACCGCGGCGAAGACAACTCGAGCAAAGGATATGCCCGAAGTTGAACCGAGATATCGAGGATCGGACGTTCCCTGCACAGAAACCATGCCGATATTTGACACGAGATTGTGCAAGCGCCAATTCTCCTCGCTTGTGGAGTCGCGATCTCCGTCCCCATCTCGGTCCCGGTCTCCATCTGCTCGCTGGACAGTCGCGTCAGGTTCCTCCTTGAGAGCGGGATTCTTCCGCGTCCTATCTGAGCCTTCGGCGCCTTGGATATCAGCACCAGATCCAAATTGCGCCGCATCGCCGTCGGATTCAGTCTTGACAGCTTCCTCTTCATCAAAAGCGACCGCTTTCTTGAATTCCAGGTTGTGCTCCGTGAGTTGTTTCTCCAGGTAGGCGACTCGCGTCTCTAAAAAATATACATAGCTGCGCGGAATTTCCCGCTTGGTAATAGGGTCGTATCCGACGCAGCGGACTCCGGCTTTTTCGCAGGACTGGCACCGCGGAAGCCGCTGATCGCAACGGTTCTTGCGCAGCCGGCAGCGATTACAGGCCGAGACATTGCGGAATGCCGAGGTAGATGCGGTCGAGGCAACGGTGGCAGCTGAATGCGCGGTGGACAGGGCGGGTGACGTGGACGGCACGGCGTTTGGGGCGGAGGGGTTGTTGGGATCGTCCCGCGAGAGACGCGCGGGGTCGGATTGGCTTGGTGTCACGCCGGAAGGATGAGGTCTCTTCCTGCCTGAAGAGAGCGGCGACGGCGGAGAGGGGGGTTAGGCATGGTCAAGAATGAGTGACGAGGGCCGCGGACCTGCGATCATCTCTTGACGGTGGGGTTCTGCGGAGACGGCGGTCGGGATAGCGGTTGGACTCCCCGGGTCGGATCAGCATTCATGATCCAGATCCAGGGTCGGTCGATGCGATGTCGGCTCGACGCAGGGAATCGGTTCTTGCAAGGCAGCACGAAGGACAAGAAGGCGGCCTGCGCGAGGTAACTTGGCGACGCAACGCGCTTCCGCGGCGCAAGAGCACGCGCCGGAGGGAAAATATCCTCCGAGATGTCAACGAGATGGGAAATGAAACTCGCTGGGTAGCGCGAGAGCGGCGCGACTAAGTGGAGCGCCAACGACGACCGTCCCGAGCACACTACGAGGGCGATACGTAGTTGCAGAATGAAGAGGGATGAGAGAGATTGCGTCTTATGGATACGGCGATAGGGTTCTGGTGGGGTTCGGGCCCAGGGGCCATTCCCTGTACGGAGAGATTAAGTTGCCCTCGGGAATGGAGAACTCGGCACTTTCGGTACCCCAGACTCTGGCACGCCGAGAACCAACTGGGAAGGTCACAGCGACTGGAAACGGGGCCTTAGAGGGGCTCTCCAGTCAATACTGGGCCCCGCACGACCATTGGCCCTGCGCGAATGTCGCACAACTTCATGGAGTCTGCCATGCGTCTGTGAGCCGGCGTGATGTGCCAAGTGGATCGCCCCGGACATTGTCAGCTGTCATTGGCGGAGTCGCGGAGTTGTGATAGGCGCTGCAAACCGGGTTGGATGGGACCGGAGTGGAGGGTTGCAGAGGAAGCAATGGGGGACCGGCGATGATCTAAAGATAAGATGGTCAGATCACCTTCAGCTCCGATGATCGGAATTACATTGTCGGATGCTGGCAAGGCAGCACTATGGGGGGGAGGTGCGTCGTGGAGATGCTCCTTGGCCTACAGTCGAAATTGCAACTGCGCCTTGGTCTACGTCGAACGCTGTGAAAGAAAAATGATCTAAGGACAAAGGGCTGCAGGACAATGAGACAAGGCCGTTCATTGTGTTAAAAGTCCGTGACAGGAGTCTATTGATGATCCAAGGTGGTAGTCCTTGACATGAGGCAAATAAGCAAACATGCAACAATCGCAAGAGACGCAAAATCACAGATAACCTCCCAGATGCATAAGTATCCTCATGATATAATCCCGTTTCAATGCTCCAGAAAAAAGATGAAAAGAGTAAGCGAAAACATGACGATAGGGAAAGAAAATTGAAGAAAATAAAGAGACCCAAGTTTAACGCTTTTTTCGCATATGCATCCATTTTATGCCAGTTGCGCCGTTCTCCGGTCTCAATGAACAGAGCAGGAAAAGAAAAGACAGAAAAGGAAAAGGGGTGAAGGGAAGAATAAATAAGGTATCATGGCTAGAGATCAAAAAAAAGGGGAAGAGAGAAAGAAAGCCCTCTTGGCAAGGGCAGACCGCCGCAGGGGCTGAATGGAATGGTCATGCATGCCCTCCTAGAAGGACAGATGAGAGTGAACCAGGGGATGTGTTCACGAAAGGATAGAATCCAAGATTAGATCCGTGGAGTGGAAGAGAGATCAGTCTCCGAGGTGGTCGATAGGTCGTGGATGGCGTTCAAGTCCAACTTCGAAATGTCGAATTCGTGGTCAATGCTGGACCGCAGCGAGAGCAGGCGCTGCTCTTCTTCCGAGACAGAATCCCGGCCACCGTAGGGTTCAGACAGGGCCTCACGCTTGAGCTCCACCTCACTGACCTCGGCGTCCTGGCCCTTGAAGCGCCCAGACTCGGGCGACTCCTCCATCCAGAAACTTTCGAGGGCACCGACCAAGCAAACAAATCCGCAGGCCCACCATGCCAGCACGGAGTGCCCGCTCTCCAGACCCTTGGAGTGCAGCAGGCCAGTCACCGTCGGGCCAAAGGCTCGGCTCAGACTGGCCGTTGAGGCGGCAGCCCCATTGATAGAGCCGAGCACCTTTGACGTGGGAGCAGCGTTGGCCAGCAGGATGGCAGTAGCGGGGAAGGCGATAACGTGGAAGGTGATTTTGCTGATCAACGCGACGTAGACAGCGGGCATCTGGAGTTTAGCGGGCAGTAGGATGAGATAGGGCACGGCCAGGTAGAGCGGCGGCCATGCCAACAAGACGAAGCGGAACGTGCGCAGTGTGCCAAAGTGCTTGACCACGAATGGGAACAGCCAGAGTTGGGCAATCATCGAGTAGACACCCTGGACCGCCAGCATGAAGCCGATGGTCTTCGTTGGCAGACCAAGGCCGCCGGTAAACTTGAGTGGCAGGACAATCTTGTCGTCGGAGTGGGGCGTACTCAGGAAGACCGGCATTAGCTGGTCGAAGGACACGCTATGGCTGTGGAGAAAGAGGGGGCTTAATGTCAGCAATTATGCAAGACTGCAGGAGAGAAAGTGGCGTGCAGGGAGGTCACAGGACACAGGAAAGGGTTGGGCCAACTCACTAGGCCAGAATGCCGTAAGCCGCGATGGTGAAGATGACTTGTCGGGTGAACGCCTTGGGCGCGGCCGGTTTCTGTCCCTCGACGTCGCACTCTGACCCGACGTCACCCTCACTCACTCTCACGGGGCGCAGACAGGGCGATGATTCGGCAGTTTCGTATTCAGGCGGCACGTCATAGACGAAGTACTTGGTCTCCTCCACCCCCACGTCGGAATCGTCGGGGAGCTGCACGCGCGAGCCCCAGCACTGGCTGATCAGCCAGTGTCCCAACTCGCGGCCAGGGTCGCGCTGGTGCTTCTTCTCCGGGTGTGTCTCCTCCAGAAACAGGAACCCGACCACAATGCCGCACACCAGCACCAGGACGCACACTAGGTTGGGCAGCAGGAACGGGAACCGGTCGAAGAGCGTGTTACGCGAGAATAGCCACGGGTAGTTGTCGCAGGGTTGAGCCAGAGCACCGCCCATCGCCGGCCCGATGATCGATCCCAGGCACCACACGAAGGGCATGATCGAGTATGCCCGCGGTTGGTGCTCCTTGACCGTCACAATCTCCGCCACCGTTGTCTGGAGCACTCCGATATTCCCGTTCAGCAGCCCGCCTAGCGCTCGCGCAATCATCGCCGTGGCCAGGTTGGGCGCGAATCCAAAGGCCACCATGCTGATGGCCGTGCCCACCAGCCCCATGACGAGCACCGGCTTGCGACCGATCCGGTCACTCATGCGGCCCCAGAACATGCCCGCGGAGAATTCAGCAAAGGTGAACGACGAGGTGATCATGCCAGCGTAGAGCGCAATCTTCTGGTCGTTGTCCGTCACATGGAATGATTCAACCATGTGGTACACGTACGGGAAAATCGACATGAAAGCAATGGGCTCGCAAATTCGAACAAGCGCTGTTGATAACCATGGTCAGTTTCTTGATCATTCGAACCAGCACTATCCAGATGCTGCCAAGTCTTGCGCATCAACAGACTTCAGCCGTTTTTGGGGGGAGGGGGCTGTTTCTTGTTTGTTCAAACAGCTATATAGTCCGCAATGCGCACAACAAAAGTACCACACTTACCTAAGACGAATAGTTGCCGCATAGGAAATGCAGGCCAATCCTCGGCCGCGCCATTGCGCTGTCGCCGGCCTTGTAAACAAGCTGGCCGTGGAAACATTGTGCGTGAGATCTGAAATACGCGAAAAGGGCGAGCCACCAGAAAAACACTTATGGACATTAAAAAGAGAGACCCCGCGTTTCGCGCCAGAGAATAGTTCACGAGGGGAAAAAAAAGTACCAAAGGGTGGTGCTTTTGATTTCCCCCTAAAGAGTCAGATTACCCCAGGTTAATGCGTCAGGGCTCAAAAGGGAGGAGGAATGCAATTGGTGTGGCGGCTGGCGAGATCGGAGCAAGGAGCAGGCGTGGGTGAAGTTTAGGGCTTCAGCATTGCTCCCCCTGCGGTGGGAAATTCTATCGCGAATCCGATATCCGATAAGGTAGCGGAGGGTCCAGCAACCCAAAGAGACTATTGAGACAGAGACACCTGCAAGGGAGTCTTGACACACCGCTGGCCTGGTGTTTGGAGGACAGGAGAAAGGCGGCAGTGAGATTGGGTGAGAGAAAGAGAGAGGGCGAAAGAGCGTCAGGAGGTTTCCAGTCGATCCCAGGAAATTAATGGAACCCGGTATCAATGAGCAGGCCCCAGGACTATCGTGAGATCGACAATGTCGCAAGCCGGGGATTGGGTTCGGATTGGGTTCGGAGGTGCCGAGGGAAGTCGACAGGTGAAGAAAGAAGAGCACAAAGGGCGGTAGCAAGAATGGGGAAGGGATCTATGAAGAATCTCAATAGGGATGATGAAAGGAGGTGTAGTTGCGACTAAGTTTGGCAAAGCAAGACACGATAATTGCGATGAGCAAGAAGGAGGAAGGAAGGGAGTCATTCCATAAAAATCCGGAGGGGAGAAGGGAGAGAGCTATTATATGAAATCCTCAGTGGATAGCTCCATCCATCCAGGGAGATGTGATCAGGCGCCAAAAGGGAAACCAAACGTCAACGGTTCAGCATCACCGCTTGGGAATTTCGGTTACAGCTGTACAGAAGCAGCCGCAGGATGCAGATGGCAGCAAGCAAACATTACAGTTGGATCAGGGCAGGATTGAAGGGTGTGGGTCCGGGTAGGAATGATTTTTGGGGGGGTTTTTTTTCCTCTTTTATTTAATTTTGGGGAATTATTATTTTGGGTTTTAGGATTTTATTATTCTTCCTGGAAGCTCTGTGTAATTTGACTGTAAAGGGCGGATCGGGACCATCCGACTGGAGGGGGACCACGGAAAAGAAAATGATATGTCCATCTTGCATAGGGGGAAGAAATCAAAGGGTCCGAAAATTTCAAATTATCATTAATAGCATTAATTAATAAATATTAATTTCCCCAATTCCACTGAAAGTCAAAAGGAAATTCAAACGGTGAGAGCCTGAAAGAAAAGGGAGAAAGTAGACGGGGGGAGGCAAACGTCGGAAAATATACCCTGGAGGACAGGAAAGGAAAGAAAAAAGGGTGGAGCCAATGGGCAAGGGAAAAGCATCACACCGAGGTACCGGGGGGAACGGAGAAACCAGAACACGACCAGACGAGACATCGTCATTGTTCAGACTGATTCAAACGGGGCTAAGAACCAAGACCCGATACCCAAGAGCCAATGGCCAATCCGCAAGGCCGAACGACCAGGACCAGTCTGGAAAAGGATTCCTAGGAACGAAGCCGATTGTCACGATCCCCATTCCTGCCCCGATCAATGATCAAATCAATCAGATCAGATCATCGCCAGGGCGGCGCTTCTACCTGGCACTTTTCACGACTGTTTAGTGTGTTTTCTTGTCCTTCGATGGGGCCCTCTCATTCGGCGGATCCGTTTCCACCCCAGATCCAGCGCCAGAAGTGGTCACGGTTGAGGACAAGGTTGATACCGGGTTCTTGGCTCCATTACCGTACTTTTCTGGGTGCTCGTAGTCTAATACCGTACTTCTTCTCCGTACCTGATGGATCCTGGACCGGTAAGACCCACGGCCCCGACCCCCGGGCCCCGGGGAACAGCAGGAGGCGACTCCTTAGTGCCCTTCTAGAGCCCGACGGGGGCAAGGTCAACTCACTAAAAGCGCGCTAAGGTGATTCTCCCTTCCGTATGGCGTAAGGCAAGGATGATCGGCTTACCTTACGCCCTCGGCTCTCCTTTTTCACTCCCGGAGCTCTGGTTTTAGTGCGCTCTAGTGAGATGATAGATCGCAACTGTCCATTCCATTTCCTGGAGCATTTAATCCCATGGTTTTTTTTTTGAGGAGGTGCATATTTAATTGGATTTAAATTATTTTTTTTTTTTGCCGTTTACGCCTGCCGAGACCCGGTTTAACTAGACCGAGTCGAGGGGACAACGGGCACAAGGCCCCCGGGGAGCGCCGATAGTAACGGAGACGAAGAGTGGGGGAATTCCGCCACAATCATTCAATGGGTTTCAGCATACTCTGTCGTGTTGAGATACGCTTGAGATATGGACTGGAAAATGTACGTCTAAGCCATCGTCATCGGGGTTCGCGCTATCGCACTAACCAAGGATCCACTCTGGTGTCGCGGAATAATGGGAAAGCCTCAGCCGCCTCAATAGTGGCCCGCTACGGACCACGGGTTCGGGTCCGCCTAGCTGGAGACGGGAGATGAATGAACTCAATCTCTTTTTCACGCCGGGTGGAAAGGATCGTCTTCCCCGACGTTGCCGCTGACCAACACCAGCTGAGACTGGGATGCGACGTGTGAAAGAGGAATGGAGAGCCTTGTGGAAAACCATGGGATGACGGGGGCGCACCCTTTCGTTTTCTACGCAATCAACAAATCCGCCAACAATCCTCCGTAATCAACCAAAAAATAATGGCAACCCGCGTGTTTCACATTGATTCGAGGCTCCGGTTAACTGATCGCAAGGCGCACTTCAGTTCAGCCGTCCCGTGGTGTACAGTCGGGCAGGACCCGGGCGCAGGGCTCAAGATGTGCGGTGTACATTCGAAAGTCGCCCAATGGTGATTGTTCCCAGCATTCGACGTTGACGTGCGCTGTTGCCGGTTTTGTCGGGACTGTAACACCCTTCACGCCGTTGCAGCCCTGCCTATCATCCAGACAATTGGTATTTTCGGGCCTCCTCATAGGTCCAGCACCACTGAATAGCGAAGTGTATCCAAAACCCTGGGTCGGTTGGCGTGCCTGATACTTCCACGCAATGCCAATGGATGTAGATGCGGATGAACAATACACTCTGTACGGTCAATCCCATGCTCCTGCTGTCCCGAGTATACTGACTACTGCACAACTATACTCTCTACAACGTTGCGTAGTACATGTTCCTACACCGTACATTCAAGTTCAGTCCTCGTAGTCCCTGTGAGCGCTCTCTCGGTCTGATTATTGGGACCGCCCGATCCGGCGCTCACTGGACAGCATAAAGGGGGGGGTTATAACGGGGGGGGGTTATAACGGGGGGGGATTATAACGGGGGGGGGTTATAACGGGGGGGGGCGATCATCGTCCTGTCAAGAGGGTTGTTGAGGGGCGGTAACATGGGTTGGTAGGGGGCCGGTCACAACAACAGCAGGTCTTCATACTTCCCAAGGGATATTACTTTTGGCGCGTCCTTCTCGAAAACTCCACTGGAGGTCATCAGCTGAGCTCGTCACAAATTCACCGACACTGCGGGTCTCGACTACGGACCCGCTTCGGGGCCGATCGCCTCAGGACGACCCCCTTTAATTCCAGCTTGCAAAACAAGGAATGGAATTGAAATCGAGACTGGGGCTGTAAAGTGTCCGCGCAGATACGGAATGGCAATCGCAATTCCTCCACAGTCGAGATAGCTTCGATGGATTCGTAGCAGTCTGACGAGGCGCATCGATCTCAGAACGGGGCGATTCTTCGTGGAGACGGCTTGCATATCGAATCTATCGAAAAAGTCGGTAAAGTGCCGACCCAGCGGAAGGGGCCAACGTAGCGGGGACCCGATGGCCTGGAAAGCTTTCTTACAAGTGGGACTATCGTTGTACCACCGTCTTGTACGGAGTACAAAAACAATACCAGCTGGGTTCCGGAAGTACGACAGAAGTGGACATGCAGTTTACGGTCTATGAAGGACGGTCATCGTCAGCCACGTGAGCCCAAAGGCGGGGGAAGATTGCGAAAAGCCGGTGAGACCCTCTGGTAGATGGGTCCACGTCGAAACCGACGTCACCGTACTTGGACAACACTTTCCGCGGCCAGGACCGCTTAGCTTCACGGTAGATGGGTAGGGTGGGAGAGGGGTGTATAGTCGAGGGGGACTCCATGGGGCGGGGGCGGACCAGGATGGGGACGATGACAAGGGGGGGCGGCCAAGTCAACAGGATCAATAGAGAAAGCCGGGGCGCCGTGTGAAAGTGACTGGTGGTGAATGATTCGGCCACAAAGTCCCGGAAGATCGACCACGAGTCCATGTACAGACCTACAGACCTACAGCTGTACCAGACGGCCAGCGGTGGCCAAAGTGACTGAGCAATCAGCGCGAGGCATCAGTCGATGTCAGCTTGATTAGGCTCCGCCACGATAGACCCGCGGCCATGGGAACCAATCAAGGGTCCGACTGCAGGGCTGTCGGGCAGACGCTCTCTTACCGAGTCCTTCTATGCAAGCAATGCATAGAAGACGCCCTGCGTCCAGGCCAGCGAGCCAATACGGAGGGGCCTGGTCGGGTTTTGCAGGGAACCAAGGATTCCCGGTGACAGCTCGGAGAGACAGCCGAGGCCGGTTGATTCGACGGGATGGTTGCGATGTAGCGGTGACCGGGGGGGCATCACGACTTCACGAGCTCCAAACAAAGCAGCTCTCCATGCCATGCGTCACGCGACTGCGTCGGGAAAACCGCGGGGTCCTCATCCGGTGTCTGCCTTGATGTCCACTCGGACTGATCGGAAGGCTTTAGGCTCAGATTCAGCTTCGGGCTCACGCCCGGGCTCAGGGGCCAGGGGACAAACAAAAAAGGTAAAATGGCCCAACGGCGGTTGGGGATGGAATTGCTCGGAAGAAATCAAGAATCCAAGCCGATGCCCACGTCTCTTAGTCCTCATTGGGGGTTGGGTCCGGCTCGTCGATCAAAGTGGAT